CCAAACTTTAGCAAAACAATCAACATCCGGACCTCAGTATAATCAACATCCGGACCTCGGTATAATCAACATCCGGACCTCAGTATAATCAACATCCGGACCTCAGTATAATCAACATCCGGACCTCAGTATAATCAACATCCGGACCTCAGTATAATCAACATCCGGACCTCAGTATAATCAACATCCGGACCTCAGTATAATCAACATCCGGACCTCAGTATAATCAACATCCGGACATCAGTATAATCAACATCCGGACCTCAGTATAATCAACATCCGGACCTCAGTATAATCAACATCCGGACCTCAGTATAATCAACATCCGGACCTCAGTATAATCAACATCCGGACCTCAGTATAATCAACATCCGGACCTCAGTATAATCAACATCCGGACCTCAGTATATGTGTGTAACCGCTCTTCTCGAGACGGGTACCAAATTCTAATGTATCCAGACACAAATATTGGCAAGGCTAACTAGTACCAAACTACAGCATAGTATTGCACTTTGACTTTAATCTCTTCTGTGGCACTCAAACCAACCGGTACCTCGCATCAGAGAAATTGCTGCAAAATTGCAACAAAAAAATAGAATTCATCTGTACGATACAGTGCGAATTTTCACCGAGGCAGCACGGGTATTGAAAACTCAGCACCGGCATTAACAGCAATTCTCTATATGCCACAAGTAAAGATTCAGAGACTTCTAGTGACCTTATTGAACCAAAAAACCTTTTCTTGTTTGCAAATAGCAAGCTCAGAACTTTTATTCTGCTTCAAAAAAATCTGAAAAACGTTACTGAACACTTTAAGACTGTACTTACAGCAACAAAAATTACCTATAATGTCACCGAGATTGATACTCAGCCGCTAATGATGTTTTGAACGTTCAAATCTATGACCTCGCTTGTTTTTATATTGGATTACCTATTTCGGAAATTAATTACATGCAATAAGGCGTGTTACATTGAGTTACCAGCCAGCAACAATATACAAAGAATTGGACATTCCCACAAGAAAAAAGAAAAAGGAGAATCAGAACATGATAATGATGAGAAAGGAATAATCAAATTACGGACCGTACTTACGACGCTACCATTGATCAATCATTCAATACCCACAAGTATAAATGATAATACACATATCATCGAGTCTTTGTCTGGCTTTAACCAAGAAATACATGATCACATATGATAAACACCCCCTAACAAATACAACACTGTAAGAATTAATTCCTATGAGCCCTTCCGCGACAACGACTTGTCAATCCAAACACATTAGTTGGGTCAGAACTCGTTTAAGTTCTGTAGTTAGGCCGTGCCAAGAAGGAACATAAAAAATAGGACGATTGGTGTAGTGGTAACATAATTGCCTTCCAAGCAATTGCCGTGGGTTCGATTCCCGCATCGTTCATTTATTTTTGCATTTTCTCACCCGGTTTCCTTTGATTTCTGATGAGGGAGACTAAGTTTTTTTTTTTTTTTTTGGCAATATAACATCACTGTATGATCAATAGAGTCTGGTATAAATTTCTTCACAGTTCAATGAGGCGTGGAATCCCAAATGTTATTTCCCTATCTGAAACTGAGCTGAAGATTCGTAACTTGCTTGTTGATTATTGTAACCACTACAACGCATCTCATCAGGACAAGCCATTGACTTTGAGAATCACAGGAGGATGGGTTAGGGACAAATTACTTGGATATGACAGTCATGATATTGACATTGCCGTTAATCACCTTTCTGGGGAAGAGTTTGTTCACAATTTTCAGAAATATTTAAAGACAAAGGACCCACAATTTTCAGTTAACCATGTACATACAATAAAGATGAATCCGGAAAAGTCAAAACATTTGGAGACCTGCACCACAAAGTTGTATGGAATTGATTTAGATTTTATCAATTTGAGATCAGAAGAGTATGCACATGATAGCAGAGTGCCAACAATTGAGTTTGGCACGCCACTTCAGGATGCATTGAGACGTGATGCCACATTGAATGCATTGTTTTATAATCTCAATGAGGAAAAAATTGAAGACTTTACAGAACGGGGGATGAATGATTTGGATAACGGTATATTAAGGACACCACTACCGCCAATAAAGACTTTTTTGGATGACCCATTGCGTATTCTTAGATTAATACGATTTGCAAGCAAGTTTAACTTTGCAATTGAACCAGAGACTTTAGATGCAATGAGGGAAAAACACAACCAACAGGCTCTTCTGACAAAGATTAGCAAAGAGAGGATAGAGATAGAATTGAGGAAAATATTAACAAGTCATAACCCGAGCTATGGATTGCAATTGATAAACTACTGCGATCTCAGTAAAAGTATATTTTTCGTTGAAGAGCTCAAGAAAGAGTTTGATGTTTACCAGTTGGAATTGGCCTTGAGTAAGATTCCCCACCAAATCAATGTTGCAAGTACAATCTATCTCACCTTTGAACAGCTCATTCTCAACTCAAAGATCAAATCAGTGTTTAAAAAGTTTGTGGTAGACAGTGACATGAGGTTCAACTTTTGGCTTTCAGTTATCCTACACCCATACTCTATAGTCACAACAAAATCAAAAGACATATACAACCAATATTTGAGATTGGGATTAATGGCGAAAAAGAGTGACATCACTAAGATTTCCGCAATTGCCATGACGAGCAATAAAACGCTAAAAAGGTATTTCAGCAACCCAGATAGTGTAAAAAGATCGGATTTGGGGATCTACTTGAGACGTTTCCCTGAATATATAGACCTAAACTTGATTGTTCAATGTTATCTTGAATGCGTGGATGCTATACGAGTTGAGACTCCAGTGGAGATTCCCGTACCCAACCATAGCGTTCAATGCACCAGTGATCAGGTTAAAACAATTCAAGGTGTCATTCACAAATATGAGTCATTGTACTCCACCATTGACTCGCTGGACCTTTCACAAGTGCATCTTATGAAACCACTTTTAGATGGGAATCAACTAGTAAAGTATCTACAAAGAAAGCCAGGACCATGGATGAAGCCTGCTATGGATAATGTTCTTGTCTGGCAATTGGATCATCCTCAGGGTACCAAAGAAGAATGTATAGAGTTTATAAAATCAAACACTGTGGAATAAATTTTCACACAATTTTTCCAACAATTTTTTTTTTTGTTCATACTCTATATGAGTCACTTGCTTTATTCACCACCACCAATGTCAGTAAATAAGGTGCCCATCTTGGGCAAAGAATCTATACATGTGGGCTATGAAATACAGCCTCACATTGTTAGTGAAACAATTACCAACTTGGCCACATCAACATATGTGATTGTCAGTGATACCAACATGGCCAAAACTCCCACATTCAAGAAATTGGTGTCAGATTTCGAGACTGAACTCAAGGAAAAAAGACCAGAGTCAAGGCTATTGACCTATTTTGTTCCACCAGGAGAAAATAACAAGAGTCGTGAAACAAAGGCTGCAGTGGAAGATTTTCTTTTGAATAAAGGGTGCACCAGAGACACTGTGATTCTTGCAGTTGGTGGAGGAGTCATTGGAGATATGATTGGATTTGTCGCAGCAACATTTATGCGTGGAGTTAGGGTTGTTCAAGTACCAACTACATTATTAGCAATGGTCGACTCCTCAGTTGGTGGTAAGACCGCCATCGATACACCTTTGGGGAAAAACTTTATCGGTGCATTCCATCAACCAGAGTATGTCTTTTGTGATGTTTCATTCTTGCAAACATTACCTGCAAGACAATTCATCAACGGTATGGCAGAAGTGATCAAGACAGCAGCAATTTGGAACGAAGAAGAATTTACAAGGTTGGAGGAGTTTGCTCCTACGTTTATTGCCGAGGTGACTTCTGAAAAACCTAATTTGGAAACCATTAAAAAGGAGCTAGTTAAAACCGTATTGGAATCAGTAAGAGTCAAGGCTTCAGTTGTATCAGCTGATGAAAAAGAAGGCGGATTGAGAAACTTGCTCAATTTTGGTCACACCATTGGACACGCTATTGAGGCAATTCTCACTCCTGAAGCACTCCATGGTGAATGTGTATCCATCGGAATGATCAAGGAGGCAGAATTATCAAGATACTTGGGAATACTACCACCAGTTGCCGTTGCGAGACTTTCCAAATGTCTTGCAGCTTATAAGTTGCCAATTTCAGTTGACGAAAAGGGATTTTCTAAAATCGTTGGTGGTAAAAAGTACAACTTGTTGATCGATCTGTTGATACAAAAAATGTTGATTGATAAGAAAAACGACGGTAGTAAGATTAGGTGTGTGTTGTTGGAGAGAATAGGTAGGTGTTACGAACTCAGGGCGCATCAAATTTCAAAAGATGATTTGAGATTTGTGTTAACTGATGAAGTCTTGGTGCATCCGTTTAAGGATTTCCCCGAATCAGTGACTATTTCACCACCAGGATCAAAATCAATCTCCAATAGGGCTTTGATATTAGCTGCTTTAGGCACAGGCACTGTTGAAATTAAAAACTTGTTACATTCTGACGACACAAAGCACATGTTGGATGCATTGTCGGTACTAAGAGGTGCTTCGATTTCATTTGCGGATAATGGCGAAACCGTTGTTGTTGAAGGTAACGGTGGAAGCTTGTTTGCCAGTGAGAAAGAATTGTACTTGGGCAATGCTGGTACTGCCTCTAGATTTCTTACGGCCGTTGCATGCTTAGCTAAAAGCTCAGACAATCTGCATGTTGTTTTGACCGGTAACACAAGGATGCAAGAGAGACCAATCGGCCCTTTGGTGGACGCCTTGCTGTCCAATGGATCGGAAATCGAGTACTTGAAAAACACTGGCTCATTGCCATTGAGAATTACGGCTGGAAAAGGTCTCAAGGGTGGAAGGATAGAGTTGGCCGCCACTATATCATCTCAATATGTATCGGCAATACTCATGTGTGCACCATATGCCGAGGAGCCAGTAACGTTGTCGCTTGTCGGGGGAAAGCCAATCTCTCAGTTGTACATTGACATGACATGCGAAATGATGAAACAGTTTGGGGTTGAAGTTATCAAATCAACTAGTGAACCATACACTTACCATATTCCCAAAGCTACATACAAGAATCCATCGGAATACGTTGTTGAATCTGATGCATCATCAGCCACTTACCCATTGGCATTTGCTGCATTGACAGGCTCTTCCTGTACAATTCCAAACATTGGATCATCATCATTACAAGGTGATGCGAAATTTGCTGTTGATGTTTTAAAACCAATGGGATGTGATGTAAAGCAAACAGCGACAACCACAACTGTCACCGGACCACCACAGGGTCTGTTGAAGGCATTGAAAAGTGTGGATATGGAGCCCATGACTGATGCATTTTTGACCGCGTCTGTTGTTGCAGCGGTAGCTAATGGGACAACTACAATTACAGGTATTGCAAACCAAAGAGTTAAAGAGTGCAACAGAATTAAAGCCATGGTTGATGAATTGGCAAAATTTGGAGTACACGCGCATGAGATTGAGGATGGTATTGTAATTGAAGGTGTATCATCGAACAATTTGAAAACTCCGAGTGTGGAAAATAGAGGCGTCCACACATATGACGATCATAGAGTTGCAATGTCATTTTCACTACTAGCTGGATTGTGTAAGCAATCAGTGTTGCTTTTGGAGAGATCAACGACAGGGAAGACATGGCCAGGATGGTGGGATATTTTGCACTCTAAATTTGGTGTCACTCTTGAAGGTTATGAACCAGCTAGAGCAACAACTTGCATCACCAATGGAGACAAAAGTGTTGTAGTCATTGGTATGAGAGCCGCAGGTAAAACCACCTTATCCAAATGGTTAGCCAAATTCTTGGGTTTCAAATTCCTTGATTTGGATGAACATCTTGAGGAGGAACTTGGCATTGATATCAAAACATTGATCAAAGAAAAAGGTTGGGATTATTTCAGAGAGCAAGAATCATTACTAGCTGCTAAATGTTTTGAAAAGTATTCTTCTGGATATGTTCTTTCAAGTGGTGGCGGTCTCGTTGAAAGTGAAGACGCTAGAAAGCAACTCAAGCAATACATGGCCAATGACGGTATTGTTTTGCACTTGCACCGTGATTTGGAAGAAACTGTCACTTTCTTGAATTCGGATGCTACACGTCCAGCTTTTGCTTCGGAGGTAAAGGATGTATGGTTGAGAAGAGAGAAATGGTATCACGAATGCTCAAACTATCATTTTTATGCTCCACATTGTACAACTAATGCCGAGTTTTCCAATTTGAAAAAAGTGTTTTTAAAATTCATTGCCAAAATCACCGGCCTCGAAGAAATGGTTATTCCCAAAACACGTTCAGCTTTTGTTACATTGACATACCCTAATGTGAGAGATGCATTGGAGATTTTACCAGGCATCGCAGTTGGAGCAAATGCTGTTGAATTGAGGGTGGACTTGTTGGCAAAGTATGATGCTTCTTACATTGCAGATCAAGTTGGATTGTTGAGAAAGACGGTGGATTTACCAATCATCTACACTATCAGAACCAAATCGCAAGGTGGTATGTTTCCTGATGAAGACCTTGATAGTATCAAATCGTTGCTCTTATTTGGTATCAAGATTGGTGTTGATGTTATTGATTTGCAATTAATTTCGCCAAACGACGTTATTGACGAAGTGATGGCAAAGAGGAGCCACACAAAAGTCATTGCATCCCACCATGACTTCACTGGCCAATTGAAATGGGACAATGTTGAATGGAAAACCAAATATGATCAAGGTGTGGCAATAAATGCTGACATTGTCAAGTTGGTTGGTAAAGCTGTTGATTTCAATGACAATTTGTTGTTGGAAAAATTCAGAAGTGAAAATACAACCAAGCCCTTGATTGGATTGAATATGGGACCAAAAGGTAAATTATCACGGGTTTTGAATACTGTTTTCACCCCGGTTACGCACGACCTCATCACTGACAAACCGCAAGGGGTGGGGCAATTAACCTTTAAGGAAATCAATGAAGCTTATTTCCAAATTGGAGGATTTATTGAAAACAGATTTTGGGTTGTCGGGTCACCGATAGAACATTCGAGATCACCAGCATTGCACAATGCCGGATACAAAGCGTTGAGCTTACCATACAAGTTTGATAGATTTGAATCAAGTGATGCAGAAACCGTTTACAAACAGTTGATGTTGAGATCGGATTTTGGTGGGTTGGCAATCACCATGCCATTGAAGTTGGATATGATGAAGTACGTCACCAAACTTTCAGATGCAGCCAAGTTGGTTGGTGCTATTAACACAATTGTTCCCATTGACGGTGGTGGCGGTTTTCTTGGTGACAATACTGATTGGGTTGGAATTACAAACTCATTTAAGCAAAGTGGATTCATTGGAGGCAACAATGTCAATGGATTGGTTGTTGGAGGAGGTGGTACTTCAAGAGCTGCAATTTATGCGTTGCACAAATTGGGATGCGAAAAGATTTATCTACTTAATCGTACTGTCAGCAAATTGCATGACGTTGCTAGCAGTTTCCCTAAGGAGTACAATCTTGAAGTTGTTGAGCAGGAAGAACAAGTTAGTGGTAAACCAGTATCATTAGCTGTTTCATGTGTCCCATCATCTGCACCATTAGATGAAACCTTGTTGCAGAGATTAGAACTCATCTTAGATTCTAACAAGCCAACAACAGCAGCAGCAGCAGCAGCAGATGAAGAAGCCCCCTTACTATTAGAAGCCGCTTACAAGCCAAGAGTCACTCCAGTGATGAGGTTGGCTGAGGAAAAGTATAACTGGAGAGTTATACAAGGGGTTGAGATGTTGGTGAATCAAGGTGAAGAGCAATTCAAAATCCATACAGGATTTGCTCCACCATATGATGTTATACACGATGCAGTAGTTGCAGAAGATTGAAATCGTAGATAGGTTATAGTGTATATACACTCCTGTGATGCTTATCCATCGGAATAATTCGTTTCTGTCGATACACAAAAGAGAGAAGAAAAGAATTGACTCTGTCTCTTTCTCTGTATGTCATCGGAAAAACTCGCGTGGTGCAAAATCGAAAAGAAATTCATCTGCATAAAGACAAACACCGATCGGAGTTTCAAATTTTGCTGTGAGATGAGCTTTGAAACTCATGCAGATGCTATATAGTGAGTCTACAACGATTTAGTGGTTGGTATTCATTGCTTAATTTGGTTTTAAACCTGTCCGCAATTGTGTTCAACTTTTTAGCACTCTTTGTTAGCGGTCACGTGATTTATCCTCTATGTTTTTTTGTGTCCCACTTTCGGAGTACAACAGGCGAAGAAAATTTCTTTTTGTTTGGCTTTACCCCTCAATTGTATCAAGAGTATAACAAACAAACAAACATTATTATAATACAACTGAACCCCCCCCCCCCCCCATTAGACCACCACCACCACCACCACTAGACTTCCTCGACTAGCTCCACAGCAAGTAAGGAAGAGGGTGATACTACACTTAAACAACTCTGTTTCCGTACTTTTGCCACTATTGCTCTGATATCCACCCACTCACACGCATCGCATACACACACGCACACACCACAAAAAGCCATCTCGGACATCGGCGGCAATATAGAAAATAAGAAACAAACTTTTTTTAAAAAAATTCACCATTTATCCTCATCACATTAAGTTCAGTTCTATATCTTTTGCTATATATTGAAAGAAGTTAATCCCTGAACTTTCACTTGTTTTAGTTCCCCCATTATTTTTTGCCCATTTGCATAGTTTGTTTCTCCAATCATAGGGAGCCTGAAAGAGGAACGTCACTCGACACGACAACAACACATTTTATTATTCATTAATGTCACGATCTTACACCTTATACAAATTAGCATTGTCCCCACTGAGGGTGGTTTCGTCACTACCACACTGCCAGCGTCATTACTCACGTTGTTTCCGCCAGCCAAGTAGTCTCATACACCCCACTGCAAAGAGATTCATGTCATCATACTTTAATGGAGTCAGAAACTACTTTGGATTTAACATTTCAGAAGAAAGCGAAGAAAGAGACCTGGTTGATGAAGAAATACCGTATGTCCAGTACCCACTCATCACAAGAGAACAAATGAAAAAGCTAGCTCAGGACAAGTTCAAATTTGATTTTGGCTATGCATCTTTTGGGTTTCATTCAGACTCAATTGTACCATCAATAAATTCACTTAGTGATTTGACTGATCCAACCCAGTTGAACTCGCTTCTCCCGAGAAGAAGACCAGAGGGTTCGCCAAGTGACACATTGAGTATTAAAGCAGGAGATGATACCATGCTTGTCTCTCCTTCCGTTCTTGCTATTGCCGATGGAGTCAGCGGATGGGAGAGTTCAGGAGAATTGGCAAACTCAGGTATTTGGTCACGATCCATTGTGGAAACTTTTAGTCGTTTAATGACAGAGTACAAAATTAGTCACGCTCCCCACCACTTGAAGCGTCGCGATATTGAAGAGATCTTGGATGACTCGTTTTTACATACTTCGCATTTGATGGATTTACAAAAATTGAGCGGATCATCAACCTTAGTTTTGGGAATGTTGAGTGGTGACATGTTGTTGATGATTAGTATTGGTGACTCCAAGCTTTTCATCATTAGAGATGGCAAAATACTTCTTACAAACAAGGAGGAAACAAGCGATGGCTTTTGTCCTACACAAATTGGAACAAATACAATGTCGAAAATGCCTTCCGATTTTGCATGGATTGATCTGGTGAAATTGAAAGAAGGTGACTACATTGTCATGTGTTCGGATGGAATCACTGACAATTTATACGAAAGTGAAATTATAAACTATTTGGACGAGTTTATCAATGCTAAAAAGAATAATGTGAAGACAATTGCCAACAAGTTACTCATCAAGGCAAAGGAAGTTGCATTTGACGACTATGCTTACACTCCATACAATGAAAAAGTTAATCAAACATTGAATAAAGATTCATCAAGAAAGCCACATAGTATTGGAGGAAAAGTTGACGACATGTCGATAGTTGTTTCCAAAGTTGTCAAGAACAATAAACAAAAGTGAGCACAAGAATCAACGTGATTGAATATTTGGGTTTTTAGGATTTAGGATTTAGGATTTATGATTTAGGTTTGGGGATTTTTGCTAGAATCACATTTTAATTACATTTCTATCAACTCTATACTGTAGATATCTCGGTAAAGTATTGACGAAGAATAGTTGATAGCATTTCTGGTAACTCATTGATATCCTTAACAATGACATAAAACTCAAATGGGAAACTATCAAGATACTTGTCCACCTTCAAAACCAATTCACCAGTATTTTCATCAGTCTCGTATCTCACCTGTTGCATATCCATAATTGATTCCTTCAGATTGATTCCATCAATAACAACAAACACCATCATAATCTTTTCATCTCTTGCCTTTCTCACCATGCGCATAATATTCTCATGACTTTCACAAACACCATCACTGATTATGATTTGCAACTGCCACAAATCAGCTTTGTTTTCAAACTTCTCATCCTCAAATATCTTCAACGATTCATTACACAATGCCTTGATATCTGTTCGTGATTGTTGAAAATCAAACCACTGGAAGATTCTGGCACCAGTTTCGTTATTGGCATTAAATGGCTTATCAAATGGATGCACAATTTTCACATCTTCTCCGAATCGAACAATGGACAATCCACCGCTTTCCAACTGACTCAATGCCTTGGATACCAAAGCAATACTGTTGAGTGCCAATTTTGATGAGTTACTTTCAGTCATTGATTTGGAATCGTCAACAGCAATCATGATTTGATACTCACGCTTGGAAGGCTTGGTTCTTCTCAACCAAATCTTGTCCTTTTTGAAATCAGATGCAATATAAGGAATAATTCGTTTCATATTCAATCTTTTACCAGTCTTGTAGTCACCACGTAACTTGGTACTCAAGGTGGGTTCCAAAATCAACCTCAATTGCTCACAAAGGCCAGAAGCCAACTCTTGTGTTGCCAATTCACTCTCTTTCCACAACTTCCGTGCCTCTTCTAACGACAATGGAGGTTCATCATCAGTAATGGCGTATTTTTCAATCATTTCTTCAATTTCTTCTTCCTCTTCATCGTCATCATCGAATTCCATAGTTGGCTTGCTTATCAGTTGATCCTTCTCATCAATGATTGCTGCATCTTCAACCGCCATTTGTGCAGCAGCACCATTATCGTCACCACCCTCTTCCACTTCTTCATTGTCATCCATCTCAGGTGCTTCAGGATTGTTTGCATCTTCAGCTTCTTTACTAGGCGCTTCCTCCTTTTCTTCATCATCAATTGCCATATCCTCATCAATGGAGTGAATTTGGTCTTTGTTGGCAGCTCCAAGTGCCTGCAAGTCATCAGCATTTGTGTCTGGATTGTGTTGAAACTCATTCATGTTTTGATTCGCAGATTGCTCATTCGTCTCATCATTGTCTTCTTCAGCTTCAAGAATGTCTTGCCTTCGACGATGAAATTCTTTTAAGGAATCACCAATTTGTTTAAGAGACTCGTTGGCTTTGTCATGTACTTCATCTTCAATTGTCATTTCATTCTTTTCTTCTGCTGCTGAATTGTCGTTCCCAGCAAGGGTTTCACCTTGTTCATCATTGTTGGGTTCGTTTTCTGCTCCATCTCCGGATTTGCCTGCTTGCTGTTCTGTTGCTGCATCCATATCCACATCCTCTTCATTGTCCATGTCAGCCGACCCATCAGCACCGTCTATCGCGTTTGAGTCTTCATTGGGTTCTTTGCCACTTTCATTTTTATCTTCACTCTTGTCGCGCTCTTGATCTTCCATTTCTTCATCAATCTTGTCCTCAAGTTCAGCACCAGCTTCTTCTTCAACCTCGTTCTCGTTCTCCTCGCTCTCAGAGCGTTGGTTGTCTTCTTCATCATCCTCTGGGTTCTCTGCAGTTTCATTTTCTTCGTCAACTTCGTCCTTGCTTACATCCTCTTCAACTTGCATTTCATCCTTGATTTGTGTATCTTCATTCAACTCATCATCACGCTCATCTTCCAATTCATCCTCACTTTCTTCTTGAGCCTCGTCATCATCACCATCAATATTGATATCATCAGGGAGCTCCAATGCTTCCGATTCCGGTACGTTATCCTCCAATTGATCACCTTCTTGGTTGTCAACTTTATCCTCCTGTTCGCCGACATCTTCATCCTCCTCCTGTTCGCCTTCATCATCCTCTTTAGCCTCACCATCATCTTTTGGCTTTTGGTCCTCCTTAGCCTCTCCTTGTTCATCATCCTCTCTTGCTTCCATTTCATTGTCATTGCTTGAGTTTTCTGGCATCTTATCCGATTCCTTCTCTTTCTCATCCTTGGCCTCCTCGTCCCACATTTTTTCATCAACATTATTTGGATCTAACTCATCCAAGTCATCGACTTCTTCATCAAGATCTTCTTCATCTTCATCATCACCTTCACCTTCATCATCTTTATCCTGATCAGACAAATCCTCTAGTTCACCAGCCATATCGCCTTCCATCTCCACCGCATCATCCTTCTCGTCTTGCTCCTCATCATTCTTTTGTTCATCGTTGGGATTTTGTGCATTTTCAGTTAAATCATCATCTTCTTCGACATCATCATTGTTATTCTGAGCACCTTCACCATCACCCAACCCAGTTCCATCATGCAAGTTGTTGTCATCCTTTTGTTCTTGTGGCGACTCTGGGGAACAGAATCCCTTGGTGGCTAACGAGTAAAGTAATGTTGAAAAAATGAATGTAGCTTTGGACAAGTTTTTGTAGTTGGTCCTAGCTTTATCAAACACAATTGAGCACAATTGAAAATAGTTTTCAACCAATGGGAAGGTGAATGCAGCCAACGAAGCAATCAATGGAGATTGATCAACGGTCATGGTACACATTTCAATGCATCTCTTTAATTTTGCCGTAATCGCCTTGATATGCGTGAGTTTTATATATTCAGACACTTTCGCCTGCGCTTGAACTAACCAACCCTTTTCGTCAGTTTCTACCACTGTCTTGCAACATTCGGTAATCTTCTGAACAGCAACAAGGATCATTGACGACAATTTTCTAAACTCCACTTCACAATCCTCGATTGATGATGTACCGGGTGTATCGCTGCCAATCTCAGAGAGTGTGACATTTCCATTCAACCAATTCAAGACAATATCAGCAACGAATTGTACATTTGAGTTCTCTCTTTTCCATACGTCCAACGCATTTCTCAAACGAAGTTCAAATTCATCATACTCTTGCAAGGTTTTTTCATTCGACGTACTGTAGACCAATGACTCTGACTCAAAGGGCGGATACGTCTCCAATTCTCTCTTTAATTCTTCAAAAGTGCTAGTGGCAATGGTGGAGGTGAATTTGCCAATAGCATTACAGGTGCTGATGGCATAATCCAACAATTTGGGCAACCACTTTCTCCTAATTCTAACATTTTTGACAGAACTTTTGTAGAATTCAGTTGAGATTAGTTTCTCATTATCCATCTTAGCTAAAGTCAACATATCACCTGAATACCCCTGCAACATTTGATATTCATCATTGAATTTGGCAAGTGGTGAACGTTTAACAATCAACCAATGTATTAAATTCTCAGCTGCTGATAATCCCTTTTCGAGGTCTGCCACCGCAACATCCTCACACGGAGAGCCAACAGCAGCTCTTAATCGGGGCAACAAATCCAAGATTCTGAAATAAATGCTGTCGCATCCTTCCAAAAACCCACCAAAGATACTTGAGTTTGCAATAATCAAGTTCACTGATTTCTGGGTTGCAAGTATATCCGCTCTCATACTTGTCTTCAAGCCAGACTGTCTAACTTCACGAATAGTATCACTAAGCAACTTCAGCTTTTGCGTCTTCAATGCTGCAACCGACTTCTTGTTTCCCTCATTCAACACCCTTGGCGTCTCACTTCGAAGTGTATCAGCAGCGCGAGCCGTTTCCTCAGCGAAATCCAACAACTGGGGCAATTCTTCACTTTTAACGCCATCCAAATAGACTTTGAAGTTCTTTTTGATTATGGAGATGTCTTGCAATCTCAGTGGTCTTTGGTTCCATGTGGTGATGGAGGAAAGCATGCCATAGTTGCCTTCAAAGTTGAATGGTACAATTACCGGAAGTTTCAATTTCTCAATGTCTTTCATAGGCTGCGATAAGCCTTGTTCTATTATTGGTTGAACTGGGGTGCTCAACACATCACGATACTTCCGCACAATCTTGTATAGACTATTGTGAGACTTTTTGGCACTTTGCTTCAAAGCATCAATATTGACATCCTTCCAACTTGCCAAGAGAATAACCTCATCAATATCTTTTTGCAATTTTGCTCTCTTTGCTGTCATGTCCTCCTCTATGATTGGTTCGAATTGAGAGTAGAATTTTATGAAATTGTCCAACGCCATGACAATTGGATGTGACTTGTGTATTTGTGATCCATGATTCTTGAATGCTTTCAATAAATTCAACCTAAAAGTGAATTCTCCGTAGGAAACTTTGCTCATGAAAACATTTAAAGCTGACAAAATATTCACCACTTGGTCTTCATCCTCTCTATTGTCCAAAATTGGAATCATAATAACTTCAAGTAGATGGAACCACCATAATCCAATCTTTTCACCACACGATGCCTCTTCATGATCAAACAAACTCTTCCAAGTTGACAACTCCAACTTTCTCCATGAAACCATCAATTCAGTCAATTGCATGTATTTAGTTGCTAGTGAAGTTTGGCTTGATGAGTACTTTTGCCATTCTGCAATGTAGGTGTAAATCTGTTCCAACTTCAGCAAAAATCTACCCAAGGGTAAACCTATTGGGAATGCCATGAACTCGGTAGTGGCAAAGGCAATGTTTCTTAAAGTAGCATGTTCTGGCCATTGCTCAAGCATCTTTTTGGTGAACGAGTGTACACTTGCAATGATCTTTACTGCCTTCCGTACTTCACTTGGGTTGCAATCTTTATAAAAGTGGAAGCATTGGTTTGCCTGAGACAAATTTTCGCTAACGGAATAGGCTGAACTTATAATTGTCGATAAAGAAGACGAATTATTCGTTTCTGTTTTCAAACTTGATGTCGTCAATTTATCAAACAATGCGCAACCTCTCTTCAGCAAAGCATCAGCTCCAAGTTGCACACCATACACGTAGTTGTTAATATAAGAAACAGCAATATCACGGTGAATTTCCTCAAAACCTTCATTTTTGCTCATACCAGTGTCCTTCAAATCTACCACTTCATCAAAATCAGGAAACAATTTTTGAAAGTCATCCTCAACATGATCCTCCTCATCTTTGTATTTGAACATGCTTTCCTTTTGTGCTTCCATTTGATCCTCTCGCATCTTGCGAAGTGACCATCTATAATACAAAATCTTGATGGCTTTTCCAACAATATCGATTTCGTGAATTTCTCCTTCTTCAAAGCCAAGAGTCATGAAAAATGACATAATTTCATCAGCCCTTGGATCATCCACTGTCAACGTCTTTGTAAATTCCTGTGCATTGGCAAACTCAGATTCCACTCTTGTAGGCGTCAAAATTTCAACGGTGTTTATCAACCAATCTTTAGAAAATTTCTCCTGTAAGCGTTTCTCATTCTCAAACATAACCAATTCGAAACCAAATTGCAACGCATATATGTACCCAAGTAGTATATCATTCAAGTCGGAGTATTCAAGAAAATTCAGTTTTATTCGTTGTGCAAACTTGGAAAGATTGTTCTGAAGGAGGTTTAACTTCCCCTTTGCCGAGGGAGAGCCTTGCTCAATGTCACTCAACAATTTGCAAATGGTCTCGAAATTGAGACTCGAATCCAACATGGCATTCCATTCGTCAATCAAACCATCAATTGAATCTGTTCCTCGGTACACTTTTGGAGTTTCAGGCTCAGTTGAATCCGTTAGATCCTTCAATGTCGACTCCAAATATATTGGTTCATCTCCGCTCATAACCTCTCTCGAATGTTTCCAAGAATCTCGAAGACCAGCGAGATGCGACATGCGAGCTGAATAAACCTTCGAAATGACATACTCTCTAATGGCTGGGTCTTTCGGCACATTAGGCAAATACAACTGTATGAGTCCAACTGCAAACAAGATCCACGCTTTTCCCAAATCGGTTAAGCAATTCAGTTTGAGCAAGGTAAACACTGGAACTAAAAATTGCTTAAACACATGTGCAACCTTGGAATCCAACTTGGTAAGTTCTTTGACTTCATTTTCTCCCCACATTAACCCATGCGACAACCATGTATGCTTCAACCACGCTCTCAATTTACCGGTAAAAACAACTCTCTGATCTGACAATAAGTGATTTGATGTTTCAATCAACGATCCGATTAGGAGCTTCAAATCTTGTATTGTTTCATCAACGTGACTAGCTGCTGTCGCGTGTAAATTAGTTATCTTTCCTAATGTAGTGGCAAGCAAATTGCTTGAAAACAATGCTGAAATTCTTGATTCAACTGGTTCGCTCTTGCTCCACAAATCTTCAAGTATGGAGGGAAAAGGACATATACTTTCACCTAGCACAATTGATTTCAACGACCTTTCTGAAAACATGTACAATTCCTTCAATTTTTGGTTATCACCCATACTTTCTGAAAAGTCACATACGTAGGTGAATTCCAATTCAAAGTTGTTCTGACGATGTATATCAAGGGAGACGTTAGATTTAAGGTCATTCAATGTTGCGCACACTTTTGACAAGACCAAATTCAAATCATCCTCTTTGTACTCATTCAGGACAATCGCAGTGTATAATTGCGAGAAAGCCACGACGAGATCTTGTATAATAGTGGAGGCACTAATGGACTGCCTTTTGGACACATAATCGAGATCATTCATAACTCCGTAAACAGTTTTCAAATACTCCCACCCTTTCAAAGACAGTGGGTATTTTCCTCTAAAATTTTCCCAAATCAAATCCATTGACAATCCAGATGACAACTCCAATCCAGTATCAAGCAAAGCCATTGAGGATTCTAGGACGCCACCATCCGCATGCACTACATCGGAATTACTTTCGCACCATCTTTTAAGTAGTTCTTGATAAACTCTGATTTTCGATTCATTTTGTTCCTTAGATGTTTCAAGTAAGGCTTTGGATATAACAAGCAAATCAAAAACAGAATTGAACACGCTCAAGGAAAACATATGAGAGTGATCGCTTGAGAGAACCTGTACGACAAAAGCAAACAATCCTTGAAGGAGTTGATACACCCCAAGTCTTGGTTTGAATTTCAAGTCTCTTCCACGATAAACTGCCGCCGACCTTTCAAGATATGTTAGCTCACCTATCTTCTTGTTCATGGCATCCAATTCAACACTTTTCAACAGCGAACCAATCTTTCTAACCTCATTCACTGCTTCAAACAACATCGTCGACTCACTAGATGCAAGAAGTGCATGACCAGGGACAAGCGATGATATTAATGTAATGTTGATCAATGGATGAATTGCTTGATGGACACCAAAACCCATTTCTCCACCCAAAATGTCGCCTGCGATTTTGCTTGCAGATTCGTACAAGTCAAAAGCGGCCCCTTCCAACCCAAACTGGTGGAAAAGTGCAAAGTTGTCAAGTACCAGTTGTGCAACTTTCTTGCTGTTTACACTAAACTCAGGTGATATGCAAACAAAATCCTTCCATTTTTGAAGCAAACCTAATGAGGAAAAAGGGATAATACTCCAGATTGAGGTAATATACGATGCCCCATTTTGTAGGGTATCTTCGACAAGGCTGAAATTGCCCATCTCTGTACACCTGTCGTATCCATAAATGGCTGTTGGCACGTGATTATCAGACAGAAGCTCATCTATATCATCAATACCTAACACCTTTCGATCAAACAAAGTGGCACGTGCTCCGAGCGCATCCATATAAACTTCCACACCTCTATTTCTCATGGCTCTCGAAAGTTCTCCATACTTGGGATCCACCGTCAAGAATAGTTTAAAGTTAGGATGAGGCTTGATCACTCTTGGCTCACCATTTGCAAGGGTACATTCATTCACGATCAATGTCCCATTAGTTTCTAATAATGAATTCAATCTATCCAAGACGGATGGGGGGCACAAATTGGCATTATCAAGCACCAACCATCGTCCTTCCTCCACCGCTTGCACAAGTAGACCATCGAACCACTCAAACTTTAATGAGCTTGGTTGTGAAAGTTTCGAAAGCAATGATTCTGAAGTGGAAAGAATATCTGACTCGAAAAGCCCGGAAATGGTAAGCAAGAGTTTATGAAAGTGGCTGTAGTTATCTGTGGTGACAGTACCGGACGAGATTCTATCAATAACATTCAAAGCTTGGGAAATGTCCAAAGTATCTGACCTTACTTTTGAGACCACAAGTTCACTTAAAACGACATAAAGGTGATTCAAAAATTTGTGAAGTGCTCTTGACAAGTCCGATTGTTCATATCCACCAAGAATATCCATAGAGTCCACATCACTATTCATGGAAAATTCGTCCAATTTGGCTCCTAAAATATTAGCCAAGTAACGGATCAAACACGTCTTTCCGGAACTAGTGGGCCCAGTCAATATCATCGGCATATTGTACGTGACACAACGCAATGCTGTTTCCATGATACCAAAATTGCACTGCAAGGGCAAAAGATTATCACCATTGTTGTACTGCATCAAATTGTTTCTTGTCACCAAAGCTGAGCCTGCTTGAATAAAAGACGGAGCTTTATTGAAATAATTGTCTCTCTTTGCAAATGAGCCAAATGACCTTACAAATAGCTGTTCAGCCCGAGTGCGGTCTCCAAAATTTCTAAATCTTTGGCAAATAATCATATTAATAAAGTCATCAATTTGTGTGTCAACTTGCAAATTCTTTGCCGTATATAATCCCAACCATCTCAAAGAGTCACGTAGGTTAAACTCCCATGGACTTCCAGAGTGACCCCATAGTTTCTTCACAACCACTTCATCTTCAATAGAAGACATAAACTCAATCAATTTTAACGACAGAGCGGAATCCACCAGTGGATAAACATGCAGTAAAATGAAATTGAGATCCTCAGCTTTCAAAGTATCCACATAAACGACGCTGAATCTATTCACAAATGACTTGGGTAATCCCTTTCTGCCACCACCTTGATACTGAGGATTTTGTGCTGCGAAGATTTTGAAATCGGGATGCTTTTTAAAAGATTTGCCCAATTCTGGAATATAAGCTTCACCTCTGTGATCCAAACAAGCGTTTAAACCTTCAAGAACGGATTGTGAGGCCAAGTTCATTTCGTCAAGTAAAATCCATTCGCCTCGTTGCATGGCACGTAAAAATGGCGCGTCCCTCCAAGCAAACTCTCCAGCTTTACCATTTTCTGCAGGTGCATCGGACCCAAACAAATCAACCAAGTCTGTTTGCTCTGATAGATTGATACGAATGAGGGTGTTTCCAGTTGCACTCGCCATTGCCGTAATCAAACTGGTTTTACCAACTCCAGGACTACCTTCCAACAAGATCGGTTTATTAACTTGCATAGCTCTGGTAACCTTCATGGCATTTGTTGCTGTAGTTGGTGCATCTAAACTGAAGGAATGGAACTTTTCATTGGTGATCACTCTGGGGATATGAAACAACCCTGCATTGAACGAATCTTGAGTCACCGTAACTTCGATTTTCTGAGTGATGAACCCAGAAAGCTCAACATTTAAAAACTTTGACAACACTTCAACACACTTTTGCTTCATTATGTCAAGAGTTTCAGAATTTTCAGCCAAGTAGGCGGTGTTGTTGGTTCCCAATGCATCAATGAATACCATAGCCGCACCGTTCAATAACGCGGCCGGGGCGCCCAAATACCCGTGTGATGTATTAATAAAGTCAACCCATGCCAAGATATCTCTAATGGAAATGACACCACTCACTGTGCTTCCACCTCCAAATTCCATGGCATACCACTCGGAAAATTTCACAATTGCATTTGCAAGCTCTTTCACTTGAAGCCTAGATTGCACAATCTTGAAAACATCTTGAAAATCCTCCATGGATGGCACCCAAAGCTCAGTGAATCTATTCCTCAAAGCAGGTGACAACTCCTTCTTTCCGTAATCACCACCAGGATTCATAGTGGCAAAAAATTTGAAATCGTTAGCAGCAATCACGTGAGCATCATGTGACCCTTTTTCAGCAAGCAATAAACTTCGTTCGGGTTCAAGAACTGAATTCAACCTCTCCAATACGGAATCGTCAGCTAATGAAATTTCATCGAGAAGAAAATAATTACCAGTCTTCATCGCCGTGACCAACGGTCCATCATTCCATGCAAACAAAATCGAATTCAAGTTGATTTGCTCTTCGATGATTGCCGAACTTTCAACTTCGGAATTGCTTGTCTTTTCCTTGTAAGCTTGTATCAACTCTGCAAGCGTCCAGTTAGCCAAACCTTCTTCGTTGCCACTCTCGGTTAAAAAATTGACAAGATTTCTTCTTAAATCGTGCTGTATACTGCTCTTGTTTCTGACTGGCCTTTGACTTCCTAGTAAATCACCAGTTTCAGTGTTTTGGTGGGCATTGACCACAATCAATTCCTTGGAGAAGTAGTTGGCAATTATTTGACAGATGGTGGTCTTACCGCAACCAGTCTCTCCAACCAATAGCAACGGTTCATTATACTTGACCGAGGCGAGAACCAATATCGCTAAACGGCGCATGGCTCTGGTCCAAACGACACCTGTTTCTTGACCAGTCAAACTCTCGAGGTCAAAGTTATCATAATAAGCTTCCATGTCCAATTTGACTTTCATAACTTTCTCTATGGCTTCTTTGACAACTTTCTTCTCCTCATGCTTACGGACCCGCTCTGCCAAAAGCATGTAACCATTTATGGCCAACTCTTCGTACCCAACAGCTTCCCTTTGTGCCCAACGAAACAAATCCCTCAACGTTGCAAATGAGTTTTTTTGCTCAAACAATCTAGTGGATTGACGTTGTACGGTTAATTGCTTGTAAACGTCGACAATTCTTTTGGCATAGGTTGGAGCAATCTGGCACCTCTGTTGCAAGATAATCTCCAATTCGTCTTGTGGAATGTCGTCAAAATGAAGTTCCAAAAATCTATTACGAAATGCACGCGAAAGGACTTTTCTACCACCATACAAACCTGGTGGGTTTTGCGTAGCAAATAGCATAAAATCTGGATGTGGTTTTACAACCTCCTGGGTTTCCGGAATAAATAACTCACGGTTGTCATCTAGCAATCTATTCAAAGCTTCCAACACATCAGTTGGAGCGAGATTCAACTCATCCAAAACTATCCAATAACCTCTGCGCAAAGCTTCGACCAAGATACCCTCCTGGAAAACCAATTGTCCTTTAGAGTTACTGACATAAGTACCCAAATACTCTTGAAGATCAGTATGCTCGTGGTTGTTGATACGAACAAATTTGTGACCGGTTATGTTTGCCAAGTAATTAATCATTGAAGTTTTACCAGCGGATGTAGGACCTTGAATCAACACCGGAAATCTTCGACCAGCGGTAGCCCTTACCAAGTTCATTAAGTTCTTTTCCACAAATGGAGTTATGATGTAGTTGGGTTGAGGGACAACGTCATTGGGACCGTGTTTCATCCAGTAGTGTTTGAATTGGACAAAGCTCCCCGCATCATGAGGGGGCGGAGGTGGAATTTGACTCATGACGGAATTCATATTCTTCAATTTCCCAACTGTGTAATTAACGATTTCTGGTTTGAGTAGGTTTTCTGAATCAGCATCCAATAATGTCAAAAACGTCATGCAGAAACCTTCATACAAGGACCTTCTGAGACCATAAATTGGAACTATATCAGTAACATAAACCAAAGTTCTCGTCAACGTACGAATACTAAAGTGCGGTCTTTGATTTGCACCATCAACAATCTTGTTCTGCTCAGACAAAGATTTCGCCTTCAAATATAGCTCTGCAATATCGTTGATCACTATATCATCTCCAACTGAGTACCGCCCGATGTACTTGTCGATAATCCTCAAAAGATCTTGGTAGTCTCTGTCAGGAGAATGAACATAAATTTCTGTAAACTTGGACCTAATGCTTACGGGAAGGTCTCTTTTTCCGACATCAGTGGAAGGGTTCATACACCCAAAAAGTCTGAAATCAGGATGAACTTTTATAGGATCCGTATCACCTCTTTCTGACAATAAAATGGATCTCTGCTCCGAGGAATCGTTCAATAAATCAGCAATACTCTCCAAAGTGTCTGAGCTTGCCAAATTGATCTCATCAAGCAAGAGCCAGTCGCCATTCTTGATTGCTTTCACCAAAGAACCTTCAACAAAGTTGAACACAAATGAATGATCAGTTGTCGATGCAGTGACTTCGAAATCCTTCAACATCTGGTTGAAGATAGTCCATTTTTGCAAAAGAAAATCTGGATCCACTGCCTTAAATTTTCTCTTTTTTCTTGGAGCACCATCAATATCTTCTTGGGGTTCCTTCTTAGAAAGCACATCTACAGCCAGTTTATATGCTTCTGTCCACAATTTCAACACATTTCTCCACTGCCCACTATTGAAACACCGCAACAAAACTTTGTTGAACCTTTCATTTTTCTTTTCTGAAAACGTTGCCAAAAACAAAGGCTCGAAATATTCTTGAACACCAACGGCAATGAGTTTGGTATTTACAGGCTTATAACCACCCAATAAATCACCAGATTCTGTTTGTTGAGAAACATTAATCACAGTTAATTTTTTGCCCAAGAGTTTTGCAACGTGCTGGACAATTGTGGTTTTACCAGTACCAGTTTCTCCCACGAGTAATATTGGCTCGGTCATGCTTAATCCAACACCGATCTGTTCCATTAAGTGAAGGGCGTGATTGGTTCTGGCAAAGGATGACGAGTCCGACTTTTTGCCACCAGATTTCAAAGTTGCCCTTCCTATTTTCACAACGTTTGTATCGGCTTGGAACAATGGCGTGTGTTTTGATACAAAATGGTTTATTCTCAGTTGTGGCACTTCAAAACTTTCCCCTATAAATTTGGTCAAGAATTCCAAAGCTTGGGGTTCAACAATTGCACTTCCAAAGCAAGACACGGCTTCTGCAAAGATGTTGTCATATACAGATGTCTCCAATGATTGATCGGGTTGTGTAACTCCCTCTAATATGAGCAATCTATTAACTCTGGCGCAAAATTTAATCAAATCTTTGGTAGAAATTATTCTTGGTAAACTTCCTTTGTTTAGCGAAACAAAAGCCTTTTGGTTGTAGAACCGCAAAACCTCGAAATAACAGTTCATAATTTGATCAATGAACTTTGCAAGAATTGGAAATTTGGCGCATAGGATTGTATTCAATTCTTCCGAAGAAGGGGTTTCCAAGTTGACAACTTTCCAAAATCTTGCCCCAATGAGATCTGGAACCACTCTATTCTTATCTTTCAGCCTTATAGTTGAGAACAATTGAAACCCATTCTTGGCTTTGATCACCTCACCACGAGATGGTATACTAAGCGTTCTCTTTTCCAACAACGTCAACAATATAGAAAGAATTTCTGTTGGTGCTTGATCAATATCCTCAATTAATACCCATTTTCCTTCCTGGACTGCGGAGGTCAACACACCCGTATTCCATTGGAAAGTTCCTGGTTTTTCACCCGAGGTGTAGGTACCAAGTAATAGCTTGGCGTCGGTTTGTTCTCCCAAATGGATCTTGACAATGGAGTCAGAACAATGCAAATCAGCAGCCAATTTGTTGATTAGAAAGGTTTTACCCGACCCAGAATCTCCCACGAGCATCACTGGCTGGTTTAGTTGGATGTCAACGGCCAAAGTCCTAAGGGCTTGGACAGATGTTTTGGTGGGAACAAAATCAGTTCGGTTTGTTTCAAAAGAAGCACCTTTTGCTAATCTCGGTACCAAGACTCCACATACTGAAACTAAAAGCGTTGACGACAACTCTGTTGGGGAAATAAAGATGGAGTCTGGTAACATATCATGTGGGAATTCCATATGTGGTAAGCTCTTGAAATTCGATATTCTTTTGGCTTCTGATAAGGTAAGAAATCGATAATTGAGTGACCCCGAACCATATTTGGAAACGAGCTCATCTCCATTCGCGTATTTCTCCAACATTTCATTCCTTGACAGTTCTGACGCCAGAAGATAAATGGTGAGAATTTCGACACACAAGTATTTGGCAACTTTGGATTGACTACTGGATTCGAGAATTTTGTATATTACTTCTGGATTGATGTACTGTTGGAATCTTTCTGAATTGAAGTGCATCGTGCGATAGTATGCTAGGAGTATTGCCTCTACTTCGAGTGCTTCTGCGGCATCGATTTTTAACCATGGGTTGAAGTTTTGTAAAAAATGCTCAAACAAGTTCAATATTTCCGGTGCAATGTCAAGTAATAATGAAAGTTTTGACAAGACGATACACCCATGGACATTATTGCTTTGAAAGCTTTTTGTATATTCTTTTTCAAAAATGGAGGTATTTTGAATCAATCGGGCAACAAGTTCTAAGAATATCGGCTTGTAACAATAGTATGCAAAGGGTGGATTCTTTAATACGTTTAATGACAAATGATTTAGATTTTCATTGACAGATAGTTCATTATTGAAATATAATGGCTCTTCCGGAAGATGATTCTCTGGATACAGTGAGCGATAAACTCTATTGGCATTCCGGACGGTGGCTAAACTTAGATAAATACTGTCACTCGTCATCACGAAATGCGAATACAAATAAATGATTGGAGTTGATGGATATAGAAACCTTGCGTTATCCAATGACCTTTTGAATATATAACAATTTGGTTAAATCTGTCCTGTTGTATATATGACGAATCTGCCTTTACTATTGTTTGACTGAAAAAGGATGAAGTTTTTCGATCTTCTGCGATGAGGATGAGCTGAAGAGGTAGCGCCAAAATAAAAGCTGTGAGAATCTCTCCATCAAAGGAGTGCATGCCAACAGCACTATCATCCCAGTCAGTTGTCTCTTGTTGTTATCGACTAAAAGAATTCAGTATCTCGTCTGAAACTAGGGAACTCTTTTGACCTGTTGTGGTTATTACAGAAGAATCATGATGGGAAAACCGCGCCGCAATTTATCTCAATAATTGTGTTTTAAGAAGCAAAGCAGAGTCGGGTGAATCTGAGATATATCGCAGTAAAGAAAAGTCGATGCACTTTGCAACAACTTCATCTTTGATTAATAACGGATCACTGTTTTAAAGACCAATGCGCTAAGGGGAATGATTTACAATTTCTGAGCCCCCAAAGATTCGCACTACCAAAAGTGCAAAGATAAGAACCACAGTTTTTCTAAACATACTGCAAAACACAACACTATTCCTCCTTTTCTACCATCACATCTACATCGCGCAATGTCACATAAGATCTACTTTGAGCCCAATCGGCTTGTAATTGAATTGATCCAGGATGACGCTTCTTATACCTACAAGGAAACACAAGTAGATAAACTGGATGCCACCACCACAGTCGTCAAATCACTCCCTAAAAGCTTGATAGAAAAAGGTGTGTACATCATTGACTCAATTAATTCAGGCATTGGCAGATCTGATGAAAGAAACCTCTACACTCGCATAATCAAGCCCTTGTTTGAATCGTTGTGCATAAAGCATCGCCATTTCAAAACGGAGAATGCTCGTTCAATCAGTGAGTTTGCCTCAAACTTTCAAGATGTGGACGCCACAGTCGTCTTCCTCAGTGGAGATACGTCAATTACTGAATTTATAAACGCATTAAATCCATCAGGTTCAGGCTCTATTTCTATAATTCCTATCCCTGTTGGAACTGGAAATAGTTTTGCTTTGTCCTTGGGGTTGACAGACCCGATTTCGTCTATTGTGCGGTTGCTTCAAACAGAAACAGTGTCTCCTTTGTATCTATACACAGCTGATGTCCCCAGTGGCACTCGGTATTTAGTGCAAGACGAATTTCAGGAGGAAGTCGTTTCCCCAACACATTTCATTGTTGTTTTCTCGTGGGCGTTTCATGCAAGTTTAGTTGCTGACAGTGACACCCCAGAATTACGCAAGTATGGAATCGAAAGATTTAAAATCGCTGCGCAGAATAATTTGAGTAGAGAACAAAAATACGAAGCTGACCTTTTAATCAATGACGAAGTTATTGGTGGTCCCTTTGCGTACTGGGTGCTAACTCCCTCTAAAAAATTTGAACCAACTTTTGATATTTCACCCGAGGGTGATATTTTTGATGACAATTTATACTTGATTGCTTTTCGCACCAAGCCAAACGATAACAGCTACATCATGGACATCATGAAACAAGTATACGATGGCGGTAACCACATAAATAACCCAGATGTGATTTATCGCGAAATCAATCCGAAGGACAGAGTACAATTGAAATTAAAGAACTCAGAGGACTTGCTCAAGAGAAGGTTTTGCGTAGATGGAAGTATTATTGCCCTTACTGATGCTGAAAAAAACAGTATCACAATTCAGGTAAAAGACAATACATTAGGTAAGTGGAAGTTGTTTATATTACATTAACTTTTTAGATATTATAATACAACGATATTATCTATAGCCATTTCTACCAGCAGAACCAGGTGGTGGATAGTACCCACCATGAGCTCCATTGTTTCCACCCCGTGGTTGGTATGTCGACGCTTGAGCAAACTGATTGTAAGCTGCACCTTGGCTTGGATATGTTTGTCTTTGCATATTGCCATAAACGTTATTATACAATTGTGGTTGGCCATAAACATTTTGGCCATAAACTGAGTGTCCGGAACGGTTTTGTACCCCGTATGGATTGGCACTACCCCCATTTGGTACTCTATCATTCTTATTCCCATCTTTCAAGTGTTGCAAGCTGGAACGATAGCCGCCTCTTCTCATAGAGTACATTTTGAAAACCTCCTTTCCTTGAGGTCCATTGTTGACGTAATTACTAGCTTGAAAGTTGTTATTGAATCCACGATTCGTACCACGCATATCATTTGACAGAAGTTGGTAAAGAACTTCGTTTCGATCAGCCGTGGATAAAGCCGGTACCGCGGGGATATATCCATTCAAAATCATGGACTTTCCCCATGCCTTTTCTGGAAAGTGATACTCCACCTGCAAATAGTCTTTGTTGTCAATATTTGGCATATTGCCTTCCTTCAAGGGAAACTTGAATGTACCACTTGGATCAAATGGTGGGAACTTTATAGCCAACCCCGACAAGCTACTTTTCGCAAATGGAAACTTGATAGAGTCCAACTCATCTTTATAAAAAGCTTCAGTAAACTTTTTATAGTTTTTATTTTCGTTTGATATGAATAGCTCGGCCTGTTTGTTTGTGTTTCTTTCCTTTTCGTACTCAGTCAACTCTTCATACTTTCCTTGAACAGCATCTAGCAATCTCTTCTCATCTATGAATGGCAATAATGGTATCCCCTGCCAGCTCATTTTCTTCCCATTCATATCAATTTCAAACTCTTCTGGGTAGAACTCAATAATTTCACTATCGGGATCTTTCATCAATGCGTGAAACACTTCTGGTAAAGCATGACTCGAAGCAGCAGGAAGAACTGACATCAATTGCTCATATGGTCTGAATGGCTCACCCAAGTCAAACTTGATACCATCAGGGAACAATTCGTCCAAGTTGGTCATATCAGATGCAAATGGAGCATAGTGGTACGGATAGAACCATGTCCAAGATGGACACCCTTGATAATAGTACAATGCCACCCATGATATTCCCTCAATATAGCTCTTGACTACATTACGTCTCACCTGTTCCACCTCTTCATCGGTTTTGCAATGAAACTTAACTTGGTAATAACGTTTTTGATATCCTGGTTCATGTAATCGAATATCATCAACAGGTTCATCATAAATATCAACATCAACTTGTCTTTTCTTGAAATTCACTTGCTGAGGCTCTTCCAGGTCAGTACCACCATTTGACGCAGGAGTGGACACAGCACTAGATTCACTCTCTATTGGGGTAATCTCATTAAGTTGTTTCTTTGAATCAATCAATTTCTTGAGTGCAGCAGCCGCATCGTTATTAGCCATACCTGCGAGTGCAATTGTATCCCTGTTTTGAACAATATCCTTATTCGACAATTGTGCGTGACCTTCCACTACATTCCCACTTGTGTCCATTAGTGGTAAATTCTTATCTGGAACAACAGGAGCTTTGTCTTTTCCCTTGGTGACTTGTGACATGTATACACTTTTCAATGCCTTATCTTGCTCCTCTGCAACCTTCCGCCTTTTACGGTTATCTTCCCTTCTTTTTTCCATCGCAAATCTGTTTCTGAAAATCTCATCTTCTTTGATAGCCAAATCACCCAAAAGAACCTCAACACTTTGCAAGTTCAACTTTCCATCACACGTCAAGTAATCACGCAACCGAGGAAGACATTTTTTCCAACAACCGACTAGAGTATCAATACCATTATCCCGCACATCCAAACTCGGTAAATGAGGCAAGAAATCGTTACCAGCAAAAAAACAAATAAAAACCCAATCGTCAATCGCCCTCTCCAAATCAAAGGGAAATGAAATTTGTGGATTGTACAATTCAATCGCCAAGTATTCTCTCAAAACGTTGACATGTAACCACAAGAACGGCTTCTTTTTATCTCTTTCTTCAATCAATGAAAGTTGATCCTTGGACATCCCCACATGGTCGGATACTGTCATGTGTCTTTGTTGATTGGCAAAAACATCCTCTCTCAATACCCTAAAATGTGGTTCATGAGTGGCCAAACCAAGGAAAATCAAATCTGCATCTAAACCATATATGCAGTGCTTGGTGTTTGGATTGTATTGAGGGTCAGATCGCTGCGAACGAATAAAGCTCATCAACTTATGCTCACCTTCTCCGGGTACTGTAGCATCACTAATAATAACTTGCAAATTGGCCCACCCAGGATCGGTGCTTAGTTTATATGCAACCCAATACCTCAAAGCCTCGGCTAGTCGATCCATGAAAGGAGTTCCTGGAGTAATAGCGTTTGAATCCCATTGCTTTTTACCCTTGATTGCATCGTTGATCATCTCTCCACGGGCTTCCTTCTCCCGTATTTCCTTATCAATAGCCATTTGCTTGAATTTGGCATCCTGAGCAGATCTAAACCTTCTTGCTCTCTGTTGATTCATTTTAGCTCTTGGTGCAACTCCATCGACTGCAATCATGAGAACTTTTCTAGGACGTGCCATCATTAGCACTCGATCTGTGTATGTAAAAATATCCAAAAACATCTCATCCTCAGTTTCTGGAGGTCTTTTATGCTCCGGGTGTGAACATGGATGAACAATACCATTCATATCTAAATACAAATTGTCAATCTCTCCATTTGGATTAGGATCTTCATATTTTGCTCCTCCTATTTCATGCTCGTCTTCCTCTATCACTGGGGATATAATCTTGGGGTATTTTTTGGAAAGCCATCTGAATAATGCTGGCACTCCCATTGTTGATACTGACTATTGCAAAGGGCTTGATATCAACTGATAAATAAATGTTTTCTGTTTCTCGTGGTCGGGTATATGCTCAATTTTCCTTTTTTTCAAAAGATGCGAGCTACCCATATTTTGTGATGAGATTAAGACACTAACTACGCCAGGAGTATAAGATGCTGTTGATGAATGCTACTTTTGGTATGAGTACGAATGATGTAAGTTTCAAGAGTGCTCTGCTGGAAAGCTTGGTTTCTGAGAAGGCTAGTTGTAGACATGCGCCTTTGGTAAGTTTACAATACACTAAAGCATTGTGGGTTCCATTTCACAGTTGCTACTACCCGTATCCACCATAGAAATCAGTCTATTACCATTATTAACTTTAGTACCCAGTGGATGCCGAGAGTTCGGTGTGAAGGGATCTGGTGCTGCTCAATTTGCAGTTCCATATTGATGGATCCTGCATAATAGTAGCAAACGCCACATTAAAATTATATTGTGGCAACTAGCGCCAAAAAGAATCCGACAATTTCACAAGTCTACAGTAGAAGGGGTACGTACTACTTATGGTGTTAGCGTCTTTAAGCTGTAGAGTGTAAACTATAAGCGTTGGCTGGTCTAATCTACGTAAACACCTAGAAAATCGAGTAACAGGATTTGTAAAGCACGAAATTTCCCATGACGTTGATAATTTTTTTCCCTTTTACATTTTCATCACAATTTTACAAAATCTCTTCTGCTGAATCCCATCACCAAAACCGGCATATCTCCATAAAACAATGGGTGTTATAGAAGTTGAAAGTGAGCAACAGTTCACAGAACTAACCAAATCCAATGATTCCAAATTAATCGCTCTATACTTCCACACTCCGTGGGCAGGTCCATGCAAAACCATGAACCAAGTGTACAAGACATTGGCTGATTCCAAAGCTCAAGATCCATCAATACTATTTCTTTCCATCAACGCTGACGACTTGTCAGAGATTAGTGAGTTGTTTGATGTTAGCGCAGTGCCATACTTTATCCTAATACGTAAACAAACCATATTGAAGGAGTTATCCGGTGCTGATCCAAAGGAATTCATTGCGGCATTGAATCAATTTTCAGGTTCCAGTGACTATTCACAATCTTCAAATGTGTCCAATACACAAGCAACAAACTCTAACTTGAACGGAACACAACCAACGGCAGATGAACCAGCAGAGGAGACAGAAGAAGCGTTGAATGAAAGATTGACCAAATTAACCACTGCGGCACCAATTATGTTGTTCATGAAAGGATCGCCATCAAGTCCTCAGTGTGGATTTTCAAGACAACTCGTGGCAATATTAAGAGAACATCAAGTTAGATTTGGGTTTTTCGATATCTTGAAAGATGATTCAGTGAGACAAGGGTTGAAAAAATTTAGCGATTGGCCCACTTTCCCACAATTGTACATCAATGGAGAATTTCAAGGAGGATTGGATATCATTAAAGAGAATCTAGAGGAAGACGACCAGTTCTTTGAAAATGCATTAAACGCTTAGAGAATGTATAGGTAATGTAAATTTTTGCTACAATTATAATTATAATTTTCCTTGAGAAATCAACAAGTCTATCTCTGCATCTGATCCAAACTCATCATCAGATGACTCTTCAAATGGACTCTCCTCAATCTCATCACTTAAAGCATCACTCTCAGTATCATCCCCACCATTATCACCTTGCCGGTTAACAGCAAAATCAATGTCATTCTGAAATTGGTCATAGTCGTGGTTGCATGAATAATCGTCATCAATAACAGGAGCATCATCATCGGCATAAATCTCATTTAGCTTACCCCCAAGTCGATTATAACGATATCGCGTTTTGTATTTTCGATTATATATTAGTGGCATGTAATACCCATCAATAAGATTCAAATTTTCAATTGAGCTTGAAGGTGATATGTACCGACGATACTCATTCAATCGAGTAGCGGTTTTCCGCATTGCTTTCAACACCTTGAAATGACGTGGGAACTTCATTTTCAATTTTGAAGTTGAAGATTTGGGACCAGCTTTACTTAAATAAATACGCGTTGATCGCACTCCAATTTCACCAAAGGGAGATAAGTCATTGACACTTAAATTATTGGTTATATGTTTTGCAATCGACAAATCAAAACTTGAATCTTGGTATATATGATAGTTTTCCAATAACCCCAAATTCAACAAACTCAAATTCTTCTCCGGCAACGTTTCCAACACTTGAGAAACAGTCTTCAGATTGATTGTTTCGACATCCCCATCAAAATCTTTACTTGAGTAGATCACTTTTCCAATTGCATGGAAAATTCCAATAGCGTTCTCTCGGTTGTAATCAACCCCAGACTTGTAAAATTTCACCCACATTTCCAAATTCAAAATGATTGATCTTATATCTCCCACTTTGAATAGCTCTTGAAGGAATGCATCGAATTTTGTATCACTTAGTAGCTTGGTTAAACCTTCGTTTTTCAAAATTGAATACACCGTCTTCTTTAAAAATCTCGTTGCTAGCGGATTAAATCGGATCGTCTCCACTTCCGGATAACTCAACAATTCACGACTCAATAACGTATCCCCGGTCATGTTATTCTCTAGTCCATACGAAACCTGTGCTCTATCCGATTCATATTCAAACTCGCTAATGCAAATCACCAATGGCGGTAATTCAATTCCAGCAAAAATCCATTGCCTAATAGCGTCTCTAAATTCTCTCAATGTGTCCTCATGATACACATTAGGAAGCTCCTCAATCAAAACTACCGACTGTGTCTTGTACTTGCAACTTTGTAAAAAACGACCAATGTTTTCTGATTCATCATACTCAATCAAACTATCATTAAACACGTCCAGATTGGTTATTTCCTTAGCAAGCAATTTAATTGTTGTTGATTTGCTCGATCCGCATGGCCCTACAAGGACCAACACTTTGGTCATCAGTTGATGTGTCTTCATTCTATGCAATGCATCCTTCACTTGCTTTAATTTGGTGGGGTTGATGCAAATCTCTGAGGTAGTTTGTGGCGCGTACTTGATGATCCATGGCGTGTTGTGCCGTAGTTGAGGCTTTTTAGGACTGGGGGAAACCAGAAACACGTCCCGATCTTCATCATCTGTCGATGAGTCAACTTCTTCAAATGAGGTTTCAGTGGCCTTACATTTGAGTCTTTTCTTGGGTGGCATAAAAGAGAATGATTTGATTGCTTGCGTATGAAGATTGATCTGATGACTAGTGGTGGATCTAGTAATTTAATTTTTTTTTCTGCTTTTCAACTGTTGTTTATAGTTACACAAAGACTGAGGAATTCTTCTTTAGCGAGTTGTACCTTTGCCACAACTGGTCAACATTGATATTGACTGCGTCAGGGATACAATGGCAGCAATCAGTCTTTTTAGCAATATCAAACCAAGAGTCAAGTGCAAAATTGACGGACTCAGCGAGGTTATAACCATAGTTGAACCCTGCATGGTACCCATAAGGATATGTCAAGATAAATTCACCCTCTCGATGTATGGTGTGATTCACAGTAATGCCCTTTTTTTCCAAAAATTGTGGCAGTGCATGGAAAGTTTTGTGACGTAGGAATTGGGGACAATTCTTGTACTCCTCCGTGAACAAATCCTTCATTACATTGAAAAATTTCTCATGTTGTGATTGTGGAATCAGATACCACTGTTTAGGAGCACCAAAATGAATATAGTTGATCAGGTACAAGTCCTGGTCTTCAAGGTGCCAAGCAAAAGTGGCTTTCCAAACTCCAGCATACAAATACGCATTATTGACGCCAGGAAGTCGCTCCTCCATCAAGTCCAAAACATTTGGCAATTTTGCCACGTTCCACACATTGTCATCATCTGAAAACAAAGATCCTTCGGAATCAGCTCCATATATAGGCTCGGAATAGGTTAAAGATTTCCAATACGATCGTTCCAACTCTTGACAATGATCATCACTGAACTCGGCAGTATTCAATTTGCTGCTTGAATCTTTTTCGTTTTCATCATGCAGTCTCTTGCGTCTCTTTGGAGGTTCCTGTTTCTTTGACAACTCTTTCCATTGCTCTAACGTATACTTTCTGGCTCTCTCAATATTCTGAATTTGAAAAACTCCATGATGATTACTATTTATCTGCTGAACAATTGGATTTTTGATAACCACTTTGGACAAGTTCTCCTCAGAATAGCAATGAGAGATTGATTCTTTCCATTCCTGTGGAGGAATCACACGAACGATCCCTGCCTCCAAGCCATATTTATTTATCGATTTATTGAATTTGTAAAAATCTTTAAATTGTTCCATCGTTGGTTTGAAAACGGGAACCCCATTGTCAAAATGATCTGGTTTGATATCTAATAGTTGTGACTCTTTATGTGACCTCGTCTGCATTGTTTCGTTGCTACTTCTGTCGATGTATAAAGCGTGATTGTTAATTAAAAACAACCGGATACGGAATTAATTCTTTTCTTGCCTGTTTTGTGGAAAGAACGAAAAAAAAAAAAAAAAAAAAAAAAAAAAAAAAAAAAAAAAAAAAAAAACTTGAGGAAAGGGCGATTCGCTTGAAGAAGATCAGCCAGTACCTTTAATCCCAACAATGTCATCATCATCTTCTAGAAAAGATCCGCTAAGCCACGAGAGGATATCCAAATCAAGAGCATTCAGCGCATCGATTCTCACATTCGTTACTGTTGTCATTTTCCTAGAATTAGGGTATCATCTAATTTGGAGTGCCAAAGTAATGATAAATCAACCTTATGGTAACTTTTTCAACAACTTGGTCTACGGTCCGGGCTCGTTTTTAGCCAATGTTGGACTAAGCACAAAGTTATTGAGGTATCTAAACAAGGTGTTGGTTGAAGATAAATTGGAAGCGGATTACAAAAAGTACATATAAGAGGGAAGAATCATCTACCGTGCAGCACCTTATTTGGTTAGACTCGTTACTTTTTACATTTCAGCATGTTAAAAAGCTTTGCTTAATCATCAAACATAAATAAATATAGAAAATGCACAAACACGGGCTCTCACGTTTCACTTTTTCCTCTCCTTGTCAGACTTGTCTAATACCATACCTTCTTCAAGCTCTGATATCGCGCCAAGTTCTGTCCGATCAATCTGCAACTTCCGGTGAAACTTTTCCGGACCCAATATCAAGATAATAACCATGTATGCAAAAACGGCGCCACAAAAGATACACATGACCTTCCCATAATCGTAAACACCGGGAGCAGCACCAGGAATTGGGTACTTTTCACCAAGCCGAGCTTGAATAGTAGCACTTCCAGCACTAATCAAATTACCAATTTGGTATGCCAATCCAACCAACAATGTTCTATGTGCCTTGTTGAACAATTCCAAAGCATAAGCAAATGAAACACCCCATGAAGCAATCATTAATGCAATCAACACAATATAAGCTCCCCAATTCTTGTCGGCGTCAAAAAAAGATGGGTAAACAAACGCTCCACATCCAATTGTAGCAATAATGGCTGACAACCGTCTTCCGAAAACTTCGGAAATGTTTCCCACACATGCGCCACCAATAAGTCCACCAAAATTAGACAAGGCAACAATCATGGTTCTCTTACTGATATCAACACCAAATTGGTTTGACAACATTGTAACGTATAAATCTTGAGTTCCATGGGCCATGAAATTCCAACCAGCGTATGCAAGACAGAGATATGTCAACAATAACCATTCCGTCTTTACAGTTTGCACAATGGTAGTATTGAAATACTTTTGTAAACCGGTTTTCTGGTTCTGCTGCTTAAATCTCCTCTTCTTTTCTTGCATCTCCAAAAACTCATATGATTCTGGAACCAATAACCTCCAAACGATCAAGAGAACACTCAAACCACCACTGAACCAAAATAAGCTTCTCCATCCTTCACCGTCTTTGTAAGTTGGTTCAAAAACCTTGTACCACACCACAGCCATAATGTATCCCACACAATAAGCTGGTGAAAATGTACCCGACAAAATACTTCTTGCCCGCAATGGCAAACTCTCCATGGCAGTAACCATACATACAGGTAACATACTTCCCATCAAGATACCAAACACAGCACGAACTCCTAGGAATTGTCGATAAGTTTGAACAAACCCAGTACCAATCTCAACAAATATAAACAATATCCAAAGTCCGATATAACATTTCTTTCTTCCAAACCGATCTGAAAGCAACCCAAATAAAAGAGCTCCCACAGCCCTAAGCATCAAAACCAACGTCAACCCCCAAGTAATATCAGCCACACTCGAGTTCAAACTAAGTGCGATTTCTGGCAAGGCAACAGAAACACAAAAGAAATCCATGGCATCCAACACCCAACCAAACCAACCCAACCCATAATAGTTCCACTCTCTCAATGTCATTTCCCTCAACCCAGGAATAGGGTTTATGAGTTGGTACCATCTTTTGTCCAGGTGGTAAACTGGTAAATCCAATAAAGTTATAAATCTTGTCGCCAAATAATGCTTGATGACAGGAAGAGTCAATATAGGTTTTTCATTGAAAATATCATTCACAGAAGTTTGTTCTTGATCGGAGGAGTAGTCCTCTGAGATGTGCTCAGTTTCAAAATTCTGGTTAGCTGCAGCTGATGACATTGGGGGGGGGGGGGGAAACTGATGATTGGAGACGTTCCAAAACCGGAATCAAGATGCATGGAATGTATCGCATATATATCTTCTGAAACAAAGCTGATTCAGGCAAAGATCGAGAAGCTCACGCCGAACTGTCTCCGCCCCCGAAACGAGATTCCCTTTGTTATTATTCCCTGTTGCTGAACCCCATGCGGGGGTGTACAGAATCTCAAAGTTTAAAACTTTAATCGCGAACCATGGCTTCCTCATAACCATTATCATCCCCTCATATTTGATATATGCTTTAACATTAGGACCAGTGGCGGCGCTGAATCATCGTCAAATTCAACCTCCGTCAAAAATTCTCATCCTTGGGGAAAGACTCTTGAAGCACGGTTCCAACTACTCACATTGCATCGTTATCAAAAAGCACGTCCATTCACAAACCTCAGATGCATCCAACTTGACCCGGACTTAACACATCATTAAAACAATATATCCCCTCACTTCATGTTCACAATCGACTCGCTAAGGTTTAATCAATCGAGAGCGAATGACTTATCATGCCACGGTTAAATAATAAGATTCGTTCTTTTTTTTTTTTTTTTTTTTTTCCCTCTCCCATCTTTACTAGCCACACTGGAATATGTATAATATGGACACTCTATAAAAGGAAGTCTAAACCTAAAAATAAAACCGCCCCCGTGCATTCTGCGGAGAATAGACAAAGGAACAAACTATACTGCGAGTATCAATTTAGCGGATCTTCAACAATTTTAGACAACTCCAGTGTTCCCAAGCAGTGACAAAACGGTCATTCAACAAGAATTGCAACATTGTATCCTGCTTTAGCAAAGCCCTATACACCGTATTTTTTCCTTCCTATACAAAACTCTTCAACTTACTCAAATCGACAATGTACAGAGTGGAATAGTGACTGAAAAACTCCTTATTCTCCTCATTATTCCATTTATTAACCACAACCATCTGATGTAGACTTCTTTGCCTAGATTGGCAATCCTTTTCAATAAACCCATCATCATCATCCTCATCCTCTTCATCACCATCAGCAAGCATCAGAAGATCCTCATCCTCTTCATCCTCATCATCATCATCAATATCTTCACCTTCATTTTCTTCATTATTATTCCATTCCAAATCGGAATCGTACTCGTAATCTAGTCCCGTGCGTTGCGTATCTAGCGGATCGGAAATGATGGCAAGTTGTTGATCTTGGTGCTTTTGTGAACACCAGGTTCCAATATAGGGCGGTTTGGAATTTTCGTAAAATGATATGTACTTGATAGGTGGGAGTTGGGCAATCATTTCGAGCACTTGTTGCTCGCTCGTGGTGGGTAGGTTGAGTGCAGTTAAAATCGACTCTGGTGTGATGTAGTGTTGTGGTGGGCTATCACATGGTTTCTTAAATTTCAAAAACGTATCACAAGTTTTATCTTTAAAGGATTGGGGTTTACCAGACATGATGGAATCTAACTCCAATTTAGTCGCTTCTGTGCAATAGCTATACTTTTTTAAAGTGACATTACGTTGGACAAAGAATGGCAAAAACTCAAGTTCATAATCACTCTTTTCCATGTGGGCGGTTTCCTCCTTACCATCACTGTTTTTGTCTTGTTTTGGTTGAGAACGGACTTGAAAGAAGTTGGAAATTTTCATCTGACTTCGTTCCTTGGCCTCTTCTGCTTTCCTTTTTTCTTCTTCAATCCTTTGCTTTTCCAATTCTTTGGCCCGTTTCTCCTCTTCAAGTTTCAACTTCTTTTCCAACTTCTCCTTCTCCCTCTCTTCCCGTTTACGTTCCTTTTCAGCCAATTCAGCTTGTTTTTTACGCTCTCTTTCCGCCTGTTCAGCTTGTCTTTTGCGTTCTTTCTCAGCTTGCTCCTCACGTTTCTTTCGTTCCTTTTCAGCTTGTTCGGCTTGTTTCTTTCGTTCCTTTTCAACTTGTTCAGCTTGTTTCTTTCTCTCCCGTTCCAATTTCTCCATTTCCTTCTTCTTTTCTCTTTCTAATTTCTCCTCCAATTTCCGTCTCTCCTTTTCTAGTTTCTCTTGTTCAAGTTTCCTTCGTTTGGCTTCCTTCTCTTCTTCAATACGTTTGGCCTTAGCACTCTTTTCCTCCTCCATTTTGATCCTTTTCGCCTCCTTCTCTTTTTCCAATTTCTGTTTTTTAGCTAGCTTTTCAAGCTGTTGCGCCTCACGATTCACATTTTCATCATTATCCTTAGTAGCTGCTGCTGCTGCAGATTCATCATCCAACTTGCGTTTGCGACTTGCCTCGTCAATCCTCAAGCTCTTACGGAGTAATTGCTCAGAAGTTTCAATGTGAGTTGTTTCTAACGAAGTCATACCGAGCTGGCTCTTCAGACGTGTCAGTGTGTTTTGTTCTGTTCTGTTTTGGTTCGCAATTTCGTGTTTCCAAAAATATTTTCGATTTTTTATTTTTCCTCTTTGACGCGTCAAATATCGGATACCAACGACAATTCCAAACACAACAACAACAACAACAACAACAACAACAACGACAACGACAACAACCTACGTTTGCAACCAAATTCTATGATTTAACTCTAATGTACATTGTACTCTTGTAAATAAAACTATACTATCTAAAAATCTAATATAAAAAGAACTGAAAAATCAATAATCGAAAACCTCCATTACTCATAATTTGGAATATCCAAATGGAAAAACGGCGTATTGGTACCGACAGCAGCAACATACTGCTCATCAATACCACTTTCCATATCAGTATAACCCGTAGCAATATTGACGTAATTGTTAGCTGACGTCAATCCATCCTCATAAGTACCGAACCCAGCATTCAACAATGCTCTTCTAATCCACGGACTCAAAATACCTGAGAAATGGAATTCAACTTCACGATCAGCATATGCATTCATGGCTTTCCTCAAATCAACTAGAGCCTGTACTGAAGTCATGTCAATTTGAGCCACGGTTGAGAAATCGAAATGGATTATACGCAAGATTGGACGCGTATCTTCTTCAATCTTCTCTTGCTTATTGTATTTCCTCAAAAAGGGCAAGTTCCACTTTAATGGACCAGGGTCATTCCATGGTCTTGATCCGGTATCGGTATAACTATATGGTTTGGCTCTTCTTGTGAGTCGTTTGGCTTCATCAGAAACTCGGTCAATTTGACGTGATGCATTGGGGTAAGCAAATGATTCAACTGGTTTGAAAACAATGACACCTGGCGGTGGAGGTGTCACTGGGATATCACTATTTATGTTTTTATGATTCAATGGCACCCACCGGGTATGAAACTTGATTCTTGGGTTTTGTTGTGCCAATTCTCTAGTGGTGGTTCTACGCTGCTGCTCGACGATTTCAGGTTTGTCCTTGATTTTATCATCAGTTGATCTATAGTTTGAACCTCCGGAAAACACTTGGTGAATTTCAACATCAGAAGAGCCACTAGTGCTTGAGTTTGATTCGTCATCATCCTCACCCTCATCACCGCCGTTGCCGTTTAAATATTGTTCTTCAATGATTGGATTAACTAGTTCAGCAACCTGAACTCTACCCAAAAACAATCCATTTGGAATAGCAATTCTAAACAACAATACGACAACCGATGCCGCAATGGCGAAATAGATACCAGCTTCAATGGTGACGAAAACAGTCAAGATAACAGCAATCAAAAAGATTCCACAATCAATAGGACTAATTTTCCAAAACGACACGGTAATCTTGTAATTGGCAATAAGATCAGACACAGCATGAATAATAACTGCACTCAAGACGGCTTTGGGGATATAGTAGAAAGCTGAAGTCAATGCATACAATGCCAACAAGACAACAGCACCGGTGAAGATACCCGCCAAGGGAGTTCTGACACCACATTTAGCTTTTAAAGCCGATCTTGAAAATGAACCAGTAGCAGGGTAAGCACTGAAGAATGTACCAATCAAGTTATTGACACCAATGGCAATCACCTCTTGATCTGGGATAACTTTATAATCATTGATTCTACCAAATGATTTCGAGATAGCAATATGTTCCAACAACAAAATAACAGTTGATACGGGGATTTCTGAAGCCATGGCATCAATAATACCGTCAGGAGGGTGGAAAACACCAACGTGTCTAAGTCCTCTTGGAACATCACCAATAGTGCTGAATGGTGGCTTGTACTCCAGCAGAGGTCCATCAAAGGCAACTTTTTGTGGGTGAACAACGCCCCAAGAAATGGCAGTGGAAACAACAATAACCACGGCATTTCTCAATTGTTGAGTGTAAAAAAACCAAATCTTGTATCTGGGCCATCTTTTTTGAGCATAATCAGTACCAAATTTCCAAACATACAAGATAAACAAACAAACCAAACCAAAAGCAGCATCAATTTTTGAATCAGGTAAATGTTTCAATGTGTTTACAACAACCAAATATGTGCTATCTCTAGTATTGACCAATTTGTTGTAACCCATCAATGCAGGTACTTGACCAGTGATGATATTGAATGCTGATCCAGTCATGAATCCCATGACTGCCGGTACAGAAATGAATTCCAAAATGAATCCCAATCTCAATACACCAATACCAGTGGCAATACCACCACAAATCAATGCCAAGAATGTAGAAATCTCATGAGGAGCATACTTGTCGCCATACTTGTCCTGAACATGAGCAATAACTTTGGAAACTTGTAGAGACATAACGGCAACAGGACCAATAGAAACATCTTTTGAAGTTGCGAAAAAGGAGTAAATAAACACCCCAACAAATGAAGAGTATAAACCATATTGTGGTTCCAATCCAGCCAATTGAGCATAAGACATTGATTGAGGCACCAACACAATACCAACAGTGATACCAGCAACCAAGTCCCCGTATAGCCATCTACCATTATAGTGCAAGATCCATTGTAGAATGGGGAACAATGAAATCAAGTAGTTTTTAACAAGTGTCAATGGATGAGCAAATACTTTTTGAAACCAGTCTTTAACACCAACTTCTTCTTCATGGTAAGCCGGTACATAGTAGCTCGAGTGAGGATGATGGTGATTATACTCTTGTTCTTCAGCTTCAAAATCGTGTGGTTGATTCACCACGTGAGGATCTTCATATACATGGGGGTATTCTGTGGGAAGTTGAGTATTTACTCCTCTTTCGGTGTCAGATACCACTGATTTGAGTTCCGATTCGACTCTATGAATTAAATCAGGCATTTTGGATTAGCTATTGAGGGGTGGGGGAGTTGAAGATGCAAAACAAAATAAAACTTTTTTTTTTCTAAAATGAAATGGCAATAGCAATAGCAATAGCAATAGTAATGGCAATGGCAATGGCAATGGCAATGGCAATGATGGTATATATATTTATATATATATATGCCAGTAGAATCTCTTTTCAAACAATGCCAAACTTTTTGTTTAAAATTGAAAATTTCAATCGTAAAATAAAATTAAAAAGAAAAGGAATGCAATAAAGATTGTAGTTTTAGCCTTGCGTTATGAGTCTATTCCTGCTCCTATTCTAAGGCGGTTTTTTTTTTAAAAATGACCTTTCTTCTTGTTCAATTTACGGGAAACAACACAATAGTAGTAGTCTTTTTATCCGCCTTTTGTTAAGAACCAACTGTGGTGGTGTCTTTTCTTCTTCAATAATTGAGAAATAAATGAAAATGAAAATAAAAAAAGGAAAAAAAAAAAAACTGTGTGGTTTCTCTCAAGCAAGCACAAACAACAATGGCAAAAGTATAGGCAAATTTCACAATGTATGTTAAATTGATGCGATATGTATATTATTAATATTACCCCTTGATGCAGATGGTACTGGAAGGTGTTATAAGATATAGATATCTCTCTGTTAATACTTTGGAAACTCCCTTGAATGTGTAATATTATGAATGCAATGCAAATCAGTAATTTTTCCGTTTTTTTTTTTTTGGGTTTTTTTGGTTTTTGGTTTTTTCCAACTTGTTGAAATATTGGACCCCAGTTATAAACCTCTTCTTTTTATACTAGAATGAGCGTGGTATGGAATGCTTTGACGTTCCAAGAAAAACCCTAGTCAACTGTGGTAGAAATATGAATATGTTAAATTGGCAGTTTGAAAAATTTTCTTTTTTTCTTATTTTCTTATAGTTGACAGTAGTATTTACTTGCTGCTCTGCTTCGTATAAGAAGTTCTTCATGATTTGTAATTTTAATTGTCTTTTTTCCAAATTGTCAAAATTGCAAAAACACAATAGAAGAAGAAGAAGAAGAAGAAAAAAAAAATTGCAAAAGGTGTGGCTGCAATTTAGATCCACACTATTACGTAATCTACAAATCTCACGATATAGTGCACACACACACACACACACACAAGTTAATTGTTTTTCTTTCTTTTTTTTGTGTGTTTTTGTGTGATCACTACTAGTCACGTGCAATTGGATATTTTAAATTGACTAAAACATCATTTCATTCAATCATTCAATCATTCAATCATTCAATCATAGATTGATTCATTCAATTTCAATTTCAAAAAACAAAGATTATTGCTATATACTACTGCTCTTTTATATGCAGGTATAACAACTATACAACACTATCAGAAACAGGAATATACCACAAATCAATAACATCATGTGGAAATTTGTCACTTGAGATCAACCAGATTTTGACCGTTGTTACACAGAGCTGGATTTCTCCATATATCTTTTTGCTCCATCTTTATCTTTATCTCCCCATCTTTTCAATTATTCTATCTCTCTTCCACTATCATGCAGAGTCTAATTGAGATTTTACGCCGTCTTCAGTGAGATCAAATCGACAACACGAAACTCAAGTTTTGCTTCGGAAAAATTGAATTTTTCACTTTTGTGAACATCTCTCTCATCATCACCGCCACATAAATTCAAACAGCAACTAATTTAAGTTGAACAAACACACACACACACTCTCCCTCTCTCTGTCTGTCTGTCTGTCTTGGATTTTATCACCCGGCACGCCGGAATCGCTGCTTTCTTTTTCTTGAGTGCACACGACTTCGTAATCTATAGGCATATGACCAAGTCCTTTCCACACACACACACACACCAATACACACCAATACACACCAACACCAACACCACCACATACTCATACCTTACTTTTTATTGCGTAGTAGTTTCCACAGTATACAACCATTTCTTTTTTTTTTTTTTGCATTTTTTTTTTTATTTTTTTGCATCAAATTCACACCAATTATAAGCACCCTTTTCTCGTCTTTTCTTTTAGTTCCGCCTCCGCTTCCTCCACAATCAATACTCTCCCTTACTCAATGTAGCTTTTATTAGTATCAATACAAGGCGGGACAAGAGGACAGAAAAGTACTCATAACCAACTAATCTACAAGTTACAGAACCACATCTCTAAGTTCCCTCTTTTTTTTTTTTTTTTTTTTAATTCTATTCAAACTATACGCCTCTAAATTCCACCATCCCACACCAAACACTACTTGGCACCTTGTTCAACACTTTTCAAATTTTCCTTCTCTATAGCATCAACATCATCTCTAAATTTACGTTGTCCATAACATTGTTCCAAAAAGATCTTGTACTTCACATTCAACAATTTCCTATCGGGGTTATCATCAGCACGTGGCTGGATAACTCTCCCTGGTCCAGTCATCTTCTTCATAATCTTCCACAATAAAGCACCAGCATCATTTGAAGCAAGAGCAGCACAATCAACATCATCTCCTTTTCCTCCCTCTTCTTTCTTGCTTGATGACAATGGCTTGTTTAATCCCAAACTGGCCAATTTTTGTGAAATACCCTTTTGCGTTTCTTGCTTCGATCCAAACGACAAGGTGTTTTCATCATCTGAATCTTCTTGATCATCAGCCTTGTGACGATGGTGTTGTTGCTGTTGGCTCTGTTGCTGCTGTGTTGGCTGGTTGAAATAATCAACATTGTTTGAACTCGAATGTGTGTAAGCAAGAGCAGCAATGTTGCTAGTTGATGTAGCTGACGGAGCAGTGAATGGCGATTCAGGAACTTCAATGGGGCCTTGTTGGGTATCTCCCTTCTCCGCCAATAACTTAGCTCTCTTGGAATGTGGTCCATTACAACGATGATCCAATACTGCCTCCTCAGCAGCAACAGCACCCAACAATGCTGACCCAAACACCACAGCTGCATCAATATATCTAGGAATAACAATAGGTAAACCAGTACAATCAGCCAATAATCTCATCAATAACCCATTACGACATTGTCCTCCACTCATAAAGATACACTTAATATCATGTCCCGCCTCTTCCATATGTTGCACAATTTGCCTCGTTTGTTGAGCAATAAACTCACAAGCACCAAAATAATTTAATGCCAAATCTTCAACCGAATTATCCAATGATTGCCCAATCAAACTGGCTCTCATTCTAGGATCAGCAATGGGTGACCTATTACCATGGAAATCACCATAAAAGAAAATGTGTTTGGCCAATGCAACAACTGATCTCTCGCCCCTAGTCTTGACCATTCTTTCCAATAATGAATTCAAATAATCAAACTTGGATATATTTGATTGTTCAGCCGCCTTCAACAACTCTTGGTTTGCTGGATGAACACTTAAAACATGAGCCAACAACTGACCAGTTATTGATTGACCACCTTCAGCCAACCAATAACCCTCAGCCATAACATCCTTGTATGGACCCCAAACTCCCTTGACAAAACAGGGCTCCTTGGTCATGGCAATGTGACAAGTAGAAGTACCAGCAACAGCAGCCAATCTTCCACATGCATCACCAATGGTTCCATCATACTTCTCTTCAAGCAATGCAGGAACTTCAGCTTTAGCAGCAACAGTACCAACCCAACCAGCATAAGCATCGATAACTGGTGAACCAACAATACATTCACTACACAAGCCCAATTCTGCAGCCGACTCATTGGTCAATTTACCAACAATGTTACCAGCAGTAAGGTATTTCCCATTGACACCAGGAATACCACCCAATCTTCTAAAATTATCTTCAATCAATTCTGGCATATCCACAGACAACAAGAAATCCTTTGACCAACCAGTTTCTGAACCATCAACACCAATGGGAACAAAACCTTGTTTACATACAACAGAACAAAAACTTCTAGTTTCAGTGCCAGTGGCCTTGTGAACCAAATAATCAGCCAAATCATAAAACTTGCAATCATTGATTCCGCCAGGTTTATGATGTTTTAACCACTTCATTTTGGGCAACTCCATTTCAATTGACATTTGCCCACCAACATATTTTAAACACTTGTCACCAGTGGCATTGATGGCATTGGTTTCATCTTCGGCTCGGTGATCCATCCACAAGATAATATTTTCCTCGTTATCGTCGAAATTAGGACCAACAGATTCGGGCGTGTCATTGGATTCCGAAACAGCAACCAATGAACAAGTAGCATCAAACCCAATACCAAAAACATGATGGGGATCAACGCCAGATTCACCTAAACAACGCTTAACACAATAGCAAATGGCATTCCAAATCTCAGTTGAGTTTTGAGTTATATAGTTTGGTTTCAACTCTTGTCTACTAATTGGCTTTTCTGCCAATCCCAAAATGATACCATTGGTATCAATTAAACAAGCTCTAGCAGAACCAGTACCAACATCAACACCGACATAGTAAACATCGGGGTCAGCTTGGGGCAAGTTGTAAAAAAACGATGATTGTCTTCTATTTGCAAGACTAGTGTTTGACTTTGATTGTACCATTTGTAAAGGTAGTTAGCTCTAGTGAATGAAGGTACAGTCTCAAATTGAGTTGTTGAATAAAAGCTGGGTTTAAGGAAACACTCGGAGTATTTATGTACGTAGCAATTTAAATAAAAATGGAGGTTCCGGAATTAACACAACATTGAACAAAATAAACTACGGAGTAACATAGGATAGGTTGTATGCAGGAATACACTCCTTCAAGATCATACGTAATTGGAAGCGCACAGAGTAGTCAAACATAAGAGAATGATGCAATTGACACTCCTACATCACACTACCTTTCGAAAGAGGCTTGACAAGTCAACATCCCTCTTTTGCGCAAGGTTGTAGATACCTGCCCAAATTGCAATGGCTGAAGACAAGTGGTTTGCTGCTTCAAACATGTGATTCTCGTGTGGTGTATATATATAAATATATATACATATATATTCCTTTTTGTGTAACGGGTGTAACTTTAACACCCCTCCCGTCAATTACAAAAAAATTACCCAATACAGTAACCACCGCGGCTCCCGGCATGTATGGAAATTGATTCACTTTTCTTTTCTTTCACCGGATGAAAGATGAAACTATTTATTACTTTCCGAGGCCGAAGCATTGAAATTTAAAAAGATCTACACTCTGTATCCAAAAGTTTCTCCATCATCAGCTCGTACAATTTTGAGGCTAATTACATTGTTAAAATTTCTAATACAAGGGGAATCAAGAACTGAAAAACAACCCAACTCTACATTCTTTTTTTTTGTTTTGTTATTTAGTTCTTCAACGAAGGATACTTTTCAACCGCTTCAACCAAAAAATCAAACTGTTCGGTATTTTCAATAGCTGACTTCACATGAGACGCAGTGATTCGTTTCACACCTTGTTGTTTAGCTTGCAACACAGAAACTTCAACCAAATTGGCCATAAAGATTTCCAATGCTCTTCCAACAATTATGGGGGTGGCTTGGGCAACTTTACCAATTTCTTCATCACTTTGCATAATCTTCTTGATCCTGGCGGCAGGGAAATGGGTCTTGATGCGTTCGAAACTGGCTAGTATCTGCTCTTGTGATACGCGATTTGTCGGCGTGGCTTTCTTCTCTTCATCGTCATCGACATATTCCTCATCCTGATCATCATCATTTTCATCTTGTTCTGATGCCGTTGAGTGATGTTCTGGCACTTGATTACTTATACTACTACCACTGGCATATATCGCGCTTTGTTGTGGACTTGCATAATTGTATTCTAGTTTCGGAAGTGCACTGTCATTGTTGTTGTCATTGTTATTGCTGTTGCTAGCAGATGGCACTGGCCCATTGATTAGGTTATTTATACTGAATGCGTTACTGGAACTTCTGCGAGTATTGTAGTTACTGTGTCCATTATTATTAGCAGCAGTGTTGTTGTCATCATCATAGTTCATCAAATGGCGTAGATTGGACATAATTATATATGTATATATGTATAGATGTGCGGGTGTGTGTGGGTGTTAAGTGTCGTAAAATTAATGTCGTGTGATTATGTGTTACGACAGAGTTGTGTTTTGTTCGTGTAAAGTGGTTCAAAATGTTTTTCTGTTGATGTGGTGATTATTTTGTTGTTGTTGTTGCAATTTTCATTTGTTGTAAGGAATTGATTGCTGTTTTTATATTCGCATCGCCCTCTCTACATTTGAAAACTCACAAAAGAGAGAATTTCTATTTGTCAATAAAAAGAGTTTTTTGCTACTTGTTTCAAAAGTAGTGTATAATTGCACAATTGTAAATTACAAAAACATAAAAACAACATTCCCATCCCCGTTTCCCTTCTCTTCATCTCTTGTTATTCTCTTCATGGACAGCTGAGTATAGTACGTCTTCTGCTTATTGACTGATTATGTTTCATACATAACTGTTATGACGTTACCCCCCTGGTCTTTCAAAACACAATCATAGTCCTTCTTTATCCAAGTCGTGTATTAATTTCAAAACAATTAATAGCGTGTAAACACTTTTGTGCTGCGATGAGCAGTAGTACAGTATAGAAAATTTATCATTATTTTTAAAACGCGGTTATAAACATTCCCGATATACATTCTAGAGCTTAATCTCTAGTCCGGCTAGGATTCCATCTCTTGTACAATACTTCAGATACTCTATACTTGCTCAACAATTGCTTAAACATTAACCCTTCATCTACTTCATCACCACTGGATGTCCATATCTCATCAAATTCGATTTGCAGTGGAGCCTCAACATAAACTTGAACAAAATTCTTCTTCACACTACCAATGACTCTAGCTTTAGCGCATATTTGTAACCAATCATATGCTGACACATCTGCTGTATAATCATCTTCATCTTGCATAACCAGCACGCAAAATTCGGCATGTGAAAATGGCGGACCTCGTTTATACAATAAATAATCAGTGCCAAACTTGATGCCTGATCTTACACACCACCCTTTTGATCGAAAATAGTGATACACAATATAATTGATGATGAACCTGTTATTGGCAAATATCGTGGGTGTAGAACAATGTAGCTGACAGCATTGCATAAACAATTGCCTCAAAGTCAAGTTATTGATATTGATATTATTAAATGCAAATTGCAAGAAAAACACCTCTACAGCTTGTAGTTGCATATACTCCAATTGGATAACAAGCCCGTTTTCATTGCCAATAATATCAGCATCTTCTTTTCTTAGTTCAACTTCAGTCTCTTCTTCAACATTGATATAATCCTTTTTCCTAAACTCAACCAATTGTTCATCCAATTTGGCCATTTCAACAACTTCGTCATTGCTAATCGAACCTTTCCTTTGCTTCAATTGCAAATCTTGCAATCTTTGTCGTTGTCTTTTAAACTCAATCCTTTCATGTCTTCGACTCTTTGTGATATCTTCCATGGCGACATTACCATTACTCGGCTTTCCATCGTCATCATCATCATTAGCTACTACAACATTGAGTCTTGTCACTGTTCTAGCATGCCATGTTGGTTCTGACCTTGACAACACACCTTTGCCAAAAAATCCTTCCCTCCATAACTTAACCATAGAGTCAGAATCAACCACTTTGAAAATGCCATTCTCGTAAATGACATTAATCTTGTAAGTAGCCACTTTACTCAAATAGTTAACATGGAGCAAATTCCACACATATCGCAACCATGATATCGGATTAGTTAAGACAACAGCACAATGTACAGCCACATCAATCGGCAATGGTTTTTGATATATCCTATTCAACAATCTCGAGTTTTTTTTACCCATCAACTGAAACAAAGTTAGTAACAATAAGAGATACACCAACTAAGTCAATGCATTATCTTTTCCTAATCAGATACCGTTGTAGTCTATTTTTTGAGAAATCATGTGCTCACACTGATCTTGCGATCTTAAAGACACCAAAAGGAAATTGAATTGTCATCATTTGAAAAAAAAGAAAGCATTGACAAAGGAGCATACATTGAAGTAACATACACTTCTATTAGTTTACCATAATCACTGTTGATCTTGTTAGAAAGAAAGAAAGAAAGAAAGAAAGTTAGCAGGCGAGTATGAAAATTTTTTCTCTCAGTCTTCGCAGGAAAACAAAGAGTCTAGTTCGTGCGAAATGGTACAAAACTAGGCGACAATACCGTGCTATACCGATTCGCGTGATATGCTTCAGACAAAGCATACACGACCAGACTAGTTTTTGAATGGCGCCCCATATTTCGGCACGGCTTTTCTTCTGGGGGCTATGGCCCATGAAGATGGTTCATAATTGTATTACACAAATCAATATGACAATGAAAAAGCACCCCATGGGAGCTCAACAAGGCTTACAATGTTGCAAGATAAGCTGATTTCAAGCATGATTGTTGTCGTTGTTGTATTTGATCTCATCGAATCCAGCTATGGGAAAACTTATACCGTGGAGAAGAGAGAATACTCGAGCGCAAAGTAGGTGTTTGTCTAGAACCTTCCTTATACGTTTTTATCCATGCAACGTTACATGCAACAAAAAGTTTAAAATTATTTCGGCTCTTCCGACGGATGCCCGTAGAAATGAACTAAAACAATATAACACAAAACCCGTTGAAGTCAACTGAAAGACGCAATGGTGTACTTTCCATGAGAAAGTCATACCACGTAGTCAACCCACATCACATCAACAGACAGAACCCTGGTGTACAATCTCTATCCCGTATTCCAATCATTTTAATCAACTATGGCCCAGCCACTTACCCTGAATTTCATCTTTTTCTGCATTACAAGTGTGTATGGTTATTTCTTGCAAGTTTACACAAAGTGCGGATACACACACACCTGCAGAAAATTAGTCTTTTTCTCACGGCATCTCAATTCCGCTCCAGCCATACTAATATAATGTGGCGACGGGAAGCACAGTTTTTAAACTTAACATGCTACAGTAGTACGTATACGAAGGGATCTCACCCTTAATCCCCGCCATTGGTATTCCCCAATTTTAGGTTCCTTATAGTCACACTATCTCCTCTTTCCCCAAACTCTGTCTAAGCATGATGCGTTTTGTGTTACTGAAAAGCGCATTTGGTGAAAAAAATTATAAATTGACATTGGAAAGACTTTCTCCCAAAATACAATCACTTCAAAAAGTCCAAGAAAATTTGCATTCACCATAGACAGACTCCGTTTGAAAATTCGGGTATCACAGAAGACAAATAAGTATCACTTATCCTTACACAACTTATTCGCATACACATATATCATGTCCAAAAACATTCTGGAAGAAGAAAAAGTCGCCGCGATTCAACCAGATTATGAACCAGATTTTGACACGATACCAACACCAATCATATCCAACGAATCCACAAAATCAACCACACTTAACGGGTTACATTTACTCGATGACCCATCAAATTTTCCATCCGGATTTCACACAAGAGCAATATTGACAGTGATTGGATCCTTTTTAGGTCTAACTGGGGCCCTTGGATTTGTCAATGCGGCGGGAGTGATTCAATCGTATGTGACGGACAATACCCTCAAAGACGAAGCACAAACTGCCATTAGCTGGATCTTTTCCCTATACAATTTTTTCGCATTTGGTGGGTTACTAGTATCAGGACCAGTGTTTGACAAGTTTGGATGCAAAATCCCCATTATGGTTGGTGGTATTGTCATGTTTTTGGGGCTTCTTGCGTCATCATTTTGTAATCGAGTGTGGCATTTCATTTTGGCCTATGGATTTCTTGCAGGGATGGGTGCTGCGTTCACATTCGGTCCATTCATTGGTGTCATCAGCCACTGGTATTGCACAAAGAGAGCAATCGCATTGGGGATTGCCTATAGTGGTGGTGGACTCGGCGGAGTTATATTCCCCTTACTTTTTAGATCGCTTTTCCCTAAAATTGGGTTCGGATGGTCAATTCGTGTAGGGGCATTTTTATCATTGTTTCTTTTAGTTGTTGGCTGGGTTATGGTTACCGATAGAAAAGAAGAGTTTAGTGAAGTTGGTGATGGCGGGGTCTTGAAAGAAGTGGCAAATTCAATTGATTTTAAAATAGTCTACAAGAATCCATTGTTTGGGGTTATTGTTAGCGGCTTGCTCTTCAATGGGCTAGCGTTTTTGATTGCCATGGTTGAACTCCCTCTTTATGCCACCAATAGAGGCTTTGATGATGGAGATGCGTATTTGTTGGTGGTTGTTTTCAATTCGTTTAGTATCCCAGGTCGGATCTTGCCTAGTGTTGTTGCTGACAAGTGGCTCGGTCGGTTCAATACATTTTGCATAATCAATTGCTTTTCATTGGTGATTTTCTGCGTCATTTGGGTTCCATTTGGTGATTATTTAACCGCATTGTATGTATTTGCTGGTTGTTTTGGCTTTTCCAGTGGTTCGGTGCTTAGTCTCTCGGCAAGTTTGGTGGCTTCTATAGTCAAGACTGCTGATGTTGGTAAAGGTTTGGGCACTGCGTTCTTTGTGTTGTCATTTGGTGATTTGATAGGATTGCCTATTGGTAGTGCAATTGCCAGTGGCTCTCGAGCCAGTTTTGATCATTTGGTTTATTTTTTAACTTCTTGCGCATTTGTTGGGGCTTGTGTTAGCTTCGTTTCCAGGTATATGTACGGAGGTGTCAATCTAAAACGTATGTAAAGAATTTATAGAAAAGAAATAATAGAGTATTGGAATCGTTGTAGCTTTCTCTCTCTCTGCTATATAAAGTCTATACGTTGTACTGGACTGGTGACTCCTTCGAGATTGACAGCTTCCAAACGTGCCAAAGTGCCCCTCATCATTAACTTCCACATTGATCGCTTGAGGTAAAACTTGATTACATATCCTTGGAGGTTGAGCTTGCGCTTCTTTTGAGCATTCTCTTCCACTTCCTCTTCTGCTTTCGATTCTTCCTCTGCCGGCTTTTTATCAACAGTCAGCAACAAGTCCTCAACCCATCCTGGAGACATCTCTTTCCCATTTATGGTGGTACGCAGGTTTGCCAATCCTACTAAAAATGTAACTGTATTATTCTCCTGAATTAAACCTTCAAATAGGTCTTTGAAAACTTGCGTGATTTTAGTGTAGAGTTTCCCCTGGAATTTGACAGTGGGTATTTCTGTCCTCTTGTTTAAAAACAATTCTGCATGTCGTACATCTTGAAGGTGATCAATTTGGAAAATCAACTCTCGAGCGGGTTCATCAACGTATGGTCGTGAATATCTCATTGGACATTCAGTTAACCTATCGCTGGGGGAAACATTCTTCATTCCCTTTTTGCTCAAATCCATCAAATTAATGATAATGGAGTCATTAACAACCTTGTGGTTTACCATACGTTGCTCCAATTCAAGAAAACGATAATAGCGAGCTTCTTTTTGCAACAAGCGCCGATGCTCTTCATTCTTTACAATCAATGTGTTTCCTCGAAGATACTCCAATAAATCTGCAAAAAGTTTTGGCGAGCGACCAGCAACAATAGGTGGTCTTTGCGGTGGTGGCCGTAACATATTGTTTCTTTCAATCACGGCAACATTGTCAAAATATAACCTCTCTGAATTCATTGTGAAAAAATTGGGACAATTCCCTTCATTTTGCAACAATACTTTAGGTATTTTGAAACTCTGGTCACCAATACTAGCGAAAATGTCCTGTTCTGTCATCAATTTTTGCAACTTTTTCAACCCAAAAAAGAATGCATCGCTCCAAACGTGCATGTATTCATAATCATTGGTGACATTTATGGAGTAACCCTGTAAATGGTTGTATATCTTTTCAAATATTTGCGGACTCCGATCAAAAAACAATACCTTCTCTTCATTGTCTTTATCGCCAAAGAATTTGGTGAAATACGATGGTGAATCTGATGATAATGATAGTCCACTTAGACGAAACAATTTGTACCCAACTTGGATCGAATACACTTTATCGTGAGGTAATACCATCGGTACCGAACGGTCATACTCTTCAAGCGCCTGTACAGGCAATGTAGAAACACTCATTTAGTTACCTTCGCTTTTGTTGCGTTGTTGTTGACTACTTTTTCATGTCGCGAACAGAAAACCCTTTCTTTTTTTTTACTCCATTTCTTTACTCCACATATATCTGGTTTCTTCCATGGCCAGGAAAGAGCGAACATTTGACGGATGCTGGACATGCCGATCAAGAAAGGTTAAATGCGACTTGACAAAGCCAATATGCATGCGTTGTGCCAAACTGAAACGAGAGTGCCTTGGCTATGCTATACGACTAAGGTGGAGCGACCCAGTGACCATTTCAAAGGATAAAAGCATGACCAGCTTGAAACAGGAGGATAATGAACTAGATAATATGCAAAGGAGGAATGTCGACTTGATGGTATTTCCCCAGGACATGCTCTATGAGACTTATGCCGAGTTGAATTCGATTTTGGAGAAAGTCGACGATTCGGCGATAGTCTCGGGACAAGCAAAAATGGGACCGTTTAGGTGTTTTCGATTTGCAAATGTGTCACATGGTGATGGTGGAATAGAAAGCAAACAGCAAGAAAATGTGTCTTCGGTGGTGCCATTAGCATCACCGCCCACTTCACCATCTCCAGTTCAACAAACACCACCACCCCCAAAAAGGCGAAGAGTGACGACGACAACAATGTCTAAAAACTCGATTTTTTCCAAAACCAACAATAGCCATGTCCATTATGAGCTTTTGAACTTCGCCAAGCTTACCATATTGGCAATCAAAGGTCCTGATTACAAGTTTAATGACCAAAATATGTTGCATATATTGTATCCCAAGTTTTTCCCCAACATTGACTCGGATGACGCATGGTTTGCCAATGCAACCATGGTTAATAGCAAGCTATACACAAGAAAGGGGAACGAATTGACGTTGTACCCTTTATTTCGCAATCTTTTGGATCATTTTACTCCGGACTTGTTTAGTGTCAACCGGATTGGGTTGAAAGATAACTATTTTCATGTGTTGGTTATTCCTTATATCAAACAAATTGTGGGACAGTTTATCTGCTGGGACTTTGCCTTTTGGGATGTCAATGATTTACAAGAATTGGATGAATTGGATGACAAGCAATTGTTGCAAAGTATCAAATTGTGTATAATTTATCTTTGTTTGGGACTCAGTGCATTCAAAGTGTCGGGAAGAACAACATTACATGAGAAGAATGAGGATGATGAATACAAAATTGATGAGCATTTGAAAATTAGTATTGAGTTGCGTAAATTGGGAATAAAGTTGTTGAATTATCATTTGGATGAGTCAGATGTCATTGCTGAACGGCAAAAAGGAGACAAGGCAGTTGAAGATTACGATACCATGCTACTTCTTGCCTTGCTTTTGCAAATTGAGCTTGATTGCATGTTTAGTGTATTTGAAAATTTGGACTTGATTTATGCCATAGGAGATTTTGTCATCAAGAATAAATTGGAAACAAGAACACGAAATAGTACCATGAACAAGTTTCTCATCAATACATTCAAAATCAAGTATTTTTTCTACGAAAGTACCCAAGCAATCAACTTGTTTAATTACCAAATGGAAAAAGAGGATGAATTGAGGTATAAAGATTTGAATGAGGATTACAATTTGATTGACGATCTCGATAGTGCTGAAGATGATGAAGAAGACGATGAGAGTCCTACAGATACTAGATTCACCCCTAGCATTGAGAACTTGCTTTCAGCTCGTGAACCAGCAAAATTGGATTATGCGCCAACCGCATTCACCATCAATTTCAATAACAATAGACAATACAGTGCAGCATACGAAGTTACTGGCGACTCAAGCGAGAGTTCTATTCCTCGCATGAAGTTTGCTCCGCGTATGAATACAAGATTCACCACCACCTTGGACACGGAACTAATCTACTTGATGCATGGGATACCCAAAGATTTACTACATATATTTCACGACTCTATCCACCTAGCCAATCACAAAAACATATTCAGTGTTAAAAAGGTTTTTCCGAGGAATTTTCCTCGAATTTGTGCAGAAGTGGAGGATAAACTACTACGATGGAATATAAACCAACTGAGTTGGAATCTAGATCCCAAAAATACATTCCATAGTTTTCTCATCAGCCATGTCTACTCCTTCCATGAGGCAGTAATCATATGCCACAATAGATTGATGAAGAAGAATTTCCACATTTTGCAACACCAAACTAACGTTGAAAAATGCTTGGACTATCTATGTCAAGCTGTGGAGGATGCAAGACGGTTGGGTCTTAATTATAAGCCAATGTTTTGGAATTTACTAATGGCTGGATCAGTGGCTACAGATAATTCAACTCAAGAACGTATAAAGGAAATCTGGCAAACGTGTCCTGGATTTGAACTGCAATCAAATTACTGGCGAGCAAAACAAATATTGTATGAAATATGGAAGAGAAGGGCCAGTGGCGAGGAAGAAGAAGCCAATCTAGGGTTTATGAATTTGATTCGAGAGTGGGATATAGCATTAAGCTTAGGTTGAGGGAGCAAATAGATGGATTAGATGTATTTGATGATTTCTGTGTAGCTGTGTCGTAAATTAATTGTGTCGAGACAATGACTTTTTTTTTTTTTGTTTTGTCTCTCTCCATTCTCTCACCCCACATCACCCCCCCCCCCCCCACCATTTCGTAAAAAACAAAAAATATGAAAGAAAAATCGGATTGAACTGCGGAACAATTACAAGCACACAAAAAATACCTATATCTATGTATATATGGCTATATACGTATTTACATATGCTGTATACATCCAGCTCTATTGACTAATAATTTTTCCCCAAAGTCTCTTTAGTTTTGTCTTGCGTAATCTTGTTGTTATCTTGGTGTCTTATTTTGTTCCGATATTCAACGGGCGGTTTTTTCCACTTTTCACGAAAAACGCTTACACAAACACAATACGCAAAAACACATAATTAACATAGACTGACAGTGACGATTCTTTTTTATTTTTTTTTTCTTCCCTATTCAATTTTTCCATTCTAAACATCACTTCTTTTTTTTTTTTCACCCCATTTTTCTACTTATTCCCAACTTGTGGAGACTAACACCTGTGATTGTTTGGTCTAAGAGCTATAACGTGCTAGTTACAATAACTCATTCCAGCTTTTATTTTCCAGAAGGTTGCTTATGACAGGATGATCATGACTTCGACTCCTCCAACCAAACAAATTCCTTCCATTAAGGATATATTTCCAAATAGCCAGCCAAAGACTTCAAACCCACCAGCTCAGGAACAAGAAAGGCCGGCGCTGATGGCGTCCACACAAGCTCAAGACCATGCTTCTATCAATCAACACAACAAAGACACACAAGCGCCTCAGGCACGTGCGGAGTCATTTTTGGCATCGAAACAACAACAGTCACAACAGCCGCTGGCGCACTTTGCATCACCAGATGCAACTACTTCAAGATCCTCCACTGATCCTCCTCGCAAGAGATCTAAAATATCCCGTGCGTGTGATGCTTGTCGAAGGAAAAAGATAAAATGTAACGCTGAATATTCAACAACATTGAATAAAGTGACTCAAATTTGTAACAATTGTCAAAAAAATGGCGATGAATGCACGTTTTCAAGAACTCCATTGAAAAGGGGGCCATCTAAGGGGTATCTGAAAGAGTATGAGGAGCGGGAAGAAGAAGCAACAAGTGGGTACCACTCTAGAGCCAACCTGAATGGAAACGTAGCTCAGCCGCAACCCATCACTACTTTCAATTCGAATATGGACTACAAGTCTTCACAGATACAACCACAGCCACAACAAGTGCCTCAACAACAACAGTTTCCTCAGAATAGTTTACCTTTCCCTCAAATACGACCAAACTCCCAACAAATGTCCAACATCAAACTTCCTCCCATTATCGGCTACAACCAAAATGCCGCATCACCAGCTATACATAAAGTAATATCAGCAAACTTCAATGAGTCAAACCCATCAAGCCCTCCAGTACAACCAAATTCTACCAATACTCAAGCACAATTGAGTAACAATAACAATAACAACACCACCACCAACACCACTAGCAACAGCAACAACAACAGTCCACCCATCCAAGGACCATTTTGGAAAGTGCCCTATGAAATGCCCCGAGCTTCGGGACCTCATCGGTCTTCCATTAGTAGTGTGTCAAGTATCGGAGGAGGTGGTGGTGTGGGTGGGCCTGGTCGCAGAAGGTCCTCAATAGACTCGATATCGTCGACATCAACAACAAATACAAAGTTGCCACTACTTAGACACTCAAACAATAGCGAGTTTCTCAGTGATTCCGAATCGGAGGATTTCTACTCTGTGAGATCCTCATCATCACATCGCCCACCAATTATGCGCAACAATTCGCAATCGATTTCCCCTAGGAACTCCGTCACATCGTTATCGAGTCTTAGCGGGAGAGTCAATAAATCCATGATTTTACAAGGTGCTCCCATATCACCAATGACTTTGTCAAAAGCTGGAACTCCATACAATGGTTTTGCAGCTCAGGAACTTGCAAGATCACAACTGCAATTGCAAGCTGCACCGCCACCCCCGCCAGTAGCGCCCCCGGGAGGGTTCAACCAAATGCAAACTTCTCCCATGGATTTGCTAAAAGCAGACTTGAGTGTATATGATCAACACTTTGCAGCAGCTTATCCTGTGATTCCAGTGGATACTGAGAAATTAGTGCAAATGATACAAGTAGCAGGACTGGAAGCACCTACCGAGAATCTTGTTGAGTGTTTCCACATAGCTATCAATGACCTTGTCAATTTCAAAACCGTTGCTGAATACACCACAATTTCAATGTTTTTCAAGTTGCAACAGTTGTATCAACAATCTGGAGTCAACAAGATTTCGACGTTTTTGTATGCCCAAACGTTGGTTGTTCTTAATTACAGCTTATTGTTAAAGGGAGCTCATTACTCATTGGGAGTTGCCTCTGCCGCTGCGTTTTTAAATGACTTGAATGCTGTGGACCGTGTGTTTGATGAGAAACCGAGTGAACAACAATTTGACTTGTGGCTTGCCAAGTTGTATCTCACCTTGGATATCGTTGATACCGTTGCCAGTTTGAAGGCGGGAGTGCAAAAGAATGTTGCCAAGGGAAACTTGCCCCTCTTTGTGAACAGAAACAGGTCGAGTTTGGAAGATATAGTGTACCAGATTTACACCCTCTCTACTGGTCTATTTGATTTACGAAGTCAACTCGTCACCTCAACAATCAAAGATACAAGCAAGGTCGATACCAAGGATGAGTTTCTCACCCACTTTGCCAACTTGCTTTACCAAAAATATGAACTTTACCAAATTGTCAATAATCAATCAGAGAAATTATTACAAACTTTGGAAGCATTAACCACAACTATTCTAAACTTTGCCAACTACCTCAGCACAACAACAATGTCCAACAAACAAGTGTTGAACCCATGCTTGAACTTGTCTGTAGATCAATTATTCCACACCATCAAGTTAGTCAAGATGATTGCCGACAACACTTCTGATGATGCTGCCAAACTCAATAGCAACTTGTCAATCTCGTACAATTTGTTGAACCTCAACTTGACGAACTTGCAACTCAATGAACAAACGGTTCGACAAATTAAACGCAAGATTGCTGAAACACCACTTGATTTCTCCGCAAAGACAGAGCCCCATGCTGACTGGATCAACTATGTAATCCCTATGATCAAAACTGATCTAATGAGGTGAGAAAAAGAAAATGAAAATATACACGAACTTTATGACTGTTTTGTTTCCTATTTTGTAATTGTACACTCTCTTCTAGACACTAATCAATCTTGATTTGACCATAAATCTTTCTAACAAAAAATAAGCTGCTGATGAATCCAACACTTGCACAACAAAGAAACACCAATAAGGAAATGACAACCGAGTATCCCGTATACAACACAAACGAAGTCAACCCAGCTAATTTTTCACCACCAGTGAGAAAGATAGAATGGATAAACACATAAATGGCACATCCACCTCCAATAAATATGGATCTCCATTGCCATTTGTAGTTTTCTGAACATAAAGTGTAATACACCATTAGAACCGTAATTAAACTTGTAGTCATAATCATCAAAAGGAAACAAAAGAACAAAAATCCAAACATGTAAAAAATCTTGTTAAACCATAAAGATGAATAGATAAAGTACATCTCAACTGCAATTGAACCAAAGGGAAAGATACCGCTAATGAGTGTGACTGGAATCAATTTCAAATACCATGGTTGTGGGGGAATTTGTCTTGGGATCAAGTTGGTTCTCACCGGCACATCCAATTTCGGTCTTTTTACTGCAAGAATTGATCCCACAACTGACAAGGGGATAGAAATAACAAACCAAATAACAACAATAGCAACCATTGTACCCACAGGTATAGCACCCGAAGAATCAACTGAGATCAAAAAGAAATTGAGAAATACAAACACGGCAAACAAAACACCAGGCACAAGCACGGGTGTAAGTACCAAGTTCAATTTCCAATTCTCGCCGCCAAGGAAATGGTACAAGTAACCAGACACATATGCCGACACAAAACTACTCAAAATGTAAAGTATGAATGAAAAAGTCGACAATGCTCCTCTGTTTGATGGTGATAATAACCCAAATAATGCGAAAAAAATTGTCACAAATACCATAAAGAAAATCTGGGCACCACTTCCAACAAGCACCGACAACAAGAGTCTTTGTGGTGGTGGTCTAAAAACATCACCATGTATTAACTTCCATCCACTCTCATCAGTAATGTCATCATCCAAATTGACTTCATTGTACTTGACAATATCGTTTTTCAAAGTTCTAATCAAAATATTAGCAATAACAATACCCAAAATTAAAACAATTAATGAAAAATTGATCAACGAGAACCATTGGATCTTGGGGTCGTACACGTGCAAGTATTGATCCCATCTTGTTGCCCAGGCTATATCACTCTTTTCAAATTTGACTGAGTATGTAAACAACACTGGTGTATCTGCTTCCTTGTCCAAATGAACTGGTTTCAAATCGGTGGAGCACAACGTTTCTGACGCTGAGTCCTCTGGTAATGCAGATCTATCCAATGACAGAGGCGTAGCAGTAATTCCCACAACTCGGTAATTCTTGCCATCACCCTTCTCATGATACTTGATAATCAAGTCAAAGTGGTTAAACAACACTGCCTTGTTGTCAGTATCAATAGCACCAATATCGAATCCAGTACCATAAAACTGTGAATGAGTTCTCAAGTCTTCAATAATTCTCGCAACTGGTAATCCATCAACAAGCCAATTGTAACTATATCCAGCTCTAATGTTTCTGTTGACAAATACGGAATCTGATTTGGGATAAGTTGAAGTACACAATTTTTTACATTGAACCTCCTTCAACATTTCAATTTGAAAGGGGGAATTGAAAATACGATCTCCGAAAATAATTGATCCCAATGACTCCAGTTGTTTGACAGGACCTCCCTCTGGCTGACAAAAATGGAATTTTGGATAGTAGTAGTCATAGGAATACACATATGTTGAAGTGGAACCTTTGCTTAACGATCCATGATGTAACGCTGGTGTTAAATGATTCACAAGCAAAGGTATCAGTTGCCCTTCTTTGTAGTCAGTAGGCGCAACACCTGGCAAGTAAAACGCATTACCCAAGCTGAAAAGCGCTAGCGCAAGTAATAGAATATTTAGCATTGATGAAAAAGTTTTATGATCCTTCGACAATGATTTCAGGAACAGGTTGTACAATGTTTTTTGTTTTTTTTTTATTGACGTTCTCTCTGATGAAAATATTTTCACTAACTAAGCCATGAAAAATTAATACACAATACAACAAACTATACATACTTTAGATTAGCAACAACCTTACTGCAAAGCTACTACCCTTGACGAGGTTTGCGCTTCTTCACCTTATCTGTAAGATGTCTAATCTCAATCAATTTTTCAGCATGTAACTTGTGATCCGACATATACTTGGGGCGAATCAGGGAATAGTCGCACGGCAAATTTAATCGCTGGCAGTGACCACACTTTGGTTGTTCTTCATTGCATCCTTTATGACGAATTCTGCATGTCCAACAACCATTCTTGGACCTTTCGACGATTCTTCTCTTCCTTTTGAGCCCATCACGTCCATATTCTCCCCGTTTCTTGGATGTTGTAGGTTCCTCAGAGGGTTTGTATTCCTCGTCAGAGACGTAGTGTCTAGCTCGTTTGGCTGACCTTTTATCAGTTTTTTTTCTCTCAAAAGACTTCCTCCCGCCAGCAGGATCTTTCTTTGTCCGATGGAATTGCTTTGCTTGGTCTCGTTTTCTTGATGCATCAATAACCACCACCTTTGATGTCGTAACATGGGGCAATTTCCTGGCGTGACTAGACTTTTTCAAAGTTGTACTTTGTGACTCAATATCTGCCTCAACTCTACCAGGTAATTTAATGGTGACAATGTATTGATCATACGGCTTTGTTTTATGCCTCTTTTCTTTCCCAGCAACTTTCTCTGGGACACAATTCTTTTCGAGCAATTGAAATTCTGATACACCACGCCCGGGGGAAACGCTAACTTCCTTCTTGTCCTTCTTTGGGGAAACCGGATTCATAATCAGTTCAATACTCATTACCGATGATACATTGCTTTTTCTCCCTGTTGTTTGCGATATATTACCTGGGTCTCGATTTGCTGGACACGGAGTAACTCCATAATGACACTCCTGTTTCATCCTTAATTTGATACATGAGTTTCGAAATATGGGACTGTCGGTGAATGAACCAGAGCCATAAATGTGCTTAAACACTTCGTTAGACTTGGCAAGATCATCTGGCAAAGCACATACTACGGGTGGGCTTCTCTTTATGTTGGACCTCAAAAGAAGGGGAGAGCTGCAAATCAAATTATTGTTTGGAGTTGTCAAAGCTTGAGCTGTTTTTGCCTCTGGCAATATTCTCGGAATCATCTCCTCGTTGATGATCCTGACATTTGAGTTTTTTAAAATGCAATGATTGTACTCATCCAATGGCGGACAGTTGATTCTGGTTGGTGTGTTGTCAATGCCAAGCGATCCAGACTCGAACTCCATTGATGAATTCTCAGATTCATAATGCTTTCGTGCGGGGCTGGTGCCTCGAACATGACTCTCTAACAAGTAGCTCCTCGACTTGATCATTGGTTGTAGTCAAGAGATGGAGGAAGGGGTGGTTTGAAGCATTTTTGGTTGTCAAAATGATGAAAGTTTTGCAACCAAATTTGGTCAACGGTGCACGCCTCTTTTTTTTTAGTGTTTACGTCATTTTTTGATAATCGCGTCATCATTGGAAGGGGGATAGAGTGATGTCAGCACGTGGAAGATAGATATGTGACGCCATCGGATGCACTAATATCATGTCAATTTGTGTTGGCGCTTATAAATGTCAAAACCCAATTCAAACAAGTTAACAAATTTTTACAACTTTGGGTCCATTCAGAGTTGGCAGTGACGCGAATACTCTTTCCACCAATTGTATCTTTGTAAATCTTGTACGGCAATTCAAGCTCCGAGTCAATTCTTTTTAGTTGCATTTCTATTAATGCAACAACCTCCAATAAAGCAATCATTGCAACGTCCATTTTGTTGAAATTGAACAACCTCCCCAATGTGAATTCATCTGATGAGTATAGGTTGAGGATCTTCTTATGTCGTGTGCCATCTTCAGAATCAGTAAACTTGACTATATGTGATTGCGACCCCATGGGAACCAATTTGTAATTCTTTAACCGAAGATCAAGGCGTTTCGTTATCAATGTGAGTAATAGGACAATTTGTCCCAAAGCGGCATTCACTTCAGGCAACACAATTTTGTAGCCTATGCGAAACCCATTTATTTTGCCATACTTGTCATCAATTTTAATATCAAACATCAACTTGTAGATGTTGGAGTTACGGAGGTTATCAATATGGTTCAAATGAATATTGTATGACGCTTTGAGCTGATCTAGTTTAGTTTGCCTATCGCCAAGATCAAGTTGAAGTTCGTTTCGAAGTTTGAGAATGTCGTTAATTTGATTGTTGTTTATTGATGATAATTCTTCTTTATTCTTTCGCAACTGGGTTTCCAAATCACTTCGTGTAGCCTCGAGGGATTTCAACTCGCTGAGTCGCTCATGTTCAAGTTTAATCAAACTTCGAAATTCATTCAACAGTGGTTCAATGTCATCTTCTAGATGCCCCTTGAGCTCACCATTTTCGTACAAGTTCAACTTTTGATCTTGCATCTTTAACTTCTTGAGAAATGACAAATATTGATCTTTTTCCTTTTGCGATTGGTCAAATTTAAGTTGATAGTTTTCGAGTAGCAAGTTGGCGCAATCCTCACTGAGAGGGTGCTCAATATCCTGGGTGTTTGATAAAATGTTAAATATGTTTCCCAACACCTTGATACGACTGGAGAGTCTAAGCTCAAACTCTTCTTCATCAGCGTGGTCATTGTGCTGCTCGACCTCTTCCTCCTCAATCACTAGATACGAGTTTATATCACTAGAGTCTGACAAATGAAAATTCGTCTCGTCTTCGCTATCTTCATCTTCGCTGTCAAGATAACTCTTGTAATGAATTGGCTTGTCTTGTTTCGGAAGCCGATTATAAAGTTCCATCTTTTCGGCGGATATGTAATCCTCTGGGTTCAAATCATTCAATTGGTCATTCTTATTCTGCTTTGCATTGATTAGTGAATTGAGTTGAGACCGGTTGAGCCGTTTCAAACTGTCATCGAGTTTAACCGGAGTTTCACAATCACCGCAGATGTATTGGTCGTTGCCCATAGTGCACGGTGATCAAAGAGGAAAAAGAGAAAAAAAGTTGGTAACTCCAAATTCTTTCTCGATTGAGTCGTTTCGCTTCCGGCTGCGATAAGAGAAAAACAGTTCTACTACAAGTCCTACCCTGACCATTCACACTCTTTTTAAATTAAATCCTCCATACATGTATCTTGCAATAAAGCTCACACAAGCACCAACAAATGCACAGCAAGTTAAAAAATAAACCAAATGATCAAAACTGGCATGAGAGCCAGTGGCAATTGCACTACCAATAGGCAACCCAACTAGGTCACCAAATGACAATACGAAATATGCAGTGCCCAAACCTTTACCAACATCAGCAGTCTTGACTATAGAAGCCACCAAACTTGCCGAGAGGCTAAGCACCGAACCACTGGAAAAGCCAAAACAACCAGCAAATACATACAACGCAGTTAAGTAATGTCCAAAAGGAACCCAAATTATGCAAAACACAACCAACGAGAAGCAATTGATTAAACAAAAGACATTAAAACGACCGAGCCACTTGTCAGCAACAACACTAGGGATAATACGTCCTGGGATACTAAACGAATTGAAAACAACCACCAATAAATAAGTGTCACTATCTTGGTATCCTCGATTGCTCGCATAAAGCGGGAGTTCGACAATTGAGATTAAAAAGGCCAATCCATTGAAAAGTAAGCAAGCAACGATTATTCCAAATAATGGGTTTTTGTAAACGATCTTGAAGTCGATGGAGTTGAACACCTCTTTAAATACACCTCCATCACCAACTTCACTAAACTCTTCTTTTCTATCGGTAACCATTACCCAGCCAACAACTAAAAGAAACAATGATAAAAATGCCCCTACACGAATTGACCATCCAAACCCAATTTTAGGGAAAAGCGATCTAAAAATTAAGGGGAAAATCACCCCTCCCACACCCCCTCCGCTATATGAAATCCCCAATGCGATTGCTCTCTTTGTGCAATACCAGTGGCTGATGACACCAATAAATGGACCGAATGTGAACGCAGCACCTATCCCTGCAAGAAACCCATAGGCCAAAATGAAATGCCAAACATGATGGCAAAAACTGGTGGCAAGTAGTCCCAAAAACATGGCAATTCCGCCACCCATAATGGGGATCTTGCACCCATATTTGTCAAACACTGGTCCCGATACTAGTAACGCCCCAAATGCAAAGAAACTGTATAGGGAAAATATCCAGCTAATGGCAGTTTGTGCTTCATCTTTGAGGGTATTCTCTGTCACATACGATTGAATCACCCCCGCCGCATTGACAAATCCAAGGGCCCCAGTTAGACCCAAGAATGAGCCAATTACTGTCATCACCGCCTTTATATGAAATCCGGATGGGAAATTTGCTGGATCATCAAGTAGATGAAGCCCATTGATTGTCGATTTTATAGACTCGTTTGATATGACTGGTGTTGCTGCCGTATCAAAATCATCTCGTTCAGTAATCCCTTTCTCTTGTCGTGGTGGGCTTCTTGACATTTAGTTGTGGGGTTAACCACCCAGTGACCACCAAAGTTGGAAATCTATCATCCTCTTTATAGTCCCTGGCCAATTCCGCTTTTTAGATCAGCTGGAGGCGGCACAAACCTTTAGATAAAATGAGGACCACAATGCTCGCGGGTATAAATTGCGGGGGTAAGATATTTTGTCGAATATTTCTTTGGATCACGTGAACACATAGATAAGCAGTACTGTGAATGCGGGATTGAAATGCCGCGATGATTCTGCAAAGTAAAAGTGGCTAATTAAGATCATCTTGTCTAGAACCAGATTTAGCAAGTGATGGATGTGCCTGCGGTGATTCGGTAAACGAAAGAGCCAAGAAATTTAGCATAACGTCGGCGATGCTGTATGCGCAGTTGCTTGACATGATCTCGAAAGTGGTACAACAATCTCTACGACATGATATCTATGATTAAACTCGATAAAACAAACTATAAAAACATTGTGTAGAAAACAATCATCTAATCTTCTTAGTTCATCTTGCAACCGTGTAAGCCTGTTGTGGTGCTGAAGTGTATCCTACTCCTTCCTGTCTACTATAAGCAGCATTTGCAGGTATTTCATTTCCTTGGGCCATTGGTTGATACTGTTGCTGTGCCAATTGTTGATTTTGCATGATTGGAGAGTTGACAAATGTCGGTTGATCATCAATCATAGATGATTGATTCCTGGCATGATTGTGTAAATCGTCTTCCCAATTTGCCCCCACCAGTTGCTTTTCATAATCGTATTGGTTTGTTTGATACAATTCTGGGTGTTTTGATCTAAATTTCCTAATTGCACTGGGGACCATATCAATTGACCACAACACCAAAAGGAAGCCATACCAGAAACAAATACACCATTCAAACTTGGCCGATAAGGAGTCATCGCCATGCTTCATGTAATAACCGAAACATGCCGCGAACACAATTGCCACTACCAACCACACAATTTTTGAAACAAAACTTAGGAAATACAAATTGGATAACCTACCATTGCCGAAAATTACCGTTTCATGAACAGGATCGAGCAAGCTTGGACGAGTTCCAAATATAAAACTAACACCAAAATCACAACAGCAAGAAAAGAATATAAATGCGATGAATATACCAACCATGGTGAGATGGACAGAATGGAAATTTTTTGTGTTGAATATGGAGACAAACAAGATACCCAACTGCCCAATGATGGCTAATATGATACTGGCAATTGCTAATCGTGGTTGATGATAGCTAATGTATGGTTGAATTCGGTTGGTTTTTCTTAAAAACATCCCCGCTATTAATGTACCGACAAAGAATATGGCTTGGAACCCGGCACAACTAATGAAAAGTGGTTGTAAGTTGGTGGCCCCAATATCAGACAAGTATACTGGACTCTGGTATTCTCCGTTCATGAATGAGTAAATGGGATGTCCTTGTACTCCCCAACATATGAGCATCGCAATCAACATGCCCCACCAAACAATCAATGCTACGATTGGGATTAGGTAGTAGTGTATCACTTGGAATCTGACTCTCGGTCTCTTCGTTTTGATCTCCGACATGGGTGTGCAGGTGTGTATCGTAGGGGGTCTAGTGTAGGGGTCTAGTATAGAGGGGGGGGGGGGGTCTAGAGTAGGGTATTCTCTTTACGGGTTTTCGACTTTTTTGATGTATTTTAAACTTTTCCATTGCATTTTTGACACAAAATCTAGAACAAAAGAGCGAGAAGAGCAAATGACAGCAATTGGAACGAGGTTGTTAATTAAACAATAGGGTACATCACAACTTTTCGAGGCTTTTACATATTTGGGAGTGCATTACAAGGCCACCTGACCACTTTCAAGCTAATCTACCAGCGCAGTCCACCTCAACGTTTCCTTCTTCAGAGTACCGTTTGTCACTTTGTTTGTGGCAGTGCAAATGCGCAAAAAAAAAGTAAAAGCAATCAAAAGTCGGGAGAGATCACGCGAGTGTTTAAGGGTTAACCGGGTTGATGTTGAGAATGCAGGTGTATCCAGCCAGAATCATGATTAACATAGTGCTATCTTACATGGTGCATATCGTTATGTCGATCATACTTTCTTTGACATTAGAGCAAGGCTCAGATAGAAAACACAGCCAGCCATTATGAAACTGAAACGCGCGGACTTATTTTCATCCGCGTTTCGGCAATAAAAAAAAAATTTAGCAAGAGCGAGAATTCCGTGTAATTTGTGCAACTGAATCAGATTTTTGAAAATCGTGTTTGTTTTCATTATTTAGAACCTGAGGAGGCTGAATGTATGGAAACGGGAGCATCTGTGGCTTATATTATCCAATTGAGTTCATTGTATTCTTGAGACACGTAATAAGGCAAGTCAAAAGTTGTGTCTATTGCTTTTCGTATGGAGTATAGCCAGCGTAGCTGTTAGCGTTAATCGATTGACAACAAGAGCGTATTTTAAAGAATAACTTTGCAGTGTGTAAAATGTAACCAAACATGTGGTAAACCCATTTTTTTAGTGAAGTTTGGTGCAAAAATTTTGTAAAAGGTTATGAAGAGTTGCAAAAAGAAAAACTAACTACATTGTTGCTGGTGGTTAAACTCCGAATCCATAAGTTATCCCAAGGTAGATCTTGTAACTTCTCCTGCCTGAGTCAACGTAAAATGCTTCGCAACTCATGGCGAAACACATATTTTCGAAAAAAAGGTTGCAAATCCGAGGCAAAATAATGTCTGGAAATATGAGTAAACACGACATTGAAGTATTCATGACAAAGAGAAAACGGAGTACTCTCTTGTAACAGATATGGTGCGGGCTCCCACTAGTAGTGTAGCAACGCCTTTTAGAGTCTAGTCTTCCTTTTCTTTAGTGCTTATTGAGTAATTCCCTCAAACGTAAACTACATGCGAGTTTTAGTGCCAGCGTCACACGCACGACTCAAGAATAACCCCTGCACAAGAGGCACAAGAGGTTTTACACCAATTTTCGGCCAATTAAAACTTTGGTGCCGTCACTGTTGCATTAGCATTAGTACAAAAGATTTTACTCACATTGTCGTGCTACGACAATAGAGACAGCTTTTGTATCAAGGAATGTTTGTGACACGAATCAGTTTTACTCGTACATGGTTCTGCATAAAGGAACCGGTGGTAGTGTGACTTGCCCAGAAAGTTATACGTCACGCACCAAAAAATGGAGGCGATGAGATTACAGAAATTGGGCTACCTCGCCTACCAAAGACTAGAGAGAAGGAAAGAAAAATAAATTAACTTTCGCAGACCACACATACCTCATGCCTAGATTTTCGTATCACTCAGGACGGGCACAGTCGGACGATTTTATTATTGTTTGCGGGAGCGTTCTCCATTAAAGTTTTGGTAGTATACGGAAAGCAAAAGAATCACAATACATAGCTCCAACTTTCGTCATCCGCAGTGGCATTCGCGGTACTGTTCAGCAACGGTAATGATCTGAATAGTGCACTGTGTGTAGGACATTGCTAGTCTGTTGGTTGTGCCTCCTCACTTGAAACAGAAAAAAAAAAAAAGAGTAGACCCGGTTGAGCTTTCTTTCCGCAAATAGAAACTTTCACAAAAAACTATCAACGCATTGCCATGGGGCGCATATTGATTTTTCTTTTTTTTTGTACATTTCCACGTTTGTGTAAATTTTGAAAAGTTCTGGCCCAATTTGTATCTACTGCGAAAAAGAAAAGAAAATAGGCAAACACAATTGCAAATGTCTTCGACAGATAGGTGAAACTTAAATGACAATTGTATCATTGACTCTAGCTATTACGTAATCGCTTCATCAGGTCTTAGTTGCACCGCAAAGCTCCCGATTTCCACGTATTAAATTGTATACACTACTTCAATCCATCGTTAGCGACTGTTTTTTTTGTTACTTGTATCCGAAGTTACACAAACAAAATGCGTATGTGTGTATAAACAACAAACTGTAAATCTCATGACTGTAATTTTTTGGTTTCTTAGCCATTTTCGCACTACCCCAGCACAAAACAATAAAAATTTTATTGATAACAAAAGTAAACCACCCACCTCTTTATGATAATTGCCCAATCCTTGGCCCCAATTCAAGATGTGTATTGCCCTCCCAAAAGAGGGCGTAATGAAACAGGAAACGACTGTCACGCGTTGTGAAAATTTCCTTCGCAGGACAAGGCACAGGTTACCCGCAGCACCCACCTTAGTCATAGGACTTCCCTAGATATCACCCCCTCTCTTCTGTTATCGACACGTAACACATTTTGTTTCCAACAACACTACTAAAAGTGAAACTTTGATGACCTCTTTTGTTCAACACAAAAATTTTAGAATCTCAAAACAAAAATGGTTCGGTAAAGTTGAAAAAACTATTCTTTATCCTGTTCTATTTGGCTATGTATTTTTTTTACACCCGCTGGAAAATGAGCAGTAAAATAAGGAGAGAGAGAAAAGTTAATTTCCGGAATACATACACACCAAAAGAAGGTTATGATATTTTAGTGTCGCAAATCAATAGTCACATATTGTATTCATTACACATTCTCTGATTTCTATTGATCATACATGTTTGCTATGAAATTGTGAATTATCCATGTAAACTTTTTTATATCGGATAGCGGTCCCGACACAACTCTCCACTGGAGTGTGTAGACAGCCATACAACTACACTACACCACCTCGTCCTACTCCCATACCAACTTCTACTTTGACCAATACCTGCACTCCTATACAAGTACTCTTTTTATTTTTACAAGTGTCTGTCTGCTTAGTCGTCTAACCTTTTAGCCAATTTACACACAAAATTGCCCTCAACAATATATGTATGTATGTGTGAGTCTGTAAGTGTGTCCTGGTAATTTATTTTGCGTCATTGACGATTAAGTTTCAATAATAATAATAACACACAAAATGCAACATACAAAAATAAATACTTACACAACAACAATAAGTGATGATGATGAAACAGGAGGAAATGTAACGACAACAAAAAAAAAAAGCTTAAGGATGGAATGAATCTTTCCAGAGATTTTCAATTTACTTTTGGGTAATTCGAAGGACAGCAAAGTTTGATAATTACTTCAAACTCCCTCGCTCCAATGCCCACTAATATATAGCTCAGTGTCTCATTCACCCAACAAAAATTAAAACACTGGGTTTTTTGCCTTTTAAAAGTGGAGTAGAGGCTAATCAGCAATTTAACCAAGTAACTCTCGTCTGCTCTTCTTTTTTTTGTTAAGCCATCAAATATGTTAACAACGACGACATTCTCTATGTGTGTATTCTCCTTTGCTTCCTTTTTCTCCTTTCCGTTTAGATTGTCAGCGCTTAAAAATATAAAATAAAAAGAAAAAGAAAAATTTTTATTCAATTTTAATAAATCGTACTTGATGACAATAGAAACATTACTTTTTGTATACCACAAAAATAGTTAAAATAGAGTCGATGGAGAAAAAGGGTGTAGAAAGGAATACATATACACACGATTGTAGGGAAGGCAACTAGAAAAAAGAAACGGGTGGGAAGAGTTATCACCAATAGTGTTTGGCGTCTCGCCACTCACACCTGTCTCGTAGTTCAGCACTACCGCCTACTCCCTTTAAACCACTCTAGCGGTTCTTAAATTAGATTATGTCTTACTGAGGCAATTGTGGGTGCAATGTAAAGTAGAAAGAAGAAAAAGTAGACACTCTTGTTTTAGACTGTGTATTTACTGCTACTACAACTGCAACTGCATCGTGTAAAGTTTTATTGTCTTGCATACTACACTATTGTTCTTTCCCCCTTGCCTTTTGTGTTGCATTTGATACTCTTTCATTCTGTCTCTCCTTTTTTTTAACTCATTTCTGTTATTGCCTTCTATTGTCTTTTCTCAACTCTTCAAAGTGTTTCACGAGTATAATAATAATAATAATAATAATAATAATAATAATAATAATAATAAGCTTTTGATTCACTCATAATTAGTGATTTTCTTTCTTTCTTGCTTTTTTCTTGTATGTTGATGATGATGGGATTATTATCTTTGTACTCCAGCACCTTGTTACTGCACAGTAATCAGTTTTGTTCCATCTTTATAGGTCTATAGTGACCAGTGGCGCCTATTGATAGGCTGTCGATTCCCTCTCTCTCTCTCTCTCCTTCTCTCTCCTTCTCTCTCTCTCTCCTTCTCTCTCCTTCTCTCTCCTTCTCTCTCTTTCTCCCCCCTATTTGGGCCAGCTACTTTACAAAAAGTCTAGCTAACTGCCAGTTCCAATGAAACAAAAACACACTACAAAACCTTCTTCCTTGTGTGCATCAATAAAAAGTAGAAATTAATTTTTATGCAACAGATACTAAAAAAATCATAAACCTTACACAAAAAGTTTCCTTAAATTTTGGGCAAGACAGAAGACTGCAAATTCGTTTTTGGCAAAAGAAGTAAGTTATATATTATACATAACATATTCCATCAAGCTATCTTTTCTCCCCAACTTATTCAATCTTTTATTCCACCAACACGTATAACAAAATGTTGAAGAACTCAGACTCCTACACCGAAGGTTACATCAAACTCGCTTGGATCATAATATCAACATCACCATCAACACACTCAATGGCTCCATCTCAGTTGGCGAGGATGTATCACCAATATGACGCTAAATACTCCAACTTTATTAGAAATCTAATTGCTAATTCACAGCTAGCGCCCACCAATTTGGTTATTTCACTATATTACTTGTACAAACACTACCATCAAAATAATATGCTAGTGACGAAATTGGAGCAAGGTGAAGACAGTATAGACCCGTTGCATCTCCACTTGATTATAACATCACTCATACTTTCAAATAAATCATATGACGATCAATCATACACTTTGAAAACATGGTCCATCATTATCAATAATACTTGCAAAGATTACGTTGACGTTAAACTACTAAATACAATGGAGTCATATTTTCTAAGTTCACTTGATTTCAAATTGTCATTTATTGGAATGAGCAGTGATGGCTATTTTTGGTCTCTTTTTGAAAAAATCGGTGGAATTGATTATTTAACCTTGTCCACATTTAAATCGTTGGCAATCGATGATTACAACTACTACTACAACAACAACAACCAAAACACACCACCACCAATCAAGACGCAGTCATACACCCCACCACCATCACCACCTTGGAGTTACGATAGTTACTACGACAACATATCAATGAATTATTCGCAACTACAACCTCAACAACCGGGTTACTACTTTCAACAGAAGCCGGTTTACAACTTGATGAACGCATATGCACCAACACAACTATATTATTAAAACAATGGGCTTTTTCTATTAGGTTACTTTATATAGATAACGTTGTAAATAATCGCAATAATTTAAGTAGAAAAGTCTTTGAAAATGTTAAAAGCTGATCACTCTTATTGCACGTGACGATATTTGCCCTGTCTCGTCTTAGATAAACGCTACCAAGTATAGTTTATCCCAATATGGAAAGGTGTATTACGGGTGAGGGAATTTGAAGGCGTAGTAAGAAGGACGCGTTAGAAGTAAGCAGTGGCTGCGCAGGCTAGAATACTATACAAGAATACAAATCAGGACATCCCATATATGTTTAGTTAGTTTTGAATTTTTGCTTAATTTTACATCAGAAAGGAAAAGCATGGTGAGCATATGATATCTCTATTCACGTATGGCTCCGTCTCAATGAGCTCACTTCGCAGCAACTCCATCTGTTTATAATGGCCAACAAAACTTATGAACATGATCCAACTCAAAACGTACCCCAATATTTTTCATCACTTTTTCTTTTTCCATGGAAAAGCTATGTGTATGGGTGTTTTGAGATGTACTCACCTCAAACGGTGACGTCTTCGCGAGAATCAGCTCAACAATGCCTTCATTCAAGTATATCTTTTACGGAAGATGAAAAACTCTGATGGGGGGAAGCCCTTTGCGTGAGTAAGTTTGCCAAATACCTAAAACAGTTCCATGCATCACATCCTCAATGATGTGTATGTGTGCGCCAGTTGTTTTCGAGAGAGAGATGTACCTGAATATGGTGTGTATGAGTGCAGACTAGAGCATACTACTTTGTAAAGGCAATGATGTCGTCAATGTAATTGGTACACATGTGGAAGTCCAAACGAGTAATTAGTTTAATAAAGGGTAAACAAGTTTAGTAATTGTGTTGAACATTATTGCTTTCGTAGATATTTCAATCCTGTGTCCAAGTTTGTCCATTTTACGCGTTGCAGAAATGCTCAATTAATTGCTTTCCCATAATCTAATGGACAAAAATGTATTGTCAATTCCATTCAGACTGCAGTTGGCAACACCAAACTTATCGCCACGTACAGATGAGGTGAATCACGTTTTAGATGAGATCAACAATTCGCAAGATAAATGTTATGAGGAGGTGACAGCTCAACTAGTGACAAAGGTGTCTACGTTGCAAACAACTATTGAATCACTACAGACAAGAGTCATCCAAATTGAGAGGGATGCCATCGACAATAGATCAAAGGAGAAAAATTACACACTAATGTCATCACAGATGGAGCATCAAAAAATCCACGCTCTTCATGACACCAATTCTGTTACCAATGCACCTCGATTACCTATTGCGCAACCACCAAAAATACATGAGCGAATAAAGTATTTCGAATTGCTTCAAACACACGGAGTGCACAACAGTCAGCACTCGTCGAACAGGGACAATCTCAAGAACAAACTGTTTGTCAAAGTCGGGATTCCCCACAAGCTAGAGTCCAAAGATAAGTGGACAAACGCTCAACAGAACTTCACTTTCGACACAGATGAGAGCAGGTTGAATGAGCGCGAGGTGGTAGTAAAGACGGAGTTATGCAAGTCGAATTCCACAAAGAATGACTCACACGTGGAACTAGAACTGGATTCGGTGAGAATTAAAGTCAAAAGACTGCAATTGGAGGAGCTCTCCATCTACGAGCCGCGAATAAAACCATTCCGGCAACGCAAGGGATCTCGACGACAAAGAAACGTTGGTTGCAAAAGCCGCATACGTGACAAACCGAAAAGGACCAAAAAGATGCGAGTAGTTTCAACCGGGACTACTCAGTCGTCTAATGGAGATCAACCTTTCAATTACATGCTATTTGTTTCACTTGTAATTGCAGTTGTGTTCATGGCGTTGGCACTACAGTACCCCATTTGCCATTTGTATCGTTGCCATTGCGTGTGTAAATAACCAATACATTTGTAAAAATTATTTTTGTAATTTCATCTCCTCATCTCATCTCCTCTTCCCATCTCCATGCTCTGTCAGATATGTAGCCAGAATGACGGCAAGTACAAGTGTCCCACTTGTAAGAAACCATACTGTTCACTAGCATGCTACAAGTCAGAGAACCACAAACATGAAGAAATAAAACCCAGCAACAAAACGCCACAGGTGATGCCCTCACCAGACACAACTGAACCAATGACTAAATTCGACAAGTTACTTCAAGATGATCAAATTGAATACCTACTAAAACAACCAGCTTTACAGTTCCACCTCTTATCCATCATTACTATCCTACAAGATGGCTTCATCAACAACCTCAACCAAGAACAAAAACTAGAAGTCATGAATTTGAAATTGAATGATTTGCGAAAAGGCGGAGTCGAGCAAAACGAACTAGTAGAAGAGTTTGTACAAAGAGTATTGGAACTAGATGAAGCCTGAACCCGTTGTGTTTCACTATACATTTCCACCCCAGATGTTCTTTTTTTGACCCCTTTGCCCCACTTTCAATTTGAACAAGAATCCACCAAGATCACCAAACATATCGTCTGCATCAATTTTAGCATCAAAATCATCAAGTTTCAAATGGCCAGTAGTTACATATAAATCATCATCATCGGGACCGCCCATGGTTACACAAGTACATCTTTTAGCTGGGATTTTAATCTTTTCCAACATTTGTCCCTTGTCATTGACATGTAAAATGGTGGATGTTGAAAAAACAGCAGAGTAAATGTCCCCATTAACTGTACGAACCAACCCATCAGGTTCAGGATCATTTTCATCAGGGTATACTTTTTTAGTTTCAATAAATGCCGTCTTGTTGGTCAATTTATTTGTTTTATGATCGTAGTTGAATTTGTAGATAGTAAAGTTTAAAGAATCAGTCCAGTATACTTCATTCCCATCATCATTAAAAGCCATACCATTGGAGATTTTGGTGTTTTCCAACATGACGTCAATTTCTAAATCAGAAGTAATTCGAAACAATTTCCCTTCTGGTTGCACACCTTCCTTGGCACTGATTGGAAAATCTGTCATTACCCCAATCCAAAGGTTACCCCAAGGATCTATAATTCCATCATTTGATCTCAATCTAATCTTTTCCAACTCTGTGAATGGATACTTGAAAAAGTACGTTAATGTACCCTTGTTGAAATCACCCAATGCTAAACCTGATTTGGCAGCCACCAACACTACATCTTCCTTCTTTGTGAGAGCAATGAATCCAATTGACTCTTTTGAGTCAGACCATTTCAAAACTTGGTGCTGGTTAAGATCATCCAACAGGAGACGATGTACCTCACCTTGAATGATATCAATCCATAACAAATTATTGTTGCGATAGTCATACGTAACACCCTCAGTCAAGCGGCCACGATAGCTTTGCGGAAATATATTTCTCTCAGTAGCAATCAATGTCATTGGTGGGAGTTGTTATTAAAGTTGTTTACAGGGTGGTTGTCAATCACAATTGCGCTCGCACTTTTAAACCCTCGGAGTTTGCCAAAAAGTTGGTTCTTATACACGACTGGGTTGTACATGGATATGATTACAAACACCTATGAAAAGAGCTTACAAGTTGAATGTCATTAACTATGGTATATGTGGGGTCCCTAGTAAAATCTGAATTACGTCATGAATTAAATATACTAGCATTCTCGAAGATTGTCTCCTCGTGTTCTAGTGCTTTCATTATTACTGCCCAGAATCATCAGATCGATCTCAACCTTCTTAAATTAGCTCTCATCTACCTCCTTCGCTTGCAACTTGTCCCATTCTCTAGCCAAATTAATCAATGCCTCTGTATCGTTTGCCGCACCAACAACATCGATTGGCACTTGACTTTCACTGTACTGTTTCCTAGCGAAAGCTCCAAGATTTGTCTCATTTATCAACCTGAATTGGTGGTCCTTGTCATCCTTTGGGGTTTGCGTCAATAACTCATTCCATGTGAACAATAATGAATCAGACTTTCGCAGAAATGGATTCACATCTATAACGTACACCTTATCAAAAGGTCGCGGTATATACACATCAAGGATAAATTTACTCATATTCAACTTTGGAATCGCTTCATCATAAACAAACTTGTTAATTCTCTCATTGAGTTCTGGCTCTAGATCCTTTAAAAACTCATAGTGATTCAAATCACGTTGCGATATACCCAAAATTCTACCATCCTTCACAAACACCCTAAACTCCAAGGCAGGATTTATATCCTCCCATCTCTTCAAAACCAATTCGTATGATACCTTAACGTTACTTGCGTTATCAACCTCCAGAAAAGGATACAACAAGTCATCGATTATGTGGTCAGATGACTTTAATAATAGGTATATGTCATCAGCTTCAATACAGCGAATGGTGTTCCCCGGTATCAACCAGCTAGCATCTTTTGGAGATGACCAGTTTAACTTGGGGATAACCTTGCCACCTAACTCCTCTACAAAATTGTTGATTTGATGGTGCAAGTCTGTAAACTTCAGAAGCAAAGGCTGTGGCTCTGGCTCAGACTCACCCACTTCGTCCTCTTCCCAGTCGCTATACTCATTATCACTTGTCAGTTCTAGCTGCACGTTCCTTGCTGCCAATTTTATACCATCACTAAGCAAATAGTCGATAAAGTTTGGTGGAAGTGGATTAATCACTCTGTATGGGTACAAATGCTCCTTGAACAGGCCACACCAGTTGGAAAATGAGCATTGGAGAATCTCGTCCACCGTGACACCCGATTTTTCAAATGTTGTATGATGTTCCTCCATTGCAATGTGTAGCCTACGCGATGGAATCAATTGGAACGGAAGAGAGAAAAAAAAATTGAAACAAGAAAATCCTGCAAACCACTACTCTTTCAATCCATCCATCAAACCAATGACTTCGGTAGCTAGACCACAGCAAGCACCATCCAATGCTACCTTCAAAGATAAGGAAAAGCCTCAAGAAGTTCGTCGAGCTAATATCCTTGCAGCTAGAGCTGTATCTGATGCAATTAGAACCTCATTGGGCCCAAAGGGAATGGACAAGATGATCAGAACAAATAAGGGTGAAATTATCATTTCCAATGATGGTGCAACTATCTTGAAGCACATGGCAGTGTTACACCCAGCTGCCAAAATGCTTGTTGATGTAAGTCATGCACAAGATGTTGAGGCCGGTGATGGAACAACAACCGTTGCCATTTTAACGGGGGCTTTACTAGGAGCTGCAGAGAGGCTATTAAATAAAGGCATACATCCCACATTGATTGCTGAGTCTTTCCAAAGAGCTGCCCAACGTAGTGTTGAAATACTTTTGGACATGGCATCAAAAATCAAGTTGGACGATAAAGAATTGTTGATTAAAGCAGCTTCCACATCATTGAGCTCGAAGATTGTTTCGCAACACTCACTGTTGTTGGCTCCGTTGGCAGTGGACTCTGTCTTGAAGGTGATTAACAAAGAACAGGACAATGTCGACTTGAATGATATCCGTTTGGTAAAGAAGTTGGGTGGTACGATCGATGACACCGAGTTGATCAATGGGGTTGTTTTAACCCAAAATGTTGTAAAAAGTGCCGGAGGACCTACTAGGATAGAAAAAGCCAAAATAGGATTGATTCAGTTTCAATTGTCACCACCAAAACCAGATATGGAAAACAATGTTGTTGTCAATGATTACAGACAAATGGATAAAATCTTGAAAGAGGAAAGAGCATACTTGTTGAACATTTGTAAAAAGATAAAAAAGGCCAAATGTAACGTATTGTTGATACAAAAGTCTATTTTGAGGGATGCCGTTAATGACTTGGCCTTGCACTTTTTATCAAAGTTGAACATTATGGTGATCAAAGATATCGAAAGAGATGAGGTTGAATTCTTATCCAAAGCTGTCGGATGCAAACCAATTGCTGATGTTGACAATTTCACTGAAGATAGGTTAGGCTCTGCCGATTTGGTTGAGGAAATTGAAAGTTCTAGTTCAAAAATTGTTCAGATAACTGGAATCACTTCAAAAAACACCCAGCCTACTGTTTCCATTGTTGTGCGAGGTGCAAACAATTTAGTTGTTGATGAAACAGAAAGATCGTTACACGATGCATTGTGCGTTGTGAGATGCTTGGTTAAGGAGAAAGCCTTGATCGCTGGAGGTGGTGCGCCAGAAATTGAAGTTTCAAGACAATTGATGAAGGAGTCAAACAAATTGTTTGGTGTTGAACAATTTGTTTATCAAGAGTTTGCTCTTGCGTTAGAGGTGATACCAACTACGTTGGCCGAAAATGCTGGATTGAATCCAATAAATGTTGTTACCGATTTAAGGAACAGACATGAAAATGGGGAAAAGAATGCAGGAATCTCGGTAAGAAGATCAGGTGCTTCAAACACATTTGATGAGCACGTATTGCAGCCAGTTTTGGTCAGTACAAGTGCCATCGTATTGGCTTCAGAATGCGTGAAATCTATTTTGCGAATTGACGATATTCAATTCAGTCGTTGATACATATATGCTATACAAGTTTAACTGATCTTGATAATCCCTTCTTGATACCCGTCTTTTCACCTTCGTATGGGCCTTTACTCTTTTCACTATCATACACTTGTCTAACCGATTTGAGTTTCTTCTTGGCAGTCTCGTACTGCTTTCTCTTTTTAACTCTTGAGTTTCTGTATTCCTTTTTACGATGAGGAGTGAGACCTTTATTCTTGAGGATTTGGTAATTGATAGCTCTTTTACCATCTTGTCCAATCTCTTCTTGTAATTCCGCCAATTTGCCTTCTTTACTTGCCTTGATTGCAGCAGCATGAGCTAGTTTCCTATTTTTCAATTTCAACTTTTTATCATGTTTGAGGGCTTCATAATAACCACTATCATCCTCATCACCGACATTGTCGTTTCCTGCATAAAAGTCGTTTGCTTCATCGTCATCATCCTTCTTCTCAAGTCCTCTCTTTCTTGCTTCTTCAATCAACTTTTGTTGCCTCTCGTATAACCTCTCTTTATATGGTACATCCATATCACCAGAGATATACCTTTCTCTCTGTGCTGCTGCTTTGTCAATTTTGGCGGTGTAGAACCTCAAAGTCTTTTTACGACGAGTCTTGTCTTCCAAATCCAAGTCATCAATATCAGCTTCAGTGAAGTCATCCCCAGTTGACGGAGGTGCTCGCCTTATAACTCTCTGCTGATGAATGTTGATATTATGACCATTATCAAAAGTTTCTTCCTCCTCTTCATCCTGCAGAATTTGACTGTCGTCTTGATCCTCTTTGGCATCAACAAAGTCCTCCTCATCAATTTCGCTTGAGCTAACCTCATTTGTCACCTCTTCCTCTTCAGCCACCTCTTTGATTTCAAGTGGAAGTTCATTTGCTTGCCTCCACACTTCTCTGGAGCTCAATATCGATTCCATGACGGGGTGGTCTTTCATAGATAGAAACCCTTGACCACTGCGAAGGTTGTCGACAAATATAGCCATGTACGATGTGATCGATGCCAAATACCCCGATAAAGCGCTAACTTTTATTGTAGTGCATACATTTTGGTCCATCAGATTCAAATCACGAAGTTTCGGTTGCAACTCTTCCAACTCTCTCATCAACGGTATAAATTCGGGAAAAGATTGTTTGAGCAACTTTAACCTTTCAGTATCATCAAGGGAATCGAGGCTAGTTGATGTATCAAGCACGACTTGGGAAATGTTGCTATCCTTGGTGTCGAAAGTGTCCGCTTTCTTTTGCCAATCCTCTAGTATTTCATCATCAACATAATCATCCATTTCCAAATCTTGAAGATGCTTTTTTTGTTGTCTTAATGCTTCCTCTGTCATTCGCTTGGAGTCCTCGTCATCACTAGCATCATCACCACCATAGTAGTTTTGTCTACCACCCCATCCCTTTTCCTCATCAACCTCATCTTCAACGTCTTCATCAATGTCTTCGTTCTCGTCCTCATCCTCTTCATCAGCGTCCTCATCACCGGATGCCCAAACTTCCTCTTGTGAGTCTTCATCTTCACTCACTCTTTCTTGACCATACTCTCCGGCTTGATCTAGTAATATTTTTGATCTGTTTGCATTAAATGCATCGACTTCGTCAAAGTCGAACTCATTCTCGGTATCCTTTGCTTGCCTTGCCATTGTTGATATACTAAAATTGCAACTCAATGCTCATCTCAAATCATTTCCAACCTTTTTTTTTTTTTCTCATTTTCACTGCCATTCACCTCTTCAACCATCAACATATATCCATCACAACATGTCGAACCGCTTGGAATCATTGAATTCGAAAAAACCTTCTAGCTCACCGGTGCCAAAGCCCGGTCTCAAGTTCAAACCCAAGGTGGTGCAAAGAAAATCAAAGGAGGAGAGAGCCAAAGTTGCACCACAAGTTAAACAAGAACCTCAACGAAACGCATTAACAAGGGGGCGTGGAGGAAGTGCTAGAGGTCGAGGTCGGGGTGGCCGCAACAATTATGCTGGTACGCACATAGTGACGTCTGGCCCCTTATCTGCTGGCTCTGTATCCATTGGTAATCTGAGCGGGACCAAACTCGGACTAACAGCAGACTTGGTCTACAGTACCAATGGTGAAAGCCTGGCAACTCCCGATTTCATTAATAATTTGAAAAAGAAAGATAGCAGGTCGTCAACTCCAGGGGTGGACTCTGATGGTGAAGACGATCCTACCAAGATAAATATGACGGAAGAGTATAATTTCGAAGATGATGCCACGGAGTTGTTCCCATTCAGACCTTTCAGAGATGATGGTATTAAACGAGGAAACGCAGTGAAAGATGAGCCTTTCTATCCGGTTAAGGTTGAACCCACAGATTCAATGGAAAGCTCACCTGCAGTGATATCCTTAACTGAAAGTCGGGAAGCTACAGTTAAAAGTGAAGCCATCGCAGATAAGATTGAACTGATTAAGGAAAATAAAGCTATACTCGAAAGCAAGATCACCCAGAATGATCTGATTGCTACAGATGAAGCCAGTAAGCTAATCACCGATAATGAGGAAGTCTTGGATATCCTAGCTGGAAGTTTCAAAAATCTATCAGCACGTGAAAAAGAAGATGATCATTATGTTCTCTTTCAGTTGCCACAACATCTACCCAAATATGCGCGTGAAGAGAGCTTGGTAAAGCAGGAACTCGGTACGATTGAGCAATCGCAAGATGCAACTACAAAATCACTGCTCGGAACAAACACATCAACATTACGAGGCGAGATTGGGAAAATCAACATCCATCAGTCAGGAAAAATTACTATCGACCTTGGGAATGGAATCAAGTTGAATGTGACAAAAGGGGTACCTACGGATTTTTTACAAGAATTGACCATATTAGATGCTAGCAGAAATCAACCGGGGGAGGAAGACGTCGAAATGGTAGACGATGAAGGTAAAGACATATTTGGTAAGCTTATTCGTTTGGGTGCTGTGACTGAAAAGATTATAGCAACGCCATGCATTAAATAACAAGGTGTGTGTGTAAACAATTTCAATGCACGTGACAAATGATATTTTGCGGCTTACTTTTTTTGGTTGTAAAAATATTCCCACCACTCCAACACTTAATTCTATAACCAGCTATGGATGAAGACCTAGACTCCGTCACTGAAGAAACTTCATTTCAAGTGAACCAGAAAAAGATCTTATCATTGGACCACCATCGATCAACATTGGGAGTGTCTTGTTTGGATACGGAAAGTCGAAACTTATTTGTGTATGAGGATATTGAGGTGTCTTACCCGAACACGTACGTGGAAGCCATCATTGATGACTTGGAGCCAGATATTGTATTTGTCTCTTCGAGATGCTCAGAAAACATGATTGCTTACTTAAGAAGCTCGGAGGGTGATTGGAATTTGGTAGTAATAGTTAAGATTGTATCTGATTATACAAAATTTGACCACCAGAACTTGGCTCAATCATTTGAAAAATACAATGGTTCCGTTGAATCAAAGATTTTTGTGAATGCGGCATTGAAATCACCTTTTTTCAAAACAAGTGTAAGTAGAGAAATGTTCACGTTGTTGGTCGAATCTAGTACTAACAAAGTTCATAGATGGGCACATTGAATGCGATATATCTTGGAATTGCCGATTACATTGATTACCTATGTTTGGCTGAGATGGTCGATTCGATCGAAGTTTGCAACTTTAAAAATCTCATGTTTGTGGACACTGACCTGTTGTATGCTCTTCAAATAGTTCCTGATCCCCAAACTAAAAAGAATATTCCAAAAAATTCAATCAAAAGTTTACTTGACTTTTTGAATCATACCGTTACTAGAGAAGGATACTTGCTTCTTCGTGATTGGGTGAGAAAGCCGTTGGCCAAATTGGATTTGATCAAACAGCGGCAGATTATTGTTCAATGCTTTTCACTGGAGTCTTTCAAAGACAATCGAAAGCAGATTTTCAAATTATTAAGCCAATTAAAGAATCCGTTTCGCAAAATCAGACGACTTAGGACAAATGAGTTGCTTTGGAATAGCTGGAAGTCCTTACTTGTGTTTTTATCAAACTCGGTTCAAATTGCAAAGCTTTTGAGATTATACTTTGGATCGTTGAGCATAGAGACCTCAGTCGATCACAAATTCACAACTTTATTAGAGGATGATGTTTTCGAGTTTCAAAAACTCTCCGAAACCATACTTCTGATAATTGAGTTACAATCGTCAGCGGAGGAGGGGAAGGTCAGGGTTTTGGGTGGAGTCGATGAAGAGATTGACGGATTGAGGGTAATTTACAACGACTTGGAGTCGATTTTGCAAGCATGCACACAAGCGTTGATGTCTAGTCATAACCAGAGCTTCAACACTGTTTATATACCACAATTGGGATTTTTAATCTCCGTTGATATCGCAGACCATGCACTGGGGGCGGCATTAGAATGGGATCAAGTGTTTGCGACACCCTCGAATGCTTATTATAAGTGCGACAAAGTGCAAGAGTTGGATGAAAAGTATGGAGATATTCACACTCTCATCAATGATAGAGAAATTGAGATTATTCAAGGGTTACAGGAAGAAGTGTTAACCTATGAAGCTAAGATACTCAAAGTTATTGACGGTCTTGTGGAGTTAGATTGCTTGTGTTCCCTTGCTGAAGCGTCAGCATCACCTAACTTCAACTATCCCACATTAACTAATGGGTTGGAGCTACAGATAAAAGATGGCAGACATGTGTTGTTAGAGTCACTTCTGAAAGTGGTTGTTCCCAATGATGCTATTTATGAAGAAAAAGAACGAATGATTGTATTAACAGGCGCCAATTTTTCTGGAAAATCAATCTTCTTGAGTCAAGTTGCATTGAATGTTGTGCTTGCACAAATTGGTTGTGCAATTCCTGCGTCATCTGCGGTCATTGGTATAGTTGATAAATTGCTAACAAGAATTCTGTCCAGAGAATCTTTAGAAAAACGCCAAAGTACGTTTGCAATAGATATAAATCAGCTTTCAAAGTGTATCAATCTTGAAACAGAAAGGTCATTGGTTATCATTGATGAATTTGGGAAGGGTAGTGATTCCATTGACTCACCAGCGCTCTTAGGGGGCACTTTGACTTATTTTGCTTCACGAAGTGATTGCCCACGTTGCATACTATCGACACATTTCTTGGAGCTTTTCAGAGGTAATTTGATTGTTGATAGAGTGCGTTCAGAGAGGGTCAAGTTCTTGTGTACACAAGTTGTATTGACTGATGGAGAAGCAAAAGCCGCCGATATCACCTATTTATACAGAATTGTCGCAGGAGTGTGCGACAACAGCCATGGCATTCATTGTGCCAAGGTATGTAGGATCCCATCATCTATCATTGCACGAGCAGAAGAGATCGCACGTAAGCTCGATGCGGGAAAAGATTTGGTCAATGAAATGACGTTATTAACAGCACATGAAGAGCAAAACTATTCGATAGCTAGAGATGTTGTTATGAAGTTTTTGGCATTAGATTTCAGCGACTCAGTTCTAGTTACGTTTGATCTTTCAGAATTTGATGCTATTTTTTAATTGCTTATCAACTTGGCTGCTAAAGATTCAAGGTCCTCCAAAGTCTCTGGCTCATCAATTTCAATAAAGTCATCCTTCTTTTGTTTCTTGATTTCTGGCTCATCTTTGAACCAAGTGTTATCTCTGCCTGATGTCTTCTTGTCACCAAATTCCATATCGCGCTCCAAGTCTGGAACATCTTCCTCCCTTTCTGAATAATACTCTCCCTCTTCCCTCAATCTTCTTTCTGCTTCCTTTCTTTTCCTCTTTTTCTCTTGACGTTTTTGTCTTTCGACTTCTTTATCGGCAGCATCTGTTACCTTCATCAACTTCTGCTCCTTTGTAAGGAAATCCTCCTTCTGTTTCTTGGCATCTCCTGCTTTGATGAAGTCTTCTTCTCCTTCCAATTCATATATTGGATGCGCAACACCGTCATCATCAAACTTCAACTTGGTCGGATTGCCCTTGTTAGCTAGTGACGCCTTTCTAGAAAGCGCCTTTCTCTCCAGTCGTTTAGACGCTGGTAACAGTAAATCGGGCAATTCTTCATCCTTTAGCTCATGATTTTGTCTCTTTACAGTCATGAAATCTTCATCGTCATCGTCGTTCTCCATCTTTCCATTTACCTTGCTGTTGGTTAAGTTCAAGTAATGGTCTGACAAGATGGTTTGATTTTTTCTCTCAAACATCCGATCGTACTTGGTTTTGATCTTGGACGGTTTCTCCTTGATCTCACCATCAGCGTCACTTTTCGACAAAGCGAGTAACATTCTCGACTCGTTCTTCTTCTCCTTACTTGCAGAGCCTCCTTTAATTTTGATCTTGGGCGCCCCAGGAAGACCTAATGAAGCCGCATAAGCTTCAGCAGGCAACGACTCCACATCGAAAACTTCCTTGTCCTTTTGAATATACACCGATTTGAAATAAGCAATAAATGCCCTTTGCCCTAAATTCTTCATCACTGGATCCTTAAAACACAAAGACTGTAATTGTGGTCTAATTGACTTTTTGCTTTTTTGTTTGATATTCATCAATTTCGGTTCGATGTTATGAATCTTGAGTCTTTGCAAAAATGCGTCTTCTTCACTTGGGGTAAGCATTAGCAAAGATTTACCTTGTCTCCCAAATCTTGCCGACCTTCCTACACGATGTACGTATGTTGCAACATCTTCGGGACAATCAACTTGAATAACCCAGTCTATTGCAGGAAAATCCAATCCTCTTGCAACGATATCAGTGGCAAAAAGGCATACATGCTGAGCTTGAGCAAATTTCATGGTTGTTTCCAAACGTGATGTTTGCTTATTACGTCCATAAAGCTTCAAAAGGGAAATACCTGGTTGAAGGGTACGAAATGTTTCGTAGGTGTATTGCACCTGCTTTGACGACGAGAAAAACACCAAAATCTTACTTTTCAAATGTGATTTGATAAATGACCACAAGACATCCAATTTTTCATCCAAGGGTACTCTGACATAGTATTGATCTAATGATTCAGGGATGGTTGAAACATCTTTATCAGAAGAAGTACCTATTCTTTTTGGATTTGTCAACGACAATCTGGCCAAATCTTGAACACTATCGGTAGTAGTGGCTGAGAATAACAACGTTTGTCGTGTTGGTGGCAAATGTTTTACAATGTTGTCAATTTGCTTTTTGAATCCCATATCAAGGCATCTATCAGCCTCATCTAAGACCAACACCTGCAAGTTAGATGTTTCCATCCCCACAGCTTCATTTAAATGCTGTGATATCCGTCCAGGTGTGCCTACCAATATGTTCATCCGGGATATTCTTTCCTTCTCGTATTGTACATCTTTTCCACCGGTAACCAAACCAGCGGAGAATGAATTGTATTTCCCAATCTTGGCCAATACTTCAAAAATCTGAACCGCAAGTTCTCTCGTTGGTGATACTATCAAAGCTGCTAATCCGTCATACTCAGTAATGTCATTTTTTATCAAAATTTCAATTACAGGAATCAAAAAGGCTAGTGTTTTACCTGATCCTGTTCTAGCAGTTCCCATCAAATCATGCCCTTTCAAAGCTATTGGAATAGTCTTTTTCTGAATATCTGTCAATGAAATAAAGGAGGATTCCTTAAGACCTCGTAGTGTATTCTGAGTAATTGGAAGGTCACTAAATTGTTGCATCGCATCTTCATCTATATTGGGATTGTAGTTTTCAATTCTTTCTTTGAGTTGCTTGAGTTCTTCTTCTTCCTTTTGACGTCTTTCTTTTCTCCCTTCACGTTTGTGGGCCTTTAAACCCGCTTTGGCATGGCTCTTCTTCATGTTCAGGTCTCTTCACGCTGGGTGATTTACAGGTGTAGGAGAATAACTCTAATTTTTTTTCTTATTTTGATACTCTCTTTGTGTACTAAAATTTCACCATCTCATCGCCAACCACCAAGCTCATTACATTCACTACGTTAACCTACTTACATAGGCGGTGCGTCCTGGTCATTGTTTCCAATGACATCAGATACACACACGCACACACACACACACACACACACACACACACACACACGCACGCACGCACATACGCATACACCTTAAAAGTCAAGGATTCGCGAATATTGCCAGCATAAATCACCATATTTATCCCGCGAACGTGCATCCAAAACATCAGTACATACTTTGCCTTCATTTATTCCATACTTTTTCAAAATACTCAGTATGAGTTCGGGTGCAGTGATATTCTTCAAACCAAAACTTCTGTCGCTTATTTCAACTTGTATGAGCAACCCTTTAAAGCTACCGTGTAAGAAAACGTTGGACGTCCTGATACACAAGTTACCATTCTCTAATTCGTAAATTTGGCCGCCGTCTCCCTTGATCATTTGCTTCTGGGTCCATAAACTTTGCAACTTCTGGTTAGCAAGAATATCGAATGGATCGTTAAGCCCGGTCGTTGCACCCAAATCTAAATGGGTATCTGGAATACATTCTGTTTGCAAACCGAGTTCCGTTGCCTCTTCTCGTATCGTGCTACTGAATACACCTACAGACCTTCCGTTTATTAGGGTAAGTGTACTCCCAGGTAAATATGAAGGTGATAGCGTGTACATGAACTTGGACTCGGTGCTCAGGGATTCCTGATGAGCAACTTCATTCGGAATTGCATACTGATTGTTTTTGAAAATCCGAAATGCAAAATTCCACTTACCTTTTTTCATGGGTAGGTCGTTGGCGAGTTGATCTTGGAATTGTATTATTGTATCTGGAGTCGCATTGCGAACTAGTATGACACTGAAGAAGTTAGTAGGATAACTAAAGTAGCATCGTTGCATCCAAATTATCAAAATACATACGCTGACACCATTTGGGGGGGAATTCACTGTCGATAGTTTGTTGGAGACGTTGTGTTGGTTAGGATGTGTTGATCAACGAGAAAATGTAGAAAAACCCATTCTTTAAATTTGTGTCATCATCAATGAAAAAAAAAAGTACTTGTGTAACCATGGGCGGTCCCGATGATGATGATTTATATGTAACTACTGGCCATTTGAAACTTGATGATTTTGATGCTAAAATTGATGCAGACGATATGTTTGGTGATCTTGGTGGATTCTTGTTCAAATTGAAAGTGGGGCAAAGGGGTCAAAAAAAGAACATCTGGGGTGGAAATGTATAGTGAAACACAACGGGTTCAGGCTTCATCTAGTTCCAATACTCTTTGTACAAACTCTTCTACTAGTTCGTTTTGCTCGACTCCGCCTTTTCGCAAATCATTCAATTTCAAATTCATGACTTCTAGTTTTTGTTCTTGGTTGAGGTTGTTGATGAAGCCATCTTGTAGGATAGTAATGATGGATAAGAGGTGGAACTGTAAAGCTGGTTGTTTTAGTAGGTATTCAATTTGATCATCTTGAAGTAACTTGTCGAATTTAGTCATTGGTTCAGTTGTGTCTGGTGAGGGCATCACCTGTGGCGTTTTGTTGCTGGGTTTTATTTCTTCATGTTTGTGGTTCTCTGACTTGTAGCATGCTAGTGAACAGTATGGTTTCTTACAAGTGGGACACTTGTACTTGCCGTCATTCTGGCTACATATCTGACAGAGCATGGAGATGGGAAGAGGAGATGAGATGAGGAGATGAAATTACAAAAATAATTTTTACAAATGTGTTGGTTATTTACACACGCAATGGCAACGATACAAATGGCAAATGGGGTACTGTAGTGCCAACGCCATGAACACAACTGCAATTACAAGTGAAACAAATAGCATGTAATTGAAAGGTTGATCTCCATTAGACGACTGAGTAGTCCCGGTTGAAACTACTCGCATCTTTTTGGTCCTTTTCGGTTTGTCACGTATGCGGCTTTTGCAACCAACGTTTCTTTGTCGTCGAGATCCCTTGCGTTGCCGGAATGGTTTTATTCGCGGCTCGTAGATGGCGAGCTCCTCCAATTGCAGTCTTTTGACTTTAATTCTCACCGAATCCAGTTCTAGTTCCACGTGTGCGTCATTCTTTGTGGAATTCAACTTTCATAACTCTGTCTTTACTGCCACCTCGCGCTCATTCAACCTGCTCTCATCTGTGTCGAAAGTGAAGTTCTGTTGAGCGTTTTTCCGCTTGTAAAAGATTTTCTTTCCTTCTTCTTTTAATATTTTTAAGCGCTGACAATCTAAACGGAAAGGAGAAAAAGGAAGCAAAGGAGAATACACACATAGAGAATGTTGTCGTTGTTAACATATTTGATGGCTTAACAAAAAAAAGAAGAGCAGACGAGAGTTACGATGTCTCTGTTTGTGGCATGAACAAAAAAAAAAAAGCATCCCGAAAACCTCATTGCAAAAATAAAAATTTGAGAAACGTATGAACCAGACGCCCAAAGAAGCAGCTATTCGTACTGTACAGTATGTCACTACCTGTAACTCAAGAGGCCGTCTTCATAGGAGTAAACAAACAGAACTATGTTTCCGACTACAATCAGCATCATAAACTAATTGCCTTTGGTGCAAGCAATACAGTCGCTCTTTGGAAACCTTTGGACAAAACGCATCATGGAGTTTACTATACTTTGAAAAAACATACAAAGGAGGTAACTGGAGTAAAATTCTTACCTAATAGCGAATTCTTGGTATCTATTGGAGAAGATCATGTTGTAAATGTATGGAAGAAAAGTAACGATGTTTATACTCACCATCAATCGCTCAGTGGTCATGAACATTCGGTGACCTGCATTGCCGAAGTTAATGAGCATATCTTTGTTACAGGTGGAGCTGACAAAAAGATAATCATATGGGTTAATAACGGTGACGGGTTCGAATTGGGTCACAAGTTTGAAGTCAAACACAACTTTTATCCATTGTCTTTGGCGATTCAACAAATTGACGATGATGGAAGTTACATTCTAGCCATAGGAGGAACCACCAACAATATTCACATCTATACGCTTCACTTTTCAAATGGCCCTGTTTCAAGTGTCGACAAAAGTGCCGAATTAACTGGTCACGAGGATTGGGTCAAGACTTTGCAGTTTGTCACCAAATCAAAGCACAAGGATTACATTTTAGCAAGTGGGTCACAGGATAGATATGTAAGGCTATGGAGGTTGAAGTTGAATGACGCTATTGACAACACTGACGAAGATCCTTCGAAATTGACATTGCTCTCCAACAAGCAATACAAATTTGACTTTGGTGGCGGTAAAAGAGCAGCATTCAGTTTTGAAGCATTGATAATGGGACATGATGATTGGATCACTGGTATTCAATGGCATCCTTCGTGTAAATACAATTCGGAAAATAGTGAGTCCAAATTGCAGTTGTTGACATCCACTGCCGACACAGCACTAATGATTTGGGAGATGGATACTGAGTCAGGAATATGGGTGTGTACAAGTCGATTGGGGGAAATGTCTATCAAAGGAGCATCAACCGCCACAGGTGCCTCTGGCGGGTTTTGGTCATGTTTGTGGTTTATTGACGACATTACAAATGAAGAGTATGTTCTTGCAACAGGCAAAACTGGTGCAATAAGGGCATACAAATCAGCACCTGATAACACCAAATATTTTGAGGAGACTATAGGAGTTACGGGCGCTGTTGGTGCAATTACGGATTTGAGGTGGTCCATTGGGGGTGAATACTTTATGGCTACTTCACTTGATCAAACAACGAGACTTTACGCACCTTGGAAGAGAAACTCCGTCACTACTTGGCATGAAATAGCCCGACCACAGATACATGGATACGATATGATTTGTTGTGACAACATAACAAAGACCAAGTTCGTCTCTGGAGGGGATGAGAAGATTTTACGAGTATTTGAACTCACTGAGTCAATAAGACAGCATTTAAAGGCTTTAGGGGGAATTGAAATCAGCGATGACAATGAAAAACTTCCAGAGTTTGCCACTTTACCAGTATTGGGGTTGTCAAATAAAGCTGATGCGCAAGTAGAGGAAGAAACAAAGAATGACGACCTGGCTGAGGACATTGTGCTTAAAGCGCAAGACCAAATACAAGCACCTCCAACTGAATCGTACTTGCAAAGAAACAGTCTTGCCACAGAAATCGAAAAGCTTTATGGTCATGGGTACGAGGTGACTTGCTGCTCCACCTCACCTAATGGGAAGCTTATTGCCACATCTTGTAAATCAAACAATGCGAAGCATGCTGTGATAAGAGTATTCATGGTGGACAACGATTATCAGCAATCAAAGCAAGTGCTTGCGGGTCATAACTTGACCATTTCAAGTCTCAAATTTTCTCCGGACAGCAGATATTTGTTGGCAGTATCAAGAGATAGACAATTCTCCTTGTGGAAGCTTATAGATGAAGAAAAAGCAGAATTCAACCTAGTTGAGCTTAATGCAAAACCACATTCAAGAATCATTTGGGATTGTTCGTGGTTGCCAAATGCCACTTCCTTTGTCACAGTGTCTCGTGATAAGCAGATGAAATTGTGGGATATTCAAGAGGGTAAAGTATCGCTCGTGAATGCTTTGAAATTGGGTGAAGCTATCACATCAGTCACAATATTTAAAGGCAAGCAATCACTTAATCTGAGTATCATTGCATTAGGGTTTGAAAGTGGGAAAGTATGCGTTTATCGTACGGACAGTACTGGATTCAAAGAGGCTGTGTCGTTTGATGAAACGATAACTCCGGCTGATAGAATAGAGAAGGTGAGTTTCAGTACTCAAATCACAGAAAATAAGTTGCTTTTGGGAGTGGGTAGTAAGGATACCTCGGTCAGGGTATATTCTATAGAAGATAGCATATTTGGATGATATATAGTGTTGTGAAGTTGTACACTTATAATTTTAGCGATGTGTACTTCACGTGACTCAATTTTTTATTTCTAAAAATTTGTAAAAACTCTGTATGTATTACAAAACGTCACATCCAAAACCAACATGGAAGGATCAAACGACAAAATTACAGAGCTCGAAATTGAGGAAGTGAAAGATGGTAGTGTTACGGTACCAATTCTTGAGAGATTAAAGATTCAATTGAGGAATGATGACGACAGAGAGTCTGAAGTTGTAACAAGAAACCTACCAGCCATTATAGACAGCTTCAATAAAGCCATCAAAACTAATTTGCATGAAAATACCGAGGCCTCTGAAGTATTGGTCGGAATCTATCAAGTTCTTGTCAACTTAGTTGCTCGCACCGATAAGAATCGCGATTTCTTTACTACTGATTCTCCTGAGATACACCATTTTTGGAGACTAACAAAGTCTTTCCTCGACAAGCGCGACGTCTCATTGCAATGGTTGATATTCACATTTGTTGGTCAATTTATAGTAGAGTCTTTGAAAGTTGGTAACTACATGAGATTCTTGCATAGGGAAGGTATTCATAACCTGGTTTACCAGGACTTAGTTGAAGGCAATGATGACGCGTTTGACATTACATATGAATTGATCAAAGCAAATGCTGACGCCTTTGACGATAGTGATAATTCGTTAATAGAGGCTTTGAAAACGAAGTTTGCTCATTACTTTCAAGAAAGTGATGATACAGAAGCAATAGAAAAGTTGGTTGAGATTGTTTCCTATTCTGGACCTGATAAAAATGCATTCAACGAGATGCTCAGACGCTTATCTCACGTGAAAGATGTACCATTAGCAAGGAAAATGTTGGTTGCATCTACTTTGCTTTTCACCAACAAACCGACTGATGTACCGATTGATCAATTGACGACCGCTAACCCTTACATCTTTGCAGTTTGCTGCATTGTTATTGGAAACTGCATCGAAAATGACGCCACCAGAGATCTGACTTTTGGCATAGTTGATGCCGATTTTGGTATTGATAGATTGATTAATACATTTTTCCGAAAGTTTAAAATATCTGATGTCATCCAAATCCAAGCCATCCATATGTGGACGAATTTGATGGATGCCAAAATTGCAAATGAAATTGTGAAACTGCATTTAGAGAAGGTTATTTCGCTCAATCAGGTTGTGAGTGATAACGCTCAGTATTATCGTGAGATTGCAGCGTTGTACTATAAATTTTTGAGAAAGTTACTCATGTCAACCACTGAAGAGGTACTGACAGTATTCATCAGACAAATAAATCAATTTGATGGCAGTTTTCCAGATCAAACGCGGGTAAAGTATATTCTATTGCAAAAGCTCAATTTCGACACAGAAGAAGCGCATGATGTGTTATCACTGTTGATGAAGTCAATTGTAGAGCTTGTGGACCAACACGATGTCCTTGAACAAATCAAAACTATATCTATTTTGAACCAGCATATTGCCTCCGGTAAACTTATTTTAGACCTGTCTATACTTGACAAAGCTTATCTTCCCTATCTTCAAGGTGTATTACAACAATTGCATGAAAGTAAAATGTCCTCAGCATCAGAGGGGGATGTAAATTCGTGGCAAACAAAAGCTTTTCAAAATAACTTGAAGTTCATGGCAGCCACAACCACCAAGGTACTTGAATTGAGATCGAATCGAACTCCTTCAACCGATTATAGCGAGCTTCGGCGAATTTGCAATGTTATTCTCATTGTGGGGTAGGTCAATATGTGGCACATGTTGCTTGAATGTAACAGAACTGTGGGTGTTGTGGAGCCGTTAACGGCATTTGTGGCATATATTTGTGTTCTTACCTCCCCAGAAGGAATTCCCAAGCGAAATGACTCGGTACCAGACGCTCAAGCTGACTCTGGTATTTTTGTGTACTCACGGCATTCGAAGGGAAAAAAGCCAAAACTTATTTTCTTTACAGCGCGCATTTTGTGTCAAACTATGTTGCGCCTCACACACTTCCCCATTCGTCAGCCCCGAGGTCATAGTAGAAAAAGTTTTCCAGTCTCATAACCTTTCAAACCAAAGAGTATTTAATGCAGGTAGATTCAGCCAGGCCATTATGTCTTTTTCAAGTTCGGTAAAGACAACGACTTATTTTTTGAAGAATGACAGTGCAAACCGTATTCTCCAACTTGGTGAGGGAAGAGCCTGACCCAATAATCAAAACCATGCAACAATACCACAAGGATACCAATCCACAAAAAATCGATGTTTCGATTGGTGTATACAAGGATGAAGCAGGTGCATGTTACGAGTTTCCGAGTATAACCCAAGCCAAACAGATCTTGCACGACAATGATCCAGGACATAATTACACCAATATGGCCGGCATTACCGATTTTGTTGCTGGCGCACAAAAGCTTGTTTTCGGTGATGAAATTGTTAAGCAGGATAAATTGGCTTCCATTCAAGCAATCTCGGGGACTGGGTCGTTGCATATTGCAATGTTGTTGTACCGCGAAGCAGGCTATACCAACTATTACATAGGGACACCCACGTGGCAAAACTATCAACCCATGATTGAACACATTGGCGGAAAGGTAACCACCTACAAGCACTATAATGAAGAAGCTAGGCTGGTTGATTTCGACTGTGTTTTGAGTGCTTTAAACTCAGCTCCTAGCAAATCAGTTTTTCTCTTTCAAACCTGTTGTCACAATCCAACTGGAGCTGATTTTACTCGCAAACAATGGGAACAAATTGGCTCCATCATGCAAAAGCGTCAGTTATTACCCTTGTTGGATACTGCATGTCAAGGATTTAGTTCGGGGACCCCCGATCAAGATGCTTGGCCAATTCGTTACCTTTACAGTTTGAACTTGGAATTTATTGTTTGTCAATCATTTTCCAAAAACATGGGTTTATACTCTGAGCGTTGTGGAGCAGTTCATGTTGTGGTTCAGGACAAGGACTTTGTACCCAATGTTCAAAGCAACTTAGTTGCTCTCTTCCGTCATGAGTGTTCATTTGCACCAGCTTTTGGTGCTAGGTTGGTCGCTATTATACTCAATAACGACAAGTTGAGGAACCAGTGGTTGAATGAGTTGTATGAATCGACTATGAGATTGAAACATTCGCGTCAACGCATTTTAGAGAAATTGACTCAATTGAAGACCCCTGGTGATTGGCGAAATGTCGTTGAACAGAATGGATTATTCTGGTACTCAGGTTTAACAAAAGAGCAAAACGAACAATTGATTGAGAAACACAATGTTTACTCAACAACCATGGGTAGAGTCAATGTTGCTGGGTTGAATAATAAGAATATAGATTATTTCTGTTTAGCTATTGATGATGTGGTTAGAAACACATAAGAAGTGGAACCTACAAATGGCGATTGCGATAAATAGTTCTGAATATAAATCAAGTTTTTTTCTTTGATAAACCATGAACTAACCTTGTATAGCTATAACATCCTATCTCTGCCCTATAAAAGTTGATAAAAAAAAACAATAAAAATAATGTGCAATCAAAACTGAAAAACTCGTCTTCCCATTTCAGTCCTGGTAATACTCTTGTGATTTTCCTTCCCCGTTCGTTTAAACATTGGTTTTGCCATGTATCTTTTTCAAATGTGCCTTCAAATTATCTTTTCTATTAAAACATTTACCGCAATTTGGCTCTTCACATTGAAATGGTTTTTCCGAAGAATGTGACTTGAGATGACGCTTGACATGTTCTGGTCGCTGGAACCTCAGGTTGCAAATGGGACACTTGTGTTTTTTCCTGGGATCAACTTTGTCATTTTTTTCTGACCTATTGTTACGAACTTTTGGTCGTGTAATGTTGAGATCTTCGGGAATTGGTATAGTTACGGTTCCATCTTCCTCAACAATGCTCTCAAAAGAACTGTTTGATTCCTTAGGATTGTCCTCTTGATTGGTCTGTGATTTGGCTTTTGATCTTGTGGATCTCCTTGTGACCGGCTTTGTGGTTGCATCATCAAATTTCTTCTTTTGAGAATCGTTTACTGGAAATGCAGCCATGGGTGGTAGCAAAGCTGGAGTAGACGATGAGGACACATGACTACTTGCATGTTGGCTATGTCCCTCTTGATCGGACTCTTCTGCCAAATTCTTGCTCAAGTTGATCGATGCCGAAGGATGTCCACCTTGAGGGCTAAGCCTCTTATGTTGGTTGTAAGGTGATACTGATTGATTCAAGTTTTGAGTAATGTTTTTATCCAACTGCGGATAAGACCCAGAATTATTATCAAACTCAGCCAGCAACAAATCAATTTTAGGAGCTTGGTCGTCTTCCATGTCATCTTGATCTTGCTCATATTGTGTTTGCCCAATTTTTGACTTTGGCATCGGAAGCATGGCATTGGGCAATAGCAATGTCGAACTTGAGCTGCTCTTTGGTTGGGGGCGTTTACTCATTTGAGTCAATAGATCATGGTCCTTCTTGTTTTTCTTCATCAAACTCGAATACGATTTAGCCTTTTTTAATTGCTTCAATGCATCATTCTCCTGATCTTCCAAGTGCTGATTATCGAAAACTTCACTCTTGAAAGGACTGAAAAAAGTTGATTGAGAAGACTTTAGTTTCTGCGAGCCGGGAGTTAGCAATGGAGTAGCCGACAAGTTATTCCCACTATAATTTTCCTCATCATCCAATGAGTTCATCCCTTGTGACGGTGTATAGAACGGGTTCAAGGCTGAGTTGTACGACGATGCCGAATTTGTCTTGGAAGCAAGCACCGCTGCAGTAGCATCCAAGGATACTCTCGATCGGGATCGTGAATGGCCCTTAATTTTATTTGCCGGGGTCTTGGTGACCTTGTTGAATGCAGTAGCTGCCAAATTCACTGGTGAAAATGATTGTGCGCAGTTTCTCAAGGGCGTGGTGTAAGAGGATACCGACATGGACTTGTTTCTTCCTGCCCTTCGAGGAGTAGAAGTGAAATGCTGTTGGTGTTGAAATTGTTGGACATGTTGTTGTTGTTGATAAAACTGTTGTTGCTGCTGTTGTTGTTGCTGTTGCTGTTGTTGTTGTTGTTGTTGTTGTTGTTGTTGTTGCTGTTGCTGTTGTTGTTGTTGTTGCTGAAAATAAGGTTGCTGGGTGGAGAATTGTTGATAAGCAATTTGCTGTGGCAACTGCTGATGCAAGGGGGACTCAAATGAAGGAATTGAATCCAATGAATAAATAGTGTTTGATGAGATGGACTCAGGCAATGCCGAATTTTGACTTGGTGGGTCCTGATTAACCGACACAACGGAATTGTTATGGTAATGCTGGAAACCTTGATTACGGCCACCAGCAGCTTCGTCCAATGACACATTTCTTGAATGATTGAAGCTAAGATTATCGGCGTCTACTATGTTGATACCCAAACCCGAGTCATCTGTGATGTAAAACTTGTTCTCCGGTAAATTTGTCGAAATCGGCACAACCTCATCGTCAAACATGGAGCCATCGTCTACGTACTCAGACTTGGAATGGAAATCTAGACCCTGTGATAGTTGCTGTTGCTGTTGCTGTTGCTGCAGATGTTGTTGATGTTGTTGCTGTTTGGACTGTAGCGACTTTTGTAGTTGGTGCTGATCCTCTGGCTGAGATTGACTAACTTGATGTGGTTGCTGTAATTGCATTTGGGTTTGCTGCGATAGCGCTTGCTGTTGCTGCTGCAATTGGTTACCACTTTGTGCAGACTGGTTTTGTTGTAGACTTAGCGATAATAAATGGTTTTGGGGGAATTGTTGAGTTGTTTGATCGTACAAATCGATTGAAATAGTCGAATCATCAAACGGTTGTGCCAATTGGGTGGGTGAACTTAGCAAGTAATTTTCCATTATTTTTATATCCTGCGATATATGTGCTTAACGTAAAGCGAGCTTGAACAGAAAGTTTTTCTTTGTATAGGGGTTGTATCGCTAGGCGTTTGGTTGATCTGATGATTCAGTATATATTGTGTTGCTAAAGGTATTTTATACTGGGCTGTGGTTCTGAAAGCGTAGCTTGTGGTTGAAGTTCATGAACAAAATCTCGACCCAAAAAATTAAAGAAGTAAACTGATAAAAATTGGAAGAGCGAAGAGCGTGATTCTCTCGATATGGGTTTAAGTGGGTACTTATGTACAAAAGCGAATGTGTGGATGTTGTTTTTTTTGAAGGGGAGTGGTCAACGCTACTATGTATAGTTTTGCTGGTCCTTTTTTTCTCTATGATGGGAAAGAATGATTATATATTTAGAAGAAGTTGAACAGAATAATAAAAAAAAAAATATACATATATTAAAGTAAAATAAAATTCAAACTGAAAATAAAATAAATCCAAAATGTACAACTTTATTATAAAGGTTAGGGAAAGTCCAAAAGACAGCGAATCGGAGTTGGCTGTTGGTACATGGGAAAGAGCAGATCATACAACTACGTTATCAACTAGCATGTGGTTAATTGGGTGGCAAGAGTCATCGAGAGTTGACTTAACGCCGGAAACTCTCTCTTCACGCAGGCTTAGAAATTAATTTTTTTTTTTTTTTCAGCTCTTGTTTAGACGCCTGATTTTTACTCAGTCAATCACTTACTTACTCACAACACTTGTTTGGATTTTTCTGAGTGTATAATATAACAAACGCTTTAGTGTTTAGGGCAAGTTGCAAAATATATATAGACTCCAAAGAACAACGCTGGGAAATGCCTTACTTTTAGTTGCCAATATGCGCTCATCAAAGACTACATCCCGTAGAGTTGGCCAGCTCATTCCACGACAAGGTAAATCATTGATCCTCTCTCCGTTTGCCGTTTCCACTACCTTTTGCCTTTTAGAACCGTAGTTAGAGCTCGAATTGAGTACGCAGATTTGGCACACAAAGAATGACTGGAATGAGACAGAAAAATTTTCATTAAGAAAGCGGAAAACAAATCACAAGCAAATCACACCCATAAAGGAAGCACACAATGGGACAAATGTTTTAAACGCAGAGAAGTAGCAAACAGAGCCGGGGAGGGGTGGGTCTGTTGTAGAAAGTAAGACAGAACGTGGAGCTAAAGAATGTCCCCGTATTACCTCCGTGTAGAAGTGGCTAATTATTAAACCCCAACTAAGTCCCACACGTGAAAAAAAATTCTTTTTATAGCCGAGTGACGCCAAAAAAAAATATTAAAAAAAAAAAAAAGAGTATTTCAAGACGCGTCATGACCTTTATCAAATAAAAGTAGTGTATGCAATCAAGCTCAAACCTTCACTTGAATTAACCGTCATCGTAATTCACGCTAAATAGGGGTGCGAGGAAGTGGATTTGTCGCCCGCGTATGTCGACTAGGTTTGACTCCGGCATGATGAGAAAAGCTCGTCAGTTTGTTAGCATTCTTTTAAGTTACAGTTGCTTTTTGATCTGAGCAATTACGATGTCCACGTTCGTCAGCTTAACTTCACCTGAATGAACTCCCTTCCCCCGCGCTTTCAAAAGATAATTTGACTTGAGCTCACAGCAACTTGGTGCAGCAATTGTGAAAAAAAAAAAAACAAGAAAAGAAAATTAACAGGGGTACTCAGCCATCAGCGGAGAGTATGATCCACCACAAAGACGGCCCGTGCCGGATATGTGTCTCAAGGCATATGTTGCTTTCGCTGTCAATAGTTTTCGTTTTATTTTTTTTGTCATTTTTGCTGTCCCCTTCAAGTAATGAAGCTACAGTGGCCTCCAGTTATGGCCAAGGCACCATGTTCTCGATGTAGATTGTCTTGCGCCCAATTGATCAGTTTACAAGGCACATGGTGTAGGTTGTGAATCTAACCCTAAGCCTTCTCGGCACAATAGGATTTGATTTTGTAATCGAGATGAACAATTTTCAGTTCAGCTTTGTGTAATTTTTGATACAGCGATAAAATCGAGTAAATGCTCATGTGCATTTTACATATGAGCAAGAAGTTAGATCTAATAATTCAGCTGAAGCAATTTTAATGACCTACGTTGCCAAAGGGTTAACTCCGGCTGAATGAATGTGACGAGGCCTTTCATCCTGTCATACGAGATATAAGCTACTAACGCTTATATCGGCTGCTTTTATCTCACTTTCTAATTGATCAAAGCCTTGGCTCTTGAACCGAGTTTCATTTCATGACTCTAGGATAAACGGGCTTGTATTCTTGATTTACACTCGACTAAAATTTGAGAAGGTATCACGTTGTAACAGGCATTCTCCGCCCTATTCTAGACCGCCTCTATATTTTCGCTTGGTAAAGAAACTAATGTGATCATTCAAAGCTCTTACAAATTTATTACAAGCAATCTAGTGTTTCTTTTACGTGGATGCTGCTAAATTTAGAATTAAGGAGCACGTTTGCAGAAAATTTAGATAGCCGCCGGAACTAGATGAAAATTGTTTGTTTTGTGTAGCCTTTTACTCGCCTACACGCATTGCCTCTATGTTTATTTTTAGCAACAGCTATCTTTGAAATAGCAGATACAGTTTACGGGGTATCGTAGTCCCTCCACACCGTGATTATAATACCGGACTTTTCTTCGGCCCTACGAGATTATCCCATCAATTGCAAAACGTATCACTTTTTTGTGTTTGCATGTGCGACGACATGTTCGTAAAATTTAAATCCGGTTGTGGAACGCAGACTATGAACTGATTGACGCCGCTCTTGTATTTCAAGAGCTCGAAAAGTTCGAAGATCATGAGGCGATGTACAACAAGATTTGGCTCTGCAATACCAGGTAGAGCGCATTTAGGTTGTTAAGGCAGTTAATTAAATAACTAGCACGTTTCCAGAAATATTCCAGACAGAGAGCAACTCAGGAGGTGTGATTCCTTTTCTCCCAAGCGCTCCTTTGGCTGTAATCTTTTGATCCCAGTAAAGTGTTAGATTCGAATAATCTGACGACATGTTTACAGTACCGTTTTGTGATTTTGTATCTTGTTACTGAAAGCATCTCTATTCGAATTCTGTTCTGCATTGAATCACCAACTACCCAGTTCCTCTTGAGACCTTGTAAAGGTTGTACTCCAATTCTCTTCACCATGAGAGCTAGCCTACTGTCACAAGAACTATAATGAAAGCTAGAATGTGCTGTATTAGCCACTCCAATTTAGGTGCCAACCAAGAATTGTAATTTCGCCATCACTTTGAAATCGACCGCATTTACTAAAAGAGAGAACCAATGACAACCTTTCAAAATCAAACAAACCTAGTCTATCTCAATACTCTATCCACCTATTTAATTATTAACCGATTCAAGAGCAACAATGGCATCTCTAACAGTTGCAAAGGCGGATTGAGGATTGACACCAGTAACAATTTTGCCATCAACGACAGAAAAGGAATCCCATGGTCCCTTTGGAGCAACATAAGTGGCACCTTCCTTTTTGGCAATGTCCTCAATTGTTAACAAATGTTCCTTTTTGATAACATCAGTCAAACCTAATTCTTCCTCACCTTTATCAGTGAAGCCGGTGATCTTTTTACCTTTGATGAATGGCTGTTTAGTTTCTGGGTTTTCGAGATTGTTGAAAATGGCAGGTCCATGACAAACAGCAGCAACAACGCCGCCATTCAAATACGTATTGATCAATATCTTTTGCAAGTTTTTGGCTTTAGGGTAATCATACAATGTAGCATGACCGGCACTGGCAAAGAACAAGTGAAACTTTTCGTCAACTACATCCGATGCCTTTTTAATGTTTTTCAAAGCAGTGTTGAATGCAGAGTCTTTGTTTTCGTAAACCTCTTTCACTTTTCCCAGCAATGCTTCCTCTGTCAATGAATGAGGGTCATATTCGTATTCACCAGTTTCTGAGGCAATTGTAATTTCAAACCCCTTTTGTGCTAGTTCCAAAAAAGGCTCAATTGCTTCAGAAGCGAATACACCAGTGTGGTCACCATTTGGGTAGAATGGACCGTGATATGAAGATACTGCAAGTAATGCTTTAACCATAGTGGAGCAGGAGTAATGTGATTGTTGATGAGGAAATGAATGGGTTGCCTTGTCAGTTGTTTGCTGCATTCAAGGGGAGGGGGGGGGGGTATTTATATTGCTGCGAAAAAAAAAATAAATAAAAAAGCGGATTAATTGTCTTTTTAAGTTGCTTTGCGGAAAACATGGGGCGTCTAAATTTAAAACTTTTTGGGTATGAAGTCATAGCACTTGGAAACTAGTGAGCGAATACCTTATACGTCTTACTTTACACAGTTGCTTTCAATGGTATACTAAGGGCAGCGCTCAGACTAAAGTTGTTTGTGTCACGCCATTGCGGTGGCAACTGCGTTAGTTGTCAAACCTGTGTTGTTGGTAAAAGCTTGTAAATTGCACAGACATAAGCACTGTGTATCGTTAGCTTTAAGAAAGTACTGAGGTGGCCGCTGAACAGCCACAGCCGTGCTCTCTGTTGTTGCCACCTATGACGCAAGACATTGGTGGTGATACTTATATGTCGCATACGCAAATCGTACGACATAGCTTCCCGACATTACTCCGAAAATTATCAACGAGATTTCCTAAAAGTTGTCAACTACACAACACTTAGACAATCCACCAACTAGCACAGTTATTCCTAGAACATGTCCAACAAATTCCCTGAGATTGATGTTCCTCAATCCAATGGTGATGATCTAGACCACTCGGATTTCCTCTCTCGTGAAAAAGAGTTACTCGGAGATGAATTCAAAACGGACCAAGACAAAGTATTGGAAGAGGACAGTGATGATGAATTCAACGAGTTCAAAGAGCAATTCCCAGAAGTTGAAGGAAGCGAAAGTGTGCAACAAGAGTTCAAATCTACCGAGGAAGTTGACGATGAAGATGCAGATGTTGCCCTTGCTGATTATGGAGCAACAGAAACAGTCAAAGATTTATCACAGTCCACCTCCATAAAGGAATGGAAACAACGCAGGGACTTGGAGATTGAAGAGAGGGAAAAAGTCAATGAGCAAAAGAAGAAGGACATTTTATCGAAAGCACAACAAACAATTGATGATTTTTATGAAAACTACAATCTGAAAAAGGAGAAGCATATTGCTGAGGTTGAGAAGGAGCAAGAAGCATTCTTGAAAAAAAGAGACGAGTTTTTGAAGCATGGAACTTTGTGGGATAGAGTGAACGAGTTGATTGATGCCGTTGGAGTACCCACTGTGGACTCAGAGGGTAATGACAAGACAAGGTATAGAAACTTTTTAAAGAATTTAAAAGGCAAGGAAAAGGTACCGGGCGCAGGTGGATATCAAGAATAAGTCTTTGAGATGGTATATAGCCATAGACTGTTGTGTATTACAGCAATAGAGAAAAGAGATTGTAGTATAGTGTCATATTGTTTATTGTGATACAAAATTGGCCACTTTAATGGAATAATCTTTAGAAATCCGTTCCGACTCTATTGTTCTATGTCCATTGATGAAATCGTTCAAGTTCATCATTTTAAAAAACCCAAAACACATTAACACAGTCTCTAGTTTATTCCACAATGATAGGTGCAATTTCGAAAACAAGGGATGGTATGTCTTGAGAATCCTCCATTTAGATAACACAACAAGCTTAAACAAGTACATGTTCAATTCGTTGTAAAATTGTTTCGAAAATAATCTGGCAGAAGGAACTTCATCTATGTCTTCCTCGTAGATGACGTTGTCCCCTGTAACCTTGAATTCGGCCTCTACTCGTTTATTGTATCCCCAATCGGGAATCATCTGCATGTAGTTCAACTGTATAGCTACCAATCCAGCAACGAACCCAATCACCTTGGTATACGTCTTAAACACCAGTTTTTGGTTAGACACGTAGAGTCGATGCAACTCAGGGTACCTGCTAGACCCAAGGAGGGTAAACATTGGCGATGACACAGCAATTAGCAATATGGATACAAGATTGGGTGTGTAGATCAAGTTGGTGATTGAGTTTGATTTATGATACACATATGCTGCATAATTTTGGAGTACTGAGGCCTCGCTATCGGGGCTCCCATATCCATACTTGATTGCATAGAACCTGTCTAGCACACGATCCTTGAATGAATACCCAGCGACTACTGCAGCAATGACCACATTATGAAGTACGTAGTTTGTGGCTAGGTTCTTCCAATTGATGCGACTATAGTTTCGACCAAGTGAGAAATTGATCCAGATTGGGTTGAGTATGTACCGTTTCAAAAATGGTGACAAGTACATCATGTTTAGCTTGTATTTTGTTGGCGTGAGGTAATTGCTTAATATCTGGGCGTATAATGTGGGAAAGAGTATGAACTCCTTGTTTCGATACAATTTCATCAATGGCGAGTATATACTTGTCGACTTGTATGTGGATAGCTTGAAAGGTTTGGATAAACTGTCGGACACGAGAATTTGCGATTTGGAAGGAGGATTGAGCTCTCCGTGGTATGCACTAAGCAACGTTACAAGGATGTAATCTTTGGGAAATGAACGCATATCAACAGTGGCAAAGTATAGGAATGCACATGTGATGAAATTCGCAATCTTTGTGACTTCATTTGGTGGATCTTTAGCGGTGTTTAATCGTAGCATCGGTAAGCTCTCTTGATAGTACGATAAGAGTTGTCGAATTGGCTTATTCAAGGCTAGGAAATTGGCCCATTGTATGGGGTTTTGTAGTTTGACAATGTGTAATATTATCACCCACTTCACCCAGCTGTGTAGCGATGAATTACCAAGTATTCTGCGGTATATTGGGTCAACTGGTTGTGGTGCTTGTGAACGTGGTTCTTCCTCTTGTTTTGGTTGCCTTTGCTTCTGCTTTGTCTCCACTTGCTCCAAGTAGTTGTATATACTACTGGACATTAGCTCATTGAGAGCTCTCGTGGATGGGCTTGGTACAATCATGGCCAATTCGTAACCGATGTGTACGTTGTAGAATGTGGAGCTCTATTTGTTGTGGCTTTCCAAATCAAAAAGTTTCTTATCAGATGACTATTTTAAGCGCGAAGCTGGGGTATGTGCCATGCGACATTGAGGAGCTTTAGCGCTTTGTGTGTTGAGAAGTAATGTGGGAGTTGAGAGTAAACAGCTTCACTTGTTTGAAGAGGGCTATCAGATGCAAGAAAGTAGTAAGCTATGTTGTAGAGAAATACTCCTCCGCCATGAACATCCTCGGTTGAGGGTTAATACGAGTTCTCGGGCCGGTTTCGATCTAGACACTCGACTCCTCGCCCCGGAAGAATCGAGAGAAAAGAAAAAAAAATCTCCTATAAAAATAATCCCTTTTGGGAAATGCCAAAAGTTATAGATAAACATACATACCACGGTCAAACTTTGCACAGTACAAGAGCACCCACGGCTGAGTAAACACGAAAGTGGGCTAGACTTACACATTGAGACTTTACGGTATCCATTATTGACGCCATTGGGAAAGTCAGAATGACTGTTGAGACATACAACGAGGATGGATACAACACTAAAGCTGGACCACAACAGAGAACACCATCCCCTACTAACAGAGCTGGAAAGCACAACCTGAGGTCAAATAATCCAAATATGCCTTTGCAATTCAAAGTGCGGCAGTTTTCCGCGTCACCAAATAACATCAGTGATGATGAACAGAGATCAAACACACCAAATGGAAAAGTAACCCCTAGATCGAAAGGATTAAATGTGTTTGCAGTATCTCCACTAGGAGCAAGGAATTTACTGCAGAATCAGTATAATGGAAGCCTCACCCCACAGTTGCAACCAGGTAGAAGATCCTCGGTGCTATCCAACAACACCACTTTGCCATTACTATCCGAATCAGACGATGAGACACCTTCTACAACATCACAAGACAAGAAATCACCTATCTCAAGCTGCGACTTGGAACTACCGCTGGACGAACGGCTTCTACGCATGAGCATTGACGAACAATTGCGAATACTAGCTCTTAAGGAGATGGCGATTGTGCAGATAAAGGACCAGATACAAAGCCTAAACAAGAAACTACACACACAAGAAGGCGAATTGCACAAGCTTCGAGAAGTTGTTCAGAAATCATTGTACCAGGAGATTAGTGGTGCTGCAAGCAACACAAGGACGAACAGACAAAGAACGAATTCCAACCCTCGAGATCAAGCTATTGAAACTATCCGGGCTAAAAGGCGATCATCATCGGGTGCGCTCCAGCAAGAACCAAACAATGAGGAAAGTGGCAAGCCGTCTAAGCTATGGAGCGGACTAACAAAACCATTAAACATGTTGCAACAATTTGATACAATGATTCAAAATGAGTTTGAAAAATCGTTGGTTTTGGATAAGGAAAAGCAGCAGCAGACAGAACAAAAGCGGCAGCAACAACAACATCTACAACGTCAAAGGCCGAGGGATCACACACGAGTCTCACACCAGCTGCGCAGTTCAGAGGATTCAATTGCGAGCACTGTATCAATTTCTTCACCGTTGCAATCACGAGCACCGCAATCACTATCAGAGTATAGAGGTGGTCAAGATCGACAGTCGGACGATATGATTCAAAGTGTTTCAGCTTCGATTTGGTCATTCGTCAACGAGGTTAAACAGAATGTGTTGTCCTCGTTGAGCGAAGAGGACTTGACTGTGAGCAACGATTTTGATGTGGATGATCAAAGTATTGATTTTTCCATGTATAAACGATGAATCTATACAGAGTGACCAATAGCTTTTAACTTACCATTTTTTCTTAACTTACTCTGAACCTGTCCTGAACCTGACTCTGTCTCATAAATTCTACTTTTCGAGGCGATATAAAAGGTAGCGCAGTTTTGATAGATCTAACTTGTCAGTCATTTCCCCCCACGTCTGATGAACTTACCCTCTGTCAAAACGTCGTTCGTTGAAGCAACAAATCAATTGAACAATCCACCGTGTCGCATATTTTTCAAAAATGAGTTGGAACAACCATCAGGTAGTTTCAAGCTACGGGGTATCGGAAACCTAGTGGCAACAAGAATTCAAGAGGCTGAAGAACTCGGCAAAAATAAAATTATTGTATTTTCGTCATCAGGTGGCAATGCAGGGTTGGCAGCTGCGTATGCAGCAAAATATTATAAAGTAGAATGCACAGTAGTGCTTCCCGAAGTCACAAAACCTGAAGTTGTTGACAAGTTGAAAGGTTTGGGGGCTAATGCTATTCTTCACGGTGCTCATTGGGGAGAAGCCGACACGTACTTGCGAGAAGTTGTCATTAAAAGAATCAAAGACGATGAATATGCGGTATATTGTCATCCTTTCGATGATCCAGTGGTTTGGAAGGGCCACGCGCAAATTGTGAACGAAATTTTAGAGGAACAACAATTACCCAATTTCGATAAAGTAAAAGGCATAGTGTGTTCAGTTGGTGGTGGTGGTCTTTATAACGGAATTGTCGAAGGCGCTAGATCATACGGGATCCCAGTACTAGCAATGGAAACAGCACAAGCACCAACGTTTCATGAGACGGTTGAAGCCGACAAAATAACTCATTTGAAAACAGTAAAGACAATCGCTTCCTCATTGGGTTCACCATACCTTTCGGCAAAGTCATTTGAAAACTACAAATCACACCCAACACATCTTGGACTTATTGATGATTTGGATGCGGTGCAAGGATCGATTGATCTTTTCGAAAAGTTCAATTACTTGGTAGAGCCTGCGTGTGGTGCCAGTGTGGCCACCGTTTTTAAAAAGCAAGCTTTGTTACAGAAATTTGGTGACTTGAAACCGGATGATATTATTATCATCGTCGTTTGTGGTGGAGCAGGAGTAAATGAAAAGATCATTGAGCGGTACAGAAAATTGGTTTCTACTGGAGGAGAACCTTGATTACGATATAGATTATACGTAGACCATATATGTATGTATGCTTTTTAAAACTCGAAATGGAAAGCTGTCACTAATCTACACTAACACAATCTATGCTACTTTATAAGCGTACAATTTTATACACATAACTTAGAAACTATAAACCTGGTTCCATTTATGGGTTTTGGTCAACAAAGTCAACACCCTTCTTGATGTTCTTGATCAAAGTTTCTTTAGCGGTCTTGACCAAGTCCTCTTCATAGTCAGAAATGTTACCCAAACCGTGGACTTGTTTAACACCTTCAACACCCAAAGTAACCTTTGATGAGAAGAAATCGACACCTTCATCCTTAAACAATGGTGAATCAACAAAAGTACATTCAATGACATCCTTTTCTCCGTCCAAACCGTTCAAGATCGAACCAGCAAATCTAGCACCAGCCTGAGCCATGGACAAAGTAGCTGAACCAGCACCATCCTTAGCCTTGACAACTTCATCACCACCAAATTGAATTCTATGGACCAAAGCATCTCTGGTGTCAGCTGGCAAGTCCTTGTGAGTAGTTTGTGACAACAATGGGACAATGGTAACACCAGAGTGACCACCAACAACTGGAACGTGTTCATTAACCGGGTTTGTTCCGGCGATTTCGGAAACAAATCTAGCAGCTCTCAAGATATCCAAGGTGGTGACACCAAACAATTTCTTTGGGTTGTAGACTCCCTTCTTTTTGAAAACTTCAGCAACAATTGGAACAGTTGAGTTGACTGGGTTGGAAATGATGGCCAATGCAGCATTTGGAGCGTGTTCAGCGGCAGCTTTGGCCAAGTCTCTAACAATTGAGGCATTGGTGTTAAATAAATCGTCTCTGGTCATACCTGGTTTTCTTGGAACACCAGCTGGGATAACAATGACATCAGCACCAGTCAAAGCTTCCTTGATTTGATCTGGGTTGTAACCTTTGACAGTAGAGTTGGTAGGAACGTGAGATACATCAGCAGCAACACCTGGAGCACCTTTGATATCATACAATGCCAAGTCAGTAACTTTGTGGTTTAATTTCAACAATAATGACAATGGTTGACCAATACCACCCCCAGCACCTAAAACGGCAACCTTGTAGGCATTGGAAGCAGATGATGAGAAGGATCTAGTAGCAGCTTTTGAAAACATAATTGATTTGAGTGTGAATATATTGTAAATCGATAGCTCAATTGGTTAAAAGAGGAAAAAGAAGAGCGTTTATATAAATGGAATTAGATTTGCAATTGGAAAATTTTGTTCACTGAGAAGTTGTATTGCGTTGTGGATGTGATAATTTTTCTCCAGATTTAATTTGTCATGGGTTTCGGTTTTTGTGTTCAACTTCTTACCCAACTGACCAATAAGAGTTGAAGAATGAACAACGGTGTATATTGCTTATTTATAAAAGTCCTCACCCAGAGAACTTAGTTGAAAGCCCAATGATCATTAAATGCAGTAAGTTTGATAGTCATCCGAAGGTTCCTGGCAACTGTTTTCTTGTTCACCGGTTGTGATAATCATTTGGATACCCGTGTGTTACTACACGTGACTTTTTTTATAACCGAACGCTTGAGTGATAAATCCTATCCTTTTAGCCGGTTTGTATCCAAAAGGCGAATCACAATATTATTTTTATATTTTTCAAATGTCGTTTAATAGTGTCGCGAATAAATATCTCAAGACAATATTAGGAGGATGTCCATAATATTTACTGTGAAAGGACTCCTCGGCTTTACGAGTATAATTTGGAGTACAAGTTCGGTGCTTTGAGCAGCTGACGCTCGTCACGATCGACGCTAATGTCAATTGTAAGCGGTACCTCAGTCGGCTGCATGTTCGTAAATGTAGTGAACACTCTTGTACCACGCCATTCACCATCAGTACACGCGGGGAGATCTCCATTAGAAACTGCTTTTTTGATGAATCTTTCACTAATGCGTAGCAGCTCGTCTCATCCGCTCTTCTTTGTCCACCAAAACTTTGTTCACTAGAGTTTCGATTTCAATTTGCAACTACAGAAGAAAAAAAATAAATTATAAACAAAGGATTTAGGTAAAGCCATTGCTCCATCAACATCACAGTTTTTACAGCCATGGGGGAAAGCACGCTTGCTGAATCATACTCCATGGATATACCCCATGTTGCTGCGGTTGAACTACCGTTAAACATCAAGAACAAAGCCAAGGTGATTAATGCACTTGGAGGCCGGGACAAGATATCGGATGCTATTAAAAACTCCGATGTGCCACTTGAACTTCGTTTTAGGAAGGACCCATTCCACCATCCAGTTCAAGCTACTACATCTACGAATGAACGTGTTTTGATCAAAGTATCGATACCAAAGAAAGTGGCGAAACAGAATCAAGGAGCACTGGTTCGTGAATTGATTCAAATGAGCAATGATGATAAATCAGCACCAAAGATACAACCAATTGCTATCATTGATAAAACATTCAGATTTAGGGCAATGAGTGATTTTCAGGTAATTACTAAAAACAACCTTGATGTGCAAGATATTACAAAAAATGTACTCAATGCAACAAACTACGAATCACTAAAGCAATATGTCGAAAACCATAACAATTTTCATGGATACATGGATATGAATAATGAGTATTTTGAAAACAAGGATCATCATTTACCACCTCCGCCGGTCTTTTCACCAATCAAGTACCCCTATGATTATCGTTATCAGAAAAATCCCATTACGTCGGCTGTTAAGGATGAGAAAAGCGGAGAGATGAAAATAATTTCCAAAAAGACTCCATTCAAACTACATACTATTCTTATCGATATCTCAACCGATCCGCCAACTCAACCCCCGCCAAAACTAACGGCAAATCTAAACAAATTACTTGATCAAAAACTTTCAGTCAATAGCCCAGAATATTTGCTTGTCAAATGCATTGAATGGTGTAAGGAAATGTTCACCATCAAACCCATATGGATTAGGCGTCAATTGTATGACATTATTCCTGACGAGCTTAATAAAAGTTTAAAATTTGCTTTGCCATACGTTTCGTACATATATAAATCGGGTCCTTGGCGATTTTGCAATATCAAAATTGGAGTTGATCCACGTACAGACCCGAGTTTCTGGAGATATCAAAATGAGTATTTCCGAGTTCTCGGGGTCCGTAACTCTTCACAAGATTCATCAAAGAAAGTTGTACCAAAGACATTGGAACATGCTCCGTTTCCTATAGAAATATCACAAAACTTGTTGTTTGACGGTGTCAATTTACCATCGGCAGTGACGTACCAAATTGGTGATATCTTGGATTTGGACATCACTTCGATAATTGAAAATCATCTGAAGAGCATGGGCAAAGATTTTGTACGAGACAGTTTAGATACACTGGATGGTTGGATTAATAAAACGACAATGAACTTGATTAGACGCATAATGAGGTATAAGTTGCAACAATTGGTGAAGGAGGAGCCAATCGATCAAAGTAAGATTTACAAAATGTCAAACGCTGATTTCGCAAGAGAAGAGACATGTGTCGAGGATATAAAAGACGATGAGGAGGACACAAAGATGGGTATATATGATTTTGACGATGGCGATGAACAAGAAGAGGTAGTAGAAGAGTTGAGAGGAGAAGAGGAGGTGGTGGAGGAGGAGAATCAAAAAGAAACAGATATTTTACCAAAGAGCGTGGATCAAAGCGAACAAGGCAACACAGCAGAAACTGATCCAAATGAAGATCCCGATGCTATGGACATTGATGTTGCTGTTGATATTGACGACATTTTTACTCGTGTACGTAACATGAATCCAGAAACAGCTGAATCATTGCGTCATTTAGTTGGTTTTATACGACAGGACGATTTAAATAATGAATAGTTGTGTGTAGTTGCCGATATATGATTGTTACATGCCAACTCAATAGCTCAATCCAGTCAACACCAGAAAAGAACAACGCAAAAAAAAAAAAATTAAATAGCGAAGGGGAAAACCAAAAACCAAACAACACGTTGACCACAGTCAAATTTATCAAATCAATACAGAAATGACTAAAGCAACAGAGACAGGCCTTACGCTATTCTTTTTATCTGCAATTTATTTTGCTTTATACACAGGTGTCATTCCTTCACCTGTCAAATTCCACGATGAAATATTGCCATTCTTACCATGGTGGGGACTAGTTACATTTGGTGCTTATGCCTTAGCGACATTAGGTTGGGGAATTGTCACGTTCAAAGATAAGAAGGATAAATACGAGGAGTTGAAATTACAAATTGAAGAAGCTAAAGCTTTTTACAAATCAAAAGGAATTGATATTGATTGAGGAGGAGGATCAATGAGAAACCACAGACGAATCGGATCAGTTACTACTGGAGAAGACTAGCCCTACGTATCAAAAATGTGTCTAAGTTACCTTCTAGCTTTATACAACACTAGTTGAAAAATAAATAGATCATTTGCAAAATTATTGTGCATGTTGCAAATGCTTTTGATGAGTATTGCTTTGTAGTGACGATTCCTGTCTATGTTCGTCATTGGCACCGCTTTGTTCTTTATGGTGTGATACATCAGCAACGTCCCCCCTGGAATGTTTTTCCATCTCTGCCATTCTTTGTTTACGTCTTGCTTTGATTTTCTTTTCCACTTCGGTAAACACTCGAATTGTCACTGGAACATCTCCCCAAGTTTCATCCTGAACAGTACCTTCAACTCTTTCAGGAGTTAATTCAGAATCGGGCAAATCGGCCAAACTTGGAGGATAATTTTCCCTCTTCAATGCCTTTAAAGGTGGATTGAAATTCTCAGGCCATCTTCCACCATTAGCTACTAACTTCTTTGCCGCCATTTCGCGTTTCTCATTCCAGTCTTTTAAATCTTCTTGAAACAATTCCCAAACACAATTGATGCATCCACTCATACAACAATTATCTGGCTCAGGTGGACGTGAAGGCACCGTTATTCCTGCAATCACTTTTGGTTCACCACGTTCAATTCTACTTGATGCTTGGCGATCTTCACCTTTGATCCTACCGCCAAAAACCTTGGCTATACGTTCCTCGGGACTAATATTTGGATCAAGCGAATAATTACCTTCGAATCGAACTTTTGTGTGCTTTTTCAATTCCTTGAGTTCACTATCTTTCATCAACAGCGCCTCGATGGGATGTCGTGGATGTGAGGGGGTACGTAACACCAAATCGTAAAATGAATATTTTTTAGTCTCTTCTTTTGAAATTTCTCGAATTGGGGTAGGTCTTCGTCTCGTTGCCGTGGCTAAATGACGAGCACATTGTATTGTATTTGGACGAGGTAGGTGCATCATTGTTGAAGCATGTGAAAGTGGTCGATGCAGCAGCTTGAGTCGATGATCGTTTAATGTGATATATCAGTTAGATGTTTTCTACTGAAGAATCTTTTTCTTTTCTTTTTTTTCTTTGTTTGCTTCTAGATCCCCAAACCATGACATAATTGATCAAAGCGCCGGAAAAAAAAAAAAAGAAAAGGTAATGGTGAATTCACGAAGTGCGCATAATTAGTAATAACCAGAGATTCATTTGTTGATGACTGGAGCTACAAAGACCGTGCTTTGGTATAGTTCCCTGAATGAGAAAGAATTGAAAGAGTAGAGGATGACAAAAAGAAGTCGTGGGGTATTTCTCGAGTGCCTCTATGCCGTTCGCTCACGTGTAGTTTGATTGCGCGGGTAACTGCAGGTCCGTAATCACAAATACATACTTGGTCCAAATGCCAAAAACTTTAAAAAATGCTGCTGTTTAATACAGCTTGAGTACACTGCCTGTATAGTTATAGTTGTAAGAAGATGAGGACGGGAACGATTCCAAGCTTATGATTGCCAAAATTCGTGGGTATATCTTTTTTTGAATCAATGTCACACAAGCAAAGCTTTCCATTTATTTTGTTGCAAAAATTCAGAGGCACGTATTCGGGATTTCACATTTGATTATTCACACAGCTGAGAACTTGTTTGTTCGAGCATTCCTCCACACTTTACTCGATGCCCAAGAATGTTATACACAACCAGAGTTATATTGATCTTTCAGAACATCCCGCCTCCATATGGATTTTTATTTTTCTTTTCAACACTACTCATCTCCTACTACTTTGTATGGCAGATTTAAGTTTGAAACTTTCACAAAACAATCTTCTGAGACGTGATTTTTTCATCTGCTTTCAAGATAAAATAATAATAATCAACATTATTTGACAAGACCAGATACGTTGAACTTAAGCTATTCGATGGATTTAAGGCAAAAACAATGGAACCAATTTGACTTATGGAAACTTTAATCAATCTCGTCTCCTTTCAGGATGCCGAATGTCGGAAAACCAGAGAAAGACTAAAAAAAAAATTTACGACTCTGCTGATAGGAAATATATAGTGCGTTCATGTTTCGGCAATCTTGTTTGTTTATACCCTCATTCCATTCACTAGTAACGAGTAAGTATAGGAAGACATATGATAGCATAGCGCGGTCTCTATAACTAGCGGCTTCTTACGTTTTGTTGCCTATGAGTTGCATTACCATAGATGTGTACGTTTTCTCAATCTGTGCCAGGTGAGCTTCTCTTTCTATGCTAGAGAGATGTTCATGAGACAAAGACGCAAAACAAGAATTCCATCAATTTTTTTGACGGGGAAAGATCCCACTGAATACACGAGAACCAAATAACAAAACCTGGTATTATAACTCGGCAAAAGAATCCGTTTCATATTATAACCCACAAATCGGTTATACCACCACAGGAAAACTAGTATTTCAACAAGTGCGTGGCAGTGTGTTGCAGTGCGTTTGAAGCTTACAGCTACAAGAAACACCTGGTGGTTGATCAGATGTTCATAATATCACCTATGCTAGGCTATGCTTGTGGCCATGTTTTGCACCCGAAGTGTCGAGAAGCAAAAGAAATGAACGACATATAGGCTTTATTGCATCTACGATGGACTTTTTCGCGCAAAGGTTCGCAGTTTGAGGCAACCAATTCATTTCTATTCTACAATAGGAAACGTCATTGTAATATGTGCAATGCATATACGAGAGAACAATTCTAACCAAGCCACACCTGCCTCTACCATAGACGTTAAACTTAGTCTCGTATATGGGTAAAAAACACCCATTGTGAATGACCTAGACCAATGTATGTTTGCAGCTTGAAGTTTCACAAACGTCAAAGCGCAACATGCTAAAAAAAAAAAATGCAAAGAAAAACACAAAATGTAAATTTCTTTCCTTCCTGCATGCAAGAAATTATTTTTTGTGTGATGTTGCTCCAATCAATAATATAAATAGAGATCGATTTGCACCCACGTGGGCCCTTGTCTGAACTTTTTTGTTTTTTTTTTCATCTTCATTTACTAAAGCCCCCACAGATAAAAAAAAAAAATCCAAATGTACCAATATCTTGTACCCCTCCTCCACAATGTCTATTACTGAATACGGACAATGGGATCATAACCCTAGTCGCCTTTGACCCACAGATACAACAAGAAAGATTATTCATTAACGCCTTGTTTCATTATGAAAAAGTAAAGAACAGAAATAAAAGGGATGTTAGCCAAAATTTTCATCAATAGCCAAAGTCTATCTCCTCAATTTCTTGGACATTATTTTTTTTTCTTCATTGATGTGAAATCATGTGGGAATCATTTTTGCCGACCAGGAGTCATTCAAAAAGTTTCATTTCAACAATTCTTGTCCCCTGTTTAGTCCCTGCGGTCTATTGTCGAATGTGGTCCCACGTTGACCTACTACGATAAGGTGATTTGTTCCAATTGTTGCCATTACGGTTCCGCGAATCCACGATGACCGCTTATTTTTTATGCTTTATTACTGGTAATAATTTTAATTTTGGATCAAACACAAAATAATTCAATTGGCTTTCCGGAAGGGATCAGTTTTACGGCAATCAGGTAGTAATGTTGAGCACGTTTGTGGGAAACAATGGCCCCTTGGATCTAAGAGTGTCGGATTTGCATCCCTATTCTCAGCAATTGATAAAATTAGATTTTGAAAAGTCGCACATTATGCACGACAACTGACTGCCTAAGGTGTTTTTCTCGTCTGAAACTAGAGCTTGACTGAAGAACAATAAGGAGAGAATCTTCGGTTATGAACAAATAGACAATAGTAGTTTTGATCAGGTTACATTTTAGCTCGTCCATTGACTAAGGCGAAAATCCTACACATAATTTACAAGAGGTGTTGACAAGCTGCAAATGTGCACGCCGAGGAGTAGTTCAGCACCACTTTTGGTAACGGTAGACCTTCCATTTTAGACCCGACCCGTGCTCTTTGAATGTGTTTTTTGACATGTGCTTCAAAGTGTTGATAAGTTCATACACATACAAATCAGGGGCCCACGTTTTCCAATTACCAGAACTAAAAGAAACCAATTAATTATTACACTTTATACTGCCTTTTTTCTTCTTTTTTTCTTAACTACTTCATTGTTCATTATTCCCATATAGTTAAGAACTGAATGGCACAACTTTCACCAGTGAGAATATATTTTTCTTGACCATAATATTTATCAATTTCATTTTTATTTTTTTGCTTTTTGTTTTCTGTTTTATTTTTTCTTGGAACGGCTTTTGCAATCTTGGCATTCTATTGTTTTGAAATTTTTATTTTCGCAGCCTTTAACGCTTAGAACCACACCACGAGGAGAAGAATGATGATACAGCTAAATGAAACGTGCGTCTACATGGTAGTAGTCAATTGTGGAGTAAGAGCCAAGGAGGCAATGTCACTTTTTCCTACACAGGATGGGGGTGGTATACGCTAATGGTCACCGCCTATGAAGTGAGGGTTGTAAAGATCTCGTGAATCAACCGAATCGTTTGTATTAACGGAACAATTGAAACATCAGAAGAAAATAATCGATATGAGACAAAAGAGCAGAGGATTCACAAAAAGCTCGACATTTGAAATAACTCGTGTTGCAGTTAACAATCTTATGCTTTCTTTTACCTATTTTATAATTTATTTTATATTAGTTTTTTTTTTAAGTTCTTTATAGTTTACAATGGCATTTTGCAGTCTTTTAAGCTCACGACAAAATAAATGAAATAAATCTTTCATCTATCCCTTCTACTGACCCATTTTTTGTATAAATATCCTACCCATTGCTCCTTTTCTGAAAAATTCATCTCTCTTTTCAGATCTCAAGAACTACATCAAGAAAGCATCTTCAACACTAACTGATAGTAACATTCACTATATACTGCTACTACCACTCTCATAATGGCTTTACATCAGTTTGATTACATCTTCGCTATTGCGATGATTTTTGCATTCTTGGATGCTTGGAATATTGGTGCCAATGATGTCGCTAATTCCTTCTCCACTTCGGTCTCCTCGAGATCCTTGAAATACTGGCAAGCTATGATTCTAGCTGCCATCATGGAATTCCTTGGTGCTGTATTGGTTGGTTCAAGAGTTTCTGATACCATTAGAAATAAGATTGTTGATATTGACGTCTTTAGTGAAGAACCAGCAGTTTTGATGTTGACAATGGCTACTGCTTTAGTTGGCTCTTCAACTTGGTTAACCTTAGCCACATCAATTGGTATGCCATGTTCTACTACCCACTCCATAGTTGGTGCCGTTATTGGTGCAGCAATTGCTGCCAAAGGTGGACAAAATATTCACTGGGGTTGGAATGGTGTTTCACAAATTATTGCTTCTTGGTTTATCGCTCCAGCTATTGCCGGTTGTTTCGCCTCCATTATTTTTTTGATTTCCAAGTTTGGTGTTTTGGAAGTAAAGAACCCAAGAACTTCATTAAGAAATGCTATGATGTTGGTTCCATGCTTGGTATTTGCTGCTTTCGCCATCTTGACTATGTTGATTGTTTGGAAAGGTTCTCCCAAGTTGGGTTTATCAGATTTAGGAACAAGAACAATTTGCGGTGCCATTTTTGGGACAGCCGCTGTTGCATTCGCAGTATATATGTTGTTTGCATTCCCATTCTACAGAAGAAAATTGGTACACGAAGATTGGACATTGAAATGGTATGATATTTTCAGAGGTCCAATTTATTGGTTCAAATCAACTGACAATATTCCACCAATGCCAGAAGGACACAAATTGACTGAAGATTACTACAGAGGTAGAAGATATGACGAAGCCGGAAACTTGATTGATGACAATGGAAGAGTTGAATCTGAATCCGTAGATGGTAAGTCCGACTCTCATGATGAAATCAGTCAAGAGGATATTGAGAAAGTCCAATCAATCAACGTTCAAGATAAGCACGTCCCTACCACCAAGCCACAAGAAAAGAAACACAAATTCCCAAGAGGTTTCTCTAAATACTGGGCCTTGGCCAAAGAGTCGCCAAAGAATTGGCCATTTTGCATCCTTTTGGTTTTGACCCACGGTGTTAGACAAGATATTATCACCAACCAAGCCGGTTCCAAAGATATGTTGGCAGGTAACTTGGCTAAAATGCACACTGCTTCCAAATACTACGATAACAAGATTGAATTTATGTACTCATTGTTACAAGCCATCACCGCTTGTACTATGTCTTTTACCCATGGTGCCAACGATATTGCAAATGCTACTGGTCCATTGGCTACTGTCTACTTGGTATGGACAACTAACACCACTGCTTCAAAAGCTGAAGTTCCAGTTTGGGTCTTGTGTTACGCCGCTGGGGCTTTGGTCATTGGTTTATGGACTTACGGTTACAGAATCATGGCCAATTTGGGTAACAAGTTGATTTTGCAATCTCCTGCAAGAGGTTTCTCTATTGAGTTGGGTGCTGCTGTTACCACTGTTATGGCTACTCAATTGGCCATTCCTGTTTCCACCACTCAATCAGCTGTTGGTGCAACTGTCTTTGTTGGTTTATGTAACAAGGAATGGAAAACTGTCAACTGGAGAATGGTTGCTTGGTGTTATCTTGGGTGGATCTTTACTTTGCCAATGGCTGGTTTGATTGCGGGTTTACTAAATGGTATCATCTTGTACGCCCCATCCAAGGGTATCACATACACCATGGGTTAGATCACCCAACTTTGCACCAAAAAAAAAAAAGGGACTTGTTGATACATATACACATTCGTTTTGAATTATTAGCTTTATTTCTAACTTTTATCTATTTTTATTAGTTTACATTATATTAATTTTATATATTACACCTACAGTGCATATTTTGGAGATTATTACTTTATAGAAAACGTGTTTAATGTATTGTGGATTATAGAGATTCGTTAGTCAAGTGGTCGAGTAGACGATTGGCATCTGGATTAACGCTACCACGTGAGATCAAGAATCGTTTTGTCCAGTCAGTGAGAGAGAGCCTAACTTTTGCCGAACATTTCATCCCCTGAGAAACAAAATTTACCTCCAGCACTACAACCAACGATGTCAGAAGATAAATTTGATGCTTCGTTAGACCTTCTTAGAAGATTGGATCCTCATTCAATTGAAAAGAACCTCACTAGTATATGCTCCCTAATTACTGCATCCAAAAATGCCGACACAGAATTGGTGGAAGAATTGTTGTCGGCAGTTGACGTGCCACTTTCTGTAGCTCAATGCAAGGACTCAGGGAAAGAATACTTATGCTGTGACTATAACAGAGATGGTGACAGCTATAGATCTCCCTGGTCAAACAAGTATTACCCACAACCTGAAGATGATTACGATCAACCACCACCATATCCTTCGTCAATCTTACGACAATTGGAAATCAAAGCGAATGATGCTTTTGATATATACAGAGATTTGTACTATGAAGGCGCTGGGATATCAAGTGTTTACTTTTGGGACACAGCCGAAGATGAAGACGAGGAAGAAGACTTATCCAACGGTTTTGCTGGAGTTGTCTTGTTCAAAAAGGAAACCAGTGACCAATCAGGTAAATGGGACTCAATCCACGTGTTGGAGGTCATACCAGACACCAAATCAACATCGACGTACAAGTTGACAACCTCGGTGATTTTAGATTTACAACACAAGTCCGAAAATGGGTTAAGTTTAAGTGGAAATTTAACTAGGCAATTGGAATCTTCAATAACAGCAGATATTAACAATGGGGTGAATTTGGAAACTAGTCATTTGATCAACATTGGTACATTGATTGAAAAAGCAGAGTACAATATTAGAAATCTTTTACAAGAAGTCTATTTTGACAAATTAAAGGATATCATGTTGAAAGATTTAAGATCTATCAATGGAGGTGGTGACAAGAGCATTAACGATAACCAGAAGGATATAATCAAAGGTTTACAAAGTTTATAAGGGATTTGTTAGCTTGTTCACTTTGTATAGATTCATCGTTTATACATGGAAAAATCAATACTTTGATCATCCACATCAAAATCGTTGCTCACAGTCAAGTCCTCTTCGCTCAACGAGGACAACACATTCTGTTTAACCTCGTTGACGAATGACCAAATCGAAGCTGAAACACTTTGAATCATATCGTCCGACTGTCGATCTTGACCACCTCTATACTCTGATAGTGATTGCGGTGCTCGTGATTGCAACGGTGAAGAAATTGATACAGTGCTCGCAATTGAATCCTCTGAACTGCGCAGCTGGTGTGAGACTCGTGTGTGATCCCTCGGCCTTTGACGTTGTAGATGTTGTTGTTGCTGCCGCTTTTGTTCTGTCTGCTGCTGCTTTTCCTTATCCAAAACCAACGATTTTTCAAACTCATTTTGAATCATTGTATCAAATTGTTGCAACATGTTTAATGGTTTTGTTAGTCCGCTCCATAGCTTAGACGGCTTGCCACTTTCCTCATTGTTTGGTTCTTGCTGGAGCGCACCCGATGATGATCGCCTTTTAGCCCGGATAGTTTCAATAGCTTGATCTCGAGGGTTGGAATTCGTTCTTTGTCTGTTCGTCCTTGTGTTGCTTGCAGCACCACTAATCTCCTGGTACAATGATTTCTGAACAACTTCTCGAAGCTTGTGCAATTCGCCTTCTTGTGTGTGTAGTTTCTTGTTTAGGCTTTGTATCTGGTCCTTTATCTGCACAATCGCCATCTCCTTAAGAGCTAGTATTCGCAATTGTTCGTCAATGCTCATGCGTAGAAGCCGTTCGTCCAGCGGTAGTTCCAAGTCGCAGCTTGAGATAGGTGATTTCTTGTCTTGTGATGTTGTAGAAGGTGTCTCATCGTCTGATTCGGATAGTAATGGCAAAGTGGTGTTGTTGGATAGCACCGAGGATCTTCTACCTGGTTGCAACTGTGGGGTGAGGCTTCCATTATACTGATTCTGCAGTAAATTCCTTGCTCCTAGTGGAGATACTGCAAACACATTTAATCCTTTCGATCTAGGGGTTACTTTTCCATTTGGTGTGTTTGATCTCTGTTCATCATCACTGATGTTATTTGGTGACGCGGAAAACTGCCGCACTTTGAATTGCAAAGGCATATTTGGATTATTTGACCTCAGGTTGTGCTTTCCAGCTCTGTTAGTAGGGGATGGTGTTCTCTGTTGTGGTCCAGCTTTAGTGTTGTATCCATCCTCGTTGTATGTCTCAACAGTCATTCTGACTTTCCCAATGGCGTCAATAATGGATACCGTAAAGTCTCAATGTGTAAGTCTAGCCCACTTTCGTGTTTACTCAGCCGTGGGTGCTCTTGTACTGTGCAAAGTTTGACCGTGGTATGTATGTTTATCTATAACTTTTGGCATTTCCCAAAAGGGATTATTTTTACAGGAGATTTTTTTTTCTTTTCTCTCGATTCTTCCGGGGCGAGGAGTCGAGTGTCTAGATCGAAACCGGCCCGAGAACTCGTATTAACCCTCAACCGAGGATGTTCATGGCGGAGGAGTATTTCTCTACAACATAGCTTACTACTTTCTTGCATCTGATAGCCCTCTTCAAACAAGTGAAGCTGTTTACTCTCAACTCCCACATTACTTCTCAACACACAAAGCGCTAAAGCTCCTCAATGTCGCATGGCACATACCCCAGCTTCGCGCTTAAAATAGTCATCTGATAAGAAACTTTTTGATTTGGAAAGCCACAACAAATAGAGCTCCACATTCTACAACGTACACATCGGTTACGAATTGGCCATGATTGTACCAAGCCCATCCACGAGAGCTCTCAATGAGCTAATGTCCAGTAGTATATACAACTACTTGGAGCAAGTGGAGACAAAGCAGAAGCAAAGGCAACCAAAACAAGAGGAAGAACCACGTTCACAAGCACCACAACCAGTTGACCCAATATACCGCAGAATACTTGGTAATTCATCGCTACACAGCTGGGTGAAGTGGGTGATAATATTACACATTGTCAAACTACAAAACCCCATACAATGGGCCAATTTCCTAGCCTTGAATAAGCCAATTCGACAACTCTTATCGTACTATCAAGAGAGCTTACCGATGCTACGATTAAACACCGCTAAAGATCCACCAAATGAAGTCACAAAGATTGCGAATTTCATCACATGTGCATTCCTATACTTTGCCACTGTTGATATGCGTTCATTTCCCAAAGATTACATCCTTGTAACGTTGCTTAGTGCATACCACGGAGAGCTCAATCCTCCTTCCAAATCGCAAATTCTCGTGTCCGACAGTTTATCCAAACCTTTCAAGCTATCCACATACAAGTCGACAAGTATATACTCGCCATTGATGAAATTGTATCGAAACAAGGAGTTCATACTCTTTCCCACATTATACGCCCAGATATTAAGCAATTACCTCACGCCAACAAAATACAAGCTAAACATGATGTACTTGTCACCATTTTTGAAACGGTACATACTCAACCCAATCTGGATCAATTTCTCACTTGGTCGAAACTATAGTCGCATCAATTGGAAGAACCTAGCCACAAACTACGTACTTCATAATGTGGTCATTGCTGCAGTAGTCGCTGGGTATTCATTCAAGGATCGTGTGCTAGACAGGTTCTATGCAATCAAGTATGGATATGGGAGCCCCGATAGCGAGGCCTCAGTACTCCAAAATTATGCAGCATATGTGTATCATAAATCAAACTCAATCACCAACTTGATCTACACACCCAATCTTGTATCCATATTGCTAATTGCTGTGTCATCGCCAATGTTTACCCTCCTTGGGTCTAGCAGGTACCCTGAGTTGCATCGACTCTACGTGTCTAACCAAAAACTGGTGTTTAAGACGTATACCAAGGTGATTGGGTTCGTTGCTGGATTGGTAGCTATACAGTTGAACTACATGCAGATGATTCCCGATTGGGGATACAATAAACGAGTAGAGGCCGAATTCAAGGTTACAGGGGACAACGTCATCTACGAGGAAGACATAGATGAAGTTCCTTCTGCCAGATTATTTTCGAAACAATTTTACAACGAATTGAACATGTACTTGTTTAAGCTTGTTGTGTTATCTAAATGGAGGATTCTCAAGACATACCATCCCTTGTTTTCGAAATTGCACCTATCATTGTGGAATAAACTAGAGACTGTGTTAATGTGTTTTGGGTTTTTTAAAATGATGAACTTGAACGATTTCATCAATGGACATAGAACAATAGAGTCGGAACGGATTTCTAAAGATTATTCCATTAAAGTGGCCAATTTTGTATCACAATAAACAATATGACACTATACTACAATCTCTTTTCTCTATTGCTGTAATACACAACAGTCTATGGCTATATACCATCTCAAAGACTTATTCTTGATATCCACCTGCGCCCGGTACCTTTTCCTTGCCTTTTAAATTCTTTAAAAAGTTTCTATACCTTGTCTTGTCATTACCCTCTGAGTCCACAGTGGGTACTCCAACGGCATCAATCAACTCGTTCACTCTATCCCACAAAGTTCCATGCTTCAAAAACTCGTCTCTTTTTTTCAAGAATGCTTCTTGCTCCTTCTCAACCTCAGCAATATGCTTCTCCTTTTTCAGATTGTAGTTTTCATAAAAATCATCAATTGTTTGTTGTGCTTTCGATAAAATGTCCTTCTTCTTTTGCTCATTGACTTTTTCCCTCTCTTCAATCTCCAAGTCCCTGCGTTGTTTCCATTCCTTTATGGAGGTGGACTGTGATAAATCTTTGACTGTTTCTGTTGCTCCATAATCAGCAAGGGCAACATCTGCATCTTCATCGTCAACTTCCTCGGTAGATTTGAACTCTTGTTGCACACTTTCGCTTCCTTCAACTTCTGGGAATTGCTCTTTGAACTCGTTGAATTCATCATCACTGTCCTCTTCCAATACTTTGTCTTGGTCCGTTTTGAATTCATCTCCGAGTAACTCTTTTTCACGAGAGAGGAAATCCGAGTGGTCTAGATCATCACCATTGGATTGAGGAACATCAATCTCAGGGAATTTGTTGGACATGTTCTAGGAATAACTGTGCTAGTTGGTGGATTGTCTAAGTGTTGTGTAGTTGACAACTTTTAGGAAATCTCGTTGATAATTTTCGGAGTAATGTCGGGAAGCTATGTCGTACGATTTGCGTATGCGACATATAAGTATCACCACCAATGTCTTGCGTCATAGGTGGCAACAACAGAGAGCACGGCTGTGGCTGTTCAGCGGCCACCTCAGTACTTTCTTAAAGCTAACGATACACAGTGCTTATGTCTGTGCAATTTACAAGCTTTTACCAACAACACAGGTTTGACAACTAACGCAGTTGCCACCGCAATGGCGTGACACAAACAACTTTAGTCTGAGCGCTGCCCTTAGTATACCATTGAAAGCAACTGTGTAAAGTAAGACGTATAAGGTATTCGCTCACTAGTTTCCAAGTGCTATGACTTCATACCCAAAAAGTTTTAAATTTAGACGCCCCATGTTTTCCGCAAAGCAACTTAAAAAGACAATTAATCCGCTTTTTTATTTATTTTTTTTTTCGCAGCAATATAAATACCCCCCCCCCCTCCCCTTGAATGCAGCAAACAACTGACAAGGCAACCCATTCATTTCCTCATCAACAATCACATTACTCCTGCTCCACTATGGTTAAAGCATTACTTGCAGTATCTTCATATCACGGTCCATTCTACCCAAATGGTGACCACACTGGTGTATTCGCTTCTGAAGCAATTGAGCCTTTTTTGGAACTAGCACAAAAGGGGTTTGAAATTACAATTGCCTCAGAAACTGGTGAATACGAATATGACCCTCATTCATTGACAGAGGAAGCATTGCTGGGAAAAGTGAAAGAGGTTTACGAAAACAAAGACTCTGCATTCAACACTGCTTTGAAAAACATTAAAAAGGCATCGGATGTAGTTGACGAAAAGTTTCACTTGTTCTTTGCCAGTGCCGGTCATGCTACATTGTATGATTACCCTAAAGCCAAAAACTTGCAAAAGATATTGATCAATACGTATTTGAATGGCGGCGTTGTTGCTGCTGTTTGTCATGGACCTGCCATTTTCAACAATCTCGAAAACCCAGAAACTAAACAGCCATTCATCAAAGGTAAAAAGATCACCGGCTTCACTGATAAAGGTGAGGAAGAATTAGGTTTGACTGATGTTATCAAAAAGGAACATTTGTTAACAATTGAGGACATTGCCAAAAAGGAAGGTGCCACTTATGTTGCTCCAAAGGGACCATGGGATTCCTTTTCTGTCGTTGATGGCAAAATTGTTACTGGTGTCAATCCTCAATCCGCCTTTGCAACTGTTAGAGATGCCATTGTTGCTCTTGAATCGGTTAATAATTAAATAGGTGGATAGAGTATTGAAATTAGATCTGAAATTTTGGTAATTCTGAAAAGAAGCCTCTTCTTTGGAGAGAAAACATCAATCAAAAGGAAACAATTTTTGTTCAAAATATACACTCTCTATAGCTATCACATTTCAAACAACTTTTCTCCATTTTTCAATCCCAAAATGAACCGAACATCAATGCACAAACTTAAACTCTTCAATAATGGCAACAAGTTCAATAAATCCCTATCATTAGAGTCATTAATCCATCCTTCAATTCCAATAGCATTATCTTCATGCATAGCATAACTTATGGGAGAATTATCCAAAATCATGACATTCTTCAATTCATCGTCACGTAGATACCTTGACAAGTCCTTGATGTACCCTACACCGGGTCGATAAGTACAATCTGAACGATAATACCTCTTGGTGAAAATGTGAGGCTTGATATAGTCTGAACTTGATTGAATCTTGTGCTGTTTGCCTTTTTTCTTCAAAGAATCAATGATCTCCTCCTCTAGCCAATCAATTATTGGATCGGCGTATTCTTTGACACTGGCAGTGAATATTTGCAATTCAAACCATTGACTAATTTGGGTAAGAAAGTAATCACAATAAGGTCGTTTATGAACATAATATAGCGACGATACGTTGTTTAACTTGATTTCAATCATTTTGGATTTGGATGCAGGATTAAAAGTTCTTGGACCACCTCTAGAAAGTGAATGAATTAAAGTTTCATCTAGGTCTAGTATGAGTACTTTTTTCTTTCGTTTGCGCTGTGGATTCCTCGATAAGGGGTATAGACGTTGTGGTGGGGGAATCATATATTTGGAAAACGACGAAGGCGACTTAACTTCGTTCGCTAGTAGGTTATCTTGTTTGATTTTTTCTGCCTTTGCGTCATCATACTCATCAGCATCAGACTCTAATTGTGTTAATTTGGCTTTAGACTTGGCGGGTCGTGGTGTCGGAGGTGCCCGTGTGACAATTGAATCATCATCATTGCTTTCAAACAGATCGACCTTGTCTCCATATGGTTGTTTGCACTTTGACTTTTTGGGACCAAATCCCAATGATGACTTGATCAAGACAAATGGGAAGATAATGAGGTTGATCAAGATTGACAACGGCTTGACAATGAGGTAGCTGGGGAAAAAATATAACACTTTACCAATTTGAAGAAAGAAAATGACAATCAGCGAGTGTTTAGGGGTCGTTGATGGTGACTCCTGAACTGGTTTTTCCGACTCTATTGTAAGATTAAATTCCTCGTTGCCATCGAGTTCGTCGAGCTCCTCCTCCTCCTCTTCTTCCTCTACATCTTCCAATCCGTCATTGTCCTCCATTTCTTCATCCAAATCCTCCAAAAGGGTTTCTTCTTTAGTAGAAGGAAGCGTACATGGCCCTCTAATCGTCTTTGAAGTTTTCAACTCAATAATGTCGTTCTCGGTTGTCATCAAATCTTGTTCTTCTCTCTCTTCCTTCCCCAGTCGCTCGTCATCACCAACGGGAGGAATATCATAACCCTTTCCGGGTAGTATATTGTCAAATGAATTGACAATTAACTTGATGGAGTTCATGTCTCGCGATCTGTAGAGATATATTCTTTCTTTAGTGATTTATATCTTTTATACGTTTTCAATAATCATAGGTGGTTTCCAAAGTCTAAGTACGTCTGGTTCTTCTGCTCCTTTGGCGCCGTGTGAATGCGTATATATATGCTTGATGATGCGAAAGGTGTGTGTGGTGATGTTATTCTTTAACAATATCTATGATTGTTGACTGATCTTCAACTACACGTGGCTAGTGACAAATCAGGTGCCCTTGTTAGATGCAAAAAGTATGAGGTAAAATGCTAATGGGTCTTTCGTGGTGAGTAAAGCCTTATATCCCTATAGTGTGGCCAACAGAAGCTGACTTACGTGAAATGAAGATGCAAAAGGTTCCTGTTGACAAGAGAATTCCTTCTCTTTTTCTATTTTGGGGAGATATATCCGTTGGTTACATTCTTTTTTTTTTTTTTTGCTATTTACCCACCCACCCACCACCCACGCACAGCACTTTAAAAGTTACACAAACATTGACGTTCAACAATTTGGGAGAATAGAGAATGATGAGGACTATGTCATTGTTGTGGATTATAGAAGATGATCTTCGCGTTGATCAGCACACCTAGTAAGTTTGTAGAGGGAAAAGTTATCGATGGTACGACTATTCACATGAACATTTCTATCTTAACAAAGTCAAGCGCTGATACAATATTTGTTCTCAGAGTCTTCAAAAGTTTAATACAAAACAACCCCATCTTTGGCATATTTTTACCCGTCGTACCAAGAACGAGCTCTAAACGACGGAGATAGTGTACTATTGTTGAATTTTCTGCATATGGGCTGTTTCATAGCCTGCTCCATACACTGCCTCCATCCAAGAAGCTTTGGTTCTTCCATCAGTTTCAACAAATACAAGAGTTGTCTTACTTTGTCGCAGTCAATCACAGTCGTTGGGGTTTATGATTATTATGTTGGCCGCTCCCAACTTTAATTTTATTTGTGTGTTTTCTGTTGGTTGACTGCGAAAAAGTAAAAACTGAGTCTTATTTTTTTGGGGAACTGAACTCAACAGAAAAGTTTTGCGATTGACCCGAAATTAGAGAAAACATGACTTGCATTTGGATAACTATTTTTACACTACATATTGTGCTAAAAACATATGCAAGTCCCTTTCTAGAAATATTCAAAAGTTTGATTCTGGTGCATATGTCAGCAACAGCGTTTTTAGGCATGTGACAAAGAAGAATAGATTGTTGCCAAAAATAGTGAAATAAGAATCGGGTCGGATCGGACATAGACGGAATTCAAGTCCGATCCCAACACACGACTTACCTACCTTATTGCGCAACAATGTCACACAACATATACTATCTACATCGAACACGTCATTAACCGTATTTATTCTATTACATTATCCCCCCTCCCCCTTCCCTCCCCACTTACTGTTGTAAATCAATTCCAAAATTACTTTCTAGATTAGTCTGAACTAACCTCATTATGTTTGCATCAAAGTCAACAATATGCTCGTGCTCACCACCATTGTTGTCTGGCAGTATCTCCACCACTTCTTCACCCGGTTTCCTCAACTGTAGTTGATTAGTATTGAAACTCTTGCAGTATTTGCACTTCAAGCCAAGCACATGATAAGCGACATTGGATTTCCCCTTGCAATCATTGCAACTTATGATACATCTCCATTCATTATATGGTGAAGGCATTGGACTTTGACTAATCTCTTGATCCAAAATACGAAATTGTTGATCAACATTGATGATTGTTTTTTTACATAATGGACATTTATACGAGTGTTTTGTCAACTCCTTGAAACAATGTTGATGGATAGAATGGCCACATTTCATAAACACCACTTTCTCGACCGAGGTGAAAAGATATTCGTGACAGATGGCACAGTTGCAATGGGTGGTATTGGAAACACACTTGTGTTTGTCCTTTAAATCAATTGAAAGACAAATATTGCATACATCACAATGAAAATAGTCCCTATCCAAACCAAGACCTAAACGGCATATGCCACACTTGTCACAATGATAAATATCTTTGTTGACGTCGTTGTCATAAAGAATACATTTGTTACAGAAATAATTGGCCAATTCCTGTTCACAATTGATGCAGTAATTATTATCGGGTACTTGCGGTGTTTGACAATGCATACACAAGATGTGTTTCACCTTATTACGAATCATCTTGTGATCTTTAATCGCTTCATCGTGACAAAAGGGGCACCCAAACCACTCATGACAAGTAGGGCATTCCAATTTACAGTTCCGTTGGTAATGCCGGCAACCTAGAATTTCCTTTGCTGCATCAAAAAATGTTGGCATTAGGTCTTTTTCGGTGATAACCACTTCATCCTCATCAGTAAATTCATCCCGCTCTTCCTCTTCATCACCATCATTTATATGATTATCAATACTTTGGATTCCCTCAATAGTTCTCTCTGTTCCATCACTGAAATATTTCGAGTCATCATCAAGCACCAGTTTTTGAAGACCAAACGGAGATAATTTCTGTTGCTCCTCCTTGAGTTGCGCACTGATGAATCTATAATAATTTCCCATCATCAATTTCGTCATCAATTTATTTTTCGACTCTTGACTGATATCCAATCCCTGAATAGACTTGATTCTAGCTCGAAGAATCTCTTGTTTCTTGAAGTCCTCAATTGTATCTAACTCCGTCAATCGCCGTATTTTCTCCTCGCCAAGACGCTCTAATTCAGCGTCACGCGTTGAGAATGTATCATCAATAACCTCATTTGAGCTTTGCCCTTCAACCTCTTCTTCTTTGCGCAGAATTATTTGTTTAATCAAATTGGCTATGTTGGTTTGTCCTCTACTAATCATTTCACTTAGCATCGTGACATCTAAACCAACTTTACTTTCCGACGCTGCATTAGCCACATCGTCCATCTCCTCATTCTCCTCCACATCACTAGTGTCGTCAGGTAAGGTAACAGCTTGATGTATGAGGGCAGTCAAGGAATCAATAACATCTGAATAGCCAGTATCGAATTTGTCAAGATTCGGAAGGTTGGGTAGACTCGATAAGTTGGGTAGATTTGAAAGGTTTGGAAGATTAGGTAGATTCGGTAAATTAGGTAAGCCCGGTAGGCTGGGTAAGGTGATATTCTCAAGAAATGATAAGCGTCCTATTTGTTCAAGATCATAAGTGAAACCGTCGACCTTGTCATCATCCATTATGTTTCTATGACTTTCCGTAGACATCCGGTAAACTCTATAACTGTACAGCTTTCTTCCTCAGTTGGGTTGTAAATTTTAGTATCGTTCTTGATTAAAGGTGATCTGTCAAAAAGAGTTATTTTCTTGAGATGTTACTAATTCTTTTGTGTGAAGGAGGGAGAGAGAATGCGTACCTCGGAGATAAAACTCAATCGGGAGCTACCACTCCAACCAAACGGTACCACTAATCAACTAGCAAGCTATGGAACAATTTATATCTTTGTTAGATGAAACTATCGCTCAGATTAATTATCCCCTAAGTCACCCCTTCCCATCTGCTGAAACAACCAAAAAGACACAGTGTACTGCCCTGACTCTCTCGATTGCTCTTGCTCATCGAAATGATACCCACAAAGTGCAGACAGCTAGAATAAGTGGACTCTAAATGTACTTCCAACATCTTGACAACGACATTATGTAGCTAGTAGTGTGAACCCTACTGAATAAGGGGTTGGTACCCAAAAGCAAATTTGCAAATTCCATTTCTCACGTGACCGAGCTTTATCGTATATGCTAAAGCTCTTGCTAATGCTCCAACACTTTTAAGCAAAAACTACAACAGCAGTAATATCACTTCATCGCTTTCCTCTTAAATGATATAGCTTCAACCACTGCCCTGTGGCAAAACTCTTTTCATCATCAATTACATACATCAATGTGTGGAGGAGCAAAGAAAAAAAAAACGGAGAACGAAAATGAAATCTCCACCGAAGAAACTAAACCTTTCAGGTCCTCACATAACTATGACTCAGCGACCCAGACATAGCACCTCATCTTTGGAATCATTCACAAGACCAGAATTTCTGGATGTGATACAATCGATACCCGTTTCACCTAATACGTCAACCCAGACTCCAGGTAATTACCAGCCGCATGATGCAACACAACAATTTACAATTGACTTGAATGACCTCGAGTCAACTACAAGTCTACCACGACTTAATAACAAGCTGGACACGACAGTGAAAGATGAACAATTTCTAGCTGAGAGTAATGAAACCAACGGATGGATTAATGGATATTCAGTGCCATACAGTTTGCTTCGATACGGTTTAGCCAGTGAAAAATCGACAAAGATCGAATTGGAAAATGATCATGGCGACGTACAATACATATTCAACCCAATTTGCCATTTGAATGAGATTGAACACTCAGCATATGGAAGAAAAGATTCAAGCGCATCGACTTCCCATACGTCGGACGAAGAAACCGAACACCATAAGGAGAAACGAGAAAAGTTTATCCTGAGTCAAGATGAAAAAATCAATGCTTACTCTGGTTACATCACCATTCCCAAAATCTCGTACAATATTCCCAGCCCATTAAGACTTGACAAAAAGCAACTCCGATTAATGTCAGATGTACCGAGACTTTGTTACCAAAATTCATTTGTTGTTGGTGATCTGACTTATGTATTTGGTGGATTAACTAGCACAAAATCATCGAACTTCCATCATGTTGGTCTCCCCCTGGACGTAGACATCAACAAAGTTTCTGTTCATTTCCCATACAAAGTGCCGCCATTCGTTGACTCCAAAATGTTGACAACACCCTTCTTGCATCCAAACCCTCATTTTATTGCTTATAATGCCATTAGAGGAACTGTTACTTTTGTCAATACAACAAATCTTAAACACTTTCCTGGTCATTTGCTTTCCATGCAATCAACTCAAATCACCAGCAAGCATTACTTTTTCTATGGAGGATTTCAAATCCAGAATTTGTCTGTCAAATATCATCCCGAAATTGGTCGGTGGATTATAAATAAGAAAATCGTCATGAATGAAGATGCATACGTTCTCGATTCGACAAATTTGAAGTTTATTAAAATTCGACTTGAGTCAAACAAGGCAAGCACCACTCTCGGTAGAATAGGAATGGGGATATGCTCTAATATTTATCAACCCCCTAGTGATCATGGAGAAAAAATTAGTGTTGGGGGTGAGTTTAGTAGACCTTTTGAGAACCAAAGACAGTCACTGCCACCAGCTTTTTCTGATGCGTCTCATAAGTCAAGTCCCAGTGATCAATCAGCAAGTGCTTCAGTAACAAGAAGCAACACGCGAAAGGCAACCTTTGATAAAAACCATCAAGATTCGAAACGTGATGAAGATGATTGTGACCGAGATCAACATCATCGACAACTGCCGCAACGAGAAACCAAATTTGATGAATCACAAATGTTACGGTCGAAACAACCACCAAGTCTACAACGAATAGTCACTACTCATTCCATCGACTCGTCTTTGAGTGATGCTGTCACTCGGACTTCATCAGCATCAACTTCTTCTCCGAGTTCATCAAAGATGGATAAAATAAAGAGTAAATTCCACCGAACCAATTTAAAAAACACATATTCTCAAAAAGTTCGCGAACACCGGTCAAACTCAACAAACAATCGGTCTGGTGCAAGTAGTAGGGCAGTATCTCCAGTGTTGAATGCGACTGGAACTTCGTCACATTTGAATCCTGCATCTGCTCCATCTGCAACTTCAATGGCTGGCTCAACGTCTTTAGATTCAGCCACTGGTGGTGAACTACCATCTAATTCGACAACTATAACTTCATTGAACCCATTGAACACCACAACATCTTCCATTGTATCACCACCAACTACGTTAACTCCTCATCCGTCAATTGTATCTCCAACGGTTTCAAATCGACCAATAACTCCAATCCTTCAACTTCAAAATAAACATGGAAGACGAAGTAGCGATACCGGTTCTAAAAGTGGGCATTCTACTCCGCCTGATGATGGTAGACAATCACCAAAGAGAAATGAAAGAGAAGTGTTGGAATTTGTTCGATCGTACTCACTGGAACAGGCAGCTAAGTCTCGCTCTGGGCGCCGACATCGTGGTGGTAGTAGTGGTGGTGCGAATGATGAAGGGGCTATTGTCGAAGATGACGATGAGGTGGATGGATGCAGTGGTAATGAATCAACTGATGATGATGAATGTTTTGAAACTAGGACACGATCGTCGAATCCTTTATTCAATGATAGCAACATATTATCCAATGTGAATGTATTTGTCTTTGGTGGATTCTATCTTGATGAGAAGACTGATGATAACGGAATTCAACATTTCAAAGCTAGCAATGACTTGTTGAAGATTGATTTGACGGCAAAAGAAGAACCATTATCAATTTCAAATTTTACGTTCTTGCCCGATGCGTTAGTGTCAAAAGTGGGCAGTAATCCTGTCACTTGTGATATTTTACTTGACGAGGATGAGAGTTGGCCTAGTCCAAGAGGGTACTTTGCCTCTTATATGATTGATTATCTGAGAGGTTTGGACGAAGGGTGTGCTTTGGATGTGGGTAAACATGACCCGATGACGTTTACCCAAGTGCAAGCAGAAATGATTAGGAGAAGTGGATCACCTGATATAAGTATTGGCGGCAGTTCAGGGTCATTCCATATTGGCAGTAGTGGTGCCGGCGGTGTCGGTGCTGCTGGCGCTGGAAGTGGTGGCATTCCAAGTGGACCCGGAACTGGCACTGCACCCAGTCTTGCTGCAAGCAGCTATGAGGAACCTTCCGAAGTGCAAGCATATTTCAACAAACGATCATTTATCGTACAAGGTGGATGTGCCGAGGGGAATCAGTTCTTTGCTGATTTTTATCGATTTGTGTTCGATACGTGCAGGTGGGAGAAGTTTACTACTTATGCATATGATTATTTCAATATTCCCCTTGAGCCTGGTGCTGATGATGATGGGTCATTATACACTAAGGAAAACATGGTGGCCAGTCCTGAATTGAAAGAAGCTGAATTACGTTGTTGTCACCATACTTGTGTGTATTACCAAAACGAAGAGCGTGACTACTTGTTCTTCCTAGGCGGCGTGAAGTCAGACCATTTACGTTTCTTTGATGAAATTCCATATAAATCAGATAAGTTTGATGTATCAAGATTGAGTCGATTGCCGTTAATGACGAATAATACAAACACAATGAGAATAGCCGTATTGAATATTCAGACGCAAACGTGGCGATTTATGCGATACTATTACGACATAAATCATGCCATTAGTGACTCTTATGTTGACAGAATAATGGAGCACCCGGAATTGGTTAATGCAAGAATATCACACTTGGCTGGGTCTACAACAATGATGGGTAAGACATTGACGTTGGCTCAAGGGTTGGTGATTATTGCCCCGGAAAAGAAGGACGATTTGATCAAGTTGAGACAAAAGATACCTACCGATGAGATGTTGTGGGGTGGAATTATCCAATTGACTTTTGCGGGGCTCTAAGAAGGCAAGCTGTAACTTGATTCATTATTGTTTACGATTTTCTAGTCAGATGGTGGGGTGTACAAAATCTTGTATGACGTGAGAGGAGTTGAAACCCTTCATGAGAATATAGAGTATGTGTTTTTAGTACAATAGAAAGCTTTGTTGCTATTAAAAAAAGGTACGATGAAGGATGGCTAAGTTCTAGCTGGCACCCATCAACGAGCCAAGCTGAACACTATACCAAAACTGAAAATTCAAAGTGTTGGCAAAGTCTACAGCTTGAGGTGAATAATAGACTTGATCCAATTTTGTTTGTATTTAATCACATTGTCGTCGTTATAGGCAGGAGTTTTGGTATCACTGAAGGTATCATAGTGAGAGTCGCTAGTGGAGGTCCCTCTGTCCGAGTCTTTCAATTTGTCCAACCTGTCTTGGGATGCTTTTGCTCTTTAAATAACATAGGCCAAATTTGGAATCAAAACGACGTGCATGGCAACACCAATCTACTAGCCAGTTGGCCAATTGCGGAAGCCTTTATTGAGAATAGCGTATTCCGGGATAAAAGATTGGATAGCCATGATGATCAGTGTTTCAATGAGGTCTCTCTTGTTTGAGAATGCAATGTAGCGATCGATTTCTGTTTAGCTTATTCCGGATTTCCTTAGCGAAACGAATATGTCACAAAACCACTATTCCAAACAAATAACTTGACTGCAAAATATTTGGAAACTGCAAATATACGAAAATGTCAATTGCACAAAAAATAATAATTCAAGGCAGTAAAAGTTCTCTAACATAAGACTTTAGTTTGTTAATCCCCGGGACTTTTGAATGAGTGTAGCGTTCCCCTTCACTGGTGGGAAACTTTTTGGGGAACTTGGGTTTTCGACCCATACTAAAAAGCGCGCACTGTGTGTCTGTTTTGTCCAGAAATGTACTTCGAAATGCATGTTTTCACATACAGCTTTCCTACATGGTGAAGTGTAAGAAAAGCAAACAGATAGGTTGTCGCAACTTATCTGTGATAAACGTGCTGACATTACTTGTTGCTCATGATGCCACTTTCTGATTTACCACTCGAGCTTTTAGTAGAAGCTCTCCAAATAAGAGACTGCTTGTTGGAAATACTTAATGAAACAATTATACCTTTGCTTAATTTTCTTTTACTGAGGGAACTGTCTAAAATTATGGCAGAATGTGGTTTAGTAAAATTAGTCATCACAACAGTGAAGTGGTAACATTGACTGCGTTCAAAAAGATGTTTGTCATTGACCATGGAGATCACCGACAATCCTAGAATTGGAAGAGACAATTTGACGCTAAATTCTGTGGCAAGTTTTCTGTATCTTTTGGTCGCGGCATTGACGCCAGACATTACAAGACTAATGTTATATACGACTATACCGATGTGGAGGGCTTGATTTTGGAGCACTACAACATCAATGCTGCTTTGTGTATATTGGGAAGGTTTGGTGGGAGCCATTATTATTATACATGTTTGTGCACATTTTTTTTATAGTCAAAGGTTATTCTAACTGTGTTCGGAAAGTGATTGAATACCCAATGATGTTTGATGACAACCTGCAATTGATGGCACGCTTCACAGATGTGTTATTTAATCGTGGTTTGGAAGTTACAAATGCATTATACAAAATGCGTGTTGCTGTGTTCTTGTAATTGAAAATAGTCAAGATATGTGTTACTGTACCCCAGTACGAGGAAATATTTGGTCACATTGAGAGAACGAGGTCGATATATTTGATATACCTATGGGGGCTACAAACTTTTCTTTGAATTTGACGAATCAAGGGCAAATTATCCAAGGAGTTTTCCTGTTGAATGGCTTCTGGATTCATTTAAACTTTTCCATGTTGGCTATTTTGCCCTACACTATTATTGTCCCGATGCCCAATTCACACCAGTTCCACAATTGTTATTTTGCATGTATTTTCTTGAGCATCTCAAAATAAAAGTTGGGCATTTGAATGTTTTCCAAGTCCGCTAGGGGATTTGGTGTACAAGTAGAACATGCCGCTTGCGAGTCATAATCTTTAAGCTGTGCTATAATAAACACGACAAGAGAAAAGCGAAACGAAAATGGTGTGTGTCTATAATGGAAGACTCGGTGGGGCTAGATTATAAAAGATTCAAACTTCCACTACTTTGGCTTTTGGAGGGTTCAAAGTGGATAGTGGGAGAGGGTGCTATATACAAATTCGATCTTCCAGATCTTCCTTGGTTATGTCGCGTGAATGGTAGGCTAGTGTTGTTCTGAAGTTTCAACGGGGAAGGGGAAGGGTTTCTGAATTAGGGATACATTCAGAGGACACAACTAAAATGTGCTGCAATTGTTCCTTACTCGGATGCAATTGATTACGGAATGTAGTTTGTGTGTACCTATCCTCTCTGATCCACATACAGGTGTATCCTTTTTGCATATCATGCACGACAAAATGTAGAACAAAAAATTGCAGCAAATGAAAAAAAAAAAAAAAATTATCCAAAGAAGAGAGAAAAAAAATTCGAAAGATATATTGCCCTTCACAATCAAACTCTTCTATTACAAAACTAAAGAGTCTCTAAGATACAATGTTTGGAATCGGTGGATCAGCCCCTCAAATCTCATCTCAGGCCAAATTACAAGCCGCAGAAGCCGAATTAGACATGGTTACCGGCATGTTTAATGCCCTTGTGTCACAATGTCATGCCAAATGTATAAATAAATCATACAATGAAAGTGACATCACCAAACAAGAATCATTGTGTCTTGATAGATGTGTTGCCAAATATTTTGAAACCAATGTACAAGTTGGTGAAAATATGCAAAAGTTGGGTCAAAGTGGACAATTTATGGGCAGAAGATAGATGGAGGAAGCTCTAGTGTGACTACTTTCTGTTTCATTCCATTTTATGTATATATTTACAGGTAGTATATAATCCTTTTTATTTAGAGTATAAAAAAAACAGCTTATCTTTTAGTTGAATCCAAATGCTTTAGCTAATCGTAATTTGACACCTTCAATACTATTCAATTTGGGTCTAACATCAAGCCAAACTTGTCCTGAGTTATCATCACCATTATAAAAATCAATAACATATTCGATCTCTTTACCGCATCGATTAATAGTCCAATCATGTCTATCAAAGGGCGGTGGCTGGCGCCATATGTACAGTTTTATCCATGCTCTTGGCGTCAATTTTTTGGAATCGCCCTTGAATGAAGTGAGGGTAATACCACCACATTGTTTGATAGCTTCTTGGTAATGAGAGCCTTCCCACATGGTGATATGTTTCCAAGCTCGTTCATTAACCAAATTGTGGATAGGAACAATGACTTTCATATCTTGTGAATCGGGGTTCCAATTTTTGCGTTGCATGGCTTCGAAAAATTGCTTTTGACTAGGGTAGATCCAGTTTTGATTAGATGAAGTACGGGGGATGGAACTGATTTCTCGCTCAGTGGGTAAGCTGATGTTGGATGTGGTTGTGTCTTGTAATGTGTTTGAAATAGTTGATGAATCGCAAGTGGTTGTGGTGCTTGGCGACTGGTTTGGTATCTCAACTGCTGTATCTGGAGTGTTAACGCTAACTGATACTTTATTTAGCCATGTTGACCGACTATCATGGTTGACAGGACATACTTGTGGCTCTTGTGTGGTTGATTGAGATGAGATTGGGTTTGTTTGGGTATGCTCGGAATCCTTCTTGGGTCCACCAGCGCCTGTAGTTAGCTTTGAAAGCCAGGACTGTCTTGTAGAATGATCTACTGGACATTTAGGCTGCTCAGTGTTGTCAGACATGTTGCGTGTAGCTTTCACTGGTGAGTGTAGTATGGTGGGCATTATTTTGATTCAGCCAATGATTTTTTTCTCTCCAATGGCTTAGTCAGAATCGTTTTGCAGACTCTACAGTGGATGGGAAAACCCCAATGCATACAAGATTCGTATACCTTTTTCTTTTTTAATCTACATTCCACTATATGCTTTCAATTCCTTCTCTTTAGTAGATCTTTTTCTTTTCGTCAATGGAAAACTCACCAGCACCAGCATTAACAACCAACAATAATCCACCAACAATGGACAAGACTTGGAAGAATTCATATCTCAAGAAATCTCTTCTAGCATCACGACTTCCATAGTGCCAAAATTGGTTTGTTACTACATTGTAAACAAACAACAAGGATAACATGACAGCAGCAGCAAATTTCGTCTTGTATCCAACAATAATGGATGCACAAGAAGCAATACCAACAATAATAATCAATACTCTACCTAATGCCCATTCCGATGAAAATACAAATCCCAAAAACAAAAGAACCAACAAAAGTCTTCCTGCTAATAAAAAGTATTTCTTGTTGTCGTGATTATTCAACATCGGTAAACCTGGCATGTTCAATGAACGTTTATCTCTAACAATTGTATCGGAAAAAGCCAAAACTAATCCACCAACAACAGATAAGTTTCTCAAGATAAATTGAGAATCAAACAACAAACCATATACGATACCTTGAGCAATTACGACACAGATTAAAGCAATAGTGGCAATATTGATTTTTTTTCTAGCAATCAACAATGTTGAAGCAATGGTCATAACAATCATATTTTGCACCAAAAATACCACTGTAAACCATCTCCAATAGTGTCTATAGTTGTGCAAATAATAAACTTGTTCATTCCATTGGGAAAAGATTCTCATGGTATCCTCATAAAAAGTAGCCACTAAAAATGCCCTTCCAATTGCTGGTACATATGGCTTCAATGGTTTAAATTTATCATCAATCAAATCTTCGATTTTCTTGCTATAGTGTTCAAATTTTTCCACAAGCGATTTAGAATTGGTTATGGGACCAATAGTATGTGGTTGTCTTGGGGGAATACCAAAGTTTTGGGGTGGTTGATGTGGGTTCTGTTGTGGAGTATTGAATTGATTTTGAAACTGATTTGGACCACGGTACGACATAGTTGTAGAAAAAGAGCCTTATTTACACAATCTGTAAGGGAGCTGGTGGAATGTGAATAGCAATGAGATATTCAATGGAAGTAGATGCCAATGGGTTCTTGAAATTCGGTGACTCCCAGCTAGTTGAAAAATTAACGCCTGTAATAAATTTTGATCTCTCTCACTCACTTAATGTGTGTTGTGTGTACTAAATAGGTTTTGGTGGATTTTCTGAAAAAAAAAAATAAATTGAAAAGGACACGCAATAGAACACACAAACACACATCACACAACACAACACAACACAACACAATACAACACCCAATCTACTACAACAACATCCTGTTATTAACTGAATGATATAGATGTAGTAGTGTAATAATACATTCTCTTTGTAGAAGGAGAGACAGAATGGAGAGCATTGGTCTAAACACACTTAAGCCATAAAACTCATACTTTTATATGTGAAGTGGTTGCACAATTTTAGCATCTCTAACGGCTCTTCCTCCCATAAGCCATTTTCTATCCATCATAATCATCATCAACTTGTTTTTTGATGTGTCAAAATTCATAACCAATTTATTTCCTAAATAGGAAATGTGCGGATTATAATTTATGTCACATGATAGCTGACTATTTGTGCTACCATATGCCCTAATTTGTTGTCACCACAAACAGTCTCACGACAAGCTCCTTTTAAATACAACCTTTTAGTAGATGACATCATATCATCATTTAAAGTTAAATTTCTGACAACTAACCCGTTCTTTGGATTACCAAAACCCACGTAAGGTACAATACGATTTCTTCACTTCTGTGAACTGTCTTGCTTATGACTTCTACGTAGCATCGGACTTTATTTTTCCCAATTCGAGTAACGAACTCGGAGTTAAAAATAAAACCGAGTTAAAGCCATAATGTGTGGTCGTGTCTTGTAATCACAATATCCACTTTCCGCTTCATCGCCTTCTTTCGATCTTCTCCCGCTTACATATATATATATATATAAATTCAATTGGCATTTCCCATAGTTTTCTTTTCCAATTTTACCAATCAGATCCACCATTTATCTTCCCTCATTGCATTAATCAGAATTACATACAAACAATGGCATCCAATCCACCAGGTCAATGTTGTACTGAAGCCAACTTCCACGAAGGTAAACCAATTGGAACATTCAAGGAACTCTTTGGAATTGATACTTATACGGTTGGTGAAGAGTCAAATGACAAAATTATTGTCATTTTAACTGATGTCTATGGTAACCATTTCAACAATGTGTTGCTTATTGCTGATACAATTGCCAAAAATGGTTACAAAGTCTTGATTCCAGATATTTTGAAAGGAGATCCTGTTAAACCAAACGGTGACCTTCAAGCCTGGAAAAAGAATCATACTTTGGAAATCACGGAACCAATTGTCAATGGCTTTTTGGATAAAGTCAAGAGTGAACTTAAACCAAATTTTCTTGGTGCTATTGGATACTGTTTCGGTGCCAAATACGTGATTAGAAACTTGACTCAATCAAGACCATTGGATGCTGGTGCAATTGCCCACCCTTCATTCGTCACCATCGACGAAGTGAAAGCCATTAAAAAGCCACTTATTATCTCGGCTGCTGAAACTGATCCTATCTTCACTACTGATTTAAGGAGACAAACTGAAGATGAATTGGCTAAATTGGATGGCGTTAGATACGAACTTACTTTGTTTTCAAACACTAGCCATGGATTTGCTGTCAAAGGTGATATTTCGGATCCATTGGTGAAATATGCTAAAGAAAAGGCATTGAATGATCAATTGTACTTTTTCTGGAGTGTTGGGTTGATTAATTCAAGACAAGGCAAAGGAGCATTGTAGAGAGATGCGATGTTGGTGTATTAGTCACCATTGACATTAGATTTAGAGATACTTTAAAACTAAATACGCTTTTAGACTATATTAGATAATCTACTTCTCGTGCCTATCACACTGTCTTGCGGAATTTATTTAAATTGCGCGTCGAAACCAAAATTTCACGCTCCATTCAGATCCACAACTATATCTCAAACCAAAGTAGTTCTGAAATGAATGAAAAGTCACAATTGCCAATCCACAGAAGAGTAGCTTCCGAAACAAGCGAGTGGAAACGATTACTCCGCACTTGGGGTATTGTCACATTCTGTTCACTTTGCATCCTTAGCACCTACTTATCACCTACATTCTTCAATTATTGGTTCACCCTAGGTGGGCAACCAGATAATCCTGATGGTCTTTGTCCCCTTGTTCCCAAAATCAATCCCATTGAAGATATCAACAACCCCAAAACACTCAAAAATATTCTCCATGAAGATAAATTCCACAAACAAGAACGTGATCGGTTACTAGGAGCAATTCAAGTCCCTACTGAAGTGTATGATGACATGTTGACTCCAAATTCAACAACTACCTTGAAAGAATTGCTCAAATTGGAACCCAGATGGAAACCATTTCTCAAGTTTCACAAGTACTTGGAAAAAACGTACCCCTTGGTGCATAAACATTTACAAGTTGAGAAGATTAATCATTTGGGATTGGTGTACACTTGGAAAGGAAAGCATGACGATAAGAAACCCATTATATTGGCTGCTCATCAAGATGTTGTGCCTGTTCAAAAAGCCACTGTTGATCAATGGACTTATCCTCCGTTTAAAGGTGGATACGATGGGAAATATCTTTATGGAAGAGGTGTGTCTGATTGTAAAAACTTGCTAATCGGACTCCTCTCTACCATTGAGTTACTATTACAGAACAAGGAGTTTCACCCAAAAAGAACAATTATTTTGGCATTTGGTTACGATGAAGAAAGCGCAGGAACTGGAGCGGCTGAGATTGCCAAGCATCTCCTAGCTCGGTATGGGCCCGATTCCATCTTGCAAATCATTGATGAGGGGAACGAATCATTTGAAGAGGTTGAAGGATTGAAATTGATCTTACCAGCAACTGGTGAAAAAGGATACTTGGACTCTGTGATTGAATTGTATACACCTGGTGGTCATTCAAGCGTACCTCCAAAACACACATCAATTGGAATCATGGCTCAATTGATTACTGAGATTGAAAACGATGCATTTCTGCCCCTACTCACTCAAGTTAATCCAATAATGGGTGAGCTCTTTTGTTTAGCTGAACATAGCCCCACTTTGAACCCAGATATAAGACGCAATATCTTGAAAGCTCAAGTTGATGCCAATGCAAACAAGAAAGTTGTCGAATACTTGGATGCAAACTTGGATACAAAATATTTGATCACCACTTCCCAAGCTATCGATGTTGTTGAAGGTGGAGTCAAGTCAAATGCGTTGCCTGAACATGTATCGATGTTGGTCAACTCAAGAATCTCAGTTGAAGAATCAGTACAGGATGTCATTGACAAGTATCAATTCCATATTAAAGCCATTGCCCAAAAATTCAACCTTGGTCTCATCTTGAATGGGGAACAAGTGATTAAACCAACAAATCAAGGATATTTTAATTACTCACTAGTTGAGCCATTGGAACCAGCACCTGTGTCTCCTATTAATGGCGAAAGTTGGAATTTGTTTGGTGGTGCATTACGATACTTGTATGAAGACTTGGTGTTCCCCAAGCTGAATGATACATTCGTCGTGGCACCATTCTTATCTACGGGAAACACCGATACTAAATCATATTGGGACTTGAGTAGAAACATCTATCGATACCAGCCTGGTTTGCCTAATAGCAAAAGTGGTATTCATTCAGTTGATGAGCGGTTAGTATTTGAAGGACATTTCCATATCATTGCCTTCTATTACTACTACTTACAAGTCATAGATAAAGCTGATGATGCAAAATTTTAAAATATGTATTCACTTATCTAATTTTTTACTTTACCAATTTGGATGCTCTTGCATTGCCATGTTTCCTTACTTCCATGTCCATCAAATCTTTTATCCTATGACTCCCAGCAATTCCAATACTCAACACTTTTTCTAAACTATCCAATGGCATCTTATCTTCCAACAACAACAATGCCAATTTTTCACCTTTACCAATCACCCCAACAGTTATGGCACTGACATCAGATTCTTCCAAATTATTCAAATCTAGTAATGGTGATTGATCAATTAATCCACAACTGACACTACTCACATAATCATACATGGCAATACCAGCGTCGATTATTGCCAACGTTATCGCATTGGTGATTGCCGCAAGCATGCCCCCATCTTGACTCAATACTTGGACATTTATCGTTATGTTTGTTCTTGGATATAAATGTAACAAAACCAGTTGTTCAAACGTTCGTTCAAGGGTGGTTCTCAATTCAACCATTCGTTTTTCAGATTTCGATCGCTTCTTTCTCTCAAATGTCGAAAAATTGGCAATGGTTAAATTAACCTCTAAATTCGCCTTGTCTTGATTCATTTGAGCTCTGCTTATGGGCTCAGTAGGACCTTGGACTGTACATATAACTTTTGTGTTTCCTTGTTCGACATACGATGAGCCATCTGATGAGTTTGGATGGGTATTGACACGACATTCGAATCGGCGTAGCTCATTCCATCTTCTTCCATCTATTCTAAGACCTTCAGGAGAGTATAATTCCATACGTGACATAATTGTAGGACGAATTGGAGGGGGGTGGGGGGGTGTACCTGTTGATATAGAGGACTTTATCTGCTGATGATTCGGATTTCTAAAAAATTCTACGATGTACGTTTTTTTTTGCGCTCTACCAAATTACTCCTAATGTATCTTTCTCTCGTACTCTATAAACTTTTAATAAACTCACCAATGCATATACAGTTACTCAAAAAGAAGAATAATGATGAGTTGAACAATGCATAATCAAGTGTATTCTCTCCCAAAAACTCCAAGCGATAAGCATTGTAAAGCCAACACCCTTGCGAAACAATCCAAAGCGTCAACACAAATATCCCATGGAAGCGTCTAGTATGAAGTAGATTCGACTTGGATAAGAAATGAGGAAGAAAGATCAAAAACCAAATAAAATACTGCGATGTAATGACCTTGTTGAACGTGACAAATGTGAATGTCTGTATAAATAAGCATGAAAGCAAATCCTTCTTGGCGAATATCAAGGGGATTATGACGCCTGATAGCAAAAGTTGTGGAATAAATGCTAACGTCTCGATATCGGTACTAGATGAGGCGGTAGTCAATGCTGATTTGTAGTATAATACCATATTATAGACTGAAAAATTGTGTCTATGATCAATTCTTACAATGTGGTATAAGTACGAATGATCAAGAAACTCTTGTCCATATAGCAAGTACATCAATCCATTGAACAACAACAATGTAGCAATAGTATAGGTAGCATACTTGATATTCCGGACATTAACCAATTTGATCACGGGGTAATTAACAATCGGTTGTGAGCTATTTGTCAAGTAGAACAAAATGCTTGGTAAGTAGATTATCGGATATATCTTGAAATGAATTGCCAACCCGAGCCAAAATGCCGATGCTAAAATGTTTCCATATTCAATCAAGTAGTACAACGAAAGCATAATTAGAACCGTCAAGATACTCTCCGAAGATCCACGTGTACTTATTGTAATAACCATGGGGTTTAAAAGCCATAGTGATGACAAAATGAGCCACTTGGACTTTGATAAAGTTTTATCCTTGGCTAACAATTTCGCAATCAAAACTCCAGTCACTAAATCACCCATCATGAACAATACCTTCCCAAAGCTACACCAAGCGGGCCCCCAATTGTTTGGTGTGAGCATCATTGCTAGTAACGGTGTATACCGGTAAGTTTCTCGAAGATATGGCGATTGTCCTTGGAAAACATAACGTGAGGCATCAGAAAACACCAAGTAGTCAATGTCGGTATATTTTACTGGCATATGCTCATCTTGATACAATCCAAATAAGAAGAATCCTATTCGGAGTACAATTGCCAACGCAATTATTCCAGATAAAGTAACCATTTGCCGTTGACTTAATGGAGAAAGTGCATTTTGAAAAATTTCTGAAATCACATTTTTTTTGCGGAGTTTGGTTGATGCGTTTTACAATGAATCCACTAAAACATCAGATATGTCGTTGAACACACAAGAGGAAGTCTACAAGGAATACTTAAACTATGACTGGGATTCAGATAAAGACTTTCAAGAAGGACTAAAAGAGATCTTAGAATCTTATCTTTCAAATATCAAAGAACAAGATCCGCTGCAAATATCAATCCCTTATCTTGATAAGACACAATTAACAAATCAAGCCAAGCTGTTTTTCTTTTGTCAAAAGACTGGTCACATACTAAACTTGGACGATTTTGAAGAATGGAAGATACACAATGGTGATAAGTATGAAAAGAGTGCTAAAATTGATGAATTAGATAATCACAAGGATGATGGCCAAGTAGACGATGCCCTCGGTACTGAAGATCCGCCTTATTCATCCAATTACCAGAATTTGGTGGAATTGATAATGTCGGGTAAACCCGTGCCTGGGATAAAAGAAATCCCCTCAGTGGTTCTAACCGATCAAGGATCAGAACCGAGGGCAGCTCAAAGAAAAAAGCCATGGGAGGTAAACAAAGAGGAAACTGATACCTAATGAGGATATATAATACTCCTATTAGAACGTCTTTAAAATGTATTGTCTTGTGTGTAATGCTTATCTATTGTCTTTAATCAATCTAGTGATTTAACTCTACTGATCGATCAATGGAGCATCATACTGCACCTCCTTGTAATCCCAAAAGAATGTCAAATTCGATGGACCTGAATTACCACATTGTTTTGAATAGTCTACACCATCTAGTCTTGACTTCACAATATCGACAAATTGATCCAAAGGGCAGGAAAAGTCAACTCCATTGTTGCAGTTGGGGAAAGGTACAACTGCATCATTCATAATGAACCGAACGTACATTTTGTCGTCACATTTCAATTTTTCCAAATAAGTTCTACCCCCTTGAGGAAACATCTGTGCTGCATTGTATGGATTAGGGAATGGGACATGATCAACGGGTAAATTCTTTTCCGGGTTGATTAACCCCATCGATGATAAGTAAAACTCCATATCTGTGTCATGAGTGAACATAACCCATATTTTGTTTGCGGCTGCCTCATCAAGAAGTAGCCTTAATGAGGCTACTACCATGGGAGAACCAACTGTTGTGCTCAAATTGTTACCTTGTCCGATGGAGTAATAATTTGTCAAGTCATTTCTGTAGCCACTCTTTATAAACTCCTCGTTAGTGAATAGGGAACAGAATGGTGACGATCCTCTCACATTGATTTCAAAAGCACACCACAAGAATAAGGAAGATACTTGGGCAGTAGTCAAATTCAACCCTGGATTTTGCTGTTGCCATCTGTGCAATATGTCTTGTAGATAGCTCTTGTCAAATTGATCAACTATTTCGTCGTTATTGATATCGTCTAAATTCTTGCACGCGTACCGTGGTGTCAATGAATTGGCACCCATTTTTGGGTCCTCGTCAATGACGACATACTCCACATGATCTTCCGAGCATTCATCACCCAAGAATCCTCGGGCAAAATAGTTTGCAGTTTGATAACATCTTCCAGAATTGGTAGTAAACACAGTGAAATTGCCGCCATCAAACAAACCTTGATACCGTTGTCTAAAATATGCCCCATGTCGAAGTGCAGTTGTTGTACCAGCAAATGTGCCCTCAGAATTCGTTGGACTCGTTTCCTTCTCGTAATACTCTTTATTTGTCACGAAATACTCATAATTATTTAAAAACGACAAGTCGCCTCTGAACTCCTTATCGTAACTTTTGAAAGCATCCATCACAGTGTCGAAATAAGCTCCATCACTTTTTGAAGGAAATCTCTCTCCATGTCGTGAGATCATTTGGACATGTTCTACTGTGCACTTATCCGGATTGTCAGTACTAATTCCGTACCTGGATCCTTGTTTGTAAGGCGCTGATCCGCCGAGGAAATTGATAACTGAATATTGATCTGTAGCAGCTTGTTGAGGAGTTGCGACATCTTGAAATATAGATTGACTCACAAGCAAAAAGTTCGAATGCAAAACCTTTGAAAAGGAAACCATTGCTTTTAGCTCGTTATGCTGCTATATACATCACAAACTCCTCTCATCATGGTTGGGAATTTGCTCTACTTTTTATATCAGTTCAATCACAATGGTATGGGAAAAAATAATTGCAAAAGGTTTCAACCCACACGTGGGGCGGAAGAAACAACAACTCAGCAGGTGTAACCATGTACTATGAAATTTGACACGATTGTGGAAGACAAATTCCTATGTGATTAGGCTCGTAACCATTTACTTTTGCCTTGAGTGATGAAAAGGTGAAGGCATTCAGTCGTCAACTACTTGTCAATCGTCAACTATGCTATGTACAAAAATTGAGAGCCCTCCAGTGCACCCAGGATATTTTCTAAAGATGAAGGGGTTACTTTTGCAGCACCCGCGTGTGTGCTTCATTTCGAGAGAGATTGTTACAAACAGTACTTACCTTCATCAATGTGTTCGTAGTGCAATGCGAAGGAGAAAAAATCAAGAACAGAGAAGAAAAATGTTAACACATTGGATTCCTCCCATGGACTATTACTTGAACAACACCCATCAACTTTGTTAATGAGCCAACCAGATTCTCAAGTCAAGAAAGAAGTAACTGTTAAGAATGAGAACACAAACAACACATTAACCAAGAACGGATCTCCGTCGCCATCAAAATCGGAGGAATGGCAAACGATACCTTTAAAGTCATGCGGTCCCGAAGAAATCGAGGATGTTAGAATCCACTTAATGAAATTTGCCACCAAACAAGATGTGGACATTGTGAAGGATTTTGAAAAACCTGTGAGACTTCATCGGAAGGATCCCAGAAATATGCAATTTCACCTTACTCGTCAGGAGTTAGATCAACGAAGAAAGGAGAAGGAGGAAGCCGATAAAGAAAGACTTCAACGTGAAGCTGAGGGGGATTTAGAAGCATCGAGCTCGGCTCAGGGTGCAGCCCCAAATACCACCACAGAAGATACCAAGTTTAACAACAAGAGCCAGGCTGATTTGTCACAAGTGGCTCCTGATGGTGGCGCTCGAAAGAACAAGAAGAAACTATTCAAACGAAAGACTAAGCAGATCAATCTAATGGACGAAGCAAAGAGGAAATTACGATACGAAGAGCATTATCCTTGGGTAATTGAAGATTACACGGGGAAAAATGTTTACGTCGGAAATTATGAGGCTGGGTCGACGGAACTGCAACACGTATTGTTTGTTTTTGACAAGGATGGCTTCAAAATGATACCTGCAGAAAAAGTTTATAGGTTTACTCCTAGAAACAGATATGCCACGTTAACACTTGAGGAAGCTGAGGCCAAGATGGAAAGAAACTCAAGTGTTCCCAGATGGTTGATGAAACATATGGAGAATGACTCGATTGCGGAAGGTTCACCTGATCAAAGATTTCGAAACAACTCGCCTTCAGCAAATGGTAGAGTCATCAGCAATGGAGGTGCGCAGAACAGACGTATGAGGACGGTAATGGGAGGCGATTCGCGATCAGTTGAGGAAAGAGATTCTGATCATGACGATTTGGATTTTGAGGAGGAGTTTGCCGACGACGAAGAAGCTCCTATTATGGATGGAGATGAAGAGGAGAATAAAATGTCGGAAAAGAAAATAAAAAAGGACATGTTGAAGGCTTCAGCATTCAATGCTGAAAATGAAGACGATGAGGATTATGATCTAGATGATTTGTTTGAAACTGAAAAATCAAGAAAAGTGGATAAAGAAGGGAAAAAATTGAGAAAAGTTTTGAACAAAAGGGAGGGAGGAATTTACGACAGCGACGGGGACGACGAACAAGGAATGTTGCCTTATTTATCCAAATCGGATTTGGAAAGTGAGGAAGAAAGCGACGATGAATCAAGGGTTAAAGTTAAAGAGGAGCCAACAGAAGACACTCTTAAAAAAGATGCACAAAGATCAAACGTGAGATCGTTTGTGGTGTCTTTGATATCAGATGGGTACGTTGTTTTAAAAGCCCCAAAGGAATTTCTTTCGACTTTACCTCGAGGAGAGTGGAACCCAAATGTCCCCAAACGCTCCACACCAGAACCGTCATCTCCTAGAAAGAAAATAAGGTTGGAGGAGAATCTGTCACCAGTGACAGTGAAAAAGGAACCATCACCAGCGGCCTCGTCTGTTCCAGGCTCACCGGTTGACACGAGTGCATTGTCTGACCTACGTGATGCAGGCCCAAACAATTTGTTAGTCACTGTTGACGATGTTTTAAAGATTGTCAAAGACCATCCATTGACAACAAGGGAACTTTTGGGTGGTTTAAAGAGCAGAGTTAGTGCACATCCAGATAACAAACAGAGGATAATCGCTATCGTAAAGCAGAATTTGAAGTTGGTTGATGGTAAATTGGTGCTCAAATCCTGATTTCCTTTTTTGTTTTTAGATTTAAATCTATAATCACTACTACACAATCTCCACTATTTTGTCATCATCTTCGTCACTTTCCATTGCTTCGATTTCAGCTGATTCGGGAGCTTCATCTCTTTGTAACAATTGGACAATCCTGTTACACAAGTCCCTCACATTTTCGTCTTGACTTGCTTTATCCAACTCTCTTATAATGGAGTATACTCGCTTCTCCCTGAAATATTCCCTAGCTGGTTTAGTTGTGCACAATAAAAGCAAAGATTCTAAATGAGTACACTGAATACTTGTTAATGGTTCCCTCGTCTTATCTGGAGGTAACAATTGCAATTCATCAGGCAAGTCGAAAACTTCTTCTTCATCAATCTCTTCAGGGCCGGCCAACGGTAAAAGTAAGAACGGTAGTATGTTAATTTTTGAATCGGTTAATAACCTCATGTGGGCATTGGTATCAAATAACGCATTCTTGATGGTGAATGCGACACCTTCTCTTCTAATTTTATCGTCATATTTTTCAGTAAAGACAAGCAATTTCGAAATGGGCACGACATTATCATAGGCTTGTTCAGTAATGAAATACGAACGTCCTTGCTGATACCTCGACAAGTCAGCAAAAAAGTACGCAAGGTAATCAAAATTTGCATGTGTATTCAACTTGTAATCATTCCCCTTGACAAAACAATCCATTAAACAATCAATAGCCTTTGATGAACTAAATGCTTGCTTTTGAGCATCATTTAACTCAACTTCAAACTCAAATACTTTGTTTATGGCGTCATTTTTGGCCAAATTATTCAAAAGTATGCACATGATGTCAGCATTGGAGTTTTCAAGAGTGACAATCTTGAACACTAAAAATTTCAAATAGTCCAAATCTTCAACAATTAAGTTTCTCATAGTTATGTCATCGCATAAATTAGCAAGAATGGTGACAGATTGTCTCACCAAAGTTTTACTATTGGATTGACTCAATTTTTTAAGATCTTTTATTGCTTCATGATTGTCATAAGCAAACACTTGTTGATGAGCACCGGTAGAGAACCCAACAAGGTTATCCAATGCTATTTGAACAACAGCAGGTTGCGGTGAGTGTAGAAACCCAACCAATTCTTCAAGTTCTGTGGGCATGACAAAGTTGCAAAGAGAAGGGATGAGCTGCGCTGTTCAAGGTTTGATTTTTTTTTTTCACAATCAATTTTGTGATGATATCATCGATTTAGTACACTTATGACTGAGTTTGTTAAAGATACATCTAAAGTGTGAACGTGGCAAACTAACAATAGAGGATAAATATGGAAAAATTCCAATAAATGTAAAGCTCGTTTAATACAATATGCTATGTTATCATCGAGGAAGGTTTCTAATGCATTAGTAAACAAATGGTTGCAAAATTTCTTAAAAATTTGAACAATCAGATCTTGCTAGCAACTTAACCATTGTCCCACCACAAGGAGGTGCGTTTCACTACACTGTACGTCGCAATTTGCTTACATTATATAACACGCTAGCTGACACTTCAAAACCCACTCAAATAGATCTCTCTTCATACAAGCCCTACATAATCCTCCACATTCTCCAATTTTAATCCATCTGCTTCTTCATGTAGATCTACCCAATGCACATTGTTGTAGACTTCAGGCGCGTCTGCCGTGGCCTGTTTTATGGCGTCAATTTTCGATGCGAGCACAACAACAGCTATCGCATCAAACCCTCCTGCACCTGGTACAACTCCACCTAAACAACCATCCAATTGATCAATACGATCCAACAATTGTGTTTGTACTGGTGGCTCGATCGGCACTTTGGCTTTCTCTGTCATCTGTTTCAAACCATGTCTTATTTCACCAAGCGCTTTAGATAGACTGGATAAAGCGTCCTCGTTCTGAACTTTGTTGAGTCTCTCCAATGCGTCAATAAAGTCATTGTTGGCTTTATTCAAGTGATCGTATATTTGCTTACTTTCGATAGGATTATCTTTTCTCCACTGTAAAACTTTTGCCACCATTTTGGGAGTTTCAGAGCCGCCTTCTATATCTCCCATAAGCAATCGTACCCCTGGAGGTAATGAACATTTGACGTGCTCAAATTCCCATTCTTTCTTCACAACCGATTTCACCGCTCGAGGAAAATGAATTGTATCAGTGTCCAAAACAGCAAGAACGTCGTTCACTACACTTGGTTGGAAACGACGGTATTTGATAGATCCATATACTGCAGCTGCTACATCAAAACCAGATCCAATCTTTTTTTGCGCTAAGCAATGAGCGATCTGTGCCAAATTGTGTAAACGATCTGTAGCCATCTCGCTACCAGGTTCAAAGTACGACATCAACGCAGCTGTGACGACAGAAACCAATCCTGCAGACGATCCCAATCCTGTTTTAGGGACATCCGTGATCGGCAACTCGTGGAATAAGAACAATCTCTTGCCATTTCCTGATACCTTTTTTGTCGTATTATTCTGTGAATGGTATCCTGAGTCCGAAAATATAGTCACTCGTGAATGGAACTTGTTCGATGGTTCCGTATAGGCTAGGACAGTCTTCAACGTAGCTTCTAAGAATTGATTGTTTTTCCCGTTAACCTCTTCAATTTCTTGGCCCTTCACTCTATACTTCCAGTCTCCTTCTTTGAATTGGGGTGATAACACATGCAAGGTGGAATAATCCTCAGTTACATTCTCACTTGATTCAATAACCGCATGCATACGAGATGACAAAGCTGTCACGTATGCACCATAATTGGGGTCTAATACTAAGTATCCTCCAGCTAAAAGTGCCTTACCCGGAGCGCTGAATGCTTTTGACATTGATGGTTTGAAGAAGGTGGCTTTCAGTGGAAACTTTGTATGGGCAGGGAAATTTTTCGCGATCTACTTCGACGAACACACACAATCCAGTATCACTTCAACACGCAATGTCGGAACATGAAGAGGCAATGTTGCAAAAGTCAAAGACAATTGGAATAATAGGTCTTGGGGATATGGGTCTTCTTTATGCCAGGAGATTCAGTGAAGCTGGTTGGAAAGTAATTGGTTGTGATCGTGAAGAACAATATGACTACTTGAGTCAAACATACAAAGATGAGAAGTTTACTGTTAAAAAGAATGGCCATTTCGTATCACGAGAAGCTGATTATATAATATACAGTGTAGAGGCTGAGAATATTGACAAAATTGTCTCCTTATATGGACCCTCAACCAAATATGGAGCTATAGTTGGTGGTCAAACATCTTGCAAATCACCCGAAATAGCTGCATTTGAGAGACACTTGCCATCAGACAACAGCATTATCTCCTTACATTCACTACATGGTCCCAAAGTGGATACCACTGGTCAACCATTGGTGATGATCCCACACAGAACCGATGAAGCTGCTTTGCATTTTGTAAAGAGTCTAGTTTCCTGTCTTAAATCAAAAGTGGTTACGTTAACAGCTAAGGAGCACGATCGAATTACTGCAGATACTCAAGCAGTGACACATGCTGCCTTTTTGTCCATGGGTGTTGCTTGGAAATCTTGTAATCAATATCCTTGGGAAACACCCAAATGGATTGGTGGTCTTGAAAATGCCAAAATCAACATCTCACTTCGAATTTTTGCAAACAAGTGGCACGTTTATGCCGGTTTAGCCATCACAAACCCATCAGCTCATGATCAAGTTTTGCAATACTCAAAATCCACCACTGAGCTATTTACGTTGATGATACAGGGTAAAAAAACTGAGTTGAATGATCGATTGCAAAAAGTGAAGCAGTTTGTATTCAAGCACATCACCAATCACGATCTTTTATTGGACGACAATATCTTGGAAAAATTCTCCTTGAATAAGACACCACCCGAGGGGAAACAACCTAATTCCCATCTTTCTTTGTTGGCAATTGCTGATAGTTGGTACAACTTGGGAATTGTGCCATACGACCACATAATTTGTTCAACTCCGTTGTTCAGGATATTCCTTGGTGTGACAGAATACGTGTTCTGTACACCGGGGCTTCTAGAGGAAAGTATAGAGGTTGCTGCCACCAATACATCGTTTAGACAAGATGATTTGCATTTCACCCTTGCTGCCGAAACATGGGCCAAAATAATCAAGTTTGGAAATTTTTCCCTCTACAAGGATGAGTTTGAAAAAACCCAGGCATTTTTCCAACCCATGTTTCAAGAGGCTAACGCAATCGGTAACGAGATGATCAAAACCATCTTGGAAAGAGTTAAACAAAGGGAGGATCAGAACTAATCCACACTAGTTCATCTTTGTTTTTTTTTTTTTTTAATTATTTACAATTTGTATAGATATACCCCTTTCACAACTGTTCATCCTTGATTACATCCATCAACCAATCTAATCCCTCGTTCAAACCTTCTCCCTTTATAGCACTCGATGCAACAATACTCCAACTCCTATCTTTCAAATCAGTTAGACTCAATGCATTGGATACTTCAGCGGCAGACATAGCCCCGGGCTGATCCTGTTTATTTGCAAACACCAATAATGCGCTATCTTGTAACTCCTCTTCTTTCAACATCGTATGCAATTCCTTACAAGCTGTGTCGATACGGTCCTTATCAGTGGAGTCTACCACGAAAATGATAGCTGATGTATTGCTGTAATAACATCTCCAATAAGGCCTTATAGACGTTTGTCCTCCTAGATCCCAAATATTTAATGTGATGTTTTTATATTTCAAGGTCTCGACATTGAACCCTATTGTTGGTTTTGTTGTGACCACTTCTCCCATTTGCAATCGATACAATATTGTTGTTTTCCCTGCACCATCTAGACCCAATATAAGAATTCTAACCTCTTTATTCATACCCCATAATTTGCCAAATATATTGGCAAAGCTAAATGCTTGACCCATTTTGCGTTGATTTGTAATTAGTTATAAATTTTTTGATGTTGCTGATTTGCCAGTTGACGGTGAAAAGCCAGATCTGTTCTGATGTAATAGTGCTTTTAATATGGCAGGAGTTCCTTTGTGATGAGTAGGTGGAGTGTCTTTTAGACTTGACGTTCAGTTCAACAACCACAAATCGGATCTAAACCGAATATTTCATTGACATTTTTTGCATAATTGACACAGCACAGCACATAGAAAAAAAAAAAACAAAAACAGCGAAAGGCAAATATGGCACGTGACGCAAGCGACCTTTTTCTAGACTTCTCTCACTCTTGCTTTTTGTGGGATACTTGAGATTTTGAACCACTGAAAGTCATTCAACACAATAAATACCAGCAACACGACATAAGTAGACACCCACACGAAATAAGTAGACACTCATACAATGTCCGATCACCAACCCAGAGGAATATTAAGGAATAAATCAGTAAGTGAAGACAGTGTTCATTCTCCCCCATTACCAGATAAATTAGATAGGCAAGAGGTTATAAAGAATACTCAGTTGAATGCGCAATTGCGTGATGACTCTTCCAAGGGAGAGGAGATACGAGCCAAAATAGCCCAAAAGAAGAAGGAACAAGGAATTGATGAAGACGATCAATTACCGGAGCACTTAAAATGGGATGAATTGAACATTTACAAAAATGAGCAAGAAAAGAGCGCAACCATGAAGATTGATGAACCAAAAACGCCATACGAAGGAGGGTTCAATCCAGAAGGAGAGTATTACAAAGATGACGATGATGATGAAAGTGGTGCGAACTCAAAATCGGTCGAGGATGAGATCCCTGAATTTGAGTTGGGTGAAGGAGAGTATGACAAATTGCCACATGATATCAGCTCCTCACTTCATGGTGGTCAAGTGGTCAAGGATGAATCGCAAGCAAACGATGAAGCGAACAATGATGAGAAGGAAGAAAAACCTTTGACTGCTGAAGAAAGACACAAGAGGTTTGAGGAAAAGAGGAAAGAGCACTATCATATGAAAGCACTTCCTTTGAAGCATAAAATAGATATACCAGATGAAGATTGATAAACTCAGAGTTCTTGATTTCTCATTCTATAAAATACTCACATAGCTGAGCTTTAAATAAATGTTGTTAACGTAAATACTACACTCAAGCAGTAAAGTATTTCAAGTGGCTAGCATCTAAAGAACCACCATTGCCCAACTCCTTAGCTGTCTCAATAAAAGTGGCTTTAACGCTAGAAGCATCGGCGTCTTTCAATTTCGATGCAACTTCACCCAATTGAACATCAGTAAATTTCTCAAGAAGCAATTCAACATCTGCATCAATGTCTGCAGACTTGCTAGCATCGCCAAAGTAGTCCGCATCTTTAACCGAAGCTCTAACATTTCTCTTGTTTTTCTTCTTGGCAGCTTTGGCTGCTTCTTTAGCCTTCTTTGAGTTAGCTTTAGCGGAAGCAGCTTCTTCGGCTGCTTTCTGGGCAGCAGCTTCTTCAGCGGCTTTCTTAGCTGCAGCTTCCTCGGCTGCCTTACGTGAACCAGCCTCTTTATCCAACTTCTTTGCAGCCTTCTCTTTCTTAGCTTGTTCTTTGAACAACTTAATTCTTGGATCTTCATTGTGAGCTCTTTCTACCAAATCAATCAACCTCTTGTTATCTTCTTGCTTGAACTTCTTTCTTGAGGCAATATTTTTACGTTCAATATAACGTTTGTGATCACGGTTAGCAGTGTCATCTGGAACATCTTCATCCTTGAATTCAAATGTCTTCCATGAGTCAAATTTACCCCAAAAGTTATAAAAGGCGTCAACTTCTTCCTTGGTGGCATCTAAACCGCCCAATTGTGGAACTGGCTGCTTTGTTGAAAATCTACTTTCACTTTCAAATATTGGTCCCCAAACTTCGAAGAAATCATATTTGCTCTTTGGTGATGGTGGCTTTGGATCCTTTTCGGTGTCAATAGAATCATACTGCTTTCTCTTCGTTGGATCCAACATGACCTCAAATGCCTTTTGAATAATCTTGAAGAAAGAATCATGTTCTAATCCACCACTTGCAGATTTCTTGTCCGGGTGATGTTTCAATACTTGCTTTCTATGTGCTCTTCTTATTTGGTCTTCATTAGCTTTATATCTCAAGTGTGATAATCCCAAAACAGCATATAAATCGGCAGTTTTCCATTCTCTTGGATCGTGTTCCAACAACTCTTCACTTTGTTCTTCATCTCCCAAATCTTCATCCTCATTAGTTTCGATTTCCTTGACATTACGCTCGGCTTCCAATTTTTCAAATTCAGACCAAGTGTGGCCCCTAAGAGTTCTTGAGGCATGAGCTAAAAAGTAACGACCAACTGGTTCAATTGGACGACGATTTGGAGCTGAATATTTTCCAACGGCCTTAAATCCGTCAACACTTCCTGCTGGTAATACGATAGACATTGCGAGTCGAATAACTTGGTATGGATGAGATATTTCGATCTTAATTTTTTTTTTCATTTTTTTTTTTGCTTCTTCTCATCAACAAGTTATGTTGACGCTACCGTTCAGGAGAGAATAGAAAGGCGCTAGAGGTATAGATTATCAAGCAGCTGGTATAAGCTTAATGTTGTTGACTATCTAAAACACAAATAGACTCACAGTAAAAAGCCCGTATTTCACTTTATTTAGTCCCTTGTAGCCGACATATCTAAAACTTCTATAGATCCCTCGTTCTTCAAGTCTTTACCTTCTAGCAAATCCACAAGCGCCTTGTAATTGATGGGGTCAATAATACCCACGATTTCGTATTGCTTGCCATTATTTTCAAGTTCATCTAAATGATCAATCTTGGGTTTAATTTCCTCTTCATATGTTTTTTGATACCCTTTTTTAGTCAACAATATTCTAATTTTCATTTGGGCCCTGGCAATTGGTATTATTTGCTTTTCAACCAAGAGTTTGATTGCATCCAATGCTTGTGTCTTTGTCGTCTTTGTCGGATTGAGGTGGAATTTCAATTCGTTCAAAGCCTTTTCGATCATTGACGGTGGATATCTCTTTTTCGATCTAGGGTTTATACACTTTGTTGATATAATTGTCAAGAATTCATTTTGTTTTTGTTGCAAGTTGGCATTCCGTTCCTTTTCATTCAATTGTATTTCACCTTTATTTAGGATTTCTTGAATAATAGCATCTTGGTTTGTGGTATTGAAAGCGGCTTGTAGATCATCGTTGTTCGCAACTTGTCCTTTTGAAACGTTAATAAAGACTTGTGGAATCTGAAGGACTTCATCGAGATCTTTTTCAACCTTCAGCCTCCAATCCTGAACTTTATTCTGGTAACACGCAATTTCAAACCTCTTTTTTCCCTTCTTCATTCTCACGAGTGAAACATTGGTAAGTTTAATCTGACTATTTGGTTGATTGATAACAGCCATATTTGATTATAGTAGAATAGTGTTGTAGGCTGCTTGTGAAGAGAAGTTTTTGCTTGGAAAAATCCATCAAAGATATGAAGTGATACTTGATGCTACCAAGTCACTACACAAAACCAGCTTTTCAAAATCAAGTGCATAGGGACTAGCTTTTACAATCACCTATCAAAGACCACCTTTTGACATGGCTTTGCCACTGGCGTTTATTCAAAAGACAATCTATACTCTAAGATAGCTATAAGATTAGAAAACTCGTTTAATCAACAATGTAAACACGGCCCTCATATGGACTCAAGCTTTCTTCAACAAGTTCTGATTTATCCACGTTAGCATTGATTAACTTGAAGTCTCCATCAATCAATTTACTGAATTTGGCTGATTCCTTGGAAAAGTTAAGCACGACATAAGCTTTTGGATAGTCAGAATTAGGCAAGCTCTTTGTGTAAGTAAACACTTGTTCATTATCGAAATCCAAAATCTTGAACGATCCATAAATCAACAAATCTTTGTACTCTTTTCTTAATTTCAATGATTTCTTCCAAAAGTTCAACAATGAGTTTGGATCTTTGAGTTGTTGGGCAACATTGATCTCTTTGAAGTTGGTGTTGACTCTGGTCCATGGTTCATACTCTGAAAAGCCTGCGTATTTAGAGTCATCCCATTGCATTGGTGATCTAGCATTGTCTCTAGCCAACAAGTTGATAACATCCATAAGTTTCTTTTCCTTTTCTGCAAAGTCGGAGTCTGAGCCATATTTCTCTTTGAAGGTATTGTAGTAGTTGATAGTATTGATGTCCTTGTAGTCTTCAATTGGCCACTCTCTTGGCAAATTGGTCATACCGATTTCTTGTCCCTGGTAGATGAACAATGTACCACTTAAAGTTGTTTGTAAAAGTGACAACAATTTACCACTCTTGGTTAGATACTTTTTATCACCAAATCTAGTAATACTTCTTGGTTGATCGTGGTTTTCGATAAAAACAGTGGACCAAGCATCTGTTCCATCTGTAAAATCACATTGGTTTTGAACAGCTTGTTTGAAATCTTTCAAGTCAAAACCTTCGTACCTAAACCTATCCCCTTTGTCTGATCCAACATCGACAACATCAAACAAAAACATCATATTCATTTCTTTTTCAGATGCACTGACGTATTTTAAAGCTTCTTCTCTAGAGCAGTGGCCCACCTCACCCACAGTCATGGCATCATATTTGGAAGTAACCTTGTTGAACATTTCCTTGTGGAACTCGTGAATTCTTGGTCCATTGTTGGTGTACATAGCATGCGGTTGATAATACTGGTCCTTGTAAACGATGGGTGCATCAAGGAATCTTTGGTCTTTGGAGTACATACCAGCAGTGTCAATCCTGAATCCATCAATTCCACGATCAAACCAGAACTTCAAAGCAGTGTCGTAAATGGCATTCCTGGTTTCTTCATTTTCCCAGTTCAAATCTGGTTGAGTACTGGCAAATAACCTTAAAAAGTACTCATCAGTGGCTTCATCATATTCCCAGGCAGATCCAGAAAAGTACGACAACCAGTTGTTTGGTGGTAATCTATTTCCCTTCTCATCGTACCTTGGCTTTTTCCAAATGTACCAGTCTCTTTTTGGGTTGTCCAAGGATGATCTGGATTCTTTGAACCACTTGTGTTCTGATGAAGTGTGATTGATAACCAAGTCAGCAATGATTTTCATACCACGTTCGTGACAACCGTCAATCAATTTTTGCATATCTTCCAAGGTACCGTATCTATGATAGATGTTCTGATAATCACTAATATCGTAGCCCATGTCATCTTGTGGTGAATCATATTGAGGACTGAGCCAAATGATATCAACAAAATCCTTCAAGTAGTCCAATTTGGAAATGATACCGGGAATGTCACCACAAGCGCCATCGAATGTCTTGTCATCACCAGTATACTTTTCTTTCAACCCATTCGCAAACGTAGCTGGGTAAATTTGGTAAATTGTAGCGTCTTTCCACCAAGTGTAGTCAATAGTCATGGTTGATTAATAGTTGTAGTAGTATTGGATGAAAAAGAAAAGAAAAAAGGTTGCTAGAGTGATGCCTTCCTTTGAATGGTGTGCCTTTTTTATAACCTAAGTCGATTCTTCGAGAGAAAATACAACTATACTATAAGTTCCCCTAAAATTTTGTTGAGTTTGTCATTTGCCTTTTAGTGGATGTACTTTTGATTTGCGGGGCGCCAAAGAAAAAAAAAAAAAAAGGTCCGAGAATTTTCACGAGTATCTTTGACAATTCTCGAGCCAATGCTCGGACTAATGTCGCGCAAATGCTCGGATTAATTATTCTCTGGTAAAAGCCAAGAGACATTTATTTTCAATATTGTGTAATTTTTGCAACTATTTTATATAGGTTTAGACGCCAGAGTTTAAACTTTGGGGTTAAGCCTGCTTGCATTTTTTAAAAGTTGGGGGGCGTCCTGGAAATATTCGTAAATAACACGTAGTGCTTAAATAAGTTGTTGACCAATCATCAAACGTATGCTATCGGATTCCCATGTACATTTGTTTACCCCGCGCTCCCCCGCATCCATTCTAATAAGTGTAGTTGATTACACTGACAACAACAACGTGTTCAAAAAGTTTTTCCGAGCAAAAGGCTTCCAGCTTTGCGGAGAAATCGATTGCCTTGGCAGGTCCCCCTTACTCTGATATATCGAAACCTTCAGAGTGTTTAAGTTGATGTACATTTGAGAATACTCGAAGTTTTTCCGCCTCAAGGAGAAATATTTGAAGACAACCAACTTTTTTACTTAGATATGTAGTAGAACACAGTGCTGATGGATAACACTTGGTATCACTACTTCAAAAGTTGAATGTTACGCACAACATTCTTTACAGGGGAGCTCACTAATATTTCGGATTGCATCGGTGTACGCATGATTTATGAAGATCTCTACTGGAGGGGCTTGGCATTTAAGAAGCAATAAACAAACAGCATGTCAACATTTGTGAATCGCATGACTTAAGCTCCCATAACTACACTCATGTAATGATTCCCACCATACGAGCATTCCCAAACAATGTGATTATTCACTGACATGAGACCTCACATACATTGTTATTGCGTGAACACAATAGAAATCTCGAAGTCGCGAAAGTCAGTGTGGGGTGAATTTCTTTATTCTCTTTGTTTTTTTTAGTTCTTCGCTCTAATGTTTATTGTATCGACTACAATGGAAAGAAACTTTGCTTAATCGCAGCCTCTTAATTCCCCGAGCATTTCAAAACCATTGGTCATGTTTCTAATGCATAAAGATAGCATAGTGTTGCGTGTTCCCTTTTCATAGAGCTCGTCCCGTCATACGTTTCCATTGGTACATGATAATAAATTCTTCTGCATTTTAACCCACCTTGCATCTCCAAAGAAAAATTGCGAACGTATATGTATTTTAGCCAATCAATGTTGTGGAGTGGAGGCAAGGCTTTGCAGATTATCCATGCCAACAAAAAATAAAAAAAAGGCTCACTTTCATCTCCATCAACATCATTGAGGTATATTGTCTTCCTTATAGGATTTCTCGCAAAATTCGCAAACATTCTCGGACAATATTCCCCGCCATAAATTTTGAATTTGTGCTCTTGTTGGTTATTACGGATCATTCATTTTTAGCTTCGCTGCATTTGGAGTGGTAAGCAGGAAGCTTGAAAAGTAATCTTGCTTGACTTGGGCTTGAGTTTGCAACAAGATTCAATTGTGTGTCAAAAAGTGTATAAATAGGGCAAGGTTTTTCATCAACTTGAATGACAAAGTTTAGCTAGTTGCAAATCAACAAAAGTTTCGAATAACAAAATGAGTGAATCATTGTCTCATATAAACGACTCAAAGGCGGAAGGCAAGCACATTGATGATGTCCTGATTTCAAGCGATATCGAAAAAAAAGATAGTTTTGTTGGTGCTGAAACAAATCCCAATGTCGATGATTACATCTCCAAGTTTTTGGAGATGTCGGAAGATGCTCGTGCCGACGACCAAAAAGAAAAGCAAATGACCTTGAAAGAAGGTATAAAGACTTTTCCAAAAGCTATGGCGTGGTCGGTTATCTTATCCACTGCTTTAATCATGGAGGGCTATGACACGTGTTTATTGGCAAGTTTCTACGCTTTTGATGGTTTCAAAAGACAATTTGGTGATTATTACCCAGATCTTGGTGAATACCAAATTCCTGCAAAATGGCAAACAGGTTTGTCAAACAGTTACATGTGTGGTCAGTTGATTGGTTTGTGGTTGGCCAGTGTGTTTGCTGATAGGATTGGTTATAGAAAGACATTGATGCCCGCTTTGATAATGTGTGTTGGTTTGATCTTTATTCAATTTTTTGCTCCTACACGTGAAGTTTTGCTTGTTTCATATGTCTTATTGGGTATCAATTGGGGTTCGTATCAAACAATCACAGTCACTTATGCCTCGGAGATTGCCCCTGCTAGTTTGCGAGTGTACTTGACGACTTATGTCAACTTATGTTGGGTTTTTGGTCAATTGATTTCTGCTGGTGTAATTAAAGGAATCTCCACCATGACTGATAAATACTCTTACCGTATTGCTTATGGTATCCAATGGGTTTGGCCGATTCCTATTTTGATAGGGGTTTACCTTGCACCAGAATCCCCTTACTTCCTTGTCCGAAAGGGAAGAATTCAAGAAGCTAAGCACTCATTGTACAGATTGTTGACAGCCAATTCTTACTTGCCCGACAAGAATGTGGTTGTGGAGAGCATGGTGACTAAAATACAGTTGATTGTGAAGGAAGAAGACGCTGTTGGAGAAGGATCAACATTTAAAGATTGTTTCACCGGACCTAATCTTAGAAGAACAAGAATTGCTGCACTCACTTGGCTTTTTCAAAATATCACAGGGGCTACTTTGATGGGTTACTCGACATACTTTTATGAGCAAGCTGGCTTAGCAACTTCAAATGCATTCACTTTTTCAATCATTCAATATTGTTTGGGGATCATTGGTACCATTGCCTCTTGGACCTTATCACAAAAGCTTGGGAGGTTTTCAATATACTTTGGCGGTATGTGTGTGATGATTGTGCTTCTTCTAATCACTGGTGGATTGGGCTGCGCTTCATCTGCTGGTGCTGGTTGGGGTGCTGGATCTATGTTGTTGGTGTACACTTTTGTCTATGATTCCTCCGTTGGGCCCATGTGTTACTGTATTATTCCAGAAATGCCTTCAGCAAAGTTGAGACAAAAGACAGTGATGTTGTCAAGGATGGTTTACAATATATCCGGAATTGTTGTCAACGTTCTTACTAATTACATGTTGAATCCATCAGCATGGGGCTGGGGTGCCAAGACCGGTTTCTTCTGGGCTGGTTTTGCTATCTGTGCTGCAACATGGGCATGGTTTGAGTTGCCAGAAACCAAAGGAAGAACATTTGCTGAATTGGACAAGTTATTTGAGCAAAAAATTCCAGCCAGGAAATTCAAGTACACCATTCCCAAGACTTTCGACGCTGGTGAAATGATGGAAAAGTTGGGTGAACATGGAATCAAAAACATTGTCAATGAACGAGAACATCGTGAGTATGCTGATGATGAATCATTGTAAAGCAACAATAAAACAAACACTCATTTGGTCTTTAATTCTTTGTACACTTTATATTTGAATAATAATTATTTCGATTACGTAATCTCCGTTTTTTATTCAGTTGAGCTTCGTCAAGTAGTTCATGACACGCATAACCGTCCATTTTCTAGAGTCATATTCAGTGTCAAACCTTGCTACTGAGTGTTGTAGATAATACACTAGCAACTTCATGTGCGATCAACATGTCTCTGAACTTGAGACTTGATGAGCAGTCCTTGTTTTTTGCTACCATTTGATTCTTGGTGCAATCGAGTACAGTAAGGTGCGCATGTTAATCGGTGATATCAAACTATCGGCCACGCAAAAAGGTGAGAAAAGTAAAGCCATCGAAATCAAGTGCTAAGAATAGTATACAAATACGATATAGTAATATAATATGCAATGAACTCTTGTTCTTAATGTGTTATTAAAAGTATGGATGGTTAAAGATATAATTAATAATTGATTGATATGTCGTTTATTCCTTGCTACATATGGCCTGTTCAGTATATAACATATACCACCCCTCAGATGATCTATGCAGCAACAATCCACCCATTAACAATTACCTCTATTCGTCATCATCTTCCTCTTCCTCGTCCATTTCAATAAATTTAGGTTTCACAGTGGACCATAATTTAGCATAATTATGAGCATCCCACCATCTGTTTATAGCACTGTCGAAAAATCCCTCGAAAGCGAAAGCTCCGAATAAGATTGTACCAACATATATCGAGTTTCTTTCAAATATACGACCGAGTCCAGTCTAGATTGGTAATGTTAGTACACACTTTCTTGTCAAAAGATGATGGCCAGCTATCTTCGCAGCCCCCCCCCCCCCCCCCCGGGAAATTTCCTGAGTGTTCACTACACAACAATTTCTGTTAGGCCATTCTGTTCGATTTTAATTACATACAAAAATTGACATTTGTGATTGTTTGTGAATACTCCTTGTTCAGTAACGTGAAAGCTTCGAATCTTGAACCAACTTTGACGGTTGTTCCAATTTTTTTTTTCTCTTCTTGAGAGACAGCGAGAGTAATAATTTTCTTACATCAATTGATTGGTTACAAACAAAAAATGTTATCTCGCTACCAAATCAGCTCCATGTTATTACACGACTTTCAGTATTTCGTATGTGTTCCCTCAGTTCAACTCATAAAACAAACATTTAACCAATAATTCAGCAGGGCTGCTCATTTCAACAGTATATAAACTGCTGAATATCCCACCTCGGTCTTTATTATATTTCATTAAACTAAGCATATTTGGATTTTAATTTCAAACACGTATCATATATATATTTCTAGTTATATTTGAGTAACGTTATTTTACAATATACAGACAAGAAGCTCCAGCTATAGGTTCGTATCTAAATTAATCATAACAGAGCTCAACGACAACCAACGTTTGCTTCTATACTTTTTACTCTATATTAGCTTCATCTAACTTCTTTACAACTTCTTCAACCCTCCCAGCGGTTGCTGCAGCATTAGCTTCTGACTTGGCATCGGCATTTTCAGTTGGTTGACTTCCTCCTCCAGGGTATTTTGTGCCTTTATTCTTTGGTTTCTTAACCTTCTTTTCTTGTTTTGGTTGTTCAACTGGGTACCCATTCTTTTGGGCCAATTGGAATTCTTCACTCTTTTCAAATTCTTCTCTAATTGGTGCAAGCAACTCATTAATTCTATCGGCGACACCAATCTTCAAATCTGGAGGCGACAATTTCCCTTCTGCGTAATCCTTCTTTAACTGATCAACTGAGTCATAGTGCATGGGTCCTCCATATTTTTCAGGTCTATCGATGGTGAGATCAAAGGATCCAGTCACACCAGTTTTCAATTCATGGATGGGTTGTATGACATATTCAACAAATGCTATGAGTCCGTTATCTTTAGTTTCTCCTGGTGCACAATAAGCACTGTTTACCTTTTTCTTGACCACTTTTGGTTCCTCCAAAATATCTATTTTGGAGTTTGGATCTGACGCACTCATCTTACCACCTTGTCCCAAACCAGGCACCATGGGGTTCATCAAATGTGCTCTCTTTTTGTAACCTATGCTTGGCAAGTTTTCTTCCGCCAAAACAAAAATCTTTCTTTGATCAACACCACCAAACTGTGCATCCACATCCAAATGTTCTTCATCAATAGCTTGCATCAAAGGGTAGATCAACCCCGATAACAATGGATTGGCAACTTGTTTTACAACATCAGCTCCAGCTCTTTTAGCATCATTTTGCGACACGACGTTGGATAATTTGAAAAGGTCCATAATATAAGAGCCATCTTTTTGGTATGATGATCCAACAACGAAGATCAATTTCTCAATTGGGACATTGATTGATCTCAAAATGGCTTTAATAACACATTCGTAATATTTGGCACGATATTGAACAACCTCCAATGGCGCCTTCATGTTATCCAAGAATGCATGCAAATCCGCCAACAAGACTTTAACTTCACATCCAGCTTTCAAGAAGTGGGCTAGTTTCACCATAGGAACAAAGTAGCCACAATGTGGTTTACCAGTGGGAGCTGTACCCCAGTAAATCTTTACTGCTCTTTTTTCATTCTCCAAAATGTTTTTAATAATTTGGGCATTCAAGACTTCTTGTAAATCTCTGGAGATCAATTCATATTGAGCCTCTGGGTCTGTAATGCTGGACATGTTAATTTCTTTGGTTTGGGAATCAAGTAATAATGATATGACTCTTACACGTAATTTGAAAGTTGAAAAAAAAAAAAAAATTGATTTGAAATTTTTTCTTTGTCTCTCTCTCTCTGCCTTTGTTTCCTTTCACGTGACTTCTTTCACGTGACTCTTCACGTGACTGTTTATGGTTACTAATTTTTGTCTCTCTCTCTCTCTCTCTCTGTTTGTTTGTTTGTGTCTGCAGATCATTTTTCGTTCCTTTGATTCTTCTTCTTAACCTATCCGATTATTCTTTTGCTTTCCCACCACCACAAACAATCATACACCTTCACTACAAAATCAGGCGGTTGTAACCAATTACCACAGAACTTAACCTACTACGTTTTTCCCTCACAGATTTTATATCACAATTTACTTAAACACAATGGATGAGGATAAACTTAAACGATTTTTAGTGGAGTTGCCATCAGCCTTGGGTTTTCAAAACAGTTCGCGAGTTAAAGAATACGTGTACAAGGCGCTATACTTTATCTCGACAAACAATGGCCAATATCTACTGTGCTTGTTCCCCGATCTTTCCCGCATTGAAGAAACAGATCGCGACAAACTTGAGGGTTCCGATTTTACTTTGGAAGCCTTAGACAAGCTCCCATCTCTTCAAAAACCGGAATCTAAAGAGTATTCTCACGCAATAGACAAGCCTTGTGCTCGGCTATTCAAGGCTGGCGATCTGGTTTATAGATGTGAAGAGTGTGGTTTTGATGACACGTGCGTATTGTGTTCATATTGCTTTAATGAGCAAGACCACTTGGGTCATTCAGTCCTGGTTTACACATCTTCTGGGACTTCGGGTGGTGTTTGTGATTGTGGAGACCCAGAAGCATTTGTCAGTACGTTGCATTGCAAATGTTCTGCAAAAAAGGCAGCTAACACCTTTTCAAGGGAAGCTCCGGCAAATACTCCCAGTTATGATTATTTATATCAAACAATTAAATTGTGTCTCGATTATGTATTAGACGTTACCAACTCGAATGTTTGTACGTTGCCCATCATTCACGAGCATATGAATAAAGGGTTACTCAATTTCAATCCGAGATCATTATCAAATTATTTTTCTTTACCTAGCGGGAAATATGGTGGGGCGGGTGATGTGAATTCCAATTATTGGAATTTAATTTTGTGGAATGATGAGTTTCATGATTTGGGACAAGCAATACATGCCATACGATTAGGTCTTTCATGCAACGACAACAAAGCAACCCAAATTGCAACAAAAATTGACAAAGAAGGCTATTGTGTTTTGAAAGGTGCTTCTACTTACGAGGCGTTGATGAAATCCAAGGAACTTGTCGAAAGAGGTGGTTTAGTTGCAACAATAACATCAACAAGAGATCTTTTCAGAGAACTTATCGTGAGGGCGATTATTTTATGGCTAGATGACATTTTGGACTCTTATGATGAACAATTCAAACTCAAAAGTCAGGACGTGTTGGCACATCTTCTCTTGGGTAACGATTACAAATTCGCAAAAGTATTTCCCGAAGAATTTTTGCGTGGGCTCACGCATGGTACCATGGATGAATGTTTCAAGAACGGTATTCCTGTTGAGGATAAATTTGTAACCAGATTCAATTCAAATCAAGTCAGGACGCCCATCAGCAATTTGGACCTACGTGAACGGTTAATGTTTCTTCTTGCAGAACCTGAATTGGAGCTTCCATTCTCGAGATTTCAGATTCTTCTAATCTTTCAAATAAGATTCCCCAAACTTGTTCGGAAAAAGTTGGTGTCTATTTTGTTGCCGCTACTTGTAGCCAATCTTGACCTCAAGGGGAACTTTGCAAAGCAATTCACGGAAATATACCCCATGCTACTAGCAATATGTGCATACCTGGACAGAGAAGACCACTTGAATCTCATTACTGAAATATCATCTCAGCTTTATACTTGTCCTGTTACTGTGAAGAAACTTTTAGAAATGTCTTATGCAAACTATATCATCAGCGGGCTCACGAGAATTATTGAAGAAAGCTGCTCAGTTTGGGACGAAGATATTGGCCATTGTATATTTGTCGACTCGGATACTGACTCTCAAGCTGACAGGAGGTTGAAAAGAGCTCTTCTCAGGGGTATACATGATTGGGGCCATTTCTCTTCGCCAAGCTTGGGACAAGAAGCTTTGCAAACGTATTTGCGTCCTAAAAACTTCGTGTTTCTTGTACTGTTTTTGAAACTTTTTCATGATTATTTGCCAATGACCAGAAAGCGTGGGGAGCATGTACAACAAGAACTGATTACATTCAGGCTACACCCAGCAATTTCCATGCCTATTCTCTCGTCGTTGAGAGATATAGCAGCTAGTCAAGTAGGTCATCCAAATTTGGATTGGGCGATTGAAAAGCTTGCAAATTTCCTTGCCGGTGAAGAGATGTACCGGGTTGAATATGGACTCGATAACATAAAGGTTAGTATGCATTCGCATGCATTTGTTCACCCATTAACAAGTTTCTTGTCGTATCTAATTCAATTTAATGGGTACAGTGTGTTGTACCCGATGTTGGAGGATCAATCAAGAGCCATCATTGTGTTGTCAGATGCATCTTTGAGAAGTATTGTTTTAGGGTCTCAAATCAAAATTGGATTTTGGATCAGAAACGGCATATCAGCGTCACGTCAAGCAAGTATGTATTTCGGACCAATTATGTCGGACTTTACATTTGCACGAGATGTACATTTACAGCAAATTGCGTTGTTGATGGGTAATCCCGAAGAGATGGTATCGCATTTTTTGGCGAGATGGGAATTGAGTGACTGGTTTTCAAACCGTGTTGAGTATACTGACACAATATATGAGGAGCGATTCTTTTCAATAGTGGAAAGATTTGTTGGATTTGTTTACAAATTGCTCACCGACAGATCCATGTTTAGCCGTTTGTCCTTTAAAGAGGCTGAGCTCAAAGAGACAAGGAAATTTTTGGCCTATTACTTGTGTGAGAAAGCCAGAAATTATACCAAATTGAAAACAAAAGTGGACTCAGACATCTGCGATTTGCCAGTTTTTGACGAGATCTTGTACGAAATTGCGGATTACCAACCACCCTCGTCTTTGCTTGGTACAGGATTATACAGGCTCAAGGATTCTGAGTACAAACAATTAGATCCAATGGGACTATTTTTAGATCCGTCAAAGTTTCAAGTTTTGTACGATGTGTTGATAAAGAAGTTATCCAAAACCCAGAATGTCAAGGAAGACGAAGTTATTTTGGCTCCATCTATTTCACTTTCTGGTTATTCTTTCGTGGATAATGAAATAGGTGCATTTTTAAAAACCAAATTTTTTGTCAAGGTCATACACAAACTTTTAAGGGTGGCCATAGACTCTGGTAACGAGTCCTACCTTCCGCAATTGTTGCACTTGATACATGCAATTATACTGGATGATGAACGTATTCATGGAAAGGACTACTTGGCCGAGCTGCTTGTTGATATCCCCATTTGCGATTTATTGTTGACTATTGTCGAATCTAACATGTCCAAGCCCGTGATACACAAAGCCGATTATCTTGTCGAACAACTTCTCGTGAAAGACCAAAGGATTCTTGAAAACTTGGTTAGCTGTTTTGGAGAGGACTACGTTCAATCTTTTAAAAAGCGTAAAACGCAATTGTTCGAAACGAAAGCAGAAAAGGACAAGAGGATCTCCGAGGAGAGGAAAAAGAAGATCATGAAAAAGTTTTCAAAAAGGCAAGAAAAGTTTTTGAAAAACAATGAAAAATTGAATCAAGAGCATGACCAACAAATGGAACAAGAAGGGGTAGCTGATGCCAAAGTTTGCGTCATTTGTGGAGAAAAGGAGAAAGCAGGTCAGGCATTTGGGACTTTTCTCATTGCTACGGAAGCACCTTTATTCTGGGCCATTGATAATTTGTTTGAATACGATTCATCGAAAGTTTGGTCTGAAGACTTGTATGCCTATTCTAATAAGTTTCGGTTTGGGAAAGGTTATAATATTTACTCAAAATGGTCGCACTTTCAAAAGCCCGTATTTTCATCCTGTGGTCATGGTCTTCATTACGAATGTTTTAAGCGAGGGGTAGGTCATACAAAGTATTATCCATGTCCCTTGTGTCGCACTTATCATGATGCATTTATGCCCTTTGTTGCCCATGAACCATCTGACGTCCAAGCCTTGCGAAAAATAATCTTTGACAACACTGTTCCCGAACTGGGTCGCAGTAAGATGGACATTTTGCGCGATGTTTTTGTTCCCGATAACCATGGAATTCGCTATAGTCATTTCCTTGAGCTGAAAAGCAGGTATGTGAATAATTTTGATCATTGGCTTGTGGGTATGAGTAATACCATTCAAATGAGTGAAATTGGAACTAGGTTGAATGGTATATCTGGCTATTCTGATTTTTTAAGACAGATCCCTCAAAGCAGCAAGAATTTGTTCAAGGCGTTGGCTCAAGCTCAAGTCGTGATTGCTGATCTTTGTGATCCATTGGAGAGGAAGACATGGGAGAATGAACGGGGATATTTGCGTAATAATCTAGAGTATGGTGATGCAGATTGGCTAGCCGGGGGCTTTGTTGAAACATTAGCTCAATTTTTCACTTCAGAGCAATCTTTAGCCACACTAGCAAGAAAAGAGGTGTCAAAAATTATCAGCAAATTGATGGCTCGTCTTAGTATGGATTGGGAGGAGGCTGAAGCTTTTGTGACACCAAAGGAAAACCGTGGTTATGAAGCATCTGGATTTGAAGAATTTACCCAATTGTGGTTGGCTTCAGGTTTGCCTTCCAGCTTGGAAAGCTACATGCGTCATATGTTTGATTTGGTACAACAAGTCTTGGGTGTATACTTGAGGCAAGTGGTTATATTGCAATACATTTTACTAAGCGAGTGTGACGGTACATATGCTTTCGATGGTGAGATATATACAAAAATGGCAGAGGATATTAAGACTCAGCCAAATGTGTTTGACATAGCCCCGTTGACCAGGGTGTTGCAGATTCCTTCACTCGCTGAATTTTTTACTCGCATACGGGATCCTCAAACGCTTGAGCATAGAGAATACGAAATGTTTCGCAATATGCCGCTGGGTAATTATACTGATCGATTGCTTGCACTTGACTCACCGGAACAAGTTCATTTATGTACCTTGCCGAAGGATTATCAGGATGGATTGTTAAAGTTGTCAGAGATGAATGTTTTGCGCAAATGTATCTGTATGTTTTGTGGTCAATGGATAAGCAAGGGCCAACAACACATTCATATGCAAAGTTGTTCCAAATTTGGAATCCTTTTTGACCCGGAGAGAAACCTTTTACGAATCTGCATCCTTGTTGGCGAGAATTCACTTGTGCTAGAAATTCCCGGTCCTTATGTCACAAAGCATGGTGAACCAAAGGGAACAAGAACCAAAGGTAAAGCTTTAATGAATGAAAACAAGTTAAAGGAATTGAACAGGCTTTGGCTTAATCAGGGCCTATATAGCTACGTTTCAAGACCGTTGTTTGGAAGCGCTCCGAATATGATGATGCCAAACTTTGGTATTCTTCCTGGTGTTGGCGCAGGTGCTATGGACATCGATGACGACGATGGAGCATTTTGGGAAGCTGGTCCGGATGATGATGATGAGGACGACGAGTTTATGTTTACATAAATTGTATATAATACTATAAAGTTTCCCACCCACCTGGGTCCAAAACGCTCTCTAAATTTCTGGCAATATAGTTCGCAACATTGTGTTCCAACCAAATATTTCTAATAAAATCATCATACCGCGGTTCCATCAAATGCAAAGTTTTGCTCTTTTTGTTTTCATCAGCCAATTCCCCTTGATCGTCCAAATAGGGGGCGCTGTGGAACGAGCCTTTAAATTTGTTTAGTAATAGCATAACCCTGTCCTTCGGAAGTAGAAACATGCCGTCCTCACTGGAGCATTCTCTTGAATAATGTGTTGTACACTGGCCCTCACCAGTTCCCGCTGCTTGTTTCTGTAAATCAACAACGGTACCACAGAACAAACAAATTGCAGGATCCTCTATCAGTTGATACGGCTTACCAAACTTCTCCAGGTAATAGTATTGAGTGAAAAAATTATCAAGTCTCTCAGGCAAATCAATCAATCTAAAGATTCCAGGATACTCCAATTTATGGTGAGATATCGCTCTTTTAACCTCCAGTTGGTGGGTAGAAGCAAAGTTTTGCAACAACTTTCCTTCCCATGAGCTTGGATCAGTCAAAATTTGGAGTATTTGTGAGATTGTAGGTATACGCATGAAAGTGCATAAATCATCTGCTTCTAAGGTTAATTTGCGATTAGGTTCTGAATTTTCTGTTTCTGAACACTGCAAGGAGGCGTATATGGCAGCCCTGCGCAAAAATGGTGTCACGGACTTCACCAACATAGTGTATAATACTTGCGCAATGGCACCACCTCGAGCGGTAATGGCTTCTCCCCCCAAAATATCAAAACATTTTACCACCCCCTCCAATGCCAGTGAACTTACTTCCATGAGCCTAGGAACGTCATGAATACTAAATTGCCATGTATTGGTAAGAATAACGACCTTTAACTCTTCTACCAACACATTCAAACATTGTATAACATGACCAACAAATGTCACCCTCAAGACAATATTAAAATTGAGGTTCAATATCGGTAATGGGTATACTTCAACCAATAAGTCCATAAAGTCTGCTTCCACGATGGTTTCGTTGATTCCACTTGGCGATAAGGATAAAATACTTGCCAATGTTTTTGCCAAAGCATTTTCAGTGAGTTTGAATTCAGACTCTACTTCCTCTAATTGCATCAACGAGCGCAACTCATGTAGGGCTTTCATTACAGCGAGTGATTTGCTTGGTATCTGCTTAAACACTGGCCTGCCTTTTGATTCAACACCACGTAAGGCAATTTCTGACGACTTTATGGTATTGCATAAAATCATTGGCAACGCCGTATCAAAAGACTTGGGGAAAGTGATTGGGTTGATTGAGTTTAAAATGCCTCTCCATGACATATTGGCATCGTCATAATTCCTTTTCAACCAAGTTAACCAGGTGCGACCCTCTGGCAGACATGGCACCGTAAAGTTCAAGAATTGTGACTCAATTAATTGTGCAATCTGCTCTTCATCGATTGGATTGTGATGCTTGTGCTGCGTGCCGTTTATGGTTGATATATCGTCCATACTTTTCTTTTCATTCGTGCCAAATATAGGAATAAATACGTTGTTGACTGCTTTACACAATGGACAAAGAATTTCCTTCAGTTGAGGGTTCTCTGGTGTGTTTCTAGTAACCTGACTCTGCCTTGCTCTGTTACTGTCAAGATGGTCTAGATAACATTTGAAATGCATTCCATGGCCACAGCTCAGAGCTGTTAACTTACTTTCCACACAGTCACTAATGTCAAAACCTGGTCCAAAGGGATTGCTATTCTTCACGTTCAACATAAATCTTTTCCAAGTGTCAGAGTGCGTTTCGTTGTGTGTGACGATATTGCCGTTCAAATTAGCTGAATCTGAAAACGCTTTCAAAAACCAAAATTCGCTCTCGAATGGAACATTTCTAAATGTGGATGACTTTCCAATGTGGGCAATGATACCAAACGGTCCTAGGTCGCCGTTCGTATTTCGACACAAGATACAGTGGTCGTCTTGTAAGCACAAAGAAGTATTTGATTGTTCTTCGTCCATTTCAGTGTCACTGCACTCCCTTGCACTATCCTGATTCTGCTCTAAAAACTTGGATTGTTGTTTCTTGAATTTGTTTAGCAATTTCTGCTGTCTCAACTTGGCGAGCTTTTTCTTTTTTGCCATCACGTCTTCTTCTATAATATCATGTTGTGCATTGGTTGCAATTGCGCCGGATTCACATACCTCCAATTGATTGTTGACAGTACTCTCAAGATTTGAATATTTTCGGTATAGCTGATTTAATATCGCTCGTATCTTTGCATGGACTGATCTGTACTTTTCATCCAAAAGGAATCGACTTAATAGTACGCAAATGGACTCAGGAGTACCAGCAGGAACTGAAACAAATTGAGTAGAAGACGGCACGCGCTGACTCGTATCAATTGCACTCTCCAATGACCAAATGTGTATCAAGTGTAAAACTGTTTCCGTTAAACTCTCAACCTTGTCAAACTCTTTTTTTAAAACGAAATCTAAGACCTTGAGCGAAAAAGTGGTAAAATGAACAGATCTAGACACATTTCCGCAACATGTATAAATATCCAAAACATCATCAACGTTGCAATGGGGTTCTATGACGACGCTATCCATCGGTTTACCCGACTTCTTGTGTATCCTTTCTTTAACAAATTTCAAGGCGTCATCTCTCATATTTGTTGTGTAGTTGAAGTAGTATGGATCTACTTCATCTAGATACTCTTCCTTGAGCTCAAAAACTCCAGAATCGTTGCTTCCCATTGGTTTGGTATAGTTTGTCATTTCATTCAAGATTATCTCAAAACGTTTATCAAGTACCAGCTTTTCGGATATACATGAGCATAATGTTTTGTAACTCAATGGTTTGAAGCACAAGTGGTGAACTATCTCCCTCTTGATTCTAAGTTTATTTAACTCGGATTCTGAAAGTCCCTTCAATGCTGAATTTTCTGTCATCAAGTGTATAAAAAAAGTAGCACACTCCTCTAGAATAAAGGGCAATGTTTGTGCATCATAGGGTGAATCATTCGCCAAAAAAGCCCCTTGAAGCGACCACCGGTCAAAAATCATGTATGCGACTAGATCAGGAGAGCACATATTGCTAAATATTTGGATCATGAATAAGTCCTTCATATACCCGTACTCACGTAACCCAGTGTTCTTGTACATGTGTAGCTGTGACTTCACTGTGAACCCATTTCGAACCCAGTAGCCACATTTTATTTGCGATACAAGCACTAGGGTTTTTATAGGGTAGTCAAAAATCAAGGATTCAATCGAGAAGGACTCTGGTAAACCCATTTTCGATCCAACTTTTGCAAACCTTTCAAGTAGACCATCCCAATTTTGAAACTGGCCACGTTCAACTAATGAGCAGATGTATGAGTGCAAGGGATGAAGAAAGCTAACATTATCGTCGTCCATGTTTGAAGCTGGCAAAAACTTCCTAGTTATTGGCTCCATAATGGTTTTCCTTTGAGTAAGAGCCTTTATATCAGTATTTTCATAAGTTATACCTCCTAGTTTGTGAAACTCCAACGTAATCAAATACGCAATGGTATATTCGATTGCACTCAATGCTCTCTCGCATCTGGTGTTCTCGTTATTAGACGAGCTGTTAAGTGTCAGGGCACTTAACTCTCCAAACTTGTAAATAACCAGCACCGAGTTGAAAAATGTCGTGTAATCGGGGTTTTCATACTCAACGTGATTATTCTTTTCTCTCTTGATCACTGGCCTGCCTTGGAAAAGAACCATTAGATCACAAACTGCACATGCAATATCTTCATTGGAAACATCATAAAAGTCTTTGCCTCTCCCAACAATGAATCCAATATCAAGAAAAAGCTGGCCCCATCGTCTGTTGCGTAAACTTCTGATGGAAATCTCATAGCTCTGTCTGTTTTCGAGTGTCTCTTCCAGTATCTGTTCCGATGTCAAAAACACAAATAGTGCAGAAAGTATTGAGATGAAACCACCTTCTTTGATAATCGCTTCAGAATTGCGCGGACTTGCAAAAAGTTGCATTGAAAGACTGAACATGATGTTATAATCGGGCTCTCTATCTAGTGATAGAAATTGATCAGTAGCACCCGTGTATATTTCCATGTATTGGCTCGACATGATGCGTCTATACTTGAGATTGGTGACCAAAGACGTCGAATACATTACATGCAACAACTCACGTGCTGCTTTCCATAGTCGTAGGTTCAAAAACATCATGTATTGAAATCGTGATCCAACAGCGTCCGTAGAAGCTGTGACATCCCTTCCACAAGAGTTGCAGACCTTTGTTATATATTCGGTGTCATCTTTGAGCCAAAGAGTGCAATGCTTTTCACTGCATAATTTCGGAATTTGAAAACCTTCCCCCAAAACGCCAGCTCTGTGATTTCCACCTTGCTTTTGTTTTGGTTTACTTAGCAACCCTGGCCGCCACTTTTCACAAAATGCACGCGCGAGTATGTTCTCAGCTGTAAGGCTAAGTCTGAAAAATTCACACTCGGCGACTTCGCTGAGCCAGACAATCATCTCATGGCACATTGCTTCTCGGAAAATTTCTCTCTCGCTTCGAATAGACGATGCTAGTCCAGTAGCACTCAATACTTTCTGACTCTCCAAGAGAGCGCTAATATCCTTCGATGCTATCACCTCTGCTTTCCCGAAACTGTGCACCCGCTCCGTTACCATATTGGCAAACTCTTGAGATTTCTGACTTGATAAACGAACCCGTTGTACGGCATCTCTGAAATGTCTCACCTGGTCGTTGTACAACTGAAGGTGAAATTTATCATTACTCTTATCGGAAAAGTGATCAGAGCACATCCCATATTTGTGAGGATCTAGTGTACTAGACTCAAAATTTTGTTGCACGGTGATTGAATTCACTTCCAGTGGAGGAGTAAAGTGCATATCACAGTTGATCGACACATCGATGAGAAAGTCTAAAACGACCCCAAATGTGATCTCTAGAGCTTTTTGAAAATCCATCGGTAGTGAATCTTTAAAATCTTCAAGATCACTTGTTGCATAAACACACTTACTCGACGCTTTCCAAGCCTCTGGGTCTCCGCAATCACATACTCCGCCATTTTCACGGACGCAGATCTGAGTAACTATGGCATGCCCCTCGTGCTCCGATGGTTGGTAACAGTATGAGCATAGAGCACAGGATTGGTCGTAAGCACAGGTTAGGCATCGTATAATCGGTTCTCCACGTCTGAAGACTCTCGAGCATGGTCGATTAGGATGGGAAGCGAAATGTTCTTGCACCTCGGGTCCGTGTTTTGCTGCAACGAGTAATTTCACATATTCGGATAATTTCCAATCTAGATCTTTTTCAAGCTGTCCTATCGGGTTTGATAGCTTTGTAAATATTCGATCAAGGTATTTCCCATTACTTGTAGCTGATAAGAATAAAAGTTTTCTGATTTCCTTGCTGACGTTGTTACTGTAGTGAAAGTTGTATTGCCATGGAAGCAGGAATAAAAACTGTCTCAATTGATCATCCATGAGTGGGTCAGCTTCTGGGTAATCGGTTGTTTATGTAATTTCGCCACTATCAAAACACTGGATCTGTCAATCAAGAAAAAGAAAAGGAAATGATGAAAGAGAAAAAATTGAACATAGGCAAACACTATCAACAATTCCCACACAACAGTATCACCAACTACCCAAACAACACCCACCATAGTTCGACCTCAAATAACTACTTACACCAATGACGGAATCGAAAAAGTTTTACAGCCAATTGAATATCAATACAAATAAACAGAAACTACAGTACATACAAGATGTGGCATCATTAGTATTAGGTGTTGTAGCTGGAATCACCACACTTGAGTCTTTGAATGGGTTTTTGTTCTTCCTCGGTGGTCTAACGTTGACGAATGCAGCTTTCTATATACTATGCGGACAAGGAAACATTCACAAGTTTTTCCAGAACCCATTTCAAGAGGTACTCATTCTGGGAATAGCAGGAAACATTCCAGGGTACATCATGATGTGGTGTTTAGTGTACGCATTGGTTAAATCGAGCTCGTGAGATTAGGTTATGGGGTTGCGAACACATGTTGCCGTTGTTATAGTTGTCAACAATATGGTCACTAGTATTCCTGTTCTGATTGTCAGCTTCTTGGGTAGGCAATTGGGTCTGTTTCTTAAATAAACCTCATACGAGTAGTAAGCTAAAGAATTATCTGTTCCTAACAAGGTTCAAAATGTAGTAAACCATCCATCCAATTCTCCTACACCTTTAGTGGTAAAATGCACGGACTTTGTGATAGCACGTGGTAGCGACATTGCTGAAATCAGTGACCGAACAAGTTTGACGTTTGAAATTTCAGCAAACTTCGCCCGATTTTCTGCATTTAATATCGCTCACCACACAATCTAGCTTCCTACGACTGCACAGATAAGATGGAAAAGATAGACACTTCAACAAACTCGAAAAGGATTCAAGATCCATACCTCAAAGTTGTCAAAGGAGACCCCAATGTCTCTTATGTTGTTTATTCCGTTGACAAAAATGCAACATTGGACGTTGCAGAGACTGGTAATGGGTCATTAGACGAATTCATTGAAAACTTTACCGATGGCCAGGTTCAATTCGGTTTAGTCAGAGTTACTGTTCCCGGCTCTGATGTGTTTAAGAATATTTTGGTAGGATGGTGTCCTGATAATGCACCTACGAAATTGAGAATGTCGTTTGCAAACAATTTTGCAGAGATTTCAAAAATATTCAATGGTTATCACATTCAAATCACCGCCAGAGACCAAGACGATTTGGATGCTGATGACTTTTTGAACCGAGTCTGTGCTGCTGCTGGTGCAAGATATTCAACTGTGTCAGACGGAACCGCCAAAAAACCAGCAAACAACGTCTCCAAGCCCATTGTCTCAAAGCCAGTTTCATCATCCAGCAAACCCTCATTCGTTCCAAAATCCACTGGGAAACCAATTTCTGCTGTATCTTCCGGTCACAAGTTTAAGCCTAAATCCGATGACGATGGGTGGGGAGATGCCCAAGATGTCGAAGAACGTGACTTTGATGAAAAACCATTGGAGGATGTGCCTTCAACATACAAGCCAACTAAGGTCAATATTGAAGAATTGAGAAAACAAAAATCTGACACTGTTAGCTCAACTCCGAAGTCCAAATTTAATGCCTCTCAGGACAAACAGGATGAGGAAGGATCTCCAAAACCATTGAGTGAACGTATGAAAGCTTACGAACAAGGTGATGGTAGATTGACTTCACTTCCAAAACCAAAAGTTGGACATTCAGTCGCTGATAGATATAAAGCAAATGCCACCCCATCTGGAGCACCTTCATTCGGAGCAAAGCCAACTTTTGGGGCAACCAAGAATGATAGAAGCGATAAAGTTGTTGGGGGCTTTGCAAGAAATTTTGGAGCCGAGAATGGTAAAACACCAGCACAAATATGGGCCGAAAAGAGAGGTAAATACAAGACTGTGGCGGCTGAAGATGAACCTGAGGCAGGAGATGAAGATCATCAAAAGGAGTCTTTTCAGAGTCATGCCTCGGAATTGGCCAGCAAATTTGAAAAGAAGGCTAACATTGATGATGCTGATGAGGGGGATGAGGAAGATGAAAAACCTGCATCCTCACCTGCAAGGAACTTGCCTCCTCCGCCAGCAAGACAAAACTTTTCAGCTGCTCACATTGAGGAAGACGATGATGAAGAAGACGACGAGGATGAAAAACCCGCCAAGTTACCAGCTAGAAACATTCCCGCACCAAGTTTACCATCTCGTAATGCTCAATATGAAGATGATGACGATGAAGAGGAGGAGGGAAACGACGATAAGCAGCCTGCTGGATTCACCCCTTCTTTGCCATCTCGTGGCTCCCACCAAAATGAGCCCAAACCACCTGTCTTGCCTGGAAGAAACTTACCTCCAGCATCTAAAGGTTTCGATGATGATGACGAGGATGAAGAAGATGATGATGAGAAACCAGCTACTTTGCCAGCAAGAAATTTGCCTCCACCACCCCCAAGACAACCTAGCCCAGAGGTCGAAGATGAAGAAGAGGCGGAAGAGGAAGAACAGCCTGCTACTGGCGCAGATCCAAACTCACAACATGCAGGATCTGTGACTGCTACAGCAGAATACGATTACGAAAAGGATGAGGATAATGAGATAGGTTTTGAGGAAGGTGATCTCATTATCGAGATTGACTTTGTGGATGAAGACTGGTGGTCTGGAAAGCATTCAAAGACTGGTGAAGTTGGTCTTTTCCCAGCCAATTACGTCACTTTGAATAAGTAGATGAGATCATTTTGTGAAAGATGATGGCATAAGTAGAGTAAATTAAAAATCGACTTTGTAAAAGCACTGAAAGATAACGTAGGCTGTCACATAGTTAATAATTCATTCGCAAAAGAGAGAAAGAAAAAAGTGAGGAAAAAATAACGACCAGGGAGAGGATTGAACTCTCGATCTTGCGATTAACAGTCGCACGCCTTAACCAGCTTGGCCACCCAGTCAGAAACGAAACCACTACGCCATCGCACTAATTTCTGTTTAAAAAAATTAACTATGTTTAATATATAGCTTTTATTTTTATTACATGACCTTGAAACGTTTATTGAACAATCTGTTTCAAACGAGCTAAAACAGCTGCTGTGTGTTTCGCATATCTACAAGCTATACCCAACCGTATTTTTGCTCTACTGTAGTGAAATTTTAAAGCACTTTGAAGAGATACTCCACTTTTAATAGGTCCAATAAACAAATGCCACGTATTCTCCATTACTGGAACCCTTTCGAGCCCTTATATTCTTTTCTCGAGGGCATCACTTTCCTTGGTTTTACAATAGAACAGTGAGGACTGTTTTGCCTTCGCGGTAGTGCATTACTAATTGAAAATTAGTAAATAAGCTCCTCTTCAACCTTTTTCATCGAATTTGGTTGCGAAAAAAAAAAAGAACAAGTCTCAACAAATTTGATCAAATTTGTAGGAAAATTAGGAAAATAAATATAATCCAAAAGTCTACTGAATGAAAATGTTCACAACACCGTGTCTCAATCGAGGAAAGAGTCCACGACATAGTAGTTTCAAATAAGCCTGAACCTCAAATTAAGCTAATTATATATAAACGTATTTATACAAGCACAAATCCAAATGAAACAAACGAAACCAAAACCGTGACAAATTGCATTGACCTAGGTGAAGTAAACCTACAAGCTGAGTTTTCAGACGAGGAAGAGACCGAGTGCGTCTCATCTGATGACGATGATGACGAGGTTGTTGTTTCTTGTTCGCTTGAGTCAGTTTCAGCGGATGTAGTGGCAACAGATGAAGAAAAAGAAGAAGCATCAGTTTCTACCTTGTTGGCACCGCCTCTGGTTGTTTGGGTGGACTCCGATGTTTCGGTTGTTTCTGCTGATGAGGCTGAGCTATTTGGTTCAGATGACGACTGGGATTCTTGAGTAGATTCACTGAATGAGCTTGAGTTTTCAGTGGTACTTGATGATTCACTTGAGCTTTCAGTGGTGCTTGATGATTCACTTGAGCTTTCAGTGGTGCTTGATGATTCACTTGAGCTTTCAGTGGTGCTTGATGATTCACTTGAGCTTTCAGTGGTGCTTGATGATTCACTTGAGCTTTCAGTGGTGCTTGATGATTCACTTGAGCTTTCAGTGGTGCTTGATGATTCACTTGAGCTTTGAGTGGTACTTGGTGAATCACTTGATCCACTGTTTTCTATACTGTCACCATTGACAGCTTTGTTAACATCGCTTTGGGCATCACTATATCTACCATTAACTTCACCGTCTTTAGCATCTATTGATTGCCAATATCCACTTTGATCAGAATATGAATATTCACTACCAGTTGAATAATCAATAGCAGTAATGGATTTAATGTGCATAGTGAATGGTGCTTGGCTATAATCAGTTTCACCACCAGCCCACAAGATTGTTCCTTCTTCATTCGAAGGATCACCACCAGCCCAAATTCCAGCATAAATTCTCATTGGCGATTGTGGATAACCTTGAGAATTGGTGATATGTAATGATCTGATTACAGATCCATCAACTATCCAATCCAAAGAATCTTTGGTCCAGTTAATGGCGTACTTGTGATAGTTTGTTAATGGGCTTGGGTTGATGGAGTGATATCCACCACGATCATAAGTAGATGTATTTCCTTGAACGAAATAGTTTGATTGCCATTCATATTCATCACCACCAAATAATTCAATATCAATTTCATCCAAGTCGTCACTTTGCAAAAAAAAGGAGGAAACAATTCCTTTACCTTCACCAGCTTTCAATTCAACTTCGACATAACCAAACATTAAATAGAAGTCGGAGTGTATTGATGGGTTATCAAATCTTTTGTTGACTGTAAGCGACAAACCTTCATCGCCAGTTTTAACATCACCTTGATTACCAGAGTTGGTAAAGTACGATCCTAAACCATTTTGGAAATTTTCTTGCATGGATCCCCCCAATGCTGGGTTTGGTGAACATGACAGTGATTTGATGGGATTGCATGAGGCAGTGCTCGTGGCAGCTGAAACAGTGGTAATGAGTATTGAAGCGAGTGAAAATGCGCGTGATATTAGCATATTGTAATAGCGAGTGTGTTTTTTGAATAGTGTTGAAAAGAAAGCACAACCTGAAAACAATTCAGTAGATGATCCTTTGACACTCTATTTATATAGAATGACAGAAATTGAGCACATGACATCAGTAGCATCTTATTTCTTGTATAATATTACACGAATTATGGACCGATAGTATTAAAAGATTTTAACTGCATAGAGTTAAATTAAATGAAAAAATTGTTTACATACAGTTTAAAAATAGAAACCAACTTGCATACACAAGAGAGAAAGCACCCAAGAAATAAACTGGCCAGAAAGGGGGGGGGGGCGGTAAAGAATAATCAGTCGTTGTGTTTTCTATGGCATCGACTTTTTGTGTGTTTTTAATAGATCATGTAACACAATCAGATTAAACTCATCTTTTACTTTGCCTCGTCTCTCTCCCTTTCATAAATGATAAACAAACGCCAATACCAAAAAATTCACAAATTTGATTTTTGCTCCTTTCGTACAATAAACGACACACAATCGTAGTAAAACATGGGGGCTTAGATGATAAATTCATAGAGATCCTAGTTTCTTTTCCGTGTAATATTAGCCAAGGTTTTGACCTTCCCTGCAATTGTAACCATAGTCCACTAAAGCACATGGGGTCATTACTTTGTATGAGAATGATTAATGTAAGTATCATCGTCACTTTTGTGGCACAATAATTTTTTTTTGTCTGCAAATTGCGCTGGCTGTGTTAACCGAATCAGGACAATTAATTGAAGAGCCCTTACCTCTCCATTCACTTATATCACAAGGTTACAAAATCAGACTATACGAATCAGATTAGTGATCTCAACCAGCTGCTTCCACCTTTCCTCTCCTGAAATCATCTGATCCTTCTTTTTTCTTTCTTTACCGAGTCCCAATTTATCATTCTATTCTGTAACAATTGTATAGAGAAAATAAGGTACGGTGCAAGGAATGACCAGCAACTTGGAGTTAGTTCTACATGGGTGAACCAATCGATGAAGGATTGCGATATGTGTAGGTACGGAAGAAGAGGGTGGGTCAGGGAATGTACCTACATTTGAAGAGGAGAACAAGAAAAAGATGCCCTTCGTCTTACTCGTTTTCCAACCCACAATGTGACATTGACAAGCAAGGCCATACACTGTCAGTGGCAACAGGATACTTACGAAATGGGAGAAGTCCAAGCTTAAAATGAATCGAGCAGGTTTACGGTGCTAACACGTGCTTTGATATCACTTCATCAGACATTGCGCATATCCATCTATGAATGAACTTTTATTTGTTAGGATGTACGAATCTCTGTCTCTGAAGATCACATTAAAGAATACAATATTTGATTCAAAACACTTCTCAAAATAAGTTTGTTCCTAGTTCTCAAAACATTTTTTCAACCAATTAAGTGGCACCGTTATCAAAGTATTAATTGAAAAATCCTGTGTAATACACAATCTTTGTGACAAGTACAGGTTGCTGTCCCACAGCGGAATCTTCCATATATGTAAAGATGAGGTTTTATCGTAATTTGATTCTTTATCGGCTGTAAAAATTGAAAAACAATGCAAGAGATGGTAGCTCCAAAGAATCAAAAAAGAAATTTTAAATTAATGACATCAAAAATGGAGAGAGAGAGAGAGAGAGAAAAAGAGAGAGAGAATCATCCAGTTACATAATTTACATTTGTTATCAGTTTAGATACCCATAACCACGAACTTGTTTAATCGAATCCAATAGGAACAGAGAGTTATTATTATCGCAAGCAACAGATATATCCACTAGCACCTTGAAATAAAAGAAACTGGCAACCTCAGCTTCCTTTCATTACGAAATAGACGATACACCCCTTCGCCCCCCACTCCCCACCCCATCGCACAATAATGTACATTGTACTTGACCAACCAGAGATAATACCGCCTTACAACCATACACACGGCAACAATGGCAAACTCAGCACAGCATTACTCGTAGTCATAATCACACTACTGTCAGTATTGGGCATCATTTCCATCTCCATTTTAATTTTTTACTTGGTTCATCGATCAAATAGAGCCACTGAGGATGATTTACGAAGAGAGGAGGAAAATCAAGCTTATCTTGAACTAAACAGTGATGAACAAGAGTTGTTTTTTCAATCGAGAGAATTTCTTGAAACAAACCTTTATTATATTGGTGATTTAACTTTAAGTCAAAACTTGTCTATTCAAGAAAAGGGTATAAATGCATTTGAATTTGTTAAAGATCAAATGTTGACTAATAATGATTTGTTGATTGTAAACAAGACTGAATTGAATTTTTTCAAAAATTTCGAATGTTCATGTGAGACTAATTTGCCAATACCAATGAAGAATGAAGTGTATTATTTTGAAGCCAAGATATATTCATTACCAGAGACTGAAACATCCAATGAAGAAGGAGACAATGGAAACGATACATTGATCTCCATTGGTCTTGGTATCAAACCGTATCCATGGTTTAGACTACCTGGTCGTCACCCTCACTCGGTATCATATGACTCAAATGGATACAGAAGGCACAATCAACCATTTCATTTCACATCAGAGCCACCATTCCCCAAATTGGTGAAAGGAGATGTAGTTGGAGTTGGCTATAGAACCCGGTCAGGCACGATTTTCTTCACCCGTAACGGTAAAAAAGTAAGTGAATCAAAGTTGGGTGGCCACATTAAGAATTTCAAACTTCCTCGTGGAGGTCAGATTTTCCCCATAATTGGAGCCAACAATATATGTTCAATTCATGTCAATTTAGGACAACGGGGGTTTGTGTTTATTGAAGGAAACGTCAAGAATTGGGGGTATGCGCCATTGGAAGGTACAGGGCCAGCACCTCCAGCTTACAATAAATTCAATGCTGATATATTGTTGGAACGTTCGGAAATTGATGAAGAAGAAGAAGATCGATCAAATGATTTCCCACCTGATTTTTGGGCCACTGTTAGCAAGAACAAACGTGAAGGTGGCGGTGGAAAAGGTCGCACAGAAGGGGTAGTGTATGATGATGATGTTGATGCTGATTATGATGATGATGACGGACAGTTTACGTATGATGCTTACGCAGAAGTGGACTCAAATGACGAACGAATAACATTAAATAGTTTACCTCCTCCGTATATACAAGGCGAAGACGAATAAATTCTGCGTGAAACACATTGGTATTCACTGATTTGGGTAAGGATTTTCTCTTGTGTGCAGCGTATAAGCCTTTGTGATAGTATCACATGAAGTTAGGTGTTTTGAGTTGTGATGGTAGCCGTTCCGGGTACATTTACTAGCCGTTTATCACCGCACCACCCACAAAAAGCGGATTTTAACACAACTTGCATTAAAGCTTCAGATTTAATGCTTTATAAAGTGACGAAATTTCTTGCTTTCTTTCGTTAGTTACAAGATCCATTCTTTCTAGGAAACACCATTACTCTCTCATTCAACAATGTCATTGAGAACACCAAAAGTCACTTATAAAGCATACACATATAGAAGTGGAAGCAGCCCAATTGAACTTGTCAACGAAACTATTGGTTTAGTTGAGGGTCCCCACGGAGACTACGTTGCTCCCAAAGGTAAGATCTTAGTCAAGATCAATTACGCTTCTTTAAACCCAGTCGATTACAAAGTTTACCAAAAGACACCATGGATCTTATCTTTCTATAACCCTCACAAGGGTTTTGGTAAAGATTTTTCTGGTCGAGTAATATCAATAGGTGCAAATGCTCAAACTGATGTCAAAGTGGGCGATTTGGTTCAAGGTTTAAACTGGCCTATCTATGGTGGTGGGTCATGTGCTCAGTACTTGTTGGTCAATCCAGTTTGGTCACCAATCACCACTGTCCCCACAAACATCGATTTGATTGAAGCGGCTTCGTTTCCCTTGGTTTTGGGAACTGCTATGCAAATGACTCATGATATGAAATTTAAGGAGAGCAAAGTATTGGTATTAGGAGCAGGCACTTCTGTTGGTAGATACAATGTTCAATTGGCCAAAATTGGTGGTGCTAGGGAGATTGTTACTACAAACTCCGCCAAGACTAGTGATTTAATCAGAGAGTTGGGTGCTACTTCGCAAATTGATTATCGTAAACATCCCAATTTCTTGTATCCCGTGTTGGAAAGTGTAAAGCAATCGGGACAATTTGATTATATTCTCGATTGTTGGGGTGGTAATCAATTGTTCCCCGAAATAGATTCCATTATCAAAAGGGGTGGAAGATACTACAGTATAGTTGGTGATAGCCCAGAAGGTGCTATAAAGGCAATGATAGGAACCACCAAAGCAAGACTAAGAATGGTTGGATCGGCACTAGGATTAATCAAGTACCATTATACATTGGGGTTGCTCAGTTCAAATAGAGGCAATAAAGGATGGATTAATTTAGCTAGGGACTTGATTCAAGCCGGGAAATTGCAAATTTTTGTTGATTCGGTATACCCGTTTAATGAATTACATGAAGCTATTGATAAGTTGGAGAGCGGTGGAGCTCAAGGTAAGATTGTTTTAGAAGTTGCCAAACCTCATGAAGAAGCTCCTCAAAATCCATTCAATTAAAGTAAAAAACGAGGTTCTTAGTGGGTATAGATTAGTAATCAATTCAGACATGTCATATCTCATGTCATCTCGGCCACTGGCTTTTCCATGCCATGTAGATGCTGGCTGTGGCTTTGACGCACTTTATATGCAACGGGTAAAGAGGCAAAAAAACAAATGTCGGGTAGGAGAAAATTTATCCGACAAGTGAAATTACGAGAGGTTTCAATTGCGTTGGCATTGTTATGAGAAATGGCACGATATTGACCCATTCGACAATAGAGCAAAAGTGGTATGACAGCTACTTTCATGATCTGCAGTAGTGGATTCACATTACTACTCATCTTATTGGTAGGAGGATCCATGAAGGAGCAATCATAAAGTAGGCATCTATTTAGTTTTAGTTGCCACTAGAGAAGAAAGAGTTTAAGATTGCGCTCACGGAAAAAGAAGAATTTTCTAGTCGATCAAGCTATGATTCTTTTTTGTTTCCATCCCGTTAGCCGTTCTTAAGGAACAATTTAGGTTGTGTGCTATTTATCTCCGGGATGAGAAGAACAATAGATGATTACATTCTTTTTTAGATCTACTGCGATATATATGTCTATATATATATACGTATAGAATACATTTTCCAGTTCCTACTTCAACATCTATTACTTTACAACCACACTATACATCAACACTAAATCATGGCTTTCAGAACTCCAGTACTTGAATATAAAGCGTGGGCTTACAAGAATGGTAACCACCCCATTGAGCTAATCCAAGAAACCGTTAATTTATCCAAATCAGTCAACGGCGAGTACATTGCCCCCGAAGGTAAGATCTTGATTAAGATCAATTATGCATCGTTAAACCCAGTTGATTACAAGCTATACAAGGCCAAACCAGCCTTTCTTCGTTTTATAAATTCCAAACAAGGTTTTGGTAAAGATTTTTCTGGTAAAGTTGTTTCTGTTGGTAACAATACCGCCACCAAAGTTAAAGTCGGTGATTTAGTGCAAGGTATCCAAGCACCAATGCTTGATAGAGGATCATGCGCTGAATATTTGTTGCTAGACCCTAAAAAGTCGCCAATTGCTACCAAAGCCACCAATATTGATCTTGCTAAAGCCGCCTCATTCCCCTTAGTTTTGGGAACTGCTATGCAAATATCAAGAGGCTTAAAGATCAAGGATGAAAAGATTTTGATTTTGGGGGCTGGTACATCAGTTGGTAGATATGCTGTTCAATTGTGCAGATTGAAAGGAGCTAAAGAAATTATCACTACAAACTCAGGAAAGACTGCTGATTTGATTAGTGAATTGGGAGCAACTTCACAAATTGATTATAGAAAGAACCCAAACATTTTACAACAAGTATTGGAAAGTGTTAAAGAATCGGGTCCATTTGATCACATATTAGATACTGTTGGTGGTAAGGAATTGTTTCCTGAAATTCACACTATTTTGAAAAAAGGCGGTGCTTATCATACAACCAACCCAGGAAGTTCATTCTTTGCATACACAAGTTCATTATTGAAAAAGAAATGGGCCGCTTGGGGATTCCTTGGGTATGATTACAGTTTTGGATTTTTGGATTACAATGGAGGCTGGATTGATTCAGCTAGGGATTTGGTTCAAAATGGACAAGTTAAGATTTTTATAGATTCAGTTTACCCATTCAATGATTTACATGAAGCGGTTGATAAGTTGAACAGTGGTAGGGCTCAAGGTAAGATTTTGTTGGAGGTTGAAAAACCAACCAAACAAGAAGAAGCTGAAGAAAGAGAACAAGGTACACGTTTGTGATGAGAAGCTTGGTGTAGATCGAGTTTGTATTTAATTGAGTTGCAAATTTTTTTTTTTTTTGGTAGAGAGAGGGTTACGTTTGTAACCTTTTTGACATTGTAGATCTAAGATAAAATATCATGGGCTCTTTAAGTGACAGCTAAAATAAGTGATGGAGGACTGTTTTATAATTGACATTAATATTCACTTACATTCGTAAAGCGTAAAACTTTAACTTCACTCTTTGTAATTCTTTTGATTTCTTGTTGTCGTGTGACGAGGCTGTAGGTTGAATAAGCTTTCTTTTGGGAAGAGATGCAGGATGGATGTTGGGAAAATGAGGTGGTTGATATTCTTCCCTTTGTGCTACGATAGGTCATGTGCGGCATTCTTCAATATTTTGCACCAATTTTCAGACGGCGAGGCTAAGATTGAAGCGTACCTGAAGCCATTGCTTTTGAGAAGAACCAACTTCGAGGGTTCCTTCTAGCTTCAAGGGACGAACATCAACTGAAAAGCGCAACACTTGTCATCCGTTTGAGGTCAATCGTACTGAATGCAAATGATGCATCCATGGAAGAATATTTACGAGAAAAAAGTTTACTCAAAGCCATCTTTACACGAGTCATTTTTTGGTCTTGACTCATTTACACAAAGAGAAAGAGCGAGAGAGAGCTGGTTTGAGAGAACATCACCTACTCCATTTGATGATGGGTTATGAGAAACTTTCAAGCTTTTTCGTTTCTCTTATTGAACAATGTGCACACACCAATTTATTATTGTAAAATTAATCACATGGTGCACTACCTAATTTTTATTAATTGTTGTTACACAAAAACTTTTATTATGGTATTTAGTATACAGTATGTGCAACAATAGCAACTTAACGAAGGGGGAAAGAATTCAAGTCAGTCAGTGGGCGTCTAAATTAGAAAAAAATCAAAATTTATACACGATGCATTCATTCAAATGTATTGTTAATGCGTAAATTGCAAATAATAATATATCAATTTCATCCTCATCATATATAAATACTCTTTCATCTTCCCCCTTTTTTTTATTTTTTGCATACACACATCTTTTATCGGACTATCAGACATCACACACAATGAAATTCACTGCTGTTTTCACTCTCGCTTCAGTTGCTTTAGCATTAAACTTGGACCAAGTCAGATTAATCAACGACCACGAAGTGGTTATTCAAGATACTGAATATGGTTACCCAGCAATTGTCAATTTGAAAGACGAAGATGACCAAGCTGAAGTTGCTAAAAAGACCAAATCATCAACTAAAGTCACTACTACCACTTCATCTCATGTCACTTCTGTTACCACTACAACTACTTCTCACTCATCAAAGAAGCATTCATCCACTTCTACCAAACACAAGACTTCAACTCACTCAATCACCAAGACTGCTGGTGCCGATGCTGTTGCTGCTAGTGTAGGTGGTCCATTGTTGGTTGCTTTGGGATTATTGTTGTAAGAGGTGCCACCAAAAAGTACCGCTTTCTTTTAATTATTATTTAGTTGACAATATACATCAAGTTTACGCACACTGTTTCATGTCAGTCAGATAATGCACACGTTCAGTTCGGCAAGATTATTTGACCCGCCTCCTTTATTTTGCGGAACGTGTTGCTGTTTAAGTTAACGAGACTAGCACTTCACGTTGTTATCTCTGACTCGGCGCATACTGTTATTTCCTCTAATCGAGTACATGTGTATAGAACAACGATGGAGACGTGGTTGCAAACAGCCTCAAAACGTTAATCCAAATGCAAAGCAGGAGACGCCGGATCAGGCGCCGGTTTTTATTTGAAAAAACCAACTGGTAGCAGTTTCCGTACGAGCGGTAAAGAAATTCCTCTCTTTCTATCCCCTCCCTTGGGGGCCACACCTGTCTAGCCCAGGCAAATGCTTTTTTCTCTCTCTCCCTCTCTTTCTCGACCTAGTCGTCTGATACCGCCCCACTCAACGACTCACTTTTGGTTCTATGCATAGTGACTCACCCAACCCCAAACTCAATAGAGAAAAAAAAAAAAAAATTGATTGTATGAAGATCTTCAATTTTTTTTCACCAAAGCAAAACTTTTGAAACCACTCATTCCACCCCCCTCTACCTACTCCAATTTTCATCTCCCAAAGATGTTTAAAAGATCATCCAGTCTCCTCAGACAATCTATCAGAGCTAAGTCATCAAGCTCCACCTCAGCATTGGCTTACAAAACATTACATCGTAATCAAAAACGACCACCATTACCAACAATAGATACCCCCAATTGGTCCGCTAATACTGCTGTATCATCAATTCTTTATGAGACACCAATAGCTTCCAAAGCACCACCAAAGCAACACGTTCTCAACTGTTTGGTTCAAAATGAACCAGGTGTCTTATCAGGGGTTTCAGGTACTTTGGCAGCTAGAGGATTCAATATTGATTCATTAGTTGTTTGTAATACTGAAGTCAAAGATTTATCACGTATGACTATTGTGTTGAAAGGGCAGGATGGTGTTGTTGAACAAGCGAGAAGACAAATTGAAGATTTGGTACCAGTATATGCTGTGTTGGATTATACAAATGCTGAAATTATCAAACGTGAATTGCTCTTGGCTAGAGTCTCTTTATTGGGACCAGAATATTTCCAAGAATTGATTGCTACTCATCAATTGCACATTGATGATGCATCTTCCATCCCCGATTTATCAGCCACTGAATCTGCATTCCATCCGTCAAATTTGGCACCTAGCGAAGCATTGAGACAGAAACATATGCATTTAGATCATATTACTACAATCACTAAACAATTTGGTGGTAGAGTTGTTGATATAAGTGACAGAAATGTCGTTGTTGAGTTGAGTGCTAAGCCAAGTAGAGTTTCAGCATTTGTTACTTTGTTGCAACCATTTGGTATTTTGGAATTGGCTAGATCTGGTATGATTGCATTGCCTAGAACTCCTTTGAACAGTGGTGAGGAAGAGGAATTACCAGTGGATGCTTCTGATATTGTTGATGCTTCTCAATTGCCACCAGGTTAAGGGGAGATATATTCATAGACATCGAATAGTGGGAGACTCCTTGTATAAATGAACAATGATTAGCGAATAGTGAATACATTGTTGTAGAAGTGAGAGCCTCTCTCGCTCCCACATCCGCATCTCTATATTACATGCATATGTAAAAAGCGTCGACCGGAAGCATTTATTTTCTTTTATCTAGGCGAAACTGCTTACAATTTTTTCGCCTAAGTTTCACGGTCGGGAATAACAAACTATACTGCTTGTGGATGTGGATCCCTATTTTCAATAAATTTTGGTCCACAGTCTCCAAATGCAAGTTGTCTAAAGCTTAAATCAATTCTCTTTGTTTCCTCTATCAATGGATGCAATATGCATATTTGTAAATCACAAAAAAAGAGGGCCGACCTTGTGGTTTAACGTATTTGTATACATGAGGTTAACAGTTGACTCGCACACAACGTACAACGTAAAGACAGACCTACAACCCATGCATTATTATATGAGTCCCATCGTCACCTCTAACTCCTTGCGTATAAACTCCCGCCGTTGTTTTGAAAAAATAATTAAATAGCTCATGCATATCGTATTAACATGTTTTGTGTAACTTCATCGAGAGAGAAGAAAATATTCTCTTTGGACCACCGCATAGAATGTTGACTCGTAACGGTAACCAAATAGTAGTTTGGACAGTTAGCGAGTTAAAGAGCGAGTAGCCAAGTGTATATCATGCACACACATGCAAGATTAAGTCCAAAATAAATATGAAATCACTCAACAAAAAACATTACCCGCCTGTGGTAAAGTATAACACAAATGCATATCCACAAACTTTCACTCACACATACGTTTTCAGTAAAATTTACGTAAAAAACTTCTAATAATCACTTCGTTTAGAGGCTTGATTTTCGAGATCCTTGATGCCCAAGTATAGTGTTGGGTGTTATGAAGATACCAACCTGATTCGCAGATATTACATTCACAATATACTCTAATCACCCGAGGAAAAGACTACTTCACTGTACAATGCTGCATCAAGAGTCACAACAAGCAGAAATTTCACGTGCTGCACAACAACAACAACAACAACAACAACAACAACAACAACAACAACGGCAACAACAACAGCAATCACCGCCTTCACCTCTACCGCTAGCACCCCAACAGCAGCATTTGCAACAACAAACAGGACAGTATTATACGCAACAGTATGCTCCTGGGTATTATCAAGCACAGCTCTTGCCTGAACCACCGATGTATTCGAGTCAGCAGTATCAACAACCAATACAGCAACAACATCAACAAACGCAACATCAGCAGCCGCAGCAGCCGCAGCAGCCGCAGCAGTTGCCTCTACAGTATCAACCCAACCCACGAAATGACCAACAAGTACAGCAGCCAATGCAACCACCACAAGCACCGGGGGTACAGCAATATTTTCCACCCGCCTATCAACAAATACCTCCTTTTCCCCAATATGCACCAACTCAACCACCAACAATTCATTACCAGTACCAATCGCTGCCACCGCAACAACCACCTCCGCAAAATTTTGGACCTCCTGTTAACAGCTATAGATCAGTTCGCTTTCAAGGAGAAGCCAATTCTGCTCCACAGAACCAATCTCAATCCCAACTGCCAGTTGTTAAAACAGAGCTCGAAGATAGGCAAACTTTTACCGCATCAGCACCAGCAGTAGCAGCAGCACCACCACCTCCAGCACCAACAGACTCTTCTTCCCCTTCACAAAGCTCAACAAAACTGAAGCGCCGCAGCACAACACCCGAAAAGCCCCCCGTAGAAGAACGTCCCTTCAAAAAGAGATTGCAATCGGCAAAATCGTTGTCCAGGACTTCAGTCACATATCCAAGGAAAAGAGCAGTAACGGCGTGTGATACATGTCGATTAAAAAAGACAAAATGTGATAATGTACGTCCACAATGTGGATCATGCATTCGTAATGGAAATCGAAATTGCCAATACAGTACTGATGATCAACTCAATGATTACTCGAGCTATGATCCGGCTTCATTGAACATTTTGACAAAATTGGATGTCATTTTAAAGGATTTAAATCAGATCAAAGCTAGTGCATCCGTGTGCGGTTACAACAATGACACTGAAAAAGTTGCAGCCAGTACAAGCGACCACAAAGTTCCACACAGCGACAGTCATAAGATAGGCAAAGATTGCCAATATGATGACTGCATATGGGACATGTCTGTGACATCAGTCATCAATTGGAACATATTTAAACAAAATTTACATGTGACACAAGATGAAGTGGAGACTATTAAAAAGAAGCTTCTCAATCTGTACGATCGAAACAATTTTGTCCTTCACGCAAAAGCAGAAAGCCCTAGTTCATTAAAAGAGAAAACCGATGATTTCAGAATTGTTGAACAATTGCTAATGGCAAATTTCACTAGCGTTATAAACTCATTCTTTGTCAATATGCACACAAAGTTACCCATTTTGAATGTTTGTGAATTCTTTACTGTATTGGAATTGTATCAGTTCTTGTACTCCAAAATGCAAAACTTTTCAATACCGAAGCTACTTGAATTGTTTGAAAAGGAAGCGTTACCACAACTGATTGTTCAAGTTTACAATGATCTGAAGATGGAGTTGAATGATTGGGAAATTGACAAACTCAAACTTTTAGTTGAGTTTATTCCGTTGATTTTGGTCATTTCCGCCCTTGGCGTTTCAGCCATACCCGTGCATCTAGACAATTTAACCACATTTAAAAACTCCATGGATGAAGCAGCATCAACTGCCATTGGCTGCCTAAGTGGTGAAAAATGTTTTGATGGTATCTCAACCACACTCACTTCAAATAGGGCTAATATTGCATACAAATTGCTTACATACTCACAATTCCTTCTTCAAATGTTTCCATTTATTATGAAGGAAAACACTATTCGATCGACTCAATATTATTTGCTAGTGAGTCAGTTGCATTTGCAAAATAACAATCCATTGTTTGCTCATAAATTTATTGTCATTGCTAGCAGGAACATTATGTACTACTTACAAAAGACAAAGTACAATGCCACCGACAATGACAATGAAAAAAAGGATGTACTTGATCGAGTCTTCTGGACTTGTTTAAAACTTGAATGTGAATTGAATATCGAATTATCACCATTTGTTTCTCTTTCAGGAATACATCGGTTTTCACCACCGACTTTGTTCCCCAAGGTCCCTGAGCCATTAAATAATGATGCAAAGGGTAAGTATAGTGGATCTGCTCTACGATTAACTGAAAAATACGATGATCAATACACTTGGTATTATTTCTTGACTGAAATCGCAGTGAGGAAAGTTGAGAACAAGATGCTCGATGATTTCTACTCGTTGGAATCTACGTTGCATCATACTTGGGACCTGGAAAAGTTTGCAGCTGAGACTGTATGGACAGATTTTGTCAAATACTTGAATCAGTATAATGGAATCCTCAATTCATTAACACCAGAAATCAGATATTTTGTATTACAAGAAATTGATGTTGACTTTGTTTACAAACGTATCAAGAAAAAGTATGATCGGAAACAGGCCAATGGGTCCAAAGACAAAAGTATGCCCCCACGTGACGAATCTGTTGAATTATATACAGATATGTTTGATAATTTGGATGATTTTTTAATTGATGACGACTTGTTGCTTCGTGCACAATCAGAATCAATAATGTATATCAAAACCAGAGTATTGGCATCCAAGTTGCTTTTGTTTCGTCCATTGGTGTATTTGATATTGGAGGACAAGATCCCTCTATTGGAATTGGTTACTGCTGCGTCTTCTGTGATTAACAACGCAGTGGTTTCCGAGCCGGCTTTACTTGAGAGTAATCTTGGTTTTGAAACTCCAGTCTCTTCGACAGCTTCCAATACAATGGCTGATTCAAATGACTTTTCAAGTGCTTTTGAAATTGATTTGGATTTTTTCAATTTGAATAATGCTCCACTATTTTATCAAAAACAATATCCGGACGAAGACTTTTCCAGTTTGATTGAGTACACTAGATGTAGCACAGATGACCCCACACAAACTGGTACAGATGATGAAGCCAATTTTAGAATTAAAGATATGGCCGCTGCCAGATCCAAGATTTTACGCATCTTCTTCCAGAATCTAATTTCAATTCCGAAACTAAACATTCCACGTTTGGCATGTCATAGACATCCAGGAAGTTGGTTCTACATACGTAACTTGTTTATTGGAAGTGTTATGCAATACCTCATGTTTAGAAAGATTCAACAAGTTTTACTCGCAGCTAGTTCAAGCAAGGAAATACAGACATTGATGTTGCAGTCAATGCGAGACAATAATGAAGGAGGTAGCTCTACCGAGGCACCAGCCAAGTCCTTTGATGATATTGTGCAAATGATCTCAAATGTGATTAGTGAAGAGAGTATAGTTGCTAATTTAGAACATCTGAAGATTGTGTTTGAGTACTGGAAAGAAGAAATGAGCGATTGTGCTATATATCAAGAGCTTATGACGAGAATGTTGGACGAATTGTGAAATGTTTGTGAAATACACGTAGAGCTAAAATATATTGTACTGATGTTGTACTGATTTTTTAGATAACTTTAATTATTTTTTTTGGTTCTACCACATAACAATAGAAAAAAAGAAAATGGGCAATTACGCATTTGTTTCAATTTTCTACTCCGATCTCGCTAAATATTTTTGGTGCAAAATTTCGTTCAAGTAATTCTTTTTTGAAAAATCATAGCAACCACAGGTAAAAACCTAGATAACGGAAACAACTGTGCAATTCGTTAGCAATGACAAGTCAGTCTACCGAAAGCCCGATAGATAAGGACTGGAACAATAGCGACTACGAAATCAAGGAACAAGATCGGTTCCTACCGATTGCAAATGGTATGTTTTATTTTTTATTGAGAAGAGAATAAGATTACTCCAAAAACCCTGTTTGCATTCCGATCACTAACACCTATTAGTTGGAAGAGTCATGAAGAAGGCTCTACCTGAAAGGGCCAAACTATCAAAAGAATCAAAAGAGTGCGTACAAGAATGTGTCAGTGAATTTATTTCCTTCATTACAAGCCAAGCAGCCGACAGATGTAAGTTAGAAAAGCGCAAGACGCTCAATGGGGAAGATGTTTTATGGGCAATGTACACATTAGGGTTTGAAAACTATTCCGAAACCCTTAAGATTTATCTCGCCAAGTATCGACAGGTATGTATTGAGAACATTTGTTTGATGATAGATCGAGTACTAATTATGAGCAGTACGAACAAGAACAAGCATTGATAAAACCACCAAGGAGGAAAGTTTACAAGAGAAAGAAGAAAATTAAAAAACACGAGACGGAGGAGTTGGAAACGGAGGATGATTACGACGACGGCGATGATGACTTTAACAATGAAGAGACATTACTTAATCCACCTGTAGATTATTTCCAAGAAACCGATTTGAATGAAAATAGCCCAGCGTATCCAGATCCAACGACTGGCACCTCTGTTGGTACATCGACTTATCCTATTGGAGATGACTTTTTTAGAGACCAAGACAATACAGCAACAGAGAATTTCACATACATGAGTCAGCCGAATTTGCAACAAGAACAAGCGATTTTGAATAGACCGTATCAACAGCAACAACAACAGCCACAGCCACATCAGCCGCAACTTCAACAACAACGGGAACAGTTTCATCAACTCCCCCAGCATCAGCCTCAACAGATATACACGCCCCAAGAACAAGCTTATGATTTGAATGATATGAGTGATGTACAAATGCAGCTTAATCAGCAAGGGCAAGGAGTTGGGATAGTTTTACGGAGTTCTCCTCGGTATTCAAGAACCGGACAGGGTAACAATCAGGGTTAACGTGACTGGAGGTATGAAATGTGGGAAGAGGAAGAGATGAACGTGGCCACAACCGATTTCGAAAACGATCTCAATGGTAGGTAAATTATCTTTGGATCAAAAGATTCTCAGAACATAGAATTCAAGTAACCACGCTGCTAGTGATTGACATACGTACTTGGTGACATCACACTAAAACTGTGTAACGTATTTTTACGAAAGATGGTAGCCTTTGGTTGCAACAATTGGTTATTAGTATAACATGACACGTGCAATACAACTTGATTATACTGGGGCTCTTGTACCCCTCCATAGTATAGGCAAACACACAATCTGGTTAACCGTAGTTTTATCTACTTGGTGGAGATTCCAACATCAGTGAAGTCCTTAAGAATGCTGATTGATTTGAAATAGTAGTTTAGTGAAACTGCGATTGTGGACACGTCATACGAGTACAAAATCTTAAATAGGAGGCAATTTTGATTAGTATGTGAATCTGGCTCTGTCATATTTCATGTATTAGAGATCTTGTGCAATAACCACGCCAGTGTAAAGAGATTTTTAGTCGTTTTAGAGAACGCATTTCCTATTTGGGACAAATTCAGTTGACACAAATTACACGACTGGAGTGGCTTTTTCAATGATTCTTTTTTTTTTTAACCCTTCTGGGACAGTTAAGAGCGTACGTTCAACTGGCATGGTGCCTGAAGACCAGCGGAAATTATTGTTGAGGACAGTATCGTAACATTTAGCACAATACGCATTTGGAGCATCTCCCTTATGAAGATCAGACTTCCCTTATGTCACGATCTTTTCTTTTACAATGATAGACCTCATCATGTGATGAGTCTGAAAAAATAATAACAATCTCTTCGACTCTTTTATTAAAATAGAATATAAGAGATAAATCCCAGCTTTACTTTTCACAACAATAGGGGGGAATAGACGGAACGACAAACTTTTCTGCTGGAATACTTTATTCACAACTATACACATTGCAATCACAGTAGCTAAGCAGTATCCACATCTACAATATTATTTTCTCAAAGACTTAGCTTCAATTGCCCACTCGATACTAAAATTAGCACCTTTTTTTTTTCTTTTTTATTTCGTTCTTTTTTCAATCTCAATTTCAAATTCAGTGACAAATTTTAAAGAGCTGCTGCACCCCTTTCGAGGTTACCCTATTGCATCTACGAGTCAACTATCGCACCCTCCCCCGCCCCATGATCAAGTCGTTTAGGAAAAGCAAAAGACTGTCGAGCTCTTCTGGCTCACCCAAAAGGACAATTTCTAGAGTTTCTTCGCGAACACTCGACACAGAAAGCGCACTTCAGTCGCCCAAGAAAGTTATCAAGGCATTGTACGACTATGAGCCACAAGGTCCTGGGGAATTGAGATTCAACACTGGTGAATTCTTTCATGTATTGAATGTATCAGATGATGCAAGACACAGAGAGGCTGAGGAAAATGGATGGTATGAAGCAACCAATCCAATGACCAATGCCAAGGGAATGGTGCCTATAAGTTATTTCGAGGTATTTGATAGATCGCGGCCATCAACAGTATCGAATCAGAGCTCGAATCAAAGCTCGAATCTGCGTGGTGGTTCTCGTTCACTGAATCTGAACCAAACATTGTATGCAGTTACTTTGTACGAATTCAAAGCTGAAAGGGATGATGAACTTGATGTTTCTCCCGGGGAAAATTTGATCATTTGCGCACATCACGACTACGAGTGGTTTATAGCTAAACCCATCAACAGACTTGGGGGACCAGGTTTAGTTCCAGTGTCTTATGTCAAAATTATTGACTTGTTGAACCCACTCGCATCCGATCCAACAGTTGATACATCAAACCGAGATCATGTTGTTGAGCTTATAAATGGATTCAAAATACCCACAGTAGAGCAGTGGAAAGATCAGACGGCGAAATACCAAGCATCAACAATCCCACTCGGTCATATCTCAAGTACAAAAGCTCCTCCACAATCATCAACATCACAATTCTTTGATGGACAGACCTCCACTTCCAACAGGTCATCATTGGTTTCTATTTCGATTGTTGATGCTAGCGTTGACTCATATCAGCTAGACCATGGAAGATATCAGTATTTGATAACAGCAAAACTCTCAAATGGCAAAATAAGGCACCTTTATCGTTACTACCAAGACTTTTACGATTTACAAGTACGGTTACTAGAATTATTCCCATACGAAGCGGGCAAAATTGAAAATTCGAAAAGAACCATTCCATCGATACCGGGACCATTGATCAATGTAAATGATTCTATTTCAAAATTGAGACGCGAGAAGTTGGACTTTTATTTGTCCAACTTGATTGCATTGCCACCACACATATCTCGATCGGAAGAAGTATTGCGCTTATTCGAGGTATTGAATAACGGATTTGATCGCGAAGTTGATGCACCAAACCGTCGTGGCTCCAAACCAATAAGCCAAAAGTCGAATTCGCATCAGGATAGAATGTCACAATATTCAAACTTTGGAATACACCCTCGAGCATCAGAGCATTCAAATGAATCTTATAGGTCGAGAGAATCTTCGAGTGGGAACTTGCTTCTCGAAACTGATAAGCAGCAACAAAAAGTCAAGGTTAAATTTTATTATGAAGATGATATTTTTGCATTATTATTACCATCAAATTTACGACTCCAAGACTTGAAAACCAAGTTATACAATAGACTAGAATTGGATGATCTACAGCAGCATGGCTTCACCGAACCTAAAACAATAGATTCGATTAGATTGTTTTTGAAGAATGATTATGAAGACTTTGTGAAAGAGTATGGGTTACACGATGTCGATTTCAATGTACATGGCTCGAAGTTGGAGGAATTTGAGGTTAATGACGATGAAAAATTCCATGAAGTGCTCTATGAGAAATGCAAATTGATTATATTGTTGACTTGAGGAGAGGTTCCAAAACACGAATGGGGGAACCTTTCACATTGTTGGCTTAATCGCCATTTACTCTTCAACTTACACTTTCTTAGACACATTTCTATGTTAGCACGCTCAAATTTAAATAGATTAAACGCTGTATGTATTTATAAATGATTTCACCAATTCTAGAGAAAGCAACAAGCTACATCATCCAGATGTATTGGTCAATGCCAAATGCGTCTATCCCACAAAAACACGCAGCATGAAAGAATTAAAAAACAAAATTACATTTTTGTGTCTCTGAAAACGTAAGCATCGTTTAAAGTGAAAGCATTCAACATTAAATCCAATATCAACATCAATCATATGGAATTGATAAACCATTATGGGTCTCCTTGATTCAGTGTATAAGGTGTTTTCACGAAAGGATGAAGATACAGCAAAACCAAAACTTCGAAATTCAGATTTTGGACGTCCCATCGATAATCCAATATCCTTAAGGGATTTAGAGGTAGTCAATCTAGATGGTTCAAAAACTCCGAGTAGGAGTTCAAAACGCTCGCATGGGAAGGGATCACCAAGAATCCTCAGGACTCCTACAACGATTGATATTTTGAGGAAACGAAGGCTACATATGTCTCCAAAAAAGGCTTCTATGTCAGAGCCAGCGAAGAAGGTGAATAACAGGCCATTGGTCAAATCTGCAAACAAAGAGGTTCTGGATGCTTACACAAATGACGAGTCCAGCTCATCCAGGATGACAATCGATACTCCCTTGAAACCATTGGACGATGGACGAAGCCCACATCGATATCTGTCATCATCACAAACATGCCCAAGCACTGTCAGCTTATCCAATACTGGAGATCTGCTACATAGCAAAACGGTCACTGAAAAGCTACAGGATGCGCTAACTGATGCAAGGGACCAGGGTCTGTCGCATAAACCACTAGAGACGACTCAGACAAATATTCACGAGCATAGAAGGGACATAACAAGTGACTACAAGGACGAGCAAATACCACTGAAAATTGTATCAGATGGCTTGTTACAGTTCCCTCTGGAGTATGAAAAGTTTCTTGAACAAAAATTTGCTATCCAACAACAGTCAGCAAACTTTCCTCTCAACAAGGAAATGAACCAAGGGGAAGACCACCGACCTGATTTGGCACCTCAGGAGTCGCCACACTTGTCCAAAATACGCCAAGAGGATTCACCTAGACAACGCAAACATCACAAAGCAGCAGAGTCACAATCCATTTTGAATAAAGAATATCAAAATGTGTCGGCTTCCTTGGTTAAAGAGCTGAAAGTGATTCCCTTGGTAGAGAATGAACCCATGGAGGAGAATGCTTCTCATGCCAAAACCATGTTCCATGGTTCCAAAGACACGAAGTCGAGCCAGCCACATAGGCACAAAAAAGTAACCAGTAAAGGAAAGCATAAAAAGATTTCGCCAAAGCGTCAAAAAAAGGTCAGTATTATACCTGGCGCGATCGATTTATCAATTTTTGATCTGGATGACGAGAGTTCCCTCAAAATGGCCAAGAGTGTTGAGCCCCCAGCTAAATCAAAATTTAAACAAAAGGAAACCATAGCACAGAAAATCAAGAGACTAAACAAGGCTCGTAAAGCAGCAAAGAAAGAAGCAAGACGACACACAAAGGAGAAGGGGGCAGAGTCAACCGAAGCTGAATCTAGGTCACTTTCGAATGAGAGCGGGTCTGCCTCTTTGGGATCCCCACACGAAGTTTTGAGAGGCAACAAACAACAAGTGATGAACTCTTGTGGGAAAGTAGACAAAGAGTATGGGGGTATAGCTTCAAATGAACTTAGCTTGAATCAAGCTATGAGAGTCGAGAGCCAAGAACCTACTTCCCCACAAAATACCTTTCTCAATACAGTTGATAAGATGCGATCGCCTACAAAATTAGCCAAGCATGAACAGTCGAATAAAAGTGATGCTGAAGGTTTAGATAAGATAACAGACTCGGACCTAAATGTCGCGGAGACTGCGGATACCGAGCCACATGAAGGGTTTATTGTAGATGCTACTAGCCTGTTGTCACCGAAAAAGCACTCCATCGACAATGGGTCGCAACTGGTAGTATCAGATAAACAAAACCAAATTGCTCTTTTGACAACGGAGCAACAACAGAAAGAAAACACTTGCCACATATCAGCAAGAGAGAAAGAATCCACGCAGAACACAGAAAAAGTGAAACATGACGTAATGAGTGTGGTGGAGCCTTCGATGGCAATATCAAGCTCGGGCGTTGGTGAAAATAACACAAACACTCTCGTAGAGGCGTCAATGGCATCTAACAATGAATGCAACAATTTTGTTGACTCACTTTTAAAAACGCACCCAGCCGATGCAGAAACTCGAGTAAATATCAGCAATGCCAGAGGGCAACCTAATCCAACAAGACTTGGAGGTGGCCATGACTCACCAAATGATAGTGATCGCTTGAAAAGCTTCTTTGTCCTTGAAACACCACAAAAGATATTTTCTAATACAATAGTTGCTGATATTGGTGAAACTTCAAAATTGGATGGCTCACCACGTCGATGGAGCGAGAGAAATAAACAATCTACAAGCAGCTATGGACTACAATATGACGAAAAGCTATTTCGTAGACTGATTGGTTTACTGGAAGAAAAAGACAAGGAGGATAACAAGGAGGATAACAAGGAGGATAGCAAGGAGGATAGCAAGGAGGATAGCAAGGAGGATAACAAGGAGGATAACAAGGAGGATAACAAGGAGGATAACAAGGAGGATAGCAAGGAGGATAGCAAGGAGGATAGCAAGGAGGATAACAAGGAGGATAACAAGGAGGATAACAAGGAGGATAAATGTGGCGAAAATTCGAGCATGGAAAATCAAAACATACAGGAAGTAAACAAGACGAGCATGCTGCCTCCATCCCAGCACGTCATTGAGGATAGTGAAGAAACCAATCACACAAAGCTTGAATTGCCAGCAATCAGTACCATTAATCCTATAAATTTGCGATCTTACGGAGTAGATGTTGACATCAAGTCTCGCGTTTTTACTCATTCAGAGGGCAGCCATGATCTGATGAGGCGAAAACGGGTAGCAAGAGTAGGAAATATGCTAAGGTTGCTGAACTCCTCAACTGAAGATGAATTTAGCTCTGATGACGAGAAGAAGGTTCTCTCAAGGGCATACATGCGTCAGAAGTTGAGAGAACAAGTAGCGGAAAGGAGAGCCAGAAGGTTGCGTTTGAAAGATCTTCATCGGGATGGAACGCAAACTGCCCAACAAGCTGATGCAGCAAGCGCATTAAAAACTTCTCAGGAGCAGCACGTTGCTGTTGCTAGCTCACCTGGACCTTTTCAAGGTGTTCACGCAGAAAACAAGCAGTATGCTGGAACAGCCATCTCGAACAAACCTTTTCAAATTGAACTTGCTCAATTGGAGCAGCAAGATGACGAATCCCCATACGCATCAAATAATGAACAACAAGTGTCCCAAAATGAAGAGGCTTTTGCAACTGTACCGGAGCGGTCAGGAACAAAACTGCAAGATGTGGTGTCAGAATCCAATTCATCCCACAAATTAGAGGCAGCTCAGACACAACAGGCTGAAGATAGTGCCAATAACATCAACATAGTACCACAGTCAACTACATCAAACACGACTGTCGTCGAAATTGAGGAGTCTGTGGTGGAACATTGTAATGTTGGAAATGAACCCTCACTTTCTTTTGACCCAAACGATAAGAACAATGCAGGCGATGCGAATATGGTTGAAGTAGAAAGAACAGTATCACAAGTGTATTCATCCAATCCCTCAACAGAAAAGTATAGCAGCGTGTCCAATCGTCACACTTCGAGCCAGCTGGTCCATTCGCCACCTGAAAAACGCATTGGTGTATTTGGCGCTTATGTAAAGCCATCGTCAAAGATCAATGCATCTGATGGTGATGCAGGGGATGTGGCAGATGATAGCTTTGATATGTCTGCTATTGCTAGCTCGATAGAGGATATTGCAACACAACGTCAGAAGAAGATCAAAAGGAAGCGACCCAAAAGTGCAGATGTAGAATCAGGGAAAATTGCTTTCAAGGATAATCCCACTGCGGTGGCAGAAAGCTGTAGCAAGCAGAGCGAAAGTGTCAGGGAATCTCATAGCATCCAGGGGGCACTGGATGTCATTACAAAGGTGGAATTGGACATTGCCAAACAAATGTTGGATGATCTTAGCAAGAAAAAGGTGAACAATCTGCAATATTCGCATCTCTTGGAACTAGAGAATCCAAGAAAGAAGAAAAAGAGCAATAACAAGGCTAATGAGAGTAGGAAAAGGAAAAACCAGAGAAAGAAGCTTAAAGCTAATGGTGTTTGATCAAAGTGTATCTTTTACATTCTGTAATATTTATATGTAACGACATAACTGCGATTTCATGAGAAAAAAAAAGTGTGGCGTTTGCACAGGATGAAAAGGACATTTGTTCTTCGCAGAAAACAACCTCCCCTATTTCATTCTACACCAACAAAAATGATTTCCCCCAAGTACTCATTAACTCATTACTACCTAGGTCTCAATACTTTGTCAATGGCCAAAAGGGCTCCTCACATTGTCAATTTGTATCTCGATTATACTTGCCCATTTAGTGCAAAATTGTATCTCAAGTTATTCAACACAGTTATCCCCTACTTACAAAAGAAACATCCAGATGGGTTTCAATTTGTCTTTGTCAATGCACTTCAACCATGGCATCCAAATTCTATTCTATTGGGAGAGTTTGCGTTAGCTTATGCCAAGTTGTTGCGTGAAAACCCAAGAGGTGATGAACATGAATCGTTTTGGAATTTTAACAAAGTTGTATTTGAAAATCAACAGCAATTTTATGACAATGCTAATATAAAGTTGAACCGGAATGAGATCTACGAGCAGATATATGACGTTGTCTCTAAGAAGCTTGATTTGCATGTGAATAAAGAGAAATTATTGTCTGAGCTTAAGATTAAGGAAGGAGGTGGTGAACCAACAAACGACGGCAATGGAGCAACTGCTGATGTCAAATACTTCACAAGATATCAAAGGACTGTTGGTGTTCATGTCACACCCACGGTGACAATTGACGGAATAGTGGACAGTTCCGTCTCCAGTGGTTCTAGTGAAGATGAATTGGTTCAAGTGTTTGAGAGTAAGTTGTAGGGGGAGGACAGAAAGAAGAATCCATTTTTGTGTCGTTTTGAAAACAATTTGTGTAGTATTCATGAAAGATGGCAACCAAGTTTTGCACTTTAAGTTTATAGTAGACATTACTGCTCATCTATACGCGCACATTTTGACAACGAATTGTAATGCTTAGCTTATCGTCATACAACACATCGGAAAAGCTTCTTTACTCCAATTCGCTTCGTATAGACGCATATCCCTTTCTTCATTTACACTTTGTGGCGCATGATATTTCTTTTCATCTTTTCGTCGTTTAGCTTTTACTTTCAATCTCTGTCGTTTTGACGCGCGTTTCAAAACCGAAATTTTTCTTTTTTTTTTTTTTTGCAGCTTTCAAATCATACGATCTTTTTCCATTCAGATATTATACGAGGAAATACAACAAACTATAAAATACAATGAATATGGAGAATGGATAGCCTGGGACTAATATTTCTTGAGCAAGTAACAACACTATAGAAGTTATGGATATATTGCACTCAACAAACTCAACAACGAGTCTTTTGCAAGGGCAAGTGGGTCTGAATGTAGTGGAAAGATTATGGGCAGACTGGTATATTTACATCGGAAATGATATTCTCGCTACTGGACTTCTATTCTTTTTGGTTCATGAGATTATGTACTTTGGAAGATGCTTGCCATGGTTCATTATTGATCAAATTCCTTACTTTAGAAAGTACAAGATTCAACCTGATAGCATACCCACGAATCAACAACAATGGGAATGTTTCAAGGCAGTTCTCAAATCACATTTCTTAGTGGAAGCATTACCTATCTGGTTATTCCATCCTTTGTGCGCCCAACTAAATATTGTTTATGGTGTGCCATTCCCATCCTGGAAAATCCAGGCTTGTCAAATTGTGTTTTTCTTTATTTGTGAAGACCTTTGGCATTATACGTTCCACAGATTATTCCACTATGGATGGTTCTACAAAAACATTCACAAGATTCACCACAAGTATGCCGCACCATTTGGCTTTGCAGCCGAATACGCGCACCCAGCTGAAGTGGCAGCATTGGGAGTTGGAACAGTTGGGTTCCCAATTCTCTACGCTTACACTGCAACAAAAACAAATAGTTTGCCACCCATCCATTTATTTACGATAACGTGTTGGATTGTTTTGCGTTTGTTTCAAGCAGTGGATTCACACTCCGGTTACGATTTCCCATGGAGCTTGAATAAATTCTTCCCACTTTGGGCTGGCGCAGAACATCATGATCAACATCATCACTACTTTATTGGAAACTATGCCAGTTCATTTACATTTTGGGATCGCTTCTTCAGTACTGAATGTGGACAATTGGCAAAGCAAAGACGTGAAGCAAGAGCAAACAGAAAATCAGAGGCTCTTTATAAGAAGAATATGTAGATGGAGGTAAATAGGTTATAAACCATAAACAATGTCAAGTACAGATATGATGTAAAAGGAAGGTCTTTGTGACTGGACATCCACCTGTACAACTGGGTGGGTGCAAATTGAAAATCAGTTCGCACATTTAGTCTCTGATTCATTTATTAGGGCTGCAGCCCCATCAAAGATTATCCTAAAGTCGGAAGAGAATTATACGCTACCAAATGACCTAAAAAAATCTACTTTACAATTTTGTACTACAAACCATTTTCCTTTTCACTTTGAAGAAGAGAGAGACTGAAGAAAAAAAAAATTTCAGTTTGAATACATTGAACAAAGGTATATTCAACGATAACGAAAGTATGTGTGAATGAAACTAGAATTGGGGGAAGACAGTATTGTGGAAATGAGAAAGTATATGGTCAAGCCATCACACGGTTGAAACGTTTTAATGAGAGATTCAGTCGTGAAGATAAAGGGTCATTTTTATTTCCCCTCAACATTCCTTCATCTACATTCCTCTCAAGACATCCGAATACTAACAAAATTTTCTCAGAATGTCAAGATTAAACGAATATCAAGTTATCGGTCGTCGTTTGCCAACCGACTCCGCTCCAGAACCAAAGTTGTTCCGTATGAGAATCTTTGCACCAAACACCGTTGTTGCTAAGTCAAGATACTGGTACTTTTTACAAAAATTGCACAAGGTCAAGAAAGCCTCTGGTGAAATCGTTTCAGTTAACGTCATCAACGAAGCCAAGCCAACCAAGGTCAAGACTTTTGGTGTTTGGATCAGATACGAATCAAGATCCGGTATCCACAACATGTACAAGGAATACAGAGATGTCACCAGAGTCGGTGCCGTTGAAACCATGTACCAAGATTTGGCTGCTAGACACAGAGCCAGATTTAGAAGTATTCACATTTTGAAGGTTGTCGAATTGCAAAAAGCTGACGATGTCAAGAGACAATACGTTAAACAATTCTTGACCAAAGACTTGAAATTCCCATTGCCACACAGAGTTCAAAAGACCAAGGCTTTGTTCTACAGCAACAGGCCATCAACTTTTTACTAAGTTATTAGGAAAATGATATGTGTAAAATAAAATCAGGGGCGGGTGCAAATTAAGATTTGTATTAATTTGAAACTTTTATGTATATAAGAAGAATATACGTAATCGCATTGTATACGTAATACTGTGGTGTAGTAAGCTGTAGTTTGTGGGCGCCCTAGCTCATGGATATAGTGGGATCCACAACATTTGGTTATCTTGTTTTCCGTTTAAGCGCGTGGAGTTCTTCTAAATTGCGGAACTCGACAACATTCAAACCTTTCTTTTGTAGTACAGCAATCGACATTACTACAAATATGAGTTACGGAAAGAAAGCTGCAGAAAGGTTAGCAAACAAGTCAATTCTTATTACAGGGTGCTCCCTGGGTATTGGTGAAGCTGCTTGTTTTGAGTTGGCTGAAGTTACCCCAAATATCAAATTGATTATAACTGCTAGAAGAGTTGAAAAGTTGGAAGCATTAAAACTGAAATTGGAAAAAGAGTATCCTGGCATCAAAGTATTGGCAAAATCTTTGGATATCTCCAAATTGGAAACCATTGCACCATTCATTTCTGATTTGCCTCAAGAATTTGCGGATATTGACATATTGGTCAACAATGCTGGATTGGCCTTGGGTAAAGAGCCTGTTGGTGAAGTTGCCTTGAACGATGTAGTCACCATGTTTCAAACCAATGTCTTGGGGCTTATTACATTAACACAAGCTGTCTTGCCAATCATGAAAAAGAAGGACTCAGGAAGCATTGTGTCTATTGGTAGTATTGCTGGATTGGTTGCCTACGAAGGAGGGTCCATTTACAACGCTTGTAAAGCAAGTGTTCGTTTCTTTATGGATGCGCTTCGTAAGGAATTAATCTCAACCAAGATTAGAAGTATCTTGATTAGCCCAGGGGCAGTCAAGACTGAATTTTCAAATGTTCGTTTCAGAGGCGACGATTCAAAAGCTGATAGTGTTTACAAGGGAACAGAGCCGCTCACTGCTGAAGACATTGCTGAAGTTATTGTGTTTACATTGACCAGAAGAGAAAATTTGGTTGTTGCGGAAACGTTGGTGTTTCCAAATGGTCAAGCATCTCCTTTCCACATTTATAGAAATAACTAGCGTTTGATAACTATAGCTATGCTAAAAACTTAGTCCCTCTAATGTTTTTGTCAACTTGGCAGCACCATCTGCTTCACTATCAACAGCCAACTTAGGTCGGCTCATCTCCAACCCTTGAAGCAAAGTACATGCTTTGCAAATCTCATTTGACGACAAGTATCCACATCTAATGCAACGATTAGTTGACACTGACCCATCTGGATTTACCTCAATCTCCTCTGCCTTTTTGTTTTTATACTTGACAGTCTGCTTCTTTTTCTTTTTAGATAAAACTAGATGCTCACCACTGTATATGATATCCATAATACAAGAAGGCCGTATACTCTCCAATCCTTTTAAAAGCTCTCTTGCAGTTCCTCTGAATGCTTCTGGGGCATACGAACATTCGGTTGAAAAATAGTCCAACTTTTTATAATGTGCATACAAAACAATCTCCTTCTGGTATGTATACTTGAATGGCTTTGATCTCTTTATTGGCGAATCAGCCGACTGTGTCATAATCCTCGTACTTCCTTCCAAACGGTTGGCGTCTCCTCTCAACAAGTTCATCAAAACTGTTTCTGCCATATCATCAGCATTGTGACCAGTAACAACATGATTTATTCCTAATTTTGCTGCACCTCGATCCAACGCTTGACGACGAAGTACTCCGCAATACGTACACGAGGATCTAATACCAGCACACCCCACTACTTCATCCATAGTCCAGTTGTACAAGTCTTTATACGATATGATCTCCAACTCCATTTCATATTGTTGCTGATTACGCTTCACTGTTGCCAAGGAGTCATCTCGATAACCCTTTATCCCTTCATCGATCGAGAGGAGCACAAGTGTTAAGCCATAGCTGTATCGCTCATTCAACGTTTTGAGAATAGACGCCAAAACAGTTGAGTCCTTACCACCCGAGGCTCCTATTGCCACTTTTTCACCTGGATGAAATAACTGATTTGATGTGATTGTATTGTGTATCTCAGTTTCAAAAACATTGTAGAAACACTCTTTACAAAGCTTCATTAGGTTTTTTGGTCTTTTCATAACCGCCTTTCTCGAGTGGCATAGTTCACATAAAGATGCGACCTTTAGTTTCTTTGGTGGCATAACAGTCATTGGTGTGTGGTATAATGTACACAGTAAAACTTTCAAAATTTTCAAAATCCAACTTCTCATTTTTCTTTTTCAACTCATCTCTTTTTTTTTGCAACCTATATCAAGATAAAAGGAAGAGTGAAAAAAAGTAATTTTATAGTATTACACTACTTTCTATACACCTTATGCAGTAACTTGAAACTCGTCATTGTTTACATTGACATTAGCAATTCTGAACCTGTTTTCCTCTGGTTGAGTTTGCGTTTGTTGTTGAGTCGTTTGCTGAGGCTGCTGCTTCTTAATGTAACCACTAGCCGACGTCTTTTCATTCTTATCTGTAAGCAACTGTATCTTTTCATTCATCAATATAGCCAATTCTTGCAACTTGGATCTATTTGCCACAGTTGAAAAGTTGATAAATCCTTTTTCTACTTGCTCACCCATGTTGGTCACAATCTCAGTGATTTTCTCTTCTGGCAAGGCAAAAATGGTACTCAATTTGGCAACCGACAACTTGCTGTACACTGACTTATAAGTGAAGATATAAGTTCTCAAGCCTTCAATTTGAAGCTGGTTCTTTATCATAGCCAACAAATTCTCGGTATCGGGGAATAATCTCCAAATTTTTATGGAAGCCAATAAATCATAAGCTTTTGACCAATTACCCTTTTGTAATGCAATGGAAGCGTGCACAATGTGGTCTTTGATGCTCTCTGGAGGTCCAGTAAAAAATTGTCTGTCGTGGAACTCAAGCTTGCTTTTAAAAGACTTGATTGATGAATTCTTACGTTTGTCCTTTGTGGTTGAAGCAGCTGCCAAAGCAGGTATTTCAATCAATAATGAGCATGTCATGTAAACGCACTCCAACAACTCTAAATTGATATGTTGATGGAAAGGCAATAACTTTTGTTTTTCAGCAGTAGTGGCTTGACTAGGAAACTTAGTGCTAAAGCCTTGCCCAAGCAACTCCTTTGATCTTTGTGAGTTGATGATTTCGGTCAAAATTTTGTGCGATTCTTCAATGGCTCCAACTCTGAAAGCACTCAATCCCAACTGGACTAAAGCTCTATTATATTGAACTTGTAATGATGATTCAGCAGAGTTTATGCTTTTGTAAAGCTGAGATGCAAAGAAGAGATCCTTGGCCTTTTCGTAGTTGTTATTGACAGCATAGTAATAGATGGAGTAAAGCATCGCAAGTTGTGCATAGAGTTTATTGGAGCTCTTTTGCAAGTACTCGCTCAATGAATCGATAATTTCATTTGCTTCACCCTTGCCAATCTTTGTCTCCACTTCATTTCCTTGAATTAATTGAGTTGGCTTGTAGTATATGTGCTCCAACCTTCTCAAAACAATTCTGGCCAATTGCTCACTATCAAGTGAAGGGTTTATAGATTCAATATAAGACTGTCCTCTAACAATCAAGTTGTAAATTCTACCCTCATCCTTCAATCTCTCAATGTAATCCAAAGAGTGGGGATCAGTATTTTGCAACGATTTGATAAATTCATCATCCAATCTATCAATCAATGATGTAATGGAGCCAAAAATAACTTTAACTCCATCGACAGGGGTGGGCTCTATATCGACCTCATCAGTTGTTTGACCGGTTTCGCTGACTTGATACTCCTTTGAAGCAAACAAAATATCCAACAACTTATTTATATCTTCACAATTTTTTTGCCAGTCTTGAACCGGCATAAATTGAGTTGATGACGCATCAAATCTTATTGACAACAACATTTGGTAAATCGAGATAAGCTCAAACGTGCTCAAGTTGTCACTAATCAAGTTCTCCAAGTTTGAGATTTGCTCGATTCTGTCAACATTCTTTTTACCTCTGCTTTCACTAATTTGTTTCAAAGTTTGGAAAACTGGACTCAACTGTTTACCTTCATCCTGTTTTTCCTCAACTCTATTGGCCATATCTAAAGGCTCATCCTCGTTATCAAAGTTTTCTGGAACATCCTTGTATAAGTCAAAATATACTTGAAATTCCTTGATTTGCTTCTTAACTCTTTGTCTCAAAGTATTGAACGCTCTTGCTTCATCAGCTTTCATAGTTTTGTCATCCCTTTCATTGTTTGCAGTCTCTGTAATCGAATCATCCAAGCTTGACAACAATTTAATGTAAAACTTGGGAGTTCCGAACCTCTGTTGATTGGATCTGTTCAAAAGCCTACCTAATTTTTCAAACTCGTTCAAAACAATAATCCAATTGTTACTTCTCTTGTTTACATTAATGATTTCAATTGACGATTTCATGTCATCTAATAATTTGTCCTTGGCACTTTTCACCACTTTCTTTCCTTCATCATCACTTTCGGATTCTGATTCGTCACCTTTTAAAAACGATTTCTTTAAAAAGTAAGCTGGTCCTGTAGGACGTCCACCCTCGTCGTCTGAACTACTTTCATCCCCATCATCAAAAAAGTCATCCTCGGATTGTTCAGCAGAGGAAGACAACAACTCTTCCTCAGAGCTGCTCACCAAATCTTCTTCCTCAGAAGATGATTCTGAACTGTATCCCGACACAAAGAACCTTGACATATCTCTTGAAAGTAAATAAAAGGTTTTGCTCTAGTAAGGGCCAGCTTTGATGAAAAATGAAAAAAAAAAGCGATCAAAAAATTTTTCTCATTAAACAAAAGGTCGTGCGAAACAACGTGAATTGCAAAAAATAATTGAAAGAAGTGTCTATTGAGTTCTATTCTAAGCTATAACTCTTTACTCGCAGAAATTTGAAAGGTTTCTCATTTCTGATGGAGTATTCCATGATCTCACCAACTCTGTCATCATCAGGACTTGTTGCTTTCCTTACAGCATAGTATTTGGTCCAATTCAATTTTCCATGCTTGAATTGACCTAGAGATTTAATCACAAAGTAGTAATGAAATGTTAAATAGCTTGTTGACCCGTTATCTATTCGGACATGAACTTCACCAGAAGAGTTGATGGTGAATACCCCTTGGTAAATTCTGGTGGCTTCATTTTGTTCCGCGTCTGGTATGAAATGTCGTTCCGTCAGAAACCAAGGAACAACACGATCTGGTGGAAGCACTGACAACATCTTTGCCACAGTACCGTTTGGATAAAATCGTAGATACCTATAGTACGTGATGGTTCTTACAGGGTTAGTCCACGACAATGAATTTTCGTCCTTGCCACCTTCACTATAATAATTCACAATGCTTATGTAGCAACCACCATACTTGATAAAGCTACGCTCATGAAGCATGTTCTTCCAACTTTTGTAATGCGGTAAAATGAGTAATTGGTCCAGCGGTATGGGGAGTTCCCCACGGGGTACTAGTCTTGATCTGTATGCCTCATTTTCCTCATATACTTGTTTAGGGTAGATTAAATTGCATAGGTACTGGTAGGTGCTATTTCCGAAACCTATATGCGCCATCTTTTTGCATGTTATGGACATGTTGAACCATGACTCGGGAGTTGTTAAAATCAAAATCTCAAAGATATGACACCATATATCCCGTGGCAAGTGAAGAAGAATCGAGGGGGCATCATCCGGATGTTCCAGTGGGGTTTCCAAATGAACATTGCTAAAACTGTTTATAAGTTCATCCACGTTAATGCTGGAAACTTTTCTCTCATCTACTCTAATTAGAGCATTCTTTCCCTTTTCTTTTGAGATGTGTTTGTTTGAGTATGTTGATCGATATATGAGGTCAATGTTGCTATTCAACTTGAAAGCTTTTCTGTATATATTTACAGCGTCGCTCATACGACCCTGTTCCTCTAAGTATGTTGCTTTTTCAAATAACAATATGGCTTCGTCGTCAGTACTTGGCATTGCATTTGAGGAGGTAGTGGTCTTTTATGCGAAGTAGTGAAAACTGTGGAACTATTTTTGTTGCAAACCCACGCACATATATGATACATTTTTCTTCGAATTACATGTGCAACTACTGCGTTTGAAGAAAATGGTAAGAGAATAGCACTTCAGAGCAGTGCTAAAAGGAAAGCGCTTCTTTGAAGTGCTACGATTACAATCATGCCAAATTGTAACACCCACAATCGAGATTCTATTTTAATAATTCATCTAGAAAACTTACATCTTTGACAACATTCAGTTTAGGTGGCACACTCTTCGGCACTGTCTTGGAATGGACAACAGACTTTTGAGGAACTTCGTCATCCGGCCCAGAAAGTTTCAATTGGAGGAGCTCATCAAGGTCATCATCCAACGTGTCTTGCATCTTCTCCTTTCCTATTTTCTCATTCAACGTTCGCAACTGTTGATCATTCCCCGTGAAATTGTCAACATCCATAACCTTTTGCTGACTGGTTTTATCTCCAAATTTCTTTTTCACTTCATTGTAAAAGTTTTGTTGCTCGATTTTCTTCCTTCGTTCATTTTCTATGGCGATTTCCTCTTCCGTTAGCTTTCGTACAGATGTAGTGCCGTTGTCCTGACCTATAGTAAAGTTGTCTTTAAGATCACCAAATCCCCTTTTTCGTTCAGCGACGTTATACTCTTTGTCACTTGTCGAATAACCCTCCAAACCGTACTCTTCGAGTAAGTTTTCAGAAAAGCGCGCCTTTAATATCTTTTTCTTCGGCCTCCTATCGATACTACCAATAAGCTCACCAAGGTTGAATTCTCCTTCACCTTGTTCCTCAGATTGTCCCTCGAGTGTTTCTCCTACTTCCTCCTTCTCTTTCAAGTCATTTAAAATTTGCTGCTTCAACTTAATTTTTTGCTGTAGCGTCAACTCTTCGCTGTTGTCCAATTCCGGATAAAAATGGCTTATCAATGCTTCATCTACATCTGAGTCCCACTCGTCATCCGAGTCAACTAGTTGAATTGTTGGTTTCTTCTCGTTATTCTTCTTGCTAGTCCATTTGGGAGTTGAAACATTTGCTTGTGAAGGCGCAGGCAACATGCCATGCTTTTTCATATACTGATATTTCGCCTTCTTATCCCATTTATTTGATTGAACCATCCTGAATGAACAGATACTTGAGCTGATGTGTGGCTTGCTGCAGATCGCTGAGTTTTATTTTGCACCTCAAACGGAGTTGGTTATGTATGCTTATACAATTGCGTTGCGTTCATAACGTTGATCTGTATTTGAGTGAGAGGGAATTTCTCTATGACTTTTTTATGCCGACATAATTTTTTTCTTTTCTTTTTCACAGTCTGATTTCTATACCACTGGTTCAAAGAATACTATTGTCGAAACTCCAGATCCATCAATGTCTGAAAAGAAATCGATCCAGGACCTTCTTAATATGCTCGCTTTAGGCGAGACATTATCACCCTCTCAGGAGAAAAAGATGAAGGATCATCTTTTCTGGAATAGTCAACCAGTCCCAAAATTAGATGAAGCTATTAAAGAGGAAGGTCCAATTGATGCTCCTAAAACTCCAGCCGATGTTCCTGACAAGCCATTTCCATTGCTTCCTGAATTTGGATGGAGCACTGTCGATATCGACGACGACAAACAAATCAATGAACTTTATGATTTGTTATACGAAAATTACGTCGAAGATACAGATGCCACATTCAGATTCAAGTATACTCGCGACTTTTTCAAGTGGGCATTGAAACCTCCAGGTTGGAAAAAGGAGTGGTATGCCGGTGTTAGAGTAAAGTCCAGCAACAGGTTGATTGCATTCATCGCCGCTACCCCCGTCACAATCAAGTTGAACAAATCAAACAAGACAATGGATGGTGTTGAGATAAACTTTTTGTGTATACACAAGAAGTTGAGAAATAAGAGACTTGCCCCCATATTGATCAAAGAGATAACTAGGAGAGTGAATAAAGAAAACATTTGGCAAGCTTTGTACACTGGTGGCGCTATTTTACCTACGCCTCTTGCCACTTGCCGCTACCAGCATCGTCCTCTCAACTGGCCCAAATTGTATGATGTTGGATTCAGTCATTTACCGGCTGATAAAACGAAAGCCAATATGATAGCCCAATACGCGTTACCCAACACTACCCAGTTACCCGGGTTGAGGAAAATGACTGAGGCTGATGTGCCAAGCACTTTGAACTTGTTGAATGAGTATCAGAAAAGATTTGACATTGTGCAAGAGTTTACCGAAGAGGAGTTCAAGCACTGGATGTTGGGTCAAGAGAGTGTCATCAAGGCGTATGTGGTGGAAAAGGAAGGAAAGATAACCGACTTTGTTTCGTATTACCTTCTTCCATTCACTGTTTTGGAAAATAAGCTCCATGATGAATTGGGGGTCGCCTACTTGTACTACTATGCCACTGATGCCAAAGAAAACTATAAGACCAAGTTGACAGATTTGATGAATGATGCGTTGATCACCGCCAAACTGTTTGATGCAGACGTCTTCAACTGTCTCACCTGTCAAGACAATACCTTTTTCTTGAAACCTTGTAAATTTGGTAGTGGCGATGGGTTTTTGAATTACTACTTGTTCAATTATAGAACTTTCCCTTTGAATGGTGGAATTGATAAGGAGACAAAACAGGTTGAAGAGAACCAAACGAGTGGTATAGGGGTGATTCTTTTGTAGAATAAAATTACGTTTTTAAGGTCATTGGCGAAGTAGATGTATATAGGAGAAGTTGCAAAAACTTCTAACTTAATCCATCGCTACCACATTGGGTTATATTTCAGGACAAAAATTATTCTCTTTCAAACCTCATCTCATTCTCTTTCAAACCTCATCGCATTCTCTTTTCAACAATGATCTCATCTAGCACATGGGTGCCTAGAGGCTATGCCTCCGAATTTCCCGAGAAATACGAATTGGATGATGAGGAGATGGAAAGGATTAATGCTATGGCTCAACTTGAAATCAATGATGCCAAAGAGGATTTAGAAGGTGCAAAAAAGACTCTCACTGATCAAATTGATATTGATGATGATTTAAAAGAGTACGATTTAGAGCATTATGATGACGATGACAACGAAGAGAACGGTGGGGAAAAAGTGGCCATGTTCCCCGGATTGTCGAGTGCCAAAATTGATCAATCAGAAGAGTCTGAAGATGTTTACTTGTCATTACCGACAGAGGTTGATGAGCAGGAGGAGAAAAAAGAAAACCAAATATACCCTACTGATAATTTGGTCTTGGCGACAAGAACCGAGGATGATATTTCGTGGTTAGACATTTATATATATGATGATGGTGCTGGTGCGCCAGTTGGAGCAGAAGAGGAAGAGGAGGATAAAATAGATGCGGACGTGGCCAAGGGCCTTGTGAGAGATTCAACATTGTACGTGCATCATGATATAATGTTACCTGCATTTCCTTTATGTGTCGAATGGATAAATTATAAACCTGGGCAACTGCAAGTGACTGATTCAAATATTGGGAATTTTGCTGCTGTTGGTACCTTTGATCCCCAAATTGAGTTGTGGAATTTAGACTATGTTGACAAAGCGTTTCCTGATGTCATACTAGGTGAAATGTCTGCCAAAAAGAAGAAGAAGCTGAAAAAGTCTGGACACGTAACAACTCATCACACTGATGCCGTTTTATCATTGACCCATAACAAAATACACAGATCTGTATTGGGTTCTACATCCGCTGATGCCACAGTAAAGCTTTGGGATCTAAATACAGGAATTGCCGTAAAGTCTATGAACCAAATTCATCACGGCAAAACGGTCTCTTCGTCACAATGGAACCCAACAGAAGCATCAATTTTATTAACGGGTGGATACGACTCTAAAGTTGCCGTATCAGATGTACGACTCAGTGATAACCTTTCCAAATACTATTCTGTTGGTTCTGGCGAAGAAGTGGAGAATGTGAGATGGAGCTCCAACTCGGAGGTATTTTATGCCGGCACTGGTCAAGGAAATGTCTATTGTTTTGATATTAAAGCTTCGAAACCATTATGGACATTGCATGCACATGACGCTGGTATCTCATCATTGGATATTAACAATTTTATACCTGGAATGTTAGTGACAAGTGCAATGGGGGAAAAGTCCGTCAAGTTATGGAGAGCACCTGACCTGGGCGGACCTTCAATGATCTTGTCAAGAGACTTTGGTCTTGGTAATGTGTTAACCACATCATATGCAAACGATATAGAAGTGGCGGGAAACTTGGTTGTTGGTGGTGTTACCGGTGGTTTGAAGATGTGGGATACATTTTCAAACAGGTCAGTCAAAAACGGATTTAAAGATGAATTAAAAGAGTTGCAGAATAAAGCTAGGGAGGAGGCAAAAGCTGCTGGACGTGCATCCAGAATTGCTAGAAAATATCAGATTGATGGTAGTGATACAATACTAGAAGTTGATGGCTCTAAAGATGATTCAGAATCTGAAGATGAAGGCGAGGCAGGTGAATTTGAAGGCGAAGAGGTTGACGAGGAAATCGACGAGGAATAAGTAACACTACAATTCTATCTTTTATTGAATATACGTCTAGATCAAAAATGAATCTTATATCGTAAGCTGCTCAACTCGTTCTTTTGGCAAAATGTCAACCAACAAGCTTCCCTCAACGCTGGGCAAGCTTTTCTTGTGTTTGGCTATGTTTTCAAAAAACTTGTCAAAAAGATAAGCAGTATCTTGTGGACCGCCTTTGGCCTCTGGATGAAATTGGGTTGAAAATATTGGTTTAGTGGTGTGAATTAAACCCTCGTTTGAGTTGTCATTCAAGTTGATGAACAATTCCTTCCAGCCATCGGCCAAGGTGGACGTGTCGACTGCATACCCGTGATTTTGTGAGGTGATGTGACATTTCCCTGTGATTAGATCCAAGGTAGGGATATTATGAGCTCTATTACCGTATTTCAATTTAATGGTTTTGGCACCACTTGCCAAAGCAAGTAATTGATGTCCCAAGCAGATTCCGAATATTGGCAATTCTGGGTATGTCTCCATAATCTTCCTCAAATTATCAACAGTAGCAGAACAATGGGTTGGATCACCTGGACCATTAGAGATGAAAACACCATCAAACTTGTTGGCAATTTTGTCGATTGGATAGTCGTATGGAAACACAGTCAATGAAGCACCTCTCTCAACCAAGCAACGCAATATATTCTCCTTTGCACCACAATCCAAAACTGCTATATGCAAATTCTTGGAGTACTCCTTTGGACACTCTACATGGAATGGCTGTTTTGTTGAGACTTTTTGCACTAAATTGATTGCACCTGGATCTTCAAAAGCAGCATCCTCATCTGCATCATATTCCTCACCAATGGTGATCTTGCCCAAGCTGGACCCTTTATCTCTCAAGTATGAAACTAATTGTCTTGTGTCAACACCTGTAATAGCAGCAACACCGTTCCTTTTACACCATTGTTGTAAGCTCTCAACCGCAGTCCAGTGGCTATATTCCAAAGCAACATCACCAACGACGATACCGATACATTGAATTTTTGGGCTCTCCATGTACTTTAACAAGTTGAAGTCATCTTTTATAGTTGAAGAAGGTACACCATAGTTGCCAATTAGAGGTTGAGTGAAGCACAAAATTTGGCCCTTGTAAGATGGATCAGTCATGCTCTCGGGATAACCAACCAAGGATGTGGTAAAGACCGCCTCACCACTCACATTTCGATTTGCACCGAATGAGTATCCACTAAATACTGGCCCATTTTTTATCGTGAGTGTGGCTCTATCTAATTGTGACTTGTTGTTTGTAAATGCCTTGCCAGCGGTGGCGAGAAACCTCTTAAATTGAAGCATTTGATGTTGTGATAAAGGAAGAAGTAAGAAAAGGGAAAGGAAAAGGAGAAGGGCAAAGAAAATTGGAAAGAAAAATTTTTTGATGGAAAAGGTGATTAGCGCGCTTAAAAGGTTGTGAAATTACCAAATTGAGTCATTACCACGCTACCAAATTATTGGCTTTCTCATCCCACCAACACGGGTACATCTAAACTAACGACATTGTGCGCAAACTCATTTTGTTCACTATTTGTTCCCTTGTACTTCACAGCCACTTGTAGACAGTACAATCTACCGATTAAACAGTTTTGAAATGTCGGTAGCAACGTCACGTTATGTTTGTTTTCAATCACTAAGGAGATTTTCAATCGTTTTGTCCACCTGAATCTTCTGTCACTAATTTGACTGATTTGCCAATCGGGTTCTTCAACGTTGGATTGAAAGTAATCCTTGATAGTGTCTTTTTTGATACCCAATTTTTGTACCGACTTCAAGTACATAAATGACTCTTTGCTGATAATAAGGGAGTTTGACTTCAAAAAGCTGATGTAGTTGCTCACTTGACTTTTGACAAGGTGTAAATTGTTTTGAGTTGTTTCAACCGAATCATTCAGTACACTCTCGTGACTTTTATAAAAAAAATCATAGCCCATCTCGAATGGAAGCGGGTACTCTGTATTGTACGACCAGGCCACAATATTTGTGCTCACTTTTATGGGAGGTGGTCTCACATTACTATCACTTTCAAAACACAAGTCGGCCTCTAGAGTATCAAGCACATCCTCAACCCTTCGATTGTAAAGGTCTTCCATATTACTGGTGACTGGCTGTAATGAATTGTCTTCTCCACTATTGTATTTCATTAATAACCTGGGAGATCCATACGGAATAACTCTGTCAGGAAAATTTATTGACATTGTCAGTTGCCCTAGCTTGATTAAAGATGATAGAATCATTTTCTTCTTTTTGCCGTAAATGTCAACTGGTCGGTTGGTTGTTACGAATGTGTCGTTTTGGATAACCTTTGAATCCTCATGAAGCTTCAAATTCTTCAATTTCATCTCAAGTGGTGAAAGTTCTTCATTGTTTAATTTCTGTTCGATCTCCTTCTCAACTTGATCATTTAGCTCCAGAATTGAATTCCACGTAGTATTGTACTTCAATTGATCAAGAAACTTACCACCGAGACCAATGTCTGGGTAATTTCCTACACTATGGAGCTTGCAGTATGCAACTTGCTCTTTCAAATCGGGAATGAAACGAAGAAAGTATTGTGCACTTTTGGAAATGACATATTCATTTTTGGCACTGTTTATATCTTGATGAGAAACAGCTTCTTTTGAATTCACTTTGTCGATAATCTTGGCTTCAATTGTATAGGACACACTCATATCATCAAAGCAAAAGTCCTTGGTCAACAACGGGGTTCCCCTCATGTTTAATGTACCATATCCCAATGCCTTATTCAAAACAATACTTTCACCTCTATTGTAAAAGCACGTTTTGTCCACCCCCATCGAAGGAGGTGGTAGTAAATGCGGTAGAACAGAGTTTACACAAACATTATCCAACAAACTATGTGGAAACTTGAAAGTGAAAAACTTTTTGTACTTGGTCTTCGGTCGTAAGATTCTATTATCAGGTAAGCCAATTGAGCAACCATCCACCTTGTCCCATGTAAATGGCTCGTATTCAATACCGGCACTATTAGGGACATAAGTGTATCCGTAACTGGCACTCAAATCATACATTTTAAGAAACTTCTTCATCAAAATTCGGCTATACCTGTGATTGAAATCAAACGTGTTTGCATTTCTTTCGGTGGATTTGACCGTCCCTTCAAGTGAAACTGTGAAAAGACCGAATTCAATCGGTGATGACGATGTATTGGATACAATAATATACCCATTGACATGATCCCCACTCGTGTACTCTTTCAACCGAGACTCCAAGTCACTTTTTGTATTTGGTTGTGGAACTGTTTTCGTGACATATATTTGAATGTCGATGGCAGAATTGGTGGTTTTGTTCAATCTATCTATGTTATCCAAAGGTGATGCGCCGTATGTTTCTTCTGTGACAGCCATGTTTTGGTTGTGTAGTCCTGGGGAAGAAGCAATAGGACTTAGGGTGGGTCTAGAACTCACTTCATGAAAAGTTGCATGCTCCTGCTCCCGTTGTCTTTCCAACTCCTGTTCTATTCTATATTCCGGGACCGAACTGTGTAGATTTTGATCAATCGATGGATGTGGCAACAGGGCTGAAGAGGCACTATTACTTGGTACACTGTTTAAAGTGTCACCGTAGCATGGAGGAGATCTTGACAAATCTTCCTGAAATTGGCGATCATCTCTCTTCAAGATACTTTGAAACATTTCAAACGATGGTAGTAGATCAAAGTATTCAGTACGTGTTGCACTATTTACTGTTGTTAGCGGTGATCGTGGCTTCGAGGAGGATTCAGTGCCAGATAGAAGATCGATTTGACGCTGTTGTTCTGCCGATGGTTGGTACGGCACATTCTTGCGCTTACTGCCGTTGGCTATACTTTCTTGTCTGGTGTTGGAATTACATTCCGAAGCATCATAAGAAGGTGGTGAGTCAGATTCTGTCAGATTCGATGTTTCTATGGTCATTAAGTAGTATTTGTCGTGTGGTGAAGAGTGCTTCGTGCTGAGTACAACTCTTGTTGAAATATTGACACAAAATGTGATCTGTGATGAGAGAAATTTCGATTTGAGAGATTCTACAAGAACTAGGCTTTGCTTGATATCAGCTCATCACTGGTTGCTAACAAGGATTTTTAATATTGAAGTAATAGGTGCATTGACCAACTAGTTGTATTTACTTACAATGTCTGTTCCTAGTCAAGATTTGATCTTCTTCAAGAATCACACATTGATACCAGATTCCATACTATCATCGAAAAATTCGTATCTATCCACCATCACTCATACACAAGGCACCAATCCCAGCTGGTTGATCAACTCAATAGTAGAGAATGCGATTTTTGGAACGGCTTCTTTGGTTAATCAAGAGTTGAAAAAGCGAACAAAATCAGGCAAGGTAGTATTGTTTAGTTTTCTTCACACGGAAAGATATTATGTTAAAACTATCCGGAAACAAGGCGTCACCTTAGATGACACTAATTTCAAGTTTGTTGATTGCTTTTCGGCCTTGTTTACCGAGAAAATAAAGGACCCCAACGATGCATTGAAGGATGTGCATGAACTATTCAACGTTGAAATAGATGCAGGATCCGTTGTCATTGTCGAAGCCCCAGAGGTTCTCCTTTTCTCAACAGGTGTCGCCAGTAACGATTTATTGTTCACGTTGCTCAAGCTAAACAAGAAAGCCAGCCAGCTATTTGTAGTTGTATCGAAAGATCAGCAGCTCGTGGACTACAGTGTTAGTGACATACACAACCCGACATTCAAAATCACAGACTTTATTACAAAGTTGCTCTTTAGATCCAATTTGAACATCACTTTAGAACCACTTGCAACAGGAAGGGCAAAAGACATCACAGGGAGCATCATAGTCTCCAAGGGCGCCATACCCTATGATGATCTAATAGTGGAAGAAAAGAGTTATGTTTACAACATTACTAAGGATGCCAACGTCAAAATATTTTACCGCTAGCTGCGCTTCCTATGCAAGTTATATAGATCATCTAATGCAAACTCAATAGCACACCTAGTCCACAACAATGGGAAGAGGGGCCACACTGAACGTTCACCAACTAAAATCCAATATGGTATATTCTCCTTTGTACGATGAATATCAAAGACTCTGCCAAGATCCTTTACCAAGTACCTGACTTCAGGAACGATGGTGACTTCTCTGATGGATGCGGCATATTGCATGGCAGTTGGTTTTTCGTCGATAAATAAACGCTTCATAACCTCAGTCAATAAGCCTAATTTGTTAAGGACAATTATACGATGCAAAATCTCCATACCAATGATTGTTTTCAACTTCTTTTTGAAATTAAAGCCACTATCTTTAGCAAACTTCTCAATGTCTCTCTTGCTCATCTCACTACCGTCATAAGTTCTTTTCTTTTTGTCGTATCTGACTTTGCCATATGATGCATGATAATGTTTCAAGTCATTGCTGATCAAAGGTGCGAGATATGGTTTTGCCAAACTGATGACGAAATGATTTACATTAAACAACTCGGTCAATTTTGTGAATGGTGAATGATGCTGAGAAATGTCTGTAGTGACATTATTTTTGAAATAGGATGTGTGATAAGTCACCTCTTGCGGTTTCAAGAACTTGACATCCAAATCTGGTGTTTGCAAAACAATTTCGTTATTGTAATCTTTGACGTAGAGAGCAATATCGTCAGACAAGACACCGGTTCCAATTGACGCGTAAATTGCTGTCCAGATGATAACATTTGGAGCTGTTATGTAGTTAAGTAAAGAAGGGACGCTTCTATTTGTATGATGAATCACAATATTCAAGATCTTCCCAGTTTTGATGTATGCCTCTTCAAACGTCAAGTCACCTATGGTGTCTCTGACAAACTTGAGAAAAAGCAAAATATCTTGACTATAGCCCTTGCGAACCACATTTTCGATAACATTTCCAAATCTCTCATCAATCTCATGATTAAGAATATCAATGTTTTTCATCATTTCCTCAATATTGACCAAGATGGGAATTAATTCGTCATCGGTGGACGTGCACACTAATGAAGCTACTGCAGCACCTACTGCACTACCGCCAATTACCCTAGGTAAAAGTCGTTTGAAATACAACGCTTTAACAACGCCCAAGTGACATAATCCGAATAAAGATCCACCTTGCAATAACAACGCCGTGGATCCAAAACTTTGTCGTGTATCGTGGAAAAAGTCTAGCTTAAGCTGCTTACTATTCATCACGTATTCATTCCCATTGGAACTACTCAAGCTTTTATTTAAGAATTCCAAGCAATGAAGGATTTCATTTATGTACTCCTCAATCTTAAACTTGGTGCCCATATACGATTTCAAATATAGTCGCTTTTGAGCAATACCACCAAAATTTCTAATAAGACCTGATCTGAGTAAGGACATGATCTTTTGCGAATCATTGTTTTCTCTAGCTTCAGCCAACGATTTAATTCTTTCGTCAATCAACACATAATCGTAATGTTTACTGATGAAATTCTGTCTCCATAAGTCCATATTTGTGAGCCGGTCAATCTCGAAAGCCGTCAGTCTCCACTCATTATAGTTTGATGCATTTTGTAGTTGTTTTATATGCTCTTTTAACGGGTCTCTTCGGTTGTAAATGTGATATAAATGCTTAACCCAGAAGAAACAAATGTCAAGAAAAAATTCAATAATGGCGCATATGACACTGGGGGTATTGTTTAAGATAAATGCCACGGGTGGTAAGACAGTATTGTCAATCAAATACTTTATCATTGTTTACACTGTAATGTGAAATAATGACCAAAAATATGGGGTGTTCTTTTTTTTCAAAACATCGACACGAAAATATCACAAGCGTTTTGGAAGAGTCGCATATAAATAATGATAAATCGTTTTACTTATCACCAGAAATAAACTTCCTACTACGACTAAATAGTTTCTTACCAAAATTAGACGCTGTTGAGCCCGTGCCCTCAACCTTGTCTTTCATCACATTTACTTTACTTCTTAACGATCCATGTCTTCTTAAATCATTGTGAGCGGCATTTTGGTAAGCTTGAGATGCTATACGACCAATATGGATATTATTACCAATATCTGGACTTTGCTTTAATGTGTAATTTAGCCAATATTGCAAGCCTGTCTCGTACGCCGCCTCATCCTCTAATGCTTTTTTAAATGCAGCTATTCTATCGACTGGTTGCGAGATTGTGACTATAGTCTTCCAATTAGAAACTGGATAAGGACTTGATTTAAAATCTGATGTTGTTGATGTAGTGGGTGCCGATGTCACAACAGTTGTTGAATTGCTATTCGAAGATACTGTTCTCGATTGTGTACCAACCTCGTCGGAGCTATCTGATGCTTTCCTCTCTTGCATTGGGAGCAAACTAGAGTACTTTTGCGGTAAATTTTCTTTCGAAGCTGCTGGTGTTAATCGTTCCTCACCAAAAACTGGCTTTTGGTAAGGTTTGGCTTCGAAAAGTGAATCTTGTGTCATGAAAGGTTCCAATTTGTCGTTTGATTTGGTCTCAGCAAACAGGTCTTGTTGGAGCTCGTCGTCTGTGTCTTCTTGGATGCTAGGCATTACAGCGTCTATCGTTTCTGGAACGGATAAAGAACTGGCATTGGAAACGACATCTGAAAGTCCTGATGGATTCCGTACTTTTGTAAATTTATTGTACTTTGACGCGACGTCGGAGTCGAAGTTTATAGTTGACTCATTATCATTGTCGTTGATGAATTTGTTCCGATAATTGTCTGTATTTGGTACCCAGTTGCCGAAACTCAACGTAGCTTGTGACACTCTTCGTGAATTCGAATCATCATCCTCATTGAGTTCAGGTTTCTGAAAAGTCTTTGACTCCAATGAAAGTTTTCCTGTTGATAAGGACCCACTGGAAAGTACTGAACGTACATCTGCATTTGGTGGCACTAGTTCAACACTCTCCTTGCGATCATGTCCAGCTTGAGAATCCACATGGGACTCTTCTTCATCACCGTATCCGCTTAAAATATTCGAGTAGTCACCGGATTCCATTCGAGCAGGTGCTTTCCTCACTGACAGTCTTCGACTCGCTATTTCATTCACGTAGGTATTGTGTTGTTGAGCTATGGATAATGGAGCTATGGGGCTCTCAACTTCGTCATGGCTTACAGTATCAAAAGTGTGGGAGTCGACAAGAGTGGTATCAACTTTTGGCGCTGTTACAGAATCACCATCATTGTCAATCGAAGCGTTTCCGCTCAATTCATTGATATATGAGTCGATATCATGTTCAGCCCCAACATTCAAATGTTCATTATCTTTTTCTGCTTCTTCATCATCATCATCGGAAGTGTCGTTACCGTGGTACCCCCAATCATCATCAGTACTATCATCATCATCGTTGTCATCATCATCATTGTCATTCTCTTTTTTGTCTATCGAAAGAACCAACTTCTCCGACTCAAGCTCTTGCTCCAGCTCTTGCTCTTTGATATTGTAATCATTTGATTCTTCCAAAACTGCATCACTCGTGTTGGCCCACGTTGAATCCTTGACTGATAAACTCACCGGTTCCCTTTGAATTGAAGAATCTGATTGGAAACTTGCTTCAGAAAATGTCTCTGGATAGTTTGAATGGCCAGAAAACTCACTGAACGTAGGCGTTGGTGGTACAACAAACTCGCTCTTCTCCAGTTGGTAATGTGCATTTCTCAGTGTATGCACATTTTCATGATGATCTTCATTTGAATTTGTGGCAGCAACCAGTGCATTATGTATCTTTGCATCGTCTCTGAATGCCCCAGGTACTACTTCTTCATATGTACTAGCTCTACGTGGTAAAGCATTCACTCTTTCTTCATTTTTGGTACTGTCTCCATGTACAGTTGGCTTGTAAACATCTTGGTCTTCCGCCCTCTCCTCCTCATCACTGCTATCTGTATCTGCTGTATTTTCGAGCTTATCAATAGATAAAACCAACGGACTACTGGCTTTAGTCTGTGCATTTTCTCCCCGGTTTACTTTTTCATCAAGATTATCAGAGCGTACGTGTGTATGCTCGTCTACTATGGCTTCCTCTTCGTGCACCACATCGCGCTGATTCCACCCTCCTTGATTTGATTGTGAGTTGGTAACTGGTACATTCTCTGTGGAGCTATTGTCGTCATAAACATCGTAATCCTCATCGCCCCAATCTCCGTAATTGGGCACTTCGGTTACCCACCTAGCTGATTTTTGTCTTGCAACATTATCACTCATTGTAGTGTCAACGTGCTTTATTGAATAGGATTCTGAAGTTTATGTGGGTATGAAAAAAAAGAAAAAAAGAGTGATTCTTAAAAGAGGAATGTTTTTATGGCGGAGTTTCGCGTTTTTATCTTGACACATGTTACAAAATACATATACACAACGTTACATCTCTACAACTTGCCCTGAGGGTCCTCATTTTGGATCTGGACAACTGATGGATACAATTCTCCCAACATTCCTCCTACTTGCCACAATCCACCATCAACAACTGAGATAGTACCGGTAACATAGGTTGCAGCGTCTGAAAACAAGTACACTGTAGAATCAGCAATATCAGTAGTTGTACCTATACGTCCAATAGGAACTCTCTTCTCGATTGGAACTTGTGTTGGAGGTTTAAGTCTGGAAAGACCTTCGGTGTTTTCAATCATTCCCGGTGCAATACAGTTGAGACGGATACCAAGAGGACCCAATTCAACAGCCAAGGCATTCATCAAAGCATCTACCCCAGCTTTGGCAGCACTAACATGAGCTTGAAATGGAAGACCAGTGTAGTGTAAAGTGGCACTAACAAAGATAACGGATCCTTTATTTTTTCTCAATTGGTCAAAGGTAGTCTTAACTGTATTGTATGATCCCAAAAGGTCAATATCTATAACAGATTTGAAAGCATTGGACGACATGTGGTTGAAATCGGCAATAAAGTTACCAGCAGCACCAGCGATAACATAGTCAATTCTTCCCAACTCCTTAACAGTCTTGTCAACAGCCTCCTTAAGAGTGTCGATTTTACGAACATCGATATTACCCAATCCGAGAACCTTGGCACCAGGTCTCAATTGAGCAATTTCCTTGGCTGCATCTTCTGTCTTTTGGGCATTTCTACCCAAGATCACAGCATCAGCACCAAGTAAAACAAGAGCTTCTGTTTGAACTCTGCAAATGGTACCGGCACCACCGGTAACAAAAGCAACTTTTCCTTTGAACAAATCAGGCTTCCAGACTGAAGTTTTGAGGTATGAATCAGATAATGTGTTTGGCATGATTGTGAAGGTAAAGACAGAAAGAAAAGGTGTTTCTATTTGGCAGAATTGTAAAAGATATTTCAGTTGTTGGTTTTTAAACGTATCGTGGGGAGGAGTGACACAAAAAAGGCTCCACAACATTCCTTTGAATTATTTTGCGGGCCGCGGGTTGTTGGCGTTTGTGAAATTATCACAAGCTGATTATGGAAGCAACTCTTCTGGCCCCTCCTCGATCGTTTCACGTGATGTATACCATCTACAACTACATCCATATCTCGCAAGATTAAGTCTATTACTCGTCTATTTACAACTTCAAGCTTCTAGCTTCTTCTCATCACCAAATATCGTATCCAATTGTTTCAATGACACTTGATACAATAATAGCATTATTGAACTCTGTATACCTGTCCATATAAATCGTGGACCCACTCCACTAAATGCACCGAAAATACCCTCGTGTCTGTAGATCGACACCAATGCTCTTAACGTTGCATTTTTGTTGAAAAGTTTCACAATTGGGTTATTTGTATTCCTTAGCGTAATCGAATCGTTTAGATCTGATAAATTAGTGGCTGTTTGGATTCGGGTTTTTATCACATCCAATGGAGTAGTAAGCACTCCCGCGAACCCACCCGCTGCAGCACCAGTGAACAATTCAACTGGAACGGGTAAGTCTGTGGATCCATGATTATAATAAATAGCCAATTGACGAAACCTTTCATAAAATGTCAATTGTAATGCACTGAATGGTAAATCTCTAAATAGGGTTTCCTTATACCCAAAAAAGAATGTTCGTAACCCCTCCTTATGATATATGCTAATTATAGCATTCCATAGCCCGCGGTAATTGTACCCACACTCGCGTGTATAAGGATTATTATATTTACCTTGTAGTTGCAACCTAGTCTTTAGCACTTCTGAAGGAACATAAAATACACTCGATGCCAAATCACCCAATACACCAGCCGTGAAGTAAGATAGCGTTTCATTAACACCAAAATCGTCAATCAATTTGCGTTTGGAAAATTCATAAGTACCAAAAAATGCTGCTGTAGAAGGAAACGACCCCAATGCTGCAGGGGTGTATCCACCATATAGTCCTCGAAAAAACCCTTCTTCTTTTAGTATCGTTCTGTAAGCAGGTATCATATTCTTGTATTTCTTGTTGTATGGAAACCCTTGTTGGCGAGTCTTAACCGTGTCTAATGAATGCATAGCACTATCACCAACCACTCCTCCTAATCCACCTGCAAGCATATACTGCCAAAGTGGTGCCCCTTCTACTTCATCAAGCGAGTCAGTGCCTGTCGGCGGTGGTTTCCGATGACTATATGCGTTATGTCCGTCATGCGGCTCAAAACTTAGCGGAATTGTTGAAGATGTGAATAGTTGTGACATATCATGCAGTGAGTTGTGGAAGTTTGATTGTTACAGAAGAAACCAGTTGAACATGTATATGCGTTATGAGAATGGAATTTGGCAAGTTTTGGTGTGGCTAGGTATATCAAATGTGGTGGTTTTCTAGTGCTTGAGTTGATTGTGGAGCCGCTTCAACCTGCAATGCGTGAATCGTAATTCCCTTACAATGGATAAGATGTAGTGACCTTCGTGCCGTGCAACCCCGATATTCGGACTTCCAAACGCAATCAGTAATAGTGTTTACTTTTGACGCTGCAAAATGAAAGTTGATGGTGGTAAAAAAAAAATACGAAAAAAAAAAGAGAAATTTTCTGTCTCCAATGAGAGTGTTTAAAGATCCCGAGTCACACGATTGGATAGGTTAGTGGGAAGTAACGTAATGTAAGCAACGACAATGTCGAACCGGTTGTAGTCACCACTGAAATGGGATGAATTTTCACATACTGGCTTTAGTCATGATTATCTCTACACTTTTATTTAAGACCGTATCATCGCAACATTTTGGAACCCCATCACATCGATTTTTCCGAGATATGTCAATTTTTTTAAAACCACACTACATTCATCCCTAATTCACACCAAAAAAAAAAAGATGCTATGATAAGGACCATCTATACGAGTTTTACAAAACGACTACCCTTCTTTAGCCATGCTCGATTATATCGTGTTCTCGCATTGGAATCCTCTTGTGACGACTCATGTATTGCCCTTCTTGAACGTACCAAACCAAATGAAACACCAACGATTATAGACCACGCGAAAAAGACACTTCATTCGGCTGATGTTGGTGGCATAATGCCTACTGCAGCATACACGTACCATATGGCTACTATAGGCAACATGTGTCGTGAATTTTGTCTCAAAAATGGTGTATCAGCCACTTCACCACCTGATCTCATTTGTGTTACCCGAGGTCCAGGGATGGCGGGGTCTCTAAGTAGCTCGACTGAGTTTGCAAAGGGATTAAGTGTTGCTTGGGGTGTACCATTAATTGGCGTGCACCACATGTTGGGTCATTTGTTAACTTCTTTTCTCCCTCAACTGCAAACATCACCACAGGAGCAACCACCTCAGTTTCCGTTTTTGAGTTTACTATGTAGTGGAGGACATACTTTACTTGTGTTGCTGAAATCGGTATCTGAACATGAGATAATTATAAATGTGAGTGATATTGCCGTGGGCGATTCATTAGATAAATGTGCACGAGAATTGGGCATGTATGGAAACATGTTGGGCAGGGAATTAGAAATGTTTATAAACAATATCCCGCAAGTTGAGAAGGATGAATTTGAAGCTTTGAATGTCGACACCAGGATCAGCAACAAGTACAATTTTCGACTAAACTTGCCGTTTCAAACACCTAAAAATGGCAAACTCAACGAAGGTAAATTACAATTTGCATTTGCCCAATTCTTAAGTAATATACAAGAGTACAAGAAGAAATTCTACGTTGCGGAGTCAGGCTCAAGTGAGTTTGACGCAAAGACGAAACGAATGATTGCATACAAGACGCAAGAATATATATTTGATCACATTATCGAGCGGATAAATTTATCATTCAAGAAACATGGAATACGAAATCGACAAGCTGACGGAAAATTCACTGGTGTCAAGGATTTCGTATGTGCCGGAGGAGTGGCTGCAAATAAACGACTTCGTGAAAAATTATTCACCAATTTGAAATTTGATGAAATTGGAGATGATCCGTTGCAATTTCATTTCCCTGATTTGGCATTGTGCACCGATAATGCCATCATGATTGGATTAACAGGGATGGAAATATTTGAAAAAATGCATTTAAAAACTGATTTGAGTTTTACGCCATTAAGGAAGTGGCCATTGAATGAATTAACTTCTGTTGATTCTTGGGTTGAGGTAACTGAGGATGAGATTAATAGAATTTGTAAATACTAAAATAGAACAGAACAAAAACCACCTGTATATATCTATTCATCAAAACTTGGAGTAGTGGTAGTAGTACTACTGCCTGTAGTGTCAGCTTCATTATTATGTAATCTCATTTCTGGCTCATCAAAGTCTTCCAACAAGTCTTCAGGTGGGATTTGATCCTCTAATCCTTCTCGATGACCCAAAAATGCCTCCTTTAAATTCAACTCTTGGATAAAGTACTGCCACACGTCGTAATTGAATGTTGCAATATGATGTGACGATAGTATGCTTGAACTGTCCAACTTAATTTGTTCAAGCTCCTTTTGACTAACGCGTGAAATACACGGTACTCCCAGATTGTTGGCGTACAATTTCAATCTTCCATCTTTAATCAAGAAACTAGTGTAGAATAAGTTCTCCACAGATTGGGAGAACGATAACGGGTTGATAAAGAATTTAAAAAAGTTGATTTCTTCATCGCTTTCCTTTTTGAGATACTTGTCGTAAACTAGTCTCACCATGTACGCCGTGTTTTTCTCTTCATCTTGCGCTATATCACCAGCTTCAACGTGTCGAGCAGTTGTAGAACGACCTCCTTTAGTATCATCAACATTTCTCGTCCTCGTCGTTGCTCTCTTCTTTTCATTAGCCAAAGGTCCATTGAGAAAATCAATCAGGATGGGTTTTTTACTAACTTGATGATACAAGACCCCCAATTTCAACCAGTTGAATTTATTGAATGTATATTCGTCAGTGATGGGCTCATCATCGTCGTCGCCATCATCTCTCCTACCATAGTATTCGTCACCACCATTTTCATCCTCCTTGACAATGTCACTAAGAATAGAGCTATCGGTAGCGGCATATTTCCGTAACCTCCTTAAAACATCTCCTTCATCCAACGATATCCCTCCATCGCCAAATTTCAAATTACGAGCATTTAAAGCAGCAAAATCAGAAGCTTCTTTAAACACTTCTGAATCTTCAAGATGAATCTTTGTGTCTCGCACTTTCCCCGTCTCCAAAGCATGGTATAATCTTTTAAGCTCTTGTATATTGCTCAATGATAATGCGGAACCTTCGCCTTTAGCTGCGAGCTTGAGTTGGTTTCTCATGCGTTGACGCAACTTGTTGTATGCATCGAGATGCTCTTGTTTCGTGAGTTTTGGTTTCCTCACCTGTGAGGTCTCTGTTCGAACACTGGACATTATTGGCTTAATGTGTAAGGGTATCGAGGATATTTATGCGGTTGATAATAGCTACTAAAGGCGTATCTCAGGTATCTGGTATCAGTGCAGTACAAGTATATCTCGTTGTTGATTTAGACAGATGTGGATAGAAAAAGTTGGATAATGCACGACGCGACTTTTCGACTTTCAAATATATATGAGCCTGCGCGTGGATGGATTGTCGTGTCGCAAAAGTAGATACCACAGACCAAAGAAAGTGAAAGAGGACCACATCACCACCAACCGAAGATGTCACAGTCACAGTCACAGTCAAAGAAAATCAAGAAATTAGATGAGTCAGTGATTAACAAAATAGCGGCTGGTGAAATTATAATTCAGCCAGCCAACGCACTCAAGGAAATGTTGGAAAACTCAATCGATGCCAAAGCAACCAACATTGAAATAGTTGTTAAAGAAGGCGGACTCAAACTACTACAAATTACCGATAATGGTGAAGGGATCAATAAAGATGACTTGCCTCTTTTATGTGAGAGATTTGCTACCTCAAAACTTACCAAATTTGAGGATTTGGAACTGATTGCCACTTATGGATTCCGTGGTGAGGCATTGAGTAGTATATCGCATATATCGCGTTTATCAGTAACGACAAAGACAAGAGACTCAAAATTGGCTTATAAGGCGTTTTATTTGGACGGGAAACTATGCACGTCAAGTTTCAAGTCGTCACTGGGCAAGTCAGTTGACCCCAAGCCCATTGCCGGTCGAGATGGGACACAAATTACGGTTGAAGATTTATTTTATAACTTGCCATCACGTTTCAAGGGATTGAGATCAAAGAGTGATGAGTTTGCCAGGATTTTGGATATTGTGGGGAGATATGCAATACATACGCAACATGTTGGTTTTAGCTGTAAGAAATATGGTGATCCATTACATCAATTGAATACGAGGGCTAATATGGCGTTGAAGGAGAGAATACGTACGGTGTATGGATCAGCTGTAGCCAACGAATTGATGGATATTACTGTTGGTTCCAGCTCGCCCAGCAACGACGATGCAAGTGTTGATGACAAAATCGAGGAACTTGGTTTGCTCAAAGTTACAGGTGCCATCACCAATGCCAATTATAACAACAAAAAGAAGATTCAGCCAATAATATTTATCAATCATCGACTAGTCTCGTGCGACCCTTTGAAACGAGCAATAAATTCGGTTTTCCAATATTTTCTACCTAGAGGCAACTATCCATTTTTTTACATTAGTTTGGAAATCAAACCAGAGTCACTAGATGTCAATATACATCCAACTAAACGTGAAGTGAGATTTCTCAATGAAGAAGAGATTATTGATGTAATAGTGGGGAAAGTTCATGGTACTTTGGCAAATTTCGATACTTCACGCAAATTCTCAACTCAAAGTATAGTTTCGAAACGTGGATTTGAATTGGATGAAGAGAGGTTGGATGAACTTAAGAGTCAACAGCCATTGAAAAAATACCGACAGGAAAACAAGTTGGTTAGGATTGATGCCAGACAATCCAAGATCAATCCATTTTTGCAAGTGGAGTATCCAACTAGTCAAATATTGAATAGCATTGATGATGAATTGATTGAAGATGGCGTCCAGCTGCAGCAACAGCAACCACCACAACACCAAACTGGAGGGCTCGATGATGATGATAATAATGAAGATTCATTGGTGGCTGATGTCACTGTTATTGATCAACCCGATGTACCTACATCCAGCATCAACCCAACTCGGATGCAAGTGGAAGTGAATCTTGAATCCATTAGTAAATTAAAAAGTGAATTGTCAGAGTTTATTGATAAACCATTAACCAATGTATTTAGTCAAGCTGTATTTGTGGGGATAATCGACCCACTCAAAAGGCTATGTTGTTTTCAATACGATGTCAAATTATACTTGTGTGATTATGCTGCTGTGTTGTTAGAGTTTTTTTATCAAGTTGCATTACATGAGTTTTGCAATTATGGTGAAATACAATTCGATGAACCAATTGCGTTACAACTGATATTGGAACCATTGTACGAACTTCAACAAGATGAAAATGATGATGAGTTAGTTCCCATGAATGAAGTTATTGTTAAAATAGTAAAGATGAGAGAAATGTTTAATGAGTACTTTCAGATCAAAATTGACAACGATGGGAATCTTATTACAATACCAATGATTATGCCAAACATTCAACCTGACTTTAGAAAACTTGCTTATTTTATATATCGATTAGGGACGAGAATCAATTATGACAATGAAAAACAATGTTTACATGGAATATTGAGACAAATTGCATTATTGTATGTTCCGGAACCACTTGACGATGGTTGTGACCAAGAAGAACAACAAGAAGGTGGTGGTATTGATGATGATGTGGGGTCAAAACGTGAATCGTTAGAACATGAGTTGGAGAATGTATTATTCCCTGAAATAAAGAAGCAATTTCTCGCAACAAAGAATTTAGCTAGAGATGTGATTCAAATTGCTGATTTACCTGGTTTATATAAAGTATTTGAAAGATGTTGATTGTTGGAGGTGTATGCATATATATATATATATATATGGATTGTATATGGGTTGTACGTATGACACAAAAGTTGACTAGGGTTAGATCTTTTGGTTATTATTTTGGCGGAGATAGTCGGAATTAAGCTTGAAGTGGGGCGAGTCAGCGCTTTGTTAAAGGGGGATTTTAAGCATTTTTGTGACACTACCGAGGGAGTGTCAACCGCGGTTTGGGTAATAAGAGCAATTCGGGATAAGGTTAAGCGAGAGCGGTCCTAAGTGTTGATGTGCGGGGAAGGTTGGTGATGCGTTGTCTGATTCGGTGTAACTGTTTGATCGTGAATGTCTCTGCAGGGGTAATAATCTTACGAGAATGTCTGCATCAATATTGAAACAAACATGCAAAGATTAAACTTCAGCCTTACCCGAAGGGAGTAACAAAATTGGTCCAGTGGATCACGGCTAGAGAATGGCTAACCTGTTTAGTGTTGGTCCCGAGAGATTCCATTGTTATATAGGTTATGAGATAATCATTCACACGTGAGTATTGCATGTCTTGAATGAAAGTGAGGGGGGATTGGTGTATAGTTTTGTTGAAAAAAAAAATTAGAACACACGTTTACATGCGCCCTTCTCATTTCTCCACCTTCTCTTCACTGCTTTAGTTAGTCAGTAGATCCCTTATCTTTAGACATACATACATACATATATACTTACATAAGTATGTGATGTGCTCTTTAATCTATATATACGTTTGCAAGTTTAACTACCCAATTGAGTAATAAAATTATTATCATATGCATCGCTACCAAATTAGTTCAAATAATTAACCCACAAAAACTTCTTTGATCAACAAAACACTGAGACAGAGAAACAGAGACAACAACAACAACAAGAACAACAACAAGAACAACAAGAACAACAAAGAAAAAAAATATACACACCCTCAATTGAAAATTATTAAAACCCAAGTTTTACTTCTTCTTTTCTACGTCACAGTCTATAGCATACTCCCTTTACAAAGGACCATACTGCACAGACACAACCACCATCATCATCATCATCATCATCATTACTTCACACCCTTCAACCCACACAAGCCACATACTCACCACGGCTGGTTACTTTTTTAAATTGCTTTGAAAAACGTGTTGCAAACCAAATACACCACCTCAATTTTACACGTATTCCCACCAGGAGCTTTCAAGACAACTACTATCAACAATCAGATCCTCGCATTAGATTACTGCTGAAAACTTTTTACAAGGGAAATATCTCGTCGACAATTGTTACAGATTACAGATTACACATCACAACTACCCCCATAACCATCTGTTGCATGGCAACACATTTCACCTCTCATCAAGATGCTTATTGAAAATTCAGAGAATGAAAAATACATCAAGACCATCAACTTTGGTTGTTATCCCAAGAATGTATTGAAATTTCAGGATAGTCAAGATTTTGTTCAACAGTTGATATTTATTGACTACCAATTGAAGTTGTTGATACAAAATGAATTTCGTGGAGAAGAACTCTCACCAGTAAGCAATAATATTGCTAATGGATCTTCTTATTCACCGAAGGAAAAATTATCGCAATTGATTAATTATGCAACGTCAGTGGGCTCAAACTACCATAAAACCACTAGAACTTATGAAAGTAACTTGTATTATACTGTGTTGATGGCCCACTTGTTGTATCTTGACGAAAACATACACGAAATGAACCGGCTACTCACCTCAATCAAAGTGTCATTTCAAGTGAGCAAGAATCTCAATGTATCCACCAGTGTATTTGAATTTATCCAGTATTTGACAGTAAGATACTATGCCTTGCTTGGATTGTGTAACTCAAATGGATTATCAATCTGGACCGATTACTTGAACTACTACAACAAACCATTTGCTAAGTCACACGTGGTTGCCAACCACTGGTTCGATTTATTACTCGGTAACCTCGCCGTGGCATTAACCAAAAATCGTACAATCCAGCTATCATTTGTCAACCAATTGACCAAATTACCATTTTACAAAAATAAATTGGCAATTATTGCTTTTGCCAATTTTCTTTTGCGTCCAGAAAGTAGTCGACTTATCAATCGAAATTTTAAACAAGAGTATACTGAATTTTTGGTGGTTGATATTAATGAATGTATTCATCTGAGAGTTCAATTTCCTGATGCCAGTGATGAAAATACACAAGTAAATGACTTCACTAACAATTTGTATGAGTCATTGAGTTATGTACCGTTTAATTTGGCAATTTTAAGACCTGATTTGTCCAAACAATTTTTGGTGGATGCAATGAAAAAGACGTACCAAAGCCGAGTTGTCATTTCTAATTTTATTTACACCTTGATTGATTTGAATGAGTATGATGAAGCATTGGCTGCTTTTAATACATACATTGACTATTTGGAAAAAGATCAAGAGTTGAAAAATGGTCATGTGGAAGATATATTGGCCATTATCGATACCTACAGTACTTGCATCATTCACTTCAATCCATTAAAATCATTCAAGCACCATGAAAAGTTTAAATTCACTGATGAACCCATTGTTTTGCAATACTTGCATAAATATATTGAACAATTGCAAAATTATATGAGCAAATTGGCGGAATTGATTGATTTGACTTATGATGATGTAAATCATGCTGGTGATCGAAACCCGCTTTCATTTTTGTATCGCAAATACAATTTAAATGTGTTGCAATCGGATCATTCACAATTTATGGAATTAATTGCCAAGGCATGGCACTCAATCGGGTACTATCATTACTACATGTCGTTGTGTGAATCAAGTAATCAAAAAATTCTTGACGAACATGTATCACAAGTGTTGAAAAACTATAAAAATTCATTGATTATTAATTCAACTGGTAATGTTGTTTATTTGTTCCACTATGCATTGGCATTGGCAAACACTGGTCAGTTGAAACCGTCGTTGAAATTGTGTAAATTCATTTTGAAGCGGTACCCTGAATCATTCAAAACTTGGAATCTTTTGGTTTTATTGATCACATCATTCAACAACAACGACGATGATGTGAATAAACCAGCAAGTTTCAATGATAACATTCTCCCCGATAATTTATTAAATGACGTTAGCAAAGCCAATGGTAATATGAATGGAATTGATCAACAAGTGGACAGTGGATATGTACCACCGAAATTGGAAATTCGAGAACCAGAAAAGTTCATCAACAAGGCATTAAACATTTCCGGGTTATACATTATGAAACACAAGGAGAGAGATATCAAGTTGCCCACTGATGCCAAGTATGAAATTATGCAATTGAAATTGACACAATTGGCAGTTTTGGAATCCATACATGGACCACAATACATGATGAATTATATCTCAGAAGTGTTTCTTTTGTACCATGAACTTTTCGAAGTGTCGTTCAACACGGCACTTAATGGGTCCACTGCCCTTTCATCTTCACGAAACTTTGGTGCCCATGTAAAATGGTCACATCGACCCAGTTTTATCGATCCAGTTGAGTTACAAAATGTTGGATCAAATACTCCAGCACCTTTACCACAACCACGTGCTAGCTCTCCAACAAATGCAGCTTATTCAGTGGCACATGAGACACTGGCAAAGACCAACCCAGTAGCGACAAAGAGTGTTTCTTTGGTTAATGAATCCAATGGATCCAATGTGAAACGAACTCATACTGTTGATCGATTGAAACGACTTTCGAAATTACCAATGCATCTTCCAAAGCCCAACTCAAGAGGTGAGTCAGTGAATAGACGAGACTCGGTTGTTTCTCAGTCTTCGTTAAAGACTAGTGGATCAGGACCTGGGTCACGTATCAAGAAGCCGGATTTTTTCAGAAATGGCAATGATCTGAAGAATACCATACTGGAGAAATCAGTATCGCCATCACCATCACGTACTGGTGTCATTCAAAGTTCAAATGCTGCGGTTGCTGGTGGTGTTGCTTCACCAGCTCCTGTAAAGCGTAATCCAGTTGCGCCAACTCATGCAACAACACCCAAGGACAATGTTCTTGAACGCAAGTTACTTCAGGAATTGTGGCTTTATACAGCACGCGTGTTCTTAAAGAATGACTTGTATGATGAATGTGAACAATGTATTGGTGAAGCTGAATCCATTTATGAACCAAATATCAAGACATTTATCGCCACTGGTCAGTTGAATTCGAAAACCAAGAAATTTCTTTCATTGCAAGAGTACGAACGTACATTGGAGATTTTGGAGCGTACTGATAAATACAACAAGATTGAATTTGGATACGCTGTATTGGGATTGGCCAAGTTGTTTCTCATTGATGATGTATCAACAAAGAGTTTATTTATTTCGACTAGAGATATGGATGCGGCAATTATAAGATTAAAAAACATGTTGGAGGAATTCTCCTTGAGTTGGCCTGTTGGTGCAAATAATGTTGAAGTGTGGTTTTACTTGGGCAAAATTTATGAAGTAATTGATGACAAGATTTTGTTGACGAGAAGTTTATGGAAATGTGTCGAGTTGGAGGATACTAGACCAGTTAGGAGTTTTGAAGTTTGTAATTCAAGTATGTAAAGTGGGATTTAAAAACAGTTATATAGTCAATCAGATTTAATTATTTAATGCTATAATTGAGAGCTTGATGTTTTGCGTTTGTAAAGATGGGTGTTTTGCGATTACGGGAAACAAAAAAAAAAAAAAAAAAGAGGTTTGAAAATTTTAAAATGATGACGAGTTGAAGTAAGCACCATCAATAAATCAAGCTACTACCCGACCCGATGTCAGAAATAGAACCAAAAAAGATCACATACTGCGGCGTATGTTCCTACCCACCGGAATTCTGTGAGTTTGGCATATCATTAGCCAAATGCCAACAGTGGCTTCAATCCAACCACCCAGACCTCTACACCAAACTTTACCCCAACATCGCTTCACCGTCCTCACAAGCTTCCGATTCAGCCACAGGTGACACACCAGTCTCCACCCTAGCAGCTGCTGCATCATCTCTCTCCATTGACCAAAACAACAAGATCCAACAAGATTTAGCTAAGAAACAACATCGTGAAGAATTGAAGCAACAAAAGGAATTGGCCAAAAAACTTAGCTCGAAAATCACCATTAAGCGAATTGAGAGAAACAAGAGGAAACACATCATTAGTATTTCCGGTTTAGAAGTGTTTAATATTGACTCTAAAAAATTAGCCAAGACATTTGCGTCGAAATTCGCCACTGGTGCTAGTGTCACCAAGAATGCGGAGAAGTTGGATGAGATTTTGGTGCAGGGTGATGTTAGTGACGAGGCCAAGTTGTATATTGAAGGATTGTTGAAGGAACAAGGGTTGGAGGATGTTAAAGTTGTACAAGTTGATGATAAGAAGATATTGAAGAAGGCTGCTGCTGCTGCTGCTGGAGGGGGAGGAGGATCGGGAGGTGCTGGAGGGGGTGCTGGAGGAGCTAACAAAGGTGCCAAATAGTACATATGTATAGATGATTAGAATGGGACAAAATGGTGATGAGATAGACTCTGTAAGTAATTAAGCCCCATTTGCAAAATGATAAACAATTGCTAGAGTTCTTTCCTGTTCAACTACATGGTCTAACAAATGTTACTCGAAACTGAATCAGTCATGTATCAAGTGCCATTAAAGTATCAAAATCGTCGAAAGTAGATTCTTGCCTATAAATACCACAATAGTGGCGCCCTTTTCGTTTCCGCAATGCGCGTCTAAAATCATCATTTCATTACCTTTCATTAAACTTTTTGAAAAACGTACATACTTCAACAAGTCCCCAATATGTACATCCAAATAAATAGTACCCTACCCGCTTTCAATCAATAAATCTACTCCCCTCTCTCTCCCATGATCATCAGGTAATCAATTTTGATATGGATACCTTCTCCTCTTCCTCCTGTGATCCATTTCTGGTTGCACCAGAAGCACCAGAAGCACCAGAAGCACCAGAAGCACCAGCACCAGCACCAGCACCAGCAGCGGACACCTCGACTCCCGTTAATGGCAACCTCAATTTTAAATCACCATTCTTAGCTTGCTCCATTACTTTCTCCTTTGTCTTCTTCACTTCCTTCCCCTTTTCTTCATTGATGCTCAATGAGCCAAAATTGGACACTGACCCTGGTTTGGGAATTGACTTTAAAGAAGAATTCGCTACATCGGTTGCGGTATTTTCTGATAATGCAGTAGTGGTAGTAGTGGCTGTAGGAACAGCATTAGCGGCGATGACATTATTTGCGATTAATTGTGGACTAACTGATCTAGATTTGGTAGATCTTGTCGGTGAACGAGATCTAGATCTCGATAATGATGATGTATGTGGTTCAGACCGCGAGTAAACACGAACTCGTTCATCCCGGCGTTGTTGCTCTTCATTTTCAGCCTCGTTGTTTTCTTTCTCTAGTTGTTGTTGCAAATTCGATATAGGGATAGTTGCATTTAATGTGGGTTGCTTTGTCATCTGAGAAATACTAGGGAGGCTTGGCAATACTTTCGGTTCACCACTATTCATTGAAATTGGGGACAAGACAGGTGCTGATTGCAGTGCTTGTATGGAATCGGAATCTGATTTGAGTGAAGGTGAAACAGACGATGCATCTGATTTGGATACATTTATACTAGGAACAGAAATAGGTGCAAGTGGGATCGGCGGTAATTTGACTTCAGTATTCAATGATTGTTGATCTTGCTGTGGTTGCAGTTGCGGTTGCAGCTGCGTCTTGATGTGTATATTCTGCGATGCCAATGTTGCCGCATTTGCAGCTGTTGAAGTGATGGGAGTCAATGATGGTAATCGTTGATTCTGTTGTCGTTGTCGTTGAGTTGGCGACACTGATGATGTTGACTGTGTGGTTGAGTCTGGTCCCATTGTGGAAGATGTCGACAAAATCGAGGTTGCTCTTCCTCGCATTGAACCTGGAGTCTGTTGTTGTTGCTGTTGTTGTTGTTGTTGTTGTTGTTGCTGTGGCAATGGAAGAGATGGTTGAGTTAATAGTTGTTGTTGTTGTGGTGGTGGAGGATTCGTCAATATAGACACTTGGGAGGCAGCTGGTGTTGGTTGCTGAGAAACAGTCGTCATTGGCGATCCTGAGGCCCCCGCAACTACTGGTGGAGCTGCGCTAGGTAATGCTGACGTTGGAGCGTATACAACAGCACCAGTGTTGGTCAACACTGGAACTAACGATATTGGACCATATGGTGATTGCATGACAGCCGTAGGAGGCAATGCAGCTCCCTGATCCAAAGGCTGTTGAGTAGGAATAAATGGAGTGCCACAATTGGTCACCATTGTAGCTTGATGTGGCGGTGGTGGTGCATTTCCCACTGTTGCGAGAACAGGACCATTTGGAGTTTGTTGTTGAAGAAGTGAAGCGCCACCCAGTACCTGTTGTTGCTGCTGCTGCTGTTGATGTTGCTGTTGCTGAAGTTGTTGAATTTGATGAAATTTTTGTTGTTGTTGTTCTTCAAGTTGTTCATCCCCAGCTTTACTTCCATCCAACCGATCCTGTCTCATTGATTGATTATATTGAGCCAATCTCAAAGCATTTCTTGCATGATTGTCAAGATTTAAATATGCACAATGTAACTTTCCCTTCATACAATTAAGACACGACGGTAAAGTTTCATCACATTTGATTCTTCTCCTTTTACATGTTCCACAGCCAAGATGCGAGTTTCGATGCTTTCGACGTGAGTTTCTCTTTCTCTTGGATGATAAATCGTGCTGAAGTTGAGCTTGTTGTTGTTGTTGTTGTTGTCGCAGCTCAGGGGTGTTTACCAATACCGGCGACTGGCTCTGTTGAATATTTGTAACTGAATTATTTGTCATCAGTTGCGTACTTCCGTGATTCGGTACTTGAAGTTGCTGCGGTTGTTGCTGCTGCTGTTGTGTATATGTTGGAACAGGGAAAGCTTGTTGCTGAGGAGGAAATCCTGGTGCAAAAGTTGTACGATGTGGTTGCAGTTCTACGAGAGCTGGTAATGGTTGCATAGGTTGCAGTAGTCGGGGTTCTTGTCGTATCTGGTTAATACTAGGTACTCCGGGAATAAATGATACTTTTCTCCCGCTGTCAATCAGTGGAGTCCTCGAATGGGAATTGGACTTATTGGGTGAATCAGGATTCCTTAATGCTTTTTGATAAACATCCATTGTGACTAGTTAGCTGATGCGTTGAATATACAGTAATGATCTCTAAGGTTGGAATGATAAATGCAAAGCGAAGTTGGTGCTGGTCTTGGTCTTAGTGACAAGTGACGTATTGATTATCTGGATACAAGGAGTGAGATCAATTATGAGCAGCTAGATAAAGAATGTTACCTTGATGATGTTGAGATTGTGATGAAATTTGAAGATGTATGAACAATTTCAAAATAAATGTATCTCTAATTTCAAAAAAATTTCGTATGACATTTCCAATTCTAAGACAAAAAAAATTAGAGCACAAAAATGAAGCTATTTAGTACTTTATTTTAATTTTTTTTTTTATTTTTGGCTTTTTGTATCCAACGAGATGAATGACGTAGTGCATAAAGTACTCGGCGCTCATTACGAAAGCAGTTACCGTTTCGATTAGTTTTTCTGTCGCCAGCGGTAGAATCAGCCAGAGGTACTACAAAGAGTCAGGAAATGTATCAGTGGTTAGCTATATTACACAGCTGCATATGACGTACTCTTTTTCATTAGTCCTTTATTTTCCACCCATTTCAGGAACATAAAATAAAAATTTACGATTAGAATTGTTCTTTGACCACTTGCCCAACTAATTTCATTTTTTTCTTAATAAAACCCAAATTTGGTGGGCGACACAATAACAATGGAATTAAATATTTATACGAAAAAGCCACAAGACGGAAATTAAAAACATCAAACAGCGAAAGAAGAAAAAATAACACAAGCGCCACAAAAGAGAAAAGAACTTCCTGCACCCGCCCATCCAACCAAACCATATTTCCTTCTTAACGGGGAAATATATTAAAGCTCTACTTCAGCGGAAGAAAGCAAATGCAACTGACTAGTCCGGCTATTTTCAAGTGCTAGCTTAGCTTACAATTCAATAATTTAGGTCGCTGCTCGCCGAGGCTTTAATGCAAATAGCGACCCGAAAAAAAAAAAAGAACATTGAGCAATCGACCAACAAAAGAAAAAAAAATTGCACAAGGCTTTTTTTTTTTTGTTTTAGTATTGCTTTGCATTGTACATACACGGTTTCGTAGTTTTTTTGATGCTATCACGTAATATACGGTTCGTATAACTTGAAAAAGAAGATAATACGTCGGATCTTCTCTTAGATACCCGATTATCCGTTAATTACCTGCAAAGAGCTTTCGAAAACAATAGACTACGTTTACTCGGAAATGGAAAGACAACGTTGATGCTATTGTCTAAGGTGACGTGGATGTCGGCTGGAATCTGTAGCAATGTTGTGAAATTGCCGCCTATTTTATTTGGTTTCCGAAACACACACAAGCGCCAAATGAGGATAAATTGAAAACAAAAAAGACTAAATCCGTAGGTAATCGAGAATCGCAAGTAGTGTACAGATGCACAAACAATTCATCTTTCTTTCCTATTGTTCATTTGCTTTTTTTTCTCTCCCCTTTTGATTCGCGTTCCCCCTGAAAAAGACGAGAGAACAGAGAGGAGGAGAACAATAGAATATTACAAATCCTTTACTAATATTCATGTTTTTCCAACTCTTATATTTCTTATACTCTCTATCCCGAGGGGTATCCCTCCATACAGAAGTCAGTAATGTAGTCGTTAAGGAAACACAGGACATGAGTTCAGTGGTATCACCGTGAGAACAACAAATCCGCCCTCTCGTCGGAGTTATACGCACAGGGGGTGACGAAAAGTACGAAAAAAAAAAAAATAGAATCATTCTTTGCATGGCTGATTCAACTGTGTACAGTCCGGGGAGAATACGAGAAGTTTGCATAGCCACATGTTACACAAATGTCTCAACATCATTGTCTGGAAAAAATGGACTGCGGATATGCGGAGTTAATTATAAAGACAATTTTAGACTGAGTTCTCCTCCAAAAAAGTGCACTTCACAAGTTTTCTTTTCCAGAGCTTGGGGGTAAATCCCTCCTTGTCTTCGCTCGGTGTTTGACATTATGTCGCTATAATTTTATTAATGCAGTTTACACATATATCAAATTTAGTATGTGTGCGTAAGAAAAAAAAAAAAACGATAACAGAGAGTGGTCTTTGTGCAATACAAAGCTTAACGACTTCTGTGTAACTGTAACCATGTTGCAATGCAATAATAGCAAGCAATGCATCTTCGGTTAAATTGTTTACTCTGCCTAATTGGGAAATCCGACGGAAAAATCGATTTACTTATTCTTGACTCGGAAATGACTCTCTTTCGGGGCTGTTGTAATAACTTAGCAAGGTGCTGAAGAGAGACCCTTTTATCTAGAATTGATCTTAAAACATACATTGTGGAAGCACTCTCGATATGATTTCACTTGTGTTTTTCAGCATCTTCTTCTTGAAAAAGAAGCCACTTTCAAAGTTTTGAGTAACAAACCAAATCTCAGAAGTTGTTACCAAAGCATAAAGAAACAGAGGAACTTTGTTCCTCATGTTCAACAGACATGACATAACATTGAAAAAAATTCATGCATCAAGGTGTAACCTCTTTTGTTAACTCGGTTAATGATCATTTTCGCATCGTATATGCCAGTCAATGTCGTATTTCTCATCTCTCATATCTGCACGATCCATTCAACTTTAATCTTTTTCTGCGCGACACAAATGAACGCATGATGCATCCATCAAAACTCACTGAACGTCACATTGGTTGGTAATTGGGAACCTTATTAGAGCTAAAAAAAGTTGAGGTTTGTTTAGCCATGGGAGTTCGGGTGCAAAAAAGAAACTAAAGAACCAGCTTTGAATGTTCTATCATGAATTAGCGCTTTAAGTCAAATACCTTTGAAGAAGTATTGCAAACTCTTTCATATTGTATATCTCATAGCTGTGGTGATCCATCTATGCAGCCACAAAGATTCCCCTTCTATTCTACCCTCCCCCAACAAATGGTGTTAAATCCCGCTAAAGTTTTTGAATAAGGAAACCACTAGTGCAAGAAGAAATACTGAAAATACATTTCAATGCAAAAGGACTTGCATCCTTTATAAAACAAATTCCAACTCTCACAACTGTCTGACTGGCTGTCTTTTTTCACTCAGTATATAAAAAAAAATGGAGTTACGTAATCTACTCTTTGAATTCATTTGCGAAATCATTATCCCTCTTTCATCATCATTGGTCTTACTCCCAAAGGCAACCATATTCAAATGTCTCAATTTGTTACCACAACGACAACCGTATTAAAATGTCGCCCAAAGTAGACTTGGCAAAGTAGTCACACGTGATAACTCAAAATTAGCGATCGAAACCACTTCTGGAAGGTTAATTTGGTTCTTTGATGGTACACCTGGGTGCAGGTCAGGATATGGAAACAAGCACAAGAAATGGGTGCAAAATTTGCTAAACCTATATTTTCAAACTTCCATTATGGAGAGAACAAAAGAATTATTCAATCTAGAGATGGTTGTAAACAGTTTATTATTTTTTATTTTGATTGTGTCAAGAATCTTGTGTTTGAGTATATTGTTATTTACGAACATTTGTATGTTTGGAATAGACAACTGCCATAAGAAAATGATGATGAGACTTATTCATTGACCCAATTTTGTGTGGATCTTTTACCTTATTGGTGTGAACAGGACTCGGAAATGAAAAAGAAAAGGAGGAAGAAGAGGGAAAACGGGAACTCGCGGATGTTCGATGGATCTAATGATACTTTACCTTTATCATCAACATCATGGGAGAGGGGAATTGCATAGTGAAATGAATACGATACTAACAATTCACAATCGTCCAAACATTACCCCAAGTCCTCCATCTCCTGATAGCATTCGTTCAGTGTTGGTCCAACTAAATGGTATAATTTTCACCATGGCTATATCACAATTTCTTAAATGTAAACAATATTTGATAGAGTGTGAATCTCAGAAAGCATTAAAACTAACCGAAATCCGATTGACTTTTTTCCAGACAAATAATAACCACCAGTTAAGGTTCCAATTGATGATGATAATGACGATAATATTGACGATTTACCATCTGCTTTTCCAGCTGGTTTCCCAACTCAATGGTTGGCTAACATCTTTGATTTGAGTCATGCTGAGCAAAATGGCTTGCGTTATAACAATCCCACCACTTCATTCTCAACTATAGTTTTTATCCTTTTGAAAATGCCCAAGTTGTTCTAATTAGAGTAGTGCTTTGAAAAGTTGTGGATTCTTTGCACCCTTCAGTTCATTTGGTTTGACCTTGAGAAAGTGCATACTACTATAAGCAGACTATTTTATTACACGCCACTTTTCCAGTTGTATACCCAATGGAATTGTCTTATTTCACGAAGAACAGTTACCTGGAGGAGGAAACTAAATGAAGAAAGTGAACGCAGTGAGGTATGGTGCTGGATCAGAAGAGTTGTTCTTGGTCTTACTATAGGATACTACCTGATCAAATCTGTTGCGAAAAAAGAATCGCGTGCTAATCTTTAGTTCTAATAGGTACACTTAACTCTATGAAAGCATAAGCAATTGCTTCAATCTGCGAATGGATAAGGTGACACCACCCATCAAATACAACTTCGATGGGGGGTAGCAGAGTCCTAATAATTTGCAACCGAGGTTGCGAGAAAATTTCATTTCAAAACTTTTTGATGCTTCTCACAATTTTCTTTTGTCTCCCTGCAACGATTGTTATCCTATGGACCAGATCATCAACTTCGCAAAAAGAGTCAACCTAGTTCAGCAAATCACACACATACGACTCTACACCATGAACCAAGTACCGAAGAGTCCAATCTCATCCAAAGTAGTTACAGAAACCTCACCACCAACTCTGCCGTCGCAGCACCACCCGCAGTCTTCAACACTTGCATCTCCACTCTCACCCTCATCGCCAAAACCAGAGCAAAACCACGGAATTCACGTGGATGAATCCAACACACAACAACCACAACCCAGGCCACAAACGAAACAAAGGAAGCCACAAACTGCCGAAGAGTATGCACACCAACTCTCCCTTTGGAGATCGTCTGGTCCACAAATCAATACCGAGACATGGCTTTTCGAAGACGTGGATAAACTCAATCCTATACAGAGCAAAGTCGATAGTGCAAAACTCCTACATGCTTGTGAAAAAGCGTATTATTTACGCGACTGGAACAAATGTCTTGAGTTGTGTAATTTAGGGGCCGAGTTATTTGATGTTGAATTAGACGAGGTTGGTGATGCCATGAAACAGGAATTACAATTGACTAGTAGACGCAAACGTTTGGGTAAAAAACATGAGAGGAGTGTGGTTGATTTGTATGATATTAAACAAAGGTGTTTGAGTCGAATAAATGAGGGTAAACTAGAGGAAGCCAACCCAACCGTAAATTGAGAGGATAGTAACTCACATGTATATCCTTTTAGTGAACCACTGATTTAACCAGTGCCCATGACTGGAAAAGAGTCCTTGCTTTCCACATGTTTTGTATTTAGAGCAGATTACATTTAGCAGATCACTTGACGAATTGATCATTTGTATTTCCTTATCCCTAGTTCATCTCATTTCATTTATTCTTTTTGCTCTAACGTGTGTCTTTCACGTCTTTTACCTTCTCATTTTGCGCAAGCTACTCGGTACTCATAACTTCAACACAAAAATAAAAATTTGAACCTTGCACTGACTGACATCCCAACGAAATTACCTTAGTTATTTTCAGCTAGTACCCACCCATCAACAATGGATAGCAAGTCCTTAGAAGTAATATCACGATTCAAAGATGCCCTTGCCACAAGAAATAAGCTTGAGTCGAGTCTTGCCAACCCATCAACGAAAATAACATCAACAACAACCTCATCATCATCAACAACAGAAGCCAACGATACTCTTCCCACATACAATCGTGGTCTCAAATTACATTTCCAAAATCCCTCACTTGACAGCCTCAATGCTAAATCAGTAGAGTACAATGGTGAAAAATATACCGTGCTAACCAATGATTCAATCGAGCGTGGTAACATCAGAAACAAACGCAAATGGAATGAGTTTTACAATGATGGCGATGCCAAGGAGGGAGATGAGTATGAAAATGATGTAGAATGGTCAGATGAAGACGAAGAAGAGATCCATCCGTTAAAACAGTCGCGGATAATTGAACTATTATCACCAATCAATCATCCCCTGGAACTCGTTACTCACCCAGCAATTTCGAAAACCTACCAACTGCAAACGTTGAATAAATTGGCAATGGAATTGATTGAAGTGATTGAATTTGAACAAAATAACCTCAATTGGTTAAACAAGTTGCTTCAAGTCTTGAATGGAGAAGATTGGTTTTATTTGCTTGAGGAAAACATTGGTCTTAGAGATTATGATCATGGTTTGGATGAAGACAAGAAGAAGGCGATTACAAAGAAGAAGGAAAAATCAATTGCCGATGCATCTAAAGCGGTTGTTGACAACTTCAGAAGCGAAGAAGAGGAGCAAGCTGATCCATTTTTCGCATTACCCACTGCTGTCAAACGATTTGAAGCATTTCAAGAGCAATTAGAAACTAAAGATGAATCCGGTGTCAAGGAAGAGCTCATCAATTACTTACAGGTGAGTATACAGAGACAACATGAGTATATTGAAAATCTAACGCAGTTGAGAAATGGATTAGTGCGTGCAGATAGGTTAAAGAGTGATCTTTATAAATGGGGGCAAGAAATGCACGATAAGAAAAGCTCTTGAGGTATTGACTATGTTAGCCAAGTGGAGTTATCTGACTCATGGACTGCTCCTACTACTCTAATTGATTAGTTTGTACATTAAAATTATCTATCAAGTAGCTTATTCATCTTCATCGAATTTTGGTGCCAAGTAGAATCTCAAGTATCCACCAACATCCAATTTAAACTCAAACAAAGCAGGAGTCTTGTCAGCTAATTTAATAGTAATAGAACTAGACAAACTAGCAGCCTTAATAATATCATTAAGATATTTCAAACCAAAAGTCAAATCAACTGGATTATCCAAATGAACACTAACACTTTCTTCGGGTCTATCCATATCAGTATATGGTTTTAATACAACACTTCCTGTACCGGTTTCACCTTCACTAGTAAACTTGACTGAATCTTTGGTAACAATAATGTTTAAAGATTCACTTAAATTTTTCAAGTCTCTAACAATCTTGGCAAATTCTGAACTTGGCATATTGATAACAGTGTCATATTCCATATCATCAATTTTCAAAAATTCCGAATCAATATTCATTAACTTCAAGCTATATTCACTAACTCTTTCCCTCTTTTTATCTTCAAATATAGTCATTACACTATCAGGACTATCTTCAGCCAACAAAGTCAAGTAATCTTCATTTTGACCACACTTGATGATTTTGCTGAAACTTTCCAAATCTATACCCAATGTGACATCTCTGTCACATCTGTATTCACTGAATGCAGTTTGTCCAACTAATAATGATACCAACAAGACACGCGAGTCATCAACGGCTTGAACAGTTATTCCATGTTCAGTACAGTTGAAATTACACAACTTGACACAATCTTTGATTGAGTCAACAATCTTCTTTAACAAAGTTGATTCATCAAATTTTCCTTCCAACATGGTTTCGATTATAGCTAGTTGTAATTGAGTATAGGTGTAATTGAAGAAAGCAATAACAACTAGGAAGGATAATCAATTGAGAATTTTTTTTCTTTTCTGGAAAAGAATCATATTTTCGCTGACGCGTCGGATATTCCACTGTATAGAAAATTTCACTAAAGGCGCGTCACGAAGTTATCAAAGAGTGACCAGAGGGTGAATCTAATTCGACGACGTGGCACTGAAGACGTGTCAGATGAAGAAGCACTACATCACGCGCGTTAGAGTTATATGTATACAACTATGAACTCCAACATTAATCTATTTACTTGTTACATTGTCTATTAGCTCCTTGGTTTAAGCATCAACGATCCCACTCAACAAACCCCTCCAAATCACTGCTGAACAAGCGGTAGGAATGCAATCCTTGTATGTGACTTGTCACTCAACGGTAGTATCAACCTGAATGCGTCATGTGTATTCAAGTAATAACGATACAACCTTTTCGTTCGAAGGAATCCCAAACTTTCATACAAATTCAATGCACCATTGTTGATCACTTCGGTTTCCAACATTATTTCATCGACATTGTCATCAATCATTTTGTTAATGGTTAACTTCACCAAGTTACTAGCGATACCTCTTTTCCTGTAACTGGGGTCAATCACCAACATACCAATGTACCCTCTCAACCGTACTCCTCTATGCGGTTCTAGCTTCGAAATAATGACACCTATTATATGATCTTCATGCTTGACTATGAAACAGTACTGGGGCCAGTTATTCAAAAAATACCAATAGACGTAGATTGAGTACGGCTCAGATAGGTGAGTTGAAATCAATTCGGAAACACGTTTGAATTCATCTTGATTTTTGATATCGAATTGGTAATACGGGAACCCGTCAATAGTAGTTAGTGGGTCAGCCATGTGCTTCGCAGTCTGCCTCTGATACTAGGAGTTGTTTTTTTTTTATTTTTTCTTCAATTTTTTGTTTCACTTGGTGAAGAGATTCTAGAGGTTCTATTAAGTGGGGCATAAAGATGCAACAGATTTCACAATGGCTAAATGGCTAAGTAATGCCAATCACTTTGCAACTTCGACAATAATTGACAGCTGGCATCGTTTGGAGTGCTATCCATCACCTGTCAAAACTCGGTATTGCACATTGAACTCCGACAGTAATTAACAGGGCCTTGCTTATATGCAGGATGCTCTAAAAAAGATGGGTAAACGGAGCATTGGGTCGCAAAATCCCGGCGATCTTCGGGTGCATATTACGACATTCAAACCTCTTCTAGCCTTCCCCCTAATTCGGTGCTAGCCGTCTCTATACTCTATAGTCTACGAGAGAGACACACATCAACTCTATGAAAGACAGGTGTCTCTGTGTGGTTACGTCATACATTCTTTACTTAAGACAGGTCCTTCATATAGTGTTACCAAGTATCTGATGTCATTTACTACGGGGCATTGAAACCCATTTTTTCTTTTTCTTTATTGTGCAATGAGAATCACAAAGCAAAAAGAGAACGGAAGACAGCGAACAACCCAAAAGTGCGTCCATAGTACTGATTATTTTTTTTGCCAAGATTACACTACCCAGTGTCGTGTGTACCCTATGTGTGTGTCTGGAGATTTCTCTCATTCGAAAAGAGGAGCAATTATAAATGGTGTAGTCCAATCTAGGTTGAGCAATGGCACACGGGTGTGAATAGCCAGTGGTATACCCAAGTGTAATACCTCTCTTACAGCCTCTGAGATCAACCACTGTGATGTCAAATTCCCAAATTTTGTCGTAGATGTCTTCTCCGTCTTTGTAGGTTCTGATGTTGTCCGACAAGTTTTGAAATCAACGTGTGATTCTTTTTTTTTCTGTGTGTGTGTGTGTGTGTGTGTGTGTTGTCTTTGTGTAGCTCTTATGTACTGATGTATATAAAAGCAGGCTAATTTTCACCCACTCTTTGGCAGAAAAAGTAAAAAGTGTCCTAATCCCCCGTTACTACGATTTTTTTTTCTATCCAATTGATTCAATTGTATTTACAAAAACTAACTAAACTTCCACAATTATACATAAACGATGGCTCCTCCAGCAGTATTAAAGAAATCCGGTGTTATTTACGGTAAAGATGTCAAAGACTTGTTCGACTATGCACAAGAAAAAGGATTTGCTATTCCAGCCATCAATGTTACCTCATCATCAACTGTTGTTGCTGCTTTAGAAGCTGCTAGAGACAACAAAGCTCCAATCATTTTGCAAACTTCTCAAGGTGGTGCTGCTTACTTTGCTGGTAAAGGTGTTGACAATAAAAACCAAGAAGCTTCCATTGCTGGTTCAATTGCCGCTGCTCACTACATCAGAGCTATTGCTCCAATTTATGGTATTCCAGTTGTCTTGCACACTGATCACTGTGCCAAGAAATTGTTGCCATGGTTTGATGGTATGTTGAAGGCTGATGAAGAGTTTTTTGCTGAACACGGTACTCCATTGTTCTCATCCCATATGTTGGATCTTTCTGAAGAAGCTGATGAAGAAAACATTGGTACTTGTGCCGAGTATTTTGAAAAGATGGCCAAAATGGGTCAATGGTTAGAAATGGAAATTGGTATCACTGGTGGTGAAGAGGATGGTGTCAACAATGAACACGTTCAAAAGGAATCATTGTACACTTTACCAGAAACTGTTTTCAAGGTTTATGAATCATTATCCAAAATTTCACCAAACTTTTCCATTGCCGCTGCTTTCGGTAACGTCCACGGTGTTTACAAGCCAGGTAATGTTCAATTGAAGCCAGAAATCTTGGGTGAACATCAAGAATACGCCAAGAAGCAAATTGGTACTGACAACAGACATCCATTGTACTTGGTCTTCCACGGTGGTTCTGGTTCTTCTCAACAAGAATTTGATACTGCTATCAAGAATGGTGTTGTCAAGGTCAACTTGGATACCGATTGTCAGTATGCATACTTAGAAGGTATCAGGGATTACATCTTGAAGAAGCAAGATTACTTGAAAACCCCAGTTGGTAACCCAGAAGGTGAAGACAAACCAAACAAGAAATACTTTGACCCAAGAGTATGGGTTAGAGAAGGTGAAAAGACCATGGCCAAGAGAGTCACTGAGGCTTTGGAAATTTTCCACACTAAGGATCAATTGTAAATTCTTTTGACATTTTATATTTAAAGTATAGTCTTATAAATAAACTGTAATAAGATATTTATGTAGTACATTTGTTTCTATATACATGGTTTACACTCGTCCATTTAGTATGCTCTTTATCTTTTTGTATTCAGGCATATTGTTGAATGGATCTAGTCTTTGATTTTGGAAATGTTGTCCCACAACGAGATTAGCTTTCACATACTTTGAAACACATCTGTCAATACATTCTGATTCGCCTTTGGCTAACTCCCCCTCTCCATATTCATGAACGAGGCATTTTGCTTCACATCTTCGTAATAGTTTGTTAAATGTATGAGCTGAAGCTTGAAATTGTATCTCTGCTAATTTAATCTTTTCTGGATCAACAGTGGCATGTGAGTACTGTGATGAGGAGCCAAGAAAGACCGACATGTTTTTAACAACTTTGCTCTTGCTATGTGTGCTTGCTAGTTAGGTGATGAAATTTTTTGCTACAAGCAGTTCTGTTTTTTCAACTTTCAACTTTTTTTTTTTGAAAGACTTTATCCAGAAAAGAAATCAAAATCGTCCTGTTCCATCATTACATCCCCCATGCATGTGCTTTTAACAAATGATGACGGGCCCATTAATGATGGGTCTTGTCCATATATGAAATACTTGGTTGATGAAATCAGACAAAACACCGATTGGGATCTCTCAATCGTTATTCCGGATCAACAGCGGTCATGGATAGGAAAAGCACATTTTGCTGGTAAGCCATTGGTTGCGACATACGTATACACTAAATACTCTACAGGGGAACCCAATCCCGATATCAACAAATTTGAGGGTCCATTTGACCAACCAGTCAACAAATACGCGGACAACAAAGAATACCAAGAGTGGTGCCTTATAAATAGCACACCAGCGGCATGTGCAGATATAGGTATCCACCACTTATACAGGCATTCCAAAAACAAACCAATTGACTTGGTTGTAAGTGGACCGAATTTCGGAAAGAATTCGAGTAATCTTTATATTCTTGCTAGTGGAACCGTTGGAGCCGCGATGGAGGCGGTTACACATGGTATAAAAGCTATAGCATTGAGTTATGCATTTAACAGCATGGACCACGATTTCAATACATTAAAGGAAGCTGCCAAGATTTCAGTCAAATTGATTGAAAAGTTGTACTTGGAGCTAAAGCATCACCCTGAAATAGATTTGTTCTCAATCAATATTCCATTAGTTGATTCACTTAGACTTGGCCATACAAGGATTGAATATGCGCCAATATTACAAAATCAATGGGGCTCTATATACACTCCACGAGACGCTTTAAACGACAAAGGACAGATCCAGTTTGACTGGACTCCTGACTTCAAACGTGTCTATAAAGATGGACTCATCGACCACAATCATACCGATAGTAGAGTTTTGTTGAAAGAAGGGATTAGTGTGACACCTTTGAAAGCAGCATTTGAGCAGTTGTCAACCTTAACAGGGGAAATCAATCTCAACGAAAAAGTGGATTCGTCATCTCCCAGAAAAACATTGTTGATTACTGTACCGAAAGACGTTTACGTGTATGAGCCTTTAGTGCAAGCATTCAAGGCCCTCGGTTATAATGTCACGTCCGATCCCAATCTGGTACCAAGTGAGTCTCCAATGTTCCATTATGGTGAGTATGAAGATATAAATCTTGATTTAATCCATGACAAAAACTACTTTATCCCTTCCTACATTTATCGAAAAGCTTTGATACGAAAGCACTACCTTGCCAATACTGTACATCAATATGTCGTTAAACATCCAGATTCAATTTTAAAGAGGGCAGTTCCTGAAAACTACCAACTTGAACTTGACTATGCTGAGTTTCTAGACGACTCACTCGATGAGGCCTACGAACTAAGAGATGCTATAGAAATGGGCGATAAAGCATGGATTGTAAAGCCAAGTATGAGTGATAAAGGTCAAGGTATAAGTATCTTCAAAACAGTGGACCAATTGCAAGCCATTTTCGATGCATTTGATAATGATGATGATGAAGATATTGGGGATGAAGAGGGAGATGGAGACCACAAAAAAAAACAGGGCAATGGCTTAATATTGTCTCATTTGAGACATTTCATTGTACAAGAATATATTGCCAATCCATTATTGCTTCTGGCGTACGGTAACAAAAAGTTTCACTTGAGAACCTACGTAGTTTGTCAAGGAAATTTAAAAGTCTTTGTATACAAGAATATCTTGGCATTGTTTGCTGGGGAAACATATAAACAACCAACTACTAATACCAAAGGACAGATTGTTTTGAATGGACACTTGACAAATACTTGCTTACAAGAAGACGAAGACCCTTTGGTTGTTCCATTTTGGAAGTTGAAAGGGATTTCCCAAAGTGACAAAGACAAAATATTTGACGAGTTATGTGAAATAACGGGTGAACTATTCAAGGCAGCTACCACCGTAGACAAGTTAAACTTTCAACCATTAGACAATGCAATTGAAATATTTGGTGTGGATTTTTTGGTTGATGAAGATTGCAATGTCTTTTTACTAGAAGCAAATTCATATCCTGACTTTAAACAAACTGGAGATGATTTGAAGGATCTCATTTACAAGCTATTCAAGCTAGTTGCAGGTGATATCGTCGATCCTTTGCTTACAAAGTCGGAGAAGCCTGCAGTGGATGGTAACTTGAAACAAGTCTTCTAAGGCTATGCAGTGTGTATAATCATGTATAGAGATCAACAAAAAGATAGGGCCTCGTAAGCATATGCACAACATAACTCGATGACAGTTAGTGCACTAAAACTTTAGCGCAAGCAATTCTGTGGCGATTATTCAAAATGATTTCTTCTCTGCAGCAATGGTCGTTCGACATTCGGAAAATTTCATGATTTGAAAAAAAAAAAAAAAAAAAAAAAAAGAAAGAAAGAAAAAAAAATTTTAGCAAAAGGCATACCATTACAACTATAAACCAACAAGTGCTTGCATCTATCAAACTTGACTGCTTTATTCATTGATCAATCAGTGTAAGAGAATCAGACGTGACAGATTAAAGAGACGACGTTGCTTTAGAAGAAAAACAAAGTTTCAACACATAATCACACATATAAACTCCAAATGTCGACGAATCGAAAGACTTTCAAGAATCAACTGAAAAGGTTCAACAGTAACAATAGCACATCTTCGGAATTGACCAGCTTGGTCGAAATGTTTCCTGATTGGGAAGCCGATGAATTAAGTGGCTTACTTGACGAAAATGATCATGCTCTTGAAATTGTAATTGATTTGATTGTCAACAATAAGGTCTCGAGATGGGAACCAAGTAAAAAGGACAAGTTGAAAAAGAAGGAGCCAAAGGAAGAGGCAGCAAATAATGTAAATAACACACACGGTACGAACCATGCCTCGGCAAGCGACAAGAAATTCTCGGGTAGATCAAAATCAGCAACAAAACCTTTAAAGAAACAACAATCAGCATCCAAGAAACCATCCAGATCGAGCGACAAATCAACCGCTAGTGCCACACAATCCTCCAAATCGGAATCTACAGGAGAACCATCTGGCTCATGGGCAGCAGCATTAGGCACTGATAAACCAAAGGCACCTAAGCAACAACAAGAACAAGCATCAAAACAACATGAAGAAGAAAAAGTGGACGATGTGGAAGCTCCGACTGAAGAAGCTGTACCATCAGCAGTAGAGGAAGAGGCTGCTCCGCATGAAAAGGATGCTCCACCAGAAAAAGCTCCTGTGGAGAAATCTAAGCCAGCGTTAAAGGAAGCAAGCATTCCCTCATTGAACCAAGGTTCCTGGGCGTCAGCGATAACTCCAAAGACCAAACCAAAACCAAAACCAACCAAGATTCAAAAACCACCAGCTGAAACGCAACAAGCCACTCAACAAGCCACTCAACAAGCCACTCAACATGAATCAATTAAAGAATCAACGGAAACTACCAGTCAACCACCAGCCGCTGCTATTTCGGAAAATGAGCAATACCAACAAAGTGAGAGCTCGCAAGAACCAATTGCTCCAGCAGTTTACCAAGAATCACCTGCTCCACAAGGTCCACAAGTTGTTTTGCCTACATCACAACAAGTTAATTCAGTTGGTATTTCGTTCGGCTCTTTATCATTAGAAGCTGAAGATAACCAAGAAACCCAAACTCAGCCACAAGAGCAAGCTCAAGAACAAGCTCAACCATCTCATCAACAAGGACAACAACAGCAACAACAACAGCAACAACAGCAGCAGCAACAACAACAAGCAGAAGAACCACAACGTTACGGATCCTATGATCAACAATCCCAAGACAGGTTGCAACAAGGTGGATACCAGCAACAACAACAACAACCACAACCACAACCACAACAACCAGCTCAATTCGGCAAACAAGCTCAACAACCAGGACAAACCTTCCCAACACAACAAGCTCAATACGATTATTACAATCAATTCCAACAACAACAGTACCCACAACAAGCAGCTCAACCAGGCTCTCAATTTGCTGGATACCCTGGCTATGATTATAGTGCTTACACTCAGCAAGCTTTTGGCGGTGTTGCATCTCCAGCCGCTAGCCACAATGTTGCTACCCCTGCGGCAGCAAGTGGATATGCTCAATACGCTCAACAAGCTGTGAATGGTGGATCAATTGATGCTACACAAAGTCCGGGCACCACTCAAGCTGGCTTGCCGCAACAATCAGGCGCTGGCTTGTCTCAACAACAACAACAACAACAGCAGCAACAAATCCCCACTCCATTTGGTTACCCGTACTACAACTATTACTACAATAACCCATACTTTAATGCTGCCGGTGCGTTAGGATCAAACGGGTTGGGATCTATTGGTGGCCAACCAACTCAAGCCACACAACAAAGTGCCCAACAGGCAAATATCCCGGGAAGCGGTCAAGGCTCTGTTACTAACAATGGTTTTGGTCAACAACAATACTACAATCCTAACCAATATGGAAACAGGTACCCTGGCTATTCGTACCCACCTCAACCACAACAACCGGGCCAACAAGGTCAAGGTCAGCCACCTGCTTCGGAGACTGAAGGGTCGCAACCAAACTCACAGCACTCTCAAGGGCAATCTCAACCCCAGCCAAATGCTCAACAACCTGTGATGCCACAATATGGCGGTTATCAACAATATCCCCAATACGGATATCAAGACTCGACCCAATACCGTGGATGGTATTAAATGATACTGCTACGTATAAATACGAGAGGACATTTTGATTACAGTACATGTGAACATGTGAATAAATAAGACTATCGATTGATAGTAGATAGTGTTTAGATTTTCTCTTGTGACGAATCTGTACCGTAACAGCTGCACTCGTGCCTGCAATCGAGGAGAGCAAATCAAATAGAATGTTGTGACGTGAGTTCTTGCGCTAAGTTGAATTTTCGTGTGAGATAGCTTTTTTCACGTGACATAGATGGCCACCCTAATGGAAAGAAAGTATTAACTTAGATAGGTTGGATGTCACGACACCTTGCTAGACAGTATGTTGCATCCTCTATGAATACTCTGCAAAAATGTGTGTGTTTGTATTGCAACCGAGTATGCCGTGTATCTAATGGTCATCTCACTATTTTCGTAGAGTTTATATAGCGTTTAGGAAATCGCACCCGATCGGTTAATGTATCATTCGATAAGTTCACTTTGTATTTCCGTACTCACAAACCATTCCTCGTGTTTCGAATAACCTGAGTTTAACTTTTATGTCCAAAAAAAGAGCAACAGGCATAGCATCAGGGGGTAACTGTTTCAGATAATTTGTGAACACACGAGAAGGCAAAATAGTCCACAAAGTGAAATTTCATTCGAGAGGCTGTCATTTAAACCACACGCCACATTTGCAATCTCCATCCTTAATTCAGCAACCATATCGTCAGAGGAATAGCCCTTATGTCCACTATTTCTTATTTGACAGTATACAATGCGCATGAGGGATCATTTGTCAAGATCCCCAAACCTATTCGATTTCCAACGCTAGCGGACTTCAAATATTACCTACTGCAGTCATTCTCCATGGACAACGTTAATGATATATTCTTGTTGAGTTCTTTTGGAATCAAAATCAATTACAACTTAATCAATGACATTTCCGAAGTGTTTTTGTATGACAAACGATTGTTTCTTTCCGAAATTGATCGAAAGTTGCTCAATTCGTATATATCACATTCTCCGAGAGATGATCTCAGTCCACCACAGCAACTGCCTTTCGTTGACACTCGAAAAACATATTCGAGAGATGTCTCAAATCGAATCAAAGCTTATCAAGCATGGGCGAGGGAAATAGCCCAGTATGGCAATGTTCTAGAGAATCGATGTCTGATGCTAATTCAACAAATCAACACCATTTTCGCATCCTTGACGGCATTATTTCAATTCGCAACGAGTTTCACGACAGAGATTGAAAAGGGTTTCAACCACCATAACAATTACATTAATTTAATTAGCTTCAAAACTTTGCATAAATCCTGGTTGGAGAGTTACAAAACCCTACAGCATCTCCCTATTATCAAAATCAAAGACGAAAAATTCAAATTGGTTGACTTCCTTGATCACCATTCTTTGAGCTCAGCTGCAACATATGTAGCAAACAAGCTCCCATTGATTACTCAGAAATTCAGTGAGTTGAGCGATGCGGCCAAGGCTATGAAGAACGAGAGAGCAAAAGTGGATGAGCTTATTGAGCATGCAAGAACTGACTCAATCGAACGATTTAAAAATACAAATTTGAATGAATTGATAAAAACTATTCGGTCCAAAGCTCAATGCGTTTCTTCCGATTTTTCAAATGTGCAGGAAGCTCATTTTGATCAGTTGTACAACCAGCACCGTACTCGCACCTCAGTAGAACTCAAAAGCACTACTGATGAATTGTATGCATACTATTCAAAGTTAAAACTGTTTAAAGAGAAATTGATTAAAGATGGGCCGAGAGTCTATTCCCTTATTGCCAATTTGCAAATGAAAGCTGTCAATCTTAAAACAGACTTGAAATTGTTGACAGAAGATGAAGGCGCAGATGAAACCAACACAATCAATCACAAGACAATCCAAGATGTGAAAAAATGCGAGGATTTGTTGTCTTTAACTATTGATTTGCCGTTGTTGTTTGGTTTTGCCATAATCGAAAAGAGGCGACAGTTTGAATGGTATGATTTCTACTCCAAGGGTATTGTTAACAACTTTAGTGAACAAGTCACATCCATTGGACAACATGAAAGGGCATTCAGAGAAATGTGGAACAAAAAATTCGGGTCTTTTCTTAACTACATCAAGGATGACAACTTTGTAGGTATCTTACCAAACGTTGATATAACCCTAGTGGGAAACCAAGACAAAATACAAAATTTCACAATTCTACGCAATGTGGAAATAGACAGAGATGATATCCTAAATTATATATCATTGTTGGAGACGTCGCATAGCAATAAAAACTTTCCTGAATTGCTACGCAAGAATATGCGAGATATGAAGCAATCAACAAATAATATGAAGAGGATCACTAAGCTCATATCTTCTTTAGGATCAGTTACAGACATAACAAGTGACAAATTGGGAAATCTGTCTAGTAAAGAACAGAATGAACTTTCTAATTATGATTTGAATGTTGTAAATGGATTAAAGTCGAGAATCAAGAAACTAGAAAGTTTGCTTCATCAACAACAGTACAAGAATATTACCAATTGGCCAGTATTCCGCAACGGGAACTACTCTGACAATAGGATGAGTATGATATTGGACTCCAAGCAGCCATTGTCTGCGCCAGTTGTGAAGTCCGATCCTACAAAGCTTCTACAGAAACGAACACCATCAAAAGAAAGCATAACTTCCAATCAATCTCAAGTGTTGGATACATCGGTAGTGGATAAACATCTTGATAATATCAAGTTGAAACGAGTGAATGCAGAACTTACAACAGAAATTGAGCAATTGAGGAGGGAGCAAGGTACCAAAGATGAATCGATATCGCAATTGCGACAGGAAATGGAAACACTAAAGTCGAACCATGCCAAGGAGGTTGAAAGTCTCAAAAGTAGGTTGACTCTGCGTGATGAAGAGTTCAGACTCTACAAGTTGGAGAATAAATGGGATGCAAAAGAGTTTGAGAATTTGGAAAAGAAATTGCAAACAAAAGATCATACAGTTGATCAATTGAACAGCAGAATCACAAAATTGGAGCAGGAACAAGCTAACCACGAACAAGAAATGGCTAGTCTTGGCGAAACTATTACAATCTTGCGTAGTGAACTTAACGATGCCAATCGAATGAAGAATGATTTGCTATCAAACATGTCATCAAAAGAATCTGAATTTGCACAAGAGAGGACCACAAGCAAGGCAGAGCTTACAAAAACGAAACTGAAGTTGGATGAAGTTACTGAGGATTACGAAAATTTAATGGAATTGACACAAGTCAAACAGCAAAGGCACGATCAGCTCATTATTGAACTAAATACGGTGATCTGCACTCTTTTCACTAAGCTCAAGTTGACATCGGAAAGAATTTTTGAGATATTTATTGAAATGTGCAGTATTTTGGAAACAATGGGGCTTTTGTTGATCAAGGAGGATGGCGTTTTTAAAATTAAACGAGTGAAAGGATTGAAGTCGAAAAAGAGTACTGCGAATTTAGAGGATGATGTGTCGTTGATATCTGTCGCAGACATGCCAACTTCAAAAGTTATCGAGGATTTTGAAACTTCATTGAAATGGTCGGAAGAGATTTCTTTATCTCCATATCTACCACCCGATAGCTCTTCTGATGACAATGAAATTGCAAACGTCGACAAGTACAACGAAGAATCGAAAAAGCTTATAACTCAATTCAACAACGTGTTTGGTGGTGAGAAATCCCACTTTGATGCATTCCTCAGCATCATCAGCTTCAAAGAAAATATTCAATTAGCGAATGAGAATTCCAATAGTACTAGATTTTTCCTCAATGCTATATCGAAGCGATTCAAAGATGTTGAAGGGTTTGCTAAACGTCTAACAAAAGATAATAAGTTGAAAGATCAAGAAATACGGAGATTTGTTTCGCGAAGCAAGCACAAGATATCGATCAATTCGTTTCAGGAAGATGATTTGTTGTTGTTTCTTCCAACAAAGGTGGACAATGTCTTGAGAAATCAAAACGAGAGTACTCAACCATGGGCGGCATTCAATGTTGGTGCACCGCATTATTTCTTGGAAACACTGAACTTGAACTTGAACGGTAAGGAATGGCTTATAGGAAGAGTGCGACTGATTAAGGAAAATAAAGTTCTGCCGGAACGTGCAAACTCGTCGGAACATAATCCATTCCAGTTAAGCGCAGGAGTTACATGGTACATGGTGCAAGTGGTTGAAGATAAATGAGAAGCTACTCCAATAGTCATTTTTTATTGTCTATGAAAAATAGTTTACTATTCCGGTACATGGTTAAACAAGTAACTAACGCTTTCTCCATTATGTAGTCTTCTGATAGCTTCTGCCAATGTAGCACTGATATCCAACGTCTCCATCTTGGAGCATTTGTCCAATTTTTCTTGTATAGGCAACGAGTTTGTACAAACCAACTTATCAATTTTCGAATTGTTCAACTTTTCAATGGCATTTTTTGAAAGTATTGCATGAGTAACCATACAAACAACTTTTTGGGCATTATTCTCCAACAAAACATCAGCTGCTTTGCATAGTGTTCCACAAGTATCTGCGATGTCGTCAACAAGAATACATATTTTATCAGTGACATCACCAACTAAAACCATTCTTGAGATTTCGTTGGCTTTTTGACGCTCTTTATGAATCAAAGCAAATTGGATATCCAATTTGTCAGCTAAACTAGCCACTCGTTTTGCCCCACCAGCATCAGGACTAACCATGATTATATCATTTTTGTTGTATTTTTCTCTGATGTAGCGCAACACACTAGGTTCAGCGTACAAGTTGTCAACTGGTATGCTAAAGAACCCTTGTATTTGACTCGCATGCAAATCCATAGTAATGACGTGATTACAACCGGCAGTTTGTAACAAATTAGCAATCAATTTGGCGGTTATCGGAGCCCTCGATTTATCTTTTTTATCTTGTCGAGCATAGGGAAAGCTTGGAATAACAGCAGTGATTCGTCTGGCACTAGCAACACGGCATGCATTGATCATGAATAACAACTCCATTACAAAATCATTGATTTCGGTTTCACCACACCCAGTTTGCAAAATGTAGACATCTTCGTCACGAACGGATTCACCAATAGCAACAGCTGTTTCAGTATTTGTGTATTGAAATGCACCCACACGGGCAATGTCAATGCTTAACTTGGCTGCTACTTTTTCACATAACTGAATGTGCGAGTTTCCTGCAATGAGCTTTATGGAGTTTTGCTGATATGTATGCATTGGCGAATAAGGGAGTGCAGTCAGTTGCTGTGGTGTGTCACTAGAGTGCAACGCTAAACCGTTTGAATTCGTGGGATGCTTTGTGCCCATCTCTTGCACAAAATTAAATAAAACGCTACCATGTGAACCACAAATGCTGGAAGCACATTTGAATGCAAGGACATGTGCTATTAGTTGAAATTTCTATATAAGTATGTTCTAAAGGACCTCTATTTTATATTAAATCCTGCAACCCCACAATTTCTCCCAATAAACTCAAATATTCCAGAACAAATGAGTTGAATACCCACCAACTACCAAAACTACTCTCACCTGAATTAAGGTTCAAGTTAACTCTGGCGGTAGCAGGTTGCGCATTGCTTCCTTCCTCAGTAGGCTCCATCTGACTTCTTCGTAGCTGTTGCTGCTGTTGCTTGATAAAGATTCGTTTCAAGATGTCATTCAAAATGAAAGTGATTAGGTTGTTATATAACTGAATGGGATACTTCAATTTGAAATGGTTTGATAACAACTTCGTGTCAATTAATGCGAGTAATGATTTTAATTTTGTCATTTCTTGGGTTGTCAATACGGTGTTCGATATAGTTGGTAGTGAGCTTGCTGCTGTAGGTTGCCCAATTGGTGGATTGATTGGGGTTACACTGTGTAATGATGGCAACCCCGGCCGCATTGATGAAGTCATGCTCTCTATATCTGCTCCCAATCTCTGTGTATGTTCCAACAATGAGGACGATCCCGAAGATATAGGCTCATCTTCTCCGGCCAAGAACCTTTTAAGATCAGTTCTGAAAAATTCGTCTAGTACGGCAACTTCTTCATCGATAGAACTCGATCTTTTCAAATCAGTGACAGCATTTGGATCATACCGAAAACCTGACAAAGTATGGATCAAGTCGTTTAATAGAATATCAGTTCTGAAATTAAAGTTTGCATCGTCGATTCTAATGCCACCACCACTATCACCACCGCCTGCGCCATCGCCAGTGCCACCACTACTTCGCATTATGTTTGACAAAAAATCCTCCCCTTCTTGTAATCTGATACCCGCTGGTTTAACATCGAGAAATTGTTGAATTTCACTAGCCATCATTGAATTGAGCTCCCTCTTGTTTAGCAACTTGATGAACGTAATCAACAAATCATTTAAATCTATCAACTTTTTAATTAAATGCAAAAACTTGGCAACGTTATTCGAGGGAAAGACCAGCGATATTTTGCTACTCAACTTACTCAATTCACTTGGGAAATTGTTAACCAAGTACAAAAGATTTAGTCGTAAATTAGTCACTAAATTGATATCCGCGGATGGTTTAAATAGTAGTAGATATGGCAAAATTTCTAGTATGATGATTGTGTATAGTATCAAGTCTAGGTTCTTGATAGTTTGAGCATGGGCCATAACTGGCTCAAACACGGACTCTAGCAAATTGTTGAACAAGCTTGATCCTTCGAGTAAGTTGGAATTAGTTAACAATACTAATGTGATCAAGTTTCGATCAATCACAACGGCTTTTGCATAAGCTTTGTCTAATAACTTTGAAAACCAATTCGGTGGACCAACATCAATATCAAGAACGGTGAAATTAGCCTCAGTTGGGTACATCAAATTCTTTGTAATGAAGGACATTCGGGGTGAAGTTACAGCTTCTGGTGTGCAAATTTCACCTCCTCTTCCGCTAACAATGGGCTTTTCTTTCCCGCTTGAGCGACTACGCTTCCTCCCTCTCTTCTTTGGTGCCACTCCTGTTGGAATTGCTTCAAGATGTAACTGCACATCAGTTGGAATTCCTTGAGGAAATAACAATCCCTGCTGCTCCGGGTTACCCTCACTAAACATTTCATTCAATTTTGTCAAATCATGCTGTTCGCACAATTGCTTGATATTGTAATCGATAATATGCTCATTCCAAACAACTCCAAGGTAGTGGTATCGTGATTCACCTCTACTTCCTAGCCTCTTTATTGGTATGTCGGGATACACCATCTTGATCAACTTTCCCAACTTGGATTGCCCAAGAATTAGCTTTTGTTGCTCATTTGCTGTGTTTGATGAACTAGGGTATCTTGTTATCAATTTTTGACAAATTATGAAATAAGTCTTGAATATTGACAAACGGGGTATACTATAATTCAGTGGATCTTCAGTCGTGTTCAGTGGTATTTGAATCATCATATCATTCAAGATTTTGATGGCAAGAAAAGTACGAAGCAACTCGTGATAATTGATAGACATTAGCCTATTTTGGCCACCATCTTCTTCTTCATCTAGATTAGGAAAAATCTCGAGCAAAACTGCTGGATTTCGAAAAGCATCCAACACTTGATTGATTATAATGGCAGCTGAATCATGAGAATGCATAGCAATAGGAGTCCTATCAATCTTTAGGTTGTAGTTGAAATTAGCAGCACTGAGTGGAATTTGGCGATCATTGTTATAAAGTAAGTTGTAAAAATCGTCCAAAGGAAACCGTGTATTGATTTTGCAAAGCAATGAATGCAAATATGAAGCCATATTGTTTCCATCAACGGAAAACAACTCATGTAAAACTTCATTGAGTAGTGAATCATTATCACGATGAAATCTTCGGGGATGTTGACTAGTGTATACGTTTTCTTGTGCGTTACCTCCAGCACCGCCTAATGTGATTGAAGTCAAATGTGAAGAAATGGACAAATTGTTTTTTTGATGCCTTGAATTGGATGGTTGTGTTCTTGCTGTTGCTGGTGCTGGTGCAGGTATTGGAGTTGGGGCTGTTGTTACTACTGACGCTGGTATTGATGGTGGACCAGATGCAATGGAAGACGCGTGTATGGAAGGCTGAAGTGATCCACCTGAAAGCAGTGCCTGCTGATGAGAAAACTGTCTATTTCCACTAGTGGATGATTCAGTGAATAATGCCTGTTGAGGGTTAGAATAATTGAAATCAAATGTGGGGTATACAGGAGAAAGTTGAGGAAATGCTGGATTGAATGCAAGATTGCCACCAACTGGTGGGTTGGTGACGGGAGCGGGAACATATGAGGAGCTCCGTTGGTGTGGTCGTTGAAAGTTTGGATCGGTGTAATAGCCTTGTTGTGCACGATGTGGTATTGGCTGTTGTTGTTGTTGTTGGTGCTGCTGCTGGTACTGCTGCTGCCGTTGATGATGTTGTTGATGCTGATATAATGACTGGTTTTGTGTACCTTCGTATGCACCTGCATGCTGATAATTGAAGTTTGTGGATGCAGCAGACGTTGGTGGTGCTGTCAGAGACGTTGTGGGATATTCTTGATATCTGTCAGAACCAGTGGAAGTGATTCTTCGAGGATGTGATTGTCCTTCTCTTTGTGTATGTGTTTGAGACTCTTGATTATATTCATACTGAGAGCGCTGAAGTAGTGGTCCTTGACGATACGTGATGTTTGAAAAAGGTGGTGGTTGTGCATAAGCATAATTATACATATCTTGTTCTTCATACCTGTTTGCGCTTGCTAGAGCATTAACTTGTTGCGAAGCGAAAGATGACGGATCTAGATTGGCATAAGACGAGGCTGAGGTAGTTTGAGGTTGAGGTAATGGCTGTTGTCCCGGAATATTAAACGAAGGAAGAGGTTGTTGTAGTTCTTGCTTATCCTCAACAAAGTGAATTCCACCTAAGTTCAGTATAGACGATTTCTGCCGTTTATGAGGTGGTCGGTTCGGTGGCATAACTTGGTTTCCAGTGACATAAAAGTTATAATAGTATTTATGGTCGTATGAAGGATGAAATAATGGGTGGTATTAATGATTGCTTTTTTGACCGTTTGAGGTGGACCTATGCTTCAGCAAAATGTGATAGATCAGGTAATGAAGAGGAATAACTCGGGTTCAAAAAATAATAAGGAGACAGCCAGTGTATATCTGCAACAGGGCTAAACTCTCAACACAGTATTGACTTAAACAACTGGAACAATGCAATTAGTTAACTTTGGTCTTTCGATGTGATTCAAAATCGAAAGATTTTATTTGGTATCTCGATATTATTGCGAATCGTTTGGTTTTCGATGTATGCAGCAGTAGGCTTTAGTTTCTTTTTTTTTTGAGTAAAAAATAACTCCGTAGCTTGTATGATCTGTAGTGTATGTATCGGTGGTGGTGTTTTATGATTTGGGTGATGTCCAACAGTGATGTATAATCTTGTAAGATTCACGCAATTCAAAGGTTTTCGTGAGCTTTCTTCTGGAACCAGTACTACTCTTTCCTTTCAGTTATCCTTCCCTTTGCAAGAATATATGTCTCTGTGTTGTGCTTATGGTATAAACTTCTTTTCGAGACTCCCTATACGGTGTTACGTATATCCACTACCTATATTGATCTTGTTCCGCGTTTGTGGTCACGCTTCAGTTTAAGTTGCAAGTTTGTTAGGAGTGCGATTGGTCAGCAGTGTATTTATGTTGATTTGCTCACAGGGACTGTGATATGGCTAGCAACGCATGTATGTATATATACAAATATACCTTTTCATGTCCCTTGGAAAACTCATTCACTCTATCTTTATAAAAGAAAACAAAGAGGGTTCCTAAATAGATCAACAGATTGCAAGTTACACAAACCGAGGAAAAAAAGGTAAACAAAAGAAAAACCTTAACATTCGCTTAGCTTTGTGTAATATTGGTTTCTTTTTATTAACCCAAAAGAAGCAAAACTTACAGTTTCGGGGGTACAGCATGTAAGAAATAGTACTAATGCTACTTGAAATTCACTATGATGAGCTCTGTAGTTTAGTGTATCAATAGAATAGGTTGCAAAAAGTTTCATGTTTCAATGAAGAATGGATGTAGAGAGCAAACTGTTCTCTGGTGCAAGCGTTGATTGTTACATGTAATCATTTAGAGCATTTCCTTCATGGTACAAACTAAAGCTTAGCTGTTGTCAGGACAACAACAAGAACATTTAGTGAGGTAAGTCATAGTACGTGCATATACGTTGCAATTATAACAATTGTGTGACGGAAGTTCGAGGATCTTAGATTATATCTCTGCAGTAACCCTTGAGATCAAGCACCACCACAAGGGACCCATTTGGGGCTATCACGAAGCTCAATGAATCTGGCCCGAGGGTATCTTTGATCTCTTTCTAGATCTCGCTTTTAAAAGTGTACTAAGATCAAAAAAATTGCACTAAGAGGGGGCAAGCGCAATATTTTGCAAACTGATAGCTCTCACTGATACCTGTATTACACACGCACATGATAATTCTAGCTTATGATTGTAGTACACACAACAATAGAGCTGACCTTGACAACTCGAACAATACAGTTCGTTCCAATTGTATTCTTTTCTTATTGGGTAAACGCCTTGTGCCTCTTATCTTCGCAAAAGTGTAAATCTCCTAATCGTACTGGACATTTTACCGAGGATCAAAGATGATGTAACTTATAACCATCGACAACAAAGCAACGAGAAACATATATAAAATGTAACAAATACGTACAGTTCAACCATGGGCTAGATTGTCAGTATGGAAAGCCCTATTCCAAAAAGGGTAAGTTTTGTAGAAGGTCTAGAACCCATCAATATCTAGAAAGTTTACATTCCCGCAGCCAAAAATGTGCCAACAAGAATGCTTGTGTAGTTGTATTACGTATAACAGTAGGTCCATAAACAATAGACTCCCATTCATTGATAATTGTGTTTTATTTTGACATGGCCATACACAATAAGGTACGAAAAAATTCCAAATTATACCCAAAACAACTTAATTGTAAACAAAGACACAAACACAAAGCATATTTTTGTATCACTTCGAATGCCACATTCCATTACAATACAAAGAAAGACGCATCATACCCATCTATTCTTTAGTCCATGCACATTCTCCTTTCTCCTTTTTCCCCTAAAAAATGAACCAAGCAGCAATTGTAACTAACTAAATCATTTGAAACAATCCAACCGTTTTCAAGTAGAACGTTTGACTTTTGTGTTTTCGAAGTTCCAGAGAATGTAGTGATGAGGAATGTTCGAGTGAAAGGATTTACAATTTTCGTATTGTACGAGACTAAAATGTGACCCTATTGTTCTTTTGTCATCGCATCGCATCTATCTGATTTCGCTACTGGTCGCTTCATTTCATCCGAACGCATCGGTGTCGCATCGATTCGTATATTTGACGTGATGTAGTACCATATGGACTTTTTTTAAGTGAACATCAGCGAGAAAGGTGTTAAAAAGATTGTCAGTTACTCGAGTGTGAGCCACAATAAGAATAGCTAATTGGGTCTACAGTGTTTCACTTCACAGCTCTATTTTACGCTATACTACACTACACTTTGCAAAACTCTCTCTTTGTCATATGTATAATCTGAAACTTTACATACTTGGTGTATACTTTTTTCTCTAGAATCGATACCACCCTTTGCTTACAACTTAGCTTTGTCTCCCAATAATCCCTTAACCAAAACATCTTGCATTTCATTGGCACTGTCAACAAGGAACCATTTCAATTGAGCCGAGCTCAACCCATTTCCATACTTGCATGAAATGTGCACGTGGATCCAGTCATTATTGATCAAATAAGCCAATCCGAAACCATCATCAATAACTTGTGACCAACCCCAAGATTGAAAGAATTCAGAAGGAACTTGTGATGATGAAATGTACCAACTTTGTGAATAAGTAAAGATTGGATCAGTGAAAATTTCTGGCACTTCTTCACCTGGTTTCAACATTTGTTTCAAACCAAACAAATGACGATCAACTCCCTTACCATCAGCTGCTGATGACAAGTAAGCGACATGTTGTTTAGTAGCGGCTTGGAATGTGGCAACTTTTTCTTCAATGGAAGCTTTTGGATCAGTCCAAGTTTCAACAAATTTTTTGGATTCATTGGAAACAGTTCTACCAGTTTCAGTTCTTCCCTTTAAGAATTTTCTAGTGGCGGCTGATTCATAAGTTGGTCTAACTTTACCAGTCAATTTGTAGTAGGCCAATTGCATCAACATTTGTACATAAGCATCGGGAGACGTCTTGAATTTTTTAATCAAGTTCTTACCATATCCATAATGTTGGAAAATCTCTTCATCATGAGCAGCAATAGTGGCATCAAATTTCGCAACTGCAGACACTATATTTTGTCTCGATGTTGGGTTTAAATCAAATGGTATAATTTCAGCTCTACCAACTTTAGGAGTTACAGTGGCAATTTCAGCAATCAATTCATCAGGGTTGGTTTCAGCAATTTGTTTCAAAACCGTATTGTTCATTTGCACAGTGGGTGTAGCATCCATTCTTGAATGTTCACCAAGGAAACCAGAGTTACCATTGGCACTAACGAAAAATTCCAATGGTTTATCAAACCATCTATTTTGTCCATCTCCGTGCCAGCAGTTTTTCGATTTTTCTTCAATAGTAATTGGATTGTTTGAATCCAAGCACAACACAAATGCCGAAGCAAAAATGTCAGTTAAAGAAGCTTCATTGATTGGTGATTTCAAAAGGTTATTGTAAGCACTCAACCACTCGTCTCTGTTCAATGAAGTTAAAGCACCAACTGGTAAACCCTTTGGAGTTGGGTCATTCTTGACTTGTTGCAAGTAGCTGTAAATTTCACCTTTGGACAATCTTTGTCCTTGTTCGTTATGAGTTGGAACTTTATAAAAATTGTTTTTATAAACAACAACAAAGAATCTATTGGCATTTGCATCGTAATGTTGAGTAACATCAGATCCTTCAGCTGGAACTCTTGAATTGTTAAACATGTATTTGAATGCATTCATACAGAATGGATTTCCCTTGATGACTTCTGGTTGTAAAGTTTCATTTTGAACTTTTTCAGCAAACTCGATAGTATAATAAGCAATCAAGGTTGCCTTCAATAATTGATCTTGTCCAACAACATTCTTGACGTCTTTATGGGAAAAAAAGTATGACACAAATGGAACAACAGGGTCTCTATATGACAAATACGCATAGTCATCCCAGAATTCAGCCAACCAGTTATCCTTGTCCTTGGCAAAGGAGTTCAATCTTTGTTGTAATTGTTCACCAACACCACCTGGTCTGATAAATTCCTCGACCTTGGCTTTGGAATCCTGTAATTGTTGTTGATTCAAAAATGGTTCAATAGATCTGATGTATTTAGCAGCAGTTTCTTGTAATTCAGGAACTGGTAATTTAGGCAATTGTGATTGTAATTTATAAGTCTCACCTTTTGCTGAACTTGATGAAAATGGTTTTTTGGTGGCTAAAATTGGCATCTTGAATAAGTTTCTTGAAGCTGTAGTTTTATTTAATGATAATAATTGTTGTTTTGTTAGACTTGATTTGAACATAGTAGTAATAGAAAGACACTTCTTCAAAAATTCCTTGAAATCTAACTTGTGATGGTTAAAGGTTAGATTATTCTTGAAGTGTGCAAGTGTATAGGGTTTATATATATATATATATATGTACAATCTATGAATGAAGAAAGTAAAAGGAATGAAAATTTAGTCAATGGGGAAAGAAAAATGTGGATTCTTTTATAACCTTTGATTTTAATTGGTTTGGAAATATATACATACAATACTTATTTTCTAACGCCGGAAAAGAATCTTTGTTTGTGTAATTGTTGGGGGTTCTGCTTTTGTGGGGTGGTTCTTAAGCCAAAAAAAAAAAAAAAAAATTCAGTTAGTAAGTAAAGTTGATATCATAATTTTTTTTTTCGTAAATTGATTGTTATGTATTGCAGTATGGATGTTTATATTGGAAACACCAACTTTTGATACACAATACACGACTTTTGCTTATTTTTACCGAGGTAGAAATACACTACTAGTGATCACAAAATATTCACAAACACACACAACCGTTTTGTTTCAATAGAGCCGCGGGACCTAAACAGTGTCAGATTGCAATGGCTCGTATGTATAGTAAGTACGCTAACTTCGCTATACTAGACCTAAGAAAGGATGGTTCGTTTTGCAGCTTCATGGACTATCTCTTCCAAAATAGTATTTATGGACAGCTTTGCTAATTATGAGCAGTGGCGATTTTTGTTATTTTGCAACAATCTCATGCAAAATTAAAAACAAAATAATTGTAACAGGGGATGGATGAGCCATTACTGCGTCACACAACCAATATCGTGATTGTCTAGTTGGTAGATCCTTCAAACCCTCGGTTCTTATCCCACGCCTTCTTTTTGGAAATTCCGTAAATGTATAGTCATGTGGGAATTGGCAACACCATCAAGGTTTCTTAAGCGCATAACGCCATAATGAATGAAACCAAATGAAGTACTCCAGATATCATTTACGAGAAATGCAATCTAAGAAGTTGTTAACCTCGGACATCAAACTTTAAAACACACATACACACAAAGCGGTTTTGAACTTAAGTAGAGCTGCAGTGAACGGAGTTAAAGATAATTTGAAAACTCGTATCTTCCTGTCTCTCCCTTCTACAAAACTCAATCCTCAATGTTTACATTAAACGACATCTTTCACTCGTTCTTTTGATCTTATGACGTAGTTTGGCTTGAAACGCTTGTCGGCTTAACAATGCATCGGCATTAAAAGTCTCGGCCGATGAGAGAAGGAAAAAAAAAAATTTCATCAAAAGACGTGTAGCCAAGTCCATAATTCATCAAAAAAAAGAGGCAGTATAGGACACCGTAGTGAATAGATCTATCACCTTCCACCAGCCTAACGCATTGGTCGTTCTTTCCTTGCCAGTTCCATGAGTGAGGAGGTTTCTATGATAAGATATGGTGCGGCGATATTCTTTTTCATTTGGTATATCATCATATCCACCGTGGCAAACATTGGATTCATCGAAATTCTACTAAAGTTTAGACACCGAACTTTACTATCATCGTCGTCCACCAGTGCTATTACCAAATCGAAAAGGCAACGTAAATACAAGAAAGAAATTGGGGAAGAAGTTGAAAACAATGATGCCAACTTGACATACGAAGGAGTCACCATAATTCGGCCAATAAAAGGAATTGATCCTGAGCTTAGTTCATGTCTTGAATCTTCATTTGTCCAAAATTACCCACTGGATAAAATGCAAATATTGTTTTGCATTGATGATCCACATGATCCTAGTATTCCAATGATCAAGAAATTGATCAACAAATACCCCACCATTGATGCTGAGATACTTGTGAGTGACAATTTTGATCCCGAGACAAACAGTAGCAGTGAACATTACGGTCCTAATCCAAAAGTCAACAACCTAGCCAAGGGGTTCTTGAAGGCAAAGTATGATATACTATGGGTAATGGATAGTAATGTATGGGCTAGTTCAAATATCTTACGAAATTCGGTGTTTACAATGAATATGAATTTGAATAATGGAAGAAAATTAGGAAGCAAACGTCCTGTTAAATTGGTACACCATGTACCGTTGGCAATGTGTATTGACTCAGATGGTGATGCTAGTATTCCCGATTTAGAGGGAAGGGTGACTCCAACCAATTCGGAAGATGATTCTGATTATGCTTCAATCACTTCACAAAGCTCAAACTTGACCAATAGAAAAGCTTTGGCCAACTCACAACTAAACATAGATCAACAATTAAACCATTGTTACCAAAACCATGAATCCAGGAAGCTACTTGGAGCAAAATTGGATGAAATGTTTCTCCACTCCTCGCATTCTAAATTCTATGTTGCTTTAAACAACTTGTCAATTGCCCCCTGCGTCAATGGTAAATCCAATATGTATCGCAAGTCCGACTTGGACCAAGCAGTCAAGCTCATCCCTTATAAAAACTCTCCCTTTTTCAGTGACACCAAAGTGAAATCTGATGCGCAATACTATACTTCTTTAGGTTTAGGGCATGCCATCAAATTCTTTGCTCGGTACATTGGGGAAGACAACATGATTGGAATTGCCTTGTGGGAAAACTGCAATGGGCGTACTGGGCTAACGGGTGACGTTGTTGTTCAGCCATTGAGTCGACATGACAATACCGTACAAGATTATATCCAGCGTCGTGTGAGATGGTTGCGAGTGAGAAAGTATATGGTGTCATTGGCTACGTTTATTGAACCGACAACCGAATCAATCGTGTGTGGAATTTATGGAACATTTGCTGTATCGACATTGTTTTTCCATCAATGGTTTTCAATCAAGTGGTTTTTAATTCACATGACAGCTTGGTGCTTGTCTGATTTCGTTCAATACAATGTGCTTATAAATCATGCGAAATCAACTGCATCAGCCAATATGACGTATTTACCACGATGGATGGACAATATACATGTTGTGCATTCATTAAGAGACGCTGGTGAGTGGTTACAAGTTTGGCTCTTACGGGAACTTTTGGCATTGCCAATTTGGTTTTCCGCCATGTTTGGCCATGAAATAGATTGGAGAGGGAAGCCTTTTAAGATTAAGAAAGATTTGACTGCAGAAGAGTTGTAAAAATTGGTAATGTTATGTGGGAGACAAGTAAGGGGGTTTGGTTTTTTTTTTTGGCCCTAGTTTGTTGTGGGATATAGATAGATCCGAAAGTTATTCTCTGTATATAAAGCTTGAACAAGGCAAAGGCTGTTTGATAGTAATTTTCGAGTGGGAAAAGAGTCTTTTATTACTTCTTGCCATGTACAATAATATAGAACATTGGTAAAGATCCAGATCAGGAAAGAGCATTTTGTAATTCTTTTTACTTTTGTGTAAGTATCGGGTTTCATTGAAGAATCTCTCACTCCTAATTGTTCTCCTTTTGAGTAATAAAAGTCGAGATTTGCAAAGACTTTTCGAGGAAATGCTAATGTGTGACAATCAGGCACTCTTTATGCAGATTTAACCTAATCTTGTCAAACGAAAGAGTATTCCAATCTGCTCTTTTCCCCCTCCCCCTCCTTCTCCCCCCTGATTTTACACAAGGGATGCACTTTTTTTTTTTTTTGGAATATTATTTTTTCATTCGTCAAGAATTTAGTGTTTGAAAATGTATGATTACCCCGATTAGGAAAAAAAGCAGAAAGATTTAGCTGTCGTTCATATAGAGTTCAGAACGCGCTTTGATTGTACTTTGGACTGTTTGATATTTCTAGAAAATTATGGTAAATAGCTCATCAGTGGGCGTCTGTTTTCTAGAAAATGTGGCACTGTACTGGCGCGTCTCGTAATTGGTGATGTGGACCTCTAGAGACCATCACTTTCAAGCCTTAAAAAAAAAGGGGGATCCCTTTATGCAATCAATCTCGTATACAAAATTTTTACTACCGAGGGGGGGAGGCAAGCAAATATACCATGTGCTCAATCTAAACTTTGCGTTTCATTGCTATGTGCTACTGAGATCAGCAATTTTCACAATCACTGCCTTGTGAGTTCGTCAACACTCTTTTGGGGACAGTGCGTGTGGTGGCCATCTTGGTGGATCTCTGAATGAATGTTTCCCCTTTTTATCTTTTGGTTTTGTTTAAAGAGTGAATGTTATCGGTGTGTGTGTGTGTGTGTGATTTCTTTGTTCTTTTTTAAATCTATAAATAGCACAAACAGAATGGTCAGTTCGAAGTATAACATATCCTTTCCCTCATGTTGGATGCACCAATTTTACGATCAAGATAGCACTGCCTGATTAGTTCAAATACCAACCTCTTCATTAGTCCGGTTTCATTATTTTTTTCACATGCCAGGAACCTTTTCACCAAGTTAAAGTTTAAGTCTCGTAAGAACACACAACCCACACAATAGAGAAAAATTATTTAGTGCCCATTCACACGCACTCACACACGCAGCACGCAACACAACGCACTCACACGTTATTTTTCATTTTCATTTTCATTTTCATTTTCATCGTCTCTGATCAAAGAATAATACTAATCACAACTATATCGTCTACCCCAACAAAATTTTCGATACTCAAAAAGATTCATTTACTGATATATTACCACATCATAGGCTACATAGAAACAAGCCATCCGTTTCATCCGTTACAAACATCAACACAACACTTTAGTTTGCACTCCCACAAACCGAGTTTTGATTATGACGGAGGTAGACACCAGCCAGAGAATCAGCACACACCACCCAAACGGTAGTTATACCTCTCCATCGACCAACTCAAACTCAAACACAACTCAAAGCACTTACACGACACCAAGATCAACTGACAATGTAATCTCTTTGGACCAACCGCAGGGTACATCCCAGAATTATCAGCACAGTCCCGGTTATAATCAACGCGAAGTTTGCAAGAAATGCAACTTGCTAATAATCGAGGGCCATGCATACGAGCTAGGTGAGGACAGATGGCATATTGATTGTTTTAAATGTTCCAAATGTGGCACGTCGCTAGGTTGTAATTCAAATTTTCTAGTTTTGGGGAATGGAAACTTGATTTGTTCCAACTGTTCATACAATTGTAAGCAATGTGGAAGAAAAATTGATGACTTGGCAATATTAACTGGCGATCAGGCTTATTGTTCCAGTTGCTTCAAATGCCGTTCGTGTAAACGAAAGATTGAGGATTTGAGGTATGCAAGGACTTCAAAAGGATTGTTTTGTATGGATTGCCATGAAAAGCTTATGGCGAAAAAGAAGCGGTACGATGCTAAAAAGAGACAGTTGGCAACATTGCAAGAGAAACAGAGCCAGTCTCTGTTAGTCGGAGGAGGAGGAGGAGCCGATACAAGGACCCTCGACGATTATAGAAGAGCATCAGCTAATAGCTCCAGAAACAGCTTGATTCAAGCGTACATGACCAATACCTATAATAGTGAGCAAAACAAAAGCAAATCCACCACCAGTCTTTATAAACAAGGAGATAACAATTCGCAGCTGTCGATGAACTCAAGCAAATACAAGTCTTTGCCAAAGGCGCCTGTGCAGGAATCTTACGCCAGTTCAAATTCCCCCAATAGGCAGGATAATCGAACTTCCAATGGTTATAGCAACCAACCATCGCAGGAGCAAATTCTGTCACGGGGCTCGTCAAGTCATTCTCACGTTTCCGAGAGGTCTCATAGTCAAGAAGTGATACGCGATAGACCAGGAAAGAGGAATAATGGAAATCCTAGTCCCGCAGTGCTTCTGCCGGAAAATGATTTTTCTATTGAAGAGGTGCAAAATAGCTCAGATTCTGATACAAATGAGGAGCCTGGTAGTAAACAAACCAAGGGCACTTCATTGAGAACCAAAGCGACAAACTTCAAAGGTCAGCTCGATTCACGGTCTAGTCATAACTCGCCTGTTAATGCTACTACTTCAAAAGATTCACAATTGACGAATGCCGACAATTCTGTTTACTTGGATTTTCTGGATGCCATCTCCGACAACCCTCCAGCAAGATCAAAACAGCGCAAATATTCAAGCAACAATCAGTTAGATGCACCGGCTGATTTGAAGCCGTCATCCAGTAGAAATGGAGATCCGACAAAACACCTTACTCCGCAAACTGTACCTCAAGAAGTTGCTGGCGATGTCAAGAACAAGAACTTGTTGATTTTGTCACCAGGACAGTTTCATGATCATGAATTTCATAGTGCTACTATGGGCTCTCCATTGATTGATTCTCCTGGTACGTTGCTCAGTAGAAGTTCGAGTAATGATAACAGATTGAAAGCGCAAAGCTTGACTATTGAACAAGATCAATACTCGAAATCGCAATGTCCTTCTCCTTATGCGAAAGCAAACAGACAGGCAAGAGTAGTGGAAATGAATGACGAAATACAAACAGATGCAGTACCTGTTGATAGTGACATTACAGTGAACCTGGGTCTGGCATATGCCACCCCACAACAACTGAGACACCGAGCAACATCTGGAGCAGGAACTGGAAATGGTGGCACAGGGCCCATTGGTGCATCGTTGTCCTCGCCACCTCCTAAAGTTCCTGTTCCTAATACGCCTACGCGAAATAGGGAACGTTTGCAAGCATTGAAATTTGACGAATCTGTTGCATATGGATTGGGTTTAGAAGGGGTTACCTATAGTGATGATTCAAACAAGATGGCCATGGATCAAGAAGCTGAGCAAAGAGAGTATATGAGACAGTTACGTCAGCAGCAGGAACAAGAACAAGAACAGCGCGGTGGTCATTCTGTGCATCTGACACCACAGAGATCAAAAGAAGAGTATTCGAATAAACCATCGAGAAGTGAGTACATGCCAGCTCCATTTTCAATCAACCAGTCGCCGCGAATTATTGGCAACGTGACTCCAGCAGTTACAAACTTGGAAGAGGAAAATGATCAGGAACAAACACCAGCAGCAACACTTGGCGGTGGCGGCGAGCTGCCGCTGCAACCACAAAAAGTATCTCGCACGACATCCATTATTCGTAATTTGAAGCACAAACGTTCTGTATCTGGTGGAAACAGTCAATCGAAATTTGGATTTTTCAAGTCATCACCAAGGGAAGATATCGTCAAGGGCCAATCATCTCATACTAGACATATATCCGATGGATCAATTGCAAGTAGTACCCTTGCTGGTATCAATTCTATACACTCGCATTACTTTGTATCACCAAATCAAGCTGACAACAAGAGCAACACCAGTGGACTCGATAAATTCAAGGTGCCATACAGTCAAACCCATGCAAGACTGACTTCTGATTCAACCATGTTTTTCGATGGCGATCCATTTGACATTAAAGCCATTAAAAATGAAGTGCAGAAACTATCAGCTGAAAAATTGAATTTGGATTTAGATATTAAGCGATTGAAGATGGACAAAGCAAAACTTGGTGATCAATTGAGATCCATTCAACTGAATTTAACTGATGAAACTATAAAGTATGATAATTTGGTTAATGAAGTGAGGGATTTGGAAGAGAGGAAAGTTCAGTTGACACAACAGAATAAAGAGTTGGTTGAACAGCATGAACATCTCAAGATTACGCAAAAGCAGGATCGTCAAATGAGACATAATCAACAAGCGTCTTTGTCTACTTTGCATAGGTTTGGAAGTAGTGACTCGGAGGCTTTGGGTGATGACATGTCAACTAGTTTTAGTACAACTGCTTCAACAGTGGGTAGGGATGGTAAAGGCGTGGGATATAACGAGCAGCATCTTGCGCGCCAACGTCAACAACCATTACAACTGCAACAACTGCAACAACTGCAACAGCAACATCAGCCGCCATCTGCACCACAATCGAATGTTGCTGAAGATGAACAAACGCATAAAGCAACGAGGTTGAAATTTTGGCGAAGAGCAAAGACTGGTGCTGCGCAAGTTGTCTCCACCAAAAATGACAGTGGCAGTGGCAATAGCAATATATCTGCACCTTCAATGCCACATAGTGGCTCAGCACAATTACGAGTACCGGGATCAGGAAACAACAATAATAGCAATGGCAATGGCAATGGCAACGGCAGCGGCAACGGCAACAACAATGGCTTGGGTACCAGTAGTAAATTCAGTCGATCCACATCAACAAATATCCTAGACTCCTTCTTAAACAGTGATTACAATGGTTCCAATTCAAGTGGGTTACAATTGACGAAATCTAAGTCAGCAAGTTCATCCTTAGTTTCATTATTCAACTCCACGTTACAACAACGGGCCGAGTACGAGAAAACTCCCATCCCATTGATTGTTACTCGATGTTTGATTGAAGTTGAGAAACGAGGATTGGAAGTTGAAGGAATCTATCGTATATCAGGCGGTAATTCTGCCATCGTTGCTATTGAAAATGCCTTTAGCAATTTGGGACAAGATCCTGATGATAAGCAGTTGCTGAAATTGAATGATCTATTGGAATGTGGTGATATACATGCAGTTACTTCGGCTTTGAAGCGGTATTTGCGTAAATTACCTGATCCAGTTATACCTATATCACATTATGATGAATTTATTCGGATTGCCCATTTGCAGCAGCAACAGCAGTCACAACAGAACAAGGAAGCTAGAATCGATGCATTGAGTGCATTAGTGCAAAAATTACCAGTGGCTAATAGATCAGTATTGCATATACTATGTCAACATTTACATAAAGTTGCCGCATTACAAGAAATAAATCGAATGGGGGTTAAAAATCTTAGTGTGGTGTTTGCGCCAACTTTAGCTAGAGATGAGACTGGCGAGCGAGAAATGGCTGATATGGGTAGTCGAAATGACATGACTGAGTTGTTATTGACTGAGTTTAATAAAGTGTTTAGACAATTTTAGAAACGAGAAAAAAAGGAAGGGGTAGGGTTTTCAATGGACAAAAAAGATTAGGTTTTGTATTTACTTTTCTCTATGTGATGTGATCCCTCTATGTACGGATGCAAGTTTAAAAAATATATAAAATGAATGAGCAGCCCTTATCTCTTCTATCAATGTATATCTTTAATTTGTGGATTCAGAAACATTTCAAACCTTCGATGTCCTACTCGAAGTAAATGTTCAATCGTACTAAACTGCTTCTTTGGTAAATGATGATACTTGGCAAATTCTTCTCGTACATAGTTTCTCCAATGTGGTTGAGTGGGTTTAGGTTTGGTGTATACGCATCGAAGACATTGGCGATATAGATGTAGTACTTCCTTTTGTAGTCCTGAAAGCCTTGCCATTTTTAACTATGGCTATTCTTTGGTTCTCAATGAATTTGATGTAAAGCACTAAACGGGTACTTTTTCTAGGCAGATTTTTGATTAGATTGATGTAGTCTGCGTCCCAAGTTACCTTTAATTCAATGACGACAGTGGTGACGATATCTTTAATGTGGGGAGGAAGGGAAGAATGTGTACGAAGGTTGAAGAATTTAAAGAAGCAACAAGAATGAAGAAAGTGAGAGAGAGATGGAAAATATGGGTTGTTTAATGACGCAAAATCAATGTCACATGTCTCCGATATTTGAGTGACGTAAAGCATTGTTTTGTGACAATGAACAAAGATCATGGATTTCATCATGTGCATTGTTGTTGCATGAGTGGCACTGTGGGTGATACGTCACTGTTGTGTTGAGGGTTCAATTCTTGTGCTGTTGTGGCTAAGGCAGGTGCAAAAGTGGCATGACATGAATAAACTTGCGTCTCTAATATATAGATTGCCTTTCAATTTCCTAGAGATGGGGGGCTATAAGCTATATAATTGCAGTCCAATTGATTTGACTACCTCTGATTACAAGGGGGGGGGTTAACTTTTCCATAGGTGATTTGGAAAGAGTGAAAATTGCGGTATCATTTATTCCAAACAGGTTCAAACTTTCCTTGACTCTAACCCCACTCTGACCTCAACCTGCATTTGGTACGCACTTCTGAGCCAAAAGTAGAAATCAATCGCTGGATAAAAGCTTGGTGGTTTGGAGTTGCTATCTTCCTTTCTCTCTCTCTCTCTCTTTGGTAAAATGAATAGTTTGCCATTTCTCTACGTTTGATTTTCTAGTCCAATTGCTTACAACAGTTCAATTACTCTTTGTAAATCTATACAATGCAAGAATTATGTCCTTCTGTTGCTGTGCTTATGATATCGACTCTATCAGAACCAAACGGCATTTTTTTTTTTTTTCGTTGCATATATATATATATACACATATGAGATAGCGTTTCGTTACCAAACACGCAGAAATGCATTAGATACACCCATAATCAACTGATAGTAAGTACTACTAAGCTTCTATTGGAGTAGTAGTAGTAGTAGTAGTAGTAGTAGTAGTTGTTGTTGTTTTTGGTTCCTTTTGGTTGTATCTTCCCTACAAATATTGTTAACTATGTACATAGAAAGAATAAGAGTAGGATAACGATAAATTGACATCACACACCCACACCCACGCCCACGCCAAAAACAACTACAACAACATCATCATCAACAACAACAACAACAACAACAACATCAACAACGACAACGACATCAACATCAATTTAATTTAATTTAATTTTCGATATATATTCTCGCTCCTTTTTGTCGACAAAAATTTATAACGCAACAAAAAAAAAGAGAAAAATATAGTATATACTGTTGTTACATTTACAGTTTTTAAAGAGGAGGAGACAAATCAATCAACTAACTAACTAACCGCTCTCATTCTCTTCTTATCAAAGTATCAGTCATTATTTGGATAATCAAAGCCAATGGCTCATGATTTGAATAAAAGAAGTCAGCAAAATATACCACCACCACCACCACCACAACTAGCTATGCAAGGCTTACAACCAGATCATCATCAGTATCAATTTATCCTGTCAAATGGTAACAACAGCAACAACAACAATAACAACAACAACAACCTACATGGACACATTAATAATCAACTTCCACCACAGTCATCGGCAATATTAACACCAGGAGCAACAGCAGCACCAGTAGCACCAGGCACACCACAACAACACTTGCGTTACAATTCAAATAGTGGCAACATTCGAACTACTAATATGCGCAAAGCTGCTTTCAATCACATGAGAACACCAACACCATCATCTTATGAAATACCATCCAGCCCAAAAGTAAGTCATCAAAACACTGTTTTACTCCAGCACAATCAAAATCATTCCGACCTGTCTGATAGTAATAACCCTATTTTGGATCTGGTTGCTCATGATGTTGATTCAAACAACACACGACCACACTCCCTAAGGCTGAAGTTGGCACAACCTAATCAACAACAACAACAACCTATTGATCAGACTATCTACTCTGAGCAAAAGCAGCAACAGCAATCGCCAAGACGTCAACAGCAACTGCAACTTCAGCAGCTGCAGCAACTGTCACAGCAGCAAAGAGCCATGTCGGATGAGGAACAACAATTGGCAACAAAGTTGAAAGAAACTTATAAAAACATTGTCAATTACGAGGAAGTTGTACAAAAGAATTGCATAGAAATCACCATCAAAATTAACCAACTTACAGCTACGTCAAACCCAAGCATGCTTTACGGTAACCAACTAGTGAATCAAAACCTATCGAGCTCATTAAACTCTAACTCGTCGCTAAATTTCAATCCAACAAGAACATCAGAACTACTGAATGATCTTTGGACAGTTTACCATCATAATATGACATTATTAGATAATTACTATGATTTCTTGGTAACATCATTAAAACCTTCATCAAATCAAACCCAATTCAAAACAGGTAAAAACATTGTCGAACTATACAAGATTCCTAGAAGGATGTGGGTTTATGGCATTGTTGGATTCTTGGAAGTTTTGAAAAACATAATGGGTATTTTTCAAGACCATGAAATATGCGCTTGCTTTATCTCCCATTGTTTTAATATCATTTCAAACTTGACTGACCCCATTTTGGAGATGGAAGGTTGGTGGGCAGAGAAATTGGGAGATTTATCTCGAATGGCAATAGCATTGTATTCATCTAAATTCATTGATTGGAAAATCAGTGCCGAGTATTGGTATTCTGTTTCAATGAAGACCCTTTATGGACATGGTAAAATTCATTATCACATGTGTACTGTGCAACAAGACAATTTGGATGCATTGGTTAACATCAGCAAGTCAGTCACTTGTCGTGATCCATTTGTACCCACACAACACTATTTAAGATTAGTTGTTGAGAACATTTGTACTCAACGAAATATTCTTTCATTATTAGAACTCCCCATAATTGACTTTATCAAAATTCACAAGGTCTTACTCAGCATATACAATGGTAGAAACAGTGAAGGTGGTGGTACCTCAGTGGAAAATATTCATGACTCGCAATTACAATACGGAATAGATTTAGTCACTCGGTATGGATTAACATTTGGTTCTGATTCCAATGGATACAATTTCTTTACTCGAGAGATTTACAGTTCAGGAGGAATGACAATGAATGATTCACTGGGACAACTGTATTATCAAAAGTTGCCGCCGCAACATCCACTGCAAATACCTACTCAATTACCACCACATTCAGTCCAAGCGCCATCAGCAACAAATACATTGGAAAAGATGAATTTCTGGTTCAATAAAGGTTCATTATTTGCCATTTCTAATATCAATCATTTAATTGGATTTGGTGATGCCAAGAACCCATTTGCCAAACTCTTTGAATTGCCAGAAGCATTAAAGGAGAGAAAGGACAAGAAGGATAGGAAAAGGAAATCAAGAAGTGCATCACAAACGGAAGATGTCATTTCATCTAATGCTGGTAACAGTAGTAATCCCAGTGCCGGTAATGGCGTTGGTGGCGTTGGTTCAATGGCTGGCGGCACGGGTAGCGGTGCTGCTGCTGCTGCTGGTGGTAATGCTGGCGGAGTTGACGGTCAATCTGTAGTTGCGGCCCATTTGCACAACTATGATTGGTTTTACAGTTTGGAGTTTATCAATAAATCTGTATTGGAGTTGTCAATGAGAATATTGAATCATTACTTGGTGGGTCCAAAGCAGGCATCTACTGGTCATGTTATTGTTTGGTTATATTTCCTCATTTGTGTCGGGGAGGGAGTCAAGAAATACCCTGTATCCAAACCCATGTTTGATTGGTTATTTAAAAACTTGTTTCCGTGGGAATCTTTTATCAATTACTTGAACTCGTTATTGACATTTGTTAAAAACAACCCCAAGTTGTGTTCATTATATACGCAATACTTACAAGTTCCATATATTGCTTGGTTTTGTGAAAATGAGTTTCTTCCTGAAGTTTGGAAATGTTGGGGTACTTTATGGTTTGATTTCATTTGTGAAAAGGGTGATTATGTCGATGTTGAGGAAGCAGGAGTCAAGAATAATAACTTGTTTGATTTACCCATTAGTGGTACGTTCCCAGTGTTGAACATGCCCAATGATTCATTTGATCAAAAATCGAGAAATCAAATGGAGAATGACAATGATGAACGAATTGTTCGTATCATTTTGTTGGCTAGAACATTGGCTGATGAATATGATTTTGGATTGGTGAGGACAAGTGCTGATTTCAAGTTTGATGAAGGTGCGTACAACAAGCCAACAACTGATCCATTTGCTGAACAGTTCATAAATGATGATCGGTTCACAACGAATAATTTCGTTCAACCAATATCACTGGAGAATTTGACTAATGAAATCAATACTAATCTCACGCCTTTACAAAAGGATGAATTGTGGTTTGGTGGATTGGACAGTCATTTGTATGAGGATGAAAATTTGGAACTTGAAGATGACATCATTGATGATGATGAGGAAGAGGAAGAGGAAGAGGAGGAGGAAGATGATGATGATGACGATGATGGTGCAGAGCGTGACCATGAAGATGACATAATTGGGGATGAAGACGACGATATTCGTTATGATGATGGAAACGATTTGGAAAAACATTATCCGGGGCTCTCTGCAAATTATAGTTTTAATCATTCGGGCGGAGGAGGTGGGGGAGGTGTTGGCGCTCAAGGTGGCAATGATATGCTTTACAATGATGCATTTATTGGTACACCAGCTGATCCATTGACATTGGGCACTTTAAACAATGATGACATTGAAGGAAATTTCGGCGACAAGATTGATAGTAATATCACTTATATCACATTGGACACCAATATTTGGCTTAAGCATTGTGGACGAATTTTCAAATGTGTACGTAATGGGGTTTTGAAAATTACAATTCCATTAATTGTGTTTCAAGAGTTGCGAGCATTGAGAAAATCAGCCGAGGCTACTATTGCTGATGCAGCCACTAGATCAGTCATTATCATTCGTGAACTTTATCTTACTAGAGAAGTTGTCCCCTTGAGATTTGATGGTACTGTTGCTTCTGATATTAATGAAACCATTGAATTTGAGAATAATTCCAATTGGAGATCTAATGTTGATGAAACGATCTTACATGCAGTCAATGAACACGATGAAATGGGCAAACGGTTAATGAAGGGACTCAATATGAGGTTGTCACCGTATACACGTTCCTCGCCGGTGCACCACAATGATGAATCGTATCAGTACTATACAGGCTCAAATCAGCATCAATCACAACAACAGCAGCAACAGCAACAACAACAGTTACCCCACGGACACTACGATCATTACTCACGTCTAGAGGAAGGTCATCATCACGCACCATATGGGCACAATAATCCTAATAGCCACCACCACCCGCACCACTACAACCCAACATCATCTTCATCATTGGCCTATCTCAAAAAGGATTCACCAATTTTGAATTCACGCATGGCCAAGTCATTCAAGTATTGTATCTTGATTACTGATGATCGTAACATGCGATTACGGGCAAAGACAATTGGATTGACTTCGTTTCAGAGTAAATGGTTGTTTAGTCAATTGGAAACGGTATTTGCAGATAGATGTATAGATTAAAACGAGAGAAATGGAAAGAAGTGGATGGATGAAGGGGGAGAAACAATGCATATAATTACAGTTACAATATATACAAAATCGAGAGTGGCAGATTCTTTTTTCTTCTGTTTGGTGGATTTGGACCCTGTATCAACTATTTTTAGATCCATTGGTTGTCATGTGCTGATGCAAAAGATGGTTTCCAGACTTTCCCAAAGAGGAAAAAAAAAGTCAACGTGTACAACCTAAAATAGCTCCAGCTCAAAGAGATTTTACAGTTCATACATAGTGAAACGAAAAAACTCATTAGTACGGGAAGTGAAAGTCCCAAAGCAGAAAGCCTTACCTATGCGACACGCAATCACAAATTGTAGTAAACTATTTTTCACAGTAATCGTAGTCCCGCCCCCACACACCACTATGGAAGGAGATCCAAAACAAATCTCGTCACAAAAATAGCCCCACCTAGTGACGTAAGGGACCCAATGTTATCTATAGTAATGACGTAGTGTTGGCATCTTCATATGAAAAAATGGCTGGTTGAATGTTTCCCCAATGATAATATATTTACTCGTTCCGATTATAGGTCCAATACTCTCAATTGAGTTTAATAATGAGACGTTAGTTGCACAAAAACAAGACGCGAGTCAAAATAAAAAAAAAAAAAAAAAAAATAAAAAATTAAAATGTGCTGGTCATAATCACCAAGAAAAGTAAAAAAACAGAAAAAAAAGGTAAAAACGAGAAAATGTATATCACATAGTTAGCTCATTTATTGGCATCTATATTTATTGTCTAAAGATGGCTTTGTCTTGAAAGATGTAGCATAATAAGGGGGTGGTACATGGAAAAACATTGTACGTTTTTTGCGGGAGGCAAAATATATAATTTATCTACGTTAGCTAACTTTGGAAAATAGCTTGTTGCATCATATTTTCACAAACCTCTTTTACAGTTGGGCACCCCGTCTCCTTGGTATTATCGGTCGAGAAGACATGGGTGGGTTGTAGGTTGAGTAAGAAGTGGTATGTGTCAGTTTTTGGAGGACTAGAGTAGTGTGATATATTTGTTTGTTTTCTTTACTCAAAGGAAGGGGTGATGCAATAGAAATGGTTTAATTTTTTCGTTATTGTGTTCTTTAGCGTACCTTTTTAGTATTATTGTTTTTATTTTTTATTATTTTTCTTTTGCAGTTTTATTTTCTTTGTTGCACCAGTGAAATATGAAACGAAAAGACTGAAAGATGGGCCAATATGCAAAAAAGAACCAAACTGTTGTATCTCCTTTCAATGTAGAATATATAAAGACGTTACATTTTCCTTTTTTTTTTAAAAAAGTTCACAATCCTTTACTCTTTTATTCCAAAACTTTATCGTCACTTATTTCAAGGTATTCACTCCTTTTATTCAAACCTTTGTCATCAAACTCCATTCTAGTTGTCCTGTTTGCAACATCCACTCCTTTCATTACCAAAATTCACACGCTCCTTTCAAGTTCCCACTTGTACAATCATTTTAATTAGATACCATTAAAAACAACAATATACTGAAAAAATGAGAATTACATACCTTGCGGCCCTCGCCAGTTTATTTACATTTATTAATGGAGCTCCAGCACCAGGTGTTCACACTGTCTTTGTTACTGCTTACACCACCGTCATTGTTGACCAAAGTGGTGTCACACATACGCCTACTTTAGCCACTACTGAAACAGCCGATGCTGGTGCTGGTGCAAATACAGACGAAGCTGCACTTTCAACAACTTCAATTTCAGATGTTGCCCCACCAACGACACTGACTTCCCAAAACATCCTTCCATCAGATAGTAACACCATTGCTGAATCTCCATCATCATCTTCACCTTTACAATCACAATCACTGGCCGTTTCTTCATCTGAACCATCTGGCTCAGTTCAATCAGGAGAAGGTACTTACTACAGCACCGGAATGGGTGCATGTGGAGTTACTAGTCAGGATTCCGATTACATTATTGCCATCTCGCATGAGTTGTATGATGAACACGATGTTGACAACAACCCCAACCATAATCCATTATGTGGTAGAAAAATCAGAGCTCATTATCAAGGCAAGTCTGTTGATGTCAAAGTGGTTGATAGATGTGAAGGTTGTGCTTATAACGATTTGGATTTCTCCCCTTCAGCATTCACTCAGTTGGCTGATAAGAGTTTGGGTAAAATCGATATCACTTGGGAATGGTTGTAGTTTGTATACAATTTTGTGAATTGATATAGAAAAAACGTGCTCTTCACTATATATGTAGTCCTTTAACGATGTCTAATACCTACAAGATAATAATGTTACAAAAAGTCTAAAACACCCAGTTCAAATAACTCTTCCACCTGCTCTTCTTTTCATCTTGACTACTTTCCTCCATTTGTGCATAAAATTCAGCTTCATGAGCCTCAATCTCATCAAGACCAGTTGTCAAATCGGCATCTCTTGGTTTGATAAATTTGGTCCTTTTGAAAAGTTTCCATGCAATAAACACAGCCAATGAAACAAAAATCATAACATAACTGAATAGGAAATCGTCAACTTTCCACATACCTGGTAAAAACACTTGGTATCCTAAACATCCAATAATGCACCAATAAATGAATGTAGCGAAATAAATGGAATATGGTTGGAACCATGATCTATAAGTGAATTTTCTTCGATCAATGCCTTGTGCTTTAACGGCATGATAAAACCCAATATATGTTATACCCATGAATCCATAATTGAGAATTTGAGCACCAGTGACCAAATTGAACATATAATTTAATGCAACACTTCCAGATCTACCCAATTGTAATAATGACAATAATGCAAAACAACATGAAAGGAGAACACAATAAATAGGAATACCCTTTTTGGTACAAATTCTGAAAAATTTAGGAACAAACCCCTTTTTCGCCAAATTGTATAAACATCGAGATGATGTATAAGTGTATGAACAACCAGCGGAAAACGCTGCTGTGACAATGACTGCATTGACAATGTGCGATAGCACTTGAACTCCCATATTTTGCATGGCAACAACGTATGGTGAAGAAGCACCATTGGCACTTGCTGACGTTAATTCAACATATCTGGGGTCATTGTAGGCAATCAAGATTGAAACTGATAATGCTCCCCCAACGTAGAAAAACACCAAACGATACAAAACAGTTCTAAAAGCAATCGCCATATTGACTCTAGGGTTGACACATTCACCAGCAGTCATACTAACGTATTCACTTCCAACACAAGTGAAAGAACTTGATAATCGAAGCGAAGCCAAGAACCCTTGAAATCTACCCAAGCTCCCCGTAGCATACTTCATTCCAATGGGGCCACCAGCCACATGCCAGTTTCTAAACCCAAATGCATCATGTTTGGGATTACCACCACACATGGTGATCAATGTGAAAAATAGCAACCCTATGCAAAGAATCAACTTTGCCAATGAAAACCAAAATTCACATTCACCAAATACTCTTACCGCATACATGTTGATGACAGCGTATATGACAATTTGAATAACAAATGTAATTGCAGGTGAATAGTCATCACGCCAAAAATGAATAATGGTATTAACGGCAGTGATTTCGGTGGGGATATAAAGTGCCTGCATCAACCAAAAATTAAGAGGCAGCAGCTTCAAAAGCAGGATCAATGACCCTACCTGCCATATTTAAGAACGGCGAGTCTACTGGCATGTACAGCACCATTTCTCCCGTGGCGGTTGTCAACAAAAGAACCAACAATGTTGATATGCAGTACGACATCAAGAGCCCCAATGGCCCTCCATTGACTAAACCGGTGGTACCAATGGTGACAAATAACCCAGTACCAATTGAACCACCAATGGCTATAAGTTGCAAATGTCTATTGTACAATGTTCTTTTTGTAGAACCAGGACCATCTACGCTCGAAGCTTTATCGGTGTTGTAACTAGATGTATCAGTGAACAATTCTTGTTCTTCATTGGATCTCTTGTTGAGTGCTTTCTCATTGAGGGAGTTTGTGTCCTTTTCGACACTTTGTTTGTCGTTTTTCTTAAACCACATGAGTAATGGTAATCATGTGTGGGTTTGGAGAAATGTCTCTATATGTAAAGAACAGGAAATTGGGAAGGAATGGTGTAGCTTGTGAAATGGAGAGTGATCTCAAAATGATGATGGTAGGAGAATGTACAATTGTTAAATATAAATAAAGAGAAATTCAGACCAAAAGCTAAAAGTCCGTAAAAAGTATCTTCTCGCTTTCTGTGGGAACACAGACCTTTATTTATCTGATTTTGGGTTCTTCGATAGATTTACAACTATAGATTGTTTATTGTTATGAAAATTTTTAAATGCAAAAATTGAAATAAAAATAAAAAACAAAAATAAAGAATGCAAAATTGCATTACAAATAGCACTGCAGCAGTTTATTTATTAAGGCTTTTCCCCGTACATGAGAAGAAACTGACGGCATTCCCGACGTAGCTATGACAGATGCAGCTTTTGTTTCTTTTTGTCTCGCAGTGACACTTGCTCACATTATCGTGTAAACCAACAACCGCTGATAAATCCACATTGTGTTTTGGGTTGATTGGGTCATCCGTAAAGTCTCCTTTATACAATAAGAGTAAAATGATCCGTAGACCGATTCCCTTTGTCTTTGTTTTAGGCGTTTTTCCAAATGCTGCAGTTTTGCCGCTGTGCAAAACCAATCTATGCTTTTTGACAATAAGGAATCCGCGGTTGCACAAAAAATCCAAAGCATTAGAAAAGAAATCAGAGACTTTCTCTTTGAAGAAGCTTGGAGTCTTTATGACGAAAGACAGAATTAGATGGTAATAGCTATGAGAGAGCCTACAATGGTAACTGAACTACTGTGCCCTTGGGTGTGTATAACATCTTGCGCTTTGGTGCCAAAGTTACGAATCTCGTATCTAGTTTCGTTATGACGTAACTTCCTTACACTTTTTTAAGTGGGCTTTAGACTGCATAAAAACTCTATACGCACATATGCCTAAACTTACATATGGAACCGCATGATCCCCTCCACCAACAGCTCACTAATCTTAGCTATTGCTTACGCACCAACAGTGCTTCATCCTATAGCTGTTTTCTCCATCATATGTTTTGGGTATTGCACTTAGTAGAGCAATTAGGAGAAAAAGAAATTTTGATTTTATTGTGTTTTTATGCAAAGTGCGCGATTGTGACACATTTCAAACAAAATTCCGTTCATTGGCTCAAAAGAAACGAAATTGCGAGTTTTGTATTGTCGTTTATGTCCGAGAACATTGGTCACGGGATGTCAACTATGATCAACACAAGAGAAAAGTGGGGTGTTATACCATTTTTGGTCAAATTATACTTATTTGGAATGTGGAGATCGAAACGAGTTGATCAAGACCCATAATGTTGAGGTTTTCTTCTATCAAGACTAAGCTTATTTTTTTTTAACTTTTTTGACATTTTATAAGTCGAATTTACTCATTGTAAAAAGATTTTCTTGATCAGTCTTGTTTGGTTACTACTCGTAACATAGTGGACCATAGTATAGGCTATTTAGAATGAGTTGGTCTAAGTATTGATTTGAGCACACTTACACTACTTTTCGACCATTAAATACCGCATGACTATTCTACATACGGCAACTTAGCTCTTGACTAAACCATTCTAAACTAAATGGCCATCAGTTTCTTGCAGCTCGTTTGCATAAATTGATATGATTTACACTACCTATATGCATAATGGGTTATAGTTGCTACCGATGAGAATTTTTTGCAATAGAAATGCCTCTATTCGTCAAGCGACACGACCTTTAGAATCTTCTCACACGACATTAAAGTTGAGAAAAATTTTACATCTAGTTCTTTATGAACTCACAAGAGTTACACAATGACCCACCGGGTTTAAGTAATATTTGTAATTAATAAGAGAGAACTCAAGCGTGCGGGAATTACCGAATTGCCAATTCGAAACTGCGATTCCAGCATTCATACAATAGAGATCACGAAGGAGTAGAACAATGGTTATGAGAAAGTGATAAGTATGTTAAGTCGCGTAAGATCTAAATGATATGAGCCTTCAGTCAGGGGTACCACACCTAAACCATTTTTAAAAACTTTGTCTGTTGAGTTGAAACCTTAAATTTTTGAGTAATCTAATTCGACAGTCGGAAATGGAGTCTATACAATCCCTTGAAATTGACCTATTCATATCGCCCTTCCAGAATCACCAAAGGACAAAGGATGCAACACTTCAATAAACGGAGCAGAAGCAAAAAAAAAAGGAATGCTCCCAGACAGGGAATTGAACCCTGGTCTACCATGCGACAAACGGTAATTCTAGCCACTAAACTATCTGGGACAATTTTCTTCAAAAAATCCTTGAGGCTTTCCAAAAGGGCACATAATACACTTTTCGATGTAGAAATACCATAACTCCAACAAACAAAATTGGTCCAATATCATTTAGAGTTGAATAAAAACGCATAAAGACTTTATACACGAAAAGCCGTCGAGGAAGGAAAAAGTTTTGGACTTGCTCACGCAATTTTGAACAATAACTATATATATTGTCACCAAAGATAACGCTTCAGATTAGATACACGGCTTCTCTAGGTAGGATAAGTGGGGAGTTGGAAAAAATCGGCAACATGGAAGAGCTAGAGTATTCTCATAAAATACTGAATCAACAATATCAACCACTTTCCTGTTTCCCCATCTCATCTTTAAATTTTACAATTAAATTATGACAACTTACAAATAAAAAATGTAATCCATAATTAACCTTTATTAAATATTATAAACCTATCTCAATCCATTATGTATACCTATTTCAAGTTTGTAAAATCAATTTCACCTTCTCTTTCTCCATGACAATGAGCATCGGCACCACATGTACATGAATCCTTTTCACGCTTACCACATGGGCATGCATCTGATGCTGACGGCGTTACATTCTCTTGAGCAGCTTTTTCACAAACACAATGGTTTGCTGGATGTGCACCACAAGAACAGGTTGCCTTTTGAGCGCATACGCAATGAGAAGCTGTGCAAGAAGTCATTATAATGTAAAAGTCTTTGTAGTTGTATGAACGGAAAGGAAAAAGTATTAGCAAATGTTGGTCCTTCAGATGGATTCCTTGGTTTATTTATAATCTACAATTTGGGTTTTTTTTTCCATTTTTTTGCAGTCATTTTTGCATGGTTCCAAACCGCATGATGCGCGACACACATTTTGTGTGCCGCAGCTGACCAATCAAAATCGAATAATTTGTCATCACTCCTAAACAAAAGTAATCATCTTATCTTTTGTCTTATCAATTTTGAGGTTTTCAAGGGAATTTTCATATTAGGGAACAAAGATGTCCCCCTAGTTCTTGGCATAGAAGGTCTCTGCACTTTGTATCAGACAAGCATTGTTTATGATTTGCATCATTTAAGTAACTATATCAAAGGCTGTGCTTGTTGCATGGTGTAGCACGTATTAGCCACTAACAACATCAATTATAATACATTTACCAGAACTATATCCCCACTACCCCTCTATATATCAAAGGTTAGAAAGCTTCTTCCAACGCTCCTTAAATGGACCCAAATCACCAGTCAATGTTTCCGTGACTTCCTTCGTTCCACCATGGGTTGTATCAATGGTTGCATCAACCAACACTTCTTTGACTTCAGTGTCCTCCTTGGATCCATCATCTCTCACGCTTGAAATTCCTTCAGCATAAATTTGGGAAATCGATCGTGAATAATCGCTGTTGTCATCATTATGCGCTGCATTGGCGTTCGAATTTCGTTTGCGTCGTCTCAGTGATTTATCTAGAAAGACGTTATCCTCTTCAAGGGTCTCACGACGATCACTTGACCTCCTTTCAATGGACCTTCTTTTACTTGATCCTTGTGCTGGTGGAGTTTGTGACCTTTTTCTTCCACTTTTCAATTCAATTGTGTTCAATGCAGGCAACGGGTCCTCACTTGAATCACTTTCCAATGGTGGTCCAGAACTTGGTTGATTTGCATCACTTTCTAATCTTGGTGGCTGTAGATCATTTTCATCTTCGTCATCTCTCACGGCTAATGGCGTATTGGCAGATGAGTTACTATACCGGGAGGAGGAATATTTTGGAGTGTTTGGGAACTTTTGCAAATGCCCTTCATGATCTGAACTGCGACCGGGAGTTTGTTGACTGGGGAGTCTCGATACTTCACTACCTATTTCAGATTGCAACACGGGTGGTTCAGGAAATGTGGGGGACGAGTTGAGTAAGTTTTGAATTGCTGTATTTCTGGATGTGATCGGAGTTCTTTGCTTGCGAGGTGATATGGAAATCCTGTGTAAAGCATCGAGTGATTGACGTATTGTTTGGACTCGCATTGGCGATGCTTTCAGATGACGCCTTGTTGGTGATAGTCTAGTGCCATAAGAGTTTGGAGGTTCCAAATGAACATTTTCTGGCAATTTTTCCATTTTCGGCGCTGCTGCAAATCTTGATCTGTGCAGTTGCGTTTGTGGTTGCCCTCTTTGCGGTGTAGATGCCGAGATTTGTCGACCAGGATTATGTTGCTCAGTAGACCATGTGGCGGTGTCTTCATCAACAACGTGTTTCAAATCAGGCCGTTTGGTATCCAACGAAGTAAGTGTTCTAGGTTGTTCCTCGACAATTTCATCTTCCATCTCACTTAAAAAATTGGAGCTTGATTGTATTTCGTTTATCGGTGTTTCAAAACTATTCAACACCACATTGGCTGATTGCTCAAAAAACTTTTTCCAAAACCCTGAATTGTGCCACACTTTCCAGCTTTCAACTCCATACTCTTGAATCACCGGCTTCAATTTGTCATTTATGATTGCATTCGCGCGTGAAATATTCTTGTCTATATCTTGAAGTACCAAAGTGGTGTCTTGATCCAATTGCTCCAAAACTTTTCTTGCATTGTGATCTTCCAGAGATGCAGCACCAGATTTCCTCCTCGACGTAGGAGGTGCTATGGATAGCCTCTTCATGGTGTGGGACTTTAGAAACAAAAGAAAAATGGTTAGTCCCGTTTTGTTGTTTTCATTTCCCCGAACTCGCGATAAAAAAAAAAACAGTGCATCTACTTTATTGTCGCGTTTGGCACGACCCTATGGGTTGGGCCAAGAGCTACCACTAAATATCTCATTAACGGAAATTGGCTCCAAAATCCTCAACTTTCCTCACTTGTGCACCACGATACTTCACATTTACACTTCTTGCACTCTCGGTTATGGGAAATATTATGTCGGTTTCTTTTGCTCCAGAATGCACGCCTGCTAAGAATGCTTATGATGATTGTTTTAACAAGTGGTACACTGAAAAGTTTTTGAAAGGCAAATCGATTGAAAATGAATGTACCGAGTTTTGGGACACTTATATCACTTGTATCAATGCCAACTTGGCCAAGCAAGGTATAAAGCCAATGCTAGATAAGGCTAGAGAGGACCAACCATTTAGCCACGAAGAAATTCAAGATAGTTTAAAGGAGCTGGATAAATGAAATATTAAGGAATGGACAAACCCTCATTTGATTACGAAGTTGATGATAATTTGTACATAGGTGAAGTAGAAGCAATATAGAGTTTTGTTTGCATTAGTTCCTGTAGAAATCTTCAACATTTGCAAAAGGAAAAAAATAACTAACCTCTTTGCTCTTTACCATCACACACAATGTTGGTTGAAGAAGTCCCCAAATCCAGTGGCGCAAATGCATCTACGATATATTTCAGCTCGTCTATAAATCACACAGCAAGGCTGATGGGTCCAAGACGTCGTAACGATGAAGGGGGTGAAGGGCCACCAAATAAAAAAGGAAGAACAAAAGTCAATTACAATTTAAACCAATTATTCAATGCACAAACTCAAGCCAATAACGATAGTAAGAACATCGGTCCGTCAAAATCAGCCCAACAAATACAATTAGAAAGGGTAGTACAAAAGAGGTTGGTGGAGTTGAATCAAGAATCATCTACCAAAGGTTTCGAGTTGCCTAAAAATTTCGCATACACTAGTATACACTCCACTAGGGATAATAGAAACAACTCACAAAAGTCGAGACAAGGAAATACCGCAGCTACGAAAAGGATATTGGCAGCTCGAAGAAATTTGAATCTGTACTATGAAGAAGAAAGAAACCTAATATCGATCAACACAATCCTTTCTTCGAACTTTCAGTTTTTTGACGTAAGTAACTCAAAAGATTCCAAAACTAGAACTATGGAAAGATCAAGACCAAAGGTGAGACTATGTTGTATTTGTGGCACCAAGTCAAACTACTCAAGATGCCCCCTTTGTGGGTTATATTTTTGTACTGTAAAGTGCAATAAATTGCATCAAGAGCTGAGATGTGCATAACATTTTCAACATCTAAAACCAATACCATTTTCCTGACCAACTTCATAATTTCTTTTTTCATTCTTCCCGAAGCTGCTTTTTTTACAAAAGCATGCCTTTGACTTGTATCATATGATGAAGCTATTCTTCATAACGTTATTTATATCACTATGTCATTCCTTTGAGCAGTCTTCCAATTCCAAGGATTATGTCAAATTAGTGCAGTTTGCCAATTTAGCGTCAGTGGCGTATTGCGTGACGAAGGGGCTCTCAACGGGCGTCTTGAGCGATCCGGATACACACTGTCCATTAAATGCATGCAAGAATTCAATATTACAAGATGTTGAGATTGTACGAATTTTTGATTTTAATAGATTGAATGAAGTTGGAACTGGGTTCTATGCTTTGGATCATCGACGAAAGGCCATAATTTTGGTTTTTAGAGGATCCGCCTCACGACGTGACTGGTTTACAGATTTAAACTTTTTCCCAATAAAGTATACGCCAATTGTGTACGATAAAGACTTTAAAGATGGCGAGCCCTATATCCAAATGGAATGCAAAAATTGTAGGGTGCATCGTGGATTTTACAATTTTTTAAAGGACAATTCAGGTGCAATTATCAGTGCTGGTATCAAGATGAAAAATCAATATCCCAATTACCAATTTTTAATTGCAGGCCATTCCTTGGGCGCTGCTTTCACGGTGATGAGTGGAATTGAGTTTATGTTGTTGGGATATGACCCATTGGTTGTTACATTTGGAGGTCCAAGGGTGGGAAACCAAGAATTTGCTGATTTCATTGACACGATTTTTGACTCTGAAGAAGTTGCTAAGGAAATTGAAAGTAGCCATGATTTTTCCAGAGGATTCATTAGGGTTGTTCATAGACATGATATCATACCATCTTTGCCACCCATGTTAGCACACGCTGGCTATGAATACTTTATAGATAAAAGAGACTTGCCACACGAGGAGTCGGATATTGACAGAAGAGGCTTAGACCACAGTGGATTCTTTGGAAAAAGAGATGATGAGGTTAAAGCAACAGGTTTGAAAGATCTCAACATCAAACCGTCTACGTTTTGGCCCAACAAGTTGGGGAAATTTGAGCATACACATTATTTTAGGAAGATTACAAGTTGCCAGCATTAATACATCTATTTACAAATCTCTATCATGTCGTTTTTATTACATACTTTGAAACGGCTCTTGTCCAACTTTTTACCTTTTCTTAGTTCGTAGTTGTTTAGTTTCTCCCAATTATCCCAATACACAACATCCTGAAGCGATTTGAAAACGTCGGATTCGGTAATATCTTTAGCTTCATCAACTTTGATGTAATTGCCGTTGGTCAAGTCCTCAAGAATATTAGCAGCAGTGTCAAATGAGTCCATCATTGTCACAGCAATGACTCCCTTAGGACCGTTCTTTATCCAGCCAGAAGTGTACCATCCAGTCTTGTATGTCAAGTTTTCTTTATTTTCCCCTTTGGATTCTCGAGAAAGTACTCGACCTCCTCTATTGTGTAATTTGTTATCTTCAAACCAAACCCCAGCCTCTTCAAATCCTTTGATTGAGGTCCCTTGGTACCCGATTGATAGAATGACGAGTTCATTCTTGATTTCCACAGATTCATCAGTAGCTTTCACTCTTCCTGGAAGGAGTGGGTCATTAATAGGTTCATTCTTGACAAACTTGGTTGCTTTGATTCCTTCATCACTGGATAAGAATTCAACTGGCGAAAGTAGGTATCGTAATGTCCACTTACGTTTAGACAGGCCTTCCGAGCCTATACGTTTGTTGTATTTTTCAAGTAGCGACACCCTACGTTTCTCCACTCTACCCAATTTCTTTGTGGCAACACTGTCCAATAAGCCTTCATCTAGTGGCTCAAATTTGGCATCTTTCAATTCAAACAACTCCCTGATTTCTTTATTTGAGAACGCGGACTCTAGTATGCCCCGTCTGGCGACGATATTGACATTCTTGACAGTACTCTTTTCCAACAAGGCCTCCGCCTCCACCGAAATATCTGTCGCGTGCCAGTGTTGTATTGGGTCAGCCAATAGTATACGAGCAACATCTAACGCCACATTCCCATTTCCAATAATTGTAACATCTTCTATTTTATTCAAAGGAGGTGGCGTATATGGATTTTTTGAGCTATAGCAATCTGGGTGGCCATTGTACCAATTGACAAACTGTCGAGCTGAAATCACCCCGGGTTGATCCGTACCAGGAACATTTAACTTATTATCAGCTGAAGTACACCCATATGCTAGTACAATTGCATTGTAGTTTTTCTCCAACTCTTTCAACTCAATATCCTTGCCTATCTCAACATTACCGATGAATCTGACACGATGTCTTTCCGATGACTGAAAGTCAGCCATTATATCCGTCATGAATTCTTCACAATTTTTAACTTCAGGGTGATCGGGAGCAACACCATATCTACTCAAGCCGAACGGCGTGGGAAGCTTCTCAAAAAAATCGAGGTGAATCCGTTTATCAGGGCTTGATTTATTGAGTAAATGATGCGCCGTGTAAAATCCGCCAGGACCGGTGCCAATGACAGCAACTTTGAAAGGCTTGAATAGCCGTGTAGCGGTAGCAAAACCTCGCACTTTAAAGAATGTTAGTGTCATTGCTGTGGAAAGAAATGAAATGCTAGCTACTCGGTGTCCGGAACGAGAAACAAAGCATCGACCATGTATCCGATACCGAACGAGCATAGATCGGTCAAATTGGTGCCGAGACCATGTAGAGAGAAAAATAGAGACTGCGACTCACAGATAAGAGCGAAATGTCTTGCTTAATTCCCATAAAAAAGTGATAATCTTCTACGTTGCGGAAAGATCATAACCAGTAAAGGTCTAATTTTCGTTGGCTCTAACACCTTCTAGTGTTGTTCCTCCCTCCCATAGTTGTTCTTCGTATAATATTTTTTATTAAACACACAAATATAAACTGTCGTGACACTCTTCTATTTCCTTCCTTCATTTTCCATTCAAAAGAATATTGCCATCATATGTTATACCAAACAAAATGAAACCCTGACTTCTGATAACTCCATGTTTGATAAACTGATATATTTCAAAAGACATGGTATATTCCTCTATCGTCTAATATACTGCAAATGACAACATCATATGTTCTGTCAATATCGGGAAGAAGATCCAAATAGATTACTTCAACTTCTTCTTTGGTCTTAATTGGTTGGAGTGACCACACTTTCTCTTACGACAGTTGGTTGCTCTTGGTGGCAATCTAGCGTAACAGATACGACAGATTGATTTTTCACAATTGTATTTCGAAGCTAATGCTTTCAATGATGGTTCAATCATGGTTGGTTGTAGATGATGTTAGTTAAGAGATTGGTGGAAATTTTGTACGTGCGGTTGATATTTTCTTTTTCTTTTTTCTCTTCGTCTGCCTGCGTAGTAAACTGTCACGTGATGAACTATAACTTGATATAGATTGAGGGCTATAGCCCTCAAATACTTCACAATGACGTTGCACCCCAAGAATGAACTAGACGATAGTCTCAAAGGGGTCCAACTTTATATAATAGCCCCACCAGCAAGAGAGAGTGTGTGTGTGTTAGTTAGCCAGCCAGTCAGCCAGCTATTCCAATGAGTGTAGTTTACAAATTTCGTTGTTTTGTGGGAAAATAACACTACAATTACCTCTCAGTGGTGGCAGCAAACCTCTTTAGATCATACAGGGTTGGGTCTTTGGGTACTACTCGTATACAACAATCACTACTTGTCAAATATATACATGAGAGATTTCGCTTTGTCTTTGAGCTACATCCAAAACGGTAATTGAATCTGCGGCTTGATCTCCCAGGTAGGCAGAAAAATAAACAATTGCGAGCATTGTGAACATCGCAAGACATTGAAAGTCCATAGACATAATTGCTCTATTTACCGAGTATGGGTGAAGACAAGCCATCAATTGAAAGGCAGAAAAAGAATGATCATGAGGCGGATACCGAAGGCGACCTTCAGAAACTTTCCGCAAGTGGCGCACACGATAAGGAAACAATTGAAACCTCTGGTCAATCACAAGGAAACGAAACATCTCAACAATCAACCTCCAACGATGGTGATCAGTCATCTAAAAGACCCGAAAGACGGGAAACTGATGAGAATAAAGTAATACCGAAAAATGATGATGAAGGATCAAGGGTGGAGGACGAACTGATGCATGAGGATCCTCATACTTCATTTCTACAACCGCCCGCCTCAGACAAACAGCAATACACAACACCTTCAAAATCTTTACCCCCACTTAAGGATCAAGAAACCATTACAACTCCCAAGTTGTTTGATGTGGCCCCAGACAATGAGCATTCGGAGCTTTACAACTCGACTCAAGAAGTAGCAAGTTCACCAATAAGAAATGATATTTTGCCACACACTCATGATGGTGGTATTCTTGAAGGGGAGTCAAAAACAGCGTTGAGTAAGTTTCTATCAATTGACGAAAATACGCTTCACGGAGTAAAAAATCGTCATATATTGAATGCACTTGTGGCGAAAGCACATGAGTTTGAAAAATTACAGACTCAAAACAATCAAATCAAATCAAAGCTCGAAGAGACTTTCACAAACTCAAGAAACACAATCAGTTCGCTTCAAGAAAAGTATTCCGAGGCTGATAACTCGTTGCTTACATTACGGGATGAAAATGCACAATTAACCTCAAAATTGAAAAAGCAAGAAGTCAAGGTCAAAGAGCTAGAACTTTCGAATCAACAATTGTCCGTGCAAGTTAGTGAGTACAAGAGACTAAGCTCGGAAAAGGCTTTAGAATTGAGAGAATTGAATGAGAAACAAAGTTATCAAGAAATTAAACACATGGAAAAACTTGAGGAGTTATCATCTGCAAACGTAGCTCAAAGTAAAAAGTTAAACCAGATCACAATGGAGTACAATAGATCGGAAAATGAAAAGTTTGCTATCAGTTTGCAATTAACAAAGGCTACAAACGAGGCTAATTTTTTGAAAGATCAAAAACTCTGGTATGATGAGCAATTAAAATCAGCACAACTGAATTATACAAGTTTGTTGCAAAAGTACGAATCGGAGCAGTCACAATCTGAGTCAAAAGTTAATAGATTGAGTGTCAAGTCAGAGAGTCTCGAACAGTTAGTCAAGAGACACGAGAAAACAATTTCAGATCTTGAGGCATCATTGAAAACTGAGTCTGCCAAAAAGTCTGCTACTGAGTCGAAACTTAGGTCTGTTGAGTCCAAAATTATAGAAGAATCCAACGCAAACCAGGACTTGTTGGAATTGACTAAGCTTCAAAGCGAACAACGTGCTACACGAATTGAACAGTTGGAAGCGTACTCCGAAGAGCTCAAAAGGAAAGCGGATGAAAATATAGATGTTCTTAACTCAACAATATCCTCACAAGAGAAATTGATTGATGAATTGGAAGAAAAGCTTGAAAGGATGGAATCGGCACTAAATGCACAAATTGGTGACAAGGAACGAATTCTTGACTCAAATGATGATTCGGAACTTTCTAGAATTTCATTACCCAATTTGTTTGCCGAATACAACCATGTGAAGAAACAGCTTACGGTTGAGAGAATACAAAGGGAAAAGTTGGAAAAGGAATTGGAGAATTTTGTCATTGAGCTCGATGCTAGAAAACCTGCCATTGCAAATTATAAGGATCAAATCCAATTTTATGAAACCTTGGTATCAGAGTTGAATGTGAAAATAGACCGTCTTCGTGCTGACAATGTGGCACTTGAAAAAGATTGTAAAAAGCTCAAATCAACGGGCGTTGATTACGAGAATGAGATAATTTCTTTGAAGCAGGTCGTGAAGGACTTGGGCAGGCAAATTTGCTATTTTCTCATACATTCGCATATTAGAGACAACAACGATGAACCTCTTGCATTAATTGAGAGGAGTAAGATTGAGAAGATCCTAGACCGCACGGGCAATTTTGACGAATCATTTGAGTCTGATTCTGACAAGTTGGTATCAGAAAGATTGCTAACATTCAAGAATATTATTGAGCTTCGACAAAAGAATCAAGATTTGCTTACAGCTGTGAGACAATTGACAAGGAAGTTGGAAAATTCAGAGGAGGAAAGCAACAATTTACAAGCCATAGAAGAGGCTCAAGAGGCTATAATGACTTTGGACAGCGAATTGGAAGGTGCGAATGCTAAGCTTATCGCAGTTACAAGTGAGAGAGATGCTCTTCGAAAACTCAACACTAAAATGGCAGACGGGGTAGTTGGTGTCAACCAGTCGGTACCAAATATAGAGCTAACTAAAAAGATCGAGGAATATGAGTCCGTCATTAAGAAAATGAAAGAGGAGTCAGCTGATACATTGAAAAAGGCAAATGAGGAGTTGGAGAAAGTAAAACAGACCAAGAATGAACTTGCAACACAACTTTCTGTTGCAAACAAGTCCCTCGAATTGACAGAGGTGAGATTGTCAACTACTCAGAAATCGATTGACTTGGCAGTGGCTGAAAAGAGCCAAGTCAAATCAGAGTTGGCATTTTGGAGTAAACAGGCACAAAAATTGGAAGACCAATTAAGGCAAAAATCTCAAGACCTTCGGGAATTACAAGCAAATCTTGCGCAGAATAATACATTATTGGCTACTTTACAACAAGAGAAAGACTTTGCCAATAGGATGCAATTATCGCTCAATAACGAGCTCACATCGTTGAGAGAAGACAAGATGAAATTGAATGATTTAGTTGTGAATTTGCAGGCAATGTTGAGGGAAAGAGATGATTCAATCAAGGAGATTACCGCAAAACTTAATGATTCAACCGAGGCAGCCCAGAATTTACAGAGAAAGCTCAATGAACGTGAAGAAAGACTTCAGACTTTGTCTAACCAATCGGAAAAGACATTCAAGGCTCAGAACACGAAGTTGGAGCAAATCAATGATTTGAGTTTACAGTTGTTACATTTGAAGAATGAGGTATCGGAGAAGGACAAACGGATTGTGGAGTTGAACGCCAGATTGAAGGATGCAACACTCAATGCATACAGTAAACCAGAAGTTAAACAATTGCAAGAAGATTTGAAAAGCGCAGGAGACAGGCTTGTGGGGTTGACAAAGTTGGTAAATGATAAGGAAACTGCTATAGCTGACAAGGTTAAAACATTTCATGAAGAGAAGACTTCTTGGGAGGCAAAATACGCTGAGCTTGCCAAGGAGAGGAAAGATGCAGATGATGAGATTACTACATTGAAAAAAGCAAATGATGACAAGGCACAAGAATTGGAAAAAGAAAAGGAAAAGTTTGTCGCTGATTATAATGCATTGCAACGTAAATTTATAGAAGTTGAAGGTAAGGCTGTAAAGTTCGACAGTTTGGAAAGAATATATGAAGATAGACTTGATGATGCAAATGGGAAACTTGAAAATGAAAAGAAAACAGTGGTTGTTTTGCAGAGTAAGTTGGATATGGAGGCTGAAAAGAATACATCATTGGCAGAAGAGATAAAAACTATAAAAGACAAAGTGGTAAACAACGAGTATATCATAACCCTGCTTAAGCAGGAAAAAGAAATAATTAACAAAAAGTTAAAAGATTTAGAGGGTGAGCTAAGCGTCAGCAGGTTGGATTTGGAGAATGAAAGGAATCTTGCCAAGACCAAGCGGGCAGAGTTGGAAGATCAGAATAGGCTTTTACTTGATCGTTTGGAGTTGGGTGGAACATCCGAAAATGGCGAAGATGGTGAATCGAATAACGTTAAGCAGGTTATTGAATATCTTCGTCGTGAAAAGGAGGGTAGTGATACCAAGTTATCAGCAGTTGAGGAAGAAAATTCAAACTTGAAGGTCAAGATTGAGAGCATGGAAAGAGAAATTACTACTCTCCATTCATTGAAGGATAATATAGGCACGTTGAATTTGAGTGGCAACGAGAAAGAGCAGAATCAACTTGCAAGTCAGTTGCAACAAATTAATAACTTGAAGGAACATACAAATGATCTTGCATATGAAATAAAAAGAAAGGATGCTGAGCTTGCAAAATTGAAAACAGATTTTACTAAATTGAAAAATGAGTTAGATACTGTTAAACAAAGCTCCCAGACACAAAACAATCAAGTTGGAATTGATCAGCAGAAATTACGCTTACTCGAAGAGGAAAATGCTCGTCTCAAGGCCATTTCAACAAATGCATTAGCAAAGAAACCGGAGGAACCCAAAGGTCCGCCACCTGAAATTATTAGAATGCAAGAGCAAATGGATAAATTGAAAAACAAAGCTAACGATAGAATCAAGACATTGAAGCAAGAGCACGCCACTAGAGAAAAAGAAATCATCGATTCGAAGGAGAAGGAGTTGAAACAATTGAAGGATAAAATCGACACCTTACAAAGTAAACAAGTTTCTCCTTCCGGTGCTCAAGATTTGAAAGTTCAACGGAAAGTTGAAGAGTTGAATAAGCAACTCAATGTTTTAAAAGAGGAGAATGGTGGTTTGATACGTGAAAAGAATGAGTTGGTCAAGAAATTGTTTGCGTTGGAGGCGAAATTAAAGACTGAGTTTAACAAAGAGAAGGAGGAATTACGCAAATCGCTCGAGTCTTCAGCCACTGGTGGTAGTGATTCAAATGTCTCACTGACCAAGTACAATGAACTTCAACAGCTTTTGGATAAGACGAGGAATGAGGTACAACAGAGAATTGAACAAGAAAAGACCAAGACAACACAAGAGGTTGAGAAGAAGTTTGAGTTTAAGATGAAGATGTTGACAAGAAAAGTTGAAAAGTATGAAGCTGAATCGAAAGTGAAACCATCATCTCAACCTACGTCACAATTAACAGCCCAGGAAACAACTCAACCAGTGGCACGTCCAACAACTCAACCACGAGTGGGTGGTTTTCAAAAAAACTCTACCTTTGGTCAATCATCGCAAGCCGCACCTGTGCAAGGTGTACAACTGCAACGAATCGCTCAATATCAACTGGGTCAAGCACCAGTGCAACAATCAACCAATCATTCTGGTTTCACGAAAACAAGTACTTTTGGAGCAGGAAGCACAACACCTCAGACATCAGAACCCTCATTCACATCACAACCCAATACCCATGTTTCGCAACCAGTTGGTACTACTGGTGCTTCGAATAAACAATTACCACTGCACAAACCAAACGATGTGTCTACTGTGATACAACCACAAGTGCAATCACAAGCGCAACCACAAGCGCAACCACAAGCGCAACCACAAGCGCAACCACAAGCGCAATCAAAATTGGAAGCTTCAACATCAAATGATGTCTCTGGTGCATCTAAACCACCCACGCAAAAGGTAGAACCAAAATCCACAGAAGCTCAAGCTACAAACAAAGAAGAGCAAGAAAAGCAGACACCTAGTGTACAACAGCAGACACCTAGTATACAACAACAACCACAAACAACGACAACAACGACAACAACAATTACGCCTCCCATAACCAAACCGGCCATTAAAAAACTTTCAATTGCATCCCCCATTGTTCCAGGTTCTGAATCTGCATTGGTTGTAAAACGTCCTGAAATAGCAAGAACTGAACCAAGAAACCCCAAATTGTCAGAAGAGAAGCAAGGAGGTTCTCCAATTAATGAGCGCAAAAGATCGTTCCATGATGAAAGACCAAAAGTTAAAAAGACTAGACAAGGGTAAACAAAGAAACGGGGAGGAGAGGTGGGATACGGCAGAGGGAAGTGTTTCCGATATCACGACTGGGTAATCCTTATGATATAGACTCGTTTTGTACATTCTAATAATATGTATACAGTAATATTAGCAGGTTAGCCTTCGTAGGGCAGTGTGGGAAAGAAGTTGCTAAGAAGGACCTTGAACTCAAAAAAATGGTGGGGAAAATTGACCAGCATTCAAGTGATGTGTTTTGATGGTTATGTTTGAGAATGACAGGGGCAATCACTTAAACAGCTGTAAACCTTTTCCCCTCAATATGGTATTTATTTTTGGCAACAGTTACACGACTAAATTTAGACTTGAACTAAGCAATAATTACACAAAATAATTCTAGAAAGAAATTAAGTAGTTTTGTGTTCTCCAATTTATTAGGATAAGATATATTGTTTTATCTAGCTGTACAATATGAATTCTTTTGAACAATAAACACTCCCATTTTGAATCTCTCGGTTGGTTTTTTGTTCCGATCTCTCTCGAGGCTCTATTGTTTACAAGGATCTTAGCTCCGTGCGGGGAAAACTAAACGAACGAGAGAGAGAAAAGGTGAAACAAAATATCATCACTCTTCATGGAGGTGGATTTTTATTTAATTAGGTTAGGGTGTGCATTGCACACGTGTACTCCGGATTATTCCTTATCCTTACTATTTAGTTGTAGGTGCATATCAACGTTTGATAAATGTAAAATAGAACATCGGAACGATTTGCATACAACAAAAAGAAAAAAAAAAAAAAGAAATAACGCAAAGGAGGAGGGGTATATGTGCTTTACCCCCACACCCTTTTTCTCCAACACAGATTTGATTACTGTTGATTGAAAGAATGAGGTTTCAAAGAAAACGTTTTGATTACATCGTTTTTATTTTTTGTTGGCCTCTTCTTAGTTGAACAACTCCGGGATTATCTTCTCCTCCCCTCTTTCTCTAAAGAAGAACTAAAAAAAAATGAAGGGACTAAAAAGTTTAGACTTGATTTCCTCCCTTCAAGGCGGGTTACACTAGCAAAATTTTGAGTTATTACGAAATGAATTCAAAACTCCTCTCAAACACGTTGTAAGACGATAAAGTTTATTGCTTTGCTCATTGCCCAATTGTCGTCTGATATTTAATCATTACGTGATGTTTTTTTTAGGTTTCAGTTTGTGTTGCATCATATGATTGTTAATAAAGTCAAGTGAAATTTAGAATGTAACAATACAACAATAACCACAACAAACAATAAATAATAGACAATAAATACAGTAAACAAATAGCAAATAAGTTTTTAGTCACACTCAACCCCACCTTTTTGAATATGCGAAAAAATACAATGACAGTTATGGAGGGGAAGTTTACATAACCAAGTGGCACTAACAAGACTTTGCAAAGATAGACCCACGTGTGCTCATTGAGTCAACAGTGGCGAAGTTGACATCATTTGGGCAACTGGCTCTTGTTACTTGACGTTGGAAGCATACCACCTTATGAAACACGACGCTAACATAACAATGCAAAAGTCTTGCTGCACTTGTTGCTCAAATCCTTTTCGTGTTCTATTGTTTTCCCGTTTGCTTTTTTTTTTTTGTTTCTTTCACGAAAGCCAAAACAAATGCGGTTTTGTGTGACATGGGTGAAAACTAAATGCAAAGAAACTCCGAGAAACACGGCGTAAAACGAAAACACACGTCAAAGGTGAAGATTACGAGTTGAGAAGTCGAATTAGTAATAAAAAAAAAAAAGAAGTCAAGAAGTGACTACCAGGCCATTAACACTAAATAGACTCCCCTGTAAACATGGGTATTGCCTCTGACTACACATTGGAAACGATGAGCAAACAACTGTACATCAAATATCGTTGTCGTTTCTAAATATAGTTTCAACAACCCCGTGAGGTTTGGCTAGCCAAGCATTTACATTCATTGAAAGCTCCGAGGTCTTGGCTCTAGCTAGTGCTTAGTTTTTCACGTCTTCAATTGCGTTAAATTTCCTTTCCAAGAATACCTTTTTCTTTTCCCCACCTTTCTCCCATGCATATAAAGTTAGTTAACCTAATTAACCTATTTTTGTACAAATGCATCATTTAGCCGTGGTTGCAGAAAACTTTAAACCAGAATGGAACTCAACAAAAAAAAAAAATATATCATTTCCACATATTAAGAAAAAAAGCGCTTTTCATGCAAAAGTTTTCTGATAGTAATATTGCACTAAGAGACTTTGCTTTTGTTGTTCACGAATACCTCCGGGGAGTGTAAGTGGGGAAGATTAACAATAGACATCCATAGTAAGGCTTTGCACTATTGTACACAAAAGAAAAAAGAAACAAAAGTAATAGAACGGGCCGATGCATACATTACACTGCAAGCCCCCAATAACGCTTCCTACACCTGCAACACAATGTGCTATCTAACTTTCTACTCCTTCCTTGATTTGAAATATATATATATAAGTAGAGCAGTATCTCCTTTCGACCCTTTGACATATTTATCTTTTATTTGACTGCAGGGATTCCCACCTAAGAAAAAAAATAAAGCATCAACTTTAGCCAAGACAAATTCAAAGTTTGACGTATATTATTATTAAAGAAGGATCTACAAGCGAGATTATGATGTTCCCACTTTCGAAGAAATATGAAAAATCTGATGCTGCAGTTACACAAGTTGAATCAAATAAAGCCAATGATGTGCAAAGTGAGAAATCTCAAGATGTAATCACAGCAGAACCATATCCAAGTCACGAAGATGACAACAAGAAATCTTTCTGGTCAAGATTTAGATTTTCTGTTGATACCACTGATCACCCACCACAGATTTTCAACAAAACTTTATACTTGAGTATCTTTGTGTTTGGTATGTTTGGTGCTGGTAGGGGTTTAGATGAAGGTAATATTTCGGGAAATATTGCTCTTCCTGCATTTAAACAACGGTTTGGTCTTAGTGATGAATCCAAGTCGGAGAATGAGCTTGCCAATTTGAAGTCAAATATCACATCAATGGTGCAATTGGGATCTATTGGTGGTGCCATCATTGCCATGAAATCAGTTGATTTCTTGGGAAGAATTAGAGCTTTGCAGTTGGTTTGTATTCTTTGGGTTGTTGGGGTTATTATTGAAATTTCATCAAATTCTGTTGGTCAATTATACGCTGGTCGTTTGATTGAAGGGTTGGCTATTGGACAAACTACATCTATTGGTCCTGTGTACATGTCAGAAGTTGCCCCCAGTCCTATTCGTGGTATGGCCAATTGTATCTTTGCTGGTGCCGTGTATTTGGGTATCATGTTGAGTTATTTTGCCAATTATGGATCAGCATTGCATATCCCTAGTGAAACCAGTGATGGTTCACCCAATGACAAGCAATGGAGAGTCACATTATCCACCAAAATTATCATGGCTGGTTTGATCTTTATCAGTTCATTTTTCTGGTGTGTTGAAAGTCCTCGTTGGTTGTTGAAGCATGGCAAATCTCAAGAGGCTATTGACAAATTGAGTAAATTGAGGCATTTGCCAAATGATCATCCATACATTATTGCAGAAATTAGTGATATCAATGAACAAGTAATGGCAGAAAAGGAGGCCACCAAGAATCAATCATTGTGGTCAATGTTTAAACAAATTGTTACCGTAAAGAGTATTGCTTACAGATTTGTCTTTATTGCTGGTGCAACTCAAGTGTTGGGTCAGTGGAGTGGTGCCAATGCTGTGACAATTTATGCCTCGGAATTGTTTTCCTTGATTGGTGTGACTGGTATTGGTACTTTGAAAATGTCGGCCGTCTTGGGTGTTGTGAAGTTTGTGTCAGCTTACCTTTCAGCATTTTTCATTATTGATATCTTGGGTAGGAAAAGAGCCATTTATATTGGTATTTGTGGTCAAATGATGTGTTTGTTATACTATGCCATCTTTTTGACAGTGGTTCCTGAAGCTGCTGAAAAGGGAGTTGTAATTACTGGATCAGCAAAGAGGGCAAGTCAAGGTGCTTTGGCAGCAATCTTTTTGAGTGGTACATTTTGGACAGTTGGGTTCAACTCTATACAATATTTGATTGGTGGTGAGATTTTCCCTCTTGGTATTAGATCTTTTGCTCAATCATTGGTTATGATTTTACATTTTGCTAATCAATATGGTAACTCCAAGGCATTACCCAAGATGATGATTGCTATGAATTCATACGGAGCTTTCTACTTTTTCGTTGGTGTTTTGTGCATCTCATTAGTTTGGGCATTCTTCCTTCCTGAATTGAAAGGTAGAAGTTTAGAATCTATCGAAGAAGTGTTTACGTTACCATGGTATGATTTGAGACGTTGTAACAAGTTGGTTCCTGATCATTCACAGATTCATAAAGTCAAGTACACAAATAGCAGAGGTAATACTGGATTCGACCATATTCACTTCGATTTGGAAAAGAATAAGCCCAGCGTTGAATTGGTTGAAGATTTGATGAAACATGATGAGGGTAAAGCTTCGAATGGTGGTGGTGGCTCTAGAAGACAGCACGATGATGACGATGATGACGATGACGAAAAGAAGATTTAGTGACAAATGTTTAGTTCTTGATTTATATATGAGATTTAGTACACGCGTTTTTACAAAGATGGAGATAGAAGAGTTTACTTGGCTGGTTGTAGAATGCTATCGGACTAATAATACGTGTCTACGCTTTCGCTGTATCATCATCGTTTAGCCACTTTGGTGGCACTGCTCTAATACCTCTTTGAACTTCTGGCAAGGATTCCAAAGCATCATGCCATTTACCCAATAATGGCCATTGATGAATATCGATATCCAAAGCTTTCAAACGAACTGCCCATCCAAACAAGGCAAAGTCAGCAACAGTATAACGATCACCGACTAAATACTTTCCGTCATTAGCTTTGTTTCTTGACAATATGTCTTCGTAAACACCATAAATCCTCTTGACATCGGTAGTGTACCTATTAATAGCATATGGTACTTTTTCTTTCGCATACAAGATAAAGTGGTTAGCCTGACCTTGGATGGGTCCATTTTCACTAACTTGGAAAATCAAGTACTCCAAAGTCTTGTAGTATTCAGCAGTGCCATAAGGGTAACTAAACTTGTGTTGTTTATCATAAGTGTCTGCAAGATATTGCAATATAGCACCTGTTTGACTTAAAACCAATGGTCCACTACCACTACTGCCACCATTATCAGACTTGAAGTTGGGATCTTCAATGGTGGGGATACGTCCATTGGGGTTCAATTTGACAAACCAATCAGACTTGGGTTCATTCTTACCGATGTCTACTGGAATAGCATCGTATTTGAGACCAAGAAATTCCAAAAAGATGGAAACTTTGAATCCGTTAGGGGTTCCCCATGTGTATAGCTTAATTGGCTGTGACATGATGGAGTAGTATGGTTAACAATTGAAGGTGATTGTAGAGAAAGATCAAACCTCAGCTGAGTCTGTTATTTGCTGAGTAATTATTTTATTTCTCCTCCTTTGGGCGATTGCGAAAACTGTGGCGCAGAAAAAAAACAAAATGAGCCATGTACACTCCCTCTCCTTATCTTGCGCGGCCTTAACCGATTGAGTACTTGCACCAATGTCATGCAGTAAACTCGTTTGAGTTAAATACACGATTGTCGATTTATACCCCATTTACCAAACAGCAGCAAACGGACAAAATACGACTAACCGCAAATACACCAAGAGCGTTATAAATAAAATAATTTGCAAAGCATAGACATCTGCTATCAAAATACAAAGTGTACTCAATTGAGGTTGCGTCTTGCTATTATCAATATGTCGTAAATGCAGTGATATTGGTGGGAATTAACTCAACGCCAATTGCTAGGCAAAAGGCTTAAGTTAATGTTATTAAACACAAAACATTTTTTCCTCATTATTACTTTTATAGAGTTAAATAACTCAATTCTAGGAAGAATTGAGTCCTATTTATATTATTCACTTCTGACTGAAAAAGTTGCAAATGAAAATCAGCCAAATGCGACTTTTTAACAATAAACAGGATATCAACAAAATCAATTCACAACAAAATCCAGCAAAAACAGAGAGTGTGCGCTTTCTGCGTCGCAACCAACACGAAAGGTAAGTCTTTCAAATAAAGATACGACAGCAATATCGTTCGTGGTAACTCAATTCTTCAAACAACCTTCGCTTTCTTAACATTCCAACAAAGAATCAAAATAACCAAAAACTAAATATAAGTTGTTACTTTGTGCGTGTATCAAAAGAGATTTACAAGACATCACCACTCAAGCTCTCCCTTCTCCCTTTTTGATTTTTATTTCTCACACCGTTTCCCCTGTCACGCATTTATCTTCTCAAAGAAAAAAGTCTGGGGTATAAATAGTGTTGCAAAATTCCCTTACCTCTGTTTTTTTTTATATATATAATAGCTTTCTTTCAACTACAGTAACGGATGGATCATTGTTTGCCGTACCGTACAGCGTCTATTGTGCTTTTGGAGTATGTTGGTCAGAAAAGAGTGAGATGATTATTTTCCTGGACCAATACATTTACAAAACGTCAAAGTCCAACAACATTTTTGTGTCGGTTGTACTTTATATGCATCACTTTTTTCTATAAAGACCCATTGGAAGTCTTCGATGAATTCTTCAAAACGGGTGATTACTTGTTCTGCATCTATGTTTGACTTTTGTATGTATTTCTTGTAGAATTTTATTTGATATGACTCCATAGTATAACCGGCATTTTATTGCTGCCTGCAAGATTTTGCTCAACCAATACTTCTTGATATCTTGATTCTAGTGTGGTGAGTTGGTATTTGTTGATCTCATGGTGTATACATCACATACCAACATTTGTGTGGTAAACGAGAGAAAGTACCTCAAAGTGGTGGAGAGGGGGGGGGGTATGTTATGTGCAACAAGTGTCGCAAAAACCAGATCGCTTTTTTTTTCTTAAGAAAGAAAACGTGTGATATTGATGTGTGACACCAGCATGGTTTCAATCATCTATATCGTGTATTCACCAAATCAAATACAATATGACGATCACCGGAACACCGCTTCAATGTGTGTGTGTAGAATATACGTCCTTGTTCAGATCTTTGTGTTTTCATTTGCTTCCTAGATTAGTGAACAAGTTTTTGCGAATAATTTAAAAGACGAAGTTACGTATATACAAAAAGATCAACTCGTTTTTGTAAAATCATTATTTTGGAAAAGAAAAGTGGTGATGCCTAGTTTTATTGCTTTGATTGAAATGAGGGGAAAGGGTGTTTACCACAGACATGCCAAAGTATAAATAGGGTTGCAAATTGTTCAGATTTTTGGATTCCTTTTTTTAGATTTTTGATCTTTTTTGTTTGTTTTCGCAAACTTGCTTTAATAGTGCTGAGTTCTCTTGCGGTTCGTGAAAATATCAGGTTTTATCAATCATTGACTCCATCTGTATTATCCAGGTGGAGAAAGTTGATATCATGGATCAAGTTTATGCAGTGAGTTTCGACAGGTTGACTTTTTCCAAAAGTAATCATCATTATCAATTGAATTGTAATGGGACACCATTACATTTGGAGAATGTGTCTGGTTTGATTTGGAAATGTATTGATCATGAGTTGAAGAGTTGCTGATCAATACACTTAAAACGCACCAAAACTGCCGAACCATTGCTAGCTTATTTGCGCAAAAACCTTGATGTCGTTGATACCGCCAACTGATGTTTGCGTCGCTAAAACTGTGGGATGATCTGCATATTGATTGTTTACGTCGTTACAACAATGTATATCTTTAGTATATCATGTAAAATAAAAACGTATATTGAAGCCTTTGGTTACTCTATTTTTGACTCGTTACGGAAAGCCCGAAACTGTGTGTGCCACATTGAGTTTTGCATATTGACAACTCGAGGGCGTATTAAGTTGACTCTCTAAAGAGTAGTAATGCGATGAAAGAGCATCGTTTACTTTACAAAGTGGACAGAATATAATTCGCAAGCTCTTACTTTCATTATTCGGAAATGAAATGAGTTACCTTGATCTTTATCAGTGCATAAGTTACGTAAGTGTAATAACACTCAACTACTCCAAGGATGTGTAAGCAAAGAAAAGGTATCAAGACACACTGCAAAGTGCTAGTTTCGAAAGCTGTTTATTCATTTGATTTCAGTACAATGTGTAGGAGTAGAGGTGGTGTCCTCTCTATACTTGTTCCCCCGTGGCATATGCTTTAAAATTTGTTGTGATAATCTTGCTACAAAGTTAGACAGCCTAAAAGACGTTTCTATAAAGAACTAAAGAAGATTGATGCTTGATAGGTTGAAATTACCGTCTCTCTCTATGCTAACTTTTTATCCTGACAGTTTTTGCAGAATTAATCAGACATTTTATGCATCACCCTTTAGAAAATTCTCGGCATTGCTCGGAGTTTTTTCGAACAGATTTGATAAAACGTTCACTAGAAAACAGCTAACAACTTGAACTTTTCAGCGAGCGTGAACTACGCGTCTAGTCTTGGCCAGATCTTCATTGCCTGCGAAAGGGACCCACGTGTAGTATCTGCAAGAGGCGCTGGGGACCCCACACCCTCCTCCTTTGCTACCAATGGTGGCTACATGATTGTTTGTATGGTTATACAACCACTAATGCACTAACCAATGCTACCTACCCCATGGATAAGTCTGTAAAGAATGACTCGGATTTATTATCTTTCAATTGATTTACGCGGCCAAGTCCGAATAACACAAAGTAATCTTTTGTTGAAAAGAGATACGGTTAACAAAGATTCAGATTGGCCCATAAACCCAGTGTATATACGTAACACATGTTGTATTTCCATTGAAGTTGTAGCATTAATGTCAGCATTGGAATGTTCTGAGTCTTTTGTAGATTCAAGTCACAATGAAAATACCCCACGAAGTTTCATAACACATACAAACAGAGCCAATAAAACAAAGGGATTAATAATAAGACTTAACTACTAGAGGTAGTGTACTATTGAACAACCCCACATTTCAGATTTTCAAAGATATAATTTTGACATTGTTCTCCATTCTACTTCTTTGTCTATATTTTTTGTCAGACAAAAAAAGTGTCTTATATACAGAATACGGATCTTATGTCTGTCTTTAACAAGCCCCGGACAAAAAAAAAAAGTGAATTTGGTGCATGCACTACATAGTTAACAATTGACATTTTACCAATAGACACGACCTTTGTATTGTTTTCTTGTCTGTCTGTCTGATTGTTTATTTGTTTTCCAATAAATCTTTGTCGTTTAGCCTTCAAAAAAGGACACCACACACACACACACACACACACACACACACACAACTCTACTTTTTTACCCCAGAGAAATATCATCCATATAATAACAAGCTAAATAAGAAAGTCAATAGAAAATAACTCTTTAGTATATATCTACTACTATAGAGAAAGGGTATTAAATTACTTTCAAACAAGATCACATATAGCAAACAAACAAAATCCATACAGAATTAAGGTTATACACAACTCGTTAAACCAATTGTATTTCAAACTACTTATCTTTACTGTTGTGTTTCCTCTTTTTCAAAAGAATTGCTCATCCAGGTTTCGTTGGGTTCTTTTTTTTTTCAACAACAACCCCAAAACCAACAGACAAAAATAAAACAAATAGAGAAAGAGAAAAAAGTATAATCCCCGTCATTCTCGGTCACTCACACTCAACGCAATATCCGCGTTTTTTCCATTACAAACTTAGCACCACCACAAGAAAACTTTCAAAACTCGTTTCTACTACTGGTACATGGTTCCCAGAAGGCAAGCCACTAACTGATACCCATACTAGTTACCACCTTTTCCCTTAATTCACTCGGCAAGCTAATTTTACTTGCATTGTTCGATATATATCCAAACAAAGAGAGAAAAAACAAACAAGAAAAAAAAAAATCGAGACACCGTCATACAGCACAAATTCATTCAAAGACTCTTTTGCATGCTTTCTACTTTTAATACAACAGGATACATGAATACCACTAGTATTGGACTTAGGAGTGAAACATCACACTCATCTTTGAATCACATTCCTGATGATGGGAGGCTGGAAGAAGAGCCTACTCCAACTCCAACTCCAACTCCACTTAGTGCTGAGTCTACTCCCATTGAAAAGGAAACCGACGACAACAGCAAACATACTAAAACCAAAAAAACGAAAAACATTCCAATGGAACTAACAGCATATGGTACAACTCCTTCAGGTAAACCACGATTATTCGTTTGTCAAATCTGTACACGTGCATTTGCGAGATTGGAGCATTTGAGGCGACATGAGAGATCTCATACAAAGGAAAAACCATTTAGTTGTGGAGTATGTCAAAGAAAATTTAGTCGGAGAGACTTGTTACTACGTCATGCACAGAAGCTACATGCTGGTTGTACTGATGCAATCACTAGACTTAGGCGTAAGTCCATAAGGCTGAAAGAAGATGAAGGTGAAGATGAGGCCAGTCCAGTAGCTCAAGATACAACAAAGATAAAAGCTGAACCAGTAGAGTTTAACTTGAACTTGTTTGACTCGAAAGCCAACACGACTAAAGCAAAAGTACTGAAGGCAAAACGTAATAGCAGTGCGTTTGCACAGCAACCATCACTCCCGACGGGTGCCACAGTGACTCCTGCGTCGTCTACATCTTCATCAGCCAACGCTACTAGAAAGAGCTCCAATCCAGCTAATTTGAAAAGACAAGCACTTGAGCACAATAGGCATACACCTGATTTGACTGGTTCTACGGGGATCGCCATAACTCCAACAAGAGCGAGAAGAGGAACTTCCTTTTCAGCACAGTCGGGTGCAAACTATGCTGTCAATATACCCGAGTTTAGTGATGTATATCCACAAAGTGACAATGTTGAATTTTCAACACCTCAATTTTTGCCATCAAGTTCAGCAGATGAAATGAATTGGCTAGATAATCTTGCTCATATACCCGGATTATCTGATACTTCCAATATTGTCAAGATGCAACGTACAAGCTCCATAACGTCTGGTATTAATGGGTACCCAACGCCACCAGTCAATGTTAGTCATCATGGGTCATTTTCCCACCCTTCAACTTTTACGGCAATGGGGCAAACAAGAACTGATAGTGTCAATAGTACAAATTCGCAATTTGATGGAGGATATATGATGCCAACAGTTACATTGACAAGTCAAGAGATTCAGAATGGCGTAAATGCGCATCATCAACACCAACTACAACACCAGCACCAGCACCAATTACAACAGCAGCAGCAGCCACCACCGCTACCACAACAACAACAACAACAACAACAACAACAGCCTCAACAGCCTCAACAACAACCTCCACCACCTTCACAAGCTCAACCACAGGCTCAACTGCAAACATTTCACCACACTGGACAACTCGACAAGTACTTGGATGGTTCAGGATACTCCTTTTACGATATACCTGATGATGTTTTGGATCAAGCATTGCATATGGATCCTACCTCGCATATTCGAGTATTGACTCCTATACTTCAAGAACCCGATGAGGATCGTGTACCTGGTAGAACCGATGAAGCCGTCAATCCTGAATGGAATTTCCTTAATGATATTGATGAATTGACTCACGAAATTGATGTTGGAGCTAAATTCATGCCTGGTGGATACTCCTTTTATGGCGACCAGTTTTCCGCTAGCTCTTCTGGCGTTGACGCTAGCTCTCCAGCTAATTTGAAATCGCCACCTAAAGCCAATAGCTCTCAGCTGAATGTAGTGAATCCCGTTTTTGAAAACACAATTGATCAACATACATTGCTAAATTTGGAAAATGCAACAACGCCTCAAAGGGAACTCTTTGAGCAGATGCCCAAGATGAGATTGAGCAATTTTTCAAGAAACAAAATGTTCACCAATCATATGCGCCAGCTAATCAGTCGTGCTTTGAACAAGTATCCCATCAGTGGGATTTCTACTCCAGTTATACCCTCAAATGAAAAATTGGAATCATTTCTTTATCGGTTTGTTGGGGAATTTTTGGCTCATTTTTCATTCATACATGTGTCAAAATTGAATGAGTATGAGATTATGAGTATGGCTTCTGATGAAGACGAATCAAATGAAAGTGCTAGAGTTTGTTTACCTTTGTTAGCTGCTACAATTGGTGCGTTATTAGCCAACTGCAAAAGTGAATCCGAACATTTGTATGAAGCTTCAAGAAGAGCCATTCACATTTATTTGGAGAGTAGGAAAAACCCACCACAGACCAAAGCCAATGATGGAGGAGGTAGTACGAAGAATCCACTTTGGCTTATACAATCGCTTACGTTGTCGGTCATTTATGGATTATTTTCTGACAATCCAAACAATGTATTTATTGTTATGAGACAATTGAATGCGTTAAACTCGCTTGTCAAAACATCAATCAAAACCAACGAAGCTATTCTATTTTCTATACATGGTGAGGACAGGATGATTTATGACAAGTTGGTTGAATCAAGTAAAAAGCAAGCTGAGGAGGTTTCGTTATTTTCCAATACTTTAAGTGATGAGTTAAAGTTTAAGAATTTGATTAATTTGCAATCACAATCTCGAATTGTTTACATTATATATCGATTGACGAATTTCCTTTCCATGTTGTATAATGTGCCATTGACTTTATCGGCAAATGATTTGGGTGAATTGGTTGTCCCTAATAGAAATGATGAATATTTGTGGAGTTTTAAAAGTTATCAAGATTTCCAAGAAAGTTGTTCAATGAATGGTGAAACTTTGAATATGTATTCGCGAACAAGTACTATTCAATTTAAAGAGTTGTTGCTTCGGATATCCAAATCGGCTAGTCCTAGCGTCCCTGCAAATGAAGAGCTTGATCGTTCAATTGCATTTAGTCTTGATCAATTGGGTAAATGTGGATTCACTTCGTTGGTGCATGGAATATACGAAATCAAGCAATATAAGGAAATGGCCAAAATTGATGCCTTTAAAGTCTTGGATGAAATCAGTGTGCATTTCCCCATGGATGGTGACAAACACAAGTTGCAAAGAGATTACGAAAAGATTGATTACTTGTTGTTGAGTAACTATACCAAGATTGTCACGGCGTTGAATATGAAATTCATCAAAGATCAATTGTGGTTCAAGACTTTCCAAGATTTAGTAAACAACTTTGATTTTGCGTTTACCAGTTTCCCTAGTAAAGGTGATGAAAATGTCGATGATGACTATTTACGCGTTGCTGATTGTTGTATTGAATTGATCAAGTTGCTTTCGTTTGGTACTATTGAAATTGGCGGATCTAATTTACATCAACAACCACAAACTGGCGCAAAGCATAGTTCGGAAATTCTTGGACAAGATCCATTCAGTACTGATTTTGGGTACTTGGATAACACGTCGAATTCATTTATTGATGATCACAGTTTTCTTCATCATGAGAACACCAATAACAATCATGGACATAGTGCATCTCAAAACACAGTCAAGATTCAATTCTCATCGCAATTTGAACCGACAAAGGATCTCGTTCATGCACAAATGTTGTTTCATGCATTCAATACCATGGTTTTGTTTTCAATATATTTGATTAGACGTAAATCGTTACTTTGCAAACAGGGACTACTCGGTGATGAAACACATTGTGAATCATTGAAACCGCTCACAACTAAATTGCAACTGATGGTATCGGTGGTTGATCAAATTGCAGCAGAATTGAACCAACATGGTTATAAGCACCCTGGAGGAGATGAGTTTGGTGGTGGTGGTGGTAGTAATGCGGGCATTGCTAATCCTTCATCAACAACATCGCCTTTGCAACCGGGTGGTGGTGGTGGTTCTTCTGCACATACCAGTCCTCAAGTGAAATTGGAACATGGTTGGTCGACGTTATCCTACTTGACGAGTGGAAACCCTGCTGCGGCTACTGTTGCTGTTGCAAATGACACTTTAGAGCCAAGTATAGAAACAACATTGCACATTCTTGATGTTGGTGAATTGATGATGAGTTATTTATACGAGTCGCAATTGCGCGTCTCCATTTTGAAGAAATTGGCGGTCAACTTGCTGATGATGAAACGATATGTGGTTGAGAATAAAGATAAATTGGTAGATTAAAAGAGGGTGGATAAGAAGCAAATACGGTCTAAAGTATGTATTTTATTTCAAAAACTATAAAACACAGTGTATTTATTTAAGTAAAGTCTCCTGTAAAACTTGTATATCTATTTTGTTATTTTTTAACCAAGTGTTCTTGAATCGTATAAGAAATCATTCAAGCCCAGCGTGTACATGAATTCGTCCAACAGATCATCATTTGGTGTTCTGTTAGGTCCGCTCGCTATACCAGGAAATGATCCACTAGGCTGGTTGGCCGTGGCATTGCCAGAATTGGATCCACCACCTCCCATAGCTTGCCCAGGTTGTGTCTGTGGCTGCTGCATGAAAACAGGTGACTGCTGTTGTTGTTGATGATGATGTTGTTGTTGCTGTTGTTGCTGTTGCTGCTGTTGCTGCTGGGGTTGTTGTCGAAGCTTCTGTGGTTGTGATGGCCTTTCTTGTAGACTAAATTGTTGGCTGTACAAATTGGACCCCGTATCATCCAAATTTGCCGACTCATACGACGACGACCCCGACCCTGATCCCTGTCCATAAGCAGCATAGCCACCTCCCACGCCACCACCGCCATAGTCATTCACTGGCAATCTTGATCCATCCACACCTTGAGTTGACGTCAAATTCAGACCCATTGTCGCGATGGGCAACAACAAGGACCCGAAATTTTCCATAAAATTGTCGTAATCTTTATTGAATATATCGTGTGGTAGGAAATGTTCTTCGGTGGTTGCTGATGATGAGGTTGGCGTTCTTCCTGAGTCATAGGACAGACTGGGTGATATGTGATTAATATTTGATTGTCGTGGTTGCTGTTGTTGCTGTTGTTGTAGGTTGTACAGATTTTGCAGATTTTGCAGATGTTGTTGTTGCATTGGTTGGCTGGGGTGGGCAAACTGGTTGTTTGGCAAATTGTACAGTAGTGACTGGTGCATTTGTTGAGACTTGTTCCCATTCGATGGTGTGAGTAACTGAGTTGTTTCCTTTGCTTCCTTTGCTTCCTTCTTTAGTTTCTTTTGTTTACTTGACTTCCTTTTAATTCCATTCACATCTAGGTTGAAATTTTCCATCAAAGTATTTTGCATTTGATTTATGATTACATAATACCTAGTTGCCATGATATTAGTCTTGGAATAAAATTGAAGCACTCTCTTAGCAGAATTTAAATGAATCATCATGGTTTGAATAGTAATCTTTTCGTCTTTATAGTCGTAAGTCTCCAAGAATAATGCAGTCATGCCCGTGATTAACGATGCCATCAATACGGATGAAATCAATGCATTTGACTCGCATCTTTCCGGTAGAAATCTGGTATAGTTGATATAGCATTCCATCAACTGAATAATCAAACTCGAAGCTTTGATTGCTGCTCGACAAAAGTTGCAAATGGCAATTTCTTGTCTCCCCTTGGGTTTTTGGAATATTTTACTTTTATTCAGTTTGAAATTGATGTACATGAAAAAAGGTCGTGATAGAAGGATAACCGTGTACAAGTGTGACAAGTGAATCAATAATAGTGAAATCTTGCGATCATCAAATTCTCCATTGGGATTTTGATCACCATCATCATTCACTGCTTTATCCATTTGCAACTCTTCCGGCAAATTTGATGCCCATTGCTTCAATTCAACCGCCAACTTCTCTGCCTTGATAGTATTGACAACGCCATCAATGTAAAATTGGCGGATGATTTTACCAATGAGTTTTGCCACTTTGGTAGTCTCAATCAATGCTTTCAAGTTGTAATTCTCAATAGGCTCACCATTGGCATCCAATTCGTAAATATCAGTAGTATCAAAATCATCCCAGTCATAATCATCAATAAGTAAGGGACGTCCCAAAGTTACCGATGTGATACGATCCAATACGTACAAACTTTTGTACAATTTCCTTCTATGTCTGACATACCCTTTGTCAGTAAATGACTCATTGATGAATTTTCGATGAAGACCCAATCCTTGAGCATTCCTCACTGCTATACCTAGTATCAACCATGCAGTGCTTCGTTGATGCGTTGATGAATAGTAGAAAAATGCAAGTGCCATGGCCTCAGATATCCATAGTTTACCCACATTCATATACTTTTTAGCCAAATGGATTCCAAATTCGAAATAAGCCGATGACTTCATTTGTGGAGACTCCATATTTTGACAGATTGGATCACCAATTATTTCTGCATACAAGAGCCCCACACCAATCATTAAATTCATTAAAGAAATTTGGTCAACTGAACAATCACCATAGTTGTTGTATATAGGGGTAATGACGGTTTTTTCAAAATGTTTAATATCAAACAAGTAACAAGCTTCGTTGACATTTATCAAAAACAACCGCAATATCCTTTTCAAATTTTCACGACTCGGTAATGCCATTTGCACAACTTCTTGAACTTCATCGGTATCGTCAAATATTTCCAACGAATCAGGTTCTTCGGTGAATTCTGACTTACCAATAGTTTTGGCAAAAATGCTTCTGCATTCAAAGAGAAAGGATAATGGAGCTGATTCACCAACATATTTCAAATTGCCTTCCGCATCAAAAAGCACACGATGCAGCTCGGCCTCTTCTGCCCAACTATGTGTTTTGTGTGTGTTGTGAGTTTTTGAATGTGAATGTGAGTGTGAGTGTGAGTGCGAGTGTGAATGAGAATGGGGTTGCGAATGGGAGTTTGATGTACTTTGTGGTTTCTTTGTTGATTCAGTTGCATTTGTTTCAGTATTGTCCTTGACTACTCCTTCACCATCACTCTCTTCAACACTGCTAGAAACCCCCGACTCGTCATCGTCTTCTTCAATCAGTTCCCCTTCTTCCAACTCCGATTTTTTCTCAAATGATCCGTCGCTTTCATCAGACTTTCCAGTAACTGGGAACATTGTCAATGGTTGGAAATGTATAGGTAGTTGCGACAGCTTGTTTAACATGTTTAGTGATTTCCGATCAACTTGATCATTCTTGACAACTTTATGAACAAACTCTTTTGCGTGGGAAGTTGAAGATGTAGTCGTGACTGGTTGGTATGTTCCTGCATTCAAGGAACTATCCTTTTCAGCTTTGGTTCTTCTTTTTTTGTTTTTCCTCCGTATGGTTCTTCTATCAACAATACTGAATGTACACTCCATCTTCTTTTTCAGGCACAAGTCGCAAGGTGCTCTACCACTACATTTGAATTTCCTTTTTTTGCAATAATCACATGCACGTGACACTTTTGTTCGTTTATCTGTATCGATGCTATCTGACGGATCCATGGTGGTGGTGATTGTGATTGCTAGTTGTTAGTTACTGCGTGTAGGGAAAACGATGTTGAAGGTGGGGTCCAAAATATCGGTTCTAGCTTTTCTGCGGCGCACAAGAAAAAACAGAAGTTTGCTTAATGGTGGGGGTATTCAGTTAGTTGACATCCAGGTGGTAAAGGTGAAAAGAATGGTGTTTTGGTTAATCCTGCGATGGGTGTTACTTTGTAGTTACTATATCCAAGTCTCTAAAAGAACTATAAAACTTTATAGAAAGTAACCTCCTGGAAATGAAATTGTTGTTGAAAAATTAAAAGTATGTAATTACGTAAAAAAAGAAGGGACAAAAACTCATACTTAAAGAAGAAGACGAAAATTCTAAATTTAACAAACACACACGCACACACATACACAAGTGACATCTTTAAGGTCACTACAAACGGGAGAAGAAAGTACGGTATACCAACAAAACAATATATAACCCAGTACAGCCCTCTGCTCCTCGCATACTTTAAATGTCTCTCTTGCTGTCTCTCTTGCTGTCTCTCTTTCTCTGCAGAATGAGGTTTCCACAAACACACACACACACACACACACACACACACACACACACACATCTCCACCCCCAGAAAAAATTTGACATACATACCGCACACAAGAGAAAAGCACACCGTAAATTGTTGGGAAATTGTCTAAATAGAAAACACGAAATCAATGCAAAGCAAAAACAATAAAAGAACAAACAAAGTCCACAAATGGTAAGACCGGGTTGACTCTACTATACACACACTTTACAAAACAATAGAGAGAGCTTCGCCTTGATTAACCTCATACATACTACAACTTCTACCTTCACAAAAGGCAATACCTTTTGATATTGTGTCTTTCTTGTCTCATTCTTTTTTTTTTTTTTCTGAATTGGGATTCTTCCGCTAAACAAAACACCAATAGTACTTCTCTTCTCACTTCCCCCTCTGGAGGTATCTTCTCTTTCAAAATGCATCTAGAAGTAAGGGGCACTTACAGTTGAGTGATTCCCGATAGAGTTTTTAGGTTCAGGCTGCCCTAATGCTAGGTGTTTATCCACTTGTGGATGGTTAGTCAAACTATCCTTCTTTCGAAAAAGGGGTTTAACTCCGAGAGTGATATTATATATCTAAACTCCGGGATACAAAAAGAAAAATCACTGTCTCAAAAACTTGCATAATCATCTCTACTGCAAATGAATAGGAGGTACGTGGGGCGATGATGATGTAAGATGAGAGAAAAATGTAATGTTGCAACGAAAGGGAAAGTTTTATCTGCATGTCTTCTCCCTGCGTATAACCTTCAATCTGTTCAAGATAATGGGCAAGGGATCTCACTTGTGAAAGAAAACATTGCAATTTTTTGCACAGTAAAACTGGCTGAGCTGTGTTGGACTCTAAGCAAATTAGCATTCCAACTATTCGCGAAGCACCAACTTTTAAAACTCAAAAACAAACCGGCTCCGAGACACTAAACTCTTGCTTTCGTCAAAGCTGACTCAACTTTAGTTTGACACTTTAATGGTAGCGTAATACGTATGTGTCTTTATGGGTTCGGTGATCGGACTTGCCTAAAATGGAAACACTAATGCCACAGCAATTCAATCAATATTTTTGATTAGTAAGAAGCAAAGCATTGATAAACTTCCTTTAAACCATCATTATAAGAGCAATCCCATTACCACACACACTAACACACACACACACAACGCCATACACCAATTGACCTTCAACGTCTTTGTAAAATAATGTCATTGCCAATCAAGTTATACACATGCGGAACCCCTAACGGATTCAAAGTTTCCATCTTTTTGGAATTTCTTGGTCTCAAATACGATGCTATTCCCATAGACATTGGTAAGAATGAATCCAAGTCTGATTGGTTTGTCAAATTGAACCCCAATGGACGTATCCCCACCATTGAAGATCCCAACTTCAAGTCTGATAATGGTGGCAGTAGTGGTAGTGGACCATTGGTTTTAAGTCAAACAGGTGCTATATTGCAATATCTTGCAGACACTTATGATAAACAACACAAGTTTAGTTACCCTTATGGCACTGCTGAATACTACAAGACTTTGGAGTACTTGATTTTCCAAGTTAGTGAAAATGGACCCATCCAAGGTCAGGCAAACCACTTTATCTTGTATGCGAAAGAAAAAGTACCATATGCTATTAATAGGTACACTACCGATGTCAAGAGGATTTATGGTGTTTACGAAGACATATTGTCAAGAAACAAAGCTAATGAAGGAAAGTATTTAGTTGGTGATCGTTATACTGTTGCTGACTTTGCCTTGTTTGGATGGGCAGTTGCTTTAAAGGGATTGGATATCGATATTCATCAATGGCCATTATTGAGTAAATGGCATGATTCATTGTTGAAATTACCTCAAGTGAGGAAGGGTCTCCAAGCAGTGCCAGCCAAATGGATTGAAGAATTTCTTGAAAACATTGCTTGATAGAGATTCTTTTCACTTTGGATGTCTATCGGTAGCTTTATAAAGGAATTACTGGTCAGTTAGCTTACAACTGATTTTACTGTATAGCATTGGAAACTCTGTCAATCCTTCTCTAAATGCAATTAACAATGATCTAACAAATATACACAAATATGCATAATCAACTCTATAAATATAATCTAACCAGTAGATCAACACAAGAAAGCCAATGAAAACTCTCCCTCCTTCTTCCTTCCTCTTCCTCCCTCTCTCTCCCTCTTCCTCCTTCTCTCTCCTTCAACACAAGCAAACAAACAATGCATAAATAATCATGAAAGTGATCAATCCACTCATCCAACTATACCAACTCACATACATTGAATCAATTAGCTGATTATTTGTTCGTATATCCAAATAAAGCCAATAGTAATTGATACAATGATGCCTTTTGTCATTGATGAGTTTATATCGACTGTATTGTTGCATTGTTGATTTATTATACTGTTTGAGACTTGTGTATGGTTCAGAAAAGTATGTAAGATCTTCAGTTTCAATGGAGGCGAGGTATTGGTTTAGTTGAGATTTGAACTTGATTTGTGTTGGGTTGATGGGAGTGTTGGTGGTGCTGATGGTGGTGCTGATGGTGGTGGATGTGGTGGAAGACGAAGTAGTAGGGCGGTGTTCAGTGATGGATGGTGTGTGTGAACGAGGTTGGATTTGCGCCTCAGTGGGGCTCACTGCCATTTCCGTTTCCGTTTCCATTTCCATTTCATTACTTGGTGAAGCCGCCAACGCTACGCTTTTATATTGAGGTGGTGGAGAAGAAGGAACAATAGATATATCATCAACGCTCTTTTCATCAGCATTAAACAAACGTATGTTCTTTTCTTCAAGATCATCATCATCTCCTTTGTTTTCTTCCACTAATGAATCCTGCAACTCATCCAATGATATCCGTGGTGAACATTCAGTAGTAGTGACAGTATAGTTAGGTACCTTTTCTAAACAACAGCAACAACACTTATCCTCACCTTCACTCTTGGATGACGCATCATCAACAAAAATGGTACTAGTGCTACTTGATCTGCTTCTTGTAGAAGGTTCGAACTTTGTGTTTGATGATGATGATGATGGTTTGTTTATGATATGTATTTTGACAATAGCACTCTTTTTGAACTTGGTCAACTTAGCAAGCCTGGCAAGCTTGGCCTTGTATTTAAGATATGTCTTGCTGTTGATATTACTAGTGTTGCTGGTATTGCTTTTGGTGATTGCAAGTGTTGGTGGTGCCACATCTGTGGTGTAATAATCTGGTTGTAGTTGTGGCATAGTTTATGTGTGAGTAATGACTAGTGTAGATCAGCACTTTGAGAATTCAGAAAAGGGCATGAAAAAGTAGTGATTTTTTGAAAGGTATACTCTTGATTAATCTCAAAACATATCACCATCAGTGTTAAAGTTGTAGATTGTGATAGAAACTTGCTCGATATATATATATAATACAGTGTAAGTTGTGCGATTGTGATAAAATCCAGCGGTTAAAATATAAAATCATCACAAAATAAATAAACAAAAAAAAAGAAATTTTCTTCTTTCTTTGTTCTGCAGCAAACAAAATGAATCATCCATCGGGAATAAAGGGAAGAAACATCCGAAACTATAACTTAACATAAATCCTCTCCCATCTTCCATCCCCATAAACCTTAAAACCATAGCAAGAAATAAAGTTTCATACTAGACTTGAATGACACCTTTTTTTTTATATATGTCTTGTCCTCGGATATGCTTGGAGATTAATACAACAACATTTAGGGTATTGTTGTTGAGAGTCTATTGTCTATATCATTTAGTTTCCGAGAATATTTCTTCTTTTTTTGCGTCTATTGTTTTGTTACAACTAAGCCGCATAATATTCATAGTTGTTGTGATACACGCTTTGCTCCTGAAACGCATAAACAATAGCCAACAATAGACACAGGACATATGTATCTACGCTTGCGTCACCTTTTTGCTGCTGTCTCTCTTCTCCCTGGCTCTTTATTGTCACCTCTATCCTCAATACGTATTTAGCTTAGTTCGTGATGAAAATACAATACTTCACTTGTCTTGTTCGCAGCTTATTTGTGTAACATTACATTGCATCGAAATTTGGACAAGGAAACAACAACAAGCGTGGTTGCAACAATCATGTAACTATTGAACGACATCTACATCTCATGCATCTGTTCCACTCAGAAATGAGCTAGACTTTCACAAGATGTAAGAAAAAATTTCGGTTTCATTCCGGTTGCGTGGAAGTGGGGCAGATCCTTTTGAATAAAATTGAACTTTACCCCACTATTATCCCCTCCAAACGTTTGATTTACAACTTTTTTTTTTTTGCTCACCTTACCTTTTATTGTCCTTTGTGAAGTCTACAATGCCGAGGCAAACTGGTAATAGCGATAGATACACCCTCACAACCAAAGATCTTACTCGTAAATGTGTCTAATAATCTACTTCCCCGATATTTCGTTCTTATAGTTGCGTGGTTGCATGATAGCAATTCTATGCACACGCAAAAGTTTAGAAAAAAAATGCAACCACTAAACTCCATCTAGCAAGTGTTTGCTTACCGCCACTTATCTATTACTTTTGCTTCCACGCCAGGCGAGAGAAAGCAAGTTTGATGTTACAACGACATTTCACTGCTCATTCAAGAGTTTGCACACTTTGTTCCATTTTGTTCGTGTCGCAAATTGAAATTTTCCTTTTTCTTTTATGTTCCTCCATTTTCCCGAAACTTTCCTTTTTCCCAAAACACCCGAACCATGGAAGTGTGCAATCAGCTGTAAGTTTTTCCTCGATCCATCCTTTAAGGAGGGCCTGCATCCATCATATCAAGAGGAGCACCCACGTAATGTGATTCCCAGAGTAATCACCCCGTTGTAAATAACTCGTGCCCTATACACATACATGTCATTATCATTCTATGGTTACGAGCCACAGTACTTGACAAAATACGAGAGATCTCTTTTTTTGTCTAAGCAATTTGCATCTGTCTTGAAGATTGTAGTTTAAATACTTTTCCAATGTAACACAGAACTTCAACAACAACTAAAAATGCTTTATTTTTGCTTGGCATAGACTTACCGAATGCGGTATTTATTGCGCTTTTGTTAAAGTTTGCGCTTCATTCACAACAACAAATGCATGCATCAACAAGCACCAGGAAAAAAGAGTTGCAATGGACAAAGGGGAAGGGATATACATTGCAAACGAAAAACAGAGATCTCAATACAACCACACTTGTTCCCCAGAATTTAAATCATGATAAACGTAATAAAAATGTATATTATTACATAGTATCACTTTCATACGTACCTTCTTCAACTGACACTTACACAATTATCACGAAGTCTCTAAAGAAAAAGCCAAAGGAAAGACCAACCGAACAATACTTCGAACACAACAAATGCCAAGCTAATGCCCCTCAGTTGAAAGCTACGGTTGCATCTTTACGCAAATAAACCTCCTCTTTCGATAAAAATAGAAAGAAAAGACTTTTGGCTGGGTATCAAATTCGTCCAACTGTAAAGATATAATCAATCATTTCTTTTTTACCCTCCTTCTGTTGCCTAGTTTTACCTAATAGGTAAAAATGATTGTTACCTTTGAACAAAAAGAATTAAAATGCATAAACAACCAATGTAATCACAATCCACCACGCAAACTACTTTAATATAGAATAGATTGATGAACAAAAGTGCTACACTTGTGTGAACTGACCTTTTATATCACATAATAGCAACGGAATACTCTTACAGAAATCCCACCAACTAAGAAACATAAAAAAAGAAGGATCTCCACAAGGCATTTGATAAGAGAATTAACTAAAAGAATAATTTTCAGAGTCTACAGTACGTCATTATCAATACAAATAACTAATTAATAAATGCATTTGTAGTTTCTTTTCATCAATCAAAGTTGGAATACGTACTTTACTCAACAATGTATGGCTAGCTGCGCCAACATAACAATGAACGCATTCAAAGATAATGTGAGACACTATGACCCTGTGTTCCATCATCAAAACTTACAAAGTTATATCTAAGAAGAGAAGGTGTATCTAGAAGGAAGACGCATTCTACCAGACATTAGTGTAACGTACGAGCATCGACTTCCCGAACGTGATTGTGCTGAGGTGTACACAATACACTTCGTGCTCGCCCAATAAATCCTGATCAAAGTTTTTGAATTTTGATCAGGAGAGTCTGTAATCGATTACTCTTTGTTGTCCCAACTGTAAAAAAATACAATCAAAAGCACCCCTGGTCTTGACACGAAAAGGACGTCTTTCTTTGATTGTAAGTTACAGTTATCGTTTTCTTTTGATCGGCATATTCACAACAACCTTTGGCTCTTCCAATTGTATTTACATCATACGCGGTTATATGATAGATACCTTTGAAAAAAGTCCATAGCAAGACCCAAAAATAAATGCAATAATGCACACCATTTTCCAAGACCTGGTAAATCCTCTGGTGATACCAAAGACGTTGCTGTCAACCATTACATCGTCTACTTTTTCAATCTTTAGTAATTGTGCAGGATATTTAATTCCATTTAGTTTCTTGATTTTTAAATTTTGCAACAGTTTTACAACAAATATTCAATCGATTTGTGAAAACCTCCACACTTCTACCTACAAACGTTTGAAAAGTGCATATATTTACATACATATGCGAGTAAAGTACTGTATTTCAAGTAGAATTAATCCCTTTTTGCTTAGTTATCAGCCATTAGAGATTTTTACACGTGACTGTTTGTTTTGCCGATCGTAAAACTGGCTATAATATTTGCGAACTACACGCTCTTTTAGCTCAGTTGGTAGAGCGTTGCACTTGTAATGCAAAGGTCACTAGTTCGACTCTGGTAGGGAGCAATTGTTTTTTTTTTCGTCACAGTGATATAAGAGATATACAAAGTTACCCACCATGCTATATCTCTTTCCTACCTCTGCTCGTCTGTTCTTTATTTCACAACTTTTTCTCTCGTTTGTCACTTTCCCGATTCAATTTTTTTTTGCCACTGCTCAAATCTGGTGACAAAAGCGGGACAAAAAAGAAAAGAACAAATCAAAAACAAAAAAACTTACAAAAGCAAGGTTCGATTTTAACAACAGGAAACCATATAGATTTAGGATGATACCAATACTCAACAGACGACTAATATCAAACCAGCGCTGCATCACAAACAAGCGGGCACTTCTCATAAGACCAGCACTGAGAAACACATCCAAGTTTGTATCCTATCCTCATCGTCATCACCACAACAATGGCATATTAATTCCCACCAGAAACATTGGCTTCATCAAAGTCTTGGCCAAGGCTACGAGATTACCTGCATATTTAGGAGGTGGACTAGCTGCAGGTGGAACATACATTGCATATAAAGTTGAACAAGCAAGCTCTTACACCCAAGATCAATTAAGTCGGTTCAAGGATTTTACTGATGGAGTGTTTGACAAGACGGGAGAATTTTTTAAGAGCATGAGTGGTGCGGACAGTGTTAATGGAAGTGGTGGTGGTAATGGTGGTGGCAGTGGTGGTGGCAGTGGCAGTGGAGGTGGAGATAACTCTGCCACAGCAATTGGGGCAACTGCTGCAGCCGTTGGTCTCACCAGTGACGACGAAGATGATACCGCAGCGGAGGAAGATGATGACGACATGGAGACTCTCATTGAAGAAGATGATGAAGAATTTGAAGGACCTGACGAAACCGACGACAATATGTTAAACCTCACTCGTCAAATGATTGAAATAAGAAACTTGTTGGCAAGTATAGATCATGACGGGATCAAGCTACCCTCGATTGTAGTTATTGGCTCACAATCGAGTGGTAAATCGTCCGTTTTGGAAAGTATTGTTGGGCAGGAATTTTTGCCAAAGGGGTCCAACATGGTTACCAGAAGACCTATTGAATTGACATTGGTAAACACACCAGAGTCAGCTTCAAATGTCGCTGAATTGCCTGCTTTGAAAATCAACAATTTGACAGATTTTACACAGTTGCAAAAGATCTTGTATGATTTAAACATGGCTGTGCCGGAAAGTGAATGTATTTCAAACGACCCCATTCAAGTGACTATAAGATCACCGAAAGTGCCAGATTTGTCATTGGTTGACTTACCAGGGTATATCCAAGTGGAAGCTGCTGACCAACCTACTGAGCTTAAGAAAAAGATTAGAGAGCTTTGTTTCAAATACTTGGAGCCCCCAAATGTTATTTTAGCGATTTCTGCAGCGGACGTTGATTTGGCCAACTCAGCTGCTCTTAGAGCATCAAGATTGGCAGACCCTAGAGGGGAAAGAACAATCGGTGTGATTACAAAGTTGGATTTAGTTAGTCCTAAGGAAGCACACCTGATTTTAACTAACCGCAAATACCCGTTGAGATTGGGGTACGTGGGCGTTATTACAAAAGCTCCACAAGCTAAAGGAAATGCAAGTTTATTTTCCAGAAACAAAGTCACTGGTTATCAGGCATTCGTAGCGCAGCAGAATTTTGAACACAATTATTTCAAAGAACACAAGGAAGACTTTTATGGAACTACTGTTGGTACGAGAAACTTGAAAAAGAAACTAATGAAGGTGTTGGAGAAAACCATGGCAGCGTCATTAAGACCAACGCATTTGGCCATTCAACAAGAGTTGGAAGAGACATCGTATCAGTTCAAAGTTGAATTCAACGATCGCCCATTAACACCAGAAATGTATTTGGCAAACAATATTGACATGTTAAAATTGGGCACCAAGGACTTGAGTCACCATTTTTCTCGTAATGAATTAAAAGCTATTCTAAAAAATGCTTTGGATCAAAAAGTATTGGATTTGTTAGCGGAAAGGTATTGGAACAAACAATTTGAATTGAATAGTTCCACCATAGTGGAGCCAAACTTGAAGGAACTAACTCAGGCTATTCATGATGATGATATCTATTGGCACAGGAAACTTGATCTAGCCTCTGGTTCATTGACGAAATTGGGTGTTGGTAGAATGTCAACAAACTTGATAACTAATGCACTTTTAACTGAAGTGGACAATCTCGTTGACAATACGCAATTGAAAAACCATCCGATGGCAAAACAAGCAGTTAAAGATGCCGCTAAAACCGTTTTGAGTGCCAAGTACTACTCCACTGCTGATCAAGTAGAGAACTGTATCAAGCCATACAAGTATGAAGTTGAAATTGAAGATCGTGAGTGGGACGCATCAAAAGCCAATGCTGTCGCTTTACTCAAAGAAGAAATGAGACAATGTGATGAAGTTTACAATGACTTGAAGCATCATGTCGGTGGACGTAAATTGCAACAAGTTGTCACATATTTGGAAAAATTGAAACAATCCAAATCAAACGACATTGACCTCACATCAAATGAGACATTGGGATTCTCACCAACCTTGATTCAACGTGGTAAAGATGCCATTTTTTTGAAAGATCGATTGTCATTACTTAAAATGAGGTACCTGTTTATCAAGAATTCCAAAAAATGCAAATCAAAGGAAAACAAGTATCAATGTCCTGAAGTATTTTTGGATGCAGTGGCAACAAAGATATCCACCACGGCGATTTTGTTTCTTAATGTTGAACTATTGAGCGACTTTTATTACAATTTCCCCCGCGAATTGGATGTTAAATTTTTCACCAATTTATCTAAGGATGAAATTGAACGATTTGCCAAAGAAGATTCCAAAGTCAAGAAACATATTGAATTACAAGAACGTAAAGATTTATTGGAGAATGCATTGAGCAAAATCGAAAGTGTTTTGGCGATCCAACGTGGTCAACTGAAAGATAAAGAAGAGGAACTGAAGTCAATATTTAAGTGGTAGGATATAGGGCTTTTGTAAATAGAAAGATGAGAAGTAACGGTGAATGTATATTACTTGAGAATGTTCGATATACGATCAAATATGGTTTCTATTTGAATTCCATCAAGGTTTTGGAAAATAGGTTGGAATGTATGCAAGTCAATGACTTTAGATCCATCATCCTCATCAATATTTTCAGTTTGTCCATTGGATTGGAATTTCACTGGTGCTGTGGTACCATCATCTAATAAATCAACATTTGCTTGAGCCGTGATCAACATTTGATTAATCTCATTGGCCAACCCAGTCACTTCAATTGACTCCATCTCCAACAACGCAGAGTTCATTGATCCAACACGTGTTTCTAAATCAATAAACAAGAATCCATTACTGTCATTTCTCACTGCAGCAATACCCAGGGAGTGATTTTGCACCGATACTGGTTTCAATTGATCTGGTTTGAAAATGTACAATTTAGACCCGATTTGTAAATTCTCCAAATCAGATTCGTAATTGGTGTACGAATTGATTGCTAAACAAATTAGGTTCCTTGATGGGTCGATGGTCATCATGTTTTTACCTCCACTGGTTGTAGACACTCTGGTGACTAGATTTGTCAATTGACCCTTGATTAAATCGTAAACAAAAAATCTCGTCTTTGATAAAACAACAAGGTAATTGTTCAAATATTTAATGGTCCTGATCTTTGACTCAGTTAATACAGGTAGCTGAAACTCCAATGGGTCAAATGTCCTACTATCAAAACAAGTAATTGAACATTCATGGGATAGAAATATGATGGAACTATCATCTGACCATGCTAAAGCTACTGCGTCGGATGTTGTATTTGAAGATGGCCTCTGCTTCCTCAAAGTCCAAGTAATCTGTTGTGATTTATTACCTGGATTGGCCACCTTGTAGGCTTCCTTAGGGTACGATGGTCTCCATACACGAAGTCCACCTTTGTTATCAACAGTTAAAAATGCTACCCCATTGAAGTAGGAGCCAGGTGCTGGAATCATTGACATTACTGGTGTTGATTTCCCATGAGGATCAATAACCTTTGTCGTTAATTCCCAATATCCATTTCGATTATCACGATCTTTATCCTTCTCCTTATCTTTGTTTTCAACGAATTTCCAAAACTTTAATGCATATTGCTTATCATCTGTAGACAAAAGACAATCGATTTCCGCACTGGCAACTTCATCGTAAGTACACATCCATTCACCATCTTGAGTGAATTGAAGTAGTGAGATTTGTGGATCGAGCAATTTAGTTTCTGAACGTACTTTACCCGTGGGTAAAACTGGTGCTGCATGTTGAATAAAACTTTGTTCATTCTTGACCAAATCAAATGACTGAATTGATGAATCATTGGGGAAATACAAGTTTTTTGTCTTTGGGTGAATTTCAAATTGACAACTATAGTCGTATCTCAATTTGAGTTTGTTGAACTGATCCAAACCTTCTTTAACAAGCCTTTTCCTGGTTCGAGATAAAGTGGTTTTTAGGTTGTTGGTGAACTTGGGTCTTATTGTATTTACCGATAATCTTGACACAAGATCCACCAAGGACAACACCAAGATTTCGTAATTGTTGACACCCGTTTTCAATAGCAATTCAATATAGTCGTTCTTGCTATTATCAATGTTTATCTTGTCAATAACTCCATTCAATCTTGGTAGAAATTGTTTCTTTTCGGTCTCCAACTGCCAAAATACCAATACTTTTTCAGCACCACCAGAAAGAAGGTAATTGTTATCATGCGAAAACTGCAACGCATTCACTTGATCAATGTGCCATTTGAACACACGTTGTTGCGACTTGTCATTGTTTACTAAGCCACCATACAATATTTGAATCACCCCCGCATTTGTTCCCAAGGCAATTAATGAGTCATTCGATACTGCTAGAGAAGTAATCGGTGATCTATACTGGAAAGGTATCACCTCTTTCATAATCAAAGACTCCAAATTTTGAACTGATGTCGTCGTCACCTGTGGATCTTCTTCACTATTGGCGTAGTAGGTGGCTAAATCCAACAACAATACCTTGTGGTCTTGCATGACAAATGCCAACTTTCTGTAATCTAGGGACACGGCATACAATAACACATTGGGAACATCGCCAATGACTGATACCACCTCCGATGTTCGATCGATTGAATTAATGAATCTCGTATGTGGACTAAATCCCTTCTTCTTGTCCCTTTTCCCCGTAATGACAACGAACTTGTTATGTTTCACGCAAACCACCGACAACAAAAGCAAGTTACCCAATTGCTGTTGTATTGAAGTCCTGGCCACTACTGGCTCGCTCAATTTGTCCTTGAAATTAACAGTAATGATTTCACCAAAACTTGTGAAAAGAATTACATGGTTTGGATTCGTTACGTCCAACTTGATATCAGCCAAATCGTTCAAATCAAGGTCTATCGTTTTAATGCATTGCCTAGTGGATATAAAATATACTCGAATCTGATGAGTTAAGGTAGTGATCAAGTATCTTCCATCGAGAGAGAATACTGATGCTGTAGTTTGTGAATACGGGAAATATGTCGGTACTCCACCTGTTAACATGGAAAGTGACCATTCATCTATGCTAGTGGAAGGCATCCTGTGGATGGTGAACGAGTAAGAGAGCGTGTGTATGTGTATGTGTTTGCAGAACTCTTTTGCACTGAGATTTTGAAATTTTTTTAGCTGAATGAGATGAGGAAATGAGACTTCAAAGTGAAACACAAAAAGAATGAAAGAAGTTCTCACCAGACATCGACAAAAAAAAAAGAGAAAATTCACCATCATCACTAAACTATTATCACGTTATCATTACACTATCATTCTCCACTTTTGTATACTTGATTTCTACATTTCATAGCGAAGACTTGCTACTTCTTTGTCTGAAGAGAATTTTCCGTCACACGATACACAGCCTCCAAAAAGTCTTCAATCAACCTCCTTTGAATCTTTTGTCCCATTTATAAGAACAAACAAAAACAACCCCCGACAGCCTTCACATTTTCATCATGATTATTCCAATACGTTGTTTCTCCTGCGGTAAAGTAGTAGGCGACAAGTGGGAAACTTATTTAGAGTTGCTACAAGATGAATCCATGCCTGAAGGTGAAGCTCTAACTAAATTGGGCTTAAAGAGGTATTGTTGCAGAAGAATGGTTCTAACACATGTCGATTTGATTGAAAAGTTTTTGAGATACAATCCTTTGGAAAAGAAGGAAATTAATTAGGGAACGAGGGAGTGAAACATATTTGGCTTACCACGCAGAATCTGGGTTGTGGCCAGAGAGAACGTTGTAGGCTACTATAACTCCATGTATTCTTATAGATAAAATATTATTACATTACGAAGATTCGTGATTGTAAAGCTCTACCTGTATTCTATGTGCTCTCTATTCCCCTAGTTGCCCGCTTTGGCAGTATCGATAGCTTGCAAGTATTCATAGAACCAAGCATGTAATTGCAAATGCGCATCAAACTGTAATTTCTCGTCCACTGAATGTATTCCATTTTCCAAAAGGTTGGCAGTATAAAATGGCGAATATCTGAAAATGTGTTTTGTCAAATTCCAATAGTATCTCGTATCAGTGTTTGGCGTCATAAGAGATGGCGCGGCCACGATTGGATATGTCAAGTTGGTAAACACTAAATCCTCAAACACGTGTCTTGTAACACCAGACAAATACGACCAAACTGTGTCATCAGTTGGTGTCACTGGTGCCGTCTCTAAACCAGCATCACCAGTGATTTTGAACTCACCAGAATATGGGGTACCTTTTGGAGGTTGATACACTGTTAAACCAAATGCAGTTACCTTCAAGTCATGTCTTTTGGCAACTTCAACTACACGTTCAGTGAAGTGATGTTTGACATAAGCCACATTAGAATCGACCGAGATTCGGTGATTCACACCTAATTTGGTGTCTTCAGGCAACGCGTTAACTTTCTCCCCGCCTTTAATAATATCCAACGCCTGCGATGTAGAGAGTAAGTATCTAAACCACAAGTTCTGCGTAATCTTGGCAACCAACTTAGAGTTTGCAAATTTATCGAACCCGGCTCTCAAGATGACCTTTTTGAACGTTTTTGGAATTTTCTTTTTAGGGTCATGTAGAGCAAGACATTGAAAATATTTGAGTGTTGGGTTTTTATCGGTTAATTCGGGTTTGAATGGATCTTTTTCAATGATGTAACCTAATTCAGACATGATTCCGATTGATGTATGATCAGGTGGGATGGATGAGTGACCTCCTGGTGTCAATAATTCGACATAGATATCCAGGCGACCCTTTTCGGCTGTTACTGGAGTAGCAATAATAGTGTCAGTGAATGCATCAGTACTCAAACCGGTGCCTTCATCAATTATAGCGTAAATTGAATTCTTGCCCCATATTTTTTCTAAATATTTGGCAATGTAAAGTGCCCCATTTGAACCTACACCTTCTTCGTCAAATCCGAATGCCGCAATAATGGTTCTACTTGGATTGTGACCTTGTTTGAGTAGAAGCTCCAATGTTTCCAAAATAGCAATCAATATGTTCTTGCAATCAAAAGCACCTCTACCGTAGATGTACTCTCCATCGTAATGTCCTTCGAATGGAGGATAAGTCCACTGATCCAAAGAATCCTTTTGAACTGGGACTGTATCTTGGTGAGCAGCTAACAAGATTGGTTTGAGATTTTTGTTTGCCCCTTTCCAAGTATAAACCAACCCATAGGTGTTGACTGTAGTCACCTCCAAGTTTTCGTATACCAAGGGGAAGGTATGTTGCAAGTACTTGTGGAACTTTTTGAATTTTGACCACACTTCAGGTGCATCATCAACATCAGGTTGATTGTCAAAAATTTGAGTGTCAATCTGAATAGCTCCAGATAATCTCTCAATTGATTGTTTTCTGTACTTTGAATCATGCAAGATATTCAACACAGAAGAGTTGTCCTTGTGGAATGAGGGAGGGGCAATCAAATCTTGCAAGGGGCAGATGTTGGAGTTTCCATCAGGAATTGGCGTGATTGCAATCTTGAAATAGTTGAACAAGTTTGTTGAAAAGAAAACAACTAGTAAAACGATGAAAGTCAATCCTCCAATGATCGTGTACTTTCTTCTCTTTGTCGTGGCTTCACCGTCCAATGGTAATCCAATCATGATGTATTAGTATTAAGGAACGCTTAATGGTGAAAGTGTGAACCTAATCAGTCATTCTTTATTTAAAGCAGAAAATTTAAGCTTTACGTCGAGTGAAGAACCGGAGTTAAATTGTCGTTTCACTTTGAAGTCACACAAAGATGGTTAATTTGCTGTATGGAAACAACCAATGCGCCTTCTGTTCACATGCTTGGAATCATAATTCCGTTTTTGTGCGCACTTGTACAGTTTGAAATAGATTTGAAAACCTTTTCGGTCAGATAACGTTCAAATGTTAAAAAGCACATTTTATCTCAATCTGATACTCAAATGATGTTTTACTCAGTTGGAAACTGTCGGAGGAACTGACCGTAAAACAGACGAAAAATTCGTCTAGTAAACACCCCTTGAGCAGGAAAGGTGATGAGTATCGTAAATTTATAGCTCACGGTCAGAATTGGTAGTTTATTCTATCGCAACACACGATGCGCTAGAGAGAGAATACTTCTACAATCAAGCATTTTGTTCTGTGTCTTATATGTTTCTTGTTTAATTCTCAGCCTTTGTGGTATCGATAGCTTGCAAGTATTCATAGAACCAAGCATGTAATTGCAAATGCGCATCAAACTGTAATTTCTCGTCCACTGAATGTATTCCACTTTCAAGTATGTTGGCAATATAAAATGGTGAATACCTGAAAATGTGTTTTGTCAAATTCCAATAGTATCTCGTATCAGTATTTGGGGTCATGAGTGCTGGTGCGGTTACAATCCTATATGTCAAATTGGTAAACACTATATCCTCAAACACATGTCTTGTAACACCAGACAAATACGACCAAACTTTGTCGTCCGTTGGGGTGAGTGGAGCAGATTCCAATGGAGCGTCACAAGTGATTTTGAACTCACCAATATTTATAGCTCCCTCAGGCTCGTAAGCAATCTTCCCAAATGCAGTAACTCTCAAATTGTGCTTCTTGGCAATCTCAACTACACGTTCGGTAAAATGCTGTTTGACGAATGCTACATTAGACTCAACATCAATACGGTGATTTACACCTAGTTTAGTATCCTCAGGCAACGCATTAACCTTTTCACCTCCTTTAACGATATCCAATGCTTGTGATGTTTTCACCAAATATTTGAAATACCTATTTTCACCAATTTTAGCCACCAACTTCGAGTTTGCAAACTTGTCAAACGCTGATCTCAAAATAACCTTTTTGAATAGCCTGGGCATCTTCATTTTAGGATCATGTACAGCAAGACATTGAAGGGATTTGAGTATGGGGTTCGTTTCAGTCAATATTGGCTCATAAGGCTCTTCTTCAAGGAGACAACTCAATTGAGACATAATACCGATCGAAGTGTGGTCAGGTGGCATTGACGAGTGACCACCAGATGTTGTCAATTCAGCGTAAATGTCAATGTACCCTTTTTCACCAGTGGCTGGTAAAGCGATTATGGTGTCAGTTATTGGATTTGTGACCAAGCCAGGTCCTTCATCAATCAAAGCATAGACTGAATTCTTGCCCCATTTTGCCTCCAAGTATTTGCTTATCTTAGCGGCACCGTGATGACCTGATGCCTCCTCATCGAATCCAAAGGCAGCAATAATGGTTCTATTTGGATTATAACCTTGTTTGAGTAGAAGCTCCAACGATTCCAAAATAGCAATCAAGACATTTTTGCAATCAAAAGCTCCTCTGCCGTAAATGTATTCTCCATCATAGTGACCTTCCAATGGTGGGTAAGTCCATTTATCCAATGTATCTCGTTGAATTGGTACAGTGTCTTGGTGAGCAGCTAACAAGATTGGTTTGAGGTTTTTGTTTGCCCCTTTCCAAGTATAAACCAACCCATAGGTGTTGACTGTAGTCACCTCCAAGTTTTCGTATACCAAGTGGAAGGTATGTTGCAAGTACTTGTGGAACTTTTTGAATTTTGACCACACTTCAGGTGCATCATCAACATCAGGTTGATTGTCAAAAATTTGAGTGTCAATCTGAATAGCTCCAGATAATCTCTCAATTGATTGTTTTCTGTACTTTGAATCATGCAAGATATTCAACACAGAAGAGTTGTCCTTGTGGAATGAGGGAGGGGCAATCAAATCTTGCAAGGGGCAGGTGTTGGAGTTTCCATCAGGAATTGGCGTGATTGCAATCTTGAAATAGTTGAACAAGTTTGTTGAAAAGAAAACAACTAGTAAAACGATGAAAGTCAATCCTCCAATGATCGTGTACTTTCTTCTCTTTGTCGTGGCTTCACCGTCCAATGGTAATCCAATCATGTTGAGCTATACTGTGATTTCAATGATGTGGAAAAATGTTAATTGGAATTTGAACGAGTACAAAAGTTTATATAGCAAAGAAGAGAAATGTGGCTCGATACCTTTCGTCGATAGTTTTTCAATTTTTTGTGGCTTTAGGATTGTTGGCGGTTCAAAAAAGTTTGTCTATTCACATCACCAATTGGAGTAGTAAGCGATTGATATTTTTTTTTTTTTTTGACTCGGTTCCTCTTGGAGCCGCATGACTTCGGAGATTGCATACTCCAAAGCGGGAAATTATAATCCCGCTTACGTTTTTGTGATAAGAGTCAATATCGGTTGCGAAAAAAAAGGGGAGAACAAAAGAACGTACGATGCCGATCTTTTCAATCATGTAATGTATAGAGTTCTAATATTGACTCCTAAATGAGCATTAGGTGAACCTCTTCTAGTAACTGGTAAGTTACTTAAATTGAGACTTTAGGCTTGGAGGCGCTAATTCGTTCCTTGAATTCAGTCAAGGCACACGTCACTTCATTAAACTAAGAGTTTTTGAGCTTCCACGAAGGTGCACAAATCGGGGGAAACAAAATTTCAAGGCAAGCACCTCATGGGATTTGGGGGTATTAACTCACAAAGTGGATTTCAATACTCCTAGGGTGGGATTGAATTTAATGTGGAGTTTTAAATTTGCCCGTAGATAAACTTTGAAAACCATGAATTAAACTAAAGAGGTAATCGTAAAAAAGAGGGGTTTCTTTGACTTGTAACGTGTTCTAGCAATGTACATTATTGTAACATGTGACATTAACGTTGTAGCAATTTGGTGGTGTTCTCTACAGATACCTGAACGTTACCAGTATTATGCGAAAGTAATATTGAAAGTAAAATTGAGTCATCTAGATTAAGAAAAGCTATTGACGTTACATGATTTCGACGATGTTTCCTTCATTGTAGTATTCTCTCAATAGTGAGTACAACATTCTGGTTGTGTCATTTTTTTTTATTAGTATTGATGTAATTATCATCATCATTATCATCTTGTGATGGTGATAAGATATCGTCAGCATTGACTAGCTGTTGGTGTAGGTTAGCAACTAGGCCATCCGCTCTCTCTTCTGAGTTAATAAATACTGGTGGAGGTTTAGGAGCTTAATGGTACGAAAAGTCCTGCAAAAAAAAACCTAAAAAACAAGAAAATGAGACTCTCTCTTTAAAATGATTGATGATTTGGGTTTCACAACCACAAGAACAACATAAAAGGAAATCTGCAAATCTAGTGACCCCTTTTCAATTTTAATCATATATATGTGAAAAGTACAGGGAGGACAAACAAGTTAATGAAGATGGTTGATTAGCTCGTGGTTTGAGGACAACGAAGCTGCTTGTGTAACACCTTCGTCAAACGCTACCAAACGCTGTTTAATCGAAGATGGAAGGTGAAGAGGATGTTACACGTATGGAGTTTAAGGAGATGCGTTAGAAGTGAAAATGAATTTGCGAGTTAGAGTGCTATATAAATCTCCGAATCAGTACATCTTATATAGTTTGCTTAGTTAGTTTGAATTTAAGCTTATTTTATCTTATAAATCGAAGTACAGCCCTTACCGCTTGAAAAATAATCACGAGTATGTCCCACCATTTACCTTGAGTGTAGGTTGCCTGTGTTCAAAGCAAATCCATCAGATGGTTGAGTTCTATCTGCACACGTAAAAGAGCGGTATGTCGGTTTTAAAATAGGGTTGCCTTACTTTTTTGTGTAGTACCACTTCTTGTAAAGTAAAGCCAAAAGATGGATACAAAGAGTGGGCGATGCTATAAGACATCACTATCGGAGTCGGTAATTAGAATCCAAGTCATACACAATGCTGATCTTTTAAGATCTACATTGGCCTAAGTAACGCCTCGCAGACTTTGCATTTGTCTATCCTCTGTCATCATAGTTGTGTGAATTTTTCTTTAGAAATGAAGGTCAAACATTCCCCTTTCAAACGCAACATGCAAGAATTTAGGTTTGATATGAAAAAAAAAACAACATCGATAAGAATTGTGCTTGTTTCAGTAGCTGATAAGTTGCCCCATGTAACATGAAGAGAGAATGACCGAAGAGCAGGGTTGTATCTTGAGGGACAACAAAGATTCTGAACATATTTTTGTGAAAAGTCTCGAAACTACACAACCGTTTCACAAGAAAATTGACGGTTGACTCGAGTAGACTTAAAACCACAATTGACCAGTTTCGGCATCTAGATCTTGAGGTCACCATCAATGGATGCTCCATGCCATTTCTTACATACAAATGTCGCCTCTAAACACATATTACACGAGGAAGACTTCGTCGCTTTATGACACAACCAATGGCTAAGTGTCGATAGAAAACAATATTCAAATTAAGTGCTTGATCATTTATTCACCAAACTGCACGAGTCAATAGCAGATCGTTCAAGTCTAGTGAAAGTTATGACAAAAGTACCCGGCCACATAGACAAGACATTCCAAGGCTATTTTTCAAGGATCAAGAAATGAGATTATACCTGTAGAGTTCAGTAAAGAAACGCCTTCGAGGGCAGACAGATGCAGCTCACACTTTCGCTTGTGTGGATTATTCTGGAAGACTAAAAGAGGCAGTAATTTATTGGAATTTAATGAAAAACAAGAAATGAAAATAAGCCAAAGCGATTATGGGTTACACAGTATCATCTAACTGTAAGATGAATTTGGATAGCAACACGAAACAAATTGAATTGTACAAAGAGACAAAAGGAGTGACTGAATGCACCATTTGTTAATATCTGTCAAGGGGGACACTAAATGCAACAGCGTGTATCTTTGAGTTATATACTAGATAGTCCTACGCCTCATTGTTCTCTGTATGCGAACCTATGTTAACCTAGCGAGAATCGAGCCCACAAGGCTTGGCTACTAAAGAAGTCTTCAACGACCAAAATCTCTTCATTAGCGTCTCATCGAGATAAGATTTTGCACGGCGAATCAATTTGAGCTTGCGAATCACGCCATTGATGCCTAGTACTATGCTCAAGACCAAATGGATATTTAGTAGTATCTGCATCTAATATTTATGCGTAGACGTAGTATGTATAAACTAAAAAAAAGTGGATCGAGTTGAAAGTTAAAGTATCTTCCACTCCACGTAGTCACGTGAAACTATTATGGTGGATATTGCAACAATAGTAACTCAATTGAACTTGGGTCAAGAGCAAGAATCATTATTAGCTTTGACGTATTATGAATTATATATCCAAGGGGGTTATGAGTATAATATGAGAAATGACAACAGTAACACAAAACGCGGGTATTATATTCAATAGCTATATACAGTACAAAAAGCATCCACACATCAATAATTAAGACACCTTTTTTATTAATAGACGAAGACGCGAAAATTGAAAACAAATAAAAGCCAACAAAAAAACAAACAAACATATAAGCCCACTTTAAGATAAAACGAAAACTATACTTTGAACTACACAAGTCACACGAATATATGATGACAAGTCAGTTGCTTGCTATGGAACAAGATGAAGTCACATCAACAAGCCTCGGAAGAAATTCACATCTACACGATCTAACAACTCAGTGAAAGTGTATACTGTAGTGGGTTTCCTCCTCTTTCGTACCTTCATACACAGCAACCCTAGAATGATGTCATGAGGAAAAGAGAGGGGAATATATTGTTCACGTGTCCGATGTGCTCATTTGACCTGCCGATGTTACTGGATCATATTTTCTTGAAACAATAGTATTATTAAATAAGCCCCCCTTAATTATGTTATTGTTGTACGCAATACCACTGATTATTTCAAAGGAGTACGGTAAATGCATTGTTAATATGTCAAAAAATATTACACAGTTATTAAAATGCCTAGAAACACCAAGGGAAATCAACGCTGTGTTCTGCTTTGTCTGACTGCAAAAAACTCTTGAAATGCCACAAAAGTGACTTTTTCACAATAAAAATGCCACGCGCATAGACATTTTAAAAACCCTCTTTTTGTGTCGTTCCTTCTGCAACAATAACTTTTAAATTTAGACGCCCTTCATTGTGTTACTTGGGTTACGTTACGTCTTGGTATGTAATGTACTCTCGTTAACACCTTATTGCTTCAAACACTTGGACTTTTTAAGCTGTCGCCTTTAAAAAGTTTTCATTTTTCCCAATATTTTTCCTTTCTTTTCACGATATATCATCAAAAGAACTTAGAGATACAACAACCGTTTCGTCTTTCTCCTTGAGGAAACTAATTTAATATACTACCAACTATTGACATTCATTCCTTTCCTAGTATTTTAGTTTATATTAAATTTTTCCCTTTGAAAGCTAAAGTCCAAGTTATACACACCACCTTACAAAGTCCAACAGTCACAAGTTTCCAACCCGAGTCTACATCCACTTTTCTATCGAAATGCAATTCAAACCTTTAATCGCCTTGGCTATTGCAACTTCAATGGCCCAAGCCGCCGCTCCACCATACCATTTGTTCAAGAGATATGAAAACGTCACTGCTCCAGTTTCTTCATCTGAGGAGTTAGCTTCATCTTCAGCTGAAGGAGACCACGGGTATTCTGCCAGTATCCTTCCAACTGACCAATCAGTTGCCGAGTCACCATCATCAACTGATGAAGATGAATGGATTACCTCAACCATCATTGAGTACGTTACTATTTCTGATGCTTCAACTACTCAAACATCAGCTGCAAACACCTTGACCACCACTTATCCAAAGTCATCTGCCTCAGAAGCAAGTTCATCTTCTGAAGATGAAGATGAGTGGATCACCTCAACTATTATCGAATACGTTACTGTTTCTGATGCTTCAACTACTCAAACATCAGCTACAAACACCTTGACCACCGCTTATCCAAAGTCATCTACCAAAGAAGAAGATGACGATGAGAACATCACTTCAACAATTATTCAATACGTTACTTTGACATCTGATAGTTCAACCATCACTTCAGCTGTAAACACTGCAGTTACAACTGTTGCCAATTCCAACAAGGACAAAGATGCCAACGCAGAAGGCTCAAGTGATACAACCACTTCAACCATTACTTCCCTCGTCACCGTGACTGATGGAAATGGTTCTACTCAGCTTTCTACTCAACTTAGTGAAACAACTGAGGCAGTCGCAGCTGAAACTGGTGAATCAAAACAAACTGTTGCAGCTGAATCAGCTCTTGCTAGTGGTGACAACAAAGAAGCTTGTGTTGCTTCAACTGTTACTGTCACTGTTACCGCTACTCCAGCCACTACTGAAGCAGCCACCACTGAAGGAGAAGAAGACGACACCACCATCACCGTTTCAACTCAAGTTTATGTCACTTCTTACCCAATTCAAGCTGAATTCACAAATAGTGACACCACCACCACCATCACTTCATTTGTTGAAGTTACTCAAACTCAATTACACACTTTCACTTCTTCTTCGAGTCTCTACAACAATGCCACCACCTCATCTACTGGCTCTATTGCTCCATCATATGGATCATCTGCTTATGCCAACTCCACTGTCCCATTGACTAGTGCTTGGTAAATGTTATTATCATCATCAGAGAGAAGTGCATAAGGTTTTGGTTCGTTTTGAACCGCAGTCACCCTTTCTATCAATGAAAGCAGGTAGAACTTAGAGATGTTGTCTGGTTTATGTTGCCGCTGTTGTTTCTTAGCCAGGCTCTACTCAATTTTTTTAGTTTATTGTTTATACATACATTTTTATACTTTTTGGATACCTGTGCTACTGATATACATTTTTAAACCCTATATCACATTATTGTAGATTTTTGAGTAGTTAGATTGTTTATGGAAGTGGAACCACAGATAAAGACCGATATGAATCCAGAATATGGCATTACCCTACTTTGTCACGTCTTGCGGGAGCATTACTTCCCATTGCATGTTTCACCTTCTAGTAGACGCGTGTAGGATCTTCGCTAGACGTGTGGCTAGGGATCGACAATTGGCCCTTTAATGTAGTTGGATGTATTGTGCCTCCTTGTGTGTGCGTTTTCTATGGTCCATACGCGACCTGCTCATAGTTTACACAAAGTGACGCGGTTAAAAAGCGAGGATACATTCTTATATACAGTACTTACATCAGAACTGGCTTTTTTTTTTTTCTTTTCCCTACAAGAACACACCCCCCAGAAATTCTCTTAGTACCCACTCATCACGTCCTCGAGCAAGTCTATAACTTGACAGTCATCACACCAGAGAGAGGTACCACACAATTGTTTCAAAGACACGATGTCTGCAAGTTCATCTCCATTCAGACCATCTAACACACCCGTATTCATTGATGACTCACTCTCACCAGTCAAGCTTCCAACAAGATCACCCATGAAGCCACCACCACCTGCACCACCTGCACAACCAGCACAGCCACAGTTAGCACCCAGTCGAGTTTCATTACACGGCACACCTCCAATTGCAAAGACAAGTGTCTCACAATTATCGCACCAGTTTAGTTCGAAGCCACCCTATACTGAAAAACCCAACAAAACCACTTTTTTAAACATCAATTCGGCACAACGTCGTTCTACCATTGGCCCAGCGAAACGGTCTTTTTCATCTTCTGATCGTCGAAAGCTTAATCTCAAACCTTCATCAACATTGAATAAACTACAACCCAATGCTTCGACAACATCACCATTACATAAGAAACGCAAGTCAGCCAACTTGAACAAGATTCAACAGTCAGCTCAAGAAGTTGAACTGTACATGAAATTATTGAATGAAGAGCGCGAACAGAGATTGAATCGGTCAATTGATAGGTCGAGTATGTCGGAGCCAGACGAGTTGAGCTCGCCTATAAAAAGAAATACTCTCCATGTGCACCGTACTACAGTTGAACTAGATGCGATAAGTGATGATGAGAAGAAGAAGAGGAACGTGGTAGAACACGAAGATGAAGATGCCATATTATTGGAAAATAGAGACTCGAAAAGGACCCCTGGAACAGTCGAAAATATTGAATTTGGTAGGAGGGATGTCATTGATACTGAAAGGGACTTTGGAAGTGGTGGCAATGACTTACCGAATGACAAGAATCTACGTGAAGCAGCAGCAGCAGCAGCAGCAGCGGAGGCAGATCATGGCAATGACAACTCCAGCGACAGTGATCTTGAGGTATTGGGAGACAACTTTTCACGCGAACCGAGTCAAACTTTAACCCACAACCAATTGACTAAATTAATGAGTGAACTGAAACTGGACAGATTTTCAACAAAAACTCCAGATAGAATGACTGAACCACAACCACAAAGGCCCCACCCTCATCACATCAAACCAAGCACAGTTGGTAATGACCAAGAAGACACAATTTTGAGTCCATTGAGACACGACATTGAAGCTGTCAATGAGTTTCAAGATGAGTTTCAAGATGGAAATGAGTTGGAGGACGAGCCCACAATGAATTTTCTTGATTCGCCAAATTCAAGATCTTCTTTTTCTCTCGCATACATCGAGAAGTTGCAATCTGACAATGAAAGAAAAGTGATCCAGTTGAATGAAGAGATTAAAGAGCGAGATTTGCGAATAAACCAATTGCACGAGGAGTTGGCCAAACAACAAGAGATTGAACACAAATTAAATCATACACAAGAACTTAATGACTTACAATTGAGACAGCTAGAGCATAATGTGGCGTCTTTGAACAAGCGCAACAAGATTTTGGAATCATCAAATTTGAATTTCAAACGTAAATTGATTGATTACAAAATCACCGTCAATGAGATGGAAGAATCCAATCGCGTATTGACAGAAAAGAACGATGTTTTGGAAAACAAACTCTCCAAGCTTCAAGATGAACACAGTCAGATGCAAAAAGAGCATATTGAATTCACTTTGAAAGTAGATGATTTTGAAACTGTCAAGTCACGACTTGTTAATGAGAAACAAGAACTCTTGGATAAATTGGCTAACATGGAGCGTGAATACGAAACAAGAATTGACCATTTGGAGGAGAATATCAAGCTATTAGAGCTGTCCGATAATGAAATGAAAGTAGCTAATAGTGAACTCAAATCTCAAATTGAATTATTAAAGTCCAGAAACGAGGACTTACAAAAGGAGAAATCAAACTTACTTGCTACAAATGATGAAAACCAGGAGTTGATGAAGGAATTGGACCATTTGATTTCAACAACTAGAGAAAACTATGAGAATGAAATTGGCCAATTAAAAGCAAAACACGAAAAGGAGACTTTAGAGCTCTCTACAGAGGTGCGTCATCTTCTAAACAGCGAAGCTCGGAATAAGGAGCTGGTTACTGATTTATCACGAAAGATTGAGGTCAAGACGGAACAAATTGAATCTCTCGAGTTACAATTGGAATCTCAAACAACTGATTTTGACAATCTAAAGTCAGAAACACACCATCTTGAATCGAAATTGGCCCTTCTTCAAAATGTCGAAGCTGACAAAAACCGAATTGAATCAGAACTAATTGATCTTAAGAATAAATATGAAACTGAGATTTCCGATAAAGAAAGTGAAATTTATAACCTCACCACCAAACACAGCAGCTCACAAAATGAAATTCAACAACTCAAATCCACCATAACAGATTTGAAATCACAATGCGATTCCCACTCGCAAACAATTACAAAGCAAGCATCCGATATATTCACTTACAAGACTGAGATTGACAAGTTACTTAATGCCATAACCGCCCTCAAACAAGATCTCACCAACAAGGAATCACAAGTAACTCAATTACATCAAGATCTAGAATCATTGAAAATTGATCAACAACGCGATCTCAAACTACAAGAGGATAAATTAGTCAAGTACTTGCACCATGAATATGCACAAAAACACACAACAAAGATGAATGAATTCAAAATGTATTATGAACAAGAATTGAAGAATCGAGATTTGACGATTAAGAAATTGAATCGAGATGGCGATTTTTTGCTGAAGAATTTGGAAATTTTGCGTCAAAAGTATAATGAATTATTGGGTGAAAAAGCGGAACGAAGTGAATCGTAAATGGAGAGGACAGGCTCTATAGATGAATTTAGAATTCATGGCAATGCGTCAAAACACGGAAACATAACCTTTAATAAGCTATACATCATTGAATAAATAAAATGAACCAGTATAGGAAAGAAGAAGCCTCATGACTTTTCATACTGATGCGACATCATCACCTCGATATTTGAAACTTGATTTGATAATTGATGAGCCAAATCCTCCTTGTGTTGTTCTCTTTCCTCAATATCAATATACTCTTTCCTACCTCTAATCATCCAATCAAAGAAACAAATAACAAACACAACACCAAACACTGCTGATGAATAATTCATATTACCACTAGTAACAGGCATAACTGATGGGAAGTTGTAAAAAACAGTGGCAAAGATGGCCCAGCCCACAAGAACCAAATTACTGATTAACCCAATACCATACTTGTTTAACCAAAATGGACCGTGTTTAATTTCATTTCTTTGGAAAATTAGACACAATGTCGGGATCATGTATGATAACAAAAGAGACGTAACGCATGAAACAAGGATTGAATTGAATGCAGTTGATGAACCTAAATAGATACATCCAATAACACCCACCCAAAAACACGACATGATATGGGCATTAACAACGGTACCAGTCTTCGTATTGACTTTGGCCCAATATTTCGACAACGGTAATCCATTATCTCTAGCAAAACTCCAACAGATTCTCGCTGACCATGTGTGACAACCAATGTTGCAGCCAAATGCAGTAAGTAAAATTAAAATTTCCAATCCCAACGCAGCAGCTTTGGATTCGGTAGCTTGATAAAAGATATCCATGATGGGAACACCAGTGTTTGATGCCAAGATATCGTCCAAATTCCTAATGCAAAAAAAGATGGCTATACAATAAGTAAAAGCCGTGATGAATCCAACGATAACGGTGCCGATTATAGCTTGTGGAACTTGCACTGCTGGGTTCAACGACTCCTCAGCAATGTGAGTCGCGGCATCGAGACATGAAAAACTCCAATTGGGGTTAATGAGCCCCACTATGAATGCTATACCGGCTGAACTCCATCCAGTACCATTGTTGAATTCAACAAAAACAAACTCAGCACTAGCAAAATCTCCCTTGTGCATCGACAACACGGTGATGATTATAATTGCAAATGATGCCAATGAAGTATACAACGTTCCCGTACTCAATGCAGGTAATGGGCGCTCGTAAATGTTAAAGAATAACAAGAGCACATTCACAGCCTCATACACAATGAAAACGTGCCACAGTTTTATTGTTGTTTCTGGATGAAACAAGACATACATCCCCGGAATCGCAGTGGCAATAGTCATGGTGACACTAGCTGAAGTGAAAACTGATCCTAACCACGATAAGATCCCAGTGGTGTATGCCATCAAACGAGAATACTTGCGTGGAGCCAACTTCATTGTCCAATATATTTGACCTGAAGCATTAGGGTAAGCCGAGGACATTTCGCTCAAGGTCACTGCTATACACATGGCTGCTACGGCAACTATGATGATGCCGTATATGATCATCATTGGCCCACCTGAACTGATGCCCGCCTAGAGAACACCACGGTTAGTAACAAAAATCCTCATATAAAGTGTAGATTTGTTTTTCAACATACAATCAATGAACCTATTAATAAGCCAAGGTTAGTAACAACAACATGGATTCGCAAAGCCACAAGAGAATGGTGTAGTTTTGTCTTTCCTTTTACATACCACTGATACCAAACCATGAATTGGTTATACCAAATCCAATTCCCAACAATGAAATTAAACTGAAATTTCTTCTCAATTCCGGGGCGTATCCAGTATCAGTTGAAAATTCCAAATTAGCTTGAGCTTCTTGCAACAATTTGGCAGCCTCTTTTTCATTTGTTGCTGCGCCAGTAGCCATGGCTAGTGAATCCAAGTTTCTAACATTTGTAGGTTGTTGAACTATTCGATTGGAGAGAATGTGATTAATGATTTCACCATGGTCGACACTAGCTCGTTGAGCTTGTTGGTGATATGAATCTTTCTTTTTCAATGAACTGGTCATTTTGAGGCTCAGTTGGGGTCTTTTTTGGGTGCATAAGGTAGATGTTCAAATTGTGTATTGAATCCGATGAATTAAGTGATATATATATACATATACGAACAGTGTCATTTTCGAAGATGTGGAGAGTATGCTCCAAATGGTGCTATCTTCCAGTGATAGCAACATAACGTGAACTTATCTCTCATTTGAGCAATAAGCTTTTTCAATAGTATCCTATGGGGTCTCTCCAATTTTTACCCAATTTGTTCAAGAAAAACCCAGATTTTACCTGCTTAAAAAATTAACACAAAGCTGTTTACCCCTTGTCATCTTATCTAAAATTGATAAATTAACGACACAATATTTAGATATCAAAGTTGTTTGGATACCGCCTCCCCCGATAACCGTATCTCAAGAGGAGGACTTGCCACTAAATCCTTGCAAAGAGGAATATAACGTATTCGAGGTATTTCCGAACCACGTGCCCGGGTTAGCTTTGCGCCTTGGTCATGTGTATTAAGAGAGACATTTAGGATTATTTGGATTACGATTGCAAAACTAGTCGAAACAGATTTTGGGCTCTTGTACCCTTGATGCGCTTTAATGAGATACGTATGTGCCTATACGAACTCTGTCAATTCAATTTCCTGCTTGTTGGAGCTCCCTCAATTTTTGCACCCAAAAAGATACCAAATCTACAACCACAACAGCACTTCTTATTTATGCATCAACATAAACCTTCTTTTTCCTGGTAACTCTTCCTCTAGGCAACATTTCAACATCTCTCGATTTCAACCACATCCAAATTTTGCGTCCAGTGTCACCAAACTCATCATACAAGATCAAACACCACTTTCCGACATACGCATCATACTTGTAAACACCACTCCATACTTCCTTTACATTGCCCTTGTATCGTTGATACGTCAGTGTTCCTTCATCCAAACATGGATCACTAACCAATTGGCGGGAGTCATCGGGTATAGATTCAAGGAAAATTGTAAATTGAGCCTCTTCCTCTCCATCATCACCGCGACTCTTGTCCTCGTCTCTACTTTTACGTTGCTTCTGCTTCTGCTTCTTCTTATTTGAGACCTGCACTTTATGTTGTTTGATCTTTAATCTCCCATGATGCCAAAATAATTGAGCAGAAGCACAAGAATGATTTTGAGCATTTGCAAAAACGAGGTATTGAGCAGTTTCATAAGTCATTGTAGTCAAGTCAAATGCGTATGCAATTCCTGGTTGATTAGGCTCAATTAGGTATTCAATTTCCGGTTTAAAGAATTGGGAGCCCGTGATGACTGATTGACTTTGAGTTTGCCATGTGCCTTGGATATTAGGTGGGTGAAATAAGGAAGATTTTGTCTGCACTGTAGTCAAGATTGTAACAAGCAAGAGGATAGGTTGAATCATGGTGGAAGAATCAACACAGTAACCATGGAAGATGAATCTTGGTTTACAAAATCTTGGCCTTTACAAGCAACTACAATCGATTCCACATCTTAGGAAAGAATAACAAAACCTTTTGCAACCTTTTTCATTAGACTTTCACTTTTCTTTTTTTATTTTTGATAAAAAAAACAATCTCTAAATACCTATATAGCTATATATAACTTAGCAACGACGAATGAAAACTCACCAGTAAAGTAAAACCAGTGGCCGACTTTTTCTTTCATGCCCCAGTTTAATCGAAATCACAGTTGATGTTGTATTTCAATTTGTAGTTGGCATCCCAAACACCCCAATGCTTTTCAACATCTGAAATACCAGAAGTGTCTGGTTTCCAAGCTTCATCAATAGCTTCAAATACAGCAACATTGACACCCCAGCCCCTCATGGCACAAATGGCATTTTGCCAAAAGTTTTTGGCATTTTCAACACCTGGTTGAGAGCTTTCAAAGTTTGATCCATCAGTTGGCCATCCAGTTTCACCAACCCAGAATTCAATATCAGTTGATCCTTTAACGGTTTGGATGGTTTGTAAGGCTTGCATGATGTCATCAAAGAAGGAGTATGAAGCATTTTGGTTGGTTTGTCCTTGCCAGTATGAAAAAGCATTGGCGTAAACAACATCAGCAGTTTCAATTGCTGGTTTAGATCCACCATCAACCAAGACATTCCAAGAGTCAACAGTACCAACTGGGATACCCGAGTATGAGTTTCCATCCTTGTCTTTGATGTTCTTGACAAGATCCTTGATTTCATTGATTTTTTCAGACAATTGATCAGCAGTCAAGTCTTCCCTATAAAGAGCTTCTGAACCAACAAGGAAAATTTTGATGGTGGAGGTTGAAATTTGAGTCAAGTATTGTTGCAATGCTTGTTTTTCTTCTTCGAAATGTGCATCATCATTTGGCCAGATACCCAACATGATTTGGAAACCTTCAGCTTCAGCTGCTGGACCCAAGTTTTGTAAAGTGTTACAGTCGGATACAGCATAGGTTTTGATGATGGATGATGATCCCTTGATTACTTCCAAGTCGGACTTGAATTCGTCAACAGTTTTACAGTTTCCGTTGTTGTCCTTGACACCCAAGTTGAATGCAAGCTAAAAAAAAAGGGGGAGTTAGTACATGTTGTTGTTTGGTTGGATAAAGGGTCGTCTGTTACCCAAGGCATGAGTTTACATGCTGTGGGCTTGGACTATTGTTGTGGACCAATGATATGTGTATATAACATACGTCTCCAATTGCGTTGGCAGTAGCAAGCCCTGCTACTAAAGCTGATAATAACTTGAATTGCATATTAAAGTAACGAGTGTGATGTAAATGTGAGAAGGGGTGGTAGGTGGGGGGGGGGGAATGGGTATCAGTTAAAATTCTGTTCGTACGAAAAGAAAGAAGGGATGTGTATGGTTTCTATTGAATAATTGAGTTGCAAGATTTTGTTGTTGATTTGCTTTTCGATTGACTGACTGACTGCGGGTTTCTTTCAATAGGAATCTCAAGATTTTTTTTTTTCTGTCTTTCACACACACACACACACACACTCTTTCTCTTCCCAAATTGTATTAAGATTTTGTTTGTGAATTGTACAACTGTACACTACCATGTCTTGTGTATTTGGTTTATATACAGGATAATTACCTATTTAGGACAATTGTCGGACAGAATGGATGGAAAAAAAAATAAACAACAACAAAAAGAAAAAAAAAACAACAGCCGATGTACATTTTGCTAATGACACTACTTCTAGTTAAGTATGTATGTGTGGATGCAATTCTATTTTTAGACACACAGCCCAATAGTTCTAGATTTACTTCATAACTGTCACTTACTATACATATATATACTAAGTGAGCGAGTGAGTGAGTGAGGGGACTCCTTGGGGGTCTTCTCCAAAGATCTGGGTTTGTAACGGGCATCATTATGACACTTCTTTATAACTATCAATCGGTGCTCTTCAACTGCACTCCTGAGGTTTACAAGTTTAACGATTATATGCTTTTTGTACATGCGTTTAGCAGGTTTCATTCCTGGATTGACATATATGGGAGCGAAGTGGTGGGAAATTAGCCCTTAAATTTCCCCTAGCATGCAAATTAAAGTCATAGATATATCCAGATGGAAGCATTTTATTTATCACGGCGATGCCTGCATTTGTGGGTACTTTCGCGATACAATCATTGATAACGTATATCTTCAAAAGTGATTCAGAATGTAAGTTAGTAAGATACATTTGCTCTTGAAGGTAGTTTGGAGTATTGTAATTAGGTTAATTACTAGTCTGGTAACTTTTGGTTCATAGAATCCAGTTCTTCAGGTAAGCACAACAAAACCTACACCACGACCACTTTTTGTGCTACGTTTTCTTTTTTCGCAACCACAGGTCAACACTGACCTGTTACACCTGTCTCAGCCAGAATACAATCTTTGAATTACACAAACCAGCTCATAGGAAATTTTGAGATTTTGCAGTTCTCAAGATGCAAAATTGGCACTGCCATATTGTGCTTATTTTTCAAGGGGAATCACTTCTCTCGAAACAAAGTTCAAAGTGAGTCGGAGATACAATTCTTTTTCATTGTCGTCTACAAAGTTGTAATCAGTTATACAAATTAATTACACATTTCAAACGAACTAGAAAGGCTAAAGTTGCCCAAACCACGTCTTCGATCAACTGTAAAAAAGACATTCTCTTAAGTAACACCTAGTTTTTACAACTCACCTCGTGTTAGAGATTGTTGTATATTGAATTCTATCAAACGATCTCCCCCCCTCCCCAACTCATTGTAATAGCTTTGTCAACGCAATCAAAGTTGCATCTTCAATTCTACACCCTTTCGGGATATCTAATCTACAATCAAACAATTTCAGTACGTTATCCAACCCTTCGAAAATTGAACTCTTGGCTTCATCAGATTGGAAATTGCGTTGAATCGTGCCATAGTTTCCCAAAATAATCAATAAGTTATCATTGTTCCCATTAGCGTCACCCTTCTTTTCAAACAACGGTACACTTTCATCCACTAATTTACTCCATTTATCAAAGTAATCATCACAGTTGACAAAAATCGTTTGACTATACCCATCACTCAATGGGGAATTAGTGAATACTTTATTAAACTGATTGTCATTCACCATTCGTACATGATATCCAAATGACAGCTTATGCCCATTGATGCCATATGCTTGCTTGGCACTGACAATAGTCTTGTTTCGTACATCAATCGTGACTCTCGAATACACCGGGACTTCTCTAGCAATATCCAACTTCATTGCCTCAGATTCACCAATATTTACATATTTGCTAACGGTGACCTTGTGTGGAGAAGGAACTAGTTTTTGTTTATCGGTTTTTGATTTGATCTTGGGAGTTTCTCGAGGTATGATGATTCCTTCTTTGAAATGTTCATGGACATTGTTATTCTGCATAAACGGTAAACTGGGGATTTTGGGTAACTTGAAAGCATACTTGAATTTAGGTAAAACTTGACCAAATTTGGGATTCAATCGTGGCAGAAACATTGTTTTGATTAGATAGGGAGGAGTGATGAAAAATTGTAATAGACTAGCCAATAACAAGGCGTCATCTTTATCATCATTAACTCTCTCATCTGTGTTTTCGTCAAGCTCAGTATCAGTTGGGTTTTCAACCGGTGCTGATGAGCCAATATCATTTTCACCATTGTCATCAAATACAACTTTCTTCCCAATACTCGAACTAATATCTTTCTTTTCCTCTTCACTCTGTCCCCCCTTTCCCTCTTGTTTAGTTGTCAGTTCCGTCAACACAATGATTTCGGCAACATCATAAATCAAACTGGCTTTGGCGATTTGATACGCAATCATGGTTTTTTGTTGTAAATTGTATGCATTTTTGGAGGATATGACACTGGATGGGACACATATCGAAATTGATGGAGCAGTTTGTTGTCTTGTTGGTTTCTTAGTAGACTTTGCTTCCGATGTGGCACTCTCGGCTTTCCTTTTCGCCATTTCAGTACCCGCTCTACTTTTGATGGAAACATTTATGGAAAGGATTGATTTTTTATTCAATGCTCATCTTCTCGCGCATGCTACCACTTTGCCAAAAATCGAAATGATTTGCAGCATTTAATCGTTGTACTGATTAAAGATATGTATGCTATTATATATCACCATTTTACAATGACTACTTTACATTCTGTTCGAAAACTCTCTAATCTACAGAGTCTATCTTTTTTCACTCTTCACTACCCTTTTTACTCATCATCATCATCATCTTCATCACCTTCAAAATCTTCTTCCTTGAATTTGGCAATCTTGGCTTTAGCTCTCTCAATGTTAATCTTTGTTTGCTCTTCTTGCTTCTGTTGCAAGGCCTCCAAAGTCTCTTTCAAAGTTTTGATGGTTTCAGGAACGTCATCTTCTTTCAATGGGAATGGAATAGTCAAGTCACTCAACGCAACAACAATTTCTGGAGCAACTGTGAAATTCTTTTTACCGCCTTGCTTTTTACCACCTTTACCCTTTTTCTTGGTTCCGGTGAAGAAATCATCCTGCTCCTTTTTAACAACAACTAAATCTTCAGGGAATTCAATAACTCTAGCTTGGTTCTTGGTTGTTGATGGAATTGAAGCTCCATTAGATCCAGTAGTTGATGCATTCTTGTTGGTGGCTGGTTTGACATAAGATGGATCGAAATAAGACAACAAGTTGTGGATTGAATTGATTTCTTCAGTGAATGCAGGAATCGAAGCATCAGCCAATTCTTGTTCAGCTCTTTGTTTCAATTTAGCTTGTTTTCTTTCAGCTTGTTGAGCCTTGTATTCCTCGTCTCTCTTTTGTCTTTCTTCCTCCATTTGTTTCTTGAAATTTTCAAATTTAGCATCGAAATCACTTCTCAATTTTCTAATCTCATCATATTTGGCATCTTTTTGCTTCTTGATTTCTGATCTTTGATCATAAATCTTGTTCCTCTTGGAAATGATTGATTTATTGGATTCATTAATTTCATCCAATTGTTTCTGAATGGCTTCAAATTGAGCTTGAACTTCCTTGTTGTGAGTACCGGATAATTTCTTCTTCAATTCGGCAATCTTCTCCTTATCTTGATCAATTGAAGCTTGAGTCTTTTCAATTGAGCCAAAATCTTTACGTAACTTACGTAATGCACTCATTTCCTTAACGTATCTTCTCTCATCAGCCAATTTCAAGTTCCCAGCGTCAATAGCTTTATCCAAAGAGTCAATTCTGGCGTCAATCTCAGCTACATTCTTAAAGTTGTTCTTGGAAGTCTGTTGTTGAATTTCAGCAATCTTCTTCTTCATTTGAGCATCAATTGACTTAATTTGATCGTTGATGTTGTTTCTTTCATTCTTAGCTGATGATTGTTTAGAGATCAAAGATTTCAATTCAGCTTGCAATTTGTTTCTCTCATCCATAACTTTTTGATCAATCTGCAACTTCTGGATTTGGGCATTCAATTCATTATTAGTTAAATCCAACTTCTTGATCTCCTTTTTCAAAGCTTCAACTTCTTCCTTCATAGCTTTGTCATCAGGACGCTTGATGAATTTTCTTTGACTTGATGAAGTTGCCTTTGAAGTGGCAGAAGAGGCGGTAGTGGCAGAAGAGTCAGCGGACATGTTTGTTTTTCGTAAAAGCCAAAAGTTGCGGGGATGAAGTGAGTCAACCAGAAATATCACTAATGTTTATTTGAGATGCTTCTATTGATTCAAATATTCTTACGTGGAAAATAAAGCCCGATTGTTGAAAAATTTTGGAAGAGAAAAAAAAAAAAATAAAAAAAAAAATAAAAACTCAATATCAAGTACTGCATATAAGACACTCAGTTATTGACACATCAACACGAGATCAAGATGCGGCTCACAGGGTTTTTGGGCTCTTGATTTGCAATTGGACTTGCCTTAAAAATACACCCATTACCAACTGCCCAAATGTAATGATTCTTTAGTGCACGATAATCAGTGGACTAATTTGCTGGAGTGGCTACACCATCTGTGTTAAGTGTGCACATTGAGAGGAGTAGATTGTTCACCAAAGTTGATTGTTTCTAGTTGATGGTAAATTTGGAAAAATAGGTAGTAAACGTATCCTAGTTTACTGAAACGGAGACACTTTGAGTTTCTAGTGATGCAGCAATGGAAACAAGTGCCTGATAGGGGTTCTTTTTGGCCAAATTTACTTTGGTCCTGCTTTTTACTTTCAAGCCGCATCTCGTTTAGATAGAACGTAGCTAAACGAGGGAGATGTTTGATGCTACCATCCCTAACTTTTACAATTTCTTTTCCTTTGTTTCCTTTTATTGAACAGAAATGTTTTTCAGCATAACCCAGATAGATTAAACTTCCAGCTCATCTAAATACCATTTTTTGTATCGTGACATTCGTCTGGCGGAACAATAGATACTCACTCATTTAGTTACATATTCCTTTATTTACCCTTACTACTACTTGCTTTACACTTTAATGCATTACCAAGCTAATACCATGTCATCCTCAGATTACGCCAAATTGGTTGCCAGTCTTTCACCCGAGCAAATTTTACAAAAATGGCCTGACATCACTCCATTGAAAAAGATTTCAGGTATCCCAAGATCAGCAGGATCTGATTCTTCAAACACTGCTAGTCAAGATTCAAACTTGTTTGATGGCCACGACGAAGAACAAATTAGACTTATGGAAGAATTATGTATTGTTTTGGATTATAATGATAAACCACTTGGTGCTGGAACCAAAAAGTTATGCCACATAATGGACAACATTTGTCAAGGATTGTTGCACCGTGCATTTTCTGTGTTTTTGTTCAATGAAGATGGTAAACTTTTGTTGCAACAACGTGCGGATGAAAAAATCACTTTCCCTGCCATGTGGACAAACACTTGTTGTTCACATCCATTATGCGTGCCTAGCGAATTAGGAATTAGTTCCACCTCCGACGATGTCAATCATTTGGCCACTGCCGTTGAAGGTGCCAAAGTGGCCGCACAAAGGAAATTGGATCACGAATTGGGAATTCCTTTACAAGATGTGCCTATTGAAAATTTCACTTATTTAACAAGAATTCATTACAAGGCCCCAAGTGGCGATGAACGAAGTCCATGGGGTGAACATGAAATTGACTACATATTGATCTTGAAGACCAAGAATGATATAACATTGAATGCTAATTACAATGAAGTCAAGGATTACAAGTACGTCAGTGCTGAGGAGTTGAATCAAATGTTTGAAGATAATAAATTGGTATTTACTCCTTGGTTTAAATTGATTTGCAAGACATTCTTGTTCAAGTGGTGGTCTAATTTGGACAACTTGTCACAATTCAAGGATGACGAAATCCACCGTTTACTATAGGATAGCTTGAAGCATTTCATCCAAACGTTCTTTTAGTTTGCTATTAATCATGTTTGAAGGCTCGTGTAGTGTAGTAGTTACTGAATATAGATATAACATATGCATCGGTACAATGTGATGTGTGTAAACAGAGTCATCTTCGAGCTCCTTGCCGAATTTTGACTCCCCTTTCCTGCATCTAAACGTCTGCCCAAAAATTTCTCAGAGAATGTTTTCAAAATCATGCGACCAGACCGGAGGATTCACAGTACTCCGAGAGTGCCACAACTGTAATCGACCAGACCTGAAAGTAGTTTCGTTAACTTCCCGCGCCAAATATGATATCAAGAAATATTCCCAAAGCATCGAAATCACTACTTAAAACCCAGACAGTCAGATTACTTGCCACAGATGCTACTCCATCGGTTGCAACAACCTCGACAACCACAACCACAATTACTCCCACCACAATCACCACCACAGAAACAACCACAACAGTGAAAAAACCACGAAAAAAGCGTACTTTTTTTACTGACAAATTAAACACAGGTCCGTCATTTGATGATTTTGTTAGTGGCAAAGCAAAAGATATGCTTGAAGATCCATTGGAATTGGCAAGAAAAGATCCCGATGCAAAATTACCAAGTTGGTTGAAGGTGCCCATCCCCAAGGGTAAATCCTTCCATAATGTGAAGAAGGACGTTAGAGAACTAAAATTGTCAACTGTTTGTGAAGAAGCCAAGTGTCCCAATATAGGTGAATGCTGGGGTGGTAAGAAATCAGAAGCTACAGCAACAATTATGTTACTAGGAGATACGTGTACTAGAGGATGCAGGTTCTGCTCGGTCAAGACTAGTCGAGCACCTGGAAAACCCGATCCAATGGAGCCTGAAAATACTGCAGAAGCTATCAGTCGATGGGGATTGGGATATGTTGTATTGACCACTGTGGATAGAGATGATTTGGTTGATGGTGGTGCTCATCATTTGAAGGAGACTGTTGAGAAGATCAAGTTGAAAGCCCCACAGATTCTTGTTGAAGTTCTTGGTGGTGATTTCAGAGGTGATTTAGAAATGGTTAAAGTATTGGCCGGGTCAGGATTAGATGTGTATGCTCACAACATGGAGACTGTCGAAACTTTAACGCCACATATCAGAGATAGAAGGGCAACATATCAGCAATCATTGGCCGTGTTGAGAACAGCAAAAGAGACCAAACCATCATTAATCACAAAGACATCATTGATGTTGGGATTTGGTGAAACTGATGAACAGATTATGGCTACATTGAAGGATTTACGTGGAGTTGGCTGTGATGTAGTTACATTTGGTCAATATATGAGACCTACAAAGAGGCACATGAAGGTTGTTGAATATGTGACACCAGAGAAATTCGACTACTGGAGAGATGTGGCATTAGATATGGGTTTCCTTTACGTTGCCAGTGGACCTTTGGTTAGATCTTCATACAAGGCTGGTGAGGCGTTTATTGAAAACGTGTTGAAAAAGAGAAGACACAATGTGGGTGAAGCACCAAGGATGTTACAGGAAGTTAAACCAAGCATCTTTCGGAGATCTTAGAGAAGTAGGGGGGATATTTATAATTTCATTTTTTTTTTTTAAAAGGAGTTGCTTGCAAAAAATAGGTTGCACAATAAAACGCGAATTGTATTTTGATCCCTAGTGTCGTAAAATTTTGAAATTTCTCATAGACATATTCGTCGATGGTGTGTGTACAGCAACAGTAACGAGATAGGCCAGCAGGAAGATTGGAGAGCACTTATCCTTAATGAATAGAATGTGCCCGACTCAGCCAAGTCTTATAGACTCCTACTTTCTACACGCTCAACCTTTGTTGTTTTTTTTTTCGAATACGTCACGGATGTTCCTCCACATTGAGTTTGTGTAACAGAAGTTCAGATCGAATCATTCTTTTAGAATCAAACAGCAAACTCTGTGTTTCATTCTTTTGCAAGCTGAAGCTAAATCACTCGCATTCCCACCGCTCGGAGGCTTAAAAGTAGGAGAAACAACAAACCAATCTCAGTTCTCCATGTCAGGACGAGATAAGACCACCACACATCATGGAAATGATAGTGAGGATTCATTGATCGAGGCATTTGAAACTACTTTAACCATCAAACCTAGCACCACCGAATATGAAGATAATGACATATCCATCGACCATACTGTCTTGCCTAACTCAACATTAAACTATACTCGAGATACAACGAGTATGGTTGATATTGAAGAGTTGGAAGAGAATGAACAACTTGAAGAGCAAATACCTAAATTCAAAACCAATAGAAGGTATAGCTTACTCCCAACAAAGACTGCATTCAAAAAGATTGGCTCACCGGGACTAGAAGAATACTATGTTCAACAAAAACTCGATCCTAAATTCCATGAAATCTTGAAACCTAGTGTACTCATTGATGAAAAATTAATTAAATATCATCACACTTTTAGTGATTTCATTGCATCAAACCCTCACATAAATAAAGAGTCGCCCCGCTTTCAACACAATTCGGAAAAGACATTAGTTATTTTATCCCCATATAGTCCGGAACATGCATTTGGTAGAAAATGGGTAACCAAATCATACTTGTCAACAATTTTCGAACGGCCACAACGTTTACTTGCAAGTTGCGTTGGTGTCGCCTCGGCAATTACAATGTACCCTTTTTACTATAAACTTATCAATTCCACCAAAAGAAGCTCTATTTTTGCATCGCATGTACGAAAGATTCATGGTAGAAATTGGCCCAAGAAGTTATTTGAATTATGTTTGGAAAGTCATGAAAAGTTGAATAATGATGAAATCGAGGTTCCAGAGGATTGGAATACTGGTGACATTTATCTTACGCCAAAAACTATTAATGCAATAGAAGGAGTTATTGGCACCATTGAGACTGCTGTAGACAGTTTGTTCAAGAACCCATCAAGCTCGCCTAAAGCAAGTATTGGCTCTTCAGGTAGAAGCAATCATGACTTGGCATTTGTGGTGATCCGACCACCTGGACATCATAGTCACGCTTGTTTACCTAGTGGGTTCTGTTTATTGAACAATGTACAAATTGGGATAGAGTATGCGTTTGAGACTTATGGTGTAACTCATTGCGCTATATTGGATATAGATTTGCATCACGGAGATGGCTCTCAAGATATATGTTGGGAGAGAGCAGGATTCACTGGAGATTATGGTCAACAAGCCGAAGATGAAATCGATGACCCTTTGTTGAATCCACGCAACGAATACGGCAAAAGGTTCGCCACATTCCCCAAGGTGGGATATTTTTCACTTCACGACATCAAGTCGTACCCCACTGAATTGGGGTTTGCGACAAAAGAAAACATCAAAAATGCATCAACTTGTATAATGGATCATGACTTGAATATTTGGAATGTTCATTTACAGAATTGGAATACTGAGGATGAGTTTTATAAACATTATCAAACCAAGTATGTGGCAATTTTGAACCGTGCAAATCAGTTCTTAAACAACGCCAAGAAGCAACATGATCAAGAATGCGAAGAGTATATGACCCAGTTGAACAAATACAATAAGTATTTACAGAAACCTCATCTTTATCCAAATCAAAAGCCAAAGAAACCTACACCACCGCCTCCATACAAACCTTTAATTATAATATCTGCTGGATTTGATGCATCTGAGTATGAAGATTCACAAATGCAGCGACACGGCATAAATGTGCCAACTTCATTTTATGCTACATTCACCAAAGATGTAGTAAAATTGGCGAAAATCCAAACCGAGGGCAAAGTGATTTCATTTCTTGAAGGTGGTTACAGCGATGGTGCGTTAACAACCGGGATATTTTCCCATCTTATTGGACTAAACAACGATGATGATCTTTTGTGGAATCATACATGGGGATCAGAGCAAGTAGTCAAGGAATTGGTCAAAGGATGCAAGAAAAATTGGACTCCTTATAAAAACCCAAAAAGTGAAATCACCATCTGGGCGAATGAAGTTATCAAATTAGGACGTTCCATGATGCCCAATGCAATTTTACCGGCAAATCACATTTATCGAGACCAATCCAAAGACAAAAACACCATCAACGGGAAGCCCATAAATCGGATGGTGAAGGACCTTTTAGATGGTGGGGTGGGGGTCATTGACACTCCAAAACTGAAAAAAGTTGACGATCGTGATGATTTTAAGAAACCTACTAGACATACTCGATCTTATTACAAGACAAGCTGATATAGTAAAAGTAGAGTAAGTTAATATATTGCTTGGGTGTAAAATACCACACGCGGCTGGCTGGGGTAAAAAGCGCGCGCTACCAATAAACCTTGTCTCAGAAACCTTATAGCTTGTATGCAATCAAGAAAGTGAATACAATTCTCACTTTGTAGAATGGGTAGTGATCTGTTGATTGATCATGTATGTTGAGTTTAAACACCACCTTGATCCAACTGAATGGGATGCTCATGGCACATGAAAATACGATGCTGCATGAGGGGCTAAATATTTGGGAAAAGAAACAACGAAAAGATTCATTACCCAAAGTGGTAACAAACTAACTCCAAAGAGACACACAATTTTAATTTATGAGTTGAATTCATCGGTGGTGTCCATGTTGAGTCTTTTGTGACTAGTATTGATTTGATCTTAAGTAATATAACCATATATGGTTATGTATCCTTTTGCGTTTGTTTGTACCTCACGTAGTTTTATTTTCAGTCTTCCTGTACACAAGATTGGCTATTACTTTCTATTGTTCAGAAATATAATACACCATCAACACCACTATACAAAAAGTGAAAGCGCTACGTACAAGACACTTTACTCCTCAAAGGTTGATAACGCCATACAGCTCCTCAAGACAGATAAAACAATAAATAGGACCGGCATCCATTGATAAACAATGCAGGCGCTAAACAGCCCTTATATTCCACCTTTGGAAAATAACAAGACACGCCAGCCTGCCCCATCAAAACGAAATCATATCACGCATCCAGAATTTCCGCCGTCAGATCCACGTTTTGATCGATCCAATATATCCGATGAGGAATTCATCGGACGATTGATATTTGAAAACAAGGAGTTGAAAAGCGTGATTGAGTCACAAGAAAAGACGATTGCTGAATTACAACTGCAATTGAAAACTCGCGATATCTCCCTACAAGTGGCTGACACAATCAAATCAAATGGAACTTTAGAAAAAGAGGACGCAGCTATCAAGAATAAGGGGTCGGGGCTTTTTAGGATACAAAAACCGACAGATGTATCATCTGTTCCAGATAGCATCGATACGTCTCGCCAAACATCAACAACCAACATCAACGACACACTAGTATCCAAACATGCAGACAATTTGAACAATTTGCAGATTGGACTGAGAAGTGAAGATAAATTGGTTGATGTCAATATCGCATCGGATGAACCACAATCAAGTTCACCATATGAAGTTCCCATGAGGTCATCTAGGAGAAGACACATCAAAAATGATATTGGTAAGCAGTTAGAGGATAGTGCAAACTCACCTACACATGACACATTTGGATCATCAAAAGACTTATCATCTACCAGCAAATCCTTGGCTTCAGATGCAACTTCAACTGTGTCAGCGGAGGATGTAAAGCAGGTACATGATACAGAAGTACAGGATACAGAGGCAAATTTCCAAGACGATTCTAAAAGCATACAATCAAGTGATCCATCAGTTAACACGTCTGTACCTGGCTCAACTGGACATGGCACTGACATTGCACAACTCGATAACGACATCGCAATGGTTAGTCATCAAATGAAGCAAAGTGATTCTGTCAAGTCAGGCACTGGCGTCACCAATGCGGCGTCATCTCAACTATACGTGCAAAATAACAAGGCAAGAAGGAGTACAAGCAGCGTTGCGTCCACGTATAAGTCATCAAGAATCAAACCTCCGGGATCACAGCGTGTGATATCGAACCCCAAAAATAATTCCGAATTAGTGCCTCCATCTGTTCCTTTGAAGCAGTCACTCAACGATAAGAATGATTCTCATGGTAATATTTCCTTGTTCAACACACCTCCCAATAACGGCGTGCCCACTTTTGCAGGCAAAGATAGTCCCTTAACTCCTGATTTGGACAATGAAAGCAAAACGGAGTCGTTCTCATCCGCAAAATTGAGGATTGAAGATGATGATCTACCGTCAAGACCAGATTTGTTTCTTTCGTCATCGAATACTGTACTGAGTCAAGAACTAGCAGCTCCATACGATGCGTCGCAGAATCCAAATTATTCAAGACCCACTTATCAGACACCGACTTCTTCCTCGCACAATGTACATCTTTCAAGTCCACAAACACCCGGGTCCAGCTTTAGCGTTTTGCATACGCCTAAAATGGAGATGGACGAATCAGCTTTGTTCATCAAACCTGAAGAGTTCCATACGATATTTATCAAGGTTGTTAGCACCATTCATGTAACGTCTTTGACTCAGCAAAACTCAACAAAGAAGACAGAAGAGCCCAAAATTACAATGACAATAAATGATAGGGAAACAAATAAGGAGATGTGGCGGATTCGCAAGACTCATGCTCAATTGATTGCATTCGATCAAGAAATAAGACCTATTGTGGAGTACTTTGGCCTCGCGAATTTACCTGACAAGTCGAGTTTCATATCCACCACACCAAGCAAAATTGAACACCGAAGGTCGATTTTGCAAAAATATTTTAACTCCATATTTGTGATGCCACATATCCCACGTTTGGTTCTATACAAGATTTGCACTTTTTTGTCTTTGGATTTTGTAAATCCACTCGATGACTTCAAGAGTGGATCGAGAAAAGAAGGCTTTTTGGTGCGTAGGTACAAGGGTTTAGGTAACAGCTGGAAAATAAGGTGGTGTCAGATTGAAAATCATTATCTTGAGATTTATCCATTCCCCGGTGGACCACTTCAGGAGTCAATTCCCTTACGTAATGCACAAATAGGACGACAAGCTACAGATTCGGTTGCAGAAGATAAGGGATACCGACATGCATTTTTGATCATGGAATCAGCAAAGGCGTCCAAAATACATGCAACAACAAGTAAACACTTTTTCTGTGCTGAGACTGACGAGGAAAGAGATGACTGGGTGACAGCTTTGATTGAGTTCACCGAGCCAGCGCTGGAATCAAATGAATCGTCGCCTCGTAACACATATGTGAGTCAGGATACTGCAACCGACCTTGACAAGAAATTCCTGTATGATAGTTACAGTCAAAGTAGCGAGTCTGCTTATGGTAATCGTTTCTCCGGAGCTGACCAAAGCAATACCACCGTTGCATCTGCTTCTAGTGAGGACCAAGCTAAGAAATCGAAGCTTCGTAATTATTTTTCATTCCGGAGCAAGGACTCATCAAATGAAGATCAACAGCAAGCACAAGCACAAGGGTCAGAGCAACTGCAACTGCGGCAACCATACGAGTCAGAGAATCATCTACAATCAGTGTCTTATTCGCAGTACGGACCACCGAGACAAACCAACTATACATCTAATAGTTATTACTCACCTTCGCAACCTCCTATGCCTAACCAAAACTCAAATAACTCTATGCAACAGTATCTTGACGATTTGAATATTGGCAATGATGTCACCAAGTCCATCTTTGGCCGTGATATAGAGGAGGCGTTTGAATTATCATGTCATGAGTACATGGGTCGCGAAATCCCCAGTATATGCTACCGCTGTTTGGACTATTTGAATAAGACTGGTGCGGTTTTTGAAGAAGGAATATTCCGATTAAGTGGATCAGCATCAACCATCCGACAATTAAAAGAGATTTTCAACACGCAGTATGATTTGGATTTATTTCAAACCCCATTGAAACCTGACATAAACACAGTTTCAGGCTTGTTCAAGACGTATTTGCGAGAGTTGCCAAATCCCATACTTGGTGCATCCACTTATAATCATTTAAATCACATTATGCTCAACAACGCACAATCATTACAACCATCACAAATTGCACTCATTTTTCGCGATTTTCTTAACGATTCAAACAATATAGACCGGATTAACTATGATTTGTCTTACATCATATTCAAGTTCCTTAGGCAAATCATCTCCCAAAATCAGATCAATCGGATGAATTTGCGAAACGTGTGTATCGTGTTTGTACCAACGTTGAACATCAGTCTTGAGGTATTGAGCACCATATTGATTGATTTCGAGTGCATATTTGAAAATGGTAAACCAATCCTGGATTCGAACAGAGAGGTATTAGATTTGCACATCCCAAACTTTTGATAAACGCATTTAGCCAAGCTGCTCGAAAAGTAATTCCATTCAAAAATGGTGATTCTTTAGTTTACGAATTATATACGATGTACGAAAATTGTTGTTTTATGTACCACATTCAAACTACTACCATTCGCATTCTCCGGTGGCTTTATGAAAAACGTAATCTTTACCATCAATGTTAGCAATACCTTCTTTCAAATTCGATTTCCATTTATTCTTGATTCTTTGTACTTTGTCATACAAACACAACATAATTTGCCCTTCTTGATCACCATCTTCGTCGTCGGACTTGTCGCTTTCCAAATCATCGTCTAAATCCGAATTTATATCGTCCGAGTCATTAAAGATATCTCCATCCTCATCCTCATCTTCATCATCATCGTCGTCATCATCTAAGGTTCCATCAACCTGGCGGAGTTTCAGACTTGGTTTTTTTGACTTTGGCTTCTTTTGTAGTTGTTTTAGGATTTGTTTGGGATTATTCACATGTAGTGTCATTTCAAAAGTACCATCTGTTTGGGGTAAAGGCGGGAGTGATAAGCCATTATCATTCTGTTCATTCTTGACCGATATCGGTGGTAGTTGTATCCCTAAATCGTTATTATAGCTTAATACGTCAGAAGCAGGGTCATTACCGGCAATGTCACCATTTTGAGCATTAACGTCATCGCCTTCTTGATTTTTGGTGTCAAGTTGGGAAGAAGTTAACATTGGTTCTTCCTTGACGGATACCGATGTAGCGGCATCATCACCATTGCTGTTACCTATTAGTAAAGCCGGTTCATCCTCACCATAATCGTCATTCTCATCCCATGAAAACTTCCCAACTTTGGATTGAGACAACTTTTCGCACCATATCTTGCGTAACTCTTGTAGTGTAGCTTCGTCAATACCCATGTTTTCGAAATCCTGACGCGAATCGGATATCACATCTTCTATTATGGTTTCGTACAACTTGCTAGCTTCTGTATTCGACATGGTGTGGCTGAACTATACGTGCGAGGGCAAACTAATTGCTCTTGGAGGGGATATAATATGATGAATATGGATGAGTGATGCTTTGCTGCGGTGAAGGGATCTCTTTATAGGAGTGAACAAAGCTCAAAATGGTTGAAATTTACAATGAAAACCGATTGATTGCAAGACCAGTTCACAGTATGATAAACCCGATTATGAATGTGGTGAACTTTTCTTTCGCTCTGTTTCAACTTTATTCAATTTATAGGTCGTGCAATTTTGACAAAACTCTTGAATATGATGACAGTATAAGTCGTAGTGATTTCCCTACATGCAATGACATTCATTTTTATATATATACAAGAGCTACATAACTATTCAATCAACAAAGTTGAGACTCTCCAAATCAATCTCTTTCAAAATTCTTTGCTGATCATTGACTTTCAGCAACAATTGTTTGAAAAACCCTGAACTAATTTCAGCGTCCTTAATATACGTCTCCAACTTTTTCTTCTGAGACAAGTTCTTGTCAATGCTGGTTTGGAAATTGTTCATGACTTGTCTTGCTGGATAATTCAAAACTTGCCGACATTCACTGGAAATACGCAATGAATTGTTGTGAACATAATTCATCTCTTGAATTTTCTTTTTGATCTTTTTAGCTTGCTTTCTTGGTAAAGCATTTGGAATATCGCTAATAAGATAATAAATTGCAATTCCGGAAATACCAATAAGTACCGGAACAGCAACCCTTCTAATGGTGCTGGGCGATACATAATTGCTAAAGTGATACAACCGATTGATCAACGCACCAGTGGTCAAAAGTTTACCCGATGAATACAAAGTGTGCAACGTCAATTGAGTGGGTAGTTGTTCTTTCAACGCAACTGCATTTGACGGAATTGCTGTGATGACAGAAACTGGATTGAAGTATGAAATTTGATGCTTTGTTGCGTTTACATAACTTTCTGGGAGTCCAACAAACACTAAAAATGAATCAACAGACGGATCAAAGAAATCAGACACTTCAATAGTATCTTCAATATTTTTGCCAATGTCGTCTTTGACTCTGGAAAACATCAACTGAGAATTAAACTTCTTGTCATTGAGAAACTCCTCGCCCAAAGTGTTTTTACCATACTTTGTAATTTCGTCAACTTTTGCGGCAGTAAGTTGTTTTGCCATTTCCTCGCTCTTCAACACTGAATCGTAAATGCCATCCATTAATGCCAATTGTGATTCCTTTGCATACTCAAAGAGATATTGCAATCCCTCGTATTGTACGACTGGTCTGTCACCCAAGTTATCAATAATTGAAACCATTTCTTTGGTGGTATCATTGTACACTTGAGTGCATGCAGCTTCAATTACTGAACTGATAGTATCGGCGATTTTATGGGACTTGGAAATGATCTCATCAACTTTAGGAGCAACCAGGCTATTGAGCTCCAGTAACTTTTCATTTCTTTCATCATTGTACATTTTCTCATTAATCTTGCTCAACGTTTGTAGATCATGTAACAAGTTAAGAAGATAACTCTTTGCCGGAAGTAGCTTTGAAATGGATCGTTTTTCCAAAAGAAATTTTCGTAACGATGCTTCAAGAAGATCAAAATCGGGATGGTCAGGATTGTTATTGTTGTCATTGTCGTCGTCGTCACCACCATCACCACCATCATCACCGTCACCGCCATCACCACCATCCGCAGTTATTTCTGAGGAGCTGACAAAATGAATGAATTCCTTTGCGTTCTTGTATGTGTCAGGTGAAAGATTCTTGATTTGATCCAAGATCCTTTTCTTGCACTTTTCCTTGTCTTTGATATTATCGAACCTATTGACAACAATGAAAACATACCTCTTTTCATTAGCGGCTGCTGCAATGAACTCCTTTGCAGATAAGGTAAAGTGGTTCTCTGCACTAACAACGAAAACCACTAAATCAATCTCCTCTTGGCGTGAAAATACTTGTGTTGTTTGATAAGAGTCCATGTTCAATCCTGGCGCATCGATGAGTTTGACGTCAATAACACCGTTCCGAAGCAAACTCTCTTGGAACGACCGATTGTCGAGAACATAAACCTTCAACAACTTGTACTTGTCACAATCGTACACCAAGTTTTCCAACTCCCCTAGTGGGTACACTTCATACGTAGATTCGTCACTTTTCTTGTACTCCTTTTCTATCGGAATTGCGTGCACTTCCTCGACATCGTCATTCTCCTTCTGAGCATCAATAACTTCACAAAAAACAGAAGTACATGGTTGTTGATCCTCCGGTAAAAGCTTTCTTCTTAAAAGGGCATTACAAAAAGTTGATTTTCCCGCATTTAAATCACCAGTGACAAACACCTTTGATGAAGTGTCGTCAACCCTCTCTTTCAAATTGAGCAAGTACTTGGTTTGGCCGTGTAATTTCTTTTCCAATAATGCTGCTATCGATTTTTTGTCCAAGTTGGATACTAAATTGTCGTCACCATGGCCACCACGAATATTGATTTTCAAAATTTTAAATTCTGGTAAATCTTTACTAATATCATCCTCTTTGATCTTTTGCTTTGATAATTGCTTAATGCTTGAGTTTTGTCTCACTAAACCTAAATGTGCCTTTGCACTGTTCAACAAAATCTTTGACCCATCTTCAATTTCAGTTGGATAGAAAACTGGACGCTCTTTATTCTCTTTGATGATTTCTTCAATTAGTTCTATAGTTTGGTTGATAGAACGATCCAATGATAGTTTGTTGTCGTTGTATTTAAGCTGTTGCAAAGAAGCATTGATATGCTGTTGATTCAGAAAAGGCGTACCTTGTCCAAAGCCCAGCGAACTACTTCCTTCTACTCCATCAAACAACGTTGTTCCATCATGGGATAACTGACTTTCGCCAGGTACATACACCAAGTGCGAAGGTTTACTTGAAGACCCATCTATAAGAGTCTCTCCGTCATCATTACCTTCGTGGGATTGGTGCTTCGACTGCTTGGGCTGAAGATTAGGGAATCCTGACATGGTGTGTATCGGAGGTTAATGCAACACAAGTGTGTAGTAGCTATGCACTTGGTTAAGAATATTGTGTCTTAAAGAGTTCGGTCAATGAAGGCAATATTCGAAAGGGAAATGAAATGTCAAATTATGGAATGATCTCTCTCTCTCGTTATACAATTTTTTTTTTCTTTCTTTGTGATCACGGATATTAAAGACCATCCACGTGATTGTTGGGCTTTTCGTCAAACTTCGGATATTACCGTGAATTGATTAAAATGAAATCAAAGGATGTAGAATATTACCCCCAACAACCATCACATCTCTTCCTTCAGGCATGGCTTTAAAGACTTTTAAAGTGGATGGAAAGAGCCATATCGTTGCTTCTCCATTGACGCCTGAAGCATTTGCACCGTATGGTGGTGTCATTAGTGCAGATCATCAACTACAGAAGGCTGAGAAATCAGAAGCAAATTACGGTACAGCAATAAAGTTACATAAGGTGGCCCCCATAGTCAACAATTTTCGAAACTCGCCCAGCGGTGGCAAGGAGTCCGCCAATTGGAACATTTTCAGATGCACTGCTCCAAAGCACTTGATAAAGCATGGTGGTTCAAAAGCTGTGTACTTATCAAAGGTATTGGAGAGACACCCATTTAGCACACAGACATTTGTACCTATGGGACAAGACAAAAATAAATTATCGTATTTGGTTATTGTTGCCAAAACTGATGGGTCAACTTCAGAAAAGTTACCCGACCCTTCTCAAATTAAAGCATTTTTATGCAAGGGAAATCAATCTATCACGTATGGAGCTGGTATATGGCATGCTCCTATGGTTGTAATTGATGAGACAATTCCACACTTGGATTTTGCTGTTTTAATACATGAAAATGGAGTGGCTGACGAAGACTGTCAGGAATGCTACTTTGAACCAGGCTACAACATCGAGTATACATTAAGTACACCAAAACTTTGATTTATTTTTCTATATGAACTCCATAAATTCGTCAACCATTTCTTTTGCATACTTTTCTCTTTCAGCTTGAGGTAAGTTGCTGGCATTTTCTCTTGCCAAATTTATCTTTGAAAACATTTGCTCTAAATCTATATTGCGATCAGACTCATTCAACAAGCTGGTTTGCATTTCCAGAAACTTCCTGATTTTACTATTTTGATATTTATTCTCATCATCTCTGATCAATTCCATGTTGGACCAATCGTGAGTTTCTAACAACTCCTTCAATCTATCTTTCCCCACGAGCTCTCGATATTCATTGGTACCACTTTTTTCAAAGTTGATAAATTCAAGTCCACGAGTTAATACCTCATCTTCTATTTGATCCATTTTAAATAACTCCACTCCTTCCCCGGTCGGGACAGTTCCGATAATAGCCAAAAAACCATTCCAGTTTCCATCTTCTTCTAGTCTAGCTCGAATATCATCCACTTGCGTCAACAAGTTTGAGAGAAAATTCGACTCTCCCGTATTCATATTAAAGGTAAAGATAATACCATCTATTGCCTCCCTCAACTCGTCAGCTTCGTGAGTGAAGAATTCATTCTTCCATTCAATTAACTCCTTTATGGAATCTTCATCCTCAGACAGCTTGTGTCGACTCGACGGATATTCATCAATCATAAGCTTCAACGAAACTGTGTAATATTTTGTTGATAATGAGGTCACTTGAATAATCCCACTATGTGAGTCTTCGTCGATCTCTGACCTTGTCGTTTTTACATCATTCTCCAAAAAAAGATCAGCAATTCGCAACTTTCCGCTGTTTGGGGGACCTATTATAAGTACATGGTTAGGTAACATTTGATGAAGGGTCAGTGTAAATACCGAAATTCAGAAAAACACTGTGTACACAGCAATATGCAGTTTTAGACTATAGCGTTCAGGTCGAGCTACAAATCTGTAGTCTAGTCAAGTGTTATAGTTGGTTCTTGGTATCAAACTCCTTTGACTCTGGATCACCTTGTCATTAAAGCAGCGTGTTTGTCAAGATCTGGAAAGATCGTTAGTGTCGGATAAAAAAAGAAAAAAAAAAAAGAGAGCACACCTAAACACCCGATCCAACGATCAGCAATTACAACAAGGTTCCCACCGCGATAAGTGAAATGGCTCCATCAAGAAGCAGCGTACCAATATCCAACGGCCACAGCGAAGCAAAAACAGCCGTAGCGGCCAAGGACAAAAAGCTGGCAGTCGACAGTATCCAATTGGAGAACTTGTTGCTTCGAGACGAAGAAATATTTCAAACTTCGTTGAACTCTGACGACTACCTAGATAGCCTTGCACCGATTATTAAAAACGCAGTCAAACTGAATGGGTTGAATGAGCTAATAACCAAGTTGAATGATATTGTTCACCAGAAAGACGAAGAGTTGAACCAAGTCTCTATTGAGTCTATGGATGAAATTAATCAATGCATGGAAACGATAGCAAGCATCCACCGAAGTGCTGACGAATTGAATAACCAGTTTCTCACTGTGCACCAAGGCTTGAACAAATCCGCCTTTGAGTTAATGACAAGAAAGAAGAATTACATAAAGTACAAAGAAGTGTGCAATCGAATAAATGAGACTCATGTGGTGTTAACAGAATGCATACAGGTGTTGGAATTGATGAATAGGATTTTAGACTTGATAAAGCAAACAAAGTACTTTCTGGCGTTAAAGTTGATAGATGAAATGACAAACGTTCATATACAGAAAGTAGATGAGTTTAGTTTTGCAAAGAAAATAGTTGCGTCGACTCCACACTTAACGAAAATGATTGAAGATGATTCGTTTGAAAACTTGACTAAATGGTTGTCCATCAATTTGGAGAGGAAGTTGCGCGCAGTGGGTGAAGCTTTGTATGAAAATCTTGCTGAATTGCAAGATATTTGGAGAGAACAACAAAATAAACACGAAATGTACCGACCTTATAAATTGAACTCACCTGTTGAGTTGAGTTTGCGGGATCCCACATTGAATTACGATATATTTTTTGATGAGTCGTTAAAGATACCGTTAAATAATGTTTATGATGCAATCTTGGTGTATCTGACTCTTCATGAATTGGATACTCTTAGGGATGTTTACTACAAAGAGTGGATGAAAAAATACAGCCGCATCATTTATCCGCTTACCTCAGCTTCCGCGAACAAGAAAGAGATTATCTTTAGCAACAATGAACTAGACGAGTACTTGAAAAAGATTGCAGCGTTTTTTGTCATGGACAAGCAGTTGAATTTGATTACAAAATTTCAGTTAAGAACGAACAATCAAGCAGATGATTTGTGGATATCGTACGTATCAAAATTGAAGCCAGTTTTATTGTTTAATCTCAAGAGAAACGATTTCTATGACCTTCGGGAGCTACACGGATTCAAACAAGTTATTGGTGACTTTATGCAAATCATGGATTCAAACGAGTATTACATTGGTGATCTTTACGAGGTGTTGATGATTATCTTTAAGGACTACTTCGCTCCATTAATTGTGCAAGACTTTAGAAAGCAGTACATTGGGGCCATGCAAAAGGAGTTGTACACATCATTGCAAGTGGATGAAAGGAGATATAGAGACGTTATGAAAACCTTGTTTTACTTTAAGGATGCACCGTTTGCCCCTGAACGTGTTAGAAACAAGTTCCCCGTCAAGTTTCCATTCAGTGAAGACTATGCAACTTTTTGTAAGATTTTGCACAAACTAATTCTTAAAACGTTAAAGTTTATTGAAGTCTATTACAACTACGAAATCAACGAAATAATTAACGTCATTGTCAATGATATTTTTGAACAGTTTTTGGGCGAGAAGAAGGGATTTGGAATAGCGTGGGAAATTGAAGATTTTATACGTAAAAACTCCACCAACAAAGAGGTCACTGCTCAAAGTTTTGTCAATTTGGAGCACTACATAATAGGGTTGATGGAAATTGGTAAGCTTCTCAATGTCACATTAAGGCAAGAGACGGGCATGGGGATCCACAACATCGACAACAACGGCACATTCACGTTAAAGGCAGTGGAAACATTCACCAAGTTGAAGAAATTTTCCGAAGAAACGCTTTATCAAATGGTGGACACAAAGTTGCAAGAGTTGTTGGATTTGGTAGAATACGAAGATTTTACACCACCAGTTCTGGAGCGCAATTCGGAGGCCAATTTTTCTGTCAAGGATTTCGCAATGTTTTTGGAGAATTTATTTACATCCATTTTCGAAAACTTATCACCTCAATTGCGTACTTTGGGTTTGTTTAGAGCGTATGATTTTGTTTCACAGTACTTTTTAGGTATCCTCCACGATGCACCCAAGTATAATTCAGTGTTTATTGACAACTTTGACTTGGATATCAAGTATCTTGAAAAATCAATGCAAAGATTAGGTGACGCTGAAGAGGCGGCAGATGCATCGCAAGGTAATGTTTCCATAGATTCTACATTTTCGGAATTACGACAGAGTGTTGATTTGTTGAAGTTGGACAACTATGAAGAGTACTTGACCAATAATACATACAGGACAAGAAACTTTAGTTCGATAAAGTTTGAAAAGGGTGTCCAATTAATCAGCAAAATGCAAGGTAGGGAAGATGCCTTATTGGCACGCAATTCAAGCATCCATAGATCACCTCAACGCTCAAACACTACAAACTCAATTTCCCATTCAATATCCAGTCGGAATTTTTCCAACCTTATGGGAAACAAATACAATGATGAAGACAGCACACCAGGGTTGAATCTCAGGTCCAATCCCAATTCGAGACCTGCTTCGCCGTCACCATCACCGAGAGCAGACTCTGGAGCAAGACTGTCACCTGGTTTGGCATCAACAACTGGGTCAATCACGGGTTCAAGACTTGCACAATTTGCAGGCAGGTTCAAACAAAATGGGCAAAATGATCAAAACGGCGAGTGATTTGAAACGATTACCAAAATTTCAACTTTCCAAGCCAACTTTGCTTCTTATTTAATTCTTGTTGTTTCAACTCTGTAACTATAGTTTGTATTTGAGATTCCAAATCATTAGATTTTGCCACTAGATCAGCCTCTACTTCGTTAAACTCTAGATTGGTCCACAAGGTATGCAAAAGTAGATATGTGGTTAAGGAAATTGTGAGGGTATTGAAAATAGCATGACTGAATTGCGATAGCTTTGGCTTTGAAGGTTGTACTGAGGTGTCGGGTATGATGGTTGAATAATTTCTTGAGGAGATTGGTCTAAAGTGAGAAATTATACGTGAGTATCGTATAGGTGATCGTGATATCATTGTTGGTGTGTAGTTCTAGATCATCGATTGTAATGGTCGCTCTTTCTGGTTTTTTTTTTTTTCTTTTTCAAACCCTCCTCGTTTAGTTTCATCTGAGAGTAGCCTGTTTTTTTTTTCTGACATACTCACCAAAAAAGACAATAGAAAGTCACTTCTTTTTGACGTATGCCATCACAATGATTGGAATTATAAGACTACGTACTGCGAGTTTGAGGAGTATACAAATGTTGAGGGTGGCACCTCGTCAACCGCTTTTTGCACCTTATTTGGCACGCCAGTTTCAACAATCAACTATCAGCAAACAACTCAATGAACTGAGTCAAGCGCAAAATGAAGCTAAACTTGAAGCAGAAAAAGCTCGTCTTGATAAACTCACAAAGGAAAGAGAAGAGCGTCAACGATACAAGAACAGAACCGCAACGTACTACACTACCTCCCTAGGCATTGTTTTCCTTGCATTGGCATTCTGTGCTGTTCCTGTTTATCGTGCTATTTGTCAACGTACAGGATGGGGAGGTATCCCAATTACTGATAGTACACGATTCACCCCTGACAAATTAGTTCCAGTTGACACTAACAAACGTATTCGTGTGCAGTTTACTTGTCAGTCTTCTGGTGTTTTACCATGGAAATTCACACCTTTACAAAGAGAAGTTTATGTTGTTCCTGGTGAGACAGCATTGGCTTTTTACCGTGCGAAAAATATGAGTAAGGAGGATATTATTGGAATGGCTACATATTCCATTATACCTGAAAATGCTGCTGCTTATTTCAACAAAATTCAATGTTTTTGTTTTGAAGAGCAGAGATTGAGTGCCGGTGAAGAAGTTGACATGCCTGTTTTCTTTTTCATTGATCCTGACTTTGCCAAAGATCCAAACATGAGAAGTATAGACGATATTGTTTTGCATTACTCATTTTTCAAAGCAGCCTATTCTGATGGTGAATTATCTGCAGTGCCATCTGGAAAATTGGAATTAAAAGCAGAGATGGTGCAGTGATGAAGGAAGGGGAAACCTGTAAAGGAGTACGATTCATGTAAATAGAATTTGATAACGTGTAAATACGATCGAACAAAGAGAGAAAAATATTATTTCTACAATATTCACAATCGATACAAAGCACTTACCAGATCTACAGTAAAACATGTAACTATGTGCGCTATTGCACAAAAAGCAAAGTCAGCCATCATACGATTACCTTTGTAAGCTTTACTTGAGTCGCAGCCTAAAGGTAAAGGTTAACCCAATGAACAAACTAATCTGTTTGGATGTATAGAACGTGCCTTACAAGGAATCAAGGAATTAGGTAGCGTTTGTTGCTGGTGCAAATGGAAGCACGTGCTGCACGCCAAATTGTGATTATAGCATTAGGTGCTGGTACAATCGAAACTAACCTCTTCTACATTGCATGAAGTTAGAGGAATGAAGAAAAGGAAATTATGTAAGGGGCAAAAGCTTCCTGCTAACGAAGAAATGAATGAGCTCAAATAGCGAGTACAATTTCATGAGAAAGAAGGCAAGAACCTAGCGACTTGCACATGGAAAAGTATATTATCAGCACCCTCGAATAAGCATAGAATGCGAAGGAGTCCGAAAATCGACAAAGAATTTTTATGTTTGTGACGTGCCAGAAATGTTGTCATATTCGATCAAAAAAACATCAAGAGGTTTTGGTTGTACATCAGTCACAAAATGTGACCCTTAGCACCAAGCTTTTAATAGAGACTTTGGAAGAAATATCCATCCAAAAAGTGTACCCTGGAGCCCCAAATTGTTTTTTCTGAGTTTGTAGACATCTCAGATAACATTACACAGCAGTTGCTCGCAGAAGCAAGCTGCGCAATTTTGTCTTCTAGGTGAAATCTGCGTAACCAATAAAACTTGTTAGTTTCTGTATTCCGTATTTCGCGCCTATTCCTACGACGCTGCTGGAACCGTGGCGACTTTCGCCAACTCTTTCTTGAAAATAACCCTTACTTTACAGGGAATACGCATTATCTTGATTACAAATCCCTACACGTCAAAACTTAATGCTAATGTAATCCCTCTATTTTTGTACTTTGCAGAAATGGTTTTCCAATTCTTTTATAGGGCCATGTACACTGTACAATCACAATAAAAACAATAGACCCATTTTTACTAATCAATTAATAATGTGCAAACTAACTGGTTACGATACTCCTTGACAAGGGTCAAACGGTGAGCCCAAAGCACATCGGTAGTAATGAAACCAAATGTGTTTTGTCTAGTGCAATCACTTTTGTGTTAAATTGGACGTCAAGCTTTTCCTTTTCTTTGATGGAATTGATTAAAAGTCAAAAGTATGTAGTGGTATTACACAAAACAGAATACTTTGTGTACCTTTTTTTTCTGTTTAATTCCAATTTGATGCCGTACAAGAGTGTTTCGTTGTACTTAATGTTGATTGGATAGTGTGATTAAGCTTTTTAAGTGTGATACATTTGCATTCACAAATACCAAGAAAATATTCAACATTATCAGGTCAAGAGGTTTAAATTTGACAGCTCTCAATCACATTCAGGGGGATTTACATCAACCACGGGGTAGAAAAGATAATGTGCAATAGTGAACAAGTTCATAATAGTATTTGCTTACGATACTTGAAATTATATTTGAAAGCTGAATATCTCACCGAAACTTCTTTATTGTATTATGTTTGACGGATGAAAATTTATGCCCGTTGGCTAGTTACACATAGCGACACAATTTTGAAAAAGTATTTGCTTAAATACAACACTTACAAGTGGCTGTAGCCAATAAGGAGTCGTATGTTTACTCAATTCAGTTAAAAACACAGGTGACACAATAGGATAGGTTATTCTATTGTGTGATTGAGTACATATTAATGGTTATGATATTCAAACAATAGACATTTAATTAATAAAAATTTTGGTTCTTCTTTGTAAACGTATTGATTGATTGATCAGATAAAAATAAGCCTTTGTTTTGGGAAAAAAATTTTCATGGGCAATCCAGCGCAGACCACGAAAACTTTTACAAAAGCCACGTCGAACTGCACCTAGAGAGAAAGAGAAACGAACCTAAGCAATCAAGTCGTACCCAATAGGGAGTGTTGTAGAAATAACCTAATAAGTTACATTGAATTGTGTATACGATTGAATAATTTTTGTGTCAATGTTGCTCCAACAAAATTGTGGATCCCATCCCAACGTTTTCCAAGCCAAGAAAAACCAATGATTTTGCTATTACCGTAGGTGGTTGGTTTTGCCAATTATTCCTTATCTTCTTCCACCTGCACAACTTGCAATTTTACCACGAGCACATTAATTCGGAGTTGTTACTGACCCACGAGGGAATTGTTGAAAAAAGATAGTGAAGCATTAGAAGGTTACTTGAGAAAGAGTGTCGTTTTGTACCTTTTTAAGCGTTTGTAGACGACACTTGTTTTGTTAAAAATCTAATCTATTTGATCGACTCGAAAACTCAATCTAGAACAACCCGGAGAAGTGATACAAACCCATACACTTAACGACTCTTACGTCAATGAAGAAGCCAGCCAGTGATATTGTTCAATTTTGTAATGCATCTCTACCACAAACAGATGGTTCTCGCTATACACCAATCAATTATTGTGAAGAAGAAACAATATCTCTTTTACAACTGTGTCTCTGTATTGTTATGTTGTATGCAGGTAAAGCTTTCTTTTGTCTAAAAATAAAGCTTACACAAACAGAAAATGTCAAATGCATTGTTTTTAAAGCAGCACAAAGACAAGCGGCTTACTTTTGAGAAGACAATGCAAATATGGTTTGTTCCGTTTTTGAACTTACCCATCGCAAACTGTACCCAAAACTTGAAAGGGTAGATGCAATTGATAATACATACATATATATATATATATACCCAACAATGTCTCGCTTGCAATTTTCTTCTTTTTGTTAATCCTACTTATTGTCAAAACAACTTCTTCCTTCTTAGTCTACTTTTTATTTTGCAGCTGAAGCGAGAGAAGAAAAGATAACATCACAATAAATATGGTGTCCCTTAATAAATCAATTTACACCCTAATTTCATTGTGCCTTGCATCAGTATACGCTGGTAAGGACGGCTACCAGATATATCACGCGGATGATTTCCCTGTTCAAGCATGTACTGGTGTCATTGGAAAAACTGCTACATTTTTTGGTGAGGATGTGAAGAATGGATATTGTGATATTGGTAATCAGCCAGCATTGGGTACCATGGCTGAGTGTATTGAATATATGATGAACTACAAGAACAAGAACTCACGTAAATTGTTTTTAAAAAGTTGTAAAAAGAAGAATTTGACGGAAGATCAATATTTTGCTGCTTTACAAAATGCCACTGATTTTGGTTTCGTTAATACCACTGCTGAGGAAGGGTTCAACAAATCGACATTGTATTACAAGCCAGTTTTGTTGACCCAGAAGAAAGTTGATAAAGCTTATGATGCTGTTGCTACTAGATGGTACAATTACAACTATGCTCAATGGTTTGGAATTGCCTTGATGTGTTACTGGTTTGGTGTTTTGTTTATTGCTGGTGCCATCAACTTGTGTTATTTCCTTTTCCCATCATTCATCAAGTCATTCAAGGGTGGAATTGTTAACGCATTCCGTAAATACTTTACTTTACCCGCATTGTTTAGCAAAACACATGTCCATCATAAAGTTGTGCTCAAGTACTTGGTTGTTATGTTCCCAACTAGATTGGAATCGATTATTGTCTTTGGATGGTTTGCTATGGCTTTGATCATGTGTTGTACCAACTATGTCCACGTTGTTCCAAACTATATCTGGCCAGATAAGTCAAATGAATTGGGAAGAAAAGTTGCTGATAGAACAGGACAAATTGTCATGTGGTTGATGCCTCCATTGGTTTTGTTTGCCGGTAGAAACAACTTCATGCAATGGATTAGTGGATGGCCATATGCTAGGTTTGTCTACATTCACAAGTGGATCTCAAGAATTGTGTTTTTCATGTCCATTGCTCACGCTGTTGGTATGACTTATAACGGTAAAAAGTTGGGCAAATACGAAACAAGATTTGAAGAGCCTTATGTTCGTTGGGGTACTGTTGCTATTGTTGCCATGGGTATTATGTGTTTTCAATCATTGATGTATTTCAGAAGACACAATTATGAGTTGTTTGTCTTAATTCATATCTTGATGGCAGTATTTGCCATTGCTGGGTTATGGATTCATGCCAGACCACAACATTTCCATTACTTTATGATTGCCACAGTTGCGGTTTGGGTATTTGACCATGTTGTTCGTCTTGCAAGATTAGCTTCGTTTGGTTTACGTACAGCTCAAGTGCAATTGATTGCAAATGAAACCGTTAAAGTTACCGTTTCTAGACCAGCTTGGTGGATCCCTTTTCCTGGTTGTCATGCATTTATTCACTTCATGAGACCAACCTGTTTCTGGCAATCACATCCATTCACTATTGTTGACTCCGTTGCTGAAAATAGGACCATTACTTTCTATTTGAAAGTTAAAGGGGGTATGACGCATGGATTGTATCAATACTTGGCCAAACAACCAAGTCAAACTGCTTCAATCAAGGTTTCAGTAGAAGGTCCATATGGTAACCCGGTTGCTATCAACAGATTTGAATCAAGTGTTTTCATTGCTGGTGGTAATGGTATTCCTGGTCTTTATTACGAAGCCACTTCTATTGCCAAAAGATTTGGTGAAGCAAGATCAATCAAGTTTTATTGGGTCATTCGTCATTATCGTTCATTGGAATGGTTTTACCAAGAATTACAAAAACTCAAAGATTTGCCATCAATCACTCCAATTGTATATGTCACTCAACCCCATGTCGGCTTAACTGAACCGATTGCCACTGAATTAACCGATGATGAATTGGAGCAGGAAGAAGAACAAGAAAAGAAGTCTGATTCATATGAAAAGGAAGATTATATTGTTAAAATTAGAAAGCAATTGAATCACGTTGAATTCAGAGAGTATAGACCTGATTTTTATGCCCTTGTTGGGGAAGAGATCAAGGAAACTGTCACACCATTAGCTATTGCTTCATGCGCTCATGGGTCAATGGTTGATGACGTTAGGAAATCGGTTGCTGATCACTTGAATGATTCACAGTATAGAATTGAATTGTTTGAACAAATCCAAGGTTGGTAAAGGACGGGATATCGTTTTGTATAATATTATTGGTCCTTTGGTTTTTAATTATTTATAGAGTTTGTCTTTACATGGCATATTTAATATATCAGTTGTTACCTGTAGAGCTAGGGAAGAAGCTGTCTGTCCGTCGGGTATAAAATAGTGCCGATGACCTAAGGCGGGTTTTGACGCCAGAGCAGAAAAGAAAACCAAAAAAAAAAAAATAAACAGAATAAAGCACTGTCAACAATAGAAGCTAGATTGGACGGATCGAAAAAGGTAAATAATACATTCCATTGTGATAGATCAGATACCGAAACAAAGCGAAGAACTCAGATGTTAGTGTCAAGCGTCGAAAGGATCAGAAAAGATACCTACACCTTCAAGGGAAAACCGTTGAATTTGCATGGCTTGGATTTAGCGGCCAGCAGTTCCATAACGTTCCCGCAACAATGTTCTCTTCCTTTGATATATACCCCTTTATACATCATCGAGCATCAACATTTCATTCTTGTTATCTCTTGTGTAATTTCAATACGCGTCTAGTATGAAAAAAATTAAAAGAACAAAAAGGTAAACAAAAAAAGAGCTGCTTAGGTAAACATCAATTGGGCGTCTGCCAACATCAGACTCAAATAGAAAATTTTTTATGCAATTTATCCACTTTTAGAAAGCCACCTCTTAAAAGAAAAAATACAATTGATTTTGGTTGGTCTGTTTCATAACATTCTTTTGATCTGTTGAGTTTCTTTTTCTTCCATTTGCTGCTAAACAAGTGTGAATTCACGGAAGAGAGTGTGTTCTGTTCAAACTTTAGCATTAAAAATAGAACAAGGTTTACACGAATTGAGGTGAATATAACATTTACGAGGAGATCTTCCAAATAAAAAAAAAGTCTTGTCCATTTTTATCAATTTGCATTTTATTTAAACCTACAGTAAAAGGATCTAGCATCAACCTCATTGGTGGTCCGTTTCAACAAATTCCAGTCACTCGTTTCAAAAGCTAGAGCTATTCCATTTGCATATATTTGTACCTCCGTGCATTCCACTCCATAATGTATTCAATCACTACCCCAACAATTTACTTGTACGAACGAGCATCCAAGACATCAGATGACGATAGTGAAACCAGTTCCGACTATTGCAAAAAGCATTCTAACTCCTCGGAATGTGAGAAACCAGTGAGTAATGATAGTCTCACAATTGCCTTGTCCATCGTTTTACCTGTTGTCGCCATTCTTTGTGTCTTGGGTTATTTTCTTTACAGAAACTATCGTAAAGATAAAAAGGAGGATTTGGAACGTGACCCAGATTTTTACGAAACTGGTGAAGCTACTGCTTTGCCTGATTATCCTGAAATGAAACATGAAGATCCATTCCACAATAGAAACTCAATCAGATACCCTATGGAGCAAATAAATAGACAAAGCAATTTTGGCGGCGATAGACGGTACACTCAGCATATGGCAAGAAAATCACAAGATCCCTATCTAGATAGTTTTGTTTTACCTTATCAGCACCAAACCGGGTCGAAACTTTCCTTGGATGACTATGCTAGAAACTTGGGTGATCTGCAAGGATATCATACGCCTAATATCCAAACTAGAGCCAATTCAATGCATATTGATGCCGCTTTGAAGATGAGCTCGAACACCCATTCAAGAAAGCCAAGTTCTCAAATCAGTCCACTGAAGAAAATTGATGGTAAGCAGTATACAAATATCCCTAATGAATCCAATCCCGTCCTCCATGAAGCATCACATGAGGTGTCGAGTATTTTGGATGAATCTGGTGGATCTGCGTCTGATGATAGTGGAGTCATATCTCCACAGGACAATAATTTTGGTATAACTTATGAGAATGAGTCAGAAATGGCAGTCAATAACGCAATTCCGCAAATAGTTGTTGATGAAGGGGACGACACTGAACACCATGATTCAACTGAGATGTCACCTTTCAACGATGACCGCCATCCACATGAAACAAAGGATAGTACTTTGGAAACAATCCCAATGCAAAACTTGAAAAAGGGTGTAAACAAAGATGCTTCAAATGAAGATGATGCCGTGTCCTCCTCGTCAGCTGAATCCAATACAAATCCAATTCACAAGAAATCGGGTAAAATCAACAAGTCACCTAGAATTTCAGCATTCAATTTGTTGAAAAATGACAGTGATGCTGAAGATGAAGATGGTGATGATGATGAGGAATTAGAGAAGCTCACGCCAATGCAACAAGAGGAAATCAAACGCATGAAATCTGTATACAAGGTTTATTTTGACAAAGATGGAGAAGCTGTAAAGAGACATCCTGAGCAAGGTGAAGGTGAAGCGAGCGAGGTTGAACCTATTCAAGGGGAACAAATCAATGAGGATTTGAGAGTTGATGCAGATTATGCGAAGAGGTATAGTAATACATCTTCAGTGTATGTGGATCCAGAAGAGGCATATCAATATCAACAACAACAACAACAAATGTATTACAACCACTTTAATCAACAGTATCAACAACAGTATGGAACCCCTGTTGACCCACAATTGTATCAACAATTCCAACAACAACAGTACTACTATTACCAAAGACAGCAACAGCAGCTTCGACAACAACAGCAGCAGCAAGTCCCACCTCGTCCTTTGCCCCCCTTGCAACAGTTGCGTAACCCATCTGATCTTCGTAAATCGACAATACAAACATTTACTGATTTCAGACCTCGTGCTAAGAACCAAACCGTCACGTCACCACCAGAAGGCAAACAACCATTTGTTCCTATTGAAAACGATAATGTTTGGACTTCTCCCATAAATTCGCCCAGCATACAATCTCAATCATCGTTCACCAGCCAGCCCAACTACAACCGCAAACAAGGGGTGAACTACTTCCCTCAACAGCAACAACCACAACAACAACAACAACAACAACAACACCCAATATATCAAACCAATGCAAAAGCAAATTCGAACACATCTATCCCCTCAGCAACCCAAGTTTCTAGATCATCGGTAGTAATGTTGAATCCAGTTACTGAAATTACCAAATCGCGTAAGTTTAAACCCGCTGGGTCGTTACCTAATACAAACCAATTGCATGCTCAATTTGGACATAGCGATTTGAACGGACCAGAGAATGATTTGTTACCAAGTAATAGGAAAAGTGATGTCAGGAGGATGATGAATAGTAATTTTTGAAGGGTAAATAGAGATGTAGACAGTATTAGATATCTTTGTGATTAGAGCAATGAATAAAGACGTAAATATCCTCTTACTGACACCCTTATGGCGGGTTTTACGAGTTTTATTTCACTTTGATTAGTATTGGTACCAATTTGCACCCAAATATTTTCTGTGCTGAAAGTAATATAGTGGCAAGAGAGAAAACTGGTACCATTACATTATTTATTCACTTAAGTTTTTTATCACTGAATAGAGGCGGACAATTGCAAGAACCTTTACATCTGCTCGCTAAAGAATGTAGCAAACATTCCTCTACCTTCTGTTGCGTTCTTTACTTAGACAAATTAGCATTGATTGACCAACCAAATCGCACGAGAAAAAGAAAAAAAAAATTCACTCAACCCGAAAAGGTGAAAAAAAAAAATAGCATTGACGATAAACCATAGCAAAAGCAAAATAATACGTGCAAAGGAACCAATTCGAACATCACGGCAACTGAACTATAGCATAAACATACAATTGAGAGAACCTAATAACGTTTTCTTTTAATAGACGAACAAAATAATCACATATATAAATCATGTCAAGCACAACTGCATCAGCATCATCAACTTCTGCCCCAACCTCATCCACTCCAGCTTCCCAAATCATACCAACCTCGTCACAAAACTTACTTAATGACAAGTGGGATGTAGTATTATCCAATGCTTTAATCAAAACAGGTTTAGGTTTTGGCGGTGGAGTATTAGCATCAATATTATTTTTTAAAAGAAGACAATTCCCTGTATGGTTAGGGATCGGATTCGGATTGGGAAGAGGATATGCTGAAGGAGATGCTATCTTCAGATCCAACCATGGTTTGAGGACTGTAAAAGCTTAAGGCGATGTGGGACTATAGGAGAGACGAACGGCAATGTCAAACTTCGTTGCACAAAGAGACAACGCAACTACCTTTGATGCGTTTGTTTATATTACTAGGGTAGTTTGTATAATATCAAAACTTACTGAAAAGAAAGAAATGAATATCGTTAGACTTATATCATAGTCGTAGCAATTTCTGTTTTCGGCGTCCAAGTGCGTTGATTGTGATAGCTTGAGGTCGCAGGAGAGAATCAAAATCTCCAACTGTGGTATTTTACTACTTATACTTTCAACGCAACATCTACAACACAACACATTACCCACAATGGTTGAATCGGTACGGCTAATGGTAGAGAGGAATATTGATTTGTTCAGAGTCCTCAAGGTCCATCGCAATGCAACTATTGAAGAAATACGACGAGCTTATCATTATTTAGCCTTGAGGTGTCATCCCGATAAGCCCAAGACCAATGGACTAGATTTCAATTTGATTAGGACAGCATATGAGATCCTTTCCGATCCTCCATTACGAAAGCAATATGATGATTTGATCTGTGCTTATACTAAAAACTCATCGAAACCAAGAAAAAAAAAGCCTGCTCCTGTCGGGGACTTGCAAAGGAAACTAAAGGAGAAGGAACGGCAACTGCCGCCAACTTTGGCTAAGATTGAGAAACTTCGTGAAGATGGAGTTAAACAACGCAGAACACTTGAAGAACGAACATTAGAGGAGACACCAAGGGTCACTACAAGTATCTATGATCTACCACTATTGGAAATACCCGATTTCAGTACAAGTCCACAGTTTACTGCCCGGTTGAAGTACAAACAAAGACCCGATGTGGATATTGACGAGAGCACAATCATGGAAATCATGAGCATATTTGGTAAAATCAAGAACGTTGAATTGCTCGAATCTGATGATCACTATGCTTATGCAAGAATACAATATGAAGACCCAGATGCGCTAGATGCGGCAACCGGGTACGATTATTCACGAGCACAGAAATGGGATGGTACCAGAGTTCGAAAGTTGGCAAGTTTGCTACGATCATGCAACAAGGAATTTGGTCTAGGAGGGGATCAATGGACGAACAACCCAGTAGTCAATGCTATTCTTAATCAGTATGTTCAATCCGTATCTGACAAAAAGGAGTCATTTTAATTTCCTATTTGTTTTTTCGAAAATTGTTAATTCAATATACGATCACAAATTATACGAATCGAAACGGGTCATTGTCTCAAATCGTGGATCGATGTAGATGTTGTCTACATTGGAAAGCCTCTATTCTTTATCTATTAATCAATCATCTCTCCATTTCACAAACACTTCGTCTGTCCTAAATCTTTGTGTGCACACCGTATCCATAAGCTCATTTGTTTGCCCTGTTCGATACTGCAACAATCCAGCATGCGCTATCATGATACCATTGTCAATACAAAATCGTTCATCAGTAGCAAAAATCTGTCCATTTTTACGATCTTCAATCATCAACTTCATCATCTCTTGCAATCGCTCGTTGGACCCAACACCACCAACGATTAGTACTTGATTGCTATCGACATGGGCTAATGCGCGTTCAGTTATTTCCACCAACATGCTAAATAGGATCTCTTGTAAAGAGAAACACAAATCTTCAGCAGTGATTGGTTCCCCAGTTTCTTCATCAACAAGGGTCTTGCTTTGCTTTTGACTGAATAGGTCCTTGGCTACGCCATCGATATAGGCCAAAATTCCAGACATGGACAAGTCCATTCCTTTCACAGTATAAGGCAAGTTAACCAAATGTTTCCCCTTTTTGGCCATTTGTTCTATGTTATATCCGGGCGCAGGCTCATTCGGGATTTTCAATGTTCTCGCAAATCGGTCAAGACAGTTACCAATGGCAATATCCAAAGTTTCACCAAATATCCTATATCGTTGTTTGGAGTAAGCAATGACTTGAGTATTCCCACCACTTACATACAACACCACTGGATTGTTTGCGCCAGTGATTTCACGTCCCATCTCGATATGACCAACACAGTGATTGACACCTACTAACGGCAAATCCCATAACTGCGCCAATGTTCTTGCTGCTATCACCACACTCTGTAATGGTGCTCCCATTCCTGGACCTTGAGTAAAACAAATAACATCAATATCTGACCCCTTGATCTTTGCCGTGGCTAAAGCTTTCTTTATTACTCGAACTACCCAATTACGATGATGTCTTGCTGTGTCCCGTGGAAGAAATCCTTCCCCAGGAGGCGTTATATAAGTGTCTCTGATGTTTGATAATACTTCAGCTCGATTAGAAGGAGACAATTGACCCTTTGAATGCTTGATTACTCCGACACCTAGCTTATTTGCTGATCCTTCAAGGCCCAAAGCTATGTAGTGATCCTTGCCTGGCTTGAGGTATTGATCTAGATCAACTGTCATGTGTGTATGTTAGTGTCTACTAGTATTAGTGGTGAAGAGGGAAATGAGTTGTATGAAAAGTTCAAAACCTTCTTCGATGGGATCCCAAAGTAGGTCATTAGTGCGGCGCTGCACAAAATAAAATATAAACAAAACAATACACCTCCAAGAGTAAAGCTCACACCCACGGTGTCCCACACGCTTCAGCAATGTCTCTTTCAAATGAGTTAGACCGGATAGATAGGGCCGCACAATCAGTGGAATCATATGTGTTTGAAACGCCAGGCATGTTTACTAATTCCATAGTCAATCCACCACCAATACAAACTTTATTACGTGATCCTACAGCTGATGAGCGACGATTATACAAGATTACCAATGCAACTGGAAATCAATCCACTCTAGACGACCCGAGGGTAGAAAGAGTTGATGGAAAGTCAATGTACCATGAATACGATTTCGATGATCCCTCTTTTATTATGATGAATGAGTCGGAAAATGTTGATTATGAACAGCCAATAGTTAGACTACCTACATTATACCGACCTGATCCGTTTCCTGCTAAAATCGACCTTAAGTTTCAGGAAAGTGATGACTTGCACCAAGCAATTGAAGATTTCACCGTTGTTGTGGATAAATATCCAAGTTTGATTGAAGATTACGATACAATCAGAGGCAAACTAGAGCAATTGAGACAAGAGTTTGTCAATGTAAATGATGAGATTGCAAATATGGAGACGGAATTGACCCAAACCAAGCAAACCTTATGGAAAGAGTTTAAAGTTCCCACTGATCATGTTGCAAGCAGTGGCGAGTTGATTGACGTCGATGCTGAAATAGAGAAAGAAGAAAATAGAATTCGACAATTGCAAGCTATCTTGGATAAGAGGGTTTGATGTATACCCCAAGCATGCGTCCCTACAGTGTATACATGTCTATCCCCAACATAATAATAATAATACATTGACAATTATGTAAATCGTATAATCATCCTAAATCATTATCTTAAACTGAGGTAAGAATATCTGAATCACCGGCGTCCAAAATTGACAAAGTACCAACTCTGAACAATTTACCACAAACGGTACCCAATTCATTGTTACCACCTTGAAAGTAGTAAACTGGGGTCTTTGACAACATAGCGTAGTATTCCAATTCGGATTTTCTCAAAACTGGGGTGTTAGCAGCAATGATGACCAACTTGGCTTTACCGGTTCTCAATGATTTGACAACTGATTTGTAGCCCAAGGTATATTTACCTGATTTCATGGACAAAGCCAATTTGGCGTTGATGTTTTCTTGGTTCTTAGCTGATTTTGGTGCCTGCAAGGGTATCTTGTTAGTACTGTAAGTTCTTGTAAATCATTTAAACATCGAACGTCGACTTTTGAAACAACCTTTGACATACATTGAAATGCAATGCCCTAAACAAGGCGGAAGCGTCACGGCTTCAAAGTCATCATGTTGATATAGTTATTTTTTAAAGTATACTGACCATCGCTGTGTTTTAATTATCTGTAGTTATCAAAGGGTTACACTCCGGTCTTGATGTGGTGAAAGAAGAGCCAAGCTAATGAATAGAATTAGGATGATGAAAATTTATCTCTCGCATGAGGAGGCGAATCACTTTCATTTCTTTTTTGCGTTTTCTCTCACGTGCTGAAAAAAGTTGTTGTGGTCGTAGCCCTAATTGGATGTATAATTTTTTTTTCTTTGGTAGCACACACACACACACACACACACACACAACGAAAAAATCTACAGAAGGTTTGAAATTTACAATCGGTTATCAAGTTTACCTTCCTTTGACCAATTAACAACGCAATAGGTATGTGAAGAGAGCTTCAGTACGGGAGACACAATATTTGGGATTAATAAAGAGAGGAAACATAGGTCTCTACGGTTGCGCCTCACGCCCATGGAGGAGAAACGTACCCATGACACGATGTGCCAAGTTGTCGAATAGATTTACAAGGTGATTGCTGTTTGCACGAGATAAGGGTCGGAGAATACACTAGACAACCTCATCTTCCCTCAACCCCACACCCGGTTGTGTTTCTACTTCCTTTGGACCTAGGTAATTGTGCTCCATTTTTCAACATCAAATACTAACGATTTCTTAGAAAAATGAAGATCGAAGTTGATTCCTTTTCAGGTTCTAAAATTTACCCAGGTAGAGGTACTTTGTTTGTCAGAGGTGACTCCAAAGTTTTCAGATTCCAATCATCAAAATCTGCCTCCCTTTTCCACCAAAGAAAGAACCCAAGAAGAATTTCATGGACTGTTTTGTACAGAAGACACCACAAGAAGGGTATTTCTGAAGAAACCTCAAAAAAGAGAACCAGAAAGACTGTCAAGCACCAAAGAGCCATTGTTGGTGCTTCATTGGAATTGATTAAGGAAAGAAGAAGCCAAAAGCCATCTGAAAGAAAAGCTGCTAGAGACTCTAAATTGGCCAAGGACAAGGAAGCTAAGAAGGCTGCCAAGGCTGCCAGAAAAGCTGAAAAGGCTAAAGCCGCTGCTGCTGGTAACCCAGTCGTCTCTAAGCAAAGTGCTAAAGGTTCATTCCAAAAAGTCAAGGCTACTTCCCGTTAAGTGAGTTGATGTTTACCAAAATGAACTTGAAAGTAAATAATGAGAATGTCGAAACACGGGGAGAAGAGGTGTTTTAATAATGTGTGTATTTTAAAAGAACATGGATATATACAATGAATTCAACGGCGTCGTTGTTTTTTTTCTATTTGAGTTTATATTCACCAAAGGTGAATTTACCGTCCTTTTCAGCACAACTCAACACAACTCGTGTTGCATTGTTAACTCTAGTACCAAAGTAGAAAGTCTCAGTTGTGTGGCCGTAAAGTAGTTGAATTCCTCCTCCTTCTCCTTCTCCTCCTCCTCCTCTACTTGCTCTCTTTAATACAACAATGAAACCACAATACATATTTCGTGCTTTTGCAAAAATAAGCTTTTGCAACTGTACCCCATACTCTCCTTCATCATCCATACGACTGATGTTTTTGACAATCAACTGAGCTAACGAATTTTGAACAATTTGCTCTCCGTTCCCAGAACACATACAACTAATTTCCAAATCCCCCACTTGTTCATAATAGATTCCAGCCCCAATGATCCCGGCACAACCTATTCTTCCTGAAAGTTTGAAAAAATGACCTCCGGATGTAGTGGCAAGTACAGTTTGGTTTGAATTAGTGTCAATTACAAGCGATCCAATTGTGTCATTTACTTCAATTTCTTGATGGGGAAATCGAAATACAGTATCTTTATACATATCATAAATCTTTTTAGATTTGGGGGATACAAGGTGTTCATTGACGGGAATATTCATAAATCTGCTCAAGCTTGCACAATGCAAACTCAATGGTCGTGATAGATTAGCTTCTCTATTATACAAATCATCAATCTTGTTGAAAATTCGAAACATCTCTTTTGTCGGTGAATCAACTTGTAAGCCAGATAAAGCGCCCGTCTCACCATTGCTTTTGATATAGCTAGCGTCTATCTCCACTTCGCCCAATACATTCAAACTTGACCCATATCCAGTATTGGTCAATGATGAGTGTTCTAAAATGTCATTGACTTCAATGACGTTGCTCTTTTTCAAAGCCTGCTTCATCAATTTTACGTATTCATTGTTATTCTTCTGCTTATGGTTTCCGGCACCTATGTGGAGTACGACGACTTGGTCTAATTCGATTTGCATACACACATACGATGACAACTACTTCATTGAAGGAGAGAGAAATGATCAAGAGTATAATCCTATAACCGCTACCATTCCTAGCTTTCTTTTTTTTTTGGCAAAGCTACTAGACACACATGTTGCTATCCCATATTCCTCAATAGGTACAGACGAGTCAGAGCTAAGTACCAAACCAACGTGTAAAGGTGTATCTCTACGGCTTTCTTCACCTTTTTTTTTTTACTTTTTCTATAAACCAACACCAACTTTATACAAACGCAAAAGTTCGATTCTCACTCCTTCACGCCTTCTCCTTTCTTTGTTCAATCATATCCTCCAACATTTCATCCAGTGTATGTTGCAAAATCCCCACGGCAACAGAATTGGAGCGATAATAATTGGGGCGGTTTTGCTTATACTTTTTTGCGGATGATTCCACAATTTGTTGAGGGTTGTTGCCTAAATGGTTCGAATTGGGAAAGTTTGAATATACTGGTGCCTTGTTGTAATGATTATTGAATTGATGATGGAAAATGTTTTCACGAAGTATGGCTTGAGGTGTTGATGGTGGTTGTTTCTGTTGTGATGCAGTTATTTGAGCCAAGAATTGGGCCTTCTTGTCGTCGTTGCTCTTGGCAGCCGACAGTTGTGGGCGTCGTGGCGATTGCAGTAGCTGCAGTTGAGACGACCGTTGTGGTGACGGTATTGATGGTATTGTTGATGGATCGAGATGCTTTGATGATGAGCCGGTGCTGCTGTGCTCTTGTGATGATGGTGGCCCTTGCTTGAACTGAATAGATTGTACAGTGGACCTAGATGCATTATCTGGGGTGGTGGAATCAATCAAATCCATAGGCACATCTTCAAAATCGTGTGAGTCACTATTAAATATGACAGCGTCGGTGGTATCACCTACAGATTCACCTCGTGAAACGATATAAGGTAACCTTGAATCATGCGATTTAGAACGTTGACCAATTGATAAAAATGGAGGTCTTCTTGTTGGTGTCACTTTAGAGTGGAATGCGAGTGTTAGGTTTTCCTCATCGGAATCCTCATCGGAGTCCTCATTGGAGTCCTCTTCATCCTCCTCTTCATCATCATCATCTTCTTCATCTTCTTCAGCGGCAGAATCATTGTTGGAACAGCCACTGGAGGAAGAAGAATACGAAGAATACGACTCACTACTTGATTGTCTTGTCAATGAAATCACTGGTTTAGCTCCGGGTGCAACTCCATCATCATCACTCAATCGCTTCGCACCCCTACTTTGTTTACCAACATTCATCAGGTCTTCCAAGTTGAATGACTCGAATTTGTTATTCAAATCAGCTGTAGGATTCGTAACATTCTTGAGCAAGTTTGAATCGGAAAAACTTGATCTCTTCCTCAACGAAGTAATAGGACGCTCCTCATTTGGATCGGTAATGGTTACTGGTTTATACTTCAAATGCAACACTTCATCATTGATACTATCCAAGGACGCAAAACTGCCGGTCAATGGTAATGACATAAATGATGATCCAATAGGGTCACCTTCAACCAGATTGTCTGTTGTTTTATCAATGAATTTAAACAACTGCAGTTCACGTCTGGCTCCTTGGGTCGGATCAGTGTCTGACAAATCATCCAGCTTCAAACCGGTATTGCGGAAAAATTCAAAATTTGGTTTTACTGCGGGTACTGGGATTGGAGTAACAAGCGCAGAAGACGTCTCCTTTTGTTGTTGTTGTTGTTGTTGTTGTTGTTGTTGTTGTTGTTGTTGTTGTTGTTGTTGTTGTTGTTGTTGTTGTTGTTGTTGTTGTTGTTGTTGTTGTTGTTGTTGTTGTGGGGGTAGTTGTGGGAGTTGTGGTGACGATGATTGGTTGGTGTACACCAGTTGTCCAAGCGATGATTGATTGGAGTGCACATCTTGTGATATCGAATTCTTGTTTGATGTCCCAATATTATTGGAAAACAAACTTGATCGTCTCCGTTTATCGTCTTGCTCTTGTATACCTTTGAATGTATCGACAATGGATTGATTTTTCAAATATAAATTACCACCAACATTCCGCTTCGTTTCAATTTGTGGCGCTTCAACAATTGGAATGGCAGCAGCACTACCTCTTCTGCTGGATGCTCCACTGTGTGATTCAATAATGTCGTGGATGAAACTTTTACGGGCAAAGCTTCCACGTCTACTGGGAGTACCACTTTGTGAGTCTAGACGTTCATGAAGCAAGCTCTTTGAACCATCTCTATGACTTCCATTAGATCCAGAAATTGCAACTGGTGTTTGTACCGAAACTGGCGAGCTTGAATTGCTAGAAACCTGTTGTGATAAATGCGACGGCACATGAGGATTATGTGTGAATGAATCAGTTCTCGATCTCGTCTTTGTTGGTCGTGCATCTTCGCCATTCAATTGCAATGGTGATGAAATAACCATTGGCTGTTCAGACAAGATTACAGAGTGGGTATTGTGCGGCAATGAGCTCAATTTATAGCTTGAATTGAATGTTGAATACCCACTTGAAGATTCATCGCTGGATTCACTCTTGGAATGTTCCATTTGCAAAGCTTGAAATTTACTCTTCAACTCGGAATCCTTAATGCCACCGGCTTTGATTGCTTTAACCAAACTTCGTTTGATTCTAGTTCCACAACCAATTATAGCGTTTTCAATCTCATCATTAGTCACAATATCTTGATCGCTCAAGTTAAAGTCCAAGGGACTGTTTGCCGTTGACGAATTCAAATTAAACAATTCATGCAATGCTTCAAGATTATTGTCGAGGTCCATGAGTGTAAACGGATGCTCTTTAATCTCTTGTATTGTAATCCTTTCGAAACTCTTTTTCTTTAAAAGCTTCGACAACAAATCTTTGGCAAGTTCAAATTCTTCTTCAGTAACCCATCCTGGAGAATTGAAAGATTCAATATCAGGTGGGAATTGTAATGGCTGATTAACAATCACATTGAAAAGCTCAAACTCGGAATCAGCATTGAATGGGACTTTTCCAAATAATAAACAATACAATGTTACACCTAGCGCCCAAATGTCAATCTTGTAGTCAATCCTGGGTGATTTTTTAGTGGATGATGCATCGGTGGTATCGCCATCGCTGCTGTTGCTGCCATCGCCATCATTGTCATCATCCTCCTCCCCATCGAGTTGGCATAATTCAGGAGCAAAAAATGCTGGTGTTCCGGCAGTTTTCGCTAAATCCAACTCATTAACCAAGATCCCTTGATCTTCCTCAATCAAGGAGGAAGCAATTGAAACACCAAAATCACTAATCTTAACTGTGTTGTCCGATGATACCAACAAGTTTGCTGGTTTGATATCTCGATGTACAATCCCTTGCAAATGAAGATACTCCAATCCTAATAAAACGTCTCTAAAAATCTTTCTTGATTGTCTAAATGTCAAATTGGGACTGAATTCGTTGGAAAGTAAATCTTCTTCAGTGGAAAACCGATGATGTGGTTGGCGAGGTGCGCCTCCACTTTGTCGTCCACAACAAGGTATCTCCAGATCACTGCAGTCATTTTCCAGTTGATTTTTTCCATGAATTATATCTTGTTGAAGCTTCTTCCATTTGATTTCACCCTTTTCCATAAACTCCAACACGAGATAAATCTTGAAGGAGCTTATATCATCCAAAACTTCCTTCAATGAGACGATATGCTTATGTCGACATTTTTTCATAATGGCAATCTCTCTTTTAATTTTTAATTCGTGTTCACTGATGCTACTTGTCTTGCCATTATTGCTATTTCGTATCCTCAATGAAGGTCGTTCCTTTTTCGATTTTCTATTGACAATCTTAATGGCAACTAATTCATTATTGATTAGATCCTTGGCTAACTTGACTTTTCCATGTTCACCTCTTCCAATTTCTTTTAAAATCTCATAAGTGTTCAACACTTTTCTTCTTGTTATAGGGTCATATTCTAGTAATACACGTTTAGTTTCTTTGACTGGTGAATCATACCCAGACGGCGTTGAAGGTCTCGAATTGGTGTTTAAATATAGCTGTGAATGCAGAGGTGATAAAAGTTGTGTGTGTGCTAATGGTGATTGCGGAGGTGGTTGAGGAGATCGAAGTCTGAATATTGGATGAGAGGCGGTAGTGGTAGTGGTAGTGATGCTGTTGTTTTTATCCCTCGTGTGCTCCAATTTGGCATGTAATTTATTCATTGCGTCATTGTCCGTGGATGATAGCTGACGAGGTGAAATGGGATCCCTGTCAATGTGTCCAGACTGATGGTTTCCATAATGCAAGTTTGAGTGGCCATTATTCTGACTCATGTGATCAAATGATAATCGTTTGGGAGTAGAGAATGGTGAACATTGTTGTGATGATTGTTCGGTTTGGGCTTGTCTTGGTAAGTTATGATGGATTAGATTATCTCGAGGTGTGCTTTTTCCAGAAATTTCCAGTGGTTTGAGACCAAATGTGGGTGATTTTGATTCAAGTTTTCGCTGAAGATAAGCGTCTCCTGCAAATAAGGTGTTGCTAGATGTCGAAGGTGTAGTTTTTGTTGCTAGTAATGGGGGATCCAACTTCGACATTTGACTGTGAGGAGTGGATGGAGTGATTGATTGCTGCAGATGTGGTTGTTGTTTTTGGGAAGTAGACTCACTTTGTAGACTGAAATTGTGATCTAAACGAGGAGGATGAAGTTGTTGTTGATGCAGGTGCAGGTGAAGATACAGATGCTGTGACTGTGACTGTGACGGTGCCTTTGATTGTAGTGGTTGCTGTGTTGCAGTTGAGACTAATATCGGTGAAGGAGACGAATGCGACATCAAAAAGTCAAAATGAAATGGAAGCAAATTGTCTCAATCAACGTGGAAAATGTAGTATTCAACTATTGTGAATGGTGGTAGTAGCCAGTTACCTATAAGTGGTAATACCCTTTAATGATCTATAGGTTTATTTGCTTCTTTTGCTAAAAATTGCGTGTTGATGTTTTTTTTTTCTATATTTTTAGTCAGTAGATTGCGTAGTGCTTGAAGAAAAAAAAAAAAATAAAAAATAAAAAATAAAAAAAGAATACGAAATTAAAGAACTGTTCTCGCCCGAGAGAAACAGAGATTCAGGGAGACAGCGAGACAGAGAGACAGGGAGATAGGGAGGAACGGAGGGACCAGAACAGAACACAATAGAACAGACAACTACAGAAAAAAAAAAAAGATTAAGCAGCAACAAAAACAAAGGACAAATTTTATTAGTAGCGATTCTGACATTGAACATGGGGTGGGGTGTTTATAAGCTACACCCCAAAAGTAGTAATTAATGTAGCAGGGTGTACGATTATCAATATTCATTTCCTTCTCTTTAGAAGTTTAAGGTAAAACCAAGTACACCCAACAATTAGTGGAGTAAAATATAGCACAAAAATAGGGTAGTGTACCAAGTAACAAATAAATGTAAAGAAAGAATGATCAATCACACCAACACACCAACACACCAACACACACACTAACACACTGCCTCTATCTCTATCTTTCTCTTTCTCCTTCTCTTATTTTGCTATCAACTCACCTAAAAAAAAATCAAACAAATTATCGAGGAAGGGGTGGGGTAGAAATTGGTATTGATACTACTCTCTTTACCCCCTTTTATTTCGCTTAGAACCCTCCCTCAACAAACATATATATATATATATCAATAGAATATATAAATAGTATAATAATAGCATTCTACTTGTAAACGAAAAGCATTAATAGAAACAAATTGTACTCTACTCCTTTGCTGAAGTGTAGTCATAACAAAAATAATAAATAAGAGAATATGATTTCAAAAGTGGGGCTCGGCTATTTACTATAGTTGATGTTGATGTTGATGTTGATGATGACAACGATGATGATGTAATGCATATATTCTACACAACATAATAATAAATGTTACTATGTTACTACTCTCTTCTTCCCCTCATTTTCTTCTTTCTATGCAAAATAATACTAGTCGTGTGCGATAATTCAATATTATACACAACAGATGTTGAAATGATATTATTCATAATCTATAGAGAATTAGGATAGTAATTTCTTCACTCCTTTTTACATTCTCTTTGTGGTTTTTTTTTTTTTGGATTTAATGCACTGTATTTTTGTTTGCAAAACTTAGTTACAAGTCAACCATGTGTACTAATTAGAACTTTTATAACACAACCGTAGTATAATACAGTCCTTATTTTTATTTCATAGTAGTGCGACATAATTTTTCAAACCACATAATTACCCAAAAGAATTTCTGTATCTCTAACCCGGTTGATGTACCCGATCCTGTCAAATTAGGGAAACCAGTTTAAAAGTGTGGGATAATATCAATCCAGAAGTTTCTTTGTATGAGGTTAGTCATTTTCTACTGTCCTCTCTCAGAGTATTTGCAGTCTTTTTCCCAAGCTAAAAGCTGTTTCCTTTCTATTCATTGATTTAAGGATAGGGGTCCATAGTTTAAAAAGATCTCTTCTCTAAACAGTATGGTATAAAATCATTAGCATATCTACAGAAACATTGATAGCTTTCTAAGGTTATCTTTGCTATTGCTTCTCTTACCATTGGAGTTAATTGTTCTTTTCTAAATAAGTTTGACTGCTTCTGCTTAAGTTTAGCCTTATACACGGACTAAAACTCTTCAATTACGTTTAGTCTTGGTGACTAAGGAGGCAAAAACACTAGCTCCATTCCACTCAGTGCTACTAATAACTCAAGATCACGACGTTTATGGATGGCTGCATTGTCAAGTACCAAATACTTGGTCTCTATAAGCACGCCACGCTTTTTAGGTTCTTCGTAAATACCATTGAGTTCACAGATGACTCGCTGATTCCAGTTTCTTTTCCAAGTAGAAGCTGTTTGTAAACTGATATTGAGTGCTTGTGCAGCCTTATATGCAGAATCTCCTTCTTCGATAACTAATTGCCAGAATGTTTGCTTCTGTACCTCGGAGTAGTATCTGTATGGACCCCTTTCACGTTTACAAGTTTCTTCTTGTTCAGAACTGATGTTCACATCTACATCTACACTATTACATTCCATTTCAGATTGCAGGTTATCAACTTCACTCTCATTTAGATAGAACGTTTCATTGTAGTCACTGTAACTAATACACGATTCCAATGGGGCTATCTCACTTTCCAAAGCCATCTGGCCTGTGTCCAAGGAAAAGCAATTACCAAGCCGATCCACATATCTGTCGGTGTGTAACTCCAGCTTGAAATTTATTACCCCCTTTAATTTTATATTATGATTTTCCTTTCCTACCCGAAACAAAATCATATAAAACAAAATTATGACGCCCTAGTTTGAGCAATTTATGTCTCATTGGTATGAAAAATTATGTCGTTCTAGTATGAATAAATATGTCGTGTTGGCTTGAATAATTATGTCGCCTTAGTATGAAAAAAAAGTGTGTCGCATTGATTTGAATAATAAATGTTGCGCTGGTGAAACAAAAATAAAAAGACTATAAACGTCATTTATTGGACGAGATCACAAGTGACTCAAAAAGTTGGTTTTACGGAGGTACTTAAGTGCAAGGACAGCATTCTCCGAAAAAATAAGTCCATCGAAACCTAAAGAAGTTCTGCGTGAGTCAATCTATCTAGTCTTCAGGAGTGACTTAGCCTTTCGTTTCGTATTTTCCTTTTGAGGTCATGGATGAACACAAAGTAAAAGTGCAATCACGCATTATATATATACTTTGTACTCGTCGATGGGAAACAATGATATTTTGGTGACAACAGTCTCAGTGTGGCTGCAAAACTCTTGAAAATAGGAGGTGCTCACTCTGTCTCGGTATAAAATACGATTTCTTTTTGAATTGTACTTTGATTACTCACCTTGACTAAAAAAATCTCAAGTCAGGACTCGGCAAAGACCCAATACTGACCGGCTTTAGCTGCAACTTAATAGGTAAGAATGTAAGTTTGTCATAGACTGAACTGAGCCGTGCAGAGACGACTAGAATTCAAGACACCATCTTACTAGACCACTTTCCTTATGACTCTACAGTTATTTCACTTTTAGTGCCAAGCAACTAACAATCAATTCTTCAACTCTTCAATATAAAAACTACACACAAACTGTACGATTGACAAAATGGGAAGAAAAGAACTACCACCAATTAATTAAGCTTAACACAATTTGAAGCTCCCCTTTCTTTTATTTGTTAATTTAAATATAGATTAATAATGGTAATGTCTAAGGTATAATAAACCAATAATTGATCATGATTGTCTCGCTCTCTCTATGCCGAAAACATGTAAGCCCCTAGCCTTGAGCAAACTGACTGTTGGTGAATGAGGCAATGACTATAAAATCATAAAGTGCTATAGCTATAAACTTGAAGATATTCGGCTTGCGGAATGCATACACATTAGGAAGGATGAGGAACAAGACTATCATTGTCACTAAGGCAATGGCAGCGAAGATTTTGGTGAAGCTTGGAATCATTATCGTTATTATTGTTGGTTATTGGGTGAATAATTAAAAGGGTTTTTCTTTGTGAAGGTAAAAATAAAAAATGTGGAAAGTAATGGGAGGTAATAAATCCTATTTAAAAGAAACTGAACAATATTTTATACAAAATAAGTTAATTGTAGAGACTTAAACCTGTTACAAATCCCCAGATAGATGATTCTTTAAATCTATTTATAAAGTTTGGTGTCGTTGTATTGGCTACACCTGTGTCAAAGTTTTAGCTCTAAAGTTCTTTCTATATTGGTTATGACTGCCATGTGAGTTTTGTGTTCAATTATTCTTATGATAGTCTTACAAAATATATTGCTTACAAAGGTTAAAGAATCACAAAAAAAAAAAAGGAGAAAGGCCTATATACAATGGGGATGTGTAGATACTGTGAGTATTTGATTTAATGGTTAATATAGTAGCAGCTAAAAATATCATGTGAGAAGTTAACACCTTGAGGGTCCAAATATAATAACACGTGGCGATTCTAAGTCCTATATTGTTAAGGAAAAATGACTGGTAACATAAAGGAGTACATTTATGTACAGATATGGAATTAAAAGCTCCTTCACTAATAATACATGTATTCTTACAAATCAACTACAGCAAACATCGAAAAATGGCACGATTTAGAAATTAGTAATTTGAGAATTACTAATAGTAAAACCTTTGAGCCACAAATGTCTAAAAGCTTTCAAAGATGAGGAAGATAACTAGCATAGAGCACCATGTGGCACGTAGTATATATACGGTCCACTATAAAAGTATACATTAAACATTAAAAGATACCGTGTAGCTTGTAAAGTAAGAAAAGCCAGAATTCAAAGATCATAACAAGATACATGGGCTGGTACAAAGTGAAAGGGAAAAATGCAAAAACTACATATTTTAGTTACTGTTCGCATATGTGCTATTTATTATCATTACTATATTTAGGGCATGACACCTGAGACAGAATGGACTGTATTTCTAGCTAGTGCTGCCGATGGATGATGGGGAAAGTTTTCTTTCCCTGTATGTTCTTTCTTCTTGTAGAGCTAACGATAAGCACCGAGACAATACTACCAACAAGGTTAATAAGGTTAATCATATTCATTTTATACAGTCTTTTTATTTTTATTTCATACTAGTGCGACATAATTGTTCATACCAAAGCGACATTTATTATTCAAACCAACACGACGTATTTATTCATACCAGAACGACATAATTTTTCAAACCAGTGCATCATATTTTTTACACCACCTACTCACCCAAAGTAATTTCCGCACCTCTAATCAGATTGAAGAACCCGATCCTGTTGAATTAGGGCAATAAATTTAAGAGTATGGAATCACATCAAATCGGAATTTTTTTTTTGTTTGAGCTTAGTCATTTCCTACTTTCATTTCTCAAAGGTTTTACTAACATTTTCTCAAATTAAATGTCGTCCCCTTCCTAATTATTAGTTTTAGAACAAGGATTTGCACTCTAGAAAGATGTCAGTTCTGCACAGTGTTGCATATGGTCATGGGCATGTCTACAAAATCTTTGATAGCTTTCTAAGGTTATCTTTGCTGTCGATTCTCTTACCTTTGGACTTAACTGTTCTTTTCTACATAAGTTTGACCGCTTAACACACTGGCTAGAATTCTTCAATTGCGTTTAGTTCTGGCGAATAAGGAGGCAAAAACACTAGCTCCATTCCACTCAGTGCTACTAATAACTCAAGATCACGACGTTTATGAAACAAAACTAAAAGACTGTGACACAATCTCTTTTTTTTTTTTTTCATTTCAACTGCTCAGCCTAAGTCAAGGATATATCATTTCTAACTAAAGATATACCTCTGTTGAAACCATCTTCTTTTGAGTCTTTGCTTCCTTCTGAATTCTACATATATATGTATAAACTTATTGGTTGACAGCAACTCATCAACTATCCCATATCTCACGTTTCTTGATCTTTTGTTGTTTTGGTTGTGAAGCCCAAATCATCAACAGTTTTAAATGTAGAGTCTTATTTTCTTGTCTTTTTTTTGCAGCACTTTTCGTACCATTAAGCTCCTAAACATCCTCAACTATCATTATCACTTTATGGATCAACATCCACCAGTATATATTAACTTAGAAGAGAGAGCTGATGGTATAGTTGCAAACCTTCACCGAAAGCTAGTAAATGGAGGAAGAAGAGGAGTTATTGACGATGCTGATGATATCTTATCACCATCACAAGATGATGATGATGATGATGATCATTACATCAACACCAATAAGAAAAAAGATGACACAACCAGTATGTTGTACTCACAATTGAGAAGATACTACAATGATGGAAACTTTATTGAAATCATGTTCTTACTCCCTCAAATATCACAATTAAATATTGTTCCTCCCATTTTCCATCTAATCATTGGTTGTACTATGGTCCATTTTGGTAGATTATCCAGTGCATTCAGAGAAATTGGAGTTGCCATATGCTTAGCACCCAATGAAGCTGATAAGAAGGAGTTCATCAAGGTTCTAGCTTTCACTTATGCTGATTTGAACGATAAAGATTCAGCAATGGGATGTCTTGGTGAGATATTGGACATTTCAAGAGCGAGCATTTTGGGTACAAAACAATTTGACGAAATGAAGTTTGAAATAATCCAATTGGAAAAGGAATTGTTGCTCAAATTGGAACAAGCCAAGTCCATCAAGTAAGTGAGAAACAATTAAATCTTGATGATTTGGGGCTAATTTATTTTGTACTAACACCATAATTCAGGCAACCAGTTAAGGGGAAAAACAAATCATTTGATGATCAAGTAATGGATTTGATAGCATTGCATAAAGTATTTCCCAAAGATTCATTTACTGGCAAGTGTCAAATCATCATTGGTAAAATTAATCAAGCGGAAAAGTTGTTGCAAACATGGGATAAGGAAAGGAAACCATTGGTCAACAAGCAAAACCCATTGAAATTGTTGGTTGAGGCTATTTTAGTTTTAGGACCTAGTATTGCTTACTATGGTATGTTGAAATTAGAACCCATTTTGAACCAATATTTCGACTTTGTTCAGATTCAAGCAAATGCTAATAAACCACACAAGACTAGAACCGTTTCTGCTTTCTTCTTAGGCGGATTAACCCCACTTTCTTCGAGTGCACCAACTACACCAAATGCAGATGGTGAAATAGCAGCTAAGCCAAATGCTAGCTCCCTGAATAATGGAACTGTTTTCACTTTTCAATTGATAAAGATCATTAGAGGCTTCATTGCCATGTTGCGTCATGAGTACAAGGAAGCTCATGAACTTTTCCTTGAAGCAGAAGATGCCAACTTTGAGTATAACAATCACGTTTTAATTCTCAAATACATTTGTCAATCAAATGAGCCACATCAACATAGAAAAGAATTAGAGTTGCTTGCTCATAAGATTTCCAAACTCCCATTTGTTTCTACTTTTAAATTCCACACTTTGGCTAAGATTTATCAGAAATTGTACATCTTGGAGCAGGCTAGCTTATCTAGACATAGACGAAGAGGTATATTGAAAACCACATTGGATCCCAAGTATGACCAATCGCTGTTGAAATTTTACACATCAGCCGCGGCATATGCACGAGATGATGATTTATATGTGACACTGTACTATGATAATATTCTCAACTTCTTACTCGACTTGAATAAGGATTTTAGTGTTGAAGCAAAGGAAGATATTGTCCATTTCTCCGCCTTGGTATTCTTTTATCAAGTTCGCAACTACTTTTGCTTGAAATCAGATTACAATTATGTTTATATTCCAGGCTTGGTTTGTGATTGGCAAGAAATCAAAACAAACACCAAGTTGAAGCTTAGAATTAAACAGTTTTTGGAGGCTGATAATGGTGATTCAGTCATTGCAAGTACAACAACCACTGGTGTTGCTACCGCTGCTGCTAGTGCCGCAAAATTACATGAAGCTGCCACTAACAAAAAGTCTACTAAGCTGTTTGATATGATTGGGTATTGGGAGAAAGAATACATCAAGTTTAAAGGAACGGTGCCCGATGCTATCAAACAATATTTACGGAAAAAGTGAATTTTCGCAGCCTATTTAGTTTTCCCTACTTCAATAGAACGCAAAAAAAATGCGAATCACCGAAATTATTCAAAACAAATCGAGACAATTTAGTAGCACATCCCTTTTATGACCCAGTATCAACTCTATGACCGTGTATCAACAATTGACAACTATGTCGCAACGATCAAATATATCGGTCATCTTCCTCAATGGGGGTCTCAGGTAGTGGCATTTGGGTTAGAATGGGATGATGCTAACCGTGGTAAAAACAATGGAGTATTGGATGGTGTACAATATTTCACCCCTATCGTGGAAAACTCAGTAAGCTTCGTGAAATCGACAAATAAGAACATAAACCATGATCGAAAATCATTCATTCGGGTAATCAGGGAACAGTACCTCGATGCCATTGGGTATGAAGCCAAGGGGATCAAATTCGGTGGGAAAGTTGTTGAAGAATTGGGGTGGCAACAATTGAATGAGTATCAGTCCCAATTACGTAATTTGACGTCATTGAGCTTGGACCATTGTTTTATATATTGCATGGCTCGCGGTACTGAAGTTGATGATGTTGAGAATGTATTCGCCGGATTGGCCAATTTGACCAATTTAGATCTAAGTTGTAATTTATTCAACAACATGGATGACATCTGGCAAATTGTCGCTCGTTTACCAAATTTGAAAGTATTGAATATCAATGGGAATCGTTTTCCACTCGATGTGGATAACCATGAGCAAAAAGATCATTTTATTCATTATAATTTACAAGTTTTGAAGATGGCATCAACTTTGATTCCAATATCTAAAATCAATACCATAGTGTCACAATTCCCCAATTTGTTAGAATTGATCATATCGGGGAATCAGTACACGAATAATGATGTAAACTGCTTAGATGTCGGTGATTACAGATTAGCGACTTTGGATTTATCATACAATAACCTTCAATGTGTCCCAATTAAACTACCTTTATACATTACAACCTTGAATTTGTCACATTGTCGAATCAATTCTATTGAGAAAAGAGTAGCAACAAACGACATCACCTCCCTCGATATTAGATATAACCAGCTCAAAACTTGGTTGGATATAGATAACCTATCTGAATCATTCACCCAATTAACCAATTTACGCATCAATCATAATCCGATATTGAATGATTTGTCCATCGATGACATGACATGCCAATTGATTGGACGATTTGAATGTAATAATAGTGATGTTCATGGGGAAAATAACCATCCCAACAAGCTAGCTGTATTGAATGGATCAAAGTTGACGCCCTCAGAGATTATGAATGGTGAATTGTATTTCATATCCAAGGTCCAACTGGGTCAGTATGAAATGCATAATCGTACTCGATGGGAGGACTTGTTGAAAAAGTATGGTAAACTGGACAAAGAACTTCAAGTGCTGCCAAGTTTAAGTCAGCCCAAACGATGGATAAATCTACAGTTGATGGTTCGTCAAGTGAAGAAGCAACACATGGGAAACAGTGAACTGAAAACAACAATGGATACGGCGACTCAATCCATCAACACTCCTACAGATTATACATCATTATCCACCCACAAGTTTCTCAAAACAACTTCAATTTTAAAATTCAAAGGCTTAATCTCGCGATTATTTTTATCAAATTTATCAATACTTGACTTCCAAATCTACTACTATATAAATCAAGATACAAATTTCGCCATCAAGTATGAGTTTGATAATTGGTCCAGTTGTTTAAATGATTTTGCCTTGGATGAGTATCAATATATTTATATAGATGTGCATCAGCAATAATTTTAGACTAGAAATAAAGTCTGCAATCAACGTGCTGGAACCTGGGTGTTAATGCAAAAGCCCCACCATTTGTATCCCTGTTTTCTCATATCCTGTTTTTTTGCCTTTACTCTTTATGATTCCATAAGCCATCACCCAAATAATGCAACAACTCAATACCAATCCCTTTATTCTTTTTCTTGATATCATCAACACTCATGGCTAATTTACCAATAGCCAAAGCATTCTCCTTTCCTTCAGCATAAACAGTGACTATAGTATCGACTGGTAAATCCTCTTCAGGTAATTTCCCGCCCTTTGAAGTCAATCCAGGACACATGATGTTAGCACCACTCATGACAAACTTGATAGCTCCGCGATCTACTTGGACCCTAGGAAATAGCTCAGGGTATTTATGCACAGTTTTCAATGTGGGTATAAGGTCAGTAAAATGTTGAATCAAGACAATTTCATTATTATCGTCATCAGAGTCAGATCCATTGCCTCCATCTTTTGCAGGGTTATTTGTATTGTCAACTGAGTACAATTGAATCTTATCTTCACATTTTATTAATATAACTTGAGATTTCTTGGGGATGATATTATCAATGGCATTTTCTAAATCTGGGTATGCATTGACAAAATTTGTTTTCAAGCCTCGTTGAACTGATGACTTGATATTTGAACGGGAATGAATATCATCTTTACTAAATTTCTTGAACATGATTGAAATGGGAAAGTGTGTGTGTGTGTGTGTGTGGGGGGGGGGGGTTAAATACTATTCTTGTTGGGCTAGAAGTTGTCCTGTTGTGTGTGCATGTGTATGTGTAGCTCTTGAAAATTTTTGATGCTGCTTTCCGAAGTTCGCAATCAAAAAAAAAAAAAAAAAAATTCATCTACTTCACAAAGCAAAGAGTACAAATCAACAGTTGGCTCTACAATCAAAAACCCTACAAGTGTTTGGTTTTTTGAAAAGAGTTGGAAATGTCAAGATTTATAATTACAATGCCACCATCCAGCTCTTGGAACAGAAACCTTGGTGTTCATCGCACTCAAAAGAAATCTTGGGTTAAATTCAATCTTGCCCATTTACTCACCGCACGTCATAAAGTACCGAATTACCAAAAGTGGTAATCAAAGTACAACCGTACGGGAGAATCCAGCTCAAGGTTTGCTAAGCTCGTGCTTTTGTTTTGCAATAACGAAATCAAACCGAGCGAGGCACAAGGCTGGGGAAAATAGAAAAAGTGTCATTTTGAGCGTAGCCTCTGTCCATCTGGATCAGACACCACTAGCGATGCACAAGTCATCTGTTGTAATCTCCAGTAGATTAAAAGCATTAGATTTTGGCAATGATGAACTGTTTTTTTTTTTCTTTTCAAAACCATCACTGCTTGACAAAGCCTAAAACTAAAGTCTGAAATGAGAAAACAACAGCGACGCTGCCATCATCATCAACACATTCTCCGCCACTAAATTCTCTTATGGAAAAATAGACAATTGCATCCAATTCCAAAAACAAACTTTTTCCAAAAACACATGTTTGAAAAAAAAAAAATAAAACAAGAAGGTTTCCAAAAATTCTCTCAAATGTTCGATGCAATAAACCATCAATCAAATGAGAAGTTGTCAGGTTTATAAGTTTTCAACCAGCAAAAACATGATCTCGGACTGAATCCTCACTGAAACACGTAATGCCCCTGCATAAAGATGAGGAAAGGAAAAAGAAGAAGAAGAAGAAGAAGAAAAGTGAAAAGGAAGAATTTTTTTTTCTCTTACTCACTCAAAATTAAATTCTAGTTTCATTTGTCTTGCAGACGTCCTGTATATAAAGATAATGTAACTATACCAAATTATACTCTCACTTATTGATTATACCCGTGTAGTGAGCAATTACATCGTCTAAATCATCATCCAAGAGATCGTGCTCTTCACTATCAGGAAGACTTCTAGGGTTCTCCTCCACGACTTTGGAACTCTCTTTGTTCATTATCCCGGTGAGCGATTGATTCTGCTCATCTGATTCACCTGGTTTCACTGGTGCTACGCTAGTGGCTTTTGTCGCGTTTATCACTCTTGGTCTCTTTATACCCAATGATCTTTTCTTTTGCGTTGATGTGTTGGTGTTATTAATATCATCAAACGAGCTCAATTCGTCATCACGTATTAATATTCTCTTCTTTGGCAAATGCTCAGTATTCAATACATATAATTGTTTCTTGATTCCAAGTGACCTTTGAGATTCTTTGTTAGTTTGAGAGTCAGTTTGGCCCAGATTGTTTATGGCCACCTTTGGACAGTCCGCTGGGACTTCGACAGTTTTACCATCATCGTTATCTTCATTGTCATCACTAAACGCAAATGAATCATCAAGAATATCAATACCCTCAACCGTATGAGGTTCTCTACTCAACAGTTTGAAAGCACCGTCGGTCTCGGAATTGAAGCTTGTTGAAGGCGTATGATGAATCTGGTCGTCATGTTTGGACTTTGACACATCATTCGAAGTGACAACATTACTCTCAATCGTGGTCGGGTTATCGTCAGTTTCTAAGCTTCGTTCCAAGGTAATCTCTTTGTCATCATCGGTGAGCTCTATGTGGTTATTCTCAAGGTTCTGTTCGCTATTGACTGTTGAATGGTCCTTCTCTGGCGTTTTTATCATAGTTATCTCCAAGTCATCATCATCACTAGACTCGAGAAAATCTAATGCAGTCTTGACACGACGACGAGGAGCTGTGGTGGAAACACTCGTCTTGTTGCTCGTTTCCTTAAGCATCTCCGAAACATTCTTGAACCCAGTTTCAACATTATCAGGCATGAAGAACTTCTTTTGATGTTTTTGTTGCTTCTTCCGGGGGTTGTTCTTCTTTTTCGGTGTATCCCCCAACATATACTGTGTTGCAATTTTGATGATTTCGTCCTCGTCATCTTCCTGCTTGATCTCTAAATTCTCCTGTGGAATTTCAATAAATGTCTCAACAACTTGAGGAGTATATTGTTCGGGTATTATTCTATTTTGAGGGCACAATGTTATTAAATCACCCTTCATAATGTGATCCTGAATATACTCATAACCAGCCATAGCTTTGTCAAATTTAGACTCCTCATTACTTGAAAACAACAAAAGAACTTTGCCATCACGTTTACGACCTGTTCTACCCATACGTTGGATATTTTTAATCGGAGATGAAGTGGAGTCATAACAAACAATCAAATCAACCTCACCAATGTCCAAACCTTCTTCCCCAATCGAAGTGGCCACAAGAATATTGTATTCTCCATTCTTAAATTTTTTGATAATTTCCTTTTGTAATTTTTGGTTCATTCCACTAATCTGTGCATTCTCAGAGCTTGTACGCAAAGAATCTCTCTCGTCATTAACATCCTTTTTTGATTTCTTCTTAGCACCCTTCTTTTGCCCAAAATTTTCAACGTCAAATTTTTCCTTCTCTTTTGCCTGTCCTATGAAAATGTGTGGCTTGAATTGCTTGCCTTCTTTTTCAATGCTTTTAACAATTTCCAACGCCGACTCACGAAATTCAGTGAAAATAATCACCCGAGAACTGTCATCATCACACTTCTCTTGAAAGAAATCCTCAAGTTCTTCCATCAATGCTTCTATTTTGGGATGGCTAAACGCTTGACTCGAAATTGCATTCTCTTGGCTCTCTATCAACTCCTTAATCGGCTCACTGTAATAAAAATCAGCATTCAACTTGTTCTTCGACTTTTTCTTATTCCATTTCGTATCAAACTCTTGATACTTGTTCATGAAATAACTGTAAAATGAATTAACCCCATATATGTTCAACCTTCGATAGCATTGCCCCACTGTTCCTAGTAGCTGCAAAATAAAATAATTGGCCCATTTGAGACCTTCAGGGATTGAATGATTCGCGATTAGTCTTCTTGACGCTTCCATGCATTTGAAAGCATTGATTCGTGTTGGTTCAGTTTCATCAATTAAACCTTTTTCATTAGCCGTTTTCAATATTGGAGCAATTGCTTTCGACAACAACGCAACACAATTCCGAATTTCCATTGACGTATCCAAGGTTCGCCGACAAATCTTTTTCCTCTTCATGTACTTGATTATGTCTATGCTCTGCTCCGTTCTCACTTCAACCTTGGAGATCTTTAAGTTATCGATAACATCTTGAACACCGTCCACATCTGCAGCCGGTGTAGCAGTCAATGCCAAAGTTCTAAACGAATCGTTAAACCTTCGAAGAAAATTGACCACATTATTATAAGAATAGTTTCCCCTAGCCCTATGCGCTTCATCAATAACCAATAGCACAATTGATTTTGGGTTCACTACGCCAGATGCCAAATCGTTTTCGACTACTTGAGGCGTAGTGAAAAACACTTGACGAGAATTCCAAATCTCCTCCCTATTCTTTTTCGTCTTTTCCAACAAAATGGCCACTTTAGAGCTTGATATACCTGTAATGGAGCAGCAAGCCTTGATTTGTTGCGCCACTAAAGGCTTTGTTGGAGCCATAAATATAATCTTGGAACTGGGGAACCATCGTAGAAAGTTTAACATAACTGTAGAAGCAATGAACGTTTTACCCAATCCCGTGGGCAACGCCACTAGCAAATTGTCATAAAACGCTTTTCGAACAATATTGTACTGATAATCACGAACTTCAAAGTTCGTGGGATAGATGTAGGTTTGTAAATTTCCAAAATCCATTTCATGGTGAGTAGGGATGATAATTTTTGGTGCAACCGTGGACAATACGTGTTGCACCTTTCGTTTAGTGGTTGAGGTTTTGGAAGTGGACGTGTCTTCTCCACCTCCTGGTTTGGCGGGCTGTCCTAATGGCTTAGTGCAAACTGATTTATTCTGTGGTTGCAATCGTTGCAGTCGCTGCAGTCGTTGCAATCTTATTTTGGGCTGCTTTCCCACCAATTGTCCTCCATTTATGGCATCTTGAATTACGGGATCGTTGTCATCATCTGAGAACTCCCAGTCGTCGTCAATATCTTCAATTTCCATCTCGAATTAGATATTCTTGGTATTGGTGTAAACAAATTTAGTTGAAACGCGTATGAGTTGATTGTTTGAGATGCGCGACACGAATTCATTTTTGGGCACTTTTGCTTCTTGATGGATGCCTTGAATGATGATGCCGACAGAAGAGCCCCAAGAGACAAGCACGCCTCATGATCCATATTCCGTACTAAACAAGAGTATCGAAAACTTACAAAAACCAGTCACTGATTTATTACGCAACCACAACGAACTTGTTGTTCAAAATCTAAGCATATTGTCCAACTTGAACACGGTACCTAAGCTCAACCAGGATATAAAGACAAAGTTATACAAAAGTTAGATGCATCAAGTACATACAAATACACACCTTACTCAGAACCAAAGTTTCCCAATAATCCATCTAAATCGAATTCCTTTGCCCATGATGTAACAACTGTGGTTTGTTCAATCTTTGGTGGCTCTTTTTCCCCACGTAATGCACTCTTTGGTCCCTCTAAATTCACTTCAGCCTCAGCTGCAGCTTGTTTTGATGCTTTAGGTAAAGTCCATCCAATTATCCTACCATCTCTCCAATCATTGAGAACAGCCATGGCTGCCGAGTCCAAGTTAGGCACACCTCCTCTACCCAATCTCCCCTTTGTTCGAGCAATGTGGATCAAAAAATGTTTGACAAATTCCTCCAAATCGTTGGATGGTAATGGTGGTAAATCATAATACTTCTTCAATCCTTCTGCCATTTCAGGATTTTGTGAAAATTTCTTCAAAAGCAATTTTACAGCAACAACTGGGTCAGTAATCAGCTTAGGTGGAATTGCCGATAACAATGCCAATTTGGCCATCTGGTGTTGTTTGGATTGCTTTTTGGTGTTTATTATTTCGTCAGGGAAAACGATCCCAGGAGAGTCTAAAATTTTCAACTTATTATCAATCTTGACTTCTCTCATTGATGTTGTTACACCCGCTTGATTTCCTACCGGACAAGCTTTGGAGTTGTTGTTGTGTCTCTTTGTGAGGGCATTGATAATCGAGGACTTACCAACATTAGGGTAACCAATAACACCGACGATAATTGATCTTTTTAAATTCGACTTATTGGCATAGCTTTTCAACGCTTTCATCAATGAGTCTGCTGTGATAGCGCCAGTTAGTTTCTTGTTGAAAGACGTAGCATTTGTAGCACCGGGACTAGCCTTGATAGGCAAAGTTGGAAACGACGAGTTCAAAAAGTCAAGCCATTGGTTCAATGCTTCAGTTGGTACCAAATCCACTTTATTCAAAAGCAAAATAAGCCTCTTTCCTGGATTTTGCAAAACCGCCTGTTCAACCCTCTTTGATCTAGTGGATTCAGGATCCCTGGCATCAAGGACATATAGAACTACATCTGATGCTTCGACAACAGTCTTGAATATCTTGTCGTACGATTTACGAGACTTTTCCAAACCTGCCACATCCTCTTCATCATCTTCAACTTCACTCAACTCGATCTCCACATCCTCATCAGAGTCAATCATGTCATTGTCATCGTTATCCGCTTCACCGTTGTACTCTTTTGCAGCAGATTGAGCAGACTCTAGTAAAGCTGCCAACCCATTTGCTCCGTCATCTTCGTCTTCCAATTCCTCATCCTCCATTTCGTCATCACCAACCTCCTCACCTCTGGCTAACGCCTCTTCTCTCTCCTTTTGCTTTTGCAATTTGAGTTCTTCTCTTCGTTCTCTTTCCAACCGTCTGGAATCCTCTAATTCAGATATAATTTGATCCTTGTAGGGGAAACTAGCAGGGATCCCTGGGTCTTTTCTGTGTCTTGATTTCCATGTGACATCCTTCTTGGCTATTTTTTTGTCCTTTCTCCTTTTAGCAGCTGCTTTTTTCTTTATACCCTCTCTCATACGAGTGGTCACCCTCTTCGATGTCGGCTTCTTGACTCTCATTGTTGTTGTTGTGAAGTCACTTACGATGTAGTGGTAAAAGTAGTTTGATGAAATGAAAGATAGATGAAGAGATGCCCTAAAGAAAATTGTTTTTGTAGGAAAAGAAAATACACAGAATGAATGACACAAAGACAAATTGAAGAGAAGCAATTTTTGCAATAATAAGAAAATTAAATGATGGATAATGAAGCTGTATAAAACCAATTCGTGATCCACCTACGTGATCAATTGTGCCCCTGAGAGCTTCCAATATCTTATTTAAGGGGCACAGTCGGTATCCACTTCCGCTTCCTCTTCACCTTCTTCTGATCGATACTTCATCCCAGTGTCAAAATTGTGTTTTCGATTCTTGATGTTTTTTGGTTTCAGATATCCCACATGTTCATCTAGATCCTTCTGCATCTTCTGAATAGTAGCATCCTTTGTTTCAGGGTCAACAATACTTCCCACCGCTTGTTGAGAAACGCCTTTATCCTCATCAACATATCTAACTTTCCCAAGAGTTTTCTCGGTGGTTGAAGGTCCTTTCAAAACTGAATTCACTAATCCTTTGGGTTTCAGCACTTCTAGTTGTATGTTTTGCAATGGAATGTTTGACGGCGCATGTATCTCCTTGGTTGCTCCCACAGATTGTCTTTGATCCTTGAATTCAGGCAAGCCATCCTCAGGGAAGGGAGAATTTAATTTCAACTCTTGAAGATCTTTCGACAATAACCTATTTAGCAATTTCTGCTTCACCGTGGTTTTAAAATTGTTCTTAACTGTTGGCACCTTCCACAAGACGTAGTCGGTTCCTTTTTTGATGTCATCAGGAGTGAATACAACCTCAACCGAGTCTCTGAAAGGCACAATGGCAGATAGAGAGACTCCGGACAAAGCACACAACAATGATATGACGATCGCTTTCATTTCAAGGTATTACTAAGACCAACAGCAAAGAAGTTCAAAAGGACAAAGACTCTGGTATTCTTGTGGCAAAAGAAACCGAATGCAAGAATACCAAAAAAAAAAAATAGGAATTGGAGTAAAAATATTACACCAATTTTTCTCTAGAATACGAAGCTCACTAATCTTTGCTCTATTTAGTCTATGGATGGTTTAGATCTATGGGAAGATAAATTACTCAAGCTCCTTGATAACGACTCTCTGCTATTTCTCTCTGAAGATTGATAGAATGAGCTCTTTTTTGGAACAACAAATGGTCTACTCAAAAAATCATTTATCTTTGGATTATACTTGTTTGTGTGGGAAAGGGGGCCCTTAGAACTGTACTTCTGGATCGATGAATGATCAAATTCTCCATCTAAGCCAATAGCCAGTCTGGTGCGTAGAACAGACGCCCCAGAAGTGGGATCAGTTTCTTGTAACGAAGGTGGCGAATTGACAACATTGGGCCCAACGCCTTCCTCTAAGGAAATATTTTGATCGATACGATCGTATAGTGCAAATTTGTTAATTAAACTGTCGAACCCAGGGATCTTGGAGGCGATATGCGTAAGACTCTTCCTAGCTAGTACTGGAACTCTGAACCTCCGTATTTTTCCTTTCCAGTTCAAAAAGTGAGTTGGGGTAAAAGTGTACAATATATACCCAAGGAGACAAAATACAACAAGTGAGTAAAATGCCATGCCCAATGGGGAATCATTTTCGTCATCGCTGTCATAATCCGAAATATGGTCTTTGCCAAGGGCTCCACCGGGAACAAATTGCTTCCCCGATATTTCACTCGGGTAAATGCCAATTTCCAAACTGCCTTTTTGATTGGACGGTTCTATTTGAGAGGAAGCAAACAACAACATCTTTCCCAATGTCCACGATAGCTCTTCTCCGCCTACAGAGTCTGCTGATTTGAATGGTACGTGTTTTCCTGTGACGTCATCTGTTTGCTTGTTGTTTTGATCATCCGAACTGGTTTCAAAACCAATACGAGGAAGTTCAAATCCTTCATGAAGCACGTTCATGACCCAGCTTGCTTTGAAACATGCATCTTTCAAAAATTTATCCGGGTCGAGATTTGAATACTCCCCTTTAGCTGCATTCAGCAATATTGTATCCCAATTGTTTTCACAAAACTCCTTTACTTTGATATTGAACGCTTTGTAATCGTATTCACCACCGCTATGGAAAATGTCATTGGCTGTATACCAATATTCTGATATTCCAATAAATTTGTCCCTTTCGAAATCCATTTTGGGCCCATGTATTCCATTAAACAAACAAGGATCATCTTCACAAGGTATGGATTTCATCAACAATGGGTAGATCGATTTGATGCACATCTCGTAGTTTCCCACACCAGATATCTTGTATGATTTACCATTTAGACTGTAGTCTAAAGTGGCACCTTTTGGCAAGCAAGGATCATTAATGTTGTTATTTTGTTTCTCATTAACCATCGATAAGTTGATCATCAGTTCAATAAATCTTCTCCTTGCTTCGTTTGCACCAAATCCAAGCCACGTTTCAACAAAAACACTCCACTTCTGAGTTTGACCATTGATGTTTCGTAGCGTCACCTTGGAAAGATCGTTGTTGTGCTTTTCAATTTGATCCTTAGAAGATGGAACGAAAGCAATTTGCGTAGAAGCTCCGCCCATATCCATAAAGCCGATGGATTCATGAAAGTCCAGTTTGGGGTCGTAATGATTAAACTGACCCATCAAGTAGTTCAATCCCAACCATCCATAAATGCCCTCCGTAGAACCATCGATGGTTTGGACAAAGTTTTCACAATCAGGTACGTAGAAATTTGTATTTTTCTGAATGCCTGAGCATGTCTCTGCTAGAATGTTCTTTCTGGTCTTCTTTGGCAATAATCTCATCCCTGCAGTACTTAGAACAAATACTGGAGTCTCGGAGTGCTTTTCATTTGGTATGATGCCCTCGGCAAATTTCATCAACTCTGAATAATGCTTAGGCCATATTTGTTTAATTTGGCTCTTAGATTTGTAAGTGGATATCCCTGGTGTTATCTTTTTCGTCCAATCTTTACGTAGTGAAATTTTGGGAGGTGATTGAAGCACCATTGGATCTTTCGACTTTGACTGCGTCTTTGGGTTAGCCCATTTATAAATTTGAACTCTAGATCCAGATGATCCTGAGTCAATCACAATACCATAATTTTCATCCTCGACATTGTTCAGCATGGTGCCAATGAGTGTTGTGTACAGCTTTGTATTAACTTGGCTCTGAATTTATTGTTAGGGCTGGCTTGCCTTGTGGACGACAATGATTTCGCGGCGTGGTGTGAAAATGCCAAATTACAATGAAACACTCCACATAGAAAGAAGGGACTTATTGAGTTATACATTACCTTCCAGAATCAAGCAACTAATATCCTTTCCGTTAACGTAATAGGGATTGAACATGATAGTTCTTCCAAACACGCCGCCCACTCCCGTGCAATTGACCGACCCCACTTCAGCAATACCTCAAAATGTATTAACGTTGCGCTCGGCCTTGCAAAGACCAAGTCTATCCAATTATAATGAATCAATTCGGTATGTGGTGAATCTTGAGCAATACCTTGATGCAATTATTGATCTATCTGACACCACAGATTTACGCAGCACGTTTGTTAGCACTAATATTCCATGGTCTAATGTCAGCAAAGGCGACATCAAACTGAAAATATTTAAAGTAAAATCAAAGAAAGCTGTCGTTGATAAATGGTCATTGGGTAATGAGTTATCGATGACTTTAATATCCGCGGCTTTGATCTACAATAGAGTGGCATCAGAGCTATCCAATGAGACTATTAATTTGGAGTTGGACCTACCTGCAAAGCCAGAAGATTACAATGAGAATTGGAAACAGATCATGAGTTTATATAAGAAATCGGTGTCGATGATGTTATTAGCAGGGCAAATGGGAAGGAATTTGATACAATCTAAGGAGGATGTGCTATTCATTAATCCAACCATTTATTCGTTCATTTTAAAGTTAACAGACATATCAATGCAAATGTCCGTCTTGTCCAAATTTTTATGGATAAGCAGATATACATTCAATCAACAAGAAAACACCAGTGCGGGAAATAGCATGACTTTGGCTAAAGTTGCAATATATTGCATGAATGAGCTCGACATGGTTCAACGTATTCTCGAGGAACTCAATATTTCCGTGAAAAATAGCATAAAAACAGACTCAGGGGTAATAAACCTTGATTATACGGATTGGGATACATATCTACAGGTTGTCAGAAGGTATGTTAGTGCATACGCCGGATTTTATTTGGCTGTACAAAGCTATCACGATCATAGGTATGGCAATGCCCTTGGGTTGATTCAATTCAGCTTGTTGTCCCTACAGAGCAAAAAGGATCTACCGACTTCATCCTTCTTGAATAAAAAAGTCACTTTGAAACATTTTAGAGATAGAGTGTCGCAAAGAAAGCAAGAGAATATACTACTGAACTTGAACTCGATATCGACCTTGGACATAAACAAATCAGCCTTTAACGGGAAAAGTGGAATTGTGTTGAATGATTTGTCGTACCTTTTTGACCAGCTTATCAAATTGAATTTGAAAATCTCACTGGAGAATAATACCTTGCATTTTGATGAAATTGTTCATTGGTCTGCAATCAATAGTGATGCAAAGTGGCCAATAGGCTCCAAGATACCAGTGTCTCATGTCGAAGCTTATTCTCCAAACCATACAAAAAGCAAATTTGAGCAAGACTATTCAGGCCGTGGTGAATACTACTGAGATTGTGACACCAACAAAGTTATACATAATCAAGGTTATTGTAAATCTTTTATATAGTTTTGATATTCGTTTTGTAATATTTTAAACATTAAATAGAAGATATACTATAACAAAATTAGCATAAATTCAGACACAACTGAACTAAATATAAAACATGGTGTTCCTAACTCCTACCGCGACGTTATTGCCTAACCTTTTTTTGAAGTCATCAAGAAGTCCCGGTCCGGTGGTCATCTCTTTTGTTGCTGATCCAACATAGTGTCTTGCACGTTTACACAAAAGATCCGCATAATAAGCCGCGAGTACTACCTTTACACTTTTGGTAGCTCTTCCAAAGGTATGACAAAGATTGTACGTTATTCTTTGAATGTCGTCTGAGGTGTAGCTGTTTTCATCGTGTAACACGTAATAGTGCGCTGGAATACCGGTTCCTTGTAACGCTTGTTGTGATTGAATGTAAAAATCAAAGAATGAAATAGAAGTAATATCACGATCAACAATGGTTCCGGGAATCACATTATCATTAGACGTGACAGCTGTCTTTCTCTTTGTCAGAGAGTCAACAACATTCTGTTCAAGAGGAATGAATCTAGTGTGATGTCTTTTAACAACAATCATAAATGTGATCTTGGGGGTGTAGTTGGGCATATTATTCTGTATTCCATACTCTACAAAAGCTGCCTTTATCTTGGGCAATTCCTCTTTCAATATGGTATAGTACTGACTTTCAGACACGCCATCACGGTAGAATAAAACTTTGGAAGGAAATGCTTTGACCTTCTTATGGAAATTCTCCAATCTTTCAAACACCATCGATTTCACATCAGCAATTACTTCACGACCACCAGCCTGAACTCGTATTGAACCCGGAAATTTGTTGAAAATACCATCTTCACTACCAACGACAGAAGCAATAGAGACCGAGTCTTCATTTTGCTGGCCCGTGGGATGAGTCACATCTGCTCCAAGAATAAAAACGGGAACCTTTCTATTGTCAAATAAACCAGCACTGCTGGCCACAGATAAACGATGGTTAGACCCACCCAATTTCAAATTGATCTTCATTGCCAACTGTGCAAACAAAGCCATGTCAAACTTGTCAAATTTCTTCTTAGTGAATGTGTCTAAAATGACACAACTATTGTTCAAACCAACTTTCAAGTCTGCCGCTCTCTTCACGGCACGGTAGTACTTTGTATCTTTATTTGGCAATACAATAATAACATAATCACATTTGTTTGTCAATTTAGCAGTTTGCAAAATATCAGTAAGCGTTCCTTCAAGCAACTGTTCATCTCTTACATTTGATGATTCCAAGGCAACAGAATACTTTTTGAACCTATCGCCAGCATTCTTAATGCCTAGCCTATTCAACTCTCTAAAAAAGATGGAGCAAGCCTCCCCTAAATCATCCTTTTTCCTTTCTGAATATTGATTCTCTAAAATCACAACGCCAAAAGTGTAGATGCTCTTAGTATTGGGGGTTTCAACAAACTGAGCACTTTTAAGATTCCAATTACCCTTTGTTTTTTCCGTCCATCCATTAAACGCTTCCTCTTTATAATTAATTTTTTTGTTCTTGTACTCGATCACTGGTGCTGGCAAGACTCTAGAGGGAATTTTGGTGAAGTTTGTGTCAATCTTACCGAAATCAATGTCACCAAAAGTTGAGGTTTTTTGCTGAGTAATAAACTTGGCCTTATCCATCGGTCTCATTGCAGTCAATCTAATGATGGTTCGGGTATCCCAGACATCCCCTTTGTATTGCTGATGAGGAATGATGAACGCGACCTCCATAGGTAAATAGGCAAATGGGCCAATTTTAAGTAAAGGTAGAGTGGGATACTTCAATTTGACCCCCCACCTATCTGCAAAATAGCTATCCACAGTTACCACCTTTCCATTGGAGTCCTCGAACTTGTGGGTGTTCGCATTATCTTTGAAATTCAACCCTTGTACAGCTTTTGCAGAACCCCTCTTGAGATAGTTTCTTTGAATTTTGACCCCTTTCAAAAAGAATTGAACTTTCTTGAAATCTGACTCTGTTGGCGTTTGACTTGTGCTTAGGTAATCCTTTACCAAGTCAATTACATTCATTGGTTGACCATCAGGCTTGAATGCTTTGTAAAATATTGCTGGAGTGGGATTTAAGTTGAGCTTGATGTTGTTGAATGAGCACCTCACCGAAACAAATGTTCCCAAAGTGATAATTAATCCTTGTTGAAAGTCTTCTATTGGTATACTCTTGTCAAAAAAGAAAAACTTGTTTGATCCCAAGCTGACAACGCTCTTGTTCTCCAAAACTTTTGACCCAATCACTGCAATCAAGGCATTAGTATACTCAGTCACTTCCTGAAAAGTTTTCGTATATGTCTGCATTGTTGAATACTTGATCATGTCGTCAAACTTGAGCTTTTTGACATACTGAACTTTGATTGAAACCGACTTTTCTGCAAATGGGTAAACAACAACATCCTCCACCGGTAAGGGCACTTTGGAATACATCGAGCTGAAATCGCGATAATAAATATCAGACCTCTTGCTCTTGAATGGTTCGAGGTTGAATAAGTAGTTGTCTACGGCATCTTTAATTTTAAGTGTTGGACCCTTGCTTTTTGGCTTGCCTTCTTTAGTACCTTTACCCTCTTTTTCCTCTTGGATCTCTACAAAGTACATGTACAACTTCAAACCTGCCACTTGGTACTTGAAATAGTTCGTCCCAACGTCTGTTCTTACTCCAAGGTTTCCATAATCATGTCTCAATTGAATCTTGTAGGAATCATTGCCAATCTCAGTAGCAAATTTCTTCTTGTAACTCTGTATCGCGTTTAATGCACTTTCATTCGAAGCCACATCCTGAAAGTCAACCTTAACATCACTAATCTTGTACAAACTATGTCCTCCAGCCCTGCCTCGACCTCCACTACTACCTCTACCACATCTACGACCCCTGTTACCTCTCTCATCCCGAGTTATCCTCTGAGCTGCGCCGCCTCTGCCGCGACCTCCTGCACAACCCCTACCTCTTTCTCGTCCACCACTCATATATAACTCAATTGTTTTTTGGAGATTTGGAGCAAACACTAGAGCCACTCTGAACAGTGGTGACGTGTCCGACAGACCTATTTTAGAAAAATAATTGTGAATCAATAAAAGAGTGTGCTAAAAGAATTCAGGGGGTGCGATTGAGGGGGTTCGTATTTTGGAATGATAAAGGTGGCTTGCTACCAAATGCCTAAAAGTCGTGTACTTTTACAGATATCTACTTGACACTTTGTTAAGCACAAGAAGCAGAGTGATGTTGTGCTAAGTGATCCTAATCGGTACATATGGAATCACAATATCTCTACGAATAGTATTAGTAAAGACCTTCGCTAACCAGAATAAGCTGTGTATTTTAATCGTAACCAAAAAGTGACAACCAGTTTTGGTTGGACCAGATTCCAGAATAGTCTCCTATTTCGATGCACTTTGAATCGATAAGCCATCTTATCACAACCTCAAATTCACGTCTGCTCAACAAATTGCAAAATTTCTCGTACAACAACAGAGCCTGTATACCGGGTCGATAGTGGATTACATACAACAATGAAATGATAATATGAGTCCAAAGTTTCACATCAATTTGACCTTCAACATCGACCCATATGTAGGAACATGGTTTGCCAACTGGAACGCGGACTTTTGAAATACCCTGATTAATCGGAACGTTATTGGGTCCTTTGAAAACAATCAATTCGCAAGTCAAGGCATCTTTGTCCATCGACCTTGACTCATATCCCTCAAAAGTATAATTTTTATCAATATGGCCAAGCGAAATTCCGTTTAGGGATATCAAGTTCAATAACTCAGCCATATCCCCATCCTCGATACCTTGAGATAAAAGTATTCCTCGTTGTGAATTCGTTGCTTCTTTGACATTTTCCCCAAATAAATCTGCTTGCTTAAAAAAGGAAATAGAAAGCTTTGAGGTGAGGCCTGTATACACCTTTTCAGTTAATTTGTATTGGTTCGTGTCTTCATCAACGCGAACAATCTCTTTCTCGTCTTCCATGGCGGCAAAGGCTGCCTCAATATCCTCTGGTTTGAATCGAGACAAGATCTCTTTGATTTGCTTTGTTTTCTTCGTATTCGAAGATCTATACACTCCTTTCATCGCAGTTTTCACAGGTTCCAATGGGTCTGATACCAAATCCTGTGGAACATTGTAAAAAAAAGGAGCATTAGCAAGTGCTTCCTCTTTCTGTTTCATTGAGTCAGAATCAATCTGTTCAAATAGTTCACTGTGTGTTTCAGCAGTAATCTTCTTGCTATAATTTGCCATGTTTTCAACCAACGTGGAGTATAAAGGAAATTTGTCGGTGATTTCAATCTTGGAGGTGTCAAAGCCCGCCCATAGATTAAGGTAAAATGGAAGGTCAATGTTCTCCAAATCTTCAACTACGACATACAGTTCTTCTACACCTTTCATCACCACTCGTTCAAACTCTTCCACACCTTTATTCACTGCATCAAGACCACCCACTTGTTTTCTAACATGCACCCACGTTCTCTTCAACGATCTTGCATCACAGTCCTTGAACATCGATGCCACTAAGTCGTAATCAATAAACGATTTGTTAAACGCTTTGCATATGCAAATTGCTCGGAAAAGTGTGGTAGTATCACTCGTGTCAAATTGAGTTTGGATTCTGTGTCCTTTACGTTGACGATTGAGTTTCTGCTCTCTTTTGTCTCGAGAACTCCTCTTTTTAATGCCTCTTGTTTGTAGAACGGATTTGTCTAGTTCAAATGTACCCAATTGGTCTTCAAACTTTCCACTAAATGCTTCAGCTGCATTGACGTTGGCACTAAAGTCCAAAATGCTATCAAACTCCAGTTTGACCTTTGGTGCAGGTCGACGGCGACTCATCTTTGTCTTGTCTTTACTATGCAAGGATGTTAACCGGGTCGTTCTTCTCTTCAAAGCCTCTCTAGAATTAATAAGGGTGTAGTCAGTTTCAACAAGTCGACGCGGAATTGGACCCCTTTCTGATGTGTTTTTGATGGGCTCTTTGCTTTTTGACTTGATTTGCTCGACAAATTCATCCAGGGGTCGATGCTTTGGGTCATTCAAAATAATCAACCTACGATTTATTTCCCTTCCACTTTGAACCACTGGGATCACTTGTACTTCTATCACACCCGTAGTAGCAAGTTTGTTCAAATCACGAGCAATAGTTTTGATATCTGTGGGTTTCTCCAGTTGAATTTTTTCATCAAGCATTCTGCCAAGCTTTGCACTGGTGAAAGTTGCTCCTCCCAATTCGATTATCAACTGAACAAACTGATCTCGTCTATAAGCACCCTTCACATCTGCATCGTCAATCTTTGATTTTTGCTCCTCCTTTCTAAATCGTGTATTCTTCGGTCTTTGATTAATTTGGGGGGTGTACAGTCGGTTTGAAGATTCTGAAGCTGGGGCTAGACTTTGTCTTGAAAACTTCAGGACACCCTTTTTGCCACTATCATCAAGCAATGTCTCATCATCTTTAGGGGCATTTTCAAGCTTCACCTTGGCAACTGGCTTCTCAACCTCCACGTCTTTTGCATCAGCGTCATTTGTATCTCCAAGAATGAAATCCTGATCCTCTTCAACTTCCATTGGTGCATCCTCTTTATCGTACGAGTCCACGTCCGGAGTATCGAGCGACTTAAGTTTTCCTCTTTGACGTAGTCTCCGCTTCCTTGGTGCTGTTAGATCAATTTTGTCAGTTCCTTCAACTTTACGTTTTTTTGCACCCTCGCCTTCCAGTCTAGTTTCCATCGGGGCCTTTATATGATACAGCGATGCCTCCTCATGTGATACTTTCTTGCCATGGATAAAGTCAGGTACAGAAAGCAAAGGTCCGCTTGGCGTCTTTTCAATCTTTACATAATGCTGCTTTTCCAAACTAGCGAGGGATGTGCTTAGTAGTTTCCTCTCTGGCCTCTTCTTTTTATGCGCCTTTGTCAATTTTGCCTTGAAATTGTCAATGGTGTAATATCGATAGTATTTCAATCTCCCATCAGATTCGCTTTGTTTTACAATTGCAGTATTGCTATGCTCGGGACAGTAACTCAATAGTGGCTCTAACCCTCCATCCTTGTATAAATAGTCAGTATTGTTTTCTAATAGCCTTGTGATTTGACGATGCTTTACATCGCCCAGGATCGATGTCACAATCTGTTTCGCTATAATTCCATCACTTCCTGAGTTTTTGATCGCTTCGTATACCTGAGCAGTGAGTGGAAAGATATCGTTAAAAGTAGCAATAAAATAATCGTCATCGTCGCAATCTTCTTCATGTTCTTCGAATCGAGTTTCGGGATCTTGTCCTGTTCTTAAACTCAAATCCCAAGTATCGTACCCATCTTCCAAACTCAGACTTGGCAAGTCTTTTACAAACCTTAATGCATAAAGTTTTCTGGATGGATGAGTTTGATCCTGAACATCAATTCTCTCAATGTATCCATTTTCGCACAAGTTTTCAATCACTGAACCAAACAACCTAGCAGCTTGTGAATTTCTATTCATTTTCAACTCCACTTTCATATCACGGAATGTTCTTATGTTATTTTGAGCTTGCTTCAATGCATTCATGATGAACTTTCTCATCCTTACTGGGGTATGATCAAATCCATTCTCTTCGTCATCACCTTTTTTAACTTTTGAGGTATCGCCAAACTTGTAATGAACCGCCCACGTGCTATGTATTCTCTTTTCCTCATAGAACCTGTGCTCCTTAACTATTAAGCCCGCTTCTTCGAGCTTGTTTAATCTCCCGGTCATCGACCGCTTGTCTTGCCCTGTAGTCAGGGGTAAGTCACTAGCCCAAGTTCCTTTCGCTCCATGTCTAGCTATCTCTTGTAGCAATTGGTATGGGAAGGCACCAAGTGTGAGGATAAATTTTTTGTTATTCGACACTCCTGTCAAGTAGTAGCATTGGGTCTCTTCGGTGGGGAGAACCCTCAATTCCTGCGATCTCTTTTGTTTCGAAATGAATGATTGATAATTTGACTCAATTGTAATGGGTTCTTTATCGTACGTCACATAGAATTTAACCTCTGCATTTTCATTCTCATCTCTATAATCAAAGAATAACCACTTCCAGATAATATCTTTTTGAAACTTATCCAACTCTTCTGTTTGCTTGAACTCTTGTTGAATCACCTGCCATAGCTCAGATAAGAGCAATCCCCGGAACCCTGAAAAGGACAACTTTTCTGCTACGAATGCAACTGTCTCGTATGGGGTATAAGGAAACAGCATATCTGTTTAAACTGCTTGATTAATATGACTGGATTCCCTTGTAGTTGATGCCACGATGATTGAAGAACTACTATGTCTCTGTCTTTTGTTTACAATACCTTTTGAATTACGTAACTCCTGACCTAAGCTAGCTCTCACTTTTAAAGTTTTTTGTTTTTTTCTTCTGTTTCTCTCTCTGCTGTTGGGTGCATTCAGTTGCATTCATTAACTTTTACATTTTTTGCAACTTTATTGACAACGAGCTTCGTGGAATCGAAAAGGATGACTGAGTTTGATGACGAGCCAATAACTTTGTCGGCACACGCCTTAGCTGCCTTACAAGAATTTCAACAGGAGGAAAAACAGCGTATTGAAAAATTTGAATCATTATACAAAGCCTCGGAAAATAAATTCGATGAACAGCAAGCAAAACCGGTTGAGGTGAAAATTGATGATTTCAAAGAGGACTGGCAGTTATCGCAGTTTTGGTATGCGGACGATACTGCGAGGACGCTAGGCAAGGCTTTATTAGAGGGAGCTGATGAAGATACTGTAATTGTTGTTGCTTCTGCTCCATCTGTATATGCTGCAATAAAACAATTTCCCAAAGACGAAATACCCACAAAGCATATTTATTTGTTGGAGTATGATTCTAGATTCAAAGTTTTGGCAGGAAGTGACCGTTTTTTCCTGTACGACTACAACAAGCCCAATGATATTCCAGATCTTTTGAGACACAAATGTCATCGACTTCTCATTGATCCACCATTTTTAGAAGCCAATTGTCAAACAAAAAGTGCACAAGCAGCAAAAAATTTGTTAGTAAAGGAAAACGAACGACTGGGGAGAACAGAGTCTGGAGATATAAAGTTCAAGTTGATTTCCTCAACTGGTGAAAGGATGCACGACGTTGTCACCAACCATTACCCTGGCACCAAAATCACCAACTTTTACCCAGAGCACAAGAATGGGTTGAGCAATGAATTCAGGTGTTATGCCACTTTCGAATGCAGTCACTGGAAATTTACGAATGAAGATTAAATAGAAATTTAGAAACAGTTAGAGAGCTTACATTTGATATTGTAAACGTTACCTAGTCATTAGAATATTACCAAAAATAAAAGTAATCCTAAATTTGTCTATTTGAGATACTTACAATTTTTGCATAGCAGCAATATCAGTAGATTGAACGTGGTCCTCATCTTCTTCAACGGCAGCTTGCAAGTCATCTAATGAAACCAAAGCATCTTCAACAACCAAGTTAATTTGCAATTTCTTGATACCGAAACCAACTGGAATCCATTGGTGAGCACCCCAAGTCAAACCATCCATTTGAATGTTTTTGACGTTGGTCAACAATTCGTCCAAATCGGTTTCATCATCCCATGGCTTAACATCCAAAGTGACAATGGACTTAGCAGCTGGTTTTGGACCTTTAGCGGCCTTCTTGGCGGCGTATTCAGCCAATCTTTGTTGTTTCAATTTTTCAGCTTCTTCATCAACTTCATCATCATCTGAACCAAACAAATCCACATCATCATCATCTTCTTCAGCAGCAGCAGCGCCAGCTGATGAAGAGGAAGCAGCTGGGGCTTTACCAGCTGGCAATGAGTCAAATTCTTCAGTAAATGAAGCAATATGGTTGAACCATCTGGTAAAGTGTGGGTATTCTTTTTGGAAAGCCTTGTAAACAGAGACATCAGCTTGGGTGGCTTCAGCACTAAAGCAAAAAAGTTAGTATACGTTGTTTAAGCAAAAAAAATTCCTCTCCATTATAGTCTCTTAATATTCCACACATGGTAAATAAAAACTGTCAGATAAAAGATTTAAATCTTCTTTGTCACTCATGCGGTGGGTCTTGAGGCCACCTCATAAACACGGACCAAAGATTATGATCATCATAGTAATTCGAAACAAAGTTTCAGGTTTGGGAATACAAGCCTAATTGATTGATTGGAGGACCCAAATTGAGCAATGGAACGCTCAATGTTGGAAAGGGATCTAAAAAAAAAAATTCTAAACAAGCAATTGGCACATACCCGTTGTCAACGTATGACTTGTCTTTCAAGAAATCATTCAATGATTTGATAGTTTCAAGGGTTTTGAAATCAGTGTATGACATATTGACGTTGTGATGTGTGAATAGAATTGAATTGACTTTGAACCGAAAAGGAACTGTTTTTCAAGTGATGACTGAAGAGAAGAAAATTTTCTGAGCCCTCCCTCTCTATACAATTGAAAAATTTTTCTTCTTCTCATTGCTACCACGTTGGCACTTCAATTTACACGCACAAACATGCTGTCATAACAAATGAGTGTAATTACTACTACAACGGTAAATAATCTACTCCTCTACCCAACCACTCAATTAGATACTCTTCTTGCGTTATGTTTCTTTCCCATACGTTCAAGACAATCTCTTTTAACGACGCAGTTGTTCCCATTTTTGTATTTTCATATAGATTATCCATAAATCGTGTTAAGCAAGATCTTTCCCAATCATTTTTGCATTCACAACCAACAGCATAAACTGGCCACACCATTTGGGTCACCAATGATGACTTTGAATCCATCTGGTCGTAAGTGTGAATAAACTCGGCGGCCAATTTCAGGTTTGTGTCCATATAGTACTCTGGTTCAACGACTTTGTTCAAAGTAATCCAAACTGCTAGAGACCAACATAAGGCGCACTTTAACCGATTGGCAAATGATTCTGTACTATCCTTATCGTACGCAAGAACATAGTCTCGGTAACTGACCAAAGAGTATCGTATCCGCTGATACACATTAGTCCTATCTTCATCTTCCAACAACCCATTATACTTTTTATTTCTCAAACGAGCAACTTCACCTATGGCGACAAAAATCTCACCAGGACAGCCCATCATCTTTGATGTGGATATGCCGTCAATAGCTCGGCCATACCATTGAGGCAAACAATATGGTTCACGACAGTCGGGGGTGACAATCGCTCCAATTGTGTCGTACCAGCTTAACACAACTGCCAAAGACCGCCTCTTGTCGCTTGTTTTCAATATCTGGTTATAAAATACAGGATCTTTGCATATGGTGGCAAATATTTTGAAAAACTCTCTCGCTATTGAGCTCTTGCCCTTTTCAAGAACAGCAAATAACAAGTGCACATTCATGAGAACTAGGATGACAAAGTAGCTCATATGCTTTTTGTTTACATCAACAGAAGCGTCATTTACTTCCTGCTCTTTGTTCATCTTGCTCGAATTCTCCCGAATATAGTGAATCAAATGGTCCATAGTGTTGTTGATATGAGCAACGCCCTTTTGATATAATTCAGTACCACCTGCTCTACTTTCATACATATGGATACATGCCAATGATATGAAGCAGCTTCTTGCTGTGTCAAAATCGCAATATTGTAATGCTAAATCTGGCCAAGGAGATTTGGGGTGCCCATCCAACAAGGGTAACAATTTTTTGAAAAAATGTTTCAACATCATATTTTCCTCTTGGTGGCTCATGGCAAATAATGTAGTAGGGTCAGGCGGTGCTGCCAAGGAATTACCAGTATCCCCACGAGAGTCAACATTGTTCAACAATAACTTATGGTTTGCATCAAATATTTGTGACTTGTCTATGAAATCGATGATTTGAAAATCAAAATTGGCAAAGTCATTCAAAGGCGGTGAGATTTGATTATCTGGTAATGGCATGTTCATATTTGTATTCTCATTCGAGGTGGACAATAGTGACTGGAGGTCTTCAAATAGGGCACTACTAAAATGATTCAAGTTCGTACTAGACGACGTAGTTGTGATCATTGGCGTCAATGGGGTTTGATCTGGCGTGGTCCCTCGTTCAAGAACATGCAGAGACAGTGTGGTGTACGCGGGATCGTTCATAGGCAGTGACGAGGACCCTTCATTCTCGAACTTCACCCCACTTTGTTTTGACTCCTCATTCTCCACTTGATCCAATGCATTCTTCTTCTTTTTCTTGACCCCTCCTTGTTGAAAGAAGTCAAATGAAAGTCGTAGCCCATACCCTTCGCATTTGCGACCTGTCTTTTTGCAGTTGTTGCAGATTGGTTTAGCTTCATCGCATTTTCTGTGCCTTGTAAAATGAGAGTTAGTAAGGCGGCTAAACACATGGAAGCTTTGCATATTCTGACATACCGTTTTTTGCAGGTCCAACAGCCCGTTCTCACTCTTGTAATCTTTCCCATACACTTGTAACTACTATCCTGGGGTTAGCTGTAGTTTTAGTTTTTCACCCTCGTTTTGGTCCCCATCACGAAGGCCCTCATATTATTATCAGTGTCTGAAAATAATAAGATACAACTAACCCCAATTACGGAAAAAGAGCCACCCGCACTTAAAAAGTTTAAACCCGCAAATTGTAATTGTCCGCACGACTTTTAATCTCGACCCTAGCTGCTCACTACTTATTTGTTAGATCTTGAGCTGACCCTAAAGAAGAGCAACTACGAAGCGTATGAGACACATTGGTGCTGTTGTCAGTCTTTTGTTATGCTCAGTTACTGCACATGAGTATCGTCCTTTTGACAGGTCGCAATTGAGTTTAGAGTCCATTTTTGAACAATTTGACTATCCATCGCTTGCAGAATCACCATGGAAGGTATCTAGGGCAAAAAAGTATGACGAAGGGAGGGATGAAATTGTTCAGTATAAAGGGGAATGGGCGATTGAGCAGCCGCGCCTCTATCCAGGATTTGAAAATGATTTGGGATTGGTTATGAAGTCAAGGGCATCACATTATTCAATCGCCTACAAACTACCACATCCCATCAACAACATCGACAAAGATTTGGTAATTCAATACGAGGTGAAATTGCAAAAGGGGTTGGATTGTGGTGGAGCTTATATCAAACTTCTTGATGAGTCAACCAACTATCAATTTCTAAACTCGGAAACCCCCTATCTGATAATGTTTGGCCCTGACAAATGTGGTAGTGAAAACAAAGTTTACGTGATCTTGCGAAAGCAATTACCTAATGGCGAAGTTGAAGAGAAACAACTACGCTCTCCACCATTGGCCAGAATTAACGACTTGAGCAATTTATATACATTGATTATCAGACCAAATAGTGATTTAGAGGTTCGCATCAATGGCAAAGTTGTGGAACTGGGGAACCTCGTTACCGACTTGGATCTATTTTCACCAACAATGAACCCTCCAAAAATTGTTGAAGATCCAAACGACCGAAAACCAGACGACTGGGATGATCGCAAACACATTCCTGATCCAAATGTGGAACCACCTGAGGATTATGAGAAATTGCATGCGCACCCCGTTATACCTGACCCTGATGCAGTAATGCCAGACGAGTGGGATGAATCTGCACCTCGTTATATCCCCGACCCAAATGCTGTGAAGCCTGATGATGCACCACAAAATTGGCAACCACCAATGATTGTCAACCCCAAATGTGAAACGGGTTGTGGTAAATGGACCCCGCCAATGATTGCTAATCTTGATTACAAAGGTCCATGGTTTGCGCCAGAGATTGAAAACCCAAACTTTCAAGGTGTTTGGCATCCACGAGAAATTGTCAACCCGGACTATTATGAACTGGAGAACCCATACAAATTGGATAAGCCAGTTGGTGGTCTTGGGTTTGAATTATGGAACATGGATGGTGAAGTTTTATTCGATAACATCTATGTAGGAAACTCCATTCCTGAAGCTGAACTAGTTGGCAATAAAACATTTGTGGTTAAGCAAAAGTTGGAGTATGAACACAAGGTGAACAATCCACAAAAAGCACCAAATGAGCCCGTAGCTCCACCTCCAAATTTTGATGACATTTTGAATGATGATTCCATGTCCACCTTGCGTCAATTTGCCATCTTCATCAAGTTGTTGACGAGAAAGGAATACTTGGACTTTTCAGATTTTATTTTTGAGCTTTTGCTTAATCCAGTTAGTACTGTGGTGAGATACCCTATTAGGACTGTGATCTATTGCTTTCTCGTGTTGTTTGTGATACTGGTTGTCGGTGGTGTGGCCAGTGTTTTGGTATTTGTTTTATCTAGCCAAACTGTAGATATCAATGTGGAGGAGGCTAAAACAAGGTCGGATGATGGAGATGATATTGTAGTGATTAACTCAAATGCAGTGGCGGAAACCGAAAGAGATAGCGGTCTGGCTTTGAGACAACGATGATGTATTGTAAATGCTTTTAAATAGCTCAAATATTACTTTGGATGTGACTTCTTTTTTGCATCATTCTGCAGCAAAAACGTAACCTCAAAAGAATCAATGGCGGCTTAAAGCCGTAGTTCTATGTTAGATATATTCAATAACTACACCGCAGTGATGAACAGCATACTTATTACCTCTAACCACCTCTACTGTCTTAAAAAAGTTCACGATTGAGAATCTTCATCAAATGACGTCAATTCCATTTAAAGGTCGTGTTCAGAGCCCAAATTTCTCCCCGACTTTTTTTTTTTTTTCGATTCTCTCTTGCTGTGGCTGTTGCATTATAAACATTCTTCTCTATCATTTATAATGTAGGCTTTGTTTAATTGAGGTGAAAGTTCCGAAATTCAACACCTTTATCGAATGTGCTAGTTTCTGCATTTGCACTATTATCCTCACCCACTTAGTACTTGAAACAGTTTCTACAAATGGCTGACGAAACAACACCATTGACCGGAACCACCGGTAATCCCCACGTGGAGCCCAACCCTAACCTCAAATCGAAAAGCTTTTTCAAAACAAGACCAGTTAAAAAGTTCAGCTACTTTATTATACCTACGCTATTCATTTGCTTTTTCATGTACAGATTCTTTCAATTTGAAACGAAAGTTGCATCAACGTCGTTGCTCGGTCCGTCGTTAACGTTGAGATTATACACAAACAACATTAGATATGACAATATCAATTATCGTGACCCGCATGAAAAATTATGGACTAAGCGTCGAGTTCAAAGCATCAACTCCATGGAGTTCAATACTGCTATTGGACACGCCAATGTGATTTGTTTACAAGAGGTACTCGTCAACCAATTACACGATATTTTGAATGGATTGAATGCCAATGATGATGATGAATGGACGTATTATGGTGTTGGGAGAACCGATGGCGTTGAAGCAGGTGAGTTTGCTCCTATTCTTTTTAAACACAGGGACTTTTTTGTATTGGAAAACACAACATTCTGGTTAAGTCCAACTCCAGATAGACCAAGTAAAGGGTGGGATGCGGCTTTGGAAAGGATAGTTACCATGGTGACTTTCCAAAGTAAGCTTAACCCATTGATCAAGTTTAACGTTTTCAATACGCATTATGATCATCGAGGACACATTGCCAGACGCCGGTCGTCGCAGTTAATTGTTGATAAAATGAAGAATTATAATGGGTATCCATCCTTCCTTTGTGGCGATTTCAATACTGAACCAAGAGATGAACCTTATGGAATCTTGACTGCTGCTGGATTTAAAGATAGTAGAATTTTGATTGACAAGCGTTTTTCCTATGGACACGAGACTACATTTACTGGCTTTGACGTGACTAATGAACCTTACTCGATTATCGATTACATTTGGTCCCCTTATTTTACCAAACAACATGTGATCAAAGATGCCCCTTACAATGAAGATGAAGCAGCCAAAGAAGCTTTGACAATGAACAATTACTACAAATTAGATCACCATGAGTATTATTCTATTATCTTGAAACAGTTCGGTATCTTGAGCAACTTTTTGAAAGGGTTCCACTTTTCTGACCATCGACCAGTAGTTGCTACTTACGAAATTGAACGAACAAGATTGTTTTAGATTTAAATTGTTTTGAATAAAAAGACGTTTTGGATTACAATTTGCAAAAAGGTTGGTAGTAGATTGAAGCTCTCTGCGGATAGAGGAGTGTTACGAGTACATTTGTAGCGCTGATATCATTTCTCCGTAGAAGCGCATCCCTCTATCCGCGTATGCTTCAATAGACCTAGACCTTTTTGAAGAAGCTTGTTCAAGAGTTGGTGGTGCAGTTGATTGTAAAAATCTAAAAAAAAGTACATACCAACCAGGACACGAGGCTAAAATATAAACATCAAGCACGCGCTAAGCACTGTTCCCTCATATCAGCATATCCACGAATTTTGTTTGACATAACCAGCATTGAATTACACCCAAGCTCAGCTTTGCTAGCCGAGCGTGTATTGTCTGTATAATATTTGTTTATCATCAAATACCGTGTTTTATTTTATTATGAAGCAGGCACAAAATCAATACATAGTGAAACCCTAATGAAACAAGTGCAGGAAAAGCAAAGCACGAGAAGCTTTTTTTTATTTGGTAACAGCACCTACTTGGCTCACTCACAGGCCAGGTATGCGCAGTTGACACAGAAAACACGGCCGTGTACAGACTGTCTTGCAAACACGAAAATAAAATTGTAAACTCTAACTTTAATAATTGGAATATCATAATTATCTTCTCATTTCTAGTACGAGTCACTTTCATCTACTTCTCACGGGACCTTTATTCCTATAGCCAGCTGCAACACAAATCTTTTTTGCGCTGAACGATTTGGGTATATGGGGGGGGCGAAGCGCTACATCCGGACACAAGAATTGTATCAGTCCGTGGTCAGAATCAACTTTTGGGATGAAACAAAAGCTCTACCATTTTTACGACATGATCAGCGATCGTGAAATATGTAGGTCATTAAAGACGTAACAATCAGGCCCAATTCAAGCGTTGAAGGCTACCTTCGAGAAAGCTGAGACATTCAGTTACCCAATCCAACTTATTGTCCGACGGGATTTCATTCACAATCAAGCGGCTTTAGTTTGGAAACAAACGTGTAACAAAACCGCAAACGACCAAAGGAAAAAAAAAAAATCCAAAAAAAGGGGGCAATAAAAAACTTTGGGGGTAAAAGAGAGAAAAGGTTTACGCAATTTGAATGTAGAATGAAGTCGTTTTGAGTAGTGTACAATTGTTGTATCTTAATGTGCACAAAATGTAGAGCATGTAAACAAAGCTGGCTTTGTTGTTAAAAACCATAATATGGGACATCACTAAATATATCAAGAATTCTTTCTCGGCTAAAAGCGATGGAGGAGCTTGCTGCTATGAGGATACCCATATGTAGTTTTGTAGACAATAAAAAACCCATGTGTTTGTGAAATGCCTCTATTCTATTGCTTTATCGATTCGTAATTGTCATGGCTTGAAATTGATACAATAATTCACTACAATGCACAATGCCAACTAATTCGCTAATATGTTCTTTTTAAATTTTCTGCATTGGCTTTTGCTAAACTTAGAAACAATGTAAACAAATACAAAGCATAATACCATAAATGGTAATGAAGTATCCTACTACGAAAATGCACGAATAAGGTAAAACAAAATCAAAACTTTACAATTGACAGTTTGCCTTCACGACTGTAATGTGATATTTTGTACATTGTATTTGTTTGGTGTGATGGTTAGGATGTGCCCACCCTATTCGCCCCTTTTTACAGAGAAACATGACATCAAGGACGTCATTATGCGTGTGCTTGTATGTGAGGAAAAGCGAACATATATGTGATTACGGATAAAATTTGATTGCTGGTCATTGGCCATACGCAAAGTGGTCTGATGTAAAGATTAAATTGCCAAATATGTGCACATTATTGTAGACATTTCTACCTCCTTTTTTTTTTTTCCCTTGCTCCTAATTTATCGTACAGTAGTATTTAACACATGGTGCAGATGATCTCCATTTTTGTCAAACCGGGGTAGACACATACGAACTTGGACAGGTTAGTTTTACCTCAACCATTATTACCAAATTTTTCTGTCTACCGCATAACCATCTGTTCTTTCTTTCAATAAGTCTAATTCGCTGGTGACTAACATAGAGCCAAGAAAAAAAAATGTAATAGAAAAAGTGTAAAATGGTTTGAGAACTATTACTTACTTGCTTTTCTGAACAAATACAGTCACATTCACAAGATTATTATTATTATGACTTCACCAAAACAACTCGCGTCTTGGATGTTCCTGTAAGACCTGCTACACCGCCTCTCTATTCACCTGGATTATAAAATAATTGGGGAGGGGGATGGGGGCTGTGTAGAATTTGGGTTTGATTTCTGACGATGCTTGGCTAAAGTAAACATACACTACATGGTAACATAACTGAAAGTATAATATTTGACTGAACGAGAGAAGGCAACTTTATGGTTTCGTGTATTGTCTGAAATGAATGTAATACTTGACTTGCTTTATTCCCCCATGTATTTTGTCTTGTGGGGACCGAGCGAAAGTCATGAGATTCGTCATTATACAGCTTTTTAAGTGGTCATGCATCATATTTTGAAATGTGTCTATCAAAATGACAATCGGGGGCTTGAACTAGGTACCACAACGCCAAAAAGAGCGAACTAAAAAAAAAAAAAAAAAAAAAACGAGACTATGCATATGCTCGTATTTCTCTTGGCATGTATTTTATTATTTTAACCCCAATTGAGATACCGTACCAAGACTTTCTTCGCTAATTTTATACTTGGTCTATACTAGTTAAGTTTGTTTGTTTGTTTGTTTGTTTGTTTTGTTTTGCTTTTGATGCTTTGCTATTTTAAGGACTTGATGAATGACAAATAGTGGGTTTGCCATATTGGGACAAGAATATGCAGTTTTCGTAGCTGATATTATTTTGTTCATTCCATTGTCACGGTATGCAAGAATTTGCATTCTAAAAAAACGTGTGACACATATTTATACAGGTTCTACCTTACTTTTCATTATAAATACCACTCTACATTTCCCATAGCTTTTGCAACTTCTGTTCTCTTTCTTTTTTTTTTCTTTCTTTACTTCAACTTTCTATTATCAACTAGAAACTTACCACTCGCTTGATTTACTACTACATTTTACAATGAGATTTTTTATTCCTGCTTCACTTTTGACTTTATCATCAGGTGCCTTGGCTGCCATTAGACCAGTCCAATTCTTTGCTACTTCAGACAACGAAGAAGTTAACGGAAAAGGTTTGTACTCAACTCACGAAGGTGCTGGTATCAACTACTTCTTCTTGGGTGCTGGTCAAACTTTACAATACAATGATGAAGCCAGAGTTGTTTACATTGAATTGAACTCACAACCACCAGCTAAACAATACCTTGCTTTCACTGGCGATGTTTTGTCATTGACTGTTGCTGAACAACCATTGCCAGTTGACATTGCTGAGGATGGTTCAGTAACCTTCCCAGGCTCAGATGCTCTTGCTGCTGCCAAGAACATCAACGACCCATACAGATACTCTGAATCTGTCTTTGCTGTTGTCAAAGCTGGTGGTGAAGGCTCAATCCCATTAACCGTTAGTGCTAAGTTTGGCGATGTTGAAGAAGAAGAAAAGCCAAGCTCAACTGAAGAAGCTCCAGAGTCCACTGATGTTTCATACGCAAACAAGACCGTTACTGTGTTTACCACTTACTGTCCAGAACCAACCACCTTGACTTTGACCGTGTGTGAAACTGTTTGTGAAGAAACCAAGGTTACCGTTTCTGAAGCTGGTGAAGTTACTGTTGAAAATGTCAAGTCAGAAGCTCCTGTTGAAACTACTGAAGCCCCAGCTGAAACCACTGAAGCCCCAACTGTGGAAGAGTCCCAAAGTGTTGCTGCCCCAGCTGTTACTAAAGAGCCAGAAGTTACTTCCTACGAAGGTTCTGCCGCTGCTGTCGGTGGTGCTGGTTTGGCTGCCATCGCTTTTGCCGCTGCTGGTTTAGTCTTCTAATCAACCAACCATTGGCTTATCCCATTTTTTTTTTAATTTGAATACACATTTGATTTTTGTTGGACATGTTTTCCATACTTTCTGTTTATTTTAAGTTTGTTTTAGTATAAGGCAGTTCTTTTCTGCTTCCTATACTGTTTGTTCCCATTCAAGGACAGACCATTTCGTGCATCACAGTATCATCAATAGCTGTGCTTTTTTATATTAGCTTTCAAAATAGTCTAATTTTAGTCCTTATTCTGTAATAAAATGAATTGCATCAGAGTCGTTCTGTACAAGTTGTTGTCAAGTTAAGCTTTTTTTGCTTAGACCAATAACTTCATATTTTTTGTTTATAGTGGGTGTTTCTCGGTACGTTCACTTCTCTCATAGCTTGGTGTTCACAAGTTATCGACAGAAAATGAGTATATCTTTTGATAGAGAAATATATATCTGAAGAGGTTGCTCGCTTTGAGCTAATCGAAGTGTTTAGAAGTGGGCTGAATACACAATTTTCCCATGTTTAAATATCTTGAATTAGATACCGAATTTCCATGATTTCGAAATTACCCTGAATACAGTTTTGTTCTCTTTATGACCTGTACACTTTTCTACGAATTGTCATTGTAAATGCAGAATTTTTTTGTCCTAATTTGGAAACAAATTTTGAGCTAGCAAACGGTAATTTGTGAAAGATAGCAAGTTACATAGCTCAATATTTTATGCAACCCTCTCGACAAGTGTAGCTTACTGATAGCTTTAATATGTCGACGATGAGATATCGTCACAACTCATTACTATGGGAGTCTTGGTATCCATTTTTCAATGTTCTTCCTATTCCCTAAGTTTTTTTTCGATAGTAGGACACTACGTCTTTATGTCATTATGTAACTGTATATAATCGTTAAATGTGCCAACTGTAAAATACTGAAGCGGAACAAGGCCCAAAAGTGTGAGGGGTTTCAAAGATACAGTAACACTCCCGAAACTGCTTCCTCACCCATATGCTTGCCTTGTGTAATAATTAAAGACGTGGATTTGTATGAGGTCATTGATTTCGGGTGTCTCCAGAAGAATGCAGAAATTGCAATCACACAACACAAGAGAGGGGAACCGAGCATCTCTCGACGCAAAGATAAAAAGCGCAATGTCTGAGAGGTATCACAACATCACTCGTGAGAAACATTCTTATCTACCTTCTTTTCTTTTTCTCCATACATTATTTCCTTAAACGGACACTTTTATTACCGTTCAGGGTACCTAACTTTTTTGTGACAGTGTTATTCTAATTATGTTTACATTGATTCTAAATTTAGCAAACAATTAATATCACAAACCTAACTAAAAAGGAACAAAAGAGCGACAAAGTTGTCGTGAAAGAACACAAACAATACTCGGAACAATAACTGCAAGATCGAATATCGAATCAGGGGGGAAACTACAAAACCAACGAGACTTGGCACGTCATTTGAGGCTTAACCTGTCATTCTGGTGCCAAAGCTTTCATTTATTCTCGCTCCCAAGCATATGCTACTATGAAAGCCTCTGTCTATTATCACTCTTATGCATTTATTCGTATTCACCTCGGCTTTGATTTTACAATTTTACCCTCGACCAAGTGATGCAGCCGAAAATAATTTTGTAACACTTTAAACTTGTTTTGTTGCTGTTGTTGTTGCATGAATGATTGGTCACTTCGGTTGTTTGTTTGTTTTATTTGTTTGATTTATTGTCTATTTGTTTGTTACTTTGTGTATCTGTTGGTTTGTCTGTTAGTTAGTTAGTTAGTTTGTTTTTTTGTTTGTTTGTTTGTTTGTTCTACGCTCGATGTTTTCCTATTTTTAGAGTTTGATGAGTTGCAGATAGATGTTGCCGTGCAAGCACGAAGACATGTTACCTTGATGGTTGACTTTGTTTTGTTGATTCCTCTGTTGATGTATGCAAGAGCTCTTATTATAAAAAGCGTGTGACAATGTCAGCTATGTCATAAGGCCCTCATTATAAATACCCCTCTAGTTTTCTATTCCATTTGCAGTTCATATTCCTGTTTTCTTCTCTTCGCATCTTCTTTTATAATTAACTTGATATACACCACTCGCTTGATTTACTACCACATTTTACAATGAGATTTTTTATTCCTGTTTCACTTTTGACTTTATCATCAGGTGCCTTGGCTGCTGTTAGACCAGTCCAATTATTTGCTTCCTCGGACAACAAGGAAATTGACGGACAAGGTTTGAGCTCAACTCACGAAGGTGCTGGTATCAACTACTTCTTCTTGGGTTCTGATGCTCAAAATTTACAATACAATGATGAAGCCAGAGTTGTTTACATTGAATTGAACTCACAACCACCAGCTAAACAATACCTTGCTTTCACTGGCGATGTTTTGTCATTGACTGTTGCTGAACAACCATTGCCAGTTGACATTGCTGAGGATGGTTCAGTAACCTTCCCAGGCTCAGATGCTCTTGCTGCTGCCAAGAACATCAACGACCCATACAGATACTCTGAATCTGTCTTTGCTGTTGTCAAAGCTGGTGGTGAAGGCTCAATCCCATTAACCGTTAGTGCTAAGTTTGGCGATGTTGAAGAAGAAGAAAAGCCAAGCTCAACTGAAGAAGCTCCAGAGTCCACTGATGTTTCATACGCAAACAAGACCGTTACTGTGTTTACCACTTACTGTCCAGAACCAACCACCTTGACTTTGACCGTGTGTGAAACTGTTTGTGAAGAAACCAAGGTTACCGTTTCTGAAGCTGGTGAAGTTACTGTTGAAAACGTCAAGTCAAAAGCACCAACTGAAACTGCCGAATCTACCAGTGTTGCAGCTTCTGCTGGCACACAAGAGCCAGAAGTAAGCTCATACGAAGCTTCTGCCGCTGCTATTGGTGGCGCTGGCTTGGCTGCCATTGCCTTTGCTGCTGGTGGTTTAGTCTTCTAGACAACCTTTGCTTTCTTTCGTTTTTAATTTGCATACGAATTGATTTTTGTTGGATACGTTTTCTAACTTTTCTTTTCTGTTAGTTTTTTTGGGAAAGTTGTGCTCTGCTTTGTATAGTGCTTGTTTCTTTCTGAGGACTAGCATTTAACTCGAGAAAAAGAAATCTCACTAGAGGTGGTTGAAGAGTTGGTTGTCAAACAGGGCTTATCTACTTAGGGCATATATCAAATAGAACTGTTGCAATACACTTAGTCATCTTGGGTTTGACATCTGTATATCGGAGGAGGTTCCGTTGAGTATTCTGGTAACGTCTCTACTTCACCATTCCCATTCAGTTGCACCATACTCTCGTGAAAAGTAGGTGGACACAAGGGGACCTCTTCCGATTTTCTTGTTGGTGATACTTTCCGTTTTAAAATTGCTTTCTCATTAATCTGACTACCGCTTAAAGTGACCGAGTAGTGTTTCAGCTTCCCTGGTTGCGCAACAACATCCGTATTTCTGTTTCTTTTAAAAAATCTTGACAATGAAATCAGCCTTCTTGGTAAAGTTAATTTTTTTGTCGATTTGTCTGTTTTGGTTGTATTACCGGAAGGTCCTGCTGAGGCAGCTTTTGTTTTCACATTTGAACAAGGAACAACTTTTGGTACTTTTTCAGAGACAATTTTTGGTTTTGGAACACTTTTCGGTGACTTCTTGGTTACGGTTCTAGTAGATTTGAATGCACTGGCCGTTCTATTCAGTTGTCGGGGATATGAAGGTCTCATTGTTGGCGCCGATGACAGACTGCTTGCAATTGGTGAACAATGACAATAAGAACCAAGACAATAATTACACCTGCGAGACAAGCTGAAATTTCTGTTCAGATTGCTATATTCATCGTTTGTAGTATGAGCTCTTAAGTACCTGTTCTCATGAGTTGCTATAGCAATACCTACACCAGCTGCAAGAAACAAAAACTCCATTTGAACGTTTTCACTTTAAACTTTTGGTATAGAGTAATACTGGGAATTTTGGTAAGAAAAGGGCGGTGTTACACACATATATATATATAAACTAAACACAATTCCTAGTTTCATGCATTCGAAAGCTTTACCAGGGCGTAATTTAGGAAAGTAGGTTCTCAATTTAGATGTTCGCCCCTTAACACAAAATATGCACCGCATCAATCTAATCAAGGAAAGCGTTGCTTTGCCTCGCAGATTAAAGCCAAGAAAGAGGTCACAGTAACGAATTAATGTAAATGCCAGTGAGAAAATATCCATTTTAGCAATTAATGGCACAGCCAATCAGAACATAGCCGTACACGGGTACGATAAACACAAAGAGTTAAAACCGTCCTTTCTCACAAGTCGTAGCAACTAGTGATACTACACCCCGTTTGATACATTGGAGACCTTAAATCAAGCTATAGTAATTAGGAGGCAAATTTGGTAAAAAATGAAAGCTTCCATGGTCTTCTGGCGTCGAAGTGTGTTGTGGTAGATACTCTACATTCCGGTCTGCACCCCTTGGGACCAAAATAGTCAACCAGTCGTTGAAAATACCGAACAAACCATAGTCAGCAGATCCAGATCCAAGTGACACCCATCGTGATAACGACGCCGTTGGTGTTGAGACATTATTCAACTCGCTTATTAACAAGCTTGTTTCTAATTCAAGCATTGCGTTTAGGGAACGAAGATCATAGCGCATCGTATTCCGCTCGACTCTTCGATTTATACTGCTTCTTTGTCTTGAAGTGTTTGCAAGCCCATACGTAGAAAACAAAGACGAATTGAAATCCCTATACTCTTCCCCAGATGTTTGTAGCTTTTGCTCCACCTCCCCTCTCGTTTCGTCATAGTCTCTTCGTTGGCGTATTACCTCCTCGATTTGCTAAAATACAGCAAGCCTCTGCTCACCAAACAGTCGATCTCTTTGCAGTTGCTCACAGAAGGTGCGTTGTTGTCGAATCTATCAAAGTATGATCGGGCTAAGAAATCACCATCAATGTTGTGAGCTTTTTAAACGATGATTGAAAAGAAAGAACACCAATGTTCAGCAAGGAAAATGCTTCCCCTATGCTCTAATGATCGCTGACTTCGAAGATCCAACTCCTGCACGGAAATTTCGTCTTCCTATTTTCCTGCAATAAACAGTTGAGGTTATGACAAGTGGTACAAAAGCTTTTTGATAAGTTGAGAGTCTCTAATAGATTTTTACAAGCAGTTACGTTGGTAATCACAACGCCTTCAATATTTACTATTGTTGTAACAATGGGAGAAAGTTTGGCTTGTTCAAATGGAAAAGTGTCGCAAAAAAAATTAGCACGACGTACAGAAGTAGATTTTTCCCCAATTACATTTGAATCAAATATTTAAGGGTTCATGAGTGCATTTAATAACATTAATTTCGTTAGGTTAATAGTGTTGCAATACACACTTAAACTCACCACGCTCAAATATACGACACCTAGAGATTCTGTACACACTCCTAAATTCAGAGTGAGCTTAATGTTGATTCAAAAGCACGATAAAAGTTTGATAAGTGAATTGAGGTGTAAGTATAGTATCAATCTATTAACGACATTTTCATCGTTCACATGCAACAATATTTGGTCTTCGTTATATATCACATTCAGCTTCCCGATATATAATCTTCAAAAAAGGCTATTGTTGCAGCCTAAGAAACAGGCTGCTTGATTCTCTTATTAATTCGTAGTAACTTAGCGATAGATAATCATCACCTCTCCCTAAGCATGCTTCTGGATGCTGGATAACGGCAACAGGAGGACGCAAAGGTTATACAGCATTGGGTTACTTGGTCCTCAAAATATTCTGGGACACCACAGCTGTCTCAGTAGATCTGCTTACTACAGTTCCATTAGTATTACCTGTTTCTGAGGCTATTTCAATGACACTATTTGGTTGCGCCATAACCTCTGCACTCGTCCCATTCGTGGAGGTTTCTATGCTGCGTATCTTAAGGCAGCAGCTATATATTGAAAGAAACAAAAAGACCACAATGGTTTTAACTAAGCCAGCCATATCCCTTTTTGTCATATCTCCTTAGACTATTGTAGTTCTTGTTGTGAGTAGAAGCTATTTTGTCAAGGGGGAATCTCTGGAGTTTCCTCTTTATTTTTTGCTGCATCTTTCATATAAATGAAAATACAATTGTTGGCACAGGAATATCAGCGACATGGGAAGTCCACATGCTGCATCTAAGGCCGTCAATTCGAAACAACTAACTAACTGTAGTGTAGGTTGTCTAAAAGTTTAGTCCATCACTCTTTAAGATCAAGGGTATCCAAAAGAAAGCTCAAATCAATGCAATGAATACGGTGGTGGTGGATCGTCATCATCATAGTGTGGTGTCTTCGAAGAATCATCTTCCACGGTTGAGTTTGTACTGACAGACAGGCTTCGTCTTCCTGCCTTTCGGACCTTCGTAGAATACTTGTCAGTCACCGTTTGGATCCTATTTTTAGCTCTTTCCTTTACTTCTCTGAATTTCATCCTGAGTTGCTTTCCATCTTTCTTTTGCGTAAAGGAGCCAACTGATACTTCAGATTGTGGCCCAGTGACATCTCGGGCAGAAAGCAACCGGGCTCGAAAGTCAGCAAAAGTCTCATTCTGGGAGTTAGATTGATCGGCAGTGCAAAAGTTTTCGGCAGCTTCATGTCGTGGTCGCGAGGATCTTACTGTTGATCTTTGATTGTGGTTAACTGTTTCTGATATCCTATTACCAGGTTTTTGTTGGTTTTGCTTCGATTTCTGTGATAGCCACAACAGAAATTGTATCCCATTAATGATCAAAAGAGAAATTATTATTCCGACAATTGACGACAAAATGGAGGTCATTTTATAGGTTGCAAAGACAGGATCATACTCGAAAGTGGAATCAAGGGGAGGAATTTCGATATGTTGCGGTTGGGAAAAGTAAAAATTTACCAGCCGCAGATATTTCCGCATTGGACAACACCGAATAAGTTAAACTACGATCGTAATGACAAATCATATTGAAAATGTATTTACGCAATACGAACATTTACCGTACCAGGATTTACGGTGTAAACAACTCTAAAAGCAAACAAGGTGTTAACACAAGAGTGCATATCACTCCTTGTGATCAACAATCGGCTTCTCACAGAACACACCTTCCTTATCATCGATCTTGGAGACAGCATCATCTTTGTCATCCTCGTCGTCAAGATTGTATACACTCATTTCATCATCCCTGGCAATACTCAAGTCTGCGCCTCTATTCTCAGGTCCAATCAAGACGATCGCCATCAAATAGGCTATAACGGCACCAATAAAGATAGCCATTGTTTTCCCATAGTCATGTAAGGTATCATTAATGGTTGCCTCTATGGTAGAGCTTGCAGAACTAACCAAGTTACCCAATTGATATGCAACACCAGTGACAAAAGTTTTAAATTGAGGTGGAGACAATTCCGACAAGTGGATAGGAACAACTCCCCAAGATCCTTGAATACCGAATTGCATAAAGAACGCTGTCACCCACATTGGCTTGAATGCCCATGGATAAATAAATGCACCAGCAAAAACATTTCCAATAAGAATAGCAGTACGTCTTCCAATAAAAGTGGAAAGATGTGCAATAACGATACCTCCTGCAATAGCTCCTAAATTGGCACAGACATTGACAACCGTGGATTTGTCATGGCCAAAATGATACGTTTCAGTCAACATTGTTGGGTACAAATCTTGTGACCCGTGAGAAGAGAAGTTGAAACCGGCCATCATCAACACCAAGTATATAATAATTAGCCAATAAGTTTTCAATGCTTTCTTTGCTTGACTGCCGAATTCAACAAGCTGTGCATGTTTTGACTGCTTTGTAGCGGCTTCCTTTTTCATACGCTCTTGTTGACGTTGGTAGGTATTGGTCTCTGGGTTAATCAATCTCCATGCAATAAAAATCACTGGAACACCAGCTGAAAAGTAAAACATATTTCTCCAAGTGTCAGAAGTTTCATCGAATGCCCTTTGGAAGCACACTGCTAACAAGTACCCGAATGCATAACCTTCCTGAAAGATACCAGACAAGACACCTCTAGCCTTTTTAGGTGCATCCTCAAGAGCATCAGCAGCACAGATACCGAATATACCACCCATGGCAATACCAAACAATGCCCTCACTGCAAGAAATTGTTTAAACGTTTGAACAAAACCGCAGCCAATCTGGAGAGCCATTAGCAAAACCAAGTTGATAATATAAGGCCATTTTCTTCCAAAACTGTCACCGATGGCACCAAAAATCAAAGCACCAACTGTTCTCAACATCAACACCAATGTAATACCCCATGTAACATCTTTTGTCTTGACGTCTAAATCTTTAGCAATATTCGAGACATTCAAACTCGTGATAAAATAATCGAAAGCATCCCAAGTCCACGCCCAAAATCCTATAAAGAAAAAGTTCCATTGGTGAAGATTCATTTCAACTAATGGCTGGAAGGGATTAAGAAATTCATACCAACTATACTTTCTCAACTCATCCCACCCAACCCATAACGAAGTGAATCTTGTTTTGAGATAATTCTTGATGGCTCTGCTAGTGAACTTGGGTGGACGTATGATATGTTTGTTATGATCATGGACGGTTTCTGACACTACGGAGTGTATTGATTCTGTCATATTTTTTAAAGTCTTGAGCGGCTAAATTAATTTTGTCTTGGCAATCTTGTACCTGTTTTGTTGACAGTTTAAAATGAAGGAGCTCTCAAATAAGGGGAACTAAATCAATAGTGAAAATCGTAAGATGTGCTTTCAGGTCTTGGCAAACCTAAAATAAAGTTTTAAATTTTGATGGATGGGAAAGTTCACATTATATATCAGTCAATATTTGCAGGCGACAGTTTGGCATTAACGGAGCTAATTGTCGGAGTAATAGTAGATAACGTACAAAAGCTCATTTGATTTTGTTGGGGGATAACAGAACAATAAGATTGGATAAACAATAAGATTAGTAATAACCACGGGGTGGTGTTTTTGTTATTGTTTTGACGAGAGAGTCGTGTGTCTTGCTAACAAGAACAATTTGTAGCGACTAAAATGGTGGGGTTGAAGAAAAACAGGCAACAAGATGCATACAAGTTATGAATAGGTTATATGTTTAAGCGTGGATATAGGTAAACCACATTACTATAGAAAACGTTTGAAATAGACTAATTGGAGAATTACACAGAAACTTCTTCCACGAACATTTGTTTTACAGATATGTCGCAATTAGCGCACTGTTCAGTACAGTTGCTCTTCAGTTCATAAAACTGCGGCATTTTTTTTTTTAGGAAGGAAAGTGTAACTTGCATGAAACGTACATTGAATGTTAAAGCCTGTTCTTGGTTTAAATGCGTTGAGTTGAAGACGCCTTGGCAGTCAACATAGTCTTTTAAAACAGCGGAATAAAAGAGTCCCGAGTCTTTTTCCTTCCAGTGATAATATATCTTTGACACTTTTGACAGATAGTCTCTTTTCCAAACACCTTTATCGCGCGATTGAAGAAAAGGAACTTTGTCATAAACTCAGACAATCAATTTTAGCCGCGGACTAATTTTGTGCTATATTTATCAGTCAAATTTATGCAGATGCTTCTCATATTCGGACAAGGAGTACGACAACCACTCGAAGAGAGCAAGTACAAGCGGTCATCACAAGAACAGTTGTTATACCCCAGTAAGTGTTTGCTTAGCCCCTATTTCATCAGAATGCTCACCCTGAATTGATTTACGATGTAGAAATAAATTAGTCGTTGTAGTTAACAAACACAAAACGCCGTAGGAGGGAAGGAAAAAAATTTTCTTTTAGCAATTGCGTGAAGTAATTTAAAGCCTCACCCCACCCCACCCTTCCCCACAATTATAATTATTACATAGTGCAAGACTCGAACAACTCCTCGGACACAACTGACGTAATAGAGAACCACAGGTGTGCTTATCAGCTGATGTGTTGTATTGAAATATCACTTTACAAGAGTTGTTGGTGTTGTTCCATCGCACAGGTTAGGTTCTTACATGGTCGTCCACATGTTTGGTACGACCAGAGAATGCTGCTGAGAGAGATACAACAAAGTAAAAACCCCGCAGACAGTTTACAAAAACTCCATAACTCATATTTTTACACCTAAAGAGTTTCACATATATCAATAATTTGGTCACATCTCATTTCGACTAGTCTAAACTTCTGTCGTTTCCTTTGTCTCTTTTTTGTCTTTATCGTCCTTGTACTGTGCTTGTTCCGAATATTCAAGTTCCACATTCGATGTAGAATCCTTCTTTTCATCATCCATGCCTTCAACATCGTAGATACTCATCTCATCATCTCTTTCGACGCCCAAATCAGCACCTCTATTCTCCGGACCGAAAAACACGACGGGCATCAAATAAGCCAAAATGGCACCCAAAAAAATGGCCATAGTTTTACCATAATCATGCAACGTCTCATTCATTGTGGCTTCAATGGTTGCACTAGCAGAACTAACTAAGTTACCCAATTGGTAAGAGGTACCAACAACAACAGATTTGAATTGAGGCGGAGCCAACTCGTTCAAATGGATGGGAACAACCGACCATGAGCCTTGAATACCGAATTGCATAAAAAAGGCGGTAATCCACATTGGTTTGAATGCCCAGGGATAAATAAAAGCTGCTGCGGTGACATTACCAATCAAGATTGCAGCACGTCTTCCAATAAACGTAGAAGCGTGGGAGATGATGATACCACCAACAATAGCACCCAAGTTGGCACAAACATTAACCACGGTAGACCTATCATGTCCAAAGTTGTATTCCTCGATCAACATTGTTGGGTACAAATCTTGAGAACCATGAGAAGAAAAGTTGAACCCAGACATCATAAACACCATGTAGATGATAATCAACCAGTAAGCTTTCATGGCTCTTTTCGCTTCACTTGTAAATTCAGCAACTTTTGAATGCTTTTGAATAGCTCCCTGTTCAAATCTTGCTTTCTGGCGTTGATAGTTGTCTGTCTCTGGATTGATGAACCTCCAAATGATAAAGATTACTGGTACACCAGCCGAAAAGAAAAACATATTTTGCCAAGTTCGTGTGGTATTATCAAAAGCTCTTTGGAAGCACACTGCTAGCAAATATCCAAAAGCGTAACCTTCTTGGAAGATTCCCGACAAGACACCCCTTGCTCTTTTTGGAGCATCACTAAGGGCCTCTGCTGCACAATTTCCATAAATACCTCCCATAGCAATACCAAATAATGCCCTGACACCAAGAAATTGTTGATAAGTGGTGACAAACCCAGTTCCAACTTGAATTGCCATAAGCAAAAGCATATTGATAATGTATGGCCATTTCCTACCAAATGTATCTCCAATAGACCCAAAAATCACTGCACCAACGGTACGAAACATCAACACCAACGTAATACCCCATGTAACATCCTTGGTTGACACATTCAAATCAGTAGCAATGTTGGTGACATTAAGACTAGTGACAAAAAAATCAAACGCATCCCATGTCCAGCCCCAAAAACCCAACAAAAAAAAATTCCAATGATGCAAGTTCAACTCAGTCAATGCTTGAAATGGGTTAAGAATTTCGCACCATGAATACTGACTCAACTCGGCTTTTCCAACCCATAAAGAGCTGAACCTAGTTCTAAAGTACTTTTTAATGGCACAACAAGTGAACGTAGGTGGGTGAACAATGTGTTTGTTGTGCTCGTAAACAATTTCAGAAGCAACTGAATGGATAGATTGTGTCATGCTCAACTAACTTGGTGGGTATAATTTGGTTCGATTTTCTTTATCCAAAGACAAATGTAGCTTCCTTTATATACATTGCAATTTTCATTGAGGTTTTTTTTTATGTTGCACAACTCGAGGAGCAGACATGAGGGTACCATCAATTGTGAATGGGTTTTTCTTGGTAACATGTTTGATTGGAGTCCCAATTGTCAATAAAGTTTTAATGATGAAAGTGGGGAAGGTGATGGGGAGTCATAATATTCGGCAAATTGGTATCAAAGACATTAGTCAGGTGAGCATATTTCTTGCCGTAGGGCTTTTGGTAACCTTAATGTTGAAGGCGGCCACATTTATAATACATGAAACCTTCACTGGTGCCATTTTTATTTTATTTCTCCCACTTATGGCAGTAGTCCGATTAGGAAACTTCACTCATCAAGCAACAAATGTGACAGTTTCAGTTGCGATAAGGTATCAGATTATCGTTGAACGACCTTGATCCATAAGCACCACCCAGTTAACTGCCCATAAACCAATTCATCTCGTTAGCATTACCAGCCTTCTCGGGTCCATTTTCGTCCTTTAGTGTATATATCTTCCCTTCTTTGTAATAATAATAATGATGTGTGATATTCATTCAAGAGAAGTAGTTTTAAAGTTTCAACCTATTTTTTTCTTGTCACTTCGAAATGCCTTGCATCTAAAAACTCAATTTTGCCCTTGCAGGAAGGCAAAATAATCTGCATTAAAGATAATATTAGAAAACTCCGAAAATTGCAAGAGTGGATATGCCCTTGCACTTGGGTATGAAAGAAATATTACGGTCACCGGGGTGGAAAAAACTCTCACCATCAGACAATATTTCTATTCTTATTATCTTGACACTATTAGTTGTCGTACGATTGTATTACAACCATTGACCCTTCAATATACAATGAAAAATTGTTGATATTGGTTTCAGCGGGCCACCATTAGCTCACTGATGGCCATCCCAATTACGTTTTAGTTGGTTGATGCTATTTCCAATAATCTTTCATTACCACTTTCCCCGCTTCTCCAAGGAAAGTTTAATACCCCAGTTTAAGCTTACCAAAATCATCATTGACTAAATAAGCTGGGTTGTAAGATTGATCAATTGTCTAATTTGGTATCAATTTTGGCGAGAAATTTTGTTAGCCTTTGTACGATAATTAAACTTCGCAACTGTTTACACATCTGTTTGACAAACTTGACACCCGGTTTGCTTGGCTATTGAAGTATCCTATACTCTCCGCAAGAAGAACAATCTTGTTATAGTTCTGAAGTTGAGCGTTGTTGAATACGAAATGAGATGTTTGAAGGTGTGACAACAATCTGCAAAGTAGAGTGAAGGTCGAGCTTAAGCGATATCAAACTCTACCCTAATTGTTGACTGCAAATAAGTTGATTGTCCCTGGCCACTCAGTAAACAAACTATATCTTCCCCTCAAATACACCGATAAAATCTAGAATGTACATTGATATAGTTTGTCCGAAACCAGTATCAGCCGTCTCACAACCATTTCCAAAAATACTAACTCGAGCGATATTTTCTTGAACCTATAATACGCGGGAATTCACGGAAAGGTTAAATTCGATTTGCGAAAATGGCGACGCTATTGCATTAAGAACCCACATGCTACTCATTTGAGTTCACAAGTACAAGTATGGTACTCATCAACAATTTCCAATGGTATAGTCTACTTCCGACGCAGATTAATTTTGAGTTGCGGGGTAGAAAGTTTATTACTTACCTCCCAGAGGATTAAGAAAAGTCACCGTAGCATTATACGTACTAGACTTTGTCAAAAAAATTTACCCCTTGCACGAAGTATAACACTCAGCAATTTGAATCAGGTGCCAAAATTTACACAGTCCTTCGCATTAGAAACCAAAGGACGGCTTAAGAAAAAAAAGCAGATGTAGAATGGAACACCATTTCAATCTTCAATTGTAATACTCCATGAGGGGCCACTTTTGTATCTCAAAACTTGCGAGGAGATTCACTGTACACAAAAATTAAACACCTCTTTGATAACATTACACAATGGCATCACTGTTTCAATTGAAGAAGCCAAAGATTTCAGCCTGAGCAAGCTACTGATATTCACCAGAACGGTTCATCAGAACTCCTGTTTTTGGAATTAACCGCTCCACTTCAAAGTGTAACCATAAAAACTTAAAAAGCATTAACAAGTATAATACAAACATTATACACAATATAAAATTACAATTTTCAGTACAAAGTAAAATAACAACAGAAACATATCGCCACTGCACTTTATCCCCTCCTTTGTCTATACCTCAAAATCCTTTTGAACAAGTCCTCCACATCCAATTCAATTTCACTGATGAATTCATCCAAGATTGATTTGTCACGAATATACCGATCACAATCATTAGCAATAACCCAAATATCAACTTTAGTCTCTTTGCTCAATCGTTCAACAAATTCAACAACGCTACGACGTTCAACAAACGTATTGTACTCAAACTCATCACGAATCCACTCTTCGCCATATTGATCCAACCTTTGAGCAATACTTGGGGCCTGTGGCGTGCCATTGTGCCATTCATCAAGAATCTCATAAACAGTGTATGTGTTTGGTTTCAAATCGTAAATGGGCACACCAGATGATGTAGTTTGTGGCGGTGGTGGTCGTGGTGGGCGTGGTCCATTCAATTCCAAGTCAAATTTATCGAGCAGGGCATTGACTTTAGCACTCAATTCAGAAACAAATGCCGGTTCTACTTCAACTGCCTTTTGTAATGAGGTATTGATGTCGGTGCATAACTGAGCAAATGAACGTCTAATTTCATCGATGTTCTTCTTGGTGATTTTCTTGGGGTAAAGGGGTATTGATGGTGATGTAGAGTCGGAAGAAGCATGCGGTGGCTCTACGGGTTGAGTTGAAGCAAGGCTAGGACTATGCCGTTGATATGAGCCTTGTTGATGCAGTTCTTGTAACCGTTGGCTTTGTTGATCCCATTCTCGCTGTCTTTGCAATTGCTCTTGATTTTCCCGAACTATGGAAGGTAATGGAGGCAATGATGGATGGACCAAAAGAGTTTGGTTGCCAATATCAGTACCATGATTTGGTCTTCTTCCTCTATCCGGCGCATAAATGGCAATAGTATAATCATCTTGCTGATCCCTTTTGCGAAGTCTTTTTTTACGTCTACCCTTCATTAAAATGCCTCCGTACCCACCTATTTCATAATCCAAAGTAAGGTCATCACCGGGCTCTTTACCCAATTCTTTATACACTAGGTATTCCAAAGCAACATGACGATTAGGGATTTCTTTGCTAGGCAAATTGTACACCAAATAATTAATTTCTTGTAGCTTGGAGAAGGCTGGATCCATTTTTCTTAACCGAATAACAGGTTTACTCGATGAACTCAAGGCAAATTGTTCTTCATAAAATTCCTTCATTAATTCACCAGTGACGAAAAAATTGTCAATCTTTTTCCTACAACAAAACCGAATATAGTGTTTGAAAGTGGTGATGTACCTCTTTCTCGTTTCGAATCCCAACATTAACAATCGTTTTCTGGCTTCAGGGTTACTCAATACTTCATCGTCAAATTTCTTAAACATTTTGATCACTTCTTCAGTGTCTTGAGACATGATTCTCTTGTTGATTTTAATGTTTTCACGATCGACATGGTACCTACGTTTAGTGTGCTTGGAATCGTTGTCATCGTGACCTTCCTCATAATCTAACCCTTCGCCGTCTTCATCCCCGTCGTCCCGAGTAGTATCTGCATCATACAATAATGACGGAAGGTCCTTTGTGTCAATTTTTTGAGATATAATTGAAGTGATTGGGATACGACCACGTGGTTCTTGGGATGGTGGTCCTGGTGGTAATGGTTGCAGTCGACTTGGTGGTAAACGTTGTTGTTGTGGTGGTGGCGGTGGTGGTGGTGGTGCTTGTTGGTTAAACGATTGTCCCTGAATTTGAGGTGGTGGTTGATTCAGCATTACTGGGCCATTGCCCAACGGATATGGAGGGTGCAACGACTGTGAGTATTGTTGATAAGGGTACGGTGGCAGTTGTTGGAGATATGGTGGTGGCTGATGAGGATATGGTTGATATTGGGGGCTATATCCACTGCTGTACGACGATGAGGATGGTTGTAGTGGTCTTGGTGGTGGCGCCCCTTGTTGTGGATATGGTGCCGAAGATGGAATGGTTGGCGTTCTTGATCCATAACCGGATTGAGAATACCCCTGCGCAGGTGGCAAATCACTAGACAATAAATGATTGATATTGTGTTTATGGATGTTTGGTGACGTGTTGGTGTGGTGTGGTGGTACCACAGCAGATATTGGTTGGATCGAGGCTCCTTGCATCGAAGGAATTCTTTGTCGTGGTGCCCCGGATTCAGACTCGGCACTTTCCGGTGAGACAGAATCAACCTCGTGAATGTTATCACCAGATTTGAATTTCTTTGTTGTATACAAGACCGTGTCTTCAGTGCCTTCCAACTTCCTCTTCTCTACCGCTAGCAGTTTCCGTGGACGTCCACGTTTTTTCTTGACTTCGCCGTCTTTGAGTAGAGGAGGAGGTACAATTGATCTTCCATTGGGTCCAAGGGGATACTTTCTAGGTCTGCCTCTTGTTTCCTTCTTAGCAAGAAGTGGTATACTTTCGTCGGAGCTGCCTCTTTCTTGTTTCTTTGGACCTGGAGTGCCCTCCTTCTTAGTTGTTCCAATGGCTTTCTTAGCAGATGGCTCAATATCCTTTTTAGATGTTGCATTAGTCTTGGTAGTAGTACGAGTTGCCTTAGTGGTTGCCTTTGCCTTTGCCTTTGTCTTTTTTGATGAAGCGACCTTGGTACTTGCTTTGACTTTTGAAACTGTGGTTTTCGCGGCTTTGCGCTTTGCTACGCTTGCCCCACGAGTGGTTGGTTTAGCTTTAGTAGGAGCATTCGTAGCTCTTCTTCTTGTGGTACGTGTCTTTCGTTTAACCGCTTCGTCGTCATCGACATCTTCGTCATCGACTTCACTGTCACTATCTGACTCCACTTCTGACTCTTCGTCATCTGACTTCTCGCTTCCCAGCAGCAGTCCATCTGTCGGACTGCCTTCCTCCTCTTCTTGAAGTCTTCTTTGCTCTGCTATGGGTATGACTTTTTTCAAATCTTTACCATTGAAACTTAGTTCAATATTTTCCACCGCTCCACCAGATCTCCTAGTTGAAACCATTGTTGGTGTCTGAATGAAACTATTGGCGGTTGTGTAATATTCGTGGTGATGTAGTTTGGTTTATATTATAGTTGGGTGCAATAAGTTTCAGTATACTTTGATGCGATTGAACGAGGTAGATAAATGGAGGGGGTTAATTGTTGTTGATGTTTTGATTTTTTTCTGCTCTGTTTGTTTCATGTTTTGTCGCTCTCCTTCCCTTTTTTTTTTTTTTTTAATTTTAGTTTTGTATTTTAATATCTTTTATTCAACTGATATCTTTTTAGGTTTAAGTGTAATCTTTATATTAAGAATAAGTTAGAGGAGTATGATGTGTTATGAACAACGTTGTCTCGATTGTTGACGTGTTGGTTAAACTTTCGAGCTTTGTTGTCGCAAAGCTATAGCAAGAAGAAGTATACACTAAATACAACTCGTAAGAGTGAAGGAGATTCCACTTTGTTCATCACATATGCAGAGAATAAAATTAAAACAAAAAACAGGCCTAACAATGAGGTAGGTAAACTGCGGCTAATCCATATGGCTGAAAAGGTACCTCTGAGATCTTAGAAAGATGGTGATGACCGTTTTGCTTAGCAAGTAGAGAGGGTGCCGTACCAACAAAACCTCCCCTGTTCCAACCCAATCGCCTTTTAACTATGCGCACGAATTAGATTTTAAATAAAAAAAAAAAAAATTAAAAAAAAAAAGTCACAACAAAAGGGGACAACACACAAAAGAGAAGTTATATGTGTCATTTAGAAAAAACAAAGAGAGGATAGGGGTTACTAGAATAACTTTATCATTATTAAAAAATGATAGATGTCTAAGTTATGTCCTTCGTGTGATACTGTGGTGGCGTAGTTGAGGGTTTTAGAAAAAGAGGTGCAAGTTGGAACAGGGGGTCATGGAGCGAGGGGGGGTTCTCAAGTAAGTCGCATACAAGTCGTGCAGCGGGCAATAAAAATAATAAATAAAAGAAAAAAAACCAAAGAGAAGGAAAAAAAAAGGACATTCATTTTGTTCTTTTGTTTTTGTGCTTTTATTCTCGTCGGAAATAAAAAATTAATCGAAAAGGAATTCCATGGTCTTTAAAAACAAGAACAGAATACAGGCTTTGGCTAGGGATTTATAATAGACACAGGGGACCAGACCAGAACTAAAGACGCGATGCTTGAATGAGAGTATCAGTATCCAATTTCAGCTTGTCGGGTTGCAATTGTGAAAATTTTTTATCCATGAGGAGTTATTTTTGCCAAGGTGTGTTTGAGAAATTGAAGCCCACAAGTGACAACAGTTGTAGAGCCTTGTACTGTAAGCACTTGTCTGTTTGATTTTGATTGCTTAATGTCAATACTCTGTGCTGCAGACGATGACAGCGACAACATAAAACCTTTGCAATAAGAATACACACGAAAATTTTCTTCAAGATGTTTACGCATTTCATGCGATGTTGCCATGGTCTTCATGCCTAGCACACTTGTACTCATAGTCCTACTAAACGAATCTCGTCATCATTTACACTTTGTTGTAATGGCACTACTTACTGCTAATTTGTTAGCTGCTTAATGGCATGTAAACCGTAGGTTTTTTACCGCCTAAGTGTGTGCCTTGTAGCTCTCCACGTATAGTCTGGTGTTAGCTAAAGAGTGTAAGTGTATATCTCATTAGTCTTTGTAGATCCCAAAGGTTCAAACTATCTTCTGTCCACTCACCACTCTCTTGTTTGCTTTTGTGTTTTTAAAAAGAAGTGAACGACATTTTGTTTTAAACACAAAAAGTATATAATCCAAACTCATTGTAATAGTTATTGAAATTCGATGGAAAACCGTAATAGAAAGTATTCTACTAGGGGTCTATACAAGTATAATTTACAGTCACAAACTATTTAAGTCCAAAGGTTTTTCTTGTTAGAACCCCTGTTAATTCCTTTACTATTTATCATGGAATGTCTTTTCAATCTCATTCTGTGTTATTCAGCACATTTTGGCGAACAAGAAAAAAAAAATAAACAAAAAAAATGTAAAAAAAACCAATAAAAAACAATAAAAAACAACAACGACGGAAAAGAAGACCAAGACATTCTTCTTTGCCACTGAATCCAAGAAGTAAGACCTTACCTCTATTGAATAGTGGTTTCCAATCCTATACCGCCATTAAAGGCTGGGGGATGCTAGATCCATGGGCATTTTTTTTTCAATCCATATTTACTATGCCGCAGGTAAAAAATAATAGATATTCTTTATCTAACCACGCATTCTTAGTTACGACATTCTTTTTTTTAAAAAAAAAAGTTATAATTTTAATGCACAACACCTTAAAATTCTGAAAGAAGCCTAATTTGTGCGTTTTAAAGTCGCCTTTAGTTGCATTGTGTGTTTATTCACTAAAAAATAGACAAGGCTAAATAAGTAAACTTTTGTAAACTAAAGGGTAACTGATACACACACACACACACACACACACACACACACACACACACACACACACACAAACAACACTATGTACTCAGAGCTCATCGCCGTAGACACATTATTCAAACGTGCCTACTTTGTGTTAAAGATAAATGCAATTCACAATCGATTGTACCTGGTACCAACACCCGTGCTTATTTATAATCTGCTCAGACTGCAAACATTTTCAACCTTTTTTAATAACACCCCCCCCCCTTCATTTTCAAGCATATACAAGACCCGTTAGATCTACCCCTCTCAGCAGCTGAACCACATAATCTCTTTCACTTTCACTAGATAGAAAAAGAAAAAGAGCTTCGTTATTCGTATTCCTACACTAATATAGTATGATAAATTTTTTCTGCACTTTTCGATACAACACTAGCTCCCTTCATCATCACTGGTAATTATACTACCTTTGTTTGGCCTTCTCCTTCAACAACTTCAACTCATCATCACTCTTTTGACTGCCCTTTTCAATAATCAAATTACGCAACAATTTATTCTCCATTTCCAAATGACTCAATTTATTCTCCAATGATGATATCATGTCTTGTAATGAGGAAATCTTGTTTTCCATTTGTTGTTCCTTCATCTTCTTTTTGATTCTGAATCGTGCACTAGCGGCAGTGTTGCGACGTTTCTTGTCGAGTTCTGCTGCGTCAGGCAGACTCATATTGGAACTGGCTGTAGTTACTGATGATGGTGCAGCTGCTACGTATGCTCCACTCACTGATCCATTTCGTTGCAGTTGCGATTGTTGTTGTTGTAAGCTAGGATCAATGAACGATGTGACGCTTGGATTACGTGATCTTGTTAGTAGTTGTAAACCTGAATTGGTTTGTGCTGCTGCTGCTGTTGCTGTTGATGATGATAAGGATGCATGTGGGTTCCCTTGTGAGGGAAGTTGAAATGAAGCGTTTAGTTGGCGTGTTGGAACATCTGCTGGTGATAGTGATGCTGCTGCGTTTGGAGTAATTGGAGCCATGTTTAATGGCAAGTTCGATGACGTTGATGTTGATGATACTGGTGCCTGTTGTTGTTGTTGTTGTTGTTGTTGTTGCTGTTTCACCATAAAACTATTTATTGTTTCTACGCCCAAATCACCATCATCATTGGGTTCCCCTGCCGATCCTCGGTGTTGTTGTTGTGAAATCGTTTTACCCAAGTTAGTCTGATGCTGGGCAATCAATGCACTCAACAAATCAATTTGATTCAGTGATAAGCCAGCACTAACCAATGAATTTTTTGCGCCAGGTGGCACCGGGAACTTGGGCAATTCATTCAAACTTAACAACTTGTGTGGTTGCACATGGCGATGATGATGATGCTGATGTTGAGTATCCAAATCATGACCATGTACATCATTGTTTTTGCCGTTTGTGATGTTTTTATTGCTACTGTTGTGGAAAGCATCCATCAATCCATGAGGTAGACCTGTATCACCATTGTTGGCATGGCTCAGCAACAAATTGAACTCGTTCAACCTATCCTCATGGCCATCGTCATCCTCACCATTAAGATTTCTGAAATACAGATGCGAGCTCCCTACTTCGGGTTCTTGTTTGATAGTAGGCACCAAATTGGAGCTGTTAAACTCGTGTATATTCCATCCATTCAATCCATCATTGTTTCCCGAACTAGCAAAATTTGCATCCTTGTTGCGTTTCTTGTCACCTATTCTGCGTCGGACACCTTCAGCTTGGCCAATCTCATCGACATCTTCTTCTTCGCCATCGTCTTCCCCATCATCTTCGTGATCGTACAATGGCTTTGGCTTGTCTTCATCAGGGAATATAAATGAATCATCAGCAAATGCAGCCAAATCTAGACTTAGTTGTCCATCAACATCAATATTTGGCGTAGCAGTTGAGCTATCGGTATTTGGTTGTGTCCCGTTGATGTAGTTGTCAATATACACGAGTTGCTCTAGCAACGCCGACGACGTAAGTTCCTCACTCATATGTGTGTCTATTGTGGCTATGTTATTGAAATTTCTTCAGGGTGTATCTATGTATGATGTATGTGTGGCTTTCACAGTGACTTTTTTTGTTTCTCAGTACATTTACGTAAGCACTGAAACCAAGACTTTATGCTTTGCTATACAACAACTGTGGAAAAAAAAACAGTGGTGGTGTTAATAGCAACAGAAGATCCTCCAGTACTTTTATACCAAGAGCAACGGTTAAATTTTTCAGCACCAATCTTTGAAACAATAGCTTGTGAACCTTTTTGATCTATTTTGTTTTGTTTGTTTGGTTAATTAAAAGCAGTTTTGGTAATCCACAGTTTTTTCTTTGATATTGAGAGACAGTTTTTGTTCTCTCTGTTTTTGACTGCAAATTTGATAAAATTGAAAAACGTTATAATGTTTGTGTGTGCATTGTGTTATATATAAAATAAAGAAAGCAAAAAGCAGGTAATTGCACGTGATTACTAGTAAAAATTGCTAAATAAGAAGAATAGTTGTTGCTGGAAAAAATAAAAAATATTAGAAAACCATTGAATCAGATCCATTTCACATCATTTGTATGGCAAATAAGAGAAATCTTGTGTCAAATACTGTTGGTTGACGCTGTCTGTGCAATCAGTTAAAGTGGCGATGCTATAGATAATCTACTTTTGATGCACTCGTTCACTCCCAAAGCGGTATCCACTCCCTTGCATTGTAATTGCGCGCCACACATTTCTTAAAAACGATGCAAAGCGAAAAAAAAAAACATTAACTCAAGGGGAGAAGAAGGGGAGGAATGAACGAGTAACTCAAACGAGCACCGGCTGTTCTCTGTATGCCGACAAAGGCAACTCGTCTCTCTCTACGGTGATGCCTCTTAGTGGTGCACTAAGTGTTGATACTGAATATTTTCAGCGCATATCATTCATCTTTCTCCGTCTCGGTTGTTTCCCGATTAGGGTAAATTTCCGAACCCTCGTAAATCTGCACCACGTGTATTTAACACTGACTTTAAAACTACTTTAGAACTACAGTGGCCACTTTCATTGCTTGAAGTACTATACCGTCAACGAGGCAGTGTGTTTTGGGAGTGACATTCTCCTCGACATGTAAACATGTCTTTATGATATGCGCAACAGAAACTATGTACAACAAATTTACGTCAAAACACGAACCACGAAAACAAAAATATCAACTCCTACACCAATTCCTAATAACTCGTAAATCACATCGACATTAATTGAATCTCAACTATATAGAAACCTATAAACTGAAAAAAAAAAAGCAAAATCAAAAAAAGAAACAAGTTAAATAAACAGATGGAACTAGTCTAAGTTCCAATAAAGAACTGAACAAACAAGGTAGGGGTATCGTAACAAATTCGTAGAAACCTAAAAGCCTTTTCCTTAGTGAAGTCTCAAGTTAGCATTAAAATCTTTGGATCTGACTGCCAATGGAGATTGGTTGCTCACCCTAAGCCTGTACTCAGCGAAAGATCTAAACGAACCGGTTTTTTCTGGTTGTTGTTGTTGTGCAACTTTTTCAGTAGTTTTGGTTCCAACATTGGGAATTTGTTTCATGGTAGATCTGGTGGATGAGGTTTTGGCGAAAGCTCCTCTTGAGACTTGTGAAAATGCTCTTCTGAAAATCATTATTGTGAATATAGATGTAAATATAGATGTAGATTCAAATGAGTGGAAAGAAAGAAAGGGGTTCTTTGATATCCTTTATATATAATTGGGGAAAAGATGAAAATAATAAAGCCCTCGGATTAGAGTGATGAAATTTTTTAATTCTTTAATTCTCTTCTATTACACAAAATGCAACTTCTGCATCACAAAGCCAACTGTAAATCATACCATAAAAATACTTCAATATAGAGATTATACTAAACCAACCCGATTTTTTAATGAAGAAAGTCACGCTTACAATTCAATTGCATCGACATCAGCATCACCTGTTTTGCTAATCAGTTTGCATATGCAATCCTTTTTCTTCTTCTCCACAATTTCAATGTCCCTTTTCATCTCCTGCTTATGCCCGTGGTATTTCACAGTGATGACTAATCGCAAGAAAAAAAAAGGAGGGGTAGTTTTTTTTTTTATGCAGTTGGTTAAATAACATGGGTCAATGATGTACCTATCAAATGTGTTAATATGGTGGCAGTGAAGACCACCACCACTATAAACGTTTTTTTTAAAACAATAGGTAATCACCACCACCACTCAGAGTATCCATTGATCTACACACTAAAATATAAGGACAAATGGAAAAGAACAAGGAACGAAATTGGAAAATTTTAAACTTGCTTGTGTTATTATTTTTGCTCTCTCTTTCACTTATTGTTCTAAACAAAATTACACAAGCACAAACACTCACTAAACATTGTTATCATCAACCAATCAGAAACTACTTTGGTAGCGTATCAAGAATATTCTTTTCTTTCTTCTCTTCTCTTCTCTTCTATCTTCATTAAGCCATGTCTCAAATACACACAGCCTAGTTGGGACTTTGGAAACCAGGCGCTTAGGGTTGGAGCCTCGTTGCTATCTACTATAGAGTGAAAGCAATTTAAGAAATCAGACCAGACGATCGCCCATTTAAGTTGTACTCGTTAATTGCCAACCCTGCTTTTTTCATCTTATTTGATTGCAAATAATCTCAAAAATGAGGCATTCCTAATCGTAATAGCTAAAGTGTTGACTTCAATCACTGTGGCAAGCTCGAAACACTTCAAAAGGTCAACTGTTCCTACACATACAGTCTGTCACCATTGATATACCATTGTACAATTCAAACTTCTTCATTTTTCTTTCGGGCATTGAACTCCGTTCAACAAAGTGAAAAGAAAAAAAATTTCGCCTTTTCTTCTTCTTTTCGGATTTTAATGTCCGAAAATGTGCTTTTCGCGCACAATAAAGTTAAAGTTCACCATCAACAGAGGTGGCATTTTGACTCTAACCAAATGTCCTATGAAAGTGGGGAAGACAGAGTCGGTGTAATAGGGGAAACCACTTCGGTTATTCACGGCCACGTCGTCGCAGAACAAAGAAACTCAAAGCCATACTGTGATCTTTCACACCCACAACGAGCGAAATCGCGCTTAGCGTTCCACTCTTCCGTGCATCTGCAAGCCCTAAATACGTTAGGAATTGGAATTCAAGGTGAAGATCCCTCCCATTCTTTGCCATGCCCCGCCATCTACACTTTCGAAAAAAAATCCCGTTTCGTTAATAAGCCAGGTTGTAAATTATGCCTCGGTTAATTGATACTACAAAAATATGCTCTACTTTATCCTCCAATCATATGCGCATGGACATTACCATTGTGCTACATGACTCATGGCCCATTTCTTCAATTTTGTACCTACATCAATGAATATTCTGGATATTTGTCGCCCTTTCTCACATATATGGGCCGAAACTATTGTCAATTGTTTTTTTTCTTGATCAAGCACCGCTATTGTTTGTTCCTTTTTGTTACACTTCGGAGTATTTTGCTGTCAACTTTGTGGACGAAAACACACTGGAGCAAAGTCGCCTTTACAGAAGATTATGACAGTAGTCTTCATGCTCCAAGATGTATCCACAAGACTATATAAAAAAAAAACAATAGGTTTTTGTATTAATCCAGCGGAATTATTGCAACTGTTGAATCAGTTACATCACCATCTTATATGCAGGATTATTATATCGTAATTGTTTTCCTTTTGTAATTTTAATTTCTGGCTATCTCTCCAAAAAAGAAAAAGTTAAGTTATAAAATCATCATCAAATTTCATCAATTCTAATTCAATTATCAATTTTCAATTGCTCATCACATTTCGACAAGTAATTACCGATTAGCTATGACAACCCTTCAACCAACTGCTACGCAGGATGGTAAAATCAATCAAATGAGAAGAGCCTCGTCAGTGTTGGGACCAATGAATAAAATCTTGGTCGCCAATAGAGGTGAAATCCCCATTAGAATCTTTAGAACTGCTCACGAATTGTCAATGCAAACCGTTGCTATTTACTCACACGAGGATAGGTTATCAATGCATAGATTGAAAGCAGATGAATCGTATGTTATTGGTAAAAAGGGACAATACTCTCCTGTTGGAGCTTATTTACAAATTGATGAGATTATCGACATTGCCAAACAACACAATGTTAACATGATTCACCCAGGATACGGATTTCTTTCTGAAAATAGTGAGTTTGCTAGAAAAGTTGAAGAAAATGGAATCTTGTGGGTAGGTCCAAGTTACAAAACAATTGATGCCGTTGGTGACAAAGTTAGTGCCAGAACATTGGCAATTGAAAACGATGTTCCCGTTGTTCCAGGTACACCTGGTCCAATTGATGATGTTACTGATGCAAAGAAGTTTGTTGAAAAATATGGTTACCCTGTTATAATAAAGGCGGCATTTGGTGGTGGTGGAAGAGGTATGAGGGTGGTTCGTGAAGGTGATGATATTGAAGATGCTTTCAAAAGAGCCACCTCTGAGGCAAAGACTGCATTTGGCAATGGCACCTGTTTTATTGAGAGGTTTTTAGACAAGCCAAAACATATTGAAGTTCAGTTGTTGGCTGATAACTACGGTAATGTCATACACTTGTTTGAAAGAGATTGTTCAGTGCAAAGAAGACATCAAAAAGTTGTTGAAATTGCTCCTGCTAAAAACTTGCCTAAAGAAGTTAGAGATGCCATTTTGACCGATGCAGTCACTTTGGCCAAGAGCGCCAACTACAGAAACGCCGGTACTGCTGAGTTTTTGGTTGATGAGCAAAACAGGCATTATTTTATTGAAATTAATCCCAGAATTCAAGTTGAACACACCATCACCGAAGAAATCACTGGGGTTGATATCGTTGCCGCTCAGATCCAAATAGCTGCTGGTGCCTCATTACAACAATTGGGATTATTGCAAGACAAAATCACCACTAGAGGCTTTGCGATTCAATGTAGAATAACCACAGAAGATCCAGCCAAAAATTTTCAGCCTGATACTGGTAAAATCGAGGTGTATAAATCAGCTGGTGGTAATGGTGTCAGATTAGATGGTGGTAATGGATTTGCCGGTTCAGTCATTTCCCCTCATTATGATTCCATGTTGGTCAAATGTTCATGTTCTGGTTCTACATTTGAAATTGCTCGTAGAAAAATGTTGCGTGCTTTGATTGAATTTAGAATTAGAGGAGTCAAAACAAACATCCCATTCCTTTTGGCACTTTTAACTAATGACACTTTTATCAAGGGTGATTGCTGGACAACTTTTATTGATGATACACCATCATTGTTTCAAATGGTTAGCTCACAAAATAGAGCCACTAAATTGTTGTCGTATTTGGCTGATCTTTATGTCAACGGATCATCAATCAAGGGGCAAATTGGCTATCCTAAATTGACCGACGAAGCATTGATTCCGGTATTGCATGATCCAAAAACCGGAATTCCAATTGAAGTTGGCCATACCCCACCACCACGTGGATGGAGACAAGTTTTGTTGGAAGAAGGACCTGATGCATTTGCCAAAAAGGTTAGAGAGTTCAATGGAACTTTGCTTACTGATACAACTTGGAGAGATGCTCATCAATCGTTGTTGGCTACTAGAGTAAGAACTATTGACTTGTTAAATATTGCACCAACAACAGCTTTCGCTTTAAATGGAGCTTTCTCACTCGAATGCTGGGGTGGTGCTACTTTTGACGTTTGTATGAGATTCCTTTATGAGGATCCATGGGATAGATTAAGAAAATTGAGAGCTTTGGTGCCAAATATCCCATTCCAAATGTTGTTGAGGGGTGCTAATGGTGTTGCTTACTCCTCATTACCAGATAACGCAATTGACCAATTTGTAAAAGAGGCTAAAGAAAATGGAGTTGATATCTTTAGAGTTTTTGATGCATTGAATGACTTGGAGCAATTGAAGGTGGGTATTGATGCAGTTAAGAAAGCTGGTGGTGTAGTTGAGGCTACTGTATGTTACTCTGGTGACATGTTGAAACCTGGGAAGAAATACAATTTGGAGTATTATTTGTCAGTCGTTGACGAAATTGTCAAGATGGGTACTCATTTCTTGGGTATTAAAGATATGGCTGGTACTTTGAAACCAGCAGCAGCAAGACTCTTGGTGGGAGAAATCAGAAAGCGTTACCCTGAATTGCCAATCCATGTACACACACATGACTCCGCTGGTACAGGTGTTGCTTCAATGACGGAATGTGCTAAAGCAGGTGCTGATGTTGTTGATGCAGCCTCAAACTCAATGTCAGGATTAACATCACAACCATCAATCAGTGCCATCTTGGCATCATTTGAGGGATCTATTAATACCGGATTATCTGAATCATTGGTTAGGGAGTTGGATACTTACTGGGCCCAAATGAGATTGCTCTATTCCTGTTTTGAAGCTGATTTGAAAGGGCCAGATCCAGAGGTTTACTCACACGAAATTCCTGGTGGCCAATTGACCAATTTATTATTCCAAGCTCAACAATTGGGATTGGGTGAAAAGTGGTTACAAACCAAAGAAACTTACAAAATTGCCAATAAGATTCTTGGCGATTTAGTTAAGGTCACGCCAACATCAAAAGTAGTGGGAGATTTAGCGCAGTTTATGGTGAGCAACTCATTAACTGAAGAAGATGTCAATCGTCTTGCTTCTGAATTGGATTTCCCAGACTCGGTTCTCGATTTCATGGAAGGACTCATGGGCAAACCCTATGGTGGGTTCCCTGAACCTTTGCGTACAAACATCTTGGGCAACAAGCGTCAAAAATTGGACAAGCGTCCCGGATTGTACTTGAAACCAGTTGATTTTGCCGCCATTAGAAAAGAATTGACTTCAAGGTACGGTTCCCAAATTGATGAAACGGACGTTGCTTCATATGTAATGTATCCAAAAGTTTTTGAAGCTTTTAGGAAACAAGTTGAAAAATACGGCGATTTAAGTGTATTGCCAACGAGGTTTTTCCTCAAGCCAGCAAATATTGGTGAAGAAATTGTCGTTGATATTGAAAAGGGTAAAACTTTGATTATTAAATTGTTGGCCGTGGGTGAAATTTCCGAAAAGACTGGTACTCGTGAAGTGTTTTTCGAATTGAATGGTGAAATGAGATCGGTTTCAGTTGAAGATAATACGGTGTCAGTGGAGACCAAAACTAGACCTAAAGCATCTGCTCCTAATGATGTTGGTGCGCCAATGGCTGGTGTTGTTATTGAAGTTAGAACCCACAAGCATCAAGAAGTCAAGAAGGGTGATCCCATTGCCGTCTTGTCTGCTATGAAGATGGAGATGGTTATTAGTGCTCCGGTTAGTGGTGTTGTGGATGATTTATTGGTGAGAGAAGGTGATTCCGTCGATGCTAATGATTTGATTACAAGTATCTTGAAAGCCTAGAGAAGAAGACGAAAGGAGTGGCGGAGTGTAATTATTTATCGTGATTAGTAATGCAATATAGATAACGTGAGTGAAAGAGTAGAAACGTAAAAGGTATAGAGACTATTTTATTTGCGATCTTCGATCAACGAATGGCGGAGATTCCTTCCATTCATTTTGTTTATCGCATCGGTCTTCGTTTTGCATTCGGAGTGGTACCTCCAGGTAATCCCAACTCGCGCCTTCTCTTATTAGCTTGCTCTTCAGCCGTACTCCGCTTCTCCTGTTTGGCCATAACTTCCTTCTCCAATCTTTTCTTCAATACCATGTTTTCCAGTTCATAATTCATCAATTTGCGTTGCAACAACTCGAGCTCAGCATCGTCATTCTTATCCAGTGCCTGAAAACTCAATGTATCTTGACTTTCAAACCCGTCATCTCTTCTGTCGTCATCCTCTTCGTCGTCATCATTTTCATCATCATCTTGTGGATGCCAGTCGGTATTGTTTAACATCTCATGAGTAAAACTTGCTTGCGAAATGATATCACTCCATTTGTTCATCATGATCAACGCATTGGTGGTTCCATTATTGAATTCAACCATGTTTGTTTTCACTGAATCAATTGCTGCAACAACTGATGTGAGTTTGGAGTTTATTGATCGTAGCTGTTTGAGTTCTTTCGTGAGGGCTGATTCTCGTGGTGTGAGCGGATCATTGGTCTGGCGAAATTGGTTTTGATTGGTGGCGCGGTGTAGCTGCAGTAATTGCTGCTGGGTAGAAGATGTGCTTGGCTTGGGCGTATTGTTTGACATGGGTACTGTCTCACTGGCGATTTGGGTAATGATTGTATAACTTCTTTCGCGTTGTTTTGATTTTGGTTTTGTGGTAGATTGTAGTACAGAGTCGTGCGCGTGCAGAAAACTTTCAATTTACGACAAACTGGAAAAGCTAAAGAATCAACCAAAGCTTTATCAAAACCTGACAAAACACAATCAATAATAAAATGGCTGAAATGGCAATAACTAACCAACAACAAGCCCAACTGCCATCCGCTCATGACGGTCGACTGCCTTCGAAAGAACAGCAAGAATACACTAATTTGATCAATTCACTTCCGACGCGATGGGAAATTGAACTTGAATTTGTTCAATCGTTAAGCAACATCCCTTACTTGAGCTACCTTGCTCAAAACAATTACCTCCAAGATCCGTGTTTTGTTAATTACTTAAAATACTTGCAGTACTGGAAAGACCCCCAGTATCTGCGATACTTGGTTTACCCTAATTGTTTACACATCTTGTCATTGTTACAACTGGAACAATTTAGACGAGATATAGCCAATCCTGAAATCATGAATGTGTTGATGAATGATATGGTGAAACGATGGCAAGAGAATGGAGATGGTGGTGAAGTGGGTGAAGAGCAAGAGAAGGAGAAGAGCGCTGCTAATAGCGGGAATGACGTCGAGGGTGCTATTGTAAATAAACAACTGAATGAAGTGAATGAGGCTGGGGGAAACAGCAAGCGAAATGCGTCCGAGGGAACTGTTGAGACTATTCAAGAGGAGAAAGAGGATACGGAGCAAAATGGTGATGCAGATGTGAAAGATGGAGACGGAGATATCAAGATCAACGATTAGATTTGTAGTTTGGGGCTTGATGAGCTATCCATAAAAGTGGGCAGGACATGTTGGCGTTAGGGGCCGGGAATGTTTGATGATTAGAGCTTGTTAGTTTTAAAGCTCAACGTGCTTAACCATGGACACTTTTTGTGGTAGGTCAGCTTCAGCTTGCATTCATTGGGGGTGATCATACCAGAGCGGTAAACAAAACATTTTAGGTTCATTAAGTAATGCAGGATGATAGGCTTTCAATTGTCAATGGTTGAATAGAGAGGAATGAAGTAAAAAGACATATTTGTATATCTTAAAAAGCAAAGACTAACCAGAAAGATGACGAGGATGAAAAATGGTGATTCGGACATTGGCTATACACGACTGCTAGTTACACCCCAATGGCGCAGTATGTATACACTGGCATTTCTTTACTATTGATTAATACAATTACCTGAGTAATGCAAGCTAACCGTAAATTGGGCTACAAGAGAATGACAGTTGGAAATGAGTGCAAATTGGTACCAACAGATGTCGATACCTCATTATTGGCTCAAGCCTTGAGAGAGGTTTAATTTGTCCCTGCACCAGCAAAACTACCTATAAATGCAATTGGCTTTTGTAAGTATGTCTACTCACATTCTCTTGCATCAAATATCGTGAAATACTTCATATTCTTTTTTTTTTTTTAAGACCGAGCTAGTTTTTTCGGTGTTTGGAATTTAGACGACAATGACTTAGCTTCAAAAATATGCTCACAAGTGTAAGAAGGGCATTCTTAATTATAGTTGGGGCCGTATAGTAGTAATCACATCAACACTGTATCCGTTACTAAACGCTACAAAGTTGAAAACGGAGAGTCAATATTAAGTCCGAATTTGAAAAAGTTATCCGCTATTGTTTTCGGATTTTTTCTTTTTTTATTTTTTTCTTTGGCGGCTTTAATTCCGAATCACTTTCTTACTAATATCATTCTAAAAATAACGCAAGTTTATTTTTAACATGAGATCTCTAGTAGGAGAATAGGAAAGTTTAAGGCGTTGTGTCAAAAATCTGATGTGTTTTTGGAAGGCTTGGCTGAGTAAGATTGTTGTAAATCTGATGGTACTTTTGCTTTTGTTCTGGCTGTTTCTATTCAACCAGGTTGCGGGATTGGAGATCGTAATGTAAACCCGCGGAGTTTCTCAAATTGAAAGAACCTCTCTTGTGTCATTCTTTATGTAGTAGTAAGTAACCGACATACCCAGAGGTACGATAATAACACGAGAATACGATGCTGGCTGTAACCTTTTTTTTGGTTGAGTTTTCTTTTTCGAAGTAACACAAATAATTGTACTGGATGCTAAACAGCTTTCTAACGTGATTTCGAAATAAGCTTATTGTTTCTGGTTATTGTATCAAGCGCGTGTACTTCAGTGTTTAAAAGCAAATTGTTAATCGGTTCATAAGTGTGTAAAAACTCGTGTAACATACATTAAAATTTTTTCTTCTTTGTTCATGTTGCATCATGATGATTTTGTGCTTCTGCGCTATTTTTAAACTTTTAGAGGCAAAGTCGGATATAAACTCTGAACCTGTAATACATATACACAGAAGTACCTTCTTCCACCCGATCTTGCATGAGGAAAAATTATGGTTATGCAGCTGTCTTTTCATATCGTAAGGAGTTACGAATAACGCAATGTGCTTAGTTCACAGGGGGTGGGATTAAAATAGTGTATATTTAGCAGATTATGTAAACAAGAAAAAGGTGGGTTTCAACCAGCACAGTGAGTGCAACTGCAGTTAACGTAAACAAAAAGAATTGCTTCAGTTCAAAGAAAGAGTAATCCAGTTGCTGTTTTCAGAATCAAAGTTTGGGTGATATGTAAAGCAAACATGAAGTGGATTTTTCCCGGACCTGCCGTTGCTCTAGGTAAGAATTGCAGCTCACCTATTGTGTGTGGTCGGGAGTGAATCGTACCACCAAAAACGCGCCATGTTTGTAGTGAATACGACTCGAAAACGTCTGCGTAAACGATCGCATGCAAGGAGTTCAAGACTTAGAGTAACGCTTGCTTTGTTGCTCGAAATGCTACAAAGTAAAGTAAACACTGCGCCTTCATCGTCAAAATATCCCACTATGAGCAGGGTAAGATAAATCGTTTTGAGGCTGAAGAGGGAGAGGCTCTTGTTTTCATGGTTTATTTATAGGTTCATGTGGAGGAAAAAAACAAACCCGATTGCGGATGTTTCTTTATACCTTCTGTTTTGTATTTTCATCTACAACTGTAGCATAATTCTTTACTATATAATGCTACTAGCTTAACAACAAAGAAAGGTACTATAGAAAGTGAGTGGGTATTATGGTTATGAGAGTATGGGTATGAGTATGAGTGGCTATGTATGTGGGTTGTATATTAGTCGTGTGCTTTTTACAGTTTTACTGTTTTGTGGTATATACTACTACTTACACAGAAACGTATACAACATACACTGTCATTCTCCTATTTGTGTATATTAGTAATGAGCTAAAGGTCATACATTAATAACACATTATACATTAAACACAACTACTACTGTTACTACTAACTGCTACAACACGTACTGTGAAACCCCCTTTGATCAGTTTTTTTTTTTAGAACAATAAACGATCGATCTCTAACTCTTTTCGTACCTCTTACTGTAGTTTTGTATAAAAGTAAACTCATTCCCTCAAGACTTGTCTTTAGTACTGAATACTACTTTCTTTCTTTTTGGGGTATACTATTATACGACAGCATTACCATACTTCATTACTCCTACTTACCAGATCTCGACATATAGATCTACTCACACACATATACAATATTAAACATTATATAATATTCCTCGGATAAATTTTACTGTCACTTGTTACAAAAGGGGGGTTACATCATCCATCATTATTAAATTTCTTTTCTTTTTTTTTTTTTTGGTTGCACCCTTGGCCTTGAATTTTACAGCAACTATAAAGAAAGACAACCTAAAGAACTAACGAAGTCTTAAATATACATCTTACATTTCTTTTGAACCCCAGCAGTGGATGAAACTATAGTAACATACTTTACTGATTGACCTTTACAAACCAACCACAAACTAACTACAACAACTCACTCTACCCACTATCACCCATTTTTTTTTGACAGCTACCAGTCTACAGTTGAAAAAATGGCTCAAAAGAAGATGAAGCTACCACAAACGGCTGAAGATGAAGAAGCTACCATTGTTACACCTGCTCCCGCAAAGAATGAAGGTAATAGCAAGAACAAGAAGGAAAACAACAATAAGAAAGAGAATAACAACAAGAAGGAGAACAAGGAGGACAGCAATGACGCTAATAACGATGACAACCATAACGAACCCACTTCAATTGACCACAATACGACTACTACCACTAGCAAAAGGCTACGCATGAACCTTTCGAAGCCCAAACTACGGTGGGTTGTACATCCTTTAGCTATTGTACTATATTCCTTCATATTAAACTTGACAGACATTATACTATACACCAAACTCACAAAGGGGTATCATTTGGCCAATTTCATCCCCATCTCATGCTTGTGTTGTGATGCATTCATTTTTGTTATTGTTGTTTATGAACAACATCCAAACATCATCAAACTCAATCGTCGTTGGTCCAAGAATTTGTATTGGTTTATTGACAAGATTTTGAAAAAGGCAGTTTGGCTTTTCCTTCTTGTTATGTGCATTTTAAATGTTGTACGATTATCACTGGGCAAAATATCAAATCCATTGGATCTCAATCAAACTGTTGTTCAGAATTTACATTTAACTAGTAGTCAAAGAATTGCCTATTTGGTTATCAGTTTGTTTAGCTTATTATTCAATTGTGCATTGTTGGGTATTTGGTGGTCTACTAGCATTTCATCAGTTTACTTGCTATTTGCATGCATCAATTTTATTCAAATATTGATTAGCATTTCCATTATTCAAATCAATATTGACTTGATCAATGTTTCATACGATCGGTTTGCCAAAAGAATGCACAATTTGTTTATTCTTAGTAGTGCATTTGTCATTGGTCAGAGTATAATGGGGGAGACAATAACATTGTTGGTTAATGACAAGAATAGATTGAGTCCTTTAATTGGAAGGTTGATTTTTGCATATGACTTGTTGATTTGTTTCCTTGGGTTATTGTACATTGCATGTACTGCAATTGCCAGTGTCAAGTTTGATTACAAGCCAATGGAAAATCTTAATGAAGTTCCAGTTAGTGTACCCATTTTGTTTGGATGTGGGTTGGGACTTATGATTTTGGAATTTTTATGCACTAGATATTTTAGGTTAAGGACCATGACTACTCACTATGAAGTTGAAGAGTATGACTTATGTGGATTAACACCACACCAAAAACACGGATGGAGTAAGTTGATTGACTTGAATAAAAAATACAATGCTGGTATTTCGGGTGATTACGTTATCTCGCTTATGGAAAACTATGTGCATGCTGATTTACCAGGTATGAAGTGTAAAGTGTTGCGTGTTTTCAACAAGAGTGAAAAGACATTACAACAACAGGAGCAACAACAAACTCCACACTCTCAACGCCAATCAACATCGAATGAAAAGCAAAATGAAAAAAGTCACAATATCGGACTATTCCAAAACAAGACTCGAGACACTGACTCGACTAAATTAACCCACATGACTGATGAAAAGGGTGACAAGAGGAAAATGTATCGAGCATTTGATGAATTAGATCAAGACTCATTATTGTTCATGAATGCTCCCACGCTTTTTAGCAGTGATGATTCAATTCACGATTTGGAAGAGCAATTCAAACCATTGAGTAAAAATCAATTGAAAAAATTGGCTAAAAAGAATAAGAAGGACAAGGCAGCATTGGAATTACAAGCATTGGAAAACAATACGGAAGAATTTTACCAAGAGTTGATGAATACTCAAGCACTTGTATTGTTGACAATTGTTGAAGAGTTTGATTTGAGTGAACGTATCCCTGGTTGGATTGGTAAAAAGATGAACAAGTGGTTCGGTAAGAATTCAAGATTCCCCATCTTGTGTATTAAGTTTGGTTTATTGGGATTCCATTGGCCATTTAAGAGATCTACTTTTTATTGTTCATCCACGAAGAAGCCCATTGCTAGAAGTGCCAGTGTACTTTATGCCATCTCAGAATGGAACAAGACCAACGAAAAATGTACTGTATTATTGGATCCTATCTATAAGGATGCTACATTCGAAGCTGGTGTTGATTATTCTGGTTGGGTTAAAATTAATTTACCTAGTAGTCATATCATTGACTTGCGTCCATTCCACAATCAAACCAGTACTGAATATTTCAAAGCGATTAAGTACAGAAATCAAGATAATGCATTCAAACAAGCCAAGGGACAAGTTATTGAGTCAAACACTTTCAATTTTGAAAATTGTCAGGAAATTATTGTCATGAATAACCACATTGCCAATAATCGTCAACTGAATGGACAATCATCACAATTGCTCCACCCTGACTGGGAATTTATTTACAATTTGGGCAACTACTCGAACGAAAAGAAATATCGATCATTACTTTTCCTTAAAGTTGATGATGAAATTATTGCCTCGTGTGTTATTTTCCGGTTGGGTGAAACCATGACTTCAGATATACAAGGTTTAAACCATGAAATTAGCAAGAAATACAAGGCATATTTTGTCATGATGCAAGAAGTTATCAAGATGGGATTACGCGAAAATGTATCATTTATTGATTTTGGCCCCACTACTGAAGATGCTAAAGTAGCTATTGGATGTAGTGTTGTGCCTTTGATGGGATCGATTTATCCAAAGAGTAAATTTATGGGTCCTATTATCAAGTTTGCTGCTAGTAAAGTAGATGTATAGATTGGAATTTATAATTGTGATAGAGAAGAAATCTGAAATATAGTAATGGAGATTCTCTATTCATCGGTTGCAAAAGGTTGGCACAAGCGCTACCTTTCCTCGGCTAAAACTCATTCTTTTTTTTTGCTTTTTTAAATGAATGCGTGGCAAATGGAGATGAAAATTTCACCAAACAAAGTTAATCCGATCTAAACTGTTTTATCAAAGGATCATGTCAGCGCTGGCCTCTTCACTGGTTCCATCAGCGTCCATATATGATAAACATGAACAACAAGTAACCATCAAAATAAATCAATTACGCCACATACTCCGCCAACGTTTCCACCTCACTTTAAATGAATTTATATTCTTATCATCATTCATATTCAACTTCTTACTTTCGCGATTAATTCATTATACTTCGCCACAGGAGGAAGTTTACAACTACTACAATAATAAGCATAATTTTTTCAATACGGTGTTTGTGAAGCGTGGTTGGGGATGGACAACTTTGATCATCATTGTGTTTTACGCTGTCATTGTCATGCCTAAGTTATACAGCAACAAGAACGATACCACGTCGATTCAACAGCAACAGAAAATTGAGTTTTTAATCAAAGCAGTAGTGAGATACGCAATAGCTACATTCTGGTGGATCTTATTCACCCAATGGTGTTTCGGGTTACCAATAATGGATAAGATCTTTGTCCTTACAGGTGGTGTATGTGTCTTGGAGCCACACCCAACAACACAAACAACTCCACCACTGACTATAGCCAACCATGCGTTGGGGCAACTGTTTTTACAAGATTTAGAAACGTTGGTTTGGAAAAGCAAAGATGTATCATCGTACCATTGTCGGAAATTCAAAGGATCGTGGTTGGGCGGATACGATCCTAGTGGGCATGTATTTTTAATGATTCATTCGTCGATTTATTTGTATTTCGAAACTGCTGCATGGTTTAACTGGACCGATGTGAGAGGTGCTCTTTACTCAATCAAACAAAGTTTACGTGATAGGAGGTATTTGGAATCTCACATATGGCAATTGGTGTATGGTATAGTTCAGTTGCTGTTGGTGGGGTTAGTTGCATTATGGTGGTTCATGTTGTTGATGACAAATGTGTATTTCCATTCTATTGTCGAAAAGTTGTCTGGTTTGGTGTTTGGATATTTTGGAGTCATTGTGGTTTATGTGTTGCCGAGATGGATCAAGTAAACTGGAGAGTGATGGCATATGCAAAAAAGAAGCGGTAATTGTTTATTTACATAGAAAGATTAATGATACTAATTGATTCCGAGTTTGAAAAGGGAGGAGGGTGGGCCAGATGGGGATACAAGATGAGTAGACGATGCTCAGCTTCATAATCAGGTGATATGACTCTTCAACGAGTGTTAAGCCGTGAAGCTCATCCCGGCAATTGGTCTCCCGAGTCAAGGCAAGCTCGAGCAGACCTATTGAAGCGAACAGTAGAAGCATAGGATGCGAAAGCGACCGATTTAGCGGAATCAGCGACTGTGGCTCCATGAATTCAGTCTGCGCATAAAGCGTAACCGTGCCCTTCCTCACTATTGTTTGGCATATATGGCTAACAATACAAGGCATTTTGCGTTTATGGAAAACTGTGGCTATACCATATATTATTTTTGTGACATATTATTGTTACGAATGGCACCAATTTCTGTTAGATGTCAATTCGAACACAAAGTATCTCTTAGACACATTTAATTACGAGACCCAATTTTGATAATGATTGTGGTTTGGGAAATCACTCTATTGTTTCTTGAAAAGGGTGATTCACGTGAGATGAGGAAGCAATCCATCACGCAAAAAACGGCGTTTAGGACCTGGGAGTGGTAAAATTAGGGGTTTCAATTTGTATAGTACGGAGATTACAAATCATTTAATCATCCCTAGTTGATGCTATATAAATGGAATTTGTCCACACTCATTTGCTAAGGTGATCAGATGGTTGGTACTTTTCGCCAAGGAAAGTATAATCATGAGTAAAGATCTGGATCTTGAAATCACACAAAAAGTATCGGAGGTAGATCATACCTACGACCAAGCTAAAAATTCATCGTCAGAAATTGATGTTGAATCAGCAACCAGCAGGGAGTCATTACTAGAGCCGGATGTGGCTGAACTACCCAAAGTTGTTCGTGAGATTGTGCCATTGGAGGATGATCCGACCATACCAGTATTGACATTCAGATACTTTATATTGTCGATTATATTCATTGTCCCTGGTGCATTCATAGACACCATGAATTCATTTAGAACGACATCAGCAGCGTACTCCATCTTTTTTGTTCAACTTGCTAGTCATTGGGTTGGGAAATGGCTAGCTAAAGTGTTACCTGATAAAAAAGTTGGTTTTGGTCGATTTCGGTTTGGTTTGAACCCAGGACCATGGTCCATTAAAGAAACTGCCATGATTACCATAACTGCAAGTTCGGGAGCCACTGGGTCTCAGGGCATCAATTGTTTGGCATTGGCTGAGATCTATTATGGAGAGACTGTCAATGCAGCAGTGGCAATTTTTTTCATGTGGACAATTGTTTATGTTGGTTACTCTTATGCTGCCATTGCTAGGAATTTCCTACTTTATGATCCACAATTCATATGGCCACAGGCATTGGTGCAAACAACCTTGTTCCAAACACAAAGCAAATCTGACAGTGATTCCAAACAAGGGTCCAAACAAATGAGGGTTTTCTTCTTTGTATTGATTGGGGTTTGTATTTGGCATTTCTTTCCTGAATATATTTGGCCCATGACTTCATCGTTGGCATTTTTGTGCTGGGTGGCACCAGAGAATTATACAGCAAATTTCATTGGATCCGGTTTAGGTGGGATGGGATTCATGAATATTACCCTAGATTGGTCTAATATCACTTCATCAATTATGTTGTATCCTTATTGGGTGCAAGTGATTCAGTTTCTCGCATTCATCCTTAGTGCTTGGATCTTGATTCCTCTGGTGAAATGGGGTAGCTTGTCAAATTACAAGTTTGGATTAATGTCAAATAGTTTATTTTTGGCCAATGGAACAAAATATCCCACGACAGAATTATTGACTCCTGATTTGCAATTAAATGTCACTAGGTATGAAGAATTGGGTCATGTGCACTTGGGTGCTCAAAGGGCATGGAACATGTTTTTCGATTACGCTGCTTATGTTTCTGGATTCACATGGGTCGTTGTATTTGGCTACAAGAGCTTATCTACATCATTTAAAAAATTGGTTGCTTGTAGAAGGGAAAAGGGGTCATTGAGTTTACAATACACTGATCGGTTGAATAAACTTCAAAGTGCTTACAAGGAAGTTCCCTTGTATTGGTACGTCGTCTTATTCGTCGCTTCTTTTGTCACATTATTGGTGATTCTCGCCACAAACAGTTTATTTATGCCCTGGTGGTGTTTGATTGTTGGATTGGCTTTCGGTCTGATTATCGTTACCCCGCTTGCTTGGTTGTACGCATTATCCAATTTTCAACTTGCCATTGGTACTTTCAATGAGTTGTTGTACGGGTATATGATTCAAAGCAAAAGTCTGAGACATCCTGCTGGAGCAACTGTTTATGGTGCTATTGCTGGAGATGCATGGTACCGAGCCCAATACATTTTGCAAGATCAAAAAATTGGACATTATATGCACTTGCCGCCAAAAGCAGTGTTTTTCTCACAAATATTTGGTGAATTGATTGGTGTTCCTATCAATTATGCAGCATTGAGATGGGTTTTGTCGTCAAAGAAGGATTTTCTAAATGGAACCAAGGTTGATACACTTCATCAATGGACTGGTCAACAAATTGTATCATACAACACCAATGCTATTCAGTACGTTGTTCTCGGTCCTACTAGGTTATTCAAGAATTACCAAGTACTACCTTATGGGTTCTTAGTTGGTGCATTGGCACCTGTGGCTATCTATGCACTCTACAAATTGTTTCCCAAATCAAAGCTAAAGTTCAATTTGTGGAACACCACGGTGTTTTTTTCCACAATGTCATCATTTTACGGAAACATTTCTACGGGGCCATTTTCGCAATTTGTTGGTGGTACTATTACAATGTTTTATGCATACAGGTACAAGCATAATTTGTGGAAAAAGTACAATTACTTGTTGGCAGCCGCCATTGACACAGGTTACAACTTGGCCATTTTGTTGATTTTCATTATATTTGCATCAGGAAAAACGATAACAATGCCCAATTGGTGGGGCAATAACGAACAAAGTGTCGAAAGGTGCTTTGCGTTAGCCAAAGCGTCATCTTAGATACATAGGTAATTGGATTTAATAGTGTTGATTTATCACTTGTTTTGATTTTTGCAACCAAATTCTGTTCCTCCTCTTCGCATTATCAAAAAAGAAACAAAATGCACGAAGGAGATTATCAAAGTAAGCTAGAGTACACACGTTACAAGAGAGACCGTTCATTGGGATTGCTTTGGAGAATCTGCGGAACATTTTTCGATGCATGTTTGGCATTGGTGGTGTTACTACTTTTTACTTCATGTACTCCGCTACATCCAAATGGACCAAACATGATTGAGATCAAGATTAAAGCTGATTCTGAATTTGCCAAAAACACTTTAGAGTTGATTCAACAATCACTCAAGTTTGCCACTTACTTGTCCAATGATTTAAGCTCCGTTGTCAATCTATCCACCACCACCACCAGTGATTCCATCTTACAACAATTGGACACATTGTATAACGGAAACGCATACCAATTGAATCCATTTGGATATTGTCGACAGGACCAAATGGGGAAAAAAGTGGGATGTTACTACAGTGATGGGCTAAATTTGATTGTGTGTTTACTACAGGATGTTGGGTTCCAACTACGTAGCATAACTTCCAGTGATGATGAAATTGAAAACCAATTCGTAAAATTGTATTACAATGCCATCAATCAAGCATGTTCATACAGAGCAACAACAACATTTCCCTGTGTACTTCAACTTTACAATGCGTATGGAAAACTAGTCAAGTGGCTTGCTATTGCTGGGATATGTTTACCTACATTATTATTTGTCATTAGTGTGCTTGACTTGATCTTGTATGCATTTTTGGGGATACTGTCAAGTTTCCTTCGTCGTGTACGCTTAGGAACATTGACAACTTGTGGTATTTGTTTAAACTTGGTATATGTTTTCACCTATGTCACATGGACTCATATTGGATTGTTGGTGAAACAGTACGAAATGGGTACAGTTGTGATTCAAAAGGAAAATTGGATTACGGTGAATATCCTTATTGTTGCATGTGGTATAGCTCTCGTGTGTCAATGTTGCTACAAAAGAAGATAGCTTACTTCATATATATTACTTTATCCAACTATTTAATTACCATACACCTTCTTAAAAGCTTGGTCGAAATCATCAATGATATCGTCTATAAACTCTGTACCAATGGATACCCTGATCAACCCTTTGGATACACCAGATGCCTTTTTCTCCTCTTCGTCCAACTGTTGATGAGTAGTAAAATATGGTGCAATTACCAATGTCTTGGAATCTCCAACATTTGCCAAGTTGGAAGCGATTTTCAAATTGTCAACAACTCTTGGTGAAGCTTCTTGGAATGGATCTGATGAGTTGGATTCAATTTCCTTCACGGTGAATGATAAGGCACCTCCAAAGAATTTAGCATTATTGTTAAAGTACTTTTTAGCCAATTCGTGAGATTCATGAGATGGCAAACCAACATAGGATACTGAATCAACATGTGGGTTCAGTTCCAACCATTTAGCTAATTTCAATGCATTCTCACTTTGTCTTTCAACTCTTAAACTCAACGTCTCTAAACCTTGTAAAAGCAAGAATGACCCAAAAGGATTTAAAGCTGGACCCAAATCACGCAACAATTCGATTCTCAAGTGTCCAATATATGCACCTTCTTTCAAAGCATCATTTAAAATCAATCCATGGTAACCCTCAGAAGGTTGGGAAAATTGTGGGAATTTTTGAGGATACTTTGTCCACGGGAATTTACCCGAGTCGACAACAACACCGGCAATGGTTGTACCATGTCCACCTATCCACTTGGTAGCTGAATGAACAACAATATCAGCACCGTGCTTAATTGGATTCACCAAAAACCCACCAGCACCAAAAGTATTGTCAACAACAACAGGAATACCCTTGTCATGAGCCAATTTAACAATCTTTTCAAAATCAGGAACATTGTATTTTGGGTTCCCGATACTTTCCAAGTAAACGGCTTTGGTCTTGTCGTCAATCAATTTAGCAAAATCATCAACTTTATCACCATTGACAAATCTTGTTTCAATGCCAAATCTCTTGAATGCAACTTTGAATTGGTTGTAAGTACCTCCATACAAGTATGATGTACTGACAATATTGTCACCAGAATGAGCCAAACCAGCAATAGCCAACAATTGAGCAGCTTGTCCTGATGAAGTGGCCAATGCACCAATACCTCCTTCAAGAGCAGCAATTCTTTGTTCGAAAACATCGTTTGTGGGGTTCATAATTCTCGAGTAGATGTAACCAGGAGTTTCCAATCCGAACAATTGAGCACCATGTTTGGAATCGTTGAAAACGTATGAACTGGTGGCATAGATTGGTGGTGCTCTAGCATTGTATGGTTGATCAACTGGTTGACCAGCGTGTAATTGAAGTGTATCAAAATGAGATGGCATGGGGGGAAAGGAGTGTGTGTTTGTCGAGTGTAACTTGTTAGGTATAAAAAAGTGTTTTTGGTTCTTTTTACAATTGGGTAATTTCGGTGGGTTATTATATATATATATATATATATATATACCAGTATGTATCTGAATGGGTTAATTTGTTGTGTAAAAAAACTGTGGTTCAATGTGTAAAAAAGAATCGTACACAAAAAAGATGAAGAGATTTTAGTAGTTGGTCTCATTGCACGTGACAAGACTGAAAAACAGTACCGGTTGATAATAATGATCACCAAACTAGATTCAATGAAAATAGAAAAGTTATTGCCATTAAGCTTTAAAGCGTATGTGATAAAAGAAAGAGTTATTTTTCGACAAGGGAATTCTATGTCGAGATTGGATTAGTCGAGGTAGATGATTCAACTGATAACCATCTAAAAGAAGTTTCTCTTGGATTTTAGTGATACATTATGAATTACTCTCCCCAAGTTGTCTTGGCAATCCTCTTAACCCAATCTATATCAAGTGCTTGAATGGTTTGCAACATTCGATATCAAAGAACAGTGCAAGAATGTGTTCTGACTTCATCTCGGACCGTTATCTCAGTTTTGTGTAACGTCATCTATTGTTGTACGAGCTGTCCCAATTAGGCATTTTCAGTAACAAAAGAATATACAGTAAACAGTACAAGAGGTTTTCTATAAATCACAATTGCAAAATTATAATTTGCCACTGTCGCCACTCACTACCACATCCCCATGCCCGGAAAACAAGTGTATCAGTGTAGTGGTACCACTCAAAAGGGAGAGCGTTGTAAACGAACTGTCAAGGTTGATCATGGATTTTGTTCGTATCATATATCTCAAGCCAGCACATTATCAAAACACGATAACCATAAAATACAACAAGCGTTGGAACCAAGCGGCAGGAAGACGGTGAAGGAAACTAGGCCACCAAAAAGAGCGGGTGAATCCAACTTCACCCGTGACCTGTTCACCATCCCTGGTCAATTCGAAACCCCAAGATCAAACAGACACAAGCACATAAAGACCAGAACGCCTACGGCACCCAAAGGGCATACACCTCAACCAAACCGTCCACAAACCATTAATTATGACACTTTTGCTGATAGTAAGACCTACTTTGATAAAGCCGTAGGTGAGGGTTACATCTATATCTACACGATGCAAAATTTCCTTGACCCACCAAAAGGCTGGACTTTCAAAGTTAAAAATATCCCAAACACATCGCCCAGAAAGAAAGACAAGTGGATCAAATTCAAAAGTCGAAGGTCACCTTATATATTGGTCAAGATTGGCATGACTACTCAATCACCAAACGTTCGTATCAAACAATGGGAAAACAAATGCAAACATAAACTTGTTAATCTTGGTCCACAAAATAAACATCTTGTTGAACCTCATTTACATTGGTGGCAAAAATTCTTGTGTGTGAGCAAATATGATGATGATGATGATAAGTGGATGAAATTGACGCAATTTAAAAAGGATGGATTCTATTGTAAAGAGAATGTGGGTGTTGTTGAAACTACGATCCATCAACTATTAAGAAAGAAATATGGTAGGGGTGATGTGTATTGCAGTGGGTGTATTGCCGATGAAGCATTGATAAAGAACAAGGAAAAAGACAAAGTGCCGTTACAAAATAATTACAATGTACATGTCGAATGGTTTTTGATTCCAAAAGAAGATCTACAATACGTATACATGAAAATTGATCACATATGTAGAGATGCCTTCAGTGGGAGAGTAATGAAAAATTTAAACTTTTAAACTTCAAATTTTAAAAATGTAATACAAAAGGCAATACAGAAAGGTACATATGATTTATGTGTTCATGTAGGTTGATGGATCAACACCTTCTTCTGGGAATTCAGTAATCTTGACATCAAATCTACTTTGGATCTTTTCCAAAACTTCTTCATCCTCTTTTGAAGAAACAAATGAGATACCCAAACCTTTGGTACCGAACCTACCAGCTCTACCAACTCTGTGCAAATACTGATCGGCTTCATTTGGCAAATCGTAGTTGATTGCCAAATTGATTCTTTCAATATCAATACCTCTACCGAAAACATCGGTTGAAACACAGATTCTCTTGTTGAACTCCTTAAATGATCTGTATCTTTCAATTCTTTCCTCTTGTGGGATACCAGAATGAACTGCAATTGAAGGGAAATTGCATGCACACAACAATTTATTCAATTCGTTAGCTCTTTGAGTGGACTTGACAAAAATAATAACTTGGTTGAATTCCAATGAATCCAACAAATCTGACAATTTTCTGTTTTTCTCCTTTTCTTCTAACTTGATGTAGTATTGTTGCAAACCATGCAATGTCAATTTGGCTTCATCATCAACATAAATCTCCAATGGATTTTGCATAAATTTTTTACACACTGGACGGATATCTTGAGACAAGGTGGCTGAAAACATCATAACTTGTTTTTGATGTGGTGTAGCACGGAAGATATCTTGAACATCTCTTCTCATATCAATGGCTTCCAAGACCTTGTCACACTCATCAATGACGAATGACTTGACATTATTCAATCTGATAGCCTTGTCTTGGACCAAAGCGTGCAATCTACCTGGAGTGGCAACAACAATGTGTGGACAAGTATCCTTGTTTTTCAATTTTTCAATATCTCTCTTGATTGGTGTACCTCCGTAAAATACTTCAGTCTTGACATCTGGCATGTATTTGGAGAATCTTGCATACTCATTCTTGATTTGATAGGCCAATTCTCTTGTGTGACAAATGACCAAGGTAGAAATTTCACCTGGAACTGGGTCCAATTGTTGCAAAGTTGACAAAACAAAAACTGCAGTCTTACCTAAACCGGATTTAGCTTGGCACAAGACATCGGTACCCAAAATGGATTGAGGAATACAAACTTGTTGAACTTGAATTTTAATGTTAGTTGATTGTTCTGGGGAAGTAATTGAAGGACATAAATTTCTTGAGATGGACCAAGGGCCAATCCAGGTTAATGACATAACCTAGGGCGAACAACAGACGTATGCTGTTCCAAGTAAAAAGATTGCATTAAGCAATCACCATGTCGACGGAGACAATTTAATCCGCTTCAATGATCAAACATATGCATGAATGTTTTTCCTCAACCGAAGTCAACATCAAAAGAAATATTTGTCGCTTCAAAACTTATAATAAATTCTCAATTACAAACCTTCTGACGGGTGTTCAAAACCACAATCTCCAATAGCTCTCAACAACTCTGGCTTCAATAAAAAGTCTCTGAAACCAGTGGCGTGAATACCAACATAAGAACCTTTTTTATCAGCTTCTTTGTCATTGGTGGCTTCGCCTTCGCCACCAGCTTGGGTAGTAGTTGGAACTGCAATTTCTTCAGAGTCAGAATAGTCTAACAATTCTTCTTGACCTTCGTGAGACATGTTTATGAGATGTATTGAGGTGTGTGAGTTAGTGATAAAGTTGATATCAAACAACTGTTTTTAAAAATGCGTGTCAATTCTGGTGCTGGGTTTTGTCGTTGTTGTTGAAATTTTTCACAAGGTCGTGCAAGTAGGTCCAGAATATGGAACACACACCCATCGCACTGTGTTTGATTCCAAGTGTGGCAATTTCATACTGTTGAACATACTTTGAACAGATATATCACACACAAGGGACAACAAAATGTTTAGAGCAGGCATCAGAATTAGACCACATTCTCATGTAGTGAGCAACGTTAATAGGAGGGCATTTACCTACACCACTCCAAAGTTCTTTTTCGACAAAGCTCCCTCACCTGAGCAACAAGAGCAAGCATTCAACAAAGTGAAGAAAATAATGTCAGAAAACCCTGAGTTGATGCAATTGACGGTTGAGTTCAAAGAGTTATTAAGTAAAAAGGGTCTCTTATCCACGGGGAAACCATCCATTTCACAAATGATGAAATTATTGGCTGATAAGGAAGTAAGGGAGCATGGTGCCAAGTTGAAAAATTTCCTAGACTCGAAAGAAACTGGATTGACCCAAGAGGAGTTGGCAACTTTAACTGGTGCTTACATGTTCCAAAATAAAGATCTCAAATGAGAGTAAATTGTATATAGATGTAACAAAACATTGTGCACTACCACCTACTCTTTTACTTTTTTGCAAAAGATGCTGAAATGTTTGCAGCTTCTTCGATACCTCTCGCAATGGTGCTTCTCAATGCACCATCCTCCATCTTCAATAGCCCACCAATGGTTGTTCCTCCTGGAGTACACACTTTACTCTTTAATGCAGCCGGGTGATCTCCAGTCTCAATCAACATCTTTGCTGTTCCTTCCATCACTTTGGCAGCAGAAAGTCTTGCCACATCATATGACATACCCATTCTCACTGCTCCATCAATCATTGATTCCATCATTAATAAGCAAAATGCTGGACCGGACCCAATCAACGAAGTAGCAATATCCATATTCTTCTCCGGGATAGTAACGGTCAATCCAATAGGCTCAATCAATTTATTGACAAGGTCTTGCTGTTCTTTTGTTACCGCTGGAGCAAACGAAATAGCAGCAGTTCCACATCCATACCTGGCTGGAGTGTTTGTCATTACCTTGGCTACGTATTTGGAAAAGATGGACAATTCCTTTATAGTGACACCGGCCATCAATGAAATTATAAGCTGGTCACCAGTGAGTGAATCTTTGACTTGCTCATACACCTCCTCGTACATAAAAGGCTTGAGTCCCAAAATGATGACGTCAGCCTCCTTTACAGCCTTGCGATTATCTTCGACGCAGGATGATAATTGAACAATTGGCTCATCACCAAATTGCTTTGCTAATGTTTCTGGTTCTGCAGTACAGAGAAACATTTTCTTGGGGTAAGGTTCAAACTTTGATTTCAAGATTGCCGAGGTGATGGCAGAACCCATAACACCACATCCTAAAACAGTAATTGTATAGTCTTTCATGGTGGAGGCTTGAGGTTGTGTATCAGTAAAGAGTTTGTAGTTGAAAGTTCGTTGTCGTAGAGAAAGGAACTTCCTTTACTCTCATCATTGAAAAGCTGAAAAATTTCGACACATAGCAGGAGCGGGCGGTGGGATATGTGAAGAATTACACAAAGAAAGCCTTTCCTCTTTTTTTTTTGATATCCCGCTCTCGTCGCCTTTCGCTTGATCTTTCTGTTTTGGGGACTCTACGTACAAAAAGACAAAATAATCAGTCGATTCTTCTAGCGATAACACTACAATTGCAAAACACAAGCAAGTTGGAGCCATAGTCTTAGGCAGAAGTCTTGCTAATCAAACGAGGCTTCGTAGCTACAACTCGCTAACTAAAAACCTTTTTTAATCTCACTCATCATCAAATCCTCCCCTCCCTCGCCCCTTGTGCTTTTAACAAAAGCAAGGAAAGTTTGAAAAAAAAAAAATTAAAAATCAATAGTGAGCAAAAAAAAACAGAGAGAAGGAAAAGATATTTCCAGAGAAACGTTGCAAAAATCAGACACTGATTAGAACGAGTGGTGTGTTTTCAGAGCATACAATTTTTTGTACCACACGTTACTTTGTTAGCTGCAGATTTATGGTCGCTTAGACTGTGCAATTTCACTGATACCCATTTTGTGAAGATTTATTTGATTCAATATGTCAAAATTTGATAAAAACTTGTTGACTCCGTGCCCGGTTTTGCGTCCCACTGAGACTGAGTTTATGGATCCCATTGGGTATTTATCTAGTGGGCCCATATCGGAATTGGGTAGAAAGTATGGTATTGTCAAGATAGTTCCTCCAGAGAGTTGGAAACCTAGTTTTCAAATTTCCCACTCTTTCAAGTTTCACGTGAGACAGCAAGTCATTAGTGACTTGGGAATTACAACAAGGTCAAGAAAATTCTTTAGAGAGAGCATCAATAGGTTTTTGAATATGAGAAGAAAACGGTTATTAAAGCTAAGTTTCAAGGTTGATGGGCATAAAGTATACTATTACGATTTATATGTTTTGGTGGAAAAATTGGGAGGTTTCCAGGAAATGGATAAATCCAAATGGCAAGAAGTTAACCAATCTTTTGGAGTTGATTTGAAATCACGGGCTATCGAGATGGAATACAATGCAACCATCAAGTACTATGCAAATTTTTTAAAATGCAACACATTTACTGATTTTCCCGACAGTGACTCAGATAGTGAGTCTGAAAACTGTTTGATATGTGGTGACAATGATAGCCCACAAGAGACTCTACTTTGTGACAACTGTGACCATGCATTCCACATGAAATGTCTAAGTCCACCTTTGACTCAAATCCCCGCAACAAATTGGTATTGCGACAAATGCCTTATTGGAACTGGAGACTATGGATTTGAAGAACACCCGGAAATCAAGTATAGTATACCCGAGTTTTATCAAATGTGCAAAGAGTTTGATGAAAAGTTTGCGCAAGATTATTGCAATGGCAAGAAGCCAACTTTGGATGAGCTAGAAGAGAAATTTTGGTCATTTGTGGATATTGAAAAGTCCGATTTGGAGGTAATGTATGGTGCCGACATACATAACTTGAAACCGGGGGAGATAAGTGGGTTCCCCATGATCAACACTCCGGGACTTGATCTAGCAAATGCTGAAAATCGGTTTTACATCAACCATCCTTATAATCTCACTAAATTGCCATTTGCCAAAGGCTCACTACTAAACTATATTAATACGTCGATTTCGGGTATGACTGTGCCTTGGATTTACATTGGTTCTCTTCTTTCCACTTTCTGTTGGCACGTTGAGGATCATTATACATTATCTGCCAACTACTGTCACTTTGGTGCCACGAAAAAGTGGTATGGGATACCCTCATTGCATGCAAATCGATTTGAACAATTGATGAGACAATCTGCCCCGGATTTGTTTAAAAAGCAACCTGATTTACTACATCAGTTGGTTTCATTGATAAATCCAGCTGAATTGGTACGGAATGGTATTCCATGTGTCTACGCTGACCAAGGACCTAGGGAGTTTGTAATAACCTACCCCAAAGTTTACCATGCCGGTTTCAATAGTGGGTTCAATTTCAATGAAGCTGTCAATTTTGCAATGGACGATTGGTTGGAGTTTGGAGAACGATCAATAATTGATTATAGACCAATCAAGAAGGAAGATGTCTTCAACTACTATGAACTAGTGGAGAACATTTTGAAAGATTTCAATCATCATCCAAAGAGTGGGAACCTGGAGTTGGCTGAAAGAAGCATCGATGTACTTGAGAGATTTCTAAATCAACAGGAGACTTTTTTAAGTGATGCAAAGCTTACGCATGTGAAGATAGAGTATAGACCAAAGGCGTACAAGAAACGTCAATTTGATCTTGAGCAAAAGGGTGAAGTTGAAGATGAAGAAGAGGATCTATGCTTCAATTGCAAAACGCATTTGGGATATCAATATTGTGAAGTGTGTGATACTGTTGATGAGTATGGAGGTAAGCCTGATGGAGACAAAATTAAGCAAGGGAAGTTAGAAGTGCACAATCATCAGCTTCCAACCCCTGAAATCTCTCCACAGGAAGTAGTTGTCAAGGATGCTTCAGAGGCGGATGCAAGCATCATTTCCGAGTCAAACAGTTCGCAACAACTACAAGCACTTTCAGAGCCTTCATGTGAAATGGATGAGTTTGACCAATTGATTTTACAAGCAAAGAAACGATCATGTGAGCCCGAAGATGAATCCAGTTCCAAAAGACGCAAATCAAAGAGATTATTGTCATTAGAGGAGCAACAGTATCAAAAGAAGGAAATCACAGCAGAACCAACTAAAAAAGTTAAAAGAATGGGAAAAACCAAGCATAAGAGCAAGAAGGGTCCAGAATTGAATAGACTATGTTTGAAATGCACTTTGGACTTGGACGAAATTCCAAGTGGCACAAAACTAATATATCAAAGTTATCCACAGCGGTTAAGACAGATTATTGATGAAGCAAAGGCAAAAGTGAGGTCGTAGTAATTTTCGTAAGTTGTATAATTCAATAAACGATTTATTCTTTAGCCTTTGTTGTTGAGTAAGTACTGCTGCAAAAAAGAGAAATCCAGTACAATTGGTAGCTGCGTCTCCCCCCGGTTATAAAAAATAACTCCCAGGTGTGAACCTAACACTCTTATTGGTCAATTTCTCGGGTGCGTCTTTGTCTCATTTTTTTTTTTCATTGGTGTCTTAATAATGGTAGCGTACTTTGTGCCAACTGCCCAATAATAATTGAAAGTTGTTGTTGTATGTATGTGTGTGCTCTCAGGGTAGTGCGTGTAGTGCACCGAAAAAAAAAAAAAAATTATCAACGAACGAAGTTTAAAGCATTCAACATTTTTTGTCTCTTCTTTCTTCCACTTTTTCACTCTTTAGTAACATATATTTGAATACAGCATTAACCATCAAATAGCCAAAGTTGTTTTAAAACTATAACGATGGTGTTGCCAAGATTATTTAATGCTACTTCACGTACTGCTGTGCAAGCAGCCAGATCATCCACCAGATCTTTGGCCACCGCTGCCAAAGCTGCTGATGGTAAAGTCAGGTATGTTTTCAAATTCATTTAATAATCATCGAATCAATTATACGCGAGACAACGGGATCAATTGAGTATGGTGTGTGACATATACAACAGGTCTTGACTGTTTAGGTCGTTGGCCAAACGGTGTGCACTTTTATGTCAAGATCATGTTCAAGACGTGTGTGTGTTGGGAGATGGTGGAATTGACAGTACTAATGCCAATTGTCAATGGGCACTTCATTGCACCATTTCACCACTAGCTCGTAACGTGTGCACTACATTGGAATTGCCATTGTCGAAATCTTTTCTGATTCGTTGCCTCATTGGACAATGTTTTGCGGAAATTTTTTTGGGCGGTGGTGCACGTCCTTTGAAAAATTTCCACCCTATCAACAACAACAACAACAATAACAGATTTGATTTGTTGATACATTTGATCATCAATACTAACATATTTTATTCTAGAGCTGTCATTGGTGCCGTCGTTGATGTACAATTCGAAGAAGGAAACTTGCCAGCTATTTTGAACGCTTTGACCTTGAAAAACGGTAAACAAGACTTGGTCTTGGAAGTTGCCCAACATTTGGGTGAAAACACCGTCAGAGCAATTGCTATGGATGGTACTGAAGGTTTAGTTAGAGGTACTTCTGTCACTGACACTGGTGCCCCAATTTCTGTCCCAGTTGGTAGAGGTACTTTGGGTAGAATCATCAATGTTACTGGTGACCCAATTGATGAAAGAGGTCCAATTGAATGTAAGAAGAGAAACCCAATCCACGCTGAACCACCTTCATTCATTGAACAATCCACTGCTGCTGAAGTTTTGGAAACCGGTATTAAGGTTGTCGACTTGTTGGCTCCATACGCTAGAGGTGGTAAGATTGGTTTGTTCGGTGGTGCCGGTGTCGGTAAAACCGTGTTTATCCAAGAATTGATCAACAACATTGCCAAGGCACATGGTGGTTTCTCGGTTTTCACTGGTGTTGGTGAAAGAACCAGAGAAGGTAACGATTTGTACCGTGAAATGAAGGAAACTGGTGTTATCAACTTGGAAGGTGACTCCAAGGTCGCTTTGGTTTTCGGTCAAATGAACGAACCACCTGGAGCTAGAGCTAGAGTTGCTTTGACTGGTTTGACCATTGCTGAATACTTTAGAGATGAAGAAGGTCAAGATGTCTTGTTGTTTATTGACAACATTTTCAGATTCACCCAAGCTGGTTCAGAAGTGTCTGCTTTGTTGGGTCGTATTCCATCCGCTGTCGGTTATCAACCAACCTTGGCCACCGATATGGGTCTTTTGCAAGAACGTATTACCACTACCAAAAAGGGTTCAGTTACTTCAGTCCAAGCCGTTTACGTGCCAGCTGATGATTTAACCGATCCTGCTCCAGCTACCACTTTCGCTCACTTGGATGCCACCACTGTGTTGTCTAGAGGTATTTCGGAGTTGGGTATTTACCCAGCTGTCGATCCATTGGATTCCAAATCCAGATTGTTGGATGCTGCCGTTGTTGGTCAAGAACATTACGACGTTGCCACTGGTGTTCAACAAACTTTACAAGCTTACAAGTCCTTGCAAGATATCATTGCTATCTTGGGTATGGATGAATTGTCCGAACAAGATAAATTGACTGTCGAAAGAGCTCGTAAGATTCAAAGATTCTTGTCTCAACCATTTGCTGTCGCTGAAGTTTTCACTGGTATTCCAGGTAAATTGGTTAGATTGTCTGAAACTGTCAAGTCATTCAAGGAAGTCTTGGAAGGTAAGTACGATAACTTGCCAGAAAATGCTTTCTATATGGTTGGTGGTATCGAAGACGCTGTCGCCAAGGCTGAAAAGATGGCTGCTGAAGCTAAATAAGTGCATCGGTAGGTATAAAAAAAAAATATAACTCGTATATATATACATATTCGTATCTACTAAGGTTTTTAGACTTTGTTTTGGTTGAAGAAGAGAGTGGAATAAAATGTTTGAAAGAATTATAGAAGAAAGGCGTGGGAAGTGTACGGCACCACTCTATTATTGTTTGTGCGAAAAGTTGGATGTGAGAAAAAAATCAATCTGACAACACATTCTGACCATAAAACTCCTTAATTATGGTTTCGATTGTCGATGTATGTTATAGACCCTCTTACATTTTTCACATGGATCGTCTACTAACATCCTTACCAAGTCGTTGTCATTTTTGGACAACCCCAAAATCAATTGGAAATTGATCATTGCTGGATTCACAATAGGTCAATATGTATTTGAAACTTATCTTGATTATAGACAATACAAAGTTTTAAAGAACAAATCACCACCAGCGTCCATCAAGGCTGAAGTGGACCAAGCAACGTTTGATAAGTCCCAGAAATATTCCCGTTCAAAGGCAAAATTTTCCATTTTTTCATCCACATTTGGTTTGTTGCAAAACTTGGCCATCTTACGCTTTGATTTTTTACCTAGACTTTGGAATAAGAGTGGATCAATAATGAATGCGATTGGTTTCCTTTTGCCCAAATTTATGGGTGGCTCAATTACTCAATCAATCATTTTTGTATTTAGTTTCCTGGTGATTAGTACCATTGTTGGCTTGCCATTGAGTTACTATAGTAACTTTGTGTTGGAAGAAAAATACGGTTTTAACAAGCAAACAATTGGATTGTGGATTTCTGACAAATTGAAGGGAATTGGTCTTACTCTTGTTTTGGGATCTCCAGTCATTGCCGGTGTTTTGAAAATTATTGATCATTTTGGTAATTCATTCATTTTCTACTTGATGGGATTCTTTTTGTTTGTAAACTTGGTTGCAATGACAATTGTTCCAACTTTGATTATGCCATTATTCAACAAGTTTACTCCTTTGGAAGATGGCGAGTTGAAAACAGCTATCGAAGCTTTGGCCTCTTCACAAAAGTTCCCATTACAAAAGTTGCAAGTTATTGATGGATCAAAACGTTCGTCTCATTCCAATGCATATTTCACTGGTTTACCATGGAGTAAGCAAATCGTCTTGTTTGACACTTTGATCGAGCACAATACCACTGATGAGACTGTTGCCGTGTTGGCTCATGAAATTGGTCATTGGAGATTGAATCACATTCCTAAAATGATTGCTATGCAACAGGCTCACTTTTTCATAATATTTTCCTTGTTTTCGGCATTTGTAAACAACAAATCGTTGTACACCTCGTTTGGTTTTTACAACCAGCAACCTATTTTAATTGGTCTTATGCTTTTTGGTGATATCTTGCAACCTTTAGAGTGTGTGTTGACTTTTGTTCAGAATTTGGTTTCAAGAAAGCATGAATATGATGCTGACAAGTATGCATATGATTGTGGGTATTCTGAGGAATTGAGTAGATCATTGATCAAGTTATCTAACAAGAACTTGTCAAGTATGAATGCTGATTGGTTGTACTCGTCATTTCATTATTCACACCCAATTTTACCTGAAAGATTGACTGCATTGGGATATGTGTCCAAAACAAAGATTGGAACAGGCGATCTCAAACCTGAGGGATTTGAAGAAGTTGGTGTGGTTGAAGAAAAGCCCGAAAAACAAGATTAGACTGTGTAAATCCTCCTCTTGTTGATAGTTTTCCCACTGTGGTATAAGAGAAATGTATTGCAACACAATTGAAAAAATAAAAACATCTTAGAGTAGAAAGGCCTTTTTGCACAACAGCTTCAACATCTACGCCAGTATCTACGCAATGGCAGAAGAACAACGAAGACAGATAGAACAGCTAATGGGAAGACATTCGCAACTGCTGTCGGTACGACATTATCGTGATCCTGATATGACATCACCACAAGTGTGTAAAGCATTTGTCGTTGGTATTTGTCCACATGACCTATTTGTAGGCACCAAATCTGACTTGGGAAAATGTCCCAACCTACATCTTCAAAAACACAAATTAGAATACGAATATAAGACTAGGAAACTCGGCCAAAGATTTCCTGATATGGAGGCTGAATATTTCAATATTTTACAAAGATATATACGAGATCTTGATAGAACCATATCAGTGGCACAGAAACGGTTGGAGCATACACCAGAGGAAAAAGAGAAAATTGCCCAGGTTACTAGAGACTTGGATGAGTTGGATATAGAAATTGGGTTAATGATTCAAGAGTTGAATTATCTAATCAAGTTGAATCAAAGCCAAGATGAGGATCAAACTTTGAAAATCATTGACTTGTCAATACAATTGAATCAGAAATCCAAGGAAAGGGAGCTTGCCAGTAAGCAAGCACGTAACGTTATTGAAAATGTTGGTCAAACGTCACAGCAAAAATTGCAGGTGTGTGATGGATGTGGTGCTTATTTGTCACGATTGGATAATGACAGGCGGTTGGCTGATCATTTCGTCGGTAAGATTCATTTGGGGTACGTTCAATTGAGACGAGCTTATGAGGAGATGAAAAGTAAGCAGAAATAGAATAGTGGAATGTGTATAGTGGAACATACAAGCGCTGTAATTCTTTATTAGTTACTAAGCCGCATATTCTACATTCAGCTCGTATTAGATCTACCTTGTTGTGCTTACTCATACTTGGTCATATGCGTGACGTGGTAATCTCTGTGAGATGAAATTTGAAACTGAAACTCTCAAACCAGGTGAGGAGGAATTTTTGGGGGAAGCCCAAGTGATCACCAATTCGCACCGGGATTTCACCCGCCAGCGATAAAGATTTTGTGATAATTTAGATCGTCTAAAGCCTTGCCGAAATTTTGAATACATATTTCCTTTTCCTCCCCAAGCTCACTTTCACTTTTCCTTTCATCGAGATTATTCATGCTCTTTGAGACATTGAATCACCTCGAAATAGACTCAGCACAATGAAAAAGTACCAGCTAATAGGCCGCAAGCTGAACAATAGATTTCCTAAAAGAAAAGAGCCAAGCAATTATCCACTATTACATTTACACTCATTACCGTTGGAGATTCAACTACGAATATTTCGATCGATATACAACGATGGACAGTCCTTGTTACCAGTGGCTCGAGTCTGTCAATCTTTTTACCACATCATTTGCAAATACTTTATCTACCGAAAAGTTGAATTCAAGACATCGCTTGAATTTTTCAAGTTTGCCAATCAACATTTAACGGGAGAAGTGAGCAACAAGATCAATTATCTCGAAAGTGCCACATTTATCAATCCACAGGTTAAAAAATCATCGAATCAGAGTATCAATATTGCTGGAAGTTATGCAGTAGAGTCAAACACTCGAACGATGGACACGTTGAGCTACACTGAGTTTATTTCAACCTTGGGCAATTTATTCACCCATGCTTATGGATTAAAGTCCTTGCAATTTACTGAGATTGCACCGGAATTTGCTTTCCCATTGGAGGTAAAGCAGAAAACATCCACTAGTTTGTTTAAACGGAAGGTGACCAAGAGGAAAAGGAGCTTGGACGCGTTGGTTCTTAGACCACAATCAGGGTGGTCGATCCCGTTAAAAGACATTCACTTGTCACTATTTTGTGAATATTTTGATACAATCAAGGAGTTGCATTTGATTGATTTCATTATTGATCAGCCAATAAATGTTGACATTAAAGTTGAAAAAGTCATTTTTCAATCATGTTCGTATTCCATCAAAAAGGTGAAATCACCAAGTCCTTTGTTTAAAGATGTATCTGTGTTGGAACTACAAGGTCTCACGAGCTCAATGCAACTTTCATTGATTGATTTGGTCAAATTAAACAACAAGCTAAACACGTTGATTCTCGATCTTCAATCCAGTGTATTTTATATCAACGGGGAGTTTAATTTCACAAAGTTTAATCCATTTTTTCGACTTTTATGCTCAGGTGAAGGCAATTTTGCAAACTTAAAAACCCTTGTGTTGAAGAATTTTGACTTGTTTAATTACCTCAAGCACGACGATTTACACGAAGATGTTGACTCATGGATTGAACCGCCAACTAATAACTTTGATACTTTTATGAAGTATGTTTCATTTATGTCTAACTTGGTGCTTGTATTGAAAAAGACGCCAGTGAAAGTAAATACTTGCAAGAAATGTGGATTCAAAAAGCAACAACTGGATAAGTTGATTGAGACTTTGACACCTCAAGAGTGGGAGATTTTTTTGAAGCCATTGGGATTGCAAGACAACAGATTGAAAATTGAACTGCATGATTCGGTTGATCTATACACTATTTCAAAATACAACTAAAGCAATGAAACAAAATGGGACGATTTGCAGCAACGCAACTCTGATCCGTTGAGACCCTGTGAGCTATGGTTAATACCTATTCGACTATGCTTTTGAGAAATGGTGCCACGTACCTTTTTTCAAGTGAATATGCTAGCCCAGAAATTTTTGACTGAATCTGTAACCTTGTGGAAAGTCTCAACAATGACATTTGGTTTTTCTTCATCGTGTTCATTTGTGTCGTCTTGGTCTGGTTCGCTCAGGGGGGACTCTTTATGAGTCTCTGGATTAGGGTCAATTGATTGTAGCGATTCTTTTTCCTTTCCATTGGGTGGATCATCATTCACATCTTGCGGATTATACGTACCACTTTTGTGCAGCCGTTGCTTGTCATTGCTATTTTCATCATCAATCTCAAAATCAACCACAACATCAATTTCATAGACTGTATTGAACACCTCGCCATTTGGTTGGTAAAAGATGTTTTTTGTCTGCATTTCACTCTTGTTCAAATGCACAAATTTACCTCGTTCAACATTAACACCAGTGTCAATCATAATATCAACAATTGTATCAGGAACTCCCCTTGATATGTCCAAATTTTGGTACAGTACTTCACATTTTGGTACTGTTGATTGAGATTGCTTAATTCGCATTTGAATCTCCTTTGCATTTTCTTTCATTGCTTCAACAATGAAATTATAATCCAACTCTGGTATTGACTCAAACTTATGTTTTAACTGCAAGAAATCTCGCAACAACTTGACATCGCCATTGGGTAAAATCTCCACCAAGCCATAGTTGTTTGCCTCTTGGGTGAATTCATAAACTAATCCACCATTGAAGACATCAATCATGTCATTTGTATACAATATAGGAACTTCGTCAAAGTTTCTCGGTAACACTTCATTACAACCATACTCGGAGAAAAACACCGGCTTGCTATAGCCCTTGTAATCATTAACCAAGATGTTGTATCCACTACTGTAAAAAGTTTGATCACCACACCATTGGTACGAATTGACACCATAAAAATCGACGCTTTCCATCAAATTGTTATCAGCACATTCAAGGTATTTAGCCAAGGGGATTCGATAATTCAAATCATCAGCTGCTGAATATCCAACTGGTATAGGTCGAGGTGAATTGATGCTAACATAATGTTTAATATCCCTAATGATTGCTTTGATATACGGTGCTGACACTGATGCTGATATGGGGTCATTTATAACTTCATTCCCGGCAAGGAATCCCAAAGTGTTGTTGTAGAAAGAAAATTGCTGAACTATTTTGAATACATTTTCAAAATAAAACAAATTGTAACTAGTCCAAGGTTCGTAACGATTCAAATGATGGTTGCTCAAGGGGGAGTTGACGTCTAGAACCAAATATATTCCTGCTGATGCCAACATTGTCATACATTTGTCATGATCCAAATCTGGATTAACTGAGTATATACGGATTGTCTATGAAAAGGGGTTAGAGGTTAGTATCATCATATGGTATTGGGCATTGGGCACTGTCTGTTAGAAGGTACATACGTTGATGCCTAATTCTTGGAATAATATGATATCCCTTGCACATTGGATTGGATCTGATAATGGATCCTTGACACTTGAAACTGCCGATGATCCTCCTGGTTGGTAGTCTATTCCCTTTATATAGAACTAAAATAGCTTGTTAGTATATACTCCACTAATCGCCTCTACAGTTTGTTTTTTGACACGTACTGGCTCTTTGGTGACACTATTGACAAAGTAGTGTCCATGTATTGTAATTGGATGTACATTAGCCCAAGCGAGATGTAAACTGCCTAGAAGTGATGTGATGAGCTTTAATGGTGATATCTGCTTCATTTTGATGATACGGTGGAGAGAAAGTAATGGTCTTTGCTCTCAAATGTGGTTGAATAAAGTTGGGGGAAGCTTGTGGGTTATTTTGATATGAAGATAAAGTTGCAAAAAAAAAACGAAGAAAGAGTGGCAATGTACACAAAAAAAATACCTTTACTCATCTAACTGAAAAGAAGTGTAATACAAGAGACCCAAGTGAATTAAAAACACTATTACTTCGGAATACATGAGTTTGCGTAAGGGTCCAAGACTCATTCCGGTTACATTGACAGAACCTACTGGTAGCGCAATCATTCTAACAACACTGGTTAACAGAATATATTATTAAACCCGCTAAAACAGAACCAAATGTGGGGGAAGAAAATCGTCGAGGGGTGCATATGATTTATTTAACTCCGGATACTCTAAATTCTATATCCAACAACAGAGAACACATATAATTCCGGTTAACCCACAAAAACGTATAGCTACATATATTTATATAATTAAAGATCCATCCTTATATCACATCACTCGCTTAGTTTGCTATACTACACACATAGGAGGGATATGGCTTTTTCCAACAGTGATCTTAACAAATTGAAAGGACCCCTTGATGGGTTACTTACTGAAATAACTACTTACAAGAAAGATGGGGAGCCACCTCTTGTGGCACCAGCATGTACTATCGGAGTAACCCAGAAGGACAAAACTGTATACCTCAACACCAAAGGAGTCACAAATCTCAACACCAACGAACCATCAACTAATGATCATGTATATGCCTTGTTTTCATGTACCAAGTCAATGACAGTAATGGCAGCTTTGATCTTATACGAAAGAGGCCAGTTGGATTTGGATGCGCCAGTGTCCAAGTATTTTCCTGAAATATCAACTGTGGGGGTACTTGAACCAGGAATTGTTGATAAAAAAACGGGTGAGTTGAAGAGACCTTTACAACCACCAAAGACTCAAGTAACGGCAAGACATTTGATGATACACACTGCTGGATTTTCATATGGTTTTATTCATCCTGATTATTTTGCGTTAATCACTAAAGCAAACCCCAAATTGGATGCTTCGAACCCAACCTTGGAGTTTTTCTTGAAAAAAACACCTTTAGTTTTCGAGCCAGGAAGTCAATGGATGTACGGTCACAGTATTGACTGGTTGGGTTTTGTTATTGAAAAGATTAGTGGACAGAAATTAGGTGAGTTTTTGAGAAAGGAGGTGTTTGACCCAGTCGGTATGAAATCATGCACATTCCATAAAATGAATTACGATAACATGAATAGAGTCCATTATAGAAAACAAGACGGAACTTTGAAATTACAGGAAAAGTTTGGTATGCCATTAGACCCTAATTTGGATTTAGGAGGTCAAGGCTGTTTTGGATCTGTTGGTGATTATTTGAAATTTATTCGAGTTTGGTTGAACTACGGATACAGTCCTGATGGCAACACCAGAATCTTGTCTCAAAAAACAGTAGAGTATGCAATACAGAACCATTTACCTGAAGATGTTGAATTGGAATTTATCGGATTAGCTCAAAATTTCATTGATGATGATGCACCAGATAAGAAGCAAGATGGATGGACACTTTCTGGTAATGCATACAATTCAAACAATTTACCAAGTGGAAGACCCAAAGGAACATTGTATTGGGGTGGATTAGCCAATTTGGCATATTGGATCGATTTTAAAAATAATATTGGAGGGTTTTTTGCCGTACAAGTCTTGCCATACATGGATGAATATGTTGTTCCATATATTGCCAAATTCGAATCTGAAGTTTATAGTGTTGTTGATGGAAAGAATTATTCAGCAAAGTTGTAAAACAAAAGGAAAAGGAGGGAAGAAAGTTTAGAATATGAATACAAGTGTGATTTAGGTTTATATTGATTTTGTATGAGCTGATGTATAGTAATAATCCATTATATAAAAACGGCAAAACTAGTGGTTTCATCAACTTTGTTTACCTTCCTCTTCTTACTGAATCATATTGGTGTTGAAGGCTTAGACTGCAAGTAGAGTGCTATTTTTATCTGTACTGCATATGACTAGCTGTTGATTTTTTTTTTTCTCGGTCTTACGACAGAGTGAGATACCCGAAAGTCACACGAAGAATATTTTTGAAAAAGAAGAAACCATCATCATCATCTACCCAAAGAGAATAAACTAACTCATCTTGTCAGACTGGTATACAACTTATTACTCGTTCCTTTTGATCTTTTTTTATTACACTCCCTTTCACTAATCAAACAACTATCCTTGTCAAAACAAGACAAGTTTAACCCTAATTATGCGTCAATATGAATACCAACGACTCGCCACTGATGAAGCCTTACACAACGATAATCTTCCCTTGAATCCACCAGAATATGTTGAATCTAGCAATGGACAAAGATATGAGAGTAATGAATATGACTACCCTCACGAGTCGTCTTCTACATCAGTACCAATAGAACAATTTGAAATTGAGGATGCGCCGCTAGACGAGCCCAGCGGGTTATTTGATCGAGCTCAAGCATTTTCTAAAAAATTCGCTAATAATGTCAACACACGTCTAATAAGTCCCGTTAGCAGGATGATCGATCCGATATATGAAGGATACAAGTTTTTACACATGCAGTATGAGAGACTGATTTTAAAAGTCGGTAATCCTTTAGTGGTTAAGAGACTTTTGTACGTTTTCATAATGATGCTATTGATATTTGGAATAACCAAGTATACTTCAAACACTTCAATCACTGGGGCTAATGTAGGGGCTTTTGCAAGAGGCAAATTTTATGATGTGGACAAGCTAGCTGATTCCGCCCGGCAATTTATCGACCCCAAATCAATGAAGGAAAACCTTGAATATTTCTCATCAATGCCACATATCACGGGCTCCAAAGGTGACTTGGCATTTGCAAGGTATATTGAGACGTATATGAAGAACAATGGACTACATAATGTTTACCTCAATGAGTTTCAATCGTTTACGAATTACCCAAATGTTGATGGCACCTTTCTTAAACTAGCTGATGGTTCATTTGAGGCCAAATTGAATGAAAAACACAGCAAAGAGATGCAATTTCTCGCATACAATCCAAATGCATTGAACACAATCGATGTTGTTGAAGGTGAGTACGTTTATGTGAATTACGGCCGGTCCGAAGATCTCAAACAGCTAGAAGAGAAGGGGATAGACACAAAAGGTAAAATATTACTAATGAAATATGGGGGCAACGTACCGGAGGGGAATAAAGTTCATTTTGCTGAAAAACATGGAGCAAAAGCAGTTGTCTTCATTACATCAAAGTTTAAACTAGCTGATGATACTGAAGTTGACGATGTTATACAAAGAGAAAATGTCGGGTTGACAAGAATGTCATCTGGCGATATTCTCACTCCTGGCTGGTCATCAGAAGGGGGGTTTGTTACTAGACTTTCATGGGACAAGTCGGAGACCACGCCTAGAGTGCCAACAATACCGATCTCATGGAGAGATGGAGAAACATTGATGAAGAAATTGCAAAATGGGTACACTTTTGATGATTTCATTAGTGGTGATGGCTCATCACCAGTGTTGCAATTGAAGATCTCCAACACCAATCGTCCCGTACATCCATTTTGGAATGTTGTTGGCTCAATTGAAGGTAGAGAACAGGCCGAAAAGGGGATAATTGTTGGTTCGGTACGAGATTCTGCATGTTATGGAACAATGGGAAGCAATACGGGAACAGTTGGGTTTCTCGAACTCGTCAAGATCCTTACTTCATTGCAAAGAAAATATCAATGGGTTCCTTCAAGATCGATATACTTTGTGTCATTCGATGCTACTGAGTACAATTTGGCTGGTGCTACAGAATGGATTGAAAATAGAAAAGAGGCATTGAGAAAAGAAGGGTATTTGTACATTGATATGAGCGATTTGGTAAGTGGTGATGAACTTCAAATTAAAGCGCATCCGTTTTTGCAAGAAAGCCTAAAACGTGCTTTAGATAAAGTGAAAGTTGATGAAGGTGGCGAGACTTTACTCAAACTCTATTCAAAGCGGAAAAGATCAATTGGGAATGATTTCTTGGAGGAAAAAAATTATGTGCCATTCATCAATTTGGTTAATATCCCCTCCATGGAAGTGAAATTTAAAGGCAAGGTATACCCCAAGGGATCTTGTTATGATACATTTGAGAATTTTGAAAATTGGGATATTGACAAATCAATGTCCAAACATGTACAATTGGTTGAACTTTTATCGAGAGTGATTATTGACTTTTCTGAAAGTCCGTTTATACCATACAATTTCCTTGATTTATCCAAGCTGTTGCAAGAGTCGATGCATTATTTAAAACGATTTGCTAGCTCTGTGTTCAAAGATATGAATGTGAAGCCGGTATTGCATTATAAAAATTTAGAGCAGGCGGTGGATTCATTGAAACGAGTTAGTCTCAAATATACTGGCTGGCATAATGATTGGAAATCGGTGATTACCGCAAGTGGAGGTGCGGAGCCGCCAATTTTGGCAATGGAACGATGGGCATGGAATGACAATATGGTTAAATTCAATGAAGAGTTTATTGGGCGTGATCCACAGCCCAAGAGATCGGGGTACGTCAACGCATTATTTGGTGTTCCCTTTTCGGCACCGGAGGAATCTGGTGATGATGGATTTGAATGGAATACGTTTCCCAATATACGGTCTGAGATTATTGATCATAATTTTAGTGGAGCTCAAGATCAAATTGATCGGTTGGCGCAAATGATTGCTCAAGCAGCTGAAGATTTCTTAACTCTTGGATGATAATAGGACTACATAGTTCAGAATGCATAGAGAGAGAGAGAGAGAGAGAGAGAGAGAGAGAGAAATGTATTTTTTTGGAAAACTTTTAGTTCAGTTCTCTTTTATTCTTCTATTAGCTTGAGAAGGTCCTCTAAGTAATAATCTCGACAATTCAACTCACGAACAGCATGAGTCAATTTGATCAAGTATTCACTGTTTTTACCACTAGGGCCCACATTAGTTTTGATAATCTTGGCCGTATCATGAATCAGTTCCGGTCCAATAAAACTCTTCAAATCTAATCCACCTATATATATCAGACTTTCAATGTATGCGCCAAACTCATCCCAATGTAGATCTGATGCAGGTATATGGGTACTTGATATCAAATCAACGACGTTATCCTGTTCTGCTTGTACTTCTTTGATGTAAAATTTGACGGATTTCAACTCGTAGCCATTTTGTTCACGAATATCCAAATACTGCTTTACTTCATCAACATGTTGCGGAGCGATATAATAAGCACATCCGTAAACTTTTAAATCTTGGGGTTGTAATTGATCAATCAGATGATGATCCACATCAACATCAGCACCAGTATCAGCAGTGTCATTGTCCCCATTATGAACCTCATAAGTGTGTAAATCATTATGGAAAAACCGATCATTTCGTAACTCATCCAATGATATGAGTGTCACTACTCGTCCTGGCGACGATGGTGTTCCTCGGTGGTCGATTGAACTTTGCCAAAAACGACGAATGTAACCTTGGATATAACCTGTGATTCGGTGTGAGACATGTGGGGGTGGTTTGAATATTAGTGAGCCGTATCCTATTACCCACATCCCTTTCTCAGGCTGTGACTTTGTCATTGTGAAGGTTCGTTGTTGTTTTAGGTGGATGTAAATTGTGGTTGTGAAAAAAAAAAAAAAAAAATATATATATATATCTAAGGAATCCACATCATTATCATTGTCATCGGCGTTATAAATTTGTACGCCGATATGAAGATAAAGTACACATTACGCTATACATTGAAATAAGCGTACATTCTTACAAACTATAGTTATCCACTCATTGGTCATCCTTTTTATACGTAAGTGAACTTAAACGCCATCTTAACCGTATCGACAATCTTTTCTCTAACATTTGCATTTCTCAAGTATCGACTTGACCCCAAAATCAAAACAATCAACACAACCAACACCAATGAGTTTCGAGCAAGGTAATTCTTTGTGATTCTCAAAACATAAGCCAATTTCTCCTGCAAGTTTTGCGATTGTGATTGTTGATGACGACGATTCAAATCTTTTACCGATGCTGCCGCTCTACTATCTTCCTGCTTGTAATTGTTGACAATCTCCTTAATGGAACTATATTTCAAATTCAGTTCTTTGCGCTTTTGCCTAGCTTCAGCTTCTTGTTTCTCTTGAGCTTCCTTGGCTACTTTCTCGGCTTGAATTTGATCTTGTTTCACTTTTTTCAAATACTCGTCCTTTTCATTTTTGATCTTGTGCAATTTTGCCAACTCGGATTCATCGTCACCAATTAATCTTTCACTTTCATCGTATTGGTTGAAGTGAGGTAGGATTTCAAATTTGACCAAGTCAAGCAATTTCGATCCAAATTTATCATTGGTGTCAATGTTTATGTACCATTTCTTCAAGTTGCGCAAATAGGAATCTTCATCGTTGATCAAGTCTTTTGGGTTGGAAATGTACACGAGTTGCATATTGTACTTGATCTCCAAGGGGATATCCAATTCAAGCCATATAGACTTGATTTGGTTGATAATTTCATTACTAGTAAATGAGTTTCTGGCGGCATTGGCCAGTGCTTGATCGAGATGGCGGTTTTTCAAACATACTCCAACGACAACAAGGTACAAATTGATGATTTTGATCAACAAGTCTTCGGAAATTGTCCCTTGTTTGTACTCGTTGAATGAAGTGTAGTAGACATCATGAATTAGCTTGAATGAGCCAATGAAATTCTTATTGATAAATTGCTTTAGTGCTAGTTTGTAGTTGTTTTCCACAAGCTTGTTTGAGTTAAACGGGGTGGTAGCAATAGAGGAGCTTGTCAATGAATTGCTTGGAACTGGTGGCATGGTTGATGCAAAGTTGAATGAACAAATGGGGGTTGATGGTCAATAGCTTCCCCCACATATTTTTTTTTTTCTCTTTTCTACTCACCTCTACTTACCTCGGGTTTCAAGTATACAAAAAATTATGCAATGGTATATACACTCAGATACACAAATATTAAAACTACTACTCTCGAAAATGCCCCATTCGCTATTATCCCTATTCCTCGTCATTTTGATCACGGTTCCTATTTGGCAACTTGCCCAAAGCCTGTAGCCTTCTTTGTTTTTCAACCTCTGTTTCCTCATCATCGGACTCATCCTCATCTTCTTCTTCTTCTTCATCAGCGGTGCTATCTTCATCATCGTATTCATCAACAGCATCGTCACCCAAACGATTAGGTGGTGGTGGTGGTGGGGATGCTTTTCTAATGGCTGAATGATGGCCAGTTTGATGCTTAGTTTCCAAAATGGTGGCAATTTTATCTTCAATCTTGTCCAATTTGGCACTATCAGGATGAGGATCACGTACAGCTTCTGGTATGAGAATATTGTGATGAGTACCCTTTTCTAAATCAGTGACGTGTACTTGTGATACTTCATCGGGATTGGTTGGAGTTTGGTTTGTTGAAGCACCTGTGTGAGATGTATTGGTTGTGGTGGTGGCGGTGGCAGTGGCAGTGGTGTTTGGTTTCATTCCCACAAGTGACTTCATCTTACCAACCAATGTCGATGATCTAGATCTATTTGGTGTTGGGTTTGGTGGATTTGAAACATGACGGTTAACCTTGTACCTTCTTATGATATCACCATCCTCATTTTCAATGGTTATAATATTATCAATACGATGTGCATACACCTTCCTCCTATGGGGATCATCTTTTCTATAGTACGAACGACGAGAAGCTGAACGTGATATCCGTTTATGCAATGGCGATTTTTTACCTCCAGTGGTGTCCTGTGTGGTATCTGAATCTGATGGTCCACTCTTGATGGTGGATCCATTTGAGTATTGGGAAAGCTGTCTTTCGAGAGATCCCATTGAGTGTATACTTTCGTCATCTCCTTCTGCTCCTTCGTCATCTCCTTCATGTTGAGCATCGTCAGCTGCTGCTGCTGCTGCTACAGAAGCAACACCAGGGGACGAAACTGGTGCATTACTGCTTTGCGATTTCCTCCTCTTTTCAACTGCTTCTCCTCGTTTTCCCAATGTAAGATTATCCATAATCTCGCCAAATTGATCTTCAATGATGATGTTATCACCTTCTTGATATGCTGATGTTGGCACCGGTACTTCTGGTCTACTACGTTGACCATATTGCAGTTTACCCGACGTCTTTTCATTAGGATCTAGCAAGTGTTCGCCTTCGGTTGATGATGATGAATTTTTAACTTCTGCAGTTACTTCAGGTTCTGACGAAGTAGATATAGTGCTCTTTGTTGGAGAATTTTGCTGCTGTTGCTGTTGTTGTGAACCACCACCCAATTGTAGAACCTCTTGGTGTGGTCTGTGTCTTGGTTGGTGTGTTTTCTCATCATCACCACTAGTAACCCTTGACAAGGTTTTCTGTATAAGACCTGGCTTTTGACTTCTTCTCTTCTTTTTCCTCCTTTTAGCGCCACCTGCTGGACGTACCTTGACACCACTGGTTTCTGGCAATTGAGTTTGTTCTTGTTCATCTGGTTGTTCTTCCTTTTCATCTGGTGCCATTGTATCAACCCTATGCAATGAAAACGAAGTGTTTGCTCTGTCGAGCTTTTGTAATCTTTGCATCCAGTTTGATCCACCACCACCACCAGTACTGGTTTCACCATTGGTTGCGGTAAACGACATGGTGATTGCCATTCTATTCAATCTTTTACCCAATGTCAAAACCGCCACCGAAGATCCATGAACAATGATGGATGTGATGACAATAAAACAAACCAAGGGCCAAATTGCTACAAGCAACTGATCGTGAGGAAATCCTTTACCTGGCACTTCATGCAAGGGTGTTTCTTCTTCAGTAAAATGTCCTTCGAGATCAGATCTAGCCAATATACTGGCAAAAATGGCACCGACACCAATAGGACCAAAATGGCCACAAAAGAATGCTTCTCTCCACGTCTTGATATCAGGTGTAAATGGTTTCAAACACACAACTGCTGGCAATCTTCTCAAGAAAATAATCACAAATGCCAAAACAATCAATCTCCAAACATCCAATCCAATAGATCCATCATTAAACATGGGCCATGGGATAATAGCACCAAAATAAACAAAAAATGACAAGTTTAAAAGTAAATCAATTACAGTGGAAACATGTGATTCTTCAGTCTTTTTAGCAAATGCCCCATTCCAACCAAAAGTTGTACCAGCAGCAAAGGAAACCAATAAATCATCGACACCCAACATGGATCCAATACCTGCTGAATTGAAAGCAATAAATACAAAAATTGCTAAAAATGATTCACGATCAATCAAGTTTTTAGTTTCAGCAAATTCAACAAGTTTTCTTAAAACATAGCCAATAACAATTCCCAAAACACATCCAAATATACATTCCCACAATATGGTCAATAGGATCCAATCTTTGACAATTTCTCCACCTTTACCTGAATGTATAATCAAGTTTAATGAAAGATAAATAAACGGGAAAGCCATTCCATCATTACAACCAGATTCTGCTGATAACAAGTTACGCAAATGGCCCGGTACTCTTTCAGCAAACTTACCTTTACCAACAACGGCAGCAGCCAACACTGGATCGGTTGCAGTGACACACGCACTAACCAATAATCCATCATTAAAAGTGAAATGAGGAATCAATGCCCATATGAAAAGACCAACAACTAACCAACCAATAGTCATAACTGGTAGTAGGAGAATGGCAACTGACAACCAATGTTTCTTCATGTATTTCCTCGGCAATTCAACAGAAACAGCAACAATTTGGATACACAAGACTATTCGACATATTTCCAAAGTAATCAAATCTGAGTTTCCCCAAGTAGTTGGTGCAAACCAATTTAGACAATGTGGGCCCAATATAAGACCAGCAATAGTGGCAACAGTTGCTTCACCAATGTACAAACGTTCCTTGACAAACAATGATACTAGTGAGAATAAGGTACTAAATATACCAACACAAGCATACGCTATATGAGGTCTGGTAACTTCTAGTTGACTCCATACCATAGTGTAGTACTATTATTATTTGCAACTATAGTGTGTGTGTGTGTGTGTGTGTGTGTGTGTGTGTGTGTGTGATGATTTACGATGGTTGTTGTTATTTTCTTATCATTCAAGACGGAAGAAAGGAGGAAAGGAAAGGAATAATAATAATAATAATAATAATAATATGAGATAGATGCAATAAATTAAAAGTGAAGGAAATATCTCTCTATCTCCCTATCTCCCTGTGTCTGTGTGTCTGTGTGTCTGTGTGTAAGCTCAGTGGATATTAATCTAATCTTTTTTCAAGGTTGATGTTTTTTTGTTATGCTATGCTAAACTAAGCTATGCTATGCTAAGCTATGCTATGTGAATCTACTGTTGTTATTGTATGGTTCTTTGGCTTTTTTTGGTTTTTTTTTTTTTGGTTTTTGTTGTGGTTGATATTTTTCTCAGTTGGCTGCTACATTTCTTGCACGCATGATAAGAGATGAGTAAGATAGATCGATAGAAGCAGATTTGCTAGGCTTCTTCTAGAAGACCAAAAGCTATACGCTCCCCCTCCCACACACACGCACACACACACACACAACAATCAGCCGTACTTCACATATGCAAGGGGAGAGGATAGCCGATCTCTTATATACGTAGATAAAATATTACTTAATTATTTATTTACTTGCTACTACTACTAACTACTAATGGCGGAAATGATGGGGTGGTTGACAAGAAAATTCTCTTTGTTTTGTTGTGTTGTGTTGTGAGCCCTTGTCTATTTCTATGTGTGTGTCACCTACACCCACTCTTGGCATTGACTACTACTACTACTACTATTACTGACTACTATGACAAGTACTGCTACTGCTTTTTAATTTCTATCAAAAGACTGTCAAAAACACAAGAAAACAAGAAAACAGGAAAACAGGAAAACAAGAAAACAAGAAAAAAGAGAATACAATAACAACAACTAGTCTAGTTTAATATTGTAGTAATTGTAGCTCATTCCCTTCTACTGGTTTGATCAAACGCCGCTTGAATAACTGTGTTGAGAGCATTGTCTTCTAATACAGTTTCAATGATTGAACCAATGAGAATGCTTCTTAAAACCCATCATATTGTCTTACTCAAAACAACCTATTGTTCTTGTTACTGAAAATGCTTGGCAATTGTAGTGAACATAGATGGTAGCACTTTCTCTAAATGATGTCACGTGATCTTATCCCTAATATATATTAGAATGCTATTCTATTTATTGCAACTAAAATTGGTTACACAGTTTACAAATATTTTCAATCTATAAGAGAGTTGATTCTCGCATACTACAAAGACCTTTAGATTGATGGTGTCATTTTACAGTACTCACTGAAGTTGTCTCTAAATTTTTCTTTTTTTTTTTTTTGCAAGGTATTCTATAAAAAAGATATTATTATAGTATATCTAAGAGACAAAAATATAATTTTACAACTTGGAAACATCATACTTCGTGGTTTTTTCTCCAAGAGCTGTAAGCAGTGGAGATGCTCCTACTGGTATATATATTTACATCCTTCAACCGTTCTATTCTTCGTTCAACTAGAATATGAATTTATTTGATAAATCACATGGTAGCTCAGATTTGTTACTCTTTTGGTAACTGTGATTAGACACCGATTCTATACTCTAGATACATATACAGCACGTTATCCTCACAAATGTCTCTCTTCGTCGACTCATCCCAGGACAATGGAGATGATGATGATGATGATGTTTATATTCCGTCACAATATACTGAAAACAGTCTATCGCCACGTCGAGCAAACGCTTGGAAACCTAAACCAGAGGTGCATTTCACAGCTTCAACAAATCAAATTGCTCATCTTTCAGACGTGTTTCAAAGTTTAATTGCCATCAACAGTCAAGCTATTGTTACTATACGATCTAGTGGTATCACCATATATTCAACTTACAACTATACAATCAATGTTCATGTAACTATTGACCCAGCATTATTTAACCAATATGAACTAACATGTGAACCGAAAGCTAATGGTGGTCATGCTGATGGTGATGTTGATGCAGAGGAGGAGTTGGAGCTACGGCTAGGCATTGATATCAACTTAATTGCCAATTGTTTCACATCAGTGCTAAACACCATGAAGTCGGAAAAATTGATATCATGTACTATTATTTACCAGGGGGATGGACACCCTTTGGTGATTGAGTTTGATGACACCCTAATTTCAGAACAATTGGAATTTTACACGTTTTATATTGACCAAGATGAATTGATTGAAAATGAACAACTTGGCAACTCCAGAATCAATTATGAAAATGTCATTTTGGAAATTATGCTCAAGAGTGATGTATTGACAAATTTATTACAAGACTTGTATCAAATTGATACGGAAATATTATTTATATATTGTGCTGATGAAGTGCTAAATTTCATCAGTAGTGGATCTATTGGAATGTCAAAACTAATATTCCCTAATGAAAAATCAATAATGGAAAAGTTGCCGATAAATAAATCGTATCAACACATTATATCGCAATTTAAATTTAGCGACTTTTACAAAATTTTCAAAGCGGTACGATTAAGCTCTAAATGCAAATTTATCAAGGATGCTGATGGGTGTTTTTCAATACAATTGATTTGTAAAAATTATCAACAAAGTGGGTATCCAGGAACATTATTGACGATAAATATGACTGAATTGGATCATGATCAACATTTGATTGATTGGATTTTACAAGATGAAATTGAGCACACAACAATGAGGTATACGCAACCACACCAGCAAGAACAACAATACCATGAAATGCCCTTAACAAATATTCCTAGACTCGCTCATGAACCATTAATCAACTCATTTAAACGTACTGGCGATCCAATATCTACTAAAACAACCAATGGAACCAAGAAAAGTCGTCAACAAACCGCACCCAAGAGAAAAACAAAAACAACAAATGTGCCACTATTTTTATAACAAAAAGGAAAGCTATACTTTCAATATACGGCAATATAATTTTCAATTCTACTCTTTTGATTCTGAGCAATACATTCAGCAATCCAAGTAATATTCCTCACTTCTTGCTCCTTTGATTTCAACCAAGCATACACTGTACTTAAAGTGAATTGTTGTGTAAATGCATTTCGACAATATTGCAACTCCAACAAATAAAATCCATCACCAATACTTCTATTACCATCGGCACTTTCACTGAAAAGCTCCTTAAAATCACCAATATTTTCCACAATCAATTTCAATTGCTCATAATCATCAGTTTGAGCTAGTTCAATGTGATAAGTAGGATACAATTGACCCAATTGTGGAAACAAACTCAATTTATCCTCAATAGAAAGTTGCGAATTGTTTATCGAGTTTAATGCAATATTAATCACTCGTTTGTCAGCTTCCAAAGTCAACAATCTCGTCATGATTTCTTTATCAGGTCCATCAAATTCACGTTGCACAAAACTCATGAATGCTTCTAAATAATTCTTGTACAATTTGTTTCGAATGATTTCAATGTTTAAATCATCCAAATCATCAGCCGAGACACAGTTTTTGAAAAATGGCGCCAAGGGAGTATCAATCAATACTGTAGAATACAAGCTTTCAATATCAGTAGCGATACTCAATGTAGGCAACGTATCAAACCATCCCAAGGGGTTACATTTTTTCAAAATATCGGATTTATCCCTTTCGTGTAATGTACCAGTAATCATCAATATAACATTATCAATCATGTACGCATACTGAATATATTCCATAAATCTTGTCAATTTCCCACTAGATTGACTTCTAATGTATTGATATTGTTGATAAATCTTTTTGTTTAAATTCTCCTGAATTACTGAGGTGGTTAATGGACCTGAGTAATTGGCCAAAAAATTGCCATAATCAGTTGATGATAGTTGTAGTTTGAGGTCCTCTAAATTGTCACATTGAGTTAAATTGACATATTGGTTGGCAGTGAGAAGACCACTTCTGTAGCCTCTAACAACGGCTTCAACATAGCCATAGTCAATGTTGAAGAATATACCTTCCATATCTGTGACTGATGTGTAGCTTTATCAATGATTGACTTGAAAGAATTATCGTAGTTGGGGAGTCAATTTCGTAAATATTGCTGTTGATGATTGTGCTCACCAAATTTGTCGTGCACTTTTAATCAAAATATGGAAAAATCAACAACACCCACCACGTCAATTCCCCCCCCCATCCTGAGAAGAAACTATCAAAGCACAACGGTTGTACAACCCAGATGTCACTGATACTACTAGATTCGCTAAAAGATGACCTAGACGAAACTAGCCGCAATGCACTAACCACAGACCCTAAACTTTACCAATCCTCACAAAAGTATCTCGAGGATTTACTAATCAATGATGAATTATTATCAACTGAACAATTTACCACAACAGCCACCAATTCAAAAACCGTTACTCAAGAAATAGCTGAATTGGATCTACAGCAACATCAAATCAACAAACAGCTAAGTTCATTAACTGACTCCCATAAGGATTTAATCATTGATGTAAATCACGATTTAAATGAAATCAATGCTAATTTAACCAATGATTATCAAAAGACGGTATCGGCATTGAAGAAGAGCATCACCATCGATGAGTCCAAGTACCATCCTTCAACTCCAAACAAGTTGTTTCAAGATTCAATCTTGTCCAATATCGACACTGTATTGGACATATTAGAGCTCCCCACTTTATGCCGACTTTGTATCTTGCAAGGCAATTATCAAGAAAGTTTGGAAATTTCCATCTTTATCAAATCACTAATCATTCGATTCCCCAAATTACAAATATTCAAAACCACATCTGAACAAATTGAAATTGAATTACAAGTTATGTTGAAGGGGTTATTGAAATTACTCAATACCAATTTAAAACAAAATCACATTCTCAAGATTTTCCAAATTTTGAGTAAATTGGAAACAATTGATGATGCATCTTTACATCGAATCTATTTGAATTCAAGGTTTAAATTTATCGTTAATGAAGTTGCTAGTTTACAACCAATTCTCAAGTTTAATAAACTCACTTATATGAAACGATTTGTTGAAGTTTATCGTGAACATATTTACTCATCGATTCATGTATATTATACCATATTCAAGAATGAAGTTGATAAGTTGTTGCTTAATCAGTTTGTAACGGCACTAGCTACTAATTTGTGTCACGAGTTTGTTACATGCATGCCATTCATCAGTAAAACTACTACTGCTACTACTGCTGTTTCCACACCCACCAATTCAATTGAATCAGATTTGGAATTGCGAAACTCTATCGATGGGTTGATTTTGCAATTGATTTACTTGTGCAAATCATTATCAACGTATCAATTTGAGTTTGAGCCAATTTTATTATCAGAACTATGTTATAAACATGATTTGATCCTGGAACTGGATTGGATACGTAACCTGAGCAAAATCAAAAAATATAAATAATGATGACCAGAGATGACCAGAGCACAATTTAATTGCAAAAATATATATAGAAATCTATAAAAAATAAACATCAAAAACCAAGAACCAAAAAAAAAAAAAAGACAAAAACAAAACCAACTTCACCCTTCTGCTCTTTCTCATTCTCTTTTAACTCACCCTCTCTCAGTCAACCCATTCAAACCAAACAAGAATCCGAGTTCTCTTCTTCCCAACCTCGAAATCGACTTCAATTCAGATTCATTCAATGCATCGCCAATCAATCGCCTCTTTTCTTCCTGCAATTCAATAATACGACTCTCAACCGTATTGGCCACAAGGATCCGATGCACATGCACTTCACGTTCTTGTCCAATACGATGAGCTCGATCCATAGCTTGATCTTCAACAAATGGATTCCAAAATGGATCCATTAATATGACATGATTGGCACAAGTTAAAGTTAACCCAACGTTTCCGGAACGTAATGAAATGAGCAAGACATCAGCTTGATTTTGATAAAATTGCTTGATGACGGTGTTTTTATTCTCAATTGACATTGATCCATCGTATCGTAAAAATGGAATTTTTTGATAATCTAAAACCAACTTCATTAAATCAAACAATGTTACAAATTGCGAAAAAATAATGATTTTTTGCCCCGGAGTCGATTCCCGAATCTCTCTTATTAGCTCAATTGCCTTTTCAATCTTGGCAGATGGTTCAAACCCTTGGTCTCTAGTGGTTAATTCCCGAATTATTGCAACATTTGACAAATTATGATTTTTTTGACGACCTCTGTAAAACTCTTCAATATTGGGTAAACTTTCATGCCCAATGTGTAGTCTTTCAAACATGGTGTATTCAAAAGTATTGGTATGCTTCACGGTGGCATTACAATCGATACATGTAGCAACACGACCCATTGACTCACTAGCTTCAACAGCACGTTCATCAAAAAATGTATCGAGACAAGCTAAACAAACCAAATGTCCACAATCTCCCAATACCGCAAAGTTGTTTAACTCTTCCACATCATAACAAAACGAACATGTAAATTCGCTACTCGATGAAGATGCCGCAATTTCTTTGATTCGGGCAATTGTATCTTCATTCAAAGATTGTATGTTTCGTAATTGTTTTCTCCAATCAAGTTTCAAGTTAACTTCTTCGAGTTGTTCCTTGTGATCCGCTTTGATATGCCCAATTTCAACAAGGTATTGATGACAACAAGCTTGTCGCAACCTCAATAAAAGAGTAAACACGCACCCGTTATCTTTCAGCTTGAACATTTCCTCTGCTTCTTGTTGAATACCCAACTCAACACCCTTGTAATACTTCATCTCATCACCTTCCAATTCAACATAATCGGAAACGACATGTTTTTCAGGCAAGTTCAATATCGGCTCTCCATCAATCTTGGAAGTCTTTGTCCTTCTAAGCAATACTGAACTCAACATGGCTCGCAATTTCCTCATTGAGTGCGATCGGTCAACATCATCAAATTCATCAGATTTAGATTTCAATGGAATCACAAGTGCTCTAAACTTGTCTTCAATATAATATGGCCGAAGTTTCAAAAAACGAATAATGGGGTACAATTCTTCAATCTTGTTTTGCATTGGGGTACCAGTCAAGCAAAGTCTATACTCCGCTTTCAAATACATGACTGCTTTTGATGCAATTGCAAATTTGTTCTTTATATTTTGTGCCTCATCCAAAATGACACGATGAAATAATGCATTTGAAGAGAAAAATGGTGAATCATAACTAGTTCCACCAGTGCCGTGTTTTGGTAAAAATCCTCTGCCTTCGTCAGTATGCTCCAAAAGCTCTTTACCATAATGCTTCTTCCATTCAGAAGCAATGAGTCCATACGATACCAAGACAACGTCGTATTTCTTTAATGCCAAGAATGTAGACATCATTTTCCGATTTTCCCCATGATAAATCCCCACTTTTAAACTGCACGAAGGTTGTATTTTGGACTCGGCTTCAGCGGCCCATTGTCGAAGTAATGAAACTGGAGCTACAATCAACGTCGTTTTCCTATCAGCATTCGGTGACTTGTTTGCGAGTATGAGAGCCAAGGCTTGCACCGTTTTTCCCAACCCCATATCGTCAGCTAAAATGCCACCTTTAGTTTTGGACTCTTCCATACGCTTTAACCATGCCAATCCCATACTTTGATGCTTCATTAGCTTGATTGTCATTTCTGGAGGCGTGGGCTCCAACCCTTCTTCCAATTTTTCTTCAGACACAATGTTGTCAAGTAAAGTTTGAACATCAACATCGGGTCCACCCGAAACAGTTCCCTGAGTTCGCGAATCTCTGAAAATCTCGGCTTCGTAAGGGTTAAAAGCGGCATTTACTTGATGACTCGCAGTTCGCAATTTGTTGGTGATTTCCGCCAAACTTTGTCTTACCGTTTGCAAACTTCCCTCAACAGGTTCGAGGGAACGTTGAAAGGCGTTTATATTATTACGCGCAGTGTTCATTGCCCGTTGGATCTTCGTCATCGCCAATCTCACTCGTTCCACGAGACTGTGATTCCCCATTCTACTGGCTTGACTTAACTGTGACTTCATATTCAACATTCTCAGATTCGACACTTCAAATTCTTGTTGATGACGTTGGATTTGCCCTGTTATTGTCCTTTTGATTTGTTCCAATTTACCAAACTCTTTTAATTTCTCAGTTTCTCTTTGTTTCAAGTCGTCGCGAGTGACTTGTACTAGATCATCAGTTACATGTGGTACGGGTGCTGGTTGATTGAATGAGCCAGGCATTCTCATATATCCAGTATATGGGGGAATTGAAGTAGGGGGTTGATTGTTGTGGATGTTGGCCGGGGTCATTTGAGTATGTTGTTGTGAACTGAATGCACCCATAGGTGACTGAAAAAGCGAAGGAACCTGTTGATGATTGTCGGAGTTGCTTGACACCGGTTGAAGTTGGCGATGTGGATTAGTAGTGGTTGATTGTTGATTGTTGTGGAAAGAGTTGTTGGCAGCATTACCTTGGTTATTGTGTTGTATTATGGGTTCCGGTCCACCTGGTTTAACACCCGGATCCATTTTGATACTATGATCGCGATTGTCGTGGGTCGCCACAGCTCCATTTCTAGGTTGAGGAGTATCACTCGCCACTCTCTTCTCCGATAGAATAATGATTTCATCATCACTGTCGTCGCCATCAAAGTTTATATTATCCTTCAGCTTAAAATTTTGATTAGGTTTGATGGAGGAATCTTTTTCAGAAACAACAAATAACTCTTCATCATCGTCTGATGATATCTCTATAAATTCGAGTTTGTGGGCATCGTTATTTGCAGTACTGTCGTGACCATTCTGTAGCAACAAATTTGAGCCGGATCCGTTCGATAACTCCAACTTGGGGTGTGTATAACTAGTAGACTTGAGCGAATCAAGTCTCTGTCTTTTTGCTGGATTGGTTGATAAATACTCCATTTTATAAACCTTGAGCAGCTGTAGATGGCATAAAACTTGTATCTGATTCCCCTAGTGGTTGAATCAGTATACTGATTGCAAATAAATGTTGGATGTATATACTTATGTATCTGCGATCGAAATGATGGAGTAGCGTAATCTTTTGAACTGCCCTTTAATCGGATGCCTCTTTTTGCATTTTTGTTTTGTTTTTCATCAATCAACGCGTTATGTAAGGAACGATAGACCAATTCATTGTCTAAAAATATGAACAGAGGGTATTCAACACCACCCTACAAGGTTTCTTACATTGCTCACCAGAACCTCTCATCTATTATCCGTAATTTCTATTTCTTCAAGCAAGCCATACACGCTTTTACAAGTAATCACCATTCTCCTCCAATATTTTATCCAAACAAATAGTCAACTCGTGCTGCAACCTAGGATGATTCTCATCAAATGCCAATCCTCGTTGATAGTCAGCTCTAGCTAGTTCATAATTACCCAAAAAGAAATTAGCAACTCCTCTTCTCAAGAAATTGTCAGGAGCATTCATTTGCATATTCAAAAGTAAATCAACATCGTTGTAAGCTTGTAAGTACTGCTTAGTTTTCAAATAAGCATCGCATCTACTCATGAGAAATTTTGATAACTCTTGTATTGTACCAGCAAAGCTTTCTAATTTAGGTCTTCTTTGAATCATTTCGATACCAATTGAAAATTGACGTACACTATCTTCAAATTTACCCATCTTAAATGCCTGAACACCACCATCATACAATTTCTTGACCATCTTGGATAAGTCCTTATTGAAATTCTCCGGAGTGGGAACTGGTGGCACATCACTACCCTGATTTATTAGTTCTTGCGTTATAACATTAAGTTGATCTATCTCCAACTTCAATGCAGGTATCGTGGAAGCTACTTCGGGGTCGAGTGCTAGTTTCTTACTCTTGGAGTCATATGAAACACCCTCCATTGCTATTAATGAACTATGTTAAGTGTATGATTAAGTGCTTGATCTATGAACACCTTGTCTGTTGATTGAAAAAAGAAAAAAACCGTTTCAATTTCTCACCTTTTGTACACGACCCACCTATAAATTCACATAATCACTAGTTGCAAAAAACGAATCATTCTACACTATATGCTACTATTGAGTACCTGAACAGTAGAGAAAAAGCAGTGTGATTGCTTTTATGGTAATTTGATCTACTGTACTGTTGCTTTCCTGTGTTGAGAAGAAATACTCGGTGAAATAAAAATATCAGTGGTCCCCGAAATCTTCTGAATCGATCTAACAGGGCGTTCTATAACACAATATTAGCAGCATTACGGATTTTAATTACGCCGAAAAGGACTTTAAAAGCTTTATTGATTCTTATCAATAAAACAACTAGACGTTTGGGTCTTTGCATTTTGAGAAATACCAGAACAGGATTACGATCTGCATAATATAATAAACCAGATGGATGTAATAACCTTTAGGCGTCAGTGTCACCCAATGAATGGGTTGTCATAGAATTGTAGGTGCAGCGATCATCAGTAGTAATGGTGCTTTTTAATTCATATCAAAAACTGTTCCAAGTTTTCCCTTTTTTTTTGCAATCATTTTTAGTTTCCCTCTACTTCCAACCCTATTTGCTTTCTTCTGTTATTACCTAGGGGAAAGCCACCCATAATTCAACAATAATGAACTCACCATCTTCACATGCTATTGAAAGGAATAACAACAGGTTCTACTCCTATCCAGTTTTTGGCTCAACAAAGTCTGAAATCAATGAGACAACATTTTCAATTAATTCACTTGAGAGTTTACAAAGTTATGCTGATATCAAAAAGTGTCAAGAAACCAAGGACAGCCGTTTGAATAATGTCAAAGCACGAATTAATGAACCCGGGCCTTCTTCATTCTACCCCTTGCAGAAAACTGTTGAAAATAAACCTGAGAATCATACATTACCATCGAAATTTTCAAGGTTTACAAAGTTCCTCCACAAGTTTCAATCAAAAATATCTAAATCCACCAATCTCAAAACAAGAAAGTACAACACCATAACGGGAATCAATGTTGCTTCTGCTAACAATGATCCGTCAGCTTCATCCTGGAAAAGATGTTTTTCAAGACATCATCATCATACATCCATGTTTTACACCACCAATGAGAAGCAAATCCATTTGAGAGATCCAGTTGATAAAGCTACCGAGGCAAAACTTATTGATATCTTCTCCCCGCCTGTCGATGAACCTATGAAGACCATTGACTCTTTCAAAGACCAAGCTTATGTAAAAAATCAAGAGATATCCACCACGAATCACGAGCCACAGAATTTTGGTTTCGATATTTTCTACAACGACAGCTTTTTTACCACAGCTGTAAGAAGGCCAGTTTCCTATGACAATTCACAAATAACGGATGAAACTATAGTAATTTAAGGTAGATGTAATTTATAGGAGACACTAATGGTTATGACTCCAAAATGCTACCAATTGCACTCTAATTTCTTTCCTCAAAAAATGAAAACAGTGAAAATTATCAGATTTGACTCATACTGAATTAGCCGCTTTCACTTGTCCGATTTTATTACATTCCAATCTAGCCCACTATTTTACTGAGTAGAGACCACTTCGACATGTTTGATCTTAAGGATGTGGTACGCCCAAATATTCTCACATTAGAACCTTATCGCTGTGCTAGAGATGACTTCAAAACAGGTATTTTGTTGGATGCAAATGAAAATACCCACGGTCCTGCACTTTCAGAAATAACTACTGCCGAAGAGTCATTAGAGCTTAATAGATACCCCGACCCACATCAATTGGAATTGAAACAACAGATTGTTGATTTTCGAAATGCATCACCAAATAAACACAGCACATCACAATTAACTCCACAAAATCTTTGTCTTGGTGTAGGGTCTGACGAAAGTATTGATATGTTGTTGAGGTGCTGTTGTGCTCCTGGCAAAGAGAAATTATTAACATGTCCTCCTACTTATGGCATGTACGCTATTTGTGCTATTGTGAATGATGTTGAAACTGTCAAAGTACCATTGACTATTCCTGATTTTCAAATTGATGTTGAAGGAATAGTTGCCAAATTGGAGTCTGATGCAAATATCAAACTCATCTACTTGACGTCACCAGGCAATCCAACGGGGAAACTTATCAATGTTGATGAGATTGTCGGGTTGTTGAAAAGGACCATTGAGTCATGGAACGGATTGGTGGTGGTTGATGAAGCGTATATTGATTTCACTGCATCGAATGGTAAATTCAGTGAGTCTGTATCTACTTTAGTCAATCAATTCCCCAATTTGGTTGTGTTGCAAACATTGAGCAAATCATTTGGATTAGCTGGTATTAGATTGGGAATTACATTTTGCAACACTGAATTGTCAAAGATTTTGAACTCGATAAAGTACCCGTACAATATTTCTTCGCTTACTTCAGATATTGCATTAAAAGCTACATCTCCTACTGGGTTGGCCGTTATGCACAAGTATGTTGACAGTATCATCAGGCAAAGACAACGATTGTTGAAGAGTTTGCTTGATTTGAAACATGTTGGAAGAAACATTGGCGGTCTTGATGCTAATTTCATATTGTTGGAGATATTGAACAAGGATGGTGAACCGTCGAACGAAGTGGCGTTGAAATTGTACAATACTTTGGCTATTGATAATGCCGTAGTGGTGAGATTTCGTGGTACTGAATTGAATTGTAAAGGAGCTCTTCGAATTTCTATAGGAACTGAAGAAGAAAATAAGGAGCTACTCTTGAAATTTGAGAAGGTGTTGAATGAAATAAATAGTTAATAGAAGGTGGGTATATAGAATACTGAAGTATACTAAACATTTACTATGTGTATTGTGTATTCACATATGATTGCAAAATGTATTGGATTGTGCTTCTTCAAGTCGTGTGCAACAGCACCAAAAAATAAATTTTTCACTTTGTTAAAACTTGTCATTAAAATATCATCAATACAAAAACCACCACCACAAAACAGTACGATTTCCATACTATGGCTAGACAGAACTTTGTGGGGCTAGTCGTATCCCAAGGCCGAATGAACAAGACCGTAAAAGTCAGGGTGCAGGGGAAAGTGTACGATAGAAGAATAGACAAGGAGGTGATTCGAAGAAAAGATTTTTTAGTTCATGACGAAGGAAACATTAGTAAAGAAGGTGATGTTGTTCGTATTGAAGCCATCCCTAAAATATCCAAACGTAAAGCATTTGCCATTGCTGAAATCAAAATCAATAAGGGTCAACAATTTGCTCAATATGAGGATCTAGCCAAACAAAGAATCAAACAAGAAGATGAATTAGAAGCCAAAAAGTTTATCGAAAATAAAGAAAAATTCAAGAGTATAGTTACTCAACTTGAGGATCTTAAAAGGTTGGATCAGTTAAGTTATCAAATCACCAGTGGCGATGAAGAAACTGAAGCCAATTATCAAAACCTAATCAATGAAGTCAATTCCATAAAGGCTAAATATAATATCAAATCATGGCCATCAACGGACCCCATAATTGATCTAGAGTTGAATGAGCCTGTATATACTTCTGAAATTGAAAAGAGAGTGTATCATATGAATGATATTTTGGACAAAGTTATGAATGATTCAAAGTATTCCGAGTTGAAAGTGAAGATTTTGAGTGATAAATTTCAAAATAGACCAATTGATGAGATACAAAGGAGTGTTCAAAAGAATGTGTTGAGAAAGTACTTTATGCATGAGAAAAATGAATTGCCATTTGCAATATAATGGGTGTTTTTGTACATAGTTTAAAGCTATTGAATAGATCAGGTGGTGCTTTATTGGGTAAGGTGTAAGGTGTAGCTCTTTGAAGCTCTATTAACGTTCCGTGGCCGTCGTGAACTGGGTTTTTGTCACAAGTTTGTTTCTCTTTTTGCTTTATGGATATAACCGGAGTTAATCATGGCATCTCTCGTATATACGTCCTACCAAAAAAAAAAACACCAACTAAAACACATCTTTCAAAAGCAAACACTTGATTACACGTCCAAGTCTCTTTTATACCGTGTCGAACTTGTCGTCTACACTATTAGGGCTGTCGTGGATTTACTAAACTTGGTCAGGGACTCCTTTCAAATCTCAAAGTAAACCTTACCACAACGTCATTGAGTACCACCACACAAACACACAATACGTACACACAAGCAACAGGCAACACTTAAGAGTATGTTACAATTAGACACTGTTACTCAGATATAGCTTAATCATACACACTTTCTTCCGCTATCCATGTTTGACGGGTCAAAGTCCAGTAGTACATCCAGCTTCAAGGATGCATTCAAAAGAGCATCCTCATCACTACGACCACAACCTTTAAATGACAAACGTGCCATTGAAAGTATTCAACGTTATCAAGATATACTATCGCCTATATTGATTAACCGGTATCAAACACCACGACCGAATGAAGACAGCTTCGCTGAACCCAGAAGGAAAGTGACACCAATTGCAATAAAGCATTCATTAGATATACCTTTAGAATCAATACTTAATTTGTACGTGCGACCTGGAGAGCCTCATTTCGTAATGTGGTTTTTGATTTCGTCATATTTCCCCCTTATTGCCGCCTGTCTTGGTCCTTTGTCCAATATGATTTCTATTATCGCTTTAATTGAACACTGGCGAGTTGATGTCAAGACAGGGTATTACCACCCCGACCCACACAAAGTAGTTGTGTTGAATGCATTATCATTAGCTTTGGGATTGGTTGGAAACATTTCCTTATTGATGAATTTCTCCCGATCTGTCAAGTATTTGATAACTCAATGTATTTCTATTTTTTCATGGTTTTGTGCATGTATGTTTCTTGTTGCCGGGATTTTGATTACCAATTATCAAGCATTGGATGATTTCATCAATATTCAACGTTCTGAAGGATTTTATTTTGCTTGCTTCACTGCCGCTTACTATTTCTTATGTATGCTGATTTTATTGATCAATTTCGCTGGGTACAGGTTAAATAAGTACCCTCCTACTTTTAACTTGGACCAGAAGCAAAGAACCTTAATGGTTTACACCATCATGTTTAGTGCTTGGAGTGTTGCAGGTGCTGTTGCCTTGACCCATTTGATTAAAGAGATTTCTTATGGGTCAGCATTATATTATTGCACGGTATCTATTTTGACTATTGGATTGGGAGATATAATCCCCAAAACATCGGGTGCAAAAGTGGTGGTGCTTATCTTTTCTTTGGTTGGTGTACTCATCATGGGTTTGATTGTTGCCACTTTACGATCGGTTATTCTCTCATCCGCTGCTCCAGCGGTATTCTGGAACGATACTGAAATTCAACGAAGAAGATACGTTGACAAACTCATGACTATGAATAAAGCAATTACTCCAGAGGAGGCATTCCATAAAATAAGACGCATTCGTAATCAAGTTAAAACCGTACGGACCAATATTGGATTATTAATGACCGTGTTGGTGTTTCTTGGGTTTTGGCTACTTGGTGGCATGATTTTCCACTTTATAGAAGGATGGTCCTATTTCCACTCAATTTATTTTTGTTTCCTTTGTTTATTGACCATTGGGTATGGTGATTATGCTCCCAAGACAAGTCTTGGACGCGTTTTCTTTATTTCATGGGCAATATCCGCAGTACCATTGATGACGATCTTGGTGTCCAATGTTGGAGATGAGTTATATGACACTTCAAATCAATTGAGTGAATGGTTTAGTAAATGGATGTTTCTGCCTGATAACGCATACGAGGAAAAGAAGGCAATCAAGAGAGAAATCAAAGAAGAATGCGGTGATGACGTCACTGTCAACTCGACAATATTGGCCGAGGAGTTGCGAAATGATCTTGATTTGACACTACGTGAGTATGGTGATGATGCTGAGGCCAACAGTTGGAAAGTCGAAGATGAGATAGAACATGAAATTCTGGATTTAGACGGCAGTGAATCCACTACTGGTGCGGCTAATGCTCTGATGAAAACTCAAGAAACAACTCAATCATTTAAATTGCGTAAAGTACAACGCAAGATCTCCAATCGAGCACGAAGACATTTGGAAGTTTTGAAATATTTGGAGAAACTTAAACCTTTGATTTCAGACTGTGTGACCAATCCCATGAAGAAATACTCTCTCAAGCAATGGCACGAATTTTTCGAAATTTTAGAACTCGATGAAACGCCGAAAGAAGTTGAGGAAACGAGTAAATACGATGGGTTTTGGTTGGGTGATTACAGTCCACTTCGACTACCGTTAAAAGAGCCCAATTTCATGGTATTGAAAGTGTACAATAAAATTGAAGAAACCGTTGCTCGATTGATTGACGAGGAAATTGATGATTTAAAAATGATGAACAATCAGGATGAAGGAGTAGAGATTGAACCACCTGCCGCATCTGACAGGAAAGTGCAGTTTGAAAAGTAAAAGAGTGGAATGCATGAAACTGCGTGGACTTCAGTTCCAGTTTGTTTTTTTTTTTTTCTTCTCGAGGTGTATACTGCTGTTTAATGTTGAGAATCTTGAGATCTTGTGACTATAATTTGCTTTTTTAAAGCTACTACTCTGGCTTCACTTTTGTGGTGCAGTTTACTGTTATCACTCGTTTTCGAATTTTCTTTTTTTTTTTTAACCGCGTCTTGATGACATGTTTTGATGATAAGTAAATCTCGTATCTTGCAACGCACCAGTAGATGCATTAGAGCATTACCGTCTAGCCAATCAACTTCGCAATGAACTACAGACGATCTGATAGTGATGATGATATTCATGCCCCTATAGAACAGACAGAGCACCACGAGCCAGTAGTTTTGAAAATTGATGGGGTGTTTAAATTAAAGTTATCGCAATTAAAGTACTTTACATTTGTCGTTATTGGAATCGCCATTTTATGGCCATGGAACTGCTTTCTTTCGGCATCAGCATACTATGGACTCCGATTCATTGGATCGCCAAAATTGTCAAAAGTTTACAGCTCGACGATGATGTCTGTGTCAACCATCACATCAACTTTATACAACTATTATCTTTCTCAGAAACAAACTGGTGCTGACTACAAAAGGAGAGTGCATGTCGGTTTCAACATGACTATAGTTATCTTTACGTTTATGGCGATAACATGTGTTGTTCAATTATTTCTCGATATGAATGATACATTATTTTTTATATTGATTATGGTTATGGTGTTGACGTCAGCTACTGCTACGTGCTTGGCCCAAAATGGTACTATGGCAATTGTCAATGTAATGGGAGAAATATACGCTAATGCTGTAATGGTGGGGCAAGCCGTGGCGGGTGTTTTACCGTCTTGTGCATTGATCGTATCCATCTTGTTGGTGGGAGAGAAATCATCCAAGGAAGAGAAAGTTGACAAGGACTTCGGTGTATTTGTTTACTACATTACTGCCAGCTTAATTTGCGTAATTTCAATTGGATTGTTGTACTTGATTGAACATCATAAACCTCAATCGGCTTATCAAAAATTGAACGATTTGATGGAAATGGGAGAAGGAACAGCATTGCAACAGGAACCAGACATTGACGTGGTTGAAGATGTACCCTCACAAAAGCTGTTTATCCCATTTTCACAATTATGGAGCAAATTGAACCTTGTTGTGATGACCATATTTTTCACATTTGGTATCACTTTAGTGTTTCCTGTCTTTGCCTCTGTTGTCGAGTCCACAAATACGAATCTGGAATACAGGCTATTCAGCAAACAGATTTATATTCCATTTGTGTACTTAATGTGGAACTTGGGCGATTTAATGGGAAGATTAATGTGCGGGTATCCTAAATTGCACATGTTGATAACTACACCAAGGACAATGTTTATATACTCGCTAGCGAGATTGGCATTTATCCCACTTTTCATGACTTGCAACATTCACCCAGGAATATCTCAACCTTTCATCAAATCTGATTTCTGGTACATTTTATTACAAACATTATTTGGGATTTCCAATGGACAACTATGTACTTCTGCGTTTATGATCGTTGGTAAACTATGTGACTCAGACGATGAGAAAGAAGCTGCTGGTGGATTTACTACTGTGTTCCTAAGTGTTGGTTTAGCTGTTGGTAGCGTTTTTAGTTATTTGATTGTATTGATGGTGGGATAAGAGAACAAAGTCAATTACGTACACCGAAAAAAATATACAACGAGGCTGTAAATCATCATTTCTTTTGCTGACGCAACCAGCCACACAGAATGTCGAGTAGTGAATTCAAAGCAGTTGGACTTGCCACCGTTAAGGGGATTGGACGAGGATCCAAAGCCTTGGGGAAAGCAGGGTACAAAACTTATAAAAAGAATGAAGCTAAAAGACAAGGAAAAGAATACGTTGAGCCAGCTAGTGATGGTGATGGAAAGTCAACAAAATCATCAACATCCACCACCAACAACACTGAAAGTGTTCATGAGCCGTATACCTTCAAACCATTACCGAGCAAGGAAACACTTCAATCGTATCAGCCGCCACCAAGGAGAAACGTTGGTGCTTATAGTCCATCCGAGAGGAAATATACCACTCCACAAAGCGCTCAAACAACTTCACAATCGGGTGCTCAGCAACCTCAGCAGTATCAGCAACCTCAGCAGTATCAGCAACCTCAGCAGTATCAGCAACCTCAGCAGTATCAGCAACCTACTCAGCAGTATCAGCAACCTACTCAGCAGTATCAGCAACCTACTCAGCAGTATCAGCAACCTACTCAGCAGTATCAGCAACCTACTCAGCAGGCTGAATATCAGGGTCCACCACAGTATTCGCAGACTTCTCAACCTGTAGAGCAACCACCAGCTCAGCCTGTCCAACAAGCTAATCAACCACCACCTCCTCCCCGACCGGCTCAATCTATCCCTGCAGCTCAGTCGTATAGCCAGAATGCATTGACTACACAGCAGGGACAGCCAACACCATTCGCACAAGCCAACAATCAGAGTGTTTCAAATCCCCAACAACAACCTCAACAAGCATATGCGTTGCCTTCGCAACCTGCCTACCAACAACCTGTGACGGGAGCTCAGGAACAACATCAAGTGATACAAACGCAAGAGTATGGGGAGGCGCCACCCCCTGCTTACGACCAGTATAACCAAATTCAGCAATACGGACAAACTTCTGCGACTCTTGGACTGCAAGCGCAAGCATCCGCGACTCAAGTGGCTCCGGAACAGGCTCAAGTGCCACCACCCAGCTTGCCTAGTCGAGCCTCTGCAATAGCAGTTACATCACAACCAGTCTCAAGTTATAATCCGCAAACCCAACAACCAATCGGCCATGATTTGGTTCCCCCAGCTAACCAACAAGACGCCAACCTGGCACAAGCGCAAAAACCAAAAAGACCGTTACCCGACCCTACTTCATTCGCGCCTCCTCCTACCAGAAAAGTACAATCTCCGGATATAACAGGGTCTTCACACAAAAGGGGATCATATTCGAAGCCATCACCAAAACGAAGTACATCACTGTATCAAGGAGGATTGGCACCACCAACCCCTTCTCGAGCTTCTTCTGATGCTGGCGCTACCGGCCTACAGCCACCTCCATTACCTAGTCGAAGTAGCGCAAACAGTGTTGCAAGTGATACTTCCACCAAGAAAACATTTGACTTGAATGCATTCCCACCACCACCTCAAATTCCTCGCCATAAACTGGAAGACAATAGAAAGAAGAGTCACGGGTCACCACTGAGAGTGAACGATATTGAGAGTGTTGAGCAAGAGGAAAATGATTTGGATGAGGACGCTCCATCTATGCCCGTAAGACCGCTGCATAAGATGCCGTCTACTACCTCGGTAACAAGTTCAGTGGAGGAAGCTCCTCCAATGCCGCAGAGACCGCCTCAAGGAACAAGCTCGGCAACTTCAATCACTACCTCCGTTGGTGAAGCTGAAGAAGCTATACACAAGAAGAAACCACCACCAAATCCTGTTAAAAAGCCAAAGAGTTTGTCAGCTGAAAATCTGGGCTTCAAAGCTTCTGATTCCTCCAACCAAGGGGTGCAAAGTGAATTAGAAAACATGTTCAGAAAAATGAATGTTACCAAATCGAATTCGGAACAAGAAGAGATAATGACAGAACCACCAACTTTCAAGCCTAAACCGGCAAAGAAAGTGAGTCCACCACATGTTAAGCCCAAACCAGAGGTGAAACCAAAGCCAGAAGTGAAACCAAAGCCAGAAGTAAAGCCCAAACCAGTGACTATGCCATCTGCTCCCCACTCAGGCAGCACAGCAGCCGTATTGAACTCTTTTGCTGGCCATGCCAGGTCTCCTACACCTCCTCCTGCACCTAAACCTCGGAACTATAAAAGAGCTGCCGCGCCCACCCCTACGGCGGAGAAGCAAGGACCGCCAAGTTTGGATTTGGAATTGGAAACACAATGGTATGCAAATACAAATGGCCTCAATCTTCCCAAATCTTTAAAAGGTCTCAATTACCAAACGAGTTATCTGTACTCTACATCTGGAGGGTCACAGGTCTGGAATAGAATCATTACCGCTCGTTTGAAAGACATGTCCATCGTTTCTTACAAATTTGTGTGGAATGCGAGTGATGTTGCATCTGTTGCAGTAACCATTCATCGATTTGTTCCTTCTCCTATATCAACTATACCACCCAAGCATGATCTTGTGGCCAACCATGAACGATTTGGAGAATATGTAGCATCATGGAGTGAGCACCATAAAGGTCAACAAGTTGGTAGTGGAGAGTGTTGGGATTTGGCCAAATTTGCTCTCGAAAAGGGATGCGGAAAACATGCCTTTGTATCACAATACTATATTCACGGATATCCAATTTTGCAAATTAAAAATTCAGGTGCTGGGGTTGAATTTATTAATGGTTTGCCGCAATTGGATGAAATTAGGCGTGGTGATATTTTACAATTCAAATCGTGTACCTTCTTCAATTCAGTTACAGGTACTACACAAACAGTCGGAGCTCCTGATCATACTAGTGTTGTTGTTGAAAATGATGGAACAAAGTTGAGGGTTGTTGAACAGAATGTGAATAATATTAGAAGAGTGATGGATGGAGAATATATTTTAAAGAATTTGACTGCTGGTGAAGTGTATGTATATAGACCAATGCCTGCTGAATGGGCTGGTAGTTTATAGAAGGGTAGTTTAAATCAAATTTAGGTACATTTGAATAATTCAATAGATGGTATCTGGGCTTTTCGGAATTTTTTCTTTTTTTCTGCTTTTGCAATCATCATCTCACGAGGTTAAGTCATCATCGCTTGATAATCCACTGTAACGTCTCCCCCCTTCCCCGCATATGCACTCAGAAGAACCTGTGGCACCGGCCCTTTCAACATATCAAGATGAGTCGACATTCTCATATGACAAGGTTCAATCAACGCACAAAGAGCGAAGGCATCTCCATTTGAAAAGTCCGCAAGACCAAAATGAGGTACTTAATAAAATACGAGATTATTATTCATTAGATATACTTGCTGAAAAGTTGTCAGAAATTGATGGCGATGAGCCTAGGTATAAACGTATTACACTACAGTTTCCCGATGAACTAATATGTGATTCTGCTACTATCGTCCATTACTTGCAAGAAAAGCTCGAAATCGATGCATCCAACCCAAAGCAAAAGCTTTGGATCCTTGCTGACACCTCGTACTCTGCTTGCTGTGTTGATGAAATAGCTGCTGAACACGTGCACAGTGACTTAGTGATTCACTTTGGAGATGCATGTTTAAACGAAGTGGCCAAATTGAACTCAAAATATGTCTTGGGCAAGCCCGAAGTTGATGTTGATGAGATGGCAAGACAATTCAAAAACAGGTACAGTACTGGGGACAAGGTTGTCTTGATGGCTAATGCCCCATTCACCTATATTCTATATCAGTTGAAGGACAAGTTGTCAGGGTACAAAGATGTGATTGTTGCTGATTTGATTGTACCAAGTTGGAAATCAGAGATAATTGGATACCTACCCACGTATGATAACAAGGTTTCCAAATTTAACCGGACGTTCCCTGTGGAGAATATATCAGAATGCGAATTATTTCATGTTACAGTTCCCGAAGCTCCAAGATTATTACAATTAACGACAAATTTTGCATCCGTCACAACATATGAACCCGACACAAGTACCATTTCACAAGGTCCATATCCCAACTTGATGAGGCGATACAAATTCGTTCATGTTGCTCGAAGTGCAGGTACTATAGGTATTCTTGTCAATACGCTATCATTATCAAATACAAAGCAATTAATCAACACGATAAAGGACAAAATCAAGAAAGCTGGCAAGAAGCATTACATATTTGTTGTCGGCAAACCAAACGTTGCCAAATTGGCTAATTTCGAAAGTATTGATCTTTGGTGTGTGTTGGGGTGCGATCATCAAGGTATCATCATTGATCAAGTGAATGAATTTTTCAAACCCATTGTCACTCCGTATGAGCTATTGCTTGGTCTAAGTGATGAGTTGACATGGACTGGGAAATGGATCACTGATTACAAGAGCGTCATTGAAGATTACAAACACGATGAAGAAGATGCGCCCAGGGAGGATGATGGTGATGATAAGGATGAGGCCAGTTCTGATGAGGAGCCTGAGTTTGATCCAGTTACTGGTACCTATGTGAGTATGTCCCGACCTCTTCGACAAATCAATCACTTGAGTATAAAAAACGAGGGCGAACAAGAGACCAAAGCTAATAATGAAAAGAGGTTGGTGGAAAGGTTTTCTAACAGCGTCGCCATCCGCAATACCGTCAGCACTTCAGCAATGCATTTGCAGAATAGGCAATGGACTGGTTTAGGAAGTGATTATGCAAACGACGATGGATCAGACGTCGAAGAGGAAGGTGCTTTGGTAACTGAAGGAAGATTGGGTATTGCTCGAGGATATGATTTTGATACGCAAAAACAACAAAGCAAGTAGGGTGAAGTTTGGTCTAGAATGTGATGATGTGGTCTATGTGTGTATTTTGGTATGTTTGTATATATCTTGTAATGATTGCAAAAAATAAAAGCTTACATTGCCCGTTCTTTTCCTTCAAGTCACTTACATCTCCTTTCTGCTCAAACAACTCTAATTGCTATATCATATCTTGCTACATCACATCATAGTCGTTATTCAAAATTATGTGTTTTGCAATGTTCAACAATCAACCAAATGAAGGTCGTAATTGGGCAGAAATAATTCTTCTCATTATCGAAGTTTTCACATTCATTCTTTTCTTCATATCGTATGTTATAACACTAAACTAACAACGCTAAAGACAGCACACACACACACACACACACACACACACACACACACGTACACACGTACACACAACTCCAGGAGAAAACCACATGTACTAACAACCATGGATAGTTTTTTCTCGCTTTGGTGGACTCCGCTACCCTATATTCTTTTGGCCATATTCATTATTTTGGTGATTGTCAGTTTCATATTGCTTTTCATTGAAGGTTACAACTATCCACCAAAGACACAATGGAAAAGTTTGGGACCAAATGATATTGCTTTGATTACTGGCGGCTCGAGTGGACTAGGTTTGGAGATTGTGAAGTCGTTGTTGATGCGAGATGTCATGGTGTATGTACTTGATCAAAATCCAGTTCCATTGAAATTAGCCGAGGAAACAAAACTTCATTATATTGCTTGTGATTTAGGAGATGAGTGTGAACTCAGGGATAAGTTGAATAGATTGATTCATGATTTGAATGAAAAGAGGCAGTACATTAGTGTTCTTGTCAACAATGCTGGAGTCAGAGACCATCGCTCTTTGGTAAATTTGAATTTCGAAAAAGTCAAGGCAATGTTTAATATCAACACCATCCTGCAAGTTTATATTTTGCAAAAAGTACTTTCTAATCACTTGTCCTACAATGGAAATGGTAAATTGTCAATTGTTACCGTATCTTCCATATTAGGGACATTTGCACCAAAGAATTTATCAATTTACTCAGCAACAAAAGCATCACAAATCATGTTGCATGAATCGTTACAACAGGAATTGAAACAGTTCCCCAAGATAAGATTGTTGTTGGTGACAACTGGACAAATGAATACTGAATTGTTTAAAGATGTAAAACCTACAAAGCAGTTTATCGCACCAGTTGTTGATCACGTTGAATTAGCTCAAACAATCACCAAAAAAGTTGATAGAGGTTACATGGGCTGTTTGGCAGCACCAATGTATGCTAATTTCCTTCCAGGAATAAGAACTGCTCCGTTGTTTGTACAAGATTTCTGTAGATGGGTGAGTGAAATTGATGACAAGGTCAAGGACATTATTTAAGGGATAGAAAAAGACCATGGACGTTGAGAAAGTTAGGACATTCGTTAGCTATATATATATATATATATGTATATGATAGACTAAAGCTAAGGAGTTTATTCATTCTTCTTTCCCGCTCTGGATATTTCATCACTGAGTAATGTGGTGAATTCGTCTCTATTAAAGTATCCAATAACATCGAAAAACTTATTAAACGGTATTGATCCAGTGACAACCGTGTCTTTGAAGGTAATGGTGACATTGTAATTAGGTTCGTATTTTTTGATATCTGAGGCAATTGTTATTTTATTTCCCTTGGAGTCCACACCAATGTATTTGACATTCTTGTATTTCAAATTGATCAAGAATAAAATTACATTAAGAAATCCGTAAATAACACAAGCTGCCACCGTTATAGAGTAGATTTGTTTGAATTTGTATTTTTTATCAGCAAGAAACAATAAACCAGCAACAACAACTGTTGATAAACCAAGTCCTAGTTTGAGATCAGTTATAGCGAATGATTCCTCATACCCCAATTGTTGTAATACTGAGTTCAAGTTTTCGTCAGTCGTCTTTTGTAAATCTTTGACTGAATTAAGATTCGTTTTCTTTAGTTGAGACATGCTGAAAGCGGAAACGGGTGATGTTGGAACAGTCTCTGACTGAAAAGATATTCAAGTGAAGTAGTGGGTCTTGTAATGGTACATATTTTTTTTCTCTCTGACTATACAAGCACAATAGTACACGTGTAACTCTCTACTTTGGTGTTCCACACTTTTGGTAAAGAAAGAATAAATAGTGTGTACGTATAACGCATACAATCGGGTTTATTGCCAATGAGTAAGTAATAGCGTACATAATACATTGGTGTAAATTGTAAGCACTTTATGATGAACTTTGTAAAAAGTATGTGTATAAGCACGTGTTACTGTATCACGTGTACTAACTGGTAGCTCTCTTCTCAATCATCAGCAGCCAACAACAAACAACAAACTACCCATCGGCATTTTGCCCTACTTTGCTCTTCTTTTCTTTACACCAGTTTATTCTCCTTGTTTTCTCACACAATTCCCATTTGTGAGAAAAACATATAGGGGATACGAGCACATCCGTTTGAAAGACACACATCTACAGCATAGTTGACAGAAAATTTTTTAGCTACTTTGACGACTGCATTTTTGCTATACCGGTTGCATATAGAGAAAAGGTGTGATAAGCAAACTTTTATCCACTTTTGCTTCCAAACAAACACTTGATTCGGTGGTAGACTATATACTTCACCCACCCAGCATGCATAAGTTTGTCCGCTGATGACAAGCTTACCTCCATCTGATAATCAAATGACCGATACTAAGAACAAATTTACTGGATCTGGTTCCAGAACTCCGACCCCTCAACAACAACAGCAATCACTCGGCTTCAACAAGAGGACTAACGGCAAACGAGTACAAAACAATCGTAACAAATTCAGAAAGTATGACCACAGAAACGATAATGAATTAACTCCATTGGAATCACAATTGACCCAAGGTCGAAAAGTGAATGGAAATAGCCGCAAGAATCAAATCTCCATCAATCATTTGTTAGATTTTCAATCGTACCGTGATACCGAAGAATATGCTATGAATCATCAACGGGATCGTGCCAGGCGGAGGTCCAGCGGCAACAAGAAAAATCATCCCATTAAGGTACAATTATCAGGTATGAAGTACATTAATGTCAATTTTAAATTTGTGGTTGATTCAAGGCTGGATTACAAAGTTCAACAGTTGGATCCAAATGTTCCAGTTGATGTGGCCAACATCATATCAATCATTGCTCCAAAAGCTAGCTGCCCAATTTGTCTAACTGATGATATAGTTGCCCCTCGTATGATAGTCTCGTGTGGTCATATTCTTTGTTTGAAATGTGTCTTGTCCTTGTTGGAGCAAGAAGTTCCGAAGGCTAAGAAACGAGAATCTGCAGCAATTGTGGAAAAATATCGCGAATGCCCCTTGTGTTTTTCCGTTATTCGCAAGCAGGAGTTGAAGCCGGTGATTCTTCAGAATATCTATGAGCAAATCGAAGTGCCTAAAGTTCGTGAGGAGGCTGTCTTAACCTTGATGATGAGAGATCTGCACAAGATTTTGTCTTTGCCGAAAGCAATCGCTGTGTCGAACCATGTGACTGATTTCCCTGATATCAATCAGACAGAGTTGGCGTCGTACCTGAGAATTTTCAAAGGTGATTTTAATTACATGACATCGTTGTACGAGATAGAAAAGGCTCAAATTGTGGCCAACTACGAAGAAGAGAAAGAATTGTATGGTGATGATCTGGCTTTAGTTCAGCAAGCTTTGTCTCACATAGACCAAGAAGTGGCTGATTGGACGTCTAAGTTGGCTGCCACTTTAGACAAGGAGCATAAGCATAGTCATCAACATGATAATGCGTCATCTTCACCTCCATCACATCAAACGTTCTATTACTATGAAACCGGATTCAATGCCGGATGTACATATGTACTTTCGCCATTAGATATGAAGATTTTGAAATCGACCTATTCCAACTATGAGAGCTTGCCTACTAGTATCGTTGCCAAAATTGAAAACATTCGTTATGAAGAGTTGACTCAGGAGACATCAATGACTAAATACAAGTACCTCAGTCATTTGCCCATCGGCTCACAGATTGGATTCCTTGAATGTGATTGGAATCATAATGAGTATGTTTCACAACCAATCTGGGAGGCGTACAAAAATGATTTACTCAAACGATCAAAGAATTCAAACAAGAGGTTCCTTAGAGAGGAGAGAAATCGAAGACGTGCTGAGTCGGAAGAGGAATTCAGATTGAGACAGTTTTATATGGAAGAGAACGGATTAACAAGTGAGGATCTAGCAAATGGTGGAGGGTCATTTTCAAGTTTTGATCTTGGTAATCGACTTGCAGGTTTATCTGTTAATGGAGGTGTTATGCCACCTTTGTCGGATAACCCACTATCAACTGAAAGTGAAAATGATGCCAACAATGACGGTGAAAACGAGGATGCTGTAGTCAATGAGGAAGATGGTACATATACTACCACTGTTTGGGGCACAAAAATCAAAAAGTCACAAAACGTTATTAACAATTTCCCTGAAGTTGCTATTGAAGATGAGTGGGATGATTGGGATGCCGACGAATTGATTCGAAAAGCTCGCGAAGAGAATAACGAGAATAATGGCAGAAGCGAAGCAACAAGTAGTAGTGGTATTGGCAAAGGCAAGCAGAAGAAGAAGAAGAAAAAGTTGATCTTGATGTCATCGTGAAAAAGCTGTATTCTATTCAATGAAATTAAAGAAAACAGCTTAATCTATAAAAGATTATAAATAGTATTTAGGTAAAACGGTATAAAGGAAGTAAAGGTACAAGGTATAAATCAGCTTTCTTCAATTCAAAAGTAGTTTCTTCAACTTATTGGAATCAATGAAACCAATTGTGGTAACAGCAACATTACAATTCAGCAATACATAATCAATGCTTTTCAGCGTTTCATCAAGAACAATATGATGATTTCCTGTTGCGTCACGTTGTTTCTTATTTCTGCTGAGAACCTTGTCTACATCATCGTTCTTAAATTTAAAGCTTGCGTGATCCCTTGAACTTTCCACATCTTCAATGACTTCAACAATTTGCCCGTTGAGTTCCATTTCGAAATCAATTACAGGAATATCAACTTCAGACTCGTGTATTTTTGGAGATTTCTTATCCAGAATCATCACCTGGTAATCCAAGTCTGTAGTGGGACTAGTTTGACAAAATGCATGACGGAAATTCATACTGGGGAACTGGAAATGTAATCCAATTGTGGAAACAGATCCATCAAGTTTAGCATTGTTACTAGAACCAAGCTGAGTAAATTTATTCACTAATGAAACCACGTGCCTGTCAATCATCTTGACATTTTTAGTATATACATTCAGATTCGACAATTGGAAATCAACATCGCCAAAAGCTGTTCTGAAATACTTTTCGTCTTGATAGTAAACTTGATGGTAGTCTTGAGTCGAGACAGCAATGGCATCAACTTTCTCGGCATTCACTTGATTTATCATAGATGTGATGACTTGTTGATGGTGAAGTCCTTCATTGGGTCCAATAATGACCAAATCTATATCAAATTCTGGGTAGTGCTTTGGAATGAGTAAATTCATGGCAATATTCAAGGCATTCACTGCATCACAGTTAATATACCATGCATTGTGATTACTTGGATCCTGTCCGTATTGATTGTTGAGCACGAGATCTGCTTCCTCTTTGGCTACTTCTTCTTTCAAGACGTCATCCTCAAACACTACTTGCTTTGCTCGTTTTTGATTGTCATTGCTCAATTTTGTATAGTACTTTTGGTGTACTGGCAACAAATGTCCATATTCACCACCATCTTTAATATCTTTTATACCAGGTGTAAATTTACTAGGAAGCGGCAAATTCATGTTCTGTTGGTATAAAGGAGCAATCAAGACAACATTATGACCATGTTGTTGTAGATGTGATTGTAGAAATCGTACATCTTTTGAAGTCCAGTCATCAATTGATGTGAGAAGAATATTAAGTGAAAACGTGGTAGTAATGATACATTGAAATATTAGCTTGGAAGCAATTAGTCTCATGGCTCGCTCGTGTGTGTTGTTCGAAGATGTATGCTTTGATGTTAAAGGTATGCTGGAACTGATGCGCTCATGAAAGTGAAAAGTCACCTTCTCTTTCTATTCTACTCAATGTGGGCATGCGTGTTTCTATTTATACCCCTTTCCATTGTGGTGCACGTTTTCCCTCTCTTTCCATTTTAGTTTCATCTTTGTGTGAGCTTTCATATAGTAACGGGTGCAAATCAAAGAATATTGAAAACGTGCGTATATTGTTTTAGTGGCATGGGCGGCTAAATACGAATTGTTTTCTAATTTTATGGAAAGTTTTGAGTTTTAAGTTTTGTTCATTACCCTCGTGGGTTGGTTACACAAAACATGAGGTTATGGCGTCTAAATTTACACAGTTTTATATGAGGGATCCGCACACATCTCTAAACCCCATTCCCTTCGCAAACCTTACCATGTCTATGCTCTGTTTATCTTGGACGAGATACTACTTTTTGGTGGCAGCTTTGAATTTACCTCAAAGCAAGGTGTGTCGGTTTTCGTTTGATTCAAAAAATTGAAACCTCAGTTATGAGCCTTATTTTTTGTGTTATTTCCTTCAATACACGTGTGCACCTTATGCGTGCAATTAGGAAGCTGCGTTTTCCTCCTCGCATTGATTGTATCTGAGGGACCAATTACGTCAAGATATAGCCGTGCTATATGAGCCACTTAAGACTATACTCTGTTCTATTTTTGGAGTTTATGAAATCAATGCTCTATAAAATAATTTATTCTACTCAAAATTCTATTTACGTCTACGTCAAGTACGTAAATATATTGAACTGATCTAGTTTACTCTTTCACAAAGAAATTGAGATAATCCAATTATGATCATATCCCTTTCACATGTTAATCAAGTCAACAATCAACTTTTGATCTTCTTCGCTCAAGTTGCCAAATAATTTCTGAAAATGATTGGCATCATTTTGTTGAAGGTCATGTAAATACACATTGAAAATTTCAAATACGTTAACTTCATCCAACGGCGTTGTTGCTAAAGGATCTTCAAATATATCCTCATTACTGGAATCAAAAAATCCCAGGTGGGCCAATTCTGCATTCTCTGCCTCAAGAAATTCAGTGTATCTACGGATCGCGTCTTCATCCAAATCTTCTTCGCCATCACCAACACCAACATGTTTCGTGTCATGATGATCTTCGTGACCTGCCTCATTGGCTTCGATGTCATCTAGGTCTTCTTCCCATTCATCGTCGCCATCATTGCCGAAACTAGTCGATGAAGGGAATCCTTGATTATCATTCAATCCATCAATGTCTTTTCTCTTCTTGTCCAATTCAGGTATGGCAGTTGATAATGCTTTCAACACTGCAACATACTTGTGGGAAATTTGCTCGACAATCTCCTGTGGTAAAGAGTCAACTTTGGACAAACTCATCAATCCCAATAATGTCAACTTCAAATCAAAAACCCTTGATAGTTGAGGGATCATTTCAAACCACTTGCTGAAGAACTCGACAAATTGGTTCGATTGTTGAAGCAACATGATAACTCCTTGACAGTTGTATATCATCGATGCAACAATAACATTGAATGAATTGACGGCAAAAGCACTAGTCAACTTCCTATTCGCCAATTTATCAAAATTCTCGAGATCAAAGCAAACAAACTTGGAGTTGAATGCGAATGCTTTTTCCTCCAAACTCAACACGAAAGTTTGAGCAAACTCGAAAGCAAGATTCAAGTCGGCAACACTTAGCTCAGATCCATCAGATATGATCAAACACCATATAGAAAACATTGCCTGGGACAACGTTTCATTCCTTTTCAACTCTTGTTTACCAAAAATTAAAAAATTTTGCAAACAGGGCATTAATTCCTCCACGTACAACAAAGCTGTGCCATTTTCAAAGCTCTTGTATAACAAATCAAAATTGGTCCACATGCGAGGTGTAATTGATCTCAACAAAAATATTGAGTTATCCATCAATTCACCAACCTCAGCATAAAATTCATCCATTTGATTTGAAAACACAAACACAATAACTGGAGAAAATATTTCCTCCAACTTGACACAAATCTCTTGAGAGTTTTCAAATGACAAGAGGACAGTAATCATGGTATTGATAAATCCGACAGCCGCCATAGATTTGTCTCCTTGATCGTCGTAGTTGGTATCCAAATCATCGACTTCGACTTGCGATGCATCGTTGATCTCAACCGCAAGTCGCATAAACTGGGATACCAACTTGGTCATCAAATCAACTCCAAATGGTTGCAACTGTTCAGAAAAATTTTCAACACATTCTTGCATCACTACTGAAATAGCATCATTATCGATTTCATTTGACATTTCCAAAAGTTTCGACATCGTGGGCAATACAATTGTTGATAACATCTGCTTAAATTCCTCAACGGGTATAAATGCTTGTATTGCTAATGCACTATTGAATTGAACTGGCAATGATACGTCAGGGGCATTAAAGTTTTGCAAAATACCATGAACCAAGGACGACAAAGTTTGAGGGTTGGTGAATGTGACATCTGAAAATTGCGAGCACACTTCAATCGCTCTTGCTTTGAGAAAATCATGCTTTGAATTTAAATTGGGGATAACCAATGACGATAACATCGGTTCAATGGATTCATCCTTGGGCAAATAACCTGAAATGTTTCCCAAAATCCTCAATAATCCTTCCTTCTTTCTTGCCGCATCCAAGGTTTCCTCAGGAGATTGTTGTTGCAATTGGGTCAATTCAGTTTGTATTAAATTAATGATTGGTTTCAAGCATGTTTTTCTGCGCTTGTGCAAGGCAGTAGCGATAAATCCTAGTGCTGCAGACTCGGCATTATCATAATCCCCTGTTATATCAAAACACAAGTTGATATATTCTTGAGGGTCTTCTTCGTAAATTTCCAAAGTTTGGTCTGATGGCACAATGACCGGGTATACTAAATGTGTGATTAATGTTTCAAAGTACGGTTTTATCAATGTCCAGGTAGGTTGTTCAATAATACAGTGGCTCAAAAACTCGAGGATTTGATAAAGAGCAGTCACACCTAACCACCGCTTCCCTTGGCAGTACTCCTCAATCATTGTTAAAAACTGTCGTATAAAGTGAGGGATAAACTCACTGATGAATAACTCATGAAATTCTTTGTAAGACACCTTCCTGGTTAAGTTGTTTGAAGATGCATATCGTATGAATAATCGCAAAATGTTTGCAATGGCCCACTTGTAACACTTGGATATCTGTAAAAAAGATTTCTCTTGTTCAGTCAAATTTGAGTTGGTTACATAGCTTGGAGGATTCATGCTGATTACTGAAGCGTGGAACTCGCCCCACGCGAAAACTTGGTCTCTGGTGCGTAATGGTTCAGGAAAATCGTAGTACGTAACAAACTTGTACGATTTGAGAACCATTTTCAAAATCTCTGCCTTGAGTTCGGTAATCTCTTCTCCATCTGCAACACTCTTTACCATCGAATCTCCCACTGTCAACAAATAAGGAAATACCTGATCAATGAGGGTGTACATCTTTGCTTGTTTCACTTGATTATCAGTCCATTTGAACTTTCTGGCTATTTCCATAAAACACAATATTGCCGTATATAAATGGTCTTCTGAGCTCAGCAGTTGTGTCAATAGTTCTCCTGTTTGTTGTAATAGCAGGTCCCAATTATCAAACTCCAACGATATCAATAATCTCAAAACTGGGATCAATTGTTGTCTAGTATGGTAATCACAAACAAGAATCACTGGTATTAAGCGATCCTTTATCACAGGTCTCTCGTCGTTATCTATGCGAAATTTATTTGATTCATCTTTTATCTTCCAAAACTTGATGACTATGTTTTTGAAATACACAGCTGCAGCTTTTTTAATGTGAACTGGTGTATCCGATTGAGCTAGTATATCCAAACAACACCCGAGAAATCCAGGCTGTGTAGACAACTCTCGAAGCTTTCCCTCTGCATTATTTCTCGCCTGAACATCAGTGAGTAATGTGCCAGCAAAGCATTCGAGAATCAAACTTGAATTGATCATTGTAGTCATTATACCTTGGAGAGGGTCTGTTGACTGTTTTTTATCAGCTTGTGTAATCGAAAAATTTTAACAAAATTTTTATCTGTTTTATTTTTTTTTTCTTCTAAAAGTCATGTGACCCATGTGATGAGATTGTGTTGTTTTCCCCCCTATTTATCCTCGAGTCCAGTCAAAGGTAAGGGTCTGGTTTGTACTTTTTTGAAGTGAGTTGTTGGGCCAATGATTGGGGGTGCGTTATCTATACTAGATTGCTAAATAAGTGACAAGAGTGTAACTCATCAAGCGAATCATCTTTCTCAAAGAATATCATTTCATGAAATATAAAGATTAGACAACTCCATGGTTCTGCTCAGCTCGGAGTTGTGCCATCCCCCTTGGCAAGGAAATAGCTCTCAAATCTAAAAGGCATTGCTTTAAAGAATAGACTTCCCGAAAATTCACATTGCATTCTCCATTAACCATCCGCTTTTGCTCTTTATTATGCTTGACTTCACTAATGGGAATATTACAACATTGTACATGTTGGCTCGCCACAAAAGCTTATTTTTGCAACATTAGACTTTAGATATTCAAGCAAAACTATTCCGATGAGCAACGGCAAGATAATAATAGATAAAGTGACCCTTGTAGTTATTTACATTACAGCACTGAGCAACCTCATCTCTGCGGAAGGGTTCGGAAAGTGATAGGGCCTTAAGGGGACAAAACAGAGAGAAACTAATGCAAGGTCAACAAGCCATCGCTGCTAACTTTTGGGGGGGAAAGTTAGTTTATTTGAAAATCAAACAAATAAAAATGTTAAAAGATGAAACAACAAATTGAGCTTCATTGATGATTGTTTAGCCCCGACTACATTATAGCACTTTTAGTGAAGCCAGGGTGTTCATGTACTCAATAGTGAATAATGTGATGAGGTCGGCCTAAATGAAAAGATCTCTTTCATTTTGAGTCCTCATTGAGCTCGTTACTGTATACTCTATTCCCCGAAAATTATTTCTCCTCAAATAATACACTTCGGTATTAAAAGGCGTTATTTTGCAAATGTTATATTTTCTTGGTTTCCTGAAGTTGCAAAAAAATAAAAATGTGTTTCTGTAGCCATTGAACCGGGGAATTAATAACAATTCTACGATCCCAACACCATCTTATCTTCCGATAATAATTATTCTTGGTAGAACTATTACGCTTTCGGAGCTATTCCGGATGAAACCCCATAACGAACTCTCAAAGCTAGTTTAGCATGTCGTTAATCACAAACGAATGTGCAGTATATATAAAGCCAGGCTTTCAACCACGTACAAGAAAGCTTTCCAGTAATTTAACAACTACTTACGATACTCATCATCGCTCCTAACTCACTATACTATGATTAGTCACTATTCTTCAATTTTAATTGTCATTTATATTTCACTTTGTGTTCACGTGACTGCGACCTTACTCAGCTCCTCCTCAAATAATCAAGAAAATTATTATGATTTTACAGAGGGCATTATATTCGCAATTGAGGATGCAAATGAACAACAAGTCAGCTGCTTGTTTCAAAATGTACCTTATGAGATCATAGAGTTCCCAAGTGTACCAGTCGTTGTTGGAAATGGAAACCTTAAAGACACAGTTGCGATTAGCACGGCGTCCTCAGAAATTGGTACTACCTCATCATTTGCCGTTACCGTTTCACAATCTTCGACTGTGGAGATATCAAAAACTACCAGCACCGTACAGGCACCACTCCCAACAACAACAACCACAAACAACGAACCTGGCTGGCTTTTTGGCTGGAATTTTCGTGACCAAACTGAAGGAGAGTCTAGCGGAATGCAATCTCCAGATATGGAGTTAGATGTACTGAGTGTGGTGCCGGAAACGGATTCCCTCTGGAAAGTTACATTCCGCATCAAGTCAGTGTCTGATTCCAAAAAATTAACTGCAATGTATGGATCCTGGGGAATTGTTGTTGATTTGGGGTTTTCAAACAATGGCTATGCGACCTCATTGCGATTGTATGGATTGGACGCAGAGTATGCGTATGCCGATCCATTCGATATGCAAGCAACTATTTTTGTGACTCCCTCATTGCATGGTAGTTATTTTTGTTTGCCAGATGATTTCGGGTTTACCTACCAAACAGTAACACCACTGACCTCACAATCCGATGATATTCATTCTGTTTTCCAATATTTTGTAAATCCCGGTATCTTGGAAACACATGCAGAAGCTGGAGTTGCTGGCAATCAAGCTGATTTCGGGGGTCTTGACTACACTAAGAGACGCGGTGTTTCAAACTTTTGCTGGAAAATTCCTTACTGTTTCCTGGCCAAATCTACAACTTCATCTTTGTCATTGGCAACTGAAACCTCCGAATCAGTATCAATGGCGGAAACTATTGTCGAGATTTCAGCGGAGTCGGCAGTGAATTTGGTTACCACCTCAATTATGGAACCTTCTGTTGAAACACCTTTTTCGTTAGAATCTGGAATAGCCAGTGAATCCGAAACGTTGGAACAATACGGCTCTGAGTCCCTTGAGCTATCAGCAGAAGCACCTTCTGTTTCATTACCTACCGAATCTACAACCGAGTCATCATCTGAGCCATCATCTGAGCCATCATCTGAAGTAGCATCAGAGTGGACAGCCGAATCATCAGCCGAATCATCATCTGAGCCATCATCTGAGCCATCATCTGAAGTAGCATCAGAGTGGACAGCCGAATCATCAGCCGAATCATCATCTGAGCCATCATCTGAGCCATCATCTGAAGTAGCATCAGAGTGGACAGCCGAATCAACAGCCGAATCATCAACTGAGTCATCATCTGAGTCATCAACTGAAGTAGCATCAGAGTGGACAGCCGAATCATCAGCCGAATCATCATCTGAGCCATCATCTGAGCCATCATCTGAAGTAGCAACTACTGAGGTGGCATTCAAACCTACAACTGAAGCAGCGCTTGAATCTACAACTGCAACAGCATCTGAATCAACATTTGAACCCTTATCGGAGGCGCAAACTGAAATACTATATGAGCTCACGAGCGACTTCAGTACAGAGAGCGGTACTAACCACAGCACACACTCCAATGCTGGCTCGTCATACACATCTGACACAGAGGAGGAATCATCCTTGGTCTCGCTTACAGAGCAACTTTTCCAATCTTACAGTGAGTCGGTATTTGAATCGCAGGAAACAAGTGACAACGTGTGGGTCAGTGAATCCTCGGTAGAGTCCTTGTTTGAAACCTTAATTGAAACTTATGTATTGGGTTCAAACCTGAGTACATCAATAGCAGCCGTTGCAATCACCGAATCCTTTTCATTGGAAACTTCTGCTTCAGAAATCTCCCTGACGGAAAGCGAGCTTGTTGTTGAATTTTCGCTCGTGCCCTCACAGCTGGCTGGTAACACTTTAGAGACTACAACCGCAAGTGCATATACCACCTCTGAAACAGTTTCAAGCAATTCTGAAGCGTCGGTCGAATTTACTTTGGAATTCTCGTCTACATTATCCAGCCCAGAGTTGCTACAAGAATCGATTCACATTATATCGGAAACAGAATCAACAGATGAAGTATTATACCCATTAGAAGAGACCGCAAGTCTTTCCAATTTTGAATCATCAATGGAGTCAATTGCTGTTGGGCTGCATTCCTTATCGGGATCAAGTACAACTGAATCAAATACGGTATTGACTACAAGCTTGGAAAACAGTACTTCATATTCGATAATTAACCTGGGCGAAACTAGCGATGTCACCTATGTGCCTACCGATTCAACCACGGTTATTTCCAACTTATCTGAAGTATATGAGTCGACCTCAAATTTCAACTTGAGTGCACCCTCAGCTGAAGCTACATTAGGCGAATCTGTCGAGACTACATCAAGCGAATCCGTTGAAGCGTTTTTAAGCGAAACCAATGAAACCACATCAAGCAAAGCCGTTGAAACATCGTCAAGCGAATCAGCTGAAGTATCATCAAGCGAACGTATCGATGAATCATCACCCATTCACACATACACCAATCCCGTCAAAAGTACTACATATACAACTGTGGCTGCCATTACGCCCTTCATCGAGACCATTGAAATATCAAATTTGTCAACGAATATTGAAAGTTCAACCACGTTGTATGCAAATTCAAAAAATGATTCAACAGATATTGCATCTGGAAGTCAAACAACTTCATTGTCCATTGAAACGTCATCAGTTGCATCCTCATACTCAACTTACTTGAATTCAAGTACAATTAACTTTGTTGTGGAAACATCCCATTTCTCATCAGAGAAGAATTCCTACTCCAGTGTAACTTTAGAACAGCAGTCATTTGTAACAACTGATTCATCATCCGTGGTTCCTTTGGCTACAAACACTGAAGAGGACGTTTCACTCGGATCAAGCAATAGTTTGGAGAGTTTGACATCTGCCACCAAAAACACAATAGCAACGTATGTTTCATCTTCACCAGCTACCACGGTATCATATACAACCAGCCAAGAATCGAGCATGTTGCTGCTGTCTACAATTTCCTCATCAAGTGTTGCAAGATCATTGGTATCTAATGTAATGGTTGCTGAAACAAGTGCGGGTATTAAGAAGTCATATGCAACTGCAGTTACTGAGACTAGCTTGAGTTTTATCGAGGAACCATCAATTTCCCAATCAACTGATGAGCCTACATCCAGCGCAACTGTTGATTCATGGAGTACAGACAACTTAACCCATTCTTCAGCATCTACGAACCAAGAGTTGGCTGTGGCTAATGAGACTGATGATGTTACAACTAGCAACACAGAGTTTAGTGAAACTGATCTTACAAACACTTCAACGATTTCATTGTCAACGATTATACGTGATGAAACTATTCCAACCAGTACATCATCTGGTACAACGATGACTATTCAAATCGTTAGTACTTTAATTTCATCTACTGAGCAAACTCAATCAACCGATAAATCAAGTCAATCTGGTGAGTCAATTGAAAGCTCCCAAACTGCTGAATACGAACTGGTCTACGACGCTACTGAAACAATATCAATGCCATCACCATCATCCTTATCATCAGCATTATCCATGTCATCATCATCTTCATCGACTTCATCATTATCATTATCATCATCGTCATTGTCATCGTTTCCGCCAGCAGCAGTTGCTCAAACGTTTAACACATCAATGATTAGTTCAACTTCAACTTCAGCATCTTATACTGATCCACTGCCACCGGTGCTCAACCAGTATGTCGACGGGTCTAACCACTTGGTTCCTAGCGTTGTTGCACTACTCCTAATGGTCATTTAGTTACGCATAATTTGTCATTGGTAGAATACTTTATACACTTACATACATGTTTATAGAATATAATGTGTTTAATTACATTTCATCACCTTCCTTCACCTTTATTGGTTCTCTTGTATTTTTGGTTCTGGGCCACATTGAAGGCAAGCGAACAACTTGAAACCTAGGTTCAACGCATCGTTCAATAAACCAAGTGCGCAATCTATTTTCAACTAGAGTGGAAATTTTGGGTACATCTTGTAATTTGGCTCTTGAGCCAATTAACGATTTAACGACAAATTCTAATCGATAATCAGGGGAGAATGAAAACATCAAAGCTGTTCCATTACCGTTGTCATTGTCACTATCGTTATTTCTTTGATGTTGTTGAGAGCCATTCAGTTCAGGCTTGTTGTTGCTGCTGGTGTTGTTGTTGTTGATGTACTTCAGATCAACAAACTCCTGATCGTTTGTATTGATTAATGAAACAGTCAAACATCCGGAAAACCTCACCAAAGACACAGTTAACGCCACTGGTAAAACTGCAGTTAATGGTCGTGGATGATTCAATAGCAATCTAGTCTCAATGCCCAAAGTCAATGTGTCGGACAAATCAACATCAATTTTGGCTTCTAATCTCCCCGTATCTTCGTTGCTTTGTTTTATACGACAATTTGAAAAAATTGGAAAATCGTCGCCAATATCGATTTCAGTCAAGCTAATCTTGTCCATAAAATCTGGTAATGCACTCTGGTCGAGAAAATCTTTCAATGAATGGTATATATTATCAGCTAATAAAGCCTCAGTTCTGAAATGTGATATGGTTTGAGCTATAAGAACATTGAACCAATCGAGTGATTCGGGAGCGTGATTGTGAACGTCATAGTATGTTTTTTCCAAAATGGCTGAGACTTTAGCTCGATTACTCAATAATCGTTCATCTTCAGCTGATGCATCAGCTTCTTCCGGGTTGAGGTAAGAATTACGTTTGTTGTTGGCCTGTTTCTTATCTCGTTTGACAATTACACCAGATGCATCTCGAATAATGGTTTTCGATGGTGTGGTCGATGAATCAGCAAATACGAAAAACTTGATAAATATAACGACAATAAATATGACACTCAATTGACCAACAATCAAACCCTGTGTGAAACTCCAATGAGTGGTTTGCTGATGAAGTGGTAGATTGTGTAGGCTTTCCGGTTGTGCATGCTGGTATTGATGCTTTGATTGTTCTAGGATGTAAGCTTCATGCTGATGGCTCAAAATCTCTTGTTGTGCTTTCAATTGTTCCTGTAATTGTTGCAAAAGTTGTATTTGGGTGTCCTCTTTGGATATTTCCAGTCGCGAAGCCGGTAGTTCTACTGTTGAAAGGCTTGAAGGCATCCTTGGTTCGTACGTGAATCTGGTCAATCTCGTGATATCCCTCACCTTATAATTTTTTTTTCATCAACTGTGTAAATCGAAGATAATTGATTTCCCAAACTCTTTTTTATAATACAACACTAGTGAAAATTTACAACTATTAAAATATGCAAAAGATATACATAAGTACATGAAAGAGCAAGTCTGCCTCATTCAGATGAAGATTTCCCTTTTGAAGCTTTCTTCTTTGGTGTAGCCAGCGCAGTTTTTGGGGTACTTGAAGATTTCGATTTGGAACTTACCTCAGGCTTTGGAGTTGCTGATACTGCCTTCTTGGGGGTAGTCAGTGGGGCCTTTGCTGTACTTGACTTTGGTTTCACAGGAGTACTGGTCACGCTAGCAGAGCTACCAGTACTACTGCTTCTGCGTCTAGCTCTCCTCACGGGCTTAACCACAATCGGTTTGATCTCCTCCTCTTCAATCTCATCAGCATCCTCATCAAAAACATCATCATCCTCCTCATCATTGTCCCCCTGTATCCAAGAGAAAAATGCTTTTCCCGTTTTGTTTAACTCCTTGTTGGCATTTCCAATGTATTTTGACGCAAAATCAGACAAGGGACTCCCTTTTGTTGGTGAGTCTTCTTCTTCATCGGTTGTTAATGTTCTACTATCAAAAGAACCATTTTTAAGTCTCCTCTGCTTTGCTCCATTTTGGTGCGTTTCCAAATACTGCTTCACATTGAACTTACGACCACGCATAAATTCTCTAATTTCAAAATACAAATCTCTGCTAACATTGTTGATGTTTGTCTTGTTTCTCATCCAGTAGGTTCTAAAATCATTGATATGCTTCTTAAACTCAAGCTCGTTTTTCTTGAGCCAACTGACGTTCAAGTCTTCTCTAGTGGCACCTCTAGCAAAATTTCTCATCAAGTATTTATCATAATCACGAATAATTTTCGTTATAATGTCTGAAGTTGAAATACCTTCAGTTCTCTGCGTAGTTAAAAACATTCCCGCCTCCTTGATGGGCTTGTAAATGTCATCACTATCAGTACTAGCATATGGTAAATCATCATGGGCAACATAATCAATCTTGTGCTCTTTTAAAAACTGAGGGGTTACACACCATGGGGCATTGGGGATGACTTCGTCAACCCATTTACACTGCTTCAACGTTTCACATCGTTGTTTATCTGTTAACACCGTGAGACCTTTACGTTTATGGGTTTCGACATCAGACGGAATTCCGCACACTAACTCAACATTATCAAATGCCTTTTTGGCCTGCTCCAATTGCTTCATATGACCTAAATGAAATAAGTCAAACACACCGTCAGCATATACTCTGATTGGTCTACCTTCTGGTGGTAGATTGAAGCCATAACCTCTTGGTCTATATTTCCGAAGTTCAGATGGAAGTTGCTCGTCTAATTCCCTTTCACGTGCCTCGAATTCCTCTTCTTCCTTTGTTTTAATCTTTCTTCGTTTGTGATGAGGAGGATTACTCAAAGTATCTTCGTTGCTCTCGTCTTCCACATCAGTAGCATTCTCACTATCTGAAGTTGATTTAGTTGTGTCAGTATCGTCTTCACCTCTCTTTCTTTTGCGTTTAAATAATGATGATATTGATTCCATTGAGAGAGTCTTGGTTAGTGGAGAACCATTCAACTCATTTTCAATGGCTCGTTTTCTAGTTAATCTAACCATTATGAATGAGCAATGAACCAATTGCAATAAACTAAATCTTTAATGAAAAGAAGATCAACTGATTAGGTGCACTAAAAATGTACAAGAATTACAATTTTTCAGGAGGAAGGATATTTTTATGAGCGTTTAGAATGGAAAAACTAAACAACCCAACACAACAGCAAACATTATTAAAACGCAAAGTCATTTATACATTGAGTAATTATTTCGTTTTTCACTTTCATGACAATGGACCCGGGGTCACACCTCTTTCGGGCGAAGTAGTTTTAATTCTCTAGCTCTGGTTTTTCTTTTCCCCGACCTAAACTACTTCGCCTTCCATGAGTTACTGGGACCTAGTTTGTTCTCTTTCTCTTTCACTCGGCCATGGGATCCGAAAAATAACTCCGGTCATAACTGAACAAATTACATCATCATTCTAAAAACCAGAGCATTCACATACATACGGCATTTAACTAACTCAGTCTAAACAACCAAATGTCACGTATACATTCGATTTCAGACTTGAAATTTATAAAACCACCTACGCTACATTCTTGGCTAACAAAAAGTGCCTCACCTCATGGCTCCTTAGCAATAATAGACGTTCGAGAATCTGATTACGTAGGAGGGCATATCAAGGGCAGTTGGCATTTTCCAGCTGGTGATTTCTATACTTCATTACCAGAAATTTATAACAGAATTTACAACAACAAAATACATGACGTTGTATTCCATTGTATGTTATCGCAATCAAGAGGTCCTTCAGCAACTTTGAAATTTTTACGATCAATTGATGATATTGTTGATTCAAAAGTGAAGCTGTATTTGGAAAATGATGTTCATGTGTACGTTTTGAAAGGTGGATTTAATAGATGGCAAGGAGAGTATGGTAAAGATTCTAGTGTTACTGAAGATTATAATGCTGAATTATGGGAAATGGGACTATAAGATGTTGTTTTTGCATTGAACTTGGTGCCGGTGAGCCATGTGTATTCAAAGTGATGAGTCCAGCCAATTCTACAGAGAGACGAAATCGCTCATCGCGATACCCGTTTATCAATATATATGTGTTTTATAAAGTATACAGGTATAGTTCTATAAAATCTTTCAGCAAGCTCATTTCCTTAGCTCTCAAAAATCCTTTCATCTTGTAGATATCACCTCTAGATTAAGCTGTCAACATTTGGGTCAAAAGTACGACGAGCAAATGGATTTGTAGATTGATGTTGCAATGGTGGGATAGATTGTTGTTGCTGCGGCTGCTGTTGCCCGAAAAAAGAACCTCCTTGAGGTTGTGTATTTTGTTGACCAGTGACAATTCGTGCAAATGGATTTGTGTTTGACCGTTGCAATCCTGGACTCGATTGAGACTGTAATTGCATCTGTGGTTGAGTAAACTGCAGAGTAAATTGGGGCTGTTGATGTTGCTGCATAGCTGGAGCAGTTTGCACTTGCTGGGCTTTTTGCAAAAATGGGTTTGTATTTTGATGTTGTAATGGCAAAGGTGTTTGTTGTTGAAACTGCGTTGAGGTATATTGTGGTTGTTGCTGTTGCTGCAAGAATGGATTGGTACTTTGGGGTTGCAATGGTTGTTGCATAGGATTCGTTAGTTGAGGCTGTAATGTCGTTTGACTACCGTATCCCCCGAATCCAGTACCCGTATATGAAGTATGCATTGGTGACTGATAGGGTTGTCCTTGAATAATTGGAGGTAACGATAATCTGGATTGGTGACCAAAGGTGTGTTGTTGCTGTTGTTGCAATTGTTGTTGTTGTTGTTGCAACTGTTGTTGTTGCGCTTGCTGTTGCGCTTGTTCTTGCTGCTGTTGAGCCTGTAATTGTGCTTGTTGTTGCTGTTGAATCTGTAATTGTGCTTGTTGTTGCTGCTGAGCCTGTAATTGTTGTGCTTGTTGTTGCTGTTGAGCCTGTAATTGTGCTTGCTGCTGCTGTTGAGCTTGTTCTTGTTGCTGCTGTTGTTGAAGTTGATATGGATCAACTTGAGATTGTTGTGTGTATGCTTGAGCATAAACTGGTATAGCAATATTATTCCATGGGTTATAAGTTTGTTGAACCACCAAGGAAGCATGTCTATCAACCCCACTGGCACCACCGTTACTCAAAGTCTGTTGTGGAAGCTGTTGCTGGGAAAGCTCTTTTTGTTGTTGTTGTTGTTGTTGTTGTTGTTGTTGAGTCTGCTGAGGGGTTGTCTTCGTTTCATCTCTGTTACCAAAAATTGGTTTCTTCGGACTATCGGCATTCTGCTTATTTCCCTTTTCTGCTAAATATTGACGTCGATTAGCTTCAAAATTTGGATCATCCAAGTACTCCTCCAATGAGCTAGTTAACGCCGTTGGTGCATGTTTGATAGTAGGCACATGTAACTTAGTAGCATATTCAAGATGCTTGGCCACTCGTAAATAATCGATAACGTATTTTGTCTGGTCAACAAATTTCTTGTAAACTTTTAATGATCTTTCAGCATCATATTTCGACATTTCAAAGTAATGCTCCAAAATGTTGATCACGCCTTCATTGAGTTCCTGAAATAATGCCAATAAATCATTCACCAATAATCTAAAAGCAGTCAAAACTATGTCGTTGTTTATATCATTTTCCATAAAACTATTCTTGAGTAATGAATCAATTTGCTTCTGAACACTTTCAGTTTCTCTCAATAACCCCTTTTCGGTGGACAATGATCGTAATCTCCCACCTTCTTGCGTAGTGCTATTATTCGAACGTTCATCTCGTACATAATCAATTCCTGTGGCATCAAATTGTTTGACTCTGGTATGTAAGTACTTGGAATACTTCATGATTAATCGAACATCAGCATTGTAATTACCACTATTGTTGCTAGCAATATTACTCAGAGACAAATTCAACATTGAATGGCCCTGGTTAGCCAAATATCTCAATGCGACATCTTTGTCTCCTTCTCTAATCATAAGATGAATAACAATCAACGATTTGTAGACCACTGACCATGAACTATCACGTAGTCTCTGTTGTAACGTCCTCATAATCGTATTGAAATTGTCAGCAGATATAATTGAGTGGTCCATTGAAGTAGCCATCAATATCGGCTCAATATACTTAGGCTTTGGGGCAGCCACTTTAACCTTGGTCGCCCCCTTGACAATCTTCTCATAAGTGGTCATCTGGAGTGTATAATATAAGAGGCTCGGCTATGATTAAAATTGCGCTTAAGCCGTTGATGCAATGGTTAGTTGTGTGAATGAATTGTTTGAGTGGCTCGTTATATGAGATTGAGATTATATGTGGATATCAAGGTGTAGATCAATCGCAATTGTTGAGATCTGGCTTATTTTCAATAATGTTATTTGTATGCTCTCTGGGTTGTACGTGCAACTGGGTGTTGAACAATTTTTTGTTCTCTTGTTCTTCTATTTTTAATTTTTCGTCATTGAAGTCGGCGCTTTGTGGAAATCTCGGCGTTATTGGCTGAGTTGAGATACACAACAGAGACTAGGTGTACACCAACGAGATGGAATTAGGGATAACTTTTCCCCATGGTTCTATAGGGGTACTTCCTTTATTGTTTGTAGCTATTCACAGGGTATATATATTTATGTATATCATTAGTCGTTGTTGTACGTTTTGGTAATCTATCATCAATTCTAAAATCCCACACACCCCTTTTCCACACCTACATTATTTCGCTTTCATTCCACCTCTCTTCTCCAAGCACTCTTTGGCTTCATTAACTTTAGTAGCCAAATACGACGATCCACCTTTATCGGGGTGATTTGCCATCATTAATCTTCTATGTTGTTCCTTCAATTTCAATTTACTTAAATTAGTTTCTTTCAAGTTCAAAATTAACAATGCTTCCTTCGGTGTCATTTTGGTACCGAACCCGCCTCGATGGAATGCCTTACCATTGATACCTGGCTTGTTTGACTTGACTAATCCAGCAGCAAAATAGGCAACTGTTAATGCACCGAATCCTGTTATCCAAGGATGATCACCCATCCAGTTGACACCTTGGTCAAAGTACCATTCTACCGACCCTTCTGTAGCTTGTTTCTTTTGAAGTTGACCTGTGTAGTACGGTTGTTGTTGTACTTGATGTTGTTGTTGGTGATCAGTCTCACCAGGTATTGGAAGTATAGGTGCTTGTAAAGGTGCCATTATAAAAGTATGCAGTATAATATGTTAATGTGTAAATAGGAAAAGCTTAACCGTTCTTGTTTTGGTCTGATCTACTTTAGTAGTTGTTGGTGGCGGGTAGATGAAAATTTATCTTTCAAAAATCTTTCTATGAACACAAACGCCGAGACAAAATTATCATCACAGCCAAATTATTTTTTTTTTTTTGCATATTGAGCTCATCTCATCATTAAAGAAACTGTATTTACAATCCTTATCATTGGAAGTAATAGACTATTCGACAGGTGACGTTCATCTACTAACTCACTGCTAATTACATATACAAAATATAACCCAAGAAAACACTACACATATATATATTTGAACAATGAGAGTTTATCAGTGTCATTTTTGCTCATCACCAGTATACCCACTTCATGGAATAACATTTGTGCGTAACGATGCCAAAGAATTCAGATTCTGTCGTTCCAAATGTCACAAAGCTTTCAAACAACGTCGTAATCCACGTAAATTGAGATGGACCAAAGCTTTCAGAAAGGCTGCTGGTAAGGAATTGGTGGTTGATTCTACTTTAACTTTTGCTGCCAGAAGAAACGTTCCAGTTAGATATAACAGAGATCTTGTGGCTACTACATTGAAAGGTATGAGTAGAATAGAAGAGATTAGACAAAAGAGAGAACGTGCATTCTATAAGAATAGAATGAAGGACAATAAGGAAAGAGATTTTGCTTCTGATAAGAAATTAGTGGAAGAGAATCCAGAATTGTTGAGATTGAGAGAAGTTGAATTAAGAAGAAAGGCTGAGAAACGGGCATCTAAAGAGAACGCAATGGAAGAGGAAGAAGAAGAAGAAGATGTTGAGGAGGATGAAGAGATGGTTAGCGAAGATGAAGAAATGGAAAGTGAAAGTGAAAGTGAAGGTGAAGGTGAAGAAGAAACTGAAAAGGTTAAACAGAAAGTATTGTTGAAGAACAAGAGAAAGACAAGAAGATAATAACAGTGGTATTATACCACTTTGAAATTTTGTTTCAAGTTTACTTCTATAATGTGTATATCGGTATCAAGTGCATCATCCATTCGTCTTGTCCTATTCTGTCCCCACTTTATGATAAATCGAATCCAGACTCAGTATTTATAGCATAAAGCAACTTCTCCCTCATAATTTCTTTATTCTGATAATCAGGTAGTTTTAACAAATTGACACACGTTGAAGCTGTAGGCAATCTGGTCACATCTCTTCCAGAATTACGAATACCGAATTTAGGATTCAACACAGCAAATCCAAGCAAGGGAGCTCGACTAACTGAAGTGACAAATTTGATCAATTTCGATTTCTCTTCTGGTGTCATTTCATAAACAATCTCCCAAAAATACCGTACGCTTATATCCTGAGGTAAATATCCTCCATATTCAACGTTATTTTGCCAGTCAGTCACATCAACATCCTTCTTACCACCAGATATCAACATTTGCAATTCATAATAATCAAACATCATAAACCATTTACGTGGTATGATTGAAAATAGCCCCGATAGGAAAGCTTTCGATTGTGGCAATAATGATTGGTTTAATTTGAAATCGGCAAATTTGTGAAGATAAAATTGAATATTTGGCTTTGCTACAGAAATGGATTTCCCATCGGGTATCAATTCAAAACTATGAGTTGCGCCGTCTACTTTTTCATCAACGGCAAAACTCAAATCCAAATTGCGTAGCTCCACGTCAGTCATGTGGCTTAGCTTAATCAAGTTTTTAAACAATTCGGCATCAAAATAACTCAAATCATTGATGGTGTTCTTGAATCCATCCATACACCATTTGTTGATGAAAAAAGGCGCAAATGACACATCAATCAAGACATTCTCGTACAAGCATTTGCCCACACACATTCCCATAAATTGAATGTATTCTAATTTGCCTCTTGCGTCATAAACGTCGTGTCCAAGCTTCATCTTGAGGCATATCTCTTCATTTGGGTAAATTTGATTATCACGAGTTTCTTTGAATAACCCCTGAACTGGATCAAACCCTTCTTTAACAACACTGGTCAAAAATTCCTTGGTGATTCCACCCCCATCTATCCCTGCTTCCGGTCCATACTCATTGAAAAACTCCACTTGGATTCGATTCTTGAACAGATTTCCCATTTTGCTGAATGCCTCAAATGCATCTTGTAATAAATTTTGACGTCTAATTTCGGCTTTGACCCTCGGTTCCATAAAACCCCAATACGGTGAGCTATTTTGTCTATCAATTTCAATCAACTCTTGAAATATCTTGACTCGGTCATTGAACGGGATAAAGTAAGGGACATGTTTCAACAATGTGAGCATCTCTCGGTACGCATTAGGCATACTCTGTAAAAATGCTTCCCTTTCTCTATTGTCAACATTTTCATCGTTGAGATCTCCCATGTAATCCTCAACCACATAGCTGAGTAACTTGTCAAAATTATAACTGCGCTGAGTAGTTAGCCAGAAATCAGGAGGGAGAAATTTTAATCGTAGATTCTTCAAATACAATTGATCAACTAAGGAAAAAGTCTTTTGACGAAGGTATTTGGTACCCAAATCGGGCTTCATTGCAAAACAACTGCATAATGGTTTCAAAAAATTGCAAAAACCAGCCACAATCTCCTCATTTATCCCCGTTTGTGCAAATAATTCAGTATCATTTGAAATTATAAGCCAGTAAGAATAAACCTCTTCAAAAAACAACAAGCTGTCAAAAAAATCACCCGAACGAAATGCCTCTTCGTATCCTTCAAACGAAGCTCCTGAAAGTACTTCGGCGCGTTTAAGAAAATGGGCACAAGTTTTCAATATTTGCCTTGGCTCAACACATATCTGAGTCAAGACAAGTTGTTTCCATGAGGGTTGCAACGCAATGAGCTTCGAAAGTATCTCAAATGACACCGTGTGATTCTCTTGTACAAATTTAAGCACGTTTTGAAGGAAATTGGGAGTATACATTTGTTTCAATATTTTCATTTTAGCTGGTGGTAATACAATTGCACTCATACCTTTATCTCTCATGTCTTGCGATTCACTGTCGTCAGGGTAGTTATCCAAAACCATGGCTTGGTTGTACTTTAACAAACTATGAATCAATCGTAAATCTTGAATCGCAAACTCGCCGTCTCCATGGATTTGCAAGAAATTCACCACCATGTATAAAAGCCTATCCTTAACTGATTCATTTCCTTTTAGATACAGATCCATCTGGTGCTGCTTCTTGATGGTGAACTCTCGCAATACATTCAAATAGTATGGATTTGGTCCCGAATAAATGTCAAGTGCAAGAATTTGAAGGAGAAAAGGCTCAAATGCAAAGCGGTTTTTATTGAGTAGTGCATCGGCTACCCCGTATGCAAGATTGACAGCGGCAGTGGTTGTCTCTGGTTCTTGTCGTTCCGATTGTATGTAGGGGCATAATTCTGACAACAAGAGCGCAGATGCAAAGTGATACTTTTCAAACAATACCTTGATGACTTGAAACATCTTCCATTTGAGTTCTCTCTGTATCTTTTGAAGTGAAAGTCGACCGGATAGAAATTGACCAAGGTAGAACAAGGCAGCTTCGTTTTCGCTCAGGGGCTCTAACTGTGTTTCTTCTAGCTGTTGTAGTAGCTTCGATACCACTGTTGTTAATGTGCTCTGTCCCTTCTCTCCTTTTTGGGTAAACCATCGTACTAATATTGCAAACTGAGACACAAAGGTCCAGAAGTTATCCCCATCCTCCTTTATATCTTCATCAAGCCAATCTTGACATAATTTCTCAACTTCATGCTTCAATTTCGAGTAACTTCTGATTGAATTCTGTAACGTGATCGCCGATCTCTCTCGAAGTCGTTGTTGTTCTCGTTCTTCTCTATCCTTTCGTGACTGTTCCAAGAATGCATTGGTGCCGAATCCTAATCCTGTTCGTTTCTTTTCACCCAAATTGACATTGCGTCTTTTGGTCTCTCCAGTGAAATTGAACATCAGTTACGGAAAATAATGATGATGTAGACGTAGCTGTGGTGCACACTGTTGCGAGGAATCAAATGATGGCAAATAGAAAGATCTGATTTTGTACTAAAAGGTAGGGTAGGGAGGTAGGCCCGGAAGAAACTACGCGCGCACTACCAGGTTTTACCTAAACTCCACTCTATTTCTAATTCTATGATTTCATCAACTGAGCTAAATGACCTATAGATTCAACGAAATACAGCGGTACTAAATCCTCTTGACCACTGCCACTTGCGCTATCAATCAAGTTTTGTAAATCATTTGACTTAGTACCACCAGAAAGCACCAATAAACTACCACGTCCTTCACCCAAATTTCCATCATTACCAAACTTGATATCGGTGTATAAAGTATCCCCAATCATCAAAGTTCTGCCTCTATCAAACTGTTTATCTTCTAGTATTATGTTCAAGAATTGAGTACTTGGTTTACCTACATTGATAAAATCTCGATCAGCTGTATATGCCATGTAATTAACCACACTACCACCAGCAGGCAAAATCAACCCATGGGGTCCGGGATAAGTACGATCAATGTTGCATCCAACAAAAGGAATACTCTTGTTGTTGTGTAGCAAGTATTGTAAAGTCAGAGAAATTCTCATGTAATTGAACTCCTTGGTGGATCCAACGACTATGGCCTTAACTTCTGGGTCAACTTCCAAAATAGAGCTATCTATGTCCAAATAATTCAATTTGGGATCGTTACACCCTAATGTGACATACCCCATCTCTTGCAACTCCTCTTCGATCCCATGGTCTCCCAAAATCCATATTTTGGACCCTATTGGAATCTTCAACTGATCTCGTACTTCCAATGCCGCCGAGTAACAAGTAGGGTATAGCATATCTTTCGTGATGTTGGGAATACCTAATTTGGCAAATTTTCGTAAATACGTATTACGTGAATTGGAAGAGTTATTCGTAACGAATGCAAACTTTTTATTGTTGTCAACTAGTAATTGAATGAAGTCAGCAGCTCCAGGGATTAATGTTTCGCCCAACCATACGACTCCATCACAATCGAATAGAAAATTGTCATATCTGTGAATGATATGTTGTAAAGCATCTTTCGTTGATATATATAGTGGGTTTGTCTTTCTAGTCATTCGTTTGGCCGTTGATTTATTGATCAGACGCAATGGGGATTTTTCGTTTCATTTTCATGACATTCATTTGCATTTTACTCAATACACTGTGATTCTACATACAAAGTAACTCTCTCATTTCTCATCAACTCGATTCAAATCCAAGTCATCTTCATGACCATGTCGATACTTTTCAGGCAAATACAATTGATCAAATTTTTGCATCCTCTTTTTCCACCATTTCCGTGAATCTTTGCGATTAATTTCTTCCAAATACAAGTCATCTTCATCAACATGTTCTCCATCGTGATCTTCCATATTGCCCATTTCAACACTAGTTTTGTGCTCTGCTTCTTCATTGAACTCGTCAAAGTCTCCGTGTAAATCGGCCTCTTTGGGGGATTTGATCATAGTCATGCACACTTCATCACCATTATTTCGTTGCAAAATATACCTACTACCCAAACTCAAATCTTTCAATACAATTTCCCTCGTTCTTCCCAACGATTCAATATCACCAACTCGATCCATAGTGTCGGCTAATAATTCATCGAAATGCGGCTGAGATGCAATTTCGTGAAATGCTCTCATCATGGGTACGGAGTCTGCCCTAACTCGAGACTCTGAGTCGATTGTAAAGATGTTTAAATTATCGTATCGTTGAATGTAGTCAGCACGTGTCATAATTTGGCGCGCTCGCCAAAGTGGTAATTCCGGTAGGTGGTGTTCGGTGAAATCTCGAGATTTCTCACTTGTAATCAATGTATTCATCCTACTGCGGTCCATTTCGACAAATTCTCTCATAAGTAGCATGGCACTGCTGGAAAATTTCCCACTTTCCATTACATCATCATCCATATCCAGGCCTAGCAATCCACATTGATTGAGAAACCACGTTTTCTCACGATCAATAATCTCATGACATGCTTTTATAATGTCATTATGACGAGCCACTTGAGTGATATGTTGTGGTCGGCCACCGATTAAATCGTACACTGCATTACACATGTCATCTTTCAAGACTTTGTCCAGTGGAAAATACCGGTGACGAATGAATTTAAGTGCATTAACAGTCTCATATCGATTAAAATCACGTACATTGATTAGCTCCAACCGGGTGCCCAATTGTTTTAATTTTTCATAAACCCAATAATCGTCACTATTGAATATCATTGTGAGCAACCCCAGGCCACTAAGAGATTCGGCTTTTTGCTGCAACAATTCCAACAATTTAACCCCTTCTTCATTCTCCTTTATCAAATGAGCATTATTGATAATCATGATTAATGGTCGTCTAATCTTGCCTACTCGTTGAATCGCCAATTCTTCTAATTTACCAAACGCTCGCTCAATATCTAAAAGAGCTGTAGTGTCTCTTGGTCCTCTTATTGAAAATAATGAACCAATGTAATCTTCATTAAAGGTAAAATTCAATGCTTTCCCCAATCGAATACGGAAAATCTCTGGATCCGCATGTGCATCAAAGATGGTTACATTGTACCCATCAACTTTCTTCATTGCTTCCATAATCAATGACGTTTTACCAGTGCCCTTTTCCCCAATAATGAGAAAATAACGACCAATGATCTTGCCGGCAACGATTTCGTCAAGTAATTTCTGTTGTGGTCGTTCAACCCAATGAGCATTAATGAAATGGTCATTACTATCATCGTGTGTTCTTGTGTGCATCTTTATCTGAGCAGAAGGGTCACCTTTTTCGAAAGCTTGATTCATTTTCGATAATACATGATCATTATAAAATCGATGGTACAAGAATCCAGCCAATCCCAAGACCCCAACTGATGAAATGGTTATCCCGATAGTTTCGAGGCATTTGGTGATGAAAGATTTGAATCGGTCAAAAGCGGACTCCTTGTCGTTGTTGCTGTTGTTACTTTGTTTTCTTTTATTGTCGTTCTCATTGTCATCTTTAAGTTCATCGACAAATTGTTCAAGTATTTGGTGAATCTTTACCGGGTGAGTAGTACGAAATTGCCGCTGGAGGTAGAGTGCGGGTGGAAGCCTATACACGCGAGGTCGTATGCTTCTCGTGATGACACTGAGCATTGTAAGGTGGCGGCAGAACTCGCGTCTCAGCTAGTTGTGAAATATAAAACTTGAAATTTTCAAATGGTTGGCGAAGAACTACGGCTGTGCAGATGCACAAAAGGTAAATTTTTACATCCAGTGACGGAAATATTTGCTAGAAGTGATAAGTTGGACATATAAAGTAGTGGAGCATTTAATTGTTACACGGTAGTTGTCTTATTCGGAGACTATATGTATCTGCTCGCACACGTGATTATCACGCTTCTTCTGTATTAAGAAATGTGCTTCATGACACCAGAAACCCTTCATTTTCTAAACATTCTTAATGCCACTCAAAGTGGCAGCAACCATACATCTTTATATTTTAGAACTAGATAATTCATCTCATTGCTTGGGAAGCCTATCTCATATTGCAGAATGCTCTATATCACAGATTTTACCAGAATGGATGTTGGAAATATGTGCACTTCTTTTCATTCAAATTGTCGGTTCCATCGTCACCATTGATACCGTTTTCCATCACTTCATCAAGAAATGAGTCTTTGCTATTTTGGATTTGATGCTGCTGTTGTTGTTCTTGTCGCTGTAGTTGCATCAGTGCATCCATCATCATTCGTATCGTCTTTTGGTGTACTTCGGAATGAATTCTGCTCAATTGTACTCGTTTAGCAATTGGTGAGGACATTGCAGTAGGGTACAGCTGCGATGAGGACAGTGATGGCGGCAGTGTACTGCCATGGGAATAACAGGGTGATTTTGATGGTGATGAGTTAAATTGAGATGAAAGGGGGGTGAAATGATAGTTTGGTGATGAGGAAGGGGAAGCAAGAGGTCGAGAATCTTCTTCGAGTTGTCTTTTTCGACTCATTGGTACAGTGCAGTGATAATGGATAGTGACGTTACCAGTAGTTGTTGGCAATGACAATGGCAATGGAATGTGCTGATTGTTTTGGTTTTTAGAAAACATGAGTTTACGCGTTTTCCTGGCAGCCGCATACTTCCCAATCAAGCAGTGGACGAGAAGATTTTTTAGACCCCCCCCCCCCCCCCAACTCTCCTCATCACCACCACACTCCAACGCTATTATCGAATACATTCTTGAACACTTACATCCACATTCTCTCCCTCTAACAGCGCCATGGTAAAGCGAATAAATGGAAAACATATCAAACACAGTCCACAAACAAAACCTCTAACCGAAACCCAATTCAATTCAACATTTCACGTTAAATCATCAACACCATTCATATCCGCTGTCAAACGAATCAATAAACAATTGGCAAAATTTACCAAACTGCAAGGAACACAACGTAAATTTCAAAATGATCAATACAAGAGAGTTAAATATATAACTGTCAAAGGGATGGGTAAAACTATTGAAAAGACATTAAAATTAGCAATGCATTTTCAACAGCTAGGTTACAAAGTGGATATCATAACTGGGAGTGTACAAGTGTTGGATGAATTTGAAAAAAAAGTGTTGGCACCAGCAGGAATTGATAATGAAGATCTAAGAATGGGGATAGAAGAAGAAGAAGAAGATGATGATGATGAGAGAAATAGTTTAACGGATTATGAGACTGAGTACAAAAAGCGTATGGTTAGTTCAGTCGAAGCAAGAGTGTGGTTGCAAAGAGAATAAATCAAAGGAGGTGGTCCCTTCCTTGAGTGGTTATGGTGGAATTTCAGAGCCAAAGAAGAGATTCAAATTCGAGTCGAGGAAAATGAGACAACACTTTTAGAAGGTCGTGGAGAGCAAGTCAACCTTTTAAGCATTGCACATTTTTTGACAATGCGTTGTGTCAATGAACTGAGTAGCCTTGGAGCTAAGCTTTAGAATTGCAAAATTACATATTCACGTGCAAATCACGTGACTTATGACTCTCAAAGACAAGTGGCAAATGTCTTGTTTAATATCCTTTTTGCTTCTGTGTTAATAGACATCTCGTTGTATGTTAGAGGTGTGAGATGTGCGAAAAGTTGTAAGAAGTATTTTTCTATTCCAGCTTCTTCTATGGAATCAGTGTGGCTGGTTGGGTTTTATGTGTTTTATGTGCTGGTTTTGTTGCAAAAAAAAAAAAAAAAATTATCACACGCTAGTTACGATTTATTGTATACGGTTCAAACTAAAAGTTTCTAGAAACATATAGAGATGTCACCAATTGTATAAAGTTCACCATAAGTAATGACCAGCTCCTAACGAGATATCACATTGCACTTTGTAGGTGAAGGATAATCGTGTGTCCGTGTGTTTGTGTGTTTGTGTGTTTGTGTGTATATGAGTATATGTGTATATGAGTATTGGGTATGTGTCTGGTGTGCCAACTCTTTTCCCCTCTCTTGTCCTCTTAATTTTTTTTTTTTTTTGGTGCGTGTGCATATGTGCTTGTGTGTGTGTTAGTGTATGTTAGTGTGTAGTGTGTAGAGTGTAGTGCGTAGTGTCAGTGTTAGTTGTGTTAATGTGTGCGTGTATATGTGGTATATACTGAATATGGTAATATGTTGATATTTTGGTAAATAGTACACTACTACACAATGAAATTATTATATTGTTAATAACAACATATACATATACATATATATATATATATGTATATATATATATATTTTGTACACGAGTACACTACTTACTAATACATCGTTATTATTATTATTATCATCATCATACTATATTTTTACTTACTCTCTACTATTTTCTCTTATATATATAAAAAATTGTACCAAACCTATTTTTCTCATACAAATTTTTTACCTACCACTGTGTTTTTTTACTACTACCATAGTATATCCCATACATATTAAATATACACTAAGTACTAAGTATGTATACACACACACATAGAGGACACAAACAAAAAAAAAAGTGAGTTACCTCGTATCAAGAGATAACATTCATCCATTGAACAACAACAACAACAACAACAACCCAGAACTACAAAAGTGTGACAACATGGTCAATTGAAGAAAATGAAAGCAAAAGACCTGCCACCTCCCCACGTTGATGGTTTTTACAACACCAAATACCAGCACCACTTTAGTACTGTCGTTAGGATGAAGATGGTTGCAAAAAAAAAATCAGAATCAGAGACAATTGATAGAGACGAATTCTCTACACGATTCAATTGAGAGAGATTCAGAGGTCAATTGGACTCCGTTTGAGAGTGTTGTTGTAATTTTGCCACTGGGTGGGGGGGGGACGGAATTTCTCAGAATTTTGTCGACCACTCCCAAAAAAAAAAAAAAAAAAAAAAAAAGTTGGGAATTTTGAAATTGACCTACAAATTTTGGAGGTGCTATTCTTTTTTTGGTACAAATTACACTACCACTTTTGCTACTTTTGTTATTGGTACAGGTTACACTACCACTTTTCGCACAGCGGGAGATTGATCCAAACATCAATACATTACAAGCACACAAATACGCGCATTTTTTTTTCTGTTTTTTTATTCTATTTTTTTAAAAAAAAAAATAAAAAAAAAACAATTTTTGGCCAGATTTCGCGTTGTTTACAAATTTCAAATTCAGTTTGTTGTTGTTGTTGTTTGTTGTGGTTTTGGTTTTGGTTTGTTTGTTGTGACTTTAAAGCAAGGTATCGCTCTACTTTATAAAGTTGGAGTACTTTTCTTACTGTCACTTTCTTTTTCCCTTCACCTTTTTTGTTTTCTTTTTTTTTTTTTCTTAAGAGGTTTTCATTATACTAACTAGTTTTCACTTCAATAGGTTTTTTTAATAATGTCAGCTCCAGGTGAAAAGAGAAAAGTTTCCAGAAAGAAGAAGGATCCAGATGCTCCAAAGAGATCCTTATCTGCTTATATGTTTTTTGCTAACGAAAACAGAGATATTGTTAGAGCTGAAAACCCAGGTATTTCATTCGGACAAGTTGGTAAAGCTCTTGGTGACAAATGGAAGGCCTTAAGCGCTGAAGACAAGGTTCCATACGAAAACAAGGCTGAAGCTGATAAAAAGAGGTATGAAAAAGAAAAAGCCGAGTATGCAAAAAAAAACTCCAATTAGAAAAAAATAAGACACAAAATCAAAAATTACAACAACATCAACAACACCAACAACACCAATCAATTCCACAACCTGTTCCCCAACCACAACCAGTACCTCAACAATTGCCACCTCAATTCCAACCTCAAGGTCAACCATTCCAACCGGTGCCACCGCAGTATCAGTACCCTTACCAATACCAATACCAAAACCCCGCATCTATTCCACCTCAACATCAACAACAACCAGGACAACAACAACAACAACAACCAATTGCTGGTGGTGCACAATATCAACAAAACCCTAATCAATATGCTCAACAACAAAGCCCAAACCCAGCTGGTCAACAACCACAACCTGGGCAACAACAACAACAACAACAAAATCCAAATGAATATTATGATTACTCATTTCAAAAAGAGTACTGGATGCAGTAGATGTTGCTTTGTTGATCTGTTGCTGTTGCTAACTGCTGTTGCCACTGTTTTAGAGCTTGGTGTATCTACACGTTGTTAATCACTAGGGGGTGTTGATGATATATGCTACTGCTACTACCACTACTACCACTACTACTTCTGGTAGCCTTCACCAACCTTATCCTTAATTGTTTTGTTTTTTTGTCCTATCATTGTTTTTGTTGCAGACCTACTTTTCATCCACAATCTTGAGATCTACCCACCATTCATATATCATCCATCTGTTGTTGTTGCTGATTTGTCTTGTTTTTTTCTTACTCAATTGTTTTTTTTTTTTGTTTTTAAATCATACTGTTGTTGCTAATACTGCTTCCCATTTTTTTTATCTGAGCTTTTTCATCTTCTACTTTTTATATTATTACTATTGTTACTATCTTTTTATTATTTTAGTTTTCTGACAGTTTTTACAGCTTTTGTCAAATTTACTTTGTATTAATGTTTTATCAAATGTTATAATTTTTTTTGTTTTGTAATTGCATTGTCATTGTAGTTTAAGTTGTGTATTTTGTTGAGTTTTGGTCATTGAAAGGTGGCTAAGCTTTGTGTGTCATGCAGAGGTTTGAGTTTGGCATTGGTGGAGCCGCTATAATTGAGTTGCTCAGAATCTATCATGCACCCCATTACAAATCACAAATCTCTTCAAGACAGAGTCAAGCAATATGTTTACCTTTACATGTAGAGTCTGAAGAGATATTCTTTACCGTTATGAGGCTGTTGATGTAGTCCTCTTGCCCCAACCCCACTACGCGCCTTATTGCCCCACGCAAGAGTCTCGCCCTTTCTTTTGCATATCAATTGACCAGCCTGTCTCTCAGAGTCAACTGCATTACGTTTCATTACTGGTTGGTGGGTGTTACAAGTTGTCAACGTGTGCTGCTGCAAAATTACGTCAGTTTCTCGCCCTGGGAAAGCCAACAATGAATTTTCATCGTTTCCCCCAACAACAACAACTCCTTCTTCTTCTTCTTCTTCTTCTTCTTCTTTCTAGCATCAGTCGAATAGGTCCTCAAACCACATCATGACCTCTCAATCATTACCTCCACCTTATTATAACGACGACAAAAAGTCATTTGCTTATCCCACTGTGCACAAGCGTTGGCCAACAATTCTTGAACAAGGAATTGACGATGTTCAACAAACAATCGACGATGGCAATAACGACAAAGAGCAACTAACTACATCAGGAACAATCATTGTTGATCAATTGAAACAAGTATTGAATGATTTCAAAAATGACGCAACTGTACGTCCTTTTACTGAGGAAGAGATTAATCATAACCAATGGTTACAACATTTCAATACATCTCTTGATTCTTTAAACCAAGTCAGAAAAGTAACTTGGAAAACCGGTCCATGGTTGTATTTGGAATGTTATTTATACCAATATATCCACAATTTTTTTATATTGAGTCAAGATCCATTTTGGCACACGTATGATATTTTTGCCAGATTGAAAACAAAGACATTTAAACAATCGGAATTGGGGGTATTGGAATTGTGTAAAAGGTATCAACTATTGAGTAAAGAATTGGACAAGGGCAAAGCTGATAATGAAGCATTGCAATTGCTTTTCACTGAATTTATCGATATTTCACTTTGGGGGAATGCCACCGATTTATCATTATTGGCGGGTAATGTTACTTTAGAAGACATCAAATCAGTGCAAGGGGCAGAAGTACGCAAAAAGAATGAAGAAAAGATTCTTGTCAATGACTTATCAACCGCTTGGCAAGAATCTGGGTTGAATGAGCCAAATGGGGTTTCACGAATTGATATCGTGTTGGACAATTCCGGATTTGAATTGTTTGCTGATTTGATGCTTAGTTTATTCCTCTTGGATCTGGGATTAACTCAAAAAGTGCATTTACATTGTAAAGAAATCCCCTGGTTTGTTAGTGATACCATGCCTAAGGATTTCCATGACTTGATTGATCAGTTGAAAGATGCAAATTTTTTTACCGAAATTCATGAAAAGGACTCACAAGCAATCAATCTTGTTGCATCCAAGATTGAGTCATATCATAATGCCAATAAACTCGTTATTCAACACCATCCATTTTGGACATTGGATTACAACTACTGGTCAATTCCTCAGTTTAAAGACTTGTACAGTGACTTGTCTCAATCGCAATTGATCGTATTCAAAGGTGATTTAAACTATAGGAAATTGACTGGTGATTTACAATGGCCCAAGACCACTTCTTTCAAAACGGCAATTCAACAGTTGGCAACTAGTGGGTTACCAATTTTGTCGTTGCGTACTTGTAAAGCTGACGTTGTTGTTGGGTTACCTGATGGGGTCAATGAAAAGTTGATCAAGGTGTACAAAGACGCTGGTAATGAAGTTGGTGAGTTTTGGTCAAGTTCAGGTAAATGGGCAGTTATCTCATTCAACAAGTAGAGTTATAGAGCTTCAATAGAGCAATTTTGTTTACACAATTTAAAGTGAAAGTCGTTTCATTTGTGTACACACTTCATTCAATACATCCAAATGCGCGTAACTCCAACCAAAGTCTATGCAATTTGCCTTGATACATTCACACACTCTCTCTCTTTCATCTATGGCTCACCAGCTTTTCTCGCATTACAAGCAACAATTTTGAACTTATCAACGTGAAGTTCCAAATCCCCATCACTGCCACCGCCACTAGAGCCGGAAGCAGACCCACTCAAATCCGTCATCTTGACCAACACATTCTTGATAATAAACGTCCACACATCATCACAAAATCGATAAGTATCCAAATCCCCCTTGAATGTCAACTTCAGCTTAGCTATATTCAGTTCATTCTTCAAATTCTCAGCAATTATTCGATCGAAATTGTTCAAGATTCGATTAGCCAATTGTGGTTGAATCTTCTCATCCGAGATTAATGTGTCAAGAGCATCGGCTAGGGTTACTCCTATGGTTGATCTTCTATATAGCTCGTAGTATGCTGGTGTGCTCATCTTTTTAGATTGTATGTTCTGAGCAGCTTGGGTGGTGGATTTGACTTATTGAAAGATGGTGATGATGTTGTTGATGATGAGTATTGAGCGGGGTGTGTGTGTGTGTGTGTGGCGTAAGGCTTCTGTCATTTTTTTTCTTTGCTTTCTTCGTTGTCGTAAAATTTATAGACACGACACGACACGACACGACGCTGAAATGGGTAGATGGAGGACAACTGAATTCCAACATCGATTCATCTTCAAAAATGCCAAGTGTATCGACAATTATAACTAGCTAAGTAAAATACATTACCCAAGACAACGATTCGAAAACCAAACATACCTCCACAATTTTTGTATTGTTGAGCCACACACGTGGACAAATCAGATTGTTCATTCTTTAGAAGAGGGTGAAAGGTTTGCGGTGATTAAGTAAAGCGTGACACAAAATCTTATTCATGTCCGAACTAAACTTCTTAATTTTGACGCCGAAAAAAAACACCACAACCACTCACAATCATTCAACACCTTCTCCTCCTTGAATATTTTTATAACTCTTATTGTTTTACGGTTTGTGGAGGTTTGAACTCCGATAAGTATAAATAAAGCTTTGTCCTTCCCTTCTTCTTTAAAATTGTATTACACACTTTTTCTCTGTTTTTCCCTTTAGCAAGCACAAGCTCCAACATTTTAACATGGCAGGCCAACAATTCCCCACTGATGTTAAGGCAAAATACGTCCCCTATGATAATCAACACTCGGAAATTTTGAAAGCTGGTGACCCAAAACCACTTGATTTGGCAGCGGAATTGAAAGACGGAACTGTCGTTATTACAGCAATTCCCGGTGCTTTCACCCCAACTTGTTCCCTCAAACATATCCCTGAATACATTAAAAATGTTGACAAATTAAAGAAAAAGGGAGTCAAGAGAGTGATTGTCTTAGCCGTGAATGACCCGTTCGTGATGTCGGCTTTTGGTAAGGCAGTTGGCTACAAAAATGAAGAAAACTTTGTTGTGTTTGCCACTGATCCAGAGGGTCAAATTTCAAGTCAATTGGGTGAAGACTATGTCTTAGATTTGAGTAGTGCTGGTTTGGGTAAGAGATTACAAAGGTATGCTGCTATTGTAAAAGATGGTGAGATTTTTTACTTGGCTAATGAAGATGGTGGTGATTTTACTGAAAAGTCAAGTGCTGAAACATTACTTGATAAGTTGTAAAGAGCTATCAGGTTAATAAGGATATCGATATAAGCACGGTTGTCATTTAGAGTAGTTGTGGCAGTAGTAAACGGATCTCATTTTTTAACACTCTGATGGGCAAACTGATACTGTAAAATAATTCCGCAAAACTGGCATTTCTCAGCTGGTACCACCAACGGTCGGAGCAATGTATCGTTGTGGCATTGTGATAAAGTAGTAAAGGCTTAGTTGCAAAATCAGTCGAGAATTTACGTCATTATTGTAATTGTACACACGACCTTAATTTTTCTGTTTAGAAAAGACGATCATGGAAAGCTCCTTTTGAAAATTTATAATTACAGTGATAGCCCCCCCCCCACTCAGTACAGTATTTAACTACAACGGCACCACATATACATATACACGCAATAGCACCATCCTCCTCATCTTTCCTCGTCAGCAAATGAGTGACACTAAAGATCCAAACCAGTTGACTGTTTCCGAAAGGTTTCAACTTGCGCGAGGAAGATATGAAGATTTGGACAACAATAGTACCGCCACAGCTCGGCAAGATTCGCTTGAGTATCAGCAACGTCTACAAGATCTCATTACTGAATTTGAATTAATTTTACAGATTGTCCAGTCTCTTGCATTATTTAGTGATAATGAACGACTACTGGAACTCACAACGTCATATATTCCTTACTTGAACCTATGGTTTTATTTGGCTCAGTTGTATTCTAAACTTCAACTAAAGCAGGGCAAAATATCCCTCGATTTCAAGCTGGATTATTTAAAGATAGCCAAACTGTATGCTATTGAATTTTTAACCAATTTACAGAATTATGGCATTTTGGATCATGATCAAGCACAAAGGTTGAAACTTATTGATAAAGGTGAGGAGATCATCATGTCACCACAAGTGAAAAGACAAGAAAAGATTGATAATTACAAAAAGGAGCAGCAATTGCATCATCAGTTGGCGGTATTGACCGACTTGAAGCATGATTTGAATGAAAGGTTTGAAGATGAAACATTAAAGGCAATTTATATTGATCAATTGAAATTTCACATTTTAAAAGCATTTGATTCAATTGGATTAATAACAATGGAGTCAGAAGTACTTTCAAATAGACCTCCTCCAGGAACGATAGACTCGCACAATGCCCATGCAGATAAAAACGATGGCAGAATAGCCAATTACCCCACCGATCTGACAGATCTGACACCAGATGTGACTGGATTCACCACGAAAATTGAGCCACGTCCAACTAAACAAATTTCTGACTTGATTTCTAAACAAGGTAAAGTCCTTCAACCATTTACTATAACAACCAAATCGCAATTGCGTAATCGTGTTTTTGGAACTGGCCAAGTATTACCCTCAATGACGGTTGAGGAATATTTGGATTATGAATTAGCTAATGGGAAAATGATGAAGGAAGAAGTTAAAGATGTAAATAAAGAATCTGATTACGAAAGTGATGAAGATGATGAAGCACAGTTGGAAAAGAGGCGGTGGGACGATTGGAAAGATGAAAATCCCAAAGGTGCCGGTAACATGAAGGCAAATATTGGATAAGAAGAAAAATGGGCACAACTTTAAACGCAATGTAATCTATTATGAAAGCTTATACAATTGTAATACATATACATATATCTCAACAAGGGCTTCTTACTCTATTGTAGATAAATCTGTTTCTAAATTCTTCATCCATTCCAAATACTCAATTTGGATTCTATTGGCAGTCACAATCTGTGAAGTTGAAGACTCCAGTTCCGCCAATCTATTGAAAAACCATTGATCATCAACTTCATCAAATGATTTCAACTCATTTAAAATGAGTAAATACATTTGCAAGACTTGGAATTTACTTGCCTTATCGATGGTGGTGATTTCATTTTTATAGCGTTGAATGTACAGATACAATGCCTCACAGGAGCCACGTTGATCACCTAGCTGCTGCTTTGTCATGCAACAGCCAAATAATCTCCACGATGATAAAATCTGATATATTTTCAATGAGGGTAATAATGGCGTTGAATTAGCTAGTTGAAGCAAGATCGAATCAATCAACTTGAAATGGGCTCGGTAGACTTTGCTGTCATTTGGTGGGAAGATCAATTTGATCTTCAGTTCCGAAATCAATTTCTCGATAAAGCGAGTTAGCAAAGTCTTTATTTGGGTGGTGGAAGTTACATGTTGCAATGCTTGTCCAACAGAATCATAATCTGATATCGATAATGCTAAATCAAACACATTCAAATACAACGATTCAACCTTTGATGGTTCGTCTTTAGCGTTTGCAATTGCCAATTTATCAAATTTCAAAGCCACTTCAGTCAATTGTGTTCTTGTCACATCGCCTAATTTCCCCAGTGCAACTTGTGACATGGCCAATTCGGACAATCCATGGTAATATTCACCTCGTGTGGGCAAAGTGTAGAAACAACTCAAAAAATGACGCAAGTTTTCATCTTGTTTCAATAATTTCAAATTGGCAACATCAAGGTTCTCAAATTTTTCAAACTGAACAAATGTGTCAAAAAAGAGAGATGCATCATGATTGATCAAATGGATTATGCCAACAAGAAACAATTCATTAACGTCGTTTTGATTCAATTGGGTTACAAAAAACTTGTTCAAGTATGGTCCTTGTTGATGATTGATCAACTCAATGACGGAGTTGACAATAAAATCCCTCTTGGTTAATACGTCATTGTGGAAATAATCATATGCCTCACTGACTCGCAAGTTATCAATAAGTTGTTTCAAAGTGGTATCTTCGTTGACTATAGCAGACCAAAACAATGAATAATCAGTATTTGCCAACCCGCGAGACTCAAGTGGAGATTTACCAGAGCCAGACTCAAAACAGGTCTCAAATATTAACTCAGTGAGGTCATACTGTTGCAATCCACGCATAACTTGATTAAGCAAGTTCAAAATTTCATCATTAACCTCACAAACAAAGAGTAAAATCAACAAATCTGTCAAAAGTATAGTATGTTGTTGCATTATGTCCTTGAATGCGGCAAAGGTTGACAATTTGAAAAACTGACCCAAATCACCCACTTGATCAACCACCTCAATCAATTGATATTCTGTATCAGCAACCAACGATTCAATAATTTGTAATGCATTGGGTATACTTGCCAAATCAGACAATACTGATTGGATCTCCAATGGTGGTAATTTCTCAGCAAGATGCATTTGGAAAAACTCATCAACTGCAGTGGCATCATCAAATTGACGTTGACGAGATACAATAGACTCGCTCAACTTGTGATATGTATTTGGGGACAAAGTGATACGGAACTTGTTGAATAATTGCATCAATTTACCTTCAGGGCTTTGAAGGTTCTTATGAGACAAGGATTCAAAATAATGCGACGATCCATATAGTCCGTATCCATTTGTTTGTATTGTGATCAATTTTTCATTAAAAGATATCAATGCCAATGCCTCTTGACTTTTCTTGCTGAAATCCTGGCATAAGGAGTAAAGTTTGAACCAATTATGTTTAGCAGAATCAGCAGTAGAATGAAACTCTATCAATTCTTTCGCCGATGTACGTAAATCCCCATCAATGTGCTCTTGTTGCGATTCGAAATGGCGGCGTAAACATGATATGGAAGTAGCAACGATCAAGTTGTTGAATTCACCGGAATCAAAAATCTTGCGACGGTAATATTCCGAGTCAAAAAGAACGGCAATTTCTTCTTCTTCATTGTGCTCTGTTGGCAGGGATGACTCAATTGATATTATTGCTCCATTATCGACATCGATAGTGTAGGTGACAAGAATAGATGATGTATTAGATTTCCACAAAATGTGAATTTTCAATTGGCCACCTGTGTGCTGAGTTTCAAAATCTTGAATAATCCATGTCTTATTTTGGAAAGTTGATTCGTGGTAGAATATATCCGATGATGATAACAAAATGTTGGGCACTTTTGGTTCAAACTCGAATTTGGGAACTTTGATCAATGACAGTTGATGAACTTGCCAAGTTTGAAATGCAAATTGATTATTTTCGGTGGCGCTGTTTGTTGAGCTGTGCAGCGTGATGTACCAGTCCCCATCAACATTAAGCAACTGCATGTATTTTGATGGTACTGTGTTCAACCAAGTTTCCTCTTCCAGATTTTCGTACAATGGTGTAGATGAAATGTATTGATGTTTGGACAAGCTCCACATTTTCAAATGTCTACTTGCGGTTAGGGTAATCAAATGATCATCAAATCTAACCAAATCAAGCACAGTGTTTGCTGAAACTCCATTCATGTCTAATTTTCCCCTTTTGGCACTGAATAACCCACCAAGAAACGAAACTGGTTCGTTAAAAGTGTAAATATCAACATCTGACAAAGCAGTTTGTTTTTGAAAATGGAGAAAGCCACCATCCTTCAATGACACGAGCATATTCAATTCATCGATGGATTTTACAAAATATGGATTTGATCTCATTTCAAATGAGTATGGGACAGATATATGTCCCCATTCTTCAAAGTCAAACAACGACAATGTTTTGCCGGACACAAACATCTCTGTTGGTATCTTTAAAGATATGAACAAGTAACTGGAATCAATCAAGTTGATGTATATGTTGTCATTATCGTGGTTTACATCAAAACAATTGGTAGACAAGACTGTATGAGGTAAGTTGATTTTGATATTCTGAAGTTTCAATCCCAAACTGTTTGCTTTACGCTCAATGGGGGTGAGCATAATAGTTGATAAATCATTCAATATTGAGCATGATACTAGTGGGATAAGCGATGTGGATTCGAATTTGAGGAATTGTCCAGTTGCAGCAAGTTTGGAAAGAAATTCATCATCGTGGTTGTCTGTGGTGAAGGGTACCTCTGCATATTTCAATGGTAATTTCACATCTAGAGTAGGTAGTTGATTGGAATACCCAACCACGTTAGACAATGAATAGGACACATTCATATTTGGGGGGGGGGGGGGATGCTCACCAGTAGTGATGTTCTTTTGATGATTTTACCAGTTGATGATGTTTCTTTATATTTTTCAAAAAGAAAGAGAGAAAAATTATTACTCAATTGAGATTTGACTCCAAACAACGGTTTTCACCAGAGGAGATGTCTTCAGTCATTTATTACAAGTTCCTACATCAGAAGAACAAGAGTGTAATACACTTTGATGGTACTGCAATTAGCGTGTTTGATTTAAAACGAGATATCATTAGTCAAAACCATTTAGGTACTGGTCAGGATTTCAATTTAAGATTATACCATTCAGAGCAACCAGATTTGGAATATGAGTTGGATAACGATGTTATACCACGTTCAAGCTATGTTTTAGCTAAGCGATCACCAGCAACATCCAAGATGGGCAAGTTCAATAATGCATCAAGATATGTTAGTGGGAAACCACGATTGAATCGAAAAGTCATCAACACCACTAATGCCAATGCATCGTCCATTGCCAATCACACTATGCCATCGACATTACCCCAACTAGGCGAGGATGCGTCTGAAGAGGACAAGATCAAATTGATGTTTGAAAATCAATCAAATGTATGGGCGCAAACCCAAGATGAATTGGCACAGCACAAGATGGTTTACTACAAACCAACAGCGACAACGTCTGCTACCAATAAGGAAGATATGCCACCACCCGGATACATCTGTTACCGATGTGGTAAGAAGGATCATTGGATAAAGAACTGTCCTACTAATAATGATCCTAATTTCGAAGGAAAAAAAATCATGAGAACTACAGGTATACCGAAGTCATATTTGAAAACGATATCAAAAGAAGAGGTTGAAAAGAATTCTGGGTCATTCACTACCAATGAAAATGGTGATGTTATTGATAATGATGGGAATGCTATATTAATTACTGATGAAGGTGAGTATGCCATTGCTATGGCTGATTCTAAAACTTGGATGAATTATCAAACAAAGTTGCAAAATGCAGCCATGAAGTCAAAACAGGAGTATGAGTCTCGATTACTCGGTCTTGTTGAAAAGTATAACAAGCCACAATTTCTTGATGCATTGTCAACAAACAAGAAAGTACTCAAAGCGCCAATATATACTACTCCGTGTTGTCCTGATTTAACCAAAGCGCAAAAATTGTCCAATGTATATCATAATCAAGATGAGATTGAAAATGTCTTGATTGAAAACGATTTTCATTGTCCCAATTGTGGTAAAGATGATGTATACATTGATTCGTTGATTCATGCAGAAACATTGGAGAAGGAATTGCAAGAGTTTGTTGAATCAAAAGAAGGTGAAATTGGTATGACGGATCCAAGTAAACGATCGTTGGAAGAGGTGGCTGATGAAAATGGAATAAAGAAACAAAAAGTATTATAGTTGCAAAATTATACGTGTAGCCCGTAATGTGAAGCTGTTAATGATTATGGCTATACTTTTGTATCTCAACAGAAAAAATTTACCCTGTGCTTGATAACAGCCTCATACGAAGGAATTATCTTGTAGTTGATGGTATATGAATAGATCCTATGATTTATACCAGTTTGTGCTACCAAATGCAATTTGACTTTTCAACACGACCTCTTTCTCTTCCTTTCTCTTCCTCTTCCTCTTCAAAAGGCATTGGAAAAATTTTTCACCTTTTACACTTCTTCTAATTCTTCTTTTGGAGTTTATACATAGATAAATATCAATGTAATATATCCAATTGCAATCAACAACAACAAGTATGTTTCATCATTGGCAGTGCAACACTGTCCTTTGACTACTTTCTTCGTGATGTTTAGCTACTCTTGTTTTTGGGATTTATAGGATGACCAAAAATAATCAAAAAAATTCAAACTAGAGTATGTGACTAAAGATATAATTTGGAATGATCACAACGTTATTCAAGTTTACTGATAATCTCAATTACAAGAACTGGCAAATAGGAAGGAGAAGGAAAAATATTGTGGATTTGCAATTACTAACAATTGATTCAGAATTTAAATTTGTATGTGCTACAAGAGATTTCACGATTTTATTTGTCTCGCCTTTATCCATGACATATGAGCATTGTTGTCCTTGAAATATATGATGATTTAACGAAAACAAAAGCTGGAATTACTGGCTGATATCTTATGATTGATAAAGTTTTTGCACCTTTACGCTAACTGATTGATAAAAAGAGAGACGCAAACAATTGCTTATAATGGAAGAAAGAGGGATGTCCAATGACCGAGCTTTTATACTAACCGTTTTGAATATAGAAAACAGTATGTGACTAATCTCCTTTGTTTTTACTTTCAAGATGAGGAATTATTGCACTGGGCACTGATTTATGGAATGAGTGACAACGCATTTTTATGGTGGGCCTCAGAAACCCATCGTTACTGATTTAAATGATATATTGAGGGAAAGCGAAGAAAAGATAGTTTTACTTGTGCACTTTTACTAACAATTTTATCAGTTTAGATCATACATTGTCGATATCAACATGTATATGTCCTGTCAAGAGTATGTGTGAGAACATCTGTGCTTTATTTTTTCTTTTTTGTTGAAGTGATGATCTTTATCTAGATGACGAGTCAGAATCTCGGGTTTCCCGTTGATGACAACTATTTTTATTAATTACCATTCATGCATTTCTGATTCCAAATGAAAAAAAAAAAATGAGACACTTGAAATGACGGAATTCAAATTTTGACTAACTTTTTTGAAACTAGCTTTGGTTATATGGTTGTTTGTTGATTATGGCATATGGCATATGGAAAAAAAAATCAAGACATTAACATGGCATCTTAGCTGAACTTTGTTATAATCATTGGTTAGTTTTTTTGGCGGGGAGGGAGTGAGGGGTTTGAAGCCGTGGACAGTGACTGTACTTTAAAAGGATGAATCAAATTCAAAAGACAAAGTAGACAAGCATATGTCTGATTTATATCTTGAAGAAAGTCTTTTCAACTATGTCTGATTATTGTGCATGTCCATGGATTGTCTATAATTATGAGCATTATGAGCATCAACTTCCAATTAATCACCCCATTACTCAATGATTATAGAAGTTTGTCCTAAAATGCTAAGAAGCCATGATTTACCTAGTGTTTTGATATTGAGTGATGGAGAAAGACATGTCCCTTTTATTCATACTTTGTTTCTAAGACATTCTTCTTTTTGTCGTTGATGATGATTATACCACAACTTTTCACGACGGTCTTCTGTTGTTATTCAAGGACATGTTAATCCTTGAATATTGATGACAATTTCGGCCTTGACCGGCCGTGGTTCCTGATTAGACAAAAGAAGGGATTAATAGAGCAAAGGAATTTGGGAAATTGGATGTGATGTTGTAATGTCAAGGATGTCTTCTCTACTTTTTACATAAACCACACCTCAGTCTAATGAATAACGGATGTTATCAATATCCTTTCATAACTCCAACTTAACCGCACACATTGGTTTGTGCTTTTATAAAGCTCTCTTGCTACTGTCACTTTTTTCTCAGTAAAAGTTTTTTAAACAAGCCCCAACATCCCTCCGTCTCTCAAACACTCCTTCAGTCTACAAAATTTGGATTCGATATCAACTTATAATTACAAATCAAACAAATCAAACGAAGCAAACATATAAATAAGGCTTCACCTACTCATTAAACATGGTCATGAATGGATCAGCTACAGTAGAACTAAATACATCTATTGAAGCAGCTTACTTGTTCATAAGAATAAAGCAGCATTCCCCAAAGCATAGCTCCTCTTTTTCACTTTTTCAAAACTTCTCATTAAACTTCAATTCACCGTACCTAGCTTGAAACTGAGCAATTTCCAGTTCTGCAATGTTGCCATTACCACCATCAAATTTCCTCTTCAACGGGTTATTGAAACTACTACTGCTATTGTCGTACTCATCAATAGTCTGAATAGGTGCATTATTAATCTTGTAATAACTATCCCATTCTTCCAAATTCGATACAGTTCTAGTTGATTCCGATGATGATAAACTTGGTGGTTGGTTATTTAAAGTAGTTGGCAAGGGAACGCGTTGATAGTTGCCCAGGAAATTACTAGCTTGTCCTTGATTGTATCCTTCACTTACTGCTTTTCTAATTCTCATTGCTACTGATGGGAGGGGAGAGTCCGCCGCGTATGGTTTAGTAGTACCAATAGCACTGTCGGTGGAGGAGGCAGTGGTGCCGCTACCGTTGGACTCGTGTAATGCTTGTCTCTTGAACGCACTCATTAAAACGGCAGTGTTGTAAGTTGTAATATCGATTTGACTAATGACGAATGTTATGATGTAATGACGACGTAGTTTAAAACTTGTTAACCTGATGGTGGTATATTGTGTCTGACTGACTGGTTGTCTGTCTGTCTGTCTATCTGTCTGTCTGTTTGTCTGTCTGTCCGTTCGTATCTGTGATTCGGTGGTTTTTTTTTGAACTTCGTTTCTCTCTCTCTCTCTCGCTCCCCCCCCTTTGGAAAAGAACAAAAAAAAAAAAAGATTTTTTTTTACTTCCTCTGTATGAGTTTCCTAATTGGGAATAAATAGAAAATATGTAGATTGGGGTAGTGTACCCGTCTACTAACTCGCTGTTGCATACTCTAAGCGGAATCCTATAGTCTCTCTACTTCAAAGTTGTCCTCGGCATCAATTACCATTACCGGTGTTCAAGAATACAGGCGCCAAATATCACAAAAAAAAAGTATCATACGGAGTAACATTACACTCTCTTTGATCATCAATCAAATCAACCGATTGCCTTGCGCGGGATAAATTTCTTTGTATAAATACCCCCCCACCTTCTATTCTCACCACTAACAAGAACAAGCTTCAATCTTTTTTAGGTAAAAAGCAATCCACAACCAATTCACAAGCAATTCACAAGCAATGTCTTCCTCCACTCCAGACTTCAAAATTTCATCAAAACAAACACAAGACTATGAATCTCAATATTCAGCTCACAATTACCATCCATTACCAGTAGTCTTTTCTAAAGCATCTGGTGCTCATGTTTGGGACCCAGAGGGAAATGAATACTTGGATTTCCTTTCTGCTTATTCTGCAGTAAATCAAGGTCATTGCCATCCTAAAATCGTGGAAGCTTTAGTTGATCAAGCATCGAAATTGACTTTATGTTCAAGAGCATTTTCATCTGACGTATTTGGTGTTTATGCCAAATACGTTACTGAATATTTTAATTATGAAATGGTGTTGCCAATGAATACTGGTGCTGAAGCTGTGGAAACTGGATTGAAATTGGCTAGGAGATGGGGATATGTTAAAAAGGGTATTCCTGAAAATGAAGCTATAATCTTGTCAGCGACAAACAATTTCCATGGTCGAACATTGGGAGTTATTTCCATGTCTACTGATCCAGATGCAACTACTAATTTCGGTCCTGCTTTACCCAATGTTGGTCCCCAAATTCCTGGTGAACCAAAGGGAACATTGTTGAGATTTGGTGTAATTGAAGACGTTGAAAAAGCATTTGCTAATGCTGGTGACAAGATAGCTGCCATATTATTGGAACCAATTCAAGGTGAAGCGGGAATTGTTGTACCACCAGCTGATTATTTACCACGTGTTCAACAATTGTGTAAAAAATATAATGTGTTGTTGATTTGTGATGAGATTCAAACCGGTATTGCCAGAACTGGTAAAATGTTGTGCTATGAACATTCTGAGGGGGTTAAACCTGATATTATCTTGTTGGGAAAGGCAATTTCTGGTGGTGTAGTACCAGTATCAGCAGTATTATCATCAAAGGAAATTATGTTGACTTTGGAACCAGGATCTCATGGATCTACATATGGTGGTAACCCATTGGCTTGTAGAGTAGCAATTGCTGCTTTACAAGTGGTTAAAGATGAGAATCTAGTGGAGAGATCACAAAAATTGGGAGACTTGTTGAAATCAGAATTGACAAAACTTCAACAAGAAAGTAATGGTATCATTAGCGAAGTAAGAGGTAAAGGATTGTTATCAGCTATAGTCATTGATGAATCCAAGACTAATGGTAAAACAGCTTGGGATTTATGTTTGTTGATGAAGGATCATGGAGTATTGGCTAAACCAACCCATGACAATATCATTAGATTAGCGCCACCATTGGTTATAAGTGAAGAGGATTTGTTAAAGGGTGTTGACTCCATAAGAAAAGCATTGCAAGAATTGAGCAAGTAGAGGGAGAGTAAGTAGGTGCAAGATAATGAAAAAAAAAAAAAAGTCAAAACTTCAAAACTGTATTAAAAGTCTATAAAATTCTAAAAAAGCTTGAATCGAAAGTTAGTATATTGGATTGAATTCAAGTGTTATTCCCTTTGGCTTTTTATATTGGCTTGTCATCATTCAGATAATTATGGTTGGATAGGGTATGTTTTTCTACACCGCATGAAAACATTGTTTCAATGCTCCGGATGAGCTAGGTTTAACTTGTTGTCATCATAAACAACAAGCCAATGTTGCTATAGCTCCAAAGAAGAAAGCTAGTTGGTTAGAATGTGATATGACATACTCTTTGGTATTATTACTGACTGTCGATGTGAAAAGGAAGAAACATACAAGAAAAGAAAATTTTCTAAACTGAGAGAGAGAGAGAGCATCTCAAATAATTGTAGCCAACTTTTCTTTGTAAGTTAGACACGACTCTTCCTGTCATAATGAATGTCAATAATACACTCAATACCAGTTAAGGTGAATACACTGTAAGCTTATTTGACTCAAATGTTCCAATGTGATTAGCATATTATTGGTGAGTCCAATTAGTGCCAAAAAAATCGTCGTAAAGAAAGAGCAACATAGTAAAGGTATATATACCATATTAATTGTCAATGGTTTAAGAGTTGAAGCTGTGCGTGTGTCTTCACGGTTTTAATAGATGAATGGGTTACCAAACAGGGGTTTCTACCAACAGGTATAAACCGGTCATTAATGAAATTTTGCTTTCGTAGAGGAAACACAGAGAGAAAAGAAGTTGAACAACACCAACGTTTGCCTAAACAAACTTTTCCTAACTTGAGAAGTAAAATACACCTTCTCTTTCGAGAACGTGAGCTGTAGGCCCAAAGACCTTGCTTGAAATTCATCTCATCAAAAAGAGACGGGACCCATTGTAATCTGCTTCAGATGATGGTTCCTCGAGTATTCCCAACGCTTAACAATCAGTGTTTCAACAATACTAAAAATTACTAAAGACATGGCATTTGCACTAGTCACGATGGTCTTTCGAAACCAACTTAACTCCAGAACTACGTTACCTCAATACTCTCCAAATCTAATCAAAACTGTTAGTAAACTTTTCAAATAATACTCCAAACAATACTCAATATTCTCCGCAAATTGTGCTATAAAAATCAGACTGACATGCAAATCGTTTTTAGTTTTTGTATATCATCGGAGGCAGTACCCCCTCATGATATGTAAGAATTAAAAGACATCATATTTTTGTAGACGAAACTTGGAGGAGAATGTTTGAAAGAGCAATAACTGCTCGGATGCTATCAACATACCATTTAGTCACGACTTGATTGCATTAAAGCAATTTTGAAGATTAACTGGAAATGTAATTGGAAATGAAAAAAAGAAAAAAAAAAAAAAAATTTTCATTCTCTTTTTCACCCATTTTTGTTTGTGTTTCGCAACTTTTGCAACATTCAAAACTGAAAAAGTTTAATTCAAACTAAAAGAGTACATTAGTGTATTTATGCATCTTTGTTTACACTCAACTCTGTAGGAAAAAAAATTGGGAAAATGAGGTGAGCAGCTCGGTGAGTCTCCAAGAGGTGTTGTATAAAGACAAGATAGTACAATATCTCACTGGACGAAATTCTAGAAAAATCGGACTTTTTTTCAACTAAAAACCAACTACGACATTTAAAACCAACCTAAAAGGAGACTGAACACAATGCCTTCCTCCAAGTCGCTGCTCAGAATGTCAAAGTCCTTATCTCTTTTTGTAATAGTAGCATCCTCGCCGGTTGTGTCACTAGCGCCATATCCACCACCACGTTTATTACAACCTTTTTTTCCACAACCGCCACCACCACCACTACTACTACCACCACCATCTTTTCTTCCTGGTACTCTAAACCCACCAATAACAGTCTGATCAATGTTTCCTTAAATGTCTATTGGTTGACATTGTTAATCTAATCATCATTTAAATCAATGTCATTTCCTTGATCATTCTTCATCCTATGGTTGTGTGAGATGAATGCGAACATTTGTCTTTTTCATTTGCTCAAACATCAGGATCTTTGTTACCATCTCCACCTATTGCCAAGTTTCAACAATCAAAATTGGTGATACCGTCATAATCGATCTTAGAGTGTTGTTGTGAAACTACGGTGGTGACGCAGAAAAGAACGACTAAGAATTTAGTGACACCAGTTTGAAAATTGGTCAACATGTTGAAATGTAGTATAGAAAAATGCTTTGATGTATTTCAAGTCTTTGCACTCTACATCGATTCTATACATGAGGAAGTTGACCAATTCAAACAATTACGTAGAATTGGCCCTGTCATCACATGTGGTGGTGAGTTTCCATTGTCATGAAAAGTTCCCATTGCTTGGATGTAACCATACAACGTCATGATGTAATGCCGTACGACAATACGTTTCATTGAATAATGGTCTCCTTAAAAAGAAGGGGGTATTTGGTATTGTGATGTGCAATTTCAATTATTACCAGTTCTGTATATGTAACTAGATCTATTGTTATCAATTAGATCTCAAGAAATTACAATTTTTTCTCCATAAGCCTCGTTGTCGTGATTTCGTTCGATATACTTGTTTGAAATGGGGCTACATAACATTGTGGCTTAAACCACACGATAGAGCACCTTCTTGGTCACTATATTTCACGGCAAGTTTTTGTAGGTGTACAGTACAGCACTATACCTCTCGATATGAATTTAGATACATTCTATTAGCCGACGTAGTAATAGAGCTGGTAATGTGCTTCCATACAGATATTTCAACAGTTATACGGCAAAGTTGACTTTCATTGTACTTGTTTTGTAATTCTTTGCACCTTTCCCAAGTTACACACAACGTAGCCTCAAAGAATCATCAACCGTAATGTCGCTTTTTTTATGAGGACAGTCGTTGCGACAATGCGATTATGCGACACAGAGCGGAGTTACATGAAGGAGAAAAAATAATCAACTGACAATGGAAAATTCCGCGTCGGAATTTAATTTTCCACTTTTGCAAGTTCGGTTCTTCACGGTAAAAACAACTCATCTCATTCTTCAATGAACCACAAAACGACTAGACTGCTGGCTGGCCTGTAGTCCCCCTTGGAAAAACTGCATCCTTGCTGATACCACACTAACTTTGTAGACTATTGTATGTGTTTTTTGATTCATTTAGCATGTGAACTTTTATGAACCGAGGAAGTTTCAGTACTGCATATAACCCATGACTCCTTTTTTTTTTCAATGGTGGGGTAGAGGGTGAGAGGGCAAAAAAAATTCTCTAAAAATCATTCAAGTTGTGATCTCTGTGGGTACTATTACTAATTCATTTAATCAAGAACCATACCACCCTTTTCCATAAGGATAACAAAAGATAGCATTCAGTTTTCTACTACATTAGCCTAACCCTAAGTTACTTACAATGTCATTCGTCGGTGGAGGATCAGAATGTGCTGTTAACAACAACGTTGTTTCACAATTAAACAAACATACCCAACAAGATAGGTCTTTACAACAACAAGCTTCTCAACCACTTGGTGGAGTCATCCAAAACCAAGGTTTCAAAAGAGACAACTTGATTAATGCTAGAGATAGACAAAATTTGGATCAGTTCATGAATAATGCGGCACCTCAAGGATCGTCATTTCAATATCAACAAATGAGACATGAGTTAAACACTATGCATCCATCTCCTCAGCAACAACAGCCAAATAACTGGTCACAGGATTTTAAACAACAGTCTAACTCACCAGTGCCACAAGTTGCTTCGCCAATGATTAAAAATGCTGCTCCTGTTAATACCCAGTGGGCCAATGAGTTTCAAACTGCTCCACAACAACCACAAACATTGCAACAACATCAAAATCAACAGCATAACCAACCATTTTCAAGGTATGGTGGTGCACCAATGATGTCGTATCGTCCGATGATGGGTAGCAGCATGGGAATGTCTACTTATCAGCAACAACAACAGCCTCAAATGCAGAGACAAAATCAAGAACAGAAGCAGGACACTGAACAACAAGTTGATTGGGACGATCAGTTTAAAAAAATTGAAGAGCTTTCAGAACAAGCTAAAGAGGAAGCTAAAGTTGCTGATGATAAAGACGATATAGTCATTGATGACAAATACCAGGCCACGTTCCAAGAAGTGTGGGATAGTCTCAACTCGGAATCATTTGAAAACGATTTCATTGAACGACAATATGAAGATTTCAAAAGTACTCAAGGTGAAACTTATCCTCCAGATATGAATCTTTGGGAAAGAGATTTTGCCAAATACGCTACCACGAGGGCTCATTTTGGTGATTACAAGTTTGAAGATGCTAAAAATAATCAATTCTTTGACTTACCAGCTGATCAAGATCCATACCAAATTGGTATCCAATTGATGGAAAATGGAGCTAAATTGTCTGAAGCGGCATTGGCATTTGAAGCTGCCATCCAGAAAGATCAAAATCATGTTGATGCGTGGTTGAAATTGGGTGAAGTACAAACTCAAAATGAAAAGGAGATTGCTGGTATAACTGCATTGGAAAAATGTCTTGAATTGCACCCAGAAAATTCGGAAGCTTTAATGAATTTGGCAATTTCGTACATTAACGAAGGGTATGACAATGCTGCTTTTGCTACATTGGAAAGATGGATTTCCACAAAGTATCCTCAAGTAGCTGAGCAAGCAAGAAGAGAAAATCCTGAACTAACTGATGAAGATCGTTTCTCATTGAACAAAAGAGTCACTGATTTATTTTTGAAAGCAGCACAATTATCACCTGATGGGGCTAGTATGGATTCCGATGTGCAAATGGGATTGGGGGTATTATTTTATGCCAATGAAGATTTCGACAAGACAATTGATTGTTTTAAAGCTGCACTAACAATCAGACCTGATGATCCAATCTTGTGGAATAGATTGGGCGCATCCTTGGCCAACTCCAATAGATCAGAAGAAGCTGTTGATGCATATTTCAAAGCCTTGCAATTGAAACCCACATTTGTACGAGCAAGATATAACTTGGGCGTTTCTTGTATAAATATTGGTTGTTACAAGGAAGCTGCTGAACATCTTTTGTCTGGATTGTCTATGCATCAAGTTGAAGGTGTCGATTCTGGCTCATCCTCATTGAATCATAATCAATCTACTGCATTGACTGAAACATTAAAGAGGGCATTTATATCGATGGAAAGAAGAGATTTGGTCGAGTTGGTGAAACCTAATATGGATTTGAATCAGTTCAGAGGTGAATTCAACTTTTAATAGCACCGTGCTATTAGCATTTATATATATAGTAATGATAATGAGAATTGGGAAAGAAAGAGAAAGCTGTGTAGAGATCTTCTTTGGGTTTTGATAAATTCAAAATGGACCCCTTCAATGCTACCAATTTTGGTGATTAGTCATTTCTGGACCTTTTGAAAAAAAAAATGCATTGCAAAAAAAGTCTGGAGAGATAAAACTCCTACCACCAATGACATTCCCTATATTACCACTACTCTCATCTCCGGAGGATCCAAAGTTGGACGACTTGAGCATCGCGGGCCATGTTTTGTTTCCATATGACTCACTCAATTTGAGTAAGCATTGGATACAACAATTTCAATCACAATTGTCAATATTTGTTCAAGTTGAAAAGAATGTTTCTGTGGATCAAATTACAGAATTGTTGAACTTGGGAGTTGAAAAGATATTCTTGTCTGATGAAACACAGTACGAGTCTGTTGTCAACGCTGGATTACCGGATGAAAGATTTGCTAGTCCTGTATTACAATCTAATCTGTCACTAATTGTTTGTGAAAAATTGAATGATTTAGCAAAATACAACAATGATGAAAATAGAGATGTGTATTATGATATGACTAAAAGTGATGCATCGCAAGATGAAGTTGACCAATTGGCCAAATTAGGATATACTGTCATTTTACCATCAGAAAATCTAACCACAAAGAAACAAGAAAATGGCAAAATTTCAATTTCGTTCACGTTTGTCAATACTTTAGTTACTGATAGACAAGATGGATTATTCACTACATTAATCACTTCTCCAGCTCCACAATATACTGCATTAGGAATTGTGTACTCTTCCAAAGAATCAATTTTTGCCGCTATTGATGAAAAAGTTGGAGTATACCAATCAAGGAAAAGAACTCATGAATTGTGGTACAAAGGTAAAACCAGTGGCGCTACTCAAAAACTTCTCCAAGTTTCAAAAGATTGTGATTCTGATGTTGTTAAATTTGTGGTGGAAAATCGTAAAGGATATGGATTTTGCCACAAAACCAGCAAGTATACTTGTTTTGGTGACGATTTGCAATCGAGTGGCCACGGATTATCAAAATTGGATGCAACTTTACAAGATCGATTTGAAAATGCTCCCGAAGGATCATACACCAAGAGATTGTTTAATGATGAGTCCTTGCTTGTTGCGAAGTTGAAGGAAGAATTGGATGAATTGATTGATGCCAAGGGCAACAAGAATGAAGTTGCTTGGGAAGCGGCTGATTTATTATACTTTGTCATGTGTTGGTGTACCAAGAACGGAGTTAAATTGAGTGATGTTGAAAAGAACCTTGATGTCAAGTCGTTTAAAGTGACAAGACGCAAAGGAGATGCTAAACCAGCATATTTGGAAAAGAAACAGGACAATAGCCCCCCAAATGCGCCAACACAAAATGCATCACAAGATGCCGATTTCCAATTGGAAGTCATTGATGCTAGTGATTTAACATCTCCTGCTATTACCAAAGCCATGACAAGACCAGCACAAAAGACATCTGAAATTATGAAATTAGTACTACCAATTATTGAAAATGTTAAAACCAATGGAGACAAGGCATTATTGGAATTGACTGCCAAATTCGATGGTGTTACATTAGACACGCCGGTTCTTTCAGCTCCGTTCCCAGAATCGCTCATGAACATCTCGCTGGAAATGAAGGATGCAATCGATTTGTCAATGACCAATATTGAAAAGTTCCATGCTGCTCAATTACCCAAGGAGAAAGTAATGACTGTTGAAACAGCACCGGGTGTTTATTGTTCACGATTTGCCAAGCCAATTGAAAATGTCGGGCTCTATGTACCTGGTGGAACTGCCGTTTTGCCCTCAACAGCTATGATGTTGGGTGTGCCAGCAAAAGTGGCTGGCTGTAAGAATATCGTCATTGCCTCACCACCTTCAAGAAGCACTGGTCAATTGACACCTGAAGTTGTATATGTTGCTCACAAGTTGGGCGCGTCATGTATTGTTATGGCTGGTGGTGCACAAGCAATAACGGCGTTGGCGTACGGTACCGAATCAGTAATCAAATGTGACAAAATTTTGGGCCCTGGTAATCAGTTTGTCACTGCCGCCAAGATGTATGTACAAAATGACACACAAGCGTTGTGTTCAATTGATATGCCTGCAGGACCAAGCGAAGTGCTTGTTATTGCTGATGAAGATGCAGATGCTGATTTTGTAGCTAGTGATTTATTGTCGCAAGCCGAACACGGTGTTGATTCTCAAGTCATCTTGATTGGAGTTGGTTTATCAACGACTAAATTGAAGGAGTTTCAACAAGCAGTCACGAAACAAGCTTTGGCATTACCAAGAAAAGAAATTGTTGGTAAATGTTTAGCTCATTCATACATTTTGCTCACAAAGTCATATCAAGATGCATTTGAATTATCCAATCAGTATGCACCAGAACATTTGATTTTACAAATCAACAATGCAGCCTCATATGTGCCTGATTCTATTGAAAATGCAGGGTCGGTATTTGTGGGGGCGTTGTCACCTGAATCATGTGGTGATTATTCAAGTGGTACAAATCATACTTTGCCAACTTATGGATACGCCAGACAATATTCCGGAGTCAACACTGCAACGTTTCAAAAATTCATTACTTCTCAAGATGTAACTGAACAAGGATTGAAAAGTATTGGTAAAGCAGTAATGACATTGGCTGCTGTTGAAGGGTTGGAAGCGCATCGTAGAGCTGTTGAAGTGAGAATGGAAAAGTTGGGTCTACTTTGAGGAACAAGTCATCATTTTTTAGTAAACAACTATTTCATATGTAGATTAATCAAAAGGCATAATTTATTAGTAAATGTATTCACCAATTCAACCCAACATCTTGGCTCCCACAATCAAGCGACTGACAAATCCCTTCCAATTCTTCGAGTTCTTTATTCTTTTCCGGTCCAGGAATAGCAGCAGGATCAATGTGCTTCCCACCATTGGCCTTCTCCAAGTCAAGATGGTTCTTTATAGCATCACGCACCAAAGTTTGATAATACAATACTCCATTCTCCTTTTGTGGATGCAAATATCCTGAACTATATATGCCCTCATTCAAATTCTGTTGGGTCAATTGACACAAGTTAAAGTCTTCAATTTCAACTTGTTGCAAAAAGTCAACAAATTCTGCTTTTGTGGCTTCATCAATTCCCTTTTTGGTGTAAATGTCATATTGCAATGTTGTTTTGGTGGCACTTAATGGCAAAACTCGAATAGAGTACCATGCAGGAGAGTAACAATTGACGCCATTGTTGGGAAACAAGTACACCCATAATCCATCAAACTCACCACCCTTGTTACCAGTGGTTGTCTTTTCTGGTTCGGCAGTGGTAACAGTATCCTCTTGTGATTTCTTTTTACCAAACCCAAACCAAGACGAGCCTTCATGTACTCGCTCCTTTTTCTCCGCCTTTGGCTCTTCTCTAATCAAGGTGGCATAATGGCGGCAGTATCTATTCTTGGGAACTACCTTATAAGTCTCCATCTTGAATGCCGAATTCAATCCTGGATGTGCAACGGGACAGTGATAACATTCCTGGTACCCATCCATCAACGTCTTCCAATTGAAATCACCATGTAATTCATAACTCATATGATACTCATAATCGTCGAAATCAAACTCATTCAATTCAATAGTCAATCCACCAAACCAATCATCAAACTTGACTGCATCTTGGTTGAAATTAACAAAAACCAAACCTTGTGGAGTAACATGGATTGGGATTGCATACAAGGAATTTTCACTCTTTTCAAACCCTTCAACATTGTCAAATTGTGGTGCGTTGGATAATTTCCCATTGGAATTGTAACTCCAGCCGTGATATTTGCAAGTCAAGACTGCGCTTGTGCCTGATTGTTTTTGCACCACGGGGAACGCACGATGACGGCAAACATTGTGGAACGCATTCAAGTCGCCATCTCTTGATTTAATGATAAAGAATTTAATACCGGCAACTTGAAATGAGTAATAGTCTCCCAGTTTGGTAAATCTTGATTTATGAGTGCAAAATAACCATGAGTTGTGGAAAATGGCCCGCTTCTCCAAGTTGAAAATGTTTTCGTTAAACCACCAACTTGCAGGTAAAGTATGTTTACCAGCTAATAATGGTGGCGTATCAATTTTGGTTTCTGTTGGTGTTGTTACTGTTGCCTCTGGAGATAGTTGAGGTATAGTATTGTCTAGCCTCAAAGCTACTTGAGCAGGTGTCATGGTTGTATTTGATGTGAGTTAAGATTGTTTCAAGTTGGATGGGTTACTCGAGATGATATTTATAGATAGAGAAATCTGCAGAAAAGTGGAGATACCATTAGATTTAGGACAGATAGGTGCTCCTGGATAGGGATTCCTCAAATGGTAAAACATTGCATAAATCTTGCAAAGTATAATTAAAATGTGCATATCTGTAAAACACAATCAGAACTATTCTATCTTTTGCAACTTTAAAGTTTCACAAAGATACGTTCAACCATCCCTTCTCCTCTTTGCTTTGTCTCTGGAAAAGAAAGCACTATACACCTTCAACAATGGATTGATGACTCAATCGCGAAAGAGGCGAGATACTTATGGAATAAGCCAATACGGCCAGATCTATGTGGGAAACTCCGAAAATGAAGTACTTCTTATTACATAATCATACGGTACAAATGTTGGGAAAGACATACCCCATAGAAAGGTGCAACAAAAAGCTCTCTCGGCAAATAGCTCCTATTCCTAATCAATTCTATCCCCCCCTCTTCCCCATTATTCCCTATCAAAATGTTCTAGTCTATTTGCAACTTCGTTTGTTGGATTAAATTCTTTGACTTGCTTATCTTTTCCCCCTTATACTGGAAAAGACGCAACTGCGCAATTCACTAACAAAAAGACAGAAACGAGATAAAAGGTTTTGATGTGTACCCCAATGCACTCCAAAAGATTGTCAATCGTTATCTAACCACATATATTGCAATACTTCTTCTCCACACTCCTTTGTCAAAAGATTGCCCAATGGAACTGTATTAATTAGTAAGATTCAGTTGCGTAATTGCGCTTACATATTTGGAGACGAGATTCCTCAATTTTCATCAACCGCACCACTGCAAAGCTTTATTCTCTACGACATCATAGTCGATATTACAATTACATTATCTAAATTAATACAAATAATCTACAAAAACTTCAAAGATCAACAAAACCTTTTCTCTCACACTTCAAACTCCTCTCTCCTTATATTCCCTCGCAGGCTTTTAAATCTTTCAAATACCTCAACAACCTCACAATTTCTTTACCTAAATCGTTATCAATTGTTGGTGCTAGGAACGTATCCAAAGTCAAATTAATATCAGGTATGATTCTCGGAAATGCATAACAATCAGTCAATTGATTCATCAAATCAGCATTCTTGTAATCAGTCTCACCCGAATACTCAATGTTCTTGGCCACCACGGCATTCTCCACTAACGAATTGACCACAATCAACGCTTTAGTCAAACATGATGATAAAATTGTATGTTCGGGTGATTCTTTGGGGAATTTGCCAGTTTCTGAAGCCAATGCAACAACAATTCGAACAAAATTCCCTAAAATCAATTCTCGATTATACAAAATCCAATATAATGAAATCTTGTCTGAAAATGTATGCAAGTCATTAATAGGTGCCATATCAATAATCAATTTTGCTCCAAAAAACATTTGCGAAATCGTTGGTGCTCGAAGAAATACAAATTTTGAAAATTCAAAACTGTTGGCATCATAAGGGACAATGCTCATCAACAGTTGAAACGCTCTTGTTAACAACACACCATTTTTCAAGTCTTTGGCGCTTTCACCCAAATACAAATTAATCAATTTTCTAGTATGCTCTTGATCGTGTTGTGAAACAACAAAACTATTGACGTAGCTTGTAGTCATTCCCAAATTTAAACTTCCCGTCAATACCGCTTGTAATAAAGATCTATTAAAAGGCTCTCGAACCAATAATTTGGTAAATGCATCAATTGCAAATGAAAAATAGGAATGAGTATCAAGATTGCATCTTGGAATTGTCCACACTTCTTTGATCTCGGGTCCAAAACTGGTAATCAAAACAAATGAAAGAAAAGCTTCCTCTAGGGATCGTAAATGTACAAAGTAGGCAATATTATCCAACATCAAAAGACAATCCTTGAGTAAACACAACCTTTTCCTGCTAAACATAAACTTGTCTCTATGCATGGCAATATTCTTGACTATTGAAAACAACAAGTCCTTGAATAATCCATTATTCGCCAACACCTCCTTATTGAACTCTGAAAACGAAATGTTCCTCAAAATCATTGTAATCGTAATCAACTCGTCGATCAAAAACACCTGATCATTAGTTGCACTTTTCGTTTGCAATTTACTAAAATGGTTTCTATTCTCCAGTTTGAAATTTTGTAAAGCTGTTGAATAATCATCAATGTAAAACTCCCGTGGCTCGCCATCCACTTGCAAGGAAGGTGGTGGTGGAGACAATGATTGCGGCGTACCAGTCTCATCTTCATTGACCAAGTCAAACAAATTATTGATCTGGTCCTCATCTTCTTCATCTTCACAAATCAATTCGCCAGTTAATGAATTTACAACGTACAGGATATCTTCACCCTTGCCACTAACATACTTGCTGAAAATGTCATCAATTGTAGTATGAGGATTCAATTTGGTAACATCCTCTTCAACCACATCTTTTTCCGAAGGTTTTCCGTGAATCACCTTGTGCAAAACTTCTGCCCCTAACTTGCACAACGAATCCAATAACTCAATACAATCGTTGATTGAAAATGTATAATTGGAGTCGGAGGTGGTCACTAGCAAGGTATTCAATGCATTCACAACCTCAGAACTCTGGATTCCTTGATCACTCTTGATAGCCATACACAACGCTTGTAGGTTGATAGTACCCAACTCCGGAGCAAACAAATATATTGGTTTAGTCGCCTCGATTTCACCCGATAGCATTGAAAGCTCTTTCATATGATGGTTCCCATGAGTATCAAGAATTCTTTTAAAAGGAACATAGTTTCGTAAAACGTTTGCCTCCTCTTTAGTGACTTCCTTCTTGATATGAGGTGTAGTACCAGCTTGTGAAGGCTGTCTACTTGAAAGTTGCGGCTGAGGCTGAGGCTGTTGCTGTTGTTGCTGAAACAGAGGCTGCCTCGACTTTTGCTCAAACAGTTGTTGTCCCCCTACAAGTGGTACTGGTTGCTGTTGTTGTTGTTGTTGCTGCTGCTGAAGCTGGAGCTGTTGTTGCCTTTGCTCTTGTTGACGCTGTTGTTGAAGCTGTTTCTGTCTTTGTTGCTGTTGTTGACGTTGTTGTTGTTGCTGTTGTTGTTGCTGTTGTTGTTGTTGTTGTTGCTGCTGCATTGAAAGCTGATGCGGCATCTGCGGCGTACCCTGAGTTTGTTGTGGTGGTGGTGAAAATTGTTGAGGAAATTGCTGCTGTTGCTGTTGTTGAAATTGCGGAGGGACCTGTTGTTGAGGAAATTGTGGGGTTGGTTGCGACCGCACTTGAGGTGTATTATGTTGTGAAGTGAATTGCAGCGGTGTTTGCTGACCTTGTGATTGCGGTTGCGATGGTGGCTGCTGTTGTTGTTGTTGTTGTTGTTGTTGTTGTCTAAATTGTTGATTCTGAACATAAGGTGAATTGCCCACTTGTGGAGAATTGTGGTTGGACAAATTACTAGCCCTCGACATTTTCCGTTGTTGAGGAGTAGGGGCATTACTCACCTTTGGACTTTGTTGGTTGCTTGCTCCCATCATTGGCGTAGCACCACCACCACCAACATTAGGTGAGAAACCTTGTGGGAACTGTTGCTGGAGCTGTGGCAGCTGATGATTAAACTGTTGCTGTTGTTGTTGTATTTGTTGCTGATACTTTTGAATAATTTGACTCTGAAATTGTGCCTTTCTTTGCAGGAGATCTCTTTGACCAGCTGGGGTAGAATAGTACTCTTCATATGGTAAAATGTTATTTGTATAACATGTACAAACTTCTCGGTCTAAGTTTTCCTTAACCCCTGGCTCTTGCAAATTTGCTCCAGCATAGAGTCCCATCTTCATTCCAATTAATGCCCACGGATTACGTTGTTGTTGTTGAAAATCGATATTGATGAATCTCTTCAATTGCTGATGACCACCCAATTTTGAACACAACAAGAAGAACATAAATAAGCTTACTCGTTTGTTGTTGATTATTATGGGCTGCTTTATGGGCGTTCCACGACGATTCATGAAATCAAACAAAAGTGCTTGAAATGTTTCCGCGCTGATTTGGGTACTTATCGAAGCCTTTTGCTGCATGCGTTGTCGCTGCTGCTGCTGCTGTTGTTGTTGTTGTTGTTGTTGTTGTTGTTGTTGTTGTTGTTGTTGTGGAATTTGCTGTTGCTGAGGCGGTATCGCCTGCTGTTGAAGAGGTGTCGGTTGTTGTTGGAAAGCTTGATTTTGTGCCGTGGGGAATTGTTGTGCTTGTGGTGGTACATTCTGTTGAGGTATGTGCGGCGTTGGCTGTTGTGAATGTTGTTGGAAAGCTTGCACATTGGCAGCGTTGCCCATATTACTCATTGTAGGAGTTACTTGATTGGGTCCTGGTGTTGGCACTTGAGAGCCATGAGGGGATACATGTCTCGATAAGTCAGATTGTAGTTGAGGTTGAAATTGTTGATTTTGGCTTGGAGTTTGGTTCTGTGCTTGTGCTTGTGCCTGTGCTTGTGCCTGTGCTTGTGCTTGTGCTTGCATTTTCTGTCTATGAATCTGCTGTTTCATTTTCAAAAGCATCTCCTGTTTATTGGCATTGATTTGTTGCGAAGGTTGACGCATATACATTGCACTTAGATCCTGAGAGCCTTGCACCTGCGGTGGAATCTGTTGCTGGCCAGAAAACTGTTGAGGAAGTGTTTGCTGCTGAATACTTCCTGTACGCATTTGTGGAGTATTCGACTGCAGCTGGGGTTGCAGAGCTGATGGTGGGAACTGCATGGATTGAGGCAGTTGTGCTTGCTGTTGAAACAGCTGTGCTTGCTGTTGAAGCAGTTGTGCTTGCTGTTGAAGCAGTTGCACTTGCTGAGATTGTGGTGGTTGTGCTTGTTGAAACAGTTGTGCTTGCTGCGGTTGTGGTGGTGGTTGTTGTGGTGGTTGTCGTGCTGACAGTGATGCTGCTGGTTGTGGTTGTTGACTCAGGCTAGATGTTTGACCCTGATTTTGATCAAAAATGGAATTCAAAAAATCATCACCCAAATTATCCATAAAGCTTGGATCACTGAGCCAATTTGGGTCAGCCATGGTGAGGTAATTATAGTGGGGGGAAGTAATGACTTTAAAGGCAGAGTAAAAACCTCTTGTGTTTACACCTTTGCACAAGTAGTTTTTTTCGGTTTGTCATATTTTTTTACGTTTTTTTTTTTTCACCAGGTTCAACGCTACCCAACTGCAATTACCAACTGTACATTCTATCACAAGTCATACAATGATGATAAAAAACTACTCACTCTGTCCCATTTGCACTTACTCTATGTATCCACTCACCTAATCATATATGCTACCAGAATTTCCACCATTTCTTATGTAGCTTCTTCGATAATGCCTTATAATGTTCCATTTCTCCCCAGCAATCACGTCCCCATTCACAACCAGCCATGTTAACAACAAAATCATGCTCCTTAAAGAAATATTGTGGGTCGTCCGCCTTATCGGCACAAGCACCCGGAGGAAATGCATTAATTTTTCTTAAGGGTAAAAACGCGGTTCTTTCTCTTATCCACGGTTGAGTTGAATACAATGTCTCTAGAGCATCTTGTTCTTTATGTTCCCATTGCATATGCATTTGCTCATACATTGCTGGATCCCACCAAATGTCTAACAACATCTCTGACCATTGTGAACGACGAAGCAAAAATGAACCCAAGTTGAATCCACCACAATCTTGAGTCACAATCATATCTATTGGTTGTGAGTAATCAACGTAAGGAATGTCCGTAGGTAATCCCAATGGATTAAATGTTTGTAATGATCTATAAGTGGCATTTTCCAAGTTGTTCAAAAAATGTTGCTCTAATGAAATTTGTGGTTCCATGATATAGGTATGTAGATCCAACCACCAAAACCATTCTGTTTGAGGAAATTGTCTCATTGTTTGTTTTAAAAGATCCACTTTCTCCCAACTTTCTCTCCACTCATGTGAATATCTCTTCTTTATAGTCATGTCTTTTATTGTTAACCCATATCCGTGTTTTTTGGCATAATACTTTTTATTCGCTATTGATGATCTCTCAATAGACCATTCTTGTGGTGACTTCCATTTGAGCACACCGCCACCTTCATTGGCTGCCAATATGATCACAACCTTTGGCGATGAAGGTTTCAAGTGGGGTAAATATGGGACATTTGTAAACAAGGATAGACATATGAATGTAATAACTAAAAGAACAATGCGTTTATGTTTTGTAATTTGCTGGAGTATTGACTCTTGTAATGAAGTTTTCTGATTTGGTTTGAATGTTTTCGAATACTGATGCGACTCATCAGCGTGATTCGAGTATGGCAATGAGTAACTCCCACTCATTATCTGTCACTCCGTTCAAGTTGGATCAGCCTTTAAGTTGTTTACTCAATTTTAGTTTTTTTTCTTTTTATTTTTTCGTCTCTTCGACGTGCTTTAAACAAAAGCATTCAAAGTTATTCATGAAGTGATGAGTACAAACATATCTATATCTCAACTACTTCAAAGGTAACAAGTGTTGTTCTAAACACTGTTGTCTACATAACGGACATTCCGGATTCTCCCTTATCCAGTCAACTATGCAATCCCAACAATACAAATGACCACAATTTGCAGCCGATGGAGTTACCATAGGCGATAAGCACAACATACAATTTCGTGATTCATTTTGTAAGTATGGCAATTGCGATTCATCATTTAAATCGATCAAATACTTGGAATCAAAGTTGTTACTCAATTGACTCAACTGGGTGATACTAGTGATTTTTGCGTCACTTTCATCAGTCGCGACTGATTTCTCTTTGCTGGTATCCTCCTTGTTGATATACTCATCACTGTACTCTTTCAAATTTATGAGCGATTTGACAGCAATTTGTATAACCATTAAAGCACCAAGAAGCGAATAATTGCCACGTTGCATCTTTTCTGGCTCTTTGTGATGGCCAAATGCATAACGAAGACCAAATAGTCTCTTTGATAATGAATAAAATTCACCTTTGAAATAAAAAATGGCAATATGGAGATTCAATAATGTGTCCAAGACATCAGTATAGCTCGATAAAAATTTCATTAACCACGAGTCTGCCTTTTTACCGTCTTCGAGATTCTTTTCCTTCTTTAATTGAACATACTTGATTGTTTTGTTGACAATGTATGGAATCAATGCGTATGCCACTATGAAACCTAGTCTCGGTAGAAATCGGGGCAACTTCTTTCCTGATCGATTCACATATATCAAATCCACATATTCCTCACCTAATGTTCTAGCTCCAATTAGTGTCGTGAGTGCCAAGTAAATGGCTTTGGCAAATACTGTGATCTCTTCTGGATGGGCATTAATAAACCTTTGACCCTTGATCATTTGGATCAAATCTTGAAGTTGACTTCTATATGAAGACTCAAAATAGGCATCCTTTTGATGTGCCCTAACTGCTCTGCGTTAGTATATCAACAATAGTTTTGCACTCTCTCTCTCTCATCATATACATACCTATGGTAGCTGCATCAGCAAAGGGTAACTGTCTACTATTACTCATGGCTTTCTACCCTTGTTGTTGTTGTATCATATATTTAGACCGTGGTTGAAAGAGGCAAAAAGTTTACTCGCTTTGTCAAACTTTTTTCTCCACATCCAAATTGTTAATGAGACAAGATCACCATACACACACTTTACAAGGCGTTTACCAAAATATATGCTTATTTTTCCATTAAACTGTTTTAACTAGTATACACAGGATAGTTCAATCTCTCTCTCTCTCTATCAAGCCAAGCCCCAAAAACCAAAGGCTCTTCTCGCACCCTCATTATTCTCTATAACTTCTTATCATATCTAATCCAAAGTTGCAATCAATGATTCCAAAGCTTGACCCAAATCCAAGTTTGGATCCTCCCAATTGATCGATCCTGGGGCAGAAGTGGCTGGTTTTACTACTTGTGGGTTGGTCAATTTTTGATATTCAGCTTTGGCTTGAGCAATTAATTTTTCTTCGTGTTTCCATTGTTTAGCAGCTTGTTGTTTGGCAAACGATGATTCCAATGAGTATCTGTGGTAAGCACCGTAGAAAAGACCAGCTCCCAAAGCGGAGTATCTCAACACATTGAATGTAGTAGACATGGTTAATGTTGAACTGTGGAAAATAGTCGTTGTATATATCTCTCTTTGCAACTGAAAAAGTTTTTCTTCTTTTTCATTTTGGGTCGACTCGGGGTACTTTTGCGCTACCTTCTTTTTGTAGTGTGTATGTAATATCATTGGTCCATTGAGAGATCACGTGATGTTATTGATTTTTGCGGTGAAATAGTCAATGTATCCACCGTGGGTAAACTGCTGTTGTCTTACCCTGTATCCTTGATTTCTAGTGTGTCTACTTCAAATCCTTTTGCGTGATTTGTACTGCTTCATTACAGAATAGTTTAAACTGTAACTCAGGTGTATTTTATTTTCCATTGTTGAGGGAATCAAATATCAACGAATGCAGCCCTACATCAGTGCATAGAGGTTCCTTGTAGATTGTTGTATTTTTCCTGTAATCTTCGAGCAGTACTTAACTGTATCGTGCCATTTCTGAAGGAATATGACAACTGGTGGAAGTGTAATAATTTTTGCAAGAAATCTGTTACAATTTGTGGTTTTCAAGATGTTTTATCTGTACAGTTGTAGTAACTTTGTTTTCGATCGTCCACAAATTTACAATCTATTTCAGCTCGATACATCGAGACAGCTTACACGTCTACGTTCAAATGAGATTACTTTGAAGCTTGTTTGCGAGAGCTCCATAATCCTCGTGGTTGCAAAAATGTACTATCATGCTTCAAATCTATCACGTGCACAGTATAAAATTTTATATATCCGATCATACTACTACACTCATTTTTCTTTCGCTCCAAAAAGCAAAAGAGAATTCATTTTGGAGCCAATCACAACATTATAGGTTTTGTTTACAAACCTATGAGTACATGATATTGCCAACTAGAGTCTTCAAGTATTGTTTCATATTAGCTATTTTAGCCATGTTGGTTTCATTGATATCGAAAAGCTCTTTGCCAATTGGTCGTAGTATACTAAAATCATCAACCATCCAATCAACACGATCGTTTTCATTCACAAGCTTCTCATCAAGTAGCAGCAGCAGCAGCGGCAACAGTGGGTCTTCATGGAACTCGCATAGTAGCAGCAAATCATATTCAACTTCCTCATCATCAACCACATCAAATGCGCACTCAACGTCAACACCACCAGCCACAACTAGTACCGCTTCGCTAAATTACGATAGTGCGTTAACTACATTTTCCAACTACAATGTTGCCGTAGCATACCAACCCAAAGATAGAAAACCAAGCTCAAATATGTTCAAAAAGTCCAAGTCAAGTCCGGCTTTGGACTCGCCAACTGGTGAAGATAATTTGTTTGTTTCTGCACAAGTTCAGGACGGATCGATTGCAGTTGGAGTAGCAGACGGAGTTGGAGGATGGTCTGAAGCAGGTTATGACTCGTCTGCCATATCTAGGGAACTATGTTCAAGTATGAGGAAAGGGTTTGAGAATACTGGGGATGCAACAACGACTCCAAAGTCACTTTTGGACAATGCATTTAAAGAAGTTTTGGAGTCTGAAAAGGTAGAGATTGGTGGTACTACTGCATGCTTGGGAGTGTTTACTCCCGATTTAAAATTGCATGTTGCAAATCTAGGCGATTCATGGTGTGGATTGTTCAGAGAGTACAAGCTTGTCAAGGAGACAAATTTCCAAACCCATAATTTCAATACACCATTTCAATTGGCCAAGATCCCTCAACATATATTGAAAAAAGCAGCCATGGAGGGAAGGAGATACATTATTGATGAACCTAAATTGGCCGATGAATACACATGGAATTTGCAAAAGGGAGATGTTGTCATGTTTGCTACTGATGGAGTTACCGATAATGTTGTACCTAAAGATATTGAAATCTTTTTGAAGGACCATTTGGAAGACAAGCAGAATGCTAGATTGGATGAGGTTGCAAAGAAGTTTGTCAGTGAAGTGGTTAAAGTTAGTAAGGATGCCAATTTCCCCAGCGCTTTTGCTCAAGAGTTGTCTAGATTGACTGGTCAAAAGTACCTGGGCGGTAAAGAAGATGATATAACCGTTGTGCTTGTAAAAGTTGTATAGATTTTGGAAAAAAGCCGATGTCATGGCAATGAAAACTGCGTCACTAAATAAAAATATTTGACACAAATCTCTCGTCTTAAGAATGTCTTCTTGAAAGGCACTTCATAATTGTAGACCAAATTTCAATCAAACATATGTCAACCTCATGTTCAGGCAATCAGACCCCAAACTGCCCTTGGGCGATAGGACCAAACTGCCGTCAAAGAGTAATCCTGTCACACCAACCAAAAAAATAAACAAGATTTCTGTATCAGACAAGGGTTTCAGTATAGGTGACATTACGAAAAGAGATACCAGCCCTGGATCGCCTAGTAGAAATGGTATTACTCGCTCACATTGGAAACAGTCACAACTGCAATCACAACTAACTTGCAAGTTATGTGGCAAGAGATTGAACGTTAAGAATGGCATTGTCAATTGTCGCAAATGTGGAGATTTATTTTGCAATGATCATACTCATTATCGTGTCAAACTAAGAAACCCTGTTGGGGATGAAAGGTTACCACAGTATGAGTCTTCAAAAGATGGAATTTGGTGTCGATGTTGTGAAACGTGTTTTGAAGGAGGTAGAGTGACTGAAGTGAACTTCCGAGATCGAACAATGGAGTTTGTCAACAAACGACAAGAGCAATTGGATTTGAACAAATTGCATCGGACCAAAGTGCAGCGTAATTTCATCAAGTTGGCTAATTTGATGGTGGAAAAGAAAAGTGTTGAAAAGAGGTCGATTTTGTCGTTGTTTCAAATGGTTGATGATGATGAAAAGAGCATCACTGGAGCCAATTGGGCCATGGATAATAATGTGACCAATTGTACCATTTGCTTCACCAAGTTTAACTTTCTCATTAGAAAACATCATTGTCGTCTTTGTGGGGAAATCGTGTGCGACGATTCCAACGGCGTACGACGTAACTGTTCCATGTTTGTTCCATTATCAGTTTTTGTTGAGAAGCTACCCAACTTAAACTACTCAGCTAAATTTAGAGACGAGTTTGATCTTCGTGATGATGATCTACGATTCAGATGTTGTGTCAATTGTAAAAACTCACTATTACATGACTGGAAACGAGAATATGACTCTAATGACTTCCACTATGAAGAGATTTTTGCCCTATATGAAGGTATGCTTGCCCAAAAACAGTATGTTGAGAAAATCATGCCTGCGTTCGAACAAGGAACAAGTACAGAAGATGAGGCTAAAACAGGCCACAAGTTGACTATGAGTTTAAAGGATTTGGAGAATCTGATTCTCTATTTCAAGAAAAAGTTCTTTTACAAGGAAAATGAGACGTTGTTAGTACGTGAGGAGTATCTTCAGTATAACAGGATCTTGTTGAACATTTATCAAGGGATGGGTACTTTTCTTCACGATAATTTGGTGGAGTTTAAAGCCATTAGTGATAAGAACAAACCACAACAATTGAAACCAAAAAAGGAAGAGACAGCAGTGGCTCCCCGATTAACCAAGAAACAAATTCGTGAATTGAGAGAACAGTTGATGGTTTTGAATGAACAAAAATTCTTGGTTGAGAACCAAATTCAACAGTTTACCAAAGATCGAAAATTCGATGAGTTGGATGCATTGATTATCAACAAAGAGGAGATATCCGACACGATAAACCAATTGGAAGAGGAGTTGGGCGAATTTGGGTTTTAAAAGGGTATTGAGAAGCAGTAAGTACTTATGCAAAATCACGACTTTATATTTTGTATTCAAATCTATCAAAAAATTCTATGTTACCTCTTTACATTCGAATCGGTAGAATAAGAAACCGTGTCTTCGTCATTGTGTCGACTAATAGCATGTTCAAGTCCCTCCCTTTCATCATCTTCTTGCTCTAATCTACGTTCTTGTTCAACTTCTTCCCTATCTTCTTCATCGGTATCTCGATGACTCAATTCACTCTCTTTATCAGACGCTTTCTTTTTATCATCATCATAATGAATCCATTTCTTCATCAATGTCACGAGAAAATTCGCCGTCATAACTTGTTCTGCTTGATACAAGACCAATGGTACCAACAAGATTCCCAATTTGGGGTTATGAGCTCCATATTGTGACGATACTAATGAAACGCCCAATGCGGCAGTCTTTGCCGGACCACACAACATTACTGCCACAGTATCCCTTTTATTGTAGTAAAATGGATTAAACACTTTATATGTCCAACGATAAGCTCTTGATGAATTTTCATTGGGAAACTCCCATAACCAACGTTTCACGAAAAAAGGTCGTGAATAAACAAATGCAATAACGGTAAAAAACAAGTATATGCCAATATTGAAAAACACCAAAAATATAATTGATGCATGGGAGACACTAGTGAAGGCATGTTGTGCAAACGCAGTGGAAAATGAATGAAACATAATCAACAACAACATAAATGATCCAACTTTACTCAATTTAAAAGTGGTCAATGCCCATTTTGTTTGCTTGGGGAACACATTTTGTACAACTTGTCCCACAAACAAGGGGACAAATACACTCAATCCCAATTGTTTCATTGTATTTCTGTAAAGGTCCCCTACTGAGCTGGTTCCTTCAGTTTGATGACTTGGATTACCAAAATCCCACGAACCTGTCAAGTACATTTGAATCAATGCTGGAGTTATGAAGGCTCCCAAGATATTACCAATAAACACTTCACACAAAGTTAGAATATCATTGCCATCAGCTTGTTTTGTCATGACAACATTCGATGAAACAGTAGTTGGACACGCATGAGTAACAATTAACCCAACAAGTAGCCAATCATCAATTTGTCCGTCATGTGATGCTTTGATGGCGCAAACTAATCCATAAATAATGGCACTAGTTATTAAAAAAGACATCGATAACACGGTGAAATGAGCTCGCCAATTCATAGCATTAACAATAAGTTGTTTTGTTGACATGGATAATCCACTAATGAGGAAAATAACAGCAACTGCTCCATACCCGATGGAATACTCTCCTTTCACAGTACCACCTTCCTTGGCAAATTCAGGATATGAGTGGGCGAGGGCAACAAATACGCCTAGAAGTATAAAGAACCACTGACCTAGTAGAAAATCAAATACTTTTTTCAGCCATATGTATGCTTTATGCTGTTTTATCCTTTGTAGTATTTCTGATGTCATAGTGGAAAAAAAAACGTGGATAATACTATAACACAAATAGGGGAGGAGAAGTTATGTTTGTGATCGTGATGGTACTATTCAAAGGTGTGATATGGTATACAAAAGATAGGATGTCAATAGAATATTTGAGGTAGTTTAAGTATTTTTCAATCAGTTTTATAGATGGGATATTGCATTGAAGAAAAAAGACAAGAACATCAAAAAAAAGTTAAGCTCGGTTAATCAAATTGTTTTTAATCTGGGGCAGAAGAGTATGGATATATTCGGCTCGTTGATGGTAAGTTACACCACGTAAAAAGATATTTCTTAGAGTATCGGATAAGTACACATGGATCACGATAAGTTGTAGTAACCTCCAATGTGCACTTCTATGTTGTTCAGTAGCAAAAGTTGGCTTAGAAGCCTTCATTTGATATGATTCATATCGGACCGGTGATTCATTTTTTTTTCGTTTCTTCTAGCTCAAGCGCAATTAACAAAAAAAAAACATCACACACGGCATTATCCGATTTTAGTGCATCACGTGAAGTGTCATAAAAATAGATGTCTATAAATATATGTTTACGACACTTTTCTGGTGAAATGACACTTTCCTAATTTGGAAGAATTATAAACAAAAGCGATTATATTGCATTATATATGTACAATAAAGTACGAAACCAAACACATGAGAGTGATGAAAGTTGATTTGGTCTTTAAACGTAATTGAACACTTTATCAGTTTGTACTTCAAGACATTTAGCTGATCCAAAGGCAACACCTACTGAAGCTCATACAATAGTTTTGCTTCCTTAATGAGGTTACAAGACACAACCACCCCCCCTGATTACCCAGATTTTGTCAACAACTTTTGGGGGTCTTCCCCGGAGGCAAGCTTTGACATAATAACAACAAGAATAAAAGATGCGTTATCAACCCTTGATGAACTCATACAATTTTACCATGAAAAAGTCAATATTGAAAGAGATTACACTAGACGATTGGAAAAACTATCGTCAAAATTCCCATTGGGTACCCATGAAACAGGCTCAATGAAAAAATCACTCGACAAGTTGCATATCGAAAATCAGTTTATGATTGATTGTAATACCAAATTCATAAAGTCTTTAATGGAATCCAATTTGGACAAGTTGGAAAAATTTCACAGCTTGTATGTCAAGAAAGTGGACAAGTTGAAACATCACATGAACAAAGTAATACTAAGGCGAGCTTCAGCATTGAAAGACTTGCATCACTATAAAGACAAGTATCAAGAAGAGTGCAGAGCCTACAAGTCTCTCAAGTTGTCGCTCCAAACAACTTGGGGCAAAGAATTGGAAAAGAATGAGAGCAAGTACCATAAATTGACATCCTCAATAAATCAAACAGTTAAACATTATCAATACTCCATACAAGTCTACAAAGATATCAATGACATTTACCAAAAGGATTGGACAATCTCCATAAACGATTTTTACAAATTAGAGATTGAACGAATCCAGGTTATGAAAATCAATTGTTTCACATATTGTAATAACATAGCTACCTTGTGTGTTGACCTAGATCAGTCGGTGGATTTGGCAAGATCAACATTTGCTTTGGTGCAGCCACAAACGGATATACAAGAATTTAGTAATAATTATGGTACAGGCAACAGAGTGTATGATGATCCACCATTTGTTGATTACATGACTGGATGTGACGAGCCCACCATTGGCTACAAAATACTGAACTTACATAATCCTGATCACAATGAAATACTATCGCGAACGTATTCCACTTACTCGTCTTCGTCAAACAAGACTGCGGGGACCATACCATCGTCTCATGCTGATCAGTACTATGGTCGTGAATCGTCTACACCACAGTACTCGCCTGTTAAGGATACTCGGACAGCTCACCCCCATGAAATGACGCCAACTCCGAAAAGTAAGCTATACAATGATAATTCCAAAGAACTACCTCCAATATCCAATGGTCATCACAATATGACACCAACCCCGAGGGCAAAATTATTCACCACGACTCCTGCCAAGGACCTTCCACCGATATCTAATGGACATGTTGAAATGACACCGACATCAAAAGCTAACTTATTCAACAACTCACCCCATAAGTCACTTGCCCCACCAACGACGACAAATACATCTCCATCTAATTTATCACCATACAAACACCAGCAACAACAACAACACCAGCAACATCAAACACCTCTGAGGAAACCACCAGTGGATTTGTTATCTCACAAGACACATTCAACAATTAGCTCCAACCCAGAAAATGACTTGTTTTCAGTTAAAAATGACCCTTTGGCCAATAGTCAAGGATCATCAAACTATAGTTCTGAACGAAACTGGGCATCACCAAGGAGAAAAGAGAAACAATTACAAGAGATGCAGGAACAAATTACACGAAGAGCCACTAATGAATTTAATAAGCGTCATCATCATCCACAATTGAATGAAGCACCAAAACTGCAGGGCAAAGTGCCAATAATGAAAGATTTTTCAATTGACTTCATTGCCAAGGCTCTAGAAGATTTAAACTCAGGCGGAGATGGAGATGTTAATCAATTTAGAAGGTCAGTTAGAAGTAATGGTTCAAGTCCAGTTAAGCCAAGGCCCAAATCAGACTATATTGATGATCATGATGAAGTTGCTCAACGATACGATTCGATAAATTTTTCACGTCCAAAGTCAATGATTGATGTTGTTGAAAAACCAAAGTATCAAACTCATCCACCACCACAACAACCGCAACAACAACAATCATCATCGTCATCATCAGCTTACGACCAATATAAGTACCGTGGTTTGCCCAAATCTCCCAAAACCAACACCAAACCACATACTCCATTTATGCTACAGCCTAAAATCACTCCTGTTAATCACAAGACATACGTAAGTAAAGCAACAGCAAGATATTCTTTCAAGCCACAAGAAGATGGCGAGTTGTATTTCCGCAAGGGATGGCAAATGTACATCATTCATAAACAAGAAGATAGTTGGTATGTTTGTGAATTGGGTCCAAATTGTGATGAATATAATGGGAAGATTGGGTTGGTCCCAGGTAACTATATCATTGAACATTGATGGCGATGGTAACGTGTATACGTGTTTTGTAATTATATTGTATTATAAGCGTCCAATAATGTAGATTTCCACCTTGTTGCAACTTTGCAGTGAGAGAATTGTGCACAAAAGCGTTGTACCAAAGAAAGTGAAAAACGGTGAGAATTCGCTTTCGGAGAATAGACCTGCGCTTACCACTCAATTGACGTACACTCCCACGAGCCCCTTCATGAGCTCTCCTTTACCCTCACCTACTCATTCTCATTCACTAGATGGGCTACCTCCATTTATAATCGGTGGAGCAGTATTCAACTATCAATACCACTCCAACCCGGAATCTCTTCCAGTGGAGGATATCTTACAACATGCATTCAAGTTAGGTTACAATGCCATTGACACATCACCATACTATGGCCCTTCAGAAGAGATATTGGGTCAAGCTTTATCAAAATTGAACGTACCTCGTGAATCATACTATATATGTACCAAAGCTGGTCGTATCAAACTTGATGAATTTGATTATTCACGTAAACTGGTACGTGCATCGGTAATGAGATCATTGACACGATTGCAAGCTACCTATTTGGATTTAGTATATATGCATGATATTGAATTTGTTACTATTGATGAAGTGATTGAGGCATTGCATGAGTTGCAAAGTTTGAAGAATGAAGGTATTGTTAAGAACATCGGAGTTTCTGGATACCCAATCCAATTTCTTTATGCAGTTGCTGTTAAATGGAAACAAGTCAATAATGGGGCGCCCTTGGATGCAGTCATGTCGTATTGTCATGGATGTATTCAGAATAATAGCCTTTTTGACATTGCCCCCAAATTGCAAACTGATGCTGGAGTCAATAAAATCATGAACGGACTGATCTTGTCAATGTCTTTATTACGATCACAACCAACGCACTCATTTCATCCAGCATCAACAGCATTGAAACAACGGGTTGATGAATTGGCACAGCAATTGCAATTACAACATAGAGTTGAATTGGCAGAATTGGCTACAAAGTATTCCATTTATGAGTGGATGATCAAGCGTAGATCAAGTGTTGTTTTAGGGGTTTCAAACTTACATGAATTGAATGTTGCTATTGATGCATTTGAGTTGTTGAAAAGGAATGGTGGGTTGAGTGATACTGATACGCAATTGATTAAGCAGTTCCAATCTGACTTGGGTGACCATTTCAATGAATCGTGGCCAAGCGGTCACCTGTAGGATTGAAGTGACGCAATTTAATAGAGTAATATGCCATTATAAGAGTAAAAGAGGTATCATTCTTTTGGTAATATTTCAATTTTTTTGCAGTGATCCGCGAAACGCGTTATAGCCACCTCTTTTTCTTCCCTACCAAAAAACACAACTAATGGCATACAAGAGATCATATGGCGGCTCAGCCAAGTCCACGCAACAACAAGATAACCCGCCAGAAACAATCATAAACCTAGACGCCAAAAAGCGAGTTACTGTGCGTAAATTCAACAATGTTAATCTAGTTGACATTAGAGAGTTCTATACTGATGCAAATGGCGATCAGAAACCTGGTAAAAAGGGGATATCATTGACTGAAGACACGTATTACAAGTTGATTGATGCTCATAATAGGATTCAACATGCTTTGGATGGGTTGAATGGAGGAGCCGCGTCGAAAAAGGCTAAAATCGAAAAGAGTGGTAGAGAGGAGTCCGAACCAGTGAAAAAGGAGAAGAAGGACGTAAGGAAGGAGAAGGGCAATGATGCTGACGAGAAGGGGAAAGAGAAATTGGAACAACGTAGAGTAGCCGCAATTAGTGGTGAAGAGAAAGACGCGGGTGATTCAGTCGCGATCGCAGTCGAAGTCGATGACAATGATAATGCTGATGGTGATTTCGTTGCGGGTGATGATGAAGGCGAAAAAAAGGATGATCGTGAAGAAGAAGAAGAAGAAGTCAGTGAGGCAGATGATTAATATTCGTATCTGTCGTATTTTTTTCTAGGTGGTGTATAGATATACGTTGGCAAATAAGTAGTACTTGAACAGATTCAATGTTATTGAGTCAATGTAGATAGGACGAGTCTATTCCTTTAGCATCCTTTATGCCTCTGCTATGACTCGAAAAGAGGCTTCATATTCCTCGATGACGTAAGCCTTCTACACGTGACCAAGTCACAAAATTTTCAGCATTTGCCACAAAGAAAGAACAATTGCGCCGCTCTTCTTCAAGGACAAGCAAAAGTAATACAACACGTCGAGGATGGATTATTCCGAGTACTCGCTCGTGTCACTTTAAGGCAAAGTCGCGTTTTAGAAAAGAGCTAAAATGCCATAAATGGTTTTTGTAGAGTCGACTGGAGAGATATTGTGTTGTGGGATAGTAATCAAAGCTCCTTCTTTTGTAATGAGGAGATTTTTTTTTTTCGCTTTTGTCGCTTAGAGCCAAATTGAAAGGAGAATTTCAGAACGTACAAGTGTTTAAAAGGCGATGGAGCTTTATTTGTGCCAAAATTAAGCATCGTGTGACCTTAAGAACACAGAGAGAACATTAAAGCAGTAAAAGGGTAATAATACAGCAATGGTACACATAGATCCTTGTTAATTTGAGAGAAGCAAAGATCTCGGGAAAATACGATACAAGTACTAGCAAGGGACAGTTGTATAATTAGTATAGTAGATGTTGATGTTTTCACTAATAGGCATCTTTATTGAGTAGTTGTTAATCTCAACATGACATGTCTTTTGTAATACTCCTCCTCTTTTTGATTGCTATTGGTGATGAAAATTTTTAAACTTTTCACTGTATTTGATAGATAACACAAAAAAATAAAATACTAAAGGGACCATAAAAGAGTGAGGAATATCAAGAAAACATTTCACAACAGAGTAAATACACATATTCTGCAAAAATTTTTTATCTTATACATACTGTTCTTGAAAGACAGATTATGACTACTTGCTGAAAATCAAGACAGTGTTATTTACCTTTGAAGTGCATGTCTAATACACGCAAACAATAATATCACTACTACTCAGTACTAATAGCACAACTAATAAAATATTGAATATGGATACACCAGATCGTTCAATGATAGAGGTTGGTGATACACCTTCCATTAGAACTGAACTGGGCTTAAATGATCACACAGCTTCAGCAAAACATAGAGGAACTACCAACCACAACACTGGAGACCGCAATAAAAACAAAAGTACCAGTTCATTAGAAAGATTAATAAACTCTGGTTCTTATATTGACCACAGAGTACACAACGATTTGGCTCATTTACACTCTTCACCTGCAAGGTCTAGACGCAGATCAACAAATGGAAACGTTTTCAAGAGAAGCAGCACCACGGGCAAGAGAAGTGGTAATGGCAACGATGATAACAACAACGCCAACAGCAATAGCAACAGTGACAGCAACCGATTTACCCCCAGAGGACCTACCCATTACTCAACTGCACCTACTTTACCACTAACCAATAGAAACTTGCAGCTGTTATTGAGAAGCTCGTCATCATCAGGTGGTGGTGGTGGAGCTATAGATGAAGAGCAAGAGGCTCAATCACCAACTGCCATTGCTGTTGATATGGATCAGTTTGCCCACGAACAAAGACAACTTGCAAGGTCTCAGTCTTGGAATAACCCCTTTGGAAGGGACGACGCCAATTTAAGCCCAGGCTCACCTGGTCATTACGCCAATATCGACTACAACGTGGATGGTGATGACGCATTTTCAGTGAATTCGATGGAGTTCGGTGAATCCAATCCATCATCAGATCACTCAAGTGATTCTACTTCGTTGGACGACGTGTGTTATTACGATTATGACCGAGAGGACGAAAAGAGAGACGAATGGCCCAATTTACAAGTTATGGAAGAATACGTTGTTGAAGAGTTGGAAGAAATGGAAAAGGAAAAAGATCACGAGCGAGAGATTGATCAAGTTATTCAATCAGTAAATTTTGGGAAAGATGTGGTTCATGATGGTAAAAGGAGATCTTCACAGATTAATAAATACTCTCCACCTAGACCACAACCACCAGTAGCTTTACCTGAAGAGGCACTAGACGAGGCAGCAGTTGATGAGAACACACCACTTGTGGACAACTACAAAGTTAATGAGATTGAATCATTGGACTCACTCAATGATTCTTTTAGAATTCGACCAACACCGACACAACCGTGGGAGAAATCAAAGGACCAGATCCCAACCATTTTGAACAAGAGACAGATGCTGTCGCAAACCCAAAGAACATTGCGTGGACAAAAGAAGGGAGAATTGTGTCGATTCACATACTTTAGAGAAGATTTACCTGAAACTATACACGCACCAACAATATGTGGATTGCTAAGTGATGATCCGGAAGTCTCTATTCATGATAGATTAGTTGAGCTTTTTAGACCATGGGAAAAAACACCAGTGAGTGAGTCTACTTCAACTCAACATGCTACTCACAAGCAACAGGATTCCTTATCCTCAAGTAACAATAACTTGCAACCTACAACTAAATCGACAAGATTGGGCAATGAGAGTCCAATCCCTGCTTCCAGTGGCGATTCAACGAGTGTAGAACCTTATTGGCTTGACATTTTAGACCCAACCGAAGAAGAAATGAAGGTGATTTCAAGAACTTTTGGTATTCATCCTTTGACTACGGAGGATATATTCCTTGGTGAAGCTAGAGAAAAAGTTGAGTTGTTTAAAAACTATTACTTTATATGTTTCACCTCCTTTGATGTGGTTTATGAACGCCGTAAACAAAAAGCCAAGGAACAAGAAAAGAGATACAACAAGTTGCAAGAAATGTATGAGAATAGCTCCGATGGCTCAAGCTTGTATGGTCAGCATCAAAAGAATGGATTGGTTTCAAAAATGACTCGTTTGTTTGGATCCTTCTTGAAGAAGAAAAAGAAACCACCTTCAATTCATGAAAAACCCATATCCACCTCGGTTAGATCACGCAACAAGAAAGTTAGAGAAGGTGAATTGCTGCCTTTGAACATGTACATCATTGTGTTCAAACACGCTGTCATCACATTCCATTTCTCAGCTACTCCCCATCCTATAAATGTGAGAAGAAGAGCCAGGATGTTGAAGGATTACTTGACCGTGTCTTCAGATTGGATTTGTTATGCATTGATTGATGACATAACCGATTCATTTGCTCCCATGATTGAAACTATTGAAACTGAAGTCAATTCAATCGAAGATGCCATATTGCGTATGCATTCGGGTGAGCATGAAGATTCTGACGATTCTGACTCTGAAGATGAAGTTTCAACACATGAACACCAACGCAGTCATTCTCGTCGTCATCACAAATTATTACAAGAACCACATGAAAATGTATTTGTTTGGCGCAAACGATCCAAGTCTACCGTTGATGCCAACAATACTGGATTCTTACGGTCTTCCAACACTAAAACAAAATCCAAATCAAGCTCATCTTCTTCATCTACTTCCGATACCGGATCATCACGTATTCTAGGTTGGAGACGTAAAGGTGATATGTTGCGTCGTATTGGAGAATGCCGTAAACGTGTCATGTCAGTCCTTCGTCTCCTAAGCTCAAAAGCTGATGTCATCAAGGGGTTCAGCAAAAGGTTCAATGACCTCGACAATAGCTCAATTGATCGTCATCAACTGGAAATTGCCATGTATTTGGGTGACATTCAGGACCATATTGTCACCATGATAGGAGCGTTGAACCACTATGAGAAATTGCTTGCTCGTTTCCATTCCAATTATCTTGCTCAGATTAATATCGATATGACAAAAGTCAACAATGACACTAATGACATTTTGGGTAAGGTGACGATATTGGGTACGATTGTACTTCCTATTAATGTGGTTACTGGCCTTTGGGGTATGAACTGTCTTGTTCCTGGACAAGATTATGACGGATTGGCTTGGTTTTGGTGTATAATTGGAGGCATGGTGTTGTTTAGTGTTGTCGCTTATAACTATGCCAAAAGAGTTACTGGGTTATAGAGAGCAGTGGAGAAATACAATTAGGTGGGAGAATAGAGAATAGCAGTATACATGTATCAAAGAACTTGATCTATAACGCAGTTTCGTAAATGTATATATTGTAGTGCAACAAAATATCGATTCATGTGCGTAAGTTAACCACCACCAAATTTTTTCCAACAAAACAGATGATCAAGGGTACATAGCGTTTTGTTTGGTACATTATTACCCGATCCTAACAGTTCTATCATAGATGACATGCTGACGTTGATTTTTTGAAGGACTCATACTTCTGATATGGCTCCATTTTTTGGGACGTTGAATGTCTCGCATATTCAAATTATTAGTTGCACTATTCATTAATGGACTGTGAATGCCAATCCGGTTGTGAAATGCCCCACGTCAAACCCAGAACCAACATTTATACCAAGGAGGATGACTTACTTTTCTATCTATCCTCAAATTCTAAGGTGGAGTCAGTACTAAGCCATAATTGGATGTTGATCAACCCACCAAGCTCTTCAATGATTCCGTCTTCATGACTTAGATGACGTTTGCCTGTCTTAGATAGTCTGACAGTTCGTTCACTTCCTCCCCCATTCAAGTCATAAATTACTTCATAAAACACAAAGGTTGAAGGGCGTAGTTGCCCTAATATATCGGGCTCTGCGAAAGTACTTATTAGTCTCCCAAACACATTTGCGTCCTTCTTTCTCAAATTTACCTAACTCAGCCACTCTTTTGAAATTTCATATTTTGCAACGGGGATAACCCTCGCGCAGTGGCAATTTATTTGAAAAAAAAAAAAAAGTATTGGATTCAAAAACAGCAAAGCAATACAGTACAAGCAACCCATAAATATTCAATTGACGAAAGATAAGCAAGTTTGTTCACGCTTATAACTAACACTAAGTTTCTAAAATTGATACACTTTGATTTAACTCAATTTACTTTTGAAAAAAGCCAATCGATATAACATCAACTTGCGTTACCCACAATGAGTCTTCAAATGCTGTTGGTATTTGGTACCATGATTTTCCAAATGATTACATTGCTACTTTTCGTACTCCCACTCCCACTAATGGTTCGATCTCAAATTGTAACCTTGTACACCAAAATTACCACTGCTCAAAATTTTCGAATTTTCCTCATGTTTAGCATCACTTTGATGTCATTACAATTTTATGATTGTATTCAACGATTGGAGAAATATCGTAGAGTGCAAGAGAACGATGTGTTGCAAGGGTTTGTCAATTACGATAAATTGGCAAGCAAATTTTATAGTCAACGGAACTTGTACTTGTCGGGAGCAATTTTGTATTTGTTGATGGGTATTTATACTGTCGCTTCTATTGTCAAGAAATTGGTATTGAAGGAGAAATTGTATAGGGAATTGATTGCTGAGAGAGATGATGGATCGAAAACAGGTAAGAGTGATGATAGTGAGGAAATTGTCAAAGTGAAACATTTGATTGAATTGAAACAGAAGGATATCAATGCTTTAAAGAAACAATTGAATGGATTACAAACTGCTTATGACGGGTTGAACAAAGGTGAAGAAAGATCCAAAGGTGATTAAAGCTTTGTGATATTACTATGTAGTGGTTTTTAATGAAATAAAACCAAAAAAAAAGGAAAAACTTATACATATATTATACAATTAAAAGGCTATGAAAGATGAACCTGTCTCTTGACGACGATATGAATAGGAAGCGATACTCTCCATAACTATTCAAAAATGACTAGCATAATGTCCACTGACAAGGTTTCTAAATGAAGGAATCTCTTCCCCTTGAGTGTTATAAATTGAACAGTACTTGACAGCTGTTGGGTTACCAATAGTAAACTTTAATTGCACGCCCAGTTCATGTTCAGACCCTTGTCCTTTGGTCATAAACCTAGCAATCAATTTCTCTTCACCATGAGGCTTCAACACGACTGGATGATTATATCTCCAAGTAATTCTGTTCTTATCTTTATTGAATGCACCTTGTGGTTTAGATGATGCTGAAGTGGCTACAACATCGGTATTCAAAGCGGCTGAAACAATCAAATTTTCAATCTCAAGAGTCTCGTTTACGTTTGACCTGATACTAATCATCAAACTTGATTGATGAGGCTCAAATTTCCAAATCTGTTGAACGAGTAAAGGCACGTGATTGTCGTTGGCCAAGTACTTTAATCCACCCAATGTCTTTGAACTGATCAAAGCAGGATCAAGCTTATAATCATGATCGCCCAATTCTTCAATAAACGTCTTGTTGACAATCAATCTATCATAATCGTGGGGAATACTAACAACAATTGACTCCTCATTTGGATGTCCATTATAGTTAAAAGCAACTTCGCCAATAACTTGCGATGACTTCAATTGTCCATCTTTGAAAGTTGCATTGACAATTTCAGCAATTGACGTGTTCAATCCAATAGTGGCATCTGATAAATTGAAATGCTTGAAATCGTTATTCAACAATGTACCAGTGTCTTGTCTCTTTAACGCCGCAAACGGATTATTCACATGTGAACTTGTTGATGAAGGTCTTGGTGGTTGAACAAATGAATCTCGTATAGAACTATTTGTGGTTGCAGCTGGCAAATTATGAAACATGTGAGAATCTCTCACCGAACCTGCTGTGTCATGATGCACCACTTTTCTTGATGGTGGGGGTTTTGGTGGAGCAGCACCTCCAAATCCACTAAATGAAGAAGTAGTGTTGGATGAAGCATATCCATGTGGAACAAAATTGTCAGCTGTTGGTGAGGTTGCTGTTGCGCCACCACCAAACTCCCCGACAAATCTCGAAGATTCATCATCTCTAGAAGAAATTGCATCAAAATCTCTGTTTTCAACACCTCTGTCTCCCCGCGCTGATGCAATACTTTCAGAAATCCTGTCACCATCACTAAATCCATTCTGCTCACTTCTTGGAGACGCCAAAATTGGCTTGTTATCATCACCAGCTTCGAAAGAATACTTGCCATCACTGTTTTGTCTTGCTCTCGCATTGGGGTCAAGTAATCCACCAGCAACATGAGAAGGTTGCAGTTGTTGTGGGGTAGTAAAAGCACCAGCACCTTTTTCGCCTTGTTCAGTGCTGTCTAAATGATGCCTTTCAAGTAATGAGGATCTTCTACCTGCATTCACGTTGTCCTCACTGTCATCATCATCATCATCCTCGTCAGTGCCATATTTAACAACATTTGGAGAATCGGTTTGTTGGTTAAAGGGCCCAGTGGGAGCTCTGTCCTTTGTTGGAGTGGCTGGTAATGCTGCATCCTTGTAACTACCAAGTTGTTGCAGCGATGCAAAGGAGCCTTGTCTTGGGGCTGCAAGAGGCTGCGTGGAGAAGCTTGACCGTTGTTGTTGTTGTCGGGAAGGAAATTGTTGGGGGGCGATTCCGGATCCAAATGCCTGTTGCTGTTGAGGTTGTTGAGGTTGCGGTTGTTGTTGAGGTTGCGGTTGTTGTTGAGGTTGCGGTTGTTGTTGAGGTTGCGGTTGTTGTTGAGGCTGCGGCGGTTGTTGTTGAGATTGCAATTGTTGTTGAGGTTGCTGTGGTTGCTGAGCTACTTGAGGTTGCTGATTCAGTGACGGCTTGTTTGGCGTCAAAGGAGGGAATGGAGTTTGCAGTTGTTGCTCATGTTGATAAAGAGTTTGACTAGCATGGGATGGACGGCGTTGATCTGTGGCAGGCGACTCATATCTTTGCTCTCTACCAAGGAAAGATCTTGAGGTGTTGTTCCTCGACAATGGTGCTGATCGTGAGGTTGATGCATCAGTGGAAATGGATGCATCTTCAGCAATAGTAGATTCAAGTTGTGTATGATGCTGATCCTTCTTCTTTTTTCTGCCAAAAATAGATCCAACCCTCGATTTCAATTTGGATGACTTTTTGGGCGAAGTTTCATCATGGGCACCTGCATGTTTATCAAGACGACCAAATGAGCTTCTTCTTCTTTCCTTTGCCGGAGTTGTGCTTGATCCAGCAGCTGAATTCGATCCAGTAGTCCCTGAGCGATTCTGATTAGCAATTTGTTGAGGCAATTGAAATTGTGTATTCTGCATATAGTCCAATTGACTTTTCATTTCGTTGTCCAACTTGAAACTTCCCAACAAGTAATTTGTTGAATTTTCGTTATTCTTCACTTCCTTATTTAATCTCGCATTGTTGAGCTGGAAGTAATTCAAAATGACATTAAACATTAATTGAATTTCAATCTTTTTAAATGCTTCCAAGTTTTGAAATGCTTGAGGGGCTTTAAAGTTCCACTGATACTCGCCTTCTTTAGTCAAATGTTGACTAAGTTCAGTCAATTCTTGTCCATTAATGGTTAACTCCGAAATACGGACATCATTTTCAACCAAGTTCTTCAATGGAATAATTACATCTTGTTTCAAGTTCTCTTGCAAGATTTCATTGTCTTTTAACTCCATTTGTACTGCGTTCACCAAGCAGTTCCAATTGCGAGGGAAATTGTTGAATCCAACGCTGCTTCGACCAGCAATCTTTTTAGCCTCTTCAAGTAATTGTCTCAAGTTGGCATTATGGGCACCAATTGCTGAATTGTAGTTGTTGAACCATGACGACAAATCCTTGTTTAATCCAGTGGATCCAGTTATAATGCTAGGTAAAATTGCAGCAGCTTGTTCGGGTGATTTTGATGTTAATATAGTGGTTGCGAAGTTGTAAGAATCCTCCTCCATCTTGAGATATTTAGATTGTAGGTTAATCAAATGAAGGATCTAGAAAAAAAAGGAATCTCAATGTGCTATTGATGAATAACAACCAGTGGAGACTTTACGTAATGTGGCGATTAATCTATCTTTAATGGATTCTCCCTCCCCACTCAGTATTGTTGATGAAAATAAGTTCATTTTGTTTTCGTGGTTGGATGGTTCACCAAGGTCGTGCACAAATCAATTGTTTTTTTTAGCACGCCACGGGTCTAATTTTTTTTTTTCGGTTCTAAAAGTCATACTTATATTTACCGGATAACCTGGGAAAACTTCCTCCAATGGAGTAGCAATACCGAATATCATGGCACTAAGGCTAATGGAGCTGAGCTAGCTCATTTGGATGAAGGGCGGATGTCTTGATCACAGTGTAGCTAACCTTTCTATCGATCACCGCTCCCAAACTTGTAAAGTGTTGAATAAACATTCCGCCATCCCCCTTACAGCCTCTTAAACAGGGGTTATCTGAACAAAATCATAGCAGAGGACTCTGTAATTATATAGTTATTACATGTTCACGATGTATCGTCATTGATGATAAATAGAGTAAATCACGTGCACGTTAACTTTCAGATATTCAAATCCGGATATGTTTTATAGTGGCCGGTTCCGGTACCTTCATGATCCACAGACATCATTTTGTTAATTTCCCTTGCAATGGTGTTGATAGTCTCCTTCACACAAGGTAATTCTAGGTACTTATGCATGTAATTTACTTACAAAATGAGGAGATTCCAGTTAATAATGCAGTTTCCCGTTTATATCCGGCGATAACACCGTCACAAGTAAACGGAACTACAACAGAGGAACTGTTATTGTCAAGATCTTCTCCCCGGGTTGTAGGAGAAAGAAGAGAATTGCACAATGGTAACTGATAGACGAGCATTTTTCGAAAGGACAATGAGGAATTCCTATCACATTGTTGTATTAACGCCATCCATTTTCATTTTTGACCACTTGCATGTTTCTACAATGATCTATACACGAGGCTTTGCAAATGTCTGAAGGGTAATTCTGTTTCAACCGATGCATAAAATGCAGCTAAAGATAATGAATACGTGCAATAAAGTTGGAAATAACCATATGCACATCTGCATAACACAAGACAAATTAGATCGTGGCACTGACATAGACTATTTTTTTCGAATCAATCCGAGGGACTCATTCTATTTGCGGTGGGTGCTGTTGCGATTCGTCTGACTCCAAGCTTGCCCAGGATTGGCATCGTTTACTTGTCATTGATCGTGCATCACCACTAATCACAGTCATGATTTTTCAAGAGAATGTTTCTTGTCCCTTTGGCCCATTGCATTTACGATACATCAAAATCTAGATTCGTATACTCGTAATTGGGTTTCTTTCATATGAGAGTTGCAAAAACTGAAAAAAAGTTGTCCTGCATATTGCTTATCTTTAAAGATGTTTTTTTCTTTTTTAATTAAGTTTCTTCTAATCGTGCAATTTGATTGGACGATCTTGTGGAATTTTAGTCAAGAAAAAAAAAGACAATTAGTTGATCTCATGTGGTAGCATTTTTTTCTTTTTTTGCAACAGTGGTTAGGTGTATGTTTGGATCACACCATTGAACACTCTTATTGCAGATAAGGATAGCAATCTATCCTCTCTTTGAATACCCACGTAGAATCACGCCAATGCCAAGGAAAAAAATGGAAACAATGAAGTGAGTAAAGTTGGGGAGTGGGCTATTTTTCATGTGATTCACGCACATCTTTGACTAATCTGTAATACGGCTTATAATTTTCAAAGACAATAGAAGAAATTGTTTTTTCTTTATCGTTTTTTGTCGTTTCTTATCTCTATCACCCGTAAATTGACGGTACAGGATAGGCTGAATATAAATATCATGCAAATTTCCTTTCTTTGTCTCTTCTGTAATGATATTAGCTAGAAAACTTCCTTCAAACAAAGTATTTTCTAAAACACAATGGCAGACTCGGGACTTACAGGTGAAGGAACTGGAGGAGATGTCTTCAAAGTCGATTTAAATACTCAATTCGATTCTGCCGATATGGCATGGATTGGTACTGCGTCAGTACTTGTTTGGATTATGATACCTGGTGTTGGCTTACTATATTCAGGTTTATCGAGAAAAAAACATGCTCTTTCATTAATGTGGGCTGCATTGATGGCAGCTTGTGTCACTGCTTTCCAATGGTTTTTTTGGGGATACTCATTAGTCTTTGCTCACAATGGATCCGAATTTTTGGGAACATTGCAAAATTTTTGCTTAAGAAATGTCTTGGGTGCGCCAGGTGTTGTTACCACTGTGCCTGATATTTTGTTTTGTTTATATCAAGGTATGTTTGCTGCTGTTACTGCGATTTTGATGGTGGGTGCTGGTTGTGAAAGAGCTAGGTTGGGACCGATGATGGTGTTTTTGTTTATTTGGTTAACTGTGGTTTATGCACCTATTGCGTACTGGACATGGGGTGGTAATGGATGGTTATTCAATTTGGGTGCCTTGGATTTTGCTGGTGGTGGGCCAGTTCATGAAAATTCTGGGTTCGCTGCATTGGCTTATTCGCTTTGGTTGGGTAAGAGGCATGATCCATTGACTCAAGGAAAAGTTCCCAAATATAAACCACATTCGGTTTCTTCAATTGTGTTGGGAACTGTTTTCCTTTGGTTTGGATGGTTTGGTTTTAATGGTGGCTCTACTGGTAATGCCAAGATGAGATCATGGTATGCCTGTGTTAATACAAACATTGCTGCTGCTTGTGGTGGCTTGACTTGGATGTTTGTTGATTATTTCAGAACTGGTGGTAAATGGTCGACTGTTGGATTGTGTACCGGTGCTATTGCTGGTTTGGTTGGTATTACCCCTGCTGCTGGTTACGTACCAGTTTACACATCAATCATTTTTGGTATTGTCCCTGGTATTATTTGCAACTTTGCTGTTGATTTAAAACAATACTTGGGAATTGATGATGGTATGGATGTTTGGGCATTGCATGGAGTAGGTGGCTTTGTTGGAAATTTCATGACTGGGTTGTTTGCTGCTGATTACGTGGCCATGATTGATGGTACTGAGATTGATGGCGGCTGGATGAACCATCATTGGAAGCAATTGGGATATCAATTGGCAGGGTCAGTTTCAGTTGCTGCATGGTCATTTGTTGTTACGTCAATCTTGTTGTTGGCGATGGACAGAGTGCCATTTTTAAGAATCAGATTACACGAAGACGAAGAGATGTTAGGTACTGATTTGGCTCAGATTGGTGAATATGCTTACTACGATGATGATCAAGATCCAGAAAACAGTCCATACGTATTGGAGCCAATTAGATCAACCGATGCCATTAGAGATAAGTTGAGGACGGCAACAACAGCTCAACAGAATGAACCAGGTGTTCAAACTCCCGAACAAATTGATGGTGTTGCACAAGTGCAAGATGATACTGATAATTCACAAAGTGGTGAATCAAAAAAGTAATGGATTAAATAGGTGTGTAATGATAAGAAAGAAAATGTAATAAGCTGGATTAACAAGACTTCAACGCATTACTTGTGCTATTATAGAACTACGTATCTACAATACCCAGATTCCCAAACATATATACCCATTTCCTAAATGCCTTTCTATTAAAACGATTCCGTATAACAATAAACATCTGGAGATCCGTTTTTCCGTCTAGCCACTTGACACTGTTCTTTGATCAAGTTGGTGAAGTATGGTGGACCACAAGAAGCAACCGCCAACGACTTGTATGAACTACTGTTTGTCATTTGATGTGAAAGTTCATGCGTATGTGATTGTATTATGGCTCCAATATCAGGACGTCCATAGTAGACGTTGTATATTGAACTCTTGGTCGTAAGGTCATATTCGACTTCAACCGTATCTGATTTTCGTTTGTTTTGACTGTGTGAACTTTCTCCTGCATTTGTTAATGTAGTGGATGTAGTTATAACCGTTTGGTCCTTGTCAACGTATTGATTCTTGTTGTCTTCACCATAGATTTGATTTTTGTTTAGCAACTTCAGATTCAGTCCAATTGAAGTTAATTCAAATGATCCTGCATCGCTCGTTGATGATTGCTCTAACTTTGGTTCGCTTTCAATTTGACATTCTTCAATGGAGTTGCAACTGCTTCCGCTACTACCACCACCACTTTGACCAGCACCATTTTCTTGAGTAACATAAATATCAATAATCAACTTGTTACTAGCAGAGTATATTGTCAATTGATCGAAAATGTGTTTAAACCAAATAATGTTTTTCAAATGCTTTATTGCCCAAACAAATCTAATTTTTGGTGCAACTGGACGGAATAAAAAGTCTTGCATTTCATCCTTGGCTTGAATTTGTTGAAGAAGATCCAAACAAACGGGGAATGTGAATGCAGCACCTGAACCAGCACCAAAGAATACACAGTGATCAAATGATATGAATGGTTGGTGAACTGCACCATATGGGCCATGGAACATGGTTTTGATGCTAACCAAATCATCTTCATGTTCGTCATGATCAATATCTGCCAAATGTCTCATTAACTTCCTAGTGAATCCCTTTTGCACTCTGATCAACAACTTCATTTCATTTGATGAAGCCAAACTGGCAATGGTAAATGGATGATACTCAAGCCATTTGATTTTGGGTACATTCAAATACACGTGTTGACCTGCTTTCCAATCTTTATATCCAAGGACTTTATTATACCATTTATTAGCAACATATCCTTCTTCTCTAACCGGTACAGTCACTTCAACTGTTCCCGAATCCAAAATTCTAAATGTACTTCTGCATTTGGTTGGTGAATAGTGTTTATGAATATGAGCCAAGACTTTACTTAAGACACGATCAATGACCAATCCATGGACGGAAACCAAGACTGCGGCACGGTTACCACTATTGTGAATAAATGACATAAACAACATAATGAATGCAAACACTCTATGTTGAACCAACCAGAACTCATAACACCATTGACGAATAAACTTCATACTTGTCCAAGTCAACAAAAACAAACTTCCATATGCCATGAATCCAAATATTTGTGGTGGAATAATAATCATAATCAAGAAATTGTTGGTTAACCAGTAGTAACAAGCTAATGACAAGTGTACCGTAATCATGGCCCACATCCATCTACTTAACCATTTATGTAAAAACTCCAACCTATCAAATTGGAATCCTGAGAGTTGGGTAAGTACATCATGCTTCATGACTGAAAACAACAAGATGGGCAAGTTACCAATACCAATACGGGATATCCTCTTGGAAATGGCGTACAAGAAACCTTGATAATCAAGATCCCTAATTTCGGCAAAGCATAGACCAACATTGACGCCCACAAAAACAACACAAAACAAGACTAAACTTGGTTGATAGTAGAATCGATGTTTGAATAATGTGAAGTGTTTACAAGATGTGAAGCTCTCCCACTGTTTGACAAACGCAAAGTATTTGTGGTGTGTAAGTCCAGCACTTTGTCTTTTCAACCGGAAATAGCGAGGAATCCAATGGAATAGTAGTCCATGTATGCCTAGTATGATGAGTGTGAGAATAAATATAAGCCATTCGTATTTGTCGTTTCTTTCTCTTTCAACAAAGAATTGCTGATCAAATGGGACTGCCATGGTGATATATGGCTAGTATTGATTGAAGATATATATGTTTTCTTAATGCTTCTGTGATTACAATATAGCAAATATCAAAATTAAGAGCCTTTGTTGATCCTTTAGTCGATGGTATGAATAGCGTATGGCAGTTAGGCAACTAGTCTATTCAGCCCTCTTCACATCTCCATAACAATCTACAAAAAATAATGGAAAGATTATATCATATTTATTTAAACTCTTTCAAAAAGGAAAAATGAGTAACAAAACAAATTGCGAAATTTTTTTCAAAAAAAATGAACAATAAAAAAAAGAAGAGGCTAAAAATACAAATGACCTTATGGAGAAGGATGTGAGGTTTCCTACTGGATCCTTTTATTTCCCTTTGGTAGTAACTGATTGATTAGATTAAGGTTAAACTGGAACAAATTTTTTTTCCTGGCCTACAGTTGGCCCTGTCCAAAACAATTTGTTCTCAATCTAGCCAATCTCTCTCGTGCAATCTGTAAATCTAAAACTTTACCCCCTTCCAAGAACTCCCCAGCAAAGTCTTATGTAATGACTAAAAACAGTAATAAAAAGTAAAAAATAAAAGAGAGGTGATTCCTGAATTTTCTTGACGAAAGAAGGCTTATTGTGGTAAAATAACGCACATAATCTAAAAGATCGGTAAATGCGCGGGCTAGGTCAGGTCAGCGGTGGCACTTCTTTCATTAGTAATGCTATCTTTTATTTACAAGATTCACCGAGGGTCTGAAAATTTGGCCCATCTGCAGTGACGCTCAATGGTAGATATCGGTAGTTGATAAGTTAAGAGAGGATCTCATTGTTCTGAGAAAAGTGAGGATAAAATGTTGTATTTGTGATTGAGAAGAAACTCAACTGTAGTAAGGAGCTTTCCCCATTAGGCGTCAAAAAAGCATTTGGCAGAAATGTTACACCATTGTTGAAGTAATTTAGTTCTTGCAGCTGGAGTGGAAAAGGCGCGAGGGATTGTGTATAAGTGGTGAACTCACTTGATTGGCGGAAATATCGTTCATACATGAATACGTTTTGAGATGTGCCAAGTGTTCTTTTGAATATTAAACCAAAAGTTACAAAATAGCCTTTTTTGTAACTCTATATGCATAGCTTATTATACTATATTGTAGAGGAGTCGGGATTGCACAAAACTGCAATGTTGTTTTTTATATACAGGACCGACAGAACTTTTATCAATTTGATCAAAATAACACAAAGAGATCAAACAATTGCACTGTTTGAAAGTTTACCCGAAAGTTGAAGTGCAATGTCATGCCATTCTTTGTCTGTGAACAGTTGACAAAGCTTTTTGCGCATTGTGCTTATTATTTTTTTGATTATATTGGGACCGCATCGTCGTCGATCCGGCCAATTGCAGCCAAACTCTACCACCAAGCATTCAAGACTGTAAGCCACCCACCAACTCATTTCTTTGGAAGCCATCACTTTTTGAGGTGTAATGAAGAAGGCTTGTCCTCAAAGCCCTTGCCTCTATAGACGTGGACGGGTCCCAGATAAATACATGTCGCTTGAACCAATTTTCTGCGTAGGAACAAGCTCATTAAAAAGATTTTTGCATTAATTTTTTTTGCAACTTTGATATTCACCAATTCTGATCAACACCACACCCGCAGTCATGTTTTTTAAATTTATCATACTTGTTGTTTCAATATCATCCCTTGTGAAAGGTGACAACTACGCAACTTACCCGCAAGTTCCAAAAACGGCTTCTTACAATGGGTTTGCTGACCCAATTATTGATGTTTTACCCGATTGTGCTAAAGAGTGTGTTAAGTATAGTACTGGCAACACGCCTTGTCCAAACTGGGATACTGGTTGTCTTTGTGTTATGCCACAATGGTCAGGTTTAGTTGGACAATGTATTGCCAAAAATTGTACTGGTTCCGATGTTCAAAGCGCTAGGTACTGGACAACTTCATTGTGCTCAACCGTGGGAGCTAATACCTGGTGGATGCCTGCGTCTATTTCCACAATGTTGTCAACTGCAGCAGAGGGAGCAGCAGAGATTACTACTATATCTGACAAGACAGCCAGGTCATGGGTTGTAGCATCGGGAAGTTCAGATACAAATATTATCACCGAGTCTAGTGGGGTTGCTGAATCTGGTTTTGAGTCTTCTGTGAATAATACTAATAATAATTCATCAAGCATTGTCTCTTCAGTTGCCTCTTCGGCAGCTAGTTTTACAGAGTCTACATCAAACATGGCAGTTTTAGGAGCCAGTGGGTTAGGAGGCGCCATCATTTGTCTATTGGCTAGTTTCCTTGTATAGTATAACTCGTATAAATTTCTAATTGCCTGTAAGCATTATCACCGGGAAAGAAAGAGACCCAATAAGTCAATTGTAAGTATCATGCATTGACGTACAAAGAGAAATAAATCAAACGCCAAAGGGAGGAATATGGTTTGTACAGGTTTGATGTAATCCTACTTTTACACAAAAATATCATACATACTTTGTAGTGGTTTAGTAATATTTTCAAAAGAAAAGCTTTAACCTTCAAACAACTAAGGTTTAGTAGTAAAAGTTGATGACTGAAAGTCAGTGTTGTATAACTACGGTAGGCACACCACACACTTTTTGCGTAGTGCATTCAGCCAGCTATAGGGGAGAGAAGTTAATTCACTATTCCTCTAACTCAAATGACGTGATCAGGAAACACTCCTGTTGATCATATTGCTTCTATGTGCTCCTTCTAGCTGTAGAGAGTATATTCCATAGGTCGGATTTAATGCGCTAATTCAATGAAACTAAAATACAAGAAAAAAATACAAAAAATATAAAAATTAAAACTTAGTCTAAACTCATATTACTTAATCAAAGAAAGCTTCGGTAAAACATACAATAGAATCAGTAAAACACAAAAAGTGTACGGTTTCTAAAGTAATACAATTCATATATAAGAAGATGTACTTTTCTTGACAAAATATTAATCTCGAATAAAGGCTTTTTTTAATTTCAATCCATCTTTGAGCCTTCACCTTTCCAAAGCCACTTCATTCAATCCATCATGTTATACATCTACACTTTACTCGTTGCTGCCTTAGTATCATTTGTACAAGCCGCCGATAACTACGCTACTTACCCAAAGATCCCCAAAACTGCCTCAATCAATGGATTTGCTGATCCAATCGTTGATTTGTTACCCGATTGTGCTAAAGAGTGTGTCAAATTTAGCACCAAGAATACCCCATGTCCATATTGGGATACCGGTTGTTTCTGTGTCATGCCACAATGGGCAGGATTGGTCGGTCAATGTATTGCTAAGAACTGTAAAGGTGAAGATGTCCAAAGTGCTAGATTTTTGGCTACTTCATTGTGTTCAACTGTTGGTGCCAACACCTGGATGATGCCAGCATCAATTTCTGATATGATGTCTTCTGCTGCTTCAGGAGCCAAAGAAGTTACTACCATTTCAGGAAAGACGGCAATGCAATGGGTTACTGCTCCAGGAAGTTCCGACACCAATGTTGTTTCGGAAACTGATAACAGCGAGAGTGTTTCAGAGACTAGTGATAGCAGTAGTGCATCAGCTACTGATTCTGATGAAGAGACTTCAGCTACCAGTGAATCAGCAGAGTCGGCTTCTAGCACGGAAGCAAGCTCGACTGCCAATGAAAGTAGCACAACTTCCACTGGATCCACTTCAAACCTTGCTGTTTTACAAGCTGGTAGTTTGGGAAGTGTCATTTTCGGGGTTTTGGTCAGCTTCCTCATGTAAAAAAACTTATAGCAACTACGTTGTAGTTTCGTATATTTAAATGTACGTGAATCAGTCAACTCGTCACTGCTTAACTGTATAATCAATTTTTGTTAGTAGTAGGGTACTCAAAGCAGAGCATTCTCGAGGGTTGTTAGATTCCTCGGATTTGTCGCTCCATGGCGATACATTTTGTGGCGAATTTTCTTCATCTGACTGGTGACATCACGCGTTAACTGATTCTTGTCAGGCCATTATCGGAGTTGTCACGGATAGAATGTGATCAGTTACAAACTCAAAAGAAAAGTTGCTTTCATTCTACTCGTGGGTTTTACACGCGTTTATTAAGCGACCGATTCGGATCTCTCATAAAATACAGGAGTGGTTCCATTAAAAAGAAAGGTACCCTTTAGGTCTAGGTTTAGTCCACTGTACTTGACACCAGGAAACTGACAAACACTTTTCGTGCCTGTTTTGTATGCTTTGTAAACAAAACCCAATTTGATGCAGACCAAACTTTACAAAATAGAAGCGCTGCTTACCTTTAAAATTCAGAACCGCTCTTGGCGAGCAAACAAATGTTAACAAAGACACGCGGAGAGGTAAACGTTCCCAGTCGTACAATGATTCATACGTTTTGCTTGGTCATTGTATTAACAAAATGTTCTGGGTTTCCAATTCATCTTTGGTTGCACTTCCTGTTTAGTTTGCTTTGTCTCTCATTTTATCTATTTGATCAACAGAACACAAAATTAAAAATACACAAACACTACAATACTTTTTCTTCTGTTCATTTTACGATAAAGCCGAGAGTGGGATTGGAACAAAGGCGAATACCAAAAAATAATTATTAACCACTTACTAAAAAGAAACAATAACTTTTACGGCATTCTTCTATTGTCCTTGAAAAACAAAGAGATTGAATAGATAAAATGGTACTCCAACATAATAGCCAGCCTCGTACATTTCAGCTGTAAAACTGAATATAGGTACAAGGATCAGCGCCTATTGACAATTTTGACGACGAGGGCTGTTTATCTAAAAACGCAAACTGACTTAAAAGAAGAGTTCTAGTTTTTACAGTTTCACCAATATGCTCTCGATTATAGAATCACCTTTAAAAGTTTTAGTTCAGCTCTTCTCATTGGTTGAACTAAAAGAAAAAATTCCCAATCTACCACCAAGAAAATATAGTCTAAAAAACACAAAACAACCCTTTTATTTTTTTTGCTTCTTGAATTCTGCCAAGTCGCAAAGTTGCCGCAGATTGCCGCCCAAAGGTTTTTTTTGTCGCAGCTGCAAAAATATGAGCACACAATAAGTAAGCAAAAAAAAAAAAAAAGGACAAAAAAGAATGGAATTGCGTTGCACCAATATCACAGTACTTTGTTTTTAGTTTTATTTTGGTGTTTCTGTGAGCGTAATGATGGAGTAGAAAGTGCAAGCGAATGGACTACATTGATTGGTGAGAGAATGCGTCATTTAAAAATCACGTTTAACCAACTTTTTCTACCCCACAACAAGTCTAATCCCAATCCATCTAGACAGTGCAAGTGTGTTGGTCTTTACCGAGGAAGGTTTTCATCCCTCTTCATCAGCATTTTGCTGAATCGTTTGTATTCAAACTTTCTATAGGATTTTTTTGTGCTATTCTAGAACAGTTTTTCTACACAAAAAAAAACTTTAATTCTTTGTTGTGTTTGTGTTCAATGGGGGGACATATCGGAACTAATTGTATAGTCTATCTTAGTGTCAATTGTTGATCACATTATTCTCGTTTTGCTTTAGTGACATTCTGGGCTCTTACCACCCCATGGCTAACCCTCACTCTCTTTTTTCATTTACCCAATCACCTTGGTGTTTGCCTTTTACTTTTGTTGCATTTTCGGGAGCAGCAGCAACGTATAACAAAGTTTGAAGGAGCCTTCGATCTACAGAGGAAATTTCTTGTCACACATTTCCTCTCACCCCCCAAATGGCGTTTGTGTTTTTTTACTTCTTCGGTTCTAGTTTATCTGATCCGAGCAATGCCAAGCTTTCAGTACGTTTGCCCGCTCATCAAAGCTTTTTTTTTAAAGACAGGGCCGACGACTCCATTGCTTTCTTGTTTTGACTTGCCTATTTTGTACATTCAATTTCCTAATTTAGTGTTGAATTCCATAAATAGATTTTAACCACCCTACCTTGTTAATTTCTTATTGTATAACGGGGGAAACCAACATAGTAAAACTAGGAAAACCAGGTAGAAAAATAAAAAGAAAAAAGACCCGGTTCTGTTACACAAATTTGCGGTTCAATCTGCTGATGTAAAGCACACAATTTCCAGCTTCGGATATTATCTTAATCCTTGGCTTCAAGAGTCCAGAACCACTACTACACGAAATTGATGCACAGGCATATGGCTCTCTTTGTTTACATGAAGTCTAAACTTAATATTTTGTGCTCAATCTAAACACTCAATCGGGTGGTTTTGGGGTATTTTAAACTTTACGCCAAAAAATGTATAAATACGCAAGACAATTCCCCCTTCCTCAAACCAAATTTATTTCTCTTTCTTCTTCATCACTTGAAAGATAATATTTTATTACATTTCACTCGCTAATTAACTACTACAAAAAATGGATAACAACTGGTCTACTTACCCAAGTGTCGCAAAGACTGCTTCAATCAATGGTTTCGCTGACAGAATCTATGATCTTGTCCCACAATGTGCTCAAGAATGTTTGAAGGAATCCACTGGTTCAACCCCATGTCCATACTGGGATACCGGATGTTTGTGTATCATGCCACAATTTGCTGGTGCCATTGGTAACTGTGTTGCTGAAAACTGTCAAGGTCAAAATGTTGTCCAATTCGAGTCATTGGCCACTTCCCTTTGTTCTTCCGCTGGTGTTTGGGAACCATACTGGATGCCACCAGCTTCAGTTACCACTGCTTTGAGTACTGCTGCTGCCGCCGAAGCTGCTGAAACTACCCCAGCTTCAACTGAAGAAGAACAATCTTCATCAGCTCCAGCTGAAACTTCTGCTCCAGAAACCACTGCTCAAGAAACTTCTGCTGCTGAAGAATCATCATCAGCTCCAGCTGAAACTTCTGCTCCAGCTGAATCATCATCGGCTCCTGCTGAATCTTCTGCTCCTGCTGAATCTTCTCAAGAAGAAAAGCCATCAAGTGCTGAAGAACAATCTTCATCATCCGCCCCAGCAGAGGGTGAAGGTGAAGGTGAAGGTGAAGCTACTGTTTCTACCGTCAACGGTGGTGTCATCCCAGGTGTTGCCATGGGTGGTGTCATTGCTGCTTTGGCTGCTTTAATCTAAGTCTTTTAAAGACTTTTAGAGTTGTTTGGGAGTCTCTGCTTTTTTGTTTTTACTTCTAAATAGATGTTTAATTTTACTTACTATTGCTCCCTTAATAAAAATGGTTTATCGCTAATGTGTACTCCAAGAGAAGCCGTAGATATTGAAACTGGTTGTTCTTCTCCATCGTGGGGTTCAAAAAATTCAGTCAACTGACATATATGAAGAGGTTGATACTGAGTAATGCGTGGAGCAGGCTCTTTATTTTCCATTCAGCAACACATTTAACCTTGACTTGACATTCGGTCAACCCACTCACATTGATTTTGGTTGTATATTTTTTAATACATTAAAATCTGGAAAAATAACTTATTATTTTTCTCGGCAACTACTTACCTCCAACTACATTGGATTGCATTGATGAATCTGATAAGATCTTGAATACACAAACGTGCTGGAGAGCAGATCCGTGTTCTAACTGAATTAAAATTTGCATCAATGTACATGAACCGCAATGGCCAATGAAAGCGCATCCGTAACTTTGTACAGAGGTCCGTGAATTCGGGAATCAATCAGTCTCCAAATTATTATTATTTTATCACCACAGACCAAAGAAAACGCTTCAAATTGGATTTGGCAATTGGGTGAGGGCAAACGACTGACTAGACGAAATCAAAAGATCCAAGACCATTTCAGAATATTATAATTGTACTATCAAGAAATTCTTAGAAGGAGGTATATGTAAACAATCTTCAATAAGGAAAGACAATCCCCCTATTCGGATGAGGTTTTGCAATAAAGAGAATAAATAGAGAAAACTTTGCCCTTCTTTTCATTCCAAACTGTATTCCAACGACTATAATTTCTTCATTCAAATTCACACAGTCAATCGCTTTTAGTTGAAACTTTGAATACATACCACAAACAAAATGGACGCTATTACTACTGCCGAGGCTGAAAATCCCTATGCCACTTTCCCAAGTGTTCCAAGAACAGCATCAATCAATGGATTTGCTGACAGAATCTATGATCAATTACCAGAATGTGCCAAAGCTTGTATGTTTGAAAGCACCGGCTCTACTCCATGTCCATATTGGGATACTGGTTGTTTATGTGTCATGCCACAATTTGGTGGTGCTATTGGTCAATGCGTAGCTGATAATTGTCAAGGCGAAGCAATTGGTAGTGTTGAGTATTTGGCAACTTCAATTTGTTCAAGTGCTGGTGTTTGGGATCCTTATTGGTTTATTCCAGATTCTGTTGCACAAGCTTTGGCTGCTGCTGCTGCTGTAGTTGTTGAAGCGGAAACTACACCTACTTCTACTGCTGAAGAGGAGGGTGTCGCTGCTACTACAAATGCCCAAGAAGGTTCGTCAGTTGATGCTGGTGTTGGCCAACCGACTGAAACCAGTGCACCTGAAGAGGAGACTCAAGGTGGCGAAGAGGGAGAAGGAGAAGGAGAAGGAGAAGGGGAAGTTGAAGGTGAAAGTGAAAGTGAAAGTGAAAGTGAAGAGGAAGCTGGCGAGGAACAAGTCGGTGAAGAAGAAGGTGGTGAAAAAGGCGGTGAAGAAGGCAGTGAAGAAGGCAGTGAAGAAGACAGTGAAGAGGAAGTTGGCGCAAAAGAGGAGGAGACCGATGGCGCTAAGGAGTCAGCTACCGCAAAAGAAGAAGGTAAAACCACAAATGCTCCAACGGAAGAAGAAGATGAGCAAGGAACAGAGAGTGAGAAAACAAGTGAAGAAAAGTATTCTACATCAATTGATGCTGGTGACAACAGCATTGATGCAGATGCAGAAGCCGCTTCAATTGAAGCCCAGTTGGAAAATGGAGCAGTTGCTCAAGGTGTTGCTATGGGAGGTATTATTGCTGCTTTAGCTGCTTTGATTTAGAGCAATTTTTGTTATACCCCTTTAATTTGGTTCCTTAGTTGGTAAGTTTCGGTTAAAAAAAAACTTGCTTTATACTATATAATCCACTAAATAATGTCAATATCGTCCTTTTCGTCAAGTTTCGTATTTGAGTCTTTTCATTTGTAAAATGAAGTACAATGTCTCAGCAAAAGAAATGTCAATGGAAGTGCAAACATGAAACAGTTCTATAAACTTGAAAATGGAGACCCTGGGGATCTTTTGACGATGAATGCATTCCAGGCCCTTTTATAAAAGAGAGGTTGATAGAAGTGTATGGGTTTAGAATGTGTTGGATGTGTTTTTGTGGTGTATCTCGTAAATTGTGTATTGCTAGTCAAGTTGTCGTTTTTTATTCTGTATTTTTTTTTTGCAACAACAAAATTCTCACGACATTCAAGTTTTTCTCCTAAAGGAGGTAAAACGATGTGAAGAATATGAGCTTGGTGCAATACTGTTAGTATACACGCGTATTATATACTTGCTGCTCATTTATGCAACAAGGGAGTGTATAACGCCTTTCGCTGTAATGTATTATCTAAAGCATGAATGAGATGGGTCTGTGTATGCATATATCCCCAATACGGTTAAATTCGAGATCTCACAATTGGTTTGTGTCGCATCAGTTTCATCAAAAAAAAAACAAAAACAAAAACATAAACAACCCCTTTTGCATTAATAACTATTTTAGTATGTATGTTTGGATGTTAAAATAAAAAAAAAAAAAAAAACACGTTTCATTTTCAAACAAAAACGCGAAAAATCAAGTAAAACAATAAACAACAACAACAACGACAACAACAAAAAGGGGTTAAGAGATTACAATCAACCAAGAATAAAAAAATACCTTAGGTACGCCAAATTCAAATTAATATCCAAACACAACACCATTAGTATTCAAATTACACTCTATTGGGAAAATTAACATATCACAAAGTAACATCAAACTAAAACCAACTCTTATTCATTCATTCATTCAGGAAAAATTAAGTGGAAAAAGGAAAAAAAAGAACAGCCAATTTCATCATCACCACCCATCTTCTTTCACCTTACCACACAGATACCTTTTTTAACCCCACGGACACTCTTCCCTCAATCTGCAATACTGCATCACAGTCGCTCCTTTCCGTTACACTCAGTCACCAGAACCAAAAGTTAACTCATTTGTTCAATAGTCTACGCCACATGAAAACAGTCAAAGAAGTAAAGTCACAACAATGCTACAATTTACACTACTAAGACTACTACTACTATTACTTCTACTGGTTATACACCATGTATCAGCATCCATTTATATGGGATTCCCATTTAATGAACAACTTCCAAATGTAGGAAGAGTTGATCGGGAGTATAGCTTCACTATGGCCAATACAACTTATAAATCAAACAACTATGGAGACATCACTTATGAAGTTTCAAATTTACCTGACTGGCTATCATTTGACTCTGACTCAAGAACGTTTACTGGAATACCTAGTGAGTCAGATGTTGGGGAATTTGATATCACAATTGTTGGTACTGATCAAAGTGATCAGTCCACTTTATCCAACAACTACACCATGATTGTATCTAATGATACAGGTATACATGTAAACTCAGACACTAGTGTATTTCAACAATTGGCCCAATATGGTCATACCAATGGAAATGATGGTTTAGTTGTCAAGCCAGGCGATAAGATCAACTTGAAATTCAGCAAAGATACATTTAAAGAATTTTCATCGAGTGAGCGTTCAATCATTGCCTACTATGGAAGATCAGCCGATCGCAGTTCATTGCCCAATTGGATATCATTTGACGGTGAGGAATTGACATTTTCCGGTACGGTTCCACATGTCACTTCTGAGAATGCACCATCATTTGAATATGGTTTCAGTTTTATTGCTAGTGATTACTATGGCTATGCTGGCGCTTCCAGTATTTTCAAAATTGTTGTTGGTGGACATCAACTAGAAACTGACTTGAATAGTACAATCAAGATTAATGGGACTTTTGGACAAGATGTCGATGAATTGGTGCCTGTAATGTCACGCGTTTATCTCGATGGTGAATCAATCTCCAAGGAAAACATTTCCGAAGTTGATGCTGAGAATTTGCCGGGATACTTATCATTTAATGATGAAGATTACACCATTACTGGAATTTTTCCCAACACTTCAACGTTTGATAATTTCTCGATCACAGTGAGGGATACTTATGGAAATACGGTGGACTTGCCATACTCCTTTGCCGCCATTGGATCTATATTTACCATTGATTCATTGGATGATGTTAATGCAACCAAAGGTGAATGGTTTCTGTATCAAATCATGAATTCGATATTTACAAATGTCAATGAGACAGAAATCAATGTCGATTATGGTGATGCAGATTGGATTTCATACCACGAAAACAACAAGACCTTAAATGGAATGACGCCCAAAAATTTTGATAAGCAAAAGGTCACAATCAAAGGGCAATTAGACTCTGAAGATGAAGAAAAAAGTTTCAACATCAAGGGAGTTAATAAACATGTCACCTCTAGCTCATCAAGCTCAAGTTCAACAGCCACCTCGTCTTCATCGTCAGGTACAGCACCTGCAACGGCTTCAGCCACTAATGACGCAAGTAATGCCACATCTACATCTGGAGCATCATCACACAACTCACACAAGAACCGAGATTTGGCTATTGGACTTGGTGTAGGTATCCCAGTGTTTGTCCTTTTAGTAGCTGCATTAATCATCTTTTGCTGTTGTTACAAGAGAAGAAAAAGCAAGCAAGAATCAGATGATGAAAAGGGAACCGTTTCCTCAAATACAACACAAGTTCCAGGTGGTGGTACTGGTGGTGGTATCAAGGGTGCAGCTGCAGCAGGTGGTGTTGCAGGTGGTGTCGCAGCAGCAGCCACTGCTACCGGAGCTTCTACTTTCCCAATTGATCCAAAGAATGAATCACAAGTCAATTTAATGAAATTAGAGGGTATTTCAGCCAACTCGTCATCGTCATCTTTGACCCATGTTGACACTAATGAGTCTTTTTACGACACCCATGAACAACCAATACTGAAGAGTTGGCGAGCAAATACCGATTCCGATGACAAAGCAGTTGTCACACCAGCAAACCTAACCAGAAATAGTGATGCTTCGTTGTCAACAGTAAACACTGAGCAATTGTTTTCGGTACGATTAGTTGACGACTATACTCAACGTGATTCAGAGCTTTCATCGGCAAATAATGCGTTTATGAGCAACAATTCTTTGAATGCATTACTCCAACGTGATACTTCCTCACAAAATATTCATCGCTTAGATTCGGATGGAAACATTGTGGAGTATAACACATTGGCGCCTACATCATCACCCGAACGAATGCCGAACCGATTACCTCATTCTTCATCGCAGTTGGATATCGTACCTGAAGAGAATTCTCGCGATTTGTCAAATAGAGAAGATACTACTGGATCAATTAGCAACTTGTTGCACAAATTTGATCAAGCATCATCGGGATCTGATGAGGCAGCAGTATCATCACCTTCACCATCACCACAACCGCCATTACCTCAAAACCAATCACCTACATTTTTGTTTGAGTTCAGCAATCCCGATTTGGAATCACCACAATCAGACAATTTTCTTCTTCATGATAAACAAATGAACAACAATACTAATTACAGCAATAATCATTTATCGGCATCATCACCTTCATCATCACCTATTCGTCAAAGACACTTGCTTCCAACAACTTCGAACAACAACATGACTCAAAACCCTCATCATTCGGTACTCACTCTTGATTCACTCTCATCGGAAAAGTTCATTTACGATGGCAAACTACGTCCTGCTGACAGCTTATCACCAGTGAAAAACTTGTGCTCGAGAACAAGTTCTGGCTCGTTGCTCAGTGGAGGAGGTCGTGGTAGTAGAACTGGTGCCGGTGCTGGAAGTGACGGTCGTGAGAATGGAGCTGCTACTTTAGTTGATTTTACTCGAAAGGCAAGTTTAAGGGATTCTTCTTATGAGCCCGACTATACTCATCGTGAAGAATCTGCCACTTTGCATCACGATGATAGTGATTAGATGATAAAAAAAAAAAGAGGAAAGAAATGTGTTGTTTGATACCGCGTTAGGTTGGTTCTTTGATTGATTTTGTTTTTGGTGGGAGCGTTAAGTTTTTGATTGATTTTTCCTATGGAGTTTTTAGTTTGAATTTGTTTGTTTTTTGTTGTTGCTGTAATATTACTATACCCAATATGCATTCCTATGTTTTTTTCAGTTCAAATTTGATAGTATGTAAATTAGTCCTTTTTATTAAAGTGTCCTTGTTAATACGATAATCTTATATGAAAAGCAAATAACAAACACGTCGCTACTCTGTAGTTGCGAAATCGAAGAAAGAGGGGGCCAGTATTGGTGCTTGAAGATGAGGCTGTGTTTCTTGTTAAAATATGTTGAAGTTTTTCCTTTTCTCTTTTTTACAACCAAATGCTAAATCCTTCTCTTTTTGTTGGGTAAAGATAAGCGAGGAAGACTGGTGGAAGAGGGGGAGGAAACGTTCAACAATACCGGAAGACCTCCATGCGAGTTTGTATCTTGAGACTGTCTTGATTTAAGCAAGTTATTTGGACGCGTATCCCCCGGGGTCTCGACTACAACGGTCAACAGTTTTGGACAAGATGAGCGTAAGTTTGTTGGATGTTGCATTCATTTTTTTTTTTTGTTGGTTGATATAGTATTTCACAGTAGAACCTTCTACCCCTCCTTTTTTTCTCGGGGTTCGAAGTAAGTGAAAAAGCGTGTTTCCTGACACATCCGGGTCAGCTCGTAAAACAAAAATATAGAATTGTAAACCGTTTGTTCGATTTTGAGCCAATTTACACTACCCTTCGGCTACAACGCATAAGAGAATATCATCAAACATCCGGCAGACTGTAGCAGATTACAATATAAATCCCAGCCTACATCCTACTGCAGGAATATACTTTTCTTTTTTTTCATCACACCACAACATAGCCATTGAATCATGATCAGATCTGTACGCATCCCTCAACATTTTATCAAACACGCACCAACTGTGTCATCCCTCTCAGTTCCAACTCATCATCTACATTTTAGATACAACTCACAAGCAACTACTGTTCCTGGCAGTAGTAAGGCCAATGATGCGAAATTTCACAAACCCAAGCAAGCAAGTGATGCTGAAGCTGGATCACAAGAACCTTCTGAGGCTGCTGACGCTGCTGCTACGATCTTGGCTGAATTGAGAGATAAGCAAATTAACCCCAAAAAGGCTACTTGGCTTGAAGCATTGAGGGAGAAGGAGAAATTACAAGCAGAAGGTAAACGTATTGACTCATTTGTCTATAATAACCCCGTGACTGCAAAAGTCGGTGAAAAGACTAGAGCTGATTCCTTTTCGTACTTGCTTTTACCATTCAAAGATGATCAATGGTTATGTGATGCCTACATTAATGCATTTGGTAGGTTGCGTGCTGGTCAATTGTTTCAAGATTTAGATGCATTGGCTGGAAGAATTGCTTATAGGCATTGTTCCCCTGCTGAACCAGTGAATGTCACCGCTAGTGTTGATCGTATTTATATGGTTAAAAAAGTTGATGAAATTAGCAAGTTCAATTTTGTATTGGCTGGGTCCGTTACTTGGACAGGGAGATCAAGTATGGAAATCACAGTCAAGGGTTATGCATTTGAAACTGATATTAAGGAGGAAGATATCAAGATTGATACCTTGCCTGATTCCAATGTGTTTTTAACCGCCAATTTCACATTTGTTGCGCGTAATCCAATCACGCATAAATCATTCCCCATTAATCGATTGTTACCCATAACTGAACAAGATTGGGTTGATTATAGACGAGCAGAAAGTCACAATGCCAAAAAGAAGTTGGAAGCTAAAAAAATGCACATTATTGAACCAACTGCCGAAGAATCAAAAGTCATTTATAACATGTGGAGAGCTACACAATCGAGTGAAAATGTCGATAAAGTCAATTCTGCCAATGCATTATCATTCATGAAGGATACAAGACAAACATCAACTTTATTTATGCAACCACAATACCGTAATCGCCATTCATACATGATTTTTGGCGGTTACTTGTTGCGTCAGTCATTTGAATTGGCTTATTGTACAGCAGCTAGTTTTTCATTAGCAGGCCCCAGATTTGTCAGTTTGGATTCGACAAATTTCAAGAGTCCCGTGCCAGTGGGGTCAGTTTTGACAATGTACTCATCAGTGTCATATACTGAACATTTACACGATTCAAATGAAACTAAAGAGATTGCGCAAGAAAATGCACCATTTACGTTCCAATTACCACCAATGAATAAAATTAGTTCTAATCCTGATGCATTCTTATCGGAACCAGGAACAATTGTCCAAGTTCAAGTTGATACATTTATTCAACATTTGAATTCGAATAAAAAGAAGGAAGCAGGAACGTTTATTTACTCATTTTTCGTTCCAAGAGAAAGTCAAAAGATTGGTGGTGAGTTGGAATCTGATGGTGGGTTCTGCTCAGTTGTACCACAGACTTACTCGGAAATGATGACCTATATTGCTGGTAGAAGGAGAGCTTATGATACTGCTCAGTATGTAGAGACCTTGCCAAAGCACGAAACCTAAGCTATAGAGTAGAGGGAATTTTTTAATAGTACATGCGAATCAATATACATAATCGATTATTTATATCTCATAACAGAGCAAGAGCTCTGCTGAGCAGAGGCTTCTTGGTAACAGGTCATTAGCGTAGTGGGTGGTGGGCAGTTTAGATTTGAATTCAGATCTCGGACTTTAATCTCCATTTTTCTCTCATCGGGTACAAAATAGTTCGGGACTGTATATAAAAACACTCCGGACAAATGACGCCCATAGTTATTGCTTTTCGTTTTACACTCTTGTTGTTAGTTTTGAAAACGATGGGACATAAACATGGTGAATAGCTTGTACCAGTGTTGATGTAGGAAGGTTAGCGTCCCTTTTCGAAAGTGAAGATAGCTCAATCGAAGTTGCAGAAGATGAGATCAATTGGCCAGTAAATATCTCTTGTTGCATTTTTCTTTTGTGTGTCTTTGCTTATTAGACAGACACAACAACCAGAATTTTTTCTCCGAAATCTTCTCTTCAAATAAAAACGAAAACCAATATTGAATAAGTTTTACTTGATATCTCTCCAATCTTTGAACCCAATTACCTATTCCAAATAAAACCCTTCACTAAAGAGATGGCTCCAATAACATCATCAGTCGCAAAGACTGCTCAATTAGCAGCACAAGCTGTCAAATACAACAAAACACCAATTCACAAATTGGGTCAAGCGCAAGCAATGAGAATGCAATTCAACAACACTTCAAACATACTCACTTCAGCTCGTTGCAACAACTCCAAATCTGGCCAGCAAGAAATGACAGTGAGGGACGCCTTAAACTCTGGTTTAGCAGAAGAATTGGACCGTGATGATGATGTGTTCTTAATGGGAGAAGAGGTTGGTCAATATAACGGTGCTTACAAAGTGAGTAAAGGTTTGTTAGATAGATTCGGTGAAAGAAGAGTCATTGATACTCCAATCACTGAAATGGGATTCACCGGGTTGGCGGTTGGTGCCGCATTCCATGGATTAAAGCCAGTTTTGGAATTTATGACCTTCAATTTCGCCATGCAAGCCATTGATCAAATTATCAACTCTGCCGCCAAGACCTATTACATGAGTGGTGGTATTCAACCTTGTAACATTACATTTAGAGGTCCAAATGGTGCTGCTGCCGGTGTTGCTGCTCAACATTCACAAGATTACGCTGCTTGGTATGGTTCCATTCCAGGTTTGAAAGTCTTGTCACCATATTCTGCTGAAGATTACAAAGGTTTGATCAAGGCTTCAATTAGAGATCCAAACCCAGTTGTGTTTTTGGAAAATGAAATTGCATATGGTGAATCATTCCCAGTCAGTGAAGAAGTACTCTCTTCAGACTTTGTATTGCCAATTGGTAAAGCCAAGGTTGAAAAAGAAGGTACCGACATCACCATTGTTGGTCATTCGAGAGCAGTTAAGTTTGCTTTGGAAGCTGCCGAAAAGTTAAAAGAGGATTATGATATCAATGCCGAAGTCATTAACTTGAGATCAATCAAACCATTGGATGTTCCAACTATTATCGAATCATTGAAAAAGACTAACCATTTGGTCACTGTTGAAAATGGGTTCCCTGCTTTTGGTGTTGGATCAGAAATTTGTGCTCAAATCATGGAAAGTGAAGGTTTTGATTACTTGGATGCTCCAGTTGAAAGAGTCACTGGTTGTGAAGTTCCAACTCCATATGCCAAGGAATTGGAAGATTTTGCATTCCCAGATACAGAAACTATCTTGAGAGCTTCAAGAAAAGTCTTGGGCTTGTAAAGGCAAAAGAAAAGAAAATAGTACATATTACACGGTAACAATCTAAAATGTGTATAATTTAGGGGTCAAGACTGTAATGGTGAACGTTGACGTGGCAAGATTGTATTGTAGAGTATTTGAAACTAAGAGGTGGGTGGGGGGACTTTGTGTGGCATTCAATGTGGCTGGATTCGCTCCTTTGAAAATTTCAGGCACTATCTTGAACCATTTTTCTCTTTTTTTCTCCATGACAAAACGTCCAACGTAACGTTTCATTTGAATCCATTCCGCCAGTTAATCATTTATGATATCACTGCTTTAACATGTCTACAAAACTGAGCTATCCCTTGGAAATTGATGGCTCCCTAGATAATACCCTCAACTACCGCCATGCTGCATTTGACGAAGAGAATGATGGATTATTACCAGTAACCAACCAAGATCTCAAATTGAAACCACTAGCGACATCAAAGAAAGCTCCACAACAATCACAATCATTGGCTCCTCGTGATAGGAAAGCTTTTGCGATACTCGTCTTGTTATACTTGCTACAAGGTGTTCCAGTTGGACTAGCTTTTGGATCAATACCGTTTATTTTGAAGAGTAAATTGACTTATTCCGAAGTGGGGATTTTTTCATTAGCAGCGTATCCATACTCTTTGAAATTGTTATGGTCACCTTTTGTTGATTCAATGTATTCGAGGAAATTTGGTAGAAGAAAATCGTGGATTGTACCGATTCAAACGATTTCAGCATTCATTTTAATGTACTTGGGACATATTATTGATTCATTAGTTGATTCACCAAAACAACATTTAAACACAATAACTTTTTATTTCTTTATCTTGGTGTTATGCTGTGCTACTCAAGATATTGCTGTTGATGGATGGGCGCTAACTTGTTTATCGCCAGAGAGTTTATCATATGCGTCAACAGCACAGACAATTGGGATAAATTGTGGATATTTTTCAAGTTTCACCATCTTTTTAGCATTGAGCTCACCCGACTTTGCCAATAGGTATTTACGGAAAATACCGCAAAGTCAAGGATTGTTTACATTAGGTCAGTATTTGACTTTTTGGGGATGGATGTATTTGATCATCACCGGGCTCATATTGCTAGTTCCTGAAGATCCACCGCATTTGGTGGATATAAATAAAGATCGAATGGCGAGGGAAAAGGGGGTTCACAATACAAATAAATGGCATCAATTACGTCAAGTGTTTGAGTCAATGTACGAGGTGCTTAAACTACCCAATGTGCAAACATTTGTTGTCATATTGTTGTTGGCAAAACTAGGTTTTCAAGCAAATGAAGCAGGAACAAATTTGAAGTTGCTAGAAAAGGGTCTTTCAAAGGAGGATTTATCAATTACTGTGCTTATTGATTTCCCATTTGAAATGATTTTTGGGTATTATGCAGGAAGGTGGTCAACTGGTAAGGCACCTTTAAGACCATGGCTATGGGGGTTTATTGGGAGGTTAGTTGCTGCATCATTAGCACAATTGATTGTGTACTTTTTCCCCCTGAATGGTCAGGTGTCAATGACGTATTTTTTGATGATTATATTACAACATCTACTTGGATCATTTATGTCAACGATTCAATTTGTTTCCCTTTGTGCTTTCCATACCAAGATTGCCGATCCTGCCATTGGTGGTACTTATATGACAACGCTAAATACACTATCCAATTATGGTGGCACCTGGCCACGAATTTTCATTTATTTCATGATTGACAAGATCACCTTGGCCAAATGTAATTTAGGGCCAGGTCGACATATCATGATTAAGTCAGAAGAAGAGAGGGAGCAATGCAAACATGCCAAAGGTGAATTGGTTATGATTCGGGATGGATATCTTTATACAAACGCATTGTGTATCACATTGGGTATTGTTATTTTACTCTGGGTCAAAAAGAAGGCAACTTATTTACAAAGCTTGCCCAATAGTGCATGGAGGGTGAAGAAGGAGTAATAATGAACTGTGTATATGCCTATATAGTACAGACTATAGCATTTTAGAACAGTATGTTGCCTTTGGTGTAGATCTCTTGTGTTTTCTTTTTTGCAGCACTATGAAAACGCGTCAGTCAACAAAGAAACAAGATCCCACTTCTTCATTTTGACAGAAGATATGGAACGACTGCAAACACCACAAGACGTGCTTACAACTTCGATTCCAACGTTGGATGACATTCAGCTCAACTCATTAGTTGTAAGAGGTCGGGTTTTTGACTTACAGTCGTCGCCCAGCTGCCATGGCATGTACATTGTGATCACCTCCTTGATCATATCAAATTTAGCCCACGGCAAGCAAGTTGTTTTAATTGATACACTCAACAAGTTCCCATTCCATCTACTCAAAAGCCACCCACATTTCAAACTCGAGTTCAAGTCCAATATCAGGCATTATACTTGTGATACTTTTGCCAAATTGTACTCAGTGATATCAAAAGCAAACTTTGATAGAAACTCATTAATTGTTATAAATGAGTTTCACAGTCTACTAGAGCTATACAAGCTTGAGTTATCCATGTCTTACGAAGAAACCATCCTCAAAAATCATGTCGAGAACAATGCCACTTTGATCAATAACAAGCTCAAAGGTGTTAAGGATTCTATTTCCAAAATACCCACTTCGTCGGACCTCCTCAAGGTGAGTCCCGTGTCCAAATATGAAAGCCATGTCAATTTACTATTCCGAAATCTAAACAACATTTGCACTAGCTCAAATGCATCAGTGTATTTGCTAGGTTATCTCGAAACAAAGTATCGTCCATACAAAATACCGAACAATACTGATGCATCGCAATTATCCTATCGCGAAAAGGGAAGAGTCGTATTGTCACCAAGTGTAGCTCACAAATCATGTACCACAAAGTTTTTGTTCTATCTCGATTGGTATCATAAGACACCACATTTTTTCAGAAATTACCCTATTGATAATACACGTCAAATTACGATTAATCAAGCAATGCTTAAGTTGATCAACGTGGTGAAAGTAGAAGCAAAATCAGAAAGCTTTAGTCCTATTTATTTTGATATTGACGACGAATTTTACTATGATCAAGAAGATGAATTCACTGGCGAGTATAAAGTTCGAGACTTATCTGAAACCGTAATTGAAAGTTGTCCAGTTATCACATCGTCGCCGAACATCGATGCATCTGTAATTCACGTTACCAGTAATGACCTAGGGAATACTAGCAGCTCTAATGATACTGAAGCTATAGCCAGTGAGATAATTGAAGAGTCAGAGGAAGAGATTGCAATTTCATGCGCCAGCGCTACCAGCTCAAAGAATGATATTGCATCTGGTTGAAGAGCATCTCATCTTCCAAAAAAAAAAATGCACAAGAAAAGTATATCTACACCGATAGACTATACCATTTTGCATTATTAACATCAACTCAAAATGGCTACAGTTATACCGCCACCATCAAAAAAGCAGAAAAGAGAAGCTCAACAAATAAGAGAAGTAAATCTCGTACCTGACGATGTACCTAATGTGTTGATCAAATTTCAAGCATCCGATACTGGAGAATCAACTGGGGGATCAATACGAGTTCCTGGTGGCATTACAGAAAAGCAGTTGGAGGAGCTACTCAATAACTTAAGAGGTGAGAGTGATGATCCTGTGCCGTATACATTCTCGTTACTACATGAAGACGATGGAAACAAATTGATTGATATTAGAAACAACTTGTACGAATCAGTGTTGAAGCCTGGTATAAAAACAACTGAGGATTTTCTTACTTTGGTGTACACCCCAAGAGCCGTTTTTAAGGTCAAACCAGTGACGAGATCAAATGCTGCTATAGCAGGTCATGGATCAACTATTTTGTGCTGTACTTTTGCTCCAAATGATTCGGGACGCATGTGCACAGGTGCAGGAGATTCAACAGCACGGATATGGGATTGCAATACGTCAACTCCAATGCATACCCTTCTGGGACATTCTAATTGGGTGCTTTGTGTTGCATACTCGCCAGATGGTACCACGATTGCTACGGGATCGATGGATAACACAATAAGGCTATGGGAAGCAAGCACCGGTAAAGCCATTGGGAAACCATTGACTGGTCATTCCAAGTGGGTCAGCTCCTTGAGCTGGGAACCTTTACATCTTGTTGCTCCCGATGCACAACCTCGTTTGGCATCAAGTTCTAAAGATGGATCAGTTAAAATATGGAACACCACTTCACGAACTTGTGAACTTACAATGAGTGGACATACAAATTCAGTATCATGTGTCAAGTGGTCCGGGTCTAATATTGTGTATAGTGCTTCACATGATAAGACCATAAAAGCTTGGGATGTTGCCGCTGGTGGTAAATGCATTCAAACGTTAAAGAGTCATGCTCATTGGGTCAATCACCTATCATTATCGACAGATTATGTTTTGAGAAAAGGGGGATACGACCACTCAACAACCAAGTCTTCTAAATACTCACCCGAAGAATTAAGAAAAAGAGCTAAGGAACAATACGAGAAAGTTGCCAAATTGAATGGTGTAATAAGTGAGAGATTAGTCACTGCAAGTGATGATTTCACAATGTATTTTTGGGAACCACTTAAGTCATCGAAACCAATATGCAGAATGACGGGACATCAAAAACTAGTCAACCATGTCAGCTTCTCACCTGACGGAAGATATGTTGTTTCCAGCTCTTTTGACAATTCAATAAAATTATGGGATGGTATTAGAGGTACGTTTGTTACCACATTGCGCGGCCATGTTGCACCAGTGTATCAAACCGCATGGTCTGCGGATAATAGGTTATTGGTGAGCTGTTCCAAAGATACAACTCTAAAAGTTTGGGATATCAGGACCAAGAAATTGAGTGTTGATCTTCCTGGACATGCCGACGAAGTGTACGCTGTTGATTGGAGTTTGGATGGTAAACGAGTTGCATCGGGTGGAAAAGACAAAATGGTTAGATTGTGGTCACACTAAGGATGAAAGTGTATAGCTTTTTGCGTAAGCTTATATTTCAATAGAGAATCGTGTTTGCATTGTTTCTCATGGCCTGGTAATCGGTTTTAGTGAACAAAGAGAGGTCAGGTCATCACTGTTTTCTTTTATCTCGGCAGTAGCGCAGAGAATCAACGCAAAAAAAAGAGTTTTTGTGTTTGAGGAAAAGCCAAAAAATCAACAACTTCCGAACCTTTTCACTTGAGCGTTATTTTTTTGTCATTTTTTTTTTGTAGCAATCAATTACATCATAAAGTCCATACTACACAAGTTGCAATCATGGCGATCGTGAAAAGGGGTGGCCGTTCAAAGGCTAAACAACAGCAGGCACCAGCTAAATCAAATGGACTGAGTGGAGGAGGAATCAAGAAAGCAGAGTTCGACGTCACCAAAAAGAAAGAAGTAGGAGTGTCTGATTTGACACTTTTGTCAAAGATTACTGATGAAGCTATAAATGATAACTTACACAAGAGATTTATGAATGATACTATATACACTTATATTGGGCACGTGTTGATTTCCGTCAATCCATTCCGTGATCTTGGAATTTATACCCTGGAAACATTGAACAAGTACAAGGGGAGAAACAGATTGGAGGTTCCACCACATGTTTTTGCCATTGCTGAGTCTATGTATTACCATTTGAAATCGTATGGGGAAAATCAATGTGTCATTATTTCAGGAGAATCGGGAGCAGGTAAAACAGAAGCTGCGAAGCAGATCATGCAGTACATTGCCAATGTCTCTGTTGATACTGGAAATGCCGAGATTACCAAAATTAAGGATATGGTTTTGGCTACAAATCCACTTTTAGAATCGTTTGGATGTGCTAAAACTTTGAGAAATAACAACTCCAGTAGACACGGTAAGTACCTCGAGATCAAATTCAGCGAAGGAAGTTATCAACCAGTAGCAGCACATATTACAAACTATCTTTTGGAAAAGCAGAGAGTTGTATCTCAGATCTCTAATGAGAGGAATTTCCACATTTTCTATCAATTTACCAAACATTGTCCCCCACAGTACCAACAACAGTTTGGCATACAAGGACCGGAGACCTATGTCTACACTTCCGCTGCCAAATGTATTACCGTAGACGGTATTGATGATGGAAAGGACTTTAAAGATACGTTGAATGCGATGAATGTCATTGGTTTGAGTCAAGACGAGCAAGACAATATATTTAGAATGTTGGCCCTGATATTATGGATTGGTAACATTTCGTTCATAGAGGATGAAAGCGGCAATGCAGCAATACGTGACGACAGTGTAACCAATTTTGTTGCCTATCTTTTGGATGCCAATCCTGATATTTTAAAGAAAGCCATCATTGAGAGAACTATAGAGACATCACATGGTATGAAGAGAGGTTCAACTTATCACGTCCCATTAAACATTGTACAAGCAACTGCAGTACGTGACGCATTGGCGAAAGGTATTTACAACAACTTGTTTGATTGGATTGTCGAAAGAGTAAATTTATCGTTGGGTGGAAAACAAAATCAGTCAAACAAATCGATTGGTATTCTTGATATCTATGGGTTTGAGATTTTTGAGCATAATTCGTTTGAACAAGTTTGTATCAATTATGTGAATGAGAAATTGCAGCAAATTTTCATTCAGTTGACATTGAAAGCAGAGCAAGATGAGTATGTTCAAGAACAAATCAAGTGGACTCCTATTGACTATTTCAACAACAAGGTTGTTTGTGATTTGATTGAAGCAACAAGACCACAACCAGGGTTGTTTGCAGCTTTGAATGATTCAATTAAAACGGCACACGCAGATTCTGATGCAGCCGATCAGGTGTTTGCTCAAAGATTAAGTATGGTTGGCGCAAACAATCGCCATTTCGAGGACAGACGAGGCAAGTTTATCATCAAACATTATGCTGGTGATGTGACATACGATGTTGCGGGGATGACTGATAAAAATAAAGATGGAATATTGCGTGACCTTTTGGAGTTGTTGGGGACATCTTCCAATCCATTTGTTAATCAAACGTTGTTTCCACCAGAGTTACTAAATGCCTTAATTGATACAAAAAAGAGGCCACCAACTGCCTCTGACAAAATCAAAACTAGTGCAAATGCTTTGGTTGACACTTTGTCACAATGTACACCATCATACATTAGAACTATTAAACCGAACCAAACCAAAAAACCACGTGATTACGACAACCAACAAGTGTTGCATCAAATTAAATACTTGGGTCTCAAGGAGAATGTTCGTATCAGAAGAGCCGGATTTGCATATCGTTCCACTTTCCAAAGATTTGTGCAGAGGTTTTACTTGTTATCGCCCGCCACAGGCTACGCTGGAGATTATATCTGGCAAGGTGATGACCTTACGGCTGTCAAAGAGATTTTACGTGCATGCCATATTCCTCAAACGGAGTATCAGTTAGGTACAACCAAAGTATTCATCAAAACACCGGAGACGTTGTTTGCTTTGGAAGATATGAGGGACAAGTACTGGCATAATATGGCCGCCCGTATCCAAAGAGCTTGGAGAAGATACGTTAAGCGTAAAGAAGATGCAGCTAAGATTATTCAAAATGCTTGGCGAATGAAAACACATGGAAACCAATATGAGCAGTTACGAGACTATGGTAATAGTTTATTACAAGGAAGAAAAGAGAGAAGAAGATTATCAATGCTCGGATCACGTGCGTTTATGGGAGATTACTTGGGATGTAACGACAAAAGTGGATACGGAAGGTTTGTTGTTAATCAAGCAGGTATCAAGGATCATGTTGTATTTTCCGGCAAGGGTGAAATTTTGTTGTCAAAATTCGGAAGGTCTTCAAAGAGGTTACCTCGTATTTTCATATTGAGCAAGACAAGCTTATATGTTGTGGCGGAGGCATTGGTGGAGAAAAGGTTGCAATTGCAAAAGGAATTTGTCATTCCAATCAATTCCATCAAGAGTGTTGGGTTATCGACAAATCAAGATAATTGGGTTGCCGTGTGCTTGCACACACCTACAACCATGGTTCCCGATATCTTTATTAACTTGGATCTCAAAACAGAGTTTATTACCCACTTGAAAAAATTAAATCCCGGATTGTCAATTATAATTGGACCCACGATACAGTACCAAAAGAAACCAGGAAAGTACCATACAGTCAAGTCTGTAGTTGGTTCTGGACCTCAAATTTCTCCAAGAAGTGATGTTTATAAGTCTGGAACTATTACTGTCAATCAAGGTCTTCCAGCAAATAGCAAGAACCCAAAACGACCAAGAGGTACTTCCGGGAAGGTCGATTACAGTCAATACTATAACAGAGGCACCAGAAATGGCACTTCAAGTTATTCGTCCAGGCCAGCAGCAGCAACTACCAGACCAGCACAACCATCATATTCTCAACCAGAGCAAGCACAATCGCGCTATCAAGCTCCTACACCACATCAACCAGCATCTCGCCCTGTCCATTCAATACCTCCTGCTGCCCCAACTCATTCAAGGAACCAATCACACGACGGCCCTTCTTTACAGGTTGCAGCTGCGCAAGCTGCTTTAGGTCAGAAACAGCAAAATAACAGACCACAACCTGCTCAGCCCACGTCTCCAAGGAAAGCTCCTGCTCCAGCTAGACCTGCAAAAAAGGTTGCTCCTCCTCCACCAACAAAAAAGGCAACATCACCACCACCTAAAAAGACAGCTTCTCAATCGGTGCCACCACCGCCACCACCACCGGCTTTATCAAAACCAAAATTCCCTACTTACAAAGCCATGTTTGATTACGACGGTTCTGTGCCTGGTTCGGTCGCATTGACCAAGGACACTATCTACTACGTCACCCAGGTCAATGGAAAATGGGGCTTAGTCAAGACTATGGATGAATCACAGGAAGGATGGTCACCAATTGACTATTTACAAGAATGTTCTCCAAATGCAAACAACATTTACTCGAACTCGTCTGCTCCTTCGAATCCTGTGAGTACTGCCAGCTCCAATACAAACACCACCCAAGCTACAACTGCGCTGAGTGGAAGTTTGGGAAATGGATTAGCTGATGCTTTGAAGGCGAAAAAGACTGAAGAGACGAGTTTAGCGGGCTCTCTTGCTGATGCATTGAGGAAGAGACAAGGTGCAACAAGAGATGACAGTGATGTAGAAGAGGATGACGATGATGACTGGTGAGTCTATAGGGTATTTGTATATTTTGTGACATAATCAAATGATAGATTTGAATGTTTCGTAGTGTAGAGAGAGGACAAACTCTCCTCACCCGCGCCCCCCCCTCTTTCTATTTGTTTCGTATAGTGTTTTCTTTGGATTGGTATCGGCGAGTATCAATGTCTTTAAGCATTGTTGGCACAAGAAAATGCGCGATCAACGGTTCCATTCGCGTAAGCTTCGACTGTGGAGGATATGGCACCATAGAGACCACCAACGCAAATAAAGATCGCTACTGCGATGCAGAATATTGACAAGGTGGCAGTGAATTTGTGATTATGTAATTCACTCCATGAGTGTTTAATCCATGTGAGAGTCAGATCACGCTCGTGATGTTTGTGATGCCCTATTTCATACAATGTTAAACAAGCAGGGATGAAAAGCGTGAAAGACGTGCCGACTAGTGCACCAGTTAAAGCTACCAAATTGTTGAAAAATGGAATTGCCCCAGCGATTACAAACCCAACAGCGCTGACAATGGTAATCATCCCGAGCCAGGTAATCCAATGAATTTTGGTGTTGCTTTGTAAATGTTTGGTACCTCTCAAGATTCGGATGAGGGAGTATTTTGCTGCAAGGTGGGCAGTGAAGAATGAAGACCAGAACAAACCAGGGAGTGCTATACCATAAGCAATCTTTTTGAATAGGTCACCAGCAGAGCCTAGTGCAGGAGATGCTACGTATTGACCAACTTTGGCATAAATCATAATGGCAAGAACGATGTAATTGAACATCACCAATGCTTGTCCCATGAGAAGTGATTTACCATATTGCCTTGGATCCCTCATTTCTGCTTGTATTGAGAAGAAGGATGCTGTTCCACATAATGAAAAGAACTGAATTGCAATAGCAGATGCTATTGTACTAAAACGAACTCCCGTGGCTGCAACTCTTATTAATTTATTTGTTGGCTGTTCAAGAGGTGCTGCTGCAGGAACTTTTTGAGTAAGACATGCTATTGCTACGGTCCACACTGCGAGAAGAATACTTGACATGGCAAAGTATCCCATAAACGATAATACCCTCATTGTTCTGATTGAAGCACCAAGAATAAAGGATACTATTGCACCGATAACCACCCAAATAACAGTGCACATGGGATGCCCTGTTAATGAATTAAAAGCGATGGAGATCGTGAGCAATGCTGAACCATAGCAAAGCGTGTAAAAGAGCCAGAAACCCCAACCCATAATCTCACGTGCAATAGGACCAAATAACATGTAAGCAGCGTCATCAATGCAATAGATATGAGGATGCTTGTTTCGAAATTTCCCAATGACAAGGCCGGTGTATGTGCTCAACAAACATAAGCAAACTAGTGAAAGGGCACCTGGTAGGAAACCCAAGGAGTTGAAAGTACTGGGCAAACCAAGTACTCCTAATCCCAATTGCGATTTCGCAATTAAAATTGCTGCACCATACGTGCCAACTCCACGAAAGTTGGGGCCATCTTTTTTTATCTCAAAGACTTGATTTCGTTCTGTTTTGACTACAGACTCCGTGTCGAAATTGGATGATGCATCTTTTTCCTCTTCGTTATCTACACACTCACACTTGGATTTTGTGATTATCATATCAGTATTTTCATTCAACGACATTTTGCTGTTTTTCAGAAATGGTGGTAGAACTTCGATTGGGTCTAAGGAGATGAAAAGATATCAGAGTATTTAATTAAATACGGCAGAGGTTATTTTTAAAGAGATTTAAGTTCATATGGGAGAAGATTTATCTTGCATCGTCGTACATGAAGCAAATATTTTCATTGTCAAGAAAATAAAATCAACGAAAGGTTTTCACCGGATACTATGAAATACTTGAAGTCTACATTTTTGCCCGGGACATCGATTCAGTGTTTGAAGAGTTTATTTGGTTTAATTTGGATAGGGGAGGGGGGATTTATCATGCCTACGTGAATCTCTTCAGTTCAAGGAAAATTCAGAAAGTGAGAGAGGGAATAAAGATTTAAGAACTGCTTGAGATGTGGAAAGGATTTGTTTCCAACATTTGGCTTTGTAACTAGCAGAAATCTTACAAGAAATTTTGGCAATTGATAGCGTTTATAATCCCCTCAGGAGGATGTGCTATGTAGGAACGACCGTAGCATACAGAGTGATTTTGAAACGGGAGTGATTTGTAACCTCAAAAAGGAATATCCCCATGTAGGCGCAACTGCCACCTCAACTCATTGGAGCTCGTAAATTTCATAAGGTCAGCAGTGCTGCATCACGTTTAACTTGTTGACTAGTACCAGATGGCACTAACATTTACCGAAGAGTCTATTCAGGTCAAACTAAAGGCATGGATCACCCCATTTCTATTTCTAACGCCTGGTGGATGGCACACTTTGAGGTAGGGTAAAATGTTGCAGTTTTAAAGTTGATTCTGACATCAATTTTGTTATAATTAGTAAAAGTCCTTTAAATTTTGTAATCTCGACAGAGGTGGATGTACCGAGTAAACTGATTGATTGAAAGTAGGCAAATTCTTCAATAGTTCTCTCATTTAATACATTGGCTACGTTGTTGTACTTGGTGACTCTATTTTTATTTTGGTCACGGCACAATTGAGGTGTTAGAAAGAGCTTGATTTCAATCTATATGTTTTGACCGAAAGTTTTAACAGCAAACACTTGGCAGTAAAGGTCGCCGTCCTATTTATTGTCTCTAAGCTAACTAGGAAGGACTAGGAAGATTCCATAAGTATGTGTCTTCACTCCGTGGCGTGCGTGGTACAATATCAAACAAGTGGTGACAATTCCTGCACGCAATTTTTTGAATGGCTCGAAGTTGATCCAAGGACAGTTTCCACGAGATCACTTTCTCACCAAGGACTTCAAACAACAATGGCGAGTAAAATCAAAAGCAGGAATAAGCTACTATCGTCACATAAGAAGTCACTGCTCACAAAGTCATCAGTCAAGGATGAGTTGGTGGCTATGAAATATGTGATGGATCGGCCAGGCTTACCAGTATACGCTTTTGAAGATTTGTCAAAAGACGATATTCCACCCATGAAACAAACCGAGGAAGTAATGGCTGAAGCCAATGAACTTACATACCCTGACTTTATACCATGGAAGGACCATACTCAAGTTCGAAAAGAGGAGGTGAAGTCGAATGAGTCCGACGATCGTACGTATTTAAGTAAAGGATACTTTGAGGCTCCTCAAGTTGGCAACGAATACTATTCCGGCAGAAACTTAGTCCTGGCGACGTTATTTCAGTCAAATGAAAACTGTTTAAACGTCGTCAGTGAGTTGTCTCGATATCTCGCTAATGCCTATACATCCAGAAATGAGAATATAAACAAAATACGACACAATGCTGGCCATTTCAAGATACCTCAAAAGGTCACCCTCACTGCAACCAAACGAGAAAGTTGGCTCAATGATCTAAGCAACCCAAACATACCTTTAAAGAAAATTGGAGAAAAGATTCCACATGGTATTCGAAGCAAGCTTCTCATTGATGCATTATGCACTAGGGCTACTCCAATAAATAGAGCTTTGTGGTTTACAAAATGTGTTTTGTTCAGCGAGCTCTTGACATTAAGGCGAAAGCATCAATCTAAGATTTTGGATTCCAATCTGCCGGAGAAGTTTGAATTGCACTGGTTACAAGAATGGACTCAACAGATTGTTGGCTATATGGAGAAAATGTCACAGGATATAGGGCATATTGATGGTGCTGTAGCTAAAGAATACTACATTAAAAAATTGGGTTATCTTCGAGAATTTATTCTGTCCTTGTATGCCGAAACTTTATTGGACAAGCAATATTTTCTTTCGTTGATCTTAAAACCACTCGGAGATGGATTTCCCATTGACTCAGATACAGTTAGTCACTTGTTGAGTATTCGACAAATGGAAGACACGGAAGACTACGATGTTTCAATTCAGGAAGATTTAGGATTTACCATTGACTATGGGCAGCGTTTTGCTGCATTGGTGTGGGTAAAGACATTCTGGAATGACATCATTGGTTGTGACTATTTGGCAAAAGAGTTGAGCGAGCTGTTGTTGCTTAACTACTTTTATACGACCAAGCTTTCGCGATATCCGAAATGGTTTCTACCAGAGCATTTGCGAAACAATTTGACAAGGTCATTGCATGATTTGGTGATTTACCTTTTCAAACGCAACACAAACAATTTTGTTATACCCGGTAATTGGGTACTAACCGGTGATGCATTAGTATCTATAGTATCGCAGGAGATGGGAAATGTTCAACTGAACGAGCTGAAAAAATTGGCTGACCAACTCGAGTTAATCAATTACAGAAACGAGAGTTTGATAATCAACTCGAACCAAGTGGAGACTGATATGAACTTTTCAAGTGAATCACAAGTAGCTGGCAAATCCATTAACGGGGATGCTAAGAATTTCCGGGACGATAGAAAGTACTGTGGGCAACAATCGTCCAGCAAATCGCCCAATATCTTAGAGCAATTGGACCATCTCAGATTCAATGAAAAGCTTGCTCAAAAAATCCTACCCCAAATGGGTAATCAAAGTAATGACAAGTGGAAACAGAATTTACATACAATCTTCTTTTGGAGTGTGTCCCCTTGGCGGCATAGTGCTTTTCAAAATGAGAATTTATCAATTGTATGCAATTTTTTGAGAAAATCAGTGTTTTCTCAAGCTGAAAAATCAGTCAAGATGGAGTTCGAAAACGAGATTTTGGAATGCATATTTGCATCATTAGAATCCGACTCAGAATTGGTTGATAATCGCAAGCTCTATATAATGATTAATGAGCTCTACCAGTTAAAATTGATCACAATTGGCTCTTATTTGAGAAAATTAATTGCTTCTGGAGTTTTTTACACGACAACAGACGACAGCAAGTCTCAAAAGGGCCCCAATGAAAGCACCCAAAATCATCTTCAATGCTTGACGAACTTACCTGTATTGAACAACAAGCAATGTGATAGTATCTTGCGTAAATGGAATACCGAAGGTTTAGATTTCAAAGGCACTTTCGAAAAAATGAAAAAACAACTTCAATCAGAAATTTTGGAAACGTTGTTTACAAATAAAGGGATTATCCCGTCTGATCACTTTGAAAAACAATGGAGCTCTATTCAGATTGGATTGAAGTTCTTGCTTGTCAACTGGTTTACGGACGAGTTTAAAACAAGGCTTGTTAATTCACCAAAACTAGTTGTATTTACACAAGACATTTTAGCTGATTTATACAAATTTTATTCTATTTCCGACAATTTGCCGGTATTTTTCAAAATTATTGTTCCGACTATTCTCAGGAATGAAAGCCGAATGGCCATTTTATACCTAGATGGGCTTTATTTTATATCCAAGCTAATCATGAGGCATTTCAAACTTTTGAAGCAATTCGTTGATACATCGAATAAATCTACCATTGCAAACATATTTCGGTTAATCATGCAGAATTACAAAGATTTGAGTCAACGAGAATCTGTTGCTTACAATTTCCATCAAGTCTGGAGCTTTGTCGACTCAATTACTGAAAAAGACGGAACCTCTTCTAGGAAAAGAAAATGGGGAGATGCAGTTTCTGATCCAGAAAATTTTGGTATTCCAACTTATAGAAAAGATAACTTGGAAACACCAATGCAAATACAGTCTGTTGATTTGGCACTAGATCATACACCAAAACTTACAGACAATTATAGTTCTGATGATTTCAAAAACGATTTAGCGGCATTGAGGGTGCTGAATAGTGTACTTTTGAAAAGCGAGTCTGAAGTAAACGGGTTGAAAGCGATAGCAGGAAATACCAACATCGACAATCACTTGAGCTATTGGTATCTGAAAGTTGATTGCATTTCGGAGTCTGAAGAGACCGCAATTGTAAGACTTTGGAGACATTTTGCTGCTGGCATTGCTGTCGATGTAGTTGAGAAGACTATTAGCTCCGCTGTGAGTGATGTTTTACATTCAGCATGTCAAACAAATTTGAAAATTTTAATGATCAAGAAATTGGTTATATACGATATTATTTCACTCAAAGGAGTTGTATCATTGTTGACCAATAATGGCAAGGAGCAATTACAACTGCTACTATTGCAGATGTTGTTGGAGCCGGATTTTCCAAACAACATGGCTCTAAGTGCTGCTAAATATCAGCTTTATCGAATCAGCGTTTACTTTTTCAAAGAAAAGAACAAGAAACAGTACACTTGTTTAATTTTGCAGGGTTTAACTGCTAGAAACTTGCACAGCTGTCTTCTTGACAATAAAGAAGAAGTCAAGCACTTTTTGAGTCACAGTCTCGTTACCGAAGGGCGTCACATCTTGAGTGAACTCCTTGTGAACACGAGCCGAGATGATTGCTTCGACTTGTTGAACCTTTGTTTAAACAAATCGAAAGAGGACTACGTTGGAAGTCTTTCCAAGTTTGAGCAAAGCATCGATGAGATAAACGAATTCAATAAACCATTTTACCAAGCTTTATTATCAATTTTGTCCTTCTCCTTGAATGTCGAAGACAAATCATCCGCTACAGCAAGGTGGGAAGTTTTCATTGAAACTTATTTGAACCGGACGAGGTCAGAAGGCTCGTCTAAAAATTTGCTTTTCGGAAGTTTATTTTGTTGGGTTCCGTGGCAACACAAGTTGATTATCTTGGAAATTCTAGAAAACAAAGTATTCACTCAACCACTTGATGACACCACAACAGTCACTTTGACTATGAATGGCGCCGCTATAAACTCCATTGCCGTTGGGTTTCTCGATACCTTTTTGTCCAGCACAGTCAATGCTGTATCATCGCCAAACCCATTTATCACTAAATTTACAGAATTTCTCAGCAGGGTGAATACTACGATTAACAGAATTATTATCGAAGAGCGACACGACTCGTTAGACACTTTGTTGTCAATAATTTTAAAGCTTTTGATCATACACATGCTGACTCTATGTGCTTTCATTGCCAAGAATCTTGGCGATGAGCTTGCAGAAAATATGGTCAAACGGCTAATTCTGATTGTGGATTCAAAGTATTTAGAGCGTCAGAACCTGAAGTTGAGAGTACTCTTCCATGATCTTTTGTTGGTTATGAAAACTTCTGTGAACGATGAAATTACGACATTGGCTGGGGAGATGTTGCCGATTTCGAATGGCTTGCAGGAACAGCAGCCAAGCCCCGAGGAAGCAAGGCATAAGGAAGCAAATGTGATAGAGCTGATAGCCACTACCTCACAAGTGCAACACTTGTTCGCCATTCCTCAATTCGATGACGAGAACCCTTTCAAAAATACACTCGACGACAGTTTAGTCAAATGTGCAATAATGCTTAGTAGTGATGAATTGGCATTCGGTGGAGATGCAAACTATATTAATGGTAGCAACTTTAAGCTTGAAGTTCCCAAAACTGATTCTTTGAACATTCCTTCATTTATGGGAAACATATTGAGTAACGAAAAGAATAACAGACGAGAGGGCAGTCATTCCAGGACTTGTGTTCATCCTTTCAGAATCAGAACTTACGAATTGCTAGAGGATACTAGTCACTCTCTAAATGATGGGTGTGTCAATTTGCTGTTGTTTGATGGGTACGTTGCAAGGGAAAACCCACCATAGTAGAAAACACTTGGCTATAGTCTTTTGTGTAATAATTAAAGAACGTGAGTTTCATAAAGTTGACAGGGTTGTCGCGTAGATTTTGTTTTGAAAAAAGCCAAACCCACAGCCTTTCTATGACACCACTTTCCAGGAAAATGAGTCGCAAACATGAAGTCGAAGAAGTATATAGTGTAGCCTCAGAGGAGGATATATACGCACATCCTCAAGAAATTCCCACGATAATTGAATCAAACCAGTCAGAACTGAGTATAGAAACGCAAACGAACGATGGTGTGCGACAAGATAACCATCAGGACAAAGCAAAGGATTTGAGCTTTTTGGCTAGTGCAAACTTTTCAACTGACTCGATAAATGATAGTCCGCAAGACCATACGTTTCAATTTGGCAATACTCAAATGAGTCCGTCGCCAAGACGGTATTCCAATTCGTCGTTAAGCAAATCACCAAGACTATCTTATCCCAGCCAACAACAATCTAAATCAAGACCGCTATCAGCATTTCTTTTGGACTCGGGAAACTCTATTTCAGAGGATGGGAACTTGCTCCCTTTTGAGAACTCACCAAGATCAAGAGACTCTTTTTCCTTCGGTTTGAATTCAAACTATAGTCCTAGCTTTCAGGATCGAGGTTTCCAATCTCAATCAAATTATACGCTAAACACTCACCCGCCTTCACCAACGAGGTCAACTTCTCCTGTTAGAAACAATAGACATTACAGGTCGAAATCACCGGTAAGAAGATCCACCTCACCCAAGAAACTGAACCCTTTCAATTTTCAACCTCAGGAGGTTATGCTAAGCAACAATGGACCAAGTCAATCATTGCAAGTGAAACCAGCCCATAGAAAAGGTCACAAATACAAACACTCTTCAGTGTCAATGAACTTATTTCAAGAACCACCTCCAATGAGTGCCAATGAACAGCAGTTGAAAGCAATTCCCGATCTGTATCCAGTCCCAAACTATAAAGAAGCACTTTCCTCTGTAACAAAGCAACAAAAGTCGAAGCTCGTGTGGGCTTTGGGTCACTTTAGTTTATCAATAGTCATTTTCGTCATTGGGTTTAGATATGGCTTTGGATCGCTTGCAACATTAGCTCATTTAGTATTTTATGATTCATTAGGGTCCTTGTTTATTGTATTGGTTGATATTATGTCCAATTTCGAAGTTTGGAATAGCTCTTCAATAGCGTACCCCTTTGGGTTGGAGCGTATTGAGGTGTTAGTTGGGTTTGCATTGAGTGCCTCCCTCTTGATGCTCAGTTTTGACTTGTTCAGCCATTTCTTTGAAGAATTCATCTTGTCGTTGATGTCTGATGATGACCACCTGGATCACGAACACTTGTCTCATCGAGTTCATGATGGGCATGGAAATGCATCCACAAATTTGTTGCCTTATGAAATGGTGTTGATAATATCGTTAGCAGTGTCATTGGTGTCTTCTCATTTCATTCTTGCCTATGATCGAATCAATGAAATGATGACCAGTGGGGAAAGTACGCATACAAAGAACCATGATACCACGATCTTTGTCCATGCACCAGCCTTCACATTGCGCCAGAGATTTTTGAGAATTTTGGAGACTTGGAGAAATTACCCTACGCATATGATCACTGTAACTTATGCGTCATTTCTTATCGTTCTTCCATTGATTCCAGAGACGTTTGTTAAGGAATTGGCTTATGACATCAATAAATGTGCTACAATTCTAGTAGCTTGTTTGTTGTTTTACAATGGGTGGATTCTAGTCAAGTTGTTGGGAGGAATTTTGCTTTGTTCATTTCCGCACTCAAACTACGAATATACTGTGTTAAAGTCTAAAATAAAGCAAGGCGTGCTATCATTGGACTGTTTCAAAGAAGGGTTTTCAATAGACAAGTTATTCATTACAAAATTCAACTACCAATTGTATGTCATTGGGGTTTCGATCAACATGAAGGGGGCTGATTCTGACGAAGAAGTTAGAATGAGGTTTGAAGTTAATAGGATCATTCGTAACGAAATGCAGTTATTGGAAGACTGTGGGAGAGTAAACACATTGGAAGTCACCATTGATATTAATAGATTTTGACAAAGCTTGTATATGAAGCACAAAATATAGGAGCTTGTACTTTTTTACCAATACGGTAATGAGTTCTGACTCACTAAGCGCGATGAAGCACAATCTCTTTTTTTATAAAGTTAACATTTTTCTTCAATAATCTTTTTTTTCAACAAAAGCTAGAAATTCAACAGAGCTTTCTTCTACATCTATATCTTAGTATATCGATATGTTGAGATTTTTTGCTTCAAATAGATCATTCGCAAAGATTGCACGTCAAACGGGGTTGAGATCTACAGCTTACAAGTATTCAACAACAAAAAAGACAAAGCCAACATTTCATGAAGTTTCCGACGCAAGTGAAGAGTCACACACTGGCCAATTCATAAACAAGGTTTCTAAGCCGTACACGGTAACTACCTATGCTCGGCCAAATCTAGTTCTAACGCATGGTAAAGGCTCTTATATTTATGACTTGGAGAACCGAAAGTATATCGATTTTACTGCTGGAATCGCAGTGACTTGTCTAGGCCATTCAAACGAAGGCATCACAGAGATATTGAAGGACCAATCGGAAAAGCTTATACACTGCTCCAATTTATATTATAACTTACCCGCAGGTGAGTTGGCAAGTAAATTAATTCACAAGACAAAGGAACATAACGGATTGAACGACGCTTCAAGGGTATTTTTGTGTAACTCTGGAACCGAAGCCAATGAAGCAGCCTTGAAGTTTGCTAGGAAGTATGGTAAGGTGAAAGGTGGAGATTCTAAAACTGAGTTTATCACCTTTGCTAATTCATTTCATGGTAGATCAATGGGTGCTTTGTCAGTAACTCCCAATCCCAAATATCAATCGCCTTTTGTGCCTTTGATACCAGGAATACATGTTGCAGAACCAAATAATATCGAAAGTGTTAAAAACTCAATGTCATCGGAGAAAACCTGTGGTGTTATTATCGAACCAATACAAGGAGAAGGAGGGGTTAACTCAATGGATGAAACTTTCTTGGTCGAATTGAGAAAATTGTGTAATGATCATGACGTTTTACTAATTTATGACGAGATTCAATGTGGATTGGGTAGATCAGGTAAGTTATGGGCTCATTCGTATTTACCTAATGAAACGCATCCAGATATCGTGACCATGGCAAAAGCTTTAGGGAACGGATTCCCCATTGGTGCCACTATGATTACAGAAAAGGTTGAAAATGTTCTTTCTGTTGGGGATCATGGAACAACTTATGGAGGAAATCCACTTGGAGCTCGAATCGGATCATTCGTTGTAGATGAGATCACAAAGGAGCCATTTTTGGTCAATATCAATGAAAAGTCGGCAAAGTTTGTCGCGAAGTTGAATCAGATTGCCGAGACCAATCCAGACAAAGTGCTAAAAGTTAAAGGAAAGGGGTTATTGTTGGGATTACAGTTTGCTGAAAATATTGATATCAATAAGATTGTAGAAAAGTGTAGAGAAAATGGTTTGTTGATAATTACTGCTGGAATGAATACCATCAGGTTTGTCCCCGCACTCAACATACCAGATGAAGCTATAGACGATGGTCTTGCTATTTTAGAACATTGTATAGAGCAGTAAAAATTTAAGTAATTTCCCGAACCTGATGTGAATATGAAAGATACGACTATGTTGGATGGGGTCCCCATGTGGTTTCCTGTATATAAAAAACCCAAAATAATAAATTAATTTTATCAAACTTTATCAAAAGTTTTCCATACCGCGAGGAGATACACACACACACACACACACACAGGCTATACATCTCCTGCACCTGAATGATATATGACGATACCTTTCAAAATACTCGTCTCCGATCTAGACTTTTGTCTAGAGCAACTATTAGATCACAAACCACCAAAGATCTTGCCATCTGAAACCATTCAACAACTATGTCATATGCTCAAAACACAGCTATTGGCTGCCCCCAATATTTTATCACTACAATCTCCCATTTCTGTTGTTGGGGACATACATGGTCAGTATCATGATATGTTGGAAATTTTCAAAATCAGTGGGTCACCTCCCAACACTAATTATCTTTTCTTGGGAGATTATGTCGATCGTGGATACTATTCGGTAGAGACTATTTCATTACTATTGGTGTTGACACTTCGATACCCCAACAGAGTAAGCCTAATAAGAGGTAATCATGAGTCTAGAACAATAACTACAAATTATGGCTTTTACACCGAGGTACTAAACAAGTATAATGGATCTGCCGACGTGTGGTCATACATCACTGACTTGTTTGACTATTTGCCACTAGGGGCTACAATTGATGGGACAATATTTGCGTGTCATGGGGGTTTATCGCCGAGCTGTCAACAGTTGGACCAAATTAGAGCGATAGATAGATTTCGCGAGATTCCCCATGATGGTATAATGGCTGATTTGGTTTGGTCCGATCCCGATGTTGAGATTACCGACTTCAAATTGAGTCCGAGAGGCGCTGGCTACCTCTTTGGAAGCGATATAATGGACAAGTTTTGCAACGATAATCAGTTGTCCCAAATGATTAGGGCACACCAGTTGTGCAACGAGGGGTATACTAGCTACTGGAAAGGAAAATGTTTGACGGTGTGGTCTGCACCAAATTATTGTTACCGATGTGGTAACAAAGCAAGTGTATTGGAGATCCTACATACAAATTATGGGACCAAAATCACTGATGATAAAGAAACAGTTGATGTCAGTAATTCAACAAAGCACCCTTCATTTAAATCCACTATACAAGCCAAACAAGGTGTATTGCCAGGACAATTCTTTAATGTTTTTGAGGCATCGACTGAGAATGATGAAGATACCTTAAATGGAAGAGGCGTGAATGGGATCAATTTGTCGGATAGAGAAAATGCCGACACTGACTTTTTCGCTGCATACTTTCAAAAACGTCCCAAACGGCAACACGTTGATTATTTTTTATAAAGCTAGTTTCAAGCTACTGGTATACGTCAACTATGGGACCTTGCCTATCATTTATGTTTTATTCAACGACTAATTTGTATTATATATAGAATTGAAATTAATAGTGTAATGAGCCTAGAATGGTTTTACCCATAGTACAATTCAAAATTAAACCCATCATGAACTTCGTAATCATCTAATGTAATATGATCTTTGTATATTTGATGTCCTTTCCTCAAAATTATCTTTTCATATGGAGTTCCGATCTGTGCTCCAAGTACTTTTTTCAAGTCGCCAATGGTATCTGTTGGTAAACACTTGACCCTTATTTTTTTACCGAGTCTGTCATTTGCTTGGATTTCAATCATCATAGAGCTGGGGGTAATAAAATCTCAAAATACAAAGACAGAATTCGTTGAGATATGAGTTTGGTTGAATTATGCTTTCATTGAAATACGAACAGTAAAATTGGAAGCAAAGAAAAAAAAAAAAAGATTAGAACTTGAAACTTGACAGAGTTCTTCAAGAAAAGGGTACCAAAAAGGTTTCACTAATTTACTCACTGTTTTTAGTAACACATTACCAACTAGGACTCTCACAGATTCCCAGGAATACTCCATTGGCAAAACTATGTCGGACAGCAACATACCCGATCTGTCAAGTGAAGAGTCTCAACACCACGCACTCGACACTGTTCACCATCACCAAGTTGAATCTCAATCCCAACATCTAGACGCCCAACTGATAAACCTTGGGGATCTTGGAATTGATAAGGCGTATGCAGATCATCAAGATGCCGTCAATGGTAAATCACAGCTCAATAGCAAAGCGTCGTCAGCGACAACGCAACCTATCAAAAGACCACCATCGTTGATTCGTTCGCAAACAGTGAACGGAAGTATGCCTACTATAACTAAGGAGCTGCACGTTAAAAGGTCATTAAGCTCTGGGTATAACCAGGCAGCAACAAGGTCAGTGGCTAACTCGGGTAACAAGGTACATTTTCCAAGTACCACGTCTCCTAATAATACCAAAACGCCTCATGCTATAACCGCTCATAGTCCGGCTGCTGTTAGCAGGTCCCCTAGTACCTCAGTAGTGAGAACAAGGTCAAGTTCATTAACCAAAACACAACTGCAGCCTATGTCGTCACAGTACTTAGCACAAGAAAAGACGTATTTGCGAAAGCTAAAAAATCAATTTGCCGATGATTATTATACCAAAGGTATTACAGGAGCTGATGATGAAAGCAAGGACTCGATGGATGATGAAGATGACGACGAGGGATATGACTCTGCATCAAACAATGGGGACAATGCGACATTGTTGGCGGCAATTGACGATGATAAGTACCAAATTGATTATAGTATGGCCGTGTCATTGATGAAAAACTCCAGCCTCAATCTTCAAAAAATTTCAAACCTCAGGACGGATACTACTGATGATCCTGCCGTGGTTGAAAGGCTAGACTGGCAGTCGATGTTGACGTCTGTATTGACAGGTGATGTTGTGCGGTCAGAAAAGACAAAGATCATAAATACAAATAATCCAGACAATCCACTTGAGAGCTATGTACATTCTACATTCAAAGAGAATATATGGTTCGGAATCAGAGCCAAAATTTTTAATAGAACTGAGGATGATCAGAGAAAGATTGTGGCATATAGGCGAACATTGGTTGAGCAGTTGATTGAAGATATCATGCAGTTTGAGGTGAACTACGATGGCTCCACAAGGAACCCTATCAGAGAACAAGTCGAGACCATTTTGGACCGGTATGATGAGGCGTGCGGCCTTTGGAGGACTTTGGAAGAGATGCGCAATGACAAGCCGGCATGTCGTAGTGAAGAGTTTCAAAATAGAATTGACGCCTTAACCGCTTGGCTATCTATAACTGATGCTATTAAAAGGGAGACGCAATCCTTAAGAGTATGGATCGGTAATGACGAATTAGATATTACAAAATCACCCGTCGAAGTTCCCAGCAGAAGCTCTTCCTTGTCGAATAGCAAGATTGTTAAGGAGATTTTCGACGAAGATAACAAGTCACTAGCAGAGAGATTGATGAAAGAAAAAGACGTGCATACCATATTCAAAAAGCGTATATTTAAACCATTATCACCATGGATGATAAAGTCCAAGGATACTTATATTCGTTTGGGGAACATGTTTGAGATAATGAAGCTTCCTGATTATCTTCACGATTTGATTCAAATTTGTATTATTCCCATGAAGTTGATCAAAGAGATTATAAATGTCAGATTGGGTTACGCGATGAAGTTACAAAACCCAACGTTAATGATGATTGACCAAATGTTGGATGACTTTCAATCCTATATTACAATTGCATTAGAGGTAAAGCTGGGTGTCCAACAGTATAAAGAACCAGACCCACATAAAATTTGGCTTTTAAGTGATTTATTCGATGGTGAAGTCACCGATTTCGATGCAGTTATTCTCAGATGCATCCGTTATTTCTTAGTGTTGTTTAACAAGAAATTGTTGGATAGCTCAAGATCACAAAACAGTTTTAGAACTTTTAAGGAGCCGGAAGAGTTGGAAGAAGTATGGCTTTTCTTACAATCGTTAGGAAACTACATTGATGGAGGCGGTGTTGTTGTCTCTGAAGAGATTGCGTTGTTGACCCTGCGATTGAATCATCGCCTATTAGCATATTTTAACCATTCCATAAGGTCGCCTCCTCATACGGAATCCTCACAGGATTTAATCCGATGGTATAGCTCGACTTTGAGTAACTTCGGGCAAATACGTCGTAAGTTGGCGAGATTTACTGGGGATATTTCCAGATCATTCACAAACTCATTGGTATTTGAACTACCTGATCAACCTCATCAAAATAATACAAAAATATTGCTCGATGTGTTGCGGGCAACAGATCACTTCTTGGTGTATACCAACACTATAGAGTCGCAGGGAACATACTTTTTCGCGAGCTCGGATCTAGCGGGCAATGAGCTGGAGATAATGAAAATAATCAATGGGTCATATGTTGGCTTGGATCCTAGTACAAAGAAGTCCAATTTTACGGAGCTACTGAATTTACTTCAAAGTTCGTGGAACATAACAAACGAGAAAGTTGAAGATCCCCTGAAACTTGGGTATGTTTTGGCTCTTTGTCCGATGAAACCAATAGTTTGGGAAGGTACCGTATTCAATGTCAGTGTTGAGTCTGTCCCCACAACAGAACTTAAAAATGGTCAGTTGGCACTCATTTCTAAAATTCCCTACTTTGAATTACATTTGGTTCGAGACAGGTTTTTGGATCTTGTTAGTGACGTTTTGGTTGTGGGTGGTGGTATAAAACCGATTGAACAGCGATGCTCCCTTGCAAAAGTTCATTATGAGTTGACGAAAACAAACAAGGCATTTTTCCGTATGAGTTTATCGGTTTTGGACTCAGTAAAGACTGTCCTGAACAAGTTTAGACAATTGAATACCACCGGTGATTATCAAACTGTTGTCAACAACTACTTTGTTTTCGCTCGTGATTATGGAAAAAACGCAGCTAGAAATTTGGACTTGTCTCGAAAGTCTGCAGTCATTATGAAATTGATACAATTGGCAATTGACTGGGTTAGTTTCATTTGTGATGATTGTGTCCCCACTGATAGGAAAACGTTTAGGTGGTGTGTTTTGGCATTGGAATTTGCGATGGATATGACCCGCGGGTTCAACATATTGTTTTTAAATGACGAACAATTCAGTAAATTGAAGGTTAAAGTTGCGAGATGTATGTCCTTGCTCATTTCACATTTCGATATTATGGGAGCAAGATCCAGTGAAGCTGAGAAAAACAAGCTTTTGAAGTGGACTTCGCAGAGACAGAATATTGCCAATTCGCAAAATGATGATTACGCGTACGAAATGTACCATGAAGAAGTGATGCAACAAATTGCCGAGATTGAACAGTATAGATCTGAACTTCTGAATGAATACCAGTCGGTGGGTAAGGTGATCGACAAGAGTGACCTGGAGTATCAGTTTGTCACATTGTTGGCATCTTCATTCTCCAGTGTTTCTATTAGATGGCAAAAAGGAAAATACATCGGGGGAGGTACTTTTGGTCAAGTTTTTGCGGCAGTTAATTTGGATACCGGGGGTGTAATGGCGGTGAAGGAGATTAGATTTCACGATAGTCAGTCCATTAAGAGCATCGTTCCGCAAATCAAAGAAGAAATGACGGTATTGGAAATGTTGAATCATCCAAATGTGGTGCAGTATTTTGGAGTGGAAGTGCATCGTGATAAAGTTTACATTTTCATGGAATTTTGCGAAGGTGGTTCACTTGCTGGTCTTTTAACCCATGGTCGTATTGAGGACGAAATGGTTATTCAAGTTTATACCTTGCAAATGTTGGAAGGTGTAGCATACTTGCACCAGTCGGGAGTTGTCCATAGAGATATCAAGCCAGAAAACATTTTACTCGATCACAACGGAGTTATCAAGTTTGTTGATTTTGGTGCCGCTAAAGTTATCGCAAACAGTGGCAGAACAAGAGTCTCTACAAAATCAATTCGTCCAGTTACAGGTACTGACAATCAGAGTTTAAATTCCATGACTGGTACCCCGATGTACATGTCGCCTGAAGTGATTACAGGCTCCTCCACCGATCGTAGTGGCGTTGTTGATATCTGGTCACTAGGATGCTGTGTGTTGGAAATGGCAACCGGGCGTAGACCATGGGCAAATCTAGACAATGAATGGGCTATAATGTATCATATTGCCGCTGGTCACAAACCACCATTACCATCACCAGATCAATTGAGTGAAGAAGGAAGACGGTTTATATCACGATGCCTTGTCCATGACCCTGCGAAAAGACCCAGCGCTGCTGAGTTGTTGAATGATCCATGGATGGTTTCAATTAGACAGATTGCATTTGGTGGCAGTGGGTCAGAATATAGCACACCTTCGTCTGAGAATGGAAACTCTGGCGCAAGTCAGTGAGTGGGTATATGTGTTGTTGAGAAAGAATGTAGAGAATTCATCACACACATATATATGATGTGCACTTGCTTTATCATTCATTATTCATTACTAAACGCTATTTACAGTTGTATCCGTAGCTTCATTATACACCTATTTCTTTCTCAAAAAGCTTTGTAACTTCCTCAGTTACATCTCCTTTTATGTTCACAATTCCTGCACTTTGATTCATACTAATCTCAAATTGAGGATAAATTTGTAGCAAGTCTTGTTTCAATTGGTGTAAATCGCCTTGAACACGTTTGATCTCGGTAGTTATTCTTGTATTTTGGACTTTCTTGTATACCGGCCAATGATGGAATTTGGTTTTAGCAATGTAGTAGTTCTTTTTACCAAATCCGTTATTGGGTAAATCGCAATACGATATTGAACTCAAGTCTTGAAATGTGTAGCGGGTGAGTTCTGGTTTGGGAAGCTTAACACGGAGTGATAAAAGGGTAGATGTTGGTCTCATTGGTGTCAGCTTTAAGAGGATCCTTGGTGGATATATTGCAAAGCATTTCAGTGAAAAATGAAAAAAAAAAAAAAATTTTGTTAGAGATTTTTGGGTTCTGCACGACCTGCCATCAGAAAAGCTGCAAATCATACAGTAAAGTTGCAGAGGTACACCTCCTACTCACATTTGAACGTGAAGATTGCAAGTCTGGCCCTCGTACATAAACTATAAAAGAAATGTCTCTATGCTACCTTACTTAACAGCTTCTACCCTGCTTCTCAGAACACCTACATTTACATCAATATTCTCTTCCTTTTGTTCATGTGACTTAAGATGTTGGTCAAGGTCAACTTTTTTAAGAAAAGAGCTTCCACATATCTCACAAGCAAATTCTCTTTCGTGAATTTTCATATGTTTGGTTAAATTTGAACTTTCACTAAAACTCTTGTTGCAACCGGGCCACTTACACTTGAGAGGTTTCTCACCGGTATGCACCCGATTATGTATCGATAATGAGCTACTAGTGGCAAATCTTTTGCCACAGGTCGAACATTGGAATGGTTTTTCACCAGAGTGCACTCGTAAATGCTGGTCAAGCATCGACTGGACCGCAAACGAAGCACCGCATATTGAGCATTTACAAGGTTTGTAGTTGGTGTGTACGTGTATATGACGGTAAAGCTTTTGCCGCTGATTGAAAATTTTACCATTATGTCTCTCACATCCTATCCAATTGCAACTATATTTCGACTTGCCTGAACCAATGTGAGTATTGATTATATGGTGTTGTAAGTCACATTGAGATTCGTGGGTGGCATTACATGGAATAGGTTTGCCATTTTTATCTACTCCAACTTCCCATTGACATTTGAATTCAGGTCCTTGTGCACAACATGTTAATGTAGTAGAACCTTTTCTCTTTTTCTTTTCTTTGGGACGGATTGACATGGAAGTAATGTTTAGCTCTCGTTTGATAGTCGTGGGTGACTTGGTAGCGGATGGTGATTTCTCATTCATGTTGACACTGGCGGTAGACATTGGGGTTAATACGTTGGGGGAGTTGATTGTGATTGCTGGCTCATTGTCACTAGATTGTTTATGCGATTCCAAATGTTGGAGCAATGCATCGAGATTTTCATCAGTGTAATTACAATTGTTCCACTCACATTGGTATGAGGTAGCTTTTTCCAAATCATGTTCTTGTTTGATATGATCACCAACTATATGATTCATAAAATTATCATTATTTAATTTTTTGATACAATGCTCCCATTGACATGGATACTGCAAAATCGAAGTTGCATCATCTGGTTTCGATGGTTCCGTGAGTGTGGCCTTTTTTGACATCATATCGTGAAAATTGTTGAATTTAATAATGAAGTCAAAATCAGACATGAGTTTCTCGTCATTGTATACTGAGTTGGATTCATTAGGATCATTTGGAATTGTCGTGTGAAAACAAGACTGATGAATGTGATGATGCTTGCTTGACTCATTAGCATCTTCAGGGTGACACTCATGAGGAAAATGAATCTCAAAATCGCTCAGTGGACTCCTTTTTGCCTTTTTAGTTGGAGGTTTTGCTTGTAATTGATTGATGAGATCCTCTTGTGCAGTCAAATTCTGATGAACATTGCTAATCAAATCTTCAAAAAGTGGACGTTTAGAGATCTGTAGATCACAAAGATTATTCTTTTCTGATTCTGGAAGTGTACCTTGTGAATGATGACAACTTGACCGGTGACAATCTCTGCCTTCATTTGGCGTCAGATGACAAAACTTGTATTCGCTGCACTTTGGATCCTCGCAACATACTACGCGACTACCTTTTGGTGATTCTCCTTTGTGAAGTTGCTCACAACATGGCGTTTCGTAGCTTTTTTGACTCTTGAGAATAGGCACGCAGCTAGCATCTCCACAACGATTTTGAGTTTTCATGGGAGGTATGCAGTTATTGTCAGTGCAGCAGGTTGTGTCATCTACACTTAGCTCCTCACAACAACCCCCATTATTGATGAACTTGCTGTCATCACAGTTGAAATAAAAGCAGTCGTCTAAGTCATCACAAAATACATCTTTACAAGTAGCCACATCATTAAATTCGGGACAAAAGCTGTCCAGAAGAGATGGGACCATGCTGTTCAGTACTGTTGATGATGCAAAGTTGGGTGTTACAGAATTTTGTGCTTCCCTGAAGTGATGGTCGTGGTCATGATTGTGTATATGGCCATGTATATGAGTATGATTCTTGTGTTTGTGTATATGACCATGAACATAACCGTGTGTGAGTATTGGTGATTCTGATCTTTGCCCGCTTTCCAACATTTCCATTATCCTATTATCCAGTGTCGAGGGCGAAATAGTTGTATGAGGAACCAGCAGCATGCTCAATTCTGGTAGGCTTGTTGGCAATGTGTTAGTTATTGAGCCCACAGCTTTTACCAGCAGTGGTTCACTGGATGCATTTTTCCAACTATTCAATTGCGGCGAGGGTGTCGTCATATCATAAACCAACTTAATTAGGTGTTCGTCGTGGGAACAGTTTGTCAAAAGACTGTGTGATAAAATTTCCAAACGATCTTCCTGAAAAAAAAAGGGGTACCTTGGTTTCTCTTGTAATAATGTGTTCTAGCCTATTGATTAATGATTTTGTTATAATAATGTATTTGAGTATTAATTCAGTCAGATAAAAACAAAAGTTTGCAATCACCTTGGTGGTTACGACACTCTCATCTTCAAAGAGAGGGGAGAAGCATCTCTTTTCCATTGATGAGTGATGTGCACGTGACATTTGTTGCGAACAAGGTCTTTGTCATTTTTTATATCCACGACACATACAAAACCATTACAAAAATATATCGATATCGTAGTACTTGTTGTACTAATGTGATAGCCATATTACAAGTTTGCAAGTCTTTTGACAAATACGAAATGTTCTAATTTACAATGATTAAGCAACAAATCTCTCCATGTTTCTTTGCAATGGACTTCCTCAAGTCTAAAAATTGGCACATAAATAATGCAAACTAGTATTTTGATAAAGTAATCAGATTTATTCAAGCACGATCGATGTTATGGAGAGATCTTTTCAGTAAATAGACAAATGATAGACTTGGCGTTGATGCTTTTGAACGCTGATCTATATACGGTTCAACTTTCTTATGAATAAGTACTTGCTAATTCTACGCTTTTCTTTAATATCAAATCAACATTCGTAAAACAAGTACTCTATACGAGGCAACGGGAAATAGAGAGGGCAATGCTCCTCCATTCCCCCCGCTTTATCTATTTGTTTGACATTGTCATCTGTGGTGAAAGATATCAAAATCGAGACAAATTGTAAACAAACACACAAAATCAAAAATAATTCCTCATTACACGCCCATACAAACATTCCCCCCTCGACGTACCATTGAGAACCCTCAAAAAGTTTGAAACTATCGCTTGTGATTGGAAAAATGATCGGATTACTTTATCAGTGTAAATCAGCATCACGAGATGTAGTAGGTAGCAACGAGTCCGAGTTGCCTCAAGCTAGCATTAATAAGGCGGATATGATGCAAATAGTTTCACAAAGTACAGACAAGTGAGATGATGATCATTGAGCAAACGTATGGCACCGCCGGATCCCGAAAAGGATTTGCAAAATTATATGTGTTAGAGACAAAGCCTCTTCAGGCTGGTATAGTTTAACCCGCGTTGCTGCGTTGCTGCGTTGTTTACACTTTGCTGCACTTTTTTTTTTTCTTAATTCATCGTGGCGCTAATAGGTGAAGAAATGTTCTTAGTTCCTCATTTTCGAGGGTTTCACTAGGTTATTCTATCATTGTCTTTGTTTTGAATCTTTCTATTGTTTCAATTTAGTTTTACGACTTTGTGGTGATTTGTGTAATTGATTCCGCGTTCTTAGTTTACTATCTCGTAACGCAGAAGAATGCTTATAAGCTTCGTATTCCAGGGAGCGTGCGAAACTATAATCTGTGCCTACCAGCTCACCTTGATTAGCTTATAGGAAATATTCGTAAAACGAAGAGCAACATCTTACCCTCAAGGGCTTATGTGCGTCTCACACACACACACTCCTGTCCGTATCAGCCACAAGAGTTATGAGTTATGAGTTGATCATCATCACAACAATAGAAGAGCTCAACAAATTACATGTTACAATAAATGGACTTGATTTTGTGCTTTGTAAGAAATGGGTTTAGTAATGTACTAAAATGGGTATTTTAAATGTATGATTGCTTAAAGTCAAATAATAAAGTTTAATGCCATTGCCCAATTGGGAAAGAATAAATGCAAAAAAGGACAGAGGAAAATGAATACACAAAAATACACACAATAAAGAGATCAAAAGAGTTTTTACAAAGAGTGTATCAAAAGTACGAAGGCATAAAGCCCTTGTTCGTTCCTTGGTTGCTTTTCAACTTTGCCGCAATTTGTACATTTATATACTCAAACATTTCTGGAAAGGGAAACAGTACTCGTTTTTTTTGTCGGATCATATCGACACTATCAATTCCACAGTTTAATCACCGATACACATCTAAGTGAAACCATCTTTTTCCCTCATCACTGCACCTCCAGAGAAGCCCGCCCACAACTGAAAAATGTTATTCAGGAGGAAAAGCAAAGACACATTGGTAACTAGAGAGCCAATTACATCCCTAAAGAAATCGCGAAGCGCTAGAGACCTACTACAGAAGTTGACATCCACACCTTCGCAATCCAAGAAATCTCTTGAACAGACCGAGCATCAACTTACTCGACCACCGAAGCTAGATTTAGCCCTCGAATTGAACAAACAATATGCACCTTGGCCAGAGCCATTTACTGTCTTAACTCCCAAAGATGACGAGTTTCAAAACAAAGACCTCATGACACCAATTCGACAAATGATTGCAACCCCTGAAACATCACAACCACCACAGCAACAAAGTTTACGAACGCATTCCGAACAAAGAGCTAAAGTATTGTCCACTATAATTGATTTTGAAAACGAATCGATTGTTGAAATGTATACTCCGAGAAAACCAGTTTATATTCAAAACTCCATTCGTCTTGATTCCGCTTGTGGTATTTTAGAGAGTCTTAGCTTGGGGGATCACCAAGATGGCTGTGACATAGAACCACAAGCTGACGAGGAAAAAGAGGACGCGTGTTTCAATAACTATTCTACTGACACTGACGCTGATGATTTGACTTTTGATGGTGTATTTAGTACCTCCACTTCTTGTCAGAATTCACCATCCAAGGATCCATTCGATACTGTTTCTTTAACTGAAACAAACATTCAGATTTACAAGAGAACACACAGAAAATCTAAACATAGCAGTCTACATTTTGTTCAAGACAACTTTGATTCGCCAACTAAGCCACAGAGAAAGCTGCAGACACCACAACTGCAACCACAACCACTTCCACAAACATTGGATGCGGCATCACCCCCACAACCCCTACAAGCTGGACTTGTAGAGAACCAAAGGGACTCCAAGAATGCCGATTTATACCAATTGGAAATCATGCTACTACAAGAAAAGCACAAGTATGAGATGAAGCAACAACAAAGGGCAATGAAGCACTTGCAACTGCAATTGAAGCAACAACGTACTGAAAATACAATGTTGCGTAACAAATTATCTCAATTAGAATACAATGAGGGAGAACTATTACCTGCCTTCAAATGGAATAAATCCGTCATAAAGAATGTGACCAGGAAAAGCCCAAAAGTAACATTCAAAGATGACCAAGGTAATGATGATGCCGGTTCTATGCTCTCAACTGAAGAGTCAATTATGAGTTTGTATTATGACGAAAGAAAAGTCTCGGGTGCATCAACTGTCGGCTCATCAACTAATAGTGTCAACAAAGACTACGACTAGAAGTTTTGCTGCTCAATTCGTCCTTTGTACACTTACATCTTTATTTCGTTTAGTAATTTTGATACACATCGAACTACGTATACTTTTGTAATCAAAATGTCTTTTTAACTTTAAATTTCCTTGATGTCATTTTCATCAGCAACTAATCCCATAACAACAAGGAACATATTCAAATTGTTCAACAAGTTTTGCTTTTTGTATAAATTGGCCAAATCTTGATTGTCAATAGCCTTGGCCCTATTCATGACCCCGAAAATTTCATCTCTAACCTCATCAACTATAATTCTTTGATGACTCAATTTACCACCCAAGGACAATGTGGCCAAAAACTGCCAAATGTAGTTTTCTTTAGATGATCCATCATCAACATCAACTGGATGAGGTGGGAAAATGGCAGCAATTCTTGACTCTAACGCAGTGAATAACTCATCATAACATGATGTCCATTCTGACAAATCAGTAGCTGATATTTGGCCCTCGCCAATGATCAACTCTGCCCGCGACAACAAGGTGGTGAGAATTGTGAGACCAATCTTGGTGGTGGACACAAATGATACATTGTTGTGCTCAATTAAAATCACCAACAATCCAATGATTTCATTAAACTTGAATTCCAGCACGGCATTGATTAAAATTTTGGAAAATGTCATTGAGCAAGCATCAACAAGTTTCAAAATTCTTTCGGGCACTTTCTTATCTGGATATGTTGTATAAGATCCATTCTTGATAACCGATAAGTTTTCCAAATTAGACATGATCAAAGTGGTGATGGTCAATATTTGCTCACGATTCAAAAATTTAAAAAGACGAACCAAGACTTTCAACATCTTGTTGTAATTCAAACATTGAATAAATGGATTCACTTCAGCTTCATCATCACCTGAGCTGGATGCTTGTTCTAAAACTTTCATGGATTCCCACAATTTCGTTGTATCAACACTTGATGAAACTCTAGACTCGCTTTCCACATTCATCAATTCTGAAATGATGTTTTCCAAGATTGCAAAAATGTCCTTACGTGAGTATCTCTTTATATCTTCTTTCTTAGAATCATCAATTGCACCCTCATTTTTTTCTCTCTCAGCTGCTTTACTAATGATTTCCAATTGTTGTCTTGGCTTCTTTCCACTAGCAAATGAAATCTTACCCAAAGCACCTTCTTTTGCATACTGATTAAACTTTGGTCTTCCCTTTGCAACGTGAACAGCTTTCTGCACCTGCTGCTGCATTCTTTGTAATGCAACATCTGCCCTCTTGTAACGTCCGCCCAATCTGTGTCCACTGTGATCCAAATAGGCTTGAGCAATTGAGTTATTTTGTTGTCCAACAGCTGGCTGAGGAGCACCATTGACAATTTTAGGATGGATAACCTTGTAGACTTGGGCGTAAAAATCCTCATTGTACGGGTCTTCAGTGACTATATGAGATAATTGGAATCTCGTAACAAAATCCTTATCCCTTGGGTTCATGATACCAGAATATTTCATAATTCTCGACACCTTTTCTAGTCTCTTTGCCGCTTTAGCTTGCTGCTCTGGAGTAAAATCCTGCAATTGCTGATGGGTTGCCTGTTGGTTGTATTGTCTTTGATGTTTCATTTCAGATTGCTGCTGTTGCTGATACTGTTGTTGCTGTTGCTGATGCAAAGAAGTTTGCTGTTGATGAGCATGGTGGTGGTGCTGTTGCAACGCTTCCTTACCTAGTACAGGAAACTGAGATAAGTCTACCTTCTGAGGCTTTTGATGAGCTTGTTGTGAAGCAACATCCCTTGTAGCTGCTTGCGCTTGTGGTTGTTCCTGTACATTCACACTAACTGCAGGCTGGGGTTGATTTTGCAAACCTTGAGGAAGCTGTTGCTGTTGTTGTTGTTGTTGTTGTTGTTGTTGTTGCTGCTGCTGTTGTTGTTGTTGCTGGTACTGTTGCTGTATATGTGGTGGAAGTCCTTGTAATGGTGGCAACTGTTGAGGCGGTGCCCCTCCAGGAAAACCATATTGAGGTGGCATATACCCACCGAACATATAACCGTTAAATTGATCTGGTGGAGGCATCATACCTGGAATGCCATAACCATGAGGCGGAAACAGTCCCGGTTGCTGCATGAAGCCCTGATGTGGCGGTCTTGGTTGTTGAGGCTGGGATTGATCAATGGCAGTCAATTGAGCTTCAATTTCTTCCAATGACAATATCTTCTTCTCTGGTTGAGAAGCGGAAGATCCCTGGTTTTGAAAGTCATTCTCTGCCTTGGTTGGAGCATTTGATGTACCCCATAGTTCTTGCATGAACTCATCATCATTAACGGGTGCAGCTTGAGCGGCTTGAGCATAGCTTCTCTTTTGTGTCGGAGCTGGCGCTGATTTATTACCTGAGCTCTCATTGCCAAAATCAAAATCTTTTCTTATTTCTGCAACATTTGTTCCAAAAGTTTCAGTGTTCAATGCATCATCTTCTTCTATTTCTCCCAACCCATCGTACGTGTTTTCAAAATCATACACTTCTTCGCCTCTCCCACTCTGCGGAGGCTTTGTCGGATCAAATCCAAAAAATGACATAGTTGATACACAGTGCCCTTAGTACGATCAAATGTTTGATTGATGATGTACGCAAATTGGTATTTCACTCGAAGCTTTTCAATGTAAGACTTTTCTTTCTTTACGTCTTTTATTCACTTCGACGAAAGAGAAAAAAAAAAGTCAAAAAAATTGCAAACGAATTATGTGCAGGATTTGCAAATCAAAGATCTATATACAAAGGTCTACTCATTTAAAAGCCAGCAACGCACTGGTCAACTTCAAATTCATTTCCTCCCATTCTGCATCTGCTTCACTTAATACTGTAATAGCACCTCCAGCACCTATTCGCCAAAGATTTGTAATGTTTGTATTTTCGTAATCGCGCTTGTAATGAAAGACAGATCTGATTATGACACTCCAATCAGAATCATCAGTTATTGACCAGTATCCCACAACACCACTGTAAATACCTCTTCTACCACCACTGAAGGATGCTGTTTGCATACTTTCAATATCTTGCAACAACTGAACAGATCTCTTTTTTGGTGCACCAGTCATCGACCCAGGAGGTAGGGATCGATGTAGGATGTCAATACCATGAAACCCTCTACCTTTGTCAAGGTTACCTTGTATGACACTGACCAATTGGTATACAGTTTTGTATTCCTCTACTGCCATCAATTGTGACACATTGACCTCGTCAGTGAACCGGTATAAATCATGTCTTATCAAATCCACAATCATCAAATTCTCTCCCATTTCTTTGGGTGTTTTGAGAATTTCAGTGGCTTTGGTAATATCAACGTCAGAGGTATTTCTCACGGTTCCCTTAATTGGTCTTAGCTCCACAACCTTGTCATCGCCACTATCTTTCCACGAAAGAAACCTCTCTGGAGAGGATGAAAGCAAGCAACAATCGTCAAAGTCCATAAAGCAAGAAAATGGAGACGGGTTTTTGCGAAGCGTGAGCACCTTGTATATATCCCATGCATTGACATACGAGGGGAGATGTATTTTCAGTTGGGTTGTCAAACACAATTCGTAGGAGTGTCCCGAATGCAAAAACTCCTGACACTTCGCAAATTGTTTTTCGTAAATTTCTTGCGATGGTAATTCCATTTGGATAAGTCCTATGTCCTCATCTAAAGCTAAATGCTTGACACTTGTAGGAATACTATTGATGTTTATGGGTGTAACGTTTTTCAACTCGGCGGCCATCGTAGCCGCCCAATTTGACACATCATTTACCGATATAATAAACCACTCCTTAGTTATGTGGTCAAAAATCACAGACCTTTGAATATATACAAGTTTAACATCTGGAGTTCCATCACAAATTGGTTTGAACTTATCGAATACCAAATGTTGTCCTTCCTCATAAGAAATTAGACCCATATATCCAGCAAAGAATGGAACTTCTCTCAGATGGTAGTTTCGTATTTTCAGTTTGATTTCATTCCTAGGAACGTAGTGTTTGTGCATTGCATTCGCAACGTATTTCCATGCACCATCTTGTCCGTCAACCTTGACAATTTCCCTCCTGTCAGATTTATATTTTGATAACTTGATTTCATTCATGTTATCAATTGAGTGCGTAATGATATCACTTTCTCCAGGAATTGGGAATCCAATTATTGACCATTCACCAGGGACAGATGCAGAATTCATCAAGACAAAATTGGGCTCACCATCCTTTTGATAAAAATAGTCACAAACATCAACAGCAGTTATTTTCTTTGCCAAATCAATCTTCTCAAAACTAATACTATCGAATTGATTGATGGGGGTGCATTTATTAACTAGACTAACCTCATGTATTTCATGATCGTTGAGCCCCTTAAAGCCACTCATTCGTGAATTGTTCAACTCTTTTCTGTACTGTGTATTAACCTCATCCGCAATTTTGGAAAAATTGACAATCAACTGCTTCCCACCTTCAGAGCAAATGGATTCTGGGTGGTATTGCACACCATAGAAAGGGTGTATTCTATGCTTCATCGCCATCAATATTCTGACATCATTCATTCCTGCCTCGCCGTGCTCTAAGCAGTAACCCAAAGGCTTAATTTCTTCATTTAGTGTCGTCATATCCACAAATAACGAGTGATATCTCACACTAGGAAACTTGCTTACTCCAGAAAATAACTCGGATTCCCCAATCGGGTACATATCATAAATTTGTCCGTGTTTGACGTGGTCCAATCTGTCCACTTTATTTCCAAATTCATGACAAATACTTTGGAACCCCAAACATATACCCAAAATGGGGATACTAATTTCATCCTCGACAATTCTGTGTAGTAACCAACTGATTATTCCAACATCTTCTGCATTGGCCGGGTGACCAGGACCAGGTCCAATTACTATATACAGAAAATATTGCTTGATTTGAGTGTAAAAGGACTCGTATTCCTGTGGTTGAAATGCATCATTGTGAATAATAACAACCTCTTGTTTTGTCGTGTATTTGATCAAATGTGCTAAGTTATTTGTAAATGAGTCATATGAGTCTATGAGTAGAATCATTGAAAAAGGGAAAGTGAATCGTAAGAATGCAAAACAAACCTATTTTTCAATGCGTCAACTTTTCAATGGATAGAAGGTTTATAGAGATGGGTTTTTTAGAAAATTTTAGTACGAAATTGGGAAAAGTGATCCGCGACATATTTTTGAAAGTGCCTAGAACTAGCGCTTTTGTGGCAAATTAGGGTTTAAACCATAGTGCATATACGCCAAGACCAATTGTTGGCTATTGTTGATTCCGCTGTTGTAAAAAAAGAGTATAAATGTGATATTTACAATCTACTATTCATCATCATCATCGTCATCATCATCATCGTCATCCCCATCATCATCGTCGTCACTGGATCCATCACTGGCAACAGCTTCACCCAATTCCTTCAAACGTGACTTGTACGCCTTGTTCTTATCATCCAAGTCGGACATCAATAGCATTAAATCATCTAAGTCAGATTTCGGCACATATGAGGCATACTTATTTTGAAGATTCTTCAACTTCTCTTCGATTTTTTTTACTTCATCCTCGGACTTGTTTCTCATTTGATCGGCTTTTTTTGCCTGTTCAGTGGATTCCTTGAACTTTTCCTTGTCCAATTTTACCAGTTGTTTCAAGTCGTGGTATTGCTTCTTCAACTCATCCAATTCCAACAAATGAGTCTCTTTTTCCTGTTTAAGAGTTTCTAATTCGGTTTTCACAATGGCACAATCACGAACTTGCTGTTCATTCTCCGCAAGCTTGACCTGGAGATCTTTAATTTTACTCTGAAAACTTTGTACATTCTTTTGACCTTCTTTGGCCTCCTTGAGCTCAGTTTGAAGTGCGTCTTTTCGTTTCTCAAGGTCAGAAATGACAATGCTTTGTTTTCTGCTCTCTTCAACTTCCAATGAGAGTTTCGAATTCTCCTTTTGCAACTTGTTAACCTCACCCTTGTGCTTCTTTACATCATCTAATTCTGCGTTGAGCTTCTCAACTTGCTTCTTGAGTCTTTCGGTCTCTGAAGCCTGTTTCTTAAATCCATTGAGCTCCTCTTGAAGGGACTCATTTTTCTTTTGTACCTCAAGTAATTCCTTGTGTTCCCTTCTGATTCTTTCGAGTTCTATTTTGAGGTCCTTGTTCTCACTTTGTAGCGCCAGACTACTTTCTGTATGCTTTCGACTTTGATTGAGGTCCTCCTTGAGACGTTCATTCTCCTTCTTCAAATCATTCTCGTGAGAAAGTCTCTTCAGCTTTTCATCAAGTTCTTTTTCAAGTTTTTTTAGCACATCTTTTAGATGAGAGTCTTGCTCTGCTTTCGATTGGTTCAACTCAAGATCCCGAGTGAGCACTTCTATCTTGTCTTTAAGATCATTATTCTTTACTTCCAATGCTTTTCCCTTCTCAACTTGACCTTTGAGACTCTCAATTTCTTTGCTTAATTCATCGCACTCAGATTTATTTTCCTTCAAATCCCTTAGCTCCTTTCGAAGCTTTTCAAGATCCTTCTCAAGCTCTAAATTTTTCTCCTGGGCAGCATTTCCAGTTTCAAGTTCTGACGACTTTTTAGACAAATCCGCTTCAAGGTCCTTCAACTTGGCCTTCAAAGTTTCAATCTCAGAAGAAAGCTTTTTAACATGGGCACCTGCATTTTCACCAGCAATGAGTTTCAATTTTCCAGCCTCTATCTCTTCGGTGCAAGCCTTTAGTTTTTCCAACAATTCAGCATGAACTCGTTCATGTTCAAGTTTGGCGTCCTCACTCTCTTTGGATAGCTTGCGGTTTGCTTCCTTAATCTTGTCAAGTTCGGTCAACGTCTTCTCTTTGGCATCTAAATCCATTTTAAGACTCGAAAGTTCATCCTCTAAATCTTTGTTCCTTTTTTCCAATTCGGGAACTCTAGCTGCCTTCTCCTTAAGACTATTTAACTCATCTTGCAATTTGTTCACCTGAGACGAATACTCCTCCAAGAGATTCTCTAGTTTGCGAACTTTTTCATCACTGTCAGATTCTAGTTGAATCAACTTCTCGCGAGCTGTCTGAAGTTTGTTCGTCAACTTTTCAACTTCAGTTTTCAAAGTAACTTGCTCTGTGTTGAGTTCATCAATTCTTGATAGCAAGCCTTTAATCTCCAATTGCTTTTCGTCAAGGGAGTTAGCTAGTTGACCTTTTTCACGAGAAAGCTCTTCCACATTAGAGTTCAAGCTAATAATCTCCTGTTTAGCTTTTAGCACCTCTGATTCCTTCAAATTGAGGTTTTTGTTTAAAGATTCTATGGTGTTAGTTGTCTTTCTGAGTTCATTCTGTTCATTAACAAGTCGCTGTTTTATATTGTTAATATCCTCGCTGAGCTTGTTGATTTGGTTCTCATTGGCACGTTTTGCCTTATCAGACTCGTTTTGCATATTCTTTAAATCTTTTTCAAGTTTCTTAATCTTCGCCTCAGCTTCGCTATTCTGTTTCTTTAGTTGAAAGAGATCTTTTGTCATCGTGTTGACACCAGCTTCAAGTTTTACCTTAGTCAGCTCCGCTTGATTCAATTGAGATTCTAATTGCTTCTTTTCCGTTTCGAGTGTCTCTAATTTCTTTATATGCGTATCCAATTCTTTCTCAAACTTCGCAGATGAGGTTTCATGTTTGATTTTGAGTTCTGTAACTTCCTTAAGGTCTCTCAGGGAAACTGCAATACTTTCCTCTGCTGCCTTGTGCTCCTCTTTTAATTTATCAAGTTCTGTTTCACTAGTTGTCAATCGATGTTGCAAAACATCTTTCAATGTCTCCAATTCTTTTATTTTCGATCTCATTGTTGACTCATTCTCTAAATTTTTCTGCTTCTCTTCATGCATTTCCTTCTTAAGTTCGGATATTCTTAAATCAAGTTCCTCGATATCTTCGTAAGAGATTCTCCGTCTTGGCTCACCCTCAGGATCATGAAACAAAGCTCTCTTTATTCGAAATGAATTTTCCTTCACCAAGTTGACATAGATTGAGTCGAAATAAACATCAGGTAAGCCACTCTCATCTTGTATTGAAGTGAAATTCAGCGTCTCATCGAAGAATTTAAACACTGGGTCGGCAAGCAATTGTTTCACTTTTAATGAGTAATTATCCTTCCCTAAACTCTTAACTAGTAACGCATGTAGATCCTTTCTTGAGACAGGTGACTCTTTGGAGGAAAATTCATATAGCACACCAAGCAAGATAGCGGTCATACCATGGACGAGCAGACTCTCACCAGACGAGTTATGAGATAATGAGTTCAATAACGATTTCACAATCGATTCATCTTTCAAAAAATCATTCACTGCGTTGAAATCTTCGTAAAGCCAAATAGTGAGAAGCATCAAATACCCTATAGCAATTCTTTGATCCATATGGTTTAGCGTTGTAATAAGCAAGCCTGAAATTGCTTGCACAGAAGTCATAACCTCTTCTCCTGCGTCGGCGTCTCCTGTTTTCAATGCCCTGGCAATATCCTTGTTTTCTGGCTCGTCTTCAAATGCATACATCAAGATGACTGCTGCAAACCATACCTTGTACGGGTTCAATTTCAACTCGGAGTCGTAATCCATCAACACTTTGAAAACGTCTCCAAACGGTGTGGCAACAGTACTGCCATTCAATTGTGGTAAATCTTCCTTCAAATTGCGATAGAAATCTTCATTAGAATATGCTGATATTTGATCATTCAAGAATGCCATTTTTGACTCTTGGTTGTGCTTGAAATATGCCTGTAAACAATATGCAGCACCGAGGCGGATATCAAACAAATGCACTGAATTGAGAGATAAGCACCAATTGAGCCAGCCTAATGGTACCAGAATAGGTTTATCATATGCTTGAAGGTGTGACGGCAAAGAAGGATCAACATAAGGAACATCGATTTTCGAAATTTCAAATTGTATTGTCAGGTTCCCACTGATGGCATCAGCAGTGGCTAACAATGCAACTGAACGAATTTGCGTTTCAGTTAGGGGGGAGAACACTAACTTCAAGAGAATGTAGTGAATACCATTTTGGTACAAGTTATCCTGATTCTGAACAACCAATTCATTATCATCTGAAACCAATAATCGGCATATTTCCAATGCAATCACCATGTTCTGTAATCTTTGTTCGGTCCACACGATAGAAGACGGAGTAATAGGGACACCTTTCTCATCAACGTTGTTCAGTTCTTCTGTTTCATCAACAGGTTCTCCCAATAGCCTCGCTAGTCTCGGAACACACTGAGTTTCCAAAAAGAATTTTTGATTCGATGCATTAAATTGCAAAAGATTCGTAATCAAAGTTAAACAATCTTGAACAAGGATCGAGCCGCGGATCCCTCCTTCCTCATCGATAATATTGAACAAAGTTTCGAAAGTATTTTCAAATGCAACTAATTTTTGAATATTGAAATTGTTGTTAACTACTGCCATCAACAACAAGATGGCTTCATTGCGCACTGGTTCGTGTATATCTGCTAGCAAATTGCAAATGACTGATATTGCAGTCGGTATATTCAACAACGCCTCCTTTATTCTCGACCCTCGACTGGCCACTAATGATTCCAAAAGCTGTATGGTGTATAGTCTCAAATGGTAGTCAGTCTCAGCCAACTCACCAACCAATAGTTTCAATGCTTCTTCGTCCTGTAAAAGGGCATCAGCAATCCACAATGACATCTGATCCAAAGTCACGTCTTCCATTAACAATGGTGATGGATACTTTCCGTTTTGCAACCTCAGTTGTTGTGATATCCATCCTCGAGTTAAATCTTCGTTGGTGCCGCCTCGAATAAACAAAATGAGGAACGTTTCTAAAATAGACTTCACTATATTAGCATTGTCATAATCCTTCTTTAGCGTCGATATCAATGGCTTCAACCCGTACTCAACAACAGTTTCTCGGTATTGTCTACTGAAGCTTTTCAACCCTAAAACAGCGGATCTTCGATCTGAGATCATTGTTGCATGTTGTAACCGGTTGCATAGTGTAGGGATTGCTTCCTCCACGAGTTGAGTCTGTGATTGACTCCCTAGAATGTTGTTTATGTATTCCATGCAGTTTTTGTTGATGTATATCAGAGGGGAGAGCTTTATAGTTGGTGATGAAAAAAAAAAAAGTAAAATTACATTACGAAACGAGACACGTTATTCTTCCAAAAGATCTACAACTTTATCATAACACTGAGGATTCCCCACCGCGACCCTCATTCTATATGGAAATGTATATATGCCGTTTGACAATTCAAAGTACGATATAGATGAAGAGACGCGTAATTTGCCATCAACAGTCAGCTACTTCCCAAGAATAGGTGATTTGGAAGACCAAGTAACGGAAGAGTCAGGCGAAGATTATAGAGACTCGGCGTTGAAGAAAATTAGCTCGTTGCAAATCAAACTTGAGCAGTTACAATATTCTAGAGACTCAAAGAATATTGGTGGGTTGAATTGGAATTTTAACAATTTTGCTGGTCATACGCTATACGCGTTGGCGAATGAAGTATTCGGTTTCAACGGATGGTCAACTTTGATTGAGGAATGCGCTATACTGGAAATGAATGTGGCCAAGCACCAAGGTACAGGCGACTCTAAGAATGGTGGAACAGTAGGAAACACATCTAACACTTCTGTTTCAACTTCTGAGACTTCGCGAGTGGAGTCAGATGCCTCCAGTGAGGATAATGGTACACGATACACGGCGAAGTGTATTTGCGTGATTCGCTTGACCTTACAAGATGGAACTTGGACTAGAGGCATAGGTGAGGGTACTGCTACCAATGTTCCTCATAAGTATGTGTGCTATTCCAAGTGCAAGAAAGAGGCTATAACTGATGGAATGAAGAATGCAATTATTAGTCTACGTGATTTGTACTTTCGCTATGAGCTGAAGAAAATTAGCGAAGAATTCGGCATCAATTGATGTGCACATCCAACTGATATCTAGTAATCTAATATGCTGAATTTGGGGAACTTGTTAACTTTAGGTTTCGGAATTTCTTCCATCAAGTAGACTTCCCCATTATCATCAATTCTCTCACGATCCTTTTCACTCATGCTGTGAATCTCATCAATATTTTCTGAAATGAAATCAATCAACTCACACCAATTCTTTTGGATCTGATACGCTTTCTCCTTCATTTGACGTCTTATTAATCCATCAATCAACTTGAGTGCGTCAGGTTGCGTTTGATCCAATCTTTCCAACAAACGACCGACTGATCGTATCAAATATTCTTCTTCGTAAATGGTTCCTTTCCTTCCTTTGGCCTTTTTACGTTCTTCACGCTTCTTATTTTTGGAGGTTCTACGTGACGCTCCAGTCTTTGCAGTTCCGGCCGTTTTACCTGTATAACGAGTGAAGAATGAAGGTGCTGTGGATGTTTCAGAAGCAGCAACGGAAACGTTATCTGGTGTGTCTAAGTCGTCAGGAGTGCCGTAAAAGGAGTAGGGGTCTTCTTCCTTTTTGGTACGCAACTCCCTTAATCGTCTCAATTGTGAGTTCATTTGCCCTTTACAATCTGCTAACAATTCTGCAATGGTACCGAAACCTTCATTGATCTGAACGTCAACAACAGATTCAATGAGATCGGGTTGTGACTCCTTTTCGGCAACGAGGATTGCCTGATCAAACCAATATTGTTTGCAATATAACTTGATTGCTTCCGCGACATTTCCCAAGAAATGGTATTCAATTTCGGCAGCGTCGCTGTACTTGTGGTCAGCTGTCAACGTATTTACGAGGTTGTTGGCAGTTGTTTCGAATTTGCCTTTGAACTCGGGCTTTTCGACGATTGACAAGGCTGATTTCCACTTTTTGGCCAAAATGTAATTCTCCAACGCTTGTTCCAATTTTCCCAAATATTCGAATGCCAAACCAGCCTCGCTAAAGTTAATGGCTTTTTGCAAATATTCAGCGAATAAATTCATAATATTATTGCTTCTTTCTTTGTTGTACTCGTAAATTTTCAACCCAAGTTTATACAAGTCGTGCTTCACAACATAATCATCAAATTCTGCAAAAGCACTTTCTCCCAGTTCGTGTAGCCAATGTAGTGCTAAATCATAATGCTTTAAATGATCATCAATCAAAAATTTTCTACGCAACTCCGGTTGCACATGTAAGTTTTGCAAAAATGGCAAATATTCCTTTGGATCCATTTGGGATTGTTGTGCAATCAATAACGTCAATTTGACGTCATACAAACCCAAACACGTATCATAAAGCTTATTGACATCCTGCAAAAAGCACAAATGTGTGATTGCTGTTTCCTTTTGTTGTTCATCTCCCAAACTACCAATCAACTTCAATGCCTCAGTCAAGTTGGGTGGCTTTTCACACGCGTAAGCTGTCAACACGGTTTGCATATAATTAACAAAGTACTCTGGCTTGAGCAAGACTGACAAAACAGCCTCGCAGATTCTATTGACCTTTGATTCATGGAAATTTTTAAATACTTCCTCCTTTTTGCTGGCAAATTTTTTGCGGAAAGCTGGTTGCAAAGTTTCTCCATTTTGCTTGATTTCTGACTCCTTAATACCAGCATCAATTAATGTTTCTCTATACTTGCTCTTGGTCACATCTTCTTCATGCAAACAAGACACGAAAAGATCCAAATACTCAACTTTTTGAATTTGATTAATGAAAAGTTCAACATTGTTGAAGAACAAAGGAGGGTCATAATCGTGCAATATATCCAAATCAATCCTATGCGTACGACACGCTAGAAATGCATTGTAAAAATCTTTTGCTGTGATGAATTTACGAATGGCTGAAAGCACCATAATTCTTGGGCATATAGTTTCAAGGTTCCCTCTTGGAGCTTCCAAAACAACTGAGTATTTGGTAGGCATTGCATTGACTAAAAATGATCCCCTTTCAATCTGCCTTACTCTTTCATCAACTATATTCTCGTTTGATAAGTTTTGAAATACCTCGTAATTTTCATGAGTAGAGTTCAAATGAACAAAACACAATTTGGAAAGAACTGTTGTGAATAGCAAATGTGATTCAGTTATCAATAATGAGGTAACACCACTGACGATTGGAGTTTCATTACGGAATAGTTTCCCATTTCGTGATAAGCCAAAACACTCGAACTCATCACTTTCTTCTTTATAATTTACTTCAAATTCACGACACAATTGTGGGAGCTTGCAAATTTCTTTGAGGTCTTGTGTGGAATCAAATTGTATGAGTCTGCTATCAACAGTTTCGATAATCACAGCGTTGAAGTCTGCTCTCGATTTCATCAACACTAATTTGGGCGTGACATCGACTGAATCATTGAGCTTGGGGTTCTTTATATCATCCACTTCCATCAATACCACACGCGAATATGTTGGTGCGTCAATTGCAACCGCGACAAAATCATCCCTAATGAAAGCAATTTGTTTTGCTACTTCATTGGATTCGTTGATGTAGACATCTGCAGCAATTTTACTCAACACTTTCGGGTGTTTTCCTTGTCTCATTTCAGCAATACTCAACTCACTGAGATAGATGTAATTGTTGCTGCACAAAGCTGCATATTTTTCATTCGATCTACTAACTGCAAGGTCATTAATGTTTTCCGGAACGTCCAACTCACGCAAACTCATTGGTGGTGGGACATTGGCAACCGACAAGGGAGTTACTTTAGCTGTTGAGCCATCCGTAACCAAAGTCATACCCAAATCATTGCCGAACCACGTGGGGCCCGTAACTATCTTGTAAGTGAGATCAACTATTTGTAAGCCACTTATCATTCCAATCATAAAGTTTGATGGTTTTTCAGGGTGGAATTTTGTGAATAAAATGTTAGCGGCAAAAAGCTCCTGCTTCATATACCAATGGTAGTTCTTGGTGGTCCAAAGCTGTACTCTATCCTTGTATTGAATTAATAATATTTCACTATCAGAACTCCAAGTAATATTCTGTACAACTTCTTCACGAGGATCAACTCGGAGATTGAATTGCCCATGTCTAAGCCCATTTCTTTCGTAAAAAACCAAGTCGAGCACCTCTTCTCCATCTTCATCATCAATGTGCCTCTGGGTTGACGCGATCAACGCACCCTGCGGTTTCCAACTAAGATTTTGTTCCAATCCGTCAACTGCTTCATTGACACTATCGAGTTCACCTTCCCTATTGAACACTCTTATAACCCTTCGATCATACATCTCGCTAGTGTCTTCAACCAAGACTGGCTCTCTGGTGTTTACTGCAAAATATTCGGAGTCGCCTCTCCAACTAATCCTCACAGTATCATCATCAAAGTCCGAAATTGTACCTCTTTCGACTTCATTCACTGTTGGATCACGCAACTGGGTTGCGTTTTCATCCAATCCAGCATGTTTTAAAGCTTCCTTTTCTCTTTCTAATGCTTTGAAGCCTTTACCTTTGAACTGTGTTTCTTTCTTTCCCCACCCAACTGAAACATGTTTGGAGTCGGAGATTTTAACGTCATTGGAATCCAATAATTTTTCTGAAATTGGCTCAAACACTCTTGAAAGCAAGAGCAATTTGTTTTCGTTGGTCACCATGGCCAACGTTTCCTCATCGTGGGACCATTGTGCAGCTTTCAATCCAACATCAATGGTACCAACTATTTCAATGATAGTGTGGTCATAGTCGTTTGTTTGTTGAGGATCGTAACTTGCGGTGATGATGTCACCATTGCTGAAGACAAACACCAATTGTGCTGAGTCGACAAAATGTACAGTATTTAACAATTGCGCATTAACTGGGAAGCTTGCTAGTACCGACACGCTCCCATTCTTGTGAAATTGTTGTACTTCAATGATTTGACTTTCCTCTGAGGATAGTACAAATGTTATTGCATCGGACACTGTGTCGTAAACGCTGTCTATAATATGCAAATCTGGGTACGTTTGCGATTCAGGACTAATGTGTCCTCTATTTAGCACAACCAAGTTCCTCATTTTGGGTAGCTATATCGATTCAATGTGAATGTATATTGATTCCTGTTGTGATTTTAAGTACCACTTTAAGTTGATCCAATTTCCTTCATCTCATCTGCCGAAAAGAAAAAGAAAAAAAAAAAAAAAGAATTACGCCGATTGCATGCAGGACCACTGACTGCAAGATTAAAAAGACCGATCGGAAAAACTATTCAGCCTATCGTCATCAGGGGAACGTAAGAGTTCTTAAGGTTTGTAACTTTGTAGTATTGTAAGATGCAAAATATTCTATTTACTGTGCTCTATTTTATATGCTTCAACCGTGTCCTTTATAATCAAGTTCGGATACAACTGATCCTTGCTCAATGGTTGTTTACTGATAGGATCGTACTTGCCTTTGTTGTTTATATGATTCAATATTTCCTCCTTTTCATAAGTGATCCCACTTGGCGTGACTACCGGGTCAGTCAAAATCTCAAAAGATATCGGATCTAATAAATAGTCTGGTGCGTCATCAATCGCATCACCATCGACTTCATTCATTGAAAGTAATGAGACGGAAGACCCCGAAGATACTGAACTAAGCTTTGAAGCAGAACTTGACTCTAGCTTTTGCAATTTGTAGTCGAGTAAATGATTATCATAGAGTGAGTGGATAAAATTGTTTTTGAAAATGTCCAATAAGTTTCCCAATTCAAATAGTTGTGTTTTAAGTAAGTCGAATAGTCTGGCGTCGTATTTGGGTGTTCCACCACATTCTTTCTTTAGATGTTCGATTTGTTCTTTATGATTCTTTTTCATCAAGTTGATAATTTTTCGTAGTAATGACTTATTCTCAAACTGAGCGAGCTGAGCAGTGGTTACATTTATGTCATTTTGAACGCAAGGAATTAGTCGTTTGTAGTCTCCTCTGATCTGGGTACCTCGGGGTGCTCTTTCTGGTTTGGGAGTTGATGTAAATGCTGTCTTGAAGTTGGAAAACATGGTTAATGAGTGAAGAAAAGTAACTAATTGGTATCAGGCGAATGAGTTGGGGAAGAGAAAATGTGATGCATTTAAAAATGAAAGAAGACGATCCAGCACAGGCTTTTATTTTGACTCCATTATTCACATATATGTGTTTTGTTTTGAGTGTGATACGTAAGATACTTCTTCTTCTTATTACTAATGTAAAAATAAATGGGTCTATTTTTCTCTGGTTTTTGCGTAAGAAATATATTTTTTGATTGCAAAATTAAAACAAGAAGGAAATAAGAGGAGATGCGGAATAACAGTGGATGACTGTGTCATATTATTATAACTATTTTAATTCACTTTACATTCATCATATCATCAATTACACTTCTAAAGATAATAAAGATGCGCTGATGACAGAATGAAAGTCACTACTTTTTTCAGTAAGGTGCTTATTTGGCAAGGTATTATGCATAATCGTTGGGTATCCTCCGTTGATTTACACGACACACGACCTCATGACATCATTGAAGTTGAAGTTCCTCTATTGTTTCCAAACTGTAAACAACATCCTTGGCGCTACCAAACTCGCTCTTTTACCAGTGCGCTTTGTGCAAGAAACGAAACGAAAGGGATCTTATATGTGCGATAACGTCATATGTTGTCACTACAATTGGTCCAGCATTGTTAATGAAGTGAATAGTGTTGAATGTTGAAAATGTATTATCCTGACTAACTCCGGCCATCGATTTTACGGTGATTATTTTTTTGGCGCAAAAGTTTCGTAAAAAACTCACTGGAAGCTACTACAAATAAATCGTGGATCTGCACCAATCAGGTCTAGATAAGAAAAGCAATATCAAATGAGAAATTTAAAGCAAAATTCATTTCAGCAATTTCTCTACACTTTTGCAATGCGTTGCAGAATAGTTTGTAAGTGATCGAAAACCTACATCCAAAAATCTTTTAAGGCGGATGCTGTATGTTTGATTCAAGCTAGGAAATCATTTTACTCTACGAACACGACTAGGGCTACGTCTTTTACGTGGGCCTGAGAATCAAAATGAAAACTTGAATTAAATTTATAAACACCCAGAGCCTGTGGGTAGTCACGTTATCGGAGCCACAGTCGTTTGGACTCGCATGATGTATATTTATGAGTCGCATGAAGTCCACCTTTAGACAACGCGCTTCCGCATACACAACAATACTGACTTGAGAGATTTTCAATCTACATCAAAAATCCATAACATTTTTAGAAGCGGAGGCCACCACAAGAGACTTTATACTACTACCACTTCAATATAATGCCCCACGTGGTGTCGACACCCTTCTATTTGGACTAGTCTTACGTACTGGTCCTAAAATCTCCGCGCAAATCTTCACACCTAGGAATCTCCGAAATAGCCGCAGAACTAACCGATTTTGTGCAACAAATTGCGCATATCAGTCCATTCATCTTTCTGGAACCCAATAGAATATCGATAGTTTTGTTTCTTGCTATAAATATCGCGACTAAAGTCTACAATTGTGTTGGTAGAACTGATTTCAAACTCAACCAATCATTTAACCAACAATGAGCAAACACGAAGAGTCCTTAATCGAAGAAGCTGAAGAAGTTGATCCTTCAATTGCCCAACTCCCTCCTCATAAGGTCAATAAAGCAGAATCGAAGAAGGATCCCGAAGAAGCCTTTGCTGGTGAGCAAGAAGAACAATCACCAGCTGTTGATGAAAAATTTCAAGAGGAAGAGAGAGAAGTTAGTGAGTGGAATATTGAACATGGCTTTAAAGACCCAAAGGAATCCTTGCTTCAAGAAGCAGAAGATGCAGATCCAAATATAGTCAAATTGCCAGCTCACAAAGTTGACGGAACTGAATTGAAACAGGAGACTAGTCCAAACCCAGAAGCCGATGAAATAGAACAGGAAACTTATAATGATGACAAGTTGAAAGCAGAGGAAGAGAAAGTAACTAAATGGAATGCTGAACATGGATTCAAAGACACCAAGGAATCACTTATCGAAGAAGCTGAGGAAGCCGATCCTAACATTGTAAAATTGCCACCTCACAAAGTGAACAAAAAGGAACTTGAAGAAGAGCTTGGAAAGGAGTAATTTATAGCATGTTATAGAATGATATATTTTGTTAACTAGTTTGATAGAGAAGCTACAGAACCTGAGATTGCATCTCTCATGTAGTCATTAGCCGGCGTCTTAGGTTACCTCCCTATAGTAGAGCATATTCCAGGTCGTGTGTAATGCCCAATTGTTTTAACGAGTCAATTAGAAATTGCATAAAAACATTAAGTTTTCAGCGCGAAATGAGAGCAAACGAATGTTGGTTTGGGGCCTCTTCACGAAATCACATTCAAGATTAGGCTTTAATCCATCATTCGCTGCAACATCTTCTTACGCATCTATCTTTAGGAAAAATGTCAGACAAGGAGGAAGCCGTGTTCCGTTCAGCGGACATGTCGCTTGTTCAGATCTATGTTCCAACTGAAGTCGCTAGAGAAACCATCTACAAGATTGGTCAATTGGATATCATCCAATTTAGAGATTTGAATTCGAAAGTGAATGAATTTCAACGATCGTTTGTCAATGAGTTGAGGAAGTTGGACAATACCGAGAGACAGTATCGATTATTCAAACAAGAGTTGGATTACAGAGATATCCCAATCAAGTTGTACCCTTATGAATTTGTTATACCGCAACAATCAGATATAGACGATTTAGTCGAAAGCGGTCAGTTGTTAGAGGATCGGGTTGTTCAATTAAGAGATTCTGTTGAGACATTGTACAAGAATCAAAATTACTTGAAGCAGTTCAAGTTTACTATATTGGCAGTGGACAAGTTTTTTCATTACCAGCTTGGTGGACATGGTAGTGCAATTGAACGTTCCTTACTTCCAGAATTTGACGAGCTGCGTTTATTGTTGTCGTCCGCTACAGCATCAGCATCACAATTCATCTCTGGTGTTATTAATCGTGACAAAGTTGGGATCTTGCAACAAATTTTGTGGAGGATCTTGAGAGGTAATTTGTATTACCACAGTGAAGAGTTGCAAGAAGAGATTTACGATGTCAAGCACAATGCCTATGTGGCCAAGAATACGTTTATCATTTTCTCCTATGGATCACTCGTCCACGATAGAATTGTGAAAGTTTGCGAGTCGTTGGATGCTGAAGTTTATGATGTTGACAAAAGTGAAGAAGCAAGATCCAAGCAATTGTCTGAAGTGAAATCAAAGCTTGAAGACCTAGGTACTGTTTTAAGCGAATCCGAAAATGCATTAACCTCTGAACTCATTGCCATTAGTCAAGATCTCGGTAAATGGTGGGAGATTATTGCTAGAGAAAAGCAAGTGTACAAGACCATGAATCGATGTGACTACGACGGGGCTAGGAAATTGCTTCTTGGTGAAGGATGGACACCGACGGATTCGATACCTGAACTTACCCAAGTGGTGAAGGAATTTGACCAAACACAATCTATTCCTACGATTGTCAATGTTTTGAGCACAAATAGAACACCACCGACGTATGTGCGTACAAACAAGTTCACCTATGCATTCCAAGCCATTTGTGACGCATATGGCACTCCTCGATACAAGGAAATTAACCCAGGATTACCTACGATTATTACATTCCCATTCATGTTTGCTATTATGTTTGGTGATTTGGGACATGGGTTCATTATGTTTTTAGCGGCGGCATTTTTAGTGTTGAATGAAAAGAAATTGAGTGGCGTTAAAAAGGATGAAATTTTTGATATGGCATACACTGGTCGTTACATTTTGTTACTTATGGGTATTTTCTCCATGTACACTGGATTCATCTACAATGACGTGTTTTCAAGATCAATGGATTTCTTCAAGAGTGGCTGGGAATGGCCTGAACATTTTAAAGTTGGCGATACGTTGATTGCCAAGGAAGTGGGGACCTACATCTTTGGTATGGATCCGGCATGGCATGGTACAGAGAATGCGTTGTTGTTTTCTAACTCGTACAAGATGAAGTTGTCGATATTGATGGGATATGCTCATATGACTTACTCATACTTTTTCTCAATTGCCAACTACATTTACTTTGATTCAATCGTTGACATTGTTGGTAACTTTATCCCCGGATTGTTGTTCATGCAGGGAATCTTTGGATATTTATCGTTGGTAATTGTATACAAATGGACAGTTAATTGGGCAGAATCAAAGTATCAACCACCGGGGATCTTGAACATGTTGATTTCGATGTTTTTATCACCAGGAAACGTCGAGGAACCTTTTTACCCAGGACAAGCCACAATTCAAATTTGGTTGGTTGTTATTGCATTGATTTGTGTACCTTGGTTACTTTTCGTGAAACCATTGTGGTTAAAGAGACAATTGGATAAAGAAGCGAAGCAACACGCGCAATACTCGGCCTTGCCCAATGATGATGAGGAAGTTGGCGGTTCAAATGGTTCTACATACAACAACAATGAAAACGACGATGAAGAAGGAGATGGTGAAGACCATGAAGAGCATTCATTTGGGGATATAATGATTCATCAAGTGATTCACACTATTGAATTCTGTCTTAACTGTGTGTCACATACTGCTTCCTACTTGAGATTGTGGGCGTTATCCTTGGCTCATGCACAATTATCTACAGTGTTGTGGTCCATGACCATTAGCAAAGCATTTGGTCCAACTGGAGTGTTTGGTGTGGTTGCCGTTGTATTCTTGTTTGCCATGTGGTTTACATTGACCGTGTGTATCTTGGTTGTCATGGAAGGTACTTCAGCCATGTTGCATTCGTTGAGATTGCATTGGGTTGAAAGTATGTCTAAATACTTTGAAGGTGGTGGTATGCCTTATGAACCTTTCAGTTTCAAAGGTTTGTTGGACAGTGTGTTTTAACGAAGCTTATACATAGTTTTCGAACACATCGAATAAACCTTTGGTTTCCGTATGGGGGTATTGTCATTGTAGTGGTGTGTAGAGATACTGAGGTAAGTCTGACAGTTTTGAGATCTGTCTCACGTGCAACCGATCTGCCCCCTTAACTGTTTTTTCCAAATATATTTGGTCTGCTCTTTACCCATTTGCGAAAGCGCAGACCCTTCGCCTGTTTTGCCAACATAAAAGAAAAACAAGTCAGGTTCCAAAAAAGGTAACTATCTTTCACAACATGGTAATGGAATTTATGACGAAATACATGACATGATTCTTTCCGTTTCAGTAAGCAAAGAATCAAGCTCCTGACTTTTGACTTGTATGACTTTTGACTTGGCGATAATATCTGCTATTGTCGGGTCGGAATTTCGCTTGGCATTTGGTTACAATTACACAAAAATGAATATACAAACTATTACATAGTTGCAGCAAACGTTTGATAAACTACAAAAGATTTGCGCCACCCTTGCACTACCCTTTATTTTTGGTTGTAAAGTAGTGAGTGGGTTGATTTGTTGGGTAAAAATTGGAATATGATTATGCTTTCTTCTCAGCGGAACGTAGCGAAATCTAATGAGAACAATAGAATGGAAGTATTTCTTGGCTGTAAAGGTCACAAACCAGCAAATAGGGAACATGAACTTCCTACATCCAGAAGGTACAGTCAAACCTCCTATAATTTAGCGACTTGTAATTTGTATTTCGGCTTCACGGCAGGGGTAGAAGGAAGTGAAACATTTATGGGTGTTGTGTTGAGAGTTTTAACGTATATCATTCTAGCTTCAGGAGTAGCGCGAAATTAACCACTGAGTGTATAATTTTGCACCCCATGAGGGGTGTATGATAATTCCGACTGATACAGGTAGGCTTAGTAAGCACATACGAAAACGATAAAGAGTTTACTTCATACATTGACCTTGATCAGAATTTATTGTCAAAAGATGGCGATTGGCAAAATCTGGCGTGGAATTTCTTGGAATTTGCTGGAAAGTCATTATAGTTAAGCAACGTGGGCTTTATGCATGGGTGCTTAAAAATGCAAATCTTTGAGATTCTTGCAGCAATCCAATTTTTTTAGTTTTTAATCCTTGTAAGGAATGTATGTTTGTCGACGTAAACAACCCCCATCTCATACTTCTTACCAATTAGGAAATCGTGTGGACGGATATGGAAATCGTACAGACGTTTTCGAGTAACTTCGGTATTTTCTTTTTCTTATCCAATAGGAGCACAATTTAGGGACGAATTGTTTTGGAAATCCAAATAGGGGAATAGCTCATACTATTGTGAACATGTTTTCACACACACACATACACAAACAGCTTCTTAGATGAGACTACTTAACAAAGAGAGGCTCCCCTAAATCAACTATTGCCGGATTATCAGCAGTGGCCAAAGTTGCTCAGTAATCACACAAAAGCGACCTGTATCTAGTCTCCCTTTCGTTGTCACTGTAGCAACGCAAAAACACAAAATCTTTGTTTTGTTGCCTTCGATCATGTTGCAGAGGCTTTGTCACCACAAAATCTCTCTTTCCCCAGGGTCAATCGAAAAAAGCGGGCGTAGAACTTAAGCCATTGGTAGGCGAAGAAGAGGCTCACTCACCATCTGCTCACGAGAGCCAGTATTTACCAAAGGGTGAAGTATGTTTGGAAGCTTGCAATGCTTGCTGATCTTTTTGTTGACTCAGATCTTAAGAAACGTACGTCTCTCCCTACTCCGATGATGAAATTGGTATATGCGACACTACCTTCTCTTTTTGCAGCTTTGTGTCCAATTTAAATTCTCACTCCCCCCTCCCCTTTTATTAAATCCGGGTAGTGTACATAGTGACAAAAAAAATGTTTTGTTCTATTATATCTCTTCATCTAATGATGATAGAATGAAAGTCTAATGTTGCCATATAGTTCTCCCGGAAAACTACAATAAGAATAGCAATCGATTCGTAATCTACCATTGTGAAGACGCCTATAAACCATGAACGGAAGGTGGTGAACAGATAAAGTAACCAAAGCGGGTACTCGCCGCCCTCGGAAACGTCAGCCACTGGACTTGGTGAGATTTAATACTACTTTCTCACTCTCTGCTTTCCTTGCAATGTTTTACTGCATAATGACTATCAAGTCATGCGGCGAAGCTGCACTGGCAGTGACCGTGGGGGGGAAGGGGAGGGGGAGGGAAAAAGGATGTACGCGATAGAAAAAGGACTTTATCCTGGAGGATACTGCACATAGAGAAAAAGGGAAAGTGGTAACGTAACATAACATATGATCAAAAATTCTTGCAATTGCACTACTCTATATACGCGCCGGTGCATAAAGCTGAGCTTTGGTTTACATTGTGGTAAATACAGCAATTCTCTCTGGATTCAGTTTCGTGTCTCCTCAGGTATTGGCACGAGGGGCATTAGTGGCTAGCGGAGCGATGGCGTACCTACGGCTGAGCTAACACGCTGCATCACATCCTCTCAGAATAGAACTTTTAGTTGTGCATGAGTATTTCAAACTATACAGAAACTAAAGGCATTAATCTGAGATTTGATACTGTTCTATATTTAGTACTACGATTTGTTTCTTTTGTTTCTTTTGTTTATTTGTTTGTTTATTTACTTTTAGTTTGTACTTCTTGTGCAAGGTGATAGTATTCCCTTTAAGAAAAGTTGCAGCAACCTACACAAAATCTGAACAGGCTGCAATGGAATTAATCACTGAGTTGTGATGCTATTAATAGATGGGATACTATTTGGTATTCTCATTTCTTTTTCTTGAAATCATTGCCCTACAAGCATTAGCATCCCACGACCCACATTGTAGAACTTGAGCCTGACTTCAATGACTAGGAAAAATGCGTTGTCCACTCCCATAATATATCCATCAAGAGGTGCTCAAAACATGCTTTCCCTCTCTTTGTTTAGTAAACAATAACTAAAAGCATCCAGAGCACAAAATCGTACCGCAACTAAAATTGTATGAGTAACTTACATTAACCAGCATTGTTCTTAGCCTTTAAAAAAAGTATTACAAAATCTGAAATGAACCTCTATTTTGGGTTAATTTTAGTCCTTTCGGATTGCAAAAAGAAAAAACAACAAAAATCTGCAAGTATCAGTTTTTTCTTAATTTCACATGGAGGAGTGACGGACTCAAACAAAGATTATAAATAGGTTAGTATCTTTCCACAACTTTTGCAAAATCTTCATTACTTTTCTTCCCTTTCTTCTCTATATCAAAACTAATCTTCTACATTCGCTTAGACCACTTACTAATTAAATTAACAATGCAATACTCCAAACTCGCTGTTTTATCTGCTGCTGCTGGTACCGCTTTGGCTGGCTACTCCAATTCCACCGCACCACCAACTTCAACTGAAACTGAAATTTCAACCACTGTCATCACCATCACTTCATGTGAAGAAGACAAATGTACTGAAGTTCCAGTTACTACTGGTGTCACCACTGTCACTGAAGTTGAGACCACTTACACAACCTGGTGCCCATTGCCAACCACCGAAAAGCCAACCGAACACCCAACTGGTGAAAAGCCAACTGAAACTGAAACCGAAATCTCAACCACTGTCGTTACTATTACTTCATGTGAAGAGGACAAGTGTACTGAAGTGCCAGTCACTACTGGTGTAACCACTGTTACAGATGTTGAAACTACTTACACTACTTACTGCCCATTGCCAGAAAAACCAACTGGTGAAAAGCCAACTGAGCAACCAACCGGTGAAAAGCCAACTGAACAACCAACTGGTGAAAAGCCAACTGAACAACCAACTGGTGAAAAGCCAACTGAACAACCAACTGGTGAAAAGCCAACTGAACAACCAACTGGTGAAAAGCCAACTGAACAACCAACCACCGAACAACCAACTGCTCAACCAACCGGTGAACAACCAACCACTCAAACCACCGTTGCCGGACAATCAACCACCCCAGCTGAAGAATCACCAGCTCCAACTGTTTCAGAAATTTCTGAAGCTGCCGGTGCCGCCAAGTCTGTTCCAGTCGTTGTAGGATTATTGGCTTTGGGTGCTGCTTTGATCTAAGTTGATTAGATTAGAGGGTCTACACTACTATTTTTTTATCCTTATTTACACAATTGCATTGAGCATTTTCATTTAAATTGCTACAACATGTGCTTCTTTTTTTATTTATTTCGGTATAATTGGACAATTTAAAGCTTTCTACAACTGGAGAGTGATTTAAAGAGGTTGCTAGGTCTGAGTGAATTCGTATGACAACTCTTTACTGAGGAATTTAATCATGCTACGATTGAGGAAAGAGTAAAGCTGTGTTTGTCTACGTTTCAGAAAAGATTTAGAGCTTCTAACTATTTTATAATTAGTGATTCTTTTGGTTTTAACACACTGGACAATAATAACTTACCCTTTTTTTTATAGTGCATATATAGTATTTTCTGTATAAGTTTCTGTTAATTAATTTTACAACAAAAAGTTTTCTATTTTTCGGTTTTACAGTTTGAAGAAGTAGTTTTTGTAGTATTTGTGGGTTTGAGAAAGATGTATCGGTTTTGAAACTTGTATGATGCAAATGTAGGTTATAGAAAGGAAACTTTCAAGGAATTTCCATAAACTATGTCTACCACGTTGCTCGATACTTCCTTCCATTTTTGTGTAGGGTGCAAGAGGAAAGGGATTTTAACCTTTTTTGGTCAAATTATTTTGTGACTTAGACTTTGTGTGATATTGTTTTAGAACCCTTTATTTTTCCGTTTGATGCAACTGGATCGAATCCGGCGCCACGCTTCTTCCAACGCTATCAATGAGGTTCATCTTGAAACTTAGTGTTCTGACATAGCATTGGTTTTGCAACTGAAAACGTTCTAGATTCTTTTCAATGCTCCCTGCATTGTCTATTGTTGTTGTTTAGTTTATTTCGGAACATCGTTTGAGTTGAGGGAGAAGCGGAACAAATGGATTTAACGGATCATCAATTCGTGTTTGTTTTAGTTTTGGGTAAGGCTATATTTAGTTAAGGGTTCTAGAGCCTGCACAAAGTACTCGGTAATGGTATATACGTTGTTATGGTGTTTTTTTCTCCGCGTTTTGATAAAAAACGCAGATCATATATAGATTTTGTATTTGTAAATTTATCTCTGTTGGGTAAACAAACAAACAAAGGAAGAAATGAGGACTATTTTTAAAATTAGAAATACGTCAACAATAAACAGATCGCCATTTTTTTTCTTTTCTTTTCTTTTGTTCCTCTTTAATGGAGTTTAGGTGGATATAGGAATACGTTTGAGGCTTGGGTTTCTTGGCCAGTGTTGTGATCATCTGTTTTTACGTTGCTATAGTTGCTTACAACAACACTAACACTACCCTTCCTTCCCTTGCCATGGCCGCGTGGTCACTATAATCTAGTGTTTTATGGAGTCGGGGTTTATTGATTGTGGCACTAAGCTTCAGGGTTTTGCATATGGGTGTAAATGGTCAAGAATCCGAAGGTCATACAATTTGAGAATCAATATAAATACCTTTAGAAGTTCACTAATCATGATGTTGAAATGGATCCAAAGTTTCCCCCTACTTCAATAACGTTCCCAGTAATTCCTATTCAAAGCAATGCAGTTATCAAATATTCTCGCTTTTTCCACTTGGATCGTGATTGGTTCCACTTTTGCCATTAGACGCCGTGATACAACGTCTGGTGCTCCATCCCTTTCAGTTGATTTACCCCCAGGAACAACAACTAGTTCAGTACCACCAGTTTCATTGCCATCACCTATCTCAAGTGACACTGTACCACCAGTTTCGTTTCCTTCACCAATTTCAACTGACACAATTCCACCAGTCTCATTGCCATCACCCATTTCAAGCGATTCTGTTCCACCAATCTCATTACCTTCACCCATTTCAAGTGATTCTGTTCCACCAATCTCATTACCGTCACCCATTTCAAGTGATTCTGTTCCACCAATTTCATTACCGTCACCCATTTCAAGCGATTCTGTTCCACCAATTTCTTTACCATCGCCAACGTCGATTTCTTTTAGTTCATCTCCAACATTTTCGTTACCAACATTGACTGCATCTATCCCAACGGTTTCCTTCAGTGATTCAGTTGCTCCACCTGGTTCAGAGCCACCTACAGATAGCCCAACAACTGATGATTCTCATCCAACTCACTCATGGCCCTCTCACTCGTGGCCCTCTCACTCATGGCCTTCACACTCGTGGCCATCACACTCATGGCCATCACACTCGTGGCCATCACACTCATGGCCATCACACTCGTGGCCATCACACTCATGGCCATCACACTCGTGGCCATCACACTCATGGCCATCACACTCATGGCCATCACACTCGTGGCCTTCACATTCACACTCCCCCCCACCAGATGAATCAACCACTACTGTCACAACCACAGAAATAACAACTACTACTTGTCACCAAGACAAGTGCCATCCAACTACCATCACTACTGGTGTCACAACAATCACAAAAACTGATACTACATATACCACTTGGTGCCCTATTGAAACAGAGACAATTACGGTTCCTTCAACCACAATTGAAACAACCTGTATCACTATCACTGAATGTGACCACCATGGATGTACTACTAAGCCGGTGACAACGGGTGTGACCACCGTCACTGAAACTGAAACTACATACACGACATGGTGCCCAATTCCCACAGAAACTGTTACTATTCCAGAGACCACAATTGTGACAATAACTGAGTGTGAGTACGACCAATGTACCACCAAGCCAGTCACTACTGGTGTCACTACAATCACAGAGGTTGAAACAACTTATGTCACTTGGTGTCCATTGCCAACTGAAACAGTGACTATACCAGAAACAACAATCGTTACTGTGACAAAATGTGAGAACGACGTATGTACAACAGTCCCTGTTACCACTGGTGTAACTACAATTACGGAAATTGAAACGACATACACCACTTGGTGTCCATTACCTACCACGGACACAATAACAATTCCGGAAACCACCGTTGTCACTGTGACATGGTGTGATTATGGCGAATGTACCACTGCTGAAGTTACCACTGGTATAACCACAGTTACCGACGATTGGACAACCTACACCACGTGGTGTCCAATAACGACCACCACCACAACTGAGCATCCTCCTCCACCACCGCCTTCATCAGTTCCATCACAACCACCGGAAGAGACGACTGAAACTGAGATCCAAACAACCACAATAACCATCACTTCTTGTTCAGACTACGAATGTACTCCTGTTGAAATCACTACAGGTGTTACAACTGTTACTGAATATGATACTACTTACACCACTTATTGTCCCTTGCCGGAAACAACAATTACTCTTGTTCCACCAAATGATCCCACAGTTTGGAGTCCAACCGAGACAATTCCACTCCCACCAGATGAGACTACAATCACTCTTGATCCACCGGAAATCCCTAGTGTTTCCCTCCCTGACCCATCATCTGATCCAGAAGTTCCATCCTCTGATACAAAGATTCCATCGACACACCTTACAGATGAACATCCTACAGACTCAACTGACCTCACCGGTATTCCAACGGGTATTACCTTGACTCCATATCCATCTGATGACACTACTACTTGGGACACGTTTGAAACGCCTTCTAGTGAATCTGGAATTTTTACAATTTTGCCAATTTCCGAATCAGATGCTGTTGAAGCTAGAGATGTGAACCAGGAAGTTGCAACAGTAGCAAACGCCGGTTCATATAATGAATTATCATTCGTTGCTGGAGCTTTAGCCATAGGTGCTTTATTGGTCTAGTGTTATTAAAAAAAAAAGATAAAATTAAAAAAAGGGTTTTATTTTGCTTGATTTTCAATTCTGCTTGGATGCTCTTCGGTCTTCACTTTATGCTTTTAGTGGTGGAGAAGGTTTGAGCTAGAACAATTGTTTTTGCAATTGATTATATATATTGTTCATTTGGGATACATTCGGTTACATTATTTTATATATTTTACTTGAGAATAAACAATTTCGGTTATAATCTTGGTCAAGGATCTTGCTTAAATATTGCTTGATTTTGTGTTTGAAACATATTGTTACATGTATCGATTCAACTAACTCTACAAATATATATCATCATTTATATCATATACTTTCATCTCCTCTCTATCAGCACCACTTGCATCTTTACTTTCACTCACTTGCTCTGACTCGGTCACACCCACACTATCTTCAACATTAAATTCATCAACCAACAATTTAAACTTGTTTTGTAATTGTACAGCATTTATATCACTTATTCCATACACCTTGATATTACCTATTCTCACATTTCGAGAAAACTTGAAATAGATATCCTTTCCATGAATTTGGTAGTTGACAAATCGGACGGGCAACTTGATATGATTGATACCCGGTTGTATTTGACTTGATTTAATGTATTTGAATTTACAGGCTTTCGTATTATGACCAACGGAATCTTCAACTTTAGGAAACTTTAATTTATCAAACCCGGATCTTGTGTATGGCTTGAAACCAATGGAGACGTGCACTGGACTTTTTGCATCATCATTTTCCAATTGAATCAAGATATCGGTGGGAATTACTGATGTACTTAGACGTATCCCGATTTCGTAGCCACCTTGCCATGAAATGTCGTCCTCTAAAAGTACATGGATTGCATTGTTATGATCTTGAAGCCCCTTGGCAAATATGATCCATCCATACCACATCTTTTGCAACAAGTTGTGTTTATCCAAATCTGATGTTAAAAATCCAAGTATACGTGAGCCTTGATTATAGTCAGCATAATTGACAAGTTTTGATCCTTTTGAAACAAAATCAAGCATGGAATTGATCCAAACTTTGTCACTAGTAGAACGACTCTTTTGTCTCGGATCTGTTGTGATTGTATCGTTTACAATATTTAATCCATCGAGGATCTTATCGACATTTGCCTCTACTTTTTGAGCGACTGAGTCAATTGATTGTGAAATGGTTTGATCAACGTATTCCTTTAATTCGTCAACATTGTCTAGCTTCTTTTCTTGTTTAATTGCCTTTAGCTTATCATTAATGTAGGATTGACTGTACGAATCAAGAAACAGATTCAAAAACTGATGAAACTGAGGAGATAATTGCACTTGTCCATGCTTTAGATATATCAATTTTTCAGTATCTGCAGTTGGCAGAGACTTGATCAAATCTTCAATATTTGAATTTATGCGGTCCAATGTGGATTCTGTTTGGCGTTGAAGTTGCAGCAAGGATAGGTCAAGATGATCTACCCTTGTGTTTATTGCAGCAACATCCACTTCGGGGCCAGCTACAGCCAGTGGTTTATTATTTAGCATCATAATCAAAATCACGAATAAAACTGTCACATATGCGATTGTAAACCCAAGACAGGTCTTCGAGCGCATTGTTGTAGATTTACGTATAGATGAAATCTCTTTATCTAGACTGCTCGTATCTTGTTGTTCTTTATAATCAATTGACTTTTTCAACCTTGGTGATTCAATCACATGTATATGACTTGTTCCATTAGAAAGCCCTCGTTTGTAGTCCAGATATTTCCACTCCTCACTTTCTTCATCATCTGAAGTCTCATTATATGTCTCGTCATCGCTTAACACATAGTCATCGTCGTCCTCCTCAACGTAATCATTGTCGTATTGATTGTTGATGAACTTTAAATATGATTCATTCAACTCCTTTTCGTCAACATCCTCTTGCACGCCATTCAATGTCATTGATATTTCTTCTTCAACTTGAGGCCTTGTAATTCCATCCCGACGATGTAGTTGTTCATCAGTTTCTGTCGTGCTGTCCGAATTTTGATACCTACCAAGGTTAATTGCTTTTCTAGGTGATCTTAGTGGATTGGATTTCCCAATCATATGTTTCAAGTGTATGGAATGTTCGTCATCGGTGTCACCAATATATCTTGGCAATCTAGAGAACGAGGATGACATTGGTTGTTGATTGCAAAGATCTTATGACAAAGTGTAAACAAGGATGTGGAATTTGCGCTTTGTGGAACGCGAAAAGTATAATTTTTTTTTTTTTTTTAAATTCAGATGAAGAGCAATTTACTGGATCTTCATAGCCTATCTAAAATATACCAATCGACATTTATGCTTTAATTTTATTACTCAACTATCTACCTATCAGCACATCTACAACTTTTTAAGCAAAGTATCAACACTGGAAATATCAGTGAAATCACCATCGTCTTCGTTGGCCAAGTAAACGACTTCACCATCCTTGACGATAACAGCATATCTTTGTAATCTCTTGCCCAAACCAGCATTGCTCAAATCCAAGACATAGTCTTCACCCAATTGGCTGGATATCTTACCTTCCGGGTCAGTGGCGAACACAACATAGTTATCTTCATTCTTGTAACCAACTGCTTTACCAAATGCAGACAACACAAATGGATCATTGACGGATAATACAATAACTCTCTTGACCCCCTTACTCTTCAATTTATCGGCGTTTTTAATGTAATCAGGAATGTGTTTGAGGGAACATGTTGGGGTGAAAGCTCCAGGGATAGCAGTGATGACAACAGTCCCATCTTTGAACTCCTCTGCCAAGTCAAGTGGTTTTGGAGCTCCAGCTTTCAAAACATCCGAGTGTTCGTTGTCGTATGGGACGTATTTTGGTTTAACATCAGTAGGGAATTTTTGGCCAGCCATAGTTGATTATACAGTATTTGTGTGTATGTGTAGGTTTATATGAATTAAGAATGAAAAAGAAATGTCAATTGAAAACCAATGACAACAGAGGAGGTGAATGGGTATTTATATCTTGAAGAAATCAAATGGAAGTTGGTGAGTCCAGATTTTCTTATAGTTACAATTGCTTTGTAAGTCTCCTTATGTGATTCTAGCCTCTCTCCTTTGGTATTTGTAATGAAAATGCAAATTTACACAAAAACAGGTCCTGCGTAAATTGCTTTCCCCGATTACATCATACACTTCTTGAGTAAAGACATGTCTAGTTACATAATCTTACTAGTTACACAGAGCATAGTAATTTAGTCAGCAGGTGAATGCACTAGAACTTGCTATAAGCATCTACATCGAATTGTTCAGGATATAAGGTACTGATTTTGATAATTCGGATGTAATCATTGTTTAACTACTTTTCCGTTTCACGTGACTTCGGTGGTATATAGGCACGTGATCTAGAACGATACCAGGTCAAATATGGCGAAGCTTTCACGACAAGGGTATGTTTGTCGTTCTCTATTATTCAAGCTTATTTAGTAACCCATGAAAGCAAGTTCATTTACTACCGTAGCTGCAGATATCAGTTTTAATTACTGTCTATCACACCTGATTCTTTGAATGCAAACAACTCTATTAGATATACAATAACGCACCCCCATTACTCATTATCAGAATCAGCCGGCAACTACAATTTGTATCATGATTCTTAGACTATGCCTTGTTTAACGTAATGGATGAATAACAGTCTTGTCTAAGACCTAGACCACCCATTTCTCTTTCTCCTTTTCCTTTTCACCTCGCATCCGTAATCCAGTCGGAAAGAAGATTAACCAAGTACAAAATATTCCGTATTATAATATACCCAGGGCAGCAGAAACAATATAGTTTATCACCACCTTGAGCTTTTGATCCTCTTTGTCACAATATTCTCTGGGCATAGAAAGTTGCTTCACGTCTCGAAAGGGAACCTGTTGGACTTGCGCTTGGTGGTGAAAGTTTCGGTATATGGCATCCCCCGCATACAATTAATGTACTTTGAAGATTCCTTTTGAGTTTCATTTCACCACCCATATCCAATCTATCTATAAGCAATTGTACCGAATTTGGCAACATTTACCCACTGGCCGATGATCTTACTCGGTATCGCATTAATGATTCTCGAGCGCCTGAATGTAACCAACTCTGAGCTTCACCATTTTGAGTTCAAGAACCTTATTTGGTATCTAAATAGCTAATCATAATTTTATGCACCAGCCCCACAAAAGATTGAACTAAAAAGAGCGACGCTTTCCGTAAAATCCACTTGCCTTATCCAGTGACACTAAAACTGATCGCCTTTTGCGTATAGCCGTATTCAGATTATATATGTTATCTGCATCTCCGAAGGTTATTTGATTCGTTTCAAAACTCCATGTTTTTAAGCTTTCTCTTTTTCTTTGTTTAAGCTTGCAAACTTTATTGTTCTCGACTAAGCTATTATTCTGAACCACCACAAATATGACTAGAGAATAACCGTTATGTTACATTTTGATGTACTATCTCGTATCTGTTGGTGATTAAGGAGGCATGCGGGCCACGATGATTCGGAACCCCAGTTCCACTCTCCAATGTCAAATAGAGAGACAGTTATTTCAAATGTGGAGACCCATCGTTCTTGAATTCTGCGGTATTCAAAGTACATAAGTGATTTTTGAAGAGATGAGTCCAAATATAAACTCTTGTGGTTCCTCTCCATTCACCTGAAAGGCGTTCAGAACCATCAACCTGTGTGAAGTTTACATTATAACCACCCTAGCGCCATTTGGTGTTCAATTTTTTTCCACTAGCCATGGCTGATACTGATTTTATTCCATTGCCACAAAGTGCCGGATATGCCGTCCTTGTTGGTTTGGGTGGTGTGTTTGCCGTGGGAATGATGCTCACCACTTATTTACTTAAACGATATAATAAAGAAATCATCACTGCGGAAGAGTTTGCAACTGCTGGGAGATCTGTTAAGTCGGGGTTAATCAGTGCCGCTGTAGTTTCATCATGGACTTGGGCTGCTACTTTGCTAACATCAAGCACACAGGTGTACAAGAATGGGGTTTTTGGCTCGTGTGGATACGCGTTTGGTGCCACTGCTCAGATTACATTATTCGCTACATTGGCAATCAAGGCTAAAGAAAGGGCTCCTCTGGCTAGAACATATATGGAGATTATCAGAGCAAGATATGGTGCACCTGCACACACTGTTTATATCATTTGGGGTCTAGCAACTAATTTCATGGTCACAATCATGTTAATCACTGGTGGTGCAGCTACTGTTCGTGACTTGACTGGAATGCATCCAGTGGCCTCGTGTTTATTGATTGGTCTCTCGCCAACTGTTTACTCAGTATTTGGTGGTATCAAAGCTACTATTTTGACAGACTATGCTCATACCGTTGTCTTGCTTATTATTATTCTTGTCTTTGGGTTCGTCACGTGGGCGACAAGCCCGGTGTTGGGATCACCAGGAGTAGTTTGGGACTTGGTTACCAGAGCAGGAGAGCTATATCCAGTGGAAGGTAATCATGAAGGTTCGTATTTGACAATTCATTCACGATCAGGTGGAATCTTTTTCGTCATAACAATTGCGAGTGCTTTTGGAAATGTGTTTTTAGATAATGGATACTATAATAAAGCTTTTGCAGCTAACCCTGCGTCGGCTTACAAGGGATATATTTTGGGATCATTGGCATGGCTTCCAATACCAGCATTTTGTTCATTGACCATGGGATTGGCCGGATTGGCTCTTGAGCGTACAGAACAATGGCCATTAAAAAGACCCATGACTCCTGAAGAGGTTGCTGCTGGTTTGGTGTTGCCAAATACTGCTTCAGCTTTATTGGGTAAAAGTGGTGCTGTTTTGAGTTTGATTGTAACCTACATGGCTTGTACCAGTGCTATGTCATCTGAATTGATTTCTGTTTCAACCATTGTCACATATGACATATACCGAACCTATATCCATCCTACTGCGACAGGTAAAAAATTGATATTCATCTCCCATATCAGTTGTGGTGTATTTGCTTACTTTATGGCGGCAATTTCAATTGGACTTTACTATGGTAACGTATCTTTGGGTTTCTTGTATGAATTAATGGGTATTCTTTCTGGAGGAGCAGTAATGGGTTCTGTGATGACTATATTGTCATCAAAGCAAAACTGGCAAGCTATTACATTTTCACCCCCAATTGCAATGAGTTTGGCAATCATGTCTTGGTTAGTAGTTTGCAAGACTAAATTTGGAAGCATTACGTACGATAACTTGTTTCAAGATGATGCCATGTTGACTGGTAATGTTGTATCCTTGCTCTTCCCATTGATTACAATTCCGTTATTCACCTTCATTTTCAAACCTCAAAATTTTGACTGGAAGTTGTTGGAAACAAGAATTACAAAGGTGGATGAAACTGAGGAGTTGATGGAAGCCACAGGTAAAAGACATCGTGATAACGAAAAGTTAAATCCCGTCATGTCCGATATATCTGTTATTGCTAGCAACTTGGCCGAGAGCAGGCGTGCAAAGTATTCCCAAGATCAAATGCAATTACACAAGGCATTCAAAACTACCGCCATTGTGTGTGTGGTTGTTACCATTTGTTTGGTAATTCTTTTCCCAATGCCATTGTATGGAAGCAAGTACATTTTCTCCAAAAAGTTTTTTACTGGATGGGTTTGCGTATTCTTTATTTGGACGTTTTACACAGTATTCCAAGTTGGCATTTATCCAATTTGGGAGGGCAGAGCAACACTATTTCACATGGCGAGAGGAATTTACTGGGATTGCACTGGTCAATCTCACAAGTTGTATGAATGGCAGGATTCTCACCCCGAGGATTTGCATGCGGTGCAATCCCAGATTATTGCTCAGTTGTCTCAAGAAAATAGTGCTGGGGCTCCGGAGGTGTTTGAATCATCAGTTGCCAACGACTCACGTATAGATTATCAATTATCTGACGAAAAGAAATGAAGTTTATGAACCATATGGAGAACATTGCGTTATGTATTGTAAACGTTTGTCTTGCTATATCTCTTTATTGCGACATCGTTTCTAGTGTACACGTCTACAGTATTCTAAGAAATTATGCTGAACAGTGAAACACGCTTGATCGGAACAGTGGCTGACCTTTGCGAAATTTGTTGCATCAATCAAACCAAAAATCACACAAAAAAACCAGTGGGTTGGAATTTTGCAACCAAAACCGTCTTCTCCGCTCAACAAAGACAGTGTTGCTTAACACGGTCTACCATACAACTAGCCTATTTCCTGTCGAAATGAAGAATTTACTTAGCTCCACCACTTTTATGTTTTTCTTATCTTATCAATGTTTCTGCCCCGGGTGTATGAATAGGGAAACTAGGAGGTTCGCTTTTTTTCAAATCCTTCAAGCATAATTGTCCGTGACTCTTTATATAGATCAGAATGGTTCATGGGTTCATCATCCATTTCTGATAGTGCCCCTAGTTAATTTGCCTTCTCATGCGTTGGAGGACATTTTCAACCAGTTTAATCAATATCAATGTTGCCCCTAGCGCCATTACATTCTTGCTTGTGCACAATAACAAAGTAAAAATTATACAGTAACATATTCGTATACCGATCACCCCGGTTCAAAGAAACACTTTTGTGCGCAACCGACAACATCTTGCTCACATTTCAGTACCCTAAAACAATCAATAACCTAAAAAGTAACAAGTACACCATTATTTCAACCAACACTCTCGAAAATTACCTTTCGAGAATGCACAAGGATGAAAAAATTGCACAATTCGAAGCTAGACATTTTCAATATATCAAAATATGGGAAATTGTTCAGCATTGTTGGTGTGAGTTTTGTTTTAAGTTTCTCGACCGATTTCTGTTGTATTTGAAAACCTAAAGATTAAAAGCATTTCTTTACCCGCATAGAAGCCCCTACAATCATGCATTGATTGAAGACTTCGGAATCACGAATCTTCATCTTCGAATTGAAGACTTTGTCAACGTTTTTGAGCATGTCGAAAATTTGCATGTTGTTGTTTTTGAATTGGCGCGTGACTATTCACTGCTGAAGGAAGCCAATCTCAACTTTCATTCGTCGTTAAAGTTACGAAAGATGAAATTGCTTGGTCTTCGCAAGAGCTTTTGTTGATAAAGAGCTCTTATTTTCCAGCCATGAATGCTCAATTTTTGCAACTTGCCTGCTAATATGCCAAGATTTATCCTCAACCAGCCTAATCAACATGACGTGTTGGATTTGGCTCCTTTGCATTCTAATTTCGCTGCAATTGCGAAAGCAAAACTTTACCGCCAGCTTTACATTTACCCATATTATCAAGTTCGGTCACTATTCGACTCTCAATGTCAAAAAGAAGCAGAATTTAGGTATCACAGGAATTAACATGAATTTGCGCCAACTGTGTGACGATTTCAAAAGAAGATAAACCAAAAGGAATATTAAAAAACCAGTATCAACCAAAGCAATAAAACACCATTTGGCATACAGAATAACTTTTGAGCATTTGCTACAGGATGAAATTAAGCTGTTCACCGAATTTGTGAGGATGGGTTCGCAATTTCTCAATGTCGATCGTGATATGTTCACCCAAGAAATATCAAGGCGGTTGGCAAGGACCATAAAGAAGCACGTGAAAAAACTATTTAACAGGGTTTGACAAGAATTGGGCGATGATGACCTTTTCGTTCATGACGTTTCTAATGTGATAGAATTTGCCCTCATCACAATAATGGATTTAAGGGTCTACGACCAAGTCAAACACTAACAAGTTCAAAATACTCGCGCTAAATTATGGGCGCTATGTTGTTAGTCACCAAAATTCTTCGACTGATTCGGCAAATACATTTTTGCAATTTTCTTTGGGACGAGATTCGGAAATTTTCCAAATTCTCATTTATGAACTTCTCCGAAAACAAAGTGCGAATTCTGATATTTACTGAGGTATGGAATGTGGAATTCTTATTCATCACTTTTGGAAAAAAGGGGGGGGGGAGGGCGTGGTTAAAGATCAAGAAAAGGTGCCCATAGCGGGAACTTTTGTCAAACCTGATTTTGATATAATTTTGCCAAATGTTATTTACTCAGTGTAATTAAAGTAGGTCGAACTCAATAACTGGACCCTAAAGTTCGAGTACCAACGAAATGTTATCACCTAAATATTGATTTCATTGCCAGCAGACAGAACTGATATTAGTTTCTTGTTAACTCCAGATTTGCTTTTGGGAGTTATTGCCAGGGATGCATATCCAAGTGTTGAGCATGATGATATCGTTCTAGAATATGATAAAGTCGATGGTAACGTAAATGTTGTTTCCCAATATCATTTGCTACTTCAATAATCAAAGCCTCGAAACTTGACTCTACAACAAGTGTCTAAGCTTGAAAAAGCGTTGCCGATAGTATATTCGATTGATTCATTGCATTTTCTAAATACTTACTTTCCAGTGTGTAGCATTAATTTCAATAGCCATGCAAATTCTTCTCTTCGCAAGTTCCAATACATCAAGCACTGTCTACTTTCTGAACCATGCGTTGACCAACAATGATAGCACGCTTCCCAATATACCCCCAATATACGCACCCACCAACAATGTAATTGGCCATTGCTGCCATGGTCGATCCCAATCCAACGGTATAGGTATCACCCCCAACCAACATCCACCTAGTGTCAACAAAATTTGTGATAAAATAGGATGCCCAAAGATGGTAAAGTACAAACGGTCTTGATGAAATAGTAATTTGAACTGTTTAAAATCTAATGAGTATAGGACTAGCAACGGATTGAAAACCAATTGTGATAAGTGCAATGCCAAGCAAGCTGTCTTGAAAGTGTAATTGTAGACAGGAGCCCCCAACAAGACTACAGCTGCATACAATGGAACAGCCAATATCAAACTAACTAGCATACTAGAAGTTACTAATAGTGGAATGTTTGTCAGTTTCGACTTTCGAGATGTATTCTTTGCTAATATGTACATGTACGCCACTTGAATTGGTAAACTCGTGATAAATCCTTTGAGCATAACAGATTCCACATTCTCTGTTATTCCATAATGAAACAATCCACTTAGTATTAGTAAATTGTGAAGCGGAAGGGCCACAAGATTACTCTTCAATTGGGGTACCTGAGACACCATCTTTGCTGATGTTTGTTTGAGATCACCACCACTTACTGGTTCCCCTGATGCATCTTGAATAAATGATACCGTTTTCTTAACAGTTGTGGGTCTCGTTTTTTGACTTTGTTGTCCCACTCTTTTCATCTTGTCGATGGTTTGTGGTTACCGAGAGATGTTTTTTTGTTGGAGTAAAGAAAAAAAATTTAGTGCAATCCAATTCAACCAAAGAGTTCCATATCGTTCAATTGGAATGGATGCGTACCAGGAGTTTCTAGACCCCTCCCGAATCGGTTGCTGTATTGGGTGCAACTTCATATCCCCTACTAAAAAACACTTGGTGGTGGCAAAGAGCTCTTTATTACAAATATTTGAAACTATACTTTTGAAACTGTCGACACCTACAAAACCTCAGTATCAATTGAAACTCGTTGAGCAGTTTAAACTTCAAGGAACTGTAACAGGATTGAAACCGTTACGTACATCTGAGAATCCTCAGCTAGACTATATTATTGTTTCTACAAAGTATGCAAAATTTTCAATAATCAAATGGAACCATCAATTGCATAGTATATCAACTGTTTCGTTGCATTATTATGAGAACTGCATTCAACATTCAACATTCGAGAAGTTGGCAATCTCAGACTTGATAGTGGAACCAACTTACAGTTCGGTATCATGTCTTCGATATAAGAACCTTTTGTGTTTTTTGCCGTTTGAGGGTGTCAATGATCACGATGATGATGATGATGATGATGATGATGACGACGACACTGACGACGAAAAAGGTGTGGCCGAAAATGTAGCTGGAGTCGATAAGCTGAACGGTGCTTCTAACGATAACCAACCATTCTACGACTCGAGCTTCATCATAGATGCAGGCACTCTTGAATCTTCTGTTGACTCTGTTCTTGATTTGCAATTTCTTCACCACTATCAAGAGACTACAATTGCTATATTGTCATCAAAGTCGAACTCATGGGCAGGAAACTTGATCAAAAATAAAGATAACGTTCAATTTCAAGTGATGACTTTAGACATTCAATCGAAATCAACCTTGCCGGTATTCACCATTGACAATTTACCTTACGACATAGATAGAATCATTCCGTTATCTAAACCACTAAACGGATGTCTCTTGCTTGGATGTAATGAAATAATTCATGTGGATAATGGAGGTATTGCAAAGCGAATCGCGGTCAATGCTTTCACATCATTGATAACGGCCTCAGTGAAAAGCTATCAAGATGAAAGTGAATTGAATTTAAAATTGGAAGATTGTTCAATTGTACCCATTCCCGAAGATCATCGAGTTTTGCTTATACTAGCCACTGGTGAATTTTACTTTTTAAACTTTGAACTTGATGGGAAGTCCATCAAGCGAATCCATCTTGAAGCAGTAGAACAGAAGGCGTACGATGCAATAAAGTTGACATATTCAGGAGAGGTTGCGACATTGGATAACAATTTGCTATTCTTTGCCAACATGAATGGTGATAGCCCGTTGGTAGAGATAAAGTATTCGAGCTCGGCAAAAGTTGTTGAAAAGCAGGTACTCGACAAAAAGGAGGAAGATTCAGATGAGGAAGATCTTTACAATGAAGATGAAGAAGGGGAAGAGCAAAAGGTTATGAGAAAGTCTCACATTGAATTTAAATTGCATGATCTGCTTATCAACAATGGTCCCGTCTCATCCTTCACCTTAGGATTGTGCTCGAAAGAAAAATTTAAATCGAATTTACCAAATCCAAACTACAATGAAGTGTCAATCATCAGTAACTCTGGAAGCAATGATCAATCAGCTCTCAATGTTATTGTACCCACTATTCAACCACAAATATCATCTTCCTTAACATTCTCCCAAGTCAACCGTATGTGGAATTTGAATCAAAAATATCTCATTACGTCTGATGACAAGAATGAAAAGTCAGAGATTTTTCAAATCGAAAGATCGTACAAAAGGATGAAGTCCAAAGATTTTGTCAACAATGAGTTGACTATAAATGTTCATGAGTTGAACAATGGGAAATACATCCTTCAAATTACTCCAAAACAAATCATTCTATTCGACACCAAGTTCAAGAAAAAGTTATCACTTACTGAAGAGATCAAGGAGGATGAGATATTGAGTAGCACTTTGCGTGACGAATTGTTGATGATTTTTCTCGCCAGTGGTGACGTCATGATATTCTCCATCAATACGTACAATGAATCTTACTCAAAAGTGAAGATTCCGAAACTTTTAGAGGACACCATTATCACCACAGGATACATCACAAGCTCGCATTTGTTGAATGCAGTGCTGAAAAATATAGATCTTTTGACAAACTCAAGAAAGAGGCGTCACAGCTCGATCCAACCTGCAACACCAATCAATGTGGAACCACCCAAAACTACAAAGCAAAAGATTTTTGTTTTGGTCACTGGTGACAACAGAATTGTGGCATTTAACAGACATCACAATGAGAAATGTTTCCAATTGGATACTGTTGGCAAATTTAGTGATATTTTGCTGTTAAATTTCTTTGATATAGAGCAATCACCACCAGATCCATTCATCAAGCAGGTGATTTTGAACGAATTGGGAGACAAGTACCACAAGGAGGAGTATCTCACAATATTGACGATTGGTGGTGAAGTGTGGATGTACAAGTTATTTTATGATGGTGAAAACTATTTTTTCAAGAAGGAAAAAGATTTGAAAATCACAGGTGCACCTGAAAATGCATTCAATTTAGGAACAATGGTTGAAAGAAGATTGGTGTATTTTCCAAATTTAAATGGTTACACGACAATTTTCGTCACGGGTGTAATTCCGTTTCTCATAATCAAGTCTTGTCATTCCATTCCTCGGATATACCAATTTTCCAAAATACCAGCAGTATCTGTATCGGCATTTTCTGATTCTAAAATCAAGAATGGACTTATATTTCTCGACAATAATCAAAATGCTCGTATATGCGAGTTGTCATGGGACTATAGTTATGAGTTTAATTTGCCGATTAGAAAGGTACATATAGGCGAACTGATCAAATCTGTCGCCTATCATGAACAATCAGACACTGTGGTTATATCTACTTTCAAAGAAATTCCGTACGACTGCGTTGATGAAGAAGGTAAGCCAATTGCTGGTGCTCTCAAAGATAAACCTCCTGCGACCTCATTCAAAGGGTCTATCAAATTGGTATCTCCTTATAATTGGAAAGTCATTGATACAGTAGAGTTACTGGATAATGAAGTTGGTATGTCAATAAAATCGATGGTTCTTGACGTCGGGTCATCGCTAAAAAAGTTTAAGACCAAGCGAGAATACATTGTTATTGGAACAAGCAAATTGAGAATGGAAGATCTTGCGGCCAATGGATCATTCAAAATCTATGACATTATTGATATTATTCCAGAACCTGGTAAACCAGAAACTAACCACAAGTTCAAGGAGATTTTCCAGGAAGATACAAAAGGAGCAGTGACTAGTATTTGTGATCTAAGTGGAAGATTCTTAGTTGGTCAAGGTCAAAAAGTGATTGTTAGGGATTTGGAGGATGATGGTGTTGTTCCTGTTGCCTTTTTAGACACACCGGTTTATGTTTCAGAGGCAAAGAGCTTTGGGAATATTTTTCTCTTGGGTGATGCTTTGAAAAGCATTTGGCTTGTTGGATTTGAAGCTGACCCATTCAGAATGGTTATGCTTGGTAAGGATCGACAACATCTACATGTTGAATGTGCTGATTTCATCGTCAAGGATGAGGAAATTTTCATTTTGGTGGCAGATATAAATAATGGCTTACATTTGATACAATTTGACCCTGATGATCCCAAATCAATTAATGGTACAATCTTGGTCAACAAGGCGTCATTTGAAACTAATTCGCAAACGACTTGTTTGCGGTCGGTACCCAAAGATGAAGCGGGCGATTATCAGACAATTGGGTCAACCATAGACGGTGCATTTTTCAACGTATTCCCTGTCAATGAATCAACTTATAGACGAATGTATATTGTTCAGCAACAAATTTCCGATAAGGAGTTTCATCATTGTGGATTGAATCCAAGGTTGAATCGATTTGGTGGTGCTATACAGATTAGAGATAGTGATACCAATGCTAAGCCTATTTTAGACTATAATTTGATTCGGGAGTTTGCTAAATTAAATCTTGATAGACAACGGAATATTGCTACAAAGATAAACATCAAAGGTCTGGCTCATGACATATGGAAAGATTTGATTGAGCTTGAGTATTCGTTGGAGGATTTTTGAATACAGACCACTTAAATAAGGAGTTAACATCCATTAGAAATATCTTTATTATTACAATTGTATTATACACTCTAACTTTTACTATATCATCAACATCAATACTGAGATAGCTACTGTGATGAATCCCGTAGCACCAGATACCGACATAGCGGCACCTTCATAAGTATTTATACTAGGCGATTCGCTTGTGGTTGAGGTGGACTCGTTAGCAACAGTCTCTTGGGACGTTGCTTGTTGTTGTTCCACACTTGGGGTCTCGGTAACAATATTGTCTGTAATTACATTAACAGTTGCTTGTGATTTGGATTTGGTTGAAGTGGCGCTGGTTTCTGGTTTGGCAACTTCAGTGGATGTGGCTGGTGCTTCGGTTGATTCTTGAGGTATCTCAGTTGATGATTTTGGTGCTTCAGAATGTGGTACTTCAGAATGTGGTACTTCAGAATGTGGTGCTTCAGAATGTGGTGCTTCAGAATGTGGTGCTTCAGAATGTGGTGCTTCAGAATGTGGTACTTCAGAATGTGGTGCTTCAGAATGTGGTGCTTCAGAATGTGATGCGGTAGTTGTTGTTGATGGCTCAGAAACTTCTGTCAATGGACAATAGGTGGTGTATACCGTGTCCAATTCACTAATAATTTTCACACCAGTAGTCTTTGGAACTTCTGAACATTTGTTTTCAGAGCAAGAAGTTATGGTGACCAAGGTGGTCAAGTATTGTGTTTGAGGTTGAAGTGGGGCTGCAGTGGTGGTGGTGGCTAAGCTTTTAGCTTCATCACTTCCGTTTGAAGAGGCAATTGAAGTAGTCGACTCCTTTGATGTGGTTGATTCTTCAGATACTTTCGATTCCTTTGGAGCTGTTGTCTCTTTGGATATACTTTGAGGAGATTCGGTGGTGGAAGTTTCTCTAGCCTCAGAGTGTGTTTCAGTAGCTCCTTTGCCAGCATTAGATTGGTAGAATGATGAAGTTTCAGGAGTTGACTGTTCTGTCGCACTAGCTTCAGTTGGCTCAACAGGGACACCAGTAGTTATAACCGTCAAGATACCATCAATAGTGGTAGTGTATGTCGTCAATTTTCCTACATCAGTAGTGACATAACATTGTCCATTTGAATCGCAAACTGTACGTGTGATATCAACGGCATTGGTAGCATATGCGGTTTCGTATTGGTATGATATCTTTTTGGTCTTGCTGGTAGTTTCAGAAGCACTTGTCACTGGGATTGAGCTATTTCCATAATAACCTCCCGAAAGTGCTGAAGAAGGTAAGACAGGCACGTCTGATGAAGTTGATGATGACGAACAAGTTGATGAAATAGTTGTTGATCTTATAGTTATAGCATCAGAGGCAGCAGCAGTAGCAGCAGCAACAAATGCACTTATTGTAAACGCACCTCTCATTTGTTTTCTCGTAGTGAGTTTGGTGTAAAATTGTTTGGTTGGTGAGAATATGGGTCAATCCTTTTGTAGTACTTCAAAGACAATGCCAACTATTTATAATAATCGTCAGGATAAGCAACTGAACAAGCCAATTTTGAATTGGCATATTATCTAAGTGGCTACCCTGGCTGGTTATGCCTAATTGGGTTACTCATGTACATTGGGGTAGCTGTTGGATACATGATGCAGTGTAAAAACAGGAAAAATGGAAAGATGGCTGGTAGTTCCAAAGCGTAGTGACACAAAACCTGTCTTGGTCATTATTTTTGTTCTGGCTGGTTGATCCGAATCGGGAATCACGTGAGGCTCATTTATCATCGTTTCCTTCATTCATCTCAACGCCTAATTTTAGTTGTCTTACTGAAACGAAGCTTCCATTGCAGCATCCACTTGTCTCGGCTTTAGAAGATTGACGTTTTACGAGGCGGGTATTGTTCTCAAATTTGGTTACAGCTGGTCAGATATTACAAAGCATATCGAGATTACAAGATGAAGTATTTTCCAGCAACACCACTACTACTACTATTGTGGTTGTTCACATGCACTACAAAAGTCTATTCACAATGTGACCCATCAACATACATGAAGGAATTTGATGATTCTGAAATACAACCCACGTTGGAAAGAGCCACCTATTCTTTGATTTACTTTTATTCCGATTCATGCAAATATTGCCAACTTTTCAATCCAGTGTTTGAGAATTTATGTACCTTGTACAATAGTGATAGTGAAACCACCAAGTTCCAGATCTTGAAAACAAATGCTAGAGTCAATAAGAAACTAGGCAAACTTTTCACAATACAACACTATCCCACTTTGAAATTACTACATTATCCATCAAAACAGATGTTGGAATATGAAGGGGGGCGGGATTTGCACTCATTGATTGATTACATTGACTTAAAGACTACGGTTAAACCCAACTACGACAATTTCCAATCTAAAGTGAAATACGTTAATGATTTGCAGGATTTATTGGAAGGAGGAGATAAAGATAAAGTGGTGATTTTCTTGATGAGTCATTTGGTTGATTGGAAAGACTGTCATTTTCCTGCTCATTACATTCAAAGAATTGCACATCTGCATAAAGACATTGATTTTTACGTTTACCACGGCGATGATTCAAACAGTTCGGAATTGTTGCCCCAATTTGGCGTTAGTCATTTCCCAAGTATGGTCTACATCAGAAACGGTAAATTCAAATCTCTCAATACAGAGCAGTTAGCATATCAAACAAATGAAAAGTTTGATGGTGACAAGATAGTGGCATTTATTGAATCAATAGATGCGGATGGTTTCATGTGGCGGTCTATAGAGCCAGTGAATCAAGATCAAATCACTAATGACAATCCATTAGATGATGGATATGAATCTGATGATGATATAGAGCATATAGAATTGTGACAAAACACTGAGTATGTTGGACGTCTTTTATTCCTTTTGCTTCTCTAATGGTTATTCACGTTTTATTCCTGCATATAGGACTGCACTCTTTCTTTTCGTTTTTGAAATTGACGTGTTGAAAAAAAAAGCCAAAAACAGAATAGAATAAAGCCAACAGCATTCAACCGGTAGTGAACTTATCTGATCATCATCGCACCACATCCAACCATGAACATCTTTAGATTCTTTGGAGATCTTTCACATCTTGCAAGTCGATTCATACTATTATACGCCATTGAATCAAACCGGTCAATCAATGGTCTTTCCTTAAAGACACAAGTGTTATATGTCATTGTTTTTGTCACTAGATACCTTGATTTATTCACTAAATACTATTCTTTTTATAACACATTGTTCAAAATTGTGTTTATTGCCAGTTCCATATACACGGTGTATGTTATGGTTTACAAGTACCAAAAGAGTATACAAAACCATGTTGATACTTTTCCCATTCGGTATTTAATTGGTGGTGCAGCCTTGGCAAGTTTGATATTCACTCACAAGTATACTTTTGGTGAAGTGATTTGGAGTTTTAGTTTATGGTTGGAAGCAGTTGCCATTTTACCTCAATTGTTTATATTGCAAAGAACTGGAGAAGCGGAGAACATCACTACTCATTATATTTTCGCATTGGGAATTTATCGTGCTTTATATATACCAAATTGGATTTATAGATATTTTGCTGAGGGTCATTTTGATTATATTTCTGTGCTTGCTGGTATTTTACAAACGGCAGTTTATTCAGATTTCTTTTACATTTACTACACCAAAGTCATGAAGGGAAAGAAATTTGAATTGCCTGTATAGAAAGGGAGAAGAGGAAGGGGTGTATATTTTTCTTTTTGAAATGTGAATACATAGTAAAAAGGCTCTATGTGACTCCTGCTTTTAATCCCTCTTCAATGGGAAGTATTCGGTTCTGACACCATCCTTCGTTACAATCAAAATTTCCAATCCATCACCAACATAAATGTGTCTTTCACCAGCAGAGTTGAATGCATCTCGTACTAATTGTATAACTTCCTCCAATGACAAGTATTTCAATGGTTTCTTTTCCTTTCCATCGGTACCTGGTACAAATTGATTTTTAAAATTGACTTGATTATCCAAAAACGGCATAATTAAACTAGCAGCAGCACCTCCGGCTCTACATTGTTCTCTTTCATAACTTCCAACTGGATCATATGAATACACTGCTCCTTTACCTTCTTCATCCAATCCAGCAATCAATGTACTCACGTAGTATGGGAAAAACCTTTTCCCGTACAAAAGATGTTGAATGTACCTAGCGGCACTACTTATTTCCAATTTTCTATTACCATTATCAAACTTGTACCATGTAAACGCTTGTTTAAATTTATCAAGCAAGGCAACTCCGTCAGCAGCAAACCCATTGGCGGTCATTAATATGTTATCTCCAACATTGTGAATCTTGGGTTCGTATCTTGATTGTATGGAATATCCTTCAACCTGTCTAGTATCACCTGCTAAAACAGCAAAATCTTCACCAGCAATTCCCAATACCGTTCCTCCATTGTCTGAATATGGGTTGAATCTGTGTTCAATTGGAACAGAATGAATCTCTGCCGAGTATTCAGATGCAACTGTGGTTTGTGCTGACATTGTACAATATAGTTGAGATGTAATACAATGATACTGGGTTCTGTGAAGTTTTGAAATCGTTTGCCACTACAAAAAAAGTCGTTAATGGAGCGGTGCGCTACCTTGTACATGATTAAAGCGAAGCCTACTTACGTAAAGACACAACCAAAGCACCTAGTTTCATAAATTGTCTATTTACATCTTGCTCATTATAGAGGATCGTTATCTATTGAGCTTTCACGACTGATTTTGAATCCTAGCAATATACGCCCTCGAGATGGTATTCCAAGATCTCATGTACTTTTCCCTACATTGAGCAATACAAGTCTCTTGTACACTATCAAACAGAGCTTGTGGAGTATCAACACATTTGTCAAAACAGTTTTCCGTTATCGTTCTTACCAACTCAGTGGCATTGGCAATTGCCAATTCCTGACTGATTTGGTTTTGTATATCTTGTTTAATCTTTTGGCTATCCGACGAAATAACAGGTTGAGCAGCTGTGGCTTTAGCAGGAGCCAGTGATGGTGCAGAGCTCCAAAATGGCATGATATGATAAAATGTGAACTTTAGTTTGTGTCTAGGGGTGGTTGATTATGCGATGTGTTATCTCAGCGTTTACTTTTGAAAAATTTGTTTCTCTCTCTCTCTTTTCAATTGCCTTTTCCTTTGGTGCGCTGATGTTTTATACCCGAGGAAGTAAGTCACGTGAACCACGTCTCTTATCTTTTTTTTGCTATTTTTAAAATAACAATACAAACATAACAACTAATGAAATATTGGTCAAAAATAATAAACTGGGTAAACCCTAAAGTAAGGGTTGCAATTTATCCGATCCTAAATACCATCCCAACTTAGATTCATTTCATTAACAAATGTCATCTGAAGCTACACCTGTATCAACAACTACTTCCAAACCTCACAAAGATGGGAAATCAACTCATTTGTTTGTTTTAATTCATGGCTTATGGGGCAGTCCAAATCACATGCGCACCATTGAACGATATATAAAAGAATCATTACCTAGCACTACAACTGATGAAATAACCACACTTAAACCAGCAAGTTTTAGATTTTGGAAAACATACGATGGCTTAGATCTCAATTCACGAAAAATCATTACAGAAATCTTTTACGAAATTGAATCATTACGTGAAAAGAATGGTTTAACAGTTACCAAAATTAGTTTTATTGGATACTCATTGGGTGGATTATTGGCACGTTATGTCATTGGACTTTTGAATGAGTTGGAGTTTTTTGAACAAGTTGAACCAGTATTCTTTTCCACATTCGCTACACCGCATATGGGAGTTGAATTTTTCCGGGACAATATATTTGATAATGTTGCCAATATAGTTGGTCCCTTTTTGTTTGGTAAATCAGGTGGTCAGCTCTTTTTAGCTGATAATGAGAAAATCTTGGTCAAGATGGCTGATCACAAGCAAAAATTTTATCAAGGATTGGCTAAATTTCAAAAACATACGTTGTTGGCAAATGTTCGAAATGATAGAACGGTGGCATTTTTCACATCCTTTATAACCCTGTATTCTCCATTTGATGAATTTGACTTGGTGAAAATAAAGTACTTGAAGAACCTCCCAGAGACGAAAATTGCTGGTAAACTAGTTAGACCCAAAATTGTTGACTTGGCAAGGTCACATAAATTGGCTCATGATGATTCCAAATTGTTTCCTGGCAATTTACAAGAGGAGACACCATTTGTTCGAAAGAATAAATATGCACGTGTGTTGGTGATTGTTGCTTTAGTCATGTTGATTGTGCCCTTGTGGATCCCGTTTATATTGACAACAAGCACAATGGTGTCTGTATACAGTTTTGTCAAAGTGAGGATTCATAGACTTCCTAATATCAAGGAGCATTGGTCAAGAGTTATAAATTACGTGTACAAAGATAAACCTATGGATCCTCAAGATGCGGAAGCTAGTCAAAAACAACGTGAAAAGCGTAAGCAAGTTGCTCAGCATGAAAGCTTTAAAGGCGATACTTCACACATTACTGAAAATGCAATGGAAGGAATGCTTTATGCAGAAGAACACTTTTTACATAGAAGCAAGAGCTCAGGGTCAGTGATTCCAGAAGGTGATGCAAACAATGAAGATTCAGAAGACGGGGAGGATAGCAACGAAACTATAACCAATGGAGTTGAAAAGGACACTAGCTTGCAATCGATCTATCCCGATAGCCGGACATCAGTTAAACTGGTTGAAATTAACTTTAAAGCCAATGATGAAATTATGCAGACGCAATCGCTGCGCCTTCAAGACAACTCGAAAATTTCTTTGTTCACAAAGGAGTCGGAATTAAAGTTGGATGAAGAAAAGAGATACATCATGGACTCTTTGAATGAGTTGAATTGGATCAAAATACCGGTGTTTCTTGATGTTTGGAATTCTCATGATGGCATTGTTAGTCGGAGAGGTCCTAAAACCAACCCTAAAGGAGCAGCCACCATTGGAGTTTGGGTTTCGATATTGAGGAATCACTTGCAGGAGGAAAGGGGAGCCAAATCTTTGAAGACTTAGATTGATATTTGTAATTAATAGAAGAGTTTACATCTCAACCCTGCCAATAGTAAGTTGGACGTCTCTTCCTTATTCTTCCTCGGATTTTGTGCGAGAATTTCACCCGACAAAAATAAAGCAGCAATCAATCAAAACCTTTAGCAACAACAAAAACAAAGATCTATATCTATCCACTGTTTACAAGACACCACCTCTGATCAATTGCAATTCCTCGTGTATGATACGAAAAAGAAGCACATGATGATTTTTGAGATTTTGAAACATCAGGCGAGGATCACCGCTTTTAAATCGGTCATAAGACAAATTCCACTAAGGCGACAACTTCACCAAACGGTTCGTACTCCACCTACAAGATATGGCACCAAGGTTTTCATCGGGTTAGGTGCGGGTGTCTCGCTTCTATCACTTGGCTACAATTCGCAAGTTCATAATGATGTGCATGCTATGGACACCTCAATTCATGAATTAACACCGATAAGCACAGCTGATACGTATGAAAGTGGATTATATCAAGCATCGCAAAAGGAAGAATACGACCAATACGACGCATATAGAAAAAGCAAAACCCAACATCCGTCGATACTTGTGAGAACTTTATACAAAACAATGTTCTTCTTACAGGATTACCTCATTGATCCAATTGTTACATTTTCCCGATTTATAGAATTATCTTGTTTGTTTTTGCCGGTGTTATTGTCTAGCCCTATATGCTGGTTTGGAAGGAAACATCGAAATGCGGATGGTGTTTTAGTTCGAACTGGTGCCACGCTTTGGTATCGCTATCTCCGTTGGTCTGCTGAGCAAGCTGGTGCATCATTTATCAAATTGGGTCAATGGGCAGCCAGTAGAACTGATATCTTCCCACAAGAAATGTGTGATGAATTAGCAACATTGCACAGTCACGCAAAGGCCCATAGTTTCCATCAAACAAAAAAGATTCTTGAAAAGAGTTTTGGCGGGTTGCCATTTAACCAAATTTTTGATGAATTTGATGAAAAGCCAGTTGGTGTTGGTGCCATTGCTCAAGTATATATCGCAAAACTTTCGAAAAAGGCATTGAATCAAGCAGCCAAGCAAGAAGCTGAGATTCAACAAAGACTCAAACACAAAGACAAGGCCCATGAACCACAATTTTTTGAAAATTTGATTGTTACTGAAAACTTGGATTCAAATGAACGCGTGGCAATTAAAGTGTTACATCCCAAAGTGGAAATCAATATCAATCGAGATTTGAAAATTATGAAGTTTTTTGCTGACTTTATCAACATTATACCAACAATGGAATGGTTGTCGTTACCTGATGAAGTTGAGCAATTTTCAATTTTGATGAGGTTACAATTGGATTTGAGAATTGAAGCATTAAATTTGGCCAAATTTAGAGAAAATTTCAAAAGCAGATTGGATATCCATTTCCCCAAACCATATTTAAGTTTCACCACTAGAGATGTGTTGGTGGAAGAGTACATTTATGCCATCCCTTTGAGCAAATTATTATCATTGACTGACAATTTTGGCAAGAATTTGTCCAAGGAAATTAGTGATAAAGGATTGGATGCATTTTTGAAAATGTTGATTTTAGATAATTTTGTTCATGCTGATTTACATCCGGGAAACATGATGGTTAGGTTTTATAAAAATGAGCATTTTAAACATGAAAAGGAGTACAAGATTGTCAAGACTTCGAATGAACAAGAAACAAACAAGATCACCGAAGAGTTGATGAAATTGGGTAACAATCAAACTGCGTGGTGTGAAAAGTTGGCTCTGCTTTATGAGCATGGATATCATGCCGAGATTTGCTTTTTGGATGTCGGTTTGGTTACTGAATTGAACCATACCGATAGAGTCAACTTTATTGACTTGTTTAAAGCTCTTTCTGAGTTTGACGGTTACAAAGCTGGTGAATTGATGATTGAGCGATCAAGGACTCCCGAAACAGCAATCAATAAGGAGATATTTGCATTAAAAGTGGAGAAGTTGGTTGATAGGATGAAACTGCGTACATTCACACTCGGTACAGTTAGTATTGGTGATTTGCTCGATCAAGTATTGAGTATGGTTCGTAATCATCATGTTCGTATGGAAGGTGATTTCGTGTCGGTGGTTGTGGCAATTTTGTTGTTGGAAGGGATTGGAAGACAATTGGATCCGAAATTGGATCTTTTCCAAAGGTTCGTATACGCTCTTTTATTTGGGTTTCCCACTGAAGAAATGGACATCTTTTACTAACTTATTTGTTTTACTTTTTTAGCTCATTGCCTGTTTTGAGAAAACTTGGAGTACTGAAGGAAGGAAGGGAGATTTTGAGGGATGAAAATAGTTTGAGTATGATGAAGATTTGGTTGGCTTTGGAAGTGAGACAATTCATCAACGCTTCCATCCAGGATATACACAGTTTGGTGAAGGCGGATATGTTGAGTCCAAATGTGTAAAATCTTGTTGGGTGGGTATAGAGATTTAGATATAGAAAGTATATAGGATCTTAGAGTTTTAGAGTTGTAGGGTTTTATAACTTGAATGGTAGCTCTGTTGTTGGAATTTTTGGCAGAAGACAAAAATGATCTCGAAAAGAGTCTACGTGTTGTGCACACGAGTTTGCGACAGACGATACTTTTGACTGACAGACCGGATCTAGTTTACCAAGAATCGCATTCAACAAGCTAATCATTTACCTGCTCGTTACTTTTTTTGCCACTATTTGACTTCAATCCCTCTCGCGCAAGTCACTTACTCACTCAATGCCAATCAAATCACTCGAATCCTTTCTCTTTGAAAGAAAGTTGACTTATACCAGCTCCCTCGATATATTGTCCAATTCTGTACTTGGTATCGATGCCGAATACTATCTCAGTCGTATCTACACTTTCAAGAAGGAACAATTTCTAGCAGCAATTGGAGGAGTGCCCAGCTCATTAGCAGATTACATCTACACTGATTTACAAGTTTTTCAAGAATTCAACATTAAGCCCTTGTTTGTCATTTCGGGATTACCTATTCAATCACAAATTGTCACTTATAGACAGAATGAATTGTCACCGCAGGAACAACATGTGGATTACATTTGGAATAAGTTAAACTCCCCAGCGCATACGCAGTACCTGTATGAAAATTTCCGATTGTATTCAGAAAATTTACCCTTGGAGCCCATGATTAATGATTTGATCAAAATTTTTATTGAATTGGGGATTGATTACTTGGTTACCCCTTATAATGCTTCGTTTCAATTATCCTACTTGTATCAAGAAAATCTTGTTGATGCAATATATGGATCTACTGATTTATTACTCACCAAGATTGACAAGTTTATCTTGGCAATGGAGTTCCCAACTAGAGAATTTAGATTTGTTGACAAGTTTAGAATGTTGCAAGAATTTGGATTAAATGAGCGTCAATTTCAAGATTTGAGTTTGATGGTTGGGTGTACATTCCAACCTAATACATTCCCCATTTTCCCACCAACCCCTAAACCAGTGCCCAATTATCCACAATTGAACAATTTCAAAATTGGATTGGATATTGTGTATCAGTATATGCAATTTAGTGGCAATAACTCAAACTTGTACGGGTATATCTTGAGTCTCAATGATCCAAAATTAACTGATTTGTACATGAAGGGACAAACGGCAATCAAGTATGTGCCAATCATTAATAAACAAGGTTATACAGAATTGTACAATGTTGAAATGGCCAAATTCAATTTGGAACGAGATGCCGATTTCATCATTGAGGATGATCTTGCCTCCGCGTCAACGTCATCTGCGGGAACTCCAAACGAAAGTAACAACAACAACAACAAGCCAACTACTCCCTCGACTACAAAGATAGTTGCTAAAATACCGGCCAACTTGCATGACATTATATCACAAAGATTGCCCCCAGAGTTTTATTTTTACCAATCGATTGGATTGATGCCTCTTAAATTGTTAAACTCAGTCACGGGTGGTCAATTTGTTGTTCGGCCACCTTTGGAGTTAGGGAACAGTGCTAGTTTTAAAAAATTACTCACTTCGAAATTTTATCTTGATAACCTTGATCAGCAATATAATTTGATAACTCAATTGTTGGCAAGATACTACCAAGTTAAGAAGATCAAGGTTAAGTTTTGGTTTAGAGATGAGATCGAGTTGAATAGTAGAATGATGCCTACTGTTAGTAAGCGTATTGGCCACTTGTTTATTAACAAAAAGCTCGAGACATTTGATTTGAGGACATTCTTTGCACAATCATTGACTGGTGAGTACAATATGAAGGAAGAGCTCAAGTTTAAGGGTGATTTGGTATCAACTGTGGTTTTAAGAACATTATTTTTGTATGGAATTGTTGATGAAAAGAGTCAATTGAGTTCAATTGGTCAAATACTTGAAATTTTCACTCGTGAGACGGCGAAAATCAAGAAAGAGGAATTGGAACATCTTGTAATTATTTTGTTACTTTTGAAATCACAAACTTTGAAACTCAATGAGGTTAACAAGGAGTTTCCTGGGGTGGCAAACCAATATAAAGTTGTGAATTCAACTTATGAATTAAACGCAAGTGAAGTCACTACAATCAATCTCATTTCAAGGGTAATGTCATTAAAGAAGTTCAATTCATCTCCCATCAACTACCAAGGTCCAGTTTCGAGAAACTTGTTAAATTTCAGATCGCATGTCGAATTCATCAATACAACATTACTACATACAATTGAATGTGTCTTGACTGATTTGGTGGTTAGACAAGAACAAAACAATATCAAACTGGCCTATGAAAATAAAGACCAATGGTTGCAATTGATTAATCAATTGCCATTTTTCAAAAATGTAAATAATACATTGATGGGAATTGTAGCTGAGATTTATTTTGAAGTGGCATTGAAGCATCAAAAGACTGCATCAACTACTACAAATGAAGCCGCTACATTTGCAACTAATTACATTGCTGACCACATATTCCAGGTTGCAAATCCATCGTACAATATCAATGTTTATGGCGTTAATTCAACCACTGCTGATCAAATGAAGACTGATTTGAAAGATGCTGTAGCTTGGTGGAAAACATTTGTTGGGTTTATTAAAGTTGTTAATGCCGTTGATAAATCGTTGTGTGATGATTCTTTGTTGAAGGGTATCAATGATGCTGATGAATTTGTCAATCAATTCTCATTGCCTTGAGTGGATAATGTATAGTAAATGTAATTGTGAATAAAAGTTATTCTTTTTTTTTTGTTTTTTGTTTTTTGTTTAATCTTCTCTTAAATCCGAAAATCACAAGACTTCTCCTCTATAACTGTATCTCTTGTGAATTCCACCCATGAAAAGACTTCCCATCGTCACCTCAAGCAGGTTCCTCATAAGAAATTACACTGTACCCCCGTCCATTTCACTTGACCCCCCACAAGTCACAGGTGCAGGTCCATTCGCAGCTCGTCCACATTTCCACGCCATTGGTCACCCATCAACCATACTTTCAATCACCCTCCCCCAATCATCATCCATCTACATCTCCCAAAGCTCAATCTTGGCAGCAAATGTCGAACTAAATACTATTGAAAAAGAGACTGCGTTACTTTACGGAGTACCCTACCAACAATTGAAGGCGACTGAAGCGTCAAACTTGCTCATTCATGAACAAAGCCATTATCGCGTGTTGGATGCTGCAAAACAATGGACGGTGTTTGATAGTAGGCGAATAATAGGGTGGACGGGATCGGATGTGGAGTTTAGTGGCAAACTGTCATCATTTTCTGCAAGTGGTGATTACAATTCGGTAAAGATATCAGGCAAAGGACACATTGTGCTTGATGATGCAAGTTCGACAATTTTCAATTTACAAATTGAACCAAACAATGAAATATTAATTAACCCCAATGCTCTAATCGCAATCAACACCGGTGCCATGCCCCATTTGAAACCACAGGTGTTGACTCCAGGTACTTATGAATTGCATAAATTGGATCTCCCCCATTTCGATTGGCCCCGTTGGATAGTGAACCCAATCAAGCAAGCACAAGCTAGCATAAGTGGGTTTTGGAATCAGTTGAATCCAAGACGTGTATTGGACCCTATTGGTTCCTATTGGGAACCTATAAAGAGACAGTTTAGTAAAATGTGGCATTGGGTGTATGTTAAAATCAATGGTCGGTTGATTAGAAGAAACCCAATTTATTTTAAAGTTACTGGTCCCGCTGAGATCTTGATTGAAAATCAACAAATGGTGGCTAATAATAAAATGTTTAGCAGTGAAGAGATCACCAAGCTATTCAAGCAGAATTAATGAGGTACAATGAGGTTTTCCTAAAAGAAACATTTTTTTTAAAAATACACATACACTTATACACTTGAAACTTATATATAAATAGATAAACATATTCTACTCTCTAAAGTTTTTGCTTTCCATTTTGAGGGTGGGAATGGGGGGTGGGGGGAGGGAGAAAGAAAGATTTTCACTCCTCCCCGAATAAGTTGCCCAATGCCCCATTCTCAGTATAGGGATTATTCATCACATCAACTTCATCAGCACCGATTTTCTTTCGTTTAGCAACTTGATCCAATTCTTTTTTCCTCTTTGTCATGTCATCTTCTTCTTCTCCATATGATCCATTATCTTTAGATATCTTGATCAATTCCAAAAGTGCACTTCGTTGATGTCTAAGCGATTTTGAACTAACCAATAAATTCTCAAAATTGGAAATGTGGTGCGGTTTGATATTTGGTAACTTTTGCATCAATACTCGAGCAGCATAGTCATTCTTGGATCGTAATTGACAGTACAATGTAGTGAGAACTAATGCGGCTTCGCTGTGAGTTTCTATAAAATAGTCATCAAGCAAAACATGCACCAATGATTTTATAAGATTCTCACAAAGAAATTTGTCAACTTCATCGTCTCTCGAAGTGATGTCACTAAGAATGTTTCTAATAACCAAGATGGTATTGAATGAACATTTGGTGTCCTTGAATGCAATTATATGACAACAAATTGTTAAAAATGGTGCCAAGACTTGCTTATTCTCAATCACCAATTTTCGAGCAGCAAATTGTGTATCGGTTAAAGCTTTGGAATTGTATTGTCCCACAATATCCATCAACATTCTCACCACCGTGGCTGTCAATTGTCTCAACATATGTTCTTCCATCATTTCCTCTGACAATGTCTCGTCATCCTCATTCCCTTGTAATTGTAATCCGTCACTGTATACTTTATCCCATTTGCTAACGAGTAATGCATCAATATCACCCAATGCCTTGGGTAACAATTCACTCATAAACACTTCAACAAATTTGACTGGACAAAATTTAATAACGACTCGAAGACAACTATTAATCATGTGTTTCCAAGAATGTAATGTGATTCCTACAGTGTCACCAGCAACCGCCTTCCAAATCATTGTCGCAATCTGGGGTATTTCATAAAGTGTATCTTCCAATTGTGCCAATGACCCAACGGTTAGGAATGCATATTCTCTAGTGTATCTAATCAAATGACCCACTGAATCAGCAAAATCTCTCAATGTCAATGCAGCTTTGACATTCTCCTCTATAAATGTCTCCTTTGATTGGATTGAAACGCCCTGTTGCCAAAATCGTTCAGTGCAACTATACTTGACAAAACTTTGGACTTCAGCAGGTAAGTCTACCCAGTTTGCAGGGTTATGATACGCTTGAATTTGCGTCAACAATTGTAGGATATGCGGTACAATTGGTTGTACGCGTGGTTTCCATAATTTAAGCAAGTTTAAATACTCAGGCAGTTCATGACTCAATTTTTCAATACTATACTGGATGAAAATTCTCGTTGCTCGTATGGGGAAAATTGAACTCCAATGATCTTTTAATTTTTGCTTCAACTCTTTACCTTCATCATCCATTCTGGCTTCTAGTAGATTAGTTGAAGTTGTAATACCCCTCTTTTGGAAATAAGATGCAATTTCAACAATACCAATTCTTTCCATAAACCAATGCAAATCCATCAACCCCTTTTCAGTTTCTGGTGCTGACCAAGCGGCCAAATCAGGATCGACAATTTTGGCGAATAAATCATCCTTGTCATCAATTGATGATCGTGAAGCAATAACCAATAGAAATGACTTGAATGCGACATTTTCATGGGCACTAACTTTATCTGAAGACAAAATGTTTGCCACAACACTCTCCAAATCATTAAAGATGTTTTTCAACGCTTCGGGCATGATATATGCTAATCTATTCAATTCAGTACCACAACTTGCACGCAAATCACGAATTAATTCCTTATCTTCATCAGTGATATTGGGTGGATATGGAAATGTGGCAGTGGTGAGTATTTTTTCAAGAATTTGAAACATCAATGGGCTATCGACTCCCTTTAACAACGGAGCAAATTGAACCAAAGTTTGCACTTGCTTTCTAATAATCAATGGCGATGCTAAATTCATCGCTAATAGCCTTTCACCCAACTGAATCACAAGTTTATTCAATCGATCATCTATTGCCGTGTAATCCTCTCCATTGTACCATATTCTCCATCGAGATATACCTCTAATACTATTCTCAATAATGCTAAATTGTGATGATCCATAGTTGAATGTTTTTGATTTTTCACCCAAGTTGTAATTATTGATACATTGACTACCCAATTCGGAGCTGAAAAAATCCTCCAATCTATTTTCAAGCCAAACAAGTCCCTCTTCGGGTTTTTTGCAAACGGTTATTCTAATGATATCTTCATTAAACTTGCGATAGTTTTGAAGAAAGCTTGTTGCATCGGGAGTTGAATCAAAATCAATATCGAAAAATTTCTTTGAAACGTGTTCATCATCCCAAAGGAAATTGATTGTTCTATTTGCAGCAATATCCAACAACTGCATCATAATGTCAACAATCTGACGCTTAGCACTAAGCTCGTCAAAACGTAATATGGTCACCCACATTTGCAATGACAAACCACTAATGATTAGACTAGGATGGTCAGTAGTCTTTAATACTAATCTTAGGTATCCATCAACATCACTCTTTTCCCAATCGACTTTGTGCTTGGATGAAATATTTAAGTATTCGCTTAGAGACACAATCATTTCAACTGTTTTTTTCAACAATGCATAAACTTGTTCATCAATATCATCAGGGTCTAATTGCAACGATTGATAAAATTCGTCCAACTTGTTGATACCTTCAGTAGTGAATATGGATCCAATGAAAAAGTCAAATTCTTCATCTTGAGCATATGTTCGGGTGAATATAATATGTAAACAATCAACTGCCAATGTCTTGATCTTGACATCAGGTATGGTCAACAAGTTTATCAATGTATTCAATGTATTTTCTTCTCTCAACACTCTAGGATGAATCCAATGTAAACATGTTTTGAATGTAGAAAGAATCTTTGTGACATACTTTTGGTATATTTCATTGTGGTATTCGTTATTGGCAACAACTTCAAGTAAGAATCGTGACCAAGTAACAAACCACCCTTCAGTTGAAGCTTTGCATATAGTAAATTTTGAATTTTTTTCATAAATAGTTTCAAGCACCTTGTCTGGAGTTGTTATTAGTACCGACAATTGATTTAGTACAACACTATTTTTGGAAGCAATTGCATCATCAAGAAGATAGATATCTTCAAAAAGGGTTCTTATGATGGTTAATGACAATTCACGACAAGTGATGTTATTATTCCAAAGGGTCCACAAGTTGGAGTCCATCGATACCCACCCATCTTCAGCTTCTTGTGGCGTTACCGCCGGTTTGTCAGCACCTGCATCTTTCGCATCTTCATCAAGTTCATCATCCTCTTTGCTCAGCTGATCCCTAGATTTTATCAAATAGCTACCCCATATTCTCTTTGCCAATGCAACCCAAAGAAAAGCAATCTTCTCCTTTACATAATGGGGATCGTTATCAAGTATCTTGTTTGCCAATTCAATGACCCAATTTTTTAATGCTGATATTTTAGTTGAATCAAATGTGTGGAATTTATATCTTATGGATACTTGCAACAACGTAAGTCCAAAGTATCGAACTATGTAATTTGATCCATTGTTTTCAGGAAGAGCTAGTTGATACCCCCAAAATGGTGATTCATCGTTGGATTTGATTGTTTCTAGGAAAGATTGCGCTTGTCTCCTTTCATCGTTTGTTGATTTTGGATTGTATACAACTTCCAATGCAGACACAATTTGTTGAACTCCATTAGTATCCATTGTCATTAGGAGTGTAAAAGTTGTATTACAGTGATGATGATGATGGTAGTAGTAGTAGTAGTAGTAGTAGTAGTAGTAGTAGTAGTAGTAGTAGTAGTAGTAGTAGTAAACTGCTGATGTTGTTGAACACTTGCTATGTTTTCAAAAAAGCGAAGCCAATGTGTGTGTGTGTGTGTGTGTTGTAGATGTGTGTGTTGTGTGTGTGTTGTGTGTGTCTGAATGAAAAATTGAAAAACTGACTGAACTGTTAAGATAAGCCTAGCCTTCTGGTGAGGTCAATACAAAACTTTTAAATACCAATTGAGTCAAACAGTATATTGAGGATTGATGTGTAGTGAGATACTCAGTTTGACCTTGGATGTTCTATGTCGAGGCAAACAATGTTGTCAAAAAATAGAGTGTTAATGTTGTATATATCAATATGTCTGTGTTCTCTCCCTCCCTCTGTTGGATCTTCTGTTTTCTTTTTCTCTCTCTCTCTCTCTCTCTCTCTCTCTATGTGTGTGTTAGTGTGTTAGGTGTGTGTGTGTGTGCGTGTGTGTGTTTAGTTTTTGTCTTTTTCTCGCTCAGTCCAGCGAGAGAGAGAGTGTGTGTGAGAGAGAGTGAGAGAGAGTGAGAGAGAGAGAGAAAATTTTAATCACGCAAAAAAAAAAAACTTTTGGTACATACATTACACATCCTGTATATAACACAGTATTGTACAGTACAGTACAGTATAGTACAATATAGTATAGTATAGTATAGAATAGTATAGTATAGTACACAACAAAACATATAGCACACAACATATAGCACACAGCATATAACACACAGCATATAACACAAGAAGGAGTAAAGCAAAATCTCAACTGCTTGATGAAAGATGGAACAGCGAGGAAGAGGAAGGGTCTAGGTTAATTGGTCAATGGTCAATGGTCGATAAATCGCACTAAATATTATGATATTTAATACTAATATTGATATATGTATAAATTACTATTTATATTACTATATATATAACTCAGAGGGCTACATTATACACTTTAGGTCGACACCGCTTTATTCCACCCCCATACACAGAATTTTGTCAAAATAATAGACTTTTCTTGAGCTTCATGTCCAACCCATAATAAAACCATCATTGTACTCCTAGGTATGTGTTGTTCTTACAAACATATCTGTTATTATCATTAACTAACTTCAAACGTATCTGGTTAGATATTTGCTCAAAAGTTTACTCAAAATGTTGTACTCTATTCAATTTTCAACTTTCTCGCTATATCACCATCGTTTAGTTGAATAAAGACTAGGAAGTTAACTGTCTTTGAGCATTGTAATCGATATCGCATAAGACGGGGGTAGATCTGTTTGAGGCAATCATGTGGCTTTTCTTTCTTTTAGTTTGTCTTTGTTATAACTCCGATATAAAATCTCGTTTCAGTAACTCCGATTCTCACAAAAAAAAAAAAACAACAAAAAACAAAATGCCTCAAACTAAGAATAGAATAACCTAAACTAAGAAAGGGAAAGCATCACAAGCTCCTTCCAGTTGGTGTCCCAACTATGCCATCAGTACAGACAAACATAATCATTCAAGCACCACCAGAGCTAGTTAAACAAAAGTTCTTTGACTACCAATCGTACCCCAGTTGGAACCCATTTATGGTGAGTTTCCACAAATATACAAACACGTCTGACCCACAATTGAATGAAGGTGATGAGTTACAAATCGACTTAAAATTAAAGGGAATGAACCACACCAGTACCATATATCCAACAATACTCAACAAGACAGATCTGAGCCTAGTTTGGAAAGGTGCTTTGGTTTCTGATTGGATCTTTTATGGTATACACAAGTTCGCTATTGAATCATTGGAAGGAGGAACTCGTACTTTATTTATTCAACTGGAACTGTTTGGTGGCTTATTAGTGTATATACTACAGTTGTTTGGTGTGTTTAGAAGAACACAAGACTCGTTTATTGAATTTAATGAGGCATTGAAAGATGAAGTTGAGAAGTTGGCACACGAATGTTAGCCAAGTTGACAAGATTGTGATTGAGAGGAAATTAATTGGTAATGGCTTTTGGTAAAGATATCAAGATAAACTGTTTTGTTAGAGTAGCAGTCCCTAATCGTACGGCTCTTGAGAGCGCACGTGCTGCAACGTTGTTCTTTCTTTTTTTTTTTTTTATTTTTTTTTTTTTTGTGTAGCTTTTTTTTTTTTTGTTAAATATGTAACAATGACACAAAATTATAAAATACGACAATCGATTTCAAAATTAGACACGCCCACGTGCCCTCCCTCCTCCTCCCCCCCTGCCTTAAAAAAAAACAAAAACAAATTGCTACAAACATCATCTCTATGTTTGACCCATGACCCTTTAAGACAAGACTAATGGCGGTGAAGTCAATGAGCCAACATATCAAAAAAGCAGAGCCAGTACGAGGTTTCGGTATCGCTTCTCGGCTTGATATCTTAATTGGTCCAAGATGATTAGTGTATTTTTTTAAGAATCTTAATATTAAAATTGAAATTAGTTAATATGGTAGCGTTAATTGAAACACAATAATAATAACAATATTATTAATAATATTAACCATCCATCATTGATGATAATATTAGTCGAAACTTGTACTCATCCAATTTCAATTCATCGATTCTCAATTCTTCCCATTTCTTAGCTTCTTCTAAACGATATTTCAAACCAGAGTGCATTTTTCACAACTTGTCTTCAAGATTGGACAACCTTCCACTGTATCAATATTTGCGCACCACACCACCTCCCACTCAATCTAGTTCAAGATGAAGTTTGGTGAACATTTAAGAAAGGCATTGATCAAAAATTACTCCTTTTATTACATTTCTTATGATGACTTAAAACACCAGTTGAAAAAAGGGTTAAAGGATAACGATTACCATTGGAATAATGAATTGGAAGAGGATTTTCTTAACCAGTTGGAAACAGAGTTGGATAAAGTATATTCCTTCACCAAGGTTAAAAACACCGAGGTCAATAGAAGAATCAAAGAAGCAGAGAAATATGTTCATGAAGTAGTCACCACTTTACATCGTTATCAAAATAATGATCCATTGGTTACATCGCCACCGCAAGAACAAGATTTTGAGGATTTAGAAGAGGAATTGTCTGACATTATTGCCGATGTTCATGATTTGGCCAAGTTTTCTCGATTAAATTATACTGGGTTCCAAAAGATTATTAAAAAACATGACAAAACTACTGGCTACCACTTGAAACCAGTTTTCCAAGCTAGATTAAACTCCAAACCATTTTACAAGGATAATTATGATAATTTGATTGTTAAATTGTCAAAATTGTATGACTTGGTTAGAACTAGAGGTAACCCAATCAAGGGGGATTCTTCTGCCGGTGGTTCTCAACAAAATTTTGTTCGTCAAACAACAAAATATTGGGTCCATCCTGATAACATTACTGAATTGAAATTGATTATTTTGAAACATTTACCTGTGTTGGTGTTCAATGCTGATAAAGAATTTGAACCAGAAGATTCAGCAATCACTTCCATTTATTTTGATAATGAAGATATGGATCTATACTATGGCAGATTGAGGAAAGATGAGGGTGCAGAAGCTATAAGATTGAGATGGTATGGTGGCATGAAGTCAGATCAAATTTTTGTTGAAAGGAAAACTCATAGAGAAGATTGGACTGGTGAAAAATCAGTTAAAGCAAGATTCGCATTGAAGGAAAAGAAGGTGAATGCTTACTTGTCAGGTGAATTGAAAGCTAGTGAAATCTTTGACAAGATGAGAAAGGAAGGTAAAAAAAGTCCTCAAGAAATTGAAAATTTGGAACGATTGGCTCAAGAAGTTCAATATAGGGTTCTCAAGGACAAGATGCGTCCCGTGATGAGATCTTTTTACAATAGAACGGCATTTCAATTACCAGGCGATGCCAGAGTTAGAATTTCCTTGGATACTGAGTTGACAATGGTTAGAGAAGATGATTTTGATGGGTATGACCGTACCCATGGCAATTGGAGAAGAATGGATATTGGGGTTGATTACCCATTCCCACAATTGCCCGAAAAGGATGTTTGTAGATTTCAATATGCAGTTTTGGAAGTGAAATTACAAACACAAATGGGCCAAGAACCACCAGCTTGGGTTAGAGATTTGGTCAATTCTCATTTGGTTGAAGCTGTCCCTAAATTTTCTAAATTCATCCATGGTGGGGCCACCTTATTGACTGAAATGGTTGATCTTTTACCATTTTGGTATACTCAAATGGATGTTGATATTAGGAAACCAAAAATTGTGCAAGAATATGGTATTCAACGTCACCAAGGTCAATCACAACAACAAAGATTAGGCTCAAGCACCAGTGGTAACGATTTAGATGAAGAAGAGTTGACTGGCTCTTCGTATACAGGGGTACATTTTTCAAACGATGTTAATCCATTGGAAGAAGATTTGGATGAACAAACGCCACTTTTGTTGCCCAATAATTATACCTCCCGTCGTACCAACTCGCCAGTCAAGAACTTTCTTTATCGCCTTTATGGTAAATTCTTGTACTATTTCAACGATGATCGTACATTTACCGTCAAACCAGGGACAAATTACGATTTAAATGCCACGTTTAAGGACAAGTTACCGCCAGGAAAGACAATTTGCGTGCCAGTTAGAATTGAACCTAAGGTGTATTTCGCTAATGAACGTACATTTCTTAGTTGGATAAGTATTGGTATGTTGATGGGATTCACAGCGACTGCATTGTTGAACTATGGAACCAATAGCGCATTGACTGCCAGTATTGGTTTTTTCATCACGGCGTTGTTTACGTTGGGATACGCTACTTATAGATATATTTGGCGTGTGTTGATGATTAGAGAAAAGAAACCAGTTCAGTATGGTGACAAGTTTGGACCCAACATGATTTGTTTATTCTTGTTTTTGGCAACATTCATTTCGTTTGTGTTTAAGTTTACAGAGTAAAAAAGGGGGGGGGGATGAACATAGTATAGTGAGAAAGAGAGAGAGAGTGTGTGTGTCTGTATGTCTGTGTGTCTGTGTACTAAAAGAACAGTTGTATATTTTCGATTCGGTACCGAAAAAAAGGTACAAGAACCACCAATATGGAGATATCGGTTTATGGGTGTATCGTGATGCCTTGTTTCTTTTCGGCATTGACATTATTTCTCTTTGCGTTTTACCGATATTTTGTAAGGGGGATGGTGAATCTCTTTCTCCACGATCGCAAATGCTACCCCATTGGGATGACTGTATGGGTACGTACTGCATACAAGCCAGTGAAAATCGGACCGCAATCCGTTTTCGTCAATGATTTGGTGTTTCTCGGCGCCCATACCGCAATAGCGATTTTATTTTTTTTTTTCATTTTTTTCTCTCTTCTCTTTTTGGTTGAGATCTGATAAAATTGATGAAATAGATAAAAAAAAATTTTCGCTACTTTTCAAAGTATTTAAGAACCACCAAGTATCACGACTTTTGTAAGATCCCATTGATCATGACTGAACAAGAGAATAAACCAGAAATGCCAACTATCAGCTCGGCGGTCAAAAATATAGCTCACACAGCAGCAAAGCTGTATTCGAAATTATCATCACCAATGACAAATTTACCTCAACGCAGCCATACTCCAATACCCATATCGACAAATATCTTGATTGTTGGTGGTGCATACGCAGGAATCGCAGCCTTGCGTGCTTTACAAATCAATTTGTCATCGCGTATCCCCAAAGACGGTAACAAAATTAGCATAACTTTGGTAGAGCCTAAAGACGGACTATTAAATATTTTGGGTATATCGCGATCTATTGTTAGTACCCAGTTTGCTCAAACACAATATATTCCATTCAACAAATTGGACCATATCAGATTCAATAGTATCATATCTGATGATGTTAGTAAACAGCATTACGATTCATCATGGTTTACACAAGCAGGTGATGCTTATGAAAATCAATTGCAATTGAATTTCATTCATGGACGTATAACGTCATTGGATTTACAATCAGCGGAATATACGTTGAACAACTCAACTACTGAAACAGGCAAGATTGAATTTGATTATGTGATTATGGCAAGTGGAAGAGACCGTAATTGGCCAACTACACCATTGGCAAACACCCAACAACAATTTTTGGATGAAGTTGGACGAGCCAAGAGTCAGATTGAACAAGCAAACATCATCTCCATTATTGGTGCTGGTGCAGTGGGCACTGAAATTGCCGGAGATATCAAAACAGCATACCCTGATAAGACAGTCAATTTAATCCATCCTCATGAACATTTCCCACCTGAACCATTAAGTTTGGAGTTCAAAACAATGGTGCAAGATTCAATTGAACGATCAGGGGTCAATATATATCTAAACACCCGAATTGAAAAAGTATTGGACGATAACAACAATTTACTCACAACGTCACAAAAAGTTATTGAATCGGACTTGAATTTCCATTGTTGTTCCAAGCACAATAATACATTATTTTTATCACCACAACTCCAAGATTATATCGTCAATGGACAAGTTAACACCAATGACTATTTACAGTTGACTAACCCAAACACTCATCTCACACAGGAAAATTTCTTTGTTGTTGGTGATTTGGTAAATTTCCCCATTATTAAATCTGCTGGATGGGCAATGTACATGGGACGTCAAGTTGCCAATAATATAACCAGTTTGATATTTGATGCAACCTTGGTTGAACCTATGCCCGATTTATCGAGTATGCCTTATGGAATGGTGATTGTTGGTGGTAACGAAGAGATTATTAGTGAATTGCTGGGTGATGTGCAATTGAATCATGAAGGGTACAAGAAGGAGTATCTTGATTATTGTATTGGTAAAGTAAGAGCTACACTAGATGTATAAATGAGAATCAACACAACCACCACGCCTATGTTTCAGGCTTTTTGCATTTTACGGTACCTTGTAGATATACAGTTTTGTCCACAGGATGAAACAATGTCAATTCAAATTCATTTGCACCTTTGGCGATAATCAGTATTGCAGCTTCTTCATTGACAAAAAACGGTTCAAACGTGCGATACTTGAAGTAATGAGCAACAAGATCGGGATGTTGTAGACTAAAGTAATACAATATCAATGTCACTTGAAATGGACCATGAACGAGCAATGTAGGCAAATTTTCAATTGAATGGGCGTATCTAGCGTCAAAATGGATACGATGTAGGTTATAAGTGAGCATGCTATACTTCATCAAGTCAATGGGTGATAGTTTGAATGTGACTAGCGGTTCATGATGAGTCAATTTGGGAAAATTGTTTGGCGCATATAATCTGTTTGTATACAGCAATGTCCTATTCTCAACTAGTAGCTCACGTCCTTCTGAAGTAGTGTATTTACGCTCAATATCAACAAAAACATCTTCATTGAATGGTTTAACCGTTTTGACCTGCTCAGTGCATTTCATAGCAGTATTCAATTCTGGTGGTTGAACAAATTGAATGGCTCCTTTGGCCCATAATCGTCTCATGTATAGTTGATGATTATCAATCACCGGTGCTTGGTAGTTATCGTATCCATCACTTCCCAAATGCTGATTCGTTTGACAGTTGAAAATGAAATGAAACCCTCGAAACCAGCTCTTTTGTGCTGTTGAGTTCTCCGTTGCCGATTGATCCAGTGGTTGTGTGATTTTGAAAATACCTTCAAGTAAGTTGGTCAAGTTGGTAATAGGACCAATGGAGTAAGTGTCCTTTATGACAAAGGTTTTGGGCTTGATGAGACGACCCCATTGTGCTATACACTCCCTCGTGATCATTGCTAATTGTAACAACTAAATGAATGTGTGTGCTTCGGAGATTTGATCAGAAAACTTTATCCTACGCTACCAATCACTCACATGGGAAATCTTTGTGCGATTGGCGGTGATGATTTTTCTGCATCTCATCTCTCTAATTTATGAATCAAACTGCCTTGTGTACCCCCTTCCATCATGAGTAGCACCAGTGAAGCCTTGAAACGGATAAAAAACAAACAAAGAAGACAGCAAGTATATGCCGACATCAAGAGACAAAAAGTCAAAGACCGCCATAAATTACGAGCAGAACGAGCCGATGAAGAACGTAATAATCCTGAGTTACGAGAACAAAGAATTGCCGAAAATATTCCTGCTACAATCGATTCCAAACGAGTTTACGATGAAACTCTCCTGGCAAAAATTGAAGGCGATGAAGATGAGTTTAGTGAATATTTCACCAATTTATCCAAGGATCCCAAAATCCTTCTCACGACAAATATTGGTGCCAAGAAACCAGCTTATGAGTTTGCTGACATGTTGATGGATTTCCTCCCCAATACCACATTTGTCAAACGTAAAAAAGACTTTAATATTCAAGATATGGCCAAGTTTTGCTCCAATAGAGAATACACATTGTTGGCAATTATAAATGAAGACAAAAAAAAAGTTACGGGATTAACATTGGTCAACTTACCCGAAGGACCGACATTTTATTTCTCTATAAGTTCAATAATTGACGGCAAGAGAATAAAAGGTCATGGTGTGGCCACGGATCATATACCAGAATTAGTACTTAACAATTTCAACACTCGATTGGGTAAAACTGTTGGCCGTTTATTTCAATCTGTTTTTCCCCATAAACCCGAATTACAAGGAAGGCAAGTTATAACATTGCATAACCAACGTGACTACATATTCTTGAGAAGACATCGATACGTGTTTAGGAATGAAGAAAAAGTAGGACTACAGGAGTTGGGACCACAGTTTACCCTTAAGTTGAGAAGGATGCAAAAGGGTGTCAAGGGTGATGTTGTGTGGGAATTTAGACCTGATATGGAGAGAGACAAGAGAAAGTTTTATTTATAGAGTGTTACTATGTTCAAAGTTGTGAGGTGACACGTCTTGGATTAGAGGCATCCATTATCCAAGATAGCGCAACTACCACGGGAAATGTTGAGAGGGACATTAATGTTTGATAGCTTATTCACTTCTCAGCTTTGTGTCGTATCTGTACATTTATTCAACCTTTTGCATAGCACACATTTTGTAAATCTAGATCTAATTTGATACATTCAATAACATAAAGCGTCGGTGCACTTCCTTCTCTATCTTGTAGTCTTGATTGAAATGTGAGTTATACTTCTTTTCTATTGCTTTCACATAGTAATTTTAGTCGTTTGCTTTCGGGCTATTTCGTTGGACAAGTATTGAGTGCAATGACTTTTTGCGTCACTTCTCAAAATTGCGCGGCACAAACTTTGTCGACAAAAGCACCATCATGAGATTCACTATACTCCTCACTGCATTTGCTGCTCTTGTAGTGTCATCCCAGACCGCGTTTGACACGAATACAGCACACACTGTCAAGCAATATCCATCTTATACTCTTTTCACTAGATCGATTGCTTCCTTGGGATTAGAATCGCCATCAGTAGGTCAATACGCAGGATACTTCAAATGTGATTTGACACAACAAAGCTTGTTTTATTGGTTCTTTGAGAGCAGAAACAATCCAGCTACAGACCCATTAATTCTTTGGCTTACCGGTGGACCCGGCTGCTCTTCAAGTTATGGATTATTTTTTGAATTAGGTCCAAGTTCAATAAACGCAAAGTTAGAACCGGTACGCAACCCATGGTCGTGGAATTCCAACGCGTCCATAATCTTTCTAGATCAGCCTGGCTACACGGGGTATTCATATGGTGGTTTGCCCGCTCTCAATACCGATACAGCAACTCAACCGATTTACATCTTTATTGAATTCTTTTTTGATCGGTTCCCTCAGTTTAGAAAAGTTCCATTCCATATTGCTGGTGAGTCGTACTCTGGCCATTACATTCCCAACTTGATGCACCAGTTCAAGAAAAATCAACTCACCATTACATTCAATGTCAGTTCTGTGCTTATTGGAAATGGGATTATTGATCCCTTAACACAAATTGGTGCTTACAGGCCCATGGCATGTGGAGGTGGTGGACACGAGAGGCTTTTGAATGAACTGGTATGCCAAGGGATGTTGGACAAGTATCAAGAATTTAAACGGTTTGATGAAGTGTGTTACAAATATGGGGAACTCTTTTCGTGTGTTTACGCTAGAAAATTGGGCAATGAAGTGGGTGCTCCATTCAACGAGCTTGGGCTTAACCCTTATGACATCAGAAAGGAATGCGTTGCCAATACTTCTGATTGCTACCTTGAGTCTCAACCGATAGATCAATATTTGAATCTTGATGAAGTGAAAAGGACGCTAGGAGTACCCTTGGAGATAGAGTTTGAGATGTGCAAAGATTCAGTTACATGGCCATTTGAAGTTTATGGAGACAATATGCGCCCATCTCAGCAATTTCTTCAAGACTTGTTAGAGCAAGATATCCCAGTTCTCATCTACGCTGGTGACAAGGACTATGTTTGTGGATGGGTTGGTTTGTTAGATGTTTGCAACAAGTTAAACTATAAACAATTTGAAAAGCAACAATTGCGTCCTTGGGTGACAAGCAACAAGGGTATTGTAGCTGGAGAGGTAAAGAACTTTGACAAATTGACATTCGTGAGAGTGTATGATGCTGGCCATATGGTGCCCTTTGACCAACCACAAAATGCGTTGGATTTGGTCAACCGTTGGACCCGAGGTGATTATGGGTTTAACAAAGGCTCTGTGTAAATGTGTCATAGCTTATTTCGTGTTTCTTTTTGTATAGAAAGGCTCAAGTTACTTCGCCTTCGTTTATTACATTCCCTTTGCACTGGCGGCTTTAAACATATTTTTTTCGCGCCGTACCATTAAGTGGGAAAAACGTTCCCAATCTTTTCTCCGCCGTTTTTCGGATTTAGGAAGCGCAAATAAGCCGAAACGAATAAAGGTGTGGTTACTTTCTTTCGTACCAAGTATCAACCAAACAACGCCAGTAAAACTACCACTCAAAATAATGAAGCTCACTTACTTGGCGGCGCTGCTTGCTATTGCATCAGCAGCACAAGTCCCATTCGAAATCCCCAATGCTAAAGACTCATTCCCCTTTGGTGATGTTAACATTGATAGTTGGACATTTCAACAAACCAATGCCTTGCAGCAGGAGTGGGCTAAAAATGTAGCAAAATTTGGCAAAGATAAGCTCTTATCCATGTATTCTCAATACAAGTTGAATTTTGCTCCACCAAGGACTGATTTAACTTACGACTTGACGTCCGGTGCTTCGACTCCAGAATTGTTGGGGTTTGATGCAGTCAAGCAATATTCAGGGTATTTCACAATTGAGGAAGCAGGTAAAAAGTTCTTTTATTGGTTTTTTGAAAGTAGAAATGACCCCGCAAAAGATCCTTTGATTTTATGGTTGCTGGGTGGACCTGGCTGTTCGTCAAATATTGGACTTGCTATGGAATTGGGACCATCATTGATCAATGCCACAGTGGTACCAGAATTCAACCCCTACTCATGGAATTCAAATGCGTCTATTGTGTTTTTGGACCAACCGGCTCAAGTTGGATTCAGTACTGGTGGTGACATTCCATTCACTACCGAACAAGCTGCTGTGGATTTCACCAATTTTGTGGCCCTTTTCCGGGAAAAATACCCTCAATATGCTCATTTGGATTTTCATATTGCTGGAGAGTCTTATGCCGGTCATTATATTCCCAAGTTTGCGTCAAGCGTTGTTGAAGCTGGCTTGCCGTTGAAATCGGTGCTTATTGGAAACGGTATAACAGATGCAGTTGTACAAGCTGGACAAGTTGCTAATATGGGATGTGGTGCCGGAGGTATTGGCAAGATTTATACTGATGAAGAATGTGAGTCATATGATACGTATTACCAACGGTTCGTACCATTTGGTTTGCTTTGTTATCAGTATCCCAATCCCGTCACTTGCTTTATTTCAATCTTGGCCACCCCCAATAAACCCGATAGTGGTGATTTGAACCCATATGATTCAAGACAAACGTGTGATTCCTCTAATCCATTATGCTATCCACAACTCAATTACATCACCGACTACTTCAACGAACCAAAAGTTCAACAAGGATTGGGTGTGGATAAGAATTTCACTGCTTGTAATAATGAAGTGGGAGTCTCGTTTTTAACTGACCATAATATGCCATATCAACAATATATTGCTGAATTGTTGGAAAAGAACGTTCCGGTGTTGATATATGCTGGTGATAAGGATTTGGTTTGTGACTGGTTGGGAAACTTGGCATGGGTTAATAAATTACCATATTCTGATCATAAACGATTCAATGCTACTAAGTTTGAACCTTGGATTACAAGGGAAGGACACAAAGCTGGTGAAGTTAAGAATTATAAACATTTTACATACTTGAGAGTGTTTGATTCCGGTCATATGGTTCCATTAGACCAGCCACAAAATGCATTAGATATGGTTAATCGTTGGATCCAAGGTGATTATGCGTTCAAACTTGACAAACATATTATAGTTTAGACTTGTTTAATACAGAAACCAAGTTTTGATATACTTGTAAACTAGCTCCATAACTCAATTCGTAACCCATTCCACCAGCACCATAGTTGTTAATTACTGGGTGACCCTCATGATATTCAATTGATGTATTCAATCCACCCACTCTTGCTGGCCTCAATCCAACATTGACCCTTTCAACATCGAAATACGATTCTCCAGTGATAACATTAGTCTTTTTCAAATCAGGGAAATACTTATTGCCCAATTGAATCAAATGTCTTGTATCCTCTTCTCGAACGCCAGTGTATGAGTCGTTTTTTTGTTTGGTTCCTCCAAGTATAACCCCTCCATGCAATGGTCTTGGAATGATAAAGATCCATGATCCATCTCGCAATTGGTGAGTTACTGTCTTGTCCAACTTGAATGACCTCGGTGGCTTAATGAGTAAAGTTTGACCTCGAATGGGGTAGCATTGTGGGTCATAACCACCATCGTATTGTAGTCCAGTGCCTGTGCAGTTGATAATAATTGGAGATTTAAACATCCCAATAACCTGTTTTAAGTTGTCCAATTTCTTGTGAATAAACTTGACATTTTGTTGGAATAGCAACTTGCGGTAGATATACCCCAAATATACAATTGTGTTGACGACCCATGTATCGTACTTGAATCCAACAAATCCTTCTAAATCATTATTTCTGGTGAAATTATTCATTCCATCACTATATCCGTACCCCACTTTCTTGTACAAATCATTGGCGTCTTGCAAATACTCCAATCCATCAACAAATCGAATCGAGCTTTCGGGATCTCTTGCAGCCACTTCGGCAAAATACTGCAATGTGTCTCTCGTCATTTTCATTTCTTTCTTATCTTGATCATTGGCACTGGGGAATGGACGAAAATGCGCACCGGCCCAAGGCGATGTGTACTCATGGGAATTTGACATTGTTGTGTTCAACTTTGGATCGTGGGGTCCATATTCAGCAACAACGTAAATCTCGTGCTCATCCGTCACTTTTTCACTCAATGTGAGAGCAGTTGTGAGACCTAGGATTCCTGCTCCAACGACTACAATCTGTAATGGCATTTGTTACTGTGGTGAAAAGGAGTTGAGTTGTTGCAAAATAAATCGGGTGATCTAAACCGCACAATGATTCTCTCCTGAATAAATATGATGCGGCGAAACAAAGACAGGAAAAAAAAAAAAGGCGCAGAGAAGAGTGAAGAGACTATTGATCAAGAGGTACAACTCAATCTATCCCTTGAAAGATGATGAAATATAAAGATATTGTGCCAATTGGTACCGTTTTAATCATTGCATCCACCTCATTTGGTCTCGGAGCAATCTATGCCAACTGGCCCTATGACTTGAACACATTATGGCGTGCCACTGACCCCAATGCATTTGCCAAATCATTAGTTCATTACCAAACATGGGCCCAAGCACCAATGTACGTCCATTATGTTTTGCATGCCGTGGGGTTTATTGGTCTTGTCGGTCATTTCATCAAGCTTTATAAGCCAGACGAAGAGGCAAAATATTTCGAATATGGATCATTAGCATTATTTATGATTGCTATTGTCATTTACTTGACCAATTTACGAACTGGGATTAATGCTGCCATCACTGGTGAATGGGGTGAAGTTGATTCCAAGACTGGGATTAATGTAATTGCTGCTTCTCAAGTTATGATTATTTTAGTTCTTGTTGGTGTTTTGGTATTGCAAGGTGGTTTATATTATGCTCAATGGTATGATGAAGAATTGAAAAAGGAGTTTTATGAGACTGAAGCTAGGGAAGCTGCGTTGGCTGCTGAACGTCAAGCCAAGCAGGAGGAGGACATTATTGCTTCCACTAATGAGGGTGGAAGTGATGATGCTAATGTTGAGATTATTGCCGAAAGTGATAGAACTGCAATTGACACTAAGGGAAAGAAGAAGAAATCAAATACTGTAAAGAAGAGGAAATCTTAGGGGTGAGAAGTACTTTTGATTGTGTGTAGTGTAGTTATTCGTATATGAATTGTACAATGTATGCATTTTTACAGGGTCGTGCGATGCCACCACATTTCTAATTATTTTGAGCCAACCAATGGGGCCCACCAAAAATTTCATTACGCATTCTAATCACTCTATTTAGATCAACAAGAAGCCTTTTCCTTTACAACACAAGAATGTCAGAAAAAGTCTGGGGTGATAAACCAGTATATTTTAAACAACCAGTAAGAGTATGTGATAAGTGATTGATATTGCCAATGCGTGGGGAGAAAGAGAGAGAATAGTGTGATGGGACCTGGAAAAGATATGCAAGTATCAACTTTGGTCGGTTAGATCCAGCAAAGTCGAAACTTCGTGAGTCAATTTAGGATCAATGAGACCTAACATGCAACAATTCAGTCGTGTTCTGTTGACGTTTGCATCAGTCAAGAGCATCCCCCCTCCCCTTCACAGCGACTTCCCTCCACACGTTCTGAACAATACTAACTTCATCAACTTTTTAGTGGCTCAGATATCATGCACACGTTAACCCAGCACTTTTCCTAGCTGTTTCATTAGGTGCTGCTGCTCCGGTGCTATTATTAGCTACGCCATTGAGAAGGAAGTATTTATATTCTGATCACGAACCTATTCCTATGGTTTATCCATTACCTAATAGGCCTAGAGAATCAGGTTTAAAGGGGTATGATGATTAACCTGAAGTAGGTTTTGGAGAGAGGGGAAGTAAGATGGTGTTGTAAAGACAGGATGAATGGGTGAACTTTGTACTTTTTGATTAAGTGATCAGGTATATCTTCATGTTTATTTATATAAAAGTCTGTGGTTATTGTTAAATGGAGGAGAATAATCGTAGTCACATATCATATGCTCTTACTCTTTAAAAAGTACGTTCTATTTAAGCTATGTGGTCACAATAAATTGTCTTCTTTCAACCATCAACGACAAAATCCAATGAAATGAAAAAAAAAAAAATTGTTTGCATAAAAATTTTCAGAATCCTAGACCTGAACCTTGTATCAGTCCCTTTCTGCACAATGAACAGGTGGTCAGTACTAACGAGGACACCTCTCTTGAGGCTAAGCATACCCCGAACAAGAGCCACTGTATCATTACTCAGCGTGGCCCAACTTCGTTTCAACAGTTCTTCATCATCTCCATTTGGTAAATTAACCACTAATCCTATTGAAGAGATGGACAAGGCAAAGGAACAAGATGCAGGTAAAAAAACAGCTAGTGAAATAGCTAGAAACGAAGATGGTGAGGTTGATATCAGCTCAATAACTCCCCAAAACGATGAACAATTGATTGAGTATTATAAACAACAACAACAATCACAACAAAAGAAGCACAAACAACAGCCTAAATTGGAAGATTTAGTTCATCCTTTAAAAATTCAATTATTTAATCAATCAGTATCTGATCACGGATTTTTCAAAAATGATCAAATTGTTACTCATGAGGGCAAATCGTACAAGTTTCATTTAACTCCCCAAGAAATTGAAATTCTTGAACCATCGATCTATCTTTCGTCATATCGGATAAAATCATCAATGAAAAAAGCAACGGTGGTGAATCGTTTTGTACGTGGGTACGATTTAAAAACTGCCATTAATCAATTACATTTCAACCCAAAAAAGATGGCTACTGAATTGGAAAAGTTGCTAAAGAGAGGTTTGGCTACACTGCAAGAATTGGGGTATGATGAAGATTCAATGTATATTGCCCGGTTATGGACAGGTAGTGATGGTGAATGGAGGAAAAGATTGGATATTAAAGGAAGAGGAAGACATGGTGTTATCCATCATCGGTATATTCATTTGAAATGTGTTTTGAAAACAGGTCAAACTAAACAACGATTGGCGTGGGAAAAGCAACAAGCTGAGGCAAAGAGTAAACCAAAAATGTATTTGAATAATGAACCATTGAATATTAAAGTGAGACCATGGTACAAGTGGTGAAGTGAATGAAAAGTATTGTAAATAGATTAAATATAAAGCACACTTTTGGAATAGCTTAATTGTGGGAATGTTCTATGGAGGATGTAGACCGGGTTGTGTAGCGGAGAAGAGATCAGTAATGCGATTAGATAAATGTTGCAAAAGAGTAAACCTAATGGTTCCCTACATAAAGAGCCCCTTTTTCCTATTATGTTTCTTCATTTAGACATATTTATATAACTCTTTTCAATAACAAACTTGCCTTCCTTGTAGCTTTCACTATAACTATAACTCTTCTTATATCTCCAGCCAACAGTCTTTTTACATTGTTGGCATTTAACCTTGTTAATCTTGTACAACCCAGTGCGCATTGATGTATCTTCAGTTATGGGACTAATGTCAACATTAATCAACTGTTCAACCAACAATGCCGGACCACTGGAACCATTAAAATTATCAGACAACACCAAATTGGAAAGACAAAGGTGACTTGAGCATCCTTTACAGGTAAAAATGTGGGTATCGGGGCAAGTGTATTGGGAATTGTCAAAGTAGTTGGTATACTTTAATCCCATCGCGTGTGTAGAACTGAAAATAATAACGTAACCAGTGGGTAGGGGTGGAAGGGGTAGGGGGTGGAAGCGAGAAGGTACGAGTTGCTTTCTGTGTGTGTTGGGGGAGTATGTGTATGTGTGGGTGTGGGTGTGGGCAGAAGTGGATGATGATGATAAAGAGCAAACCACTGAGAGTGTTTTGCTGTTGTGTGCCAGTGTGGTAGTAACTGCTCTCTACCTCCTAGCCAAAGTCTTCCAACTATATTTGAATACTAATATTGTCTTGAGTAAAGCTGAGTAGTGGTGGTGATAATATGTAAAAAAAGGAAGGAAAAAGTGTGGTTTTTTATGGAAGAGTATTTGTATATTTCCTTAAAATTATAAAACAGAGTGTAGTGTATGTATGACTTGTACTATACTATACTGTAGTATACTCTACTGTAGTATATTTATTGTAACCCTAATAAAAATAGTGTAAGTGTAATGCAGACACAAAGAATGCCCAACCTATTACTACAACAGAATCAAAAGGGTATAGACTCATCAAACTGTAGTACTACTGCTGTATTAGTTGTTGTTGTAACCTAATATAATCTATATCAGTTGTAGATAGAAAATACTAATTCCTCCTCCTCCTCCTCCTCCTCTTCTTCTTATTTCTTGTTATCTTTCGTCTATGGTATTTGATTTGTGCTGTTCTCTCCCCCTTCCCCCCTTCCTCCCCATATTATTCAAGTTTTGTATTGAGAATGACGCCATTAATTAAATGAGGTTAGAGATGAAATAAACACAAACAAGCAAAAAGAATGAAGAGCTACATTTGTAACCTAATAATATTCATGAATGAAGAGGTAAACAGAATGTCTGTCTGTTTGTCTGTTTGTCTGTCTTGTTTGTCTGTTTGTCTGTCTTGTTTGTCTGTTTGTCTGTCTTGTTTGTCTGTCTGTCTGTTTGTACCACTACTGCTACTATTACTTACTACTCCACTGTTCTTTAGAAAAAGAATATCATACAACGTTGTATAATTCTTTAAATACACTAAAAATTAAAAATCACGCACAGACAGACAAGCTCAGACACAGACACACATAAGAACTTACACAATCAAAAACCCTATTCATATATATATATATGGTCACATACTCCTATTTGCTCTTGATCAAAGATTCTTCTCGGTCTTCGGTCTAAAGGCTTGGATATATAGTCGCCACGCACTCACTCACACTCACACTGACTCACACTAACTCACACTAACTCACACTAACTCACACTCACGCATATTCCTAAGCACCAACACTAGTAGAATATCTACCATGACGGAAAACCGGTTGGGTTTCTATTCCCTCCCAACCTAAAACTTTTCTCCTCCGTTTTTAAAACTTTGTGTGCATTGATTGAACCTAAGGGTCACGTAAACGTAATGTGAGTAAGTGTGTGTCTCAATTGTAATTTATATGTTCTGTTAATATTCCGTCATACTCCGACACTTTCCATTTTGGTAATCAACTCCGAGGGTTTATAGCATGATACTAATACGGTGTGATTTGCCTAGCTCAAGTGTCGCAATGTGCAATAGTACGACATCAAAGAATGTCAGACACAAATACAATACAATACATTTCATTACAATCTCAGACAGTAAAAATAATCTTCTTATCTTATCTACAAAAGAGACAGAAATATACACAAAATGTTAAATTGCTATTGGAAACGACTCTTGAATCCAACAATCTAAGTCATAGAGCTTTTATTTTACCCCTAGAAGGCAATACATTCTTTTCTACAATTAATGTAGTCTTTTTATATCTATTATTACCCTACCTCTCATCTTCACCCTCTATCCTACTCTATTCTATCCCTTGTTTTTTTTTTTTTTCTTTCGGAGTTAGCTTCGTATACACCAACACATAGGCATTTGCATCCAGTAATGCCTTTCTCTCATCAATACGATTGATATATTCGTCATCATAAGTACTCCAACTCACTCCGTCAGGTTGTAACACATGACAAATGTAATGACCACTTGAGATTGATCTACCTTCATGAACAATCACAGCAATCAATTGATATTTAACTGGAGTAGTACCATCATCACCACAACCACTACTATGTTCAGTTGTTTCCCTATCCATGTATTTAGTCAAATCAAGGTATTTTGAGTAACTTATTCCCTGCTTCACTTTACTCAGTGAGTTCCCATCAAATTTAAATCTTTTTAAATGAATAGTCAATGTTTCCGGTGCCGTTAAAATGGATGAAATCTTGTTGGCTTGGGTGAAAGCCTGGCATTTATCACAAAAATACCCCAGTTTGGAATCTTGATCATTTTTTCGAATAACTTCATTACTGAAAAATTCATTAATTGATTTTTCAATTGTAAATCGACAACTATTTTGATACTTCTTCTTGTTTAATCCCAACGATAAATCATAAAACTCTTGTCTTGTAGAAGAAATATTGTGACATTGTTGACAATCAATCCTTTGATGTAGTAATCCCCCAAAAATATCATAAATTATCGATTCATTCAATTTATGTCCTTTTGGTACACTATCCTCTTGTAATCGGGACATTAAACTCATATAGTACTCATGACTATCCTCTTGTTGCCACTCACTCATCATACAATTGATATCATCTAATCGTTGAATTATTCGTTTGGGATTGATATATTTGGCGGTGGGTTTGTTTGGATTCCACATTCTCCTAGATAGATCAGCCAATATGTGACTGATTGATCGCGGTTTCAAATTGGCAACTTTACCTTGATTGATATCATTTAGATAATGTTGGAAAGCAGGAATATGAATCAATGTTTGTATGGCTGAATTCATATAACATGTAACTCCATGGTTTAATAATCCCACTGGTGGTTTGGCATTGGTTAACTCACGCCAGTTTTTGTAAATTCTTGTTGATCCATTGGATCCACAATCAGATGGTAATTCATTAAATGCATAGTATTGGTTTTGAAATTTACTACTCTTTTGTTCGTCACTATCTTCTGGTGATGTAGGTGGAGTTGAACTAGACTTGACGAAATTCACACCATCTTGACCATTGACTAGCTCTTTTGGCTTCTCCTCTCTCTTTTCAACTCGCCTTGTAATTGTATGCACTCTCCCTTGCCCATTAACAAGTTGATCAATTTTCAAATCGTGTCTCAATTTGTCCACATCTTTATCTTCATCCACATACTCACCATCGCCTGCATCGCTCTCCAATGATGGTGTGCTCTCGGTAGAAGAATGACTTGCTTCAATCTCATTCTCGTTATAACTTACATCTCCCTCCTCATCACTCTCGTCAGTGCTATCACCGACTTCAGTCACTTCAACATCTTCAAAGTCCGGATCTTCCTCTTCTTCCTCCTCCCCCTCTTCTCCTTCTTCTTCCTCTCCAGTTTCGCTCTTTTCTGGCTCGCTGAATCCAGTGAATGGAGAATTTTCATCATAAATCTCATCAGCTGATGATGATGATGATAACGGCGATCCACCTTCTTCATAGCCTCCTTCTCTTTGCAAAAAATTAAACTTTTTCGAGTTGCTCTCCCTTTCCTGTTCTACTTCTCCCTCTCCTTCAACAAACACCTCACCAACATCTTCTTCTTCCTCACCATTGGAAACACCACCAAAAAGTGATTTGAGTGATCCCCACAATCCCTTTGATTTCTTGACTTGCGGTTGGTCGGAGGGATAGAGGTCCCCATCGTCATACTCCACCTCATCCACTCCATATTCTTGTCCTTCATCATCACTGTCATCAGTTTCAACCTTCAACCTCTCCATCCGCTTCTCCTCCTTCTCCTTCTCTCTATTCTCCATCTCTGCCAATTTCCTCTTTCTTTTCCTCTCCCTTGGTCCATCATATTTGTTCCCACTATATGATGCAACCGCCTCAGCTAATGATTTAGGTCTCTTGACTCCACTATTTACACCTTTCCCACTGTTTCTGGCACTTTGTAATACTGCAGAACCATTGATACTGCCATTTTGCTTCATTTCTTTACTATCACTGGCTCTCGCGGTATTTTTAGACAAGATTATGTACGAAGCAGGTAAGTGTTGTGATGTTGATGAGTAATTCTCTTGATGTTTTGCTGGAGTGAATGTGATCGGTGTGGTCAAGTACCTGCTCAATACGGGATTAGTGGATTGAGTACTAGATTTACTTTTCGATAAAGGTGATGTTGTTGTGGCGGTGGTGATAGTGGTGGAAGTAGTTGTTCTTTGGTTTGACATATGAAGTTGATATTACTAGCCTAAACCAAAAATTGCAAAAAAAAAAAATGTAAAACTAAAGTTAACACACACGCACACCAAAATGAAAGAAATGAGGTACTTTTAATATGCGATGAATGATGGGTACAGTTACAGTATAATTCCGCTGGTGCGTGTTGATATACAGAATGTGTTATTACTGTGTGTAGATGTTTTCTTATCGTCAATTTGACTGGTTGCTGTTGTATTGGAATGATGATTTTGTTTGGTATGTTCTTCTCTTGTGATGGAAAATGAATCTTTTTTTTTTTTTTTTTTTCTTTTTTTCTGCTTCTCATTCTTCTTCTCTGCGCCTGTACCTTTTACTACGTGAAAAGTTAGCACAAAGAAAAAGAGATGGTGCTTCTTTTATTACGCGTTTCAACAAACAAAGAAAAGAGCCCTCGACAAATCATTACAAATTACCCATACTACACATTTACTCATTAGAGCGACCCCCATTCTTAATCTTCTCTTCAGCTTCCATAGTTATCAAATCACAAATATTCTTGGCCGCCACTGCCCTCGATGCTTCAATAACCAATTTATTCTTTTCTCGCATGTTCATGGTCATTGATGTCGACATAGAATATCTGGCATATTCAGGACCTCCATAACCGCCACCACCTACAGCACTAACACCACCTACACCAACGACACCAACAACGCCTCCCCCTCCTCCTGGTGCCCTCTCGCATGCCCATCGCTGTTGTCTTCTTTGCAATTCTAAAAACTCAATTTGTCGAAGATAGTCATCAGAGTGAGGATGTCGAACAAGTGACCTTTGTTTACGTTTCAGCTTGTGAGGAGATCCTTCAGCCAAAGCTGGGTCGTACAACAAATCACTCAAATCATCCTTTCTTGAACGAAGTTGCTTGCGTATGGATCTTTTGATTCGAGAAGGCAGTGTATTTACAGCAACAGCAGATGATGATGGTGGTGTTGAGGAGGAAGAAGATTGCTCCAAACTGGCGTCATCGCAAATCTTCTTGGTGGCGGTAGTTTTCGCTTTTGCTCTTTTCTCCTTCTCTTGTATTGCTTCACTCACACCTTGCTCGCCAATGTCATGCTCATTACCTGATTCGTCATCCTCATCGTCATCCCAATCTTCGCCCTCCTCGGTTTCTCCTTCTAATTTATCTTCTCCTGTATCAACTCTTTCCAAATCACTTTCATCAAACACATCTTCTTCCTCAAATTCTACTTGTCTTCTTCTCGAAACACCTCTTGATCGAGGAGCTGCAACCTCGGAGTTGCTTGCACCAATAATCTTCTTCAATAGTAAACTTGTTGAATTCTCTCCCGGTGCAAATTTCAAACTCTCCAATTTCTTGATAATCTCTCTCAATTGACTAGTTTCTTTATCCTCCACAAATTCAAAGTTATCCAAATACAGCAATGATGAAAGACCAGCATCTTCATAAACTGCCTTGACTGAATCCGTCTTGTCAACCGACAACTTCTTCATCCATCCTTCATAATCAAGCGAATCCTGCTTCTTCCTCATCAACCTCAACATCTCCCCATCATATTCATTCTCAAAGATTTCCACATCTAAGGAGTAATATCGACCGGAATGACTGCCAAACTCTTGTCGTTTCGATTTCGGCAAATTCAGTAAAGCGGCCCTCTTCGTTGCACCATCATTGGTACCACCATTACCTCCTCCTCCTCCTCCCTCAGTAACCCCAGCAGGTAACGTTCTAAATGCTCCAATATCAACTTTCCCCAGTTTCAAAGTTTTTACAGGATCAACAACAATGGCCAAATACGGATCCTGGAAATTTTGATTCAACTCCTGTGTACTCACATCAATCCCACTCAACCAACATCCATAACCAGGATGCGAATGATACCACCCCACAATGTTTTCTTGTCTTCGTTTATTATCACTGCTAATCTTTTGATTCAATTCTAAGTATTGCACCATATACTCATAAGCTTCACCTTGGGCATTCACACGAGTTTCGGTTCCTTCAACTGGTAATCGATAAGTGTCCATCACAACAATGGTTCGATTGACAATTTTGCCAACCAACATACCCATAATTTCAATTGAACCTCCACTTTGAGCATGCGTTGTCATCTTCATCAACGCCAAGGAGCCGATCATGCATTTATTAAAGTACTTCGCATCAGTTTTCCATGGTTTCAGTTGACTGATCTTAGGATCAATGGCTGTTAAATCAAAAATTTGACTGGTGACGAGCTTATCATGGCTACTGCTGCTGTTGTGCCCTTCACCTCGTGGAGCTGACGATTGTGGAGTGGCGACTCTCCTCGATAACTCTTTTTGTGATTCAGAAATTGTCGGTTTCGACTCTTTCAGTAAGTCACACTCCAAACACTCTGCCAATTCAGAGAAAACACTCATGATGGAGAAGTGGTATACGATGTTGAGCAAAAGGGAGTTGTTCCTTTTTTTTATGTATTTTTGATTTTTTCCCAAAAGTCCTTTGCGGCAAGTGCAAATCACAAAAAAAGTAGATAGAATACATCTCTCACTACAACCTCTATATAGCCAATTAATCACATCTTGCAACCTTACTGAACCCGTTTATCCTTGATATCCCCTTCACTGGGGTAATAGATAAAATTGGGCATTCCATAGGAAGGAGGACGATGAACAGTAGGGGCAAAGTCGCTGGAACTGCCATCACTACCATTAATAGTGCCTCTTTCAAATTGTGAATGAGGACGTACCAGGTGATAATATGGTGGGTAAACATTATAATAAGAATTTTGCAGGGCACCAGGTGTATAGCTGACATTTTCGGCGGGGACATAATAAAATAAGGGGAAGGCGGAATTCGGAGGTGCAGGATAGTTTGGAACGGACATGTTCTCTTTGGGCTTGTTGGGAACAGTGTTTTCCAAGTCTTCTTTCTTCTCCAATTTTTTTGCGGGAACCTCGGTCCTCTGTGTCATCTGCGTTGCGGGCTCCCCAACATTTCCACCTTTATCGCTCTTCAACTCTAATTGGGATGCTTGCCATGGACGAAACGAAGTTTTCACCGGTGGTTCCTCATTATTCTTCCAACTCCTAGCTCTTGCAATTTTGGAATTAGTTTGCCCCCTATTGTGAACATTTGAAGCACGGCCATTGAATTTGGGTTTCGAGGAAGAAGCGTAGAAATTTTCCCGAGGTTGATTAGACTCTCTTTTACCCACATGGAGTGGAGGTGGTGCAAGCGGAACACGAGCGCCACGTGGATCTCTCCATGAACTTTGCACCTCCCTATACTGAACATGCATGGTTTTACCACTAAGCATTGCATGATTCTCTACTTCCACAGAGCTAGCAGCACTTGATTCATCTTTGAAAGTGATGAATGCGAAAACATTCTCTCGTTTCTTGATAAGGTGAAGGCTTGTAATTGCGCCATGTCGTTGAAATCTTTCTCTAAGTTCAGCCTCGGTAATTTTGGCACTTAATTGGCCAATAAAAATGGAAAACTTGTCGAACCTAGGTTTGTTGACAACTTTTGTGCTAAGCCCAGTATCTTCTTTGAAGCTAACCGTCTTTGACTTATCGACGTTTTGTGCCCATTCTACTTCATAAGCACCTTCTTCGGTAAGATTAGCATAAGCTTTTATTGCGTCATCGCGATAAACATATTTGCAATACCAGTTTTTGTAGCCACGAAGATTTGGTGCATCTTTATAGCATTGGCCTGCTGTATTACTTGGTATCAATTCTTCAATCTCCCCAAACTTTGATAACTTAGTTTCAACAGCAACAACTGACAAACTGAGCGGTGAAGTAATGAATATTGTTCTATTCACTTTTGCAGCTTCGCATCTAATACTGCGGCCATCTAAAATTGAATTGTGGCCCTTTTGTATTGCAAGTTTGGAATCCTTCTCATTCAAATACTGAACAAATGCATATGGACGGTTACTGGTATCTCTCAAGACCTTGACTGTAGATAATTGACCCCATTGTTTGAAATGATTATTAACTGAAACACATAGCTCATCATCCAACATATTGGATCGTAAGCTGGCCACAAACACGCATGCAGAAGGACGTCCCCTGATAAAGCTTCTTTGAGTTTCCAATGGCTTAGCCGAAACAGTCACTTTTCTAACCTTGGAGTTGGATTTAACACTTACTGGTGATGATGAAGATGACGAAGAAGAAGATGCTGTTGTTGATGATGAGCCCGACTTGCTACCCCATTTTGCTGAGTACATCGAGTTTCTGTTTTCTTTAAGGGATAAGCTATCTTCTAAAACCGGGATTGATTCTACTCTATCAGTTGTTGTTGACTCTCTAGATTCGATTGAGGGGTTTGAGCATTCAAAACTCATTTAGTGGCTGTTGCTTTCTAGTTGAATATTAAGCAATTCAATTGATAGTAGAGGTTCAACAGACCCACTTCACCTTTTTAAATGTATTTCAAAGAAGCTTTGACTAAAGGATGGCTTCAATTTGGTGTCGATGTACTAAACAATTTGTGAGAACGAATTTGGTTGCAAATAATTTAGAAAATTTGATTGCAGAGAAATTTCTCACCAATAGAAGATTGATAGTACAAGTTCATCATAGAAGATTGGACCAACTCATGATAAGAATAAAGAAACCAAAGTGACTGATTATAGCAGTATTTTAAACCAAACAACAAAAACCAAGAAATTAAACCGAATGTAAATTCAAGCTATTAACCGAAAATGTAACTAAGCTATTAACCGAAGAAGTAAGATTATTTTAAGATAAAATGTAGTTGACTAAGTAGCAACTCCATCGTCTAGATGGTGGTATTCTTTTTTGTTCGAAAAGGGTATCATTTGTAAAAGGGGAAAAGTAACAAGGTCAGTGTATAGTCATGCTTAAAGCAACAAGGCAGCAGCACCCACCAAAAGTAATCCTACCGAGTTTCTAGCACCAGCACCTTCATATGTTGATACAGCAGCAGTAGTTTCATTGGCACTTTCGGAAGGAACTTGGGAAACTTCTGGGACAGATGATGATTCAGCAGCAACAGTTTGAGATTCACCTTCAGACTTTGGAGCTTCACCGGTTGGAGCAGCAGTAGTTTGAGATTCACCTTCAGACTTTGGAGCTTCACCGGTTGGAGCAGCAGTAGTTTGAGATTCACCTTCAGGCTTTGGAGCTTCACCTTCTGGTGCTGCTGAAGAAGGAGCAGCAATAGTTTGAGATTCACCTTCAGACTTTGGAGCTTCACCGGTTGGAGCAGCAGTAGTTTGAGATTCACCTTCAGACTTTGGAGCTTCACCGGTTGGAGCAGCAGTAGTTTGAGATTCACCTTCAGATTTTGGAGCTTCACCGGTTGGAGCAACAGTAGTTTGGGATTCACCTTCTGATTTTGGAGCTTCACCTTCACTAGCTGGAGGAGCAGCAGTGGTTTGTGACTCACCTTCTGATTTCGAAGCTTCACCTTCACCAGTTGGTGCAGACGAAGAAGGAGCAGCAGTAGTAGTAGTCAAAGTACTTGGAACATTTTCGGTTTCTGATTCACCACCTTTAGTTGGCACAGTGGTTTCTGCAGTAGTTGAGGTAGTTTCTGGAATTGGCGTCTGCTTTGAAGTTGGTACAGTTGAAGTGGTTTCTTCTTCAGTCAATGGACAGTAGGTGGTATAGATTGTAGTACCTTCGGTGATAACAGTGACTCCAGTGGTGGCAGTTGAAGTCTCACATTTGTCTTCAGAACAAGAAGTGATTGTGACAACAGTTGTTGAGTGTGTGGTGACAGTATCTGTTGGTCCCGAAGGAGTTGATGATTCAGATGGCTTACCAGAAGATTCAGTTGATGATTCAGATGGCTTACCAGAAGATTCAGTTGATGATTCAGTAGTTGTTTTGCCTGAAGATTCTGATGGCTTAACAGAAGATTCAGTTGGTGTGGTTGATGATTCAGATGGCTTACCAGAAGATTCAGTTGGTGTGGTTGATGATTCAGATGGCTTAACAGAAGATTCAGTTGGTGTGGTTGATGATTCAGATGGCTTACCAGAAGATTCAGTTGGTGTGGTTGATGATTCAGATGGCTTACCAGAAGATTCAGTTGGTGTGGTTGATGATTCAGTTGGTGGAGTTGAGGACTCAGTTGGTGGAGTTGAGGACTCAGTTGGTGGAGTTGAGGACTCGGTTGGTGGAGTTGATGATTCAGTTGGTGGAGTTGAGGACTCAGTTGGTGGAGTTGAGGACTCAGTTGGTGGAGTTGAGGACTCGGTTGGTGGAGTTGATGATTCAGTTGGTGGAGTTGAGGACTCAGTTGGTGGAGTTGATGATTCAGTTGGTGGAGTTGAGGACTCGGTTGGTGGAGTTGATGATTCAGTTGGTGGAGTTGAGGACTCAGTTGGTGGAGTTGAGGACTCGGTTGGTGGAGTTGATGATTCAGTTGGCGGAGTTGAGGACTCAGTTGGTGGAGTTGATGATTCAGTTGGTGGAGTTGAGGACTCAGTTGGTGGAGTTGATGATTCAGTTGGTGGAGTCGACGAAGTGCTTGGTGGCACAGTTGAGCTACTAGATGTAGATGGACACTCACAATCCCAACAGAACTGCTTAATAATTTTCTTCTTAGTGGTACATTTCCCTAACAAATCGAGCAAGAATCCTAAAGTTCTCTTGTCAAAGGTAGTGGAACCGTCAACACCTTCAACAACTTCATCTCTCTTAAACAATGACAATTCCTTATTGAGCAAAGCATATGGATCAAAAGATTTAACAAAGCTCCATTGGGTATTTATGCCATACAGACATGATTTCAGGCCAAAGACTGACTTCAAAGCATCCCAAGATGATCCAGATTCTGAGAAATCATAACCGACTGAGAACCCATCTGGAAGACAACATTTCCCATTCTTGATTTTTGGTTTACATTGGAATTTAGTAGACCATTTGAAAGCGTTTTCAACGGAATCGGAAGCACTTTTTCCATAAAGATGAACATCATCACAACCGGTACCAGTAAGTGACAACAGGTCAATGTCTCCACCAAAGTACTGATGCAATTGATCAGATTGATCAGCTTCGTAATTAGCAACAACGTTGTAAGTACCATCATCATTTCTCTCAGCACCAGAAACAACGAAAGCGGCTTTGAAGTTGACAGATCCACCATCACGGGCACTAACTGATGATTCGTTTGAGTCATCGGTATCACAAAAGATGTCCTTAATTTTACAGATTGGCTTCACGTGTTTTGGAGCACAATCTTTGAACAAATCTTCGAATAAAGCCCATGTGGCTTCGGAAGAGCCCACGAGGGCAGCGAGTGACACTAAGCTGGCTGTGGATAACTTCATTGGTAGTTTGGAAATCTGCCTTTTTGATGATATTGAGAAACTATTCTAATTTGAAAAAAATTGGTGAATTCTTCATCCCTTTATATATTCTTCATCGGCTGAGTGTGAATACGATAGCAGTGCCGCCTTTTTGATAATAAATGTTCATAATTCGAGGTAATAGATACAATAACCCTACAACGAAGAAACAATAAAGTGCCATGAAATCCAAAAAAGGGCGTTTTTCACCTTCGTAAATTGCGGTTAATATTGTTAAAAGTTCTGAATTTCTTTGAGTTTAATAAATATAACCCATCGAGCGTCTTCAAGTAAACAAACACAAATTCAAATGAATGGCATGATCGATTCCAGAATTTCCACATCTCTGGAATAGGCCCTTTAGGATACCAAATAGGCAATTTTCAAAATAGGAAAGGTTACACATCCTCCATGGACGTTTGACATTCCGACGAAAGTTAAAAGAATAAAATATCGTCTCAATGGTTGCTGTTTCTAGGGCATATTCAAGAAGCCAGTGATCTGGTTCGAGCTTATTCCAGTGTTATTGTTTTGTTGGACTAGTTTGTTGAGAGAGGCTCCATCGCTGACAACCTTTGAGTATGTCAGTCGGTGCAGATTGGAGCTACGTGTGGCAGCCCTTACGCAGAACCATAGATATCCATCAGAGGAAAATCTAATGGGTGCTGCACGAGCTGTAGGATTTAACGCATGGTCTTAAAAACTTTCGGCTCCACTAATGCAGGGTCTCTTTGTGTGTGTGCCGAGTATTGTGTATCGTCTTTAATATTGTGTTTTGCCTTTTGTTTATGCTCGTTGGCTTGTTTTGTTTGTTTGTTTGTTTGTTTTTGTTCGCGATACTGATTTGTAATTGTTTTCTGTTTGTTGTTTTGTTTATGGAGCAATTGAATAACTCAATTGGTGAAAATTCTAGTAGTGGGAGGGGGGAATTTAGACTATGATACTTATTTGTTGAAATTTTGAATGTAATTTTATTTTTTTTTTTTTTTTTTCGTTCTGAAGAGTGTGAGCAGTGACACAAAATTGAACGTTGCTTCTATAACTAATAGAAGACGAAATTGTATAGTGAAAACCTCATACTGTGTATCATTTCCTTATGAAACAAGGTGGTGGTGATTGCCCTGAAATTGGTGAGATCATCATTCCGAAAAGAGTTGTTAAACATCCCATGTATGCATGTTTGATATCCCACTGAGGGTTTGCGAAGAAAATTAGACGTGCACATATACGCGAGCTAATCAAATTTGAGTTTTCACCTTGGCCTAAAAGATTAAGGATTAAACCCTACTTTACTCTGTAGTGCATATCATCATCTCATCGTCGCAAGGTGCAAACTTGTTGCAAAAACGCGCCCTACAAAGAGGTGTTGATAAAAGGCGGCTTGTAGTTTTATTGTAAACTTGTTCTACTCCTCTTTTAACCTTGTTTCTCTCGTCTAATTGTTTTCAGAAAGAGCAAATGGATGAACAATAGGTAATGGTTGGTCTTTTTCTTTATTTTGGGCTAGTGTGTATATTTGTTTACTTGTGTTCTTTCAGAAGTTGTTTGTGTTTCGGAAAGTATTAACCGAAATAAAGAAACGTTTTTTTTTCTATTTTCAATTTTTAGACGAGAAGTTGAATTTTGCTTGTGATAACAAATTTCCACCACACAAAACGGTTCTCCCCAAGAAAACCTCCGACCATAATAATATACAAACAGAGCCAATTTTAATACACTCTACAGGTATTAGAAGCTTACTAACTCAAGGCAGTTTCTTGCATCTGGTATAACCTATTGGAATCTTCTCAATGGCTTTCTTCATCCCTCGCTCTGTAAGCCTCGGTCGAACGATGGGGAACAAAGAAGTTAACGTGCGCGGTTTTTCCTTCTTGCATACATTTCAAACGCGTAAACAAGCAAATGCAGTTTGTCGTGAGTAGTAGACAGTTAAGGGTTGTGGCTAGAGGGTTAATGCAATGACTAAGAGAAGTTGATATATGCTCATAACCATTTTCTTTTCGAGAAAGGGTTCAGCATTGTCGCGCGAACAGAAAAAAAAAAAAGACAAAGCTTGACAGAAAAAAATACGACACCAAGTACGTAATTCGAATGGCATTACTCACAACAAATAGCAATACATAAATTCCTTGGAGGACACCAAGCTCTTAGGCGTGCACATTCTCAATCGAAACTGAACTCTTCTGAAATTTCTAGCAACTTTCATTTCCTTTCCCTTCCTATATTTTTCTCAATAGATTCTCGCGTCAACACCCCCGTCATTTTTGTGTAAGTATGTTGTTGCTCGCCTATTTTTGACGAATTTCAGGTTCGCGCACCCTGTCCTAACTGTTGCCCTTAAGCCCGATGCAGCAGGGTAAATATTAACCGCTTGTGCGCTTCAATTTAGTTTATGTTATGGTATTAATCCTGTACCTAAAAACATTGAAATTGAACCGAGGAATCTTCCTATGCAGGGTCTCTCTTCACTAATGGCAGAGGGTAGTCCTATCATACAAATTCATTAACGAGAAAACGTGCCAGTGGAGTGGCTGGAGAAAAAAGAGCTATTCACAACCCATGGATAACATTCAGGAGGCATTTCAAAAAAACATCATGCCTATTGTATATTGTAAGTTCACCAATTCTGTCGTATTCATTACCAATATAAGCTCTCTTCAAAATAGGGAACAACTCCACCATTCTTGAACAAAGAACATTGTCATGTGAAACAAATTTTAAACTTCTGTTGAGAATTTCCCCCCATAAACATACCTAACGCAGGGTAATTTTACACAAAAATGTGATCTGTAGAAGCTTTTTTCCGCCTTTAGCCAAATTTAAAAAAAATTAGACGAATGCGGTAAGAAGATTTTTTTTAAACAAAAAACGTTTTTTTTTATATTTTCAAATATCATACAAAGCCCAAGAGAACTTCAAAGAGCGGCGATTTGAAAGTTCCACCATACCCTAAATTGAAAACCCTTCCTTGCAGTTGAAAAAACCGAAAATAAAAACATATACTCTCACAACGCACTCTAAAATTGGGTTCTCGAAGGTTCGGTTTTGTAGCTGAAAATTCGAAAACAGTTGCTGTATAATATTTTACAACTCTCTGGAATTTCTTCAAGTGAAGGCATTTTGAAGCTCCCTTTCCTTCTCCTAACCATCTATGTAACAAACCAGTTCCTAAAATAGACTCCATCATTTTCACATCCTAAGTTTGCCTCCTCTTCCTAGTTTGGTAATTTTTCTCTTCTTGAGAATGGTTATGAAGAAATCTCTCGCCATGCATAAACACCGCTAATTTCCGCGCGCGCACACGCATTCTCGTCAGTGCTCGTAACTGCCAAACATTGACAATTTATGAAAAGTAGTGGGTATCTAACCCATGTGACCACAATGGCACCATCTTCTTGGTCAATTCTCGCGTTTTCGCTTTTTCAAAGCGTGATCAAGCTATATATAACCATGAAAAATTCCTATACTGGGGTTGAGGGAGAATCAGATGATGGGTGAGAAGGTTATGAATTCCTCTCGATATTATTTGGATTGTTGCTAAACCAAAGGATACTACGTTTATCGGCACGAGGCTTAGTGTGAGTATTATTGCATGGTTTGGTCGATCCCTTCCTACACGCAACGCGAAAGTTGCGAAAGATGGTTATGATTGTGTTCTCTCTTCCATTTCATGTGCCAGCGAAACTTGTTATCTATTTTCAAGATGCATGATGACTCAAAGTTCCAAGCTAGCCTCGTTTGAAACTTTTCGCGTTTTAGGGGCTTTGATTGTGGGCGTTTGTTGCAAATATTAGGCTTGTTAGAAGCTGGAGCAATGTTGTGTTCATAACATGGAGACTCCTGCTTTCCTTTTGGCTTTCTAGTAAAATTATTTCCTCTACTGCGACTGCTCACGAGAAAAGTTACACAGTTTACTAACCACCTCACTTCCAGTAGCTACAATAAGAGATCACATAAACAGAAGTAATATAGGATTGATAAAAAGCAAAATAACTCAGACGGATAATGAAGCACGAATATATGAATTTAAAAACCATAAACAATTTATGAAACGGGAAATTTGAATCATCCGAATACCGAAACTAATGTAATATCTGAAAGCATTTGAAAACCGAAAAAACATAAATACCGTTGTTGTCTTGATCGAAACACTAGAGTAAAATAACGGCAAACGCCAAAGAGATAGCTCCGATGGAATAGCCTATGGTAGCACCGACGGCAGCAAAGGCTGAAATCTCAGCCGGATTTGATTCTGACAGTGATGACTCACTTGATTGCATAATCGAGACAGTTTCTAAAGATGGGATGAGACCCTCAACTGAATGTAGTACTGTAGGTGACACCACAATTGAACCTTGACTCGACTCTTGAACAATTGACATCTGACTTCCTGGACTCAGTCCTTGTCCTTCTGGACTTCCTGAACCCGATCCTTGTCCTTCTGGACTTCCTGGACTCAGTCCTTGTCCTCCTTGTCCTTCTGGACTCAGTCCTTGTCCTTCTGGACTTCCTGGACTCAGTCCTTGTCCTTCTGGACTTCCTGGACTCAGTCCTTGTCCTTCTGGACTTCCTGGACTCAGTCCTTGTCCTCCTTGTCCTTCTGGACTCAGTCCTTGTCCTTCTGGACTTCCTGGACTCAGTCCTTGTCCTTCTGGACTTCCTGGACTCAGTCCTTGTCCTTCTGGACTTCCTGGACTCAGTCCTTGTCCTTCTGGACTTCCTGGACTCAGTCCTTGTCCTTCTGGACTTCCTGGACTCAGTCCTTGTCCTTCTGGACTTCCTGGACTCAGTCCTTGTCCTTCTGGACTTCCTGGACTCAGTCCTTGTCCTTCTGGACTTCCTGGACTCAGTCCTTGTCCTTCTGGACTTCCTGGACTCAGTCCTTGTCCTTCTGGACTTCCTGGACTCAGTCCTTGTCCTTCTGGACTTCCTGGACTCAGTCCTTGTCCTTCTGGACTTCCTGGACTCAGTCCTTGTCCTTCTGGACTTCCTGGACTCAGTCCTTGTCCTTCTGGACTTCCTGAACCCGACCCTTGTCCTTCTGGACTTCCTGGACTTCCTGGACTCAGTCCTTGTCCTTCTGGACTTCCTGAACCCGATCCTTGTTCTCCACTTGCTGGATGCAAACCTTGATTTGCTGGACCCGCTCCCTCATTTCCTGGTTTATTGCCATTACCAGATTCGGAACTTGGCCCAATTGACGTAGATGAAAGTGTCATTTCCGCCGGTAATGGGCAATATGTAGTGTAAGTAGTTGTTCCCTCAGTCACAACCGTGACTCCAGTAGTTTCAACAACAATAGAACAGTCCCCATTCAAGCAAGTAGTAACGGTAACGATTGTTAGGGAAGATGATTGTGATCCACTTCCTGATCCACTTCCTGATCCACTTCCTGATCCACTTCCTGATCCACTTCCTGATCCACTTCCTGGTCCACTTCCTGGTCCACTTCCTGATCCACTTCCTGATCCGTTAATCGGTCCCTTAGTTGGGGACGAATCCAGTGTTTGACTTGTTAGAGGACAATAAGTTGTGTACACATTTGTTCCTCTTGTGATCACTGTCACTCCCGTGGTTTCCAATATTGTGGAGCATCCACCATTCGAGCAAGTTGTAATTGTAATCGTTGTAACAGAAGGTTGCCCATTGCCATTACCTGATCCATTACCTGATCCGTTACCTGATCCATTACCTGATCCGTTACCTGATCCATTACCTGATCCATTACCTGATCCATTACCTGATCCATTACCTGATCCATTACCTGATCCATTACCTGATCCGCTCCCACGACCTCCACCCGCGGTAGAGGTAGCTGTTGCTTCTGTTAATGGGCAATAAGTAGTGTACGTAGTAGTACCTTCAGTTATAACCGTCAAGCCAGTAGTCTCTGTATTAGTAGAACAACTTCCATGTAAGCAAGTAGTGATTGTTACAATTGTGGTGGAAATAACATTCGATGATTCTTGGCCAGAAGATTCGGTGGATTCCAACGATGCGATGGAGGATTTGGATGTAGTTTCAGACAATGACGAACTAAGATTCACAGAGCTTGATTGCACAATTGAACTAGGTGACGTTGTGGAAGATAGAGGCCCCGAACTACCTCCGGAACTGGGAAAATTGGAACTCGGTGGGTTGGAACTTGGTGGGTTGGAACTAGGGTTCGAGCTCGGTGGGTTGGAACTAGGGTTCGAGCTCGGTGGATTGGAACTTGGTGGGTTGGAACTAGGGTTCGAGCTCGGTGGGTTGGAACTAGGGTTCGAGCTCGGTGGATTGGAACTTGGTGGGTTGGAACTAGGGTTCGAGCTCGGTGGATTGGAACTTGGCGGGTTGGAACTAGGGTTCGAGCTCGGTGGATTGGAACTTGGTGGGTTGGAACTAGGGTTCGAGCTCGGTGGGTTGGAACTTGGTGGGTTGGAACTAGGGTTCGAGCTCGGTGGGTTGGAACTTGGTGGGTTGGAACTAGGGTTCAAGCTGGGTGGGTTGGAACTAGGTGGCTCCGAGCTGGGTGGCTCTGAAGAACTAGGTGGTTCCGATGATGAAGGTGGCTCTGAGCTCGGTGGCTCTGAGCTGGGTGGGTTGGAACTAGGTGGCTCCGAGCTGGGTGGGTTGGAACTAGGTGGCTCCGAGCTGGGTGGGTTGGAACTAGGTGGCTCCGAGCTGGGTGGCTCTGAAGAACTAGGTGGCTCTGAGCTAGGTGGCTCTGAGCTAGGTGGCTCTGAACTTGGTGGTTCCGATGATGAAGGTGGTTCCGAACTTGGTGGCTCTGAGCTAGGTGGCTCTGAAGAACTAGGTGGCTCTGAGCTAGGTGGCTCTGAACTTGGTGGTTCCGAACTAGGTGGTTCCGATGATGAAGGTGGTTCCGAGCTAGGTGGTTCTGAACTTGGTGGCTCTGAACTTGGTGGTTCTGAAGAACTAGGTGGCTCTGAAGAACTAGGTGGTTCTGAACTTGGTGGTTCCGAGCTAGGTGGTTCCGAACTAGGTGGTTCCGAGCTAGGTGGTTCCGAGCTAGGTGGTTCCGAACTTGGCGGTGGTGAGCTTGGTGGTGGTGGTGGTGAACTTGGTGGTGGTGAGCTTGGTGGTGGTGGTGAACTTGGTGGCGGTGGCGGTGGTGGACAACCACAATCCCAACAGAATTGCTTAATACCATAATGTTTAGTTGTGCAACTATTCAATAAGCTAACTTGTGACAGGTAGTCTCTTTTATTCAAGTGTGCTAACTCATTTGCATCACATTTCTCTTCCTCCCTCTTTTGAAACAACAATTGCTGATTGAAAAGAGTCATTGGGTCATACTGCTGAACTGCTCCATTCCAAGCATTTGTGGTGTAATAAATCTGCTGTGTGCCAAAAACTTGATATAAAGCAGCATACCCAGTTCCATATGGCCGGAAAGTGTACCAAAGTCTCATTCCATCTCTGGTGCAACATTTCCCATTCTTCACTTGTGTGGTAACTTGGATCCTTGCTGACCAACGGAATGGATTCGTGATTGTATTCGGTATTCCATAACTATAAAGAATGGGATCAGCTGTTCCAGTGCCTGTGAGGTGAATTTGGCCGATGTTCTGTAAAAAATTGTTGTACAATTGGTCATACTTATCAGCTTGGTAGTTGATTACAATGCTGAATGAACTGTCAATATTTCTCTTCGACTCGGATACAACAAATGCTGCATTGAAAGTGGTCATAAAGTATGTGGGGTTGTACGTCGTTTCGCAATATAGCTTGTCCTCGGTGCATACGGGGGGCAACAATGGTAAAGTGTTGTCCTTGAACGAACCGGGAAAGAACACGTCCGCGGAACATATTGAAACAATGAATGCCAATAACTGAAAAATGTGTAGCCTCATAGTTAATGGCGAGCAATTGATATATGATATCACTCCATGGTATAACTTATGCTGAGATTCTAAGTGTTTTAAATATCCTCATGAGGTTGTAATACAAGCATCATATTCACCTCGATGTTGCTTCCCACCCCGTCTGTGCCATGATAAATTATCAGGGGAACGATGCTGATCCTGTAACCAGGCTAAAGTAGCCTGTTGTAGATTGAAGTCATGCAGTATATAAAATTCATCGTAATCAAGGTCAACATGTGTCCGCAAGGATACCCTCAATAAGCCGTAGCCCCTGCTCCGGCGTAGTAGTCATTTTAACTCGAGGCGAATCTAGAAAAGACTATTTGAAAACAGTGACCCCTTTTCAGAACGTTTACTAAAACCAGTCCTTGTAACTTGTGGTAGTGTAGATACGTTTGTATCATAGTTGTTTGGTAGTAAAGTCAGATTGGAATTGTTTGGTGAATTTGGCTCAAGGGATTAAACTTTTTTCTACTTTTTCTTGGTATTGTTGCGTAACGGCTTAAGCTGTAAGAAAAATTTCATCATCCAAAATTTACGAAAAAGGGTCCTTATCTAAAATTTTGTAAAAGCAACGTTAACAAAGAAAAGGATAACCATGGATGGGAAAAGAAATTGGTTCAATCCGCCCAATGTGCTGTGTTCTGTGTAAAGCGCTTTTGTTTGGAGACGTTGGTACCAGGTTTCTCGTTCTTCTTGTCGAGTCTTAAGCATTCTGGGAGGGCAGTGGCATCATTAGCCATTGCTCTTGATAGTACAATCCCAAAAGCAATGATTTAACGCCTCATTTGAACTGAAGAGTTGCAAGAATTAACGAGGTGGGAATACAAATATCAGAAAAATTACAAGGATTTTAAAAGAGTATTGTACGTTTGTTAAGAACGCATTGAACTATCATCTCCTTTGCTATATCAGATACATTAAACTGGTCCCAACTTCCGAGTGTGAGCCTAACAGCCTTAGTCTACGTTCTACATAAAGTTGAAGAGGCGAAAAGTAGTCCTTGTTGACCAGCAATCGATGAAATCAAGAAGGCTCGGGATGGATGCGGTGTTGTTTTCGGGAGAGATACGTTTTATTTCACAAGATGGTAACAAATCCCCCTACTTTTGATGAGCTGCAACAATAGATGATAAGTTTTGTGTCCTGTCCTGCTTTCGTATTTATTTCTGAGACCACTCGTAGATAACATGTTTTTGTGCTACAATTAATGCGGGGAGCATGTAACTTGTAAGCCCGATTGTGTACTAACTAATTTGCATCCGCACTTGCTGGAACTGCAACATTGTTGTTTTCAATTTCATCTAAATCCCTACCTCTTGCCCCTTAAATCGTCGCGGGGAATCATATAGTGGCTGTCTTCATGGAAGGACAATACGAAAGAGTATTGTATCAAGGGGAATCTCTCCTATAGTTGCCTCAACTTTCATTTCCACAAAAGGATCTATTTACGAATTTTGCACAATTAAGCTTGAATAGTGAAATCTAAGGAAGATGAGGCGTCCCCTTATCAAAGAATGTAATACAAAAGAAAAAAAGGCAAGCCAGTTTAGTCTTCTTGTAAATGCTATTTACAACTTCTCCAGACATTCGAAAATATTGATTGGCCATTAAAGGGCAATGCGTGTTTTCAAATTCCACAGTAATCTCTGTGGTCATCTCAACTCAAACTGTCGTTGTCAGACTCTTATGACTGAATTGAATCATTCTCGCTTGACTCCTCTTCACTTTCATCACTTTCGCATGCATCGCCTTCATTATCATCATCATCATCATCATCATCATCATCATCACCATCAAAATCCTCCTCCTCCGCTTCGCTCACTTCTTCTTCCTCTTCACTCGATTCTTCATCACTTCCAAAAAATTCATCCAAGCTTTGTAGCTGATATGTCTTTGCTATTTGCTCCGATTGACTCACACCGCCTTTGCTGAACTGGTTGGAGGAGAATGACTGTGTGTTAACAGGACTTGGCGACTTTGATCGCTCAGAAAAAACACTCGATGCGTTCGACAATTTATTGTACTGTATTGGAGCTTCCTTTCTGATAGAAGATGAGGGTAACTGAGAAATGTCTGTTGACCATTCAGTAACCTGGAAATACAACTTCAAAGCTTTGAATTCTTCATCAAAGCCAATGGCCCTATCATTGACCAATGGAGTTGGTTTGGGAACTTGTAGAATCAAGGACGCCAATGGTGCCCTGTCAATACCTGAATTCAACAATACACTAAACATTCTAGCTCGATCCCTCGTATCGTACGAAGGATCATACTTGGCCAAATGTAAAACATATTGGAACATTCTGAATTCGATTGTTTCTTGTAATTTTAAGTTCACCGTTTGCTTGTCCTCATTAGAGTCACCATGCTCGCTTAGTAATCTGTTCATATTATAGACAACTATTTTACATGCCAATACCAATAATTGATATCTAACACATGCTGCTTGCGTGGCAAATGATTTCAAGGACATCCTCAACGCATCAGGTCCAATGGAGTTTTCAGCAAGACCTGTATACTCTCCAATTGTCCATATAATAGACGCCTTCGCATTATTTTCCAAATTTTGTCCGTCATCAATCAAATAGAAAGCCAATTTGTGAAGTACATTCATAATTTCATGCTTTTCTTTGTCGCCAGATGCAGCACACTTTTGCTGGATTATAAAGCGAACAACGGTTAAGATTTCCGAAAGAGACTCACCCCCCAAGACCTTGATATTCGTCAAACACCATTGTAAAATTCTTTCGCTCCACTCTGGTGAAATCTGTGAACATTTTGCCATGGCTTTTATTGATCCCCTTTTCACTATTCTGCTCTTTGAATGCAACGCATAGTATTTGAGCTCTTCAAAAATATACTTGAAATTTGTGTCGTTCGAGATGGAGCCAAGAATGTTGAGTTTTAAAATCGCTATCCCGGGAGGGTCATCAGGAGATACGTAAAACAGTCGGAATCTGTGTGCAAAGATATGTGCTAAGTCTTGACAAACGTACTCAATTGTTTGCAATGAGTACACTCTAGTTGTTGTGTCATTAGTGGATGTCGATATGCGAGTAAGAATTATATCCATATTGGTCAAGTGCCAAGGTGCTAAAAGGTAAATGCCTCTCACGACAGTGAGGATAACCATATCTGAAACCGAAGATATCAAAGGCTCTAACGATTGTACAAGCAAGCTCAAGTCTGGGTCAATTTTGTTCTCGGATGGTTTTGCAATGAATTTTCGGCAATACAACGTCAAAATATCAATGGCATAAACTTGGGCCCATTCGTCAAACTTCGACAACAATGAACAGATCCTCCTAAAGTTCCCATGAATAAATTTCCAATTCTTCGTTTCGCCGCGTATATTTGGAAAAATTTTGAAATACGACTTGATAGCAGCTGACACAACAATGACATCACTATCGGCCAACAATGTTCCCAAAATTTCATACATCTGCTTTTTTGATTTGCCAGATATTGCATAAACTTTCCCTATGGCCATAGCACTAGCAGCCCGAACTTGTGGAGATGGATCTGTCGCAGTTCGTTTTAAGCTCAATGCAAGTATTGGCACAATAGAACTAATTTTAATTCCCGCTAACGATCTTATCGCATTAGCTCTGTTTGACGGAGTTTTATCATTAAGCGATTTTTGTATCGAGTTGATTGCAAGCAATGCAGTATCTGCTTGCGCATCCGCATACTTGGTCAAGTAAATGAACACCAATTGTTTGACCTTGGCATTGTCATTAGTGACGTTCTTCACTACGTCAGCAAAGTATGGCAATCCATCTTCTCCTTTGGCAATTAATCCAATGACGCATTTCATACCATTCAGAATATCTCTATTCGATCTTGAGTTGAGTAGTGAAGAGATTTCTTGTGGACGTGGGGCATTCGTCGAATCGATAAGGCGAGCCGATGCCGACATTGCCGCTTCAATCGACAAGTCCTTTGCCGACTCTATCATAGAAGTAATCTTTGACAATGAATCATTCATTTAAGCACGATTAATGTGGTAGGTAAGATGTTGGTCGGCAGATCTTTTTACATTTTGTTTTTGCAAAATTTCAGCACACTTGGGAAATGCTACCATACAATAATAATACCTACGAGAGGTGTAAAAAATCGAGGATACTAAAGGAACCAATACATCTATTACTTCTTTTTTCTTTTACTCAACTTACTTGCGGCCGCTTTTAATCTCTTCCCCGTATTCAATTCCTTTCGTGTCTGTACGTACTCTTGGGAAAAGAATTCACCAATAGTTGATTGTGTACCTTCGGCTCTCTTCTTGTTCAAATCTCTAATCAATGGCACCATCACCTCGTCAACCCTTTCTTGGGACCAGTTGACATTGAACATTAAGAAAGACCTAATCTGATCCAAGTTCGGTATCCCCCATTTAAACTCACTTTTATCGGAATCTACTTCAGGATGTTGATATGCTTCGAAAATTACTTTGTCTGGGAAATTGTCTGGAAGAAATAGCTTTCCATTTTTTATACGATTGGTGAGATTTTTCTGTAATGGTGTTAGTACCCCTTGATCCAACTTGGTGGTTTTTGTTTTCTCATCAAACCACTTTTTAAATCCTTGAAGGCTGCCAAATTCGGCGAGTATTTCCACGGCTAAAACAGGACCAATCCCTTTAATCCCTTCCGTGTAATCACTCCCCAACAAAATCGCCAACTCAATTAGATTTTCTCGACTCAACCCAATCTTATCTTCAATATCGTTTTTCAAATAACACTCCACAAATTGTTTCTGGCTAAACATGTTTTTGTATATTCTGTCACCACCAAAAAGGAAACAATCACTATCATCGGTAATGATGCCATCAACCAACCCTATTTTGTAAAGTTCAGCGCATTGTGCTTCTGCTTCCATAGGGGCAGTAATGTATGGGATTCCAAACCTCTTTAACAACTCTTGCACATCACCAATCATGTTTTCCGTCACCTCGTCAGAGTCCCTCTTGGCTTTATGAAGCTTTTCTTGTAATAATTGTTCTTCGGTGATTCTCGTGTCCCTTGATGAAATTGGTATAGCGTGTGTCATCTTGATTTGGCTCTTTAAGTTTTCATGATCTACTTCTTCGTTTTGCAATTGCTGTACCAATATATCTTCATCTTCTTCTTCAAAATTATAGTCTATTACAGCTGGTCGTCTTTGCTCTTGTTCGCGGCTGGGCTCCTCTTTCTCGATTTTGCTTTCAAGTGTAACATAATTTTCGTGATTTGAAGAAATCTCTATGACCTCACCGTTTGAATCACTCTCTTCGTTCTTTTCAAAAATCTCTTTCGCTTCGTACCAAGGAATCAAACCTGCCTCCTCATCTTCATCATGGTTTTCGTTTTCAAAACCTGTACTGGGAACAAACTTTTCATTATGTGGGTTTAATGTTTTAGTGACTTCGTTTTGGAACCAGTCGGGCAATCTTCTTTGTCCCTCGGTGAAAGAGTCTAACCTTTTCAACGACACTACATTTTCTTCCTCTGCTTCCTCTGGAAAGTCGCTATCATCACTGAGGAGCGATTCGTCAAGCCTCAGTCTCTTGTCATCCGCCTTCAATGAAGCTTTTATGGATTCGGTATTTACAGTGAGGCCCTCATCCTTTTCCACTTCATTACCCATAGGATGGTTGTCATTGTTGTCTGCTTTTAAATTAATCTTGCCGGTCATGTGGTTCTGCGAGTCGAACAAGAGGGAGCTCTGCAAATCGTTGTTTGAAGTGGATACCTTTTGTCGCTTGTTTTGTGGTACGCTCAAAAAGGGTTTCGCAGCATTCGTCGTGTCTGAAAACAACACGGAAGACTGCAAGTCGAAACCGTTTTCATTCGTATGCTGCTTTACCACTTCTTTTGCCTCCCTCTCCTTCAAATTGAAATAGTCTTGTTTGCTTTCTTCGACTTCCTTCTTTAGTTGCTCCTCATAAGAGTCAGCTTTATGATCCTCAATAGAGCTTTTTGGTTCTGGTTTCTCATACTGTTCATAAATTGATTTGATCAACGCCTCCTGTGTCATTCTATCTTCTTCTATTTCTTTCTCTTCCATCAACATTACATCTTCAAAGTCCAGATCACTATCATCGCTCTGGTCATTATCTTTGTTGTTGAGGCGTTGATCTATGGGCTCAGGTCCATCCTTATCCAATTGTATTGGGTTCTCCGCTGATGTTCCGCCTCCATCAAGGGACAACGTCCAGCCATCTTCGTTTTTAACCAAGGCGTACTTCTTATTCCTCTCACCGGCAACTCTTCTGTCGATAGTATCCTCGTCATTCATTCCAGTCACATTCATAAGCTTCTGTGTATAAAAATTTCGCTTTTGAACTTGTTGGATCTGAAATTTGGAAAAGTCCATCAGATTGGGGAACAACTCTTGCAACTGCTCCTTCCTATAGCCCATTCTCAACCTGGACTTTAGCCGTAGGTGATTCAATATCATATACTGCGTGGCGATGGGCAAATTGGCGAATTCTTTGGATTTGGGGTCAACTTCATTTATGTTAATTCCATCCACATGATCAAAATCATCCCATGCTTTGTCGTTAATATCGTCATCGGGCATAATCCTCTGATCATATCTGGACACCCTAAACTCATTCAAATCTGGAAGATGATATTCATCAACTTTTCTGAACTTGATGGATTTAGGTTGCTTTGGTGGTTTTTCGTCCTCCACTACCACCTTGTTCATCGGTAGATCGTCGAAATATATCACATCGTCATCGTCAATAGCTGCTGCTGGAGCTTTCTCACCTTGTCGTTTACCAACCGATTCTTCTGCTTGTCGTTGTAGTTGGATTGCTAACAATTTTTGAGCAGCTTGGCGAGTTGATTCGGAGTTTTGCTGTCTTCGATTCTTTCTCTCATTTATAGTTTGTCTCTTTAAAACAGGCACACCTCCATCAAATACGAATATCGGTTGGATTCCAAAATATAGTAGTTTACATATTCGTCTGAAAAAACCGACAATATGAGATTGTGGCAAAGCATTGCCTTCCTTGTCACGTACTGCTTTTAAGAATTGATATATCCATATCGACGCGTCAACCGCTAACTTCTTCCGTGATAAGGCTTCTAATCTTACAGGTCTCGCCAGAGGTCCCACTATGTCCCATAATGATTGAACACCCATATTGGTATTGGTGCTGCTGATGCGTGAGTGTGTTCTTGGTGAAAAGTGTTGCGCAATGATTGAAATAAACTTTTGAAAAAGTGTCACAAAAAAAGGCGACAATTTTTGTTGACGACTTCAAGTCTTTATCCGATGATGATGTTGATGGTGACTGTTGCTAACCTCGGGCCTCTGACCTTCACAATGCTCTAACTTACACTATAAGCCACTCAATTAGGGACCATCAACGCATCAAGAAACTGTATTTTTGCCGAGTACCTTCGTTAGATGCAACGATTACATCTTTAACGACAATTAAAGTAACGAAAAAACTGAGCATTTGCAAATCTCCCCATCAAGTTTTGACAAATAAGATTACGTCTCTTCGTGATCCCATCCATTACCACAGAGAATCGACATTCGGTTGTTAGTGAATCATCATGTACGAAGTGTAACGCCGTACTTGTCTCTCCCCCACATTTCCGAAATTACAAAAAAAGTGACCTCGGATCGAGACATATACTTTTTTCGCCCATACAAAACAATAAAACATAAGATCCGAAAAATGGATCTGTCCCATCTGCGTTTATTTCCCAATTGGGAACGGGAAAGGAAAGGCTCCACTTGAAAAAAAAATCTTGGGCTGGCCAACAAAGTATAAAAGTGGCCCCAAATGGACTCACTTCTGTTTTGAGCACCATCGTCAATTGATCAATCAAATTGTCATCGATGTCTAAAGAGTTTATGAAATTTCCTTCAAGGAGATCAACAGTGTATTCCCATAAGGGGATGGTTGCATCGACGCAACCATTGGCAAACTCGGCAGGTTTAAAGATACTCGGTATGGGTGGGAATTGTGTTGATGCTGCAATTGCGGTTTCTGCTGCATTGTGTGTTACAGAACCAGGATCAACTGGTATCGGCGGCGACTCATTTGCATTGTTTCATAGCAAGGGTAAAGTGTTTGGATTGAATGGTTGTGGTAGAGCAGCCAAAAATGTTACCCCACAAGATGTATGGGATGAGCATAATCATGGGAAACCAATGTCAAGAATCCCTTACACTTCAGTGTTTTCCGTGACAGTTCCTGGTGCAATCAGCGGCTGGTATCAAGCCTACAGTAGATGGGGTTCTGGAAAAGTTACATTTAAGGATATTTTGCAACCGGCAATTACTTTGGCCCGGGATGGATTCCCTGTATCCGAGCTTGCAGCTCTTAGTTGGAGAAATTCAGTCCCTAAATTAAAGAGCCAGAATCAGAATGTGGCTGAGAACCCATTTGTCCTTGAAGGTGGAAGAGGACCCAACGAGGGAGAGTTTGTCAAGAACTTGCCATTTGCTAGATGTCTTGAATTGATTGCCGAAGGGGGTGAAAAGGCATTTTATGAAGGGCCTATTGCTGAGGCAATTGTTGAAACCACATCAAAGAGAAGCCACAAGCTCACATTGGATGATTTGAAGAGCCACACTTCAACAATTGTGGAGCCAATCAAGTTGAGTTTTCAAGACCATTCGGTGTGGGAGATACCACCAAATGGTCACGGATTGGTTGCTTTATTAGCCCTTGGCTTGATTCAGGAATTACACAATGAAGGAAAGATTAACTTGTATGAGTTGAAGCATAACTCAGCTGAGTACTTACACGTATTGATTGAAGCTTGTAAATTGGGATTCCACGATTCTGATGAATACGTTACTGATCCAACGTTTAAAGATATTCCAATAAAGGATTTATTGCATCATGAATATTTGAAAACAAGAGCAAAATTGTTTGATCCATCAAGAATAATTGATGGTGAAACCATGACCCATGGTGTACCTGATCCAAAATACAAATCAGACACTGTTTATTTCTCAGTCACTGATTCTAATGGAGATGCGTGCTCATTTATCAATTCTGTTTATGAAGGGTTTGGCTCGGGTATTTTGGTTGAAAAGTTTGGATTTTGTTTGCAAAACAGAGGTTGTAACTTTAACTTGACTCCCGGATTGTCTAACTGTTTGGAAGGTGGGAAAAGACCATACCATACAATTATACCCGGTATGATTACAAACAGTGACGACTCATTGTATGCTGCATTTGGTAATATGGGAGGTTTTGCTCAACCAGTTTGTCACGTACAACACGTTTTAAACATGATTGTATTTGGAATGACACCTCAACAGCTGCTCGACTCCCCGAGATTTTCCTTGGACTCTGACCATGATCATTTGAAGGATAGAGGAAGAGGGGCCGATGGTCCAGTTAGAACACCAATCACCGTTGTCAAGATTGAAGAAGGCGTTGGAGAGGATGTCATAAACCAGTTGCGAAGTTTGGGACACACTCTTGATGTATTGAGTGGATACTCTCGACAAACAGTTGGTAGAGGACAGATCATCAAGAGCGAATCAAAAGATGGACAATTGATATATGCTGGTGGCAGTGATATGAGAGGAGATGGAGCCGTAGTTCCATTTGTGTAAAAATCGTGAAACCATAAAACGTTATAATATCTAGCATACTTTATTCTAAAACTTCAAATGAAGTACTAGATTCTCGACTATTGTGACCTTTTTCGTGCATCCTCTTCGATATCCTTTTGTCTCTTTAGCACAGTGGCTACACAAACAAGTACCAATGCATCGTCGTGCATCGAAAGCACGCTTTCATAGTCAACATTAGGATCAGGATTATACAAATCATCTATTCTTACCTCGCCATATCCCAATTTGAAATAAGTTTCGGCTTCACCCAAGATAGCTGTGCAACGTTCACCATAGTATTCGGGTTTCGGTAATCTTGCCTTTGGACTTAGTTTCATCTTGAAGAGAGACTTCAAATACGGATTTGGTTTATTTTTATCCAACTTGTCGGTGCGTCCATCCCAACTGTCAACCAATGAAGGTTGTCCTGGTCGTAGAACAGAATGTTTGAATCCATATTTCACCTGAAAATATGCCCTAAATTTCCTTCGGAAACTTTCGTCAATCCATCGATGCACTTCACCTTTGTATACATAATCGCAAATTGGTAATGTTGAATGAGCAAACATGACAATTTGAAAATTGGCCTTGGGAGAGTTAGGATCAGGTGTGAAGTCAAAAACATAACTATTGTATCCTATATGGTACTTCTTCTTCACTTGACAGTAAATGTAAAAATCTTTGTCGATATCGAATCTCCCGATTTGATTGGGGACATACCTCCTGAACGTCAAAAATTTTGTCGTCACTGGGTTTAAAGGATCAATGGCTTTAAACAAAGGTATTCCAATTCCTTGACGTTGTAAATCCTTGATATGTTCATTGGGATTATTCTTAAAAGCTTTAAATTTCTCTGCTGAATCTTTACTAACGAAAATTCTAAAACCATCTGTCCAAAACCGGTTATTTATGGTGACTGACCAGCCTCGAGGAGCAGCGCTTTCAAAATACACAGGTTCATCTCCTACTAGCGGCGGGGGCTGATCGTAGCTTAGTTCATTGTTTGGTCTATGTGTATATTCAGGTGGAGCTTCTGGTTTACCCATGGTGTGAGGTTAGTGACAGGTTGACCGATTGATTGATTGAACAATTGATGGGGTGATTAGTTGTCTTTTATATCAGTTACGTGGTACAAGGATAAAAAGAAAGAGGAATGATCTTGTATTGACTGTGCCTCGTGTATGTCAGCATATCCCTTGAAGATGATCTAAAAAAAAAAAACCTCAAAACCATTCGTATTGTTCTTTTTGTATTGTCCTGTATATAAAACATAACTGTACAAAACAAAATAGTCAGCCTCACCGTCGGATTTAACATTGGCGCAATTACAACTGATATGTATACCGAGAAGTGAATTCAATTATGGGACTGGTTTGCAAGTACACAACTATTAAATAGTCGAATAGGACTGAGTCGTAAGCGTTTGTCCATTGTCCAATCACCCTCTATCTGTGCACCCTCTGGTTGCTTTATCGAGAGAGATATATGACTTGAATCGTACACATATAGACAGTTGAAATGATTTTTTATTTTTCAAAATCTAAGTACTTCTGTTATATCTAAAATCTCTAACTATGCCACAAAAAAGCTCACCACAATTTGACCAACCCTTGCCAATCTTGATTTTTTCTTCTATTCCAATAACTATTCTCACCAGTGATGAATTCCCACTTACCTTCATCAACAGGTTCATTGCTTCCACCAACAAATTGGAAAAACTGAGGTACATGTTCAGTACCACTTTCTTCCATTTCTTTTCTTCTCACACGCTGATCTTGTTCAAGTTTATTCTTCAACTCTTCGGCCCGATCAGCATCACCTTGTTCATACGCTTGCAAGTCAGGTCTGAATCTTGAATCAGTTGGTGGGATGAATCCCTGCTCCATTTCGGTTATTTTGTTCAACGTACCAGCAAATGTAGTAAATCCATATTTTTTCTGATAATTAGGCAATAATTCGCCAGCGTGCCAGATGCTTTTTTCAGTTGATTTGGTCTTGAGAATGAATTTTTCCGTCCAATTACCAGAGACAGTGTATGGCAATTCCTTCTTTGATTTGTCAAACACCTTGATTTCGACCCCTTCTGATCTACCGCTCCACATTCCACCCTTTGCAAACTCAGCAACAGCTTTATACCCCTTTGATGACTTGATTGTGATTGATCCGTTTGGCTCGGCATAAGTTTCTCCAGCAATAATGTTCTTAATCATTGTTGTGGGTTGGGTCCAAGTAAACTCTTCACCGCTCAACTTATCAGTTAATACAACCATACCTTTGGTTGTGACTTCAGATTGTTTACCCCAAAATTTTTGCGATGGCGACAAGGCGAAATCCATTGTCCAATTTTCAGTGTCGACATGAAAGGCAAAAACAGGAGGCCTATGACTGACTTTTTCCGAAATCAATCGGAAACCGAGATCTTCTCGTACCAATTCATAAGTCTCACCCAATAATGGGGTGAACGGTTTCCGTTTATTTCTTTCTTTGGCTCTTTGTGAGGAAAGAGAGCTCAATGCAAATGCGGCAATTCTCAAAATCTTTTCACCGTTATCGCCTTGGAAATCGGATTCAACTGCATTAGATACAATTTGCGGATATTCGAGCATTTCGGCAAATTTTTGAAGTACGGTTGTGGGCTCGTTGTAGGTTACAGGCATGGCAATTGTCGACAAATCTTTACCAACATTCTTTCGAACAAAACTAAGCAATGAAGGTGGTGAGTGCTTGCAAATCGGTATGTCAAAATCACGGGAAACTGCGTCATGAGGCAACGGGTATAAACCATCATCACCAGCCACTGTTGGTTGTGGCAATTCTTGTTTCTGTTCAGTGTCAAATTGAGTTTGGTCATCAAAGGCTGCTGCACCTGCTGCTTCAGATTGTTGAGGTGGTCTTCTGTCAGTAAATTGCTCGTCATCTTCTTCTTCATCTTCATCCTCCTCGGATGAATTTTCTTCAACCTCCATCTCTTCATCTTCTTGTTGTGGTGCATATCCTTCATTGTCGAGAAAGTTGACTCCATCATTGTCAAATTCCTCCTCTGCATCATGGTATTCTGACGTGTAAATTGACTGCATGTCGTGGGTACTTTGACCATCTAGGTCTCCACCTCGTTTGTTGATTAAGTTCAAAATATCCTGGTGAATCTCTCCCACCAATGGTGATGGGTTTTCAAGTCTCAACTGGTCTAGCTTGTGTAAAATATTGTTCAATTCTGTAGATGATCTGAAAGGCGATGGTGATTTAGAGGCAGCTGCGTTTGGACTCTCTTGCCTCTTGATTGCATTGAAGGCGTTCACCCATGCATTGAAATCAGCTTGATTGATTGCCTTCAAATGCCAAACTTCCATTCCTGAATCGATAATGAACTGTCTATTGGATGGATTTGCCGAAATAATTGCCTCTTTTACCGGCATTTGACCTCTTAATTTGGTATCATCCACTTTGAAATAAGATAAGGAGCCTCTTTTCAAATTCAACACAAAATAACGCTTAACAAATCCTTGCAACTTCTTTCTCCGTTTTTTCAACATGATACTTTGTAAAACTTCCCCAGCAAGAGAATTGTCTGCATTATTGTCAAACACTTGCTGGTCGTTGTGCTCAATCTTTTCCTCTTGTGATATGTCAGTGGCTATAACGTTGGCAGAAAACTCAACTGATTTGGCAATCGTTTTGGAAAAAGAATTGTCAAATACAAAAGCAAACATGCCCCCAGTTGCAGTGTGAAACTTTCCGTGTACCAATTCATTAGCAATCAATTTGTTGTAGTTTTTGATCAAAGATAGGTCAGATTGTCCGATTGATGACAATGTGGATGTTCTTGATTTAGACTTGTAAACATCATTTGATTTCTTAAATTGGTTGACAGATGCAGTTGACCCGGTTCTTGTTCTCAGTTGTTGTGGTGGTGGAGGTGGAGCTAATTCACTCAAAGCAGCGCTCCTATCCGATGCATCAAGCGACGACTGAGATGAAGTAGTGTCATCTCTTTTTTGATAAAATGCAAAATTGATGGATTTTTTCAAAGGTTTCACTTGCCAATCAATGGTGGAGTCTTGTGGTGCATTGATCCACTTGATTAAGAAATCTTTGGAGTGGATCTCCAAAGTCTCCATTGCCGATTCTGAAGATGCTGGCATTTTGTGGCTGAGAAGGAGCTAGTGGAGTGGTGGGTGGTGGGTGATAGATATTGACTCTGGTACTATCTAATGCTGATGCTGAGAAACGTGAAGTCAGCGAAGTCTGTGCTCTTTCGTTGGTTTTAGTGTTATGCAGGAATCGAAAAAGTTGAAAATGTTGGCGAGCTATAAAGTGTGGTTACCGTTGTACTTTTAGTACCTAGCAATCATCAAAACAGAATGAGATTGTAAGAGATATTTGATGGTTTTATATATAAAAGTAATGAAAGCTTTTAACCTAAATTGGAATACATATTCCACTCAATCACAAAAAACTTCTCCAATAGGAGAACCAAATTTATTTGTTGAGCGTCGGATTTAATGCACAATGGGGTAAAAGACAAAGATAGCATTGGTGTGGGGAGAGAGAAGATCTTCAAGATGACGTCTTTCTCAAACTGAAGATCATTCGAAAAGGTTCAATGGATCGATATGCTCAGGACTAGTTACTTATAGGTAGAATATGCTGCAGATCAACCTCGTGCTAATCAGCAGTCCGTAGTTAAAAATTATCACGAGCGAAAAAAATAATAGATTGTTCACATGCTACTACACACACGCTACCCACAGTGCTCATTTTTTTTTAATTCCGTCGGACCATCAATATTGTTAACAAAATCTCTTAATTTATTTGTATTCCTATATCCTGTTTTTATCAATCATTTTACAATTTCAAATTGAATCTTTCTTCAGAACTGTTTCTAGACTCAAGTTCATACATATCAGAACCGAAATCATCACCATGCATTGTATTAGGCATAGTGCTTCCTATTCCTCCTACTCCTCCAACTCCTCCAACACCCCTATTCCTGGAGAAGAGCATAAACTGTAGCTGCTTTCTCAAACTATTGATCATCATTCTTTGTAAATTCATATCTTCCCGCATCATGAAATTGTCATTAACTAGATTCTTGATCATGTTTTCTTGATCACTAATCTTTGACCTATTTATAAATGGAATCAATTTCTCATTTATTTCAAACTTGAGACGATCCAATTCGAAATTGAGGTAGATCAATTTATCTTGATCTTCTTCACCAGAGTACTTGTTGATCTCCTCTAATCCTTCATTGTATCCCAAGTTTGTGATTTTTCCTTGAATGATTGAATCCAATATCTTGTTCAATTGTCGCTGAAGAAACAGATTTTCCAGTTCCAAAGTAGTCATCCTGTCATTCATGGCATTGTAAAAGGGCAAGAACTGATTCAATTGGCAGTTTCCATTTTGAAGATGTATTTCCAAAGAAGTCTCATTTGAACCGACCCATCTGCATCCAATTTCATGTGCTGGACACTTGACTTTGCCCATTTTTATACAATTCTCTTGATGTTTGGTCATGTTCTTTTGTGAGATTGAGTCGTTGCCACATAACTCACACATTTTGTAATTGTACAAACATTCATGTTCAAGATGCTCCTCTTCGTCGATCTTTGTCAATTCTGTATCACAAAACTCACACTTGAATAGCTTATGCACGCATTCATTCGTTTCAACATCTTTCATAAACCTTCTCTCAACAATCAACTCACATTCCTTGTTGTTATCACGTTTCCCGCCACATTTCACTCCCGTGTAAAGGCAAACTTCCGTAACGTGATGATCAACTTCCCACCTACTCCCCGACCAGTCACAACCGCGTTCACTGTTTAAACAGTACACTTTCAAATCATCAACAAGATTGGTCACAATCAATGGTGTGGGGAATAAGTCATTGATGTTGGCTGGGTCAATCGGAGTCCTATCTAGGGGACAATGACCACCTCTGGAACTGTTAGACCCGTTTTTAAGTGATTTCACAAACTCCAATATACACTCTTTGCAAAACGTGTGTCCGCATATCGTTGTTAGTGGAGTTATAAAGGGTTGTTGGCAAATTGGACAATTCAAATGGTCAGTGTTTGTCTTGTATCGTAAATTTCGTATATCGGGGGACGAATCGTTATCTAGTAGGTTGAATGATGTCGGGTAGTCTTTGATTGTGATTGTATCGTTGTACCTAGTCTCTAAGTTGTCTAGCTCTTCCATTGGTTTGGTGATAAAAGGACAGAAAGTGGGGATGATAACGTCACACTAATTATTTTTTCGTCTTCTTCTTTATCAACCGTGGGAAAAATAATATGTTCCAGAACAAAACTTCATTTCTAATAAGAGTTACAAAACAGGTGTGAAACGGGTAGGCCAGTAGGGGAGAGGAAGAATAGAATAGGTTATAAAAGCGGCTACTGCTGTGTAAGAGTTGCTTTAATGTATGAAATGATGTTTTGTAGCTTACAACTCAGCAATGCATTAGTAATCGCTTTCAGAAAATGACATGGATTACTGCCACAAAAAGGACCAAGCGGATGAAGACGTTGTCAAAACTGTCGTAGATAGTGAAGTGCTCTGCGCGACCTTTTTGATTGGTAAAACTGGAATGCATTGTATATGATTCTAGTCAAATTCGGTTTGTAATTTTTTGTTCTTTTTTCGCAACAAAATCTAGACAAACCTGTTTTCCGACTAATTTGTGATCAAGTCAGCCGTTGGAGAGGCAGAGATTAGTTTAGACATATTAGTGGGTGATGACACTCTGGATCATAGATTCTGATCGCTTCATAGTCACCACTTTATGGTATCAACAATCTTTAAAAATATAGCTCTGAAACGACGCAAAAAACAAAAAATTAAAGGTCCTAACCAGATTCGAACTGATGTTGTTCGGAAATTTGAAATATTTTAATCAAAACCGAAAGTGATAACCAAGCTACACTATAGGACCACTGCACCACATTAGGTGATTTTTGACTTGTTGTATACCCAAATAATCTAATTGTTTTATTAATAAAACACAACCTAAAAGCTTCCACTGCGCTAACAATAGCATCATCACTTTCTTTAGATAATTATTTGTCACCTTACACTCACTCACTTGGGTATAAAACATGACTTGAAATCGTTAACCTAATACATAGCGTCCTGAATATAGTCATATGACTCTTGCCGAAAATGACATTACATTCGTTACAATGTGCTCCTCAATTTTCGAACGGTTTCCTTTGGCTTTGTGTTGGGATTTGATAGCTTTTGGTATCAATAGTCAGTAGATCAGAAGGCAGTGGGAGCAATAAGCGAGGGACCTTTTCAAACATCATCATTGTAGTGAAAAGAGGAATCGACAATCAAGTTGATTAAGAGATTGAGTGGGTGAGAAAGGTGTAATAGTGGTGGCAGTAGTATTTTCAAACAAGATGAGACCCTATCAAGCATCACAAAAAGCGCATCAAATTGAGTTGAGCACACTTTGCTTTAATCTCACTGAGTAATCAAGCTTACAGTTCTTGGGGATTCGTCTAGAGTAAATTCAACTCTCAATTTCGAGTCTATTTCATGTAAACTACTTTGGTAGCTCATTCTGGAATCTGGGTCTGTGGTGTGTTAGAGTTTGTTATGAAGAGAAAAGTTATTTATGTAACCTGTCCTCAAGTTGAGTTGGTTGCAAAAACCAAAAATAAGTATTCATAGCAGGACCAAATGCGTAATGGATACGACTAATATTTTTCGCTTAAATAATCAAGCCATATTTCCAAGTAGACCTTGACCCAACCCATAGTTTCCGAGTCAAATTACGACAAATGAATGCTTTCTTTGGTGGCGGTATTTATTTACATCTGTTGTTCCTCTGTTCCACCCCAAAAATAACACATCTTGAAGTGATGTCTTGTCCTCCTTGGTAGTGGGGAGCTCTAACTGTTTCACATATAGACACTGCCACCATGTACTTGAAGATAATTAACAACACCTCCTTTGATAGGCTGCACAATCAAACGTCTTGCATAAAGGTAGCGCCTAGAGGCAGTGTCTTACATCTTTAGTACGCGATCGCCTGTGATTTCTTTTTGACAACAAAATTTTTTTTTTTTCCCTCTATTTTTAAATTTTCAACAAAAAGTTCAAAGTGAAACTCAACGCGTGTTTTCCAACAAAGAGACACTATTGCAACTTTAAAAGATGGTGATAACACGGTCGAATGCTAGATTGATCAGGTTTGTGGTGTTTGCCTTGGTCTTAATTGGATGTGGGTACCTTCTTACAAAAGGTTCTTCATATGAACCACCACAAGTTCAACAATTCAAACAGCATGCTGGTGGTGCTTCTCAAATTCAACAACAGCAGCAGCAACAACAGCAACAACAGCAACCACAAGCGGCGATTCCTCCGACTCAACAACAGCAACAGCAGCTTCAAAAACCGGCAGCTCAACAACCTCCTGAACAGAAACCACCACCGGCTCAAGGAGAAGCAGCCGGTGCAGCAAATGCAGGAACTCAATCATCAGGTGAAATTGCGAACTTGCCATACACACCCAAGAATATGGGTCCCTTGGCCAAAGCATTCCTTGGCAGTGATAAGAAAACACCCCAATACATCCCGCAAAAAAACATTGACCCAGCCACTTACTCATCCAATGATAAAGTCAAGGCTGCATTTGTTGGGTTGGCACGTAATCAAGACTTGAATGGATTTTTGGAATCAATTAAAATCATTGAACAACGATTCAATAACAAGTTCCATTACGATTGGGTTTTTCTCAATGAAGTTGAATTCAGTGAAGAGTTTAAAACCACCATTTCCAAAGCCGTTAGTGGTGAAGCTAAATTTGGTTTGATCCCTGCTGAACATTGGTCTTACCCGGAATGGATCGATCAGGAGAAAGCGGCATTGGTTAGAGAAGATATGAAAGATCGGAAAATTATTTATGGTCATTCTGAATCTTATAGACACATGTGTCGTTTTGAGTCGGGTTTCTTTTGGAGACAAGATATCTTGAAAGATTATGAATACTACTGGCGTGTTGATCCTGATGTAAAGTTATTTTGTGATATTGATTATGATGTTTTTAAATGGATGAAGGATAATGATAAACAATATAGTTTTACCATTTCATTACCCGAATATAAGGAAACCATCCCCACATTATGGAAAACCACCAAGGAATTTATTGACAAGAACCCAAAATACTTGGCCCAAAACAATATGATGGATTGGTTGAGTGACGATGGCGGCCAGACCTACAATGGCTGTCATTTCTGGTCTAACTTTGAAATCGCCAGTTTGGATTTCTGGAGAAGTGAAGCATACAAGCAATATTTTGAATATTTGGACAAAGCCGGTGGGTTTTTTTATGAACGATGGGGTGATGCACCAGTACACTCAATTGCCGCAGCATTGTTTTTACCTAGAGAAAAGATTCATTTTTTTGAAGATATAGGATATTTTCATGTTCCATTCAATAATTGTCCTGTTGATCCACAAGTTAGATCCGATAGAAATTGTGATTGTAATCCAAATGATGATTTCACTTGGAGGGGTTATTCTTGTACGACAAAGTATTATAAGGTGAACAATTACAAGAGACAAAAGAATTGGGAGAAGTTTACTGGTTAAAGAGAGTTGAAGAAGAACGATTGAGAAGGTACCAGAGTTTATAGCGTTTTGAAGGTTTGCTTTCTTTTACGTGTATATCAAAGCAATTCGCAGAAATCGTAGTCATATTTGACGTAGAGCTTTCCACTACAAATTGACCTCTAAAAAGGGGGTATAAATTACATATATATACGAACGAGATTATAAATCCAATCGTTAATGTATTATTGATTTTGTTTTCATGCTTGATCATTGTATCCATTGTAAATGGCAAATTTCGAGAACCAACTATTATTCTTTTCCCGATTTCCCTTGGGCACTCTAACCAACCAGTATAAAAACACAGTAGCAACCATATTGAATGCAATAAAAGCAATAAAAATCCCCACATCACGACCAAAATTGTGGATTGAAATATCAATGCTTGACAAATACTGATTTGTCTTATCCATGGGGCAAAATTCACAACTATCAGTGGCTTCTGGATTGGTCAAATAACCACCAGCAATGGAAATATAAGCTCCCATATAGTCCTTACATTTTTGTACACCCGGTTGTTCTGGTGGGAAATGTAAATACTCACGTGAAGAACATCTAATTCGTGAATTTCCAACTCCGATGGACAACATTGCTGATATAAGATACGTGAATGGATTGCAACGATAAAGGAAGATCCAAAAACGAGGCATGAAATCCTTGGTGGCAATAACACCACAAAATGTCATGCTAACAGTAATTAGGAACGAAATGATATTTGCTGCATTGTCGGCCAATTGATTGAATGAAATACACAATTGAGCCAATGTGGAACTGTAGACAAACATCAACGTCATGGCAATCCACATCAAAGCTCCACGTTGTTCAACTGCATCACCAGCATTACGATACATACCAACAGGGTAGTACCACACAAAGTATGAGATTGCAGCTGCGGCGACTTGATAGGGAATTTCTGAAGTGATCTGAGCAGCAATAAATGCAAACCAGGAAAATGTGCGTGATGGATGCTCTCTTGCTTCGTACAAATCACGTTGCATAACAAACATGGGGACGTATTGTTGCGCCAACGTTGTCATAACAACAAACAACATGAAAATTGACAACATTTGATTCTGCAAACCTTGCATCGAGTTTTTCGACTTGAAAAAAGTGAAACCATTAAACATTGAACACAAGATAGCCATGGCAAATTTGGAGTAAATATACGATGGTGTACGCCAATATTGTTGAAACAATCTCTTCAAGACATAAAAGTACTGGGTCCAAAGTGGAGCTGCATATGTCCTCTTTGCTTCTTTTTCATCACTCCACAATTTCTTGGTTGATGGAGTAGTAGTACCACTGGGTGCACTTCCATATCCAACTACACCAGTACCCATTTGTTCCAATTCATTTAATTCTTCTTGAACAGCACGATACTCAGGTGAATTCTTCCACACTTGATAGTAATCCTTATTGGCATTGGATCCAGGAGCAGCACCAATTACATGCAACATCCATTCAGCAGGGTTTGCATCAGCAGGACACTTGGGAGCACCATGGCGCTCAAAGTAATTGATCAAGGTTTCACATTGGTAACCAAATTCTCCAAAGTAAACAGTTTCACCACCACTGCGAAGAAACAATAAGCGATCAAATTCTTCCAACAAGATCGATGATGGTTGATGGATTGTACACAAAATGGCTTGACCATGGTTGGCCAATTTTCTAATCAATTTACAAATTGACCAAGCAGTTTGTGAATCCAACCCTGATGTAGGCTCATCCAAAAACAACAACAACTTGGGTCTAGCAACTAGCTCAACGGCAATGGTTAAACGTTTCCTTTGTTCAACGTTTAACCCTTCACCTTGAACACCAACAACGGCTTCAGCATACGGTTCCATTTCCATCAATTCGATAATCTTCTCGACATACTCATTCTTTTCTGCTTTGGACACTTTACGCGATTGCCTCAAGTAGGCACTGAATCTCAATGCTTCACGTACGGTAGATGTTTCCAAATGTAAATCCTGTTGTTGAACGTAACCAATGGATCTTTGAAATGCATTGTCCAATTGACATCCGTTAACCATACGAGAACCAGAGGTAATGACACCAACAGTCAAACGTTCACTCAAGGCATTCAATAAGGTGGTTTTACCAGCACCTGATGCTCCCATCAATGCAGTCACTTCACCGGGCTTGACCCATCCGTCAACTCCGTTCAAAATAGTTCTTTCTTCACCTTTGATATGCAACTTGTAGGTTAAATCACGCCAATGGAAAACATTTGAAGTTTGCAACAATTTACGATCAACATATTCATACGAGTCGGTTTCGTAGCTCAATTCAGTAGACCCACTAAATTCCAATGCCTTTTGGTCATCCATATAAGCTTCTTCGTCCTCTTCATACGCCTTCATATTCTTGGCATGTCTTCTTTTGAAAACCAAAATCTCTCCTTTTGATTTAGCTGCTTGACTGTATTGGACGAAAAACAATGTGGTAAAAAACAAAAAAATTACAAATGCCAACAATATACCAAAGTTTCTCCAAGCGTGCTTCCATTCATATGTGAATGCGGTTTTAATGTACAAATCACCATCAACGAAATTGGAACCGGGGAGTGCGGCGAGTGTTGCACAAACAACAGAATTTCCACTTTGTGGGTATCCAAATCCCAGCGGCACAAATCGTGAACATTCAAATGTACGACCATGGAATTCATTAGCAATAAGTGCTTCATACGCATATGACAATGGGTTAATATAGTGGATCCATTTGCACCAACCAAGCATATAAGTCACAGGAATGGCAAACCCAGTGAAAGTACTCATGGCGTACAACAACAACGATGATGGTGTCATTGCCTCAGCCAATGTCTTTGTAAAAGCACCAATTGTTCTAAACAAATGAGACATCATCAAGGTGGCAAGGAAATTGATCAACAAGTAAAAGAAAAATGCACCAGGTTCACGTTTGAAATGAACCATAAAATAAAGCGCCAAATTAAAACAGCAACTACTAATAACCTTCAACGGGAAATCAGCCAATATTGAGCCTATTGCATCTGCCAATGGTGGATACAATGCATATTCACGATGTTTTTGAACAATGGGCCTCGTCTCATAAACGGTATAAATTTCCAAAACTGATGAGTACGAATTAAACAACAAGGCATAGTACATTACAGCAGTACGATAATAAAACGATTCAGTATTAGGTTGCAAATTGTAGAAAACCGACGCCAATATCAAACTCATGGCAACATTACCAAATATTGTCAAAATTGGGAAACTTGGAGCACCCTTCATTCGATCAAAATTCCGCTTTATAATGTATCGCACTTGCATAGGTAAAGACACAGTATATGGTGATTTTTTGTTTGTGTTTTTGGATTTTTTGGCTTGCATGGCTTCGAAAATCTCTTGTTTTTGATCATAATTCTCGCAATTGTCTAAGTATTCATCAATCTCCTCTAATAAAGCTTGTCTTTCAGGGGATCTTCTCCAATAACGGTAAAACTCCTTTGGTGTGCGAGGAACAATCTTTTCAAATCCTGGCTTCACTATACGTTCAGCTGGGTTGGTAATAGAAGTAAGAAAATCAGGCGTCGTTTGTCTTTCTTCACAAACAAATCCCATCTTTTGGAAATATGCTGCTGCACGTTGACTTGATCCGAAAAAGATTTGATAACCTTCATACATGACAATGACTTTATCAAATAAATCATATGCATCTTGAGAACATTGATAAATGGCAATTAATGGGGTATCATTTAAAATGGAGGCAGATGTCTTTAATGAACTTATAAATTCAAGAGCAGTGGCTGCATCCAACCCACGAGTAGAATTGTCCCAGCACTGAATTGATGCCTGCACCAATGAAACTTCAGCAATGGAAACTCTTTTACGTTCACCTCCAGAAACCCCTCGTACGAAATCATTTCCAATTTTAGTATTCTTTGTATGCGACAACCCATAAGTTGCCATAACCACATCAACAAGATGTTTTGCATATTGTTCACGAGAGACATCCAATGGTCTATTTCTTGGCGTCTTCATTAATGCGGCAAATTCCAAAGTTTGACCAACAGTCAAGTAAGGGAAATGAGTTTCGGTTTCAGCACAATAAACCACTTCACCTCGGAGATTTTGATTAATTTCTTCGGGAGTGATTCCATCATATGAAATAATGGATCCATCGGCAACATTAAATCCATCAGTATGACAAGCAATAGTCTTGAGGAATGTTGTACAACCCGCACCAGGTCTTCCTAGTACAACTGTAACTTCTCCTGGCTTGATTAAGCCCTCCATTGGTTTCAAAATGTCAAAAGTGTGTTCTTCCTTTTTGTTGGTAAATTTGTTAATGACATTTTTGGCATACTTGATAAATCCATTAGATACAGTAGTTTGATAATCTGAATTGACAGCATCGCCATAAACACGTAAATTTTTATAAGCAACACCCAATTTTCCTGGTTTGTAGTAATCAGAATCACTTTGATACAATCTCCACATATTTTGGACATATCTTTTGGAACTAAAACTAGGAGAATTTGGATCCAAAGTTGGGTCAGTCTTGTCTAGAAAGGGGTTTACCCCATGAGGAGTTGTTGCTGTAGTGGTGGCATTGTGTGGTTGTCTAAAGCTTTCATCAAAGAATGACTGTTGTTGGGTTGTTATAGTTTTAGCTAAATGATGAATTTGTGCAGATGCAGATTTGTTGAAACCAGAATAGTATCCATAATAAGGTTGTCCTTCTGGTTTCTTTCCAGTGTAGTAGCCATGGTACGGCTGACTAGTTTGTTGTGGCATAATGTAGCAATATTCTTGGTGAAGCGGAATGAATTAGTCTGTCGTGGTAATCTGTATATATATATATATATATATATTGTCTGTTATTTTTGAAAATGGTGCGATTTTGGTTGCAAAGTTATTTCTGAGCGGAGTGGCGAGCACAGTGGTATTATGATAATAATATGGGGATACTATATTTAATGATATGCCAAACTAAAATCGTCAGATCTGATTGGGGGTTAAAATAGAAAGAAAAAAAGGAACGAATGAACCCTAACTGAGGTATGGTGAGGTAGATGAGCGTTTGTTTGACAGTTTAGTTGATATAGTATGAAATCAGTGGCAAATGGTGTTAGTTATTTGTATGCACCTGTCTCTGTCAAAAAAAAAAAAAAAAAAGAAGATATAGCAATAGAATCGTGATACTGTGTCTATGGCTTTCTATTGCGTAGATATACAACTGTTCTTCTGACGTATTGAGATGAAGATGGTGAAGTAGGGTGGGTGTCGTATGTGATAATGATCAAATGTGTCTGTTGAAGATATATATATATGGTTTGTATGTTGATTTTGGGTCACTCATATTAAAGTGAACTACTTTTCTTATATATATATATTTATGTATATACAAATGATAATGACGATGATCAATTGTTGTTATTACTACTACTACTATAAAGATTACTATGTAAGGTAAATAACACAATATGCATATGTATATAGTACATATGTATAGTACTATTGTTATTGTTATTGTTATTATTATTTCCTTATGGGTTTGAACAGAAAAAAATCAACTCAAAATCAAAAAGAAAATCAAAAGAATATATTTTTAATTCACCTTTTCCCTTTTTTTTTGTGTGTCGTTTTATTTCCAAGTGTCTTAAAAATAATAAATAAGACACAAATACAACACATGAAGCCCATCTTTTATTACATACACATCTTCATATACAGAGAAGGAATGGCTTAATATCTTATTTCTCGTAAAACTATGTGTAAAGCAAAAGCCTACTTCTAGACACGCACACTCACACACTCACATACCAACATACAACAAAACATCCTTACTTTTTAATAATTATAATCATATCATATCTTTTCGGTTGGTCAGTATTCATATACAGTATACTATGGTTATATGTATGTTCTTTAATGTTTATAGTTTATATGCTACATGGATTTATTACTTAATTAAGTAATTTCATTATATTTGTATATATATGTATATATATATGTATATATGTAATATATACACAAAACACAAAACACAAAACACATTACATCACAAACTTAAAAAAAATAGAAAGACAAGGCAATTGTAGTTTATTTTTTAGTTTTCACCCCCACTTCCTCATTCACACACTGTGCTCATATACAGGATTTTTTGTTTGTGTTTACAAGTTAATAATATTGAGTTTAGGACAGGGTACATTATTACATAATAAATAAATATAAAATATATATATTTATATATATATATATATGGTACAAAAATGTGTAAAGTGTTTTATACGACAAATAGTGCGTTAGCTCATTCGATAATGGTATATTTTCAAGACGTTGTTATCTAATTACTGAATCAAACTTTAATCGAAACCAATTACACTAGGACAAAAAACTTTGGTTTCACCCTTTTCAGGCTGCACTTGAGAGATCTACTAACTCTCATGAAATCATTCCACTTCCCATACCTGGTCTTTTACAACATACTTTGATCTATTTACGTAGCATGATCAAGTTCAAGTCCATCCCTAGTCACAAAAATTCAGTGAAAAATGGATACCACTTGCGTTGGTACCAATCACCTGTTCACTACTAACCACTCTTTTCTCAAAAACGTGGCTTTTCCATCCTAGCTTCGTACTCGCAATTAAACTTTGCAAAATACTTCAAACCATTCTTCCTCTTTCGTTAAACACCTTTCCCATTCTGTTGAACTTCCTTTTTCTTCGTGACTACGCAACATGTGTCTATTGGAAGGCTTTGACTTTGATGATGGTGATAATAGACCCTCGGAAAGCTCATAAGCCATTGCCAAGAAATAAAAATTACCGTGTAAGCCATTTTCAACTGTTTATAATCCTTTGTCTTACAGATTGAACATGCTACATACATACATATAGAAAGGCTTAAAATCTGTCAAATACGCTACAAAAAAATAGAAACACATAAGCCTCCATCAGTCTGGTAAGTAGCACGCTGAGGTGCTTGATTTAAGAGGCTTATTGCTACGGCTTGATTAAAGAGGCTTATTGCTACGGCTCCATTAAAAAGGAACATTACGTCCCCGTAATGACTATAAAAAGCATCTTTTGCAATCTCTAATGTCGTGTCAAGTCAGGTCGAGTCTTGTCTGGAATCGTTTGTATGAAATTTCAATACACAAAATCTATTGCATTAATTTTTTTTTATTTTGGAAGTCAAACGTTTTTTTTGATGATTGTATTTTTGTGTATCAAACAAAAATAGGATACAATAAAATTTGTCCCTCGCCATCCGACGACGTCTCTTCACAGCCCTCCTCTCCCCCACTCAATACTCAATACGTAGAAGTCCATTGTGATTTTGCAACATGGGATAAACTCTCTTCTTCCCCTTTCCATCTCTTATTCTCCAGAAATTAATACGCCCAACTCTCAATATAAACTCTTTTCAACCTTCCGATTTGCCCCTCAATTTCGCAAATCTTTTTCGAAATAGAAATTTCATCTATCAGAAAGAAAAGAAGAAATTGAAAATATTTCATGACTTTTTTTTTTTTTTATTTCTGATCCATCAGTGACCTCCGTTCTATTTTTAGCGGGGAAGATTTCTTTCCTCATTTTCTTTCTTTCAAATGGTTATGAATTGAAAGTCAAGCAAGAAGGTCAAAACCTTAATCGTCTTTTCCCTCGCTGGTAAACATTGGAGATAGTCGGGGATAAACTCATAGTGGGACAACTTTAAACGATTTTTAAAAAAATTAAGGTTTTCTGTTTTCTTTTTTTTTGCTTTTTTTTTTTTCTGTTTTGTTTTCTGCGCGGGGGAAGAGGGGCAATGCCGTGAGGAAAAAAAAAAAAAAACTTCGGGAGTCGGTAATAACGAAAAACACCCGACGAAAGGATCTCCGTCTTCAATAAAAGAACATCCCCCCATGGGAAATGTCGTCAGTCGTACGTTTGAGGTAATTACATCACTTTTCAATAGAATGTTTACTCCCTTTCCATTAAACAAACAATCCGGTTGATTGTTTTGCCCTCTATTGTCCGAACATTGTTATAGAGTAACCAAGAGGTAAAATTCTCAGGGGGGGGGAAAGAAGAGGGGGTGCAAGACATTGTTTAATCGAGTTACATCATCATTTGTGTAAACTTGTACACTGTGGTATGGTGGCTGTGTATCTAAATACTCTCTTTTCGTCTACTTTCATTATCATTGGGATTGCGCTACAAAGTATCAAAATTGTGGGGTATAGCAACGGTTATGTACCACCTTGCTAGTAAAACAACATTGTTTGGTTTATCAATTACTTAAACTAGAAAAGCTTTGATTAAGAGTCATTAGTTCATGAAGGTTATGATACTTCTCTTGATCATTCAATCCTCAATCAAGCTGAGAGAGCATATGTTCCCATTACACTATATTCTGCCAATCAACTTCTCCTTTCTAACCATTCTCTTCTATTTTCTTCATTCTAAGGTTTTGTTCCTTATGATTTCCTAATTAGGACATTTGTGCCTAATTAGGAAATAAATTGGTTGAAAAAATTTTGAACTATAAGTTAATCGTACTCTATTGCATCGCATTAAACTAAATCACTATACTTAATCACTCTATGTATGATCGACCATCAACATACTGTAGTACAAAATGCAAATGATATTTTGGACCGACAATCCTAATTATTATCTAGTCACAAGAGAATTATCCTAATTTAGAGTTATCAAAAGATCTACAATTTGTGTTACGAGCCAAATTCACTATTGTATTTTTCGATCACTGATGAAAAAGGCTCCAATCAGTTTTGGTAGCACAAACCACTAAATATGGATACACCACGTCCGGAATATGTCCCCCCCCCCCCTCTCTTCACTCGAGACACAGCCGTGTCAATGCAGGATAAAGAAGGCGTAGATCAAACACGAATGAGTTATATTTGCAGAGCACAAAATCTCAATGAAGTATAGGTAATAGGAGGGTAAAAGTGGGGGGGCTTCTCGTGTTCATCTCTGCAAAACGATGTACTAGCATCTCGTGAATCTGCATCGTCTTTAAAGGGGCTAAACCAACGTCGGATTTGTACAACGAGCCTCTACTGGTGGATGCGTCGTTTCGTAATTGAAGTTAAAACAAGCAATTCATTAATTGATCTATGCTAAATGCTGCTTGAATAGTTTCCTGCAATTGAGCACTCCATTTGATGTCTGCTTGCACCGACAAGGGATGGAAAACCAAAAAATGCAACCCCTACTGACTCGTGAAATCTTTCTCATGAAATTTCTTTGCCCCACCTTTCCATTCTCCCCTCTGGAAAATAGATGCATTGTGTGCTGTATATGCACACCATTTGTGTACCAATTTGCACACAAAACATACGTCCCATACACTTACACCACCATCTAACCGCATATGCGTATGCACTCCACTCCTCTACATCTCTTGAAAAGAGAAACAAGAGTAAAAAAAGTACTCTTCAATGGCTTTTGCAACTCTGGCAACGACAATATTAAAACCCTATTTGCTTTTAGTTTCAAGCGTAGCCGATGTAACACTGGGCAACTTCTGGGTCAAAGTGAAAGAGATCTGCTGACAATGGTGTCCTTAACGATTTGAAGTTTACATTATTTTTTTTGCATCCATATTGGCACAAAATTTTAAGACCCAAAAAAAAAAAGAGAAAACACTTGTTAAATTGCGTAACTCTTAGGCATTATTGTTATCAAAGCAGTAGACTAGCTCAATGCACATATCTAACGTCCCACCCAATGGACAAAAAGAAGAAAATGAAGATGATAAGAAAAAGTTCAAAAAAATAATTGCGCAAACCCGGAATCGAACCGGGGGCCCAACGATGGCAACGTTGGATTTTACCACTAAACCATTTGCGCCTTTTTGTTGAAAAGCCCCTTTTTACGCAATCCACACTGTGCATAAAGCCACTTTAAAACGACTCCCTTAACTTTATAGCTTGTTTGCTATGATGTGGACCATTGAACATGCGTAAGTCAGAGACCAGGACCCAAATTAACTTACAGACAATTGATTTGCAGTCCCCAGTGGTGAATGATTGCTAGTTCGTGTTGACTATAGCACGACTTCAACACCCCTTTCTGCCTGACGACTAAGAGGGCACAGTAAATTCCAGCGTGGAATAGAGATGCATTTTTTGAGTATATTTGTCATGAATCATTGCCAACACAGAACATTTAGTGACCCACATATGCCAATGAAAGCTCTCCCATGGATATTCGCTTGTTACCGGTGACCCACGTCCACTTCAACTATTGCAGTAGGCCATACAAATTGCTCATCTCAACTCATATGCACGTTCCTACCGAGTATCACTCATCACCTGTCCATTAGTGACAGATTAAAGACAACTTTTGCGAACCCCCTCCCCAAAAATAAATGTTCCAAGCTTCAATCTCTCAATAGCTCATTGTTTGTAACTCATGGGCTGCCACATGGGCATCAATTGTTGTTTGTTCTTATTCCCAGCCTCCTCCTTTTCTTGTTTACCCTATTCTTTGATGAACCGCTACCACTTGCTTCGAGTATATAAAATTTTTTCACCAACTTCAAACTTATTGTTTGTTTTTTTACACAACAATTTTATCCTATTTGTGGTATTAATAATACCCTTACAACCTTAGATATCAGCTCACTGTCTATGCTTATGATTTAATTGTTGCCTCTACATGTGCCTCTAGAAGTATCGTAAGCATTCATCCAATTCTTCCCCTCGATCACACCACCACAAAGGCTCCAAAAAAAAGACTAAGCACTGCTCCCAGATAGGGAATTGAACCCTGGTCTACCATGCGACAAACGGTAATTCTAGCCACTAAACTATCTGGGATAAAGAATGAGCGTGTGGAGCATGTCAACTTTACAAATGAAAATAACCACCTCTTAGAAAAATGCTTGCGCACGTGATTTCGCGCATACTTTTTACCTGTGGTTGCAAAGAATATCACGGAAAACACATAACATAAAACACAACACCACACAAGGAATGCTGTCGATAGATATCCAGCAGAATGATTACAAGACACTAACTCAAACATATATGGAGTTTTTCAACTCCAAGCAATTTGCCAATTTTCTCAATACAACTCAAACAGGATCAGCTCATTCAACATCCGGTATTGATTTCTCAGTGTTTATGAAGACGTTATTTACATCTATATGCTTCTGCACCATTCAGCTAACGCTATTTTGTCTATTACGATCAGTGTTTAACTCCCTCTACCAACCACGATGTTTTTGCGTTCCTATTAATGAAAGAATGGAAGTGTTACCAAGAGGATTTTTGAAATGGGTTGTACCAACATTGAAAAGTAGTATAAACACATATTTATCATTGGGATTGGATGCCTATTTCTTCATCAGGTTTATTTCCGTCTTGTCCTTATTTTTCCTTTTTATTGGCTCATTGAATATGATTATCTTGATCCCCATCAACTTCACTAGTGGTGATACAAAATATACTGCATCTGGATTGGACAAATTGAGTCTCTCAAATATCTCAAAATCAAATGTCACCAGATTGAATGCTCATTTTGTAATGGGGCTAATCACTATAGGGTTGTTCCATTGGATGATCATTTACGAATTTCAAAGTTTTGTCACAATTCGACAATCCTATTTGTTGTCTGAATCACACAAAAATTCAATCATGGCAAGAACCTTGCTAATTTTCAATGTCCCTGATTATTTGCAAGATGAAGCTGTACTCAAAGACTTGTTTCAGCTGGTTCCTGGTGGAATTAGGAACATCTGGCACGTATACGATTTCGAAACAATTGGAAATCAAGTGGGGAAAGCACGCGATGCATTAATGTATTTGGAAATGACGCAAATATTGACATTGACAAAGTATTATCGTAAAACTTGGCTTAAACTGAATACTGATGCTGACAAGTTCTTGCTGCAAACAGACATCAAATTCTACCCGCCAATCTATTGCAAGTTGATTAGAATCCCACTAATTGACCGTCATATCAAGTTGAAGCTTCCTGGCTGGATAAGGATTTTCGCTTTACAAAATCGGGTATCTATGTTGACATGGTCATTGGAAACATTGACAAAATGTCAAGTTATAATTGATGACGAAAATCAAAAGCTATTAAGCAACGGCTTGACAAAACACAACAAGGTGTTTATTGAGTTTGAAGATCAAAAGGGAGCATGCATTGCTCATCAAACACTTTTGTCACAAAGTCAAGGATGTTTGGACAGAACATTGATCGAAGTTCATCCTGACGATGTCATATGGGGAAACATATCACGTACTGACGGTATTGCTTGCAAGTTTGAAAAATACTTGGTCACATTGATCCTTGTCACTGTTGTAGTCTTATATGTGGTTCCTGTGTCATTAATTGGATTGGTTTCACAAATACCGTTACTCACCAAACTTATGCCGTTTCTCAACTGGATCTATCAATTACCAGAAGAAGCACGGGAAACAATTTCTGGGTTTCTCCCGTCAATATTACTCACCATATTAACCGAAACTGTCATGACATTATTCCGCTTTTTATCATACTTCAAGGGGAAAGCAACAGGAAGCGAAGTTGAAATGGATTTGCAACGTTGGTATTTCGCATTCTTGTTTGTTCAGCAATTTCTTGTCGTGACCATTCTGTCCAGTGTTACCGTTATTTGCCGACAAATCATTGACCAACCTACTTCAATACCGGTCTTGTTGGCAACGAACTTGCCCAAATCGGCAACGTTTTTTTTCCAATACATTTGCCTCCGTGCTTTTGCCCTCTGTGGTAATAGTTTTCTCAGAATAAAACAGCTTCTTTTGACCAACACTTGGTATAAAGTGGTAGATTTGACACCACGACAAAAATTTAATAGAATCACTACCCTTCCTGAAATCAAATGGGGCACCACATTTGCAGTATATTCAATTTATGCAAGCATTGGCATCTCATATTCAATCATATCCCCCCTCATTTCGATATTCATCATTTTTTTCCTCAACTTGTCAATATTGTACTACAAGTATGCTTTAAAATATGTATTTAGTCACATAAACCGATCAGAAACTATGGGGAGACTTTACCCCAGCGCATTGTTACACTTGTATGTTGGAATTTATTGTCTTGAATGTTGCCTAATTGGAGTGCTTTTTGTCCTGAAAGATTCACGAGGGTATTGTCCCATGAAGTACCAAGGGTTTGTAATGACTTGGGTATTGTTTTTCACAATTTTTGCAAACTCATTGATTTATAACCGTTATGTCCCATATTTTTCCAACTTGCCCATATTATCAGATAAAATATACAAGGATGATAAGAAATGTGAAACGTCAGCCACGAGCACAAAAGTTGAAGTAAATCATGATACATTGTTCTTGCACCCTGCTTTTAAATATGAACCTCCCAAAATATGGCTACCACGAGACCCCAATGGGTTTAGTCAATTGCAACTTGCGCAAATACAAGCAAAAATGGCGACACTAGTAGGGCAAACCGAAGGTGCATACGCATCATTGGGTAAACTTTTCAGTCTCAAAGTTGTCATTACCGATGCACCACCGGATTACAAGTGACCATACCTTTGGTTCAAGTTCTGTTTGACTCTAAGCTTGTTTAAAATTAATCTCCATACATACAAGGAACGTATTAGTTTATCTTTTTCAGCTCTTTGCTGCTCTTTTATCTTATAAGTAAGCCAAATCTTTTTCGCAGCAACTTCATCCTGCGTCAACACAATTACTCCATTTTTGACAGGATAAGCTGAACCGCTCTTGAAAACAAACCCGACAACCACAGGAACACATTGTATTTGACGGTTGACAAGCGCAACCTCAATATCTTGCATCTTGAGCCATACACAGCCATCAGGAACCATATTGGGCCTGAAAATTTCGATATTTCCATACTTGTTTCTCGGCAAGACATTATTCACAACACTGGGCTTTATGTAGGAGCATGTCTGGGAGAACGAATACAATGGTACCTTATTCAACTCGGGATCATTCAAGCCATTCAAGTTGAATATTCTTTTTCGATGGATAGTTCTAGGATTAGCTTTAATTGTCTTTATGGGTCTATCAATCTCCTCTGGCCGTATTGATCTCCCACAGAATTTCCATTGCTGTTCAGATTTTCCAACAATGAGACAGTTTTTGAAATACACGTGACGTTTTTCACCATTGACTACTTTTGCAATTGGCGGCGCATGAGGGCCGGGACCGATAATCTCATTGTATCTCAACGTAGACTTAGTTGTAAAATTAGGGCTTCTCTTCATTGCTGAAAGTGTCTTGGGGATGGTGTAGTTGTGCATGGCAATAGTCCTTAGACTGTCCAATTCCGCATTGTCTTCAGCGTTATACTGTTTGCCTAAATTCAAAATTCGAATAACCGAGCTAAGCAATAAAGCAGCTCTACCCGCTTCAGTCCTCAAATCAAGCCTGTTGAACCATCTATATGAAACATCACTCATGTACCTTGAACTGACATCAAAAACGAGATTAGAATTGGTGAAGCTTAGCACATAATGCATTGACATTTGACACAACTGATTTTGCACTGGGTAATACACATTCGTGTAGGATTTCTTGACGCTGGACAGGTGCCTTTTCAACCTCGTCAATTGCTTCTCCTCTTCAAGAAAACATTGTGTTTCAATGACAAATATTTCCGACGCATTTATAGGATTAACCAATTCTGTCCAAAAATATGGATATAATAGATCATTATCCTTGTTTATGTCAAGAGTTTTTTTGTTCAACTTTGGTTGCAACTTTGTCGGCTTTTTGGTACTCAAAACCGGCAATGAAAAGACTTGTCTTGCCTCCAAACCCAAACTACGAAGCAACGCAGTGAATACTTGCGCCCCCACGTCTCTGTTATGTTGGAACCTCCGTATTGTCAGTAAAAAGTCTTTCACAGTGGATATCTGCTTTGCATTGCTGGCAAAGTAGTCTCCTTGCAGCTTGATTTTCTTTGGCAAGTATCCAAGCACTCGAAGCCCGTTTGAATCATGCTTAAAGTTCTTTCTAATCCATTTCGTCAAGTACTTAATGATATAGACTAACTGCTCATCAGTGGGATTCTTTTTAAACTTTTTGTATTGTTTAATAAACAGTTCGGGCAATAGTTTCTTTAGCGCCTTCAAGACTTTTCTATCTGAAAGGAGTTTGTTTCTCTGCCATGCATGCAATGTATAAGCAATAATGCTTAGGTAGTGCAAACTGGTTCTTCGTTGCTTGTCTTCAATCTGCTGGTTTAGTCTTCTCCTCTGTTCGTCATCTACTGATTGTATTGCAATGTTGAATTCACTTGCTGCATCTTGAGTAGGCAATGCCTGAGTTAGTGGTTGCAATGGTATATCTTCGAAGTCAGAATCAAAATCAGAATCGGAAACAGAATCCACATCTGACTTAACACCACTCTCAATCGCCTTTGCCTTTTTCAATGGAGGTTCTTTATCACTCTCACCATCGCTTATAAAAAGTTCATTCATTGCTCTTTTTACTGAGAGAAGTTGCGAGAAACAAGATATATAAAAAAAAAAAATCAATTATGTATTATATTGCTTATCTCTATATACTCAGGAATAAGGGACCACTGGTTGGTCAGCTCAATCTCCGAGTCATGCCCATACAATGCCAACTTGTCAAATGATGCAGTCGCAGCGTAGTTTTTGACAGACTTGATCTGCTCAGTGCCGTCCTCCTCATTGACCTCTCTCTGCAAAACTTCATTCTTGTTTATTATAAACCCTTCCACATTACTCCCTTTCAAATCAACCTCTTTTGCAACCAACCTGCAACCTCTAAAGTAGGCAGTTTTTACCTCAGAACCATCGTTTTGTTTTTCAATTGTTTTCGAAGGGGTGAAATAGTTTGCTGTACTTGCTGGACCACTATATTGAAGATGCATCGGAAGCAATGATGCTTCTACCTTAGGGATGCTGCCACTTGAGCATGTTATGAGCGACATTCTGGTGCCTTATTGTAAGTAAGAAAAAAGTGTGGTGGTACGCGTTTTAGGAGATACACGCAATTGAAAAAATTAATTTACATCAACCACCACTATTGTTGTACAAACTGACATACGGAAAGTATTATAAGATGTGGCCAAAGCTTTCTTTGACGAAAAGCAAGCATGGAACAGTTCTACAACGCAGCATTGAAGTTGAATGTGTCCTTACTGACGAATCACCAACTACTAAATAGTCACCCCCGCTCCACAAACTTTAAATATTTTTGACGTCTTCTATAGAATTTATACTAGATTTGAAAACCAATTTCGGACCGAGAATAGAGCTTCATACGTTTGGCGTCATTATTACGGCATTCTATTATCTTCCTTTTTATTCACGCTCTTTGTGATACTCAGCGCTTAACCCCATTTGGAATTGATAATTCAATCACTTGTTGATATCTCTCATTCGCGGAAAATCAGAGAGACAATACAAAACTGTTATTCCCTATCGCCCCGCTTTTAAATAGGTAAATTCAATTCCGCACATCATACAACAAAAAATGTTTAAATTTTCTTCAAATTAATCGCGCAATATAGAGAGAGATAACCAAAGAGAAAAGCCACACTCCAACTTTTTGTCAAAAATTTTTCAGTTTTTGCTTGTCACTCCTTTTACTTCCTCTCCCTTCCTCTCCCTCTCTCCCTCATTTGATGTACGATAATGTCGACTGAAGCAAATACTAGAAACGGACAACACAACCACCATCTTTATCCCAATATAATTCACGACGCTTCTGCAGATTCCGCTGGTATTATTGCGTCCGAATTAGCTGCAGAGGATGGGAGTTTGTTCAACAATTCTGTTTTGAAATCTCATAGCTATGGGGCTACTGAAAGTGAAACTCCTGAATCATATGAAATTGACGAGCCTAATGGTGGTTACGCTTTACCGAAGAAGCAATTGATCACAGTGGTTTCAAGTTTATTTATGGCTTCGTTTTTAGCGGCGTTGGATGCTACAGTGGTAACAACATTACTTGCCGTCATCGCGTCTGAATTGAAAGCAGTGAAAAATATATCTTGGATTGCAACCTCATACTTACTATCATCGTCCGCATTCCAGCCAATTTTTGGAAAATTGTCGGATATCTTTGGACGTAGATTTATTTTGATTGGATGCTCACTTATGTTTGGTATTGGATGCACAATCTGCGTCACTGATTCATTGTGGTGGTTGGTAATTGGTAGGTTCATAACTGGATGGGGTGGTTCAGGTCTCACTGCAGTGGGTACGATAACCATGTCGGATCTCATCCCATTGAGAGATCGCGGATTATACCAAGGGTTGGCAAACATATGCTATGGGTTAGGAGCGGCATCTGGTGGATTCGTTGGGGGTATTGTGGCTGACACATTGGGGTGGAAATATGTATTCATCTTGCAAGTACCACTCGCTGCTATTGTTGGCATTGCCATCTATTGGAATTTAAATCTTCCTGCTGGCTCACCAGGTTTAGGTGCCCATGGACAAGATATTAAGCAAAAATTGAAAAGAGTTGATTTTTTGGGAAGTTTTTGCTTGATTAGTGCATTGATGTTGTTTTTAACGGCAACATCAATGGGAGGAAGAGACATTGCATTCACGTCCAATTTGTTTATCTCGTTATCGGTAGCAAGTTTTGCCTTGATACTCGCCTTTTTGTATGTGGAGGCATATGTCAGTGAGGAGCCGATTATTCCAATCGAGTTGCTTGGAAATAGAACTGTGTTGGCTTCGTCTTTAACCAATTGGTTTTACACAATGGGGATTTTTGCGATTATGTTTTATGTTCCAGTATACTATACGTCCGTCCTTTACTTAACAGCAAGCGAAAATGGTTTACGTTTGGTGCCCAATTTTATTGGTATTTCAATGGGTTCAGTTGGTGCTGGGTTGTACATGAAACGTACCGGACGTTATTACAACTTAGCAGTTGCCGCTGGAATTTTAGCCATTTATGGTGCATACAGGGTCACTCGTCTTGATACGCATACCCCGACTTGGCAACAGTTTTTGATGATGCTTCCACAAGGTATGGGGTACTCCTGCATTTTGACAATTACACTTCTTGCTTTGATCGCGGCAACTCCAATGAAGTATCAAGCTTGCACAACTTCGATCCAATACACATTTAGGTCAACAGGGTCCACCTTGGGTGTTTCAGCAGCTTCAGCCATTTTTCAAACGGTGCTTGGACTGAGCTTGAGAAAGAAAATTTGGGATTTAGTAAAGGATCTAGAAGAAGCTAAAAAGATTATTGCAAGAGCTTTGGACGATACCAACTATGTTCACGAGGCACCAAAGTACGTTAGGGAAGCAATCAGATCTTCTTACGATGAAGGTTGTAGAGGAGCATATTACTTTGCATTGATTGTTCTCATCATTGGTGTTATCTCATCATTGTTTATGAGAGAACACAAATTACACACAAGCCTTAATAGAGATTGAATACATATATGAATAGACATTGCTCAATTTATTCAAGGTGAATATCGTAGTTGTGATTTTTACCCCCAGATACGAGTAGAGTTGGTGCATTTGTTTCCGAGGTGTAGAATGATGGATGATGGTTCAAATTCCTAGTAGGTGGACTTTCGTCATTCGCATTTAGATTGAATGCTGTTACTACTGTTGGAATAGTATAATCGTAATCTGTCATCTCAGGGCTGAATATCATTTGTAATGGTGATTTCACATGCTGATGAGATACGGAGCCACCAAGAAGTGGGGATAAAATTGGAGACATGAGCTCGTCATTTTGAATAGCCGACGCTAAATTGTTCTCAATCACCTCTTCAATCAATGTATTTTCAGAAGCAACATTGACATTTATGAGAAGTACTGCAACGAAAATACACGATATCCCCAAGAAGTAGACAGAGCTAGTATTGATAGGTTCATTTGAGTACATCAACACAACACAGTCAATTAGAATTGTAATTGGTATGGAGCTCGTTAGCGTCAAGGATACAACCAATGGGCTTGTCAACAACATAGCCAAAATTGACGTATAGTCTGATACAACCGTGAGGATACCGTTAGCAACAACTATTACCAATATGGTGTTGTTGGGTGGAAACTCAAACTTTTCCCACCCAAGTGCGTCCACAATGTACAATATTGGAGCCCCCATCACAAGGATGATCACCCCCACGAAACCAAATAACCTTCTTTCGTTCGTTGTCTTGGAGCCACCACATTTAAACTTCGTTATCAACAAGTAGAACGCATAAAACAAAGCTCCACCTAAAGCCAATACGTTTCCAAGCTTTGGGTTTTTTGGTGTGTACTTGTGATCACCGTTGGAATCACCCACTGAACTCAAATTGACCAAGAATACACCACAGCAGCTTACAACAACACATATGACCTTTATGTTTGAAAACCTTTCTGTTCCAATGATAACTCCAATGAGTAAGGTGAACATAGACGTCAAGGAACCAATGACAGTTTGGTTCGATGCCGAGGTAAATCTTAATGCCTCCATCGCAAAGATATTGTAAAATAAGTAGATCGTGGCAATTTGAATGGAAATGAGAAGTACCTCTTTCAGCGATAGGGTCGTGTTTTCATGGTCGTTACATTTGTCTGTATTCAACAATGGCTCAAGCTCATGCACTTTTGACAGTTTGCCTTTGAATAACTTGAACACATCGTACACTAGATTCAACGAGAAGCAAGAGCCCGTGATAACAGCAAAGAAGATTGGTTTTCTGTATTCGTTACTTTTTAGAACACCATTAACCAACTCCAATCCAACAATCCATGCTCCGATTGATATTATCAACAAAATTATACCGGCTCTATATTTTCGTTTTTCTTCTTCCGTTATGAGATCAACCACTTGTTCTGGATCTGATGTTTTTTGTGGCAACAACATGTTTGGAGTTTGTGGTAGTGAGATGGTCATAATGAAATGTAGCGTTCCTCTAAGGTGAACTAGTGGGAGTGAAGAGTAATGTTGACTTGAAATGCCCATTCTCTTATCTGTAACACACAGATAAGCAGAATACACAAAATCGCGAAAAAAAATTATATGGGCCGATTTTGTAGCTCTAATTGGATCTGATTAGGTTGAAAAGTTATATTACTTCCTACGACGCAAATGACCAAAAAGACTGAAAGTTCTATAACAAAAAACATGAATTTCCACATTAGGGACGAAGAGCATATTATACTCTTTAAAGTTTTCTTCATCGCATCAAACCAAACCTTCATAGGTTCACACATTTTTTGCATTATGCAAACATAAAAAGGTGTCGAAACTCTTCTATTCAAATAAGTAAACCACTACACATTCAACTCAATAGCCATAAGTATTCGCTATCTTCTTTTGTAAGTGTTGTAAAGCAGTGATGTACTCAGTGTCTTTGGCTACTCCTCTACCAGTGCGATCCCTCAACAATTCACTAGGCACGGGTTCTAACAATGTTTCATCACTTGGATGACTGAAGAAAACAATTGAGTATCTATCTTCTGCTTGAGCATTGCTGAATCTAACTCTGTGAATTGTGCTTTTCAACAATCCAGCCGTCCAATAACTCAACAAATCGCCAATGTTTACAATTATTGGAGGTGCCATACCGGGTTTGCTACTAGTAATAAAAGGCACCTTTTCCCATTTCTTGCTAAGTGGACTGTAAATCTCAAGTCCTTCTTGGTGCTCTTTTTGAAATAAAAGCGTCATGGAGCCATAATCGGTATGTGCACCAGCACGAACCTCACTCAGCTCATCATCGGAGTTTTGGGCTGGATAGTGCAAAAACCGAAGAGTTGAACCTGACTTGGAAGTAGGCTTGTATCTAGAGGTGAACCATTCGATACCTGGACACTCATCATTATCTTGGATGTCAAGAGCTCTAGCTAAGACGACGAGTAGATCGAGTGCCAATTGATTCAACTTCAAGATCGTCTTCTTCACAAACTCGTGACGTGAAGTATCCTCAATGAACCATTCTGGAACTGGCCCAGAAGGCTCTCCTGATGTAAAATCAATACCACTAAAGTTTAACCCTTCTTTGAAATCTTTCTTTTGCGACGGGTCAAGGTTTTCTCTATTGAATTGAATATACCCAGAATTAGAGCTATCAAAAGGGAATTTTTGCTTGTACTCTAAGGGCAATTTGAAAAATTCTTTGGACAAGTCGAATATTTTGTTAACTTCATCAGCTTGAAAGTCATGACCGTCTATGAAAACAAAACCCTGGGATACCAAAGCATCTAACAACTCCTTAGCTACTGTAACTTTATCTGGTTTAGATATATCAACCGTGGTTAAAGGATTCCCAGCCATTTTCTCGATCAGGAGAAGACTACGGTTTGGAAGACAGGAAGACATGTTAAAATTTTCAATTTAGACTTTCACTTTTGACTATGTCGGCTTTTGTGCCACCTTTTTTAGTTGGCATAAAAAAATCAAACCAATTAGATGAGCACAAGATTGATTCAGCGCTGCTTCCAAGGTTGCATCGAAGTTTCAGGTCGAAATCATACGATAATAGAATCAGCATCAAGTTGAAAAATGCATCCAGCCTCCTGGGCCTAGTTCTCGGTGATAAGTTATTATTTTTTTGCGTTTTTCTGTACTCATATTTTGTGCGATGCGCTCCTGGGGTTTATAATAATAAGTACTACTCAAGGGAAACAATTTATTCAACTTGTGACCGCACTCTGCATTACTACACGCTAATCTTACTTAAGTCTAAAGAGAAAACAAGGAAGTGGAGTGAATCTGTTTATTTCCTCAGTGAAAGATAGCGAGCTGAAAAACCGTTGTGTTTTACTTCGGAAAAAGCTTCTCATATCTAATTTCAAAATCCGCTTTTATTTCCCTTTTGGGAAAGTAAACACTCTTTAGAGCGCGAAAATTAGACCACTGAACGAGCTAAAAGATTAGTCTCTGAAATTCAAAGGCACCGAAGGAACGACGTAGAAGGTTAGGATAAGCGATGGAGGGTAAAGCGAAGCCCCAGTTCTCTACTAAGTTGAGCCATGTAAAAAATGGCTTTCATGAAAGTCCGAAATCGACCAAATATAACACAAAGGCTGGGAATAATATAGTACAACACCTTGAAAATAAAACTGCCTTGAAGTTCTTGTGGGAAATCGGTCCTTCTTTGCAATTCAAGTCAATTACACTTCAAAATCAGGTGTTTTACTATTGAGAGACCAAGAAGCGTATATGAAATGTTAAAGAATCGACTTCTTTGACCCCACCCTTCAGAGTATGCTTGCTTGCTGCACGATCTAAATAGTTACGGCAAAACTAATGAATCATTCGAGGCTCTGACTCAGAAAGCACATTGAGGATATTGATAATGCGGAGACGTGAATTTTTCTTGCGGGGAAGGGCTTACATTAATTGCAATCTAGGTGTATGGAACCATTTTGATGTTTTCTACAAACATAGTGGTGTATGCATTGTTTCGCCAGGTACCAACTGTCATTACCTAGAAGGCAAGCATGTGCCGAGAAATTTGGCAAACGTCGAATGCTTTGAATGTTTTCTCTCATGAGCTGTTGTAAGGTTCGATCGGGTAAAGTTGTACAATCAAGCGGCAATTTGAAATTCCAAAGAGAACGATCTTCAGCTAACTAAGTGCTAAGCAGCTCATGCACACGTGCAATCAGCAAATTGGTCAAGAACACAGCATAAGAAGCAATATGCGTCATAGATCGTCGGTCTTGCTCTATATATATCAAACCAATTGCTCCACTTAATTACGCTTATTTGGTTGATCTCCGAATAACATTATGGGACTCAAAGACAGCCTAGGCGGTATCAATATCACACGGAGAAAGATTTTACGTGAGCCAATCTCATCCCTAGGCTTGGTTATCAGCACATCAAGAATAGTGGAAGTTGATGAAAAATCAGGTCAGGTAGTGGATGAGATATCTTCTGATAATGGTGAGTCACATGCCAAACCAGCAACTCTAGAGAGAGGCTTAAAATCAAGACATGCGCAATTAATTGCCATAGGTGGTGCTGTTGGTACCGGGTTGTTTGTTGGTTCAGGTGCTGTGTTGGTCACTTGCGGACCAGCTTCACTTTTCCTTTCCTATGTGATAATGTCAACAGTAGTTTACTTCGTTTTGCAAATGTTGGCGGAAATGACGATTTTCTTGCCATTGCCAGGAAATGGTCCATTGGCTTTCATTAATGATTTCTTGTCCCCATCATTTGGTTTTGCTTTAGGATGGAATTATTGGTATGCTTTTAGTGTGTTGGTGGGGGCTGAAGTCACTGCAGCTGCTGTGGTTGTTGAATACTGGACAAAGTCAGTAAGCACGGCCGTGTGGATCACCATCTTATTAGCACTAATTATTTTCATGAATATGACATCGGTCAAGTTCTTTGGTGAAGCTGAGTTTTGGTTTGCGTCTTTGAAATTGATTGCGTTGCTTGGGTTGATTATTTTGAGTATTGTGTTGTTCTTTGGTGGAGGACCAAACCATGACAGATTGGGGTTCAGGTACTGGAAACATTCACCATTCAAAGAGCATCTAACCGGTGGGTCAACGGGTAGGTTTCTAAGTTTGTGGACAGCCATAATCAAGTCGGGGTTTTCATATATTACATCACCAGAAGTTGTTTCAACCACAATGGGAGAAACTGTAGCACCCAGAGCAAATGGCGCCAAGGCCGCTCGTCGATTCATATACCGTTTGATATTTTTTTACGTTTTAGGGTCATTAAGCATTGGTGTTATTGTTAGTTCAAATGATAAAAAGTTGTTTGGTGGTGCTTCGGATTCATCGGGAAGTCCATTCACAATAGCCATTCAAAATGCTGGTATAAAGGGGCTAAATCATGTTATAAATGTAGCCATTTTGATTTCAGCCGAATCGGCAGGCAACTCATTCTTGTACTCGGCATCCAGAGCATTGTTTTCCATGGGTCAAGTTGGCAATGCTCCTCGGTTCTTTGCTAGAGTTAATCGCTTTGGTATACCAATTTACAGTGTTGCTGCTTCTTCATTGTTTGGATTTTTGTCATACTTGAATGTGTCATCTGCTTCAGCCAATGTCTTTAGCTGGCTCTCAAATATTTCAACAATTTCAGGATTTATTGGATGGCTAGCAATTGGGTTTGCTTATCTCCGATGGAGAAAAGCAATCAAGTTCCATGGTCTTTCAGATCGTGTTCCATATAGATCGTACTTGGAACCTTATGGTGCATACTACGTTATATTTATGATGTCAATAATTACAATCACCAATGGATATGCCGTGTTTTTTGATTTCAATGGTGCTGATTTTGTTGCTGCTTATATAACCCTTCCTATAGTGGTTGTATTGTATTTCGGACACTGGTTCTATGAACGGTTCTACAAAAAGAACAAGCTTTGGTTGATTCCAATTGAGAATATTGATTTGATAACCAACTTGGATTTGATTGAAGAAGAAGAGCAAAGCTATGAACCGCGAGTGCCCAAGAACTTCTTACAAAGATTTTGGTTCTGGTTAGCCTAAAGAATGAGGAGGGGCAGGCTCTTTATGGGTAATTGTGTGTAGACACAATCACAGTGAGCTTGACCTTGCGCTTCTGCTTCTTTATGAGGGTGAACCCGTCAGTGTGTCATCAAAATGGAAGTTAATTTAGACATACACATTCTACGCTGTTAACTTTACCAAATTTGGTGTAGACCCAATGTCAATGTGTTTATTGTTCTGAAACCTCTGAATATGGTTAGTAGTCTTGTGACATAAAAACAAAATGTTTTGACGCGTCATTGATTAAAATATTTTGCAATGGTGTACTCAGTAGACACTAAGATGGAAGCAAAGTGCGCAAAACACCACACAATACAGGTTATCACGTACGCATGTCGGAGCCACAGTATCACGAGAATGTTGTAAAGAAGTTTTCTTGGCATATTAAACTTGTTTTCATGTAGCCTTTGTTTCATTTACAATAATGTTCTTCAAAAACACGTCCATACTCCTAGAGATGGCCATTGAATACGCTTCCGTCTGATTCTTGAGCCCATATCCACTACTACTGCCACATCTCATAGCTTCCGTAACACTAATAATTCATAAGTCTTTGAGATACCAGTCAACTGGAATACGAACTCGTTGTATCTGCACCCTTTATCCCATAAGAGACTTCGAGAAGTGCTTATATGCAGGAGAGTCATGTAAAATTAAATTTTATTATTTTTGGCGTTGAAAAAAAAAAAAAAAAAAACTTCGTATTGAGAGAGAGATTCAGAATTTCACGGTATTTGAACTAAACCATTCAATAATCGTCGTCTACAGAGTATACAGAGAAAAACTGACGTAGTGTTTTTGACTGGATAGCTAGCAATACCAAACAAACACACAATACACGCCACCAAAATTACACTATCACAAGAGAACACCGCCACTTTCCCAGCGAGCTATCTAAGTGGTCTAGACTCTCGAAACATATATTCTTTTGAATAAAAGTCACTCGTTTATAACGTATACCAACAATGTACAGGACACTTAGGTGCCTACGAATTTGTATCCTATTGATGCTTCTACTACCATTTTCACACGCAATAGGTTTGCTAGTACCACCGCTGAAAAATAACCAACGACCTTCTTTGGACAATCTTCAACAATGTCTTTCATACGAACTAGGTGCTAACGACGTGCTATTCCTCACGATAAAGTCAATTGAAAAGTTGCAGTCACAAGATTTGAATTTGTTGATTTTGGATAGTGTAGGCAACAAATTGCGAGACCAACCAAACTTGGAGAGGTTTGCTAGCCCTATTGAACTTATAATCAATCCACAGGGCGTCACTGATGAAGGTGACATTCCATTAGAGTTGAAAGATCGCGATTTGCCTCCATCCAAACTTGTACATATTTGCTTTTACAATACGTTCAATGATTTGTCATGGAGTTTCAAACCGCGAACATATGAATTTGAAATCAATGTTAATATAAAGGATGACATTAAGACTACTGATTACCAAGTGTACAAGCAATTCTTTGCTTACCTTGACAAAGACCTTAATGAGGGTGAATTTGATAACAAGATGAATATGGTTGCCCTTGATCTTGACAACATCGTTGCAAAGTTGCACAACTCCGATGATGTTTTAAAGGAGCTTCTAAACCATGAATTCAAATTGAGAGACACTAATGAAGAAATCTTTAGTGGATATACGTTTATTAGTATTGTGTTGTGTGCCACGATAGGTGTGTGCGGTGCAATACAGCTATTGTACTACATACTTTACCTTAGAAGGGTCGTCAAGTGATACCTATTACACACACACATACACACACAGTCTTCCCCAAAAGCATACATTTGTACATTTTCCGTAATTTGCATTAATTTTCAAATCATTCAATTCATCTATAGACAATAAATTGAAACCCGCATTTATCCCATCAATGAACTAAAGCTACACTTTCCCTCTATTGACCTCTCATTTCCTCACTTGTCAACACCTCTCTACACAATTGTTCCATAGACTCTCTATCAATCAAACTGCCAACATTTGCGTACGCCAAACTTGCTTCATACCCCATTATAATTCTTTGTTCAGTTATACCCAACTCACCAAACGCCAAAGCTTTAATCACATTGCAATATCTAGCAATGTTATTCCTCGTCAGTTGGTTAATTTCTTCATTCTTGTCACTGTATATTTCCCACGAACTTTCTTCCTCTAATCTTGTAATAGAAATGGAACCTTGTCCTGGCGTGTAATCTTTAGTCCCCAGCTGCACTTTTAATCCATTAGAATTCACGGTTGATGGAGCCAATTTTGCTTTAGTCTTGTATAGCCATATGTAGCCATTTACTCCCAATATCACCGAAACGTTTCCTGGTAAATCATAACTATGATTTTTTGACTTTACAACTAAGGAGCTTGGGATCTTTAGGAATATGCCATTTCTCAACTTCCCATACTTGAGTGATCTCGTATGCAAGGATGCAATACCGTTGTTGAATATCGTTTGCACCTCACAATTTAGCAAGTCTCCCTCTTTTAAAAAAGATCGCATTTGCAACTCATCACTCTCTGATTTACGACGCAAGATACCCCCTGGTAGATTGACACTTCCCAACATTAATATGGCATCCTGCTTGGTTCCAATGTCCACTTTCCATCTCTTATTAGCCACTTCTGTTATACGTCCAACGACATGATCACCAGTTTCTGGTACATACTTCCCACGAATTGCGTTGACACTCAAAAGACGATTGACTCGTGATATGTTACCTACAACTGAGGAATAAGTTTTGTCATTAATAAAGTATGTACCATGGCCCTTCATCCAAACTGGGTCACTTGTGATCAATTCTCCTGGGGTGACTATAGCATTTGCTCGAACCTCTTGGTGTCTTGGATCTTGTTGTGATGCCTCATCCACTTCTATGTCGTCATCAGACCCTTCATCCTCATACTCAACACGTGGAATTGGTTTGGTTATGCTTATGATGCCTGTAGTGTCCATCTTGTTTTAATGCTTCTTTACGATGAGATGTTGGTAGTAGATTTGCGCAGGAATTTTTCTTTTTTATTTGATGCTCCAACTTTCCATTTCAAATGAACTTGAAGCTACTATCTCATCTATCGAAATCACAAAGACAATCATTAGTCATGTCCTCGTATAAACCCCCGGTCAATCGGGAAATGAAGGAATTGGATCGTTCGTTTTTCCGTAAAACGATACCGCTTCAAGCAGCTTATTTTCCCCAACCAAAATATTTAGGACAATTTGTTAAAGCTTGTCAACCTGATATCTTTTATGTGCGCAATATCAAGCATATCGTCGATTTCGATGATTCGAAAGCAGTGTTATTGAGAGAGGGGGTGGAGAAAGTACTGGACTTAGCGGAAAAGACACAAGAGAAAGTAAAAGAGTTTAATCTTGATTTAAGACCTTACCTCCTCGAGCTCGATTATTCATTTTGGAAGAGCGAAGAGATTTTGCAAGCAATTTTGCCCGAACATTTAGTTGAGGAGATTCCAAGCGGGTACAGTCAAGCGGGACATCTTGCCCATTTGAATTTGAGGGATGAGTTCAAACCATATGGTAAACTAATAGGTCAAGTCATTATGGACAAGAACCCATCAATAAAAACAGTTGTTGATAAAAAGGACACAATTGCCAATAAATTTAGAACATTCCCGTTGGAGCTTCTTGCTGGAGAGGATAATTTTGTGGTAGAGCAAAATGAAAGTGGGTGTCGTTTCAAGTTTGATTTTAGTAAGGTGTATTGGAACTCGCGTCTTAGTACTGAGCACGAAAGACTAGTCAATAAGTTCGGAAAACACGAGGTTGTTGGTGATGTCATGGCCGGTGTAGGTCCATTTGCATTGCCTAGTGGTAGAAAGGAAACAATTGTTCTCGCTAATGATTTAAACCCAGAGAGTTATAAATACCTTCGAGAAAACATAGCGTTGAACAAAGTTGACACGTTTGTCAAACCATGGAACTTGGATGGACGTGAGTTTATTGAAAGGGCAGCAGAATTGCTAGAAAACTTGGCAAATAAGGGTCCATTGAAAAACACGACTGTGAAAAGGTCCAAAAATAATAAATTGATTACCACTGAGGATATACCCGTGCCCAAATTTTACCACCATTTTGTCATGAACTTACCTGACTCAGCTTTGACTTTTCTTGATGCTTATGTTGGCCTCTATTCGAAATTCCCACAAATTCGCAATGAGCCCGGGTTTAAACTACCATGGATTCACGTTCACTGCTTTGAGAAATTTGAAAGTGGCGAAGACCCGACATTGAAAGAGTTAAGTAGAAGACTATGGAATAAGATTTGCAAGTTGATTGATTATGACTTGGATATAACAAAGATGGAGTTTCATCAAGTACGAATGGTGAGTCCAACGAAGCCAATGTTTTGCGTTTCTTTTGAATTACCCGAGGAAGTGGCTTTTAGAAAGTAGATAGAGTAATTTGCAAATAGACAACAAAGCGAAGCATTTTTCTCAACATCACTACAATCTTTACATGCAAAGGGTTAAATCGCATAAAACTTCCAATACACATACCATATACAGAAACCATAATACAATTAAGCCAACCAGTACCAAAATTTTTGAATAATATTTTTTGGCACACGGATTTCATAGTGTTGCTCATCGTCTTCAACTGAGTCCAAGTTCGTCAACAAATCGATATCCTTAATCTCAACCAACCACTTCGTGTGACCATTTTTGTAGTAATCATATGCCCTGTGCCCAAAATACAAAACTGCCACAAATGGTAATGTGATATACGCAGCCACAAAATCTGCCCCATTAAAGTCAAAAAACACCGCATATCCATTTGTAAGTGTAATGATCGACAACATACCAATAGCATAGTAAGCTCCATACGGTTGAAAATGTGATTTGTAAGGAACTCTATCGAGAATTCCATGATATTCAACCGCTTTTCTCCATCTAAGATAAGCAGCTCCAATTGTCACCCAAGCAATGAAACCAGAGATGGTGGAAATGTTTGAAAGCCAAGCAAAAACTGTTGCTGAGGCAGATGAGACGTTTAAATATGATAAGAGCCCAAACATAGACGACACAGCAACACTGTACACAGGGATACCAAATCTATTCACTTTAGCGAAAATCTTTGGTGCATTGCCCCGTTGGGCCATGGAAAACAATGCTCTGGATGCTGCATACAAAAAGGAGTTACCTGCAGACTCAGCAGATGTCAAAATGACTGCATTGATAACATGATTTAACCCTGTGATTCCTGCATTTTGCATTGCAATAGTGAAAGGACTACCTGAAGTGTCTTCTGCACCTCCAAATAAATGTGGATCTCTCGAACTGACAATAACGCTGATACTCAATGACCCCAAAGCATAGAAGAATATTAACCGCCAAATGAAACGTCTTGCGGCCTTGGCTCCGTTGACACGTGGGGCAATAGTTTCTCCCATGGTGGTTGAAACAACTTCTGGTGATGTAATGTATGAAAATCCCGACTTAATTATGGCTGTCCACAAACCTAAGAATCTTCCTGTAGAGCCTCCAGTAAGATGTTCATTGAACGCTGACTGTTTCCAGTACCTGAAACCTAGTCTGTCATGATTGGGACCACCACCAAAGAACAACACAATACTCGTAATAATCAAACAAGTTAATGCAATCAACTTGATTGACGCAAACCAAAATTCGGACTCACCAAAGAATCGCACAGATGTCATATTCATCATTATTATGATAGCCAATAAGACTGTTATCCAAATCGCCGTGTTGACTGATTTTGTCCAGTATTCAACAACCACAGCAGCTGCAGTGACTTCAGCCCCCACCAATATACTAAAAGCATACCAATAATTCCATCCTAAAGCAAAACCAAATGATGGGGACAAGAAATCATTAATGAAAGCCAATGGACCATTTCCTGGTAAAGGCAATAGAATGGTCATCTCGGCTAACATTTGCATGACGAAATAAACCACTGAAGACATAAGCAAGTACGAGATAAAAAGTGAAGCTGGTCCACAAGCGACCAACACAGCACCTGAACCAACAAATAAACCTGTGCCAATAGCACCACCTATAGCAATCAATTGTGCATGTCTTGATTTTAAGCCTCGTTCTAATGTCTCTGGCCTTAAAGTGTGGACGCTATCCCCAGATTCAGAGTTTGAAGGGGAAAACCCCTTGCCTTCATTATCAATCTCGACACATTTTGAATCCGTGGCTATTAAATTGTCTGATCCGCTTGAGCTATAGTCTGTCTGCTTGCGGTTTATTCCAACACTTTTTTCGTTATCGTTGTGACTCATAATAGCTATCAAATGTGGAACATGAAATATTTCAAAACGAAACGGAGAAGCATTTCAAGTGAGTAAATCGACACAATTTTATACCGCCACTGTGTTTAGGGCCACACCCTCATCCCTTAGCCCTGAAAGCTACTCGTTAATAGTTTCCATTCCCGAGAAAAGTTTATTCGTGCATTTATAAACTTTTCTTTCACCAACCAGTATAAGTGAAATAAGGGAACGATAATGCTGATTGCAACATACAGTCTACTATCTGCATCTCGTATTTCGTGCAGCATTGATGAATCAATGGTCTGGAACATAGAGCCTCCTTTGCTAACCGCTTTTCTTTGAATTTTCAATTACAATTGAAAAAATAAGTCCGTATCGATACAATTGTTCAACGGGTATGATCCCAACAAGGGCATGTTTTGAAGAGATTCAATAAGCTTTTCAAATGTGCATCCGCCTGATATGGTTTGGCAGAGTAATGGTAAGCGAGTCTTTCGGCTGGTAACACTTGTTTGCATGAAACGCAAGATAAAGGACTGCAATAACCCCTCATAACTTTATCTTAGTATAGTCACTCGTAGTTGCATTTTTTGTCGTAATCAACGAATCTAAGTTTAATGTTGAAGGAAATTGAAGTGCAGGACCACAATGTATTCCCGAAAGTGGCTAAATTGTTCAATAAGCCTCATGATATACGACAAGTGACGAGATTTTTTAAAAAGTGTCGATCCTTTAATTAGCTTTCGTCAAATCATATATGACGTAATAATCAGCTTTTGCGCAAAAGCCCAGCGTAAAATGATCATCGCCGTGCTCTTTTTTTTGTAGAAAGACCCCTCTTAAAACATCCATAAAGGTGTCGCTATCACGGGACTACGCAGAAATTTGTCAGCACCACGCTTAGCATTCCAGTAAACTTCGATTTCTTTTCCACAGTAGTTAAGATCTGCCAAACAAGGGAAATACAATGCTTTCTGACAGAAATCGACCCACACCTCAAGCTTCGCGGTAAAAACCAACTGTGTGGAAGCCCAATGCAGATTCAATAGCTCCAATCTTACATTTTGAGAATGCTCCCCCACAAAATTTAACTATCCTCTAATTGATCTCTATATGAGGAGCAATTATAACTGAAACCACTGTATAGATAATATCCTTCTATTTTTCTGGAATCGGAAATATAATCTCCCCGTTTACTCTCAAACTTTGATAAAGTTTGAGCTCAGTGAATAGAAAGTAAACAAGATTGGAAACTTATACTTCACTTCTTGGCATTTCATTCCTTGAATTTCGAATAACATTTTTTCATGGTGAAACCTTGGCCCGAAGCTTCACATATTCCCCATTCCCAGAGGAATTTTTCACTGCATACCATGCCCTACCAAACATCCATACAAGAGTTGAATTTTTCTCAAATCGTTCTTGAATTCATTTCATATGGCCATCATAACCTTAGCTCGTAGAAGAGCCCTGTGGTCAACTTGAGCTTTTTGCCTTCCCCTTGACTGTCCTCTTCATGATCATCAAATAGAAGGCTTGGTGGTTGAGGGACAACCCTTTTCAATTGAAATTATAATAAGCTGTGCTATTTTCAGAAAATATAATTGATGAATCGCCGCATGGCAAAACTAGTTTGCAAAGTTTAATACTAGAACTTTTTGTTGAAAGTTTATGTTGAGTAATCCGAGGTTGTGATAGGGCCAATCGCTTTACAGAAAGAAATTAGTACCACCACAAAGATTCCCCCCCTTGATATTAAAAATGTTTGATAATTTCGACTTGGTGTAAGCTCGCGATGTGATCAATCTACACAATCTGAAAACGGAATTATTTCAAAAGATGACATTTTGAAACAAAATTGAGTCCAAATCAGAGTCCAAATCAGAGTCCAGATCAGAGTCCAGATCAGAGTCCAGATCAGAGTCCAGATCAGAGTCCAGATCAGAGTCCAGATCAGAGTCAATACTTGCAAAAATTATGCAATTACATTATTTATCTCTATTTACACAGAATCAGCCGCATCTCATTTACATAGCGACTCTCATCTATCCTCACCCCTCACTTGCATCGCCATTCGACTGAGAACTCACCATTTCGTCCATTCTTTCCTTATACTCCACTTCCTTCACCTTATCTATAATATCCTGCAACTTCTCTCCCTTCATACATCCCTCAATATCGTGTAAGCTGTAGCCACATCTGTGATCGGTGATTCTATTCTGTGGATAATTATAAGTCCGTATCTTGTCGCTCCTATCGGTAGTTTTAACTTGCGAAGTTCGAAGATTCTTTTGCTTTTCCAACTCTTCTATACGATCACGTTCTGCCAAACGACTACGCAATATAGCAAACGCTTTTGCCTTGTTCTGTGGTTGCGATCGTTCATCTTGTTGGGTGACGATTATGCCTGTTGGAATGTGAACCAATCGCACTGCAGAATCAGTGGTGTTGACATGCTGACCACCTTTTCCACTAGCTCTCATTGTATCAATTCTCACTTCACCTGGTTTGAATTGGAGTTCATCATTACGTAAACTTTGCTCATTCCCATCAGATAATTTAGGGAGAATAACCACAGCTGCTGTTGAGGTATGGATTCTTCCTTTGGCCTCGGTCTCTGGTACTCTTTGTACTCTATGTACACCACTTTCGTGACGTAGAATGTCATATGATCCCGGCTCATCTATACACAAGATGGCTTCATTGATAAAGCCGCTTGAGGTCTTCCCTGTCGATATAATCTTGTACTTCCAATTCTTGAATATGGCGAAATTGACATACATTTGTAGTAAATCTTCTGTAAATAAGCTAGCCTCGTTACCACCAACTCCAGGTCTTAGCTCTATCATTGTTTTACATTCCGCATACTTTACTGGTGGCAACAATTTATTCTTCAATTCATTGCACAACTCTTGCAACTGCGGCACTAAGGATTGCATTTCTGCCTTCGCCTCCTCAACCAACTCGTGATCTCTTATCTTCAAAAGCTCTGCAATTTCACCACTGAGGGAAGTGAATTTCTCGTATTTGTCCATGATTTGGGTGATTCTATCAAATTGAATTTGAAGCTCTGGGTCGTACGAATCCAACTTCTTGGCCAATTCTTTATGTTCATTCTGCAAAAATGCTGCCCGTTGAATTAGCAACGGGTGAAGCTGAGGAAGCACCGTCTCTGCAGTTCCATTCGCAGTGGTGTATAGTCTAGTTCTCAGTAGGTGCCCTCGTATAAGTCGGATCATAGTGGAGTTATACTCGGCTCGTTTCAAGATGCATTATGGGATACCAAAGATTTTCATGTCGCAAAAAATTGTTGCACGTCTTCCAACATTGTAAAGTTTTGTCTCTACAATCATGTACAATTGATCATGTCAGAGCCTCCCACTTTAACTCTTGAACAGTTTCGCAAGGCCATTAAAGATGTTCTGCAATTTGAATTGGAGTCCAAGAAGGAGCAACAACGGCATTTCATTCTCAAATTGGTTGAGACAAACAATGAATTGTTTGACGAGCTAAATGCTGAAGCAACATCACCTGAGGATGGCAAACTATATGCAGAGACAATCGAAGAAAACAAGATGAGTTTGCTTGAGCAAATCAGTCGAGTGGAAAGCATTAATCTGGAGTTAGTAGAGAGAGGGTTGATGAGTAGTGAAGATAAGTCGAAGGAGGAGCAAAAATTGCTTGATGAGATAAATAACACCGACAAAAGTACTCAAAAGGCAGAACCAAAGATTGTCGAAGATGAAAAGGAAGGAGGAATAATGCTTTGATGGGCAGAGGCAATTCAACAACAACGCTGTCATCCACATGCTTCACGATAGAGGTATTTTGTACCATGATGCATCTATCTACAAGTCGTATATACAAAATCACTTTCTAAATGATTTGGATTCTCTTCCAAACAACTTATCCAAGAATGGCTTCTCATCCAAAGTGATGGGGTCTTCTGGTCGTTTCAACACCAACATCCAAGTTGTGCTCAAATGTGCTCTTTTCTCCAAAGTAATGTCTAGATTAGCCTCATCAACTAGCTCGCCGATATCCAAATTCCATCTACATTTCCATTTCTTCATTCTCTTTTCAGATCTGAAATCTAAATGATTATTGATGAAATCCCATTTTGATCTTCCATGTTCAAGCAAAATTATCCTTCCTCCTGGTTTAAGCAATTTTGCCATGTTTCGTAACACTTGCACTGGATCCTCGTGGCAGCACAAACCAAAAGCCTCTACAACGGTGTCGTATTTCAAAGAATTATCGTCAGGTGCCATTTTCAATAAGTCCTCAGCCTTCCCTTGTGTAAACGCAACCTTTTTAAAGTTGGGGAAAGCTTTTTCGAATTTTTCCTTTGTCACTTCAACCATGTTCTTTGATGAATCGAGAAACGTAATTGACCTGACTTTTTCAATATACGAAGATAAATATGGGATGTTTCTACCAGTTCCACAAGAAACTTCCAATACGTCGCCTTTGACATGCGACATCAACCATCTTCTTCTTATACCCATAAAGATTCCACGCTCTTCCCACTTCACAGCATCGTCATATTCTTTTGCCTTGGCGTCATAAAAGTCGGTGGTATCTTCAGGTGCTGCAATGGACGAATTGTCAGAGTTTACCTTGTATTCTTCCAGCACATCTTGCAAAATAGGTGCTTTCTTCTTCTTGCTACTGAACCTTGCTTGTTTCAGATACCAGTCGTCTAACTCTTCGGGACTAGGGTTAAACATCTCCCCTGACAAGAAGTTCTTGCGTCTAAATTCTTTCCGCATGAGCTGGTAGATCTTGTACTTTTTCTGCTCCAATGGTCTTAACTTATCAGTCTGGCTTAACGACTTTAAAGCTAAGTATTCATACTCACTTAAGGACTTGGGATCGTTGGCGTATTTTTCACGTATGATTTTGAGTTGTTTGTCTTCGTAATAACGATCCCGCATGTAAAAATACAATGGAATGAATGCCACAATTATAGCACTGAGATAGATCTTCGGCATAGTCTTATCCTGAAAATACTCGGATTGCACGTACTTGACCAATTTGCCAAACTTGGAAGTGGGCTTTGCATCTTTCTTTGGTTGAGATTGTTTGACACGGAATGGATCAGACGAGTATGAACGAAACAGTAAAAGTGTTGAAGGCTTGAGCACACTGCAGCGTAGTAGCGGCAGCTTCTGCGACGACGTGACAAACCTGGAGATTACCGTGTACATGTTCACCAATTTGACCTCTTTGCTTCTTTGTCTTAGTTTCACTCTCTGGTGATTTTTCAAAGGTCGTGTGTATTTGGCGTATGTACAGTAGATTGTATTTTTTCTTTTCAACTTTTCATTTGGTGGAAAACTTCAAACAATTGATGGCAAATTGAAAAAACAAAGACACCACTACTACACGCTAACACCACGCACACCCAATATCTCAGAAGCACGCATAACATTCACTCAAGATGTCAGATAAAGCATTACTAGAGGAAGCAAGAGAGGCTGTTAACAAAAAGCAGTTTGATGTGGCTGAAACCAAGTATAAAAAGATTCTAGAGGATTCAAAACAAGAAACTTCCACGTCTGCCAAAGTGTTGCAACTTCAAGAGAATGCCATATTAGAATTGGGAAAGATTTACAGAACTTTGGATCAACCTCAAAAACTATTGCAAGTGATAACAGACTCCAGGCAGTTATTAGGCAATTTCGCCAAGTCAAAGACAGCAAAGATTGTTAGGACTTTGATCGAGTACTTCGACAACTTGACGGATGCATTGGATGTTCAGATCGAAGCCACAAGACAATCAATTGATTGGGCAATGGAATCGAAACTATCATTTTTAAGGCAAAGTTTGCAATTGAAGCTTAGTGACCTTTTGTATCAAAAACATCAATACCATGAGGCATTAAAGTATATAAATGAGTTGTTGAGAGAGTACAAAAAGTTGGATGACAAGTCCTCGTTGGTTGAAGTCCAATTGTTAGAAAGCAAAATCTACCATGCATTGCGAAATATTGCAAAGTCTAAAGCCGCATTAACCAGTGCCAGAACGTCAGCAAACTCGATTTACTGCCCGACTTTGTTACAAGCAGAATTAGATTGTCAAAGCGGGATACTAAACATGGAAGACAAGGATTACAAAACTGCATTTTCCTATTTCTATGAAAGTTTTGAAGGGTTCAATTCTCAACAACTGGATGAAAACTCCAAAACAGCCGTTAAGGTTTTAAAGTATATGTTGTTGTCAAAAATTATGTTGAATTTGATTGACGATGTCAATAACATATTAAAGAACAAAAACATGGCTCAATATCAATCAAAGGACATAGACGCAATGAAGTCAATTGCCGTGGCGTACTCCAACAGATCATTAAAAGAATTTGAAAACAGTTTGATTCAATACTCAACAGAATTGAAATCTGACGACATTATCAAGAACCATTTCAATTCTTTGTATGACCAATTGTTACAAGTCAACTTGTTGAAAATTATAGAGTCATACGAGTGTGTTGAGTTGGAGCATATTGCCAAAGTGATTGGATTAAATGTCAAGCAAGTTGAAGGTAAGTTGAGTCAAATGATTTTGGATAAGGTTTTCTATGGAGTTTTGGATCAAGGTAATGGATGGCTTATTATTTACGACGAGCCAAAGAAAGATGGAGCATATGAAGCGTCGTTAGATTTGGTGAAAAACTTGTCGGGTGTCGTGGACTTGTTGTATGAGAAGGCAACTGCATTAAATTAGATTAGTATAACTTAATCGTAGTCCTATAAACAGTATAAACCCTGCTTTCCTTGCTCTGTGGCAATAGCCGACAATTGACCTACTTTGGCCAAAAACTCTTGCAACCTCCCACTAGTTTCAAAGCATTTTAGATAATCATTGACACCATCGTTAGCAACTTCCTCAATCAAGTTGAAAGCCAACCTAATATACTTCCAATCCTTCATTCTAGCGTTTTCATAGATTGTGATCAACTCAATAATCAAGTAAGGCACGTATAAAGTTCTAAACTCCATCAACATGGGATCCAGGAAATCTTTAAGCCAACTCGAAACCAAGTTTGTCATGAGCTTAGTGGTTTTATTGAGTGACGCCTCCACTGTTGATCCATCATAAGTGCTCAGGCCAGCATGGAAACTTCTCCACTGACTCAACAATCTCAACCCTTCAACAAAATTTTCATAATGTATCAACTCAAGCTTTGTATCTTCACTGATTTCATCATTTTCTGCACCCATTTTCTGAACGTTGTAATCCGAAACAAGATTTTTGAAATTTTTGTCTTTGGAGAATCTTTTCAAACTTGCCAATTTACCCATCATGAGAAATCGCCTTATGATAGTAATGGTTGATTCTATAGCATCCTCGAACATGCGATTCTCATAGAACAAATCGACTGCATTGCATAGTCTCGAATCTTCTTTGCTGATCGAATCATCTAGGTCTTCATCGAAAATCACAATTGCACCATTGCTTTGCTTGTAATAAGGTGCTGTCTCCTCAATCTCCCGTTCAACAATACTTTTCAACACGTTTTCAAGTTTTTCCTTCGGAGCATCATCTGCTACAATCACAGTATCGTCATCAACGTGTAGGGAAGCAACTTTTTTGGCAACATGTAGCTGTCTAGCGCGTTCTTCTTTATCAGTGATGGCAGTAAGTATCGAGTAGTATGCCTTTTTGGCGTCTTCTTCATCAGGAATAAGTGACAAATATAGGGGCGCCAAGTCGGCTTGGTTCGAATCAAACAATCTTGACACATATTCGGTGATTGCATTGCCTAAATCTTTTGGGTTTTGGTATGGCTTCACTAATGCAAGAAATATTCCCAAGTGTGTCAAAATCCTAAGGACATTGTTATCGGTGTTTTTGTTCACATTTTTGATCAATGATTCAACTTCATTGATCATCACAGAGGCTGATATGTTTCTGATAAGGTGTGTGCTCTCCTTTTGTGCATTCGTTCCAGCGGCTGAGGATACAATTGTCAAGACATCCTTTGTAGATTTTGCTTGTGGAGGCGGTATGTGAATATTATCAACTGATTTGTGCTTCTCATTTTTTAAATATTGATACACGAGGAGCTGATTAATCAAAACATTCATGTACTCATCATAAGAGGCCGATGCAATTTCCAAATTGCCACTAATATCGCCTCCACTCAAGTACGTGTAGATCAACCTCTCGAATTGACTTAATCGTGGGTTCTGAGACAACTTGTAAACAAGTTTGATCCAAGTTGACTTAACCATCTTACTCTGCTGTAAGGTATCGCTCATGTCATCACTGTCATCCAACCCTCCTGTAAGAATGAGTGCCATTGCAAAATTACCAGTATCTTTAGCATAATCTATTGCACTTTTAATATGTCCTAAAAGAACAAACTTGTAAATAACCTCAAAAATCTCTGCGTCCTTCTCTTCATCAGCTGGCTCAATTCTTTGATCAGTTCTCAATAGTGCATCAACATCAAGGTTTTCTACTAAATCAAGATCGATATCTTTTCCAACTAATGGTTTATACTGTGCAGTGCTAACAGCGATCCTAGTGTATGACCACTTGTTTCGAGGATTCAAATTATCCTCGCTATCAGGGATCAATACATCTGGAGTGTTGTCTTGTAACCAACGCAATATGCTTGTCAACTCTTCAAGCTTTTGCTCTTGCTCCAGCTCATTAGGAATCAAACGTGTGATGTACAACTTTTCCACTAATCTCCATAACTTCATTTCAAGCTCCCAATTCTCGAACTCTTCGGGTGAGGAAACTCCATTGTACACTTCCTCTTCTTTTACTTTAAATGCCTTTTCTGATGCTATAGCGCTAAACTGTTGGACAATCTCAAAAAGTTGGTGTACACGATCTTGAAGAATTGAATCGTCGAATGAATTGTCCTCATGGGACCTCAATTTAGGTAGTTGATGCTCCAAAACTTTCGCAAATTGCCCGTAAATACTGACTGAGCCGTCTGAAAGCATCGGATCTTGTGATCGAGGAGCCATCGTGTGAGGCAATTAGAGCTGAAGTGATGTGTACTTTTGGTATTGTGTTGGTGTGTGTGTGTGCTTTTTTTTTTGTCTTCTTCGCTCTACTGCATTGCAATTTCCATTATTTGTGATAATACTCTACATGTAATATGAATGATTCTCTATACACCCTGACTTAACAAACGTGGGTCCATCACAAACAAGGAGCTATGGATCCTTCCCACACACATGTTACAAACTTTCAGAACCTGGCATTGTTTCCATAGGAGAGAATCGTGTGGATCGTGCTTTACCAGATATGGAGTTTGCGTCATCGTCCAATCCGTCACTTTCATTCTTGATCAAAACGTGATTGACAATAGCTTCATTGCGTTTGTGCTTCGCTTCTAATCTTGCCTTCACATCCAAATATGTATCTTGATCACAGCTTTCATCATTTTGCTCTTGGTACAACTCCTCTTCGTCGTCATCAAATTTTCTGCCTCGTGAATCTTCTCCGAGACTTTCCTTTGTATACCTTCCGTTATCCATCAATTTCTTGTAGTCGTTTTCCTTTTTCACAACCTCTTCGTTCAACTTTTGGATAATTGAGTCCTTAACTAAACTTTCTTCTTTAATACGATCCAATCTATGCGATAGCTGGACTTCTTTTTCACTCTTCTCGTCAATCTTGAGCTGTAGGTTTTGAATCCTGTGATCGTACTCCCTCTTCAATCTAGCTAAGTTGGAATCGTGATCTTTAAACATTCGTCTCTCTTTATCCTTGAACTCTTCACTCAATTCTTTTCTCTCTTGATCCTTTGCTGTAATGGATTTTTTCAATGAATCAATCATCCTGTTTAAATTGTCAACCTCCATCTTTAGCTTTTTATTCTCTTCTTCAATGACCAACTGTTTTCTCGGACTGGCCTCCTTTGGTAACAGAGAGTTCAATCGATTAGAATCTGCGTTCAATCTCTTCAGCTTTAATTCTACTTTACTCGGTAGTTTGACCTTGTTTATCGACTCCAACTTTGATTGAAATTCATTCTTGTGCCTGGTAAGACTTGGAGGGAGAGTTTGTTGTGGCTTATTATCTTCATTCAAAGGACTCAAAAATGCCAAATCTTCAACATTGTTCTCCCTCATAAGCTTCTCTATATTGGCATGTAGTTTCATATTCTTTTGTTGTTGTGTGTTCAAATAATTATCATCAGTCATGGTTATTTGTTGAAGCCTAAACTATGCAGGCACTGTGTTTGTGGAAAAGGCTTAAACCGCGTTTTCGTTTTGTTTTCACATTTTGTGGAGTTTAAAAACAAAAACACATTTTCATCATCATAACATCTTCCTACAACATACAATACAAACTGGCTTCGCAGAAGGGTCACCGCCGCAGATGTCATCAACAAAAAGATTGATTCGAAGACAGTCTCTAATATCCAAGTTGCAGTCCTTCCCATTTGACTTTTATTTATATTTAAATGAATTGCGATTATCAATTGATTGGGATGAATATGCAGTGTCAATCGGATTACCCACTGGTATTGGTATATGTTCATTGTCATTTGTTATACAATCAATATTGTCGTATTACAACTCAATAAACAAACGATCAAAAAATATACTATTCGATTCAAACTACTACCAATATGAAAATACGAAGTCATTAATTAATTCTGGACGACAATTGCATGACTATGAGATTAGTACCTCAACTACAAACACCATAATGTGGATATTCAATGTTTTTCAAAGCATCATTGTATTTGTATCCTTATTGAATATGTTTTTGATATTCACTAGCAAGAAAGATTATCAACTTTTATATCACAAGACGAAACCAAAATATAAATCGACTGTCCATCCTGCTAATCGAGAATCATATTTGTACTTGTTGTTATACTATATTGTTGAGCTCTTCTCAAAAGACCCTGAGAATGAGAATGAAGAAGAGGATACAGTGGATGATACAAACGCGATAGAGGATGGTGAATCTTGGCAATTACGAGTATGGCAACCTTCCAAGTTTTCATTGTACTTGTACGTTGGTTTGAACCCAATTAATAGCTTTATTATCGGCAATTTCACCTTACAATTTTCATCATTGAGTATCATCGGATTGATACTTGTCGTTTCAGTTTCCAATTACAAGTTGATCGATTGCTTCTTAGGGTTAATTCAAGACAAACAGATTATTTACCAAGAGACATTTAGTGAGTTTAATAACAAGTTTGTCAAGCCGAAGACAAATATATTGAAAAAGGATGCAATGGTGGATGCTACATTGGGACCATTATACTCGTCAGTATTAGTGAATCACCAACCATATACATTCACAAAACTGAAAGTGTTTACGACGCATGATTCAAAGGGAAAGGAGGTGAAAGAATTTGTGGAGGGTGATGAAAAGCAGGCAAAACCTATAACGTATCAAGAGGAATTTTACAGACACGGAAGCAAATCCCATAGCCGGCCAATAAGTCGATTGTCCAGTCGTCAATCGAGTATTTACGATCACACAGAGATGCAGGCGCTTCCACCATTTGCTTTTCGAAGGGTTCCTGAATATGCTTCTTCGACACTTTTTCAAGGACAACAACACTCATCTTTCGGTCGCATGCAAAGTCCTAGTCCCTCACGATACTCTAACAACGCCAGTTACAATAGGTCGCCAAGTCCCAACAGAAGTACATTAAATCATCGATTGAGTCCACAAAGACTATCACCTGGCAAACCCGATTTAAGTCATCCGAGAAGAGACAGTATTGGTCATTCAAGTTTACATAGCTCGCCTTCATTTCATCGATCGCCATCACCAAATAGAAGCTCCGTATTCTATCGCAGTCCATCTCCTTCTCGACCTGCTGATTCTAGTAGGAGACAAGGCTGGAGGTGAGGTCAAAAAAAAAAATGCAAAAAGCACAGTCCAGTCAGTGGCTCTTAAGATATATTGCAATCTATTAACTTGTCTATAAATCATGAAATCCAAATATATAGTTTGATAAAGTCTTTAATACACTCAATTTTGGTTTCTTTTGCTCGTCGTTTTTACTCTCATCTTTCTTATCTTTTGAGGATACAAAATAATGAGATTCTTCTTTAGGGTTTAGTGAGTTCACATAAGTTGATTTGTTTGCTCCTGATGGAGAAGATGAAGATGGAGGGGTGATTACTTGATTCTCAATCCCACTTGATTTCTTTTCCTGCTCAAATACTGATTTTAATGGCATTGATAAGTTACCGTTTCCAATATCTTCATTCACAAACACCTTCTTCTTCTCCAATTTGTCAATGACACTTTTGTGATATGGGACAACACCAAGCAAGTTGCCATTGAATATACAACCATTCTCTTGTAATGCATTCAATGCTGAATTATGATTGTCGTAGGTAATTTTTATCCAGTTGGTGCCGGTATAGATACTGACATTTTTCTTCTTCTTCTCAAGATTGCTCAATAGGTTCCACGCTTCATTTCCTGAAGAAAGATCGGTGAAATTTTCAAGAATCGTACCAAATTGTTTGAAATATTGAATGATTTGTACTGAAGTATTTTCTGGGTATCCAAACACAATAATTGCATTTTCAGACACATCAACTACACTCTTTGTCTTGTCTTCCCTTTTTTCCCTCTCAGCTTTACCATCTCTTGCTTCAAAACGTTTGAACAAGTTGTTAAACTCTTTTGGATCTTTACTGATGAGATCTGACTGTTTTTTAGTGGGTTTATTTACCCCAAATGTATCCTCATCCAAGTCATAAACAGACTTTAAAGGTGGCGCATCTGTAGGCGCATCCAAACTTTCAACCACACCATCATCGTTTTTAAAACTTTCATTCATAGAATCGTCGAATCGACTTAAATCTCCTCCAACTGATTCGAATAACGCACTTAAGCTTGTGTTTGCCCTGTCTAGCATATTACCATTTGTTATAGTGTTTCTTCTGTTGTTTCCAAACGAAACTACATTGAATTGGTCGTTGGATACTAGCATTGATGATTGGGATTCATTATTGCTTTTGTTTTTGGAGGTACCTGGTGCGCTTATTTGGAAATTCAGCTTTTTGTGAGGTACTAAGTGGTTAGGAATAATTCTCTTTTTGTGATTGTGTTGAGACTGTAGCCACGCGGGTTGTTCTTGTTGTTGTTGTTGAAAAAGCTGAGGTTGGTTGGACGATTGTTGTTGAAGCTGTTGTTGTTGAAGCTGTTGTTGTTGTGGTGGTTGTTGTTGTGGTGGTTGTTGTGGTTGTGGTTGTGGTTGCTGCTGCTGATGCTGCTGTTGCTGATAGGATAACTGACTCCCATTTCCAGGGTAAAGAAATTGAGTCTGTGGTTGACGATTGAAAAGGGTTGACATAAGATAAATAGAGTTGACGGTATCTTGGGTTTCGTTAGGTTGAGACTAGAGCAGTAGTATCTCTACTTTCTCTCGATGTTGTTTTTACAAAGAGCAAAGAAAAAAAAAAAGAAAAGTGCAATTTGGTAGCGATGTTGTCAGCCATATTTCACGGTTTAGTTGTTACCACCAAATGTTTCCCTTAAGTAGTAAGTCTTTGGTTGTGTTGGTGAAATTAGGTTCGATTGATCTCTACCTTTGACTTTCGATACAGTTCAGTGACCCTCTTGTATCCTCAGAAGAAAGAGATGCCTGCCTCCCTATATTTCTTTACTTGTTATCAATGGCTCAAGTGTATTATTGCATACTACAGAACCACAATATGTCTTCATCTTCTTTTACATTAAATGGCAAATAGTGACAAAGTAGTATGACAGGTATGATGCTACAAACATTCGTACTCCTTTTTTCGCAGCAATTACCGACATGAAAAATTTCCAATGCGATGGAACTGAAAGAGGAACAAAAAAAAAAGGATAGAAAGCCGCAAATGAGAAGAGACGCCTAAACACACCTACTACTACACACCCTTCATCATCATGCTACTATCTCCTGCTGAAAAACAATATCTATACGATTCATTAAGTCTGTCTTCAGTAATAAGACCAGACTCTCGTTCAGTTCACCAATACAGACCTCTAGAAGCAACAACATCGTTTTTACCTGGATCCAATGGATCATCAAGAATTAGGTTACTGGAAGGAAGTGAATGTATAATTAGCATCAAGGCCAAAGTGGTACCTATCGACCCAGATGTATCCAACTGTGACTCTTTATCCAATCTAATTGATGTTGATGTTGACATCTCTGGATATCGAGACGATTCCAACTACATATCCAATTTGAAATTTCAATTGATCAACTTATTATATCAGAATTTCCCTCATTTGGTTTTACAGTTAACATCACGGTATGCATTCAAATTGTTCATCGATTGCGTAATTATTAGTCACCTGTCTAGTCCATTAAGTTTAATAAGTTTGGCAACTTATTTGGCTTTGAAAACTACAAGATTGCCATTATTAGTTAGTGACCCCAATGATTTACAAGTGGCTGAATATCCTACATTTTCCGATGATTGGGATAATTCAAGGACAATTGAAGAAATAATGATGGATAAGGGTATAGGAAGTGTGTTCAAACCACCCATTTTTATTGCTATTGGTGTCGTTGGTAAAAATTTGATTTTTGATCCATCAGTTGAAGAAGAACAAGTTTTGGAAAATGGTGTTGTTGTCAGTTTTTACAATAACAAAGTCATTACTCCTATAACCAATGGAAATTTTGCTATAAATTCAAACAACTCCAATTTTAAAGGATTGAATAAATCGGTATTGATACAATGTGTTACCTTATGTAATCAATATTGTCCAGCCATCATCAAAGCTTTGGATACATTGGTTCAGCAAGAGAGTGATCAGGGTGAAGTGACTATATTCTAATAAAGTTCTATGTTCTATTTGGATAAAAATAAACGTATTTACGCTCTTTCCTCACCTTTAACAGTGTTGCGAGGAATACGCATGAACAATTATTGCTGTTGCTGTTTGAATATTCATTGATCTAACAATACCAACTTGTTTGATCTCCACACAAAAATCAAGTTCGGCTAATAAATCCCCTGGTATACCTTCTCTTTCTCTACCTAACAAGATCAATGACTTTTGAGGAAACTTCAAATCATTGTTTAACTCCACTGACTGATCAGTTTGTTCGAGCCCAATCAAAGTATACCCTTCCTTCTTTTTCTCTAATAAATAGTCTCTAATATTTTCTGGTATAACTTCAATCATTGGCATCCATTGATCAGCAGTAACTGCAACGTTTTTGAATTGTGGATGCTTGCTTATTGACATGTCATGAATTGTTAATAATCCAGCTCCCAATACATCACTTAATCGGCAAATACCACCCAAATTTGGAGGTTTATCGACAAGCGATGCAACCACAATTAGATCACTCCGCATGAGCTCCTTGCTAACACTGGTGTTGTTATCCACATCCATTATTGCATTCCATGCACCACTTTTTGTTTGTAAGGGCTGTGATTGAGTTACGGACTCGATAGGGGAAATTATTGGTTTCTTTTTCATGAGTTGTTGTGCAGTCCAAATATCCTTCTCGTCATGGCCAACTGGATGCCTCAAATGAGCAATTTGTGATTGTGATAAATTCTCCTTAAATTGTGCTTCAGTTATGAAATCAATATCATCTCGGTCGGTTAAACGTAGTACAATTCCTCCAGCCAATGCCACCAAAGTCAAGTCATTGACAATATCCCAAAGCAATGCATCACCACTCCTGAATTGACCAAATGAGTCTGAAGTTGTGGCTGAGTGGTGCAAATTGGCAATTATGCTCTTGACGTTAGCATCTATTGGTAAATCTTTCTTGGAGATTTCATTTTGAATGGAAAGGACTAAAGATAGTGAAAAATGACGAATCAATTTCTTCAGTGAAGTTGCTCCTGGGACAACAATGTTGATAAATTTCGTCAAGACTTCACCTTCTTTAGTTGAATCAAATTTGCAAATCATGAGAAACAAAATTCGTAAATAAGATGTTGCAACTGCTGGTTTCAAATTACTCATGTTGGTTGTCAACTCATCAAAAATTCTCTTCGTCCATTCTTCATTATGAAGCAAATTGTACGCAAGAATCCATTCAATATACATTCTCACTAATGGACTTGGCTCGGTTGATATACGCTGAAGAACAAGATCAAAATCAATCTCAATCTTGTCAACAAGTGAGTTCAAAATCGTGTAAAGTTGTAAACGATTCCATTCCTCAAAACTATCAGTAGTACGAAGTGGATTGAAAAGGGAATACTTATCTTCATTTTTAACAATGTAATTGTAGATACTTTGCGCAAAATCAGTGGATTGAATCGAATTGAATATGGCCATGAGGTTAACCCTTGAACTCACTTCTTCCGGTCCATATGCGTCTTGGTAGATGTTGGATGGCGTATTTAATGACACCTGCTTGTCGTATATATCCGCCAAAACCTCAACCACCTTGAAATACGACGTCTTTGCTTGATAAACCAAGAACCCACTGACCAAAACTTCGGGCAACCATTCTAGTTTTTCAAATTGCTCTTGGTTGGATAGCTGAGCATTTACTAAAGCTTGAGTGAGTGCTGGTAATAAACTACGTCTTGTCCTCGAATGTTCCAATACTGATAAGCACAATAACCTCAACTGTGATGCAGATTCGTGATGGTAAATGATTTGTGGATGCAATAATGTTTTTATTATGGAAAGCTGCAAATCCCTTTGGCTTAGATGCAATCTACCCGATTCAACTACTCCGAACCATAATTGAGAAAGGAAACCAACAATTTCAATATCTTGGTGCACCTCTGATGATGTTTCAAGATGGTGTTGAATCAACTTTACCATGGCATAGTTTCCGCTATAACTGGAAGAGCTAGAATCAAACGTGTTGAAAGCAGCTGGGAAAAATGTGGAATTTTTTTGAAAGCTGGTTTGTAATGTAGTGTAGTATTCTCCATCAATCCTGTCCTTGATCTTGTAAAAAAATTTATCCATTTTAGTCATTTCATCGGTATTTGTTAGCAAGTTATTCTTGAGATTAACTAGAACCTTTGGATCTTCAAATTGAAAATTGGAATTTAAAAAGACGTTATTAAAAAGTTTCATCTTGAAGTAAACATTGCTTAGGGTTGTTAAATCTTTTGATTGCAAGTCTTTCTCAATTTGAGACCACAATTGAAGGATCTTGTCGTGTGGTGGTATTGCAAAATCAAACTCTGTATAGTCGGCATTAGAGAGGCACTCCACAACAGCAATATCGTCCAGATTTACCAATTCCTGTAGCTCCTCAGCAATCGACTTTAGTGTAGCTTTTCTAAAGCCGGATTCTAACAACTTGGCCAATAACAACGGTTCTGTTTTTGACAAATAAAATGTCTGACTTGAGATATTGAGTAATGACACTTTCAAATCAACAGTGTCACTACGTTCAAGAAACTCCTCCAATCCCTCATCATCCGCAATGTAATTCTCAAAAAGACTCAAGTTTTCACGCAACAATGTAAATCCATTGAATTTAATGAACTTGTTCAATAATTGTAGAAATTTGTGCAAGTCTGGCTTGAAATTAAGCAACAAACGCAAATTTAATGTTTGACTATATGTTTCGAGTAATGCACCCTCTGATTTTATTTCAAAGAGTTCCAATAATGGCAAATCATGAACCCCGTATTGCAAGACTTTCTTCTCTCGCAACCCTTCGACCAATCCATTCATTATCAAAATTCTTGTAGGAGAAAAGTTGTGTTTGAAATCGGCACAAACACGTAAGATAGATGCAGCAACAGCTTGCATATCTCTTTCGTCCTTCAAGTTTTTCACCATGTTGGTGATCAAATCTTTCAATTGGTAAGCAAAAGGGCACTGGACTTTCCCGTTAATTACCTTCACATTCATATTAGCGGCAACCATCAAGTTAGTCAAAAAAGATTTCTCCAAGATAGGTAATGCGTCTTTGATGAGGTACAAATTTTGCAAAGGTATCGACAATAACAATCTAATGATGAGCTTTCTAACTGAGTCAATGGTTGCAGTAAACCCAGTTGATAATAAACACCAGCCCCATGATGGTTTGATCAACGAATTGGGGGATATCAATCCGGTAATGTCGATGAATCCTGCTTCAGCTTGATGGAGTGATGTGTCAATCGCCAAAATTTCATAAAGAGTGACGTATCTTGCCCATTCATTCAAATAAGCCCCAGTTTGACTCTTTTCCCATTTGATAAAATCATTGTTGAAATCACTATTGATGGATTTGATTGACAACTGTAGAATGGATGCAGAAAATTTCCTATGTTCATGAATAGTACTTGTTAAGCCCGATTGAAGAACAGCCCAGTACTTGTTTGTTTGCAAGAAACTTTGGTAATCGGTATTGTTCTGTAAGTCATTGCTACTATTGAGATACCTCAACCAAAGCGTGAGTGCTGATGATTGCTGGTATGATGACTCTGACGACTCTAATGTGAGTATGACTTTCCAAATCAAGTCAAACTGATTTGGATCATTCAGCAACAACTTGATTCGCCATCTCAACAAATTCAGTGCCTCATTTGATACCGGTTTCTCATCAATTCCCAACAATAACAAAAGTAAATGATCTATGAGGAGAATTGATTCATGAGTTTGTTTTTGAAATATCTTGCTCAATAAAGCAAATAAAACATTTAAGTCCACTTCGGAAATATCACGGTCCTCTTTTATATCACCCTTTAAGTTGAAAGACTGATAATAAGTCAATCCAAAATCAGATTTGTGTTTGTGGATGTATAGTTGAGTAAAATGCGTAGCTTGATCAAGTATTTGATCCTCCAATTTGGGCAATGCATTGATTAACTTGGACATGGAGTCAATGTATTCTCTATCAAGTAAATGTTGGTGACAGTACTCTGATAGAACTGCAAGACTCTTGTCGTTAATCTCCACTTCGTGCAAGAGTTCCACCAAAATATCCACATCGTCGTCATTGTTAGTTAAGTTCGTAGAAAGATTGTCGATAATTTCCAATTGTTTATCTTGACCAATGTATTTGCTGATCAAAGATGCAGAACTCATGACTTATAGTAGAGGAATTAGTATCCGTTGATACTAGGTTATATAGCGAATGTTGTTGCTAAAAAGTTGGTTGTAAAAATCAAGACTCTCTATTAGAGAATAAGAAAAAAATAAAATAAAACGTGATGCGCATCGAAGGAAAATCCTGCGCTACCGAATGATCTAGACATAAGTTTGTTTGAATACAAGGTGATGATTCACCACATTGTCACTAAAAACGAATTCTCTGAGAATTGCTTTGTTGGTGAGTTAAGATTGCTGTTAAAACATTCGCAGCTGCTTTGTGCTGGACATCATTATGTCTTTATCGAAACCCTTTTACTTAAAGCGAATGTGGCCCTCGATGTAGGATCACAGAACAGATGCAGCAAATCTAACAGGATGAGATTTGATAAATTTTAATGATTGTAAATTGCGCTACACGACGGTGTTGATGAATAAAAAAATGTAATTTTGAAAGAACTACCCTAAGCTGGACTCAATGACGCAATAAACAAAATAGTTCCAGCCACTGCTTAACTCAAATGTATCCCAAATTGTGGGGGAGGGACGATTGCTGGTGTGTGCGGTTCCCTTATGTGTAAGTAAATGACGACGATTTCGCCATTGTGATTGCATGAACGGCGTTTTAGCATTTCGCAAACTGCAAATAATGCAAGAGGGAACAAAGGTCACGATGTTTACGATAGTGCAATAAATACGAGATTTCAAAATGAAAGAACTAGTGGATCTGTAGATCATCTTTGAGTTGTGAGCAACCCCCGCTTCTTTTTTCCTTTCCTCCCCTTAATAAAGGAGGTCTCAATCAATTCGCTTTAATTACCACCCTAGTGTTTAAAGTAAAGTTAAGCGATCTTTCTCTCTTTTAGAGAAAAAAAAAAAAAAAAAAAAAGAAAACAGAAAAGAAAAGAAAAGAAATTGGAGTTTGTTATAGCGAGATTATGATACGTTTTCAATTTTTGTATTACTTCATTCGGTAAGTGGGGCGTAATTTCTCTAATACTTCTACTTTTGTGTAGCAATTGACAATTTTTCGGAGTTTTTTGCTAAAAACGCCGTACACTTCATTTAATATAGGGAAAACTTTATACTTTAATTTCTTTCGTGGAAGCTTATGTTGAACTGTGATATGCTAAAGCCAAAGCCTCTTGTTAAGGGCTATACCTGGATAGGTAGATATATACACTGCTGCTTAACATCTTTAAATAAGCATTAAACTCATCTCAGGTTCACTAATACCTTTGAAGAGCTTGCCATTCAGAGGCGTTTAAGGTTTCTTAAGATCATTGTCTACATAGTGAAATAGAAATAGTTGAGATAGCTACTAAAAAAAAAAAACGTTTGGTTAGTGTTGTTTCTTTTTTCAATTTGAATATGATCATTGTAACATTGGAAGTGATCCTCTTCATAACATAGCACAAGATGCCTTTACCTTACTTTACATATCCGTTCCAGTAGTGCTCAAATGTGGGGAGTAAAAAAGAAAGCTCGAGCAGTATCTGTATCTCTGCTTAAAATATCAAGTATTTTCAACTCGCTTGTTTACACCCGGATTAGTTTTCCTCTTCAGTCATCGGATCAACCACTGAGGCGTGTTTATGTTTGATGACTCTTCCTGAAGGTCGCTTTTATTATCACTCTGGTAAAGTATTCGATAAGTTTTGGAATTTTAAAGAGAGATAGATAACATATATCTACACAATTTTTTCAATTATTGATAACCAATTTTGTGTCTCTATTACATGTTTTCTTTTTGTTCAATAAAGAGAGGGAGAGGAGGAGGAAGGGGACAAAACGAGATGTTTTGTATTACAGATACCACATAAACATCTTTGTTACTCTTGTTTTATCTATTAGCTGACTAGTAACGGAAACAGAAACCATTTCACAATCAAATTCTTTGTCATATATAATGCACTAACATTTCCCTTCCACATTGTCCTTCACTGATAATACTCCAATTCCAAACATCGACACAGTAATTAATAATGGGTCTCAAGGATAATTTGGAAAAAATTGGCGTTACCCGGAAACAGATCTATCGTGGATCGTCAGCATCATTAAATATAGCCATATCCAATTCGCAAATTGTTGAAGTTGATGAAAAAACCGGTAAAGTTTTATCACGTACAAATTCCGAAGCAAGTGCCCATACATTTCAACCAGAAACACTAGAAAGAGGTTTAAAATCAAGGCATGCACAATTGATTGCTATTGGTGGTGCTATTGGTACTGGATTATTTGTTGGATCAAGTACAGCTTTAGTCACTTGTGGACCAGCTTCACTTTTTCTTTCTTATGTTATCATGTCCTCGGTGGTTTACTTTGTCATGCAAATGTTGGCCGAAATGACAATTTTTTTACCGGTACCAGGAAATGGTCCGTTGGCATTCATTAACGATTGTTTATCTCCATCTTTTGGATTTGCATTTGGTTGGAACTACTGGTATGCTTTTAGTGTATTGGTGGGGGCTGAAGTCACTGCAGCTGCAGTTGTTATTGAATATTGGACCAAATCCGTGAGTACAGCGGTGTGGATTACCATCTTGTTGGCATTAATCATAATTATGAATATGACCTCGGTTAAATTCTTTGGTGAAGCTGAGTTTTGGTTTGCTTCGATAAAAATTATTGCCTTGGTGGGGTTGATTATCTTGAGTATTGTGTTGTTCTTTGGTGGAGGACCGAACCATGACAGATTGGGGTTCAGGTACTGGAAACATTCACCATTCAAAGAGCATCTTACTGGAGGCTCTACAGGAAGATTCTTAGGTTTGTGGACTGCTATCATCAAGTCAGGTTTCTCATACATTACATCACCAGAATTAGTATCTACCACCATGGGAGAAACTGTTGCTCCAAGATACAATGGTGCTAAAGCATCTCGTCGTTTTATTTGGCGTTTAATCTTTTTCTATGCTTTGGGTACTTTGAGTATAAGTGTCATCGTTAGCTCCAACGATAAGCAATTGTTTGGTGGTGCTTCTGATGCATCCGGCAGTGCATTCACTGTTGCCATAAAAAATGCTGGTATAAAGGGGCTTAACCATGTTATTAATGCTGTTATTTTAACATCAGCCGCATCAGCTGGTAACTCGTTCTTGTACTCGGCATCAAGAGCAATCTTTTCCATGGCTCAAAGAGGTAAAGCACCAAAAATATTCACAACTGTTAACAGATTTGGTGTTCCCTACTATGCTGTTGCCATCTCATCAATTTTTGGATTTTTGGCATACTTGAATGTTTCCTCCTCCTCAGCAAATGTCTTTAACTGGCTTACAAACATTTCCACCATTTCTGGATTCTTGGCTTGGTTAGCTTTAGGGTTCACTTATCTCCGTTGGAGGAAAGCCATTGCTTTCCATGGTCTTAGTGGTAGAGTTCCATACAAATCGAAATTGTTACCTTATGGTGCCTACTACGTCATCTTTATGATGTCTATAATCACAATCACCAATGGATATGCCGTGTTTTTTGATTTCAATGGTGCTGATTTTGTTGCTGCTTATGTTACTTTACCCATTGTTATCGGGTTATACGCTGCCCATCGTATTTATGATTATTGGAAGAATGGAACCAAGAGATGGTTGGTTCCTATTGAAGAAATTGACTTGGTAACGAACTTGGACTTGGTTGAAGAAGAGGAACAAAATTATGAGCCTCGTGTTCCAAAGAATTTCTTACAAAGATTTTGGTTCTGGTTAGCCTAAAGAGAAATTGGAGGGTATATGTATTGTATTTTTTAAATAGGGTGATGTGACATTGATGTGATAGCTCAAATGCGTATGGCAATCGTTTATATACATCAAGTTTAATGTGGTAAACTCCGCTTTTACTTCCAGATGCAGATGCGGGGCCATCAGAGTTACACTTTTTTGTACTCTATGTAAAACAGATCGGAAATGGCCGAGTGAGGAAATTTCACCGAGACTTCAAGCGCAACTTCAGCTGCCCATGCTTCATATGCTTAGTGTCATAACAAAAAGTTCTTCAAGTAGGAACTCTTAATTCTCACTTATATGGGTCGCAATGAGTCTGAATTCACAAATATTGTCACATGATGAAATAAAATCAAGGTTTGTCGCATATTTATAGTGCACATGCGCACGTGGTCAACTGCAAATCTACAGACCAAAATTAGTTTCAAGTGAAGTTCATTGTAGATTAATAGAATTTATTGCAGAAGGACGTGCTCTTCAACATCGTAGACAATGCTTGGTTACTTCACCCAAGGAAAAATTTTAGGTAAATCGCTCTTGACAAACAAGACTGTAGTCATCTGAATGAAATGAAAATATTCGTCCTTAAATTGATTGGCCCCAAATTATTGTGTCATAAATTTGAAACTCAATTTTGATGTAAATGCAATTTCAATTTCAAATTAATCAAGGCCCATGTGGCAAATCGTATTGTTCCAAAGAACAATAAAGCTTTCATTGTTATTGTCGTAATTACCTTTCCGGTCTGTAATTTGTTAGAACGGCATCAAAAAAATTGAGGTATAAGAAGAGCATGAAATTCACCATGAATTTTCTTCACCATGACTTTCAACTCCATCTAGCTTTACATCATCAAAATATATCTCCACCGCAATGTTGGCTGTTCCAATTGCTTTAGCTTTTGGGTTACAAGTTGTTGCTGCTACACCTTACTCGGCACCGTACTTTGGTAAATTCTTCCACGGTCAAAGAATTTCTGGTGACTCTTCATCTGATGGTAATAACTACCCAGTTCAGGATTGTTCCAGCTTTATTGAAAACACTCCTGATTCCTGGTCTTGTCACAACACTTCGGTCATTTCATCTGACAGCCAATGTTGCTTCGAGGATTATGGTATATTGTTACAAACCCAATTTTGGGATTTCAACACCACTTTGTTGGATGTTGCAGTCAACGGTTCAACTCAAGAAGTGCTTGATGCTGAGATCAGAAGCAAGATTGAAACATTTGATGACGACATCAAGTCAACCTTCACCATTCATGGGTTATGGAATGATCTTTGTAATGGATCGTACAATCAGTACTGTCAACCTGATTGGGAAGTTGACAATGCCAAGGACAATCTTACTTATCTCATTGGTGAAAAGTTTGACAAACCAGAGTTGTTGAAAATAATGCAAAAATATTGGATCAATACTCTCAAGTCAAACGTTGAAGATCAGGCTAGTATAGCATTGTGGGAACACGAGTATAACAAACATGGTACTTGTATGAACACATTACTGCCATCTTGTTTTGTTGGTGACTATCAAGAGTTCGAAAATGCAGTCAATTTTTTTGAAAAGACAGTTGAGATATGGTCACAACTTGACACTTTCCAGTTCTTAGCAAGTGCGGGAATATATCCAACTGTGACAAGGCAATACAAGTTGGGTGATATTGAAGCTGCTTTGCAAAAGGCACATGGTGCATCTGTCTATGTTGGTTGCTTGAATGAGTCCATCAGTGAAATTTGGTATTATCATAATTTGCAAGGAAGCGTCTTGACAGGAACATATAAACCAATTGATTCCTTGGCAAATAGTACCTGTAAGGAAGATGTTTGGTACCTTCCCAAGTAGTCTTGGTGAAAATCGAAAAAAGTCTTTTTGTTTTAGTTTAGTTCTTTCGTTTAAGATGGTATAACACTTTGTTTAGTTGTATAGCTGTTTATACAAAAGTTGCAGAATAAAAAGTAGTTTACAACGTATACAGACCCTCTTACTGTATATATTTCCTTACAAGGAGCACAGCTGTGTGATGGATGGCTTTGCAATCCTTTGATTGGTTGCCACGTGATTCCCCTTATCTCTTTTCTAGCCACAAAAAAAAAAGGTTAAAAGGTTAAAAAAGATGAGTGGCTTAGACAACTACTACAACCACAACTTGGGCCTTTTATTTCATTTAAGTTTTGAGGACTGAAGTGTGCACTTCAAGAAGTGATAGATCTTCTTTTGTAAATACTTTTGCTCTGTTGTTGTGCCTTGTATTCTACAAACATAATACATTGATGGTGTATTACTATTGTATTGTTTTCTAAACAAAAAAAGGATCTCATTTTTCTCCTTAAATAATTAAAAAAAAAAAAATTGTACACCATAACATATAATCAACCAAAAACACACAAATATCATTTTTTTTAATCAACAATACCACCATCTATCACCTGATACTACGATACAAGAGAAACCTTGTGCACGCTCGCTATCATTGTCGCATTTACTTTTATTACATGTCTTTTTCTTAATCCCTACTGTTGTTGTTCTTGAACGTGTTCACAAATTTTGATTTTCATCACAAATGATTGAGGAAAGCTCAAGCTCTAAGGAACACAATGATGGAGGGGAAAACACTAATGACAGTTATATGCCTTCATCACAACCTAACTCACCACAGCAACCGAAAGATGACATGGATAATGTGGCAACCCACGCTTCCGTTCAAGAAGCTAACTCTGTTGACAACAGCGGCAACAACAACAACAACAACAACAACAACAACAACAACACTCTTTCTGTGCCTAATCCATCACACACTAGACGAAAACGTGGCTTGTCTTTGAGATCACAGTTGTTCAACAAGGCGTTCAACTTGCATCAAGAGAAATCATTACCAGACAATATTGATCAAACAACTACTGCAACCAAACCATTAGACAACATTGAACTTCAACCAATATCAACTCGTCTACATACAGCACCGCCTCAAATTAATGTAGATGAATCACCAGACCCATTACCAGTATATGAGTCATCATCTTCCTTTGCCAATAAATACGAGCCTTATAATGTGTTGGAATCTCATTTAACTAAATCAACCACCCACTTGACCATAGATAGCAAACGATCAAGTATCAGTTCATCATCGTTTTTGTCAAAGCGACAGCGGTTGCACAATACTTCACAAAATAGGTTTTGGAGACGACTAAACAAATTAAAGAATAAACTTTTGGGTGTTAAAGTTTCGCAATCAACAGAATGTGGAAGAATAATTCCCCTTTCCGTGAATCCAAATGGGGTTAATGATTACTACCAAGATGAATATTACTGCCCCAAATCAAAATCATACATCGATGAAAGGACTAATGATCCTTATATCAACAATCTCATCACCTCGTCAAAGTACACTGTTTATTCTTTTCTCCCAAAACAGTTACGAGCACAATTTTCCAAAATTGCAAACTGTTATTTCATGGTGGTTGCTATAATGCAAATGATCCCTGGTTGGTCAACTACGGGACAATATACCACGATTATACCATTGTGTATTTTCATGTCCATTTCAATGGCAAGAGAAGGGTTTGACGATTGGAAGAGACATGGTCATGACAAGGAGGAAAATAGTAAGCTCACTACTGTGATTAGAGAAGACGAAGAGTTGAGCAATTTCGATACCCATTCCATCAACACCATTTTGACTGAAACAATATCAGTGGTCCCAGGACGTGTCTCTAATTCAGCTGCTGGCTTGCCTAGTTTGTCAGCAAACTCTTCCCTATCTGATTTGGAAGATTCGCTCTCTTCTTCTGAAAACTTACTGTTTACCAATGCTGACGCCATGCGAAGGTACAATTTGAAAGAAATGTCTACAAAGTGGAAAAATGTCAAAGTTGGAGATATTGTTAAAATTAGCGAAAACGAGTGGTTTCCAGCTGATGTAATATTGATTGCAACAAGCGGAGACGATTTACAAGAAGCTTTTGTTGAAACTATGGCGTTGGATGGTGAAACGAATATGAAGTCGAAATTCCCACATCCGGAAATATCCAAAAGAGCCCGGACTGCTCCTGGGTTGAAAAATCTATACACATTGATCACTACTGAAGATCCCAACATTGATTTATACAACTTTGAGGCGTCATTTTACATGAATGAACAAGTGTATCCCTTGGGTCCTGAAAATGTTGTTTATCGTGGAAGTATATTGAGAAACACAGAATCAGTTCTAGGAATTGTTGTATTCACTGGAGAAGAGACAAAAATTAGAATGAACAATATAAAAAACCCAAGGACCAAAGCGCCAAAGTTGCAAAAGAACATCAACTATATCGTCATTTTCATGGTTTTGGTTGTGGTGATGTTGTCTGCATTCTCAACAATGGCACAACGTCTCAAGTATAATCAAAACAAAAGCAAGGCTTGGTATCTTTACGAAGAAGATGCTGGTGTGGCCGCCACATTGATGGGATTTATCATTATGTACAATACGTTGATCCCATTATCGCTTTATGTTACCATGGAGATTATCAAGGTGATGCAATTGTGTTTTTTGCAATTTGATATTGATATGTACGACCCAAAAACGAATACTCCAGCTGATGCCAAGACTGCCACCATTTTGGAAGAATTGGGACAAGTGTCATACATCTTTAGTGACAAAACAGGTACTCTCACTGATAACAAAATGATATTCAGAAAGCTTAGTGTTTGTGGTGTGAGTTGGTTACATGATTTAGACCTTATGGTCAGTGAGCGGGAGAATCCAGGTGACCAAGATGTGGTCAGTTTGGTGCAAAGACAAAGCATGCATATTCCCAAACTGCCAAGCCAGCAAGGCCAAAATTGTGCTGGTGCCAACAACGCAAACAACAGATTTAGCACCACTTCAATTGTGCGCGAAAGTATCGATATAAGGCAGTCAGGCTTAAGTGCGAAAACATGGGTTTCCACAGCGCAGCCGCATAAAGTTCAAGATACCTTAAACACATTGCAATTAATTAGACATTTGCAAACGTATCCACAAACACTATTTTCACGCAGGGCTAAATTTTTTCTATTGTCACTTGCATTGTGCAATACTTGTTCCCCAATCAAGCAAGCGCAAAAGAAATTCAAAATCAGTGACTCGTGCTCTTCGTTGGAGGAAATATCTGATATAGACGATGATGCATCAATTACTTATCAATCTACATCTCCGGATGAAATTGCGTTGGTCCAAGCAGCGAGAGATTTGGGATACGTTATATTTGATCGTCAATCCGACAAATTAAAAATTAGGACTTACCCTGAAGGTTTTGATAATGATCCAGTGGTAGAAGAGTATCAAGTTTTGGATGTGATTGAGTTTTCATCTGCTCGAAAGAGGATGTCAGTAGTTGTGAAGTTTCCTGATGGCAGGCTTGCCCTTATTTGTAAAGGGGCCGATAATGTTATTTTAGAGCACTTGAGGAACTCAAAACTTGCACAAGAGAAGGCTAGGGATATATCTATACAATCGACAGAGCGTAAAATGCAGGAAGCAGATGTGGTGTTGCAATCGAGGTTTTCACAAGATTTGGAGTCAAGAAAATCTGGGTTTTCCTTAAGACAAAGCTTAAATTTGGGTGAACCACGGATGAATACTATTGACAATGCATTGATGGGGCTAGATGAGGAAGAGGAAGAGGAACTAGCAAGTATTGCCAACCAGGCTAGGAAGTCGTTGCATCTACAACAAGCTAAAAAGTATAGTTTGGAAGATGAAGATGTCTCCCCCAACGAACAACAAACGAATACAGGAGGATTCCACTTACAATCAATCCCAAGCGATAAACTTGTGCTCAATGACGAATTTGTAATTGAGAAAACTTTGGAGCATATCGAGGAGTTTTCAATTGAGGGGTTGCGTACGTTGCTTTATTCGTTCAAGTGGTTGACCGAAAGGGAGTTTAACGAGTGGCACACTGAATATGCTGATGCTAAAACCTCGTTGAAAGATCGTGCTCAATTGGTTGAAGACGTAGGAGGTAAAATTGAGATGAACCTTGAATTGTTGGGCGCAACTGCCATCGAAGATAAACTTCAGGATGGAGTTAGTGAGGCGATAGTCAAACTCCGTAGAGCTGGGATAAAAATGTGGATGCTTACAGGAGACAAGAGAGAAACCGCAATCAACATTGGTTATTCATGTCGACTTATAAAGGATTACTCCTCTGTAACCATATTGTCTATTGATGAGGGAAAACAAGCAGTTGCGGATAAAATCACATCATTTTTGAAAGATATACAAGGTGGGAAAATTGCTCATAGTGTCCTTGTCATAGATGGTGGAACTTTGACGGAAATTGAAAACGACACTCGATTGCTGTCTCGATTCTTTGAGCTTTGTGTTGAGGTCGATTCGACTGTGTGTTGCAGAGCCTCGCCAAGTCAAAAGGCAAACATGGTTAGCTCTGTTCGATCATTGAGGAAAAGGGCAGTGACTTTGGCTATAGGAGATGGTGCAAATGACATTGCAATGATTCAAAGCGCAGACATTGGTGTTGGAATTACTGGAAGAGAAGGTTTACAAGCAGCAAGATCTGCAGACTATGCAATTGCGCAATTCCGCTTCTTGCTTAAACTTTTGTTGGTGAATGGGCGCTACAATTATGTGAGGACATCCAAGTTTGTGTTGTGCACATTTTACAAAGAGCTTTTATTCTACTTGACTCAATGCATTTATCAAAGAAACACTTTGTTCTCAGGATCATCCATGTACGAGAGTTGGTCGTTGTCCATGTTCAATACCTTGTTCACTTCGTTGCCAGTTCTTTGTATTGGAATGTTTGATAAAGACTTGAAACCAGCTACTTTGATTGCTGTACCCGAGCTTTATTCCAAAGGACGCTTGTATCAAGCATTCAATCTTCGAGTATTTCTTTCTTGGATGATTTTGGCAACACTTCAGAGTGTCGGGGTCGAGTTTTTGGCATTGTACATTTGGGGTTTCACTGGGTTGAGAGATAACACTACATTTGCTTTGGGATCCTTGGTATTTTCAGTCTTGGTAATCATTATCAATGCCAAGTGTACCTTGATGGAAATGCAAAATAGACAATGGCTTGCATTTGCGTCATTTATAATTTCAGTCGGTGGGTTGGCTGTGTGGAATGTATTGATTATGTTTCTTTACCGACTGAAAGAATCCACCATATTCTTTGTGTCCTATGGACTAACGACTTGGGGTTTGGATCAAAGTTGGTGGGCAGCATTACTACTTTTGGTGACTGTGCCTTTATTCTTTGACATTTTGATCAAAGTGTTTAAGTTTATGTTTAGTCCAAGTGATGACCAAATCTTCCAAGTATACGAGAAAGATATGAAATGGAGAAAATTGTTTGAACAGTCTGCATACAAGGAGTTATTTCAGGGCTGGATGTTTCCTCGTGATCCATCAACTACAAAGACCCATATTTTCAAACTTTTGAGCAAAATTGGCATCCATATTGATTTGAAACCAGACAAAAACATTGAATTAGCAGATAATGAAGAAGATGAAATTTACAGCCAGTCTGCACTCAATAGGAAGAGAGCAGGTACCAATCCAATGGATCACGAACTTCCTGCTAGTGGCGATGGTGTTGGTGTCTATGCCAATGACCTACAACCACACGATGTTGTTGATGCTGATGGTTATGAGATTTTACCCAGTGGGAAGAGAGTAAAGGTCAAAACTCGAAAGGAAAGAAGTTGGTCACTTCCCAAGGCTCTTAGAATCAAGAAGAGGAAGTCTCTGATGGATCTGGATGAAGATGTTAATGCAATCATTGACAATCGGTTGAAAAATTTGCGTGATGAGGAAGAAGGTAGACAGCAGGATTAAAAACAATAAACGCCCTTATGATTTTAAGTATATGTAGACTTTTCTGTGATTGGAGTAAACTGTATGAACGTGTTGGTAACTAGAAAATCACAGAAAACAAAAAGAAAAAAATATCGACAACTGCAGGACTCGAACCTACGCGGGCAGAGCCCAAAAGATACCTTGAAATTATTCAAGTCTTTCTCCTTAACCACTCGGACAAGTTGCCAACTGAGCTAGAGAGCTCTTTTGTTAAGCATGTTTGCTCCAGTAAAAGTCTCTAACTCAAACTATTTTACCTTTGTGCCATTGTTCTTGTCAAAGAAAACGTCTAATAGCTGTCGTAAATTATTATCCAAAAACACAATCATGTTGTAGAAGCCTAAATCCAAAGGACTCACAATGACAAAGCTGACTTCTTGAACTTTCGAACAGTCTGGTCTCAACATTGCCAAGATTTTGCAAGCAATTTGAAAAAAAAAAAATAACATGGTTCTCGAGAAGATTTATCTTAAAGAAAAAAATATGAAGTAATAATCTTCAGTATATATATATGACTCTTTTAGACCAAACGCGAATGATTAAGATTCTGTCAAAAGCTTTACTATCTTGTAAATGTGGTGTAAGGAAATTTGAAAATCCTCTTATGAGGGATTTTATCAACATCTTTTGGAAAATGGTTGATAACCTTGATAATCTTAGGTGGTTTGATACTTTGTAAATTATGCGTGTGCGGTTTGTGTTTGTACCGAGGAGAGAGACTAAAATTTTGCACCCAAATGAGAGAATTGTGCACTTGTACACGTCCCCTAAACGACAATTGAAATCTACTTCAATTCTTACCACCCTAGAAAGAGTTAGTTGAGAAGTATAATAAATTACATGCAACTGAAGCTGTCTCTCAACACAATAGGAGAAAATCATTCACTATATAAAAAACTTTCTCCGATTCAAATACAACCTATGTTTTGAAGAGCAAATTTATTCAGTCGGTCAGCATTGAATATCCCCCACTGTGTCTCCCATTTTTGATTGCCAGTCCAAAAAATCTCCTTCCATGGCTCATCGTATGCCTCAAAAAAGTAGTACTCGATTGGTAATTCCCTCATTGTGCATAAAAAAGTACTGAGAAATATCTTTAAACTCGACATTCCAGCTTGTGCGTAGCGATAACGACCGCCTCCACTTGGCCACCCAATTTCTGTGATAACAATAGGGGTACCTATATTTTCATTATGAGGCAAAATCTGAAGATCAAGAAAGCGTAACATCCAATGAGTAGCATCTTCAACAGAAACACCCCCGAAAAAGGGTTGTATATTTGCTCCAACAACGTCACAATTTCTCAACAACTCCAGGTCAATCAAAGATCCCACCTCTGATGTACCTACAGGAATATCGTCAATTTTCATAACTTGTAGGAACCTTTTGGCATCCTGAATGTACTCAATCAACTCCTTTTTTGTTTTGTCTCCTCTGAATAGCACCTCGTTTCCAATGAATATAGAATTTACCACTCTGGCAGGATCCAGATGCTTTGCAACAACTTTTTTCATCATGTCCATTTGTTGCTTGTTTAGGGTATCGTTCTTACCAATCCACACCCCCATTGCCACTGTCATGTTTAGGTTCATGTGATCGATCGCCTCTAGTATCAACTCAGCTTGGTCACATTGCATACCATATGTTCTTATACGTGTCGTGATCGTTGATATCTTTGCCAAATCAAGCATGGCGTCCCGTTTACTAAATTGACATTGTGGCTCCATTGCTTTGTTCGGTGAGTAAGCAATCCCATGAAACATAACATTCGAGACTCCTTTCATTAAATCGGTTACCTCATTGTCGTTTTTAGTATCGTAGCTTAACCCATCAACTGAGTTGGTCAATGCTCCAAAAGATTCCTCTTGCAGCAAATAACTGCTGACCAACTCTCTCAAATGAGGTATATTTCGACCATTACGGAAATAAGAGTTGACAGAATCGCGAGTACCACGCGATAAAATGAAGATAGCAATTAGGAGTCCCGCTAAAATGACACCACCAAATACAGATAATGAAGTAATTGTTGCCACCTTCCGGTGAGAGGGTGAGTGGTCTTTGGATTTTCTACTCACAGAAGTTGGTGGATTGTCACTCTTTACGTTGGTTGGTTTCTCCCCATCATAGTCCATTGAACCGGACACTCTCTTGCTCAATGGCTCTTCACTTTCAATGTTGTTTTGCCCCGAAAGGTTGAAACTCATCAAATCACTGCCATATTTCGATTTCACACCAGTGCGAGTTCTATTAGTACTATCTGACACTGGAGAATTGACACTTGAGTGATCTCCAATCATCCCCTGACAGTGGGATTGCTCCTCTTTATGCTCCATATCAGGCTTTTTGGTATAAATAACAGTGGCATCACGCCTTTCCTGATTCCTTTCTTTTTCGTCAATATGGAAGTTGGGTACAAAATCAGAGCCAGTGTTGTCGATAAAGTTTGTATTCAAAGATCCACTTGACTTATCAATATCAAGGTTGAGAGCCCCCTGATTTAATGCCATTTTCCTTTTTTCCAATTTGGGCTCTGCACCTATTTTCACGGGCAGAGTTTTGCTCTTCCTTGGTAACAACAGATGGACGTCGTTGCTTATCTCCGGATTTGTGTTTCCAGAAGCTTTGGGTGATAACGCCACTTCCGTAGTTAGCAATTGATTTGAAGCCAAACTCTCGTCTTCCTTTTCGAATCCTTTTGGTGCAATGAAATCATTATCTTTCAGTCTGGACTTTTGCTTCACGGGATCTGCCAAGAAACTTTTAGCCGAGGTCGCTCCTTGAAAAAAGGTCATATTTCTGTGGGTTTGTACTTCACTGATAGGAGCTTTGTAGATTTTATCCACCAAATCTCCCTTGTGTGGTTCCTTTATTTTTTCTTGAATATTGGACAAGGAAGCTTTTGGTGCATCATCAATTGGTGGTTGTTCAGCCACTGGATCCACATCTTGACCATCGCTATCAGCAGGTGCCCCATACTCCATGAAAACATTGAAGGAGGTTGCTCGTGCAATTTTATAAGGATTAACTTTGACCAAATTGGGTGCACCTTCCTCGTTCTGACATGGGGTACGGTTCCTCTTCGGTATGTTAGGTGCGGTGACTGACCTTTTGGATGAGATGCCCTTCTTGTCCTGCATTAGATATAGTTTCTGCGACCTTTAATGTTGAAAGTGAAGAGTGGTTGCAAGATTTGTTAGACACTCAATCTCAATTTTTTCCTACCACTCCTTACTTTTTTCTTCTTTGCAACACATTCAATACACCATCCATATTGTCATACTAGCCACCAGATATGGAGGCAAGATCTTTGCATCAGCACAGTCACAATTGATATCGAATTACTATACCACAATCGTTCGTCGTCCACATCCGCTCTACCGTCAATGGAATTCAGTTCAAGCCTACAACAACATGTTTTGAAAGTGAAAGAAATGTATTTACCCAAGTCTATAAACCACCACACAGCAAGCTCCACAAAGAGTCTTACCTCCAACACAACATTTCACGGAGTCTCAAATACGTATCCATAATTTAGCATTTGCAACAAGAAAATACAAGATTTCCTAGCCAAGTGGCAACCGATGTGACACATCCTTCTCCGTTTTTAGGGCAACAGTCAACCACCCCAAAACATGTGAAGAGTTCGATACAAAATTCAGTACACTCATTGTGCTCTCGCTGATAACCACTATGCCCCGAGAAATCCGACCCAGAACTGGAGGACGAGGTTGACGACGACGATGATGCATTGGTTTTTTGACGATTCAAGTTTTCTGGATTCACTGTACCTGATGGCCACTCCAGCTGTAGTTTGAATGGATCCTTTTCATCCGTGGCTTTGGGTTCGGTTGTAATAGTATTGTTATGTGGCTGATATTTAGGTTGTTGCTCTGGGATATCTTGTGGCTGGGGTGATCCTGACATCTCGTTTAAAGAAATTGATTCTGACATCTCAGTAGTATAAGTTATGGGGTAAAGCTGTACTCAAGCGCAGGTCCAGGTAAGGGTTCAAGGTGAATCAAAAGAAATTGTTACGTCAGAAACGATGTCAAAATTGCGAAAGAAAATTATTTTTTTCTTTTGCCTTTCTTTGTCTTGTTTAGTTTCTTGAAAGGGGGGAGGAGATTTCACATTAGAATGAAGTTACAAGAGCGAGTTGCAACTACGAGTCATTCGAAAACGACAATATATTGCAAAGAGGATTACCAATAACCACAGAGCACCAAGAAACCTGACCGGGAGCTCATTTTGAGAAATTGAAGCTGCTTTTAGGAGTTAGTGTTTGCTAGAAGTTCCTTATTATGCAGTACAACTTGAAAACGCGTTTAATGGAATCGTTTTGATTGCCAAACACCGTTCATTATCTTTCAATTTCCGCTATGAAATACCGATGTGAGAACAGCAGAATCATTTTAAAGTTCCCACGTAATGGTTACGAAGTTCAGCATAGTTTGGCTAGAGGACGTCGGTGTTTTCATCGGTGTGAAGTCCTACTTTTTTATTTTTTTTCTTTCAGTCTTTCCGTTTTTGGGACTATAATTCCGCGTCTGAGATTGTAGCATGCTAAAGCCGTGTCGTGACTACTGTCCCTATAATTCAAAAACAGGACTATAGTACAATCGCAAATCCCGATTTGGGATAATGAAGACCAATTTGGTATGACTTACGGTAAAAACTTCACGAAGAAACAATCTAGCTATCGAATATGGTGCGTATATAACACTTTGCAATGTATCATTCTATATGTTTTACTAGCTCTCTCAACACTATCGAAATGAGATTTATTACTTTATCATTTGCGACTTTAAGTTTGTTGGTTGAAGTTTCCCACCAATTGGTCTTGAACGAAGGAAAGGAAGGAGGTTACCCGATTGAGCCTGCCGCTGAATCATCAAGATTCGATCCATACTCAAATGTGACTCCATTGAGCAAAAATTCGAGCTCAACTACTGCCAACACCGTGCATAGTTCAACCACACTGATTGAGCCATTGTCTTCTTCCACCTCCAAAGGAGTTGCACCATCTAATAATGTGTTCGTACTTGATTATTGGATAATTTTTCTAATCTTATAGTTTCTTTGAATAAAGAGTATACCTATTGACAGAAGAGAATCTCGTAGATGAAGTTTTTGGAACTACTGTATTAAGCAGAGAGTATTAAAATACCATACGCCGTGCCCATTTCCTAATTCAGACGAAAATTCCGTTCGTATTTTTCAAAGGAAACGTTTCGATGCAGCAGGGCCTAAATGTTTTCGCACCCATGTTTACACGGAGTTAGGAAAGTTAGTCATGATTTTAAAAGTAAACAATAACAAACACCGAAGGTTGTGTCACACGGCTAACAATCAAAACTTTTTGCCACCATAGGTTTCCCCCATGGCAAGCCACGTGTTTATATATAAATTGACTTGATGTTTTCCACAATGAACTTTTGCAAAAAGACCAAACCAACTCAACTTTGAATACTCATGAGGCAATTCACACTAATCAACTTCATTGCTTTGCTTATCGCATCCACCACCTCCTTTGCCATTGTTGCTCCCTTTTTTGGACAGGCTGCAGCTTTCAATTCACTACAAGAGAAGATCTATCAACCGGCTGATATGGCTGGAGAGAACATTGCAAAGACATTTATTGGTGGCGAACCACCTGCTTCGAGAACAAGATGGCAAGAACCAAAAAGCACGTCCGCTGTAATATCAAGTTCAAGTGGTAATGATACAGCAACTGTGTTGAGCACAAGAAGTGATTCGGGTGGTGGCAAGGTCGTGGTACCAACTTGGTTGTCTGAAATTTATCACATAGCAGATACATTTTTTGCTTATATATAGGATCTTAAGTAGCGGAGCTCGATTTGAATTTAACAAAGTGATATTAAATGAAAAACAGCCAGACTTTACGATACACGTAGATCCAAAAACGTGACCACAATGTGGTTTGCTTCAATAGCTTACTAGTGATCTATATATTACAAAGGTTTTTTATCGAATAGATAATACATCTTAGCTCAAATAAATCGGTACTTGGACATGTTGTATTGAAATTATTCTAAAATCTATCATATAACACATTTTACTTTCTCCTTTCATTATCTGGCTTGTCCAAATCCAAGTCTTCTTCAATATCTGGGTCTGCACCATAATCAGCTGCAACCATTTTCAAATTTCTATGAAACTTCTCTGGTCCCAACGCCAAAATGACAACCATTACTGCAAAGACGGCTCCACAGAAAATACACATGACTTTTCCATAATCGAAAACACCAGGAGCAGCACCTGGAATGGGGTATTTCTCACCAAGCTGGGCTTGAATAGTAGCACTACCGGCACTGATCAAATTACCAATTTGGTATGCCAATCCAATCAACAAAGTTCTGTGTGCTTTGTTTACCAACTCCAAAGCGTAAGCTGATGACACACCCCAAGAAGCCATTGTGAATCCAATCAACACAACATAAGCGCCCCAGTTTTTGTCAGCGTTGTAGAAAGACGGATAAACAAAAGCTCCACAGCAAATTGTTGCAATAATGGCTGATAATCTTCTTCCAAAAATTTCGGAAATATTTCCAACACATGCACCACCAACAAGCCCACCAAAATTGGATATGGCTACAATCATAGTTCTCTGACTGATACTGACACCAAATTGATTTGACAACATTGTAACGTACAAATCCTGCGTTCCATGAGCCATGAAATTCCAACCAGCATAAGCAATACAAAGGTAACTGAACAACAACCATTCAGTTTTTAAAGTTGTAACAATAGTTGTGTTGAAGTATTTTTGAAGACCAGTCTTTTTGTTTTGTTGTTTAATCTTTCTCTTCTTTTCCTGCATTTCCAAAAATTCATATGACTCTGGAACCAACAATCTCCATACAATCAAAAGAACACTCAAACCACCACTGAACCAAAACAAACTTCTCCATCCTTCTCCCACCTTATAAGTTGGGGCAAAGACCTTGTACCAAACCAATGCCATAATGTATCCAACACAATAACCTGGTGAAAACAATCCTGACAAAATACTTCTTGCACGTAATGGCTGACTTTCCATTGCAGTCACCATACACACGGGCAACATACTACCCATCAATATTCCGAAAATAGCACGAACTCCAAGGAATTGTTGATATGTTTGCACAAACCCAGTACCAGTTTCAACAAATGTGAACATAATACAAATGGCAATATAACATTTCTTTCTACCAAACTTGTCAGAAGCAATACCAAACAAAATAGCACCAACAGCTCTAAGCATCAAAACCAAAGTAACACCCCAAGTAATATCAGCAACACTTGAGTTCAAAGTGAGGGCAATTTCAGGCAACGCAACGGAAACACAAAAGAAATCCATAGCATCCAAAACCCAACCAAACCATCCCAATCCGTAATAGTTCCAATCTCTCAAAGTCATCTCTTTCAAACCTGGGACAGGATTAAGAAGCTCATACCATCTGTGTTCTGAGTGATAGACAGGCAAATCAAATAGAGTAGTGAGTCTTGTTGCGAAATAGTGTTTGATAACAGGAAGGGTCAACTCGGGTTTCTCATTAAAGATATCATTCTCTGAGTGCAGTTCTTGATCCGATGAACATTCTGAGACGTGAGCAGTCTCTTGTTTTGCGTTGTCTGGTGATGATGACATTGTTGATGTTTCGATGATAAATTGAAAAGAGTTATGCAATTACATGAGCAGATTGCAGACATATAAATAGTCTCTATCGGATGTCAAATAACAAAACACCACCCTGTATATTTCCCCCCCCCCCACTTTTTGAGCGAATGATTCACTATTTTACATTATGTTTATCTTGTTATTTTGAAAAATTACGTGGGGTTAATCAGCGAATCTAAACGCTTTGCTTGCAACCATTTCGGCCACGCCGTGCAATTCCAAGAAATTTTCCTTTTATTTTCATTCATCCCCCCCCCCCCTCCCCCTCTTTTCTCTCTCTCTCTCTCTCTTTCTCTCTTTGCATCAGCTTTATCTGTGGGTTGTTTTTTAATCCCGCTAAAATGTTGATGCAACTTCATTTGCATCGTCGGAGTCATTGTTGTTTGCGATGGTTATTTTAAAACATCAAGTTATGTCCCCCAGGTAGCTTTGTACCGTTGCCAACTGACACTCTCTTTATTGTGAAAAACAAAACAAACTAAAGAAAATCTCCGTAAATCCTTAATCAATGTTGGCCACAGAATAGTGCAGATTGTTACATCACGAGCTGCTTTCTGTTCGATTAAACTGGCAATGCTCATCTCTGCAGTAGTCATTCCCCCTCAAATAACAACTGTAACCAGCACAAAAAGAATATCAAACCTCCATGACCGACTGAAAAAAAAAAATAATTATGAAAAAGAAAGCTGGGCTGTTGGTGGATGTTGTATCGTTCAATTACAACTTCGCTAATCTGGTTTGTTGAACAAAATCAAGAAAATAAACTTGAGTGTGAGATTTTTTTTATTTTATTTTGTTTTAATTTTTTTTTTTCTTTTCTCTTCCCTTTCCCACCACGCTTATTATAAACAGTTCTTGCTAGTTGTGGTGTGATAAACCAAACGTCGCAAAATCGAAAACTGCTATTATATCTACTGGCACTCAACAGTAGGGAAAATCAGCTGATTTTGAAACTGTCCTCGTTAATTCCAACGGTTTTGATAAAGGTTTTTTTTTGATTTTAATTTGACTCTGGGCTCCCAGCTGACACAAAACTGTACAGATAGCAGGCCTCGCAAAACTTTTCTTTTGCAACTTTGTAGCTTGAAGCTGATTCTGTATCGCGTAATCGAGGGGCTTGTTCGAACTATTTCAGTGGAGATGCTTTTACTAAAGATTGCGCAAACAGCTCTCTCCTGTACGTGTCGACTCACCGGTTTCTTGGGATCCTTTTCATTCACAAATAGTTCTCTCCAGAGATATTTGGGCTCTTGCTTCATGAATGCGGCTGAACAATAATTACCGAGGGAAGAGAGAGAGAGCTACAAAAAACTGAATGCAACAGTTAGATAATTAGATAATACTTAGAGAGACCGTGATTTCTTACCTAATTCGGTCTACGAAACCTTCCATCCCGCCCCGCTGCACCGAAAACAAGGTTCAGCTATCATGTCTCATACAAAAAAAAAAGCCAACTTCCAAGACTTTTATTACGGTGTTTAACACAAGAGTTCTTCGGATCGGTAGTAAATAGATATATTTCATGACTTAAATTAAGGTTTTTTTTTTATTTTTTTTTACTTTTGTTTGTCCAGAAGTCGGGGTCCTATCCACTTTACCCAACCCTACCTCAACCCCGCGAAATCATATCATCAACATACTCCTCAGATACCCCTTAACCGAAATGGAATCCCACTAAGACGCAAAAATCGTATTGATCAAACTTCTCCTTCTGTGATTCTCTTCAACAACTAAATCATATCCATCGAAAAGCTTAACCAAAGAAGAAGAAACGTACCCCCCAATACGGAATATACATAGATCTCTAAATCAACTATAATGCTCTATCTATTCTTTTTTTTTTTTGTATCTCTAACTCTACTTACTTATTATGAATTAAATATTCAATAAAGATCTCATAAATTATGATAAATTGATCTAAATTTTGCACCATCCCCACCCGTTGTCTCCGTTGATGTTGAACCAATTTATAAACCAAATCAATATCCAGATCCATGACTCTTTGTTTCAGGTTTTTCCAAGCTTGAATCAATGAATCGATTGTTATATACACCCCAGTTCTTCCACAACCAGCAGTACAATGGACCAACAAGTTGTTATTCAAATGCCTCTCTTTAACTAGTTGATTCTTGTATTGGATCATTTCCAAAATGGATTTGAACGACTGTGGGATTCCGAAATCTGGCCATTTCAAGTAATGGAAGTGATAAATGTGGTTATTGATTAATCGCAACTTGAAATCAGGATATGGCGTATCGATAACTTCAATTGATTTGATTTTGGGGTGGTTGAAATATTCAATTGGTTTTGTCTCTAAATTGATTATGATTTGTATATCCTCTTGTTGAATAGTTGACCAGAAATCATCAATTGTTGATGATAATGGATTTTGAGTTGCAATGTATGTGGTATCATTGCATATTAATGTGCTGGTGTTGATATAATTTCCATTAAAATAGTCATCTTGTTGGTAGTGAAGGCTTGGGTGGTGACGATGGTGGTGGTGGTGAAGGGATTGAACATAACTGTGAATATTTGCTTGTGCATCCACATCATCTGGTCTTCCTTGCTCCTTCTCTGTCTTCATAACCTCTTTCTCCTCCTCCTCCTTCTCCTTCTTCTCACCTTTTCTCTCCGCTGTCTCCTTCTTAGCTTGTCCCAATTTGACTCGTGAATGTTCATATGGCCATACATTGTTAAATCTATTCTTGTACCCAAACTCAATACCCTGAGGTAATTGGAAATCAATGGTTGAACAATCAGGACAACAGGGTGAGAAAATCTTATCTTGGCCCTGAATATTGGCAGTGTATGGTGATTTAAAATTTGAAGCCATTTTATTCAATCGACTCTTTTCAATTTCTTCAATCTTGTTGAATTTGGTAATCATATATTGCAATTTTGCGTCATTTGAGTCTTGATTCATAAATTGTAACCATTTGGGAAGTGTCAAGTCAGAAGGAATATCTCTTAATTTATACTTGTATGAAGGATCAGTCGCAGTCGCAGTGGCAGTGTTTGCCGGTGGTTCCACAGTTGATCCATTCCCGTTATTGGGCAAATCACTGAAAAACTCCTTGTTGGAATCACCACCTTTCTTTACATCGTAATCATTATTTTTTTTTATAGATTGTACAAATTTTGTCTTGAAATTAGTGGCTGATGGCAAAGTGAATCCTGATAAACTTTTAGTTTTACGATGCCCATTAAAATTGGAATCATTAGTACCACCACCATTGCTACTGCTGCCATTGAGTGGACAAGTTTCAATAACTCCATTATTTTGAATCAATGCACCTGAAAATCCCCCATTGAGATAATAAATGTTGAATCTATCATGATATTTTTCAAATTTGGAAATCGTTTGATACAAGGGGAAAGTGATTGCCTCATTTGATGAACATTGATCATAAACCAAAATAGAAAGCTTGAACTCATCGGGGTTCTCCTTTTGTAAATGAGTTATAAAAGTATTCTTTAATTCGTTAGATAAATCAACCATATTGATCAAGTCAGCCAAGCTCATTGAATTACGTTTTAATAATGTTGTAGGTAGACATAGATTAGTGGACTTGGCTATTCTGCTCTTTGAATACAAATTAAATGGACGTACATCAAAGATAAAATCGTAATCTTGAGGATGTAAACTTGCAGCTGATTGTTGAGATATTGTCGACGGGAAACTAGTGGCAAACGTGGATGTAGTTGGCGAAGGTGAATTCAATTTGAATGAAGGAGTAGATGGGCCCAGTAGTGAGCCTGATCTAGGAGTTGAAATGGTGCTTGTACTGGTGGTGGTGGTGGTGTTTGATGTACTGTTGAATCCATTTCTGGAAAATGAATGGTGTGGACTATTTGGCAGTAAAAAATTGCCAATTTTGGAACTGCTATTGTTGTTGTTGTTGTTGTTGTTATTATTATTATTATTAGGAGTGTATTGGTTGTAATGTAACGGAAGTGATTGAGATTGGTGTGGGTGTATATGCAAATGGCGTGGCGTGTTTGGGTTAGAATTGTTCAGTTGTGGTTGTTGCTGTGACTGTGATGCAGAAGGTATTGATGGTAAAGATGGGGGAGTATTCGAATGAGAAGATCTTGGTGTAGATTCTAGGTGAAGTGGTGGTTGTTGCAGTTGCAGTTGCAGTAGCTGTTGTTGTACACCGTGAGTTGGTTGTTGCTGTTGCAGTTGCTGTTGCTGTTGATGATATTTGGTGTTTGGTGTTGTTGGTGTTGGTGTTGTTGATGATGATGATGATGATGATGATGCTGGTGCTGCTGGTGCTGCTGGTGCTGCTGGTGCTGCTGGTGCTGCTGATGTTGATGTTGTTGAAGCAAGTGCCGAAGGTGATTGAGACGTTATTCCACAACCAGTCGATCCACTGTTGCAATTTCCAGTGTTACTTGTATGTGATGTAGTGTGGTCTAATCCATTCGGACTAGATACTGCTGGAGCTGTTGTTGCCATCTTGGAATAGTTACGTTGTAATGTGTGTTGGCAAAGTGCTTTTGATGATGATGATGATGATGAAAGAAATAGATTGGCAAATTGGCAAATTGGCAAAATGGCAGATAAAAAGTATGTTTTTGCTTCCTGAAAGAATAACAAAATAAAATAAAATAAAATAAAAAACAGTTTATAGTATGTCAATGTCAATGTGTGTGTTGTGTGTGTGTGTTGTGTGTGTGTGTTGTGTGTGTGTGTTACATATTATGTATTATATATATATATTATGTATCATATATTGTGTACAGTACTGTTGTCACTACTTAATACACAACAACAAAACTGTCGTTTGTTTGTTTTAGAAAAAAAAGAAAAAAGAAAAAAGAAAAAAGAAAAAAGAAAAACAAAATGCATGACATAATTGATGGTTGACACCCTTTTACACGTACAACACACTCTCCTTAGAAATTTCAACCAAATGTCACATGCTGCTATAGATACAAAGTAGTCAGTAACAAGTTAAGTTATGTTAACACCAATAGCCAATGGCCAATGGCAAATAACCAATACCCAATAACCAATAACCAATAACCAAGTTGTAATTTTTATAATTAGTTTACAATAAAAATTACTATACGATGCTGTGTCTAAAATTATTTTAATAATAATAAGAAATTACTTAGATCTAGTTTTTTTTTTGTTGTTGTTTCTTTCTGTAAGTCTAGAACAAAATTCAAATAGTACAATTCTAATACAATTGAAAAAAAAAAAAAGGAAACAAATATGGACACGTACGATAAAAATTGTATACACTCAATCTATATATCATGTAAATAAATATATATATATATATATATATATATATATATGCACTTACGTCACCAGCTTTATTGTATATATACGTGCATTCCCCCCCCCTCATCCTGATTCTGAATTACCCGGTAATTGTTGTGTGTTGTTAATGACTAGTATGATGCTATGTATTCTTCCCCTCTCTTTACTTTACTCTCTCCCTTGTATAAACTTTTAGCCTTTTTGGTTTGTCCCAAGTTAAATAAGCTTTTACATAATATCTAATGTATGTATGTATGTATGTATGTATGTATGTATGTATGTATGGGGGGAGGGGGAGGGGTGTGTGTGTGTAAACAATAGAAGAAATACAAAAGTAATTCATCAAAAACCATAAAAATGACGTCGTTTGATTACACAAAAACTAACAAAAGTACAAACACACAAACACACTTTAGATGTTCTAGATTCAAATAAAACACAAATCTATTGTCACATTATGACTACCAGACCAACTTTACATTTACTCTATCTCTAGGTTACACACACACATTGGTGTATATTATAGATAGATAAACTTCACGCCCCCTCCCCCCCCACGAAGTGTATCCTCTATACTTAAGCATCAGAAAGATACCCAATAGATTAAGATTGATTACACAAAAAACACCCACATGCTTTACATTTTGACATAACTCTGTCACTTTAGACATCATCAAAAGAATATCCTCATTCAATCACTCGTATCTTTCACTCCTTCAACAAAAAGGTTATCACATGATGAAGAACAAATACACTCCCATACATTCCCACACCCCCTGCACACCCTTCTACTCCTTTTTTTTTTTTTTTTTTTTTTTAACTCCTAAACTTGTTCTTTAACTCCCTTTCACTACCATACCCACCTACAGAAATATATATATATCCATGCATTATGCAAAACATCATACACATCCAAATATAACAAGGCTTTAATAAATGAGACAAAGTTTCTAAATATAGAACAAACTCAACTTACTACTTGGTTTTGTTGCATTTGCAATATTACAAGCCGCCCTTTTTCATCTCATCGGCAACACCAACACCAACACCAACACCATTCCTTGTATAATTTTAGCCGAGGTGTATATTCGACTTTTTTCATCAACGGAGGAATAGTTTCTACGAAATTGTTTTTTTTTATTTTTTTTATTTTTTTTTCTTCTCTTTGGTCTAAAGGAGGTTGAGATTGTTTTCTTCTCAGCAAACTCGTACTTTGATTTGTACAATCTTATCTTATTCTTCTATGTTCCAAAGTGGTGTTCTCAGCTACATCAATGTTACCTCCCACCCCCCCACAAAAGATCACTGGTGTGTATATACAATCACGTGTTCGGGTGTATAAGTCCGTCCCATTGATTGCTTATCAGTTAAGAATTTCCTGCACATAAAGAGAAGTATTTTTATACTTTTTTTTGTTTTCTCCCTTTTTTAATTTTTATGTGTGTCATTCCTTCGCTAGCAAAGGGGGTACCAGGTTATACACACATACACGTATTTTTGTCAACATCCCCCCCCTTTTTTTTTTTTTTTCCTGATTGCGTGGAGTTTAATTGTTTATTTATTTGTTTGTTTGTTTGTGGGTGCGTGTTTAAAACTGATAACGAAGGGGTATCTAGACAATCATGTCACAGTCCCCAAAACCATCACAATCACACGATCAACCAACAGCATCTTCACCAGACAATGCTAAGCCTGAAACTACCAATGTCGAAGACAGCAATTTGTCACACGATCAAACGAATCAATCACAAACATCATTTGAAGGAGACGAAGACAACAATCCATTTCTGCATCATCAAGGACTAAGCAGCTTTAGTCACTTGCATTTGAACAATAGCCACAAGGAACAAACACAGAACGAAGGGGCCAGTCCTCTGGACGACGTGGATGAGTCAATGCTACTATACAAATCATCCAAACTGGATAGATTAAACAATAACTCTGAATCATTCAATACTGTCAATATGAATTTTGAAAGCAGAGTCACTAAATTGCTCAAACCCAAGGTTAGTGTAAAGATACAAATCACTGAAGCCGGCAATTCAAATGAAGGTATGACCAATTCCCTGAAAAAATACATTGTCTACACCATCAAACTTGTAAACGTGGATAATCGTAACGATGAAGTTTTAACAAGAAGGAGATACAGTGATTTTGAAAGCTTACGTGATGTTTTGACAAAAATTTTCCCCTTGGTTATTATACCACCCATACCTCCCAAAAACTATTTTGATTTTTCATTATTTAATGGATTTGTTGGACAGGGAAGTATAGGATTTGGATCAAATAATGGGATAACTGGATCCACTACGCAAGAAAGATCAATGGGTAATGGTGGTGTAGTTTCAAGTGCTCCTTCGAGTGCCACTCCTACCAAGGTAAATGTCAACAATAACCACACCACTGTATCAACAACAAATAACTTAACAAGTCCTTCATCATCATATGCATACATCAACTCCACCCACTTGGCCAAGAACAAATTGATTGAACATCGCAAACGATTACTTTCCAATTTCCTCAATAATTGTCTTGAAATAAAACAAATTCGACAACTTGAATTTTTCCACAAGTTTCTTGATCCCAATGCCAATTGGTCAGATGAAATCGCCTTGATCCATAGTCAATTACCAAAATCAATATATTTACTGAACCCAGAAAATGGGTTGAAAACTGATGCAATTTATGCCAATCTACCAAATCCATCATCAAGTAAAAGTACAATGAGCTTTTTCAAGGATAACGGTAAGCGAATAACCAAAAAGACAAACAAATTGATTGGCAACAGTATTAGTAATAGTGCTAACGCTATTGCTGCAGAAGCAACTGGAATAAACCCAACACTAGATACGGCATCTTCCACCACTGAAGCTTTACAAAAGAAGAAACAAAGTGAATATATTGTTGACACTTCTGGATTGGATGAAGTGAACAAGAGAATTACCACAAACTTTATGGGTCTTTCAAATGATTATGCCGAATTGGGTAGTATGTTTAATTCGTTTTCCTTGATGTTTTCGGAAACGTTTCTGCTGATGCTGCTGCAAAGTGAAGAAGAAGAAACGGAGAGACGACAAAGTGGCGATGGCGCAGGAGGTGGCGGTAATGGTAGTGGTGGTGGTAGTGGTAGTGGTAGTGGTAGTGGTAGTGGCAGTGGCAGTGGCAGTGGTTATGGTGGCGGCGTCGGCGCCGGCGCCGGCGGTACTTCTGCAACAGTTACTACCCCTGTAGGTGATTCTAAAGTTGGTGCTTACAAGTCTAATGACAATGATGATGAGTTGAACTTTATGTTTGATAGGATTGGCCAATGTTTTGATCGTTCGTACATTGCAATAAACTCATTGGTTGGTGAATTAGAAACACAATTTTCGGAACCATTGGGAGAGGCAGTACAATATACACAAATATTACACTATGTGACCAAATATCAGACTCGCAAGCTAACGCAAAAGCAAATGTTGGATGATGATATCAAGCACAAGAGGAAAGAGTTGAATCAATTGTTGAAGATTGAACTGGAGGCAGGCATGGTTGAACATTCGATTAGACATCAACATAGTAACAACAATAATGTTGAGTCAAAGTTTGATTTAAAAAATGATGCAACAGCCAATTCTAAAACTCACAAATCCGCCCCTAATGGAACTTCATTAACTCAAGAGTCGAACAATGCAAGTAATTCAGCTGCTGATGCTGCTATATCCAGTGGATTATTCAAACTACCAAGTTTTAAATTTAAGAAATTAAGTCGATATGTGAGTGAAATAATTGACCAAAACCCTCAACAAACTAGACGTACAAAGATTCACGAATTGACTGACAAGATATCGGTGTTGGAAAAGTGTCAGGATATCATGCTTGCTGATTTGTCATTTATATATGATGAAGTTGACAAGAATTTGAAGCAGTTTCAAATTCATCAATTGAAAATGATTTATGAGATTTTACTATATTATAATCAAGTATTGATTGGATGGGCGAAAAAGAATATTGAAATTTGGCAAGATGTTAAGGAAGAAATAGTAAAGTATTGATTATTGGGGACATTGGATTTGGTTGATGAATCTACTTTTAAATATGACTATAACGATATATACGTAAACAGCCCTTTTGTTTAATCTTTCGCTTCTAAATACTTTATAATTGGTGGCCCCCACTCTTCAGCTCTTTTGTATCTTGAAATATCTTCAGGTAAACCCTTTATAGCACCAATCAAACGTTCTCTAACTTCAACTCCATCCGACTTCACTTTAGCCAACGGTAACAAATAAGTTCTAATGGTGAATACAATTGCCTTTGATTGGGGCAATTTCGTCAATACTTGGCGTTCACTACGATAATGAACTTGATTTTCAAAATCCAACTCCTCAAACGCCAATGGTTGTTGAATATAATCAGCTGGCAAATTGTGGCCCTTGTTGCTATCATCAACGTAAAACCTGTGATGTGTTTGTAGTGACCAATTGGACCTAGTTACAAATTGATGCGGTTGAATTCGATTGAAAAATTTATTCATTGATGGACGCAATTTTGTCGTGTAGCCTGGTATACGTTCGTGAATAAACGTCAATGGTTTATTAAACCGATCCAAGGGGTTGAACCCGGCTGCAAATGCAAAAATACCCGCTTTGAAAAAGTACTCATTCAGGGTGGGGTCTTCGGGATTGAGTTGAGCTTGTTTTGGATCGAGTTGTAAAATAATAAAATCTTCTTCGATATTCTCAGCAAGGTATTCTTGTAATTGAATACCACTAATGCCTGAACCTTTTAGAGGATACGACCTATTCGTGATTAAATTGTTAAAGTTCCCCAGTGGCTCATCACGTTGAAAATACATTGGGTACTTATTACACATGTAGTTGACAACCATTTCGTAGAATTCAACAACAGCATCGTATGCTTCATCAGTCATAAACAATGTCGATTTTCTAGTGTCTTTATCTTTGGGGTAATCCGGGTGACAATTGTTTAAAATCTTCCATTTATTTTCTAATCGATTCAAATAAGTTGGTTCAATTAGTAACCAATCCTGTGGCTGTAATGATGCAATTGACATTGTTAATTTATAAGCGGCATTTTTAAAAGGGTACGATTTCAATGCATCGACTGAATCCCATTTGAATGTTGGTTCAACGGGGTGGATTTTGTAGTTTGGGTCAAATGAGTCATAAAATTTCGATTTGCCGCGAGAAATTGATGAACCACTGGTGGTGGTGATAATGTTATCATCATTGTTTTGGAATTTGGATTTGGTGGAGAATTTCTTAGTAATGAGTATATACAAGACGGTGATTATGGTCACTACTGGTAACCAAAATGAAGGTGAGTCCAATGCGACATCACAATCCAATATTGGAATGCTAAACTTGTTTGATGATAACTCGTCAATTGGTGATGCGTCCATTCAATTCGTTGACTTGTTTGTTTAAGTGTATCCTCTCTAAATTTTCAATAATTGTAGAATTGAGGTTTATAAATAAATAGCAGTTTTCTGGAACGAGGGGACGTGTCAAAAAGAATAATATAACTCAGCGGGCTGGAGGTTTATGATCTGATATAAATATATATATATATATAAATCTGTATTTGTGTTGATGTACTACGAAGCAATGCAAAACAATGCTTTTGAACTCCGATTTCTTGGTAGGTGAAAAAGAAAAATACTCGGTGAATTTTTATATACTACTTCGGGATGTAAATCCCGCTCAAGTCTCCTATTTCGTTATCTTTTTCCTACTTTTTTCTGTTCAGCTCTTTGCTTTTTGTGTGTGATTTATTATTTTACTCCAATTGTGCTAAGAATTTCCCTCGATTTTCCCAAAAACAGATCCTCCGCTACCGCTTGGGAAAAGCCGCGTTGAACGAAAGATTGCATCTTATCGGCCCGACGAGGTGAGTACAACTTTCCGCGACTGCATTTCCTCTCGAGAACCAGCTCGACCCACACAATTGAAAAATCGTGAAAGAAAAGAGACCACACGAAGCAAGCGCCCCTTGTAATAGAGTATATGAGATTTACGTCGATTGAGAGAGTACATTTTTATAGAAGAGGAGCGTAATCAGAAAGCACATTCCTTAGAGGAGTTAACTTTGCATATTACACAAAGATTGTGCATGGCATGAGAGTAAATTAGAAAGGACACTTTTGTGAAAGGAGGGAAAGGAGATGTCTAGCACGCTCTGTGAGTGGTTAAGGATGTCAAATGCAACCGGAGAGTACAGAAAATTTGACGAGTTAGACGATTGTTAGTATATACACTTGGACTAATTCAACTCTTCGACTTGGATCAACAACTTGTTCCAAGTCATATTGGCACAGAAGCACAGACGAGATTACATTTAGGAAGCTGTTCTACGTTTTAGTAGATAATAATCTGGTTTAATCACTTTTCCGCTTCTCAATACTTTGTCAACTGGAGAATCTTCTGTTAACTGGTACCCCATAGTCTCATACCAAGACAATGCTCTCCTGTTGTCTGAGAATACTGTCAATGCTGTCCCTGATAGCTGGTTGTAAAGTCTATTAGATGAATGTACCAAGTCGGTGAAGAGTTTGTGGAATTGGTTTATCAAGTATTGTCCGATTCCCTGGCCCTGAAATCCTCTAGTCACATGTATTTCGTACAAATAAAGTACTAATTCATTTTCAGTATCGAGACATAACTTGAAACATATGAATGCCACTGTCTTGCTTGATTTCAAGTGTGTTAAAAAAACATATGTCAATCCGGGTTCGCTTAGCTCTTTGATCTTTTCTCTTTTCCAATTACTGCCATTATGTTCAGCATAGAGCTCACCTATCGTTTCATCAATAATGTCAACAGCCGTTTTCAATAAAGATTTTGGTAAACTTTTGCTTTGCAAGATGGTTGCATCACATCTCGGAAGTTCGAATGCACCTTGCATGAAGTTCAGTATCACATCAGCAGCAATTGTCTCATTCAACTTGTCATCTTGCTCGGAATACTCATTGAAAGCTTTCCCATTTATCTCAAAGCTTACTTCCATGTATTATAAAGCTGTTCTGAAAATCTTTCGTGAATCTTTTTTAACGCGACGCGCAATGAAAATCCTACACATTAAGAAGCAATTGCCCAGCCACACCTTATCTGATCACGAAGTACAGGGTGTTACAATGAACCCGAACAATGACGACGATACAAATACTCTGATGGAACTCTTCTCATCACCTTTGTCCAGTATTATTGAACAAGTGGGTGAAACACAAAAGAGTCGAAATAAAGCCAGACTCAACCCACTTTCATCATCACCAACGTCATCACCAACACGCCATAAAACCCAGAGTCTAAAGTTTCATCATATCACCGATAAGGAGCTATCGCAAAGGGGCTCTGTCATAAACTCCAGAAACAAACACAACAAGATACGCCAAGTAAGGAGTCAACACCGGTATGAAAAGCTACTGTTGCAACGGGAAAAGGTCACCGACAAGCAATACAAAGAGGATGTGGAACGAGAGTACGATGAACAAGCACGTGAGTTCATGGATAATGAAGACATAAATCGATTAATCGATGACGAATGGGAAATAATGAATGAAAATAAGAGGAGCAGTTTGGAATTGGAGGAAGCGGAGGCTAGAGCATGGGAAGAGGAGATGGAACTAATGGAATTGATAGGCACTTTGGATTTAAACGGTGGAAGCTGATACGCCTGCAAGAGTTTGTTTGTGGGCATGTGCGTGGAGACAACGTATTGGACTTCCACATTGCAAAGGAGCTAATTGGATGATTCTACACTGGTGGTGAGAGAAGCTAACGAACTGTTGGATAAACCGTATACAAAGCTTTAACCTGCATCGCGATGTGGTGGCGTGCTTTTGGGGACCAACTTGACTGACCCAGTCTATTCCAGGAGTGCTCTGCACATTTTGGTCTTGCTGCAATCACTGTCAAAACATGCGGCATGAAAAGCAAACCCAAATGGAGGTATTTCACTCTTTATCTCAGACCACACCTTACGGCATTTCCATTCCGATGGAAGAGCAGTGGAGCCATTGAATGCTAAGAGACAGATTAATGAGAACTGTGAAGTGCAATAATCAAATTAAATTGGACCCGAAAGTTAACGCTGGGATTAGGATGTGATAAAAGTGTTGAATAGCTAGCAGGCTGAACCATTTTATCGTTGAAGAAAAGTCTGACTTAGGATTATAACCTTGCAATGATTCTCCATTGACTCCAGCTGTATCAGTAATATCTTTGCCAGATTACTGGTGCAACTGGCGAGCACCATAGTCAATGGCATCCATAGCACGTTTTGCCTCTTCATAAACATGGATGTACATGGATGTAGCAGTAATTAAATCGTGTGTAGATGTTCATCACATAATCGGTAAGCTATAGACTACCGTTGTGTCCTCTACCCTCTAAATGAGATTGCGAACTCTGTAGTTTAACGATGTGGGGGCTCGGTTGGTCTGCCCTTGTGACAGCTAATGGGGAGTGCCATAAGAAACAACAAAGTGTGCCTATCAATGAGGAGCTGTATAAATGATTGAGTAGAAAATTAAAGTGCGAGAGAGAATACACTGTATACAAAGTGCTGTAGTGGAGCACAATTTCACCACATTTAACAAACACACATCTTACTTCAGAGTTCCAACCAAGGATTGTCCTACACAAGAGAGTGCGTTCTGTCAATTTGAAAGAAAAGAGACTTCATTGTATATTCATTATGGCACTCGGCAACTGGTTCCAATCTACATTTAGACTGCAAGGGTACCAGAGAACAAACTCAAACGACCCTTCAAGTGTCAGCAATGCGATGCCTGGCGCATACGAGCAAGACCAGACACCTACTACGCCAGGAGCCACTTTTCGTGAATCAATGAAAAAAGTGTCAACGTTCATCAGTGTTATCATTGCTAAACCATTGATCATTTTACTTTTGCTAATATTTCGATTACTTTCCACCATGATCAACTTTGTCTATTTCAAAGACTTGAACACATCACCATTGCCTAATGAAACGATTGATCCTATCGACAAAGTAAACAAGTTTGTTAGAGATTTGGAGGACAATATTCAACCACTGATTACTCAAAACTTGAATCAACTACCACCATTTTTCCAAGGAAGCTATACACAGGCATTGTACATGGCCACACAACGAGGGAAGATACTTTTCGTGTACTTGACCAACCCTCAAAATGAAAGCGCATCATTCATTTTCAATGACATTATAATGAATCGGGAGTTTATACGGCTATTCGACCAAGATATCATTATATGGGGCGGTGATTTGAAGAACCCTGAAGCGTATCAACTAGCAAACAGTTTGAACGTAACAAAATTCCCCTTTTTGGGGGTATTGTGTCTAACCAGAATTACGAAAATGACCCCAGAGGGACCAAGAAAGGAGCCAGCCAAGATTTCACTAATTGCCAAACTTCAAGGTGGAAAAATCAATCCGTTGGAAGATGCCAATTCAGTCATACGCGACAAGTTTGTGAAGAAGATTGCCAAATATGAACCTGAGTTGAAATTGATACGACTAGAATTGCAGGATAAATACATGACTGAAGTTTTGCGCAAACAACAAGAATATAATTATATGGCATCGATGCAACAAGATATGATGAAAAAGAATGAAAAGAAAAAGAAGCAATTGGCAATGGAATATTTGAAATACAAGGCACCGTTGTACAAAAATGTGACTCACCCACCCCCAAAAGAAGAGACGAAAAATTATGCAAGGGTTGTGTTGAAATTCCCCGACTCATCAAGACTAACTGCTTATTTCCCAAAACATTTCAAAGTTGAAGATATATTCACATTTGTTGAACTTGTTAGAGAAAACTTGTCTGATCTGACTTCCAATTTAGGTGAGCTGGAAGCAACAAACAAGTTTGAACAATTCCATATGGAGTACAAGTTTAAGCTAGCGTCGCCACTACCTCCTCGAATAGACTTGTCGTTGAAAAGAGATGAAGAGATTCAAAACATTGATTTAATTTACCCCAATGGGTTGCTTCTAGTGGAAGATGTATAGACTGCAAATATTGATAACATACTTTAAAGAAGTGCGGATTTTATCAAAGGACAAAAAGTCAAGGTCAAACACTGTGGCTAATCTTCTCGTAGTTTGCGTCTTGAGTTGGTACACTCTGTGTTTGACAGACGGTAGTGGGAATGGCTCCTGTGCAAAACTTTTTCGGACGTAAACCTTCAAGATAAACCCAACGCATCACTACAAATCCCTCTTTACATCTTCTTTAACAAATTATCATTATTATTATTATTATTATTATTATTATTGTCTTCCAGAATGGAAGTTTGAAACTAAAACCCGAAATTTCCAATCATTCGTGTATTTTGGGTTGTTGTTTGTTTCACTTCTTCCATCCTCTTTTTCCCCTCCCCCTCCCCCCTCCCCTTCCCCCCTCATCCGCCACATTTCACTTTAAAAGCCCCACTTTTTTACCCTAACTTGTATTTTTATATTGTTCTTTGTTTATTTAAAAACTTTAAATTTTTTTCTTTTGTTGTTGTTGTTGTTGTTGTTATTGTTGTTTAAGTTCCCTAAGTGTGATTAGCGTTGTTCTTTTCGAGAGAGTGGGTGGGGAAAATAGTCTAGTTTAGTAAAGACAGAAGTAGTGGTGGTGGAATGTAGAGTTCGGGTGTAGAATACTTGTAATTCCATATTTGTGTCTTGTGTGCTACATATACTTTGATCTATAGGGGGGAAGAAGGCAGGCGAAAGTATATATCAACATATATATATATATTGGCAAGAGTTTCAAGCAAAAAAGAAGACAAAGACAAAAAAGAACACAGAAGAATGGGGTAGTAGTTTGAGACAAGCAAAGAGCAAGTGAGAAACAGAAGTCGATTATAGTTTTATAGAAATAGTAAGCTCAAAATGGTATCTCCAAAGAGTGGATAAATGTAAATCCTATGTTTTCTGAATAGTGTCATATACTTTTTTGGAGTAGAAACGGAAAAAGCGAAATTAGAAACAAAAATATTCGCATGTGTTTCCTAATTGGGCAGTTCAAAATAGAAAATTGATTAATTACATGCATGATGTATATATTAGACTAGATTATAATAGATACCCTCTCTCTTTATACATACACATACACACATACACACATACACATACATATATATATATACATATACATATACATATATGTATGTGTAAATAGCTTTTTACTTCATATGACATATCTATTAAATCAACAAAAATAGGGGATGGGTAAGAAGATACAAATATAAATAAATAAAAAAAGGTGTTGATAATACTAATAATAATAATAATAGTGAGACACTAAAGAAAATAAGACAGCAAGTATACAAAACTATAACACATACAACATACAACATAGATTACACAATAATATCACTATAAAACTACTAAGCCACACACATAGACACACATAGACACACATAGTAGTATATAGTAAGTAGTATATAGTAAGTGGTATATAGTATATAGTATATATATATATCTACTGTGATCCTTATCCATTATCATCGCACACGATATAATAACAAACAACATTTACCACGCTAAATTACACACACACACTAACACACACACCAACACACACCTCCTTGTTCCACATCGTATTCACATATACTCCCCCACTACTCATACCACCTCATATTGACTGTATTGTTGTACATATATATACTTACACTCAGCTAATTTCCCCCACCCCCCCACTTCCCCTTTTTTTTTTTTTTCTTCTTCTGCTTGTTAGTATTCACCATTCAATCCCACCCACCTACCCACTTATCCCCTATTATCACTTATTTTGGTTAACTTTCAATTTGCTATTTTTTTTTTTCATTGATTTAAAAGGAGAGATACAACAACAACAACAACAACAACAACAGGTGTATGCTTGAAACTGAAGCAATTGATTTTCACAATCATCTACCTCCGTATAGGTCCTTACTTAATCCAAATGCCAGGTATGACTATCGCACTCATACACTAATTCCCTTGTCTCAAAGTGATTTAAATTTTTTACAATCGTTTTTCAGAAGTGGAGGTAGATCAACCCCAATTTTCACCTACCATCAACAAAGATGGCAATCACGATCAACTAGTGGGAATTATACCACTAGAGCACCGAATAGGGGTAGAGCTGCCAATAGCGCAACGACGACGACAACAACAACAACAACATCATCATCATCACCAACAACAACAATTGCACAAAATGCAACAGCACCTCCTTCAAGTTCAAGCACCCCCTCTTCAAACTTGCTACTGTCTGATGCAGGTGCTAACGACAATGACCCACCATCGGAAGTATCTATAGAAAATGCAGTTGCGTTGACTAGCAATTCAGGTTTCCAATATTTTCCACCACCATCGGCATCTTCCACATCGTCTTCAACCACATCAATCACTTCAAATCATCGTGGTGTAACTCATCGGAACAACAAAGATGCTTCCACACCAACTACTTTTAAAATGAAGTACAAGTCGCTACTTAATGACGTTGGTCGTAGTATTTCATTAAGATTGAGCAATAGCAACTTGCTTTCCAATCAAGCTCAGTCGTCCGGCAATAACACTACTGACACCACTACCAATACCACTGGCAATAGCAACACCAACACTGTCAATGTTTCAAGATCAAGTACCATTATATCTTCTGCTATCAAAAAGAAATCTCAACCATCGATCACCAACATCAAACAAATGCCCGAAGAGATATTAGACTACATTTTTTACCTTGTTGATTGCAAATCTGATTATGCCAATTGTCTCCACACCTGCAAATTGTTCTATCTCATGGCCAAACCATACTTTTATGAAAACTTGACTTTCACTTCAACTTATCGGTTTGCTCAATTTGTGTCGTATCTTCGGTTGAATTCAAGCGTGGGGCAATATGTGAAAACAATTGACTTATCATGCATTAAACCGGGATACGATGAAGATGCAGAAGAGAATGATGACCAAGAGGAAGAGGTGGCAGATCCAAATAATGAGGAAGGTGAAAATACAGCAGTTAATATCCGAGACCGAGATTTGTCGCAACTTTTCAAAAAGAAGGCCTTGGCCGGTTGGCGTGACTGGAAGTTCAAGAGCAATCCACTATACACTGTTCATCCTTACCCCAGTGGTCATTTGACCAAAATTGCCTCCAACTCCCAATTTCTGACGACATCAAACAAGTCAAGCTCTTCTCAAAAGTCATCATCGTCTGCCAAACGATTCACCAAGCCCTTCAAGTATTTCAAAACTAGGAAAAGAAGCAGATCTTTTAGTGGCACTATTAATACAAGAAAAGCACCAAAATTGGAGACTTTGAATTTGAATAATCGTAATAGTGGTAGCCATTCATCATTATCGAATCCTCATCCATTGATCAATAAATTCTTACTCAATTACTCAACGTCAAAAGATGTCCCCATTGGGTATGTGTTGCATTTGATCAATTTGTGCCCTAATGTCTGTAGTTTGAATATGGGCGGATTGTCTTTATCCACTGATTACGAAGTTCTGAGATCATCAATGTGCAAATTTCAAACTTTTGATTTGATGAGCAATTACCCAAAGGATTTGATTCATAAGATTGATAATCTTATAAAGAATGATGAGTCTGATGACGCGTCATTTTCCTCCGTGGGTGGTCCATTCCTACACAGTCACCATTATCCAGACAATAAATTTTCCAGAAATTTGTTCAAATCAAGTCAAACAAACACATCAACAGCATCGTCTATTTACTCGGTGACAACTTTTTCCAAGCCTATCCGTAAATACAATAGCTTGTTACCACCACTTCCACCAACATTGGCTGATATATCTTATGTTAAGAAGGGAGACCGGAAGGTTTATCTATCAGATTTGAATTTGAAGTCTATTAACAATGCGTATTTAAGAAAGATTGATGAGAGGGAAGTTTTGCTAGCCATCACCAGGATTCATGGAAAACAGGTTAGCTCTTATAACAGAATCCAGCAAATTCCATGCCCGATTGAAGAAGAAGATGTTGCTGGCAACCTACGCTATATCAATCTTTCATCCATGATTTGGTTGAATCGTGACTTGATTGAAAAGTTTTTGAAAAAGTTGCTCGTGAAAAGATCTGTTGATTTGGTTGCATATGGCTACTATGGTGCTGACACCACTTTTGGTGACGAAAGTGACCTGGATTTTGACTCTGAGCTGGAGTCGTTTGATGATGAACACAATCCAGCGGCATACAAGCAGGACTTGGTTATCGATCTTTCCAACTCGGGAATGTACAAGAATTTATTGTGGGCCAAACGAATAGATTTGAATACCAGTGAAGGGTGTAAATTAGCCGACAAAATCATTCGTAATGAGTTGTTGTCACCACACGAGGAGTTCCTAAGAAGAGAAAGGTTAAGAAGAGGCAGGATTGGTGAAAATTACTTGGCTTAATCGCATATATATATATATATATATATATATTTCCACCTCGTAGCTGTTTTAAATATGAATGTTTTTTTATGAAAGAGGGAAAACTTCTTTTACTCTACTGAACAAAATGCAAAATGTCCCAGACTTCAGGTCATCACGATTTCATGGATCAGCCTGACCTAGTTTTTCACTAGCGGCGACCTCCAATCGCAATGGTTTTAAAGCTGGGTTTTCCCCCCTAGAGGAGAAATTGGATTGATCTAGATAGATCAAATACATCCGTCCAATCTGCATTGAGCTCTAAATGTTAACGCTAATGACTGATGTAGGCGATTGAAACGAACGATTTGAAAAACCCGTTGTATAAGAAAGAAGAAGAAGAAGAAGAAGAAGCAAAGGGGAATGTCAATCTTGAACTGAAAATTTTTTATAAGACTTAATGGGTTACACAAAAAAGTGCTCCATCTACATTTGATCAGTTATACACTACCCTCGATATCAACCAAAAGAAAAATATAATCTCATACTAAGGCTTTTATCCTTTTCCTTTCCTTTTCTTTATCGGCTCATTGGATTTATCTTTTCAGTTTATTGTATAAAATCATGTCCGATCTATCTGCACAACTATCAGCATTCAAGAATAAACTTAAGAGTGGACCTTCGGTAGCTGTTGCTCGAAAAGCTGTCATTTCGAAACCTACCTCACCATTGCCTACAACTTCATCCAATTCATCAAACACCTCGTCGAAACGGCCTAATCCAACAGATCCGGCCATTGAAGTATACAAGAGACATAAACCAGAGCGAGCCGGTATTAGTGGATCTCATTTATCTACACAATTACACTTGGCTGTTGAATACATCAAGGAGCAAGATCAACCAGTCAGTATCGGCAAACTTCAACAAACTCTATCTTTTGATGTTGAGCACACTCTACTACCTTTACTAAAGGAGATTGATAGAGTCAAGTATGATGAGAATAATAGAACTTTGGAGTATGTCTCGTTACACAATATAAAGACTGCTGATGATTTGTTGGAATTCTTAAGGAAACAAACAACATTCAAAGGTATATCTGTGAAAGAGTTGAAGGATGGATGGGCTGGGTGTATTAGAGCTATAGATGACTTGGAAGCAGAGGATAAGATTCTTGTTTTAAGGAACAAGAAGGAAAATGCACCACGACTCGTTTGGGCCAATGCGGGTGGTAAAGTAGGAGCTATCAGTGACGAATTCAAAAAGATGTGGGTTGATGTCAAATTGCCTGAACCTGATGTTTTGTACCAGTCATTGATTGATCAAGGATTGAAACCAACTGGAGCCGATCCAAGTTTGGTCAACAAGATCCCACAACAACAGGAAAAGAAGCAAAAGAAAGCTCGTAGGGGAAAGATTACCAATACACATATGAAGGGAATCTTGAAGGATTATAGTCAATTGGTATAGGTGGGAATAACCCGAGGGGGAAAGGGGGACGGCACGGAAACCATCTAGCTTGTTGTTGTTGTTGTTGTTGTTGTTGTTGTTGTTGTTGTTGTTGTTGTTGGGAACTTGAGTACGGAATCTTATATAGAGGGAGTATATAATGGCGCAGTTGTAATCACGATCACATTTTATAGCATTCATCAGCCACTAGATTTCTTCTTGAATACTATTACCATGGCTTGTCATTAGCCTCATCTTTTCATCTGATCTGGTCGTGTGCATAATGCTAAAATAGTTTCTTGAATGAATTTCTGATTTCAAAGTTTTTTTCATTTTTCTTTGAATGGTGCCAGCAATACGTTTGAAAGCCATCCACGTTAAAACCTTTCTATATCAAGTGAATCACAAAATGTCTAGTATGTCATTTCTCCTTTGCTCAGAAAAAATTCCTGATAATGATTGATCCATTATACTAACCTTTCACCCATATAGCCGATTTCAATGCAGTAGCAACCGAATTTTGCAATTTCTACTACAACCAATTCGATAGTGATAGAACTCAATTGGGAAACTTGTACAGACCAGAATCCATGTTGACTTTTGAAACCTCCCAATTACAAGGTGCTAGAGATATCGTTGAGAAGTTGTCCTCATTGCCATTTCAAAAAGTTTCCCACAGAGTTTCAACTTTGGATGCTCAGCCTGCATCTCCTAATGGTGACATTTTAGTCATGGTCACTGGTGAGCTTTTAATTGATGAAGAACAAAATGCGCAACGTTATTCACAGGTTTTCCATTTGATTCCTGATGGAGGATCGTATTATGTGTTTAACGATATCTTTAGATTGAACTACTCCTAGATTTTATACACAGTTTGAAGCAATGGGTAGAGCTGGAATCTAATTAGGCGTGTCCAGGTGTCACTATAAGAGATTAGTTGGTGTCGGCTTCATGTGTAGTGTGATACGGAATACACGTCTTGTGGTTACGATTCAAAATTGTGTAAAAGCTGTCAAGTTTGTACGATTGGAAAATGATTCTTTTGATACCAGTGGCTATATTGGGTGTTCCCCCTACCTCCACCCCTCTCTCTACAACTGCTAGTTTCGAAAAAGTGGGTTTGCTCTATATTCTCTCGTTTCCTCCTCGTTGATTGATTCGCCGGTTTCAGGCAAAACAAAATTCAAAATAGTGCGAATTCCAACTATATTTTGAACACTGAGTAATTGCGTGAGTACTCACAGGCAAATAGCTATGAGTGAAAGCAATCTTGTACAAGAGAGTGCTACATCGGATGAGAGCCACAAGACATCGTCAAGCGCTAGTTCACAAAGCATTCCCGTCATTCCTCCACGACCTAAATCAAAGAACCGTGCCAAGTCCTCCACGTCACTAGTTTCCAATTCTTCCGGCAAGAGTTCGGAGCAAGACGGTAATGCGTCAACCCCGTCTTTGAAAGATGATGACAAGGGAAAGAGTGAGGAACCAGAATTGGAACTTTTGGACGCGTATAGTGCTACTGGAGCTGAAGAACACGCAGTACCACCTCCGCAATCTAACGACGTGCTGGGAACGAGCAGTAGCTTGCATGATTCGAATTCCATTGAAAGGCCACCACATGCTTCGGAAGTGGAAGATTCTCAGATGAATTATCAAACGAATGACCAGGATACCACGGATGGGGATAAGACACCAGGTAATTCAAATACTAAGGCTTCCTTTAAGGAAGATATAGATGAAGAAAACGGAATGGATGAGGACACTTCTAGCTTTAATGATGATATGGAGACCGTTTTACAAGAAAGTCATGACTCTAGTGATGAGGCATCGAACCATTCTGATCACGTTGCTGCCTTGACGCAGGATGTTCTGGAAGAAGGGTTGCCAAGAATGTCAACCGACCATTCACGGGAAAAGGATGCTGATGACGGATCAAAAGAAGAGCAAGCTGTTGCCACTGAAAGCGGAGATGAAACTATATACGCATCAAAAGGGGATGAAGACGACCATGCTGAAAGGGTGGAACAAGAAAAGTTGCCAATGAATAAAGAAGAAGAACCACATGTGGATCCCATTGAGGAAAACGAACAAGGTTCCGAAAATAAGCTTGTAACAGAAAAGACCCACATTCCGGTGATACCAGCTCGACCAGTTCGTAAATCAGTCCCACGGCGCTCATCTTCAATCAACGATGAGGATGCAAAAGCGGCTAAAGAACCATCTTTAGATGTGGCCGAAAAAGAACCACAAAATGTGTCAAGCAATGAGATTTCCAAAACCCAGTCTAATGTGGAAAGTGCTGATCAAGATAAGGAGGAAACCTCGTCAAGGAAAGCCACTGTTGAAACTAACGCTGAACAGTTACAAGGTAAACCCTCAATTCCAAAGATTCCAACCAGGCCAACTAAGAAACTGACAGACTCCAAAGTACCACCGAAAGCCCCACCACCAAAGCCCAAGAAGTTGTCGAGTAAAATCGAAGCCTTTCAACAGCAACTATTCAACTCTGCTTCCAATCAGGGATCATCATCATCTAAATCTCCTGAGGCGGGACCAACAAATGAAGGTGATGGCACTCCTAAACACACGCCTGTCCATCGAAAAATGTTTGAATCTAGTGGTATTCCACTTCCAGGCATGTTTAACCCGGCACTTCGTCCTATGTCAAGAGAGCCAAAAGAGGCACCAAGAGACGAGTCACGTAGCGATGCAAAACCAACAAGGAGGGTTCGTGGTCCCAAGGGTAAGAGATTACCTCAAGCCGTTGCCAAAGCAAATGTTGTTTCAGAGAGTAATAGAGTTTTAGAAAAGGGGAAATTATGGTCATTTGCGTTTACCAAGAGCAATCATGAGGAGGAGGAGGAGGAGGAGGAGGAGGAGAAGGGGGAGGAGAGTGAAAAGGATGATGGAAAAATCTCTACGGACGCAAAGATTGCTTCAGATGATATTGACATCGAATCGATTCATGAATCTGAGGAGGCAACAACAGTGGATTCCAATATACCAGTTGTTGATGAGTTGCTGGATTCTGAAGTCACCGATATCAAGTTGAAACGAGAAGAAAGGAGCTCTCCGCTGCTTGAAACTCCAAACACAGTGGTTGATTTGAATTTGAAAGATGATGCCTTAGACAATGATACTTGAGAAGGAAATGTTTCAAGGTCAGAAAAGCTTTCTCGACAACACTTTGACTAGACTTCCTGTCTGATACGCTTGGGTATGCCCATCCATTTTCTAAATACCTTTAGTTTAACTTGTCTAATACAACTGTTGGTACTTATAAAACCTGTTGAGTGTAGAAGAAAATTGCGTCATCTACTCTTGCATTTCTATATTGAACACTTAACGGAAATATAAAAGAAAATAAACTTATATCACGCCCTGATTAATTTAGCGCACTACGCGTTGACCTAGTCTATTCATATCATCGTACAAATCGGTGCGAGGCTCTGAACTAGGACCCATATACAAAACAAAGAAATGTGTCAAATTCCTATAAACTCTAGTTACATTAACTATATATGCTATAGAAGTATGCGATTACTCAGTTTTCCTCCTGGCTTTTTCAAAAATCAAAATCACTGTCGTCATCTTCTTTCTGACCTGTTTCCTTAGATCTCTCCGAGACGGGTAGACTTATACTACCCTCTCCTCGGACATTCACACTCACCAAGTTTTCCAAATTTATTGCTGCCCCAATAGCGGCTCTATTTTCTTCATTTGTTAGGTACTTCACAATATCATTGATGTTTTCAATCAAATCGTCGACGACCCAATTTGCATACCCAATCTTGAGTGAGATCACATCACCAACGTTGATCGTGGGCACAAATGAAGTATTTCCCACAATAGACTTGAGCTGTTTATAAACATATTCCGCATCACATCTATCATCTTTGAGTTTATTTTGTTGAGTTCTTCTTAGTTTGGCCGATGGGTCAGGCTTTGCCATTTGAAGCATAAAGGGAACTTTCTTTTTCCTTGCGTAGAAAGTGGTTCCCAACACATCTGGTAGAAATTTGTGGACCCTATTGTCCGCTACTATTATATCGTTCTCCTTGTACAATTTTATCAACGTCTTTGGTGATTTCGACTTCAGTTTGAGTTTCTTCAAAGATATAATTTCCTTAAATGCGTCTTCAGTAGGAGAGTCTTTAGCTGTCAATATATCTCTATAGTGGCTTGCTGGATCTTTTGAAATGAATAAGACGGTTTTGTTAGATATCTTATCGAGCTTGTGTGAAAGGGGAATTACTCGAGGTCTGTAGTCTTTAGATTTGGCCAACTTGATATTAACATTGATTGTAAGATAAATTGCTGCAGTTGGTCGGCCTTCAGATCTTTGGTGACTTATGAGGGCATTTACTGACGTACGAGCTTTGCCATAAGCATCGGAACCTAAGGCGAATGTTGTTGCCATAGTTGTTTGAATAAGTCGTTGTTTTGAGATGATCATCGAAAGCATCATAATCCTCCCACTAAAAAAAAAAAAAAACAAAAGTTAAAATTGTTTGTGTTCCGGATTCCTTTGCAATATGTTTTCCAAATCAACTTTAATACACCCGGTGTTATGTTATTGAAATATAAAATGGTCGCGTGTCTGTACCGGACGTACGGTGATTACTGTGGCATTTTCCTACATTTATCACAACACTCCCGGGTATAGGACAGAGTAATTTTTTTTTTTTTTCAAGGCTGCTTTGAAAAGGTTAACGACAATATAAGCAGCTACACACTTTGTTGGAGACAAGGATTTTTAACGGTTCCTTCTCTTTCTTCTTCTTGTTAATTACAAGAGGCTATGCTTACATCTCATTTGTAAAAGCTGACGTCATGCACAACTCAGTGGTCCGAGGTGGGTTACAAGAGAAAGGAAGAAATGAAATGGATTCATTTATTTTTAATCAGACTATTGACACTACTCATCGACCTCAGCCTAATACTACTTGGACGCAAATCTTGGTTGATAGCTGTAAACTTTGTTTTGCCTATCATCATGCTCATCTTCTTTTTCATTTGTAAGCTTGGTCCTGAGTGCCATGACCGCTCGTTTAATTTCGTCTTCACTCGTTCCTTTCGACTCTAGCTCCTCTTCTAGTTCAGCGCAGGCCACCAGCACTTTCCTCAACTCATCGTGTTTGGCTATACTTGATCTGGCATTCCTCATAGAGTCTTCACGTCGTCTTAGTCTCTCCTTCACTAATTCATCTTGTTTTTGTTGCTGTCTTGTGGCATAAAATTGGCTTGAACCTCTTTTCCCGATCACATTTTTCTCAATATGACCTGAGCGACCTGAACCTTTGTTTGAACTCATTTTTGAATCACGTGTCGTCTCATAACATAACGTCTTTCAAACCTTTTTACATATGCTTTCGTTTCTGGACTAAAAAAAACAAAAAAACTCAGTAGTACACAAATGATAAAAGCTCTTAAAAGCAGGAAAGAAAAAAAATTAAGAAAAAAAATAAAAAATAAAGAGATCTCTTGAACAAAAACACACCTGAGAGGGAAAGAGAGACGTGTCAGTGATCTTTTCAACTTTGCGGACACAATGAGAAGCAAGATCTTACAAAAAATATCAAGACACAGAGTAAAGGTGTTGATCATCTTATTCATCCTCGGATTTGTGTCGTATTCTTTACTTGAATCACTAAGAAACTATAATTGGATTGCAAATGAAGATGAGTCCTTTTCAATAGCCTCTCTGAAGCAATCAATTAATGATCTACAGCCACCCACGAAGCCAGAGGCAGATCTTGGAACCGAAAACGCCGATGGTCAACATACAACAAAGACATCGTTAAGCAATGCTCACAAGTTTTGGAAACAGATTTTCACCATCTTTGATGAGAACAAAATGAATCTCGAAGACAAATTCGGTAAACTCATAGAATACACGGATAAGTCTAAGCATTTAGACGGGCCAAAGACTAAAGAAGCTTTGCTCTCACGTGCAACAATGCTGGATGAGGTTGTTTCAGAGCTCAAGAAAAGGCACACTCGAGTTGTGCTGCAATTACCAAGCGATATTGCAGATACCACATACAACAAGGGAACAACGGGAGTGGTGTTTATTGGTGGTGCAAAGTTTTCCTGGCTTACGTACTTGGCCATTATTGCTTTACGAGAGACCGGAACGAAGTTACCTGTTGAAGTCATAATGCCAAAGAAACTGGATTACACGAAAGAACGGGATTTTTGCGATAATTTGTTACCAGAACTTGGAGCTAGATGCGTAATTGTGCCCGATACTATTGGAGAGTCGGCTTTGAATGGCAGAAGTCTATACGCGTACCAATTCAAATCAATTGCTTTGGCTATATCATCTTTCCAACATATACTTTTGCTCGATTCTGATAACATCATTGTGTCTAATCCTGATCTTGTTTTCGACAGTCCCCTTTACAAAAAATTTGGTATGATAACTTGGCCCGACTACTGGAAAAGAACTATATACCCAAAGTACTACGATATTGCAGGATTAAAAGTAAACGAAAATAAAAGAGCTAGATACGATCGGTTCCCACTATTTGAGCCGGTGAATCTGAAAGGAGCACTTGCTGTTGGGCCACAAGATGCCGTACCTTACCATGATTTAGAAGGTGCTGTTCCGGACTTGTCAACTGAATCTGGCCAGCTCGTTATCAATAAGGCCACACATGGGAAGACAATTTTGTTGTCCTTGTACTATAACATTTATGGTCCCGATATATTTTACAAATTGTTCTCATTGGGTGAACAGGGAGAAGGTGACAAGGACACTTTTGTGACAGCGGCCATCGTGTGCAATGAACCCCATTACCTGGTTAAATCTTTTATTTTATCTCCAGGATATTTTGACAACAATAACAAGTTTAATGGAGTAGCAATGGCTCAAAAAAATCCCTTGAATGACTATGATTTGTTCAACGAGCTAGTGGTCAATACTTTTGCCAAAAGTGGTCAAAGCACCAGCGTTCCTGATCAAATCAAACATTTGGATGCTCTAACGAAAAAGGAGTTTGACAGTTACAATAATATACCAATATTTGCAATTCATTGCAATCACCCCAAATTAGATCCAGTGCTCTACATGCAACGAGATGACATTTACGATTCCGTGGAGAAAAGATTGAAATACAGGCTTTACAATGGTATGAAGTATGACAAAACAGTTTTGAGCTCGCCAAAGGAAAAATCTGTCGAGACCGATTTCGAATACGAGCAGTGGCTTCATATTCAAGATGCACTTTGTATCAAAAAGTTAAAATTCGAACACTTCAAAGATGTGAACCCAAGTGAATTGTGTGATTTCGTCAATAATCAAGTTAAATGGTTACTGCCTCATGTATAGACGAAACCTCTTTTGAAGTGTGATGGAGGAGAATTCAGTAAGCTTGACCTATTGAATATGTAGGTGTATAGCTTCAAATAAAATTAGTGAGGTTCTACTATTGAAAATTTTGTACAGTAGAGCTATAAATGTAGTAAAGTTTGGCGAATTGGAACAACTCAATTCAGAGTGTCACTAAACATTCATGGCGAAATATAATGAGTGGTACAACTATAAGACGACGTTCACACGGAAAGTTCACACGGAAAGTTGCTCGTCCAATCAAAAATTACGAATATGCTGAGAGGATCCCATACAGACTCCCCGAACGGTCTCTTCAGCGGTGCTTCTAAGCACCGCATATATTGTGCACGAGCACCAAACATTTAAGCGCAAGACCCAGAAAAGACTTTGCGGCACCAACTTTGTTAGGACTCCATTAACACATCATATGGTATCCAAACTACCAGATTCAGCTTCCGCCTGATTTGGGAAGCTCCCACACTTCAGTTCGAGCTTGAATCTAGGTTCTCGATGTTAACGCACGTGTCTACACTATATTAACTACAAATTAACTCCGTACACCTAAAAATTTTTGACGGTGCTTTGCCGTCCTGGGGCATCGAAAAATTTTCGTTTTCTTTTTGGATTTAAAGGGTGCAGGAGCAGTAGATATCCAGGAGCAGTAATTCTACTGCACTAGTGCTGAACTGTGGTCACTTTCCGCTTTCCTGTCAAAATTCCGATTTTATGAGACTTCGGTAATGCGCACTAAAATGCACTATAGCTTTGCCCAGAACAATCTACACAGGTGGTGGAGACACCTATAGTAACTCTGAACTTCGCTGATAACAGTCACAAGTAAGAAAGGGACCCTAGATGTCTGTAGCTTAAGCTGTAGCATAACCTGTGCTTGGAAGTGAAACGTATAGCTGCACAAAAGATGTTTCGATCAGGTTTCGATTAGGTGCAATTTTTTTGGTGAGAGTGGTTTGTATAGTGCATCACTTTTAGGGGAAGAAAGAATGTGTGTGCACTTTGTTTTTGTGCATAAACAAGTTCCCACACAAGATTGCAATAATTAAACACAACCTCCTCTTCAAAGGGTAACTTTGAATGTGCTATCTTCCAATACGGGACATCACAATCATAATAGAAATTACTGTAATCACTAGAGGATAGTGAATACTACGTCTGATGCCATTCAAGGTTAAGTTTGGAGACACGGGTTCAGTAACACTGATTTGTGTCAGTTTTAGACACCAAGTAGTGATCTATCATCCAATTGAGTCTCTAGATAGCAATCAATCAATCAAGCTGGAGTATCATGAAATGAATGAAGAGGATAGATTTCGTAACAGACAAGGATCAATGGCTACGGTAGCTACATTAGTGGCAAAGTGACGTATAACAGAGATACATCAGCGTACTCAGTTACAATGCGTACAAAGATGTCGGGTGTACTAAGATGTCGGGTACACGAGACCTTTCCGAGAGTGATGCAAAGGATATATTGGAGTGCCATTAGCTCATTGATTGGGAAGAACTTGGAGGGGTAGGTTGCAACGGTGCACCATTGAAATCTTGATTTGAGTTGAAGAAGTCCAACACCGCTAACAAAGGTGGCACAGCGGAATGCCTTCTGGGGAGTCCTCACTTAAGTGTGTCTCGGCGGCTCTTCGTCAGTCTATTCTACTCCGATCGCCACAAATAAAATCAAAACTTTCCCAATGTCAACGCAATGAAAATTGCGAGTTGAGACTAAATCCTGAACGACATCAAAGGGGTGTTACAATAAAAGAAGACGTATTTATTTTACAAACCTCCTGGAGAAAGAATGCGCAAATATTCAGCCCAGACAGATCCATTACCACATACATGTTGCTGCATATGGATGTGGATCAAGGGTTTGCTGAGTTCCAAAATACCAATTCAATTAGGGGAGAATCATACAGCTGTTACATCTTCATTGGCGAAAACCTAAGTATAGAGGAGCCGCTGTATTGTCTTCGTTCAGTGAACAAGTATCATAGTCAAAGATGAATGCTCGACTCGACCGTTGGCTGAAAGGGTCTGTCAAAACTGCTATGTCAAGGACTGCTGGTGTTATTGACTCCGTGGACTCGAATTGCTTGGTATGAAAATTCATTTTCGAGCAAGCTGGTGTGCTAGTGCTTTGTAGTCGATGCTTGATAAACGCAACACATACCGGGAGGCTGAAGACATGCCAATACAATTGTAGCGCATAGTACTCCTTCAAAGTGGACAACGCTATAAGCTTGAATGAGGGGTGATCACCTCAATAACAAGCATTCAATACAGAGTGTGTGATCAATTGATAACGCTGACGCAATAATTTGTTAGCACTGTCAGAGAAGGCTGAATTCAATGTTTATTAGCACTATGAGACTTTCAGAAATGGGGAACACGGCTCGCTGCCCAAAACATAGAGCCCAACTCGGAGAAAAGGTGGGTGAATATAAGAACCCCTCCAATCATTTGCTAGAATTGTAGAACACATGCCGAGCAAAGAGGTCCCTCTAATGCTTGATGACACTACTGTTGGTCAAAACTAACAACTCGATGAATGAAAAACGCCTGCAACTTTAACGGTTCATCAACTTGATGATACTCACGTGCCGTTTCACTAAAACTCAACTTTGTTTCGTTTGTAACAGCTCTGCAACTTCTTATAGTACTTTTGTTTTTACTCAACATCGCACAGAGTGCATCTATTTACCAGTAGGAATTGTGACCGTGCACCAATACAAGTAACACCCTACCCCTAATTATTTTACAAAGTGTTTTGCATCCCTACCGCAAACAATTGGGGTCTTTTCGCATCCGCAAACCAATTTTCTTGCACCCATACGCCAACACTTATGTACGCTTACGGCAACAAATATACAACCACGCATCAACGTCAGGTTGGATCCACACAACAGTTTAGCACCTTCTCATCAATGCCAAACGGATGCATGTATCTACTGCGGGTGCAACCAAACAATAGGACAAAGCATCAAGCTACCTAGTCAAAAAACTCGCAAGAACGTTTCAGAGGACTAACTATTCAGTGTTGCGAGAAGAATCTCGGGGCCTGGAGCTGCAAATTCAGAGTATATCTGGCATCAATAGAGTGCTGGCCGATAACACAAGATTTCGAGTCCGTGCCGTAGAATTGGACTTCTAACAATTCAAGAAGACAACTTTTTTTGAAAACCAAAGAATCATTTTACAAGCTCATCAAAAACCATTTTCAGAACATGCCGAATCTTTGCAGCAAGTAACGATAATTAAGATGCAACATTTTCAAGCAGTTTATCTGAAACAGACAAAAGAGAGCTAGCTATGCGCTTGCACTTGATCGCTACGATTTGTAACGAAATATCCAAGAAAAAGGGTGTGATTAGTTTTGCTTTTCACACGTTCACGAAAACGCAAAGTTGGTATTATATCTAAAGCAGCTGAACATGTTATTTGAAAAACTCGACGTGTGAACTTTAAGATACACTAAAGCGGCAAATGTTGAATATTGAGTTTTCACAGAAGTCAGTACCAGATGCTTCTTCTGCTGTTTTGCAAACACCAGAAAACCCTTGGTTACTTATCTGTAGAAAGAGAAATATGAACGTAATAATACTGTCTGCGATTCCATTTTTTGTGACAATCATTTTGGAAAGTTTGTGTTCGATCACTGAAACTTATCCGTCCTGAAGTTGGGTTTTGGCATTGAGGTCAATGTCCAAACTTTTCAATCCAACCGCCATATTGTTGCTTGCCAACAAACCAGTTCAACAATAGTGCTTGAATGTGATTTGATCAAATATTGGTATATAAATTTTCAAATATGAACAAACGGGCGGTTTTATTCCATTAAAGCCAACCATGTTTATTTCGTTGAATTATTATCGAGGGATTTAGTTTTCTTACTTTCATTGTATAGCACAAGTCCGCAAGTTGCGAGTATCTTTATCCGCAGATATTCCTTTCTTCCCGGTGGAGGAGAACAATATGAACTGGTGTCCATATCTCTTGTAAGTCTATCAAGAGCGTATTCATTAGCGTACTTAGCGTACTCGGATGCCCTCTTATAGGGACCTGATACTAAAGAAAATCATTAGCTAGGGCACTTCTGGACCCACTGAATGACTACGGCCGAGTCTTCAACGCAATACTCCCACAAATTTCGAACAATGTAAAGCACTTGACTTTACAGAGCTACTAAAGGAGCTGCTCTTTGGAATCGGTCGTCTTAAATGCTACAATTTTAATCCTTTACTACCTCTAATATTTCGGTTTGCCATGCCACATAAGAATTGTTAATTTTTCAAGGAAACACTATTCGTTACGCTTTAGTACTACGAATTTTTTCATGCTGCAAGTCCAATTGTATGTCTTTGAACCGAAATCTTTTACTACTGAACTGACTCAAATTGAAGCGAAATCGGTTCGAATCCTGAGAATTCCGCCCTTGGCCCTTTCCTCTAGGCCACAGCACGTTGTTTTGAGCTACGGTTCTATGGGCCAGAAGTATTTAGCCCGGTTTGTTAGTCGATATTTGAATGCAGCAACATTTACGTTATTGATACGCAAATCTATGTTGTTATGGTGAAAAATGGACATGAGAATGTATATATCCTTGGTGTGGATACAACTCTGATGATGCAAGGGTGCAGGTTTGGTTAGATGATGCAAGATCATTTGTGTACGCGGGCAGAATAGTTGATGTGGGGGTGCGTTCTTTTAGCGGTAAAGGTGCGGTAAGGGCGTTTGGATCGCGGTACGGGTGCAACTTTTAATGGTGCAAGGAGGCAATTTATATTGCTAGTTGAACGCAGCTTATACTGGTGTGTGTGTGCTTGCGGTGCTGAGGATCCGTTAGCAGTGCCCGTACAATATATAGGATATAGAGATGTTTCAGAGGCGAATTAGTTTTGAAATTAAACGTCTGAAGTCCCTGGAGTGAGCAACTTGTATATTAATTATGTAACCAGATCAAATGGTTACTTTGTTTTTAATGTGGGAGCGAGTTTTCTGTTTCGTATGTTAGTGTAGGCTCCTTCGTATAGATCGATGCTTATTTTGCAGGGGCGCCATTAGCTACGATTCTCTTGGAACCGGGGTGCGCAAATAGTTCGATCGTCGTTGGCTATTACTCTTCTCTTGCATCCACGTGCAGCCACTTTGCCTACGCTAGTTTCGTTCTTTCCATGGTTGTCTGCTTCCAATAGGCTTTAGAGTGCCTCTTAACTTTATCTGGGTTGCGCGAGTCTTTTGATTGCCCTCACATTGAGTTCTACAGATTGGTTTGTGTGCAAAAATCATTGATGCACAACTGACCTGACATAACATGTCCCATATTGTAGTTGTAAAGTCATTACCAGTCGAGGATATTCCCAAACAGCACCTCACATTCGCTTACCTCAGGTTTCTGATCAATTATTGTTCTTCATCAACAAGCGACAGGTGTGTATCACATAGCATCCTTAAACATATTGGGCTCGCCAGTTTCCTTGTTGAAAAACATTCCACGATTGGTCTGCTTCTGTTCCAATGAGATGATCTCCCTCTCTTCTTTATAACGCCATTCACTGAATGTGACTGCATGACTCTTCAATGCTTTTGGGCTGCTCCATGAATAGACAGGGTTGGGGGTCCAACTGGATGGCAATCACCACAATGCTCATGATTGGGTCTCATATGGTTTCCTTCATCCACTAATCTGACTAAAATATGCTATCTTATTGCCAGGATCTTGCATTGACAGAAGTTTGGCTGCGACCATATCCAGCGACCCTTGCAGCAAGTTCAGGACAAGATTAGTCCTTCAAGTTGAGTGTCGTGGAATCATGCTTTAGCCAATCCGATGGACGTGCCAGCCTCCAATCGTGGATTCCAGAAACTGTGTTTGTTCTGGTACAAGACACCCAGTATCAGGGCTAGCAATCACCTGCTCCCTGAGTGAGCTCGCATGTAGTCCATCATCTCTATTGTGTCAATAATGTCAACCATTCGAGAGAGTGTATTCCACACACACACCGCTCATTCTAGTCCAAGGACGCGCTCGGTTCATTTCAAAATTGGGCAATGTGTACTTTGGATGTAGGCCAAGATATCAGTATCAGTATCCATCATGTCTGAATAGCCGCCTCTTGCAACTTCAACAACTTCACAAATTGTTAAGGTTCGATTTCGTTTCAATCGATGGCACTAGAGCAACCACAACTCTCACTACTCGAACAATAGCAAGACTTATTGAAGAAGGTTCGGTATGTAGGCAGCTTTGCTAGCTTTGCTAGGTTGCGTTATCCCTGATTTAGATAACGGTGGTGTATGGTTGCAATTAACACCTTCTTGTATCGTATCTCGATCAACGTGTCGAATGAATTCCGATGTGCCTCTTGTAGTCTTTGTTGATAAGACTTGCATAATCAAACCAGACTCATACACTGAATACTGACTGCACAATCAATTGGTGTACCTCTGTTACACGTCGTTCTGCGACTAATGTAGCCACCATTGTCATTGATTTTTGTCAACTGTAACCTCCATCCTCTTCATTCGTTTGATGATACTCCAGCTTGACTGGTTAATTACTATCTAGAGACTCAATTGAATGATGGATCACTACTTGGTGTCTAAAACTGACACAAATCAGTGTTACTGAACCCGTGTCTCGAAACTTAACCTTGAATGGCATCAGACGTAGTATTCACCATCCTCTAGTGATTACAGTAGTTTATATAATGATTGTGAAGTCCTATATTGGAAGATAGCACATTCCCAAGTTATCCTTTGAAGAGGAGGTTGTGTTCAATTACTGCAATCTTGTGTGGGAATTTGTTATGCACAAAAACAAAGTGCACACACATTCTTTCTTCCCCCTAAAAGTGGTGCACTATACAAACCACTCTCACCAAAAAATATTGCACCTGATCGAAATATCTTTTTTGCAGCTATACGTTTCATTTCAGAGCACAACTTATGCTACAGACATCCAGGGCCCTTTCCCTACTTGTGGCTGCTATCAACGTGGCTCATAGTTACTATGGGCGTTTCCAGCGCCGTCTCAAGCTGTTCTAAGCAAAGTTATAGCGCATTACAGAAGAAGTCTCATAAAATTGGCATTTTGCCAGGAAAGCGGAAACCGACACCGGTTCAGCACTAGTGCAGTAGAATTACAGCTCCTGGGTATCTACTGCTCCTGCACCCTTTAAATCCAAAAAGAAAACAAAAATTTTTCGATGCCCCAGCACGGCAAAGCACAGTCATAAATTTTTAGGTGTACGGAGTTAATTTGTAGTTAATATAGTGTAGACACGTGCGTTAACATCGAGAACCTAGATTCAAGCTCGAACTGAAGTGTGGGAGCTTCCCAAAACAGGAGGAAGCTGAATCTGGTAGTTTGGATACCATATGATGCATTACTGGAGTCTCAACAAAACTGGCGCTGCAGATTTGCTGCTTCTGGGTTTATGGTTTGCACGTGTAGAGCGAGCTTTGACACCTCCGTGCCTGCAACACTGATACGGCGGCTAAATGTGTGAAATTCCAGTGTCTACATTGACGTTTTCCTTCTTTTGAAAGCTCCACCTTGTCTCCTAAATTACACTATACTCTATACACTTGATGCACATGCATTTGGATTGCTGCATCCTGCAGCTTCCCCACTGTGATTGAAGTTCCACGACGCAGATACTGTTCCCAGTATAGTCCCTATCCCGTGAATTTTTGGATGTGATTGCTCAGTCCGTTCTCCAATGTGACTCGTTTTGTATTTCTCAGTTCTGAGCAATCAACGCATTTCCACAGTGTACACTCCCATCGAGTACATACTCGCAATTGTCTCCATTAGCAGTTTAACGCCTGTTATAGTACCAGTTCCCTCTATGCCATAAGACCAGCTGGGTTTTTGATTTCGAACTTAAGCGTTTTCTGGAAGGTTGCAACTCAACATCAAGATTATTCTAATGAAAAAAATTAGCAGCCAAGCCATGCGTACCTTGAATACAAGCATACGTAAAAGACATTTTCCAACATAAACCTTCCATGAGATTGGTCACGGACTTGACTATTCTTTTTTAAGCCTTGCCTCGGCAGCTCTGGCTCGTTGTTCCCTCATAATCTTTAAGCGTTGCTCATTGTTCAAACCTGTGAGGTCATGTTGTCTCAATTTTAGACCCGGAGAGCCCGTATTATCTTTCGGAGCCGCAGCTTTGAGAAGATTCTGCTTGGCCAATTTTTCTGCCTCATCCTTCACCCTGTCCTCTTCTTCAAACTCTTCTTTAGATTTCGCAGTTGGAACCTTTGCCTTGTCCCAATCGCAATGTGATTCTCCTAGTTTATGTCTTGCAATTTGAAACGCTCTTTTAGCGTTTTGATCAGCGAGCTCAGCAGGGTACCGACCAGCTTTGTTCTTGATCAATGGTGAGGCTTTCAAGTTGATCAACAAAACTTGAACCATGTGGGAAAGACCGTTTGCAGAAGCATAATGAAGCAAGGTGGGAGCTTGTGCATATGTACTTGAGTCAACAAGATAAGAATCAAGGTCGATGTGGTTGTCCTTGATCCATCTTAACAATTTAGGTGCCTTCTGTTTACGTAAAATATTTATAATCTCCTCCTTTTGCTTGTCGCGTTGTTCTTCGTTGTTCTCTTTCCCCTTTTTCTGGTGTAAATCAGATGCAGTCTCCTGAACGCCTTTAGTTGCATATTGCTCTTTGGCAGTTTCTACTCTGGGTAACTCCACTATTTTATAATGCGTCAACTCAACCCAGCTTCTCTTTAGCTCCGATAAGCTAGCCCTTTGGGTGGAGAAGGGGAGTTTCCTGATCCTCTTGTCATTCGCATCGAAAGGCGACCCTTCGTATCCCACCATGACTTTCTTGTTCGTTGGACCATTCGCACGAATGTAGATTGCTGAACATTCCCTTAAATACGTACTCCATTGAGCAAGAAGTTCCCTCACCTCCAGAGCTAATGCCTTCTCATTGTACCGCCTAATGCTTGATCCTGCGGAGATTGCTTTTCCTCTAGAATTGTCGCTGGCACCTTGTGAACCACCTTGTTTACGCCTCGTTGTATATCTGTGAAATGTTTTTGAGGCTAAAACATTTACCTGTTGAATTTTCAAGCTGTCCTTGCTATTGGTGGATTTCAATTCATTTCTTTCGTGACTAATAATAGCTCCCGCAAAGTGCCCTCCACCGATCATGAAAATTGCTGATGTAGAGTCTCTTTGTCCCCTTGCACGATTGAGATATCCCACTGGATCTTTGAGTGCATTTTCTGGAAATATTGCCTTGTATATGCCTACAGCTTTTTCATTCGTCACAGACTCGGTATCGAATAAAATGAAAGGGCTTTTGGTGTTCATATGGGATGCTGATGGTAAATCCTCGCTCGTACTCACTGTTTCCAACTGTTTGATCAAACTTTTGATTTTTTGCTCTTGCTCATCATCTGTCTCGTCACTTACAGAGTCGGATTCACTCTCAGACTCTGAACCTGAAATACTGTCGATGGATTGTGTTTCAATTAATCTCTCGAATTCGTCCTCATCTATCAGAGGTAGGTTGTTCTGTGCTCTTTTCAAGTTGTAGCGATGCAAATCAGATTTGTAGTAGTTGACATCCTTGGTAACCTTTGGAAGTTGCACACTTGGCTCGCTATTTTGCTGCACTGTTTCAAAGGTGTCCAAATCGAACGACAACAATTTCAACGAATCAATAAATTCGTCACTCAAGTCGTAAATATAGGTATCTGTGTTCAAACCTTGCGTCATACGATATGCAGTGATGACAATATTACTTTCGTTTTGGTAGTTTGTTTAACCTTGAGGATGTTACTTGTTTTTTTTCTTTTTTTTTCCTGTAACTAAGAGAAGATCTTTAAAATAGAATAGAGAGTAACACGGGAATTTGGAGGATGATGAATGCTCGACAACTTGGAATATTGCTTATGTACTCCTAAAAATAAGCTCTACTCAGATCGATCCATACTTATGACACAGTTTCAAAAAATGGCCAATTTTTTCTGGGTTCATGAATGGATGAGTTCCATGCCCGAAGTTTATTATATAATTTTCGACCCCAAACCTTTTGATCATTTGCTTGACCTTTTCTTCGATCAACTGGTCAGTTCCATACATGACACCTGGATCTAAGTTACCTTGCAAGGTAATCCTCCTGTTTCCGACAATACGGCGAGCAGCTTCGGGGTCAAATAGCCAGTCAAGAGACACACAATCGTACCCAGAGTCGCACAAGTCATTCAATGCGTACCAAGCCCCTTTCGCGAAAACCGTCAACGGTATCTTCTCTTCAATGCCCAACTCTTTCAATCTTGCAGGTAATTTGGCTGCAATTTGTCTCAAGTAAGGCAACGAAAACGTATTAAAATCATCTGGTCCCAATTCGCCTGCCCACGACTCAAAAATTTGCAACATCTGGGCTCCTGCAACAACTTGTTGAGCCAAAAACTCTATACAGGCATCACAAGTTGCTTGCAAAAGTCTATGCGATGCTTCAGGAAACTCATAAATCCACTGCTTCGCAAACCTAAACATTTTTGATCCTTGTCCTTCCGTCATATACACCAACAAGGTCCAAGGAGCCCCAACAAAGCCTAAAAGGGGCACTCTACCATTCAATTTAACCCTAGTCAAAGTGATGGCTTTGTAAGCCCAATCCAATTTGAGTTTGACGTCTGGATTGAGATCAATTCTTGACAAATCATTTGGGTGTCTCAAGGGGTCTGCGAAAACAGGACCCTTCCCTTCAACCATATTTATCTCAAATCCCATTGCTTGAGGAATGACCAATATATCACTGAAAATAATTGCAGCGTCGATTAATCCATCAAAGTGGTCAACGGGCTGAATCGTTATGGCAGAAGCGGTTTCTGCATCTTGACAAGCTTGGAAAAAGTCTTTATCACCTTTCACTTCATGGTACTCTGGTAAATACCTACCAGCTTGTCGCATGATCCATACTGGTGGCCTTTCAACCTTTTCGCCCTTTGCAGCTCTCAAGATCAAATCATTCTTTAGTGGTGCGAAGGTGGACATGATTTGTGGAGAAGAAGGTAAAAAACAGATTTTGCAAGGCCCTCCTAGTTTTTCTATTTTTTTTTAATTTTCTTCAGGGCGGATTATAGTTTTCGTCGGTGCAAAAAAGCGTCGCAAATTCTTGTCGCGACAAACATCTCTTTGTCATAGTTGCAAAGAGTGTTAATGAATGTTATGGAAAGGCCACCACAAGAGGTGTGTTTGCTCAAGATGGTGAATTGGGCGTGAGAAGAAATCCAGGTTGATTGTCAGTAGGTTCATCTAATGTATTACATAATCATTATATAATCTCAAGAGCCATGTAAGAAAAAAGTGATTAGCAAGCCGAGGAAAAAAAGTAAATGTTTGAGTTTACAATTCTTTATCAACAACTATAGACTTTACTACTCCAATTAAATCCATTGAACGTTACCATCATCGCACTTATTAGCAATGACCGAGTCTGAAGCTGCATCACTGGTACTGGATGACCAAAGTGATGGTCAATCGTCGCGCAATTCCTTGAGCAAACCAAATGTCGTATTACGTTTTGTTGGGGCAATCTTTCGGTATAGAAAAACATCGCTTTCTTTCTTTGTCTTACTCACGCTAATCTTGGGAGTGGTCCTTTCATATGTTGACAATAGCTTGGACTATTCTATATCTTTGCCAGGGGAGAAGTTAGAGCAGGAAATACTTAACGACTCGTGGATTCACTTGCAGGCTATAGCAGAGGGTCAACACCCCTATGCGTCAGGTGATAATGACGTGGTTCATCGTTATTTAAAAAAAAAAATTTCAACCATGATCCATGGGCATAAACATATTGTTTTCGACAATGACTTGAATGGCACAAATAAGTTCTTCTTCAACTCCAGCTCCAAATCTGTGGCATATTACGAATCAAACAATTTATTGGTAAAGATTGAAGGATCAAATCCCCTGCTACCAGCGTTCCTATTGAGCGCTCATTTTGATTCTGTCCCAACGAGCTTTGGTGTCACCGACGATGGTATGGGTATTGCAAGCTTACTTGGTGTTTTACATTACTTTTCGACTCAAAAACAGCCCAAGCGAACAATAATCCTTAATTTCAACAACAACGAAGAATTTGGATTATACGGAGCTGTTGCTTTTGTGAGGCATCCCTGGTTTAAGAAGGTGAAGTATTTTTTAAATTTGGAAGGGACAGGTGCCGGAGGCAAAGCCATTTTATTCAGGGGCACTGATTACGGAATAGCAAAGTATTTCAGCAAAGTTAGGTATCCGTATGCTTCCTCGATTTTTCAACAAGGCTTTGCTAATTCGTTGATACACAGCGAGACTGACTACAAAATATACAAGGAAGCTGGACTTCGCGGTCTTGACTTGGCATTTTACAAACCTAGAGATTTGTACCACACTGGAGGAGACAACATCAAAAATGTCAACTTGAAATCGTTATGGCATATGCTCTCCAATGCTATTGATTTTACCACTTTTATCTCTGAGAATGAGGTTGACGATTCAGGGTCCGATGAAGCAGCCATCTATACATCAATTTTGAACAATTTTCTTTCAGCTTCAATATCCAAGCTAATTGCCATAAACATTGCGTTGATTGTCGTATTTGCCATTATCAACGGTGCACTCGTTTTTCTCACCTTGAAATACAAAAAGTGGCAGGTACCAACTTCACAAGTTTTGTTCCTTCCAATCTCGATGTTGTTGGTATGGGCAATTGTGTCTCTAGTCACGAAGCAAATATTTCAAACGCTGAACCCATTTTTGCCAACGTCCAAGCCATTATTGTTGGTGGGAACCATTTCTTCTATCTCAACAATTGTATTCTACATTGTTTCCAGGTTGGTCTCTCAAAAGCCGAATTTTAAACTACTTTGCATTTTAGAAGTGTCGTTCATTTATTGGATCTTTTTGGTGTATGTAACCAGGAACCTTTTTGTGAACAAAAGTGACCAAAGACATAGTGGTGAATTTGCTATTTCAATATTGTTTTTTTTGGAGGCTGTCACTTTGCTTTTCGGGTTATTGGGATGGGCATTTACCAAAACTCATTCAGGAACAAGTCCAGATGAAGTACCACTTTTGGACGGAGCCAACCACGAGCGTTATGTACTGGGCAACGAAGAGGACGACAACGAATTGGAGAGTAATACTACCATAGATGATAATAGACCTAACTATGATTGGTCTTTGCAATACTTGTTGACTGTTCCGGTATCATTCTATATTATTTACAATTCTGGATGGCTAATACTTGAGGGCATCAACAAGACAGTACAAGAGTCTGCTGCATCACAGCAGTTTGTGTATGTGGTGATTCAGATATTTTCAATTGCTTTGGTTTTACCATTTGTTCCATTTGTTCGTTATTTAAACAGAATGTTGATTTTGGGGCTCTTCGCAGTGGCACTAATTGGTTCCTTTTTGGTACTAAACACCAACCCGTTCAATGAACAGAATCCATTAAAGGTACGATTCTTGCAGACACTCAATGGAACTGAGAGTACTGTGCACGTATACGGTCGAAGTGATGAACTTTCTAAGTTCTTGAACAGGATCCCATCAATTGAAGAGTCAAAAACCAGTATTGGTTGCTTGAACCAAGCTGATGGAGTAGATGTTTGCTCCTACAGGAGCCACTTATACCCCAATATTTTACCCTCCAGCACAACTGAGGGTTACGTTGAAGTGATTGTTAAAAACACCAGTGAAACTGGTTCATTTGGAATCAATTTCAACGAGGTGGTTATTAAAGTTCACAAGAATAGAATGTGTAATGTTGAATTTCCAGGTGACGAAGTAAAGGCTGTAGTGATGAAAAACAACACACATGCATTTCCTCCATTTAAACAACTACCCGATGGATTTTCACATAATGGTGATTACATATACAAAGATGTGGACGGAATAAGAACGTTGTACCTTAACAAGTTGGATTGGAACAGCAAGTATGATCTTGGTATTTATTGGTTACCGGGTATCAATGACAAATCGAACGTTTTGAATGTACGCGTTGAATGCTTTTGGGCCGACTTGCTGCCAGTTGCTGACGGCGGTAGTACCAAACCAGCTATTCCCGCTTTCGAAGAATTGGTAGACTACAGTCCGAATTATGTAAGTATTGCAAACAAGGACAGAGGATTGGTGTCCGTAAGTAAACAAATAGAGCTTAAATAGTGATGTAACCTTATTGTATAAACCCTAGGTAAAAGAGCACTGCACTGGTAAAAGCCTTTCATTATAACGAGGTGGGATGTAGTTAAAAACAAAAGCTTCCAAAAAAAAAAAACAGATGCGGCTTCTGTGGCTCGAACACAGTACCTCCAGATCTTCAGTCTGACGCTCTCCCAGGTGAGCTAAAGCCGCAAAGTGAAAGTTTCAACCCACGCCGGGATTCGAACCCGGAATCCTTTGATTAGAAGTCAAAAGCGATAACCATTTCGCCACGCAGGCAATTCACAAGAACTTGTTGACAGGCCTGATTATGAATGCGGAGCTCGAGCAAGTTTTGACTCCAACTAATTTGTTTGGATTGACAAGTCGTCGTCACGGAAGGGTTCATAGAAAATTAAATTTTATAATTTGTATTTGTTAGGGGGTGTTTGTCATATGTGATCATGTACTTCTTGATTGAAGTCAGACCAAGACTTGATGATAAGTGTATTATCATATATACTTGTGGGTATTGAATGATTGCTCAGTGATAGCGTCGTAAGTTCAATCTATAATTTGATTATTGATTCTCTTCTTATTATCTTCAGGTATTTCTTTTTCCTTTTCCTTGTGGGAATGTCCAATCCTTTATAGCTGGCTAGTAGCTCGATGCAGCACGCCTGATTGGATGTCATTTATTTCCTAAATAAGAAATTCAATGAAGACCGGTGGGGTTATACCCCTAGCAAGAACTAAAATCCTTGGAATAAATAAATTACAAAAAACATGCTTGAAAGTTTCGTCTTGTAATATTGATTTATTCGTTGATTTTGTGGCTGTTGCGTCTCTTCTTTAAGATCAATAGTATGACAGAAGAATTGTAACCACTTAAAAGATGCTGTTTGAACGTGTTATTTTCGATGATCGTTAATGAGCATTTGTTGCCCAAAAAAGTCTTTTCATTGAAATTGCTGCGAAATTGACTGATTTATTTTTCATGAGTTTTCACAATTTTAATAGAAGTAAAAGGCCGGACTCTGATCCTCCGTGTAAACTCAAACAGGTCTGATAACCAGGGTTTATCTTACCATGGTGTCTCGTGGATAAATCTTCGAACTCTATGTCTTGTAAATTAGTAAATCAAGTTATACTCACATTGCTTTTAATTTGATTCACTAAAAGGCTTTGGCCCAAGCTATCGGGTAGAGAGGAAAGTGAGCATAGCAGACGTTTCATTTCCGTTTAATATTCGGTTTTAAGAATGGCAGTCGAGGTATGTTTTTTGCACTATGTTGGCTATATTTTTTGGAAAAGAGGGTCTTTCATTGAAAAGAAAGAGGCTGCAACAACAATGTTACTCTACAAACTACTTACTCCAACACTAAACGTTCATCTGATCGTTATCTTTCAAGTACAATAAAAGTGTGGCCGAGACCAAGCAATTAACTGTAAACTTTGTTTCTTTCAAAATACAAACTTTGGCGAAAATGGCCACATCGTACACACGAAATGTCTAAGATTTACCTTCCTCACTAATCTGGAAAGCCTCAACATTCAAGGGCTTACTCTATCCATCTTTTTCTTTTCTTTGTGGCTGTGATGCTAGCTTTACTGAGCTTTCTTTCACTTGCAGCATACCAATTTGTTGGATAAGGAGCAACAGTTGCCCAATTGACTTCCGAACTAGCTGTATAACTCCAACCAGGAGTTATAGTTGAGTGAACTACGGGTTTCGTGTGTTTAGTTGAGTAATATGTGACTGCACTTGTTGGAAACTTTCTTGTCCACGTGGTGGCGGTAACGGTAGATCCTGGTTGCATTTGCATTGGTGCGTATCTCGTCCTTCCTGTTTGTAGTGTGTATGGTACTGTAAAACTCTTTGAAATATCAGAACCAGTAGTTTGGCCAAAACCCGACGTTTGACCGCCTGGTTGATCACCCGTCACTGTGACAACTAAAGTTCCCGAAGTTCCCTCCATATCAGTCAACCTGAATCTAGGCGTGTAGTTGATTGTTGAGCCACCATTTGTAAATAAAGTGTACACTTGTATAAAGTAATAACCACTTGGTACATCGTTCTGTTCAACTGAGACAGTAGCTGTATTTGAAGTAATCTCTTTTTGTTTGATTGTGGGGTCCAAACATTGAATAGGTGAACCATTTGTGCACAATGAAAGCGTATAAGATTTGACGTTATCTAATGACATGTCTGAGTCTGAATCTGAATTATCGTCCCACTTGACTATAATAGTAGCTTTTCCTGATGACCCAGAGAACTTGTCCCCTTCTTCTGGTGATGTGATTTCCACATCTGCAAAAACGGGTGCAAGAAGCGAACTCAACAAAGTGAGGATAGCCAAATGATACTTCATATTTATTGGTTGTGTAGTTCTTAAACAAGGCTGTGTTGGGAAAAAAAAAAAATTTAATAAAATAAAAATCAGTCGAAAAAGTCAAACAAAAGGTACAAGCAAGCTTTGGTTAGTTGGTTAAGAACGAAAGTGTCGAGTTCTAACTTGTATACCAGGTTTATGTGATATGTAATGATGGTTGTGGACGTATGAGATATCGATCTCTATGACAATGATGTTTGCTCGGAAGTTTTGGAAAGGAGAGTTTCACCAAAACTTTTTTTTCTTTGTCTTTCCTGTTAATGTTGTTATTTTGTCTCGGCTTCTTGTCCTTTCAATCAATGGTCCAGTTATATACAGGAAATTTGCAACACAAGTGACACGCGTAAATAATGTCAAAAGGTTGCCAAATATCACACAACGTTCATGGTTGTGAGCTCCAACCAAACCAAAGGCAAAGGTTACAATCAAATGTAGTGGGGCTTTTATCAATGGATTTCTCTACACTAGCTATGCAACTCAAGCTACCATATCTCTGTGATGTTTTGAAGAGACTTTGGAATGCAGCACTCCATAAAACACCTCCCCCAAGAAGAAACCCAACAAAACAGTCTCGTCAACAACTAGGTCCCTTTCCGACCCAAAAGACTTTACTCTATCCATCTTTTTCTTTTCTTTGTGGCTGTGATGCTAGCTTTACTGAGCTTTCTTCCACTTGCAGCATACCAATTTGTTGGATAAGGAGCAACAGTTGCCCAATTGACTTCCGAACTAGCTGTATAACTCCAACCAGGAGTTATAGTTGAGTGCACTACGGGTTTCGTGTGTCTAGTTGAGTAATATGTGACTGCACTTGTTGGAAACTTTCTTGTCCACGTGGTGGCGGTAACAGTAGATCCTGGTTGCATTTGCATTGGTGCGTATCTCGTACTTCCTGTTTGTAGTGTGTATGGTACTGTAAAACTCTTTGAAATATCAGCACCAGTTGATTCAGATGCAGATGTTTGACCCTCTGGCGAGTCTCCAGTCACAGTAACAACAAGCGTCCCCGTGGGCCCCTCCATATCAGTGAGCCTAAACCTCGGTGTATAAACAATACCAGTACTACCATCCTTGAACTCAGTGTAAATTTGTATGAAATAGTAACCACTTGGTACATCGTTCTGTTCAACTGAGACAGTAGCTGTATTTGAGGTGTATTTTTCTCCTTTGATTGTGGGATCCAAACATTGAATAGGTGAGCCATTTGTACACAATGAAAGAGTGTATAACTTGATATTCTCCACCGAAAAATCCGAGTCTGAATCTGTATCTTTCCAATTCACCTTGATACGAGCCTTACCAGATGAACCAGATATTTTGTCTCCTTCCTCTGGCGAGGTAACTTCCAAATCCGCAATAACAGGAGGTGCCAAGAGTGTAGCCAATAAGATGATAATGAACATGGGAACCTTCATTTTTTGGGAAAGAATATAGTTGATGTTAACTAGCTATGAAATGAATGTGATAATGATGAGATTGTAAGCGAAAGGGTAGTGTGAGCTTGGACTGTTGTAATTCTGTTATAGCTTTCAGCTGTCTGTAAAATATTGAAAGAAGAAAGGATATAGTCACAGAGTTATACCTATATACATATATTTATATATATCGACAAATTAGCAGAAGAATAGAAAATAGTAAAAAAACAAAGAAGATCTCAACTGAAAGGGGTGGCTTTTGTTCCGTGGTCGAGATAGTAACTAGTAGTAGCAGAACGAGAGATAGAGAGAGAGAGAGGCTTAGCGAGGGGATAGTTGTGCCTGTATATACTACAGGGTGTATTATTATTATATGCAAGTGCATTGTATAAAAGAATATATCAAAGACAATAAGCCATTGTGTCTTAGTGGTCGATTGATATTACATAAAAATGGACAAAAGTTTGCACTATAAATGAAACCGATTTGGTAATACCAAAACGATACAAGTGAGCTAGCAGCGGTACTAGTAGTAATGGTAGTAGTAGTCCTTGTATCAGATGGTGTCTTGTAATTTTGGTGTAAAACAGTCATATTCATTACATGCTACCAACAGTAAAGAAAATGGTACATTTTTTTTTTTTAATAAACAATTGCGCGCAATATTACTTAAAATTTTATTTTTTTATTTATTTTAATATGTTGTTATTTTACCTCTACATAATATACAGTATATACATTACATAAAACATAAAGCATAAAGTATAGCCCACATTCTACTCAATATGGGCGCGTCATAAATCATATTCATTGTTCTCAAGTTCGACAATGTTCTGTGCAAATGGATAAATCAATCTAGAATAGAAAAAGCCGTCGCACTTTTGCCACAAGATCAGATACTCTTTACAAATCCTCACAACTGTACATAAAAAATAAACAAGGATGGTTTTGTTATACAACAAAACATGCTTCAAAGGGTAGTACCCTTCAAATTGGCAATTTAAACTCGAATAGGAATGGTACAATAATGACAATATCCAAAATCCCATGACCATGAGACGTTGACATAGTCAACTGTCCTATTAGGCATCAATTTCGTGTCGTCCGCGTATGGGAATCCAGTTTTGGCAACCAAGTGAGGAGTACATATTTGGATTAGACTGGATTTTCCACGCCGAGGCAAGTTGGTGCAAACCTGAACAGGGGTTTTCCCAGCAGGCCGCAGCTCAAGTGACTCAGTTTTAAGTGACAGGCTTTCTCACAGATATCATGTAAATAGCTCTCGAACACACATTAGCTCGTTGTGATCTTGCGTTCATCCGTTGCTTTTTGGCAAAATTTCTTTTTTTAAGCGCCAATTATCTGCAAAATAATCGCACAACCCCATTTTCGGCAGAACTAATCCTTGTGGGAATGCTAACAACTCAAACTTACAATCATCTCCAACTCAGCAGCATGACTTGATATGTAATATCGACAGCCGACGCAATAAACTACACTGAGTAATATGTTACCATTAAATCACAAATACCCCAAACCCATATATATCATAGATGTACAAGACATATGTATTATTGTATCACCTCCACAAACATAGCTACCACCAATGTGCTTGGGTTGGTAAGTAAATCGAGGTTTCTACAACTGACGGGTCAATCTGTTTCTGCTGGCATTGGCTTGAGATCCCAGACCTTGCATATTATTGGTTGAATGGCTGAAAGAGAGGGCCACGGTTGAAATGATAGACCCCCTTCAAGAAGGTGTTACGTTACCAATTATCAGTGTACGCTCGTGGGACACTTAATTCTGGATCCTATAATATTTGTTGAGGAGTTTACATACCTATAAAGAACCAACAGCAGGAAACGAAAAGTATACAACAATTCTTTCATGGTTTATCTACCTCAACAATCGTCCAATGCTGTACCACAATACTAATGCTAGTGTTGGAGGTTCTAAAACTGAAACAGATAAGAGCTATCGATATATTTTCAAGCTACAACATTAGAGAGTAAGGGAATTGATACAAATATAGATAAATTGACATTGCAGAATATTGAATATGCTAACATCATAATACATTCATTATTGGGCCCCCAACCCTTGAGTAATTTAGCATCGTACAACTTTCCAAGCTGCCACCTCGCCCCCGACTTTCTACTTCCATCGTATCTCCATTGTCTCCGAACGTCTGGTAATAGCCCCACCTTGAAATATTCCCAAGGTTTATTCCCAAACTAGCCAACAGAAGCTGATAAAACTACCCAATCTCAAGGGAGCAAAAAATTTTCTCCTCTTGAATAGCTACGTCATTTATTAAATGACTCCAAATATTCTAATTTCTTCTCTTAAAATTCCATTTCAGTTTCTAACAAGACAAACGTGGCATTCAGCAACATTGTAGATTGATCCCGGCCGGTGAATAGCATTGATCTTTGAGGTTACCCAATGAAACATAGCATCTCATGGTCAAACATAGCAAGTTTTTCGTGCGTTGCCCCCCCCCTCCCACTCCTCACTGTCAAATTGTATACGGAAAAGATGAAATTCGCAACGGGGGAGAGCATAAGGGTGAACTGACATCAGTTGAACCACACAGCTAAACACCAACGCTTCTTCTTTATTTCTTTTTCATATTCAGAAGTTTTATTGAATAACAAAGTTTGTACGACAATGAGATAACATGAGATTTAGATAGGACTTTCAAAAGCAAACATTGCTAAAGGACTCATCTTTTATTCATCAGTTAAGGCTATCATCTCATCTCAGGTAATCATGTACATTATGAAAATAAGCAACACAATAATACATATCAATACCCATTCTAATGAGTTTAGTTCTTGCTTATTGAAGTTGTTGTTCTTTGATTGTATGGCTACCTCCTTCTGCCCATGGGGCCTGGCCTCGTCATCGATAGTTTTGGATTTGGCATAAGCGGTAGTAGCAGCAGCAGTAGCAGTAGCATCAGCAGTAGCAGTAGCATCAGCAGTAGCATCAGCTCCTAAGGGAGAAGGACTTCGTTGATGACGACTGCTACGACTTTTCAGTTTGTTGGTGCTATTCTTGCGTCCTATACTGCCACTGCGCAGTAGATCATTATTTGCATGATGGGATGACAGGTACCCCCTGTTTCGTGATATTATGTTTGGATTTGTTTTAGTTGTCGTTGAGTCTGTTCCCGACAAAGGGTTGACAGCATCTGGGATAATTTTATTTAGTAGTGATTTGGTTTGTTTAACAACAATCATTGCCTATCTTGTATAAAATTGGTTTTATGGGGGAAGTAGACGAATACAGTGAAATGAGTACTTTGCTTTCTCTATATATAGGTACAGATGTACAAGTCTATATGTTTTTATATACAAAATTGCATACCCTCTCTCCAATGCACATGAAAAATAAAAATAGAAAATAGTTAAAGAGATGCAAACCTTCCTATCACAATACCCATTTATTAGAAAACACTAGTTTGTTTTATTTTATTTCGTTTGTTTGAAATCCTTTTTGTTTTTCAATGACTAACTAGATAACCATTCCTTCATATAGTAAATATAAAGAGTGCAAAGTGTGTGAATGATAGTAACAATTAGTACAGTTAGTCGGTAACAATCAACTTTTGCTTTTTTGGGATCGGTCAAAAACTCACGACTCAACAAAGTGAAAAATTGTTTCTTGGTGGGAACAGCATCCATCTCTTTGCATTTATTATTATCATCATCATCATCATCATGCAAGACGAGTTAAACAAGAGAGATCGGAATTTGCGGTCTAAAAAAAAGAAAGAAACAAAAAAATCAAATTAACTCCGTCTTTTCATTTCCTCCGGGTGTTGCTATTGACGTAGATTGGAATCATTTTTTAAATGGATTTCCATCCACTTAGGGAAAGTAAATGTTGCATATTGAATGGTGTCGTATTTAGCTTGATCGTAAATTTGCTGTTTCCAACAAATTTCTATTTTATGATTTCTTGGATGGTAGAGGGTTAGTCGTCAGTTCCTTGCAAAAAGGAAAAAGACGTTGGAAATGCCTCATAACGGCTTTGAAAAGAGAAAAAAAAAAAACAATGGGGAGGGTTCGATTCTAAAGAAGGGGCCGAGGTGAAACCGACATCAACACTATATGTAGTATGTACCAAATATATACATATATACATGCAATACTCTGATATGGTTTTTACTGTTGATGCTGGTAAGTGTGCATATACGTTATATATGAAGTTTCCTTACACAGAAGTGCATAGTTTTGGGTCATTCAGTCACTCATATTCTGGTATCAAAATACAAAGCGGGATTTTATGGTGCAGTTTACTCGGCACCGAGGTTGAAAGCTTTTTTTAGAGTTTTTTTCTTTTTAGCTTTTCCGTTTATTAGCAACTTGTGTAATCCTGTCAAGATCTAAGCTGCATTAGATCCTAGAAAAAGTAACAAGAAAAGGACATGAGTAGAAGAAGTTTCATAACAATGATGTGGCAAGAACGCCAGGGAAACTAAAGTGAAAAATGTGGGGGGGGGGGGGGTAGTGCATCGTGGAAAAAGGCATTTCATTGCTTATCCATGTTGGAGGAAGAAAGCCTAACCGACAATCACATCTAGACACAACGGGTCTAGTACCACCAAACAGATAAGCTGAATTATTGCTGCCGATTTTGTTGGTGTAGAAAGAAGAGACTCAAATTGTGTGAGTATGGGCCAATGTACCGAAAATCGGTTGTTAACACTCGCTTAAACCGAGAACGTAAACTTTCGGAGATAGAATTGCGAGGAACTCCGATCCTTATAAACTCCGAATTACGCAAAGTGTTTGAATGATGGTGCGATCCACACACTTCAACTCAACTTTGTAATAAAATGTTTTCTAGCTCAGCTACAACTTCATGTTGCTCCTCCTACAATGTTTGCCACAAATCCTTTTGCCACCCTTGCATCCAGTGGCTCTAATTATATCAGTGGTAATGCTACTTAAGTTGACTGGGTTAAGTGATTCACGTATTTGGCATGTGGCGTATTCGTCTTCCCCAAAAAATAAAGCGGGATCTCTCCTTGCCGTGAATGTGTTCTTTGCGTGTCATTCATACTACGTACTTGATTTCTCCCATGAACGCAAGAGCCGATTTCTTCAAGATAAGATGCCACCCACATCAACCCCATACTAACAAATCACATCAATAGTTCTAATCCTTCTGTCATCTATTTTAGCTGGAAATTGTAGTGATTCCAGGTCATGAAGTTATGGCACATTTGCTTCTTCCTAACTCGAACTTAGAACGTTCGCGTTTTTGGACTTGTTCTTTGCGTTGCCTTTCTTTAGCGCGAAATTTCCCAATGTGGTCTTGATTCGCGCTAAAACCGTTATTTTTTTTTTTTTTAAGCGATTTGAAAAATTTATATAAAAACCCCCGACATGCAGAAATATTGCATTAGAAAATGATGGACTGATACTTTTAGTCCAAATTCGTCATACCACTGAAGTAATCAAAGTTTCTTTCACCAGCTGCATTGGAACTTGAGAATCTTTCTACCACATTGGACTTTCTCATTTAAACAATGTCAATCAATCAAGCACCACCTCAATTGGCCAACAAGAACTTGTTCCAAACAAGACCATTTGTCGATAACGAATTCGTTGAAACAACCGGATCTGGAAAAACATTCACTGTAACTAACCCTGCTACAGAAGAAGTTCTTGCTGAGTTACCAGTGCAAACAGAAGGAGAAATTGATGCTGCTATTGAATCATGTCATCGTGCTTTCCAAACTTTCAAACAAACAAATTCATACGATAGAGCCAAAATGTTGCGCAAATTGTATGACTTGATGATTGAAAACTTGGATGATTTGGCCATGTTGATCACTTTAGAATGCGGTAAGAGTCTTGTTGATGCCAAAGGTGAAATCAAGTATGCTGCATCATATTTTGAATGGTTTAGTGAAGAAGCCAAGAGAAATTATGGTGAAACCATTCAAACTTCAAACCCAAACAACAAAGTCATTACATTGAGACAACCGATTGGGCCAGTTGGGTTATTATGTCCTTTTAATTTCCCCTCAGCAATGGGATCAAGAAAAGCAGCACCTGCTTGGGCAGTTGGATGTACTTGCATCTTGAAACCAGATGCTCAAACTCCCTTGAGTTCATTGGCACTTGCTTACTTGGCAAGAGAAGCAGGGTTTCCACCTGGTGTTTTCAATGTGGTTTTGGCATCAGTTGAATCTACTCCAATGGTTGGTTTGAAAATTTGCGAAAGTCCCAAAATTAAAAAAGTTAGTTTTACAGGGTCGACTCCTGTGGGTAAATTGCTCATGAAACAAAGTGCTCTGACTTTAAAGAAACTTTCAATGGAATTGGGAGGTAATGCACCAATTATTGTTTTTGATGATGCCGATTTAGAACTTGCTGTAAGTCAATCAATTGCATCCAAGTTTAGATCTTTGGGTCAAACTTGTGTTTGTGCTAATAGAGTATACGTTCAAAGTGGAATCTATGACAAGTTTTGTCAAGAATTTGCTAAAAAGACTGAAGAATTCAAAATTGGTAATGGTGTTGATCCAGATGTCACCCATGGTTGTTTAATTAATGCCAAAGCAGTGGCTAAAGTTGAAGAGCATTTCAATGACGCAATCTCAAAAGGTGCGGATGTTTTGGTTAAAGGTGGCAGAATGCCCGAGTTGGGCAAACACTTTTATGCACCTGCGGTTGTGTACAATACTCCAAACGATGCTCAAGTATTTCATGAAGAAACTTTTGGTCCGTTGGCAGCAATTGCAAAATTTGAAACCCGTGAGGAAGTTGTCAAGTTGTGTAATGACACTCCATATGGTTTGGCCTCATATGTGTTTAGTGAATCGTTAAACAATGCATGGTATATGTCTGAGTTTTTGGATGTTGGTATGGTTAGTGTAAATACAGGATTGTTTACTGATGCTAGTTTGCCATTTGGTGGTATCAAGGAGTCAGGATTTGGAAGAGAAGGTTCACTTCATGGAATGGATGATTACACGGTAATAAAGTCCATTACATTAGGAAACTTATATAGATAAGGATTACATTTTCTCATTATGCATATACACAATAGCTACTTATGTTTATACAATGCTCATGCAACAGAAGTATCCTTGTACTTTTTAACAAACTCTTTGTGAAACTTACCCCATCTCTCAATCCATTCTTCACCTGGCGGTAAAAATGTAGTTCTTAAATGGTAGGTGCCTGGCTTTTGTCCAAATCCATTTCCTGGAACACAACAAATACCAGTATTTTCCAAAAGTTCAATACAATACAAATCATCAATTTCAAGATTCGAATTCTTGGCTCTGGAAAATAATTTATGATAAACTTTGGGATCAAAGTTGAGACTTGGGAAAAGATACATTGCCCCTTGTGGTTTATCAACTGACACGTCTTCCATATTCGAAAAGGCTTCATAAAGTGCTTTAGCCCTTGTTTTTAAATTGTCAAATATGGTGCTTGTTTCTTCAACGTAAAGATCATAAGATTCGTCACCCTTCTTAGGTGGGTTCACCATCAATTCAACCATAGCTTGTCCCGAAACAACTGAACACAAGTTTATCGATGCCAATTTGAAAATGATATCCTTAACATCAGATTTAAAACCAACAAGTTCCATGTAGCCTCCACGCTGCCCACATTCGCCACTAACACCTTTAGATGTCGAATGTAATGAAGCCAATTGAACATTTTTGTACAAGTTGTGGTGCTTCTCTTTCAACTCTGACAAAACACGCTTGAAGGAATAAAATTCCCCACTGAAAACATTTTCTTGGTAAACTTCATCAGCAATCAATACAATACCATGTTCAGCAGCAATGGAAATAAGCTCAACTATATCCTCACGCGACAAAATTGCTCCCGTTGGATTACCAGGATTGATTACAACCAATGCTTTAACTTTAATTCCCTTTGCAGTACTCTCTTCAATCAATTGACGAATTTCTTGTGGGTTGGTTGCCCAGCCTTTCGATTCGTCCAAATAATAACCAATGGGTTGAGCATTATTCAAAGCAATAGTGGCAGTATACAATGGATATTGTGGAATAGGAATCAAGAAACCTGAGTTTTGGTCTTGTGACAAAATTTGTAATAAATAAGATACAGCGGCTGAGGCCCCTGAAGTTAAAAAGATATCATTGGCGTTTGAAGAAAACTCTCCGCCGTCTCTCTTTGTGATAAACTCTGCAATTGATTGCCTGAAATAAGCAGCACCTTGAGACAGTGAGTAGGCACCGATGGATCCAACATTATCCAAAATTACCTTTGCTCTTTGCTTAACGTCGGCAGGAAACTTCGCACCCAGTTCTTCACTCAATAGTTCAGGATACTGCAAAATGGACAACACTTGTCTATACCACGTCAAAGGTTTTTGATCCAATTGTTGGGGATTTCCAATATTGGCATTCACAATTTTGTTAAATGGCAATCCATGACTAGTGGGTGATTTTCTAATCAATTCACTTAATCCATCAGCAATAATTGGGATTTTCCCTCTCACGGCATATTGAGCTTTGACTGTCAGTTCATTCAAATCATGGACGTTTAATGGTTCAGCGGGAGTGAAGGTTGATTTGAAACGATAACCAATGCTGTTGCTGTTAATGATGCAGTTGTTAGTGCTGCTGGTGCTGCAAGTGGGCGGTAGCATATTATTGATACGAGTAGCCATACCGAATGGTTGAAGTTGAAATTTGGTTGAAATAGTAACTGGTCTCATGTTTGCTGATCTTATTTTGAAAATATGTAGGATAAAGCGGGACTGAAATAGGAATGAATGAAATCTGCAACAATCAGTAAGGTTTTTGGATTTGCAAAAGAAAACCTAAAAACCAGGACTTTATTGTGGGAAAAGATTAGACTTTTGGCGTGAACGATTTGATGAGGGGAAAGGAAATCGGACTAATAAGAAAACAGGTGAGTTTATTATAGTACGGAATTGTTATTAGCCCTTAGTGAACGTGATTGGTAATGATTTTTCCAAAAAAAAAAAAGCAAAAATGAATGATTGGGACGATATATGTATGTTGATGTTTAGTCTAAAATTTATACTTCTTTAAAACAATCAATGACTTTCAAGCAGTAAAAATGACAGATGTATTCGCTGTAGCGTGAATTACACGTTGTGGTGGTGCGAGATTTGAAATCTATTGTCGTGTGGATTATAAAAGTAAACGTTTCCCTCTTGTGGGATGAAAAATTTGAAATTTGATGAAAAGTTTTTGATACACAAACGATGAAATAGATAACAATAAATTGGACAATAAGAATGTATTGTACTGTTGATTGCAGTTGAACGCGAATAGAGAGGTGAAGGGTGTAGCTACTTCTATTACTTTTGTTGTTCCCACCGCGATTACTACTGCATCTCAAACGATGCACTAGATATATTTGTTATGGTTTGTATTTGGTCATCACTCGGCAATGAAAAATTGTGGGGTGCATACATGTGGAAATCGCCGAAGTTAGACTCAACACAATGTTCTCTTCTCTTTTTTTTTTTTGACTCCTACGCACACAATCATTACATAACAACTTACATAATACACATTGTATAACTATTTTAGTCGGAGTTCAGTCTCCGAACCATTCATCTCGGTTGTATACCTCCGGGACCTTGTTCCATAGTTTTGAATCTGCACTATGAGAGGCATTAGGAAACACTTAAACACGATGAGCATAGAGGATCCATACGGAACCGCGGGGAAGGGATAGAATGGTATGCTCATAATTCTTTAGACGTTGTGATCCAGCTTTCACTAATTGATCGCTAAAGTTCGCCAACAAGTGCCTGGAGACAGACACCCAAAGCAATTGAACAACTACTTGGCATTGAAACTTTCACAGTATTACAAGTAACATACTTCTTTCTTCGTAGGACAAACTCAATATAAACAGGGTCATGAGTACCAAGTGTATCTAACAAAGTGCCCCTTGTTACACCGAGAACTTTCTTTTGGTGGTTGCACTTTGTCATGACATAGGACACAACCATTTAGCAGGTTACATCTTCTTTTCATTTCGTATAACCTTTTTGCTGACCACTTTTCAACAAACAAGGGAACTGTCACCTACCGATTTCTCAGTGGCTCCAACCAGACTAGCTTGGTTAAAGCAATAACTGTATGGACTAAATGAGATTACTAGGTCCGCTAGAACGTAGAGCTGGACAGTTTGGTAAAGATCCTGCGGCAATGTTTTGCAAAGGGTCATTTATTTATTGGGCCACTTGCTTTGCACACGAGCCAAAGGGAAAAGAATGTGGCGACATTGTGCAAGAGTGTGTACTGAAAATTGCATCTGTCAATCTGTCAAAAAACAGTAACTTCGTTTCCTTCTTGAGCGGTAGCCCTGTTCATGCAATGCACTGGTATAAAAAACTCTTGGCATCTGGTTTCTCATTCTGTTGCATTTTGTCATGAAACAATGGCACTCCATAGAGATGCATAAATAGGTACATAGAAGTTCGTAAAAAAAAAAACAGCTAATCTTACGATTCCAGATTTGTAGGGCAGCGTCGATCAACGTTGTAACGGTGAATAGATACCCTCTACATATTGAATGGTTACTTTCGGGTGAAATCATGATCAATTCTGTTCATTGCGCTGCAAACATTTACTTTGGGATCTATTATTGCAAGATAGTTGTGTATTCCGTAAGCATGTACACTATCTTGAGTCTCTGAACGTAAAATTCAAAGTACACAACAAGGTGACTCTCTCCCTTTTTGTTATGTTACTTCTTCTTTTTTTTTATTTTTTTCCCTCGCACACGTTCTATTAAGACCCTTGAGGGAGGCAAATTGATGCAGATACATGTTTTCGTTCGTAAACTTCTTCAAGAGTTCTTTTTTCACGAGTTCAAACGAATGACACAAAACAAATACAACAGGGAACCGGTAGCGACAGTCTTCGATACTTGTAATAATTCTTCAGCAGCATTCCCTTGTGCATTCTCAGTCGACTTATTCAATATCCAACCCAATACAATCCTGCTACAAATAGCTACCCTACAACTAGTAAAATGAAAACCTTAATAGTATACCACCACAGGTAGTGTAACGAAACAATCATCGTAAGATGGTATAAACATCATCCAATTCGGCTATTTTGCTACCTTTTTTGGCTGCCATGCATTCAAGAAACGGCAAAAGATAATATGGAATTGGTGAACAAAAGAAAAGGACGTTGTGCAAATATAGAAACGCCTTAGAAAATACAGTGCTTATGCCTCGGGTATTCATGCCAAATATATCACCAGCAATTCTTTCTCACGCATTCAAAATCTGCCCATATCGAAGCTTCGCTGCAATTCCATGCCCTAAAACAAAACCGTCCCATTGAACGTGTATCACTTTCAGGTAACTGTGGAAACATGAATACATAAGCTGAGAAACAAAACACATGTCATTCACCTCTGCTTGTTGATCGAGGACATATTTGCTACTTTTGCCAAGCAAAAGTGGTTGTTGATGGTGAATTATCATGAGGTGGGTCTCATAGATACAGAATCAAGGCTTGTTGCCTTTTAATGTTCCTACAGCTGCCATTCCGATTTGTTTACAATATATGGTTGGACTCGATGCACTCTGTGGAAGCAACTTTCCGCCGCGTATGCAGGGACGTATTTGTGGTCTATTTCGAGAAAGAATGTGCATAGGGCGTACATATGCAACCGAACAAAAAATATTTGGTGTATACAAGTCTCGAAGATGAACTCAACACTAGTTGTTCCCATTCGGAAACGCCTCACTTCGTCCGATACCACTCTAGATCAACTTGTTGGAGTAGACTGGCTATTGTGGATTCGTGTTTATCAAGATACTTACTTGGCATACTTGGTGAAGAACGCTCTTGCTCTCAGGGTTATCTTTGTTAGCTGTTTCCGGATACGCGTGATTTTATTTCACCAACTGCTTAGGATTTTCAACGTCTAACCCTTGCAGCTTTTTTTTTTGATTGCAAAATTCTCAAACACGAATCCTATCACCCGGTTCCTGGGTTTGCCTATGGTTATGAGCCCAGTAATGGTTCAATAAACACTCAAGTTAAGAAGATTCTTCTACACAAGGTGCCAACACCATACTTTCCAAAAGTGTATAAAAAGCCTTCGAATTTATCCAGAACTGAAATCTTGAGAAAGAGAGTTTTGATTGAAATAGTTGCTTACTTCAACTTAACTTGCAACACTTTCGTTTATACCAAGCAAGTTTAGTCCATTCAATTTTTCACTAATGCAAGTTTTATTGAAAGCTCAGGTTTTGTTGTGGCTCTTGGTTGCCACCGCATGGGGTAGAGACTTCCAAGGTGGTAACACTGTCGATTGGGGTACTCAAAATGTTGGTAATGGAGATGTCCACATTCATTCGGGAGCCATTTGGTCTATCATCAACAATGCTGCTTCAGATTTCCATGGAAACATTCAGGTCGATTCAAATGCCGGTCTTTATGTTTCCAGTGTCACTCCAAGTGTTGCTTTATCTGCTACCTTATATGATCTGATCTATGGATTTGTCAACAATGGTGTTGTCTCTTTCAACGCAATCAAGGGTGCTCCTGGATACTCATTTTGGATTATGGGTAACAGGTTTGAGAACAACGGTGACTTGTTCTTTTCTGCTTCGGGTGAAGGTTCTGTTGCTAGTGGTATTAAAGGGCTCGACTGGCACAACAATGGGTTGATCCATATTTATCAAAAGATGAAGAGTGATAGTTATGCTTACTTAGGTTACCATGGTAAAACAGTTGTAAACAATGGTCAAGTTTGTTTCACTAATCAAAACTGGTACCAACTCTCTGGTATGTTGGGATCAGGTTGTGTTACTGCTCAAGGTAAATCATCGTTCTACTTTATGAACACCGCTTTGAAGATTTCAGAAGACGAAATCTTGTACTTGACTAATGGTGAAACTTCCATCATGGCTGTTGGATCAATCAATGACCCCCAGACCTTCCACGTCAGAGGATTTGGAACCGATAAGAATGGTATTGCAAACAAGATCGGTTTGACTGCAACTTTATCATCGCCTGTGTCAGGAAAAAGTCCATGGTCTTACAATGCAAGAGATGGTATTTTGACATTGTACGTTGGATTGTACACTCAAAACTTTGAAATTGGTACTGGATATGACTTTACCAAGTTCCAAATTGTCAGTGACACTAGTAGAGGAATACCAGGAATCTACTTGGGTGCAGTGCAATACAACGGTCCACCACCAAACCCAGGTGTGCCAGCAGAGTGTAAGCCATGTAAATCAATACCAGGTATTCCAGGTATCGATAAGCCACCAGCAACATCTTATTCAATTGAGACAGCCCCAAGCACATCCACTAAACCAATTTCAACCCCACCAATTCCTCCTCAAACTTCCGGTGCCCCTGGCCTTATCAAGACAGTCACTGTTTATGCTACAGCCACAGTTACTGCCACCTCAACCTTCACCACCACTGGTACTGTAAGAGGATGAGCAGAGCTTTGATTTATGGACCTAAAAACTCACATTGCTGAATTGTGTGTATGCCTAGGTCAAGTAGTGTTTATATCGTATAGAAAAATACTACATCACTATATGCTCTGGAGAATCACCATACTATCTAGTGACTGGTATTTTCTCATTTCACATCAAAGCTACATTGTTTGGATGGAAGGTGCTAAATGAGGCAACGCGTAACAATGTCTGAACGAGAGGGCCTCATAGAGCTTCATTATCTGTTTGAGGTATTCAAGCTCAATTCTATACTATCACGCTGCAATATTATGGACTATAAAATAAAAACTACGTTTTTTGCCCATGTTATCGTTTTATGCACTGAGCACCAAGTCTACGCAATCCGTGTATTGAGAACAAGCTGCCTATGTACTATTGTCTTTGCCTGCGACAGTGTTACTGTTTGAGTTGTACCCTTTTGGCTCGCATTGAGACAGTCTTGCCATATGCCCTCTGTCGCCAAACAAAAAAAAAAAGAAAAGGGAACAGAAAACAAAACAACTACCATTCGTGCATTATTTACATCTTGTTGCTAATGCATGTAAAGAGAGAAGTAGTCGCGAAACCAAAAATTCATCATATGCGATTTCATCAAAGATATAGTACTTTGACCACACGTTTTCTCAAGAAAGAAGTCATGTCGTGTGTCTAATGAGAAGTAAGGAGGTACTAAATCCACAACCTATTGGGAGGGATATTTATAGTACTTTCTAAAGATTGTTAGATTGACGAGGTTTCATATTTTGTTTACAAATTCATTGTCCAGTGCAATTATTTTGATTGAGGCAAATTTCGATGTACATACTAGGACGTATTAGTTGGAGTGGAAAATGCAAGAATGTACATGAACTCAGGGCGTTTGGCTGAAGTTAACAAATAAACAGCCCCGGCTTTCGAGGGCGGAGTCAAACAAAACGGCACCTTTTGTGACGGGGTTCTGCATTTTTGGTGCCACTTTACATGCTGGCTAATTTTCAAGAACCCACAAGCTCGACAAAGGTTGGAGATACCATTTGACGTTAAAGCTGAAGATGCCAGTGCAGAAGATACATATCATATCATATTCAATTTTACACTTAGAGCATATAAGGCCCCTTATGCGTGGTTATATTTACGAAAAAACCAGAGTTTAGTAGCGGCTACAATTTGCATTCAGGTTCAATGCAAAATCTAAATTTTCAAAGCCAGTCATCCGGCTTTTTTTGGTGCTGTAACATTTACGATCAAGTGTTGGCTTTCTAGACACTCAAGTTGTAATGTCACCTACATACGGAATGTCGCAACGCCACCCTTGCCAGAAATGTATAAATAGACCTTGAATTCTTCCAGAATTTCAATCTTGAAAAGAGAATTTTACCACAAGAGAATATTAATTGAATTCAACTTAGTTTGCAACTCTTTCATCAAGTAAGTTTAGTCCATTCAATTTTCCACTAATGCAAGTTTTATTGAAAGCTCAGGTTTTGTTGTGGCTCTTGGTTGCCACCGCATGGGGTAGAGACTTCCAAGGTGGTAACACTGTCGATTGGGGCTCCCAATATGTCGGTAATGGAGATGTCCACATTCATTCGGGAGCCATTTGGTCTATCATCAACAATGCTGCGACAGATTTCCATGGAAACATTCAGGTTGATAAAAATGCTGGTCTCTATGCTTCAGTCGTCACACCAAGTATCACCTTGTCAGCTACCTTGTACGATTCAATTTATGGTTTTGTCAACAATGGTGTTGTCTCCTTCAATGCAATCAAAGGTGCTTCCGGCTACATCTTCAAGATTATGGGTAACAAGTTTGAAAACAACGGTGATTTGTTTTTTGCTGCTTCCGGTCAAGGTTCTATGGAAAGTTGGATAAAGGCACCGGACTTCCACAACAATGGGTTTATGCACTTCTACCAAGTGATGAAGAGTGATAGTTACACTTATTTGGGTTACGATGGAAAAACAATGGTCAATAATGGACAAATTTGTTTCACCAATCAAAATTGGAAACAGCTTACCGGTATGTTAGGATCGGGTTGTGTTACTGCTCAAGGTAAAGCTTCATTCTACTTTATGAATACCAATTTACAAATCTCCGAGGGTGAAATCTTTTACTTGAATGGTGGTGAGACATCGATCATGGCAGTTGGATCGATTAACAATCCACAAACCTTCCATGTTAGAGGTTTTGGAACATACAACGGTATGGCCAACAAAATTGGTTTGACTGCAACTTTATCCTCTCCAGTTTCAGGAAGACTTCCATGGGCATACAACGCTAGAGATGGTATCTTAACTTTGTACGTTGGATTGTACACTCAAAACTTTGAAATTGGTACTGGATACGACTACACCAAGTTCCAGATTGTCAGTGACACTAGCAGAGGTTTACCAGGAATTTACTTGGGTGCAGTGCAATACAATGGTCCTCCACCAAATGCAGGCATGCCAGCAGAATGTAAACCATGTAAATCAATCCCAGGTATTCCAGGAGTTGATCAACCAGAACCAACTTCAACAACTGAGACGACTTCGAGTACTTCCACCAAAAAAAGCTCAACCACACCAGTTCCTCCTCAAACTTCAGATAAACCTGATACAAAACCAACTGATAAACCAACCAGTCATCATGGTCTTATCAAGACAGTCACGGTTTATGCAACAGCCACAGTTACTGCCACCTCAACCTTCACTACCACCGGTACTGTGAAAGCTTGAGCTAAGCTTTAATATAAGGGTTGGAGACTCACATTGCTAAATTGTGTTTATACCCGAATTATATAGTTTTAATCGAATTTAAAATTTTTTGATCACATTTTATGTATTGTACCCTTCAGTACCATAACAGTGTCTTATTTTACGTCGAAGCCACGTTGGTTTGCCTTCTCCAAGTGTGAATGATCTTCTCTTAGTCTGTACCAAAATATAAACTATCTATGAACCTGTTTCTAAAGTGCCAATGACTATCTAAAAAGCTTTCTTCATTGTACCACAACGCGTTTCCTTTGTTTCCGGACTCTGCTTCGCCAAATTGTGTCGCATCCATTGATGATAATTTACCGATGACTAATTGAACCTTGGGGAACACATTCAAAATCCTTCTAACTCCGATTTCAGTAGATAAATAACTCACAAAAATAATATTTTCTTGTTTGACTTTGTGATCAACCAACACTTGAATTGCCATTATCGCACCTGCTCCACTGATAGTTTGGGAGTCCAACAATAATATCTTACCAATGCTACTGATGTTATGAGGTAAACTTTCGTAATGTAGTTGAGGTTCACCAGTTGATGAATCACTTTGTATCAACATTTTGCCTACAGTTAATTCTGGAAATGTTTTTTTCAACGAAGTCATGAAACAATCGCCACTCCGAATGATGCTTACTGCAACCATTTGCGATTGCTGGGCTCGCAATCCTTGGTACTTGTATGGTTTTTCAAAGCAAATTACCTCCTTTGGTTTGTAATCGTAAAAGTTCAGCTGAGCGTGTTCGATTAATAATCCACTTAACCGGTTAAAGTAAAATATGAAATCATCTCTTGAGGTATTTTTGTTGAATAGTATCGCATTGATTCCCCGAAGTTGATTTGTGGGTCTCATTATCTTCAAATTAGGATAGCTCTCCACCTTGAATGCAATATCATAGCCCAAGCTTTTCAAATTTTGCAAGTGTTTCTTTGATTTGAGAGCCAACTGGTTTTTAATATGCTTTATCATGAGATCAATAGCGATTGTATTGTCCAATCCGCGAGGGATAACCAAATCAGCATTTTCCTTAGTGGGATTGATGTATTTGACGGCGTTGGGCTTCACAAAAGTCGTCCATTGTTTAATGGCTCCATTTAAATCACGACCTCTGTAAAGAATATCTCGAATCAAACGTCTTGATAGGCAGATGTCCAAATCGGTGTCAACGTATATCTTCAAATCCATCATTGCTAATAGTCTTGGATCGTACAAGGCATATAGCCCTTCCACGATGATCACATTGGCCCCGTATATGGTATTTGTCTTGTCAATCCTAGCATGCTTTGCAAATGAGTAAACGGGTATTGTGGATTTACCTCCTCTTTTCAAAGTGCGTACAGTTTCAACAACTGCATCCAAATCCAACAGCAGTGGAGTATCAAAATCATACTCATTAGCAAATGCTCGCCTGCTTTCCTCCGGTGATAAAGACTTGTAAAAGTTATCAAACGATAAAAGCACCGTCCAAGGTTGATTAATGCCTTGAATAATCTGTTGAGATATTGATGTTTTCCCACTTCCAGAATTACCGGCAATTCCTATAATATAAGGAGCAGTCCAAGGAGGGATGTAAGATGAATGAGCAAGTTTGTCTCGAAGTTGTTCATCCTGAGTATATTCCGAGACTAGATTTACTCTGGATGTGGTGGAAATTGAAGGGGATGAAACTGAAACCGTTGACTCAGACGGACTCGCAAATGCTGATTGACCCAACTTGGAAGGATCAGAAACTCCCAACGTTGGACTTACAATGGAATTCAGCTGGGAGTATTCCATTGGTTGATCAGCGCCTCCGGCTAAGTTGCCCTCCACGCGTAGTTCACTAGATGAGTGTGAAACTCCAGGCGGTCTGAAGAGTTTGCCCTCCTCATCAAATGCTGGGTTCTTATCATCATTATCATCATCATCATCATCATCATCACCTCTAACTGTCTCTCCTGTGAGTGATATGAAAGATGAAGTTTCACTTTGTGTCGGTGCTATTCTTGAGTATCTTCTTTGCTTAGGGAGCAGTGACATAGTACATCAATAGGAAAGCAGCACTTGATCTCTTGAGACAAGATTCACTTATAATTCTCTTTGATGATCATCTCTAATACAAACTCTACGCGAGAAAAATTAGTTAGAACAAGGTGAATCCTCCGATCCCAGAAAGCTGAAATACCATCATGGACACACCAAGACAAAATGGGACTGGGTACCGCAGAAAACAAGCTCCTATCGAATACAATGACAAAAACACTAGTCCCGTGGTTGACTCAGCCGAAACGCAATCTAATCTTCATTTCAAGGAAAATGAACTCCACCGAGATCATCTATCGCCTCTTCATGAGCTGACAACGCAGCTGGAGATTGACGCTAGCCAAACTGAAGGGAATGGTAACTCCTCGTCACATTCGAAAGAATTGTCCAGTGAAGTCGTGAAAAATTTTTCCTCTCAATACAATCATCTTAAAGACACTGTTGACGATGTCAAAAAACTATCATTTAGTTCGGGCCCTAGCAAAAGAGATCTACTACAAGGAAGGAACCGCCAACACGAGTCAGATAAAACCTTGAAGAGGAAAAATGACTGGGAAACAGAGCAATTCAATAAAGCGCAACAATTGAATCTTCAAACCGACGATAAAATTCATTTAGCGAATAATGATGAGTACGAGTACGTTTTTGACGAATCGCAATACGTGGATTTTGATGACATTGAGGAGACAGTAATAGATGGTGATGATGAACAAACCCCAGCACAATCACGCAAGATAAACGGTTTAGAATCTGAAAAAAAATCCCTTCCTGTTTACCATTATAAAAATGAATTTTTGAATTTACTAAAAAACAACCAAGTGATTATAATTGTGGGAGAAACTGGGTCAGGTAAGACCACTCAACTACCTCAGTATCTATATGAAGGGGGGTATTCTCAAAGAGGCACAAAGTTGATAGGTTGCACCCAACCTAGAAGAATTGCGGCTGTTTCGGTTGCTCAAAGGGTTGCTGATGAAATGGGTACAACTTTGGGAGGCACGAAAGGTAAAGTTGGATACTCCATTCGATTTGATGACAACTGCTCACCTTCGACCGTTGTCAAATTCTCTACTGATGGTATGCTTTTGAGGGAATTTTTGAATGACCCCAAGTTATCCAAATATGGAGCCATAATGATTGATGAAGCACATGAACGTACACTTTCAACCGAAATATTGTTGAGCTTGTTGAAAGATTTATCGTTGCAACGAGATGACTTGAAAATCGTGATTGCCAGTGCAACAATCAATGCAGCAAAGTTTTCTGAGTATTTCAACGGTGCTCCGATATTGAACATACCAGGACGACGGTTTCCTGTAGAGATCCACTACACAAAACACCCCGAAGCCAATTACTTGCAAGCAGTGATGACAACAATTTTTCAAATTCATTTAACGCAACCACTACCAGGGGATATTTTGGTCTTTTTAACTGGACAGGACGACATCGAAAGATTGGAAACTCAGATACAAGATGCTATCCTAAGGATTGGAGAGCAATTGGAGGATAAGAAATTGATGGTGTGTACCGTGTATGCAAACCTACCGAGTGAATATCAAAGTAGGATTTTTGAGCCTGCACCTATAAATACAAGAAAAGTCATATTGGCAACAAATATCGCAGAAACCTCCATCACTATTGAGGGAGTTTCATTTGTTGTTGATCCTGGTTACGTTAAACAGAACGAATTCAACAGTTCATCGGGAATGGAAAGCTTAGTTGTTGTTCCTTGTTCTAAAGCCAATTGCGATCAGAGAGCAGGGCGTGCAGGAAGAGTGGGGCCGGGAAAATGCTTTCGGATGTTTACTAAACACTCTTTTGATCATGACATGGATGCTTCACAAAAACCTGAAATTCAACGAATAAATTTGAATTCAGTAATATTATTGTTGTTGTCACTAGGAGTTAATGACTTGCTAAATTTTCAGTTCTTGGACCCTCCGCCAAAGGAGAGTATAATGAAATCATTGAATCTTTTGTACTCACTTGGTGCAATCAAATCCAGTGGTAAACTTTCCAAAAGCGGTTTCAAGATGAATGAATTTCCGTTGGATCCAGTTTTGACAAAATGCATATTGAGTAGTGAAAGCCTTGGTGTCACAAGAGAGATCTGCATAATTATCGCTATGTTGACAGAATCGTCCAATTTAAAATATTCGCCTAAACAGGTTGATCAAGAGGTAATAAGGAAAAGACACGACCAATTCGATGCACCAGAAGGGGATCATTTGACGTTGTTGAACATTTTCACGCAATGGATGAAGTATGGTTACTCAAAACATTGGTGTGAAGATAACTTCCTACAATACAAGACCCTTCACAGAGCCCGACATATTTTCCAACAATTGATTCGAATTTGCAAAAAGATTGGCCTCGTCGTCAATGACAAGTTGGTAGGGGATGATAATTTTCCTGCTGATAACGAGCAAAATATTCGTGAAAATCAATCACTGTCTCGATTTTACGTCTCCATTCAAAAACTGTTACTCAGCGGTTTTTTCAACAATATAGTAAAGTTGTCACCTATGGGAGATTGCTATCAACCTATTCTAAGATCAAGACAAAACATCCCTTGTTTTGTACATCCGTCCTCCACCTTGTTCAAAATCAAAATGCACAAGCCGAAGTATTTGGTATATTATGAGTTGGTTTTGACGAGCAAGGAGTATATGAGAAATTGTTTGATCGTCGATGAGCAGCTTGTAAAAAAGATGCAGGGTGAAATGTCGAGATAAAACCCAGAAGTGTCGACTAAGTGTTTCGTGTGAGGTTTACTATGTGATTTGGATGATGTGCGGCATGATTGTCCTTCGTGTCCCGTCAAGAAATATTAGTTCACCTCATCTGCTGGTTAGATTGTTAGAGTTTATAATCTACTGAGCCGTAGCAGGATCTAGTAGGAAAAGCATCGTATACACGATATATGTGGAGACTGTTTAAAACACGATTGTTTCGATGTAGTAGTAGTGTCAGGAACCCCATATCTCGTCAGTCTTGATTTCGTTATTTTTCAATGTCATACACTCCCCTCCGCTGCGTCTCTAAGTCCCCTTGGCATTCCAGATTACGGGGTTGGCTAGACCTCGCATCCTTGTTTCCAAAAAAACCCATCAACAAAAGCAAAACTTCTATGTTTGGGAACACAATTTCTTCCAATTCATCACTTCTGTCAGTTCTCTCATTTGATAACAATACACTTTTCTTGACTTGAAACTCATCCCTTAGTTAATGACAATTTTTTGTTGAATCTTCACAAGACATACGGCCCTTATTGTTCCACCGGCATCAATGGGAAATTTCGACTCTTCATAATATATCAGATCGCACACAACTTTCTACTCCTCTGGTTGTCTTAAACTCGGATCTTCTCTCTCCATTGATGTTATATCTTCTCTCATGTCAACTTTTCACAACAAACTCCTGAGTTTGTGCTTCTCACCTGTTGTCAAGATAGTGACGTTTTCAATACTGCTGGTTCTTGATAGGGTCCTGGAGGCAAAGTGTCTCTAAATTTGATCCCAACCCAAACAAGTGGTTGGATATAATCATCTTCATAGTAATACATGGGATGACGAAGCTCTGCTTGCTTTTCCTGTTCGGAACGTAGACTTGATCTAGGCACCAGCCCACATTTGCGATACTTTGCTGGTTTCAACTTTAGAATAACTTTTCGTACCGCTTGCAATGCTCCTTTGAGAATATCTCTTTTATATCGACGCTATTCTTGCTCATCATCGATTGATAACGGTCCAAATCCTTTGTAATTTTCTCCATATTTCTCTTTTACAAAGGCGGCAACCTCTTGCTTGTTTCTCAAATCTTTAACTTGAGCATGTGGGTGTTTGACTTGTGGTGTATTCAGTGCTCCGTGTCTGGCATTGTACTTTGTTAGTTCATTCAACTCAATGTTCTCGAAATGAGTTATATCAAAATTTGCAGCAGCTTTGTGAGTGTCTTTGTCTTCGATTGTCAGTTGTGTTGTAGAATTGTCTTTATTTTTGTCGGGGTTATTCATTGTTAAGGGTTCTTATTTTAAGGGGGATTAATTAATGGTAGTCTCTTCAGATGGTGATTTCACTTATTTCTTTTCTTCTTCTTCTTCTTCGTCGCCACTACCATCAATGGAGCCATCAACCTCAGATCTATAAACAATGTTGATCATCTCAACAACTAAATGGATGTTGTCCATATGCATCAATGCAGCTTTTTGTGTACTAACCTTTTTGTAGCAGTTGTCTCAAATTGCGTTTCTAACATTCAAAATGGGTATCAATTTCTTCAAAACACGCATTCTAAGTCGATTGGGACAAGTAGCAGCTATCTTTATCAAACAGGAAACGTTGGCACTCATGTACTTTTCCAACGTTGTATCCATTTTAGGCTTGAATTCCATCAACAATCCTGCAATCTTTGATTCAAGTTGACATTCTTCAGAAACAGCTCTACCTTTTGAACCTTTTTCAACCTGTTTGATCGAAACTCCATATCTTTTGCCTTTAAGCTTCTTCAATTGCTAACAACGGAGTTGAGTTGTTGTATGAATTTGTCCCAAATAGATGAATCTGTAGTTGAGTTTGTGTTTGAGTTTGTTAGATGCATTGGTGTCGTCGTCGCTTTTGAAAGTGAAAACAAGTGTAAGTGGAGTGGCAAAAGAAGCATCCAAATGATGTCCTTTTTGCGTCTCTGGTGAGTCAACCTCTGTTAAATCTGTCATTTCCTTGTGTAATGGTTTGGAGAATAAAAGTGGTGATTGGTATAAATATTCTTGACATATTTTTTGGTTGCAAATACAAAAACATTGAGATCAGCATGTAGAATAGAATTTTTTTTTCAGTATGATAAGCTAAAATCATGTTAACTTTGTATTCAGAGGTTACGTCTACGTCCACAAATGTCGTACATCATCTCGTGATCTCGGGTGGTAACGATTAATTTCGGATCGGTACGGGTTGAATTTCAATAATATGTCCTATTTTACGATATATCATTCACGACATCTACTTGTAGAGTAGGCAATTGCAAAACATTTGATGTGGTCTCTATTGGAAATGAGTTGCTTTGATCTTTGATGCAGCCAATAACAAGTAAGTGGTAGTTGCGTCGCTGTTGCTAAGTAATGGTGCTCTAGAGGAGAAACGAATGTGAGTGGATGTTTAGTGCAAACACCAACTCATAATGATAATCTCCAGTGTAGTACAGTATCCATCTACTCCATCTTCATCTCACATGGATTCCGTAAACAAAACATGAGTACCATAGGAGTTCTGCTCCCAAATGATCTTTTGAAGTAATTGAAAACAATGAATCCGCAAGTAAAAACATCCTGGAGATGCTCGTATATAGCACCGTCTTATGGTTTGGTTGTAGCTGACAGAATCAAGTTTCGGATAATGTATCAATAAAGCAAGAAACTTGCTGTGGGAATACTCTCACGACTTCAAGATTAAATAAAAAGACATTTTTTTTTTCAATGTAAACTATCGGATCAAGGTGGCCATATAACTTACATATTGAACTTACTTGTGTGACTTTTCTCCCAAATGGGTTCGTAGGCCTACGTCATCACATAAATCGTAGCAACCTGTTCCATTGGAACTAGCAGCGTCAAGAATGTATGTATTTCGTATGAAGTTGCAGCATCAAAGGCTGAACCGAAGCTATTCTGGAGGTGAATATGATGAGGGCCACTGCCTACCCAGTATAGTCATGTCAATTCGAATGTGGTTGGGTTGGCGTAAATCTTCAAGAAAGTGCCTTTAAGCCTCTCTGGTTGATGGTTTTGTATGAGTGGGTAGACCAAACTGAAGCGGTGACCTTGATTAATTTAGTCTGTGCTATGAAAGCCAGATCTCAATTCCACAACATCCATCCTTTATGAAAACATACAACATTTTTCCACTCTAGTTCGACCTTGTGCCTTGTCTTGAATCATCTAAGTTGTCTCCACTTTTTTACAAAGTTTGTTGGTTCTCAATACGAGAAAGAGTCAAAAAACAAAAAAATTAAAAACCGAGAATTGAAAATTTATCCGTTGGAGTCGATTTAGATTCAGTCAGATTTAGCCCATCACACTCAGTATTTATTCCCTCCCCAATATGCTGAAAGTAAAAGACCTTATCCAATCTCTAGGTCCAGATGAAAAGTTTGTTTCATTTGAATTTTTTCCACCAAAGACAGATTCTGGTTTTAGGAATTTGCTTGCGAGATTGAATCGTTTACTGGCATTCAATCCATTGTTCATTACCGTGACTTGGGGAGCTGGTGGCTCAACCAGTGAAAAGTCCTTAGACTTGGCAGCAACATGTCAAAAGAAAATTGGCGCAACCACTGTTTTACATTTGACATGTACCAACACGAATAAGGAAGTGATTGATGCTGCATTAAAGCGTGCAAAAGCCAATGGTATAAGAAATATCCTTGCACTAAGAGGAGATCCACCAAGGACTGAAGAATATTGGACACCTAATTGTCAGTTCAAGAATGCCGTGGATTTGGTAAAGTATATTCGTCTGGAGTACGGTGATTATTTCTGTATTGGAGTTGCTGCTTACCCCGAAGGCCATGTTGATGGTGCGGATGTATCCAATCAGAATCCACGCAAGGATATTCCTTTCTTGATTGAAAAAGTTAAAGCAGGGGCAGACTTTATAATTACTCAGTTATTTTTTGACGTGGACAAGTTTATTACTTTTGAGAAACTAATTAGGCAATCACCGGAGTTGAAAAATGTCCCATTGATTCCCGGTCTTATGCCCATTACTACCCATCGTGTATTTACAAGAGCAACAAAGCTTTCGCATGCAACCATACCGACAAAGATTTATAAACAATTTGAGGAGATCAAGAACGATGACGATGCTGTAAAGTCTGTTGGTGTTGATCTTTTGTGTGATATTATAAACAAAATTGACGAAAGCACAGCTATAAAAGGATACCATTTTTATACTTTAAACTTGGAGAAAGCAGTAGCTTCCATTTTGAACAAATCGACGGTATTACATCCCATTTTGGAACGCCCCTCTCCAGTGTTTGGTAACGAGGATGCAATTGCTTCTGATTCCGACTCCGATGACGAGATTGCAGTGCCACCACAACAACAAAAACGTAGGAAATCGTCTGTTGTTGAGCCATTGACCCAAAAAGCTGTTGTTGAAATCAGTAGAGGATTGGGGGCACTAGGTAAGGAAGCTATTTGGGATGATTTCCCCAATGGTAGATTTGGTGATTCAAACTCTCCTGCGTATGGTGAAATCGACGGGTATGGTCCAAATTTGAAGATTTATGACAAGAGTGAAGCCATTGCCAAATGGGGCTCTCCGGAACTGATAAGCGATTTGAGTCATATTTTCACTTCGTATCTTTCTGGCAAAATTGACGTCATTCCATGGGCCGATGTTCCCTTATCACCAGAGACAGCCCTAATCCAAGAAGAGCTATTTGAGTTGAATGAAAAGGGTTGGTTTTCTGTGGCGTCACAACCATCTGTGAATGGATGCAAATCAACCGATAACATTTTTGGTTGGGGTCCACCCAATGGTATTGTGTACCAAAAATCATTTGTCGAATTGTTTATGCCAGCTAAAGATTGGGAGCAGCTTAGGTCTAATCTCGATGACTCAACCACATTTTATGTTGGTACTAAATCAGGGGAAATTAAACTGAATCTTCCAATTGAGCAGGATTACTCCAAATCAAAAAGTGCTGTAACGTGGGGTGTTTTCCCGCAAAAGGAGATTTTACAGCCTACCGTGATTGACTATGAGTCGTTCAAAGCATGGAATGAAGAGGCGTTTTTGTTATGGCTTGAATGGGCGAGATGCTACAAAAAGAATCTGAAAAGTTTTGCATTATTGAATTCGATATACAATGATTATGTGTTGGTGAGCTTGGTTCATCATGACTTTCCAAACGAGGATGCATTGTGGAGACTATTACTACAATAGCAATTAGCTAGATGGAAGCTATGAAACTGTTGAGAGGGGGGAGAAGCTGTTGGTGAAATTTTTTCATGAGTTGGATAAAATGTCAATTTCCCTAGTTGATAGTCCGTCATTCAATAGCGAAACCAAACTTGCATCCGACGTATGTATACCTTTATACTCGCAATTCTTGTGATTTAGTAAAAGAACGCCTCTCAGGATCATGGTTCCAGGCTTGACTAAAAGTCTACCTCCCAATTTAATTGGCATTGGAGTATTTGTCTGCTCTTTGCGAAGGAAATTTAATGGTTCAAGTTCATAAGCGTATATAAAGTGATTGTCTTTATCTCTTAGTAGAAGCTTGTAAGTGGAAGATCCTTTCAGTTTATTAGTAGAAGAGGTTTGCTGGTCGTCATCATCTTGAAAGTTGATTTCACGAACTAGCCTCGTTGATTTATTCAACCGATCAACTGATCGATTGTTTGGGTCCAGAACTTCCTTCCATTCCTCTATTTGATTGAACTTGGAGGTACTGATGTCTTCAACTCGAATGATATGAAGTAGTACAGCGTGGTTTATGATTGCTGATTCTTGATTGACAAATTCTGAAGGTACTAAAGACATTGCAATGAGATATAGTGGTGGGAGTGGGTGGTTGATAAAGGAATCCGGACGCGCAAATAGAAAGAAAAGAAAAAATGCAGCTCCTCTTTGCTTTTTAGTGTAAACAATTTTTATTCACAACTTTAGCTGACTCTTCATGTCGTCGTTGTTCGTTCAAGATGAAGATGGTTTAGAAGAGCAACAATCGGAGTTGATTCATCAACAGCAACAAGAGGTTAATGCGGAGCCGCAGCCATCGAGCTCACAAACTCAAACTTCAAGAAGGCAGCAATCAGAGACTTCTATCCCGGTTGTATTCCATGATGAATCAACGATCCCAATATATCCTCATCGTGAAGTTAACTGTTCTCTACCGTTAAAGTACCAGCAACAAATACTCGAGGAGATGTTGGTGAAAGACGCGTTATTGATACTCGGACGAGGTTTGGGGTGGGAGACAATCACGAGCAATTTACTATTTTCACTCAGTTCTCCATTCATTCAGTTGGACAAAACCCGAAAGAAGAAAAGTTTGGTCTTTTTGTTGAATGCCAAAGATTCGGAAATTATACGATTGAGTGAAGAGTTGGATGATTTGAGTTGGATTAATGATGATACTAGCAACAGATTTGTGACGGTTTCTGGAGAGTCTCAATCATCAAAGCGAAAATCGATCTACTTAGAAGGAGGGATAATCTCAATTACCCCTCGTGTGTTGGTTGTTGATATTTTGTCGGGGATATTAGATGTTAATGACATAACAGGACTTTTTGTGTTACATGCTGAACGAATCAAGGAAACATCCAATGATGCGTTTATAATAAGTTTGTTTCGTGATAAAAATGATTGGGGGTTTATCAAGGCATTCTCCGATGAGCCTGAATCTTTTACTGGGTTTACTCCTTTGGCAACAAAGTTAAAGATACTACGAGTTTCAAATGTTAGTCTTTGGCCTCGTTTCCACGTTACAGTAACCCAATCATTTCAATACCACAAGAAAAAGGAGAGTAAACGGTATGTCACCGAGATCAATACCCAAATGTCGTACAAGATGAATAAAATTCAAGCGGCGCTATTATCTTGTATACAAGCCTGTCTTGGCGAATTGAAGCGACATAACCCGACATTGGCCACCGAGTATTGGGATATGGAAAACATACACGATCCAAATTTTGTTCGTATAATTCGAATAGCGTTGGATCCTCAATGGCATAGATTGACATATACTACAAAGCAGTTGATTAATGATATTGGGATATTACTTGACTTGTTGGAGAATTTGGTGACGTTGGACTCGGTTACATTCTACCAAATTGTGAAGAACATAGTGGATGTAAATTTGAAACAAAGTTTGGAAGGGATGAATCGGTCAATGAGTCCGTGGTTGAATCTCGACGAATCTCAGACGGTTATTCAATACGCAAAGGATAGAGCATTGGGGAAACACAATGGAGAGTATATTTTGGAGGAGTTACCAAAATGGAATCAATTGGGAATATTGATTGATGACATATTGCACGAAAAGGCAGTAAACGGTACTGACAATAGCGGAAGAATTCTAATCATGTGTTCCAGTAGGAAAGTCGCCAACCAATTAAATCGGATTTTGTCAACTATGAAGGAAAAGAAGCTGGGAAGTAGGACACACTTCTCATCTCGGTCATATATGATGAACAGGCTTCGTGATTATCTACAGTATAAAAAAATTAGTTCATTAGTGAAGAAAATTTCAAACGAATTAGAACATGCAAATGAAGGAAATGAAGGTGCTTCTGCGGATTCAGAAATAACCGTGTCCAAGACATTTTCTCGAAACGGGCAACCAGTAAGTAAGAGACGGCGAACCAGGGGTGCAAGTGTGGTTGCGCGAGTGCATCAGTTACATACAGGAAGTCACGATGGTGAAAACGAAAATGACGAAGAGCGAGAGAATTCTAGTATAGTAGACTTGTTGGCTGATGAAGATGAGGCGAATGAGGTGGAAGGTGAATTATCAGGCATGATCGACACATTTCATGAATTAAGCTTTGATTGGATCAATAGCAATGACCAAATAATAGTGCAAGTCTACAATGACAAGCATGATGCCTCATTTTTGGAAGAACTATCACCTTCGTACATCATCATGTACGAGCCAGACTTGTCATTTATTCGAAGAATTGAAATTTACCAAGCCATACAGAGTCAAAATCCAGCCAAAGTGTATTTCATGTATTATGGAAACTCAGTTGAAGAGCAAAAACACTTGTTGCGAATTAAAAAGGAGAAGGATGCATTTACAAGGTTAATTAGAGAAAAGGCAAATTTGGGCAAGCATTTTGAAACTGCTGATGACAATGTCAAATTCCAAACTCATAGATCACAAGTTGTCAATACAAGAATAGCCGGTGGAGCCAAATTCCGTACTGAGCACGATGAAATGCGAGTAGTTGTTGATGTAAGAGAATTTGGGTCTTCATTACCCAACTTGTTGTACAAGATTGGTATTCAAGTTGTTCCATGTATGATCACCGTGGGGGATTATATCGTTTCACCACAAATTTGCATCGAAAGAAAATCTATTCCTGATTTGATTGGTAGTTTTAAGAGTGGTCGTCTTTATAACCAGTGTGAACAAATGTTTAAACATTATGACTTGCCAGTATTGTTGATCGAGTTTGATGAAAACAAGTCGTTTTCATTAGAATCATTTAGTGAGTCGAAATTCATCAAGACTAAGGCCAATTTATCCAGATCAATGACTACTTCATTGGATAATCAATTGCGTCAAAATCTACAATCACAAATTTTTTCCTTACTTTATTCATTCCCTAAATTGAAAATTATCTGGTCTTCGTCACCTTATGAAACAGCACAAATCTTTCTTGAACTAAAGGCGAATCAAGATGAACCAGATGTTGGTATGGCTTTAGAGAAGGGGGTCAACAAGAGTTTAATTACCCCAAGAGGAGCAAGAGTTGATGGTGGTCCAGTAATCCTCAATGATGATCCTATTGATTTCATTAGAAATATACCGGGAATCAACAATCTGAATATCTACAAAATTGTACAACGAGTGGAAAATATTAGTGAGTTGGTTAAATTGTCACAAGATGAATTGGTCGATTTATTGGGGGCTGAAAATGGCCATAAAGCGTATAACTTTTTCAATAGAACTGTTTAGGGTACTGCAATTGATTGATATCAGTACTCTCTGTAACATTGATGTGCGATTGCTGTTGTGTTTTGGGGCGGGCACACTCTTTTGATGTGAATTATGAGTTGCAAATGTATACTAAAACGTGACTTGCTTTACTTCCACTGGTTTCTAGATGCATTCAATTTTCAAACAATCTAATTGAGTGGCCTAGTTGCTACCATGACTCAGCCGGTGTCGTATAGAGGTTAGTACAAGTCGTTGTGGCTAATGAGCAATACCGACTAAACCCAGGTTCGATTCCTGGCACCGGCAATTTAAATAATTGTATTTTTTTTTTCTTCTTGCGTTTGATATCTATCTTGTTCAAGAATAATCGCATTACTTTTAGAATGTTTGGTTAGTTTGAGTATATAGGATAAACTATCTTAGGGTGTTAGTGTGTGTATAGCTGAGGGTGTTGTCGTCGTTCTAGATTCTACTTGTGTGATATGTTTTTAGCTGTATTTTGTTGCAAAAAACGGAAAACGGGAAATTGATTTAAAATGGATCTTTGTATTGGGACATGAATGTAGCCTACAATTATTCCTTCATGTTCATTTAGCCAATCAGGACATAGCTGCTACTGTTTAGCTTCTCTGATGCTGTCAACAGTGTCAATCGTACCATATTGAAACCCCCTTAAGCTGCTTGTTTTCATTTTAGTTTAGTCTTTGTCATCAGTAATTTGATCTAAAAAACCTTAATTGGAAAACAGGTCAATGTAGAATTGTACCCCTGCAACCCACATTGAACTATAACTAGTACTTTTAATCTTCTTTCAGATGTTCTTGAGTGGAGCTCTAATTTAAGCTTTTGTAGTTTAACAAGCCGAACTTATTGCGATTAAATCTATATGGTATGATCACTATTATTTGCTAATCTGGTTGCAATAAGAAGAAAATTTGTTGGCGACCAATATATGGTAAGACTATTAGTATGAATGTCAGTATGAATGTCAGTATGAATGTCAGTGTGAATGTCAGTGTGAATGTCAGTGTTAATGTCAATGTCGTTAACCAAGTTTACATTTTGAGTTTTGTGTTGGGGAATAATTATTATGCACAGAATGTTATACTTGTGTGACTTTTAAGAATGTCGCGTACATTTTACTTTGTTATTTATCCGAGTATTTAGTTGGTACCTATTGGGTGATCCTTCTCTCTCAGAGTAAGTTCTTTATAAGACGGTAATTCGAGATATTAGAAAGCATTTCACAAAGCCACAGATGAAATCGATATAGTTCCACTAGTGTCTATCAGCAATTTCTGTGATGGTGTTACATATGTGTATTGGATAAAGAATACGCCATCACCGTAGTAAAGCTCAAAATAAGGGGCCAAAGGTTGTATCAAGAGCTTTAAGTACTGGTACATCTCCGAAAGACAAAAATATTATGTGGTGTGTGTAAAGATGATGTCTGTTTTTTTTTTTTGTTTCCGCTATTGAATATTATGCTGCAAAATGAATTAAAAAATTTCGCGCGTGTGTGTGTGAGTGGTATGTGTGGTGTGCGGTTACTTTTGTGCGTCTGTTTGTCGCACTTGACTTTTGTCACAAAGTTTACGACAGACAGACAAAATACTTGAGAAAAAAAATACAGTTATACACGAGGTCCAACTACATTCGGTTAAAGTTTACTTTCCTGCAATTGTCTTTTCTTATTGTAATTGTGTTTGTTACTGAAACCAATTACTTTAAGGAGGAGTCTAATTGTACAAGCGAAGGAGTAGAAAAAGGGGGATGTAATTGCACAAATGAGATTAAAATTAGAAAATACAATACCTTCTATAGTTCAATAAACGATCTAATTAATTCTAAGATCTGCCAATTTTAAAAACGGTGGCGAATGATATTATATAAAAAGGAATTTATCAAAGAGGATTGTAGTGAATACAACAAAACCATACAAGTAAAATAAATATAGCAATATTTAGGCTTTGTCACATTGAAAAATAAAATGGACGTGTACCTTTGTAATATTATAACTCACCCAGCTTTATTAGTGGTATTATTACTAATACAACATTATTAGTAATAATAACAACAACAACAACAACAACAACGACAACAACAACAATAATAATAATAATAATAATAATAATATTATTATTATAAATAAAAGCACGTGCATTACAATACTATAGCTTATAGTCGCTATACATCAGCGCGTTAATTTGTGTTTCTCAAGCTCAAGACAAAGTTACTACTTCTACAGTTTTATACAACAAACTAAGTAAACCAAAGCTTCCTCGATAGATACTCACCTTCTGTGTGAAGATAGTGATATCACATGCTTTACCACTTGATTGTTTGACGCTAAACTAAGCCGTTAACTTGATGAACACAAGGGTAGCTTTGTTTTGTTGAGTTTTGTTTTTCATATATGCATATCGTCTTATTAACTGATTCTGTCTTTGTAAGACTATGTCTCTGATATTGTGCTGATAAAATTATTTTCCATTGTTTCTTTGTAAAAATATTGTCTCAGAATTTATTGTTATAACTGTGAGTATTTTTATTTATAGAGTGTTTAATTGGGTTTTGTGATATCAACTATATCACTCTCTTTTGCCAGCTTTTGTACTATTATATCTTTTTTGCACTAATTTTTTTGTTTATTCATTTTTGTAAAACCTTTCGGAATTCCATTCTTAGCAATTGTTTTACTCAATCAATGACAAAAGAGAGGGAAAGCAATAATTTTTGATGATCAAATGATTAAACCTTATCAGATCAATAATACGGTATCACAATTTTCCAAGACACATCGTTACTTTCAGACATTCCCAAGGAAAAAAAGAACCTGAAAAAAAAGAGAATACGAACTAGAGTTGGGAAGAACCAGTGGACTCTCAATTGCCGTGAGAGGAAACGGCACAATCAGTATCAATCTTGTGCCTGTTTATCCTTGCAATTTTATTCCTTCTATCTACAAGGTTCAAATCAGTTCTTTTTGCGAAAAGTAGTCCAAAATACTTCAACACATACTAATCTGGCTCCACTTCATATTACATGAATGGTTAAAGTAAAGAAATTTATCATATCCCTACCACTTTGAAGAAACTTTTTCCCATCCTTTTTGCATCACTTCACATCACATAACATTGCATCACACAATCTACAAAAAAATATCAGAAATAATTGCACCACCTGTCAGTCGGATTTTTCAAAACTTGATTATCCTCCACACCTCTCCCCCCTCCTTCTTCCAAAGAGAACTACATACGAAGAAATTAACTTTTTTAATCGTCTCATCACATACATTTGTGCATATACGAATGGTTAATCCAAAAAAAAAATTATAAACCAAAACCAAAACCAAAACCTAAACCAAAACGCAAACCCCAAAAAAAAAGGTTGAAAAAAAAAAGAGTGAAAGAAACGAAATTCCACTAAGTATTAGTTCTAGTACAGACGTTGACCCGAAATTCCCTTTTCTTTCTTGTGAAACTATCCTTTTGATTTCAGTCAAAAAGACAGAATTGATTGGGAGTATCATAATAATTACTAAAAACATCAAAACTACTAAAACAACAAAGTGATCAAAAGAAAATAGCATCTTGGAAATATAATATTACAATTGACCAAGAGAGCTTTAATGATAATAAAGCCACTGTGGTTATATAATATCACGTACGATTAGAAAAGAATAATATAATATTCATGACAAGAAGTTGTTTGAAAACATGTTGCCCCATTCACAATATTCATCAGAATCAAAACAACAACATCAACTACAACATCAACCTGAACATATACTACAGTATTCTCAACCACTACAAAACTCACAATTGGAGAACCTGTCTCAACTACAGTCACAGTTACAGTCACAATCACAGTCACAATCACAAAGTCTACAAACGGAGAAGCACCAACCACCATCTAGTAATCCTACTCTAACGCAGCAACCTGTACAATTTTCTCCACAACAGCAACACCACCTAAATCAGTCGCTGCAGAACCAATTCACGAATCAACTAGCAACCAACGTCCATCCTCAACAACGACAACAACAACAACAACAACAACGACAATTGACAAATTCCTTTCGGCCGCCTAAATCAACTTCACAAACGTTTACAGCACAACAAACATTTTACCACCCGTTACAGTATCAACAGCAAATGCCACCCTCTAATAGTCAGCGCCAATCACAACCCCTGCAACAACAACAACAACAACAACCGCCGCAACAGCAACAGCAGCATCAACAACAACAGCAACAGCAGCATCAACAACAACACCAACAATACTTCCAACACATGCAGCAACCTCAAACACTGTTTTATGACACCAGCAATTACATGTACCTGGCTATTCCATTAAGCTATCAACCACGCCCACAATTGACTTTCCAGCAACAGCAACAACAACCTCTTCCACCACAACAACTACAACAGCAACCACTACCAGCACAACAACAACAACAACAACCTCTTCATCAACAAGAATACTATATCCCTACCAAAAACACATCGGCATCGGCACCGGCAGCAGCACTGATACCAGCACCATCGTCATCATCACCATCTTCTTCTTCCTCAACCCACCCAAAGGAACGTAAACTGAAAGCCGCTACCAGTCCAACTGAAACAACCCATGAATTAGTAATCTACCCAAATTTTCCAGAACGGTTGCAAAATATCCTTCCCCACCCACCATTAGCCAAAGCACCAGTTCGTCCCGATATAACAGTTTCTTCAACTGCTAAAAGAGCCAAACGTAAATCAAAATTCACCCCTGAACAAGATGATTTAATTGTAAGTTTGAAAAGAAAGGGGAAAAGTTGGGTAGAGATTGCCGAAATCACTGGCGTTGGATCTTACTTAACTGCTAGAAATAGATACCAGGTCATTGTTGGACAACAGGGCAACAACAATTCGAGTGCATGGGATAATAATGATAAGATATTTTTACGAAATTTATTAGATCCTGCTGAATTTGAAAAATGGAGATATATTGCCTCGGAATTAAATAAATCAACTGATAAGAATTTTACTGATTTTGAAGTAAGGGAAATGGTTCGGGTATTATTTTGGCTGAATCCTGCTAGTTTTGGAGTTAGTGAAGAACTGATTAAAGAAGCTTTAAAGGAAAAGAAACAAACTGATAAAACTATCGAACAAAGAGAACAACAACGTAAAAAGAAGATGAGTAATGTTATTGGAGTTAGTGGTAATAATACAGGCAGTGGTGATAGTGGTGTCAATACTCGTGGAAGTTCCACTGGAGCTGCAACTGGGAGCAGTGCTGGTGGTGGGGGACATGATACAACTGGTGCTAGCAATGCTGATCAAACGAATCATCATCAATATCACAATGAACAATCACAGAATCAACAATCTTCAAGCAACATCTACGCCAAGCCGTATTGATGAACAGAGGAAGTGATGATGATGATGATGATGATGATGATGATTTGAATTTGACCCCTTTTTTTTCTTTTTTCTTTAAGCTTGTCCAAGTCGATGGAAACTTTAGTCGAGGGTGAAAGGCATTAGTCACGCAAAGATTGAAAAGGTTTAGACGTTAATGTTTAGGTCGAATCAAGGCACATGCACGTTAGTTTGATGCACCAGTGTCATGTTTTTTTGAAAATGATGGAGAATTGAGGTCAAGACCCAACAACTTTGACCAAAAAAAAAGGTGAACTAAGGGGGTGGTTGCCCATCAAAGGAGAAAGAGTATAAGTCATACTCCAAGATTGACACCAAGTGGTGTCCAATATGATTTACAACATTTTCAAAATGCAAGTCATTCATTTTTAAAACAATTATGATTTATCTTATGTATCTTATGTAAAATTATTTCATTAAAACGACATATTCAAATGCAAAATGTATCAACCATCCTATGCTGCAGTTGTTGCATTTTTCAACTTTTTTTCAACAACATCAATCTTATCTTGAGGCGATTGATGCTTGTCAGTTCTAGTGCCGACTCTAATGTCACTCTGAATTCGAACAACACCTCGTTCATGCAATACTTGATGCATAGATCCAATCAAATCCATCACTTCGTTCCAAGGACCAGCAATTGTCGTGCCTGCTGAATGTAAAGTGGTGTGCAAGGAGGATTCTTGAGCTAGTTTGGTGATTATTGTTACTTCATCGGAAACTGATGCTGAATTGGTGCCAATCTAAAGAAAAACATATGACAGTTAGTATGAAGAGAGCTTGTGCAACTAGGACTGATGAGAATCATTAATGCATACTGGTATGAGACAGACGTCTGCTAAGCAATGGAGGGTGACTGTCATTACAATTGAGGATTGATGATGTTTCTGATTTCTCCACAATGGGGTAGTGGTAAGATCTCCAATATGTAGAACAGTCTTTGCGATTTTTTTTTGTGTGAGGAGGGGGAAGATTTCTTGTTGTTTGGTGACGTAATTTTTTTTTTTTTAGATCGCCTCACAGGTCAAAGAACCCCATGAAAGAAACTGTTTTCATAAAACAGGACAAAGTCAATTTTGAAACCAACTCATACCAACAGAAGCTCGTTAGAGATATCAGCTTCCTTGTATAATCTACACGCCACTTTCCTACTCTCCTTTCCCCCACCATTATGACAATTACTCCTTGGAAAGTCAATACTGAAAAGAATCAAGAATTGGTTGAATTTGCCAAACAATCACTCAATCATGCACCCCATGACGATGAGAATTACCAGCGTATGATATCAGGAATGCTGTACAATCCAGCCGATCAACAATTAACCCATGTTCGAATGAAGGCAAGAGATTATTTACTAGATTATGGTAAATTTCGATATCGCGATTACAATTCAGCTGATGAATTTGCTGATGCTAAACAACAATATCTTTCCCAATTTATTGGTAATGTTGGACCTGGTACGTTTATGGAGTATCCCATATTTTTCGATTATGGATTCAACACTTATTTGGGCAAGAATTTCTATAGTAATTTCAATTTGACAATCTTGGATTGTTCTATAGTCAAAATTGGTGATAATGTCATGTGTGGAACAAATGTGTCTATCTTGACACCAGGTCACCCCGTTGATCCCAATTTGCGTGTTATCGGAGGAGGCGGTGGTGGCGATAGCGAACAAGAGCAAGAGCAAGAACAAGTTTTGGAAAATGCATTTCCTGTGACAATTGGTGATAATTGTTGGCTTTGTGGAGGGTGTACGATCATTGGTGGGGTTACTATTGGAGAAGGGTGTGTTATTGGTGCTGGAAGTGTTGTTACTAAAGATGTTCCCGCTAACTCGTTGGTTATGGGTGTTCCTGCTAAAGTTGTGAAAACAATGGATCCGAAGGATAAGTCTGTCGACATAAGACAGTTGATGAAGGAGTATAAGGTTGAAGAGTATGAAACTGTATCGTACAACATCAATTGATATATACAACCCGTGGAAACGATTAAAGTATATATCTGATACTTTTATACTGATATAGATGGCGAGTACACTATACTACCTGCATATTGGAGTGAGCTTAACAGAAAAGTAAGATACTCTTTTTGAGCAATTGTACACTACCTTCTTTTGCTCTTTTTTTTTTTGCCATTGATATTTGTAATTACTGTACAATGGTAATATGTGTTGGAACTTTCTTTTCCGTCAAGTTCATTTTTTATTTTTTTACAACCAAACCACAATTACAAATCATTTGCTTCCTTGTAGCAGAAAGAGGACATCAAACATCTGCCTGTATTGGATACTAAGAGGGAGAGAGACAGATATTCCATAGAGAGACACAATTATTTCACACACACACTGATCTTAGTCAAATATGTCTGATAATATGCAAATAGATTCACCATTACAAGAGATTGATGAAGGTTTATATTCACGTCAATTGTACGTGTTGGGCAAAGAGGCAATGCTCAAGATGCAGAATGCCAATGTATTGGTTATCGGACTCAATGGATTAGGAGTTGAAATTGCCAAAAACATTGCTCTTGCTGGTGTCAAGTCATTAAGTTTGTACGATCCAAATCCAGTGCAAATTCAAGACTTATCAACTCAATTCTTTCTTTCTGAATCAGATATCGGCCAGCCAAGAGATCAAGTAAGTGCTGTTAAATTACGTGAATTGAATGCATATGTTCCGATTAGTGTTGTTGACAATATCAAGGAGGAAACATTGTTGAAATTCAAATGTATTGTTACAACCAATATATCTTTGGAAGAACAAATTATAATCAACCAAATAACCCATGCTAATGATATTGGGTATATAAATGCCGATGTTCGTGGATTATTTGGGCAAATTTTTGTTGATTTTGGAGACAAGTTTACTATTGTTGACCAAACTGGTGAAGAACCTTTATCAGGAATTGTATCTGATATTGAGAAGAATGGTACTGTAACAATGTTGGATGAGAATAGACATGGACTTGAGGATGGCAACTTTGTCAAGTTTTCCGAAGTGGAAGGATTACCTGGTTTAAATGAAGGTATATACAAGGTTGAAGTATTGGGACCTTATGCATTCAAAATCAAAATGGATGGAATTGAAGGCGAATATAAAAAAGGTGGTCTTTACACTCAGGTCAAAGTACCAAAGGATGTCAAATTTGAACCATTGCTTGAACAATTGAAAAACCCCGAGTTTTTAATTTCTGATTTTGCCAAATTTGATAAACCTGCACAATTGCACATTGGTTTCCAAGCTTTACATGCATTCAAGACAAAGAGACAAAGGTTACCAAGGCCTTATAATGTTGAGGATGCCAATGAAGCATTTGCATATACTGAGCAATTGGCAAAACAAAACAATGTTGAAGATATTGACGAATCGTATTTGAAAGAATTATTTTACCAAGCTCAAGGGGATATTCCAGGAATGGTGGCATTCTATGGTGGTTTGATTGCTCAAGAAGTGTTGAAATGTTGTTCATCCAAGTTCACCCCGATCAAGCAATGGCTATATTTCGATTCATTGGAGTCGTTACCCGGAAAAGAAGAGTATCCCCGTAATGAGGAAAACAATAAACCTATTGGGTCGAGATATGATGGTCAAATCGCCGTGTTTGGTAAAAAATTCCAAGACAAGATTGCCAACTTGAAAATTTTCCTCGTTGGTGCTGGTGCCATTGGTTGTGAAATGTTGAAAAATTGGGCAATGATGGGATTAGGTTCAGGACCTGATGGTAAAATATTCATCACTGACAACGACTCTATTGAAAAATCCAACTTGAATCGTCAATTCTTGTTTAGACCTAAGGATGTTGGTAAAAACAAGTCTGACGTTGCTGCACAAGCAGTACAGGCCATGAATCCAGCATTGAAGGGTAAAATAGAATCAAGATTAGATAAAGTGGGACCGGAAACACAAAATATTTTTGATGATGCATTTTGGAGCAATTTGGATTTGGTCACCAATGCATTGGATAATATCGAGGCAAGAACATACGTGGACAGTCGTTGTGTATTTTTCCAAAAGCCCTTATTGGAATCAGGAACCTTGGGAACCAAGGGTAACACCCAAGTTGTGGTGCCATTCTTGACTGAATCTTACTCATCATCACATGATCCACCAGAGAAGTCAATCCCCTTATGTACCTTGCGTTCATTCCCAAGTAAGATTGACCACACTATTGCTTGGGCTAAATCATTATTTCAAGGCTACTTTGTTGACTCTCCAGAAAGTGTCAATTTGTACTTGAGTCAACCAAATTATGTTGAGCTGTCCTTGAAACAAAATCCAGACAAGAAGGGAACATTGGAGAACATCTCCAAGTACTTGAATGAACGCCCATATAGCTTTGAAGATTGTATCAAATGGGCAAGATTGGAGTTTGAAACCAAGTTTAATCATGAAATTAAACAATTGTTGTACAATTTCCCCCACGATGCCAAAACTTCAACTGGAGAACCATTCTGGTCTGGACCAAAGCGTGCTCCTACTCCTTTAAAATTCGATGTGAACAACAAGGACCATTTGGATTTTATTATTGGTGGCGCTAATTTATTGGCGTACATTTATGGCTTGAAGGAACAAAATGACATTGATATTAAGGTGTTGGAAAAGATTGAAATTCCTGAATTTCAACCAAAATCAGGTGTCAAGATTGCTGCAACCGATGCTGAAGCTGAAGAACAAGCAAATAACTTATCCTCATCTGCTGACGATGAAGAAGTGAGGAAAATTGCTGCATCTTTACCTGAACCAAGCACTTTAGCTGGCTACAGGTTGAGTCCAATTGAATTTGAAAAAGATGATGATACCAACCACCACATAGAATTCATCACTGCTGCTTCAAATTGTAGAGCGTTGAACTATGGTATTGAAACTGCTGATGCTCACAAGACTAAATTCATTGCGGGTAAGATTATCCCAGCAATTGCAACCACCACTGCCTTGGTCACTGGATTGGTGTGCCTTGAACTATACAAGGTTGTGGACAAGAAGGATGATATCGAACAATACAAGAATGGATTCATCAATTTGGCATTACCATTTATTGGATTTTCTGAACCCATCAAGTCGGCAAGTGGTAAATATGGAGCTAAGGAATACGATCAAGTTTGGGATCAAATTATAATTGATAGAGATTTGACATTACAAGAGTTGATTGACAAGTTTGCCAATGAAGATAAATTGGAGATTTCGATATTGTCATATGATGTTGTGGTATTGTATGCTTCATTTTTCCCACCTAAAAAGAAGCAAGAAAGATTGAATTTGCCCATTTCTCAAGTGATTAAATTGGTCACAAAGAAGGATATTCCCGCTCATGTACATTACTTGGTGTTGCAAGCATGTTGTGAAGATGAAGAAGGTGAGGATGTAGATGTTCCACCAATTACTATCAAGTACAAATAGATTTCAACATTAGTTAATATATATAAAAAAAAAAACGAGGTGGTATTTAGTTTGTTAGTTATACAATTGTTCCATTTTCCAAAGTGTACATTTTATCAACCATATTCATCATTTCTTGATCATGAGTGATGCAAAGAATGGTGTACTTATTCTTTAAACTCAATATCAAATCCACAATCAATCTTGCGTTTGTGGGGTCCAAGTTGGAGGTGCATTCATCGAATATCAAAATCTTGGGCCGTCTAATCAATGCTCGAACTATGGATAATCTCTGTAATTGACCTCCTGACAACAATGTATTGTTTCCTTCACCAACTCTTGTGTGTAACCCTTCTGGCAATGACATTACAAAGTCATACACGCCACATATTCGAAGATGATGTTTCAACTCTTTGAAATTGACTTGCCGGGTGGGACTGATTCCATACACAAGATTTTCCAATATTGAACCTTCAAAAAATTTGGGGAGTTGTGGCACAATACTAATCGTCTCTCTTAACCAATCGATATTCACCGTTGATATGTCCTGTTTGTAAATGGAGATGGAGTTTGAATTTGAATCAACAAGACGTAGTATGAGCAATGAAATTGTTGATTTTCCTGACCCTGATTTACCCACGAGTCCAACCAATTGATTCTTGAAAATTTTAAATGACACATTGCAAAGAACATAATTGTCGTCGTACTTGAAACTAGTGTTGTTGAAACTGATTACTTCGTCATTGGGCCGAGGCATATCATATCCATCGTTCTCGATTTTAGCCAATGGCGTCAGCTCAAGTAACTTGACAATATATGTTCCCGCTCGCTGACCTCTGGTCACTTCAGGTAGGGAATGTATCAAACTGGCTGCATTGGCCAAAGTGAAGGTTAACAAAGTCACCACTTGCAACAATCGTTCATGACTATACTCAGATTTCCCCGTCAACTCCATACCGTAATACAATATAACTCCAGTAGCAATTGCTGCAATTAAATCATTCAAAGCATATCCAATACCAGTTTGAATTGCACGAAAATTACCATCCTTGTTCACTTTGCTCAAGCACTGCTTAAACTTGTCGTCAAAGTATCGATTCATGGCAAACAATTTGATAGTCTTGATGGAACTCACCGTTTGATGAACATGGGTCTCTAGTATAACCACACTGGATTTGTATTTGTTCTCAGCCGATTGTAATACAATACTAAATGCGGCGGTAATTAACAAGATCAATGGAACAAATGAAAGCCCCACAAGGGCTAATTTCCAACCAGCAATAATTGACCATATAATTCCAACAAGTACCATAGCCACCAAATTGACAATCACTGACAAAAAAGTGCTCACCAAATTTCTCAAGTCACGTGCATCATTCATCAACAAAGTGGTTACTTCGGCTGTCTTCATCTCCTTGAAAAAGGACATGTCTTGTCCATTGATCCTTTCAAACGCAAGTTTCCTCAACATCACAATCCATCGTTCACTGGCGTACGACAATAAAAATTTGGAACCGTAGGCTGAAATTCCGATAAATGAAGCAATTCCAATGGATATACCGGACCACTGAATAATTTGTCTGGTCATGTTTCCACCAATGGATGCCTCAACCGTGGTGGAAAGCAATTTTGCAAAGCAATAGGAAAACACCGGGGATGCACCACCTTCCAAGATGGAAATCAAGATACCGATGATAATGATAGTCTTTGCATCAATTGTGCTACTGCAATACTTTAAAATTGCAAAAGTTCCCATAAGTGACTCTTTTTTCACCAATTCCTCAACAGTCTCCACTGTCAATACTCTCTCTGTGATATAATCATGCTTCTCGGCGTCTTTTTGCAATGTGACATCTCCATCCTGTAAATTGACAAATTCTTTAAACAAAGACTGTTGTTTCACAACCAGTCCATGTGCCATCATAATGACATTGTCGTGTGGCTCAATATTTCTGTAATCATGTGTTATCGAAATTGTGGTCCTGCCTCTTCTCCAGGCTCGCACACGTGCAAGTAAAACCTCCTTAGTTTGATAATCTAGTGCACTGAATGCTTCATCAAGAATTAATACTGGAGGATTCTTTAACCTTGCTCTTGCAATAGCCAATCTTTGTTGCTGACCTCCAGATAGCGACAATGGGGTAATCTTTGTTTCCAAATCCAAATCCAATAATGCGAAATTAGCCGCTTCGTAAATCCAATCAATTGGAACAGTTTCAATGGAGTCATAATTGTCAATTACCGCAAGGGCGATATTCTCTCGTATCGTGCCATTGAAAATGACGGGAGTCTGTTGAAGTAAAACCAAATTTTGCAGTATCCAGCATGAGTCAAGTAAGTCAATGTCAAGCCCATCAATTTTAAGTGTCCCGCTATTCCTCTCATACAATTTCATCAAAAGAAGAGGTAAAGTTGACTTGCCAGCACCTGACAGACCAATAACAAAATTCATCTTCCCCGCTTCAATTGTAAACGAAGTATTTTTCAATACCAATTCTTCTCTAGCGGGGTAGCTAAAGCAAACATTATCAAACACAATCTCTCCACTACACCCCATTGGATACTTTATCGTGTTTGTTTTATATTCCTGATCTTCATTCAATGTTTGCAAATAAGATGCTATTCTACTAGCGGCAGCATGAGCAGTATTAATTATTGCCATCAACTGACTAATCTTGGATATAGATTGTCCCAACATCAAGCACGAACTAAAACATGTAAACAATTGGTTAACAGTGATGCTATCCCTCATCAACAAGTAATTACCGAACCAAAATCCTTGCACAAACATCATTAATGTGAGAAATTTCAATGTCCCTGAATTTGCCGCAATAGCATTGGCCACTCTATAGTATGCTTTAGCTGAATCATTGATAAACCTGTTAAATTTCACCATTTCAACATATTTCCCATTAAACACTCTGACTGTCATTGGTGAAGTAAGACACCAATCCAAAATTTTACTTGCATTTGAGCTGTGATTATTCTCTTGCTCCTGAGCACGATAAGTAATACTTCCAAAATACCAAGCACAAATAGCCATCACGGGAGCTGATGCCATGATAATCAAGGTAATGGCCCATGATTGATAAAATGACACGATGATCAAACTGATAATCAACGCAACTGTTTGTACGGTTTCAGCCATGATTTCAGCATTTCCTGAACGTAATTCCTCAATGCATCGATTAACTTGAGCTAGCTCTCCCATTATATTTGGGTTTTGATCATACCACTTGGCATCCTGTTTCAACAAATTGTCGTATGTTGCCAGCCTTGCACGCAGTTGTTGCACTTCTCCAAATTTCAACCACAATGACATTCCCAACCATACAGTAATCATTTTCCCCAAACCTACTGCCATCAATATACCACATAGTTTTAAACAATGATGAATAAATACATCGTACGATGTGAACTTACCAAGATAGTAGTTGGACAATGCACCAATGATATCACCATAAATGATAGTTGAAATTGGTGTGCTGACAGCTGATATTGCCATAAAAGTTGAACCCAACAATAGAATCAACCAGTCTTGTTTCAACTTTAAAAACATGAAAACATTTCCCTTTGTAGTGATTGGAACATCAACCTCAGTAATCTCTGACTTTTCATTCATCATAATCAGTGTAGACATCTCTGTAGGGAGGCAGACAGGCAGGCAGGCAGGCAGGCAGGTAGGCAGGTAGGTAGATCTTGAGCAATCGATCATAACTGATTTCAAATTTGCAACATCTTCGTTTTATATATGTGAATTAGTGCAGAATGTATCTAGCCCATTCAGCCAAAGTTTCATCTTTCCCAATCGGACACCATGTCTTCAAACCACTTCTATTGCTTGTTTAGTCGATTGACTGTACTGAGTTATGCTAAGTTTGTGTGAATGTTAAAAACTTTGGTTGTAAAAAAAATATCACCAAATTGTGTGTTTTAGGTGAAACAAAGTTTACTCAATTAGGATTTGGCAATTGCACACACATACAAAAGAGCATGGTGTACGAGTTATAAGTTGATCAATGTTTCATGTGAGAGGCTAAGGCTAACTGATAAAGAAGACAACGAGATTGAAACTAACAAATCCATACTCATAGCAATTCAACACATAACAACAAAGAATAACATGCATTCTTCAACTATATATTTCAATTTATTAAAAAAGATAAAATCACTCACATAACAAAAAAGCAGGGGAAAACATTTCCATCATATCATCATCATCATAACAATCATCATCAATATTCATTTAAATTCATTTCATTTCGTAAAAATAGGCTTTTCCCTCTCTCTCACTCACTCCGTCCCCTTAATGTAAGATTGGAATAGCTTTGAAATCAACATCAACCATGGCAGAATCATTGGTACAAGTGACATCCAATTGCAATTTCCAATGTCTATCATACAAATCCTCTTCTTCTTTACTAAAACCATGATCAGTTTCATCTTTAAAAGTCCAAGACAATTTATCAAACGATTCAGTCATTTCCCCCTTGTCAAAATTCAATTCATAACCACAACACTTTTGCAAATCTTTAATCAAATGTTTTTGAATGTGGTGTTGCAAGTTACGCTTAAACTTTTTCGAATTCTTATTTGTAGTTGGTTTAATCTTTTCAACATCATCATGGCATTCCTTCATGACAAATGGTGGATAGTAATGTAATCTACCATGGAAATAATCAAACTCATTATCCCAAGTTTCATCACGAACAAACGCTTCAAATTGTTCCAATTCATCAAATTCACGAATAGTGGGTGGAACCAAAACTTGCTTCACAACACCTGGCTCTTCAACTGATTCAACTGAAGTGATTGATGATGATCTAGCTTTAGGAACAGCCTGCAAATGTTCCAATGGTTTAATATTATCTAAATCTAATGGAACAGCATCAGACTTGTTCTTTTTCTTTTGTGCCCCCATGATTTGTGGTTGTTGTAGTTGTTGTTAAAAAACCTAGTAAGGGTAAAGTTAAGATCGTACTATTGTGACGACTAAAAATGTGTGTGCGTGTGCGTGTGCGTGTGTGTGTGTAGGTATATAGCGCAAAAAAGACAAATCAATCAAAGAAAAATTTGGCTTTGGTTTTGGTTTTGCGTTATTCGGAGTTTCTGAGTGTTAGCACAAAGTAAGGAACTGATAAGCAGCAATAGTTGTAGTTATAGTAGTACTTGTAGTTGTGTGTGATTGTGTTGATACCAACAGTAGGTTAGAAAAGAAGAAGAAGAAGAAGAAAAGAGAAAAAGAAAGAGAAAGAGAAAGAGAAAGTAGATTGAGCGGTTGATAAAAGAGGTGGAGATTTGAAGCAATATTTATATTGTAGGAAATTAGATAGGGGGTGAATATATGTATGTATGGTGTGTATGTATGTATGTGTTGTGTTGTTGAATTTTTTGCTGTTTTAGTTGTGTGGTGAGAGGAGAGGAGTAAAGATGGAAGAAAAAGTGTACACACACACACACACCATACACACCATACACACCATACACACCATACGTACACGTGATGTGCAGTGTTTTTGATTGGCTAAACACCAAGCTTTAAAGCTCACTAAAACACTAAAGAAGTAGAGAGAGAGGGGAATAAAAAAAGCAAAAGAACGGAGAGGAAGAAGGGGGGGGGAAAGAAAGGGGAGGGAGGGAGTAGTGTAATCCGATAATAAACACCACTACTACTCACGTATAAAAGTCGTGTGAGTTGGCGCATAAACAATTGTGTGGCATCATCCTCTTAACTATTATTGTGTATAATGCTGTTGTTTTGCTTTTTGTGATTTGTGGGGAGATTTTTTTTTTCTTTGTCTTTGTCTTTGTCTTTGTCTTCTTCTTCTTCTTTGTCTTCTTCTTCTTCTTTGTCTTCTTCTTTTATTGTTTCTTATACTCTTTTTGTGTTTCACCTTATTTTAAGACAACACATGACCTCACACCACTCTCTTCCGTTTTTCTTATAGAGATCACCCACATGTGTTTCTTTTATACATACATATGTGTGTTATGTGTATGTGTGTTATGTGTATGTGTGGTATGACAATTTCGGATTACCTATGCGTCTCTGTTCGTCTAGGAGCTTTACGGAAAGCAATGATGAGGATAGGTACGGATTTTGTGTTTGAGTCAACATCAAAATCAAAAGACTCACACACTCACCCACTCTCTCGTTCCCCTCCTTCTTTTTACAATTTCTTGAAAAACGTTTGTTTCAGTTGTACCTCCTCCCCCCTCTCCCCCCCCTTGAAGAAAAAATAGCAGAATAAAATGAGAGTAGCAACAGTACTATAGAGTGGTTGAAGTGGTGGGGCTAACCATCAAGGGCAGCGGTGCAATAGCTGCACTTGCACACGAGGAGTAGGATTTGAGCATAAAGAGGGGGGGGGTGACGCTTTGGTGGGTAGAGCTAATAGTTTACCCTAAAAGCTGCAATATAATAAACTCAATGGAGTTAACAATTGCCACATAGAAACGGCTCGAAGGAGGAAAAAGATAAGGCTGACTGTAAGTTACGCGGACGGATATATATGGATGAGACATGATAGACTCTTTCTTAATTGCAATTCCTCATATTTCCTCATTAGTGTATACCTTGGCTTTATCTCTAAAGAGATGACACTTTTGAGGCTCATCAGTTACCACAGTGTAGTTTCCTCTACTTAGTATTTAGATCACCTGTTAAAACACACACCCCATTTTGTTGCGCACCAGCTTTTGTGTGCGCAAAACAAACTAAAATACCAACAACCATAACAAATCAATCAAAACTTCACCACCAAAAATACCTTTACCATGGCTACCAAAAACAGGAAAGCTCCTAAGCCCAAACCTCTGTATAAAGGAAGATGACTTGAATAAGACATTAGCTTTTTTTTGTAAAGAACACACAAGAACGCCACACTGGTGGACATGTAGCCCAAATACGGCGTGCCTCCCCCCCCCTCTCCTACCACGATTAGGCACTGACAAGAGAGTGGTGTATCGATTAAAGAAGCTCATAAATAGTTTTACAAGTTTAGTGAAGAAGAAGAGGAGGAGGTGACCGTGCAACATCTTGCAGGCAATGGACACACTACATGAAGGATTGACAATACCACAATTTAACGAGTTTGTTCAAGGTATGATGAAGGCACAAAAACGAAACCAATGTATTTAGCAATCGATTGGTACGTACACTTTTCGGAACGTCATAGAGACAAAGTTAGTTTATGCAATGGGAAACCCCTATAAGGAGTTACAACGCAGTGGCTCGGGAAGCAATTGAGACATTTTTCATGGATTTTCAGGTAAAGGTAACTTTGAACAAGGTAAAACCAGAAAATATTTGTAATTGTGATGAGACAGGTGAACAACAATCGAATCAAATAGGAAAGATGAAAGTCTTTGCAAGCGCCAACAATGAAACCTGAAACCCCACCACGTTTGCGTCCGGTCTCTGGCTCACTGCGTCAACTAATCACTGTTTTGGAGACAATTTCCGCTACTGGTGAAAATCCCTGAATAACCCTAAATAGCCCATGTCAGTCTTCAAAAGCGTAGAGCTAGCTCACAGAAACAAATGGCATTAATGAGAATGCAGGTTACACCTATACCTACACTCTCAACTAACATGCAAAATTAATCACTTGATCGGTATTTCAAATTTGCGTCGAAAAGGGTGTTGGTGTTTTTGCCATTTACGAAACCCACAAATTCAACAAAGTACAGAATTTTAATTCTTGACAACGATACAACTTATTCAAACAATGAAATAAAAATAATGATGAAAGGGTCCAGAGTACATGTTTGCTTCTTGCCGCCGCATTCATCCCTTTTGTTGCAGCCTTTGGATATATCGGTTTTCAAACCTGTTAAAGATATTATATAAGCTCCCTTGTCAAAAACTATTTACATGAAGAATGGAGCTGATGTAGTCACCAATGTAGTTTCCAATGTAGTCACCAATGATAAATTCATCATTGGACTCTAGACAATCGCCCGCAACAAAGAGTTGACAAAGCAAAAATATACTAATTGGCTTTAGAATCGCTGGTTTGTTCCCAATAGATAAAACAAAAAGTTTGGCAAAATGCAAAGCTAAAGCAAAAAAAATTAAAATTTCGTTAAAAAAAAGCACAAGGGTATAATAGGAGGCATTATCAAAAGATGTGGACAATGAGAATATTCATTCTATCGGACGTCGATGTTTTAAGACTGGGGTGTAAACGGAGTAATTACTGTATCCTCTACTTTTGTCTATGTAATAAAACATGCCCGAAGAGAAGTTCACTCTCTAAATCACATACAAATCACCTCTTCTGGTAAACAATGCATCACCACCAATCAGCTGTTGTTGTACTTGATCTTTACCTTCGTCTCTCTTGGGGAACCCGTCAAATGTCTTGGCAAATGTAGCCACAGAATGGGCAATCAATTTAGTATTCAACCCCCATGCTTCATAACTAGGATTCGACAAATCATCACACAATTGATGATAACATGGATCAAATGCTTTGCCCAAATCACCACCAAATTTACGCTTGGCTTCTTTATCTTTCAATTTCTCAGCTCCTGTAGCAATACCACCTGCTGGTATTCCTTGTTCAATAAAACCAACATAATCTGATCTACCATCAAATGGAACCAATGTATAATTCAACCCATGAGCGGTATACCAATCAATATATAAATCACGCAAGTTTCCAGATCCATTGGGGTGGTCTTTGTTATTGGCATCATAAACTTCATATTCATAATTTGGTGAAGCCATCATATCATAATCCATAAACAATCTCAATTTTTTATTGTCCAGTTTGGACAAATGGCTAGCATAATAATTTGAACCTAATAATCCTTCTTCTTCAGCTGCCCACCAAGCAAATCTAACAGCATTGTTGATCTTGTACTTTGTCAATTGTTGAGCAACCTCCAATAATGATATGGTTCCAGATCCATCATCATTGAATCCTGGTCCGGCTCCCACTGAATCTGAGTGTGCTCCCAATGAAACAATGTTATCATGGTCACCAAACACAGAATCAGCAACAACGTTAATAGTGGAAATGTTTTTAACATATGAATCAACATACAATGTGGTTTCAAACTTGTGATTAGGATTAACCTTCAACTTCTTGATGTATTCATCAACATCCTTTTCATCGACAGCAACCGTGGCAACTTCTTCGCCATTAGGCGTACCCAATGTACCTGCAACAGCACCTTGCGAATCATAAATGATTGCACCTTTTGCTCCCAACTTACCAGCATTTCTGGACTTGTCACCAAATGAACATTCACCTCGCTTTATCAAAACAATATTGTCCTTGGTCAAGTGGGGATAATCATGTAACGAACATCCATTCAGCTCAACCAATACCAAATTCCCATGTACTGGACGCTTATCAGTTGTTGGTGGAGTCAAAGCCAATGGTTTCAAGCTCTTTGGTTGAACACCATCAATCAACAATGAATAATCCTCAATATGACCATCAATGGCATTAAAACTTTGCGTCTTGATAGTGTAGTATCCACCAAGTTTCTTCAACTCAGAAATAATGTATCTTATGGTGGCCCAATGTCCAGGTGAACCAATGACTCTAGTTGGGTGACCATATTTTTTAGTGGAATAATTGGCAATTTTGAACAATGATTCAGCACGTTTTCTCAAATTCAGCTCTTTGATACTTGCTTGTAACAATTCTGAGTCAATCTCTGGTAATTTCAGATAAACTGACTCATCAATTATGTCATTGATGGTGATCGACTCGGATTCCTCGTATTGTTGTAACAAATCCTCCTTCTCCACACCCTCTTGTGGTTCAACATCAACCAGTTGAATTTCAAATTGGACTCCTTCATTTCCCTCATTAGATTGTGAATTGACAAAAATTGCTTGATTATTCTGATCTTGTTGACCTAATGGAACAACATCTTGCCAAAACTTTAAAGTTGGGAACGCATCAACAACCGTTGTTGATGCAACTGCAATTGATAATAATATTGAATACTTCATTGTGTCAACTTGCCTGCTAGCAACTACTTTTAAAATCTAATTAAGCGAATGTCGTGAAGCAATTGCTGTTTCGAAAGCTAGTAAAACCGTGTTGAATTAAAAGTGTGGTTGCCACTTTCACGTTATCAAACAAGAGAAAATTAATTACTCACTCACATTTTATCAGACAACCAGCAAACGGAAAAAACAAAAATTACACAAAAAAAAAAAAAAAACATCGTTTTCAGCATATCAAAAAAACAAAGACAAAGATCTCAGTTAGATCTCTACACCAATGCAAGACTCTCCAAGAGACAGTAATTGTCATCTATAAACCTATCCGTACCTATATGTCTCTTACCTTCAACGGGTTTTCTTTTTAGTCTTTTTATTCTTTTTAATCTTGACCTTATGGTGGGTTCCAAATGGATTCCCACCACCACCACCACTTCCGAAACCGCCCATTCCACCAAAGAATTGTTGGAAAAAATCACCCCCACCAAAACCACCTCCACCCCCATTGCCAAAATTAAACGAAAATTGCTGTCCACCATTGGACCCACGATATTGTGGTTGCGCACCACCACCACCACCACCACCACCGCTCATTGGATCATTAGGATCATCACCACGATCATAACGTTCTCGCAACTCAGGGTCAGACAACACTTCGTATGCTTTGTTGATCTCTTGCATCTTATGCTCAATCTGTTCTGGAGTCAAATCAGCGCCTTTATACTTATCGGGATGATACTTTAAAGTTTGTGCTTTATATGCTTTTCTGATAGTCTTATCATCCGCATCTTTTCCAATATCTAATATCTTGTAATAATCAGTCTTTGGTTTACTCTGAGGTTGTCTAAATTGTTGGTATTGCTGTCTTTGTTGTTGTTGTTGTTGTTGTTGTTGTTGTTGTTGCCTTTGTTGTTGCTGTTTGTAAAATTTTTGTTGTTGCTGTTGCTGCTGCCTTTGCCTCTCTTGATTGATTCTTGCCTGATACTCCTCAATAGGTCTCAATTTATCCTTAAACAATTTTGTATTCCTCACATACCCATTGAATCCCAGCAATTTCCTTTCTGCACCTTGAAAGTCCTTTTTCTTCAATAGTTGGTCAATCTCAGGTACTGCAAGAGGGAAAAATTCTTTATCCTTGACATCCTTACACACTGACTTGCCATTTTTATAATCACCAATTTGAATAAAAGATTCACATGCCAATTTTGTCAAGTCTGTATCAAACAACAATTCACCATTGGACAATCCAAATTCCTTCACCCTCGCAATCAAGTACTCATAATTCGTCTTTACTTTTGAAGACTTCTTTTGTTCAGCTCTGGATAATTTAACATCTTCGTGAAACAAAAAGTCATTGATCTGTTTAAAATTCAAGTCAGTGAGTTCTTTATCGAAATTGCTTTGGTGCTCCACCTCTAATTCAGGGTAGATGTGACCATTGTTTATCGAATAACTCTCCAAGTCCAGTAAGAAACCTGAGTATTTGGAGTAAAATTTTGCCAAGTCACCACATGGCTTAAAGTCATTGTCAATTCTGAGACAATTCTTGACAACCTTGAACGCTTGATCAAACTGAACTTCAATAAAAAGATAAAACTCTGATAGTAGTGCATAGTACTGAAGATTCTTGACCGGATTTATTTTGATTAGTTTCAGTAGTAGTGAAATAATTGCCTTGTTAATGCTCACGCCTGATTCATCTAAATAAACAATCTTCTGTAAAGAGTCCCTTTTGAACAACTCCAAACATGCTTTCAAATAAAGCTCGAACACTTCGTAGTTATTATTACTCACTAGCGCAACTTCATTGAGCTCTTGCACACATTCCTCAAATTTCTTTTCTCGAAAGTGACTTTCTGCCAATGCCCAATGATGCTGAAACACCTTGATTGCTTCCCAAGCAGGTGAATCACTAGATATGCTGGCATCTCTCAAGTATTGCTCCAAATTATTAAAATCCCCCCTTGCCACCAAGATTTCCACCAACTTGTTCTCTGCTGGCTTCATTAAAGGATCCAACTTCAAAACGTCTTGTAAATCTACTATGGCCAACGCTTCCTTCTTGAGACTAATTTCAATCAAAGCACGTTTGAAAAGTAGTTGTGTCAAAGATTTGTTTAATTCATTGTGTCCTGAATCAACAGCTTCGCTCAACAGATATGATCGCACGTCATTTATTACGTGATCAAAGTGTTGAAGTACCACTGGTGTTGGTCCCTCTTTAGAAAAGAGTATTTCAGCATCCTCGATTTTACCAGTAACATCAGTGGGCGATCCGACAACCAATCCCGGGTGGTCGAAAACGGCAAGGCATATAAGTAGATGTCGTATCGGTACCCTCATCAATGATGGAAATTGTAACAATGGAGTTGTAGTGGGTCTTGATCTTGATTTGGAATAGTAATTGGTGTGAAAAATAACAACGCATACAAAACGGCTATTTTTTTTTTCTAGAACTGCATAGAAGAGATTTCAGAGTTTTGTGGTACTTGCAACAATCTTTTCTATTGCACGACTCAGTTGGGTCATATATATATATATATATATTACTTATTGAGGTTCTACACCAACAAACTTTCCTCCTCAAATGCAACGTCACCAAACTCCCAGCACCCTTTATGACGAGATTTGGCTGATTTTTGCACCTCCAACAACTCTTCAACGTATTTCTTTACTGCAGGGTTAACAATCTTGGGATCAACAATGGCCCATCCTTGACTCACCAATTCTTTATTGATAGTATATGTGTCGTCTTTTAAACTCTCTTCGGCATCATAAAGAATACTATCATAGGTGGTGTCTTTTCCGGGCAACACACTGGCAACCAATTTCTTGTCCAAGGTCAAATCTTCCAAGACTTCAATGGCAGTGGTGTAATAGTCGGTACTTTTTGGAGGTAACTTGGTATTTTGTAAGCCAGTACTAAATGCAAATGCAGAAAGCGACGCAAACTTAGTTGGCAAAGCACGCAATTCCCTTAAACTGACGTAATCAACATTACCAAAATCGATAAACAAGACTTCCAGCTTGCCTTTAACTGTTCCCAAACATTTGGCACGGTAGTATTTACCGTCAAATTTAGCCGACACCAACTCACCTTTCTTGGGCAACTTTTCCAATGCAACTGGCAAGTCCTGTGACAGTTTAGATGCACTTGGGTTTTGTGCGTGGAAACGATCAAATTCGTTTTCGAACATTTCCAATCTTTTCAAATCCTTTTGAAAGTAGATTACACCATCTTCATTTATATGCGTAACAACAATATCGTAAAATTCTGGCTTGGTAATAGTAGTTCCTTGCAATTGAGAAGCAGCTTGGGAAACTTCTTTTTCAACGCTAGGGTCATAACTTTTCCAAATACCTTTCTTTTGTGCTCTCGCGGTATCCTCAGCACTAATAAGTGCAGACGCATCCGGATTGGTATTTACAAAGTCCAGGAGTTTCACCAAACCTTGAAAAACCAACTCCTTTTGAACAAACGACGAGTTAGTGTACAAGTTACCAATGAACGATCCCACTTTATCAATATCATAAACTTCAAACTCAACTGGTCTTTGGAAAAACTTTTTGGTGACATACTTTACTGCCTCATCCGAATCGTCATTTGCAATCCCTCCAAGGATTAAGTTCAAGGTTACACTCTCTTTAGGATTGAAAAGCTTGACTTTGTTTGCTCTAGGGACATACAGAATATGAAAACCAGAAACTCTACCTTTGGATTTGAAGCCATTCAAAAAAGTCTTTGCCTTGGCATGGGTTTCTGATGCGTCAACAATTCTCGTGCTTACAGTCAAGAATTTACCAACATCTCCGTGAATTCCCCTCTTCTGTTTTTTGGAAATCTCTTCCAATTCCACGAGTTTATCCCAATTATTGGAGCGTTCATGCTCGGTACTTTTACCATGTTTGATCACGGAGACAACGCCTTTGGCTACAATGGATTCGGATATTTCAGGAATTGTGACAAGAGGACGCTCGTCAATGCCCAACTCCTTGTTTGCCTCTCTATACCCATCGACATGAGCCTGAAACGACTTTCCAATGAAGTTGGAACGCACAAATTCACGCGCAGAAGCTACAACAGCTTGCTGTTTAGCAGATTCAGTGGTGATGGTGGTATCTTTTGGCTTTGGAGCTCTGATTGATGCCAATTGCACAGCCACCTCATCATCGGAACCGGGTAACCTGACAGCCAATGTATCAGCACTGATCACTCTAGCTATTGACACATTCACAGTACTTCCTACTTTCAACTTTGATCCCTGACCAGCTGAACTTGTTGGTCTTTTGGAATTTGCAAACACACCTTTTGCAAGAGCTTTTGCAGTTTGTTCTGCCTTTCTGAATTTCGACATTGTGGCAGCACCAATAAGTGTTGATTGCCAATCGACCACTTCAGCATACCCCAACTCCAAAAGTTTCTCACAAACGTCGTTACCCAGTGGATGGTTGATTAACGCGATTGGAACACCTGATTGACTCTTTCCGATAATAGATGCTGTCAAGTTAGCTTTTGTTGTCAACAATTTTTCTTCAACAAAAAGCTTTGCTTGCTGAGCAACTTTCACCAAATTGACCAGTTGGTCTGGGTCGTCAGTTCTCGGTGTTTTGATACCGGCCAACAAAAACGAGGATTCACAAACTTTGTGATCGTCAACATAGACATATGCTACAACACGGTCCCCACTAATAACCTTTTGGACAACAAATTTTAATGGATGCTTTTGAGAAGCTGAAACAACTTCTTCATCCATTGTAACCACTTGAACTTTGCTTGATTTTTCATTCCAAAGTCCAGCTTGTTGTTGTTTAGCCTTTGACTCAATTTGCTTCAAACTGTCAGCTACTTCTTCTGGAACATTATCTCTCAACCTAACATATCCCTTGGCCAACACATACTCAATCAATGACTCAAATATGGGAGACTTGATGTCTCCGAATTCTCTGTTTCCTGCTTTACCTTCCACTTTGATCTTGATCTCCTTACCAATTAGCAATTGTCGAAGATACTCTTTTGACAATATATCGTCAATTGGTTTTACATATTGCAACGTAATGACTCTTTCTGGAGGAGGAATTTGAGACGACTTTGAGGGAGTCACCACAACAGTGTCTCCACTCAAGACGTTCTTGACTTTGGCAATGAATACTGACATCGATGATTGAGATCCCTGAGCTGAGAATTTACCTCTAGAGGAATAATTTTTCAAAATATCGCCAACGTCGCGACCGAAATTGGTCGGGGACACAAAGAGTGTAGACACGACAACAATTTAAAAATTATGGCCCAATGTATATGCAAGGTTTAGTCACTACAACAAAATTCATCAGGATAGTTGCAAGAGCCTGAATTATTTACGCTAAAGAAGCTTGGATAGAGAATGACATCTAGTGACCTTAACGAAATCAAAGTGAAGGCGCATAGAGCTGACGCTACCTGAAAAGTTGTAACCCATAATATGCTGAACTTTTACAAATGTACTGACGTATATTCCCTTCGGCATTTTGTAATATATACACCAATCAATTACATGCTGCAGATAAATCAAAAGGGATACGCTTAAATAGAGGAGCTAAACAGAAACCCGCAGAGGAGAATCCATAACACTGGAAATATATTGTTGAACCCATACTCTTTTTTTTTTGATAAAGTTGCACTGCAACAATTTTTTTTTTGGGGGGTTGTATGATTTCCTGAAAGTAGTATAGTAGTAGTGTCAGTAGCAGTGATTCAATATTTAAAGGTATCAGCGATATACCAGCAGCAGCAATTGCAGTAATAACTCAAACATCAAAGTGGTCCGGTGGTATTGTATCCGTGTTCCTCTGTAGTTAGTTTTCAATGAAGGATGTTGATACTTTATCAGCTTTGAAAATCAGATTCTAGCTGTAGTAGCTGTATAAGGAATAGTCTCATATTTTGGATTGTAACATGGCACCGATAGCCTAGGTTAATGATCCGTGGATTGTCTTCAAAACGAGAATTGAAAGAAGAGAAAAGGATTGTAAATGGCTCGTTTAGCACCACACCAGGACATAAGAATTCACCTAAAAATTCAGCATAAATATTTTACATCGCCATTGATCATAGTCCAAGACTCCTCTTTTGTGAGCAAAAAGATTGAAAGAAGCTCAAAAACAAGTTCCAGATTTATATTTGTCATTAGACTAACCCAAATTCTGCTTCTTTGACTTCCTAAAGTGAAAGACATACTCTATACTGAATCATCTAAAGTAACTACCATACATATTCCATACGCGTTGCACCAACTTCAATTTGGTTTCAACATCAAACTCGCTATTATTTAATTCATTCAAATCTTTAATCCAATCTTCGTGCAACTCTTTTGGAATGAGTGGTTCCGAGCACAAGATCAAATCAATAATTTCAATCAATAATTCACCTTCGTCTGTGTCAGCCTCATTTTCCTTTGCCTTTTCCGTTTTCCTCAGTAACGAAATGAGTAGGTTCTCGACATTGTTCAAACATTTGAGACAAACTATACTCAATTGTTTGCCATTAACAAGCAACGGTTTGGCCAGTGTGAAATACTTGTAAGTTTGGTATAAAATAATCAATGAGGGACTCATTGATACAATTCCAAACACCAATTGTTGGCTCTTCAATAACTTGTCTATACCACTTAATGCAACAGCACCATCGACTTTACCCTTTTGTACTTGAATCAAAATCAATCTCAACAATGAGCCTGAAATAAGGTACTTGATTGGCTGTCTGATTTCATTCTCATACCGAGACATGACTAAGCTCAAGTCTCCGTTTTTGATGTCTTGTTTGACTAATGTTGGTGTTGTTTCAATATGATTATCCAGGGCGAATTCATAAACCATCTTCTCCAAAGAAGTTACGTCGGATTTCAACGAATCCCTTGAAGTCAATGTAATTTCATCATCGCTTCGTAAAATATTGAGCATCTCATTGATTGGTTTGATGACCCAGTTGGTGAAAAATCCCTTCAAGGGTTCAACACCATTGTATTGAATCCAATGGAGTATTTCATAGCGGTTACGGTACGCATTTTTTGATTGTGAAGGTGCATAGAAAACAATGAGTGAAATGAGAAGCCAATATCTGGTAAGGAATGATGGAGATGAAGTGGATGTGTACTCCTTATTCGCGAATGCCACAACACCATCAACTACTTTGTTGACTTCATTGTCACTTCCATCTTTTATGTTTAATATCTTCTTCAATGTAGGGAATAGATTGGCAATATCTGCTTTAACAAATAAATCAATGTTTTGCGTGTTTGATTGAATTTCTTTCTTTATCGTTCTCAATTTCGACTTTATTTCCTTGTTGATGATGGTAACAGGTGACTTTGCGATGGATGACACATACCATTTGATTGATGAAAAAGTGGATATATTGGACTTTTGTAACAACGTTACAACGGGATTTTCTTGAACAAAAAGTAAATCAACAGCTTGTAGGATCGATCTGCCCAACGCAGCTGAATAAATTTGAAACTTCAGCCAGTACTGATAAGTCCAATGGCGATGTTCCAAATCCATGGCTTCTGTTCGATGAAAGTTCTGTGCAAGTATCTCGTTTGTCTTTCCAACCATATCGATACCAAAACGATATATTTTATTTGGTAATGTTTGAACAAAGTAGATTAGCTTGTTGGAAATGGAGTTGTGGATTGTCTCCCAATAAACCTGTTGACTTTTTAAAACAAGGGTCTTGTATATCAACGAGTTAGACAACTGGAGGCCAAGAACAAGGTTGATATACTGCCACATTAAACCATGTATCGTTTCATCCACGGTCGTCTTCACATCAATTTTCTGAAGCTTGTCGATAATTTCTTGCAAACTCCTTAGGTTTACGTTTGCAACTCGATCAAGCTTGAAATTCTCACAGTCGATTAGAACGTACAATTCCCTAAAGAGGTCATGTAACTGCACATTTTTGGATTGCTTGAGCGACTTGTCTGGAGTTTGCTGTTGTTGTTGTTGTTCCTCCTCGTATTGAGTTGCCAAATAGGATTTGGTGAACGAATTGAGTTTTTCGAATTCTGCTTTAATGGCTAATGAAACCCGGTTATTATTGCTGATGACACGCAAAATCTTCTTTGGATGACGAGCATCAGGGATGAGACCGAAGCTAATAATACTCATTGCTGTGGTCTCCAGATTTGCATCACCTCACAATTCCTAAGTCATTTTTTTTTCTCCCTAACAATTTAACATTTTGTAATTGCGAGGATCAGGATCATTATTGAGCTTCGACTCTACGTAGCTTAGCACCACATCATGTCGTTCGAGCGGTTCATGCCTCTAACCCTGTTGGAACAAGGATTTTCACGACTATATAAAGAGATACAAAGTCTGCTTATCCAACCAGCGTACAAACTTTACATGGTATTTCGATCTACACACTTTTTAGGGTGTCTGCTGCTATTCTACTTTAAGCCCTGACGACTTTGTTCTTCTTTAAGCTCAACACTTTGAGTATCTCAACCAATCTGACACTTCCAACCAACAATTCCTCTTTAAAGTAAAAAAGGAATGCGGCAGTTGAAATACTTTGAATCAACTTAACAACCAATCCACCATACAATCCCTCAAATCCTTCTTCGTGAATAATCTTTTTAATCTCTTGATACATGGACAAGTTTGGAATTTCGTCAGCAGATTTGCCTTCCTCTTTCAACACCTTTTTCCTAATGTGCATTCTTGATTTCAAGGTTATGTATGGATAAGTCAATGTTGTGGCTACCAATTTACCAAAGGCACCGATAAAGAAAGCCTTGATAGCAGTGAATGATTTTTGTCCCCCACCAGCAACAATAACATTCTTTATCTGCTCAAAAATGGTATATTGAATAATAGGGTTCAACACCAAAACCAAGGCTGGAAAAACACCAGCAAACAAAGTTCCAACCCCGTCTTTTTCAATGATTTCCAAAATCGTCTTTAAGGTCGAATTCGAAACGTTACCCTCACCCTTTTGCTTCTTCTCCGTCATAATTCTGGTGTTTGCGACCCAAATTGGATTCGTTCCAACTGATGTGATAGCGCCGGCAATAGCACCAGTTATGATAGATTGAATAGTTGACAATCCTGCCTTTCTCTTGTTGGCCTTATTAGCTTTTAAAAAGATGTTCGATGTCAACTCATAAAAATAATAGTAGATAAAATTAGTCAAGGTGATTCCGTAAATTGCGCTTCCTAAACCTGAGTATAATCCCAAAACTCCTTTCTCCTTGATGATCTCTTTGGCGGCCAACACGGTGCTGTTGTTGTGGAAATTATGGGCAAACTTTTGTTTGGCATTCAATTGTGACAAGTGGTGCACTTCTGCTTCAATTTGAGCCTCGGTTTGTTTTTCTTCCTTCTTTTTAGCCTTGGTTTGTGCTAAGGTGGATAAAGTCACCAATGGGTATGTCACAATCATTGACAATGCACCACCTCCAGCACCTGCAATTGCGTGCGCGATTTCTTCTGTGTCACCTGACATTTCAATGAGTGGATTTGGTTAATGAAAAGTATTAAAAATAATTGTCGTTTCGTAGATTAGTTTCCCTTGCTATTGAATGGTCAATCACTCAGTCTACAACAAAGCTGATGAAGTAGATCAAATGTTGTTTAGGTTGTTGATAGTTGTGTTTACAGGAAATTAAATTTTTCTTTTTGATTTAAATTTTTTCTTATTCTTTTTATTTTTCAATTTTCTGGTACCAATCGTACATGTGCGTTTGACTCCCTATAGAAAGTTATTACACGTGATCCTATGCACCGAGACTAGAGTCCAATAGTTTATTCTGCATTACACGGAACTAGATGCACTCAAGTGGAGGGGAAGGTCGAATGTTAACCAATTTGAGATAAACGAGCGCGTTCCTGAAACAGGGTTCCAGAAAAATCACATGCTTGATACCATTTTGTCTTCGCACATCTTACTCTAGTTGGATCCTATTCAGGTAAAACAATACTTCTCAAAACCCAAGCGAACCTACGCAGAAAATACCCACGATGCTACTCTTTCGGTATTATTGAAATGGTGAATGTTGTAGAATATTTCCGACGTTCTGCACATAAGTTTGCTCGTAATATTTTTTTTAAATGTGGAGTAAATACGCGGAAACAAAATTTTGAAAAAACACAAAAAGCACACACTTGAACCGAGGGTAAATCAATACCTATACTCTCTAGAGATATAGTATACAACATGTACGCTTTGATCTGACAACGTCTTTGGAAGCTTTACCATTAGCCCCGCTTGACCAGAATGAAATCTATTCTGCGAAAGTTGCGAAATTTATGATCAAAAATGTGTCAAAGTATACATCTAGAATGCTGTAAGTGTTCTAACCACAATGTCACCAAACCAAGCTCTCTATTCGCTACCTCATAGATAGTGTGTGCCATGTATCGATGCATAAAAAAACGGTTTCGTCAAAATGCTACAATGCTTCAAGTCTTTCTTCTATACAATGTGTAATTAGATTTTGAAATTACTCACTCATATTACACAGCACTATATTCGCCTCGATTGTTGCCTCTGCCAACGAACTTCTCAAGAATCTCTCTAATAAAACCGGGTAAGCTTTGCAACAATGTGAAGAAATTTTCAAGGACCTCTTTAAGTGCACTTTGGAAGTCAATGGCATTGCCCTTGTTGTATTGAAACCAAGCTCCACCAATAATATAAATACTCAAAAACAACACCAAAAAGATAAAGATCCAAGTGAACCAACCCCATGATTCACCATTATCTTTTTTCTTATCTGAATTTTTGTTTTTATCGTTGTTATTCTTCTTTTTATCATTATCACTGGTAATACAAGCTGCTTTGGATTTCATTGAAACTTTCAACACCTCTCCATTCCAACTATCCAATTTGAACTCGTGGTTCTCCTTTATTGATTTATCACAAACAAAGCTGATTTCAGCATCAACTAAAGAATCACCCCAATTGACTTTTGAGTAGGTGATTTTGATTCCACCTTCACCTTTATCGCCCAAAGGTTCAAACAGCTTTTGAAGATTTGAGCTGAAACCAATAATCTCTGATATGATAGCCTCTTCATTATCGCGCAAAATCGACGTTATACCACAGATATCAGAATTTTGTGGACATTTTTGCAAATCACTCTTTTTATCACTGGATACAGGCTCGCATATACCAAAAGTCCATGTCACATTAGTTCTGGTTGGTGGGGTGCTTTTGATTGTGGAAAATGAATGAGTTCCTTTGATACTTTCGAAATTATATGGCTGAAGCTCTTTTATTGAACAGTCGATGGCGTTTGACACCATGACTGAGGTGAAAAACAAAGTGACTATTGATTTGAGCATCGTCTATTGTGGTGTGACGTGATAATAGTTTATCAGAAGGGAGAAGTAATTCGCTAGTTGCTAACTATTCAGCAGATTGCTTCGATGAAATTACAATCGGAGTTTTGGGATCTTGTTGCTCAATCAAAGAAAAAAAAAAAAAATTTGTCAAACCTCTCGCTGCGGATGACACTTTTGACAAAATGACAACCACTTTGTGTGAGAAAAGAGTCAGGGATTGCCACCCTTAAGGTGAACTGTCGTTGCAAACCAAATGGTCTAGAGTGGATGAAATTATTCGAGAGTGGCCCTTGTTTGTATTTATTCGTAGAAGCAATAGCATTGCAACACTGCGCAATTCTATTGCTCCTTGTATCCTCTATGAAGTCAGATGCATCCTTCATGTGAGTGTAACCCGATTCATTGATATTCTTCCAATAGTACTTGAAAAACATTCTCCCAAATGGTCAAAGTCAACGATGTTCAGGAACTTTCAACTACAAGATCTCAAATTTATATCAGATTTGCTGCAAAAAAAAATCAAAAACTTCGCCACTGGCACTATAAAGCAGTATGTCACACATCAATGGTACTGGGCGCCTCTTTAATACATTCAACACTGAATTGTACATTTTTATTCCACTTTGAACCCACCAAAGTGCATTAAATCAGTGTCGGCAATTCGGTTAATTTTTTGTAGCCGTCACGTGCGCGACGGACAAATCTACCCCACGTCGCACTAATACTTTAGGAGAGGGAGATGATTATTGCATTGCAATAATAAACTTTCCATTGCATGTGCTTTGTCGAAATAAAAAAGCACACAAGTTCTTCTTCTTCTGTGTTTTCAACAAAACTGTGTAAATTTTCTTTTGACGTTTTCTTTTACTCCCCTTTCTTTCCATCTTCAATTCTTATACATCACTAGCTACATTTAAAAAAACCATGGTTAAAGTTACAGTTGCAGGAGCTGCTGGAGGTATTGGTCAACCATTATCTTTGTTGTTAAAATTAAACACTAATGTCACTGAGTTGGCATTATTCGATATTGTCAATGCTAAAGGAGTTGCTGCTGATTTATCACACATCAATACCCCAGCAGTAGTCACGGGTTATCAGCCAAAGGACAAAGAAGACAAAACAGCCATTGTTGAAGCCTTGAAAGGGACTGACATTGTCATCATCCCTGCTGGTGTTCCACGTAAGCCGGGTATGACTAGAGCTGACTTGTTCAATATCAATGCATCAATCATTAGAGATTTGGTTGCCAACATTGGAAGAACAGCACCAAATGCAGCAATTTTGATCATTTCCAATCCTGTCAATTCCACAGTTCCTATTGCTGCGCAAGTTTTGAAGAAACTAGGTGTATTTAACCCAAAGAAGTTGTTTGGTGTTACTACTTTGGATAGCGTTAGAGCAGAAACTTTTTTTGGTGAATTAACAAATACCAACCCAAATACTTTAAAGGGCAAAATCTCCGTCATTGGTGGTCACTCGGGTGATACAATTGTCCCATTGATCAACTACAATAAACTGGTCGGTTTAATAAGCAGCAAATCCCAATATGATGAATTTGTTCATAGGGTTCAATTCGGAGGTGATGAAGTTGTCAAGGCAAAAAATGGTGCAGGTTCCGCCACTTTATCAATGGCATATGCTGGTTACAGGTTTGCCGAATATGTGATTGATTCATTATCTGGTCGTCTGAAAAATGAACCAGTTCCCGACTCTGCTTACATCTACTTGCCAGGGATTTCCGGAGGAAAAGAGTTTTCAAATGCCCACTTACAAGGTGTTGATTTCTTTTCAGTACCAGTATTCTTGAGCAACGGGGAAATCAGTTCCTTTATTGATCCATTCAAATCACTCACAGTTACAAATGACGAAAAGAAACTAATTGAGGTTGCTTTGAAAGGTTTGAAAGGTTCAATTGACCAAGGTGTGCAATTTGTTGATGCGTCTAAATTGTAAACAGGTTTATAGAATGATTCGATTTTGTTGAACATATATACTTTGGTTTGATTATTACTCATGTGCTGTACTATTTCTTTGTGCCTCGTTCTAAGGAGCATATTTTCTCTATAAACACCCTCCACTTGTTTTGTTCCCACGACTCCGTTCATGTGTAGAATTCGGATGAGCTCCTCCGGTTTGGCCTGCAAGACCCTTCATGCCCCCTCAATGCCCCTTCAATTTATATGTAACAACAGAAGAAACAAGACCTGCTCTTCTTTCTATTGAAACTTGATGTATCCGAATGAAGATCCTCGTCATTTCTCATCATGCCATTCTCAGCGCTGCCGTACTCCAAATCTCGGTCTTGTCCAGGCTGATAAGAATTTACCAACATGGAAGCCTTGGAGTCTTGAGTAATTGATTGATAGCCATACCGCCTTTGAGCAACGGGATTTTTGCCGTCCGGCTTTTTGCCCAATAGGGGCAATTGTTGATTCAGTGAATAATTGGCATAGTTTTGGAGTCGCTGATAAGATGGAGAGTTTGCATTACGACCCTTTTGTTGTTGTTGTTGTTGTTGTTGGTGGTGGTGGTGTTGCTGCTGCTGTAGATGTGATTTTCTTGGTGGATGCGGGTTCCCATACCCATGCAAATTAGCCTTTTTATTCAACGCTGCGTCCCAACCTTTGCCATTATTCAAATCCATCCAATCATAATGTCCATCATCCTCGAGCCCTAGTGTAAGCATTGCCTTGTCCATTAAGCCCATCAAATACTTGTAGTCGGGTGCTTCATCAAAGTTCAAGTTCCTTACATATGTCAAGTACTGTGCAAATTGAATAGGTAAGCCATAACACAACTCATTCACGGAGGTTGTCTGTTTCTTCATCCCAATCTTTTCGTATTTTTGCTTGTTTGTGGGGGCTTTCAAACCTTGCCACGGCAAAGACCCGCGTAAAAAGTACATAAACACATGCCCAAGACTTTCCAAATCATCTCGCCTCAGTTGCTCTCTGCCCAAATGTGTGTTTATCGACATGTATCTTGCAGTGCCACTAAGAGCTTTCTTCTCTCTATATGGTATGTGTACTTTTGTTTTCGGATCCCGGTATTGCTTTGCCATTCCAAAGTCAACAACATAGATTTGATTTGCATCTGGTGTGTCTGGTCTTCCAATAAGAAAATTATCTGGCTTGATGTCACGATAAATCAAATCATGCTCATGTATAGATTTTACTCGTTCAATCATTTGCCTTGCAACTTGAATTGTAGTCTTTAAACTAAACTTGCGATTACACCAATCAAAAAGATCTTCCAATGATGGTCCAAGAAGATCAATTATCAATATTGAATGTACACCTTCTTGTCCGAAAAAATATGCTTGTGGAATGCCCTTTGTTTTGTTCAAGATTCTATAAGATCTATATTCGTCTCGTAATTGCGGAGCTTCGCACTTCCTCGGCTCGAACTTGATTGCAACTTGTTGATTGTTTAATATATTGATGCCCTCAAAGATTACACCAAAGGAACCTTCTCCGATTTTTTTGCCCACCTTGTAATGTACACCAACTATACTGGTAGATTGGGACATTGCATTTGTATTGGTGGAATTGAGTAGAAATTAGAACAGTTAGTGGAGACTCGGTATTGAGACTGAGTTGGTGTATGTGCGTGTGTTGATGCGTTGTTGTGTTGATGTGTGAATATACGTTTCGTTGGTTTAGTATGAAAATGAAACTTTGCTCTTGAACTTTTTTTTTGCTCATTCGAAAAAGCTTCGCGTATTAAACAGGGACAAGCAGTGGAGGATTGGTAGAACCAAACTAGTGCGGAGGCGAACCGATAACATTAGATCTCACACTGGAAAAAGCTGAAACTGTCACTTGGAGGTCAAATATAATAACTGTCTGTTTACTAAGCTGTGCTGGATTTTGAAAAAATGGCTGACTTGAAGCCCAATCAATTGGTCTATGCATATCATGGACCTCTCATATACGAAGCAAAAATTTTAAAGATGAAAAACGCAAAAGACTCATTTATTTTGAATGCTGATCAACAGCCAGAGTCTTTGGAACTGAATCATAAATTCAATCCTCAAAAATGGGATAATATCACTTGTTATTATTTGCATTACCAAGGTTGGAATCTGAAATGGGATGAATGGGTAGGTATCGATAGGATATTGGAAATCAACGATGAAAACAAATACAAGAAACAGGAATTAGAACAGTTGACGAAAAGAAAACGTGTTAAAAGAGAACTGTCAGTTGAAGCATCGGGTAAAAATGCTCATGGAAACAAAAAGTCTAAAAGTAGCAGTTCCGGCTCAGCATCATCATCCACCAATACCAATTCCCAATCCAAAGCAGTCAAAAAGTCAGTTACGGTTAATCTTTGGTTCCCTCCCGAGTTGAAATACTTGCTAGTTGATGACTGGCAATATATCACCAAGGACAAAAAATTGGTTGATTTACCAAGTGAACATTGCGTTTCAGATATCCTTCAAGATTACAAGACATGGAGATCGAAAAAACTTAAAGCACATCAAGTATCAATTTTGACTGAAATTTTACAAGGTTTGGAGATTTATTTTGACAAATCATTAAGTTTACTCTTGTTGTACAAGTATGAAAATTTACAATATTTGGACTTGTTGAAAAACAACACCATTAATCAAAACCATAGTCAAGTCAAGGTGTATGGATTAGAACATCTACTAAGGTTATTGGTGTCGTTACCTGGACTCATTAGCCAAACTACGATGGATGCGCTAAGTATAAGTGTTTTGATCCTGGAGGTGGAAGAGTTGTTGAAGTTTTTAAAAGATCGAATCAGTGAGTACCAAAGTGAATACGTGTATACCAGTCCGCAATATGATAGTTTAGCGAGATCTTAATTATTTGTTTCAAGAGAATGTATTGATACTATCTCAGTATATGGCAAGTCTACAGCTAAACTGAATTCTTCAAAAGTAAAATGTACAAATAGTTTTTGATTAACATGCGTGTATATAAACGACTTAGAACTTCTCACCTGCTGTGTATCTATAGTATAGTCCCTCATGTAGCCTCTTCAGCATTGGCATTTCCTTCATCGTCTACATCCTCTTCATCATCACCACCGCCCAACGCAGCAAATCTATTAACTTGTTGATTCTCCGACCTCCTTGAAGAGTCTCTTTGAAGGTCGCTTCCACCAGCATTACTTGCAGTATTGACGCCTGAACCACCACCACCTCCACGTTCACGTTCACTTGCACTTCTACTAACATTAGAATCGGATCTCCCCACAGATGGTGATTTTCTGAAAAAGTTTGAATTTGAAGCAGCGTTGGAACCAAACCCTGAATTTGATCTCGAGCTCAAACCACCACCACCACCGCCTAAATTACTTGATCCATAGTGCAGACTGCCTCCACGATTGATATTTTGTGGTCTTCTTCCCTTCTCTCTTTCTTCTTTCAACTTCTTAATTTCAGCATCTCTGTGAATAGCTTCAATAGTTGTAGGTTGTGCATCTTGTTTACCACTCTGCCACCTTGCCTTTCTTAAATCTTGCAAGTCCATCAACATAAACTTGATTCTTGAACTCAACTTGACATTGCTCAAAATGGTATCTATACTTTCAAATACAATCTTGAGCATCGTTTTGGTACGTTCGTTTGCATCCAATTTGGGACCAACAGTCTTGATTAATTGGGCTAAGTTCTCCAAACTATCTTCTGAAGGATCAGTAACATTACTACATTGATCTCTAAGACACATGTAGATGATATGATCATTCAACATGTTCAAATTGTACAAATGACCAATGAATTTGACGAGACCCAAACCTCTTCTTTTTGCTGCAGCCATAGCATAGTATTCATCACTCATCATTTCTGGTTCAAGTGGAGAACCATCTGGATTAGTGGGCAATTTGTCACTCCACCCCTTTTCATATTCAACTTGACAAGTAGTCAACAATACTCTTCTGGCCAATGCACCACCTGATGGGTGTGTACCATCTTTCAATGTGCTTGACTCATCGGTAATGTCAGGAAGAATGTGGGTAGTCATTTTAGCACACCACTTGGCATACATTTCTGACCAATATGGCTCATCGCACGCCTTTTGGAAAGTCAATGAAATTGTTTGTTTGATGGTTTGTGCATCAGTTTCCCATTTAGATTGCTTTGTAATGTCCAACATCTCATCAGTAATTTCATTAAACATTTCCAACGTCAACTTATTCAACAATGATTTAATCTTTCGTTCAACGTCTTCCTTTTCTAAAATGATACTTCCATCTTCCGCATAACGAACCTCTGTCTTTTTAGCCCTGGATTTAGGAACCCATCTATTAGCTGATTTCTTCAATGGCTTGACATCTTCTGCTGGTTTCGATGCTTCCTTAGCCAATTCTTCTTCGGTAGGCTCACGTGACTCATTGTTTCTACCTCTCTTTGACTGAAGCGGTTTCCTACTAGACTTGTCTCTTGTCGATGTACCTCTCCTCTTGGAACCTGATCTCGAGTTTTGTCTACTATCGTATGAATAAGGACCACCTCCAAGACTTCCTCGTTTATCATGAGGACCACCAAAACGGCCCATGCTGCTTGGTTGTCTGCCACTTTGACCAGTGTTGCGTGATGAAGAGTCTCTTGTGGAGCCTGCACGTCTAAGTGCTTGTTGTTGACCAAGTTCCAAGTAACCATAACGAGTCTTAAAATCAGTATCGATGGGGTACTGTACAACGTCACGGAATTGAATTAAAAATTGCGGGTCGTATCTGTACTTTTTGCTAGGGATTTGTTTCGAACTGTCAACACCTTTAATATTCTCAGGATACACGACATCCAAAATATTTGAAAGTGCAGGAACTTCCGCAATCTTTTGCATAAATTGTGAAATGTCGAGCTTGTTTACAGTGTTTTCCGATGTCTCAGTTTCTGCGGGAACATCTTGAAAGGAAGCGGCGTCTACCTCTGTTTCCTCTGTGTTGACGTCGTCCTTTGCCTCTGTTTGCTCAGCTTCAGCTTCAATACTTTCACTTTCCTCGGCATCTGGTTCATTCACTTCTTTGTTTTCTTCAATATCGACGCTGCGTTCGTCAACATTCTCCGTCTCCGTATGCTCAATTGTGTCTGTGGTCTCAGCAGGTTTTGCTTCTTCTCCTGTAGTCGACGCCACTGGTGCATCAATAGACTCTTCCTTCTTTTTTGCATTGTCAACGTCAGTTGTATCGATGACTTTTGTATCAGAAACAGATTCTGTAGCATCATCATTGGCATCTTGTACAGCTTTTACTGATGAAGCTGTTCCTTTTGACTCTTCTTTGAGCTCTTCTGTAGGTTCTTCTTTAGGCTCCTCTTTAGGCTCCTCTTTAGGCTCCTCTTTAGGCTCTTCTTTAAGCTCCTCTTTGGACTCCTCTTTAGACTCTCTTTTAAGTTCCTCCTCGGACGCCTCTTTAAGCTCCTCCTTTGGTGTGCTCTCTTTCTTCTCCTTCTCTTTGGCAGCGGCAGCAGCAGCAGCTCTTTCCCTGATCTTTCTCTTGAACTCTTCTGCTGCAGATAGAGCAGGTGTTGATCCGGATGTTGTTGCAGGCGCGGTTGTGCCACTAGCAGCACCAGGACCAGAAGGAGGAGTAGAAGAAGCAACTGCAGATTCTGCAGACGCTGCTCGAGGTGTCGATGACTCCAGCTTATCTGAATTAGTAGTGGTTGCAGGCACAGTCGCTGGTGTAGCATGTTTTACGTAGGGAGATGCCACTGGTGTCGAAGACGCAGTTTTCTTCTTTTTCTCCTCTAAATCAACTGGCTTGCCATCCTTCGTTGTCAACTTGACTTTTGGAACTGGTGGTGTTCTAGTTTGTGGATGGGAAAATTGTGCAGTTGAGCTACTGGAGGTACTACTTGTGGGGGACACAAAAGGTTGTGATGCTGGTGACACGTACGGCATAGGAACGTAGTAAGGGGACATATAGGAGTATGGGTATCCCTGTGGAATTGTAGCACCATATGCGTATGCCATGTACTGAGGTTGCTGCTGCTGCTGTTGTTGTTGTTGATGCTGTTGCTGTTGTTGATGGTGGTTCAGATGAGGGTGATTGCCTCTGGAGTTACCAAACGACTTCTTTTGAGAATGAGGTGTAGCATTGGGGTTACCTTGGTTGCTATTGTTATGACTATACTTGGCATTGGCATTATTACCACTGTTATTAAAGTTTTGTCTGTTTCCTGGATAGTGTTTATTGGAGTTGTTGTATTGGCCTTTGTTGTTGTTGTGAAAATTTGCGCCGCCATTGTAGTTAGGATTGACATTTTGTCCGTATGAATAACTGTTAGGGTATGCACCTTGACCCTGGTAGTAGTTATTATAACTATTGTTACCTTGCATTTGAGGGCGAGCTTGAAATTGTTGTTGTTGTTGTTGTTGTTGGTTGTCAGGCTTTGGATCGGTCGACGATGATTTGCTCAAATCTTTGGCATCGGATGCTACACCTGCCTTAGATGCAAATGTTTCAGATGCATTAGTATTTGTGTCTGGGACAACAGTGCCTGATTCAACAGGCTTAGTATCTTGGGTATTGTTATCAGACATATCTAATACTATGTCTATATGTCGATAACAACAATATGGATTGTATATGTCCTAAGGTGGATGGGTAATATATATAAAAAAAAAAACTCTTGAAAAAGATTTTTCCTCCTACTGAAAAAGTGTAAGACAAACAACTGAAAAAATAATAAAAAAAAAAAAAAAAAAAAAAAAAAAATAAAATTTTTAATATGAAAGAGACAAATGCAAAAACAGTGTTGTGTGTATAGGTATATATATATATATATATTTGTGTGTCTGTGTGTGTGTGTGTTTGTCTGTGTAAAAGATTGAATGGTTCGCGTTTTTGTATAAACACTAAACACTTAAACATACAATACACTTTATCAAGACAATTTGAAGACTCTAATTGGGTTTACATTTAACAATAGCACCCAACTTGGAGCCAAATGATACATATTTATACTTGTACAGACTAACACTCTTTGTAAGCTGTTCATTCCGCCCCCTTTACTTCTTTGTAATATTGCAAGTGGTCACCAAAGACCTCATTTCAATTGAAAGACCACCATATATACGCTTCAGATCCTCAATGAGATTCCACAACAGCAATATAACCCCGCCAACAGATCCTACTGTCAGGGCTAGCCACCTTTGACATAAGAATAGAGTATCTTGAGCATCAAGCCAAGGATAACCAATAGGAATGTGTATACAATCAATGCGTCTTTAGTTGATTCCACTTGGTAACAGCTAATAATAATATTGTCATTTGTGATGGGCTTGTTAGGACGATTAGAATCTCCTTCCTTGTCCGGCTCCACTTCACACAAGTTTGGGTCTTTCTCAAGACAAAATTTTCTTGTGCACTGTTTGCATTTATCCACCTTATTGATGATGGTTTTGGAATTATCGCACTGGCACTTGCAGTATAATTGATAGGTGTGGGCTAAGCATGCAACAGTCAAAAATATCATACAATTGGCAACTCTCATTTCTATTGTGGTTTCTTTTAGCTCTTACTTGGTTCTATTCAGTCTCACCTTCTAAAAGACATGGCTTGTTTCACTGTCCTTAAAATCGACTAATCACTCACACGCTTTTTCTCTGTCCAATTCATTCGTCTTTCAAACGCAAAAGTTTTGAAAATTCCTTTCGCCACAATCACACGACTTTTACGTCGTGAGGAAAAAAAAAGATCAGAACCAGAAACCAATTTTGGATGGCAACTTTCACCATTTGTCTGGCCAATTCATCAAAAGCACAATTTTATAAACCATGAGCACCACAATTGACAAACCATATGTACATGAAGGAGGAATAAGACCTTACTTTGAACAACAAATTCAAGACACAGAGATTGAGATCCAGCAAAGAACTCAGAATTTGCGTCGATTGGAAGCACAACGTAATAAGTTAAACAATAGTGTGAGACAGTTGAAGGATGAATTGAGATTGTTGCAAGAACCCGGCTCATTTGTAGGTGAAGTTATCAAAGTCATGGGTACAAAGAAGGTGTTGGTTAAAATCCACCCTGAAGGTAAGTACATTGTAAATGTCACTAAAGACATTGATATCAAGAAGTTGACACCTTCAATAAGGGTTTGTTTGAAAGCAGATAGCCATGACTTGTACAAGATTCTACCAAACAAAGTCGATCCCTTAGTGTCGTTAATGATGGTTGAAAAGGTACCTGACTCAACTTATGACATGGTTGGTGGATTAGACAAGCAAATTAAGGAGATCAAAGAAGTTATTGAACTACCAGTAAAGTATCCCGAATTATTCTCAAGTTTGGGTATAGCACAACCAAAAGGTGTAATATTATATGGACCACCAGGTACGGGAAAGACCTTATTGGCTAGAGCAGTTGCACATCACACTGATTGTAAATTCATCAGAGTGTCGGGTTCCGAATTGGTGCAAAAGTATATTGGTGAAGGTTCAAGAATGGTTAGAGAACTTTTCGTAATGGCAAGAGAACATGCACCATCTATCATTTTCATGGACGAAATTGACTCTATAGGGTCTTCTAGAGTGGAGGGATCATCAGGTGGTGATTCAGAAGTTCAAAGAACTATGTTGGAATTGTTGAATCAATTGGATGGTTTCGAAAGTTCCAAAGATATCAAGATCATCATGGCAACCAACAGATTAGACATTTTGGATCCTGCGTTGTTGAGACCAGGAAGAATCGATAGAAAAATTGAGTTTCCAGCACCAACATTACAAGCAAGAACCGATATATTAAGGATTCACTCAAGATCAATGAATTTGACTAGAGGAATCAATTTGAAGAAGATTGCTGAAAAGATGAATGGTTCTTCTGGTGCTGATGTCAAGGGTGTCTGTACAGAAGCTGGTATGTATGCATTGAGAGAAAGAAGAATTCATGTAACACAAGAAGATTTTGAGTTGGCCGTTGCAAAGGTTATGTCGAAGAATAATGAAGAAGGTATGTCGCTACAAAAGTTGTTTAAATAGAGTGGAAGGTGATTATACACTTTGTGAATGGGTTGATGGGTCTGTAGCATCTCTACGCCTACATTCTTGGAACCATCGTGCTTATAGTAGAGCAATTGCTAGACACACCTAGGTCAACAGGCTTTCACTTCTTTTTTTTTTTTTTTTTTCGTTTCAGTTTTCTGTCTCATGTTAATGTGTTAAACGATAGTCGCACAAGCTATTACTACAATCCGAAATATGAGACTATCCTTATACAACTACTACAGCTAGAATCTGATTTTCAAAGCTGATAAAGTATCAACGTCCTTCATTGAAAACTAACTACTTTGTCTTGGACCTGCTTCTGAAATGAATTTCCCACGCCAACGACATTCTAAGGACTTGAGACTATACTTCTGATTGTATTATCGTGTCACAGTTATGGAAAGCATCTTCACACTGGAAGAAGAGATAAAGAAAAAATTGGAGGAAGATCTGTTGTGCAAGCTGTTTCAGGTTTAGAAAGTGTTAGAGCAACGATGAATGCCATGCAACATATAATTGAAAAACGACCGAGAAATGAGTGTCAATGGGGATAATGAAGCTAAATTGGTGTTGTTTGCTGTTGTTCAATACTTTGTCGAATTTGTTTCCGATGGATGCAGGGTAATGGTGGATTTGCGATTTTATGATCTGGCCAGTCTGATCTTGTAGTGAAGCTGTTTGCTTGTTGAAGTTGGGGACTGAGAATGGATAGAAAAGAGAAACACGGATACAATACAACTGGACTACTTTGATGTTTGTACTGCTACTGCAATTGTCGCCGCTGGTATATCGTTGATACCTTCAAACGTTGAATCACTGCTACTGACACTACTACTATACTACTTTCAAGAAATCATACAACCCCCCCCCCAAAAAAAAAAATTGTTGCAGTGCAACTTTATCAAAAAAAAGGAGTATGGGTTCAACAATATATTTCTATTGTTGTGGACTCTCTCTGTCCCTTTCTCTTATTTTTAAGATGCTGACTGGTGCGATGCCATTGAAGTTCTACATTTTCTAAACAGTACCATTGATGAATGAGATAATTGGTTGATCAATGTCGTCATCTTTGAGACCTTCAACTATCCAAGCTCCATTGTCTTTTTGTGGTTCTTCCTTTGTCTTATCTTGCTCAGTTTTTTCAAACAGGGGCGTCTCTTACTTTATTGTTACCTCAATGCACCAACAATGCGGTACAATAGTAGCAGTATTCCCACCTCCGCAATGTATTTCAATGCATTGCTCCATTTCTACGAAACGAAATTTGAAATCAATTTCATCAACGATAGCCTAGCATCTAGAGGGTTAAACTTGACATGCGCCAAATCCAACGATATTTCATCCCTGAAACAAAATTGATTGACAAGATAACAAGTAATCATTACAACAAATACTCCGCAATCGTCGAAATTTCGTTGCTGATCACAACTCAACTGAACAACTTTTATCTTCCCTCGTACCAAGTTCGAACAACTCTCGAGTTTTTTACATAGGTTCTGCAATTGTTGATCACCTTTGATGTCATCATCAATCCTCATTGAATCATAAATGTATAACTTGTCATCAAGAAGAGAAAGAATCCCCAATACCCAATGGTCACCATTATTTGCTGTTTCCAAATCCAACTCTTCTAGTGGCTCGTCAATCATGTTGATGGGTAAAAATATAAACTTCAGTTTCTTCAAATCGTCCATGGGTAAAAGATTTTCAATATCGGAAGCTGGGAAATGTTGCACGAGTTGAACTACACTGGGGAATAGGAGCTGAATTTGGTTGGTAAATGGTCGACATGATCCCAGGTCAATAAATGTCTCTTTTATGAGCTCGTAAATCAAGGATATATTGTTATCGTTGATCCATTCGCCGGGTAGGATATGCTCCAAATCGGATTTATACACCGATATGGAATGACAATGGGCAACTTTGAAATCTGAGACTCCTGATTTGGCTGTGGTTGTCTTTTTGATGATTTTGTCGTACAATTGTTTGAGTTCTTGCTTTGCTAAATAGGGCTTGAATGTAGCTTCAATAGCAATGTTGCTCGAATCCAATTCCATTTGTCTCTGCATTTGTTTCCTCCGTTGTACATTTACCTTTTTATTTTGTCGTAATTCACGCTTCTCCAGTTTAGTCAATTTCTTATTTGTTGTGGGCTCGTTAGGTCCATTCTTGGTTGTGGGGTTATCATCAACATTTTCTTGTACGATGTACTTATCCCATGGTAGCTCGTCTATACCATTGGTCGTGATGGATGGTTCCTTTGATGGAGAGTATCCAGGATCTATGCAAAAACCTTTGTGTTCCAGCCATGCAAACGACGTCATTGTATCTATTCATTGATCTATTTGAGCTGAAGAGTATAATTCGATTGACTGAGATTTTCTGGCGGAAGAAAAGTACACAAAAATATAATCTTATAAAGTACTTAATTTTGGGATTTCAATTAATATACGCTGACCAGCTTTCAGATCCTGGGAGCTGACTCAGATCAGACGGGTTTTAGAAACTTCTCTAATGACCTTTCTCACCAAAAATTTTCACGGATCACATGTTTATATATAAGATCTTTACGAAGAACGATTGAAGTGAAAAAAAAAAAAAAAAAAAAAAAAGAACAACTGAATAAGTAACGGAGGCTTTACAACCGACATTTGCAACAAGATCGATAGTCAATACTTCGTGGACGCATTTAATACGTAGAGGTGCCAGGATACAAAAACCACCTATACTTCAATTAGTCACGACGTTGAGTCAGCAATGAGGTCACGAATTCTATTTCAATTCATATCACGTCGGAGTATATCTCTAAACACGAGACCAAAAACTGCCATAAAACTAGGACAACCTACTTACGAAACAAGGCCCCACATTATACCCAAACCTGGCAATCTTACACCAGGGATATCAGCGCTCGAGTACTTCCAAAGAAGGCTGAGACTAGCTTCGAAGCTTCCCGATAATTCCCTAGCTATTATAATCGGAAACACTACACAATTCAGCTCTGGTAGTGTGTTCTACGATTTCCAACAAGATAATGACTTTTATTATTTAACTGGTTGGTTAGAGCCAGACTCAATCATGGTGCTCGAGAAAAAAGGGAACAAGGGTAATGATGATGATGTTGTACTACATATGTTGGTACCACCAAAGAATGAACAACGTGAATTATGGGAGGGTGCAAAAACTGGATTGGACGGTGCTGTTGAGTTTTTTAATGCTGATTCTGTTGAAGATGTTGGTAAAGCATCCACTTATATTAGGTCGCTTGTTCAATCCAGCAAAATGATCTACTACGACAACAAGTATGCTGAGAAACCAAAGTACAAGTCTGCATTCAGCTCGTTTTTCAACTTTGGTGGTGGTGGTAGTGACAAATGGACTGGTTTGAATGACATCATATTGGGTTCGGGAAAACCAGTAAGCCCATTGAGTTCAGTTGTTGCATCTTTGCGGAAAATTAAGTCTCCAGCTGAAATTGAAGTTATGCATGCCGCTGGACAAATTTCAAGTAGAGCAATTAACAAAGCCATTGGGCAAGTTGGGTCTACCGATCCGATTGCCACTGAAAAGACATTAGCCAAATATTTGGAATATCAATTTGTCAGAGGTGGCTGTGACAAACAAGCTTACATTCCTGTTGTTGCAAGTGGTTCAAATGCATTGACAATTCATTATACTAGAAACGATGATTTACTATATCGTGATGAGTTGGTTTTTGTTGACGCTGGTGGTAAACTAGGCGGGTACTGTGCTGACATTTCAAGGACATGGCCAAATTCAACAAAAGGGTTTAGCGAGCCGCAAAGAGACCTATACGAAGCGGTATTAAATACAAACAAAAAGTGTATTGAGTTGTGTAATGAGAGTTTGGGATACTCGTTACATGATATTCACGAGTATTCAGTTACGTCATTGAAAACAGAGTTGCAGAATATAACTGGATTCCAAAACTTGAGCAAAATTGATGTTTCACGATATCTCTATCCGCATTATATTGGTCACCATTTAGGGTTGGACTTGCACGACGTGCCCTCAATATCTCGATTCGAGAAATTGGTGGAGGGGAATGTCATCACTATTGAACCAGGCTTGTATATACCAGAGGATGACAGATGGCCCAAACATTTTCAAGGGATTGGTATTAGAGTGGAAGATGATGTTGTTGTGGGTGAAGCAAACGACGAGATTATTAATCTCACCAGCGGCTGCGTCAAGGAGATTGTCGATATCGAGTCATTGATCAATGGGGGTGTCACCACACCAGGTATAGATGATGAGTTGGTAGTATTGGATATTTAATGCATGTAATATAAAAGGAAACACGATAGACTATTTACAACCCAAAAAAATAGAAACTGAAACTTAGCGACCCAAGTTTAGCAAAAGGGAGTTTTTAGCGCCTTCTGCGCCACCTTCGCCACCATCTCCATTGCTGGGCAAGTAAGTGATGTTGGGGGAGCCAGCCAATGTACTAGCAATATCCTTGGAAGCTTCTAATCTTCTAATCATCAATAAACCATCACCTGCCTTGGCCAATGCCTTGGACACCACATCTGCAGATTCTGCTTCTCCCTCAGCTCTAATGATACTAGCTTTCTTTTCTTGTTCTGCTTTTTCAACCAAGTATTTCGATCTTTCAGCATCCTGTTGAGCAATTTGTTTCTGCTCGACCGCCTTTGTGAATTCACGTCCAAAAGTCATATGAGTAATCGATACATCCTCCAATTCAATGTTGAACTCGTTAGCTCTTCTTGACAACTCTTGCCTAATCCTTGCTGAAACAACTTCTCTTTGGGTGATTAATTCAGCAGCATCAAATTGAGCAACAATTGCTTTCAATATTTCATTACCAATTGCAGGCAACACCCTCTCATCATAATCTAAACCCAAGGTTTGGTAAATTGTGGGCAACTTAGGAACATCAGGCCTTGTCAATACACGCAATGTGATGGAAACATTTTGTAAATCTTTAGACCCAGTTGTAGTTGTAATCACTTTTGGTTTGATCCTTACATCAAACACGACAGCTTTTTGTAACCACGGAACAAGGAAATGAGTACCTTCACCTATAACTGTTTGTTCCACACCTTTTAAACGATCAAAGATGATAGCACGTTTCCCTCCAGGCACATCGTACATGGATGATTGAGCCAAAGCGAATGCAACACCAGCAGGCAATGCAATCTTTGATATAACTTCAGCAATTCTTTGGGACATTTGTGGTTGGGTCGAACAAATAGAGATGTGTGTGATCCTATTTGAGGGGGTGGTGACTTCGAGTTTGATTATTTGTATTGCGGTTGGTGTGTAAGAAGTAAAATTGCATTTTTGTCAATTTGCCTTTATAAAGTACACGACCCTTTTCAATGGTGGCCATTTTCGCAACTAATGAAGAGTAAGAGAAGCTTGTGATTGAATGTAAACATGAAATTCAAAAACTAGTGAGGCTCATATATGCATCTTTCTATATATACCCAGAGCTGGGTGATGTTGCTATGAGACGGAGAGTTTTTATAGAAACTGAGCAAGTAACACTAAGACCTAATAAAATTTGACTGGTGCGTAAGGGAAAGGGAAGCTACAATTCTCGAGGATATACCTTCATGTAATATGTTATATTCAGTTACCAGTACATCTTTAACAATACTTCAGTTCATTTAATTCAATTACAAGTTACAATATGGTATGGTACGGTATGGTACGGTACGGTATAACCAGCATAGCTAAAAAGATCCATGCACACATAGTTAATCAAACTTAAGGCGTGGCTACTTTTTTTTTCATTTTTTTGCGAAGGAAATGTGACACAACGAAAATTAAATTTTGAAATTCTTGCCAGTCCTTTTTCCCATTTGATCAACTTCATTCAATCAATCCAAATCAAACTATTTAGAACTGACTACATCGCTGCTTACTAAAAAGATGTCCGCCTCATTAGATAAATCATTAGATGATATCATTTCATCTTCAAAAAAATCTTTCAAATCAAGAAGACCTGGTGCTAAAATTGGTGGTGGTGCTAAAGGTAATCAAAACAAAGTTGGAAAAAAGTTGGTTGGAAACAAGACTAAAAAGACTGCTACTTTTAAAAGACCAAATGGTCCAAAACCTGCTGCAGCCGCTGCTGCTGCTGCTGCTGTTCCAGCATTTGACTTGTCGTATGCTACAAAAGTCAACGTAACTGGTTTACCAAAGGACTTGAAGCAAGACAATATTAGGGTATGTTTAGTATAATGGAAATGACAAAATGGAAAGAAAAAAAGATAGAAAAGAAGAATAGAGTGGATTCTTAGGGGAGATGTTGAGTTCATGGGGAAGTTTTCTGTTCAGTGCGAGGTCATTGATGTTGCATCTCATCATGATACAAACGAGGAAGCTCCGAAATGGTTCATTTGTGAATCTAGACGGGTAGGGTTTGACGTTGCGTTTCCTTCGAAAGTGCTAGTAGACGACAATACTGCTTTCATTCCGAAACCTGTATCTGCACCATGTGTAGTGGCAGTTCGGGCTAACGCGATAGCCGGATAGTTCAAGAAGGGCAAGTCAAGAGTTGGGTGAGATAATCTCCCCAGGCGGCTAGTTGGCCGAAAGGTTGTCAATATTGAACAAAAACTGTGTATTGAGACCAACTGGTTAATTTTGGCACCGTCTGTTCAACTTTGCGACACCGACTTTCGCACGGAACATTTGGTCAGCGCCATTTAAATCCGTGACCACTAGCTACATTTTTGTCATCAAACTGTGTTGATAATATGCTGTGTTTTTTACGAGCAATATATCGGTTTCGCAGCAGGCTTCACTCGGTTCCATTTGACTTCGCTTGACTTCACTTGACTTCACTAGACTTTACTAGACTTTACTTGACTGCACTATTTGAAAAATGCAATGTGGGATATTCCGCAATCAAACAATGTCAGCACATTTCAAACGGAGCCACACGTCCAAGAAACTCGATTCTCATATTCTTGATCAACACGTCTACATTCTTTCTTTCTTTTTTTTTCCCATGTTATATATTCACTTCTACTTTGAGACAAAAGACTAACAATTTTAGGAATTTTTTCAATCACAAGTTGGTGGTGTTCAAACCGTGGCCTTGAGTTATAATGAAAGAGGTCAATTTAAAGGTGTTGCCACAGTAATTTTCAAATCCAACAAGAATGCCGCTTTGGCCGTTGAAAAGTACCATGGTGCTTCTATCGATGGTGGTAAGGGAAAATTATCCTTGGAATTGATTATCGATACTACTAAGAAACCTCTTGCCGCTAGAATTGCTGCTAAACCAGTGCAAAAAGCACAAGCAGCCAAGGCTATCGAGAACAAAAAGAAGTTGTTGGTGAAGAAGGCAAAGAAACCAGCCAAGAAGCCCCAACAAAAGAAGAAAACCGTTGAGGAATTAGACCAAGAAATGGCGGATTATTTTGAGAGTTAGGTTTTTGCGTTTGAGTTTTCATTCGCCGTAGTGTGTATTTTTATCACAAATATGTTGTTGTAGTTTAGTATGGGGGGACACTATTGTAGATTTGTCGTTTTTCTAAAATACAAGAATGAGACCCAAAACTCGGGCTAAAATGTTTGTTCACCTTTTCGAAAAAGGGGGGAAGGGTGAGGAACGTAACGAGAGTTGATGATGTTAGTGGTAGTAGTCGCAATGCTACCAGCAACAGTGCTAGATATCGATTCTATAAATTCTGAACCCACCCAGTTCATCACAATATGTTTCTTCATATTGTTATTGTAACATTTCACAACACTAAAAGAGAGAAAGCACGAGAAAAAAAAAAAAGCTGCTGAAAATTCAATTCTGTGGAAAAGTTTCAAACATATTTTGGTCCAGACCTGAGACATCCAAGACAGACCTCGTTACTGCCTTCTCTCACCACTCCTGCTACACCCACTACGCACCATGCCCAACTTGGAACTTATCCTAACAGCAGAATTTCATATAGATAAAGGTCCATCTTTGGTGTACCAATATCCTCATGAAATCCCCGGTTTGCAAAATTTATATTTCCTTCCTGAATTGATGTTGCCTGATCAAATACACAAACGCAGTGAGGATTATACCCTTTTCCTACTATATCGAAACATGATCACTGGTGACTTCCAATACTTGTACAATAAAAACACTTGTGAACCAGATCCGTATTTCTTGTACACTATAGTGTTGAATTTACACAATGATGAATATAAACGAGGATCTCAAGTCAAGAGTTTATCCATAATTACCAAAATCCCCTATTTCAAGAATTTCAAACCGGTATTGATGATTTGCTTAGACTCGTATTTTAATAATAATAATTTTGACGTTGTTAAGGAGCTTTATCGCAGCTTGAATGAAAAAGATTTCAGTATGAGTCATGATCCATCCGATATTGGAGGCAGCAGCACTGACTTGAGTATTGTGAAAAAGATTTTGATTTCGAGTGTATTGGATCTACCCATTAATGACAAGATTTATTACGATGAAAGCTTTAGAAATAAGGTGCTTGGTATTGGAAAAAATAGAATACCCAATGATACATTGTTTATTCGAAAAGATTTGAGTTTTAATTCGATTGTCAACTTCAACAAGATGAATATCCCCATCAAAGTGCCACTATTGAACTTGCCTGATACAATTGGGGACTATTTAAACCCTACCGATTTGAATTTTAAACCAAACTTGATCAATATTTTAAACTCGAAGTTATCAGGGGACCTATTGAATAGTGAAATGACCGTTTATGGACTACAAACACCACCGATAATCATTTTGATTAATGCTGTGTTGACTGGGAAAAAGATATTGGTACTCAGTTATGATAATAGTTCTGGTTATATCATTGATCATATACTCTTGATTTTGAAAATTGTGACTGGAGGCGGCATCTTGAGTGGGATTTTAACCAACTATAACGTGTTTCCTATAATTGATGTGTCCAAGATTGATTTACTTGAACAATGTGATAGTTTTATTGCTGGTACGATAAACCCATTTTTCAAGCACAATGATAAACTCTGGGATCTCATGTATGATTTAGATGCCAATGAGTTAATTATCAGTTCTAATATTGCTGATTCCTCAGCCACTGAAGTTACTTCTGAATACAAGAATTCCATCATTTCCGAAGATGCAAGATTCTTGTCAAGCTTACAATTGTCAATTTTCAACTATAATGATGACTTGACGACAATTCAATTGATCTTTCGTCGTCATATCAATGAGATTGTTCGAATTTTGCTCAGTTCCAAAAACTTCAATAGCGATTTATTCCCCAGCAATAAAGATTTGATCCTTTTGCTTGATGGAATTGGTTATTTTTGGTCAAGTGATACGACAAAATTGTTGGAAATGTCTTGTTATCAATTGATTTCGAAAAAATTCCAAGATTTATTATACATGGGTAAATTCACTTATAATCTTCTTTTACCAAACTTGTCCAATGAGTTAAATTTAATGATTGATTTACATTATCATTTGCAAAGCTTGAGCAACATTTCAGTGGTTAATACCAATTCTAAAATCAATGAACGTGAAGTTTGGTTCAACATTTTGAAATTTTTGATTTCGGGGAAATCATTGGAAATTTTCCTTTTGACTACATATTTGATTCCACCAAGTAGCTCAACTAGTTTACAAAGCTCCTCGGCTCATGGTGGAAGCTTGACGATATTTGATAAAAACAAAGGAATTGAATTACTTTTGATCAACCTTTTCAATTACGATGATCAAATTAAATCAAATGTTATCATGATTTTACAAGAATTGCAAGATAATTTCTTGTGTGGTTGGTGTCTTGACTTATTTTTGAAAAGTAACACAGTTTATGAGATTGCGTTTAACGACTTGATTAATGAATGATTGTTGAGGCACCGCCATTTTATTTCACTTTCGTATATACACTATGTTTAATTCACGTATTTACAGATTGGACGACAACATTCTCCTCGCCATCTACTCACATCTCACTTGATTACTTTATCCTCTGGAGCAGGCGAATAATACTGAGCTTCTTTCTCTCTATCATCAGGCCAATATTTTTGCTTCAAGATATTATATAAACTTAACCTATCACCTGGTCTTCTTGTGCTATAAGCAAACCCACTACCAATATATTTACTTTGCCTTTTCTCATCATCATAATTCAAGTTTGGGTTGTTCTCAGGAAACCCTGGTCTTTTGATACTGATACTGAATTCATTATCGGAATTGTTCACATCTGAATCATTCTCCAATTTGTGACGTTGCTCCTTCTTGTATGCAATATGCTTCTTCCCCGTAATGAATAAAGAAATGGCGATGGCGGCAAAAAGAGCATATCTTCGAAGTACGGTAGAACGTGTTTCGTTACTTCTCTTTGCTAAGCTATTCATCGTGGCCATGACGTGTATTTATAGTAGGATGAAAGTAAATCGGATGATTAAAGGAAAATGACAAAGACAAAAATTCCGACTTGATGATTGGTGCGCGCTACCTGATACCCGATCCTGTGCTTTAGCTCACAACGACATTGGGTGCACCTCTCCTGCCATCCGTCATAGATGTGTACACTCCAAGCTGCTGAGTAAAGATCACTCGTGGTACCTGAATCCATTTCTAACCGGCTCAATGAGCTAACATAATTCAATAAGCTGTCACTCTCCCGGTCCCGATTCCCCTTCTCCTGCAACACGAATCAAGCAAATTAAACTTTCTGCCCTCTCATTCCTTTGCTTTTCTGTATTGATGCAATCAGGCCACTTATTATGTATTAATTTGCTCACTATCATCTCGACTTAATCGATAAAACACGACAAATTTGTCCAAAACATGGCAGATGTACTTTTTGTTGGGTCCTGAATTGAAATTAACCAACTTCTTGTCCTTTGTGCCTATTGCTTCAATTAGGTTTCGATACTCGCTAATTTCTGTGTCGGACAATTCGCGTTGCTGTTGCTGTTGCTGCTGTTGCTGCTGTTGCTGCTGCTGCTGCTGTTGTTGTTGTTGTTGTTCATATTCTTTGTTATCGTATGCCCCTATATACTGTAGCTCGTTTGTAAACACGACAATTTCATCAATTGCAATAAAATTGTAAAGCTTCAAAGTCTGTTCTAGTATTTGTACCGTTTCAGAAGGTAGGGTTGTCATTTTAGTGAAGGTTGATAAAGTAGTACATCGACGGTGTACGACTGTACACAACAATCTTGCTGCTACCAAGCCATACCCAATTTTCCCCAACAGGCGTCTACATCTCAACAGACCTCCGAATGCATGCAATATATTCTATTTAGCTATAATTTATAAACGTATTCCTACCCATCATCATTGGCTCCCTCGCTTCCAGCTTCTTGACTTCCTGGATCATCAGATAGTGTATTCATTCGTCCAGCAGCTGTTGGATCATCTTGAGTATTTTGATGAGCTGTTGCTGAAGTTGATGTCTGGTTACTAGCGCTACTACTTGAAGAGCTAGGAATGCACCAGTTGCGATGGCAGTGCCATGCTTTCATTTGGCAATCACGAGAACAATACTTTGTTCGTTTACATCGGCGGCATTTGGAAAATTCACGTGGATACTTTTCCCACTTTCCACAATCCAAATTTCCACATTGACGAACACCTCCCTTGAGATCGTTGCGACGGCAAGAGTTCCTCATGATAACCCCTGACCAATAGTACATATCAGTACCGGATAAAAAGGTAAACTTTTCAACAAGTGGAAACAAATTGATTCTCTTGTATTCTCTTAACGATTCATCCTTGTCTTCGTCATATTCATCGATATCAAAGTATTTGTACTCTTCATAATCCCACTTGCGCTCGAGATAGTTCTTTGTCTTTTCTCGTTGCTCAACGATTGAAATTGACAATTTCTGGCTTTCTTCATCAACTAGCCGATTCAACTTTTCGTTTAACTGATAGAGTTTGATTTTGCGTAGAAAGCCATTATTCAATGACTCACAAGCCACAACTTTTTCAAATAACTCTGACATAACATTAACCCGATCAGTGGAACCCCTGAACGTGCCTTCGCTCGAGTCGGAAAAGACCTCCTCCGAGTCTTCCTCAGAATTGCTTTTAACATTACACGCATCCTCGTCATTGTCATCTTCGTCATTCTCAATCTCCTCTTCCACACCTTCTTTTTCTTCTTCTTCTTCTTCTGCGTTTCCACCAAATTGAACAGGACATATTGCTTCGCTGTCTTCGTACCGCGTGTCACACAATGAAAATTTATCATCATTGAGGATCAATCTATCGTCATTCAAAGGAGTCATCATTTGAGGCGAGTTTGATGCGCTTGGATTAAACTTTTTCAAGCAAGCGATCCTTTGTTTCCTTGATTTTGGCCTGATGGTTGGCCTTGGGTGTATGCTAAGAGACTTTTTGACCTTTAAGCGGATTTGGTTCTCCAAATACATCTTCAATTGCTTATCACGTATACTCATATCCAAAACCAAATGCGTGTTTTGCAAAACCTCTTTGAGGTATGGATACTTTGAAATGTATGCTAATAGCTGTAAAGACCACACGATATCATCGTCCTTTGGTATAACAACTCCTGTTTTTGTAAATGATCGCACTGCTGTTTTGGGTCCTGCGCTATTGTTGATACTCATATCGCGCGTATACAACTCTGACAAAAAGTGGAGGTTGCTATCCATATCGAATTCACAATCATGGATAAATCCTTCTTCAAGCACATCAGCTTCCCTCGTCTCCCGAAGTCTGCCCAAAATATTCAAAACGATAAAGTTTCGTTTCACTTCTGAATAAATCGGCAAGCTATGCACAAACTTCTTGTTATTGATACTGTCATCTCCATGATTGTCAGCAAATGAGGAGGCTCGAAGAAGTCGAAACAAATGCTCGAGACTCGAGTGTTCAACATCCTCATGGCTGATATTATCTAAAGTAATACCTCCAGAAACAAGATTATCAGTTGAAATATTTGTGATTGATGTGGACTCAAATGCAGCCGCTGTAGTCAGAAACTGATCATAATATAGACTATTCGGTATGGGCACAAAGGTAGTGTTGGGCATATCCTCTCTGTTTGCATCATCTCGCAATACCGACGGATTTATTGTGAAGCCATCTGGCTCTTCTGGGTCAAAATTGGTCTGAAACCGGCGCTCACTTTGAATGTTCAATGGTTGGATAGGTTCCGAAAACGTATCGTGCAGTCGATCTGGCTGTTGCTGCTGCTGTTGCTGCAGAGTAGTAGTAGTAGTCGTATGCAAGAACACTTGCTCGTGTAATGTCAAGTAATTATCCAATACAGTTGCAATAATGGGCAAGATACCTGCTCTCACCACTTTTTGTCTAATTTTCTCAGTGCCTCGAGTTCCAACAAGTACTAAACATTGGAAAGCTAGCGTCCATTTCCAAGCAATCAACACCTGTTTATCTCCATTTTCATTGATGAATCGCCTACAGTTATGACACTCATGCAATATTTCGATTAACCTCTCAATTCCCCCATCGACAGAAAGTGTCTCGCGAACTTTCGCCGAGGAGCTAACCAAATATGTGAGATAGTTCAACGAATTGACTAAAGGTTTATCTGATGTAACATCCAACGCTCGTCTATCATAAAGACTTGTTGTTATTGTGACTGCTGCTTTATTGCTTGAAATGGCTCTGTAGTTAGAATCACGCATCTAAAGATTCTGTGACTGATGCAATGCTAAATGATTTGTTGTTCACTATGAGTAGTTACTTATGTGGCTTGAAGGTTCATGAATGATTCTCAACCAGGGAGATTTGCAATATTTTTCGAAATTTCAACTGGTCCTATAATGTGAGTGGCGTTAAAAAAAAAAAAAAAAAACAAAGGTGCTGATTTAAAATAAATAAGTGGAATATATATGGGAAATGTTGCAATCGTGAGTGAAACAAACAGGACCTAATCTTATAGGATTTGGTTGATATATGCTGTAAGGAGGGTGCAAGTAGTGGTGATGATTGTAGGTGTAGCCACTGAATAACTTTTTTTGTCTCTGGCTAGAGTTTTGAAATTGTATTTCAAACTGTGTAATTATTTTTTTTTCTTCTTCTTTTTCTCTTTCTTTGCACCGGTTTGCGCTCCCTCTTCTTTGTGACACATACTGATGACAACGAGTGAAACCCCCAACCGAAACATGCGATGAAGAATCCCCATCTCTTTATGAGGTCACTGGGTCGCTTGTGGGTAAGCTTCAGTTCCATAAACACTACAAAGGCGCGTCCGTCGTTAAACAAATAATCTTGTCTATCATCTCTATGAATTAAATAAAAATCTATAAGCTTTCAGGTAGTTCCTTTTCAAACAGGATCCAATCCTAATCTATGCTCAATCTTAACCATAGCTTTCATGCAATGTTCCATGAATATCAATGTCAATATACTATGAGGTCCAACTCTAAATAATTGAGCCCAGAAACCTTTGTACAAGGCCATTGGACCTTCAATAGAAATTGTTTTTCTGAAGCAGTCCAAAGGACCCTTGTACAAGTTCCCCTTCTGGTTGTACATTCTTGTCAATACAACATCCCATGGATTCATCACTATTGCTACGCCTAGACCTGCCATTGACGCACTGATGAAATGCAATAGCAAGGTGTTGTCCTTTGCAATGTGATGTTTCAATACAAAATTCTTGGTCAAGTTGTATACTGGTAATTGGGCTGCTGATCCAGCACCAGTTCTCAAAATGGCGGCGTCAACTCCTCTGTATAATCCTTTGAAACCTTCTGCTCTATAAATCAGCGTCAACCCATCTAATGCACCACTATAATACGTCTGTTGTCCCACTGCACCGGTTTTAGAATACGATTGCATTCTGGTTTTGACCAAGAAGAATGGAGAGGCTAAGACAGCGCCAGCTGACCCAGACACAAATCCAGCAACGACATTGATTAGTAAATTTTGTGGAACATGGCCATTCTGGATTTTCGAAGGGGCAAACATCTTTGTGAGATAATATCGACTAGGTTCGTAAAGCCCAATTCTGCATCCATTTAAGCCAAGTTGGTAAAAATACCCACACATCAATCCTTGTTGTAATCCTTTGATTCCCTCATGTTTGTAAATTGTTGCAAAAGCTTGGAGTGGGTTCTTATATAGTTTCGCCTGTCCTTTCAGCTTTGATAGTTCACCTTGTAATTGCATTCTAGTTTTAACCAACTCAATAGGATTGGTAAAAGTCACTGCTCCACACGCGGCAACACCACCGGCAATAAAGCCACCCAATGTTGTCACTTTTTGGGCATTGTTTTTAGGGACGTCGCTTACGACTGGTTTGTTTAAGTGTACCTCATGTGGGATCTTTAATGTGGACCGTGGTTCGCTCATTGGGGAGTAATAGCTCTTCAAGTTCCGGTTGTTCACAAGTTAGGGCAAGTTAGGGTTGATTGTGGACTTGTGAAAAATTATGCGGGTCCCACAGAAAAAAAAAGTTTGGAAAAAGAAATGAAAATGGTAATGCCCGGAAACGGCCATAAGTTTTGAGATAGACTCGTTTCAAAAATGATTAAACCAGAAGCCATGGTAGTAGGAGGGGTAGTATCTTCGTCGTTTCTACTGTCGAGTACCTGAACATGTGACCCCTCAGCTTTGAACCCCCCCCCCCCCCCCCCGAGTTTAGGAGACTAATCATTGAGCAAGTCACGTGTAAACTTTTTATCACGTGCTGGACGGCAAAATGGTTGCGCGGACTGAAAAGAATTTCGGGTCTAGAAGGGAAAGAGCTTTACTCAGACGGTCATTCCCAAAAGTGAAAGAAACTTCACGATGTTGAGGTACAACCTAAGACGAACATTCAAGCCAGTAATTTCACAGAGATACGCGTCAAGCAATTCAACCGCTTTGCAAAAATATCCCATCAGTTCCAAGTTACACGGATATGAAATCGTCAAGACTACCACAATACCTGAATTTTCATTAGTTGCAGTATTGTTAAATCATGAAGCTAGCGGAGCTCAACATTTACACTTGGACTCAGCTAATGATAATAATAATGTGTTCTCGATAGCATTCAAAACAAACCCACCTGATGCCACTGGAGTTCCTCATATTCTAGAGCATACAACATTATGTGGTTCAAAGAAGTACCCAGTTAGAGACCCATTTTTTAAGATGTCTAATCGAAGTTTGAGTAATTTTATGAATGCAATGACTGGACATGATTACACGTTTTATCCATTTGCTACGACTAACCCTAAAGATTTCGAAAACTTGATGGATGTGTATCTCTCATCCGTTCTTGAACCGTTGTTGAATTACAATGATTTCATACAAGAGGGATGGAGATTGGAGAACTCAACCTTAGACGACATCAAGAGCAAGCTCGAGTTCAAAGGTGTGGTTTATAATGAGATGAAGGGACAATATTCGAATTCAATGTACTATTTTTACATCAAATTTTTGGAGTCAATATATCCAACATTGAACAACTCCGGAGGAGACCCCACAAAGATGACGGATCTAACATACAAGGAGCTAGTTAATTTCCACAACCGCAATTATCATCCGTCAAACGCAAGGACGTTTACCTATGGAAATTTACCATTGGAGAGCCACTTAAGTCGACTCGATGAGTTCTTTAAAGGCTTTGAAAAGAGGCAAGGGCCATCATACTCCAAAGTCAAGGAGCCCATTTTTGTCACGGACCCAAAACAATCTTACAATGTGACAGTGCCTGGTCCTTTTGATTCAATGGTCAACAAAGACATTTCAGAGCAGTATAATGCATCGATTACGTGGTACTTGGGAAACCCGTTAGATCCGCTGATGCATTACAACCTATTCAAATGGAAAATACTCGGTTCCTTATTGTTCGATGGTCACAACTCCCCACTTTATCAAGAATTGATCGAAAGTGGGTTCTCTGAGGACTTTTCTGCCAATTCGGGATTGGATTCTACGAGTGCCCTATTTTCAATTACAATTGGTCTCAACTATTTGACAAAAGACAAGGTTAAAAACTTAGAGTCAGTGATCACTAACATCGTGAAGGACAATGTTGTACCAAAGTTGAAAGAAAACGATGCCTCATACAAGGATAGAGTTGAGGCTTTGTTACACCAAATTGAGTTGGGATTCAAGAGGCACAAACCTGAATTTGGATTTAGTTTATTGAGTTCGCTTGTTCCATCGTGGGTGAATGGTGCGGATCCGTTAGAAGTTCTCACTGTTGAAAAGATCTTGTCCAAGTTCAAGAAAGAATATTCAGAGAGGGGGCTATTGATGTTCGAAGAGTTGTTGAATGATACTTTGTTGAATGACGAAATTAAAAAGTTCAAGTTCACAATGGAGCCAAAACTGAACTTCGCAAAAGAATTGAGTCAAATAGAGGCCGATAATTTGGAAAATAAAGTCAAAAGTCTCACCAAAGATGATTTAAAGCAAATCTACGACAAGAATATTGAGTTGGCGGAGTCACAAAGTCAAGAACAAAATGCCGATGTGTTGCCCACCTTGACAGTGGAAGATATATCCAAAAGAGGAGCCTTTTATGATATTGCTGTCACACGTGCAAACAACAAAGACATCAGTGAGAGAATTGTTGACACCAATGGACTTGTCTATGTAAGTGCATTGAAGGAGATACCTTTCTTGCCAACTAAATATTACAAGTATCTTCCGCTATTCAACAGTTGTTTGACAAATCTTGCCGGTACTACTGAGACTTCAATTACTGATCTTGAGACTAAAATCCAGTTGGTTACTGGTGGTATTTCTTTTAACCACAAGATTTCGCCCGATCCTTATAATATAAATCTGATGAAATTGCAGTATCTGTTGAGTGGTGCTGCTTTAAAAGAAAATGCGGCACATATTTACGATTTATGGCGTGAAATTTTGCAAGATACAAGATTCAGTAATAATGACGACGTATTAGATAAACTCAATACCTTGATCAAGAATATGGGACAGAACCAAATCAATGCTGTAGCTGACAGCGGCCATTCGTATGCCTGCGGGGTTAGTAATTCAAAGATTACTCCAGCCAAATATATAAAAGAAGTGACTAGTGGGTTGAATCAGGTTCAGTTTGTTATGGAAATGAATAGGAACCTTGAAAGCAAAGGCAAGGAGTATTTAAGGGATGAAATTTTGCCTGTATTGAGGAGCATAAGAGATACTATCTTGCAAGGTGATTTCAAATACAGGGTTGTTGGTGATCTTGAAACAGTGAAGGAGAATGAGACTTTTATTGCCAAGTTTGATGAACAAATTTCATCTTCAACAGCTGCACCTTTTGCAACTGACGGGCTCGACTCATTACTCGAATCTTTCAAGTACAATCACGCTTCCGAAAAGAAACTAGTCAATCTTCCATTTCAAGTGGGCTACTCATGTTTGGCCAAAAAAGGCACATCATTCTCATCCAAAGATGGTGCTGCATTGCAAATTTTGTCCCAATTGTACACCTTCAAGAACTTGCACTCCAAGATTAGAGAAGCTAATGGTGCTTATGGTGGTGGCTTGACTTATGATGGGTTAGGAGGTACTTTAGATTTCTATTCTTATAGAGATCCAAACCCAGTCAAGTCAATCCAAACATTTGAGGAGTCATTTCCATATGGACTTGATGCGAAATGGAGTGAGAAGGATCTTACAGAGGCCAAATTAAGAGTATTTCAAAGTATTGATGCACCCATCAATGTCGCAAGTCAAGGTGCAACTGAATTCTTTGAAGGCATCAGTGACGATTTGAGACAAGAAAGAAGAGAGAATTTCCTCAACACGACTATTCAAGATTTGCAACATGTAACTCAAAACTACCTTGTCAACAATCCTAACAACCTATCGACAATCATTGGTGATAAGGATTTATTGAACGTTGATGGCAGCTGGAAAATCAAAAACCTCAAGTTGTAAATAGATATAGATGTAGATAAATGGACAGTAAACTGTTATAAAAAAAATTTGTTCCTTTATTGTATACTATGTACAAGTCGTGATTAATCATTACATGCTTTTCTGCACCGGCTGTGTCGTGAGCCCTTAGCGATGCCTTCTAGCATAATCCTTTGGCGGTAATTCAGCAATCTTTCTCTTTCTATCTTCTTTGAATAAACAATGTCTTTGGGCTCTTGGATCATATAAAATCAAGTTCAACTTTCTTGCACTTCTGGGTATCCTGAACCATTTTTCATACCCAGTCAACGCAGTTGACACCATCTTGATCATGGTAGTGTTTGCTTTTGCTTTGGCCATGTTTTAGGATGACCTTTAGGCAATTGTTTCAATGTTGTCTGTCTACTTATTCCATTCAATCGTATGAAATTTTTTTTTTTCCAACTTCACAAGTACCAATATGTAGACTTCCCGAATAGGAACTTGTATGAAGACTGGTTGTGTCGATGTGTACACGTCTCTTGCTGAAAGGAAAAAAAAAAAAATTGGTGGTTTGAACACGCACAAGGCAAAATCAAATTGGAAATTTTCATGAGGTTCTTTTCAACCATAATACCCAATCACCAAAGAGGAATACATCCCTGACATCATACAAATGCGGTCCTTTTTTAACATTGCATTACTATTCTCTTTCATAGCATGCGTAATTGACGCTTTGCATATTGAGGTTCCTGCATTACCACGTCCTGAACCAGTTTGTATTCGTGATTTCGTCCAGGAAAATCAATTGGTTGTCGTTAATATTAATACCGACGGGTATAAAGGAGATGGCCAAAGATTGGATATAACCATAATCGATTCAGTGGGAAATCTGTATGCTACTAGAAAAGACATTGCCGGAAAAGTCAAGGTTGCTTTCACTTCTCAACACAATGCTGCCATTGATCTTTGCTTTTACAACTATCAGGAACAACAATGGAAAAAACATGGTTCAAGAGAAGCTTCGGTGAGGTTGATTGAATTGGAAGTTGAAAGTGGAGCTGCTGCAAGAGATTGGAATGCATTACAAGCTAGTGAAAAGTTGAAACCTGTGGAAGTTGAATTGAAAAAGATTGAGAGTTTGACCGGTGAAATCGTTCAAGAGTTGCAATACTTGAAAAGAAGAGAAGAAAGGATGAGGGATACAAATGAATCTACAAACTCAAGAGTCAAATGGTTTTCAATCATTGTTATTTTCTCTTTGGTTGGATTTGGCGGTTGGCAAATTCAATACTTGAGGCACTATTTCAAGGTGAAACACATTATCTAGGCTTGTGTATACTACTGCAGTAGAGGAAAAAAAAAAATGGAGTTGACAACAACTAGACGACTTATCAGTATTATGTATAGTTGGATAATATCGATGTGAAAGGCTCCCAAGTCATTCTGTTTTCCTTGACAAATGTAACAGAGTTGTCACTCAATTCAAACTTGAAGTTGGATGTTTCCTTCGATTCTGAGACGGAATGGAGATAGTCCACGAAAGCTGTTGCCCTTAAACGGTCTGCATGTTCAAGCTTGTCGTAAAACATTGTGTCTTTGTAGATGCTGTTTCCAACGTCTTGCAAATCTGCCAATGTCAGCGTCAATATCCATTCGAGTACAAAACTCAATTTCATCCAAGATTGATAAAACTCCTCAAAACTATTACACGATTCATCCTCTGTAAGTTGAGCGTAAATTGATGGATCGTCAATCCAAGATACTACCAGATCCAAGTTGTGCAGCTCAAACTTGATGCTCTCGGGTGACGATGTCAAAGTTTTCAACAATTCGGTACTTAATCCCATCAAAAATAACTGTTTGTACTTGAATGGAATCACGGATACCGTATACAGTGAGTAATAAAACTCCACAATGTATTGATAATCGACTCGTTTGAATTTCTCACAAACAAATTTAATTAATTCCAATGCATTCAATTGCGCCAATGAGTTGCGTCCAAATGACTTGCCTGAAAACACTCTCTTGTCAAAGACTAAGCTCCAATAGTAAACAATTGCACAGATCTTAAATCTCAAGCACATTGAATCCATATTATCCGTGTCACAGTGAACCTTCTCCTCTTTAGGCACATCTCTTGAATTTTTCTTCAACTCTCGCCTCACTAGTATACTCTCGTGTTGATAGCATGCTCTTGGACATGGAGGTAACCTAGCTAGTCCATTGAATACAAACTCGACTACTCTATCATACCATTGGCTTTGTAAATATCCCAAGGATTTTAGTAGTCTCAGCAATAAGATGTTGGAGTTATCTTCTACCTGTAGACTAGCAAATTTATTCTTGTCGCTCGGGGTCTTAAAAAGAGTCGCATAAGGATCTTTTTCCTTGAATATATCTTGCAAAGTGTTGACCAAATTGTACTCAATTATATCGAAAATGAATAGTAATGTACTTGATTGTGCTTTATAAATGGTGTGACAATTAGATTCCTTCTTGTAGTAGTACTTGGTAGATAAACCTGCGCAATAAAAAGTCCAGTTAACCAAATCCCAAACCCCAAATCTACCATTCGTCAAGCGAAATTGATCCTTGAGCAAAGGCTCGTCAAATACTCGCAACCCGGCCCAGGGTTCAGTGAGTTTGTCATTAGTTTGGCTTGAGTTTTTGCATGAATCAGTATAGGAATTGCTTCCAAAACTGTCCACTTGCAGCGGATTGTATTCAGGATCCTTACTCTCATTCCCCTCTCCGTCCTCCTCTTCCTCCTCCTCCTCCTCGGAATCGGTAATGACAACCATGTCGCTACTCTCTTCAACAATGCTTTCATCGTGTCGCCTTCTCTTGACACTTCTTTTTCCTCTCTTGGTTGGTGTTAGCGGTTGCTCAACCGCTTTGAAAACTGTTCTAACACTTGATGATCGTTGCCGACTTGACTCCTTTGTCACCAAATGGTTGATCGTTGGTTGTAGTACATTGTAAGCGTCCTCATTCCCTGCGTATACTAGATGTTTGTATTTTTTTAATATGTGGATGCACCTATCACTCAAAGTCGAATTATGTAATAGTTGTTCACTTTGTCTCGACGCCAACTTTTGTTCTTGAGTTTCCACTAAGCCATGCTTTGGTTTTGACAGATCCGCAGACCAATTGCAACTTGCACTTCTCGAAGATATGGTCAACAACAAGTGAAAAATATCTTCAGATGGAATCAATATTGGGTCCAGAGGTAACTCAAGAAATGAGATCAAATCATCAATCACGTCATATGTATTCAAATTGACCGAATTTTCTTTCAACTCTGGAATCACACTGTCCAAAAAATTGCATTGGTTCTCTCGATAAACCTCCGGCAGAAATAACGACATCACAGAAAGATCAAAATTCACCCCCCTCTTGGAGCAATGCCTTCTCTTCGTATTTATCAATCAAAAAGGGGAAAAAGCATTTTTTGTAACCTCACGCACTACTAACGATAATACATGCGATAAAATTTCAACGCAACATCAAATCTTCATCCAATTCAATTGCAACAGAAAAAAAATGGCCACCTCTTTACACTTTACTTTTCTTTACTCTTACTTAAGAATTATGTTCGTTAAAGCTGAAACTCAACTCCCTCACGGTGGTTCGTTTTCTTTCGTCGAAGAGGTTGATGAGATGCAAAATTGCGGGATTGCTCCAAAGTACTGTAGTTTAAATGTCGTGAGTAACGACCTCCTCTGTGGCAAGTTCACTCGTAAAGTTTCTCATCTGGCTGAATCAAGCAATACAGATTCCTTTGCATTTGAAGATGCGGCTTTGGAAAAAGACCTTTCATGTGAACTTGCTCATACAGTACCTTATGTCGTATTTTCTATGCCACGCATAGAGGAAGTATTCTTTAGGTTCTACAATCACTTGTTGCAGCAGCAGCTTCACAAGAAGGTTAAAGACCCGGTCTTTCAAACGTATGACTCTGAACTGTTTCCTCTATTAAAGTCAAGAACTGTTGGAGGATTCTTTGTTTGGCTTAGAGAAATGGTAGTCTACAAGCACTACAATTATATCCCTGATGCCCTCGTTAGAGGGGTGATGATTAGAAATGCTGGTTTGATCGATGATGAAGACTTGAATATGTGGGTTGAGGTGGTGACAAGGGTGCCATTCGGTTTTGTTTGGTATCCTATTGAATACCGTTACTTATTTCAGTTGGAAAAGAAATTACACACGAGGGAAGATATCACAAGCAAGAAGAGAAAAGGATGCAATCTTGGCTGATATTCCAAAACGTTTTATAGCAAAAAAATCAGTTTAGTTCTATATGTGGTTCAATAAATGCAGTGCAATATTGTCAACAATGTAAATCCTAATTGAAACAATTCTTTATCCCTTGTCAATCAAGCTTGATCTCGTAGATTCGTTTTTTTCTCCCTAGCTAACCTTATGCCTCAATTATTCTTCAAGGCATGACAGAACCAAGTTGGCAATCAATACTGTCAAAGACTCGCCCTTTAATTCATTCTGTACTTCATCTATCTCGTCTTGCAATCTAGACACCTCTTCAGCTGTGCTTATACCACCATTATTTATAAATAGCTGCTTGTCAGCTAAGTAATTGACTCCAATCCTACCCAATCCGAGTGCTGACAAAACTCCCACCAACTGGTTTAGTATGTCATCGACTTCCAGGTCACTGGAAGTTGACAAGTCGTATCCCATCAACTTCAACAATTGCACTCTTGATATGGACTTGGATTTCGACACCAAAAGTAAAAACATTTTGAAATCGATAGTTGTCTTCATATGCTCAATGAAAAAATTTGAATTATTGGAGAACCTCGCTGTGGATACAGGAAGCGTGTATTCCAACGTGGCGATGAGCTCAGTTAAAAAAGAGCTATTAGTTAGAGCTTGCCTCACACTGGGCATGTCAAGTCTGCCCAACGGTTTCAATACTCGATCGAAAAATTTGTACTCAATTGAAGCTGGATCTCTATAATACGAATCAATCAATTGCTCATTTTCAATATTGATGGATGTAAGGGTATTGAAGGGCTTGGTGAATATCAACACAACGGCATACATAACGAGAAGGTTTCTTTTTATGAGTAATGTGTCAGCAAATAAGTACTTTGTTGGTTCTTTTTGCGAAACAAACAAGTCAAAAAACTCCTTTTGAAATTCAACAAACTCAAACTGCTTGAATAGTAAGCTAAGATGTAGAAATCTTACTATCCAGTAATATCTCAGTTCGTCATCATTCACTTCAAACAAAGCACTGTTTTTTTTCTGATAGGTAATAACAATGTTGTATATCTTGGTCAATGGCTTGAAAGAGGAGGTTGAATAAAGTAATTTGTCGCCATCCTTTACATACATCCCAGCAGCAATTGTGTAGTCATTGTCGTCCAAGGGAAACCAAATCAAGCTAAAAATGTTGATTATGAACTTCATAAACAAGTATTCGACATATCTATTTGCTTGAAATTGTTCCTTTGTTTTCGGCTGTGTTGAAAAGTCAACAACCGACGCGTATCTGTTCAAATAACTGAGTGCTTCTTGATACCTTGTTTGAATAGTCAACGATATCACTATAGTCCTCACTTTTTCGAAAAAATCAACCGCATTCTCTGCCTTCAAATTAGTCTGGTTTTCGTATGACTTCAACTGGGAAGCATAGTTTGCCAACCATGAATTTAGTCTGGTAACCCATTCATCGTTGTATTTAGAGACGTCAATATCCTGAGACATAAGGAACGATAGCATTTGAACGTATGATGGGTGTAAGGCTTGATACCGATCCATCAACTCTAGACACTCGATGGCCATTTCAACCAATTGAGTGGTGAAACCATTTGAATTTGAATTGACAAGTTTGTTGAATGTGTATGCAAGTTGGTTGATCCCTATATAGTCAATATCAAACATTCGAGTATCGCTTGGGAGAGGAGAAGAAGGTGGTGGTGGTGGTGGTAGTGGTGGTAGTGGTCGAGGAGCGGAGGTGGTTTATCGGTGGTGACTTTCAAATTTCCAAAAAAAAATTATGCGATTGAGACTAGACTTTGTGCAAGTATAACCTTTCCAAGGAAAGCTCTAGGGGCCAAAACTCAACCATTATTTGTGAATCATCTAAATAGAGCAACGTGATAACATATGTATTGGCTATATAGAGATAATCTACATTCATCTCCCCATTACAAAATGATTGAACTAATCAGATACGATGATGCAATATCATACAATATTTGCGCAATTGCCCATGTCAATGGAATCCAACAACTCATGGTCAAATTTCCAGCCTGGTAAATAGCAGCAAGGATAACACCAACAATTGCTCCTCCGATAAACCCTTTAAGTAACCCAGTGAAGACGTAAAAAACTAAGATGAATACACAAGTGAATACCTTGAAACTGTGAAGTGTTTTGTGTCTGTAACTGTTGAGTATACTATTTAAACATGATAATACACCAACGCAAAAGTAAAGACCGCCAGAAAGTAGCAATGACCAGAATACTGTGAATCTCCAGATATCCCACGAGTAGTATAGAAACGACTTCAAATATGATGGTCTTGTGGTCCCAATAGGCCAAAACACTGAGGGAAACTCTGGTGTGCTATACCCTATGGGTACATTTCTAGAGCTGACGAATATCGCCATGTAGACATTAGTCTGTAAGCTTGGTGTAGATTCAATGTAGGCGGAATGATTTCCTTTGAGTGAGATATTTGCTTTTCACGACGACGGTTTAGAATAATTTACTTTTTTTTTTTTATTTTTTCAGAGAATGTAAAATCGAAACAATCTCACTCTTACAGTCGCCACCAGAGAACAACACGAAAGCATTCTATATACATACCGTGATTCAACCAGCTTTGCATCAATTGATCTAGATCTGAATATCCTTTACTTAACAACACCAATTATAATAGTTTGAGAAATGTCGAGAAGATACGATTCAAGAACAACTATATTCTCACCTGAGGGAAGATTATACCAGGTTGAATATGCACAAGAAGCTATTTCAATGGCAGGCACTGCATTGGGGATAGTATCCAGTGAAGGTGTTGTGTTGGCATGTGAAAAGAAAGTAACATCGAAGCTTTTGGATGACGACGGAAGTGCTGAGAAATTGTACATAATAAATGATCAATTGATTTGTGCTGTTGCTGGTATGACCTCTGATGCCTCGATTTTGGTCAATAATGCCAGGGTTCAATCGCAACAATATTTGAAGACATACAATGAGGAGATTCCTTGTGAAATCTTGATCAAGAGAGTGGCAAATATCAAACAAGGTTACACACAACACGGTGGGTTGAGGCCTTTCGGTGTTAGTTTCCTATATGCTGGGTGGGATGATAGATATCAGTATCAGTTGTATACCTCTAACCCTTCAGGAAATTTCAGCGGTTGGAAAGCAACTAGTATCGGTGCCAACAACGCAGCTGCACAAACTTTATTGAAGAAGGATTATAAAGACGATTTGACTTTGAAAGAGGCATGTGAGTTGGCTATTAAGGTATTGTCAAAAACCATGGATGCATCGAACCTCAATAGCGAAAAGCTAGAATTTGCTACATTGAGTTTGGGCAAAGAAGGGAAAGTCTTGCGCAAAATCTGGAGTGACAAAGATATCGACGCCTTGATTCAAGCAAGTGGTGTTTTGAATGATAAACCAAATGACGATGATGATTAATTAAGTGTCTGAAGAAGAGATGTGCGAGTAGAAAATAGATTTCCTTTAATAAATGATCTATCAATGAAGGGGGTCATGTAAGGTGTGACTATGTAGCTTGTGATGCAAGGGTCCTTTGTAAAGCATTGAAGGTAATCACACGGGTTCTATTTACGTTGAAGGAAAGGTGTTTTGAAGATATTTCAGCATTCTTAACTATGAAAATCTGCGTGCGTGGATTCAATCAAGACATTTTTGTATTTAAAAATTGCCTGGCTAGCTCAATCGGCTAGAGCGTGAGACTTTTAATCTCAAGGTTGCGGGTTCGAGTCCCGCGTCGGGCTTTTTTTTGCTAATTTTTAAAGTTCTCTTCAACTAACCCTCGTTATGGTTTACATGCTCGCTATATAATGTATTGCAAATCATGTGTGCTCTCATTAACGTGTGCACTTTTTTCTGAAGTGGCGAGATATAACCTGAAGAAGGATACTGAGTATCTGACAACTTTGACAATTCATTTTCTAGACCTCATCACGGTAAAAAGTATTGTGGTTCATTTTCAGCCTCAACAGTTTCATTCTCGAAACATAAGAGCATATTTTGGTCAATCGGTGAAGATGGTCGCAGCTTTGCAACCAACAAGAATAATCTCCAGAAGAACATTTTGGTGAGCAATGCTGCAAAAAAAGATGAAAACGTTTTTTGTTGATCACAAAAAAGGAAAAATTTTTCATAATAGATAAGAGTAAGGCCAGACCCTTCTCAACTAAATGGAGGAAATTGAGATACGACACAATGATGACGTAGAAACGCTGATTCATCCATTAAAAGAGATCTCGTTTGGTGCCGCCTCAGGTATGGTTGGTAAGCTTGTCGAGTTCCCCTTTGACACCATAAAAGTTCGATTACAAGCCAATAACTCACATGCTACGTCGACATTGAATATGATAACGAAAACTTTCCATAATGAAGGGGTCATGGGATTTTACAAAGGGTTGAAAGCACCATTATTTGGTGCTTGTTTGGAGAATGCAGTTTTATTTAGCAGTTACAACTTTGCAACAAGTGTGCTACAGCATTATGACCCTGGTTTGTCAATGTGGTCCAAATGCGCCAGTGGAGGATTTGCTGGTTTTATGGCTAGCTTTATTTTAACTCCTGTGGAATTGGTAAAGTGTCAATTGCAAGTAGCCAACATGTCGGCTAAACTGGTTACTCATACATACACTTCAGTGATTGGAGACACTTTGAATCATAAGGGAGTTGTCGGATTGTGGAATGGATTGGGATCAACCATGGTTCGTGAAGTTGTTGGTACCCTGATTTGGTTTGGCACGTATGAGTACATTAATGCGTATTTCGAGACCGCCAAGCATCCATTCATCAAGAATAAGGATCTACAATTGTTGTTTAGTGGAGCTATGGCTGGTGTGTTGTTTAACTTTTCCATGTTCCCAGTTGATACTGTCAAGTCCAATATACAAACGCATGATATACTTTCTGGCACCAGTGGCAAGCATCATCATATGGCAACGGATTTTTGGAAAGAGATGAGAAAGTTGTGTTCAAAACCGGGGGGAGTCATGAATCTTTATAATGGATTGGGTATAACCATGATTCGATGCATTCCAGCCAATGCATTGATTTTCTATACTTACGAACTACTCAAACGAAATTTTTAAGTACGAAAAAATCAAACAAAAACTGTATTATAGATTAGATAGATAACAATGAAATTACATTAAGCTGTATTATCTCTATGTTATGGGGAATAGTTTGTCAGCTCTTTTCAAATCGTCCACATTTAATAAATCTGTTCCTGCTTGATACAAATCCCACAAGTGCAGATCAACCAAGTTCCAGGGCCAAGTAATGTCACCCCATATTCTTGTTTTCAAGTTGTACTCATGTGCTTTATCGAAATATTCCTTGAGATTCTTTTTCTGGTCATCGGTGAATTCGTTCCTAATTGTGGAGTTGTAATCATCACCCACTAAGCCCTTGATGGATCCACTTGCAACTCTTGACAATTTCGACCATTTCTGTAACTCGTCGTCATTTCCTGATGAGTTGAAGTAACTCAATGGAGCATCCAAGAATGTATATCTCACTTCTTCTTCACTCACTTTTTCAATTGGTAAATTCCCCGTTATTGTTAAAATCAAAGGTCCTTCATGGAGAGAATCATCACTTGTATTGTAGAAAGTTAACAAACCATCATCAATAAAAGGTTGCAACAACGGTTTCAAAGCTTCATAAGTTCCATTAGGCTCAGTCTTGAAATCAAACCAAAGGTAGACTGGCTGTTCCGGGTCATTGTAAAATATACCATGTTTTGCTTCATCACCAATAAACGGACTACCTTCACCGCCATCAACAAAATCAAAGCTGGGATTGGCGTATTTGAAAAACTGATACAATGGATTCAAGTACAAGTTGAACAAGGTATTTATTGGATGTAAAAAGACTTGATTGTGGCCCACATAAACTTCACTGCTGTTAAAATACAACGTTTCATTGGGCGTTGTTGTAACATCTGTGGATTCAGTGGTTGTGCGTTGTAGCTTGTAAGTTTGTGGGAAATGCCAAATATCACTTTCAATGGATATCGCACCCACATTTAATGCATCAAACAAGGGATGCTTTCTCCAATAATCGTTATGTGAATGCAAAGGTTTTGGATACACATCTCTAGTTAATCCTTCAATGGTGTAGTTGAATGGTAAGATGGGAGTGGATGTCGAGTTTCCGCTGTATTGCAAGATGGAATCAGTAGTGGACTCATTATTGTAAGACGCAATATCTCTACTTTGTAATGCTGGTTTGTATACGTTGATCATTGCTTTCGGTGGAGTCTGTGGAGTGAATAAATATGATAAAAATGGGCAACTGTCTAAACTTATATTAGCACTTGAAAAATCATGCACTTCAGGATATTTCGGGTTTATTAATACTGGTGCATGTGGGTAAGGGTATTCTTTTTTTTTTCTTCTTCTTTTCTTTTCGGCGAAAACGTGGGGGGGGTTGTTTTGTCGGCAAAATGAGCGCGTGGGCCCTTTCTATTGTCACAAATGACAATATGCACGATGACGTATGTGGGAATGTCAGAATTACGTTATTACAAAAATACAACGGGCTTTGAGACGGTGTTCATAGAAATACATTGACGATAAAGCGTGTGGCTTAGTGTAATGTCTATTTAGCTACTCAAAATACTTTCCAAATGTTGAGTCACCTTATTCATCTTTTGAATTGTGCTTTGCATAAGTTCAACATTGCTGTAGGACAATTTAAACTTGATAAACTCGCATAACGACGACACATGCTTCAAAGCTACTGAAGTGTTGAACAGTTCAACAACATTGTCAATTTCATCAATTGTATCAGCTTTTGTATCAGGAAATTCTCTCACTTCACCTGTTTGCAAAAACTCAACACTAATACATTTCAGGTCAGCCTTGATGCTCAATTTTACGTATTTTGTCAATACTGCTAAACTGCACATGATTGATAAAAGCCCTGCTGAGAATGATAGTGCATATTGTGGTAACTTATTCCACGACTGCTTGACTGTCGAATGCAATTCAGGGGAGTCGTACCATTCAGTTGATTTGTTGATGGCATTAGAGACTGGATTGGGCTTGTTGATTGATTGGTCATCGTTAATCAATGCCGGTCCAAGTACGATTGCGTAATCTGGGTATTCTTGCAGTGGTGCGAATTCAAGCAACGAAATAAACCCATTCATTGATTTGACGATTTCAATTAAGCTGCGCCATTGATTTGAGGTGAACTGGCTCAATTTGCTAGTGACATCACCACAATCTCGAATCTCATCGCATATGATCGGTGTGAATGAAATTTGATTAGAATTGGCTTCTTCTGTACTGTGGCTAAATTTATGCTTGTACATTCTAAACTTCATCACATCAGAAATAAAGTAGCTGTATTGTAAAACCTCGGAAACGCGAAGAATCATATTTGCAAACCAGTAACTAGTATTCACCACAATCAATTTCTTGTCCTCCTTGATTGAAACGTATTGATTCTTAATTTTGTTTGAGAATTCAACATTGAACTCATCAGCAGTAATCAAGTTGTCAAATGTCAATTCATCATTGGACAATTTAGTCAACAATCTCTCAAATATCTTACTAGCCAAAATCAAACTCGATGCATCGGATGGGAAATGAACCTTGTCATGCAATTGTTTCCAACTTGTCCTATTATTGTTGGCCAAATTTAACGTCATGTAGTCGTAATCATTCAAAGGTAGCAAAATGTTATTTGAATAGTGATCTCTTTCATAATCAAACTTGAAATCATCAACAATCATTGATAACTTGTAGTAGGGGCGGCCTTGATTAAACCTCAAGAGGATGATATGATGAATGTAGAAACTCCAAATCAACCGTAAAACAAGCTCACGTTCATAAACTTGTCTCAGTGTGCCAAACATTGAATTATTCTTTTGATTCAGTGTTCCTCTATTCGCCTCTGATTGATCAAATCTCCTTTGACTATAAATCTCCACATAGTTGTTCTCATGAATTGTTTCCAAAATCTTGGCATTGAATTGATTGATTAACCTCATATCGTACCTAACAGAAGTACACTTTGGGATCAACTTGTAACAAATCATGATCCCAATGCCATTCAAGTTGTCCCAATATTTATAAATATTTCCAATCCAGTAGTTTTCATCATTGCTGATTGCTAGGTGTGGATCTAATCTTGTTGCAGTTATGCATACTGTAGCAATTATTGCATGTAGCACCGAGCTGTCGGTGTTCAAAGACAAGTTCCTGAGCAAAATGTGTTTTCCAGGAAACAATTGGTGATTGGGTTGGTTGTAAATGTAGTAAGCCGACAATATCTTATCAAGAGTTTGCCAATTGGGGAGATCGTATTGGGCTAAATGGTCATCAGAAAACGGCTGTGTTGACTTTTTGGTCACAACTTGAGGTGGATTGGCAACAAATGTTTCGGGATGCAGGGATGCTAGAGGTACCTTATATCCATCAACCAGGGGGGCATCTCTATCATTTCTTAGGGGCAACTTTGACGCCATTGACAGGCTGGTCCCCCTATAGTCACTTTCCGACGACAGCGTTGTGCGCGAGCTTGAAACACTACTGCGTTTCCTAGATTTAGCACGAGAGCTTTCACTGTAGGAGTCCCTTTCATTTTTGCGACGTTCGCGTCGTTTTGGTGAATATTGGCCCTCGAGTGTTTCATCGTCTTCATCATCCTCCTCGTAACGATGATCATAAAACCGATGACGGTGACGATGAGGGTGGTGTTTGTGCATTCCATAATGGTGACGAAAATGTGGGGGAGGAGGCGGTGGTGGCGGAGGGAAATGTGGATGGAAGTGAGAAAAGTGTCCTGGAGGAGGTGGCGGCGGTGGAGGAAACGGCGGAGGGAAAGGTGGGGGTGGACCGTGATGAAACCCAAATGGAGGAGGTGGAGGTGGTGGCGGAAGCGAGTAATAATCATCCATATGGTGATGATGACGATGTGGCGGTGATGGTGGTGGTCCTCGGCGATGAGGTGGTCCTCTTCCAAATCCATGAGGTGATGGTGGACCACGTCCATCGCGGGGTCCCTTTGGTGGGACACTCGATAATCTAAATGAAGATTCGGTCTCTGTTTCATCGGGACGATCAATATCCTCGTACCTTCTTCCACCGCCTGGTCTTGATGCAAATGGGAACCGGGGGAAATCATAGGAGTTTGACCTCGTAGTGTCGCTTCGCACCATGTCATCGAATTCAGGGTACGGTGCTTTACTGAATGCACGACCATGTTCACTTCTAATGTTTTGACTTTCACTCGTGGATGACATCGGTGGCGGCAATCTATCCAAAGGAGTTGGAAAATTAGATTGGATTGGCGGAGGAATAGGTACATTTGGTTTATCCTTGCCACTTAAAATAAATGAGCTAACACGAGCGGTGGAGCTTTGAACACTATCATCTTGATCTGTAGGGGCCCTGTCGGTTGCATTTTGATTGATGTCATTTGTAAATGTGCCAGTGTTGGAACTTTCTGTTCTTGTTTTTTTCAATTGTGCTGTGGAAGTTGTACTACCAGTCTGACTTACTGAATCATTGGCATCTCTTCTCTTTCTCCTTCCTCCACGATTACTTTGAACAAACACACACTCTAGTCCTAAGAATTTACAATTTGAACAAGTCCTCGTCTTTTCTGGAACTACTTTGTTGATCCCATCCGCCGATGAGATAGCACAAACAGGTTCACCATCACATTTGATCTTTTTTTCACGACATGATAAACATGCACGTCGAGCAACCCTTCGTGACGGTCGATGCTGATTAGTGTTGTTGGATGTTTCTGATCTTAAAGTAGACATTTGTGCGGATGGTGAGGCAGATGACATTCGGGAGTTGTGTTGTGGATTGAACGTTGTATGGTTTGGTCTTGCGATGGGATCACTAGTGTCTAGCTGTGCTGTATCGCTCATAAAATGCACTTAACTAGTATTGCACGTTGGTTGATTAGATGGATGCGTGAATAACGAGTATTGTTATTGTCCGGTATCAGCAGTTCTAAGGTGGCGCAGCTTCTCAAAAATGTGTATAAATGGGTTCAATTTGTATAGTTGATTATGCTGTTTTCTTTAACAACCCGGGAATAAATAAATGCCCGCGACGAGAATGCAAAGGTTTTAAATAAATTTTGTTTGTTGTGCAAATTTATTTTTTCTCCACCTACAAAACAAATTTCATTTCCCATGGCTTGCCGGTTTCAATTACCGAAAAAATGTATTGAGTGGCTTATTCAACAAAGCCATTGACAATTTCAACTTAGTGCGTTTTGCAAGAAAATTTCTTATTCCTCATGACCAATGAGCAAGAAAGCCACACAGTAAAAGCCTTGTTTCAACAATTTGGTGATATTTGTAGCTAGACACCACGTTGTGGTCATTTCATTTTGTTGTTCTCCCGGCATCTAAGAAAATGAGAATTGAAAAATTTTAATGCCGAGTACTACTATTGAGATCTGCCGAAGATATCTTTACTTGCTAAACCCAACAGGATACATGGCACATGCACATAAACAACTTTTGGTGTTTGTATATTGGAAGGGATTAACCGGAATCACCAAAACGCCTTAAAAGGGCAAACGGCGAACATTTTTTTTAGGGTTTTTTTCATAAATCTAAATATAGATTCAGCACGAGAAAATTTTTTCTTTATCCGTTTTGGGAAATTTGCGCGCGCGCAAAATTATATGCCACATTTGAGGATTAGACGAGTTTCAACAAAGCTACACACAGCACGCTACAGGATTTAATTTCTGACATCGGCGATCTGTCTACTAGTTGGGAGATTGGCAACGCACATACCAGGGGGTTACAAACCTTTTGCGTGCCTTTTGGACATTCACGCCAAAAATACACATACCTGTGCAAATTGTATAAATCTCAAACAGTCAAGGTATACATCGGCATTAAGATAAATGTATACATCCATAAGGACTCAACCAATCTCAGTGTGTAATATGTGAGTTCGTATTAGCTCTCCGGTATAAGAGGTTTTAGAGAGTCGTTAAGTGAATACATGTATTGAAACATGTGGTTTCTATCACACCAAACGCAATGGGCTCACATAGAGCTAAGAGTTGATTCCCATAAGCTGAGTGGTATGACTCCCACATGTGAACACAAAGAAAATGAACTTAGAAGGGGGGTTGGATGCAAGCAATTTGTTGTGTTTGAATAACTTTCACAATTACACGGAGAAAGTTAAAGCAAACCAAACCCCCAGGAGGGGAAAAAAATTGGTATAATGGTTATCAAGTCTACCCGAGTTGATATTCAATCTCTTTTTATCGCATGTCCCACATACAAATTTACGCAACAAGAATGCACTTGCTTTTACCGTTGTGCAAATGACGTTACCGGTATTATTGTTGTGAATAGAATGTGCTACTCCTGTTCACACTTTAGTTACTCAAATTTTCCAAGGGAGAGGAGACAAAGGGGGTTGAAACTGAACTATATATAGGCAACCAAATCCTCCGTTCAAAAATTACTTGTCTTTTGTGAGTTTTGTTTCTTTCCCTTCTGTGGTTCAGTATAAGTAATTGGAATACATACATTTTGAAACTGATTTTGAAACAGTCTGTGTATTTAGTATGTACAATTAAAGAAAACACACACATCGCATTGTTATGATAACCCTTTATTGAATGAGTTACACCATGTTGATGCTAACCTGAAGATTGTTGTGATCCAATATCTCGAAAACCTTCTTGATAACGCTTTCGAGAGTGCGTTCGTTTTCTTCAATTATCGACGATGAGCATTGACTTTTGTCTGTTGGTATCTTTCAAGATGAGATACACTTTGAAGGATATGGGTGGACATATAAGTATCGTATTCAAAACTGGATTGGTTGCAACGGGGTTGTCTCCAATACAACCTATCTAGAACGAATCATTTTTCATTGCCCTGATTACTTTAGTTTCTGCATTGATGATGGCAACTATTTTGGTTTTGTTCGATCTAGTAAATCGTGACAAGTTAATCATTGTGATTCTTGATTCAATTCCATATGCGAGATAGAATGGGCTTTGAATTGTATACGATGATTACCTTATGTAGTTTCTATTCCCGATTAATGTATTGAATATCTATATTTTGTGAATAAAACTCTCTTGAGAAGACGTTCAACCCAGTCTGCCCATTTGTAGCAGATTGATACGGACTGTCGAGCCGTCTCGGTGGAAAAGGAGATGTTGCTGTGATTCCCTAGAAGAGTATACAACAACAGTTGCCCTACTTTTTGCTGGAGAGTAAAGAGAAGAACTCAACGGTAGTTTAAAATGTGCATGGCTCGGTCTTTGTACTAATTAATTATATGCATTTAAAGCATTTGATAGTCGGAGATTGTCACTTTCGAATCCACCTGCTAAAAACTCACCCGTAATAGAGCTACTACAGCCAAGTGAGACAACGTTTAGAGACGAAACAACTGGCTCGTTGCTGCCAACATTCCCATTCCTTGTATATATGCCTTATTATCTGTTACGGTAGCGCTTTATTTACAAATTCGCCAAATCAAGAAATCAACACAAGACACTCAAGAATTGGCAACCAAAAGTTTTAGACACACACAAAGCTATACATGATGATGAACATTCTTCGCTAAAAGCTGATATATACACCCTTACAATGAAACGTTTTAGATAATGGAATGATTTTCTTTTGCGGAGCAAATAGTTTAAGAAAAAAAAAAATCCAAAGACAATTTTTACTTGAAGCTAAAGAGACAGCCAAAAGGAAGAGTGACAATTTGTTCAACCAATCAATCTGGATTACATACACAAGATAATGAGAAGAAATGTCGAGGAACCGGGAACTTAGTTATAACCATGTACCTCCTTTATCGGCATCCTCGTCATCATCACTACCAGGAGGAGGCGGAGGCGGAGGAGGAGGAGCAAACTCCACCACAAGAGAACTACTTCAGCAACGAAAAGCAACCAATTTCAAATCCTACTATTTTCAAATTCAAAACTTGATCAACTCCAATGTCCTGTTGAGTTTGAAATTCGAGCAATTGAAAACGCCCGAGATCTTATCTACTTTGATCAAACCAATTATTGTGGAGATTATATCAATTACAGACAAGAGTCAATCTCATCTTCCCCCCACACAATTTTCTGACCCAAAATCAAAGCTCAAAATATCAACATTTACCATCTACATTCTTCTTCTTCTTCGATACGAATACTTGATTCAACTGGAGAACAATTTGATTTGTTTTGATTTATTGTGTACAAAAGCCAATGTGTGTGAATTATTGGCAATACGAATGTTGCGGGAGTATCGATCATGGCAACGAATACAGATGTTGTTTATAAAGCCACCCGCGGGATTGGCCACTGCCACTAGTAACACGATGTCAACTATGGGGATGATGGATGTCAATACTTTGGAATTGGGTATTTTGTCAAAACTGAAACGGTTTTTATCGCAACCCATTGTGATTCACATTTTGAAACGGTTTTATAACGGCGATTTGGTCTATGGTGGGTCGTGCTCTTATTATCATAGTGGAGAGTTTCGTGATGATGAAAAAAGCGCATTGTTGGGAGCGAGAAGAAGTTCGAGAAAGCAACCACTGTCAAGGTATAACATATTCACTGGTGATGGCAACAAGAGTGTTACAGACTGCGGCGACTATGATCTCGATGGAGATGGTGACCTGAGTGCTGATGAAATGATTTTTGACGATTCAATCGACAAGTTTTCCATTGTTCGCATATTCAACCGAGCACAACTTGTGCCTAAATATCAACATGTTTTGATTAATTTGAAATTGATCAACTTTGCTATTGTCTATTTTATTATGATTTTACAACCAAATGAGCATCCAGTCTTTGTTGAATTGTATTTTTGGCTCCTTGCACTAAGTTTCAATTGCGAAGTGTTTACCAAATTGACTAAAATTGATCATCGATTTTTGAACTTGGTTATTTGGAATCAGATTGACTTGCTATTTATTTCCATTATTGATTTGTGCTTCTTTTTCAAATTCATTTGGCAATCTCCACGATATTATCATGATGTATTCAGTTTGATTGGGATAATTTTGTTCCCACGAATATTATCCGTATTTAACAATTACCGGTTTTTCAGTTTAATTTTGTTGTCATTCCACAAGATGATTTTCAATTTGATTGGTCTCGTGTTGTTTTTTTTCACATTGATTAGTGGGTTCTATTTCAGTTTCATCACTTTATCATATAATCAAACGAGACAGGATGTGTTGTTCAACATGTTGAAGATCTTTTTCGGATTCACACCATCAGTTTGGAATTATTGGGATGACTTTAATACATTGGGTAAAATTATGCAAATGAGTTATTTATTCTTGATTCAATTTATTGTTGGGACAATTTTAGCAATTTGTCTTAGTGGGGTATTCACCAAGACCAGGGAAAATATCGAACATGAATTTAACTATTTCAAACTGAACAACTTGATTTTGTATTTCAAAATGGGTCAATTAAATCAAGAGCTGGGGGTGGTTAATTGGTATTGTCAATTATTCAAGATGCCCTTAGTGGGGGTCGTCTTGGCGTACGAAGCAATTAAGCATGTATTTTCAAAAAGAAGAAAAAAAATGGCCAATGATGATGTTGATTTGAAGCATTTTGCGTTTATTAATAACGACCAAGATCAGTTTGGAGATCAAGTTAGTATTGGGTATGTCGATACATCACAAGAAGCAGTTGCCATTAAAGTTAACAAACGACAAGCAATGAAGAATCATCAATCAATCAGTACCTTGGGTGGACACTTTCGCACAGCATCAACCGATTCGTTCTTTATTGATCAGTTGTTGAATCGAAAGTATGGAGTTCCAGGAAACACCACATTGGATAACAAACTTGATCGATTACAAACTCAAACACAGACACAAGCTCAAACTCAAGCACAAGTGCCACTGGTGAATCGAGTATTTTCTCGTAAAGCACAACTGCAACGGCGGAATTCACCTCCAATGCAGCAGCAGCTACAGCTACAACAACAAGTACCCATAAAGGTCCAAAAGTCATTCAATGTTCCAAGACGAGGATCGGTTTTCCTGCAGCCACCACCACCACTACAAATGAAACAACAACTGCATTCTTACGCTCCACAACCGTTCTTTGGCTCATCACCACCACCAACAGCAACAGCAGCAACAACAACAACAACAACAACAACCATGCCCTTGCTGCAATCTATGTATACACAAGATATCCTTACACGAATATCTAATCTTGAATCATTACTTGCCAAACGTATGGTATCAACCAGTGTTGATGATTCTAAACTGGTGATGATGTATCGAATTAATGAGATTGATGATTATCCAGATGAAAATGGGAACAGACGTGGAGATGCGCCAGTACAGAGACGGGTACTTGCAAGTGGACGTGTACGCGCACGTGTTTACGATGATGATGATGATGATGATAATGATGACGAGTTGCTGATCAATTCAGAAAGTGATGACGGGGATGAAAAAAGAGGATGCGATTGTGATAATGATAACGACAATGAGGATGTTGATGACGAAGAAGTATCGAATCAAACTCTTCCATTAAAGTTTAATACATTGAGTGACACTGAAATTGATCAATATGATAGTGATGAGACATTTTAAAGATGAGGAGGCATATCAGGTACAGGTAGTGAGGGTGGATTTTAGTACTAATGCGGAGATATTGTGAGGTTATAGATAATGATACACAATACATTCAGAACAACAAATTACTGAACTATCGTAGTGTGTTGGAATGCATACAGACATCTTACCAGTATGGAGTTCGATTTTACAAGGATCGAATCTCGCATGATCAGGAGAAAAAGGTATTGAATCCGTACGTGTTGTGCCTGATTTGGCTAAACACATTAGATATCATAATCGGAGATAAGAAATCGATACCTCTCTTTCTCTCTCTTTCCCCCACTCATTTGATTGTTGACATGCTGCCCCTCAATGATGATGGAGAAATTGTTACACAAAATCACTTAATTCCGTCTCACTCTAAATTCGATTTAATTTTTTTTTTTCTCAATTCACGAAATTCGGCATTTGACTAAAACATGGATCTCGTCCAATCAGAATCGAGCAGTTTGTCAGAGTGGGGCATAACACACACACACACATACACACACACATACACACACCTCATAACATCATTACAGTAACTAGTAACGAGATGACTTGATTGTATATGTGTACCCATTCATAAAGATAAGAAATCTAGGAGTCACTGGCCAAATGACAACCATCGTTACTTATTGATCTGCTTAGTAAAAGCGTTTACTATAAAAAATAAAAATCTTTAGCCACTTTTGGAGAGTTTTAATACATTTATAAATAGCTGTAAATTGAAACGATACCCCAAACCCCAAAGCTACTAATTGCAATCATGTAGTTGCTTACCAACAAGAGCTTCATGCTCTCTCTTGTTGTAAAAAAAAATGAGTGTTTGGCAAAGGTAAAGGTATAAATGGAGTGTGAGATAATTACCCAATTGAGTAAACCAATGCGGATGATTCTGTTGTTAAGCCGTTGCAAAAAAGACTAGAACAAGAAAGTCAAAAAAAAATAAAAAGAAATTTTGTAAGCAATCAGATTGTCTCGATTTTCAATTACACACAATTTTAGCCACTAGTACACTACCACTCATCTTTAACAAAAGACTGTTGCCATCACTAGTATTTATACAACACCAACATCTTTATCATATTAGTTGTGTTAAAGCTTACGGGAGTTAATTCTCTGGTATTGTATGTAAGATCGTAGTTGCAATGCTTACTGGTGTATACTTTATCCAATTATATCTATCTCAACAGCAGTAGTAATAGTAATAATGTATATTTGTGTATTTTCTATTTGTTTTATTGTTTGGTTTCAATATTATTTTCACAAGAATGAGAAGAAATTGTATTGATTCTTTTTTTTTTTTTTTTTTTTTTCACAAGAGAAAGAGATTTTATTTAAAAGTATTGATTCTTCTTCTTTATCGTTCATTCATTCCTCATTCCTCATTCAACCAAGCAACCTTTCAAAAATTACATAGCCATAACTGATACTTCCAATAGCTTTTTTAGCAAACACTTACTACAACAACCAACTGCATTTTATTTTGCATTTTTTACTAGCATACATATATACTTTTTTCGTCATATACACAACCTCATTATTCCACTAATTCAATTACCAAGTTCCATACAAGTACAATCTTTTTCACTAATGCCACACATTACTATGCCCATACATGATTCCAGTTATGCCACCTCACAACTAGACATATCTCACATACAAATTGGTGGCAGAAAATCAAAACTTGCTGTTGTTCAGCTGGAACTTGTTAAGAAAGCCATACAAGACATTTATCCTGAAATAGATTGTTCAATACTAGCCTTAAGTACATTGGGTGATAAAGTACAAACACAACCACTTTATTCATTCGGTGGTAAGAGTTTATGGACTAAAGAATTGGAGATTCTTTTGATGGATAGAGTTGATGAGTTTCCTCAATTGGATTTAATTGTTCATTCACTCAAGGATATGCCAACTCATTTACCAGAAGAGTTTGAATTGGGGTGTATTTTTCAAAGAGAAGATCCAAGAGATGCTATTGTCATGAAGCTGGGTAGTCCCTATAGACATTTACGAGATTTGCCAGCAGGATCAATAGTTGGTACTTCATCTATTCGTAGACTGAGTCAGTTGATTAAAAATTACCCTCATTTGAAATTCGAAAGTGTACGAGGTAATATACAAACAAGATTGAGGAAATTGGATGATCCTGAAAATGAATATTGCTGTCTTATATTGGCAAGTGCTGGATTAATACGTTTAGGTTTGGGAGATAGAATAACTTCATGTTTGGATGATGTTTACTATGCAGTGGGTCAAGGGGCATTGGGGATTGAAATCAAAAAGGACAATCATCAAATCAAAGAGATTTTAAAACAAATTGAAGACCCAATAGCCACTATATGTTGTCTCGCAGAACGTTCATTAATGAGGTATCTTGAAGGTGGATGTTCAGTTCCATTGGGGGTTCATTCTGAATATAATCAACATACACAGATATTGACGGTAAAGGGAATAATTGTTAGTCCTGACGGTACACAAGCTATTGAGGCTGAAGTTTGTGGCAAGATTAATGACAGAGATGCTGATTGTGAACGATTAGGAATTGAATTGGGTGACAAATTGAAGGACCAAGGTGCTCAAGATATTCTTGATAGTATAGACATGACGAGAATTAATGCCAAACCAACTGAAGTGTAATTGGGAAGACACACTTGCCTATGTATATATACTGCCAACAGTGTTAATATTAATAATATTAATAATAATAACAATAATATAGAGAATTACGACGTTGTTCATTGGAGACTACTTTTGCAACATTTTGTTCAGGTAATCAGACAACTAGTGAAGAAATCATCGATGAAAAAGTATTCAACACAACTAGAGTCCCTTTTTTATTCACCATGAAACTGAAAAACAAAAGATTCGGATTCAGTTATGTAAGAATTAGAGAAATTGTTTCTTTACACTTGACATACACATGTGAAGAAGAGTTTCCTAAGTGGAAATGTTTATTCCAAACACAACACCAGCAAAGATCAATAGTATAGTAAGGAGATACAAAACCTTATGGTTCTTTCCACAATATACCTGTTCAAGTATACAAAACGCGTCCTTGTGTATTTGTTTTTGGTAATTGTATGTGTATGTGTAGATTACATAATGTATTACATAACACTTCCACCTCTATTACACTTTGCTCCTCTAAAACCATAACAAACAAAAAAAGAACTGTGATTTATACAATTCTGTTTTTCCACAGACTACTTTACTTCTTTAAAGTCGATACATTTAAATTTAGAAAAGATAGATTTGGTTCAGGAATCCCAAATACCAAGATCATAATAAGAAGCGCCCAAATCAATTTATCTGAAGGTTTGATAAAGCCACCACAATCATTAATCTCATTTGTCGCATTCTCGAATTTGGTATTTTTCAATTTTTTGGCAACCAAGATCTAGAAAGTTTGAATAGATTAAAAATCCAACAAAAGCCTTTTGATTCGAGTATCTGAAATCAATGAATGAAGGGCTGGTTTGCTTCCTGGCTTGGTAAAGAAAGTTCAACTACAGCAGTAGAAGAAGAAGAAGAAGTGGTTAATAACAACAACACTAAATACAATCGACCAAAATTTGAATCAAATTCTACAACCATGGAAACTTCCAAGTCGACACCATCAGATAGAATAAAAGAGCTAGTCTGTCTGGATCAACCACTAAGTGAAATTATATCTAATCACCCAGAAGCATCTCGGAGTAAGGTGATGCAAACGTGTCAAGAGATTCTACAGACTAATGGTGAAGATGAGACAGCAAATCAATTGGTGCAAAGAAAAGTAATTGCCTATCAACTACTACATCATAATGATAATCCCGTACCAGACATAAAAATAAACTCGCTGACTCAAGATAAAGTCCAAACTGTCATCACAAGACTAAGAGAAACAGGCATGGACAATGCAACAATTGAAAAGATTTGTTCAAAATCAAATTTCGATTCTGATGTTAAAAAAACAAATTTGCCTACTCCACCATTAGATATTGAGCCAGAGAGCGCGGATCCTGCCGTTTTGGTACATCGCAAGAAATGGGTACAGCCGAAATGGACGCCAAAAGAGGACAAGATCTTATGGACTAAAAGAATAAAACAAGGATTGGACTGGGACGACATTTTACCATTTCTAAATCAGCGTTCGGTATGTGCATGTGAGCATAGAATTAACCAGGGCCCGCCTAATGTTAACACTCAAGAGTCCAACTTGGAGGAGGAACTTGAAGACAAGGAACAAGAACTGAGCTCCTTACCTTGGACCAAAGAAGAGGATGATTTATTATGGGAACTAAAAACAGAACGAAAACTTGCATGGAGTCAAATCTACCCGCATTTCAATCATCGCAAAATGAGCGCATGCCAAACTAGATTCTACCGCATTCTTCCACGATCAATGAAAAAACAAGCACATATTAGTGGCTCATCAAACAGAGAAGCAAGAACGACGACCAAGTTCTCACGAGTATCATCTAATAGAATACACAATCCACCTGCAAAAGAAAGTTTGGTGGGAAAAAAATGGACAGCAGAGGACGAGGCTTTGTTGTGGGAGGAAAAGATTGACAAAAAACAAGGCTGGGACCGCTTGTTGGCATTGTTTCCAAAGAGAAATGAAGCTGGACTTAAAGCAAAGCTATGGGAGCTAAAAAAGCGATATAATTATGGTGCTCCCAAATCAAGTGGCTCTTCTAAAAACTCAACGAAAATTTTGTCTGTGCCAAAAAGTGAAAAAGCCAAAAAACCCAGCAAGCAATCTGACTCTGAGCCCAAGGAGGAGGAGAAGTTGCGCGATTGTATTGAGGTTGACCTCACAAGCACGAATTTGACATACTCATTCCCAAACTACGAGATCAAAGAGATATGCACCCTTATTGCAAATCATCCAGATTTTGTTGAGAATATGTTGACGCTTGGTGAAAAGAGCTTAATGACCGAGCAAGTGCGTCGTGGCGTTGTAGTTGAGAAGATATATTCAGATTACCCATTGAGATCGAAATCTTTTGTTGATTCAAAATACAAGGAGATTGCTTATGCCAGCCTGAGGAAAGTCACTTTTAAAACTCAAGAGGAACGATTGTTGTATGAAGCTGGTATGGCATGTCTTGGAACTGGCTCATCTAGAAGGAGCACGAGGAGGAGTGCGGGCAGTGATGTCGATTTTGATAAACTCGAAGAATTGGGACAACGAGCAAGTAAGATTCATCCAGCTCCCAAGCATAAAGTCGATCCGGAAATTGCAGCTGCTAGAGCTAAAGCAGTGTTGGAAGCGAAGGAAAGAAAGAAAGCTGAGAGGAGACGCTTGCGAGAATTGGCCATGGCCAGGAGATTAGCTAATCCGGATGCCTTTCCAAAGAAAGATCCATCTCCACTAATAAATCTCAATCTCATTAAGCAATTGAATGAAAGTGCTGAATATTTTCAAACGGTGACTGGTGATAGACAAAAAGTTCAAGATGGCGCTAAGCGGAAACGTACTCAAACAGTTATCTTCTCCCCAGTTGTTGAAGTAAAATTGAAAACTAGAGCTCGTCAAGCTCAAAAGAGGGAATTGCAAAGGAAATTAAAAGAAGAAGCTAGATTAAAAAGGGCATTGCAGAAAAAATCAAAACAATCATCATCAAGGAAGAAAAGAAAACTAAACAAGAAAGGTAGACGTAGTTTTGATGATGAGTATGATGAGTTTAGTGATTTCGATTTACGCAGTGTGGAGCCAGAATCTCAACCAGAGGAAGAAGAAGATCACATCAGTCCGTTTGACCCACCAGACATTAATGCAGATACATTGGTGCCCTTGAATGGTCGCCATTTGTTTTTTGCATCCGTCTATGACCAAGAGGAGGATGTTATTTTGCCGGATGTGAAATTTAGACATTTACAAGATGGTGAAACAGCAAAGCAAGCCATGACAACCAATGACGACACAATTTTATACGATGATGAGCTTGCTGCTGATGTTGTTGGCTCGCATAGAAAATACTATCGTGATATGCCAATCTCGTTTCCTCAATATTCAACCGTGCCAGCTACTGCAACCAATCGAGACGCCAGCATAAATTATGCTAATAGCGTCAAGATTCGATTCTTGTTGTACCCACAACACTGTGAACTGTTTGTGCTTGCTGAGCCAAAGGATAATGAATTGGACCCGGTGCATGAAATAATCAAGGTATTTATGATTCATTATGCATTATATTTTGACCACTCCCTGTTGATCAAAAACTATATAAATGAATTGTGTCACAAGTTGGAACTGGCGATTGAAGCTAATGATTTTAGTGAATTTATTTACGTTATCGATACTTGGAACATGTTGATGTTGGAATTGTCACCCAATGACGCGGCAGTTGCCGAGATTGCTAAAGATGGACAAGACATCAATGCTGGTGCAAGGTCATTACTCAATGAATTGGAAATCAGGCAAGTTCGCAATGAAGACTTAAACTTGGAAATGTTTTATAATGAGATTTGTATCGAATCGATTAGTCCTGTTTACGAACCGGTTCAAGGTGCAGTTGAAATTATTGAAGATGATGAAGATGCCGACATTTCCATTGGCAAGATTGAACCACCACAATCCAAGTCCCCACCACAAGAGAACCAATCACAACAAAAATGCATCAAACCATCTCAATACAATTCCGATTTTTATAAACGATTACGGAAAAAGACTTCATTATCTCGATACGCAATCCAACAAATCCTCGTTCGTGTTTACTCTCGCGTCGTTTCCACTGATTCAAGGAAATTGCGTTCCTACAAAGCATTTACTGCTGAAGTCTATGGAGAATTGTTGCCATCATTCACAAGTGAAGTTTTGGAAAAGGTGCAATTGAAACCAACGCAAAAATTCTACGACTTGGGATCAGGTGTTGGAAACACTACATTACAAGCAGCATTGGAGTTTGGAGCTTGTTGTTCAGGCGGATGTGAAATTATGGACCATGCTTCGAAACTAACTACATTGCAAGCAAATTTAGTTCAAAAGCATTTGGCAGTGTTTGGATTATCACCATTGAATTTGAGGTTTGCATTGAAACAATCATTTGTCAATAATGAACAAGTACGTCAAGATTGTCTTGCTTCTGATGTGCTTATAATCAATAACTATTTATTTGATGGCGAATTGAATAATGTGGTGGGGAAATTGCTCTATGGTATAAAGCCAGGCACCAAGATTATCAGTTTGAGAAATTTTATTAGTCCTCGGTACAGAGCCACTTTTGACACAGCATTTGATTTCTTTTCCGTGGAGAAACATGAAATGAGTGATATCATGTCGGTTAGTTGGACAGCAAATAAAGTGCCGTACTATATCTCAACGGTGGAGGAGACGATTAGACCCGAGTATTTGGGTAGAGATGAGTTTTTGGGAGGATTGTTGTTGCAAGCGGGTGGCATGTTGTCGAAATCTTCGAGTCCAGCAGCAATTGAGAGCGGGGGCGTTAATGCCACTGCCACCAAAGTTGGTGCGATTGTTGCAAGTGATGAAGTTGATGAAGATGATGGAAGCGAGAGTGTACGTGGCATTGGTGATGGTGATGGCGATGGTGATGGCGATGGTGATGGCAACGCAAATGGAGGTGAGCTGACACCACCAACGGATCACAATTCTGAACCTGAAAATGATAAACAATGAGGCTGAAGCCACTCTGGACGCTAACACCTTCTCCTCTGTGCCTTTACTATATTTACAACCTACAAAAAGTTACAATGTATCACTATGTATATTTGAAAAATAAAAATAAAAATAAAATCGTCCTCGTCATTTTTACTTTGCTGGCGTTTCCAGCATCGCCTTGTCAGACATTGGCCCCACACTAGGTTCAACTGACCCCACTCTCGAACTAGCATTCGATGAACCACCACCACCACCACCACTAGCAGCACCATTCATCAATTTCCGCCTCTTGGTGGAGCTATTCATCATGGCCGGCCGTTCCATCTCCCGTGTTATTGCCAAAAGCAAGGTATTAACCCTCCGGCCAATCTCCTGACTTGTACGCGATTGAATAAACCAATCAAATTTAAAAACATCCGAGTTGGCAATCTCATGTTTAATCTTGTCATTTAATCGTTCATCATTTATACCGAATTTGTAAACGCAATTGAGTAAAAACTTGTCTTCAGTTTTGGAATAAATTCGTTTCGAATTGTTTGGCGGGTAAACAATGGGTAAATCTTCCCAAGGATCAATCAAATTTTCAATCTTGGCTGCGAGTAATCGTTGTTGATTGAGCAATTTCTCACGTTTTTTCTCCTGAGCTTCAATTTGAGAAATGTATTTTTCGTATCCATCAATTTGAGTGTATGAGTTCCAAAATTTGGTGGCATATCGTTTGATTTCAGTTTTAGTCTTGTTGCCCATGGCCTTGGCGATTTGAGCGTATGCATCACGTCCGTATTTTGCGGTTGCGTGAATGAAATTTGTGAAATCGCGTCGTGACCAAGTATGGAAACTTTCATTTAATAATTTATCCTTGAGATTGATTTCTTCCTCGGTCAATGGTTCAACATTGTTGATTTTTTCTTGTTCTATTTTACACTTGTCTTCACGACTTAGCTCATCTTTGTCCTCATCAACGAGAAACTCTTCATCAGAATCACCAAAATCATCAACAGTATATTGGAAATTGGTCTCTTTTTTGAAATTGAGTTGTTCTCGTTCCAACAACTCTTCTAGTCCAGCAGGTACAAACTGATGATCCTGAAAAGTGTAGGCCTTGGGAGCTTTTGGTTTGATGATGGTTTGCTTTTGTGGCTTTTCCTTTACGGTGATTGGTTGTTTCAATACATCTTTGTAATAATTGTCAACGGAATAAGTTTGTTCTTTTCTCACCCTCTTTGATGGATTGATCCAATTGAATCCGAGGTTTCCCGAGTTTTCCTTCTTGGTGAAATCTTGTCCATTCCATTGATAAGCTGACCCATCAGATGTGAAATTTTGTAAATCTTCCAATCCCAACTTGTTAAATTTCTCATTCATCATTTTGGTCTTTTCTGCACCTCTAGCCAAAATCGATTCAATATCATCATCAACAACAGTACTCTTTTGTTCCTCAAAAACTTTTTGTGCACCATGCTGAATCATTTCGATAAGATCATCTTTTGAACTACCGACATTAGTTCCGGCATTGGCTTGTCTTCCTTGTTGTATAACCAATTGATCCAATCGCAATTTTTGTGCTGCTCGTTCCAACACTTTTTCCTCAATGGCATTTTCAGTAACAAATCGATACACTTTAACTTGCTTCTTTTGTCCAATTCTATGAGCTCTATCCATGGCTTGAAGATCAGCTTGTGGGTTCCAATCAGAATCATAAAGAATAACAACATCAGCCGAAGTCAAATTGATACCCAACCCACCAGCTCTAGTTGTCAATAAAAAGATAAACTTGTCAGAATCAGGTGCATTGTATTCGTCAATTGCCTCAATACGGTCTTCGTGAGCAGTTGACCCATCAATACGACAATATTCGTATTCTCGAAAATAACAATAATCCTCAAGTATATCCAAAACTCGAGACATTTGTGAAAAAATCAATACACGACTGCCTTCTTGTTTAAATTTCTTCAACATCTTGTCCAAAATAATCATTTTCCCTGAGTTGTAAATCAAATGCTCATCGGTGGTGTATGGAGGACCAGGTTCGGCTCCATCAAACAAATATGGATGGTTACAACATTTTCTCAATTGCATAACAATGTTTAAAAGTCTTGTTTTCCCCTCTCTTTTACCAACAACTCCATTAACTGCATCTATATCCTTTTCCAACAAGTTTTTGTACCAAGATACTTGCATATCCGTCATACCAGTGTATACATTAGTTTCGATTTTCGGTAATAATGATTTTTCCACATCTGATTTGACACGACGAAGTAAAAAGGGACTCAATAATTGATGCAATTCTTGAATAACTTTGTCTTGCTCTTCAGCTTTTGCCTTCTCATCTAGGTCGTTATTTTGTTGATCAAATGTATCGTCAAATTGTTCAGAGTCTCCAAACACATCGGGTAGTAGGAAATTGAGTAATGCCCAAAGTTCATGAAGGTTATTTTGTAAAGGAGTACCCGTGATCAATAGTCTATTTCTGGAGTAGAACAACCGAATGATCTGTGAAAGAGAGCTTTGTTCATTCTTGATACGATGCGCTTCATCAACAACAATGTATTCCCATTTGAATTTCTTGAGTGCACTTTTTTCTCTTAAAACCATTTCAAATGAAGTAATCAATACATCAAAATCAGCAGTGTACAATCTATCCTTGATGATATTTGCTCTCAATTCTTTGTCTCCTTGTAAAACAACAACATTGACGTCTGGCGTCCATTTGGCAAACTCTCTTCTCCAATTGTCCAATGTTGATTTGGGTACAATGATAATAAATGGTCCATCAATGTGCTTGACATATCGAAGATATCCCAAAAATGAAATCGTTTGTAATGTCTTACCCAACCCCATTTCATCAGCCAAAATTCCACTTAATCTATTCTCGTATAGTGATATTAACCAGTTTAAACCTTGTATTTGGTATTCTCTCAATGTACCTTCTTTGACATATGATGGTGATTCTGTAAACACGGTATGTTGATTTTCTTCATCATCCTGATGTTCTTCATCTTGTAGCAACTCTGCATCTTCCTCCTTTTCAGTTTTCCGACGTCTGCTATTTGTCTTTTTCTTCTTTTTGGTTGATTCTTTAAATGACAGTTTACTATCGATTTCTCTAACTCTTTTCTTAAACTCTGGATCTTTTGATGCATTTAGATCAATAAACTTTCTAAATATAGCACTCAATCCAAGCAAGTACTGGAATCTTTTGGTTGCATCATCCTTGTCATTAGCATATGCGTGTTTAGCATCAACTTCTAAAAGGAATCTCTTTTGTCTTTCATCTGGCGTTTCTGTAGGTTCTTCATTTGATATAGTATGTGATATCAGACTATTTCTAGTAGTCATACTGTGAGAGTGTAGATTTGATTGATTGATGTAGTGTTCTAAATCTCTATTATGATAGCAACGAACAACACTGGTATCAAGTTAAAATTTTTTCTATGTTTGACTTTGGATTTTGGAAATCATTGAAGGTTTTTTCTTTGTCTCTCTATTTTGTGTATTCGTTTGTTTTGTTTGATATGCGTCTCTCTTTCTTATTTTGAAGGTTGCAAAAAAACGAGAAGACCACCACCCACAAATATTCTTCCAATGTTTAAAAGAATTTATACCAAAGTTACACGCGTATCTACTATATTGCCCGAGGGTGATTCCCAAGAAAGACTACCCAAGTAGTGTCAAGAGAAAAAATTTATGTGTGTGAATATAAAACTGGCAACTTTAATCCAAAAACAGCTTCCTAAATAGCCGAATTAGCATGGGTGGGGGGAGTGTGTGCTATAAAAATGTAAATATATTTTGTATGGGGGTTGTATATCGATCTCTAATGTATTTGGGTGTGCATGTCGTAAAAAAACGACTGTGTCGCAAAACTCAGATTCACGACACCGTCCTCTATACCAACAATATTTAGTAAGAAAAAAAAAATGTAACTATCCACACATTGATCGGATACTCTCAACTTCAGCTTACGCTCCAATCTATTACATCTCTATTGTGCTTTTGTAACCATTCGTTACATATCTTAAATACCTGCAGGTTGAAAAATCCCCGATGTGCCGATAAGGGCGATGGATGGACTGTCTTCAACACTAGAAACTGTCTACCGTCACCACCATCCTTTTTGTCACCACCACCACCACCTGCTAATATCTTCTCAAATGGTTTCAATCTCTTTTGAGCTGGTGATCCCCATGCCATTATAACAAACCCACTCTTGTGCTTCTGATGATACTCCAATGCAACTCGAATCACTTGTTCGGTAAATTGCTCCCATCCCCTATTTGCGTGACTATTGGCTTTATGTGCCTCAACTGTCAAGACAGCATTAAGCATCAATACACCACCATCTGTTGCCCATTTGGTCAAATTGCCACCACCTGGTTTACCCGATTTGGACAATTCCTTATAGTCTGGTACTTTAAATGTATCGGGATAATCAATGGATAATGTCTTGTAGATATTGACTAGTGAAGGTGGTGGTCTCGTTGGTTCCAATACTGAAAATGCTAAACCATGGGCTTGGTTGTGGTTATGATAGGGGTCCTGGCCAAGAATGAGACATTTGACTTTAGGTAATGGAGTCAAATTGGACCACGAGTAGATATCCTGTGGTTTGGGAAATATGGTTTTACCCTGTTGTTGTTGTGAGTGGAGAAATCTTTTCAAGTTTAGGAAATATGGTTTGGTTAGTTCTTTGTAAAGCACTGATAACCATGATATGTGTAATGTATCAATTTCTAATTGTAAGAGATCTTTTTGTTCTGGAGTTAAACTGTTTATCCACTCCTGTTTGTTAAAAGATGTAAGCTCGTGGGGGTGAACTGAGGTGTCCTTTGTCGATGCATGATTCTTCATCAGTTTGGCTTCATCTGTCACTTTTAAAGTTTTATCAGTATCCAATTTATCTGTAGACTTGCTCTTCTTGGTAGCAGTTTCAACTTGTGAGAAGTAGTCAGTGATCAAGGGTCTTTTGGCGGTTGTCATATCTAATGATCTCAGAGAAGAAAAGTGAATGTGCACATTTTTATAAAATTGCGCGTAAACAAACAATTAAAATGAACCGCGTCTATCATAAACATCAAAACTATATTCTTCATGCATTTACCTCTATTTAAAACATCTTTGTCAATGAATAAGGATACCCCGGATCCTTCTTCAACACAATACTAGTAAGACAGCTATACAAACAATAAATCACCAACGACACCAAAATAATCAGCCACACTCGTAAATTTTCATCTCTAATTTTACTCGATTCTGTCACTTTATAACTACCCAATTTGATCAAAATTACAACTGATGCCGCCAACGATGCATAGTTTGCAGCAACAATGAAAATTTCAATTGCATATTGATAATGTACACTTGCTTCACTTATGAAAACCAATTTCCCAGTGGCATCATCTTTAGCAATGAATGGTGATTGACGTTGTATTGAAAATTGAGATCCTCCAATACATAAAAGTATGACCGTGATTGCAAAATAGCACATAATGGCTCTTTTCGGCGTGTTTGATATAAAACTGGGACCCTTCTTTTTGATCAATACAACGGTTGTAAATGTAATGATAAATGTCTTTGCAAATGTACTCAATGAGCTCTGCACACCATCGGCGTTTGGACCTACTGCATCGTCAACATGCAAGTCAATCATCAATACTTCACTTAAAAACTTCGCAAACTCAGCCACCTGTCTCTCAAGAGATGCTTTTCTCAAAGGATACTCTAAATGCGGACTATCAAAAATATGCTCAATTGTACCATCTTCATTGACCCCCAGTCCACTATAGTCACTACTACTTGGTGGCACTAACCATACGTGAGGTATATCATCCATCTTCAACTTTCTAAAAATGGCAGCATTGGATCTATCATTCAAATCGATATTGAAAAATCGCATAGAAATTAAGGAGGATGCATACTTTGCCAAATACGTAGTGGAAACTTGTTCAACCATTGGAATTACTTGTTCACAAGGTTTACAATCATGCACAGGGTTTGATGATGTGAAGATTAATATGGCGTAGTAGTCTCGATGGCCCTGTAGATGAGATAAATCTGCATTGTGGATGTCATTTATGAGTTGGTCGTTATCGTGGGCTAAAATCGCTTGAGGGTAGAGAAGCAGTGGTAGTAGTGAGCTAATTGATATGACAGCCCATAGTGATGATGGTAGTACTGATGTCCTCCTCATGCAAGTTCAATGTTGTTTGTTATAAATGTTGTATCAAAACGGTGCGATTCTCATTTCATTGCCGAGAATTTAGTTAGATTGAAGTGAACAAAGATAAGCTCGATGATAAATGTACATTATGATAGCTCTATACAAAGCGGATGGCCCAAGTCGAATCAGTCGAGCTATGTACCATTGTAAACATGGCAGGCTACATTTTCTAATATGAAATAAATATTGATTGTATAATTGTTGTTCCGCGATTTGTTTATCTAGGAGGTACCTCTATTCATCAACGACAAACTCCTCCTCTTCATCCTTATTTATAATCAAAAACCCAGTAGTAACAATCGCCGCACCAAACACATACAATAAATTCAATTGAAACTCTTTTAAAATCCAATCACCAACCATAGCTAATGGAATAGCCATTGATAATCCCACAGTAACGGTCAAGGGACTAGTTAGAAGTACAGCATTACACCAACAAAAATCACTAATAAATGTAATCACCGCATTTAACACAAGACAAGTCCATACTTCCCTCGATGATGGTAATGACCACGTCTCAACTTTAGTAAAATGCAAGATTATGAGGATTGGCCATAGTCCCAAAAAGCAAATCAATCCGACAAACCCAAAAAACAAATGAGTATTTAAATTACGTTCCTTGTGTGAATTGGGGATTGATGTTTTAAACTTCAACAAGATTGTATAAATTCCATAAATCAAGGCACCTGATAATGCGAGTAAATTGCCCCATAATATCCACATTGCTGACGATGGTCCTGGATGCAAGTCTTTGTTTGGGTTGTTTTCCGATGTATCCGCTTTAGTCACAATCAAAACTCCCGAGAAACTGAGCAAGATACCCATAATCTTATTCTGATTTATACTCTCTACTGATACAAGATATCCAATGATTAATGTGAAAAATGATGATGTTGATGATAGTATGGTTTGTGATGCAACTGATGTATATGATAATGAAGCATTGGTCACCAAGTTTGCCGAGTACCAGAGGATAATAAACTGAATTGCCAATTTAAAAGTATCGTAAATGTTTATATCTAATGAGTTATCAACCACTTCGTCACCAATTGATTCAACACAAGTCAAACTTCCCAGTCGTCCAGGTTCCGGTTCAACTTGAGTAGCAACAACAGTGTTTAAATCCTCATCTGATCCATAGCTCCTAATCAATCCATCTCCATCTTTACTCGGTATCTGATGATATTTGTACTCATTAGTAAACTTGTTGATAAATTGACGCAATGTCATTTTCTTAAACTTGAGATAAGGGATAATGTAAAAACTAAAGCAACTGGTGTTTATCCAAGTGATGAAAAATGGTTTCCGATACGAATCGTCTTCAACAATGGCATTTACTAGGAAGCTTGATGATACCCATAGTATAACAACTGCTGATAAATTGATAAGACCTAGGATCCATTTCTGTCGTGAATGTAGACTTGCATCGGGGACAAAGAATGCAGTGATGTATCGAAGGACAGATATCCTTGTATTGGTAATGGCAGACATTGAGGGGGAATGTATAAAATACGTGTGTGTGTTTGTTTGTGCTTATCTCTTCATCAAACTGTGGATTCGAAAATTTTCTTTTTTTTCCTTTCATTTGCAATTTCACATTATTTGACTCTTCTCACTGCATAGATTCAAACGCGGTTTGAAATAAGTGGAAAAGTCATCGTCTTTGCCAACTATACCCTCCCACACCCATACACACACACACACAATGCCACCGAAAGTGTATGTATTTGCTTGAAACAATCGTTCGCATCCGAATTTAACTAACATAGCTTACTCACAGGAAAGCACCTAAAGTCAAAGTTGATAAACCATTTGCCTATGACCGAAATCTCAATAGTAAATTTAAATTTGGGGCTCATGTCGGTATGTCAGGCGGCATTTACAAAGCAGTTACAAATTCAATGCATATTGGCGGTAATAGTTTTGCCTTGTTTTTGAAATCACCACGTAAATGGGTATCACCAGCATTGAAATCAGATGATATTGCTAAATTTGCTGAATTGTGCAAACAATACAACTATGACCCAAGAACAGATGTGTTACCTCATGGTTCGTATTTTATCAATCTAGCTAATCCTGATCCTGAAAAGGAAGCTAAAGCATATGACTCATTTCTTGATGATTTGAAACGATGTGAGCAGTTGAATATTGGACTATATAATTTCCATCCGGGTTCAAGTTTAGATGGTGATCGAAAACAAGCATTGAAGCAATTGGCAAACAACATAAATAAAGCCATCAAAGACACCAAGTTTGTAAAAATTGTTATTGAAAATATGGCTGGTCATGGAAACCTTATTGGGTCGGATTTGAAAGATATACGTGAAGTGATTGATATGGTTAATGATAAATCACGAGTTGGGGTGTGCTTAGATACATGTCATTCTTTTGCTGCCGGGTATGACATTACCGATGAAGACAAATGGAATGACTTTCTCAAACAATTTGATGAGATTATTGGTGCTAAGTATCTCAGTGCTATTCATTTAAATGACTCAAAAGCGCCACTAGGAGCCAATCGTGATTTGCATCAGAAACTAGGTCAAGGTTTTCTTGGACTTGAAGTGTTTAGGGCAATTGCTAATTGCGAGAGACTACATGGCATACCTATTGTGTTGGAGACTCCAGTGGGAGACAATGATGAAGTATATGGAGAGGAAATCAAATTACTTGAATGGCTTGAAGGTAGATCCAAAGATGATGCTGAGTTTATTGCCAAAAGGGATGAGTTGTGGGCATTGGGTAAAAAGGAAAGAGATGAGCAATTGAAAAAGTTTGAGGTAAAGACAAAAAAAAAGGCTAAAGATGAAGAAAATGGTGTTGATATTACCAAAATGGTCAAGAAGAGGAAAGTGGGTGCAAAATGAGGTTAAAGTTACACGACCTTGTGTGTATAAAGCAGACAGTGCTGTATGTATAGTAGAAAAAAAAAAACAGATGTAAAAAAATTAGAATTTTAAAATTTTGAACTTAATCAACCAAAACTGTTGAGCACGCACAACTTCTGATTCAATCACATAATTGCATCCATTGTAACCCCCTCAATTGAAATGTTTGGAGGAGGTACATCTTCAGGATTTGGAGGGTTTGGTACAAACACTGCCACAACAAACTCTCCTTTTGGCGGTGGCGCCAACACCGCTACAAACACAAACACAAACGCATCACCATTTGGAGCAAGCACTAATACAAACACAGGAGGAGGATTATTTGGCAACACATCATCTAATCCCCCATCAAGCTTTGGATCCAGTAATGTTTTTGGATCAGGTAACGCTGGTGCTACAGGAACACTGGCGTTTGGAAGTAATGCTGCAACTACTGGAGGAGGAGGACTATTTGGATCGAATCAAGCTAACAACACTACTGCATCTGCATCACCATTTGGACAAACACAACAACAACAACCGTCATCAGTTTTTGGAGGTGGTGGTGCCCAGGGTACCTCAGCATTTGGGTCTACGAATACGGGAACTACTGGTGGTGGACTCTTTGGAAGCAAACCAGCAACTACATCGTCTTTTGGATTTGGATCACCAGCAGCAAATAACACAACAACATCCCCCTTTGGTGCGTCAACAGGTACAACAAATGCATTTGGAGCAACACTGAGTGATCCTAATGTCAACAACGGTACTGCCGTTAAACCATTTTCACCTCACAGCGAAAAGGATTCAGCAAATATCAATAATGTATTTCAAAATATATGCTGTATGCCAGAGTACAAAAATTTTTCATTTGAAGAGTTGAGGTTGAAAGATTATGAACAAGGGAGAAGATTCCCCCCAAATCAAGGAGCTACAGGAGGTGCTTTTGGTAGTACTGCAAACACGGGTACTGGATTTGGATTCGGAGGTACTGCTCAACAACAACAACCATCTACTGGAGGAGGACTCTTTGGTGGACAATCTAATGCATCGCCATTTGGAAACACTGGAAACACTACGTCCGGATTTGGATCTAGTTTTAACAAACCAGCAGCATCGCCGTTTGGATCTTCAGGGGCATTCGGATCAACACAACAACAAGCATCTCCATTCGGAGCAAGCAACACTAGTAATGTATTCGGAGCAAATAAACCCGCGACTGGAGGATTTGGAGCAAGCAACACCAACACTGGTGGTGGCTTATTTGGTGGTTCTAGTGGAACGAATTCTGCATTTGGACAAAAACCAACTACAGGGTTTGGTAGTGGCAACACCTCTGCATTTGGTGCTTCTGGCGGTGGTGGTGGCACTTTTGGCAACACTGGCGCTTCTCCTTTTGGACAAGCAAATAATCAACAGCAGCAACAAGGTAGTGGGTTATTCGGTGGATCCAATACCGGTAGTGCATTTGGAGGCACAACAGGTGGGTTTGGACAATCAAACACTGGTAATGCATTTGGTTCCAACACTGGTGCCTCCTCTGGAGGCGGATTATTTGGAGGTCAGCAGTCATTGGGATTTGGTGCTAAGCCAAGTACTGGATTCGGGTCCACTGGTGGTGGGCTTTTTGGTCAACAAGGAAATCAGCAACAACAAGGTGGCGGATTATTCGGAGGTGGGGCTCAACAAAATCAACAACAACAACAACAGGGTGGTGGATTGTTTGGTGCCAAGCCATCTGGGTCGACATCAATGTTTGGTCAAAGTGGCGGTACTGGAACCAACACCGGTGGTGGATTATTCGGAGGTCAAACCAATAACAATGCTGGTGCTTCTGGTGGTGGTGGATTATTCGGAGCTAAGCCAGCTGCAGGGGGAGGATTGTTTGGTGGAAATACTGGCACTACAGGCACTACAGGTGGGGGATTGTTTGGTCAACAAAATGCTCAACAACAGCCACAACAACAAGGTGGTAGTGGGCTATTTGGATCGAAACCTGCTGGTACAACCGGTGGTGGATTGTTTGGAGGTGGTGCACAACAAAGCGGAACCACAGGAGGTGGATTGTTTGGTCAACAGCAACAGCAGCAACCACAACAACAACAGAGTGGCGGATTGTTTGGCGGGTCAAATACTGGTGGTGGACTATTTGGCTCTAAACCTACTGGAAATGCACCTTCTGGTGGTGGACTTTTTGGCAATAATACTCAGCAAGGTGGTACTACATCTGGTGGCTTGTTTGGAGGCGGCTCCAGTAATGTTGGTGGTACAACTGGTGGTGGTGGTTTGTTTGGATCGAATCAAAGTGCTACGGGAGGAACTGGTGGGTTTGGAACTGGTGGTGGATTGTTTGGCGGTGGTGGTGTTAATGCCAATGCTCAACAACAACAACAACCACAACAGCAGCAGCAGCAACAACAACAACAATTGGGACAACCACTGTTTTTACAAAAGACCCAACAACAACAAACGCAACCATTGGCTAATATCAACTCTCAAGACCCATATGGACAGAACCCGTTGTTTCAATCGATTTCAGGTGCCACTCCCCAACAGCAGACACAAGGCTTTGGAGGTGATCAAAAGCCCAGGGCCACTGTACTTAGACGATCATTTGCAATCCCACATCAAAATAAAAAGGTGGTGACATTGGGTAATACAGCGCAAAGAATTACACCATTGTTTAAAGTTAGTGTATTACCATCATCAACTGGTAGTAAACCAGTGGAGAAGGTTCAAGATGAATTATTCAAACAAAAAAGTGATTCGATTTTTACCCCAGTTACTGATCTGGCTATAATCACACTGGATATATTCAGAAGTAATAATAATTTCAAGAAATTGGTTGTTGAAAAGAGTAGTGGTGGCAAGTACAATTTGGCTATAAACGATGGCGAAGGTGCGAACGGTGGTGATGGCTCTAGCAGTCCAACTAAACAAGTTTCATTTGTGTTGGATGGTGATAAGAAGAAAAAGGAACTAGATGGAGAGAAAGAATTCACCACTAAAGCAAGTAAAGACAAGAGTGAAGCTGCAGTTGATTCAAAGAATGGCAAAGTCGTTATTAATGGTGATGACAAGAATCAAACTGAAACTGAAACTGAAGCTAAAGGAGGTACTATTGCCAAACGAGATGAGTATGAAATTAATGAGGATGGATATTGGACGTCACCACCAATATCGCAATTACAAACCAAACCACTTGCTGAGCTCAAATCAATTCCCAATTTCAAGATTGGTCGTAAAGGCTATGGATTTTTACAATTTCTTGAACCAGTGGATTTATCAACAATGTTAAACATGGATGACATTTTCTCCTTGGTTGAATTTGATAACAAATCATGCATAGTTTACCCTGAAGATGATCTAAAGCCACGCAAGGGTGAAGGATTAAACTTGCCAGCAACGATTACATTACATAATTGTTGGCCATTGAATAAAACTGATCGATTACCGATATTGGATCCTCATTCGGATGTTGTTAAATTGCATATTGAGAATTTGCAGAAGTTGCCAGGTATGAAGTATGTCAAGTATGATCCTATTAGTGGTGATTGGACATTTACTGTTGATGAAATGTGAGTTTTGGTGGAGAACGAGGTTGTGTAGAATATATAGGGGAAAAAAAATTTTGATATATTTGTTAAGAAAAAGAATGCATAGAGTGTTATTAGAGATGAGATGTAGAGTTGGCTGGGGTTTTTTGAAAGGGTCCTTTATCAACTCGCTTATAGCTGTAGTGTTATGCCTCGTTTAAAACTGTTACTGAATCTTCTTTTACGAGATTTGCGAAAGTAGAGGTATGCATATCTCACAAAGCAGCCAGAGAAAGTGGGACATATAATAAAGTTTACGGGTCGATGTTTGTGGGGGGGGGGGTGGAGTAGAATGGATGATCGTTGGGGTTTTCTTTGAAAATACAAGGTGGGGAAGGCAATGAGTTACGATGATAATATTATGTATGTACCTTAAGTAAGTTTATAATGCAGGGCGAGGTGGGTTACCATGACTGAATCGATATATAATATTTTTTCAAAGTTGAAGTTGGGGGAATTGAAGTATTTGAAACGAATTGGAGTTATAGTCATTCAATTCATGGGAATGCGATATCATGGGAAGCATATCAGGTAATTTGGTTGGATAGTTTTGTTTCTGCTGGGGGTGGGGCGTTGAGTAGTGCATGCAAGCTTAATTTCGTCACTTTGTTATTGTTAGTAAGAGATTTTCTCAATATAATTTTAAGCGCAATTGCAGTGCGTGCGGACGACTCTCCGAAGTTTCCTCAAAGCCAGCACAAAAAAATAAATAACACTAGACTCGTTTCCAATTTGTTGATTGGCTGCAATCTTTGATTATAATGTTTGTTGTGGTACACAAGTCCATATTGCCTTGTTGTGTGGCTTCAAAGTCTGGGAAGAAAGAAAGGGGGCAAGAGGGGGGAGTTGTTACTTGTCAATTACCGCAATCGGAAACTTTTAAATGCGTCTTTTTTAAAAATGTACACACATTGTGTGTACTTGCTATAAATTTTCTTATACATTCCAAGCCATTCCTTTTACTTGCTTGGTAGTTATATTGTCTTAGCTGGATTATATTGGTTATTCATTAACTTTTTTTCCATTTTCCGCTTTTAAAGTTTTACCTGTCGCAACCATCATAAGTTAGACATTACAAGATTTAACTCTCGCAATTTCGTAAATACGTCGAAGCAGTAAGTTAGTAGTTCCTTAGTACCAAGGTAATCGCTAAGAAAAGAACAACAATGGCTTGAGTCGGGTAGAGATAAAACCACACATGTAGAAAGACAATTGTTTACATCTCATAACCAACATACACGCCAATACCAGATTAATACTCAATACCAAATAACCATTCTAAAGTATACTAAAATGACCTAGTGGTGGGGGTGGGGAGAACGTGCGTGTCGCAAAATTAATGAATGATTTTTGCGACACTCACAACAAATACGAACCAAAAATTTTGTGTAATACGTGATAATATAGTTATATGCAGTATTACACACAAACTACAATCAAAAATTACACATGACACACGCACGCACACATGTCACACACTTTAATTTGATAGTGTGTACACACACACACACACTAACACTAACACTAACACAGTTTTTTTTGTCTGACTGAAATTTATGAAAAATAAATATATATAATCAAACCAAATACCAACACCAACACCCAAAGAGATATATATACCCAAAGTTCATTTTACAATACATTCTTTTACTTTATTTAAATTCACCAAAATACCGATTTGCAGCAAACTGAAACCCTTTTTCATTTCACAATTTCACACTGTTTAGATAAAGGCTATACCCATATTATTACTATGAGTCACATAGATAACAACCACAACACCGCCAATCACGTCCAATTGTCACCAATATACAACTATATGCAACAGCAAGAACAACAACACCACCCTTTGAGACACCAACAAAACAATACTATCAACCTCACTGCAGATAGCAACCACGCCCACACAACCAACGATATCCCCGCTTCAAGGAGTCACGTACTGGAAAATAACCACAACCACAACAGTAACAACAGCAATAACAGCAATAACCATACAACTGACAACCACAACGGTTCAAAATCGCAAGTCCACCACGAAGTGAATATGCCCCAGAAGTTACCACTCCCACTACTCCCTCAAAAACCATCTGTTCTGCTGACACAAACAATGTCCCCACCTTTTGACGCTAGTTCCCCACCACAACACGAAAAAGTGGAAAGCTTATCAACCACGCAAAAGAAGTTTCTTTTGTCGACATCATCGCCAGAGGGTATACAAGTGGCATCCAAGATAACCCCTACTAGATTAGCCAACTTGTTGATTAGAAAAGGTCCATTGCCTATACGTCATATAACTGCTCAATTAACTATAGAAGTACCATCATTTGAGTTGTTGAGTTTAAGTAAACAAAGGCGGTTGATTATGGCAGCTATGGAACAAGTGGATTCTACTAATAACGTTGTGTTTGAAAAGATTGGTTGGGGTCAATGGGCAGTAAGGAAAGTTGATAGCGATTACATTGTTACTGAAGGAACAGAACAACAAGAACAAAAACAGCAACAACAAGCACAGCAGCAATCACAACAGCAATCACATGAGCAGCATCTTGGAGGCACGCCTCAATCTGTCCTGCCTGAAGGTCGTGACGGATCTAGTGGTAAAAAGCCAGGCAAACAAATTACATCACTGTCGATAGAGTTGGAAAAGAAGATGATCAACATCAACGATTTGCGAAACCAAACCAATTTGAAACTTGGATGGTCAAAGAAAAAGAAAGATGGTGGTGGTACAATAGAGAAGAATGGCACCAGAAGAGAGTCGATTACAAATCCTGTCAAGAACTTGCACAATATAAGATTACCTAATGAAAGTATTGACAATGCAATTGCGTCCGATAGTGAAGATGACGATGAAGAAGAGGATCGATTTAATGAACTTGAAGAGGATGAAGTAGATTTTGATGAAGATGACGAAGACGATGATGATGACATATCAGGACTTGATGAGAGGCTAATACGAAATGGAAGACGTACATTACATGAACACATTGATGAAGACGAACCTTCAAATAGTTCTGATCAAGATGCCATACTTGATGAAGATGAAGATGAAGAGATGTTTGCATTTGATGAAACGCCAATCAATCGCACCACGGCCATACGTCACAAACTGAAGGCAAAGAAACTGTCACCACCTTTGAAATTTGCCAATAGAGTTCCATCAAAGATCAGTCCACCGCCTATTTCATCTGCTGCATCGTCGTATGATTCCAAAGCTGCTGCTAGAAGAAGAAAATCAAGTTCATCGGCGCCCAGTTCAGTTACCAAACCATCCACTCTAAGACATTATCATGCTACTACTCACCATCCACACCATACACACCTTCTAAACAACCCTACATTCATCAATCGATCAAGATTAAATTCAATTGAGAATTTGGATAATTATATAGCGTCTACTTCATCAGGACGCAACTCAACTGTTTCGATTAGTCTGCCACCACCAGCAATTGCATTTAGTTATAGTTCAGCTGGATTGGGAGGAGGAGTAGGCAGTGGTGATGCTATTGATGTACGCAGTGCCGTATTTGGTGCATCTCCTGTGTCTGCAAGTAATGCTTCACCAGTTGGATCATGGGGTTCTAGTACGGGCAATCGTCATTATGTTATTCATAACGAAGAAGCAGCCAAAGCCAACAAGGGTCGACGTAAATCATCATTTAATGAATCACACGAACGGTCAACATTGAATAGTATACGACAACAATTGCAACTGCTGCTGCAACAGTCAAAGACTCTGCCTCAACTGAGTACTACTTTACAACAACAGCAGAGCCACCAAAGAAGTAGTAGTATTTCGAGTGATACTGATGAAGAGGATTGGCAATCTATAGGACCAGAATTTTTACGTCAAAAGAGACCCAATAGTGAAGCACTACCTAGTGAAGAAAGGAAACCAGTTGAACTGGGGCTTGTTGATGTTAATGGAGCCAACTCAAAAGGAAGAGATCCTATTGCTAACGCCTCTGATGCAGATGCCAATGAAGAAGAGAAATCAGCTGCGTTTGCATTGGTCAATTTGATGTCAGTATGAGCCGCAGAATACAATGCTGGTCAATGTATTATAGTCTATGCTATTTTTCAATGCTTATTATAAATTAGAAAAGATTAAATTAGATGGAGATATTGGGTATCCCACATGATAGGGCAAAGTCTTCCATAATGTAACAATTATTCCCAATTAGGAAATGAAATTGTTTCTTGTGCTGTTTTTTTTTTTTTTTTTGTTACGCGTTTCTCTCTGCACGCAACTCTTTGAAATCCTTTTTCCACGCCTCTTTAATTTTTTGTTTGCAACAGATTTCGAATACGATTCCACCACACCACCCTTTCTTTTCCCCAGTTAGCTCACTACTCAAACTATGGCTACAGCAGTTACTACTACAGCAGCTGCTATTCTTCCTTCAATCCAAGTGAAGGTCAATTACAGTGACTGTAAAGAGATTATTCGTGATTTTATCCAAAATTTCAAAGACACCACTAGAGACATTGATGACTTGGAAAACAATAATGATGATGATGAAGAAGTACCTCTTCATCAGGGGAAATATATGAATATTTTGCAAAAAATAGCTAATCGAGAAACCACCACCATCTACATTGACTTCGACGACTTGAAGAAATTCTTACAAAATTTTGATGCTGAATCTACTTCAATTTATCAAGAACTGAGACACTTGTTTCACACGATAATGATCAATACTCATCGATTTTTGGAAATTTTTAGTGATGTAATTGATCAATTAATGCCTGAACCGACTAGAGATGTCTCTTATCAGGATGATGTATTGGATGTTATTTTAAGTCAAAGACGAATTAGAAATCAACGTGTGGAACAAGAAGCATTGGATGAATTGAACCAATTGAGAGATGGAATTTCTCAACCTACTGATCAAGAAAATATTGCTAATCCAACAGAACCAAATTTGTTTCCAGCAAGATTAACCAGAAGATATTGCTTGTATTTTAAACCATTGACTACTGATCAAGATAAATCATTGTCAGTTCGACAAGTTAAAGGTAAGCATGTGGGGCATTATATTACTTTGAGAGGAATTGTCACTAGAGTTAGTGATGTCAAGCCTAACGTGTTGGTGGTTGCATATACTTGTGATAAATGTGGATACGAAATTTTCCAAGAAGTTAATTCAAGAGTGTTTACACCATTGACAACATGTAATTCCCCCATTTGCTCAGCAGATAACGTCAAGGGACATTTGTTTATGTCGACACGTGCTTCCAAGTTTTCTAGTTTCCAAGAAGTTAAAATTCAAGAAATGTCAAATCAAGTACCAGTTGGTCACATCCCTAGAACAATGTCAATTCATGTCAATGGTGATTTGGTGAGATCAATGAATCCTGGTGACACGGTTGATGTTTCGGGTATATTTATGCCATTGCCATACACTGGGTTTAGAGCATTAAAAGCAGGATTGTTGACGGAAACCTATCTTGAAGGACAATATGTTAGACAACACAAGAAGCAATATGAGTTGATGCATTTGACTGATTCAACTGATGCGAGATTGATGCAATTGAGATATGGATCAGCAAATGTATACGACAGATTAGCCAAATCAATTGCTCCTGAAATTTATGGTCATTTGGATATTAAAAAGATCTTGTTGCTTTTATTATGCGGTGGTGTAACCAAGGAAATTGGTGATGGGTTGAAAATTAGAGGTGATATCAATGTATGTCTTATGGGAGACCCTGGTGTTGCCAAGTCACAATTGTTGAAAGCTATCAACAAGATCGCGCCAAGATCAGTGTACACCACTGGTAGGGGTTCATCAGGAGTTGGTTTAACTGCTGCTGTTTTGAGAGATCCAGTTACCGATGAGATGATTTTGGAAGGAGGTGCGCTTGTGTTGGCCGATAATGGTATTTGTTGTATTGATGAGTTTGACAAAATGGATGAAACTGATCGTACGGCAATTCATGAAGTTATGGAACAACAAACCATTTCCATTTCTAAAGCAGGTATAACAACAACGTTGAATGCAAGGACCTCAATCTTAGCAGCAGCAAATCCATTATATGGAAGGTACAATACCAAATTATCACCACATGAAAATATCAATTTACCAGCAGCACTTTTATCAAGATTTGACATCATGTTTTTAATCTTGGATCAACCAAATAGGGAAAATGATGAGATGTTGGCACGTCATGTTACTTATGTTCATATGCATAATAAGCAACCAGATATTGTTGAGGATGTCGCAGTGGGCAATACCAATGTCGAGGAGGAATTAACACCAATTGATTCCAAAACAATTCGAGAATACATTTCTAAAGCCAAAACTTATCGTCCTGTTGTGCCCAAGGAGGTTGGTGATTATGTGGTACAATCATACATCACCATGAGAAAAGAATCATACCGTAATGAAGGATCAATCAAGAAATTTAGTCACATAACACCAAGAACATTATTGGGTATATTACGTTTATCACAAGCATTGGCAAGGTTGAGATTTGAAGAAACTGTCACCATGGAAGATGTTGATGAAGCATTGAGATTGATTGAAGTAAGCAAGAGTTCATTGTATGCTGATGATGAAGCAGCCAATGCATTATCAAGAGAAGATGAATCCACCACGTCCAAGATTTTCCAAATTATTCGATCAATGGCGATTGATGATCGTGATGGACTGTTGAAGCGTAATTTGTCAATGCAAGATATTAAAGATAGAGTAATTGGAAAGGGTTTCACTATACAACAATTGGAAGACTGTATGTTTGAGTATGATGGTGTTGGGTTATGGCAAGTTATTGATAATGGAGAAACATTGATGTTTACTAATGCCGCTGGTGATGAGGAACGAGAAGAAGGGGAAGGTGATGTTGATGATGAAATGAGAGATTAGATAGAGAAATTTTCCAGGTTCTGCACTTTTGTTTTAATATGATTTTTGTATAACACCGAGATTGTTGTAGATATAAAATATTAAGTTGCCCAACTATGTAAAACAATCAGACAATCTAGGTTGATTTGTAGGGGTATTTACATACGAGAAAGACAGTAGCAACACTGCTGATTGTAACCTGATTGCAATCATTACAATTAGTGTTTCTCCATGACTATCATATGCAGAACCAATTGAAACAATCTCATTATCTGTTTTGGTGGTAAATGAAAGATCAGGCCAAAGATTTCGGGTTCGCCCGTTCGCAATTCGCTATGCGTATAATCGCACCTTTCTTGAAAGTTCACGTGAAAAGCGGCCCACGTTTTGATGAAAATTTCCAAATATAGTAACACCTGCAACAAAAGCCACAAAATTGTAACATCAACTTCAAAGAAAGACAACTTTTATGTCATTATATCTTCTGTATCATCACCAAGTCTCATCCTATTAAACATGACAGTCCAAGAGAGTATCCAAAATGAGAAGGATCTCACCTCCAATTCATCTTTGAAAGACATTTTCAATTTCCAGATCAACTTGCCCAACAAAGGCTCAGTTGCCAGAGATCATGTATGTATTAGCCAAGTACAGGTTGCACCATCTTATTTAAACTACTAACTCCTCTCCAGCTAGCGAATGAACGAACATTTCTCTCATGGATAAGAACGTCGCTTGTCTTTGTCACGTTCGGCATTGGATTCATGCAATTTTATCGCTTAGAAGAGAAATCTCAATGTCCTCAAATTTCACAACCCTTACGACATCCATCATCATCAAGTTCTAGCTCATCAACAGCGTTGTTCAATCACAACATATCCGGCACTGTTATCGCTCTATGTCGACCCATTGGTGGAATGTGCATCATTTTGGGTATCTTGACCATCTTGTTTGGTATATATCGATATTTTACAGTCCAACGAGCATTGATAAAGCAAGAGTTTCCCGTGACAAGGTTGACTGTTGTTGTTCTACTCTTGATCAATTTGAGTATATTGATTCTACTTTTGGTTCTAAATTTCAAGATAAGTCTATGAGAAGAAGCTACGGTCTATACGTCATCTAATTCACCAAGTTTACCCAAAATGAAAGCAAAGTCCTTAATCATGATAGTTGCACCTTGTTTATTAAATGCAAAGTTGATCAAGCGCTTTTTTGCATTATGTTGACAGCATCCCAACATATCAATCAAGAACCCATCATTTAATGGTACTTTAGTTTGAGGATCATTATCCAAATTCAATGACGATTTCACATTCTTCAACCCAGGAAGTGTCAACTGGTATAATTCAATGTTTGCTGGAGATTCACCAGATTCCTGGATGAGCATCTTCCAACTAGATGCAATGTGTTGATGATGATTTCGAAATTTTACTAACTTATTCAAGTGTTGTATTAGTTTATCAATGTCAATTATATCGGATATATCAGCTGGTGTTTGTATAGATGTAGTGATGGTAAATGACAGAAGCATCTCTAGTGTGTTGTGTTGTTTGACGTTGCTATTGTTAATGGTGTAGTTTCCATCATGCATAAACTGGTAGTAGTAATCAACGGCTGCTTTAATATCAGTGGTGAAGCAGTTAGGAATATCCAACTCATCCAACATTTGCGGTAATCTGTCCAAATGTAGGTCCGTGTCATCATCACCAAGTTGCTGTGCATATTTCTCAACTATCTCATCTTCAATCTCTGGCACTATCTCATCAAATGAGGTGGATGGTTGAAAACCTAGCTTATTTCGTTTAGGTCCCATTGTTAACCAGCTGTATAAGTTGTGACTCTACGTAACTTGAATCCATTGCACCATTAACTGCAATGCTACCAAACTAATGTCATGAAAACCACGACCTATTTTTCTTTCAAAAAAAAACAACAAGACATCCAAAACTGAAATTCAATTCAATACACTTAAAAACTCTAAATCCACACAGCCATTGCGCAACCTGAACATAATGGCCGATTACGCATCACAGACAGTTGCTCAATTAAAGGAGGTATTGAAAGAGAGAGGGCTTAGTACAGAGGGTAAGAAGGCTGATTTAGTGGCAAGGTTGACTGAGTCCGATAGTTCTACCCTAGGGGAAGCAGCAGAACCAACTACAACATCAACAAATGCGGCAGAACCAGCTACGGAAACTCCGGTAGAAGCTGCAGGTGCTACTGTCAAAGAATCAGCTGCTGTTAATGCCCAAGCAGACGCTACTGAAGCTACCGCCTCCACTAACACCACAACCACGACCGAATCAGCCTCCAATGACACTACTTCTGAAACCAAAGAGGAGAAAGAAGCCCCAAAGGTATTAACTCCAGAAGAAAGAAAGAGTTTAGCTGTTGAGTTATTAAACAAAAAAATTGCTAGAGCGGAGAAATTTGGTGATGAAGCTGCTGCTGAACAAGCTCGTAAAGATTTGAATCGTGTTTCTAAATTTGGGGTTGAATTGGGTACGTCATTAGCTAGAGAGATTGGATTGGTTGATAACAAACTAGGTGATAAGAAACATCACGGACGTTTCAAGGGGAAAAAGTTTGGTGGTAAGCACCATCGTGGGTTCAAGAAGAACAATCGTAGGAATTAAATGCAATTAAAGAGTATAGTTTTTGTATATTGTGGCCTCTAGTGTATAAAAACGATACTCACCGCCGCATCAAACACGTATATCTTCTTCATCTTCTCCATCAGAAATGTCAAAATTTGGAACATCAGCATACTCAATTGGATCATTAGCATTTTGATCAACAATCAACCCATTGTTATCCTTGATCCAAATGAAAAAGATTGAGATAATCAACGAGAAAAAGTATATCCAGCTGGACCACACTAATGGCAACAAAATTCCCTTGAATGAGTTTTCATACATCAAGATTGTCAATGCTGATTGATAAATTAAGTCACGATCAGTGTGTTGTGGGTAATCTGGTACATTTCCAGCTGCCTTTACCATGAAAACACCAGCAATTATAGCAGCTAAGAATCCCGTAATAAAGGGCAACACCAAAATGACAAAGAACGACTTGTTGAATGCAGATACAGTCTTGTCAGTTGACTCTGCATCTGATGCAGGAGGAAATGTAGCAATTGTCTTTTTGGTTTTGAAGTAGAAGATAATGGACAACACAAAATAGCTCACACTAAACAATGAAGTTAAGGCACCCATGAGTACAATGAATTTCCCACCATATGCATTTTGTTGCACTCCAACCAAGTAGTTATCGGATGTTCCTTGCAAACTAAGAAAATACAACAACAAGACTACAATGTTGACAAAAAAAAAAGCTGTAATCTTTTTCATCGACTCTTGTGGGAAGAGTCTATAGTGTTGTGAGTTGCCATTATAGTAATAAATGACGCCAAATCCCATTGAAAATAACAAAATGGCATAGGAAGTGAATGAATTGTACAAACCATCACCGAATTGGGAAAAGAATCTTAATACAGACAAGATAAATGACTTTTGATCAGATCTTTCAAAATTGTTTCTTAGGAGTAGGACAAACCAATCGAAAACGTACACAACAATGAATGGAGCCAATATCAAAAGGATGATTGTCTTGGATATAACCGAAATCGAATCCATATTTTGGAAATCTTTGCCAACCTTGAACCTCAATATGTAGTTGAACAAAGCAGCAAACAAAACGACTGCAAGAGCAATGACATACTTTAATTGTGAGTAGATCAAATACTCGACATAGTTTAAGTTTCCGTAGTAATTTTTAAACACAACAGGTAGTTTGAAATCAGTCTTCTTCTCCTGATCGGGTGCAATATAAACACAATAAATCCCCGAGGTTGGGATGGCAAATTTGACATCTTTGTCGATAACTCCACTCCAATACTTCAGGTCATCAACTGAGTACCCTTTCGCAGCATCCAACTCGAACTTTCCCTCATCATTCAACATCTTCTTGTACAAATGGTCCTTATTGTTGGGATATAATTGAGTAAATTCTTCCAAAATTGGCACTGATGAGAAATTGACAATGTCAGGATAATGGAAAATCAAACCGGGAATCTTTTTATCGATAACATCCTTATTGGCACGTAGTTCGACATACGCTTTGTCAATGTTTTTCGTTCTTTGGACTGGGCTACAAAACACTCCTTGTTTGTAAGTTAAAACCGTTGGTTGCTCAATAGCGGCAACGACACTGGAGAATGCCAACAATAATACAATACTGATCTTGTGAAACATCAAATTGGTCATATTGATTATGGATTGCGTTTCCTTTTGATGAAGTTTGGTCTGGTGGGATAAACAGTTGTGTTGTATGAAAGAAAAAGCGCAAGATAAAAAATCAGATGGGTTTTAAGGAAAGAGGGAGGGAGAGAGAGGCAAATTATCGGATTTAATTTTTTTCTTGTGGCACGGCACGAACATTCGTCACTTACTGTCTTCAGAAATTGCGCCATATGGCAAGATCAATCCTGCATAGCACTATTTATTCTTTTCATCCAATGCTGCTTTATTGCTACTGCGAACCCATATGAGAACCACTAAACCAATGGTGAGGAATGTGTTTAACCAACCTGACCAATGGGTAAGTTGTACATTTAATAATTGTGCTCTCTCTACTGATTGCATCAGAAGTATTGATCCATATCTTGCTTGAGTATCTGCAGACTGGGTTGGCATATGATCTAGTTCCTTGAATATATTGGATATGAGCCAAGAGCCCCCGACCGCTGCACCGAGACCATGTATAAGCAAGGGCATAATCCAGATCACCAAAGTTGATTTCTTAAATGCGGAAACGACTTTATCTGATGATCCTATGTCAGGGTTAGGTGGAATTGCCGTCAATCGCTTCTTAGTCTTGAAGTAAAACACTATGGACAACAAGATCCAAATAAAGTCAAGTAAGAGATTCACACCATTCAAGATATCGGCAAAACTTTCTGTCGCAATTGTGGTCCAAACTAAAGGGATAGTGCCTGGTGATTGGATGCAAATCATTCCGATAATCATTATAGAGAGATTCACCGCGAACAACACAGTCGTCTTTAGAAACCAATCACGCGGGAATTTCCTATAACTTTGTGAATCATCATTGTAGTAGTAAACGACACCAAGTCCCATTGCAAAAAGAAGAGCTACGTACTGGTCAACAGCTTGATGGATATTCGTGGCGAGTTCCGAAATGAATGGTAAAATGGCCATGATCGAAACCGATTTGTACGGTTCAATCAAGTAGTTTTGCAGGTATAATTGAATAAAGTAGATTGTATACTCCACAGTAAATGGGATTAAAGTTAAGAGTACAACCGTATTCGTGATGGCTTTAACAGAACTCAAATTTTGTGAGCCTTTTGCATCCTTAGTCTTTGTAAGCTTCATCAATGCAGCAAATATACCCACCAAAAGTACCAACATCCACTTCAAACTGTTATAATACAAGTAGCCGGCGTAGTTTAGATTTCCGTAATACTTTTTAAAATGTACTGGCAACACAAAATTTGGAACATTGACAGGGTCTGGTGCAATATAGACACAATACATTCCGGAATCTACCACAGGAAATATAATCTCTTTATCTATGATCCCACTCCAGAAATTAAGTGAGTCAAGAGAATGCCCCTCAACGGTGTCGGTTATGAATTGACCTTCATCGTTCAACATCTTGAGGTACAACTCCGTCTTGTTTTGAGGGTATAAATTAGTGAAATTCTCAAATATAGGAACCGATGCAAAGTTGACGATATCATCATAATTGAATATCAAACCAGGGATTTTGTAGTCAGCTATAATTTCATTTACAAGAAGTTTGACATATGAGCCGTCATTATTGGGTTTTGCTTGAACTCGACGGCAAATGGCACCGCTGTCATTAGTGAGTACTGTGAAGTTTCTGCCAAGCACGGAAACAAAAAAAAGACACAAACTTAAGCAATTGCATAGCAAAGTCATCTCTGGGGTCTAATTTGTTCTTGATGCAATTTTCAAGAAAGAAAACTGAACCCAATTGATTCCCAAAAATTGAATTGTGTATTGTTCGTGTAACGAAATAGGTCGGCTGCAACTCTCGTACGGCACAAAATTGAAAATTTCTCGCAATGAGTTATGACAACAGAGGACGCAGAAGAAAACAATAGGATTTGGGTTCGGAAAAGCGCCTGACAAATCAAAGACCAAATTCTCTTTGGTTGTTTCCTTGCTTTTCGCTATTTATAGATATTTTGAATGACCATTTTCTCTCCGGTTGTTATGAGCTACAATATGAACAATAGACTAGCTCCATTCGCTAGACGAAATCACTTGCCAAAGATTGAAAAGTGCTTCATCACCACTACGTATTGCAATGAGATCTTCAATATCATTTATTTTAACCGACCTATAGTATATAAATCTCACACTACGTTTCCTCCACCAATCTACTGATCCACAATCAACTCATCACATCCCCAATCTTCATATGATCCATCTGGCAAATACCTTCTAATCACCAAAGGTATCTTTCTCTGCGACAACTCCTTCATGGCTATTTGCAAAGGATCAGTCTCACCTTCAATATCGACCAAAACTGGAGCATTCAATGAAATTTGCAACGCTCTAGTACCCAAAATTCTCGCACGCTCGTATTTAGTCATGTAAGGGGTAGTAGTTCTTTGGTCTTTGGGTATAGCTAGTTCCTTGGTTGTCTTTTTCCTCTGTTGTTGAGCTGCACTAGCTGCAGCGACACCAGCTGCAGCGTCATCGGGTCCAATACCTCCATTGATGATTTGTCTTCCATCATCAGTGGTTATTTGAGCATCACCACCGTTTGGATCGTCATATTCATTATCGGAAAAGTGATCTGGTGCATCAAAGTCCTCGTATGCGTCCGCTACCTCGCGAAATGCATCATCTTCGTAATCGGACATATCTAACGATTGTGAGATGGGGTAAATCTGATACCATCGGGTTTTCGATGAAAAGAAAAAATGAAAAGTTATAGAGACGTCAAAATTGATCATTTACACGACTAACTTAACTAACTTTCTATTCCATTATCATAACTTACTTGCTCTAAACCCATTCAATCTAAACTTCAAATCCTTATGGATCTTTGCCGTTGGCTTCCATTGTTCAAATGTGTCGTATAGTTCGTGCACTTCGGTGAACCCATTAGTCAAACTCGTCTCCTCCTTGGAACCATCGTGCTCATTGATAAAATAGTTTCTGCTGGGCCAATTCTTTTCAATGTTGAACAACAATCCTCGTAAACACCATGGTAAAATATACGGATTGGTGCCAATTTTACCCACATTGAACTCCTTGATGTAAACCTGATTAGAAACTGGTAACTCGCTATTATCAAAATCGTCGTAGTCTATCTTCCCATCATGAGGGATGACCAAGTCATCTGTATCCAAAAAATATTTTATCCCCAAATCATATACTTTACCGTCATTGTAAATTTTCGAATGTCCACCACCCGTTAATGGTCCAGCCAAGGATGTGCTCAACTCTTTGATGACATTGTTGTCAAAATACCCCAAATTCAAAAGATTCGAACAAATGGATACAAGTTTCTCAATAAACGTTGGTGTCGAAGATGCATAATCGATATAGCAAGCACGATAAATGTTTGGATGAAATACATGGGAGGCCAATGCCGAATATAATGGCACTAGTTGATCATTAATTGATCCAATGAAGCATATCTTCACATTGACATTGATAATGGTTCGTATTGATTCTCTGTACACCACAGACTGAGAACTGTCAAATTTCGTCAACTCAAACAATTCATTCAATGACTCATGCTCAATGGCAGAATAAGCCTTCATGAAAAATGACTTGTCAGCTCCATAAAATGGGCCATTGTTGATACCAGCCATACCAAGTAATCCTATTCGTTTATGTATCGGGTCCTTTAAAATCCCCATGCGAATTAACCTGGCAAGTAAAATGATCGAAACTACACATCCTTGTGAATGTGATGCAATGAATATAAAATCAGCATTGTTGAGTTCCTTTTCCCATTTTTGTAAGATTTCAGTGAAAAAATGAACCCGATCGAAAATTTTACCTTCCTTCTCCAAAGCAATCTTTTGAATACTAACATTCGACTGATCATCATCTATAAGATTGTTATCAATACAATAACGAATGACGGCTTTTTCTGCTTCATTGGCAAATTTCAAGGAAGTACCCTTGGGTGCACCAATAATTGGACGTATCATTCGCGTTGGAAAGAAACCATGCACTCCGATGATTAAAATGTTTTTAATCTTTTTCAAAGGACCTGACTTGTGATTTACAACCTCTGTGTTCACGGGGCCCCTTCTCCTGTTCCTATTGTTGATCAAGAGGTTGCCCATAGCATCGTTGGTGATTGTTATGGCATTAGGATCATCTTGATCCTCTTGATACTGCGAAATTGGATCATCAGTACTATGATAATACTTGTTATAGTTTGGTAAGCAAGCACGTTTGTATTGTGGTAGCACTGCCAAAGACTTGCCGTAGAGCTTATATGATCTTTCGTATAGTAATCCCACATTTTCTTCAGCTTTGTTATCAGGCCCCTGTTCTGCGTCAGCAGGGTTGGTGAAGCCAAACTTGGCTGATATTTGGGTCAAGAATTGTCTCCAGTTTTTTAAATCTGTTCTGATGGTTTGATTGGAATTGTTGGGATTTGAAGTTGAAGAATTGTGAAACACATGTCCTTCAGAAGCTATGGGGAGGCACGTTGACCAGTTAGGTACAATGACATTTTCTTTCAAGTTTTCGTTTTTGTGAGTATTGATTTGGTTAAATTGGGCTGCTTTGTCGTGTGGTTTGTACAATACGGCATCATCTTGTTGAACTTCGTCGGGTACTTTTTTTGCAGCATTGGTCAACTCCTGTCTAGTGGGGATCGATGGAGTCAAGATTGTGTTTGTCTCAATACTTGATTTGCTGACCTTTTCTTCTTTCTTGTCTTCTTTCTTGTCCTCTTTCTTGTCCTCTTTCTTGTCCTCTTTCTTGTCCTCTTTCTTGTCCTCTTTGACATCATCCTTCACGCCCTCCCTTTTATCGTCTTTCTTGTTATCTTCCACCTCGTCTTTCTTTGCTGATTGATCACCATTGGCTACATTAGCACTATTCTTTGAATTGCTATTCCAAAACCAATTTATGCCTCTTCGTGGGGCAGCCACGTGGTCGTCTATCTCATCACCATTGTCATCAGCAACATCATCTTCGTCGTTGCTATTACTTGTCGGTTCAATCTCCTCATCATTCCCATCATCACGTTCCTCATCTTCATTTATATCTTCGACATTCTCCGATGCAGCTTGGTGATGGCTTATCGGTTCCCTTTTCCAGTTTAGCCAACCGCCTGATGTTTTATTAGAGGCTAGTGAAGTGGTTGATGTCTTTTGTCGCAACGTTAGTTGTCGTGGTTGTAAAGTTGCCACTGGTTTTCTTTTTGCTCCCACGCTTTCCTCGGACACTTCTTCTGCTCCAATTTGTTTTGTTTGGACATTTTGGTCCTGGTTGCTTCCCTCAGTGCCATTATTCTTATTGGACCAAAAGTTAAACCACGATGAAGAAGGTATACTCATTTAAAACCGTTGAGAGATGTGAGGAGTTGTTAAAACTTTTTTGAAAAGTTGTTAGTTGATGCAATGCTGAGGGCTGGTTCTTTTGGAAATATGCTTTAATGCAGTAGTTGAGGGTACAAATTTCGATGAATGAAATATGGTTCCTATTCCTATTCCGGATATCGCAAACATTTTTTAGGCTCTCTTGCGCATTTCAATTTTTTCTTTCTCTCTTTACCCCAACAGAAAATATAATTTGGAGACAAAATCCACAAAATCGCCATGTGAAAAACTTAGCCTTATACGTCAAATAGTGCATGCATCATCTACACATTACTACTAACACAACTGCCAAACAGATTTACCGAAAAAATCCAAATCCATTAAATCATTACAAACTCTATGAAACAAAATGAATGAATAAAAAAAAAAAAAAAAAAACGTCCATAAACGAAGCCAAACTCCATCATTTGCTGGCAACTCAACATCCAATGAGACTATTCTTTGGGAATGTGTACCCACCATCTTCAAAACTTGTCAAGTTTACATTTTCATAAATATTCAAGTGTTGTTCAATATAGTCATAAGTTGGGTAGTCTTCGGGGTCACATCCAGTATTGATTGCATCCAGCGGTTGGTATATCCTGACATAATCGATTCTAAAAGTTGCTGGAAATGAAATCATTGCCCAGTCGATATAAGCCCAATTGTTTGAAACTCCCAAGTTCATAATGATAGACATTGGCTCCTTTGACAATTGTCTCCAGCCTATGTTACCATTTGGATGTAAAGCTGTGGGGTAAACCGTGAGTGTTGGATCACGACCGACAAACCACCTCAAGTAACCATCAGTGTCATCATTAATATATTCGTAACCATAACGTTGGAAGTTATGCTCATAAGCGTTGCCTTTCTCGTACCATGTCCTATTCAACATGGTGGTGGCAGAAAAAGCCTGCTGGAACGGACCACCAGCATATGTGTTCATAGTGGTTACTGAATCATTATAAATCTCAATGAAATCGTAGTCGGGCATGTACCAGATATCCATTGGCGCCAATTGTAATGATTGTGAGGCTACACCATTATTTGGTTTAATGTTCTTGCTATCAACCATTATCTCTGCCTCAATAAGATCAATTTCAGGTGCACCTCTTCCAACTCCACGATTTGGGTGTGATTCACCTGGACAAGTACATTTATTTAAACGCTGTCCTGGTAAATACGAAATACCATCGGGAGATGATTGATTCGGCGTGATGCCCGCATCACATGAATCATATGAGTATGGCCAAACGCCTTCGGTTGTTGCCAAGTAGCCAGGGCGTCCAAGATTCCCCATCGTCCACAACCCAGGCCATAGTCCAGAAACATACCCGTAATCAGGTAATCTTGCCGAGATTTCAATACGACCCTGCGTGAAGCACATTTTGTTCCACGATTGCACCATTCCAGAACGATAAAACAAATTGTGGTTTTTAAACGCATCCATTCGTAAAGCCAACGTACCATTGGATGTTGTTACTGCATCAGGATCGTACCATTCCAAATCCTTTGTGGCATCGTAGTGCAAATCAGGAGCAGTGAAAAATTGATCATCACCTTCATAAAACGTTCTTCCTTCAGCATTAAACTCATCACTGAAAACCAACAGCCACTTATCACCACTTTTGGACTCTAGGGTTAATGCTTCTCCGGGGGTATCAGGATCAATCAAGGTTGTCCTTATGGCACTCAACATGGGATACGAATAATGCGTCAAAATCTCGTATGTTTCAGGAACCACTTTGTGATCCGTGACACCAGAATATGTCAATACTGGCAAGATGACAAAAACAGCGACTGCTGCAGCAATAAGAAATAAAAACCCAAAAATTCCCAAATACGATCGCCTGTCACCTTGTTTTAAATCGTACCAAAACCTATTCTTTTCGTATTCGGCATCCTTGACAGGATTTGGATTATGCAAGTCATCATCAGGTTCTTTCTCTTCTATACTTAATGGAAATGAAGAAGCTGGATAGCCACCAAATGGACTAAACTCAGTGAACTTGTATGTTGCCGGGTACTTTGTGTTGTCACCGTTAGATTCGTGAGAGTATGATGATGAATGGAATTTGTGGTTTAAGTGGTCTGCCAAAGGTGCTCCTTCTGCTTGCGGTAGTTGCAGATTGGAACGTGACAGTGTTATTGAGTTATTTTCTGAATCTTTGATTACAGGGTATCGATCATAAGCTGGGGGTTGGTTAATTGACAAGTTTTCGTTTCTGATGGGGTTTTGCAGGTACTTTGTATTTAGTTTCGATCCCAGCCTGGGTGGATTATTGAATACATTATTAGCCATGGATGATGACGACGAGGATGAATTAACATAATTGTACGAGTTGTCGCTATAGTCTCCATTAACAACGAAAGGACGGCCATATTGGTCGTGTGGCAGTGGAGTTTGCGAATAATTCAGACGAAGTTCAAATGGCAGTTCACTAATGGGCGAAACGTCAAATGGGTCAACGGGGATATCTTGCGAAGTACTGCTACTACCATTTTCCTCCTCGTGCATTGTGGGCCTCGTGGTAAACTCCCCCATCGTTAGATCCCTTGCTCGTTGGTAAGACATGATAAAGTTTGAAGATTTGTTGCTATACTATGGTTGCAAGAATCGATATTAATTTTTTTGGAGAAGCTGCTGCAATAAAATTTTGTTCCTGTCGAGGGAAATTTGTAGAAAATGATTTCTGTGGTTAGCCCTCAGTTTGTAACTGTATAAAGCCTTGAATATCAGCAAAGGAAGGAAGTAACTGGTTGTAGTCTGGATGAAATAAGTTATCTTGTTCAAATGGTATTTTCGAGCTTTTTTTTTAACTTTTTAGCAGAGCAAACAAAGAAGAAGATGTACCTAACTATGTATTTTTTGTCTATTGTTATTTTTGTTGGTTGGTTTTGTTTTGTTTTCAATTGTTCCGTAAACGTACCAAATATAGACAAATTGAGTAAAGCACACATACACACACACATATATATATATATATATATGCAACAAAAGAGGCTTATGTTGTAGAGGTACATTATATCAATAAATATTCACAGCTCTACTAAGATACCTTGCTTGTGTTACTACCATACACTGTACCATTTTGTCTTTTTCCTATATTCTATAAACAAACTTTTGTAAAAGTTTGTTAAAAAAGGGGGAAGATTCGGATCACAATATTTTTTTATTTATTTTTCTTGTTGTTGTTGCACAAACTTACAACTATGAACAAAAGCAAAACAAATTGTTTACTTCTTTACCTCCCCCACACGCACTTGATCAGATATGAGACAGAGGTATAAGGAGGAAGGGTATGACTGCGTGTAGTTGTGATTGTCTCTTTTTAACTTCTTCTTCGACTTGTTTTTTGTTTCCGTCGAGTTCGTGACAATTAAAGTCTCCTTTTTTTCGTATTCTAAATGCCAATGGAACAAGCCTCGATTGAATGCATTGTGTACCTTGTCGTCGACTAACTTGTCTCTATCCTGTATGTACACACACACACACACACACAAGTGATGACAATGCCGTGTGTTTTGTAAGAACCAGTTTAACAATGCTCATGCGTGTGCGTGTGCCCCTGAAATTTTTCGAGTCTATTGTTCTCCATCTGTTTGCACAATTTTGTAATGTGGGCTGTGTTGAAGAGCAACATCGCCTCTCTACTTTTGCACGACTCTTACTCAACAGGATCCATCAATTACTTAGTAACCCCTTCGACAATGTCTCAAAAAATGTAACCTGTGTCGTCCCCCCAAGTATTCTTTTTTTTTGACGTATAAGCCGCCCAAGAAAGCTTGTGTTCGGCTCTTGGTTTTTCTTAATTATCTTTTGTTAAAATAATTCCTCGCAAATTGATTGGAACATTATTTTCTTTCTTTGACCTTGCTGCTACCTTCTGAATTTCCTTCATGTTATACATATTTGTATGAAAACAAAGAGAAGATAGGCCAAATATTGAATCATAGAAGAGTAAACTTTATACATTAGAGCTATAACCAGGTTTTAAAATGCTCTCGCAAGTTTAAATTCGTTTGTTTCAAGATGAACGTCGTTATCTCTCTTTTTGGCACCAAATTGATGCAAAATAGAAACCTCGTAAACAAATCAATAAGTATTTAATAGAACACTATCATCAGGGTTATTTTCAAATAAATTGTTACAAGCATTTTAAGCACTCTAATGGCAAATATATCACTTGGACACCTTCGCACAACTGGTGATTTTTGGGGCAAAAATCTGGACATCGTGCTAATCGTTTAAGTACCTACAACTCATTCTAGAAGCGTTTTAAACCTAAGGTACCCTAACAAAAGATGCTCAAAAAGATAAAAGCAATACACGGAAACACTCGAATACTAAAACTTTCAAATTTTATGATATCAACATTTGGTCATACTAGCTGATTATTTTATGCAGACAAGTTTTAATTTTTTTGTCTTTCCCAAATGGGAAAGTACCAAGTCATGTGCATATCACGCTCAATACACGTGCAAATTCCACTAAAACTTTCTCCTCCTGCTTGACGCGTTTTTGGGTTCTCTACAATTTAGCCCATGCAAACAGACATAAGCTTCCCCCTCCATGTCACAGGATACTAGAGAATCCTCAGAATCAACGGAGGTAGATAAATTTTTACCCAATAACTTATCTTTACCTGCATATGTCCCATTGAGCCCCAACCTTCGCCGTGATTTCGAAAGAGTATTTCGTGTTACTGCAAACGACTTGACAACACCAGCAATAAATCAACATCGTTCAACTACAAAGAGTTACATTCACTACATACTTGAAAATGGTACATTGGATTTTGACGAACAGACGCTAAACAACTTTGCTATTGGATATAAACAATTATTGGAATCACGATGTAATTTGAAAAAATTTGAATCGGTTGCGTCTGATGATAGGATTACCAACTACTTGAACAAGTCACAGCCATTAACCTTGGAGACACTTGACTCGTATCATTCAATGGAAAAGCCAAGCTATGAAGAATTAATGTCACAACCACAAGCTATAACATCCACCACCGAGGTTGAAAATCATTTGAAATCAGATGAATTTTATCAATTATTGAGAAGCATTTTGTTTGTGCTTAAGCACCCAGAAGAGCCAGTACCAGATGTGACTGCTGATGATGAAGAAGATGTAGGTATCAGTGGTGGTACCATATCCTTAAAGGATCCCCTAACATTGAACACATTTGCTAGTCCAGTTATGGGTTCTTGCGGTCATACTTTTGAGTCGCTGAGTATTCGTCAACAAATTCAACAACATCCTAATGGTGTTATTGAATGCCCCATTTCCGGTTGTGATAATCAATTGCTGATGAATAATTTGAAGCAGGACATTTTGATGAAGGTACGAGTTAGGATAGCAAGCAAACAACACAAGAGTAATGATGATTTGGATATTGTTCACTGAGGAGGGTGTAGTTTATCTTTGATGTACGATATTAGAGCTAGTGAAGGTGTCTTGTGGAACGAGATATATAACGATACAGAGATGGTACATATTAGAACAACGTTGTAGCAGAAACAAAAGCCAGTAGGCACTGCGTGTAGTGTGTTAAACAATGAATTGGGGAAAGTATTGGTATTCAAAATTTGTACTTTGTATCATTATTCAAACGAAACGAAACGTTTCTAATATTGACCAAGTACGTAACGAGCATCAGAATGCGTTTCACTGCTCCCAATTAACCGAAACTTGAGTGTATTTCCAAAAGTCAATAAGAAACCCGATTATTAAGCTCCACGATAAAGACGCCACATTCATTTTCATTCATTCGCAAAGCGCGCAAATGAGCCGCATCGTGCTGTCATTGTTGTAAAGATAGGACGATGGAAGATAGTGTTCGTATGATTCAAAAGTCATACTCTTTGACTTCGCAAATGGTGAATGCAGTGATTAAATTTTGATTCTATTTCTTACCATTGTGTAAAGCATTGAAAAAGCTTCTCTTATGCAAATATAATATCATTTCGAGGAAGGGGATTTTTCTACAGAAATTCTAGTTCTGGAACCGCCAGAAAGAAAACACTTTTTGTCGTCTAACGCATAGAAAATAATATTATAATTAGTGTAATTTTTCGGGCTTCAGTCGTAAGAGTTGGGTGGATAGGGCATTCTTTGAACTGGGTGACAAGATTATTGAAGATGCAACACACACTCTCAGCATTCAACATTGGGATTGCATATTGCTAACTTTGCACTTATCAATGAAACGTACTAACATGTTAAATTTTAGGCGAATTGTATATGCGGAGTCTAAAAAGTTTCAAATTATAATGCATGCACTATAATAGAGCTCATTTGCAGGATTATGCTTTTGTGCAGTCACCGCACATCACTTCACTCGACAACGTGAATGTTGTGAGTTTCTTTTGTCATTCGGAGCTTCAATGTTTAAGAAGCTACTTCGTACTTTGCATCTCTAGCTACATTCTTTCCTATTTTTCCACATCTTACGAACATCCTCATTGAGTATCACCATCTCGATACGTACCGCCTTATCTAGTGTAAGAATATAACAGGCAATTGTTTTTAAAATGCTGATTCTTTCAAAAGATGTAACTTGTCTCCAAACCCCTATTCGTTCGCAAAGAAAATCTTGTTCTTCCCGTACTTTATTATAAAGTTTGTATTTTCTTGTGTTCGTTCCCTAAATTGCACGTAAAACAAAAGAGGAATGTACACTGCTTTGTCCAAGTCATTACCCAACAACAACTTTTGCAGCAGCAGCAATGTGCATAACTCTATATTGCTCCCTTCTTGATGTGTAGCCACGACTATTAAAGTCTTTGAAGGTTCGAATCACAGGATACCTTTACAACCGTTCTCAAAAAGGAATTTGCAAATCGCTTCCCGCAACAAAATATTACGTTCACCCGAAACTTTCTAATTTCACAACTTCGGCTGTTGCTATTTTTGGCTTTCCCGTTTCGTGCTGCGTTGTTTGATTTTTAAGATTAGTCCTCCACACTATCGCAGCTTTCTCAATTTTGCATTAGCCTCTGTCATTTACAGGACGACATCCCCTTAACTTAATTATCTCACCCAAAGTAAATTGGAATTGCTCACTACTAGCCTGGTAATGTTTGTCTTTCCAATCCTACCTTCACAGACCCTGCTCCTATTGCAACGTTCAACCCTGAATGAAGAAAAAGAAGCTTTTATTTTGCCAAGTGAAACACAAAACCAAAATCAGAAATGTTCTCTTACAGTTTTGTGATACTTTCGTAAATTTGGCGAAAAACGGGACAACAAAAGAACCTTTATAGCTAAAAATTCTCGTAAGTGCAAAACTGTTTGTAACCTATACTAGCCTGAGCAATGGTAAATCACAACCCCATTTGACTTTAAAGTAGCACCTTTGAAATGAAGAGACTACACTTTTGTACATAATGCACATTCCTAATTCTTCTGTAGCCGAGCGATTGGAAGGTCGACTATTGTTCCAAAATGTTCGTAAAGTAATAATTGTGAGTATGGAAAGCATTGAAAATAGAACAAAACTTTAAGCGCGCATAATATTTACATATTTTGGCCACTTCCAGTGTAAACTACAGAATTATTGACTTCGTCAACTTCCATTATAGTTTTCTCTCCGAAAGAAATCTCTATTCGTTTCCTTCTCGTATTTGAAAATGTTTTATTTTTGTTGTGAGCAGCGACGTTAGATGCCCTCTATAATGAGAGGTCTATCCGTTGTATAAAGCTAAAACATTTCATCTCCACGCTAACACGCCTTCTATGCAAATGCTTTATTTACAACTCACCTCCTTTACGGCATTGTCTTCAATAATGTTTCAGAAGCTAAAATTTTCTTTCAAACACAAAATGAAAACCGACATACCTTTCTGCGGACCAAAGAAACATTCGCAACCGAGTACATAATCAAAACCAATATATTTTCTTTTTCATGAAATATGGTGAAAACATTTCATGGAAAACAGAAAATTGAAATGCAAAACCCCCTTTTTCGGAAGGAAACTCAATATGGTCTTATTCCGAAACTTGAATATAAATTGGGATTCAAATCTTCCCATTTTATTGGGTTCACTTTAGTATACTGCAACAATTCTTATAACCACAAATCCAATGATTAAACAATTATCATTTGCCTCCGCGTTTATTGCCTTTGTGCTTACAACCTTCGTTCAAGCAACTGATATTAGCAATGTTTTCCAAAGCTTTGACAGTTTAACTTGGCAGAATGGAGCAAACTATAGGTACAGAACACCAGCAGCTCCAAGTTGGATTGCACAATTGTCTTGGCACATATTAGGTTCCAATGTCAAACCAGGTGATACATTCACATTGAACATGCCATGTGTATTCAAGTTTACCACCTCTCAAAAGACTGTTGATTTGAAAGTAGGCGGCACCGTGTATGCCACATGCCAATTTGCTCCAGGTGATTTAGTCGTTGCATATTCACAATTGAAATGTACTGCCAGCGATAATGTTAAAGATAGCACTGATGCTACTGGTACTGTTAGATTCCCTTTCACATTCAATGTTGGTGGGTCTGCTGGTGCAGTTGATTTGCAAAACTCAAAATGTTTCACACCAGGTACTAATGAAGTAACTTTTACTGATGGTGATAAAAAGTTAACCGTAATTGCCAATTTCCAAGGTGGTTCCAATACCAATACAGGCTCAACCGAAGATATCGTATACAGCAACCGCCTTGTTCCAACCTTGAACAAGCAGCAATTATACTTATTGGGAGGCACGTGTCCAAATGGTTACAGAAGGGGAACGTTGGGAATCACAACCGTAGGGGGAACCTTTGATTGTTCTAGTATTCACTCAGCGATCACAAACAATTTGAATGAGTGGTTCTTACCAGAGGTGGTAGAGACTATTTTAGCTACATCCCGCTGTAATGGCCAATCATATACAATCAATTACGACAACATTCCCGCTGGTTATAGACCTTTTATCGATATTTTAATTTCGCGTCCAGTAGGTCAAGTATTACGCACAACTTATACAAATAGATTTCAATGTGCAGGTCTGCTCACCACTACTGACAGGTCCTTGTCAGTGACTTGGGCAGAATATAGAAATAACGAAGCTGGTGCTAATGGTAATGAGGTCGTTGTTACTACATCTACATGGCTCGGATCAACTACTGCTGTGACTACATTGCCTTTCAACACTGAACCAGGTAACACGAAAACAATCCTTGTCGAAGTGCCAATACCAACAACTACGGTTACCTCAAGTTACACTGGATACTCGACATGGACTACGACAATCACTGCCACGCCTGGTGAAACGGCCACAGTCCTTGAATGGGACCCAATTACTCCTACTAGCTCAAGCGAGCCACCAAGCTCAAGCGAGCTACCAAGCTCATCAGAACAGGAATCTAGTTCGGAACTACTAATCTCAAGTGAACCACGAAGTTCAGAACCACCAAGCTCAAGTGAACCACAAAGTTCATCAGAACTGAAATTTAGTTCAGAAATACCAAGCTCAAGTGAACCACCAAACTCATCAGAATCACCCTCAAGTTCAGAACCTTCAAGCGCATCGGAACCACCAAGCGCATCGGAACCTTCAAGCGCATCGGAACCACCAAGCGCATCGGAACCTTCAAGCGCATCGGAACCACCAAGCGCATCGGAACCACCAAGCGCATCGGAACCACCAAGCGCATCGGAACCACCAAGCTTATCAGAGCCTAGCTCTTGGATACCAACCCGTTCATTAGCGATCTCAGTTTCACTGGTACCACCACGTTCATTAGCGGCCGCAATTTCATTGGTACCATCAGTTTCACTGTCACCCGCATCTTCATTCGCACCAGCAAACTCATCAAAACCATCATTAAGCCTAAAGCAGACCTTGAGCTCAGAGAATTCAACCTCTTCAAAGCCAATAAACTTAAAAACATCTACCTTGCTTGAGACAGCGTCAAGTAGTGAATTTCCCCCGAGTTCATTGGAGGCTGTATCAAGTAGTTTACCATCAAGCTCATCAAAGAAACCAACCTCATTAGCCATCACCTCAAGTACAGAAGCACAATCAAGCTCTTCCAACTCAGGTTTTTTGTCTCAGACACAAGCTACACTAAATGATCAATCATTGTCCTCGACAACTCCAGCTTACCGAAATGGTACAAGTCTCATACAAGAATCTTCCATTCCACCCATTTTAGAACCCACAACTACTTACATTGAAGAACGATCTACAAAATCTGCTATCGACGTGACACCTTCATTCAGTGAATCAGAAAGTACATCATTAGGTATTACGTCGGACAGTAAAAGTACCACGGTAGGTGTCAGAAGTGGCGGCCAGGAATCTTCTACTACATCAAGTTTTGCCGAAACTGGCCATGAAAACAAGGACGCATCGTCTACTACCAGAAGTAACATTGAAACTGGAAACGTGAACGTAGAAGTATCGTACACTACTTCAAGTGCTATAGAAACTCAAAATGGAACTGAACAAAGGTCTTCTGCAACATCTGTGCAAACCTGCTATGGAAGTGATATCACAATGGGAACCACGCCAACTTCATCAGGGACTATCACCCCCACCAGTTCTATTAGCTTGGTTTCTGTAACAACTAACACACAACTACCTAGTTCTTCATTTACTCCTTCAACCAACAATGGGAATGACAATGATGATGAAGATGGAGGAAATAGAGCAAATGCATCTGGGAATAGATCCGGTAACGATGAAAATAATTCCAGCGATAGAATTCAAGAAGAACCTGACAAGCAAGCAAGCAACGAATATGGTGGTGAATCAGGAAATGCATCCGAAGAAAAAAATGGAGCTGGCATGATTGGATTGGGAGATAAATCAAGTAACGAATCGGGCGATGGATCAGGTTATGAATTAGGTTTAGAGACGCACAACAATGAAAACGATTTGAAAGAAGGCTCAAGTAAGGCATCAGGTGATCGTGGTGAAGGATCGGGAAATACATCAAATTATGGATCTAAGGAAACATTAAGTGTGTCTGTTACAAGGACAAATGGTGCAATTATTGTATTGAGCTATGAAGGAAATGGACCTATCGAGAAAGTTTCTACATTGTTGACTGGTCTTTTTGTTGTTTTCTCCTTTTTTATTTAGAACAGCTGTCATTTGAGAGCTTGTCTCAATAACCTGCTGGAAATACATTTGGCCCCTCTTTTTTTTTTTTCAATTTATGGTTAAAATTTCGTCAAATCGATCCACTGCAACCCTTGTTGATAATTTCAACAACCTTTTTCTCAAGGTTCAATATGAATTTGCTTACGGTAATAGCTAGACACCGTTTGAAAAACTTATATCAATTTTTTTTAGGATTGAGGTAGTTTTTCAGAGAACGTTTATTTCACGTACACTGTATTCCTATATAAATTGGGCGATTGTAGATGGTGTGTTGGAAATTCGTAGACAATCAAAAAAAGTGTCACCTTTTGTACAGGTTAACCAAATCTTCCCACGGGCTTAATAGTGACTTGCGTTTGAACGCATCTTCACATAAATGAGAGATCTTGCAATTGATTACACTTATAAGCATCTCTTTCATCGTTTGTACTAGAAGAGTACCCATTAGACCTTGTCTTTCACAAATTTTCTCTTCGTGCAGAAGGGTAGTCTTGTTCGAAAGTAAAAGGTCTTTTGAACTTGTTGAAATGGCTCAAATGGATTAGCGATAAGCGAAGTTGCAACTACAAGAAAAGCAGTGTGTTCAAGTTGATGAAAGTGTCCTAAATAAGCTATATGTAGAAAACCAATGCTTGCTCGTTAAGCAGAGGAAGAAATTGAAGGTGCACATCAAATCCCCCTTGCTCTGTGCGCGATATTTCAGAAACTTCACACAAGTAAGTTATTTGCAAGACTATAGCCGAGACAATCGTAATGCCCTGGGGCGGAGAGAAGGGACGCATTGGCAAGTGAGCGTGTAATTGACATAAAATTTTCACAAATTTTGTGTAACCTATGTGTACTATCAAAACAATAAACAAAAAGAAAACAAACAAACCACACGCCTTGAGCTCTCGCGTTTGGATTCTCGTATCGATAACTTTAAAGGAGCTATTATCGGCGTATTTATCAAACGCGTCCATCTCTGCACATGATTGTAATGAACATCACAATACATGCATTCAATCTCGATCCCATATGTATGTAAGCAAAAACCTATATTTATCTCTTTTACCATCAATGCTTCTTACGAAGAGAAAGGAAAAGTGCCAAGTCTCTCATTCAGCTATCTGAAGAAAGCAAACTAGGATATTACGAGTATTGCCTAAAAAACAGGGTTTGATTACCATACTGGTTTTTTCCCCTTCCTTCCATTACACAAAAGTGACGGAACGACAAATTTCAGTTAGCCGAAAATCAATTCTGTATGCAGAGATGGCAAAAAAAGAAAAAAAAGAAAAAGAACAAACACCAACATGAAATTCGATGTCTCTCAATGGGTGTACCATGTGGTTTTCGTCAATATTGCTCAATTTTGGTAGCCACAGTTATCTAAGAACTTTCACATTTTCCTCCTATTGATGCGAACATTGGTGCTGTGTTACGTGTACCCACGCCTCGTAAAACTATGAAGAAAAGCATTGTCCTCAACAAGTCACCACTTCACAAAAAACTTCAGCTTCAAGAGCAATGTATAAGACCTTTCGCCTACAGTTAATGGTTTCGTCACTTTTTTTCTGAATGATTGAAATGTACTACACTACTGAAGTAAGATTTCTCTAGCACTCATCTTAATCAATTTTATTAAAACAAAATCTATTTTGGCTCTGCATATAAGACCCTGTCTATATTTTTAGCGACAACCCTTTATTTTTAGAATAAGAAGTTTTCTTCTACAGTACTACTATAAGACACACAAAAGCAAGAAAACAATAGAATGAAATTTATAGTCTTTCTTTTTTTATTTTTGCGCCAAATCCGTCTTCTTGGCGAACAACGATGAAACAGAAAAGAGACAGCTGACAAATCATTTCCGATTTGAATTTGTTTCAAATTGTACACTGCTTATAAACGCCTTAACCAGTATCGAATTAGCCGATGCCCCAGACCTTACGCCACAGATGAAAGGATTACCAAGTTTCGTAGGCTAAATATTTTTGAGCCTGCAATCTTCAAATAAAAATTGTCGTATTATATGACGGACAAGCTCATTTCGTAATTTCATACCGCCGATCTATTATAATGTAGGTTATTGTTCCAAATTGTTGGGAAGTAACGATCAGAATAGAGGAAAGATTGACAATAAAATGAATTGAGGTTACACAATACCTGTAATATTTCTGGTTCACAGGCGTCGTCAATGTTGACATTACTTACCTCCCATGTGGTTCCTACATAGAGAAACGCTTTATTGTTTAGCTTCCCAGCAAAGTTTTATGGCTCAAAAAAATCCCCCAAGCTTGCAAACCAGTTGTAAGCCACACTAGTAACAGAATCACAATCTTCCAACTCGTGGATTGCTTCTTGCTCTCTATGATAACAAACAAGATCATCTTGAAGCCCCCTTCGATGGCGCTTCGTCGTTTATATTATGCCTTCCATACGTCATTGTTACCACAATTCCACAGCAAAGAACTTTTCTTTGAGAGCACAAAATGAAGAAACGAATTTCATCTTCGCTACTAACCGACGGACTTAAAGGACTTTCGCAGCCAATACACAAAATTAAGAAGTGATGCATTTTGTTTCTTTTCGACAAGAATTGAATGCCTTATTCAAGAGTAGCATGAATTGAATCGCAAAAACCCTTTCCCAAACAATTAACACAATGCAATCGCCAGCCATGCATCTAGCTATAAAATGGGCGGCAAACTCCCACCCATTGCAAGCTGAGTTCAATTTAATTTATCAAAGACAACCAACACGAATCCAATGGTCAAACACTTGCAATTTGTGACGATATTGGTGGCCTTTACACTTACAGCCCTCACTCAAGCAGCTGAGATTAGCAATGTTTTCCAAAGCTTTGATAGTTTAACTTGGGAAAACGGTGCAAGCTACAGGTACAGAACACCAGCAGCTCCAAGTTGGATTGCACAATTGTCTTGGAAGATTTTAGGTTCCAATGTCAAACCAGGCGACACATTCACATTGAACATGCCATGTGTATTCAAGTTTACAACAACACAACAGAGCGTTGACTTGGACGTCGGAGACACGGTATATGCTACATGTCGTTTCGAACCAGGTGATTTAGTCGTTGCATATTCACAATTGAAATGTACTGCCAGCGATAATGTTAAAGATAGCACTGATGCTACTGGTACTGTTAGATTCCCTTTCACATTCAATGTTGGTGGGTCTGCTGGTGTAGTTGATTTGCAAAACTCAAAATGTTTCACACCAGGTACTAATGAAGTAACTTTTACTGATGGCGATAAGAAATTAACAACCACTGCAAACTTCCAAGGAGGCTCCAATACCAACCCAGGTACATCAACTAATAACATTGTCTTCAACAATCGTGTTGTTCCTTCTTTGAACAAACAGCAATTGTATTTATTGGGAGGTACTTGTCCAAATGGTTATAGAAGTGGAACATTAGGAATAACAGTCAGTGGAGGTACACTTGACTGTTCAAGTATTCACTCAGCTATTACGAACAAATTGAATGGCTGGTTCTTACCAGAGGTGGCAGAAGCTATCTCGGCCTCAACCAATTGTAATGGTCAATCCTACACAATAAACTACAATAATATCCCAGGCGGTTATAGACCTTTCCTTGATGTTTTGGTCCAACGTCCAACAGGTCAAGTGTTACGCACAAATTACATAAACAGATATCAATGCGCGGGAGAAATTTTCGTACGTGACAACTCACAATCAATAAAATGGGGAGAATATAGAAATAACGAAGCTGGTGCTAATGGTAATGAGGTCGTTGTTACTACATCTACATGGCTCGGATCAACTACTGCTTTGACTACATTGCCTTTCAACACTGAACCAGGTAACACGAAAACAATCCTTGTCGAAGTGCCAATACCAACAACTACGGTTACCTCAAGTTACACTGGATACTCGACATGGACTACGACAATCACTGCCACGCCTGGTGAAACGGCCACAGTCCTTGAATGGGACCCAATTACTCCTACTAGCTCAAGCGAGCCACCAAGCTCAAGCGAGCCACCAAGCTCAAGCGAGCCACCAAGCTCAAGTGAGCCACCAAGCTCAAGCGAGCCACCAAGCTCAAGCGAGCCACCAAGCTCATCTGAGCCACCATCTAGTTCAGAACCACCAAGCTCATCAGAACTGGAATCCAGTTCAGAACCACCAAGCTCAAGTGAGCCACCATCTAGTTCAGAGCCACCAAGCTCATCAGAACTGGAATCTAGTTCGGAACCACCAAGCTCATCAGAACCGGAATCCAGTTCAGAACCACCAAGCTCATCAGAACCACCAAGCTCATCAGAACCGGAATCCAGTTCAGAACCGCCAAGCTCAAGTGAACCGCCAAGCTCAAGCGGGCCACCAAGCTCAAGTGAGCCACCATCCAGTTCAGAACCACCAAGCTCATCAGAACTGGAATCTAGTTCAGAACCACCATCTAGTTCAGAGCCACCATCTAGTTCAGAACCACCATCTAGTTCAGAACCACCAAGCTCATCAGAACCGGAATCTAGTTCAGAACCACCAAGCTCAAGCGGGCCACCAAGCTCAAGTGAACCGCCAAGCTCAAGTGAACCGCCAAGCTCAAGTGAGCCACCATCCAGTTCAGAACCACCAAGCTCATCAGAACTGGAATCTAGTTCGGAACCACCAAGCTCGTCAGAGACTGAGTCAAGTACTGAGCCACCATCAAGTTCATCTGATACTGATTTTCTGTCACTGAGTCAAGTTTCGTCTAACGACCATTCATCATCCTCAATTACACCACCTTACCAAAACAGTACTAGCCCTACTGGACCCTCTTCTGTTCCACCTAGTTCAGAATCCACAACTACTCCTACTGATTTACCAACCACGGAGTCTACTACTGACATATCATCCCCATCCAGTGAATCTGCTATTACATCACCAACTACCACACCAACCACAACTGATAATGGTAACGGAGGTGAAAACACACCAACAACAACTGATAATGGTAACGGAGGTGAAAACACACCAACCACAACTGATAATGGTAACGGAGGTGAAAACACACCAACAACAACTGATAATGGTAACGGAGGTGAAAACACACCAACCACAACTGATAACGGTAACGGAGGTGAAAACACACCAACCACAACTGATAATGGTAACGGAGGTGAAAACACACCAACCACAACTGATAATGGTAACGGAGGTGAAAACACACCAACAACAACTGATAATGGTAACGGAGGTGAAAACACACCAACCACAACTGATAATGGTAACGGAGGTGAAAACACACCAACAACAACTGATAACGGTAACGGAGGTGAAAACACACCAACAACAACTGATAATGGTAACGGAGGTGAAAACACAAACACACCGACTAATACAGGCGCAAGTACTCCTTCCAACCCAACCACCCTGAGTGCAAACACAATTGATTCCCAACTGACAGCCTCGTCGACTAATCCTCCAGAAAACGGTGGAAACGGTGGAAACAGTGGAAACAATGGAAACGGTGGAAACAATGGAAACAATGGAAACGAAGGTAATGGATCAGGTAATGGATCTGGAGAAGGATCAGGTAATGGATCTGGCAATGGATCAGGTAATGGATCTGGCAATGGATCTGGCAATGGATCTGGCAATGGATCTGGCAATGGATCTGGCAATGGATCAGGAGAAGGATCAGGAGAAGGATCAGGAGAAGGATCAGGTAATGGATCAGGAGAAGGATCAGGAGAAGGATCAGGAGAAGGATCAGGTAATGGATCAGGAGAAGGATCAGGTAATGGATCAGGAGAAGGATCAGGTAATGGATCAGGTAATGGATCAGGTAATGGATCAGGTAATGGATCAGGTAATGGATCAGGTAATGGATCAGGTAATGGATCAGGTAATGGATCAGGAGAAGGATCAGGAGAAGGATCAGGAGAAGGATCAGGTAATGGATCAGGTAATGGATCAGGTAATGGATCAGGTAATGGATCAGGTAATGGATCAGGTAATGGATCAGGAGAAGGATCAGGAGAAGGATCAGGAGAAGGATCAGGAGAAGGATCAGGTAATGGATCAGGTAATGGATCAGGTAATGGATCAGGTAACGAATCCGGTGAATCATTGAGTCAATCTGCTACTACCGATACTACTTCTCCTGCAGTTTCAAGCTATGAAGGAAGCGGATCTATTCAAAGAGTCTCCACCTTATTAACAAGTCTTTTCGTCGCTATTTCCATCCTGTTTTAGATAGTAGGGAGATTAGAGATTGAGTTCCAAAACCAACCAAATGACATTTTTGTCCATTCTATTTCAAAAAACAGGGCATTATTATTACATTGAGGTATAAAGAGAGCCTCTTTCAAATTATTTCGGTATTTTAAATGCTTTAACTTTCGGTTCTAACACACACCATTCACACACGGATGATTAATCATTTTGGCTTTGTATTACTTCGGTTTAGACTAGATTTACAAGTACACATTTTGTTAGTATTATTAGTATTAGATTTACGTTCATGTAGCCAAGAGTCGAAAACGGCAGAAATGTTTCTATACGTTAAAAGCTAGGAAAACTGCTGGTAGTTCCCCGCAGAAACATTCACAAGTGATGTTTTTTCCCTCTGCACCAGATGCTAAGTTTTAGCTTTTTTCTCTTGATAGAGGAAAAGAGGGCTAATTAGAAAACACTGGACGCGCCACTATCATATAATTTTTGGCTATTGCAACCTGCAATGGCTAGATGCCCGTATTTTTACGAGGTAGTGCTATTATACTGACTCATGGAAGCTCTTTTTCAGAGTGTGGTCATGCAACTGCTGTGGGAACGATGCAAACCATACGTATCTTAGTGCCGACCCCTCTCCCAATGACGCATTGAAACTCTGGTAAAAACTTCCTCCGGCTTGGTTTGAAAATGTAATTTCTCTTTTGGGAAAAGGTTACGAGTCACTCTTGGCCAATGAAATATGAATTCTCTTGCTTCAAACAGCATGAAATATCTGCACTTCGCTTGATTTTCGAAGACTTGTGTTCTATTGTTTTTGTATACACCGGAAAAATAGTGGAAAAAAAAGTGATCCATAATAGCAACAATAAGAGAGTGGCTTTCAAGCGAGATTCGGCTGCTTCATTTCGTTAATGAATCAATTAATGTATGAAAAGGCGTCTAAAAAGTCTCAAACGGTTGAAAACTTTAGTAATGGTACACTCACCGGCAGTTGTTTTTCAGACTAGAAGTGCTCTTACCAGGAAACATTATAGTTTGTGGCTATAAGGTGCTTTGTGATGTGGCAGCAACATCACCTTGATTGAGTAACATCATCCAAGCCTAGGATATAAAGCTTTTTTTGTGCATGGATTCGGGGAGATGTAGACACCCTTCCGTAATTGCTGGAATTTCATTGACCATCAGTTCATAAATTTTCTTTGGGGACACAAAATATATTTCCAGAGTTCCACAAAGTCAATTACGGCGATGGTTGAATCTTTAATGAGGCGTCTCTAGCATTAGCCGAGGAAGCGATTGAGGCGCATACACTAAACAAAGGTCTTTAACTCTTCTGGATGAGTGGCATTTGTCATCACCTGCATAGAGTGAACGATTAGCAGATGGAATAACCAAAGCTGGTTAACTTAAACAGAGTGCCAATGAGTAGTGTTTTTTAAAGTTTGACGCAGAGAACTCTCGTAAAGTACATCAAGACGTATTGACTACGACTGACTTATTTTTTCAACTCTCAAAAAGTGTGACACCGATGATGCTTGCTGGGTAAAAAGAAAAAAATCTTCCACACAAAAGATCATTATATGAATGATGCCACAGGAAGATTTGCATTTCGAGTTTTGCAGTGATTTTGTGAGAATTCGAAGGTACAAATGGAATTCTGAGCAAGAGGATATTACAACGGAATGGTTATACTTTTTTTTTTCAAGCTTACATAGGGCGTAGCGACGCCCTCGGAACACAAAAACCAAAAAATAGAGGCGAAAATGTTAATGATGCGCCTGAACCGGAATTTGATAAAATTCAGCTCATAGGCACACAAGGTAGATAGGGTGACTTGTATGTACGATTCCGACTTCATTTTCTACGGTACTCTAATTGGGTCCTTATCAATAATGAGCTTTCCGATGAGTTCGTAAAATAAGTATCTTTTTTGCTTGTCATGCATATGCACAACCCAGCCTCGTAAAGTTTTGAGAAGAGCAAAACAATCAACGAACAACGATCGACGGATTGTAGAATCTCTCTTTTGCATTTGCCGTAGTCATCATTACTATTTTGCATTGAAAGGAGGGCTTTTACATTATAAAAAGTTGTTTTATAGCTTTGTGCTTTCTTGAACAACAAGATTGATGCCGAGGATACAAAAACGAGGCTTGATACTTTTTAGAAGATAATTTTTATTTTTAGTTTTGTCACCTTGTGCAATTTTGTGGCTAGAAACTAGTGCAACACAGGGACCCAGTACTAACGGACTATACGTTTGGTGTCCATGTTCGACCACTTGCCCCGTCAAGTTTGTTTCAGTGGTGAATAGGAAAGGTATAGGATGGTCTCTGGCACTCTGAAAGGGAGATTATACGAAAGGTCGTGCGAAAAGTGAGCCACAATTTAATTTCACACTGAAATTCTGATATCCATGCAAGGGTTATGATACCCAAACCAAATATAATAATCTTTGTTAATTCCAAGGGATTTTGACGAAAAGATGAAATTGACTTTGAGCAGCAATAACATCCTCTCTCCTAATTAATATTTCACTTGAATCGCTTGTTTTTGAGATCTACCATTTTCTCATAAGATCACTCTCCATTTTGCAGAGAGCAAATGTAACCCGTATTGCGGAAATCTCACTACTAGGTAGAATATTTCCTGTTTTAGTATTTCACGTTGGATATGTAACCGATTGTTGTCTGAAGAACAATAAGCTAATCAAAAAGATTTCGTATTGAGTCAAAAGTGTTAAGATTATGCTCCAGGTGTGCTCTCTACGTAAAGTATTGTCCTCTGTATAACGAATATACAATTACGTCATTTAAAATCACGGCGAAACAATACATGGAGATGTCGTCCTTTGTCGGCTCTTCTTAATGGACTATAGCAAATACTTTATACAATATCAGACTTTACACCATGTCGGTTTGTTTACATCATCCGTCTTAAATCAATGCAAATGTGAGGTTTTAAGTAATACGATGGAAATCAAACGTTTGATAATCAAAGCTTTTGACAACCAATGTTGCAATCGTATGATTTATTATTGATGATTGTTATTGCATTTTGACATATGCATTGCCTCGCATCTTCTACAGTTAACCCGCACGAAGCAATTGACTCAAACAAATGCCAGCCCTCCGTGGAAAACATTGTTGCGACTCGGAAAAATAGGAGACCAAGAAGTAACTGCAAGAGTTGAACTTAAAAGTAAACTTGTACAAACATGAATACAATAGAGTACACCAACAACCATCACACACTTCTTCCAAGTAAAACACAAAACTTTTGTCCTTTGGTTATGAGTTACAATAAGAAAAACATAGCATAAGGAGTGGGATCTACTTTTATACACAGAATGAAAAAGGGTACTTACTAAAAGAAGAGAGAAAATTAAAAGGGGGACAGCAATCATAATAATTATTATATTTCCACCTTGTCTTAGACGGTAATTTCCCCCACATTGCAATAGTTCTACTTACACCCTCTTCATAGAGCTGGGATATTTTCCTGGACATATAAATGCTCCAACACGGTACAAATTTCCTCTTCCCGTATATTTCTTAATTGACGTATGAGTTCCTTTATGCAAAAGAATTTTTGATTTTTCCGAAGTTGTTGTTGAAAAGAAAGTATGTACGGACACAAAAGAATCAATGAGGTACAAAAAGGATGAAGAGAAAGAAAAAAGAAATCAAAGAGAGTGAAAAAGTAAAATGTCATCATCACCATCATCATCATCAGCGTATCTCAAACAAGAAAAATAGATCAACCTATATATGCTACAAATGCACCAGCACTAAAACAAATCAATTACTTTCCAAAATTACACAATGATACAACTACAACTTTAACATAACACACATTTCCATAGAAACTCATTCCTCATCTTTTAATTTCTCAACCAACACAAAACAGTACACGAGAAAGATCACAATTGAGGATAGAAGGACAGGCATATGATGGAATGGGCTTTCGAAATTTCACTTTCTTTTTCGACTTTGGAAATCATGCATCCCTTACTCTGTAAACATTTTTATTGTCGATGATGGAATCTTTTGTTGTATATATTTAAACAACTTCCCGTGTGTTAGCTCTTTAGTGTAAAGTTAACACTCGACTTTGAAAGTTCAGCAGTTATAATTCAACCCAAGATAACCATGACGCGAATGCACATATGGGCTCAGTTGTTGATATTGCTATATTCCCTAACACTAACAACAGCCGCGCAAGTATCGGGAATTTTCACCAGTTTCAACTCGCTTACTTGGAAATCCGCAAGCAATTACAGGAATGCCGCACCAAACTACCCTACATGGACGGCTGTTTTGGGGTGGTCTTTAGATGGAGCCAAGGTGAATCCGGGGGATACTTTTACATTGACAATGCCCTGTGTTTTCAAATTCATTACGACACAAACTTCAGTTGATTTGAGCGCCGATGGAGTTTCATACGCCACATGTCAATTGAATCCAGGTGAGATCCTCGTGACATATTCGACATTAACATGTACCGTCAATTCTGCACTCAGATCAAATATGGAAGCAACAGGAACATTGTCACTTCCTTTGTCATTCAATGTTGGTGGATCCGGAGGTAATGCTGATGTAGCTGATGCATCATGCTTCAAAGTTGGGCAAAACACAGTTACGTTTACAGATGGATCGAATTCGATCTCCACGACTGCTAATTTTAAACAAGGTGATTACCAGTTAGGAACTTATGATAAATTCATAAATTACAGACTTATACCCTCATTGAATGAGGCCCAGCATTATATGGTCAGTGGACCTTGTGCTAAAGGGTACGTTTCGGGAACCATTGGGCTTGCAACATCTGATAGTGGACTGATTGATTGTTCCAATTGGCATGTTGGTTACTCCAATGATTTCAATGAATGGGCGTTTCCAAAAAGTTTTTCTTCGGATTATACTGTTACAAGTCTGTGTCTGAGTTCGCAATTACTTGTCAGTTTTAAAAACGTTCCCGCTGGTTACAGACCATTTATTGATGCATTGTTTCGAGTTCCTAATGGTGCAGGAGTTAAAGTCACCTATATCAATACAGCGTCGTGTGTTGCGGATACTAAGCAACAAAACTGGGGTGAAGAAGGATACGGGTGGGGATCGTATCAAAATGGCGAGGCGGGCGCCAACGGGATTATTGTTGTACTCACGACTTCAACAATTCTTGGATCCACCACAGGAATAACTACATTACCGTTCTCGTCAGGTGTGGATAAAACCAAGACAATCGAAATTATACAACCAATTCCCACAACAACCGTAACCACTTCTCACTACGGGGTCTCAACATCATTGATTACTTTTACCAATTCTATTGGAGGTACAGCCACTGTCATTGTAGATAAGCCATACCACTCGACAACAACCTTGACAACATTTTGGACGGGAACTAGAACCGCCACTTCCACTATCACAAATCCCACAAGTGCCATGGATACAGTCATAGTCAATGTTCCCAAGAATCCAACAGTTACCACCACCGCATTTTGGACTGGATCGATTGTGTCAACAACAACAAAGACAAACGGGTTTGGTGGCACTGATACTGTCATTGTTGAATATCCATCAAATCCAACAGTCACTACCTCAGTTTTTTGGACCGGAACAGGTGTCTCAACGACAACAAAAACAAATGTCGCAGGTGGGACCAATACAGTCATTGTTGAGTATCCAACCAATCCTACTGTTACGAGAACCACATTTTGGACGGGATCATCTCTAACTACAGTTACAGCTACAAACCAGCCAGGCGGAACTGATTCCGTCATTGTTGAGTACCCATCCAATCCTACTACCACACTCACGACTTTCTGGACCGGAAGTGAGACTACTACAGTTACAGCTACAAACCAGCCAGGCGGAACCGATTCCGTCATCGTTGAATACCCATCAAATCCTACTACCACACTCACGACTTTCTGGACTGGCAGTGAGACTACTACAGTTACAGCTACAAACCAGCCAGGCGGAACCGATTCCGTCATTGTTGAGTACCCATCCAATCCTACTACCACACTCACGACTTTCTGGACCGGAAGTGAGACTACTACAGTTACAGCTACAAACCAGCCAGGCGGAACCGATTCCGTCATTGTTGAGTACCCATCCAATCCTACTACCACACTCACGACTTTCTGGACCGGAAGTGAGACTACTACAGTTACAGCTACAAACCAGCCAGGCGGAACCGATTCCGTCATTGTTGAGTACCCATCCAATCCTACTACCACACTCACGACTTTCTGGACTGGCAGTGAGACTACTACAGTTACAGCTACAAACCAGCCAGGCGGAACCGATTCCGTCATTGTTGAGTACCCATCCAATCCTACTACCACACTCACGACTTTCTGGACCGGAAGTGAGACTACTACAGTTACAGCTACAAACCAGCCAGGCGGAACCGATTCCGTCATTGTTGAGTACCCATCCAATCCTACTACAACGGTGACTCAATTCTGGACTGGCAGTGAAACGACCACTGTAACTGCAGCCAACCAGCCAGGCGGAACCGATTCTGTCATTGTTGAGTACCCATCCAATCCTACTACCACACTCACGACTTTCTGGACTGGCAGTGAGACTACTACAGTTACAGCTACAAACCAGCCAGGCGGAACCGATTCCGTCATTGTTGAGTACCCATCCAATCCTACTACCACACTCACGACTTTCTGGACCGGAAGTGAGACTACTACAGTTACAGCTACAAACCAGCCAGGCGGAACCGATTCCGTCATTGTTGAGTACCCATCCAATCCTACTACCACACTCACGACTTTCTGGACCGGAAGTGAGACTACTACAGTTACAGCTACAAACCAGCCAGGCGGAACTGATTCCGTCATTGTTGAGTACCCATCCAATCCTACTACCACACTCACGACTTTCTGGACCGGAAGTGAGACTACTACAGTTACAGCTACAAACCAGCCAGGCGGAACTGATTCCGTCATTGTTGAGTACCCATCCAATCCTACTACCACACTCACGACTTTCTGGACCGGAAGTGAGACTACTACAGTTACAGCTACAAACCAGCCAGGCGGAACCGATTCCGTCATTGTTGAGTACCCATCCAATCCTACTACAACGGTGACTCAATTCTGGACTGGCAGTGAAACGACCACTGTAACTGCAGCCAACCAGCCAGGCGGAACCGATTCTGTCATTGTTGAGTACCCATCCAATCCTACTACCACACTCACGACTTTCTGGACCGGAAGTGAGACTACTACAGTTACAGCTACAAACCAGCCAGGCGGAACCGATTCCGTCATTGTTGAGTACCCATCAAATCCTACGGTCACGACAACTATATTTTGGACGGGAAGTGACACAACTGTTTCAAGAGTGTTCAATCTGCCAGGAGGAACCGATCTGATTGAAGTACTCTATCCTTCAAATCCTACTGTCACTACGACAGAGTTTTGGACTGGTGATGAGAAAACCACATCAACAGAGACTCATTCGCCAGGGGGAACCGATATCGTTCATGTATTTGATACAGAAAATCCAACGGTTACTACTACAAAGTTCTGGACAGGAAGCTTCCCATCAACAACCACACAAACCAATGCACCGGGTGGAACTGACACAGTCGAAATATTTGATACAGCCAATCCAACTGTCGTTGTTACTACGTTCTGGACTGGGGAAGGTGTGACAACAACAACAGAAACGAACGAGCCAGGTAAAACGGATACCATTTACATATACGAGCCACATAACCCAACAGTCACAACTACGGAGTTCTGGATTGGCACTGATGCTACAACTTCAACCGAAATAAATGGACCGGGAAGTACTGATGTTGTACACGTCTTAGATCCTTTCAACCCAACAATCACCACCACTGAGTTCTGGACAGGATCAGAGCCAACCACATCTACTGAGACGTTTGGACCAGGAAGTACTGATGTTGTACATGTCTTAGATCCAGCTAACCCTACAATCACCACCACTGAGTTCTGGACAGGATCAGAGCCAACCACATCCACTGAGACGTTTGGACCAGGAAGTACTGATGTTGTACACGTCTTAGATCCGGCTAACCCTACAATCACCACCACTGAGTTCTGGACAGGATCAGAGCCAACCACATCCACTGAGACGTTTGGACCAGGAAGTACTGATGTTGTACACGTCTTAGATCCGGCTAATCCGACTGTGACTACAACTGAGTTCTGGACAGGATCAGAGCCAACCACATCTACTGAGACGTTTGGACCAGGAAGTACTGATGTTGTACACGTCTTAGATCCGGCTAATCCGACTGTGACTACAACTGAGTTCTGGACAGGATCAGAGCCAACCACATCTACTGAGACGTTTGGACCAGGAAGTACTGATGTTGTACACGTCTTAGATCCGGCTAATCCGACTGTGACTACAACTGAGTTCTGGACAGGATCAGAGCCAATCACATCTACTGAGACGTTTGGACCAGGAAGTACTGATGTTGTACATGTCTTAGATCCAGCTAACCCAACAATCACCACCACTGAGTTCTGGACAGGATCAGAGCCAACCACATCTACTGAGACGTTTGGACCAGGAAGTACTGATGTTGTACACGTCTTAGATCCAGCTAACCCTACAATCACCACCACTGAGTTCTGGACAGGATCAGAGCCAACCACATCCACTGAGACGTTTGGACCAGGAAGTACTGATGTTGTACACGTCTTAGATCCGGCTAACCCAACAATCACCACCACTGAGTTCTGGACAGGATCAGAGCCAACCACATCTACTGAGACGTTTGGACCAGGAAGTACTGATGTTGTACACGTCTTAGATCCAGCTAACCCAACAATCACCACCACTGAGTTCTGGACAGGATCAGAGCCAACCACATCTACTGAGACGTTTGGACCAGGAAGTACTGATGTTGTACACGTCTTAGATCCGGCTAATCCGACTGTGACTACAACTGAGTTCTGGACAGGATCAGAGCCAACCACATCTACTGAGACGTTTGGACCAGGAAGTACTGATGTTGTACACGTCTTAGATCCAGCTAACCCAACAATCACCACCACTGAGTTCTGGACAGGATCAGAGCCAACCACATCTACTGAGACGTTTGGACCAGGAAGTACTGATGTTGTACACGTCTTAGATCCGGCTAATCCGACTGTGACTACAACTAAATTTTGGACGATGTCTTATGCAACTACGTCGACAATTACTAATGAGCCAGGACAAACAGACTACGTCGTAATTCTTGACCCAAATAATCCAACTACCACTGTGACAGAGACTTGGACAGGAAGTTACACTACTACGTTGACAAGCTACAATTCACCCGGAGGAACAGACACCGTGATTGTCGAAGTCCCATCCTCAACCTCAAGCACATTCATTGTAACTGATCCCTCCATCTCATCAACAAGTTTGAGCACGGCAGAAACTAAATCCAGTGAAGTTGATCAATCATCAACCCAATCCGAGGAGAGCGAGCCTTCAAGTTTGGGTACATCTTCAATTGAGTCGGAAACTTCCTTCTCAGAGATCTCGTCCACTATGGATCCACTGAGTTATGCAAGTTCAATCGACTCCGAATCAACTACAATGGAGTTGCTGTCTGAAGCTTCTAGTCATGCGCCAAGCTATTCATCTGAGTCTTCTACATCTGGTGCTGAAAGCGAGTCCGCTCCACAATCATCCAATGAATCAACAGACTCATCAGCGAAAGGATCCACTGATTTTTCATCAATATCGAGTGAGCCACAAGAATCTGAATCCACTACAGATACCTGGTCAAATGGAGAGCAATCATCTACAGCGCAAAGCTCGTTGAGTGAGCTGGAGTCCAGCTCTTTCACTAGCGACACAAGCAATGTCACTTCTATCGAAAGTACTGATGATGACTACAGCTCAACTGTTGCTGGTGAACCAGGCTCTACATCTCACGATTTCAGCTCAATGGTAAGCGACAGCAGTGATGCATCATCAAGGTCCTATACATCAAGTGACAGTCAAAATAGTTCACTGGAGTCATCGTCTAGTGTATTAGATGTATCATCCACCGATGAGCTGTCTGGCAACGAATCATCTATGACTGTTTCCGAAGTATCTTCCACAAAGGTGTCAAACAGTATTGATGACACGCCATCAAGTGAAACTAGCACATCGGAACCCTCTTCAAGTTCAGATGCCAGTGCTATAACGTCTTTCTCAACTTTGCAATTGTCATCCACTGTTTCCAGCTTCATTTCGAGCCAAAGATCTACTCATGCGTCGTATGGAAACTCGAGTATTGATACTACAACCGATTCGTTTTCCGAACCGGCTCCACAGAGCTCTTCTATCCCCGCGGAGAGTACCATCGTTGGTATGTCAACAGATGCTACAAGTGCCACCAGTGAGCATTTCACCACCACTACCAACACATCTGATCAAGGAGCTTTAACCTCCAAGATGAATAGTGAAACAATCTCATCTGACGCCTCAAGCGGTAACCTTGGTTCTCAGTCAGGAATCAATACAAATGTGCAGCCAGACTCGAATGTGGAAACCAAGCTGGTCACATCTACCACAAGTAGCGCAGCTGTTAGCGTAAAATCAATAACAGAGCCTACAGGAAGTGATCGGGCTCTCTCTAGCTTGGGATCTCTTTCAGTGGATACATTACCTTCGAGTACACCTGGAGCTAAAAACACTGATACCAAAAGCAACACCAACAGCAACACCAACAGCAACACCAACAGCAACACCAACATTTCATCCTCGAGCTCAACGCCAAACGAAGCAAGCACCAGCACCAGTCAACAAAATGTTTCGAATGAGCCAGATGTGGATGCAACGAGGAATCCAACAATAAGTCTCCCTATAAGCTCAGCAGGTGAAACACCTACTCATCAAACTACTTCTTCGCCAAACTCAAATGGACAATCGATCTCAGAACCTAAGTCGACAACACCAGTTGGTGTTGTATCCCCTCCTACTGGTGCCAATACCGCTGTTACTTCTCAATCTTTAAGTGGACCTGATGCGGCGTCAAACACAGAATCAAAAGCATCGTCGGCCGAGCAATCGTCATCCATAGAAAGGTCGGAACTGCCACAGCGCACCCACTCGTCCGCCGAAACTCTAGATCAATCACCCTCACCTACAGCCAAGCCTACTAGCTCATGGTGGACAATGTCACAGCAACAGCAGCAACAACAACAACAGTCGTCTTCACCTGATTCAGCTTCTTCATCAGAAACTTTAGGATCACCAATTAACACCTACGAGGGGTCAAGTTTGAAAGTTGTTCCAAGTTGGATCTTGCCTCTCTTGGCCTTGACATTCATTTTTCCATAAAGGGTTGAAATTTTTTTACCCTATGTCACATTGTACATTAGTAACACTACTTTTTTAAAAGCTTTTCGGTCTCATCGTTGCATCTAGTTTGGATAACTATGGATTCTTATTTGTGTATTAATTATCAAAAGATACTTCTTACGTGTATCACGTTAGTGTAGACTGAGCATTCTCGTAAATTTTTTCAACTAGGTCGAGATCTGCGTTTATTGTGACTACTTGAAGAATCCTAGACGTTCAATCACAGACAGGGGCATAAAGACGGGAAAGATAAAACCCTTTAAGTATGTGGATTGCGTTCCAGTCAACAAAAGCGGGTATTCTTGACCACCTGAGGTTAAGTTGGACTTCTGAAATACAAAGGTTATTTGAAATTGAAGATATGAGGAAAAGCGTAGACGAAGCCCTCAAGTCATTACGATAATAAGAGACGAATCCGTCGAAAATTTCGATTCTGAATTCGAGGCATCACCGAGCAGTTACGAATGAGTTTGTGCAAGATGACACCATCATTGTCACTGTCTGCCTTTCAACAATAAAGAGAGGTGCAAATTTCAATTTTGCAAAAATAGTCGCCATATTAAACGACTAAACCGGTATATTACTCGGATGAAACAAAAACGCACGCCTGATATACTCCGAATATGAAGTAAAATATTCTGCTTTTGTGTTCAATACAAGGGACCAAGGATCAAAACAAAATTAGCATGTTTTCTTATTCCAATTTGGGCGTGAAAAACAAACAGTCTTTCCGGTTGGCGGTTATCACGCAGCTTTACGATATATAGAACGGAATGCAGAAAGACATTTTTAGTATGCAATTCAAATGAGGGCAGTCCTAGAAAGTTAGCTTGTCATTGGTCACTCTGATATATAAGTTGTGTTGAGTCTGAGTTGGTGTTGTTAGACTTCCATAATTCTCTTACGCGGAACAGGGCTTGAGTTGCTATAAAGCACTTTCCCATTGTCTGCCCATCTGCGGTATATGATGTCATTTATAGAGCCCAATTCATATTGAGGGTACATTCTGCATATCCTTTAGGCGACCATTCAAGCCTAATCTGACAATTATATGCAGGCTATTATTTAGATGGAACGTCGTATTTGACTCAATTTTGTGTAAAAAAGAAAAGGACTAGGCGTAGATACTTTCCGAAAAGCTTCCTTTGACGAAAAGCTAATGTAACGAGCCATTGGGTTGTCTTTTTAACGAAAGGTTTTCTACGAGCTATTGTGATGTATGTTACTATATAGGGTTATTGAGGCCTGGTGACTTCAAGATTTTTTTACGCTCAATCGTTGACATAAAATAATGAGTTTGATTTTAGTAGTGACTCGAGACAGGTAATTCCCTAATTTTTGAATTCACAAACTAAGTACAGGAACTTGGCTTTAAACAATAAACGAAAAAAAAATGAATTAGCATCTCTTTGTTCTGTTTATCCAAGGGACGAAAGGTTGCATCAAATATTTCACGCACGTCATGTGTCGAACAAGTTAAATATTTTCTATGACGAACACAAAGAATTAAAAAGGAAAGGAAAATATTGCTCTGATTGAATGAAAAGAATAGAACAGCTCTCCTGGTGTTACCCAAATTTCGTGGTTACGAAGGAAATACGTGTTTTTACGCCTCATGAAAAATAACTATACACACTTGTTCCTGTTTGTTGAGTACCCAACAAGTTGTTACTAAAACTTGATTGAACCACTTTAACTCAAGTTTCCGTTACCAATTGCTTTCGTATTCATGTTTAAGAGTTTCAAGCCTGTCTTCAAAGGGAGGTTCTTGTAGCGAAATTCGATTATTGAAACTTTTCAAAACCCTACCTGACGCAGGAACTCATAACAATGTGTGAGTGCAGATCAAAAGGTTTGGAATGCAGTGCAAACTTTAGATTGCATCATTTGGACTTTTCAAATTATTCCTCTCTTCTGGGTGGACCCTGTTTATCGCGCAGAGAAGAAAAAGTTTTTCTGTCGCCAAGTCAGCACAGAAGTGAGCTCGGGCATTGTGCAATTTCAGGAACTACTTTATAGTCATGGCGCGCATTTAGTCTAGTTCATAATAAATGTGTACTTCTAGTCAAAGGAGTTGATGTTACACACCAACTTTCAATTGAATAATCTATAGAATCCCGTTTTCTCTACGTGCAATAGGTAAATTCCATGAGTCCGCACGTCCCTTCTTCGACTTTTCTTCGAATTTCGTACGGAATCTCAAACTTCAACAGCAACAACAACTAAATCTATGCGGCCGTATTTTCTACCATTCATCATTACATTGCTTTGTTTTGTGATCGATTCTTGTAAACTCTTTTCTTAGTGACCTGTAGATGGCGATAATTTGCGTATGATTTTACAAAAGAGGAAATTAGCATCATTTCTAACTTGACAACATGTAAGTGACGCCTGTTTCGGTTTGTCGCTATCGCCTTTACCAAACACGACTTATTTCTATTGTCCCAATGGTGGCTACTTTCCTGACATTGCAATGCTTTTCCCAAATTGAAGCCGCAATTATCTTTCATGGTTTTTTACAAAATAATGTTTTAGGAGGAAAGGGAAGGTTGCCAATACAAACTAGCTCTTCTTGATACCACAGTTCCAGTTTCTGTGCATACGCACTCGATATATCGTCTTTGCAAAAATAAGTATCATTACAAACACAAAACCAGAATCGAATTTCATGTATCCCTTAACACGGTTGAAAAAGTTCGCAACCAAAAAAAAAACACAAAAGTAATGCACTCTCGAATTGTATCGAAGACCTTTTCAAAAGGTCTCTGGATGGTTCGCAAAACCCTTTTTCTCAATAAAAATTACTATTATTCCACATCCAAGAAATCAGGTATAAAATAGGTCCTATTTCCACCTATTTTCGTATTGAATTTGGCAAACCCCGTCAAGTCTCACCAACACGAATCCAATGGTCAAACACTTGCAATTTGTGGCGATATTGGTGGCCTTTACACTTACAGCCCTCACTCAAGCAGCTGAGATTAGCAATGTTTTCCAAAGCTTTGATAGTTTAACTTGGGAAAACGGTGCAAGCTATAGGTACAGAACCCCTTTAACTCCTAGTTGGATTGCACAATTGTCTTGGAAGATTTTAGGTTCCAATGTCAAACCAGGCGACACATTCACATTGAACATGCCATGTGTATTCAAGTTTACAACAACACAAGAGAGTATTGACTTGGACGTCGGAGACACGGTATATGCTACATGTCGTTTCGAACCAGGTGATTTAGTCGTTGCATATTCACAATTGAAATGTACTGCCAGCGATAATGTTAAAGATAGCACTGATGCTACTGGTACTGTTAGATTCCCTTTCACATTCAATGTTGGTGGGTCTGCTGGTGTAGTTGATTTGCAAAACTCAAAATGTTTCACACCAGGTACTAATGAAGTAACTTTTACTGATGGCGATAAGAAATTAACAACCACTGCAAACTTCCAAGGAGGCTCCAATACCAATACGGACAACACCCCAACTGACGACATTGTTTACTCTAACCGAGTTGTCCCATCTTTGAACAAACAGCAATTGTATTTATTGGGAGGCACGTGTTCAAATGGTTATAGAAGTGGAACATTAGGAATAACAGTCAGTGGAGGTACACTTGACTGTTCCGCTCTTCACTCAGCTATTACGAACAAATTGAACGGTTGGTTTTTCCCAGAGGTGGCAGATGCTATTTCTGCTTCTTCAAGTTGTAATGGCCAGTCTTATACAATCAATTACGACAACATTCCCGCTGGTTATAGACCTTTTATCGATATTTTAGTTTCTGTTCCCAATGGTCAAAAATTACGCACAACTTATACAAATAGTTATAAATGTGTTGGCGAACAGCGCGCTCGCGACAAGTCAAAGGTTGTGACATGGGGTGCATACAATAACAATGTGGCTGGTGCCAATGGTAATGAAGTCATTCTTACTACATCTACATGGCTTGGCTCAACTACTGCTGTGACGACATTGCCATACAACACTGAACCAGGTAATACAAAGACAATCGTTGTTCAGGTTCCAATTCCAACCACCACAGTCACAACATCTCATCTTGGAGTTTCAACATCGTTGACCACCATAACCAATACAGTTGGAGGTACCGCTACTGTTGTTGTTGACAACCCATATCATTCAACAACCACTTTTACTACAGTTTGGACAGGGACTCAGACAACCACTTCCACCATTACCAATCCCACAAGTGCCATTGATACAGTAGTGGTTAAAATCCCCGAAAATCCAACTGTCACCACTACCGAACCATGGACTGGACTGGGAGTCTCAACCTCAACAGAAACATTTGGACCCGGAAACACTGACACTGTTCACGTTTTAGAACCTGTTAACCCAACTGTCACCACTACCGAACCATGGACTGGACTGGGAGTCTCAACCTCAACAGAAACATTTGGACCTGGAAACACTGACACTGTTCATGTTTTAGAACCTGTTAACCCAACTGTCACCACTACCGAACCATGGACTGGACTGGGAGTCTCAACCTCCACTGAGACGTTTGGACCTGGAAACACTGACACTGTTCATGTTTTAGAACCTGTTAACCCAACTGTCACCACTACCGAACCATGGACTGGACTGGGAGTCTCAACCTCAACAGAAACATTTGGACCTGGAAACACTGACACTGTTCACGTTTTAGAACCTGTCAACCCAACTGTCACCACTACCGAACCATGGACTGGACTGGGAGTCTCAACCTCCACTGAGACGTTTGGACCTGGAAACACTGACACTGTTCATGTTTTAGAACCTGTTAACCCAACTGTCACCACTACCGAACCATGGACTGGACTGGAAGCTTCCACCTCAACAGAAACATTTGGACCTGGAAACACTGACACTGTTCACGTTTTAGAACCTGTTAACCCAACTGTCACCACTACCGAACCATGGACTGGACTGGAAGTTTCTACCTCAACAGAAACATTTGGACCCGGAAATACTGACACTGTTCACGTTTTAGAGCCGGTTAACCCAACTGTCACCACTACCGAACCATGGACTGGACTGGAAGTTTCCACCTCAACAGAAACATTTGGACCCGGAAATACTGACACTGTTCACGTTTTAGAACCTGTCAACCCAACTGTCACCACTACCGAACCATGGACTGGACTGGGAGTCTCAACCTCCACTGAGACGTTTGGACCCGGAAACACTGACACTGTTCACGTTTTAGAGCCGGTTAACCCAACTGTCACCACTACCGAACCATGGACTGGACTGGGAGTCTCAACCTCAACAGAAACATTTGGACCCGGAAACACTGACACTGTTCACGTTTTAGAACCTGTCAACCCAACTGTCACCACTACCGAACCATGGACTGGACTGGGAGTCTCAACCTCAACAGAAACATTTGGACCTGGAAACACTGACACTGTTCACGTTTTAGAACCTGTTAACCCAACTGTCACCACTACCGAACCATGGACTGGACTGGGAGTCTCAACCTCCACTGAGACGTTTGGACCTGGAAACACTGACACTGTTCATGTTTTAGAACCTGTTAACCCAACTGTCACCACTACCGAACCATGGACTGGACTGGGAGTCTCAACCTCAACAGAAACATTTGGACCTGGAAACACTGACACTGTTCACGTTTTAGAACCTGTTAACCCAACTGTCACCACTACCGAACCATGGACTGGACTGGAAGTTTCCATCTCAACAGAAACATTTGGACCCGGAAACACTGACACTGTTCACGTTTTAGAGCCGGTTATTCCAACATCTTTTTCGACTTTGCAATTATCATCTACTGTCTCCAGTTTTATATCAAGTCGAAGATCGACTCATGCATCATATGGTAACTCAACCATTAACTCTAATACCCTTATAACTGCCGAACTGAGTCAACAAAGCACTATTGTTCCAAGCGAAAGTACCATCACTAATGAATCATCAGAAGTTGATAGCACCGCTGTTGTTAAATCATCAGAAGCTGATAGTACCACTGTTGTCGATAGCACCACTGTTGCTGAATCATCAGAAGTTGATAGTACCACTGTTGTCGATAGCACCACTGTTGTTGAATCATCAGATGCTAAAGTCACCACCACCGAGGTTACAAACATTGCCATTAGCACATCTGCGCCGGCCATTGTGCCCACCGAAGAGGGTGGCAGTTCTGCATCAACTGACTTTAAGAGCAGCAACTATGAGTCTCAATCAGAGGTTAATACCCGCTCGTTAACGGGATCCGCTTCACACTCAGACTCAAAACCGGAGATCCAAGGACCCACTACTGTTACAAGTATCTCAGTCACCAGCTCAACATATGTGATTATCCCAACACAGAGTGCTCCTGCTATACCTGGTGAAATATCCACTCCAAAATCCTGGCCGTCTTCAAGTGAAGCTTCTGTTGTTGTGTCATCCCTGATTGTATCATCAGAAGGTACCGTTGCTTCAAGTTTAGAATCTAGTACTGGAAAATCATTATCTATTTCTTCAAGTTCATCACCTGTTTCAAAAACCAACGACATACCAAATATTGAAATCACAGAGAAACCAACGGTGATTGCACCTACAGGCTCAACAGATGGTGGCAATGAAGCGTCTAATCTGCAAATGTCCTTGCCGCAAAATGCTGGTACAAAGTTAACTTCAGAAGCTACAAGTTCAATCGATGATGCTGATGCTACATCGTCTTTTACTGATACAAGTACTGCTGCTGATTCTCAATCCTTTGAAGGTGGACAAGGTACAGTTCCAGGTACTGAAAGCGGTACAACATTCTCAACACAATTACCATCTACAAAAAGCTCAGAGCTCCCATCTGGTATACAGTCATCTGTTGGCTCTGAATCTCAATCACCAACAACTACAACCGATGTTTCTACTAGCTCATTACTGACTGCGTCTCAAGAACAACAACAGCAACAACAGCAGCCATCATTGTCATCATCTGGCTCTAGTTCTGGCTCGTCAATAGAGACTGCGGATTCTCCAATCAACACCTACGAAGGATTAGGTTTGAAAGTTAATCCAAGTGGAATCTTGACAGTCTTGAGTCTTTTCTTGTTATTCTAATAGATGGGAGACTATAAATATTTTTCCTTTTCTTCTTCTTTTTCACACATTACATTGGTCAATTTCGGTTCTACTTTCATCAATATTGTGGCTTATTTTAGAAAAAGTCAATCTTTCGGTGGATTATATACTATATTTTATAGATTATTTCGGTTCATTATTTCGATTAACACTAAACTTTGTTTTAACATCATTTGTGATAAAACGAATTGTCTTTATCGTTGTATTTTGTTTAACATAGCTTTGACCAATATCGTCGTGTTTTCTCAATTACTTTATTATGGAATGTTTGTGTGCATAATTTTTTCTCTGTTGGGAATTTTTTGCAAAAGTGCTAGCAACTTCAACATTAATTGAGAAACGACCCACACTTTCTACACCCAAATGATGAAATTTTTAACCGTATTAGCTTTATTCGCATCTGTGTTATTCTACTTCTTTGGCCAAGTCACTGCAGCATCCAAGAATTTACCAGAAAACCCGCCAATTACAAACAAGGTGTTTTTCGACATTGAAGAAGATGGGAAATCAATTGGACGTGTAACCATTGGATTATTCGGCACTGTGGTCCCCAAAACGGTTGAAAATTTCAAAACCATTGCCATTTCAACTGATCCAGAGCAACAATATACAGGATCTATTTTCCATCGTGTTATTAAAAATTTTATGATTCAAGGTGGTGATTATGAAACTGGACAAGGATATGGTGGAAAATCAATTTATGGAAACAAGTTTGCTGATGAGAATTTTGATTTGAAACATGATCGTAAATACAGATTGAGTATGGCCAATGCTGGTAAAAACACCAATGGATCACAATTTTTCATCACTACTGCCGTGACTAGTTGGTTGGATGGTAAACATGTTGTGTTTGGTGAAGTTATTGATGGTAAAGACGTTGTTGATTATATTGAAAATGTCAAGACTAGTCGTGGTGATCGTCCTGTTAAGGAGATCAAGATTGCCAAAGCCGGAGAAATTGCAGTTGAGGAAGGTGAAGAGGCTCCAAAGGAAGGTGTACAAAAAGATGAACTTTAAATTTAGGCAGTGCTTATTTGTCTATATAGGATTTGATGGTTTTATGCCTAGCAATTCTAGTGTACTTCCCTTTCCATATAACGGAATATCTTCTAAATAATCTTTATTTGTAGTATCATTAACTACTTCTGTTAGGAGTGCGTCGAATGCAGCAGCACTGGGGATAGTAGACGTAGATTGGGTTGGAGTTGTAGCAATCGTGGCAGGTGCACCAATTGCCGGGGAATCCGTCATTGCAATTGGTGTTTCCAAGTTGCTAATTGGAGTAGGATCAGAATTGGTTTGACTAGGAGTGTTTGTGGTATTTTTGGTGTTGCCATGGATTGAATTATTGAATGAATGAGCACCATCAGAAATGTGGTAACTCGTCATATTGTTTAGTGTATCTATTGACAGTTTTAGCGACAAGACAGTAGCAAGTAATCTTGATGATAACACGTCGTATACTTTGGGTGCTTGATATATGTTAGCACCAATGATGTAATAATCTTGCAAGGTAGTGGTAACTTGTGAGTTGATTCGTTTCTGTTTTCGTATAATCCAAAAATCGGGTTCCTTGATATAGGCAATCACAAATTCAATACCAGTCATTTCAGACAATCGCGATTGGAAATATTGATGGAATGATATATGTACTGGTATTTGAATTTGTTGATATTGAAACTGCATCATCAATACTTGATTATTTGATGTACGATCGTAAAATGGTGATAGAGCAAAGTATTCCAAGACATTAGCCGTGTTTAATCCTCGTTCTTGAATGAACTCGGGTGATTTCCATTGTATTTCATCTAACGCTTCCATTATAGTCTATATTAATGTGTCTATGTAATGTGCACAGTGCTTTGCTTATATTTCCGAATGCGCAATAAATTTTTGAATTTCGTTGTTCAACCAGGTAGCTTCCTCTTTCATTGTTGATACAATACGCTCTTTTCTATCAGCATCATCTTGAGCTAATTCACTCTTTTCCATCTTCAAATGATTACGATATTGTTGTTTTCTAGCTTCAAAGTGGTTATACTCTGCATCTAAATCTTCTGATTCTAATTTATTATATATGGAATCACCAAACCCATCAGTCTTGTATCGTGGAATAATATGTGTATGTAGATGTGGCACCAGCTGACCAGCTTCAGGTCCATCCTGAATGGCGATATTAAGTGCATCTGCTTTGTAGGTTTTAGTGATAAACTTTTGCACCAATTGCAATGTGATCATATAGTCGATTGATTCGTCAGGTGTGAGGTCACCAAAACGTAATACTGTGGTGCGTAAAGGGACAACCAAAACATGACCTGGCACCAATGGCTTTATGTTTACTAAGGCATAGGTGAATTTAGTTTTGTAAAATACTTGATTGTTTACCAAGTACTTGAAGAAGTGAATATCGTTTGCTGTCATGTAGCGGTTACAGTGTGAACTTTAGAGCAAATTGGTGATAAAGATTTTTTTTTTTTTCCATACACCAAAACCAAAATCATCTGAAAGGTTAAAAACAGACAGAGAAAAAGTGTACACGACAACGAGTAAACGGTCTTGGTATTACATTGGTGAAGAGCTTCTGAGAAAAACAGTCCTGTCGTGGTTAGTTGATGATCTATTCGCAGGTTTGATAAATCGGTTATGAATATACACAAATGCAGCACACATACAGAGGATCCAAATCTGCTACCATGCTCATTTATAAAGGAATATTCTAGAAAGGGTAATTTTAGAGTGGGGCCGTTCTTTTATTTTTAAGTTAGAAAAAAGCGCATTTTATGATTCTGCAGAATTTATGATCTGACTTTTTTTTTTCAAGACCTAATGGTCAAGAGATGTAATCAATGTAACCTCAAGAGGTTGACACCACTGGACTGTATCCAAGATTGAGGCTGTCCGTGATCGTCCGATCAGATAGGTAATAGACTAAACGTATGACTGACTGAATTGATGAGGCCGTTAACAAACGTTTTTTAAAAGAATTGATTGAATTTCTTTTTGTCGGCGTGCCACCCCGTCGTTCGCAAAAGCAGTTGAACGACATTTTATACTGCCAGAAAAAAATTTGAGCCACAGGAAAATTATCAGTAGTTACGACATTTTAACAACAAGAATGTCGTCAATTGAGTCTATTTGTTTTTGTTCTTTTGTTTTTTGGTCCTCGGTAAATGCAGTAGTACATAAAGAAGAACACGATAGAAGTGGTTCTTTTGCCTAAATCTTTTTTTTTTTTTTTTTCTCTTTCAGTCTGGAATCGATTTATGCTCACTAATCAAAGAGTAACAAATGTTAAACATACAACACAATAAGTTACTACAGGTTACACCCAAGTCCCAATTTGAGAGCCACAGTTTTTGTCATCGGGCATTTCCATTTATTTTACAACAACCCGCATGTTGACCTTTATTGTTGAACTTGCTTGTGATAAATATATTCGATATGAATTCCGAATTCGGATTTACAAACTCATAGACCATGGGCCACAACCGGAGTTCCGTTCTTCTTTACTTTGTAGTGTCGTCAATTGCACATCAGTCCCTACATCTCACTGTTTTTACAAATTGCTTAAAGTCATATGCAATGGAATGTAAGAGCTCAATTTCAGTAAAAGACAAGACATTGCATCTGCTGGTAAAATGTTGCACAAAAGTCTCTTTCCCCCCCGAAAAATAAAAAAAAAAAAGAAAAGGTAACGTGTCCGCGACATTTTCCTTTGAATTTCCACAAAACGTAGGGTGTGTAAGCACTAACGTTCTAAAAAGTATATAAATATACCAATGTATTTCTCCTATTTCATTCAACTCTTTGCAATTTCTTTCTCCTTTTTTCATATCAACTTTTTCTTTTTCAATCAAGTTATAGATACATATATAAACAATGGCTCCACAAATTCAAAAACCAGCTCCAGCTTTCAAGAAAACTGCTGTCATCGATGGTGTTTTCGAAGAAGTGTCATTGGAACAATACAAAGGTAAATGGGTGATTTTAGCTTTTTTCCCATTGGCTTGGACTTTTGTTTGTCCAACTGAAATTATCGCTTACTCAGATGCTTTCAAGAAGTTTGCTGACAAGGATGCTGAAGTTTTGTTTGCTTCCACTGATTCCGAATACACTTTATTGTCATGGACCAATGCTGAAAGAAAAGATGGTGGTTTGGGTAAATTGAACATTCCATTGCTTGCTGATACAAACCACTCCTTGTCAAGAGACTATGGTGTTTTGCTTGAAGATGAAGGAGTTGCCTTGAGAGGTATCTTTTTGATTGATCCAAAGGGTATTTTGAGACAAATCACCATCAATGACTTGCCAGTTGGTAGATCAGTTGATGAATCATTGAGATTGTTGGAAGCTTTCCAATTTACTGACAAGTATGGTGAAGTTTGTCCAGCTAACTGGCAACCAGGTTCTGACACTATCAAAGCCACTCCAAAGGATTCAAAAGAGTACTTTTCCAAGGCTAACAAGTAGATTTAGCCACCGGAAAGAGACAATCACTGTTGCGTCACAAACCAAAATTTACCCACTTTCTTCTACTTCTATTGATAGACTAGTGGAAGTTTTATAGAAATATTTGTGGCGTTTTGTATGTAATAAATGAAACAACAATCTTTATGAATTAATTCAACCATTGTAGACATTGTGGAGAATCTATCCTCCTATAGTTAGATTTGTAAAACAACACTAAAAAGCTATATTAATGGCGCAAAATTACATACGCAAAGATATATATACTAAATCAAAACGGTGGTGACAGCTTCAACATGCTCAACACCTGCATCTCTCTTGTTTTTCTGAGCAAAATAAGTATCTCCCAGCCAACCATCAGGAGCACGAGTAATGTAGAATTCTTGGTCCCAATCAGGCCAAGTTCCATCATCTGGATTGAAAGTAGTGGCAACTGACAATGTATGTCCATCTTTGTCAATAGGAAAACCAGCATAATGACTACTCCAAAAGTTTGGGTCCAGGGTCAGTAAGTCATCACTCTGCTCTGCTTCAGCCGGCACTTCAGTGATAGAACTAGTAACAATAGTAGTAGTTGGGGTCGCTTCACCGGTAGTGAAAGCTTCAACAAATCCTTGTTCTTCTTCGTAATTCTTGGCATTATCGTTGTCCCTTTTGTCATTCCCACGAATCTTTATAGTGCCCTTTCGATATTCTGGGAAACTGATGTAATATGGCTTATTGAAGTCAGTAAAAGTCTGACCCCATGGGTTAAATGTGGTGGCAACTGTGCCTGTGAAAAGCGGATAACCAACATAATGACTTTCCCAAAAATTCGGGTCAAGGATCAGTGGGTCATCTCCATCCACAGTGGTTGTTTCAACACCAGAACTATCAGAAGCAGTGGTTGCGGAAGCCACATCAGTAGGGATAGCCTCGACATCTTTTTCCTCCTCTTTATTTTCAATTCCACTATCTCTTTTGGTACCAGAACGAAACACCCTGTCACCCACAAACCCATAAGGACTTCGGATGATGTAAAATGTTGTATGAGAGTCAGTGAAAGTTGGAGCCCATGGGTCGAATGTGCTGACAATTGTACCAGTATAAATCGGATAAGCAATAACATTGCTTTTCCAAAAGTCGGGGTCAAGGGTCAGTGGATCATCGTCGGTGGGGACCTCAGTGATAAATGAAAAATCGTCAGTGGCAGCGTCAATAGCCGCCCCAGTAGTAACGTCGGTAGTACTATCAGCAGCAGTGTCAGTAGCAATGGTCGTTGAAGTAGCAAGAAAACTAACTCGGTCATTACTTGGTGCAGCATCATCCCTAATCGCTAAAGGAGCAGCTGAAATAGCAGCTGAAGCAGCTAACGTCAAAACGAATTTTGAATATTTCATTGTTCGTAATTGGTAATGAGCTTCTTGATGAGGAGAAAATACCAATCAATTTGCTTTCATAGGAAATATCGACCCCCTTATATAGGCAAAATCTTTCTATGGAAGGGCCACATTACTGCAATAAAAAGGATACACCAAGGACAGGCGGCCATCCCCCTTTTACGATATAGCAACCTTACTATATCATACCAATTGTTGGGTATTCGGTTGACAAGTGGTGCTGTCGATTGAGAACGCCTTCAGCATAGTAGCAAAAGCTCAACCTTTGTATGCTCATAACCATTGGTTGTTTTTCAATTTATTGAATCACATTTGTCACAAAATACGAGCACCACAGTAGACTTCCGCTTTGGATTGTAAGCAATTTGTCATGTCGCCGCACAAATCCTCTCCATGGTTTGATTAGGACTAAAGCAGCACAGCTCCTCATAGCATCAACATTGACTATTGACAGCCAGCATAGGCAAGTGACATGAAACTAGTAAACGTCTCTGTACCTCCACTTCAACAAACCCCCTCCCCACCACGATAAATTAGTCTCAAATCAAGCATCCGTGCATTTTGAAAAATTAATAGCATCACGCCATGGCAATTGAATTCAATTAACTCAACAATGCAGAAACCTCCTTTCGGACGAGACACAAAGCTTCCATACCTTGCTTTGTATTGGATGAAAGACAACCGAATTGAATTTTTTTCTTTCGGTTGGATTCAATTTGTTTGATTTCTTTTTCGAGATTTTTTCGAAGCCAGTTTTACGAGGAGTGAGAATCCATTTTTTACGATGGACAAGTCTTTGTGTGACAGAAGCACTGAATAACTTTGACATCAAAGGTTGATGAAGAAACCACCTTGCGCAACACATCTCTACAGAATGCTTATGTTGCTTTCTAGATCTCGATTGGTCCACCATTTAACAGAGACAGAGTCATTTCACTGTTTCCTCGTTTTTTCGATAGGCAATTTCCGAAACTCTTTGGCACAAAATCAAAACACCATTTTCTAGATGAATTTGTAATTAATGCGCTCTTTCTTAAACAACTCTTTTGTAAAAGTAGTAGTTAACAACCAGTTGGGTCCCCCACCCACTTCCATTGTTCTAGAATATGTTTGTATAGCAATAGGACCGCCTTTTTTTTTCACTGAGCGATAGCAATTTTATCCTATTTATAGTATTGAGTTGCCAATTTGTGCGATGTTCCGATACAGAGAGTGCTTCTCAACGCGTTCGATACTTGCAGTTCTTGTCCGAATCAGCTGGTAACCATTAGTACACAATAACAAACTAGGCAATTTCGAATCTCCTTGCTTGCATTTCGGGTCAGTGGTATACCCGTTGCTACAGTTCCTCCGCCTTGACATAGAGCCTCCTACAAATGAGAAAAATCGAAACACCTCGCAATTCAGCTTACATCTAAATAGTATTAGCTTGATCGCACAATCGTCCATTACTATGTACGTTTTCTCTTAGCTCTATCCCATGACGTTGTAGGTTTTCTTTTCCTCGATGTTCCAGAATCTAAATCCTTCTCTTTATTGAAAATACTCCAATCTTCACCAGCAAATTGATTTGCCATGTCCCTTTGCTTTTGTCTGAAACTCTTCTTGGTTTGAGCAGTGGGCAATCTCGTGAAATTAGCTTCCTCATAAGTTTGGATTTCTTTTTCTTTCTTTCTGTCATGTTGTGTCTTGACACCACCACGACCATGGCTGACAATAGTGGATCCAATGCTTGCTTCGGCGGTCGGGAGATCACTTTGTTCTTGTAAGTATTCCTCCATACTCTGAAGTTTTTGTGTTGGAGCGGTCTTGGCATCCGCATCCTTGCTGGTAGGAGGTGCCATGGCTGAAATCTTGGGTGGTCTATACTTTTCACTTGTGGATGTTTTGCTCGCCTGAGGAGCCAATCTGGCCAAGGCTGCAGCATCAGGTCTGAATGCCATTTCATCCTCTTCATCTGAATCAATGTCATTGTCTTCCTTTTCATCATCTTTAGCATCATCACTATCACCGGAGTCCTGTTCTTGCTCTTTCTTTGCTTGTAAATCTTGGCTCTCAGCTTTGCTGAATGCTTTCATAAGATTTTCAATCTGATAGTTGATTTTCTTTTCCAATGGTTTAACACCCTTTTCTAAAGTAACCCTTTGTACAATGGATCTCTCAATAGCTTCATTTTTGAGATTGTTATTTCCGTTATTCTCTAACCTATCCAACTGACCTAGAACAATTAATAGTAAGTTATTAACATAAGAAGCCAATGCTTGATTCTTCAAAGAGAGCAAGGATATGCCTTCAACTTCACTCTGTCCAGATTTCTCTAGTAGATTGGTAATGAAACCCGGGTGATCAACTTTTGCATTTTCTGACACTAAACTCTCAACTGCAGCATCTGCCGCCTTGGTTGAAGTGATGATCGACTTTAGTATACTATCGATATCTGACATAATGTAATGGGATGTACTTTAAGATGGTGTTGATAATTTTTCTTCTTCCCTTATCAAAGAGGAAAAAAAAAATTGAAAAGGGCATCGCAAGGAAAAACTAGTGCTCCTTCATCATCACTACTCATCCACAACAGATATGCCTCAAAACGAATATATTGAACAACACATCAAACAACATGGTAGAAGATTTGACCATGAAGAAAGGCAGAGGAAGAAGAAAGCAAGAGAGGGCCATCGTGTAGCTAAAGATGCTCAAAACTTGAAGGGATGGAGAGCTAAGCAATTCGCCAAAAAGAGATATAGTGAAAAGGTATCGATGAAGAAGAAGATCAAGGCTCATCAAGAAAGTAAAGTCAAGGGTCCATCAACTCCTAAGGAAGAAGATGGCGAAGCTTTGCCTACATATCTTTTGGATCGTCAAACTAACAATACTGCCAAAGCTTTATCATCCAGTATAAAGCAAAAGAGATTGGAAAAGGCCGACAAGTTTTCTGTTCCTTTACCTAAAGTTAGAGGTATTTCCGAAGAAGAGATGTTCAAAGTGATCAAGACTGGTAAGAAAAAGAGCAAGAGTTGGAAAAGAATGATTACAAAACACACATTTGTTGGAGAAGGTTTCACCAGAAGACCAGTGAAAATGGAAAGAATTATACGTCCTTCAGCTTTGAGGCAAAAGAAAGCCAATGTCACTCACCCAGAATTGGGAGTCACTGTTTTTTTACCGATCTTGGGTGTGAAAAAGAATCCGCAATCACCAATGTATACTCAATTGGGTGTTTTGACCAGGGGTACCATTATTGAAGTAAATGTTTCCGAATTGGGATTGGTTACTGCTGGTGGTAAAGTGGTTTGGGGTAAGTATGCACAAATCACAAATGAACCAGATAGAGATGGCTGCGTCAATGCTGTCTTGTTGGTATAATTCGGCAATCCCGGTGATGCTGGTGTTACTGTGAATATATGCATAACATTCGAAAGATATAGTGTACATTATAATATACCGATTGAAAAGGGAAGTTCCGTAGATTGTTTTAAACAGCTAAAACATCTCTTGTATCTCAAGCCACTTACATAACATGAGGCAAATTTCAGTAGAAGAACATGTAAGGGTTACCTATTAAAATGAAGTAGTTGATCTCATCTACATTCAACTTCTACTTATACTTCTTGTAACATTCAAGTTTATACAAAGCCAACAAAACTGTTGACAAAATTCAACAACCTAATGAACCATCTATTTTCATCGGTATTCAAAATCATGTTAATGACCATCTCTTTCTTAGCTTTGCCATTAACAGTTTCTTGTTTGGTAAATGTCCGCTTCACAACTACATTCTTCTTCACACACCAAACAATAAACAATATAGTGAATAAACTAACGGCAAAGTTCTTTAAAAACTTCCACGCATTGAGTCCAACAACTTTTAAAAGAGCAATGACCTTCCTCTTTTTAATCTCAAAATCATCTAAGGGCAAATCATTTTCCTCATCCTCCTGAGGGATATACTCTTGACTCCGTCTTCTATTATTGACAAACTCCCTTGTAAGCCGATTGATAATGGCATTTACTTCACTCTGCCAATTCTTGAAATCATCAGCAACATTGCTTGCGCCAACAGCCCCCATGGGTGCCGAATATGTTGACCCTGGCCCTCCACCATATCCTACCTTTTGAGAGCCAGTCTCATAATGGGTATGCGGCTGCCCTGCATGACCAGTTAGTGGTTGTGGATGTTGACTTTGTAACCTCTGTTGATGTACGTAATCATTCAAGGACATGGTGTTTTTTCTAGAGTGTGAGTAAATGGCGTTCAAATTCAGTCCCACTGTTGAGCCAGGACCGCCGCCGCCGCCGATACCACCACCACCCCTTGACCCATAACCTCCAATACTTGGTGTCCTGTTTGAGAGTCTGTCGGTGTGACTGAACAGAGGCGCGTTTGACGGAAATTGAAGATTGTTGTCGTTTTCATCGTCCGATACTGGTAAATCTTTAATTTGATCCCAGAGATACTCCAATTCATTCAACAACTCCCGTGCTTCGTGTGTACCACTGGCATAAACTTTCATTGTTTCAATCAAAAACGCTATATATCGTTTCTTTGCTTCTGTTTTTGGTAATCCTTCTTCACGTTTCCATGCATCCCATTTTTTCTTTGCTCCCTCATCTTCAGGTGTAAACCCAACTGGACGAGGCATGACATTTCTAACATCTCCTTCTGTAGCTTGCTTGTATAACCCATAAAGTTTGATTCGACTCTCGGCTGGCGGACGTGGCAACGAACCATAGTTGGAACGAGAGGACAAGGCTCTAATTGTAGAAATTGCTTTGACGAATACGCGATCTTCAATTGTTAGTATTCGGTGTTGGAAAGAAGTCCTCTAACGGTGCGAATACATACCAACACTGTCGGACATTTTCTTATTCTCTTCTACCCAGATTTGTGTGATTTGATCAAGGTGTGCTATTTGAATGCCTTTCGTTTGCTGTGTACAGTCAATGAATCTCTTTGAAGCTTTTGTTTTTAAGGGAAAAAGTGCTGAGAATATGTTGTTTCTTTGTTTGTTTGTTAAGTGGGGTTTCCGCACTAAAAGATAGTCGCAACATCCATTGTCATGTGCAAAAGAATTGAGACACACACTATAGTTTAAGACAGACACTTGCCACATACCCGCTAGGTGGTATCACCAGGATGGCAAGTCGAATGAACAGGTAAACTGCTGTGATCACTTGATCGCGCCGTAGAGTAAGCCTACTAGTACTCAGAGATTGTGGGAAAATGAGTGAATGTATTTAGATTTCAAAGTTTGATTCCAACGACAAAATGTGAGCTAATGAAATGGACCTATCGTATCCATAGTGGAAAATGGAATACAATGGTGAGTAGTCAGCTCCAAAATATTCAATTTAGTTTGCACCAAAATAGGAACCAAATATGGCATAGAATTGATTTATTCAAGACTAAGATTTGGCACCAGAGTGTTGGCAAACATATAAGATATCGTCTTCAATCACACTTTTATCATCTTAATAACATTCTTAACTTTCCCAAATTGATTTACAAAATGACTCCAAAAGGGAACCACTCTATATTTCGTTTCAAAATATCGTTAATATCAATTAAAACCCTATTAAAACACTTTTCTTCTCTCTCTCTCTCTCTCCCTCTCTTCTAGCGAATCAGACTCCCATTTAGTTCTCTGGTACATCGATTTCACCAGCATTTATAGCGTCAATGATATCATGTGGGTTCTTACCGTCAACACGGCATCCTACTGATTGAGCAGTACCCAAGATTTCTTTGGTGACAGAAGCCAAGTTCTTACCGAATGATTTGTCTTGCATCTTTCTGGCGATTTCAAAGATTTCGTCCAATGGGATGTTACCAGAGTGCTTGACGTTCTTTTCCTTCTTTCTATCTCTGACTGGCTCTTTCAAAGCTGTGATAACCAATGATGAAGCAGATGGGACGACTGATGCGGTGGCTTGTCTGTTTTGGATTCTCAATTGAACGGTGACTTTAATACCTTTGAAATCCTTGGTGGCCTTGGCGATATCTTCACCGACCTTCTTTGGTGATAAACCCAATGGACCGATCTTTGGGGCCAAAGCAGATGAAGCACCAACTTCACCTCCTACTGCTCTCAAGTAAAGGAATTTAACTTCTGATGGGTCGAATTTTGGAGGCATGGTTGTCTATAGTCTAGGGGTAAGATGATAGGGATCCGTAAAAGTCTTTTTTATTTTTCAACTTTTTTCACTGCCAAAATTACTTTCTTTTTTTTTTTTCCGACTCTTTACTCTGTATAGGTAAGTATCGCACACTAATTAAGTAGAGTTGAAGCCCTACATGTTCACGTGACTTAATGTGACCTAAACAATAGAAATTTCCAAAATGATACTTATTTCATACTACCAACTCTCCTTCTCACAAAACACCACCAGGAATGTCCGAACTTATTCTTGAGCCTTCGTATTCTTCGGGCTCAGATGCGGGAACATCAGCTAGTTGCCTCAACATTATTGCTGGATGCTTCCCTAGCTCTTGTAACTCCTTGTATACCACAACAGGTTTTTCTGCTAGTTTTAAAATCCTTTCTTTATCACCGTAGCAAATCACGAGAACATACTTTGACCAGTCTTCACGAGGTATGTGGTGGCGCTTCATTGCATGTTGTAGAATTTTCAAACATGAGTCATCAGTTGATGCGCGTAATTGCTTGAGTGGTTCATTCCCGGAATGTGATCTCGATGCGTGTGGCTGAGTAAGAGGGGCCGGTTGCTGCTGCTGCTGCTGCTGTTGCTGAGTATGTGGATGTGTATGCGGCTGTATCTGACTTGACTGTTGTTGACCACGAGCTGTTTGCGATTGATGCAACGGTGACTTCAACTGCCCAGTGACTGGTTGTTGTTGTTGCTGTGTCTGTGCCCTTTGTTGGTCAGTGTTTACTGTAACTGTTGATCCCGATGAAGTATTTTCCACTAATGTGGGTCTCAATTTACTCAGAGAACTGCCATGGTGACCTGACTTATGCCTTTGCGAGCCTACTTTTTGCAACTTAAACTCATGGGATTTATCATCAACAACTTTGGAAACTAATTGAGAAATGATCTGACCCGTACCCATGGATAATATGCTTCCCGACGAGAATCGTTGTGAAGTCGGACTCAGTGTATCTCCAGCAGAAAGTCGATTTGGATCGCTAATGTAACCACTTCCTGGTCGAGAATCATTCTTATCCTTCTCATCAATCAGATGCAGAGGGGAGAAAGTCGGAGAGTCCAAAGCGGCTGTTGAACCTGGATCTAATGTTGGCGTTGGTAGTGGCTTAGAGTCTTTGAGTAGTCTAATCACCGGTATCAAGTCCGTTTTCAATTTTTTGAAGTTGTCGTTTAATCTTTTGATTTCGTGTTGAGTTGGTGAAAGAGGCAGCTCGAGTTGTTGTTGGCCCCGTGACTCTCTATTGAACTTTCTTATCAGATCCTGGACCAATACTGCCGATACCTTTAAACTCTCTAGTGATATTTGATTGCTATCTATGCTGATGTTATTCAAAGCATACTCCGGATCGTAAATCGATTGTGGAGGGTTCTTCTTGTAGTGATCCACAATTAATTCGCTAATACTTTTCTTAATCAATAGGCGCATCTTTAACGTGTCAATGCCTAGTTCTTTCAAGTGTTCAGTTGATAAAAATGGCAACAATGATCCGTCTATGTTGTTGTCCAAAAACAACGATCCATACTGTCTATCTAGATCTTTAGTAACCATATTGATGAAGGTGGACACTTGAGCAGCATCCCATTTCAAAAACGAATCATTGAAGCTAAGTGTACTCATCTAGTTTAACCCTGATACTCAAAGTGGTAATGCTCCTTCTCTGTCTTGACGTAATCGCATGCAGTTGAAATGTAGGTGTGTGTTTTTTTGTTTACGATGAAATGATCTATTTGCGCGTTTCAAGTAACAATGTGAATCTGGAGTTTATCGTGAAAAAAAAAAGAACGAGAATTAGTGACACAAGACTGTGTCTCATATTCACTAGAAGAAGAAACTGCCCTAAAATGGACAGTGCTGTTAGGATGTTCAAAGAGTCATACAGTGACAGTTTGATACAGGGAGGGCCCTTAATTGGTTTTGGGTACCTATTTATGTGGACTTTTGGCTGGTGCCGACATTGCACATAGAGATTGCTTGAGCGTACACAGAGTTGGCACTTTCTCTTTTCAATGATCTTAAACTGAAATGTTCTGGCAATGCATTTGTGATAGGGAGATATACATCGTAATCGAAACCCTTGAAATTTTTTTTGCATCAATTTTTGTCCAAAAAGTGCGTCCCCGAAATAATTACACTTTGCAAAGTTATTAGTAGCTGATTGCACTCTTCCTAAATTAATCACATGAATAATTGAAATGGTCGTGTACAGCATTTATGATTAAAAATCTTTGCAGCCACATGAACTGTCCCGCGACCCGATCTCAAATGAAAGTGAATTGAAGGGGGGGGGAAAGTGTGGCTGTTAATTAGATAAGACTGCAGCCAATAGATTAAAGTTAATTAAGCATGGTGAGCTTTATTCGTCAAAAGGTGTGGCGTATTTTCTACTTCGTGGCAGTGTTCACACTAGTTCTGCTGGAAAATCACTTGAAAGATTTTAGAAATTGGCCAACAAATGAAGAATATTAGTCAAAGTTGCAAGGGGTAAGTGTGGTTCGTTCACGGATTTAGCTCTTTATTAGTCAAAAGAAATCAGCATTTAAACCTCAAAATGAACTTATAGCCGATCCAATTAAAGCTTGCACTAATCACCGGAAATTTTTCAGGGGGAGTGTGGGGTTCGATTTTGTGGACCCAGGTGTCGGAATTGTGGTTCAAATTTGCAACAGCACAAATTTGCAGCCACAATTTTTTTTTCAAAAATTATAAAATGGCATCAAACGCTTCTCAATTGACCTTCGATTGTTTCGACCCATCGCAAAAAGAAGCAATCACACAGTACTTACAAATGCCAGCTCGTCAATTGAACCTCCCTAGTGCCTTAGTTGGTGGCAATAACTTAGTCGCTGATCCAAAGGGTAAAGTTGCACTTTCTGAAGATGCCGCTAAAAAATTGGCCCCTGAATCAATTCCTTACTTACCAACTTGGAACAAGAATGAAAAGTATGAACCATATGAGTTTCAAGAGCACCACGACAACGCATTGAAAGCTGATAAGGACTTTCCCAACTTGTTCCCAAAGGACAAGAAGGCCGAGGTGACTACAATTTCTCCAAAGTTGGGTACTGAAATCAAAGGTGTTCAATTAACTCAATTGAATGATGCTGGTAAGGATGAGGTTGCTTTACTTGCCTCTCAAAGAGGTGTCTTGGTTTTCAGAGACCAAGACTTGATTGCCAAGGGTCCAGAGTACTTAACCAATTACGTCAGCCATTACGGTAGATTGCACATTCACCCAACTTCAGGTGCACCACAAAATCACCCCGACATTCATTCAGTGTTGACAGGAGACACCAAGGAAGACCCTTTTGAAAAAAGAAACAGACTTGTTGGTTTCCACTCTGATGTTAGTTATGAATTGAACCCTACTGGTGTTTCCTTCCTTGCCGTTACCAACATCCCAAAGACTGGTGGGGGTGATACTGTTTTTGCTGACAACATCGAAGCTTACAATCGTTTGTCTTCCAAATTCAAAGAAAAGTTGCAAGATTTGTATGCTGTTCACAGTGGAGTTGAACAAGCTAACCATGCTGTTGTTAAAGGAGGTGTGGTTAAGAGACATCCAGTTGAAAATGTGCACCCAATTGTTCGTACCACTCCATCTGGTCAAAAGGTTTTGTACGTTAATAATGGATTCACTAGAAGAATTGCTGACTTAAAGACAGAGGAGTCAGAATACTTGTTGAAGTTTTTGCTTGACCATGTCAACAATGGTCATGATTTCCAAATCAGGGTCAATTGGCAACCTGGAACTGTTGTCATCTTTGATAACCGTATTGTTAGTCACTCAGCAATTTTGGACTTTGACACCACCGATTCAAGATTGATTATCCGTGCTGCTTCCAGGGCTGAGAGACCAGTCCACGACTTGAAGGATTTGAACAAGCCAGATGAAAATAACGTCTACGAAGGTCTCGAATACTTTGGGGGTAGATAAATGTCATTATATAAGGTCATATACAAGTTTAAAATTTTGTCATGATTGTGTACCTCTCTGTGCGTGTGCGTGTGTGTGTGCATCTCACTACTTAAAATTGTAGGTGAGTGAATGGTTTGCGTTGCTCACCAATGCACAATTTCCCATGTTGTACGACTTCAAGCTTCCTTCTGGGCTAACATCAATGTCAAAAATGTCCATTGGAATGCCAAGTGTTGTACAAGCATTTGGCACATCAACAACTCCAGCAATATGTCCCTCAATTGGAGCAGTAGATAACAACAAGTAGATCTGGTAATCATTGTAGCCAAATTTTCTCAAGTATTCAATTGCTCGAATGCATGCTTGTCTGTAAGCTGTGGTTGCACAAAGATACTTTTGATTACCTTCTTCATCAACGGAAAACCCTTCAAATGTCAAGTATCTAGAAGGGCCATAGTGATTTTGAACGTCTCCCGGAGTGAATATCGGACTTTTTATGGAAAGCTTTTCCATTCCTCCCTTAATCACAGAAGTTTTGATGGACAAGACACCTGGCATTTCAATTGCACCACAAAATGAAATTTCTCCATCACCTTGTGAAAAGTGCAAGTCACCAACAGAGAATTTGGCACCTTTAACATACACAGGGAAGTAACATTTGGAGCCTCTTGACAAGTTTTTGATATCACAATTGCCACCATTTTCTGGTCTTCCCGGGATAGTTCTTGCACCCTCTTTAGCAATACGTGCAGCAAGCTCTCCGGTGGCACTACCAGAATGGGCATTCATTTCCAATGGTGGTAATGCAACCGCAGTTTCATATTCATGTTGAATGTCATTGATCAAACCAACCTCTCTTTGATTCCATTCTTTCAAGACTTCATGAGAGGGGGCAGTGCCCATAATACCTGGATGGATTAAACCCGTGAATTTAGTATGTGGGATATGTCTCGATGTAGCATGAATACCTTCAAGATCAAATATGGCTTTTGCAGCTTCGGGATAGAACTTGTCCAAAAATCCACCACCGTTTTTCTTGTGAAAGATACCACAGTATCCCCAAGGTTGTCTATCCAATGGCTGAACGTCTTTGATTTCAACAACCAAGACATCACCTGGCTCAGCACCTTCAATGTTAAATGGACCAGAGATGTAGTGAATTCTAGTAAGATCAACATTTAAAATATCATCAGCTGAATCATCATTCTTGATTTGGTTCCCGGTCCAATCCAAACACTCAATCTTGACAGTTTCACCAGGATAAATTGTTTCAGAAAATGGAACATCTGGATGCCATCTATTGTGCACTTGGGGCTGTTCATAACCAGGCTTGGCAAGGTCTACTTTGGTAACGTAACGAATCTCTTCTAAAGGCATTGCAGGTTAATGGGGCCTAAAGCTGCTCTGGAAGTGAACACTCAAGCAAGAATTGTTGCGTCTTTATATAATCTAAGATTTGTCTTCTAATCTCTCCAACCATTTTTTTATTGCGGGTGCTACTGATAAGGCGGAGCCGGTTTGTGTAATTTTTCTTGTCTCATTTGGGGCACAAGCGATGCGGAGTTGTTCAATGTCTAAAAAGTTAAAAAAAAGAACCCCAAAGCTCTAGCACGGGGTCGCTGCCCCGACAACGTACCCCGACAACGTACCCCCTTTGAAAATGCTTCATAGCGAGTGAGAGACAATGAGAGAAGCCTCTTATAACACATCAATTGTTATTACCTAAATCTTGTGGATTGAAGTAGCATCAACTCAACATCTCAAAACCGCAAGACCAATATCCGTCAATTTTGACGTGCATTTCGAATATTCCAGAATCAATAGGGTAACTCAGAAGACCAAGACTAAGAGAATCAAATGGGAAAGTAGATGCGGATTGCTTCTGTTGTGGGGGTGAACTGTGAAGTTTAAAACCTGTCATGTCACGAAAAATGTGAATCATATCAATCTTGATTATCCTGCACTAAGGATAACAGCAACGGAATACGGGGCGAGTGCTACCTGAGAGGAAAATTATAATAACCTATTTTTACTAAGACGAAAGTAGCTATAGCTATTCATGTTTTAAAACGGCATCAGACCTGTGGATACTTGTGACGTGGCCCTCCCCACAAAAGTTTAAATCGCGAAAGCTACAGTCAGTACCAACTCTATCCAACCACTCAATTGCCTCCACTCTTTCAAACCAATGCCTTCACAACACGATTGTAAACTCTATTAAAACACTATATCGAAAAAAAAAACCTATGTAAGCATTTCAGGCATGCCATCGTCCTTCCAACTTCCCGAAAACATATGTTTGGCAAATGCCATTGGATCACCTGATGACTTGGCCCCCATTTGATTCACATCGGGACTGAAGGAAGTTATGGGCAACACCAAAACATCGTCGATAGCAATTGGTTGTTCCATCCCTGTGAAAAGACGCCAATCAACTTCAACTACCTGATTGAGGTATTTAAAAACATAGTCAGTGAAAATACCAGGTCCTGTCCAATTCATTATATCACCACCTTCATCTTTACCCAATATTTTTTTCAATTGTCCCTTTGCTGATCTTGTTAGCGTTATGTCTGTGATCTTTGCTATAAGCTGGGCCAACATGGGATGACCACGTTTTGATTGAATTGTCCATTGACAAAATTGTATTCTGCGAGCATACCAATCGGCCCAGTCTGGACGGTCTGGATCGGCTTCAATTCCAACAACTAACCCTGCATTGTTTGTTTTACCGGCTATTTCTTCATTATTGCTTGCCCACTCGTCAATGGGCTTCAATCCTACGGTATCAATGTCGGTGTACACTCCTCCTCTGGCAAATAGTATCAAGTAACGGAAAAAGTCAGCTTTTAAGATTGATTTAGGCATGACGCTGTAGGCTTTTGCGACATCGGGGGCTTCAGCATAAAGCTCTGCAACAAGGGCATCGCATTGCGCATCTGAAATCACAAAATGCTTGTAATTGGGGTTTTTATCATCCCAAGTTTTTTGGAAATTGCGATATCTCTTGGGGAAAGATTCATCGCTCAAGGCAACCTTCCATGTTTGCCAGATAAATTTAGGAAAGTCGCTTGTAGGATCATAAGGAATGCTATGGTATAGTTCCTGAAGAACTTTACTTGATTGTTCTGGAGTTGGTTTTAATTTTGGTTGGAAGTTGAATCCTCGAGTTTTCCATTCTTTATTAGCTTCAAGTTCTCTTATAAGTTGCAATTTGTTGGAATTTGGTTCAGTCTTGTATGCTGCATGTCCATTAAAGGAGAAATAAAAGAAGTAGACCACTAGTAGTAAAAACCCCGTGACAAATGCAGTCTTGTAATTTCTTCGTCCCATATCAACGTATAAGCACTGCCTTTTCCTGTTGGGAAAAAAAAAATAAAAAATATGCAAACAAAAATAATCCGATCGAAAATGCGCTCGCAGATATAGAAACAGATCCCTTGCCCACAGTAAAGAGAGAGAGAATTACTCGAAGACCTTACTGTAGTGCTTTGAAAACTAGTTAATAATAAAATTTTAATATACAAAACTATGCATCCTTAATATATAAAATTGAACTCGATGTCCAAATCTTTTCCCGATTAAATGTATATCAAATATATTCCCACAATTTTTTTGAAGGGAAGAAAGAAATTTCCTAATTTATCACAAAGTATTGTATTTCTTCTTTTTCTTTTTCTTCTTCCCATATCTCTCTCTATATGTAAATGCCTTTTCTATATGTATCCTTTGAACAAATGTATGAAACTGAAAATAAAGTAAATAACTTGTAAAACTAATAATACACGAGTCGTAACGAAAAAGCAAAACAATGTAAATGTTGAAAAAAAAAAAAACTGAATCTTTTTGTGATGATGATGATGTTATAGTTGTCAGCGATGATGATCTATTGTGTGAATATGTTTGAAAAATGTTGAAAAAAAAAACGATTTAGATGAGTTCTAAATGATGATGCAAAATAAAAAGCGAGCTTGTGTGTTGTGGTGCACAATGCGCTAGCAGTTTGCGTACGCTTACCACCACGAGGTAGAACCAGATGGGTTACCATAGCTTGAGTTGAAATTTGAGCGGGATCCATAACCACCACTGCTACCTCCGCCATTTGAATTTCCCCAGCCACTGTTACCTGAACTTCCCCATCCGCTGCCGGCGCTACTACCCCAACCGGAGTTGGAGTATCCTCCTCCACCTCCTCCACCAGATCTTCTGAAATCTCTAGTGGCTCCACCACGACCACCGTATCCTCCACCACGGGAAGATCCACGACCACCTCTACCAAATGACGATTCTCTTGAAATCTTGGTCAAGAAATCAGGAACCTCTTGATTAGCCTCGGCCAATAAATCAATCATGTCTTTAGCAATGTTCTTGTTGTTTCTGTTAAAGAACGCAGTAGCAATACCAACATTACCTGCACGACCAGTACGACCAATTCTATGAACATAATCATCAATGTCACCTGGTAAATCATAATTGATGACGTGGGACACATTTGGAATATCCAAACCTCTAGCGGCAACAGCAGTAGCAACCAAAATTGGTGCTTTACCATTCTTGAATGCAGCAAGGGCCTTTTCTCTCTCGTATTGAGATCTATCACCATGAATTGCGGTAGCAGGGAACCCTTGGTCATACAAGAAATCAGCTAAGTTATCTGCCATTCTCTTGGTTTCGGTGAAGACAATGGTTAAACCTGAATTGTTGGCATTCAACATATCCAAAATAACTGACTTTTTCTCTTCGTCTTCAACGTACAAGACTTTTTGAGTAATATTTTCCGAAGTAGAACCAACTCTACCAACGGAAAGAAAGATGTAATTTTTCAAGAAATCACGAGCCAACATTTGAATATCTCTTGGAAAAGTAGCAGAAAACATCAAAGTTTGCCTATTTTCAACACTTGGCATATCACATTCCTGAACAATTTGCCTAATTTGAGGTTCAAAACCCATATCCAACATTCTATCAGCTTCGTCCAAAACCAAGTATTTGATGTTGGCCAATGAAACTCTTCCTCTTTCGAGTAAATCCTTAAGACGACCTGGAGTTGCAACCAACAAGTCACAACCTCTATCCAATTGTCTAATTTGGTTTCCAATATCGGCACCACCATAAACAACGCAAGGACGGACCCATGATCTGTAAGCAAACTTCTTACTTTCGTCATAAATTTGGGAGACCAACTCTCTAGTTGGAGCCATAACAAGAACAGTTGGGTAAGCCTTGTGTGATGAAAAAGTTCCAGTAGATTCAGGAACTGGAGCTGGACCATTGGCATAAGATTCAGACAAAACAGGGAAAAGGAATCCACCAGTCTTACCCGAACCGGTTTGAGCACAAGCCATCAAGTCTCTACCACCAGCAACAATTGGAACAGAGTATTTTTGAACTGGAGTTGGTTTGGTGAATTTGGATAACTTAATATTTTCAACCAACAATTCATCCAATGGCGGGGCAGTGAAAGCTGTGATTGGTTCCGGTACATTATCACCACTAGCCTCAACTGGGATATCATCATAGTTGTCAAAGTTGATACCTGATGATGAATGAGTTTCGTCTTGGTCTGGAACACCAAATAACTCAATTTCCAATCTCTCATTACGTGGTGCAGGAACGTGTTTTCCATCAACCCATTTACCTACACCTGGGACTTGTCTTTGGTATCTACCACCGCCACTACCTCCAAACCCAGATCCACCTCTGGCTCCGCCTCTTGAACCACCAAAGCCAAATCCATTGCCTCTGGAGGATGCATAACCACCTCTGTTGTCATAACCATTGTTGCGGCGAGATCCACCAAATGGAACATCGTCGGAACCGTTTGATTGCTGGCCAGATCTGTTTCTCAAATGTGGTGGCACATATTGTCTGCGACCATTTTGTTTTGGTTGATATTGACCATTACTTCCATTTTCTTGAACACTTAAATTGTTCATTTGTTGACTAATGTCAGACATAATTCTGTTAATATAGTTTGATTTAGTATGCTTGTATCGAAGATTGATCTTCGTGAATAAAGAGTGGAAAGTAGAGTGTGATGTGACTTTTTTTTATATTCCTTTGTAAATTTTTCTCTTGTATGCAATGGGTATTGAGAAGAGAAAAAAAAAAAAGAAACAAAAGAAAATTTTTCTTTTCTTTTTTCCTATGAGAGAGAGAGCATTAAGTAAGACAGACACAAACGCACAATACATATATAAGACAGACACTCAAACAGACACTGACGCAGACAATTTTTTAAAAAAACCAGACAGACAAAAATCACACAAACAAAATGAAATAAAAATGATAGTCATTCAATTTGTATATCCACCTTATATATATATATGCCACCGCAATCAAGTCATTCAATTTCCATTCAAATGTACTCTTGCGTGTGGATGTGCATAGCAACATCGGTCATCTTGATTATTGGTTGTAGGTGTTTGAGTACCACCACCCAAAGGAAGATACAGCATATCCTCACTATTGGTCTCACTCGTGGTATTACTCGATGACGTCTTTTCTTCTGATTCTTCTTGATCACTGTAGTTGATGTCGAAATCTTCGTTATCCTCATTCTGCTCTGGTTTGAATTCTCCATTATCATTCTCAACCATCATTTGTCTTGTTTCTGGCTTCAAATACGAACTAAACGGTTTCTGTTGCTCTCTAACATTCCAATTCAAGTTCCTACTAACTGAATCCATGTATTCCGTTTTGGAAGCAATGACTGTGGGGAATGGGAAAGGAGAAGCTTGTATTGTGACGTAGTACCCTTTGCTAAGCTCTTTTCTCACTTTCCCATCAAACGAACACCATGCAGTGGACCTACTGGTTACAGGTACTTTGATCTTCAAAAACATCCCATCTGGTAACAATATAGGGCGGAAAGATAACGTATGAGGGCAAATAGGCGTCACGCTAATAGCGCTAACTCCTGGATGAACTAGGGAACCTCCAGCAGACAAAGAGTATGCCGTTGAACCTGTTGGTGTTGCAATAATAAGTCCATCAGCTTGTGCTATAGTCAACAATGATCCATCACCATAAAGTTCCAAGTTTGTCACAAAGGGAGAAGGCCCTCTATCAACAACCAATTCATTCAAAACTTGTTGCTCACATATGAGTTTGCCCTCGGCGGTATGTACTCGACAAGTAAATCTCATTCTTAAATTTGCTTTCACTCCTGAATCTAAACAATGATTTAATTTAGATTTGTAGTCATCAAACTTGAAATTGGTTAAAAACCCTAAACTTCCTAATGAAAATGACAATACTGGTGGTACAACTCGTTGAAACAAGTTGGAAACATAAAGCACGGTACCATCTCCACCAAGCGTAACCACCAAATCAAACAATTCAGGTGATTTCAAAGTCAACTCTTTGTTCCAGTATCGCAAATGCTTGGAAGCACTGGGATACTGTTTAACCATGCGTTTACTATCAAATCTTTTCGAATGCTCTAGTTTTGAATCAACAAATACTGTGATTTCAGTATGATTTGACAATAGCCATTCAACAACTTCTCGCGTCAAGTAAACCAAAGCATTATCTCTCGCTTTTGTTACAATCATCAATGCCCTAACATCCAATTGTATAGTCGCCCTCGAAAGATTCTTGGCTAACATCCTCACTCCATTCGCAGTTTCTGCCAACTCAGTATGACTCTTAACCGATCTCAACTCATCGGAAGATAACCGAGACAATACATCTTTTGCCGTCTTGTTGCTTTTGGCTACATCCTCGCAATACAACTTTGCATGTATCCGTGGTGGTTCTCTTGCAAAATTGTCCTTTGGTGAGCTACTTATACTTGGCACAGTGGACCCGTATGGCGTAGAGGACATGGAACTAAGACTATACTGACTTCGATTGAATTTATGAATTGAATGTTTTCGACGAAAAGATGAATGTTGCGGCTGTGGGCTAGCAAGCGCCGGTGTACTATTAACTTGAGGTTGGTTTGATGGCGGTTCTAATATTTCAGTTGGTAAGGATGATATAGATGATGACGAGCTCTCCGACGTTCTCTCTCGTTGTTGACGACCTTCTCGTATTTGCTGTATATCCACTGGTTCTGAAGGAGATACTAGTTTGGTCAAGGGATGTAACGCATCCTTGTCTACTTTCGTCAGCAAATTCTTCAATTGTTCCGTCAACTGGCTTTGAGGGGAGTCAGACATTGTTGTTGATGTATATGTGTATATGCACTCGTATTGGTTGCAGATGCGTTGATCGGTAAAGCAATTTTTTTATTTAGTTTTCAGTTTTAGTGGAGGAGGGAAGGCAGAACAAAAAAAAAAAAAAGAAAGCAGGGAAAGTGAGGGAATAGGAAAATATCCAAATATCCGTAAATAAGCGATCGGATCTAAAAGCCTATATAATCTTACGCTGATTTACATTCCCATAACCCACTTGTTTTATCCAACAATGGCAACGATGCACCTAAACACCAACCCAATTCGTTATTGTCAATCGTTTTAGCTGTTTTGAGTTCCCTATTTAACGGAATGTCATACCCAGTGTGCAACATGGCGGTGATGAAACTAAGATCCAAACACCATTGTGGCTCCTTGCTCAAATTGTTTACATGGTCATCGAAGAAAACATCACGCCATAATGACTCGCCCTCGCAAACTGACTTGGTTATATCTCTCAACTCCTCAACTGTAAAACTCGAAGGCATGCCAATCGGGTTTGTTCTGTCGTAAAAAAATGAAAATACAAACATATCTGAATTCTTGTTGAATGCATGTGTTAATGAGGGTTGGTGGATACCATTGAACGAACATGGCTTTGCTTCGCATGTAGCGTCTTTATTGAGCACCTGCTCAGCAAGAAAACGACATTGCGATCCAGCGGCTTTTGAGGGACCTTTCATATTGACAACATAAACCTCCTTTTCTGAGACTTCGACTTGCACATTCTTTGCAATTAAGTTTGGAGGAATACAAGGATTGGTTACATCGACCTCAGCATTCACGCCCTTTGCATCCTTTTTGCTTGCATATTTGGTTAACTGGGCATTTTTCAAGTAATTCTCCAAAACCAACTTGTTGATCTTATTTCTTCCTTGCATTAACCCGTATCCCAAATGGCTAAATTGATACAAAGTGAAGTCGTGATCGCCAAACGTAAATTTGTATTGGGTTTCCCCTTCAATTGGAACCTGATCTTTATAGTCAGGTTCAAATACAATTTGGGTTGAGCCACCACCTAAATCAAAAACTGCAGCAGTTGGTAATTTGTCTTTATTTCCAATATTGCCCAATAAGAAATTTGCAGTAACCCATGCATAAACACCTTCATCCTTGCCGTCTAAAATGGAAATTCCATCTCCGGGTACAACAGCAAATGGATAATCTTCTTCCAAATGTCTTTTGACTTCCTTTAAAATAGCGTCAGACTTGGCCACTCCTAGTAACCTCAAACCAGCAGTTGCTTTGACAGCAATTGGTGTACAGCTTTGTTTGTCTTTTGGTACCTTAGCCAATGCAACTTCCAACAATGGGTCCAATGACTTAGCTGCACCCACAGCATCGGTATCAAAAGAGCTCAACCCAGGATCAAGCATCTTGAACTTTTCAGACAACAATTTAGGTGGTTGAGAACAAGTGTTGAACTCGTACACATGCACTCTCGATCCTGTACTTCCAGCATCAATCATGACAACATAGTTGACTTCATTACACTCTTTGTTCATGCTCACCTCCTGTGGTGTGGTTATTTTTTCATTCTCATTCTCTTTATTAGCAGATGGTGGCTTGTCGCTCAACTTTTCCGCGATGTTTGATTCGGAGTTATCAACTTTTTCATAAGGAGGTTTTGTACCTGAATGTGGCTTCCCTTGAAGAGTGTTTTTCTCCTCCTCATCTACTTGTGAATGATCCTCTTGAGGCTTTGATTGTTGCTGTTGCTGTTGCTGTTGCTGCTGTTGTTGATCATCTTGTTGTTGATGTATCGTCGAATCACCACTAGCTGGTTGCTTACCAACTCTTTGTACTGTACTCCGAAGTGAGTTTTGTGATGTTGCAAAGAACGCAAAAATACCAAAAATCGCAAAAACGGCAACTATTAGCCTGAGATTACGAGTACTCAACATGGGATTGGTGAAGGTATGTGTGTAGTCGATTGTAATTACGAAATCTCGATGCGAAAATATTTTCTTTTTTTTTTTTTTTTTCTGCCAGACGTGTTGTTTTTGGGGTAGCGCTTATCGGAGTACCACCACAAAACAAGTCCCACAATATTGCTCCATCTGGACAGCAAAGACGGTATCTAGGTCCGAGTGCAGGCTTTGGTGCTGCAGGGTTGAAAGGGAGATTAAAAGGGGTCGTGACAGAATTGTTATAAAAGTTACGGTATTCCCTTGTGACGCCAGTTTCAAGCGCAAGCTCTACTTGGTCAACTCACCATGGAATTCGGTCCCTCCTTGTAAAGATTTCCCATCGCAACCTAACCCAAACATGGGTACCTCAAATCTCGGCGTTTGCAAGCCTTGGTCTTCGAATAATAGAATATTATAAATTTATTCGAACCCAAACTGAAAATAAACTTCTTCCCTTTTTTTTTGTTGACACACGTGCTCCAAACAAGTCACGTGTGAGGTACATGTGGGAGGTCCCACGTTTTCCTTATTCTTGCAACAAGGAAAACCATAACACATCTCATTATTATTTCTTTCTCCTCTTCAATGACGAGAATGAATCAAGGAGGTGTAATGAAAGGCAAGACGGTCAGTAAGTTCCCTTTTTGTACATGTGACAATAAGTGGCTCTTTGATTCCACGAGTCTAATCAAGTACGGGCTCAACTTAACGATACAATTTGCTTCCATCAACTTGCTGGATTTTGATTCCACCAGTGCTTCTAGAAGGAAAAGAAGACAGCTGGTTGAAGACAGTGATTGCGATTCTGACAACGAGAGTATTATGGATTATGAACATGAACCGCCAAGTCCCATATTAGTACCTGTTGAAGCACCAAAGTCATCAATTAGACGCTGCAGCTTCACTAAAGAAGACAGAGATGTGTCCGCATTGCATATCTGCTACAACAAAATCGAAAGTGTTATTGACGAGTTTTTCCCAATGGCAAATGATCGTAACTACATCACTATCAAAAATTTTGTGTGCAACTGCATGCTTCAACAAGAGCTAGACATCAAAGAGTTTCTCAAGAGGATAGTCAACCACAAATACAGATCAGAGCTTGCAGACATTATTCGTACCATTTTCATTGAAAAATTCGAAGAGGTGAAATTAGAAAGCTTGATTGATTACTACAACAACTTTCTCAATCTCACTGGTAGCATCGAATCCCTAGATAACCCTCAATTTTACGATCAATATTACAGAATATGGAAGTTTAAAGCTGAAGACTATTTAACATACCACGAAGAATATTTTTTTGCCTACTTCAACAATGGAGGCAAAGCACCAGTGCATACAGAGCACATTTTGCTACAAAATGGGTTCTTGACAAACTATGCACGATTCAGATCATACTTTGCTTACGATGTGTTGAGCTATGCGGATGATGGGGAAGATATTAGTGAACCAGTAAATGCCCTTCCCGAATACATTTCCCAAACGCTGCTTGACATTCCATCGATGGTGTTAGACTCAAAACCAAAGCGTCTTCGCTTCAATGAAGAAGTCGACTTGATCAGTATAAACCGTCATCTCCCCGTAGATCACGTCTTGTACGAAAAGTTATCCAAAAGGTTGTAATTGAAAGAAAATGATTTTGATATATAATATTTTCGCAACCACTCTTTATCCTTATAATATGCGAAAGCCACACACGCATTTTGTGTGCAGGAGACCTCCATGTGTCCCCCACTCCATGAGCACGCATGCAATCAAATCCTAGTACAAAGTGTAACCCAAGCTTAAATTTCCTCTAAACCTTGATGATATTGAAGTTACAATTTTGCAAAACAAATCTTTCCATGCGGAATGCTTCAAATCAGATATCAAGTGGAGATGATACCCCTCATCGTCTGTCTCTACTCCGAGAACTTTTTTTGACTTTTTTTTTTTTTTCTTTTCAACAAAAACTATAAACAATGATGCAAGGTGTGACCTCCAAGTTTTGCACCCAATTAGAAAGTCAATTTCCAAAGCAGTCGGCTTAAAGTGAATGATAGATCGCAGAGGGCTTTAACATTAATCTTGTACCATGTCTCAGCCATCGAAACGTGGCGCCGAATATGATCCACCAAAGAAGAAGAAGCGGTCGCTTGGCCATTTCCCATGTCGTCATTGTGACAAGGTGTTCACCCGCTCTGACCATTTAGCCAGACATAATCTTAACCATGAGCCAAAGGAGGTTTATATTTGTGACTTTCAAATCGAAATCAATGGAAAATTGCAACCATGTGGCAAGAGATTTGTTAGAAAGGATTTGAAAGAACGTCATCTCAAGAGACATTACGAATTACAAGAACTAGATGCATCAGGAAAACATCTGGGGGTTTATAATTATACTACTCCATCCGTGAATGAATCGACGCCCGAGGGGTCAACTCAGGTATTCCAGCGACCAACCACCACCAATTCATCAATGCAGTCTCCTCAATATCCATTGACAACCAATTTAGCTACCAACACAATGCCCCCTCAGTTTGATCTAGACTCATTAAGAAACAATGGCACAACATTGCCTCAAAATGACATTTTAACCTGGCTATTTGACATTCCTCAGTTTGATTACAACTTGCACAGAGACAATTCTCAAAGAACAAATTTACCACCACCATATCAACACCCATTACAACATAATGGATCACCACCATTTGTCCCACCTCCTCCACCATTGGGCACGCTAGAAGACCAACTTGTTACTGCATACGATTTCAATGTTTTCCCCAACGAAAACAACCCTTTAGATGACTTACTATCGAGACAAGTAATAATGAAAGAAGATCAGATGCGGAAACTATCACAAGTCAGTGATAGCTTGCCCACTTATCTGAGTATCACTTCAAACTCGTCACCTGCCACCAGTGATACCATCTTAGGACACGACGCTCAAGCAAGAGACACTGAAGACAGTATTGATTTTGATCTTTTGGGGATTACAAACTTGTTAGAGCTTAATGTCGAGCAAGTGTTTGAAATTTGCAATGCAAAACGTTTGTCAATATATTTCAAAAATTATTGGTCTACATTTCATCCTCAATTCACTTTTATGCATGGCCCATCATTTGATTTAAAGTCACATCCACTTCTTTTAGCATCGATGATCATTGCCGGTGCGACGAGTTTTAATAGTGGAGAAACTACTGAGCACCTGATAGCACAACTATTTGCAGAGGAATTGCGTTATGCTATATTCAAGCATGAAGATTTCCTCCAACTGAGGCCATGGGTGATACAAGCGTTGAATATACTTGAATGGGTTGAGAAAAATTTCTTATCCAGAAGGTTTCATCAACGAGGGCATGTCCACCACGGTGCTACTGTTCAACTTTTACGGAGAAGTCCCATGATGGGAGGAAACCCTTCGGCTGTGAAACGAGCTACCAGCAATGGATCAACCTCAGCTGAGGAAAGCGATTCCAACGTTGAAGAAGAAGTCAACACTGACATGGATCTTTATATACGATGGGTGGAATCTGAATCAATGCGAAGAATTACATTTATGACGTTTTATTTGGATATCACTGATTACGTCAAATTTAGGCACAACCCGCTTATTGAGTTCAGTCAGCTCCAACTACTTAATCTTCCATGTGATGAGCGCCTTTGGGAGTCCATGTCAATTAATGGATCATTCAAAAAGTTGGCAAAACTTCAAAAGAAACTACAAACAAAACAAAAGACTTTTTTAACTGGATTGAAAGAGCTTTTGAGAGGACAGTACCAAGCGTTGAAATCTTATCCTCTTTTCACCCAAAAGGTGCTTTTGGCTGGATTAGTATCGCTAATGTTTCTGCAAAGTGAAATGAATAATTCATTATTCAGAGTCAATTCTAACAAGTCATGGAAAGATAATGTAATGACTACTTTTGAATCATGCCTTGATATTGTCCTGAAACTCGATTACAAGTCGATATACCGGCCATTTGACGTTTTCCACCTTGCTAGAATAATGGCATGCGATATTAATCACTACGATCTTGCAATTTTTGCTGGTGCTCCTGCTAATCAAAGTGTTGCTGCTACAAAAAAGGATAAAAGAATTGTTGAACGCAAAATGAAGAACGTTTGGTCTCACCAAAGAAGCCTCGAATGTGTTGTTCAAAGCTACAAGTTTTTGTGGGAGGTTTTGTTGAATGAGAATAATTGGGATTCAAATAAAAGTAGCGATTGCTCATTCACATTGAGTCACGCGATGTTGATGTTGTGGTCATATTGTTTCGTAGTGTGTGGGAAGGAAAGCTCATTGTATCAGGAGTTTCCCCAAGAGGTTACATATAATCAAATGGCTGCATTAAGTGCAGAAGAAGGGTATCATTATTTATCTAGAACAAGGGAGGAATTTTACAAGGGGGGTTGCAGGTTGTCCTCCATTACAAACAAGAAAAACATTTCTGGATTGTGTTTTCTAGTTGGATCAAAATTGAAAATTAGTCATTGGGAAGTGTTGAGAGAATATGCAAAATTAATTCTAAATTGTGGTTTCAGATCAATTGGGAAAGAAACTGTCTTGTGTTTAGATCTCTTTGATAATTGATTGAATGGTAGCTGTACCAATTTTTTTTTTCTTTGCGCGTAGAGATGAGGAAGAGATGAGAATTTATACACCAGATTTTCAGTGCTAGTTTTTATTTACCAAAACAACGAGTGCTTCGAAATCATTTATCAATATGGATATTCATCGTTGCCGATTCGTGGACTATACGCCTCATACTATCACATCATTGGCGTTTTCACTGCGATCTTTTCCAGAACAATCAGCACCATCGGATTTGCGTTTAGCAGTAGGCAGAAGTAATGGAGATATTGAAATATGGAACCCAAGACATAATTGGACCCATGACTTAACATTGGCTGGATCAAAGGGACGGTCTATTGAAGGACTCATTTGGAGCTCAAGCTCATCGGATGCAGAGAATGAACCCAGCAGATTATTTTCCATTGGGGGATCTACTTATATCACTGAATGGGACTTGAAGACTGGCAGACCCTTGGTAAACTATGATTGTAATGCAGGAACTATCTGGTCCATTGATTTGACTGCGCGTGGTGACAAATTGGCAGTTGGTTGTGACGATGGGTCGGTTGTCGTTGTGGATATATCGGGAGGTGTTGGTTCATTAGAGTATGATATCATTTGTCAAAGGCAAGACGCAAGAGTTTTGAGCTTGAAATGGAACGGAAATGAACAAATTGTTGGAGGATGTGCAGATGGAAGAATAAGAGTATGGAGCTATGCCAAGGACACCAAGGGTAGAATCTTGAGTACGATGAGAGTTGACAAATCCAAGACTGAGAGTACATTGGTATGGACTTTGGAAGTTTTGCCAAACAGGAATCAACTTCTTAGTGGTGACTCCACAGGACATGTCAAGATATGGGATTTGAAGTTCTTTTCATTGATGCAAAGTTTCAAGATTCACGATGCTGATGTGCTTTGTATTGTGAGCGATGTTAAGGAAGAACGTTTCTTTTCTGCGGGTATTGATAGAAAGATTCATCAATACGATTTGTTGCATGCAAAGTCTAGTACCAAGTGGGTACACAGCTTTAATCGGTTGTTGCATTCGAACGATATTAGGTCTATGGCAATTACAGAGAGTAAAAATTTCAAAGCTCTTGTTAGTGGTGGTGTTGAACGAGCCATTACTATACAACTGATTGACAATTTTCAAGATTCAAAGTACAAGAAATTATTGGTTAATCAACAAATTAGTAATGTTTTGGTGGTTCCAGAAGACAAGCTTGTGATCCTATGGCAAGACCAATTTGTCAAAGTATGGAAGATATTGAGTAATGGAAAACAAAAGCTAATTTCGAAGTTGATCTTATCAGATGATGAGAATATCACGAGTGTCGATTTCAAGGGAAATTTGCTAGCAGTTGCCAAAATGACTTCTGTAAAGGTTTACGAGTTGGACGAGGTTGACGTTGAGAATGATAAATATATGATCAATAAAATAAGGGACGAAAATTTTGACTCAATAATATCGGGAGCCAAAAAAGTCAAGTTTATATCCAATTCGAAGGTGCTCGTTTTGACCCCAGATGAAGAATTGTATCAATTTTCAATTGATGCTGAAAATAGTCAAATCTCATTAGATGATCAAATCGAATTTATTGAAAACGATTCCACATCAAACACATCATACAGCAACAACATCAAAAATCTCATCTTAACCCCTAATCACAAGAACATAGTATTATCAAGATTCAATGGATCCATTGAAGTCTATCCACTTGATGCTGGCGATGCATTCACCCTCACAAAATTATCTAACTCGTCGTCCCATCCACACTTGATATCATGCCGAAACAATGATCAACTTTTAGTTTTGACAAATGACAACAAGATACTCGAGTTTAACTTGTTTAACCGAGAACAATTGTTGACCGCGTGGTCTAAACGCAACAGCGAGTTTTTGCCACGTCAATTCACATCACTTGAGGACAAGCCAGAAGGAATGTTTGTCAAGGAAGAAAAATTGTGGGTTTATGGAACATCATGGATGTGTTACTTTGATTTGACAAAGAATATTCCCATAAGCAAATTGTACAAAAATTTAAGTACAGGTAAAAAAAGAAGAAGAGATGGTTTGAGTCTTGATGATGAAATAGATGTCAATGGCGATGTTGTGCAACTAGAATCGAGCTTGAAACAGAGTGAAATTGACAAGTTGAAGAGGCAGATTAAAGAAGACGAGGATGTCAATGAGCGTGAAGGAGCAGTTGATGGCGAAGATGAAGACATGCATGAAGGAGAGTCAAAGGTATTTTCGTTAACGGAAAAGTATAGACCGATAATGAAAGTGGCTGATTTCGGATATGATGAATTGTTGATTGTTGAAAGGCCCTACTTTGCTTTGCCAACTACACCTGCTTTCAACTTGCCTAAATTGAGAATATAATAGAATTTTGTATGCGCAATAATATCAGTTTATTCACGAAACTAATCTATTTTTGGAACTACTCTTGCACCTTGAAAAAACACTCTAGCGGCGGACCCGTAACCCATAAGACACTTTTGTGGGTTTCCTTGGCCATCTTTATCTTCACCTTTCAAACCCCATCCTTTTCCATTTCCAAACCAGTCGTGGTATTTTGCATCATAAACTTCCTTGTATGTGTTGTGAGGCTCAAAACTTTGCAAGTACATTCCATCTTTTGGATCTTTGATAAACTCGTAAAACATAATTAAGTGTCTCTTGACCTCATCGTGGATTTGTTGAGCCAAACCTTCGGGAACATCATCTGGATCAACGTACAACAAGTAGTCAGCGAGACCTTCAATCAACAATTGCACAAAGTATGACGAGTCACGCCAGTATCTCTTATCATCTGGGAAATCACGATCGTAAAAGAACGAGTTGTGATGGATTCCTGCTTTGGCCAAATCGGTGGCGATTTGTAACCACTTCTTATCCTTTGTGATGTGGTACAATTCGGCTGCTGCTGATAAAGTAGTTCCAGTGTTGTAACTCCACTTTACATTGTCAACCTTGTCACTATCCTCACCGACACCATCTCTAATGAGTTTATCCAGAGGATCTTGCAACACTTTGATTTGCCAGTCTATACACTTCGCTGCAAAATCAACATAAACTTGACTTTCTTTTGGCAAAAATTTCGAGATTTGCAAGCATGCTTTAGCAACTTCGGCAGTAGTACAGGCATTCAATAGCTTTTTGGAGATATGCCAGTGCACACCACCTTTTGTGACTGCATTAGGATTATCGTTCCATCCTCCCATCAAGAACCGAACCAATTCTCTCCCTTGGTCCAAGTATCGTTTATCACCAGTCACCTCGTACGCAGTGATGATTGCACTTGCCACTTGGGCATCGTCGTCGTAGTAGATGTCTTTGTCACCACCTTCGGCAGCAGAGTATCCCTTAAGACTGTTGTTTTTGTATTTTTGAAACATGGCAACTGCTGGACCTACTAATGGTTTGAATTCGTCTGGGTAAATTCGTGCAGCATCAACCACTGCTTGTACACCAACGGAAATGGCCCAAACAACAAATTTGGAGTCATTGTAACAGCCACTGCATTTCTTTTTGGCAACAAATGTCTTTTCATGTGAATTGTAGTATTCCAACCACATAGCTCTGGTGATATAATACCCTTCCAAATTTGGGTTTTCAAGTTTTGGGAATGCAGACATAGTGGGAAGAAATCTAGCAAAACAATTGGTGTACGGGTTCTAAGAAAATGGACTTTTGGTTGGGGAAATCAATTGTGTAATATCTTCGTTCTTTTTTTGTATAGCCCTGTCGATGAAGAGTTAGTCTCTGGCAACGTGCTTAAATACAAAATGCTGAGAAAACTTTGAATTCTCTGCATGATTGCTAAAAGTTGTTATCTTCTAATTTTTTTTTTTTTATAAAATTGCTGCTGCGGCTGCTAAAATATAACTTATGACTGGTTCTGTAAATACAAAAAGTATTGAATATTCATTATTCTATTTGGAACTAGTGAATTATAATATACATGCGACATAAAATCAGTATTATCGAATTGAATACAAAGAATAAGTAAAAACTCATTAATCTTTGGCATTTTCTGGTTTTCTAGCGATGTACAACATCATTGGCGTGAACAACTTTTGACGACCACCTTCAACCAAGTTAATTGCAGCATCTTCTAAAGCGTGTGTAACTTGCTTTGAACCCTTTGGTGCAATACCAACTTTCTCCATCAATCCAACAGCTTCCGTGGTAATCAATCTACCAAGTCTAGAAGTTCTGAAAACAGTGTACAAGTCACTCAAGGACTGACAGTACTTCAAATCTCCAGCTAATGGGTAGTACCATGGAATATCATCATCGACATCGGCCAAATCCTTTTGATATTCAACTTCAAATCCAACATTCTTTAAAGCTTGTTCGGCAACTTCACGACTGTACATTTTTGGAATACCATCCCCGACTTCAATACCATAGGCAATCTTACGGTGCTCTTCGTTTGTTTCGTCGTACTTGTCGGTCATCACCCATTCATAAACACCGAAAACTCCACCTGGCTTCAAAACTTTGTAGATTTCAGAATAAACACTTTCTAAAACTGGAGCATGAACGGTAGCTTCAATTGCGTACACAGCATCAAATGTTTCTGGTTCAAAATCCATTTGCATAAAATCCCCTTTGACGTAAGACAACTTGTCGTCTAACTTGTACTTCTTAGCATAGTAATTGGCCCTTTCTATTTGATAATCGTTATTGTTCAAACCAACAATTTCACAATCAGTAAATCTAGTGATTTCCCTACCAGGTCCACCCACACCACAACCAACGTCCAAAACTTTCATATTTTCGTTTATATTCATTTTGTATGCCAAGTAATGTTCGTGTCTAGCTGTGGCTTGTCTAAATGCTTCACCCTTGTAGTATCTAGAGAAATGGAAAGAAGAACCCCAGCCGTATTCGTAAAAATCAGTAACCAAGTTGTAGTAGTGATGAGTTAATTGTGAGTAGTCGCTCAATCTCTTTGTTTCATCCTCTTTGGTGACACCACCATCCCAATGTTTGAAATATCCCTCATTAGCAACTGAAGCAGCATCCTTAGACTTGGAAATCAATGCAGCCAATCCAGTCTTTTTATAAGATTCACCGTGTAAAGCTTTGGTGAATTGTTCATCTCTTTCGTAATTTTTTTCAGCTAATTGAACAGGTGACATTGTTAAGAAATTATGTAACTATATGATGTTGATTTGTGTTAAGTCTTTGCTGGGATCTAGTTGGTGATGGAAAGAAAGCCTGCTAAACCGAGTTGAAAGAAGAAGTTGAAAAGTCAAGTATCGAAATGAATTTAAGATAGCTATTTATAAGTTGAAAAAAATAGAAAATTTAATATTGGACGTGAATTGTAAACGATGGGAAAGAAGAAAAAATAAAAAAATAATACTAAACGTTCGTTACACAAAATGTCAGGTACGAGTGGGAGTAGATCAACTGGCATAGATCGGGCCCAGACACCTGTTGGTTGGAGGGCTGAAGAGAAGACGTAAATAGGACAGGCTTCATTTATTATATGGTTATGGATCTAAAATCGATGACACGGATTTATGATGTTCAATAGCAAAGCCAAAAGCGATCTCGTGTGAAAAAAGAGAGGGAAAAAAGGACGAAGGGACCCACTTTCGACCCCGATAATCAAGGGCATTGACAACGGTTCGTTTTGGGCAATGGACATTTAGGGTCGTGTAGTTCTCCAACTCATTGAGGAGACACCAAGTGTCAAGATATTTCATGTTTTCGTTTTTTTTTTGGTTTTGTGTACGTCTTGAATGTATTTTTTTCATCGTTCCCTTTGTCTCACATTTACTCTCGTTTACATACAACTTTCTCTCTATACGAGGAGAAAAGTTCTAAAAGAGCTTAAAGTGGCACAAGCATTTCTTATCCACGACTGGTATCAACAAGATAGGTGGCAGAAGGGTTGTATCTTCATCACTATCATAACGAGGGTCGCAACGAAGAATATACTGTTACCATCCAGTTGTTGCCAAAAAGAGAAAAGCTCACAGTGGTTAGATCACACTCAAATGTCTCGCGTAACACCATTAAGCACTCCCAGGTAGCCAAAGTTGGTAGCATAGTCGCCTATCGCTTAAGAACGCTTCTTTTTCTGTACAATTACGAACAATGTCACGAATTTTCTCACGACAATTCGATGCGACACTGGTTGCCATTTTTCTTTTTTGTTTTGATTTTGATCTCAAGCTTGTGTAAACAACAACAACCACAACAGTGTTCAAAGACGTGTTTTGTACGGAGCCATCAACCAGTAGGAATAAAGGTGTGGCTCATTAACTTCTCCAGCACAATCTCAACGACCGCGGCTTTACAAAGCACAGAATCATTTAAAAAGCCCCACTAATCACGTTGAATCATTATTTTGTTCCAACTTTGCAACAACAATGTCACTTGACAAACCACCCAAACCAACGCTTGTAACAATTAAGAAAATTAATGACGCAAGAGACTTGGATGCATGCATGATGCATATTTTCAACGATTGTCAATTTTCTATGGCAGGACACAAGAAACTTCTCGTTCTTTTGAGAAGTTTGTTTAATAGAGCTTTGGAAATCAACTTGTTGGATTACTTTTCACTAAAATTCACCCAGCTACTCAATCATACCCTAAAGTTTAAAAAGGGTGAGCCCAATGCAGATCGAGTTGCCAAATTTGTTGCTCATTTTGTACGATCTGGTGCAGAAGAAGCAGCAATGATTGAGGAAGCTCACAAAGAGGAGCATAAAGATGGCGATGGTGGCGTTGAAACAACCGACTACTCTGCCGAAGAGATTGCCAAAACTGAAGCCAATACTGAGTTTGTGTCATACTTGATAAAGCACCTTCTACGTGGAATTGAAGCATCAGACAAACTGGTTCGTTATAGAGTCGTTCAACTATTTGCACTCATTATAAAGTACATGGGAGATATAGATGCAGACATATTTCAGGTACTTATAGTATCGTTATACAAGAGACTTAATGATCGTGAGATTCCAATTCGAATGCAAGCAGTAATTGCTTTGGCTAGCTTCCAGTATTTTGATATCAATTTTGACGACGAAGAGGATTTAGATGAAGAAGGTAAACTGTCTACTGATAAAGTTACAAATGATTCAATAATCGAATGGCTCATGACATGCTTGCAACTTGACGAAAGTGCTGAAGTTAGACGTACAGCAATGCTCAATACAGAAAAGACCAAAACCACAATCAATCTCCTTTTAGAGCGAGTCAAAGATTTCAATAGCATCAATAGGAGAATTGTTTTTTCAAAAATTACACCTGAACTTGGTGCGATGAGTAATTTGAAAGCTAGACAAAGAGAGATTTTGCTACAATATGGACTTAGTGATAGAGATAAAAGCGTTGCTGAAGCAGCTATCAAACTATTGTGCAATTCATGGTTTGACTCATGTGATGGTGACTTGAACAAATTTCTTGAGCTCATGAATGTGACACGAAGCCAAATTGCTGAGAAGGCAATATCAACGTTGTTTACTGTACGGCCTGAAGTCGTTCAAGGAATAGAAATCGGCCCGGAATTTTGGAAATCTTTGACCATTGAAAGTTCTTATTTGATGAGAGCATTTTTCACTCACTGCAATGAACACAGGCTTTACAAGTTGATTGAAACAAACTTCCCTGATCCATTAGAGTTGGCAGATACTTTAAGCAAGTACTTGCAAATGCTAAACACTATCAAGCAGAATAACCTCAATGCTCACAAATTGTATGATGGATACATAAGAGAGATCAATGACATTGAGAATGTCATGTTTGAATGTGACAATTCAATGGCGAGCATAAATCTCAGACTTCACGCTTGTGTCAAGAAGTTGCAAGTACTTGAAAGCTCGGAAGAAGTTTTAGGCGAGTCTAGAAAAGCAAAGTCACAACGTCGCAAAGAGCAGCAACAAGAGAGACAGCGACTTCAGTCTGAAATCAATCAATTAGAGCTGGAGTTCAAAGAGCATGAAGAAGAGTACAAAAAGTGCTTTGAAATGAAAACAATCAAGATGAATCGTCTCAAAGCAAATAGGGGAGAGTTCGAGGATTACATCAGTATGAGGAAGGATCTAAAGTTTATTTCTAAACAGCTACTTGTAATTTGTATTGACTTTGATTTTAGTGATGAGGTTGGGAGAAGAGCTATGTTGAATGTAATTAGGACCCAACTTCATGAAGAAAACAACTTCGAACAAGATGACATCAATACCAAAACCACAAATGATGATGACATTGTGATCAATGCGTTAAAAGTGTTGAGGAAAATATCAATCAATGTGAAGGATTTTGTTGCAATGACGGTGGAGATAATAACTGACATTAGAGATTCTACAGAGGACACGGAAACGGAGGATATGTACCATTCAGCTGCAAATACGTTTGATGAGGATGAAAAGGAAGTGATGACCACAAAGGGTAATGTAGGTGGTAGTGGAAAGGAGGTTAACCGAGTAACTGGAAACACTGAAAACTCCTTATCGGAAAAGTCAGACTTAGATTTGGATGACTCTGATTTTGATGATGATGATGACGATGAAAGAGAAGGGTCCAACAAAAAGAGGAAAACGGAACCGTCTGTCCCCAATGACGATGTCCTACTCCGTTGCTTGAAGTTGACAAAACATTCATTAGAACTCATAGATGATAACCTAGATCACCATCTTTCACTTCGTTCAATCTATTCTGGTTTGGTAAATTATGCCCTCACAAGAACTTCAAATCGAGCATTGTACTTGACAGCATTAGAGTGTTTGGGCTTGTATGCGCTCATTGACGAGTCAATAGCCAAGGATGCCTTGGTGACCTTTTTCAACACAACAAAGACGTCGGGGGAAGAGGTCAAATTGATTTGCATTACTGGAATAATTGACGTCATCTCCACTTTTGGAATCGAAATCATCGCTCGTGAGAGACGCTTTGGGTTTCTTCGATTGTTTTATAAGGTGCTTTCTGATGATAGCTCGAAATTACGAGCTCTCATGGGTGAAGGAATAAGTAAATTATTCTTGGCCGACATTTTTATGATCAAGACAGTAAATGAGGCTAAGAATGGCGAGAATGGAAGCATGGTCAACCTCGCTGACGGTGCTGGTAATGCTGTTGGATTAGAACCCGAAAATGTGGACGACAACGAGAAGGTGGAAGACGAGGAAGACGAAGACAATGAATCCGAGAAGGAGCTATTTGTAGCTTTGCTATTAAGTTACTTCAACTCGTCGTCACTGGGATCTTCAAACAACCATGAATTGAAGCAGGTTTTGGCATTTTGCATCCCTGTTTATTGTTTCTCTCATCCAAATCATCAATTGGGTTTAGCCAGCGTTCTGGGTGACTTACTTTTGAAAGCACTGGAAACCACCTCTTTAAAACCTGGTAAAGTTCTTCCACAATTGATTGATTGGGCTAATCCGCAAAATCTTGCTCAAGTGAAGAATTCTCATCATAGTCGTGGCTTGGTAACTCGTCGATGGTCGCACATTTGGCAAGCATTGTACATTATTGACGTATTTGAAGTCAAAGAGTTGGGTAAGGAGTACAGGAGAGCAATTATTAATAATTTGTCTAAAATTCCAATTCCAATTTTTGAGCGTGATGAAGATGGAACTGATTCACTGTATATGAATGATGTCAGTGCATTGTTGCAAAAATTGGTTGATGAAATTGATCGCATAAAGCAAATTTTGGATATTTACAAAGATGATTATGATTATCAAATGGATAGACTTACGATGAAGAATCTCCAAAACTTTTACGATTCAACATTGGACAAATTAGAAATTGTTCAAAAAAAACAAGAGGAATTGGAAAAATATAGGAATAGATCACTGAGAAATTCATCTAGTCCCAATGATTTCAGAAGTCGACGTAATTCCGTGTTGTTGACTGATGAGGCGGTCATAGTTGACGAGGAAAGTCAAGGTAGTAGTACGCCAACAAAAGTAAAACTGGAACCAAACGGCGCAATTCAAATGAACACAGATTACGAATCGAACGTCAGCAAGAACAATAGTGTGAATAAAAGTGACACAAATGACCATGATGATATTGATGGTGATGATGATGATAAAGCCATCATGCGAGAATCGGATGAAGATGCAGATCATGTGCCATCAACCAATGTCGATTTGGAGATTACAACCGAGAGGGAAGAATCCTCCAATGACGTGAAAAAGAAAAAGGTCAAACCGAAAGAGTTGAACGTGAGGTCTGCGTCCGTAATCAAAACTGACACTGTGCTTCCTCGATCACAAAAAGCGTTTGAACAATTTATGGAAGGTGATTCCGACATTGAGCTTGACGATGAGCTGGATGAAGATTCCGATGAAAACTCAGAGTAGAGAATATACGTCCATCCATATTCTTTTTATCAAAATAATTTCCTCGAAAACTAAATACACATCAAAACTAAATAGGAAAGACAAAACGTAATCATTAACACTTTAAACCCACAACTAGTCAACTATCCAGAACAAAATGAAATAAACACACAAGTCAACACAACACTAAATTCACCTACCTTCTTATGCTCCTTTCCAACAACAGACTAACATCATCTGCGTTTATAACCACCCCTTTCTCTGAGCACTTGGCTTTATTCTTCATTTCATTACATAATCCATCAATATCAATTTCAGTATACCTAGGATGGGCAGTAATTCTATCCCAAATCTCACTGCACTTCATTGTAGCTTTTGGTGCTGGAACAACCTCATTGCTACTATCATCATCATCACCATCATCCTCTTTCTTGGCTACTGCAGGCTCGCCACTTTCTTTCAGGCCTGTTTTTCCATTTATCTCAGTGACTGAATTCTTGATAAAATCATTGAAATTGAAATCAGTGTTTACTTCATCCTTATTCAACGGATCGTACATGGACTCTTCGGTAGTTAGCAAATCAGCAATATCTTTATCGCCTCCACCATTGTTTGAGTTGCCAAAAGCTAGTGAAACATCGAAGTTGTTGTCATTTAAGAAACTCAATGGATCATCAGAATCTTTGTATTTATTGTCAACCAAATTGAAATCAAAATCGGTAGTGTTCAAGTTGAACAATTCATTATCATTGTAGTCATGACTGTCTCCTGTGTGCAGTTCTGTGGAGAATTTAGGATATGATGGAGACATAAGTGAAAATGGGGAGTCAAACCGCGTTGATTCAGTTGTGGGATTCAGTTGAGTACGGTCATTCGGTATAGATCTTCTGGCTTTGGGTATTGGATTCTTTTTCGTGCCACATGCCTCACCAAGTTTCACACAAAAGGGATCGACTTCTTCTTCAAAATTGCGAGTAAAATTTAAAGACGTATCATTCTTAGTACCCATGTCTGTAACACCATCGGGGGTTACGAGAATGTTATCATTTAATGGTGTAGTTGACGAGGATGACCCAGACACCAAATCTGGACATCCAGCGTCATTACCATGTGGATTGGTATGAGATTGTTGTTGCTGTTGCCTCATAATCTTCAAATTATCCTTAGACCAAGGCGTACCAAATGAAAAGTTGGGTGAACTATTGGATATTGATGAGTGTGTTGAAGCCTTATCTGAAACTGAACCCTTCGAAGTCCCCGAAGAGCTCTCATTATTATCTTGTGGTGATAAGCTAACATTGCTTGGCTTAGGGTTAGGACTAGGATTAGGATTACTCAAATGACCAACGGTTTTGGGAAGATTTAAATCCAGAAGATCGGTTGACCCTGTATACTTGATCAACTCGCTCTTTAAGATGCTAACTTGCGCTTTCAAAAAATCAGTTTCAGTCATTGCTTTCACATTTTCGTCTTCCAATAGTTTCACTTTGTCCTCCAATTCTTTCATCTTGCGTTCTTTTCTTTCTCTATAAGCCCTTTGAGCAGCTCTATTTTGTGCTGTACGCTTCGACTTGGGCTCGGTTTCGATTGGTTTTCTACCTGGCTTCGTATGAAGCTTTTTCTGGTCATTTTCATCGTCTCCTGGTGATTCAAGGGAGTAAGACATTACGTCTGAATAATTACGTTTGATATCAGTCATTTTTTTTTGTCTATTTTAAGTTGGTGTTTGATTGTGCTTGGCTATTGCGATGGTCGGAATTGATAATTGGGGTTGGTTCTAATGGATACCCCACCGTTCTCTTGATGATGAAAAAATATTGAATATGAGTTGGTTGCACGGATTGTGAGTAAGTGATACCACTATGATATGTCACTCTAATATCTCTATTCTAAGGAGAAGGGGTCTTTTTGTTGCTCACTTATGTTAAACCAATGTATCAAATGACTCCTCTTTTTTCGATATCATTACTTTTTTGCTCTCTCTCCTTTAACGCTTTGTTTGTATGCAGAAACAGAAGAATTAGTAAGCAAATCCACTAGATTTACTAGCACGAAATACACGACCATAGGTTTTAAATAGAAACATACTTAGTATTGATCAAGAATCTAGACCCATAGCTTTTAGAGAGAAATACCAGCACTATCAGAGCAACTACATCTGGCTTGTGGTAAGGTCAGAGGTGCTTTCTTTGAGCACTCCTTAAACCAGGCTTCTGTCTGATAAACTTGGATATTATCAATATCCATGTCCTTCGATATAATACAATTAGTATATTCAATGAAAGCAGAACCCAACACATATGTCGCACTAGCTACCAACATAGCGATAAGATATTTCATGCGTTCTTCTTGTTATTCTTGGGGTCGACTGATAAGCAAATAAACAAACAAAAAAAAATCCATTGTACGCATCAAAGTTAGTTTGTTGCACTACAAATCGACCTATTCTAGTCCTATCACCGTACGTATTAGAACAAGGCTCTGGGTTAACACCGTCATGCAACACAATTTTGTGTTGTGAGTACCTAAAACTTGTAACTACAACAAAACGAACTCACTCAGAATCTGGCTGCTGCCAGCCCCGATCACGCCAGTCGCGTAATACGGGAAGAAGAGTGATTATTCTACAAGTCATGCGATGTTATTTGCCCATATCCCATTTTAATTTCATTTTGGTGGCAAATTTGGCTACCAAGTCCTTCTACTTTTGCAGCATAAAATTGGTGGCGTCTAATTTGCCACCACAAAAAGAAAAAAAAAAAAAAACAGTATAAAGACGATTCGGATACCAATTACAAATATCTTCAACTTATCACCAATCAAACATCCTTCTTGAACTAAAGCGACCACTCCATGATAACACCTTTTCTACTACAAGTTAATAACCATAGCAACAACGTTCGCCCATACTCCGATAAAGCCATCCTACCGGCAAACATCCTCTCGGAAATAATCAATGATGAGATAGAGTTACCACACCCGTTAATATTCAAAATCACAAATCAATCGGATCCATTCGTCTACACATACATAGGCGTCAAGGAATTCACCAGTGAGCCTGGAGAGGTTATCCTACCGAGTTTTGTAAATGCAAAACTACAAAATCCAACCGATGTAAGTCTAGAACTTGAACGCAATATCCCCAAGGCGATCTCACTTTGTATAAAACCTAAATTGTTTTACGCCAATGTCAAGAATTGGAAGTTTTTCCTTGAAGAAAAGTTACGTGATTATACAGTTGTGAACCGAAATGATTGTGTGATTATTGAAGATGATGGGTTGAAATACGAATTGATCGTGGAACAAATCAATGGTCCTGATAATGTCACCGTTGCGTCTATAATTGACACTGATGTCACATTGGATATAGTTCCGTTGAATGACAATGTAGCTGGACAGCAATTGGAGTTTAATAAAAAACATCAAGAAGTCAGTGACATTCATGAATTAGAATTGGGTCAGGAAGTATTGATTCATGACTTGTCTTCTTTTATGCTGCCTGAGTTTGTTCCACAGATGTATAAGGTGAATATTCGTAAATGGAATAAGCCCAAGTTGGTCATTGAGTTGGAAGCTGGGAATTTGATAAATGCCGATTGTGTTGTTGGTATCAATCCATTAGTAACGATCGAAAATCATACATTTAGTACTTTGAAACAAGATGGAGAAATTTCAGAAGACATGAAAAGTGGTATGTCTGTGAAGAAAACGATTGTCGTGAATTTCAATGATGAATTGATTTTGAACAAGTTGAATCGGTGCAAACAGTTTCCAGATGAAGAAAATGAAGAATACTTGTATATTGTTCCATTCACTTGGCAAGGAAAGCAGGACATAACTTTGAGAGTAATTGATCAGCAAGATGATCGCCATGAAGTAAGTGGTGACTCCATTAAATGTCCAAAATGCTTCAAACTCATTCCGAAGGACAATTTTCTTCTTCATGAGACTCGATGTCGTAAAGGCAATGCATCTCCAATTGATACCAAGTTGATGCAATTCAAACACGCTCAGTTATATGATAATACATACCAATGCTGCTCTCAAAACTTTGACACATTCTTTGACATGGTACGACATAAATCGTCTTGTCCCAAAACTCTTCATGAGTGCCGATTTTGCCATTTGATTGTACCACAGGAGTTAGCTACATACCAAGACAAGTTTGAGGATTTGACCCATCATGAAAATATGTGTGGGGACAAGACAGACGAATGCTACAAATGTCGCAAGATTGTACGGAGAAAAGATATTGCCAAACATATGAAGATACATGAAATGGAAAAAATTGATTACAACGATGCCATTATATTCAACAAATGCTCCAATGTCAACTGTAGCAATGAGTCAAGTGGCAATACATTAGGTCTATGTGACTTGTGTTTTGGCCCATTATATATTGCACAACATGATCCCAGCAATATTAAATTACAAAGTCGAATTGAACGAAGGTACATTCTTCAATTAACAAAAGGTTGTGGTCGCAGTTGGTGTACCAATGAATATTGTGCCACGGGTAATCCAAAACTCAACAAATCAATAAAGGAAAATACGGCGTTGATGGCTGGGTTATTCGCGTCAATTCATCAACCTCGATTACCAATCAATGACAAAAATGGAATATCAGTTGATGGAGTGAATAAAGTATGGTTTTGTGTAAATGAATCGGTCTCGAACAAAAAAGTTTGGTTTGATATATTGAAATCGGACGGTAATTATACCGAGGCTGTTATTCTCCAAGCATTAAAATTGAATAAAGATGAGTTACTGGCACGGAAATGGTTGCAAAGTAACGCAATAGAAAAGAGTCTGTAGATTATAGAAATGTTAAAGTGTTACGTTGCTGAAGAGAATAATGTAACAATTACAAACAGAAATAAACACACGAAGAAAAGCCTATATCCAGGACCAATAAGCCGCCATGTTTAGAAATATTGGGGAGTGTGTGGAAGTCAGATATGTAAATATAAAAGGCACTAAACTCATTCTCTGGATTGAAAAACCAAAGAGAAATAGACGATGAATGATATGAAAGCTGTCAACCCCCAAATGACCTATAGACAAATGTTTTCCGTATGTGTACTCTGTTTATTGGACTCCCTGATTTTGCAACTTGACATTGTCTGCAACCGCTGAGCACCTCTATTTCCCGCCTTGATAGATTATGAAAGTAGAACTGCGCAATTACTTTATCAATCTAATCAGGTGACATTTACTAGAAGTCAGTTGCCCCTTTCTCAGTAATTTCTGCAGACAAATGGAATGACAGGAATGGCCCAGGTCGTTGATTCTCTAAACAACATTGCAACTTCCTATGAGTTGATCTTAAAAACTTTATTGTTGATCATTTATCCAAAAATTGGTTGCAAAACGATGCAAAAGAAACCAAACACAGGAAAAGTTCAAAATTTAGAACCAATGCTTCAACTCTCATACTAAGCAGTATGAGCACATTACCATGGTATACTACTACAGTTGCTATGAAGGTCTTGAATGTAGTAGTGCTGGGTTTGAAAGAGCACTGAACGGCTTGATCAAAGAAGAAGGTAGCGCAACATGCAATTAGTTGGTAGTGCTTTCATACTTGAAATTTTTCACACACACTATATCTATACTGATGTTGAAGATTGAGATATCTTGATCGATGTCATTACCAAACATAGGTATGTTGATAAAAACTAAGTCAAATAACGAGGAACCAAACTAACTCAATTTATCCATAGATGAACTAAATATCAAACGTGATGACGATTTGTTCGATATAACCAAAGATGTATTCGCTTCAGCACATCAATTGAAAGAAAACAAGGTGGTCAAATCACCCTTATTTGAGTTACTTGACGGGACAAGAGCATTAGAGGTGCTAAATTCAAGACACGATACCGGATTGATTGAACTAAAAGATGATGAGATATTCTTTGATTGTTCAATGCCACAAACTGCAACGTCAATCGTCAACATACAAAGTAAATTACTAGCACAGCTAGTAAATTGGCTAGAGGGCCACAGTCTTTCCGAAACTGTTCTTAGTTGTCGATATGTGCAAACGATGTTGGAGAATTACTTCCAAGATCCAGACCTGATTAGCCACAAGTGTGCATTCAGCCAACCCAAATTGGAACCACAAACTTACACTAAAGACACCGATTACTGGTTGGTCCATCGTGTTTTGAAAGCATTTGTCAAGGGCTTATGCAAGTTTATTGGCTTCGTAATCAACTTGGCGAAAACGTTCCTTTATGAGGAGGAAGATTTGATAACAAGAAGTCATGACTTGAACTATTTTTCAGAGGTTGCACCACAAGTTATTATTGATGAGATTAACGACACATACGAATGGATTCTAAGCCATGAAATTGATCATTCGGATACAATAATCAGTCACATGAAGTTGGTACAGTATTTGAATCAATTGGAGGTGGAAACTGCATCCCAGAAGATACCATTTATGGGAAACAATGTCCCTACTGAGCTGCTATTTTCATTTTGTGATGAGGCAATCAACGAAATTAATCATATCAAACAATTCAAAATGTATGAGTCGAGTATACCAAAGGGAGCATTCTCCAAATTCATTCAAGTTGAATTGGGCAATACGAACGTGCCGGTTGAGTTAGCTTCAGTTTCCGATACCAACTACTGTGAACACTTACTGGGAATATTTACCGTTGTCAAAATGTACGTCAACCAAGCGGCTACTATCAAATCAATGAATCAATTGAACGACTATCTACAGTTCAATATCAAGTATCCTATTGGCAAATTTTCAGTTTTTGCTAGGGGATTGTTTCAACTTTTTTTTATTCGTGACGATAAATCAATTTTTGGGTCCTCCATTGACTTGCCACAGTTGACAATCAGAATAATTGAGAATTTGGTTGGACCAAACACTACGTTGTTGAAGCCACTTGAGCATCAATTATCTCAAGTCAAAGGTTCCACCACAACAGAGATTTTGACCAAATATGATTCCCTTGTGCAAGATTTGGATAGTGCTATGTACAACAATAATTGCATTTATGGAGCCAACCAGTGTCGAGTGCAACAGCTCATTTCTAAAAGTTTGGTGCTATGGGACACTTTACAAGTAGAATGGGAAGGATTTGAAGTCCAAATGTTTCAAGAGTTTCAAGTAGGAGACCAGATCAATGATAATGAACCAGCAATCGCAATCACTTCATTCATATATTATCAAAAAATTGAGTTAATGATTGAGTTGTTGCTTGGAGGGGCCAGTTTGGAGCTTTATAAACCGTTTGAGTTGTATTTAATTTATTGGTATGGAGATATTTTGCTTGAAAATTTGATACAGCATTTGAAAATGAGAATCAGGAGGATTCTCTTGGGCAAAATGGATGCCATAGAAGAGAAATTACCCAAAAAGATCAAGAAATTAAAGAATGGACCAAAGAAAGATTCTTTGAAGGAACAGTTGAAATATGGACAAGAGGTCATTATACCACAAATTCTTTCCACCATCCGCCATCAAGATTATCTTGTGGAATCATTTGAAAATTTACAACGATTGATAAATTGTTTCAAAGGCTATTTTGGCATTCTTTCCAAATTGAAATTACTCGATTTCAACAAGGGTCCTGCAAATAGATTGACAACTATGGAGCACTTGTACTATTTAAGAATGAAGCCATGGTCTTCAATTGGAGTACCGCAGTTTCCAACATACAACATTTACCGTAAAGCACTTACAACAACGCAACCTGAAGGTGATAATCGTGCCAATTTGATAAAGTGTCTTAGTTCATTGGCTAAATTCAAGAGTGATTTGATGACGGTGGAAAAGCAAATACAGAAGCAGCTAGACTATGTCACTCGTCAACAGAACGATTTCATCAAAAATTCATTGATCCAACAGTGGTACACTCAATTAGCTGAAACATCACGAGATTTGGGTGTTGCAATTAGTGACGTGGGTAAGATTGTATCTACCAATAAGGACGATTTATCCAATATTCCCAAACAATATCGCATTCTGATGGTTCCTGCTAAACACAAATACTTTATCTTAGTCGAATTGAAAGCCAATGAATAAATAGTATCAGTTTATAACCTTGTTTATAGTTTGATCAAGATCTTTAGATTGTTGCAAAAGTTGGGGATTATTATTCTTGTAGACAGTTTCAACATCTTGCAAGATTTTGTCAGTTGATTCTTTGACAGCTTGAAGAGTGGCTCTCAACTTGCGTAAATTATCCAACTCCTTTGCATAATTGTCATTCATAGCGGAAGATGTATCGGTAATGTTATACACCACCTTCTTCAATTTTTTTTTTGGTCAATTGTGCACGCAACCAATCAAACAAAATCAAATTTTGTATTACACTGTCACTGAAATTGTATTTCATTAAACATACACGAAACTACTTCTGAGAGACTGACAAAACAACAACAACCACTCACTACCCACAATCCCGTCATGTCTACATCAATATTTAGGTTTGCAAAGAACATATATAGGTCAGGTTTGAGGAGAGCAGGATGGCAATTACAAGTGCACAATGATGTGAAGAGTGGTACATTAATTGGAACTGATGACCATGGCAACAAGTATTATGAAACTGATGCTCCGGAAGAACCATTGTTGAGAACAAGATGGGTCGAATATAACAACTGGTCTCCTGATATATCACAAGTTGAACCCGGCTGGCATTATTGGTTGGGTTATGGTTCAAATACTCCACCAAATAAATTAGAAGGAAGTGAAAAGACGACAAGAGCTTATCCTTTACCTGCTCATCATAAACCAAACTTGACCAATACCCCAGGTGCTTACGTTTGTTATAATACTGCTAAGCCAAAATGTCAAAGTTGGAGTCCTGAAGTGAAGGAAAGGGCCGGGGAAAGAGTTGGAGAGAGAGTATAGAATGTATTTTATTCATGGGGTTATAATGTAAGTCATTCATGGCTGGCATAGCCATTGCACATAGATGTAGTTGAGCCATGGGGTAATTGAAATCTCTGCAATCGTTCCAGTTCGTACTTTTGGAACCTGTCCTATTCTTGTATGTATATGATTACACGAGCTTGACCATTGCTCTCAACTGTCGTAGTAGATGAAATTTAATGCTTACGTCTTTCCCTTATTTCGACTCCTATCGTCAACCCTCACGAGACTATCAGATGGTGCATTGTTTTTCTCTGCAATAATTTTTTTTTTTTCACCCTTCTCTCAAAAGAACCAACTGCAACAACATTACCCCTAAAAACAATGGTTGAGTCTGGAAACCTTCCAAACTTGGCATCAGATGCCGTTTTAAAACACTCTATACCAGTCCCCGATTCGTTTGAAGAAGTCAGCGGTATTGACTACTCCAAAGATAACGCATACAATATGAATGCTAAAGATTTAATCTCATCAATGTCAAAGATGGGGTTCCAAGCCAGCTCTTTGTCCCAAGCGTGCAGAATCATTGATGAAATGAGAACTTGGAGAGGTAAACACAAATCGGAACTAGAGGAGCATAAACAAGGTGGAGAGTTTGATGATCAGGGATACCAAAAGACAACTATATTCATGGGTTATACATCAAATTTGATTTCAAGTGGATTGAGAGATACCTTACGTTACTTGGTCCAACACAAAATGGTTAGTGCCATCGTTGCTACTGCTGGTGGGGTCGAAGAAGATTTAATCAAATGTTTAGCTCCAACGTACATGGGTGACTATACTTTACCTGGAAAGGGCTTGCGTGACCAAGGAATGAACAGAATTGGTAACCTATTAGTGCCAAATGATAACTACTGTAAATTTGAAGAATGGATTGTCCCCATTTTTGACCAGATATTACAAGAGCAACAAGAGGAATTGGTCAAAGAAGGTACTAATGCATTTGATGCAAACTCAAAAGCCAATTGGACTCCCTCAAGATTAATTGACAGGCTAGGAAAAGAAATCAATGATGAAAGTTCAGTACTTTATTGGGCTCACAAGAACCAAATTCCTATATTTTGTCCCGCTTTAACTGATGGATCAATCGGTGACATGTTGTTTTTCCATACATTTAAAGCATCACCACAACAATTACGTTTAGACATTGTTGCTGATATCAGAAAAATCAATTCAATGTCGATGGAAGCTTCGAGAGCAGGAATGCTTATACTAGGTGGTGGTTTGATCAAACATCATATCTGCAATGCATGTTTAATGAGGAATGGTGCCGATTATGCAGTTTACATAAACACTGGGCAAGAATTTGACGGATCTGATGCTGGTGCAAGACCCGATGAAGCTATTAGTTGGGGAAAGATTAAAGCTGATGCACAATCAATAAAAGTGTATGCTGATGTAAGTTTGGTTTTCCCATTGATTGTCGCTGCTACATTCGCAAGTAAGAGACCGTCAAAAGGCACAAACTAATTGTTGTTTGAGATTGGGTATTTGAAGCACAGCGACTGGTATGACCTTTGTATATAGAAGTTTGATAGACGATACAAAAAGTTTATGAGTAAAATACTTTCAAGAAGCCCAAGTTGACAAATGCTCACCAAAAGCGGCTTCAATTGTAGTACAGTATCTACCTACATATATGTGGGTATACGTCCAGTAGTTATCCATACCATTGTACAAGAACATTGACAAACTAAAGAAGATCATGATCACAATATCGAAATTTGAAAATCTGAAGGAAGAAATGAAGAGAAAGAAAAAAAAAAGATTTTGGTCCTAAACGTCATCATCTGATACGGAAAAAACCAAAAAGAAGGATATAAAAATCATTGTTATTGATACTTGATCTGAGCGTATACTAGCAATTCTAAATCAGCAAAGATGAGTATGTTCTCTTTCTTAATCAGAGATGTAATGGATGATGCAATTGAAGATGTACCTATACTAACTGATTACCAGCCCCACCAAAGAAGATGAGTTTGCAGGATTTCCTTCAAGATGAAAGTACGTATTACAATATTGAGTGGGGTAGCGAATTGTGACACTAACAGACTATTATTAGCATTTGGCGGATCATGGGCAGATACAGATGTCGACTTGGCTTCGATCTCGGTTCCAATTGAGAAGCCATATGGGCATCACGATGGGTACTCCAGAGGTGGTGGATATCATGAAAACAGCTCATTGGGGCCTCCATATATTGTTAAATTAGTCAATTTACCAGTTACTGCAAACGATGCATTTGTTCAAGATTTATTCCAAAGTAGATTCACTTCGTTTGTCAAATTTAAAATTTTAACTGATCCATCATCAAACATCTTGGAGACACATATAATTAGACAGGTTGCATTTGTCGAATTGGAATCAGCACAGGACGCGGCAAAAACACTCAAATGGCACGACCTATACTACAAAGGGAATAGACGAGTTATTGTGGAAGTTGCTGATTTCAATGATTTCCATCATTGTATTCAATTCAACCAAGAACACCACCAAGAGATACAGCAAATCCAACATGACTTTATTGCACAAAAGCAGCAACAAAAGCAACCACGTCACATGGCTTTACTCGATGATTTGGATCAGGAAAGGGGAAGGGGCTCTGGATTTCGTCAACACCAACCCCCATCACACTTCCGTTCACATCATGGAGGGGGCATGCCTTTGTCACCTGAAAGGCACCACGCTTCTTTACATAACCGCCAACCATCGTTTGACTCTCAATTCCCCGCTCACAAGCCCTTTCATGGTCTCGCGAACGATAATGCACCTCCGTTGCATCAACCACCACTCAATCAACAAGGGCCGGTGCAATCCATGCCACATCAAGCAAGCAAGCCTAAAGCTAACCCGTTTGGAGGTGCCAAACCTGTAGACACTGTCTCACGTCAGCAAGAAATTGAAAAAAAGTTAATAAATTTGAATCAAACAACAGTACAGACACTTGGTGATGACACAAGTGTTGATATTGATGCAGTTATCAAAAAGTTTCACGAGAGTGCGTCACCAAAACAAATAAAAAGTGAGCTTCCATATGGAAGAAGACCATCAAATACGGAAAGACGGTCTCTGGTTGCTATTTTGAGAAGAGGCTCTCAAGAGTATCAACAGCATCAGCAACATACACAACACCATGAAGAGCAACAGCACCATCAACAACAGCAACAACAACAGCAACAACAGAAGCTTCAACAACAAAGTGTCCAAGCGCATCCTCAGCCGCATCAAGCCGCCTCAAATTTGACAGCTGCTTCAATATCAACTGAGAATGTCGGTTGGGCCAATAATACCGGTAAGTCACTAGCGCAATTGTTGAGTGAGCGTTCAAACTTTGTAGCCAGCTCGCCTTCTGGTGGCAAAAACACCCCACCTACACCAACAGCTAAGCCACCTGTCATATTGAAAAAGAAAACATTGTCGTCGCCACCAGCAGTCAAGCTCGATCTAGCTGTTACAAAGGATACTCAAGCAATGAATTTATCGGGTGATGAAAAGTCAAAGTTACGAAGAGAAGATTCTTCTCTTGAACAACAATCACAGCAGGAGGTACCAGTTGCTGACACAATCAGACGCGAGCTGGGAAAACCCCTGACGGATGTCAACGCCACGGGTTCATTTACACAGAGACCACAACCACGACAAAAGCGCGAATCATCAGATCATGATAGACCCAATTTCAAGAAACTCTTTGAAAATCTATCTTTAGAGGAGGGAGATTCAACTCAACTGAGCTCATATGGAAGACAATCAAAATGGCGTAGTGTCCCAAGAGGTAAAGGCAGAGGTCGAGGGGGATTCGGAGGTGAACGTAGAGGAAGTCGAAGTGACAAATATTCCAATGCCAATGATCGTAACGATGTTACCCCAAGTGAATTAATAACAAGCGTGCATCTGCTCGAGGATGAAATTAGTTTCAATACTGCAATTGACAATGCCTTGGAGCCTACTCAAACCACTGAAAGTGATATTCCCAAAAAGTTTAGAAAACAGCCACAACTACCAAAAGATGCGTATTCACAACAGCAACAACAACAACAACATCGACAAGTTCATCTGGCATCAACTCCATCTGTATCAAGTGGATACGCCAATGAGAAAGCAATCGACGGCAACCACCGAGCAGTATCTGCTGATGCAACCATCAAGTCAACCGATGCAATAACTGGCCCCATAGGTGCATCTACTACATCCTCAAAGTTTATAAATGAAGCAACAATGTCCAATTCGAGTGGGTTGGATGAATCGACCCCCACTATTGCAGAATCAAATGATGATCCATCAGCTGATATAGCATCCAATGAAGATAATTCCCCTTCACATACCACCTCGACTAGAGGCAGAGGAGGAGGAGGACGCGGAAGAGGTAGAAGCAGTGGAAGAGGCAGCGGAAGAGGTGGTGGCATAGGCAGTGCTAGAGGCAGAGGTAGAGGCAGAGGGCGTGGAAGAGGTAGAGGAGGCCCATCTCGTGGCTTCAATCCGGACCATAATCAATATATACGTGACAAACCACTAACTGCTGACCCAACATCCTAGGCATAAAGCGAAAAAGAGAAGAAAAGTATGACAATAATGTGTAAATATTAATGCAATTATGAAGTAATAACAAAGATTTCCCTAATGATGATTCAACTGAACCCGTAGTTATGTTTCTTCTAAAGTAGATGCGTTTTTTTTTGTCTTTTTCATTTAAAACACAAGGTATAAACTAACATTATATAAGTCCACTATCTTTCAACGTATTTTCCATAATTGTCTCTTTAACAGCGGCCATAACCAATTGTATATTACTTGTATCAGTAGCCTGAGTAACATGAGGATAAATATTCAATCCTGAACGATTAACTTGATTAAATCTCCAAAGAATATATTTTGCCGCCTTGTTGATATTATTACCACCGGTGTAATCAGGGAAATGGTTTTCCAAAGGTGAATATTGCAATTTTTCAGCAAACACATCAATCTTGTTCAAAAACAACACAACACTTGTTCTTGCAAACCATCGTGAATTGACTACTGAGTCAAATAATGCAATACTTTCTTCTAATCGGTTCTGATTATTTTCCTCCAACAAAACTTGATCATATTCAGATAGTGAAACACAAAAGATAATTAAGGTAACGTTATCAAAACAATGGATCCATTTCTTACGTTCTGATCGTTGCCCACCAACGTCAAACATGTGAATATGGAGATTGTTACCCATATCGAAAACAAAATCAAATATACCTGATGTCTTTTTCCTAGTACGTAACACATCAGTTGTTGATGGTATATAATCAGGTTGAGCAATTCTCTTCAAATTCGTCATAAAGTACTCGGTAGAATCAATGAGATAAAATTGTCCTTGTTTGTGAATCATGAAATCTTTAACTTCAGGTGTATTGTAAATTTGTTCAATCTTTTCAGCTATCGATGGATCAAATACGGCATCATTGGTACCATCAAGCAAGATTTCGTAATCCAAGACCTCATTTAATGAGTCGTAATCAAGTACATGTTTACGCCAAGTACCATTAGCAACCTCCGGTGGATCCTGTGCATCCACGGTGGTATTTGCAGTGGCGTTGGTACCAGCACCAACACCATCGATGCCATTTTCAACTTTAGGTTTGATCAATTCAGGATCTAGATCGATTATTGCATTGATGACATTTTTGATACAATCCATTACATTTTTGTAAATAAACGGCTTATATTCATACAATTCCTCCTGAGTGTATCCATTTTGATGTAAAATCTTCATCTGCTTTACAATCGTTGATTTACCGCTTTCGCCCGACCCTAAAAGTAGCACCTTGACTTCGTGTTCTGTATTTGAATTTGCTGCTGCATCGACTGGATTTACCTTTTGCCCATTTGCCATTGTACCGTTGCCATTAGTGGTTGTTGCAACTGAACCATTAGCTACACCATTAGGCAGACCAGTTTGTTTTTCATTAGCCAGACTAAGCGCTGATTGTCCATTGTTATTTAGTGTTGAGTTGTTTGATTTCTCATGCTCAGTCGTTGATTCCGTCAGCTGTTGTTGCTGAGATGGATGTAGACCTGATGTCTGGGGTTGTTGTTGATGTTGTTGTGCTTGCTGCGACGTTTGTTGTTTATTCACAGCTTGTGTTTGTTCTTGTCGTTTTGTATGAGTTGACTTTGCTGGTTTGGAAGTATTCACTTCTGAAGTGTCTTTTGAGGTGCATAAACCCATTATGATGTGTTGTATTCGTTGTCCTTATTTTGGTAATTATTGGTGGGCTCTGTTATCCGAGGGGGTTTTTGGAGCAAATGACAAAATAAATAGAAAAGCGAGGGTGAAAAGATGAGAAAGTGAATGGGGGAATGCAAAATTGAATGAGTAGATGGTGGGGGTATGTATATTTGTTAGTGTATGATGTTGTGTGTATTGTAGTGTAGCGCTTGAGTAAACTTCTGAAAGCCTAATGACCTTTTTGATTTTTGCAATTGTTATGTTGGATATATGTTGTAGTTTGTTGTAGTTTGTAATTTGTAAAAGGGTAAAAGTGGTGATGGATTTCCGGTTTGTCTTTTTTTTTGTTTGTTTGTCATAAATTCCCCTTTTTAGAATCACCCTCTCTCTCCCCCTACCAAACGCAAATATATTATTTTCTCCCTGTTGTTTCCGAGGAAATTTTGAGAGCAGAATATCATCAAATAGGATATAATATATACATATATATATATATGTTAATTACCAAACAAGACTGTCATTACGACTGAATCATGTAGGTAGTTACCTCTCTTTAAAAGGAGAGAGAGCAAGAGGCGTATTGGATTTGTTTTTGACAGTATCAAAGCCTATTAATAAGCACTTTGTGCTAACTCGTGCTCCCTCCATTGACAAACTCAACTCTGGCGAAAACTGTAGATAAAGTTCAATTGTTGCAGGGTTTTACTATAGGCTGTAGCTTCCAATTATCAAGAGTATATTCGTATATATACATTGGAGTATAACTTTATGATGGGAAACTATCTCGTCGCTCCCCCTCCTCACTGCAACCAGAAAAAATTGCAACACCGGCTACCAAATTAGGTTCAATTCCAATTGTGATATGCCCAATATTCGTCAAGTGAAATGGCACTCAGGATGGTTCAACTTTTCCAAATTCCATAACTCCTTATCGTTTAATAATGCGTCTAAGCAATCTTTTTCAACATGAGTCATGAACAAACACTGGCAATCAAGGTCTTTAGTAGTAATAGCAGTAGTGGTAGTATTCAGTGGTACTAGTCTTGTAATTGACACACCGTCTCTGGTACATGCTGCATCTTCACCAATGATCAGAGCTTCAACTTGCTTCAAACAATCAATGACTTGCCTGCCGTAAAGATTCGAATACTGGCAAGTATATGGAAATTGCTGTTGCTGTTGCTGTTGCTGCTGTTGCTGCTGCTGTGATGTTGTAGAATTTTGAAAAATTAGTTGTTCCCGTTGCCGTTGCTGTTCCTGTTGCTGTTGTTCGATTGATGGTGGATAAGGTGAATATTCCGAAGTATCTATAAATAATGCCAATGCAGCATGACCAAAAGCCAACGACACACTGGACAATCTCATTTCGGTAAACTGTTTGATATTCTGCTCAATGTAAAAGGAAACTGGAATAAAAAAAAAAAGCAGAGTATATATTATTTGATATTTCTATCTTTCTCCCTTCCCCTATGTTTTCCCAGTATACCCATCTCCTGTATGTAAATCTGGCGACACTTTCTCACTACCTTCAGTTTCACGCGCAACACTCTCAAATGTATTGCCACCACTATTAGTACGAGTACTCTCCTTGTCATTTACTTTGAGCTTGCTAGCAGCAGCAAGTTCAGCATCTTCCTCTTCCTTCACTCTTTTCCTTTCCTCTCTTCTTCTCTTTTTCGTTTCAAATTCATGCCATTCACCTTTCAAATCTTTTAAAAATGTCAAGGGTTCGGGAAGTGGCTCGTTGGTGAAATACTCGTCTTTTAAAGCTTCATTAGCAATGGGTCTCTGGTTTGGATTCAATGCCAACAATTTTTCCGCCAATTTGAAAGCTTCTGGTGTCATTGCATCTTTGTATTTGTTAGCAAACTTGGAAGCAATATTGATTTTCGGCTTCAACATTTCAAACCATGGTAACTTGTCAATTTGTGGCCATGATTCCAAGGTTGGTGTCCCCAAAATATTGAAAATCTTGCTCAATTGACTGATTTCATCCATACCTCTGAAAGCAGCCATTTTGGTATACAACTCAATCAATAAGCACCCAACTCCCCATATATCCACCTCCCGTCCATAATCAGTGGCACCTAACAACAATTCTGGTGGTCGATACCAAATTGTAATTACTCTATTGGTGAAATCGGCAACTTCACCCTCACCTAAAATCTTCATTGTTCTTGCCAATCCAAAATCAGCAATTTTCAAATTCCCCAAGTTATCCAACAAGATATTTGACCCCTTGATATCACGATGAATAATTCTCTTTTCATGAAGATAATTCAAACCTTCCATCAACTGTTTGAAAATATATTTACGGTGACTTTCTTCCAATTGTAATTCTGGATGTGTAAGCAACCCTGTCAAATCATGATCCATGTAATCAAAAACCATATAAATTTGATTGTGCTCAACCATCATTTCCAATAGTCCAACAATGTTTGGGTGATCAAATGATTGTAGTAGTTTTATTTCACGTATTGCAGTGATGGGGAACCCTTCACGTTCACTTTCTAGTCGCAATTTCTTTACTGCTACATATTCATTAGTTATAGAATTTTTCGACTTGTATACTTTTCCATATGTACCTTCTCCAACTTGTTGTACTCGTTCATAAATTGCACTACTTCGCAGCTCCTTGATTGAATGTATCTGTGAACGAGTCAATGTGGGTTCCACCTCTCTTTTTGGTGCACTGGGAACATACGTGCTTCGACCGGTGTTGGCTCGCTTATTGCTATTATAATCACGCCTCTTGTTGAAACTGGAAGGGCCTGACGGAAGGGGACGTTTTATACCTGCACTAGGGCTAGATGATCTGTATGACCTGTTCCCTGGTCCTGATGGTCTAACCGGAGGTTTGGCGTGTGAAGCAGATGCAGTTAGTGGCGGTGGTGTAGCCTGATGCTGTTGTTGTTGTTGTTGCTGTTGCTGTTGTTGTTGATGTTGACTGCGAGGGCCAGATGGTGGACCATTTCGATAATTCGGCCTATACTGATCACGTTCGCGGTAACCCGGCTGTCTCTGTCTCGAGGGTCCTGATGGCGGCTGCACATGCAGACGAGGTCCAGTGGGTCTATTGGACATGATGGGTTGGGGATTGAATGTGATGTAAGTTTGGGCAATTGATAGTTTTGTTTGGAAAAGAAACGATGGAAGACAGAGAGGAAAAAAAAAATTGTTCATCAAATGCACACACACTCATTTGTAAAAGAAGTGCAAGATCAGAAACCTACATCAATATAAATAACTCTTGACACATATAACTAAAGTTTATCGTATGTTGTAATGTGACATCACCATTAGGTGGTAATTCAATTTTTTTGTATTCTTTGGTATTATCTTGTAATTCATTTTTAGGAATTAATGTTGTTTACAACAATACTCCAAAAAGAAAAGGGCTTAACTAGGAAACACCGTTTGAAGTATTCAACAATTTGGAAGGACATGAACTCAATTTCATCAATTTGAAAGTGATGTTATTGTTTACGAAGTCGGAATCTAAGCTCGTAATCCTGTAAAAGGCGTTGAAAAAACACTCCTTTATGGAGGGATTCAACGTTTCCCCAGGACAATCACTTCCTTTTAATATCTCAACAATCACGCAATCCGATAATGGAGTATATCCCTCTTAAACTCATCGATAAAGCAGTCAATTAGTTCTTGGCGAGTTTCCAAAAGACCCTTCCAGAATTGCAGTTTGATGTTGAAATACTTTTCGATAAGACACCAAGGCACGAATAGTAAAACAAAATCTATATGGAATGCAAAAAGCAGGATTTGTTTGGTATGTTCACATTAATATATATGGTTAAGGAAAGAAAGTTACCTAGAAGGTAGATAAAAAACGCTATCACATTATCATGTGACATCCAATATGGTACTACATTCATGACTAGCGTAAGACTTAACTGAAACGACTTCTTCTATCAAAGAAGCGTTCTATAGTATGGCTCCTACCTTCTGAAATAGTCGTGTACTCTCCCGAAAACCATGCTTTTGTTTTATCACACCGAGCGACTAATCCCACACGCCATCTTTAAACACATCGTACTCAACCCTTTCTTCAACGTGTAGATACACACCAGCCTATTCAGCCCTACAACACCAACGCGCACACCTTTACATATATCAAAAATGATTGGCAGATTAGCCCATATTGGATTTGACTTGGTTTTAATCAGTGGGTTCCTAGCTGGTGTCAAACGTGCTACTGGAGTACAACCAAATTTAGACCTAATTGAAAACAAAGATGTTAGAAACTATACCGGTAAGTTTTTGGGGTTAGGTGAACAAGTCTTGGATTCAAGTGCCGCTTTTTTGGGAAGTAGTCAATTCTTCACTAGGAAGTAAAAGCCAGATGGAAGAATGCGTGGAGATGCAAACCTGAGGAGGGCACCCGACAGTGTATGTAAGTAGTGGGTTGCTAATTGTGTATAAACAAAGTATAAAATCCAACACGATTTTCCTACAAATGACAATACCCCATTTCTCTATATCAAAAATTCACTATGGAAAACTTTACTTTAAATACGCTTTAGCTCTTCTTTTCTCCTCTCCTCTCCTCTCCTCTTTTACTCAACAGTAACAGACTTGGCTAAATTACGAGGGAAATCAACATCAATACCTCGGTTTACCGCCAACCAATAACTAATCAATTGCACAGGAATAACATTTAACAATCCCTGTAAGCAATCAACTGTTTGTGGCACTTCCAATGTCGTATGAACTTTATCATTGGATATGATTGCATCACCTTCATTACAAATGACAATGGGTCTACCATCTCTAGCAGTAACTTGTTCAATTGCCGACATGGTTTTCGGGAAAAGTGAATCACGAGTAGCAAATGCAATTATGGGTAATTTATCATCGACAAGGGCCAAGACACCATGTTTCAACTCACCAGCCAATACACCTTCAGAATGCATATAAGAGATTTCCTTAATTTTCAAAGCTCCTTCCAAAGCAGTGGCAAACTGGTAACCTCTACCCAACAACAACAATGATTTTTGATCATTTAAATCATCATTACACAATTTCTTAATCTTGTCTTCCAATTTCAAAACTTGTTTAATTTGTTCAGGTATCTTTTGTAATCCTTGTATAATTTCCTCATGTCTACTGGCTCTTGAAATCGAATCGTTGGATAATGAAAGGGCAAACATAACAAGGGCAATGTATTGCGAAGTATAGGCTTTTGTGGAAGCAACACCAATTTCTGGTCCTGCATTTATGTGGACACCACAATGGGTTTGTCTTGACATTGAGGACCCAACAGAATTGACAATACCAACAGTTAGCGCGCCTCTTTCTAAACAATATTGTAATGCCAATATAGAATCAGCAGTTTCACCTGATTGAGAAACAAAGACACAAGTGTCATCACGGAAAACTGGGGATTTTCTATCAAGGAAATCACTAGCCAACTCAACACTAACTGGGATTTCCGTCAACTCTTCAAAAATTGATCTCGTTGCCAAACATGAATGATATGAAGTACCACAAGCAATCATCAAAATTCTTCTACATCTTCTAATTGTTGGCAACCAAGCTTTCAAACCACCCAATGTCACCGTGTTATTTTCAAAATCAATTCTACCTCTCATGGTGTTAAAAGTCGAGTCTGGTTGTTCGAAAATTTCCTTCTGCATAAAATGTTTAAATGGACCCTTCATGATTTCATTCAATTCCATCTCCAATGTTTGTATTGGTCTAACGGTGGATTCGCCAGCACTCTTTGTAGAAGCTCTATGAATATGTAATTCACCATCATAGATATGAGCAATATCATCGTCTTCCAAAAACAAAACTTTCTTGGTGTGTTGAACAACTGATGCTGGATCTGAACTCAAGAAAAATTCAACTGGAGTTGGCAAGTCATCTTCAGAAAGGAAAGCTCTTGATTGTGAAGTTCTTAAATTTTGTTCACCAGGAGCAACGGGGATAAATCCCAAATCTTGAGCAGTGGTTCCATTGGGGGACAAAGTTTGACCAATTTGTTGTTGAACAACAGCACCAGAAGCATTATTTTCAAACTCAACGTCAACAAAATCAACTTTTAATTTACGATCAGTTTTAACACCAACCAATAATGGCGAACCTTTTCTAGTACCACATACTTCACCAGGATAATGGAATGACTTGACTAGTAACCCATAAGAACCTTCCAATTCATGCAATACTTGTTTGGTCAATTCATTAAAATCAGGAGAAACACCCGCTTTCAAGTTCAAGTCATAAAAGTGTTTAAACAATTTGGCAATACATTCAGTGTCGGTTTCACTTTCAAATTGATGGCCCTTTGATAACAAGTATTCTCTCAATGCAGCAAAATTAGTAATGATACCATTATGGACAACAATAAATTCACCTTTGGCTGCATCTGATCTATGAGGGTGGCAATTTTCCTCCTTTGGTTGACCATGAGTGGCCCATCTAGTATGAGCAATTCCTGCATGGTTATCAAACACAGCAGTTCTATCAATCTTGTCATCTTGAACTTTTTGTTTGAGGACTTTGACTTTACCTGGACATTTGACAATAATGTTGCTCATAATATCGCCATTTTCACCATCCTTGACTAAATTACCATCAACTGCTAAACCAGCAGAGTCATAGCCTCTGTATTCCAATCTTTGTAACCCTTCAATAAGAGTGTCAACGATTTCACCTCTATTTTTGTCAACCAAGAAATTAACGTATCCAAATATACCACTAAAGGAAGGGGGAAGTAGTTAGTATTGGGACTATCCTGTGTGTGTTGGCAAAAAGGAAGAAACGAAAAGCTTTTGTTACATACCACATGATTTAAGCGAATGAAGTAGTTGTAGTAGTAATTGTAGTAGTCGTTACTTGTATTTGATACGCCTAATGTGATTCGATTAAAACTATTATACGTTGATACTGTAGTACAGTGAAGTAATCTGTTTTCGTTCGAAAAGATGGATGGATGGTGTATTTATAGAAACAAAAAAATATACATTCAGTGAATTTTTTTTTGTGATGTGTTAAGAAATTAATATGTAACACCTGCATATGCTGCTACTAGTGCACATCACATATTGCAGTAAACTAACTCGAGTAAAGGAGTAGTACAAAGGGGCGGGTTAGAACACAGTAGTTCCCAATCGCTTGGAACTGGGTTGTATTTGACTGCTTGTGTGACCATAGCTGAGCAAATTGCCAGCAATATAAATAATAAACTAGAGGTGAGATCAATCACCTTTCCTAAAATGGAATAAATCAAAACAAAGCTGAGAATTTCAATTCCAGAATCACAGAAGAGCTGCTACAACTCATCTCGTATGAAGAGAATGCTTTTCTATTGGAGTCAGAGGACACTTTCAGCAAGACTGAGTTTTATTGCTTTAGGTAATATGGATACAGATTCCATTGTATTGTGAGGTGGCAGTCAACACAATCCATGATCGTAAATACTCATCGTAGCAAAAGCCCACTTGCAAATCCCCCTCTCTTCTTTTGCAAAGCCTACCACTTGATTCAGAATAAACAATGTCTTAGAATGCCGTCTTACTATGTGCACAAAGGATTAATAGACTGCGGTTTTTTTTTTCTTTTGGAGGCGGTTTGAACAATCTTGAATTGCACTTCGTTCGTGTGACCAGCGCGTCAGTCGAGACTTTACTTTTGTCGCCACTTGAAATTTTTTTCGGTTTGTGATTCTTTTTGCGCCTCGTTTTCCCACCTACCCGATTGTTCTGACGAGAACTCCGAAAGGGGTGAAGTAGTAAAGACTTATGGTCGATAAAGATAAATTGTTTTTTTTGCAACCTAAAAGAGGAAGTGACTCCTCGAACATACACGATAGCATATACTTACGAGCACGCCTCGTTTGCCCCTTCTCAATATGTTTGATTGCTTCTTTTCTATATAAACTGACTACAATACACATATGCTTGTCCTAGATGCGTCCTATCCCTTACATTTTACAAGTTAGCTCCTGGTGGCCCAAAATTACCAAATGAAGAGCTGCCGCCACTTCCGAAACTACCACGACCAGCAGTTCCAGGGCCTCTGAAATTCAGAGGCAAACCTTGACCGAGATTATCCAAATTATCTTCCGAGTATGGATCATCATACCTTGCACCTGGTGGCACACCTCTTCTGCCACCTGTACCTTGATGTTGTCCCCCTTGCCCAAATATAGGATGATCTGGTGTTGGATACATACCCCCTCCTAACCCACTACCACCACTTCCCTGTGGAGCTTGTAATGGATCTATGTATCCTTGTAATGTAGGATTAGATGGAATACCGGGAGGATTCAAGTCGTCACCACCAATTGGGGGTAAATGTGTTGACTGTCCCAATGTATCCCTTACCGGTGGTCCTTTATCTTTAATTTCATATTCATCTTCAAACCCAGGCATATCATCGGGTAATTTCGTAAATGGTGCATTACCAGTAGACGCAGCAGCAGCTGAAGGGTTACCTCCAGCAAAAGTTGAATTAGTTGGATGATAAGGAACTTCGGGTGTTGGTGATCTAGCTGGATTGCTTTCAGTATCAGTAGGTTGTTCTTCGACAATGGGTCCTTCTTGCTCTTGCTTATTTGGATGAGCAAAAATGGAACTTACTTTTTCATTATCAATAATGTATCTGAACTTGGTATTGAATTTTTCCACAAGATCCTTAGGCAAGTTTTGCTCTTCATTTTTGATGGGAAATTTGATTTCATCCAAATCGAACCATTCCCAATTGATTAATGCATTATCCAACCTTCCATCAAGATTCAACAAGTTAATTAAAGATTGAACACTGCTTATTTCAGTGATACTGACAATGAGGAACTTTTCATCCTTATAGTATACTTCAGATTGGTTCAATTTTTGCTCTTTTGTGGTTTGAACTAGTTTGAAATTTTGTGAGCTGGGGTAAATTGATTCAACATATTTGGTGACCAAGTGCACTGTTAGTTGGAAGTAATTATCGATGGTCATAGCTAGAAATATGATTCAAAAGATGGTTTGGTACAGCTCTTGAGAGAAAAGAATTCGATTAAAAAAGTTGTCTGATTATAGTTTGCTATATGTTGGCGTATAAAAGATGGTGTTAGTTATGTATATATATAAGAGCACATAGAGGGACACGCACAGAAGATATAGCTGTTATATGCAGTACAGAATTCATTAGAATCCCTAAATTGTGGAAAGTGTGCGCAACTCAAGAACAAACAAACAGTTTTTGATCATTTACTTTAATGAACTTTTTTGTGACACGGAATTCCCCAGATGTCGTATTATTGTATGTCACGACACACTAGAAACCACCACTAAAGAGGCAACTCTCTTCGATTGGAACTACATGATGGGGTGATTTATACTATTGTCCCGTTCATCGTCATTTCTTCTCCTAGATAAAGATTGTAATTGCTTCCAGTAAAGTGTTTGTATTGCTTCAAATGTGACATGATTGATTGCCTTGAGGAAAAAGTTGCAAAATTTCGAAAAATGACCACTTAACAAAGGTGAATCCTTGTTGATATGTAAAAGATAGGTTGCTCGCGATCGGTTCGGTTCTGTTTCTAAAGCGGTTGAGAGGACGGTTTTGTGAAAATGTGAGTGATTTTCAAGACATTGATCCGCGTGTCAACAAAGGCAGTTAGGTCAATTTGTCAATTGTCGACCTAAAGCATCTTATTGGGTAAATGATGACCCTATTTGCATTGTATCAGGTGGTTATGTAAATTTAGAAGGGTGGTTATGTGCAATTGCCATTTTAAGATAAGAGGAAGCAGTCTACAATATATACAAAACCAATTAGCAAATAATTCGTAACCACAAACTCTATTGGGCTCTCCCAACTAGCTCAGATATGACTATAATATAACTCACTGACATGTGATTACCTCTTTAGATTGCATAGAGACCCCACATGTTTGAGAAGAAATTGCGAGAAAAGTCTTTATACTGGGATACATAGAGTTCTTCGGATATATTTACCATCACAGATTGACCAGCTGTCGAGCTTAGTGTGTTGTAATCTAGATTGTATTCAATAATACCCCATGGAGGAGTGGTGAGGTTGACTTGAGTTTAAATCTTTTGCAATCGTGCTTCAAGGGGGGGGGGGGGGGGGTTACATTGCGAATCGAAAAAAAATAAAAGGGACAGCACAATTTTTTTAGACAGAAAATTCTCGAATTTTCATGACGATTGTTGATAAGATTAAACATCTCCCCAACTCTGTATTAGTTGTCGCTAATGTGTCAACTGCTAAATGCTGCTTCGCCAGTCTGTAGCTCTTTAATGGAGTAATACTATATAGGTTACTTTTATAAACGCTATTGTTGATTGTTATACAAATAGCGTTAATTAAAGTTTGAATTGAATTGAACTGACTCACACACACACTCCTTTTTTTTTTTACCCTTTCTCACCAAAAAGAAATTTAGTATAATTGTCGTGCGAATAGGTTTTTTTTATTTTTCCTTTCTCTCTTTTTCTCATTTACGTTGATTTTGAAAAGCAAACTTAAAGAGCTCCTTTAAGGCACACACCCACATCATAGCTGAAAAAACAATCACCACCTCTACCAAACAACGACAACAAGAGATTACACAACTCAGCAATGACCACTACAGTTCCTATAATTTATTCATTTCCTGAATTCCTTGGTGTTGCGGAAGCAGTTGCAGACTTGATTATTTCGTCACAGAATCAGACTTTATACAACACCACCGATCTAAAACAAATTGCTTTGATCAAAGCTGGTCAAGTAAAACGTCCATCAGTAAACAAAACAAATAGTTCACTTTCAATTATTAATCAAGGTGGTAACGGGAATAGTAATGGAAACAACGGAAACAGTGGCAATGGATCTACTGGCAGTAGTGGTGCCACTCTAAGTGCCAGCAATGCCCAATCAACATCCTATTTGAATCCTGACTACCCTTCATCTTCAGCATCTGCAACGAACTTAGCTGCCAATAACAAGATCAAGAAGGAGAAAAAAATCTTGAAGAAGCAGGAAATTAGATTCAAGATTGCCATTAGTGGAGGTTCATTAATCAAGATCTTAAATCAAGGTTTATTAACCAGACAGGAATTTATTGAATGGGATAAATGGGACATTTATTTTGCTGATGAAAGATTGGTACCGTTTGATAGCCCCGATTCCAATTATGGACAAGCTAAATTGGATATTTTCGATCATATAAAGGGAGACAAGAAACCACGAATTTTCCATATTGATGAATCATTAATTGACGATCCACAAGAAGCTGCTGATGATTATGAAAAACAATTGATACATCAATTTGCCAAAAAGGATTCAGTCAAATTACCCATGTTTGATTTATTATTGTTGGGATGTGCACCCGACGGCCACATTGCTTCATTGTTCCCCAACCACGGTGAAAGTTTAAGGGAGAAATTGGCATGGTGTATACCTGTGTCAAATGCACCACTGGGTCCATCAAATAGAATTACATTGTCGATACCAGTTATATGTCATGCTGCGAGAGTGGCTTTTGTTGTTGAAGGTTTGACTAAAGCCCCCATTATCAAGACCATTATGGAGAGACCAGAAAAGGGTTTACCTAGCTCCATTGTTAATGAAGGGGCTGCTGGAAGAGTAAGTTGGTTTGTTGATGATGCTGCATTGAATGATTTGTATGATATTACCAAAAAGAAATATAAATATTTATCAATCCCGGAACCTAATCATTGAAACGGGATGGAATTGGAGCATAGTCGCGATGGGCGATGAGAGAAACAATTTTTTTTTTCCATCTTCAAACACAATCCAATCACATTTGGATTCAAATGAGCATATCTTCACAATCTACATCCCTTATATTGAAGAAAAGAGAGAGATATATGAAGCGTTTTTCCAACTTTTGTATTTGTTTACTGTACATTTTTCTCCATAATTGGATACTCAATATCAATCTTCAATCGTCATACAAGAATTTCATTTTTAAATACGTAAGATAAGATGTTGACCTATTTTTTCTTCTGTTTTTTGCCTTTACACATCTTTGACTATATACTTATCAGGCGCCCTCATTGCCCATTCAGTCCATGATCCATCGTACAACTTGACAAGTACACCAACTTTAACAATATTTTCCAAAGCTAATTTCAATATACATGCAGTAACACCAGTTCCACACATGACGATAATTCCCTTTGGGTAATAGCCGTCATCGTGTCCTAGTTTACTCAAATCAATGTTCAAATCCTGAGTCAAAATTGATTCAATTTGAGACCTTGTCTTGAACTCATTATCGGTTTCTGCATTGAGCAATTTTGTAAATGGCAAGTTCTTGGAAGTGGGGATGTGTCCTGAACTTAAACCGGGGCGTGGTTCTGGTGCTTCGCCAGTGAACCGATCGTGAGATCTAGCGTCTAGGATCAAGTAGTTTTTTATATCATTGTTTTCGAGAATACTTATCAATTCTTCGTATTCAATCACTTCCCGATCGTAGATTTCTTCATACAGATGGGGCAGGTGGACTTCATTGACTTCTCCACCTACAAATTCAACAGAGCTAGCATCTCTACCAGTGGCCACATTGGATTCCTCCCCCAGTGCTTCCACCTTTAACTTTGCATCTGCATCTGCGTTTATCTCCTCCTTTGGGAAATCAAATTTCAAATAGTTTGGATAATTATCCAACAAATAAACTTTACCATGCCCGGCCAATTTCAAAGTGAATGCAACCCGAGGACTAGAGAAATTACCTACACGATCAAACACCACCAAATTATCCAGTTCGTGAATTCCCAATTCTTGGAAAGCATCATTCATAATCAGTTGCGTTGGTAACATGTGCGGGTAAGGTGAGTCCTTGCACCATTTATCAACATCGAAAAATTTGGCCCCCCATGAACGCATGTTTGGATCTTGTTGGAATTCGGCATGAGCATTGCGGGGGTTATTGGGCATAAACCAAGTGGCGTCAATGGGGATTGTCCTGGATTTGGCAGTAGTAGTAGTGGTGGTGGTGGTGGTGGCTGTAGCTTTTTGTAATGTTCGGAATGTTGATGGTTTGATAATTGAGACGAATTTCGGTGGTGATGGCATAGTTGTGGATGTGGAATTGGTGGGAAGGGGAAGGTATAATTAAGCGTGTTCGCTTGAATATAGTGTTGTTCTTGTGTGTGTAAAAAGCTCAATTGATGTGAAAAGAATTAGAACGATGATGATGTCTTGACGTGTGTTGTTCAATTGACCTTGTACGATCTTAATGGGAACGAGACAATTGAGCTCTTTTGGTTGTCCTGGTTGGAGTTTTGACGAAATCTCTTTTCTGGTTTGACCAATTTTGTGTGCGCTACTGTTTTTATTTTTGCGCTTGAGGAACATCTCTATTCGTTAGATTGAGATGTAGCCGCTATATACGGGCTATGATCTAACAGCATCCACGGAAAGAAGAGAAAGCTTGATGAAAGTTTTCTTTGATTCAAAGCTCGTGATTGCGGCCAAAGCCTGCCTGAATTGTTCTAAACTGCATATCTCATAAACGGCGTTGTTATCCATAGTAATAGTCGTGTACGCGTGGCGTCATTTCCCTGATAAAAAAGCACCACAGTTAATTTTTGTTGCTATTTTGTTCTTTTGCAAAATTGCATTCAGGAGGAGACTTCAGTTAAACTTCGCCTTTATTAAACGTTACCTTACTACACCACGCTACATAAACCAAGTATGAGTTTATTCGTATTAGGATCGACTGGACTAGTCGGTGGGTTTGTTGTTCAAAATGCACTCAAATCAAAAGACTGGAGCAAAGTTATCACCCTTTCTAGACGCAAACCACAATTTGCCACCACTACTCCCGAAGCAGAATCTCGCTTGGATGCTTTAGTTGAAACCGATTCATCAAAATGGGGTAGTATCATCAAGGATATCAATCCATCTCCTTATGCTTACATTTCATCATTTGGTACAACAAGAGCAGCAGCCGGTTCAGCTGAGAAATTTAAAGCTATTGATTATGGAATCAATTATGAAGCAGCAAAACTGGCCAAGGACAACGGAGTCAAAACATTGGTGTTGGTTTCGGCAATTGGTGCTAATGCCAATTCTCCGTTTCTTTATTTCAAAACTAAAGGTCAATTAGAAGATGATATAATTGCATTGGGTTTCGATCACACAATTATTTTGAGACCTGGTCAATTGAATGGAGAAAGAGAGGGGAAAGAGAGGAATAGTGAGTGGCCCCAGAAAATTGCCAATTTTATTCAAAGTATACCTGGTGTTGCATCGGTTCTTATGTCGATTGAAGCTAGTGATGTTGGTAAGATTGCTGTTGATTTTGCTGAGCGAGCACAAAGGGGGGAGGTGAGTGAAAAAGTCAAGATTGTTGGTGGCGGAGAATTGAGAGCATTAGCTGAGAAGTTGAAGCAACAACAAAAGTGAAGAAGCGGAGTTAGTGGTCGTACTGAGGTTCTTATTTCTTTTTGAGTTGTTTTAATTGAGTTGTTCTTTTAATGTAGAACCGAAGTTTACGTAGTTTGATTTGGTAATGCTCCGTAAAGTGTTGCCCTCTATTCCTTTTCCTTCTTCTTTATAAGATACAAGACGGAAACTAATTTGTGGAACCGGTTAACGGACAGAGAGTTGAACTGTATTTCAAGAAAACAGGTGACACATTCGGTTTTAAGGGGGATAGTTGGTTATCTTTTTGTAGTTTCGGATATAAGTGGGAAAAAAAAACAATCTTTTGTCCCAATGATTGTAGAACATTCCGTTATTCCGCCATTCTGTTGTTGCTGATGTTGTTATCTCCTGTTTTTTTTTTTGTTTATGATTTAAACTCCGGTATTACTGACACAAAAACACGAAATTGCTTTTAATGCACACGACATGAAGAAAAACATCAACAAATAATAAACAACCCGTAAACAAAATAGATGAAAGACAATAGGATTATTGTTTGATTGTGTATTGGATGATTTGTTGCAACGGTTACTGTTTTACAAAGTTGTACTTCTAATTTTGAGGTAAAACACCATGTGATTGAGTTTGTGCTTCTAAAGTTTCTTGAAGATGAAATGTTTGATGAGTTCGAAAGAAAGAAACGCGAATAAAGAAGGGGTTGTTTCTACAATTGAGTCAGGTGGAAAGGAGTAATGTTGTTTTTAGTTATCGATGCGTCATAGGCTACATTGGAAATGATGTGCTTCGTAGTGAGATGTAAGCGTAGTATAGCATAGCCATGATGGAACTAAATCAACGCACCTTCTTTTTATGTTTGTGCCCGTGTTTACATTTTACATGACATTTGCTGGCAGGGCCTTGTTTTTATTTTTATTCTTTTTGTTTGTGTGCCTGCATTGATAAATAGTTGATGATGCTTTTCGATTTGATTTTGAGAGAGAATTGGTTAGGTGTCGAGATTGTGCTAACTAAAAGTGTTTTGGATATCTCTTACAACTCTTTTTGTGGCTCTCTTTTTTGTTTGTTTTTATTTTGTGGTGATGCTGGCTCTCTCAGAATCAGTTTGTAAAACCAAGGGAAAAAAAAGCTTTTAACCGTTACCCGTGATTCAAAAGACAGAGTGGACGATACAAATTAGTTGTCCAAAAAGAAGAATAAAAAAAGGGAGCCATAGTTTTGCCAATTCGGAACATTTTTGATCATGTCATTCGTTAGAAGTAACGAGAGAAGCAATTTATTATTATCTTTCTTTGGTGATGATGGGGGGGGAACTTCGTAAAAAATAAAAAATAATAGTTTTTATTTTTTCCGCTGACTTTATATACAGTATGCTGAATTTTGTGATTTTGTATATCAGTAAAAATAGGGGTAAAGAAGAAAAATTTAAGAAAAATATAATGATGATGATGATGATGAAAGGCACCACAGTAGAATAGAGCTTGGCAGTATTACCATTAATGGAGATGTGATTAATACAATAACAATAGAGTAGTGTGCAGTGTGTGTGTGTGTGTGTGTGTGAATGAGAGAGAGAGATAAGCACGTGGCAGTAAAAAAGATGATGGAGCATCTGGAAAGTAGATGTCTTTACATTGGTTGCTTGTACATTTAGGTTCAGAACTTGCGTATCCTTTTAATCCTAAACTCTAGTGATTGAGAAAGTTCGTGGCTTCGTACAAGGTAATAAAGTAGAGATACCAATGTTTTGTTACGGAATGACTTGTTTATACAGGCAAAAGCATATAAATGATTATGTGTGACTTCAAACTGTAAAATTGATGATCTCAATAATGATGAACTATTATATCGAGGCAAAGTGCATATTAAGTCACTGATATACAATGATTTGCAGCTAATTAGGGTTATATGCTATGCAAGTCATAAATGTATAGAGGTGAAGGATAATTGTTATTTGTTTTATGTTTTACTTTTTATCTGGTTTGAACCAAAAAAAGGAAAAAAAAAAAAAAAAAAAAACCAGCCACGTCTCGCTTATCTCTTTTATCTCTGAGTTCAATCACTCCATTCTACTCTCAACTGCAGTGCTAATACTAACCTGGGTGACTTTAGTGTATACGACTACTGAAATAGCAATTCCATACAGCATAGGTTTCTTTTGAGTTTTTGTTTCAGTAGCTGTCATTTGCGAAATAGTTGGTCTAGAGTGCGAGAGATAAAGAGGGGAGATAATATTCCTTGTTTGTGAAATTGTTGAGCTTGTTAGTCGTGTATAAAGAGCAATAATAACACAAAGGTGCAAAAAAATATAAAATACGTAATCAAATGTGTACAGTATAGAATAGCTTGCACAGCCTTGTTTTTACAATTTTGTTTCAAAAAAAAATTTCTTTTTTACTTTTTTTTTTTTTATTTTTGTTTTGGTTGTGCGGGTGTTATATCCGGAGTAATTGTCTTAGTTATGGGTTTGTGTAATTATTAAATTAGTCTGCTGCTTAGAGAATGTTTTGGGTGTTGCCCTGTGCGTTTCATGATGTCAAAATTGCCAAAAAAAAGTCGTCGATAGATACAGGGAGAAAAAGCATAGGCAGGGAGATTTTCAATGAGTGACTGAGGTGGTTAATTTACTAAAGATTTTTCGGCTGATGACGAAGATAATTATTGTGTTTCTCTTAGCGCGATAATCGTACTTACCCCCTCTCCAAATTTCATATGTATCATGGTTACATTTTTTTGAATCTTTTAGTGAAATGTGCTTGTCGAATAAAAAAAAGAAAAAAAGGGGGATGAGGTTGGGGATGGAGACAGGAAAATTGAATGTGTTCACAACAACTAGCACTAAGCAGAGTTTATCGTTTGTACTACAAACGTATAAGATAATACGGCTCTATTTTTCCAGAAGCATACTTGGCAGCTACTACTCTCTTTACCTAATACCACTTGTATACTGTTTGCAATTGGACTGCGGTTTAACAGAAGGGACCAATACCTTTACTATCGAATGTGAGGTGTGTTTATCCTCATTTTGTCGTATGTTCAATTGTTTGTGCTTATGTTTACATCATGTCTTTACAATTGTGAAAACCAACCAACCAACCAGCTTTATCACAATTACAAAGTTGTAGTGAATGAGTTGTGGCACGGGTTAATATTGGGTCTTTGTTGTTGCTTTACGTAATCGCATCAATTGGCTGTATGTACAATTACTTGATTAAAAAACACGACTGCAATAATAATTATTGTCTTCTGTAGTCACAAAGCCATCAAAGACACGGTATTTTTAATTTTATTTACTTTTATTTTGTTGTTTTTTTTTTTTTTATTGCTACTGCAGTAGTATTGTAGCGTACTGTATACAATTAGCTGCAGTTTGTGTAATACATAATATTATATAATATGCAGTACTCCTTACAACAATCTCATTTCAGTTTATTTTTATTCTTAATTTTATTTTTTATTTTTTATTTTTTATTTTTTATTTTTTATTTATTTTACTTTGTCAATAATAGGCGCATGGTTTGTTTAATACAAATGATCTCACCATGTATATATATATATCAAAGACTAGTTGTAACAAATTTTTTGACAACCAAAACAGTAGATCTTATTTTGTACAGGCCAATTAATCGAAACAACCAACTATCTACATAACTCAAAGTTTAGAATAGCAGAGAGCATCTACAACCACCAGGTGTCTTACACTTTCACATTCACATTCACATCCACATTCACATTCTACTTTACTTCACATACACATTGACACGCAGGGGAAACCAGTAGTTCACACCCCAAGGCATACAAGACAAAAGATTTGGCAACACGCATCACTGACAGAATCTTTAGTGTTGACTTTCATACAACCATTCAAGCAAAAGTAGTGTTCGGGCACAAGTACACGACAACAAACTTACATCATCACTCCACGTATTATTTTTATTATTGTACGACACAGCCTCCACTGGCAGCACCGGTAGCACACTAGCAGCAACAGCACCACCACCACCACCACCACCACCACCATTTGCATTTTAAGTAAAGAAATTATTTGAACAAAAACACGTTCAACCTTTCACAAACGAAATCTTTGCTTACCCACTATCTTAGATCTCAATCTTAAACCGTTTTGTCCTCACCAAGTTACATTTGACAATCTACACAAGAATTGTTTGCGTGAAAGGAAGCAAAGAAAAAAAAAAAAAAAAAAAAAGAAGGAAGAAAATTAGCTACAACAATAAGACGAAGCTAAATCTTTACACTATTGCAAGTATCAGAAAAATTTCCTTCATTCAATTTGTTTCCCCCACTGTATTACAATTCTTCTTACTAGCTACTACAACGCAATATAAGGCAATCTCACAGCTTTATAAACAACCACAACTACAACAACAATAGTCATCTTCATCATTTTTGCATTTTAAAAACCTACTAGTCATATTGCTACTATAAGCTTACATCCAACTCTTTTCTCATACACACACTTTTACACATCTACAATCATGAGAAAGGAATTGAAATACATCATTTACGCACACATTGTTCTAGTAATATACCTCCTATATCTATCATTTGACTTGCTTACACTATTGCACGATGATACATTTGCTGATGCATTGATTGATTATGAATTGAATTCACAAAAATTGGATAAACCGGCATTAATACCGAAAATTATCCATCAAACTTATAAAAATGAAAATATACCTGAGATTTGGAAACCAGGTCAACAAGCATGTATCGATTTACATGAAGATTATCAATATATCTTGTGGACAGATGAAATGGCACGAGAGTTTATCAGTGAGGAATTTCCTTGGTTTTTAGAAACTTGGGATAATTACCCATACAATATTCAAAGAGCTGATGCTATAAGATATTTTGCATTGTATCACTATGGTGGTATTTACATTGATTTAGATGATGGCTGTGAACGTCGTTTGGATCCGTTATTGACAGTACCTGCATTTGTTCGAAAAACGATACCTACTGGTATTTCCAACGATGTCATGGGAAGTGTACCAAACCATCCTTTTTTCCTCAAGGCAATGGAATCATTGCATAAATATCAACGCAATTGGTTGGTACCTTATATCACCATTATGATTTCAACAGGACCATTATTTTTGTCAGTTGTTTGGAAACAGTATAAACGTTGGGGTATTCCAGAAGCAGGAAAAGTACGTGTTTTGATGCCAGAAAATTACAAGGGGTATCAATATTCATTTTTCGCCATTGCTCCTGGCTCATCATGGCACATGAGTGATGCTAACTTTATCAAGAGTTTGGCCAACCACTTGGTATTGGCAGTTATTGGTGGGTTTCGTATTGCTCTTGCCATTTTGGCAGTGGAATACCTTTTCTACTCATTTATCATTTCCAGTTTCTTTAAGAAATGTACTGCCAAGGTGGGCAATCTCATTTTGGGAGTAGTCACTGGAGTTTTACGCTTTTTCAATTTGGATAAAGTTGTTGATTCTCATTTTAAAGGGTACAATTTCGTATCTAGTTCGCCCATTGGTAATGATGATGAAGAATCTCAATTGGGTGAAGTTAAACCTAAAAAGGGAATCAGTTTGAAGAATTTTATTAAAAACTCCAACATCAAACGTCGGTCAAGAAAAGATTCCAATATTCCTATTGAAATTGATATACTAGAGAAATTGGCTGATGATCCAACGACAATTGTAATCACAAATGATCCAGCACAATCATCAACCATACCGAAAGGTGTGAATAATAGCAGATCCAACAACAGAACAACAACTTCCTCCTCCTTAAGCAGATCCACTTCAAGCAAGGATAAATTGGAAGTTGTTGAAACTTTGAAAAAGATCAATTCCTCCGATGAGAGTGAATTTGATAATGACGAAGATTCGAGTAATGATTCAACATTTGTTAACGAGTTGGAGACTGATGCTGAGTATCTACAAGCATATTCCGATTTAAACACAGATGCTGAAGCTGATGTTGATACTGATGATTCTACTACTAATGATTACAAAACTGATGCAAGAAAATCCCCCTCGCAAAGAGGCAAGAGTGACTCAATTAATGGTAATGACAAAGGTAGTGACATGAAATATAATGATGATATTGTATAAAGTATGTAAAGCATAATGAAATTGTTTTAAATATTGACTACGTACCAAATGATTTTTCTATGACTATAAAATTAAATTGGTTTCCCCTCATCTGCTAGCACTTGACTCCAACATTTTAAAATTATCCCGCTTATACCTCATTTCCTCATGTTGTTTGATTTCAGTCTTTATCAACTCCGTCAACTCATCAACAATCTTTACTGATTCAAAACACAAACCCAACAATTGTTGTGCATCAATGGGGACACCGCCATTTTTGCTCAATTGGATAATCTCTCGATTCTTGTTTAGTGTAATTGTTAAACTACCTTGTCTCAAGCTTTCTTCTAATGCATCGGCATCAAAAAGGCATATTTCATCCTGGTTTTCGAGGTCGTCATGGTACGTGCCAGATCCGTCTTCAATGGCTCCACCAGTAGCTCCACCCCCTTTGATGTTCATCTCTTGCGATGATAAATTATAAAATGAAAATGTTAAACAAATGGGTACATGCAAAATACTTAGACTAACCGGTTGTCGTTCATTCACATCATGTACAGTAACGGCCCCGCCATCTCCATGGATACTAATATCTGGTTTACGAAAATGCAACAATGCCAACATGGTGGCAAAACAACCAACATCAATTAAATTGCCATCATAATTCCAAAAATTCAAATCAACACACAATTCCCAAACTTTATCACCAGCAACAATACACAAACTCTCTAAATCAACGGCATTTGATCTACGTATAGCTTTTTCCAAAATTCGTGATACCAAGACTTCATCTTGTTGTTGTTGTCGAGTAGTGTCAAATTTCAAACTTGCTTGTGGTGATACTTCACTGTTTATGGTAAAAATCCCTTCAAATGGTCTATCAGGGTATGGTTTCACAATTTGCGCCGTGACTCGTACACTTAGCTTGGTTGCTCCCCAGCTCACTTCAACGTAGCCGTATTCAGTGGGGGATAAGTAGATGGAGATGGGTCGGTGGGCGAGGAATGGACGGTTTGTTGGTGGGTTTAGACGTAGATTGTTTTGAAGAGCATAGTGGAGAAAATTGCGTTGGTTGGTGGTAATCTCTGCTGTTCGTGACATGGCTCAGGGGGAAGGGGAAGGGGGGGGGGGAACGAAAGTGTGTGGGTGGTGTAAGAAGATTTGCAATTTTGCGATGCAGACGATGATGAACTTTAAGAGTTTTCGAGAAATCTCGATTGGTAGCGTAATATATACTTGATTGATATAAAAAGGGGAGGTGGCAGTAGTTAGACCAATTCGCACTTTGCTCTATGAAATGCTATTAAGGGTAATTTGATACATATTGGTTAGTCTACGTTGCGGTGACACTTGTTAATCTGCGCCACTGCTGTTGTGGTTGTTCTTCTAATGTCGTGTGTGTATATTTCACGACAATGGCAACAATATTTTTCTTTTTCGGTGGCCAACTTTTTTCCCTTCTTGTGACCTTAAGCCCTTCCCCCCTCTCACTTCATCAACGACACTGCATCACCAATGTTGCCCAGGAGCGTTGTCTTAAGATCCCAAGTGGGTCTGATATTGCCCAGAAACATTGTCACAAAGATAATTCCAACCACCACATCTCGATGCTTTTCCACTAAATCACAGTTGTTGGCCCCGCCATCAGCAACTTCGGCTTCACTCAATTTTTTCCAAAATAAGTCATTGCCAGCCAACACCGTGGTGAAATTTGTTCCTCAACAACAAGCATGGATTGTTGAAAGAATGGGTAAATTCCATCGTATTTTACCACCAGGATTAGCCATTTTGATCCCATTATTAGATCGCATCACCTATGTACAATCACTAAAAGAATCAGCCATTGAAATCCCTACTCAAAGTGCCATCACATCCGACAATGTCTCATTAGAGCTAGACGGTGTGTTGTATGTCAAAGTTGTTGATCCATACAAGGCAAGTTATGGAGTTGAAGATTTCCAATTTGCTATTAGTCAATTGGCACAAACGACAATGCGATCAGAAATTGGTAACTTAACTCTTGATGCAGTATTGAAGGAACGTCAACAATTAAATACCAACATCAATAAAGTCATTAACGAGGCCGCCATGAATTGGGGAGTTGAATGTTTACGTTACGAAATTAGAGATATCCATCCCCCACAAAATGTCATTGAAGCTATGCATCGTCAAGTTAGTGCTGAGCGTAGCAAAAGGGCTGAGATTTTGGAGTCAGAGGGTAATCGACAAAGTAAGATTAATATCAGTGAAGGTGAAAAACAAAGTATAATTTTACAATCAGAGGCCAATAAGCAAGAACAAATCAATTTGGCTCTTGGTGAAGCTGAACAAATCAAATTGAAAGCCGAAGCTACTGCTATTGGTATCAAGCGTATTGCTCAAGCTATTAAAGAAACTCCTGGTGGCGAATCAGCAGTTAATTTGCAAGTTGCTCAAGAGTATATCAAGGAGTTTGGTAAATTGGCTAAAGAAACAAATACCGTGGTTATACCTTCTAATGTTGGCGATATCTCCAGTTTTATGGCACAGGGGTTATCCATCTACAAGAATTTGAATAAGGAAGGAAAATAGATTGGTGGAACCATTGGTTTAGTACCCTAACTTGTATATATGTAATTAAAAAGTGATGTCGTTTTTTTTTTTTTTTTTTGGACTGTTCAGTCTTCATGCCTTTTTGAAAAACCCATCAAGAGCACCTTTCCCAACAGCTACTTTCTTGACTGGATTCTTCTTTTTTCCATTCTTTTTTGTACCTGTAGCGGACGCATTTGTTGTATTTGCAGTTGCTGTAATGACTTCATTCATATTGGCTTCAACTGCTTCCAAGTCTTTTTGCTTCTGTTTCAACTGAGCAAAGTAGTCATCAACTTTACCAAAATCGTACTTGAATTGCAGAATGATTTTTGATTTCGTGTCAGGAATATATGAATCACAAACGTAGTCAATTGCATAAATCATTGCCATTTGGTCCATTAGTTGATTTTGCTCTTCCTCTTGATTAGTTGATGTATCTTCGTTCCTAGTTGGGTCATGCAACCCCTTTTTGATCTTGCTCATTATACTATTGGTCGTTCGTTTATCATCATCCAGATGAAGAATCCATTGTTGTAGAGCCACGATTTTGGAATTGATCCATTCAAGACTCTTTGTTTCAGAGTACTTGAAAAATCGATCACCTGCATCTTCAATTGCGTCACTGAGACTCCTGTTTCCTTCTTCACCATTGCCATCACCGTTACCGCCACCGCCTTCAATTATCGATTCACATATATTAGCTAAACTTTTCAAAAACACCACACGAGGTATATCATAAACCCAATCGTGTCCCAATTCCAAACTCAGTAATCTATCTCTAATATCATCCAATGTATGAAACCGACTAAATTTATCACCATGTTTTTCAAATATAGTGATTAGCAAGTATGTGAAGTTGTAAGGGGATGCAATTAAAGTATGGCATGATTGTAATACAGCACCTTGGGTGCGATTATCCTCGTCAGCTGGAAACGTGCTGTTGATCCCTTTTGGCTCAATTACTGGTTCAAAAATATATGATTTTACAGCATCACCTGATTTCAACCTAACGTTGGAGTTGTCGCCTTTGATTACATTAAGCTCGAATAGTCTTGAGTCTTGTATCAAATATGATTTTGTTGACACTGTTGATGATGATGATGATGATGATGATGATTTGGGTATTGGTAGGTTTATAATCTTGTGTTCGGTGGAATGATCGAGGGAGTTTAATCGAGGGAGTATTATCACTTGGCTATCTTTATCTACTTGCATGGTTCTGGGTTATTTATTTATTCACAGTGAATAACTTTTCAGTGAATTTGAAGAGTAAGGTTGGGAGTTGATCTGTTTTGTAATTTCCAGAGAAGTATGAGACGCGTCATTAGCGCTGCCTTTGTGGACGTTGGAGTTTTGTTGCGAAACAATCCAATATTTGCAACCGTAGCCCAATATTTTGATATGAAAGTACAGCTTTGAGGGGTTTATGCTGTTTCAGACTGAGTCTTCCACCCTTTCCATTGAGTGTCAATACCTAATAGGCTATTTGTAACTCGTTGAGAAAACACAATGAGGTCCGATCTTGGAGGATTTAGGGAAGAAACAGGATTGAGGGTAGATGTTCAACAAAAAACACTCCCTTACTCCAGATCAAACATTAGAGAAGAGATCATACAGGAGGTCGTAATAAAGAAAAGTTTGTGAAAATTATTTTTACGAGATGTTCTTGATGAAACTTCACAAAAGACGTGGCATTCACATTTGAAATGGTTCATGCATTTGGGCAAAGACAACCTGTCTCTTCATCGAACTCATACTTGCTACTACAACCCAGAATCCATTAATGTTAAATATTTATTGAAACTAAATCAACTTAAAACTCCCCCTTGGCTTCAATTTCCTCTCTAAATTCCTCCTTGGCATATCTCAATCCACAGTATCCACAGGTATTAGCTTGAGGTTTATCTAAATTGATAAATATCTTGGGATGTCCCTGTAAAGTGTTACCTCTATTACCATCGCAAACAGCAATATTTCCTTCTTCCGGCTTCAAATATCTAATCGGTTCTTTAGCAATCAATTCAATAGCAGCATATGGTCTTGGCTGTTCCGCTAAATCTCTCTGTGTGAAACGGAATGGGTATTTGCTTATAACATCTATTCTTGCCTGTTGTGATTGTGTCCATGTGGTATCTCTATTAGGTGCTGGTTTGGCGTATACATTATTTTGCAAATCTTTCAAATTCAATTGTGACGATTCTGGTCTAGCTAATGATGTGGATGACTCTTCTTCTTCTGGAGTTGATGTGGATGTTTTGGTTGGAGTCGATTCTTGATTGGTTGGAGGGGCAGTTGACGTGTAGTTGTAGCGTACAAAAGCAAACGATCTCGTGGTTATTCTGTTGCTTAGTCTCAACATGATTGGGGTATGCTAGTGAAGATATATACGTATGTAAAGCTGCCTATATGAATACAACCGTCGTCTGGCTAAAGCTTTGTCACTTCCTTCAGTTTCGGTTTGTAATTTTTTTCTCTTTCTCTCTCTCTAAGCTTATTTTCGCAGACATTCATTGGCTTAACTTAAGTTATATTGAGCTACCAATTGCTTTGCAACAAAGGAGTCTTACATTTAGCAGTTGTGCTCCCCGAAATGATGGTCCCAATTCTATGGCATTACCAATTTGTTCTCATATTACTAAAATCAGTTATCTATAAGGTATACAAGTCCCCAAGCTGCACCAGCAGCCACTGAGCCAACAGCAACCATTTGAAATCCTTCGGCGACTTTCTTGTGGTTCCCGCAATCATCTCCCAAGGATATAGAAGTTTTGATAAAGCCGAAGATAAACAATGTGATCAACATCACAATCACAGAAATCAATAACCCAGTCTTGACGACATTGGTGAAAAAATATGGTAAAAGGGGTACAAATCCACCAAGGAAATATGCAGATCCTATAGTCATTGCTGAAGTAAATTCTCTTCCTTCAGCTGGCTCTTCCAAGCCTCTACCAAATCTGATAATGAAGTCAATCAAATTTTTGGGTTTTGAATCCAAGTCCTTTAAAAAACTTATAATTGTTTGTTCACTAGCACCCAATTCAAACATAATCTCAGCAGCATCTTGATTAACGGTTTCTGGTTTCTTGAAAAAGCTCAATTTCTCCTTTTTCACTTGAGAATTGTAATATTCACTCTCCGATTTGGCGGCCAAAAACCCACCTAAACCCATAGATATAGCACCCGATACTAATTCAGCCATACCACCAGTAATAACCAACTTGGAGTCTCCCAATGAAGACAAACCAGCAGTCAACGCAAACGGCACCGTTAACCCATCACTTAGGCCAATAATTATATCTGACATGACTCTTGGATCAAACCTATTAAAGAAATTTGTCAAAAAGCTGTTGTTTGCTTCTTCCTCCTCTTTGTTTGCTGAAGATGATGCTATTGAGGCTGCTGCATGTATAACAGCTTCTTCTCTTGCTATTTCGGCTGCCCTGTCGTCACTATTGTTGCCGTTGTTGTCTGTGGAACCGTATGGAAGGCTATTGTTCTCCAAAAGTCTGTTTGCTCTTTCAAGCTCTTCATCTGAGGAGTTCTTCTTGCTTAACACGCTAGCTACACCGTTTTTCAAAGCTACTAATGACATGATTCTAAGGGGTAAATTATAGATGATGGCGGGTGTGTTGTATGTGTTTCGTTGATTTTGAAGTGATTGTGAGTAAAGTATGTAGTACTAGTATGTGATAGAATGATACGTGATAAGTGATACGTGACGGATCGAATAAGAAAGAAAAAAGTGAAGTGAATTGGGTAATAGAGGTGATGGTGATGGGTGATTTAATTTTTTTTTTTTTTGCTTCTTTATAAAGAGTGATGGGTATTTAGAAGTCGCTTTATCTTTGTTTTGTGTGCATGTGTTTTGGACGGAGAATGGGAAAATAAAATAATCAAGGTTTTGAGCCTTATATAATTTCAAGGCAATTGTAGCTCACACCACATCAGTATGATACTGGGAGCGTGATGCAGTTTTTTACATGGTACTGTGATGCTAAAGACTGTTGATTTGGAGTGATACATTTCGACAATCATGAGTTCCTGATTGTTTTCGACTCCGCAATCATAATTACTTTGTTCAATAGTACAGAAAGTTGGGACTAGAGTCACAGCGTTAAAGGCATTGTAGTGAAGCTATACTAAAACCCTCCCACTATCTTTGCTCTTTAACTCTTCTAGACCTACAGAGTGCCGTGTTAGTAAGCTAAAACTTTTGCATCCAACCATAATATTCACTCTATACACTATATCGTGATTACGTAATAAACGCAAATTGGCGAAATTAAACAAGCTGCGAGGGAAGGTGAGAGTGGGAAAAAAGAAACTATAAACTACGCGTTGCTTACAAATTGGACACTTCTGATTGGTTGTGTATATGAGCCGCACACTTAGACAGCTCTCCAAAACTCTACTGCCACACTTCTTTACACAAATTGTGAGACAAATACTTTTGCATAACCTCGTTACCTTGACCCTGGATCACGTGCTGGAAGAACTATCAATTCACAATTTTAGGTATATTTGGAAGCATCGAAGTTCATAAATGAAATGTAGCCGAGATTCGGAAAAGCTAACACACACCTCGTTCGTAGGATATTCAAGTCACAGCTGAAAGTAGCGCTGTGTTTGATAACCACAAGCTCCCCCCATGGAGTTTAAAAGGTGTAATTCCATCTTGTAATCAATTGGTACATTGTCAAATTTACGCCCGTGTCCGCAGAATATGCCTTTCCACTTATCGAATTCCTTCAATTTAATGCAAAATTCTAAATACAATGAAACTTTTTTCATTTATTTACGAGATAAAACTTACTAGAAAGACACTGGATACCTACTCTAACAAACCTGGGACAGTCTACAATTCATCTTCGTCATTACCTTAATACAAGTTTTCTGGGTAGGATCTTTTGCAATCAAAAAAAGGGTAACATTGTCGCGACTTTGCTTTTTCTGAATTTCTTACGACACTTATATTATCAAGTAAATCATTTCCGTCACTCATTCATCCTAATGCATGTCGCTCCCCTCTCCTCGTCCAGAATGTCAAGCGATCCTAAACAAACGATATACATCAATAATATCAATGACAAGGTATCAATCGACAAAGTCAAGTCAGTGCTAGCTACACTTCTACTGCAGCATAAACCCACAAACATATCCCTCGCTAAAACCTTAAAGCTAAAAGGGCAAGCATTTGTAACATTTGAAACCATCGACGATGCATCCAAGGCAATTGAGAGCTTAAATAATCAAGAGGTGTTTAGTAAGCGAATAAGTGTTACTTTTGCTAGACTGGAAAGTGACGTATTACTAGATAAGAACGAATTGAAGCAAATTAGAAAAATCCGACATGAAGAACACAAGATCAAGAAGCAATCACAAGCTAAAAACAAAAACAAAACCAAACTATCAAAATCAGTGCTTGATAAAACGACGTCAACAAAGAAAAATCAAGTTGATGTTGATAGTTGGAAGAACTTGCCACCAAATCGCATATTACTTTTGCAAAATATAAGTGCATCATTGCCCATCACTAAGGAAACAATCGATAGTTATTTTCAGGATTATGCTGGATTTGAAATGGCTAGATATGTCAGTGTAAGACACTTGTCATTTATTGAATTCGAGAACGAGGATGTGGCTCAAAATTGCTTACAATCTGTCAATGAGGATGACATAAAGAGTAAATTTGGCAACGATATCGTCTTTTCCTATGCAAAAAAATAAGGCATGGAAAGGTTGTATGAAAGGGATTTGTCATAAAACATTGACCTTCTTGCTGGCGTTCAAGTGACCCTCATTCTCCATGGGTTCGTTGGCTACTAAGAAGAAGTTACATCTGCATATACTCTATAATTTAATTGCAATCTATATTAAGCATTGTACTGTCTATTGATCCAATATCCCTTTCTTTTCTATAAAAATGAATCATAAGTATACTTTGACCCAGCATCAAGCATGAAATCAACACACTCATGCCCTTCCATATTGTCAAACAATGAAGGAAATGGGATCAATCCATTACTTTGTGAATGTAGTGGAAGACCAGGTCGATTCTGAGTATGACCTTGCTGCTGCTGCTGTTGCTGTTGCTGTTGCTCCTGTTGATACTGCTGATGGTTGACATTTGAGCTCCCTTGAATTGACGAGCCTTGATCAGTGATGTTGATGCCTGCACCAGTGATGCTGGCATCAACATCGTACAAACTTTGTTCCACACCAGTAGAGCCATTTGACGCATCATTGTAACTCCAATTCGAAAGCAAATTATTCTCCATTGACAGATTAGCGTCGTTTCTTAACGCAGCATGCTGGAGCCACATGTGATCAATGTAATTAATATTGAAGCTAGCTAACTCTGCAAGTGCTTCATCAGTCATGTGATTTGGAGTGCCCATGTTGGCTACATCGAGTGGGTTAGTTTGTGAATCTGGGGTTTCTTCTGGAACCAATCGTTGTGCTCCAGACAAGGAATTTTGAATATCGCCCAAGTTTGTTTTAACCACATCGGGCGTCGATGTGTTTCGACCATCTTCGAATGTCAAAGTCTTTTGCACAGCTTCTTGAAGTTGACCAATCAACTTATTGAATCTATTCAACTGAGCAGCAGTAAACTGAAATCCTCTGATACGTTTCAATTTTTGACTATGTTTTTCGTAGAACTCTTTTCCAGATATTGTACTGCAAAGGGTAAGCTGTGACTTTGAGATTCTCCAAGCGCAATAATAACGTTGGCCCATTCTTTCAAGCAAGAGGGTAATTAATTTGCTAGTCTGGGTGATTTTTTGAGACATTTCTTTCAATGTATTGAAATGATCATTGTATTGTTGATCTTCATTCATTTTGTGAGTATGGGTTTCAGACGTTTCTAATTGATATATTGCAAAGTTTACCCGAACCAAACACGAAAATACCATCTCATTTGATTTAAGCAACGCAAGCTGAACCAATGGGTTTAAGAACAACCCCACCGAGCTTAGATACCCATTTATTATATCCTCAATATAGGGCATGAGATCATTTAAAATTACCAAGAATATCTTCAGCAAGTAAAAGAACGATAGTTCTGTATCCATCAATTTCTCATAGTGCAAATATATATGGTAATAGAAAGAAGTGATGGGAATCTTCATTGTCAAGAACTTTTTCGCTTTTTCAATGTACATGAACCGTCTTATATCCTCTCTAGAATGCTTGGAATTGTCAATTTCCTCCTTCAATTGCGAATTTTGCAACACATTGAATCTAGACTGCCATATCTGTTCTACAACATCCAATTTATGAGTAATCTTGTTTAATTCAGCCCCATGCTTAATGTCCAACACATACCCAAGTAAATCCCTCACCAGGTCTCTATCTGGATCAATTATCCCAAAAGATTGAGTTATTACCGACTCCATCTCCACATCCTGTATATTGCTGTTTTTAGACGTCAAAAATGGCTCTAAAACATCATAATACTTGAGATGAATACTAGTAGGATTGCCAACAGAAAGACAACAGACGATATCAGCAGCAATCAACGCTGCCCATATTTTACGACCCAAGTGGTTTATCTTTTCATCATTGCAAACATCCAACAAATCAGGCTCACGGTTTAAACCTAAGGATATAGCCATTTGAATAAGCAACGCAGTTCCAACTTGTGAGTCACCTCCATCAATTCCATCCCCTTCTTCAGGAGCAATGTTTCTGTAGAACCTCATGTATAAAATTGCCTGGAATACGCTAAGATTGGATTTTCTTCTAAAGTGAAAGCATTGAATGCACGAATTGGCCACATCAATACAAGACGAATTGATGGGGTTCTGGAAAAGAAATTTGGTCAAGGTCATATCTTGTGAATCAACGATGCTTCTGTTGGTGGAATCCTTGTTGGAATACAATGACAAGTATGTCATCCTCAAACAAATGAAGCAAAGGGCAATAGTCGCCAAGTCTAATTTCTTGCTAATGTTGACTTTAGTAAAAGGTTTATCTTCATAATCCACTTTCCCGACAATTTTTTGCAAGTCCTTTTTGAAGGAATCCTCGTCAATAAATGGGTAAAATGGGTACACGTTTTTGAAAAACAAATCAATCAAGTTCCAAAACACCCTTTTGGAAGGCAACATCGTCTTTATTTTTTCAATCAACTGTAACTCAGGGTTAATCTTTCCCTCAAAAATTGTCCTAGCAAGACTAATCAGGGTGAATGACATTTTGAAATCTGTCTGTTGTTTATTCGAAGCATTCCCATTCTTCTTTTGGTCGCCTTCACGAGGTTGTCCGTTATTGACAGCAATTCTTGCCAAAGAATTGTATGGCATCGTTTCGTCATAGCCTTCAATCTCCAAAAACTTGCGTCGAAAGTATTTATCCATGTTGGGTGAAACTCCTTCAGGGGTGCTCATCTGTGTATTCAAGATGACAATGCTCTCAGGAGTCAACGGCATTTGTCTCAAATTGATACTGCTAAAGTAACCCTTTGTGCTTAAATCCTTCCAGGCCAAGGATAATGCTGCATCTCGTTTCAACAATGCAATCCATGATAGCGGACCAAAGTTTACTCTTCTGATGTTACCTTTTATATGAAGAGGTGTGTACCCGGTATAAAAATTTAGTACATCATCTGAGCTCACTATAGGATTAGGTGCGATTGATGTCTCCGGAGGTGGAATTGGTTGTGCTCGTGCATAGCTTGGGCCAGTGGTTCTTGCAGCGGGTTCAGATTCCGATTCCGATTTTGTTTCAACATCCTCTTCCTTGTTGTTGTTTTGTTGTTCTATAATGCTTTCCAATTTTGCAATTTTAGCCTTCAATTGAGCCACTTCCAACTGCTCCAGCGAACCAGACAATGTCCCGTGATTCAGTTGTTTGTGATGGTGCTTGTCTTTTCCGGATGTTGCCCACCTAGTGTCATATACACAAGTATATCCGATATTTAATTTAACACAGGATGAGCATGGTGTCTTTCTGTCACACTTGATCTTCTTGCGTTTGCAGTTTGTACAAACAAACGTGGGTTTGTTTCTTTTGCGTACATTGTGTTCAGACATGGTTGATGGTGGTCATAGACTTGCCCTCAATATATCCTGATTGGAAAAGTTTAATATTGTCGTATAATATTCTTTAGTGTTCGATTTTTCAAAGTTCGAATAAGGCAGTAAACGACAGTCTATATAAATCATTTGATGTGAACTTCTTTTTCTCAAAATCTAGAACAAAGCCGTCATCTGTAAACTAAAGTTGCTTCAAGGATCACGGTTTAAATTGTTTAGATCGTTACGAAAAAGCCCTTTTCTTAAAAGAGTTGTGTGTGTGTGTGTGTGTGTGTGTGTGTGTGTGTGTGTGCATGTTATGCACGACGGTTATGAAACTAAAAATAACAATGTCCACTTTGACACACACTTGTTAAAAAAGCATATATACAGCTGACTAGAAACTTTTTTTGTGTGCTTTCCAATTTTGTTGTGACCTTCACATGCGGATTTATTGTCGGACTTAAAACCTAATCTAGAACTTTTGGAAGATTGAAAAAAACCAGAAGGGAAAGAGTAAATCCACACATTTAAGCAAACGTATTTGGACAATAAAAATCGGTTGTATAATAGGCTCGTAGCTCCGCTTTTATATGCACCATCGGCTTTAACGCAAAAACAAACAAAGCAGAAAGAAAATGTTAAAAGCTTCGCACCACAGGGTGTGGGTTACGACAAAAACCTTATCCATTCTTGGAATCAAATAGAGACCCTCGTTCTTAGCACGTTATTTGAACTTGACCTGCCACATCTGGTTTTTCTTGCCCAGTTATGCAATCTTGACAAGTTCATGCCGAAAACAGGACACACAATGTCAAGGCGCAGCTATGTTCTATTTGAGTTTCTTCACAATATGCTAACACAATAGACTCACGGCTATCTTTTTTTTTTTTCTCTTATTTCATATAACCGAATAACCCCGACTTTTTGTGACATCATAATACATGTTTTGACACTTTTTATATGGAAGCGAAAAACCCACACGCATGGCTCAAATCCAAATTTGTTATAAAATGAACAATAGAGTTTGCGTTACTTGCATGATACACAAATAGGTTCAAACTACGAGGATACGAAATGGTTGTGGCGGCGAATAGGATATTTTCGTTTCACTCTTTATAATGGTTAGAGGTTATAAAAGTTGAAGCACTGTTTCAAAAGCCTTTGCAAAACAAATAGCTGTGTAAGGAATGAATAAATAAATAAACGAATAAATAAATAAATAAACAAACAAATAACTCTGAACGCCCACATGAGCATCCATTGACGCCACAAAAGCGCTGGCAATAGTATATTGATGAAATTTGTGTGTTCAAGATACAACATGCTTTGAACTTCATCACAGAAAAGGGTGATACGAGAACCCAGACTCGTCGTCCACAAATTCATCACTATCTTCATATTCTTTGTTGCTTTTGAAAAGCGACGGAAGTGGCAACAAATCATGTCTCGGAGACGGCACGACGTTACTTAACTGCGAAGAAATCAGTTCCTTTTGCAAAAACAGCAGCTGCAACAACAGCAGTTGAACTGGAGCTTGACACGATGAGCCGATGGCCAGCCCTTCACCTGCTTTATTAGGCGAGCTCGCGACGCTAACGTCATTGCATGGTACCAAAGAAGAGCTATTGGTCATACTTCTTGAGCTTTCATCAGAGAATAAACTCGAGATTAAGCTATTCTCAAATGATTGTCTGGAATCTTGCTTCAGTGCCGCATGCAGTAGCCACATATGATCAATATAGTTGAAATTCTCATTCACCAAATCGTGTGGCATTTCTTCATTCAAATAAGCAAGTGGTGTCAATCCAGTTCCAGATAAAATACTGGATTCCAAGTCCAAGTTTGTATTTGCTTCTGTGAATTCCTTCTCTGGTGCCTCGTCATACAGATCCTCTTTGAGTGGTCCGAGCGTAGTCAAATCATCCGTATCATCGAATCTTAGCGTCTTCTGCAAAACTTTTTTCAAATCTGCAATCAAAAATGCGAAAGTATCCAACTGAGTAGATGTAAACTGAAATCCTTTTATTCTTTTCAATTGCAGTTTGTGCTTTTCATAAAACTCATCTTCAGTTAACACATTCAAAAAAGTGACTTGCGATTTTGAAATCCTCCACGCACAATAGTATCGCAGCCCCATTCTTTCAAGTAATTGACTAGCCAACTTTATTGTGTGTTTGAGATTGTCTGATAACTCTTTCAATTTGATGAAATGATCGCGATACTTCTCATCATCTGCCAACTTATCACTATGAACTCTGGAATTCTCCGTCAAGTAAACAATGGCATTGACGCGAGCAAAACATGAAAATAAAATTTGATTTGATTTGAGTAACCCAAGTTGCACAATGGGATTCAAAAACAATCCCATTGAGCTTAAATAACCATTGGCTATGTCTTCAATATACGGCATAACATCATTTGTAACAATTAACAACATTTTGGACAAATAGAAGAAGGAAAGCTCTGTATCCATCAGCTTCTCATAGTGCAAGTATAAGTGGTAATAGAAAGACGTAATGGCAACCTTTGTTTTTAAAAACTTTCTTGCCTTTTCAGTATACAAAAACTTTTGCACCCTTGACCGGGTGTGTTTTGATTGGAAAATTTCATCCTTTAATCGATGTTTCTGCAACACATTGAACTGTGTGTCCATCACTTTCTCAAGAACATGAAGATCATTGGTGATAATATTTACTTGGACTCCATCCCTCATATCCAAGACATAGCCCAACAAACGTTGCAATAGGTGTCTCTCAGGATCCTCCGAGCTAAATAGTTCAGTCACGGCAGCCTCCATGTCAACATCTTTAATACTGCTGTTTCTATCCGTCAAAATTGGCTGGGAGACATCATAATTCTTTGAATGTATACTGATTGGATTCCCTATTGCCAAGCAATGCTCAAAGTCAGCGGCAATCAACGCAGCCCACATTTTACGACCCAAGTGGTTTATCTTTTCATCATTGCAGACATCCAACAAATCAGGCTCGCGATTCAAGCCAAGCGAGTAAGCCATTTGTATGATCAAGCCTGTCCCAACTTGGGAATCGCCGCCATCAATGCCCTCGCTTTCCTCGGGAGCTATCTCTCTGTAGAATCTCATGTACAAAATTGCTTGGAAAACAATAAAGTTGGATTTTCTAGTGAACTGGAAACACTGGATGCAAGAGTTTGCAACGTCAATACTTGAAGAATTGATTGGATTTTGAAAAAGAAATTTAGTTGTAGTCATGTCTGGAGACTCGACAATCTTTCGATTAACAGCATCGCGGTTGGAATACAATGACAAATAAGTCATTCTCAAGCAAATAAAGCCTAGTGCAACTATCGCCAAATCTAACTTTTTGCAAATGTTCACTTTGGAGAAAGGCTTATTTTCGTAATCTACTTTGCCAAATATTCTTTGCAAATCATTTTTGAAAGACTCTTCGTCAACGAATGGGAAGAAAGGATAGACATTGCCAAAGAATAAATCAACAAGACTCCAAAAAACTTTTCTAGTGGGTAGAATGGTTTTGATCTTTTGGATCAATTGTAGTTCGGGGTTAATTTTTCCCTCAAATATTGTCCTTGCGAGGCTTATCAGTGTGAATGACATTTTGAAATCAGAAGGTTTATTCAAAGCAAATTCAGTTCTCTTGTTGCCAACTCTATCCTTGTCAAGCGGCTTCGTACCAATTTTTGCCAGAGAATTATATGGTACACTTTCATCATATCCTTCAACTTCTAAGTACTTGCGACGAAAAAACTTTTCCATGTTTGGAGACATTCCTTCAGAAGTAGTCATGTAAGTGTTTAATATTGCAATATTCTCCGGTGTCAATGGCAATTGTGTCAAATTAATTGATGGAAAGGATCCTCCATTACTAATTTCCCTCCACGAAAGGCACAACACAGGATCTCGTTTCAGCAAAGAAACCCACGACAATGGTCCAAAATTTACCCTTCGAATATTGCTTTTAGTGTATAAAGGGGTGTACCCGGTGTAAAAATTCAAAGTATCAGCAGGGTTTACAACTGGGTTGGCAGACACAGATGTCCTTGGAGGCGGTATTGGTTGTATACGAATATAAGGCTTGCTGGCGTTTTCATTTATAGTTTCCTTGTCTTTCTTGTCCCTTCGTAAAAGAACGTTTTCTAGCTCGTTAACTCTTGCTCTTAAATACTCCATTTCTTCCAAGTCGTGAATTGTCATTGATATCCTTTTGGAATTGGTGTTGTTCGGATCATGGTAATTACCTCCAGCCTTCCATGAGGTATCGTAAACACAAGTATACCCAATATTCAACTTGACACAGGATGAACATGGCGTTTTTCGGTCACATCTAATTTTCCTTCGTCTGCAATTTGTACAAACAAACGTTGGTTTATTTCTTTTGCGAATTCTCTTTTCAGACATTTGTTATGCATGGATAGTGAAGTGATGTAGTGAACTAAGGTTGTAAAGATTGTGCGTTGAGTGATGTTGAAAACAGCATCACTGAAGGGAATGGGCATGTAATATATAAGTATCATCAAACTTCATCAACAGCGTAGGTTTTCCACGGTTGAAGTTTTGAGTACCCTTTTTTGTGAGAGTGCGTAAGATGCCATGAGTTGAAGGTTCCACAAAATAAAGTCAAAGGCCACACCTGTCTATTGTTTTAAAATTTTTTTGGCAACTTACGTCACTCTATACCACATCTAATACGTGCTGAATCGAGGGAAAAAAGTGGTACTCCAAAGAGGATAGCTAAAAAGGAGCGTATTTGTTGTGATTTTTGTGTGACTATCTCGGATATAACTAATGGAGAGTTTTAATCCAGAATCGCAGTGATCTCTATTTTTAAATTAAACATAGATCAAAAAAAAAAAAAAAGAAATAATTCAAGGCGATATCAAAAGATTTGAAGGCAATTTATGAATGACAAATACTAAAATCTTACTTTTTATTGAATTGTGATTGAACGTTGAAGCGGAGAGGGGGAGGAGGTTATGAGTAAGAAAGGCAGAGAATCGGCATTAGGTGGATCTATCGTTCATCCCTTCGAGCAATTTGATTTATTCGCTATCAAGGAAAAATCTAGAACATGCAACATCATCTACTGTGTCAAGTCATTGGTTTGAAGTACCAAAGGAGTCTTGAAACAAGAATTCTCGGTGCTACATCCAGTGGTATGCATTGAGTCGGCTACTGCAGGCAGCTTTAGATTGTGGGGCTTAATCTGTTTAAGAGGCTAAAGTCAGGGCCCGATAAAACTTTGGGAATACTCATACAATTGTTGATCTATCGTCATCACACCTCTCCAACCTTCTAGTTTATGCGTGCATCGATGACCAATTCAATCTTCGCGTGGTCATCTATTACAAATATTTCCACATAGCCGTGACAAGTTGAGCTTATATTTTCACGTGCTCTGTTGAACCTCCCTAGTGGGTGACAAACTTACTCTTTATACTGCACGGCATCAAACGCTTTGAGATCGTTTTTTCAATTGGCAGCCATATACAATGTTTAGAAACTCACAGCTTTTGTGCCATTTTTTCATGACATCCAGTTTTGTGTAATGGAAAATCGGATTAATGTCCCAAAAGGGTCTACAAAATCTTTTGATTTTTCAAAACGAGACGGGAATAAAGGAGTTACCTCCGTTATACGTGAAAAAGCAGTAATGTTGCATTTCTATTGTTTTTATCTATTCGGTTACTATCATCGTGCGCGCGTGTTCCATCCATTTTGTTACTATCCATATCTTTTGAAAGTTACTACTTACTCTATATACTTCATTTCGCCGTGATATCTTTTATATACTTTTCGTATACAGCAATTGACTTTACTATTTCACTTCACCCCTTACAACAACATCTTAAAATTCGTTAATGTCAGCAAGCCATCAAGGTGTACACAAACACGTGCTTGGTATTCGACAAAACAGCAACATGACGCCCATTACACAAATATCATACAAAGCAAACTAGCAGTAAACTGCTAATCTAAGCTTTAACATGCCTTACTTGCCTTAAAATGTCACAAGTTTTCTAAACCAATAAAATCTTGTTGTTTATTAATCGCACATCTAAAGTAAATGGTGTCTATTACAACACGACTATTTACAACCGCTTCTTCTTACTCTCCATTCTTCTTTTTATGTGACTTCTCCCTGTTTCCTTTAGGCACTCTGGCCAACCAATACAAAAATGCCGACAAGAACACATTGATAAAAACAAACGCAATGACAAGCCCCAAATTCCTCCATCTTTGACTATATATAGCATTGATTGATTGCAAGTACTGATTGGTACTGCTAAGTTTGCAAAACTGACATCCATTTGTTTCCAAAAGATAACCACCAGCTTTGCTCATGTATGGTTGCATATACTCTGAACAAGATTTCCCTTTTGGGGGTACAATTGTTAACAACTCGACATCACTACAATGTACTGCAGTGTTTGCCAATCCTGTAGCTAACATACCTTGAACCAAATATGTGATAGGGTTTGCACGGTACATAAAGATCCAAAACCGTGGAAGCTGCTCGCCAGGTTTGATGACTCCGCAAAATGTTAAACACATTGTGAACAAAATAACACTGAGATTTGCTGCATTGTCTTCTAGTTCAAGAAATGAGATACATAATATTCCCATAAAGCTTGTGTATACGTAAAAGCAAATGATAAAGAGCCACATTAGGACCCCTCTTTGATCCACTGCATCAGTTGGCTCAGCATTGCGATATAAACCAACTGGATAATACCAGCAGAAAAAGGCAATAGTCCCAACAAATATCTGAAATGGCACCTCTGAAGTAAGCTGAGCAGTTATGAAAGTAAACCAATTAAACGTTCTCGATGGAGCTTCCCGTACCTCATACACATCCCTCTGCGCAATATATTGAGGGAGCAACTGATGAACCATTGTAGCAAACACAACGAAGAACATAAAAACCGAAAACATTTGATTTTGCAACCCTTGCAAAGTGTTATTTGCTTTAAAAAATGAAAACCCATTAAAAATAGCCGACGAGACAACTAAAAACACCTTTGCATAAATGTATCCTGGTAGTCTCCATTTCTGAACTATTGTTCTCCAACTGACGATAAGATACTGCTTCCACACAGGCGCGGCATAAGTGAATTTATCCTCTGGATCTTCATCTCTTGGTAACTTTGACAACTCAGTTTCCATATTGGCAATCTCTTTTCTCACATCTTGGTATTCCTGTGAGTTTCTCCATACTTCAAAGTAGTCATGTTTGGCATGGGAACCCGGTGCAGCACCGACAACTTGCAACATCCATTCAGCTGGGTTCGCCTCTGGCGGACAAGGATCAGCACCATTCTTTTCAAAGTAGTTGATTAAAGTTTTGAAATCTTTTCCCAAATCGCCAAAGTACACAGTTTGTCCTCCTTTCTGCAAAAACAACAAACGATCAAATTCTTGCATCAAAAGTGCAGATGGTTGATGGATAGTACACAAAATAGCTTGTCCATGATCTGCCAATTTTCTCATCAATTTACAAATCGACCATGCTGTTTGCGAATCTAAACCAGAAGTAGGCTCATCAAGGAATAACAACAACTTGGGTTTAGCAACCAACTCAACTCCGATAGTCAAACGCTTTCTTTGTTCAACATTCAATCCTTCTCCGGCAACACCAACCAAAGCATCACCATAATCTGTCATTTCCAATAAGTCAATAACGTAATCAACATACGCGTCTTTTTCCTTCTTGGAAGTCTTGTTCGATTGCCTCAAGTATGCAGAAAACTGTAATGCTTCTCTAACGGTCGATGTCGGCAAATGCAAGTCCTGTTGTTGAACATATCCAATCGACCTTTGGAATGACGAGTCGAGGGAGTGTCCATTAACCAATCTCGTACCATCAGTAATTACACCAGTGGTAACTCTTTCTGACAAACAGTTCAACAAGGTTGTCTTACCGGCACCAGAAGCTCCCATCAATGCCGTAATCTGTCCAGGCTTAACCCATCCGTCAACATGATCCAAGATGACTCTGTGCTCGCTCTTGATTTTGACCTGGTACGTCAAATCCTTCCAAAAGAAAATCTCCCTATTGCTTGGCAACTCAATAGATCCCGTGGACCCATCTTCCTTGTCCAGTGAGTCACTCCCTCCTTTCTCGAACCTAGTCGCCTCTCCAACAGCTTCATGAGATACCTTCTCGTTGGGCATACCACCATACTCAGAGTCATGAGCTTGAGCTAATCTCTTCTTCTTTTGCTTCTTCAAAGAGCCTCTCAAAAACAAAACTATTTCACCTTTTTGCATAGCTCCTTTGTTGAATTCTGTAAGAGCAATGTAGACAAACAAGAAAAACACTGCAAATCCAATAGTAATACCAAGATTTCTCCATTTGTGGGCGTTGTAGTATCTAAATGACAATCTGAGATAATCTGTGCCGTCGACAACATCACTTCCTGGCTTCGATCCAACAGCTGAGCAGACTTTGTTCTCACTTGCAACATTCTCATATCCAGGTCCCACTGGCACATACTCAGAACAGGCAAATTCACGATGGTTGAATTCGTTAACCATTAATGATTCGAAAACATATCCCACAGGATTAATATAGTTGATCCACCTGGACCAACCCAACATATATGGAGTTGGAATAACAAAACCAGTAAAGATAACCATCGCTAACAACAACACAGTGGCTGGGGTCATGGCACCAGCAATGGTGGTAGATACTGCACCAATCGACCGGAACAAATGTGACATCACCAAAGTACACCACCAATTCATTAGCCAATAAAAGAAAAACCGTCCTGGGTTTCTTCTGAAATTCACCATAAAGTAGAAAACAAAATTAAACGACATGGACATCATAAGCTTGGTGGGTAACTCAGTGATAATACTCGCTAGAGCATCAGCAGCCGGGCGATAAAGGGCGTATTTCTTGTGCTTTTCAACTATAGGTCTAGCATCAAAAAGTGACAAAATCTCCAAAATCGAAGAAAACGCATTGTACAACACCGCAAAGAACAATGATGCGCCTCGAAAATAAAATGAGCCGGTGTTCTGTTTCATATTGTAGAATACCGACGATAATATAAGACCCATTACCAACTGACCAAAAATGGAAAACAAAGTTATGGAGGGGTCACCCTTTGTACGCAACCAATTTCTATACATGATATAGCGTACTTGCATAAAAAACGAAACCGTGTATGGGGACGAAGGACGAAGATGGTTTGATTGTCTTGCAACATGAGATTCGTGGTATTGTTCTCTTGTGTTCAGCTGCTCACATTTGGCAAAATAATCGTCAATCTCTGCCACTAATGCGGCATACTCTGGTGAGTTTTTCCATCTTGCTTCAAACTCTTCGGCAGTACGAGGTACTTTGTCTTCAAACCCTGGACGTGCCTGTCTTTCTGCTGGGTTTGTCAACGAAGTCAAGAAATCGGCAGTGGTTTGTCTTTGTGGACAATCCCATCCCATGTTGATGAAAAATTCCTTGGCTTTGTCTGCGCGGCCAAAGAAGATTTGGTAACCTTCATACAATACAACAACCTTGTCAAACAAATCGTATGCATCTTGCGAACATTGATAGATGGCAATCAATGGTGTGGTATCTAATATAGTTGCAGATGTTTTCAAAGCTCTGATAAACTCCAAAGCTGTGGCGGAATCCAAACCTCTTGTGGCATTATCCCAACATTGAATATTAGCTCCATTCAATGATGCTTCTGCGATTGACACTCTCTTTCTTTCACCACCTGAAACACCTCTGACAAAATCATTACCGACATTTGTATTCCTGGTATGCAATAAACCATAGGTGGCCATGTACACATCAGCCATATGCTCGGCATACTTTTCCCTGTCAACATTTTCACCTCTATTTTGTGGAGTTCTCAATTTGGCTGCAAACTGTAAAGTATCTCCAACCGACAAGTGTGGAAAATGAACATCAGTTTCAGCTGAGTAAATTATATCTCCACGATAGTGCTTAGAAATGTCCTTCTGTGTTAATCCGTCATAGGTGATCTTTGATTCCTTACCAAGATGAAAACCATATGTGTTGACAGCAATCGTCTTCAACAATGTAGAACAACCGGCACCTGGTCTACCCAACACAACAGTAAGCTCACCGGGTCTCATAATAGCATCCATGTGCTTTAATATATCAAACATCTTTGATTCATCCTCTTTTCTCAAATGCGATAAGGCTTCCGTGGCAAGCTTCCAAAGTGCATTTGTGACTGTTGGTTGATAATCAGTATCGTTTGCTACACCATACGCTCTCAAATTTCGATAAGCAACGCCCAATTTGGATGGTTTGTAATAGTCAGGGTGGTTCTCGAACAATTTTTTTTGATTTTTGACCCAAAACTTTGCATCGAAATTGTCAGAGTCGGGGTTTAACCTTTCATCTTGCTCTTCTTCCAAAATTGGATTTACTCCAGGTACTTGTGACATGTGAGTCAAATATCTTTTTAAACTGGTCGTAGATGCCGAGTCGTTATTAGTGAGTGTTCTGGCTAAGTTGTGGACATCTTGAGCATTGAAACCTTGGTACTCTCCGATTGAGTGATTGTCTTGGGCATTATTTTGTTTGTCCTCCTTTTGAGGGGAGTCAACTGAGGCGTGGACCGATTCTGTATCAGAATTGGACATTGTATTCCAACAGACCTTGTATTTGTCAATAGGGGGATTATAATCAAGTTCCCAAATGTAATATCTTATATCTTATATGATTTGGAAAGGATATAGGTACAATATTTCATGGAAGAATTCCTTTAGTCCATTATATATAGAACGGAGCTAAAAATAGTCATCGGTAAGTCATTCAGTCTCTCCCTCCTTGCTGTCATGTTTTAGTGAGAAAATGTAACGATTATTTAGTACCACTTAGCTATTTGTACCCCCAAAGGTATTGGTGATTCTATGCATGAGAGCCAAAAAAAAAAAAAAAATTGTGAGGAGCGCAAACTCAATTCAATAAACAAATAGAATAAATGTACATCCGATTCTGTTACAAAACACAAACGATTTACGGCACGGGGTTAAAGGTTTCTTTCTGCATTATACATGTTCCTAGTGAGAGACGAATGGTGGGGAGTAGGTACTGACCTACAAAGACAAAGAAGGCACTTAATTAAAAGGAAATGGATGCAGTCTTACAACAGTAACAATCAATACCAGGCTATATACTACGAATACATCTTGAGAATAACAATATCATGTCATGAAACGAAAACCCCACAGGAGCTTATTCGGAGATAAGGGATATTTGAGATGAGGAAGATTTTTAGTTTCGAGCTAGGAAGGGGAATGGCTAGACTAACAGGACAGAGTGTGCTTTAGAATTTTACTCTGTGATCTCTTTCGATTTTTTTGCACCGCAATTTTTAAGTGACTGTGCATGGATCTATCATACAAATTCGGAATAACATCAGATGATTTTTTTCAGCCTAAGTGGCTCGCCAGGCATATCCACCATGAAGAAAAACATCAAAGTCAACGAAGCTACAAATAGAACAAGGTAATTTCCAATGTCTAAATCACCGATTTATCCGCCAGTTCTTTTCTTATATCCGCAAATGATTTTAGAGGTACGCATGCGTTTTTAGATTACTAATTTAGTTTTAATGGTTAAAACTAGAGCCGGATAGAGAGAACGATCCCTTTGGGTTTAGGAATGGAATCATACCAAATCCTCGGCGTTAAGAGCTAGGGTTATGTTGCAGATTTTGCACATATACGTATGCTCATTTGCTTTTTGTACATTGAATGGGTCTTGGTTATGAACATTGTTTGCGGCTCGCCCTTAAAAAGCCCAATTGACAAAAAGGTAATTTCAAAATACGTCTGCTATTTTCACATTTGAAAGTAGCTGTGCAGATTGCAGACGAAAACCTTGTTGGTTTCGATAGATAATGTTAAGGAACTTGTCCTTTGACAAAACCACCGATTTTGGGAGGTAACAATATCGGATGGTATCAACTAGACTTTATCGAAGTGCAAATAATAGGGTTTTATATCTGTATCTAAGATTAAATTGAGCTCTAAGGACAAAATTTTTGGAGATGTAGTTGACCATAAACACCTACGAATGGAAAAGAATTTGCAATAAAAATAACTCTCTTTAATGTTTAGTGTCTTGGTGTTTACGTTGCATCTAATAACCCTTCACCATTTACCTGCTGATGGACACCACTGGTTGGGGTTGAATTTTTTGACTTGTGAGAGATGGTGTCATAAGCTTGAAAAGGATAATACGTCGAGAGTCACCGATTATGCTAACCGTTTCAGGATTCTAGTCCCAAAGACTGGTGGGCCGGTTCCGCAATACGTTATTTAACCTGTTGTACACTGATAGTCGATGAAATAGAACTCACATAAACACTGAGCACATACGGCATCCGCTAATGAACGTGCAGCACCATGATAAACCAAGATGCAAGCAAAAGGTCGTTTAAGTTCCACAAAGTTAAAGCACAAACCACAATTCTTTTTCGTTGTTTGAAGTTACCAGCAAGCATATGACAATGCAAGAGCTTTTGCTAATTGAAAACCTACACTAGAAAATTCTCTAATTCTAATTCTAACAATCTAAATATGCGTATTCACGCGAGATATAAACAAAAGTACATACATGACTTTTAATCCGTGCCATTAAGGTTTAGGAGGGTCTACTTTTCATTCTTCTTCTTATCCTCCTTCTCTCTATTTCCCTTTGGAACTCTAGCCAACCAGTAAAAAAATCCCGTCAACACAATGTTGATGGCAATAAAACAAATGACTAAACCAAAGTTTCTCCATCTTTCGCTGTACCTTGCATTAACCGATTCTAAAAATGTATTGGTGTCTTTGATTTGACAAAATTGACACCCATTAGAATCAACAATATAGCCACCAGCTTGTTGGAGATAGTCTTGCAAAAATGATGAACATGATTGTCCACTAGGTGGATTAATTGTCAACAACTCAGCATTGTCACATTGAACTGATGTATTAGCCAACCCTGTAGCTAACATACCTTGAACCAAATAAGTGAAGGGATTTGCACGGTACATAAAGATCCAAAATCCTGGAAGTTGTTCTCCGGTTTTAAGCACACCGCAAAAGTTCAAACACATCGTAAATAAAAGTGTGGCAAGATTGGCAGCATTATCAGCGAGCTCAATGAATGATATACACAAAAGACCCATGGTACTTGTGTATACATAAAAACTGGTGATGAAAAGCCACATAAGAACACCTCTTTGATCAACTGAATCTGTTGGAACGGCATTGTTGTACAATCCGACGGGATAGTACCAACACAAAAACGCCAAAGTTCCCACAATAATTTGGTATGGCATTTCCGATGTAAGCTGGGCAGTTATGAATGCAAACCAATTGAAAGTTCTCGATGGAGCCTCTCTAACTTCGTAAACATCCCTTTGCTTTATAAATTGTGGAAGCAATTGCTGGACAATGGTATTGAATGGGATGAAAAACATGAAAATAGAGAACATTTGATTTTGCAAACCTTGCATTGATCTGTCTGCTTTAAAGAATGAGAACCCATTGAATAATGAAGAAGAAACGACCAAAAACACCTTTGCATATATGTATCCCGGTGATCTCCATTTCTGAACAATTGTTCTCCAAGTCACAATCAAGTATTGCTTCCAGAGAGGGGCAGCATATGTATACTTAGCTTCAGGATCGTCATCTCTTGGTAACTTTGACAACTCAGTTTCCATATTGGCAATCTCTTTTCTCACATCTTGGTATTCCTGTGAGTTTCTCCATACTTCAAAATAATTGTGTTTGGCATGGGAACCCGGTGCAGCTCCAACAACTTGCAACATCCATTCAGCTGGGTTCGCCTCTGGCGGACAAGGATCAGCACCATTCTTTTCAAAGTAGTTGATTAACGTTTTGAAATCTTTTCCCAAATCGCCAAAGTACACAGTTTGTCCTCCTTTCTGCAAAAACAATAAACGATCAAATTCTTGCATCAAAAGTGCAGATGGTTGATGGATAGTACACAAAATAGCTTGTCCATGATCTGCCAATTTTCTCATCAATTTACAAATCGACCATGCTGTTTGCGAATCTAAACCAGAAGTAGGCTCATCAAGGAATAACAACAACTTGGGTTTAGCAACCAACTCAACTCCGATGGTCAAACGCTTTCTTTGTTCAACATTCAATCCTTCTCCGGCAACACCAACCAAAGCATCACCATAATCTGTCATTTCCAATAAGTCAATAACGTAATCAACATACGCGTCTTTTTCCTTCTTGGAAATCTTGTTCGATTGTCTCAAGTATGCAGAAAACTGTAATGCTTCTCTAACGGTCGATGTCGGCAAATGCAAGTCCTGTTGTTGAACATATCCAATCGACCTTTGGAATGACGAGTCGAGGGAGTGTCCATTAACCAATCTCGTACCATCAGTAATTACACCAGTGGTAACTCTTTCTGACAAACAGTTCAACAAGGTTGTCTTACCGGCACCAGAAGCTCCCATCAATGCCGTAATCTGTCCAGGCTTGACCCATCCATCAACATGATCCAAGATGACTCTGTCCTCTTTTTTGATTTTGACCTGGTACGTCAAATCCTTCCAAAAGAAAATCTCCCTATTGCTTGGCAACTCAATAGATCCAACTGATCCTTCATCTGTTACGGCACTATCACTAGCCCCTTTTTCAAATTTTGCTGCTTCCGTGGCAGCTTCACGAGACACCTTCTCGTTGGGCATACCACCATACTCAGAGTCATGAGCTTGAGCTAATCTCTTCTTCTTTTGCTTCTTCAAAGAGCCTCTCAAAAACAAAACTATTTCACCTTTTTGCATAGCTCCTTTGTTGAATTCTGTAAGAGCAATATAGACAAACAAGAAAAACACTGCAAATCCAATAGTAATACCAAGATTTCTCCATTTGTGGGCATTATAGTATTCATAAGACAATCTAAGGTAGTCCGTACCATTGACAACATCACTTCCTGGCCTCGATCCAACAGCTGAGCATGCTCTATTCGCTTGTGCGATATTTTGGTAGCTAGGACCAGCTGGAACATATTGTGCGCACGCGAATTCACGATCATGGAACTCATTCACCATCAACGATTCAAAAACATATCCCACAGGGTTAATATAGTTGATCCACCTGGACCAACCCAACATTTTTGGGGTTGGAATAACAAAACCAGTAAAGATAACCATCGCTAACAACAACACAGTGGCTGGGGTCATGGCGCCAGCAATCGATGTTGACACCGCACCAATTGATCTAAACAAATGTGACATCACCAAAGTACACCACAAACACATGAGCCAATAAAAGAAAAACCGTCCTGGGTTTCTTCTGAAATTCACCATAAAGTAGAAAACAAAATTAAACGACATGGACATCATAAGCTTGGTGGGTAACTCAGTGATAATACTCGCTAGAGCATCAGCTGATGGACGATAAAGGGCGTATTTCTTGTGCTTTTCAACTATAGGTCTAGCATCAAAAAGTGACAAAATCTCCAAAAGCGACGCAAATGCGTTGAACAACACAGCAAAGAACATAGAAGCACCACGGAAATAGAATGAACCAGTGTCTTGAGACATGTTATAAAACACCGACGATAATATAAGACCCATTACCAATTGACCGAAAATGGAAAAAATCGTAATTGATGGGTCACCTTTAGTACGCAACCAATTCCTGTACATTAGTGCCCTTACTTGCATGGTGAATGAAACGGTGTAAGGTGAACCAGGATTTATGTGATTTGATTGTCTTGCAACATGAGATTCGTGGTATAACTCTTTGGTTTTCAGTGTCTCGCACTCAACGAAGTATTCGTCTATTTCCTTGATCAACGAAGCATACTCTGGTGAGTTTTTCCATCTTGCTTCAAACTCTTCGGCAGTACGAGGTACTTTGTCTTCAAACCCTGGACGTGCCTGTCTTTCTGCTGGGTTTGTCAACGAAGTCAAGAAATCGGCAGTGGTTTGTCTTTGTGGACAGTCCCATCCCATGTTGATGAAAAATTCCTTGGCTTTGTCTGCGCGGCCAAAGAAGATTTGGTAACCTTCATACAATACAACAACCTTGTCAAACAAATCGTATGCATCTTGCGAACATTGATAGATGGCAATCAATGGTGTGGTATCTAATATAGTTGCAGATGTTTTCAAAGCTCTGATAAACTCCAAAGCTGTGGCGGAATCCAAACCTCTTGTGGCATTATCCCAACATTGAATATTAGCTCCATTCAATGATGCTTCTGCGATTGACACTCTCTTTCTTTCACCACCTGAAACACCTCTGACAAAATCATTACCGACATTTGTATTCCTGGTATGCAATAAACCATAGGTGGCCATGTACACATCAGCCATATGCTCGGCATACTTTTCCCTGTCAACATTTTCACCTCTATTTTGTGGAGTTCTCAATTTGGCTGCAAACTGTAAAGTATCTCCAACCGACAAGTGTGGAAAATGAACATCAGTTTCAGCTGAGTAAATTATATCTCCACGATAGTGCTTAGAAATGTCCTTCTGTGTTAATCCGTCATAGGTGATCTTTGATTCCTTACCAAGATGAAAACCATATGTGTTGACAGCAATCGTCTTCAACAATGTAGAACAACCGGCACCTGGTCTACCCAACACAACAGTAAGCTCACCGGGTCTCATAATAGCATCCATGTGTTTCAAGATGTTGAACATCTTAGACTCATCTTCCTTTCTTACGTGTCCCAAGGCTTCCGTGGCAAGCTTCCAAAGTGCATTTGTGACTGTTGGTTGATAATCAGTATCGTTTGCTGTACCATATGCCCTCAAATTTCGGTATCCAACACCCAACTTAGAAGGTTTGTAATAGTCAGGATTGTTTTCGAATAATTTCCTCATATTCTTGACCCAAAACTTGGCGTCAAAGCTGTCCGAATTAGGATCTAACCTTTCATCGGCACTTTCTTCTTCAACTGGATTTACTCCAGGTACTTGTGACATGTGGGTTAAATATCTTTTCAAACCGGCGGCTGAACTGGTGTCTTCATTAGTGTATGTTCTTGCCAATTGTTGGATATCCTCAGCATGAAAACCGGTATATTCTTGAACCGAATCCCGATCGAAAGAGGATGAAGTTTGCTGCTTTTCCATTCTATTCAAAGAGTCGTCCTTGGACTCTGTTCCCAAATTCGACATGGCTGAATCTTCTTTTCGATTTACGGTGCCGTGGGTAAAAAGTATCAACAGTTATCAAGTTGGGTCCTAATAATAGCTATGAAAACCTTGCTAATGAAATCAAAAATTAAAATCAGCAATCAACTAGTAAATGTGAGCTTTCGAAATGTAAAGAAGAAGATTTATATAGCGATGGCAAAAGTTGGAAATGGGTTATAACCTTTTATATATAGTTCAATATAATTTTATAAGTTCGAATTTCATATATATGTTTGTTTTCTTAATGGTGGTTACTCATCCACCAACAAGAAAAAATAAATAAAAAAATTAAATTAAAGAGAAATAAAAACATAAAGCCTAATAACAAAATTAATAATAGGTTCATTACACAAACATTGTGAAATGAATGGCTTGACTTCACAATTTCGGAGACGGAATTAATACTGAAATGAAAGACAGTTATGCGGCTATTACATCGAAATTCACCACTTTACGAGGACTATATGCGGCAAACTAATATAACTTTGACATCTTGCAACCGTTGCACGGCTACCACCATGTGGTCTAAAAAAGCCTATAATTTTCGAATGGCGCAAGGAGTAAAATGCCATTACGTATTAGATTATTTTCGGATATGAAATTGGCTCCGTGTTTTTTCCCCGACAAAATTAATGCATATAGGATACACTTCTAAGCGCTCCTTCGAATAGCAGTGAATCTCAGTTTGAAACCTCTCTAGCCACCAACAGGGTTACGATTCCAGATCTAGCAGCATTCAAGAGCGCCCATGGGTAGTGTGAGCGTAAGTTGTCGTCGTTTTAGGTCAGCAGATTTGAAAAATTAGACAAAAAGAGAGTACAGAAAAGTTCAAGCTTGCAACAATAAAGGATTTGCTATTATCTTTCTACAATCGACGATGTAGTGTATGCTGCTCTTACAGGTATTTTGCTTGGTGGTCAAGCTCGGCATTAGTTGACCACTACTAGCAAGTTATACCTCAGCACCGTATATATACTTTTTCTCATCAAAAAAGCACCATTTGGTTCCTCTTCACAAACAATTTTCGTCACCTAAGATCGATAATAGCAACCCATGCAAGATAAGCAGCTGTTTGGATGTTAAAAAGATCGATGGTCTGCCAAAAATCGAACCTTGAGCTTCAAAGCACGAGACATAACCTCCGAAAAATTTTGAAGCACACAAAAGTAACAAAAAAAAAAAAAAAAGTAACCCAAAGTAACCAAAATTGTTTAAAACCAAAACAAAGTCCAAAAAAAAAAAAATGTGAAAGAAATTTCGGCAAAACATTCTTTCGGAGAAATAAAAATAATTGAATTCTTTCCGTGTTTTAGTTTGATCCGATATTTAACGTATTCGTTTTCATATGCAAAGAAAAATTTCACCCCACGTCCCCAAAATAGTAACACCGATGCCTTGTTAAACGGTGTTAGGGGTTAAGTCATCAGTCAAACTTTATTATCTATACTCGAGAAACGGCACGTTTACGAATCAATGGTAGATACACATTTTTTCGGGGGATCTTTTAATATAAGCCATTGAACTAGTATCTTCTCAGGATAGCTCGAGCCAAGAGTTGAATTTGATGTTGTGCTGCGTTTTTTTTTTGCACAAATTTCACTTGAAGATATTGAAACAAATAAACATTTATTAACGAATCGTAACTAATAAACTCCTCCATGCTATATTGACAATAGGTTACTCTGGGAAATTAACTCTGCATTAATTCATAAGCAGTTGAGTACTAATTTATTGTATAACCAAAAGATCTGAGAATGCGGCTTTGCTTTCTTCCGAATCAGGAAACTAACACAATAACACAGGTGCTCTCAACTGGTTGAAATTTCTAGAATTCGTTAATGATAGAGTACATAAAGAACAGCCGAGCAGATATGGCCCTCGTCTATGACCAACATCCTAGTTGACGCTAACGATCAGAAGTAATAATAGTACATGTAAATATTGTGGACCTGACAGTTACTACTCCTTCTCTTTATGCATACCTTCACGCCGTCTTTCTCATTGAATCGCAGCATGCGGTGCATAATCTATTGTTTTGACGGTTCCTCATCAACTACGAGGTACAATCCGAACGATATACCCCTAGTTATATCATCAAATCACTCCTACAAATACTTTAGTCACAACTTCAAGTTGTCGCGTGTGAGATGAAGAAAAAAAACAAACAAATAATCGGATCAAAATTGTAAACACCAAATCAATTTCAACCACAATTATTCACCTAATCCATAAACAATGGCCCCATCAGTGGAGGACACGGAGTGGTATCAAGTCTTCAATAATTACATCTCAGATGTTGTTAAAATATTAGATGGAGACAGCGCCACCATAGATGATAGTAGCAATTGCATTCGAGATTTTTCTAGTAATCACGATCCTGACACGCTCCTTATAACCAAAGAAAAGCTTCATAACCAGTACAGAATATACAACGCGACAGCTCCGATTAAACCCATTATCAATGCAATTGAATCAATAATATTTGTTATTAAATCGAAAGGCGTATTGGTGATGGATGAACCACTTGGCTCTCAATTAAATATAATTAGCATACCGGTATCTTCAGACACCAGCACCAATGATTTGTCTATCGATGCTTTAAGGGATGCATTGGATTTAGGTCTCTTTCCTTATTACGACCTCGTTTCTTCGGAAAGGGGTTCAAACTTGACAAGGAAAAGATTCATTGAATTATCTTTGGCGTTGCAAACAACTCGATCAATTCAAATACCTAATTTAGTCACAACAACTCACCCAAAGATTAGGAGTATTATATCAGGGGATGTAGAGATGTCACAAGACCTACTTGATGACATTGCATTCATCAATGAGTTGACGGCAGTGTCTAATGATTGGATCCACCAAATACTGTCGATAACAAAAATTAGCCATTCAACAATGGATAGCAAGTCTATACGCGATGAAATACAATTTTGGAACACTGTTGAAATAGCCCTTACATCAATAGGTAAACAAATCAAATCTCCAGAGGTCGCTACAACTTTGGATGTTTTGAGTAAAGCAAGGAAATTTCACATCACATTGAGCTTCGAAAATGATATAGGGTTGAAAGAAATGACAGCCACTGCATCTTCGTATAGGGCCTTTTTTAAAGATATACCACTCGATGAGCTTTTGGTTGATGAAGTTGCAGATTACGATTCATTCAATAATGGCGTGTACGACGTGTTGTCATATGTAAATCAAAAATTGTCCCTGTTGCCGATTCCTGCAGAAATTGATATCATTCAATTGTTATTGAAGGATGTTTGCCGCAAACTTCAGGATCTAATATCCAAACATGAGATAATGTCTCTAGAGTATACCTCCTTCAGGAAGCACCAAGCTATCGTGACAAAATCTATCAACGCCATTAACGATAAGCTAAAGGCGACAACCACCGTACTACGGGAGATTGCCAGGAAACGCCAGGAGAAAATCAAACTGATCTCTATCGACAAATCAGAACTCGATTCAATTAGCTTTAAATTAAAGTTATTAACCGCCTTCCGAACTAACCATGAAAGCTTAATGCATAGTGTTGAGAATGCGCTAAGTGCCGATGAAAGATCAAGGTGTGTCAAGGACCTCATAGAGGCATACAACAAATACATCATCCCGATAGACGTTGCTGACATATCTCATGAAGGCAAGCTGGTATGGAGTATGCATGAAGGTGCTTACAAAAAAGTTTTCAACACCATTTTTACAAGCGTTGTAACCAGAATAAATGGATTTTTCAACAATGCTGAACAGTTTGCAGACTATTTGAGTATATATTACCAATTTTTTCCCAATTTGGACTCGTCTAATGATAACAATGCATCATTTATGACAATAAAAGATAATCAAAAGTTGAAGATTCTCGATTGCGCTATGCTGGAAATTCAGTCATTGAAAGAGGATATAAACACTTGCACCTTAAACGATTACAAAAAGATACTTTACGACAAAGGCTTGATATCGAAATTGAATTTTTACCGAGAGTCACTAAGCAAACTTTTGGGTGTAGATTGGAAGAATTTCTCCGTTGGGTCAAAGATAGACACTCTCACGAACAATTTGATTACCACCTTGGATCCGAAGAAAGCATACGCTGATTGGGTTTCAAACGAAAAGGCAATGCATCCTAGAGACATGGGTGTACTACTAAAGCGCCCCAAACATGGTGATGGATGCTATGCTTTAAAACTAAACCTTGACATGCAGAAGCTCCAGCTGTATGAGAGTGGTGTAGTTTTGAAAAATTTGGGTCTCAGCACATCCAACACGTTGAACCACAGAAAACAAGCAGCATTTTGTCAAATTGCCATTGAAATTGAGAATGTAATTGACATGCTTAACAGGGTGTTTGATGTAACAAATGGTCAACTGAAGACCCAAATTTTTGAATTCATCTCAGGAGATGTATACAAACTCATCCCTTTAGTGAAACAACTTTCTCGACTTGAATGGAATCATCTATGGCAGGCTATTGAGTTAGTCAATCAAAACGATGCACTACTAATGAGAAGTGAAAGTTTGGTGGAGATGCAAGCGTTGAATTGTTTACAGCAAGTGACTCAATTGTTGATGCACATTAATGCTCAAGTTAACAAAATTCAGAATTTTTTCATCTTCGTGGAACAGTGTATCTTTAAACTCAAGACTGCTTATTTCGAAGCAGCGCAATTTCTGGAGGTATTAGACAAGTTGCAACACAAGTTGGATGAAACTTTACTCGACGGACTAACCTCAGATGAAAAATTGAGATGCTTGGTTCGGCACAAAGTTGAAAGCTGTTTATATGGACGCTTGTGTGACCAATTGACATTGCTATGCAATGCCATGGTTTCACATGACTGGAACGAATCCATTAACCGTGAAAATTATGTGACGCAATTCCCATCGTACCTGCACACATTGACCTTTAGCGAGGGGGTGATAGTATTGAACCCCTCATTAAAAGAGGGAAGAAATCATTATTTTCAGGAAGTGCATCTGTTTGTTGCCATTGTATCCAATCGAGGCGATAATTTGAATTGGCGACACTCGTCAAGGACGGCAGATCTCACAAAGCACGTTTCAGCAAGGAACACTTTGAATCTTGTCACCGGAAGGATTGATGCTATCTATAATGATATCGAAAACTACGTAAGTAAATGGAAAACGATTCAAACCTTATTGGATGTGAGTCTTGATGAAGACAAGGAGTGGATATTTGTTGGAGACGAACTCAAGAATTGGTATCAGACTTTACGAGACGTTTGCGAATTGGGGAAGGTCTTCGATGAGTCGAGAGTTGCATTTGGTGGACTTATAAGTGTTGACGCTCACCATATCCTGGCAAAGTTGTTTGTTTTATACGAACCTTTCAAGAAGCGCTTGTTTTCTGAATTTTCGGACAAGTTTTCGCAAATCGTTCAAGCATTAGAGGAAAGCGTTAGAGTTGCACAAAGCGGCTTGAACAAGCGTCTAGATTTTAGCCTGGAGGCTCATCAACTTGTTTTCGATTTAGGAGATATAGCCAAAGTTAAGAAGGAAACTTACGAATGGGAAAAATCAATTGTGTTATTCGATACAATTGAAAGATTTCTTTCGAGATATCGTTTCAAGTTTCCTACCAATTGGTTGTATATTGCACAATTAGAAACTGACTTTGCAAAAGTTCAAGCCCTATTGAAGGACAAGGAATTGCTGGTGAAGAATAACGAAGATCAAGTTCTTTCAATTGTACAACGTGAATCGCTCGAAACAAGTAGACAACTACAAGACTTGACCAACGATTGGACAAAAGCGAGACCAACTGATGGTGACTTGAGACCTGCTGTTGCTCTACAATGTTTGAGCGAATACCAACACAAGTTCAAAACGTTGTGCTCATTCGGAATGTTGCTCAATGAAGTTGCAAGCAACTTGAAAATGGAGCCACCGTTTATTAAAGACGTGCTGGAAATTATGGACGACATTGTGCACCTTAAAGAGGTCTGGAGCTCAGTAAACACTTTGTGGGAAGACTTGCAGCAAATGAAACACACTCCTTGGGCTAGTGTTAGCGTTCATAATGTGAGTTTGAAGCTACGTGCAGCTTTGAATTCCATCAAGGAACTCCCATTCAGCGTTCGTCAATACTCAGCAGTTGATGAATTAAAGCAAGAAATTAAGAAGTACTTAAAATTGCAACCCAAAGTGTTGCAGATAAGTAACTCTTTTTTGAAAGATCGTCATTGGAAGAAGATATTAGAACAATTATGCCCCTCAGTGAAGGCAGCAAACACCACTCTTGGCACAATTTGGCAATTAAATTTGGACTTGAATTTCCAATTAATCCAAGATGTATTAGATCAGGCGCGTGATGAGCAAACAATTGAAGAAAGTATTGGTAAGATTGAGGAAACATGGTCAGGAATTTACTTTGAGCTTTTTAATTACGAAAACAGATGTCGGTTGGTTAAAAATTGGGACGCCTTATATGATCAATGTGAAGCAAACTTGGATGTCATCAATTCGATAAAGAAATCTTTGTACGGTGATACATTTGAGAAAAGTGTAACGGAGTGGGAACTGAAATTAAATACTCTTCATGCAATATTGGATGTCTGGGTTGAGGTGCAGCGAGATTTCATTCATCTAGATGGGGTTCTTGGAAAGGATAGTAACGAAGTAAGGAACTTGTTACCTCTTGAGCATACAAGATTCCAAAATCTCGGTTATGAATTCATGTCCTTATTGAAGCAAATTTACAAGTACAACCAAGTCATTGATATTATTTTGATAGGGGACATACAAGGCCAAATGAATCGCTTTTCAAGCAGTTTGAAAAGAATTCAAAAGTCTCTAACAGAGTATTTAGAGAAACAACGTGATCTTTTTCCTCGATTTTTCTTTTTAGGGGATGAGGATTTGCTCGAGGTGATTGGATTTTCAAAAAATGTTACAAGAATTAACAGGCATTTGAAAAAGATGTTTGGCGGAGTTGCAAGAATCAATTTTGATGATGATAGCCACTCTATTGTAAGCGTGGCGAGTGAAGAAGGCGAGATTTTGCAATTAAGGAAGCGAGTTTCGTTAGTAAAGCATCCCATGCTTCATGAGTGGCTTCTTGAACTAGAACTTCAAGTTCAGCAATCGTTAAAGCACCAGCTCCATACCAATTTTGAACCATGGAGTGTGTTTATAAAGAGTGGGGAGCAGGAGGAATTGATAAAATTGCTAAATAGAACCACCAGCCAAATTTCGAATTTACTAGTGCAAATTGTTTTTACCCAGTGGATTGAGAGTTTGATCCAGTCTGATATGCTTGTTGTGGGCTCGCGGATACGTCAGCTAATCCAATCGTTTGTCAGTTTACTTGAAACATGTCAGGATGAAATACTTCGAAAGAAAACGCAGAATATCATCATCGAACTTCTCCATCAGCGGCAACTCACAGGTACGCTTCAAGATGCGATTACAGAAAGCAGGGCATCCTTATGGGATGTGCAACAAAGATTTTATTATGATGAAAAAACGTCAGAGGTTATAATAAAGCAAGCCTTTTCAACTTTCAATTACGGATTTGAGTATTTGGGAATTCCTGAAAAATTAGCTTACTCACCATTGCTTAACAGCTGTTTCTTAAACATGACACAGGCTTTATCAATGAAATTAGGGGGCTCTCCAGTGGGTCCATCAGGTACTGGGAAAACAGAATCGGTCAAGGCCCTTGGTCAGAATTTGGGAAAGATGGTCGTGGTTTTTTGTTGTGATGAACAATTTGATTATCTATCCATGGGTAGGATTTTCCGTGGATTGTGCAAAGTGGGCGCCTGGGGTTGTTTTGATGAATTTAATCGATTGGACGAAGCCAGCTTGAGTGCCGTGTCGTCCCAAATTGAATCAATACAGTACGGTCTTCAACATCCACTGGTCCTGATTGAGTTGTCCAATCGAGTTGTACACGTAAACCCCGAATCTGCTGTATTTGTCACCATGAATCCGGGTTACGCTGGTAGAAACGAGCTACCTGTGAACTTGAAGAAGTTGTTTCGAACTTTCCAAATGAACAAGCCTGATGTTCAACTTATAATCGAGGTATTGTTGACCTCAATGACTTTTGCATCAGCGCATGAGTTGTCTATTTTGGTCACTCAATTTTTCACTGAGATTGCAAGAAAGGTATCCAGTCAGAAGCACTACAGTTTTGGATTGAGAGCCGTAAAGACGACACTTGGCTTGTGTGGTAAATTGAAGTACAGAGATGGTGACAAAAGTGAGCACGAATCATTGAGAGAGTTTGAAATTGTTAAACGTAGCATCTACGAAACGGTATTACCGAAGTTAACTTTCAACGACGTTCAAGAGTTTACTCTTTTGCAAGATCGTTGCTTTCCTGGTATCACCATTCCACTAGGAACTGCTGGTTTGAAAAGGGAAGTTGAGAGAATTTGCCATGAACAGGGATATCAAACGAGTCTGGGTGCAGTGGAGAAGGCTTTGCAACTTGCAAGTATACAAAGTTCCCATCACGGAATAATGCTAGTTGGAGAATCGGGATCTGGAAAGTCAACTGTTTTAAATTTAACTATGAAGGCATTGACAATTTTTGAAAGTGTTGAGCACACATCTGTCGTAATAAGTCCCAAAGTGTTCTCAAAGGAGCATTTGTATGGCAAATTTGATGCTCTTACCAAGCAGTGGACAGATGGGCTATTCACTAGCGTGTTGCGAAGAATTCAAGAGAACGCAAGGGGAGAACTAGAAAAAAGGACATGGATCGTTTTTGATGGAGATGTTGATCCTATATGGGCAGAGAATCTCAACAGTGTATTGGATGATAACCGGGTACTTACCTTGCCTACTGGGGAGCGTTTAGTTTTGCCCTCGTCTGTATCAATAGTATTTGAAACTACCAACTTGGACAATGCAACACCCGCCACCATTAGTAGATGCGGAATGGTATGGTTTGATAAGTCACTGGTGACCAACGATGATATTTACTCGAGAATTCTTTTCAAATTGACACATCACGATATTCGTCTTGATGATGATGGGGTACAAAACGACATGCACTTGGCTTCCTTGACAAAGGAATTAATAGGGGCCGTGATTTCGATTATGACACCTAATTTAATTGAACGTTTGGACTCTGAAAGTAGGCAGTTGGAGCACATCATGAAGTACACTCTAGAAAGGGCCGTCAATACCTTTCAAGTATTGGTATTTAGCTACGTCAAAAGCTGCTTGCAATGTGCCATCAAAGTTAAGACTGATTTGATAAATTCCAAAGTATATGCTGGCAAAATCAGCATTTTAGCTTTAATCTGGGCATTTGCTGGAGATTGCTCAACTGAGGAGAGATTCCAATTTCAGAAACAAATTGCAACGTTTGGGGACCTAGCCTTCGTAGACTTCCCAGATGGAGACATTTTGGATTATGAAATTGGCTACCCAGAGGCACAATGGGTCCCTATTGCATCAAAGGTGGAAACATTGAATTTACAACCACAAGAAATCACGAATCCGAACATACTTGTCCCTACTGTTGATACACTCAAACACGAGAATCTAATCTATGGCATGATTCAGGAGCACAGAACATTGATATTGTGCGGTCCACCAGGTTCAGGAAAGACAATGACATTATTTAAAGCCCTTTCGAAATCTTCCCAATATGATATTCTCGCCCTCAATTTTTCAAAGGAAAGTACCCCACAATCATTGCTCAACTCCATGGAAAATTTTTGCGTATACAAGCGTGTAAATGGAGGGGTTTCCCTTTGCCCCAAAACAAACGGAAAGTGGGTTGTTGTATTTTGTGACGAAATAAACTTACCCGGACTTGATCGGTTTGGTACTCAAACAGTGATATCTTTGATCAGGCAAATGATAGAACACAATGGGTTTTGGAGACCAAAAGATTTGCAATGGGTGTCCCTTCAAAATATACAATTTGTTGGTGCTTGTAACTCCCCTAAAGATCCGGGTCGATATGAATTGAGTCCAAGTTTCTTGAGACATGTATGTTTGGTACAAGTGAATTCCCCTGGGAAGTCGTCATTACTACAAATATATCAAACTTTAAACAATGCTATTTTCAAGTGCGCTCCGAATCTTAAACCATTTGTGAGCCAAATCACGCGTGCAAGTATTGACATCTATGAAAAATCAAAGTCTAAGCTAGTGCTCTATGTATACTCGCCAAGAGAATTGACCCGGTGGAGCAGAGGCTTATTTGAAGCAATCAAAAGTATTGAATACAGGGATTTGAGTCAATTTTTGCGTTTGTGGTATAATGAGGGATTGAGACTATTTTACGATCGATTGTCAATGGAAGAAGACAAGTTCTGGACTTTGGATTTATTTAGAAAAGTCTGTGATTTGCATTTTCCGAATGTGGATTCCAGTTCGTGTTTCCAAGCTCCAGTGTTTTTCAGTGATTGGTTGAATTCAAAGTACCAATCTGTAAATAGCCACGAACTTAAACGGTTTACCAAAGAAAGATTGAGGGTTTACAGCGAAGAAGAAATTGAAACGGACCTAGTATTGCATGATGAGATGTTGGATCATGTATTGAGAATTGACAGAGTTATGAAACAACCCCAAGGACATGCAATTCTTGTTGGACCTAGCAGTAGTGGTAGAATGACCCTTACTAGGTTCGTTGCCTGGATGAATGGAATAAAAGTGGTTCAATTGAGCGTCAAGACCGGTTACACCATAGATGATTTTGATGACTTTTTAAGACACTTGTTGTTGCGTGTGGTGGATGGTGAGAAAATATGTTTGGTGATTGACGAATCTAGTATAGTCGAGGCATCTTTTGTCGAGAGAATGAATGTTTTATTAGCAAATGCAGAAGTACCCGGTCTATTTGAAGGAGAAAATCGTGCAACTTTGATTAGCAAATGTGCGGAGAAGTCCCAATTGCAAGGATTGTTTCTTGATTCAGAAAGTGAGTTGAGTCGCTGGTTCACAAATCAAATCTCGCAAAATTTACATGTGATTTTTACAATTGGTGAATCACGAGTGGGTAAAGGCAGAGAAGTCTTATCATCTCCAGCCTTGTTCAATAGATGTGTTTTGAGTTGGACGGGCGATTGGTCGAACCTCTGCTTACGCAATATTGCTTCCTCGAAATTGAACAACATAGTTTTGGATTCTTTTACAATCAAACCTTCTGATGATGACCTGGATATTGCAGAGGGAGGTTGCACTGGTCATAAAGACCTTATTATTGACTATTTGATATATGTTCACCGCAATATGTGTCATTTAAATTTCACTCATGAACACAATTATCCAGCTAAATTCTTGACACTTATCGATACTTTTATGACCTTGTGTTCTCAAAAAAGAGCCGAAGCAGATGAAAGACAGCGGCACATTGTTGTTGGATTAGAAAAACTCCAACAGACCGTGTTGCAAGTGGAAAAGATGAAGCTGTTCCTAGCGTCAAAAGAAAAAGAGCTCATGCAGAAGAATCAAGAAGCTAGGCAAATGTTGAATCAAATGCTCGGGGACCAAAATGAGGCCGAACGAAAACAGGAGTTTTCCATAGAAACCCAAAGAGAACTCGAAAAGCAAGAAGAGCTCATCCTTTCTAGAAGAGAGACTGTTATGAAGGAACTTGCTTTGGTTGAGCCCGCGGTTCTTGAAGCGCAACGGGGGGTTCAAAACATCAAGAAACAACATTTGACTGAAATTAGAAGTATGTCGAATCCACCTGCTGCAGTGAAGATGACCATGGAATCCGTTTGCGTGTTACTTGGTTACCATATTTCAAATTGGAGAGATGTTCAATTGGCAGTGAGAGGGGAAGATTTTATACCCAATATTGTAAATTTTGATTGTGAAAATCAATTATCACCTGAGCTTAGGGATTACATGGAGCAAACTTATTTATCAAGACCAGATTTCACTTTTGAAGTTGCCCATAGGGCCAGTAAGGCTTGCGGTCCATTGTTGGAGTGGGTAAGAGCACAACTTGCTTATTCCCTGATATTGAAGGAGGTTGGACCACTACGCGAGGAGGTGAATCTATTGGAGCAAAGAACTGTCAAGACCAAGGCTCATTTGATTGCCATCGATCAAATGATTAAAGAATTAGACGCTAAGATTGAAAACTGCAAAAGTAGCTACAGTGAGTTAATAAGGGAGACAGAGAAAATCAAGATGGAATCAAGCGAGGTCCTGCAGAAGCTTCAACGAAGTATTACGCTAGTTAAAAATCTTGAGAACGAAAGAGTAAGATGGAGGGATTCAAGCAAGTCATTTGATTCAACCAATGAATGTATAGTTGGTACGGCTTTGCTATGTGCTTCTTTCGTCACGTATGCTGGAGCATCAGATGAGAAAGGACGAGATATTCTACGCAGGGTTTGGTGCAAACGTCTTGCAGATTTGAGTATCCCGTATGATTCAGGTGTGCTGATTGCTGGATACTTGGTAAAGAAGAGTGAACTTCGACGTTGGTTGGAAAATGGGTTGCCGGATGATGAATTGAGCAAAACCAACATTGCTTTATTGAGTTGGATCGACCATCCAATATTGATAGATCCGTCTGGGGCAATCGTGGACGTCATTGCTAAATCATATCCAGCCAAAATTCTTACAGTTGCAGCTTTCAACAATGATGCCTTTTATAACACCTTGGAAAACTCGTTACGGTTCGGTGGAGTATTAGTACTTGAAGATGCCGAAGAGCTCAACCCTATTGTGAATGACTTGTTGAGAAGTACCATGCATCGAAATAATGGTAGAATGATGGTTGAACTCGCAGGAAAACTTGTAGATTTTAATCCCAGTTTTAAGTTGATAATGTGTACAAAGGAGTTGGGACTCGAACTAACTGAGTTTGTTCGATCAAGGGCTGGCATTATAAACTTTTCAATCACTAGTGGTAGTTTGGAAAATAGGGTTCTTGATAACGCTTTGCGTGTTTCGCATCCCAAGTTGGAAAAGCAAAGAGCTGAATTGATCCTTGCAAGGAGTGACATAACAACGCAATTACAAAATCTAGAAGATGAATTATTGGTATCTTTAAACACTAAAGCTGAAAACATTTTGGAAGACGACAAATTGCTTGGAACCTTAGAGACCTTGAACAAAAACAGTGTGGATCTTTCAAAGAGGTTAGAGAATGCAAAGGAAGTTATGTCAGAAGTGGATAGCGTGAGAGAACAGTTTGAAGCGGTTGCTAGTCAATGTGTGGCCATAAATCTGTTAGTGACAGTGTTTCAAAGGCTCTTTCAGTTTTACGAGCTTTCAGTATCTGCGTTTTTAGAGCTTTGTGTTCATGTCATGAACCAGAATGACTTGCTAGATCCTGAAATCACCGCTTTGAATGTATATCGCGAGACCTTCAATGTTGTGTCTCCAGCATTACCATACAAAGATAAAATTGTGCTAGCATTGTTGTTGATGGTGCTCAGAAACTCATTTCAGATGGGCGACGGCTACAAGGAAGCTATCGCACAGATAATGCGCCACTTGTTAAAGCACAAATCTTTGGAGGGATCTTCAATGGATTCTATTGTTTCAGGCTCCAAATTGACAAATTCTAGCATTGTTGGTGCCAAGAAAGAGACTGATGGACCGTCGATTTCTGCATTGGTCGAGTTCGCAGCCAATCCAAAAACAACTCCTTTTGATATATTTGTTCACTTTTGCAGTCCCCTTTTTCATGTCACCCCATTTGAATCAAAGTACGATACAGAATACTGGCTCAAGAGTACTCAACCAATTTTGGCAGTGTCTCCTGATGGCTATGATCCTACTTTCAAATTTGTTGAGGTGGCCGAGAAGTACAAGCGGAAGGTTATCGTAGTTTCTATGGGCTCAAAAGAAAGTGCTGATACTGCCAACAAAGCATTAGAGAAGTCGCAAAAAGAACCAGTTTGGATCATCGTTCAAAATGTCCAATTGGCCACGCATTGGCTCGAACATTTGAAACTCACTATATCTAATCTCAGTCAAGTTTCAGGATCAAAGTTACTTTTAACTTGCAGCTCTTACTCGAGGTTGCCCCGGGCTATCATTACCAAAAGTAGGGTACTTTATTTCGAAAAAGTTGTCTCCTTCAGAAAAGCCGTATCAGAGTCATTTGCAGCTATCCCAACCTTTTTGTTATCAAGCCCCGTTGATTTTCATGTCTTCCTATTATTATCATGGTTTCATGGTCTAGTTTCCGAATTGTGTCGTTACATTCCGTTTTCATTCAAGAGCGATTTTCAAGTTGATGATGCTGATTTCACTTGTGGAATCAATGTGATAGAGAATGCAATCTATGCGGCAAAAGGGCGTGTTGAGCGGATTCCATGGCAGGAGATAAGGATAATGCTAGGCGATGTTGTTTATGGTGGTAAGATTTCCAGCAAAGAAGATCACAAATATCTTCAAAATCTTTGCAACCGTACTTTCACAAGTGATTCGCTCAAACTGAACTTCGATTTGATCGAAAATGAGATCTCTTCACAAACTAAAGAGGCTCTACATTTACCGGATTCGAATACGATGGAAGCATATTCCAGCTGGCTTGAAAATTTGCCTGACGAAGTACCTCTTTCTTGGCTTGGCTTGGAACAAAATGTAAAGGAGTCATTGACAACCAAGTCCCATGAAGAAACAATCGAAGAATTCCTACAGTTGATAGATACAGTCTAGAATATTTAAAAATACAGTAGAAATTTCGCCCTGATGTAACTTATTAATTCATTAGAAGGCTAAAAAATCTATAGTACACGCTAAGTAAACAAGAGGATTTTGGAAAAGGTTTAGGTTATTAACCTTCGCTTAATCTTCTTCTTCATCTTCCAAAGTTTGAGCAGCGATACGGTCCAAATCTCTTTGACCGTTTTCGGAAATTCTTCTACCACCTTTTGGAGAAATTTCCAAGACACCAATCTTTTGCAAACTTTGAACAGCCTTTCTGTTGATAGAACCTGAAGCGTCCACGTGCTTGTGTGGTCTAAATCCCCTGTTCTTAGCACCACCGTACAATTTATTTAAAGCACCAACACCGACTTGTTTTCTCAAATAAATGTGTCTGGCGATAGAAGCAGCTCTCTTGTAAAACCAAGTTTCAGCTTCTTGTGGTGGCAATTCGTTACCAGCGGAAGTCTTGACTAAATCAACGTAACCTGGAACTTCTAATTTACCTTGTCTTTGCAAGAACTTAGCGTAAGCGTTGATGAATTCTTGAGCTGGAACGTCTCTTTTTAAATTGTTAGTATATACACCAAATATACAAGGTAATTTACTCAATGATTATCGATTGAAGTCTGAAATGGGATATTATGGATTTGAAAGCAATCTCTCTCCACTAGAGTGCCCAAAAACCAAGAATTACTTTAGGAACAGCATTTTTGATATTGTAGTCACTTTTTGGAAAGTTGAGAACAAATCTGAACTTTCCCTATCCACCACGACAGATTTCACATCAACGAATCTTCAAGCAAAAACCCAACTTTAGGTGCTTGGGACATACCTTACTGATACACCTGGCATGTTTATTGATAATGGTATTTGCTTTGATTATTGGTACAGAAGTAGACTATACAAAAACCTTGTGAATAATTTTACGAGACACTTTTTTTTTTTCATTGGGTGGAAAGTCATGAGGTGGTAGCACTACTGATAGAAGCTTTTGTGTGATTTAGGGCTTTACCCTATCCATACTACCTCACCCAAATAATAAGCTTCTTCTTTGGCGTATGCAATACTGCTCAAAATCACATAGTGATGTCTCTGTGCTCCAGAAGTAATTTTCAGCATGTCTCAGACCCGTAGCATGTGATGTCGTGATCGTCACTGCGTTCGTGGGCATGTTTGAGGATCCAATGAAGTACCCTTCATTAGTTGTGACGTTGTACAGTTGTTGCTCTCCAATAAATAATTCAAAATCTTCCCGCTTTTTATACCTTGGCGAATTGAGTACCAATCGATCCCAAACTTTAATATGATTAATCGAGGAGCGCGTTAGATCTGACATCATTGATTTGTGTATGAACTCTCTGATTGCAGAGTCATCGGTAATTGACCAACATTTTTCAATGTATACCATCTCCAAACCTTCGTACCTTTGACCTCGACTAGAGATTGGATCAATCATCCAGCAAATAAAATCAGTCACGATATTCAAAACATGAAGATGGCTTTCTTCAAGCGCTTCTCCATAATAATAAGAAAAGCTGGTAATTCCACACCTTTTGATTATAGCTCCTAAAACCTCTTTCTGTGTCAAGGACAACTTCGGTCCCAGTACAGCCCTATCCACAAGAATAATCTGTTTCCCCCTTAGCGGTATTCCTTGGTTTGATATCTCCAATGTTGGATTGAGTTTGATTACATTCAATAGTGAGATATCAATTATCAAGATTTCAACTGATTCAAATATGCTTAGTAGCTCATCGCCAATGTAATCCAAGTAAACTTCATAATCTCCTTGACCCAGCTGCAGAGGGCTCTTTCGCCTTTTCACCCTAATTGTCAATTTTCGCAACTGTGGTGAGGAAGCCACCAATTTCAACAATCTCATGGTCTCTGTATAGCACAAGTTATATGGTTGCTCCAAAAAAACTGCAACTTCTTCAAAGATGGGTGCGTGTTGCAGCAAGTGCTTCAAAATCCCTTGAACACCAATCGTAGCAGGAATATCCGAGTAGTTTAAAAACAAATCCAAACGGCGTAAGCTATTAAGTGAGTCCAATAATGCCTCTGACATTTGTAATGTCTGTGCGTGAACTGCCAAATACTCCAATTTGGGGACTTCTATCTTGCTTTGGATCTTTGAGTTGACACATTCCTCTAAAATTCTCAATTCTGTCAAGTTGGGAAACATCATCAATTCGGTGCTATTCAAAACTTCGTTGCCACATTCCAAATACCTAACAAAATTGCACAAGGAAAGCCTGTTCTCGTAGTAGCACTTAAAATTCTGATCACCAATAATATGATGCTTGAAACTTGATCTAGCCAATTCGCTTTTACTGCAGTTTTCAATGTTACCGCTTATAACCTCTTTGATAAATTCCCTGTGGTAAGCCTTTTCGTCACTATATAGTTGACGCGATCTAGGTGTAGAAAGCACCGAATCAATCTGGTTTTGACGAACTAGACTGATGTTGCGAAATAGTACACCTCCTACTTTAATTCTCATAGTTCGACTAGTTGATGATAGCGAAAGCAAATCCCTGTAGCAGCCGTTGCATCGTTCATTATTTGTGATGTACGTATATGGCGGGAATCTCTCGGAGTCTTTACTCAAGCCACATATATTCACTTGCCCTTCTGAAAGCCATTCTACTATTCGGTCGAGAATTTCCAACGGCAAAACTTCAATCAGTGGAGCAAGTATATTCTTTCCGTTTGTTGACTGCATAATGGGATCTCTCCGTGGAATATCTGACAATTGGCTTGACTATCGGTTGGAGATGTCACGGATAGCGATTCTATAGCACCTTTGTTGGATTGCATTTCGGCACAACAGTGTTAAAGGATACAAGATCTCACTGCGACTTTGTATCACACAATGGATCGCAGAGTAAAAATCGCACTACAATCTCCCTACAAAACATCCATATTCAAATTAAACGTTGAATTTCGAGTAAACACATCTATACAAACCCTACTATCCAGCTTAGACCTTGAAACCTCTTGATCTTCTTCTACCTCTAGCTCTTTCGAATTTTCTACCCTTGGACAAAATTCTTGGAGCTTTACCCTTGTGTGGACCGAAACCAAAGTGTCTAACAGCTTCTCTGGCATTTCTTGGTCCTCTTACAATCAAAGTGTTTTGACCTTTTGGAGCTCTCAAAGCCAATTGATCCAAAGTGATGGCCTCACCACCATTTTTCAAAATTCTAGCTTTGGCACCAGCAGTGAATCTCAAAGCAGCAACAGTGGCCTTTGGGAATTCCAACAATCTGTTGTCATCAGTAACAGTACCAACAACAACGATAGTTTTTTGAGAAGCACCTTCGTTTTTCAAGGCACGTGAAATTCTTGAAACTGAAACTGGTGGTCTGTTGATCTTTGACAAGTACAATGATTTCAAGATAACCTTGTTGAATGGAGCATCAGTACGACCTGGGAAAACAGTTAGTATATTGGGGCAAAAAGGTTTCATACCTAGATCTGCTCAGAAGACGCACACAATTTTACCATTGCCAAAATGATGGTAATAAAGCACTCGCAGATTTTCAACTCAATCACATTCGGGGGAACAAATCCATCGAATGGAGAATTTAAAGAAAGCGGTTGCAAGGAGTATACCAATGTATTGTGTCATGTCAAGTGAAGAATTGTACCCTCTTGATAGCGTGTCGACTATCGGGCAAACCCTTTCACCCCAAAACACTGATTAGGAAACCCACAATGCAATCCGCTTGATGAACTCTGTGAATTCTGTAAAGTGTATGACCTTTTTTTGAAAAAATGATGATATTCATAAACGTCTTTCCGTAGCCTTGACCTAAGACTTCAATTTTTTTTACATACGTGCCAAGAAGGAGTACAATTTGACCAATAACTTCAAGTAGACATTGTCTGATTTTGGAGCGGTTCTGTGACCTGATCTGATGTGTTGTTTGGTAGTGTGATCTTTACCCATGGTTGATGTGTGTTTGTTGGTGGTGTAATGGAGGTGATGAGGTTGAAACTCCTTGAAAATTTTGTACTTTTTGAAATAAAGTGCGAGTGCACTAGAAAGCGAGACCAGTATCTTTGTGATACAATTAATAAAATAAAATAAGTTTGTATCACATGATCTGTTGTGACTGCTTCTTGTGGTGATGCTCTCTATGCGAAAACCAACACAGACTAAATAATGACAAAGTCTTATATTCGTAACGAAGAAGACCTGTTTTTTGAAGACATATTTGCGGGATGGGACTAGGCGTCACAGTGCTCCAAAATTTTACAATTTTTTGGGAATTGAGCTCAACTACAAAATTGTAAGCTGACCAAGCGGCACGTGGTACGGGTATTAACTCCCGAGTTAGCTTTTGTGTCGAACTGACGCATGTGGGAGTGTTGTACAACAACCTTTTAGAGTGAAACTATCTCCCCACTCCCAACACGTACAACGCAACCAACGCAACCAACACAACCAACGCAACCAACACAACCAACGCAACCAACGCAACCAACGCAACAGCAATGGCTCAGTTGACCCCCATACGTGGTTTCACAAATACCCCGGTTTCCAAATCAATATGTATATTGTCTACAATTTTGCCACTTGTGTTGTCAATCTTATCAATCAAGTATTATTTGAACTTGGTTATTGACCCTTACATTATTGAGTACTATCAGTTCTGGAGATTATTTACGTACCAGATATCTGTCGTGAATGAGTCTGATTATCTACTAGTCATCCTTTTATGGTTTCAATTCAAGATCCTAGAGAGATTCTATGGTTCTAGAAAGTATTTATCCGTTGTCACATCATTTGCCGTTGCCAATTCAATTGCATGCCTTTTAGTGATGAGCCTAGGCCAGCTTCTAGTGTACTATTTTATGTTTGCTGTGAAGGTGATCCTTCTTGGCCACAATGCGGACAGCGTGCAATATGAAACAACTATTCTAAACACGGTCATTCCTGGCCCTCTCGGAATCTTATCATCGTTATACGTCACTTACGGGGCCAATATTCCAGTGTCCTATTATTTTAAAATTTTGTTAAAGAAGCCAAGCGCCAGTCGGGATGATGCCAAATCATCGGGTGGTTTCTCACAACAATTAAATTTAACCAATAGATTTCCTGTGCATGTACTATATACCTTGCTTTTTTTCAACAACGGATTCAAATCCATAGTACCATGTCTGGTGGGTTTATTTATTGGAAAGTTGTACACTTGTGAACTCTTACCGATGGGCACGTCGTGGTTGTTGCCAAGGGGTTTATTCCAAACCTTTATCAATCCTCGCAAGAAGGCTGAGCACATATTGCAAAATCTACAGCGGAGGTTCACTCATAGTTATCATCCGGTATCCACTTCAACTACAGATGAAGAGTTCCATGATCGTAATGCAAGTGAGGAACCCGAGGATAACGATGAACTCTTGGATGAGGCTAGACAAGAAGAAAGTAGGATTCGAGCTGAGACCCCAGTCAGGCCGTTGGGTAGTCAATTTCTTGATACGTTCAGATCGTAACCTTATAGATTAAGAGTATACGTACCATATACACACCTACTTTTTTGCCTGTTCTTTCTTCCTTCTTTCCACATCCCAGTTATACAATCTGGCCGTGTTAACCTCCATGGTGGTGATGTTCTCTCTAAGAAATTCAAGATCTTCCTCCACGATTCGCTTTTGTTCTTGGTTCTTGCTTAGTCTTTCGTTCAAAAGCTGAACTGCCTCATCCAACGGATACTCAAGCATAACCTCTGCACCCAACCACAAGTAAACAGACTCCAATTCTTTGGCATCAACGGTGGCTTTATTGTACAATGTGTCATTAAGTTCGTAATTGAATGTCAATTCTTCCAGCTCATCTTCATTCGTGGTTGCTTTAGATGTTTTCATGTAATTTATGATTTCCAAATTTTTCTCAATATCGGGAATCTTTTGGTTTACATCGGCTAATTGTTGCTGTTTTGAAAGCTCCATGTATTTGTATTGTTGTAAACGTTGCTGAAACTGGGACATCACCGGTTGAAACTCATTATCAGGATCTTTGATAATGACATCTACCAGTTCGATGAAGGGTGCCTCGGGAATACCTCTTGGATTGGTATTCTTAGGTCTTGAATAAGCAGTTAGTACCTCCTGTTATTTGCGTAGTGGTATCCGGATACGTACTTTAGAATTTCCGCCATTGTGTATGCGTCGTTGTATGATGGTTGGTCTATTTTTGCTCACACTTTAGAGATCCAAAAGAAAGTTTGCACCAAATATCGCGCAAAATTTTGAGACCAAAGAGAAAATGAGAGAGAAAATACACAGCTTCACACGCACCCTGTGAAATCTCAAAAGTGCTTCATTCAGAGTTCATGCCCAATTCTATGGTGCTACAACATTCAGCTTTAAATCAAACAATAGATTTCGTAAAAGAGCTACACACTAAACAACACACCACCTAAGCTTTCAAACCGCCGTAGCAAGTTTCATTTTGCTTTTGTCTGACGTCAATAGCATTCAACACGGATTCAGCAGCTTTGACACCCAGAAGAGCCATGGCACCGAAAGTAGGTCCCATTCTGTTGGAGCCATCGACTTCGGCTAACTCCATACCTGCAATCACCAAACCTGGAACAATTTCTCTAGTTCCCTTGACAATGGCATCTTCCGCCTTGTTCATGTCAAGACCTCTCATGCCACCCAATTCGAAACCAGATGCAGAGTTGGTAGCTTGTGATGGCTGCTTTTCACTATTTGGTTTGAATCCAGCAGTAATATCTTTTGGTGCTTTTCCTAATTCCTCCAATCTCTTGGCGGAGAAGGCACCGAATGGACCATCGTGACCAGTTGTGGACAATACCACGTTACAGTTGATGGTGTTTGGATCCATACATGATTGAGTGTCATGGTTCAAAGCAACCAATGTCCAGTTGGTGACCACACCGGCAATTCTCAACTCACCATTGGACTCATCACGCCTGGTGATCAAATCCTCAACAGCGGTAGCGTTAAACAATTTGACATTTGGAAATTGCAAAACTTTTGAAAGCAAAGTTGACATGAACAAAGCAGCGTGCTTAACAACAACGAAATCACCTTCATCCTCGTAAGCGACACCCAAGTTGTCCAAAAATTGATCAGCCGGCTTTCTTAACACCATAGCAGAAAACAACTGACCGCCCAACCAACAGCCACCACCAGGTGAAACAGATGCCTCAATGATAGCAATCTTCAAATCTGGTCTGTTTTTGGCCAATACATATGCAGCAGACAAACCAGCAGAACCAGCACCAACAATCACAACGTCCGATTCAGTGTATTTGTCCAAGTCAGCAAAGTATCTCTTAGTCATCGCCCTAGAGACAGTCGATTCTCTAATAGGAGCAAACTGAAACTTCTCCCAATCGGCAAATTTGACTTCTCCATTTGCTGCATTGGATTTCAAATTAATTTGGTGTTTTGCAGTTGGTGCCAAATGGAGAGTTTCAGTAGGGGCAGTTTGTAACATAGTAGGTGGAGTCATGACTGAAGTATTTGTAATGAAGTTGAGCTCTTGGAGAAAAATTTTGCAGATATCAAGTGGAAAGGGCCCCCCTCTATTTATATGTCATTTTTGGCCCGGAGCTTGGTTGAAACACCGTAAGTGCATAACCCCCTATTTGGAGTTTTCATGGATGTTTGGTTGTTGTTGATTGTGTGGTGAGAATGGAATTTGTTAGCGCATATTCCTGGAATTGTTCTTTGTGTCTCAGATGAAAACTAATTCACAGTTAGAGCTTCTGAATACAAGAGGGCTACGTAAATGCATATTCTCTAACTAACTCAATTAAAAGTGGAAAACCTTCGCCCATGCTTCACCCGATTTATTCTCTATCGACTCCTTTCACTAAATCCTCTGAAATAACGTTCCCGGAAGTTTCTGATATTTAATTCTTTCAATCCATTCCGAGTCTCACCTGCATACAGTTCGTCCATTTTGACATAAACGAGGAGTCTTCGCGACCATTTGTGGAATTCTTGTTCGAGACTGTATTGTAAACTGAGACGTTCGTGTTGCGGTATAATTGTCTCTGAAAAATCATCATTGGCTGTGGGCATCCAGAATGCCAATCTTCCTCCTACGGGCAATCTCTCCCCCGCAAACAGCAAAAGATCGTTCAACATATCTGCAAGCTCGTAGGGCTTTTTTGGCGGTACAAAATCTCGCCTAAGATGGGCGACTTCACCATCAACGATGTTTTTCTCTCTGCCGGCTGCCTTCTCCTCATTTTTAGCACCGAGAACACGGAGTCCTTCTCTCACTCCATATGGCGGATCACATATTATTGTATCTATGCCAAAACCTTTTCTTAATGCGTTGTGAGTGAAGTCCATAGTCAAGACGTCAATAAAGTTAGTAGGGGTGCCGTAATCCTTGAAATTTGACTTAACGTTTTGTTCTGACCCATTACCTGAAAGCATTCGCACATCGATATCTGATCCAATGGCTAGTCCTCCAAAGTGTGCGGCAGTTACTAAAAATGAGCCGGTTCCGGCAAATGGATCATAAATTATGTGACCACTCTTTACATGGGCTAAGTTACAAGTAACCAACGAGAGTTCTGCATCAAACGACGTAGTCCCTATATATCCCCTCTTTTTCAAATCATAGGTTTCAACAACATTCTTTTCAGTCCTTTGGGACAAGGAAACAAGGCGTCCGAACCAGATGTATTTTGGCTTCAGTGCCTTTTCCATCCCGAACACTTCATACTCCTCAATTACTGTGAAACACTCCTTAGGACTTTTTAAATCGACAGCTCCTTGAAAACCTAAGTATTCGAATGATTCTATAATGGCTTTTTTGGCCTTTGAGTTTTGACGACCTTTGTAACCTTCAAAGTCAAACTTAAATGTGACATTTTTGTACACCTCAAATTTATTACTGCTGTTGCCTTTGACACTTTCATGGAGTTGCTCGTAGCTTTCACCTTCACCCCAAAGCTCGTATATAGCTTTTGACAAAACCGCTCTCAGTATAAGAGCTTGTGCATCGTTGTCATCCCTCAATTGGACCTTGAGGAAAGGTCTGGTGGGATCATGTTGGGACAAATCCACATCTATACCGTTCAATTTAGCTAGCGCATCAAGTTCTGCTAGTCTGAAATCTGGGTATACTTGAGCAAGTAGAATCAAATACTCTTTCATTGTATTCTGCTATATTTGCAACACTTTGGTAAAAGAATTTTTTCATGAAAAAAATTAAGTCTGTGTTTGAGATGGGCATCAAGTGGGAAATGTCCGACAACGTATTGAGACTTCAATCAACATAAATAGGTCAAACATTTTTAATTATTACTGGTATCCAAAACGATGATCCATCAGGTATTATTAAGTTCAATTGCTTCATGTAGAAGGTCATTGTGGTTGGTACCTGGATGCTTTCCTCAGTACGCTACCAAACTCTTGGAACTGGAGTATGTACATTATTTTTTTTTTTTTTTTGCTCTTTCGGTTCTCTTCGTGATAGAATTTTCCATTGAACACACAACTTTCCTTGTGCCATTAAATAATTCACCACCAACAATACATCAGTATATTATTGTGCAATTGGACTATCTGAGTATTTTCAAGTGAAACACATTAAGAGCCATTGTTTAATCAACTTATTTAGAGGTCGGATTGAACATATACAAAAGTCTATATTGTATAACAAATACATAGTGTGTTTATGCCTCAATAAATTAGCATATTCATAGCTCAAATTGATACATACATATATCCTCCATTTCCAAATATATTGTGCATTGCATTGACTTGTAACTGAGTTCCATCTTGCACCCATAGCTTCGCTACTCAACACTGAAAAATGTCAAACTTAGATGATGATGAAGCCCTTTTTGAGGACTTGTACGATGACGATAACACCAGTACCAAAAAGGATACTCATGACGAAGTTATACCTCAGGAGAAAGCTGGTGAGAAACAGGGCACTGATACAGGACCTGATGCTGCTTCCGGGGACATGAAATCTTCAGAAACACAACCCCTGACAACAGAGACTGAAAACAAGACTGAAGATCATACTCAATCAAATGCGACGACGCAATCAACAGAAGCAATAGCACCACCACCGCCACCACCATCGTCTATTCCTTCAACTCTAAATGAAGCAGAACAAATTGCAGCAAACACTCAGCCTGGTGAACAAAATCAACAAGCGCAACAAGCGGAACAGGGACAGCCAGCCATACCAGCATTTCCATTCGATCCTGCTCAATTTGCTCAATTTGCTAACATGGCACAAATGCAGGGCCAGATGCCTGGCCAAATGCCTGGTCAAGTGCCTGGTCAAGTACCTGGTCAAATGCCTTCAGGAGTACCACCTCCTCCTAATTCAGGAGCCGCCCCTCTTCCTAGACCTACCGAAATTGGAAAAGAGAGTGGTAAGATGTTCATTGGTGGACTCAACTGGGATACTACAGAGGAAGGGTTGGTGAACTATTTTTCAAAGTTTGGAGAGATTACCGATTACACTATTATGAAAGATAATGCTACTGGAAGATCAAGAGGGTTTGGATTTTTGACATTTAAGGACCCAAGTGCCGTCGATGTAGTGATTAAGCAGGATCATATTCTTGATGGTAAATTGATAGACCCCAAACGTGCCATTTCAAGGGAAGATCAGGATAGAGTCGGAAAGATTTTTATTGGTGGTATCGACCCAATGGTCTCGGAGGGCGAATTCAACGAGTTTTTTTCAAAATTTGGCACCATTATTGATTGTCAGTTGATGATTGACAAAGACACTGGAAGATCAAGAGGATTCGGTTTTATCACATTTGATTCACCAGATGCCGTTGACAGAGTATGTGTCAATAAATACTTGACTTTGAAGGGGAAAGCAATGGAAGTGAAACGTGCTGCACCCAGAGGTCAACACAATCAGCAAGTAATGATGCAACAACAGCAGCAGGCTCAACAACAAGCTCAACAACAAGGTCAATTTTACAATCCATATGGACAGGGTCAATACGGGCAGATGTATCCGCAAATGAATCCCGCCATGAATCCAGCTATGAACCAGTGGTATCAGTGGTACATGTTCCAGCAAGCTCAAGCGCAACAACAACAACAACAGGGTGGCTCTTCAGATTCTCAACCTGCTCAACCTCTCAATCCACAACAACAGGCGGATGACCCTGACGGAGAAGAGTCGGGTGCTGGTGCTGGTAATAATTCCGCTTCAGGTTCTCCACCACTTGGAGATGATGGTGTAAATGCAGGCAGGCCAAATATTCCTCGTGGTCCAAAGAGACCCAATGGTCCATCCAATTTCAGAGGTAGAGGTGGATACAGAAGAGGTAGGGGTGGGTTCCACCCATACCAGCGAGGAGGAAGAAGATATTAAATAATTGGATGTGTAGGGACATATTAACTGCTAATCTTTTATTCATTCTACTTTCTTCTACCAGGACGAGCATTTTTTGCTCTTCTCTGTTCTTTCAACGCTCTAGCTTTTCTGATTTGCTCCGTTGACTTCAACTCTTGTTGCTGTCCTGGTTTGTTATATCCTTTTACTCTCATTCCAGACTCAAGCGCCTTCTCAACCTTTTTCTTTTGCTTGTGATAATCATCTCTGAATTTATCTGGTAATTTGGGTGTGCTCTGCTTTTTGTGCTTGTATCTGTGGCTGTTTTCTTCCACCTTATCAACCGATGTGGTGTGTTTGAGGTTTCGTTGTTTCTTCCAATCGTCAAATTTACCCGATCTAAAAGAAGCAGGGATCCTTGTTCCATTTTCACTGATTATATACTTTTTGTCAGTCGACTGTGAGTTGGTATACTTTCCTTTCTTCTTGTCCCATTTCATCACTTGCTTATTGACTTGAAGTTTATCATCATTGCCCAAATCAAATGCAGCAGCTTGAGCATCGTTGGCAAATGAAGACGCAATGGAAAGCTGCTGATCTTGTATAATTGATGCCGGAGCGTAATGGCTGATGAAATGTTGAGGGTCACGAGACGATTTCTTTTTCGACAACTGTTCACCATCTTCAAACGTATTTTGTAATTCCTCATCACCCACTTCTTGAACATACCCACTATTCTCGTCTTCTGTTTTGAGAAGCTCTTCCTCAATACCATGTCTTAAACCAGCTAGTCTCTCCTTTTGCAACAACTCACGACGTTCTTGAGCTTTGCGTTGAATAGGAGCAATTTGTCGTCTTCTTTTGTGCATAAACTCAGCAAGACTGTCATTTTCTTTTACTCCCTTTTTTTTGATCTCAAAGACTGTTTCTTTGACATTTCTATTTTGCAACTTTGCCAAAAAGTCCTCCTTTTTTTTCTCTAAATTTTCACCAAAAAGTAAGTGCTGGTCATCCCACGAATTTGTCTCCAAAATCTCTTTGCTTCTTTTCAATGACTCCTGCGATGCTGCTTGTCTAGTTCTATGGTACAACTTTTCACCTTTGGTTGCCACATCCTTTAAAACTTTTATTTCGTAATTGTTTTTGAGCAAGTTCTCATACAATTCTTGGAATGTTTCCAAATCAACTCGTGGTATTGATCCAACAACAAGTCTTTCCGTATAGTTAACACGTGGTGGAATATAAGAGTCGCCTTGTGTTTTTTGCAACATTTCACACTTCGCCTCGTGCATCGATGTTAATAATACCTTTTTTCCCAAAAAAAGTTCCAAGTCTAATAAATAAGGCAACTCCTTCTCGTTAACAATCGAATAAGCCCAACCCTTGTTTCCTGCTCTTGCTGTTCTACCCACTCTATGAATGAAGATCTTTGATGAACCAGGTAATGTAAAGTTGACAACATTTGCCAAAACAGGAATATCAATACCTCTCGCAGCCACATCGGTAACCACTAGAATCTTTGTGAGACCAATTTTGAACTGGTATAATTGATTTTTTCTTGCATGTTGATCTAAAGTACCGTAGATGTATGATACCAAATATCCAGCATCTCTCAAAAGCTTGGTAATATATTCGACGTGATGCTTCGTTGGTACGAACACAATGGTAGACTTTTCAGAAGGTAGTTGGTTTGCTGAAGGCATTCTTTCCTTTTTAAATTTATATTTCTTCTTCTTTCCAGCATCAACATCAGCATCGTCATCGTCATCATTATACTCTGCCTCGCGTTTGTCCATTGCTACAAGCTTTTTGATCTCCTCTGGTGCCCCCAATGGCATCTTTATCACCTCTTGTAAAATGTACAAAAGGTTTGCCTCTCTTTCATTTATTTTAGTGGTAAAATAAGCCATCTGTAAATTCTCTGAAATCTTTGATTCCGCATCCAAACGAACCAAGACCGGATTGGTTAAGCCAGCTTTTGCAAAATCCACCAACGTTCTGGGTAACGTGGCGGAGAAAAGCAATGATTGCCTATTGGAGGGTAACGCTAACAAGAGCTCGTTCAATTGCTCCGCAAAACCCATCTCAAATAATCTGTCCGCTTCGTCGAATACTATGTATTCAACAGTCGACAAGTCGTATTGCATCTCAACCTTCAAGTGCAAAAACCTACCAGGAGTACAAACTATGATGTCTGGTTTTGTAACCATTTTACCAAAATCTTCCTCCAATGAATCCCCACCTATCAAAACTATCGATTGCAAGTCAGTTCCGCGACTAAACTCCTTCACCTGTTTATACGTTTGCAATGCCAATTCTCTCGAAGGTGACAAAATGACAGCTCTCACACCCGTCGGTCTCCTCAGTTTCAATTTTTCGATAAGAGGCAAAACAAATGCGGCTGTTTTCCCCGATCCTGTTCTTGCCATTCCAACAACGTCTCTGTTATCTATAATTAAAGGGATGGATTTTCGTTGAATGGGTGTTGGTTGCTTATAACCCTTTTTTGAAATATTGGAAAGTAAAAATTTTGAAAATCCAAACGATGCAAATGAGCCAGCTTTTGCTTTCTTTGCCGTGGGGTTATTGGAAGTGAAAAAAGACGCCAAGATTTTGTCATCCTCCTCCACTGAATTCTCATCATCAGATCCCTTAGATACAGCTCCTGCCTTTTGGTTATTCTTTTTAACCTTTTTCTTTGGTGGAGATTCCTCATCCAGCGAGAGAATCTCATCCTGATACCCTCCAGTTTCTGAGTCGTCGCTACTCAATTCTTCATCCGATAATGCTGCAAGTGAACTCGCAATGTTAATATCTTCTTCGTCCGACATCGTAGGTGGTCTTAAAAGAGGTATAATTTTAGTTGTATCTCATCTCCATCGCATAAATGCAAAAAGAAAAAAAAAGGTTGATATCAATGCCCGTTTTTTTATGACAGTGTCGCAAATAGTGCGACACTAAAAGCGTACAAGAGTAGCTTACATTTCTGAGAGAAGCATAAAAACTAGATAAGATTTGATGTTCGTTCTCGATTCAAAAGTTGCTTTTGATGAGCAGGTTGGGAAGCCGATAAATGAAGCGGTTTGCATCCGCAATGGAAAAAAGTTCATGCTTTACGGGATTAAGCTCTTTACTTGTTATGAGTGTTTGCGAAGGTCGTACCCTTTGCCTGTCTGACGGGATCCGAGAGTGAGTGTCTACGCATAGCCTCTTTGTACACTAGAAAATGGCAAGCCTTTCAAGGATTATACTATGCATTTTCTCGAGTAGTAGTTTGATGGGTCTTAGATTGGTATAAAGAAACCCGGCATTCTATCTAGGATATTTTCACTCTTTGAGAATTTTATAGCGCTTAGTTGTGGTGTTGGCTGGCCACAAATGCCATAAGCGTGTTGGAAATATTAGAGGCAAAGAGTCGAATTTGAAACTTTTTCGAGTGTATTCATTTGTATCATGAAAGGGGCTCTCTCAGGGCCTCACATGAGCTTTTCATTGAATTTCATTATCGGAATCGGGAACTTCCTTCAAGCCGTTGTTTTCAGCGTTATCAGTTTGAGTAAAGTAGGTGTAACTTTGATGAACAGCAGTGGAGGACGCTAATGGTTGGTGCTGGTAGCTTTCGAAAAGCCTCCAGGGGAAGTAATTTGAAACCTCAAAATACTCGATGCTTCTGACTGACGCTCATATTATGTAAACATTCGGAGATACCCGTCTTGACTACAACATTTCTCGAAGTAAATGAGAGCTGGATTCAAACACTCGTGACTCCAATCGTTTCTTGGCGACGATGCAGGACGCATTTCCAAATCAAACTGAAATATTCTACAAGAGGGTACCCACTTACTTTGCGTATTGCTGCACATTCTCCCTCGCGGAAAAAGCAGTACCGAATTGAATTGTGCGCTACGGAGTGTGTTGCTCCATAATGACTGGATTTGTGCAATGTCCTAACCTCGTAATGGACTTTTTCGGGAACAGACGCTTTGTTTCTTCTTGGAATTTACATTCTCCCCGAAAAAATGCTAAATAACACAAAAGGTGAGGTCTTTGAGGCAATGTGTTTTGCTCATTTTCGTACTTCACTCAAAAATTATGGTTTTACTTGATATATTTTGGGGAGGGGCACCGCTAGTGGAGATCGATTCACTCCTTGCCAAGTATTTGCATTGCTAGCATTTCACTATTGTTTATATTATTCACAGGAACTCTGGTTCAGAAATAAATAGTGAATAGTTTCAGCGTCCAAACCTTTTTTTGGTATTGTTACACCATCTATATGCAAGATCCCGCCATCTCTTCACCGTAACTGCAAGATCGTTCCTGTGCCGTTTTCCTTTTTTGACTTTCTTTTTTTTCTTTTTTTTTATTATCTTTTCCTCACCACAAACAATAAAGAATTTCACTTCGTATTTGTACTTTGTGTCTTCGTTTTGTAATTTTTTTTTAGAAACTTCAAAATGTCGTCGTCACACAACAAAGCTATTGCAAACGACTTCATTGTGAGCATACATCTGATAGTTCAGTTTCTTTAGTCGAGCCGTCTCTCCTCGCCTCATAAAAGACTAAAGCTACCTAAGCGAAGTATGATTCGCTTTTCATTGATATTTGGCTTTTGACAACTGTCATTAACCTTTTCGTGTGGTGACACAAGATGACGTGTGGAGAGATTTTTTTTTTTTATTTTTACACACACTGCGTTGCAATATCAAAATCTGACTAGTTTTGAAAAAGAGCAGTGAAATCTGATGCAAACTCGTTACGAGAGGAGTCGAGCATAAAATAAGGCACAGTTTTCAACATTTTACTTATTGCAGAGGAAGCACAGCAGGTAATATGCAGACATATATTACACTGGTCCAAAGTCATGTCGCATCAAAGTGTGCAAAAAGAAACATGATTTCATTCTCTCGAAGCTTCTACGACGTCTGCTTCTGGTGTAAAAAGAGTAAAAGAGGTCAAGATTGTGACATTCTGTCGTACTTCGTATATGCATCAGCGACTACCTTGGAAAGGCTAAATGTCGTCAACTCAGCCAGTGAGAATTCCGATCTTAGTTGAAAATGCTTCCGTGGAGGAGCCGAACAAGATCCCTATCGAGAGACTTAGCAAAGCCACAAAGTTGGGCCCACCCAATAACAATAATTGTGTCCAAAGTCGTGGTTGGAAAACAAAAGTTTCGACAGACGATGTGGATTTTGTGAATTCTCACATGGAAGTGACTCTCAAAGCACCATCAAGTACGTCAACAAATAAAATACCATGACAAATGCTGGAGCGAATGGGTATTAGGGAGCTTTGCGAGATTACTCTATCAAACCCTTTTCTATTGGAAATTCTTAACCGCTTGTGTTACTACACCGTTCCTGGAAGCAGCTGTTGCTTTACCAATATACAATAAAAACAAGGATCTTAGATTTCTCGAAAAGGATTACGCATTTTTTGTGGAGTCCTTGGCCCCAAAGAAAATTCCCTGTATGCAAAAGAAGTGATGTAACAAATTTTCAATTTGTGTAATCCAAATCCCATACTGTAATTGTTCGAACTACAACCCACATTCAGGAACAGAAGAGAGATTGTGTGATCGTTTCAATTGGCGCTCTTTTTTTTTTTTCTTTGATTTACGATGAGGAATTCCAAAAGTATTCATGTAACAGGAGTAATCTTTGTTTTTACTACTTTTGGAATTATAAACTTCAAAAACCTGCCGCGAAAGGAATGCATAAAATTCATGACTTTTGCTGACAGTAAACAAGGCTTAAAAGGGGGGTGGCTTGATTAGGCTTGATTGGGTCAGAGATTTAAAAATAGCATTGAGGACTAAGATCCTCCACTCTGTACTTTAGACAAATACCTTGATGCTGCAATGATCAACATTCCAAGAAGGTTAAGCCCCGCATTGCTTTCTTCTGTTGTTACCTTTTTTGTACGCTTTTTGCTTTTGGGTTACAACGACACTTTTTGAGGTTGCATTACCGCATTAGCGTCAACGTCATCGCTACATCCATTCTATATTGCATAGCAATCATTATCTTCTATTCAAAGAGAGTTACAAAGCTTTCTTGTCTTTTACATTTCTTTTTCATTTGTCGAAAAACTATATAGTTAATCTTTTGTTGGTTTTTCGCCTTTGAGGTAGTACAATGGCTACGGACTTTAGCGGACTTAACTACTTTAATTCTCAGTCTATCTAAGTTCGATTGTAGATGCACAATGGATTATCGCATTAATTCGGTTAAACTTGTTAGTGTGACATACACTGAGAGCAAAAAATAAAAGGAACAATGATGGTTAATTTAGTTGGAAATGTTTTGGTAACACTTACGATACCGCCACTTTTCCATCCGTATACAGAGGCTTGCGCTTGATTGTTGTGAGGGACTCATCTCCCACTTGGTGAAACACTGCATTTTCTTCGGTTAAATTGTTATACATGGTTGTTTCATGTTTTTGTGTTCTGGAGCCGACACTCCAAATAAGCATCGCCTCCCCCACTTGCTTTTTACTTTGTTGTTGATTGTAATAACGTGAATGTATTGCTGCCGAGAAACGATGGCGAACTCAACATGGATGGCCTCAGGGGACAAGCCTATCCACTTGTTGTCTTATTGTCATTATAAATTACACGAAGTCAGATTTTTTTTTTGACTCCTTTGTTCCTTTTTGGTCCTTTTTTGCAGAGGATTAGAGGAGTCATATTTGCCACTTAAATCCTCACCCCTCTTGTAAAAGATGCCGTATATGCAACAGCAACAAAGTGAAGATGAGTGTGTGAGAGTGTGCCTGTTTCGCGGGAGGCTTGGGTTTTAATCGTAATAAACTCAAAGAAAATAAAATGGCTCGGTAAAACTCTTTTTTTTTTTGTTTCGGCAAAATAGCAGCCTAATGAAGCCAAGTATAAGCGAAGTTGCATATGCATTAAGTTAGATTTAGAGTTTTCTCTTTAAATTGTGACAAAGCGCCTCACCTTGCATGGATATTGCATTTTTAATCTTCTGCGATGGCTAGAATTCTTGGTACGGGAAGTATATTACAAAATTTATATGTGCCGCAAAGAAACGACAGTGAAACTTTTACTGTTGCTCTGCCTTTGAAGTTATCACCACAGATTCAAGTAACGTTTTCTCTCACTTGGTGTTGTTCAAAACTAACGCAAAAAAGGAAATAGTGGATCGAAAACTTGCTCATTTGTTTGGTTATATCTTTCTTCCTCGATATCTTTGTGAATAGTCCTGCAAACTATATGCAGGTGTGGTTAAGAGATTTTCTTTTTCTTCTTCCAATAATCTCTCTTATTTTCTTTTCCTCATGTTTGTACCTTATGCATAGTGTGTTAATACGTTTCAGAATTAGTTCGCAATGGTTTTCTCGCTCATCCTTTTGCAAAAGAAGGTTTTGGATTGCGGTAATGGGATAACATAAGAAGTATAAACCGTTAAAGTTGACTAGAAAATACATCAATGATAACAAGAAAGCTTGTTTTGAAAGCTTGGCGAAACGTAAGGGTCGATATTTGGTTCTAAGATTATACTTACTGAGATTTTGCACTCGACACGTCCTATTCATACAAAAACAAACTTTACACGTTTTGATTCAACTCAAGAATCGAGTAGGAGATGTTGCATGCATGTCTAGATGTGTGATTACAAAAGGTGCACAAAATCGATAGAGTTATATAAGCTTCATTTTACCCTGTAACAAACCAAGATATGGCAATGTGAATGCAAGGTTGAAAACAACGCAAGCAAAGAAGAGAGAGGTTTCCATGTCAAAAACCAATTGGACGGAAGTCTTTTCTTCTAGAATATCTATCTGGTTAGCGTTGGAAAATGAGACAACGTTTTTGAAATACCCGATCCGAAGCTTTATTCATTCATTCTTCCATCCATTTTCCATCCATTGTACTCGTCTTCATTTTTGTGCGTGTGTGTTGTATACATAAAACAAACTATTGTTAGTAACTCTCTGTGGCATATGAAACAACAGCGTTTTTTACGTTGACAACTTACCGAGAGTGAACCTTTTTTCATGGTTATGAGAAGCGGTGTGGATCGAAAGCGTCATCAGGTTCTATCGCTTAAATGTTAACGAAGCGAGAAGGACTACTTAGCTACTGAATAATGGGTTAAAAGAAAAAGAGCTCATACTAGGAAAGACGAATGGGTGGAAAATAGCTTTTCCACTCTCTCCACAGATATGGCGCATGTGAAATGTGCTTGATGCTAACACTTCACATTGTTGCTGAATTGGGGCGTTTGCTGTTGGCCTTCAAAGTACATCATAGCCACGTAGGCAATTTAAACCGAGACACCTGCGGATGTATGTATCATGTACATGTTCAAACGTTTTACCTTTTGCATATAGTTTTATTCTCTTTGGATTTCGTTTTCTTTTGCTTGTCAGTACAAGTTGATTTTCAGGGAAAGAATGACATGTGTAGCCACGGTCTATGTAAATTGGGTCGGCATTAAGGTTGCTTAAGTCTCCATCCCCCCCTTCTTTCCCCGCTCCCCACTGTTCAATGCTTAATGCTATAGTGGCCACAAATATCTCTCGGATCAAGAGAAAAAAAAAACGCTTGCTCGTAATGTTCTGGCCCTTAGGATCAATTTGTCACCATAAAAAGAGGGATATTAATAGAAACAATGAAACAACACCGATATGATTCACTTGTGAAAGAAAGCCACAAGAGCATTAATTACATCTTAGTTTTGATCGACCGTTGGGTCAGATGTTTTTGGCTGTTGCTGCCCATCGCGCTCGTTGTTTACTAATCTCGTATCGATCGCAAGTCCCACAAATTCTTTCTTTTTTTCTTTTACACTAATTTGCAATCCATGACGCTATGGAAATAAAAAAAAAAAAAACAAAAAGTAGGGAAGTTTGGTTTGTATTACATTCTAACTTGTTTCTATAGATTGCTATTCTCTTCTGAAACCAAACAATAATGCAGTAATTGCATTTGCGTTGCATTTGTTTAGTGAGTGAAAAAGCAAGAAACACCGAAGCGACAAACTTTTTAGTTCAAGCGCTAAAAAAAGAATTAAAAACACCTAAAATTAAAATTTAAAGAATAGCAAAAGCTTTAAATTTGTGACCAAAGTTCTAAATTACAGGAAAGAAAAGAAATCAATTGAGCTTTGCTTTTGTGTTGGTTGATAAGTGATGAGAGGTTAAGACGTTTGTAACAATGCAAAAATTATGCAGTTTTGATTTGTGTAATTTGTGTATTTATACTTTTTATGTTGATTACGTGGTGTAAAGGGAGTGTGTGTGTGTGTGTCCTTCGGCAAAAAAAAAAAAAAAATAATAAATAAACAAAAAAAAGTCTAAAAAGTTTAAGGTTTTAAATTTTTCTCTTTTCTGTAATTTTATTTTTCTTTGTGATACAAAAACTGGCCCAAAAAGAAAACAATATGCAAATCCGGTGACTTTATTTTCATCATGCCAATTCGTACAATCCGTAATTGTGATACAAAGCATCTTTAGCTTTATAGTTGTTGTAGTGGCTTCGTTGTTCACTTAGTTTTTTTTTTTCGTGATGTATTGCATTATATGCTGTATATGCATTCTGTGTAAAAATAATGTAAATTAGAGAATACCTTTTTCTTCAAAACTTATTCTAGTACAATAAAACACTATTATAGTTTTAGCGTTCGGTTTGTTCCTGTGCAACTTGTTAAAAAATATTAAAATTTTTAAAAAAAAAACAGGTACACTTTTATTTTAAATGTATATATATATTTCAATCTAATCCTTCCCCCAATTTGTAGATTGCTGGCACTCAGTATTAGAAAAGACAGAAACAACAAAGCAAACGGCCGTCACCTTATTTAGCTTTTTGAGAAGTTACATTCATTGTTATAGCATTGAAAACTGAAAGTACGCGTGCACTCATACCCTCCTCCACATTGAGTATTTACTACTATTTGGCGCTTAGTTTTTTTGTCTGTCTATTTTTTTAAGAAGTTGGAACGAAAAATCCAGGTCCCACATTTTCATTTGATAGTTTGTGACAAAGATCTTCAAATCTTCCCAGATCTCGAATACAACCCATATCTTACTACCGTGTGTTTCTACGATATAGACGAAAACGTGACACGCGGTCTAGACCTATTTTTGTCATTTCGAGTTATATAATCACATAAAACTCCCGTCTTTAATAGCACGCGGTTTACCTACCAAGGAGAAAAGTCAGTTCAGTTCCAACGTTTGCATAGTGACAATCTAGCCGCCAAATTGTTTACTTTATTTATAGACCAAGTCGAACATTCATATTTTTTAATTATCGGTCCGAGAGGTGTACTTCTACCACTTAACTCCATATTATCGCTAATTGCAAAATGCCACAACTACCTTCGGTTTCCGAACTAATAGGCTCAGCTAGAGTCGATTCTGCAGCTGGTACCACAGTACAAACATATTCAAATACAACTTCTTACACTGATTTTAATGACAGAAAGAACTCAACCACATCAGTTTCTTCAACTACAAACGAGGGATCGAGGAGATTATCTACTGATCAATCAAGGCATCATAGACTACCGTCAATATCAGATACTATACTAAACACTTCCAGCAAGAGAAATTCTATTGATACATCACCACGTTCCTCGGCTCATCTACCGAGTCTACCATATTCATTGTCTGCACGCGACCAAAACATCAACAATAGCAACACTAGTCTAGGTTCGTCCCCTCCCAGATCACGGAGGCTGACTGAGACTGCTTTTAATTCGGCAACTGAGAATACGCCTATTCCACTTACACTTCCAAGGACAAGTTCAGGGAACTACTTGCCTAATCACGCTTTCAAATTTCAACTGCAGCAACCAGATGGGGCTATAAGGTCAAGTAATGTGCGTCCACAAGTTGGCTCGCCTATAGGAAGCGCAGATAAACTTCACCCATCGCACATGTATGTTAGTTCGCCAATAACTCTACACAAGCAGCCACCACATTCATTACCACCATTACTGCACCAATTACCATCCCATACCCAATCAATTTCCAACACAGTGTCTCCTACACATAACCCACCAACCCTGGAAATTGCTGCTGATTCCATCAATGCAACTACCGTTCCTCAGCATATAAATGTGCAACCTACAGGACCCCCAACACACGTGAATCACGGGTTTCAAATATCAAAAAGCGCACCAACAACTACAACAAATACAACTTCATCCTATCCACGATATCATTATCAGACTGCGCCTCGCAGTGGCAGCACGTCAAGTCAAGCTGGACCACCTCCTCCAGAACATTATTTCGTTGCTTATCCACAACAACAACTGCAACAACAACAACTGCAACAGCAACAACAGCAACAGCAACAACTGCAACAACTGCAACAGCAAGCTTCAATGCCTATTCAAACATCTCCTCCACCTCCGCCATCAGCCTCTATACAAAATCACAACCAAGTTGTGGCTGGTCCCGGATATTATATCGTTCAACACCCTCAACTGATTCCTCTTCCACCAACGGCACCACACCTACAAGGACAGACATACCATTCTCTACCTGCGCATCCATTACACAATCAGGCTCCTCTTTTCCAACCACAACAAGGGTTCCATGAACAAATGCATTACGATCCGCATCGAGTACCTCACGCTCCGAGTATTGTGGTTGGTCCTCCACCGCCACCTACAATGTATGCGTACAACATGCCTTATAGTGACGAAAACAATGCCCTTGTTAACAAACGTAAAATTATAAAGAGAAGAACTAGAACAGGGTGTCTAACTTGCAGAAAAAGAAGAATCAAATGCGACGAGAGGAAACCATCGTGTTTCAATTGTGAACGTCTGAAAAAGGTGTGTTTGGGATACGAAAATTTGTCAAATTTGCAACCACGGAAAAGAGTGAGAGATACAAGTTTAGATTTGCCAAGCGCAGACGGAGGTGTAGGCATTGCTTCAAATCAGCTACTGCAGAATCTACAACAACAAGTGTATGAAGAAAGGGGAAGAAATGGTTTATGACATTCAAGAGGTGTGCTAGGTTCAAACATTGACAAAGTCACTGAAGCTGGCGCTATAGAAGTACCTTTTTACAACGCTGGCGTTTACAGAAACATCCAATTTATTCACTTCAGGCTCATGTAGTTACACCTACGCTTCCGCTTTGTTAGCAAATATAAAAACAATTCTCGGCTTTTTTCTATACTTTATTGTACATTTCACGGAGACTCGAAAAGTTTTGACAGTTTTCTTAATGCGTAAGTTTTTCTTTTAACCTGCAAAGACCAAATAATAATATGTTTCACAAGAAAATTATACACCTCAAAACCCTAAACAAATTACTTTTCATCCCCTTGATAATAATTTTTTGACGTAATTGCTATTATAAACCAAAAAAAAAAAAAAAAGCATTTTATACTTGCTGGAGATGCTCGGAGCAAAGTGTACCTTGTAGGTCTCGCCTGTCTACGAAAAAGGAAAAGTAAAAAGAATGTGTTGCAAGGTATAGCCAAACGCACACAATATTCACTTTATGAAAGACAATTGAGTCAATAGGCAAACAATAGCAACAAAGCAACACAAGGTTGCATATAATCGTGATGCATTTTTTTTTTCTTTTAGGCTGATCAATTTTTGAAAATCTGTACATCTCCATATCAAGTAATAATTTTAATCTTTTGTTTATAATTCAAAAATTAACGAATTACAAAATGATGAGAGACTCAATTCAATTTTGTTTACAAAAAAAGGGAGGAATTGCATACATCTTTGTGTAACTATGTGAATTGCGGGCGTGTACCGACTGTCAACTCTTAACAATAGAGGAGTGCTAATCATCAATTACCGCTAAAACTCACCAGAATTGAATTGGATAGTTGACAACTGCAACAACGTTTTTAAGGTAGGGAAAGCAGGCAGGTCACGCCTCGGTGTGAGCCACAACTAACAAATTGTCCATCCAAGCAATTACAAATTTTCTTATTGTCTTCAAATTTCACGTCAATAACAGGACGCTACAATGATACGAACCTAATCAAAGCCATGTTTTTTCAACAATAAGCCTAAGCACGATGGCTATTAATGGAAGAAGAGGTGATGATGACGCTTGATTGTATGAAAAAGGTAATAAGCGCTTAAAAACAAAAACTTGTTGCCCTTCTTGTTTCGTTTTTGTGTAGTTACTTCAACTTTGTGCACTTCAACATAAAGACCACTCAGTGAGCAAAATTAAGCAAAAGATGACTTCTAGTTTCCACGGATATTCATCAACAAACGTTTGAAATTACCAAAAAGCTATATTTCCAATTGATGTAATTGAACAGAGAAACGCATAGGCGAATTTACGTTGAGAATGACTTTATAAACTTAAGTTTTTGTTAGAGCGCATATTCTTTTGTGTGTGTGTGTGCGTGTGTGTGTTTGTGTGTTTGTTTATCTTTTTTCTCTCTCCCATCAGGTTTGGGGGACACATTGTATTCAAAACAATGCTTTATCATTCTCATAACCAAAACTCGGCAAACCAGAAAAGAAATTGTAGACTTGCTTGTCCCTAACTTTCCAAGACTTGTTCACCAAGGGGGGAGGAGACGGTTAAGTACTGTGGCAACTGTGATTGCACCTGTTTTGTGGCTCCCCCAGTAGAGTAACAAATTGTGGTTCCTTCCTTACATTTCTAGGTCTAGACCGCAAACTCTATTAATCTTTTAGATTCTTATTGTGTCTTCCCGCTATTGGAATTTAGTGGAGGCGCACTTATACCATTGCTAAGGACTGCTCCACAGTACTATGCGCAAACGGTAAAGCTAAATAATATGCCTCCTTACTCATAGGCATCCTTGACACAAATCTTTCTTTGTATCTACGTGACGTGGCGGGCCGTCTGAGATTCTAAAGATGAGGGAAGTAGACACATGGGAGAGAAGAGTGAAAATACAGGGAATGAAATTCGGGATGCCACGTTTAGTTAATGGTTTATTGTGTAATAGCTTTGAACTTTGAAAAGACTCGCTAGGCTCAGGTTTTGATTGTTTACGAGTTTCAAATGCAATTGTGACGTAGACCATTTCATTTCTGCTTTTGTGTTCTTGTTATTTGAGAGATGGCAAGTGTACCCGAATTATACAACAATTAACTACAACATTTCATTTGCTACATACACACACACAAGTAAGCGACAGAACATGAAGTTTATTGTTGTTTTATTTTTTTCTTTCTGCAACTCACGCATCATTGCGAATTGGGGGATGGACACAGCAGTACCACCAATTCATATAATTCACCGTACATTTCCGACTTTCGGTTAGGTTGTCATTAATTGTGAACCCCACATCCTTTTTCAAATGAACACCTTTTTGAAATTTATGTGATTATATGTCCCCTGGGTAAATTTCCTCACATATTCTAATTTGTGGTGGTGGCGAATTCTTTTTTTTTTGTTGGGTACCCCATGATAATCATCTTGAGAAAGCTCAACGGAATTGTTTAAACATCAAACGTTTTCCGGGTTTATATATGTACTGCATGAAGCTAGTGAAAGGGAGAGTGGGGCGGAGGTGTCTTAGATTCGTTACCGTAGGTGTAGTTACTAGCAAGTTGTACCTCCTACACTTACACTGAATTTCGGAGATAATTGAGTGGGGTTTGTCTTCTATCTCCATATGTTTGAAACTCTGTGAGATTTATGCACAGGGCTAATAGAAGATATCGAGTGTAAGGCCTTGTAGTGAGAAGGCGAAAGGAGAAGAGTTGTGAAGGGAAAGCTACTGTGACTCCCCCTAATACTGAGTCATTTTGACTTCACTCTTCCACAAGCAAGTCAGCGTGAAGCTTTTTTGAACTATCTTAAGGATATTGGACGAAAAGATATGTGAGCCATTTTGCTGCAAAGTTTTACACCCCACCCAAAAACCTTCATTTGTTATTAAGCGCAATGCAGGGACATTCGCGCTAAATTTAGCCACTAGTGCCTTTTCTAAACACTCATTTGAAACTTGATGACCACATATGAAAAGCTTATGGCGACACCAATTTGCCTTCTACTCTGCTAGATGATACTGAATAAATAAAAGCAAAATCGGAAAACTGCGCCACATTTTTTTGAGGAGGGAATGTTAGGTCGTAGGTTGAAACTCGATTGAAATTGTTCATGGTATCATAGTTACGTCACTGACGGCGTTCTGACCGCATTATATATCAGGCGATGTTAAGTAAGTAATCCTGTTTTATTTATTATTATTTTTTTTAAACAGAAGGCGTTCATGTACAGCCTAATTTTCAATGTCGCTTAAATGATTCGGGTAAATTTCTTACAATCAAACCAAGATCCTCTGATCTACCACAATTGTCACTCAAAAGGAAATACTTGAGAGAATGATCTTTTTTGAGTACAAGTTTGACGTTACGAATATACAGATTGACTTTATAGATGTAAAGGGATCATTTACTAACAACAATTTTGGTTTGGGTTTTTATTTGCGTTTAAGTACACACTAAAAAAAAAAAAAGAAAGGAGCTTACTTGCGTATGGAATGTCAAGTTAGTGTAACTGATAAGTTGTCAAGCGCTGATTGTTAAGATGGCCCGCCCTATCAACTGCAAGCATCAATTATGATCCAACATTCAGCTATGAGACATGGCGGTTACTATCGTTCCACTTTGTGCTCTTAAGAGAGGTTCAAACTTGTTGATTGGACGAGTAGACCGAAACTGCGAGGCGTAGTTAAGCAAAGTTCCATTGCAAAATGTTTTTTGAACTCCCATGAAATTGTGTAAAAGTGTAGGAGCCACCAATAAAACATCGTAGTCATCATAGCTTGAAATGTGACTATGATTATTCAAAGTGCAATGCATCAACCACTTCCATAGAAGTTACTCATTTAGCTTTCCTGGCAACTGGGGGGTATTCTCATCTGTTTATCACGCCACGCTCCAAAGTTCAGAGTCGTCGTGTACTAGGGAATTTCAGGTTGCAAAAAAAAAAACAAAGCAATAAAATTTTGCGGCGGTTCAGGATATTTAATCGCCGATTAAGGAGTCCTACGCAGTCGCAATAAGATACGTCTATGCGAAGCTAAAACATCAATATTTCAAGTGTTCTGTGTAAATGGCACTATATGTGGTAGCAAGATCTTTTATGAACCTGATATTGTATAGACAATGAAGGTAGATCATAACCTGCAGTCTCTATTGCATTGCTTGCTTTCCATATAAGGTTAAAAGAACTGCCGTTTTGCCGTATTATTTTTTTTTTCTGCTTATAAAAACGTTAATGAATCTAGGTATACGCTTTAACAATGCAACTACGTTACAAATTCCTCTAAAGACGGTTCAATGGTGTATGAAAAAATTGGCTTTCGTGTTCTTCTCTTTGCAATTTATCGTTAGATCTCATGCCATCGTGTGTCAACTTTCTTATCAGACGACTGTAGAGAAATGCTCCTCTCTTTTTTTTTTTCTTTTTGTTTCTTTTTCCATACAACATTGCCGAATGAGGTTATTAGCGAGCGAAATGGGTTCTCTTTTCATTTCTTTTTATTCACGCTGCGATAAACCTATCGAGCCGTTCTAGAAGTAAAGAACAGTTGGTTCGAATAGGTTTGATACCTCTACATCATATACCGTCTACTGAGCATTCTATTTTTTTGTCATCACTCCTTCAATTGGTGTATTCTCTTCACCTTTGATAAGAACAACTCTTTAAGGGAAAAAAAAAAGATAGAGTGGGAAAAAAAAAGAGAAAAATAACGCCAGACAGAAGCAATCTCTCATTGACGTTTTCCAGTTTGAGGGAAGAATTTCATTTTCTTTTTAAAGCAATCACACACTCATTGGAGACTAAAAGCAAACTAGCCCAGTGAAGATATACATTCTGGTGAATCGAAAACACACTCATTACACGTGTTCAACATTATATCGGATTAATCACGCCATTGCAAACATTGCACATACATAATCTCCATCATGTCAGTCAAGACCCGTAAAATAGCAGTTGTAGGATCGCGTGCAGTGGGGAAATCATCAATGACAGTACGCTACGTTGAAGATCATTTTGTTGAAAGTTATTACCCCACTATCGAGAACCAATTTAGTAAAAACATTACCTACAAGAATCAAGAATACGCTATAAAAGTATTGGATACCGCTGGTCAGGATGAATACAGTATGATGAATGAAAAACACCTTGTTGGGATACATGGTTACCTCCTTGTATATTCAGTCACCTCCCGACAATCTTTTGAATTGGTTGAGTTTATAAGAGACAAGATACTAAATTCCATTGGCAATGAAAATATTCCTATGATTTTGATTGGTAACAAACGAGACCTAACGTATCAGAGACAGGTGGAAGAACTGGAAGGTGCTGAACTTGCACAGAAGTTCAAGTGCCGCTTTTTGGAGACTTCAGTGAAGGAGAACTACCACATCAAAGAAGCATTTGAAGGATTAATTGATAGGATTGAAAGGATACAGAATCCTCCAGTGGTGAAGAAAGAAGATAAATGTGTGATTATATAGAAGGTTTAAACAATTATATTTTCCAGTCTAGATACTCCGCAAACATCCCCCCTAGCGTTCTCATCCCTTTTTTTAAAAGATGAATTGTAAATTACAGTCGATTGGGTGTGATGAAGTCAATTGCGGCTTTTGACTATACTTTGATTGCAAAATTTGTCTCATGTTCTGTAACAAACTCAAATATGATTGATTTGGATTCTGATTCATCACTGTAAGAAAAGCATAACTCATTGCACCAGTGGACTGTCCTCCTTCCTTAGCATCAGCACTTGTTTGATTATCTTTGCATCCACTAAATGAAATGGCATCACAGGGGGCCGTTTTGGTTTGCTTGCTGTACTCATTTGCTTTTGATGCTCTACCTTTGTTCATAAAGCTCTTGACTGCTGAACCTAACCCCTTGACCATATCTATCCTGTTTCCAGAAATATATGACATACCTGCTTGTAACAATCCTTGACCTGCTTCAGCCATAACATTCGGTTCCTTCAATACACCTTTTGTGGAGTACATATATGGCAAATCCAAAGCGGAACCAGAGTGGCATGAGTCAAATAATGCTGTCAATCTGCATCCTGGTGGTAGCGTCTTAACCAACATATCATGTAAAAGATCGTCGATTATAAACCCATTTGTTTGGAAATCCAAAGGGTAGATTACTTCGTCATATCCATCATCCTCATCATAGTTTCCATACTGGTCAGGTTGATCTTCAGTTTGTCCACCATGACCCGAATAATGAAAAAAAAGGGAGTCATTAGGCCTAGCATCTTTAACTAACCATTGAATAGCATCCAAAATATTTTGTCTGGTTGGAATAGCACGTTGGGTGCGTTGATCATCAGTTAGCTTGACAATGTTATCCTCACTAAATCCATGGCTTACCAAAAATCGTTCAACATTATTGACGTCATTGATGCAGCCATTTAATTGATTTTGCGAACCAAGATAATTGATTCCTACGAGCAAGGCCTTCTTGCGACCATTACACATAGAATATTGATAATTGTAATTTTCGACACCAAATGATTGTTGATTAGTTGGTGGTTGTGAATAACTTCCAGATCCATACTGGTGTCCATAATCGGGCTCACCATTCATCCCTGGTTGTGCGCGGGAGCCATAGTTTTGTTGTTGTTGTCCTGGTGGGGGACCCGATGGCGGTCTATAGTTGCCGTATTGTCCAGGAGGTGGACCCGATGGCGGACCATAGTTATTGTATTGGCCTGGTGGTGGACCTTGAGGTGGGGCGTAGTACCCTTGAGGAGGTTGTTGTTGTTGTTGTTGTTGTCCACCACTGTACGTGTATCTACCTGATCCTGGGAACATTTTCTTAAAAATACCCTGACTGTGTTGCTATTCTGTTTGATGAAGAAATAGAACTAGTGTTTTTCCCAGTTTCAATTGTAGGATCAAAATTTCATAAAAATGTTCTGTTAAGCCTCGCAAAAATTCAATTTGGAAAGAGAATCCTTGAACAACTTGCACTACCTTGATTTTGTACACAAAGAGATTGAAGAATTTGATAGTTCCTCCTGTATTGTTGAGTAGGTGAAGAACCAAAATAATTGGTAGTGGTTTGCAAATATGGACCGGATTTTCTCTTCACTTGCGCAAATCTCATTGATAAAGTAAGTGAGGTTTATTTTTAGTAGTATAATTCTGAATTGTATGTATGTACCCATAAAACTTTCTTTTACTTTGATCGCGTTGACGACACAAAAACAAATTATTCCAAAAATAAAAATTGTTCTATTTTTCCATTCTTTCACTGGTAATCCCGATATTTCATACATAGACTCCTATAAACAATCCCTATTAAACGCAACATAAACAACCAACACTGAATCCCCGTACACTATATCCCTTTACACGTACAATGGATCGTTACCTCCCACTTCTCGAAAAGCGAAAAAAAAAGCATGGATCGAAAAAGAAGCCTTTAAAGGCAGGGCCTGAAGTTTCGAGACTGGGAGTACCTTACGATTATATTGTTATAATAGATGCCGGATCAAAAGGATCAAGGGTGCACGTATACAGCTGGCTAAATCCTGGTATCGCATTGGATAAAAAGGTGGACTTTACCCAAGCAAAACAATTGATGAGAAGGAAAGATGAGTCCGATGAAGGAGAAGAATCAGACACAGATGAAGATAGTGATGAAGATGACGAAGACGACGAATCCAAAAAGAAGCTATTATATCCCAAAATCAAAACAAAGTCAAGGTGGCACAAGAAAATCACTCCGGGAATATCCACTTTCAACAAAGCTCCCCACAAAATCGGCAAACATCACTTGTCTAAATTGTTATCACGAGCTAGTAAAATTGTCCCCAAAAGCCAGCACTATCGCACTCCCATTTTCTTACATGCCACTGCTGGGATGAGATTACTACTGCCTACTGAGCAACAACAAATTTTGAATGAAATATGTTTGTTTTTCGAAAATAAATCAGATTTCTTCATTCCTGATTGTGCATCACATGTCAATGTGATTGATGGTGATTATGAAGGATTGTATGGATGGTTGTCTATAAATACTTTGATTGGCGCTTTTGATGATCCTTCATCTCATAAGCATGGGAAGAACCACACGACATATGGACTACTAGATATGGGAGGAGCTTCAACTCAAGTTGTGTTTCAACCCAATACCACCGAAATTGATGAACACCAGAACAACTTGTACCACATGGATTTACGTCAAGTGCCCACAGTTGATGAAAAAACCGAGGAATATAAAGTCCCTCTAGAAATAGAGTATAATGTTTATTCAGATTCGTTCTTGGGTTTTGGCATGTATCAAGCAAGAAGTAAGTACATGAAGTCGCTTATTGCTTCCGATGAGAAGGAAGACGAGTATCATTATTGGGGGTTGAGCAAATCTCCCATTAACGATCCATGTATACCAAAAGGGTTCACTACATCTGATTACGTAAATGATCGTTCGTATGATTTTATTGGAGAGTCAGATTTTGAAAAGTGTTTGACACGAATCTTTCCCGTGTTACAAAATTCAACCCATGGAGGAGGAGGACCAAAGACAAATTGTAAACAATTCAGTGAAGGAGACGAAGTAAGTACTTGTTTGTTGAATGAATTGATACCGTCATTTGATTTTGATGTTAATCATTTCATAGGAGTGAGCGGATACTGGGACGCCATTGAAGATTTGTTATCTCAACAACAAGACGATGATGAGAAACTGAAACGAGACAAGTTGAGAGATCAAAAGAATACCTATGATTACAAAAAAATCTTCAACAAGACGCAGAAAATGTGCTCGCAATCATGGTCGAGCATCTTAGAGCTAAACTCCCAAAAGGAATATAAAGATCAATTGAGTGAAGAAGAGTTGTCAACGTTGTGTTTTAAATCTTCATGGATCTTGAATTTTTTGCATTTGGGTCTTGGATTCCCTAGATTTGGTATTGATAATGTCACCAATAGCAATAAAGGATTTGAAACATTGCAATTGGTTGAACAATTGGGTGGATCATCATTTTCTTGGGCATTGGGAAGAGCAGTACTTTATGCTAATGATGAATATATTCAAGCTTATAACAATTACACCAATCGGATTGCAAGTGATGAAAAAAAGGGGCCTCTTCAGCTCAAACGACCAGGATTTTATCATAGTTCGTCTCCGAATATATTTCAATTTGGTGCTGAACAAAATGGTATAGTTGCAAGACCCAATTACATGAAAATGAGTGCCAATAACTTACACTATTTTGATTATGAAACTAAAGAGGAAACAGATCATGAATCACCATGGAACATTGAGCCTCATCGATGGTACGGTTTCATTATATTTGCCGTGTTGTTAAGTTTTGTTATATGGCTAATGTTGGGAGGCAGAAACCGGGCATTGTTTGTGACGAAAGTTACCAGTGGGTTCAGGAAATTGGTCAAGATGACTCCCGGATATAATGGGGCTAAATATACTAGTGTTCCTAGCGGCAACTATGAGGGCGGAAGTGATATGGAGTTGGGATTGGAATTGAATGAATTGGGTAAGGATATTGAAGATCAATTTGAAATTGGCGATGACGATGAAGCAGAAGACGATGAAGAAGTAGGTGAAGGAAATAGGCTGTAAATAACTAGCGCGTAGGTTAACCTTGACAAATCCAAATCTATATAAGCTTACTGATATCAATTCTTGAGAGAAACGACGTATTTTTCACCATTGGCTCCAATTTTCTCCAAATCATTCAATGCATCCTCGATAATTTCAAGACCACCATTGTATTGTTTATATCTAGCTGGTTTGATTTGTGAATTTCGTAAAAACAATGATGTTATAGCAATAAAGTTAGCTCCAAACTCAACATCTTCATGAAATCGTTTGATGATTACTGGTTTCAAGTGTACCAGTTTAGGGATCCGTTCCTCCTTTGGTACTCCCACAACACCTGCAAATTGTGGAGAACTGTCAACTGTCTGTCCATCCTCGTTAGCTCCTTTTTTTAAACTTGATTTCAATTTGTAGCTATTGGAATCGAGCATATTTAACACTTTAATCGCGGTTTCTTTGGACACACAATCAATTCCATAATCTATTCCATTTGGAGACAACTTCTCAACTTGTGCTAATATCTCATCATCAGAAGCAAACCTATCAATGATATAGTCAACTCCTAACAGGGTTAAATAATGTGCATGTTTGTTTCCAGCTATGGCAATCACTGTTAATCCATGTAGTTTAGCCAATTGGGCAGCATAGATGCCTACAATTGTCGACCCACCCCAAATCAACAACGTACCACTATGCACTTTAGGCATAGGGGATAATTCGAATCCAAATGAGTTGTAGAATAATATGCCAGCCGTGACTAACCCAACACCGATGGTGGCTCCATCTTCATATGTATACTGTGGTGGTAATTTCCAAACGAGACGTGAGTCAATGGCTGTATATTGTTGAAATGTTGATGTACGATTATCTCTATAACTAGTTGAGCTGACAATCACTTTATCTCCTATTGCGAGATGATGGCTAGTTTTAGAATTGACTTTGTTGCCCAATTTAACTACTTCTCCACTTGATTCACGACCATTGATCCATGGGAAATGATAAATGCCAAACCCATACTTTTTCCCCTTCCAATCAATGGGGTTTAATCCAATGGCTCTATTTTGGACTAGGATTTCATAGGGTGATATTTCGGGTATTGGGTAGTCTGATTGTATTTGTAATGGTTGTTTGAAATGAGTGATTGACAAGATTGATTGATGACGCTGGTTGAAAGAGATTTGCGATATAGTCTCAACTGTCGAAATTTCTTTAAGTTCAAGTGAGTTTTCCAATTTGTGCTTTTTTGAACTAGGCAACGGATCCGCTTCATCTATTTCTTCTTTCGAAACAAGAACTTTTCTTGATCTCTTGGTTGCTGGGGGTTTGGTTGGCTCATAAAGAGGAGAACCTAATCTTTTGCGTGAAACTTCTTGAACTTTAGTTGAAGACATATTGGTGTTGCAATTATGTAGATGACTATGAGACAAATGGAAGGAATGACGTTTTTATACTCCGTATACAAAGAAGAGTCTCGTTGGTGATAAATGTCGAAGAAAAAAAACAGCAATTTGGAATCAATCTGTGGATGGATGAAATTAAAAAAAAAAAAAAGAAAAACAGGGATCAACTTCTTCGCTATAGTTGCATCGGCTGAGTTTTATCAGGAAGGGGGTGGGCCTGTGTGTAATTAGTGGGTAACTTAAAAACAGCCCAAAGATAAGCCACAACACGTTAACCGATGAGCCGAAGGTGTAAAAAATTACGAATCATATCATCTTAATGGAACTGTGGCTCATTACTTTTGTTTTTGCACCCATTCAAATGAGCGAAAGAAAAAGTAAACGTTTGTGTGTTAAAATGGATTACGAGTGATTACGTAATTATGTAGCCACAAAACTTGCACGTGCACAAACTGATATACTCGGGTGGACGAAACCACACCAACCGAAAACCCACAAATTCAACACACAGTTTTTGTACATAGTTATGGCTCATTAATGCACCACAACAAGTCCCTCACTTCCGCCTTCAATCTCCACGGTATTTCCCAATCAATAAACTACTGTTTACCCCACCAAATCCAAATGAATTACACATGGCATACTCAATATCAATGTCCAATTTCGGCTTGTTTGCAACATAATCAAACTTGGCAAATTTATCCTCTTCATCACCCAATTTTCCGCCCGGATTGTCCAAGTTTAATGTCGGTGGTACTTGACCCGTTTTCATAGCTTGTAAAGTAAAGATTGCTTCAACAGCACCAGCAGCCCCCAATAAATGACCTATGGCTCCTTTTGTTGACGAAACTAATGTCAGTTGAGAAAACAATCGATACAAAGCATTATTCTCGGCCCGGTCGCCAATCGTGGTTGATGTAGCATGAGCATTTATGTAGTTGACTCTTTGGGGGTCAATTTGTGCTCGAGTTAAAGTTTGATTCATAGCATTGTATGCGCCTTCGCCATCTTCCTGTGGTGCAGTAATATGATATGCATCTCCTGATAAGCCATAGCCAAATATTTCTCCATAAATTTGGTCCTGAGTAACTCCACGTTTCAACGCATGGTCCAAACTTTCAACAACAACAATACCGCATCCTTCGCTTAGCACAAACCCATTTCGATCCTTATCAAATGGTCGGCTTGCTTTAGTTGGTTCGTCATTGAAATCAGTCACCAATGAACGCGCTCTTGCAAAACCAGATAATGCTAATGGGTGAATTGAAGATTCTGTTCCACCACATATCATTGCATCAGCATAATTCATCTTGATAAAGTTGTATGCATCACCAATAGCTTGAAGTCCTGTGGCACATGCAGTTGATACTGAATGTAAGGGACCTTTCAATCCGTACTTGATGGAAATGTTACCCGCAGCCATATTGTTTAGTAGTTTGGGGATAAACAACGGTTGTACCTTGCGGTAACCACCTTGATTAAATGCAGTGGTGTTGTCAAATACATCTTGAAATGAGCCAATCCCACTTCCAACGGCAACACCGAATGACTTGGAGTTTCGCAATCTTGATGGATCCAATTGTGCATCCTCTATAGCCTCTTGTGTACATGCCAATCCATATTGACTAAATTTCGCCACTCGTTTGATTTCTCCAGGTGTCAAGTGTTCGGTTGGATTCCACTTTCCCTCTGACAATGGACCTTCAGGTACTACTCCTACGACTTTTGATGGGATCTTGTCCCACCCGTCTTGGGAGTAATTGGGTAGATTCGTTGTGGATGTTATTCCTGACTCACCAGCAATAAGTCTCGTCCAATTGTGTTTGAGTCCAACACCTAGCGGTGAAATTATCCCTACTCCTGTAACCACTACTCTTGTCATTTAGTAGCGTATATCAAAACGACTTCGAAGTGAATTTGGTTATTGTGTGAATTTAATAAATCTTACGATGCATTGAGCTTACTTACATAACTATTTAATCTTTTTTCATCACCGAGAAGAAAATTGATTTCCGCTTCCGCTATTGTGACCTCATTCTTGAAAAATTGATTCAATAATCGAATCCAATTGTCGAAAAAGGACAATTCAGGAAATATAGTAAATGTTCCCTTGGGGAAACTTTCCTGTGATGAAAGATATTCATCCAACTTCATTACTTTGACATTGACACCCTTTTTATACTCTGCTGTTTTTTTGAAGTCTCTTTCAAACTTGGCGAAATCCTGAATAAACTGTTTATAACTACCATATGTTTCTTCCTTTGTCGATTTCGGTAGATCAATCTGGTTTATAGATTTGTAATGAGATGTGTAAAACTCTTGATAAAATAAAGCTTTCACTTGGTCTTTGTGGTTTTGTAGCAAGGATAGCAATTGTATCTTTCCAGTTGGAAACACCATTTCCTCTTCCTGCTCATCTGATAAATCCTCCGCTTTTTCTTCTAGATCTCTATTGTCAACCCAGTCGAGGAAAATATCCAGCTTCTCTCTTCTTGACCCAATTCCATGATATACAGGATATTTGATAAATTCATTCACTAGTTGATCTTCAATAATATCCCAACTATCAAATGACGATATTTGTGATGAGTAGTTATCCAACATTTGCTTAAACTCCTCGATAGCTGATTTTTTTTCCTCCGACTCGTCATCTACTGATAAATCAAGTGAGATTTGGCTGTGGTTATCGGACTGTTCCTCTTCATCATCCCTTTGATCCAAGACTTTGGAAACTATGTCATCTGTAATGTCTTTGTCATTTGTGGGGGCTTTTTGATGGACTCCATGACTTGGTGTTTCATCAGCTTTTACTTGATCATCATCTTCTTCTTCATCTTCACTTGATGAGTATCCCGAGACAATCCCCTTCCCACCGGCAGATTTCACATGAAAAGTTTCTTCAACTGGGTTCAGCTTTTCACTGGTCTCGTTTTCATTTTTATCAACGGGTTCGTTTTCATATACAATTTCAACTTCATTTTTAATATGTAGCTGTTCTTGATCGCCTCCGACAGTACTTACATTTTCCCCACTCTTGTCTGTCTTGTGGCTTCTCAATCTTAAGCCCCTTGATCTGGCAAAAAGGAGCCCCAACTGATCATAATTAACTTGTGCAAGAAGTTCCTCAATATCTACACCATACTTTTCAACTAAATCACTCAATTGCCAATATGCATGGCCATCGTCGGCATTGAAATAAAAATGGTTCAGAGTATCAGTTATAATGATGTACCAGGTGGATGATTGAGAGATGGGGTAGATGAACAAAGGTTTCATTCCAACGATGCATATGCGATGGGCTTTAATCGAATCGGTTCTAAATTTTGATTTTCGATTGTGCTGAGTTTCGCTCATTGCTACCATCGGACTTTTTTGCTTTTTTAGCTAAATATAGCTGTTACAAGATCAAAAGCACAACTTGATTCGCGGTGCGCCGAGGTGAAAGAATCCACTGTTGTAGCACCTAGTTTGTAATACTACCTAAAGCCTTTTTGAATTACATAGTTGAGGTGTAACTTTCTACACTGAGGACTATCAGTGCTTCGCCGAAAAGTGAACTACTTTTAAACCCCGACAATTCCGTCCTTCTCTACAAACTTGTTACAGATAAGCACCACATAGATTTCAAGCACAATGCGCAAACTAGCATCTCTTGAATGCGCTTCTAAATGAACTCCGGGAAGGGATAACTACCATAAGGTTTATTTGAAATCAGCCCATCCATGGTTCCAAAAAGAAAAGGGAGCTGGGTCTAAAAAAAACCTTGCCATGTAAGCTTAAAAAGATGAAGTAACATACTTCTTATTCGTGCTAGAACTGGGTAAGAAAGATAATTATAGTTTAAGCCCCACTCCTTTTTTTTTTTTGGTATTTCGCATTTTAGATGACGGTATGCAGCTCTATATTCAAACTCAGTGACGAACGTAAAGACTTGATTTGCAGATAAAGTTGCAGAAAGAAACTTCCGGAATTGTGACGTGATTATTGACTTTTCTTTGACTAAAGAAGTGTATTCAGTGGTGAGTGAGTTAGATCCTAGTGGGGAAGGGTAGTGTACAGTACAGATTAGAAAGGGAAGAGCCTAACTCTACAAGGTCGTGGAGTACTTGTGTGTGGGGGTCGTTCACGTTGGTTTGAGAGTCTGTGGTGGCTTCTCCATAGCCACACGGCGGAGTGGATGTGATTTAGACGAATGAATCCATACGTTTTGTTGAGGGAGAAACAGAGAACTTGACGATGGAGTAAAAGTTACAGAAAAACGTTTGTTCTTGTAAAAGTCCTTTCAAAGTATATATTCCCACCATCGGCTCAAGTACAGCGGAACGGTCCGAGCAATTCCCCCCTCCCTGTCTCTCTCTCCGCGAGCATTTAGAGGTTGTACAGGATACATTGTTAGTATAAAGATGGTTTGGTAGCTCTTAATGCCGATTAATTTCTTTCCTGAATGTTTTCTTTTTTGTTCTCTCGCCCCACCCCTTTCTCTCTTTACGAACTTTTCGAATAAAGTAACCCCGTGGGGAAAACCCCGTTCAAATAAAGGGAAGGAGAAAAAAAGAAATTTTACTAATTTCAGTTGCGTAAAATTAACCAAAGAAAAGAAGGGAACCCGAGTGTCGTTGTTATTATTGATTGTGTAAAAGTAGAGAGAAGACAATAAGAACAATAAGATGAATAATTAAATGCCCGTGGAAAGAGCCGGCTGACGGAAACAAAACCCGAATAACAACCACAAGTACACATTACCATATTGTCATCACTTAAAACATATACATTGATTACTCATACTATACATATAGAACATAGGTGACTAACTAACTAACATGTTGACTGACATTTTTAATCGTTTTGTTTCTGGTGATTCATCAATAGGTGATCCTAGTCCATTCGACGTGGGTGAAGTTGCTGTGTGATGACGGTTATCGTTGCTACTGGACAAGGGTAGTACTTTTCTGTTTGTATAAATATGTTCCTCCTTTTCCATTTCATCCTCTTCTGATCCTTCAGTTTCGTCACTTATTGAACCATATCTAGCAGATTCATTGACTCCATCGAGTCTTGAATTGTTGTTACCTTCACCACCAAGAAGACCAGGACCAGTGCCGAGAAGACCACCACGATCCACATAAAGCTTCACCTTCTCATCGTTTCTTTTATTCTTGTAAGATCTCCGTATCCGACATATGGCTTTTTCACTACCATCATGCAAGTTTTTAGCATGTCGAAGTAATAAATCTCGTCTTGAAAAAGGTCTGGTACATATGCCACATACGAATGGTTTCAATTTATTATGGGTGGATTGAACATGTCTCGTTAAATGTTCTTCCCTAGTGAATGCTCGTTGACACAATTTACAATTAAATATACGTGAATGACCAGAAGCTGTCTTAGATCCAAAGTTTTTGGTGTCAACTTTGAGTTTTTTCGTTCTGCTTGTTGATGTAGAAGATGTGTCGTCATTAGCATGTGCTGTAGTATTTCTCTCCTCGCCTTCGTCTCCTTCTTCCTCTTCTTCCTCCTCTGATGTGGTGGTATAAGCTCCTGAATCTAGTGAACTAGAGGAATTGTTCGACGTTGTCGTATTTATAGGTGATGCTGTGTAGTTATTGGTATTGGCGTTATTACGAATAGAACTGGAGGCACTTGTGGATGGGTAGTCATTGTAGTTGCTTGACATCGATGACAGGCGACGATACCTCTTTGCATTGGTTGTACGTTGCTGCTCTTGTTGTTTGCTTTCAGTGGTGTTGTCGTTGTTGTTGTTTGTTGCTGACAATAAGTTTGCAATAATTGGAGAAGTTGGTGCTGATGAAGCCATCATTAATAAAAATAGTTTAATAGTAGTAGTTGAATATTCTATGTGTAGAAAGGGAAGATATTCGGTAATGTACTATGATACGTTTTGGAAATGATGTATACAAAATAGGCGTTTTCAAGAAAATGTTGAGGGGGATGAGTGAGGTAGGCGTATGCGATTCTATATATATATATATATATATATATATATATGCTGATCTTTATAGTTTCAAGGTAAGTGGTAAAAAAGAGAAGCCCATACTTTTATTAGTAAAAAGTAGTGCGTTACACAAAATACCATAAAGTGGGGAAGGTAAAGAAAAAATTGCGTATGGCTGAAAGGAAGTTATGCTACCATATGTTATTGACCAAAAATAAATAAAAAAGACTACACTAAAACAAAGAGTGTGTGTAACAACAAAATGACAAGGTGAAAATTAAAATATAACAAATGACAATGACAATGGCATTGACTATGATTTGTGGTGGTTTCTTTATGTATTTAGACCATACATTTTGCCCTTTGTGAGTAATAATAGTGAGAATGAAGGAGCATAAGAAGAAAGGAAACAATGGAACACCGTTAGTTTCAAAACCAATGCATTGGTTTTGTATTAACATGTAGAATCTATGAAATACACTCTCTTTTGTTGAATGTCTCACCCTGATAAATGTACGAAGTGGGGAAGAAGAAGAAGAAGAAGAAGCAGAAGAAGCAGAAGAAAGTTCCATACAAAACGTCGAACGAAAGAGAGAGATGATAGTCATCTATAAAGAATAAAAGGAAACAAGAAAAACAAAAAATAATATTGAAAGTGATTTTTTGAAAAGAAAAATTAAACAATAAAGTCACAATTCCGATTTCCCAAAAGTCCGACCAAAAAAAAAAAAGAAAAAAAGACGCCTTTTACTTTTCTACACCAAACCAATGTTACACAGTCGCTTGATAACCATCGAAAGAATAAACAGACGATCGAAAAAGCCCCTGTCCAAAAATGTAGACGCTATCGTGTAATAGGCTATCTGGTTCTCCTCCTAGTTATATTGATTGTAGAAAGACTAAAGAGCTTTGGCTCGTAATCACGATATTTTCAAACTCTTCGCCCCTCTTTTTTCATCGTAAGCACGGAGTTCCATTTAGCCTAAAAAGTATAGATGTAGTGAATAACATACTACTAGTCAAAAGTTAACGTGTGTAATATGTACGGAAGGAAAGTTTATAATGTGTAATTGTGTGTGTATTGTTTTATTTTGCTCTGTACATTTGACAAAGGAGAAAAAGGAGGGGAACTACCATTCCACATGCACGACTACGGCAAGCAACACAACATCACTGTTCTTCACAGATTGCAAAGAACAGAATGTGACAATAAGGCTGATAATTCCCACGCGTGACCATTACACGCGATAGAAGCCAAACGTACAACTAGCGCAGAAACTTTATTCCTGTGAGGGGTGAAAGACGTAGTTAAAGTTCTTCGTAATTGATATTGTGCTCCCTATGGGCATATACGTGGTAGTGAAGCGGCTCTATACCTATTGTAGTCCCATGGTTCAAACATTTTCATCTTCAGTGTATCAACACAGATTGTTTGACTTTACAAGGAAATGTAAGGCGAAGTAAGATTTGTACAAAAATCCTCTTTTTTTTTGGTATTTTTATTTTTTTCTCCCCAGATTTCGCGACACCAAAATGATTTTTTTGAATTTACAAAAAGCCCATTTTTTGGACGGTCATTTTAACACCACACAAAATTCTCGTAATATGGTATGGAAATAAAAGGGGATGGTGGATATGGCTATTTTAAACAGTTTTTGTTAGCAATGTATAGGCCAATTTTATTTGCAAAAGGTGGTTTTGTGTATAATAACGTACATCTGTTGAAAAAACACACACTTTTCTACCACGGAGCCATATGATGGGATCTCAATCTAATGCAGCACCGTTGTCTCTTTGCAAATTATATTAGAGCAATGGTCTAGACTTTTGGCTGTTCAGTTTCATATTGGAGTCGCCTGTCGAAATTGCAAAATGCCACGCAAATAGTCTACTTCCATATCCAAAACCAGAATAAAACAGTATATCTGAGTGTCTATTATGCTGCTATGGGGGCACCTTTATTTGGTAACCATTATTTGATTGGATAATATTAATGGGTTGAACAGGAGGCAAATAGAGGAGCACACTAATTATCGACAATTACCCGATTGGGAACACAAAAAATTTCAATAGGTCGGGAAAACAAGAGAAATTGGAGGATTTTTTTGATTCTTTCAAAAGTGGGTTTTTTGGAATACACCGGTTTTTAGAACAGCACATAGTAAAATTTGAACAAAAGCGACAATAGAGGTAAGCTAATTGAAGTACTTAGCTCATGAGGAGTAACATTTGTTAGGCAGGAATATGTTCAAACTCAATGGTTGGCCTGTTCCATGGAGGTGGTAAGGCTGTTTGAGTATTAACTGTAATCTGAACCTCCAACACCTTCAATATTCTTAAAAGTGGTACGCGAAAAGTACACTATTGGATTACCTCTTCTAACGTAGTACTCCTCCCTTTCTCTTGGGAAATCCTATGTAACTGTTCGGTCGTTAGTATCGAATTGTATACCTATGTCTCAAATACAGTGTCGCATATTCCATGACACAAACATAAGTGCTCTTTTATCATTCTTAATGGCAACATAGTCGCGCACATCATCATCCTTCTCTACCCAAAGATAACAAACCACACTTTTTTGTTACATTGATAACTTGAGAAACACATCTCTTTTGTCTAATGTTGCTAGCAACATGTCATCAAACCCATATAACCATGCATTTAACAGCATATATAGTCAAGAAAGTGTCAGCAACGACGCAGCTGCACATAACGACATTGATGACCAAGAGCAGCTGAATCCTCAAAACCAGGATACCTTCCTATCACGAATATTTGGGTTGAACTCGATATATAATCAGATGCAGGATAACTATCAATATTATGATCCCGAATTTGATACTGCGTTTCAACAACAACAACGGAGATCATTACTTAGCGACGACAATGCAACAGGCAGTGCAAATGACGGTGGCAGTGCTAATGTCAGTGCTAATGTCAGTGCCAATGTCAGTGCCACCGAAAGTGGTTTGAAAAGAGGAGTTGATGTTGCTCCTGCAATTCAAGATAATATTGATGAGCTGCTACTACCTAATGCTATACCGATGGGTAACTTGCAAGCTGCGCAAAATACAATGACAAATTCGAACGGTTTACTCGAGTCTGAGTCTGATTCTGATTTATCGTCGAGTTCAGATTCATACGTGAGACCAAAACCAAACAAGGCGAGATCAATGAAGCAGCAAAAGCAACTGCAGCAGCTGGGGGCTGCTGCTGATTCACAATCCAATGGAACCCAAACACCAGAACCATCTCACTCGAAACACCAGCCTGGAGCTGCTTTCGTCAAGGACTCTCAACATATTCTTCCGCTTCACAATACAATAAAACAGTATCGAAAGCCTCCTCAGCAACCATATGTAAATACCAACTACAAACCAACCAGATCAAGAGCGAATCGATTGGTAATTCCTCCGAAAGAACGGGCATTGTATTTGTGGGCAAACATCACAAATATGGATGAGTTTTTGAACGATGTCTATTACTACTATCGGGGCAAAGGGTTGCTAAATATTGTACTTTCGAGAATTGTCGATTTGGTCATACTTGTATTCATCATTGGGTTTACGATTTTCTTGAAATGGGGCATTGACTATTCATTGTTTTATGAGCAACATCGCGATGGAATGCATTATGTGTTGACTGATATAGTAGCAGAGGATTTTACTAGCCGGATCCCTTTTATGGTCAAATTTCTTGTGTTTGGGTTTGCAATTTATATTATTCTCCGAACAATTCAGCTATATTTTGACTTTACATACAAATTGAAAGAAGTTCAAAATTTTTATCATTACTTATTAAACGTTGGCGATGATGAGTTACTGACCATTAGTTGGAAAACAATTGTTGAACGCTTAATGTTGCTCAAAGATTATAATAGCTTGACTTCGTCACAGCATCCCAATGAAAATCACTACATTAACGACTTGTCATCCAAAATCCGCTTGGATGCGCATGATATTGCCAATCGAATAATGAGACGAGACAATTATACTATTGCTTTGATAAACAAGGACGTTTTGGATTTATCTGTTTTGTTCATGGATCAAAAACAATCACTAACAAAGACATTGGAATGGAATTTGAAATTGTGCATTGACAATTTCATTTTCAACCAACAGGGACAAATAAATGGATCAATTTTAAAGGATTATAATCGGAATCAGTTGGCACGAGAATTGACATCGAGATTCAAGTTGGCTGCTATGATCAATGTCATTCTTTGTCCATTTATTGTGGTTTATTTCGTCTTGTTGTATTTCTTCAAGTACTTCAATGAATATAAATCAAATCCAAGTTCCATCATCGGGTTAAGGCAGTATACACCTTATGCTGAATGGAAACTTCGTGAGTTTAATGAGTTGCCACATTTTTTCCAAAACAGACTACAATTGTCAACGAGCACAGCAAATACGTATATCGACCAATTCCCCAAGGGGTATTTTGTCGTGAATGGAATGAAGTTGGCTAACTTTATCAGTGGATCGATTTTGGCAGTGCTTGTTGTGTTGGGTATTTTCTTGGACAATGAATCACAATCATTTTGGTCTTTTGAGATAACTGAAGGTAAAACTGTACTATTTTACATTTCCATATTCGGTACTGTTTGGGCCATCACTTCATCGTCATCAACTTCGTCGTCAGCATCCAATGCGGCAACCGAGCAAAATCAACAACATTTTTCAACAAATCGAACCATGTATGATCCTGAATCTAATTTGCGGCATCTTTCTAAATTCACTCATTATTTACCTCGATCATGGAAAAAGAAATTACACACGATTCAAGTACGTAATGAATTTTGTCAATTGTATTCATTAAAAATTGTCATTATTGCATATGAGATTTTGAGTTTAATCTTAACGCCATATATTTTATGGTTCAAAGTGTCACAAAACAGTGGTGCCATTGTTGATTTCTTTAGGGAGTATAGTATACATGTTGATGGGTTAGGGTATGTTTGTTACTTTGCCATGTTTAATTTTGAAGAAAAGGACAAAAATATGATGGCCGAGAGGAAACACCAACAACGCCAGAAGAAGAAAAAGAAGGAGAACAAATTAAAGCTCAACCTGAAACAGCAGAGCATATCCACCGTGTCTTTGCAAAGAGACGTATCTGATTCAGAGCTCAGTGATTTTGAAGATGATGAAATGTATAGTTTACAAAGAGATGACAAAATGGCTAAATCATATTACCATTTTATGGATAATTACAATGACGAAGCTGGTGCAGGAGGTGTCAAGAACCAAGGATTGACACAAAGAAAACAACAACCATTGAAGAATTCACTGCTTGACTATAACAATACAATTCGTGATGATGGTTACACAAACTTCAATGGTAATGGTGATGATGATAATGATGAATTGTCTGATTCAATATTCAAACTCAATTACAATAGAGTCGATGATGATTTGAACAATGACACAACAAGAAATAAATCTAAACGGAAAGGAGGAGTATTGGGAATGTTAAATCAATTCTATAAACAAGATATGAATCGCAATGTATAAGGATGCCCTATAGCTTCCCAGCTGTTAATTTATTACAAAATCTGCAATCTACAGATGTGACCCTTAAAATGTAAATCTCTATAAATTAAAACTCTATAAAATTGAAAATACCCTGAAGATGAAAAAAAAAAAAAAAAAAGAAAAATAAACTCTTCTGGTGGTGACCCTTCTTCAATCCTCCATCGCCACATCATCAGCTCGCCCATTAGCAACTTTATTCCTCTGTGCATCCTCCAATAATCGTGGCCTAAACTCTTTGAAAATCAGTTGTAAATTATTTCTCTTGATTGGTTTAGACAAGAACCCATTCATACCACAACTAAAACACTCCTTAACGTTACTTTCATCAGCAAATGCAGTCAAGGCAATTATAGGTCTTTGGAAGTGTAAATCCTGTCGAATCAGCTTTGTGGCTAATAACCCATCAATCTTGGGCATTTGCACATCCATAAAGATTAAAGCAAAAGGGTCATGAGCTTCATTGGCTAATTTAACAAACTCAATCGCTTCTTCTCCATTACATGCCATTGTCAAATTGGTGAAACCTTCCAATTTCATCATTCGTTTGATTACTTCTTGATTTACTTTGTTATCTTCAGCAATCAAGATCTTGAGCGAAGCAATGTCTTCATTTGATGAATGGGAGTTGCTGCGACGATGCTTGGGGGATTTGCCATTGGCTTTGATTACAGTGCCATTGGCATCAACAACATCATTAGCTGGCTGAAGTTTATGGTGTCCATTGCTTTGATAATGTTGTTCATCAGAATCGACAGATTTAGTATCCATACCAGAATTAGCAGTACCAGTGGATCCTTGATGAAACAACTCGGGCTTCTCGGCAAGCAAATTGTGTAGATTGTTTTTAGACTTGGTGGGCTTAACTGAGCGCTTCAACGGTTTCGCATTCAATTGCAGTACTGATGAATTTTTTTCCTCATTTTCAGGATCATCAGTATGGTGGCTCCGCTCTTGAGCATTACTGTCACCGTCACCATGCATTGAAGCTGATGAATTTGACGTTTCACTTTTAGTGACTGAAGATACACCTTCACCTGTTGATGAGCCACTACTAGTACTATTACTCTTTTTGATTGATTCCAATGTCATTGTGGTATCATTGGCATCATTGTGTACAACAACTGCTTTTTCGTCAAATGCCACTTTTCGATTACTCTTGGCAGTGGGGTTGAATTCATCATCGCAAAACATTTCTAAATCTTGCTGAGGAACTACAATTTCTCCCGTTTGCGGTAATGGTAGTGTCAACGTGAAACATGAACCTTTACCGGTTGTCGAATCCAAAGTTAAAGTTCCTCTCATCATCTTCGATAGTTGTCGACATATACTCAAGCCTAATCCAGTTCCACCATAGCTTCGACTTAAAGTTTGATCTCCTTGTACAAATGGTTCAAATACCTTCTCTTGCAATGACGGCTCGATACCAGATCCAGTGTCAGTTACTTTGATTTGAACAACCCAGGTCTTTGGTTTATACATTTTCCTAATTCTGAATGCTTTATTGTCCTTGACAATTTCATGATTAGACATGTTGGTATCAAATTCAGATCGTTTGTCCAAAGCAGGATACGTCTTAAACTCACCAGATGACGATGTTTGGTTAGCTCTATACGTGTGATCAAAGTTTATGGTTGTGACAGACGGAGTTCGACTGTTTCGTGTCGGGATTTTTTCCAATGAGCTCCCGGGACTTATATTTGGAGTCAGTGGAAGTGGTTTATTGTTGAATTGTGATTCGTGTATCTTGTTTTCGTACTGCACAGTTGCTAAAGTTGCAATCGAATGCATGTCGTCGTCAGTTACATTTGTATTTATTTTCTGGTCATTATTGTCATTATTAGTTTCGTTCGTGTCGTTATTAGTGACTGCAGTGGCATTGTTGCTGCCGAAAGATCCGGAATTGCTTCCATTGACAGGGTCATTGGCTGCTTTCCTTGATTCCGTCTTGTTTGCGTCGGTACTGGTAGTTCCAGATGCTGATACTGGCTTTTCACTGAAATAATCATTAGATTTGTCAAATTCAAATACCGGTGACAAAACCGGAGCTTTGTTTTGTGGTGAAGCTGGTGAAGATGGCGAGGCTGGTCTTGCTGGAGACAACAACTGAGTTCTTGATAACCTTGAAGATAGATTTGTGGGGTCGGTGACATTATTATCGAGAATGTATACGTGTTCAAAGTTGTCCCTTTTTGATCTCTCATAATCATATTCACCAATCATTTTGAATGAGACCCCAACAGATCCATCAACAGGAGTGAATTTTAACGCATTTGAAACCAAATTCATGATTATTTGAATAATCCTATTTGAGTCCCCATAAAGAATCAACTTCCTAAACACTTGAGGTTTGATCAATATTTTGAAGTTGACTCTTTGATCCAATGCTAGTTTGGTGAAGATTGAATGTATTTGATAAACAATTTCAAGAATTTGAAAATTCGATTTCTCCAACTTTGACCTGTTGAGTGTGTTTTTGGAGTAAGTCAACAATTCAGTCAAAATGTGAAGCAAAAGTTCACCTGATCGGTAAATTAACTTGAGTGAATCTTTTAATCGATCTTGATCTTCTTCCTCCATGGCTATTGATGACATTCCTAGTATACCATTCAATGGGGTACGTAATTCGTGTGAGATGTTGGCAATAAACACAGTCTTTGCCTCATTCGCAGCCTCGGCCTCTATTTTTGATGCCTCCAATTCCTTTGTCCTCAATTTAACCCTATCTTCTAGATGAGTATACTGCTTCTCCAATTCCTCGGTCATGATATTGAAAGCTTCTGATAACTCAGTAAGCTCATCCTTAAAAAGCATCTTGGATCTAGGAATTCTCGAAGGTAATCGAATTCCGCTGGAGTAGCCAGATTCTGATCCGTTAGTTGACATTGAGTGAACACTATCCCTTTTAGAAAGCTTTTCATCATTCAATGTATCACTCGAATCGGGCGGTGGTGTATCGCCACCATTGTCTGCATTTTTCTTACCACCCTTTTTATCCTTCTTGTATCTAGTAATAGACTCAGTAGCTTCCTTGAGCCTGGTAATCGGTCGAATGAACCAAATGGCCAATGTAAAAGTCACGAAGCACATGAAAAAACCTACACCAATGGTGACTCCGATAATTATGTGGGTCATTTTGGTTACCGGTGCATTAAAGGAAGATTGTTTTTGAGATGTTATAATCAACCATCGCCAGTTACTAAACTGAATTTTGTAATATGCTGCCGAAAGTTTGACCCCGGTTACTGATCTCATATTTCTCACAACATTCAGCGTCTTATTCGACCTGAACGCAGGCCCCACAAGCACTGAGTTGTTGATGTTGTAAAAATGGTCAGGCTGAATGAGTGCCCCATTATTTGGAAAAACTGATTCAAAACCCACAAGCTCGCCTGCAGTTCTATTAACATCATAATCAGACGTGCTATCATTGTAGACTGCTTCGATTGCTATAGTCCAATAGTCACTGGACGTTGTTGAGTTGAGTGCACCAAAAATGGAGGACGCCGAAGCAATGACAGATAGATACCCAATTATCATATCAGGATCGTCCACGTCGAAAACAGCAACTGTAATTCCGGCAAAATATGGGTCAGTAGTCACATGAGTATTGTTCGGAAGGGGTCCTGTGTAATAAAATTGATATTTTTCATCATGCGTATACAGCTCAACTAATTCTGGTAGTGGTCCTCCATCGGGTATGGGATATAGCATGTCCTTGGTTGCATTATTGACAACAACAAATTCATCACTGGTTGTTGTAACAATATTGCAATCCATATCGTATAATCTGGCAGATACAAATTGATCAGTGAATGTATACTGCAAAAATAGTAAATCCACTCCATCAAATAAGTCCGACAGGTCATTTCCCTGTTTATGCAACAGCAAAGGATCTCGTACTCTATCCACTTGTGCTAAGGATGCCACTGTTATTTGGGTGAATGTAATGGACTGGCTAACTTGGGTAGCTTTTAGTTGTGATATAACCTCTAGTCGTTCTGATCGTAGATTTCTCAAGTTGTTGCTAAAGTAAATACCAGTGACAAGACCAAGAATAAGAAGCGATAGTAGTGATGCAAACCCAACAAGAACCATTAGTTGGGTCCTAATACCAATCTTTAATCTCTTCATCTTCTGCATTGAGAGGGATGTGGTTCAGGAAACCTGTTTTCTAGCTGAAAACAGTTTGATCAAAGGGGAAAAAAGCAAACGTGAAAAATGAGGTAGTGTGGCTAGTCGAATGATATAATCTCCGTTGCTCTATTCTAGTGGCAATCTGTTTCAATTATTGTCCAAAGACCAGTACCCCTAATGTTATACCAGAGGAGATTCAGTTCTTTTGAATGAGTCGTAAAATATGTATGTGTCTTCTGTGTATGTTTCGATTGTTTGAGAATTACAAAAAAAAAAAAATAATAAAATGAATAGAACAATAGAAGACTTGTTTCTACTGTAAAATGTGAGAAGAAAAAAAGGAATGAGGCGGATGCCCTCTCTGATCCATCACCACACAAATCCTAACAGAACACACAATTAAACAAAGCCTTATACTTTTTTGTGTGAATAGAGCTCCGTCTCTGTTACAACGTGTCAAAGAGGTATCTTTGCTTTCAAAGTAAAATACTAAAACCAGAGGATATCAAAATTTGCATTGGTAATATATATAATATGTATAGTTTACATATGCTAGTTGAAGCAGGTACAACAACATACCACTGATTGACAGCCTTTTGCTTGTTGTAATAAATTTAAAATAAAAATATTGTTGAGTAAAAGCTATAGACAGGCGAAAAAATAAGGACATTAAAATACGAGATGACAAAAGATTGTAAGTTGCGACAACTTGAAATTGTTTTCAACTATTTGAAGTGTAACATCAAGTAAGGAAGACGTAAAAGCCTATGGAATGGGGACTTTGTCGTGGTGATAGGCTAGATGGCTATCTGGTTTTTGAGCACTTATCCAGCGACACTACGTTTGCGGATCTAGCTTGATTGGACACCGGCAGAGTCAAATTACATCACGCAAACAACAACTTCGTTGGTATAAGGAAAGTGTCTCATCAGATGTAAAAGTAACTCATCTCTAGACAACTGTTTGACGCTTCTTTGCAGGGTGAATTCTTTTAATAACTCCCTCAATTATAAATTCTTCAAGAAACAAACGCAAGAATTGTCACAAGCGATACTTTGGGGATTAAATTAGCTAAAATATGCTCTTAACAGTGCTTTACCTTATTCTTCTCAAACAATTCCTCCAGTTGTTTAACCAACAAATACCACTGCTTTCACTCCATTAAGTTAGGCACACTTCGCAGCCAGTGGTGCGTCAATTAGGCCGCCGCACTTCATGTCATCGCGAAATTGAGACCGAAAAAAAAAAAAAAAAAAAATGTGGTGCAAGCACAGACCATCCAACACGCAACCTGTACCGACTCATCTTCAATCATGGCAGGCTCTCAACTAAAGCAGCTCAAGTCTGCATTAAAAGAAAAGGGCCTCATTGGTCAAACAAACACAAACAAAAAGAAATATACCAAATCGAAAACATCAAGAAGAAATGAAGTTGATCGAGATTTACGACAACAAAACTTGAATGAGATTAGAGATCAATTTAATAAATTCGATCAAAGGATAAACAGAACTAAACATGACATAACAATAGCCTCTAAAGATGGGTTTGTTAAAGTTGGTTCTAAACAACATAATGCAGTGACGGCTAAAAACGGTGCCATGCAAAAGCAAATGAAGATGCAATATGATTTGGAGAGGCAAAAGAGGGGCAGAACTGGAGGTATTTTGGATAAAAGATTTGGTGAGAATGATTCTCATTTGAGTCAAGAGGAGAAGATGTTGATGAGATTCACCAAAGAAAGACAAGTCGCGTCTAGTGGGAAAAAGAAGGGTTTATATTCATTGCAAAGCGATGACGAAGATGGAGATTTTTTTGATGCAGAAGACGAAAACGATGATGATGACGATGATGGTGGGTTTCAATTAACCCATTCTGGGCAAGCATTGTCGTTGGATGATGAAGAGACAATCAAATACGTTGATGAGGATCAACTTGAAGTAAATGACGCTCCATCACGAAAGAAATCCAAGAATGAAGTGATGAAAGAAATCATTGCCAAATCTAAATATTACAAACAACAAAGACAGCAGACATTTGCCAAGACTCAAGACCAGATCGATTCATTGGATGAAGATTTTGGTGACATTATGCAAGATTTACAATCGGCACAAGGAGCCATAGCTAAACCAACATTTCTGCAAAAGGCACCGGAAGATATTGAATACGATAATAAAGTACGTGAATTGACATATGATAGGAGAGCTGCTCCTGCAGACAGAACCAAAACTGATGAAGAATTGAGACGTGAACATGAGGAAAAAATAAAGAAATTGGAACAAGATAGATTGAAAAGAATGGAAGGTTTTAATGATCGTGAAGCTGAAGCTGATGATTTGGATGGTGATGGATTCTGGGGTGGTGAGAGTGAAGATGAAGAGAATGGATTTAGCATAAAACAAGATGATGAGGAAGAAGAAGAAGGGTTAGAAGAGGTAGTTGAAGGTGAGGGTAGCAACACGACGAGATCCAAATCAGCAAAGCTGCAACCCGTTTTGATGCCTACTTCTGTGGAGGAATTTGCTACTCAAATGGATTCCCTTGACCCTGATCAGCAAGCTAATCATATAAAGAGAGTTTGCGACGCATATAAGCCCAATTTAGCCATGGGAAATAAGGAGAAAATGAACCAATTTGTTTGTATACTCTTTGAGTACACTTTGCACCTAGTTGACCGCTTTCAACCATTTGATTCTGTTGTCAAAATATTAAAAGATTTGGCCAATTCATATAATCAAGAATTGGTTGAACGGATGAGGAGTTTTCTATCTAATATTGAAACAAGAAGTCAAGGAGCCACACAGTTGAACCCTAGTGATTTAATGTATTTTGCCATTGTGGCTTGGTTATTTTCAACTTCAGATCATTATCATTTGATTGTTACACCAAGCGTCATTTTGATGAATCAAATTTTGAGTAATATCATTTATCATCCTCGCGATGTGTCACAATTAGCCCAGGGTGTTTTCATTGTTGATGTGTTGTTGCAATATCAACGATTCTCGAAAAGATTTGATCCCGAAGTGGTTAATTTTATTGAACATCTGGTATTGATGTTGATTCCTGAACCGGAGAAATTTGATAATTCGAAGCTCTTATCACTGGCGAATCCATCGGTTAAATACGACTTACTCAAATCAACCAAGTTTACCCAAGATCATATGCTTTCAATCAATGATATCTTCCACAATGCAAACACCTCAGCATTCAAAGCCAAACTTTTAATCAAACTCATTCACTTAATGGACAAGAGCATCAACTTGTGGCGTGATAAATCCTCCATTATTTACCTCCTAGAGTCATACATGTCTTTCCTCAAACATATCGTCAAGTACACTACAATTGATCCAATACCACAACTCCTAACCAAATTCACCAAACTCCACCACCAAGCTCACACATCACTTAAACCATTGACTTTACAACACCATAAGTCAATCGCCATCGCCACTTTGGCACCCAAATTTGAAGAGAATTTCAATCCTGATAAGAAGTCATATGATGAGAATAAAGATCGTCAAGAATTGAATAAAGTGAGACAACAATTGAAGAAGGAAAAGAAGGCAGCATTGAAGGATATTCGATATGAGAATAGGTTTGTCGCCCGTGAACAAATTGATGAAAAGAAAAAGATGTATGATGAGTATCATCGTAAGATGGCTAATATTGTTAATACTATTCAAGCTGATGAAGGTGCTGAAAAGAATCAGTATGAGAGGGAGAGAAAGAGGCAAAGAAGGTAAACAATTGTGAATCAACAAGTGCTTTGGGTGAGATGATTTAGTAAAGGAAAGCATTTGAACTGAAATGGTTGCAAAAGCTTTGCTTTTTTTCTAGTCGCCCAGACATGCATGTAATTGGTAGAGATTAGAAATATGTACTCTCATGTTAGTTTCAATCACACTTCCTCATACGGTAAATGCCAAACTCATAATAAAAAGCGATTGATCAAAAAGAAGAGGCACTTTAATGCATTGCGTTTTGCATTATACTCTGATGCTAGTGGGGGTGGGGGTGGGGGAAGGGGCGAATGATTCTGGAACTTCCGGCATTTCACGGAATTTTCTTGTCACAACTTTTCGGTTTTTGTATCACACCTAGCAACTGTAACGAAGAAAAAAATACACCAACCAATGACTCTTTCTTAATCCCGAGACAAATTCATTCTGCCGTGCGTGTGTGTAGCAGCAATATAGAACTACAGAATCACTGTGTTACAAGGCAAGGAAGGGCTAAACGGTGTTCCGTTTTCGTGAACTTCGAGCTGACTTTTTCATCATTTGTAAAGTTTATACTTTTGTCAATGACGTTAAAATGCAAAATCTACAAATCTTCCCTCCCCCCTTTGACTTTAATTACCCACAGCTATTTTTTTTCTTAACTACACAAATTAAGAAAAACTAGTCACACACTTGGAACCTCCGTAGATCGGATGTATTTTATGACATCCCTTTTTAAAATCAATTGCATTATGATCGACGCACTTTAACACACACACACACACATAGAGAGAGAGAGAGAAAGAGTCATATGTTAAAGAAACAAGACATGTTTTTCCATACTTTGTGTAATATTAATCTTCAAATTATGATGAGGTCATAGAATTTTCAGGGATGTGTGCGAAACCACAACAAAATGGGTCCTAACCACTAACAACTAACACAACCACAACCACAACAATTTCTACTTCTTCTTACACTTTAACATCATTCAAAACAATCAAAGTAAGATTGGGGTATGTATTAAAAGAATAATCAAAAACTAATAAGAACAACGTAGGTATAAAAAAAATAATAACTTTCCCGAATGTAGAAAAAAAAAACTGAAGTTGGAAAGAAAGAGAATGGTGCCTTGCATCACACAACTGAAACCAGAAGCTCAATTGCTCAAACAAAGGACTTTTCCAGTCTCTTCCTCCTTGCTTTTCCTCTCTCTTCTCTCTTCTTCCTCTTCATAGTCGTTAGTGGTATCTCTGTATTACGAATAGGTTCCATTTTGGTGTTGGATATTAGTAGATTGTGGCATATCCACCAATTAATGTACAAGTTGTAGTAGTAGTAGTAGTAATAGTTTCAGCAGCAGTTGCTGTTGCTGTTGTAGTTTTATCAACCTCTCATTATCAAACTTAAACTTGTGACATAGTTGGAACACCGGTTCTTGGAGCAGATCTTGAGTATTTTGAGCCAAACAAACCACCCTTGAACAATCCAATAGCACTGAAAATACCTGAAGCAATGAAGATAAAAGCGGAAAAGAACAAAAATGCAGTTGAAGCTTGTGCCTTTCTACATCTTCCACTTGATCCTTGGTTAATCTTGTTGGAATCAAGGTAGTCTTGGTTACCACATGAATGTACTCTAATACCAGCAGCAATAGCACAAGCAGCAGCAAATGTGAAAACAAAGTTCAAGAAGTCGAAAATGAACAAGATCAATGGCCAGGCCAAAGCTTCAATAAAGAATGCCAAAACACCATAGATTGATGAAGTCAAAAGACCAAAAGCTGCGGCAAAGACGGCAAAGTTAATTTGTGGATTGTGTTGGTATACTGTAGTGGCAGCTAATGAACCAGTCAAACCAAGGGCAATGGCTAAAAACACAAAGTTAAAAGCTCTTAAAATAACGTCTCCGATAGCCAACATTGTGAATTATAGTAGTATTATTTGTAGTGTTGTTGTGGTTTTATAAGGGTATTCCAGTATTAAAAAAAAATGTTTCTTGTTTTGGTTTCCGTATCCAGTCAATTGAAATTACGATTAGATGTGTGTCAATTGATAGTGGTAAAACTATTGGTTATTGTTACTAATGAAAATACTGGGAAAAGAAAGGAAAAGAGAAATAAGGGGGGGTCAGAAAATGAGAAAATTATCCTTTATATATATATATATATGTAGCATGTTACATATTGTCAGAATCGGTAAAATAGCAATTTAATAAGAAAAAAAAAATTATACCCAATGGGATTTTCCTTGTTAACACTAAAATTAAAGAAGAACCATTATGCAAATGTGTACACCCCCATTGTCTACTACCTCGTTCTCTTTAATTAAAAATTAGTTGTTTTGGTTAAGCGCCAAAAGGGAAAGTATGACAAAAACGTGACATTAAAGAATGCTTTTTTGTGTAACCAATAGCAGCTTAACAATACATCTGAGCGTCTAATACATACACATACTATATAGAAGACGAAAGCATCGCAAGACAAACCAGAGCTAGCCATAACGACCGCGTCTTAGCTGTCAAATGACCGAGCATGGTATGACATGTGGGTTACACTTTCACTCCATCATTTTAAAAAAGTGTAATCATATGTGTGTAGGAGTCTAATAGCATATATATGTGTGTGTGTGTGTGTGTGTGTGTGTGACTGATAGTCATTGTTTTTTATCCACAAAGCATGATCACACATTGAACACAAAAGTATGTCCTAAGAACATGTAGAATAATAGAACCTTAAGGAATAAGTTTATAAAGAAAGTGACAATAGAGTGTGTTTCTACACTTAACTGAACTGATGATGTAAAGAGTGAAACGTAGGTGGATGAAGAGTCCTATATGTGGCACACATTTATGTCTGTGTTACGCTGTCCTTGACCCATCTGCCGTTCCAAGTGCGAGCAAAGAGTGAGGTTTGTATGTGTCAGGGAGCAATCGGAATTAAAAAAAAAAAAAATTGAGTTTTTTTTAATATTTTTTTATTTTTTTTTTGCTCCTTGTCACATGATATCTAATTAAATTAAAAGCAAACTACCGAATAAAAACGTTCATCCATGGGTGATAATTAAAATTACCAAACTAAGATATGAAATGAATAAAAAAAAAAAAAAGAGCGCAATTCTTTAGCCGGTCGGAGCTTTTGTAAGAGAAGGAGGGGTGGGGGGTGGTGGTGGTAAATCACAAACACTCCTGACAAATGGAATCATAGTACTTCCTCCCTTTTCGATCATACATGTCTACATAATCAGATTTCAAATATCCTAAATTTGTAATCATCATTTGGATTCTTTGTGCCGAACGGAAACTCAATCCAACGTCACAAAACGTGAGAAGGAAAAAAAAAAAAAAAAAAAAAAGACAACAAAAATGGCTAACAACATAGAGACCTCTTGATTGCCACTAGTTGAACAAGTTATCGGTTTGTTCACTTGTTGTGCCCGCCCCCTCATGTCAATGTAACTGACAGTGTGTATCTTCTAACGCCGTGTTTTGGTCTTTCCTTATATAAAATTCATCTCCCGATTGGGCAATTAATGAAATCATTTAAAGCATGCAGAAACTGCTCACACAAGCGAAAGTAAAGACAAAACAATTGTTCTTCGTATTGTTTTCAACGCTTTTCTACTTCTTCGAGAGTTACCTCTTTTGATGTATTCTGTTGTTGTTGTTATCATTTCGTCCTCATTCGTTAAATTGAGGTGGTCCATACTTGTGGTACTGTTCTTTTCGTCTGCTAGTTGTTTGTTTGTGGTATATAACTTTTTCATGTATTATGTGCTTCTAACATTTGTTGTTTTGCTCTCTTTTGTGTGCATTGTTGCCTTTAATAAGTTTTGAAAATGGCTCGATTGGGACAAGCAATGTCCCAATTAGGAAACTGTGCTAAAAGCTACCATTTGATGGAAAAAAGCCTTACACCTGAAATTCATCACAATGTTATTGTTCATATAATCCTTGTACCCTAGGTACATACAAAATGTAAACAGCAGTTTCGGACACTGAACCACACACGGACACACACACACACACACACACACACACATGGACACACACACTGAAATTTGCAAATTTCATGTCCGTATATATATAGACGGTTTAACTTTCAAACTCGCGTTTTAGCTTGTGCTTAAGTTGCAAAAACCGAGTATGAGAACAGCGCGACTGGAGTTTCTTGCAGCACGATTTTTCGCATCGTCTAATCCCTCCCCCAACTAAACACGTCAGCCCTTAGATAGACTTCTTGAGCTATACTACGCGTATACGCGTATCCTTAACTGTTTGTCTGGTCAGTCTTACACCATAAGGTATTTTCTTAGTGCTGTCGACGTCATCGTTTTTCTTTTTGGCAATCCTGTTGTAACACAAATACAACAGTGGCCCGTATTAGTAATTTCATCTATTGTCTGTTCTTTCTTGCTTGCAGTATAAGGGGTCCCCTTTTGGGCTCTAAACCAGGCAATGGAGTTGCAAAATGATATGGTGTGGGTAAATTTATACATGAGAAAGTAAAGTGTTGTTGCAAACAGAAAATTTACATTTAAAAAGGGGATTATCGTTACAACCAATACGATGTTGCTATTCTACTCGCATTGACTACAAAACTCATTATAGATTTTGCATCTTGGACGTTGAAGAGAAGAGATTGACCTAATACTTCACCAAGAAAAGAAAAATCAGAGCAACGATAGTTGAGTTACGTCCTTGTTGGCGTAGCTCATCCTTCATTCAACAAAACTCATACCATGCCGTTATTTTCAAAATAAACTTTCCTTCAACCCTTCTTTGCTGCAATTATTGTTCTCTCGTTCCTGAACTTACTTCTTCTCAATATGCTCTTTGAAATACTTGGCGACTTTCTCATCCACAGCCACTTGAATAGGCGTCTGACCATCGTCATTCTCAATATTAACATCAGCACCAGCTTCATCAACAAGATAAATCGCCGCGTCAGCATGTCCCTCCGCCAACGCATGATGCAAACTCGTCCATCCATCATTATCCTTCGCATTAACATTGACTCCCTTTGCCAGTTGAATCAATAATCTCATAATGGCAATTGATCCAATTGAAGCTGCTCGATGTAATGGAGTATACCCCTTTTTATCCTTAACACGACACGATGCCGCAAATTCGTCAATAAGGACACGAACATATGACAAATGGTTCTTGGATATTGATAAATGTAATGCCGTTGTTCCTTGATTTGTAGGTAAATTGATATCGGGTTGTGGATCGGTGTGCATTAATAAATTGAGAATTTCTACATTGCCAATAGAGGCATTGATGTGGATGGCGGTCCATCCTGAAGCATCAACTAATTCATCGATATCAGTGCCTTTGGGTAATTGATTTATTATAAATTGTACCAAGTCATTGTTGTTGATTGACACTGCCCAATGCAATGGCGTTCTTTCGTCATTGTCTTTTAATATTGTTGATTTGGGATTTTCCGAAATGAGTTGTTTGGCTAAATTAATGTTGGTTTCTTTGATTGCCGTTTGGATAGGGAATTCATTGGTGCTCATTGTTGAAGGGAGAGTGTGCTTGCTGGAGATTATTAATCTGTTTGAAATTTTGAATTGGGGGTATTGTTTGCTCGGAGTATTTTCTCTCCGCAAAATAAAATGTTTAAATCCATTCACATTTTTTAAAAGTTTATACAAATCTAATAAAACATCCTATCTAATCGTTAAAGAGAATTGAAAAATCAACATTTTATGTTTTCGTCATCGCTTGACCGTGATGGTCCTTTCCTAGTCATTCTCTCTAACCCCTTCTCTCTCCATCATTACCATCTCCTTCGTGATCAGCTTCCTCTCCTTCATCGACTTCAGATTCAGAATCCGAATCTGAGTCAGAATCTGATGGCGGTTGGTCAAAGAATGGAGCAGCAATAATCGTTGTTGGCAACCGATTATTCATTTCGCTCACTTCACCACTGCAGTCAAAATTTCCATGATGAGTAGTTTGACCCTCGCCAGGAAGGTAGCCAAATTCATCAATAGAATTAAATTCATGGCCATTGTGAACACTATTGCTATTGTGTAGTGAAGATGAAATTCTACGCACGATATCGGCTGAGTTGGAGTAATGTTGCGAGTAGTCACGTTTCAATGATTCCAAATACTCCTGATAATCATTGCTGACATTTGACGTATGAGCAGCCGATCTTGATGAATTAATTGATGAAATACCATTAGAAACCACTGATTGTTTACGCTGTTGTTGTTGTTGTTGTTGTTGTTGTTGTTGTTGCGACATGAAGTTCCTCTCGTCCAGGGTATTAGATGTTGACGGAGTTCTCTCGTACCGGCGGACGGAGGTGATTGTATTTGATGACTTGGGTAAAGTATCACCATTACACTGCAGATTGTCATCATCGCTGTCGTGGTGCTGATGAGTCAAGAGATCCATGTCGTAATCATCGTTATCCTTTTCGTTCGGTGTTAAATCATTCGATGTTGTGGATGGTGGCTGTTTGGAACTAATTGGGTTATAGTTTCCATCCAATTGATCATAATGAATCTTTGTTGATTTGAACTTCTTTGACACTCGTGCATTTGAACAATGAGCATACATGTAATCCACTTCTTCCAATTTCAACCCCTTTGTCTCGTAAACAGTGAAATAAACAAAGACAGTACCCACTGCATTTAAACTGCCCCAAATGAAGAAAATCTTGCCACCTAATCTCACGGTATGATTCCCAGTGTCAATCAAATATGGGGTTATATATGCAAACACAAAATTCACCAACCAGTTTGTAGCAGCTGTTAATGCCACGCCTTTTTGTCTAATGGAAATACCATATATATCTGAACACAATGCCCACGCACAACCACCCCAGGTACTAGCAAAGAATAGAATAAATACACATGTGAATGAAACACACAAGATGGAATTGACATGTTGCTCACCGACACTGACGCCCGTGATGGCAATGATAAAATTAGATGTCGCCATACCAATACCTCCCCAAAATAATAAAGGTCTTCGACCAACAGTATCAATCAAAATGATACCGGGGACAGTAAAAACAACATTGACAATGTAGGTGATCAAGGACATGATGTAGTAGTTTTTAACTCCGGCAGAATTGAAAAAATTGACTCCATAATAAAAGATAAAGTTGATACCAGAACATTGTTGGAAAAATTGCACTCCTATCCCTGTCAACATTCTCAACCCTTGTTTGTGTCTACCACCACCGCTTCTAAAGCAGTCAAGTATAGTGGTTTTGCCAAAAGATCGTTCATAATCGTAATTTGCTTTAATTTCCACCAATTCCTCAATCAAGCACTCGTCATCTTCTGGCAATCGTCGTAGTTTGCAAAGGGAGTAAAGAGCCTTTTCTAAATTATCCTTTTGTACGTAATATCGCGGACTCTCTGGTAGATACAACATACCGGTTGACAAAATCAATGCCCATAAAAATTGTATGCCTACCGGGATCCTATAAGACCCTGAATTTGAAATCTTGCGTGTCCCTTGGCATACAGCACTGGCAATCAAAAGACCCCAAGTAATGGCCCATTGATATGTAAACACAACTGAACCTCTAACCCACTTGGGCGATGCTTCAGCTTGATACAAGGGAACAATAGCAGACAAGATCCCTACTGCGAATCCCAGAACCAATCTTCCTACACTAAGCAAGGCAATCTCAGTTGAACTAATTTGTAGGATATTTCCAATATTGAAAATGATACCAGCACTTAAAATAATCGAAAATTTTCGTCCATAATTGTCTGAAATTAATGGTGCCACCAAGGCACCGAAAAATGTCCCCAACGATAATGAGGCCACAACAATAGCTCGTTCATGAGTGGCAAACCCAGTATGATTACTAGGGAAATGTGTATACACATAGTGCATCTCTAGTAGATCGTTTATTAGCCCAGTGTCGTAACCATACATGAATCCACCAACAGCTGCAACCAAACCAACAATAAAAGCCGAGTTTGATGAGCTCTTCTGTCGCATCTTTCGATAGTACTCCTCCTCTATTGTATTGTCGTACAATAGCTGATCTATGTAGGACCAAAGCTTCATTGTGTGTAATGTTCTTCAGTAAAGTTTCTGTAGTAAGTCAGGGGGTGGATCGTAGAGTTATCAACGTGTTATATAGACATCAGTTGGAACAAAAAAAATAGAAAAGGAGTGCTCTTGTGGTTTAAAATAAGTTTCAGTTGTAACTGTTGTATATGTGTATGTATGATGTTTGTTGTGTTGGTTGAATATAGTAGTTGGTGATGTGGTAAATCTTCTGGTGTATGTGGGGGGGTATTATTACGATTGGTAAAATTAATGATGATTTATGATTTTGGTTAAAGTCCTTTTTTTTTTAGTTTTTCCCTTCTCTTTGTCTTTTTGCCCTCTTTTGTATTTCTATTGTATTGTATAGTTTTGTTCTCTCTCGCCGTCGCCCTATTAATCTTTTGTGGTTATTTTACGAGAGGGAGTGGGAGTGTACTTGTATATCTTTTTAAGCGGATAGATGTCGAGAAAAGTGTAGAGTAAAGTTACAAGTTCATTTAATCGTTCGATATTTGACCTTAGGATAGCAAATAAAAGGGTTAGTAAAGCATTTTTTGTTTTTGTTTTTTATTTCTTTATTTCTTCAAGAGCCTTCTTAAACTTTAATTTGTTTGACAAGTTATAATAATACTAATGTAATGATAGCAGTAGTAGAAAAGTATACTACTCATTTTCTTTTTGTTTTATTTTTTTTTTGTATGTAGAAAATTTTCTTGTCTCTCTTGTTGCTTGTTGCTTGTTGCTTGTTGTTTTTAAAAGTGGAGAAATAATAATTGTTGTATTTGTTGTTCTTCTCACCAAAAGTTATTTTACTAATCATTCTTCAATTAGAAAGGGCGTTGAAAAATGGAACAGTGCGCGCACAATACTTGGTGGTCTTGGTTCGAGCTATATTTTTCTCTTCTTTTTTCTTTCTTTCTTTCTTTCTGATTTTCCCGGCCATTTGGGTCGTTCATTTGGGTCGAGCCGCTCCATTCGGGGTCGAGGAAGAGGATAACCCCAACAAGCACAGTATATATTGATACAATCTCTTCCATTTTTTTTATAGTATCTTCTTGTGTCAGTGACCTTATTGTTTATTATTGAGCTGATGACTTTCAATAATACTGAATTTAATCCTAGCCACCCTGGTTTTCTTCAAATTTTGGTTGCATTTGGTTGCAAAAAAAGGGTAGAGAACGTGGAGAAGAAGCTTGCTTCTTCTCAGGAGGTACTAACCTTTATCAATGAAGCACAGCAAATCTCAGAGATGGGAAGAAGGTAGTGATGTGGTACTTTACTTCGCAGCCATAGTATTGCTTATCTTCAGTACACCCTCAGTGTCTCACCATCTAATGGTTCTCTTTAATTTACTTTGCGATCCGTAGAATAATTATTCATTTTTACAAAGTGAATCGAATATCATATTACTAGTGAAAGCAGATATTCTCGTCAATGACTGTTTTCTTACACCAAGACCCACTCTCTCTTAAGTTGTCGCTCTCCCAGAGCTCTTCTTCTGATTGCACCTAAGGAACAAGAAAATGCGACACTTGATTTTCGGCTTCTTTTTTTTTTTTTTTTTACAACAAAAGGGAGAGTGTGAAAGAGATACTTATCATCATCAAGACACACACACACCCACACACTTATTCACACACACTAACTCACACACACACACACACACCTTCTGCCATCTTTCCTTCATCTGTCTTATCCTCATGTCAGCATTGAAATCACCAAAGATTGTTGAAGACGTCAGACTCAACAACAACGGAGAAGTCAAATTGAAGGATGTCACCAACGAAGTGAGATCCAGACAACAAGTCACCAAGAAGGACGTGGTTAATGCACCACCAAGTTCAGTTCGAACAGTCAACATCTTTACCATCTTGGTTCAACTAGTACACCGTTTTTTCACTGTTGGATTAGTTGCTCTGGGTGCTTCAATCACTAGTTTGATCATGTACTACATCAACCATTTAATCCTCCTCAATCTATTCTTCACCATTACTATTTACAAAAATTTGTTGTTCATTTATCGCAAGATCTACTTGAAATTCCTCACTTTGACTTACTATCCAAACAAATCACCCCAAGTTATTCGAGATGACGTGAATCAATTGACAAAAATTCCCAAATCAGTTGCTTGTATATTGGATTTGAAAGATGACGATGACGAAAATGGTGGTAAAGATGGGCTATACAATCAGGTTAGTGAGTTGTCGGCTTGGAGCGTTAGTGCAGGTATATCAAAGTTGGTGGTTTACGAATACACTGGGTCTATTAATCAAAGTAGCGACTCACTTATTGATTTGAGCAAAATCATAACTCGCAACTTGATTTCTTACTTTGGTTCAGAAGCTATCCCAACGTTTTCATTAAAGGTGCCTCACAAAAATTTGATATTGTACAGTGATGAGTCGGTTAGTCTATCATCAACAGAAGCACCAAGAGAAACAGTAGTGGATTTGGAAATTGATTTACTCAGTCGAGTTGATGGTAAACCAACAATTGTTGAATTGACGAAAACAATGAGTGAATTGGCTGTGAATAAGGAATTAGCAGTGAATGATATAACCATTGACTTGATTGATGAGGAGTTGGTGGAATTGGTTGGACCAGAGCCTGATTTGTTGATTTCATTTGCACCATCATTGAATTTGGAAGATTATCCACCTTGGCATATCAGATTGACTGAAATTTATTGGGAACCGGAAAATAAAGATGTCAGCTACGCTGTCTTTATTCGTGCTTTGAAGCAGTTTGCACAGTGTAAAGTGAATGCAGGTAAGTAAATGCTTGGTTCTTTCACAGGAAGAAAGATGGGGAGGGGGAGGGGAAGGGAGGTGAACCTGCTTTGGCCCTCAGGCCTTTTACCTTCATTTCGTTGCGAAGGGGAGCGATTTAACATATCTATCTATTTACTTATTTATTCAGGGAGTTTTGGGCTATATTAATACATCTATAGAAAAAAGGTTTTTGTGGTTCGTCTGAAGGTGAAGGGGTGTTTATGTAGCTCTTGATGTGGGACGACTATTCAAGTTCTTTTCAAAGGGGTCAAGATACTGCTGACAGCACCCTTATGATGCTCTATTTGTATCTGGGTGTAATTGGTGTCGATACCGAACCCATCACTTTTGTATCACTTTTAATTGTGGACACTAACTCCCTCTTAGATAAAAACGCACTCATTGTTTTCAAACCACCACCCATCAATTACAATTACGCTTGTCTTACGATTCAGATCTAAGGATGGAATGCTTCGCATCTGTGTGCTGATAAGTTGTCTTCTGTCAAACAGTAGTTGACCAACGATTGCTCAAAGTACCCAATGGCATTGACATCAATGATGCAACTATATCCGACAAATCCAATGGCAACGATGACCCCACAATCAATTTCTGGCACATTGGTAAACAAACTGGTGTCTGAACTGAATTTAAAAATTGGGGATTTACTATACATAAACTTTGGGGGTGCATTGGCAACGTTATCGGCTTCAACACAAGGAAGATCAACACCAATCACCTTATTCAAGAGTAACTCAACCACAACAGTGCCTACATCATCAACATCTGAAAGCATTTCAATAAATAAATCAAACTGCTAATGGCTCATTAAATGTTAATCAATAGCTTGTTAATGACGAACTAGACAAGTTGGATGGCATGATTCAACGGCCAATTTCATCAATGTGTTGTCATGGATCAAAGGGAATGTGTGAATATTGTTCTCCGTTGTCGCCATGGGATGAGTCGTACAGAAAAGAGCACAGTATAAAGCATATTTCCTATCATGTTTACTTGAGTCAGCAAATGGCTCAACCGTATCCGAGAGGTATATGTTCCAAGTGCCAACCACCACCAATCACATTGCAATTGCAAAAATTTAGAATGATTAAGCATTTGGAATACACCAGTCACTCAATATTGAATGACTTTATCAATGTGTGGCGGGTATCAGGAGTACAACGATTTGGTTACTTGTATGGGAGATATGAAAAGTTTGAGAAAGTGCCCATGGGTATCAAAGCAGTAGTTGAACCACCACAACTGGATGAACTAGATGGGGTCGCGTTGCTGGATTGGCCCTATGAACAATTGGTTGATGAAAAGTGCTGCTAAGTTGGGCATATATAAAGTGGGCATTGTTTTCACAGATTTGACTGACCTGGACCAAAAAGACGGTACAGTATTGTGCAAGAGGCATAAGGATAGTTACTTTTTGACAAATTTGCAAATTCTCGTGGTGGCCAAATTCCAAATTGCTAACCCAAACACCACAAAGTACAGCAACAATGACCAATTTTCATCCAAGTTTGTCACTTGTGTCATTTCTGGTGGATTACAAAGGTGAGATTGAACCAAGGTCGTATCAAGTTAGCACCGGCGGTGAAGCTTTGGTCAAGGCTGATTTGATTACCGGACCTACTCAACTATCACAGATTTATGTCAATGAGAGTAATGATGTTTGATATGTGCCTGATATTTCGTACCTGAAAATCAATGAGTATGGATTGGAAGTCAAGACCAAATGCCAAGGCTACATTCCCCAGCGAATTCCTTTTGGTGTCATCAACCGATTCCTTCCCCATTGATCCACATCCAATGTTTTCGACAACGCCGGGTTACGTAATCGAGAATCGTGGTTCCCTTGGTGATGTTAATCATGATTTCCCAAAACTTGTCTACATTGGATAAGTATTTGAAAGCACATGGCTCGGATATATTTGATTTCCATTTGTTGATTTATATCGTCAAATTACGGATTTTAAGTCAAGATGAATGTGAATTGTTGATCAGGTACGTCAAGGATAGAGAAGAACAGGATTATTTGCAATTGATTGGTAGTGGAGGCTGGATGTCATTGTTGACAATTTTGGAACACAGCACTTAGATAGAGAGGGAGCATGGGGAGTAATGTATTTAGGGAAACTCGATTGCAGAGTGTTTAAGTAATAAAAGAGTCTTTCAAAGGATACATTGATACGCGTCGATACTTTCATTTTACCTTCCGCGTGCACAAATAAAGGATACAGTACATATATTTTCTTGCTTTTTGCCAAAATTATTGGACTTCTTTTTTTAGTAGCTTGTACACTACCTTTTTTTCCTACCTGTCACCTTTTTTCTCAAAGTCAACGAACGAAATCAAAACTGAGTTTTTTCAAACAAACCACGTATCAAATAATTTAGAGCAATACAACCTAATTCTAATCAATCAATCAATCTTGTTGAGTTGTACTAGAGGTTTCCATTTCAACTAGTGTTACTCAATCAATCATAAAAAGAAGAACTTATACATAAATCGCCTAGGGTTTATTCATTTCAGAATCTTTTTCTTCAAAACATTATCATTCTAGAAAAGCACTTTTGCTCCTAGCATCAATAACAACACTTTATAACTCAATCAGTTCTATTTTTGTTCCATACACCACATCAAATCTAAAACACTACATATCACTATCAATCAACATGGGTTTATCATTTTCAAAATTATTTGCCAATCTTTTTGGGAACAGAGAAATGAGAATTTTAATGGTTGGTTTGGATGCTGCTGGTAAAACCACCATATTGTATAAATTGAAATTAGGAGAAATCGTCACTACTATCCCTACTATTGGTTTCAATGTTGAAACCGTTGAATACAAGAACATTTCATTCACAGTGTGGGATGTTGGTGGACAAGACAAGATTAGACCATTGTGGCGTTATTATTTCCAAAATACCCAGGGTATCATTTTCGTTGTAGATTCCAATGATAGAGACCGTATTGCTGAAGCTAGAGAAGAATTACAACAGATGTTGAATGAAGACGAATTGAGAGATGCATTATTGTTGGTTTTTGCAAACAAACAAGATTTGCCAAATGCCATGAATGCTGCTGAAATAACTGAGAAATTGGGCTTGCACTCCATCAGACAAAGACCATGGTACATCCAAGCTACTTGTGCTACTACCGGTGATGGTTTGTACGAAGGTTTAGAATGGTTGTCCACTAATTTGAAAAAGTCTGGATAAAGAAATATTAGAGCAGAGATTAGGAGGGACCAAGCCGGTGAAAGCCAATAGCATCACTTTACTCTTGTATTCTTTTTGTTTATCTATTATCTAGTATTTTACTGTGTATTTTTTGATCAAAGTATACTTGTATAGTAAACAAAGTTCAACGATGTATTAAAATGTGGTGAGGTTGAAGGATGGTGATGTCGCAAAATCTTTCAAGATGTGATTAGCCTAAACTGCATTTCCGATGCAAGTTGATATTACGACGCGCCATGTTTTGACAAAGCAGGCTCATGTGGCTCGGATCGGTCATGTAGGAGAGAGTACAATGGAAACTTTTAGTGTAGAGAATGTAATGTTGTTGATTATACTGATGATGAATAAAGTGGAGGTCATTCATCAATGAGGAATATTATCAACACTGTAAGAAAGTGGTCATTTACCCATGACAGAGCATTCCCAAATTGAGTGATCCTGCAACAAAGGCAACCAGTAAAGTGATTTCATAGTGTTCAAATGATTACATGTCTTGTGACTTCTTTAATCGGAGCCTCATATCGTTTCTTTTTTCTTAGAAGAGCAACAATGCACGTGCAAACCCTAAACTTAGGGCTTCTCCTTTTCCCTTCTCTATTTCAATCTTCTCGTTGTCAGGCGCACTTACTCTCCACTGTGTGCGAGAGACAAAAATAAAATTTTCAGACTATCAAACAGAGGTATACTATCCATCATCAACGTTCAGTTCATTATAATACACATACACAATGGTATGTACTTGACTTGCTTATACGTGTGGGATATTATACTTGAGATGAGGAATGTAAAGTAAGGGGGAGACAAAAATACACACTCGTCAACGGAAAGGTTGATGTCTCATCAAAGTCATCAAGGATATCGGATAGGTGAAACATATTACAACTTTTAATCAACGACAAGTCATGACATATTCATGAGTCGTTCCACGACTCGATAGTTTATGGATCAAACACCCCTTTTCTTTTCCAAATGTCATCACCCCACTATGTGAACTTCGTAGTTTCAATATACTAACTCCATCCTTTGCTTTAGGTCGCCGTTAAAACTTTTGAATTGAGAACTAAATCCAAAGAACAATTGGAAGAACAATTGATTGAATTAAAGAAAGAATTGGCTAACTTGAAGGTTCAAAAATTACAAAGACCAAGTTTACCAAGAATCCACATTGTTAGAAAAAACATTGCTAGAGTCTTGACTGTTATCAACTTGAACCAAAGAGAGAATGTTAAAGCTTTTTACAAGGGTAAGAAATACCAACCAAAAGATTTAAGGGCTAAAAAGACTAGAGCTATCAGAAGACAATTGACCAAATTTGAAAAATCACAAGAGACTGAAAAGGCCAAAAAACAAAGAATTACCTTCCCACAAAGAAAGTATGCTATCAAGGCTTAAAATTTTTTTTGATGAGAAGTTAGTGTTTGTATGAGCGTGTGCATGAGTAAGGTGAGAATGGCAGCCGTGAAGGTCGGTCTTTCTCTAGATGATTACAAGAATGGAAGTTTTTTTTCTGTATAGTTATAACAAAGAATGTGTATATTTTCGTCTATATTTTGTGGAAATATAATACTTTAATATCGGGCATTTTGAGATTACGAGATGTAGAGGATACATTATGTACGTACTTCGAATGTGATGCGAATGTCTATTTAATCAATCAGTCATAACAACATCCTCTTGCTCCTGTTGTTGTTGTTGCTGCTGCTGCTGCTGCTGCTTCTCTTGTTGCTTCTCTTGTTGCTTCTCTTGTTGCTTCTCTTGCTTCTTTTGTAGCTTGAATGCAGTTATCTTTGCCTTCAAGTCGACGTCGTCTTGCACATCTTCCAATTTCAAAGGAACTCTATTGAACGGATCAGTGGCATCACTTAGCAAGTGTGCCTTGATGGTTGATCGATCAATACTAATCTTGGAAGAAGGTAAAATTACTGGATCCTCCATCACGGTAAACATTAATGGATCCAAAAATTCATCAGGCACTTCACCCAATTCTAACTCTTCAGTTTCCTCGATAAGTCTATTCTCTTCTGCTTTGGCAGCAAATATTGCCAACAGGTTAATAATCCTATTGTCAACAAACGTCCTTTTCGTTAAAATACTCTCAGCTTTCTTGAAGTAATTAATATCAAATGATCTTCCATCTCTTGAAACAGCGATAACAAACCCTTTTTGTAATGAGAGGTTAACGTAAACCTCACATATGTCACTCAATATCTTTTTCGGTTCAAACTTGTACTTTTCTGGTTCGGCAACTTTCAAGTTGGAACATTTAGGGCCAACCAAGACTGACAAGTTGTAATCCAACATACCAGCTAACCTATCCACAATTTCTGGCAACACGAACCCCTGGGGAACTTCTTTGGTAAACAACTTGAACAACTCCATAGTTTCATTTGACAAAGCAATGAGTGACTTCACTCTTCTTTCATCACCTTCCAAATTACCATTCAACGTTTCATCATTCCCCATTTCTTCGTTTGGTTCATTACCAGTCTGACGACGTTTAACTTCAACTTGATAGTCATGAATTGAATTCAATAGATTGAAAGTCTCGTCTAAAAGATAAGTAGTATCATTCAACATTCTCGCAATGAACCGGATAAAAAAATCAACATTGTTCTCCGAATAATCCTTCAACTGCAAGCGATATTGAGGAATCTTCCACAACTCTTCAAGAATGACTGAGATGTAATAACGACTGTTGAATTTATCATAGAATTGCGATGATGCACCGGTTTTCTCAACCATGACATAAAAATCAAGTAATGAGTACAACAAATTGTGAGCGACCAACTCGTTTCTATCGAATATGGAAACCATAAAGCCAGGGTGACCGTCTTGTCTGGGAAGTGAGCCAATGTACAAAATTTCCACAATGTTAGCCTTCATGTGGGGGTTACCGATTAATTCGGGACATCTCAACAAGATGGTAATAAACTCAACAAACAAAATCAATTTATCTTCGTTCAAAACAAATGGGCATCCTCTAAAATTGGCTGAGAATTTAGTGTAGTTGATGATACCTTCCAAAAGAAATTCCGGGTAATATTTCCAAGGAATTGGGGTTTTCGTCTTTAAAAAATCATGATCGTCCAAGTCCGACACTTTGGTAATTTTGAATAACGGGATACTCAATTTCTTTTGTGGGTAAGTATGGTTCGGGTCAATAAGTCTAGTTATGAAGACAGTTGCTCCAATAACAAAATCAAAGATTTCCAACTGCAAATCTCTATAGCTAAACACAGCATTTATTGCGTGTTGCAGAGACTTTAATGCATTAACTCTAGAGTACAATATGGGTAATTGTGCTCTCATGCGTTCTTGCATTCCTGGGGCTACTCCGGCACGGCCAGATTCAATAGCAGTTATTTGGCTCTCGGCTTGATCAATTGTACGTTTCATTCTGTCATACTTAATGAAAATACCACCAATACCATAATGCAAATAAGCCAAGGTCAAGTTGAAACAGTCGGATATAAAGTTTGTTGCATCAGCGCCAAGCTCCTCACGCTTAGACTCGCTATACTTCGTTGCCTCTTCGATTGTAGAATTGACCCTTGATTCTTCTTTGATATCTAACAAGTTACTTTTTGTAAAGTATTCCACGTCAATTTTGTCAATTTTAGTATAGGTGGGGTAATCCAAAAATGGCATACTCAATTTGATCAAAACAATGGTTATATTAAACATCAATCCGTCACTTGCAACAGTCTGGAAATCAACGTGACTACCCCGCCTCAAATGACTCTTGTTGACCAACTCTGCCAACCACTGAATGACATTGGTTCTGGTTTCTGTTGATCCACGTATCAATTTATCAACAATGACAAACAAACGATCCAATGCAACTTTGTATTCATTTTGGAGTGACTCATAGACACTATGGATTTGAATTGGAGACATTTTACTAACTTCGTCCCCGAAATAAGGTCCTGCAGTGTCGATAAGAGGAGATACACGTAGAATTGGACCCAATAATGACTTATGTTCAAAGTCTAAGCCCAGTTCTTTTGAAGGTGGCTGAAACCCAGCAATTTGGGAGAACACGGCAGCCACGGGTTTGATGGAAACAAGAGTTTCAATAACTGACAAGTAATTCAAATAACGTTGATCCTTAAATGTGATGCCTTTCAATCTCAGACTCATGTATGGAAAGACCAAATTTAAAAAGTCCAATAACGTTCCCTCTTCGTGGCTAACTTTGACAATGTCTACTAAAAATGAAGACATATCAGCAAAACGTTCGACTATCGTGTTCAATGCTTGCTCAATGTTGCTTGATAAAAACATATCAGGCATTTGTAAGCCCATGTTACCATATCTTACCGACAAATTGATTATCTGATTCAATAAACTAACTTTTTCGTCGTGATACGCTGCTTTTATGGGAAGTGATCTCTTTACTTTATAGGCAGCGTGGTAAACTGAGTACAAGTATGAAATGGGTCTCTTTCCAGGCACTCCAATTTCTGAAAGAATTTCCATAAAAACTGAATCCAAGTAGTTTTCATCAAGTTTGTCATTAGAATCTTGCAACTCGTGTGCTAGATTAGGTAAATACACCAAAGTGTTTGACTTTTCATTTGAATCTAGGGTGATTTTGAAAATGTGTTCCAATTCTCTCAGTATCCATTGAGACATATGTTCCTTTTTAGATTGTGTTGGCCTTGATGGAAAAACAGGTGTTGTGTTGTTGTTGTTGTTGGTGGTGGTGGCAATTGGTGTCGACTGTTTGCCAAAATTCTCCAGTTCAACTGCATTTCTATCTGGTGGTGGAGAGATCGTGGGTGTGTTGTGCTCCGATTTGGTCACTTTATTATCTTCACTTGCATGACTTGTTACTGGCAGTTGTTGCTGTGTTTGTTGCTGTGGGGTGTTGGGTCTACCAGATCCAACAAGTTTTGCCAACCTCTTAGCCCTGATCTGAAAAAAGAAGCTTCTGTTAGTATACCTGGAGCATTTTAAAGGGACTAATGGTTCGTTATTCTAGTATACGTACTTCATCTGCACTTGACATTATCTAAAAAAGAGATATAATAGTTCTTAACTGTGCTTTTATGTTTGGTGGTGGAGTAGTTTTGGTGGTGTTTAATCAGAAATCTGGGTGCTGCCAAAAAAGAGAAAAGATACACTGATAAAAGTTGACTTTTATACACGACTGTTTGCCTGGGGTTTATAAACAAGAAGCAATTTTTTATCATCAATAATTTAACCAAAAGAGAAGTTCTGAGGATTTGAAGTCATTATATTGCGTTACATGATAGTAATATAGTATTTCCAATACAGAGGCATACCATATGAATACAGAGTAATATATGTATATTGGTATCCCATATTAGGAAATATACCCGACAGTAAATAAAAAAAAAGTGTAAAGTGCGGGTTGTTGTGTGACGCAGACAAGAATGAAGTTTTAGAGAGAGGCAGAAGGAAGAAATTTTTTGGTGCTTTTTTGGTTCTTTCTTATTTTTTTTTCAAACTATATATGTGCAGAATATACATATGTATATATATATATCTATATGTGTATATATGCTAACCAATAATGACAGATATACCACAGTCTATTATCACTGCTTTAAGCAAGTATCAAGATAGACCGTTTATCTTGTACCTTGAAAAAGACTTGATAAATTTCATCAAAAATTCTATTTTAGGCAACATTAAACAACCAGAGTATGTGGTTCAAGCACAATATTTGAAAAACTCATACTACAGGCTATTGAGTCATCAGCTATGCCAGTACTACCATCTACAGCATTGGAATAATCAGGCAAGCGAAATTGTTGTTACTCCATCAGAAAATTTTGATTACTCGGCGTTTTTATGCAAGATTGAAGATGAATCAAGTGACTTTGTTAAAGTGGCCGATGTTGCTCATAAATATCAGCCTGTTCATACACCACCTGAACCACTGCATCAAAATGGATATCACAACATGAATCATTCTCAACGCAACCACCATCACCATCACTATCATTATCACCGACAACACCGCCAACACGATGATTACAACAGCCAGGATGCATCTTCATTCAAACCAAAGTTTATTATTGCCAAAAAGACTATACTCAACAAGCCCACTACATCTTCACTATCAAGTGAAGCAGGTGATCTTAATACTAGCATAGAGGGTGAAATTTCCAAGTTAAAGATTGATGAAAATGGAGAATCCAACAGCGCACCACCATCGGCAGGGTCGTCTGATGTTTCACTCAACACTACGTCATCATCGGCTATCGAAAGTCAAAGAGCATCAAAAGAAGCATTATATAAAAAAGTACGGGACGAAATTTTTTTGAAAGGGGAAGAAGACCAAACAGGGGAAGAGGATGATACAGTTGAAGGAGTTGGTGAGACAGAGAAAGATGGAGAAAGAAAAGAGAAAAATGCAGGGGAAGAAGTGGAAGGAGAAAGAGACAGGGATCATGACAGCGACGCCAAGAAGGAGGTAGGGAGTGAGGAGACAAACTCCGATAAAAGTTTTAGTTCTTCCAAAGGAAGGACAACTAGGCCAAATTACCAGAAGAGCCGACAATATACCCCTGGTTATAACAAAACCCAGCATTATTCGATGCCATACCAATTGCCAATGCATATGCAGTATCCACAAATGTATCCCCCTCCTCATCAGCACAATGGAGCATCGCCAACCATTCCTCAAGGTACTACTCTTCCGGTGCTATACAGCCCGTACTATACCACTGCTCAACCTCCACTAGTGCCACAGGCATATGTTACTGGTACACCTGCGTATGGTCCTCAATTCCCCAATGGCAGTGTTCTCTCTTATGATAAGGAGACAGAGAGACGAATTTTGAACAATCCATATATCATTTTACCGAGTGATCTTGGCAACAACGATCGATCCAAAAATGCCAAGCTGCAGCAGCAACAACAGCAACAACAACAGCCATATAAGTCAAAAAGAATGTATCAAAACGGTAACGGAAGTGGTGCAAGCATAGGGAGAAGCACTTATCCCAAGGGTCAGAAACCATAATAAAAAGGAAATAGAGAAGTTCATAGAGGAAGCTTGGACTGGTTTGTAGCCTAAAATGCATAATACTAGAAGTCATTATTCATGCAAAGAAAGGGGTGGACATAGTTTAAGGTATTAAGCGAAATATTAGCATCTCTTGTTCCTGAAGTCGTCTAAAGTTTGTCGGTTGTTTGTTCCAATTTGTGTTTTACTATATTGTTCTCAATTCGGTTAAATTAAGGGAAGATAGTAATTTTTTTTTGTGTATAGGGACACGTCTTTATTCTTTTCATATCAAATAAAACACACTTTTTGACAACCAACAAAACTAAACAAGTCACCCTTTTCTAGTACTACTTTACATCAAGCCTATAACCACAATCCGCAACCGCAACTGCAACCACAAAATGTCAAACGTAGACGATGATTTGGTTCCTGAACAAGTAGAAGGATACACCGTTGGCGAAAAGAAAACAATTGACGAATACAATAAACTAGATGCTGAGGATGAAAGTTTGGCCAAGTGGAAAGCATCACTTGGTTTATCTACTACTGAAACACCATACCCCGTCAAACCCAACGACAACAGGAAAGTAGTTGTTACTGAATTGGCATTGGAGTTTCCCGAACAACCTGATTTACAACCAATTAGAATAAATTTGGAAGATACTGATGGTAATACCATTTTGAACAAGCAGATCAAATTTAGCATCAAGGAAAAATCAATTTATCAATTGGTTGTTAAATTTAGAGTCCAGCATGAAATCATCACTGGATTGAAATATTTGCATTCAGTAAAACGAGGTGGGTTAAGAGTGGATAAAGTTGAAGAACCATTGGGGAGTTACGCCCCCAATACGGTGGAGAATCCATATTATGAACGTAAATTTACTGAAGTTGAAGCTCCTTCGGGGATGATTGCTAGAGGTACTTATTCTGCTGTTTCCAAGTTTGTTGATGATGATAAAAATGTTCATTTAACTGTTCCTTGGAGTTTTGCTATTGTAAAGTGAGAGTAATATATAGAGAAAAATGTGGAGTGAGCTATCAAGAATAAAATCTAATTATAACATCTAATTTATTTCAAATTGAAGAAACTCTTAGATACGTGCTCTTGGCCTATATTTCATCACCTCCTTGTTCCAAGTGCATTTGACTTCAGTTTCCGCACAGGAATATAAGGTGGAGCCTTGTTTTTCTTTTGGTTTGGCACAGTCGGTAAAAGCACAATTGGATCTCCATCTTCCAGGTCGTCATCATGATCTATTGTAATCACGCCAGGTTTGGCTGACACTGTCGGTAATGGTGGTGGTACTGGTGGTGCTGGTGGTGCTAGTGGTGCTACTTTGTGTTCTATCCGTCTCTTTTTTGCATTCATACCCAAACTTAGACTCAGTGCTGTTGCGAAGCCTGTGGATTTGGCATTTTCTGGCAGCGTGGTGGCAGTAAATGTATCATTGGTCGAATACATTTTCCAATTCTCAGCATATGCATGAAACAACTGTTCCAATCGACCATCAAGTGATTTATCATGTTCAATTCCAAGCAACGAACAAAGCAATTTGAACCCCTTTATGTTTTTCAATGCTGGCTGTACTTTATCAAACACTTTTAGCTCTGTTAGACGTCTGACAAACCGAGACTCCTCATCTATTGGTTGTCTCCAAGAATTTGTTGAATTCGACTCCTTGTAAGCTGACACATAGAGAAGTGATTTGGCTCTTGTACATGCAACATAGAAGCATCGTCTTTCTTCATCAAGAGCGTCGGATCCCGTTCCATACATTGCAAATCCAGCTGGTAACAAACCTTCAGATAATCCAGGTACAAACACAACTGGCCATTCAAGACCTTTAGCACCGTGGATAGTACTTAGCGACACCTTGGGAGTATTCGATTTCTCATCCCCCTTGTCATCAGTTGCATATAGCCCCACCGACTCGACAAATTGGACTATAAAGTTTCTGTCATCGGTAGTTTGTTCATCCTCAGTGTTACCTATAATCTCTTCATCCTGGAACTGGAAACCGCAAAACTGTTCCTTCACTTCATTAATATTTAATGATCTCTCCTCATCTCTTAGGTATTCTGCCTTGAGACCTGACTCTTGGAAAACATGTTCAAATAATTGTAATGCCCATACAGTCCTCTCATTATCAATAGTGCTTGGCTCAATTTTGCGCAAGATCTCTTTTGCTTTTTCAATCATACTCACGTATTTTCCTACACTATTTCTTGCCCGTAGTGGTAGCTTGGTATTGAGCTTGTCAAGAGCCAATGCCTTGAGTACTTCAAATGCCGTAAGCCCAGACCTTTTGCCACCTATGATAATTTCATCAATCAATTCGAGATTTTTTGCCCCGAGCCCACGCTTGGGGAAATTCAAGGTACGTGATATGGATATCCTATCATTTTCATCACCACAAACGCGCAAATAATCAATAATGGCAACAACCTCTTGTCTTTCCCAGAATGCTTTACCCCTGATCATAAAATATGGAATCTTCCTTCTCACTAGTTCAGTCTCCACGGCACGAGTTTGGAAAGCAGCACGAAATAAAATTGCAATGTCATTCGGCATAATCGTGGAGTTGGGGAGTGCTAGCAAAAACTCAATCTGATAAGCAATCCATTTAGCTTCTTGTTCAGCTGACTTTAGACACCTGTAAACGGGCTTTATCGAATCTTTAAATTGAGACACCAATTCTTTAGTTTTCCGATCCTCTTGTTGCCTCATTAATTTTTCCGATAGCTGCAATATCTCCGTGGTTGATCGATAGTTTTGATTCAATGCTATTACTGTACATGGTAGGTTGAGCTTGTCATAATGTTCAACCATTAACGTGAAATTTTTTGATTGTGCATCTCTGAATGCATATATGCTCTGATCAGGATCTCCAACAATGGTTACATTATTTTGAAATTCGTGATCGATAATACTCCCCCTGGCAAATTGATACATTAACCGGAGTTGAATATCATTCGTGTCCTGAAATTCATCAACAAGTACGTGCTTGACAAAATGAAGCACGGGGTACTCGGTCACCAAAGTGTAACAAGTAAGTAAACAATCGTCGAAATCAAGTTTTCGCTCTTCGATAAGTTTTATTTGATATGCCTCATAAATCGAGTGCAAACTTTGGTTATAGTCCTTTACACTTTTATAACTATCTGGCAAAATACCCTGCGATTTTAATCTTGATATTTGTCGCTTCAACCTGGACATATCAATCCCATGGTATTTTTCATTCTTTTTGTTTGATCTTAAGGGTAAAAGCTCCGCTGAAGGAGCATTGCGAATGTGGTTGATGGCTTCACCAGAAAGTTCTTTCTCCAACACTTCCCTCAAGAAATGGTCTTTGTCTCTCTCGTCGGCAATAGTGTACCCGCTGACGCCAATCTTTGATCCAAACCTTTTGATTATTCTGTAGCATAAGCTGTGAAATGTACCTACTAATAACCTCGACACATTAATTTCACGATGACCACTCAATAAAGTCTCCAACCTTTCCACTAGTTCATTAGCTGCTTTCTTAGTAAATGTGGTAACAATAATGTGTTCTGGTTTGATCTTTTCTACTAAAAGTAGGTAGGCAACGCGTGAGGTTAGTACTTTTGTCTTTCCTGTTCCGGGACCGGCAATGATTTGGAGACGGCCATGGGCTGGGGCAGTAACTGCTTGTTTTTGATTCTCATTAAGATCATTCAAGAACATTAAGTTCTGTGCTGTCCCGATGGTCATGCTAATTACAAAGTGTCGGAAGGAATTAAGTTGAGATCAATGTTTATATTTTCTCATACTTCTTGACCCCCCACACGTATTTTGTGTAGTTGATGACACTGGGACGCGTTAATGAAGCTACTGCTTTACACTTCAGGTGCAAAAGACGCTCAGGTGGTCAGTCAGACGGGGTTCGGTTACTAAAGTCACCGGTACGTAAGTATAAAGCAGCTGTAAAACAACTTATTTGACTATCATAATGACTTTTTAACTATGGTTATGCCAGTAACATATGAACGCTACCGTTTTGTTCATTCCAATTTTCTCTTCTATACACAACTTGAGAAACGGTAAAGCAAATCAAGCATGTATAGTTCAAGATGATCTATCGAGATATAGTTGTTGTCGTTTCATTTCTACTATGTCACGTTGTGGCTCTAAATGGGGCCAATTTTCTGATGCTACACAATCAAACATCAGTCAACCAAACTGCATTGAATGAAACCCTTGATGTTGCAATTAGAACTCAGAGAGACATTTCCAAACCAGTGCCTCTTGACCAGCTAGCGGTAACAGGCACGTCACTAACAACGATGTTTTCAAATGGAGATTACAGCTTGAACAGTACATCAAAGTTGCGCGATTTGCTAGATACCGGAATGCAAGCAATAATGTTGGATCTATATTGGAATGAATTTACATCAGTATGGCAATTATGCCCAGCCCCCTTTCCGCAAAATGTAACTTATAATCCAAACGATAAAGTTAAAGTCACCTGGAACAATGTTACGTATACTTGCGAAGTTGGATTCACAACCGATAATGTCATGTCCATAATTGAGTCGTACTTAGATTCTTCAAACACAAATTTTGAAGCTAATTTTCTCCATTTGCTACTCAACCTTAAGTCCATACATTATGAAAAGTCGAATAAGACAATGTCACTCGAAAACATTTATGCGCCTAATTCACGGTCAACTATTGTGGGGAACTCGACATTGAATGCTACAATCACCCCGATTGCTTCCTACATTTTCAGTCCAAATGTGCTAGATGACTACCGACAACAAGTTTATCTATCGTCAAACCCGTATGCTTCGTTCTACAATAAATCGAGTACAATCATGCCTACATTGGAAACTGTTCTACTATCGCAATACAAGAGAATATTGGTCAATGTCTTGAGCAATGAAATTGTTCCATCTCCTCGAGCCTACACAATCGACAGCCATGATCGAGAACTCATTTTCTTCAATGATACGTTACCAACATCGGTGAAAACTGCAAAACAGGTAGAGCCTTATTGCAACGAGCTTCTCAAATTGGATGACGACACAGGGAAATACAATGATATGTCCTTGACAACGGAATTCGTCTATGTCATTGATAACAATGATTACCAGTTTACCCAAGACAGTGTTCAGAATTTCCTAAGGTGTGGACTCTTGCCCATCTTTAATGCCACTTCATACGTCATTGACAATAAAAACATACTGGATATTGGAGATTTATTTATATCATTCACTCCCTATCTATTTTGGTCGTGGCGTGCGGGTCAGCCTCACGTGTTCAACAACTCAACATCAAGCAATCTGTCAAATAGTAACAACATGGATGCAAACGCATCTTTTCGGTGTGTAGTCATGACCGATAATGGTTGGAAGGTTGACGATTGCTACGAAAAGTTCTCTATCGCATGTCAGAACAAAACTGAGCCTAATGATTGGTATATACCACCAGGTGATAAGCAGACTTATTTTGATGTTGGTAGAGGTGACTGTCCAGATGGATACAACTTTAGCTTGCCAAGACTGAGCACCGAAATGCTCTCGCTTATGAGCGCTGTGAAGCGGCAAAATGTCGCTTACCCGGTATGGATTGATTTAAATGATATAACAATATCCAATTGTTTCGTATCAGGTGGCCCTTATGCACAATGTCCATATCAAAAGACAGTCACCACTACAAGATTTGTTCGTATGATTGCACCAGCTTCAGTGGTTTGCATCATTGTTCTTATTGCCGTTCTTCTTGAAAAATTGCTCAGAACAAACCATATACAGTCAAACAGGAAACGGTATTGGAAAAAAGCGCTTGCTGAGTACTATTCTAAGAACGATTACGAAGGAGTGCCATCATAATGTGGTTCGTGTAATTTTCCTGCATATAACTCATCTCATTTTGTATATTCTTACTTTTTTGTCTCTCTCCAAATTTTTAAACGCCTACACTGCACTACCTCCCAAAGGCAATAAACACACACCGATATACACACAATCAAATGAACGATCAAAACTGGAAGGCTTTGTCCAATGAGTTGAGGCGCAGAGCTCAACAAGCTCGCCAGTCAGGTGGAGGCAAAAATCCCAAAAGCCCATTGGCAATTTTTGGTGGAATTGGTGGAATTTTAGTCTTGGGTGGAGTTGCTATGTTTGCTCAAAATGCTTTGTTCAATGTAGACGGTGGTCAACGTGCCATATTATACTCGAGAATTGGTGGGGTTCAACAAAAAATCTATCCAGAAGGTACTCATTTTGTTATCCCTTGGTTTCAAAGACCAATCATCTTTGACGTTAGAGCTAAACCAAAAGAAATTGCATCATTGACTGGTACGAAAGATTTACAAATGGTGAATATAACTTGTAGAGTATTGTACAAGCCAGATATATTTGAATTGCCAACAATATTCAGGACATTGGGAACCAACTATGAGGAGAAAGTATTGCCTTCGATTGTCAATGAAGTGTTGAAATCAGTCGTTGCTCAGTTTAATGCTTCACAATTGATCACTCAAAGAGAGAAAGTTTCCCGATTAGTCAAGGAAAACTTGTTGCGCCGTGCTTCAAAGTTCAACATTTCATTGGATGATGTTTCTTTGACTTATATGACTTTTTCGCCTGAGTTCAGTGCTGCTGTTGAAGCCAAACAAATTGCTCAACAAGATGCACAAAGAGCTGCATTTATTGTTGATAAAGCAATCCAAGAGAAGCAACAATTGGTGGTCAAAGCTCAAGGTGAGGCTAAATCCGCTGAATTGATTGGTGAAGCAATCAAGAAATCTAGAGACTATGTCGAATTGAAAAGGTTGGACACAGCTAGGGAAATTGCAAACATTTTGGCATCATCTCCAAATAGAATTATTTTGGACAATGACACCTTGTTGTTAAACACTGTTGCTGATAGCCGTAACAATAGAAAATGAGTACAGTAGATGGTTTTGTAAATAGTAAAAGAATTTAACGAAATGAATTATTATACTTTACCGTGTTCCCAATTAAAATGTCTCTACTAAACCTATAAGATAGAGTTGACAATGTTGGCACCAACTGATGCACCTGCACCAAATAATGCAGCTTCACCAAAACGACTTCCATATTTCTTTACACGATCATGGCCATTTGAATGTTGTTGTTGTTGTTCGGGAGCAACCACAATTTGTTGTGGTGGTGATTGCTGATATTGTTGTGGAGGGTAGTAATTTGTAGATGGTGGAGGGTACTGAGCATAACCTCCATAAGATGGCTGATTCAGTAATGGAGGTTGATTATAAGATGGAGGGCCGTACGATGAGAAGGAGTTTTGTTGCGATGGTGAAGGACGTGGTGGAGCCAATCTGTTTTCAGCAGTGTTAAATTCTGCTTCTGAAATAACTGTAACGTAATTGGAAGGGAATACACCAGCCTTTTCCGGAGTGGATCCTGCTTTGTAACCTTTCCACCAATCTTCAGACAAGTGTTCAACCACTGCCAACTTATCACCCTTGGTTAGACTCAAATCATCTGGCTCTTGTGCAGCATAATCAAACAGCGCAACGCAATATCCAACTGGCTTAGGACCAGAACGAGGTGGTGCCGGTGGGTGGTCGGGTGGTGAAATATGAGTGTTGGCAAACTCTTGTGTCAATTTATTTGATTTCTCTTCATATGATGATGCTGGTGCGCCAGCTGGTGGAATAAACTCTGCCTTTTTTGAAACAGTGCCACTTTCTAAAACATCCACGTCCCATGGCTTCTCATCCTTTTTGTACTTCTGAGGTAAAGCCTCGACTAGCTTGTTGTAAAGTGCATCAGTGATGATATCCGAATCACGCAAAAACTCCAACTCCGTTCTCACTGTAGTTAATGATCTGTTCACTAGTGCTGCTGACATGTTGCAATTGCGATTTGTTGATGGATGTGGTAATGAATGTAAAGATTTTACTAAAGGCTTAGAAAATATAAAGAGGACAAATGTAGAGTGACATTTTTCGCTTGATCTAAAAATAGGGAACCACACAGCCTATTCTTAAATCCGACGCACAATGTTCCTTCCCTTTATTCATCTTATACCTATACAGTCCATGCTGATACCTTCTGCTAGTTCAATAATATTGCTTCCGTAAGCTCCTATGATTCTCGAATTTGATGCTGGAGTGATTTCCACTGCTCTGTTCCATAAGTGATATATTCTTATTGTTGAATCATTAGTGGCTACACAAACAGAACAAAAGTCGGGACTGGTTGTGGCACTGAGAATACGTAAATTGCTGGTGGCATTCACTTCCAACACTGGACACATCTCCGGATATGTGTAAACTCTCATAAGATTTGACTTTGTTGACCCACCAAACCCAAATGTAGCCACAATCTCTTTCTTGTATCTCGACCAAATCAATGACGTAATCTGACCATCAGTGTAAAACTCCTTCAACAAAGTCCCGCTAGTAGTGTGCCAAAATCGAATCTTACGATCTTTGCTACCTCCACCAGTAGCCAATAGAGATGCCGTCCAAGGGCAAAAGCTTAATGCTTTTATAGCGGCCTTGTGTGGTAGCACAAATTTCAATCGTGGTGACTGGAAATCGGGTAAACTCCAAAGCGAGCAACAATTGTCATTTGCACCCACCGCGACTTCATCATTGGTGGAGTTGAGGGCGATTCCTGGAAAATGTTAGTAAGATCATTTTCATCATGTGTACACAAATTCTTCTGATACCTCGCTATGCTTACCACAAATTTGTTGTTGATGAGCCCTAAAAGTCTTGATTATTTCAAGTTCGAGGTTAGATGACAGTTTGATTTGCATGATGTATACCTCACCACTATCATCTCCAGCCAAAAAATGTTCCGAGTCATTAAACCAAGTAAAACAAAAGATACATTTATTTTCTGGTGTATTGAATTCGCCAACAACTTGGTTAACTTTTTCCTTTTGATCAATCAAGAGGATCTTGCCATTTGCCGTAGCCACCAAGATCCAATACTCTTGTGAGCAACTAACTGCAGTAATTAAATTATCATTTTCATAATTGATTTGAACAACATGACTATCTGCGCCCCACATGTACATTCTGGATGCCAAGCCCACAATTACTCTATTTGTCTTTGTTGACCAACTTATCAAATTCGAATAATAATCATTTCTCAATCCAGGTGCCTGCAAGATATCCGAAGCCATTATTGATTTAACCTTGACTTTTTGCTTTTTTGATGCAGACCTGCTGATGATTTTGTCGATGGGGTCAGTTTGATGGATGGTGGGACCTTTCTGTGGCTGGTGGGTATATGCATTGTTGAACTTAAACACTTTTGAGCAACAGTTGAAGTTCAATGCCTCTGCAACCACTTCCTGGTGAAGATCATTTGGGATCAAACTGGTTCCTGGACAGCTTGAGTTGCCAGTTGAGCTCAACTGGCTTGAACTAGTGGTTGACCTTGGTGACGGGGACATGTTTGTCGGTGATTGCATTACCGTTGATACAAATGAATCATCACGAATGGAAAAGTTAAATTCATTGTTGTTGGACTGTATAACTGAAGCCCTTGACTCTCTGTCTGACCACACCTTGTAAGCCAGCATGGATGATGAGGTTGGGATAAATCTGTCACCACTAAGCAAGGTCTTTTCGTTTGATGACATGTTGTAATTGCGATGTGTGTTAGCTTCAGCTAGAGCCTCCTCAATAGCAAGATCAACTGAATAAAGAGATAGTTGGAGTAGAATATGAAGCAAAAAATTAGGTTGTCAATGTAGTTTGATATGTTTTTGCAACCACCTTGGTTTCTTTAATTTTTTTCTCCTAAGTTAGTTATGCCAAACTCTTTATCATTTTTGTGTCAAATGTTGGAGTATTTTATTTTTTTGTCTTTTCATCATTAACAATCCGGGAAACCACTTCAATGCCGTTGATAATTCCGACTAGACAAACATATCTTGAACCAGTGATCAAGTACACTTGCACATTGTTATTTTTGATCATCTGTGGCCAAGTGTTTTTCAAAACCAAAGAGCTAGTCGCTCAACCATTTGTTGATGAGATTTTCCACTTACGTCAATGTCAAACTTATTGTGCTTCTAGATTCGACAAATGGGATAATAAAATCACAACGCCACCAGGGTTATACTTATTGGGACTTGTATATGCAAAATCGTTAGAAGCGGTGACTGGCGTGTATGATTTGTGCCGAGACTATAATGTTCTACGATCATTGAATTTATTAGGTGGAATCATTGTATTACCAATTGTACTTCGAAACTTCAAAAGATCAAACACGAGACAGTACTGGACAGTGAATATCATATCCCAACCGTTGTTGTTTACCTATTACTTTTTATTCTATACTGATGTATGGTCAACAATTTTGGTGGTGATGTCACTCAGCTTGATCAATACGAGAGCTCACCAATGGCCAATTTTAAGCTCAATAATTGGATTCGCAAGCTTATGGATGAGACAAACAAACATTGCTTGGGTAGCTTTCATTGCTGTTGTTTATATCGACAGACAGATTTACAGAGTCCAATCAATTTTCGATAGAGTCCAATCGTTCATTGGGAGAAGTTTGAAAAATTGGTCTGCCTTATCGGGTTACGCGGTCAATTTTATCTTGTTTACTGCATTTTTGAAATACAACGGAGGGATCACATTTGGAGATAAGGAGAACCATCAGATTCAGTTACATTTGGTTCAAGTGTTTTACTGTTTCACCTTTATCAATTTTTTTACATGGCCCGTGTGGTTGAATCGTTCAACGATGTCAAAGTATATCAATTTTCTTATCGGAAACCATGGAGTAAACATCATTTTCAATATGGCTGCCTTTGCTGGGATAAAGTACATAATTGACAATTACACCATTGTCCATCCTTTCCTACTTGCAGACAACAGACATTACACTTTTTACATTTTCAAAAGATTACTCAGTCACAAGTATAGCAGTGTGATGGCAATCCCTGTTTATCATTTCGCTTCATACAATATCGTTGTATCGTTAGCAAAATCCAGAAAACTCAACCTATCGCCTATTGGTATTCTAGCATTCATTGGAGCCATAGTCTTGACTATTGTGCCCTCACCATTATTCGAACCAAGGTATTACATCATCCCATTAGTGGTATTTAGGTTGTACATTGCCCCAAATTATCCTCTTGCCAACTTGCTTGAATTCATGTGGTTAAATTTGATCAACTTGATTACCCTGTATATATTTTTCACACACCAATTCACTTGGGTAAGTGAACCTGGGGTAATTCAGAGAATTATTTGGTGATGCCAAGGGTACAATTAAATGCAATTACTGTCTATGTTCTAAAATCTACTTCTTGTAAAGTTTTGTCATCGTCCGGCGTGGGATTATTTTCTTCAGCATCGTCCAAATCTTGATCGTCTTCTGTCACTTCTTGAGATAGTGGGCTCTTGCTACTATTTGCTTTGGAATTGATTTTCAATTTGTCTTCAGTCTTTTTGGGCTTCGACACTTGTTTGATATCGTCTTCTTCATCGTCCTCATCGTCATCCTCGTCATCTTCTTCTTCATTATCGTTATTACTCGACGTCTGAAGAGATTTCGCATGATCTAGCAAATTCAAGTTCTTCGTAATGAATGTGTCTATAGATTGGAAGCTCTTGTTATGTAGCGCGAGAATCGAAACTTCATTCTGTTTCAATTCATCCAATAACTCTTTATTCACATTCTCTGGTGGCTCATTCTCCATCTTTGTCATCCACTTCTTGACTGCTCTTCGTTTCAACACTTCCAAATACGGCACCTCCAATTTAGACTCTTTATCAACAAACACGATTTCGCCTTCATTACCAATAAACAAGTCCCCATCGTTATTCTTTCTGTTCGCCTTGATATCCCAATTGCCCATTTCTAAATCATTGGCGAAAATCAACAAGAAATCACCCCAGGTGTCGGCAATTTGAAACTTGAAATCGAAATCTCTCCCAAAGAGAATAACTTGGCCCCACTTACCAGCTGGTGGGGGAGAGAGATCAATTCCAATGTAATTACCAACTTCATCAGTCGCTAATGGAATCCACATTGGGTGGGCAAAAGTTTCGTGAATCATTTTCGGAGGAATGGATCTTTGCTTTGGCATACGTAGATGATTATGAGTGGATTTGGTACTTGTCAAGTCTGCATCATGAGAAGAAACTGATGTTTTTCTTGATTGTGTATCTGTCAAGTCAAATGAGGTTTCAGCAGACGATAGCTCACTACTAGTGTTGAGACCTAGTTTTTTCTTGTATTGACTTGAGCTTGCATGTGAGACTGGTAATTTACTTAGACCATTTGCCTTATTGTTTTGTTGGCTGATGCCAGTGTTGATGTAGTCTGCAACTTTTCTCCAATTTTCAGTCTGTATCATTATATCATCCAAGGACATCAATCTCAACCCAAAAATGAGACCATTGGTATCTATATTCAATTGGTTGCCAAAGTTCAGTTGACCATCGGTGATTTTAAAAAATTGAAACACTGATTGTGGTAGTTTGATGTGTAAATCTTTTTGAAAATCTTCCAAATCTGCTGAAGTACATTTGCTCAGTAAAGAGCTGTTTAAATCAGGTGCATATTTGACCAACCAGTGCTTTATATGTCTCCAGGCTAATCTCATTTCATGTACACCTTCGGATCCATCACTTGGTTCGTTGGTGGTTATATTATGGATTGAATCAACCGATGAGTTGTTGTACAGCGAGTTCATGCCCAAGAGATTCTCGGAATCTGGTTTGTTGACTCTGTTGAATGACTTTCTAGAGTCAAATTCGGAATACTTATCATCAGTACTTAACGAATATATGATTTCGTGCAACCGTTGGCTGAATTTCATGACAAATGGAGATGCCTTTGTTTGTAGTTCTTGATGCGTAAATTGAGTAACCAATGTATATTCTTTAAAGCGGATGCAGTAACGTAGTCGAACCTCAGCTCAACTCTGTCTTTTCCTCAAACGAAGAGATCTCGGTCTACTCTAAGTTAGTTTTGATTGAAAACAAGAAAATTTTAACGAGAGCAGTCAAAAAAAAAAAAAAATGCGCGTTTTCAAAGTAAAGTATTGCAATATTGTATTTTGCGACATTCGATATTATAATTTAACCCAATTGGGTTAAATAATCAACAATATGGTACTACTAAAGTTCAGAGACATTACATTTATATCCCACCTACACAATACTTATAAATGTCACCTGGGCATGAAGTACAAATCTCATAGTAAATTTTGAAAAGTATACGATAAACCAGGTATTTCAATCTAGGAAGAATCATAAAAAACAAAAAGGTAGGCAAGAAACAACACCTGCAACGGGATTCTCAAAACAAAAAAAAAAAAAAAATATGATACTAGAAGAGAGTGAAAGAAGAAGGATAGCCGCAAAAGGACCCTCCCCTTCTCTCATCATCTCAACCCCAGAGTTAAAAAGTACCAAAGTCAAATACTTTTAGTATACGACTTTCGATTCTGAACACCAATTTGATTTAAAAAAAAAAAAAAAAAAAAAGGAATTGCTATGCAAGCAGGAACAAACAAGCCTTTTTAAACAAAAAAACTGGGTGTAGCGAAGATTCCAATGGCTTTTAAAGAACAGCGTATTGAAAGAAAACCTCTCAACTCGCCTGGAAAATCTTCAAAAGTGAACTTGTAAGGTGTTTGTGCTTTGAGGGAAGTAGGATGGGGAAAAAAAGCGGTAAACACCTCCCCCCCACCAAAACACGCCCTAGAACACTAGTTGATGTTCAGCTCCAATTAAGGAGCCTTGAATCTCTAGTACTTCTCCGGTTAGTGTTTTTTATTTGTTTATTTTGTTTATGATGGTTATCTTATTGGTTGATTTCATTAGTTCTTTTTGATCAAGTTTTTTTAATCACTATCCATGGTAATCAAATTGAAGAAGAAAAGAAGAAAAGGATGAAAGTTGGAAAATTTTTTTGATTTTGGAGACTGATTTTTATCATCGCACAAGCGATGGGGCCATATGCAGGATCACTAAACTCAACTCATCCATATAGGCTCTTCTTCTTGACAATCAACCAGCTTAATCTTTTTATTCTCTACAATCTCCCCATTCTGATTAAACGTTAGATTTAAAATGAAAACTATGTAAAATACACGGTACCTCCCCTCACTTATACAAAAGTTTTATAAATAGTATCAACTGTTCCCATTAATGGAAAATAGGATCGTGATACTCCCTATTTTGTAAAATTTTTCAAGTAAAATTGTGCTTAAACTGACCTCCTCAATTGATTTACCAGTTTGAAGCAGCAGCATCTTCAGCAGCTGGAGTAACACCAGATTCAGCCCAGTCAAGATCTTCAGTTTCACCAGTCCATTCGGTTTCAGCTTCAACAACAACAGCTTCTTCAACTTCTTCAGTAGCACCTTCTTCAGCAGCATTTTGTTCAATTTCTTCAGGGTCTCTGTAAAAGTACAAATCTGGCATGACTGACCATTCGGTAGTTCTGTCAGCAATGATACCTCTCAATCTCAAAACTTCTCTAGCCAACAACCACCAGATCAAACCAATGGAGTGTTTACCTTTGTTGTTACATGGTATAGCAACATCAACGTATTCAGATGGTGAATCCATATCAGTCAAAGCAATAACTGGAATGTTGACATATGATGATTCTTTGATGGCTTGAGAGTCAGTTCTTGGGTCAGTAACAACAACCAATCTTGGTTCTTTGAAAGAACGGGTGATATAGTTTGTAAAGTTACCTGGAGTGAATCTACCAGCAATGGCAGTGGCACCAGTGTGAGCACCGAATTTCAAAACAGCTCTTTGACCGAAAGTTCTTGATGAACAGACAGCAACATCAGAGGCGTTTGGAATAGCGGCAATGATTCTGGCAGCCAAGACAATCTTTTCCCAAGTCTTACCAATGTTGATGACATTGACACCATCTGGTCTGGTTTTGTAGACGTATGGTTTGTTGTGTACCTAAAAAAAAAGCAAATTGTTAGTATTTCATTGTCTATAATGTTGATGTGAATCGAATGAGTATAGCAAGTGACATGTGTAGATCCTTGGTTAAAAATACAATTGAGGGTGGCTTGAGCTTTTCTCAAACTCCCATTCAATGTATCTCCTTTCCTAGAGTTTTGGGCATATTGGCAATCCCTGTTTTTTTAATGGCTTTCCTCCGTTGTGTTTATGCCATGCTATATTTCATTAATTCACATTAAATCCCTCTCTATGCATTTCTTAAAAACATACTTGAACATTCTTAGATCCCAAGTGGACGTTGGCAGCTAACAATAATTTAGCGTCTTCTGGAGTTAAGTCAAATGAAGCTGGTAATGACATCTTTGGTTATATTGACTGGTCTATGTTGGTAAGATATATCAAAGGTTTCACTAAGGTTGAAAAAATTTTGAAAAATTGATTCTTTTTTTTTTTTTCTTTCCTTCCAAGAGAGTAGTGTGTAACTGCTAAACAAAAGTTTGTATGTGAGAGTGCGAGAAACTCATAGTAAAGCGAAGGCAGCCTAGGGAGTGGAGGGGAGAAAAAAAAAACCTCTCGCCCTAATGGCCGCGATTGTCTCAATGTTCGCACGAAGGACCGCACCATAATGGGGGAAAAAATTTGTAAATTGTTGCACGCAATAAAACCTTTTGTGCAATGCCCGAGGTGATTATAGCCCTAAAACAATACTTGCACGTGTATAGTTTCCTGTCAAACATCAACACTATCAATGAATCATCATCGAACTGACAAGAGTTGTTTGTATACGCACATTTCCCCTTGACAGAGGATAGTCGTAGCTTAACGTTCATTCATGCACGATTACACTACGTGTGATTGAAATGTGTAACCATTGTTAGTACAGACTTCTTTATACTACTTTACATACTTCCAAATACTTATTGTTTCAGCGTACTCCTCTGGTAACATCAAGTATAGAAACTTTAGATTATGGTCATACTTGAATGAAATCATATTTCCGGATAGTAAATTCTTGACAATGGAGTGTCTGAAATTCTTCGCCCGCTGAAACAATTTCACATAGTTGACAAAAATTGCTTGATATGTGAGTGACTTGTTTGATATAGATAAAAACGTTGTCCTGTTGTAAGAGCCTTTATATTGAAACCTGATCCCTCCTTGCAACCTTTTTGAGTTTTTAAGTTTCAACAAACATACGAAAATCGGTGTGAAATTCAAAACAATAGTTATATTCTCCAACAAATTATGAGCCATGAGTATCATGATATGGAAAATGGTGAATGTAAGGTAGAATGCAAATGTAGTTGGTAAAAGGAAAATCATAATCATAAACAATAAAGTCCCCAATAATAATTGATCAATCTCGAAAACATCCCCAGTTTCATAATTGTTTAAGTTGTCTATTCTATTACGAAGCACATTGTACTTCTTTCCCCGAAACAATTGAAACAATGACTTGATAATTTCAAGTTGTCGTTTATAAATTTTGGCAGCACCGTAGTAGAATGCATACATGTGGAACGTCAATAATTGAATACAATCAATAAGGAATGATAGCAAGAATGAGCATCCACCTCCATAACAAAGAACTTTCAATATTTGTAAAATCATGCTCTTGTTCTTGCTAATGTGAACATTTTCCACATAATCTCTCCAAAATAATATTGTCCAAATGTATAAATCACCAAAGAATTTACCCAAGTCAGTATTCAATTTAAAACCAGCGGGATTTTCAGTTGATACCCAAGTTATCAAAGAAACTAACTCATTGCATAATAACTTTTCCAAGATTGTCGATTGGATAAAGTTGAATATTTGATATTGGTACCTGTCAATGTACCCATAGACTGTAACTCCAAGTAAGATATCATTGAAAATCAACCATAGCGAATTATATAAATTGATGTAGTTTGAATTGTTGATGTTTAAATTAGTATTGAGGATGGGCAATTTCAATTCATTGATAATTTGTGAATCTTTTTGATATAATACGTTTCGATCGTAGTAGCACAAAAATTGAATGGGGAAGTAGTTTAACTGTTTCAATCGTAGATCCAATTGTCGAAAACATTTTGAGACTTGAACCAATGAGTAACCCAAAATTTCGAAATTGATAATCAGTAAAAGCATTATTAGCACATTCTGGCAAATTTTAATGATAGGTATTATCGATTGTACAACTATCCACTTGCAAAATGAGTCAAACATTGTCGATGTGGACAGTATACTAACTTGTTTGAGTTTATTTCGAGCTCTGTATATCAGATTGATCTTATCCAAGACATCGCCATCAGCTATTGATGTATTTTGCGGTGGTATCCCAACCTCCGGAATATATGCATCAAATTTTGATTCAATTGATGTTGATGATTTCGTTGACTTTTCCACAGATTGTAATAAAATGGGCTCAATGGAGAAATACTCCAAGTTTCTGAAATTTGGGGGATCGAAATAAATAATGGTAGGATTGAGTGAACACGAAACGTGTCCTCCCGCTTGATCGTAGTGCAAGTTCAAAAGATACCCACTTGACGGTTGATTGATTGTGCCCACAATTTTCAACCCAGGAATTGCAGCAGTATAGGCGTTCGCATCCTCCGTACATTGAAATATAACGTATGCATTCCCAACCTCATATCCCAAAAGAAACACCTCATGATGATGGGTAAAGTACTTTTTCAAGTCATTTGGGAAATATATCTGCACGGGACATGTATCATTACTGAAGTACATTTACTGCAAACGAGTCACGACGTAGAAATTGGGAACTATTGTTGTATTGTAAATAAAACTCCTCCTTTCGTAATCTTAGCAGTCGGGGCAGAATTTCAAGGCTTGGAGGATCGTCGATCTCACTGGTAATTGATGATGTACTAGAAGTTGTAATGAATGGATAAGTCTTGATGACGAAATAATCGAGCAAGTATATGGAAATAATGTAAATTGAAGTAAGGACTATTAGTACAATTAGTGCTCGGATGAGTATTTCCCATAGATGGATATCCACTGTCATATAAGATTGGGCATGCCAGTTGTTGTGTCTCTGGTTTGAAAAATAACTGATGTCATCTTTCCTTGAGTAGCGAAAGCGCTACCAACTTAGATTTGACTTAGTACAAACCACCACCCCAATTGAAACTAACCTGGATTAACAGTGTGAACATAATCAGAGTGTTTCGGGTAAAGTAAACTTCTACAATCGACTATAAAGTGTGAGCAAACAGAGATAATAAAGTGTGTGAGCATTCTTTGAAGTTGAGTTATTTTATCAAACTCTAGGTGCAAATTGCTTGTGGACTTTACTTTGCAACGCAATCAGCGCAGAGTATTATCTTTTCGATGGACCTTGAGTTTGACCGTGCCATTGCAAAGTGGTGGCGTAACTTGCGTCATTTGCAGAATTAGCGTATATGTCTTCCCATGTGTTGTGTCAATCAAAATTAGACAGAATACACACACACAAAACAACAGCAGTTACGTACTTAATCTCTAATTTTGTAACACGACACTGACGCAATCGAAGAACAAAACGAAGAAAAAAAAAAAAAAAAAAAACGCCAACCACTGGAATGGAGAGGGAAAAAACAATATTCAGCCATCAAACCGCAAATACACGCAGATTCTCCCCTTTTTGAAAACAACCACTACATTCTTCTTCTTTACCAAAAGAATCCACTATAAATTCATATTTTTCCATCCATATATAGCTGCTGCACAAACCTCAAGTATATTGATACTTTTCATACGTATATGTCCAAAAGCAAACTATCGTCACTGTATAACCATGGTACTACCGTCTCCTTAAATGCCAATAGAGGCACAACTGCCATTGGCAGGGTTTTATTCATTTTTACCAGTTTTATCAGATTGGCTCACTCGATTCCAGTTCATATTAACAGTGCTTCGACTGCTGCTGCTTCATCAAAAGATGGTTCAGTTGAAGTTGCTCAAACTCCAGAACAATTTTATGTCAATTTATTTACATCTGCTTTTCTTGTTTTGGCTGGTGGTGTATTTGCAGGCTTAACTTTGGGGTTGATGGGACAAGATGAAGTTTATTTAAAAGTCATTTCGTCTAGTGGTGAACCATCTGAACAAAAATACGCGAGAAAGGTTTTACGATTATTGGGAAGAGGTAAACATTGGGTTTTAGTTACGCTATTGTTGTCCAATGTCATCACCAATGAGACTTTGCCTATCGTCTTGGATCGTTGTCTTGGAGGAGGATGGCCGGCAGTTGTTACGTCTACAGTGTCAATTGTCATTTTTGGTGAAATCATTCCTCAATCCATTTGTGTTCGATACGGTTTGCAAGTGGGAGCATTGTTCTCTCCGTTTGTTTTGTGTTTGATGTATCTTATGTACCCAGTTGCTTATCCTTGTGCGTTGTTGTTGGATCACATTTTGGGTGAAGATCACGGTACCGTTTACAAAAAATCAGGATTGAAAACCTTGGTCACTTTGCACAAGACTATGGGTGTAGAACGATTAAACCAAGATGAAGTCACCATTATTAGTGCTGTTTTAGATTTAAAAGAAAAATCAGTTAGTTCAATAATGACACCCATGGATAGAGTGTACACAATGAGTGCTGATACGATATTGGATGAAAAAACAGTGGAGGAAATTTTCAATGCTGGGTTTTCTCGTATCCCTATTCATTTACCTGGAGAGCCCGATAATTTTATTGGTATGTTTTTAGTTCGTGTTTTGATTAGTTATGATCCAGAGGATGCTTTGCCTGTGGCAGCTTTCCCCTTGGCTACATTACCTGAAACTGGTGTTGACACTTCATGTTTGAATATCCTAAACTATTTCCAAGAAGGTAAATCACACATGATTATTATTAGTGAAACACCAGGTGAACCAACGGGAGCAATTGGTGTATTGACATTGGAAGATGTTATTGAAGAATTAATTGGTGAAGAGATCGTTGATGAATCTGATGTCTATGTTGATATCAACAAGAATATCAAGAGAAAACAGCCGGGTCCATTGTCCAAAAGACATCTTACTTCATATTTGCACAATTTGTATCAAAGAGGTGGAGCTACTGCTTCGAAAAGAAATTCTTTGGAATCTCAAGATCCCCCGTCAGATTTGCTTTCAAGATTGGAAAGGCACGGATCTCAAGCAACTGTTATCTCCTCAACACCAAAGAATAAGGGTAGTAGTGTCAAGCAGCACGGTGACCATGAGTCAACTGCTACCGGTGTAACAACCAATAATGGGCCATCTGTCATGACTGGCAATTCAGCAATAGCCAATGCTGCTGCTGCTGCCAAATGGAAGATTCAAAACCCGGCAATGAATCCGTTAGAAACTAGTAGAAAATTTGTCACCATCAAGAGACCTGATCAAGGTAAACTTGAATCTGTTGCCAAAGCAGCTTCACCAGCACCTCCAACACAGCCACAATCCATTGATAGGAATAAACTAGTTGGTCAAGTGCATACTACAGAACAAGGAGCTATTGATGAAGCACAAAGAAGATCGGTTGAGTTGCGAGATAGCACAGATGACAAGTCATCAAGTCGATTCTTGTTGCCAAATGAAAGAGAAGCAGATGTGTCGGAATTACCTGATGGTGATAAAGACCACCACAAACATCATGATGGACATGTCAACATACCAATACCGACAGCTTCAACAAGATTAAATGGCGATGGGTCTGGTATAACCATTACTGAACATCAAGAATCAAGATCTTATAGAACTGGAGGTATCATTGAGTCAGTAGTCAATGTCGATGGTGTTCACAAGACTATTATTGAAAATGTATCTGACCATGATGATGCTGCTGATGCTGATGGTGTTGATGCATTGGAAGCGGCCAGTGTCTTGTCTGATCAGCTGAAAAAGAAGCACAGGAAAAAGAAACCAAGAAGAACAAGCTCTACCAGATCTGATTCCTTTAGTATGAGCAAATTCAGTGGTGATGAAGAAGAGAGTATTTCTTTGTTGAATGGTGGTGGTAACAACAGTAGCAGACATTCATCCGGAAGTGATAGCAGCAAAGCAAAGAAGAAGAATCGAAGATTGAGTGATCATGAGTAGGTACATCCCCCTCCACCTCGATTGTTTATTTTGTATATTGATTAGAAACAGAATATGATTATGCATGTTTGGTAAAGTCGCAGTAGAGTACAGAGAGGTGCGGATGTATCGACGATATCAATTATGGGCACGCTCCCATAGTCAAGCGCCCCAATTCGAAACTTACAAAACAACGAATATATGTCTGTGATGATAGCTAGTTATGTTTTCTAATAGAATCAGTAGTATAAAAATGAATCACCAAGTTTCAGCTTGCTGGGATAACTTGGAGTTTGTCAAATGGATCGCCAAAAATAAGTTGCAAAATTCCAATAATTAAGAGCCATTTTGCAACTCATGATATAAAGCAACCATGAGCTAAAGCACACCTTCATGTTAGTGAAGTTAATGCATCAGCAGCATCCTTGAAAATTAGCTTTCCACGACTTGCAGTTCTTTTTTCTGCAAAGTTTTGCCAAATAACCATTCAGAATATTGGAATATTTTATATGGAAAATTTGAAATTTATATGCTGCGAGCAACTTACATTCTCTGTCCATGATAATAGACCATTTTACTTCAGAGGATACCAGCCTCCTGCCCGTATGTATAAGCTTTAAGTTGATCAAGACTCGGAAAAGGGTCGGTAGCTAAACTTGTGTGGTGAAACCTATAAACTTGTCTTACTCTACGCAAAGAAATGCGAACTAGTTCAGAGTTTGGATTTTTCATTTCAGTAAGATACTATACGGAACTACGTTTTCCCTACATGAAAGAAATGCCTGGTTGGTATTTTGAAAATTTCAAAACGGGGCTCTTAACTATGAGAGCGTGACCATAATTGATACCGTCGATACATCCCCACCTCACTGTACTTTAGATTTTCGATCGCATTTAGTTATCTTTAATGTATTGGAGTTTTTAGTTAGACTAAACCCGTAAAAAGAGGGGAGCGCGATTGCTACAATGTCTCTATTTCGGATGACATCGTGAAAGAACAATAGAACGGATTTATTTCCATATTTGATATGGATGAGGATAATGACAATAACATTTGATGATGATGATGATAATTAGCAAAAAAGATGATGAGCTGTGATGCTTGACGGATGTAAGGAGCCGATCTTTTGGTAAAATAACCGAATAATTTTATAGTTGCTAAAATGACGTTGATGGGGATGTTTTCTGCAACTTCGGCGCCAAATAGAGCTGAGTGTGGAATGTTTCGTTGATTCCATTAGAAACAGCGTTCATAAGGGTTTCGATGGCAGGATGGGATATTACTGGCTATAGGGTCAATAAGAGTTATAAACTGTGACTACGATACAATATATAGCTGGAGTAGAGTAGAGTAGAGTAGAGTAGAACAGCACAGAAAGCAAACAACCAAAATAAAATTGTTAGTATTAACTGTAAAGAGGAATAAAAGTAACTTTTCTCTTTTTTTTTTTTTTTTTTTTTTTTTTTCTTTTTTTTGAAACATTTTTTTTTTTTAATTCCTTTTTTGTTAAAACCGACAAAGGAACAAAGCTTGAGGTTTTTAGACGATCTCCCTTCAGTTGTCATAAATATCAATTTGACACGTTGTTGATTCATGATACAAGTGATATATACATATACTTGCAACATATAATAGCCTGAATCCACTATTTGAAGCTACTGAATCCACCAGTTAAAGCTACCAAGCCCCCCCTTTATTACAGAGCGTGTTAGTGTGTCTGCTTTTGATCTCACAGCCCCATATCAATCCAACGGATAATTTATTTTCTTCATATTTTTTGCATAAAACCACTTATACATTGACTATGCCATTTAAAAGTTTCTTCAATTCATCATCGACTTCTTTGAATGATCAACAATCGACATCGTCTCATCGATCTTTCTTAAGACTGAAGAATAATTCACGTCTGATAACGCCAATGTCGACTAGTAGTTCAGTTGCATCGAAACGAAATGGTGGGGATGGCGCTGCTGCTGTTGCTGCTGCTGCTTCGCCGCAAAGTGTACAAGGACAAAACAACCCAATTGGTCAGCAGCAGCAACAGCAACAATCGCAGCAGCAACAGCTGAATCACCACCATCATGGTGTGTTGAATCATCTGCATCATAATCAGAATAATCTGCATCATAACAGCCCCTTTTCAGCCAATTCACCTAAAAATAGTTCACCTGCATCTTCAAACAGCGATGTATCCACTAGTAAAGTAGGTGGTGGACCATTGAAACGGTTTCTTAAAAAATTCAAGCCTAGTGGACCATCGCATAAGCAATCCAAACAATTTGGTGCTGGCAAACCTGAACCCATCAGTCCTACGGCTGATTTGTTCAAAAAATATGGATCACCAGGTAAGCTTTTGGGGACGGGAGCTAGTGGATCAGTCAATTTGTTGACTTCGAAAACTGACCCCACCAAGATTTACGCGGTCAAGAAATTTAGAAGTAGATTACCCAATGAACAAGATTCCGATTATAAAATGAAGGTTCAAAATGAATACAAAGTGGGGGAATACTTGGATCATCAAAATATCATTCACACATTTGAACTAATTAAAGATTACTCTAAAGTTGGTGGTAAAGTAACTGATCCCGACTACTACATTGTTATGGAATATTGTCCGTTTGATTTTTTCAATTTGGTAATGAGCGGGTTAATGAGTGAAAACGAAATCAATTGTTATTTTAAACAAATTGTTAAAGGTGTTCATTTCCTACATGAGAATGGGTTAGCTCATCGTGATTTGAAATTGGATAATTGTGTTGTTAATACCCAAGGGATTTTGAAATTGATTGATTTTGGATCAGCTGTCCAATTTGAAAAAGAGGTGCCTAATGGATATTATGTTACTGAACATGATACCATGTTGGATTCGCAACATAAATTGATTTACGCTAGAGGTGTTGTTGGTTCTGATCCATATTTATCACCAGAAGTATTTGAACCCATGGGATTGGGCAATGGATATGATCCAAGAACCGCTGATGTTTGGTCAATTGCCATAATTTACTGTTGTATGATATTGAGACGGTTTCCTTGGAAGTTGCCCAAATTGAGTGACCCTTTGTATAGATCTTTTGCTGGACCACAGTTGAACCCAACGCCAAGTAACATTGAGAAAGACATGAATAGTATGCATATTGATCAACAACAAGCGCAGCAGCAACAACATCATCATGATAGACATGCACATCATGGACCTCAAGGACCAGAAAAATTGTTTCGTTTATTACCATCAGATTCACGCAATTTGCTAAAAAATATGTTAATCTTAGACCCCAAAAAACGATATTTAATGTCTGATGTGGCAAGAGATCCATTTTTACAAAGCATAAGAGAATGTAAAGTGCTTGGTGATCGTAATGATCAACATACTGTGCTAAGTGATAATCACACTCATCATTTGATTAGTGAAGAAGATTTGAAAAAGATCGATCAAGAGAAAGAACGAGCTAAAAAGTTGAGAGAATCTGGAATGGGGTAGGACGGGAGCTTACACCTTTGTTTTGATTGAAGAGTGGTGATATGTAGCAAGTGTAGTATCCTGTTAGGTGCGGATGAATGATAAAATGGCAGTACAGTGTGTATTCGTCATAACTGTAGTCTTTCTTTTCTCTCTTGGTGTAACAAAAACCAAAATAGGAAAACTGTTTTGATCACACACGAAAATAGACAACTACCAAGAACACGATCAAAGAGAAGGATCAACTCCCTTACAAGTAGCCAACATAACATCGGTGATTCATAGTTTCACAACACCACCTTCCTACATATTCTAGTCATGTCACTACTACAGCATCTCATTGCCACTAACGATGATGATTCCAAACTACCGTTGCCTCATTGGGTTATTACCATATCATTCTATTCATCACTAACATCAGCATTCATTATATCTATTAGTATATTGCTCCATTTACTCAACTATCGCAAACCTTTCCAACAACGACTCATGATTCGAATACAATTGATTGTGCCGCTTTTTGCCCTCAGTTGCTATTCAATGTTGATTAATCAAACTTCTATTTTCAATCGATTCATTTTGGAACCTGTACGAGAGATTTATGAAGCATTTGTCATTTACACATTTTTTTCATTGTTGACTGATATGTTGGGTGGTGAGCGAAACATTGTTATAATGACCAGTGGCAGAAAACCAGTACCTCATCCTGGTGTAATGGGGTTTGTGTTGCCTCCATTAGACATTTCTGACCCCAGGACATTTTTACTGATTAAACGAGGTATATTGCAGTATGTGTGGTTGAAACCGGTTATATGTTTTGGTACATTGTTTTTTGAGATGATGGGTTGGTATAATGTCAATGATATGAGTTACAAGTCGATTTATTTATGGATGACGGTGATTTATAATGCCAGTGTTACATTGTCATTGTATAGTTTGGCGATTTTTTGGAAAATATTGTGGGATGATTTGAAACCTTTTAAACCGGTGGGGAAATTTCTTTGTGTCAAGTTGATTATTTTTGCATCTTATTGGCAAGGGGTTATATTGGCAATTTTGAATTTTTTCGAAGTACTTCCTGGGAGTGGCAATGGAGGAGAAGGGGATGGTTCCAGTTCTGGTTCCAGCTCAGGCGAAAGTATTGGTGTATGTATACAAAATGCATTGCTTTGTGTTGAGTTGATTGCATTTGCCATTGGCCATTGGTACTCCTTTTCATATTTCCCATTCACAATATCACAATTACCTTGGGGTAGATACAAGTTCCGGTATGCATTGAAAGATTGGCTAGGCTTTAAAGATTTGGTGATTGATTTCCAAAAGACATTCAAAGGTGATCATTATAAGGATTATCGTCAATTTGATTCAGTGGAGGCTGTAGTGGCCCATCCTGAATCAAAAGGAAGAATGAGTCGCATTCATCAAGGTTTACGGTATCATTATGACGGAAAACACAAACACTGGCTACCTGATAATCTGAGCTTGCATAATGGGACAAATGGGAACACGTTGCTATCCGGGAGTGTACCCAGCACCTCGGAAATACATGCTTTGGATAACGCATCATTGTTATCGAATAATACATCAATGAGGGCGATTTACCCGCAATCGCCAAAAACGTCGCCACCTGGATCACCATTAATAGGTAACGATGGTGATGACAATGCAAGCATTGATGGAGCAACAGGAGAACCTCAGATTGCCACATCAACGATAATACTGGATATTATCAACTTGGACTCTATCCTATCAACGATTGATTATACCCGGGAACAATTTGACCAAGATGAATTGATTTATGAAGAAGCCATTGAAGAAATTGGCAATTATGCTTTGGAAGATGATGATGTCAAACAAATTTTGAATTATCCCATAGTTGATGGTGTATTGGATAGTCATGTTTATGGATACAAGGTTCAAAAGTTGCGACAACGTCAAGATTTGCGTAAGGTGAAGCAACGTAAGGAGTCGATTTTGCAACTGAATCAGAGCTATCGATATGGGAGTATTGTGTGAAAAGGGAAAGCTACTTGTCAGTGTATATGCTAATGATATATTTATTTTAGGATATACTCAACGGAGTAGAGGATCATTTTATGTGATGGGTATTCTATGTACAATGGGGACGTCGTTTAATCCTCAATTTTAAGCAGGTATAATGCATCAAGATCCTCTTCCTTTTGTTTGGTTGGAACCTCATTGGCTTTTTGAACCTTTGGTTTATTCTTTTTGGGGGCCTGTTGCTGTGTTTCACTCACTTTTTCTTTTTCACTGGCTCCACTGGTAGTTGTGGTTGTGATTGGCGAGATGGAGTACGCTACTTTACTTTCAACATCACCTTCCTTAGTCCATTTGCATTCCAACGAATTCAAAATATCCTCCAATGTATCCTTAACTTTATGTCTTTTCTTTAGTTCAATTTCCATCATTTCATTTACATCTGGATCAGCATTATTGGCTCGATAGATGTCGGTGATTTTCAAATTTGGAGATTTCTTATTATGGATTAAATAAATGACAATCTTGGTTTTTTCCTTTTTCAATCGATTCTCAATTTCAACTTGTTTTTGATTTGTTAAATCATTCAAGCTGATGGACCATTTGATCATGATTTGCTTTTCACTTGATTTTTTTTGTTTTGCTCGTAACTTGTTATCGAGTGCCTTGATTGTCTTTTTCGAGCCCATTGTTAGCAACTCTAGTTCTTTGGCTTCTGCTAGTTCGTCATTATACGCTTTAAACATTTCTTGAATCTTAATCTTTTTGATCAATGGAATTACTGAGGGTGAAGATGAAGTACCGGCTGGTGGATTTGTATTGGTGACTACTTCTCTCTCAATCAATTGCAATCCTTGTGTACTCAAGTCTAAATCTGCAAGAACTTGTTGAATTGAACAAGTGATTAGTCCCTGCGTTGGGGATACATATTGGACTTGTTGATTTAATGGTTGCAATTGATGAATTCGGGCAAGGATTGATTTTAATGCATTTTGAGCTGATTCAGACCCGGTATCGAGAATTTTTTGTAAATTAAACTGATTGGATGAATCATTGTTGCGTAGTTTAGTATTTCCTTCACGACGTCCATGATGATGGCGCGGTGTTGGTCTTGGCGAATGACGATGACGACTATGATTAGTGCTGTTGTACTTTTCTTGAAATCGATTAGATAATGATGGAGTTGGTTTTTTCGAATCAGTGTCTGATGTCCTTGAGGAAGATGTGTTTGATTTGATATTGTTGTTGCATACTCTAGCTGTGGTGGTTATATGCCTTTTACATGTTAGACTTTTCAGTAATGAACGTAGCTGTAATGATAACATGGTGCATTGGTTAAACTTTTGATATTCAAAGATGAATTTTTCAAAAAATAAAAATAAAATTGCATTATCCATTTCCGATATCGTGTCGAAATTGTCACGTGAAATCCTTGTACGACACTAAAAAACATTTGAGTGTGGACAATGCTGGAGTGAACAAGAAAACAAGACAGTAGAGGTGACTCCCTAATTGAAATATAGAATGCACTCGGAAAATCTAGAAATGCTGTCAAGTCAATTCCTTAAACATGTAAACAATAGGAAAGTTTTTCTTCAATCATGCCTAAACTCCTACCTTAACTCCTACAATCTCCGATACTATTTCTTTCGTTCAAATGACTTTAGACGACAAGCAGCTTCGTTATACAGTCTTTTTATTTTTTATTCATACTAATGCGCATTAATTTTTCATACCAGCGCGACATAATAATTCATACAAACGCGACATTTATTTTTCATACTAAAATGACATAATTTTTCAAACTAAGACGACATAAATTTTCATACCAACGCTACATAATTTTTCAAACCACTGCGACATAAATTTTCAAACGATTTACATCATTACCCAAAAGAATTTCCATACCTCTGACCTAATTGAGCCTGGCTCTGTAGAATTAGGGCAATTGGATTTAAAGTATGAAATAATATCAAACCAAAATTTTTTTGTCTGAGCTTAGTCCTTTTCTACTCGCCTCTCTTGGGGGATTTTTGCAGTTATTTTCCCAAGCCAAAAGCTGTCTCCTTCCTATTCACAAGGATCCATACAGTTTAGAATGATTTCTTTTCTAAACAGTATGGTATGAAGCTACTAGCATGCTTACAGAAACCTTGATAGCTTTCTAAGACTATCTTTGCTGTTGCTTCCCTTACCCTTGGTGTTAATTGTTCTTTTCTAGATAAGTTTGATCGCTTAACTTTAGCCTTACATACCGACCAAAACTCTTCAATTGCATTCAATGAAGGTGAATAAGCTGGCAAAAATACTAGTTCCATTCCACTCAGTGCCACCAATAACTCGAGGTCGCGACGTTTATGGATCGCTGCGTTATCAAGTACCAAATACTTCATTTCCTTAAGTGCCTGGTTTGTTTCAATTTCTCTAAGCACAGACTTGACAAAGGAGTAGAAATGATCGGCTGTGGTACCAACCCTCGACTTCTTTTCCGAAATGGTAGTGTTGGAATTAACTTTTCTCTTCTTGTTAGGAGCATTCTCGACTGGGAGTCGCACCTTCAAGTCAATACACCCTTTTGGAGAGATAGCACCCAAGAATGACACATTGAGACCTCTGGTGACAGGAACTTTAAGGACAGCCTTTTCACCTACTTTTGACCACCCATATTCCCGTCTCATACTGATGTTGAAACCAGCCTCGTCGATGAAAACACAATTCTTTTCAAGGTCAATTTTGTCCTTATTCTCAAGTGCCCACTCGAATCTCTGTTGTTTTAATTCTGGCAGATCCCGTCTCATGGACCATTTAGAAAGTCTCTTGAGACTAAATTTGCATACCTTGATAAGAAAGTTATAAATAGTAGATTCACTTGCCTTCACACCTTCAAATGTACTCCTTAGTTTATTCAACAAGAAGTCTACGGTGACAGTGGGGTCAGAAAGAACCAACTCTTTCAAATAGTTTTTGTGGTCTTCAGAGAGAAGAGGTTTACGACCACGCTTTTTAGGTTTGTCATAGATACCATTAATTTCGTTAGCAATAAGGCGATTCCAATTTCTTTTCCAAGTATAAGCTGTTTGTAAACTGATGTCTGTTGCTTGTGCAGCTCTGTATGCAGAAGACCCTTGTTCGATAACTAGTTGCCAGAATCTTTGCTTCTCTGCTTCAGAGTAGTATCTGTATGGACCTCTTTTAAATTTACAGTTTTTATCCTGTTCAGGGCTAACGTCTACATCTACGTCAACATCATCACACTCCATATTGGAATGTAAATTGTCAGCTTCAATTTTAGTTGGAGGGACTGCTTCATTGTAATCACTGTAACAAAAACAGGACTCTAATGGAGCTGTCTGACTGTCCAAATCCATGAGGTCTGACTCCAAAGTAAAAGAATTTCCAAGTCCATCTACATATCTGTTTGTGTGTAACTCCAGCTTGGAATTCATTATCCCTTTTAATCTTATATTAATAATTTTCTTTCCTACGGGAAACAAAATCACATAAAACAAAATTATGTCGCACTAGTTTGAACAATTTATGTCGCGTTAGTATGAACATTTATGTCGCACTAGTATGAAACAAAAATAAAGAGACTGTATCTTTCAAGGGGAAGGGGGAGTTAAGAAAAGTTTGAAAAAAACAATAAGATTAGGTGTACCTGAAGGATAAATGGAATAATTAATATTTGAAGGAGCATGTGAAAAAAAAAAATAAAATAGAGAGATTCCAACGCTTCTAGAACTGTTGGAACACGAAGTGGTGAAGCGACGGAAGTGCCAATATTTGATCCCATATAAGTGCCTATACTATACTCACATTTGACCACTCATAGTAAAAGCTCAGCTCCGGTGATAACCTGACAAGTATTTTGCAACAAACAATGACAACTCTCACTTGGGTGCAAAAAAAATTGCCATTGCAACTGCATTTCATATGAGTGAGAAAGACGGTTTGATGTGATCCAAACTTAAAACAAGTGGCGGACAAAATACCTTCTCTGTCGAAACAATCTCTCCAAAAGTACTAAGCTTCAATTGCTTAGAAGAAGTCGTAGTGTTTCCAAATTGTTCTTTACCTTCAACTAAACGTTTGTTGAAGATCGTTCGACCAATATGGCTCTGTAACCCCCCCTTTACTCTCTCTTTGCATTGTTTATAAACTTCGGAGCAAAGTTTATAGAATGCTAAGATTATACTCCGTCTAAGTCAAACGTTTGCAAAGAAGCATTGTAAAAAATTTGCTTTTACTTTTTTGAAGTAAACTCCTTTCTATTGAGCCCCAAGCAAACCGGACTTTATGATTGGCACCAAAAATTCAGTCTTTACTGCTTTGGGATTAGCATCATGTAAAGTATTTTTCCGCGATAACCAGAACGTATCGATCGAAACGTTTCAATAAACTTGATAAGTAAGACGCATAGAGAGAGGAAGAGAAATAATCTTTTGCTTGTGTTGCTATTGACGGAGTTCCCCCCTTTCGACATTCTACTATTGTCTTAACAATGTTCGAATGTTTGATGCAATATACAGATTGCCTAGTTAGATTTAACAAATTCAATGCACAGAATCGCCCCTACGGAAATGTAAGCTTCCTCCCATTTGTTTTCTCTTCTTTTTGTTATTGTTTATGAATCGGGTATTGCCGCTGCTATTGTTGAATGAATGTTCTTTTTTCTCTCTTTTCTCCATTTTCCATGCAAGTGAAGTTGAATAAAAAATTAACCCCATGAGCATATGAATGATAACAATAGAGTCATCCATTTGTTCGTGTGGGAATTTTAAAAGTTCGTAAAATTGTGAACTAAACTTCCATCACAACTGGTCGGAATAATTATCGCAAAGATTTTATTTCTTTTCGGAAACCTCAAACGTTGTTGAAAAGTAACTGAGACTAGAAAAATTCCTTCGATGGTGCTACAAAACCGCAGAATAGGGGACTACAAGTTGGCTGACAGCAATGCGGTGGCTTTGCGGGATTCATCAGCAACTTTAGTGATACGAGAGGAGTGGAGTGTACAAGAAAAAAGAGACCCCAACAAAAAGACGCTTCCAAAGAAGAGTCATTTTAACAATACAAAAGATCGCCAACAAACAAACGTTACCTCCCATAAGATTGTGTTGGTGATAAGGCATGATTAACCGAAACATCGTGAACAAAACAAATTCGTTTTGAACCACGATGGTCCTAATTGGGCAAGTCACCACAAAGTAAACAGAAAAGCATGCAATAGAAGAGGAGATAGAGATAAAAATGAAACTCAAAAACTGATCCCCCACAAATTGATGTGGTTGTTTTTTTATTTCATTTGTACAAACCTATGACTCTTTGTGCTCTTATGAAAGGAGGTGACCAAATGTCCAATGCTCAATGCCCAAAGACAAGGATGGGTTCATACTTTAACTCACATATGTTCCCCAAAAAAAAAAAAAGGAAAAGAGGAGAAGGTTCGGGTGATTTTGGAATAGTGTAATGTACCACCAGTGAAACGGGGCTTTTAGTGGCATATTATTTGTACATAGTAAACAATTAATCAAGTATATGTTAAAGAGAGGATGGTGTGAATGATAAACTTTTATAGAGTGTGAGGGGAAGTCAAATACTCTGACAGCCTAGCCATGTTACAGTTGCTCTAAAGCAATCAAACATTTTTCATGTAAATACTCAGTGGCATTGAATTGGCGGGTTAGTATATTAAGCTCCGGGTCTCTCTATTCCTCCTATTTCACAATTCTATTGTTTTTATGGTCTACATTCTTTTGTAATTGTTTACCTTTGTGTACAAGTAGAACAAATTTTGAAATTGCACAGCAAAAAATCTCGTTTTGAAAGAAATTGAAAACGCTACCAATGACCTATCAGGGAAGTGTGACAAAAGAATCCAATTGCAACGCGAGCAAATGAAACAACAACCTAGAGAATCCTTGTAAGTAAGCTTTAGCGATCATGTGTTTTCTTTGAGATCTCCCATTGAATAGAATCCGTGACCAATCCAAAGCATTACTCAGTACATCTGTCGTCACTGATCTGTGTTTTTCAATATTTTTAAACTTCTGCAACACACTTTTTCCTTGCAGTTTCAGTTTCTTGACCTCTTCTTCCCCACCCCTGATCTTATTCTCACCAACGAAGCTTCTTTTATTCCAAAAGAAATCACCTGTTTCCAATCAAAAAGTCAAAAACCTTATAGCTTATCTACAATAACTACAAGAATAGATTTGACGTGTAATTAATAATGTCCCTTTTTTTTATTTTATAATGATGATATAAATTTTCTATAGACCAGCTATATTTGAAGGTTTATATGCAGTTTGTATCTATATAGTTGTATTCCAATACATGGTTCTCAATGAGTTCTCGAGCTTTAATTATGTAATGGAATGATACTTTTTTTGCTTTTGCTTTTGTTTTTCTTGTTGTTGTTGTAGTTGTATTTTTTAATGAATGTTTAAGTATTGGTTTGAGTTTAGTTTTCTCTTGTTTATGAGTGGTGTTTCCATCATTGTCCATTTCAAAAAGTGAGGATGAAGTTGAATCTTTTCTTGAGGAAAGACTGAAGTTAGTGGAGTTTGAATCTATTGAAGAAACCGACATGTTATCATCATCATCATCATCGTCATTGTCCGAATCTTGTAAATCCTCCTCAACCGATGTATCTTCTCCCTCATCATCATTGCCACTCAACATTGACCCAAATGCAGATACTTTCTTGTTACATTCCAATCCAGTTGAAAGTAGTTTCTCCTCCTCTTTTTCTTCCTCCTTTGGTGGTGATAATTTAGGTGCATATAACCAAGTAATATCAGAATTTTTATCCCAATTTATAGTAAATGGATTAATAGTTTTTAAATTATGATGGTTTTTGTATATTCTTCTCCAGCATATATTGTGTAATCTATGGTAATGGAATTGATTGTACTGTTTAAATTCAGGATTGGCATTGATATATTTAATGAAGTTGGCTAGATTTTGATTATCACTTAGGTAGTGTTGGGAGGTGTATGAGAGGCTAGTGTTGTTGCTGTGGTGGTTGAAGTGGATATTATTATTAGTAGTAGTATTATGGCAATGGTGGATTTGTTGTGTTTCTGGCACATATTCTAAATAATCAATATTTGAATTGAATGTGGTGGTTAGGTATGACCCTATGACCGAATCGTCCATACAGTACATCATCTATGAATAGTTGTAAAAGTTGTAATAGTTGTATTAGGTATTAGTTGTAGTAGTTGTAGTTGTAACAGTATGTAATACTTTAGTGTAATATAGTAACTAAGTCAATGATGACAAAGCAGTAGTTGAATAGGTGGTATGTGGAAGGTGAAATAAGTTGAATTATTATTGATATGATATATATAAGGATATCTTTGGTAAAAAAGTTGGGTTATCAAAAAGTGTTTTGAAATATTGTACGATAGAGCTCTATATATATATATATATATATTTGAAATCTTGTGAAATCTGGGTAGATTTTATTTGGCGTTACACAAAGTTGTGCTTGAAAGTGTAATACGGAAATAGAATATGCACCATTGGTTATTAATTTATTGTTATTGTACAGTCCAATAATTACACAAAATATCTGCATTGCATTTGAAAAGAAATACAAAAATATAATATACAAAAACAACTACATACAAAAATAATGTAAATGTTTTAGATTTTTAAATTATATCTCTGTTTATTTTTTTGCCTTTCTGTCATAAAATATAGATTATGGTTGTTCAACAAAGCCTTGATGATGTATATATGTAACAACAACCAAAACCCAACCAACAAAGTTGAAAAGCACATGTTTTAAAAAGTGCAGATCCTTATTATATCTGATGTCACCTTAACTTCTACAGTGTTTCAGTACATGAGTACCACAGTCTGACAAGACTTTTAATCTCATGACTTTGAATAAACTCTTTGTTGTCCAGTTAGTTTTGCAAATCTAACCATCTTTTTGAATCTTTATTGTGTTGGAGGGTGACCCCCACATACATTTAGTTTATACAGCAGTAGCTAGTATGCACGATTATTTTTCCCCCAATCACCACAGTTGCATTTCTTCTTCTAAGATACAAATCCCCTTTGTTTTTCCTTTTATTTCTATGTCAAACTAAAACTAGAACAATACAATACATTGGTTTAGCTAGTCAATTCAGGCTCTCTTTTGTTTGTTTGGTTTCTAGGGCGTCAGTCATTTTAAAACATACTTCCGATATGAGAAAGAAAACAAAATGAGTACTTTGTACACTACCAAAATTTTATTTATTTTATTTTTTTCTTTTCTCCTTTTCGCCGTTTGAATTCCAAAACACAAAGAAAGAAGAAAATGCGACACTGCAAATAACAATGTAGTAAAATAAGACAAACAGTAGCAAGAACCATCTAACTTATGGATAACATGCAACACAGTATCCCACCGCCTTTCCATTTGGAAGTGGGTGTGAATCCCAAAACAGAAGTAAAGCAAACTCACTCAAACCCCAATCGTTTCTTTTTCCTTTGCCTTTCTGCATGCAAGCTACGTCATAAACTAAATGAAAAAAAAAATAGACAGTACAGATTATCTTCTACTTACACCTTTTTTATTGCCGCGGCATTCATCGTCAAAGCATTACTCAATCATGAGAACAACCAACGGAATTGTGCCGTTACTGAAACGTGGTAGTACTTCGCCGCCTTCACTTTCAATCCCTTGTCGTTGTTTTTTCTTCTTATGAGGTCATTCAACTCACTCACCTTTTTTTTCCCCACTGTTGCATTTTCCAGATCTAGGTTTATACATCCCCCACACACATATTCACACATATACACACAGTGGGATCTTACACAGCGGAAAAAAAGAAAAAAATAAAAAATAAAAGAAATTAGCTAATGTCGCAACATAATCTTTTATGACATTTTATTTTTATTTAATTATTTTTTGTTTTGTGTATGATTGGCTTCCATGGGCCATTGATTTTTGTCTTCTAATTATTAATATTACTAATCTCACAAAAGAGAAAATCTTTCTTCTACCATTTCTCGGCCACGACAACATGAGGCACAAATAGTACATAACAATAGAATATAACATTATGAACACACTGCTTTCAAACACAATGGAGTAGAAAGTAGTATTTTTATGACAATTGGCATGCATCCCAGTGGCTTATGTATTGGTACAAGATTTTTGTCATGGGGATGCAGCTGGCTTCAGTCTAATTTGCGCATAACTGCAACACAGCAGACGATTAACATTTATCCTAAAGTTTCTTTCTTTCTACGCCTCTCTTTCTCTTCAGTACATTTCCATACTATTACGGATTATCTCGTGCATCAAAGTGGAGAGTTCACTTTTCCAAGAAAACAAGTTCCAAAGAGGAGAAATCTCCGAGCATCAAACGTATTCCCAAGCCAAGATAGTTTTTCCGAACCGGCTGCAGATACGAAAAATAAAAACAAAACTACACAAAGCAAACGTACTGCTCACACATTTCGGAACAATTTCTTTTTCTCTCTTTTTTCCTCCTTCTCCGCTCTGTAACTATTTCCTTTCTTGGTTCTGTGGTCCATGCATGATGTCTTTGCAAAAAATTACCTCAACTTAAGTGCAGGTCGGATTAGATATCCGATGCATCTTGCACCATGGGTGGGAAAAAGAAAAAGGGAAGAGCCGAGGCAGCTTTTTTAGAAAGCAATCTCATGTCGATGTAATATAGGTGAGTTGGGCAAATGAGCTTGCAGAAGTATGTTGACGAACAAAGTGATTTTTGCTGTGTGAGCGTGGCCCATTTTGATGAGACGGTTTCACCATCATGAAAGTGAAATTGCTGATTGGCGAACAGCATCACCGATTGTTCCGCTACCTTTTTTTGCCGTTTTGAGAGGGACAGTTGACTTAAAAAAAAAAAAAGAAAGTTTTTCCGAAAAGGATAGAATTACGATTTTTTCCACCATGAACGCCGACACAATTGTACGAAAAAAAAAAAAGATGCTCCCCCCTTCGGAACAACAAAAACAACATACCGGTTGTTTAAGAGCTTGCGCATGACACTGTGAATGACAAAAAGCTCTTAGCCTATATTGCACTTACTAAAGACAGAGAAAAGTCGAAGCCACAAACTCATTGGTATCGTAGCAGCTTATACGAGATTTGTAAGAGCAGAATGCCTCTGCCTGGTTTCCCTCATCTTGCTCTTCCCTGATGCAGTCGACATCATCTCATAATCTAATGTTAGTAAGAGTAACGGTCAATAAATTTTGATGAAGATTGCTCGAAAAGCTGATGTGACCAACTCCCTTTTGTGGCTTGGGTGTGAGGATTGTACTACACAATAAGGAGGAGTTACTTTTATCCATGACTGTTTCGGGGAATGTCGTTCTTTATGAACAATCTTTCACAAAACATTCGGGTTTTGTACTATTCTTTTTTTGTATTTTTACTTTGTCGCTTTAAAATGCCTTAGTAAATAGAGAGAGAGAGAGAGAAAATAATTTAATTTGCTTCTCTTTCTGATGGTTAGGATACTCTCTTTTGTGTAATTATTTTACCACCCTCACAACACCCGCACAACACCCGCACGACACTCAAAACTGCGGGTTATCGCACCCGAGCATTGATTGACTGACTTCACTTACCACGCATGCATTAATGCACAGGCATATGTTTTTACAGCGCCACCGGAAAAGTAGAGAAAGCGACATTCGGCTCTTGGACACGAAAACTCCCTTTGGTCCACAACATTCTATTCAAATTATATACCTCATTTTATTTCAGGGCGTGTGTGTTTTTATGAAGGGGAAATGTGTTTTTCCGGCTAGAAATTGTTCCCGCCCTGGACTCATAACCGTATATGAAATATTCCTTGTCAAGAGCCCTGTTTAGCACGGAAACTGCAGTTCGCCTTGGCCTCGCCCCCTCTCTCTTGCCCCACTTTTCTGCCTTACTTTAATGGGTATACTATTATTTTCTTTCTAATTTATAGGATAATGGATTATTTTGGACTTTGTGAAACAGAGATAGCTATTTCTTTGGCGTATTGTATTAGGTTCTAAGATACTGTCGCACCGCGGACTGTTGAAGCTCTTTTTCAAGGTGGGGAACGCGCAAGACAACCCAAAACTACTTTTTCGTTTTTGAGGTCGCGTATGTGAAGCGAGGCTTCTGTATCCAGCTGCGTTTTCGTAACCAATTTTTTTTTTTCTTTTGCTAGTTCTGGGTGAAAGCCATGCTTGTTGGAATTAGCTACGGCGATAAATCCATTTTTCGAAAATAGGGTTGCAAGACCCGCTTCTGATCAATGTTTAAGCTTTAAGATTTGATTGACTGTTTTTGGGTATTTTATTTTATTTTCTTTTCCATACACCGTGTCAGAATTGCAAAAAAGTTAAAATTATTAAAAAGACAGGTGTATCCTTCTTTTTGTAACCGCTTACCTAAACTGGAGCACTCGCCAACTAATAGAATAGAGATGCGGAATTCAAAAAGTGTGTGTGTGTTCAAAGCAAGATTATGGAATTCGATTCCGAAAGCGGGGGACAGTTTACAAGTCATTCATTGCTGCAAATCGTTTCATGTCATGGAAAAACATAAACTATGTCATTGCAAAATTGATTAGTTAGGGTACAATCCACTGAGTTGTAATGAATGACATAGCTGTTTCAAAGTGAGGGGAGAAGACTGTATTTCAACAGCTAGCACTCAATCGCAACATCTATGGACTATAACCTTTTTTGTGGAGTAACAAACATCATATTCATTCAGCTCAGTAAGTTTAATTATCATTCTAACTCCCACTAGGTGGTGCGGCTCCAAATAACGTTTTTCCCAACAAATCGACGCACTACCATATTATGTTACTACTACTCAGAGCTACCATATTCCGCATATTACTTTTCTATTTCCATCGCAAAATCACATCAAAATCCACAGTGTCCCAGCCACAGTTTGATTAGCCATGACACTGTCAAACAACCAGAATTCTGCTTTCCAGAATCATGACAGTACGCAACCTCCAGACATTAATTCGGTTCATTCCCCATCTCCGTCACAATCTTATAGAATGCCAACACCAATGAATTCAAGTCCACACTCTAGCACATCACATCAACCACTAGATTCTACATTACAAAACACCCGTCCCTCGATAGCATCACACAACTCACATGAATCAAGTGGCTCCATTGCTCAGAGTTATGATGAGCTGATTTCACAACTAAACAATGCACAAAAAAATGTTGATTTGAAAACTATTGGTAAACATCTAGTAAGTCCTGAAGAAAGTTTGAAGCAACCAGGTGGTGACATCACTAGAAGGATATACCATCAAATGGAAAATGTATCGGAAGACTCCCACCCTAATGGAATCAATATCCATAATCCCAAAAGACGTACAAGAAGTACTTCGTTTTCAAGATATTTGGACGAAACTAGACGTGGATCAACCGCCAGTGATATAAATGTACCTGGAGGGTTCAGACGTGAATTTATCATTCAAAATTCATTGAAAAAGAATCAAGAGCCACCAAATTTCTTGACGCAAAACTTTATGGAGTTTTTAAGCATGTATGGTCACTATGCTGGTGAAGATTTTACTGATGATGATGATGACGACGACGAAGAGGACGACGAACTGGATCAAGACTCGGGATCCAACTACGAGGACGTGTTTGATGAGGAGTCGAGTTTACTAGGAAACCAAAGACTGTATGGTGCAGTTCCTCAATTGCCAAAACAATTACCTAAACGTCGTCAACAACCAAAGGGAACTGCTTCAGTCGCCAAGACCTTTTTTTTGGTGTTCAAAGCTCTTGTTGGATCGGGTGTGTTATTTTTACCACGAGCTTTTTACAATGGTGGATTATCGTTCTCCATAGTTACATTGAGCACTTTCGGTTTACTAACATACTTTTGCTACGTTGTTCTTATACAATCAAAAGAGACTTTGAAATTGGCATCGTATGGTGAATTGGGATTCAAAACGTATGGAGCTCCACTCAAGTATTCCATCTTGGTGTCAATTTTACTCAGTCAAATTGGATTTGTGGCAACGTATGTACTATTTACATCGGAGAATATGATTGCATTCATTGGTGGGCTCTTGACGGAACAGCCTAGTTGGTTAACACGAGCAAATGCCGTTATTGTCCAATGTTTATTAATGATTCCTTTAGTGTGGATTAGAAACTTGACGAAATTGTCACTTGTGTCATTGATCTCATCGGCATTTATTGTTATTGGATTACTCATCATTTTCTGGTTTTCTGGATGGAAGATATACCTTGATGGTATTGGACCCAATATTGCCAACTTCAATTCCAATAGTTGGACAATGTTGATTGGAGTTGCCGTTACATCGTTTGAAGGTATTGGATTAATTTTACCTATTGAAGCTTCAATGGCACAACCTGAAAAGTTTCCCATGGTTTTGTCAATCAGTATGGTTGTAATTACTGCGATATTTGTCTCCATTGGTACAATAGGTTACACTGCATTCGGTGATAAGGTCAAGTCGATTATAATTTTAAATTTACCACAAGGGAATCTTGCCGTACAATCAATTTTAGTATTGTACTCCGTGGCTGTTTTTCTTTCTGGACCGTTGCAGTTATTCCCTGCCATAAAAATTGGTGAATCAATATTTTTCAGACACAAGGGGAAAACCGGGACCAAGCATAAAGATAAAGATGGCAAATTGTATCACCATTCTGGTAAATACAACCCGCAAGTTAAATGGCTTAAAAACATATTTCGTGCTGTTTCAGTCACTTTGGTTTGTTTTATTGCTTACTTGAATGCTGACAACATTGACAAATTTGTTTCATTCAACGGATGTTTTGCATGTATCCCATTGGTGTACATTTATCCACCATTGATTCATTTACGGTCAGTGACTAAAAAAATTGAAAAATCAACAATGGATCGAATTTTACCCGTATTTGATTATGTGTTGATTGTTGTTGGAATTGTCACGGTTATTTATTCAACTTATCAAATCGTTTTCTTAAATTAGAGTCAAATATAGAAAATAGAGGTTCAAAAATGCTTGTTTAGACTAAAGCATTGAAAGTAGTAGTCATGACTCCTCTCCTCTCCCACATGTGTATTGTTGGGTAGCGATTTTAAAATCGGAGTTCACCAAATGGTAAACAAATAGTTTCCTCCCCTTGAAACCACACCAAATAGCTCTTACCAAAGCGATGCCAGCGGAAAAAAAGAGAAAAGTAAAGAGTAAAGATGAGGGTGACTCATCGCCTCCCACACAATCCAACACTGTCTCAACTCCCAAGAGGCTCAGTTGTCGACAATGCCGTACCCGTAAAATCAAATGCGATGGAAATAGCCCTTGTCTGGGGTGTATCAAAGCCTCCATAGAATGTATTCCCACTGTCGGTGATATGCGAAAGAGACGTCCTCCTGCCACGTACGTTCACAAACTTGAGGGTCAAATCAATAGTATCAAGAAATTCATCACAGATTTGAAATCCTTGGAGCCTGAAAAACAGCTTGAGAAATTAAAGGAGACAGACTTGATTGAATTGGTCAATGGGCCAGAGTCGTCATCATCTGTGCCTACTGATTATACCCAAACTGCTTCTCAGGATTTACAAGACGATGTTGAAGAGAATAAAGTCATTTATGGTCCTACTTCGGTATACGATAATCACATTATTGCGAATGACAATCGGGCACCAAAGAGAGAAAATGAAGTTGCTGTTATCAATACATTGAACAAAGACCCCGATATTCTTAAATGTATTCAATTATATTTCACATGGCAGTACCCTGATCACAATATGTTTATATTTCGCGAGGCGTTTTTGATTGACTTTTTTGACCCAAAAGCCAGTAGCATTTACTGCTCCAAAACATTGATATTGAGTATTTGTGCTCTAGGTTCAAGAATGTCTGATGAAGAAAGAATTTATCGTCGGTCAAGGGAATTCTACCGCGAACTGAAGTCAATATTATTAAGCACACTTAGTCAACCGTCAATTGCATCACTTCAAAGCTTTATGGTGCTTGCATTTTTTGATATTTGTAATGGACTGAATTCAAGTGGGTGGATGCTTCTGGGAAATGCAATGAGAATGGGGTTTGATATTGGATTCCAATTGAATCCACAAGTATGGTTTGTCAAATCCAAGGAAATCTTGAATCCTTTAGATATGGAGATTAGATCAAGAATTTATTGGGGATGTTATATGGCTGATCATTTTATCAGTTTAGTTCTTGGTCGACCTTCTATTTTAAAGATGGCTGACTCGTCGATCCCGGAAACGGCTGATTTACCTGATTTGGAATGGATTGATGATTTCACGTATGACGGATTCATTAAAAAGAAACGAGGAATTGCCACTAGCAGTAAATCAAAAGCAGTATCATACATCGGTGACCCGTTGAATCAAATCATCAACTTGATTAATATTTCCGATAACATGTTGAATGATATATTCACTAAATCAGATGTGGAAAATGATCAATCAAATGAAGAGGAGCTAGATCTAGAGTCAAGATTGGAAAAATTGTTTGAATACAATGCTCAAATCCAACAATGGAAACAAAACTTGCCATCGGATTTGCAATGGAATAAGGATTCGTTAGCTAGCACCGGTGAAAATCCAACCTATTCGGGAATCCGCTACTATTATTATATTCTCCTTCTTTGTTTGAATCGTCCATTTGTGGGACTAGAATCCGAAAAGCTCAAACTAGACAATCATTTATCACCCTTGACTATTTGTCTCGATGTGATTGAGGATCTATATGTATCGATACATCGATTCGAACAAGAACATGGCTACAAGCGAGCGTCAATTTTCATTGTTTATTCATCAATTTTATCCGTCTCCATTATCTTGTTGACAAATGCCAATATTTCCCAAATCAATCAGCATCGTGACCAATTACAATTTTTCATGTCAGTATTACATGGATGTTCCAAGACTTGGAAATTAGCGGAGAAATCATACAATATAATCAAGGAAAAATTAAAGCATCGATCTGAGAATGGCGAATTGAATGAACGAGGCACCGTATCGAAGTTGAGTGATGCCTCCAAGTCGGATGAAGTGCCGAGTAGCGCCACAAGTGGCGCAAGTGGAACAGCTGGCACCACTGCATCTTCAGTTCCAATCATGAAAGATACACCTCTGATTAAACAATCACCAATGTCGAGTGTTGATTCGCAAAATTTCACAAATAATTTGTTGCTTGATGATAATATTGATTTCCTTGGTGGTCCGCCAGTTCTTATGACTTCTGACTTATTTAATGAAGATTGGGAATCATTGTTCCCTGATTATTTGTTCCATAGCAAAAATTAGATTCCTAGATTAGATTATTTTATCAATGTATTATTGTATTAGCTATACACATCTACCCATCGTTGGTCTTTGATGACATTTCAGCTTGTTTGACCAAATTCTCTGGTGCGTCTAACGTTTCTAACTTTAACTCAATTAATCTAGTCTTGTTGTTTTTAGCAAACTCTTTGTCATTAAACAAGTCAGTGATTTCTTTGATATTTCCTGCCTTGTGAGTTTCAATGTTCGTACCTTTAAACACTTTCAATAACTCGGTATTCTCCCATTCTTGAATATCATTGTAGGAAGCAGTCTTTCCGTGAATTAACCTCTCAATAGTAAATCCATTGTTGTTTATAACAAAAATGTAGATATTGTTGTGGTGTCTAACCATTGTGGAAATCTCTTGTACTGTCAACTGCAACGAACCATCTCCAACAAATAAAATGACTCTTCTATTTGGATCAACTTCTTCAGCAGCGATAACTGCACCTGATGCAGCACCAACGGAATAACCAATTGACCCCCACAATACTTGACTGATACCAACACAATTCTTGGGGAACTTCGTTTGAATTATTCCAAAGTTTGAAGTACCCGTTTCCGTGATAATAACATCACCTTCTCTCAACCACGAACCCAAGTTGGACCAAAGCCAAGATTGGGTAATATTGTGATCACCAGGTAATTCAACTGGGGGCATCTTGTCAAGGTCAAGGGTTGGTGGCTTGTAGTTTGCTGTGATTTTCTTCAACTCAGGAGAGGAAACCAATGCATGAAGCAACTCCTTCATTCTGATACCAGGGTACTGGGCACTCTTGATCTTGGTGTAATCGGAATGAAATTCAATAATCTTTGAAGGGTCTAATGAGTAAGAGAATGCACCAGTATTGAAATCAGATAAAATTGCCCCAAGTGACAACACCAAATCTGAACTTTCGACCAACTCTTTGGTCTTTGGGTATGACAAGTCACCCACATAAACACCAATAAACTTTGAATCATTTTCTTCAATATCCCTTGCCCCCTTTGCCATAGGAGTCACTGCAAATTTGAAATTGGTCAATTGAATCAACTTGTTCGTCTCAAAAGTGGCATTGTGTCTACTACAACAAGCATCAACAATAACAACGGGGTTTTTAGCTTTAGCAATCATTTCAAGAATAGTATCCAAGACTTCTTCCTGAACTTTTGGATCGTTTGGTGGTGGTTTCAAATTCAATGGTTTTTCCAATCTGCTAGCTGGCACTTTCGCATTGACCAAATTGGAGGGGAATGCCAAATAAGTTGGTCTTTGGTTAACAAAAGCTGATTCTATTACTCTATCAATCTCATCTGGAGCATGAACTGGATCATTCAATGCTGCAGTTGTTGCACTAATAAACGAGGAAATCCTATGGAAAACAGTAAAATCCCCATTTCCCAAAGTGTGATGCAACAACAATTCCTTTTTTTGAGCTTCAACTGATGGGATACCAACAACATGAACTAATCCGACATGTTCTGAATAGGCTCCAGCAATCGCATTTACTGCAGAAAGTTCCCCTACTCCAAATGTAGTCACAAGACAGCCAATTGATGATCCTTCGGGGGTAAATGCATTCTTGATTCTTGAGTATCCATCAGCAGCATAACCTGCATTCAATTCGTTGACACTTCCAACCCATTTCATCCCTTTCACATCATCAATCTTGTCTAATAACGCCAAGTTAAAATCTCCGGGAACACCAAAGACATTTTTGATTCCAATTGGGTTTTGATTCAATCTTGCAAACAAGTATTGACCTAATGATATTGTTTCTTCTGGCATGCTGAAAATTTTGGTAGTGGAATAACTTGCTTAAAGAGGAATGAAGATTTAGGTACTGTTCAGGTGGTATTTATAGTTTTATCTTGTGATAGGGGAGAAGGTTACAAAATTAAAAATTGACAATAATAAAGTTGCTATGGAAACGGAGATGAAGTCCGACAGATTCGCAACAAACTTATGGACCAGGAGCATATTCAATTTTTAGACACCGGTATTTCTCCTATTCTATGGTTGCTACATTAATCTCGCCTCTCCGATGTTGTTTGGTCACAAATTGTCACATCCCGATGCATAAACGGTATCATAGATCTGACGATTCTCTTCAGTCTGATTCTCGAATGCAACACAATTATTTTTACACAAAATTGCAATAGAATCTAATCGAATTGTTGAAAGTGGCATATACAGGTCGCTTAAAAATAACAACAACGTGAACGTCGTGAGCGTCGTGAGCAACGTGAGCAACGTGAACAACGTGAACAACGTGGGCAACGTGAACCTGTACTCAGTGCTTCTGGATCACCACGTCTTTGAATAAGTCGATAAAGTGATGATAAACCTTGCAAACTACTACCCAAGAGTTACCACATGTTATCATGCATAGAACACTCACATTTAATACCAAGAAAAAACAGAACAATAGATCTAGATCTGATTAGTATCCACGAATACAAAAACAAGCTCAACTTAGGATCCACGAATCTCATACAATATTGCAAGAACCGCAAAAAGAAAGCTGTTTGATGCCAAAAAAAAAAAAAAGAAATACGATACCAATGATTTTGCCCAGGATCGAACTGGGGACGTTGTGCGTGTTAAGCACATGCCATAACCAACTAGACCACAAAACCAAAAGAAATCGCAATGATTCTGCCCAGGATCGAACTGGGGACGTTATGCGTGTTAAGCATATGCCATAACCAACTAGACCACAGAACCAAGTTGTGATGTGTCGATTTCCTTCCGGAGCGTGGCCTTCCTGTCGATTTTTGCTTCTAAAAGTGGTTTATAGAGGTAAGAGGAGACTCATTTGTTGATTAATGTGTTTAATCATGTCTGAAAAGTATTCTAGACCCTTTCCCTAAACGTTTTAAGGCCTTTTTGGGTGTGTTGTATGCGCTCAAAAATTTTGGTAGCTCGTCAAATTTTGCAGCAATTTTGAGTGAAAAGTGGGGACAATTAGTCAATTGGATATGGAAGATAAGAATGCGAAGCTGCTTGGGACAACGTAATGATACTAAGACCTGTATACACACGCTCTGAAGATCCTCCACATCTCTACTCTTCATGCAACATCAAATCGTTCATTTTAATCTCTTTGTATACAAACTACTCACCCTCAGTCCATATTTCATCATCGACAAAGTACAACCAAGAAAAAGTGTTCCAGCTACTTATAACACCTATGCCACAATACACGCTGTAAATCATCAAGTTTAAAAACTCAAATCTCTTTAACATTGAAAACTTATTCAGCAACAAGTCAATGATACTGGTGAATGAAACCACGAAAATGAAAACTAAGATATACCCATTGAGCACTCGGTCTATCATAGAGCCACTTGTCTTTTTAGGTACCCGAGAAACTTTTCTAAAATTGAAGTAAAAGATAATGTACCAAAGCAAGGTGTACAAAACTTTCACTAACCATTCATTACACGTGAATATAAGTGGGAAAAGTGATCCATATCCACAAGCGACGAGTAGATTATATGCAGGTAATAGTCTTTTGTCACGGGAAACAATCAACGTCAAGGGGAAAATGACAAGTAGTATAGCCTTTTCATGGACATGCCAACCAAATAAAAAGGATGCGTAACCGCACAATGTCATAGCTCCAATAAACCTGCGGTACGTTGGTTGAAGAAATAGCGGAATAAGGGCCATTACCTGATAAAACAACGTCAATAAGAACGTCAATTTTGGAGTTATTTGAGGAAGAATGAAAAATTCAATGTTTCCAACTATTCCTCTAGTTGAAGTTTTCAACAACTCATCATGACTCAATAAACTGGCATCAAATTGAAACACCCGTTTCAATAAAAAGCGAGACACTGGGATTCGTTTGTAGATTTGGATCAAAACTCTATCGAAAAAAGAGTAAAGGGCCCACATGTTGGGTGCCCAATACGCATGCGTGAGACCGCGACTGAATGGAAACAATCGACTTAATAATTGTGGCAACGTGTTGTAAAAGGGCAAGAATGCCACGGCGAAAACAGATGTTACAACACCAGCTAGCTTGAGGGCGTTTTTCCATTGAACAATGCAGACCACATTGGCAACAAAATTAAGTTTCTTGCTCCATTTAAACTTCAAGCAATATGCGCGTAATAAGAAAACGAATACTGCTGGTGCCAAGTACAAGTAAATATGCTTGAAACAAAGCAAAACTGCAAACCAGAACCCACACAATAAGTACCTTTCCAAACGGGCACTGTTTAGGCAAAGCAACAACACCCCATACATCATCCCATTATATTGGAAATGTATGTGATCAATCAACATTAAACCGGGGGATAATGCGAGACTTGCAGTTGCAACATACATTCTCCTTCGAAGAGCATGGGTGGAGGAAGTATCAATGATCCATTGCAATGCCACAAACAACACCACCTCACTTAAAATGACAGTGACTCTTTGAAAATAAACCGTGGGCAATCCGTATTGACCCTTTTCCACAATATCCAAACATCCATCCCTAGCCACTACTGGCGGAACAAATTGTGATAACACCCACTCAAAAAATGCGAAAAAAGGTGGATAGTCTAAAGTCCATTGTGAAGTGTTCTCTGTATACCATTGAGATATAGGCAATTTGCTAGTTATAGCTAGCCAGTTTCGATGAACATCGAAATCTGTAGAGTGGTACCCAACCATTAATAGGAGTTTCAAAGCGAGTGAGACAATCCATATATTGAATAGCGTGTACTTCCTAGATGTCGGGGGTTCTTTCGTAGACTGTAGTTTGGCATTGTTTGATGGTATGACCTTTTTCATGGCCATTACTTGTCGATTGGTGGTGAGATACGTTAGTTGTTTGGTACTGAAATATTTTCTAAAACCACAAAAACTTGTAATCGCGCACAACTATATTTCATTAACCAGATTTTATTCCAATAATACATAATAATAAATACATAAAAACGTGTCACCACTCCAAAGTTTGCATTATTTTGTCGTTTCTAATGAATAGTTGCTTAGCTTCTTGTCCAACTTTGACCTTGTTATAATATACAGAACAATCACGATTAATACAATTGTAAGTGTATTGCGATACAGAAACACCAGACTCAAACACATTTTGCAGGCAATTACGACACGTATTTTCAATTTCAATAATTTTCTGTTGCATCTTCTTGCAAGTCATGGCAACATTTGCCACTAGTTGTTGCTCATCTAGAGAACATTTCAGACAAACATACTCCCTTCCATCCAATCTGCTACCACAAATTAAACAAGAATCACTGAACGCACTGATTATGTTAGATCTTGTAAACTTGGGCAATTCTCTATACCATCCTCTCACGTCAGCTCCCATCAAATTGAAAATTCTCTCCAATGGAGGAATCAATACCCTTGTTATGTAATACTCATAGTCCAACATCAAAGGCTCAACAGTGCTAAATGTCTTTATAAAATCCTCCGGAAACATGACTCGATCTTTGATTCTAATCTTTGTGGAATCACGAGTAACAACATAGGGAATTCTTTCCTTGTATTGTGGCTCTTTTCTAGGATCGTCTTCAACTGCTTTACTTGCAAGCAAAGCACCAGGGGGCAAGTACCTTTCGTCCTTGTAATTCCCATATTTCACCTCTTTAGCAAAGCAGAAATCGTTAATGGCGATTTTGTTATTGAATATTTTCAAAAACTGCTTCAACGTGTATTGCTTCACTTTGGACAAGTCCTTTGTCTCGAACAAAATTCTCAATGCCTTTTCCGTTATCTTCTGCTGAGCCGGTATACCATCTCTACGCACGGTTTCAATTCCTTTAGCGTCAAATTTGGGAACCACTTGATCCTCATACTCAAAAGAATATCCAACATATCGTTTCTTTGCAAGCAAGACACATGGATGATGCACCTTTTCAAACTTGAGTTGAATTGGATCGGGAAAGAACTTGGTAACAACCTTGGCAATTTCGCGTCCCAGTTTGAATGCTTCAGCTTTTGATTTTCCAGGGAAATACACAAATAACGAATCAGTGTCACCATAAACAACTTTAGCGCCATAACCACCTGCTTCGATCATTTCAATTGATTTATCAAGAACTTCTCTTCCAGTTGAAACGATTGCATCGGCAATGTCGGAGTTTGGCATTCGACCACTGAATGTTGCCGAGGTGTATCCATATGTCACATTGGCAATCAATTTCAAAGCAATTTGTCTAGCATTATAAAGTTTCGTTAGCTCTGTATCATCTTTAAACAATTTCATCACAGACTTCGTTTTTAAACGTATGTTTAAAATCTCTTCCAACATTTTCGCCAAAATCGATTTTCGTACATGACTCTTGACAAATGCAAACCCATTGGGGGAGATGTTGACAGCATCATCTTCCATAAGTAAGTCTACTATACCTGGTGGCAAGTTGAGATTCTTCAAATAGCCAATATTGTTCTTCTTTGGCTTAAAGTTGTGAAGCTTACCAATCAATGTTGAGTAGCAGTAGTTGTAAGCAATCATAATTGATGGATACAAGGATTGAAAATCCAAAACCACCAACGGCGATTTATAAAAATTCGACTTTGGCTCCAAAATCAATGGGATACATTCAATTGGCCTCATTTCGTGTACTTGTACTTTGGAAGGTGAGTTTAGCAAGATGCTCTCCAGTTTGGATATTCTCGACAATATTGACTCTACTTTGTATTGTGATCCACGATAAAAATTGGAGTTGAATTCTATTCCAATCAACCTCGAATGTTCAACATTTCTAGTAATCAACTCTTGAACCGATATGATTTTCAATGTCAACTCTATTCGTTTCATGTAGTAGGAAAGTGCCACTTGAATGTCTTTGAATCTCCCACTCTGCAACCATTGCGATATTTGGTGAAGCAGGTATCTTGGTAAGGGTCTATGAAGTAAGTGGTAACACACATTTTCCAAAGTGTAACTAGTGAGTGCCATCTCAGATTTCAAAATTCTCCACACGTTCAAGATATGCCTTCCATTGATTTCAATGTTGGCAGTATGAGTATAACCCCATCGATCACCTAGCTTACCATTACTTCGATGGGTTCCTCTGCTCAATTTACTCATAATGTTCAATTGATAAACCTCACGAAACCTCTCAACAACGTATCCCCAAGACATTGAATTGACCTCATAGCCGGACAAAATATCCGGATCGTATATGCCCACAAACTCGATCAATTTTTCCACCATCTTCGTTTCCTCATCAAATAATTCAATGAATAAACCCAAAGACTTGCTCATCCTCGTGAAAAGTTCAACGTTGTAGTTGTTATTGTTGAGAACGAGAACACCGGTTTTGCACTTGGAAGTGACAAACATTTCATTCGCATCATCAAATGAATAGAAAATGAACAATACAGGATCTCGTAGAGGGTCAACTGCCAACTTTGAATTTGGTGGACTCGCATGGATCTCTAAATGGAAACTGCTCAAGTAATTAAACTCATCCGGTTTACGTGAAACCTTTTCGGAGTTGTAACTGAATTTAAAGTCATGGGATTGGGTTACACCCGGTTCAATTTGAGACCTGTATTTGAGGCGTTTCTTCATCAATTTGTTCTCTTCACTTTTGAGCCAATCAATAACACTCTCTTTGCTAGGAGGTTGGGAAACATACTCCCATGTACGTACCTTGTTACCAACAAGGTCCCCTTTACCCCCAGTTCTATCCACATTCACAACATCTAAACTTGGAATAGTTAAAGAGTTTTTTACAGCAACGTTCATTTTTTGATTGGCAAAAATAAAGGGCTTTGTAGGAACATCATCGACGGTATTGTAGAATGGATCATCATAATTTATCTCCATCATTCCAGAATCTTGGAAAACCTTTTTGTAATTTTCCTTTTTCAATTGATCTGGTAGTATCACCTCAAATTCACAAGCTCCCACTTGCATGTTTTTCAATGGGGGATGTCCATTGGACTGACTGGGCGTAGGTGTGAATGAGAAATCTTCAATCGAGGCTATTTCATCAAAACTGGGCAACTTTACGGCTGCAGTGGGTTCATTCTTGGCTCTAGTTTGTGTCATTATCTTCATAATTGATTCATCGAGCTCTTCCGCTGAATCGTAGTCTCCAAGCTCGTCATTGTCATTGTCAGCATCATCGGCATCAGCACGATATTCAACCGAGTTGTCGCGGTCACAGTTGTTAGTATCTTTCGCAGGTAAGGTGCTGATTGATGCAGGAGCACCTCCGTTCTTCGAATTCGTATTGTTTGCGCCATCTTTGCCATCCAACAGTTCATCCTCAAAATCCGAGAATATAACATCATTCTCCGAGTCATCCACAACATTTTGCACTTCTTTGTGGCCATTTACTACATCGATGTTTCTCGAAGCAACTGTTTCATTTGCCATGCCTGAACCATTCCTCTTTGATGCAGTCCCATCAAACGATGGTGCATCCACCAATTTGAACAAGTCTTTAAACTTTCCCCATATGAGTATGTCTCTACCAAACTGCATTCGCAGACGGTGAAACTGCAATTTTTTTTCAACATCAACCAAATCGAATGAAGTTGGAAAATTGGCAAACGTTTCAGCATCTGACTGAGGAAGAAATCGCCTTTTGTTTAAATACTTTGCAGCATAACTATCAAAATTTTCATTCGACTTACCATTTAATTGTTTCATATAATCCAAAAGCTCCTCCAATTGTTGCTGGTTGGACCAAGTTGATGAACCTGTACCAAAATAACAACGTTCAGAAGACTCCAAAACATCCACTGAAACATCAAATGCCGAGTTTCTCAAATGACACTGGTACTTTAGGTCGTTGTAGATATATTTCAATGAAGATAGGTAGATTTTTGGAGTACCATCTGGCTCATGTTTATAACCATGCTTGGGATAACCAAACAGCGTCAAGTCAGCTTTATACTCCTCAAATTGTTTCCTCTCAACAAATTCATTGTGCAATTCTCTCGCCGATAGCCAAGTGCGGTTGACAATACTACTGGTTGTTATATCCAACTCTAACATGGACTTCCCGATCCTCTTAAACGTTTGCAAAGTTCCTCCATCAACTAGCACATTATCGGGTAAAATATACAGTTGCAAATAATTTGATAATCCACGCATTTGTGAATGGTTATATCCCGCACGTTGATGTTCACTTATCAATGGCATTCGAAAATACAAACCTTTCGTTTGAGGTCCATCGTTGATATGATCGCGGTCAATAACCAACCAACCACACCCAAATAGGTTAAAGTCGGTCAAAAATTGCAACAAGTACGGAAGGTGTGCTTCATAAACATATGTTGCGGCCCCACTTTCTTTTGCCCCACCTGGTTGATCAAGATTGTGCAAGCTGATTTTGTTTTCTTGAAACATTCTTGCTAATCGATTTTTATATAACGGCGAAAGAAGGGAAATTTTGTAGAATAATTTATAACCAAGTTGAAATCCATAGATGGGGACTGCTTTACAAATTGAAACATTGGCAATGTATTTACGAAGATTCAGCTTCTCATTACCGTTGAGGTCGTTTTCAACTGCATCTTCTTCTTGCTCCTTCTTTTCGTCCTCCACTGTGATTTCATTTTCCAATTCTTGCTCTTCAGTGCCCTTTCTCCCACGTCTCCGCTTAAAAGATTCCCTTACCATCACCTCTAAATAGTTGATAAGTTTGTCCAAGTACTCACGACTTTGTAGTTTCTGATAGTCCTGCTCATGACAATCCACGTAAAAATAAGGGTAGAAATTATGAACATGTATAACAACATTGAATACAAATGCTCTAGGACGCGTTAGCTGATGGGAGCCCAAAAGTTTCTGCTTCTTCTTCATCGGAGACAAATTGCGAGAAGAGGCAGCTTGCTCTTCAAAAGATAGCGAGCCGTAAACTCGTACGATTGGAACCTGAGAAACCTGGGTGTACAACTGATCCAACTTGGTGGGGTATGCTTGATAAGTGTCATAATCGTTGATTTGAATTTTTAAATGGGACGCCGAGGTTGAGTGAGAAGACCAGTTGACCGAGCTCACATTAAATGTCGAGTCAAATGTCGAAGTATTATGTTCACCATTATTCATAGATTTGTCATATATGGATGTTGCGTGGGAGATGAGATGGAAGTTCTGGATTTGATGGCAAGCTTTTCGCTTCTTTTGTGATTGTAGCGAGAACATTTTTTTTTTGAGTTGCTCATGGAACTCTCAAAAGAAGAAACATCTTTGAATTTGAGGTAATAAATCCACTAGGGAAAACATTACTCTTCGTGTGTATCCGCGTATGCTGACGCAGTGGCTTGCTTGTAATACTCCAGTCAATATATGTGGTTGAGTGAGAGCGATCTGCGATCGAGAGCTTCCGAACAAACTCATGGCTGCAAAATCGTATGCAACTACAGAATTCATCTCAAAATGTGGAAGCAAGTGTGAGACTAAACTTTAGCAAGGCTTCTATCTTCTGCTTAGAGGATCTTCTCTTACTCTGACACAATCTATGGATGATCAATATACTGCTTGCAATGCGTTAAAGAGATATATCCCAAGACTCCGATTTCTGCACCAGCTTTCGTAGAACATATTGAGAGGTCTTCGAAAACCTGGCTATTATCTAGCTCAAGTTATCGGGGCGCCTTGCCGCACACACAGAAACTTGAAGCATACGATTAAGTAGCTCCATTGCAACAATCGTGGTTGCTGTAAGCATAGAAACACCATACAAAAGTCAATCACGAAATCGACTCGGTTAAATGGAGGCCAAAAACCTTAGATAACGAGTTGAGCGAGCGAGAACACAGGTGACTCACGATTACGTCACTAGATTCCGCCAAATTCCACTAGATTCGTTTGTCCTTCCCACTGTTTCTCAATTTGATTATCCCCAATCTTTCAAACAAAAAGATCTACTTGAAAACTCTTTCGGGATATATCGGAAGCAATTTTAAACTGACGTTTGTTCTTTACACCTTACCCCACAAGTCACAAATTGATTGTGTTATTGTACACAAGCTTGAAATAGATGATGAATCTTAAAATTACACAATTTTTTTCTTCTTATCCACTTCTAATTTCGGAGTTTTTGGTTTTGTGGCGGTCAATTAATTTGGCATCGGACTTTCGGCACCAGGGAACAGAGATTGAGAGGGAAAGAAAAACAAGCTGGCACAATCTGTAACAAAACACCTCAAACGGTTAGATACTCGATAGTTTTTCTAAAGGTCAGTAATGTTGTCATTAACTCTGAAAAGCTGACTCGGGCGGGTAAAAGATCTGTACGTTTGTTATTCACCCCTGCTACGATACTAACTTGGATACATAGGAGGCAGACGGTAGAAAGAGGTACAATCAGCATCTATACTTTTGAGTCTAATAATCAAACTCTTCTCAATAGCTATAGCAAACAATGACACCATCAACGACACCACTACTACTTCCACCACTTTTTGGACCTAAAAAAGTTATTTCACCACCACAGACACATATTCTTCTTGATTTTCGGTCGTGTGGTTCAAAAGAATCGCCAGATTTTTTTGTATTTGTTCGACAAGAAAAAAATAAAAAATACAACGTTACACAAAAAAATATATTCATCCTTTCTCACCCTCTGAGAAAAAGGATTTCAAAATACCTCAGCCAATAACATTCTGCATTTTTATTTCCTTCTAGCTTTTTACTATCATTATATGCAGTAAAGACAGTATTGGTGTCCCTACTTGGTGGTGGGGTTTGTGTACTATAAACCTCTCTTTAGTTTCTGGTGCACTCTATATCCTATAATGGCGTTATCGCTCAGTTTAAAGGTTACCCCACAAATGAAAAGAAAAAACAAAAAGAAGCGAACTGCAGAATGAGCAGTGTAAGAAACAAATGAGGTCATTAGCGATACAAGAGTATATGAGATATAGGTCAAAGATTCTACACTTCTGAGGGAGGGAAGCTTAATTCTGCTTCACTTTTCTAGTGAAGATGAGACCTTGTTGAGAAATATTGAATCTGAATGGTCGTGCGGTGGATGATAATATGTGTGACATATAAACATCTCTCCTTCTCTTTTGGATAATTTTAAAATTTTTTATTTATAAAATTGTCTTGGTATTGGCATTTGGTTAAGGGGACCGACTTTCTATATTCAATTTATTGCATCATTTTCAACTACGAGTGACCCAATCGTGGCTTACTACTTGGATGAAGATAGACTGTGAAGGTCGCTTTGCATATGGAGAGAACCTCCCCCTACCCCCACTTTGCCAGAAAAACCATAGTTTTAGTGCAATTGAGCCTCGTATTTGAAAAGCGCTTGCTTAAAGGATCTAATTTTCATAACCATAAACTTTTTTGCTTTAACCAATAGTCGCCGACAATTTAGCCGCCAGACGAGAACTCCAATTACAGTGGACGGGTCCCTTTCGAGAAGACCTTTCTTCGTGTCTACCTTACTCTGCCTCTGCACCTTCTTCATCAAACTCCGAACCTGCCTGTGTTATAAGCTTTTGTATGTTTTTAAGCTGCTTTGTGTAAACTTCGGGCTTTTATTTTATTTTTTTATTGAGAAAGACCCAACAACAGACAATTGTCTAAAAACGTATCACTGCATTATTAAATTTTTTTTTATTTTCTTTTCTTGTTTTTAGTGTTTTCAAGTTTTGATCAAAAAATGGGGTGGTGTTGAATGGGAAAAATTGTGGGTGGTGAGATTTTTACTATAAATATAGAAAGTCATTCCCTCTCGATTGTATCCTTCCCTCCTTCCTCCCACCCTTGTGACGTTTACGAATCTTTCACTCTTTTTTATCATAACTTGATAAAGTCAAAAAACACTGTTAATTGTTTCTTACATCACAAACTTTCACTCCCCCCCTGTTTGCGAGATTTATTTGATTACGAGAGAAAATCCTCAACAAAAATCGACAAAAACAAAAAACAAGCTAATTGAGTTTTGAAATATTAAAGTGTTTAAAAGACTCATTTGCCCAACGTTTTTTCAAACTAGACATTTTTTTCAAATCAAGAATCCCTTTTGCAAAATAGGTTTCGGCGTCAAACTCAAACTTATATCAATCACGCGTTCAAATCTCCGCACAAAACAAAGGCTTTTGAAAAATTAAAAGAAAAATAAAGACACTACAGAACTACTAGAGCTCCCCCTCACACCAAAAAATGCCTGAATCTACCAAACATTCACACATTTCATTAGACCATGAAGCTATGAATGACCCTCCAAAGGGTTTTTTCGAAAGATCTAAAACTAAGCCAAACTTGGCTGATTTTGCCACATATCAAAAAATGTATAAGCAATCAATCGAAAATCCCAATGAATTCTTTGGCGAACAAGCAAAACAATTCTTGGACTGGTATAAACCATTCGACTTGGCCAGACTTCCTGCTTCTAGTGAAGATGATTTCAAGAATGGTGATTTGCCAGCGTGGTTTGTCAATGGTGAATTGAATGCTTGTTATAATGCAGTTGATAGATGGGCTATCAAGAACCCCAACAAGCCTGCTATTATTTACGAAGCCGATGAGGTCAATGAAGGTAGAATCATCACTTATGGGGAGTTATTGAAAGAAGTTAGTAAATTAGCCCAAGCTTTGGTTAAATTGGGGGTTAAAAAGGGTGATTCAGTGGCTGTTTACTTGCCAATGATCCCCGAAGCTATTGTTACCTTGTTGGCTATTGTTCGTATTGGTGCCGTTCATTCAGTTGTGTTTGCTGGATTTTCTAGTGCTTCTTTAAGAGACAGAATTTTGGATGCTGATTCAAGAATTGTTATTACTGCTGATGAATCCAAGAGAGGTGGTAAAACTATTGAAACAAAGAGAATTGTTGATGATGCTTTAAAGGAATGTCCCGATGTTAGAAATGTCATTGTTTTCAAGAGAACGGGAAACTCACATGTGCCTTTCACTAAAGGTAGAGACTTGTGGTGGCACGAAGAATTGGCCAAATATGGATCATACTTCCCACCTACACCAGTCAATTCTGAAGACCCATTGTTTTTGTTGTATACTTCAGGGTCTACTGGTAAACCAAAAGGTGTTCAACACACAACTGCAGGTTACTTGTTGGGAGCATTGCTTACCACCAAGTATGTATTTGATGTTCACGAAGATGATATCTTGTTTACTGCTGGTGATATCGGTTGGATTACAGGTCACACATATGTTGTTTATGGACCATTATTGAATGGTGCTACATCAGTTGTGTTTGAAGGTACACCTGCATACCCTAATTTCTCAAGATACTGGGAAATTGTTGACAAGTACAAGGTTAACCAATTCTATGTTGCACCAACTGCTTTAAGATTGTTGAAACGTGCTGGAACAAAGTTTGTTCAACCATATGATTTAAGCTCATTGAGAGTGTTGGGTTCAGTTGGTGAACCAATTGCATCTGAAGTATGGCACTGGTACAATGATAACATTGGTAGGGGCAAAGCCCACATTGTTGATACTTATTGGCAAACCGAATCTGGTTCACATTTGTTGACTCCATTGGCTGGGGTTACCCCAACCAAACCAGGTTCAGCATCTTTGCCATTCTTTGGTATTGACCCAAAAATTTTGGATCCAACTACAGGCGAAGAATTGAATGGTAATGATGTTGAAGGTGTCTTGGCTGTTAAGTCGGCTTGGCCATCAATCACCAGAGGTATCTTTAATGACTACAATAGATTCATCGACACTTATTTGGCACCATATCCAAACCACTACTTCACTGGTGATGGTGCTGCTCGTGACTTGGATGGATTCTATTGGATCTTGGGTAGAGTTGATGATGTTGTTAATGTTAGTGGTCACAGATTATCTACTGCTGAAATTGAAGCCGCATTGATTGAACACGATTTGGTTGCCGAAAGTGCTGTTGTAGGGTACGCCGATGACTTGACTGGTCAAGCTGTTGCTGCGTATGTTTCATTGAAAAAGGACAAATTGGGTGATAACGAAGACATGGATGCCATTAAGAAGGAGTTGATTTTAACCGTTCGTAAAGAAATTGGACCTTTTGCTGCACCAAAATTGATTTTGTTGGTTGATGATTTGCCCAAGACGAGATCAGGTAAGATTATGAGACGTATTTTGCGTAAAGTTCTTGCTGGTGAAGCTGATCAATTGGGTGATACTTCAACTTTGTCTAATCCACAAGTTGTTCAACAAATTATTGATGTTGTTGCTGAAGCGGTTAAAAAGTAACGAGAAGAAAAGAAACATGTCACCAATTAGGGGTCTTCTTCTGGATGAGTTTCATTTTTCAGCAATCTGTTTCCCTTTTTTTGTTTTACATTTATTCTCTACATAGATCAAACAAAGAAAATGGTTTGATTGATTCTGCTTTACTGTGTTTGTTTCTAGTTATTTTTTTTATTTATTATTATCATAACAAAGTTTCGAAACGAAAGAGTGGTACTTTTGATTGTAATCAATTACTTGGTCTATAAATAAATATGAACATCTTTTCTCTCACACCCTCCCTCTTTAGTCACATTTGATTATCCCTTCAACTAAACTAGCAGCATCTGGTTTCGCAGCGATGGTGTCGGGAGTTAACCCATTAGACAAGAGATATTCTTCTGTTGTAGGTCCAATACTAGCCAACTTCCACCTCTTGGTCACAGAATTGCCCCCACTATCACTCAGTTGCTTCAAGTACTCAATAATCTTCTTTGTCCCCTGAGGACTGAAAAATACAATCCATCCACCTGATTTAGTAGCACCTTCATCACCACCACCATTCACATTGACATTGCTGCATCCATCATCAACTATAGCACTAAATTTATCAATGATATCATCCCTTTCACCAGTTTTGTACATAACAAACTCCTTAAAGTGCTCGAATCTTCCAATATCAATCAATTTTCGAGGTATGATATCTTTTCTAATTTCACCCGTGAAAAATACAATATTTGTATTGGGGTATACTTGAGCCATGATTAAATTGGCCAACTTGGAACCATTTCCAGCATCGACACCACCTCGTACATCAACGAATCCAACTTCCTTCAAGATCTTATAAGTCGCTGGCCCTACAGTATACCCCACTTTGCTCAAGATCTTCTGTCGATGATGATATCGCATGACATCGTTTTGATCTATTTCCTCTATACACTCTCGCAACATTTCAACTGCACGTTGCGAGGTAATTATGAAATAATCGGTGTGTTTCATAAATTCGTTAGACGTAAGGTAAGCAATCGTTTGTGCTTTATCTCTATGAGTGTGATGAAGTAATGGAATAAATTGCGGGTTGTATGATTTGGCTAGGAGTAAGTCATGGTATGGGTCATATGGTGCGCTAGGGTTTTTTAATAATATGACTGTGTTACTCATCATGACAGAAGCAAAGACAAGCAAAGGGAAGCGAAGCGGAAACACTGATTAGTATGAGCTGCTACAAGAAAAGTAAACCGATTTGTAATTGATGCGACGTGATACGATCGTTTTCGCGATGCGGCTTGTCTCCGCGCAAAGATCTGTTTGCAACAACTCCATACCATTAATTATTAAATGTAATATTAAAACATTGCGAGCTACACTATATCTAAAGAATGGAAACTAAAAATCAAAACACATCACATAGTCATAAGTTAAAAAGAAATCAATAAAACACCAACATTTGACTCCTTTAAACATCAACAGCACGTCGTATCGCGGCAGTCGTTGCAGTAGTAGCAGCAGCAGTAACAGCCACTTTCCCTCCACCCGTACTCTTAAACACTTTGGCAATACGCTCATTTCCAACCATAAGATTACCCACGGTATTCCTCACTAACTCCTTGGCGTAATCAAGTTGTTTAAAATTGTAACCAACAACATAAACCATAAAGAATAACGCGAAAATAACCACCAATGCAGGGATCCAGAAAAACACCAACATCTTATCATGTTCAACAGGTTTCCTTGGGTGGTTGATATAAGTAACAACCATATCTTCTGATGAGTCAGAGGCCAATCCGCCATCAATATCTGTATCGGTAATCTTTGAGTTGGTTGGCTCGAGATCAGTCTTCTCATGCGAGCTTGACCCAACGTCAAGTGATTGGGCTTCAGTAACGCTATTCATGGATTGCTCAAGAGCACTTTTCGGTTTCGCAGTAAGCGTCGATGAGGGTCCAAATGGAAACAAATCGTCATACTGTGGTAAATCACCATCATCGTCTTTATTAAACACATTCTTGACTTTCTGCCATAAGCCAGGAGAGGAAGGTGGCAGCTTTGGTTGATCTGTGGTGGTGGTGGTTGAATCAGAACCAGAGTCTCGACCGCCATCGACCTTTCGTGATGCATTTTCAGCCTCCACATCACTAGTTTCAGCGTCATCACCATCGCTATACTCATCATCACAATAATCAGCTTCTTCTTCATCATAATCATCTTCAGACTCAAATTCAGAGTCGGCAAATTCAGAAGAATAGTTCCTGTTATCCTCCCATGTGGAAATACCACTATCTTGTTGGTCCTGAGAAGAAAGATCCCTACGGGTCTCATTATCTTGCGTCATCTTTGAAATGTGGCGTCCATAATCATCATCAAACATTGAGTCTAGGGAATCAAACGAAGTTGCCTTTTTGATAACGTTGTGCTCCTCTTCTTCAACATCCAGTGGCAATAAGTGTTGTTGTTGTTGTTGCTGTTGCTGTACGGACTGCTCTTCGCATGTCTTGAACATGTCAATCACATTCAAATCACAATAATCGCGCAAGTACTTATCATTCAGCAACTTCAAATTCCAATTGGACTTGCACTCAATAAACAATTGAATTAATTTACGATGTCCACACATCGACGCCAAAAACAATGGTGTCAAACCTTGGTTATCTTTAACGTCAATCTTGCAACCATGGGTGACCAAAAATTTGATCAACTTGTGGTAGTTCTTCATTGTGGCCAAGTGCAACAACGTTTGACCTTGGGCATTGGCAAGTTGCCAATTAGGAATAATGATTGGACAATTGGGCAAATCAACCAAGGACAAAAGGCGAGTCAATACAACTTGTGTTGATAAGCCAGACGATGTCAACTTTTTCAATGAAGCATGGGCACTATTAAACCAATCATGCACATCATCCGTACTCTGAGCCACATTTGTTGGCGATGTCGTCATTGAGCTTGGAGCTGAACCATTGCCATCACCACCTGTGCTTGTATCACTACCGACGATCCTCTTAGCAATGTTTTTGGCATCTTCTAATTTACCATTCATTTTCAACCCAACAATTTGTAACGCCAACTCAATCAATTGTCGGTCAGTATCATCAGTATACGTAAAGATTTGATGTTGTTGTGGGCCACCAATTATCGAAGATTCTTCATTTTCAAAACTAACCAAAACTTGGCCTGGTTGCAGCGCTGGTGGTAAATATGTCACAATTGTAGTTTCTGACCAGCAATGAGTCGCTAATGCTTGATTGGAACCAAATTTAACCAGCAAACCTGGACGGAAATTAAATCCCAATAACGTTATTTCAATCCCACCCCTTATTGGGCCCTGTGCAGGAATGATTCTTTGAATAGATGGCAAACGAGGCAAGTTCTGTGAAGGTTGTGGAGTTTGCAATTGTTGCAATTGTGGATTTGGCGGTGGATGTTGAGTACCCATTGGCGATAACCCGGCAAGCAGTGGTTGCTTCATAAAGTGCATGTTGGCTGACGTATTGGTGTCACTGTTGCTCAATGGAGAATAACCACTGATGCTGCCATTGAACATTGGATTAGCTGATGTATTGTATGAGTCGTCAACAGACAACTTCTTTCGCTTGATACCACGACTTGATTCAACATCAGTGTTTGTGTGCACTTCAGAAGCAGATTCATCAACAGAGTTTGGTGATGAATGATGAGTAAATTCATTATTTGAAAATTTGTTGTCGTTATCGGAATCAGAGTTTGACAATCTTTTCTTTTTGCTTGAAATCGACAGCGTGTCACCACCCAAACCTTGTAAATTAACTGATGATCCAGCAACAGAATTAGGCATTGAGTCCTTGGTTAAGGGGATATTCTTTTTCCTGTCCATAATCATAATCGGCGACGATAATTGCTTGGCAACAACTTCACCTTTATTGTTCTTTATCAACATCAATACTCTAAACCCAGTTTGTTCTTTATGATGTCTGCAATAGCAAATGATTCTTGCCGATAACTCAATTGATTTTGAATTATCATTGTTCAACCCTGAAGGTGATGGGAAAGAAACAATCTCTTTACAATTGAAAATGATTGCCTTTTTCATCATATTTTCATCAGCCCAACTCGTAGAGTTGTTTTTGATTGCAGCCGGTGTTTTAGTGGATGAATATGCAGAGGGAGTAGCCGCAGTAGAAGTAGTACTGGTGGCGGTGGCGGTGGCGGCAGCGGCAGTAGAGGTACTGATTTCATCCATTTCACCAGCAGCTTTCCCGCGCGAAGCTCTCTTTTGCTCTCTTTTGATACATCTTGCACAAATGTTACACGATTTTTGCAAGTCTGAAGTGAGAACATAAGCATCCAAAAACAACAAGTTTTCTTTCAATCTGGGGTGCAAATTTTCAACTGGTTCAGATAGACAAAACTTATTTTTAGAAATAAGGTCTTGTGGCACATACAATAAGGCTTGGTTTGGGGCGGGACTCAACGTTATATCACATCTGATTTGGGTTTCAACGCGCGAGTGACTTGGCAAAGCTGATAAGGCCATCTTGTGTGGCAACCGATTCATAGCATCCGGTGAGAAATCCAAGTAGGATGCATCAGGAATATCAACAGTCTTTGGTACTGCATTAATACGATGGCATCCAAACTTTAAGTTGTTCAACTCCTCTCTAACAAATTCGTATTCAGATAAAGAAGTTGGATTTGAAGGTATTGTGGACATAAATCTCGACTCCCCTGGGGATATTATGGCATTAGGAGTAGGGAAAGCGGAGTTCGTGATTGAATTCTGGTGGTTGTCTTGAACACTCGATCTTGATTGAAGTGGATCGTGTGAGAAATTTGATTCATGAGGTAAATCCATATACAAGTACCCATTGTCTTGTGGGGAGATAGCATCGAGGTTCAGTAAATCAAGATCATTGATATCGTTGTCACCATTTGGTAAGTCTGAAAATTGAGGAAAGCTGTTTCCATTTGCCAAGTTGCTTGACTCTTGCTGGTGGTGTTGGTGCTGCTGTTGCATGTTACTTGTTTCATTAGTTAACGCATAAAGTGAGTTCATCAATGTGTCTCCAGTGAGTGGTTCTTGTTTAATTTTTGCCGTGCTTCCATTTTTGTCACTACCATTGTTGTTGTTATTGCTGGGCGTAGTGGTTCCCATCGAGTCGTATACTCTTTGGTCTAAAAACTCATCTAGTATATCCTGATTGTCATCTAAAAGTTTAGTGTGTGAGTTGTGACTGCTAATGATATTGTGAAAATCACTATTGTGACCACTGCTGTTGTTTCCTTCGTAGTTGCTGTTGTGGTTGTTGTTGGTGGTGGTGGTGGTGGCGTTGTTATTGTTGCTAAAGAAGTCATGTGTTGCATGATCTTCATGTGCAACAAAACTCATAGTGTGAAAGTCAAAAGTAGCTAGAGATTATTTATACGTTGGTGTATCTTATGTTGAATAAGTATATATATATCTCTCTCTCTCTGTGCGTGTGTGTGTGTATGTATGTATAGTGTCCTTTTAGGCTGGTATAAATATATATATATGTGGTGTGTCTGTGGGCCTTACTGGTAACTTCAGTCAATTTTTTAATGAAAATGAAGAAATATAAAAACAAAACCAGTGTCTGAGATTGAGAGGAAAAGTAAAAAAAAAAAAAGAAAAAAAACAAGGGTGTGTACCAAATGACAAAAAAAAATAATAAAACAAACTTACAGTAATTATTTTATATACACTGCTCTTTTATTTAATTACGAGAAACTCTTTTACTAAGAATTAGTATCAACACTATTGAACAAAAACGAGCAAATTTGTATGTCATTGTTTGACGTGTTCATATCTTTGAGGGCGTCTAGCTCTTTTTAATTTGTAAGTCCTTGCTCAACAGATATTTTGCGTAACACTGTTCAAGTCACTTCTATGGCTTTGTGTCGTATTTTAATTTTTTATTGTCTCTCGCTCTTTTGGAGGCGTATCAAGTTCAAAGTGGAAACAAAACGTTTCCCTCGGTGCTTGGAAGTCCATTGAAAGCAACAAAAAGTACACCTACCCACCCACCACAGTATGGAAAACCCCTTTGTCCGCGGTGGTCCCTTTACTGATAAGCTCTAAACATACACAGCTATGTTTTTCTGTAAAAGTCTAGATTCCAAACTTTCCGGTTTCATTAGATTTCAAGTACTCTGTACGAAACAAAGAACAATAGGGAAGAGATGTATGATCTTCGCTTAAATACACAAACAGAAATCAGATCTCGTTACCTCCGTACAACTTTACCACCGAGGTTTACAAGAAAAACAGGGAATATAAAAAGGGGGTACTACTTACTAGAGGGTTTACACGGAGGGTTGTAACGGGATGATGGCAACAACTGAAATGATAGCACAATGTGACAACGTGTCCTCATGTTTTTCAAAATGTTTAATTTATTAGTTCACGGCTAAGCTAACTTGGTCAAGAAATTAAGCGCAAATCTCTACCCCTTCAAGTTGTAAATAATAGTTTTTCCTGAGTTTTTGATTTGATGAAGCAATTCTGAGAGTCTGATACTATAGATGGATGATCTCCAATTTGGAATAGTGCACCATGCACCACCTATCAGTGATGATGACACGTAGCTAAGTCCTTATAACTTTGCTGCTGGTTTTACAAAAAATTTTGACTGCAAAAAGGAGAGAGAGAGAGAAATTTCAATTACGAATGACACACACAAACACAATTTTTACTCAACAAATTATTTGAAGTATTCTGCATATTAGCACAAAATATATTTTTGTTGGGGTTTTTTCTGACAATTACATAATACATTACATAATACCATACATTATCATTCAGTTTTGCAACAGACACACACACACACACACACACACACACACACACATACATAACACACCATCGTCATTGGACTTTCTAGTCATCTATATTACATGTGATGTAGGGCTGTTAAAGAAGTCATAGTCAGCAATGGAATCAACTCATTCATCTGCATTTGCATGTGAGAGTTATTTCAACTTAAAGTGAAAGTTGTACTCTGTTTGCAGTCACAGTTTGACTTCTCCACTTTTTATCAAAGAGTCACTGTGCGTATCACACTTCAATTTTGGCATTGCTAATTGACGCAAACCCCCAATTTATTTCCCCCAATGTTTTTTTTTTTCTACTTCCCCCTTGCATCAATTGATTCGCTTAATGATGAACAGTATTAATTCTCCATGCAGCTCACACTAGGTAAGACGCTAGCTGACTCACTCACAGATGATTTATCAAAGATAAGAGATTACGGGTTCCGTCACTGATGATAAACAACATTTCCTCAGTCTGAAGATTGTTCCCTATCAAAGTCATTGAAGTTATAGTTACTCAAAAGAGAAGACCTTGTATAATAGCGAGTACAACGCGTTCAAGAGACAGTAGTATCATATACCGGAGCACTACGTTTCTGCACCACGAAACCATCCATCTTTCTTCCTTCCTGTATCCCTTCATCAAATGCCACGCTAAACTCATTTGATCCTATATCATACACGTGAGGTAGTGTAAGTGTGACCAAAAATGTTGTCACGAGAGAGCAAAAAATGTGAAAGAAAAAAAAAAAAGTGCAAAGCAAATCACGACTGGATCAAATAAGAGACCAATCTACAATGCCAAAAAACACATTATACGTGACTGGCTTCACTAGAGAGTCAAAGGCTGTCGATTTGGCACCAGAATTTGAAAAGTATGTATCATCAATACATCGATGGATTGATCATTCTCATCCACACGCCCCTCGTTAATCACAAGTGATTTGTTTTTTTCAAACGGTTTAAATGCCAGTTAATGTTCATTGAGAAAGAAAGATTTTGATTCGAAAGATGGTTTGTTTTCCTTGCAGATTTCCAAGACATATTGTTCCTCATTAGAACTGAAAGTCATCAAGAACATGAACTTCCCTCATTTTCCCATACAACTTTCATCATCTTTATCACTATCATGCCAAACAATCAAGTTTGTCCTCACACGGTGTACCCCCAATAGGGCTACTTTCCACTCACCTCACCCAACTATTACCAGAAGCATGAGTTTCTACAACTTTTATCTGAGCTCAATTTCCAATTCCCAATTTTCAATCATCCCACTCACTTTCTTCACTATCAACTTTGATTTCCATTTCCTTTTCCCATCCAAAACCCACCAACATATCTCAAAATTTTCTTTCAAGACCATGAACCCAATTCTTGAGATCATCACATTTCCCCCTCCTTTTTTTTTTTCCAGTCTATTCCAAATTGCCAACTTTTCATTTCCCATTTCTCCACTTTTAACCCCCCCTTCTTCTTTTTTTTTTTTTCAATTCACACTTCTTTGTTTATCTTAAATTTTACTAACATTTACATCTCTTCAGCTTGGAAAATCACTAATAGAAACAATCAAATCATTTCATTTCATCAATTGAACCATCTGTTTCTTCTTCAACCAATGGAACAAACAACAAACACATTCACTTATTATTCACTTTGCTCAATATTCAAAAAGAACCAACAACTAACATTCAAAATTTTTTTTCTAAAGGTATGGTGATTTAGTCAGATTAGACATTCCTCCACCAAGAACCTCGGACGGAGAGAAGTTTGCATTTGTTGAGTACAAGGATGCTGAAGGTTGTGAACGTGCTTTGGATATGGACGGTAAACAATTCCCTTTCACTCTTGCAGGGGGTTTAGTTGTTCAAGTTGCTAGATCGGATCCTTTCCCACCAAGAGAAAGAGGTGGATTCAGAGGTAGAGGAGGTTACGGCTACGGCGGTGGTGGGCCAGGCTATGGTCGCGGTGGCTACGGTCGTGGAAGGGATGGTTACGGCGGCGGTGGCTATGGCGGTGGAAGAGGTTATGGTGATGGGTATGGAAGAGGAGGATATGGTGGAGATAGAAGAGGTGGCTATGGTGGCTACGGTGGTGACAGAAGAGGCGGCTACGGTGGATATGGAGGTGGTAGAGGGTACGACGATGGATACGGCAGAAGAGGTGGAGGAGGATATTCTAGCAGAAGTGGCAGAGGAGGATACGGTGATTACAGAGGAAGCCGTGACGGTAGTCGTGAGCCAAATGATGGATACAGAGGAGGTGGTGGATCAGATCGCGGCTTTGGTGCTGGTGGCGGTGGACGTTTTGAAGATAGAGAGTATAGAGGCGGCAGTGATAGATATGAACGTGAACCTAGAGGAGAGGAAAGAGGTAGGTACAGCAGATCTCCATCCAGATCTCCAATCAGAAGAGACAGATCTAGATCACCAGGTTTATAAGAAGACGCTGGTTAAGTGCCTCAGTGGAGCACCTCTGTACCACAAAAAGTAACATAGTTTCAATACTTCAAGGAGAAATGTAATATCTAGTTGGGTTATCCAGTATATTCTTGTATAACACTCTCTATGATTCTATGTGTGATCACATTACATCAACTCCCATTGCTACTCAAAATGATGACATTCCAGTTGTCATGAGTCCAAAATGCGCATTTCGTAATACACCACCACCTGCCCTCATCATTGGACTCCCACTTGATTTGTTTGCATTTTTGACATTGACTTCTCTCAAAGTGCTCAAGACCACCGACAATACTAAAGTATCCTGATCCATCGACAAGGTACTATTCAAGAACTCTTCAGTTGTCGATTGTTCGTTCGCAGCGATGCATTGCGGAGAAATGGGTGATGCTGTTGCTGTAGCAATTGCAGAAGGTGTCGTCGTCGTCGTCGTCGTCGATGATGATATAGTTGTTGTTGTTGTTGCTGCTGCCGCTGCCGCTGCCACTGATTGCAAATTCTGATAGATTTCCCCTTTACCAATTTCAAAATGTTTCCTTGGGATAAAACTGGCATGATCAACTTTATACAAACTAGCATCCTTGTAGCATCCAAACGGTGGTAAATTGTTTGGGATGAATGTAGCTCGATGATGACAACAATTGGAAAACCCATCTTCATCAACAAATTTACTGTTGGGGATAGGATTAATATAAGTCGATGGTTTATTAATATCAAACTCAATGTATTCTTCCTTTTCCAGCGACAATGGTTTTTTTTTCAATTTCATAAACCCCGATGATGGCTTCTTATTAATAATGCCATCACAAAGTGAAGGTTCATCATCATCAATAATGAGTAATCGCATATGAGGATTATATTCACACACTAATCCCGTCGAAATGGTTGTGCCAATGACTCGGAACCGAGTTTGCTTGTAATTGAAATCGGCAAATGGTTTGAATGTCGATTCAAACATGACGAGTTTGAAACAGGATGGCGTGTTTGGATAAAACTCGAAAATAAATCGACGGTAATTCAGGGAATACTTCAGATATACGTAGCAATAATCAAATGTTTCAAAATCAATGTCATTTTGCTTTTGGTCACTGGGTTTGGGAGCCGAGGGAACTTCTTTGAATTTCTTGAATATCAAGTAAGGGGTGTTTTTGCGGAAAGTTGACATGTATGGCAGAATCATTCTTAATGCCGGTAGACCCTGACCTTTGATTTTATAACTCACAGGTACGATGTGGTTTCTATCATCAATCACTTCATCATTGTTTCCATTATTGGTATATTCATTTTTATTTGCCCCATTGGACGGAGTCACTTTTTTAATATTTCCCTGAGCATCATATACAATTACTGAACTTTTCCTCTCCTTTTTGATATTTGCTCTCAATTGCTTAAAAAGCTTAAATGATTCACTAGTAGGAAATATAAGCACGTCGCTTTTCAACGTGCATCCAACAAACACCACCAGTCGTTTATGGTTGTACGCCGACAAGTTGCGATCCATGATTTTCCGATGATCAATATCAAATTGCTCCTCAGGTGATTGACTGTCGTTGAAAATAGTCGACAAGTCGTCATCGGCCACGGTATCATTCTCAGCATCATAATCTTCATCAAAGTGGTCTACTGGTAGGGCATTGCTACCATCACTGCGTCCACCACGTCCTGCACTAGCACGAGCTTCCCTTCGACGACGATCTTCTGCTTGTTCACGACTTTCTGCTAACCTTAATTGTCGTAGAACAAATGGAAGATACATTGAAAAATTGTCAGTGTAAGTATCCTGTAATTCAAGTCTTTGTTTACGTGTAGCACAAAGAGTGTCTGTTTCCGAAAGAGCAATGGAATGAGTATCGCCATCTCCCTGTTCATTTGCTCCACCTGATGTTAACGGTGATAAACACTCATCGCTATCGCTTGACTCATGGGTGTACGTTTGATGAGCATGAGAAGGATTTTTCTTGTCCCCTGCGTGAAGTAGTTCGACATTGTATTGCCGCAGTGTATTGGTGGCATCACCCTTGGGTGTTTCTGATAGTGTACCACTTTGACCTGATCCCGATGATGCTTTAGATTTCGTTGATGCTTTAGATTTCGTTGATTCTTTGGAATTGCGTCGATGCGGCTGTGATTGAGATTGAGATTGTTGTTGTGGCTGCTGATTTGAAAGGTGCTGTTGTCCCGATTTCTCATTAGTCGGTTTTTCCTGATTACTCTGAGATTGTGATTTATGTCTTCTAAACATGCTGATCGAGTGCGATGCTTTCCCCTTGAACATGGTATGTAGAAGAAGAATATTATATAGGAGAAGATCTTGCTCGCAATTTCACAAAGTTGTAATTAATTATCTTTTTTTTTTTTTATTTTGTGCACACGGAGGGGTAACATTGAAAGGATCAAGCGTATCATAAACCTTGTCCGAACAAGATATAGGAAAAACCCAGAAAAACTCATCTTATAACTCCGTTACGAATCTGCTCTTTTCCTTGGCCGTGTGTTGTTTTCATCTTCTTTTCCTTAAATCATTCGTGGGGGGGAGGTCTCGGTAATTCGAGTCCGAGGGCACGTGAAGTTCATGTGCTTTCTGAAAACACATGTCTTCCTTGAAGTTTTGAGAATTACGATACAACTAGGACGTGACCAGTATCTAGCTATAATGCTGTTAAAGGTAGTGCCCTATCTTGTCGGAAAAGGAACGACGTTGTTTGCGTGATAGCTTTACGGATACTCGTGTTAAGAGATTTAGTTCATTGATACTGCATGTTGATAGAAAATTCAATACGTTAATCCCAAGTTTCTTCGGAAATGATTACACGAGACAACCTAATAATGGAGGCTCGACGGATTCCGTCATGGTGGTCATGGTGGTATTGCTATCCTGATGTGTCTTTTGCGTCCCATATTTTCAATATTTAGCATTGACCTCTCAACCTAATACTAAGGAAACTATTATGGAAGAAATTCAAATCGAATTCATTTAAAACCCCTATAGACCACGCGAATCAAGAAATGCTATATAAAGAATATATTTTTGCCTGCCTTTTCCTCCCTCTTTATTATCGTAATTACAGCAACGTAATCCCTTCTATTTCATCCAGTTGCGGTGGTTCAACAACAGCTTCAACTACTGCTTTGATACCCATGGGTACTTTTTCAAACTTTTCATATCTCCCATATGAGTAACCAAATCGTTGTACTTTTGATATCTGCCACGCATTGACAAAGTCATTCAATATTGAGTGATTGGCGTATTCCAAATGATCAGTCATTCTAAATTTTTGCAATTGCAATGTGATTGGTAGTGATTGGTGGTGGTTGGCACTCGGAACATATACCTCTTGGATACGGTTGAGCCATTTGCTGACTCAAGTAAGCATGATAGGAAATATGCTTTATACTGTGCTCTTTTCTGTACGACTCACCCCATGGCGACCACGGAGAACAATATTCACACATTCCCTTTGATCCATGACGACACATTAATGAAATTGGACGTTGAATCATGCCATCCAACTTGCCCAGTTCGTCGTCAACAAGCAATTGATTAAAATTTAATGAACCATGAGCTGTTTGATTTATTTATTGAAATGCTTTCAGATGTTGATGATATAGGTGCTATTGCGGTTGAGCCACTCCTGAATAAGGTAATTGGTGCTGATCCTCCTTGTGTTGAAGCCAATAACGTTGCCAATGCACCTCCAAAGTTCATGTATAGTGAATCCCCAATTTTTAAATTCAGTTCGAACACCAGTTTGAGTCATCGTTGCCATTGGATTGGTTGTATTATTCTCAACTATCAGAAAATAGACAGATTGCACAACAGGACAATACGGTCATGCATTCCATTGTCCTAACCCATGGCGAGGTCAAATACACATTTTCTCCTTCTAGATATCCTGATATACTTGGCCAGTGCACAACAATAGTAGGCTAAATCCAATGCGATAAGGCCAAGTTTTTCGGGAAAAGTCACCACAAGAAAACGTTTCGAAGGTTTCACTTCGTGGCCACCATTCTTGGACAAATATGCTCTATGACAGATTTTCTTCTCTACCAATATGCCTCAAATCAGCCAGATTCAGGTATAAATTCCTTGCGTGCTTGCTGGGTGTCTCGATTATCAATTCCGCCTTGAAACTAATTGCGCGCGATTACCGGACTTTGTACCACTGACATAACAAAACCAGAGTCTCATTCATGTAAGACCTTACATCGCATATACTACAAATATAATTCATTAAATATTCACAGCATTCATAGCGTTTGCATGAGATCAAAACTTGCTCGTGCTTTCTTCGGTCCCATTGAGAAATCATACGCACTACCAAGTTCATTCTCCTTATCCATAGAAACATCACTGTCTTGACTGTGAATTCCCATTGAGCGTTTGTAATCTTGATCCATGGTGGTGTAGTTTAATTTGTTTATCGAAACGTTTGCTTTAACATTAGACTCCACCAACTTCCGCAACCTAGAAGTCTTCGAAAAGCTTCGTATTATATGATCCTTGTCTTTGATTGTTTCTTTGAGCTGTAGTATCTCCTCTTCTTGCTCTTTGAGCACGTCCATCAATTCGCTATTTTCTGAATTAGACGTGTTGTGATTTGCATTCTTGGCATATGCCATCTTCAACTGGTGTTCGAGATGAGCAATATAATTGTCATATTCATTTCTCTCATGAGTCATGCGTTTGTAGAACTCCTCTATATTGGCCACATAGAGTTGGGCATTGTCTGTACCGGAACCAATAATATCATTTAGTGCACTATCCTTGACAATTACAGTTTCTGTCTTTTGCAAATCCGTGAGTCGAGTAAGATGACTGATTTTTTCCAATAGCACACTAGTCTCTGCTCTTAATGAGTTAATCGAGGCATTCAGATTCAGGGCATTCCCGGAACACCCATTTGACTTCAACATCAACAAATCCTGCCTCTGTTGCTCAATCGTATTATTCAACTCTTGTATTAACTTCGTAGTTTCTGGATCACTTAATTCAATGCCCCTTCCAACGTTCTTTTCGACATTAATGACAATATCCTTTGCCCTAGCGGCAAATCTCAAAGTCTTGTAGGTTTCAGAGACAGCTTGTTGTGCGATGGCATTACTACCACAACCCATATGAATTGTACACAATATCAGCACCAAACTCCTTCCACTTAAAGCAGGCTGCAAAAGCCTGGTCAATTTTGAGTCTCTGTAGCTTATATGATGATCTACAACGCCATGCGAGGATGCTGATAACTTGTTGATGACATTGCTCAAAGCCAATAACGATTTATTGATGTAGGATCCTTCTTTTCTCCTTTCTAAGCTTGAAGATGCCCGTTCCGAACCTGCCAAGTCACACATCGACAATGTGGATGTGGTTTCGCAATTGGTAACATCATTGACAACCTTTAATCTAATCTGTAATATTGAATGCGATCTTGAAGATCTTGCATTAAAATCGGTGGCACTTGTTTTTCGATTGAGATCACCTTTCCTGATTAATGAGAGTAGTTGTTCTTTTGATGACACTGTCGGAGTAGTCAAACCAATCACTTTCACACCGTAATCAGGATCATCTCTTATCTTCAAGTCACTGCTTGTCATTGTGGGACTATTGCCTGCATTTAGCAAATCAATGATACGCTCATTGTATATTTCAAGATATGATACATTTATCTGATGCTTTACCATAGCGCCCATTTGAGAAATTTTGTCAAACAAATCATTCACTGCTAATTCAACAAACCCGGATTCTTCCTCGTTTCCTTTCATGCTATATGTTTTGCCCGACCCAGTCATACCATACGCAAAAACAGTCCCATTGTAACCTTCATCAAGAAATTTTTCAACTATTGGTTTACAAGCTTTTAAATACACTTGGTAATTGTTGTTCTGGTATGTATCATTTTCAAACACGTTATCAAAGACAAAACAGCTCCCATCCGCATGGGATATGCTATTGTTGTAAGAATTTATATGCCAATTTTGCTGAGCACCTTGGGTAAAAGATTGAGGATTGGGACGGATAGATACAGTTATAGTACCAGTATATGGTTCTTGACGATAGTAACTTCCTGAATTAACTGGTGTCCCAGGGCGACTTGTGGCAAGGGATGAGCCTGGTCTGGACCTAGGCTGTTGCTGATGCTGCAAAACGGGTGAGGATGATCGAATCATAGTTGGCCTTGATGGAGGACGAAACGTTGATTTAATAGATGAAGATGATCGCGTAGGTGTTGGTGCTGACGAAACTGACGCGCTGGATGAGTTACCCAAGGATGACCTTGTTCTCATTGGTGTTTTGTATGACATCGTGTTGGTTGACGTGTGGGCAAGGTGGGGATGCTCTGTGGTATTGGAATCCTTATCTTCGCTCGGTCGTGTCAAAACTGGTTTCTTATTCTTTTGGAGTTATGGCATACATTAAAATTTCAGATATTCTACACTTTGTTTACAATTGGTACAAATTGGGAAAGTATATTGGATACTACACAAAAAAGAAATTAAAAAAAAAAGAGTATGCAGTAGCCACATATGACACAACAACTATCAGTATCTTATGAGGTTCTGCAAGTAAAGCACAACAAGTAGAGCAAAACTGTATATCGCCAGTGAGTATGTCAAAGCTATAGAACAAAGCAGGCACGATCGGTGATGTCTTTTCCATACCAAATAGCCCAATCTTTATACTTGTGATGCAAGTTAGTTCCAACTGTTTCAAATTCGCTTTTGGCTTTCATTGCACTTCTAATGTCGTAGTAGAATACGCTAAAACTAAGCTTTCTTGAAATCACACTTCCAATATCCATCACTTCTCCAAATGGCTCAAAGTCCTCTCTGATGTTTTGAATCTGCAAGTCACGAGTATAATGGATTTCAGGCTCTGGGTAAAACATCTTATCTCCTGGTCTGATCTTTTTACCAACAATCATTTTGGAAACGATTAAACATCTTCTGCACCCACTGGTCAAAATTTCATTGTAGAGGGCTCTGGGTATTGTAACGTGGTGGTCTGGTGTCGTTGTGCCTTTAAAATTGGGTTTGGTTTTGAAGTTGCCTATTGCGAAACCATAGTTTTCAACATCCTCTGCTTTCCTTTCTGACACCTCGTTGTACTCTTCGTCACCCCAGCTAACACCTAGCTTGATGCCATTAACCTTGAGTAACCCCGTAGCACTTCCATACTGGTAAAATTGCTTAGCTTGTTGCGGGAAAATAAAGTACAACTTGACTCTGTGATTTGAAACTCTAACAACCTTCTCCAAAGGTCCTCCACAAACTTGTTGTATGATTGAATTCATTCCCATTGATGAATCTAAATTTGATAACACAACACACCTCTTCGTACCCTCTTCCAAGTTTCTCTGTTGGTGCTTTCTTCTGTTGAATACTTTCCCCAACTTATCTGCACGTTCACCTAACCTCTGTTGACCCATATTTTCCAAACTCGGGTTTCCAGTGAGGGGCCGCTGTTGCGATTGCATACCGGCAAACAGATTACGAGGGTTCTGATTCAAAGTGAGGTGTTTATCAAAAGCTGCAATGGTTCTTACTTTGTCGTACGCCTCTTGAAAATGGCGAGACTCTGAATCCTTAACAGCCACATCTTCTGTCTTTACTCCGTTTGTCACCTCTGGTTTGGAGAATGGCCACGAGCAAACTTTTAGGAAATTAGACCTGCGACTTGAAAGTGTGTTCACATTAGTGTCATCTTCATTGGCACCACCTTGCACAGTTGGGTAACGACGTTCTTGAGACACTGCCCGAGAAAAAGTAAAACTGGGGACCCTCAAAGAGCCTGCTGACTTTTTTGTCACCGGATTTGTGAGCGTAGAGTTGGTGGAAGGCGTTGAACCATTCAGACCTTCAAGCAAAAATTCTGGCTGGGCAAACTGCTTCAACATTTTGAAAATTCTTTGGAATTGAAACTGGTACCAAAACTTAACTAGCAGTAGTAAACGGATAAGCGGCTAGCAAATAGTGAGCGTTAAATGTGTATTTGAGGTGGTGGTGGTGGTGTGTGTGTGGTGTAAAGATTACAAAATTTCAAAATGTAATTGCATATCAAAAGGCGTGTGTGTATACTTTTGCAGTCGAGCTTTGTGTGCAGTATGCTGCAACAGTGATTTTTTATTTTTCCTCTCTTACCTCATCACTCTACAATATTTTGAAAAAGTTGGTTTCAATATTGTGGATTCTCCGTGACAAGTGAATGCTCAGATATATTCGCCACAGACTTTTAATTCCAATGGCTGAACAGTTAAAAAGATCCGTGTCACATGAGGACTTAGCCGGAGCCAATAAAAAGTTAAAGCCCACACTCATTCCCGCGCTTACTGAAGATGCAGTTGGTATATTAAAGTTTATCAACCCTACGTCGGTTGGGTTTCAAGGTTCGTTGAAAACATTGCATTCAGATTTTCAAGTCAATGAAATTGAACCTAATGGTAACGTGGTTCATTTGACTGATCTTGGGATTGACATGGGTAAGTCGAAAAAAGAAAAGAAACTCGAACAAAAAGCTAAAGAAGCGCAGGAATTTGAAGGTAAATCAGAGGAGGAGATCTCCAAGATCAAAGCCGAAAGAGCCAAGATACAAGAAAGCGAGCCAAAATACGAATTAAGTGAGGCAGATAGAATGGAGTTACTCGATTACATCAATGCAGAAGAGTTGAATCAAATTGAGCAATTGTTCCACACCGGTAATCATATGGAGACCAATACCTCCATTGATGACAAGGAAAAGAGAGGAAGGCTTCACCAGCTTTTACGTAAGGCTTTTCAAGGTAAATTGGAAAGCACAACGTCTTCTCAAAACACATTCAAGATAGTGATTGCCAAGAACAGGGGCAATAATCGACGTGGTGGAGATGCAAATGTGATGGATAGCATGCATCATGTTGACGAAAACGGCGTCATCAATTATGGACTTGGACCATTCAAACCGTATTTGCATTTTGCCGTGTTTAAACAAAATAGGGATACAATGGATGTTGCAAACAATATTGCCAAAATGTTGCGTATCTCCCCCAAAACTATCAACTACGCAGGTACAAAAGACCGCCGTGGTGTAACTTGTCAAAAATTTTGCATCCATCGAGGTAAAGTCCTTCGTGTAAGTGCTTTAAACAAGATGAAGAATTCAAACTTCAAGTTGGGGTCGTTTACATATGAAGATTACCCTTTAAAGTTGGGGGACTTGTCTGGTAATGAGTTTACCATTACGTTGCGTGATGTAAAACCGGCTGTTGAAGAGAGTACAAGTGCCGAGTTACATACTATTGTTGCTCAATGTTTTGATAGTTTGGACAAGCATGGTTTCATCAACTACTTTGGAATGCAAAGATTTGGATCATTTTCAGTACCAACGCATCAACTAGGTGTTGCTTTGCTACAAGAAGATTGGGGAAAATGCGTTGACTTGTTATTATCTGAACAAGAGGTTTGTGCTCCAGGGACAATGGATATGAGAAAGATTTGGAAAGAAAAGAGAGACCCAAAAGAAGCATCAAAGGCATTGCCTAGACACTTTGTTGCTGAGAATTGCGTTTTGAAGGTTTTGTCCAATGAACAACAGGATTCAGAGAAGAAATACAAGCCACATTCATACTTGAAGAGTCTTTTGGCTATACCGAAAAACTTGAGAATGATGTATGTTCATGCTTATCAATCATATGTGTGGAACTTAGTAGCATCCAAAAGAATAGAATTGTTTGGCCTTGAAGTACAGGAAGGTGACTTGGTTCTTGATGACCAATCGACAGAAACCACAAGTGTCGATGATGGGTTTGAAGAAGATGTTGCTGTGTCCAATACAGTTGCAGTAAAAGCATTAACCAAGGAGGATATCAATAGTGGTAAGTACTCGATTTTTGATGTGGTTTTACCTAGCCCCGGTTTCAAGATCCAGTATCCCACAAACGAGAAATTGAGACAGGTTTACATCGACACCATGGCCAAAGACAACCTTGATCCATTCAACTTGATGAGAAAGAATAAGGAGTTTTCTTTAACCGGTGCTTATAGAACGTTATTGTCTAAACCAAAAGATCTTTCCTACGAGATTATTGAATACAAAGTTGATGGTAAGCCATTAGTGAGAACTGACTTGGAGTTACTTGAAATGAAAAAGAGTGAAGGTGGTACAGCTGAAAGCAAAGAGATGAATTTGTCAGATAGAATCATCAAGAGCGAGGACAGTGCTGATAACACCACCGCCACCACCACTGAGCCTAAATTTGCAGTCGTTTTGAAGATGAAACTAGACGTCAGTTCATATGCCACTATGGCTTTGAGAGAATTTATGAGGATTGATACCTCAAGATATGCTCAGATGAAATAGCAGTACCTGTATATACAATTGAATAATAGAAACTACTTGCATCTATGCTCGTATTTGTGCGTGATCTTTCGTTTAAAACGTGTTGCGGGTACGAGAAATACGGCGCGGTCGCAAACGATGACTTTCAAGTTTTTTTCAAAACATCTCCGCGTATATAAAGCAAAGCTATGCAGTAGTAGCAGTAGTAGCAGTAGCAGCAGCACTGAAGTTACTTTCAACTATATACATGCAGAAAAATATTTAAAGACACTAAATGAGTACATTGAATCCAGTAACAACACACAGAGAGTTTAATGGGCTTCCTGGAGCATTGGGTATAACTTTTGGTTTACCTTTGGTAATCATTATTTTTGCTTTAGTCACTAATCAATATTATTCATTACAAGGTGTCAATCTTCAAATTGGAAAAGTGTTGAGTCAAATCCCATGCGAGCGGACAGAATGGATGAACTTGTGTTTTAATAAACAAGTGTGGAGTGCATATTTGGCATGGTTCTTTGGGTTGGTCATTTTGGATCAAATATTGCCTGGTAAAATGATGCAAGGGACGAAATTGAGAGATGGAAGTTATTTGAATTATTGTATTAATGGTATTAGTATGAGTGGAACGTTGTTTTCTATTTTGATTGCCCGTTGTTTACAAGTGGAGGATTTCAATTTACCTGAATTGCAATTCATTTACAATCATCAGTTGCAATTGTCAGTGACCTGTATAATCTTTTCATTCTTGTTGGCAGTATTTGTTTATGTGTACTCCTTTATCCCGTTAACCAAACCTAATGGTGTTGGCACGAAAGAGAGGATATTGAGCGTCAATGGAAATACGGGGAACATCATTTACGACTGGTTTATCGGCCGTGAATTGAATCCAAGAATTGGAAACTGGGATATCAAGTTATTTTGTGAATTGAGGCCAGGAATGTTGTTGTGGTTTCTCATTAATTTGAGTTGTGCTCATGAACAATATCACAAGTTGGGCTATGTCACAGATTCTTTGATTTTAGTCACTTTATTGCAATCGTTTTACATTTTTGATGGTGTGTTGAATGAAACAGGGTTGCTAACCATGATTGATATCACTACTGATGGATTCGGATTTATGTTGAGTTTTGGTGATTTGGCGTGGGTACCTTGGAGCTATACGTTGCAAACGAGGTACTTGAGTGTTCCAGGAAACGAAGTAACCCTAGGATGGCATATGTTTGCCGCAATAGTGGTGTTGCATTTTGTTGGATTCTACATCTTTAGAGCTTCCAATTTGCAAAAATCCAACTTCAAAAATGGCAAGTTGCAACACATGAAACATATCAAGACTGCAACGGGGTCAAAGTTGTTGATTGAAGGATGGTGGGGATTATCACAACACATCAACTATCTTGGTGACTGGTTGGTTGGATGGTCTTGGTGCTTACCCACTGGATTCCAAACTCCATTGACATACTTTTATGTGATTTATTTTGCCAGTTTATTGATCCACAGACAAGTAAGAGATGATATGAAATGTCAAGCTAAATATGGCAAAGATTGGGAAAAGTACAAACAATTGGTTCCTTACAAAATTATTCCCTATGTATACTAAAAAAAAAAAAAAGAGAAGATAATAAAAGAGTAATCTCTATTCATTCTTTTTATCAAAATCAACTTGCTTGTCAAATGAAGCGTAGGTGATTTGTAAATCTGAAAGCCAAGTTAATGCACCATAAAGAATCAATAACAAAAAGCCCGACACTATCAATCCTGACCAAATTCCAGTAGTGAAAAATTGATAGTTTGTGAAAAGATTATCATGCTTTACAGTGGTTGTATTTGATGGGACATCCTCCAAGATAGTGACAGGTTGATCTTCTTCTGCAGCTAGTCTATGAGCTTCTGCGAAATCAGCATCAATTTCTTGCTCTACTGATACATCGTCATTGTTTTCGTTTCTTGCTACTTTGCCATCGACGTAGTACAAGTTTTCCAATTTGTCCTCATCTGCATCAACATTGGCAGTTGGTTTGAAATCAGGTATGATTTGAATCACATAATCATCTTCATAAACCCTGTTTACTCTTTCTAAAACCTCTTCGATTGAATCACGCGACAAGACTTCTGGTAAAATACCCCGGTTTTTCAATTCACTAAAAACAGTCTCAGACTGGTTGTTATAAACAATACCGTTTATTTGTAAAAACTGGTCACTAAACTTTGTCCATTTCCAATGCGACTGCCAATCAGATTTTTTAATCTGATAGTAGAAAAAATTTACCTTTGCATTCTGATCAAGATCATGGTCTTTGAAAGCAATAGACATTCGTTCGTCAACATTTTTGAACGTTTTATAGTGCCATTGATCGTTGGCGAATAGTTGCTTTATATCATACATCCAGTTCGTGACAAATGTAGGTGCAGTATTTGCATACAAAGCAGCAGATATTCCAATGAAAAACGCCAATTTTGCTATGAGCAAGTTGAAGAGCTGCATCTTGTGTTAGCAAAAGGGGGTGGTGGTTTTCGAAATGCAACTGATTAATTGATTGATGGATTAATTACTTTGCTCACTTTGGTGATTAAAATTTTTGAATTGTTTGGAATTTTAATCTGCAGGAGAAAAATCAAAAGTTAAACAAATAGAGACAAGAATTCAATACATTTAGTAGATATACCATCAGTTCAATCAGCGATACAACATGGTTACAGCCGATATCCCAAAGTACGTCAATACTAAAGATCAATCCAACGTGCTCCATTTACTAACTCCTACTCTAGATCCGTCATACAAAAGTTGATGATTTTCACAGCACTAATGATAATAGTGCCGCTTGTTACGTTCTTTACAGTACAATATTTCACACCCAATAGTATAATAAGTGGTGGATTGAGTGCGTTATCAGCAAATATTGTTTTAATTGGGTATATTGTTGTTGCATTCACTGAAGATACATCATCACTACAATACGAATCGGAAAAGGAAAAAAAGGTTGATTAAAGGGTATTTGAAAAAGAGATTTTGATTAAAGATGTATATGTATGTAACTAAACATGGCGATTTAATGGCAAATGGGACCTTAGCTCATCTATCGTGGTCACATACCTGACACTCATGCTGTAATCTCTAGAGCCTCTGCATCTCACTCTTTTTCAAAGCCGCATGAAAAATTCACCCGATTAAAACTACGCAACTAAAGCCAACACTGACCCAAGCTCAAGCACATTTTTCCCCACACCCCAATGGTGCAGCAATTATCCCTAGTATCGTCAATTCCTCATTCGAATTACCTCCAAACAATAACGTCTCTTCAGGCCATCACTGGTATACTACAACCACAACAAATATCCACCTACTCATTAATAACCAAGCCAAATCATGTTTTCAAACCTAAATTTGAACCAGGTAAAATCAATCAAATTGAACAGTATTATATGAAATGTACGACAACTTGGGAAGAACCAAAAAGTGGGCATTTAGATATTGCTGAACCGGTGTTCAATGATGATAAAGACCATCCTATATTGGTGAATAAGCTATTCAGTAATAGCAGTGACGAAGATGAGAATGTCGCTGGTGGCTGTAGAGCTAATGGTAATGGTGGTGGTGTTGAACGTGTGTGGACGCTCCAGATTAGTGATATACCCATTGCAGGAAAGAATCAAACTTGCTCGCAACAGACAATTTACGAAAGTACTTTGGTGCATACACACGTTGGTGTTGAGAGTGGATCACTGAATGAAATGGAAGATAAGATGGATATTGATATGGAAGTCAAAGTGGAGAAGGAGGTGAAAAAGGAGAATGAAAATGAGAATGAAAAGGAGAATGAAAAGGCGGATGCACCTATCATCAAGAAAGAAGAAAAAGCTACATCAAATGATGAATCCAAGACAGATGACACAATTACCAGCAATGGCAAAAATTCCACTAACGAAACATCGACCACGACGGTGAAAACCGAGCCACGGGAAACACACAAGACCACCACTTCAAAGAGCAGCAAAAACGACTCCTTCCTAATCTTTCTTTATGATTTAGGATACGACGTAGTCAACCAGTACTGGATCAAAGGAGTACGGTTCTTTTACAAGGACATAATCATCGAAATCTACAAGATATTCATTCGTGATGACGAATTCAATCACAATGTGGGCCCTACATCCACTACTGCCACTGATGCCAATGCCATCAAGTTGAAATTATTAGATGAATCAAATACATTTCAAATCAAATGTTTTGTCAATGTGCCCAAGACTACCGACGTTGATCAAATCAATGCTGGGGCTAAAGAATTGACCAAGTTGCAAGAGTTTGTCAAGAATTTGTTTATTTTGGAAATACCGGATCGAATGTATATGGATTCAAGAATACAGAGCTTAAAATGATGATGGCATTGGCCGGGGAGAAGGGGGCTGGGAAGGGGGGGACGGGGGAACCGACCAACGCCACTATATGTGTTTTCCATTGAGTCAAACAAAAAAAAAAAAAAAAAAAAATGGTATTATCTACGTACAGTGATTGAATGAATGTTTATTAGTATTGGTTGTACTCTCTCTACTGTATATTCTGCAACTGTTTCTTTTTCTTGTCCAATTGTTTTCTCTTTTTTGTCAATTCTTTATTCCTGGTTTCCTTCTTTTCAATACCATATTGCATCTTCTTGTACAACTTCTTTTGCTTATTGGTCATCATAATCTTGGCCAATTCTTTAGCTTCTTCATCTTCAGTAGAGGATGTCGATGGTTTAGTCTTTTGTTTCTTGGATTTTGGTTCCTCTTGTTGTTGTTGTTTCAAATCAGAATACTTTTCACCAGCTACTTCCATTTCTAGTTCCTTTTGTGCTTTGAGATCTTCATCTTCTTCTTCATCCTCTTCTTCTTCCTCTTCTTCGTCGTCGTTTTCATCTTGATCTTCATCACCAGATTCAACTTCAATTTCCTCTTCCTCTTCTTCCTCGTCGTCGTCGTCTTGTTCATTTTCTTCTTCTCCGCCTTCACCACTCTTTTGTGCCTTGGCTTCAGTTTCGGCATGTGGATCGTATCCACCAGCATCTCCCCATGGCGACAAATGAGGAGGTAAAGTTTCACCAGGTGCATAAGGTCCAACACTAATCAACTCTTGTTTATTAACACAATCAAATACCCATTGTGGTTGAATATATGTCCTACCGGGAACTTTCGACAACACCTTGTTTCGATCAACAATTTGATGAGTTATTGAATCCAAATTTAATTGATTATATGCCTTGGGGTCATTGATTTTCAAATCATCAAGACTGATTTCTGATATTACTGTTCCACCACATGATAATATAACAAATTCTAAAATGTCCAAGGGAACTTCTCTACCAATGTAAAAAATGAATTTGGAAAATAATTGTGAAGTTGGGGATGAGAATTTAGATGGTTGGATCAAAGTGTCGGCTGATTTGGTAGTTGAATTGTCTTGAAAATTATCCAATTCAACTTCTTCAACATTAGCTTCTTCTTCTTCTTCTTCTTCACCGGCAGCAGCGTCATCGACATCAACAGCACCATCTTGTGCTCCCTCATTACTAGTTTTTTGATCTGCTTTGAGTGCCCTGTCAATCTCAGACTGTGACAATTCTTTACCAACTTCGTTATTTTCCTCGGTGGTTTGTTGCTTCAACAAGACACTATTATTGGTATTTTTTTTGCCATCTTTAGATTGCAACACATAACTCGTCAATCCACCAACTCCCTTCAATTTCGTCATATCAATATGAGGGGGGTAAATCAATCCGCTTTCATTATACAACTTGTACATGACAAAATTCAACAATGTTGAATAAAATTCCAAAAATGTCAACATGATTCTAAAATCAACATCAGTTGGGATATTTGTTGGGAACTTGTATGGAATCAACCATCTAATTTCTTGACCCTTTACCGTAGCTTGATAATAAACACCCTTTATACTAACAAATACTTTTTTCAATAATCTTTCTTTGGCAATATAGGCCAACCATTGATTACACAATTTTTCAGCATCACCGACAACTTTGGTGGAAACACGATCAGTTGCTGGCATATTACTAAACAAAAACAACATATTCAAAGGATCATCCAAATCTCTCAATGCATCAAGAAAAGTGGGGTATCTTTCCTTAATGATGTGGTTTAATTTATATCTAGGACGATGTTGTTCCAATTTAGAAGCACTAGAGATTTCACCTTTACCCAATGCTCGTTGTAATTTTTTAGCAAATGTCTTGTGTTGTCTGAATTTGTCCAATACTGGTTCATGTAAAAGATACTGTATGTCCTTGGTATAGTAAAATGTAACTGGGGCAGTGGAGCCCTTGTTGGCTTTCTTTTTGTTGCGAGGTTCTCTTGGATATATACCTTTAAAGATACAAAGTCGACGGAAGTCGGCTAATGAAATTTGCAATCTCTTGATTGCTTGAGTACGGGTAATGAAGTTTTTGGCATTCCCTGATGTTCCTTTCCTTTTGATTCTCGCCATGATAGTGGAGGATTTAGAAGTTGAAAGTTGAAAGATGATGATTTACTTTTGGTTTGGAAAATTATTTCTTAACCTCATCTCATCCCTCTCGTAGAAAAAAAAAATTAAAAAATCAATGAAAAATGGGTTAGTCGTGTAAAAAGATAGAGATAGAGATAGAGATAGAGATAGAGATAGAGAGAGAGAGAGTGTGTGTGTGTGTGTATGTGTATGTGTCAATGCTGCAAATTTACAAAAAACTGGCCAGTATTTGTAACTTGGGTGCTGGTCACTGAGCCAGCACATTATGGAGAGAAAAGTCTACAAGAGTTATTCATTCACATCCATAGTCAGGGGAATTGTCGCTCCACCTCTTCTTTATGCTTCACAATAGAGTTGTATTTGCAAAAGATACAAATTAGTTCATTTTTATTAAATTGAAGCGTCTCATGTCCACTTCTCTGCCTAAAGCTTCTTCTAATATACATTACAACGCTGCCTTGTCTTGTCTTGTCTTGTCTTGTCTTGTCTTGTCTTGTCTTGTCTTGTCTTGTCTTGTCTTGTCTTGTCTTGTCTTGTCTTGTCTTGTCTTCTTCTATCTGCAACACTCATATGTGCCAAGCCAACTTTCACCACCTTACTTTGATCCAAAGTATCCACCAAGAACTGCAGCAAGAATGATACAAATAATAATGACAATAACCAAGCACCAAATCTTCTTCTTTCTGGCAGCTTTGGCACTCTTGACTGCTTTGTTTGTATGCCCAACACCTTGTTCTATATCATGTTGAGCAGTTCCCACTTGTTCTTCAATTTGTTGAATTGGTTGATCTTGTTCAATAACCAATTCTTCCATATCATGAAACAATTGCGTCAATTCAGCCATTGTCTTTTCCAATTTCAAAAGTTCTCGGTGTCTAACTTGAACTTCACTCAATACTGAGCGTGCTTCACCTCTTCTGTTACTTTGCATCAAAGCTTGTTGGAAATATTGTTGTGATCCATCTTCAACAACAGCTCTAATTTCTTCTTGAGTGGCATCTGGCTTTATAATTTGGTACTGTCTTGCAGCTTGCTCTTTGGAAGATTCCTTGTTTTTAGCTTCAACTAATCTATAATCCTGAATAAGATCCAAAAATCTTTTTCTACAAGTTTCAGCTTGATCAACTTTAGTTTGATCTTTGGAATGTACAGCTTCAACTTGAGCACTCTTTATCCTAGCTTTCAAATCTAGTTGTAATGATTGAGCTTCAGCAACTAAACTATCAATTTGTTGAGAACTGTATTCAGTATCTTCATCATTCAAATCAATATTGTACAAAAAACTCTTTTGCTTATTGTCAATCAAGTTGATTATGTTTGAGTAGTTATCCAATTGCGAGTTGATATCCTGAATCTCATTCATAAATTGAACAAAATCATCTTCATTTGATGATGAATACTGTTTTGTGGCAGTAGCAGCACTATTTGGGTTAGCATAGTTGTTGTAGTTGGTATTGCGGCCATTGCCAATATCGTTCATCTCATATGAACTTTGATTATTAGCCAGATATGGCTGGTTCTGATATGGGTTACTACTCATGGGATTCTAGTGGCTAAGAAAAGTCCAAAAAGTAAAAAAAAAAAAAAAATTAAAATAAAAATAAAACAAAAGAAAAAGTGGAATGGTGCAAAAACAAAAAAAAAAAAAAAAATGTAAAATGTAAAGTGAAAAGTGGGTGGTGAGTGTGGTGAGTGTGGTGAGTGGGGGGTGAGTGGACTAATGTGTGGATTAAGGGTGTATCTGTTTCGTAAGTTTGATATTCCCCTCCTGACTAGATGAATGTGGTCTGTTCTTGGTAAAGGATTGTTTTTTTTTTCTTTTCTTTTCTTTTGAAAATGAAGTGTATGCTTTATTATAACCTCTTCGTCGTCTTTTAAAGTTGAGGTTTTTTTTCTTTTTTTTTTGTCCAAAGATTTTCTCGTTTTGTTGAAGCTTTTCTTTTTTTGTTTCCTTTTGTTTTGTTTTGTTTTGTTTTGCTTTCTGTGTGTGTCTCTCTCTCTCTTTTGAAAAACGACAATGGTTTTTTTTATTGCTTTCAACGACAGCAAAGAATGAAATTATAAAGTGAGTGGTTTATATATATATATATATGATATGTAATACGTTATATGCATTTTACAAAGAGGGCTGTATACTGTTTTATGAATGATCTTGATCTACTCAAGTGATCTACTCAGTACTATAAAACATATATATATGTATATATATAACATTTTTAGAAACTATCATCATAACAAAAATAACGCTCTACACACTTTTGCCGTCTCCTGCTTTAAAACATAAGCCAAACTCGGTGATTAAAAATTAAATTGGACAAACGAAATGAAAATTAAAAAGAGGAACTAAAAAAGTTTTTAAAATAGCGCGTCAATATTTACATTTACATTTCAGTTTGAGAAATGCAAATGCTAAAGAATAGAATGGGCAGTGTCGTGAGAAGGGAGAAGGGAGAAGGAATTTTGCGACATTGACTCACAACAACTGCGCCTCAGAACCTCAGTATTTTGGTAACCATGTGATTCTTCCATTAACAACATTCCCCATCCCCCATTGGTTTTGAGTTTTGCGTTACTAACTCTACTTTGTTCATCTTAACGACCGCAACATATCTCGCATCCCGAGGCTATGCAACAATCTACTGTTGTATTTACACTAAAGTTTTGTGTGTGAATCAATCTATAGAGGGGGTACAGTATTAAAAATTGCATATCTATGAAACTAACTTTCTCTCATCTTATGTCATTATTCCTGAAAGATCGAGGCTTTGGCTTTGGCTTTGGCTTTGGCTTTTGGCACTGCATAAAGCTTGGTTTTTTTATTTTTTTTTTATCACCATTGTACAACAACAACCCATATCACACGCACTGGCGTAAACGTAAACGACATCATCTCTTTTCCGCCGGTTGTGGAATTTCACCGTATTTGTTTTTTTTTTTTTTTTTTTGTTATTTTTGGATTTTTGCCATCGCATTATGACAACTAAGCCTAGATCTAGATGTCGAGGGCGCAATGAGTAAAAGGGTTTATGCAACGACATCAACCACTTCCGAATATGTTTCCGTGCATTCGTACTAAGACCTTTGCTCATCATACTTGATTTTACTTTGATTTAGTTGCAAAATTTCTAAAACGAATTGTGTCCCCCTCCCTCTCCCCACTAAAAAACAACACTGACGAAATATCCTTTGACAGACTCTTATCTCCTGGGCCTGCAACGTCGTCACGTCGTCATTCAAAGTAGAAGTGCTGCTCTTACATCGTCCACTGTTCTCAGTATTAACAGCATGGTAGCGATATCGGCTATAAAAAAGTCATTCCCAATTAGGCAATGAGTAAGATTCAAAATCCAAGACAAATCAAAACCCTCTCTCATCAGCTTTCCCACCCACCCCCTCCCCTCTACAACACCGGCATATGAACTCAATCAACAGTTCAACTTCATCATTCAAAGCATCGGAACATCAAGCAGCAGGACACGATGGATGCATGACACTGAATTCATTATTTATAAAACCTACAACACGTCAAGAATTGGACTTTTATACAGAAACATTAAAACGTGATGGTGCCAAAGAAGAAAGATATCCAGAAGATGAGGGTATAGCTTTAGGCTCTTTGCTTTCCCATTGGTTGCCTACGTTTTTGGGCAGTTTACAAAAGGGGGAGTTTTCAAATAAGCAAATTTTCAAACAGTCTCTGACATCTTCCATTTCATCATCAACTGACAATGTCACGGCTGGTTTAAAAAGTAAAGAATATATTGTACTTCTGAATCTCTATCACGAATTCAAAAAGCCAAGTATTTTGGATATCAAACTTGGATCGAAATTAACTGATGATTTAGTCACTCCCTCGGAAAAGATTGCAAGGTTGCAAAAAGTAACTGAATCAACAACTAGTGGATCACATTCATTTCGCATCTGTGGCATGAAAGTGTACAATAATGAAAAAGACCTCCTCAAACCTAAGGAGCTTTTTCCAGGAATGGATGATACGATAACCATACTTTATGATGAACCAGAGAATCAATTGTCATCAGCGTCAAATACATCACCAAAGTATTTGGTCTATGACAAGTATTTCGGTCGACTGTTGGACTCAAACACAATACAACAAGGATTGGAACTTTACTTTAAACCACTAAAACCCAAAATCCACCACCTCATGTGCCTCATTGACAACTTTATTCATAGATTGCAACTCCTATACAATTGCTTATTAGACCATGAAACAAGAATGTATTCAGCTAGTCTCTTATTCATTTATGAATGTGATCCACAAGTGTGGTCAAATGTTTCAGTTGAAGAATATGGCAAGTATGATCCATTGATCAAAGAGTTTGAATTGAGTGATGATGATGATGATGATGATGATGAAGACGAAGCAGAGAATGTATTTAACGACGTTGACGCGGTTGAACGAGAAGGACTACATAACGTCACTAAAGCTTACGACGTAATCAAACAAATTGGTGCTAGCGACAAGTATAATGATTGCGACAAGGACATGGAGCGTACTGCACCATTGAGCAGCTTGCATCTTATAGATTTTGCCCATTCTAAATACGTTGATGGTGAAGGGTACGACGAGAATGTTATTGAAGGTGTGGAAAACTTGATCAAGCTTTTGCAAAATATCAAACTGGAAATAGAGTAGAAACATAGATACAACTAGATGCAAATGCACTTTTTTTTTTTTGTTTTATGAAATTTTAAAAAAACCACTTGTTTATCGCTTTTTATATGTTATTACACACATCAACACACAAACGCTGGCTCTCCACTACTGCTCCCTCCCCCTCCCCCCCCCTTCACTTTTATTTCAACAACTTGGTAATCTTTCCAATAGCAATAGTAGTACCTTGATCTCTCAATGTAAACCTACCCAATTGTGGATAATCGCTATAAGTTTCAGCACAAACAGGTTCATTACATTCCAACACAGCAATAATCTTCATACCCTTTTTAGCAAATGCTGGTGGTTTTTTCGACTTTCTATTGGTGCCTTTTTCCAATTTATGTTTCAATTCAACAAATGTAACTTCTTCAATGGCCGTATGTAAATGCATAACACATGAAAACCCATTAGATAAGATGGATTTCAATTCAACAATGGCAATTTGGGCTTCAAACTTGGTTACTGTCTTGACGGGGTTCTTGGGGGATGTCAATACATAACCCGGTTGTAAATCTTCTTCTTCAACTCCCTTGATTTTCAACCGAACTTGTTCTCCACTAAATGCTGTATCACATTCTTGTTCAGTTTCATTGTAAATGGTGATAACTTCAATAGGAGTCTTGTTGGGCATCATCAATAAACTGCCGCCTTTTCTAATGTGACCACTTTCAATCTTACCTTCAACAACAGTACCCATATCCTTCATCTTACCGGAAATTGGCAACATAAATGGCCCATTAATCTTTCTATTGACGGTGCTCATATTATCCAAAAACTCCAACAAAGATGGACCAGTATACCAGGGGCAATCTTTGGCATCTACACGATTTTTTAACCCAGCACCAGTGTATCCAGATACTGGCATGTAAACAATATCGTCCTTGTTGTAACCAATACCTTTCAAAAATGCACCCAACTTGGTGGTACATTCATTATATCTTTCCTGTGACCAATTAACCGTTGGATCATCCATCTTGTTGACAACAACAACAATCTTATTAACACCTTGGGTCTTGGCCAAAAGTGCATGTTCTCTAGTTTGTCCACCTTTTTCAAATCCAGTTTCATATTCACCTTTTCTGGCACTAATAACCAAAATACCAACATCAGCTTGAGACGCACCACCAATCATTTCCGAAACGTACATCTTGTGGCCTGGTGCATCCAATATAGTGTATCTTCTCTTGTCAGTTTCAAAATACGCTTTACCAACTTCAATGGTCTTACCATCACTTCTTTCTTCCTTATTGGTATCCATAACCCAAGACAAATACCAACCTTGTCTACCGGCATCTTTAGCTTCCCTCTCATACTTTTCAACCGTACGCTTGTCTACAGACCCAGTCAAGTATAAGATATTACCACCCATGGTTGACTTACCAGCATCAACGTGACCCATAAAGATTATAGATACGTGGTCCTTACCTCCAAACATATCTTTAACCACTTCTTCATCAACCTCGTCTTCTTGCTCCTTGGCAACCGTGTCAGCGGTGACTGCACTGGACGATTTTCCTGGGGCAGGAGTTGATTGCTTCGATTTTGCAGGTGTGGGAGTAGTTTCCTTTGGAGTTGGTGTTGATTCCTTAGCCGTCTTTTCTGCTGGTTTCTCATTTGCTGCTGCTGCTGCTGTTGCTGCTGCTGGAGTTGTAGCTGTTGCTGCTGCTGGTGCGGAGGCTTTATCTGCTGCACCATCTGTTTCCTTTTTTGTATCCTTAGCTTCAGTATCAGTTTTCTTCTTCTCGTCAACGCTGGGAGCTGGTGAAGCTTCTTTTGAAGAAGCAGCAGGTGTAGTGGCACTAGCATCATCCTTTTTACCCGAGTTGGCCAACTTGATTCCCGATGAAGGTGCCAATTTCAAAGTCTTTTTCACTGGCTTATTCAAAGAAGATTGTTGAGCAGACTTTTGCTTTTCAAAATCAGCTAATGACATACCGGTTGGTTGCAGAGGTGGTTGCGATGCTTGTGGGTTGTAAGCTTGATATCCACCATATTGTTGTTGTTGCTGCTGCTGTTGCTGGTATCCACCATACTGTTGATTTTGTTGGTATCCACCGTATTGTTGATACCCGCCTCTATTGTTGTACTGTTGGTAACCACCCCTGTTGTTGTATTGTTGGTAACCACCTCTATTGTTGTAATTTTGTTGGTAACCGCTTTGGCCAGCGTTGTACGCATCATATTGTTGTTGTGGTTGATAAGCTTGAAATTGCTGGTATCCACCTGTTGGTACAAACGATTGGGCTTGGTTGGGATTGTAGTAACTTTGCAGTTGCAGTTGCTGCAGTTGTTGTTGTTGCAGTTGTTGTTGCTGCTGCAGTTGTTGACCGTTTCCACCAAGCGATGCGTTCTGGAAGTCTTGATTCAATTTATCTTGATTGTACTGATCCGACATTATAAACTTGCTGGATTGACCACTGTTTTCGGTTACCTTTGGCGGGAGTTCAGTAGGATATAAGTAAGCTCTGTGATTGAGATGCTATTCCAATGATATAACGTCCCTTTTGTCTTCTCTTGAACAGATTGACATTTTTTCCGTTTGAAAAAATTTTTTTTTTTTAATGTGAAGCCGCTCTACACGTGACTACTAAAATTGTGTACTAAAGCAGAACAGTTGAAATTGCTATGCTATTCCCACAAAAAGAATAATTAACGTTGGTTACTGCCCTTCCCATGCATGATCATATTTGGCTCTCTGCGATCCTGTTGCCCATTGCTCTCACAATATAGCGAATGAGTCTCAACATCAGGTGGCAGTTGTAGCATTTCCATTTCGAGCATTGTTCCTCGTTTTGTTTTTCTTCTTACCCCTTAAGCGAACGGAGAAAATCTCGACAATCCAATGTTTGCGATATTTATTATTTTTTGGGTTTAATCAAAACAGTTGTCGTGATTTTGGTGCAACAAAGTGATCAACTTTGACATAGAATCAAACTAAAAAATGCCGATTTTTGGTGACCACACGCTCACTGCAGTTACTATCAAAATCAATCAATTAGTAGAGCACAAAAATGATGAGGTTGAAGATTCAATGGAATTGTACTTATCAGACTTGCTTGGATTGATAAATGTTCAGCGACAAACAGGAGCAACTGAAGCAACAAGAGCGATCAGGAAGAAAATCAAATATGGTGATAGTGTACAGGAACAGATACGAGCATTACAACTTTTAGAGCTTTTGGTTCTCAATTCAGGGACCAAAATTGGACCCATCATTGCTCGCGACGATAAATTGTTGGATGTCTTGAAAGGAATTATCAATGGTCATGGTAAAACGGGGTCGGGCACCAACTATCACCCACGAGTTCAAAAGACAGTGATCAACATGGCAATTGGGTGGAAATCTGAACTTGATGGTTTGGAGGGATACAAGTATATGCAGGGATTGTACAGAACGATTCCTGGCATGAAGAAACGCTCTAAAGCTGCTTCTCGACTGACTGGTGGTGGGACACCTAGACGTGGCAATGATGACGATGACGATGACGATGTGTTTGACAATGACTCCGATCCATATGGCGACGACCATGCTTACAATGACGAACGTTCTGTTTCTGATTCACCTCCACCATCAAGTTCTAGGTCCCCTAAAGTTCCTCCACCAAGACCTACCACGGCTTCACCGTACTCAATAAGTAATAGAAAGTCGTCAAATAAGAAAGATAAATCCCAAAAGAAAAAGAAAAAGAGGACAAAGAATGGAATCGTTTATGCAGATTCCGAATATGGTATCCCACAGATCAATTACAAGTTGGAAGCACCAAAGATTAGACATGTGTTGACCGAGAGTAGTGATTATTCAATCACTCTAAACAATCAATTGTTGCAACTCTCACCAGACTTATTACCTCAAGATGATGATGCGATTATGGAAAATTTTCAGAAATGTAAGAAAATCAGGCGTAAGGTTTTGAAATACTTGCAATTTGTTGGTGCTGGTGACCCTCTGGAGAAGTCACTGGAAGTTGCCAAACAAGATGAGGAATTTTTGGGTAAATTACTTTATGCCAATGAACAATTAATTGAAACTTTTAAAAAGTTTGATATCAAAGCAGGATATTCACAAGCTAATCCACCTCCTGCAGAAGAAGAAGAAGAGGTGAGCGAGAGCGATGAGAGTTACTACTCTACTGACGATGATGAAGATGTCGAAGAAGAAGAAGAAGAGGATCTACCAGGGGACGACCTGATTGCAGCAAGGTTGCAATCAGTGATGTTGGAAAACAGGCGACAACCTCCTCCTATCCCGCAAGTGTCGAAACCTTTGAGTAAGGGGGTGCCGCAACTGAGTAGTGAGCACGAAAGACCTGCTCTTGCAAAAATGGAAACTAGCGAATCGTTGGGAGATCCATTTGGCGATAAACATACAGTGGGTTGAACTGACTCCATTTAGTATTGAGTAGTATTGAGTTAGCAAATGCGTATTTTAATGTACTATTATTGGCAGCGAATACGTATAACTTGTAATTTGAATTTGAGATGCAACAGCTTTCAATTGTGGATGTTTCTTACAATTGGTAGCTGGGGTTTTTAGTTGAATCTTCTTGATCTCCAGGTTTTTCCTAAAGCACAGTAGCTTTTGTCCTTTGATTTAAATTGTCCCCATTACCATTGCAATCGACTAGGAACCTCGTGGAGAATAATAGAAAGCTCTTGATGAATCTTTCAAATGCAATCTGACTCTAGAACATCTCCACCGCAGTCAACTTCAAATCATAACCGAACAAGATCAAGCTCAGCGGTTTCAAATTGGAAGAAACAAAAGTATAAACAGTATCAACCTCGATTCTTACATGAGACTTCGGATAGTCAGATTTCATTGCCATCTGCTGAATGTTTTAAACTTGATTATATTTTAAAGAATGTGCTTCATGATGAATCAGAGCAAGTTATAAACGACCTACTAAACGTTAGCGCCAATTATCAAAAGGATTTAAGACAAGAGATCAAGCACAAATTAGCCACAGAACAAAGGATTCAGTTTAAGAATATCAACATATGTCGTGAAACTAATAACATAAATCTGATTGTGCATCAGCGCAGAAAGAAATTGAAAAAGGCATTAACTTCATCGAGTTTTGGTAATGTAGATGATTCAAATGCATACGATGAGGGAGAGGTCAACCATCTTTTAAGGAAAAGCATAGATATTAGTGATCGCATAAAGAGCACAATTTCAAAGCTACATGACCTAGAGGAGAAACATCGACCGGGTCGTGAGAGTTTAGTTAGCATTAAGAGAGAAAAGTACCCCAATTTGTACAAATTATTGAGTAAAAAAACTGAGTCTTCAAAGAGTCAAGGTCTGGCGGATACTGAGATTATAGAAGAGAACTTGAATGAGAATGATGCGGATTCCAAGAATGAGATTGTACCGAACGAAGAAGCTCAAATCGAAGAAGAGATTGACGATTCTAACTTAGAGACTGAGTCACCATTTATTGACGAGGCTGAGGGAACGCGACACGAAAAGCTTGAATCAACCACGAGTAAACCAGCTTTACCGCAAGATGACATCATGGATCCCACTGAGTTTGAGCTTTTCATGTCGAACAGTATAGTCAAATATCGCGAGCAACAAAACAAAAGTTTAAAGACAATCAAAACCGATGACCAAAGTTTAGTGTTGTCACAAATCAGTCACAAATCAGGTGGGAATCCATTAAACCTACTATATTCTCAACTAATATCCAATCCCAAGTATTTAGACCAGCACCAGCGAGAGCAAAATGCGTCAAAGTATCCATTTTCGTCAATTTTGTCATTGAAGTCATCAGCAACAATCAAATCAACCCAGCAGAGCTCGCATTACAAGAAATTGAGAATCAATGGAAGTCCTCTCACGTCTGAGCATTTCCAACGCGAAAGGGAAAGGCTACAACAGCGTAGCGAGCAATCTGGTGCGGCTTTAACAGCTAAAATGTTGGAAGAGTTGGCACTTGATCATGAAGATGGGACAGTCAATGATGAAAATGAAGATGTCTGGAACTCATCTGGTATGAATACAGAGGATGATGATGAAGGGATAGAGGTTGACAAAAGCGACGCGGATCTCCATCTTGAACCCCACCTCGAAAGTGATGTCTCAAATGAGACCTCTTCCCTTTCATCTTCAGATCTAGACACGTCGGACTCTGATTCATCAACTGATTTACACCTCCAGCTTGCAAACAACTATTATACGAATTTGCAACATGGTGTGAAACCAAAACGACGTGACCACAAGGTCAGAAAGGCAACAAATAGAAGGAAAACAAGATTACAAGTGAAGGAAATGTCACCAACCCCAAAACACAAGCCATCACATCATATACTTAAACCAAAAAGCTCAATTTTGAAAACAAAAACGACATCTCCTGTTCGGCAACGATCAAACTTGCGCAAAGAGAATGCCAATATTGTCAATGATGCATATGACCACGAAATAAGTGCACTATCAGAAGTGAATAACGCTTATGGATCAAAGACTGACAATTGCATTAGCTCTTTTAATGCGAGCGGGACCATTATTTTGAAACATGACAAGCATAAGCACAACCACCATGATGAACACGATCAAGTAGAGAATGACGTCGTTTCGAAAGGAGAGGGAAGTCCTCGTTCAATATCTATCTTGAAAAGCTTTGTGCAGTAGTCACGGATCATTCAGATGCAGTGTTGGTTTGCATTTGAAAACTGGTGCTGCTGACAATAAAAGTCGTTTTGTTGATTCTACAGAGTTTATATTAGGTTACTTATAATAGAGTAGACTATATATTGTCACGATGCATCTTCCTCATCCACTAAATTGATATTATGTCACGACTCTCGAATTCTACTCATCGCACGCCTTCTCGACTCTCTTCATTACCCACTCCATTACTTCGAAGCTCACGTTATCCACACGTAAAAGAAAAATAGCACAACAATCCCAAACACAAGTAACCACATTTTCCAACTAATTCCTGCTCGCTGACTCATTACAACCATTTTATTGTACGTGTTTTTCAACGTGACTTTCCCCCTTTCAAATCCATTCGTTATTTCATCATTCAATTTAACCAGCTTGTTAATTTCAACGCCCATTTTCTCTCCCAAATTCTTCAACATGTTGATTTTGGCTCCCATGGTGTTCAACTCTTCGTCATTCTGTGATTCTAGTGATGATAGTAATGACTCGTCAAATTTAGCATTAGATGATGATGCTCTTGGTGTGGGATCATACGGTGATGACATGTTGGATCGCAGTGGTGGTGTTTGACTACGCAGCAGGCGTATTCCTGTAAAATTGTGTTGACCAGGTGTACTAAATAGCTGAGTACGTAAATCCCCTCTCTGATGAGCGCCGCCAGCGGCTGAGTATCTAGATGTCATACTTCAATGAGCTGTTGATTGATTGGCACTGTGGTCTTTGTTTTGTTGTTCATTGATAAAAAAAAAAAAAAAAAAGAAATATTCTGCCGCAAAACATATCATGTACCATTTTGGGGGCCTTTACTAAGCATCAAAACACATATAGGACCAGCACAGATTACCACTACGTCGGTCATGTCACAGGAAGTTCCAAAATCACTAAGTAATGTCAAACATGTGATCCTAATATTGTCAGGAAAAGGTGGTGTAGGGAAATCTTCAGTAACAACACAGACTGCGCTTACATTAGTCAACATGGGTTTCAATGTAGGGGTACTTGATATCGATTTAACAGGGCCATCACTTCCGCGTATGTTTGGCGTTGAAAAGAAACAAGTACATCAATCCACTCAAGGCTGGGTGCCAGTGCAAGTATACTCGAAATCAGAAACTACATCCGGAGGAAGTTTGAAATTGATGTCATTGGGGTTCTTACTTGGTGACCGAGGGAATTCAGTGGTTTGGAGAGGTCCTAAAAAGACGGCTATGATCAAGCAGTTTTTAAAAGATGTTGTTTGGAGCACTGATGAACCACTAGATTATTTGCTTATTGATACGCCACCAGGCACATCTGATGAACATATAGCAATAGCAGAAGAGTTGAGGTATGCACAACCAATCGATGGCGCTATTATCGTAACCACACCACAACAAGTTGCCACTGCTGATGTTCGCAAGGAGATCAATTTTTGTAAAAAAGTGAATTTCAATATATTGGGAGTAATTGAAAATATGTCAGGATTTATTTGTCCATACTGTGCAGAATGCACCAACATATTCTCTAGTGGTGGAGGTGAGCAGTTGGCCAAGCAACTAGATTTGAGGTATTTGGGCAATATACCGATAGATCCCAGTTTCGTTGAATTGATTGAGTTACAGGATGACAAGGACAAGAAATTGATCGACTTGTATCAAACGTCGGAATTGAGGCCAATTATGAGTGATGTTATAGACAAGATACTACATTTAAATTTGGAGTCGAGAATTTAGTCTAATGAGTTTCAAACTTATAGAATTCTTATAAACCATTTCCTTTCTTCCATTTGTTGATCCTTCTCTTTAAATCTCCAGCTGATTGTTGATAAATATTCAACTTCTTGTCCCACTTCATTTTCTCATAATCGTCACCGTATTTTTCATATAGTGATTTCAACCAATCGCTTTCCCTATCAGAAAGATGCCTCTCTTTTTTCACTTTGCTGTGTTGCTCGGCATATTCCTCTAGTTGTTTTATTACAGAATTATCGACTTTATCTTCATCGCTTTCCTCATCCTCAGCTTTCATGGTACCGTATATGACCTTCAAAACTTCATTTGTTTCTGGGTCCCTTATAATTCTGGCTTCACCCTCCGGTATTTTGGAAGGGTCATCCGTGTGTTCAATTTTATCAATAGTGACAATGTCATCTTTGTCCTTGTTCTTTTTTTTATTCCTTAACTCAGTCAAGCTCTCTACCTTTTTTTCAACACCTCCTGCCATATGACCCAACTTGGCTCTCAAACCCAAGCGTTTGTAATTTTGTTGTAAAGTTAATGACTTGTCCCAATTCTTTGCAATTATAGGATTTGAGTATACATTGATGTTACGTTGCTTGTCCTTGGTTCTTCTAGTATTCTTTTTAACAGATGACCTAGCCATCTTTCTTTTTCTTACTGAGACCATGGTGACTTATCAATGACGTATGCGTGCTGCTATCAAGTTTTGGATGGGTGGTTGCAAGAGAAGAAGAAAGAAAGAGATGAGTAATTTTTGTGTCTTAAAATTTTAATTCCACCTCAATGCGACAACGAAAGTTGACAATAATAGTCACAACATCTTCACTTCGTACATCATCTACGCTTTATACATCATCTACAATTTAATGTCTATATCTGATGCCCACATTTCAAAACATTCCGCATTGGTCAACTTCAATTAAACTGCATGTGCTATAAAAGTCTGAGACATAGCAAACAAATCTTCATATCTGCTTTGGAATTCTCTCATCTCACAAGGCATGTATCAGATTATAGTTTCAAAAGTTGTAGATTCTGTTACCACTTCTCCATTATCATCTGTTCCGCTACTGCCGCCCTCTCCTCGTCCATTTGCTCCGCCCCTGCCTCCTCTGCCTCTTCCTCTGCCTCTTCCTCTTCCTCTGAATCCTCCTCTGCCTCTTGGGCCTCTCTTTCCAAATCCAGGTATATTGGTTCTCTTTGGCGAGACTCGAATTTCCCTACCTCTAAACTCTTTACCATGCAAATCAACCGCCTTGTTCACACTTTCAATATTTTCAAATTCAACGTAAGCATAACCTTTGGGCAACCCGCTATATTTATCAAATAATATTGTAACCCTGTCAATGACTCCAACTGGACGAAAAAACTCCTCCAACTGCTCTGGTGTCGCTTTGTAATCGACATTACCAACATAGACGGATCGTGAATCAGCTTCTTCCTGCTTGGCTAATCTTTCAGCCCTCTCTTCGTCTGTCTCAGGAAACTTCTGTGTTCTTCTTCTCTCTGGTGTTTGTTCCTCTTCCATTGTGACTAATATTAACTTGTGGTTTGATTCGTATTCACCCCTTTACAAACTCTTTTGTGTTATGTATTTCTTTTTAATCACTACGGCTGTTTTCCTGCTTTGGCCGTTTCTCAATGAATTGTACTATCTACAGTAGTCCAATTGATGTCAATTTGACTTATTAACCAATTGCTTAGTCCAAATGATACTAAAAGCTTTAACCTTGTTGTTTTTTCCCAACTATAAATTTTGTCATGGCTAATTCGTTGAAGATGCTGATATTTATTTTTTGTTTCTTGGTAAAAAGAGAGTTTATTATGTAAAGCTTATGTAATGAATATGGTATGCACCTTAACAATATTGAGTGAAATGAGACCACACTTGTAAATAAGTAAAACGTGGTGAAGGCTTCGTTCCTGATGTTGTTCACCGAAGAGGGGTGAGGGGGATACACAAGCAAAACTTCGGTTTTTGTTACTATATACGAAAGGGCGAAAACAGTGATTGAGGAGTTTTGTATCACCTTTGAACGATTGCTGCACCAACGCGCCCGGAACCACTGGCACCCTTTAAGATGCAATCTGGGGTTTTAGACCACCACCGTTAAGGTACTGCCTTCGTTTCTTTCTTTTACTGGACTGAAATGACTCTACACCAAAGCGTGATTGAAAAAGCTTATCAATATTGGCAGCTGTGAGTGGCTGATGAAACAAACAACCCTTTTCTACATCAACTTGTCACCTTTTGAGCCGTGACGATGTGATTCACATCTCATGGCTTAACAACAGTTTGTTGTCTTACAATTCATCTCGGATGAATTCCCCAATGAGGAAAGTATCCGCATTAGCTACTGTTTTTTTCTACGCAATTCCACAAACAAAAGAAACGTTTCTCTTTCTTTTTTTATGGAGCAATGCAAAATGTCAACTGATTTTCCACTTTGTGGCTGATGTTGCAAAACATATTAATAAGCAACAACAGTTCATTTGCAACTACTGTATAAATAGCCAACCGAATTCTCATCAGTTATTGCAAACAATCCCTCTTCAAACGAATCATAAACCCATAATCAAATGACTATTGCAAAAGAAGTTACCTCATCAGACGAGGTAAAAGGCGCACCAGTAGTTCCATATTATACTCCGGATCAACCTGTTAGAGCAGGTACATTTTACCAAGATGAATCTAATCAAGACCAAGAGCCACCGGCACTTTTCAAACCTTTAAAAGTTGGGCCACTCACATTGCAAAACAGGATCGGTGTTTCGCCAATGTGTCAATACTCAGCCAATGACAAATTTGAAGCAACGCCATATCATTTGATTCATTATGGTGCTTTGGTCACTAGAGGTCCCGGAATCACTTTTGTTGAAAGCACATCAGTAAGTCCAGAAGGTGGTTTGAGTCCTCATGATTTAGGAATTTGGACTAAAGAGCAAGCTGAAAGTTTAAAGCCGGTTGTGGAATATGCTCATTCACAAAAACAACTAATTGCTATTCAATTAGGACATGGTGGTAGAAAAGCAACTGGACAACCACCTTTTTTGCACTTGGAGCAAGTTGCTGATGAATCCGTTGGCGGATGGCCAGATAAGACAGTAGCTCCATCAGCTGTAGCGTTCAGACCCCATGGTAACTACCCCGTACCTCATGAATTAAGCATCAAGGACATCAAAAGAATTATCAAGGATTTTGGTGAAGCAGCCAGAAAAGCAGTTGAAATAAGTGGGTTTGATGCTGTTGAAGTACATAGTGCTCATGGATACCTTTCCAATGAGTTTTACAGCCCCATTTCAAATAAGAGAACTGATGAATATGGCGGTAGTTATGAGAACCGTGTTAGGTTCTTGTTGGAGGTTATTGATGAAATCAAGGCCAATATCGATATCAAGAAAACTCCAATCTTTGTTAGAATCTCCGCTGTTGAGAACAGTCCTGACCCAAATGCATGGTCAATTGAGGATTCAAAGACCTTGGCTGATTTATTGATTGAAAAGGGTGTCAGTTTGCTCGATGTAAGTTCAGGAGGAAACGATTACAGACAAGCAGCTAGATCTAATATTGATGCTAAACAAGATGAGCCAGTTCATGTACCATGGGCACGTGCATTGAAGCAACATGTTGGTGATAAGTTGGTTGTAAGTTGTGTTGCTGGATTGGATAAAGATTCTCACCAATTGAATCGTTTTGTTGAAGAAGGCGATTTTGATTTAGCATTAATTGGCAGAGGCTTTTTAAGAAACCCAGGTTTGGTTTGGAGTATAGCTGATGAGTTGGGAGTTAGATTGCATGAAGCATTGCAATTAGCTTGGGGATTCTGGCCAAACAAGCAACAAATTGTTGACTTGATTACTAGGACTGAAAAATTGAACACCAAGGATTAGAGACAAAGCATTTTAGAGTTATAGATAATTGTAAAATTCTACTGCAATTGAAAATATCTTATAAATAGTGTAGTGTAAGTTTGTTATGCCTCAACAAATGCTCTGTAGGTGGTAAATTGTTCCTCGCCGTCATTTGCAACCAATTCAACCTCTGTATTGGGTGCCACGAAAAACACGTAACCAGTATCAACCTTTTCTGAATCCGGACTACCAGCAATCTTGATTTGTCCAGATCCATTAGTGGCAATTATAATAGACGGACCTTCAATTGACTTGTAACTTTGTTTTCCACCCTTTTTATCAAAGACAGTTTGTAAGACGGAAAACTCTTCGATTGGCGGATCAAATAAATTTACAGCAATAGCATCACCAGTGGATCTGGGGAATTGTTTTGGTTGCATCTTTTGCTTCTCTACGGGTTCACTAGCATAAGTCAACATGTCAACCAAATTCTTGACATCTTTAAATTTGGGAGTGAATCCAGCACGCACAACATTATCAGAAGCAGCCATACATTCAATGATGTCTCCACTAATATAAGCATGGGGGTCTTTAGCTTGCAAAAACATGGCTTCACCTTTGTTCAAAGCAACGTGATTCAATAAGAGACAACCACAAAATAACCCAATATCGTTAGGGAATTGCTTGTTCAATCTTTGAATCAATTCAGGTAATCTTGGATCAATCTTGGTAAATAAATCAGGATTCAGTTGACTCGATTGAACCAAAGACGAAGCATGTTTGGTGATTTCCGACTCCTCTGTATTCATCAACTTGCTGAAAATCTTTTGAATCAAGGAGCGATTTTTCTTGTCATCTTGTGTACCAATTTCAGCAGTTGGCTTGATTCCGGTAACAAATTCGTTAACCAACTCATTCCCAATGATCTGTTTCAATTCAGGGATGGTCTCCAAAGTGTATGCTAATTGATCAACTGGTTTAAAGCCACAAAAACCTTCAAAATCAGTAACAGCAATAGCCATCTCTGGTTTATGGTTATCATCGGGATAATTCTTTGGATCTTGACTATGTAATTGGGCACCCAATGCTTTATCTGGATGGGCTTGAATAGACAATACTTTTTCAATACTTAATACTTTAAATAAGAATGGTAATTCCTTTGATGAACCAAACTTCTTGATAATTGATTCTCCTAAAAGCTCTTGAGGGTGGGCCGTAATCAAGTCACGTAAAGTTTCATTAAACCCAATAGCTTGAGATGGAACTGAAGGATGAGTTCCCATCCACAACTCAGCATACGGTTTCGATTCATCAATGGTGATTGAAGGATCAGATTTCTTGACAAACTGTGCCACGGCTGAAGATGACCCGATTTTGCCCCAATCATAGTTTTGATACCCACATTGAAGTCTAAATAACTTGTCAGACATTATAAAGAGTACTGTCAGGAATTAAGTTGTTGGATGTCTGTAAAACTTGATTCAGAAGGAAAATAACCAAACGTTGGTTAGCAAATGGACAAAAATGCCTTGACTTGTTTATTTAAAGATTTTTGAGTATTTGTTGTTTTGGTTACACAAAAATGCGTAGATGATTATTTTTTTTCATTTCGGAGAAATTCAGATTTCATATTTAACTATATGCAGGAGAGAGAACTCAAACCATGCAACGCGTCACTTATTAACAGTCTACACGACGTTTACATGAATTGTTAGGCAACAATGTTGGGTAAGAGGTGCCAGAGTCAAGCTAGCAAAAACAGAGTAGCTTCTACTACATTTTTGAGACAAAAACTAATCATTACATTGTCCTTTTTTACTAATCCTTGTTCAGCTTCTTAGGCGTAAATGCTCCATTGTTGACGCCAATGATACCTTGCGACCTATACCTGCCTCTTCTCAATCTCATCGATATATGAACTAATGCATATACAACAGCAATAAGCCCCAAATAGCCTATGAATCCTAAATCATGAATATAATTCATGAAATATAGTAATCCCCCATAGGGAGAGCCAACAAACTTCAAGTGAACTTTGTTATCCTTATGTAAAAGAGACATTAGCACCAGCTTGATTTGTTTGGGTTCATTTCTCAATCTATTATTGTTTGTGTCTGTATCCCAGAAATATCGATGATCTTTAGACACCACTATAGCGTCACCAACCTCATAATCATCAGGTCTGATCCTCCATCCATTCACGTATCCAAAACCTTTCAGAGTTTGCTTGTTGATGAACGTGAAAACGACGTCGTCGTTGTTGAATAAATGAGGAACTTGCTCTCTCATTTTCGTCATGATTTTCATTGTCTCTGCATTCTTGGCTTTCAATTTCTCAACTTCTTGCTCTTTTGATGCTCTTTGTTCGAGAATTTTGTTGAAGTAATAACTCTTTTTAAGGAAATTGTATTCATGAGCCACCAAGGACAACTTGTACAAAGCTTCATCGGTCTCTTTCAAATTGTTCAAATCAACAAAAATTATAACCACTTTTGCACCCTTGACGTCCTCGACATGATCCTGATCAACAAAGTACGTTGATACTAACTCCGGAGTCAATTCTGCAATGAATGGATATTGTGCTCGTTCAAGAAACTCTTCAATCATATTGTACTTTCTCATTTGTTCAAGGGCAAAATTCTGATAAATATCTGGAATCAAGCAGTTTTCTTTAAAGACAACAATAGTGGGCACTTCAGTTATTGATGTGGCAATCTGCATAGGTTCATTAAACTCATACTTTTCCTGTTCATCGTAATTGATATATTCAATCAAATTTTCACCCATCGTTTGAATGTTTTCAAGAATTCGGTTATGTTTACCCTTGTATAACTGAATATTGAATGGTGATTTTTGTAATGTTCGCAACATGTACGGCAACACCGCCTCATCCTCGGGAGTTACATTATTCACATCAAAGAAAAACACCACGGTAACTTTACTCTTTAAGGGATAGTTTTGCGCAAACGGCTCATGTCTTAATGTCTTGGTAAATTCCATTACCTCGGTAATTCCCCTTGCTGAAACAACTTCATATGCGCTATTTACAAATAGTTTATTGACCCACCATTTCATCTTTGCAATATCAATGGGGCCATCATAATCGAATCTGATTGTTTTCCGATCTTTTGGTAAAAACATGACGAATCTTGGTGGTGACCTTTTTGCGTCTTTAAGCCGATCTAATTCCAACTTTTCACAGACTTTGGGATAATCTTGACAAAGTAAATGACCCGAATCAGCCAATGACACAATCTTGTTGCTCAATTTATCCCACAATTGTTTAGAGCGCAAGCAATCAATACAATCATCACTGAATCTCAACTTTCCACCAAGATCAACACTATCCCATTGTTTCTTGTTCGCTTGCCAGAAGGAAACAAAGAGAGGCTTGGTGATTTCCCCACTAATTGCTTTTAATATTTCATCCACGTTCATTTCTTTTGATGCGGAAGGCATACTAGCAGAAGCAGGGTCGTAGTCTGCCACGGACTCTTGAATATAACTAATCAAGTTGGCTTCATTCTTCTCCAATGTTCTTGGGAATGAGCCAATATTTTTTGATTTACCTGTAGATTTGCCATCCTTGTCCAAAATTGGTGCGTATAGAAGAATATTAGGATAAAATTCAATTTGTTCACGTTCACACAAATCACCATTTTCAACACAGTTGACTTGCCTCATGTCAGTGTTTGAATTGGCAAATTTTGATCTGAATGTCAGGTATGCTTTCTTCCAAGTGGGGAAAAAGCTTTTACAATGCAGACAATATGGTGAATAGAACTCAACAAGTGTTAGTTTTTGACTAGTTACGGCATCAAATTCCTCCTTTCCCATGGTTGGTGGAAGTTCAATATTTTCTGAGGATGTATCGTCTGAGTCGGGTTGTGGAGCAGCAGCAGCAGCAGCAACAACAGCCGCCGCCTCTGATGAATCTGGAGATCGCTTGTCTAGGTGCACATTGTTGGTTAGAGCTAGACTCGCGCTTAGATATAGCAAGCTCAAACAGCGCAACTTCATATTGATAGCAATTTAGTGGAGGCGATGAACAAAGCGATTGTAATAATTAGCGGAATCGGTTTCTTTTTTATTTCGATTTCGAACGAAAAATATCATTCAGGGCACAAAACGCGCCCAGAAATGTTCGACTGTTTCTAAAATTGATGAATATATATATAGAATCCTATTTGAATGAAAGTCTATCAATGAGCCATCTTTCTGGTTTTGCCACCAATTTCCAACAAATAGGTTTTAAAGTACTCGAAGCTGACCAATGTAACTGCACTTGCAGGTACAGTTCTGATTAAATTTGTAACGTAACCCGCATAGAATCCACGCAAACCTTCTTTACGATAAATGTCTAAAATGGTTTTAATAAGGGATCCTCTGCCATTATTTCGACTGGCTTGCTCCTTAGCGCCATCTTTTCTCATTTGTAATCGAGTACGCAAAATCTCATGCGGATAAGTGATTGTACTGGCAATCATTTTCGATATGGATGACGCAGCAATAAGTCTCCATAATAAGCCCGGTACTTCCTGTTGTTGATCAATGGTGCTACAATGCAACCACGCTTTCATCTTTTCATAAACGGGAAAATGAATACCAACATGAATCAATCCAAACAATGACGGTACCAACCCACTGTAAAAGACTCTAATCCCTTCCTCTTGATACATTGTCCTGAATGCATCAATAGTGCCCTTATATACCACATCAGTTGGTGATTTTTTCTTGTTCGATTGAATCATCAATCTGGTTTTAACTACCCAGATTGGATTCACGGCAATTGAACTAGTCATTCCGGCTGTTATTGCCGAGCAAAAGTGGTTCAATGCAGGACTGTTGATATCCCAATGCCGCTGTATAAATTGTGGGTAAAATTTTTTGGCCCTTTCGTAAACTGTAAAATAAATTGTCCATGTGGGGAGGTACCCAATGGTAATTGGCACCAATCCACGATATAGCCCACTGACTCCTTCAGTGCGTAATATCTTTGTCAACATTTGTCGAAACCCTAATCTATTCGCCCTTTCTTGCTGAGCCTGAAGTCTAGTTTTGATGACATCTAATGGACATACCACGACCCCTGCTAGAAACCCAGATGCTGCTCCTGCCATGGTGACAAGCTGTGTATTTGAGCACCGTGATAGTATGCTTGGTGGAGTGATTTTCCCTAATGCCTCAAACTTATGTCGTACTGGAAATGGTTCTTCATTTTCTTGCGGGAACTCGAGATCTTCACCGTGTATAATATCGGAAAATGCAGGACTTGTTGAGTGATTAGGTGGGGTATGGGTATTTGTACCACTAGTGGTGGCGTTTGTCTCGCTCATAAGTCCAGGCTGTATGCTGTGGCGGTGAATTGATGTTTAATTGACAAATTAATTAATTGTCGGTTTGTGTTTTGAAAAATCTGTGATGGTTCAGTGAAACTCCTCGATGTAGCATGTGTCGATGGGTTATACTCAAAAAGTCTGATAGTAGACAAGTCTCTAGCAAAGAAAAAGTGGAAACGTCAAGGATTCCGTGTGGTCTAGCTTCTCTATAGTGAAAAATGTGTTTATCTCTTGGAGAAAAAATGGTGGTGGGTGAGTGACATATTTGTTTTTAAACGAATCAATTTTTTTTTCACCAAAATCGCAACACTAACCGAAGAAGAAAAGAACAAGAAGAAAGCTCACCCACACATCGTTCAAAAGAAAACAGGATCCATCATGGTCAAGTTTTTCCTCAAAATACTTGGAGAATTGACTAATGTTACCGATTTGGAACCGGTCGATACACCAGAGTCGCCATATGAGTACACTTTTCAAATAGAATGTACGAAATGCAGAACCATACACGACAAAGATATTCACATGAACCGATTTGAACAGCATGAAATGAGTGGATCAAGAGGAGAAGCTAGTTTTGTGTTCAGGTGCAAAGAGTGCAAGAATGAACATTCAGCTAGTATAACGAGGACCAACGAGAAGTTGGTAATCGGGGCCAACAGACCAGCGACTATACTAGAAATCGACGCAAGAGGTCTTGACTTTACCAAGTTTATACCAGATGGAAAATTCCAAGCTTTAGGGGAGGAAACGGGGACCAAATTTGATGAAGTTGATTTGGAGGATGGTGAATGGTATGATGTTGATGAAAAGACTAATGAAGAAGTGTCGATAGTTGATGTTAAATGGACCATCTCACGCTCATAGCGGAAAAAGGAATTAGCAGATGCGAGTGATCAACTCATTCACTGATCTGAAGATGACGAGCATGTTATGAAACGACCGATTTGAGAACTGAATTAATTGATGTGAATGATTTGTGTAGTTTTGCCACAAATAAACAGAAACTTTCAGCTACCCCGCTTTACTTAGATTTTTGTAGGCCCATAGTATGAGGTCAAGACTCTCTCTTCCTTGTCCCTGGTGCCAAATGGTTTGCTGTTGCTAATGAGTCACTATCGGCTATATATGGTAGCGTATTTCATGTTTCTTCGGCTCTAAAAAAGACTCACACACGCAACTAATTCCTAATTGGGAAGTTCGATTGCGAAATTTATGAGTCTTTTGCACTTTAAATTTCACAATTTGCAGCAAAATTTCAGACAAGCCAAAGGACACCAAGGGAGCAAGTGACATTATAAATAGGTCTCGAAACGACCCCATTTGAATCACAGTGGCTATAAATATCATTATAGAATGTTGACTTATATCTTACAAGCTAAAGCTGAGCTACACAATGTTGCAAAAGTGCAACCGGTTGATGACGAAAACTATCCTCATGATTTCAAGTTTAAATTTCAATGTAATGGATGCAAAACAGTGCACCCCAACCCGGTACAGATTAATCGATTTGAAACATTTCAAGTGACCGGGTTTCGCAGGTTGGGGAATATTTTGATCAGATGTAAGGCGTGCAAAAGAGAGAGGTATGCTATGATTGACAAAGTTGGGGCTGGCTGTATTTTGGGGGAAGGTGGAGGTGCTAGAACCGATTATTGTGACATTTTAAAGATTCACACCCACGGAATGAGAATGTTGGAATTTATACCTGATGATCAATTTGAATGTGTTACAACTTTAGGAGAGTTGGTCCAAGGCATTGGACTATTAGATGGGGAATGGGAGCAGACGCAAGAGTCCGGACTCGAGTTGAAAATAGAGAATGTCGAGTGGAATTTGAAGTTGGTTTCTGAGAAGGAGCTAAAGTACAAATGAGGAATATAAGGAGCGGCTTGGTTTAAGTGAGGGAATTTAAGCAAAGCATAAAATCCATAAGTTGCGTTGACCCTGGTGTCAATCGGAGATATTATCCCGTTAATGGCCATATACTCCGGTGAATTTAGTACTTGGCTAACTTTTGTGTCATCCTTGTTTTTGTCGCCGATAGAATAAATCCGAGAGAATAAAATAATGAGCAGAAGTTACTGCCAAAGGGGCATACTTGTAGATCTAGTTCATGTTGTACATTCTGTTTCGAACACTTGCTCTTGTGGGTCATGCAGTTATAACAACCCTTTTCAAGCGGACCATAACATCTTCTTTTCTTTGGTCTTTGTATATGCATAGAAGCGGTAACTACGGTTAAAAAAATAGATAATGGGAAACGTATCACAAAAATTAAATGTTTGTCGGAATTTCAATCCACTCCAACAATAATAGCAAATATAAATAGTTGAAGCAATTTCATCCCTTTCTTCATTTGTCGGCAGAGTTAGAATCAACATACCTAATTGACTCAACATTCATCTACACATTCATATCTATTCGCAATCAAAACTTAAACAATGGCTGGTAGTATAACTGAAGCAATTACTCAACCAATCAACGATCAATTGCATAAAGCAGCAGATAAAGTAACCACTGGCGGAGGTGGCAGTGGTGGTACCCCATCAGCACCAATCAAGAAAAAAGGTGGCATTATTGAATTCACTCCAGAATACTATGCTGCTTGTACATTGGGTGGTATAATTGCTTGTGGTCCAACCCATTCAGCTGTTACTCCGTTGGACTTGGTTAAATGTCGTCGTCAAGTTGATGGACACTTGTACAAGTCCAACATACAAGGATGGAAAACTATTCTCAAGACTAAAGGTGATTCCATCTTTACTGGTGTCGGTGCCACATTTATTGGTTATTCTTTCCAGGGTGCTGGAAAGTATGGATTTTATGAATTTTTCAAAAAGACCTATAGTGATTTGGTTGGACCCAAATGGGCCAATGATTACAAGACGGGTGTGTTTTTAGCTGCTTCTGCTTCGGCTGAATTTTTGGCTGATATTGCCTTGTGTCCATTTGAAACTATTAAAGTCAAGACTCAAACTACTATCCCGCCCTACGCTAGTTCAGTTTGGGATGGTTGGAGTAAAATTGTTAAGCTGGAAGGGTTTGGTGGATTGTACAAGGGTATTGTCCCATTGTGGTGTAGACAAATCCCTTACACCATGGTTAAATTTGCCAGTTTTGAAAATATTGTCAATGGTATTTACAGTTATTTGGGACATCCTAAATCGTATTACAACAATTTACAACAAACTGGGGTTTCTTTTGCTGGTGGTTATTTAGCTGGTATCTTATGTGCCATTGTTTCTCATCCAGCTGATGTTATGGTTTCCAAGATTAATTCAGATAAAAAGCCAGGTGAAACTACTGGGCAAGCCTTGGGAAGAATTTACAAGAGGATTGGATTTGCTGGATTGTGGAATGGATTACCAGTGAGAATTTTTATGATTGGTACATTGACTGGGTTCCAATGGTTGATTTATGATTCATTCAAGGTTTACGTTGGTTTGCCAACCACGGGTGGACATTAGAGGTTCAGGCAACTCCATTTCGATGCATCGAGTTTGTGTATTATCAAATGAGTATAGAGATATAGCAATCTAGATAAAGTAGTGACTAAAATTAGCCCCGTTGCAACCAACTCCATCAACTCCATACATTCTTGAATAAATCGTCGTCTAACGTGACATTTAGATTCGATTTGGGAGTTGTGTATGACGATGAAGAAGAGTCATTCCATTCTGAGTTCCAAGGCGTTGATGTTGACGCAGAAACTTTTTGAGTTGCATTTAATGATCCCGTGGATTGGGCTTGCGGTTTGTTGTAAAGTGCACCACCATTATTGTTACCATTACTCAAGATGGACGTAGACTGAGATGGTGCAAATTGAAGCCCAGCTAATGAATCAGACAAAGAGTTTACACTAGGGCTTGTTTTGTTTGGGTGTTGTGGCGACTGAACAAAGCTATTGGATGCTGATGGTGATGCATATAATGAAAGAATCGATTTCTTCAAGTCTGGTCTCGAGTTGCTCGACATTGATCCTCCTGTGGATTGAGCCGATTGTATTTGCTGTGGGGGCTTTGAGTCAGTAGATACCGCTGATGTGCCTAATGTTACTCTGGTTGCTACGGGTGGAGCACGTGAATGAGTTGATTTAGTTGTTGATGTTGACGATTTATGCGACGTAAACAATCCAAACTCGTCATCTAATAAGGAGTCTGATTTTGGAGCGGGAGCGGTCTGATTTTTCTTTAGTTTAGGTGGATTCAATTTCAGTTGGGTTGTTGAAGATGCAGTGGTGTCATTAGTTGTGGTGGTCTTTCCCTTGATGCTTGCAGGATTTGGGATCGTTGATGACAAACACCATTTTTTCAAATCATACTTTGTTCTTATAAAATTTTCAATTTTTGATTGATCAGGTACGTAACCTTCTGGTAATTTAGCTTCCCAAAACCCGTTACATTTGGCATTGCCCCATTGAACAATATTTTCAATCTGATCATCGGTCCACGCATCTAAATCAACTGATTTTACTTTTGAAATGTGAGTACCCATACTCCTATGAATACCCGAGCATCTGATACATATGAAACATCCAAGGTTCCATGATGCCCACCTAGGATTTTTGTTAATTTTACAATCAGCACATGAGCGATTTGGTTCTTCTTTGAGCAACTGCTTTAGAATCTGTTTGTGACGTTCCAGATGTGTTTTTTTGGAGGAGGGTAATGCAGATGTACGATGACTCATGTGAGTAGCAAATGTGATAATACAGTGGGTTTATTGAACGAGCGATCTTTGATATGTGTTTGTTTTGCGAAATACGATTCAACAAAATCTTGAAAAAAAAAAAAAAAAAAAAAGAGAAAACTTGACAACAAGCTGTCGCGAGAATAGAAGCTACGACAATGGTTGGAAATGGAGGGGACGTGGAGATGAACGAAAACATGTGAATCAAGAAGAAGGACTCAATTTTCAAAGAGGCACATAGTCCCTGTATTCTTCCCCGTCTTCAACGTGCTCCACTCTAAGCCATGTTTTGCGTAGAGAGACCACGTCTTTGTTCCGAAACAACCTAATACTCATCGCATGCAAAACCGCCCTTTAGCGGAAAGAAACGTATTCTGGAACTAAAGTCCCGTATATGTTGTTACACTGCACCACTAAGCCCTGAAGCTCTACTAAAAAGCATCTCCTTGTAGTTCAAGTTGTGCTGCTGTTTGCATAAGACAGACATATTATGGTTATGATGCGCACTACCCTTCTCACACTGAATTTTTTTTTCCGTTTGTTTGTTGTTCTTTGTGTTTGTACTAACTTTGTGTGATGTTGACTTTGAGCATAATTACACTACTCTCGACAAACACCGATTTGATTTGTGTAACATTAAACATACGCACAGTGTGCTAGTTGGTAGTGTACTATTGTCTAAATAATATTTTCTTTCAATAGAGAAAATTTATTATCACGGATTTTAGAATATATCCATTCATCGATTCCAAAATATCAAAAACTCATTACAGCTACTTTCTTTCTTTCTTTCTTTCTTTTTCAATCTACCTTTCCATCAAGCATTATTGAATTCCAGCTCTCTACATAGGAGCTTATTTATTCACTTATAACTACACCACTACCTATTCCAGTTCAAAACACCCCCTTCCCCCTCCTTCCCATTTCAACTTATTTCATCCGCTTTCATCCTCGGATTAAGACCTAATAGACCACCAACTACAAAAAGGGTTTTAAATCAAAGAGAAACTTATGAAAACCACATTATTCAATCTATAATTTCACTTTTTACACACAATTTCCATACGCCATATATTCCATGTCACGTTCATCTAGGCGAGATTACTACTCCCTTCAAGAAATCAAGAAACATGATCAACCAACTGATTTATGGATGGTATTATACAACAAAGTCTATGATGTTACTGATTTCTGCAAGTACCATCTAGGTGGAATAGAAGTGTTGTATGACTGTGGTGGCTCTGATGCTACACAAGCATTTGAAGATGTTGGACATTCTGATTTTGCTGTTGAAATGCTACAACCGTATTTAATTGGTCAAGTTGTACCTGACGAACAAAGAGAGTACCACAAACTACCAGCAGAAGAGCCCTTCACTGATTCTACAGATGTCATTGAATCGATTAATTTTGATGAACAAGAAGTTGAAAAATTGAATGAATATGTTGTACGAAGAGTTAAAGAGTCAACTAATTTGACGGTATTGACATTTGTGGCTCTTTCTTCATTCATTTTACTAGTTTTAATTCATATCCATAGGTGAAGACTAAACACTCATTTGGTGTTGGATTTTCATTTTGTCAATGTTCCATTCCAAAACACATTGACCAAAAGTATTTGAAAAGCGTTACGCTGGCGTAACCTTAATTTAATTCTTACTACCCATACAACCTCCTCCCCTCATTATGTCATTTTCATAGTCATTGTTTAGAAAATATAATTATTAGAGTATGCTTTTTTGGAGCTGTTATTTTTTTTTTTGTTTTGGAGTTTTCTTTGTTGTTTATTCGAATTTAAGTTTGAAGTCGTCGTTACATTGAAATTCAATGAAACCAGTAATTGTCCCTGGTTGAAGACAGGACAATGAGAAGGCAAATAAAACTTCAGATCCAACTCCTACATTACTGTTATAGTTGCAGTGGAGGACACATTATTGGACTAAAGATGTTCATCTCATAACTAGATCTAGTGACCCCTAAATACGAAGACAACTCCAAGAACACCCGATCTGCTCCACTTTCCTCTATCACCGCTCAGCTTTTTAAGCTTTTTAACAACTTCTCTTCCCAACCCCAGTTCTATTAAGTGTAACGGAACTCCATGAATTTTAGATTCGGTTAAAAAACTTTGTCTCGGCTTTTTTTGTCTTTAGGTTTTTGTGTTTGATAATCTCGACTTCAGTGTTTACGAGACGATGTTGCTTAATAAACGAAAGCATAGAGCGAGGGATCTCACGTTGTAAGTAAGACGAGGTTGAAAGATATAGTACACCGTTCCCCATAACTCGGCTTGAAGATTGTAGAAGTGATGAGGGGCTTGGATAGAGATTGTCTCGGCTTTTTTTAAAAAATTTTTAGATCTAATGGGCGGAGTCAATGCATGAAGCAAACCGAGGCTAAAATAAAAACGAAAATGAAAGTCACTTCTCTTCATTTAGCAAATAATTGATGTTTGGGAAGAAAGGCGTAGCTGGTTGGTTTTCGTTTCAACGTTTCACTCAAAGCGATGAGGATAAAATTAAATGCTGTGGCATTCCTTCAGACGTTTCTCAAGTTTTTCTATTTTTGTTCAAATTTGCACCCAAAATTTTGTATGAACAACAAACGATTGGAAACACTGTAAACCTCTTCTCCGGTTGTAACCAGATGAACATAACAGGGTCAGAACTTGAAAATTAAAATGATGATTATAACTTTTGCGACTCAGATATATCATGTACAGAAATTTAAATTAACTTCGCATCCTTTGTATCGTCTGTGAATATACAAACAGTAAGGGTTTTCTTTCCTGAACTACATTGAGACCAAAAGACTATACCATCCAGAATTAGAGAGATCACACTATAGCAGTTAAAACAAAAAAAAATTACATTTATATTGATCAAAAATTAAAGCTCCCTTGCCGGGAATCGAACCCGGATCTGCTCGGCGCAATCTTTCGAATGAATTCTTCAAATGAGAGCGAACCGTGATAGCCATTACACTACAAAGGATGTGTCAAGTTATTTGTGAAAATCTCCCTTGCGGGGAATCGAACCCCGATCTGCTCGGAACTTGCAATTAAACCAGTAAGGAAATTAACTGAAAGCGAACCGTGATAGCCATTACACTACAAAGGATGTTTCACGACGTTGAAGGTTTTACAGGTATTAAGTACTTGTATTTTCAGTCACGTATCATTCAGTTTTCTACCTTCTAAGCCTGCCCAAAGAGGAAGTTTATTCTACCTCTTTAGGGAGATTACTACCGTGTAAAAAATTCAAAGAGGAGAGAGAAGTGAGCAAAACTCAAAAAGCCAGGTATATAGTGACGTCAGTTTGCTCAAGTGACACTTTTAATGAGGGAGCTGACATGTATTAGAGCTAAAGAGAATGTTGCACTCAATGCACCGTCACTTGATTGGATCGAAAGTTTTGTCAATGCCATTCCGTACTTGCAGCGGAATAAAAAAAAAAGTTCCACTTCAATTCAGTACCGAAAGGGATAACGCTTCTTTCTCACAGTTGTAAATATTCCGTTTAGTTTAAAAGTGTTGTTGGTGCTTGTGGCGTGTCTTTTCTAGCCACTTCAATCAGTCCTATCCTCACTGAAGCTTGCTTTCATTGTACATCTTTACATAGACAATCATTGCTAGGTAAAAGACACTTTACACAGCCTGGTTGCTGAGTTTAAACGCTTTGCTTTTACTTACTCCCGAGATTCAGACAATCAAAGTTGATTTCATTTCTTACCTAATGAGAAGTTGAAACCAAACATGCAGTTGCTATCAAGTCAAATTTGCATACTTTACTTTGCTCAATCGAACTTTACATTAGCACTTGCGAGGTAAGTTTGGGCTCTTCATGTGCACATCGGAGGAATTCTGATCGCCTTGATGAGAAACGACCCCAACCTATGGAAAATAGCGCTACAACTCTATAAGCGTCTCGATTTGCGTTGTTGATTGCTAGCATTCTTTTTTGCACAACAGTAATAGATAGCACCATCTCCCCCATATTATCAATTGTTTATTCCTAGTTTTTGCAGTTTGAGAAAAAATGATATTCAACGCAAGCGAGAAAAGATGAACAAACAAAAAGAATGGAACACACCAGCCTCAACTCACTGCTTCTACACTCACAACACCAAAATGTCTGACGAAGAGCTATTTTCAGAAGACTCATACGAATTCGAGTTCGAAGAGGAGGACAACGATAACGATGGAGGTGAGGAAAATAGCGCCATCGATGAAGATGGAGAAGAGCAAGGAATAGTATGTGTGTAGCAAAAACGGCAACGTCAAACCAATTAAGGATGAGGATGACACTAACTCAGCCCCCCTAGGAGAATCGATATTATATGGCGAAAAGCTACAAAGATGACGAGGTAGGCAAAGCAATTGATGAGTTTAAAAAGATTATTGACTCATTTGTTGACGACAATGACACATGTGAGTGGGTGTTTAAGTCGTATAAACAATTGGTCAAGCTCTACTTGGCTGAGGGCGAACTCGATGAAGTATTGACTACAATGAGTCAGATGTTGCCACTTTTGTCACAATTGAATAAATCGTATGTGGAGGAATCGTTATCGCGAATGATTGTACGGTTTGCCAATATTCCGCGACTGGAGTTTATAAACAACGTATACGAATTGTTGTTAAATCAAACCTATTTTCATAATGACAAGTTGTGGCTCAAGGTGAATTCAAATTTGCTTGCATTATATTTGGATACTGGTGAATTGGCAAAAATACCCGCCTTGTTGAATGTAATACATGAAAAATTCCCCGCTATACCTGAATCCATACAAAAGCTATTTACGCTAGAGATTATTGCTGGAGAGATTGAGTATTTATTCAAGTTGGAGGAGCTAGATATGCCCAAGTTGACAAATTTGTATAAACAGAGTAGCAAATTTACCACTGCAGTTACCCATCCTAAAATCTTGGGAGTGATTAAAGAATGTGGTGCAAGAGTACAATTTTATCGACAAAATTATGAAAAAGCTCGTGCTGAATTTTATGAGAGTTTTAAAAACTATGATGAGGCGGGAGTTGTTGCAAAGAATAAGATATTGAAATATCTCGCCCTTTGCTCATTACTTTGTAATAATGATTTAGATCCATTTCAATCACAAGAAACTCAATCGTACTCGCAATTTGCTGAGTTTGATAATTTGAAACGATTGATTAAAGCGTATAAGGATATGTCGGTGATTGAATTCAATACAGTGTTGTGTAAAGATGATGAGTTTTTCAATGATGAAATATTCAAACAGGCAGCAAAACAGATTTTGGAGAATTTGAGAATTAGAGTGTTACTGAAGAGCATTGGTGAATCTGACATTTCATTTGTTGAATTGTATCATCTTTTGCAAATTGATGGAGATGAGTTTAACCAATTATTGGTGAAATTGATGGGAACAGGGAGGTTAATCAATGCGAAAATTGATTTTGAAAACGAAGTCATTGTTCATGAATCTGCCACCAGCTTGCTCCTACCAACCACAGCAAAACAGATTTACTACAATGTCAAGTTGTTGGATACATTAACCACCACAAGGGATGATAGTATGGTTATTGATGAACCACAATTGCTCTTTTCAGGTCCTCAACCACCACAAAATCTCGATCTTTTATCAAAGATGTTTTTTCTAATAGATCGTCCCAAGAAGCCACAAGATTGGTTTAAATCAATTGAATCTTGGTACATGTATGTCATGTCATTCTTGCCACAACTGCGTCGATTAGAAATTAGTCAACAAGAACAAGTTCTTGATGAAATTGAGAGGAACAGACAGCAAAGTCAAAGTCAGGGGAATAATAAGAATAGCAGCAACAATGCTGTGGCTAATGAATTGGCTAATTTCAATACTGGATTATTGAATTCAACGATGCAGGATGCATATGATGATGGTGATGAGGAGACTGAGACTGTTGATGTTCGCAAAGTGAATTTGTTGCAATCCTGGGTGAATGCATTAAAAAATTGAGTGGTGTAGTATATAGGATGTATATACTTTCCTAAAAGGGTTAAATTAGATGCAGTTTGACGCGTCAGAAAAAAAAATAAAACTCTTTCTCTTTAACACCACACCACACCACAGTAGGATCTTCACACCTGAGTTACATACGTTTACAGCAGGACCATGAGATATCTTTTGATCCAAGAGCAGCTTCACTCCCCACACGGCATGTTTTTTTTATTTTTTTTTTTTTTTTGACAGCTTTTCGTTTATGAGAATGAGGATGGTCAATGCATTTTGTGTGGGCTTAACTCTATTGTCTCAGACAGACAAAAATTTATCTAGAATAAAAAATAAAATAATAAAAGAGAGAGGCATTATCCGAAAGGGGTTAAATTAATAGCTAGTAGAATTAAACCTAAATCCAAACCACTAAAATCTTTTGATTGAAATTTTAAAAAAACAACTCAAATTTGGAACCGATAGAAGATTGCTATTGCCCAAGCAGCAGCGTAACTACAACAGCACACGATTTAGTGTTGTCTGGTTCTAGTTTTGTGTAGTATACACCATCATGTATAGAGTATACTGTGTCTATTGGAATGGTTGTGCTTTAGTATAGGTGCAGAAGAAACCGAGGATAGGAGTAGCTTCAATGATTTTATTTACACGCGTGATAGTTCTTTAAAGTTGTTTAAAGTGTGTATGTGTATAGTTTAAAGACTGACAAATTGTGTGGAAGATGAAATTGAACGACAATGTATCAAATAAAACACAATAAAGAAACGAGATTGATTTTCCAGTAAAGGCGGGAGAGGCAAAACAACAACAACGGAAGCTTTCTGTATTCTTTTCTTCACTTAGATGGACAGAGAAGGACGGATCAGGTGCTTACAAATGAAAAGCCAATCTCTTTTCATTACAGCTGCCATTGTAACCCATCTTTCGTCTCAAGTTCTAGCCACACTTCAAAATATTTCAAAATGGGTTAAAAGAACCTGCCAATTGACTGTACAAACTTGCGACAACAAATATAACTATAACGAGTGAACTTCCCCCTTTCTCATTGGATACTCACCTGTGGGTATCTTCTCTAGCAAACGTATATGTTTTTGCAAGTCTATTGTGATGATAATTACTTTTCCCAATTGATGATTTTGATCTTTGTACCATTTTAATTTTTGTATTGTTATTATTATTATGTGCATATTTTCCATTCTCTCTTTTCTCTTTTCTCTTCTGCTAATAATCTTTTTTTCTTTCCTTCTTCAACCTTTTTTCTTGAGGACGACGACGACTACGACCAGCACTTCTTTTCCAATATACAATCCTATCTTCCGATACTGTTCACTTTTACATATAACCACATTCATTCGCTTTGCTGCTTACACTTATTCGTCAGTACTACCTACACGTCTAATAACATTGAGGTAAAACTTGTTGCCAATCCCCCATCCCCCCCTGCCCCCAAATTCCATGCCACCCGAAGTGCTCGTGTTCAACAACATGCCTGATCACCCAAATGTTCCACCATATATTTCAAACCAACAGCATGCATATCATTCACAACCGGCGCACCAGCAGCAACAGCAACAACAGCTTCACCTACAAACAGTGCCCAATGGAGAGTTTCAAAGTCCCAGTTTCCAAGTAAATCAGTTTTACGCTGAGCAAAATCTGTTTCAGCAAATGCAGATGCAAAAATTGCAATTGGCACAGGAGCAGCAGCAGCAGCAACAACAACAAGAACGACAACAACAAGAGCAAGCTCGACAACAACAGCAAGCTCAGCAACAGCAGCAACGTGCCAAACCGAAAAAGGTAAAGCCGGTTTCAACCACACCTAAAAAGAAAAGAGGTAGACCACCAAAACCCGACTCTTTTGCTCAAAGAATTACAAGCACAATGAACATTAATGTCAATACTTCTCCCTTGAGTAGTAGTCCTGCTGAATCAAACTCCAATTCCGCTGCTAGACAAGGCGCTCCAAATGTATTTACTCCATTGATGAGAGTCAGTCCCACCACCAAAACCAAAAGAAGGAGAAAAAACTCGACAACATCAACCATATCAAACCCATCACCTGGTTTGTTGAAAAAGGCTAAGTCTTTTTCCCTTCCATCAACAACAATGTTGGCAACACCATTGTCATCAGTTGGTACTACTTTCCCCAATTCTATTGAATCACAGTATCATTTTAATAAAAATACATTGGATAATATTTCTATGATTACACAACTGCAACCAAAGCCTACTAGGTCACAATCGATGTATAATTCACCACCTTCTGCGCAAAAAGATGGGTATTTTGTGCCACATCATGAAAATTTGGATGCTATGAAATCTCAAGAACATGCTGGTGCATCATCACCAACGAGGAAGAAATCACCAGATAGAAATTTGTTGCCACCTGCTATGTTAGGAAACCCACCAAAAGAGAAGGAGAGAGAGAAGGAGAAGGAGGAGACAAAATCATCTGATGACTTCCAGTTGAAGTTGGTTATTGACGACCTGGGAAAGGCGGTGTTGGCAAGCGACATGTTCAACACAGTTACGTCTGAAGCTGCAATTGCACCAGCACCTACACCCAAACCACCATTGTCTCATGAACCCTCGCGTGGTGTTTTACGTAGATGCAACTCAGACATTACCGGTTCTATAACTCAACCCAAATTGGAATCACAACTTGCCTCTGTCAATGAGAATTTTATGACAAATCCGCAAACACCAAAAGACAATTATATGTATGTATCTACTGGACTTACACCTATTTTCAACTTGACTCCACAATTCAATTCATTGATGAATTCAGTCATGAGTTTGAATTCACCACAATATAAAAAGGGAGGCATGAATCCGTTCCTAGTGAATCAAGAGATTTTCACCAGTGAAAATCAGCAAACGCCACATCAAATCCCCATTACACTTTCTCATATTCAGCATTTGGAAAATTTAGATGAACATCCAAGTGAGGAAAATGAGCTAGCAAAAGATCCTGAGGATAACGCCAGTTCAGATGATTCTGGTGATGCCAGACTTGCATTAAAGCGAGTCATGTACGTTCCTAAAGACTAAGCTTCATTACGTTTTTCTTTTTTAATTCTGTATAATAAACAATATTTTTCTGAAATTGGTAATTGCACACGACTGAAATGTTTTGAAAAATTTTTTTTTTCTAACTTCTCTTTCTCCTTTCTGAAGAGTGAAAAATTTTTCACTTTTACTTTCCTCTTCTTTCTTTCTTTCTTTCTTTCTTCACCATCCAACTATGTCTCACAGAAAATACGAAGCACCACGTCACGGTTCATTGGGTTTCCTCCCAAGAAAGAGAGCTGCTAAGCAAAGAGGAAGAGTTAAGTCATTCCCAAAGGATGTTAAATCCAAGCCAGTTGCTTTGACTGCCTTTTTGGGTTACAAGGCTGGTATGACCACCATTGTTAGAGACTTGGACAGACCAGGTTCCAAGATGCACAAGAGAGAAGTTGTTGAAGCTGCTACTGTTGTCGATACCCCACCATTGGTTGTTGTTGGTGTTGTTGGTTACGTTGAAACTCCAAGAGGTTTGAGATCATTAACCACTGTTTGGGCCGAACACTTGTCTGAAGAAATTAGAAGAAGATTCTACAAGAACTGGTACAAGTCCAAGAAGAAGGCTTTTACCAAGTACTCTGCCAAATATGCTTCTGATGCTAAGCAAATTGAAACTGAATTGGCTAGAATCAAGAAGTATGCTTCAGTTGTTAGAGTTTTGGCTCACACTCAAGTCAAAAAGACTCCATTGGCTTCCAAAAAGGCTCACTTGGCTGAAATCCAAATCAATGGTGGTTCAATCTCTGACAAGGTTGACTGGGCTAAAGAACATTTTGAAAAGGAAGTTTCTGTTGATTCTGTTTTTGAGCAAGATGAAATGATTGATGTTGTTGCTGTCACCAAAGGTCACGGTTTCGAAGGTGTTACCCACAGATGGGGAACCAAGAAATTGCCAAGAAAGACCCACAGAGGTTTGAGAAAGGTTGCTTGTATCGGTGCTTGGCATCCAGCTAATGTTAACTGGACCGTTGCTAGAGCTGGTCAAAACGGTTACCACCACAGAACTTCGATCAACCACAAGGTTTACAGAGTTGGTAAAGGTTCTGATGAATCAAATGGTTCTACTGAATTTGACAGAACTAAAAAGACTATTAACCCAATGGGTGGTTTCGTTAGATATGGTCTTGTCAACAACGATTTCGTCTTGTTGAAGGGTTCAATTCCAGGTACCAAGAAGAGAGTTGTTACATTGAGAAAATCATTGTATGTTGATACTTCAAGAAGAGCTTTGGAAAAGGTTAACTTGAAATGGATTGACACCGCTTCTAAATTCGGTAAAGGTAGATTCCAAACCCCAGCTGAAAAACATGCTTTCTTGGGTACTTTGAAAAAGGACTTGGAAAACTAAAATAGAACTTGTGGAGTTAAATAGGACTTCTTAGGATTTTTTTGAATTCAAGTTACTTTTAATTAAACTGGATGTAGACTAATGCAAAGAGAAGGAGCTACTGCAACGTTCGACTATGTTTTATCGTAAAAGTGCTGAGATTTTGAAATGTTCACTTGCGGTCGACCTCTATACGGCTCCTAAAGCATATTACGTTTATCCTCTTGTAATCGAAACCTGTCCGGATTCGACGCTTGTCTTTGCATTATTTGATAGATTTACAATTTAGCAGGCTGTTTATCGTTACATTTACCTAAATTATACAGATTTAATTGAGTAGCCTCTAAGTACTTCTTGGAGAGAAGGGAACTAAAACACCTTTTTGCTCTTTCCATTTGGGCACAACAGTGTTGCAAAAAAAAATGGAGCTTATGGTCTGGAAGAATCTTGCAAAATATAAAATGATTCAAAGGTACATATGCACCGAAAACGTTCGAAAACTAAAGCCGCACCTAGTTTGTTGTTGCTTCAGCCGGAAAAACTCGGAAGATCTTGAATTTCGATCAAATTTCGATCTAAAATTGCCTTTCTCTTTTGGTCCGCCTTTGACGTGAAAAAAAAAACTACTACACGGAAGAGACCGAAGGTGGAAATCAACCTAAGACACAGAGTACAATTCATCTCTATACCGTTTCCCTCTCTCTTACTTACGTACTCACCTTCTTCGAGAAAACATAGGACAATGCAACGTTGCACAGAAAAGGGGATCGTAATTGAGTAACGAACGATAACAAAGGAAGCTTTACACGTGTTGATATGGTAAAAAATGCCGTCACCGGTCGATTTGCTCATGGTAGTCCTAAGCAATGGTACGACTATTTGGTGTATCCTTCCATATTCGATAGTGATTATTTGTGTATTTTGATTTGATTGATATAGTTATGATACTGCACATAGTGTTGATGAGAATACTGCAATTCTATTGGTCCGATTTGTTATCAGTTGAAAAAATCATTTGATTACATAACACTTTACGTAATAAGCATTTTATTGCTTTTTCTTCTTTATCCAAATCGAGGCTTGTTAGAAACAGATTGAATTTGCAACTGATCAACTGTATCGCGTGTGGAGATGACGCGGGCCATAATGAAGATTACAACGACAATGGGGTAATGTAATTGAGGGAAACTGGAGTCAAATGTTCAATAGGCATTACGGGTTTGTTGTTATTTTGGGAACAGGTTGCAAAAAACAAGAAAAAAAAATAAAAATTGGATAATTTTGAAATAAACACAGACTGCTTTTCCGGTATTTCTTTCACTTGTTCCGAGGTCTCTCACAAGGTTTACATTGCCCTTTGCAAAAGAGCACTGGATATACACTCTGCTACTGTAGTCGGGTTCAACCTCTTGAAAACGTGGGAATTGCTTTGATAATCATTTGTTGTAGACACAAAGAAAATCAGAGAGATGGCAAAAATCAAAAAGTTACACAAGAAGGAACGAAATGAGCGAGTCATAAATTTCAAAAGAATATCGCATCTACTGAAGGGTTGATTACACAGAACAAGGTTTCAGTAAAAGATTTATCAAATTTTCAATTATTTGTAAATTACTTTCTTTTCTTCCTTTCTTTCTTTCTTCAACGTACAAACTTCGTCTTCGTTACACTTTGGAATCATCATCCCTACTACCAGCACAACTCACGATAAAACTACTTTGAGTTTTTTTGTTTGATATTTATTGCACTACATATAAATAGTACAGTCGTTTTTACGTTTTTTGGAAGCTTTTATAGACTTACCGACTATTGCTGATTGCTACACACACTACAAGAGCTAACAGTCTTCAACCAACACGTGAATTATCAACTTCATTTGGCATCTTTTTAACAATATCAGCAAATTTCCAACTATCTAAAATCATCGCCAATGAAGGAACTTATAAATCTAGCTTCCAGAAAACTTTATAACAACCAAAGTTACGACCCATCAGATGTGTTGCTCCTCACAATTGCCTCCTCGTTGATCTGGATTATGATCCCAGGACTTGCTTTCTTATACTCGGGCTTGTCACGAAGAAAAAATGCTTTATCAATGATTTGGATTACAGCAATGTCAAGTTTTGTTGGAGCTTTCCAATGGTATTTTTGGGGCTACTCTTTGGCTTTTAGCGATTCTGGCAATTCGTTTATTGGTAATTTGAAAAATTTTGGATTCAAAGATGTAATCAGCAAGTCTGGTGATGATGCGTATCCAGAGATTGCTTATGCCATTTTTCAAATGCAGTTCCTATTGGTGACATTGGCAATTTTGGCAGGTGGATGTATTGGTGAAAGAGGAAGGTTTCTCCCGGCAATGATTTTCCTATTCTGTTGGGCCACCATCGTTTATTGCCCCGTTGTGTACTGGATCTGGGGCGGTGGATGGGCTTCGACATTCAAATCAGGAGCTTTGGACTATGCTGGAGGAGGTCCAGTTGAAATTCTTTCCGGTGCATCAGCATTTGTGTATTCTGCCTTTTTAGGAAGGCGGAATGAGACGCTTATGATCAACTATCGCCCACACAATATATCCACTGTGTTCTTAGGGACCATCTTGTTGTACGTAGGTTGGTTGTTTTTCAATGGGTTTTCATGTGCTAATGCCTCCCTTAAAGTTCCATATTCTATGTTGAATACCCACCTTGCTGCTGGTTTCGGAGCTGTTAGTTGGTGCTTACTTGACTTTCGTTTGGAGAGAAAATGGTCCATGGTCGCCGTATGTTCTGGCTGCATCTCAGGTCTCGTTGCTGCGACACCCAGTTCCGGAGTCATTCCACTTTGGGCCAGTGTGATACTTGGTGCTTTGGCTGGTGTTGTTTGTAATTTAGCTACAAAAATCAAATACCTTTGCCACGTTGACGACTCACTAGACATTTGGGCGGAGCACGGAGTCGCGGGAGTCGTTGGATTGTTAGCAAATGCCTTATTTGGCTCAAAAACCGTTATTGGTTACGATGGGGTAACTGATCATCAAGGTGGTTGGATAGACCATAATTACAAACAGTTGTACATACAAATTGCTTACATTCTTGCTTGCACCGCTTACGCGGTGGCAGTGACTGCGATACTTTGCTTTGTCATCAATTGGATCCCAGGTCTCCAGCTAAGATTGTCATATGAGGAAGAGGAAGCTGGTGTCGATGAAAGTCAGATTGGAGAATTCGCATACGACTTTGTAGAAGTTAGAAGGGAGTTTAATTCCGGTTTTGGTTCTTCTCATGAAATGCCAATTGATGAGACTAATTTAGGAGCAAGGCGTCATTCAAATGAAGAAAGTACCCAAGTTATTGATGGGGTTACAAATTCGTCATCAACGAGTATATCAAGAGAAGAGGAAAAACAGGAAAAGAGTCAAGAACGTGAGGTTGAGTCTCATGATGACAGTCACGAGGTCAAATCATTTCGTCCTGAGGAAGAAAGGAAATGAATAGAAATTTAATAAAGTTGAACTTTTTTTCCAATTACTTGATTTGTAGATTTGAATTATTACTTCTACTTTGTGGGAGCATTTCCCCCCTCGTGGTCAAATCCCGCAATCTCTGAAAAGCATTGACTCGAGACTACTTCTCTGTATAGGTTGCCTCGTTGGAACACGACATGTAGCAATCAACTTAGCAGTCATGCGTATACCCATAAAGCACCATTTTGATCCATTTGCGCAATCGTCAACATTTCTATTATCTTTTGTTGACGAAAGAAAAAAAAAAAGAACCCACAACTATGAACCTGACATACACACATACACACAGATAACAATTCCTCCCCACCCATGTCATCCGGAATACAATCACTTCTCAAAACCGAAAAAGAAGCTGCTGAAATTGTCAATGAGGCAAGAAAGTACAGAACTAGCAGGTTGAAAACGGCAAAGCAAGACGCTCAAGAAGAAATTGAAAGCTACAAAAAGCAAAAGGAGGAAGAATTGCAAAAATATGAAAAGGACCATGAAGGTATCAACGAGAAAATTAACAAAGAAGCTGAAGAGGAGATTGAAAAGGAGTTAAAAACATTGAAAGAGCAATTTGAAAAGAAAAAGTCTGATGTAGTGAAATTATTGGTTGATGCTACAATCTCGCCAAATCCTGAAGTACATATCAATGCGAATACATAACCACCCCTTTACTTGGCCAAGTTTTTAAGTGATTTCACTTTCGCCCAAAGGCGTCCATCGTAGCCAGCAATATTCAAATTCTCTACAAACCGCCATGCTTTTTTATCGTCTGGAATGGGATAGTCAATCGGTGATGGGATTGCCGTTGCCACCCCAAGCATTCTCAAGATTGGCTTATCCAGGACGATTGATTTTGCATTGCATAATCCGGTTAGCCCTTCTTCGCCACCGAATTTACCGTACCCTGATTTTTTGACCCCACCAAATGGTAATTGGGCCACGTAGAATGTGGCAAAATCGTTAATGGCAACATTTCCACTTTCTAGTTTATCCGCCAAGTAACTCAATTGTTTAAAATCGCGACCGAAAATGGAGTTTCCTAACCCATATTCGGTGCTGTTTGCCAATTCGATTGCATCATCAACGTCTTTTGCTTTCACCATGGTTAGTATTGGACCAAAGACTTCCTCCTTGAATATTTTCATTGTAGGGTCAACATCAATTAACATGGTTGGTTCAAAGTAGTGGCCCTGGGGATAATTTGGATGATGATATGGTTTCCCTCCATGGATCAATTTAGCACCTTTCAAAACTGCATCTTCGATCAAGTCTTGAAAATGCTGGAACCGGTTATCAGAAATCATTGCTCCCATGTCAATCTCATCCAATTGGTCAATATTTGACCCAACCCTCAAGCTCTTTATCCTGGCTGACAATATCTCCACCAACTTGTTATACGCCTCAGGTAAACAAATCACCCTCTCTATACCAATGCAATTCTGCCCTGCACTTTGAAATGTCCCCCTCAAAATAATTGACGACAACGCATTCAAATCTTTTGGATCCAACACGATAAATGAGTCTTTTCCTCCAAGCTCAACAACACATGGTGTCAATTGTTTTGCCGCATTGGAAACAACATGATGAGCTATTTGTTTGGATCCAATAAACGTGATATGATCAAGACCTGGGTGAGAAGTAAAGTAATCCGCATCTTGAGGGAAGCAATAACACAATTGAATCAAGTGTTCATCCAACTCCAATGCATTCAACACTGAGCGACACATTTGCACAAACCAAGTGCTTGACCAAACGACGTTTTCCGAACATTTAACAACAATTGCATTCCCGCTAAAGATTGCAGCAATTATTGGACCCATTAAATTGTGAAATGGGTAGTTCCAAGAAATGATGGCGGAAACAACCCCCAATGGCTCATATCTCACCTCGCCATTCTTCATAAACCCCAAAAGGAAATTGGACGGACCTGGTCTTTGACTAGGTCTAAGAATTTTGGCTCCATGAGCAACAATCCAATTGATTTTTTCCAAAGTTACCATTATTTCTCCCATTGACGCATCCAATTTAGTCTTTCCCGAGTCTCGGCATGCAACTCTAGCAATATTCTCCTGATTTTCCAATATGAACCTTGCCAAGGTCTTTAAGAACTTTCTCCTTATGGTGAATGAGCTCTTCTTCCATTCGCCTTGCGCCTTTTTGGCATTGGAAATCATCTTATCCATTTCTGCTCTAGTGGTGGCAGGGAATACACCCAAATCTTGGCCAGTAGCGGGGCAATAACATTGTATCTTTGAAAGGTCATTTCCGAGACTGGGCTTTGGATATAACCGTTTTCCCTTCCAATGTTGTCTTGCTTCCTCAGGAATTGGTAATGCTACTCTAATGGGGGACTCGATCTTGTTGTATGCATTTGGTGATGATGTCACGTATTTACAGTAGATATAATACAAGCCTGGAAGGATGACAAATATAAAGAACGTAGTTGATATCTGGTACTGCCATTGCCATTGCTGGAATGCAAAGTCAATTGCAATCATCGTTGGTGAGAGAAATAAGTTTAAAAACAGTCTGTTTATTTTTCATTTTTTATTTTAATCTTTTTTTTTTTATTGATTTACTTCCCTCTGGGGAACAACTTCAAACACTTCCCGCAATACTTCTGCCTCCTCTGGGCTCACATCTAATCCAACGTCTCTAGTATTTTCTTGTACGATCGCTCCAAGCAAATTTTGATCAACATAATTAATCAATAAATCCGAAAGCCCGTCCTTTGGCGGCAAAACATCAAACTCTAGCAAGTCGTCTCGATTCCATACCGATTTTGGCAATTTTGCCATAATTTTGTTTTCCCCGGAGAGGATTGCAAACCTAATCAAGTTGAATGGGACTTCCTTTGGTATCTCTTTGGCGTTAAGGAACCCAAAAAATGAGCCACGTACTGGCTTGTGCTTAGTTTTGAAGAGTTTTTCCAAGTTTGTGGACAAAAAGTCAAGGTGTTTCTGCCACAATAGTTTTGCTCTCACCATGTATGTTTCGGCACAAACAGCAACTTCATGAGTAACTTCAAAGTCCGATTCTTTAACACCTGCAACGCTAGAAAGAGCGACATCAGTGAGTAACCTATATGCAACATAAGGATAAGCTTCAAATGCTTTTTGCATCTCCCTCTCTGCATCATCCACTTTGTTCAACTCCAAGTATGCAATTACCGTAGAAAAAGCTATCCCTGGGGAGTACCATCTTGTATAACATGTCACCAATGGCGATTTTGACAATTGAATCAAATATTCAAATTCCTCACTCATTATACAATAGAAGTCAATAAAGTAACGAGTTCCCAAAGGATCTTCCGCTGGGCTCAAGCTCAACAAGAACTTGCAAAATGTCAATGCCGTTTCAAAAAGTGACCTCTCTCCTAAGGAAACAATGTATCTAAACAAATTCAAGTAAAATTGTCTATTGGAGAAAAACTCATACGGTAGCCTGATTAACCCGTTTTGGGCTGACATTACCAATTCATGGAAATTCTTATGGAAACTTCGGTCAAAGGTAAACAATGCTCTTTCAATCAAGGCATTTGATGTGGCTTTGTTATCACCTTGCCTTAGCAAAACCATCGCCACTTGAAGTAACGTCTCTTGATGATATGGGTTCAGTTGCAACAACTGCATAAGTGACTCCGGATCTGGAGTGAGAACAGTAGATGCGTAAAATCGAGTATTTGCGATCCTGCTCCTTGTATCAGTGACCTTGTTGAATTTGAAATACCGCACTCCGAGATTCCTCTCTTTAGATATCTTGACATGTAAATCGGCATCATCAATGTCATCTTCTTTATACCTGAGCAACTCAAACATTTCATCATCAGTCAACTCTTCCATAGTGACACTTTTCAACTGAGTCGGAAACCAATCATCTCTAATCTTGGACAAAAGCAACTTGCGTGATGTTCCTGGAATGCTCCTCCTATCTTTACCACCCCAGTTTCTGATCATTTTACCCATTTTCTTGAACTGTTGGAGCATTTCTGGAGAAATCGCTAATGATGTGGTTGAGTTTGCATCTTCAATCAACTCGGTAGATAATGAGTTACCAAATAGATTTTTGTACTCTTGGTCCTGATCTAGATTCTTGAATGATTTGATGGATAGCAACGGAAGTGACGAGTTTAGTCTCTCAGTGGTGAAGTTTTTAAAGTTGGAGTCATAAATCCCGGACGGTTCCACAGTAGAGTCATACTCATCTTCAAAATCGTACTGTTCTAAAGTTGCCTTTGGTTTCGCTTCTTGCTGCTTGACTTCGGCGAGAATCTTGTCAATATCATCGTTATCTTCCTCATCATCATCCACAGGAGTGGCTGACCTTGACTTTTTGGCTTTCTTTTTCTTTTTTGACTTCTTTTTGGTCACCGCGGAAGTGGGAGCTTCCGCCTTTACACTCTCCACCTCTTGCTTCTCCTCGTCCCCCTCATCCTCCTTTTCCTCCTCGTCACCTTCGTTGAGGAAAGCAAAGGCACTAAATTTAGATTGCACAGGCTTAGCTCCACTTGCCTCATTCTTTTCCACATCGATATTTAATTTCTTCAACTCGTCCTCTAAACTCTTTCCCGCTAGCTTTTTTAGTGCTCGTGAACTCATTTTGTATAGTTAGTGGCAAATATCGGTTGATGATATAACTTTTGATTTTTTTTTTTACTTTTTTTCTCTCTAAGAATTCTATTTGATCTCCTGGTGGTTGCAAAAACCTAACCTATCTTCAGCAATGCATCAGGTCCAAGGAGCACAAACTTTACCACTCTACCTCACCAAAGAGCATAAAGAGTATTTTACCAAAAACGAGTTGACTCTTGGGCCAGCACGATTATCAGCAAAACCACTCACTGAAAGACCACCATTTAATCCCTTCTCGTCAGACAACACAACCCCAGAAGCCAATTTCAAATTCTCTCCCGAAATCAACGGATCCAAGGAGGATTTGGTCAGAAGGGTGGACGAAATTATCCAAACAGAAGCAACCTATATTTCCAACTGTAGCAACTTGGTAATTATGTATTTGGGTCATTTACAACACCTTCAATTTGAACTCCCAGCTGCAGTGCACATCACAAAAGAGTGCATTTTGGCCCTTGTAACTATTCATCAGCATTTGCTAGACGAGATGAACAATATTAGAAGCAAAAATCAGAGTATAGTCGATCAATGCAACCAAATAGCAAAGAGTATAGCCAAATCAGGGATCTCTGTTTTTTGGTACAGTTTGTATTGCACGCATTATGATCGATTGATACCCATTGAACCACTTGCTAAATCGAATTCAAAGAATGTACCACTGATGAAGTCGTTTCTTTTGGGAATGAAAAACTTTTTAGAAAGTCAACATGCGAAACATAAAGACTTATCATTCATGTCGTTGTGTCAGAGACCAGTTGATAGAATTGTCAAGTACAAGCTTTTCATTAAGGGAATGATGAATACATTTATTGAATTGGGCAAGGACACTTTTAACTTGGAGAAAGCGTATGAGCTGGTTTCGCAACAATTGAGTAAAATTGATGACTCAAGAATCTCAATGAATGCAAATAGGCAATTGAACAATTTAGTCAACTTTGAATCATTGTGTGACGTCGATGCCAATTTTTTTGGAAATCCAGTATCTGTTGGGTTCGCTTCAGTGATTTATGTAAAGAATTCCAAGCCTGAAATGAATCATTCCCCTATTGTTCTTTACAAGGCTCATCTTGTTATCCTAGAGTACAACCAAGTAATTAACAGGCATTCTATGGGGAAATACAAACCGAAATTTATCATCCCTTTACTGAATACGTCAATGGTGAAAGAGTTTAGGTATGGTTTGCACGTAAATCTTTCCACCAACATCAAATTGCAGTTCAGGTCATCTTCAAATCAGTATCAAGTAGTGTTGTGTTTTGTATCACAAAAGGAGCATGACTTTTGGAGCATAAAGTTTGACTTATTGATCAATGTGACCCATCAAGGATCTTGTGAATATAAGCTGGATACTGACCATTTATTTTGCCATACTCCCAAAAACTTGACCTCGTGTTGGAAAGATGAATACGATGATCCAGAAGATACCCTCCATTTTACTGCCTCACAAATATCTCTACAAGTGAAAATTCGTTTCGATTTGTATCTCAAGAATAGAATTCAGGTAAAGCTTGGAGAGTTGGCATCTGGCTCAAAACATACAGTCACGCTATGGTTCATTGACGTGTACAATAATGAGCGTCATTTCAAACAGATTGCTAGTAAAGAGATTCCTTTTTATACTTGTAACAGAGCAACCCAAACATAGTACACGAAATTTGTAAAGTTATAATCATTAACATGCATTGAGTTCATTATGTAGCTAATTACCAGTATTACCAGCACCAATACTATCGTTATGTGAAGCAATTCCATTGTCAACATCAGCATTATGTTTATCGCTTCCCTTTTCCAAGATAATCTTGATAACTTCATCGGCATTACTTGTCTTGAAATTGTTTGTCAAATCTTGTTTCGAGGCTTCATCTAATATACCATCGACACCACCTTGTCTATTGATAAACACCTTGAATACGGAGACAATGTCAATAAGAGGAATTGTGGTGTCACCTTTTTTGTATTTTTCATATAATGAAGGATCATCGACAAAAATGACAAAGTCGTTATCAGTTCCTTTGTAGAAAAGCTTGTGTGGTTGGTTAGTCATTGTGGGTGTAGTATTATCAATTGTTGTAGAATAGAGATTAATCGCAAATGAATTGGTGGAAATCAGTGTGTCTATTTATAGTCCAAATCAACCAACCTATTCGTAAAAAAAAATAGCAAACTAAGGTATTTTCGCTCTTGGGTTTGTGTCACACAAAATGTATTTTTCCACCCCCCCAATTACATCATAACCGTCATGCTTACACAAGTGTTTTTTGGGACCAAATAAAACTGTGTCCTAACTTTGCCATTGCCAACAAGTCCAGTTTGTGAAATACACCTTCCATTGATTGCTCTATACAAAACATCTTTGTTGTCTTTTTTGTTCGCGTTGGGACTATTGACTTTCTTTTGCCACACAGAAGGGCCTTTTCCATAGACTTCTTCTTGCTTCTTTGTGACTTGATCCCAAACCAATCGGTCTCTTGAGTGAAGACACAAGTGTTTGAGTTAGGTACTGACATTAGCAATAAACGAGGTCTTTGGAGCCGGACACCCTGCCTAACGAACCAATTCGCCTTTGTATTCATCATGCTCGGACTTCACTCATTTTTATAGCCGACGAGAGTCACGTGGTAAAAGTAAATGAATCTGGAACTAGGACACCTAGTTAATTAAAAATCCACGTGCGGACACCCTTCTACGAGCTTCTTTGTATTATCTACTACATTTTGTTGCCACTCTTCACTTTGGTAGTCGTATTTCTTCATCCAAAGCTGTCTAAGCCCAAACTAAAAAAAGATTCATCTGTCTTTTTTTATCTTCCGATTTTTCCTTTCAATGACTGCGAACAAATTATTCCTCAAATTAACTACCATTGACAACAACTCCCAACACCATGGTTGTCGACGCTTTGAAATCATTTTCCACCAACGTTGGATCCCATATAAAGGATGCTTACAAAACCACTGAGTCGGAGGTGACACACTTCTCTCATAATTTTAAAGATAAAGTCACATTTTACCATCGGGATTACGATCAAGACGATGAACTTGTAAAAAATTACAAACACGAGATTAAACAAGCAAGACTGGGTCTCGGGCATCTCATTTCGCAATTAAATCAATTCTACAAACGATTGGTACCTCATATGATGTCATTGAATATAAAAGTTGCACGCGATTTTCAGTCACTTATTGGACCTGATTCATTACAATTTAAGGATATTGAAAAGTACTATCACGATTTCGATGTGTTTCAAGCTGAGCAAGAAGTGCCCCATGTTCATCCAAAGGAGAGACAATTTTCAATAGAAGGCGTCAATGAAGAATTGTTTCAATACTTGCAATCGACATTCGCTCTCAAATACGAGTTAGAAGGGGAGTGTGTTGAAGGTTTGGACTCAACTGTCCCTAAGATTCAAACAATGAGAAAGAGATTAAAAGAGACTTTGAAATTGATCAAGAGGAGGGACCGCAAACGTGAGGACCAAGACAGACTTATGAGAAAGATTGACAAATTGAATCAAAAGAAACCGCCATTGTCAGAAAAGGAAGAAGCCAATTTGACAAAACTTCAACGTGAATTTGAGGAAGTGGACATTGAATTCAAGGTGTTGAATGATAAAACTACAACACTTTTACCTCATATAATGTCATTTTTGGACGAATTTCTTGAATCGATTACGAAATTGCTTATCTTGAAACAAGACAGCATTTTTGGTAAAATTGTGAAAAACTTCCAATATTTTGCCACCTTTTATGGATTCATCTATGAGGAGGTCCCCACTTATGAAGCAATCTTGAACCAATGGGAACTGGACATAACTTCAACAAGACTACAAATTGAATCGTTCATCACTATATTGCAAAACTCTAAAACTGATTTGTTGAATGAAGAAATAGATGATGAGGACAAGTCACTGAAAACGTACAAGTTTTACCACAAATTATCCAACAAAATATTTGACAAATCTCATACGGTGAAACCGAGAGACATAGCAGCGGGTATGTTTAATGACACCACTGAGGCCGACCCAATCGTATCATTCGAAAAATACAATAACCCTCAAGCAAATCAATCAGAGACATACCATCCGAGAAAGATTTTGGGTGTAAATGACATTGTTGTGGAAAAAACAGTTGGGTTTCAGCCTGAACTACCTCCTCGACCAGCGCTTGCTTCATTCAAGTCTATGCAACTGACTGCACAGGCTCCATCACGAGTGTATTACTCACAGAGTGCAGCCAATTCAATGGAATCGTTGTCATTGAATAGTGATGATGACACTGTTATTTCAGATTCGTCTCTGGTCAGTTCGGTACCTACCCATTCATTATCGGGCTACACTAAAGGTGATGTTTCAGTAGACAAGGAATTGCGAAACATTTATAACACATCCAAGAATGAGATCAAAGTGGCGCCTACGCTCTTGTCTGATTTCAAAATTACGCCCGATTCTGAAACTTCCGAATCGCAATTAACTGACGCCTACAGACTTGCATTACTTGACCATTTCTACCACAAATTGGAGGTTCTTAAACGAACATCCAAGATTGCCAAGTTTGACTTTATTGGAGTAGAAGTGGGAGATTTATCATTTAAAAAAGGTGATACTATTGAAGTTGTTTTTGATTTGCAAAATGTCGATACATTGTACCAACAGAGTAACTTAAACTGGCTAGTTGGAATAATACAACAGGACAATGGCCATGATTATAGAATTGGATTCGTACCAAACAATTACGTATAGCTGAGCATTCAATCAAAATCGTTATCCAATAATTTAAACATTGACCCAAGGACTCTTTCAGGATCAATTCGCAATCCGTTGTGGAATAAATCGTTGGTGATGTATTGTCGTAAATTGCATGAGGGTAAATATTGTTGTTTGACATCTCTTGTTAATTCAAAATCAACATATTGATCAGCATAATAGGTTGTAGCAACAATAGGAACATCTTTCCAAGCGATCTTTTGCAACTTGTCAGTGTTGTACAATATACTCCACTTTGTATTTTCATGCAATGCGTACGCCAATGGCTTGAATTTTCTAAGTTCCACATAATCATCAAATATGCTTTTGTAAACCATTTCCCCTGTAAAGTAAATCTCATCGTTGTTAAACTGAAATTTCTCATTTCCAGGAGCATATCTCAACCTATCAGCACTCCAATTGCTCTTCATTTCTCCACTACAATAGATTGCTTCTTGGAAGAGTGCATATATAACATTGGTATCAAATGACATGGCATTTTGAGCCAAAGTCAATGTAGGCACCGTCGCGTGCTTGAACATTTCCAAATCTTGCCAAAATGCCGTCACTATCTTATGAACTTGATCGGTTCCACCAAACCCACCAAAAGTGAGTCCTAATTGTTGGAAACGTTCAACTGATAAACGACCACCATCGGGTAATGTAACCTCATTTGACTTCAAATATTGACAAATCTTCACCACTCGAGATACATCCTGGGGATACTTTCGATAAAAATGCACATTTCTTTCCTTCGTGCGCTTGTAGGTTTGCGTGTACACCGAATCAACATCAAATCCAATTGGAGGTACACCACCAGTGACAAGCACTTGTTTCAACGACTTAGGAAAAAGTGACAAATAAGTAAAGCTACAGAATCCACCATAAGATTGACCCAATGTGGACCACTTTGCATCATCACCAATCAATTGCTTGCGAATAAATTCGGCATCTCTTACAATCGAATCAGCTCGAAAGTTTAAAATAGTGGTCAATTGGTCATCAATTGAAGTTGCCGATAAATCTCGACTCAATGTATTGTAATCAATTGGGGTACTTTTCCCAGTACCTCTTTGATCCATCCATACAATTTGGTACCCTTCATCCAACAATACTTTGGTTACACCCGAGTAGCTCGTGGGGATAGAGCAGCCAAACCCCGGCCCTCCTTGTAAGTAAAGCAATAAGTTGGGAGATTCGGGTAAAACTATCCCATTAAATCCATCCAAGTGGGCATGCTTAGCTCTATCATATTTTTGAGAAATGGTAATGACAACTTGAATCTTGCGCGAATTGGAATCATTATGATCCAAAGGCAAATTGTATGCAATTGTTTGGTTGAGGATTTTATTCAGCTGAAAGTAATCAAGAATTTCAAACGACATGGTTTAATACTACGTTGGTCAAAGAGTAAAAAATTTCGGAGATCTCGTGCCGCACAAAAAGAACACAACCCTTATTTGCGCTTTGCATGAAAGATCATCTACCCCATTAACTTCGTCCTCTACTCAATAAACCCGTATAAAATACAAGACATGTAGATGAAACTATAAACTTTTCTTTAAATACCTCATTAATACATACCACCCGTTCTTTGCTTCCTCAATGCATTTTGTTGTTTCTCAGTCTCGGAATCCCACAAGATAAAATCATCCAAAGCGTTACCTCCTGGAACCATAGGCAAAACAGGAACCTTCTTTTCAACCATAACCTCCAACAAAACTGGTTCTTGACAGTCCAAAAATTCTTTTACACCCAGCTTCAACTCCTCCTGCGTTGAGATTCTAATACCTTTAACACCCATGGCATCTGCCAATTTCATGAAATCAGGGTTTGCTTGATGCGTGTGAGAATACCTGTGTTCATAAAACAAAGATTGCCATTGTGTAACCATACCTTGTTCCTCATTATTCAAAACACAAACCTTGATTGGTGCACCGGCCTGTACAGCCGATGACAATTCAGTCAAGGTCATATTAAATGAGGCATCACCGTCAATATCGATAACAATGGCATCTGGTTTCGCAACTTGAGCTCCAATGGCCGCAGGTAAACCATAACCCATGGTTCCCAAACCACCTGATGTGATCATGGTTCTAGGCTTGGTCCAAGTCCAATGTTGTGCTGCCCACATTTGATGTTGACCAACACCGGTGGTGACGTACACATCTTTGTCGTAATTCATTGATTGTTCGGAAATCTCTTTGATCAATGTTTGTGGCTTAATCTTAGAGCCAGGTGTTTCCACTTGGTATGCATATGGATATTTCTCCTTCCATTCGTTAATCTTTGCAAACCATTCTGGTCTTGACTCAATTTGATTTACAAGGGGAATAAATTTACGCAAGTTGGCGGTGACATCACCCTCAACTGCTTCAGTAGCTTCAACAACCTTGTTGATATTTTTTGGTGAAATTTCAAAATGCAAGATACCTCCTCTGTTTTCAGCAGCAGCTAATTTTGCTTCAGGTGCAAACTTGGAAATGTTACCAGTAACTCTGTCATCAAATCTGGCACCAAGGGCAATGATACAATCGGCATTTTGCATAGCGGTGTTTGCTGCAGCTGATCCGTGCATTCCCAACATATCCAACGATTTTGGATCTCTTTGATCAAAAGCACCCAAGCCTTGTAGGGTGGTAGTGACTGGGATATTAGCTTTATCGGCCAACTCTTTAAGTAATTTCGAACCATCTTCATGATTCAAAATACCACCACCACAATAAATGATTGGCTTCTTTGCTTTATTCAAGATATCAGCCGATCTTTTAATAGCTTCAGTGGTGAATTGTGAAACTGCCTTTTTAGTTATTGTACTCAATGCATTCGATGGCAATGTAGTATTTATAGGAATAGATTCTCTCAAAATTGACGCCGTGACATCTTTTGGCAAATCAACTAAAACTGGGCCCGGTCTTCCAGTAGTGGCAATCTCAAATGCTTCGTTAATTCTTCTTGGTAATTCTGCTACATTTTTAACCATAACATTCCACTTGGTACAGGATCTCGAGATACCAACAACATCAGCTTCTTGAAAAGCATCAGTACCGATAGCACTTGTTGGCACTTGACCAGTAAACACAATCAATGGAACACCATCCATCAATGCATCAGCCATCGGGGTAATAACATTGGTTGCACCTGGACCAGAAGTGACCAAAACAACACCTGGTTTCCCACTGGCCCTAGCATAACCTTCAGCCATGTGACCAGCACCTTGCTCGTGTCTTGGCAAAACAAACTTGAACTTGTCTGAATCGTAAATAGCGTCAAAAACTGGCAAAATAGCACCACCAGCGTAGCCAAAAACGGTATCAACATTATGCCTCAACATCATTTCATGGAAAATTTCACCACCAGTCAATCCAATAAAGGAATCATCCATAGCTTGCTCTCTCCTTTCATGACGTTGTTCTTTTGAGAGGCTCTTTGGTTGTGGCAGAGAGGGTGACTCAGCATCAGTTATATTGAAAGCAGGTGATGGTTGGGGTCTGGACGCAGAAGTAGCTTGAGCAGCATTATGATGATTTATCTTCGAAATTGATCTTGTTTGAGATCTTATAGCAAGATATAGATTCTGAGTAGATCTTTTGCTACAGCACCTTGATAAATGACGTGAAAGCATCGTTTGGAATAGATAAGTTGTGATAAGAGGAAGAATGTAAAAGGTAGTTTTGCTTGTGGAGAAAGGAAATATATAAAGTTTGAGAAGAGAGTTGTGAAAATTATTGTGACTAATTTGTATGCCGAAAAAAAAAAAAAAAAATTTCATTCATTCACATCCATCCCGAAGAAGGAGAGAGACAAAGATAATACAACAAAGAAAATAATTGTAACGGAGGAGGAAAACTGGGGAGCATAAAATCCTCTTTCGTACAGGTAATGAAGTCAAGTTGTTCCCACTAAGTCTTCCCCCCCAAGTGTTTGTCTTTACCCTGGTGGTTGCTTTGAAGTCTTTGGATGATCTCGGATAATTGTATACAAAATTTAAATCAGCCGTTTTGTATGCAGAGACAAATGTCCTGAACCGGTTCAAAATTTATTTTTGTCAATGGACAACCGGAACAAGTGAAAGAAAAAAGTACGATATATTATTCATCACGTGATAAACACGTGCGTTTAATAATCATCATTATCTATGCTTACTTATTTATACTTTTTGACACACAACATCAATATGATCCTCTTTGATAAAAAACGCCTTGTAAAACCTTTCCCAAATACAATAACTCAAACCAATCAAGTTTACAATGCATATAATGAATAATGAGCCGCCTATTATCGCACTCATTACCTTAAAAAATAAAAAATCGTAACCCGCAACACCCTTGGCCACTTCGCTATTTGCAAGGGACATGGTACCCACAGGGAATGTCATTGTCCACCAGCCTTTGTTCCATTTAATCAAGCCAAATCTCTTTGTTGTCCAATCGGGGTCATGGTTCTTGGCAAACGGAGAGCTTTTTGACATGCACGATGCTATAGCAATGAATAAGTAAATGTATCCTCCTGCCAATAGAAGATAAGCACCTAATGCTGACGGAACCAAAAAAGCTTTGGCTAAAGCATCGTCAGGGATAAAATTGTACATATTGTTACCGAATAACATGATACTGTAACTACTTTGACCAACGAAACCAATCGGTAGAAACTGGGTAAAGATTTGTGACGTGCTTGGTATTTTGCATAGGATCAATCTAACCATGAAAATAGCCCCAACACCATGAAATAACATGATTGATATAAAAAACAACATCAATGCTGTAACTTCAGTTATAATCTTTTGATTGCGGGTTTCCAATTCAGGAGCAATAAGATGACCTGGCGATGAGACAACGCAACAACAAACCACAGGCATAAAGATACTAGCATTGATATCAGCAATTTTGTGAGCACTGAATTTTGACAAAAATGAAAAGAAGAAAATGACTGCTGTGTTCATAACCGCTAGAACAACGCCTATCCACCACAAGACCCAAAGGAAGATGGGATATCTCCCATGCGTTAGTAGGTTAACTCCATTGATAATAGTGCTAAATCCCATTGAGTATACTGCAAAATATAGCGAATGACTGTAATCGTGAATATATAGTGCCATTCGGCGAGGGTAGAACCAGCAACTTAGTACACACATAACACTTGTGACAATGAAAAAGAATATGGTGATGCAAAATAGGATGATACCGCAAATCTCTAACCAACGAGCTTTATAGGGGAAACCATAGAATATGTTACCTGTTATCCCGCATCCCAAGAAGGAAACAAAGTAGGACGGATGGAAATCATCAATGAGCTCTTTTCTTAAAAACTGTCCTACTGTCAAGCGCGTAGATCGGTAACATTTTTCACCCTCATTGCCTTGCGTGTCATACGGACTATCATTCATTGCAGTTTGATCCAGGGCCAATTTTGAAGATAGTGACGCCGTGCTTTGGTGGGTTGAGGATGCATCCAACTCAGGTCCAACGTCCGAGTTACTATCTTGTTCCATTCGTGATACGGTATGGAACTGTGTAATCAAAAAGAAAATATAGCTCAATAAAATGGGGCGGGTGCGTAATATATACTTTGCCGCTTAATGAATGACTCAAGTCGGGGGTTGCTTTTTCTTCCTTTTCCGAGGAAAAAGGTTTAAATACAAAGTAGTTTTCTTTTTTGTCGCAAAATGATTGTATACGATATCGGTGCCGCTTGTCGGTGTTGTGTGTATTTGCGAGTCAGAAATAATACCTTTTCTCTCAATGGTTTGGGATGAGAAGAATGGCTTTATGTAAAAATTTGACTCCTTAACTGGAGTCGAGTTACAAATTAGTTTTAACTCTTCCTGCAATGTCTACTGAAAGAGTCACAGAGACAAAAATTTTGTGGGGGAAAAAAAAACCACTCGATAGGGAAATTAATGACGGTATTAAAGCATAATACCGACCAGAAAACCGCTTTTGATAACTAGAAGCAAAGAACAATGCCTCTTCCACTTATCCTTAGAGCTGTAACAGTGTGAAGGTCAATTACATATATACCAATACAACAATACACACTCGTTGGTCAATAATAACCATCGGATATAAAGCGCAACATGTACTCGTCAATGTGACCCACGCCTTCTTCGTAGTCGACGTCATCTGGTAGCTCGTCCTCAACATCCAATGCCTTTAACATTGATGTAGAGCCATTTGGTTGTGCTTTATTCTCTTCTGTAAAATCTTCATCGTCGACAGCAACCTCTTTCAAAGCTGCGCCCGCGGCTACTCGATCCTCTTCATCCTCAGCTTGTGCAAACGCTTTGGTCATTTTCGTGTCACCGGAAAAGTCAATGGTTCGATCAGCAATTTCCTTTGTGGCTTCTGAAATGTTTGGGTCATTAACCAAATCACGAACGGAAAACTGACCAAGGTAATCGGTTGTAAATTCACCTTCCTGAATAACCACATTGTCCAATTGCCTCTTTTGGTTAGCTTTTTTGATAATGTTGGATTCGATGGTGGACTCAGATACGAATCTGTAGATATGAACATCTCTAACTTGTCCTATACGATGGCAACGATCCTGGCACTGCTTGTCCATGGCTGGGTTCCAATCAGAGTCGTAAAATATCACCGTATCTGCTCCTGTCAAGTTGATCCCCAAACCACCAGATCTGGTTGATAGTATAAACACAGGGATTTTAGAGTCTCTGTTGAACTTCTCCGTCATTAATTGCCTCTCCTCGATTTTAGTTGCACCATCCAATCTCATGTATCGGTAGCCATGAATATTCAAAAACTGCTCTAAAATATCAAGCACCTTAGTCATTTGTGTGAAAATAAGAGCTCGATGTCCTTCGGCTGTCAATGTTCTCAACAATTGTGCCAACTTCTGAAGTTTACCGCAATCGAATTGCAACAATGTTTTATCAGGGAATGCAATTGATAGCTTCACTTGTGATTGATGGAAAGGGTTAGTGATGTTGCCTTGTTGTACTTCTGACTTGATCTTATATTGGGTGGATTTGGGAATAAGTTGATCCTTCATATCCAATGCCACTGCCGCCGGAGTTACTATCGAGTATTTTTCTATTTCATCCGACATCGCAGTGGCTCTGTCAGTGACGGACAAAGAAAGTTTGTCAAGTGGCAGTCTGGCTTTATTTTTTCCCTTGATTGTCAAGAAGCGCAACAACGAGTCACCATATATTGGTCTCTTCTCACATCTTAGGGTGTTGAGGTATAGAATATGTTGAAATTTATCCCTTAGCTCAACCTGCTCTTGGCTTTTCAAATCTTGAAAGTAGGATACAAAGTTTGTCATGGTGTTTTCCACGCCACTCATCAACTTGTCAAGTTGAGCAATTTGTTCCTCAATTTGCGCCAGTGATTGTAACCGTGCTGTTGACTGCGAAACAAAATGGTTCAAATTTTCTTCATTAGCGACATTCAAATTAAGTACATCAAAATCAACCATGTCCTTTGAGTCAGCACTAATGCCTTTAATCATATCATTTACATATTGAAAAGAAAATGAAACTGACCTTGGCATGGAAAATGATGTTACTATTGGTCTAACTTCAAACAAATCCGGGTGGTTGCAAACTTTCCTCAATTGCATCAAACAATTAATAATCGACAAAAAGTTGCCCGATGCCAATGTCTCTTTTGTCTTGGCACGAGACATGAAATCATCATACAAAAATCTCTGTCTTTTGGATAACCGACAGTACACAATATGCTCATACTTCCCCGGCATTTGTTTTTCCACGTCCTTCTTCAACCTTCGCAAGATGTATGGTCGCAAAACTTGATGTAACCTCGAGACCGTGTTTTTCGTTTCTTCATCCATTCGCAGTGTACTCTTCTCATTCTCATCAATCAAATCAGAATTATTTCCTAGAGTTGTTTGTTCTAGAATGTTATCAACTGGCTTCCCAAACCACTGCTGAAAGTCCTCTAAATTCGAGAACCCGTCAGGCATCGACAAGTTAGCTTTCGAAGAAGGCATCAAAAAATACAACAATGACCACAATTCGATCAAGTTGTTTTGTAAAGGTGTACCAGTGAGGAGAAGTCTGTTTTCAGTATTGAAGTTGAGTAGTGCTTTCCATCTGGTAGACCTAAAGTTTTTAATATTGTGTGCTTCATCTAAAATCATATACCTCCACCTCCTTCTCTTGAATGCTTGCTGGTCCTGCACTACCAACTGATAAGAGGTTATACAAACGTGGAAAGCATCGGGCTTGTTCCACCCTTTTCTTTTTTGTGCTCTTTGCTGAGGCGATCCGTAATAAGTTAAAACCTTGAATCCTGGAGCAAACTTTTTAAACTCCATCTCCCAATTCAACATTACCGAGGTGGGGACAATAATTAAATGCGGTCCCCAAATGTGATGCTCACAAGCCAAATAGCACAAAAGTGAAATGGTTTGAATAGTTTTCCCCAAACCCATTTCATCTGCCAAGATTCCATTTGTATTGTTATTGTATAAACTGGCAAGCCAGTTGAGACCTTGTTTTTGGTAAGGCCTGAGAGTTCCCCGAAGCAACGACGGTACATCAACGTCTTTCACTCTCGATCCATTGATCACTTCTGTGCTTTCATCGCCATCATCTTTAGATATCAGCTGTCTGTGACCTTTAACTTGGCTATTCTCGACCGGTTGATAGTCATCCTCTGACTGCAGCATCTCGTCATCACTAGCTTCACTGAAACTCTCAACATCTTCATCCTCATCATCACCATCATCAGCGTCAACGCTTTTACTGTTGTAAAAATCGGCTAAAGCAGTTTTTTTATTTGGTAATTCCAGTTCAGATTCGGAAGCAGATGCGTCGCTTCCTCCAGGCAACAATTCAGCTGAGGACTCGCTTTCGGAGATTGACCCAGATATTGGACTACTTTTATCGGAGTCCAAAAGTTGGTTTTTATCTAGGTCCAGTTCGCTCACGATCTTTGAATATTCATCAGACATTTGCAAATCTTTGAAGACCCCATTTTGTAAAGGTTTAATCTCGCCTTCACCATATAGCGACATGAGTCCACCAGTCTCGTCAAAACTGTCGTCACTTTCCAGCATTCTACCTTCTTGCTCCAGCACATCTGGAGTACCATCAGTGGTTGGCTCAATAGAGCTCTCGATGTTGGCATATTTTCTTCTCAAATCTTCAACTGAAAGATTACTATCAAGGTCACCACCTCTGGCTGTTGTTCCATTGGCACCTTGCTCGCGATCGTTTTCCTCATTTTCGTCCGAACTTGAAATGAAATCATCAGAGTCGTATGAGTCATTCATCTCCATATCATTCTCTTCACCCATCACAGCCTCGCTTTCAGCAGTTGCTTCTTTAGACGACGTGAGCTGTGCTTCGAGAAGCTGAGTTGAGTGTTGCAACATCTGACTCAAGTGCTCTCGACCTTTCACTTTCTTAAGCTCCTCTTCTTTTGCAGTTTGTATAATCAGGTATACTTTGAAAGCATCATTCCATCTCTTTTTAACAGCCTGCATAGCAATCCTACTCATCTTTTTCAAATTTTGTTCCCGTTCCTTCAATAGTCTTTCCTTTTCGCCTCTCTTTTTCTTAAAATGCTGATCCACTATGGAAGCAACTTTTCTAGCTCGATTAATATGCTGCCTCCTCATCTGATGATGGATTCGCGAGAAAGCCATTCCTTGGGTCAAAAGGTAATCTTGATGCGTGCAATCGTTGTTGGAACCTTGCATTTTCGGAACCACAGTAGACGTTATCCTAAATGGGTCGTTCAATTTGACATTATAAACAGGAGGTATAATCACTTTCCTTCTCTCTATCTTGTTCCCCTGAAATTCTAAAGTGTTGTCAACATTGATCTTATGCGAAATTCTCTTGAACATGTTCATTTGCTTAGCATTTATAGCCTCGAATTCTTCCTTTGTGAATCTGTAGTCTGGCGCATTCAGTTCATCGATGATTGGTGTCCTGCAATAATTGTCCAAGAAGTTTCGTAGCTTGATAGTCAAGTTTGGTGCTACGATTTTTCCATCGTGTGTTTGCTGAACTTTGATAGGCTCAGGCTCAAAATCTAAAACTTTGCCTCCTTCTTCGGTTTTGGTAATCAGCGAATTACTTTCTGCTGTTTGTGGTGTCCAAGATGGAACATGAGAAGGGTGCGTTATGAGAAGGTTGGGCACTGTACCAGAAATACTTTTTATCTTCTTGTTGAATGAATGAAATGTAACGTCTCTATCATCATCATCATCATCATCATCATCGCCATCTTCAATTGAGATTTCGATAGGCTCCTTTGCATCGTTGTATTTGTTGTTGTCGATACTCTTGCGACTTTTTGATGCCAATTTTGAATGTTTTTCCTGTGGTCGTACCTTTGGTACATCTTTTTTATTCAATTCTTTAAGCTTGCTCGATTGTCTTGTATTCGACTTCACTGAAGGTGCTACTGAGATTTTCTGTTCAAGTGACGAAAATAACGCTACTTCCTTTTGTTGATATCTTTCTATAGTTTGTTGGCGAAAGGGAAACTTATTATTCAACAAGCTTTCCCTTTCAGATAGTTTCTTTTTCTGAAACCGGAATGGAAGTGCTTTCAACTCTTCATCGTTTTCGATATCGCTATCCCATTTCAACTTGTATTGATTAGATTCACAAAAGTTCAGAAATGAATCGGAAATTGACATATTCACAACTTTTGAAAATTCTGACGGCACCCATGAAATTATGGATTCATACTCTGATAGTTGATATAACTCATTTACAGCCATGCCAAAATCAACAATAATAGTCGCTAGCTTGTCCTCCTTTGACTGTCCAGTGACTTTTCGTCTTTTGTTGGGTTGAACTAAAGTTGAATTTTGTTGATTTGATGATTCATTTGATCTTTTTACCAGCGAAAGTCGAGATTTCTCGTTATAGACAGCGGAATTCGCACTCCCTTGACTTATTCTCGCCAGTGTTCGTCTTCGTCGAACTTCTACTCCCATGATTGTAGTCAATAAGCCCAAATGCTTTGGAAAACTATACACTCAAAAGGCAAAAGAAGAAGTGATACAAAGTAGCCCCCCCAAAAAAAAAAAAAAAAAAAACCGAAGAACGCGAAGGCATTGAAATCCTGAATTACTAGCACACAATGGGATAAAGCAGATTGAGAGAAATACAGGCAGTTGTCATAGAGTTATGTAATTACCGTGAGTAGGCAACAACTGTCTAAGTAATTGCCTTGTGGCCACTACAAAAAATCTCAAGTGATTAAATAAGTTTGAGTATTTGAGTAAATGAGCAATGAGTACTTAAGAGACCTCCTGCACTAATTCCCCGGTGAATCTAATCAGTGTGAGCGCTTCCGATGCTTAAGCTTTTATAAACGAAGCGTTACTCCTTTCATAAGAATCTTTGTTCGATGCAACATCAGACTCTTCTGGCAACACTCCACAATCCTTTTCAGCATCAACGTCTGGTTTATTCTGATAAAACGGAGCATCCTCTTTTGATGTGGCACCCAATGCATCAGCCAATCCATTATATGGAAATGATCTTATCATTGCTGGCTTTTCTGGGTTCAACTGGAAATAAGCCACGACCCCAGCTATGCCAAAAAGTAGTCCAAAAAAGATACCATTATGCTTCAAGGCGGTTGAGTCAGAAACAAAGTCGTAGTAGTCAGGGGACCAAATGTCGTAAAGATCTTCGTCCATATTCACAGGATCATTCAAGTTTCTTCTATTTTGTTGGTCGTCGTATTTCAAGTATGGATCTTTCTTTTGAGCCAAGATAGCTGGTGGATTCTTGTAATCAGCCCACTCTGGGTGCTCAGGATCAGCGAGTGGTATCGTTTTGCCTGTGACTTGATCATATATGGTTGTCTTAGTGGAGTTGTGCCTTATCATACTCAATTGTCCATGTGAGTTGGCTACTGTACTTTTTAACAACATGTTTGTTGGACGAAGTGCCCATGATTTTACTCCTAGACGTAAACTCATTGTTAGGATAGATATCTGGATGCTCTGTGTTATTGGTATAATGACAAGGACTCCAGCAAGTTCCTTTTTTCTTTTCTTGATTTTTTTTTTTGTTCTTGTTCTTTTGTTCAAACATAGTCTCGTTCTGAGCCAATAGAATTTAACGTGAAACTGATTTGCTTACTTTTAAGACACCTGTTAGGAAAAGAGCCAATTCAAGGGATACATTGTAGACATCGTGGTAGATATATCTACTTTGGTATACGCACCTCTTACATTGACCATACTCTACAAATGAAACCTTAAATCGAGACGATATTTGTCTTTAAACCAACTATAAAAAACATGCTCGAGAATAAACACCGCCCGTGACAGGTCCCAGTCTCCAAGTCGAGTCAGCCACTACATAATCATCCTAGATTAATCCTTTGATACTCTAGCAAGTTGTGGTTCACCAAACTTGATGGATTTTAATGGTGAATTCTCCCCATTGGCATATTGCAATAAACCGGCATTACCTTCTATGTTGACACCAATGTATTTAGCCGCATATGCTATTCCCAAAAATACCGGTACAAATGCAAAGAGTACACTCGAATTGTAAACATTCCAATATTCATGAACTGGAGGTGGATTCAAATTGAAATGGTATTTGTTGTTGAATGGTGTGGAATGAGTTGCCTGCTTAGTAGTGCTAGTGGTAGAGTGTTGAAACCTCTGAGTCGTTATCCTTTTCAGTAATCTTGAAAACATATTTTCTATGATACTCTGTTTGATACTTTGCTCTGGTGTAAGTCTAGTGGAAATGGTATGGGTGATTCTTTGAAAGGTAAATGGATGTTGGCTCCATTACGTCGCACAATTATTTTTTTTTTTCGCTTCTGTTTCACTATTTCTTTCTTTGTCCCAAGAAAGTTAAACAACTAAACCCGATGGTGGTGCATCTCTCTCACAAGAACCAAACAGCTGGTGTAGACGTAAACATGAGTACCAGGAACAAAAAGTAGCAAGGAGTCACGAGCCATCGTGATCTATATCGGCTTATATTATGTGTTCAACTTCACTAATTGCTTGCGCATTGCATGAGATCAGTGTCCAACAATCACATGGCATTTCCGTTTATGTTATCGACTGCGACCTCTCTTCTAAAAGTTGGTCCACTACTACTCTAAAACTATACTTTCTATAGTGAGTCCTGTAATTACTGTAATTCACTTCAACAACTATTTTTTTTGTTTTGATCTTTAAAAATTGTGTTGCAAAATATATTTTTGACAACCAACTTGCTCTTCCACCATCCCTTTAGCCATGGAGATAATAGCAGTGTTTAGGATTGAAACTATAAACGATGCCAAAGTCACCACCTACACGAAAAGTCAAAAGCTCAAGAAGTCAAGGTTGAACGCTATCGATTCGCTTCCTTTATTTGCTCTGGAGGTAGTAAAAATAGGACGTGGCAAATATTGTGACGTGAGAATAGACAACCCTGTAATCTCCCTCCATCATGCTACGATATGGTCAGTACAATTCGATTGTGATACCCCACCCTTGGTCTACATAAATGACAATTCGAGAAATAGGTTGTTGCTTAACGACAAAGATTTGCATAAAGGGGAGACGAGGATTCTAAAAGACGGGGACACTCTTGAATTTAAATCAGCTGCAATCTTCACATACGAAACATTAGAAGTTGATGATGATACCCAGGATAATTCAACATTGACCATTGACACATGGAACATTAGCGATTCATTAATTGGAACAGGTTCATTTGGTTCTGTATTTGTTGCATCTTCCTCCACAGATTATAAGCTATATGCTGTGAAAGTGTTGAAAAGTGGAAGCAAAAGTACTGAGTATGATCTTTTGCGTACTGTAAACCACGTTTGTATCCGTACTTCGATTCCTTTTTTTTTGCAACCAAATACTAACAAAACTTATTTTTAGCCCAATATTATCAAAATACATGAAGCAGTTATAATCGATTCGTCTATGTACTTGTTTCAGGAATTGGCATGTGGTGGAGATCTTTTCTCCTATTTGGTAAAGGATAATCATCTACGTGCAATACCAGAACAAGAAGCCATTTTTATTGTTTTCCAAATCATGAAGGCCGTTCAATTTCTACACAATAACCTAAAGATAGTCCACAGAGATTTGAAGCTCGATAATGTTCTAATGCAAATTCCTTTACCCAAATCTCGCATATATATATGTGACTTTGGTATAGCTAAAAAGTTGACGTGCTCACGCACAAACACTTCGGTCGGAACCATCGAATATAGTGCACCAGAGGTCTTCAATATTGATAGCAAGGGTAAAGTATTCCAGCCTTATAATTACAATTGTGATTTATGGTCCCTTGGTGTGGTTACACATATTTTGCTAACAGGGATATCACCATTTTATTCAGAACTGAAGGAACAAATTTTGATGATGGCTCGTCGTGGACAATTAAATTTCGCAAAGAAGCAGTTTGTTCACATTTCAAAAAATGCCAAGGCTTTTTTATCAGCTTTGCTTAGGGTAGACCCCCGGCTTAGAGTGGATGCTAATGACAGTTTTAATTGTGCTTGGATAGCAAGTAATAGGGCCAAATTGGAAAGATTCTATCGCGAAAGAATTGCTGATGCACAAAATTGAAAAAAAGAAAAGAGTGAATTCTTTATTTCAACACATTTCGAGTTAACATAGATGCTGTCTCATTCTAGATACACACCAAATCGCTACAATGGTAATGGTAACAGGAACTACTCAAGCAGGGGTCAAGGTAGCACTTACTCGTCCAGTCAATCAAATAACGTGAATCATAATCGAGGTTTCAAACGAAAGTACAACTCCACTGATTCGTACTCATCTTCAAGTTCATATAAATCACGTCAAAACTTGTATCAGCAACACTCAACCCCGAAAGATTACGAAAATCGATTTCAAATGTGGATGGGCGATCTTGATCCTTCGTGGACAGAGGAGTCCATTTATACCATGTGGTCCACCTTGGTTGCCCCACCAAAATCTCTTAAAATAATGCGAGATAGACTCAATCCACTGAAACCATCGTATTGTTTTGTTACCTTTGGGGACCAAGAGGCGCTCGATTGGGCATTGCAGAGGAATGGCCAAATGGTACCGAGTACCCAACGAAGGTTCAAGCTCAGTCATGCTAGCGCAAGGAATAACAACCCTAACGTGGGTGGTGGGTCAGGTAGACCCTCAACTGGCGAATTTTCACTATTTGTGGGGGATTTGGCCCAAGATGTCAGCGAAGCTGCATTGTACAGTAAATTCAATTTGAAATATCCAAACGAAATCAAACTGGCAAGAGTTGTAATTGACCAGAACTCCAAACTAGGGAAGGGATTTGGGTTTGTCAAATTTTTCCATAGCGCAACCATGGAAAGAGCTTTGAAGGAGATGCAAGGTGTAATGTTGGGATCAAAAGCAATCAGAGTTGGTATAGCTGCGGGGTCGGAGACAACTCAAACCAATCATGCTCAGTCCAAGCCTGATCTTAAAAAATTAGCGGTCGCTCAGAATCAACCTGAACTAAATGCTGATACGGACGAGAGAAACACAAACATCACCATATCAGGGTTGTCATCAAACTTCACAGCGAGGGAACTCGAGCTAGTATTTTTGAGCTTTGGCGACTTGATATATTGCAAGCTCTCGCGTGATTTACAAAAGGGTTATGTTAAATTTGTTTCGCGAAATGCAGCTGAGCTCGCCATGACACAATTGAGTGATACAGTTCTTCATAATTGTCGCTTGGAGCTTACCTGGGGAAGTAGTACGAAAACGGGGGATGATGCATTTAAGTATGAGCCAGAGATTGAAGGTGTCTACGAAAGAGATGAAAAACCACTATTATTGTACGTGTCAAGTGAATATCCACATAAAAACTTGGGACTGCAAACAAGCGACGAACTCAATGCTTATGTAAACGGGTGGGATGGGTGTGAAGGCATGTCAACGCAACAAGTAAATGAGTTTTATTTGAAAAACAAGTTGGCAAGGGAGCATCTAGTGTAATCAATCACCCCTTTATTTAAAGTATATAGTGCTACAATACAAAGATTGATTTGCCACTCCCTTCCCTCGTGAGCAGAGAGTTGACTTGACTTGACTTCTAGCACCTTCCTTCACGTGGGTCTCCCCAGAACCATCATCTCATCTCTGAAAAACCCAACACGTTTGCGCCTCTTTGTCTTGTGCTTTTGCTTTTGCATCCAAAACGCATGAGCAAGTCGTAAAACCTATGTAAAGAAAAATAACAAACCTCATAATAAACTTAGTGCTCTCTTCCCACCACATCACAATGTTGCCACATCAGAGAGAAAACTCTCCATTCCGGTCTAAACCTGTCTCTAGAGTAACGTCGTCAACGCGATTGAATCAGTTAGCGCAAGAATCGAGGGGTCCTTTAGGTAACAGCTCTAGACCATCCACGCCGGGAACATACGTACCCTCCTCATTGAATCCGCTGAAATATGCACCAAACACTCAAGACAATATAGAAGATAAGATACGATCAAACGAGGAGCTTGCAGCTTTCAACCTGTTACCCATCGTGGCAAAGATTGGCGGTTTCAGAGAAGCGTTGGATACGCTAAGCAATGGTATCTCACATTACAAAGAGGATGAGTTTTACACGAACATGGAGAGAATAATCGAGACAAACACGAGCCTTGAAAAGGAAGTTCACGAGTTGAGCAAACACAAAGAACGCAGTCAGGAGCTCGTACGACTTTCAAATCTCAACAAGGAATTCGAAACTAAGTCCAAAGATTATTTGAAAACCTTGGTGCAATTGAGAAATGATTTGAAGAGGTTGCCAAGTACCGCTGATACTGACAGTGAATTGGAGAATTTAAAATCTCCGGTAGATGTCGAAAGTATATTGAATTACTCCATGAAGCTAGCGAAGTTCACCAAGGCACCCACCGCCGTGGGAAATTTGTCATATCAAATACATCCTAATAACTATACATGGCCCGCAGAGGATTCATTGAGACGTGGAATGCTCGCAATGAGTTCGCTACATGCCAATGAGATTATTAAATCAGAGCTTCTCGAGGGCGAAGATGCAGCATTAGACGAAAAAGAAGGAGAAAATGTGGAACATCAGTCCGTGGAAACAAATAAGGACCAACTGCACACCAAGAAGGATCACATTCCCAAGGAGACCCAAAATTCAGTCAAAACAGAGAGTGCTTCACAAGTTGATCTTGATTTGGATCTATTTGATCCTGAAGACGAATATTCAGATTGATTGGAAAAGACATAAAAAATCAAAGAATCCATGTAACAACTGGTTTGACTTAGTCTAAATATTTGTGTCTAAATAATTACAAGCTATTTTTTACCAAATAATTCACTTGGATGTTTGAATGTACCTGTGGCCCTTTCACCACCTAGAATGCAATCCAACTCCAATTGCTTTGAGTACTTTTTGCCACTCTGTAAATGCTCCTTCACGAGATCAGCTAAACCGGAAATAAAAATTTCATTCCCATTCATAGACTCAGCCCTTTTGATCTTCTCAGGGTTCTCGGCATCTTCCATAATCTCTATATCCAACTCATGAAGAGTTTCGATGTGATCCGATGTGAATGCGATTGGAACCAATACGATGCCTTTTATGTCATCTCTTTTCTCCAACTTGTCAATGATCTTGGCCGTTTGCCCACCCAACCATGGCTTTGGACCAACCTGCGATTGCCAAACCAAACGATACGGATTAGAAAATTTCAAGGACTCCATGACCTTGTATACAGTAGCAGCAACTTCAGCTGGGTACGAATCACCCAAATTGACAATTTCCATAGGCAATGAGTGAGCCGAGAAAAGAATGACAATTTCGTCTCTTATTTCTGGTGGAAACTCGGCAAGTTTTTCTTTGATATTGTTTGCAAATGCTTTCACCAAACCAGGTTGTTGAGGCCATCTGTCTATTATTGACCATTCAATTGTCCGTTCAGGGTCTTTCTTTATCGTTTGTCTATAAAGCTCATTGATGGATGACCCAGTAGTTGAGTAAGAAAATTGAGGGTATTGTGAGAAAGCAACAGCACGTTTAATTCCATCCCTTTTCATCTTCTCCAAAGTCTCTTCTGTCAACGGTTTTGCATACCTGAATGCAACATATGGTTTATGAGGCGCCGTTTCAGGGTTTGTTTCATCCAAAATTTCACACACCTTCTTACATTGATATTCCGACCACTTACGAATTGGTGATCCGCCTCCGATCTCATCATAATGCTTCTCGATTGTGGGTGTACGCCTTTTTGCTATGAACTGAGCCAAGGGTTTTTGGAAAATCCCAAAAGGTATCAAGTCACCGTCTTGAAAGAGCTTAAGTAAGAAATCGTGCGTTTCTTCCGTTTTGGATGGTCCACCCATATTCATGAAAACAATACCGGTAGGAAGCTTGCTTGCGGAGGATGTTGAGTTAAATCGGAAGCAGGAGCGAAGTGCGGCCCTTAACCTATATGGTCGACTCATTATTTGTATCATTATGGAACCCAGAAACGTACAACTAAGTAGAATAAAGCCTTGGTAGGTGTTCTCTTTTACTAATGAAGAATCGAAAATTTCATTGTGGTTGCTACTTCGTATATATTACACAAAAACTATGATACATTAGTCAAATAGAAAGCAAAGTCTGGATTCATCAAAGCTAAAAACAATCTTGCGCCTCATAGATGAAAGATTCATTATCCCCCCTGAGTATTTAAAATTTTGATTAGAGATGAAGCTCTACAAAATAGAGTAAAGACATTGTAGATTGTATTGTTCGTTAAGTTCTCAATCGACTTTAGCCATTTTTTCCCGCTGTTTGGAAAACTCTTCCTTTTTGCGGTCAAATATTTCGTTAATTTCTTGGGTGAAGTTAGTGTATGCATCTTTCAAACCATCAAAATCATCTTCAGCGAGAAAATTTCGACTTTTGAACGAGCCCCAAGCGTCTTTCAAATGATGTAGTTCCTCATCGAACTCATCCTTGTCTAAATTTTGAAGGTCATCAAAGGATGGCACTCCCAAGGTTGGCATGGTGTCCTTCTTGTCCAAATTGTTCTCCACCACGTTCATCACTAGGTCATTCTCTTCCTTTGTCAAATTTGAATCAAAACCCTGAGGCTTTACTTGTTGAGCAGCGGCCTTCGTCTTTGAATCCAGTCTCTTGACAGTGAAATACTTTGCAAACGGACCACGATAAACAAAAAACGAGCCCGCAATGACCAACAACAACCAATAGTAGACGGTTTGCCAACAAATTATTGACTTCTTAAAGTCAAGAATTACAAATGGCTGAACGACAAACCCAAATGCAAGCTGTGTGCAAACCCAAGAAACAAAGTCATATACTCTTTTCGTTGGTTTAGGGGTAACTCCATCACTCTCTAAACAATAAGGTCGGATATTCCTTCTGAAAAGTTTGCCAACAGTTTGCAAAAATGCACCAACAACGAACGTCAAATAATAACCTGGCCTTGTACCGTGCCAAAAAGCACTGGTGGCAAAGGTGAAAACAGTGCTTTTGAAACCAGGTTTTTTACCTCTTTTTGCAACTCTCAAGTATATATAATGTTTAAGCCATTTATTAGTGTTTTGGTTCCACGCCTCTAAACATGTGTGAACATTTTGACCTAATTCAAAAGCTATAGGATCAACATTTTGTACCCTATCCCATCTGAACTCTTTTGTCTTTGGATCGTATCCGTTGTACCCAATACCACATAAAATACATGCGCCTTCTGCTATGAGCCAGATGGCATAGTACTTCAATCTGTATAGAAAACCTAAGAGCCACATGTAGAAGATTCTGTAAACGAAACCGTGCTCATTGACAAATTGTTTGGAGAAAACAAACTCTGTACTGACCAACTTGGGAACTTCAAACAAAAGAAATGCCCAAAACAATCCTTGTAGCAACTTCCTCAATGCTTGCCTTCCACTCTTCGGTATCCTTCTTTTTCTCTTTCTACCTGGTCTTTTGTCTTCTGGAACATCATCAAACAAAGTAGAATGAATAAAGTGGTCGTAGTCCATGTAATCAAAAGCTGGCCCAGTTAAAAGCGAAGCATAAAAGAAAGCATAGCCAATAAAGGGTAACAAATTGGGATGCTCATAAATGGCTCTCGACTTATTGTAATCGCTCAACGTATCGCGAGGCTGTTTCCCATCGTGAACACTCCACCCAAAAGCAGACAACTTCATGACTAGTATCATTTGTGCACCAGAGATATCAATCACGGAGGGATCGTACTCAGCAAAGAATTGAAGATGGAAATGTGTGTAAGCCATGTGTATCATTAAAAACAAGAAATTGATCCAAGGCATTTTCGGTGTTCTCAAATATCTCGTAATGAAATACGATCCTAGGGAAGACAATACTAGTGTCCCCAATCCCCATCTCAAATCGCAAATGCCAAAGATGTAAAATGATGACACCAAAACATTGTAGATATTTTTGAAAAAGTATTGTTGATCTGGAATTCGCTTAAAAATTATGCCAAAGGGAAAAGAAAGCAATGTACATAATAGCACCTTCAAACTTGCAGGATCCAAGCCGACAGTATCCAGTAAGTCATTGATCCAGTTTTGGATGAAGGCAACCATGGCGTGGGCTTTGGGAAGTCGCTAATATTATCAATTCTTCTAGCTAATTAAATGGGAACATATGTCCACCAACAATTATTATTTTTTTTCTTTTTTTCCTTCCAATTGTTTTGCGATTTCCACAGTACTATGCAACACCTACAAAGTATCAATCTATAGCCCTACACGTACACATCATCAAAGTAATCAGACTTCTTACTCTTTAGCTTGTACAATTTGGTATCCTTCTTTGATAGCAGAACTGATTGCCTCGTTTGTATATGGGAACGTGTCCAACGCAAATGCAACATCGCTCCACTCTTTTTGGTTCCTGGCTTTTGATAACCTCACGAATAACTTCTCACATAACTGCTTTTGGTGACGCTCTTTATCAACAAATCCAATCAAAAATTTCAATATACGTTTGAACTCGGCATTGCTCAACGATTGATCAGACGATAGTCCACTGAATATATCAATAAAACCGTTGTAAATGGCGTTGTCTTTGGTCGCCAACTCAGCAAAGAATAAACGACACATGTCGCTAATTCCTTGATCGGGGTTCTCCAAACACTTTGCCATAGACGATAATTGACCCTTGACTTTCACTTGACCAGCTAAGATCAAAAACGTTACAGTCATTAAACACGTTCGCTGAACCATGATGTTCTCGTCTGTTAATCGACGATAGATGAAGTCGGTATTTTCATCGATTAATCGGTTGAAACTCACAGCAAGATCTCCCAAGCCCAATACACAATTACATCGAATGACTGGGTCTTTTGACATTTCCATTATTCGCAATAACAATGGCAAATTTTCTTCACAGTATATGGATGAAACACACATAAGTTTTATCAAGCACAACACCGCTTGACGTTGGAGCAAGGTGTTTTTGTATTGTTTGGGCGAAGAGCAAATCTTTCTCGCAAGTGACCCAAAGCTCTTCAATAATGAATTATCTGCATATAATAACTCTTTTTCCTTGACATGAATGACGGCATCTGCAAAATCGTCCTCTGAAGTACCACCAATCATTTCCAACTCGTTGTCTTCTGCACCATCATTCGCGTCTTCATTAGCTTTATTTTTCGATTCGGCTGCATGCTTCTTCTTCTTGAACTGAGCTTCGAGCTTCTCTAAAAATACTATGGTTGATATAGCAACATGTCCCACCATAAAAAGAAGTTGCGAAAGTGAATGACACTTCAGCTTCTCTCCCGAGAATGTACTAAATACCTCCTTTGACTTGGTTTGTATAATCTCTGAGCAAACAGAAACGGGGTCTGACGATATGCTAAAGATTGTGTTTATTGATTGTTCAGCTGTTGGAAACCATTCGTTATCGTTGCACACTTTCAAGAGCACATTTGTAATTCTTTCCATCGCCAACAGTTCATTGGCCAATTTCGGTGTGGTGGAATTTCTATCCACCGTGGACAAAATTCTTTGCAATGCAATACACGTGTATCGGCATAATACCAAATCTGAATGGCCCTTTTCTCCCAAACCTATGTTCAATATTAAGTCGAAACCTTGTTGGACGATTTTATTATCTTCAAGTGCTAGCATCCCCAAAATTTTGATTGCACCACGCCTCTTTTCCTTCAAGGTCTGACCTTCTTCGAGATCTGCATTGTATACATGCCACAACACCTTGACCACATCACTATTAATATACTTTGCCTCGTACATCATACAAAGTAGTTTTTCCAATGAAGCCAAGTCCGCAAGACTAGCTCCAACAGTTAGCTCTATGAGATTACCAGCAATATACGCCGCCTTCTCGGCATTGGAGCCTGCCGGAGCCGACATAAACAAGGATTTGTAACAATCAATGAGATGAGATGCTACCGACTTACCTTCGTCAGAAGAGCCTTTCATCCACACTAGATGCAACATCTTTCGGATTCCATGTTGAGCATTCTCAATGCCATAAGCGTCAACAAGTACTAAAAAATCCATCGCATCTATGGCCTCATTTCTGTTCCTTGAAAATAACAACCGTGACACAACATCAACACTAGAGTGAACCATTTCAATAAAATCTACGGCATCTTTGTAGAAATCAAACTGGAGCTTGACCCTCGCTAAAACAGTTTTATCTGGAAGATCCTGATCAACTGTGTACACATTGTTGCTATTGTCTGCATTGCTTTGAGTATCGCTGTTTTCACTACTTCTTTTTAATGACGTAGTGTTTCCAGTAGGCTCATTAATTTCTCCCGCCTCTGAATCAGCGTTTTCCGACAGTTCAACACCTTCTTCATCCTCAGAAGGGGATTCCTCCTCCATCGATGAAGTAGCACCATCCTCTTGCACTAATCCTTTCTTTAGAGAAGTTGGAACGTAACGCAATAATTCTCTTTCAGCCTCTTCAAGTTTCCCCTTCCAAAACGAAAAATTTAACTGGGTACCATGTACACCTTGAAATTGATGATTAATGATAAGCTTTCCAATCAACTTGATTGTGTTACGTCTCACCAAAGTACTTCTGTCATCCAATGACCGAACCGCAAGCTGCATCATTTTCTGTCTACGATCAGTGAGTTTGATTTTCAATTCGGCAACCTTTGTTAAAGCTTGGAACGCCTTGGTTCTAACAAATGGATTCTGGTCCAAAAACCGCTCTTCCAATAAATTGAGCAACCTGTCCACCTGCTGCTCGTTATGGACACTCATTTCGTCTTGATCCTCACCAGAGTTACCGAGTGATTTTAGTATACTCACAACGATGTTGCCACAAGTCTCCACTACCGAACATCGCAACGTTTGATTGGTATTCGCCAACAACTGGGAAATACTTGTCATTTGACGTAGAATCAGGACGGGATTCAATTCCGAAAGTTTCACCAAAAACTCAGCAATTGCTTTTGGTCCATTTGTATCATTCGAGTTAAAATTTGTTTGAGCAATTTCTCTCAAGACCTCTTCTGACAAAAGACTGTGGTCATACTTTTCAGTCAACATATTCAACAACATAGCGATATATTGTGGTAAATGAGCGTAATAAGTAAGAATCTGGGTTATTGAGTGTCGAATACAGGGTCCATGGGCATGCCTTGTCACTGCCAAGCATAGATCTTCAAAAATAACGATTCTCAACCCCACCACCTTCATCCTCTCCGGGCTCTCCATAAGATTCATTATCGGTCTCGAAAATAGTTCAATATAAGCATCTCGCTCGGGTTTTGTCACAAATATTTTATCCAAATCGAGATTCAACGCGGTTTTTACCACAACCAAAGTATTCTCAACCTCAGTGCAATTCGAATTCCACTTGGCAAGAAATTCCTTTGATAACGACTTTTGAGATCTGGTTGCACTCAACTGCAGAAAATCTTCCTTTGCAAATTGCTTCAATACCACAAATATCAAATACCCATATCTTTCCATGGTGGATTTCACCAGCTCCAATAATTCATGAAAATCATCTTCCTGCATCATACGTTCAAACTGTTGACACACAGCATTGAATGAGGAAACAATAAGATAAGACAACTGCTGCCGTTGCTTCGGATGCAATGTACGAAATCCATGAGTAAGCTCTACGCAATCATCAAACAAATCGGTATTGGTTGTAATAGATTCTGGATTATGCGCTAGTGATTCAATCAATGATTCTAATTTTGTATTGACATTGGAAAACTCAACCTCATAGTTTTTGTCTATATCGAAGTTGTTCACGTAGGACGATAGAGTGAAGTCCATGGCGGTGGTGAAAGCGATGCAAAGAAGGAAGGGCTTTTAAATTAGGATTACATTCTTAAAAAATGTAAACAAAAAAAAAAAAGAATCAACAGACGTGACTACACAAAACTTCTTTTTCGCCCTACACAAACTGTACACGTAAAAGTGTTGATTAATGGAATACACAATTTCTTTGTTTTAGACCACAATGGATTGTTCAATCCCTCAATTTAGAATATCCCTTGACTACCGCTTCCTGGGTCCCTCTCTTTTCATTTTCAATCGCACCCAACAAGTCTTTCAACACAATCGAGTTCCCGGCTCTAACTTCCCTATATCTCAATCCACTATCACCTCGAGCAGAAATTATGGGGCTCTGCTTCCCCTTATTGGAGCTAGAACCACCTTTACCATCAACGTCTGAGCCTACACCACCTCCATTGGCACTGGAATTCATCCAGCTGTACTTCTTTTTTCCAACAGTCATCATGGCTGCCGTGGCATTAGCAGCACGATGTAGAGTTTCATCAGCGCCCGCTTTGCTATCACCATTTTCGCCGTCATTCAGATCGTTGGCGCTCTTTTCAAGTCCCAATGCTATCCTTTTGCTCACTCTCTTCTCCTCTAGCTCTTTTTGTTTCACTGCTATATTGCGCAACTCTCGACTAACTGCTGACCTTTGAGATGAAGAAATGGTGCCATTCTTTTTGGAGGTTGTCAAGACTCCACCTCGTCTTCTGTGACGGGATATGGTGATGGCTTTGCTAGCTATTTGGGCAATCCATGTTTCACATGCACCTGACACAAGATTTAGCATATCTCCATCTTCAAGAAAGTTTTGATTGATTTGATGAGTTTTTGCTACTTTTCCAAGAAATGCCGCTAAATGATATGGATTTAAAAAAGGTGAGACTTTGGGGGCTCGCAGTAAAACATTCTTCTCATTTGTGGCTTCATTCTTACGCAACAGCTGCTGTTGTAACAACAACTCTTCTTCCTCATGTATATTAACACCCGCCGCTGCAATGGCATCATTGAGCTTTGACGAATCTTGCTGATCAAGCTTGCCTTTGTCAATACCGGAACCAGTATTTTTGATACCGTTGAAGCTATCACGTCCAGCAGTTATGACGTCTGTATTGGATGCACCAGATAAATTCTGGTTGTTGTTACTGTTATTCTTATCACCAACCATTTCTGGCACCATCAAGTCTGTGCCAAGTGGTGTATCGCTTGATTCGCTGGGTCTGGACTTTTTTAATTGATTAGTTGAATCAGATTGGTCTGGATAATAACGCTTCAACTCATTGGCGTCTCGAGGTTCCAGCATTGTATAAAATGGAATGGAAAGCAATCGCTTCTTGATATAGTGTTGGTGTGTGAGATCCAACGGAAATTACAAAAATAACATAGGTATTACAGCGCTACCGGCACAATTTGCACCACATGGTAGCGCGAACTTTGTTTATCTACTGATGATGATCATCTCAAATTAAAATTTCATCATCAACAATAGATTTTTCACACACTTGAACTACAATGAGTACCAACCACAACACTATAGCCTTTGAAGGCCATAGGAATTTCCGCTTGAGGTTAATATTGGCCACGTTAAGTGGGAAGCTGGTGAAAATTATCAAAATCCGATCCCATGATTTGAATCCTGGTTTAAAAGATTATGAAGTATCCTTCTTAAGACTACTTGAATCAGTCACTAATGGTTCGCATATAGAGATATCGTACACTGGTACAACAGTTATATACCGTCCCGGAATTGTTATAGGTGGTGAAGTCACTCACAATTGCCCTCATTCCAAACCTATGGGTTACTTTATTTTACCTATGTTGATGTTGGCACCATTTTCGAAAAAGAAATTTAGCATACTATTCAAAGGTGTCACGAATGCGAATGATGATACGGGAGTGGATGCAATAAAGTGGGGACTACTCCCAATCATGGAAAAGTTTGGTGTTCGTGATTGTTTATTGCATATCTTGAAGAGAGGTTCTCTCCCTGATGGAGGTGGCGAGGTACATTTGATTTGTAATTCCTTGATACCGACACCCTTGACTATACATGCAATTGACTTGCCAAAATTTTCGGTGATTCGTGGTGTAGCGTACTGCACTCGAGTGAGTCCATCTATTGCAAATCGTATGATAGATGCTGCAAGGGCAACGTTGAAGCCAAGTGGTTGTGAAGTCAATATAACCGCTGACGTTTGGAGGGGTGAAAATTCAGGAAAATCACCCGGATTTGGTATTACACTTGTTGCCGAATCGAAAAAGGGTTGGCGAATAGTTGTGGAAAATGTTGGTCAAGCAAAAACACTACCAGAAGATTTGGGTGAATTGACTGCTTTGCAATTGATGACAGAAATAACACAAAGTGGCACAATTGGTAGGTATCAGCTAATTATGAGCCTTGTCTTCATGACAATTGGTAAAGAGGATATTGGTCGCATAAAAATACACAAATCCGGAATTGACGAAAATTTGATTTATGCTCTACGAGACATAAAGAACATTTTTGGATCAGAAGCTTTCTTTACTGAAGACGAAGAGGAACCCAATTTTATGATATTGTCAATAAAGGGTAGTGGATTTACAAACATCTCGAAAAAGGTTGCATGATTCTAACCATCAATATATACGATACGTTACCAAAATGAACACCAACCGATATAATGTTGGCATAAATTTTCCACGCTTGTAGCCTGCTGAATTAACTTATCAACCTGAGTTGGCACGTCCAAGCCTTTGAGCCTTTTGATGTCATTACCTGTAAGCTTATCTGTAATTCTTTTCAAAACCAACCCTGCTCTAGCATTTCTGATTTCCAACTCGTTTTGTTTTTGGAGTCTCACTGCCTCGTTTTCGTCAATCTGTCCTGCTCTTAACAATTCACCTATATTAATTTGTGGAACCTTGATTCCTGTGGTCTCAGCCAAAACTCTCGTTGGAAAGTCGAAACCCCAATTAATCAACGGATCATAAGCAAACGCTTCCAAAATGGCCATCAAAGATTCTTTATTGTCTCTCAATACTCTCATCACATGCTCACACGTAATTCTGAATGACCCTTCTATTCCACTCACTTCCATAGCATAATTCAACATACGCGTCAACCTGAATGGCACCTTTTCCGGATATTTTTCTCGCAAAATGGCGGCTTCAAAACAGTCCCCAAAATCAATATGAATAACTTTTCCAGTGATTCTATCGAGCATCAAATTTGAGGGATGCCTATCACCAAGACCCAAAATGTACCCTACCATGGACATAACCGCTAAGGATCTTGTGTAAGTAGTTCTTCTGTCTAACCAAGCTTCCGAAGACTTGGATTTTAACCACAAAACCTTGTACAAATCCTGGCCTCTTGTGTTATCTAACGCACTTGCAAAAACTTCCACTTTTTGCAATAAAGTCAAAATGTCATAATCAGGAGCCATTTGCAACAACAAACGATGCTCAATATTCAACATAATATTTCGAGACTCTCTATAACCTTTGATAAGCATGTGGAAGGTGTCACTATTGGGGACCCATCCAAGTAAACCAACCTTGGGCGAAAGAGGTATTGCTGGGTACCGTTGGATGTCCAAGTGCCTCTTGAAACACTCTGGGTCGTTTACAAGCAATGTATTGACCAAACCAAACAATTGCATGACTAGGTTATCTTGTCGAATATCTTCGTGACCTTTCAAAAGGTATTGATAATCTTTCCCGTTGCTTCCTCTGCAAGAAAGCTTCCTTGGCCTCTGTTTAGATGAAATAACCGAAATTGTTGGATCAAACTTCATAATCCGAATTACCGGCTTTCCCGCTTGATAAGTACCAGGAACGACTAATTCCAAATCGCGAGCCTTATCCAACAACGGCGACACAAACTGCAATTCAAGAGTTACCAATTGAGGCAACTGCCTAGTAATTCTTCGAAACACATTGTAATATATGTCCCAAGCTTGGTTCAAATTGGTCATGTCCTTAGTTCTTCTAAAGTTCAATACCCACTCAAAAGCATCTGCTAACTCCCTTCCAAATGCATTAGCAAAAGCTTGCTCCCTCATAGTCTCGGGTCCCTTTTGCAACATGTGATGTAATGGTTCCAAAACCTCATACATCTTCGACGTGTTGCGCTCACCAAAGAATAATCTTGAGGCATCTTCCAAACCTTCATACCACTGTTCGTGCCACAAAACGGCAACCCTGATTAGCTCTGTACTAACGAGCTCAGCCTGATCTACCAAACTGGCCGAGTGAAATCTCATTTTCTCAATTATCGATTGAGCGGCTTTCTTTCGGCTCGCGGATTCCGACGTTATCGCCACAGTCAAAGGATAAACCAATGCCTGTGGATGTGCTTTACCTAGGTCACTCAAGAGTCCAAATAATGACCTACTCACGACTTCATTGGGTTGGTGAATCCGAGATATAAGCTGCGGCACTACTTCCAACCAGTTGTCAATTTTCACCATATTAAACCCTTCAGTCATTGCTTGAGCTGCCTCGGGAATTCCACCAAACTTAAACCACAAAGTGAGTAAACGAAGCATATCCTGAAGCGAATTTGAATTGGATAGCGCTATTGAGTGAAAAAAACCTTTGATAGAAGGAATAACGTGCCTTTGAACTGCCTCCATTGGAATTTCAAGGTTGGCTGTCAGATTATTCTGTTGAGGCTGGCCCGTTTTGGATGGTCTTCGCTGTAGGGCACCCTCGACATTTCCTCGTTCATCCAAAGTATCTATTTTATTGCTTGTTTCCTTCTGACTTGTATACAATGAAATGACTTCAAAATTTGCCAATGCCCAGTTGTGCCAAGCTTTGTACCACTTACTGTCAAAGTGTGTCGCCAACAAATAGGCACCAAGAATTATTTCTGAAGTTTCTGATCGCCAGTTGTTGTTTAAAGCTATTTGCCATTCACCTTGTTTCAAAAAACACCTAGCCAAAAGTCGAGTATATTCTTCGACATGTTTTGGAACACCAGGCCCTTCTGTCGGCAATGGCTGAGTTATCAAATCGTTTGGATTAAGGCCAAGATCTTGGGACATTCTGGTGGTGAAATCAACCAAATGACGCAACGCCTCAGGCCTTTGCCCTTTTGCCCACATATATTTTAGCTGGGCATACACAACCTGTGGTGGTGCACGTGAAGGATTATCAGGGGTCCCTTCCTCAAGTAGCAAGTTCAATGATTTTTCTGCCAAATTTAGCCTACCCGATTTTCTACAAAGGTTGGCAAACTTGATCCACATGTCCATGTCCTGCTTTGGCTTGATAACTAAAGCTCTCACTTTCAACATACGTTGCCAGATATCAACGTTTCTTTGACAACCAAGTAACCTCGTGTTCCATGTCTTGCGCATCACTGTTCGTTTTTCGGATCCTTGAGGCAAACACTTGTATTTTATAATTTCCTCCAACTCTGCTAGCATTTGGACTCTCACTACCACACCATATGCACTACTGTAGCTCTCACTAACAAGGGCAGTAATTTCCGTTACCAAAAGATCTCGTGCTTTCAGGATATGCTCAGAAGCGTCTTCAAAATTATTTCTATGCAAGCTCAAGATCGCATTAAAAAAGGCCTTATCGGGCGATGCAGCCTTCATGACTTTGATGCAGGAATCCATTCTATCCCATTGACCCAATCCCCACGCGGCAGCTGCGGCTAAAGGTGCCACATTTCGTTTTATGTCACTGGATGAGGTGTCCCACTTGGCACGAGCTAGCTCTGATAATTGTTCCCATTCTCCCAAAGCATGAAAGCATCTCATCTTACCCATGGTAATCTCCATATTGTCAGGCTCAGCTTTTTCCCTTTCATTGTACGCTTTCAATGCGTCATCCCAACGATGAAGTTTTTCATACCACGTCTCTTTAAGCTGAAGATCGTGATGCAATTGCGCATGCTTCAAAATACCAATGGCGGCATCCGATTGTTGAAGTTGATTGTTGATGCTTATTAATGATTCTATAGTAGGTGTTGTCGGCTCTTCGTAGAACTCCAACTCCTTGTAATGTAAAGCCTTAGCAAATGCATGACTTCGTTGCGCATATTGCCCCAACGTGGAAATGGCAATAGGAAGAGACTTATCATCATGTTCCATGAACTCTGCCAAATTGAGTAATATTTGATGAATTTCTGGTGGGTTCGTAGGAGAGGAAAGAGCAATACAAAACGATTGCACAAGCTCTTCTTTGTGTTGCGAGTATAGCTCACTCCAGCAACTGGCAAAACTAGCGTTAAACAAGTCTTTTGCTAAAGGGTAATAATCAGCAGCAAGTCCAGCACAGGCTCTAATTGCATGAGAAGGACTTTGCAAAAGCAATTCTTTACTCAACCGACCAATCCACTCCTGCCAGTCCTCCTTAGTTCTTCTTTGGCTTGCATCCCAAGCTGCTTTCAAAACTGCTTGATTGACGGGAAGTTTCTTCAGTGGCATTTCCGAATCGCCTGCATCAAATCCGCCACGATCGTAGTCTTTGTACAGGTCTAGGTGTAGAGGCAACGGGTCGCCATTTAGCAATTTACCAACAAGTTGCTCAAATTTGAGAGCTTGAATCTTATTTTGCATCAACGTTTTTTGGATGATTGGTACAAAGACTGTAAACTCCGTTCCCAACTGAAGAAGCATGTGATTGAGTGTGGTTATACAAGGCTCTCTCAATTCTTCAGGACCCAGGTTCAATAATCTCAAAATCGGGTGAATTATTCTTGAAGACATATCATTCAATATAACGTTTCTCGACAATTTTCCAATAGTATCTATTGCTGCCTTCCGTAACTCCAAAGGCCCTACTTCAAACATCTTTACAATTGTGGGAACAATAATATCAACATAATCCTCAATATTCTGCCCAAAGATGACAAAGCTCTTCAACACATGTAATGACGATACCCTTTTGGCAGATTTGTCATCCTCAAAAACACCAAGGAGTAAAGTAAGCACATCGGATAAGTAAATTTTGAATTCTCCTTCCAAGGCTCTTGATATTGATTGAATGACATTAATAATGGTCACTTGCAAATTCAATTGCGCATTAATGTAAAAAAATTCTTTGATTGCTTTGAAAATCTCATCCAAAAAAGGTCGTATATGCTGTTTCACGATTAGGATAATATCCCCCAATTGTTGAAAATAAAACTTGAGCATTGATTGTTGACATGTGCGCATCCCATTAATAATCCCTGGAATGATTTGCGGCAAGAATGTAACGCATCGAAGACCCAAAGTTTGAAAAATGTACATAATGGATTGGATGACCTTTGTATGATGTACACTCAAAGAAGGATCTTTCAAGATTTTCATCAAGTTTGTGATCGCCACAGTTGGATAGTATTCTTCATTGGATGGCGACATTCCCTGCATTAGTAATGCAACATCGACAGGTGGTGCATTTTGTTCAGCTGGAATACTTTTTGAGCTTTGTTCCACTTCCCTATGCTTGTATGGATCCAAAGCCCCTAGTATACCCAAAAGCCTTACCGTCTCTCTTCGAATTTGAATGGAGTTATCAGACTTCAAAATAGACACCAACATACCTAAAAGTTGAGGGTAGTCGAGTAGTGGCTGAATAACGTATCCAGACGAAGAGGACAACTGTCCCAAAGTTTTCAATGCCACGTCCCTTTTGTAGGATGAGCTCTGATCTTGAAATGTTTCGAGGATCAATGGCATCAAATTCGGAATAAATGGTTTCAAATCTTCTCCACCGACAACAGCGAGATCCCCAAGACATTTGATGGCGCTCGATGCCACTGATGAGCTGGCGTCTTTGGCTCCGGGTAATAAGGCCTCAACTATAGGTTTGACGTATGGCCGAGTGAGCTCTTTCGAACTGCTAATAAGTGTCGACAACAACATTGCAGTTTCTTCCTTTTTTCGGCTAGTTGTTGAATACTCAAGCTTCGATAAAAGTTGAATCAATGTTTTCCTCAAAAAGGGGGCAATATAAGCAGGGTTAATGGAGGACAATTTCCCCAAAATCTTCATTGCAATCTTTCTCACCTCAAAAATCTCATCATTTAAGGCAATGAAAAGTAATCTGACATTATCAGCTTGAGATAACTGGGGACCGAAATTGCTTGCATTTGCTAAAGCGTCAAGACCAGCAACTCTGATTTCGAGCACAGGATCGGTAATGGATATAGCTAATAGTTTTCCCAAAACCTCGTTCACAGCATTCAATGCATTGATGCTCACTTGCTGACAGATAGGATCTTTCACAAAAATTTCGCAAGATGTACGAGTTGCAGTGAGCCTCACCCGAGGACTCTCACTTTCAAGATACGTAATGGTACAAAAGCGTACGAATTCATTCAAATGGTAGTTTTCAAACTCAAATGCTGCCAACATTTCCAAAGCCTGTACTATAATGGCGTTGTCCAATTTTTCATACCGCTTTGGATCGGACTTGATACTATTGATGCTCATGCCAGTATCTCTCGAAATCATTATGAGACGACAGTTCTTAGCCAAATTTTGCTTAACCTTGATAGTACCGTAAGGAGAGCCGGGGGGTTGAAATCCTTTACCGGATAAAACCAAGCTTAACAAATTCAATAGCTTTTCATTGATTAAATTTGTCAATGTCGGTATATTAGTAATCAACGTTTGCAAAACTTCCTGCATGTGCTTGGAAAGTGAGCAGTTTGCAAACATCATATCCAAAATGTCTCTTTGCAAATGCTTAGTTAGAGCTGGACCAACTGCTATAGATAATTTTCCTATGCAATCGAAAATGGCCGGCTCGGTTTCTTTCCTGCTTGCAGTGTACTTTGAACCTGATGACAAAGAAGCAATGTTTGCCGAGATTACATTAATATTTTCATTTTGCGCAGTCGCATTCGCCAAGATCAGTTGAACACCAGAGCTAGACGTATATGCCAACCCTTCTCTGATGTTGTCTAGAATTGCGTCTAAATAAGTTGCTGTTTGATTTCCAACCTGTAATGATATCAAGCCAATGCTGCGGAATATGGCACTTTTGTCGGAATTTGCAACCTCACTATGTTGATTCTTGTAGTTTTTCAACTGCGATAAATAGTAGTAGAAAGTTCGATGAAGATACTTTTCAACAAAAAGCTCGGTATTCACTTTGCATAATGAAGGGATGACATTGGCCAATTCTTGCCTCACTACAGGCAGTTTGTGATGCTTGTATAACATAGTATTCTCGTACATCACCTCAAAACGTGAAACAATGAATGGATCATTATAATAATGCAACAATTCTCTGTACACAAGTAAAGATCCATGTACATTTTCAGTTGATTGCGAATTGGTGTGGATTAAATTATATGAGCTCAGATTGTCTCCTCCTTTGTGGCCACCGCTATTCTGACCTAATATATCCGATGCGAGGTCAATTAGTTTCCTGATCCAGTACAGCCGAGCAGTAGGATCTCTATGGTAGAGTATCAGCATACAATTTTGCAACGCCACTGCTGCATCCAATCTGACGATAAGCTTGTAGTCCCGTAACGGAGACCACAAATTTTCAAAAATCTGACTTGTCAATGGGTAGAGCAATGTAGGCGCATAGTCAGCCAATGCCGTGATGATCAAAATTGCAGCGTGCCTTCGGTTCTCATGTTGCCTACTATCACTCTGGAGCCACTCAATGGCTCTCTTTGCCTCGTAGTCAACAAAGTCACCAGTCAAATTTCCACCTAGCGTAGCTAGCCTCCCTAAAGTTTTTGTTGCTTGTCTCATGATTACCAAGTCGTTGGATAATATCAATGACCCGAGATAGTTTGAAAATCTGGCTGTTTTGCTAGCATTTTCCTTTCCAACGCCCGAGTCAAATTCAATTAATGTGTTGAGAGCAGCTATTCCACCCAACACTTCTGACGTCTTATCTCTGTGCAAAAGATCAAAGATTGTTTTGTTGATATCATTGTTGTATCTGTTGAATTGTTCAGTTGTCAAATCTCTAGCTATCGATGATAAGTAACTGAATAATTCCTGCGCAAACCGTTGTCTCTCTTCTTCAGAGTTCGAAGTTAGTCCATGAAATATCTCCGTTAATGCCAAGCCATCTACGACTTGCGGGTGCACAGTTGATGTAGTTGACATCTCGGGTAGCTGGTTATGTTTAGAGGGAATCTTTTCTTTTCTAATTTTGGTTTTTCTCGAACCTTTCTGGTGGTACAGAAAAATGCACAGAGACCACTACAACGAAAATTTCCAGTCCGCCCGCCACAAAGCATATACAAAGTTCAACCTTTGTTTTATTGACTTACAGCTGCGTCTGATTAAACTATTCTCCACTTCTATTCCATCGTTTACTAAAATTGCTACTTTAAGGCACAGAGAATAAAGAGAAATTCCTTACAATGCTTGGTCCATATTCGTCATAATCGCTCTTGGTGTAGCAAAAGCTTTTGAATTCGGATGTTTGTGCCAACAAGCTTCCTCCAAACCAAACAGCGTTTCTTTGCTTTTTGTGGGAAATGACTTGAACGTCTACTCCACTGCTTTGTACACCGCTCAATTCTTCACTTAATCCGACCCTTTCCTTGACAATTGCTTTCAAATCTCTTTGCAACCTTTTACCAAAATCTTTAAACATCGTAGATCCACCGGACAAAACAATGTTTTTGTACAATTTCTTTCTCACATCAATTGGTGATGCTTGTATCACTTGATCAACCACAATTGGTAATGGGGTAAGAAAGTCAGATGAACAAATTTCCGGATTGAAAAAAATCTCTGGTGCTAAGAACCGTTCATAACCTACATCAACTGTCTTATTTTTATTTCTATCAGTGTACTCAACAATGTATTGAGCAAACTTTTCTTGTGGATACTGGTCAAACTTGGCAAATTCTTGAACGATATCAGGGCAAACATAACAAAATTGTTGTTTGATTCTTTCCGCAGTCTGCAAACTGGTATCAGCTTCACCCCTGTCTCTCAACAATTGTTGAATAAACAATGTAATATCTCTACCAGCCAATGGAATGTTTTTAATGGCAGCACCAATCACATACCCTTCGGCGACTGGAATAACATGAGTAACACCATCACCAGAATCAATAACTGTTCCGCTCAATGATCTGTCCTGTACTTTTGGGGACGTCCATGAAGCTGCTAATGCTAGGACAGCTTGCACGGCGATATATAATCCCGCACAATTGAAACTTTCAAACATAATTTCCGCAGTGCTTTCTCTATTCTCAGGAGGATTTAATGGTGGCTCGGTTAACAAAAAGTAGTGATCTTCAGGCTCACATCTCAAGTATTTGAATATTGAGCTTTCCCAAAACCTTTCCATTTGATCCCAATCTTCGATCTGGCCATGTCTGATTGGATAGTGCAATCCATATTGTGGTCCACTGGCAGCTTCAATTGCTTCGTCGCCAATATAAAAATCTAGATCTTCCAATCCTCTTTTCGATGACAAATTCGAGGAGCGAGCTGTGCTTTTATTGGCCTTAGAGGAAGCTGAGGATGTGGCAATCGCAGTTGGAAAGACAAACGATGGAGAATCATTACCTGCGAACCCTAACTTGGTCAACCCTGTACCATTGTCCATCACAACTGCTGGTGTTCCTAAACTCATTGCTTCAAGATTTAATGTATATGCTAGGAGTAAAAGGTGATGTCTTTAAGGACGATTTAATTGCTATCTGAGTTTCCAAAGCTTGTAGTGAGAGAACAATTGGCTTGTAATTTTTTCGTTGAATCTACAACCGAACGGTTTCAAAGTACATTTTCAATTTTTAGTCACCATTCGCACTACCAACTTAGTCGGTCTACAGAAAACATATGCCATTAAAAAGTGACAAGTCTCATTCTTTGTATCTATATCAGTATTACTCCTTCAGTATTCATCTGTTCCACTAATAATCACATCATTAATCTTCAAAATCATTCTAGTTAATTGAGTGGCTAACAATAATTGTTGTTTTTTTCCAATTAATGGATCAATCACAAACAATTCCTTCATATCATTGGTGCCATTACCTAGACAATCAACTCCCAAACGTGAGTTATTTTCATTCACTTGTTTCGCCTTTAGGTAACTCAAAGTCTCGATTGGGTCTAACCCAGAATTTTCAGCTAATGTCAAGGGGATGGTATCCAATGCAGCTGCAAATGCCCTAAATGCATACTGGTCGATTCCCTTTTGTTTGTCAGCCGCTTCAGATACTGCTAAAGAGCAAGTAATTTCTGCTGCACCTCCTCCATAAACAACACTATTCTCCCTGATCAAATTACGTACAACGCATAAGGAATCGTGTAAAGCTCTGACTCCCTCAGATATGATCATTTCGTTAGATCCTCTGATAAAACAAGTAACTGCTTTGGTATTGGAGCATTCTTCTATTACCAACATGTGGTCTTTGGTGGTTCCAAATTCTAATTCTTTGATAACACCAGCTTTACCCAACTTGTCGGCAGTCAAGTCTTCGAATCGGGGAACAATACGACCGTTGGTGGCAATTGCCAAAAGTTCCAATTCTGACCCTCCAATCCATCTGATTGCATTCAATCCATTGGCTAACAATAGGTGGTTTGCTTCATCATCAAAACCCCATTGACAGGCAACAACATTTGCTCCAGATGCTTTTACCAGATCAATCATTTCCTGAAACTTTTTTTGTTCGTATTCTTGTAGTACCTTGAATTCTTCAACGGTGGAAATGTCCAATTTGTGCTTCGTCTTTGGCTTTGGGGGTTCAAATGGACAGGTTAAAATTGCTATTTTGCAATCTCTTACCACCTTTGGCATCTGCGGATGACTAAAATCCTTGTCCAACAAAACACCTTTGATCAATCTGGAGTCTTCCACGGAACCACCGACTTTCTTTTCGACTTTGATCAATTCGAAATCAACGTCTCTTCTGTCGATATCGGCAACAGCAAGTACGGCATCCACTGCCATGTGAGCGAAATGGTCATGTGCTTTGGAAACAATTTTTGAGCCAAGAGATGTTTTTGCTGCCTTCAAAAGATTCGACTTGTTGTCAATGGTGACTTCATCCGCAACGTTGTTCAATTGCTCAACTGCAATCTTACAAGCCTCATCAAATCCATTAGCAATCTTGATTGGGTGTATTCCCTTTTCAATCAATTCCAACGCTTGATCTAATAGAGCACTTGCTAATACAACAACACCTGTGGTACCATCACCAATCTCATCATCTTGAGACCTGGACAACTCAACCAAAAGTTTAGCAATTTGATTATCCAAATCCATCTGGGAGAGAATAGTTGCACCATCATTGGTTATAGTGATATCGCCATCTTGACTTATCAAAATCTTATCAAGTCCCCTGGGTCCCAAAGAGCTTTTGACAATCTTTGCAACTGATCTGGCAGCTAGAATATGCGATTTAGTTGCTTCAATGCCATGTTTCCTCTGTTTCTTTCCCTGATCTCTAACGATAATGAACGGTCTACCCATTTCATCTTGGGCGACGATTGCATTCGATAAATCAGGCATACCCTGGGGTGCTGCTGCCATTGTCGTTTGTATATGATAAAGAAGTTGTTGTATAAAAGTGTATCCTAGATTTGAATTTTTTTTTTCTACGTCAAGTTTCTTTCACCTTCTTTAGAACATGAGACGTGAAAGTGCATGGAGGTCGACAAATGTCTACAACAGAGATGAAATAGTATCTATTTTAGCAATGTAATCAGCATAACAAGATTCCGTGAACCCTATTACATTGGGAGATAGTCGGCAATGCCCAGCTCTGCTCCCGCGTTGTATAATATGGATAGGAAGAACAATGGAAACAATAAATTTAACAGTTCGGAAAGTATATACGTGCTGCTCGTGCTTTGGCTCCCCCTTTCATTTACTCTCATATCATCTAGTCCTTACTACGCAAAGTGGCCATCTTCACTTCTTCACATCATCACATCACCGTTTTTCTCATCTCGAAATTTTCTCACCAAAATAAGAAAAAAAAAAAACTGAGTAGATACAGTTTACATCATCTCAAAACAGCCTCCATTTGAATATGTCAGTGGTAGGATCTTTGATCTTTTGCACTTATTGTGGTGACTTGCTCGACTCACACAGTTCTACGTCAGATATTAAATGCACAATGTGTCTGGCAACTTATCCTAAATCCGAATTCGCCAACCTAAAAGTGGTTACAAAAAGCTCAGACGATGCGTTCCCTTCCAAGTTGAAACTGGCCAGATCAGTAGTGAAGACGAGTTTGAGTAAAGATGAATTGGATGAAGGTGCAACTATAAAGGAAAAATGCCCCAAGTGTGGGAACGAAGAAATGCAATACCATACCTTACAACTTCGATCGGCAGATGAAGGTGCAACAGTATTTTACACATGTCCAAGTTGCGGTTACAGATTCAGGACAAACAATTAATCATTATGTATTTTTATAGACTGGGGAATAAACGGGGAATTTTCTTTCAAATATCTAATTAACAGTTGCGTATTCCAACTCGTTGGAGTTTTCATATTCGTACATATCCAAAGCGACAATTGCTGAATCACGCACCACTTGTTCTTGATCGTTGAGGAATGATCTCAACACAGGTAAACATTCGTCAGTAGCAATACTACCCAAAGCTTCAGCAGCTTCGTGTCTGACCATGCCAGCTTCAGTTTCGTCTTTCAACACTTTGATCAACGAGGGAACGGTGACAGGATTACACAATTGACCAAAGACATAAGCAATCTCATGTTTGAACAACGCGCTTGTATCCTCAAAACCGGACGCCAAAGCTAGACAAGCTTCATCGGTACCGATGTCTCTCAACCTGAACATAGCTCTATATCTCTCAAACAATGGTTTTTCTTGGTCGTTCAAAATATCTTGTAGTTTCGAAACAGCGGATGTGTTGGAGTCTGTGGCCAATGGAGGAGCAGGGTCTATTGATTCATACAACGACTTTTCCAATTTCTCATTCTTGGCCTGTTCTGAGTTTTCCCACTTAATTCTTTCAATGGCAAGTTCACAAGTTTGCTTGATTTCCAAGGAAGGGTCATTTTTATAATAGTCTTCCAATAAGGCCAAGGAATCAACGTCACCTAAAGCTCCCAAAGCCTCAGCAGCTTCATGTCTGACCATAACTTGTTGGTTTTCGTCAGTCAAGGCATCTCTCAAAAATGGAGCGGCATACAAGTCCTTGGTTTGACCCAAAACGTAAGCCACTTCGTGTTTCAACAACTCCGAGTCATCCTTGAAAGCTTCTGCAATGTATTTTATTGCCTTATGAGCGGCCTCTTTATCATCGCCATCTGATCCTATCGATTTTAAGTTGAATAAAGCTCTAAATCTATCAGCTAAAGCGATGTCATTGGTTTTATTTATAAGTACATCGCGCAACTCTTCTAAAGTAGCATTTTTGATTTGAACCTCTTCTGACATTGTAATGGGAAATTCTTCAAGTTGAATGGATATTGTATGTGAAATGTGTCGTAGAAAGATGAGCTGGCGTGTCTAGATCTTTCAGATTACGAAAAAAAAATAAAATAGAAGAAAAAAAAAAATTTTATCACCAGAGCACTAAAGAAAAATTACCACTTTGTGTAACTTCATTTTGCGATGTAAAATTTTCAAATTTTGACAGACAATAACCAGTGCTAAATTCGCACCTGCAAGGTCAAAAGGGCACCATAGTATTTGTAGTTGCAAGAACACATACAACGATAACAGCAAACAAGTTCCCGTATTCTGCATTGCGCCCTTTTGGTGCATTTGTTTAAAAAATAAATCATTACATATTAATTATCGACGAAATCTATCTCTACGTCATGGCATTCTTTTATGAGCACACGGGATCAGTCAATCCAACAGTCCAGTTGTACGATCCCAAAACTAAAACCATTAGGGCATAGCCTACCATAACTGATACTATTCCATATCTATAACTGTGGAAAGTTTTCAATGCAAACAACTCCGCCATGAAAGTACTCACTGTGGTTAATGCACCACAGAACCCGTCATCTAAACCAATCAACACATGGCATCCCATTATATGTGAGTTGATTCTTCTTCCCAGTGGTAACTTACCTCTCCCCAAGAGTGTGAATATGGCAAGAAGTAGCGTACCAAGCATGTTTGCTGCAAATGTTCCCATGGGGAAATTTTTAATTTTCGTATTGAGATACTTCGACATGTAAAATCGTAGTACGGCACCAAATGGAGCAAATAACATGGAAAATGTCCAACTTCTCCATGCACCATGGCTCTTGAACCCAATTAAGAAGCAAGTAATGATAATTAAAGACACCCCAAGAGCCATAGACAAAATTTCTAAAAAGAGGTAAACTTTCTCGGTCATTGATGAGACGTACTTGTCACAAACTTGCAGCAAGTGTTTTCCAATATGAAACCCCATCATTGATAGTCCCAATTGCGTCAATATGACGGCTAAGAATTCCATTATCCCGTATGCTCTATTTGGGTATTGAAAATGTTTACCAATAGATGTGTCGGCCGATTTGTTAAATGCATCCAATAAAACTGTAGAGAATGATGATACCGTACCACAAAAACCCGTGGTGATGCTGGTATACAAAGGTATAGCACTCTTGGAAGGGTAAGTCTTGTTTTCCAACAATGTCATCCATAACTCTTCGCCGTCAACTGCCAATCCCATAACAACGCAAGCAGTGAAATTTGCCCAAACAACACCAGATAGAAACGATCCATTATATGTGGTCAATTGTATTAGTCCTTTTCGGACCAAGACTCCCCATATTGCTCCATGTGTAAGGTTTAAGATAATGGGCAAGTATTTTCGAGACTTGGTTACAATTACGGGTACTGCCTTCTCCGTAAATCCCTCTGCTTTTAATCCCTCTGGAAGTGCATCTCCAATAGATTCTGCTTCTATCGTCGCAAGTTCGCTTTCCATAGTACGTCGTCTTTGAAGACGAGCTTCTTCATAACTTTGTCGCCTGGGCATACTGGAGCGAGACGCCTCGTAGGATTGTCTCTGAGAAATGCTAGAATGTGATTCCATGTTGATTAAAGAGCATGAACGATGGTTGATGTAGGGGTAAAGTAATTGTTGAAGTATGGTTTATTTACTGAAATTTTTTTTGGGACCTTTTTTTTTTAGGTGAGCCGTTTTGTGTGAGCGAGACTCATTTGTCTCACAAATGGCTTCTTGATGGGATTTGAGACGGAAATAAGCGGTGCTAGTTGATGCTTGCTCTCGGTGGCAACACCAAGAGGACCGGACGAATGGTGAAGACTGGCGGAACCTTATGAAGTGCCCCGGAGCTGCCTGTGAAAAGAGGTATTCAAAGATTATAACACATTAAACATAAATGGTGAAACATGAAAATAATTAAACCTATATCAAATACTTTGGAAGAATAAAGAGGAAAACAAAATCAATTTCAAACCACAACGATGAGACAGCTAACCCAGCCAAACCAGTATCCTCCTCTCATAACTAAAAGCTCATGGACATTGTCGCTTTATCTATTCTTTTTTGCGCCTTTTGTTTCAGTTTTGCCGTCATTGAATCCTTCCCCTCTAAATCCTGTAGGGAGAGAATCACCCATTTCCCTTGCTTCCTCTGAACTGACTTTCCTTTCCATATTGCGTCGTTCCTCAATGTGCTCCTCTTCAACGCTTTGCTTTCTATGCTTATTCGAAGAAGAGTCCATTGCGTTGTCTACCAAAATTTAGGAAGAAGAAAGTGATGGCTAGAATGCGTAATTCATGCGAGAGCATTTTACATTTAAATAATGACAGATTTGTAAGCCCCCCCCCCCCTCCTTTCTCTATCCTGATATAGTGGACTCTATGTAAGGAATCAACTACAAGTCTATAAACTACTATCTCTCTGCCCTTCTAACAATTCCTTGACTTCGGGTTTTTCAATTTCAACTGCGTAATTAGGTCTTGGTTTCTCGTATCCCTCAACAGTTCTACCATAAGTAATACCTCCCAATCTACTGACTGGTTTCAACTTGGAAACATCCAATTGCGTCTTTTCTTCATTAATGACGTCCTCTCTTACATGGAAAGTCAATCCTTCAGCAATAACCAACACCCCAGTATCTCTGGTTGGATCAGTTTTGGATTTCCAAACGTGATGAGCAACAAGCTTGGCTTCAATCGAAAATGCTGACTCGGCAACATGTGGTGGTTTAACCAATTTGGACTCAACTGGAGTCAACCCGGACAATTTCCATTCGTCAACTCCCGGTGGACTATTGATAGCACAATAATTAGCAGCTTCCACAAACCATTCGCTGATAATGTTGATGGTGAATTCACCAGTCTCCAAAATGTTGTTGCAACTGTCTTTCTTGTTATCACCAACAGCAGCAAAACCTAAAGTAAAAATTGGAGGGTCATGATTGGCCATGTTAAAGTATGAAAATGGGGCAAGATTACGTTTTCCATTTTTAGATATGGAGGAAACAAATCCGATTGGTCTAGGCGTAATGGCACTGATCAAAGTCTTGTAGTTGTTGACAGCTGGTCTCCCTTCTTCGTATGGGTTCAATTCAACCTTTTTGTGCTTTTTCCACTCGTCATTATTGGCACCTGTTCCAACTTTCCAGTGAATGTCAGGTACTTGTGTAAATGTCCAAGATTTTTCAGCATCAAAAGGAGGTCTTGAAGCCTCAAGTTGGGTAAATTCTGGATGACGCGCCATGGTTCTTGTTTGGGTACAATGAGTTGATCTAAGAGGTAGCTTGGGGGGATGTGTGTGTAAGCGGAATGTTGTAAATCTCATATACTGTCTTCCTAAAATTCAAGAAGAGGAGTATTGAAGTTGTGATTACTAATGGAGTAATACGTGTTTTAAACTATTATTTATACTGTGACTGTGTCTAATTGATTCACATCGTTGTCGTTTCATTAATAATATTAAAATCCCGAACTGTCTTTCATTTTTCATTGTCGGAATTGTTGCTATATCGTTAATACCACAAAAGTGTAGTTTTGACGGAATTATTTAAAATCCAGAAAAAGGAACAAGGATAACCCGTGTTTCTTTATAACCGAATGGGTGGTGAAAAATGGAGAAGGATTTTAAGCTTCACCACTTTAGAGATGCAAAAACAACTTTATTTCATCAGAGGGGAGAAGACAATGACGTTACCTGTCTTTATCGATCCACCCCCTCTTCCCCACACATACACACACACATACACACACACACACGCACGCACACATTTGTTTACATAAAGGGCCAATTACGGCACTACAAATCCCCATTATTTTGCATGAAACCTTTTAGTTGTTGCATCAGTTCCATTCGTCTCGGTTTTCCCCTTTTTCTGTCTTTATTTTGAGTAATCGCCACAAGTTTCTTTCCTCAGGCTGAAATTAACTGCTTTATTGTCTTGAAAAGATCCCCTTCACTGCATCGGCTCTTCTTCGGTTCTTTGCACTTGTTATCTGAGACATAAAAAATTTTTTTTGTATTCTTGTAAAAACGGTTAGAAAAAGTTTTTGATAGAGTTTGGTGCAAAAATTAGTAGAAATGTTTCTTTACTCCACACTTTGACACGCTACATTTGACAACACACCAAACAATCATCTGATTTTTGATTAGCGGGTTGTATGTAACATCAAAACAGCTTAGTAATTGAAAGTATACCTATGGACAATTGTACTGAAAACCCTCTTTCTAAGTGCCATTTACTCCGCAAATGAACGAGAAAACATGCAACATCCAAAATTATGAAAAGTAAACCTTATTTTAATTAAGAATTATTATTATTATTATGATGCATATTCTGATTTTTTTTTTTTTTTATTGATTTGAATAGCTCAAAACCATTGACGGACTTTCTTTCTACCGGAAATAGACATATACACATTGGGGTACTGGATGTTAGATATAACTTGAGGGTACTTTAGCATATAAAGGGTCAATTTTCCTTGGACTTTTCTCACAAAAAATTGACAATACCCCCCACATAACTTTCTTTTGCTTCACTAACAATTACAACTCGATATTCAAACATGCCTAGCTCCACGAAAGTAAAAATTAATGACGAACCTCAAATCAACCCAAAGGGACCAATCATCACTGAGATGAATGAGGATACCATTACAAAGAATGCTATCTTGGTCAATTCACAACACACCAACATGAGGTTGCTTTTCCTTTTGCAAAAGGTTGTTCAGCATCTTCATGATTTTGCCATTGAAACAAGATTGACTACTGAAGAATGGGAAGTTGCTATTCAATTCCTTACTGATACTGGTAAAATGTGCTCTGATATCCGTCAAGAATATGTTTTGTTGTCTGATATTTTGGGTTTGTCTGTTTTGGTTGACGCTATTTCGCATCCCAAGCCACCAAATGCAACAATTGGTACTTTATTGGGCCCATTCCACACTCACGATGCTGAAGAGAAACACCAAGGGGATTCAATCTCGTCTGAGGGTAGAGGAGAACCATTATTGATTGAAGGTTTGTTGACCGAACCTGACGGAACTCCAATTCCTGACGCTTCTATTGATCTTTGGCATTGTGATAATAAAGGTATGTATGATACTCAGTATGCAAACAGAGATCATCCAGATATGAGAGGTATTATCAAGACCAAGGAGGATGGAAGCTTTGTTATCAAATGTTCCAGACCAGTGCCTTACCCAATCCCTCACGATGGACCTGTTGGTAAGTTGTTGCAAAAGATTAACAGACATCCATACAGACCATCTCATATCCATTTCATTATCGAGAAACCAGGCTATGACAGGTTGATTACAGCATTGTACGCTAAAGGAGATCCTTATGAGACTTCAGATGTCGTGTTTGGTGTCAAGGACCTGTTGTTGTACACTTTGGACAAATTAGGAACTGAAAAGGCAAAGAAGTATGATATGAACCCTGATGACTGGTACTTGAAGTGGCACTTCAAGATCATCTCTGAGGAGGAGGCTAAGAAATTGAGATACGAAAAGAACAAGGAAGCCTTGACCAGAGCCGCTGCAAACTTGGTTCTCAACTCCGATGGAGTTCCAGAACATTGTCCATTGGACTAGGGTATGGAGTTAGCAGAGCTTTCTTCACGACGCTAAATAACTAGTTAGCAGTATATGTTTTCAATAGTTTAGCTTGATAATCCCATTGATGTTTCGTTTCAGTGTTTATACGTGGCACATCCTGCTTTTGTAGGTTGACAATTACTCTTCACTGTTGCTTCTGCTTCATTCCGCCATGAGGTCCCGCGTAGATGTAAACATAGTTTGCATAATTTTCTTTGCTTTGCATCGGTTCGACCACTCCACAATTCGGATCGAAAGGTGTATTCCCCGTTTTTGTGTTGACGCGGAAATGAGAATATCCCAACGAGATAAAGGATTTTAAGAAAAGAAAATATTATTTTCTACTTTTTCCGATCGTATTTCCATTCACGTGTACACCGTGTAACCTCAATTCCGAATCGCATCGAAGTTTAATATCGCTGGAAATCAAATCATGGGGATGATTACAGTGTATATATATATATATAAATAGAATCCTACAACGGTAGCTGAGTAATTGGCTGTCTAACAAACTGTTATTGCATGATGCTATCTGTATTCAACAAACATAAGGTCACAACAGTGGTTCAATGTTTTGTCAGATGTTACTCATTAGTACACCCGAAATCTAAAGTAGTTTATTCTACTGATGAAGCACTAGAGGGCATTACTTCAAATGTCACGTTACTATCAGGTGGGTTTGGTCTCAGTGGGGTTCCCGATACCATCATCAATGCACTTGTCAAGAAACCTGAAATCAAGAACATTACCGCAGTCTCGAACAATGCTGGACTTGATGGACGCGGGTTATCGCAATTATTAGTAACAGGTCAAATCACCAAGATGATTAGTAGTTACATCGGGGGAAATCGCACGTTTGAGAAATTATACTTGACGGGGGCAATAGACTTGGAATTGACACCTCAAGGTAATTTGGCAGAACGAGTTCGTGCTGGTGCTGCTGGTATTCCTGCTTTTTATTCCCCAACTGGGGTTGGTACATGGTTAGAAGAGGGGAAGTTGCCTGTACGATATGACTCAACTGGAGAAAAAGTTTTGAAAGCTAGTCAAGCTCGTGAGGTGCGAGAGTTTAATGGGAAAAAGTACTTGTTGGAACCAGCAATATTTGGTGACGTGGCTTTGGTTAAGGCATATAAAGCTGATACCTTAGGTAATTGTTGGTTCAGAGGTGCTGCAAGAAATTTCAACTCTGTAATGGGAAGAAATGCCAAATTGACAATTGTTGAAGCTGAAAACATTGTTGAACCTGGTGAGATTACTCCCGAGGATGTCCATTTACCTGCTATTTATGTTGATCGAGTCATTCAATCTACTACACCAAAGGACATTGAAATTTTCAAATATTCTGAAACTAGTCAAGATCCATCCTTAGAAGAGCCAAAATCAGAAAGCGAATTAAAGAGATCAAAAATTGTCAAGAGAGCGGCACAAGAATTCAAAGATGGCTCATTTGCCAATTTGGGTATTGGTATGCCTACTTTAGCCCCAAACTATTTACCCGAAAGCATCAATGTTACCTTACAATCAGAAAATGGTATCTTGGGCTTGGGTCCTTACCCACACAAAGGACAAGAAGATCCAGACTTGATCAACGCTGGTAAGGAAACAGTTACCTTAGCACCAGGAGCTTCACTTTTTGGATCAGAAGAATCATTTGCCATGATACGTAGTGGTAAAATCGACTTGACCATCTTGGGTGGATTGCAAGTTGCCGCAAATGGTGATTTAGCCAACTGGGGCTTACCAGGTCGTGTCAAGGGTATGGGCGGTGCTATGGATCTTGTAAGCAACCCACAAAACACTCGAGTTGTTGTAGTGATGGAACATGTGGATAGAAAAGGAAGACCAAAGATTTTGCCACAATGTCAATTCCCATTAACTGGACAAAAGTGCGTTTCAAGAATTATAACTGATTTGGCCGTGTTTGATATCGTTGATGAAAAGTTAGTTTTGATTGAGTATGACCCAGAAAGTAGCATTGAGGAAATCAAGGCAAAAACTGGTGCGCCTTTTGAAATTTCTCCTGATTTAAAACCAATAGAAGTTTAGGTGTAGGGAGTATGAATGAATGGAGATAATCGGCTTTGCCCGTAGACCTATCGTCGAGGGTTCTAAATGTGTAAGCTCTTGAAGTGCTCTCTGTTGGCGTGATGTTTGGCGATTCATACGCTGGTTTCTCCTCAGAATAATTTTAGCGACGATGAATATACGAGGGAACCTCATTGCGTATTTGAAACGATGGATGAGATTTCTTCTTAGACAAAGCAGTGCAGACGTTGCTCAACTTGAATTACGCACAGCGGTGTATTTCAAATAGTGTGGATTTTGTGAATGGAAATTTCAGCCCATCGACCATAAGATGAAATATGAGAAGGAAAAAGCTTAAACGACACGTTCCACGTTATTACTCACTAGCTAGTGCATGTTGTACTGTTACCAGTGGGAGAGTGAGTGGCGTCATTCGTTGTTCACCCATAATTTTGAATAAAAACACCCAACCATAGCTGTAACGATTCCACCATCATAATAAGAGCTACAGTATAAATATCCTCCTCATTTGCACTCATTGATCTTTTTTTTTTTTTCGGTTTTGTGTGTACAAAACTATTTCATGATGTCTGGTTATGTTATTTCATGTACAGTCTAAATAATATAAAAGAATTCCCTGATTCACCCACAAGCGAAAACCATAGAAATCGAGTGTGATAGCGGAAAACATTCACAATACTCACCAGGAAAGCTTCATTCCAGCTGTATAAAATTAGGCGAATTTGTCAATTACATTGGTTCATCTCGAAAAGTCGTGGAATATCGAGCACCTAACTTTGATTCGTTTGACACAAATATCACTCCACATATTTGAACATAAAGGGACATAATCCATTCAATCAGGAGAATTTACACTTTTAACTATTTGACGTAGGATCAAATGGAGCGCGGAAAGGATGATACGCGAGAGCCTATTAAGCGAAGGAGGATCAAACAAGCATGTGACTATTGTCGTTCCAAGAAAGCTAAATGCGATGGCATATCACCATCATGCACAAATTGTACCACCAACGGTGAAAACTGTACATACACGTACTCTTCTAAAAGGCGAGGCTTGCCTACCGGGTACACGCATGATTTAGAAAAGAAAGTTGCAATTTTACAAGCAGTCATTACAAGCACAATACAACAACATCCAGACTTCGAAAGTGCCATATGGCAGAGCTTAAAGAATCAAAATGAATTTATTGCTAATTTGCGACAGTTGAATAAGTTATGGACCAACCATTCGATATCAAAGTATATTGAAACGATACTGCACCAAGACTCCCCCGAGTTTAAGAGCTTTAAAAGCGTCGCGTTGCTTAAATCGGAGACCTTTAACGGTGCCAATGAAGATGCAACCGGGGATAAAATGCCACTGCCGCCAAAGAGTACGACGAGTAACACTGTTCCGAACATTGTTAAACAGGAGAAGCTGACTTCTGTATCAGAACGAGATGACGCCACATCAACAATGAGCCACAATACTTACGCGACTCAACCTATCCCTCATTCCCAAGGACTAGAGGAACCAACAACACAGTATACTAGTACCCTCTCAACGACATCAGGAATTTACGAATCCAATAACTTTGTCAACGACCCCTCATTCTTTTTAAACTACGATATATTCCAATTTATCTCAGACGAGATCGAGTCTTCCGGAGGTGCCGAGAACTGGGAACCTGTAGCTTTGCAGTACCACGGGTTGTCATCCATTATATCTGGATTCACAAACAAAGCAATACAACAAAATTACAAAAAGAAACCAAATAGGAAGAATCCATTTAGGGTGGGGTCGATCTTTAATGTTTCATCATTTGCAATAGATGCTAACCTTCAAGATAAAATACAGCTTCCTCACGAAATCTTTCAATTTCCACCAAATGTTCGTATGCTTGTCGATAACTATTTCCGAATATTTCATGTTTTAATGCCAATGTTGGATAAAATCAATGTAAAAAGACAACTACATCATCTCCAGCTGCCCCACGGAGACGCAAGGCAAGTCGATTGTAATTTAGTTGCTCTTATATGGGCTGTTGTGGCAGTAGGCGAAGCCAGTTCCAATCTAACTGGTGATTTTACAGCTGGATTAATGTATGCTAAAAATGCCATTTTAGCATTGGAAAATTCATTGACATCAACCATCGAGACGATGCAGGCAATGTTGATTTTAGGTTTGTTTTACTATCAAGCAGGGCAATGGGATTACTCCTGGGTTTTGATCAGTTCCAGTTCAAGAATGGCTATAGATGTACGTTTGATGAGATCAGCTACCGACGAGGAGAATAGCAAGTATCAAACGAGCAGTACTTTGAATAATATTAGTAGGCAGAGAACATGGGCCACTGTCTATGTTATAAATACATTATTGTCAGCAAGAATGGGACGCTCACCAGTAGTGAGAGCGGCAGATTGGCCCATCCCACAAATCGACACTGATGGCTGGGAGGAATGGGACTCATGGGAATACTATCACTCATCTGAGTCAATAAAGTTAGACCATGGACGGTTCTTGTCCAGTTTTAACCAGTTTGTTAAAATAGTGTCTATTTTGAACCTTGCCATCACGTCAACAATAAATACCTCCACAGGCATCGTTGATGATGGTGTTGTCGGTGGGAAAATTAACTATGACGATCGAAAGAACCCCAGTAGTATGACCATGAGCAATTTCGAAGCTAAGATCAATGACTTTGTTCGAAACTTGCCCGATTATTGCCGATTGAAAGATCGTGCCAACCCGCCACCATACCTAGCTATTGAAGGAGTTAAACAATTAGTCTGGTGTGTATTGGTTGTGAGATTGAGTTCGTTAAAGAGCAACAGCGAGACGCACGAGATGTTGATAAAGGCAAGAGATAAGCAATACACCAAAGCAATTATGGCCATGCGTAGTGTGTTCAAACCAGAGGTGGTTAAAATTATCAAAATGTACCCATTTCTCGATTACTTCCTTACAATGGCAATGAACTTTCCCCAAATGATGGAATTTGCCACTGATCATGAAAAAGTACAACATTGTCGTGAGATTAGAAGCTTATTGATTCAGAGTGCTGCAACTTCACCGCCAATGAGAATTTCAGTTGAAATCTCCCAACAAATGAATTTGGATCAGTTGCAATTCGATACACCGAAGGCACAAGAAAGTCCAACTATCGCCAACTTACTAAATTCGCCTACTCATGAGCCACAAAAAGCTGAATTGTCTATACCGGAATCTCTGGCGATAAAGGAAGAGGATGGTCGAGTGCCTTCAAGTCACTTGCCAGAGGAAGATGAGGAAGAGGTGCAGAATCAAGCGCGTGCATTGCTAACTGGTGTTAATGCGTTAAGTCCACCTCCAGGTACTACTGGCTCTACGCCTACCGCAACTGGTCCAATTGGAGCAACGAATGAACATGATCAATTTGCAATGGGCAATGGTAGCTCGATGCACCCAATACCTCAACACGTGCAACAAGCAGTACAGCTGTCAGTGCGAGGGATGCAGCCTGTCGCCCCAATGCAGTCGATGCAGGCAATGCCCCCGCCACAAGCAATGCAGCAAATGCAGACAATGCCTCCGACACAATCAGTACAACCAATGAACCCAATGCAATCAATACAACCAATGCAACCAATTCAACCAGTACAGCCAATGCAGCCAATGCAGCCAATGCAGTCGGTGCAACAGTCACAGTTTCCTCAAACTCCCTTCTATCCTGTTCTACCAAAGAGCTTTCAAACTTATGCGAACCAACAATGGACTCCACCAGGAAACAACAATATTCAGCATCCGCAATAACGCACCCACCCAAGCAAACTGAAATCCGTATTGCGAGCTACTTACATTGTGACATTTTAATAAGAAACCCAAAATTTTTATTCATACTATCTACTGGTAAACGTTTTGTAGTCTTAACCGAATATCCCCTCTTCCATTGCATTTGGCACTGACTTGTCACCATACGCACCTAACCAACTAACAGGCTTGGTCCAATTATCACCTGCACCACCATCCTTTTCCTGTAGGTTCAAAACTTCCTTCAATTTAGTTGCCGACTTTTCAGCATCGTAAAAATTGTCACCTTCATAAACATAGCTGACAATCACTTTTATGTTTATCGACTTAGTGCCGCTTTCGCCATTATGAGAGATGATAGCTTTGGCCAACAGCGTGGCAAATTTGGAGTTTTTCTCTCCTTCTTTATCCTTTGGATCATTTGATTCAGGTACTGAAGTAGTTAATGACAAGTTTTCCAAGTTTGTGCTGATCAAATCCTCAGTGTCGTATATTTTGATATCGCCACTGTTGACACTTTCAACTAAACCGGCATCTGATGAATTGAGTATCAAAACATTTTCGAAACGATATGCGTTTATGAATGGAATAAGTACTTGGTCAACAAAAGTCAGTGTGTACGTGGGTATTATCGGACTTCGTTGTTGAACAACAGTGATATTTAACTTAGGCGAGTAATACACTTCAATGGAATGGCTTATTCCGTACTCTGGAGTTGAAGTTACATAGTCGATTGGTGACGCAAATGGATAAAGATACAAGTCATCCAAGTAGCCAATCTTGGTTAACGAGTAGGTGTGAATGAGTAAATCAATAGTTAGCTGAGGAATATTCCCAATCGATACTGAAGGAATAATCAACGTTGATCCGGAAAAATCAGGCTGAGTTTTGAAATCAACTGGAGTGTATGAAGAGGTAGACATGAGGAACCGTCAATTGAACCAATTCGAAGGCAACATGGGATTTCCTTGTGGTGAAAAAGATGCGATCGGTCTGAATCGAGCTACCATTGAATCACGTGCGTCAAATTAATAACCAACTTTTATCGGAACCAACCCCTACTGTCTACGTGGGCTTGAGCCAGGCTACATTGCAAATATTACAAATCTGCCAATTGTTACGCTTTGCTTGTTGTAGAGTCCCAACTGCTAGCTCTTAGACGTCGCTATTGCAATGAATGCGATGTATTCAATGGTATTAAAAAGCGTTACATTGGAATTGCAAATGGCTAAGACTAACGCCCCTTGGGTAGACCTTCATATCCTGTTTTGTACATAATATATATATATATACCCATGCACAAGTTCATACTTTCAAATCCTTGTTGCATGTACACAAATGTAACCAATTTCAAAATGTTTCCATACATTTTTGAACCTTAAACAATGGGAAACAAAAACAATGTAATAACTAATCCCAATGCAATCAACGACAATTTAGAATTTAATCCGCATTTTAAATTACGCATTTATCCCTCCCTTCTCACTTCACAATCATTGCATATATCAATAGCAAACATACAAGCTAAGTCAATTGAAAGCGAGAGTGGTGTAACGGACAAACTAGACTAATAAATCATACACCATAGACGTCCATTTCGTTCATTTTTTGGTGTCGAATTCGCTTTCCCTCCAACAAAAGCCTCCCTTGTTTGCTTCATGCCCAATATCTTGAAAAAGTTGTATCGCAATTACCAGGAACATCAACACCCATCGCCCGAGCCTTCTTCTTCCAATTACAGTCAAGACAAGTCAATGGAGTCAATTCATCAACTGCATCCTGGTGAGCAGATTAACCACCCTGGTCCTGCTCAAGCAGCAATGAGTAATACAAATGTGAGTTCAACTACAACTGCCAATGTAACGCAAGCAGAGCAGTTACAACTGCCACAGCAACAACAGCAGCTGCAGCAGCAACAGTTTCAACAGCAGGAACAAAATGCGCAACAACAAGAGGTGAAACTTCAACAACAGCAACAACAGCATCAACAAAATGTGCCTAAATCTGCTGCAGACGAGGCAATTCAAAGATCTTTGCTACCACAAAGATCAACCGTGAGTAAAGGAAAGTATTCTTTAAATGATTTCTCGATAATGAGAACATTGGGAACAGGTTCATTTGGTAGAGTTCATTTAGTTAGATCAGTTCACAATGGAAGATACTATGCAATCAAAGTATTGAAAAAGCAACAGGTTGTGAAGATGAAACAAGTTGAGCATACCAATGATGAACGTAAAATGTTGAAATTGATTGAACATCCCTTTTTGATAAGAATGTGGGGTACATTTCAAGACTCAAGAAACTTGTTTATGGTGATGGATTACATTGAAGGTGGTGAATTGTTTTCATTATTGAGAAAGTCACAACAGTTCCCCAACCCTGTGGCCAAATTCTATGCCGCTGAAGTGACATTGGCTTTAGAGTACTTACATAGCCACGATATCATTTATCGGGACTTGAAACCGGAAAATATCTTGTTAGATAGAAATGGACATATAAAAATTACCGATTTTGGGTTTGCCAAGGAGGTCAGCACCGTTACATGGACATTGTGTGGAACACCCGATTATATTGCTCCTGAAGTCATCACCACGAAACCATACAACAAATCCGTTGATTGGTGGAGTCTTGGTGTTTTGATTTTTGAAATGTTGGCTGGGTACACGCCATTTTATGATTCAACACCAATGAAGACGTACGAGAAGATTTTGGCGGGAAAGATTCATTATCCAAGTTTTTTCCAACCTGATGAAATTGATCTTTTATCTAAATTGATAACGGCTGATTTGACTAGAAGATTGGGGAACTTGATAAATGGACCTGCTGATATTAGGAATCATCCTTGGTTCAAAGAAGTGGTTTGGGAAAAGTTGTTGGCTAAAGATATTGAAACTCCATATGAGCCACCAATCACTGCCGGGGTAGGGGATTCATCATTATTTGACCATTATCCTGAAGAACAACTTGATTACGGAGTACAAGGAGAGGATCCATATGGTCAATACTTTCTCGATTTCTAGACCCTACAATTGATACTGATTCTTTATTTTCTTCCTATTTTTTTTTTGGTAGTGTTTGTAATTACAAATATCACTTTCATGATTAGAACCGTAACAATGATTTTTCATAAAAATACAACAAAAATAAAGCAAAAGAAAGCTTTCTATCTATACTGGAACTGAAACTTGTGATGACTCTCCTCCTTCAAAAATCAACTTCCCTTCAAACTGTATTATGCTTGAAACACATTTTTGCATTCTAGACATACAAAAAACAAAATCATACTGGTATCTTTACGTCGTTGCTGTGATTGGAAAAACACACAATCACGATTGCCACAACGTGTACATTCTTTATCACTTCTAGGTAAAGTTGGGTCGTTACCAATATCTTCAACGACACCAGCTGTAGCACCAATATTGGTCATTAATTCATGACGGTAGACTTTTGGGTTTTCGGCCAATTCAGTGTATCCACAATTTCGACATGCGTAGAGTAGACGTTGATCTTCTTTGTCTTCTTTCGGGTACAACATATTGTTGCATTCTGCGCAAAATCTGAATGATGCCATCAAAGGGAGGGTAAACGTGAGGTGTGTGTGTGTGTGTGTGATTAATAAGTGGATGGATGTGTTTTCCAATGAGCCATTCTTTAATTTTTCGAGTTCGATATTTTTGACTATTTGCGTGTACCGGTGCTGAAAAAAAAAATATCTTCATTTAAAAATTTTTCATGAATAAACGTCAAGCGATAACCTAGAGCACCACCACCACCAAACATGTCAATCACTCGTCAAACTATAACCCGTGCCCTTAGAGCATCCCCTTTCAAGAGGTCACCTTCATTTATAACTTCTATCAGATTCAATACCACCACAGCAGCCGAATCACCATCATCGCCAGTAGTAGATCCCAAAATAACCCAAATTGTTGACCAAATCTCGACATTGACACTTTTAGAAACATCACAATTAGTCAATGAATTGAAAACAAGACTCAACATTAGCGATATTGCCTTACCAGTAGCTGGTGGTGCCGCTGGTGGTGTGGGAGGAGGTGCACAACAAGCTTCCCCAGCTGAAGAAGAAGAAGCCAAGCAACCGGTTGAAGAAAAGACTATGTTTGCCATCAAATTGGAGAGTTTTGATGCCAAGTCGAAACCAAAAGTTATTAAAGAAGTTAAAGGATTGTTAGGGTTGAGTTTGGTTGAAAGTAAAAAGTTTGTTGAAAGTGCACCAAAAGTATTGAAGGAGAATGTTGCCAAGGAAGATGCTGAAAAGATAAAAGCCACATTGGAAGGATTGGGAGCTAAAGTTGTTTTGGAGTAAAAAGGAGAGGGAGTGTGTAGAAAGTGCAAGGTTGGATATTTTCGTTCCCCTTCTTTGCCACAGTATAATCTTTTAAATCACCTTGTAAATATACATTTTCATTTGACAAATTAAGTACATTACTTGTGACACGTTTGATTTTGAAGGTGTAATGTGTAATTGTTAACTTGATGTAGTGAAAGTTCCATTAAGAGTGATATGTCAAATTTGCCAATGCCAAGTCGGTTATGGGAATACCCTGAGTACGTTTAATGAATCGTTATGAGTGATCATTTACAGTCTGGTTCTGTATTTGAGCAACCGGGGGAGAATATTGATTAGCAACATTGAAACCGCAAGGTGTGTGGTAAAGTCGCTTTGTAGTTTAGCCATGATCTGTGCTATACACAATTTGAAGACTAGCAACTCACGAATCGTTGTAGCACATTTGGATTGGATATTTACCGCACCGTGGCAAGTCAACCTATACTCTGGCCCCATTTTAGCAAAGAAGTGGGAGAAAGCCATCACCGTGTAATGTGGTGAAGGGGTACAATAAAGCTAGGGCACGCTGCACGTAAGAGTTGGGTGTGATCGTACAGATTCATTTCTCGTATGTATCCCGTGTATCACCTATATTGGCTGCAAAAAGAAAAAATGAGCAAAGACGATGACAACAGGATGAATTTCACTGAACTTTTGTTCCAATGCCAAGTCGCAGAGTTGTAAATAGTTTGTCCTATGAAATGACACCCCTTTACAAATGACTATCTTCTTGTAAAACCTTTCTTTGCAACTACAATGTAGAGGTAGAAGATGAGGCATTAATTGTTTTTGGTTTCTATTTATGGAGACATACCTTCTCCCACCAGCAAGTCACTCTAATTTTAGCCCTTATGTTGTACAAAAGAGGCTCCTTTTTGATAGTGTGTCTCACCATTGATGCAAAATCAAACGATGACGCAATGGTGAAATTTTGTACTCGCTTAATTTTGTGCTAGAACTAGAAGGTGATAAATCTTTAAAAGTTTTGAGAGCAAATAAAGCTTTTCAAGTCATATTGACAGTGACAACTAATCATTGTAGTATTACATGAGACACTATTGAGGCCTTTGAAGAACTACGCCACCGCTATTACAAAAGTGGTTGATATTTTTTTCTTTGGTTACAGCAATTACTTCCCCTCTTTATCGACAGTAACCGAAATTTATTGGAGTTTAGTGATCATATTAACCTAACGTCATGTGTTGGATGCTATTCTATATAGTTGCTAAATCTGAGACAAATCCATTTGCCATTGACAAGAGAAGATCTACTAAGCGGAGTTTGAGCCTGCTAAAAACCACAAAAAACGGTTGCAATTTTAAAAAGATCTAGACCAGAATAAACTTTGAGTGTAAGTTCGAGACTATCAACATTGTGCAAAGCACACGATCGATTTTAACGTTACCTTTGATTGGCGCCTCATTTATTGACGTTTGTAAAGGCTTAGTTGCACGTCCTTGCCTCCAATGACGACATATAGCAACACCTCGGTAGAAAAAAAAAAATGTTGATGGAGTCTGTATTGACATTTATGTATTGTTATTGTCTTCTTCTCCCTTTGTCTTGTGAAATAAACTTTGTGTATCATTATTTTGGGTCGGGTTTAGTTTGATTTTTTTTTTTTTATGTAGCCTGTTGTCATTTTTGTGTTCTTCTTCAAGAATGGATTTCAGAAATGAGAAAAATGGAAATCCGTTGTCCAAAAATTTTTTGGGACTTTTCTTTCTTTCTTTTACATTCGAAAAGGAATTTTCTATTTATACAGACATATAATCGCCTTACCAACCAGTTACCATTTATCAACCACATACACTCCACGCGTGCTATCATATACAAAGGCTTGTGGCTAACCGTCAGAGATATCAAGAAAAACCCTATTGGCGTACATCAGTAATCGGTTTTAACGAAGTCCGTTGATTGGGTCACACACACACACAAACAGTGTATTTTTTTTCCCTTGCTGCAATATACATATATATAACGGAGTTCAGCAATCTTAAAGTTTTCAAGCTTTGGTGGCGAACCCCGAAAAATCTCGCCATATTAGAGTCAGGAAGACATATTTTGGTGTTATTATTGGAGCTTTAATCGCGCAACGATTCATACCTCAACATTAAAAATATTTACAAGATTTATAAGGTTTTGTTGACGTTTTTTATTGGATTATGTCTATGCTAAGAACTGCATCCATACACTTTCATATACAATTTAGAGATACCATCACTACAGCTTACTTGAAACTGAAATCAAGTCCATTTGACTAATGAGTGAAAAAGTCTCATATAGGATCCCCCTTGATGATCTAAAGTTGGAGAATAAACAATTTTCATCAAAAGATGACATAAAGCCTTGGCTTCTGGATGTACTACTACGAAAAAAGGGTATTCACATTGTTATCGAAAGGTCTGATGCCACTAAAATAATATTTAAATGCAAAAACAAGGAAAAGAAGACTAAAATTATTGAATCAAAGAATAAAAATACAAAGATTCCAATACGACGTCATACAAGTTGTCCCTTTAAGATAAGAGCAAATCTTAGCACAAGACAAAAGATATGGTCTATACTGGTCATCGACGATCGCCATGACCATGTTGTTGATTGTCAAGAAAAAGAAGAGAGTCCTCTGCCAAAGGTGCAAACACGGGAGTTGCAACCATGTGAACCACAGCGACAACAGCAACAACCACAATCCGGGCAACAACAACAGCAGCCCCCACTGCTAAGCACCATAGGAACGGGTTTGAATTTGAGCAGGAGCAATATGGACAAAAAATCCAAATTGGAGTCTGAAATCAAGAATAATGACAAATCTAGCTCCACCAACACTGATCAAAGCTCTTCAGTGTCTGCCTTCTCACATAGAAGCTCAGACGAATTCAGGGATAGTCCACCAACATCGTTAAACCTGATTGGAGAAGATACATCGACTGGCACAGAGGAGTCATCATCAACGTCAGGGAACTCTACCAACAACTCCATCAGCTTGCCAAAGAAGCGCAAACTTCACTCCACTAAGGGCTATAGCAAAAACAAGAAGGCAAAAGAAGAGCTACCAACGGATTTTGTTGAAGTTCCCCGGCAAGCTGCACGTAAGTCAATTTCTAAACGTGATTTGAATAAAGACTCAGATGGCGCAAAGAAGCAACGAAGAAGGTCGGCGCAAGAGTCAACGCAACAAGAAGCTCCTCATGAAGTACAAGGATCTGCAAAATCACCACAAAATCCTAAACGTGAACAACTACGGTCACATGTTCAACGTTCAAACCAAAATCAATACAATGGGCAAGTTGATCAATTTTTTGCTTCTCATCCCAAAGCCCAGGTACTACCTATCCCCAAACCTCAATCTCAATCAAAATCGTTGAATGCTATGCAGGCGTTGCAAAATGAGGTGCGGCAAAAAATTAAGTATTACATTCTTGACAATCGAAACATTACCGATAATCAAAAGACAGCCATGCTAGATTCATTTGTTTCGCAGTTGTTGATTGAATACAAGAATTCCTTTAGTCCTCAATTTTTAGAATCATTGAGGCAAAACTTGTACGGGAGGGATAACATGGCTGGAGGTGTACAGGGTTCCTTGAGTGGTTATGTTGACGCAAGAAATTTTCAACAAAATGGCTCAATTAACCAACCTCCATTAAATAAAAAGGCTGCATTGAACAACTGGTTGCTTAGTGGTTTGAATGATTCTTCGGGGTCTGGTTTACCAGGATCAACGATTCCATTATCGCCCTTGTTGAATGACAATGATAGCGTGTATGCTGCCGCAGCAGCTGCAGCTGCCGCTGGTGTTGATGGTGTTGGTGGTGTTGGTGGTGTTGGTGGTGTTGATGGATCCGATGGTCTTCATGGTAGTTCGTTGGAGAATTTGTCATCAGCACCACCGATCGCGAGCCAAGCATCTAATGGACTGGGCTATGCCAATCAAAGTAATGGTGGCCAGTTACCACAAATCCAAAACCAAGGTCAGCAACTTCCTCCAATCAACAGTATACAAAATAAGATTTTATCTAATGAAGATAGTGGCTCAAATGGCAACATAAGTCTTGATTCACAATCATCAACTAATAATATCTTGAATAATTTGAGCACAAATGGCACATCTTTTGCGATGGGGAATGCTCCAGGACTAGGCGTAAACTTTGGCCCATCAAATGGGTCGACAAATGCTTCAGCTAATGGGTCTACCAGAAACAGTGGCAATTTTACTAACCCCTCAAATTCATTGTCATCGTCATCGTTCTTTGGTAACACGTCAACAGGAAACATGTCATTGATGCCTCCACTAAATTCATCCACATCTACATTGAACCCTTCGCATATCCTCAAGAATAGTGTTGGTGGCAATAGCACTGCCAATGGGGTTAACAATAACCAAATGATTAACGGTCACGGTCACAGTTCACAGACCAATGGGAATTCCAATAATCCAAACTTGACACCGCTAGGCTTCAGCCTTGGGAAAAACATCAACCTGAACTCATTTATGGCTCCTAATGCATCGCAATATGGAGGCTATAATGGCAACGCTAATGGGGGTGGTAACAATAATAACCTGTATTTGTTTGCGTCGCCATCTACAAATCCACCAAATCAAAGTAATGGCAATGGAATCGGAAATGGAGATAAAGATCAAGGTATGATGTTGGGCAATTTATCAAATTATGACCCAGGCTGGTGATTACTAGAAATTAGGTTGTTGTTTGTTTTTCTTTCAGTTCGTGTTTTCAGAAGTGTTTTTTCTTATCATTTTATATTTAGTGTGTTTTATAAATAATTAAATTGGGTAGATTTTGTGTGCGAGCAGTGTCTAGTGGGTAAGAGAAGTTGCCTTGGTTGGGGAAGGAGCAAAGCACATGCTGAGTTGAAATAAGGGTACTAAACTAAACGCAGCACACACACACACAAATTACTCCTCACAGACTACTACACACTAATCTAAATTGAAAATAAAAGAGTAGGTAATTTATTGTATTTCTATCATCACATATACCCCCCCCATATGCAATCATCCAGATACACCATTCTTTGCCATATCATAAATTGCATAAATATTCAACATTGAAACCAAGACCCAAACAACCACAGCACAAATAGTAGTAATCCAACTATTTGTCATATACTTGAATCGATCGCCATTTTCATCAACATGTCCAATATGTTTTTCTTTGACTTCATCATCTTTGTTCAATTTAACCTTCATGAATTTTTTGGAACAAGTGAAGTAAATCAATGGTGCAGTTAATGGAGGCAACAAGATTGATATGATAACTTGAGAAATGTTTAATGCGATCGCCATCCCATCTCTCCCCAAGCATGCACTCACAATCAAGCAGGGCACAATCGATATGCTTCGCGTAACGAGTCTTCGTAACCATGGTTTCAATGTCCAATTAATGTGTCCTTCGGAAACAACTTGTCCGGCAATTGTACATACGATACCAGCACTTTGACCACTGAATAATAACGCAACCATAAAGATGGTACCCATTGCTGGAGCAATGGAACGGGAGAGTAAGTCGTGGATTGTGTATAAATCGGCATCCATTGCCTCGGGAGTGCCGTACATTGTGGCTCCGGCAACGATCAAGATTGCCGAATTGACAAAGAGGGCCAATGTGCATAAACTGATTGCTAGTTCAATAATGGAATATTTTAATGAGTAGTTGATGGCTTTATAGGATGGTTTATATTCATGATAAAAAAAATCAGCTTCTTTTTCATATTGCTTCTGTTTTAACTTCTTCTTTTCTTCATCAGTGTATGCATCGTTCGAATCCTCATTAACAATTTTGTCCAAATTGACGTATCCATTCTTGACATCATATTCACGTAATCGTGGTTGAACCAAGCCTGAACCTAAAAACAATGAATGAATCATGACCGTGGCACCAACAATGGACGTGGCAATGGTCAATCCACTTCCATCAAACATCTGTTTACTGGGAACATAACCTCGGAAAATATCTCTGGCGTCAGCATGAATCCTCGACAATTGTATACAAAAGCAAATGACAACAACTCCCACCAATGCCCCCACTGAATATTCAAATATCTTGACAAATTTCATTGATGATGTATCGGCACGATACGCCATTAGGACAAATAGCACATCAACAATAGTAATCACAACACCAGCAGGTAATGGGATCCGCAACAAGATATTCAATGCAATAGCACTGCCGATAACTTCGGCAATATCAGTAGCAATAATGGCAGCTTCAGCAAGGATCCATAACAAAATGTTTAATTTCTTGGGAAGAAATTCTCGACTGCATCGAGCCAAATCATAACCGGTAACACTGCCCAACTTAATACATAAACTTTGTAAAAAAATGGCAATACAATTGGATAAAAACACAATGAATAACAAAGAAAACCGATTGGAACTTCCACCAGTAACACATGTTTGATAGTTACCTGGGTCAATGAAACTGACAGAGACGACCAAGCCAGGGCCAATAAATGAGGCGTATTTGCGGAGGATCATTTTGGTCTTGCTGGTGATTTCCGTGATTTTCTTTGGTGGAGCTTGTGGTTGCTGCTGTTGTTGCAGTTGGTGTGGCAGTGTAGGTGTGTCTGAGTTTACACTAGATGTATCAATGGCATTACTGAAGAATTTGGTACCTTCATTCATGGCATATGGTCTATCACCATCACTATCTCCATCTTCTTGTTGTATGATTTCTATATCATTCTGTTTTTCCAAAGAACGAGGTGATTGTTCATGATTGTTGGTGATCTCCTTGATAGATATTTCATCTGCGAGATCAATAGATTTAGCCATGTTTTGAATTGGATGTCACAAAGATTGACTATATGAACCTTCTTAGCTAATACCCCTTGATCTAAAGTGAAAGATGCTTATCGCTTCTTAGCTTTATATTTTTTTCTTGGTTGGTGTAGATTAGATAGATATAAAAAATAAAAATTTTTCTTGGAGGAAAATTACGGGAATGATGTTGAGTCATATATATACAATATAAACCCAATTGAGTTGGTTTACTCCCTAGCCGTAATCTAAATATAAACCTGCATTACTCAAAACAATTTCATCATTGATGCACTGGCCAAAAAGAGGAGGCAGTAGAAATGAAAAATAGGGGAGATATGTATGCAAAAAGCCATTGTAGGGATTTCTCTCATGGTTAATTCCGGAATATTATCGTAATTACACAAAAAGCCAACAATAGTATGTATTACTTTTCTATTGCGCAAAGTACTGGATTTGGAATTGAGTACACCAATACACAAAAGTCTGAAAAGCAGTATTGTACATCTCCGAGGCAATAAGATGCGTTTCTTTTACAAAGACCACGCTGTTCGTATTCTCCTCTACCTGAAAAGGGCGGCCATCAGGAAGGTACAAAGTGAACATGAAGGTGAATTAATACGTGGCAATTTAAATAACAAGTTTGCACAACACAAAAACTTTGCATTTAACCGTGGAAATTAATTCGTAATTTGGAGGTACGATTTGAAAGTCCTAGATGAGAAAGTTGTCTCCGATAACTCCAAATACAATTTAAGGCGTTATGGCGGAGACGTTACTGCACAGCATCCCGATATGTTCCTGCAAAAGAGGAGCTGCGCCTCCCCTCTACTTCCTTTAACGCTATTTTTAGTATCTACTGTTTTAGCCTCTTCACTAAATATGGATAGAGAGGTTCAATTAATGTGACAGAAGAGGCTTAGCTCTTGGAATGTAGTGGCAAGATAAGAAAAAGGGGTCTCGTCGTGGGAGAATTCTTCGGTTCTACACTTCCCTTTTGATAACCTTAAAAACAAAATCTATTTTAGTTCTATATCGCCAGCGACTACTTCTTTAAAAAATAGCCCGGTAAATCTCTAACTCCCTCCTCTTTAAACACTTGATGGATTTTCAACAAATGATTTAATTGGTTCACCATCATCTATAATTTTTTTCACTTTGGTTAAAATATCTTGAAAATCATTAAATTCAGTATAAGGGATCTTTTCCCTAATACAATAAGTGATCAAATCTTTACCATGTTTAGCAAACAAGAGATTCGTCTCCTTTGCTGCACTCAAGTCTGAAACTCCATCACCACAATAAAACAATTTCGGTTCAGTTGATCCATCATCCTTAACCTCGGAAGTATCAAATCCGTGATTATGCAACCACTCTTTAATCGACTGGGCCTTATCATGACCAAATGCAGAATCGGGATGTTTAAACAAAAGTTCCCAATTCTCACCATCATTATCAATACGTACGTCATTAGACATGATTTCAATATGTTTCAATGCTTCAGCACCAACCAATTGTTGCAACAAGGCGGCAATTAAAGGTTTCATACCGGAACTAACAACAATAATTCTGATATTATTGGCTTGGCAATAATTGTAAAAATCTTTAAAACCTGGATCTAATTTGATATTGGATAACAAGATTGAAAGACATTCATTAAAGGGAGTTTTCACCGAGTCAATTTCTTCTTTGAACCCATCACGGAAATTGGTCTTGCCATCAAGGATATCTTGACCAATGGCACTTCTTTTGGCTTCTCCCATACCGAGATTATCAGTCAAGTAATCATTGGAGTCTTGTAAGGTGACAGTACCGTCGAAATCAGTAAATACAATTGCTGGTGGAGCTGACATTGTGGTCTAGAGCTTGAGCTTGCCTATGTAATTGAAGTAAAGTGATAGGTGAATGTCGAAAAGGTTGCGTTTTTTCTTTTTCTTTCAATTTAGTGTTGTCGACCGCCCCACGCGGGTTTATCAATTTTGCTGAGAAAGTACGTTCTTCGGTACACGACTCTCTGTGGAACAATAATTAGTAGGGTTTACAACAAATTAGATCCGTTTTTGATAGTCACGATGTTCATGCTATGGTTGGTCTTCTTCTATATCTTATCCAAAAGGCGACGTTTCATCATATAATTAAAAATAATCATTTGGCGTTTTATTTTTTCACCATTTTTTCGCCGAAATCTTTTCGCAACCTCTGGAGAAAAAATAATTGATACAATATTTCAAGTATGAAAGCTGTTTTCACCACGTATATTCAAAGTTTTGGAAGAATATCCTCTAAAGGGGCACTCATACGAAAATTTCTCTTATTAAGAGCACACTCCTTGTGGTTGTTCGTTAATGCACAGACCAAGAGAAAATCATTAATAAGAAGATTGCCTTTGGTTGCAAATATGCGTCTTTAGCATACGACTTTTGTTTTGAATATCCATGATCTAGAACTTTAATTTCAACCACTTTAACACCCATAATGCTTGAAATTAAAGGGTGTCACAATGAATGCAATGATTTATTGACGACGCATATTGTGCGTATTGCGTGCAAATACGGCAGCCTCGGGTTATGAATACAAATTTCTACTTTTTCTGTCTGACGGAAATTTTCAATTCTCAGACAGACAGAAAAAATATTACTTTAGAGAATAAAAGAAATGAGGTGAAGTCCGTTGTGAAACCATTAAAGCACATGTCTCTTCGAATATATATATATAAAATATATCCATGTTAGCTTTTAGCAATAATAAAATGCCCATGTAGTGCTCGAGTAAGTGCAAGAGAAGTGTCTGAATTGCTATCAAGTGTCGGCAGTAACCTCTTGTCATGCCGTAAAAAAAAAAAATGGGGTAACATTAATAACATCAAACTTGAGCTGAACCGTTAAACGTCATAAACAAGAAGAAGAAACAATGTTCCTCAGTACAGAATGCGTGATGAGCAGAACCAACTTATCAACCAAACAATCCTACTTGCAAGATGAGTTTGTTGTTGCTGATCTTTATCTTTACCTCTGTATCTCTTTCCATAAATTGTGGCTTGGGTTCTCTGTTTTTAGTGTCTGAATTATAAATTGAGTGTGGTTTGTGTAACTAACTGCTCAATTATGATTGCTATTGTTCCGAGGATGGAAGAAAGTATGCTACCAATTGAGTTTAGCCGTAATTACTGCAAATAAAGTGTGAATTCACTCATGAATGCTTATTTCTTGACACCAATGCTTGTATTGTACTGCCTTACTGGAATATGCATTTAGAATTATGAATCACCACCGCCCATGTGGGTTACCTATTCTTGTCTTTAGCTTTTCATGTCTTGTCTTACTCTGCATAATAATAACCGTCTCTACATATCTCTTAGAAATAGCAATAACAGAAGTCGTTAGTCAAAAATAGAAAGAAAAAACCCGGCCTTTAACACACAAACGGAAGTCCAGAGTTTTCAACGACAACAATACCAACTGAAATCACATCAAACAATAAGAAATCGTCGGACGATAATGGTGTAACATTTACTAATCGAAGGATAGCAAAAAAAAAAAAAAAACCGAAAATAAAAAAAAATAATTAAAAAAAAAATAATTAAAAAAAAAAAAAAAACGGAAGATGTACAACAAGAATTGAGAGATGAATAAAAATCATAACTTAAGAAACTTGCAAAATCATTATCATCAAACACACATTTCATACTTTCTTTCTTCCTTCTCCTATCATCTCACCTTTACACATTCAAAGAAAAGAAAGCTATTATTAATATTCACCACACCACACATCTAAAAACACACTTTAAATATTCTTAGCGCTTACTTCCGATTTGATCTTTGCTATTAGACGCTTACTCATACACACAAATTAAACACACACGAGACACCACCAGTTATGTTTGAAAACTTGAAGGCATTTATTAGACATGGTAGACAGGCTAATGACATGAAGAGGGTGAACCCAAGTAATCCTCCATACACTTCAGCGACGGAAAATCCATTTGGATCGGGATATCAAATAATTGATGGTACTAATGACTTTGGCAACAACAGCGATGAGAGTCCTTCGGATTTGCAGTACCAGCAGTATCAACAACAGTTTGAACAGCAACAGCAACAGCAACAACCAGTCGCAAATGCTGCTGATGCTAATGGGGGTTATGCATATGGTACGACTGGTGGAAACCAATCTGACATCACTTTGAACGATCCAACTCAGCAGCAACAGCAGCAGCAGCAGCAACAGCAGCAACAACATAATCATAAGCAGCATCAACACCAAGATTACGACAAAGTAGCTACCCAGCTAGTTGAAGAGGAAAACTTGCAGAAATCCAAATACAAGACGTATAAAAACTTGGACAATTATGAAGTATTGGAACAAATGGGTGAAGGTGCGTTTTCCGTCGTTAATAAGGCCATTCACAAACCAACTGGTAAGGAGGTTGCTATCAAAATATTACGTAAATTCCAAATGGATCAACAACAAAAGCAAGCAGTATTGAAAGAAGTCACCATTATGCGTCAATTGAAACATCCCAATGTTGTTTCATTTATCGAATTCATTGATTCACCTGACTACTACTACATTGTTCAAGAGTTGGTTTCTGGTGGTGAAATTTTCACCATGATTGTCAAGTACACTTATTTATCAGAAGATTTATCTCGTTGGATTATCACTCAAGTGGCCCATGCTATACGTTATCTTCATGAGGAAGTTGGTATTGTTCATCGAGACATTAAGCCCGAGAATTTACTATTTGAACCAATTGAATTGATCCCCAGTGTTAACCCCATTGCCAAATTGCGTAAAAGTGATGACCCAAACACCAAAAAGGATGAAGGTGAATTCACTCCTGGTGTAGGTGGTGGTGGTATTGGAATTGTTAAATTGGCTGATTTTGGATTATCAAAACAAATTTGGGAACATAATACCAAGACGCCGTGTGGAACTGTTGGTTATACTGCACCAGAAATTGTTCGTGATGAACGATACTCTAAGGAGGTTGACATGTGGGCCATTGGATGTGTTTTGTATACTTTGCTTTGTGGGTTCCCACCATTTTATGATGAACGTATTGAAACATTGACTGAAAAAGTAGCAAAGGGACAATTTACATTTTTACAACCCTGGTGGGATGAAATTAGTGATGGTGCTAAAAATTGTGTTTCGAATTTATTGACTGTTGATCCAAAGAAGAGATATACTATTGATGAGTTTTTGCAAGACCCATGGATGAAGCAACAAACTGAAGGAGCTGCACCACAACAACAATCAGCAACAACTGCTGCTGATGCCAATGCCAATATTCAGAAATCACACCCAATTCAATCACAAAATAACAACAACATTACCAACGTTGCCAAATATTCCAAGAAATCACGCTTGCAACAACAATCTTTCAACCAAGATCTTTACTCGCCAGCAGCTGTAGCATTACGTGATGCATTTGATATATCTACTGCTGTCCATCGTATGGGCGAAGAAGCTGCGTTATCCAACAAACAACATGGTGTTGGTGGTGGTGGATTATCCAATGTTGAAGACTTGATTGAAGAAGAGGAAGAAGAAAATGAAGAAGACGTAACTGGAAGTGGCAGAGTCTTGCATCATCACTATGATAGTAACAACAATAATGGTACCACTGCTTCCTCAAGTATACCTAGATCGAACAATCGTCGTCATCGTCATAACCATCATCGTGAACAACAGAATTTGATTAAGCCTAAAGGTGGCTTTGATTTAAATTTGGGTGGTGCTTCAATTATTGAGAGAAGAAAGAATAAGCAAATTCCAATTCAAAGTAGCTAGCCAGAGTGATTAGAGGAACTGTCGAATGCTCCAATTAGACACGCATACAACACGCATAGATAGAGAGAGAGGGAAGTTGGCGGAATGTTGCTTTTTTGTTTGAGAGAAGTCTGATGGTTGTGGTTGTCGCTTTATTTTATCGTTTATTTCTTTGTTTTGTTTACAGCTTAAGCTTAAGCTTCTTTTTGTTTTGTCATTATTTTTGGTATTTACTTTCGATATACGTACAAGTTACTATAGCTTTTATTTTGGCCATGTTTCTTTGTTAGTAAAGAAGCTATTTAACTGTGCACCTTTCTATTCGAAAAGAATTGATACGTAGGACTGAAAGTGGACTGTGCCCTACGAAGGTGGCACAATATGCCACTTTTGTTGCGTGTATGGAGCTCAATTGGATCATTGCTCTGTGAGAGTGTTTACCGCCACCGCTTTGGGTTGAAACTCTAATTGGTTGTTTAACCTTTAAAAAGCAGTTAAACGGTTATAAAGCCACAGTTCAGTTTCCTCTTTTTTATTGTGTGTCTGTCTAAGTCCGAGTTTACTTTTCTTACTAATCAAAACTTACAGTATAAAATCATACCCATATCCGTAAAGTTCCTTTCGCAAATTTCCTTTCTATCCACAGCAATTGATTTCAATTTAAAGACGCCCAGAAAGTATGTCCCCATTAATCCCCAAGACTCAAAAAGTTGTATTGTTCAACGATACCGGAGATTTTGACAAGATTGAATATGTGACGGATTTCCCCACACCAACAATTGACTCTGATCATGACATTATTGTCAAAAATAGCTATGCTGGTATAAACTTTATTGAAGCCTATTTCCGTAAAGGCATTTATCCCATTTCTGAAAAACCATATGTGTTTGGAAGAGAAGCAAGTGGAGAAATTGTTGCTGTTGGATCAGGTGTATCCAATTTGAAAGTTGGCGACAAGATTGCGTATTTATCAACGGCAACTTTTGCTCAATACACGAAGATTACCGATAAAAATTTCAAATATGTCAAGTTGCCTTCACTGACCAATGAAAAGAATTTAGAAGTTTATGGATCAATCTTGTTGCAAGGGTTGACGGCATTGACATTTATCAATGAAGCCTACAAGGTTGAAAAAGGTGATTATGTGCTTGTTTGGGCAGCAGCTGGAGGCGTTGGCAAAATCCTTGTGCAATTGATTTCACAAATTGGTGCTCATGTGATTGCCATTGCTTCAACAAAGGAAAAGTTGCAATTGGCTGAATCTTTGGGTGCTGAACATTTTATTGATGCCAATAGTGACAACATTGATGAACAAGTTAATAACATCACCAATGGGAAAGGTGTGGCTGCATCATTTGATTCTGTTGGTAAAGATTCATTTTATGCTTCATTGAATTCGTTGGCCAGAAAGGGAACTTTTGTCAGTTACGGAAACTCTTCTGGTCCAGTTACACCCTTCCCCTTGTCCTTATTGTCCCCCAAGAATGTCAAACTTTTGAGACCACAGTTGTGGGGATACATTGCTACGCCACAGGAGTGGGATCATTATTCCAAACAGTTGTTGGATTTGTACCAACTGGGAAAATTACAATTTGACATTTATAAAGTTTATGATTTAAAGGATTACAAGCAAGCAGCTCAAGATTTAGAGGGAAGGAAAACTCATGGTAAATTGACCTTAAAAATTCCTCAAGAATAACTATCAAGGCTATAAGAGCCTATAATAATGCCTGCCAAATGAAAACTTCTTCACCATGTTACACACACATAAACACATACATACATGTATATGCCGTTATTCTATATAGACGTATATACCTCCTTGAATTTATGCTTTTTACAACTTTGGTCGACTTTGTTCATACTTGACTAAATCTTGTGGTGTCACCACTCCATAAACAAATTGACCCAGATCATTAGTAATAATGGCGAAATAGTTACCCCTATTGAAAAATGAAGCTAAATCCTCCAAGGGACTATACGGAGTTAAAACACTGTACCGTTTACCTCTAGGTTTCAAAATCTTGGTCTTGGGAGTTGTATTACCCACTGTTGCTGATTCCTTGTTTCCTCCTCTATGTAAGATTTCACGCTCGTATTTGCGTTTAGTTAATGGGTTAAACCACAACATGTAATTGAAAACAATTGGCTCTTTTTGTTCACCTGTGGATGATGATAGTTGTCGTTGTTGTTGCTGCTGTGTTGGAGTGGAGCCCTTTTTAAACTGTTCTAAATTGACGACCCCCAATAATCGTTTATTCAACTCGTGTATTACTGGTAAATATGTGAATTCGTATTCGTATCCAATTTCAATAGCATCGTATATAGATGAGGTTGGGTTGGTTGATATTGCTTGTGGAATGTTCAAGTCTTCGATTGTGGCACCACGATAGTCGCGTGTAGTGAAAAGCGTCGTACTGGAAGGAGTAGGTGGTGGAGTACTTGTCATTGTTGGGATATGTCTGGTGGATGGTACGAGTTGAAGATATTTTCATTCTTTTCAGTTGACTTTTCTTTTGTGTGCGCATTTTCAACTACTTTTCCTATATGCTTTTTCCAAATAAATAAGATTAAGCTACTTTCTATTTACACTAAGCAGCTTCGGCAGTGCGGTACTCACCTGAACTACTACCACTACTATTACCACCACCACCACGTCGCGATTCAGATACCTCCCTCACTTCACCTTCTTCCTTCACCACTCTATTCCAAACTTCTTCATCGTTTCCATTGTCCAATATACCAATCCTCATGGTGGCTAATAAATTGATTGCCGCTGTCAGATGCCCGTACACACCACCATAAAAAGCTCTAGTTGCATCTTTTCCATGTGATGCTTTCAACAACTGTACTCCTCCAGGATGTTGATCCATAAAGGGAGTAATATCGTGAATGATATTTTGAATAACAATGTAAATTCGATCTTTGTTTGAAGATGACTCAATCGTTCGTTTGAAATCTTGAGGGGTTATCAATGGTAGTTTAGATATTGGTGTGCCCCAATTCAACTGACTTCTCATGCGATTGAGAATCTCTTGTTGTTGCTGAAGACGCAAGTGTTCAACCAAATTATCGGGTGTTCGACACAATTCGCAAACAATTCCCAATTTATCCAATGTCCATATAAACCATTTTGTTGGGTCATAAGTGAAATTGGAGTTACTGCTTCTATAATCATGAGGAAATTCGTGATGATAATTTTGATGCGACTGGCCATAGGTGAGTAATGCCATTAGTGGGTTCAGGCAATCTTGGGATGAATTCTTGTCACTAAATGGTTGTGTAGGGATGGTTACTTGTATCTGTTTCAAATGGCATAAAGATTCAGTAGTGAGAAGTGATTGTTGACATAAAAACATCCGAAATATACCGGGGTATATCAATCCATGTATTAGCGTGTCGTTACAAAACAACTTGGTTAGCACTATTGGAATGATGATTGTCGTCACTGTAAACCACAACAAGTATGTTTTTTCTTGCCAATTTAACAAGTCTCTCATATATTCATCATAGGTATCTTTAAACTCAACTTCATCATCCTCCTCATCTTCTTTCCCACTATCATTATCAAATTCATCTCGAAGACCAAATGCTTCTCTTTGTTCTTTATCAAGTTTTATATCCTGTGAAAGTCTGGCTTCATCAATGTTTTGTGGAAACTCTTGTTCAATAAAATCGTTGAAAAACTTGACTGCTCTTGGCTTTTTCAATAACCATCCATAATGACTAAATAATAACCCACGTTTAATCAGATATGGATCTCGTTCGGTATCATTTGTAAAGTGATGATGAGCTCGATGTAGTGAAGACCACCATCTAATTGAACCTAAACCACAACTAGTACCAAAAATGGCAAAGTAATACTTTAAAAAGGAGTATTTGATCTTGTACGAGTTATGAGCAAAGTATTTATGATAACCAGCTGTGAATGCCAACATGGTGACATTATAATAGATACTGGTGAATTTCAAAGTAGCTTGGTTCTCAGGTAGTATACTTTCCTTAAAATATAACATGTAACATAGCATCAATAGTGGTAAAACCACAGTGGTTATTGTATGGGTATAGTTTATCCTCGTAAACAAATCTCTCCTACGTTTCCTTATTTCCTTTATCCTCGTGTTTTTCATCTTTGCTGCTTGGCTTATTAGGTTTTGGGATGCGGAAGATGAAGAGTTGGAGGAGGAGACAACCTTCCGACGCTGTACCTTAATGCTTTGACCATTGCGTTGTTTCTCATCCATTTGAGGAAATTCTTAATGAGTTAAATTCGAACTGAGATGATAGCCAATAGACACTGCACTGATATCACCCTTGAAAGTGGTTTTTGACACTTTGGTCTTTTCCCCTTGCGGTTTAACTGAAGAAGTAATTTCTATAACAGAAATGATCAATGGGGGAGATAATTACATGTGATTCGAACAGTGCGTGTAAATAGTTCAAAAGTTGAACTGTGGAAAAAAAAAAAAAAACAACAAAAACAACCAAACCTTCACAAAGGTACAATAAACTCACCACCTTCCTTATTCCATTCGTCTTTACATTATGTCTCAGGTTCCGTTACCTAACCAGCAAGTGGTTCCACCCCAAGCGCCTCCTTCAAATAACCAACCAAGGTCAACTGCAAGCTCTATACCGGCTATATCATACACACCAACAGATATAACCATTCCTCCATCATTATATGACAAGCTTCCCAATCTTAAGGAGTATAGGGCATTAAAAGAGGCGGAAAAAAGAGTAGATTTGCTCATTGCTAGAAAGGCACTCGATTTTCAAGCTATACAACAGAAGACTATTCATCCATTTGAGTATAAACCAAATACGGGTATATTAAGGGTATTTATTTACAACACTTGTGAGCATCAACCATGGCAGAATCAATTAGCACAACAAGAGGGACAACAAGTGCCTGAAAATACCGTTCCTACATGGACTTTACGAGTAGAAGGGAGGTTTATCAATGATGATAAATCAGCACAAGAAGAAACCAATAGTTTAAAATTTAGTGCCTTTTTATCAGGCATATCGGTGGATCTTTTGGAAAATGAGCATTACCCAAACCTCCAAGAATCTCATAGTAACATAGTTGAATGGAGAGACGATACAGCAAACAATGTTGGTAGAGATCCAGGAGTTGTTGTTGGTTTCGATGGTATGGACATCAAAAGAGAAGGCAAATACAACATCAAAGTGAAAATTGCATTGATGGTTAAAAGCTTTACATCCAAGTTAAGTGTGACTCCTGATTTGGCAGAATTTATGGGAAAACTTGAATGCACACAACAAGAAGTGATGTACACGATTTGGCAATACGTCTTGAATAAGAAGCTTTTCGTGAAAACAGCAAAATACAATCATGTCCCAGCTGTCGAAGGGTTGAGTGAATCTATCCCCGGTGCTGATAAAGATCGTAGTGCTTATGATGATCTCACATTAGCTGAAACTGATGATGTATTGTTTGAATTGTTGAAAGTACGCGAGTTTAAATTTTCCGACTTGTATGGATTGATTCAGCCTCATTTCAAACCAAGAGAGCCAATAGTCATAGATTATGAGGTGGATACGAGAAGATCAACTACTTTGGGTGATGTCGTGTTGGATATTCCTACCGAATTACCCATCAACATATCCAAAGCTCAACGTGAGTTGTTGGAAATGAACAAGTCAGCCCTTGAGAACTTGTCACGTCATGATGCAATGATTGAAAAATTGAATCAGAAAATATCTTTAGCTATAATTGAATTAAGGAATGCCAATTCAAGAGAAACATTTTACAGTGGGTTAAGCAAAGATCCGGTCAAATTTATTGAGCAATGGTTGGCTAGTCAAGCTGAAACTCTTAAAGCGTTGAAAAGTGACGAAGGATATGACGAAGAGATTGTTAGAAGAGCCAACTATTTCGAAGATAATGAAGATTTGATCAACGAGAAGATTGATCTTTTGTTTGGATCAAGCAAGTTTTAGGAGAATAACCATTCAAATATATTTTGTATTAATACTAAATCAATCAACATACTCGTCATCATCCTCTGAATCATTAACATCTTGTCCGCCATCGTCTATATAATTGTCATCGTCGTACCTGTTATCTCCTAATCCTTCATCGGCCATTTCGCCAAAAGCATCATCGTATTTTGCTGCAGCACGTGTGTCACTATAATCAATTGTTTTTTTCCTTTTCTGTCTGGATGTAGTTTCCAAACTTTCCTGTCTTTGAAGCAATGGATATAATTTCGACAAATAGTCATGTAAACGTTGAATCGAAAAGTATAGATCAGTGCTATGCCTCTTGGTATCCTCCATCAGTAGTTCCAAAAAGTCAATAAAGTCCTTCAACTCATTAGCATTAGATGCAACCTCATACCAGTGTTCACAATCATCAAAGCTTCGATATGTTGAGTTCTTCACCTCGCTTCCATCGTCGTCAAATTCAACCCCTTCAGCTTGCAACGCGCCAGTTAAAACCAGATGGGTATCTTGAACATATAGTTTGAAATCAGAGGGCGCCACGGTACCTAATCCAACATCTTGACCTTTTAGTACACTGCTCATCTTCTTAACTGAAGCAAGACCACCATTTTCTCCATCAGCCATTCGACAAAGATAAAATCTACCAGCATAAAACCCCAAGTCACCCACAAGATGATCAACCAATCTAAGATTCATAGAATGCACAGTCGGATTCGATGTAGGATCGACATATTTCAAATCCTCCTCAGTTGATTTCATTTTCGATAGCCTTGCATTAGCTTTCAATTTAGCTTGGTGACAATTTTCAAAGCCAAACAAGAGTGCTCTTGAAGCGTAATAGGTATCCTTCTCACCAGGTAATTCTTGATTTAGTACGTTTTGCGAAATGAAATTCTTTATTGCATCAGATGTTGATAAGGACCACTGAGCCAAAGTTTTAAGTATGAGTAACCTGTCCAAAGGATTACTCAATCCGCGCAACCCATTTGCTTCAAACTCATTGTTGTAGAATGGATTGAATGTGATTACGAAATCCGATTCCTTGGGGAATTCAGTAACCAATATCTCTGGCTGGTTTGGATCTACTGGCTCACCTGCGTCGTAGACTTCATCTTCAATTGGGCTATATACCTTCCATTCTTTCGGTAGACCCAATTTCGCACTTTGTGGTTTAAGCTCCTGTATCGCACTTGACGCAGAAACAACGTCCTTTTTCCGGTTCAACACCAATGTGAGCAACTTTTTGAACAAATTATCCATTTCAGGAGACACATATGACACATCATAATCACTTTCATTTTGAATCGGTTTATTCTTCAATGCATATCTTGTACTCTCAACATGATCTCGAAGAGCAGGTAGACTCAACCCGGATTCAAAACTTTTGGGACCTAAATTTTGGACCAGTATGATATCCCTGAACTTGGTCAAGAACGAAATCAAGTAAATGATGTCATTTGCATACGGTGCTTTTTGTATTGGATACCGCAATGCCAATTGAGTTGTACTGGTCAATCGGCTCTCGTCATTGTGCACCAAGAAGTCTTCTACAAAGCTTATTGGGATTAATGGGGATGGCAAAGCTTTAGGGTTTCGTTTTGCCAATGTTCTTCGTACATGCGTGACAGCATGTGTTTCACCCAATTTCTGTCTCTTTGGTTCGGGAGTGAAAGATGGCAGTTGAGATCTTTCCTGCGGTGCCTTTACTGTCAACTTAACCAAGTCTTTCCCATTATTGTTGTCATTGCTGACATTTTTCTGTTCTGACGTAGCATCTTCACTTGAGGGTTCTTTCACTACAGAAAAATTGAGCACAGATTGTTGTCGCTTCCGTATTGCGTCTTGCGTAATCTTTCCACGTGTCTGCTTTCTCGAATTTTTACCACCACGAGACCCAGGACCTTCAACAGGTAAAGAGTCGAATCTAAATTTTGACATTATAGCTTTGTTGTAATTTTTATTCGAATGTGTCTCAGGAGGCGAAACAGGCTTTGACATGTTTTTGCGCGGACGGCCGAGACGCAACGGCTTCTCATCCGGGTCATATTGATAAAGCTTCATTTCAGGCTTTGACATATCCATCTTTTGTGACGTTTCCAAGTAATTAGCTGGTGAAGCCGATGAGGAGTCATTCAGATCGTCTTCTTGTTCTCGCTGACGCAAGTCATTCAACAAAGACAAAGCTGCCTCTGCTGTACTTGAAGATTTTGGCAACGGCTCGCTTTCATCGTCTTGTAAAGTGCTTACGATGTTGTTGCCTTTGGATGAACTATCAACATCATTAATATTATCTTCCCCTATAAATTTAGCACCATTATCGAATTGGCACTTCGACACCTCTGGATCTATGCTTGAATCCATTGGGTTGGGGGGTTCTGAAAATATAAACAGGTGAGTGCTCAACGCCAAATTGCAGTCAAGGAATATAACGAAACTACCTCTGCGTGAAGTTGCCGATGAAGATGCAAAGAGATTTCTCCATGTAGATGCTACCAAATTCAAGTACAGCACAGTGTGATAGTCAGTGATGCAAGATACGCCTCCAAGTTAGACTATAAACGGAAGGTGTTACTGTTTCTACTTTTTGAATAACTCCATCAAGGCTCAGCTTTCATCGGTGGACACTTTCCTATAATAAAAGTCGATAGCCTTTTCAAGAGTAAATACCTCTCTCCACATCAATGGAAATGCACAGCAGAGTGAGCGCCACCAAAAAAAAAAAGACAAAAACGAAAAGACGCGTTTTCTTTCGTGATATCTTCTAAATTCCACTTCCTTCAACACACACAACAAACCATTTAACAATGTCGGATTTTGGTAACTACGGAAACTTTGGTGGTGATTATGGTGGAGGCGGATTTTCACAAGGTGGATTTACCGGTGATGGAAACTCACAACAAAACAAAGTTCAAACACGTAATAGCATTAACCCAGTGACTATAAAACAAATTCTTGAGGCGGAACAACCAGTACCTGATGGTGAATTCAAGGTCCACAATGTGAGCATTAGCTTGGTTGGATTTATTGGTGTGGTTAGAAAAGTTCATGCCAATGGGGTGACGTTGTTTATCACTGTGGAAGATGGAACTGGGTCCATTGATGTTCGTAAATGGGTCGATGAGAATATTAATTCAGTTGAGGAAGAAAAGGAGAGATACATGGTTTTTTTGAACAAGTATGTGTTTGTCGGAGGTGCCTTGAAGGTTTACAATGGCAACAAAAGTATACAGAACGCGTCAGTTAGCCTTATAGAGGACAGCAACCAGATTATCTACCATCACTTGAGTGCTATTGATAACCACTTGAAATCCCAAGGTGTAACTAAAAGCAGTGGCTCTGCAGTAAATGGTTCTCAAGGTAACAAATTATTTGTGGATGATGAAGGATCCACCACTGACAGAGTGTTGAATTTCATTAGACAAGAAAGTAAGACGATGCCAGAGGGTGTTCCAATTTCATTCATCACTCAAAAATTATCCATATCCGAGAAAGAGGGAGAAAAGCATTGTAATGACTTGGTCGAAAGTGGAAAGATTTACGTTGGTTTTAATGATGGTGGTTACATAGCAGTTTAAGTAATACTATATACACGTATCTTGTTCTATCAAAAACCTAAATTCTGCTCCGATTGTTTTGCACTGAAAAAGGAATGCCACAAGTCATTATTTGTCACATTCTCACCTTGCGCATGTTTTTCTAAAAGCTCATCTACCCCAACACTACGCATCATGGTCAAGGAATCCGCTTCACTCAACTTTGCCTCACTAGGCTCTGATTCAGTTCCCTTATCGATGGCACTCTTTTCAATCAATTTGATCCTCTTATTCGTAGACGTGATGATGATACTCTCCTCAACCGTATTTTCAATTGCAAACATCCACACAGTTGTTGGTTTTGTTTGCCCAATTCTATGAATACGCGAAATCGCTTGTAATTCCAATGAAGTATTTACCAACGGTTCGCAAAGAAAAATATGAGTTGCGTTCACCAACGTCAAACCACTGGCCTGTGATTTCGCATTCAAAAGAAAGCATGTTATTCTATTTTCAGGCTGCTTAAAGTATTCAACCGCTGCTTCCTTCTTTGGTTTTTTTGAGGAAGGATTTTTCTCATCCGAAAGGAAAATACTATCAGTTCCAACAAACGTGATCCCAGCAGACTTTAAAGCATTACTCAAGATGTATAGCATGTCTTGCCATTGACTAAAAATGACAATCTGAACACAGGGATCGCATTTCTTCAAATACGAGGCTTGCTTGACAATCATATCCACCTTTGTACTGTACGAAGATTCCAACTTAATCTCCTGCACTTCTTGAACCAAATCCTCATTCAAAGGTTTGTAAATTGAATTTAGCATACCTCCCTTGTTGGATTTTACCTCGGGGTTTTGTACCTCTTTTGCCTTTAGCTCTGGAGCATACCTAGTGAAATTATAAACCGACTGAATGTCAATTCTAGCCTTACACATGGGACAGTGACGAGAGCTTCTCATCCAATGCTCTAAACATTCCTTGCAGTACTTGTGTCCGCACAGAGTCAAGGACCCAATACTGATACTAGAGCGACAAATGATACAAGTCATTATGTCTTCATTGGCCTCATTAACGGTTTGTTGAGACTCTCTCACCAACTCTGATAAATAGCGAAACCGACCCACAGCATTGTCCATTTGTCTTCGTAAATCTCGTAGTGTATTTAGCGCCCCCGCAAACATAGAATTGATACGATGGTGGTCAAGTTCTTCTCTATCCAAGTATGGATAATTCCTCAATTTCACAGTATCGGATATCTGTTGAAGTTGTTTGAAATATTCCACCCTTGAGTTAAAGACAGCATTACAACTGAGATTCAACTCCCTGGTAATCATTGCTTGAGCCAATTTCTGGTTTTCGTAGAGCAAGCGAAGTTTCTTGCCCAAGACACCAAATAACTCAACGTCTAGACTAGCTGCCCTTGATGAGGAATCTTCTAGTTCATTTTCAATTTCGGTTAGCTCCGACACCAACTTTGAAAAATCTAGCTTACCATCGGAGGATAATTTCAGTTGGTGAGAGAAGATGATTCTCTCTTCAAGCAGTCCAGTAATCAACCCCTTTCTCTGTGTAAGTAGAACATCCAACGAGGACAAGAGGTCTTCCGCAATACCTTGCACCTCCAAATGTTTTTCATAGTCATTGTCTACTGGTTCTTCATCTTCGTCCCCTTTTCTTTTCTTCTTGTCAAGTTCGAGTTCCTTTTTGTCGACAGGCTCAAGCAATAGTTCAATCAACTTACCGAATTTCGTGTTTATTTCCTGGGAACTCTCATTAAGGTCGTTTATGAATCTGGTGATTTTGTTTAAGAAGGACTGCACTTGCGGGGTGATGGCAAAGAGTGACAAGTCTTCCAAATCTATCAACGGAATTTTATTGAAGAACTTTTTTGATGACTTAGGAAGTAAGTTGGATGCATCATCGACAAAATCTGTTTCAATTGGAAACAAAAAACCCCGGCCAGATATCCTAGCAGTTAAGGTTTTGTTAAACTGTTTCACCGAGCTTTTTAATATTCTCATCCTAACGTCTTCGGCAAGCTCGTAATACTTAGTTTCATTCTCTTGGGGAGATTCTAAATCAACTAATCCATGATCGAGCTCAAGCTGAGCAATTGGAATCGAGGTAAGCAAGGAGGCCAATTCATTGGCTCTTTCTTGCGCGCCAAAGTGTTTTATGATATCTCCCAAGTTTTTCACATCGATTTTAGGCTTGTACTTTTGGACTAGCTTTTGAAACTCCTCATCATATAGTTGGAAATTAGCCGAGGCAAACAAGAAATAGAAACGGTGTAAAATCAAAAGCCAACTCCGAAGTCTAACCCTAATCGATGAAATCAACGCTTCGTTAGCGTTACCATCGTTTTGTTTCCCTGCCTCGATTCTCCCTATCTCGTCATCATCATCCACCTCATTCTCCGATGTATTCTTGTACTCCTGGATATACTTTGCAAGCATTATTTCTATGCGATTGATTACATTCAAAGTTTCAACTATACCCACCTTTAGGTACTTGACTGCCTCCTCTGGATGGTAAACAAATTCCAACAAATCGGATAGTTGGGACAAGACTTCGATCTTTCGTCTTTCAAAATCACTAATTTCACCGTACAGACGAGTCAACATATCACTCAATAAACGGTCCAACGTTTTCAATGAATCAATCAACGCCATTCCATTTTTCAAATTGGAACGCTTCATTCCTCTAGAGTTTAATTGTAAATTTCCAACTTGTGGGGAGCAACAAATTTGTCGCAAACGTGAAAGCCAGGTGCGCATCAAGCTTAGTACTGAAGGCGAAGGGTCCCAGTCATCAGCAATCGGGTCACCCATTTCGTCCAATCCTATGTGGGATAAGCACTCAGAAAATTTTTCATCATACAAATCCTGCTCCACTGCAGTGAAAGGGATAGTCAATAAAACTCTGTTTTGTGGAGGCAATTTTATATCGTCGTGCACCATTGCCTTTGTGTGTCTGATTGCTATACTTGACCAGAACTTCTTGAACTCGGGTACATTCTTGACAAGCACCTCCCACGACAAAACACCGATATCGTGGTTAAAAGGATACAATCTCAAAAATTTCAAGTAGGAAAACAAGTCGTTTAAGTCCTTCCTGATGGGGGTACCAGAAACCCCCCAGGCATGATATCTTGGAATCAAAGCCGCACTTTGGAAAGCTTTTGATACCGTCAGTGACACCATCTGGACCTCATCTAGTATGACCCTCCAAAATTGAATTAGCATCAATGGGGACTCATACTCATTTTTGCGGTACCAACTAGGGATTTTGTTATGTCTCATGGCCAATTGTATCTCGTTCTGTAATGCCTGTTCGTAATCCGTTTCCTGCTGCAGCGAGTCCGATTTTTGGTTTGCTTGCAGGGGCTTTCTCAAACTTGTCAATTGGAATAGTGTCAGATAATCGTGAGCCAAAGTCTCTTTAACATCGGACTCAATGCCGTCTTCTCCCGAGACTTCGCTCATTGCATCAGAGTATGGGACATCTCGCTTTGAAGCTCTTGTTTTCCTCAACTTGCTAGAATATTTAGCATAATCTAGTTCTTTGGAGATTATCTGGTATGTGGTAATGACGACATCAAACTTTCGTAGATGTTCTGCAATAACAGCTGGTTTGTTATCAAACATGGGATAATTTGATACTCCCTTATACTCGGTAAGCGCCAACGATGGAGCCAAGTTAATGATCTCATTCTTCCACTGCTGGAGTATAGTCGAAGGTGCAATAATCAATGTTGTACGGCCTTTAATAATAGTTTTCGCATCCCCAAACTCATTAAGAGGTAAATTGAGTCTCTTATCGACATCAGTAATAGGACGTTGATTCAACAAGATTAGTGAAGTGGTTTCCACAGTTTTACCTAAACCCATCTCTTCGCTCAATAAGCATCTAGCAGGAAGAGTCATTGGGTATAAATTTTTGTCTTCTTGGTGCATATACTCAAGGAGATAATCTTTAATCTGTTGCAAGGATGCAAGATGACCGGTATATTTGTTGAAAAAGACTCTTCTGCTTGAAATTTCCATTGGTTTCCAGCCACACCATATTTTATTTACAAATTTCAAGATCGACTCTTCATGGACCAAGTCACTTTCGGTGAAAGCCACAATTTGGTCACACCTGCTAGTTTCAAAGTTGTATTTTGCACTCTCCTTTTCCAACATCCAATTCACCGTCTTTTTCTGAAACTTTAACAAATCAGTTTCAAGCTCGGGAAGATCAAAGTCACCTTCAAATACTGGCAATTTTTCCGTGTGTTCACATATACATTTGTAGAAAAGTTCTGGGGTAGCTATGGCCAATTCTTGAGTTTTATTGGTGGCCGTATCATTGTCCAAAATGTTTATTAAAGAAGCCAGTATTTTCCTCAGTACGGTATTCTCCAAGCTCATACGATAATCTAAAACGTACGTCAAGGTAACACGCACTACTGCATTCCCTAGCTTCAAACTTAACCGAGCATCACTAGAAAGACCATATTTGTGATGTGCCGAAGTTATCAATCGAATTTCTTCTAGTAGAATTTGTGACTCAGGCACGTCCCCTATTTCAATCAAAGTGTGGAGCTTAGCCCGTTGGCACTTAACCAACAACGTTCCCCCTTTTCCGAATGAGAGCTTAACTATCTCATTTGACGCGTCGACAACGCTTTTTCCTTTATACTCATCGATAAGCTCAAAACACCTTTCGATGATTCGTATTTTTTCATGGTCAGCGATATCGGTATTCAATTTCCTCTTCTTTGCCGACCTCACGTCAAGTGCATGATCTGTTTGCGGGGAGGAATCGCTAAAACATTTGCGAATATTATCCTCATATATAGCCTTTATGTGCATATGTAGCGTACTTGATTTCTGGAGAAAGTTGCCGTTGTCAGATCGCATTTTCACAATGATAACCGCGAGCTTCAAAATATAAGGAAACTATGGATGCGAAAAGTAAAATACACTTTACAACACCAACTACTAGACTCAAAAATACATTATCTATGCTTACTTTTCTTACTAACTCGGCCGCTATTCTTCAACTTGAGCAAGTTGTTTTTTTTTGCATTCGCAGCTAGTTTTCTTTCCGCCTCATCACCATGCCGTACTTTTTTCCCATTTTCACCAAGTTCATTTTTGAATGCATAGTCCAAACTGATTTTGGAGTTCATAAGGATGGTGTTGTTGAGTTTTTCAATCACCAAGTCACTGGTTTCAAAGTCTCCAAATGTTACAAACCCAAATCCCATTGAGTTCCCTTCATGATCTCGCTTGATTTCTGGTTCTTTTATGATGGTCCCGAACTTCAGAAACGTATTCATCAAAAACTTTTCATCGATCAACGGGTTTAAGTTGTTTACAAATACACTGGCGCCGACATCGATATATTTGTCACTCAACAATTCCAGTTTCGAATTGACAAAAGTTCCAATCTGCTGTCGCTGTAGTGTTTGTGGTTTCGACTCGAGTTTCTTCAACTTCAACAACTTCCCGTGAAGCCTTACACCTCGTAGAATATCTTCGGTATACTTTGCATCAAGTGGATTTTTAAATTCGACGAATCCGTACCCCTGGTGTGTTTTGAGGACTCTATCTTTAGGCATGTTTATGTTTTTCACGGGCCCAAACTGGACAAACAATTCATACATCAATAACTCTGTGCATTGTGGATCGATATTCCCAAAGTATAGAGAGGCATTAGTATTTCTTTCTGAGTCCGGTAGTTTTCGAAATACTGATGACATTGTGGGAGAGAGCGCTATGTAGTGGAAATGAGTAGAAGAGATGGATTTTTTGATGATTGTGCGAATTCAATTTTGTACATTAAAACACATTATATACAGAATCAGTTTCCTACATCGGAATCTCCTACAGACTGCTCACCCAAGTCTACTTTGATTGAAACGGTGGATTTCGCCGTTGATTCCTCAGGTCCACTATCAGAATCGCTCTCGCTATCATCATCGGAACTCTCTTCACTGGATGAGCTTTCCAGAGATTCTGAGTCTGGTTCAGAGTCATCAGAGTCCAGTTCATCGTGTTCCGGCTCATAAGCTCGACTTGCATCTACAACACGGCTAGCCATGGCTTCATCACTCACGGTAATGTAGATCGTTGGATATTCCAACACAATTTTATCCTTCAACGCATCACTGATTGAATGTTCACCGTTCAACTCAATGACCGAGTTTGATGGAGTATTTGTCACATTCTTCAAATAAAAATGCAATTGGGACGTCTCAGATATGCCGTGGCTTTTTAGTACATTCAACGGGACAGCTCGGAGGAGAGATAGTTGCTCATTCAAACGATAACTGAGAAACTTGGTAATTTCTGTATTCCCGGTAACATCCACAACAATCCACTCAATGGTCCAGGTAAATGAGTTGGATTTTCTGTCATACCCAGTTTTATTAGACATGGCTCTTTGCATTCCTGGCGCAACTTGTACAATCATGGTGTTCTCCCTCTTGACGACAACAGCAGGATTGTGAGGAAATATCTGCATCACCAGTAATCTTCTCTTGTCCTCCTCAGCTTCATTTTGTTTGAATCGTTTTCGATCTTGCCTATTATCTTGTCTGGCTCGTTTCAAGATATTTTTTGCTTTTTCTCTAATGTCTTCCTTCGATAAATGAATTGATCTGCCAACATTTACTAGGTAGTTGTAATCCCGATTCAAATGTGTTGGATTCTCCGTTAGCTCCAGTTTCTGTATGAACTTGGTTGTATCAACTTTACCAGTACAAGAATCTCTCTCCTTGTGTATTTTATAACAATCTAGTGAACACGTCCTTGTACTACACGCTGGGCACGTGTACTTGATCTGGTTCCGATGACATATCTGGCAATCACCTTTGAGAGTCTCCATTCAAAAAAGAAGTGCTCTACTGCAAAGTTGACAATAAAATGTGTCTAATGATAAAATGAGATGTGATTAGTTGCAAATGCCACACCAAAAAATACTGAGAATGTATTGTTCTTTTTTTGTTAACAAAAAATTTTTCAAATCAAACTACAGTTCGAGCAACACAGTCACAACGTTAAATCAATGTTCTTCTCCAAAACACGTACATTGCAACATGTACCTGTTTACAGATGCATTATCAGAACCATGAAACAAAGAAGGTCTGTAAATAAATTGGTAGAGGTACAATTACTAAAAACATTACCTGGTATTGGAGTAGAGGGTCAGATTTTACATGTTAAACCAGGTTATATGAGGAATTATTTACACATCGACAACAAAGCATGTTATATCACACCAAATAACCCGCCAAGGATTCCCGTGGTAGATGTCGAAGACTTGCGTCTCCAAGAGCAGAGGAAACGTAAACAACTTCAACAAAAGAAGCAAGAAGAAAACGTACAAGAAGAGGAAACTGATAAACTAGAGCCAGCAGAACAAGCAAAAGAGGAAGCGAATGGAGCAATGACCCTCGAGGAATTATCTGATTTGTTTAGCAGCATGAAATCATCCAAAAGAGTACCCGACAAGCCAGACTTGAAAGTTCAATCAAACATATTCGATGCGACAAAAGAAATGATCCCTGGCCTAGAGGTGGAGGGCCATGAGTTTGATTCAGTACAAGATATCGACAATAAATTGCCCAAATTGTTGACATTGAGTAACTCTGCTTTACCTATCAATAAGAAAACCCTCGCCAAGCATATCGAAGAATTGACTGAACGTAATATTGACATTGGAAAATTGAATTTGAGTTATATAGATACACCAGAGGACCACATTGATTCAATCACCGAAACAGGAAGATTCCAAGTGAGACTCAAGTCCGATGACGAAAAGACGTCTATTACAAGGGTGTTGGAAGTTGAGTAAAACAGCTTAGCTGTCGTGTTATATCCCCCCCTGTCGTGTATATATATCAAACAGACAAACGAGAATTGTTTTATCTGCTTTTGTAGATTTTGCGTCTCATTGGTGTCTGATTCTCTTTGCATTCTAATACAAAAAATAATTGAAGCTTAGGCCGACATACATCTGTTAATCTTCCAAATGAGTTATCATGCCCTTACAATACAGCGCTGCCAAAACATCCAGTGTTTCTAAAAGCCGACTGCCTTCCAAGTCTCCTGTAAAAAAGTTTCAAAGAGATGCTAAGAAGTTATTGCCATCGCAGAGAGTTTACAAAAACAACCTCCAGAAACTAATGGCGTCGAAGACGCCATCATCACCTGCAAAACCCGATAGGGAGAAGTTAGAGGTACAGGACTACAACGTTCAGCTAGATTATCAGTTATCGTCGAAAGATGATGTTGTAGTAGCTGTTGATACCATTCTCTCAAATCGATGGTCCGAATCGACCGAGTTGCACGATCGTTACAAAACACGAGATTTATTAGGGAACGAAGAAGAGAAAGTATTCCAAATTAAAGGGTTGTCGTCCACTTTAAAAGCAGAATTGATCAGATATAGACATTCCCTACCGCAGGGGTTAGTCGCAATCACGCAGTTGTATGCAATTTTCCACAATGAGGGTCCAACTTTTGTTGACAAGTCTTTGGAGTTAAACATACGAAAGGGTATCTTACGTAAGTTTATCATCACCAATGCATCACCGGTGATACTGAGATCACATAACAAATTTCAAGTGAACAAAGTTACTTATGGGTTTGAAGATATTGAAGTGATTGCCAAGGTTGATTATTTCCATAAACTAATAAAGAAGGTAATGTCTGGCTTGGATGACAAGAGTTCCTCGAAGCAAGCTCTTGTCAAATTTAATGAACTTATAAGTTTGCATCCCACTGAAATGTTTATTTCTACTTTGGACTTTACCAACGAAGAAGTCTCAAACTTGGTTCAATTAGGATTCATCACTTTAACTTCTAATCATTTCAATGAAATCGAGCACAAATATTCTATATCATACCCGGGATGCGGAACATATCTTAAGTTGGTCAATGAGGGACGTACCTGGTTAGTGAAATCATTGAACAGGAACAAGCACAAAGAGGCACTCGAGGAGGAACTTTTCCGAAAATGGCTGGGTATGAATCCCGAAGGTGATCCCAAACTCAACAATTTTCGAAAGCCATTTTATGGCTATGACTTACATTGGGTTCTAGCGGATGGACTAGGTAGTGGAATAGTCGAGGTTTTCAATACGCCCGTTGGTCGCGGATGGAGACTTACAGGGAAGGTATAGATAAAAGTATAGTTAAGAAAATACAGTTAACATAATTATAGATATACATCTGACAAATATACAATGTTATCGTTCGAAGTGATTGTGAGGCACTGACAGAAAAGCATCTTATCATGCTTTACATTCTGACTCTTTGTTTCTTTTGCAACTTCTTTTGCTTCTTTTCTTGAGCCTTTTTATCAGCTTTCAACTGCTCCTCTCTGGACAAATTTCTCAACTTGTCCCTCTCTTCTCTTTTCAACTTGGCTTGCTCTTCGGCCAACTTTTCGTTTTTGATTTCTTGCTCTAACTTCTTGTACTTTTCAATCTCAGCCTCTCTGGTCTTGACGACTCTTTTCACAGTTTCTGGTTTGAATGTAATGGCTTGGTCTGATAACTTATCAACAAGATTGAATACAGCATCTAGTACTTCCCTAATGATTTTGAGATCTGATTTACTAGTAACAAGACCCAACCTAACAATCACTTTCCTATTTGGAAGGAAATCTCTCAATGATTCTGGTTTAGCTTCTGGTTGGTCCGTGAAGGCAATAAACTTGATAAATGAGGCACTACCCAAAGTCAATGCTTGTCTCAATTCAGTGGTTGTTAACTTATCTTGAAATTCATGGGCTTCACTCATGTATACAAAACTTTCTGGCAAGTTTGGCGAATCAGTTGTTTTACACAATGATAAAAAGTAATTGGCCTTTCTAGCATCATTCATACCCAACTTTGACACAATTGCAGAAATAAAGTTGTCATATTTACCCAGTGGTGTAATAACAACTTCAACAGTATCTTCAGGAGCTTTGACATTGTTGGTGAAGAAACTAATCAACACCTCCATAATCCAAAGGAAAAGATTGTGGCGAGGGGCCAACACAAATTTCAAATCAACTTTGGCAATGTTTAAGCGACCTGATGCGTATGAGGAATAATTTTCAGAACTATCTTTCACATAAAGCTTATTTGGCGCAACACCAAATTGGAAAAATTGCTTGGTAAATGTTGGTTTAACGTTGTTTAAAAATTTGGTGACTTTAGATTGATTGTACAAATCGCCAGCTTTGAATAAAAGGACGAAGATGACGGTGAATCCCAAGGTGAAAAATTCCACTCTCCAATCCTTCAATTGGATTCTTTGCCAAATGGTCAATGCATTGAGCTCTTCCAAAGTGAGCTGGTTGACCCTAAACAAAAGTTAGTATCAAAAATGGGAAGAAGGAGCCGGGTGCGACATACTGTTCTGGAACCGTAAATGGATAATACTTGGATATCAATTCGAAGATCATCGTTTTATAAAGGGGAGTTCCTGGAGTTAGTCTTGTGGTACATCCTTCGACCAAATTTTAGTTTTTAATTTTTTTTTTTCATTTCGTTGTTGAACGAAAGTTTGGTCGCGGACTAAGGCTGGGCACCATCATGCCGTCCAAACGACAATTTCTATCAACAAGTATGTGCAATGTACAAAAAGTACTACATCTATTCCTTCTACACAACCACCTATTCCATCTATTTCCTTCTTTTACTAGTTGGCTCCTCCTCAGTTTGTTGTTGACGCTGCTCTAGTCCATCATGCACTGCGTTTGTAATGAGCTCTCTCAACCCTTCTTCTGGATTTTCGCTCTTTAAAATCTCCTCAACCCTCTTTCTCCTCTGTTCTAGTTCCTCTGGGCTCAATTCCTCATCTCCTTGCTGTTGCTCTTCTGTTTGTAAAGAGTATTTAATTTCACGACCATCAACAGTTCCAGGTTGGGGCAAGCTCTCCAAAAAATCGTTTGCTTGAGTGATTTCACTAGACGTGTCTTCAGGTTTATCATGCGACAAACTCTTCAAGTATGTCGCTATTTCAGGAAACTCATCCTCCTCCTCGATGAATTTTGCAGCTGTTAATCCGTCATTATTCTTGATGTTGTAATCAGCCTTATATTTCTCCACTAAAAGTTTCGCCGTGTTCACATCTTCAACATGATGTAATGGTGTATCTCCTTCATTGTCTTGTATATTTATGTTCCCGCCATGGTTGACTAAATAGTCGATGAGGTCGTGGTGTCCATAAGATGCTGCAGCATGTAGTGGTGTGTAACCATTAGGATCCTTTGCGTTGGCGGTAAATTCTCCCAGAGTAATGTACTTCTCGACTTGATCGATTTGATTATCAGCAGCCGCAATCCATATGTTTGAGACCATTGTGATTTAAATGTGGCGGTTGTAAGAAGCTAAAAGAAAGAGATGAGAGTATGGCAAAAAAATGCGAATATGGTTTGCGCAAGAAACTTGCATATACTTCTGCTCCTACAGCAATTGCTATTAACAGCAAGGACAGCACCGAGGATTTGATATCAGTATAGGAAGATTCACTAGTGTTACTTCAAGAACAACTGGGCCTTGCTTTCTCCCCTCGTTTCCAAATTCACGAATCAATATGGCTGTATCGGTTTGTAAAGACATACAAACCTAATAATGAGCAACCTCAATTCAAGTTTAAGCACTGACATCCCTCACATGGCAAACCATATGGGCACATCGAGTGGTCTCTTCTTATTCTTTTCTAGCTCCAATCCCATCCTTACTCTTTCCAAACATCTTTCTACATGTCGACACGTCCTTGTTTTGCACCAAATGACCAGGTAGTTCCTTCGACACATAATGGTTGTACATGTTGATTTCGGTATTTTCACAATCCTTATAAGTGTCAAACCACAAGCATTCACATGACTCAGGCAATTCCTCAATCAAATCGTCAATGTTGTCCTTTGGGATTTTGTTGTTTCCTTAAAGTATAGCCCCATACACATTTGAATGCAAGGTTGGACCCTTATGACCAATATCCTTCATTTAAAGCTTTTCCAATTTATTGTTACTCAAATCAAGGTGTTTCAAGCTTGTTGCTGTGGGTGGAAATGTAAACTCAATCTCAGTTATATCATTGTCCCCAAAATTCAACACCTCAATTGTGTTGTATTCAAATTACACCTTGACTTTGGCCATATCATTAAACGACATACCCAACACTCGCAAATTCTTCAACTTGCTTAACGAGTGAGGAAAATCAGGAATTCTGTTTGCTGAAATATCAAGCTCTCCAACGGTGTCAGGTATCGCATTGTTGAATTTCCCCCATATTGAGCTGGGGCAAGTATAAATACTTAGGGGTGTGAAGTTGCCAAAGGAGATTGTTTTCAATTGAACAAGATTGGTCTCAGTCATTCGCAAAAACTACAAGGTGTTTCGATGACAGGTGACATGAAACAGGTGGGGGTGTAGAAGATCAGATTAGTCTCTAACTGCTATAAAAAGTAGAGATAAAGTAGAAAAAGTGATTGTAGAATCTGTTGTTATATCTACTACAATAGATAATTTCACAAGTTCTGTCGAATCGATGACAGCGGTCTTTATATATTTGATATTGAGTACTATTGTATTTATTCTATGATATTTAAAAGTGGAATTCCGATTCATTATCAGAACTTTGTCTTGCTGCCTTTTCGTTAACAGGGTAAGGTGGGTATTTTTCGTTTTGATCCTCTGAACTGGAGCTTGCAGTCTTGGTTTTTGGCACGGTGAAATCCCACTCATCAGAATCCACATCATCGTCGAATGAGTCTCCACCTTCCTCATCAAATGCAGATTCTTCATCGTAGTGTCCATCATCACGTTCGGGATAGAAATGAGCTGGTTCCATTCTTGATTCCGAGTTTTTGTAGCCATGAGCGATATTATCACGACGCATCTTTTCGTACGTCTCTGGCCTATCTCTGTGGAACCCGTCGTCATCTTCGTCTGAACTTGGGTAGTAAGTTTGTTCAGCGGTAATGATACGTCTGACCTCCAATGGTAATCTATCTGGACGGTAGAAACGAAGATCAATCCTGCCAACAATGTATAATATCATAACAATAAGTTCAAAGACACCCCATACCACATACATCAAATACTTGTTCTCTGCTGGACCAGCAAAACGATGTTGTCTAGCTTGAAAGACCACGACGCATCGGCAAATTGCGGCAATGAAAATAAGCACAGTTGTCACAATGAGGATTCCCATAGATATGTTATGCTTAAGGGTACCTCTTTTGTTTGTCAATCCCTTGACGCTATGGAAATGATGGTGAGTTGCAGCAATAACCCTTGTGGCATGTCTATGGTTGGAATTTCTCTTCATAAATGTATGTTCAGCTTTTTGAGCGGCATGTTTCTCCACAAAATAAAATGGTGCAAAACTTTCAATCCACCATGGTTGGTAAGTATATCTCAACTCATCCTTTTTCGTTGGTAACCAGAAACTCAATCCAATCAATGCAACCGATGTCAATGAGTACAAGATAACCATGATTGCTGTAAACTGTACTGTGTGGATCCAACTTCTATAAGACCTATGACTTAAAAAGTTCAAATAAGGAACAAATGAAGCCAAAATAGTCACAGCGATAAGAATCACAACAAAGAAGTATGTAATCATCATGAATCCCCAAAACAACAATCTAGAACCACCAACAGGATGTCTCCATGTAAACAATCTTTGCGCTAATATCAAATTGGCTGACACGATAACAATCGAAGGTACAAGTAAAAATACCTCACTAGTCAATCCGACTGCGATTTGGGTAACATCGTATGACCATTGAACTCTAAGTCCAAACCCAATAACTTTGCAGATTGAATAAAACATCCAAACAATAGATAAATAGAAATAATGTCCTCTGGAAGTGTTGATGATGAAAATCAAAAGATGGAAAACAAACACGATACCAAATAGAATGGCAAATGCTAAGCTGGGACCGAAATCATTGCTTGTGGGATAGCTACCAAACAAATTGATCTGAGTACCAACATTGTAATCAACCAAGATTTGTGGAATGTTAGGACCAATTAAATTCCTTGCTTCTCTCAACAAGGGGTCAATACCAGTACCAACTTCTGCACCATTTTGCGTACTGGTAAATAGTAGGCTCATGATACCCGTGCTCGCTGTGTACACGTGGTCAACCATTGTTGCTGTGAGTACTCTTTTTTAAGTGGGTGCTGTTTTTCGTTGCCAAACTGAAAACTTAATATGTATGGTATGTGTCGTACGTGTGGCAGTGTCGTATTGAGTAAAGGTGGTAATTGATGATCCAATGGCCAGCCAATGGGTATAACACGGGATCCAAATAATTAAAGGACCTTGTTCTTGAAAATAAACTGGTGGTGAAGTACTATCCTCGCTACACATTACGAATACTAAGTTCAGATGCATCAAAGATTTGTATATATATATATATATGTGTGTGTGTCATGACTTTGGAGCATGAAATCTCCTAACTCTGTGATTATAACCAAATATGGGTAGAAATACAAAAAAATGTATGGTAGATCTATGCGTGTTTGGTTTTTGTAACTCCTTCATGTGAATTTTAAATTTTAAAAGAAACATAACAATAGGTTTGTGTAACTTTGCTAGCTACATTAAAATTTACTCCACTATGTTAACTAGGTAAAAGAGGGTAGCTCAATAGTAAATTTCGGTCATTTGTTGACATATTAGTTTCTTTTCAAGTATAATAATTGCCCCACCTGAGCAGCTAAAATATTTCAATTTCTGTTTTGGATTTTTCTTTTTGTCTTTGTTTTTGGATGGGAAACGGATGGGAAACGTACGATAGAGATGTGTACAAGTGTTAGAACAAGGGAACCGGGATGCGGATATAAACTTGTAGCTCATCCGCTCTGTGGACAACGTAACAACTCTTTGCCTTACAAATGAGCTAAAAGAGACCATGAAGAGACATGAAGAGTAATGTTCTTTCTCTTTTGAGGGTACCAAAGCACCTGAAATGGACCAGATTCTAGTTTGTATCAGTGAGAAACATAATCATGATTGGCACGATTTTACACGCTTTAACCAAACATTGTAAGTCACCCCAAACCTGACACGCATATTGCAACACCCCATTCCACAAATAGCAGACAACTACTGGCATATTTATTCCAACACACATTAATAGAAAGCTACAACTTTTTATTGTGCAATTGACTGATCTTAACGCCAATTACTTTGTTTTGACTTTGATTCTCTTCGGTATTCGAAGTTTGTGTCACTTTTACAAAAAGGATGCGCAGATTTATTTTTTTTTTTTTGAATTTTGCACTACTTACCTAAAAAGGAAATTTTATTTGCACTGATATAAAGAAAAGGATGCGGCTGAGTTTACACACTCTATTTTCCTATCAAACAATTATCTACGAAGTTACCATTGCATCCACCCCAGTTGTAACAACAGTCAATGTTCTACTGTATAAGCTCTTCTTTACTTGTTTTTCCGAGGAGAGCGCAAACTTTGTAAGATGTTATACCTAATGATTATACTCTTAATCAGAAATACTTACACAAGTTAAACAAGGTAAACCAGCTACCTACGTACGATAAATACTTCGTTTTAACCCCTTCTAGAAATGAAACTCAGAGTCTGCATCAGTCTCACGTTGGTTGCCTTCCGTTGGATATGGGGCATATGGATGTTGATTGTGCTGATTATTGTAGTGTGCGTCATGACGGTCGTAGTCCTTATTGAAATCCTCTTTGTTCTTGTTGTCATATGGCTTGGCATCAAAACCGTGGCCATAAGCTCCATCATTATACTCGTCAGAGCCACTGCTCTCTTTTTCATTCTTAGGTACTGTGAAATCCCAATCATTAGAATCAACATCATCAAAATCATCCTCAAACTGAGATTCCTTGTCTTCGTCCATGCCATAATAGTCTGGCTCTCTTTCGTACAAGTGTGAAGGTTCCATTCTGGACTCAGAATTCTTGTAACCATGTTCAATGTTATCACGACGCATCTTTTCGTACGTCTCTGGCCTATCTCTGTGGAACCCATCGTCATCTTCGTCTGAACTTGGGTAGTAAGTTTGTTCAGCGGTAATGATACGTCTGACCTCCAATGGTAATCTATCTGGACGGTAGAAACGAAGATCAACTCTGCCAACAATGTACAAAATCATAATGATGACCTCAAACACACCCCATACAACATACATGAACCATTTACTTTCTGCTGGACTTGCATAGAGGTGCCATCTGGCTTGAAACACAACAATAGCTCTTCCAATTGCTCCAATAAATATAAGTATAGTTGTCACAATGAGGATTCCCATAGATATGTTGTGTTTAAGGGTACCCCTTTGATTGGTTAACCCTTTGATACTATGGAAATGATGGTGAGTTGCAGCAATAACCCTTGTGGCATGACGATGATGTGAGTTTCTCTTCATGAACGTATGCTCAGCTTTTTGAGCGGCATGTTTCTCCACAAAATAAAATGGTGCAAAACTTTCAATCCACCATGGTTGGTAAGTATATCTCAACTCATCCTTTTTCGTTGGTAACCAGAAACTCAATCCAATCAATGCAACCGATGTCAATGAGTACAAGATAACCATGATTGCTGTAAACTGTACTGTGTGGATCCAACTTCTGTATGAACTGTAGCTCAAAAAATACAAGTACGGAACCACCGAGGCAATAATAGTAACAGCTAAAAGAATGGCCACAAACGCATAAGCCGTAAACATAAAGTTCCAAAACAACCAACGTGAACCACCGACTGGGTGTCTCCATGTGAATAACCTTTGTGTTAGAATCAAATTTGCCGAAACTATAATAATTGCTGGAACAATCAAGAAAATCTCACTAACAAGACCTTGAATGATTAAAGTTATATCTTTTGCCCAATTTGCTCTAATACTGAATCCGATAACTTTCATCATACAGTAAAAGATCCACACAAGTGACAAATAGAAATAATGTCCTCTTGATGTATTTATAATGAATATGATAATGTGAACAACCATAATGACACCAAATAGCACAGCAAACACTACACTTGGAGCATAGTCATCGTGGTTAGGGTATGAACCAAATAAGGTGTTTTGGGTTTCGATAAAGTAGTCGATTAGATTTTGGGGAAGGTCGTATCCAAGTATATTACGGCCCCATTTCAAAATTTCATTCACCCCTGTACCTTCAGCAGCTCCATTAAATAGAGTTTCCGAAACCAATTTACTGACCCCATGTGCAGGAGTGTAGTATAGTGTACCCATTTTTAACAAGCTATGGTGGAGACAGATGCGTTGATGCTGGGTATGTTATATGTCCTGGTTTAGGTGGTATCGATGGTGATATTGATTGATGATGTATCTGCCCTATTTCGGTAAAGAACGACTGATTGCTATTAAGCCTAGTTGGTTGATGGTGACAACAGAAGTAGAAACCTGGCAGCATATGCTGCGTGGAGCCTAGTGGCGGAATGGCATCAGCTTTTATAGGTAATGTGTTGTGGTGAGTACCCCCACCTTTATTGCAAATTTACTGAGCTAACATATTCAATCAAACGTACAACTTTTTACCTTTGTATCATCTGGATCAAGTAACTGTTCTATCCCCGGACACTAAAGTCAAGAGTATTTAGAACGTATGTTTAATGCCTATTTTTGTCAATCAAATTGGCTCACTCAAAAATTGTGACCCAAAAGTGGAGACAATAGGAGGTGATGTAAGAAGAGGGGTACTTATTTTTATCAGTTAACAACTTCTACGAAAAAAAATAAAAGCCATGGCTCGATTTAGAAGAATTGCCAAACCTAACCATCAAAGAATCTCACTCATAACCATCAAGAATCTTGCCATACTAAAACATAAAAATGTATGACTGGATCCGTGAATCACGTTGTACGCTGCCAAACTAGATGATGAAGCCTACTTTTGCCCTCATATTTTTAATTGGCACAACGCTAATGCTTTGGCAACGGGTCGCCTGCTTTGAAAATTGGTTGCATTTAGCGCCTTAAATCCGGTTGACTTGTGTCCCGCTTTTGCTAAAATTCGTTGGAGTTAACAAAAACTAGAACAATAGAGAAAAATGAAAGTGGAGAATAATTTAAAAGAGATATCACGGAATTTTGTGAAGTTTAGAAGTAATTAAAATAAGAGGTGAGAGCTAGCCATTTGCGGTAAAATGGTAGTCATGTCTCAGTTATTACGATAACCTTGCTACTTAATGTATGATGCTGCAACATAATATAAAGGGGTCTTGAACCTCGTGCACCTAGGTCTACAGTTTGCATAATCAGACGCGAATGCTAATGTTGAGAAAAATTGCTAACAAACTGTTTAGTTGAAAACTATTTTCTAAATGACCTGATTGGGAAATATAGCGAGGTCGGATGTCCCTGACTCTGGGGATTCCTATTCGGGATGTTGAATTAAAGAATACTACTTCTCATCATTTCCAAGCACGCCATAATCAGTGCTTTTACTTGATAACTCATATTATGAAACGCAAGATCCCAGGATTTTGTCCAACTTTTGAGAGCCACGAAGAATTGGTGAGAGTCACAAGGCGTCGAGCTGATTTAGTGTAAACTGATCTTGGCTCACATTTGATTGTGTCCCAAAAAGTAACAAAAGGGTAGCTCAATATCACATTATTTTATGTTTGTGTGATGTTTCCCAATCAGGCAATTTTTTTAAAGTATTCCTAACCATTTCCCGTTTAGGTGATGTTGCGAAAAAAAAAAATGGGTCAAGTGCAGGTGAGACTATAACGGGAAAAGAACAACTTGGGTTTGCTAAATAAACGATTGGCACGAGTGCCAATAAATGGAGATTGCAATAAGCAAGTACCATTTGTTTGGTTCGAGATGTGAGGAAAGTCTTTTTCGGTGTCTGACTTTGTTTGTACAGAGCACTCTGGAAGTAGTGAGATAAAGACAACGTTTTTGACTTGCAAAAGAATACCTTTACCCCTTACATTTGTACGGCTGCGTTTTGAAACGCAGTTCTATTTGAGATCAATACACACTTTTCGTACTGTTGCGTATGTGTGCATAATTTAGACCGAACCTTACACGAGCGCTTGACTCTGCATATTATTGTATCTAATGGTTTGTAATGTCTATATTTAAATATGATATCAAAAGAAGCCTAAAATGAGAACTGAATTCGAACAATGCGTGTTGGCCGCACAACTGGCTTTTTTCTAAAACTTGAACTCATCATCAGAGTCGTCAAATTTCTTATCGCGTTCATTCGCTGGTGTGTTGGTGTATGTATGTTGGTTAGGTGTAAACAATTCCGAACCTGTGTTGTAACTCTTCTCCTCGAACTGGGCGTTACGTTCGTTCGCAGGTGTACTACCAAAGAAGAAGTCATCACTAGATTGTGAAGATTTAGCACCATCACCATATTCAAATCCCTCATCATCGTCATCACTGTATTGCTGATAATACTTGTCTTCGCTTTCTTCTTCATCTTCCCCTTCATTGTCACTTTGAGTTGGGGTAATCATTTGTGATTGTTCTGCTGTGATGATAGCTCTGACTTGTGCTGGCAACATATCTGGCCTATAGAATCGCAAGTCAGCTCTTCCAACAATGTATGAAATGTGTATCACAAATTCAAAGACACCCCAGCTGAAATACATTGAAGTGCCTGCTGCCGCAGGTGTTGATGTTTTGTGTTGTCTGGTTTGGAAAACAACAATTGCCCTCAAAATAGCAGCTATAAACACTCCAATTGTGGATATAATAACAATAAATAATGACACATTGTGCTTCAAGTCACCTCTTTGATTTGTCAAGCCCTCGACCATATTGTAATGGTGATGTGTTGCAGCAATAACTCGAATAGCATGACGATGGTTTGAATTACGTTTCATAAATGTGCTTTCCGCTTCTTGTGCTGCACCTTTTTTAACAAAGTAAAACGGGGCAAAACTTTCAATCCACCATGGTTGATACGTATACAATCGTTCATCTTTTTTAGTTGGCAACCAAAAACTCAACCCGATCAAAGCCGATGCAGTCAAAGTATATACAATCAACAATACGCAAACGAACTTGTTCAAGTTTTTGAAAACATTGAAGCGTGATGGTGAAAGGAAGTACATGTATGGAATCGCGGATGCAAGTATTGCTACCGTCAAAAGTATCGCAACAATGCAGTACAAGAACATCATAAAAAACCAAAATAAATTTCTGTTACCACCAACCGGATGTCGCCATGTGAATAACCGTTGAGCCAATATCAAGTTGCCTGAAATTAGCAAAATGGTTGGCACAACTAGTAAAATTTCGTCGGCGATCCCCATTCTCACATTGATTATGTTCTGCGCCCAAACTGCGCGATAAACAAATGACATAAATCGAATCAAACTTGTCACTGCCCAAAATAAACTCAAATAAAAGAAGTGACCTCTATAAGTATTGATTAGGAATATTACTAAATGTAATAGACCGGTTACTCCAAATAAGGCTGAAAACAAGATACTTGGGGCAACATCACTACTATAAGGATATCGACCTAATAAATCAATTTGCTTTCCAATAAAGTTGTTTATTAGGGTCTGAGAAATTTTGGAACCCATGAGCCCCTTTGCTTGAGCAACTATAAAATACACCCCGGTTCCTTCATCGGGCATGTTATTATAAGCGAGTAATATATTTATAGCGCCATGAGTTGCGGTGTAATATTCATCAGTATCAAAAGGTCCAATAGGTGGTTTAAACAGCATCTCTTTTTTCCAGTGTACAACGACGACCGATTGACAGTGCAACGTGGAAAAGAGAACCACCCTAGAAAATGATATTCGAAATTTGCACCATCTATGTCATATATATATCGATGTTATTTAAAATCGAGCTGCTATTGTCTACTGTTGTGAAAAAAAAAAAAACGGAAAAAAAAAATCGATTCTATCTTTGTGTCGAACGACAAATTTATCTAGCTCCGAGTTGCCGAATGAGGAAGCGTAAGATTCCCATTGAGTTGTGGTGTTTCCGATATAAAAGTACTATCAGAAGAGTCCAACAGAGAACTGGAGGCTAGCTCGAAACAATTATTCTCTCTGCTCTTGCAATTTATGACTTATGTGATGAGGTAGTGGTTCACAACCTAAAATATTAGCTTCAGTTTGAGACCAAAAATTAAGAAAAATGTACTTATAACTGAGAGACTTATTCTACGAAGTTAAGTATAGGGTGAGCCGCCACAGTGTACTACAATAACTTGCTCTTTCGGCTATATGTCGTCTCACATCTTCATTAGTTCCTGGAAACCAATTTCAAAATGCCGAATTACTTATAGAAACGGTTCAGATACACAAAAGAGAATTAGAATTGCATGTGAAAAATTAAATGCATAGAAAAACACAATGTATGTTTATTGCCCCTCACAAAGTCAACGGTTGAAAAAAGATTACAAACGAGAAAAGGTTATAGGGCAATTACATTTAGTTTTTGGACACTTCGCTTAAGGGTTAATTAGATGCAGTAGCATGTACAAAACTCAAAAGTCTACTCTAACATTATTCCCACTTTAACTCGCACTAGTTATTTATTCAATATACCAAGTATAGCGTACATATTATACTGGGCCCACTTATAAATCCAAACCAACAAATACAATTACCCAATACCTTCTTATCTCTCATGAATTTCGTCCTGCTTATCATCACTAGTGGAATCTGCAACATTTGAAACAAAAATAAATATCCACGGAAGGTGCCAAAAATCACATACATAACCAACTCATGAACTATACTGGATATGACAAATGTGATCACAGCGGCATTAGCTTTGCTGACTTTCAATGCACTGATGCTCGAATGATAAACATGGCGAAGAAGAAAATTGTGAACTGGTTTGTTCCATAATCTTGCAAATTCTGAAAAATCAGTACATGACCACCAAGGACCATAAAAATCACGATCAGCAAACAAAGTCAACTCCGCAAGGGCATTCAATATAGAATCCCATATGAGGAAGAACGTAAACAAATACTCCGACAAAAATGGTGGGATCATATCGATTAATACGAAAAAGTATTGGCTAGCTCGTTCGTGCACGGGGAGTTTTCGTATAATGGCTGCCCTCTTGACTATAGGTAACATATTGGTCTCCGCCACAAATATCATGAGAAATATAAGGCCAAATATACCACACACTTTTTCAAACACATAGAGCCACCTTACTTTGTCAGTTCTTGGATACCGTATAGTGTAGACCAATGTGGGGAACATGCTGTACTCAAAAAAGTTCCAAAAGTTGATATTTTGTGGGAATTTGATCAAGTCTCGTTCCTGCAATTCGGCAAACGAAATACCAAGAACCGCTTCTTCACACTTCCTCTCATCTAGTTCGGGTTTATTTGACGTAGCCCTTGATTGATACTCCAATTCATACGTTGTGAACTCAATACTGCTTTTTAAAATGGAGATTGTCTTTTCCAATTCGTGACCCTCGGGGAGTTCAACTTCATTGTTCTCCAATTGATGAAGGTACCGTTCCAGAAACATACCCTCATTGAAAACAGACCACATATATCCATTGTAATATCCGTATGAATGCATCTTCATAACAAACACAAGACTGTGCAACACTAAAAACACTCTGGCAATCCATGGGTATGCCATGTAGTGCACAAACCAAAAGTACACTGCAAAAAATTCAATTTCGTAAATACCTTGAAAAATCCAGCCGAAACGTCTCCAGCTGAGCCAACCTTGTTTGCATAAAATTTGAACCAATAGCGGAAAGTATGATGTTGTGTACATTGCCAAATCAGTTAAAGCAACTTTAAATAGATCACGCTGCAAAACTTGGACAACTTCCCACTCCCAAAATGAGGCATAACTTTCAAAGTACATATGTACTAATTCTTTAAACATGATAAATGCGGTGGATAACCAAAATAAAATGTAAAAGCCATAAAATTCTGACTTGACAAATTCATGTGAATCGAAAATGGTACTTTTACCTGAGAACGACAAATCCCCAAACTTTAATCTATACTTTTCCTTGCGTTTCTTTTCAGAACTCTCTCCTGACCGTGATTTTCGTCTCACTAATCGCTGATGGTCTTGCTCCGAGACGTATCTAACCAACCCATCCAAGGTGATATCTGTCTCCGAAACATCCAGGCTAGTACTACCAATTCGAGGCAATCTTGAAGATTTTTCCTTGCGAGATCTGAAGCTATCATATTTGGCAAGTGGACTGCTGGGTGCTTTCCTTCCAGTGGATTTCACAGCGTTTGATTCTTTGTTAAAATAACCATCATTCAGCGAGCCTGAAGTACCCGAAATTGCTGAGATTGGGGGAGTTATGTCAGACAAATCCGTAGGATCTTTCTCAAAAGCGGATCCTTCTGTTTCATCTGTATCGCTTGATGACGCATTATAATCATTGTTGATATCGAGCAAATCTCTGCGATTAATTCTGTCCGATATGAAATCTAGCTTATCTCCGGTATCTATTTTCTTGACCATGGTCACTGTAATTGATGCGGGGGTTATATATAGTAGCGTAAATCGCCTAAGGATGAAACTTCGTGCACTGCAAAATTCTAGTCAAGTTTGGAGCCACCAAGTTACTGTAATTTTTGCCACACTCTTTTTTCTTTTCCCTTTTTGAACAGTTGAGTAAGTAAGAACTAGTTGAACATGCAAAAAGAAAAAGTAGGTTTGATGACTATCGATGCAATTGGTACAGTTCCATGATATTTATAGAATCGTGGACAGGTCAGCTGTCTAAGTATTTTTTTTTTTGTTGGGTTATAGGCTTAAAATTGAATGTGAACAATAAGCAAAACGTTCTGTTGTCGTGTTTTACTTTTGTCCCTTCGAGCAACTTAGTAATATTTTTGTTAACTCCGATATGCATTGTTAGCTAAACATTATGGCGCTTAGTCATGCAATGGAAGAACAAGGAATACGGGTAATGAGGAGAAACAGACTAAATTGTAATCCTATTCGCCGATGTGCATATGAAGAATGCAAACGGTTTGAAAAGAGGCTCTCTTGGAAGATCCGGAATCTAATTATTTTCTTTGACTTATGTTCTAAAGCAACCGTTGTTTTAAAATCTATTTACAAGAAGATCCGAAAGTTTGCAATTCCTTTTCTTCACCTGTATACCCTTTCGAATGGCCTAGTATCATTGAAGCAACTTTTCCAAACAATCCCTACCACGGTTTCCGCCTCTTCCTTGCTGCGACAAGCCGGATTCGCCGAAACCGAAATTACCGCTCGTCTTTTAACGCAATCTTGAAATTTCTTACCGAAATTACCCAATCCGGTTTTTTTAATTTCAGCCCAAATCCTGCACTCTCCACTCAACATGGATGCTCGTATCTCCGTACAAGCGTGGTGTCTCAAATTTTTGTAGTTCAAATTGAATTTCATGTAGTCATACACATGAACTAGCTCGTGGGTTAAAACATCCTCCAATTGCCATTTTGATCTAATCCAATTGCTGCACAATACAATACCGGATTTGGGATCAAAACCACCCCCTTTGGTGAAATCACAAGTGGCACATTTGATAAATTTGTGATTTATAGGTTCATTGTCTTTGTTCAACTTTCGTATGTGATCCATCATGAATATGACAGATGGCGAATATTGCAATACCCACTTGAGGTTGTCATTACACGATTGACACTTTTCCTCAAGGTTTCGATTTTGATAATCGTAGATGTATTGGGCACGGTCCTGGTCTGTGAAGCCTAGACCTGTTTGGTACAGTAAAGTCCTTCTCCACCATTCAAAGCCAGAAAGTTGTGATGGAGGAGATAACGTTAGTTGTGATATGCTCTTCTCTGGTGGTTGTGAAGTGGGATGTGACATGATAGATGGGTGTGGAAGGTTGAGAATACTTGCAGGCTACAGCCAAATCAATGAGTAAGGAGTGGCGTTATATACTAGATTTAGCTTGAGAACTGCGCTTTATTCAAATTTGGTGTTGAATAATTTCTCGTCCTGCTTGTTCTATCTCGTAAAAATTTTTCACATTTTTCAAATCCATTTTCCAAACCCCATTTTATTAGCTTTATCTTTTTCCCCGGGAATTTTGCCATGTCAGAACAATTAACTCACCCATCAATCAAAGATGGCTGGTTTGCGGAAATTTCAGAGACCATGTGGCCAGGTCAAGCCATGTCATTGAAAGTTGACAAGGTCTTGCACGTTGAGAAATCAAAATACCAAGACGTTTTAGTTTTCAAATCTGAAACTTATGGAAACGTGTTGGTGTTGGACAATTGTATCCAAGTTACTGAACGCGATGAGTTCTCTTATCAAGAAATGATTGCTCATTTGGCTTTAAACTCTCACCCTAACCCAAAGAAGGCATTGGTCATTGGAGGTGGCGATGGTGGTGTTTTGAGAGAGATCTTGAAGCATGAGAGTATTGAAGAGGCTTGGTTGTGTGATATTGATGAAACCGTGATTGAAGTATCCAAAAAATTCTTGCCAGAAATGTCAAAATCATACCAAGATCCAAGAACCAAGGTTCATATTGGAGACGGTTTCAAATTCTTGGAGGAATACAAGAATCAATTTGACGTTATTATCACCGATTCATCTGATCCCGAGGGACCAGCTGAAACACTTTTCCAAAAGCCATACTTTCAATTGTTGAAAGATGCATTGACCGAAAAGGGTGTCATCACCACCCAAGCTGAAAACATGTGGATTCATATGGATATCATTTCCAAGTTGAAGAAAGAATGTGGTGAAATATTCCCTGTTGCAGAATATGCCTACACCATGATCCCAACTTACCCATCAGGCTCAATTGGTTTCATGGTTTGTTCAAAGGATCCAAATGCAAACGTTAAAAAGCCGGTTAGATTCGATTGGAGTGATGAGTTTGTGGCAAAGAATTTGAAATACTACAACAAACAAATCCATGAAGCATCCTTCATTTTGCCAAACTGGGCTGATCAAAAATTGAACAAAAGTAGCTAATATTTTTTACTTGTATAGTTTAAGTGAATGCCCTGGGATATGAATTTTATATTCAAGCCTTCGGAAACTCCGAGGGAAATCCGTTTTGTTTGCCAAAGATAGCATTGCGACACAAGAAGAAAGCCGCTTCAAATTTAAATATGAGCCATCGCAAAAAAAAGGGTCCGCCAGAGATCTGATGGTAAAACTAGTTTCTCTTCAGCATGACTTTGGCAGAACACGAGTGCAACCCATGCATGCATAATTTCCTCAAGGAGTTGCCCAAATGTGAACATCACCTTCACCTTGAAGGCACATTAGAGCCAGATTTACTATTCAAAATGGCAAAGAGAAACAATATCGAGTTACCCTCCACATTTCCATCTACAATAGAGCAGTGCAAAGAAAAGTACAATGACTTTTCCGACTTACAAGATTTCTTGAATCATTATTACGTAGGAATGAGTGTGTTAATGACAGAAACCGATTTTTATGATTTGGCAATGGCCTACTTCGCTAAAGCCAAAACTGACGGATGTTTGCACTCGGAGGTATTTTTCGATCCACAGGGTCACATTGAGAGGGGCATTTCTTTGGATGTTGTTGTTTCAGGATTCAATCGCGCTTGTCAAGATGCAACATCAACTTTCGGAACTACCAACAAATTGATCATGTGCTTGTTAAGGCATTTGCCCTGCGAAGACGGGATCAAGGTGATTGAGTTAGCTGGAAAGTATTACCAAGATGGCACCATACACGGTTTAGGTTTAGATTCCAGTGAAAAACCTTTTCCACCAGATCTTTTTGAAGAATGCTATTCATTCTTGAAGGGAAACTTTCCTCATGTGCAGTTGACCGCCCATGCAGGTGAAGAAGGTGACCACACGTTTGTTGAAAGATCATTGGATAAACTCAAGGTAACAAGAATTGACCATGGGGTAAACTCCCAACATTCCGAATCATTGTTGCAGCGGTTGAACGAGAAGCAAATCATGCTTTCCTTATGCCCCCTATCTAATGTTAAGTTGCAAGTTGTTCAAGATGTGGGACATTTACCTATCGACTTGTTTTTAAAGAAAGGGGTCCCATTTTCTATCAACTCTGATGATCCCGCCTATTTCGGTGGTTATATATTGGATAATTACGTTGCAGTGCACACTAGATTTGGATTTAGTATGGAACAATGGAAACAAATCAGTTTAAATGGGATCAATGGCTCATGGTGTGACAATGACCGGAAACAAGAATTGAGACAATTGGTGGAAGAAGTTTGTAGAAAGTATTCCAAGGTATAATAGATTGGGTAGCGTAATTCTAATTTTTTTGTTAAACTGATAAACCCTCCTTCTCTTGATCAGTTTGCAGGATTGCCATGTCACAATCATCGAGAAAGAAGCTCTTGCTCATGGGCCGATCGGGCTCAGGAAAGTCGTCGATGCGCTCCATCATTTTTTCCAATTACTCGGCTTTTGATACTCGAAGATTGGGAGCAACAGTGGATGTTGAGTTGTCACATCTCCGGTTTCTAGGAAACATGTCGTTAACATTGTGGGATTGTGGTGGACAAGATGTATTTATGGAAAACTATTTCACCAATCAAAAGGATCATATTTTTAAAATGGTTCAAGTTTTGATTCACGTTTTTGATGTCGAAAGCAAACTGATAAACAAGGATATTGAGATATTTGTTAAGAGTTTAACCAACTTGCAAAAATATAGTCCAGATGCAAAAGTGTTTGTACTATTGCACAAGATGGATCTTGTACAAATTGATAAGAGACAGGAGCTATTCACGATCATGATGGATAAGTTACAAAAGATTAGTAATCCTTACCATTTCAAGCTTATTGGTTTTCCCACAAGTATCTGGGATGAAAGTTTATACAAGGCATGGTCCCAAATCGTTTGTTCACTAATACCAAACATCAACCTATTCAACAGTAATTTAATCAAGTTTAACTCAATTTTGGATGCTGAAGAGATTATCTTGTTTGAGAAGACAACGTTTCTAGTTATATCATCCACTGCTTCAATCAAGCAACAGCAGGAGCAACAGCAACACAAATTAACGAATGGGAAACTTGGATCTCAAAAAGAGGAGATAGAAGAGTTGGACCCAAAACGATTTGAAAAGATTTCCAACATCATTAAAACGTACAAACAATCAATATCGAAATTAAGAACAAATTTTAATAACTTAATTATTAGAGGAAGCAATGGCACAACCTTTTATCTCGACATTTTAACAGAAAATATGTTTATCATGGTTGTGTTGAAGAAAAAGATTGAGGTGTTGAATGGGTCACCAGTAGAGCAAAATGAGGAGTCATTGGTACTCGATAATATCAAGGCAGCCCGGAAATGGTTTGAAAAGATTGAAAATTCAAAGTAGGGAAAATAGAGGGGAGGGGGCAGGTATAGAACTGTAGTTTATGTAGCGTGTATATCGTATACGAAACGAGGAAGTTGGAAATTGAATCTATGAAAAAAAAAAAAAAAAGTAGATGAAAAAAGGTGCTGCTCGTCGCGCTATACGAGGGGGTAAAGTGAATTTTTTACTCTTGCCTGTTTTTCATTCAATTTGCGTCTTCTTTTCTCCGACAACAATGGGCAAGTTCTTACAATTACTCCTCCACCCGGATGAGTTAAAGTCTGTGATTCAATTGACGGGGTTCAGACAACCGTTACACCCAGCGCCAGCCTCGCAATCGCCAGCTTTGAAACGATGCTACGAGTTGTTGAACCTTACTTCGAGATCATTTGCGGCAGTAATTGAAGAGTTACACCCCGAACTAAGAGATGCAATTATGATCTTCTATCTTGTGTTGAGAGCTTTGGACACAATTGAAGATGATATGAGCATTGATCCAGAGATCAAGGTGCCATTGTTGAGAGGATTTTATGAAAAGTTGGACCTGAAAGATTGGACTTTTGATGGAAATGGTCCAAAGGAAAAGGACAGGGTTGTGCTCGTTGAGTTTGATCAAATATTGGACATTTACCATGGATTGAAACCACAGTACCAGAATATTATCAAAGACATTACCCGTAAGATGGGTAATGGTATGGCTGATTACATTTTGGATGAAAACTTTAACCTCAATGGTGTAGAAACTATTGAGGATTACAACTTGTATTGTCATTACGTTGCCGGTTTAGTTGGTGAAGGTTTGACAAAGTTGATGGTATTGGCAAAGTTTTCCGACGAATCATTGGTTGAGGATAATTTTGAGAAATCGAACTCGATGGGTCTTTTTCTACAAAAGACAAACATTATAAGAGATTACCACGAGGATCTATTAGACGGTAGATCATTTTGGCCAAAGGAGGTGTGGTCGAAGTATACTCCTGACTTGCCACAATTTCACAAAAACAAATCAATGGAGTTTGAAGGGTTGTCCTGTATCAATGATCTTGTGTTGAACGCATTGGGACACGTAAAGCATGTTTTGGAATTCTTATCGTTGGTAAAAGATCCTTCAACATTTTCATTCTGTGCAATTCCACAAGTTATGGCAATTGCAACTTTAGCCGAAGTTTACAATAACCCTAAGGTGTTGCATGGAGTTGTCAAAATCAGAAAAGGTACAACCTGCAAGTTGATTTTAGAGAGTAGGACTTATCCAGGAGTGGTTAAAATTTTCAGACACTACATACAAGTCATCAATCATAAATCATCAGTGAGAGACCCAAACTATTTAAAGATCGGTATCAAGTGCGGAGAGATTGAGCAGTTTTGTGAGACCATGTTTCCTTCTGAAAACGCTATCCCTAAGGGAGCTCGTATATCAGAAGGACCTATCAACAAGATTTTGAAAAGTAGAAAATCTATTGACGATAGCATGCAGGTCAGGATCGACCAGGAAACATTTAACACAAATGCTGTTTTAGGGTTTATTGGTGTATTGTTAGCCAGTTTATTCATTTACATATATAGATAAGATCTGACGGGAGGGGTCACAAAATCTGTGTCAAGAATTGAAGTGTAAATTTATGTAGGCTGATGCAGGGTAGCGCGAATTTATTTTGGACCGCAGTAAAGAATCATATTTTTGATTTTTCGCTGATAAGTATCTGTTCAAAAGTGGAGTAGTATTCTAATCAACAGTTCATTTCAACTATGTGTGAAGGATCTAGTAGCTCGGAGATGAAGGTAGTGTTCCCCATGAAGCTAATTAGCTGGTCTTTGGAAGATCAAAATGGTGAAGCTTTGACAACACCTATTTTATTACAAGACCGAAATGGGCCTTGCCCTTTGATAGCGTTAGTCAATACACTTGTATTGCAGTTTGACTTCAGAAATGCACATTTTGACGGAGGTATTCTAAGTCAATCAGAGAAACAATACGAACAAATTAAGAACTTAAAGTCGAAATTGTTTACTCATTATCACAACTCGTCTTCGATTGATTTGGCTGATATTTTGGGTCTTGTCGCTGATTTGTTTTTGGTGTACGCTGAGGATGTTCCTAATCTTCTGCACGAAATGGTTGATAACATATTGCAACAACTACCAAAATTACACACGGGTCTCGACGTCGACCCGAACTTAACCAATGGAGACTTCTCCCAGGATTTGGCAACAACCTTATTTACGATTTTCGATTTGCGATTCAAACATGGTTGGGTTATCGAAGATTGTGGGCGAAAAGGTTACACTGATGATGAAGATGATTCAACTAATGAGCCGCTTTTGATTTTGCACGACCTACAAACATTTGACAAAGTGCAAGACTATCTTCTTTTGCTGGATACTAATTCATCAGTGGCAGAGAATCAACGCTTAATAAGAATGTGGTTGGACGAGACATGTTCTCAATTGACAATGAAAGGGCTCAAGCTATTAGACCTGGACTTGTCATCGCCACAATTTGCAATCTTTTTCCGAAACAATCATTTCAACACATTGTTTAAGAAATCGAGAAACGAGTTTTATTTGCTTATAACCGATTCCTCATTTCAATCCAAAAGTGGGAAACTTGTTTGGCAAAGCTTGAATTCTGTTTCTGGAGAAGGCGATTTATTCTTTACTGGTGATTTCATGCCGGTATTAGACATTGATCAAGATATTGGTCAACAAGGAGAGACGTTTGATTCTGATATGATGCTACTGAGACAGTTGCAGGAAGAGGAAGATGAAGCTTTGGCTCGCAAAATGCAAGAAAAGTACGAGAAGCGCAAGACGCGACAATCGCCCAAAGAAACAGTTGTCAAGAAGAATGAGGAAACAGCTTCAAAGCCAGTGAAAGAAAAGAAAAAGAAAAAGTTTTTTGGTTTCCTTAGTCGTTAAATACATATTACTATGACTCCGGATCCTCAAATTCGTCACCACCTTCGTACTCCATAGGGTCAAACTCAGATCTCACTCTATCCATATCCTTCAACTCATCCGTCGTGGGTTCTCTCAACCTAAATTGAATTGCATCGTATGTTCTTTCTTTGATGAATTTATTGATTTCGGAATTGGTCGACGCCCTATGTTTTCTTAGTTCTATTTTCCCATTGATTGGCGAGTAATGGGCAACTTTCCTCCTTTTTGTTGCTTGCTCATCCGGGACAAACTTGACTGCAAGTTCTTGGCGTGAGTTGGTGTATCCTTGATAATGCATATCGTAGTTTTTGACAAACTTGTAATTGTACTCAGAAATGCTTCCATCTAACCCTTCTGTTGCGTTGGATGGATTCTCCGGAGACGTTGAGTGTAAGCTCTCGTGAAGCTTCGTAACTTGTTCCTCGTTATCCACTTCAAACATCGAAATCCACTCGCCGTCTTGTGAGTTAATCGGTTTAAAAATGGTAGACTCAAGCTTTTGTCTTTGGAACGTGTCATTGAACTTCGCCCCCTGACGTCTTTTCAACGCATCCAATTCCCTCTTGATGGATGCACTTCCCAAGAATCTCAAATTCATAAACATATTGTCCATCATGGAGGTGTCAGGCAACAACGGCCATGCATCAACTGCCTTGACATTTCTTTTCCTTGGATGTTTCAAACTCGACAAATTATTTAATGAGTTATTGGCGGCAGTGAAACTGTCCTCCACTGCCTTTAACTGATGTTCCGCATCCAAGCTATGCTCTTCACTATTTTTCAACTTCTCATGAACTTTGTTCTCTTCAGTGTGCGTGCTAGTCGACTTTGGCAATGACTGATCCGAAATGTACTCAGTTCTTCTTAAAAATGATACAGACTGGTCTGATCTCTTGATATTGCCAATACCGGCATCTCTTAATAATGCCCTGTCTTTCGGATGCAAAGCAGTGTATTTATTCTTTGCTTGTCCGATGCTACTGGCATCGCCATGGTCCAAGAACCCCACGTTATCAATCAAGTTCAACTCTAGTCCTAATTGGTCATCTATCCTCTCAAGAAGATTGCGAAAGTTTTCCTTACGAAACAACGATGATAATAATTGATCTCCTTCAGTTTGGGAAGAGATAGGTGTTGTCGTATTGTAGTTGATAAGTTTTGGGTTTGATGGTGGAGGGGGTAGACTGTTGGTGTACCTGATTTTGGCAATGTAATCTTGTCTCACGGGCTTACTGGATCGCAGTGACATGCTTGGTGGGGGTGCAATGGTAATCGTGGTGGTGTGTGGATTGTGCTGAAGTTTAATTTTTCATTCCTTCGATTTTGCGAAAATGGGTGCGATATAAAATGTATACGCTTGGTTATTTAACTCTAAAAAAGTCTATACATACATGGGCTTACTTACTCATCCTTATACAATGTTGGATCAATCCCGCCCCAAGTGAGTACAACTTTAGATTCTGGCTTGTCCAAAACCTTCAAAATTTCGGAGTTCAAACCAAGCATTCCATCACCACCATCACTTCCTTTTGAATCTGGTAATAAATCCAAGTTATCCTTGGCTCTCTTTGGGCTCTCAGTTTTTACCAAAACAATGAATCCTTGCAAATACGACCATTTTAACAAAATTTCCGCAGGCGATAAGTTATACCTTTGGCTGAGCTCCAATAATTCAGGATCATCGAGTCTCCTTCCCCGAGTAAGTGGCGAGTACGCTTCAGCTAGAATCTCATGTTTGTCTAGGTATTCTCTGAGCCCGACTCTAGGCAACCAAGGATGCAACTCAAGTTGGTTGATTACCGGTTTGACTTTGAAGCCTTCCCAATGGAACAACTCCTCCAAATGTGCAATACCGTAGTTAGAAACTCCAATCGATTTTACGCTCAATACTCCGTTATTAGGTTCGAGTACATACTCCTGTAATGCTTTGTAAGTACCCAAGCGTTCTTTGGTAGATGTTTTTGGTGAGTGAATCAAAATCAAATCAACATAATCAATAAACTCTTTGGTGTCGTCACTGATTTGTTGCACCGCCTTTTGCGTATTCTCGTAGCCTTGATTTTCGTTTGCAATTTTGGTGGTGAACCAAATATCTTTCCTTTGGACATTGGGGTGATCTTGAAGGAACCTCGCAACACCTTGTGCCACTTCACGTTGATTCTTGTAGGCAATTGCGGTGTCGATGTGCCTATAGCCGGCGTCTAAAGCATCATAGACAAGTGTGGCTGCTTTTTCAACAGAAATTAAATACGTTCCAAACCCAGCAATAGGAATGTGCTGACCGTTATTCAACTCGGAAGTTGAGAACTTATGAAGACTGCGCTGATGGGTCATTATCTATAGTCCGCTGTAAATGGCGAACAAGAGACAATATGAAACGTCGAACGACTTTGAAATTGTAGTTGTACCTCACAAACAACAAAATTAATTAGATTACGTAATCAGCACAACTTGCAACCCCATAGAGACTTCTACAGCAATGAATATGCAAAATCAAACCACCGCAAAGTTCTACAACAAAGAATAGGTCTAAATATTCCAAAAGTCGGTCAAGTTGCCGCCAGCTCCGTTGTAAGCCAAAATATTCGGAGTTGTGGCGTCCAACCCTGTCAAAACACCTTTAATACCATACTTGATCAACTTCGTCTTCAATGCGGCAGGCTCGATCAATCCAGTAAAGTATTCCGAGCTTTGTTCCGGTTGCAATGATAAAAAGTAACTCAACAATCCAGCAATATGAGGACTAGCCATGGAAGTGCCTGACATCTCGGCCGAATCGGAGTAGATGAAAGTACTTTCGATAGCCTCTCCTGGTGCAAACACATCAACACATTGTCCCCAGTTTGAAAACGAGGCTTTTGCGTCTCCGATATTAGATGCACCAACGGTGATAGGACCAACCGCTCTGGCAGGTGAGTATTGACAAGCATCAGCATCGTCATTACCAGCAGCTACAGCAACATGCAATCCCGCCTTAACAGCAGCGTTCACTGCCAAATCCAAAGCTTCTGAAACTCCTCCTCCAATAGACATGTTTACTACTGAACCTTTGAAACCAGCTTTTCTACTCTTGACATCCTCTTGATGTCTGTTGACGACATACTCAACTCCTTTGATGATATCTGATGTTGTACCTGAACCTAATAAATTCATAACGCCAACTGCAACCAAGTCAACCTGTTTAGCAATTCCGTATGTCTTTGCTCCAATTATTCCCGCACAGTGTGTTCCATGCCCGTGACCGTCAATCTTGATCTTTGGGAACGCAATAGCATCACCCCATTGAGCGCGACCTTCAAATTCTTCATGTTCCACTTTGATACCTGTATCAATAACGTAGGCAGTCACGCCCTTGCCACCGTCGTTGTCATAGAAATACTTTCTCTCTTCTTCATTCTCGCGATGACTAACTCGTGAAATACCCCATGGAGCATCTTTTTGGATGTCGAATTCATTAGTTTTGAAAATAGCATCCTGCTCAACCAACTTGACATGAGGGTCGTTTTTGATTTTTGAAATAACATCAGCGGTAAAGAACCCGGTGAAACCCCTAAAGAATCCCTCAACATTAAAGAATTCTAGCTTTTTCAACACTTGAACCTCTTTTGGCGCCGCGTCAACAATGGTCAACATATTGTTGTACTCCACCTGCAACCACTGTGTGTACTGTTCTACTTGGCTTTGGGACAAGTCTTCATTGAAGATAACTATATAATGGTGGGGAACTACCTTGTTGAGGTTGATCAAGTTTGCTTTATATTCCTCAAATGTGGGATCTGCTGGCGCAATTTGCTGGTGGTACTTGCCTGGCAAAAGCTTGTTCATAGTTTCCAAGACAGCGCCATAACCCGGGAACAAGAACCCGCAAGCGAGGGTGACAATAAAGGTAAACGATGCAACTATTGATGTCGGTTGCATGGTCAAATATAGGTATGTGTGTGGCAAAAGAACAAAGGTAGACAAAGGAAGACAAAAAGAAAGGGGGGAACGAGACTTTATCTATTGGGTTTTGGGGTTGTGGTTCAGTCGCACCTCGTGCGGCTTAGCTTCCCGAAACAAGGAGATACACAAGTAAAGCCATGGAGCACCTTTCCCAGGACAAGCGGTTTGGGGTTGTCTTTTGCCATTGGTTATTCATCAATGCAAGTCACTGCATTTATAGACATATTGCAATGCATTGTTTTATCAAGAATATGAAAGCAATTGAAAGTGGAAAAGGTACCGGTGGTTCCACTATTTTTTTAAGAATCGATGTATGTCTGTTAAGAAATTTGAGTTACCACAGCAATATAAATAGCAAAATACCAAAATTAAATTGTTCATCTTCAATTGTACTTCTTTTTCCTCTTCCTCTTCTTCATCCACAACCATGGTTAAAGTTGCTATTATCATTTACTCATTATATCATCATGTCTACGATTTAGCATTGGCTGAAAAAGCTGGTGTTGAATCTGCAGGTGGGGAAGCCGATATCTACCAAGTCGCTGAAACATTGCCTGATGTTGCGTTAGAGAAAATGCATGCACCACCTAAGCCAGATATCCCCGTTGCCACAGCTGACACTTTGTTAAAGTATGATGCCTTCTTATTTGGTATTCCTACAAGATTTGGAAACTTCCCCAATCAATGGAAGAACTTTTGGGATCGCACTGGAGGTATCTGGCTGAAGCAGGAGTTGAGATACAAGTACGCTGGTGTGTTTGTGTCTACTGGTACCCCGGGAGGTGGGCAAGAAGCAACAGTTATCAATTCGCTCAGTACTTTGACCCACCATGGTATTATTTATGTTCCTTTTGGGTACGGTTACGCTGATATGACCAATTTGGAGGAAGTTCATGGTGGATCACCTTGGGGTGCCGGTACTTTTGCGGGATCAGACGGATCACGTAAGGTGACAGAGTTAGAGAAAGGGTTTGCCAAACAACAAGGCCATGACTTTTACAAAGTTATTTCTAAAGCCTTATAAAAGTGTGTATTCGGCGTATAAATAGAGGAGTCTGGATTCGTATTGAATAGAATTAAATGTAGAGCTCTATCGCTTCCAAAGAAAGGGTTCTGTAAAATGAGGCTGTTTTGTACTTTCTAAGAAGTGTGAATTTATGAGATTGCGAATTATTAATTATTTACTAAGCCATTTATGTTGCAATTATTAAATGTTGCAGTGTTGCATTTTTGTGTAACTCCAGCAAAACAGTAAAGCTCAATAAACTAAGAGGTCAAGAAGGCGGATGACAACCAGATAGTACAAGACAATCTCTAAATTAAAACTCAGCAAAAGAGCTCGTGCATCTTTAACAAGTCGTTCTGTTCAATATAGTATCTAATGTCGGCCATTCGAAAAGCATATCTACCTAACTCTAATTATACTCCGCTAATCTTGGGAACAAACCTTCAACATTCTTACGATTAATCCTCTCTTTAGCGGCACCATCAACGATCTTGTTGCTTTCCAAATTAGTTGTAGACCATTTCGATATTGCGCAAAATGCATAAGACCAATCGCTTCCAAATCTAATCCTTTCTGGATGGGCAAATTCGAAAAGAGGTGCCATTGCGTGAGGGCCAGTGAGCGCAATATCAAAATAGAAGTTTCTCAAGGTTGAAAGCACCTTGTCGTAACCAATTACCCCGCTTTCCACAAGAGCAATCCGGTCAGCAGCATATGGAAGAAACGCACCAGCGTGGGAAAGAATGAACTTGATGTTGGGAAGTTGCTTAAACCATTCATTTTTCATAATATTGATAACTGCTCTCACTGTGCATAATAAAAAGTCAACAACAAATGGAGGGATTCAATCAACGGCTTTAGCGGGCAAGTGTGAAGGGTGTATAAAAACAACAGCTTTCTTTTCGTTCAACATCTCCATTAAAGGTTCTTGCTCAGGTTCACCAAGGTAGGTGATTCCAACATTCGTCAATAAGATAACACCATCAGCCTTCAAGTGGTTCAAGACATATTTTGCTTCAGCTATCGAGTTTTCAACATCGGGCAACAACAAAGTGGCAAAGTATCCGAAATTTTTAGGATTCTTTTTCACCACATTGAAACAAAATCCGTTAACTTTACGGGCCATATCTTTGGCCTCATTGTTATTGTTTTCCAAATACACACCAGGTGTAGAAACTGACAAGATAGAAGTTTCAACCCCATTTCTTTGGTTTTGTTCAAGGCATGTTTCTTCAGACCACTCAGGTATGGGCAAGTCACCTGCACTGATTCCTTTCTTTTCTAACCATTCCTTGTAAAATGGAGGGACGACATGGGCGTGAGTATCAATACGTCTAGACATAATGACTTTTGATTTGATTTTTCCAGATAAGCAAGGAATTTGCTAAAGAAAACTAAACACAGTTTAAGACAGGGAATTTTGACTATTTATATAGCATCGTTGTAGTTTTTAACCGTCTAATACGCTTATATGGGTCGCGTTGAAGACATGCAACTTAGCAACTACAATATCGGAAAGAGCCTCCGAGGGCGGAGATAAACTGAGCAGCCATAAATTTCGTGCCTCTTCTCTCCATCCAGTCATTGTACCAATATAGAATTGAAAGCTATCCGCCAAATTTTTGAATGGTTTGAAGATTGACCCACCCAAAATAATATCGGAATCCGTTAATGTGTTAAGCTTCATTGACCCAAAGAGTAGCTCAATTTTCCTTTCAAGATACCATCCCTGAAATTGTGCCCAAAGACGAAAACAGAGTCGACCAAAATCCAGCTTTCATTCGGCCCAATTCAAAATAATCATTCTCGACAAAGCCGGTACAGTAGAGATAGTTACATCGACAGAGTCTTTTAATTTACATCAATTAGCAAAGCTTTTCTTAGGGTTATTTAACTAAGGCTTATCCATTGGATAACACTGTACAAACAATTCATCTAAAACCAACATCTATCACTTTCGTATCACTACACAGTTACTCTCTTATTGTTTCCACTTGGTAATCATCTTGATAAAATCATGACCTTGTTGCTTGGCAAAGTCTTTTTCTAATTGAGTAACTTGTCTCAGCCCATCGGCGCCAGCAAAAGTACCCGCACCCCAAGGTGATCCCCCATGAACCTCTTCCAAATTGGTTTGACCTTCGAATCCATAGCCAAATGGGACATAAATAATTCCATGGTGGGCCAATGTGCTCAAAGTGTTGATGACTGTCGTTTCTTGTCCACCACCTGGGGTTCCAGTACTAACAAATACACCAGCGTGTTTGCCTCTTAATGCTCCAGATGCCCATAAAGACCCAGTTCCATCCCAAAACAGTTTCCATTGCGCAGGCATATTTCCATACCTTGTTGGCACACCCAACAAGAAGGCGTCATACTCTGTCAAAGTCTTGTTATCAGCGATAGGCAAATCCAACTTTGGTTTAGCATGAACCAATTTTAGAATCTCTGGAGACAATGTTTCTTTAACTTGAAACATGTCTGCTTTGGCACCTGCCGATTCTACACCAATCTTGGCAGATTCAGCTAATGTGTAAACATGGTGGTATAACGAATATAATATAACAGCAACTCTGGGTTTGGACATTGTGTGGTAGTTCGTGAATAATGTATCTCTGAAAATTGATTTGCAAACTCTGTCCTATTTATACAACGTATGTTCAAACATGCCTTTTACATTTCTTTGCTGTTTTGCTGGAGTTACACAAAAATGCAACACTGCAACATTTAATAATTGCAACATAAATGGCTTAGTAAATAATTAATAATTCGCAATCTCATAAATTCACACTTCTTAGAAAGTACAAAACAGCCTCATTTTACAGAACCCTTTCTTTGGAAGCGATAGAGCTCTACATTTAATTCTATTCAATACGAATCCAGACTCCTCTATTTATACGCCGAATACACACTTTTATAAGGCTTTAGAAATAACTTTGTAAAAGTCATGGCCTTGTTGTTTGGCAAACCCTTTCTCTAACTCTGTCACCTTACGTGATCCGTCTGATCCCGCAAAAGTACCGGCACCCCAAGGTGATCCACCATGAACTTCCTCCAAATTGGTCATATCAGCGTAACCGTACCCAAAAGGAACATAAATAATACCATGGTGGGTCAAAGTACTGAGCGAATTGATAACTGTTGCTTCTTGCCCACCTCCCGGGGTACCAGTAGACACAAACACACCAGCGTACTTGTATCTCAACTCCTGCTTCAGCCAGATACCTCCAGTGCGATCCCAAAAGTTCTTCCATTGATTGGGGAAGTTTCCAAATCTTGTAGGAATACCAAATAAGAAGGCATCATACTTTAACAAAGTGTCAGCTGTGGCAACGGGGATATCTGGCTTAGGTGGTGCATGCATTTTCTCTAACGCAACATCAGGCAATGTTTCAGCGACTTGGTAGATATCGGCTTCCCCACCTGCAGATTCAACACCAGCTTTTTCAGCCAATGCTAAATCGTAGACATGATGATATAATGAGTAAATGATAATAGCAACTTTAACCATGGTTGTGGATGAAGAAGAGGAAGAGGAAAAAGAAGTACAATTGAAGATGAACAATTTAATTTTGGTATTTTGCTATTTATATTGCTGTGGTAACTCAAATTTCTTAACAGACATACATCGATTCTTAAAAAAATAGTGGAACCACCGGTACCTTTTCCACTTTCAATTGCTTTCATATTCTTGATAAAACAATGCATTGCAATATGTCTATAAATGCAGTGACTTGCATTGATGAATAACCAATGGCAAAAGACAACCCCAAACCGCTTGTCCTGGGAAAGGTGCTCCATGGCTTTACTTGTGTATCTCCTTGTTTCGGGAAGCTAAGCCGCACGAGGTGCGACTGAACCACAACCCCAAAACCCAATAGATAAAGTCTCGTTCCCCCCTTTCTTTTTGTCTTCCTTTGTCTACCTTTGTTCTTTTGCCACACACATACCTATATTTGACCATGCAACCGACATCAATAGTTGCATCGTTTACCTTTATTGTCACCCTCGCTTGCGGGTTCTTGTTCCCGGGTTATGGCGCTGTCTTGGAAACTATGAACAAGCTTTTGCCAGGCAAGTACCACCAGCAAATTGCGCCAGCAGATCCCACATTTGAGGAATATAAAGCAAACTTGATCAACCTCAACAAGGTAGTTCCCCACCATTATATAGTTATCTTCAATGAAGACTTGTCCCAAAGCCAAGTAGAACAGTACACACAGTGGTTGCAGGTGGAGTACAACAATATGTTGACCATTGTTGACGCGGCGCCAAAAGAGGTTCAAGTGTTGAAAAAGCTAGAATTCTTTAATGTTGAGGGATTCTTTAGGGGTTTCACCGGGTTCTTTACCGCTGATGTTATTTCAAAAATCAAAAACGACCCTCATGTCAAGTTGGTTGAGCAGGATGCTATTTTCAAAACTAATGAATTCGACATCCAAAAAGATGCTCCATGGGGTATTTCACGAGTTAGTCATCGCGAGAATGAAGAAGAGAGAAAGTATTTCTATGACAACGACGGTGGCAAGGGCGTGACTGCCTACGTTATTGATACAGGTATCAAAGTGGAACATGAAGAATTTGAAGGTCGCGCTCAATGGGGTGATGCTATTGCGTTCCCAAAGATCAAGATTGACGGTCACGGGCATGGAACACACTGTGCGGGAATAATTGGAGCAAAGACATACGGAATTGCTAAACAGGTTGACTTGGTTGCAGTTGGCGTTATGAATTTATTAGGTTCAGGTACAACATCAGATATCATCAAAGGAGTTGAGTATGTCGTCAACAGACATCAAGAGGATGTCAAGAGTAGAAAAGCTGGTTTCAAAGGTTCAGTAGTAAACATGTCTATTGGAGGAGGAGTTTCAGAAGCTTTGGATTTGGCAGTGAACGCTGCTGTTAAGGCGGGATTGCATGTTGCTGTAGCTGCTGGTAATGACGATGCTGATGCTTGTCAATACTCACCTGCCAGAGCGGTTGGTCCTATCACCGTTGGTGCATCTAATATCGGAGACGCAAAAGCCTCGTTTTCAAACTGGGGACAATGTGTTGATGTGTTTGCACCAGGAGAGGCTATCGAAAGTACTTTCATCTACTCCGATTCGGCCGAGATGTCAGGCACTTCCATGGCTAGTCCTCATATTGCTGGATTGTTGAGTTACTTTTTATCATTGCAACCGGAACAAAGCTCGGAATACTTTACTGGATTGATCGAGCCTGCCGCATTGAAGACGAAGTTGATCAAGTATGGTATTAAAGGTGTTTTGACAGGGTTGGACGCCACAACTCCGAATATTTTGGCTTACAACGGAGCTGGCGGCAACTTGACCGACTTTTGGAATATTTAGACCTATTCTTTGTTGTAGAACTTTGCGGTGGTTTGATTTTGCATATTCATTGCTGTAGAAGTCTCTATGGGGTTGCAAGTTGTGCTGATTACGTAATCTAATTAATTTTGTTGTTTGTGAGGTACAACTACAATTTCAAAGTCGTTCGACGTTTCATATTGTCTCTTGTTCGCCATTTACAGCGGACTATAGATAATGACCCATCAGCGCAGTCTTCATAAGTTCTCAACTTCCGAGTTGAATAACGGTCAGCACATTCCTATTGCTGGGTTTGGAACGTATTTAATTTCTGTTGAAAAAGCAGCCACACTTGTCTATGATGCTTTAGACGCCGGCTATAGGCACATCGACACCGCAATTGCCTACAAGAATCAACGTGAAGTGGCACAAGGTGTTGCGAGGTTCCTTCAAGATCACCCCAATGTCCAAAGGAAAGATATTTGGTTCACCACCAAAATTGCAAACGAAAATCAAGGCTACGAGAATACGCAAAAGGCGGTGCAACAAATCAGTGACGACACCAAAGAGTTTATTGATTATGTTGATTTGATTTTGATTCACTCACCAAAAACATCTACCAAAGAACGCTTGGGTACTTACAAAGCATTACAGGAGTATGTACTCGAACCTAATAACGGAGTATTGAGCGTAAAATCGATTGGAGTTTCTAACTACGGTATTGCACATTTGGAGGAGTTGTTCCATTGGGAAGGCTTCAAAGTCAAACCGGTAATCAACCAACTTGAGTTGCATCCTTGGTTGCCTAGAGTCGGGCTCAGAGAATACCTAGACAAACATGAGATTCTAGCTGAAGCGTACTCGCCACTTACTCGGGGAAGGAGACTCGATGATCCTGAATTATTGGAGCTCAGCCAAAGGTATAACTTATCGCCTGCGGAAATTTTGTTAAAATGGTCGTATTTGCAAGGATTCATTGTTTTGGTAAAAACTGAGAGCCCAAAGAGAGCCAAGGATAACTTGGATTTATTACCAGATTCAAAAGGAAGTGATGGTGGTGATGGAATGCTTGGTTTGAACTCCGAAATTTTGAAGGTTTTGGACAAGCCAGAATCTAAAGTTGTACTCACTTGGGGCGGGATTGATCCAACATTGTATAAGGATGAGTAAGTAAGCCCATGTATGTATAGACTTTTTTAGAGTTAAATAACCAAGCGTATACATTTTATATCGCACCCATTTTCGCAAAATCGAAGGAATGAAAAATTAAACTTCAGCACAATCCACACACCACCACGATTACCATTGCACCCCCACCAAGCATGTCACTGCGATCCAGTAAGCCCGTGAGACAAGATTACATTGCCAAAATCAGGTACACCAACAGTCTACCCCCTCCACCATCAAACCCAAAACTTATCAACTACAATACGACAACACCTATCTCTTCCCAAACTGAAGGAGATCAATTATTATCATCGTTGTTTCGTAAGGAAAACTTTCGCAATCTTCTTGAGAGGATAGATGACCAATTAGGACTAGAGTTGAACTTGATTGATAACGTGGGGTTCTTGGACCATGGCGATGCCAGTAGCATCGGACAAGCAAAGAATAAATACACTGCTTTGCATCCGAAAGACAGGGCATTATTAAGAGATGCCGGTATTGGCAATATCAAGAGATCAGACCAGTCTGTATCATTTTTAAGAAGAACTGAGTACATTTCGGATCAGTCATTGCCAAAGTCGACTAGCACGCACACTGAAGAGAACAAAGTTCATGAGAAGTTGAAAAATAGTGAAGAGCATAGCTTGGATGCGGAACATCAGTTAAAGGCAGTGGAGGACAGTTTCACTGCCGCCAATAACTCATTAAATAATTTGTCGAGTTTGAAACATCCAAGGAAAAGAAATGTCAAGGCAGTTGATGCATGGCCGTTGTTGCCTGACACCTCCATGATGGACAATATGTTTATGAATTTGAGATTCTTGGGAAGTGCATCCATCAAGAGGGAATTGGATGCGTTGAAAAGACGTCAGGGGGCGAAGTTCAATGACACGTTCCAAAGACAAAAGCTTGAGTCTACCATTTTTAAACCGATTAACTCACAAGACGGCGAGTGGATTTCGATGTTTGAAGTGGATAACGAGGAACAAGTTACGAAGCTTCACGAGAGCTTACACTCAACGTCTCCGGAGAATCCATCCAACGCAACAGAAGGGTTAGATGGAAGCATTTCTGAGTACAATTACAAGTTTGTCAAAAACTACGATATGCATTATCAAGGATACACCAACTCACGCCAAGAACTTGCAGTCAAGTTTGTCCCGGATGAGCAAGCAACAAAAAGGAGGAAAGTTGCCCATTACTCGCCAATCAATGGGAAAATAGAACTAAGAAAACATAGGGCGTCGACCAATTCCGAAATCAATAAATTCATCAAAGAAAGAACATACGATGCAATTCAATTTAGGTTGAGAGAACCCACGACGGATGAGTTGAAGGATATGGATAGAGTGAGATCTGAGTTTGACCCTATGGAGTACGAAGGTGGTGACGAATTTGAGGATCTTGAAGGGGGAGATGTAAGAAAAGAGAATGCGGAGCAACAACAGCACCTCGAGAAGGAAGAACAAGAGCTAAATGATGACGAAAACTGAGTCAGGTGCAGGATCCATAATCAAAATTTTGTTCAGTTCTTTCAACAGATCGTCTACTGAATTTTCATTCGTTTTTGAATGAATATTCAACACAACTGCGAGATTCGAGCCTTCGTTCCCCAATGATTGTGCGCTTCCATGTATGCTGTAGCTTTGTTGGTTATCCCGCGCTGCTTCATCTTTTATCACTTACTTGAAATGTGGAAATAGCGTTACTAATAAAGGAACTTGTCAATAGATTAGATGTGTAAATGTCAAAAGCTTATCTCGGTCGTGTAAATTTGCAAGTGCGCATGGTCGCGAATTGCACCAATATTCAATTTAGGTTAAAGAGAAAAACTATCAACAGAAAAGGTTACGTTTCATCAACGGATATCCTTAGATAAACAAGTACGTTAATAATTGCTTCAAAATATTCTCATATTAGAAACGTACTAACAGATTCCACTTTAGAAGAGCAGGCATTCTCACTGCAAGTTCAAGCATTGCAGTCTTCGTATCCCCACCAAGAAGTATAACCAGCAATCATTAACATACATGTCACCCAAGCTATTGAAAGTAATAGTTGTTGGCGATTCTGGCGTTGGGAAAACTTCCCTCATGCACCAGTTTGTCAACAATAAATTCTCCCAACAGTATAAAGCCACCATTGGAGCTGATTTTCTAACAAAGGAGATAACATTGGACGGGGGCAAAAAGGTGACGTTGCAAATTTGGGACACTGCTGGTCAAGAAAGGTTCCAAAGTTTAGGTGTTGCTTTTTACAGAGGTGCAGATTGTTGCGTGTTATGTTTTGATGTTACCAATGAAAAGTCTTTAAACAATTTGACTAGTTGGAAAGATGAATTTTTGGTGCAACTGAATGTATCGAACCCTCAAGATTTCCCATTCATCATAATTGGTAACAAGATTGATGTTGATGACTCAAAAAAGATTCCAAGTTTGCAAAAGAAATTACACAATATAACTCATAATCAGTTGGGAGGATTGAATCATCCAGTATTTGAGACAAGTGCAAAAGATGGTGTTAATGTCGAAAGTGCGTTTGAGGTTGTTGCAAAGATGGCTTTGCAACAGGAGGAGCTCAATTCGGCTAATGATGTAAATGATGACTACAATGATGCAATTAATATTCACTTGGAGTCTGATTCAAGTTCTTGTGCTTGCTAAGTATGCTTCTAATGTACAATTCTATTTCAACACATCTAAAAAAAAGAGTAGGGGGATTAGTAAATTGTGCTCAGTCATTGTTGATTGTGGAAGAGATATCCGACTTCAATTTCCCTTGCGTGATATATCAACTCTATTTTTTGTTAAGACACATGCAAAGGCCTTTGATAAGTAGATCGACAAATTGATTTCCTGTCTTGATATCTTGGTTATTTTGCTGTTGGTAGTGAGTTTGACCACCATGGTGTTGGTTAGAGTAATGTGGTTGATTGTTTCCATGATACGCCTGCTGTGGCTGGGTAATTGGACTTTGTCCCCATGAACTGGGAAGTTGCGCCGAGCTAGCGTTGTTCAAATCAATCACCAACACCCCTGTATTCTTTGGGTCAATGTAATGTTTTAAATTACTCTCCTCGCATAACTCGGCTATAGCTGGCTTCAACTTGGAAATGCCATTAGCAGAATGATTCCCTTTCCCCACAATAACTTTTAAATGGCTTTGATTGGTTCTAACGGCTTGCTCAATGCGTCTTTGCACGATCCACTTGGCTTCTTTCACATACAATCCATGTAAATCAATCTCATCGGCAGCAGAGTCAGTGTTATTTTCACGAAAGACATACTCAGCAGCTTGTTCACTATAGTATTCTGCCTGTTGAAGAGCCTGTTTCAGCTGCTCGCTTAGTTCATGAGCACGTTGTTTATCTCCTGTCTTGTATGCCAGTTGTGATTGTTGGCTCAAGTGGTTTCTTTTCTTATAGAACTCATCGGCTTTGGAGCGTAAGTTCTGGTACTGGGAGTCGGTGGCATGGTTGTAATCTCTTTCCGGGCCATCAAAGAGTTTGGCCCCTCTATCCAATATATCTGCCATATCTTTCTGATGTTGACGAGTGAAGACCAAAATTTCATGTTTACAATTTTTATTTTTGTGCTCAGATGCATAGCACTGAAGAACTTAAAGGGCGTTGGTGGTATTATTCGTAGAGTCCTTGGCAAGGGAAGGCTTTCGGTATAGGCCAGCTGTAGAAAATTAGCTCACATATTTCCCAGTGCCTAAGAATCAGGTATCATTAAATCCACTTATTTCCCCTGACTATTTTTCATATAGGTATATAATATTTTTTTCCAAACTTTGCAACCAAATTATCAAAAACTACACATACCACCAAATGATACAAAGCAAAGTATCTTCCACCCTTCCACCTCCTGCCCCAGACCAGAAGGGCGTATCTAAAAAATCTAGCTGGACTTTCAGATTGAGAAAACCGCGATCGATCTCGATACCTGAACCAAAACCTTTTAAGGAAAATGCTGACAAAAATGTACCGAAACGGAAAGGCTGGCTTTACAAAAGCGCAGGAGAGATTACTCAACCACCGGGTAATAAATCCATTGACAAAACTCCAGAGAATGAAGTGAAGCTGTCTGTTTCAAAAAGCAGTAGGTTATTTTCGAGAGCATCACATCACAAATCACCATTACCACCAAACACATTAGGCTCAAGCGAATCTGAGCATCATGATTTGCTTTCAACTGAATCTGTTGACCTATTGAAAGGTAACGTGTCATCGGTAATCAAATACTTAGAAGAGGATGATAGCATTCCTATCGTATTTGCAACGTATTCAGGCGAGCCCTTATACAGGAAGGACATAGAGGAGCCCGAACTTCTTCATTCACAATTAGTTACATTCAACCAGTTTGATCATTTTGAAGAAGCAACCTATCATTCGTGGAATGTGTGGAGAGTTGGAGTAGATGGTGAAAAAATTATAGGCGATAGTATAGAGTGCAAAATGGACTTTGTCGACTTCTTTAAGAAATTTTGCTACGAAAAGGTGTACATAATGAGAAGCATTTTGGTTCCTACCCACAATCTGTTCAAGAATGGCTACTTGGTGAAGCTTAAGCTTGGCAAAGCTTCGGCCGAAGTGGGATTGAAAATGTTTATGACGTGTTGCAAAAACTCAATCTTGAACAAAGTACCCAATAATGCCATCAAGATCAATGTTTGCGGGTTCACGTACACCAGAAAAGGTTATCTCACTCAAATCACGTTGTGGATCCATCCAGTAATGAACATGTCCTTTGACATCTCCAACCAGGTGAGTTTATTAGTGAAACTGCTCAATTTGGAAACCACACCAAATAAGATCACCTTGATTGATGTCAACAATGGATCAAGAACGGAGATCGTTTGAAAGTAGATAGCTATATATTTCGCAGCCCAAAAGCGGTGGCTTCTCTAGGCAAGAATTTTTTTTTTTTTATTCCCATTTCAAAATCTCCATGTGTGGTATTCTTTTACGAGCTACAAGTAGTATCATCAAACCAAGATGGATCGATGCCAATGGTGGCAGATCAGAATGGGAGACTAAAGATCCTCAAGTTATTGAAAGGTTTTTGCAAAAAGGTTCCCAAGTGGAGGAGTTGACTCAACAACAGCAGAAGAAATTGAACAATTTGGATGAGTTGCGTTCTCTCGTTAATCAGCTAACTAAAGTGAAAAATAATGTCAAAATATCTGCATTAAACAAGGAGCAACAAGCTTCCGCTATCCAATGTGAGATTGATGCCATAGGGAAAGAAAATGAAATACCAATGAGGGAATTTGATTTTGATGACTTAATGTATACCGTTTCCAATCGAGGGCCAAACTATTTAAACTATACGCAGTTTGAACAAGGTGGTAAATATATTCAACTATTCACCTCCATTCTCTCGCTCCGTCAACCATTCACCAAGCAGCCAGTCTTTGGAGATGAATTCGTGTTACAATTCAATGGTGAATTGTACAACCAAGAATGCTTGGAAACGAATGACACCCTGTTTATAATGCGAATGCTACATTCGAATTTAGGGGCCAATAGACGTGATACCATATTGACTACTTTGAGACAATTAAATGGAGAGTGGGCCATAACTGTTATTGACTTGTTGGAGAATAAAATATATTTTGGTCGTGATCCAATTGGTAAACGCTCGCTTTGTTACAAAAGAGATAGGGACGGGATCATTGTAAGCTCAAACTCTGTATTGGGGTTTCAGGAGTGTCGAAATGAAATTTATGTGTTCGACTTGGAGACCAATGAAATTGAAAGATTGGAGTTACTTCAATTACCTGGATTTCAGCCTTCTACCGTTGACGAGGAACAAGTGCTTTGTGAACTATACTCTAGATTGCTAAAAGTGACAAAAATACGTTATGACACTATTCACCCTCTTGAAAATCCAAATGACAGTTCCTTGGCAGTTTTGTTCAGTGGTGGGTTAGATTGCACTATTCTCGCGAGACTCGTTTGCGAGATGGCCAAAATCGACTCATCGATTGATCTTTTAACTGTTGGATTTGAAAATCCACGTACGGGACAAACACCAGAAATGAGTCCAGATAGGAAACTTGCTATTAAGTCATGGTTTCATTTGTGCAAGATGTACCCAGATTTGAAAATTAACTTGGTGGAGATCAATGTGGACTATAGACATTGGCTTATGCACAAACAGCGTGTACGGGAATTAATGTATCCTTGTAACACAGAAATGGACTTGTCCATAGCCATTGCCTTTTATTTTGCATCGTCTACAATGCCACAATTGACTTCGCGGAAAAGGTTGACAAACTTTGATATAAAATGGGAAACATACAGCCAAAACCCGGAGGCATGCACGGAATACACCCCACATTATACCTCTCTGGCAAAGGTGTTGTTTAGTGGGCTCGGAGCAGATGAATTATTTGCTGGGTATTCGCGACACGAAGGATTGTTCAACACCATCACGCCAAAATCTTATGAGGAGCTACAACAGTCATTGAATCATGACATTAGAGTCATTCATGAGCGAAACCTTGGTAGAGATGATAGGGTCATGAGTTGTTGGGGTAAAGAATTGCGTTACCCATACTTGGATGAGTCATTTATCAGTTGGGTCGTATCAAGTGTGCATCCACAACTTAAACTAAGATACAAAATGGGAAAGAATAAACGTGGGAATGATATAGTTATCCCCACCAGGAAGTATATACTACGTCGTTTGGCTGAACTACTTGGAATGCCCTGGGTTTCACATGAGTTGAAACGAGCAATTCAATTTGGAGCAAAGAGTGCCAAGTTGGAACTTGGACAAAGTAAAGCTAAAGGTACCGATAGCTTGTAGTAAAGGTAATTCTTTATAGACGCCACATCTAACCTTTGTAGATGTCCATCTCACTCAAGGGGTGGGTTTTCTTCGAATCTCGTATTTTCGTAAATTATCACAAGCTAAAAGAAGAATTTGCGTCTCGCTAAATTTCCGAATCAGGAAATTGGAGATTCCTGTTCCCCACCAACGAGGTTACATCAAATACAGAGAGATATATAAATATCAGTAAAGATCCTACAAGTGGATTGAACCCTCACTGGTGAAACCAAAACACTCAGTTTGACAATGGGCTCGACAGGATCAAATTTCGTATTGCTTGATTATTTGGCAGCACTCGTTTTCATCTTTATTGGATTATGCGTAGTAGTTAAGAAGTTAGATAGCATAGTTTACGAGTTGCAAGCCTTAAACAGTAACTTGGCAGCACTTAGAGGATGATTTTAGATTTCATAGAATTTTTTAATTAAATAAACAACGATATAAACATTTTACTTTCTCTAATGTTTCAATTGATCAACCCATTTTGGCTCAACAATCAAAACTTCACATGCAGTCAACAACTCACACTCTTCGAAACTTTTCTTTGTTTCATCAATCAAGTACACGTCACCTTTGACCCAACACTTTCTACCGAGTTTCTTTAAAACAGTACATTTGATACATACCCATGAGTCAACTTTTGTTGGTTTTTTGTAATTGACATTCAAGTTGGCTGTAACCCCACGTTTACTTTCAAAATTGAGAAACCCCACACGACATGTTAATTCGTCGAGTAGAGTGGCCAATAACCCGCCATGGACAATACCTCTGTGTCCTGATAAAGCGTCACCCAATTGTAAAAATGTAATCGAGTAGTTGTCATGATCATCAGGTTCTGTTATCTCATTGTACTGGAAATGGTAATCATCGATAAAGTACAAAGTTTTTGATCGATAAGCGATTTTGTGAGGTCCCGACAATGTGGCACCAGTGAGATTAGGATATAAACGTTCAACCACATCAAGGGTCTTTTTATTTGTCGATGTAAATTCTTCATACAAGTCAATAAAGTGCTGATATATGGGGAATGTGAGAATCTGTTGTTCTAAAGTTTCCTCAGACACTATTTCTTCCTTGAGGACCGATTCTTCGGCAATAGATGGCACAACGTGTTCAACAGTCATATAGGTTTGGGGAATGCTCTGCAGTGGTAGAAAACGTGGACTCATTTTAAGTATGACTCCCACATTTTGCAATTATTTTTTTTTTGGAGTTTACGGAACCAAAGGATTATCCGCGGCTACAACTTTACCAATCGTTGAAAGACAAAAAACAAATTACTAATATATCTGTATACACCCCCCCTTCTCTTCCCTTCTCTTCTCTTCCCTTCTCTTCTATTCTTGACCAAAACCAACAGTCTCTTCCACAGCTAAGGACAATTTCTGCTTCAAACTTTCGTAATCAGCATATGGTGGCAAATCGACTCTATTGAAACAAGTGTGTGATTTAGGCAATTGATTAGGCTCACCTGCTTTTTCAATGGTAAATCTTCTTGGCCCATCACTACCTTGCAAATCTTTAAAACCATTGACAGGTATACGCGAAGTACCTGTGGTGAATTGCAACAAACGTGCTTTCTGCTCGGAGTCCCATTCGTTGATACACTTCCAAAACCATTGAATAACTTGGTCCAGCTCTTGGTATCCTCTGTAATCAGTATGTTTCTTCCAATCAGCAGTATCAATTTCTGCTAATCCACCAATCAACAATTCCAACTCTCTTTCATCAAACACATTCACCAATTCTTGTGGTATCAATTCATTAAAGCCATCAATGAATGCTTTAAATTGCTCCTCCACACGCTTAGATATCCTCCACTCCGTTATCAACTCAACATATTCGTGTTTGTTCTCCTCGGTTACTTCTATATTTTTTCCATCGGGTTTCAAGTCAACCTCCACTCTTTCACCAAAGATTTCCTCCTCGGTACTGAAAGTCAAGTCTAATATATCAGTAATGTCATTATCCAAAATCCATTTCAACGATCTGTAAAATTCAGCATCGACACCTTCCATATCTTGAAGAACAACTTTTTTGTGTAGCATCATCTTGTACAAAGCACCAACAAAGAATGCATCCAAGAATCGTCTATGGAAAACACCCAAACCAACAACTCTTCCAATAAACTTGAAATAGTTTAAATGCTCTGGATTGATACTTGAATTTGGGTTGATTTGTAACGTGTAGTTATCGTGCGAACTGTATTCGAATAAGCAGTAAAATGGATTAAACATATCATGCGATAACAAAAAGAAAAATTCACGAGACACACCACCATAATCTAGACCTTCTTCACCATCAAACTTGATCATTAATCTCTTTTTCAAATCTTCGGGTGTTTGTCTCATAATTTCTTGATAACTATCCTCGAATATATGATCTCTCCTGACCTTGATATGACACTGACCAGGAAGTATTCTCAAAGCAGGTTGTGAACGGAAATAGATCACTTTCCTTCTGAAATCACGCTTATACTGAGGAACATTTTGGTCCAAAGATGATGGTAATCTTGGATCGTCCCATGTTGTTGTTTTAGTATTGTGGTCAACAAAATAAACTCTTGCTGTGTTTGTCAATCTCATCTCCCAACCTGATGGTAAAGGACCCAATTGACTGACTGGTTGTTGTTGTATAGTAGTGTTTGCTCCAAATGTACGGATGTATTGTTGTCTTCTAGGATCGACCCAAGTCGTTGTTCTTGTATTGTGATCGACAAAATAGGGTCTACCTTCATTTGTGAAACGTTGCTCCCATCCAGAGGGTAACTCTCCTAAACCCGACGTGGTTGCACCAGATGCTGCCATAGACACTGCTGCAGCAGGGTTTACTGGTGTATTAGCACCAGTTGCATTGACAGTTACGTTACCACTAGTAACTGAATTGTTTGACGATTGAGGCAATGGACTGGTTGGAGTTTCACCAGGCAATGTTCTGCCACGATGCTGTCTTCTTTCTGCTTCAGTATCATGTTGCCTTTGGTTACCTCTTTCTGCTTCACTTTGATCCAATGCAGGTCTTTGCCAGGTGGTAGTTCTTGAGTTATGATCGACATAGTAAGTTCTTCCAAAATTATCAGTCCTTCTTTCCCATCCTGGTGGTAGTCTACCGTATTGGTCTTCAAAAGAAGAGTATTGTCTATGAGCTGCGGAGCTGCTGGATGCAGCAGCAGCGGTGGCAGCAATAGGTCCAGCTGAAGAAGCACCAGCACTTGAAGCTGCCGGTGGAGCTGCAGACGCGGTGCCATTGGAAGTGGCTCTTTGTCCATTGGAGGATCTGTTACTAGATCCATTAGCCAGAGACCTATTATGTGAAATAACAACGATAACTTTCCCGCTAATGGCAACGTTTTCCATCAGCTTTTTCAAATCCCTAGTGATTGTTTCTTCGGAGCTGGGTAATCCGAAGTCAATCAAGTCACCAATGCGAACATTAACCACTCCAAGAAACCCTTGATCCTTCTTCTTGAATTTTTTTTGGTCAAATACCTGTATAACTAATATTGAATCCTCCAGAGCTTGAAAAGTGAACGTCTCATTCCAGTATGGATTAAGAGTCTTTTTTGCAGTTTTTGTTGTCTTTGTCTGCGATCCATCAACTGTGATGACCGCAAATGGATCCGGTTGACGAAATACATCCCTTTTGTAAAGGGATTCCGCAGCAACCAACTTGACAGTAATGGTTGACGTATTTCTTGACATGATAAGTTAATATCTGACTGAACAAACACGTGTTTCTAGTGGTGAAACCTATCGTCTGGTGACTTCCGTAAAACGATCGAGTCCCTCTTGTCTGTTTGGATTCCCTTGTCGGTTCTTTTTACTAATGAACCAGAGTCGTGCGGAAATGAAAAAAATAAAGCTGAATGTCCCCCTTTTAGCTTTTGCTTAGCGAGTGAGGTTCCCAAAGCTTTTGATATGATGCGTGGATGCTGTTAAAGATGATACTCCCTGTATGATACAATTCAGTTCACACAAGTTTAGTTTGAGAAACCCTATTGCTTTTGTAATTCCTTCTTCTTCTATAATTAGATTCAATTTCTTCTGTCTTCTTTTTTTTTTTTCTTTTGTTGTCCGTTTTTGTTCTCTTTCTCTCTCTCATTGTCCGCCTGTCTCTGTCGTTCAGCAAGCAAATTTGCCATTTTCTCTCGCTCTTTCGAACTTTTAGTAATTCCTTACATTTTTGATGCAACTACCATATGAAGGTGAGCTCAATTGAAAACCCAGTCTACGTATGAGGGGACTGGAGTAGGGGTCAAGCTACTACTGCATAGAAAAAGTTGATTACAAATAAAGAGGTGGTTCATTTTTCCACGCAAATTCACTGGCTCGTTCGACGAGGACATACATTATACTGTCGTACATTTTCATATTTCTATAACACTCTTATACCTAATATGTCAAGTTCAAATTATCAAGTGATCTAAATATATCACTATACTTGTAATTTTTCAAATCATGGCCTGAATATGTCTTGAATAAAGAGGTATCCTCTTTCTTAAAAAGCGTGGAATTTTCCACCATGTGCTTAACTGCAACCAGCTTTTCGTTACCCTTTCCGTGAACAATCATCTCATCCAAGTCGGTTGCAATTGTTGACAACGAATCCATTGAATCATTTAGTGAGGAGTGTTGTGGTGAATCGGGTCCAGACACGTCTGATTGAGATGTATTGTTGTTCAATGTAAAGTCAAAATCATCCATTGAAATTGTATCCTCCACTTGAGACTGATTGAACCTAGGCGATGGAATTAGTGTCAATTCAAGATTAGCAGATTCAATCTCGGTATCGGATCCCAGTAATTGCTCTTGTTCACTATTGGAATCAACACTACGTATACTGACGAAAGTTGGTTTTCTCCGTATTGTCAATGGCAGCTCCGGCTCAATCAAGCTTTCTTGGTCGCAACTTGACAAGTCATCTTTACTGTTTATCGATCTCTCGTACCTCAACAACTCCTGTATATCTTCCTCAGAGTAATACAATTTCTCGGGATTGATATTCAACTTGATAGCCTCCTTGACTTGGGAATGTACACCCAAAAATGACGACCCATCTATCGACATTATTTTGATCTCATTACAATCATTTGCAACCGAACACATAGCAACAACATTGGTATTAGAAGCGGGCAAAACAGTTCCACATTGTCTTTGATTGACATCAACTTCAACTGAATTGGTCTTTTCATTGAATTTAACACTGTCCAACCCTTCTCTTAACCCACAATTCATGTGACCAACATCATCCAAGCTCACATCCGAAGTGAGGTCCCAGTGAATAATATTGCCATCCTGTCCACCAGTGAACAAGTCGCCTTGATCCCATTCAATACTAGTTACTTGGTTCAAAGTTGACCGGCGTGAATGTCCACGCAAGCTTGAAAAATAATCTTGTTTACGTACATCCCATAATCGAACAACTCCATCACCATGTCCAACGGCAAGTACATTATCGTTATCAGGATTCCATTTGACTATATTGCCAGATAATTGGCGGTAATTCCTAGACAATGAGGACGACATTGGGACACTAAACTTCGAATCTCTTGTGTCAAACAACGAGATACCGAATTTACCACAAATGCTCAATGTTGTATTATTATGAGGCAAAACATCAAAATTCCTTATTCCTCCAACAGTTGTGATTGATATAGGTTGTGGTCTTTGCTGTGACTCTGCATTCATGATATCCCAATGGAAAAGGTAATCATCGTATATCGAAATCATTTCCTTGTCGCTATTGTATAAGCTCAATTGTTTGATTGGCAACATTGCATCTGCTCTAGTCTTATCTTTGATGTGTTTTCCGTGATTAAAACGTTTGCATATTTCAGCAGAGTACAATTCCGGATCATCAATGGCACCCGATCCTATATCAGGCATGGTAACCAAATGTGCATAGCCTTTGCTGTTTCCGGTAACAAGGTAATTCTTATCACTCAAGGAGGTGTTGTTTATCCACTTCATATTATGTATATTTGACAAGCTGATTGTTGAATGATGAATCAAATGGTTGGAATCTAGATTTATCTCATACATGAATAAATTGTTGTCACTATTGTTTGATGAAATGGCCAACAAAGGGTTTTGCAGTGATTGATGACGCTTGACACACATTGAAGTCAAGTTCATATTGTTATCGGGGATCTTCCAGTAGTTGGACTTGATATTGGTACGATTTAAGGAGCACGATTTGCTCAATACTTGGGTATCTTTTTCATTATTTAAGTTGAGTAACCAAGATGAAGATGTGTTGGTTTTTTTATCAAGGCATACTGAGTTGATTGAGGATTGAGACGTAGTTAGATCTTCAGCCAAGCTCAAGACGCTGGAAATGGGCGATAAACTGGGATTGAATCTTCTAATGGCATTCTGTCTAAATAACAAAGTTGGTTCGTAATAGTCAGTCATTTGGTGGTTATATTAGAATGTTTGGTTTCGTTAGTGGTTGACGGTCGCTTTGCGCCGTATAAAGGGATCCAATCCAGAATATATATTTCATTACACATGGCTTGCAATAGGTGACTGTATACGAATATGACTCGCACTTTGAATTTGTCTGCTGGTTCAAGATAACCAACCAGCCGCTTTTGACAGAAAAGGAAAGCGTATATGCAGGAATTGATATTGTTATATATATGCATTATATGCAGGAGTAAAGCTTTACTCATATTTTTTCCTCTTCTTTTCGCAGCTGGTTACATCAACCGTTTTGGGAAAATATAAATCCTAAAGAGGACCAAAGTGAACCTAAACAGGAATTAACGTCAAAGAAGTGTACTTCAATTTCTATTACAACCATTCTTTCAATCACGTTCTCCACCTCAGCCTTGGATCTATAAGAATGATACACTTGGCACTAATCTAAAATTATCTTAACTTAACAAACGCCTCCCCCAAACAAGCACTACGTTTTTGTTTTATTCACGTTAATATTTTTTTGCCACCCACCACACTACAAGGCTTCCTGCCACTACCTTCTCTTGTAAATACATGGCTTCAATAACCATTGCCCTTCAGGCTTGGCTTCTCTTTTACTCTCCAACTTTTCCTTCTCACTCTCCTCTTCAATAAACTTTCTCTTCCTTTCCAATTTGGCTCTTCTTTCATCAATAATGTCTTGTGGCGGTTTGAAAAATTCAAACCTAGTAAACATTTTGTTTGAATTATCAGTCAGTTTATGGAAAAACCCACATAATTTTAAAGTATCAACAAACTCTTTACCAACAGTGCTATTCTCTGGATCATCATCTTGTTCAAAATCGTCATTACCTCTATTGGTGTTATTTTGTTTTTCACTAAATCTCGATTTGATTTCAGCAATCCATAATTCACCCCGTGGTTGCAAAATTCTATATGCTTCCTTGACGAAATCCAAGAAGTTAGTTCCCATCAAAGCCAAACAAAAAATCACAATCGTTGCTGATTCATCCTCCATGGGCACATTTTTAATATCAGCAACGGTTATCCTATCATTTTGTTTTTTCAAATCAAAACTATGGATTTCAACGTCAAGATTCTTGTATTTCTTGTATTTCTTCTTGTGTTGCTGGACGAATTTCGCAACATCGGCACTGAATTGAGCTTCACCGCATCCCATATCAGCGACAACAATTTTCTTGTCCCTTGTACCAGGTAATCCACCGGGGGCATTGATGTTTCTTGTAAGTAATCGAGTCTCAAATTGTTTAACAAACACGTCAACCGGGTTCTCAGGCCAACTTGAAACTTGTGATTTGAAACCTTGGTGGTATTCATCAAATAAAGACGGTTGTTCTTTGATGAGTTTGAGTGCTTCTTCTGACGTGATTGTGTACAATTGTTCATTGATCCATCTAAATCTAGATCCTGATAGTTTAGCCATCATTTTCTGTTGCAATGGAGTAAGCTTAGTTTGGGTGGTCACTGGTACTGGTGGTGCTGGCTCCACTACAGCTTTGGGGGTTATCGTACTTGAGGCCACTCGTTGAAGCATTTTTGCTCTCTTGTTGGTGATGGAGTTTGTTTCATCGTTGTTGATGGTGGTATCTCTTTTCCTTTTCTTCTTGTCTTTGAGTGGCTCTTTTGAGGGTCTTTCGCTGTCGGTTTCTTGTTTTGATTTGTCATCTCTACCGTGATTGACTGGTTGCTGCTTGTCGTGTTTGTCAAGGGGATCAGTCTGATGCTCATCCCTATCACCAGCTTTCTCGTTTCTCTCCTCCTTGTTTTTACTCTTCTTCTTTTTCTTCTTATCTTTGACTCCACCCAAGGCTATGTTCTTGTCATTTTTCAACTTCCAGCCGTTTATTTGAAACATGATTACGTAGATTGTTGAGGGACTATTCTCGAAGACAAAGGATCAGACAGGTTTTGCAAGGTTTTTTTAAATGCGCATCTCCTTTTTTGCTATGTGTAGGAGCCGCACCAACTTCAACACTATTATATAAGGGAAGGTTGCACCAACATACTACTACGCAAGTACAGACAAGTTACATAAACGTTCACGTTGGTGATTAATTTTAGCTGGCAGATATTTCCCTTATGTGTCTTGGACGAAATGGGAGTGCCTATGTAATACTGGTCAAGAGGAACTGATGCACTCTTCTACATCACAGGGATAGAATGAACGGGTAGAGACAAGGCAACAAGAATTGATTCAAACGGAATCAGAAATTATTCCACATAGTTTGAGAAACATGGTCCCTGTGCTATTACGAAAAAAGGGAAAAAGCGAGCAAACTTTTGCGTAGGTTATTAATTCACTTCGGTTATCTCCGTTGACACATACTCCCCACCATCCCTGCCTCCTTATCGGAAAATTTAAAAGTCCCTCGTTGAACAAATCTACAACTTCATACACCATATTCATCTCGCGACTCAACTTTCCTCAGAACTACCCTTGCTCAAGCAATGTCACAGCGCGACCCGATCACCTGTCATATCCTCGACACAACAGTTGGTCTCCCAGCTCGCAACGTCATTGTACAAATTCATCGAGTCAATGAAATAGAAACATCCTCCACCACGGACCACAGCACCACTACCACTATCACCTCTGACTACGAAATCGATCCGCCTTTTGCACGTGCCAAGACCAATGAGGATGGTCGTGTGCTCAATTGGGTTTTTGATCCAAAAGTCCAACAACTGGATGAAGCATTCGCAAAAACTGGTGTGCGTGATGGTAAATGGGTGAAATTGGTTCCTGGGTTATACAAGATCAAGTTTTTGACGGGAAAGTATTTCAGGGATTTAGCTATTACCAATGCCGGTAACAATGGTCTGGCTGGGGCTTCTGGAAGAACATTTTTCCCAGTTGTTGAAGTGGTTTTTGAAGTTGATGATTTACTGCATTATCATATCCCATTGTTATTGAGTAACTATTCATATACGACATACAGAGGTAGTTGAAGAGTTTCCCAAACACAAGATACGACGATTCTCTTTGTCATTCAAACACTATAATACATTGTGTATTTTGTTTATATACTTTAAAGAATAACTCTATTATTTCAAATCTATGTTTTGCAGCTTTCCGTTGTTCTCTGTTTCCATCCTCCTCTTTTAATAGTAGAAATGAGTATTGTTTTGTGAACTCTCATGAACCAACATTTCATTACATTTATAGTAATTGACTTCATTCTTGATATTGCTAATTTCCTTGGGATCAGATAAACTGTATTGTGTCACTGACTTATTGTACCGTTTGTAAACATCACTTGAAAATGTCTCATTAATCAAGATCTTGTTGTTAAAATTGACTCGCTTGTTAGTTTGTTGTTGGCGCTGTTTTCGTTGTTGCTGAGGTGGAAATCCCATTGGCATCTGCAACAGCTGCTGTTGATGCTGATAGCTGTACCCGTGTTGTCCATACGGTGAACTGAATTGATGACTTCTACGTTTCAAAATCGATGGATTATTTAATGGCTGTGTTTGGGGTTTGTTGTTGGGCAAAGTTTCAAACCTGTGCATTTCAACTTCAATGGTGGAATAATCACGAAATTGTTTGATATACTTCAAATGTATAGGTAAATTGCGTTTACCTTCTTCAGTTATATTGGCGAGAATATTGTTTAATTCGTGATTCTCAACCACTACTACAGCGGTGTCATTTTGAGCCGATGATGGGTCCTGTGACGAAAACCGTAAACTGGAAGAGCCTAGTGGGTTCGTTCCTTGTTGGCCATTTTTATTCATAGGCAATGATGAAGCACTTGTTTCATTGTTGCGCCTGGGTGCAATTCCACTGCTTCTTTTTTCAAGCTCAATCTGTCTTGCCAATGCAGTTTCATCCAACTGAGACCAAAAGCCTTCATTTTTCAAAAACTCAATGTTTTCATCGATATAAGTTCCAGTTCCGGTTCCAGTATCAGCATCATCTGCACCAACACCCGCAAGCAAACCAGGACCAATACCAAGTAATCCACCAATTTCCTCATCTTCTGCTTCTTCATTACTACTACCACCACTTCCTTCATCGGCGGTGTTTTCCAAATCGTGCAATTTTTGATCAGCAATTTGTTCTTTAGTCAATTCATCATCTTTCAAAAATGGTTCACTTAATACATCATTACTGTGTTTGTTCCTAGACGTAGTTGATGACAATTTGACAAAGTCAGGTGGTTTCGTCGGTGTCAAATCACGTTCAAATTTTTCATCAAAAGTAAGCATTACATCATCAAATAATCCATCAGACTCAGGTTCAAAATCAGGTAAAGCACCAAGTTTGAATGAGGCTTCACTAAGAACAGATAAACGACTCACATTGGCATCACGTTTTTCCATTTCAAATGTTGACTGAGGTGTTGGTGGAGGGGACGGATCTTCCTTTTTGTGTTTACCAAATCCAAACAAACCACGATGCAGTTTTTTCTTTGATGGAGAGGATGAAGCCCCACTGTTCATGGAGGTATTGCTGGTTGGAGTGTTGGGCTCTTTTTCCTTTGGTTTCAATTTCTTGAAAAATGACTTGAAATTGGAAATAGATGTCGACTTATTCAATTTGGAAGGTGATTCAGAACCAATGGAGGTGGAATGACTGAATAGTGACGCTTTTGGAGATTCCACAGTAGCATGATGCAGTTGTTGTGGTGATTGAAATTGCTTGGAGCTGTGGAATGATGGCACTGGTTTACTCAAAACAGATTCATCTAGTGTCAAATTCGGTTTGTTGGAGGTTTCCTGATCCTTCTTTGCTGTAGAATGACAGGCAACATCATTGGATAACAAGGAACTGGCTTGGGGGAATTCACTCAGTTGAGGAGTCCACACCACTTCATCTTTCAACGCAGAGCCAACCTTTACATCAGAGGACTTTTTGAAGCCAGGGCCCGTTAGCTCATTCTCCTTCTTTTGGTGGTGGTGATGATGGTGATGCTTGTGCTTGTGCTTCTTTGGCTTACCTTTCACTCTCATACCAGGTGACTTTTCAATTGGTGGAGGAGGTATAGCATCATGTGGAGGGGTTTCAATCTCGTCGTTTGCGCCTTCCCCTGCTTTAGGTGTTACTGGCTCTGTTTCTGTGTTTATTTCCCTTATTATTGGTTGCGATAACTCTTGCTTTAGCTGGTTTATAAACTCAACCGAAGAAGCAGACGACGTATGGCGATGATGCTTTCTAATCTTTCGATCATCAACAATTTGTACATCTCCTCTTGGTGGAACTTCATCTTGAACATCGTTAACCAAGCCTTTGAAAGGTTTTGACGTGATTTCAAAATCCGCTGACGGAACCGATGAGAATGAGTAAGAAGGCGATAAAACTTGTTGCTTCAATTTCTCGGCGCTTTTGGGAACACTTACCGTTTGGCTCGTAATGTTTCCTTGAGGCTCGTCATCTCGCTTGATTTCATCGTTTCTGAGTGGGCTCTCTTCATTGTGAGTTTCAATCAATTCATTCAACTTGTACAGTTCGGGAGAAACATCATTTAAATACAGATCAACAAAAGATTCATTATCAATGCTTGGTTCTGGTAATCCGCTTTCGTCACTAGGAGGATCATCACTTTTAACTTTCTTGATGTTGGTGATTTGACGTGGGGGTCTCAAGTCAGGCACATCTTCCATCCTGCTTTCCAAAACAGAACAGTTGATAGGGATGGTGATTGTAGAGGTACCATCTGACGTGTGGTTTTCATTTCCAGCAAAAAGTGGTTTCGTTTGTTCCGTTTGCTCCTTCTGTTCGAGCATAGGACTAGCTCCACTGGACCTTGACAAATCTTCTTGAGTAGAATTGAACGACATGTCTGAAATATTTGCAAGCACAGGCTTCTCTGGCGCATCATATGTTTTTTGGGTTGCATCATTAGCATGCTTTTCTGTGTTTTTTTGCCCCACAATTGGTTCTGACAATATTGGAGTTTCATCCAAACTATCCTTGTCTTCATCCATACTCACCTCCGAAATTGACGAAGATGAATGCCTCAATGGTTGATTTGTATACTCTTTTGGCAAGTTTTCTGAATGTGAGGAGTTACCATAGTCATGTAATGCATGACGATTCAAGTTGTCTCCAATAGAGCTCAATGAGTGACCAGCACTGTTTGAGTGTAAAGTTGATACTGCGGTGGCAGTCTTGAATGTATCTTCACTGGTTGCGTTTAAAGTACTAAGGACAGTATCATCAGTAGCATCATCACGATGATTGCCACGACCTTCTGACACAGAATCCACACTTAGCCTTTGATCACTAGAGCCACTGCTTTCTCTATTGCTATCATTATTTGTATTTTCATGAGAATCGTGCGAATAAATCTTTGAACTAGGGTAGCTATGAGCGTCGTGATACAGTTCGTTTGCCAAGTGGTGTGGTCGTTCAAGATCTTGATGTTTATTCTCCATGAAATGTCCATTGGATATCTGAGTCGGTGCTAGCGCGTGATTGCCCTCTCCATGTGGGGTATGCGAATTTTGAAGTTGATGAAATTTGTGGTGAGAATGATGATCATCGCTGATTGAGGTAGAAGGAGTATTACTGTCTGATCTATCCAAGTTTGCATTCGAGCCATTATTGTTGTTGTACTGATTGTGCAAAACATTTGACATGTTTGAGCTGGTTGAGGACATTGAAGATGAGCCATTGGATGAATTTTGTTGCTCTGATCTTGTTATATTGTGTGAATGTAGTCTTTGCAAATTTTTCAAGCTTGAAGTACTGCCATTCTTGTAACTTTCATAGGGCATCTTACTGTTCGCATTGTCAATGGTTATATTGGTATGGATATCTCCCTTGTTGTCTCTAATACTCTTTGACAAGTTTTGTTTGTTTGCTAATCGAACATTTTGTAGTGAATTTGACTTGGGAAGAGAAGTATATGAGCCAACTGATCGAAGTGGTGGAGGAGCCGCAATAGCTGGTGATGAAGATGGTGAGTCGTTAACAAAATGTGGTTGCTGAGCCATTTGAGGCCCCATGGACGGGGAGTTGTGACTTGAGCCGGTGTGGTTTGTTTGATTGAAACCGCCATTGCCATCATTATTGTTTGCTGGGTTGTTATTTTGCCTAGCAACCGAAGTGTCGACAGTTATTTTTCCTGGTCTATTTCTCTTTGTTGGTGCGGTTCTAGGTCGAAACACTTCTCCATTAGGGAAGTAATATACTCCTTCTTTAGTGTAAAATGAGCCAGGTGGTGCTCCGGTGTTTCTGTATCCATTGTTATTGTTATTATTGCTGTTTGCCATGCTATTGTTGCGACTATTATTGTTATTTTGATGATAGTTGTGATTTGTATTGCCGGCAATATTGCTAGCATAACTATGGTGGCTTGTAGCACTTGTGATGCTGTTGTTTTTGGAAAAGGAGTCATTGGCAGCAATTTTGGGTGACATTGAGCCAGCTACTCGTTTGGTTGGTTTCTTGATAAATTTGCTATCTACTGATATCAAATTGTCCGTAGACATGTCTCTTGATAGTGACTTGTTAAGATTTGGCATTTGTTGTGATGCATATGTGTTTGTAGTTGCCACAGAAGTTATTGAATTTCTTCTCGAATGTGGTGTCATAATTTCCGTGCAGTGCTGAAGCAATGATGAAATTTGTGTTTGTGGGATTTCTCTACGATTTGATTATTTTGTAGTTACAACGATGTAAACAGTGTAATTGGGGTTAAGTAATAAATAAAGCGAATGTGGTGATGTGTTGTTATCTTGTTGATTAGTGGGATAAAAGAACAGGGGTACCTCTTAAAGAGTTGTTTGTTCGGTGCAAATAGTAGACGAAGTACCAATGTAGTGATAAATTGGACTTCTTGTCTAAGTAGTGGTAGTGATAGTGATAGTGATAGTAGTAGTGGTAGTAGTAGTAGTATATTTGGCCCCTGTTGTTGTGTTGATGGTGTGTGTGATTTGTAAAGAAAGGAATTGTGTGTTCAAAAAAAAAAAAAATCTACTGTATTATTATTATTATTATTATTGTTATTAGTAGTAGTAGTAGTAGTATAGTAGTAGTATTGTAATTATTATTCGCAAAGGGTTTTTCGGTGTGTGTCTCTTTTTTTCTCTCTCTCTCAAAAGATTTTTGAATTTTTCGTTGTTGTGTGTTGGGTGGCACTATGTGTACTATGTGTAGTTTGTTCTATTGTTCTATTTTCAGCCTGTCTTTGTGTGCTGAAGTGTAAAGTAGTGCATAGCTGACGAATTTCTTTTCAAGGAGGAGGTGGGTACATACATATTGTGACTAAACGACAGGGGGTGGGTGGGTCACAGAGAACGCGTTAACTCACGCATAACACCAGGCGTTATATTTGTTAAAGCTTACTAATTCATGCTGCTTGCAACTACACTACTGACACGGGATGTGAACAAATATAGACTAGGAGAAGGGGGCGCTGGAAGAAATGCATCAAAGAAAGAGGTAGTGTACATGTAGCTAAAAACGGAACAGGTTTTGTGTAATTTGAATTTTTTTATTTATAGTTTTGTGCTGTTGAAGTGAGTGCAAGTAAATCCTGTATATAGAAGCAATTGCATTGTCTTTTGTTCCACTAAAAGAATCGAGGGGCAGAACAATTAGACATAACAAAACATAGCGAAACATAAGCAAAATAGCAAGCAAAGGTACGACTCTCCCACCACTGATTTATGTTATAAACAACTGATATAAGTCCTCACAAACGTAATAGAGGGGGTGCGCTTTAATCCAGTTATGCTAGAGGCAATGTAAGCTACAACCTTCCATAGTAAAAGTAAAGATACGGGTGCACATCAAAAAGCAAAAGAATAAAGAGGAATTTAGAAAAAAAATCAGTGAGAATGTCATAAAATGTCAGGAACATGTCGTGAGTACCTGCAAAAAAGAAGGACATTGCAAAGCTGTGTAGTTTCTTCTTCATTTGCTTGTGCTGTATTCATGGCAAAAATCTTTTTGACTCAGCAAGTGCCCTCATAATATACGCGATGTAAGTGAGCCAACTCGATGGTGGAGAGAATCACAGACTCTATTTATATGTCGGTAATCCTGACTCAAGGGGATATTGTTTACTTTATGTCTGACCTTCCACCTTCTGGAGCCAGTTCAAAGAGCATTTCAAAGTCCGCGTAAAAGTCTTTGTTTTATCAGAAAATGTAAGACGATTTTTTGAGACGTACGCCTTCTCTTTATCAACTGTTTGTGTAATTTACGTCTAAAAACAAAGGATACTGCGTTTTTTTTTTTTGTTTACATTTTTGTTCCACCGCGTGGAAAAAACTTAACCATTCCGGCCGGAATTCGTTTTTGCTCGCGAATGCGTATCAACCGCCGACGGCGTATCACAATTATAGCCGTGTAAATAAAACCCTTCTCCCCACCACGCCACACCATATTTTTTTCCAAAGTTGTACCAATGAGGGGAGCATCATTTTATTAGTGACATCGCACTATCCTTCAAAAACATAGGACACATCGAATTTTAACACAGTGTCGATCGGATTATACTGCATTTTATACACCTTCTAGTCTTTTATAGCATTAACTCCGAATTTTAGAATTATACCTCAATGTTTTTAGTTTCCGGTAAATCTATGTGGTATTGTCCCCCAGCTGCATAAACACTTGATGTTAGTGCACTTTTTTAGTTCCTTGATTTTATGGAACCGAGGGAGGGACAATATGTCAGGGAACATTTATGATCAAAGATGAGCTTCCAAAGTTTATTTCTCTGACCATTACAAATCAAGAATTCTATTCATTCCTCATATTCCCCTTTGCAAAATACACGTTTAAGGTCGAGCTTTTACCACCTCGACGATTAAAATTTGCAATCAGGAGATCTGCGTAACTTGAGTTGCTTGATCATCGTTTAGGATTTACAAAGGAATGTAACCCTTCTGTTTTTATAACCGAAAATCACTCTGTATGGATGTGCCCTCTAAATCCGAAACTGTCCGAATTAGGAACGTTTCTGTCTATTTTGAGAATAAGAGGAGATTGTTTTGTGTACGTAAGCTTAGTCCATGCAGTGTCGGTTATTTATATTCATTGCTCCCTAGAATTCAACTTTGTGGTGTTGATTTGTATATATAGCTTTTGGAATTTCACGCTTATATTAAATGTTGGATTCTTCGATGGTTTGATGCACATGCATGGAAGTAGTGAGAACAAGTCAGTGATCATACCCGTTCGTTCTAAAGTATCTTTTAAAGTTCCCTTGTTGAACTTGTATCATGTGAAATTAAACTATTCCTTTTGTTTTTTGTGTCTGTGTTTACACATATCTCTCCTTAGCTCGTTCCTCGCACTGCTGTGCATCACCTCTATTGTGTTTCTTGTATCTTTCTTATTGTTTCATGGTTACGATGAAATCTAATCTCGAACTAAAAAAAAAAAAAAAGAGAGAAACAATAGAATTCGAGATGTATTACACTTGTGGTGACAAAAGAGTACGCAATCTAGCAATTACAATTGACAATAAGGATTCTAGATGAGTTAAAGCGGAAGAGGAGGGTTGGGCTATGCTCCGCTTTGCCCTGTTAGAACCTTGAGGGACGCGGATGCTGATGTTGAGAAGATTGCTGATAAATGTTAAGCTTCCAACTTAATTATAAATGTCCCCATTGAAAAATATAGTGAGGTCAGAATGTCCTTAACTGGGGCTTTCTTATTTGGGATGTTGAATTAAAAAGTACTGCCTCTCATCATTTCCACGCGCGCCCCTGAGGGAATAGAATAGAATTGATTTCTTTATCAAAGAAGACAAGTCTGTAAAGATTGCACGCAATGAGCTTCGCTGTCAGTATCCTACATGACTGTGCTTCTCGAGTACCTGGTACCTGGCTTCAACTCACGTCGATGTAAAATGATGCATGTGAAGGAACGAAAACGCAATGTAAAACTTTCGTAGACCATATATTCTATCTATCTAGATTGAAAAGACCTCTTATCTCATATTCATCTCCGATTGGCATATTTTGGGTGCAAAAAAAAGAAATGCCAAAAAAGAAAAGAGCGATAAAATCCTCACTACATTTTGCCATTCCCCCAAAAAAACATATCAAATTTCAACCTCAAATTTCAAATTAACTCAGCCAACACAGACTCTCTCCCAAAACATGAATCCATATCAACTACTATACATTATCTACCCACTATTCATCTTAATCAACCTTGTCCAAACACTCGAAGTCACGATAAACGATGTCAAGATTGATAATCCCACACACATAGTCAAGTCCAAATTCAAAAAATATATGCCTGAATTACAAGATAGTTTGGAAATACCAGTACGTCCTAATCAACAAACTATCCGTGAATCATTTATTCGTCCGCGTATCGGAATTAATGGTGAACGGGTTAATCATCGTGGGATCAAATCGTTGTTTAAAAAGAATAGGAACTTGGCATCACCTTCATCGCTTGTGCTGCCGCTGCCGCTGATGTTGGCACTGACCTCGATTCTGGATGCTACAAATACTGATTACAACGATTCCGATGATGACGATGTTGATAACGATGACGTCTCAATAACCCAAGTGGTAGATCAACTTAAAGTCAACGATACAACATCATCAACCATTCATTCACGTCCATCTTGGATCAAAAGTTTCCTCAATTACAAAACCAAACAAACAATGGTTCATTCAATGTCAGTTGACCCTTCCCGAAAATCGGGTACCCATAAAGCCTCCTCCCCGTATAAATATTTAGACCTGAAATTGAAATCGAAAATCACTGAATATGAAGATTCATTAAGTAATCCAAAAGATCTAAAACGATGGGTCCAATTGATTGCCGATAAACCAACAGCACCCACCATAACTCACAATCAAGATGGCTCTTTATCTTCATCAACATTCAGATCTTCCTCAATCCGTACTAAAGCATTCACCACTGGCAGCAAAAATGACCAACAACAACTTGAAATTGATATTGATGAATTCATAAACTACTTGATCAATGAACAAGGTTTTAACCGTGATGATTTACAATTTTTGAGAATGAAAAATTTGGATTATGGATTGGGTGAAATTGAACAAGAATTGAACAAGTTGAAAGATCAACAAGGCAAACCGAAAGTCATCAAAATTGGTGGAGAAGAGGATCATGTTAATGGAGGAAACAAGTTCAACGTTTATCGTCATCATTTTTTTTCATTGGTCAATTTCTTTATATTTTTCCTATTATAAATACTGTACCACAAAGTTTTATATGTCTACTCTTTATCCAACACGTCTATATTTGTAAGACTCAATCTCCATAAAATCATCATAAACGCACTTCGAAAAGGTTTAAACTTTTCAGCAATATGTAAAACATACACATCATGAATAGGTTTCCAAGTCCGTTTCGAATCCAGCTTATTATAAAATTTTGATCGTTTCTTTAACGCAGTCTGTTTTGAATCATCGTTAGCAACTTCTTCTTTAGCTCTTTGCAACACATGTGGTCTTTGTTCAAGATACTTGGCCATCCCACGAGCAACACCCAAATCATCTTCAGCAAATACATCCAACTCTTCCATAGTGAAAATGGCAAACATTTTGGCTGACCATAGCCCAATCCCCTTTAATTTACACAATTCATTGTATATTTCATCAACGGTTGCACTGCGATAGAAATCTAATGAAGTCAATTTTTCATTCGAGTTAGCGAAAACTTGACTTATATGTTGAACATATTTGACTTTGGGTCGAGATAACCCAACACTTCGCAATTGTTCTTCTGACATGTCAAGTGTTGCTTTCGCAGTCGGTATAACTCCATCATCACCACCAGTGAACAAGCTTTTAAACTTGCCCTCGATTGACTTTGCAGCTGCTCCGCTCACTTGTTGTGCAATCACTGACCGTACTAAGCTATACCAGTATAAATGAATACGATCATCATCGGCTTTGGCCAATTTCTCGTCAAATGCTTTGGACCCAAACCCAGTGAAATTTTCCCGTACGATAATGGGATGTAATGATGGGTCTCTTTCAATACAGTATTTCACACCTTCGATGAATCCAGGCGTGTGATAATCAAGAAACTCTTGTGGTAATGTTAAGTCCAGAGGTACTTCCAAAGGTTCAACCTTGGTTTGCTTCTTGATTGACGCGTCAGTAGCATCAATTATTGGCGATGGATTTTTGGGTGCTTTTGGTATTGGTTTGCTCTTTGTTTTCGGTTTTGGTTTTGAAACTCCATTTGATTTGGGTTTCTTGATACCTGTTGGTATATCAGTTGCCAACGGGTACACTTGAGACGTGTTTTCAGCGGTCTTTAACCCTGATTTGTTGGACCTGGTGATTGCACCCATGATAAAATACCTCTGGGATACGTGATGAACAAGGTTAGCTTCTGGAACTAAATGTTTGAAAAGCAAAGTCAGTTTAGATGTTGTAGATGAATCTTTTTGACGTTACTCAATTGCTTGTGGGGCAAAAAGTGGGTTTCTTTTTTTTTTTTGCTTGCTATGAAATTAGCTATTTCTATGGTGGTGAAAGTGAGACATGTTTGGACTGCTCCCGCCAACTTTACTAATTAGCTGATGATCGTTCGTACCTTCTTTTGGTATTGTTGTGAATTGAATGCTAGCTTAAATGAGTCACGATTATTGCTAATTGGGTTCAAATATTTAATGTTCGAGCAAGTCTGATGTGTTTGATGTATTAATCATCCGACTAGTCACCCTTTTACGCCAAGCAGGCCAATACTAAACCGATTTCTTCACGATATGCATTCTACCCAGTCGTTGCCCTCAAGCTCATCGATTACGTGGGGAAAGTTTCTTGAATCAGTGGACAAAATTATGTGTGTGTTTGTGAAGAGAGAAAAAAAAAATTGAAAATTATTTGCAATCGCAGTGTGCTTCAATCATCACAACGTTCTTTCCATATAAGCACATCCACAACGCCCACCCCATCCTTCTTCCATCATGAACATGATTGGTGTATACCAAGGGCCACAGCCGCCCAAAAAGAGTCTCCAGGAGATGACGCAACAAGAACAGGCAGAAGAAGGTGCAAGGTACTTTGTTGACTTTATGCAATCATGTCCTGGTAAAACCGCCATGGCAGGAGCCAGTGGTTTCGCACTTGGTGGGTTCTTTGGTTTATTCATGGCATCCATGTCCTATGATACACCCTTGGGTACCGACGCTGTCAAACATATAAGTGACCTACCATTCAAACAACAAATGAAGTTGCAATTTGCCGATATGGCCAAAAGATCTTACTCCTCGGCTAAGAATTTTGGATACATTGGATTGGTTTATTCTGGTGTTGAGTGTACTATTGAGAGTTTCCGAGCCAAGCATGATTTATACAATGGTGTTACAGCAGGGTGTATAACAGGTGCAGGATTGGCCATCAAAGGTGGTCCACAGGCTGCATTTATTGGATGTGCTGGTTTTGCTGCTTTTAGTTTGGCAATAGATATGTATTTGAGTAGTGATGCTGCTCCACCACCAAAGAATGATTACGATCTATGAGGGAAACCAATTGGAGGATGATGGAGTGAAATGAAGCATTTTTATAATCTTGTAAATATTACATATTAATACAGTGTTCAAAGGAATAGACTATCAGCCAATCAGCAAAAGTAATAACAGTATCGGTATTTGAAATCAGCGGCAAGTACGGAACTGGTGAAAAATAGTATGAGGATAAGTGTACTCACCAAGATCCAATATCGAAAGCTGTAAACGCCGGTGGGAAATCGGCTCGATGCTGTGTTTGTCTTCGAGTTTTGAATGCTAGCTTTGGCCTTTGCGTCTTTCAACTTTTTAAGCAACTCATTCACTTGTGCGTCATCATCCTGAACGTTGACAGTTTCTTTCTTTTGACATTTGAGATCATTTATCAAGTCTAGTATCTCATCAAGCTTAATATCAATCAATTCAAAGTCCGTTATTTCATGGACCACTTCATCCAATTCCTGATTCAATTGGGTCAATTTATATCTTATTCGTTCTTCAATAGTGTTTGTATTAGGTCTTCGTATACTTGGCGTACGGTTGAATATTCGACGATTGGGTTCATTATTGGTAGTGGTCTGAATCAACGAGGAAATACGATGTGCAGATGGGGCTATTGGTGTTTGAAGATTCTCGTTCAACGATGTGAATCTACTTGGTTTGGATTTGTTTTGGTTTGTTGGTAAGTATGTAAGCGGCAATGGATCACCCAAATTGAAAGATTCTTGTTTATGTGATTGTCTATTCATATCAACATCCCCATAGGTAATATCCTCACTTGTGCGTCTTCAATGATGGCTACTTCTGTAGTAGAATCTAACGGGTACTCTGATGGTTTTTGAAAGTTTTGGAAATATTCTTTTGTGTCTCTTTCAATATTTTTGGTTTAAGTTTCGCTTGTAATGCATTTGCTTGGACTGACGCGTTTTTTGAGACTACTCCACAAACAAGTGTATTAATTGAGCCATCGAAGCAACCGAAGAGATAGTGATGATGGTCAGAAAACAGAGAAGGTTAGCAGTAAGAGCTATGGACGCCATCACACCAGCGTTTTACCCATTTAGTTTATTCCTCGACGCGTCTTCAACAAATTTATCAAATGTGACACGCTCTACATACTTCTCATAAGCAATCTTTAACAAGTAGGTTATTATCCACATCTGATTATATCTCGGAACTTAGGACAAGCTTGCTTCGCGAGCACTGTCGTCCTTCCTAAGTAGTATAGATTCTGATTTCAGTGTATTCAAATTATCATAGTCATAAAACAAACAAGGGAAGTAGTCGGCAACAAACCAGGAGATGCCAACAATATCTGTGACAGGGTATAAGCTCAAAGTGGAAAGGTTGTGCTCTTTGTTCAATGACGCTGCAACCATATCAACCACTGATGCAAGTTTGTGATACAACCTTTGATGAAACACATTCAGCTGTTCTAAGTGAAGAATCTTAAAGACATGGGTCTTCTCGAACCTTATATTGGAGTTTAAGACAAGAAATGTAAGACCATATTTTGGCCTTTGAGGTATTTCCTCCTGCCTGATTTCTCGAATCATAATAAGAATTTGGATAAGGTGTTTTTGTTCTGCTGAAATTGTTGCAAAAAAAAATAGCGCATAAATGGCCAAATTTGGTTAACACTCTCTGGCTCGAAAACGTATCAAAAGTATCTACAAAATGAACAACGACATTAACAAAAACACCAAATTCGTGTATTTGCAAAATCAGATTAGTCGCAAATTGAAAGCAAAAACTTTTTTGGAGAAAAGCATACTATCCTCAGCAGATTCTGTTCACATAACAACAAAAGAAAAGATCCCAAGTGTAATTCACACGTTAAGAGAGCTAAATACCAAACTCGAAGCAGAAGATTTTTACGCATTGATGACTCCAGGTATCCAAAATGCTTTAATGTGCTCAGAGAACTTCGAAGCGCTCATCTACGACACTTTCATCCCCAGGTTAGAACTGGAAGAGAACCCGGCTGTTGATCTACCAGATGATTTGATCACGCTTTTGTGAGTGGTAACAAGGAAGTAGAGATGGACAATTAAATGGCGGAAGCTCAACATTCATCACTCTTATAAAGAAACAATAATACTCTCAAATTCTCGTTAATATAGACGCATAAAACAAATATGAAACGAAGTATAGAGTCTAGTTCACAACTTCTAGATCCACAGCCCGTGTTCATAAATGATTAATCCGCATTCATCGGCACTCAAAGAAAGTATCAATACATTGCTCCATACTGTTGAAGGTATTGAACACCTTTGGGATATCTCACTGTGGCTGAACTGTTCTTTCCAGCTGTTTCAATAGCAATTTCCTTCAATGTTGTGAAAATTACTGCAAGGACCAATGTATCGTCGTCAACAGATAATGTACAATTCAAAAACGACTGTTCAGCAGTGCCATCACTTGGTGAAGGCATCGCCGCCATTGACTCCAGCAAATCTTGATAAAGTTCAATAATCTCTAAATCCTTATATTTCAAAGATATCAGACCAAGCTGCGATTTGGGAGAAGCCACCCCTTTCAAGCCTCCAAAAGGTACTAAGCTTTTTGGAATAAAGGAAAGCCGATTAGCGCAACACAACTTCAAAACTTCAACAAGCTTTTCAGGTTTCGGGATTGGGTTGATGTACGTTTTTGCATCGTTGATATCAAATACCGCATGTGCTGAGGAGCTGCCCTTGTCCCTTTTCTTGAAGTGTGAAAAGCTCAACTTTCCCGACTTTGGTTTGTCATTGACTATATCATCACAAAGAGATGGCTGGTCATCACCAATGACAAGCAACTTCATTTGTTGATTATTCATGCTATGGAACCCATTCGGGACCGAAGTGCCTATAACTCTGAACCGGGTTCCTTTGTAATTGAAATCAGCAAATGGTTTAAAGCTTGCTTGGAACATCACAACTTTGAAACACGACGAAGTATTGGGCAAGAATTCAAATATGGATCGATCATAATTTTGAAATGATTTATGATACACGAAGCAGTAATCAAAAGTCTCGAAATCGCTTCCATCATCAATTCTGATTGACTGAGTTACATTTTCTTTGAATTTTCTGAACGTGAGCTGTGGCTCATTTTTACGAAAAGAATGCATACGTGTACTTTGCATTTTCAAAAGCGGTAAGCCCTGCCCTTTAGCTTTGTAGCTGATTGGAATAATATGGTTCTTATCATTATCTACTTGGGGAGCTCCACTTGTTGATATCACGATCTTATTTGTATCGGTAGACGATTCCTTGCCTACCTTCCCAGTACCAGCACGTAACTCTTTGAATAATTCAAACGATTGCAAACTGGGGAAAACTAAAGTATCGTGTTTCAATGTACGATCAACAGAGATCAACTGTCTTTTGTAATTGAAAACAGGAATTTTCTTGTCCATGATTCGCATGTGGTCGGCAGAATAATGCTCGTAAGCAAATCGGTAATTATTACCAACCGTTGAACCTTGGAATATAATTGTGTCATTTGTTACAATATTGCTCTTCTCCGTTGCCCCCTCAAAGCTAGTGCTTTGTCCTTGTTTACGCCGATTCTCTAATGCTTGTTCACGCTCTTCCACCCCCTTCATCTGCTCAACAACAAATGCCGAACGCGTTGAAAAATTATCAATAAAAGTGTCCTGCAAAGGAAGTCTTTTGACAATCGCAGCACAAATGCTGTTAGTATTTAATGTAGCAAATGATCTACTATCACTACGCTCCTGGTCAATAGCGCTTGACTTTGAGGACCTAATATGATCATTCGAATCGTCCTCCTCGACAGACCTAACTGCTTCCACAGTATCATCATCGTGTTTTTTCCCTTTCTGGTGAAATGCCCCTCCATTTTCTTCTCGCACGGCTCGATTAACCATTCTCTGTTCTGATTGCTCCATAGATTGTCCTCCATTGAGTACATTACCATTCTCATCTGCGTTTGATTTTGATTTGTTAGGTCTGAACATACTAGTAGTGGTTTATCCTGTGGTATGTCATTTGGGACAAACAGAAAACTGTGGGGTTATTTAACCCTTATGACCATGGATTGGGGAACAATAGAGAGCTCAATCTCAAGTCATTTGGATTCATATTGAAGATCGGCTGTGAAACTTTAACAAGACTACTTTGTGTAATGAAAACGAAAAAAAAAAAAATTACTCAGAATATCTCAATCATCCAATACAATTCTACCCCGTCTGATTTTGTAAAGTGAAAAGACTGCAACCTACGCACAACCATCAGTACCTTCATTCTATCTGATGTCTTTTCAAGACGTTTTGAAACGTGGGGGCGAGTTTTTAGAGGAATACCCAAGAACAAGTCCACTTTGGAATTATGCATCGCACGCCACGTGTTTATTCATGATCACTGGATCTAAAATCATTCTCAACACTTTATACAAACCATTTGTTCACAATATAGAAAAACTAGATAATGCATTAGCAAAAGCAAGACAAGAGAATAGAGGACTACTTACAGTCATGAATCATATGTCTGTTGTTGATGATCCTGCTTTTTATGCAGCACTACCTTGGAGATACCATCTCGATATAGATACCATTCGATGGGGTTTTGGTGCTCATAATATTTGTTTCAGTAACGTATTCCAAAGTTGGTTTTTCAATTTAGGAAAGATATTGGGTACAAAGAGATTCGGGGAGGGTCCATTCCAAGGTTCATTAGATGCAGCAATTAGAATATTGAGTCCAGACGACACTTTAGATCTTGAATATACGCCAGGAGTTGAAGAAGAGACAAAGCCGGTAGTTTTGCAGACAGTCAATAATGTCTACAACAAGTCAAACACAGACATGGTTAAGTTTATCAAGCCAACACCAGACTCAACAAACGTTTTAATGTCAAAGAGCCCCTTTGTACGATCAAAGACTTCTTGGTTCCATGTATTTCCCGAAGGGTTTGTATTACAATTGCAAGAACCTCACAACAACTCAATGAGGTATTTCAAGTGGGGGGTAAGCCGACTTATACTTGAATCGACTAGGGCTCCAGTTATTGTGCCAATCTTTACATATGGGTTCGAAAAAGTGGCTCCGGAGGACACAGCAGAAGAAGGCATCAAAAGATGGTTACCAGCGAACATAGGTGCCGAGATCCATCTTACCATAGGGGACGCAATATCCGATCAAAAAATTGAGCAGTACAGGGAAGAATGGAGGAAATTGGTGGCCAAATATATTGACGGATCGAATCCAACAGACTTGTCAGAAGAGCTAAAGACTGGGGATAAAGTACAAGCTTTAAGAAGCTCACTTGCAGCATATCTTCGTGACAAAGTATTGCAGATTAGAAACTCAATTCCATCGCTCAACTCAGAGGATCCAAGGTTCAAAGATCCCAAATTTTGGAAAACATATACCAATACAGAAGGTATGAGTGATGAGGACGTTAAGTTTATTGGCAAAAATTGGGCCATCAAAAGATTTCAATCGCACTTACCGGAGTACGAAGATGGCAGTACATAGACTATATTCGATCTTGTAAATATGTAAAATTATGTGTTTGAACAAATCCCTAGATTGTAGAAAATGTAGAAAAAGAAAATTCGGTTGTGAAAAAAATCAGTGTATCTTGGAGTCAACAAACTTGGGTCATGATTTCTCGCTGCAATCAAACCTTGCTCCGTAGACTACGATCTGAGCAACTCTTACGGAGTGCAGCATTAAGATACTTGTCGAAGCATTCAAAAATTGTCATTGAGGAGCCTCTTTCATACAAGAACCCAATAGCTCAGCGATATCATGATGAATTCACAACATACTTGGTGGATACAAAGGTGCCGAACAAGTTGTTAAAAAAACTTGTCTACTCCAAAGTGGGGTCACTAGTTAAGGAACCTGTTGGAACAGACGGAGTTGATCTTTTGAGTTATGTTTTGAAAAACGTTCAAAGGGGAAAATTAGAGGAACAGATACCGTTGGACTTATCCATCAAAATATTTGATAACATGTACGAACACTTGATTCAAGCACGTCCCGACTTTTTTGAACAACTATTAAGACAGTTACTCACAAATGTGCATAAATTACCGGATAATACACTAATATTGGTTTTGGATTTCATCTCTCGAGAAAAAGTCAACGTCGAGGCGGTTTACCAACGATTAGAGTTTCGACTTGATAACAAATTTATGGCAAAGTATATTGATTACTTGAAAAGTCGAAATAGGCTAAATCTCGGGTTTTTTGAATCCATGTGCAAAATACGAGTAAATGAATCGTTTGTGGGTGCTTTAAACGACTATATCGAGGGACTTTTTTCCAACACCCTACCTGAAATTCACTGTTATGATGATTTGGAGAAAAGTTTGGATAGGGTGCAAATGTTAATTACCAATGTCATAGATGAGATTGATGTCGAAAGAATGTCCACACCTGCATTACTCAGCATATTCAAGTTGAATGAGGAGTTCTTGCAGGTCCTGAATAGTTCATATGCTCAAGATAGCAGAACGAAACTTCTTTGCGGACTAGCTCAAAGGGAGAACGAGGTGTTGAGCTCACTAGAGGCGCAAACAGACCAGGATGATACACTAAAAAAATCGCTTTTATTTGCCGCTAAAGAGAACGATATCAAGTTTTGCAATGTATTAGTAGATCACATTCTTGGTAATCTGAATTACACCCTGGATTGGCAAGCACAAGCTAGTTTGATGGGTGAGGTTCTTCGAAAACTGGATTTGGAATCTATACTAAATTCAGTGGAGTCATCAGATCAGATGTTTGAGCTAGTGATACAAGCGCTTTCGGTCTCCCACCCACATTTTACAGATTATGCATTTGATCACTACAGACAAAATGGGTTGCTCCCATCAGCAGCTGTATTCAAATCTATGCTTGACCTGGCGATAAATGAGAATGATTACAATCGAGCTTTCAAAATCTTCAACGACTCAACTGCATACCTTCAATGGCCGGATTACAATGACGACCTAACGATTTCAAAAACACTAAATGATCTTATACAATGTGTGGTTTCAAACATACCAATCCGGAAATCATTTCTTATGTTTCGCAAAATCAAGGCACAACTACAACAGCTGATAAACATAGACTCGATCAATGCGTTGGCTCTGGCTATGTTGGAGGCAAATTTGGTAGGCGACGTGCTTGAAATGCTTAAGAGGGAACTTCCAAAATTTAAAGATGAAAAAGTCAGACTTCCCATTGAAAAACCGTTTGGTTACAAGTATTTCAAGTTGTTTGATACGCTTCACACATATGCAATCACCAACTCCTTTGACAAATCGGTTACTAACAATTGGTATTTATTTACTCATTTGTACAAGTACTTCCACATACCACCTGATCGGATATTACCAACACTAAAATTCTTTTGCCAACATGAAAGATGGAATGGGGCATTGCTAATTTTTAACAAAATGGTTGACCAGTATCAGTTGCATGGAGATCACTCATTTCAACCTCCTTCTCCAGAAATTTATATGTATCTCTTGAATGAGTTCGGTGATAAACTATACGAAGAAGGTGTGATTCAGCTTCACGATTGGTTAAAGATGGACACAAACATTCCTCGTGTTGGGCTAGAACTCACTAATGTGATTATGAATGCTTATTGTAACTTGCAAGATGTGGCGAAGGTGCGTGACTTATTTATTGCGGCGAGTATCAATGACAAAGTTGATGAAACAAGCGCCGTCATCATGATCAAGGCATATACATATAATGATCTTCATTATGTGGAAAAGTTTTGGGACAACTTGTCCAAGTTTGGATTGGTTCCAAATTATGACATGTACAAGCAATATTTGATCGCATACGCATACTATGGCAAAACTGAAAAGGCGTTTGAATTGGTAGAAAAGATTGATGATTATGATTTACAAGTGAATGAAGACTTGTTGCTTAATTTACACAATTACTGCTATATCGAAGATAAACAACTGGAAATAAAAAATTGGGCAAAAGAGAACTACCCAGAATTGTGGAACAGTGTCGAAAATTCTGGCTTGCTTGTCGAGGCGACTGGATACAAGCCGCATGAGTACTTTTTAGTTGATGGGTCGACCGAAGAGAAACAAAAACTTATAGATAAATAAACACACTGCACGTACATTATTGACCCAACTTGGTACTATTCACCTTTGTAGCAAAACGAAGCGAATTGATGGTCTCATTGAAGTTTGAACTTAGTGGGGAGATGTTGACAAACATGAGAGTTTTGGAGTTTCTTCCAAGACTATGTTTCAACAAATACGTCAACTTTGAATTTCTATACGGAATATGGGAGCCCTGGCTGGAGTTTAAGGATGATATGACATCTCCAACTGCTGATAATGATTTATTGATTGCTTGAGTTTCCTTTAATCGTTCTCCTTCAACTTGTGAAACGTTTATGCGCTCTGATCCTGCTAAATCTATTAGATTCAAAGTGCCAAATGTTTTAACACCAGATGCTCTATTGGTACCTTTGATATCAATAATGAAGATGGAATGTGAGCGGGACGACTTGTCATTAGACTTGGTGGCAGCCGTGCTTCTTCTTTTATTGACTTGTTCGAGGATCGAATTTGCTTGAGCAGGGGAGGTGATTGAAATAGCTGTGATGTTTGTAATTGTAGTTTTGCAATTGATGTCGTCATGCTTGATTTCGTGCTTTTCACTCAGTTGAGGATTCAAAAGATCAATAATGCTTTCATTGTAGATTTCAATGAATTTCCCACAGACTTCGTACTCCCATTGTTGTTCTTGTGCGTCTAGCTCTTTAATATCATCAAATACCTTCTTTATTGATAGTGGAATCATTCCATTTGATGGATGTGACATTGTGAAAGTCTTTCCCGACCCAGTTTGTCCATACGCAAAGACGCAAACATTAGACCCATCAATACAACTTTGAATTAACTGGGAATACTCCTCAAAAATATACTCATTTGTGTGGTCCATGGAAAAGATCTTGTCAAACAGAAATTTATAAGAGCTTGTAGAGTTGGATATCCCAATGTTGTCTTTCACAATTGATAGTTCTTGCTTGGCATCTTCATTCAAATCGTCATCTGGAAAATCAAAGTTTATGAGTTTAATATTGTCAGGAACAGCCCTAATGCGGCAAAAAACTCGAATATTACCCTTCAAATCCTGTAATTGAGCATGTAGTGTTCTTCTTTTGGTTTCTTGATTTACTAATTCATCCTTCATTCTTTTGATCTCAAACTTCATTCTTGCTAGTTCTTCACTTCGTAACCTTGATCGCTCATCGAGCTCATTAATTTGGACAGCCTTTTCCTGTATCTGACATTTAGCAGAATCAATCTCTATTTGTTTGTCAGAGTTTTTAGATTGCAACTGTCCGAGTATTGAAGCGCACCTCACATATTCTTTCAGCTTACCAGGTATTTGGACTTCATTAACTTCTTCAATTTGCTTTTTGAGCTTACTGACTCTGTCTCTTACGGCAGCAGACTTTTCCTCATTAAAAAACTTGAGCTGTATTAAGTTATTTTTTAATGACTCTTCCTCCTTCTTGAATGACTCTGCAGCTAATTCAAGTTTCTGATCCAATTCGTTACTTAGATTATTTTTCTTTTGTTGTAGACTCTTCATATTAGCATTCATCTTTTCAACCACATCCAAATACTTACGTTGCTTCTCCTGAAGTATCTTGTCAATTTCAGCAGTTATTTCATCTTTTCTCTGATTCAATTTTTCTTGATGTTTCACCATCATCTCTTGACTTTGTATATCAAACTTATGCTGCAACTCTCTCATTGAGGACTCTTCAAAGACTTTCAAATTCCCAATATGCAGTTTCAAATCATTCAATTGGTTATTTAGGCTCAAATACTTGCTTTCCATTGTGAAATTATTCAATGTTTGTGATTCCACTTGAGTTCTCAAAGTAATAAAGTTGGTATTCAACAGGTCCAATTCTTGCTCTTTTTCATTGACTTGCTGACGCAATCGATGAGCATCGGACAACGTGAATCCGGCTGATCTAGCAGGTGCAGGTGTGAATCTTCTCATTTTGATTGTTGAATTTGGTTGAATTGTCTCTCTTAGGCGTTTATCTCCTCGTGGTGAAAACGGATTAGTCAGTTGGAGCTTGAGTCCTGAAAGTCCAGGTCGACAATTGTTCTCCTTGTCGTCTGATACATGTTCACTATTCATTAAATCTTCTATAGCAACAAGTGTGATGCTTGTTTTGAATTGGTTGTGGAAATGTTTTGTTTATGTTTTTGATCTGTCGCAAATGCATGGTCGTGGGATGCGCGACACTGGATTACCACAAAAAAATCTTGTATAGTGATGCACTTTTTGAGATGAGTACACTTCACTATCTCTATCAGCCCAGCATGCCCAACGATAAACCAAAATCTATACTAAAGAATAAACAGGTCCAGTCGCCTGCTCCAGCTGCATCAAATGTCGATGACCAGCTGTCTGATTCTTCTCGCGAACTAAGTGAGGAGCAAAGTGACTCAGACGAAAGTAGCTCAGAGGAAAGCAGCTCCGAGAATATAGAGGAAGGGTTGTCGGATCTAGACGAAGATGATGAAGTAGATGTCGCTGAAGTATCTAGTGAGGAAGATTCCGATGATAGTGATGACGATTTGATTGAAGAGGACGACGACAGCTTTCCTTTAAAAAAGAAGCAAAAGAAGAATAAAGATGACGGTTCGGAGTCTTTCGCCAATGCATTTACCTCAATCATAAACTCCAAATTGAAAGCTTACAATAGAAAGGATCCCATTTTAGCTAGGAATAAAACCACGCTAAAGAAGCTCGAGAGTGAAAAGTTGGAGAATAAAGCGAAAAGGGCGTTGCTCATGGAAAAAAAACAATTCCAAGATAAACATAGAATAAAACAGTTGTTGCCGGCTGCAGTAGAAGGGACCGACTCCAATCAAGTGCGGGAAATATTGGATAAGGAAAGACAAATGAAGAAGATTGCCCAAAAGGGTGTGGTCAAACTTTTCAATGCAATTTTATCTACTCAACTAAAAACTAACCTGGAGATGAGCAAAGTGCAAGCTGGTCAAAGTCGGAAGGAAGAGTTGATGACTGATGTATCAAAGGAGAAATTCATGGATTTGATTGCAGCTGCTGGTGAGGATTAGAAGAACGTTAGGGGATCTCGTTAAAGAATCCCTCGGTTTTTTAAAACAAGGACAAAAATGCACGACTTTTATTTTTAGAGTTTTTGCGCTTTCTCTCTCTGTCGCTCTAATCCCCTCCTGCTACTCTTACATGCAAAAAGTAATTGTTCCTTGTATTCTTCCGAGAATTGACTCCAATGCAAAACGTTTGGGGGTGAATTTCGCATCCCTTATAAAGGTAACAAATATCTTACCTCCGATGGAAAACTTTATACGGTATAACGCCAATTGATAATGATATACCATGCAGAGGTTCGGTAGTACTTCTCAGCACTCAAGTGACAGTTACGACCCATCAAGGTCAACTATTCATCGTGATTCAAGAGATTATTCGCCTTCAAGCTCAAGCGATGAGGAGTCTTCAATAGAAATTGTTACTAGACAATCATCACATAATCTGTCTATCAATTCACATGACTTGGAACCCCTGCAAAGGGAGCCACTCACTGGTGAAGTGTTGATGACGTCGACTAATCCGCCAAAGAACAAATGGAGGATTTTTGCATGCGTGCTATTCAATTTCACGGGTGGATTTAGCGATGCTGCTCCCGGTGCATTGTTGCCATATATTGAAGCTGCATACAACATCAACTACGCCGTCACGTCTTGCATTTGGGTTAGCAACGCCGTTGGTTTTATAGTAGTGGCATCCATGTCCCACAAAATACAACCGTGGTTGGGAAAGAGATACTGTTTCCCCGTGGGTAACTTATGCAGCTGCATATTCTATGCTTTAGTATCTAGTGGCACGATATTTCCAGTCATCGTTGTTGGATTCTTTTTCGGGGGTTGTGGTTTTGCTATGGTGGCTGCTCAATGCAACATATTTCTCAGTCGGTTGGACAAACAGTCAACATATTTGTCTTACTACCATGGTGGATATGGTATCGGCGCGACAATCTCACCATTGATTGCAACTAGTATGGTGAACAGAGGTATTGCCTGGCACTACGTTTACTTGATTTTACTAGGTATGATGATTATAACAGGACTCAACTTATTCTTTTCGTTTGAGAATGCCGATCAAGACTTGAAGCCATGGGATCATGATGAACAAATATCTGAAGGCATTGAAATGGCTGAATATGGTAATAGAGGTGGTGCAACCAATGCGGAACCAATTACTAAGCAACGCCTGGAAATGATCTTGGCTTTGCAAAATCATGTGACGTGGTTAATTTCTTTCTTTTGTTTATTTTACCAAGGAGCAGAAGTCTCATTAGCTGGCTGGATTGTCACATACTTGTTAGATTACAGACATTCAAGTGAGAAAACCACGGGTTACGTCGCCTCCGGTTTATGGGCAGGATTGACACTAGGAAGATTACTCTTGACTCGACCAATTCACAAGTACATTGGGTTGAAACGAGGCGTCATTGTTATCTCAGTGTTGTCGATAGTATTGGTAGGTTTGACGTGGGGAATTGCTTTGTTTGTTCTAGAAGCAGTGTTGGTATCAATCGCTGGTGTCTTTATAGGACCAAATTATCCATTACTAGTTACATTCAGTGCACAAAAGGGTTTGATTCCTAGGAAAATTCAATTGGTGTCATTGACAATAATGACCGCATTTGGATCTTCTGGTGGTGCTTTGTTCCCATTCATTGTTGGTTTATTATCGGAAAAAGTGGGTACGTTTGTTGTTTTACCGGTGTTTATTATATTGTACACTTCAATGACCATACTTTGGTTAATGTTGCCTAACCTAGAGAGACGCAAAGAAAAGAAAGGTAGATTTGCCTTTTTAGATAGAATTTGGTAGGTATTAGAAATAGAGAGAATATCAAATTATATTCAGAAACCCTTGAAATATGCGCGAGAAAAAATTATAAATTCGAATCAGCTAGAAACTGTGTGTTACACATAAGCACCACATAAGCAAAAGAGCAGAGCCATGGCTATTGAAAAACTAATTAAGCAAGGTGATGAAGCAATCAAGTCAAAGGATTTCCTAGGGGCAATCCAATTATTTTCACAGGCCATTAAGGAAAACCCACAAGCTTTTCAAGCTTTCTTGAAGCGTGCAGTATCATATCAAAAATTGAAAAACTTGGATCAAGCTAAAAGAGATATTTCAACTGCGTTTACGATTGCAAATGATAGAGGAAGGAGGTCTGACATTGGGTTATGCTATTTCAAGTTGGCGTTGATCTATTACCAGGAAAAGAAGTTGAAGATGGCATTGTCACAATTCAAAAAGGCTGAGGAATATGATTGTAAGGAATCAACAATTGAGTTTTGGAAGAATAAATGTGAGTTTGATTTAAAGAATCACCCGGAGTGGGATGTGGAGGAAAGTGATGATGATATATTTGATACTGAAGATCAAGACATCGTTGAAGAGGATAAGAAGGATGTACCAAAGATAGAGGAGTTGGAAGAGAATGATAAAAAAGGAAAGGACAGCGCAAAGAGCGATGCAAAGGGTGATACAATGAGTGATGTAAAAAGTGATTCAATGAGTGATGCAAGGAGCTCAGCCAACGTAGATATTATCAACAAAATTTCACCATTAAGTGTTAAAATCAGAGATGACTGGTATCAAAGCAATGAGGAAGTCATCATCACAATCTATGCCAAGAACGTAAAAGAAGACAAGTTGGATATCCAGTTTGAGGAAAATTCCGTATCAATTTCATTCCCCGGTGTGAATGGATCCGAATACAATTACAATCTAGAGCCTTTGTATGCCGAAATTGACGTTGCGGAATCTAGATACAAACTCTACTCAACCAAATTGGAAATTACATTGAAAAAGAAGACTCCAAGTAAGTGGCCATCATTGGAAAAGGAACAAGGCACCTCTACCCAAGAGGATAAAACTGACGCAGCTGCATACCCCACTAGTTCGAAAAAGAAGATCAATTGGAATAGCTTTAAAGTTGATGATGATAAAGATGGGGAGCAAAAAGATTTCTTTCAAACATTGTTTAAAGATATGGATGAAGATTCTAGACGTGCAATGATGAAATCGTACGTGCAAAGTAATGGTACCGTGTTGACTACTAATTGGGAAGAAGCAAAAAATAAAGAGTTTGAAACATCACCACCAGACGGGATGGAGGCTAAAAAATGGGGTGTATAGGAAGAAAAATGTGTTGAAGTATAACAATTGAGTGGTTAGAGTATGGTGTAGGATTCAAACCTTGTGTTTATTCTCTGGGGTAAGACTGAATTTCGCAATTAAATAAAATTTTTGCATTCACAAGATGCTTAACTTTTTCAGTGCCTTAATTTTGCTCTCTCTCTCTCTCTCTCTCTCTCTCTCTCTCTATTTTTTTGTTGAAACTAATTTGCCTCTCTCTCTCTCCCCCCACTTTTTGACACCATCTACTGAATGTTCTTTAGGTCCTTTCCAATTACAAAACTACTACTGCTCAATCGTATAACAAACTTTCGCAAAATGCATATTGAATCAATTCCAATGAGATGGGGGCTGGGGGACAATTACGCTTATTTGCTAATTGACGATAAATCGAAGAATGCCTGGTTGATTGATTCAGCGGTTCCTGAGGAAGTTACATCATATATCAACTCCAAAAAGCCTCAATATGAGTTAAAAGCGATTGTCAATACTCATCACCATTATGATCACTCTGATGGGAACCCATATTTCCATAAAAAGTATCCTGATTTGCCAATTATTGCGGGAAAGGATTCTCCTTTGGTGACTTATACTCCATCACATGAAGAAGTGATTGACTTGGGAGATAACTTATCAATTACTGCTTTACATACACCTTGTCATACTCAAGATTCGATATGTTATTATGTTAAAGATGCCAAAACTGGTGAAAAGGCGGTGTTTACCGGAGATACTTTGTTCATTAGTGGTTGTGGCCGATTCTTTGAAGGCACTGGCGCTGAAATGAATGTAGCGTTGAACAAGATCTTAGCCAACTTGCCCAAGGATACCAAAGTGTATCCAGGACATGAATACACCAAATCAAATGTCAAGTTTTCAAGCAAGATTTTACAAAATGAAGCAATCAACAAATTGAAACTGTTTTGTGAAGAGAACGAGTATACTACTGGGAAATCCACCATTGGTGATGAGTTGCAATGTAATCCATTTATGAGGTTACTGGATCCCCAAGTACAGGAAAAGACTGGATTGACTGATCCTGATCAGGTAATGGACAAGCTTCGTGAAATGAAAAACAACTCATAGCGTTTGTGTGTAGTCTAATGTGGGTTTATTTATTTATGGAAGCGATGTAGAGATATGTCTATGATCAATTGAGCACGTGTCTTAGTCTATAAAGCTACCAGGCAAGAATGGAAGGTTACTTAAGACACGCAGAAGCTCCAGATTCATTAATCTTTCAAACGATTTCGATTTAGATTTTGATTTCGATTTCGATTTCGATTCTTTTTTTCTCTTGGGTGTAGACAAAGTGTGTACCCATTTTATTTTGCGTGTCTGAAACATAAATTACACGACATTAGGTTTGCTACAAAGTACACGACCTTTGTTGCAAAACCTTATTCACCTATTAGATATAAGTTGTCAAAGGTGATTGATACCAGTTTTTTATAATGCAATCATCCTTCTACTTATCAATTTTCATTACTACTTTACGTATCTCTGTCCTTATCAGGGTTCACTTGCAGATGCTGCTAGGACTACTTTACACTAAAATAGCTTTTACAGAATATTATACAAGACACCAAAGGTCCTAGTCGCCAGGATTTGGTGGTGTACTATATTTCAGTTAATACCGAGGAATTACAAAAGGTGAGAAAAAAATCACCTTTGAAAAGTCACAATCTTCCCAAAAACAGCTTTGAACTAAATTAACACTTTTCCATGTGTCATTGGTAGATTTATTTTCATACAAGAAACTGAAAAAGGAGTGAAATATCGGTTATTCCATTTCTTTCAACACTGTATTCTAAAACGGGAAAAGAGAATTTGTTGTCTCTTTGTATAGACTTGTTTTTGCATCCTCACTAATCTAGTGCCGTAAAAAGGTTTTTTTTTTAGCAAAAACTTACACCACTTCAAACTCGTACAAAGTTTGGTTTTTTGGTGTCATCAACCAACAACTCCGGTTGCCAAATTTCAATCAATTCTAAATCATATTCGAATTTACCCATAGCAAATTTCTCATACTCTTCAAATATACCAGAAAGACACCATCCCTGTAGTAGTTTCCTCATTAGGCCAATAAACAACCCCGTACGGTGTTTACCCTTATTTGAATGGATCAAGATGGGGTAGTTGGATTTGTCGAGAGTTAAATGTAGTGCTGTGGTTAAACTGAGCAACGTTTGCTGATTTTCTTGTGACTTGTTGAATGGTTCTTGTGACGATTCGACTTGCAAGTTGTGGAATGTAATGTTATTTTGGTTCTTGATCCAGGTGATGTATTGGTTGAATATCTCCGTGGAGCCATCTTTGTCCTTTTTCTTCTTCTTCTTCTTGTTGGTGGAGGATGCAGGCGGTGTGGCTGTTGCTTCGTGGCCCAAGTCGCCGAGATATATAATGGTTTTGAGATTGAGTTGTTGTAGGAATGGGTAGTTGATTTCCATGGGAAATCCAGATCGATAAATGCCATCTTCAACCAATGCGAAATTCAATGGTGGTACAAGATTCAAATGGATCTGGGATTCGATTATTGTAGGTGGTGGTTGATCTTGTGATGAATTGGTCTGCAGGGCAGGTTGTGCGGAAACTTTTTTGTTGGTGGATCCTGTTTGCGATGACGGGCTTGTATCAGTCATTATATTTGAATAAGAGGGTGTACTCATCTCGGGGTGTTTATCACAGCGCAGTGGGTTCAAATTTGATTGGAATTGGAATTGGAATGGTAGATTTTAGAATGTCTGGCAATATTCTTTGGAATCAACGTTTATATGCAGGTCTTTACTACTAACTTGTTTGCAAATCTACCAAAAATAGAGCTCATCGTAAGTCTTGCCTCCCCAGAGATCAGTAATAGAAGTGGATTAAAGCAAGTACAACGCTTTGATCCACTTTAGTGTCGACAAAATTGGACATAAAAAAAGGTGAATAAATTAATGGTAAAGTAAACTATATTTTGTATTGCGATCAATAATCGGTCAGTCGCTTGAAAAAAAAAAAAAAAAAAAAATATTACAATTAAAATTTTTCAAAAGAGGCAACCTACAAGCATTCAATTTTCCAACGGGTTAATACAGCGCAATATATTACAGGTGTGGTACAACTAAAGGTGTAACTCAAGACCATCAATAAGAAAAAAGCATAATCGATTATACGCCTTTTCTTCTTTGTTTTTTGTTTTGCCATCACAACAAGCTTCATAGTGAGAGATTTTTCTACTCAAATTACATCATTGAAAACCTCATCTCCTTAAAAAAACCATTCACATAGACACACACACAAGCATAGCTCGTTCTTAATATGTCTTGGATATTTGGTAAACCACAACAACCATCGTCGTCATCAGATGACTCACTTAAGCAGAAGTTGGGATTTGATCCAAACGAAGTATCGGACGTGCAAACCATAATTTCAACCCCAGGCTCAATCAACACCACTGGCACCAACACCAACGGCGCCTCCGCGTCCTCCTCATCCTACGCTGCTTTACTCCATCCATTAGCAGGATTGGACAAGGGTGTCGAGTACTTGGACCTTGAAGAAGAAAAACTAAACCAAGTTGAAGGATCACAAGGTTTAATCCCCAGTAGATCATGGACCGATGATTTGTGTTATGGAACCGGTGCTGTTTATTTGATGGGTTTAGGACTTGGTGGATTATCAGGTTTTCAACATGGTGTACGCACATTACCAGCAGGAGCACCAGGTAAAGTGCAATTGAATCACATTTTGAATAATATTACAAAGAGGGGTCCATTTTTGGGAAACAATGCTGGTGTGTTGGCATTGACTTATAATTTAATTGATTCTAGTTTGGACGGATTGAGGGGTAAACATGATGATGTGAATTCTGTTGTTGCTGGTGCGTTGGCAGGAGCATTGTTTAGAAGTAGTAGGGGGTTGAAGCCTATGGTTTATTCGAGTGCGTTGATGGCTGGTGCTGCTGGATTATGGTGTGGTATCAAACACAGTTTGAAGTAAAAGAATTAGGGGGGGGAGGGTGCAGAGAAGAGAGGAGAGGAGAGGAGAGGAGAGGAGAGGAGAGGAGAAGAGAGGAGAGGAGTTGACTTTTTGTACATAAGCATTGATTATTGCATTCTACTATTTTTGGATGTGATGGCACAAGCAACGACATGTTGTGTATTATAATTGGACTAGTTGTTATAATAGAGATGGATTCATTGTTGATGTATACTAATGCTCTATTAAAACTTTTGAACCTCTATACAAACATCTCACCAACATTCAAACAGCTTGTATTTTTTCTTGTTTATTTAGTTGGTTAGTAGCCACGGCTTGATCTTCAAGATTGCGATCGACTTCAACTCCAGAATCAACCATTTGTTTCCATTCACCTTTGCTTTTTTCCTCATTGCATTGTTTCTTTTGTCGTTTAACTTGTTTATGTTTTGGTATTTCCATTATTCTCTTTGTTGGAGAATCATTTAAATCTTTCAACATTTCCCCTTCTTTCCAATTGTTGAAAAATTGTAAAATTTCATCACGGCGTGAGCCAGTGATGTAGTTGTGAAATGCAGTTGCATCTTGGAAAAAATGCAGTTTTTGACAATGTTTATTCATGACTTGATAAATTTTATCGTTCAAGTTATCTTGTTTGGTATTCATTTCATCAATCACTAGTTTCATTTGTTCAAAATTCTTCAGCTGAGAGAATTTCTGATAATATTTTGATTTACCGGGGATCATATTCATGACTAAAAATTTTGTACCTGAATATAAGTGATACTTCAGTCCAAGATCATACACTTCATTAATCAATTGATGTTGCAGTTGTACTGAGTTGTCTGCTCCTGATTTTGCAAATACTGACGGATTACATTCGGCAGCCTCAGCAATCATGATACTCAATTTATCATTGTTTAAAGCCTGTTGCACAGTGTCTAAATCCATTCGTGATTGGAAATTACCATTTAGTACAACACTAATTCCATATGATTGAATCAAGGGTATCAATTTGGGTAGATAATTCCAATATGGATCTTGTCGATTTCTCATTATTGGTGTACGACAATGTATAGTTAAATTGGCAATACCGGTGGTGGAGCATATTTGTTTTACAAGTTTATGAGATGCTTCAAAGTTGGGTAATAGTCTAATTTTACAACTAATGGGTTTGTTTTTGGGTTTACCCACCTTGATAACTAGGTTTTGCAAAATTGAACATAGTAAATCGGGAGTCTTCAATAATTCAGCACCCATGCCCGAATGAGTTGAAAATGACTTGGGGCATCCGCAGTTTAAATCAATTCCATCGACATCATCAATCACTTTTTGTGCTGCTTCAACTGCCAAATCAGGATCAGATGTACCCAATTGCAAAATGAGTTTACCCGATTCATGAGGATGTTTGCGAAACACAACCGTCTCGGGAAAAGGTTGTTTTTTATTGTTGTTGTGGTTATTTTTGGCAATGTAATCGATAGTCCCTAGTGTCTTATTCTCCACTCGAGTTGTGGTTATCAATTTCTTGTCGATTAGTTCTGGTGACCAAACTAAATCGCAATTGTATTTGAGTGATAGTAGTCGTATTGGAAGTTCACCACTTCTAACCATGGGTGCGAGACATACTTTGTTAGTATAATCAATCATCTTCCTTAGCATAATCTGACCCGTGTGGCCGTGTGGGGTGGGGTGGGGTGGGGAGAGGAAGGGGGGAACTGCGAGTAAAAGTGTTTGTTAAAGTCGTTAAATCAGAGTGGAAAAGAATGAGATAACTCTCTTTGAGCAGTGGGCGCACACACTAGAAGAAGAAAAAAAAAAAAAAAAAAAACAAATGGGAGATGAGTGTCGTGAAAGTCAATGTCGTAAAAATTGATGTCGTGAAAGAGAATGAAAGTAGATATTTTTTTTTTCTGTTTATTTGTGTTTTACTGCGTGATAATAACGTTTCCCAATTCGGAAAAATCAATCGGTGTTTTTAAAAGCATCTGATATGTAGGATGTAGCAGCTGCGTTTGAAAAAGATATACAACGGTTATCTGCGTTAGAGAGTGGCTAGGTTACTTGTAAGTACTTCCTTCATTCCTCGGCTAACTCGAAGCAATGGCGACTACTGTTGTTGAACTTTGAGAGTCTGTACCTAAACCTAAACGACTTTTGGTAATAATCTCCCACTATAAATCTTTTTTCGAACCAATGACTGATTTGTCAAATGTAATGAAAGAAATGCTACTATATGCAGTACTTCAAAAAAAAAGTAAAAAGATATATAAGAAACATTGCGTCATTTGTTATGATAAAAAAAAACACACACACACACACAAACACAAACACACACACAAACACAAACACACACACACACAAACGTTAAACGGAAAAAAAAAAAAATGAATGAATGAATGGAGTCATCCATTACTTCAAAAGATGTATTGCAATTGGATTGGTGGGTAATAGCAATTGAGTTTAGAAAAGTAGACAGATCTATTGTATGGTGCATCAATGGTAGAGCGTACCAGTTCTAAGAAAAAAGCGAAAAGAGCTAATTGTCAGGTGACCTTCTTTGATGTTTTTGTTCTTTGCCAACTATCTACCCCACCTCCATAAAGAAAAGAAGAAAAAATGTTTTTTCTTCTTTTTAAAAAAAAAAAAGAAAAAAAAAAAAAAAAATATCTGTTTGTTTGTTTGTCTTCGTCGTTCTTTCTTCATCTTTTGTGTTTCTGTGATGTGTGTGTCATACCCATACAAAAGCAAAGGGCAAAAGCAAAGGGCAAAAGAAAGAAAGAAAGAAAGAAACAAAACGCTTGGTGGTTGTGTTGTCTGACACTACGCTTTTTTTTTTTTTTCTTTTTCTTTTTCTTTTTCTTTTTCTCTCTCTCTCTCTCTCTCTCTCTTTCTTTCAGTAAATCTTGTGTCATGCATTTTGATATCTTACTTACTATTAAGCACAATCAAATATTGACTAAGAAAGTCAATGGGGTAGTAGGATTAGTAAGAAGATATTTTAGAATTGCTCTTAGTGTGTATGATATGACTGACTAGTAGCAATCAAAAGTATAGCAGCGTATAGTAATTTCCATACTAACCTTATTACTAAGACACCCTATTATAGATAGATGGCAAAAATGTCTCATATGTACTACGCACGTATTGTGTATTGTGTATTGTGTATTGTGTATATGGCGTTTTTATTTTTTTTTTTTAACAAAGTGTCATTTCTTTTGCAGATTGTGTTATTGGCTAAATATATATGGATATCTGTCACAAAACAACCACCGTACAGTACCCAATACTAATAACCAACTCGGGCAATGACCATAGCTACTAAGGAAAATGGATATTCTCTAATTCATATCAACCCCATAAGCATTCATGAACCATCTAAAGATAAGTCCATGACCATTGGCATGTTCATTTGATATCACACATATACACGCCTCTCTTCCCTTCTGCACTCCTCCTCCCCCCCCCCCCACCTGAGATATGTAATTATTTCATTTACTACCCCTCTCCTCATTATAAAAGTCTTGTTTGTTAATATATATATGTGTGTGTGTGTGTGGGTGCGGATGTTAAATGTTAATATGCAACAGTAACCAACCAGACCACGGTCCATTAGAGCATTACCTAACTACAGCATTTTCGTGTTTTAGAATTTCTTTTTTTTTTTTTTATTTTTATTTTTTTATTTTTTTATTTTTTTATTTTTTTTTCTCTTTTCTTATCTACTGGCTACGGCAGTTGTCAGTTGGGTTTATCGTATCTGTCAATAGGGTAAATCACCACAAGTAAAAATACAACACTACCAATACTCAAAAAGTTCATTTTATAGTCCTTTTTTTACATCAGCTTTTCAGCTGTCTATTCTTTGGTTAATTCGTTTGTTTGTTTTTTTTTTTCTCAAAATACTACGCCTTCCTTCACTCTTCTCAAGTAAAGGAATAAAAATTAAAAAAAAAAAAAAAAAGGAAAAAAATTTTTATCAATTAACCCAATCTGCATAAATCCATTGTCAAGAAGTTCGGAAATTTCTTTTTTTTATTCCTCCTGTGGTACTGCACATAACACAAGATGACCCTTGTACTGAAACACAAAAACACAAAGAAAAAAAAGAAATTTGTTTTGTAAACAACAAAAAAGAAAAAGAAGCTTCTCAATAAGAATAGTAACATACCAAATAAAACATTTTCTAGCGTTTAGATAAATGAAACATCAAAACATATAAAGAAAAAAAACCCATCTTCTTTTCCTTCCCCATAAACTCTTTCTTTCTTTCTTTCTTTCTTTCTATCTTTTTACACTACATTACCTTACATTATGTCATTCTACTATTACCCAATGACTTCAAACGATAACAATCATAATCACACTACCACCAATGGTAGTATCATACCCAATTGTCCTACTCCAAACAATTTGGAAGACAAATTACCACCTTCGTCTACTTCTTTAGAGTCAGACGATAGAAACAATAAGCCTAAAGCTATACCAAAGAGTTTTATGTCTACACCATCTTCGGTACATATCCACATACATGAACCAATTGAGTACTTTGGTCCTCATTTACCTTCATACTACAACAACAACAATAACAACAATAACAACAATAACAACACAAAGGATTCAGGTAGCACTAGTGCAATTACAACTACACCTTCATCATCATCTACTTCTCAACCTTTGTCTCCACCATTATCACCATACCAAAGAAATGCAGAATTGATTAAACCAATACAATTACCACAACAATCACAACAATCACAACAACAACAACAATCACAACAATCACAACAACAACAACCACATATTGACAACAATGAATCCAAAGCTAACCCAGCCTCTCTGCATTGTCTTACACAATCATATCTCAATAACGGTAAAGAGTTCAAATTGGAAAATTTCAAAGACTACACCCTCACCGTCAATATCAAACCAACCAAAAACTACTACTCACATCAATTTGAGTTTCTTGACAAGTACACAACCAACGCATCTATTGAAAACAAAAACTATATCGCATCATTGCCTACACGTAGATACAAGAAACGATTCAATTACGATTCATCTGATGAATTAACCGAAGACAATAATACATCTACTAGAGGCACACGTACTAGACGTTTACCCAAATCGTACGAAGATAGTGACTTGGATTCTAGTTCAATGCCATCACCCAGAAAGAGAAAGAGACCAAACAATAACAATGTTGGTGCTGGTGCTGGTGCTGGTGCTGGTGTTGCAACTAGTGGATCCTCCACTCCAATCCCCATTGCAATTCAACAACAAATGTTAATTGACGAATCGATACCAGACTATTCTCCCGACGCCCATTCAACTCTTCCGCCAAACAATTCCAAATGTCTCAAGATTGAATGGAAAGGTCAACCAATGGATTTATCCCACGACCCCAATTTGTCGAAATACCCCAATTTACATCCAGCTGAAATTGTCCTTGCTAGTATATTGAGATTACCAATTGCCGTGTACATGGATTCGAAACGGAGATTCTTTTTTGAGAAGGTAAAAAAATCAAACTGGGAAAGGGGTTTAGACGTACCGATGCACAAAAGGCATGTAGGATTGATGTTAATAAGGCGTCGAGATTATATGCTGCGTTTGAAAAAGTCGGATGGTTGGAAGATGACTTGTTTGAAAAGTATCTTTAAATTTTGAGGTGCATGAGGGAGTTTCTTTTTTTTTTCATGGTGGAGCAAAGGTTTTACTTTTTTTATTTTTTTTTTTTTTTTTAATTTCACTACTAAGGGATTGGTATTAATATCATTCCCGTTAAACAAGGCTGGCAAGATTAGGTTTTTCATTTCTTAAGAGGGACATGGATGAGGAGCAATAAGGGAAAACATTTTATAAAAGGAAAAGAGGATAATTAGAATATATTTCAGTTTTGGATTAACAATTAGAGACAGACACTTTATTAGTTTATTAGTTTATTAGTTTATTGGTTTATTGGTTTATTGGTTTATTGGTTTATTGGTTTATTGGCTTATTGGCTTATTGGCTTATAGGCTGTATTTTTTTTTTTCTATTTTAGAGTTGTAACAAATACTATTTTTTGCTATTACAGTGTTTATATATTGAGTTATTACCCACATTGGAGCTCTCTTTTCTCCGCGGCTCACACTCCTCCTCCTCCTCCCTCATCGTCTTCAATTGATTCGTTATTATCCTTGTACATATAAAACTGACCAAATATGATTACATCTTCAACAATGGTACCCAAACTCCCCAATAACCAACTCATATTCAACACAATATAATTCCAGTCCGATCGATAAAACACAATTTGTCCAGCATAAGTCAAATTACCTAAAGTTGAAAAAAGAAAAAAAAGTAAACTGAGACCATAAACTGATTTACGTTTGTGGTTTTGGATAATTTGTGGAATTCGTGCACCCAAGTATAGGAGTGCTGAGCAGTATCCCATTATTTGTGGGCCGAGGGCGATGACATCGTCAACGGGTGGTGGGGGGTCTATGGGCTCAGTTGGATGCAGTTGTTGTGAGGAGAGCAAAAACCCAGCTACTCCACATGCAACAACAAATATAATCGGCAAGACATACTTGACAAAGATGGAATGATATTGTGGCTCCAAAGCTATATCAGTCAAGGTTGAACTGCGTCTTCTATGAAGCAAGGGCGCAGATTCATCAACAAACTCACGCTCTCCTTGACCATGCTCAGGATGCTCCACCAGATGCTCTAATGCCTGATGATGAGAATGATGATGATGGTGATGTTGGTGCTTCTTCTTGTAGAACCTAGTATAATAAACAAACGACCATATCATCAATGCGTCAGCAACACAAAACCACACGGCAAGAAAAACCACCTCGGGCAATAAATGGGCCCATATAGCACCCACCAAATTGAACAAGTCACCACAAAACCAAATGGTGATGAAGCCTATTGCGATCCCTTCGGCGGACTTTAATCGCCATTGTTCAATTAGTTGCGGCATGAGTAGGACTATCCAGCATGCAAGTGATGTTGAGCCCATAACGCCACTGATTTGTGCTCGGAGTTGGCTCTCATTGTTGTTGGAGGAGGAAGACTGTGTGATTATATTTGTAAGTATTAGGCTTAGCATAGCTTCTGGGAGTGTTGATGTTGATGATGTTGCTGTTGCTGCTGCTGCTGTTGTTGTTGTGGGCTAGTTGTTGTGAGATGATTTGGGTAGATGCTGATGATATAGAGTGTTGTATATTCTCTCGGCTGTATATATCCCTCTCAATGAAGAAAAGTTTTTGAAAAGATGACTCGAAGAAGAATTTTTTTTTTTTGTTCTTTTCGTCGGGCGGGTCCTTACTATGCATGCGGCACAAAATAGAAGGGGAAAAAAAAATTTTCTTCGCTTCTTTTATGATCTCACACCGCGGTTAGCTCATTTGATACCCATTTCTTCTACACAAAACTATGAGAAGAAAAGGCTGACTGATTAAACATTCAGCTCAGATCAGTAAGCCACCTGTTGCATAGAATAAATGAGTGACCACCCTTTGGTTTGTAGTATCAAATACATGAGAGATAATGAGGTAACTACTTTATTTTTACTCTTTTTTGCATTAAGTTTAACACCAATAATTGGCTCATTAGAATTTGGTTTCACCACACATAATAACATTCCATCACAGATATGAGAATGCGTTTAAATGAATAGAGAATTAACCATCGTCTGTCAAAGCACAAACTCTGGGTCGACCGCTCTTAAAGAACTGTAATGGTAATGGCCAGCGCAGTACTTATTGGTTTGATGAGTGAACTTTGCATATTTACAAATGTAAACTACGTCAAGTAGCTCTAACAACAGGCGCTACTTATAGACCACTTTTGCCTATTACGAAAGCGATAACGCAAACACGACCTTTTTCCTGCCTGTATTTCTGTCATTACTCGATCATTCGCCAAATGCAAGTCAGCAACCGACTGTAAACGCATGATCACAATTTAGGGACAGAATGTAGTTCAATGACTTTAAAAAAAAAAAAGTCATTTTCAAATGATGAAGAAAGGAGATTTGACATTTAAATCCTAGTACGCTCTCATTATTGTTCTCTAGGAAATTTCATTTTTGATTTGGTCACGTGTATATTGTAGCTTAGAAATGCTTGTTTATAATTAGCTCTCGTGAAAATTGTATTGACATCAATATACAAGCAGAACGCGTCTTGTGAACACTACATAGCTCACAATTTCCATAAGCCTTACATTTCACAAACCAAGCAGGCACATCTCTTCGTCAGTTCTTTTGAAATTGCACCAATAGCCATTCTGTTGCACGTCTCATAGGTGGCTAAAGAGAGTGTGTGTACCAAAACGAAAAGAGCAACGAGAATTAATAAAAAGCATAAAAAAAAAAAAAAAAAAAAAAACGAAATTAAAAAAATGAAATTAAAAAGTGTGGTTCACTTTTTTTTTTTTTGTTCGTGAAATTCTGTCAAATTTTTTAGTAAGACAAACATTGGCCATAAAAAGGTTACGAACTAGCGTTTGAAATCTACTAAAATAATCCGATAACCTTTTCGAACTTTGCCCGTGTCAATCCCAATACCGGTATGTATCACCAAATAACTAACTGACTTTCATCCATCATATAAAAACATCAGCCACACAACGTGAAGAAAAAAATTTTTTTTTTCTGTTCTTTTTTTCTCCAAACCATACAATGATTGACGAGCCCAGTCACGAAATGTGTTGCCGTACAGTGTCAAGCGGGGGGAGGATATTGACCCTGTGTAGACTGTGGTAGCTAAAAACAATAGATGAGAAAAGTTTTACTCCGAGGAAGAAAAGCCATGTACAACTGTTTCTTCGTTCACACCACAAAGAGTGTAACGAGAATCACGTCAAACTGTGGCTCCTACTTCAAATGACTTCTCCAAGGAATTTTTTTTTGAGAAATATACAAAAACCCCATTAGAAGTATCAGAAGGAAAAAGGTACTTAAATGAACCACATTTCATTGGGTATTGACGAAGCTTGCCAAAGTTTAGTACCACATTTATATGCATATATTTTGGAGTTGTTAGAGGAACAAAGAGATCTTAGAGGGGCATTGATGCTTATATGAATAATCGAAATCAGCAAGACAATAGTGATACTAACTATTATCAAGAACAACAACAGAGGCAACAACGGCAACAGCAACAACAGCAACAACAGCAGCAACAGCAGCAACAGCAACAACAGCAACAACAGCAGCAACAGCAACAACAGCAACAGCAACGTGTAGGGTTACCTCGACTAAACAGTTATCCCAGACGTCAACAAACGCTTGTTTTACCATCGACTCGAGTTAACAATAGTGAACTCACCAACAGAGCTCCATTAATACTACCTTCGCAAGCTGCTCCTGGTTCAAAACCTCGTATAAATCAACTGCGGCAGCAACATTACAGACAGGTTACACAATTACCAAACAGTTTAGGACAGCAACAACAGCAGCGTCACCCACAGTTGCCTCCTCAACTAGCTTCTCCGTTTATCAGGCAACATCTATCGCAATCACCTATACAGTCGCCGCGTTCGCCGCGTACATATTCTAATCAAGATCAAAACCAACAATTTAAAAGAAGAATGAGTTATACTATGTTTTCACCGAATCCCGCGAGCCCATTGTACCCAAGCACGTCATCACAATCAAATAACAACAACAATAACAACAACAATAATAATAATAATAGAGGTGGTAATAACAACAATGATACTGGTGTATCTTCACCAGTTCCAAAAAAGCTAAAAACAGATGATTATTTATTTGGCAGTTCTCATGGATCTCCATTGGTTACATCGCCATTACCGACCTCGGCTGCATTACAACCAAACATCAGCTATACTAGGCGGTCAAATACATTAAAGTCCACAACAGCTAAATCCAGCGGTGGTGCTCTAAGCATATCAGCAGTTAGGAAAGAAAAGACACCTGAAAACGAGAATGAAGATCAACGGTTCTTGAGATTAGCTCGCGATGCTTTGGTTGCCACTGCTCAAGGAATTAATCGAAATAGTCGCGAAGTTGTTGATCCCACGATACAAGACCTATTGACTAGGTTGCAGTATGCTTCTTCACCCCATGGAAACCCAATTTCCAAACTGGAAGGGTTAGAGGCTAATGATGCAGGACAATTGAATATACTGGGGTTCTATCAACTGTTTCCTAATTTGAGTAATAATATATTTGCAGCTGGTGGTGAGGATGCTACAACTACAACAACAACTGCTGCTGCGGCTGATGATAAGGTTAATAATCGTACTAGCGTTACAAGTGGTGGTGGTGGTGTTGTTGATCAAACAGGAACACGAGGTGTAAGTAAATACAATCCAGCTGGCAATGAACTGGGTTGGAATTTCTTGATCGGGGAACCATTGAAATTGAAAAGTGATGCTGAACGACAACGTGAAAATAGAAATTATGCTCATCAAAGTGGTAGACCAACGGGGCGTGCATCGTCAATAATATCTTTGTTAAACGATGCCCCACTGCCAATACATCCATTGCCATTAACAACTACACCAAATCAATCAATACTGCAACAAAAACGGAAATCAACCACCAAGACTACAAAGAAATCTACAGGATCGTCTTCAAGTTACAAAGATCAAGCACGTAAATTTTTATGTGATAAATGTTTAATGACATTTCGTCGATCTTCTGATTTGAAAAGACATGCAAAACAACATCTTGACGTGCCGGCTAATATATGTCAATTGTGCGGTAAAGGATTTGCTAGAAAAGATGCATTAAAGAGACACATGGGAACATTAACGTGCAAACGAAATGCCAACAAGAAGTTGTATGTTGATAATTTGGCGTTTTTGAATAGTGATGGAATTGGAAGAGGAAACAGCACTGGTCGTAGTGAGGAGGATCAAGACGATGATGATGACGAAGACGACGATGATGAAGATGAAGAGGATGAAGAAGAGGAAGATCAAGATGATGACGACGAGGAAGGAGGACGTAAGCGAAAGAAGAACAAGTTTGGGCATAACAATAATGATCAAGATGAAGATGACGACGATGAAGATGACGATGACATTAGAAAACCAAACTTTCCTACTTTTGGATATCAAAAGACTAATTGGAAAGTATAATTTGGAGGTATCTTTCTATATACATTCGTTTTTTTGGAACTATAAAACTGACTGGTTTACTCTGTCAATGAGTACAGATATCACATACGATTTTGTAGACGTATCAGTTTACCCCACTTTCAAAACGGTTTCTTTTCTTTTGTGGATGTTGTATACAAAAAAAGATATGACGTCAAAAACATCAAAAAGCTCTTATTGTAGTTGGTGGGCGTCGTTTTTTTTTGCACCTCGGGTCAATGGAGAAGAAAAAGGTGCAAATCGGAATAAATGTTCTTTTGTGTTGGAGGATTTAATTTTTCTTTTGGTTTCATATGCTTTTAAGTTACTATTTTCCGAGGTAGTAATGTATACATAGTACAGACATGCTAACTAAACTTCTAGTAGAGTGTGTAGTTTATGCAATTGGTTCGTGATGACGTTGGAAGATCTGCATCGAGAAAGATAATTTGTCATATGGCTCTAAAAAACCGTGGTGACGCGATCTTGTAGTTTTACCAGCGGGTCGGAAAAAGAAGTTGCGTTGCAGTATGGTAATAGTACATTACGAGTCAAAAAAGAATTCGTTAAATTACATTGTTTTATTTCCCTGCTGTGCGGCGCTCCGGCTGTTGACACTGCCAATACTGTGAAAGCATACGTTTCTTCAAAAGTGTCTCTCTAAATCAAAGCAAAGTTCCAATGCTCATACGACTTATCATCGAATGGGCCCGTATGCACCATGCAATGGGAATGACATGGCCGTGTTAATGCAGGTTTGACTCATGATGTATTCGCGCTCTTTTTGCATTAACGGACCAAAATAGAGTTACTTTGTGTGACGGCAATTGGCATTTTTCTTTTTTCAACCTCGGTTGACAGACCTCCCTTCTAACCTGCATATACACACACTCACCCATAACAGCTAAACCGTTATAGACGTAAAGTCTCTTTTCATAACACAAAGATCTCAATTTCTTTAGATTTAGAGATTTCGCAGTAAGGTAGTAGTCAATACAAAGTACTCTCACATTAACACAATGGAAAGAGATTGGTTAGATTCCGCAAAACAAAGAAAGAGTGTGTGAAAATACTTTGATGGAAAATTGTAGTGTTGCTTCACACATTGTGACTTGTGCTCTTGTACTATTGGTATACATCATTACCCCGACTGTCCAGTTCACAATGTTTTATCTTATGCCTGTTCACTCCCCTCATTCCCCTAGCAACGCTGAAACCCAACAGAAAATATTTCCAGCGCAATGCTTAGACGCCCAAAAAAATTTTAAAACTTAAACTGTGAATTTTGGCATATCTGCATAAGGGAAAATCACATAAATTTATTTCTTTTTTTTTTTTTCTTCTCTTAATATACCCGACTCTTTTAATTATCACAATACAAGATACAATAGAAATATACATACCTTACTCATTGCTTAAGCACACAATACAAGACTCCCTCCCCCATTCTTCCCGACAAGTCGATCATTTAAATACAATCGTAATTCCACCATAACTCCACATTTTTTCCAATAAAGCTCAATAGATATCTTTTTTTCCAAAGTGATTAACCTGATCAAGAGATTTTCTTCAATTCATCTCACACTACGAACTGTTCACAACCCAGTACCATTTCGATTCAAACCATTACACATAAGATCCCCTATCAGAAATATGTCATCAGCCCAATCCAGATTATCACAAGTTGCCAACATCTTGAGTCCAACCAAGGCTCCAAATTCTCGCCAATCATTAACTCCAGACCACCCTTTCAAAATCGCCGTTATTGGTTCAGGAAACTGGGGTACCACCATTGCCAAAGTGTTGGCTGAAAATGCCCTTTCTAGACCTCATTTGTTTAGTCATTACGTGAAAATGTGGGTTTACCAAGAACAAATCGATGGCAAGAATTTAACCGATATTATCAATATTCAAAATGTTAATATCAAGTATTTACCTGGTGTCAAATTACCTCCCAATTTGGTTGCTGAACCAAGTTTATTGAAAACTGTTGAAGGTGCCGATTTGATTGTGTTTAATTTACCTCATCAATTCTTACCCAAGATCTTGCCTCAATTGAAAGGTCATGTGCCACCAACAGCTAGAGCAATTTCATGTTTGAAAGGGTTAGAAGTCAACAAGGAAGGCTGTAAATTACTCAGTACTTATATTACCGAAGAATTGGGAATTGTATGTGGTGCTTTATCGGGGGCCAACTTGGCTCCAGAAGTGGCTAGAGGTAAATGGTCAGAAACCACCATTGCTTACACATTACCCCTGGACTACCGTGGTGCTGGTAAAGATATTGACGAATACGTTTTGAAAGCAGCCTTCCATAGACCTTATTTCCACGTGAATGTCATTGACGACGTTGCTGGTGTTTCCGTGGCTGGTGCATTGAAAAACATTGTTGCTTTAGCTGTGGGGTTCGTTGAAGGTTTGGGATGGGGTGACAATGCCAAAGCCGCCATCATGAGAGTGGGATTATTAGAAACAATTAAATTTTCAGAAACCTTCTTTCCTGAATCGAAAGCATCTACATTTACCGCTGAATCAGCTGGTGTGGCTGATTTAATAACCACTTGTTCAGGAGGTAGAAATGTCAAAGTTGGTCGTTATATGGCCCAAACTGGTGCTTCCGCAGAAGCTGCCGAAAAGAAATTGTTGAACGGACAAAGTTCACAAGGTATCGTTACTGCTAAAGAAGTTCATGAATTGTTGGAGAATACTGATAAATTGGATGAATTTCCTCTTTTTGAAGCAACCTATCAAATCATTTATGGATCTGAATCAATTGAAAACTTGCCCAACTTGTTGAACTCGGATTAAGCAGAAGCAAGAGTGGTGGAGGTTGGAGGGATCAGAGAGGGGGCAAGTCTACTCTTTGAACTGTTCATTAGAATCATGTACATTAGATGTAATCAATAGATATAGAGATGACAACGAAGAGCTTTCGTAAAGACAAGTGGTCTAGTATGCCCTTATTTTAATTTCATCTACTCCACTAACAACACGCAACTAAACCCCAACTTCTCCCTAGAGCTTGACCTTTTTAATGTCTTCATTTTCGCCTTGCCCATTAGTGACAGTATTCAGCGGACTGACACTCAGATCAACAACTCCTTTGCTATCTTCAGGTGACGTAGCACTTGTTTCACCTTCACCTTCAATCTCATCTAATTTCCTCTTTCCATGATGCTTGCTTCTATACTTGGTTAAGAATTTTTCCATATATGTGTCGGAGTACTCCTTCAATTTCTTCAATTTGTGCTTATCCAATTCCTTAGATGATGATGGTGGTGCACCCTTGTTTGCTTCGCGAGCTGCTAAATTATTGACGATTTCCTTGGCACACCCCTTGACGTTATCTTTGCCAATCTCATCAACATATGATTTAAGTAAATTTGGTACGTGTTTGGCCATAACGTGTTTCCATTGAGATTCAAGTGATACTTCCTTACCTTCTTTCTTCTTGTGAGAGTGACTCGATGATTTGTGTTTAACTCGGGCTTCATCGTCTTGCTCAGCAACAGCAACAGCCCTTTTCCCACCCAGCGGGTTTGGTCTACTACGTTCGTGTTTGTGTTTACTTCTATGCTCATGCTTGTGTTTGTGTTTGCTTTTCTTTTCGGGCTCAGGTGTTGACTTGATCGTTTTCGCCTGCTCGATCAATTCCCTCAATTTCCGTTCCTTCTCCGTCAACTCTTGAGCTCGAGCTTCTCTTTCTCGTTTTTCTTTTTCTTCCTCACGCCTGGCAATTTCTTCTTCAATATTGTTGTTACGCGGTGGAGGACTACTGTGATGCAGATTTGAGTACGGGACTTGTGAATATTGATTAACCATATTGCTGGGCCCGGTTGGGAGTTTCGGTCGCGTGGGCATCGATACTCCTGGTTTATCCCAAGTGGTTTCATTCGTCAAGACATTGTAATAGTAATACCTTTGAGTATTGGAGTCATATTGGGATCGCCAATTTGGTGGTAAACCAAAATCGGGATTCGACACTGGTGCAATGGTATTTGATGTTGAGTACATTTGTGATGCATTATTCGAATAGTGTCCATGATCTGATTGATTAAAAGTCGTGGCACCAGATGTATCACCGTTTCGATGCTCAGGTGACCTTGAAACTCTTCCATACGATTCCATTAATGACTGGTCTGGTTTTTGGGTTTTGGGGATCCGATATGTCATTTCCAATACTGACCATTGGGACAACAAGTTTGATGCTAGTTGCTTGATCTCCTCATTTGTCGTGTTAGCTTCGATCTCCTTCACAACATCCTCAATCTGCGATGACGAGATTCTATTCTTGGTCATTGCTGGCCACCTAGACAAAATTTCCAAAACCATTTTGATCAACTCTTCATCCTCAATACCTTGCAAAACACCTGACAATGTCTTGTATCCATGCATCTTAACCATCAATGAGTTTACACTAGGGTCATCGGTCATATGCATTCTCATAATCAATTTCGCAATGATCAGCTGCTGCTGTGATTTAAGCAATGCTGCCATCACTTTGGAAACATCAACATCATCCATAGGCTCAATTTCTAAACTCTGCACAAAAATCTCATTAATAGTCGAATCATCATCTTGCTGGTCACCACGTAAGTGCTTATTCTCCTTCAACCATGCTTTCTCCATTTTCGAAGTAACACCAAGGGCTTCAGCAATACCTTCAGGCAACAACAATGCAGCATCAGTTTGTTTCTTCCCACCCATAAACTTGATACAATTAGGTTCTCCACAATAACAAGGTTGTGATTGAGCACCATATCTATCTACATTATAATCAAAAGTAATTTCTTCACCTTTGGCAATGTTCCTCTTGGCAAATATTCCCATACGCAATTTATCTCCAACAACCCATTTATCAACAAATGCATTGGGATTGCACGAATGATTTACAAATCTGGCAAGTGACCCCTTTTCCGTGGCATCAATGAATGCATCTGGTTTCAACATCATGAAATAAAAATGCTTGTAGTTTTTCATATCGTATTCAATCATTCGTTGACGAAATGCTCCTTCATCAATCACTTCTCCAATGTATTCATATATGAACTGCCCTTCCGAAATGGGTTTGTTGGCTTTTAGACCGTATCCCTTGAGTTCAGTTTGGAAAACTGATACATCTGCATATTGTCGTTTTTGAAAACGTTGATTTTGACAATCATCACCACACAAACAATGCCGATTAGTACATTCAACTGATGTAAGTCTATTTATACAGTTGGAGTCTTCACCACATGCCAAGTTCATTTCCTGCTCTCCATCCCACTCTTCTTCACAATCACATGTCATATACTCTGCTCGTTTGTTGCTGGAAGGTGCTGCAATCAGTTTCAGCTGGTAAGTCGATATTTGCAAATTATGAAACTTTGTCAACGCCTCCTCGGTCTTATCCTCGACCTCGAGGAATAAAGGTGGAGCATATTTGCTGATCGAAGTATTCCCATTCATTCACGTATTCAAATGTTTTGTAACAGGGAGCATCAACTGTAGGTCCGACCGTGATGCTTAGTAGTGGTGCCAGTGATTCGAATTTTTTTTTTTTTTTTTTTTTTTTCATTTTCATTTTCAATGTTCTTTATTCTTTTTCGTTCACTCATGGGATCTTATGCGTGAACGAAACTTCCCAGTGATCACTGTGATAGCCAGCATGAACGAACAATGCTATGTCCAGTAATCCACTGCGCAACCACGAGCCTCGACAATGGATCAATTACAGCTTTTCACAATACAAAATTGAACGTTATACACTACACATTATTACTCTTTCTCCTTATAACTTTCTACCCTATCTTTGTTCTTTGAAGCGGCATGAACCAATTGCACAAATGCATCGCCTACTGCAGTGGCCTTGGGTGCATTTTCCTTCAGCTTGGGTGTTGTATCAGACAACGAGACTTTCGATCGATCAGCATCACCTTCTGCAGATTTCAACGAGTCATTAAACTTTTGCCAGTTACTTAAAGCTGAGCCTTGAATAGAATCATTATCTCCATCGGCTTTTTTAGTCAGACTTGTCAGTAAATCCCCATTAGCATTGAACATATTAATCTCGGTTGGATCATCATCTTCCTCAGTTTGCATTTCCTTCAATTTGTTGATCCTATTGTGCAACTTAACAAGCTCGATAGCTTGTCTGAATTTGGCCTTGGCATCGAAACGTTCCTTCAATTGTGGTAGTAAATCAGCATCGGTGTGTTTCTTGGCAATAGACACGATCCATGGGTCATTCAATAATTCAGTAGCTGTGGGTCTGTTGTCAGGATTATACTGCAACGCTTTAATGATAAATCTACGAGCATCTTTCGAGACATCTCTCCAATAATCTGCATGGAAAATAACTGCATTATTGTGTTTCACCTCATTGATAAAATCCGTAACATTCTCTGATCTAAATGGCGAATAACCACAGAGAATGGTGTAAGTTACAACCCCCAAGGACCAAATATCACATGGCTTACCATGCCCAGTTCCTAATATGACTTCTGGTGCTGCATATCCAAATGACCCTGCCGATGACATTAATTTCTCACTTGAGTTTTGCAATCGTTTGGCAATTCCAAAATCAGCCAACACGATTTGACTGTCTGACTCGGGTGTCAAGTACAATACATTCTCTGGTTTGATATCACGATGAACAATATCACGTTCATGCAAGTATTGAATTGCTTCCAACATTTGGATTATAACCAATGATGCGTCATGTTCAGTAAATCTCCCCTGTTGAACTATTCGATCGAACAATTCACCACCAGTAGCCAATTGGGTAGCAATGTAGAATTTGTCCTTACTTTCGAACCAATCTCTAAACCCAACAATGTGTGGATTGTGCAATTCCTCAAGCAATTTAATCTCCTCCAACACCATTGCTTCATTGCCTTTAAGTGCCTTTTTCAAAATTATCTTCATTGCTACATCTTCACCAGTGACGTTGTTTCTAGCATACCTCACTATTCCAAACGATCCAGCACCTAAAGTCTTGCCAAATGTGTAATTTTGTTTATGGGAGTAGGAAGCTGGTTGACCAATGATTTTGTTAACAAAGTTTTTGAGGTGACTACCCTCGGCTTGAGGGTCTGACTTTTTAACTGCTGTGCTCATACAGTGTATTCTATTGGGATATTAAGCAATTAATGTGGGATGGTCTAAAGGGGAAGTTTCTTGAATCAGGGTTTAATATCTTTAAATTTTCTTGTTGTCGAGAGGGATGAAATTCCAAGTTGCACGGATATAAAGAGCCACAAAATTAGTTTACACTAAATGTGAATGACACGCACTATTCCAGTAGTTATGTTGTGGAGCATCTTTTGCTATAAGAAGTTATCAAGTAATATTTATATATATAATCAGAGTATAGCTACAGCTTCTTTTTTTAGCAAATCGAGTCCTAGAACCCTCTCTTTTTTGCGCTTTGCACAGCCTTCACGGTTTAATTGTAAATTTATGACGTCTATTATAATTATGATGACGGAGTTTTTGTGCTACTGCCATCCAAAAGCGCTATTAATAGAAGTGTAGAAGCATCTACACGGCATTTTTACAAAGTTACACGAGGGTTGAGATAGCGGGTGAAGAGCCGCTAAATGCAAAGAGTGGAAAACTTCTCAAAAGATCATCTCTCGCTTTTTATGTGTGTCCTTCGGCTTAGAGCAAAGCCACTCGAACGCGGAGTTAAGCCATGCCGATGAAAATTTGGCTCACGCCAAATTCGACCACTAGAAACAATAGCCTCTCCTATTCGATCCACTGCAGAGATTCAAGGCGAAGATAAATAAGATATACGTATTAAAAAGACTTCCTAGTATTTACTTTAGAACTTGGTCGAGTTTGAAAAATCTTGCTCGGTAACATTTGACCGCTCACACATTTGTTGGAAAATACTTCCCTTTGAATTAAACAAATTCCAAGGTGTATCAAATTCCTTAACTTCACCTTTATCCAACACCAAGATTCGATCATAGTTGATAATCGTCTTCAATCGATGAGCAATACACAAAATGGTACAATCTTTAAACTCGCGGATGATTGTTTCTTGAATCTTGGAATCGGTCTCATAATCAACTGATGATGTAGCTTCATCCAATATAAGAATCTTGGAATCACGCACCAATGCACGAGCAAATGCAATCAATTGTCGTTCACCAAGTGAGAAGTTCGAACCTTCATCTTCTACTGCTTGATCCAAGTGAAATTTGTGCAACGCTAATGAATCGGGAGTAGTTGTAGTAGTAGCGGTAGCCGGTTTTTTTTCTGCATTCTTTTCGTTTGATCTTCCGGTGGTGGATGCTGCCGTTGTTTTAGCACTAGCTTTTGTTTGCTTCTTGACAGATTCCAATCTTGACTCTTCAATTAACCCTGTTCTTCTTAAAGCATCCCATAATTTATTGTCGTCATGCTCATTAAATGGATCCAAGTTGGTTCTGATTGTACCTCTAAATAAAACTGGATCTTGTGGGATGATTGACAATTTCGATCGCAAATCTTTCAACCCTAGCTTGGATATGTCAATCCCGTCAATCTCAATCTTTCCTGAGTCCAATTCAGATAACCTGTACAATGCAGTCATGATTGATGATTTACCTGCACCAGTTCTACCACATATACCAATCTTTTCAATTGAATTGATCGTGAAATTCAAATCCTTCAAAACCAATGGCAAACCTGGTCTATAAGCTAACGATGCATGTTCAAACGTGATGCTTCCTTCACTGGGCCAATTTGGTGGTGGGGTGTTCTCTGTGATAATGTATGGTGCTTCTACTGGCAAGTTTGTTGCATATGAATTCAATCTTTCAGCTGAATTCATTTCATTCTCCACTTGAGTAAATGTTCTAATAAGCATAGATAATTGACCAGCAATTTGCAAAACATACGACAAAATTAAACCAACGGCACTAGCACTAACATCAAATACACGATTGACACATAGCAATGCAATCAACAACGCAAACAACGTAGCAACAAAGTCCATATGAATAGCCAACCAACGTTGATTGGCAATCGTGATGTAGTATGCCTCATTCATTCGATCAATCAAGTAATTATTCTTGTCGATAAATCGCTGTGTGGCTTTATATGCTTTGATTGTTGCCATACCAGTCAAGGTTTCATTGAAATTATTGTACACCAATGATCTCTGTACTGCTTCTAAACGCTTAATTTCACGAGCAGATGCTTGGTAGTAATTAGCAATGGAAACAAACAACATACCCAAAAACGGAACAGCAATAGCAAACCATGGCAAATAAATGATACACAATATAATCACCCCAACAATATTGGCAAACACAAACAAGAAAAATCTCAACTGATCACCAATTTCATTATCCAAAACATCGGTATCCTTGGTGAAACGGTTCAAAATACGACCCATTGGTGTAGTATCCATGAATGACATTGGTGCATGCAACACTTTTTGAACAGCAAGAACATTCATTTGAACTGAGGCGGTATTGGTGAAGTAAACCAATATGATGAATTCACACGTTAACAAGATAAATGACAAAAAAGTAAACATAATGTAAATTCCAATGTAAAACTTGTTTGGTCTATTAAACTTGTACTCTGTCCAAAATGATAACCAAGTGTTTGTGAAAATTTGACTGAATGTAGCCAAAACAATAAATAAAAGTAAAGTTGGAAGCATTGCCCACGGTGTGAATTTACCCGATCCTAGTTCAAAATATTTGGCATAAATTTTGGTACTAATGGCATTAACAGCACGTTCTTCATCACCAATCAATTTACCATCAGCTTCTTCGTCCAAGTTGTACTCATGATGACGACCCTCTTCATCATCAGCATCATCCTCAACATCTTCAGGGAATGCCCCTACGGTGGTGACTGTTCGCGTAGAACGACGAGTTAGTTGACGTTCAATGTTACGCTTGTCCTCCTCAATTAACTCTTCTTCAGCATATTCTTCCAAATCTTCTTCATTCTCTTCCTCTTTGGATTCACTATTGTAAGCCATCAATTTACCAAACCCAGGGTTTTTTTCTTTTAATTCTTCAAACTTCCCCACATCAATAGTACCGTCTCCATTTAGGAAAATGACCCGATCCGCAGAACCAATCAATGACAATTGATGCGTCGCCAATACTCTAGTCTTTTCTTTCAACAAGTCCAAAAGACAATTGTTCATAATATGTTTACCCACACGAGCATCGACAGCACTCAACACATCGTCCAAGAGGATTATATCCTTGTCTGCATAAACAGCACGAGCAAGGTTGATTCTAGCCTTTTGACCACCAGATAAAGTGATACCACGCTCCCCAATCTCGGTCCTATCACCAGCAGGCAACAACTCTAGATCTGCCTCCAAAGAACATGCATAAATTACTCGTTTGTACCTTTCTTCGTCAAACTCAGAGCCAAAAATGATGTTTTCCTTGACAGTTGAGTTTTGTACCCAGGGGTATCCACAAAGTAACAATGACCCATTGACATTGACAGATCCGCTGGTACGTTTCATAAACCCAGACATGGCTGATAGTAATGATGATTTACCTGACCCGATTAAACCAGTTATAACAACAAACTCACCTTTCTTGATTTTGAAATCTATATTATGCAAACCTTCAAAATGTGCATCCTCTTCTGAAGAAACGTCAGTGGATGAACTACCCTCAAGGTCTTTGGAAGATGACAATTCACTATTTTGTACGTCCAAAGTGATGCTCTCTTCTGATTTTCTCTTCTTTCCATCGTTCTTCTTCTTCTTTGGTTTTTTGCCATCACTTTCATCCTCATCTTCAAACACTTCCCACTCAAATGAAGCATTTTCGACATCAATCGATAAGGATTCCTTATCCATCCATTCTTCAACATCAGGTGGGGCTTCAATGGCATTCTCTTTTGGGTCAATTTCACTTTGAGACATGAAATCACCAACTCGTGAAATACCCATAAATGCATCAGCTCCAGTGGCTAAAGCCATTGGTAACAAGAACACTTGTTGTGTCAAGGTGTTGTAAAGTGAAAGTGATGAAAAAATTGACGCTGGATCCCTTCTACCATCGGCAATAGCATAAAGCACCAAGAATGCTGTCATGGATGCAAACAACGTCAAGGACATGGCAAATGAGGTGACAATATTTCTAAGCACTTGCATACGATAGATGATCTTCATTTCTTTCTTTCTAATATCTGAAATATTCTTATGATATGGTGGTTCCCATGAATAAAACTTGATGACTTTAAGATTATTTAAAGCCTCCTTCATGTAATTTACCCTTGAATCGGTGAATTTATTGGCCTTCTTTCTGTATGCAAACAATTTCCCCGTAGAAAAAGCAATACCAATCATAAACACAAGTAGGATCCCAACACCAACCAATGAAGCAGGTCCAATATTGACAACCAATATGGCGATAGCAATTCCAATTGGAATGGGAAATACAATAAGAAATGGTTGGAACCCCAATGCGAAATCTATTCTTGATAAATCTGTCCCCAACATTGAAGTAATCTTACCAACAGAGTATTTGTGTTTGGCTTCAGCACTAAGCTTGAATGACTTATCCAAAAGTGCTTTTGTTAAAACAGCTTTGGCTTGTGCACCAGTAATCATTGACCGGTAAAAAAAATGATTGATCAATACCCCAACAATGAAAACCATTGCCGTTGTTCCAAAAGAATACCCAAGTCCCTTTCCAATTCCTGGTTCAGAACCATATGCTTTCAACTCAACGTATTTAATCAATTTTTTACTTAATAATGGCATGGTCGTTTGACCCGCATTACTCAATGCTAAACACACACAAGCCCAAGTATATTGCCATTTAAAAGTTTTCGCCAACGCCCATACTGTTAAAAACTTACTCAACTGGAAATCCTTCAAATCTTCTTCTGGATCGACAGAGGTCGTTTCTGGTGTTTCATTTCGCTCGGCACACTTTTCAGCAATATGCTTTTGTCTAGCACGATCAATGTCCTGGGTCATATACCTGTAAAAATCATCAGCCATTTTTTGTACTTTTATATCATCAGTTAAATAAAATAAATCATCTGGTTGTAAAGTCCTTTGATACCCAGTCTTCATTACTGGTGATAGCCACCAAAAGAAAATTTGCTTAACGAAATTAGCCGTGGAACCAGGGTATGGTTTTCTTTCTTCTTGTGTAGGGACAGGCGGTACCTTCCTGGACATTAGGAAACTCAAGAGTCTCTTTTGTCGTTCCAACAGTAGTTGGTTTGATTCTAATGCAGATGGCGATGACATGAAATTGTGGTGATGGATATGTGTCTATGCAAAGTATAAATGAATAAATAAAACAGATGTACTTTTAAAAATCTAGGTGGATGAAATGAAGTGGCAAATTCAAAGTGACTGAAAACTTCGTATCAATATATATACAAGTGGTTGATGAAATTCCTGAAAGTAATATCAAAAGCCTCTTGATTTGTATTTGAATTAGTATTGTGATGTGAAAAAAAATAATACTAATCCTCTTAAAACCTTAATGCGCACGACATTGTGCTATGTTATTAACTGCATATTGTTACTACAACGGAATTAAACCCTAACTGGGCTAGATGCCAGTGCGGCACGCAAACACACACGCACTCACCTCTCTACATCATTGATTCGGTATGGTACGGCTAATGATAAGGCTTGAGCTGATCTAGCCACTCTTTTGCTCTTGCTAAAGATTCCTTTCATGCAATATTTCTTCTTTTCGCTGTTCGTTTGTTTGTATGTTGTATGTTAATTTTATATTAGTCATGCAATTATAGCAAACCCAAGAACACCAAGACGTTTGAGAAAGAGTTACGGGGAAGTAGAACAAAGTACAGTGTTAGTAATGTTAACCATACGACCTAATAAGATCCTTCTTTTCAAGTTTCTGTACAAGCATAGAGCAACCTCTCTCATAGTAGTGTCAAATGTAGCAATTTTGGTGTAACGAACGGTTTTAACTATACCTGATTCGGAAATTCCACCGATAACCCCATTTCCGTCAACACAAAACCAAAGGAAAATAATGAAGCGGATTTATTAAAGAAAAAACCCAATGATAATGGAAAGCCTTGCACTTTCACGCTCATACAAACGGCTCGAAATGTTGGGGTTTTGCTAGAGATTGTAATAGACTTTTCAAACTTGAAGTCATCAGAAATATCTCGACACGAGTTCAAAAAGTGGGTGAATTACGGACATTGCTACGTTTTGGGTGACAGGTGAAACGAGTGAGGTTTCACTTTAACATCCGCCTCCGACAAAGAAAAAGACCGCGCCCAATTATATTTTGTGTTTAAGCGATTACGTAAGATTCACCAACTACGCGCGAAACCAGTGCCGTGTATCTTAATGGCCCGCCCTTGAGAAGTCAAAACACACCATGATCGAACGACCTAGTGGAGAGTTTACTTGACAACGTTTAGAATGAAGAGCTGGAGCCGACTACCTTACAATAGTATATGCAATTTTGTCAACCTATAAAGCATCCAACAGTAAAGCGTTATAGAATAGATAGAGTATTCACTCCTATTGTGAATGGTTATGTATAGGAACCACATGCGCTCATTATCGTCTCGCATGCTTCTTTTCGTAATGTCGATTAAACCCTTTCAAATCAGCATACTGCAAGTGGCAATATTTACATTGACGTTTTAATCGATTATTAACCATAACATTGAAGAATTTGCCAATATGCTTTGGAGTATTTGAGTCATTATAACTCAAATAAACCTCCGTGGGGTTGTTGTTCTCTTTTGAAGAACTTACATTTTCGTCCGTGTTGTTGTTAACCGCTGAAGTAAATTTAGCCCTCTTGTTTGGTATTCGAGTAGTAGATAATCTTCGTTTAGATTTCAAAGAGTTTGGCTTTGAATCATTCTCTCCAGCTACATTTGAGGGACTCTCTTGTCCAATTGGGTAGTTCACCAAGAATGAGGAGAGATATAATGTTTTGACTTTGGTGTTTGGCAGCACAACCGGTAGAGACTCTTCGAGTAATGGGTTCAAACAATTGGCAAACTCTTGAGAGTTTCGAACTAATTGACGTAATGTTGAGGGTCTGGCACTGTTAGAAAGTGAGGCAATTTCATTTTATCCACATTGGTGGTGTTATAGCGTACCTTGTTGACATCACTTTGTGACTTCTATTGTGTTGGTTGCCAAAAAAATAATTAGTTCACCACAATTCAATTTTCATGCGAAATTTAGTAATATCTGTGGAAGTTGAGTCCAGTTCAACATCGGCTCGGACTTGAAATAATCCACAAGCAATGCCACACTGATATTCAAGAAAGCAAATTTACCCATCTTCAAGTAACCAGATCCATTTTAACGAGCAACTTCAATTATCTTTATCAACAGACAGATTACACGGCATGCCCACTCTGTCGATGTTATTACGTAGCCAATCAACTTGACCACAACGACCTAACCCCAACAGTGCGGTTCGGCTATCAATCTTTTTATTGAATATCAAGGGGGGAATCAAAAGGGGGTTTATTGTTTCTAGTATGTCAAAACCATTTGCGTGATTTTGCGTTTGATGTGGTTTTTCCTTGAGAGCCACAGTTTTTTCCAAGAAGTATGATTAACCCTTAAGTATCAACCCCAAAGTTCCCTTGGATCTAAACAGTTTGTAAATACATTTCCTTAACGACATACTAGGAAAATGACGACCAAAAGGCAAAAGAAGGAGAGGAAACCAATCATTGTCAATGCGTTTGACATGGCGACACCAGGTTTGCAATCACCTGGTCAATGGAAACATCCAAAAGACAAATCAAGAGATTACAATACAATTGAGTATTGGGTGAACCTTGCCAAGTTGTTAGAAAAGGGTAAATTCAATGCATTGTTTATTGCTGATGTTTTGGGTCCGTATGATGTTTACAATGGACCAAGAAACCTTGCAGCAGCTGCAAAAGCAGGAGCTCAATGGCCAATCAATGAACCAAGTGCCGTAATTCCTGCAATGGCTGCAGTGACAAAGAACTTGTCGTTTGCCGTTACTGCAAGCACTATTAGTGAAGCCCCATACCATTTTGCTAGACGATTAGCTACATTAGATCATTTGACAAAGGGACGTGTAGGATGGAATATTGTTTCGTCGTATTTGGATACTGCAAGTAGGAACTTGTTGAATGGGGAACCCTTGCCCCCACATGATGAAAGATACGAGAAGGCTGAAGAATATTTGGAGGTGATTTACCAACTTTTCTTGTCATCGTGGGCTGATGATGCTGTTAGATTGGACACCAAAAAGGGGGTATTTTCGGATCCCGAGAGGATTAGAGAAATCAACTACGAGGGTAAACACTTCAAAGTGCCTGGTCCATTCATTAGCGAGCCAAACCCTTACCAACGATTGCCGGTAATCTTACAAGCTGGGGCAAGTTCGAAAGGTTTGGAATATGCAGCAAAAAACGCGGAAGCTGTTTTTATCAACGGAAACACCCCCGAAGGTTTGAAATCAAAAATTGATAAACTCAATGCACTAATCAAGAAGCATGGACGAAACCCAGAAGATGTCAAAAAAGTTCAGCTAGTCACTGTAATCGTTGCACCCACATACGAAGAAGCTGTGGAAAAGTTTAATGATTACAAACAATACGCTGATGTTGAAGGAGCACAAGCACTCTTTGGTGGATGGACGGGGGTTGATCTTGGAAAATATGACTGGGATCAAGAATTGGACCAAGTGGAGAGTAACGCAGTGCGTAGTTTTGCTGAAATGATGATCAAACCATTCCCTGGCGACCCACACAACATCAAGAAGACTAGAGGATACATTGCTGATAAACTTTCCCTTGGTGGGTCAGGTGTCTTGTTTATTGGATCTCCAACTGATGTAGCTGATGAAATTGAAAATTGGGTTGATGTAGCTGGTGTCGATGGGTTCAACTTCACCTATGCAATTACACCAGGCTCATTTGAAGACATTGTTGAGTTGTTGATTCCAGAGTTGCAAAGACGAGGATTGGTTTGGCAGGATTATCCAAAAGAAGGGTTGACGTTTAGGGAGAATTTGTATGGAATTGATAGAGCGGATCCTACTTTTTTGAAACCTGACCATCCTGCTTTCAATTTAAGATGGAGAGAGGGGGAAAGTCGGGAGGAGTTTGAAGCTAAATTGGAAAAGACTTTGAAGGAGAAGTTTGCTAAGGAAGGGTAAGTAGAGTAATAGAATGTCTAGTTTTATTTAGTGATCTTCAGCGTTTTGTGTAAATGTCGTAGCCACAGTTTATTCATTTCCAAATTTGGAGTCATAATCACACAATATAAATAACCACAATTGACACCACACTTTCGGCTACGGAATGATTTGACCGAATCTCCCCTGAAATTCAATGGCATATATAAGTTGCCTAAGGTGACAACTTTGTGATCACTACTCATGAGCTTGTACCCCAAACGATGCCATCAAAAACAAGTAACTATACACTAAGACCATTTGTCGAAGCGCCCTTGTCTACTTCAGACGAGAAACCGATTGAGTTGGAGTCGATTGATTTATCATTGTACAAAGAGGGTCCCGAAAATCTTTCCACAAGGAAGGGATTAGCTGACAAGATTGAGAAATCATTGTCGACATATGGGTTTATTTCTGTGATTAACCATGGATTTGAAGCAGAAAAGTTAGAGCACCTCAAATCTGTGGCTCAATCGTTATTGGGGGTACCAGTAGAAGAACAAAAGAGGTACCTAGCCGGAGCTCTCAAGTCTGATCTTGAGGATAGATCTAGATCTATTGGGGCTGAAAGAGGTTCTGGGTATAAACCAAAGGGCTATTGGTCCATGAGAAACGGTGTTGAAGATTCAATCACCCACTATAATTTCAATCACATGAACCATTCAAGGTTTTTTGACACGGAAGTCAATCACTATCCGGAAGTGGCAAAGGATCATCTCTTAGAAATTGCGGAGTTCTATCGGTTTTTGCATACTGACACCTTGAGAAAACTTTGTGATTTAACAGATTTGGTGTTAGAACTCCCTGAGGGATTCATCTATGAAAACTTCTACTCAGTTCAAGATGGAGACTTGGACGGATCTGGCGGAGGTGCCGGAAGGTTCATGCTCTACGATGCAATGCCCCCAGAGGATCAAAAGAAGGTGGAGAATACTTGGTTGAGGGGACACTCGGATAGTGGTGGATTTACATTTATCACCTCGCAACCCATCTTGTCATTGCAAATTCGTGATTACTATACTGGTGAGTGGAACTACGTAGGTCATACACCAAATGGATTGATTGTCAATATTGGCGATGCTATGGAATTTATTACTGGTGGATATTTCAAGTCGTCAATTCACAGAGTTGTATCTCCTCCAGATGATCAAAAAAATTATAGAAGATTGGTGTTGATCTACTTTAGCAAGCCCAAAGAGTCAGCAATTTTGGATCCTGAGCCATTACGATCGCCAAAGTTGAAACGCTTGGGTTATAACAAACCTGATGAATGGGAAAAGATTGATTTTGCTGCTTGGAACAAAATGAAGTCCAGCTTATTTGGAAGAAAGGTGGTTAATGATACCAATACTGAGGAACCAAAGTTGGTGTTGTTGCATGGAAGATTGCATGAGAGATGGCACCAAGCAGAGGCAAACTTCAGCTTGCAAGAAGCATTGAAGAAGTTCGATGTGATTACATTAGAGAGTTGATTGCGTATACTGGATATAGCTTGAAATTGATGAACTTTGAAATTTACGTGTCTCTTACTAAAAAATGTATTTGATCAAAGAGACCAAGTTGTTTACAGCCCAGATAAAAATAATCTTTCTGTTTGTAGAGCTTGAAAGTACCTTGGTGAATGTGTTTTGAAGAAAACTTGAATCTCTCAATGCGTCAAGCATAATACCCATGGTGACAACTCCATCATTGATGAGTTCGGTTATCAACTTGATGAGGAACAGCTGACCATCGCTAGTTGAAAATAGATCATCAACCACAGATACACCCAACCCTGATATATTCAACGACTCACATACCGATTCTGGGCCAGCAACGAGATTGACCAAAGTCATAACTGATGACCAGATAGATTCTTCAATGCCACCAATGATTGAGCCAATAGCTCCTAATATATCTAGCCTTTTTATTGAAATCACCCCATTGTTGTAAAGAGCCACAATGATGTCCCATAAAGCAGGAATCAACTTGTAGTTTATAAAGAATCTCATTACCACAGACACCGCCAACCCAGACTCGTCTGCAGCCTCCATCAATTTCGTCAAACCAGTGTTTTTCACATACTCCTCAACAACTTTAATCGTGAGCCCCTGTGAAAGCGAGCTCGTGGCAAGGGTGTGTATAATGTGAACTCCTGTACCTGATTTGTTCAATGATCTGAAAGCAGCGGTTAGTAAAAAGTTATCCCTTTTAGCAAGACCACCATTAGCTACAGCAACCAACTGTTTCAAATATTGATCTACTTCTTCCAACTCTTCATGAGTTGGTTCGTGTGCTCGTTTGGCAATGACATGGGTAATCAGAGTGACTTCTCCTATTTGGGCAAGCACAAATGTAACAATGAAAAATGGCAATAAGATGAAAAGGTTCTTCATTGGTGACGTTTTGGTTGTTTATTATGGACGTAAAAATGCATTTGTGGGATAGTCTCAACATTATATATTCCCCTCCAGTACAAAATCTGTAAATGTGATGTTGTCCTTTTCTAGTACTGTAACCTCGAATTATAGCCTTGTATAATGTTTGCAACATTTTTACTCAATCTGGCTCTGTTACCTCTCATGATGCAATTAAAAGGTAATTAAGGGCGTTTCCCTGCAGGTGACGCTGTAGATCTTTGCCAAAATTGGAAATCTAGGGTATTTTTTAGCTTTGATTATGCATGAATTTTTGCAGCCTAAAAATGCGCTGATCCTTTTTTATGCGACTAAAAAAAAAAAAAGAGATAGCCCCTCAGTAATTATGTCGTCAAATTGAACCATAATGTTTTCTTTTCCAAATTCGTTGATGGAATCACTTTAACGAACCATTTGTTATTCTACATCTAAACGTCTTGTTCATCAGCTTCGCTTAGAAGGAATGTGAACAAAAACACAATTAAGTAGATTGCCCCAAGTAACCACCAAGCAATGACACCGACTCCATTCTTGTCACATAGCGACATGATCCATCCCCAAATGAGAGGAGATAGAAAACGTGCAAATGCAGTGAATGATATTGTATAGCCATTGATTACAGCCCGGTGTTGTTTTGGTGATGCACGGTGGATCAAAAGTGTCATTTGCAGAAATGAAATTGACCCAACAAACGAGGAGAAGAAAGTATTTAAATATAGTAAAGCAGTTGTCGTCGCATGCAGATGAAACATCGGGTTGTATTCTGGAATTGTGAAAATGATTAATGGCAAGCTGAATGAAATGATTGGGACAAATCCAACTCCTGTTCGAAACGCTGTTAAAAGGGAAAGATATTTGTTGATGATGGGGAACAACAAACTGACAAGAACAACTCCTGAAATTCCGGTAATGGAAAGAAGTTTACCAACTGATTCTGTACTGTACCCAAACCCGCCTCGACTGTGGATTGGAAATCTCAACGAGTCAACGTCCACAGTTTTTGACAACAATATTGGAAGAAATTCAGTGTAGATAACATTACAAAAGGACAATAGAAAGTTGCAAAAGATGCGATAGATTATTGGCCGCGTGAAAAGAGCAATATCAGTCCCTTGCTTAGTCGTATTCTCCTCATTTGATGTTAACAGTTGTAGCTCATACATCTCGGTGTCATCATCATCATCATCGAATTCCTCCGGCAATGAATTGTCGTGAATTAGGAACTCGCTATCTTCCGACTTTCCTCTTCTCCATGGTCGATCGGGTATTTCAAATCCCAATAGTCTGCGAATTGCATCACCGACCTCCAAACCTCGATCCCGCCTATGTCTTACTCTATCATTTGTTTCCTCTAAAAATAACCACCCACAGACCATAAAGCATAAAATCAATGATGAAATAACAATGTTGGAAAAAGCGAATGGGAATCTATCAAATAGAGAGTCTGAATTATGTAAGCCTTCCTTGCTATCACGTCTATAATTTCTGAAATGATCGACATCAGTCAATTTCCCAGCAAGGTAAGCACCAATACATTTTCCAAGACTCCACAACAAGCTCAAGTTCGAAAATGCAATTCCTTGATGTCTCTTCTCAATAGCTATTTCTCCCACAGTGGTTCTCATTATGGAAACATTTCCATTCAATAGTCCCATCATAACTCTCGCGAAAAATGCCATGTAAAAGTTGGTGCTGAATCCAAACACAATCATGGAAATGGCAGTCCCGAAACAGCCCAATAGTATGATTGGTTTCCTTCCATACTTGTCAGACGCTTTACCCCATTTCACAGAGCTCAAAAATTGACTGAAAGCAAATCCTGACGCCAAGTATCCACTGAATCGAGAAACATCAGCATCGGTTTTGGCAATCTTGAAGCTTTTAATCATAAAGAAAATGTAGCTCAAATAACTTGCGAAAGCGATTGGTTCTGATAATCGAAGTAGCCCTACTATCACCATCTGGAAAATAGGGAAGCCCTCAAGTTGTTCTGTTATCGTTGGGTTACTCATGACATAGATATGTGGAATATGTATCAAGATGGAGAATCCTCTATCTTTGGTAACACATCAGATCAAGGGTGTGAAAAAGAAAGACAAAGAAATGAACAAAACTACCCTATCTTCTCTCCCCTTGCTGTCTTTGCGTTCAAAAGTTTGTAAAGTTTTCATCCAGTACGTAAAAGCCTTATTACTCATTACTAATTCCGTCAAACACAAAGAGAAGAAAAATAATCCCGACTTGATGCCTTTCACAATTAAAAAATTGCTTTTTGCTGCGATTTTTTTCCCACTTTCCGAATCGGGGCGTAATTCCGATTGCTTCGGATTTTATCAAAGAGCATAGGGCGCGAAAATTGATTAAATAAAGATTATCACTGATAAAGTATAATATCGTTGTTAGATGCCGAGCTTTTAGGATTGAAGAGATTGTAGCGAAAGGTTGTGTTACTGTTTGGTGCATCACTGCAACTCAACACGGAAAAACACCACACTACAGAATAAGACCAACAGAATAAAAGTTAGCATCTACCCCAAGTATTTACTTTTTACTCTCATTACCAGGTTTGTCCAAATCCAAACTTTTCTCGAGTTCCGTTACTGCACCAAGCTTTACAGGAGCCATTCTCAAGTTTCTATGAAACTTCTCTGGCCCTAATGCCAATATAAAAACCACGAAAGCGAAAACAGCGCCACAAAAAATACACATCACTTTCCCATAATTGTACACACCAGGAGCAGCACCAGGAATGGGGTATTTCTCACCAAGCTGGGCTTGAATAGTAGCACTACCAGCACTGATCAAGTTACCGATTTGGTATGCCAATCCAATCAACAATGTTCTGTGTGCTTTGTTTACCAACTCCAAGGCGTAAGCTGATGACACTCCCCAAGATGCCATAACGAAACCAATTAAAACAACATAGGCGCCCCAATTTTTGTCAGCATTGTAAAAAGATGGATAAACTAGGGCACCACAACAAATGGTCGCAATGATGGCAGACAATCTTCTTCCGAAAACCTCTGAAACACCACCCACAAAGAATCCACCGAGAATTCCACCAACGTTTGACAATGCTACAATCATGGTTCTATGACCTATCTCAACCCCATATTGGTTGGACAACATCGTGACATACAAATCTTGAGTACCATGGCTAGTAAAGTTCCAACCAGCGTACGCAATACAAAGATAAATAAACAACAACCACTCAGTTTTCAAAGTGTGCACTATTGTTGTGTTGAAGAGTTTATGAAGCCCGGTGCTCTGGTTCTTCTCCTTGAACTTTCTCTTCTTCTCTTGCATTTCCAAGAACTCATTTGATTCCGGAACCAACAATCTCCATACAATCAAAATGACACTCAATCCACCACTAAACCAAAACAAACTTCTCCACCCTTCCCCTTCTTTGTAAGTCGGCTCAAACACCTTGTAAAATACCATAGCCAATATATAACCAATACAATAGGCTTGCGTAAACCAACCCGATAAAATGCTTCTTGCACGTACTGGTTGTCCCTCCATTGCAGTCACCATACAAACTGGTAACATACTTCCCATTAAGATACCAAATACAGCGCGAATACCAAGAAATTGAGCATAAGTTTGGACAAAGCCTGTACCAACTTCAACGAAAATAAATAATATACAAATGACAATGTAGCACTTTTTTCTACCAAAAATGTCAGAAGCTAACCCGAAGGAAACTGCTCCAACAGCTCTTAGCATCAATACCAAAGTCACACCCCAAGTAATGTCAGCAACACTTGAATTCAAAGTGACGGCGATTTCCGGTAAAGCAACAGAAACGCAAAAGAAATCCATGGCATCCAAAATCCAACCAAACCATCCCAATCCGTAGTAGTTCCAATCTCTCCATGTCATTTCCCTTAATGCAGGAATAGGGTTCAAAAGTTCATACCATCTAGAATCTTGGTCGTTGACTGGCAAATCAAACAAGGTCGTAAATCTTGTAGTAAAATAGCGCTTGATAACGGGGAGCGTCAATGTAGGTTTCTCATTGAAAATGTCATTCTCTGAGTGCAGTTCTGCGTCAGATGAGCAATCTGAGATGTGTTCAATTTTGGGCTTTATATTTGCAAAGGTTGGTGACATTAGGGACAATGTTTAAAGATTATTTCAAATTGGGCTCAAAAGACAAGGAAAGACGATATCATAAATAGTCTCTATCGTCGATTAGAAGAACAGTCACTCAAGACGTTCCACCATTGTTGGTCCCCACTTACAAGAGAACACTTCAGACTCCACTATAATCACCTCTTGGTTCAATAAGAATGAAAAATAAAATATGTGGGGTGAATGCACTCCAAAGTTTAAACAGTACTTGCAACCATATCTTTACTCAATCATGTTACAGAGTTTCAAGAGCACAATTTCATTAAAGTTTCATCTCTTGATGTCTTTATTTGAGATAATTCGGTGACACTTAAACCAAAGATAGAGCCACTACCTGATGTTTCTGATCACTCACTCATTCTTCTGTCTTTAAGAGCTTCGATTTCAGCTCCAGTAAACCATCACTCCTCAAAATACAATTGAGGGCAACACAACAAAGTTCAAATAGAACTCTCAGAGTTGTAGGAATGACATATTGTCCTCAGAGAATTATTTTGCTCATAAGAACCAAAAAATAATAATTGCACTACAAAAGGAAGGTCTCACCCAAAAGTAAATATTTGTGGAGAAAAGGCAGACCAAAAGGTAAACCAATAGGTACAAAATTATAAATGATTGAGTATTTTTTGGCGGATAGTGACCTTCTGGGATAGTTTCGATGGTCGTTGTGATAATAAAAAGAAAAAAAATTGACTGTTCGAGGAATTGCAAATCGAGGGTGATGCACGGCTTGTACAGCATTTTCAATTGTATATTATTCGAGAAAGCAATATCCCACTTTATCGTGGTACAGAATAATGTGCGTGGATTTTGCTTTAGATTATAGATCGGAGATATAAATGAAGAATTGAGTTTGGCTTATCAGTCCTTGTGGTTGTGCAAAGTAATCCTGACAGGGCACCAATCTTTTTGGAGCTATTCTGTGTATGCCAGCCGATCGAATCCCATCCCCGCAAATCAGAATCGCTATTGAAAAGCAGTATTCCAAATGTAGCCGTCTCCCAAATCGTTTGCTTTGGAAAACATACATTGATTCTTGTCCATCTTTTGAGGGGAAAAAAAGTAAAGTTGTAACTGTTTTCAAAGTTATGGTGCAAAATTTTAAATGTATAAATGAAAATCAAAGAACCGCGTACTTTTTTACATGGAATGCGACACAAACTGGAAAGAAATGTCTTCATACATCCAAAACTTCCATTACCGCATACGAGGCTTGCAAGACTTTTGTTTACGAATAGATTAGGCGGGACTGTTTTGTTCGGACTTTGTGAAAATTGTTTTCAATCAATTAAAATGTTCTCTTTTAGCACCGTTGTTCCATAAAAGTGCAGCAGAGGACAAAAGCGGAGAACGGCATATTTTATGAGAGCGCAAAAGCGACCACATTACCAAGCTCTGATTAATAACAAAACTAGCCTTTAACCATGTGCTATTATAGTTTTACAAATCACCCCATAGGTGAACTCCTTTTCGGAGTTGGTCTGAATTTCGTAAGCGCGTTGCGCATGGGTTCACTCTTGTGTCGCTTGATCTTGAAAACCTTTAACTGTAATGAAAAGTATCTGCTTTCAGCTTTGAAAACAAGCTACACAAGTAATCAGGAAGGTTAGTTCATTTACTTCATTACCAGATCCTTTTCTAGGGAGACCACTCATGCTTGGCTAAAATTGTAACAAAGAAAGGCTATTTTTGGGTGAGGAGTTTAACTTTCTTGAGTGGAGTTGTACCATCAAATATATCCGCCACCCCCGCTTTCAAATTATTTCAAAAAAAAATTCGATAAGCGTATTCACCCCTCTCCAATCAAACATGTTCGATATAAAAGGATGCTTGGAATGACTTTGCTCCAAACTAGTAGCCTTTCGGAACGATTCAACATCAACATATTCAATGAGCAATGGCTCCAACTGCTACAACTACAGAACCCAAACAAACTTCTAAAGGTTACAAATTTGGTACGCAAGGCTCCCATAATATCTCCATGGGTGGGGAGCATCCTTACAAAAGACCAACTTTTAGTGACAAGTTTGCCGAAAGAAAACATATGCTTGAGCATGCTGCCGCTACGTTCCGTGTCTTTGCAAGAAAAGGTTATGACGAAGGTGAGGCTGGCCATTGCTCCATGCGTGACCCTATTGACAGAAACACTTTTTGGATTAATCCGTTGGGAGTTCATTTTGGCTTGATTAGAGCTCAAGATTTGGTTCATGTGACTGAAAAGGGGGAAATCTTACCTGATGGAAATCAAGCTCCAATAAATGCTGCTGGATTTGCCATTCATTCGTCTTTGCATCAAGCTAGACCAGATGTCAATGCTGCATGTCACACACACTCTGTCCATGGAAAAGCATACTCAACGTTTGGTAAACCCTTGGAGATGATCAATCAAGACGTTTGTGTTTTCTACAACAATCAAGCTGTTTATGAGAAATTTGGTGGAGTTGCTTTGGAAAAAGACGAGGGTAAAGCTATTGCAGAAGCTGCGGGTGATGTTCGTTGTGTCATTTTGCAAAACCACGGATTATTAACAATGGGACTGACTATTGACGAAGCGGCTTATTTGTTCACTTTGATGGACAAATCTTGTCAAGTACAATTATTGGCTGATGCAGTCGACCAAAAGATTAAGCCAAAACAAATAATCCCTGACCAAGAAGCTTATTATAGTGCTTATGTCACTAATGACCCCGATACCTTGTATTCTGCTTTCCAAGCGGATTACAACTTGCAACTCAAATTGGACAATGGCGATTTCTTATTCCCACAGTAAAATGATTAACTTCAATATGTCTAATGATTATTACTTTGTAGAATTCTATGTATGCGTTGTTGCAATTCTCGTTTGTAAAGTAAAAGGGTTCCTGTCTTCGTTTATGTACTACGCGATCACGCTTCTTAAATGTGTTGTGCATTCAAGAATCTCATATATGACATATATACCTAAGCTTTTTCGTTTTCGGCCCTTAATTCATCGTATAGCAAAACTGTTCTCAACAATACTTGAAATCCATTGTCGACATCCTCTGGAGATGAATACTCTTCAGGGCTGTGGGAGATTCCGTCCTTTGAAGGAATGAATATCATTGAGGTTGGTACTCTTTTGCTAGCATAGCAAGAGTCATGACCGGCACCGCTTGTGATCTCTCTGATATCCTTTTCATCAAACAACAGCAAAGCAGCTTTCTTAACAGTATTGATGTTGGTCTGATTGAATTTGATCGCTGGAGACACAGTCAAATTTTCAAACTTGACAGACAAGGGCTTAGCAAGTTTTGATCCAATACCAGCTTCACAAATTTCAGCAGCTTTGGTCTTTATCTCAGACATCATCTCGGTAACAACATCATCTTCAACATGTCTCACATCCAACGAAAACTTGACTTCGTTTGGAATAACATTCACTGATTGTGGGGTCAAATGAAGCGTACCAACTGTGGCAACACCTCCATGAGCCGTAGCTGTCTCGATTGCCATAATTATAATTTTGGAAGTCATAAGCAAAGCGTCTGACCTAGTGTTCATGGGAGTAGTACCAGCATGGGACGATCTTCCGGTGACAGTGACCAAGTTCCATTCAAATGCTTGTCCACCAACTACAACACCAATTTTTTTACCCTCATGCTCCAAAATGGGCCCTTGTTCAATATGGATCTCGAAATGACATGCCAAAGGGTTCTCCTTGTACGAAGCAGCAATATCTCCTGCGTAACCAATACGTTTCAACTCGTCACCAAACTTTTTAGGAATTTCATCGTCAATAGATTCCAAATTCAAGCATGTTTCCAATGGAATTGCGTCTGCCCAGACCCCCAGGGCAACCATACTAATAGGGAATCTAGCACCTTCTTCGTTTGTCCAGTTGATCAATGCAATTGGGTAATTCGGGACAATGTTGTTTTCTTTCAAGGTTCGCAATACTTCCAATCCTGACAATACTCCAAGAACACCATCGTATCTTCCACCACTAGGTTGAGTGTCCAAGTGAGAGCCTACACCAGTAGGCAATGCATCATTGTTCTTTCCTGGGAAAATGGCAAAAGTATTACCCACCTGATCAATTTTGATTTTACAACCCAAATCCGTAGTTTCCTTAACAAACCAATCTCGCACTGACTTGTCCAAATCAGATAACGACAATCTACACACTCCAGTTTCAGTTGGTCCAGGTCCCCAAATTCCTTTGGCTCCCCACTTTGCAGTCTCGTGAATGGTATTAACTAATCTACCCTTTTGGATTTTGATTGTGCTGAAATCGATTTTGGTCATGATAGTTGTTGTGAACTTTGATAGAATTGTGTGCGTTGGTTCGGTGAAATGATGAAATGGTGAAATCGATAGAGTTTTATGTGCAAAACTCTAAAGGGTGAAATCATCTTCCGTTTTGACGCATGTTCCTCAAAAGAGATCGATTAGAGTGGAGGTATCAATTCGTTTATGTTTAATATTTTCTAGATCTATAAGCCCATGATACGCTTAAATCAAAGTTTTCTGAAGTCCAAAACTGGTAATAAGCGCGAAAAGAGGGGCTGGCGGAATATCAAATCCGAGAAAGAACTATAAAGTGACAGCTGTTGACAAACATGCGTGTGGTCGTTCGGTTTCTATTGTGATTGATCATAAAGTTTAAACAGTCAACCAATTGACAGACTGTGATTGGTCATGAATAGTATGACACAATTGCGAGAATAGTTAGTGAGATCATACCTGAATTTGGTACCTTTGAAAAATGACACTCTCGTCTTGGCAGTTGATGCTATCACTGAAAAGATTGTATTGGGCATTTACAATAACATGGATTCAGCAATTTGGGAAAGAGTTTTTAATTTTTGATTTCATTTCGCAACTAGTAGCTTTGGGTATTAGGCGTAATATGCTCAACCTGACTCTCACACGGATTTACCTAATCTCAACGTCACCTTAAAGGGAGCTTCAAGCAAGTATGTTTTGAGAATAGATGTCATTTCCTTAGGCACACGACTGCGTATCTGGCAACCACTAGGATTAGGAAAAACATTTGCGTGCTTGATTTATAGTGTCTACAAAAGCAATGACTTTTGTTCTCAAAATGTGCATGTGCAATACATTTGCAATATAAAAACATCTATCAATCAATAGTAACTGAAATTTAGTGCTGTCGCAAGTTTACCTTCTTTTAGCTGCGGAACTAAACAACGTAAGAGTGAAGCTCAAACCAGTGGGCTGGAGTTTATCTCACATATATAATTATGTAGCCTTTTCTGATCATAAAATTGAATTGATTGTGAACAAGTGACTAGCTTTTGTGGAGCTATGTGTGAAACAAAAAATAAAACGAATGAGATCAACTACAATGACATGCTCTTTACATGAATGGCATTTTTGGGTATTGTCAATCATTCCATCAACGTGCCACATCAACAGCTCCACTCCAGAAACCAATTTTTAATTTCTGCAATTGACACTTTCAAACCATAGTACATAACCCAAACAAGGTAAAGAGTTTATGGTTATGTAACTATCCTATATGTGCTTGCACAACTGAATTCCCCACCCGTATAAAAAAGAGTCTTATTTACCTCTATTCTAATGGAGCTCGTGTCACCACCAGTGTTCAAACATCTTGTATATAATGAGTCCAGTCACACTTTCATTCCAGAGAGGCTGATATACAATAAAACGATAGACGTTGAAGATTAAACAATTTCGTAAATTATCAAGTGCAATCTAAAACATCGAGGTGATTGGTCTTCCCCTCCCCCTACTTTCTACAACTGGAAATAAAATGATGAAATTTGGTTCAACAGTGTGCCGTTACGTTTTAAAGTTGCAAAACGTTACACAAAAATCAAGTGCCCAAAAAAAAAAATTTAATTTCCTAAAGCGGTAAAGATTTTTATAGTCAGTTGTTGCCAAATGCACCTTGAGATTAAAGATTAATACGACGCAAGCTGAATTACGAAACAGGACACAAAACCATATCGAGTGAAAAAGAGTTGCAAAAAATTCACAATTTCAAATTTCTTTTGAATCTAACCATACCACATTGGGGCATAATGGAAATTAAACTTTCTTGAACTAGATCTGGGTGGGAATATATAACTATGAGAGTTGTTCCATCCAAAAACCAAAACTTTCTTACTCGGCAATAACAACATCACTTATGAAGAACATATTCGTCTTATTGTCATTATTTTTTGCCACATTTGTTTTCGCACAAGTAGGGGAGGTTGACTTGGTTAATCATGCAATTGTCAGGAGAGCAGACGAGCCATCACAGCAAGAGTTGGAAGAAGTGGACCAATATTTGAAACAGTTGGTTGCGGCAGTCACTGGTAACATCACCAAAAGAGATAACCCTGCTTTGACCGCTGCATTCACAGCATTAAACAAATCGGGAACCGGTGTTCAGATTGTTCATGGTTTGGCCACAAACTCTCTTTCCCAAGGAACCACCATCAAGGCTGTTGAAGAGTACTTGAAAAACACTGGTTTGACTACTTTGTTGGAAGCTGCTGATAACTCTGGCTTAGCTGTTTCTGTGGTAATGAGATTCTTTATAAACTACAAGTTGATTCCTGCTTTATGGGACATCATTGTGGCTCTTTACAATAATGGGATGATTTCAGTCAAGAGATTGGATTTGTTGGGAATCGTTGGTTCAATTATCGGTGGTGTTCAAGAATCTATCTGGTCATCAGTTATCACTTTGGTTAATCTCGTTGCTGACCCAGAATCAATCTGTGAGTCATTGAACAAGTCAGGGTTGGGTGTATCAATTGTTGATGATCTCTTCTCAACTAGTGATGGTCAGCTGTTCCTCGTCAAGTTAATTACCTCACTCATCAATGACGGCATCATAACCATGGGAATCTTGCTTGACGCATTGAGAGATTCAAGTTTTCTTCAAAACACATTCACCAAGGTACTTTCAAGCTCTACAAACAGAAAGATTATTTTCATCTGGGCTGTAAACAACTTGGTCTCTTTGATCAAATACATCTTTTAGAAGCAAAAATCGTTATTTTTTAGTTCATTTTCGAGTTTATCAATTTCAAGCTATATCCAGTGCACTCATTCAGCATTTATGTAATAACATCTCTCTTATTTGTGACTCCGGAGTAATATCGCTTCTCTTGTACTCATTTACCCAATTGAATGCAACTTTGTTGTTGGCTCAAGCCAAGATAATAAGGCCTAGCCAAGGCTTTACGAGATACAAACTCTAGTACACGACTTGTCCAAGAAGCGTTCGTATATAATATGATAACATTCGCAACAAATTAAATGAACTTATATATCAATATACAACTTTTATATCCTTAATATACTTAACCATAGTTATATTACAAACTTACTGTAAGAAGCCCAAAAGGTTAGTGAGCTAAGATATAACGCCGGTAAGTACTTAATAGAGATGCAAGCACACAACAAAAATATAAAATCAACTTGAGGGTACCAATATAAAAAAGACGAAAAATTTCAAGTCTCCAAAATAAAAAATAGTAACATCATCTGGTGGAAATTAGCAACGCGTGACTCTAGTTAAGCGAATGCCTTAGCTTGCATCCAATACTCTATCGGTCTCCCCTCTTTTCATGCTGAATCCAAGGAAATAAGTAACATTTCCGACAACATGTGGTGTAGGTAGGGGAATCTTGATTGGTCTAACCAAAGTTCCAAAAGTCTTGTGAGACTTGGTTTGATGATTGCGAGTAGGTGAATGTTGAGATACAACTTTATCTACCTTAAGAGCAACTACACGCTTTTCTTTCGTTGAATTAGTACTACCACCCACTGAATAATAATCCCGAGGATGGGTTTTGGATTGAGTGTCAACTCGTGCGAGACTTGATCTTGAGATACGTCGGGTGGGATAGGTCATTTTATTAGCAAATGAATATTAATAATTATCAAACAACGAGGAAGTGGAAAACAGTAAAAAGCACTCCTTCTATAGAATCCGGGATGTTACTTTCAAGTGCAAATTTAAACACATACTGTTACATCAGTAATCTGAAATACGTCTAATTTATCACATGTATATATCCAGTCGAACGATACCAAACTGATACATTTGAGATGAATGAGTTTGTGAAATAACGATCACAACGTCGTAGAAGTACCTTGTAGCAGAAAGAGCTACCCTCTGTTCAACGCCAGCAAAGCTTCGTAAATTTAGTGAAACAATACGAAGTAAATACATTGAAAAATTCTCTATAAACTAATATTATTTAAGAAAAGGAAATAGGTCCCATATTTATAGTATTCATGAACTCCTCTTAATTGAAATGAATACTTTTTTTTGTAGAAGTTTTAAAAGGCATATCGTATTCAATAATGATGGAAGACAAAATACTGCCAAACATTGTAAGATGAGTTCTCTGTACGACAAGTAGCGTGTCTCCTTGAACATGTGTCTCCTACAGAAAATGGAGCTGATAGTTTGTAACCGCAAGGGTTATAGAACCTAACTACGACGGTCGCGATCAGCTCAAAGTAGGCACACAAAGAATCTTTGTATACTAACATTTCAGTTACATTTCTGTATCTCACTTCTCCACAAAACTCCGTCCTTTAATTTTTCTTGGATCAAAAAAATAAAAATCACCTTAATCAAGCACCTGAGCGATTTATCAATATGATACAACCATGCTTGTTGTTGCAGCTTCTTAATAGAGTTGCGTGGGGAACGAAAATGCCCAGGCAAATCCTTTCCCCACTTGATGTACAACATGCTTGTGAACAAGGTGGTGTCGCTGTAGTTCTAGGGTTCCTGTTGAGATGGATGCATTGTGAATGATGTACACACACAAACACACACATTGTGACTGCACATATTGGCTTAGGAAAATGACAAACTTTGCAATCATGTATTGAATGAACATGATGAATTAAAGATAAGCAGGCGGTACACTCCAATGCTTTTGCTTATCGTGTGTAATGGCAAGTAGTGATAATCTGTTCAAGTATAATAAGCTCCAGAGGCTTTTATCACGGGACTGCGATTGGGGCTTGGCTGCAAACATCTTACGAATTTCAAAGAACAGTCGCCCCACATTATTTTTTTATAATAAAGCACAAGATGAGTGCACGGTACGCACTAAAGTTTTGCTACGGGGATGGAGATCACCGGAAACCGCTTTTTCTTGATTCAGAAAGTTGTCCAGCTCGATAGAGACTATTAATATGTTCCGATTTGCATTTCACACAATCAAAACGTGTTGAAGCCACATGAACAATGTCATCAACTCCTACACACCAAAAACAGGAGGCAGAGCATATCTCAGACTACTCATCTGATGCGGAACTGCATTCCGGGGATGACATCTTCAATGAAAAACCAGAATTGACTCTTCCTGTCATCAAACATTATTTCGCTACGAGACTTACAACCATGTTTGACTTGCCCATTTATCACCTGGACCAAAGATGGTATGAACTTATAAACCCTATTCCGGGTTTAAGGGAAATGACATTGAGAGATTGGAACTACTACGGATTGGGATGGTTTGGTTGGGTTTTGGATGCCATGGATTTTTTCTGTGTCTCAGTCGCTTTGCCGGAAATTGCCATCACTTTGAATTCAACAGTTGCTGAAGTCTCTTGGGGTGTGACTTTGGTGTTGATGCTTAGAGCTATTGGTGCTATTATTTTTGGATTGGCCTCTGACAAGTTTGGTAGAAAGAAATGTTACATTATCATTTGTATATTGTTTATCTTTGTGGAAGTTGGTACAGGCTTTGTTCAAACTTATGAGCAGTTTCTTGGAGTTCGTGCAATCTTTGGTATCTTAATGGGAAGTATGTTACCTGTTTGTATGGTGACTGCCATGGAAAGCCAACCATTACGTGCAAGAAGTATTTTATCAGGATTGTTCCCACCAGCTTATTGTATTGGCTATATCATGGCGATGGTGTGGTATAAAGTTTTTGCGCCGACTTACAAAGAAGGCGAAGGGTGGAGAAGTTTGTTTTGGTTTAGTGGTGGGTTGAGTGTCATTTTGATTATTTGGAGGTGGTTTGTTCCAGAATCATATGAGTTCTTGGAAATGCAAGAGAAGAAGAGAAAGTTTAAGGAGAAGAACAAGAACACTGGTCTTCACAAGTACTTTAACACAACTATTTTTCATACATTAAAGACTGAGTGGTTGTTGCTCACCTACCTTTGTATTGCTTATGGTGGCTGGAATTTCATGAGTCATGGAACCCAAGATTTATATGTTACCATGTTATCAAACCAATTCGGGGTTGATATTAACAAGAGAACTATGATAGTCTCATTGTCCAATGTTGGTGGGCTTATTGGGGGCGCGTGTATTGGAAACGTGTCAGAGATTTTCGGAAGACGATTATCAGCGATTATTGCGACCATCTGTTGTGGTGCCCTAGTTTATCCATCTTTTTACAATGCTGACAAGAATTGGGGCGCCTATATTGCTTTGATCGCTTCTGTGGTCGCATCTTGGGGTGTGTCATCAGCTTACGCCTTGGAGTTGGTAAACAAAGCACACAGAACATTGTTGATTGGATTGGCATACCAAATCGGTAACTTGATCAGTGCTGGTAGTGCTACTATTCAAGCCCAGCTTGGTGAGAAATACCCCATTCCTGGTGCTGCTCCTGGTGTTTTCGATTATGGAAAAGTGATGTGCATTTTTTGCGGCGCTGTTTTCGCTTTCATGGTTGTTATTTTGTCATTAGGGCCAGAGAAGTTTCATAGAAATTTGAGGATGGTTCCAGCGGACCTCGGTGCAGTACCGGAGCTTGAAGAGGGTTTGGATTTGGACAAACCTGACAATGAGAAGAGAAAATAACTGCATGTTGTTTACACACTGTATCGTTCCTCATGTATAGGAAGTTTAAGAGAGATTTATGCATCACTTGAGTTAGGTAGTGAGACATTTGGTGTCACTGTGCCAGGAAGATTGAATCGTTATTGTAAACGGTTTTCTCCTCTACCATCAATCAGGAAAGCGTGGTGTAAGCCAAGTGCGATGTAAACCAAACGTGTATATCCCACCCACGCATGAGTGGTCACGTGCAAGGTGATGGATTTGCAGGTCCTGAAGAAAGCCTCGTTAATTTTTATCATCACAAGGGGAAATTAAAGAAGACCAAAATGGTTGGAATCCGCTAAGGTCGTGCTCGTATATTGACAGTATACAAGCTGGTTGTGTGGTCTACTTCTTCTCCACCAATATAAACTCTAGGATAAAATATTCCAAGCAATTTTTATTTTTTATTTTTTTTGGTTGATTGAGTAGAATGAAAGAATGAATGGGTTTCAAATCTCAAGACCATATCACAACAAGCTTTTCGTGAAAATTTGAGTGTCACGTACGAATATGCTATGAGGGGAACAATTTGCGGAGATGTGTGCTTGTTCCGTGCGAGGGCCTAGAAGCTCGTTGAAGATTACATGTGACGGAATGTGGCCACAACTTTAATGAATCCTCAGCGCTTTTCGATAGACGACTCTTAATATTATGACTGGCAACGATGGTGGTGGTGCAAGCTGTGAAAGGGATGCTGAAAATAGTGGCGTAGTAATGACACGTCTGGCAGCTACTGAATCAAGGTAATTTGAAGACAACGTCAATGTAATCAGAGTTACAACATAAATACGAGCCTCAAATGAAAACAGCTGGGCACGACTATTATATCAAAGGAAACTTCTGCAATTTGACTACTGAAATAAGTAGGTACGAGGCTGCAAACAAAAATAAAGTTTCCGAAACGTACCATTGCGTCCCCACATATTCTTCAACAACTTCGTGAAAGGAAATGATTTCGAACTTGAAACATGTACTCAAAGTGGAGATCTTTCGCGATGGCTCTCTTCGATTGTCCCTGTCTCTCCTTTCTGGCAAAGAATATTTATATGTCCTTATATTTCAATTGTGGGCTTTCTCAGAAGGTGTTAACCTATTCAGATCATGTCGTCGTCTCCCACAAACCAAAAACCTGAAACCGAACATATCTCAAATTTGTCATCTAATCAGGAACTGCTTTCGATAGATGATATCTTCAATGAAAAACCTACGTTGACACTTCCCGTCATCAAACACTACTTGGCAACAAGGGTCACTACTTTAATCGACTTGCCTGTTTATCACCAGGACAAAAGATGGTATGAACTTATAAACCCTATTCCTGGTTTGAGAGAAATGACATTGAGAGATTGGAACTACTACGGATTGGGATGGTTTGGTTGGGTTTTAGACTCTCTAGATTTTTTTTGCGTTTCTGTTGCTTTGCCGGAAATTGCCATCTCTTTGAATTCAAGTGTGGTTGATATTACTTGGGGAGTAACATTGGTTTTAATGTTCAGAGTGTTTGGTGCTGTCGCTTTCGGATTGGCTTCGGACAGATTTGGGAGGAAAAAATGCTACATTGTCATTTGTATATTGTTTATTTTCGTTGAAGTTGGTACAGGCTTTGTCCAAACTTATGCGCAATTCCTCGGTGCTCGTGCAATCTTTGGTATCTTAATGGGAAGTATGTTGCCAGTCTCCATGGTGACTGCCATGGAAAGCCAACCGGTGCGTGCAAGAGGTATCTTGTCAGGTTTATTTTCGCCAGCATATTGTTTTGGCTACATTATGGCTGTGGTATGGTATAAAGTCTTTGAGCCGACTTACAAAGAAGGCGAAGGGTGGAGAAGTTTGTTTTGGTTTAGTGGTGGGTTGAGTGTCATTTTGATTATTTGGAGGTGGTTTGTTCCAGAATCATATGAGTTCTTGGAAATGCAAGAGAAGAAGAGAAAGTTTAAGGAGAAGAACAAGAACACTGGTCTTCACAAGTACTTTAACACAACTATTTTTCATACATTAAAGACTGAGTGGTTATTATTCATCTACCTTTGTATCACATATGCTGCTTGGAATTCTTGTAGCCATGGAACCCAAGATTTATATGTTACCATGTTATCGAATCAGTTCGGTGTTGATATTGACAAAAGAACTATGATTGTGTCAATATCTAATGTCGGTGGACTTATCGGTGGTGCGTTTGTTGGAAACCTTTCCGAGCTTTTGGGGAGACGATTATCCATCATTATTGCGACCATTCTTTGCGGAGCATTCGTCTATCCATCATTCTTTGATGCTGACAAGAATTGGGGTGCCTATGTTGTTTTAATTGGTTCTGTAATGGGTTCTTGGGGTGTATCAACAGGTTATGTTTTAGAATTGGTGAATAAGGCACACAGAACTTTATTAATGGGATTGTCATACCAAATAGGTAACTTACTCAGCGCAGGAAGCGCTACTATCCAAGCTCGAATCGGTGAGCTATACCCAGTTCCAGGTGCAGCTCCTGGTGTTTTCGATTATGGAAAAGTGATGTGTATCTTTTGTGGTGCCATTTTTGCATTAATGGTGGTTCTTTTATTGTTGGGACCAGAGAAGTTTCATAGAAATTTGAAAATGGTCCCAGCGAATCTCGGTGCAGTACCGGAGCTTGAGGAGGGTTTGGATTTGGACAAACCAGAGAATGAGAAAAAGGAGTAAATGGGTCTCAACAATTCTATATGTACTTTACAATAATCCATGACGAAGACTTGAAGCTTGTAAACTCTTGAGGCGTGCAGAGCATCTACGCAAGAGGTGATACTGATGAATAAATAACTGGTTCGCAACTTTGAGAAGTCAAGAAACTAACGGCTAGCATTACTGCTCTAGTCAGTCGCAACAACGTAGCTAACCACATTATGCAAGAAATGTCACCCTAATTCATGCATGAGCTAAAGCTTTGAACACATGAAAGAAGTGTGCTACACCTCTTTGGGCGACTGTAACTTGAAAGGTGGATACCCTTGTGGCTCAAAACGTCTTATTTTCAGTCCATATGGAACTGCTCGAGATAGATCATAAGGATTAATTGGGAAGGCTTCTCCAAGCAACAGGTGCAAGTCAGCAGTTGTAGCAAGCTTTCACGTAGTTTAATCTATTCAACGCGTGTGAGAGTAGGTAAAGAGTATATCATTGAACCCTTGTTACGAAGGAATTAATAAAAAGCTTACTGAGATGTTTTCTTTTTAGTTTCAACTGTCAAACTAAAGTCCGGTATGATTCAGGAGGTTCTGTTGCATACTTTTCCCATCATCTCACTTTATTCAAAAGGGGCCCGTAAACGGCCACAAAATATTTAATGCACAAGTCGGTTGAAAAGCCCAAACCTGATCGTTTTGTGGGTTAGATCTCTTTCTACTTTCGGTGCAAAGCACTATGTCTGATGCAAATCGGGCGTCTATTCAAAAGATAGTGGGCCATCTGTAAGCGCAAAACAAATTGCGCTCAGTTGCGAAATATTGCTCTTACGGTTTCAGCCGTTATTGAACCTTCTTGAATGGAGCCCCACTTGCCCTGGTTAAACTTTCCTATAGACTAATTTTATTCTAAAAACCGTTTCAGTGTTTCATGTAATTAGTCTTACCACATGTTGCCTCAAACTACCTTTAAAGAAATTACACAATAGTTACATAGGCATTGGTATACTAGAAAGCACGACAAAACGAGCAAAAGAGAGGTACAAGTGGCCCCTGAGATGATTGGTTCAACAAAGACTTTTGAATTCCCATTTTCGACATTTGCTAGTCCACCGTGAAGCAGATCGCCACTTTAGACCCCCAAAAATAATGCCGTCTCCCTATCTACCTATTTCTCTCTTGAATTCGATACTGGAACAAAATCTGGTTCCCATTTAGAATCGGAAAACCCCCATCATTGTAGAGAGCATCAACCATTAGCCTCTCTTTGCTTGCACATGCATACAGCATACGCAACACCATACCGTGTCCCTCGACAATTCTCTCAATTCAGTTAAATCTATTTCCGAACATATCTTCCCTTTGTAAGAAGCAAGGTGGGGTGTTAGGGTCTCTATTTTGACAATTTCCGCGTGGGGTAATATTATAGGGGCTCAAGATCGTGTCAAAATCTAATTCAGGGTACGTTATAATAACTTTGTGATTGTATTTTGGCTCATCTCTTCTCCACAGTATGTATTATTTTCAGCATGAAACTCTCTTTTTGTGGTGCAATTGTGTTTTTTTTCTTTTTATTTTGTTTTTCTCACTCCATCTAGATCGAGGGTGAAGTGATGCTTATTGAATGATATGATGATACGTTAATATTATACAACCAAGCTTTTTCAATACAAGTTGTTGTGTTACTTACAAATATGCTCCGAGACGAGCTACCTGCAGAGGTAGTAACATGTCTTGATGGTTGCCCTTGTGAATTGGTTTAGAAGTTGACGATACTATGGTATTGGATGGCGATGGTTCGATGGAGCACTTCAATGGTGTGACTTTACGAATGATGGACCCTACTTCTGAGCAGCCATGACATATGACGATGCTTTCAATGACTGCTTAGCAGCGATGAGCTAATGAAAAGTAATAGTCACCAGATTTTCCAAAACTGACACAAACTACGGGGTTGATAAATAATAATAAATTCTTGGAATTCTACCACAGGGCTGAAAAATAAATGATGGCTGCAAACAAGGTTGGAATTTTCAGGAGCGTATTTACCCCACCAAAGAGATTTTTCACTTTGGAAACGTGAGACGATAACCATGAAAGTAAGATGTTCTCCGAAAGTGGGGAATAACTGCGTTAACTCCCCCCAGTTGTGTTTGTCCTTTTGCATTCAACAAAGACTATATATACGACTTAGCTTTCCTTTTCATTTTGAACATTTTTGAAAAGTCATCATCAATCATTAGCAATGTCCTCAGCACCAACAAATCAAAGGCCTGAGCCTGAACAAATTTCAGATTACTCCTCAGACCAAGATGTCCATTCAGAAAATGATATATTCAATGAGAAACCCGAGTTGACTAAAGCTGTCATCAAGAATTATTTTGCAACGAGATTTACTACGTTATTCGATTTCCCCATCTATCATTCAGAATACAGGTGGTATGAGCTTTTGAATCCTATCCCTGGTTTGAGAGAAATGACATTGAGAGATTGGAACTACTACGGATTGGGATGGTTTGGTTGGGTTTTGGACGCCATGGACTTCTTTTGTGTTTCTGTTGCCTTGCCAGAGATCGCAAAGACATTGAATTCAACGGTTAAGGAAATCTCTTGGGGTGTGACTTTGGTGTTGATGCTTAGAGCTATTGGTGCTATTGCATTCGGTATAGCTTCTGACAAGTTCGGTAGGAAGAAGTGTTATATTGCCATTTGTATTATGTTCACAGTTGTTGAAATTGGAACCGGGTTTGTCCAAACTTATGAGCAATTCCTTGGAGTACGTGCAATCTTTGGTATCTTAATGGGTAGTATGTTGCCGGTTTGTATGGTGACTGCAATGGAGAGTCAGCCATTACGTGCAAGAAGTATTTTATCAGGATTGTTTTCACCAGGTTACAGTGCAGGTTACATTTTTGCTTTGGTATTTTACAAAGCTTTGGCAAATACTTACAAACCAGGAGAAGGTTGGAGAGTCTTGTTTTGGTTCAGTGGTGCTTTGAGTATCCTTTTGATTATTTGGAGGTTGTTGGTTCCTGAATCATATGAGTTTTTGGAAATGCAAGAAAAGAAGAATAAAATCAAAGCTGAAAACAAGAAAACTGGTTTCCACAAATATTTCAACACTACAATTGTACATACTTTGAAATCGGAGTGGTTGTTGTTTTCATACCTTTGCCTTGCATATGCCGGTTGGAATTTCATGGCTCATGGAACACACGACTTGTATGTTACTATGTTGTCAGTTCAATTTGGAGTCAACATCACCGACAGAACTATGATTGTTGCTTTATCTAATTTTAGTGGTCTTGTTGGTGGTGCATTTGCTGGACCTATTTCTGAAATTTTCGGAAGACGTTTCTGTGCAATCGTTGGTGCAATCGGTTGTGGTGCGTTATCTTATCCGTCGTTCTTCAATGCTGACAAGAATTGGCCAGCATACCTTGTGTTGATCGGATTCATGAACATTTCTTGGGGTGTATCATCAGCTTTTGCGTTAGAGTTGGTCAACAAGGCTCATAGAACATTGTTGGTTGGATTGTCGTATCAAATAGGTAACTTGATCAGTGCTGGTAGTGCTACCATTCAGGCTCGTCTTGGTGAAAACTACCCAATTCCAGGTGCTGCTCCTGGTGTTTTCGATTATGCTAAAGTTATGTGTATATTCTGTGGTGCCGTGTTCGCATACATGGTTCTCATCTTGGTTGTGGGTCCAGAGAAGTTCCACAGAAATTTGCGAATTAATCCGAAAGAGGTTGCCGCAGTTCGTGAACTTGAAAATGGCGTGGAGGAGCTGGACACAACTAGCAGCGAGAAGAGAAAGTAGATGGGTATATAGTATGCCTCGGAATATACAATTTTTTATGAATACAAATGGAAGAGTTGGTATATATATGTTGCTGAAAGCTATATTGAAATCTTAGTTCTGATGCTTGGGCATTGTTCCTTGTCCCTTATCTCAGGCGACATTCGAGTTTGGGGAAAAATCTTGTCTCCATACGTGTGCGTTGGTAATCGGTTGCATGCTGGTTATCTTCTCTAAACTTGATGCTTATTATTATTTTAACACAGCCAGCATAAAAGCTACAAATGTAACGCAAAGATCGAAAAAAAAAAAGACACAATTTTTATATTGTTTGCCTCTCACTAAAAACACCCTTACTTGCACCTGCATTCACCTTGCTACAACGTCTTCTGTCAGTTGAACACCAGCTCTAACTAAAACCTGATACTCGTGAAAGCCATAGACTTTTGGTACCCATAAAAAACGAATTTTGCTAAATCGTATCATAATGGTTATTTAAAGGATCTGCACATTCTTGTATTGTGTTTGTGTCAGTAACAATAGGGCTGTTGTCTCGAGGAACTTTCGGGTTTGTCTAACTCGAGCAATGTTACATCTACGCCCTGTTGAACACTTTCTTAATGAGACAAGTAGTCATGGATTAGCCTTTAGTAATATTTCACCTGAGTGAATAGTAGTCAGTTTTACTTGATTGATCTCTACCTGATACTTGAAATTCTCGTTGGTGTCTCTTGCTTTTTGTGTCTGTCGTAAGTCGAGGCACACAATTCAGACACAGATTTCAGATTTCAGACACACACATACACACACACACACAGGAGAAAAAAGAAAAAAGAGGAAAAGGGAAATGGAAAAAAAGCAGACAATCTCGATACGGTTTTTATAATTCATCTTCCTTTCACCATATCATCATTTACTAGAAATACTTGAGTCAAACGTTACTTAGCACATCCCCGAAACTAATACCCCTCGCTGCAACTGCTAATTCCCGTTTTCGCTTAATATACCCATTTTGTAGCTCGTACTACAGGGAGTCTCTCGTCCTGCTAATATCTTGCTTTATCATACATCAATACAAGATATCACCAGAACACAGTTTAGCATTTTGCACAATTTACCTTGGTAAGGTAAGTAATTGACAGTTGGAAATATTACGCTAACTACCATTATCGCAATCACGCTCGCTATTTTGAATATTTAAACACAACTAATCACTTCACACTCGCTTGTTATCAATATCACACCATGAATTTCGACCACAGCTTTCTATCGCAGGACGATACGACAGAGGTTTCACCAATGATCAACCAACAAAGGACGTTTTTAGCCGACCTGGATCACAATATTATCAGCTCGCAGTTTGTGACACCTAACCCCAACACCAACGCCAGCGCATTTGCCAATAACGACTTCAGTTTTAATGAACAATCCAATCGTTTTACAGCATATGACTTTTTTGATCTTTTGGATTTTGATTCCAACCGAGACCCATGTTTAGAGACACCAAAAGCTACAATAAACGCTACGTTTAATAAACCTCTAGGTGGTTCGAATTTTTCAAACAATGCAACACCGGCAACAATACCCACTAATACATTTGCGCCTTTCTATCCAACAAATGAGAACCATTCTCATTCAAATGTCACAATTCAAACGCAAGCATCGCCAGTTGTTTCAAACATTATGAGCTCCCAGAATTTCAGCACTACGGACTATCCTACTGAGCCAATGTTGAATACACCGAATTCTCTGATGGGTGTGAAAAGTTCGCCCCAGCAATTTACCCCTCCATCACACGCACCACCTCAAATCACGCCACAATCTAAACTAGGGCCAATTGGTCTTGGTTTGAATTCTGATTTGATATACGCTACTCCTTGTCAACCACCACCACCACAAAGGCAACTGTTTCAAAATATACAAAGACAATCTCCATCGCAGTTGAATTTTCACGTGCAACCACCTTTGCAGCTGCAACCTCAGACGAACAATATTTCACCATATGAGCAAGCAAATGCTATGTTTCAACAACAGTTGCAACAAAATGAATATGCCCAACTACAAAATGATCTTGCTTCAACTCGAAAATTTAGATCCGAACTGAGTCTTAATTTGCAAGCTTTGATAAAAGAAGAAAAAGAGAAGCAGGATAGAGTACATGCTTTCCAGGCGGAGGTACCCAAACAACGAATAGCTAAGCATAGAAGGTCATCTGCTAAAACAACTGACATTAAGGAGGAGAGTGGTAAACTTGAGGCATCGTTGACAGGAAACGGGACAACAGATAATTCCCACTCATTGCCATGTCAAAATCTCCAATCGCTAACTACAAGCGATGATATAGATTCACCGACTACGATAGAGGTAACGAGCCCACAGTCTTCAATTGATGACTTGTTGAATAATTCCAACACCAATGCGGTTCTTGATAGCAATAATATCACTGCTGAGGAAGTGCTCAATGATGATCATTTCAAGGACTTAGTGACACCGCGTTTGGAGACGAGAGAGGCATTTGACGACACTGTTGATTTTGGGCACAATGTTGACGTCAATTTCAATGATTTCGAACACAATTTGAGCAATGTTTTGCCTACAACTGGAAGTGCAGACTTGTCGAAACCGAAACTGAAACCGGAATCGAGAAGTACTAGTGTGAATTCCACCCCTAAAAAGAAAAAACCGCCAGCATCAGGCAGCAAGGCAAACAACAAAAAAGTGTTGAAAAAATCATCGTCATTCAGCGATTCACTGTCGGTATTATCTTTTCCGAAATTTCAAAAAGCAAAGACTCAATTAAAGACGTTTCCTGCGTCGCAAGGTGGTGCTAGTATGGGGATATTTGCGGTAGAGAATACCGGATCATTGGCATCGCCACAAAAGCGTTCTGTTTCTGCTAGTCGTGTTGATATGGCCAGCTCAATGCCAATTTTCACAATGGGTAGTCATTATTCATTTATTTATGAGCTTACTGAAGAAAACAAGTCACAGGATGGCAGTGGGTCTACTGCTGCTTCTCGAGATGGTGCTAGTGTTTCCAATCAAGGTACTACAGGTAGTCGTGGTGCTAATCATCGAAGAAGCTTATCGGGTCGAAGGTTGAGTAATTTTCAAGAACCGAAATTTAATCCCAATTCGCAATCGAAAACGTTTGAGTTTCAGGTTGACTTGAAAAAGTAGAGAGAGTGATTTTTTAGTGGTTGGCTTGTTTATTTCGTACATATAAAATAAGGACTTAATGTTTGGTTTAGTAGATTAGGATTGATGTAGGTGTAAGACATGTCGTCAGGCATTCACCTTGCGTCAAGGTTTACTCCTCTACAAATTTTAGATTAGAACTATTTACCCGTTAAATGTATTTTCCGTAATACACACTCTTCGTATGATACGCTATAGCTTAGTTTATTCAAGTTTTTTTTAGGCATAGTGACATTGCCCATAAATCTATTCTCTCAATACCTCGCCACATCAGCAATACCCCAATTTTACAAGTCCTTATCTCTAGGCACATAATCAGTAGTCAAAACCGGCTTCTTTCTCAATCTATCCGTTATTGAAATGGCACCCTCGTAATTGTATGCCCACAATGTTAATCCAATGGGTACTAAACCCATAAACACAATATTAAAAGCAGCTGATTTAGGTTTGAAACGGAAGTAGTGGCCAAGTTTTTCTTTTGCGGTGTTGAATCGTTGTAATTCTCTGTCTGGATGTAATGTGCCTGCCATTGTGTTGCTGTACAATTGAGCTCACCAGTGGGTACTGTTCTATTTTTTTTTTCTTTCGCTTCTTTTGTAATCGAATTCAGTATCAATATTATTGGTGAGAAAAAAGAAATCCTCCCAAGTGCCGAAGTTGGTAGCGTGTTGTTTTGATTTTGCGAAACCACAAACCATTTACAGATTGGGCAGTACTTACTACAAATCACAAGAAGAAAGACTTTACCCCACCACCACTCAATGTCGAATGTAGAATATGATCCTCGTGCAACAGCACTTCTTATAGAGCATCTTGGCTTTGCGCCCATAAAAGTCGTTGACGAAGTGATAAATGCTGTCAATCAAATAATGGTGCAAGGAATAGAAGCACTAGAGAATTACTTGACAAATCTCCATGCCAGGGGCCAACTACCGGAAAATGTCACTCACGAAGAAATACTCACCGGAACGGCCAAGCTAGAGTCGCTAATTCAATACAAGATTGACTTTGCATTTGACAAATATGAATTGTATTGTTTATCAAATATCTTTCATATCCCGGCAAATTTAATAGATGAAGGATGGTTTCGGTTGAAAACCCACGAAGGGATTGATTTTACTCAAATTCAAAATAACCCATTGGCGAAACTGGAGTATGATGATGAAATTTTACGAATGGGTGATTTAATACGGCAGGAATTGTATAAACGACAATACTATAAATTACAAATGGTTACTTTTGACAAGATAAAGCAGTATCTTGAAATTGTTTCGAACAAGTTTGTGAAACTATATGAATTAAGGGCTGAGAAGTCAGGGGATGTGGAGAATGGAGAGCCGAATGGTGATGGTGATGGTGGCGTAACGGCAAGAAAAATCTTGACGAAATTGAATCCAATTGATGAAACGTTGGAGAGTGTAGCTCTACAGTTGAAAGAAGTGATAAGCCAGGTGGAAATAGCAAAACAAAAATTAAGTACCATTGATTTGAGAAATGTCGATTTTGGTTACAACGATCAATTTATTGAAAAACGGAAAGCTCGTATATTAAAATATTTGGACTTTAATGTTGATATACCACCACGCAAGAATTCTGGTCTATTTACGGGTGAAAATAAAGTAGGTGGTGATGACGATGATGAGTTGGATGTTGACATGTTTGAGAATATCCCTACTCAGGATATTGTGTATCAGGAACTCAATGCTGCTCAGCAGAGTCGGCACAGCGATGAGCAGCCACATGGAATGGGACCGACGCTGTCTTTATGAGAGCTTGGAAGTAGATAATGAATAAACATAGACTATAAAGTAATTATACCTCTATCCTAGGCCATTTGCGTTGTCGTAATGACAATGCTCTAAAATAATCAAAAATTCATATGGTAGCTCATCCGAACTCGAGATTAAGCGAGTATTTTTTTTGGCCAAATTTACAAAAACACTGAAACCATCCATGTACAACCACAGGTAAAAGATGAAGGAAACCAGAGATTATAGACGGAAAGAAAAACAAGGACTTCGGGGAATCAGCGAGATCAGGAACCGGCCGCGCACCATTAGTCACTTGCATGAATTACTTCCAGGACTAAACGATATCAGTGATGCATTCGAAGCATTGCCATTAGATATCGTCAAATACTTTACATTATTGAAAGAGATTGACGCCAAATGTATCAATACAGTGCCACAAATAAACAACAGAATCAAGACTTATATCGACAACTTGCATGTTTCAACTAATGAACAGGATAAAGTGAGGGCCCTCCAAGAGAAACAAAAGCGGGAAAACTCGCAATTGGATGTGATTAAAGACAAGATTAATGAGATTATACCCTGTCTTGAGGAAAAAATGCATGTTACTTCAGTAGCCACTGACTTGTTAAATAAGCATATGCGTCGAATAAATCAAGATTATAAGTTGATTATTCAAAATAATGAGATCCCTGAGAATATACGTATTGGACCATTGGTTCATCCAGCAATGATTCTTGATTCATCGCATCCATCGAGGGATGTTAATGCTAATGGAGAAGGTGTCATCGGTGGAGGTTCAGGAGGCGGAGGTGGCGCGTATGGCAATAGCGCAACTACCGCACAGTCACAACGTAGTGAAAGTAGGAGAGAAGCGTTGGCTGCTAGGAAATCCAATAAAGATGATGATAGGGATGTGGGTAGTGGATCTAACGCGAATAAAAAGAAACGAAGTAAAGAGCAGACTCCATTAGAAGGTGGGAAAGGTAACAATGGTGGAAACGGCAATAGTGGTTACAATGACAACGCTAAAAAGAGAAAGAATGAAGATCGAAGCTCTTCTTCATCCTTAAAGAAGAAAAAGAAAGGACTGGAAGATATTGAGGATGTTGAAGATGGTGATGAAGTAGATGGCAATACTACTGGTAAAAAATCAAACTCCACTAATCTCGACAGACTCAAAGCATCTGCAGCTAGTGGTGGTGGAAGCTCTTCCAGTGGATCACATGAACCTACTTATTGTTATTGTAATCAAGTTTCATTTGGTGAAATGGTGGGTTGTGATGGTGATGACTGTAAACGAGAATGGTTTCATTTACCGTGTATTGGATTTAAGAATCCACCAAAGGGAAAATGGTATTGTGATGATTGTTTGAAAAAGATGAAGGTGAAGAAAGTGTAATAGAGAAGGAGCCGGGGGGGAATTAATGGTCAGAGAGGAAAAAAATTCGTGATTTAGTACCTGTTGGTTTGTAGCTGAACCTATGTCTCGTATTAGTAGTCGTTGTGGTGGAGCTATCGCTCTCTTTGAGTAATGTGAATCGCCATTTAGAATACTTTTTGGTTTCAAATTATCGTGTAGCTTCATAAGAAGCGGCTATAATTAATTCTCTTTCTGCCGCATGAAAACAAATGATTAAGCTTTTTCTCAAAACTGAAAAAGCTTGTCACTTGGATTTTCTGGCTATGAGGCTGAGTAAAATGTGGTCAATTTAATCAGTGGTACTGAGTTGAGTGAAGCCAAGTACAAAGTTATCATCATTTGATTATAGAGAGAGAGGTGTATATTGCACAAGGCGGAATTTCAAATTGTATTTTTTTTTTGGGGCTGTCGCGTGCGTAAAATGAATTACTGTACAAAGAATATGAGATCACAAAAATGATACAATTAAACTAAAGTGGGGAGTAAGTGAGTGAGTGAGTGAGTGAGTAAGTGAGATTGATGGTGGATAAATGCGTGAGTGGGGAGTGAACACATGTCATCATCAATCACGCACAATCTCTTCTTATCTGCCCTAACGGGGTGGGGTGGAGGGGGGAAACAACTTGATGACGTTGAGGTTACAAAAATTCATTTTGATGTGACTACTCAATGCTAAAGTGGTGACGTTTTTGACGACACTTTTTGTGTGACTATAGAATTCCCCAGGCAAACGAGGGCCAATTGAAAGAGACAAGCTATACCAAAGCACCTCCCAAATATGATTGGAGCTTTGCGGAGTTAGCGTAGTACCTCGGCTACAATTGAATCTCTCTATAATTCTTAGATTACTTTATTATATAAAGTCAATTAGTATATGCGTATGTTGTGTTGTTCTTGTGGTTGTATAATTTTTAAAACAATGCATATCAAGTATCGAATGTAACCCACTCAATTAACCCACATCCAGCACTAAACCAGTATGTTACATGTTTTGATATATGTAGTGGGTTGTTTAGAGGTTTGCTGAATTTACTAATGGGTTTCTCCCCTCCCCCCTTCTGTGTCAATTTTTTTTTTCTAGACGAATGAATAGAATTGGTTAGAATACAAATTAATAGCTATGTTGTGTTGTTGTGTTATTGTGGACAAAATTTCACTTTCTTCTTCTTCTTATTCTTCTTTATACTTGTTGTCGTTGTTGTTTGTTCTTCGTGTTTGTCAAGTCTTTATTTTAGTTTTTGATTTAATTTTTTTGCTTCTTGTCTTCTTTTTTTTTTTTTTTTTTTTTTTTTTCACTTGAAATTTGTCAACAAATAAAGCAATCCTTTTCTTTTCTTAATTCACACAGTAGCACAGCCTAAGTCACATGTTAAGAGAGTATAAATTGGTAGTAGTAGGTGGAGGTGGTGTTGGTAAATCAGCCTTGACCATTCAATTGATCCAATCGCATTTTGTTGATGAATATGACCCAACTATTGAAGATAGTTACCGCAAACAATGTACTATTGATGGTGAGCAAGTATTGTTGGATATTTTGGACACTGCTGGACAAGAGGAATATTCGGCCATGAGGGAACAATACATGAGAACTGGTGAAGGTTTCCTTTTGGTGTATTCTATAAATTCAAGAAACTCGTTGGAGGAATTGCAAACTTTTTATGAGCAAATCTTGAGGGTTAAAGATAGTGATCAAGTACCTGTGTTGGTTGTGGGTAATAAATGTGATTTAGAAATGGAAAGACAAGTTAGTTATGAAGAGGGTCAAGCTTTGGCTAATAGTTTTAATTGTCCATTTTTAGAAACGTCAGCTAAGTTGAGAATTAACGTTGAAGAAGCATTTTTTGATTTGGTCAAATATGTTAGAGCTAGTGAAGAAGCTGAAAGACAACAACGTTTGAAAGACGAGGGTGTGACGCCACAGCAACAAGAGCAACAAATCAAACAACAAGCACAACAACAACAACAACTGCAACTGCAACAACAACAGCTGCAGCAACTGGTACTGCAGCAACAGCAATCTAATGGTGTAGTGGGTGGTGGAGCTACTGGTGCGGGAACCACTACTAGTGGTGGTGTTTCCCCTGGTGGTGGCACAGCACAAAAGTCAAATGGTGTCGCAGGTCAAAGCAACTCTCGGAAGCAACAATCACAACAAACTTCTGGTGGTGAAAAGTCTAAATCAGGATGTTGTGTGATAGTTTAAGGAGGAGATAGAGAAAGAGAGAAAGAGAGACAGCTGGGGATTTAACGTGATTGGACGGTGGATGGTGAACCCGGACGAGAGTCTTGAAAGCAAGTATTGACTTGCGGATCTTTTACAAGTCAAGAGAGAGAAGAAAGATTGAAGGCGGAAAAAAGTTTGAGTCTGTGACTCAACAAAGTGTGTGTGGAAGTGTTTGTCTTTTTGTAGTTTGACTTTGTATAAAAAGCTTAGTTGGTCTTTAATAATAAGTAATTCTAATTGAAAGCGAATGCGGAGCATAAGTAGACCACTCTTGTGACTCTACTGGTTGTCTCAATGGAAGAGGCACTACAATGAGCGTTTTTTAAATCTATCAAGTATATTCGATATTCCTCCAAACCACTTTATTGTCTTGCTCTAATTTATAAAGTGAATGACAATGAAATGTAAAATCAAACTTGCAAAGATGAAATCAGCAAACGATCTTTCTGGAGAAATACCAGTGAATACCTTAGTGGACTTGTCATTGTCATCCTCGGTATCAACACTATCATCAATTTCAACAAGTTCATCAATTTCATCACCATCAGCATCTTTTCCACCTTTGGTTGTCTTGTTGCTCTTTGTCTTTACCGCAACAGTTTCTTTTCCCTTAGTAGCACCATGATCATTAATTTGTAACCTTAAACTAACAAGCAACACAAATTGTCCAACACATATAGCGAATCCACCAAGGAACGCATTAAAGGGGAAATTACCAATCAATAACACATAACTAAATTGCAAGATACCCAAACTTACTAAAAACACAAGAAACAAGTCGATTAATTTCAATTTGGGAGTCAAAGTTGCAAAATAATCATTGGTGGTTGTATTTATCGCCAATTTAAGTTCATGGAATGTTGTAGTGACTGATTTTGATTGGGGAAGAAGCGAATCGGAAGAGCTAGTGGTATTAGTGGTGGTGGAAGAGGAGGATGTCGAATTGGCCGTGTTGGCTTTAGCTGCCTGCGCTTTCTTGATTGCTATTATATCTTTCTTTGCCATTGCTGATTGTAAGTTGATATGACGATGTTGATGATGATGATGATGATGGGGGTGGAGGCGTAGGTGCTTTTGGCTTGGCTATGTCGGTGAATATCCAAATGAAAAAAAGTTAACAACGAATTAAAGGCCCAAAAAAGCGAAGAGAAAAACAATTGACGTATTGTTGTGTGCGCCATACAAAACGTGTCTCACCAAACGACAAAGTGAGTTTCTGATCAGAGACGAATTTTCACTTAGGCACCCATTAAGTCTTACAACACTAGATCTACCCAGATGGCAGTTCATCAGTCGGTCCCTTTACAAGGCAAGCTAAGCCAGCAGTTGAAATCTGGTGCTGAAGAGAGTTCAATTTATGATGAATCTCAACAAGAGGAGGAGGAGAAACTACAATCATTGACTCCAACGCAGGGGGAACAACAGCCTCTACAACCACCACAAGACAAAGATGGAGTAGCCACCCCACTTTCACAATCACAGCTTATCCAGAATGAGCAACAACAAAGACAAGACCATGCATCCACCACTAATAGCAATCTACGCAAAATAACTCATCCACCAGTACTACGAATAATCCCCCCACTCAATTTCTGCCCCGTTGAAAAACAATTGTATCGATCAGGTCAACCATCAATCATAAACCAACTGTTTTTGAATCAATTGAATTTGAAAACCATCTTGTGGCTAGCATCAGAAGAACCCAATGATGATTTTCTCGATTATTGCACCTCACAATCAATAAATATTGAATACGTTGGCATGTTGAATGAATATATTGAATTTGATAATCATAATCATCAACATCAACTGAACATACTCCTACAACCAAACATTAATCCCTGGGATTCGTTAACTGAACCAATAATTACTAAAGCCTTGGAGTTGATTGTTGATAAACTGAATTATCCCATGTTGGTATGTTGTGGAATGGGGAGACATCGTACTGGCACCGTTGTTGGATGCTTGAGGAGATTACAGGGCTGGAATTTGGCGAGTGTGAGTGAAGAGTATAGGAGGTTTACTGGTGCCAGAGGCGGGAGGATACTTGTTGAATTGTTGATTGAAGGGTTTGATGTACTGCTGGTTGATATCGATCCAGAAAAGGCTCCAGATTGGTTAAAGATTAGGTAGTGACTGGAAAGAAGGAGAAGAGGACCTTATTAGAGAGGTATCAGCCCAGACTGCGGCAGGGCTCCTCGTCAGCTAAGAAATGGTCTGAGTGTGTCTCAGTGTGTCTGGGTGTCTGGGTGATGTTCCGATTAGGAAATAAATGTCGCACATTTGTTCAAAAAAAGATATTTGATCAAGGGTTTGAATATATATATATATATATACACGTATAGGAACAAAGGAGAATGCATTTTCTTGAAGCAGTTGTCTACTTCGAGACTCGATGGTTGTACCTTAAACGCGTGTAGTGAGAGTGAGAGTTGTATAGAAATTCGTAACAAACTGAAGTGAAAAGGGTCTATTGATAGATCATAAATAATGTGTAGGTTGGCACGTGGTTATTGATATTACGCAATTGTAACAATTAGAGTAATAATTTGCCACCCAATATATGAAAGTACAATTTCAGTATGTATGTGTTGTTCTTGTTTGTTGTTATCTTATCAATACACGCACCCAATTCTTTCCCCTCTTTCTCTTTGTCTACAGCAGTTGGTGCATTTATTTTATTTTATTTTCTGCTTATTTTCTTGCCTACTTCTCCCCTTTCTTTTTTTCCCTTCTTCTACTTCTTTTACATTCTGTCCACTTCTTTTCCCTGTTTACCTTTGCTGTTACTCAAATATATTCACTTTGGTTACAGATTATCAACTAATTCACCCAATCAGCTTATTCAAGTACCCCCAGTCGGAGAAGAGACAGCAATCAAATATATCTAACTTGCAGGTGAGAAAAGTATACAAACCCCGATCACGGTTTTTTTTTTTTTTCTCGCCCTTATCTCACACTGTCACACTCAAAAGCTTACAAACTCACACACCCTTTCTTTTTCTTTTTTATCCCTTGCGGAGAGAGAAAAGCCACACAATTCAAACTAGAGCTACAGCTACAGCTACAGCTACAAACAACAAACTACAACTTTACATCGCCACTGTCTATCAGATTCCATCCATATCTAATAGAACTGATTGTTTATTAGACTATACATCTTTTTTTTTTTTACGTTTCTGTTGACTACTAAGCTAAAGCTAAAACGTCTGTTACTACTTCCAAGTGCCATCGCCACCACCACCACTAATCAAAGCAATCATGACAGGAACTTGTGTCAACACTATAAAGTTATTGGGCTTGGGCTCACTTGGTTTATTGACTTCATCACTTATTCAACAATCCGTACAAAATATTCCTAACCTAATCACTCAATTGAACGCCATCTACAGCTTGAATGTGATTACATTGAACTCCAAAATCACAGAAGTCAAATCATACCTTTTCAGTTCACGGGTTGTTAACGGGCTTTTAACTGGATTGAGCACCTTGTTTTTCACTTTGGCTTACAAGTATAGTCCTATTGATGAGAAGCATCCTTATTTGGTTTATGCCGCTATTGGTGCCCCTTTAACATTATTTGGTTTGTATTACAAGGCTTGGGGTTATGAAGACAAGATTTTGAGCAAACAAGATGTTTCAGTTTTCAAGAAAGGCTCATCTTCCAAAACTTCCTCCCATGCTCCGTCCTCGGTTGTTTCAGTCGACGATGATGAGGATGAACCACAAGTTATTTCCAAAGTCAGTAGTGTTGATGAATTGGGTAGATCCTATGTTCACCTTTCCGATGAATCGGGTCTTTCTACTCCAACTTCATCTCAACCAGCCTCACCACAAATTCGACACCAAGAAGGAGATCGTGACGTTGAAGATGAGCAACAACAGCAACAACAACAGCAACCACGTGAAGGCACGTCAGCACAAGAAGCTGAAGTTGAAATTGAAATAGAAAATACTTTAACCAAGAAGGAAATCGTTCAAGATTTAAAGCATATAAAATCAGGTTACACTATCGGGTCTTATGTTTCTGGTCTAAGTTTGACAATTGCTGTTGTTGGTTTATTTGGAGATTTCTACTTATTGTAGGTGAGTTTATTACAAATATTGGGTTGCAAGGGTAAGAAGTTGTTTAGTTTTATAATCTATACTATATCCAGTTAAAAATGCAATGTAGGGATGGAGAATTAGAAGGGTGCCCACCAGGGGTACTTTATTTAGATCAATCGTATAACCCAATTAGCTATAGGGACGTCATGAGACGTCTCTCGGTACTTCTTTGATGCTCAATAGATAGCATTATGCTTCATCTGCCACTTGTCGTAAGAGCTTATCGTGTCGAACCAAACTGAAGCATGTCCCTTGAAATTGAGTGTATCACGTGCGCTTTTTGTAAAGTATAAACAAAAGCCAATCTCATTTTTTTTTTTTTTTTTTTTTTTTTGTTGAACCTTTACATCAACAACAAACGAACTCTCCTTTTCCAAGCTTTCCCCATCTGCCTCCAAGCATCAGCATCAAAACACAGGTTACGGAATTAATTTTTTTTTTTTGCAACCACAATCAATCACAAAACATCAGCAACTCCCACACTACATTTAGCCAATTGGTGAAGGAGAGCGTTGCTGAATATGAATTTCAACTTTAATTACGACCAAGCATTTGGTGATCACGATGGTGCTGCTGCTGAAACCACTGCACAAGCTGCCATTCTAACAGCTACTCAACAACAACAATTGGATATCCAACGACGTGCTCAGGAACTAGCTGTTCAATCACGACAACAACATCAACAACACCGTCAACAACACCGTCAACAACAACATCAACAACAACATCAAAATGCAAGTAATCGTCAATTTGGTGCTGCCAATGCCAATAATCATTTCCAATTCCAACAACTGGTGCAGGCTTCACCACCGCCACCACCACCTCAATTCCATCACCAATATGCTAAACCACATGCTCACATTTTTGTTACTTCAGACAATAAACCTATGCCATTCTTCATTCCATTTGATGAACCCAACAGGAACAAATACAAGCGAATGATTATGCAAAATGGTGGGTACTTAGCTGAGGGTGAAGTTGATGGTATAGTTTGCGTTACTAGCAAGAGTCATTTAGGTGGGTTTGTGAGAATTGACTATATTGACGATTGTGTTAGTGTGGGGCAATTGTTGCCATTTGAAGGATACACCATTCCAGCTACGTCATCGCTGATTGATGATGAAGACGATGTTGGAGCGAGAGAGGATATCATTGACATATTGGGTTTGACTCAACATGGGCAACAACAGCAGCAAGCAGGAAAAAGGAACGAGTTTATTAACTCCACTATTGGTACTGCCTCGACAACAACTAGCGTTAATGCCAATGAAGGCACATATAAACAATCATTGGTTAAACTGACCATCCCATCAAACAGGTATACCGAAGAAAAGGATGAATACATCCTTGAACAAGTTCGTAGAAACCCTCGATTCCGCAATTCGCACGTGCTTTTCCATGATTTGGCCACTCACGAGATGTTGAAACCACATACGGGCAACTCCATCCGATCACGGTATCGTCGTCATTTGGCACCGCGTTTACACTACGTGTACAAGACCAATGATCGTGATAAACTAATTAAGGATAAACAAGGTCGTTTGATTAAAGTTCTAATTGAAGATTTACTGTCGCTGGAAACCATCAAGACGAAATTCACTCCACTTGACGATTATGAAATGTGTTGCTTGGCTGTTGTTTACATCAAGAATGAAGCAGCTAAAATGGGATTGGATTATGATGAAAACAACCCTCATCAAAAATCAATTTTACCTTATTCTTTTTACAATTCATTGTATCATAAATTTCCCAGGCATACGTTGCATTCATGGCGTGATCGTTGTCGGAAATTTATTGGTTGTGATGCTGATATTTTCGCTTACAAGAATTATTATGAAACGTGTTTGGCTAATGGTGATGTTCCACGGGTGTTGACTAAAGTGCCTCGACATATAGTTGCTGGGGTTCATAGGGAAGTTGCTGCTTTGAAGAGAGATCAACAAGCACAGCAAAAGAGAAATGCAGAGAATAGTGAAAGGAAGAAAAAGGATGATGAGGAGAAGGGAGTGCAGGTGCAGGTGCAGGTGCAGGTGCAAGAAGAGAAGAAGCAAGAGGAGGAGGAAGAGGAAGACGAGATTGATGAAACTATGGATGATGATGTGGCATTTGTTGAGAAAGCAGAAGCACAGGCTAATGCAGCTATTGCAGCCGCTGCTGCTCGTGAACAAGAGCAACAAAGGAAAAAGGAGCAGCATGAGAAGGCAAGCAAGAAGGTCCAAACCCCCAATGAAGAATCAGCACTTGATGAAGAGATTGGTGAATTGAAGAATTCAAATATTGATGACGCCATGCAACATGAAAGTGTAACTCAAAAGAGCGGTCATAATGATGACGATAATGTTATTGCTGATCAGGAAAGTGGAGACGATGCAGGTGATGATGATGATGCCGATATGGATATTGATATTGGTGATGTACTTCAGGATCATATCGAAGTTCCTAAATTGAGTAATTTGGGTACCCTTGATGATGATGATGAAGAAGAAGAGGAAGAAGATGAAGGAGTAGTCGATGAAGATAATGACGTTATTCTTGATAATGAAGATAATGAGGGGGAGGAGGATACGGCCAAATCAATTGAGAATGAGGAGGTACAAGATGATGAAGATTCCGATGATGATGTATTCTTTTCTGCTCCGAAGACTCAATCTTCGACACAACTAGGATCACATAAAATTGAGCCAAGATCGAGCTCACGATTGGAATCACAATTGGAATCACAATTGGAATCACAATTGGAATCACAATTGGAATCACAATTGGAATCACAATTGGAATCACAGATGGAGTCACAAATGGAGTCACAAATGGAGTCACAATTGGATTCACAAATGGAGTCACAATTGGATTCACAATTGGATTCACAAATGGAGTCACAATTGGATTCACAATTAAAATCACAGTTGGAATCACAATTGGATCCACAATTGGCATCCCAAGTACAAGCAAAAGCACCACTGTCTGATGCATCTAATGAAGATGTTACATCTAGCCAAAATGAAGAAGAAAAAGAAAAAGAAGAAGATGTTGTTGATGTTGATGATGATGATGATGATGACGATGATGACGACACGGGTTTCCGTCTCGCCTACCTTGACGAATCAACTCCATTGATTGATTGCGTCGACCCACCTCGATTCGTCAAATTGCTTAAGCGGGCGAACCCACCAGTATTTTTGTTCACTAAGCTTCTTAATAATGAACAAAAACAAGGCGGCTTCAAACCACAAGCAAGCAGCAGCAGCAGCAGTGATGTCGCCACTTTTGACTTGGATGATGATTCCATATTTGAGATGATTACAACATTGAACTCACTTGGTTTTAAAGACCCATTAATCGGCCATTTCATTTACGCATGCTCTTTTGAAACTTTGGTTATTGTCAACTATATTACCCAATTTCTTGACTCGTTATCTCGTAAAGTGTTTGCCAGTGATAAAAAGTTAACTTTTAAGGACAAAAAGACGAAGAACACGAGGAAAAAGGCCAAGGATGAAATCAAGGCTGCAATTGAAGGTTTCGATTGGGACACGGAATTAGTATATGCGTATTTGCCTCCACCTAGAAACGAGCCCGTAGGGGCTTGGAATAAGCTGTTTGATGCGATATTGGATACACTGCAGGAATCAAAGTTGCACAAGTTCAAGAGTGGACAAGAGATTGAGCAACGGAAAAAGTTTATTGCTTCTTGTTTAGAGGAAACTGAGGAGGAGGAGGAGGAGGAGGAGGATGAGTAGAGAGGTGTTTTACTTTATCTTTATATTTGGTTGTATTAATTTGTCTTTGTGTTATTTTAAGTATTGTACGTGTAAACAGGAATGTAATTGTTGAGTATGAATAGTAGTCAACTGAGAACAAAAAGATGGAGGGAAAGCATTTACCACTTCAACGTTTGGGGTCCATGGGTATTTGATGGAACACATTTTTAAAATCCAAGACAGTGAAAACTGAACACCTAATCCAAGTGAGATGATCACGACACATGCACCAGTAATGAATGAAAATTAGCATTTGATACGCCGTTTACTTTTTCATTGATGTTGCATGAAGGTCAAGTGTCATCGTTCACTCGCGCTTTACTACTGAGGACTTCTCTTTTGCGAGAGGGGGGATCTTCTATGGAATGAGCCAACAAATTCATGTTGATTAATATTTCTGTGGTTGATTTCTTTCTCTCCTGTGGGGGGAGGGCTTCTTGTTGAAGGTTAAAGAATAGAACTTAGTATTTTTGAGAATGTTTATTATTTGAGTATTCAATAACTTATTGGTTAAATAAGCGGTTCATCTTTGCCATATTTTCAAGCGATAGGTGGGGTTTCACAATTATCCGTTGTTTTAGTATAAGATGTGATTTTGTTTATTTGTTGTCTATCAATTGTCTTTGATTGTAGATGCCTTTCGTGCCCTAAGTTGTTGACTCGTGGTTTACTGCCGGTCTCATGTAAAAACATTTACATCTACTATCATCCACCTCAGTTCCAACTTTTCCAAGAGAATGCTCCTCCTTAAATCATGAACAAATGAATGTATATGATATCTAACTTGTATAAAAATACATACACACATCAATAAAACAAAATACAAAAAAAAAGTTACAACAAAAATTAAGACATCCATGTGTAGAGGAGGTCAAGAGCCAACATCATCAGCTATGCAATGCCATCAATGGTATTAAATAACCAAACGAATTGTCTTTGACTCTCTTTTTCCACTTGGAAACTCCCAACGCTGGGGGGTATAAAATTGAAAGGCAAGCACAGATATAAAAAAGCACAAAAAAGGAAAAAAGAAAAAGACAAAGTATTCAAAAGTGTCTTTAGTTTGACAAGAAACCCCAGTATTTTTCAGCATTGTATGGACCATCAGCTTTCCACAAGTCATTGAAAGCAGTAAACAAAATAGAGGCACTTCCACAAGTGTCCTTAATGGATTGAATAGCAGCCTCTTGGTTTTCCTTTGATGGAACAGCCTTGTTGTTGGAGTCACCTCTTGATGGCCAACCAGTTTCAGTAATCAAAACATTCTTACTGTTACCACAAGCAGTTGAAACTCTTTGGATTTGAGACAAGACCCATTCACCAGCTTGGTCAGCGGTGTAGTAACCATCAAAGAAACAGTGAGCATTGACGGCAATGTAGTCAGAGTAGTCACACAATTCTGGGTTGTTGATAACAGCAATAAAGGTATCAACTGAAACAACTGAACCATTGTAACCAGCAGATTTCAAAGCAGATTTAGCTTGGTTGACATATGATTTGATTTGAGATGGGTTGGCTTGACCAGAGTTGACCAATTCATTACCAACTGAAACAGTGTGGATATCATCCCATGAACCATGAGCCTTGACAGCATCGGCAATAGTTTGAACGCCATCAGAAATAGCGGAAACATCATAGATACCAGCAAAAATCTTTTGACCAGAAGCTTTGGCTTGCAAGACTTGAGCAACTTGGTCACAATCAACACCGTATAATCTGATAACATCAAATCCACTCAATTCAGCAACTTCAGAAGCAATTTGGGATGAAGTTTTACAGTTACCATTATCAGCATAAGGAGTGTAAGTAACACCCTTGGCACCACCAGAGCCAACATTTGATGAGGAGGATGAAGTGGAGTCGGAAGCTGATGATGATGACGAAGTGGAGTCATCATCGTTTGATGAGGCGTCAGCAGTAGTAGTTGGTTGAACTTGAGGAGCATCAGTGACTTGGCTAGCTTCGGAAGCATGAGTTTCAGCAGAAACTGGGCTAAAAGTGGTAGTAGCATCACCATTTCCTAAAGTAACAACAACAACATTGGTTTGAGTAACAACATGAACAGCTCTTTTTTCTTCATTGTGTTTGTGGTGTTGGTGTTGTTGTTGGTTGATGGCCAATGGGGCAGCCAAAGCTTGAGCTAATAAAGCAGTAGAAATGATAGTCTTGTACAACATTGTAAAATTAAAATGAGCGTTTAACTATAGTTGGCTATTGTATGTATTAACGAAAGTTTGTAGTAGTTGGGTAGTGAGGGTATCTAATGAACTTCTAAAGGGGATTTATGAAGATTTAAGGAACGACTGATAGAAGTTTGATGTTTTAGATATGGTTGAAAGAGAAAGAGAAAGAAAGTAAAATTGAAGGAATATTTTTTGTTTTAATAAATATTTGACGTTCATTCTTCTGGCGCTGGATTTGTTGTTGAAATTTTGGAATAGAGGGAAAAGAAAATTTTTAAACAACAACAAACAACAAACAACAAACAACAAGGAGCAGAAATAATATTGTTTCTTGGTTTTTGTGTAGTATTGATACATTGTAATGTTTTTGATGTATTGATGTACGGATGCATACCTGTTTTGTGTTTTTGTTTACAGTTTAAACCAATTCGGAAAGATTATTCACAATGTATTCTGTGTTTGTGTATCAAATGTAACCAAATACAAAACAAATTATAAACAGAGTAGGAGGCAGTTGATAAAAAGGTCTAGAACAAACTGAGTTCAAAGAGCAATCAACCACTAGGGTTCATCTATTCTGGATAAACGAATGCCGTAAAAGCTCTCTACTTCTTTTGCAAGAGTATGAAATGCCCGATGTTCGCCTATTTCTATTTTCACTAGCGATAACTCCCTCGTCTTTTTGTTTTTTTTTTTTTTTTTTGAAAATGTGGAACGATTTTTTAAGCAGCATGTATTCTGCAGCCAACTTACCCTCCATGACCAATAGGGTTCAACTTTACACGTAGTAAGAGTAGAGTTAGTCTTGACAGGGTTCAATTGCTAGATCCTTCGGGTGTAATCGATGAGATGCCGACGCGTCTCGTCATTTGGTTGATCTGATCACTTACCTTGTTTCAAAACACGATGGTGAAATTTATCTTCCACTTGGGTGACGACAACGATGGCAGGTGTGCTTGTTTCAAGATTTCACGTCGTAACGAAAGGCACATAGAGACGAGGTAGAGAGGAAGGAGTTGACAGTTTGTGTGTAAATGAGCAACGTCTTGAATGAAAGGGTCGAGGAATCCCACACTAGAGAATTTTGTTTCAATTGGTAATGCATGTGAGAACTTCGGTGCGAATTCTCTTGTTTTTTTGGTCGACGTATTCCGCCACCCCCTGAATCGTTGTCGTCCTCGTCGTTGTTCGGTGGTGCCGTGTTGCGAAAAATTTTCTGACACTGAGCTGAGGAGTCAAAGGGAAAGGGAAGAAGTAAACAAAATGAAACACGTGAAATTTGTGCATTGTGAGAGAAAAAAATCATCAAGTACTGCATATAGAGCTTTTTTTTTCTTGTGGAAAAGGTGTTTGTGTCTTTGTTTACCAATTTCATTGTGGATTTAATAACCAATTGAGCTTCAGTACACGTCTATTATTTTTATAACCTTAATTTTTTTTTCAAAGTGAAGCTCTATCAAAAAAAGAGATTTATTATATTCTCCCAAATGAGTTAAGAACGAGGGATTGAAAATAACCAGCAGCAGAGATTGCATCTTTAAAAATGATGCTATTGCAACTAATTGTAACAGGTGTGACCACAATTGGGGGAATTGCCGACTTAATCAGGAATGAAAATTCCCAACGGGTTGAGTGAATATACCTGCATCTAATCCTTACTGATCAGCATCGATTTCGGTAGCTCTTTGAGTTTTTTAATTGATGGATATAAAATCAGATGCACCGTGTCTTAAAAAAAAGTTGTGACAAAGGCGGTTTGATGCACATGGGATACCTCATAAACGGAATTTTCATTTGACCTGACACTCTTGCATGGGCTGCTGTTGTTGTCTCTGTACGCAGTTATACGGAGCAGGATGACTCACACTTCCTTCGTTCCCTCATCTCCACTCATCATATTTTCCAGCCATGAGATAGACTTTTCGGTCAATTCCTATTAAATTTTGTTGTGTTGTTTATAATCCCATCGTATAAACACTCTATTGTAATACTATGGTTTTGTGTTTAATTAAACCTTAAATATATATGCACAAAGTCAAGTTAAATGGCTCACATATAAGCGAAATAGCACACATATGTATATCGATTTACGTGAGAAGCCGAGCACATGGGATGGACCTCAGGCTCGTTCTCTAATTGGCTTACTTTATCACATCACCTAGATAAAAAAAAAGACAAGTAAGTTTTTGATGGGACCCAAATGGATCTACACAATTGTCAACTTGTACAGAGTCTAGACTTTTTGATGTGTGTGAAATGAGCCAATTCCATATCTCAATGTTGTTAACCACAAACAATCAATACCAAAATAAGCTTTCTCTTTCCCATTTTTTGTGTTTAATGAAGTGCAGCTGTTGCCAAGGTCACAATCAAACAAACTTGTCACTATATAAATCCTCACAGAGTAGTACCCAAAGCCAATTATAGCTAATGCATTTGCTTTAAAATGTCACTCAATTTGGGTTTCTGTTTCTCATCTTCTGAACTTGAGCTGCTTAAAGAGCGTCTTCTTTTTACCGATCTTCCAGTTTTCTCAATACTACTCTTTCTTCTGCCGTCTTCACCACTTGACGATCGACAAAATGATTCCCTTGATGGAGTTCTGGACCTGCTACCAGAATAACTATTAGAACGACTTCTTGAAAAACTCCGACTTCTAGAATAGCTACCTGACCGACCTGACCGACTCCTATTACTAGAATAACTGCCTGAATAACTTGATCCACGACTACTACTACTACCACTACCGGAATCACGACTCCTTCTTCTACCTCTAGTTGATCTCGCTGGTGGTAGATTATTCAACACATGTCGCATCTCTTCCGTCAATACACCCAATCCAATAGCAGTGAAGAAATTGATTGAAAACCGTAAATGTTCCGCATCATCTTCATCGACATCCACAACGGGGAACACACCTTTTAAGCCACGTTTAACAAATGCATCATCAACTAATCGCGCTTTCAATTCATTTACACCAATCTCTTCAACCATTTCTTGGAAAATGAATTTAAGTAGGATTCTCTTGGCGGGGTCGGTGTCTTGTTGTGTAATGCGTACTTCGTCCCAAACTCTATCCAATGGAATTACGTCTGATGCAAACAAATGACCAAAGAATTTACCAATGTTTCGTAATGCATTGGCTTCGAAATTGTCAATTATGGAGTAGTAGTGTTTAAACAAGTTAATGAAATGGGTTTGCCAATGATGATTCTTACCACAAAGGATTTCACCAATGACGCCGAAATACTTTGAATAGGTTTTTTCTTGTGAGCAGCACTTTATAATCATGTCGCATAGAGTTTGTGAGTTTTGTTGCTGTGATTGACTTTGTTGACGACTTAGTTTGAGAAGTTTGTGGACTGCTTCTTCTGATGACATTGATGACATGACGGTTAAATAAACTTGTTTTTGATATTGAAGGAGATCTGATTGCGCCATATCCGAAACAATTTCAACTGGCTTTGCAGTTGTCACTTCTTTTGAACTTGGAACGGTTTCCTCTTCACCTTCATCGCCATCAAGAATCTCTTGTCGTAGTGCATCATACTCCTCCTCGTGTTTGTCATAATCGTTATCAAATTGGTATACATTTAAATAGTCCTTGGAGGTTACTTTACCCTGTAGGTCTATTACATGAGTTTGCTTATCTTCATCATTGATCAAATCCAACGATTTTTCAATCATTGGTATTGATTTAAACTGCAGCTGGCCAAGTCTAAACAAGTACCGCAATGAACTCTGCGCCCTTGAGCCCAACTTTTCTTGGTCGTCTTGTAACAAATCTTTAACTCGATTCAAAATCACCGTTGTAGGTACTTTAAAACTCAAGAGCAAGAATTTACCAGCGACTTTAAAAATATCAACACACAACTCAACGTCACCATCTGTCACTGGTGATTCCAACAATAATTGAATAACCTGAAGCATGGTAATCTCACTAATGACTTGATGCATAGTCAAGTAGCTCAAAAATTGTAAGGAGGTTGTACTTAATTGATAATCGTTGGATATGTATGCCATTTTGAACTGCAAAATCACTCGACTTGATATGAGTTTCCCAATTGAACCAATTTTGGAATTGAGCACATCTATCAATGAAGCATAAGTTGGTGTTTTTTGAGGCAGGTGTAGCTGATGTTGCATAATTGACCGAACTAATAGCCCACGACTTCGTTTAATGTTCGATGTAAAGAGCTCCAACACTGATGATTGGATGTTTGAAGTGGTTAGGCGTTTGATGATCTTGTCAATAGATTGCCTTGTTTCAATCCATTTCTTGCGTTGCACCTCATCAGTGGTATGAGCTTCCTCTGCGTTGCTCATAATTAGAGATTGAGGTTGTTTACATCAAGAAAGACATCATCATTTGTGCGGCTGTTTTTTTCACAACTGAAAAATCACATCTCTCATCTCGAATTCTTTTATTACTATATTGCATTTCCCATGAAGAAGGTTAGACAAAGCGTGGTTAAACGCGTAAGTAGCCTGCTACGGTCTCATATGACAGGTACTCAATCGCCTCCGGTAAAGGTTGATATACGGAAAAAGTTGAACGATATAATGGAGAGTAACGGTGAGATAGTACCATACAATAAACAATCTATGTCAAGAAATCAAAAGCTGGGTAAGGATGATCGGAGTATTGAGAGATCACTTGCTTTGTTAAAACGGGCATATGATTCAGTTACATTTCTTGATAAAGATGGCAAACCATTTAGTGTGGATAAGCTACGACTTCGGGATTTGAAATTTAGCAATAAACAGTCAAGAGTTATATTTGATAATGTGATGAGGATAAAAGAAATGACCAAGAAGCAGATCAATCGAGGTTTGGCATTGGCATTGCTAGGAACCAATCAAAAACAGTTGGATGACCCTTATTTTGTCACAAAGAATGTTGTTGACCTACTAGCATTTGATCAAGATGCCAAACGTGCCAACTACTTGTGTCGCATAACTCCTAAGAATGCAACAGTAGCAATGAACACCATCATGGAGTGGCATTTTGACAAAAAGGACCAAAAAAATGGCATCAAATCATTCAATGAACGACGAAACTATGGTGTCCCATGTGATTCGTATACCTATCTCAAACTTTTCGATGGAGTGGCCAAGAGTAGCGAATGGGGTAAAGTCAGTGACGAAATGTGTGATCGAATGATTGAAACATTTAAGACTTCGCGAGTCAAATTTCAAGATGATGATAAAATGACAACTTCAATCTTTAATGCATGTTTGAGTATATTGGTGAAGAATTTTGCCTATAGACAAGTTAAAGCATGGCTGTTTTTTGACGAATTGATTGAAAACAAGGAGATGGATATCAAAGGAATCAATCCTGATGCTCAGACTTTTACCATTCTTTTACAAGGACTCCGCAAGTACTCGGATCACGAGAAACAGAAAGTTTTAGCTGACACAAAGGTTTCATCTCATGAACGTATAGTAAAGTTGTTGGACTTGGAAGCTGGTCACATCAAGACTGCTGATGTCATCTTTGATAAGGTAAAGAGCGTTGCCGCTCCACCATTGCCAACATCGAATCCAGAACAAGATAGGAAGAATGTTGCAAAATGGAGAAAGAATAAACTTGATATTGATTTCCCAGTAATTACTACTTATGTTGGTAGTTTCTGTAATCGTGATTCTGGCACTGGGCTTGATTTAAAAAGTGGATCGCACTACTTGTACAATGAAAGAGCATTGGAAATTCTTCGTGGTGTTTCAACAGAAGTCGAAGCTATGTTGAGCTTTTTGGAGCGAAATGAAGGTAAACCTAATGAGCCTATAACTAGCTCATCTAAAGTTAAAGAGTATACCGATTTGAGGGTCAAACTGGCTGTCAATGGGGCAAAAAATGCTCAATTGTCGTACGTTTCACAAATTGATGAATTAATCCCCGCCAATGTTGTCAAGCAGCTCAGTCTGCCAATTAACCCTCAGGTTTATATCCCACTTCGTGACAAGGTCAAATCTGAGCCTGAACCTTTGATTGACTTCAAACGCAATTGGCCAATTGTGGGAAAGGCATCCACTAGAGGCCAAAAAAAAGCCAAGCAGGATCGATATTCAATAAATGCATACATCTTGAATCAAGTATTCGACAGTCTCATAAACATGGGTAGATTTAAGTTGTTCGTTCAAGCATTTTGGTATTCGATGATTCGATGGGGTGGTGTGAGATTATACACTGCTGATTTGAAGAAACACAATGTTTTGGACAGTTTCTTGTGTAAATTGCAAATCCATAAACATCAAGATGCAAGAATTGCCTCCATCATTGATGATGTGATGTTTAGTTCACTTATTTACAAAGTTGCTGAACATGGACGACAACACGGTTCAACGAGAACCAATATTATTTTGGAAATGTTTACGGCATTGACTATACCCAAGTATCGTGTGGGTGGTATTGGAGTTAATCAAAATCATATCGATCATATTTGTTCAACATTGATCAAGGATTTGCATTATTATAATGACTCAATCAAAAAGAAACAATACAGTTCCAAACCTCATCTCACGAAAGAGCAATTGCTTGAATTTCTTGACAACATGAATGTATTCAGTCAAGTTCATGCTACGTATATGGACCAATGCAAGCTTGGTGTTGCATCAAATGCATTTTACCTGTTTATGGACAAAGTGAGCAAAACCTTGTATTCCGCCAGATGGATTGATGTTGAACGTGATGAAGAGAAGTTGCATATGTACAAGATGTTGATTCGGGCAAATATTAAATACTACAGACCCAAGTTTATGGTGAAAAAGACTGATCCAAAGACATATTGTGTCTCCGTAGAGGCAGCTATAAAAGAGGCGATTGAATTGATGAACGGTATCGATGGGTTGAGTGACCAAGACAAGAAATTACGTACTGCGTTGAAGAAATTGTTGAATTTGAAAGTGAATGAATTGGAAAAAGTACAATACGAAGCATTTCTTAATGAGATTTACCAATTGATTTATATTAGTGGAAGAAGCAAAAGGACGGAGAAACTGTCTCGCCTAGAAGCACATGACAATGATAAGCCATCAGCAACGCCAGATGCTGCAAGTAAATCAGCGCCCATTGCTCCAGATCTGGTCCAAATCTGAGGTAACCCGGCTACCTTCTGTAGCGAATTACACAAAACAGAAAAAGAAGAAAAAGAAAAACTATTGCGCCATGAGTGAATACTGGATAACTCCACCCTCTTTGTATATAGAGTGCAGCACCACCACACACGGATATACCCAATGCCTAGTCCAGTTATCTTTATAGATAATCCAATTGAAAAAGATTACTCTCCGCTCATTGAGAAAGTGTTGACGATAGTAAATGGTGTCGATCGATTAGATATCGTGATACGACAAGAGATTACCAATGTCACCCACTTGAATGAAATCCTTTATTACTATTACAACTTGGTTAGAACTGCAATTGATGGATTGCCCTTGTTTGACTATACCTTTTCAATAAACATTATATTCAACATCTCCCATTCAAAGTTGCTCAAATTATCGTCGAATTGGAATCACGCCTTTATTGCCCAACAAGAACAGACGATATTCAAGAATATCCCTCTTGTACACTCTCCTATCGATATTGAACTTACTGCTTCAAACTATCCATCTGAGTGCAAAAAGCGCATGAAACAGTTTCACACAACAGCTGTGGGTGGCACATTTGATCATTTACATGATGGCCACAAGATTCTTTTATCAATGGCTTACTTCCTCACTTCCAAACGATTGATTATTGGAATCACCGGTCTGGAATTACTCAAGAATAAGAAATTCAGTGAAGTTCTTGAACCATTTCATCAACGACAGAATTCTGTTGTCCAGTTTCTCGATTTAATTATGGATGAAATTGTTCATTATGAGATTTATCAAATTAACGACATTTGTGGTCCTACGGGGTACATTGAAGCCATTGATGGGTTAGTAATTAGTCATGAAACGTTATCAGGTGGTGAATTTGTCAATAATTATCGACGCGAGCATGGATTCAAAGAGTTGGATTTAACGGCCATTAAAGTTATTGGTGATGCTGAATCAAATGCTGAAAACAAATGGAAGGGTAAAATCAGCTCAACTGATATTCGACAAAGAGAATTGGAAAGACGTGAGAAGCGTAGTCAGAACTGAACCTAGATATTTTTTTTATGTAGAGAATATGAAAATTCAAATCGTATTTAGTGAAAAAAAAAAGGTGGGGGAAACACTCGCCACTTATGTATCTTCCAATTATCTTATGGATATACCCTTTTCGTATGGGTTTTGACGTTTAGGGTTACGGTCAATATGATCGAGGGCCAAATTGGCTCTCCCATTGCTAACTTTGTCAAACAATATCAAATCGGGGTCAGTTTCATCAATGTACAGTCCCTTGTCATTAGCATCTGCCAATGCAAATTTAATCTTGTCAAATGCTTGTTGGCCCAATCCCAATTTTCTCCTCAATCTCTTTTTCGTATTGCTCCACAATTCATCGGGGAAAAGAATAACGAAAAACGGTATACCGTGATAATTGGTGCTTTGCTTGTGGAAATGGAACGCTGGAATGAGATTGAGGTTTTTTGAGGCATCGCGAGCTTTGACAAATTCATCTCTAATAACTTCATCGGTGATCTCGTTGGGGTCTATGATTTCCTCTGTGCTTCTCTTGATGATATCATGGTCAGATAACACTTGAACTTCAGCAGGGAATATTCCACAATATATATCATCTTCCTCATGGAGTTGTTGTACAGGGGTTTCAAATCGAAGAATTTCTGAAAACTTGTGATTTGTTCCCGACCAACATAAAAGATGTTTCAAGTCCTTGTCAGGGACATCAACCTTGTGCAACAACTTATTGATGAGGTCTTGCAAAGTTCCACGCTTGGGCACCAATAATTCAAACTCCTGGTATTGCAACAAGTTGTTGAGCCAAAACACCTTAAACAGTTTTAAATTTTCATACTCCTTCATCTTTATATTCAATACCTCATATTCGATATCAAATATTTGACTAACTGTAACATTTCTGGGGAAAACCTGCGACATAAGGTGACTGGTTTTCAAAGGGTAGCGTGCTCCTTGATTACCGATAACAAATAATTTCAAGTATTCGGGATCACATTTGATGATTCCAGCAATTGCCTCGGCTAAATCTTGGTAGCTATAGCTTGTAGAGACCCACAATTCAAAGCTTTTGCTCAATTTCTTAACCTCTTCAATTTCCCTCATTGTCGTTTCGTCATTGTACTGTCCATTCAAATCCTTTCGTTCTTTATTTGCATTCAACTCACCATTCTCATTGTCTTGTCCTTCTTCCTCAATGTAATCAGAATCCTCGTCAGACTCATTTGCATTGAATGGCTTTACCCTAACGTGAACACGCGTAGCAAGAAACTTGTAATAATCTCTCACGTGCTTGAACCGTTTGTCACTTGCTAAATCACCAACATTCGTGACTTGGGCAACAATAATATCACCGGTACTCAACTCTTGCTGTTCAAAAACGCTTCCAATGTCGAGTTTTTCGCATCTGTGCGGACTCAATTCTTCAAACAATTCAAAATTGACATCCTCTTTGAATCCGAGCAAATTTCTGATGGGTTCGATGATTGACTTGATGGTGTCACTAGTGGAAACTGTGATGTGCGACAAAGTTCTCACTTCTTGCGAAACCGGATCGAAGTATTTGATAAATAGCGTAATATAGCCGGAATGTTTCTCCGTAAAGGGAAATTTCATATCCTTTGTAACTTCATGACCAACTGATTTGATCTTTGCAAAAGTTTCATCAAATTTAAAATGGGCTGGATCAATCCTTTTTTCGACGTCTGTTAGCTTGTTGATATTGTTGATATCCTTGTTAAGTTCCTCCACGTAAAACACCATTTCATCATACTTTCTATTGAAAACTTTGGTGTAGAAATTGGCAACTGTTAAATCCTTCAACTTTTCATCCACAAGTTCATCTAGTCTATTGGTGTGATTGTTCCTATGACACACAACACCTAGCCTGAATAAACTTTTGTCTTCATAGCCCAACAGCTCGCCGATTTTTTCAACTAGGTCCGAAAATGAACTATCCTTACGAATCCTAAACTGTTGAGGGTCAGATTCAGTGCCAGCAAGACTTTCATCATAATATGCTTCAACAGTGGGATCCAAAGTTAAATCGAATCCTGTGTGATTATGCATTGTGTCGATTGTGATAGCTTTAGCATTGGTGTAATACAATGCCTCTTGTCTTTCTTTCTCTAATCTCAATCTTTCCTCCCACTCCCTCTGAATTTGGTTGGCAATATCTGGAGATATAACAGCATTTATCGCTTGTTCATCTGCAGGCAAGATATTCTCCAACTCTGATTCACGATAATACACCAACATATATGCCGATGTGACTCTCCTTATAAGATGCTCCTGCTGTTCCAATCTTGACATGGTAGCCAATTGTTCTCTCGTTAATTCAGGAGCGCCAAAGTTTTCCTTAAATACTTGCGATTTGGATACTTTCCATACTTTATCATCATCAAATCTCAACCACATATCATCATTGGCGTTTGGTTTTATCATTGCGTAGTAGTGACCATTGGAGATTGTTCCCTGATGAACTAATACCCCATGTAACTTGTAATTCCAGTTCTGGTTTTTGATATCTGCTGATAGATCTTCGTCTAAGTACGGTTTCAAATCAATCTTGTCTGGAAACTCGTAAAAGTCATCAATTTTAACCAAATCATCAACCATAAAGTCGTACTCGAATCTTTTCAATTGCAAGTGTAAAACCTGAGGAAATGATTCAAAGACAACCCCCTTCTTAGCATCTTGATAGCCATATTCATCCCCAGCCTGGTACTTGTTTTCTCCGTCCAACATTTCTATCTCAATGTAGTTTTTAAATGATTGTTCCAAGTTTTGACACCCTTTCACATTCAATTGGATATCCCAAAAGTCTTCCACTCGAGATGACTCGTAGGGAACGCTGACACATTTGATGTATGACTTCATTTTTCCAACAAATATATCATTTAACCCATTTTCTATCTCGGTACCTTTCATGGCCGTTTCCAACTTGTCCATTAAAATACGATTCAATTCTTGTACGTCGTGCTGTGTGAATGCATCAGAAGAATCCCAACCAAAGGACTTTGTCAAATCCAGAGTAGCAACTGGGTCGCTTGATTTGGACAATTGGTAAAATATACGTTGCAACGCGTAAGCAACCGCAGCATTCTTTTTCAAATTGGTGGGTATTTGGTAAACGAGTTTTCTAAAAATTTTTGTTGTGAAATAACTCTGTAAAAGAGAGTTGAGATAGCAAGTGGCCCCTTGATTAGTCAACCCAACATACCCGGCATTTACTTTGGAGTCATAGTTCGTTAATGAGTTCCACAAAGTTCCAGTTGATGTATCGTCTATAACTCTAACAAAAGCAGTGATGTTCATTTGATTATTTTCCAATATTGGGTAATCTGATGCTTGGCTTTTGACATTTTTATTTGACATTAAAGACCTCAATTCGATCAATGAGCTAAATCCCCAGTCTGTGTCATTCTTGCTAAACCTATGAGAGCTTTGGTTTGGAAAATGAGCATCCGGATGATCAGGGTTCCAAAAGTCAAGTCCGAATTGGGCACACACATACCAGTTTTCATCCAACGGTTTACCGGTAACCTCATCTATAGGTGGGTGTGGTTCAATATAAATAGAAACAACATTGTGATTTCCATTACCCCTAGGAAAAAGTAAAATGTTCCATTCAAATTTGCCACACTTGAATGTAGGGGATCTAACTTTGTCCTGCTTCAATAGCAGGGCCCAGTCTTTGATCTCCCACACATAATGCGTCGATTCTTCGACCGGATAATCCTCAATTGGTTTCATCAACTTTGCTGCAAGTGCATCAAAGTCATTTGCAAGTGGGTACGTCTTTGGTTGCCCGATTTGCTGCTGGCCTCTCACATTTGGCTTTATGCTGCTCACCCGACCATGGTTATCTAAGTTGGCACTGTCATTATCTGTTACTTCAACAACATCACCATCCCCATCAACTATTTGGACCTCGTTACCCAACTCTCCAATAGCATCCAGTTCAGCAATCACTTCATCGACTTCGTGGTCGTTGTCGTCATCATCATCATCCTCCTCATCCTCCTCCTCATCATCATCGTCCTCTTCTTCTGCCACGTTTATGTCAACTATCTCAGGACTTGACATCATCTCAAGATCATTGACGTCATCGTCCTCAAGCCCCGGTTTTTGAAGTCTTGTGCTGGGTTGTACTTGATCAGATAAATCATTTATACCATTGGTTGAAATTGAGTCATTTGAGTTAGGTCTGTCTTCTTTGAATGCCCTTTTCTTGGTGTTCGTGTCTTGATTCAATGCCATCGTGGGGATAAAAGTATTATGTTTTGCCCTCCGACTTAAAATTTGCTATGCAAGTAGAAACCGATGCGGATTAAATCCTTTATGCGGATTAAACGTCTGGAAACTATCAATTACCTTTTTGGATTCTTTAAAGACTTGATATCGATGTCCAATTGGATAATTTGTTGTAAGTAGTATTGAATAAAAAGGTGTGGGATTTGGTACCTTTAAAGAATGTGTGATCTCCCTCTTATTGTTGTTTTTTTTTTTTTTTTTAATTTTAAACTTATTTATTTTGCTTCATTGATTTCACGTGTATACAATAGGAGCTAGTTACACATTTAACTGATCTTTGAGAAGGGAGGTCGTGTGGCTCTACACCCCCAGAGGCTGTGAAGCTCCACGTTGACGTCACGACGGGCTGTCTTCTATAATTGGGTGGCAAGTTCGTTGATATAGTAAGGACCCCTTGCACTGTCGGTTTTGAGACATTATACACTACCTTTTTAATAATTGCTATCAGTTTGAAGACTATGGTCAAACAACCAAGTAAAATAACTACCACTACAGCTAGGCTGTTGAATAACCAAAAGTAGGGGCCCATAGCTTTGTTTCAACGCCGATTCTTTGTTTGTGACGCGGTCAAATTGAAGATACTATTTCAAATTTCGGCTATAATTGTTTATCAACCATAATTTTGGTACATGATCCCACGACTCTATAAATGACACAAAACCCCTTTTTTCTATCATGCTGAGGTGGAGGTTGTTTATCTGGAGCACGATAAGGCATGTATTGCCTCAAGAACACATAAAGAGGTAAAGAAATTGTATCTACGGCCCGAATAGCACATTGTTGAAGCTTACGGACAATGAAAGCCTACAATTGAAGTACTACTCGCATGCGCCACAGTTTCAGAAAACGCGACATTGACGAATTTGACAATCACGTAGAGAAAGATTTTGCAATTAGGTACATTCGTTAACAATCCAGCATAATGTTCGTCATTGTCGTCCGGAATACTTAAGGCATTATTCGATCTGTTAGTACACGGCCTATCCCGAGCTCACTCGATTTACTTGGTAAAAAATTTGCGCCGCAGATCCTTGATTCAAAACAGATCTTTTGGGGTCCAGCTTATTGTTGTTACAGTAGTTATTCGCATTAAAGCTATACCCATTGGGCTGACCAGTAAGCTGTGTGTAACGATTAGCTAATGTTTCAACAGTGTAAAAATCAACATAGACCCCCTCGCTTAACTGATCGTAATCATGCACAATCCTGGCTTGATCTATCAACTTCTGAGTATATTGTAATTGGCCCCCGATCTGAATTAAATCAGCAATACCGGCAAATAACAAATGGTTATATTTTAATCCGTTATTCCAACCACCACCGTTATTCATAAGCGCATTCGACGTGTCTGTTGCAAAAACTGCCGTCGCTTTCAGATTGGCAATACTTAAATAAGTGGCATTGTTGGTAAACTTGTACAAATATATGTAGGAAGAAATTGCTGTACCCACTGTATACGACAATTTTCCTCTATCAATATCGCCATTGTTTTTATTTATGCCATCGAAATAAAATCCATCCAGTGAATCTTTGAGTTTCTCTTCCATCCAGGAAAGGCATTGTTCAGCAAAATCAAGCAAACTTTTATCTTGAGTGTATTTGTACAACCTAACAGCGGCCAATGCAGCTTCAGTAGTGGATATTGATGCAACGTATGGGTCTCCTGTCTTCCATGTAATTCCCCCTATATCGGACCATTGTCCTTGTATTAGCTTCACCAATTGTTTGGCAGTTGCCAAATGCTTTTCATCTTTGGTCAAGTCATACGCCGTTAACAAAGCCCAAACAATTTGCGCATTATCATCGGTAAAAGCGTCTGTTTGGTTTGGAAGTGCAGTAAACCACCCATTGGAGCTTTGATACGAGTACAACTGGGTTAATACCTTTTGAGATGCTGTGTTATTCCCTGACTCGATTATTGCCTTCGCGACAACCGCCACATCCCAGACTGCAGGTAAGCTAAAATTCTTTGAGCAAGAGGGATCATTTAAATTGAATGCTCCGAGTTGTTCATTCCAAAATAATTTCCATGTTGAAGTAAGTACAGACGTGTAAGCCTCATTAGCGCTGAATGACTCAATACGCTTCTCTAATGGGAGACAAAATGCCGTGCTCAAAGCCACAAGTAGAAGTAACAAGTTCATTTACTTTAAACGTTAGTGAAGCATATGAAAAAATTGGTTATAAATGATCCAGAAGCAAATAGGAGTATTTAAATGAGTTGGGGTTGATTTATCGAGCTTTATGCCACTGTTGCTATAACATCTGACACCAAACTACTCCTACTGACTTGTGTAACAATGTTTGGGTCTGTAGGAAACAACTCGAGATTTTAATTGAACCGAAAACCTCTTTGAGGAGATAACACTAACATCATTTCAGGTCGACACAAGTAGCTTCAGCGTCAAAGCAACTCGAAAGGAGCGATCGAGTAATCTGGATCTCTTTGTGCAAGATTCACATGTGCAAACTTATGCGTGGAAACAATGCAGGGTCTTTGTTTTGGAAAGTTTTTGGAAAGTGGAAACACTGACGCCCCAAAAACAAAGTAAGATCAGAATCAAAACGCACTTTTGAAAAACAAATAAAACCGTGCAGCATTGCTATGTATGGGAAATCGATCAATGAGGCAGTTACAAAGGAGGTTTTAGGCAAGACAATAAATGGATTTTTATCAAAGTGCACTCCCCATAAGTTGTTTCTGGAAAATTCATTATCCTGTAGTATTATTTATTCCACTTGCTTTGGATTCGAAACAATATCAGGCGTCCTTTGCCAATGATGAGACATGCCTGTCGTGCGCAATATGCTCTATGATAGCTGCTTCCTTATTAGTACCTTGATTTGTTTTGTGTCATAAATTTCAAAGATCTTCCAACAACCTTTTGGTTTGTACTCTTCGTGTTGAACTAATCTGCGAACCAGCGAATAAGCATTCCCCCGTAAACCAATCGCGTCATCTTTTTTCACTTACTTGTTATTGTTTTGAATTTCTTGTTTGATTCATTAGATTATACATGGTGAATTATATAATATAATAAATATGCATTAGAGTTGACCACGTCTTTCTGTTCAGCAATGGAAACAACACTGTCATCAAATTTGAGCCATTGGTTTTGAGGGGTTTTGGTATATACAACATAATGACCAGTGTTTACCGAACCGATATGACAGATGACTGAAAATAGCTCATACACTAAGTCCTTTGTTGAGTTTGGATCGACACAATAAGGAGCAATGTTCAAATAAAGTGGTACTTTAACTGGTGTTTCCACCTTCGATGACGTATCATTCATTATGTTGTGGTTGAATCTTTTCAACTGAATTGACAACACTGGAGGAATGCTCTTCAATTTCAAAGTTTTTGTAGCTCGCGATTGCGTGGAACATTGTTTGCAGGATATCATGGCATCTAGTTTTTCTTCCTGTGTGAACAAATCCAAACAGTCGTATAGGTCGACATTTTGTTGCTTTTTCAAGTGGTTAATTTCCAAAGATAAGTCAATCATGGGATCAACTGTTTCGGTGACTGCTTCGCATGATTTGCACTTGACGCAGCTTTGTAGTTCAAATGAAAATGTTGAATGAGTGATACATGTACATGTCTCCTCTTTGGGTACGTCGCCCAATTGTGTTCGGATTCTGTGGTGATCCTGATGAAATTCATTCAATACAAATTGCCAAAACTCATGAGCATCTTGCTCTTGAAAGCCAGCCAATGATTTTTGCTTGTACCAAGCAGTAGTAAGTAAATTCGTGATACCCAAACCTTCGTTAGTTTTCAGTGAAAAGACCTCTTTGAAAATCAAATCAATGCTGCAAGTGATGCAAGCATTTTGCTCTCCAATGTTACCATTAACATTCTGATCATGAAGATAATTGCAATTAAAGTAGTGTAGATCGTTGTTAAAGAATTGGCTTTTGATGATTGGGTTATGCACAAAAGTTTGCAATGTTGAGCTCATGAAGCAAGTAGCACCTAAATTGACAAATCCTTTAAGTCCCTTGGCAGCAAGTTTGTTCGGGCTTGTGTAGTTAGCAATGTTACCTTCTTCATCGTCAGTAACAATGTCAGCAATGTGCATTACTTCCAATCTCAACTTCTCTAGCTCAGGGTGATTGATATACTCATTGCATTTAAAACAATACAACAAACTTAAATTCAGGTCAATGGCAAACATATGCAAAGTTCCTTTGTAGTGCAACTGTGAGTGTTCTTGACACCCAACATGAGGGCATTGTAGACATATCATAACTTGACAAAAATCGGAAACCTCACAATCGGTACATCTTAGTCCCGATAACATTTTGCCTAGAATTTGATCATGACTAATCACAGTGCCATCCTTTTTGGACTTGTATAGAAATGTTTCATCTATGGGCTGAGATACCATGACTGCCTGTCGATATGTATCAAAAACTGTGTCTTTGGCCCGCGAATCCAACACTTGGTCCAAATGTATGCACGATTTTATCGACTCAAAATTATCTGGTTGAAAATGGGGAAGCTGACTAGATATATAACCACCCTCCTTAAAACCATTGGATAGACTAAGGGAATCATTCAGGAACTCCTTTTTTATATGTTCGCCATCGGGAAGGTCAGTGGGTTGAGGTGCAGGAGTTGTATTTCGTGATGACATTATTGGTTTTATGAAATGCAAAAATGGAATTAAACTGGGATCGAAAATGGAAAAAAAGAATAAAAGTAAAAATTGGTAATTATGCAAGGAGACGGGTTGTGGTTAGGTAGTGGTGACCCAAGATGTGATGCCAAAAATGAAGTGAGGGTGCCGTGCTGCGATAAGGGTGTCGAAAATTTGGTTGAAATATTTTTGATGGTACCTTAATTACGACTCACTAAGAACTATCTCGACTTTGATCTGGATTTCTTTTTTTGGCCACTTTTTTTTTCTTTGCCCTTTGCAACACAGAGACACACCCCACGCTTATGAGACAATTTTTTTGGTCTTCTAGGGTAGTGTGACACTAGGCAGAGATTGTATGAAACCTGATTTCATCATTATTTTTCACTCTTAACTTCTGAAATACGGTATTGAGTAATAGCGTTTATTTGAAAAGGAGGCAGCTTAATCAAACTACAATTTCGCAACCGATTCTACAACCGATGCTACAACCGATGCTACTACCGATGCTACTACCACAACCAATTTATCAAAGCAGATTCCCTAAATAATTAGCAAATATTTTCACTTCTTGAACAAAATTACCGACAAGATATTAGCAGGAATTTTTGGCATCGCTTCAAACATATTATTAGCAAAGTTGATTTCAGATAGCTCGATTCCATCACCAGACACCAAATCGAAGTCAAACGATTTGAAGTAATTGCTACTCAAGTCCAAAAATTTTAAATCTGAAGGTGCCGCACTAAATGACATGGAAAAGTTTTGTGCCTGTAGCTGATTATCAATCAAGCTGCAAGTCATAAGCCTCGATGGAAGTGCTAAATCGAATTTGTTAATTTTGCATCTATTCAATTCCAAGTGACGTAATTTTGATGGAATTTGAAACGTATCTGACGAAATCTCTTTGAAATCATTTTCATTAGCAATTAAAATTTGCAACTCATCGGGAAGGTTGAGATCTGCAATTTGTGTGAGTTCATTTTCACTGACTTCCAACCACTCCAACTTTGTTAAAATGAATAAGCCCACTTCGGTTATCACATTCTTCGTTGCATTTATCGAAGTTGTCGATAACGGAAAATCTTCTGCTTTCAACTTTGAAAGGTTATTGTTCGACACATCAATATCGCGTAGTTCTGCAAAATTTTTCAAATCAACCTTTGCCAACTTATTCCTTGAAAGATTGATGATTTTCAAACTTCTATTCATCTCTTTACTATCAAATTCAGTAAGTTCACAATCCTTCATGCTCAATTGTACTAGTTGTGGAGGAAATTTGAATTGCTGCAATTTGAACTCCTTGCATCCGTCGAGAACTAGCTTTGTTAACCCATGTCCAATAATAGAAACAACATTCGTATGTGAAAGGTTGAGATAGTTGGTATGCGCATCCAACACAACACTTTCAATTTTTAGATTATTAGTCAAAATAACATCTTGTGCTGGGATGTCCTGTAAGCCGATTTCACCTGATAAATCATTTGATGCTATTCGAAGTGCTTTTAATTTAAGTTTGGGCAAAATCGAATCAAGTTCATTCGCTTCCAAGTTGACAACCTCCAACAGTGGAGGAAATGCGGTGTTTTTAATCACCTTCAACGGAACAGAAATCAATCTAAGGACCTTCAAAGTATGTGGGAATGAAAACTTGTTCACTTCGATGGAGCATTTGGTAACTTCCAATTTGAGTAAAGACTTGCAACTCTCTATCTTCTCATGCAAATCTTTCACTTCACAGTTCTCAACCTTGAATCTTTGCAAGCGATTCAAAATACACGTCTTTGAACTCCATTTTCCATTAAGCACACTCAAAATTCTTAGGGTATCGGGAAAACTCGAAACTTGAGAGCTTATACAACAATCCACCAACTCCAACTTTCGAAGCAAAACAGGAAATGTGAGAGCTTTCGTTTGAGCGAAAGTCAAATCCAGCAAGCTCAATGTGGATAAATGTGTAAACTTTTTGAAATCACAATTGGCCATGACCGAAGAGCTTAATCTCAATCTTTCCAATTCTAAAAAGCCCTTAGGGTATTTGCCAGAGACAGTGTGGAGAGGCGCATCACCGCTAATGCTCAAGTGTTTGAGACATTTGTTGAGATTGAATTTGCTAAAGTTCAATCTATCAACGTTATGCAATCCTATTTCTCGAATAGTTGGTGGTAAAAGGGCAAAATCAGCTAAGCTTAACCCATTGACGATGACCAATTTTTCCAACGCCGGTGGTAACTTGATGGATGTGTCGTTAGTTGCCTCTCCGAAGACATATCCATTCCCATATTGATGCATTCCAGCGAACAATCCTAAGGATTTGATTTTCAGGTAGAGCACGTCATTCTCGACAAGCAAGTTAAACAAAATCTTGATTTGGTCCACGTATGATGCCAGAATTCTCAAATAGACTGAATCAATGAGCAGTTTCAATCTCGATTCGTCATTTTTAAAGTACTTCATCAACTGAAGCAAAATATTGCAGCCACGATTATTCAAAATCAAATCAATATACAAGTCTCTCTTCTTCAAAGCATTCTTCAAGTAAGCATCCAATACTTTACTAGGATTTATAATTCTTGTGTTGATGTATATATTGTGCTCTCCTTTCAAGTCAAGAATTTTTTCATCATCAAACCGTAATGCCTTCGCTAACTCAATTTCTCTCTTGAAGTTATTCATACCAAAGAATTGTTCATATTCATTGCTTACCCAAAGGCTTATTTGAACTTTTTGGGGCTCATCACCAATTGGGCTAGGGGCTAGTAAAGGTGAATAACAATGTGGAGCTGTGTTGCTGGATAATTTGAATTGTCTCACATTGGTTTGCATACTCAAGGTTTTGCTGACTGGGTTGAATCTGCTGTCCTCCAATCCATTAACTGAATTGAAAGACCTTTCCTGTTTGCTTTTGAAAGACGGGACATCTCTGAAATGAGTGGTGTAACATTTATAAGGTGGTGGTGAATTTGGTAAATTCAGAGGCAAAGACGTCTCGAGATTTATGAAAGCAGGCTCCTCCTTTCTTGTGTCGGGGGAGTTGGCTTTTTTGTTATTCTCCGTATCCTTCATACTTCCCTTGGCACTAGTTATAGTCACACCCTCAGTATGCGCGTGAAAGACCGTTCTCTCACACCCACTGCTTTTCACATTCACTGCAACTTTTTCCGTTTCGTTATCACCTAGTTCATGTTCTAAACTGATGGAAGTCAATCTTGCTGATATATCTTCCCCACTTCTTAAATTGAATGATTTTGAGCTGGATTTTGGAGATACGTGGCTCGCTGCAGTTCCCGTATCTGTTACCATATCGATATGCCCTTTGACAATAGAAGTTATCATCTTTGAGAAAATCTGTCAATTGTTTTCCTTGACGTGTGTGTAAAAAAGTGTTGCAAAAAAAATGTATGTATTTCTTTCTAATCTTATAAAGAGCAATGTCGTAAACAAACTTGTGTCGCAGAATTTCAATCATAAAAGTCATCGTCATCGTCATCAGCATCGATGTCACCCTTACTTCTTACTGATTTCTTTGCAAAACGCAACTTCCTCTCTTGCTGGGACTCCTCATCTTCATCATTGACCACAAGCCTCTTATCACTATCATTTAAAACATGTAGGTCTACCAAAACCTTTTCTATATCTTTCAAGGTCGTGGCATTCCCTCCCAATTGTGTTAATGTTACGTACTGTTTCAACACGTTTCCATCTCTGTATATTATAAGGGTAGGACAATTAGATTCCGGATAATTTTCAATGCACCTTTGCGCTGGTATATCGCAAATTTTCAATTCGGGGAACTTTCTTGCCAATTCAGATAGCAATGATCCCAATAGTCTGCTTTGTAAACTTGATTGTAAAGATAAATGAACTAACACGGTGGTTCCTTTCGATGCTTTCGTGATTTCATCTTCATATTCGTTCTTATTGATGGGCAATACCAGACCATACCTCTTTTTCTCTGATAGTTTCTTTATCTCATTCATGCGCTTTTGCTTGTAAAAATTGAGAAACTCTTCATCCTCTTCGTCTTCAAGTGCGGCTAGTTCATCCAAGTCTTTGTTCTCGAGTCTGTTTTCGTGTTGTTTTCTTACAGCTTCTTCTAATGCCTCCTCCAATTGGGCAGATGGCGAAGGTGGTTTTTCGGGGATAATTCCATGATCGCGGAGAATATCATTCCATTCGGTATCTTCATCTGGGTTGACCTCCACCGGAACCTTTGTATTATTATTCATTGTTGTATGGTTGGAGCCAAGATGGGTATAGATTCGGTTCGAAGAGAAGAGAAAAAAAATAACTTGCGCATTGTTGATCCGCGCCAATTCGTCCAACTCCGAAGTTTGTCGAGATGAGACGACAACCCACAACAGTTCCAGAGAAAAGCTTATGGGTAGGATCTGCAAGACCCATACACGATCAACTAAAACCTTGAATTCTTTTATTATATAAACATTATATACAGTGAGCAAAAAAAAGTAGATCGAAAATTAGTGGCAAGCGACTTAACGTCTTCTTCGATGCAACAAATTATAAAATCTTTAAACATTCTATCAATAAATGTGGATTGGTTGTGGTGGGGGTCAATAAATACATTTGAAAAGTCTGTGGATAAACCAATCTCTAATTTCAAAAGGTAAAGAATAAGAGCAACTTGATAGTTTGGAAAGTGGCAATTTACTTACCAAGCGCTTATTCGGAAGTTGCTTTGTGCAAGTAGGTAACCAAATCGTTTCTGTCCTTTGGTTTCTTCAAACCACCGAAAGCCATCTTAGTACCTGGAATGTATTTCTTTGGGTTTTCCAAGTAATCAGACATGGTTTGTTCAGACCAAACAACACCCTTCTTCTTGTTAGCGTCAGTATAACTGAAACCTTCAGCTTGACCTGATTTTCTACCAAAAACACCATGCAAGTTTGGTCCAACCTTGTTTGGACCACCTTTTTCAACAGTGTGACATTGTAAACATCTGGTTTTGAATAAAGTAGCACCTTTCTTTTCAGAACCTTTTTCGTATGGAGCTGGCATTTTTAGATTATGATAAGAATTTGATATAAAGAATAACTGTCTTTTGAATAAATTCAAGAAACGGAGTGTGAAAAAGCGTTCGAAAATTCTTTTCAGAGCCAAAATGTTTGCTTTTATAGAGATTTTCAAGAATAAGAGATTTGTGTTTTTTGTTTGTCTGTGAGTGACTTTACAAGTTGTTCTATTTCAAACTGCAAAATTTTTATTGGCTGAAAAAAAAAAGAAAAAAAAAAAATATCATGGAACAATATAGAGAATATAATACCATATGCACAATGTATTAAAAACTTGGAAAAATACAACATTGAAACCAAAGACCACCTAGAACATAACTGAATCTTAAGCTTTCGCACATTTATTTGGGTCATTGTGGCATCTGGCCAAATGAACCCAACTGGTCTATATCAGTAAAATAATTCAGTAAGACCTTAAACAGTGTAAACTACATCCACAGAGGTCTTCCCAGAACTTTAGTTCCCTCCATCGGTTTAAGCCATTGTAGCATTGAGACGACCGCAACTATGCTTGTGACTCAACGGCTGGCCCAAAAGAAAGTCGCGTCATGTTGCTCTAAGTTATGTAATGATGAGCCTTTGAACCGGCAGCAATTACGTTTACCGTTTGGTGCTTATTTCCGATTTCATCCGTTTGTATTTGACAGCACAGGAAAAACGTAACTGTGCACTGCCAAAAAATAAAAAGTAAAAATATGATTCAGAAAGGACATGACTCCAATATTCATTTGGTGGTTTTGTGAAATAAAAAGTTTTCAAAAATCCGATACTTGCGAAATATGAAAAATGGAGATTAAAGCTTATATATATATATTTAAACCCACGAGCTTTCATCATTGTAGAACCAGTTCTATTCGTAACCATTTACTTTTAATACACAATCAACTAAAAATCGTATTCATTGATGTTGGCTTTATCACACATTGACTTAAAAACTCCTCCTTCATTATACAATTTCCATGGATCACCCTTTTCCACAATTGAACCTTTATCCATAACAAGCACCCTATCATAATTCAAAATCGTTTTAAGTCTGTGGGCAATACACAATACTGTACAATGTCTAAACTCAGAACTTATAGTGTTTTGGATTCTTGAATCAGTCGCAAAATCAACTGAACTTGTTGCTTCGTCAAGAATGAGAATCTTGGTGTCACGTACCAAAGCACGAGCTAGTGCAATCAACTGCTTCTCACCGAGGGAAAAGTTTGCACCATCATCGTCAACTAGGCGATCAAGGTGAAACTTGTGAAGCGAATTGTACCCGGTTCCATCTGATGGCGAATATCTCATTGATGTAACTTGTTTGATTTGATCCTCCGCGATTAGTCCCGCGGTGGACAATGCTTTCCACAACTTATAATCTTCATGCTCATTAAATGGATCCAAGTTCCGTCTGATTGTACCTTGGAATAATACAGGATCTTGTGGAATTATCGACAATTTTGATCTCAAGTCATACAATCCCATAGTTGAAATATCCAATCCATCTATTTCAATTTTACCATCCTCTATTTCAATTAATCTGTACAATGCTGACATGATTGAGGATTTTCCTGCGCCTGTTCTTCCACAGATACCTACTTTCTCACCTGGATAAAAGTTGACATTCAAGTGTTGTAACACTGGTGGTAAATTTGGTCTGTATCTGAGTGTAACGTCTTTGAAGGTAACGTATCCAGAAGGTGGCCACTCTTTGGGTGGTTGAATTTCTTTGGTGTAGGCTGCCTCTTGTGGTAACCTATAAGCGTATTCATGTAACCTCTCAACCGAATTCATTTCATTTTCTACTTGAGTCATTGATCGAATTGTCAATGACAAAACTCCAACCAATTGTAAAACGTAGTTTAACAACAACCCAGTCGATGAAGCACTAATGTTGAACTGTCCAGTGATGCAAAGCATACAAACAATCAACGCAACAGATGATGTGATAATGTCCAAGTGAACGCATAACCAACGCTGTGTGGCAATAGACAAATAATAGGCTTCATTCATTCTGTTGATAAAGTAGTCGTTTTTCCTTATAAAGTCATCTTCTGCTTTAAAGGACTTTATAGTTGACATACCAGTCAAGGTTTCATTGAAATTGTTGTAAACCAATGACCTCTGAGTTGCCTCCAATCGCTTAATCTCTCTTGATGAGCCTTGATAAAAATTGGCTAAAAATACAAATGCAAATCCCAAAAATGGAATGGCAACTGAAAAATACGGCAAGTAGCACGTACACAATACAATGATACCAATAATCAACGCCATTGGAAAGACAAACAACCTCATTTGCTCGCCAATTTCATTATCTAAAGAATCGGTATCCTTGGTGAATCTATTCAAAATTCTTCCCAAAGGTGTTGTATCCATAAAGGACATCGGAGCATGCAAAATCTTTTCAACAGCTCTTAAATTGAGTTTGTTGGCTGAACAATCTTGCATATATGCCAACATACTAAACTCAATACCAGTAAATATAACAGTCAAGAAGGCAAACATGACGTAAATTGCAACGTAGAAATGATCACTTCGATCTTTGAATTTGTTCTCCACTCAAAACGAGAGCCAAGTATTGGTAAACACTTGACAAAATGTTGCAATAGCAACAAGGAAAATAAACAAAGGAGCGGCAAATTTGCCAAAAATACCGGATCCCAAATCAATATACTTTTTGTAAATGGACCAAGAAATGGCATTGGTGGCACGTTCTTCATCAGTCGTCGTTCTGCCTGTGAGATCATTATCTTCATCATTCGTTAATTTCTGACTGCCGGAAGTGACATCGTAATCCGAATTGGCAAGATCTTCCTCTTCTTCTGACTCATTCGGCTCCCTTCCATGCTCAACCAATTTTCGGAAGCTCTCTCGTGCTGCAGTTAATTGATCAACGGAGCCGGCATATACTGAACCGCCGTCCACAAATACCACCTTGTCAGCAAATTCTAGAATACCCAACTGATGAGTGGCTAAAACAATGGTTTTGTCTCGTAACAACCCACGGAATAAATGTACAACAATGTGTCTTGCAACCTTGGAATCAACAGCAGAAATGACATCGTCAAATAGAAGCACATCTGCGTCAGCGTAACAAGCACGTGCCAAATTTATTCTAGCCTTTTGGCCACCCGATAATGTAATTCCACGCTCTCCAATTTCAGTTTTGTCACCAGCAGGTAAGATGGCCATATCATCTTCCAATGCACAAGCAAACAATACTTGCTTGTACCTTTCCGCATCAAATCTCTTACCAAAAAGAATGTTTTCCCGAACTGTTGCATTTTGTATCCAAGTCGTTGAGCAAAGCAATACTTCCTTGTTGCGGATAATGGATCCGCTGGAGATCTTCATGAAGCCAGCAAGGGCATTCAACAACGATGTTTTACCTGATCCAATCACTCCTGTTATAATAACAAGCTCCTCGTTCTTGATTGTCAAATTGACATTGGACAACCCTTTAAATTTTTGAATTGATGCAAAAGTGTCCACTGAATCAATATCACTGTCATTGTGTACCTTCTCCTTACTCTTCGGATGCTCGCTCCATAATTCCGTGTCTAAATCGTCTTGATGAGTTTCCCAAGTAAAGTCTGCATGTTTCACCTGAATAGCAACATCGTTAATCTCGCCGGTATAGAACTGATCTTCGTAGGATAACATCCTATTGTTTATCTCTTCGGTGAACTCCTCAGCTGATAAATAATCATTGCATCTTTGAAAACCAATCAACGCATCAGCTCCTGTAGATAACGCAATAGGTAGTAACATAATGGCTTGGGCGAGAATTGCATACAATGACAACGAACTGAAAACTTTTCCTGGAGTTTGCATATGGTCAGTGGCCCATAAAGTTATAAACGAAAGCATGGATGTCAACACCGGCATTGTTACTGCGTAGGCAGTAATAAAGTTACGCAAAACCTTAATGGTAAACAAGTACTTCATCTCCTTTTGTCTGATTTTCAATATTGATGCCTTGTAGGCCATTTCCCATGCGTAAAACTTAATCACTTTAAGATTATTTAAAATTTCTCTCATTAACGAAACACGCTCATCAGTGTACTTTACAACTTTCTCTCTGGTGGTGTACAACTTTTGTATCAACAATACGCAAATCACAAGTGATACGATAAACAATCCGATACCTGTCAAAGATGACACGCCAATATTTATGATCAAAATAATCACCGCTATAATCATTGGGATGGGGAAGCATAACACCAAGGGTTGAAATCCAATCGCCAAGTCAATTCTTGATAAATCGGTACTCATCAAACTAGTAACCCGGCCAGCAGGAAATAAATACCTCGATTTTGCATTCAAAGTAAACAGCTTCTTCAACAACGCCTTGGTCAATATAGCCTTGGCTTGAGCTCCACAAATCATTGAATTGTGGAAGAAATGATTAAGTAGCAACCCATTGACAAATATAAGAATAACAGCTCCAAAGGTGAGTCCAATGCCTCTATTGTAAGTTGTGTAGACTCCAAAATACTTGTATTCGACAAAGTCAATCAATTGTCGCGTAACCAACGGTGATGTTGCAATACAAACAAATGCCAATGCTAAGCAAATGCATGAAAATGTGTACTGCCATTTAAAAGTGAGAAACAATGCCAATGGGATTGCATACCTAGGCCAAGGCTTTGACTCCTTTTCGTACCCACCTACTATCTTGTTCATATGTTTCTCCCATTGTTCATACATGTACTCCACTTTCAATTGCGGTGTCAAAACGAACAAATCATCGGGATGTAAAGTGCGTTTGTATCCCTTTTTCAAAACCGGCCATAACCACCAAAAGCCCATACGTTTGATTGGATTGGTTTTTTGCCATGGGTAGTACACTCTTTCATTTTCAGTAGGTATCAGCGGCACATCTCTCGAGAAGAGCCATGAAAACAATCTCTTTTCATTGTGGAGTTGTGGTTGCGATTCCAAAGAACTTGTGGAAGTTACAGAGTTGTGAGAAATCCTTGAATTTGGGTTCTTATCGTGTGACAAATTGGTAGCGATGGTTTCTTGTGTGTATCTTGGAGCAGGCTGGTTTTGATCCAAGTATGTGACAGTAGATACCGATCCAGAATCTAAAGTAGAATAAAGATCGTAATCATTCATATAAGGGTTTCTATAGTACTGGTTTGTGTTTTGAAATTCATTGGGAGAATCTCGAACGGGTATGCTTCTTGGAACTTGAACATGTTGTGGGTTAACTATGTTATCGTTTGATTTCGTGTGGGATCTAGTCATTGAGATATGAGCACTCTTGTTTATAACTCGATAGAAGCGATCGTAATGTGGTTTAGACTAGGACACGTTGGGGTGTACAGGGTATCAAATGTATGGTTTGTACTTTAAAAGCAGTCGGCCGGCAGGCACTAGTAATCTAAAGGTTTTAAATAGTTTTCGTTCGATCGTATATGTATAAGCTACAAAGGTATAGATATATCTAGAACAAGGCTTATGGCTTCCAGATCAATTTCATTACTAAATGGAGGAAATAACAGTACTTTCTTTTGGAGAGGGGGGAGGGGTAATATTTACAAAAACAGTTACCTATTACGGGAACTGAAACAATAAGCTTTAATAAAAATAGCCACACTCCTGTAGATCATAATTGAAGGTATTCTTTATGTCCCCATTGGGTTCTGGCAACTAAAAAGAAAAAAAATAGGTCATTTGCCGGTATAAGTTACACAAAAGTAAACCAAAATAATTAATATTACGGGGCTTTGATGAAATAATATCTTTGCGGTTCGTGAGTTATTACCCTTTTAAGCAAACAATAATAGTTTAACTGTATACCAAAGCAGAATTACAGGACTGTGACTATTATTTACTTTCCGTGTTGTCTGAAGCATCTACAGTGCCAGTGAGGTGCAGAACCACACAAGGAAAAGAAACTGTGAGTTTAAGTGGTAAGCAATGTGACTCCCACTCCAGAACTGAGTCTTTCTTTGGCTACTCTAGTTGCTCCGAACGTTTTCCCGAAAAACACTTTTTGATCGTGTGCGTCAAAACAGTAGAAATTGAAAATGGGCCAAGAAAAATGAAATGCCGGCTGCATTATCAAACGTTTGTTCCATTCCCATTTTGGTTTCTCATTAGTATATAGAGTGAAAAGTATAGTATACATTCTGAAAGAATTTAAAGTCACTGAATTTTTGCGTCGTTACTTTCAACAATGACTGAGTACCAGTGGTGTTTCTGAGTGATAAAGAAAAGAGGAGTAAACACCCATTTAAAAAAAAAAAAAAAATTATTTTCTAAAACACTTTAAACTTCGGTTTTTGAAATGAAAAGAAAAAAAAATTGTGCATTGCAGGGGAAATTAACTTTTCACCCGAAACAAAGAAATGCCGAAACAATATAACACAAAAACGAAACACAACAAAATATTGTTTAATGTTGTCATATGAAAAATCCAGCAGAAGGGTACAATGTAAGAGTTACTATTCGTGTAGCAAGAAAAGCGCTTCAAGGAGAGAAGTCTGATAAAAGGTGTTTCAGGACATAGTTGTTGCAAGGTTGAAAAACCTTGGGCCAATATACTTTATAGAAGCTCCATTATTGGAGTTGCAAATCAATAACTACTTCCAAATAGCATAAATTTAAGATATGAGCTAAACAATCAGTCCATAGTTAGTTAGTGAAAAGACTGTTTGACAACTAAGTGAGACACAAGTATAAAGAAAACCTTTAGTCCTTAAATCTTTGCAACTTTCTTGTCATTACCATTTTGGGGAATTCCTTTACTCTGTAAAATCACACCATTAAAGTGTCACTACAAGACTTCTCCTGTGGACATCGATCTCAAATACAATTGACCGAGCCGTATATATTAGGGGCTGGAGCCGAATAATCTCATCGATTCTAGCACGCTTCGCTAATCTGTGGGAATATTCTCTTGGTTAGGCACCGAAAGGAGTCCATGAGGGTTTGTGGTTGGATTCTTGAGTTACAGTCTCTAAGAGCAGTCGATTAAGTGGTTATCATAAATTCAAAAATTTGTTTCAAATTTGCGTCAATTTATGATCAGTGTCTTAACTCTGCCACTGCTTTGTTATGCGCAATTTTGGGATGTCTCCTCTTTAGTGATAGTATAAGTGAGTCGTCACTCTGCTTCTGCTGTCTCTTTAGAGCCACTCAAGAATGTTGATTACAAATTTTAATAGTAACCCCATAATTAAAATTACATCTATATATTCCACCTAACGAACTAAAACCTCATAATTCAGGGCGTGTGGCGTAGTTGGTAGCGCGTTCCCTTAGCATGGGAAAGGTCATGAGTTCGATTCTTATCTCGTCCAGAATTTTTTTGGAGTATCTTTCAGAGAGAGATTCGAAAAGTAACTCAAGTTTTTTTCACATCGTAGATCTAGATTTACTTCTACTTCACTACTTCTTTTTGGCAACTCCTTTGATTAATCTATAAATTTACACCTTTTGTTTCTTCAGTTGAATAAATACAAAACACACAAAATAACTTAAAGAACAACCTTATCAGCCAACGATTTCTTATAGTCCAAAATCGTGCCATCCCATCTTGTTGCGGTCTTATTTTCAATGACGAAAATGTCCTTGGCAACCTTGTCAAGCAATCTGAAATCGTGGGAAACAACAACAACACCACCATTGAAAGCGTTAATAGCATCTGCCAACGAATCAATTGTCGATAAATCCAAACCATTTGTAGGTTCATCCAACAAGATCAAGTTTGGTGCTTCCAAGGCCAACAATGCAAAAACAACACGCGATCTTTGTCCTTCGGAAAGTGTAGCCATTTGTGCAGTTTGAGATTCACCACTTAAACCATAACGACCCAATTGTCCTCTCCAGTATTGATAATCTTGTGAAATAGAGGCGAACTTGTCACGAACAAATTCCAATGGGGTTTTAGTCAAATCTAATTGATCAGCTGAATGTTGAGAGTAAACTCCCAACTTGATATGTGTGTGTTTAATTACTCTACCCTTTTGTGGAGTCAATTTTCCTTGGAACAAGTTAAGCAAAGTTGATTTACCAACACCATTTGGTCCGACAAGAGCAACTCTTGAATCCATATCAATTCCGATGTCCAAGTGTTCGTAAAGGTTATCTTCGTCCTTTCCAGAATATGAGAACGACATGTCATCAAAGGCCAATACCGGTGGTGGTAATTTCTCAACATCGGGGAATCTAAAAGTGAAAACCTTATCAGGAACAACCGGTTGAATCAATCCATCGGCTTCCATCTTATCCAAAATCTTTTGTCTTGACTTGGCTTGTCTAACCAAATTAGCATAAGTACCAGCTGACGCAATGAATTTCTTGATGTGGGCAATTTCTTCTTGTTGTTTGTTGTATTGTTTCATTTGGTTGGTTTCCAATTCAGATCTCGTTTTGACGTAGGAATCGTAGTTACCACCGTAAAGTTGCAACTGTTTCATTCTCATGTCAATCATGTTGGTACAAACACCATTAAGGAAATCTTGAGAATGAGAAACCAATATAAGGGTTCTGTCAAATCTCTTCATGTACTCTTCTAACCAAACACAAGCGGCTAAATCCAAATGGGCAGTTGGATCATCCAATAACAAAAGAGTTGGCTTGACAAACAATGCTTTAGCTAAAGCAACACGCATTCTCCATCCACCAGACATATCTCTGGTTCTCTTCTTTATAGTAGTAGCATTGAATCCCAAACCTGTCAAGATGATGGCGGCCCTGGATTCAAATGTTGATGGATCCATTTCATCAATTTTTTCGTAAATACCTTCTAATGCTGGACACTCAGGACCTTCCTTGACTATCAAATCTTCGACTAAATCTTCTAACCTCTTCAACTCGTGTTCGGCTTCTCTGACAACATATTCCAATGCAGAAAAATCAGTTGGTTCTGCTGGTTCATTCAACAAGTAGATATCAATATGTTCAGGAATAGGAAATTCTCTAGCTGCAATAGATTTCAACAATGTAGATTTACCACAACCATTCTCACCTAATAAACCATATCTACGGCCATAGTTCAATTCCAAAGTTGAATCTTGAATCAAAACTTTACCGTGAAACAAAAGAGATACCGAAGACAATTTAATATCTCTTGACGTTTTCAAAGAGTCTAAAACACCAGTGGTAACTCTATCTGACAATCCATGTTCATCTGTTTGCAATTTCAATTTAGCAACTTCTTCACTGGCATCGGCAACGTCGTCTTCGGCAGCATCCTTTTCTGCTTGTCTCTTGGTCTTTTTCAAACTTTTACCTTCGGCTGCTTTCTTTGCCTCTCTTTCTAAACGCTTTTGTTCTCTCTTGGCTTTTGAAGCTGATACAGACATGTTTATTCTCCTCTAATATGAAATATAGTGAGTACTGATAAATATTTGCGTGAATACAATGAAAGAAAAGATAGAAGAAAAGAAGAAGAATTGATCAAAACTGAAAAACCGTGAAGAGCTTCTTTGAAGAATGAAATATTTTTTTTTTTCTTTTTCATCTCTGTGCACACGCCGCAATACGGGTTATATACAGTACTTTTCTATGCTGATTACATCATCATATAAAAAAAGAATTACAATACTGGACAGTGTGAATTTTCTCAATTGGTTTCGAAAGCATTTTGTTTGTAGAGATCGTGTTTGGTCTAGCACACCAATGATACCAATCTCATATGTAATTTTTGTCACTCGTTATTGCTGTTTTTTTTTTTGGGGTCTTTTTCTCTCACCCTCCGATCTCCCCTTACACCCAAAGGGCAAAAAAAAATAAAAAAATAAAATAACAACTTCAAGAACAAAAACATAAAATTGCCACTCGCAGTCCTTGGTTTTTGCAACTTTTCTCCACCTTCATCCACCCCAATTGACCAACAAGCGCCATTCGAAAAATACTTCATTAAACCAAAATGTCACACTCTGATAAGGACGAAAAGTTCAAAAACCCCAATGCGGTGGGTGTGACCTCCCCAATACCGATAAGATCGACAGCATCTGTGGCAAGTCAGCTCCGGCACCCCGAGGGGCATCCCCTTCAGTTGGAAGACAGTTCGAGGTCATTTACGCCCACGACATGGGACTCGGTCCAAAAACATGTATCTGCTAGACGACCCTCGTATAATACAATTGTGAATTATAGAGAAAAGTACTACAATTTGGACTATCCCAAGGATAGCAATGCATTGGCAAAATTGCAATTGGATCCTTCATCGAGATTTTATGCAAGGTCAAGACCTAGGACTTTGAACTTACCACTGTTGATGCCTTACAAGATTGAATCACCCGAGGAGCAAGCTAAATTTTTGAGCCACATTGTTTCGCATTTGTATATTGCCATCAAGTCGTTAGATATTCAAGGTACATTGAGTATAAGTGCCAAAGACTTGGCTGCATTAAAGGACTCTATCTCAGATGTGGATATTGCTTTGGAGACCAATTTGTTCGAAATCAACACCGCGGAAACTAATGAGGATGAACCAATGACAGATGAACTTGATTCGTCGGATGAAGAGATGGAAGAGGACGACGAAGGTGAAGAGGACGAAGGAGACGACGAGAATGATAAAGATGCAACAGTGCAACATAAAAGATCACCCAAATCAGCTGCCGTGGTTACAGTGCGCACGTGGACTCATGAGTTGTTAATCTGGCTCAAAATGAAGTACGAAATGCCAGTGTGCTTGAGAATAAAATTGGCCCGAGTGTACTATGCTTTATGTCTCTGTCGTGGTCAACACATAGGTATCAAGACGTATGTACGAGTGTTTGAGATTTTGACAAAAGACCAAAAATTACTTTTCGAACAAGGATTGAGATTGCCTTGGGAGGGTTTGTATAAAGAGTTACAAATTTTGTTCCCTTCACCTGATTTAGCCTTGGGGCCTTTTGAGAAAAAAGATCAGAAGCAGTTGGGCAAATTGGCTTCGAAAGCTTCGTATTTCTTTGACCCAAAAAGTTTGCCTATAATTTTTGAGAAATTGGGTTCCAACTTCTCCGTCAGTACATCAGCTTTAACAATCTCGAGTCTTTCATTGTTGCCCACAAATTTCACACATGGTGGGGTCCACGATAAGTATGATATCCGCCATTACTTGAGTCCGTTATTTTACATGTGGCTCAAAATCAACAAAAGCAGAGGACTTGATGACCACATTACAGGAAGATTGGGAGTTATTGTGATGTCCACGCTATTCAAGATGCACGATGACGAAAAGACAAGGGAACTTGTGAAGTTGGGAAAATTTGGCATCTTGTGTCAAAGCCAGATGGAGTTTTTGTTCAATGAATTAATCAATAGTTTGAGTATAAGAAATGAAAAGTACGCATCTAAAAAGCTGAAGTATTTTCACGGATTTGCTTCAGTTATTGTGTTTTCAATTGTTGGCGACACCGCCTTGGAAGAAGGCGGTATCATGTATTTATTGAAAACTTTGATTAACGCAATTGAGAGCTACATACATCCATCAAATACAGGCGAATGGACAAGGGCTATTTCCAGACTTGTTCTAGCATTAATCTACCAATTCCACAAGCGATACAATTTGGAAACTCAACCTGATGAAAATCTTTTTAATATACCTGCTGAAGTGAAGCTCTCTCCAAGTGTGGTTAAAGAGTTTGTTAAAGTTATGCTTCCAGTTGTGAAAACCGGTATACATTCAAAAAAAGCTGATGCCTCTGCTGAGTACGTGACAGCGCTCCAGCTTTTGGCCCACCTTGAGCCTAACTTTGTTTTGGACAACACTTTATTGGACATTTATGAGTCTTTGGAAGGGGTGATTTCAACGCATAGAGTGATTAATGCTTTGAGGATGATTGATTCCATGGCGAGATCTCTTGTCTCAACGCCCATTTTCCGCGTTCATTTGACGCGCATTTTGCTGTTGATTTTACCAGGTATTGACTCTAACGATTTGGAAAAGACCCTACAGACATTGGAGGCTTTCTCAGCTATATGCAATTACGCTCCCATTTACGATTTAAACAAGGATTATGGAGACCCTGCGCTTGCTATGGAGTTTACCCTGAATCACATTGAATATTTGAAAAGAAAGATTTATGAGGGCGATATTGCTGACTTTGACGTTGACCAGGAAACCGAAGTTGCAGCATTGGTGTCATCAACATCTGCATTTAAAGAGATCTTTAGGTCGTTGTTGCAAAAATTACCTTCTTTGCTTGAAAATTTACCAGATCCAACAAAAAGCTCTGGCATTGAACGTGATTTAGCCATCTCATTGCCCAAATTTTTTTTCGTCATCTTTGAATCCATGTCCGATGATATCTTGAATATTTGTAAGAAAGAGTGGTTTGAATTTATGTTTAACAATGTGCACCATACAAAAGCTCGCATAGTGGCTGAGATCAGTGGTGCGATAGTGAAGCGTGATCCAAAGTGCTTTAAAGAAAATGCACGCGTATTGATGGATAAGATTCGCGAGGAGATTGAAGAGAACGGTGCTGGTGCGTCAAGAACAGGCGATGAAATTGTTCCCCGTGATCAGGCTTTGTTTTGGCAGTTGACAATCTTGGATGATTGCGTCGTCAACGCAGGACCTCAGTTAGTGAGTATGCACAAAGAATTGATGGAGTTCTCGACCTTCCTTATGCAACATGTCAAAGGACCATGCGTTTTCCCATCAACATTTTTTGTAAACCAAGTGTTACAATCGGTTACAAAAATCAGAATCAATGAAACTCGTTTAATTTCTCCAGAGTATGAAAAGGTGCACGGAGTTGACGAGAGTTGTTGGGGAGGCTTTTGGGACTCAAAAGATAGATTCAAGGATACCGCGTTTGAGTGGTTTATTCCTTCAGTAAAGGACGTGAATTTTGCCTATGAATTTGCCAACGATCACGTCAAAATTTGTACAAAAAATGTCATTGCATTGATGGAGAATTATGAGCAAGAGCAATCCAAATCTTCGCTTTCGATTCTTGACGATTTACGAGTGAATATTTTGTATTTCGCATATTCTTTGAGTGGAATATCGTTCTTGCTAGATCCTTCTTTTGAGGAAGATATACCCAACTTGGATCACGAAGCTGAATCAATTCAGCAAAGACTTTCATTATTGAAACAGATCCGAGAAATCAAAGATGTATCCACTCAAAAGGACTTCTTGTATGATGACAAAGTCAGTGAAAATATGCAGCAGATTTTGAATGATTTGCGTAATGAGGATCTCATTGATTACATTGCCGACTTTGAAAAAATGAATGAGGTGATTACCGAACATGAAACGACCAAGGAGGATGATGAGACTATGAAATCTACACCTGAAGGGAAGCATACAATCCACCGCCATTTCCATGTTCCAGATAGACCAGATTCTTCTGCCCCTGAAGCTTTATCTGGTAGAGAGACTCCACGTATTGAGGGAATCCAAATGTCCTCAATGAACCCAGCAATAACATTCAGAGAGAAAAGTTTGTATACATCAAATTATTTCTTTGGTGACAACTCACGCCACAAGGAACATAGGGATTTATATTTGAAAATTCACAAGACAAGGCACTTGATTGGAAGAAGTTTGCATTTTATTCACAAGTTTTTGGTTAATAATTTCCACGACAATACCAGAATCTTCAAAAACCTTTTATTTGCAACAAACGCGTGGATCTCCGATGTGGGTAGAGAAAGACTCCTTGATTCTAGTATTGCTGAAATTGACTACGGGTATGTTCAATATCTTCAAACAATCAACAGAGTGAGGAAACCATTCACTCGTATCGCAATCGGAGCTCGATTAGAAGCATACCATCAAGCTAGAGTAGCATTGCATGCAACATCAAGATCAGAAACCAATTTGGATCGTGTTTTATTGGAAGATGTTGTTAAACTTGCTAGTTCTACATATACAACTATTGCAAGTATTGCTCAAAGAGTATTGCTAGATAGCATGAGGAGATTGAGCGGCTCGTATAATCATATCATCAAGTCGACTTTCAGGAATCTTTCCAAAGCATTGGATGCAAATGACCATCAACAGATTGAGAGTACTTTAAAGGTTTTTATGTTGCGTCGGATTAAGGCAAAGTTACAAAACGACTATCTCAATCTTCAAAAGTATGTTACCTTGCTTTACAGATGTCTCAAAGTGGATGACCCAAAGGTTTATAAGCTAGCCCAGAGTTTGTATGCTGGTGTTGGTAGAGGAATAAGTACACCTAGCAACGTGTGCTTGATTGACCACGAGGCAGTTGATCTGATAAGACCTCCAGATCACCACATTGACTTGGAGATAAAGGCTGTTCAGTTAGCTAAAGAAAAGAAACGGAACTTGTACTTTGAAAAATTGGAGAAGCTTCAGGATCGAGTGTTTGAAGAGAAGGAAAATATCGCTCACTGGAAGATTACGTTGCTGAACCTGGAATTATTGCTGAATATACAAGCACATTTAGACATCCCCACGAGAGGCGATATTTTGGAGATGTTTACCAATGAAGCATCGACTGAACATCCTATAATTTCGAGACATGCTTTACAAAGTGTAACAAGAATTTTGAACAAGTTGAATATTCTTAGTCAATATGAGTACAAACATGAAAATCTATACAATACGAATTTCACTCCCCGGGGCTTGAAACTTGTGGACACAAAGCCTGAAAATGGAGAATCGTTCACCTCAATGTGGATAAAAGAACTTGGTAATGTTGATGATCCGAATTATTATTTGGAAACCAAGCCCTATTCTGGTTGGTTATTTTGGGGGGACAATTTCAAAGCAGTCTCGCCAGAACTGAATATGACACTTAAATTAGCCGAGGAGGATGAAGCTGCAGTCAGAAGACTTGGTCATGCGATAGACAAGGAATGGTTCTTGAAAATTGTAAAGATGTGGGTTTCCGAAGCAGAAAGCAGTAACGCATATCAAGTACCGGATGTTATGTTTGTAGGAATTTTGGTCCTGTTGATTTCAAATGGGTTCACACCGAAGTTGACATACTCGGAGTTGTTGTCAGTGGTTGATGAGATTTACGATAGTGAGGAAAAGAGTGCCAATATCGTAACATGTGAATTACTTTCTGGAATCTTGTTGAGCTCGAGACACACTGCGCCGCAATACTGGGAAGAGAGAGATGAATTTGTTATCAAATACTTGAGAAAGATTCTTGAACATGATATTTCACCAGGTACTCTGTCAACATGGGGTGTTTTTTGTCTTTGGGTCCCAGCACACACCGATTGTAGACGATTTTATAAGGTTATTGAGGAAATCGCTAATTTCAAGTTGGATCCGAATTCTGATTCTGCTTTCAAGGATTCAACAAGGATCAGCTATATCAAATCGGTTATATCATCTACTTCTTGGAGATTAGCCAACCCGGACAAATTCTTGGACCTTTGCTTAGAGAATATGAACCACAAGTACAATTTGGTGAGAAAGGAGATTGGATCATTAATGGCAGTGGTCTCGTTGAATTATTATGTGGAAGCCGTCAAGGATTGCAAAACATTTGTGGAAAGTTGCAACAACGATAACAATTTGTTGTTGTATGATAAAAAGGGAAAACTATTTGATGAAGTGCCGAAACTTTTCACGCAAACTGAAAAATGGAGAACTGAGGTTGTTCATTTGGAACCACAAGAGATTTTGGTTTCCAATTACATCAATTCAGCAACTACGATCTTGACTTGGTTGAGACAAGAGCTTGGTACCAATTTGAGTATTTTGCTTCAAGACATGGTGCCAACGCATATTGTCCCATTTCTACTTGAGCTTATCAACTTGAAAGAAGTATGCCAGTTGGGAAACATTGATCCAATATCGGTTTTGAAAAAGACATCTCAAATTTCTTTTACCGAACACCATTTGAACAGTGTTGTTGAAATGTTGGAGCATTATGCAAAGAAGGAATTAAACATTGTTCAATCTATTGTCATTGGCGAATTTACCGAAACAATTTTCTTCAAGAATTTGTTCAAGTTGACAAAGAATCAACGTGAGAGGATTGTCAATATTACAAACTCATTGATTTACCATAAACACGTCGAAGTTAGAGAAGCTGAAGCTGGAACGTTGTCCGGGTTGATTCATATGCTACCATTGAATGAAGTGGATGATATTGTTAAAAAGTTTAGTGAATCTTACTCACGACAATTGGATGAAACAAGAGCAAAGTACAATCGTAATTTCAAAAATATCACCTCCGCGGATCATATCACTTTGCACGGTGCTACTTTGGGATTGGGTGCATTGATTAATGCATTCCCATTTGCATCACCTCCACCAAATTGGATGCCACTGTTGTTGTCGACTCTTGCAAACAAAAGTACAGGTATACCTGGTATCGTTGGTAAAACAGCAAAAGAAACACTAGGACGGTTTAGGAAAGATAGACAAGACAGTTGGCATGTTGATAGCAAGGTATTTACAGAAGACGAAATCCAAGACCTTGAAGGTGTGCTTTGGCGAAGCTACTTTATTTAATTTTTTTTATATATCACATTTTCTAATCAAAAGAAAGTTTGTACTTCATTCAAATGTGTGGATATGTGGCTGGTAGAAGGACCGCCGTCTATGATGTATTGTATTAGGAATAGGTAGCGCGAATCTATTTTCTGTGTCGTGTGAATCCGCCAAATAGCTAATGCCACACGCAAAAAAATTGCATTAAAAAAAATGGCACGAAATAAAAGTTTCCTCTGTGTGTGTGTCTTGTGTGTAAATACAATCAAATCTTTTTCAAATCAATAGAAGGATTCAAAAACCATTCTTTTACATCGTTAGATCTATCTACGTTCATTCATCGAGTTGAGGTGACATCCATATAACACAAGCTAATTGGTCCCACAATATGAACGATTTACCACAAATGCCGACCCCACAGCAGGCGTCGTATCAGCAACATCAGCAACAATATAACAATAGAAAACACGCACAACAAGCCATACATTCAAACTCAAGTAGTTCAAAAGTCAACTATAGGCCACCGCAACAATCGAGAACTGCAAGCTCGCATTCAAATGCGTCTTACCAATCACAACAGTATTATCAACAACCCCCTCCAAACGATTACTATCGTCAACAACAACAGCAACAGCCATCACATAATGCAGGGTTTGCTCCACAACCAGTGTATCAGCAACCACCAGTGTATCAAATGCCGCCCCCGCCACAGTCGCAACATCAGCCACAGCAGGTTCCGCAACAGTACGGCCTGCCTCAACCTGTTTATCAGAACCACTCACAACAATATCAAAATGCACCACTACCACCACAACCACAACCACCACAACCACAACAACCGCAGCCAACGCAGCAACAACTCCATCATAATTATCAATCGCCGCCAATGGGTAATCATGCTCCTCATCAACAATACCAACAACCACCCAATCAGTACGACTCGTATCAAGCTAATGGTAGTAGTAGTGGTGGTGGTAGTGTTGGTGGTGGATCAGTTGGCAAAAAACCGCCACCTGTGACATCACTGCCTCCACGTCAACAAAGACCAGTAAACAAATCAAAAGAGTCACTCCACGAAAAACCATTATCTTCAAAGCAGAAATTGGAGCTTGAGTTGAGGAGCGTTTTTGAGAAAGTCGATGTCAACAAATCGGGTAGGATTTCAGCCAAAGAATTGTCGTATGCCTTATTGAATTTCGACCACACTAGGTTTCAAGATTCAACCATCAAGTTGATGATGAGTTTATTTACAAACAAAGGTGATGCATCATCATCATCATCATCAGCATCATACAGTTCTAACAAGTCACTAAATTTCGATCAATTTGTATCATTATGGAAATACTTGTCAGCATATAAGAAATTGTTCATACAAGCAGATGCTGATAAATCAGGCGATGTTTCATTTGGTGAATTTCAAAAAATTCTTGAGCAGATTGGTTACAAGTTGGATATTGATTTAGTACTACATTTGTTTTCCAAATATAGTTTGAAGGATAGTGGAGAAATTGGTCGTTTAAAGTTTGATTCTTTTATAGAATTGTTGGTTTATTTGAGGAAATTGACTGATATATTCAAGAAATATGATAAGGACTTATCAGGAACGGCAACAATTGGATTTTCTGACTTTTTATTTGAAGTAAGTAACATGTCATAAGTTAGTGTATTAATTATTAGAATTTGGCGATCGCTTTACGTAGAAACATCATCTTACATTAGTTCCATATCAATTACACAATTTGATCCTCGATTTTTAATTTACATACATTAAAGAAATTAAACCTAATCTCTACCTCTACCTCTGAAAGCACCTCTTCTTGGGGCACCACCTCTTGCTGGTCTTGGTCTTTCAGCTGGAGCATTCTTCAATCTGGTCAATGGCAAGATACCTTCTGGAATGTTTAATTCATTTCTCAAAAATTCAACACCTTCATCAGTCAAGGTGTAGTAATAGTATTGCCATGAAAATTGAGTCTTGACGTAACCCCTTGAAGTCAAACTTTGCAAAGCTTTGATAACGTACAAGTTCTTGGTGTCGATTTCATCGTGTTTTGGTTGATTGAAATCCTTCTTGGCGACAACAACACCCTCTAAATTGATATATTGTTAGTATTACGTGCTAGAAAGCGTTGATGGGGAACAAAAGGTGAGGAGAGATTATCGTGTGACAAATCTGATGAAAAAGCTGTGAAAATCAAATACAGGTGAAGAAATGCTCCTTCAGTATTGTGAATTGCAAATATTCGTGAAATCCGATAATCTCCACTAGATCAACTGAAAGTGCTTCATTTGGTAGAAGAATTCCCCATTCGTCGTTTGCGTGAGCTTCCTTCTTGATTTTGATTAATCTCCTCTTGAACTCGACATTATATTTGATGTACCTGATGTATGTTTCTCCCTAACATAACCTCGTTTACGCATATCTCCCATTTCAGTTTTCTAAATCAAACATACCTTGGAACAAGTATTGGTGGATCTTTTTACGGTCTTCTCTTGGAATAAGCATGCTGGTTTCTTGGTTGACGTCCGTGAGTTCACTCTGTTCGGTACTTTGTAATTTGTCAATTTTTTTTTTTTCAGTATATCCATAGTGTCTTTCTCCCTTCACTAAAAAATTATTTTTGTCTTGTGCACTACCAAATAGGTGTGTAGCCCTAAGAACTGAAATCACGTGTTACTTTATTAAGAAAGCTTTTCGCAACTTCAAGTGACACTTAATCTACACTTTCAATGATGCTGTACACCTCTACTATCAATGGCATTCTACAAAATTCAATTTTAATGAAATCGTTAATTCTAACATAACTATTAATACAATCTACGAAATATGCAAAGAAACAAACTTGAAGGTTATTTAAGCCTTTTCAGTCCTACCTCTTTTTCCACCAAGACTTTTGATGAAGCTCAACAAGGAGTCTTGTTCATCTTGCTCCTCGACATTTTCTATACTTTGTTCTCTACCTAGCTTCTTATCCCTCAAAAAGAATGATGCAGCAATCATTGGGGCAACAAAACACAAACAAACAATCATCAATAACCTTTGAATTTCACCATATGCTTTTGTGGCACCTTCTCTCTGTGGTGTACCCCAGGGGTATGTATCTGCAAATACGTATGGACTGGTGTAGACACTGGTAGCTGTAGCGGTGTCGAGGTATTTGTTTAATTTCTTGAATAAAGTTTGTGACCAAATGGCACCGGCAACTGAAGAGCCAACGGCGTAACCAATTCTGTAAAGAGTATAGATTGCAGATGTAATGACTGCCATATGTTCGTGATTAACACAACTTTGGGCTGAGACAGTAATTGGGTATGAAAAGAACCCTGTACCGATACCCATGACAATTTGACCACCAATGATACCACTATGTGCACTTAATGATGATCTGAAATGGTACATGATACCGAAAGCAACCATCCATAAGGAACAACCGAAAATGACAAATGGTTTCAAACGCCTAATGTAAACAACAACCAATCCGAAAAGCATACAACAAAGTGTTGATGCAAAAGAAGTAAGGGTGGTGATTCTAGTTGCTGATTTTTGAGATTCATTAACACCAACAACCAAAACAGGGTACAAGAAACTTGCTTCAACGGCGAATACGAAATCAAACAATAAAGAAATCAAACCAGCTGACCAGATACCACGATCCTTCATCAAGGTAACTGGAATAATCGGGTCCTTGGCAAAAAGTTCCCAAATGCAGAAAACCGGAATCAAGACACATCCAACAACAATGGGGGCAATGATGTTTCCTTGTTTCCATTTTTCACTAACACCACCAGCTAAAGTTAATGGAACTAATAAACAACCTAAGGAAACAACCATCAAAAGTAAACCAATACAGTCCAATTTCCAAAACAAGTACTTCATAAATCCCCAGAATCCAAACTTTTGGTAAAGAGTCTCCTTCTTTTTGAATTCAACCCATTCAGGAGTTCTGCCAGCTAACCATCTCATGTGAATCATACAACATACAAATGGAATACAGGCCAATGGGAAAATAAATGCCCACATTCCAATACCCCATTTCCAATTCATACCAACTGCACTAGTAACGTTACCCGAGATCCATGTGTTGATAATAAAGGGAAGTGCTGGACAGATTGAAAAGAATAATCTCCATCTCAAAGTGGAGAAATCGGACAAGATGAATAATAAAACAATCAAAACACCACTGTAACCAATTTGGTAAAGAACGGCACCAGCGACATACGCATTAATGGTTGGAGATTGGCATTCAATGATGGTACCAACAACATAAAACAAGACAGCAACAATAAACAATTCCAATCTTCCAAATACATCTGATAATCTGGCATACACTGGTTGTGAAGCAGCAGCAGTCAAGGCAGTGATGGCATTGACAGTAGTCAACAATGAATGTTCGGACCAAGATGCAGTTGCATACCCAGTAAACACATATCTGATTTGTGAATCAAGACCATAAGCATAACCAACCAAAAACGCCGAAATCAACAATACCAATTTATACCAGAAAGTATGTTTCCATTGTGCGGCCAATAACTCCGCTTTCAAAACACCAATGGATTTCTCCTCTTCAATAGCATGCTCCAACTCTGATGAAGTGTTGTCTGGGGTGTGTTTATCATCATATATTTGCTTTTCTTCATCCATTGAAGAAGCTTTCACTTCGGTATTCACTGATGACGACATTAGTAATAACCCTGTGGGGAAGAAATATCAAAGAATATGGAGATGAGCGAGTAAAAATGAAGTGATTAAAGCTGAAAATTTTCAATTGCTGAAGTTTTGGGAGATATGAGATACATGATTCCTTATTTATATATTCATTTTCTCCATCCTGTTTTATACTCATCTGCATGTTATTGAGTAATCTTGTTAGAAACAACAATAAGGTGCATTCTTTTTTGTTTTAGTGAAATTTCACAGAAACAATAAGAAGACTAAGAAGAGAGTAGGAACTTTTGGTAATGATGCAGATACTGTTTTTTTTTTTTTTTTCGAATTGCTTTTTCTACCCTCAATGTCGCACTGTCTTTCTATGTCTTCAAATGTCGTCACCTTTTGCGTTTTTTGTGTCATTAAAAGTTGTGTTTTTCCGGCATTATAAGATAACTCAAAATATATGTCGTCACAATTTCCTAACTAAATCGCCTTAAACCGAAGCATCATCATCAATTACAATGAAAACTTATGAGATAGGTTCTATAGCACTTACAAAACCCCATGATTACAACATAACACAAGTAATGCTAAAAATTTTTGACTACTGCTTGCAAAACTCGCATTTCTGTATTTCAGTTGTTTGATTGGCTTTCTCTTTCTCTTTCGAAGCTAGATGAAGCTTGTTGTCGTCCTCTTGATTGGTTACACTGTTGGAATGTAGCGTGACGTACAACACATGTTGCGTCTCAATTGTCCTTTCGGTAAAACTAGCTCAAGCCGTCAACTTGTCTTGGGAGCTTATTGTTTGTTCAAACCTATTGTTGAAAACGAATAGTAGTAACGGACTTTGTTTCTCACAACCTAACATAAACAGCCCTAAATGAGTGAATATCATTTATGTGTCTTTTGTGAAACCAATTCTACGTCTATTTGGCATTTTGAATAGAAAAGAAATTTTTAAATTAATTGGGGTTGGGTTTCTTTTGTGTTTATAGTGTTTAAGGTTTTTTTTCTTGTCCCGCAAAGTAGAAAAATTTTTTCTACTTTGTTTTCGTAACACATTCCCAATTTAGACATTAAAAACTAAGTCCAAAAAGATGTCTGCAAGAAAATCGTGCACCTTCATTTGAAATTGAGGTGTTGTATATCCGAATATAAATCAAGCACGACAAAGAGCTGTTTCTATTTCTATGAAGTTGCGTCTTTATTCAGTAACAAACTTATAATTGCTATATTTGACATTTTTTTTATTATATAACACTTTTTGTGTCTGATGAAAAAGATAACCAAAAAAAATTAAAAAAAAAAAACAATCCATATTTAGCGAGTTGTGCATAAGTTTCATTTGCAATATTGTTAACGGATGTGTCGTTAGTAAAAGTTACGCAAATGCTTCCGTATTTAGCACTCTCCTCACACAAAGTTGTAAGAGACCAATAATTTTCAAGTCGAAACCTTCTTACAATGCTGTCTATGAACTGCCAAATACCATAACTGGTGCTTTATAGAAAACATCTTTATTTAGATTTAGCATCTTTACCTGAAAACAATAGTTCTGTCACGCCAATTTCTCCTACAAGACGATGAACGAGATGTAACTTTCAAGGAAATCCAACTAGACACTTAACGCCTACCGATAAATTACATATCGTAGATTGCAATTGAGTAGCGAGCAAATTATAGTAATCGTAAATGGTTACTGATGGGGATCACGCAAAACCAAACTTTGAAAATTTTTCTCTATGAGTAAACACTGCCTTTAAATGTCGTTAAATGTCTTTTGAACAGATTGATCATTAAAAACTAGGAAGAAGAGGCAAGTAGAGACAAGAGCAGATGTCCATATGTAGAGCATATGAAACCAATTGCTGTGAACAGATAGTTTCCATACATATCGATGAATGACCATAACAAAATTGGGTTTCCGTCTTGAAATGTTTGTTTTGTTTCTAAAAATGTATTCATTTGCGATCACGGAAAATCAAACAATTGAGTAACACACATACAAACACAAAATGAAAAATATTGGTCCTTGTGGCTTTTGCCCTCCTTTATCCTTAGAGAAAATGTCGCAGTTGAGATGAGGTTGATTAATTTCCCGCATGAGTTGGATTCTATTTTTGTTACGACACCTTGCAAACACAGCATCTGTGCAAGTTTGGAGCTGAAATGGTATAGTCAACATTGAGTGTACAATTGTTGCTTCTCTGTGAGCGAGTGATATTGTTTGTTTGATTGTTGCTTTATCTGATGGCATCAATTATTCCGATTTCGTTTCTTTTTTTTTTTCTTCAAAACAGTACTAAATAAGCCCCTGTGCATATACACTTTTAACACATTTTTGTCAATTCAACAGCATTAGCAAAAACAGTCCACCGACACAAGATGAGATGCTACTAATTAGTCGCTGTCTATTTTTTAGCAAATTGATGTCAAATGCATTTTGTAGACTACTATCATAAAATCTTTCATTACACTACAGAAACTTAAAATTAGGCCTTTTCACTCCTCCTTAAACCAAAACCCTTTATGAATTTACCCAAGGAATCATTTGCATTTTCTTCCTCAACATTTTCAATCGTTTGTTCTCTAGTAAGTTTCCTATCTCTTAAAAAGAGAGCTGAAATAATCATTGGTGCAACAAAACATATAGCGACAATAATTAATAATCTTTGAACCTCACCATATGCCTTTGTGGCTCCTTCTCTTTCAGGGGTTCCCCAAGCATAATTTTGGGCGAAAACATAGGGGCTTCCATAAACACTAACAGCTGTGGTTGAGTCAAGATACTTTTCCAAACGTTTGAGCAAAGTTTGTGACCAAATTGCACCAGCCACAGAAGCACCAACAGCAGACCCTATTCTGTAGAGCGTATAGATACCGGAAGTGATAACTGCCATGTGCTCATGATTAACACAGCTCTGTGCAGTGACGGCAAGTGATGAAGAAAAGAAACCTGTACCAATACCCATAACTACTTGTCCTCCAATGATACCTCCATGAGCACTCAATGTAGATCTGTAGTGGTACATAAGACCCATAGCAACCATCCACAATGAGCATCCAAAGATGACAAAACCTTTCAACCGACGGATGTAGACAATGACTAATCCAAAGAGTCCACCACAAACTGTTGATGCAAATGATCCAAGACTGGTGATTCTAGTTGCTGATTTTTGAGATTCATTAACAGCAACAACCAAAACAGTATATAACAAGTTAGCTTCGACGGCGAACACAAAGTCAAACAAGAATGAGATTAATCCAGCTGACCAGATACCACGGTCTTTCATTAATGTGAATGGAATAATTGGATCCTTGGCAAAACATTCCCAAATGCAGAAAACCGGAATCAAGACACATCCAACAACAATGGGGGCAATGATGTTTCCTTGTTTCCATTTTTCACTAACACCACCAGCTAAAGTTAATGGAACTAATAAACAACCTAAGGAAACAACCATCAAAAGTAAACCAATACAGTCCAATTTCCAAAACAAGTACTTCATAAATCCCCAGAATCCAAACTTTTGGTAAAGAGTCTCCTTCTTTTTGAATTCAACCCATTCAGGAGTTCTACCAGCTAACCATCTCATGTGAATCATACAACATACAAATGGAATACAGGCCAATGGGAAAATAAATGCCCACATTCCAATACCCCATTTCCAATTCATACCAACTGCACTAGTAACGTTACCCGAGATCCATGTGTTGATAATAAAGGGAAGTGATGGGCAAATGGCATAAAACAACCTCCACCTCAAACTGGAAAAATCAGACAAGATGAAAATCAAAACAATCAAAACACCACTGTAACCAATTTGGTAAAGAACGGCACCAGCGACATACGCATTAATGGTTGGAGATTGGCATTCAATGATGGTACCAACAACATAAAACAATACTGACACAATAAACAATTCCAATCTTCCAAATACATCTGATAATCTGGCATATACTGGTTGCGCAGCAGCACCAGCTAAAGCAGTAATAGCATTGACAGTAGTCAACAATGAATGTTCGGACCAAGATGCAGTTGCATACCCAGTAAACACATATCTGATTTGTGAATCAAGACCATAAGCATAACCAACCAAAAACGCCGAAATCAACAATACCAATTTATACCAGAAAGTATGTTTCCATTGTTCAGCGAGCAACTCCGCTTTTAAGACACCGATGGATTTCTCCTCTTCAATAGCATGCTCCAACTCTGTTGATGTGTTGTCACTGAAGGTCTTGTCGTACGTTTGTTTCTCCTCGTCCATTGAGGTTGCTTTTAAATCCGAGTGGATTGATGATGGCATGTTTGGTAAATCGTCTCTGGGCAAGTTAAATCTCTTGACAAATTAAATGAGGGAAAGAAGGGATCTTGAAATCCTTTTATATCATCAGAGGGATATCGAAGTGACTTTACATTACCTACGCAAAACAATGGCCATCGCTATATGACAATAAGGCTCTTTGTTTGTGTTTTAGTAAAAGATGAATAATAGTTCTCTTCTCTTTCTGTTTTTCCTGTTCCGTGCTATTGTTTCTTTTATGATCAATTTTGTTTGTGTCTCCCTCCGTTTGGATGTTCAATACACGGCGAGGCTTAGTCATAATTCCTTGGAAAGCAAAGCCCATCCGGAATAGAAAGATTTCGAGAGTTGCTACTTCTCTGTAAAAACTCAATCGCTTTATATATGTGGTTTCTAGATGTCACATTGGGCGTCTGGTGGATATGCTCTTGGCAATCATGCTGCGCAACTCTGTCAAACGAGCGCAAAACGAAGAAGGTTAATAGAATCTAATCACTTAGGAATAACTTACGATTTGCTCTTGTTTTATTGGGTGCTTGAGTTTTTTGTGATCTCAAATTGAGCCAATTACGATGAATTTTGGTATCTTGTTGGCTTTTGTTACACGGCATTTCAGGGAAGTATAGGTAACAAAACAAGGCTTTTGATAGATAATTCTGTGGCCTTTGTGAAATTATCCTTTCGACGGGAGTCTTCCCGTAAATCGAGCCGACGTGAATATACACCTTGAAAAAGAGAAGTTAACACTATTCTGGAAAGCCAAGGAAAAATCAACCTAGAAATATGGTCTAACGTCGTTGAAAGCACTCCGAGAGCTGAGATCGGGTAAGAGGTATTCTTGGAGTCTAACAATGTGGGTTCTGCTTTATGGGCGTTTAGTTTCTGTTTAGTTCTGTTGAGTTAAATTTTCGCCTGATTTCTTTGATCAGATGGATCAGATAAAAAGAAATTGAGCTGATCGTAATTGGTCACAAATGGGGAATTGAGTAATTAGCCAGTTTAGGCAAAATAAAATTCCCTTATTTGTTTTAGTGCTTTATAAACAACCAAATGCATGATGTCCGTATGGTGAGTATGCACAGTGATGAAACTTAATTTATGAGGTCTTTCTTTTCCACTGAAGGTTTCTAAAAATGTATTCATTTCCGATCACCGGAAGAGATAGCATCATTATTACACAAAAGCGCTGAAAAATGTCGCTATTGTTTTCGAAAGGAGATGAGGTTTATTTGAAATACAGTATATAAAACTTTGTAAGCCTTCAAAAGACAATAACTGATTGAGACCCAACATTGAGTAGTATTATAGAAGCAACTAATTCTTGGCATGTACGGGTCAATCAAAATTTATCTTCTATCGTAGTTAAAGGTCCCCAAGAACATGATTAATAGCAAGAAAATCTTTGGGACCTTATGTATCAACTGTAGAGAGAGGACTATAATAAGATTCCATACTTTGTTGAAAGGCCACATATATAACTGTGCATAAACCTAATCTTGATTTTTAATCTTTTTAATCTTTTAGTCCAATCATAAAATCGTATCTCTTTCCGAGTTGGTCAAATAAACAGAAAATACAAAAAAGATATTTCTAGCCAATCAACAACAAGTGAACACAATAAGAAAAGCATTTTTAGACCACTATGCAGACAGAGGGAAGCATAGAAAAAATGTCGTAGAATTTTAACACTGCACCAAACCGCCTTGCCTGTTTTGAGTCGTTAACTTGTCCTTTACCCCCCATTGGTGTTTTCCTTTTAACCTTTTGTGTATCTAGAATACAAGAGAGAGAGAGAGAGAGAGAGGTCTCGTAAGTTGAGCCCTAATTGGACACAACCGATAACCCTAAACAATCACAATTTCGCAATTAATAGGCAATGTTTACAGCCTTGATGGGTTGTTTCGCTGAAGCCCACCTAAAATGATACCTGTACTAAACATATCCGATACTTTATTCTTCTCCGTGCGGTAGGACGGGGCTCATAAATAGATTAATGCTATCTACAAAAATTTGCTTGAAAATTATCACAGAATGTGATTGAGCTCATATTCAAGACAGTATTGGCTAGTTTAGTTGGCAAATTTAGTTGGCAAGTTTTTTTCAATTATCTCTCTCTTCACATATAGTTTTCCGCATTTCATATTTTGGTTTTCCACTCGCGTGGCTTACTCGACCTAGAGCTCGACTCGTCTCGATTCGCATTGACCCGCGAACAAAAGGAACTTTCCGTTCAAAAGCAAAAATTATGGCGGGTGGGAAATTCGGTGGTACTCTCCATTCATTCAAGATTTGTGCTCCTGAGAGCAAATTCCTGAGCGTGCAAACGCATGGGCGGTGTTAAAAGAAATCTTCAGAGCCCGAAGGCGCCCGACTACCTTCGGTAGTTTGGCTTTTCTTTGGGTTCTATGGGAATGACGCCGTGAATGGTTGGCTGTTGTTTAGTGTCAAAGCGAACAAGGGCTATTTAGTGCAATATGCGAACTTGATGGTTGTTCATAACTGTCAAGAACCCGATACCGATCATTGACGATGAGTTGAGTTAATTTTTTGAAATCATTGTGGTTCGGTATATGGTTCGAAACTTATCGCTAAGAAAAAAAAAAAAAAAAAGTAGAAAACAGAATCATTGTAGGTGAAACTTGAACTGATTAGCAATAACGGCCACCGCACACTATGATTTTTGCAAGCATACGCCGGATATTCCAGTCATTTAGAACAGAAGAGGAAGAAAGGTTATACTCAAGAGCTGCATTTTTCAATTTACTTGGGTTTTTGGGCTCTTGTGTTTTGTTTTCATTTGTTGCTCAACGGTTATCTCGACATCCAAGAGAATTGGCTCATATAGCGAGGGCTGACGCACTACTAAAAGCCATACTGTCATGATGATAAGGCAACGGTGGTATTACTTGCAAAGAGGCGATGGGGCGTTTACATTAATACACTTGACTACATAGATACAAGTTTTAATTTTTCCAATATTCGTCTAATTTTATCCAAAATGTGGGATGTTGGCTGTTGATCTCACTCGACTTAATGTACAATATAATCTATCCTTTAATTAAAATTTCCTTACAAAACTCATACGCTGTCCACGATATAGCGGTACCGGGGATATTGAATATTACTCTTGGTTTAAGACCTTTCCAAAAGGCAGCATACCCAGCCTCTTTATACAATGCTTTAGCAGCAGTATTGAATCCAGTAACATGTCTCAATGTTTCATTCTGCGATATACCTCTGGTTTGTAAAACTGTTCGAACGCAATCCAACGGCGTGGTTAATGCAGCAGCGATACCTCCTGCGATACCACCACTAACACAATGCAAATATGGATTATATGAATTGTTCGGATTGAGTAGTAATGAGCTGTATTCGTAGAATCCAAAGTTTAATGCAGCAAATGGAATGTTTGTGAATAATGTTGTTGGATATGAAATAAAAAAAGCAGAAATACCTTCATTCTTGTATATATCACGGGCCAATTTAATCAATCTTACCGAAGTGGACTTGTTTTCAGTGTACGCAGCACTTGCTTGCATTCTTTGCTTCAACATGTCAAATGGAGTCATCAAGGCATCGGATGCTGTTGTAGCAGCAACACCAGCACAACTGGCTATAAGTGGATGATTTGCATCAGTCACTATTCTCGTTGAGTGGGGCGAATTGGTCAATCTATTGACAAGAAAAGTCTTTGTTGATTCAAAAACTGAAAAATAAATTGCATGTGCTGGACCGGCGCCTAGTATTACCGATGATACACCTTTCCACAAAGCTCTGAACCCTTCAGTCGAGCTGATTCGTGATATTGACTTGACTAATCCGCGTGATATCTCTTTAGTCGATAAATTCATTTGCATTCTTGTCTTGATTGAGTCTATGGGGAACATCACCGTGTGTTCAGCTATACCGGCCAAGGCACCAGCACTCAAATGGGCAGCTAAAGATGCATCTTCTGGTAAAGCCTCATAATCTATTTCAAGCGGGTCTTTGGGCATAAACTGTATCTGATGTTCGTGATGTTCCATCTTTGTTAACTGTGAAGGGCTCCTGCAATGTAATTCGGAAATTTTATGTACAATGGCTGATTTGGAGGTGGGAGGATATTTGCACTTGAAATTTTGAAATATTTTCTTTCTCTGTCTTTTTTCTACTCTCGTTTTCTCCCTTCTTTTTTTTTTTTTCAGCGCCTGGAACCTCCTTGATGATGAAGAGACTTAGATGCAGCTGTTGTCGTGGTTGTTGTGGGCTCCCAAAGAAGATCTAAGGACTGAAGAAGAGTGTATAAATGATACAATGAGATATGAGACTGTATCCCTTAAGTCAATGCCTTTTCGAGGGAAAAAATAAAAAAAAAACAAAAGAAAAGAAAGTGATGATGATAGACAAAGTAAATTATGTAATACGGCGTTAGAGAAGAAGGAAGCAAAAGCAAAAAAAATGAAAAAAAAATTGATTCTCCATTTATCGGCTTTGCTCTCTTTCTTTCTCTCTCTTTCCCGCAGCCATTATTTTTTTTCTGTTTTAGTTTGTCATACTTTAAATTAGATCTAGACGTCATCAAACAAATTATACTTACTTTGATTTTGAATTACGAGGGGGGGCCATATTGCAACACAATAGAGCCGGAATATTCATGGTACAAGTCTTCTCACACATACACCCATCAGTTGTTCCTCTTTCATGTTGCCTACATTGCCATTCTTTCTTTCATATAACCATTCAAAATTTAACATTTATATCAATGGTTTTGCATCAATTTTCATATCATACTGTTCAGGTACAATTGACTTGACTCTACCAGTCTTTAAACAAACTTCAACATTATCAGCTGCCCATTCTTCCATATTCTTGATAGCTTCATAAGTATACGTTCCCATGTGGGGTAAACTGACAACATTGGGGAAATCAAGCAATTCTTGAGAAACTTGTGGTTCATTTTCAAATACATCAGCACCAAAAGCACCGATTTTACCCGATTTGATCAATTCGGGTATTTGCAACTCATCAATCACAGCACCTCTAGCAGTATTAACGATAATCACCCCATCTTTCATCTTGGAAATTTCTTCTTTGTTGATTGAGTGACGTGTATGGGCATTCAATGGTACACTGATGCAAATTACGTCAGCTTGCTTGTACAAGTCATCTTTACTAACGTACCTAGCACCATTTTCCAACTCTGGTTTCAATTGACTTCTATTATGGTAGATGATTTCTTTGAAACCGAATGGTTTCAAACGATCTCTAATGGCTCTTCCAATACCACCCATCCCTAAAATACCAACAACTTTACCTTCGGGACTTCTTCCCAATTTAGCACCGGCGAATCCCTTTTTAGGCCATTCGCCTTTCATCATCAATTCATGTCCTTGTTGGTAGTTTCTCAAACAGGTTAAAGTCAAGTACAAAGCGGTATCAGCAGTGGGAGCTTCTACGGGGACTGTGACATTGGATACTTGGACACCCCTTTTAGTAAATGGTTCAATATCAACTTGATCATAACCAGCACCAGTATGACTTACAGAAACTAATGTGTCTGGCATATGCAGAGCCAATTCTTCATCAAATCTCCCAGTTTGTTCAATTGAGGCAAATGTACGCAAGATATTAGTGACATCTTTGTATTTACCTTTTAAATCTTGAAAAAACTCTTCTCTATTGGCAGATTCACAATCAACAACTTCAACCAATTTCGAAATCTCGTCCCATTTTTCATGAGCAAATGAAATCTTTCCGACTCTGAGAACTTTTGGAGTAGGCATGTTTAATCTAGATGATGATGATGATGATAACGATGAGGACAAGTGTGACTTGATGGAAAAGTAAGATCTTGGGAACGTTGATGGGACTTTATACCTTATCAATAATCTCGTGGCCATACGCGAAAAAATAAAAAGGCAGAAGAAAGTGGGGGATTGCAATTGGGGACGTGGGGGATCCTTTTTGGGGGATCAGAAATGTAAGACGGTGCCCTGTTGGTGGGAAATAATGCACAGAACTGATGTGTATTATATAGTATATTTGCTGTACTCTGAGGAAGCTTTTGTTGAGTATATTCTTTTTTTGTCGGTTGTGGGGAGGAGTAGATTTGTTTTCCGAGTACGCTATCCTTTCGGATCGAGTATTAAGCGCCAATAGATTTCTTAGCAAAAGATATCAGTGACTCGTCTCTCACAAAAGAAGTCAAATTGGTGACTTATATCAGGCAGGCACTAACATCGTCAAGTGATTAGTAATCAGAGTAGTAGTTCTATGTCTGCTCAGAGGACACACAAGTATTAGCTCCTTTACATAGTTTGAGATAAGCTCTTGTAAAAAATAAAAAAAAAAATAAAAAGGAAAAAGGTAAACCTCACATCAGCCATTGCTTTACGTAACATATGTCACTTGAACCAACCACAACTGCCAAAGTCACCTTAATTACCACTAAGGGTGCCATAAAGATTGACATTTTCGCCAAAGAGCTACCGTCAACATCCTTAGCATTCATAACGCAATGTCATCTCAATAAATTTCAAAACGTATCCATTCAAGTTACGCCACAATACATCTCATTCTTATCACCACCAGACCAACCCAACAGCGACACGTTATCCATTGTAAAAGAGTCTCACTCACGAATCAAATGCAAACAACGAGGATACGTTGCGTATGCCAATGGACAATGGCTTATTAGTCGTGGTGAATTGAACCAGGCAAACCTTCAAGTATTTGGTAAAATTGACCAGGCGTCATCGTGGTATATCGTTAATGATATTGCCAATGGCGAGGTCAACAAGGACACTGGTGAATTGGTGTTTCCTGTAACCATTGAAAATTCCATTGTAGATGTACCGTTTTTCAAATTGGATTTGAAGGAGAAGGAGGAGGTTGCTCAAGGAGAAGATGAGAAACCGAAAGCAAAAAAGCCTAAAGTTGCCATTGACTATGATGTTGAAGAAGAAGAAGAAGATACGGGTGTAGATGAGGAGGAAGGTACGATCCGGATCAAGAGCGCATACGATACAGAAAAGAAAAAGAAACGAGATAAAGCTCAGCAAGATGAAGTAGTATCGCAAGCAGATGTTGTACCAGAGTCTAAACTAATGTCTGTTAATGAAAAAAAAGCAGAAGCAGATACAGGTCAGAAGGAAGAGCCATACCATCACAACTCTGAGTCACACTCAAATCACTCCAGTTCCAGCTCTGATTCCGAATCAGTTTCCGATTCCGATTCCGAGTCCGAGTCCGAGTCCGAGTCCGACGAAATGGACCACGCTCCAACACGAGATTCTACAATTGACTCGCCCTTCAATCCCAAACTCGACTTATACAATGCCGAATCAATAACATACTCCGAACTAAAATCTCATAAATTTATCATAAATACATAAACATAGGTATGTAAAAAAAGGAAGTAATTACACAAAAAATGTACAAAAAAATAAACCCTTCTTTTTAAATAGTAAAAAAAACCCATAAAATGTTTCTGAAAACCAAATCATATAAATTTGAAAGTTAAAACTAAACTTTGCCCTTTAATCTTTTGTTGCTGCTTCTCTTTTGAAAGCTCTAATTTGTATATCATTTCTATCTTGATACTTTTTTTTGAATTAAATGTCCCCATCTCTCTTTTTCTCTCTCTCTCTCTCTTTCTTGTCCATTCCGTTATGCTTCACAAGTATACCCTGGTAAATCATCATGGATATTGGGCAAATTCTTCAACATCTCCTCATCGACTTCACAACCACAACCATGACCAACTTCAAAATCATCGCTAGTGGTTGTGGTAGTAGTAGTATCCTCAACATCGCTGCTGTTTGTAAACCATGGATGCTTCAATAAACTTCCGGCGTCATACCGTTGATCCAAATCGAAACTCAAACATTTCAAAATCAAATCACAAATCAATTTAATCTGAGGGTCATTGGCGGGAAACTTGTATTTTTCAACAAGAACTTCTTCCAACCCCCAATATTTCAAATTATCAATGTTTTTGAAAATGATTTGTCGATGATTTTCAGGATGCAATTTGAAAAACTTCCCAGTTAATTTACAATCAACAAGGTACTCATCCAGTGGGAAATGACCCAATAATTCAACAATTTGTGCCAAATGATCTTCATCTTTATCAAAACATTTGCCATCATGAGGATCGAAAAGGAAATCACCCGTGATTAATTCAAATATTATACATCCAATACTCCATAAATCAGTTGATGATCCCCATGATTTATACTTGAGGATGATTTCTGGGGACCGGTATTGACGCGTTTGGATTTGGTTGGTAAAATGTTCATTGGTGTATGTGGCATTACCCAAATCGGCAATCTTGATGGATATATTGTCGCTAGTGACAGCCCCAGCACCAGCAGCACAATTGCTACTTGCAGACTTGATAAGTGATGAATTACTCATGTTGGTTATAGTGGATCTCCTGCCAAGATCGAAAATGGAAAAGTTTTTGGGGCTAATGGCTTTCGACACTGATTTGCGACGGGCCTTGTCAAAATCAACATCCTTGAAGAAAATGTCGGATGATGTGGTTGCTGATGAAAGTGGTTTTGATGAACGGATTGGTGAATCATATTTGCCCAGGATGGAATTCTTCAGTCTCTTGTAGTAGAAACTAGATGATTGTGATGATGTGATTGAGGTCGTTGAGGCTTGACGTTGCTTGTGCTCAGTCAGCGAATGTTGTGATTGTTGTTGTTGTTGTTGTTGTTGATGCAACTCAGCAAGCTCAGGGTGCTCAGTCACAGTGGCTGGTGGCGCCTGTTGAAGCACATTGAAACTCAGAGTGCGTTGAAGTAAACTAGGTTTACTAAAAGATGACCCACCTCGTTTAATCAATGAAGCAGCACGACTCAATGATGAATTACTTGCTCTAGCTTTAGACATTTTCTCGTCTTCAATCAGCTTAATCACCTTGTTGATATCTTCAATGTCAATCAAGATATTTTCCGGTTTCAAGTCTGTGTGAATAATTCCACAATGATGCATATAATCAACCGCTAATAACAATTGTTTAACAATGGTTTTCACTATTGGTAATGGGATACCACCAACACTGCGTGAGGTCTTGATGAGTTTAACCAAGGAGTCAGAACTCATTGCCTTGAGTTTCTTTTCCATTGAAAGTTGCCATGGGTCAGTTGAGGTTGCAGTGGTTGATTGAGAAGTATTACAGCCTGCAGCAGCACCAATTGCCATTCCAAGGCCAAACCCAGTAGCTCCAGTTGCTGTTGTAATCATTGACGAATCAATATCTTCGCCTGTTTCCATTACTGTTTCAATGGGTGACACTGTTGTTGATGAAGATGATACAGTTGATGCAGCTGAAGGTGGGGCAGCAATTGCCGCATCAGTCAAATCCTTCTTTGTCAAACCCAAACTCAATTTTGATTTGGTATTGCGTTTGAAATATTTATTGTCCCATTTACCAAACTTCATGGCTGGTTGTTGAACTTGTTCTGATTTTAAGTGTGGTACTTGTTGCCCGTTAGATTCTTCTCCTTCAACACTCTTTCTCTTGATCTCTTCATCCACATGCCTGTAAAACTTCTTGTACTTGTAAATCAAATTCAAGACATTTTCACCAAGGATTTCAAACACCATACAAATGTGGTTCCCATTAGGACCAGTTATTTCAAAATCATCAAGTAATTTCATGAGATGTTTGTAACCTGGATGTTGTTTTGGTGGATGAGTGTCAAAATAACTACTATATTCACCAGGTAAATGTCCATTATTATGGACTGGGTCTTGCAATGTATGCAAAATCCTAATTTCATCCCTTGCTGCTTCTTTATAATTCTTGTTTGACTTGACAAACTTGATCGCAACAAAGTACTCACTGTAATCATCGTTGCTGCATGTGGATGGTGATGATGATGATGATGATGAGTGAATGGAGCTAGATCCGTTGCCAATAGTGGAAATTCTTGATTTGGCGAGCCAAACAGTTGAAAAATGTCCCCAACCAAGTTTACGTAAAATGACATATTCACGATTAGGTAAGTTGCGACTGAAATAAACATCTCCTTTACAAACAGGATGGTATCCACCAAATTTATAATCCAGTTCACTTTCTTCATGTTTGGGATCAAAATTCAAATCCAGTTGAGAGTCTTCAAATTCTGGTTCAAAATTGTATAAACCATGGTCGTCGTCATTCTCATTGTCAAAGCTAAATTCAGATTCAGCTTGTCGTTCAATTGTTTGTGGTATGGTTGTTGGAGTACAAACCTTTGTCGAGACTGCATCCTTGTGAGGATTGGTTGTTCGTATATTGTGATTGCCTGAAAATGAACCAATGCGTAGTATGCTTTTCAAATTCCTCTTTGGTGCTGATGTATTGGTTCTTGATGATAAAGATGGACGTGTTGCAGTGACCGAATCTTTAAGTTTAGTTTTTTTAACACCACCTCTTTGCTTGTCAACATTTAATTTGGATTCCACGTCATTGTCGGTGTTATAGTCGGACGCATTGATGATCATTGTATCTGAATCCAAATCCATGGCTGTACTCATTTCACTATTTTGCAATGATACACAATCGGCAGTGAATGAAGTATATCTCTCATGATCAGATGATAAGCCATTATTAGGTGGTGCTGTGGCAGTGTTGGTTTGTTGGTGAGAAATATAGCCTGGAGAAGGTGAGAATAGTGCTGATCTGGGGATTGGTTGTAAAGTTGACGGAGCAAAATGAGGATTACTTGACTCAAAGGAAAACTCTTGTTCTGCAATGAAGTCGTTGTCGTCATAGGCTTTCTGGTTGTTGGAAACTGTTTCTCCTTCTTCTTCTTCTCCTTCTTCTTCCTCCTCCTCCTCCTCCTCTTCAATGCTTCGTATAATGGTGAGATGGTTTGTATTGTCCATGATATTGTGTGGGGTCACTACAGGTGAGGTTAAAGTATATGAATTTTGTTGTCTGGGCGTAGTCAATACGTCATCACTATATGTATAGTCAGCGTAATTTGTGGGTGACAGTTGTAGGCTGGAAATGTCATCTTGTTGTTGTTGTTGTTGTTGTGGTGGTGGTGGTGGTGGTGGTGGTGGTGGTGGTGCTTGTGCTTCTTCCTCATCTTCTTGTTGCACTAATTCCTCCTGTTTCTGCTGTAGCTGTTGCTCCTTTTGAGCTGTGATGGAGTTGCTTCTTTTCCTGAATAGCCCTTGTAAACTAAATTTGGACTTTTTGTCAGCAATTGTAGAATCATTGCCACTTTTTTTCAAACTAGGTGCTCTACCTAGGAGTGGAAGTGATGAAGAAGACATTGATGAAGGTGTTGCTGCACTAGCCGCATCAGTTGTTATATTATTCACCCCACTGCCGTTGGTTATTGCCGATGGTGAAGCCAATGCATTTGTGTGTGAATTTTTGCGAAAGTGGGTGGCAGTCATTGTGTTGATGTGTATGCTCTTGTCCTTGCCATTTTGATCATGAGTTGTATTGTTGTTAGTGCTGTTTATTCTGTTTATCAACAACATTGTGCTTGTATCTGTGTCTGTGTCTGTGTCTGTGCTTTTGCTTTTGCTTTTATACCGTTTGGTTTAGTAGATTATAAGAATGTTTCATAAGTATATTATTATTGAGCGCAATAAGCTATAAGTTTTATGAGTTGATGTTGTAGATGTTGTAGAAGTTACTATGTATATGTGGTCACCAAGTGAATGTAGTAGTTGATTATTGTGCATAAAATCGTGGAAAGGACTGAGTTCAATAGTAGATAATAAAGTCTGGTTAAGTTGGTTGAATTAATAGTATTTGCTGTGGTAAAAGTAGTAGTAGTAATAAACAGGATAATTGCTCAGTAGGTTTGCTAATGGGTTGATGGTTGAGTTAAAGGTTGGTTGTAATTTGAGTATAGATTTGGTTGCTAAAATATGAAAACGATAAAAAAAGGGAGGGGGGATGGGGTGGGGTGGTCAAAGAAAAGTTGATACAGTAGTTGATATATATATATATATATATAAATATGGTTGTTTCTGTTTTATGTATGTGTCTAATTGTTTTTTTCTTAAATAAAAAGGAAAAAGAAAGTGTCACTCTCAATCAATCAAACAAACAATCAATCAATCAATCAATCAATTACAAAATTAAAATAAAAAAAAAAAAATTAAAAAATTTATTTAAATTTAACCCGCTCTGCAGTATATTTTAACTGTATTACGTAATGCATATATATATGTATATCAATAAAAAACACCACAGTTATTTCGTCATTAAGCATATAGATATTATATGCAGTACATGCGTCAATTTATTTTTTTATTAATTTTTTTTTTTTTTACAACATTCTTTACACCCCTCCCTTTCTCCCTCGGACAACAGAAAAACACAGTTTTAGACAAACCCAAGAAATTACTTCAATCCACCACTCCTCAACAATAATAACAACAGCAATAAGACTAACAACCCAACCCTTTAGAAAAAGAAATAAAAAAAAAAGGGGGAGAGACTGAAAAAGTAGACTAGACGAATAGAAAAAGTAAAAAATCAAAGTCAATTGAGTTAGAATTATGTGTATGTTCCAATGTCAATTAAGAGAGAGAGAGAGGGTGGGAGGGGGTGTAGTCATTAGGGAATGTGTTGTTATCAGTTCAGCATCCCTTTCTTTCAATTTAAGCTGAGGCTTTGAAATTTGAATTTTTTATCTCTTTTTTGATCGCCATTATATTGTTATTTACTTATTTTTTTCCTATGCTCATCGGTTACAAATTTTTGTCAAACAAAAATTAAAACTGTGGTTATTGGTTAAAAGAAAAAGAAAAATTATAACAATTGAAAGCCCCCAAACCGAATAGCATTTTAACTCAGGAATGAACCGACAAAAGTAAGAGGAGGGGAATATTGCTCAATTTATCTCGCACCTTGCATCAGTCCCGGGTTGTCTATTTAATTGGGTAGGGTAATTGCAGCTACGCTCATCCATAACTATGTTGATATACGTGTGTGTAGTATCCCTTGTTAATCCCACAATCGCAATTGCCTTGAACTAAATTGATGCTCTTTTTCTTTTGTGGCTATTTTCGTTCAGCAAATTACCGATAAAAAAGATCGGTTACAAAATAGCCCATCTTAATCATGGGAAGAGTGAAAACTCAACGCCTTGTATTATAAACACAATAGAGGTATATCCCTATGTCACAAAAATAAATGGTGTTTTAGTCTAATTTTTAAGCAATGGTTTGTATACCAACCAACTCGTTCACAATGCTATTGGTTGTACTGTGGTTGTGGCTGCAGTGGTGGCGTTCTCATTGGCAAAACTGATTTTATTGCGAGTTAAAGCTCTTCTCTCTTTTTTTTATTTTTTTTTTTGTGCGTGTCACGTGTAGAACAATAGATTTCAATCTCCTCGCTTCACACTGTGCCATATTTCTATTTCCATTGTTTGTTAATAAAAAATTGTTGTAGATCAAAGGATCGGATGATCATACAAAACACTATGAATGGTTGTGTTTTCTGGAGTGATTACGACCGTGATGTTTAGGTACTACTATGGTCACAACTAGTGTGACCTTACTCCCCCTCTCCCCCCACACACGTTCTCTCTGTCTCTCTTTCCTATTTGGTAAGTTGTACTATTTGTGTTTAATAAAAGATAATCCCAAAAGGTGGGGTGTTGTGTTGTGCTATAAGCGCCAGCATGGAAAAAAAAAAAAAAAAAAAAAAAAAAAGAAATGTTGTAAGGCAAATTAAGATTTTCCTTTTTTTTTTTTTTTTTTTTTTGGTTCTATTTTGTTCTTCTATTTCTTTTTGTTGAGCTTTTGAGAATTGTTTTTTACTACTTTTGCGGAGTTTCAATTTGTTACTCTCCCCTCGTTTTTGTTACTCTTTCAGAGCTTTTGGACTGAAGTAAATGTAATTTAAACGGTTACGTCCTGATTGGATAACGAAAGAAACACCAAACTTCACACACACACACACACACACACACACACAACAACGTCGAGCTTAAATCTCCCTATGTTTTCTCTCCAATTAGATGTAACGAAGTAAGTGTTATATTTAAACCTTTTTTTCCCTCCTTCGCAAAAACAGCAAAGAAGGGAGAGAGATAGAATTCACAAACCAATAGTCGAAATCCTTTTGTCTAGTTATCAAACTTTTTTCCAAAAACTAACAGATAGGTAGATAGGTACACAATAATTATAATATAGGTAATATGCAGATGGAAGCGTTTATGTATGTACCCCTACCACTTGATCAGGTTGCATGTACTTTATCGTATCCGATCATAAAGCTTTACTTTCTAAAAGAGACAGTGGAAAAGAGTGCGTGTGGGTATCTTTTTGCTATGAGCCCACACACACATACTTGAATTGTCCAACTAGATGCCGTACAAAAAAACGGCAAAGTCAGGCGAGACAGTAAAACAACACGCAAGAAAAAAAAAAACGATGCACAAAATCTTAAAATCTTTAAATTTTTAAACGGCATTCTGTCGATGTGAAAATAAAAAAAAAATGTCAAAAATAAATAAATAAATATAAAAATAAAAAAAGGTAAACAAAGCAATGTCAATTTCTCTATTTTAGCGACACTGCATACACCATTCGAAAAAAAAATATTCCAACTTGAAACAGGTACTTTACTATATTATATTAATTTTTCGTATCTTATCAATAAAAATGACTTTCACATATGCCGAATTACATCATACCTTAATTGGAAGAACTATATCTTTCCTGAAGAGAGTAGAAGTAGTTAATCTCACCATGCATTTCTTTCTATACTCAATAAGCTTTTCTGCTTTCTTAGGTTCAGCAATTTGTGCTTTTTTCCCAAGTTTTGTTGGGCTTGTTAGTTTTCTCCCCCCCACATTTCGTATATTGTCCTCCTTTTGAAAAAACACAAATCGCGGATTTTGTTCAACAACCAAAATATACTAAGCAAAAGCATCAAATTGGCTTGTTGCGGCGGGTGAACGCAAATGAAGAGGCGTAGTAGTCAAAGAGAAGGAGGATTGTAGCGAGATCGCACTGCAATGCACTTCACCTGCCCCCTGCCACCTTCCTCCTTCCCCCTATGGAAAGCCAATCCCTATTTCTTTTTTTTTTTTTTTCTTTCAACTTACGCAAGATTCAAAATTTTAATAATCTTTTCCCTCTTTTTCAAAAAATCGTCCGGATTTATGAAAAACCTTGAATATAACTCTCAATATTAATTCTTCTATGTCTCCATATCTCCATATCTCTATATCTCTATATCTTCTATATCTTCTATATCTCATGTCGTTTTTTCCCTTTCTACCCCGCTTTTCAAAGCTCAACAGATTTCACTCTTTTTTTTATGATATAGTCTGCATGCATGCAGTTGTGTGATGATGATGATGATGACGATGACAATCAAAAAAATTGGCATCTCTCTCTCAAAGGTTGAAAAACTCATGAATGACCCTTGTCATTTGATGCATCTAATGTAGAAACCCAAACCCGAGTGCCATCGATACCGATCTTTAAAACACCAAGGGGTGGGAGTTGGTGTTTCATTTGTCGACTTTTTTTTTAACCCCGCAATTTGGCTGTCGTTCTTTATTTAATATCTCGGAGTTCTTTTCTTACTAGCGATCACCGGTGGAGTAAATGAACCGAGATATTTGAACAAAAAAGATCGGCTAATGCTTTGTATCAAGAATAGAAATGAAAAGCTTCTGTTACTTGAATAGGAAAGCAATAACCATATTAGGTCAAAATCAAACGTTTTGTTTCTTTACAACAACCCTCGTTGTTAAAAAGAAGAGAGCGATGTTTGGTCAAGGTTACATTTAGATGCTTCTTTGCTTAAATCTACTCCGCAACGCAAACGATAGATTAATGGTCATGTAATTATCTGTTGCTCTCTTTGACGTCATTTTCAAACAGTCAGTTGCATGAAGCTTGAAAATATGTTTGATCCCTCCCCCTTACTCCAGAGTCATCTTCACATAAATGCAAAGGTTGTCTTGCAAGTGAACTGTCATGTGTCTCTCTCTTTACTTTGTGATCAATCGAAAGTCATAAAGTTGGAGAAGTTTGATATTGCGGAGACAGGCGAGCAGTAAATGGTACGTTTGTTTGTTGATGTTCCACTGGATAAGAGTTCGTGGGACAATTTTGGAACGGTTCATCAAACGGATCTTGGTTGGTATGTTGAAAGATGATACACAGTTTGGATTCACTCTCCTTGCTTGCGCATACCAAAATGTTGATTGAAATTCCTGTTCCCATTCGTATTATAAGCTTTGGAGTTCTTGCATTTACCTATCGTGTTTCTCACACAGTTGAAAGAGAGCGGTCACTACTTGTTTTGAGAGGAACAAGTACCGCGTACCTTGCTTTTGAAGTATGATACTCCCCAATAAAAAAAGTCGGGAGCTTGACGTTGGGTGCAACGTCTCACCGCCGGCAATACCAAACACCGAAAAAACCGGGGATTTAAAAATCGATTAATTTTTTGTCCCCATCGAATGCCGAAACTCACAAGTAATTACAAAGTTGATAACTACAAAGGGAAGTACAGCAAAGAGGTAAACGATCAAACGTTTGGGAAGCAACAACTTGAGCATGGAATTACCAAAAAATCACAGGAAAGTAATCCCATCAAGCGGGGTTCCACAACATTTTTAAGCCATCATTTACAGCTTATAGATAGACAAGTTCATGTTGAGTTGCAAAACAGACCACTTTGGACTCTCTTACTTCCTTTTCAGTTTGAAGTAAGCCTACCCGTGCCACTACTGCTCAACACCGTCGTCGAAATCAATTGGTTTGCAATTTACAAATGAGACCACGTTTTTCACAGGCTCTTTTTGTGTTCCTTGTCGCCCAAGAAAAACAAATATTGCGCTGTCTAATTTGTCTGACACATTGAAGTACCTAATTTTCTTAGCTCCAGGGACCAAAGACGTCGGCAATCGAAAAGACAGATGGGGAGTGTGTTACTACCAGTGGTTTAATCTACAAGGGGGTTTCAACAATAGAAATTAGTACAAGCCGTACCCGTTCCCGCAAACAGTATCATGATCAGAATACTGCTTCACCACGTGGCTCAATTTAGGTCGTCTATTGTTCCTTTAATTTTAACTTTATTCAAACAAAGATAAGCCACTCGACCAAAAATAGAAAACCAGAGACACAAAAGTAGATTAGGCAAGGGTGATTTGACCAGGATTAACGCCAGTTGTATCACATTTGTGCGATCAAAATGAGACAAAACGTGGTCAATGTAGATTTTTATTACATGCATATATGGGCCGATGGAACAATGGGATTCATGGATCTCATTATACTGTGATACTGAAAAAACATATAAAGGCAAGACAAATGTCTAGGAATTTAAGATGCCGTTGATTCTCTCCATCAAACATCATGTCTGCAACTGATAAATCACCAGAGGTTGTTGAAACAGTCCAACGCGACTCATTTGAGCCATCACATAGCAACGATGCCCCACCACAAAAACAACACTACACATACGACGCAGAAGCTAGACGTCATCGTTTAGATGGTGGTGTCAAACTCAGAGACGCATTGATGATTCTTTGTGCCGGGTTTGCTTTAATTTCTGATGGGTACCAAAACAATGTCATGTCAATGTTGAACAAGGTGTTTGCTATTGAATATCCTGATGTTTACGATACCGATTTGTCAACTCAAGTTTCCAATGCTTCATTGGTTGGTACAATTTTTGGCCAATTAGTCATTGGGTTCTGTACTGATTTGATCAGTAGGAAATCGGCCATTGTTATTGCCACATGTTTTCTAATTTTTGGCAGTGCATTGTGTGCTGCTTCTCATGGTAAAACTGTATTGGGTATGTTTTGGATGTTGACCATTATGAGAGGCGTCACTGGGTTTGGTATTGGTGCTGAATACCCATCAAGTTCAGTCACTGCGAGTGAAGCAGCCAATGAATCGGTCAAGAGAAGAGGAATGGCATTCATCTTGGTTACCAATGTCCCGTTGGCATTTGGTGGACCATTTGCATCGATTATTTTCCTCATTGTCAACAAAATTACCAAAACCCATTATGATGCCTTGTGGAGAACCATGTTTGCCATTGGATGTTTTTGGCCGTTATCGGTTTTCTATTTCAGAATGAAGATGGTGACTAGTGAATTGTTTCAAAAGAATGCCATTAGACATAAACCCCCATACTGGTTAGCTCTCAAATATTATTGGCCTAGATTATTGGGGACCACGGTGACTTGGTTCTTGTACGATTTTGTAACTTTTCCCAATGGTATCTTTTCCGCTACAATCATCTCCAATGTTATTTCCGATACTTCTGATTTGGAGAAAATCGCTGAATGGAACTTGTTGCTTGGAGCAATTGCATTACCTGGATGTTTTGTTGGTGCTTATATCGTCGATAAAATTGGCAAGAAATACACTATGTTGATTGGGTTTATTGGGTATATTGTATTTGGACTCATTGTTGGTATTGCTTATTATAGAGTTAAAAAGATTACAGCATTGTTCATTGTACTTTATGGATTGATGCAAAGTTTTGGTAATGCCGGTATGGGGAATGTCTTGGGTTTGGTTTCAAGTGAATCTTTTGCTACGCCAGTAAGAGGTACTGGATACGGAATCAGTGCCATTATTGGTAAAGTTGGTGCTGTTTGTGGTACAAAGGCATTTGAACGTGTATTGACCATTGGGGGATCTAAGGCAAGTGGTCAAAGATACACATTTATTATTGCTGCTTGTTGTGGATTATTGGGGGTCATCATGACCTGGTTGTTCATTCCTCATTTGAAAACTGATGATTTGATGGAGGAAGATGTTAGGTTCAAGAATTATCTTAGGGATCAAGGTTGGAAGGGTACTATTGGGCTCAAGAGTGAAGACAGAGAGGATGAGGAGGAGAATATTGATAGTTCTGAAGATTCTGAAATTATTGAGTTGCAAGACCAAAAGCGAATCGAGCATAAGGGTAATATGTAGTGAATAATAGTTGGTGGTTAATCTAATTTAATATCTAGTAGTTTTTTTTATGGCTGCGAAGTAGAACAGACTAAAAAAAAAAAAAAAAAAAAAAAAATACTTACATTTCATTCTTTAGTTCCACATCATCGCTCTTCTTTTACACAATGGAGAGTGAACCACCTTGCAAAAAAACTAAAGCTCCACCTCCAACCCCAGAAGAGATTGAGAGGCGACGTGAAGCGAGAAAGCATGAAGTGGTACCACCAGGTTTATCAAGACGTGAATGGAAGAAACAACAAAAACTTCAACGATGGGAAGAGACCAAGGACCAGTATCGACAGGACATGAAGTTGAAAAAGAAACAACAGCGACAACGCAAACGTGAGAGACTTAGGAGTGATGAAGAGTACCGCAACAGCATCATCAAAAAGCCAAAGCACCAAATTGCCACTAATGTAAAGATTGCCATTGATTGTGAATTTGATGATTTGATGAACCAAAAGGAAATAGTATCAATGGCGAACCAAATTAGATCTTGTTATTCATCAATGAGGCATTGTCAATACGAGCTACCCATTCAAGTAATGTCATTCAATAAACGACTTAAACAAAGGTACGACACATGCAACCCCGAGTACACATCCTGGAAAGGTATTCAATTCCAATCGGAACACCTTGCTGACTTGATCACACCAGAAAACAAACATCAATTTGTCTACTTGACAGCAGACACCGATAACGATATTCAAGAATTGAGTCCCAATCACACGTATATCATTGGTGGAATTGTTGATAAAAATCGACACAAGAATTTGTGTTTCAATAAAGCAAAGTCGATGGGTTTGGCCATGGCACGATTACCCATTGGACAGTATATCAAAATCAATAGTCGTGATGTGTTGGTGACTTCTCATGTGTATGAGATTATTTGTCGATGGTTTGAATGTAAGGATTGGCGACAGGCGTTTAATAAGGTGTTGCCTCCTAGGAAAGTGGTCCAGGGTACCGAAAGTGGGCAAGATGATACAAGTAATGATGGAGAATACGACGTTGGAATAGAAGATAAGGAAAATGAGTGCGAGGATGGAAAACAGGATGCAGTTTGTGAGACGCCACGAGTTGTTGATGAGGCTGGCAATGAAAATGAAAATAACAATGTTGCAGATGTCAAGAAAGAATAGCTTAGGCTGTAAACAGAATGGAAACGGGGCTATATAACAACTCTTAAGGTAGAAGTTAGGTGCTACTGGCAAAATGAGGGTGCTAAATATCTCTCCAAGACGAGGTAGCGCGATCTAAATATTGAATTCGCAACGAGGTTTTTCTCAGCAATTACGCGCCACTTCTTTTGCCAACTGGTTCCACCATGACAACCAATATAGACTATGGCGACCTCAAGGATGGATTGATAATAGAATACGCCAAACGGAAACTAGCAAGTGAAAAGAAAGCCGTGGCTGCTAGCATTCGTGAAATAGAGCAGTCCGTGTCGTTGCCCGTGGTAAAATCACTTCACACACTCTCTAATTGTTTGGCACGTTACGATGACCCCAATGCATTGGATAAAGCACTTGATGCGATAGATTTAGCAAATATTTACGAAAACGTTGAACGTCGTGAACGAGAAAGCACTAATCCTGCATTGAGCTATGATGATTTCGTGGTGCTTGAATTACTACGATATTTCAAGCATGATTTCTTCAAATGGGTCAACTCTCCATCTTGTCAGTGTGGCTCATCGGAGGTGGTGAATTCCGGCATCAAACGTCCTGATCCATCCAATAACCCTGATGAAATTTCCATCATTGAGGTTTACCGATGCCAAAAGTGTAATCAATATGTCGAGTTTGCTCGAATAAATAACCCAGTGTCATTACTTTCTACACGTTTGGGTCGATGTGGAGAATGGGTCAATTGCTTTTTGTTAATTTTGACTGCCTTGATTGGAGACGGCAAGGATAGAATCAGATATGTTTGGAATAATGAGGACCATGTTTGGTGTGAGTATTACTCTTTTGGATTGAAAAAATGGGTTCATTTGGATCCATGCGAAGGTGTATTTGATGAACCGTTGTTGTATTGTGAAAACTGGGGGAAGCGAATGTCATACGTTATCGGATTCAACAAGTATAGCGTCGTTGACTTGAGTAAGAAATATATCACCAAAGCCAAGCAGATTAAACAACTGGATGTGGTTAATCCAACTAAAGTCAAGAATTCGATCCGTTTTCACAATGTGAAAAAAGCAGACGAGTATCTAGCTACAGCAAGATCAAATAAGCTGGAAAATGAACTGTGGAGATTGTTATACACTGATGTGTTTGTTCCAAGAAGTCGTGAACTTGAGGACTTAGGTATTGCAAAACCAACCCCATCATTGTCTGATTTACCTAAAGGTCGTCAAACAGGATCTGCCACATGGACTCAAGCTCGTGGTGAAGATGGGTAGAGAGTCGACATTTATAAATCTAATAGATTACAAAAATTTTACTTGTTGATTGTAGATATCGGGGCACGCATTTAGTCAATTGTGGGAGGGAATAAAATACTAATCCTTAACTATGTGTTTTGTAATAGTTTCTAGATTTGTTAGATTAACACAACATCATCAATAAACATTAATTGGTCCCTTGGCCCAGTTGGTTAAGGCGTGGTGCTAATAACGCCAAGATCAGCAGTTCGATCCTGCTAGGGACCATTTTTTTTTGCTTCTCAAATTTGGCATACTCTTTTCTCCGTCTCTTCAACTTTTTTGCATAAACCCCACTTACGTCTCCATTTTTAGTTGTAAATCCAAAGATAGCTTTTACTTGGGGCTACGTGGTATAAATTTGTTTGTTTGATATGGATGAATTTCTACTCATTTTTTTTGCCGCAAAATGGAGACAAAATGAGGAAATTAGAACTAGGGAGAATTCTTAACACTCTCCGCTTTTTTTTTAATATTTGCAAATATTGTGGTTCACTGTAGGGTGACCAAGTCAATCGATACCCTTAAATCTCTATACGATCTCCCATGCCTTCTGGTGTCCCTGGCATAACAAATTATTTCTCCTTCATAATGCTTGGTAGTCCGATGCATGATATTGATAGCGTAGAGTGCTGCAAATCATATCTAGTGCCTTATATAACAGTTCAATAAGTGCTATTGCTATTTTGCATATAACTATAGGCTACTGAAGAGTATCAATTTTTTTTACAACCATTTTAGCAACCACATTAAAACCGCACCACCACACCACACACCACCACAGTAGTCTTGAATGACACTCAGGAAAGTTTCCCACATAATCAGAAGATATACACAACATGATCCAAAACGGAAGAGATGTACTCAATTCCAGAGCTGCAATACTTGGTTCAATTGAGGATTTTACTGAAGATTATACGAGCTTTGAAGAGTACATTGGTGATCAAAACAACCAAAACCCATTCACTGATGAAGCTACACCTACAATTAGTAAACGAAGAAGGTCCAAAGTTGGCCACTTTTTGAAAAAGAGTATACAACGGGTTCTCCATATAAAATTGGGTCAGAAAAATCCCCAGATTTTTCACCCAGTGATTGCAAGTGCATCAGATATTCCCGATTATGAAACTGTTATTCCAGCTCGTCACGTCACCACAAATATGGCCATCTCCCCACGGTTGATACAGCTTGCCAATAACTTTAGAAGCGGGATAAAAAATCGACCGAGGGATGAAATGTACTTGCTTTCATCAGCATCAGCTGGAACATCCGTCAATTCACTATTTGAAGATGGTCGTGTTTCGCTTGAGGGCACTGGTGCCACCACTGCTGATTCCAATGCTCATATATTTTAGAAATAGATAGAGAATTGTATAGGATCTAGATGTGCAAAGTATCATAGTGTGTCCTTTCGACCAAAAATTGATCCCATCACCTCCTTGGCTCCAGAAAAAAAAAGCTCTCAGTCACACGCGTTTTACGATTGCAAATCAGCAGCTCCAATCCAGTTCAATATCGTCATACTATATACAATTACATGAGGCGACAGAGCTTACAGAGATTCCTTTATTAACCATGCATTCAAGAAAACCCTTTTTAGGGTTAACATTTTGTTGTACGGGAGTTGAGGCGACGACGAGAAATGAAACAATGAAGATAATTGAATCCATGGGTGGAGTACAGTACCTAGATCTCATGACTGATGTGCAGTATTTAATAGTGGGGAATAGGAAAACTCAGAAATACCAATTTTGTATCAAGAATCGACTAGATATAAAATATCTCACGACAGAAGCTGTATTCAAAGTCCACGAGCAATGGCTAACAGGTGATGACGACGTGGACAAGCTACTAGATGAATACAAGCTACCTGTATTTAGCGAAATGAGCGTTTGCTTTTCCAGAGTTGAGCTAACCCAATCGCAAGTCAAACACCTTCTAAGTTCCAGTTTTAGGCGTGCTGAGGAGAAACAATTCACTGAAAAGCAGCTTTTGAAACAATTTACTCAAAATGGAGGTGTAGCGAAGGAGTCATTACTGAATAATCAAAACTGCATGATCAGCGCTGATCCCAGAGGTACGAGATATAACAAAGCAAAGGAATGGGGTATTCCAGTAATACATCCAGTTTGGATTATAGATAGCATACTACGAGGAGCGGCTTTGGACTTTGATGACTATTTATTGACGAGCGATCCGCTGGAGATATACGAGAACGGATGCAACGTTTGGTTGGAGTTGTTTAACAAAGAGAAGAGACCAACGACTAGACAATTGCCAAGACAAGCTGTTGAAGAACCAAAAAAGCTCAAGCGTGGGAAAAGAACAGAGATATGGAATTCCATTATGGACCACACAAGTTATGAAAAAAAAGGACCTATGGCGGTAGATAAAACGTGGGACGAAGAAAGTGACTCTGAGAATTACGAGGAGATTGAATATGTAAAGCCTGTTGTAGGAATGGCGAGAAGTAGCTTGTTCCTCGGATTCAAATTTTTGCTAGTTGGATTCACGGTAAGAGAATCTGATTTGTTGAGTGGCGGTATTGAAGCATTTCAAGGGGAGATCACTACAGATGTTGACGACACCTCCATGTCTCATATAATTATCCCCGCAAACAGAGGAAGCGAAGCGTCCTATTTGTTGCGAGCCTTACCCAGTGGCATCAAACTGATGGTTACGAGTGGAGATATTAAAGTCGTGACTGAGTTTTTCATTGAACGATGCATGTTTTACAAGAAAGTGGTGTTGGACCGATGGGGACAACCAATAAAAGGGTTGATGAACTCGTCGAGAAAGTTTAAAGTGTCAACCACAGGCTTCACCGGTATTGAATTGTTACATATAGAAAAGCTAATCAAGTTTCTCAACCTTGAATACTGCGAATCATTTTCGGAGCTGCGTGATTTGTTAATTCTCAATGTCAACCTATTTAAAGAGAGCTTTATGAAAAATTCACCAAAGTTGTTTCAATACCCATACAAGGATATACTCAATTGTCCAACGTATCAATCGGGTCAATCTTCAGTATCCTTGCTATCGGCAAAGAACAAGATTGATGCTGCCAAGAAATGGAGTATCCCTGTGGTATCTATTGCCTTCTTGTGGGAGATATTTGAAAAATCACAATACAAATCTGCACTAATAATTCCCGAATTGAACGATCCACAATGGTGTATTCATGCACCAATCAATTACATCCGGCCAAAATCATTGATTGAGTATATCAAGAGTATGGGTGATTCGGGGCCAATCAAAGACAGTGGCGAAATCAGCAAAAACACCATCATTGATGATGATCATGATGATGGTGGTGGTGTCAGATTGCCCTCCCCGAGAAAGTCTAGGCCAAAACAGAAATATGGCAAATTAATGGGAAGCGTGTCGCCACTGTCAATGAGAAGTAAGCTTACGGATGCATCCATGACATCAAGATCAACCATTATTATGGACGATGAAGATGACGATGAAAGAGAAGGTACTGATGCGGTAGGGGCTGGGTTAAATTGTGATGTCACAAACGATGAAGACTTGTCTTCGCAAGTTAGGTACGAGGACGCCGAGTCAATGATGAATCAAGAACGTCTTTTGAAGAAATTGGAAGAGGAGTCACCTCAATATAGACGGGAAACGGGATTGACTGCAAATGGTAGCTCAACAAAACGGCGTAAGACTAGAGGGCAGTAGCCCTATTACTACAGACCACGTGACCTTTATCAGATCTGTTAACTTCAATTTTTTGAGAACAATTTGGCATATCTAGGATGTTTAAAATATATAGCGAACCAATTAAAGACCATCCCGCTGACCACTACACTTGCAAGACGATGCTAATAGCAAATTTGAAACTAGAAAGGTGGTGTGCTTTGACCAATTGGTAGAACTTACATCTTCTTACAACGAATTCTACGGTGCTCTACTAGTGCATCCTATTGTTGCATCATAGACTTAGAGAGTGAAAAATATGAAATTATACCATATTGAAGAAGTCTCTGTCTATTTTTGCATCTTTTGCATATCATTCTTGTTTTTTTTTTTTTTTTTTTTTTGTTTTCGTGAGTAAAGGGGCTCTTCTCTCTATCATGTGCTTCGCTGTTCAATTTCAATTTCAACTTCGATTTTTTTTTTTTTTTTTTCAAGTTTTTAAAATTTTCTCTCCATTTCTAAAAAATTTTCCCTTTCTCTTCTTCTCTTCTTCTTTTCCTCCTCCAGTATTCAATCTATATAGCAACAACAAAAATGGGTAAAGAAAAGACTCACGTCAACTTAGTCGTTATCGGTCACGTCGATTCAGGTAAATCAACCACCACCGGTCACTTGATCTACAAGTGTGGTGGTATTGACAAGAGAACTATTGAAAAGTTTGAAAAGGAAGCTGCTGAATTGGGTAAAGGTTCATTCAAGTACGCTTGGGTCTTGGACAAATTGAAGGCTGAAAGAGAAAGAGGTATCACCATTGATATCGCTTTGTGGAAATTCGAAACTCCAAAATACCATGTTACTGTTATTGATGCTCCAGGTCACAGAGATTTCATCAAGAATATGATTACTGGTACTTCTCAAGCTGATTGTGCTATTTTGATTATTGCTGGTGGTACTGGTGAATTCGAAGCTGGTATCTCTAAGGATGGTCAAACCAGAGAACACGCTTTGTTGGCTTACACCTTGGGTGTTAAGCAATTGATTGTTGCCATCAACAAGATGGACTCAGTCAAATGGGACAAGAACAGATACGAAGAAATTGTCAAGGAAACTTCCAACTTCGTCAAGAAGGTTGGTTACAACCCTAAAGCTGTCCCATTCGTCCCAATCTCTGGTTGGAACGGTGACAATATGATTGAACCATCAACCAACTGTCCATGGTACAAGGGTTGGGAAAAGGAAACTAAAGCTGGTAAGGTTACCGGTAAGACCTTGTTGGAAGCTATCGATGCTATCGAGCCACCAACCAGACCAACTGACAAGCCATTGAGATTGCCATTGCAAGATGTCTACAAGATTGGTGGTATTGGAACTGTGCCAGTTGGTAGAGTTGAAACCGGTATCATCAAGGCTGGTATGGTTGTTACTTTTGCCCCAGCTGGTGTTACCACTGAAGTCAAGTCCGTTGAAATGCACCACGAACAATTGACTGAAGGTGTCCCAGGTGACAATGTTGGTTTCAACGTCAAGAACGTTTCAGTTAAGGAAATCAGAAGAGGTAACGTTTGTGGTGACTCCAAGAACGATCCACCAAAGGGATGTGACTCCTTCAATGCTCAAGTTATTGTCTTGAACCACCCAGGTCAAATCTCTGCTGGTTACTCACCAGTCTTGGATTGTCACACTGCCCACATTGCTTGTAAATTCGACACTTTGATTGAAAAGATTGACAGAAGAACCGGTAAGAAATTGGAAGATGAACCAAAATTCATCAAGTCCGGTGATGCTGCTATCGTCAAGATGGTCCCAACCAAGCCAATGTGTGTTGAAGCTTTCACTGACTACCCACCATTGGGAAGATTCGCTGTTAGAGATATGAGACAAACCGTTGCTGTTGGTGTCATCAAGTCTGTTGAAAAATCCGACAAGGCTGGTAAGGTCACCAAGGCTGCTCAAAAAGCTGCTAAGAAGTAAGTAGAGTAGTTTTTATAAGAGAAGAAAGAAAAACCTATTCAGGTCTAACAAGAACACGAATGTAGTCGTTGCGTTTTTTTTTTTCTATTTACTGGTTGTTACTTTTTTCCATTATGTAGGTGAATGGTGATTTGTTTTTGAACAACTTGTTGTTTAAAATCCTGTTCAACACAGAATCAAACTGTATATTCTGATTAAGTTCAGGAGCATAATGATGATAGTCATTCAATGCCTTTTTGACGGCTTTGGTTGTCGTCAGATTGCCATTTTTATAAATGTTTTCTTGGAGTTCTGCAGCAGACATCCACTCTTTAGTGGTTGCAGTTTTATCATCATCATCAGAATCAGATTCAATTTCCTGCAACAACATAAACCCATCACCAGCACAACAACATCCCAATAAATCATGGGTGTTTGACTTGGTATCCACGTCAATTTCAAACAAGTTTTTCAAGTCGCTATAATCAAACACATCTGATTTCGATGAAGCATCGTTGTCAAGAAACTTTGAACTCAATTTGTTCTTCATCAACTGCCGTTGGAATATCTTCTCATCGATACAACCAGTAGTGAAAAGCCTGTATATATAACACGGCTTCATTTGGCCATCTCGATGAATCCTCGACATTGATTGCAAATCTGTAGATGGATTCCAATCATTATCGTATAGGATTAGCCTTGACGCACCAACCAAATTGATACCAGTCCCACCCGATTTCGAGGATAGTAAAAACACCAGAATCAGTTCGTCCTTGTTGAACTTGTTGACGAGCTTGCCTCTCATGTTGTTTGGTGTTGATCCATCCAAGCGCAAGTATTGTAGATTGAGCTTTTTGATCACAGTCTCCAACAAGTCCAAAGTAGTGGTGTAGTTTGAAATGAGCACTAATTTCTCTTTTTGTGCTGTAATCTCCAACACCAATGGTATGAGTGCATTTAGTTTACCTGAGCTAGTAGATAATTTCAAGCTTCCATCGGTTATATTTTTGTAAAAATCATCTGATGCCAATAGAGAAGGGGAATTACAAATCTTGCGAAACAAATTGATGAGGGACAATGAGATTGCACCTGAGTCCAATTGCTGAAACTTTTCCGACTTCTTTATCAGATCAAACAAGTCTAGTTGTAATTGAGTTGGTGGAACAAATAGCAAGATGTCGGTTTTGTTTGTCAAATAATTTTCAAGTATTGCTTGTGTACGTCGAAGAATGAACTTGTGGGTCAACAGAATCAACCGTTGTGACATTTCCTCACCTTGCTTCTTAATCTCTTGGTTGAAACAATTAACATCTCTTGCCCTTGAAATAGGATTGATAAACTCCTTCTGAAACGTTTTCATATCTGGCAAAACATGCGGATTCAAAAATGAAACAAGGGTGTAAAACTCAACCAAATAGTTTTGAATTGGCGTCCCCGTCAAGACAATCTTTTTCGGGATATTCAACTTTGTCAAGTTAATCATTACCTTATTAGCGCTATTTTTCAACCTGTGCCCTTCATCGCATACCAAAAGATCAAACAGAATGGTGGATAGCTCCTCATAATGGGCAATAACTTTTTCGTAATTGATAATGAGAACTTGGTAGACATTCAACTTTCCAAAATTGATAATATCACGTTTGTCATCGGAAACGGGATTGTTTAAAGTTAAGACATTTACTTTATTCAACCCTAACCATTTGTTGAACTCTTCTCTCCAGTTGTTGATAAGAGTGACTGGACAAACTACCAACACCTTGTTGACAATGGGCTTTTTTTGATCAGGATATGGGTTTTGTTTCAATAATGTCCAAATCGTCGTTATTGTCATTAATGTCTTGCCCAACCCCATTTCATCAGCTAAAAGACATCCGTGTCCTTTAAAATCGCGGAAACCCATCAAACACTCGTACAAAAAGGTTACACCTTCAAGTTGATGTGGTCTTAATTTAGACGCAAGAATAGGATCAATTCTGACTGATACATGCGATAGTAAATTTGGGGGAGGAGTTAGGGTAAAGATATCCCGGTTTTCATCATACAACGGCTTTCTAGATTCAAGCACTTCATCTTGCACAACTTTTTTAAACTTTGTTTGCACGATTTGCGGAGCAATAACAACTTCTTCAACTTTATTGATGTGCTTTACACCTTTTGCATTGTCTGGTTCATCTTGACTCATCTTTTCATCCAACACAATTTCGTACATCCCTATAGGTATCACGTCATCCAAATCGGGATCCAGATTAAATGATTTTTTACTCATGACTTTGCCATCTGAATTTTTGACAATGATTTCGCAACCAAATGCAGTTGACTTGATGGTGGCGAACCCATCGCCATCCCAGTTTTTGTTCTTCTTGGTTGTCTTTTTCCTCCATTGTATTGTCCATTTCACTCCCGTTAAGTCGGAGGTTGACTCTGATTTGGATCTTTTTGCAGCAACAGGTGCGGTATTGACTGGTGGACTGGATCGTTTGGAAATCACACCACCTTTTTTGATCAGTTCTCTAGGTATTAGGATATGTGCTCCACTGTCTTTCAATGGTCTAGGTGGTTTGAAAGGGGCATTTGGCTTGATATCATGCATCATGCGTTGAGTAAGTTGTACGTGTAAAGGTCAGACGCGTGTACACCTTATACCAATTTTTTCTTTCCTTCTGTTTTTATTTTTGAGCACTGTGATGCAAATGAGATTTTAATTGTGATAGCCCAAGCAGTGCACTTGATTTGTTGTCAGTTTCCCCGCAAAAGGGACAACTTCAAATAAGAGTTAGGTTTTCTACAAATGTTTCGGGAAGCACTTAGATTTCCGTGTATTCAATATTGTGTATCTCCAAATGCAAAATAATAACCTTGAGACAATGCCTTCATCAACCCATAAAACAAGTACGAGTACGTTCCATATACTATCAAGAAAATGAAAAGTAGTAGACTTCCATGAAGAAGTAAAGTTTCTACTCTTGTCAACATAATGAATGGGAAATGAATGTAGTACATGTTGTAAAACCATTGTGGCGACAAAAAAGTATACTCTTCGGTCTTTTGCAGCTTTTGTGAGGTACTCATGGTAAAACAGCGAGTGTAGAATATGATAAGATAGCTTCTGAAAAGAATGAAAAATGATCCAACAACTGCTTATCGAACTTGAAAGCCAGTGTGGGTTGATGATTTTTTTTTTTGGGTTTTGTTTTAGTCGCGATAGAAAAAGTTACTCCTTTTTTTTTTTTTTTCATCTCGTTACATAGCCACAACTCAATAAAGACAAGAGAGTGAATCACTCTGACGGAGGGGAAAGATATCACACGAGGGAAAGTAGTAGCAAATTGCCGTCTAATGTGAGCCGTAACATGTCCTTGATATACACTAAACCTATGGAGACATGGAGGAGATGGACGAAATCGCAATTTGGGCCATTCCATGCGGCTTTTTCCTAATTTAGCACGTATATATTTTCCCTCATCTCCAGTCTCTATGTGTCTAGCTCAATACAAAATTTCCTACCTGCGAAAATTTTTTTTTTCCTTTCTTTGAGACTACTTCTTTTAAACTTGTTACACTGTGGTACCTAAATGTATGTTCATGACTACCTCAATGAAAGATTTCTAATGATGAATGATTATTTAACAACAACGAATTTCTTCAGCTGAAATAACGTGTGGAAAAAAACAATAACTCAGAGCTTTTTAACACTGACTTGAAATCTTTCATGGTCCCATTGATCCATTTTACTAACATTAGAATAGTAGGAGTCCATACTCATTGATTTCTGAACTGTGCTTTCTTTTTCAACTGTCTAACAGTTGCGGGGAACGAAATTTTGAGCTGGTGTGCTGTCCTCGTGCTCTTTTCGGACTTTCTGACTTCCAATCACGGTCAACAAAGGGAGCAAACTTGTCTTCATTTCTTTTCTGATGAGTAGCACTTATCAAGTGGGATCATGTAGCTTTTGATCTAAGCTTTTGAAACTTGCATCAAATATGACTTTGAGTTCAAATTCACATGAGCGAGCAAAATCACCTTTTTCTTATACTCAACGTTCGAAATCATCCTCCCATTCAGACAAAACTCAGCCGTAGTGAGGTAGATGTTTGCAAGTTTCCATCGGATCCTGATTACTCACTTTGAGTTACGAGCTATAAACAGATTCTCCGTGTGAAATCGCGATCACATGAGCCAATCATTAAAAGATTCAGCTTTTCCTACACATATTGCCTCATTGATCAACTCACACTGGATAGACTCAAAACTTGCTGAAACCGACATTCCAACGTAAGCCGGATGCATTGTATTCTCATAGCGTGACAAGAGAGCTCTAAGACACAAATATTTCTTTAGATCTGCTACTGGCGACTAACAAATGTAATCCTCGTTCTTCAATCCAGCGACATCTTTTACTCTCTAAATGTATATGTGAACTATTGTGTTTGAATTCCCGTGCCATGCTCATTCTTCTCATTCCATCCGACACACATAGCAAATATACAAACAGCCGCCGAGTGGAACGATTGCCCGAATAAAGTACCCTCGCTACCTAAGTTGCTGGCTCGTGTCCCAAAACAAGTCTTATTTGCAAACAGAGAAACGGGGTTTCTAGAGTGCCAGCAAACAATATAATTGTGTCATCGCTAAGGCCATTTATATATTTTTAAAGCTCGATTTTGTGTAATATTCAAATCGCAAGCCATTTTTTTATTTTTTTATTTTTTTTTCTTCTGATTCTACTTCTCTGCTTGCAATAGCATTTCCCGATTGGGCGAATTTAATTCCTAATTGAGAATAATGATTTTTAACCAGATCAGAATTTAGAGCAAAATCATGAAATGAAACTGCCTTTCCACAAAATCAACGCAATTTCTATCCCCCCTGGAATGGCTTGTCGATTGATCCAAGTTCAGAATTGTTGAAGCATAGATCATTCTGTATTTTGTTTCCACCTGGTCAAAACTCAATTGACATATAAAACTAAGCCCAATTGCCTTGAAAGCTTTTGATAAGATTGTATCCCGTTTTTTGATCAATATTCATCCCAGTCATTCGTTTATATCATCTACAAATTCGCAAACTCCTATTCGTCATTATACCAGCATGAGCTTAGTCATGAACAACCACTTCAATCGTTTCAGATCACACAGTTTCGAACAAAATCTTCCAATCAAACGCTCCCTTGAAGATGAAATTGTAACATCAAACAAGAGACCAAAAACAGCACCACCTTCGCCTCCATCAAATGTGCACTCAAAACCTGTCATAGAAACCACTATTGCAAGACCAAAGTTACCACCATCAAGTCTCAGATCCAAATCTTTATCCCCAAACAAGCAACAATTTGTAAATCTCCTTTCACCTTCAAATTCACCTTCTTCGTCACCCTTGAGATCACCTGAAAATCTTAAATTACCTGGAATTAGAGCATTGAGCCAGAACAACGATACCCCCTGCTCAACAGTTTCACTGGAGTTTTTCGACACCTGCAGTGACAAAAGCTGGAGATCGGAGTTGTTAGACAAGATCATGAAGGAATCAAAAACCTACCACCTCACTAAATACAACTACCTCAACAGTAATTGCAAGCCAAATTTTACTTCCAAACTCAGTTCCAAGATTTCATTACAAACAAATATTCCAACACTGGACAAAAAGATTAATTTCCCTTTCGAGTCGAATTACACATACTTGGACGGTGCATTCATGACTGATGTCAAGAATTTTCCCCATTACTTGAAACTTGCCCATGAAACAAAGTCACTTAATTCACCACCAACTGAAACACCTCGCACACTCCAAACTTCGGTATTTTCTCAACCTAAAACTCCAACACCTCAAGTCAACAAATTACCAAGCTTTTATACATTGCCGCTGGTCGGACCTTCACTTACTTCACATACAACACTAATTCATCCTTCTTCCTCATTGGATCACCTCCATGGTAAAAGCGCCTCGTCGCCTACAACAAATACCACTCACAAATTTATAATTCAATCTCCTAAACTGTCACGTTCTGATTTGCCAAAAACACCTCCTAGAACCCATCACCATCAGACCATCACAAGGGCGTGTATTTCATGTGGTCTGCAAGATTCACCATGTTGGAGGCCCTCATGGTCCATAAAAGAGGGCCAACTTTGTAATTCTTGTGGATTGAGGTACAAAAAGACAGCAGCGAGATGTCTTAACGATGCTTGCAGAAAAGTGCCTGCTAAGGGGGAGTGGGCATTAATGCAAAGCAAAGGTAAAGTAACGTTTGAGGATGGTACAGAAGGCTATAGTTGTTTGGATTGTGGTTGGAAAGTAGAGGTTAAGTAAGCATAGATACTCTCATTAATGCATTGTGTTGAAATTTACTCTGCAATTACTTCTAGTTGAATTTTGTTGGGGCATCACTACCCCTGCTTAACAATGTCATAGTACATTTGTGGAAAGCGATGCAAATCACCACAACACATCTCCAGAATTTGGTTCATGAAAATCAAAACACGTATTTTCTTTGCATAGTGTAAGAGAGAGGCAAAAAAAAAAAAAAGGAAAATACACAGAAATAGTCTCCGCCACCCGATTCAAAATCTTCCCTTATCGCAAATCGTCCTTGAATCGATCATCATGTCAGAGATCACAGTTACGATAAAGTCATCAGGAGATAAAAAGTATGAGGTCACTTTCAACCCATCGATTAAAATATCTGAATTAAAAGAGTTGGTTGCGGAGAAGTCGTCAATCCCAGCACCAAGTCAGCGATTAATCTACTCAGGTAAAGTGTTGAAGGATACTGAAACAGCAGAGTCATACAAGATTCAAAACGGTCACACAATACATTTGGTGAAAAGTGCCAACACTGCATCTACTCCAGCAGCAGCAGCAACAGCAGCAGCAGCAGCACCGGAATCTTCCTCTTCTGCTCAAACACCTTCATCAAACATACCTTCAAATATTGCAGCAGGACAAGGATCATTCAACCCTTTGGCCGATTTGACTGGTGCTCGTTATGCTGGATACACACAATTGCCTTCTGCTTCCATGTTTGGCCCCGATGGAGGAATGAATTCAAATTTGCCTGATCCAGAGCAACTAACTTCAATGATGTCAAACCCCATGTTTCAAGAGCAATTGAATGCTATGTTATCTAACCCACAAATGTTGGACTTTATGATCCAACAAAACCCGCAATTGAGAGCAATGGGACCACAAGTTAGGGAGATGATGCAGAGTCCTATGTTTAGACAAATGATGACCAACCCGGAAATGTTAAGATCGATGATGCAAATGCAACAAGCTGGGGGCGCGAATCCATTTGGCGGTCTTGGTGGAGGCGCAGCCGCTTCTAATGCATCATCGTTTCCTGCTCCTGGTGCCAACCCAACCGCCGAGGGTCCAGCCAGTGGTGATAATAACGCCGGAACAAATCAACTGAGTGGTAATACAACTTCCCAAGGAAATACTCCATCCCAAGCTAACCCTTTTGCTAGTTTATTCCCCAATGGTATTCCGCCTATAGATCCGGCTGCTTTATTTGGTAGTGCCAATCCATTTGGACAAGCCAATGCACCAGCCGACAACAGACCACCGGAGGAAAGGTATGAATCTCAATTGAGACAATTGAATGATATGGGATTCTACGAGTTTGAGAGAAACGTAGAAGCTTTAAGAAGAACTGGTGGAAGTGTACAAGGAGCTATTGAGTACTTGTTAAATAATTAAGGTTTCATGTTTTTAGTTTGTGTAGATTTTGCCAAATTGCAAAGAACGAAGAAAAAAAGAAAGTGGAAACACAACCACACATCATACAACTCAGTTCAAGGCATCCCATTCTAATGAGTTCGCATATAAGGCCATGGGAGCAATCACCTGTTGATACCCAAATGGCAAAGATTATTGCCATACTACTAAACTCACAGGATTACCATTTTACGGAGGAGTTTTTAAGTCAGGTGTTTGAGTTGACCACAGAGTACATGAACCACCTCTTGGGTAACTTGCTTGAATACACCCAGTTACAAAGGCGACGAAAACCAGGACTTTCGGACATCAAAATAGTGCTTGAAGAGGACGGAATCCTTCCTAATATTTTGGCAGATCAAGTACAATTTAGCAAAAATTTTCCAAATAAGCACAAGCAACGAATTCAAGCTGTCATAACAAAAGATCAAGAGGCTTTTACTAACAATAATATATCATCAAACGAGCAATATGCAATCACAGAAGTTGTACCGAATATCAAGACCAAACCACCCTATATCCCCGCCTACCTACCAGACTTGCCCCCTGATTACACATATCAATCAACACCTACATTTTCGCAACCATTGACAGATCTCAAGCAGCTTCGAACAAAGTTGGTTCAAGAGTCAAGGCTAACTGAGGAGTCATTGTACAAGTTGATTGAAAGTGATACCAGTGAACTGAAAAAGAGACTTCAATTTGAAGAGGAATTAATGGAGTTAATGAAGAATAAATTAACTGATGATTTACAAGGGGAGGTGACGACGAGTGTTGAGAACGAAAAAGCTGAGAAACTGGCTGGTACTATCGAGGAGACAAATCAACCGTCTGGCACCGTCGAGGGGACAAATCAACTGCCTGGCACCGTCGAGGGGACAAATCAACTGCCTGGCACCGTCGAGGGGACAAATCAACCGTCTGGTTCTCCTCTTGCGGCCCCTTTCAAATTTGATTTCGTAAAATATGCTCAACAACGAAAAGCGTTGGCGCTTCGAAAAAAAGCAGAACTCGAGGAAGCACAAAAAAAGAGAGATGCAGATGTCTTTATGAAAGCTGAGCTTTACTACAGCCCCTATGCGACTGAAAAACCAACCCGGGAAACAGACAAGTACTTTAAAGATCTTCTCAACGATGAATTCAAGAAGGTGATTGTTTCAGTTAGATTAGCAGAGGAGATGAAACAAAGGGAGACTGCAGAACGGAAAGAATTAAAAGAGAAACAAGAGAAGGAATTTAAGGAACAAAATGAGATACAATTCAATTTTCAACAGAGGGGTGCTATTGATAGTAGTGACATCGACAGTGATGCAATGGAGGATTTCTGATCCATTTAATGGCAGCTATATGTTCCAATGCGACCCAACAAATTGTTGTGTTTCACTTGCAAACGTTTTCGGAGTAGTTTATTCCACGTGCAATAAAAAGGGGAAGTGGCGAAGTAGAAGATAATGTAGGAATGCCTAAGTAGAAACTCAAACGAGTCGAGAGTATATCACCCTCTGTGGTACTGTAGCAACACGATTACGTGGCATTATGACGTCTCTTTGTAGCAACTTGCTGGTGTGGCTAAGGCAAATGAGGTTACAATCATTTGTTTTCTTTTTTTATGCTTGCTGTTTTAAAGTTTTGTGCAACACCAAAAATGAGTTAAAGTGTATAAATATCGCGCAGAATCAACAACGTTTTCTTGAAATCTTCACACATCTGCAAATCAATCGACAATGACGGTGATAATTGGATCATTGTATGTACACCACAGTAGCATCTTCCACTTTATGTCCATAACACTAACTATTTAGGTTTCTCCCATACACTGTCCACTTTGAAATTGACAGAAATCACTATGAATTCTTGCAGAAAGAAGATAGTGCAAAGCTTGAAACTATTAGAATTTCAGGGGGCCAAAATGACAAGCCAATTGCTCCATCGCTCACCCCATCACAGCCACATCTATTGAACAACCAATCATCAGTGTCCATCTTACCTCCTAATAATGCAACCAACGCATCAACGAGATCAGAAACACCAGATGAGTTCTTCTACAGCAAGCGCAATCCTAGATTGCAACGTGAAGGTGCTCCCGACTCGTACCCAGCGTCTCCGGCATTACACTATATTCAACCAAAGCCACGTTTGGGCAATAAAATTGAAAGCTCAATTCTTGACCCCAAAAAGCAAACTGATCCATATAACTCGACTGGTTTGAAAATTAATAGGTCACTGACAAACTTGTCTATCTCAACACCAAATTTGGCTAGACCTCAGAACATTAGAGCTGGCTCACATTCGAAGTTGCACAATGAAGTCACCCTGGGAGGACAGAGACCTCATCAATACTATGGCTTTACTATCCAGGGAAACAACAGTTTAAACTCTTTGGCGTCAGAGGAGAACCCCAGTGGAGTCAATAACTCAGCCATGATTCCCTCGTCATTTGAAGATGAGGATGAGGACGGATTGGTTGGTTTTGAAAAGAATTACAACAACTCTGTGTCTCACAACAAAGGATTGGCTCCTTATGGTGGGTTTTCAAAACCACATATTGAAAAGTACTTTTGGGATGATGATATTTTCAACACTGCGCCATGGACTGTTGTCCCCTCAGAGAGCGGCAATGGGTCGTTGAACAAAGCGGTGGACTTATCCGTAAAAGAGGGGATTTTACAACAAAACAAGTGGGTTGGGATCATTGCCATGCCCAGTGACACAATCTCGGCAAAAATTAGACAAGATATTGCATCAAAATTAGATTCCGAGCATAATTGCGAAGCCATCTTTCCTGATGACATTACTTTTGAAGGTCACTACAAATCATTTTGTAAACAAATATTGTGGCCAACTTTGCATTATCAAATTCCCGATGATCCAAAGTCAAAGGCATTTGAGGATCACTCTTGGGGACATTATGTGTTGATGAATCAATTGGTTGCCGATAAGTTGGTGGAAACATTTGTGGCAACAAATGGAGACTGCAATTTCGATGATTCGGAAAATGTGATTTGGGTTCATGATTATCATTTGTTGTTGGTGCCAAAAATGGTGAGAGAAAAGTTACCAAAGGTTAAAATTGGGTTGTTTTTACATGTTTCTTTCCCTTCTTCTGAAGTATTTCGTTGTTTAGCACAAAGAACTGAGTTGTTGGAAGGAATGTTGGGTGCTGATGTTGTTTCCTTCCAAACCAATGAGTATGTGCGTCATTTCAAACAAACCTGCAACAAGATTCTTGATGCTGAAGTGACTGACCATAAAGTTGTTTACCAAGACAGAACAGTTGCTGTCAATACAATACCTGTTGGCATTGATGCACCCTCCCTTGAGGAAAAGATTCAAAGCGACCTGGTTTTAGAATGGAGACGTTTGATCAGAGAGAGATGGGGTGAGCAAAAGCTTATCATTAGTAGAGACAAGTTGGACAAGTTACGAGGAATTAAACAAAAGCTTCTCGCCTATGAAAAGTTTTTGAATCAACATCCTGAATACATTGACAAAACTGTATTGATTCAGATTTGTATTGGCTCAGGCTCTGATCCTCTGTATGAACTGGAGGTGATGAAGATAATTTCCAGGATCAATTCGTTGCCTGAAAACATTTCCGTCATTCAACCAGTGGTTTTGTTGCAAAAGGATATTGAATTTGACCAGTATTTGGCACTACAATGTGAGGCAGAGCTGTTTGTTGTTAGTTCCATGCGTGAAGGATTGAATTTGACCTGTCACGAGTTTATTACTGCCACTGAAGAGAAAAAATCGCCTTTGATATTGTCGGAGTTTACCGGATCGGCATCGTTACTTTACTGTGATGGTGAAGGTGCCCTTTTGATCAATCCTTGGGATTTGAAAAAGTTCTCTGAAACTTTTTACCAACTGTTGACAATGAGCAAGGATGAGAAGCAAAAGAGATGGGAAAATTGCCATCATTTTGTCTTGACTCAAAACTCAAAGCATTGGGTTTCAAATTGTTTACAGAGCATCAACGAAGCTTGGGCGTTGAACAAAGAAGAAAAATAGAAATCGGGGTTAACTTTTGAAAGCGAATTAAACTTGTTTATCTTTATAACTCAGTAAAACCATATCATTCAACTCTTTAAGGTTGTTCAAAAACTCGGCATTCTCTTCCTTTGTCAAGGGTTGGCATTTATTCCAGTAATTATTGAGAAACTCGCTCTCGCAGATGAATTTTGGACCCTTGTCACGATTAACACACCATTTATTTTCCTTTAATCGTTTATGCGTTTCCCGATCATCCTCGATTCTTGTGATGATTTGTTTCTTTGTCAAGTATTGTGTACTTGGATTGCCTTTCTTTCGTATATTGAACATTTGATCTTCATCGACATTGTCTTCAGTGATTGCATGTTCAGTGAGAAGCTTCTTCCAATCCATCTTGCTAGCCCTTGATCTTTGCAACAAGATCTTCCATGTAGAAATCAATGGATCTTCATTGCCATCGATGTCTAGTGATTGATTTTCAAGTTCATCTAGTGAACTTGTTTGAAAACCAGTCTTGTACTTTTCACAGTCCACTTTAAACCTCGTCAGTATATGGCATAAACATGTATATGCAATCATCAAATTAGATGAGTTATTCAACGGACACACCAGCTGTAAAATCTGTGGCAACCTACTCTTCAAGCTTTGGATATAGGCATTGTTATATCTTGGATTACTAAAGCTCTCTTGCATCAAGAGGTCGATAAACTGGAAGATAAAAGATCTCGAATTCAAATCCAATTTGGGATCTTCCAATACATTTAATATCGTTGGTACAATGTAATCCTCTTTATCAGCATTTTTCAACGCAAAATAGATTGCTTTTGATAGTTGTTGTTGTTGCGGAGTTAAATTTCGTAGTATAGTTGAAAATTGATTGGCAACTTCAAATGAATCCATTTTGCAATGAGGGGAAAGGGTGAAACTTGAAGGGCTTTGAACAACTGTGATGCTTTTCCTTTCGTGTCATTGTGATAAACATCATTCCCATCCAGTCGTGTATAGTGAGAATAAAAATTTGAGGCAAAGAGAAAAAAAGAAAATTGAAAAGAAAATCTTTTGAAAAATTCCCGTTACGTTTATCTCAATCACAAGATACCAAAAAAATGGGCAAATCAGGTAAAGGTAAAGGAGGTAAAAACAGAAGAAGAGGAAAGAACGACAATAGTGGACAAAAGAGAGAATTGATTTTGAGGGAAGAGGGACAGGAGTATGCTCAAATTACGAAAATGTTGGGAAATGGAAGAATCGAAGTTCAATGTTTCGATGGCATCAAGAGGATGGGTCACATTAGAGGGAAAATGAGAAAAAAAGTGTGGATGGGACAAGGTGATATAATCTTAGTAAGTTTAAGAGATTTTCAAGACGATCAATGTGATGTTGTACATAAATATAACTCCGATGAGGCTAGGTCTTTGAAACAATTGGGTGAATTGCCTGAAAATGCCAAGATCAATGAGACTGATACATTTGGTGCTGACGACGATGAGGATGTCAACTTCGAGTTTGGTGGTGCTGATGATAGTGAGTCTGAAGATGAAGAGTTGGATATTGATGATATTTAAAGATTACCAATTTACATAGAGCTTAATGCATAAACCATTTCCCACTTTTATTTATATTTTACTTCTACTTTTTTAGTGTCTATGAGCTCTTACATCCTCCCCATCACTGTCTATCTCGAAGCTGTCGATTCTCCTTAGAGCCACCCTCTCTTCTTCATCGTAGTCCATAGATCTGTTGATTTGCATTGATCTCCTGACAGTGGAGAATCCACCCACACCATTGTCTAGTGGTGCCATATCCTTTGAGCTGTGAACACCAAATATTTCACGATTTTGTCCACTGTCGTCTTTTCTTGCAATATTGAGCAAATACACTCCACTGAAAATGATGAGAAACCCAATCAACAATGAAATGATGTCAACGGCCGACGAGGTGTTGAATCCTCTAAACAAAATGAACGAAGCAACTAAGGTGAATGTGGTGAATGTGACATAGTACAATGGGTTGACAATGGATGTGTCAAATTGATCCAAAGCCTTGTTGAAGTAGTTCATTTGTGTGATAATACATAATGCCACAACAATCAAGAACAAGTATGTGGACACATGGGTAAACTGATTATTACCGCTCAATGTCAATTTTAATGCAATTCCAAAAGCCTTGATGGACATAACGGATATAGATCCCACGGAAGAGCAAATGGACAAGTAGATCATGGGGTTAGTGTTTCCATATTTGGGCACAATTTTGTAAATCATAAATAATGAATAAAGCCCCACTGCAAAGCAGTAAAATAGAAATCCTGGTTGTGTGGCGTAGCCCAATATTTCATCAACCGTTTGCACTTCTTTGTCTGGTGGTGCATGCAAAATAATAATGACTGAGCCCATAAGACAAATGGCGCAACCCATTTTCCCCAATGTCCCCAATTCTTCTTTCAAGAATATTGCTGCTAAAACAGCTCCTATAATGACAGACAACGCACCTAATGGAGTAACCAAAATAGCCGGGGCAAAAGTGTAGGCGGCAAAGTTGGCAATCTCACCAATTGCCATGGTAATCATACCACCCCACCATATTGGATTTTGCAAGTAGTCAGTGGCCTGTACGGTGCCGCTGCCCGCATTGGCCTGTCTACTACGTGCAGATGCGTCCATGAGTCCCTTCTTAGTAATAATGAATGAAGTACCTATTGCTAGCGAGGAAGACATCGCTAAAGCGAGTCCTATATATTTGTCGTCCATGGGCATTGTTTAAGAAGGTGCTACTGTGTGTGTGTGTGTGTATATATAGTTCAAGTTATTCCCCTCTGGAGATGCAATTGGATATGTATGGTAGATCTCTCTTAGGTATATGTCAAATTTTTGTGCTGGTTTCCAGGCGGAGTTGATTTGTTGATTTTTTTTTTTCGTCTTTTCTGATTTTTCTATTTTGGGATTGTTTCCGCGTCATACCGTTTTCGCTTGTTTGGCATTCTCTTTTTTTGGTATGTACTGGTTGAAATGGATGTTGATCAGTGGGAGAGCAAGAGAGTGGCACATCCTTGGATAGTAATGTAAAGTGGTGTGCACAGTAGAGTGAGATAAATGGGGAAACAGTCCTTAGCCACCGATAGGTCTCACAAGAGACCCTCGGCACAACTGTAATCTGTTTCGGTTGCAAAAATATTCCCTCCTCCTTATAAAATGTAATTTTTTAAAAATCTTATACCAGTATTCTTCCCTGTTTGTATGGAAAACCTCACTTCTCCCCCCTCCCCCAAAAATGGCTCCACTTAGGTTTAGTTTTGACACTTTCCCAGAAACACCCTGGATGGGATATTTCAACTACTTGTACTCATTGTTTATCAACTATTGCAACCAGTTCTGTGCTTTTTATGTTATTTTGTTATCACATTGGTTTACTCGTCTAGTGGTGATGAATCACCAAGTTTGGTCACTGATTAGGAAAGATGGTTCCTTGGAAGACTTTCATCTTGCTAGTAATGTGTTGGTGATCTCTACAAGCTTGATCTTGGTTTACTTGTGGTGCACGTCCAGTGACAAAGTTATCAACGCATATTATACAATCATGGCTGTTTCGTTGGTTCATTTCGGTGTTGATTTATTGATACAGTTGAGACAGCCGTTATTGAAAAGGACAACAAGGTCATTGGTTAGGCTCGTTTCCAATCCTCGATTCAGAATGGAAGAGAAGCCAATTCTTTCATTTTTGAAAAAAGACCATACAGGAATGTTTGTGTTTACCTGTGTAATGATTGATTCAAAGGTCAACTACTGCAAGGCAGGTTTGCTATTTTACTATGCTGTATTAAAATTAGTGGAAACATATAGCTCCAGAAAGCACCCCTTGGTAAATGTAGCATATTTTGGGCTAGGGATTTTGGAAAATGTGATTCTTGTGGTGTTCTGGTATGAATCTTGTAAAATGCTCCAATTCAACAAGGCAATCTGTTATACATTGATGTACTTGTTGCGGCTTGAAGAATCAGGGTCAACAAACAAATCAGTCAAGGGATTGATGGCCGTAGTAAAGTTTTGTTACAGAAGATTCAACCACATTGAAGTGAACAAGCCACAAACTTCTGAGATTAGATCCCTGTCATTACAGTTCGATTGCTACAGCATCATCAGTGACGCAAAATAAATCTATAAGTATATAACAATCTAATTTCTTAACTCTTCTTTCAAACTGAGCAAAGTCTCCCATCCTTGAGTATCTTCCCAAATATCTTTACCTTTTGACAATAAAGATCTCACTGTCGTTCTGGCTTTGAACTTCCAATCTTTACAAACCAAGTCGCCTGCACCGTGTTTTCCTGGCAAATCACCTAATGACTCAAAAGCTCCTACCAAATCTGCACATGCATCAACTACCTCATTCCAAACTTCTTCGTTCACTTCTAAATCTGGATTGTGAAGCAATGCTCGATACGCCTTTTCATGACACTCTAATGCAGCCCATGGACGTTTCCTCCAAAGCTCAACCCGAGCGATAATCCTCCAGCAGCGTGCAGAGGAAGTAATCAAAGTTGGTAATGTATCGCAAATAAGCTGCATACACGATCTTTGGAAATGGCTCAAACCATTACCTTCTTGTGGGAAATCAGATGAAATAAGAATCTCACTGAGTTTTTCCAACACTGGTATATCAATCACACTATCACCTTCGTCTTTTCTAATAGAAAGAAGTTCACGATATGCTATCAACACGTCATTCCACTCGTTGAGCTGCATCGCAACATTCATATAATTTTCATAAACTTTCCAAGATTTTCTATCACCACTGCTTCGAACTGCCTTCTGCAATGCATTAAATGCAGGCTTTATCTTATCGAGTTTCAAAAGTGCCGAGGCTAAGTTGGACCACGCATAAGAATTGCTGTCATCTAACGATACACATCTTGTAAATGCTTCAGAAGCAAGTTCAAATTGACCAGATTCTAATCCGCAACAACCATAAAAGAACCAATTCTCATAACTTAATGGGTTAACATGTAAGCAATCATACATGTGCGAAATTGCCAACTCCAAATTTTTGGAAAGACCAGATTCCGCCGGTGGCGCATAGTAGTACTTGGATAAAGATGCTTTTGCTTTTGCATAGTGGCCCACTTGCCATGCCTTTTCCCACAATTGTGGACTCTGTTTAAGATCACCCAAAATGGATATCGCTCTTGCATCTTCTGGATGCTCTTTGATTCTATTAATGAGAATCTTTTCTGCTTCCTGTTCACGGCCAATAGCGGCATAGCACAATGAAGCTTCAACTTGCAATTGAAGTCTCTCATAAATTTCAAGGGCTGATTTTATAACCCCTAGAGACATGTATTTTTCTGCAAGTTTGGCATCCAACGCCCATTGTGGTAACAATGGCAACTGGTGAATAAATCTCAACCTCACTGAGGCAACTAAATTTGGATCACTGTCTTCCGATTGAGGTAAAAGACGAGTAGTAATCTTGAGTCCAATCTCTTCTATCAAAGATGTCATTTGCAAAATACCCCTTTCTATGGTTCTAGATTTGCCTGTTTCCAAAAGAGACCTTTCCCATAGTGCCCTCGAGTATAAGAGCCAATTCCCTTCTTTTGAATCAGAGTAGATTATTCTTGCAACCAATGCCAACAATTCGTCTTCAACCAAAGAATCATTGGCAGGTGTAGTTTGTTTAATAACCGTCAACCTCAATAGCATTTGAAGAATGTCAACATCACTCAATGCTGGCTGTTTATTTGGATCAAGAGCTTTTAAATCTGAGGGTATATCTTCCACAGTCATAGCCAATGGGAGCAACCTATTCTCAGCAAGCTCATCAACAACAAGTTTGGGGTCCAACTTAATTCTTTTTGCTTCATTCTCTGCTTCCAAATCCAAATTCTCCAAAGATTCATATTGCGGTTTCTCGAGTAATAGATCTGAATCAAGATTGTAATTTTCCAAATTATGATTGCCATCAATCACATCGTACAAGGTCTTTTGTCTACTCTTAGCCAAGACTATCAAGTTTGATGTATGAAATTTTTGAAACTTGGTTCTTTTTGCTTTTGCACCAGAGAGAAGCAATTGCAACCCGGTTATTTTTATAGCTTTATTCAAAGGGGCTACTGAAGCATGCTCAGTTTGAGCATGTATGTAAACTCTTGCCTGTTCAAGAACAAATTGCGCTTGGGTCAACATTTGAATTCCATTAGGTGAGTCCAGCAAAGGTACAATATGCTTCAACAAATTGGTTTCCAAAAACACTCCGCAAACAGACAGTATGATCCCCAGGGGCTCAGAAAAAATGGACAGATGTACTTGTAATGCCCTTGATTTCCACCATACAATTGAGGCTCCAAGAGGGCTATCAATCCGCAGACGCAAGCTTTCTGCATGATCAAGAGCTTTTTGAGCCGACGCATGCCCACAAAAAAGCGAAGCTTCAATTGGTGTGTCAGTTAGCCTTTCAAACATCAATTCAGCAAGGATCAAATAAACTGGATCCTGCATTAAATCATACGCGGCTTGTCCCTCCACGTTGAGTGCCTTGACTGCATCCAATTGTAGCTGTTGCTCATTCACAGTAGGGAAAAGTAAGGAATGAGCACTCATTGTTATTGGTGGTCCGGTAAAGTTTGATTGTATAAAGAGTTGTAAAAACGTGATGGCATAAATATGTGCATCGATTAACCCTTCTTCACCAAGAAGGGTCTTGCTTGCATCAATTATTGTATTTGCAAAATCTCTAAGAACATCGATCAATGGCACGTCACCATATTGCTGAAGGATGTGGTGAACTTCCGGAAGACTAGCAACTTCTTTATAATCGCTAATCTCGAGAATGTTAACATATCGTGCCTCCAAAACGGCCCGTGTAAGTCTGTTCAATCGTTCATTTTCTCCTGGTTGAAATACCTCCGATGGAACTAGTAGGAGGAGCTGCGTTAAGGTAGATTTGAGTGACTCCATGATGACGAACACCCCCTAGTCTTAACAAGGATTCCTTTTAATTTTTTAACTCGATGATCTTTTTTGCGCACTTTGAAAACTTCTATCACTTATAAAATCTATAACAAAATTATGAACCACCAAAGAAAGAATGGCGTTTCCTGGATTCTTGTAAACTTTCAGCTCTCCTGAGCTCACCCGATTTGCGACCCTTTGGATGTTTTAACGAATTCCTGATCTTTACTCTACTCATATCTGAACCATTATCGAGATTTTCGTCATCTGACGCAAAATCAATCACTTCTTCCTGCAAAACCAATTGAGAATGGTTCGATGACGATGGAAGGCGTTTCTTAAAAACAGGCTTTTCTAGTTTCAGTGTCGTTGCATTTTGCAGCTTGTGCTCTTGGTATTTCTCTCTCTTTTCATCATTCAAATTCAAATCAATTAACGATACGTTGGAGTTATTATTTTGAGTGGACCTCATTGGTTTGCTCAACCCGGATTCAGAAGAAGATGTGTTGGAGGAAGGAAGACCAACTTCAAGATCAATCAAATTCTTTTCACGTTGTGCTGGGTGATGCGATCCATCTAAAGGTACGTTTTGTTGCGCTGTGTTGGGGTAACCGAACTGCGATTTCGATGGTAAAGGAGGTGACCGCACCTCCTGCGGTGAAATTGCTCCTTTATTTGGAAGTACCGGCTGCTCCGCCCATGTGGCATTCGAATATGATACTGTGGGATGATAATTTCTCTCTGAAGGGCTAGTGGCAATCTGAGCACCGCTGTTGGTATCCCTACTGACCCATGGATTATTGTTCTTGTGTACATCCTGTTTGACGTGGTTTGCAGACTTTGATGAGGTGTAATTTAGTGGTCTCACGATTAGACGAGGATCTGTTCCTGTGGTTGAGGTCCCAATATTATTTCTATCATCAGGATAAGTTGGTCTATATTGACCCGCGGGATCTGAATTGTATCCACTTTTCAAATTCGACATATCTGCTGCGTGAGCTTGATTTAAGACATCTTTTTCGACATTGGGTGCTTCACTGGAGGCAAAAATGTCGTCAGCTAATTTCTCTGCCTGTGTCTCGATTTTGGGAGGTTGTGCATTCCAAGCATCGGTGTGGTGAAGATCACCTTTCACGCTCGCTGAAGGCTTATCTATTCTGGACTTGGAAGCACTCTCTGAGGATTTTGATGTTTTCGAGGAAGCATTGTTGGCCTTGTCCAAATCATTGATATGTTCCAAAGATGGGTATCTCTCTTCTGCATCATCGAGTTGTTCCAACTCGGAAAAATCATCATCGCTTTCGTCCAGGCTGAAACCTACGAGGGAGTTGGGCGAAACCATCTCGTCAGCGTTTGCCTTTGGTTCTGTATCAAGTTCACTCTCTTGTTTCTCCACTGGTTGTGCAATGTTTTCATTCAGTTTGGATGGTGGGGGAGGCTGCTGTTGCACACTTGGAGCTGGTTCTGAGTTGACCGGTTGAACATGAGGCAAAAGTGGATTGTGAGTTTCAATAGGATCCATTAAGCTTTGCTGCTGAATGTACAATTGTTTTTCATGCAAAGCTTGGTTTTGCTTTTGAAGTTGATACTCTTGTAATTTCTCAAAGTTGTATGGCCCGAGGTTGTAAAAATCCTTTAACCCAAGCGTCTCAAACTTGATGTTTGACAATTTGCAAATTAACATCAATACTTGGACAATATTAGGACGGAAAAACGAATTCTCTTGAAGCATAATAATCACCAAGTTTTTTAAATCCCCAGAGTACTGCGGCAATGGAGGAAATTGAAATGATGCGTGCAAGATTGCTATGTCTCCGTTAGCTTCAAACGGTGTTGTGTAGTAACATAACTTGAAAAGGAAGCAACCAAGAGCCCAAATATCAGCCTTTTCATCAATTGGCTTTGCTCTATAAAGATCTATCATTTCAGGAGAACGATACTGTGGCGTAGTGTGGTAAAGGATGTCATGACTGATGAGTTTGAATTGCTGTTGGTCTTGTGGAGGGGACACTGGCACCGACGTGGATCCAAAATCACAAAGCTTGAAACTACCTTGTTTATTAATCAAAACATTTTCGATCTTGATATCACGATGGATCAATCTAGCTCTATGCATCTCGTAAACACCCTGGCAAACGTCCAACATAATTTTGAGAATCTCCCCTTCATTCAACTTTACTTTGATTCTCGCATTCATGAAATCCAACAACGACCCCCCTGGGCAAAGTTCCATAAGAACTAGAACCTGATAATTGACATTATCTAGTCTTTCAGCATGCGAGTCGTAATACGATACAATGCTTCTTGCGCTTCGTAAACATTTCATGACTTCGACTTCCTTTCTCAACTGGTCTAAGCCATTCTTGTCGGGAACAATAACTCGTTTCAAGCATGCTGTAGTTGATTCTTTCCCCGGATAATCTATGCTAACTTCATAGATTTGAGCAAAACCGCCCTCCGATAAGTACTTGATAATTGACACTTGATGCTTTCCCACTTGCAACTTCGTGCCACTTTGAAGCTTTGGTATATTTGCAATGTTCATTATGACGATTGGAATTGTTTTCGGGTGGGTGAAAGAGGGCGTGCAACTCTGTAAATGATCAACAAAACAATTGTGACTGACGTTTTAAATCTAAATTTAAAGGCATGTCGGCACAAAAGAATTTGTGTGGTGGATTCTAGAGAGAAAAATAAAAATTGTATGCGGGTCAAAAGGGGCACAACAGAGAAATATAATGCCTGTACTTCCTCCATGATTTATTGTAACCTACTCATTATACATTATTCAAACTCTTGCCTTTGAAGCTCTTGAATCTCACCAAATGTGAATGGAATAAACGCTTTTTCCAATCCCGACGCATCCTTAACCAATTGACACATTTTATGGTCAACATACTCTTTTAAAAATGTCCTAAACGTAACTTCGTTCGACACGATGAACTCGTCCAAGCACTGGTTGTACAATGTCTTCAAATCAACACCGAATTTGACCGCTCCTTTGACGCCCGATCCTTTCCCTGCGGCAACATTTTCCATGTTGTTGAGTTGATCCAAAAGCAAGATCTTGTATAAGTTTCGGTAATTATCAGTCAATGATCTCAAAACAAACTTTGCTCCCAAACTGCCAATGTACTGTTTCGACTTGCCCATACTCAAAACGTCTTTGAACGAAGTTTCTATAGAGTAGGTATGGTAAGTTGTCAAGTCATGCCAAATCAAATTCATACTTTTCGACTTTGACAGATCCCATAAAAGAGGGGCATTAATATGATCAATGGAAGATATAACCCAAATTTCGGGTATACTCATCAACTGAGCAAAAAGTCCTTGAATCTTGTCCGTTCTGAAAGCCTCTCCATCTAGGTTGTGTACCACCATCAACAACTTTGGTTTCAATAATTTTCCAGGCTGTGGCGATTCCCTTCTTTGTTCCATTTGATCAACCAAAAATGGTATAGTTTCTGAAACATGCTTGGGAATTATATTTTCCTCTTCTGGTAGAAGAACTGGCGCCACCTGTAGTGCAATGGTTTTGAAATCGACATTGGGATTGTATCCATTCACGACCAACGCCCTTGGTGGAACACCGCCAAATATAGCATCCCACCAGTTTCCAAAATAGTTTTCAGCAAAATCCTTTAATGTTTTTAATTTTGATCCCACGCCGTAAAACATCAAATTGTAATTTTGACTCAACTCAAAACACCACTGGTTGTACAATGATTTATGAAGGTCAAAGAGGGCACTTTTATGATGTTGGCATATATTTTCACTCAATTGGATGGCTTTGTTGAAATCGGATTCATTAACAGGAGGTGCAACTGAAATCAACGATTTGGCATTTACTCTAAACCTTCTATGAAGCTGTTCAAAGTATCCTTCCGGCCCTTCCATGGAAAAGACTTTTTCGTCCAACAATCTTTCTTGGTTGACTCTTGACGGATCTTTGCCGTTAAAGTACTTTTCCAAATATCTGTGATCCTTGATGTGCCCTTCAGAGTCTAGTTCCGGAATTGGCAATGGTTCAAATATTTCCTTTTCTTGTGATTGGTCATTTGTTTTGGTGTCGAGTCCACTAACAATTGGAACCCTTGTTCTATCTGAATATTGACTTATTAGTAGATTTGCTAATGACTTTTTGGCTGCCTTTTGTGCAACGGGAGGAGGCGGCGGCAGCAGTTCAAGATCAGCAGGTGACCCTCGATCGAATAGCTCATCATCCTGATGAAAGATACTCTTAACTCTTTCAGCTACACCTTGGGCCCTAGCACTTCCCCTTTTACTACCTCCGCCTCTCTTTGTCTTGTATATCAGTTTATCATAACTTCTTTTGATGTTGGAAGAAACCCTTTTGGAGACACTCTCGTCTGACTCGTTGTCACTTTCACCATCTTCGCTATCTATTTCGACCTCTGAATCGGAAATGAAAACATGATCTTCATCAGAAACATCCTCAATGTATCGCTTCCTTATCCGTCTACCTTTTTTCGAGACCGCTGTTAAGTCAATTTCTTGTTCCACATCGCTGCCATAATTCGGTGCTAAATTTACCTCATTCTCCTTTTTTCTCGACAGTCGTATTATATTCTCAGCCAACGCTATGTCTTGTTTATCAAGAAAATCGTCTGAGTCAAGCTCATCATTCATCAATTTATCATACAATGTGTAATGGGCCCTTCGTTTGGCAGACTGATCCAAGTCTACTGCGTTTCTCTTTTCTGGAGAACGTAAGCCAGCACGGCCATTCGGCGTCTTTACGGGCGAAAGGATTGGGAATCGACTTACCGCATTCAGTGAACCAATTATTTCCCTCCCTTTCGTAGGAGATCTCGTAGGAATATCATGGAGTGACAATGTCATTGGATCCGTTGTTTTGCATCAATACATTTTCTTTTTTTTTTTTTTTGTTTTGAAATTTTTCCCTTCTTCTCATCATAGATCACCACTAATGCTCACATTCTGTCCACATTGCTCTAATATGCTTATGATATCACCTGGTGATGATAACAACAACAGATTCTATTGCTCCACTTGCCCGTACGAGTTCAAAATTACCGGTTTGCTGATGTACGATCGAAAAAAATTGCATAGAAAAGAGGTTGATGATGTTTTGGGTGGTGAAGGTACTTGGGACAATGTTGATCAAACAGCTGCCCAATGTCCTATTGACTCATGTGGGGGAGATAAAGCTTATTTTTTCCAACTACAGATTCGAAGTGCAGACGAACCAATGACAACATTTTACAAATGTGTCAAATGTGGACACAGGTGGAAAGAAAATTAGAGCTATTTACCTAACCGATTTGAGTTTGAATGAATTCCAAGATCTTCGATCTGACCGAATGGCATTCGATATTTCAGAAATTTTATGAAGATTGAGACTTGGCGATAGAAAATTATCATCTGGCATCAATTGAACCTCTGAAAATGATTTTTCAAATACACAACTGGAAGCAATCACCGAGGTGCTTGTTGAATCAGTATCGTAGTCAGTGGAGCATGCTGATTCTGTTTCGGATTCTGAGTCGTGCTGAGTGTGTTTGTTTTGAACCGTGGAGACAATTAAACGAAGATCTTTATTTTGATGGTAATTGACGATTCGTTTGTACTTTTCCTCCCCTCTGCCAGCTATAATAGATTGTAACTTGAAACCTTGACTCCATGATTCTTGATCTACGGTATTTTGACCTAGTTTCATCTGCCCCTTGAATGGCCTCGGATTAGTGATGAAATCTTTGACAAATTTGATCTCTTCAGTGCATTGAGTAAATGACCAGCGGTTTATCTTTGACACGGGACGATCCAAAACCATACGCGGTGGTTGCCCATACTTTCGAAAATTTTCAATATCAAACAAATGTTTCGATGAGGAGCAAAAGGGGCCAAATACTCTACCCACAGTGAAACCATTCAACCAGGACCTTTTAGATTCAACACATGGAAAAACCAGCTTTGGTTTGAATAGTTTAACCAACTCAATAGACTCTTCATAAGAGGAGTGGCGGGAAATCATAAGTAATAGGTTTGTCGGTAGTAGTTCTTCTCCATTTAACGGTAAGAGCCAAGTTTTTCCATCATAGGAGTAAATCTGATTTCCAGAACCTAGTATTCGAAGTAAAGTGAGATTTGAAGCATCAACATCGTAAAGTTTCTTGGGGAGACAGAATCCAGCGTAGTCCACAATATTGAAATCGATACAATGCTTGATTGTGATCATTAGTGGGATATCCTTGTACAAATTTCCAACATTGAAAACCATTGATCCAGGGCTTCTAGGATTGCACTTTATCAATTTCATGCGTTCAATTATCGATGGATCAGCATCTAATGTACCATTAAAATGATCCAACACTCGCAGCCAAACCTCCTCCGACCCTGACACCGCATCGATAAATGAAAATTCAATCTCTTTGTCAACGGGGTACAATTTGAGAAGCTCAATCAAGGCTGTAATTCCCTCACTGTTTGGCATTATTGAAATATATGGTTCTCCTCGATATGAAAATGTCGTGTCTAGATAAATCTGATCAAGTGTTTTCAATCCTGTGATGTACGGGAATATATATCGATTCTGAATGAGTGATGAAACCCACCACTTTTCAGCTCTGATATCACCAGTTGCCAAGCATGAGACGCCATTGGTACACTCAAACAAAAACATTGATGAACCCGGACAGTGATACGTCTTCAACATTGTCACTGTCATTGAAGAGCAAAACGTCTGCACCTCAAATGGTTCGTTATACTCCTTCACTATTAAAAACCTCAATATGTCATTATATCGATGATCTAGGGCAATGATATCCTTGGTCAACTGTGAACAAAACACGCGACCGCAAAAGGAATTTTCCAATAAACCATTGAGGTGATCCAGGTGACAATGCGTAAGAAAAAATACCTCTCCTTTGTAGCTAAAGTTGTCAACACACACGCCTGGTATCTCTCGAATTTTGCCATCAAAAGTGTTAGCCAGAGCCATACTTGAATGTAGGGGCAAGTCCTCCACGCGTTGCGCGAGTTGCCATAGATTTTCCATCTTTTTTTTTTTTTTTGCGGCCTAAAATATGATCAATGACACGGTAGCGGGACTCACATCAACATGCCGTAGAATTCAGCACGACTATATTGATTGTATAATGCATCCCACTGCACGATGCACCTGTCTGTTATCGGCATTATTAGTCTCCCACTGAGGCTCAATGTTTTTACTCTAGCTAGACTCTCGATGTAGATGATTTTCGTACGGTTGAGACCCACCAATTTAAATACGAATAACATGTAGGCAATTGGTATGCACGTACCGGGTCCGTTGAAAAGAATCACATCGGGATTGTGTCGTACTAGCTTAATAGCCGACACAGCCATTGAAAATAGCGTTGTTGCAATTGAGGAGATATAAGATTGACCCACATTTCTTGCTCTAGGGATTTGTATATAGTGGCCACGACGGTTGCCGTATCGCTCTTCTTCATCGCTATGAGCACGACACTGCGATGCGGTGTCTCCTGAGGAGTAGATCCAAGTCCTATCAAAACTGGCCAAATTCATCCTGGATAAAAGTCTCATCATCTCTCCTGTGTGGCCACCAGAACCCAAGAAAATTGACACATGCTTGTTGTTAAGCAGTTGAATAGATTTCCTCTCCTTGAGGTGCTTGGGCAATTGTGTAAACGGTGAAACTTGTAGTATTCGCAAAAGTACGACCAAGATAGGGATAGATAGAGCCACTACCAATGCACAGAAATAAGACTCCAACAACATGCTTTGGGGAGGTTTGTCTACCAGAGATTTTTCAGTGCGCCAAATTTTTTCTTCAACTATAAACCACTACATCAAATCCTTCTCGGCCAACTGTTTCATCACTTTATTCACAATAGCTCTAAGTTGCTTCTTTTCCTCATTAGTCCTCCCCAAAGCTTTTTGTTTCCCAAAGCACACTCTCATGGGGTAGTTATTTAACTCCAACAAGCCGGCAGTTTTCTTGTTTTTATTCAATCCGTTCGAGTTTATCGATTCAGCAAACTTTTCTGCAGAGACTCGATTTTGAAATGTGATAAAGCCACACCGTGAGTCGTGGTTCAATACAAGGCTTTGCACTTTGCCATACTCTGCGCAATACTTGGAAAGCAAATATTGAGGAAGATCCGTGGGGAAACCAAATACAAAGAACGTCGTGAGCTCAGGGTATTTCCCTGGATCCAACAGATTTCCAAAGGGAAGCTTTTTCGCCAACTTTGATATGGGAATGTCTTGCTTGGCATCGGACGTACTTGTAGAAGATGTAACTTCGCCATTGTTTAGCCTTTCTGCCAACTTTGATAACAACTCCTTTGCTCTGTTGTTGTGCTGCTCTTGATCTAGTGATTTCTCCAATTCATCTGCCATTATTGCCTTGACCTCTTTATTTGTCAGTGATTTCAATAGCGAAAGGGGGTCCAAACCAGCCATTTTTAAAGCAGTATCGCGTAGATCTGTCGGTATCCGGTAATCCTTATCTAGAAGACAAACCTGGCAAGCGTTTTTACCTCGTGAGCAGGTAAAACATATAACTGTTTTCATTTGTTGCGTTGACACTGCATTATTTCTCCAACGGTACACAGTGAACGGACGAGTACACTGTTTGCAAGCTTCTCCGTTCTCCTGCTTCACCATCTTGATGAATTTGTCATTACCTAGGCATACTGAACAAACAAAAAAGTTGTCACTACTCATGATGGGGATGGATGATGAGATGGAGTGGCAGAGAGAAATGAATTGAGTTTGGAACGCTACCAGCGAGTGTTTTTAACATCGACAGTAAAACTTGATAGGAGATTTCAAACTACAGCAAAACTATCACTCTCATTCATTAAATTCTATCTACTTCTTCTCATCAGCTTTTTGTTCAGCTTTACCACCACCGATTCCTCCTAAGATACCAGCTGCCATGTGACCAGCTCCTCCAAGATGAGCTTTGTCAGCGGCTTTGTTACCGACAACAGATCCTGCAACAGATGCAGCAATTCCTTCAACTTCTTCTTTGTTTGGCATGATAATTAATGGGTATGTGATAATGAGAAGGCTTCTCGGAATTTGGTCCGGGAAGATTTAGTCCCCTTTATATAGATTCGGTAGAGCATTGTTTTCATCTTGTAACTGAAACTGGCCGCAAACATCCTGCATGGGGAAAACAAAGATTGCTATTCCAATTAGGAGGACATGCATGAACGTCATTCCTCGAGGATAAAGGCATGTAACGCCCAGCCACCTGGAAATCGAAGCGATACATATATGTGGCCACATATGTAGCCGCATAAGTAGTATATGCTACTATGGCAAGTGTGAAAACTTGGCACAGTAAACACCCCTTAGTACCCTCTCGCACGACTCATTGAACTTTCTTGACTGAAAAAAAAATCCTCCTACCAATTACCTCCCGATCATCAAACATGAATCAAGATATAAGTATGTTAAGAACTACGCGGATGATATTATCCAGTCACTAACCTGATTAGCGCAACCTATTGAGCCATTTCTCAAAAACCTTTTGTCGTCGTTGGATGCACAGTACAATTCACCCGGTCAATCGTTTACCAATGTTGAATCATATGCTACTCAATTTGGCTCTAGTCTTAAACGAGAGGCGGCTATAATAGTAAACGGCACTCCTATTGTTCCTTCACAAGTAGAAGATGCCAAACTACAGTTTCAAAAGAAATGGTTGAGTATGCCCAATTCTTCGCATCAATTGACTAGCTTTGATTGCCATTTGATACCAGGAACAAACACATTCATCATCAATTTTTCAGCGAGGGTTAAGTTTGATCAAAGTGGGAAAAACAGGCTAGGTGAATCGGCGGACTTGATTCAACAAAACTCCATTGTCAAAACTGTCAGACCGATTTGGGGCTCATGGTTTGGTGTAAATGGCATCTTGGTCATTGATAGTAATCTCAATGGACAGGAGATTATAAATAGTTTTGATTATAGATTTACATATGTTCCAAAGGATACAACTTTAGTAGTATAAAAGATTAATGTACATTAGCCTATTTAAGCAATAAGACCTTGTTGAGCTCTTCTTCTGTCTCTTTCTTCAGTAATAGATAACTTAATACCTTTACCTTTTGGTAATGAAACCCATGGTTTACCGTGTTCTTCACCGATAACGAAAACGTTATTCAATCTGGTAACGAAGGTGTTTTCCAAAGCATCTTTAATGTGAACCAAATCGAAACCTCCTTCGTGTTTTTCTCTGTGTACAATGACACCAATTCTTCCCAAGTTTCTACCACCAGTAACCATAACCAATTTACCAGTGTCAAATTTCAAGAAGTCGGTGATTTTACCAGTAGCCAAATCAATCTTGACTGAGTCGTTAACCTTGATCAATGGATCTGGGTATCTAATGGTTCTACCATCGTGGGTGACAACGTATGGGATTCCCTTCTTACCCAATTGGACTCTCTTGACTTTACCCAATTTGTAAGTGGCTTCTTCAGCTGAGATTCTGTGGACAGCAAATCTACCTTTGACATCGTAAATCAATCTAAAGTTTTCATTGGTGGCTTCCAAAGTAATAACATCCATGAAACCAGCTGGGAAAGTGGTGTCGGTTCTGACTTTACCATCAACTTGAACGTGTTGTTGCATCAAGATGGCCTTAACTTCTCTACCGTTAAGAGCATACTTCAATCTGTTTCTTAAAAAGACAATCAATGGTAATGATTCTCTCAACTTGTGTGGACCAGCAGATGATTTTGGAGCATAGGTTCCGGACAATTTGTCCAACATCCAGTGGGATGGAGCTGCTAACCTTTTCAAATGTTTCTTTGGACCTCTTCCCATGTTTGATGACTCGTTTGTTGTAGAAAGTGAAAATTGAGGGCTTCTTGGTTTTCTTAATTTTTTTTTTTTTCAACTTGGTAGAGACAATATAGACTAGGGTTAAAGACCTACGGATAAATCAATCACGTGATAAAATTTATTTATTCCATTTAAACCAAGTGCTACCTCTATGCAGTTTCTTCAACTGTTGTTCCAACTCACGGTCCTGCTCCACCAACGTGGCCAATTCATCTTCCAAATTGGCTGTCGTTTCAACTTCTTTCTGATTAATTTGCAACAACTCTTGAATTTGGTCTTCAATAGAGCTGGGAAGAATATCGTCGTTTGCTTCTTCTCCCATTTTCGATTCCACTCGAGCAATATCCTCTTTCAACTTGTCAATACTCTCTTGTAACTCTTGACTTTCATTAACAATTTCTGGCAAAGTCACTTTCAAATCCACCATCTTTTGAACAATATCAACATGATCGCGGTTCAAGTTGGAGTATTGAAACTCCAATGTCTTTAACGATTTGCGGAGTTTACCATTTTCACTATTCATATGGTCGATATCCTTTTGTTTCAATTTTTCATCTTCGTAATACTTGTTGAAATACAATTCAAACTTGGCAAGTTCAACAGGGTCAATGTTGATCTTCATTGAATCATGCACTAAGTCATCCAACCTGTAGTATGATGAGGCACCAATATGTGAAAGTGGCACTTGACCGGATTTACCTCTAGTGAGAAATTGTTTGAGCTTGGTTGACTTTGCATCATCCTTGATATCAATGAACTCGGGGCTAACATAAATATTAAACAACTTGTCCTTGAGAAATTGCAACAATTTATCAAAATTCAAACTAAGCAAGCTCTCCTCATTCTGAATCATTAAATTGACGGCAAACTTCAATATCGACTCCATTCCTTGAGTAATTATGCTGTCATATATCCGCAACACGATGTTGAGAGGGAATTTGTATGCGAAAAATGTGAGAAACCATTGACTTGCATACATCGAAGACTTGATTCCCTGTTTAACCAAATGATTATACAACACTGGAGAATACTTTGCCAACAAGCAATCAAATTCATACAACAACAAATGCAACCCTTTCATTCCGGGGCAAAATAAATCCCTCAATTGGTATTCCTTCATGAGCAAAACTAGTAGACAAAAACATTCACTTTCAGACATATTCATAATTAATGGTGCTGCAATAAAAATCATCCCTTGGGTGTACCCAACATCAGGATCATACAAGGAATACGCTTTGATTACATTAAACAAGGCATCAGTTTTATCAAATTCATCAATATTTGTGTAAAAACTTGTCCTCGTTAGGTCTCGCTTTATAGCCTTTTCATGGATTGACACTTCCAATTTCAACGAATGGTAGAAATCCTCCAAGTTTGAATCTTTTGATTTCGTGATGATTTGCCAAATAATGCCTCTTATTTCATTAGGTATACCTTGATTTATTGCATTATTCAATTGGTCAGGATTCTGCTCAACAATATCATCGTAGTTTTCAACAACGGATGTCCAGAAATCCCAGTCGATGTTGTATGGTGTTCCAGCAACGCTTACAGCACTTTTTATTTGATTAAATGTTCTTCGAATATCATCTGCACCTGACTCTATCGACCGTTGTGTGGAGGTATTCTTGTCGTGAAATTTGATTGATAATACCCTGTGTTTCGATTGAAGGAGGTAATTCGATGTAGACTTGTCATATGAATGCAGTATTTCGTTCAATCTGGTGATGGAGTTGGGATCAACGTCGGATGTAATTGTTTCTTCGTCAATGTGTAAACACGATTGGATTGGTTCCCTTGAAGGTAGTGGTGGAGACTCATTCAATGTGAAATCATCCTCAGCGGTTACTGCACCTGCTGCATCTACAGCCACTGTAGTTGTAGCCTCATCGGTGTAGTATTGTTCTTCGTCCGACATTGCCTAATAGAACAAAAAGTTGATATGTTTGTCCCCAAACTAACAGCGAAGTAGAAAAAAAAACCCGTTGCGATCCGAAAAGGGGGGGAAAGGAAGAATGAATGTATACAAAAAGCTATATAGCTATACGCTTGTACTCGGGTAGCCTCTGATGGCGCACTCTTCTAGAGACTGTAAATTATGACCACTAGTTGCAATAGTTATAGCTTTTGCTTTACTTTCTTCTTTCTTTACTTTCTTTGCACACGATGCTACTTTCAGCTGACTGCGACTAATCCTCTAGGCAAACGAATCCAGACACTCCACTTATATTTCAATTTGGTGAGACATTGTTTGTTCGTTTTGGAATAGATAGATCGTCATTGGCTTCATTGTTAAATTCTAGAGATGTAAATCGTTTAGAAAACTACAAAAGCCTCACCCATTGAAGAGCCTACCTTGGCAGTTGGTGTTTCTCGTTACAAATCCAAAAAGGAATATCTGAAACTTCAAATCTGTACAAAAGCTATACTATATACTGCTTTTAGACCCAATGGTAGTCTTCATTAACGCTGATGACTTGCTGCAAAGGTGCGACAACTTCTTCAATAGGTCTAACGACACGTTGGGTCAAATGGTTATCCAATTCACTAAGATCGGAGCTTAAAACGTCACTTGAGTATGAGCTGTCATAACTATTTGAAGAGCTCAACAAGTCAAAAGGCTCTGATTCCATTGTGCTAGCAACAGGGACAACATCAGTTTGCCCTTCTTCCTCAACAATAATACCTCCAACGATGCCCTTTTCTTGACACAACTTTTCCAATTTGTCCTTGTCGCAATTGGGAAAATACACTCTCACCAGGTTGTCAACATACTTCATTGGCAATTCTCCCAACTCAAACAAATTGCCGAGATCTTGTTTGAAATTTTGCAACTTGACCTCAAATCGTTTGACATTGTACAACATTTCGTCAACAACTTCTTCTGACAAAAATGTCTCACTGGGAACATTTAAATTGAAATTCAATGGGAACGCAATAAAACAACTTGTAAAATGTACATTTGATTTAATTTTTTCTTGTTTTGATGCAGAGGACTCAGTTCTTGCCAAAGTGGTTATCAATTGATGGTTTTTAGCCGACAATGACAAGTTTAAACTGAGCCTCTGCAACACTTCACCTTTATTTAGTGAAGTGGCCTTGTTATACACTTGGTACTTTTCACGTAAGTTGTTGAACAACAATCTATATGTTTGTTTCACATTATGGTGATATATTTTTAACCTAAATGGGTTTTGATATGTTTGGGAGAAGTTGTGGTACAAAAACCCATGATTTAAGGTTGTTAAAATCTTGGATTTAGTGCCCAATCGGCCAACTTTCCTCAAGAATAAATTATACTTTTGAAACCATGACGAAGGGTTTGCTCTTGTCCAACTGGTGTTGTGTGAATATGTACGTGCAGAAGTACTGAATTGACGCACAAAGGGGTTCCCAGCCCCGCCGTTTCTCACGGGCACCGGAACATGTGCATAAGCCGGCTGCCGTTGCAGTTGCCGTGGAAATGGGGACCCTTGTTGTTGACGTTGGTGTTGTGCTTGTTGGTACTCACGTTGTAAGTTCTCGCTTAACTCATTAAGTGCCTTTTGGATCTTTTTGGAGATCTCTCTTGTCCTTATTGAGATTAAGTTGGAGAATCTTTGAATGTTCATATTGGAATATGTATGGTGTGAGGTCTCTCACTTGTTGAGAGAAAACAGGAAGAAGAAAAAAATGTGGTGCTGGCGGGGAATTTTGTTATCGATCCCGATAAGAGTGAGAAAAAAGAGTGAGCATGATTTTTTTTTTTTGTCCTGATTGTCGTATCCGAGATTCGGTAAATCGAATACTACATTAGTTTACTTTAATGTAAGTACATTAAACTAGGAATCCCAAACGTCTAACAAAAAGTATTGTCTATTTAAAAATCAAGCGAAAGCCAGTTAGCATTGTTGTTGCTGTTGTTGTTGTTGTTGCTATTATTGTTGTTGTTGTTACTATCCATGGACAAGAAATTCACATCTGGTCCAAATAATTCATTTTCTTCGACTTTGACTCTTTTACTCTTTGGAACTGAATCAATATCGTCATTAGTCATTGAGTTTAGACTTAGTATTGACGAAGGAGATGTCAATAAACTATTTTCAGTAGTATTCAAAAAGGATGAAAGTTCATTATGGTTGAATTTCCTGGCATGATTGTAATTGTTCAACTTTGTTGTACTCTTGCTGAATAATGAATTGGGAATGGATGTGTTACTCGATGATGATGATGTGATTGGGATATTATTCAAGTGGAAATCATTTATAATCTCTTGTTTGATTTTGGATTTATCAATGGGGAAATCAAATTGTGATTCAACTGGATGTGATTTTGATTGTTGGAGAGGAGGAAATGTTGAGAACAAGTCATCTTCATAGATTGGTGATTGAGCTAGTGAATGTGGTTGAGTTGTGAATCCGTAGCATGATGAACGTTTTCTGGGTATTGATGTGTGAGGTTGTGGTGGAGCAGTTGCAGCAGTTGGAAGAGCTTGCTCTTGTAGTTGTTGTGGTTGCTGTTGCAGCTGCTGTTGTAGGTTAAAACTGTCAATCTCTCTTTTTATAGCTGGAGGTAAAGGCTCTTGATCCAATTCGTTACCGTCTTGTGCCAATGGACCAGCCAGTTGATTAAAAAACGCTCCCTCATCTATCCCATTGTCTTTCCCCGCCTCACTCAATTTATCCTTGACTGGTTTCAATTTTTCTTCAAAATTACCAAAATTGTTTAAAATATCATCCAAGTCATAATTGGGCAACAAATGATGGAAAATATCTTCCATTTTACTCAATTTCGTTTCAACATCAGTTAAATGAGCTCTAGTTAAAGGCAGTCTTACTGTTCTCGGTGAATATGAACAACACCATTTATGTTGGATACATTTGGAACAACGGGGGTATTCTTTTGAACATTTGAGTTTGCGTTTTCGGCATGAATCGCAAGCTTGTTCAATAACTGGGGTGGTGGAAGCGGAAGAATCATAAGCTGAGTTGTCAATGTCGTTGCCGCTGGGGTTGTTGTTGTTGTTGTTGTTGTTGTTGTTGTTGTTGCTGAGAAATGATTGAATATTGCTTGACATTTGTGACATTCTATAAATGTTATAGCTTTTGGTAACTGGTTATGTGACGTATATGCGTGTCGGTCGATTACAAACGTGGTTGAGAATGAGTATTCTATGATCTATTGGTTTTGAAGAGAAAGAGTAAAAAGCAAGAGTAGAATTGAAAATTTAGATAAAACATTGAATGAACAATTGAATGAAGTTTTATATCAATCATTCATCATCCATACCTTGTTAGTGAAATTTAAGTTTATTATTAATTGTTGTTGATGAAAAAATAAAAAAAACAGTTTTAAGTAATGCTGCATAATATGTAAAATACACAATAACCAAGTTTTAATTGATTTTGTTTTTTGTTTTATTTTTTTCTTGTTGATAAGTACACGCCCCCTGCCCCCCCCCCTTTAATTTGGAAAAAGAAAAAAATCATGTCATATTCCAAAATTTATGACAATAGTTTTCTCCCTCAATACACGTGGATGATATCATTTTCTTTACACTGAAGTTGCAAGAATCCCATATGCTATTTTGTAATCTATCTACTTTGAAGGTGTTATGCTGCATATTACATGGTGTGATATGTTTGAATAAGGTATCAACCAAACAATACCGAAGGCGGAATAAGCAATGTCGTAAAAGAAATTAACACGACACTCTTTTCTATTTTTGTATACATTTCGCCTATTCCTGTTACACTCATCTCTCCCAATGCAACTTTTGTTTGGCTCGATAACAGGATGAGCTCGATGCTGGTGGGACCTCACTGCATCTTTGTGTTGTTTTGTAGTTACTCTTTCTTTCAACCAAATAGGCAAGAAAAGAGGGGAAAAATTTGTCGTCCCAAAAAGAAAAAAAAAAAAATTCGTAACAAACGACATTAAACTGAACCGTTTATACTTTTTTTTTTTTCTTTTTTGTTGAACAAATCCAATTCAACAAAAATTCATGGAAATAAGCGTAATTGAATGGGTGTAATATCCGAAACCCATTAAAAAAAAAAAAAAAAAGAGATCTAACGTTGTTTAGAGGGGATCTTTAGCTTGGAACTACGCATGATGCTTTTTAGTTCCCGAGAGTTCCTAAAATGAGGCTTATAGATTTGGATTGACGAAGTGGGAGTTAGGGGTCTTCTATTGAGCAAGTTAATAACAATTGGTGTCGTCGTAACTTTGTAATACTACTACATCAACAATATTTCCAGTTTTGTTCGGTCGTTGCCGAAGAAAAAACTTTGAGCAGAGTAACACAATGTTGAGCTGATGTCCAAATAGAGTAGTTTTTTGTAGTTTGAAGCTCTGTTCATTTGTTGAAACATTTGTATTTCATCTCTCTATGTTCATATTTGTCATCTAATTTTTTCTTTCTCTTCTCTTTCTCGGAGTTTGAATTTGTGTTGCTGAAAAAAAAAAATAAAAAGGTTTTACAGATTTTTATTCTATTATTCATTAACTTTGTGTATATTTTTGGTATTTACCCTTTGATGCACGACTCGTAATAACCAACTCCTCTCTTTTGACACAAATGTCGTGCAAAAAAGTGGTGAGGGGAGACTATATTGTTGTATTCAGTATTTGTGGTGCTATTATTAGTGACTGTGGTGTGGTGGTTTTGATACTCGTTGGGTAGATGTACCACCACCACAGCTATTAGCTTGTAAAGACACATTGTCACTAATAACTTGGCATAAGATGAGATAGACATAATTAGTGTTATCTAGTTCAAAGAAAGACAGACAAAGTTAAGATGTAAAGTACACCGGTGCTGAATATGGGGATGAACAACAGTACGAATTAACGTGATGCTCTACTCCCCTGTATCACTAGTTCAATAAACCGTCAGCCTTGTGGTTTCGGACTTGGGTATGCTCTACTAATGCGGTAACATTGTTGGCAATGCTTAGTTAGGTAAGACCGTTTCAAGTGTATGCAATTATATGAATGATACTATTACGATGTGTGTGGCCAACGTCATCGTCTAGTAAGCACTTGCATGATTCGAATTTAGGCACATAAAGTAGCCAATGCTATCGAAGGAACCAATTTCATCCCTGTTTTTTTTTTGCTTTTCCTTCACCAAGTGTAAGAGTATAAATAAATGAGGGTTGACATATAGTCTCTACAATTACCTTCTTCTTCCTAACAGGCGTAGGCGATGCTATTTGTAATTCGCAGGTAATATAAAAAACCTGCGCAAAGTGCATTAGTTCATCCCAGCTTTCTAGATGCAAATTCGGTGAAACGTGGTGAGGCATCGCAACCAAAACTACCATGTCTCAGGCAAGATGATTATGCACCCGCCGTGAATATAGAGCTATATCATCGAAGCGGGCAGGCATGTAGTGTTACACCAAGAAAAAAAAAATGAAAAAGCAAGTGAGTTGTCCTCTCTCGTCCCCATTACCAAGAAGAATCAAATAACCCTCTCTTTTGAGGCGTTTGAAGAGAAATCATACGTTTAATAACTTCAATACATTCTCAAATAGATCAGGAACGAAGGATCCACAAAGTGAGCCAAGTGGAGTGATTTACATAGATTTGTTAAGTCTTCAAAGATGCACAATTTCACCCAACTATTACAATATAACTTGAAATAGCAACCGAGACGGTTTTACTCTTGTAAACAGCTGACGTTGTCTATCAATCATATGCTTTTTTTCTTCAGGGGGAGGGAAAATTCGCATTTCAATCGCGTGAGGAGATACAATAAAACAATAGGAATAATTTATCCGAGAAACAATATCATATTACACAATATGTAAGATGAGAGAAGAAAAAAAAAAAGAATGAAAAATCACAAGTTTTTCCGAAGTGAGTTTTTACACTATTTTCTTTTTTTTTTTTGGGTTTTTAGATCGAACGTTTTTTCCAAAAAGCACGACTTTTACTTATTTAATTTGAATGTAAACGTTTGAGAAATAACAGTGTTGGTTGTTGTGGTGCAAGGCTTTGAATTTCAAAGTAGGCCAAGCATAACAATGTTGAGGAGTAGCTCTTCAGTGTTGAAAATTAGAGGAGAGGGGGGGTGGGTTAAATTATTCATGGAAAACACGTTCTTCTGGTACTATAGCCCCTTTTCGGAATAACTTTATGTTCGTATTAAACTGGTTTGTAGCCCGTGACTATAACTTTGTTTTTTTTTGTTCCGTTTTTGGTCCACTCGTTTAGTATTGTGTTGAAGTATATTTGCGAAACGGTCAGCGGTTGATAGGTATAAGTATAATCCGGCAAACCAAGATAATCAAGACAGTGAAGAGAAGAAAATCATTGCTGGTTTAATCTCCCTTGACCTATTGTAGACATTACTTTGAAAAACAATGTATGAAATTACTTTTTATACTTTTTTGCCATCTGCATGGAATATAATTTTGCTCAAATTTGCAACAAAATTGGGGGAAAAAGTGCAAGTTAATTTAATTGTTTGAACTCCGCTTTACGTTATCTCAAACAAGATTGTTCAGGTTACAGCCAGATGGCATACAAGAAGTAGCAGATGCGATATAGTTAAAATAACCACTACTTTTTTGGAGGGCATTGCATTTGATGTTTTGGGAAAAGTTCCAGTATCCGCGTGAATTCAAGACCAAAAGCTACCTCAAAAAGCCACATGACTTGTAGGTTTATCTACTCAAATGAAACCCTGGTCCAAATATCAAATCTTCTTCAGTTACTCCTTGTTTTGAGTTAATCCGTATCCTGGAAAATCATCTCAATCTCTGAGTGGTTGGAAAATCTACTAACACAAATAAATTACACAAATACACGAAATAGTTTTTTTTCTTTCTCTTAAGCAGTTCGGCGTTTCAGTTGGATCAAATGCCTTCAAATTGGACATGCATTTTGTAACGCGAAAGAGTGTTTATACTGCCTTCGTGTAAGTAGACACGTGCTAGTGGAGAAAGTAAAAAGTGCACAGTGTTGGGTTTTTGCTGCCCTTAGAGGGGGGGGGGGGAACGAGAGGACCACAACAATAATAAAAACTGTGGTGCTAGATTCTAAAACTGAAACTGAACAATACACGACTACGAACTGAGGATCTTTTAATTGTTTTTTAACGAAAGATAATCGAGAGATTGGGAGAAAGAAATAAATCAAACAATGCAAAGGCAAAAATCACCAGAAAAAAAAAAAAAGAAAAGAAAAAGAGGACAAAGGTTCACACACATACGTATACAAAAATAAAATTAAAAAACGGTTGAGTCAAGGGGTTACAAATGATGCGATTACACTCAGTTGACGCTAGGTAGGAGAAGAAACACACCTAGCTCAGTTTTCTTATCAATACTCCGAAACTAAAAGTTGTTATTGTTTTCTGTGGTTGTGAGCTCAACAAAAACTCCAAGAGGAGAATATTGCAACGAAATCCCCGCAATTTCATCCTCTCAAAATCATAACCAGTTTACACGACTTTTACTTTCTTTGGTTACACCTTAGTATGTCGCAACATCGCCTCAAGTAACACCCCCACACACACACACACACATATGGTGTATGAATTCTCTTCATATTATAGAGTTGCTACCGAGGGGAGTAGATATACCAAGCTTTGCTAATTGCACGTGTATATGGTATGCACTGTACTTGCATATATCCATACGTGTGCCCATACATATTTCCATAGTATAATACATGAGATGTAGACTTGTCTATGTAGAATTTAGTTAGAGTGTTTGGAATCTGAGAAAATTTCTTTTTCTTTTTTATTATTTTTTCTTTTTTGTTGTCTCTTCCCCATACTTTTTTTTTTTGTATGTTTGAAAACTTTTTCTATGTATTGTGTGTGTGTGTGTGTGTGTGTGTAAACAAAAAGCAAGCTGAGGCAAGGGGGGGGAATGAGCCATTTATGAAAGACAAAGAGGCAAATGAGGGGCAAGTAATACAGGAGAGATAAGTATATCCTTAGAGATACTGACTATATTGAATCTTTCCATTTGGTCTTTTCTACTGGTTTGAATTGTGGAGTCATCTGTTTAGTTGGCAATCTTTTTGATGAAATGAAGTGATTTCCGGGTGAACTCGTAACAAATATACATACACATAGTATACACACATAGTATCCACATTAGTATACACATCGGAAAATCTTTTTTTTTTTTTTTTCTTCTTTCTCCCGTACAAAAGAGGTTAAACTAAGAGAGAGAAAGAGAGAAAACAACAACACACAACACACACAACACACACAACAACACACACACACACAGAGAGAGAGAGAGAGAAGAAAGAGAAAAAAAAAAAAAAATTAAATAAATAAAAAAAAAACTCTGCTTAAATATATATCCCATTCCCATCACATCCAACTTTAAATACGTAAAAAAAAATTACTCTTCTTCTTTTCCATCTCAGGAACCAGATATATTATATATATATATATATATATTTATACACAACTTATTCTTACCGGACACAGCAACTACAGACGTTCATCACAATGAGTAACATAGCTTTATCGCCACCACAACAGCAGCAGCAACAACAGCAGCCGCAAGAACAGCCGAGACACAATCAAATTTCTCCTCAATCACTGGAGTTGCTTACCCCACACCACCACAGTAGTACTTCCACTACCCCCACAACCAACACAACTGAGTCAACCACTATCACTACTACGCCCTCCACCACAGCCACCACCACCACAACATCATCGCAAAAGAACAAGAGAGACGGTACTAGACCTTACAAATGCCCCCACTGTGAAAAGGCATTCCATAGGCTAGAACACCAGACAAGACATATACGTACACATACTGGTGAAAAGCCTCATGTGTGTAAATTCCCAGGATGTACAAAGAAATTTAGCAGATCAGATGAGTTGACAAGACACTTGCGAATCCATACCAATCCAAACTCTAGAAAAAACAAAAAAAATGAAAAGGTCAAAAATGAGATTGTTTTTAAGAATACAACCACTGGCACAACGGAGGCTAAACAACAACAACAACAACAACTTCAACAACAACATCAACAACAACAGCAACAACAACAACAACAGCAACAGCAGCAACAGCAGCACCAGCAGCAACTGGGTAACACAAATGGGTCTACTAGAGGTAGAAAAAAGAATGGAGGTGACAGCTTGGTCGCCACATCACCACCTTCATCACCGGGAAGTAGCTCTTCCTCGAGGATGGATATCGACTTGGACACATCACATCAAAATGAAGCACAGACATTTACTGAACAAACGCTTACTCCTACCGCTACCCCCAACTTCAAAGATGGTGCTCATGCGTCTCTTCCAAGCACTGCCACCCCTTCACAAGAGTCACTCACCATGAACAAGAACTTTTCAAGTATAGATATACTAGCACTGGCTGCCACCCAAGAACTAGCTAGTATAGAACTGTCCAGATCACTTCCATCACTAGTTGATCATTTCCACAACGAGTCACATAAACCACAAAGTCTGGATTTCAAATTCTCACCACCTAAATTCCTGAATTTGAATCTGGAATTAAGTCGAGATAAACCATCATTCCATTTCAACGATACAGGAAATTTAACGTACTTGTCAAATATAGCAAGCAGATTTTCTGGTATTCCAAGAATGACTCCATTAGAGCAACCACAGCCACAGACGCAGCCACAAACGCAGCCACAACCACAGCCACAACCACAACCACAACCACAACCACAGCCTCAATCACACACCAGTCGCAAGCAAAACATATCCCAAGACTCTGACATTGACTACCTCAAACTGAAACTCAAAAAATCTAGACCCAATAGTCCTAAACTCTACCAGTATGGTAAATTCAATAACCACCACAGTACTTACACCTTGCCCAACTCACCTGTTCTTGGATTATCTACAAATACAACTCCACTAATGTCGGCAAGCAATAGTTGTACTAATTTGTCGTTGTTGGCTATGACGCCAGCCACTACAGGCAGCAACAATAACAACAACAACAGTAACGCTGGTGGTAGTGGTATTCCGCTACCACATAAACAACCCAGCACGCCATCGAAGGCTACATTTAGTTTTCCAAAGATGTCTCCCTCATCGACTGAGGCATTACCGAGTCTCAAAAGCTTAAATCTACCTATAGGTGATTAAATATAATAAATTAATACTGTTCTATCTATGTGCATCCTCTTTATACACCAACGGACCAAATCTCGTTTTCATCTTCAATTCTATCACTAAACAATGTCTCTTCATCACCACCTTGTTCGATACGCTCCCTTTCAACATTGGCCAATCGAACAGCAACTCTCTTGGTGTAGTCACCGATGGATCTGGGAACAATGGTAATTCCTGTAACTGTAGCAATGTCAGTCTTTCCCTTAAACCACTCATCAAACACCTTCAAGTCTTGATCAACAATGGAAAACACTTCCAAGTACGCCTTTTCCGCTGCCAATTTGATAGGAATGATTGGATCGCGAACTGAGCTAAATACACTGGGAACAAGGAAATCAAGATACTCTTGTGGGATCAAGCTCTTGTGAGCCGCAGTTCTAACCACAATCAATGATAATCTTCTCGTGTCAGGGGATGCTGAGCTGGGTTGAATGGCATTTTTAGCCAATTGTTGATACAATTTCTCATCGTCAACTCCACTAAGCACCAATTTACCAATGGCAATGGTGGCGTTGTCGCTTATATAAGATGTAGCTGAATCACAACAAGACACGACAAATTCAACAACTTCATGATTATGCTTCACCAATTCAGGTGCATACTTCAAAAATGCATTGATTGCTAAAATGGAAAATTTGCTTTGGGTATTGATAACCTTCTTTTGCAACAATACACTTGTCTCCTCCGGTGTCAATACATTTGCCAATGATCCCAACAACTTGGCGGAAGACACTGAGTCAATATTCTCTTCTTCAACCACTGATAACAAACTTGTCTTTGATGCTTCATTCAACTCTTTGCCTTTCAATTCAACCACTGCCAACATTCCTTGCAACATCGATGCCTTGACTCCTGAATCATCAGTGGATTTGGAATTTGTCACCAATTCGGTGATTAACGAATCGACTCGAGGTTGGTGCTTAATCAAGGTTGATAATGCCACAACCGCGCGTTTTCTCAATGTATCATTTGACCCATCGCTCAATGAACGAACAAATGTTCTTTGCAATTGTGGGATGAAAGGTCTCAAAAATTGAGGAATCTTGATCAACAAATTGTTCAAAGCAACAAGAATGGCTGACTTGATATTTGACGCCACTTTTTCACCAATGACTCTAATCAATGGACCAGTTAAGCTGGTTGCCAATGTCCGCAAGTTTTCCGCTGGTGTCTTTTCAATAATATCGGCTATGGCCAATGCCGATAATTCACGTTGATCAGATGACCCATACATCAATCCATGCAAAAACACTGGCAAAATACAGTTTGGTCCCTTTGGTAATGCAAATGCCGGCACTGATACACCAGTTAATCTAAGGGCTTGATACGATGGTTTCACAAGTTTTTCCAACAATTCCTTTGGTTGTTTCTTGATCAATACTGTGAGTGATTCCATTGATGCTTTAACGACTTCGGGTGATGGATCAGCCAAAGAGAGAATCATTTGGTAAACAATGTCTTCGAGGTACATTGAGTAATCCAATGTTGCATGTTCGAAAAAGTCCCTTGATTGAGTGAATATAACTTGTCTAATTTGTGGATCTTCATGCTTCATTAAGGCGAGTAATTGTTGCATCAACAAGTGGGCACCATCATCTTCCACTGATAACAACACCTGGTTAAATTCTTCAGAAATGTCTTCACCAGCAATGATTGACGCAATCAATGTGTTTAAAATGGTTGATAATCTCTTGTACAATGCTGTACCAGCTACTGATGCCAATGATGCCAATGCCACGGCGTCCACAGGGGGTTCCAATAATGACGGCAACGTGATTGGGAAAATGATGTCCGATTTCGACGCCATCAACTCCTTCAATGCCAATAATGAAGCTGACGAGTTGCTCAATTCTGACAACAACTGCGGGATAATCTCATCAATAACAACCTTACCAATTTGCTCATACAATTGTTCAAATGCTTGTGCAGCGGCGTTTCTTGTCGGTTTATCCTGGGTGATGAGTCCATTGTAGATGATACTAATAAATGTGTCCTTATATGTAGTGAGACCCTCCATTGATGTAGATTTGATCAACTCCGTCAATGCAATACAAGCACCTTCTTGATCCTTGGCGTCTTTCAATGAAGGCAACAATTGCGGTAATGCATTTGCACCAACACGACGAACCATGTCACCCAATGTTTGAGCAGCAATTGTCCTCTGTGTTTCATCATCTGACGCCAATTTTTGAACAATTAATGTCGTCAATGTAGGCAAGATTTCCTTTACTGTTCTTGGTGTATTGGCAACAAGAGCTTTCCAAATATCAGCACTGGCATTTCTGACCATACCTGCAACATCAGAACGACAAACAAACAAGGCAGCCAAGATACGATCACGACGGTCTTGACCCAAGACTTGGGCAAGTGTCTTATTAACCATTTGATCCTCAATGAGTTCATTCTTACCAGAAAGACCAGTGATTTGAAACAACAAGTCTCCAGTAAGTTCCAATGACGAAAGACGGATACGGTATGATTCGTTGGATAAACCAGCTTCCAATTCTGGCAACAACAAGTCAACTGCCTTTTTAGCGTAATTCTTGACAATCAATCTACCAGCTCTCAATGCAGTCTCTCTAATCTCTTCATCTTGATCTGCCAACCCATTCAATATAGGAGGAATGATACGATTCAAATATGGTGCGAATTGCGAACCGAAGCAAACAGGTAAGAAAAGCAAAAGCGGCATAAATCCAGCCCTAACTGCAGCACGAGGCGACGATGCCGATGAGATGATTGATGGCAAAAGTTCCTCCAATTTGTTTGTACCAAGACCACAAATGACCTCCGACAAAGCTTGTGCTGAACCAAGACGATCTCCGGCTTTCGATTCGTCTTGCAAAGTGGCAATTAATTTTGGAATCAATCCTGGGAATTGCTCCTCGCCTAGTTTTTCCACCAATGATCCCAAAGCTCTAGCAGCAGTTGATCTAGTTGCAGGCACAGGGTCAACCATAGCGGTCTCTAACTCCTCCACCAATTCATTCAAGTATGGCTGCAAGTCCTTTGAGTCGACTAAAATCGCCATGTTACCAACAATCTGACACGCTTTCTTTTTGGTGGATGCCGATCTATCCTTCATTGCACGGTGAATGACATGGATGATCAATGCCAATGATGAGCTGTCGATGTAGTGCACAAACTGAGTCTTTGTCAATTTATCCAATGCATCATCCAAGTGCTTTGTTGGGTCGCCAATTGCATTGATCAAGTAGGGCACAATTTGTTGAATTTCTGGGTTCCTAATCACTTCACCAAATCGTTTAAGTGACTGCTCAGCTGCTTTTCTCACTTCCTTGTGCGTGTCATTTAATACACCAACGATTTCAGGAATGATTATTGACAATGACGCTGACAATTGTTCTGGATCAAGGTACGCCATTGCACCAAGCAATTCAACGGAACCTTTCTTAGACCTCCATGCAATTTCATCAAGATTGGAAATGGCCAAGGGGATAAGTTTCTTGACACCGAAAGATGTAGTGTTTTTCATGATTTCCTTTGCTGCGTTATCAGTAGCAACTCTCACCTCGCTCAGCATATCACCAAGATTTTTCAAAATGATTGGCAAGATTTCAAACACAAATGGTTCAAAGAATTTGCCCAAACTCTTTGACAAGCTTTCGAACACCAAGGAGACACTTTCCCTTTTTACGGCATCTTTTTTGTCATCAGATGCATCGGTCAAAGTTCTAATTACATCGTAATCGGATAAAGCTCTCACTCCATCACCCTTAACCAACCCAGCAATACCAAACGCAGCACCACGACGCTTGGAGAGGGTCTTGCCAGTAAACAATGTTGTAAACAATGCATCGAAATAACTAGCAAGATCGTCTTTGAATGAGGGCACCAATGGAGCAATACATTCCGATACAGCAAACTGCACATTTGGGGTGTCCAAAGATTTCATTAAACGATCGAAAATCACTCTTAAACGTTCATCCGTAGGTTCCAAGTGGCGTGCCAATGTACCATACAACACGACAATTGGTTCCTTTATATTCTTTGCTTGTAAGCTGTCTTCAAAGATTCTAATCAAAGCCTCGACATTTTCCGCACCGTGAGCTTCAATGGCAACAACACCTGCATCCTGGTATTGCTGACGTACATTTTGATCCTTGTCACCCAAAGCCTCTTCAACAAGAAATTTGAAAAGTTTCTCCACATCAGATTCAGACAAATGGGGCACTAGGAACTTAAGAGCTAAGGCCACCGTTGATCTCTCTTCCCATCTATCTCTTTGATCAATAGTTGACTTTATAACAAGACCAAACTCATCCAATTTTGGAGCTGGTGGATTCTTTTTTGCAATGTATAAATTAAACAACTCGTCCAAGTCGATGCCTGTTTGAATAGATGCATCTCGGTACGCTTGTGCCACTGACATTCTTAATCCTGCTTCCTGCAACCCAAACAAGTCAAGTAAGTTGGTTGTATCTGGCACGCTCAAGGAATTGTCGTCCCAAATTGTTTTTGCCAATTCGCGACAATTATTGTCGGTGTCGTAAGTGGCAACATACACTTCCTTGGAGTAGGCACTCAACTCAAACTCAGAGTCCAACCCTTCCAAAATTGTTGATCTAACAAATACGTGTGGTGACACTACATTTGCCAACAATAGCTGCAAATCTTCATCAGAAATGTTAACAGCAATATATTGGCACAATGAAAGAAAACATTCCTTAACCAACTTGGCCTTTGATGGAACAGCCATGAGCGAGATTAGTATTCTCAAAATGCTTGTTCTTGGTATTCCAGCATCAGCAAATAATTCAGCATGGGCAGAAATGATTTCCACACTTAGAAGCAAGTGCTCTTCTTCGGGGTCATTTTCAACAAACTCGGACGTGACGGCAATTTTCTTTGAGTTTTTGAAAGCTGCCGCTTGCCCAATTTGCAATACTTTAATCAATAGTGGGAGCACATACGCCAACGACACGGCATCCAATGGGCTTTGATCACTCAAAATCTTGACACGGTACAAAATTCTACCAAGTAGGGACTCCAAAGGTTCCTCTTCATACTTGGGGTCGACCTTGACCCCATATAATCTTAAAATGGCAACACCAACAAATGTCTTCAAGATTTCAAATCGCGATGTAATCAAATTGGAAAGGTTGATAAAAGTGTCTGCACTTTTGAAGAATTCGCCTTCACTTATTGCCAAGTCAAGCAATTTCTTTACACTAGTTGGGAACCAAGACTCGGCTCCATTTCTGACTACTTTGGCTTGTATCGCCAATTCATCAATCAATCCAATGGCAAAGTTGACCTTCTTCACTGTGGATTCGATGTCACTTCTAATCTTTGACTCCTTAGCAACTTGCTCTGCAACAAGTTTCTTTTCTTCGGGAGTCAATTTCTTTGCTTGTTTCAACTCTTTTCCAATTGATTCCTCCCAAGCTTTGATTTCATAATCCTTGGCATTCTTGTCCAAGGCTTTAGGTTTCTTTGCAGTCACGTCAATGACCATTTCACCTTCTTTTCCATAGTAGATGGATTTTGACACCTCGTCTATATGTTCAACAGTTAAACTTTGGTCAATAAACTTGGTGATCACGTCTACTGAGTCAGGCTCAACAAAAGCAATAGTCGCGAGTGCCTTTATGGAGTTGTCAGTTGCAGTGGCCACACATTCATTAAAAATTTGTTGGTAATTATTCTTGACCAATTTACCAATATCAATTTTGTGTCCGCTTCTTTGTACAAGACCTATCCAGCCACCGTTGATACGTATGCTTGGGTCGTTGGCCATGATGATTAACTTGACCGCGTTTGACTTTACTTGGTCCACCTCCTTTAGCTGAGTTAATATAGCAAACACAACACTGAGGTCTCTAGGGTTACAAACCTCTCGGTCTAATGTGTAGGCTTCTGCAATTACCCCATCACTTAAACCCAAGTTGACTTCGACCTCCTCTCTGAAGCGTTGCTGAGCTAGCCTCTTTATGCTGTATGGAACTTTTCTTCCAGTGAGCACATACAACCAACCTTTTGGATGATTATACAAGTCTTTGACAAACCAGTACAAATCAGTGGTGTCTAGTTTCTCAAAAATTTTTGTCTCATCAAGCAAGGGGGAGTCTTTATGTGTGAGTGTCAAAATCACAAATGCTGAGGCTATGTTTTTGATGTTGGCTGCTGGCGATTTTTCAATTTCAGACAATGTCTCATTGAACACAGAAGAAAAGTCGGGTTGCTCTTTCCCCAAAGCATGTTTCCCATACTCGACAAACCAAACACGTTTAAACTTTGATTTGAATCCGGTAGTGAATGCTTTGATGATGTTTTCGTCAAACTTGCTTGCTTTGAATGCATGGAATGCAAATACATCAACTAAACTACTGAGCGATATCTCATTTTGCTCTTTCGAAACCAAGGGAAGCAATGCGTCCAACACCTTTTCTGAGGCATCAGTTTTGAGGAGACTTCTTACCAAAAGAGACTTTGATTCCGCATTTGTTGTTGTCTTGATAGTTTTGACAATATCCTCGGTTATATCGTCCTTTGATCTGGTCACTACCAAGACCAAAGTATCGTAAGCACCAACTCTGACGTGCTCTTTTTGAGACTTGACTCCGGAAATAATTGACGATAAAAGTTTTGATGATGGCGTGATTTTGATTTGTAGGCTTTTAAAAAAGATGGGGAGCACGATACCAAATGAGTTTTCTGAAGACCTGAGAATGGCCTTTTCAATTGCTGGAAGCAAGAGAGTGTTGAAGTTTTCCTCGTTCACCAATGTCTCCACACATGGACTGAACTGTTCCACTTCAAATTTTGACGGAGCTTTCTTTCCTAGCAACACCAAGTTGATAAACGTGGTCAACACTTTTGTTTCATAGGTCTTGAATTTTTCAAGCACTGATGGCTTCTTTGGTATAAGTTCGATTGCCGCCAGGTTCAACACACCAAACAAGGAAAAACAATCGTGATTTATTACAAGCTCCATGTAAGTATCGTCCTCAAGCAAGGTGTGGGCAATGCTTGTCTTTGTAGCTGTGATGGCTGACTTTGTCACTCTATCCAAATGCTTTGTTGACTTACCCTCATGCTCTGTGCACTTGACAAATAGCTTTGATTGAATGGAGACACATCTTTCGCTCAAGTCCTTTTCCTTGGCAAGCTCTATAGTGAACGTATTTATCCATTGTAGTAAAGTCAAATAATCGGTGATGGCCAATGTCGTTCCAGCAATCTCTTTGACGATAAAGTCCACATAGTGTGAGAGCAATCTTTTCTCCGCCTTGCTTATCCCGAGTAACACCTCCAACACGGCATTTCTTGAATCAGTGTCCTGATAAAAGTTGTATGTACCAAGCAATACGTTTACAACTGCTTGCAATTCTGCATTTTCAATCTCATTCAAGCTCAGCTCAATTGATTTCAATGTGCTGACCCTTTCTTTCAAAGACGAGCTTCTGACGCCTTTTTTATAAACAGGCGCCAATTGTTCCCATGGGACGATCTCCAGCATGTATATATATATATATATGGTTATATAGTTTGATCTTGAAGTAAAAAAGTTGCAAGTTCTTATTGAAAGCGAGAAAATTAAGTGAAAAATTTTTTTTAACTGGTTTTCCCTTCTTTTTCTTTTCTTTATCAACTATAACAGTCGATGAGGAAAGGTAATGGTCCGTTGCAGCAATGGGTTCAATGTCGGTGCTGGTCTTTCGGTCAGTGCAGACTGCGGCCCGACTCGGCTTTCAGCTGGGCGCTGTGGAGAACATCACGAACCCAATCATCACCACACAATATAAAGTGATTGTCAATGTATCTGAGGCTGTTGTTGATCAGGAGAGGAGGAGCAAGGGGAGTAGCAGCAAGGAGAGTAGGAGCACGGAGAGTGAGAAGCCGTTACCTAGAAGAAGATGTCTCTCGATAAATAAATAAATTCTCATAACTCTATCTAAATGCTACATAGTTTCATACTTTCAATCACCATGTTTAAAGCAGCATCTGTTGCCGTACCTGCAGCTTCCATACTTTGACCAGTTAGCACATGGTTTTGATCTCCACTTTGGTGGTCGTTCAATATGCTTTAACTCAGCTTCACCGTGGGCAAACTGGCACTTGAGACCATAGGGACAGCTGCCGGTTTTCATAAATGGCCCGCACAATTCTGTCTTATATAATTGAGTGTTTACTGTCTTGGATTTAGATTGAGGGGGTGAAGTGTCGCGTGAAGGAGTTGTTGGTGTCTGCACGGAAACTGTAGTCTCATTGAGTACACTTTGATGACGTGGAATATCGTTGTTTAATATATGTACTTGTTGTTGGTTATCGTATAGCTCGTCAATGTGGAAAGGACTAGTTGTGGCCTGTTGTTGTTGATGTTGGACCTTCCATGTCGATTGACCCAGGTGCCATAGTGGTGAAGCTCTCTGAACCGGCAGTTGAGTATAATTTTGAAACGGGGAAACATCCAGGAACATGGGAACTTGGGTGTGATGCGGATCAATAAAAGGTGAAAGTTGTGCATTGAAGGAACTAAAATGGTTGCGACAGGGCGATTGTAGTTGTGGTTGTTGTTTAAAGCCAAAGTCATTTGAATACTCTAAGCCGTCCGACACGCTTGACTCATTAGACGACGTTTGCCAAAGGTCTGGTAACAAGTCTCCAGTATTGAAATCAACAATTGAGTTTGAGGACGAAACTGTGGAAAGCGATGACAATGCTCTTGCGCCGTTTGCAAAGTCGGACTTGTGGTAATCAGCAGTGCTAGCAAACATTTTTCAACCAGAAAATGTATGGACTTGTAAATGGTGTTAACAGTGGAAGCTTTGCAATACTGATAAGCTATTTCTGTGCAGAAAGGTTCTTTTTGGTATGTTTTATAATCTTTTCAATCATAAGGCATCCACAATATACAAGTTACACAAAACTATATGCATGTAAAGAAAAAATGCTCAATTTTATTTTGGGCGTTTAAACCACTCACAAGAAAGCGTTGTTTGTTTATTCCCCTCTCTTCAAGTTTTGAATGATACCATCCAAAAGATAAGACAAGTTGTGTGATCAGAGTGTAGTGACTGCCGTTCTCCATGCCCGTCACCGAGATAAGAAACATCTCCACCAACGTAATATCGTATCACTTGCTTGAACAACTACAGCATCCACCAGTTTCTTCTCCGATATGGGATTTCCATTGTCATGTGTCTAACTCTATTGTAGTGTTTGTGTAACTTATTTTTGTTCTTGTTGGTAGGTGCCGTTTCAACAAGTTTTTTTTTCCCTGTGTTTTGGTGTTTTCCAGTGATCGGAATATCTCGCAATTTTCTCCAATTTCCACCAACACTATTTTGTTACTGGTTCTTTTTTTTGTTTTTATTGTTTGAATTTTTAATCCGATGGTTTCTTGCTTCAACCAATCAAATGCAAGCATTGAAAAGTTGAGCTCACTCCTTGAAACTGTAACCATACTGGTTACTACACTATATACTTTTACCCAACCAATTACTCAATTTGATCGTTTGCGTAATTCAATCCAATAACAAATTCATTTCCAACTGTTCTTTTACTTTCCCCAATTCGATTCGCTCAGTTAGTTCTCCGCTTTTTGCATTTTGTCTTTTTTTTTTTTTTTTTCTTTTTTTTTTCGTTTCTTGTTCGTTGTTGTGTCAGTTGAAAATATAATTGCAATGTTTCCCCTCTAATGAAGTGGCACCTCCCCCTATATTCCTACTTATCTCCTCTCTTAAATAGGGGATTTTTACTTTTGGGGCATCACCTGAATACACACTCTCCTCACACCACCCTATAACACAGTATGGCACCAATTCAAAGGTGTCCCAGACGAGAACCAACTTATGTATAGTTCACGTGATCTCGGTAATATATCCCCGTTTGGTCTTGCGAGCTCGGAGATATACTTCCAGTTGATCTCGTGATCTATCAAAAACGTAAACAGAGACAAAAGTTTCTCAGCTTCTCTGGAACACGTAAAGTGCCATCCTCCTTTGCCCTTATGATCAAAACAAACAACCTTCAAGAACAGCTAGATTGGCTAAACCAGGCTAAACCTAATCTACCGAGTGCTCAGGTAATTGCAGCAGCACTCAAAAAGTATCCCAAACTGAAAGTCGGCAACGCATCATCATCATCGCTATCGACGCGTCCGGTATTCAATGGTCAACTGCAACAACACCATCACCAAGAACGGCCCGGAGCTAGCCAAAATCAATCTGGCTCGTTAAGAGAAGATGTGTCTGTCATTGGAAATCTAGTCGTCACTACTATATCCCCTGAAAGTGACAAAGAAAATGTACCCCCTCCACCCAGAATCCAAAACAATGACTTACATGAATCTTCATTCAATTCTTCATTCAACACATCATCTGCATCTTTGATACTGCAGTCACTCACACAGAATAGAGGCGCAAGCAAAGTCAAGAAAACGCAATCAAAACTACCATTGGTGTCACAGTTTTTCAAACCACAAAGTGAATCGTCTGTACATACAACTCAATCATCACAAACACGACATAGGAGCCAAACAAGTCCAGACAACGTAATAGACTTAACACTTGATGCTGACTCTCCACGAAAACGGCCCGCAGAAGAGGAGTCACCCTTGTTGAACAAACGTGCAAAACCTGATAAAGCACAGCGTTATCTCGAATTAATACAATTGCAAGAGTCCAAGATCAAATTACTAGAGGAAAAATTTGTCATTAGTGAATCTACCTCCATTTCGTTGGACCAGAAGAAGGAACATTACGTTGAATTGCAGGCAAGAATTGCATCCTTGGATGATTTGATTGCTAAATTAAAAGATGCGACGAATGAGGTGGTATCACCAACGCAGCATGAAGCAACTGATGATATAGAAGATACCAGTAATGATACACACGTGTTTAGAGCACCAGCAAGACCAACAAGGATTGCAGAAGCAAGGGAAATTGTTTCAAATATTGACGTTGATAATAACAATCTGATGTTGGATATAGAAGATGATTTTGGTAACAACACAATGGACGGATTGAGGACCCCAACGCAGGAGCGGGACGATGTTGATGATATGGGCAGCTTTATTGATGACGCCTCTATTCCAAACTCACCTTCTGCCTACGGATTTTCCGATGATGATGGTTCCGATGCAGTTGTTATTGATAGTCAAGAGATACAGAACCTCAGGTTGTCGCCTGATGTGGCAGAGAAATACGGAATTAACTATGACGAAAAATCTGTGCCTCCCAAGCAAAGAAATAAGAATAACAATGATGATGATCTCGAATGGCCGAATGAGGATCCGGATAATGATTACGTGGAGGATATTGAGTTCTCCACTCAGCTTAATCAAGAGCGAGAAATTGATATTATAGAGATTGATTCAGACTCGGATGATGACATTGACTTGGCTGACAATACTGCTCTTAGCGAGATGCCACTACCTGCGCGCAACATGCTTAGCTCTTCTGAATCAGGTGCCGAGTCAACCGCATCCAATCTAAATGCCATGTCAGTATCGGTTATTGCAAAGCAGAATGGACCTCCACTACTAAACATGGACAGCGATGACGGTTTCAGTGAAGACGATGACGAAATCATGCAACTCATCAATGCACCCAAACCGGTAACTCGTGTGGTGCCGAAAGGGTCCGAGGATTTTATCGATGAGGTGTATGACACGCTTAATAAGGTATTCAAACTTCAGTCATTTCGTCCTAACCAGTTGGAGGCGGTTGTTGCTTCCCTTTTGAACAAGGATGTTTTTGTTTTGATGCCTACCGGTGGTGGTAAGTCTCTATGCTATCAGCTTCCTGCGTTGATCAAAGGCGGCCATAGTAAAGGCACAACTGTTGTTATATCGCCGTTGATATCCTTGATGCAGGACCAAGTGCAGCACTTGATACACAAAAACATCAAAGCGGGAATGATTAGCTCCAAAGCAAATAGCGACGACAACAAACACACCTTGAACCTTTTCCGTGAAGGGTTCCTCGATATTGTATATTTGTCACCAGAAAAGGCAAACAAATCCACAATGATTCAAAAGATTATTGGCAGGCTTTATGAACGCAATCAACTAGCGCGTGTGGTGATTGACGAAGCTCATTGTTTAAGTTCGTGGGGTCATGATTTTCGTCCCGATTACAAGGGGATGGGCTTTTTCAAAGAACGGTTTCCTGCAGTGCCAATAATGGCATTGACGGCAACGGCAAATGAAAAAGTGCGGATGGATATTGTACATCATTTGAAGATGGATTCCCCAGTGTATCTCAAACAAAGTTTCAATAGAACCAACTTGTATTACGAAATAAGGTGGAAGAGTGGCAATTACCTTGAATCAATGAAGGATTATATCTTATCAAGGTACAAGAACAAGTGTGGAATTATCTATTGCCACTCTAAGCAGTCGTGTGAGCAGACTAGTGCCAAGTTAAATCTGTTTGGATTGAAAACGTCGTTCTATCATGCAGGTATGTCACCTGAAGACCGTTTCAAGATTCAAACCAACTGGCAAAAGAACAAGATTCAGTTGATTTGCGCCACCATTGCCTTTGGTATGGGTATTGATAAACCGGATGTGAGGTTTGTTATTCATTTATTTATTCCAAGAAGTTTAGAAGGTTATTACCAAGAGACAGGAAGAGCTGGTAGAGATGGCAAGCCATCTGAATGTATCATGTACTATTGCTACAAGGATGCAAGGTCGTTGCAGAATATGATCCATCGCGATGCCGACTTGACTGAGGAAGGCAAGGAGAACCACTTGGCGAAATTGAGGCAAGTTGTTCAGTATTGTGAAAACACCACTGATTGCAGGAGGAAACAAGTGTTGCACTATTTCAATGAAACATTTGACCCCATCAATTGCAAGAAGCAGTGTGATAATTGCAAAAACTATAACCACGTCACTGTTGTTGAAAAGGATTGTACACAGTACTCCCAAGACATTCTCAAGCTTGTCAAGTCTATTCAAAGTGAAAAAGTAACCGTTTTACACTGCCAGGATGTGTTTCGAGGTCTCAAGTACAACAAAATTACCAAAATGGGCCACAACAACAACCCATATCATGGAAAGGGGAAAAACTTGGACAAAACTGATGTCGAAAGAATTTTTTTTTACTTGCTTAGTGAAGAATGTCTTGTTGAATACCAAGTGATGAAAGGTGGCTTTGCTTCGAACTATGTCAGAGTGGGGAGAAACGCGTCAAAAGTGTTGAATGGGAGGAAAACGATCAAAATTCAATTCAGCTCTACATAGTCCCTATATATTATCATCGTGATAAACAAAGTTTGTTCTCTTTGGATCTCTTGGTGCACTTTTCGTATACTGGGCATCATCTGGTGGCCTTTCGGCAAGTGTGTTTGAATGCAACATGCTCTGGATACTGAGCAATATACTTTCAATGGAACACGCGGGTGTCCAATCTTCTCCAAGCAAGTTGAGACAAATGTGGCCATTGGAGTAGATGTGTGGATGCAATGGAATGGGCGAGGATGCATAGTTGATAAATACCACCGACGGGGAATCGACGGGGTAGTCATCAGTAATGGTCACTTGAAGATAGTAGTCATCGGGATAAAGATCGTGATTGTCGATGTGGATCTTGAATAGGAAACTTAGCAACTCTTCCGATGAGACTAGTTCAACTCCGGGCAAGTTTGCCTTGGTGATGGCTTGGTACTCTTTTGCTAATCTTTTGTGGTACGGGTGCATGTGGATTAGTCTTTCGGATTGGATGAGTTTTAGCGCTACCGAAACAAATGAAATTGTGCTGTATCGCCCGTTGTTTCCTCTTTCGTGATAATTAGTGTGGCACGGAATTACTTTATCTACAGCAACTTATCCAGGCACCGTCGAGCGATAGATTTTCCCGACACCAGCTAATCTAGGCGAGCATTGTGTCGGAGTTGTGAAAATCACTGGACTTAATGCAGTATGACACAAGCAAAGCGAATAACCCCAATCACATTATTAAAACCTAGATTATATAAATTGGTTGCAGTATAGAGCTAATCTCTCGTCTGTAGTCATTTTCAAGATCAGGAATGAAGTTTTCGGTTGTTGCAAATGGTGCTTTAGTAACATCAACAATTTACGCAATTCCATTCGAATGGCAAATTCCTTTTAGTTACTTTGGATTGGAGGCACCTCAGTCCCCTCCCCCTTCAACACTGGTGAAAATGCTGGGATTTTTTCAGAAATTTCCGCTTACTTTAATGAACCATTGGGAACACTAACTTGCCAAACAAAAAAGTTGTGGCTGCAAATTGTTCTTCCTCTGGAGACATTCAAGTCATTTAAGGAGGACACCACCAACAAACGTACCAAAGAGCAAAAGTTTTATTTACACCTTAAAGATCAAAATTTACCAAACCACCAATTGAGGGTCAAGGATCCGTCTCAATTGGGAATTGATTCCGTTAAACAGTACTCGGGCTATTTCGATCGACATCAATAAAGAGGACAAATACCTTTTCTTTTGGACGTTTGAAAGTGGAAACGATCTGAAACATGATCCATTTGTGCTATGAATTAATGAGGGTCCTGGGTGTGCTTCGTTCTTGGGCTTACTTTTGGAGTTGGGACCAGCATCAATTTCAAAGGACATCAAGCCTGTTCACAACCCACACTCGTGGAACAATAATGCAACCAATATATTCCTTGACTCACCTGTGAACGTTGGTTACTCCTATTCATCAAATGCTGTTACTTCTGCAGATGCCGCTGCGAAAGATATATTGTTCTTTAAGCAGTTCCACGAATATGCCAAATTGAATTTTCATCTTTCTGGCGAGTCGTATGGGGGACATTACCTCCCAACAATTGCCAATAAAATTTTAAACCACCTTGAAAGGTCATTCAATTTGACTTTAGTTATGGTTGGAAACGGGTACGCCGATGTCAAGACTCAGTACCAGTACTTCAACCTATGGCAAGTGGTGAAGGAGAAGAGCCAAGTGTTTTGGGACCCGGATATTTGCGAAGCAATGAAAGCAGCTATGCCATAATGTGTTAATTTGATTGACAAGTGTTAACATGTCGCAATCGATTTGGGATTGTCTTCCTGCGACCATTTATTGCAATCTAGCAGAAAACACACCTTACGGAAAGACTGGTAGAAATCTTTATGAAGTTGGAGAGGAGTGTAAGGGAGACAGTTTGTATTATAAAGGGATGGACTACTTTGATGAGTACTTGAGTAAGCCAGAGGTAATGAAAGCAGTTGGTGCGGATGTGTCAAGTCACAAATCATGCAACGAGGGGGGCTCAAGAAAAATTTTATTCTCAATGGCAAATCTGATGAGACCTTATTACAAGCATATTGTTGAGGTTTTAGAAAGTGAAATACCGGTTTTGCTCTATAATGGAGACAAAGACTTCATTTGCAACTAGTTGGGAATTGATGCTTGGACTGATGAATCGGAATGGAGTGGCTCACAGGGATATGTCAAAGCACCAATTAGAAAGTGGGAAGTGGATGGCAAACATTGTGGTAATGTAAAAAGTTACAATGAGCTCACCATTTTGAGAGTCTTCGATGCTGGGCATATGGTTCCGTATGACCATCTGAAACATGCCTTCGACATATTCATATTAAACCAATGGATTGGAGACCACTGTGTGTGTATCTATAGCTGCATAGGGCTGGACTTTTAGATATGAATCTCTAGTTGTATAGAGTATTCTACTTGTTTCTTGATTTACACTCACATAGGCAGAGGTAGCCGGAAGTAATTCTCTTCAATTGCGTCTATATACGGAAGCATCTGGGTATGTAATGGGATGACAGGAAGATAAAGTTGCAGGTGATTTTGCTTTTAGACATCTGCAAGAATTCATATGACAGATTATGTATTCATTCTCCGGTATGGCAGTGCGGCTTATTGGGGTATATTTTATCCGCGTTCCATTGTACCACAAAAAGGAAATCCGCACTTCTTCTTGTGCCTTACATCTCGGTGGCATTGTATATATAAAGAAAACAATTTCCTTTGGATAGAGAACAAGAAGTAAGGAGTTTTACGCTAGTAAAAACATGAAACTCTTCAACGTTGCTGCAGCTGCTTTAGCTGTATTTGGAATCACATCCGGGTTACAGCAACCATTGACATTACCAATCTTGGACGATCCTGACGGCCACTTGTTCTTGAAAGCCTCGAGATATTTCAACGAACCATTAAGTACTTTGACCCAAGAGACAAAAAAGTTATGGAGTCAATTCGTATTCAACTCGAACGCTTTTAAAGCTTTGAAATCAACCGGCGGATTTTCCAAAATTACAAAGCAGGAGTTTGATTTCCACGTTACAGATAAAGCTTTACCAAACCACCAATTGAGGGTCAAGGACCCGTCCAGCTTGGGACTTGACACTGTTAAACAATATTCCGGATACTTGGACATTGAGGACGGGAAGAAGCATTTTTTCTTTTGGGCATTTGAAAGTCGAAATGACCCAAAGAATGACCCAGTTATTTTGTGGTTGAATGGTGGTCCAGGTTGCTCATCATCTATGGGGTTGTTTTTTGAGTTGGGACCAGCATCAATCAACAAGGATATACAACCAGTTCATAACCCATATGCTTGGAACAATAATGCAACTGTCATATTCTTGGATCAGCCAGCAAACACAGGCTACTCTTATACAGAGAAGCCTGTTTCAAACACTATGGCTGCAGGTGAAGATGTCTATGCCTTTTTGGAATTATTTTTCAAACAATTCCCACAATATGCCAAGTTGGATTTCCACATTGCCGCTGAATCCTATGGTGGCCACTTTGCACCCGTTTACGCAAGTGAAATCATGAGTCACCCAGAGCGCTCTTTCAACTTGACCTCCGTTTTGATTGGAAACGGTTTGACGGACACTTTAGTCCAATACGAGTACTTCCAACCAATGGCTTGTGGCGAAGGTGGTTCAGAAGCCGTTGTTGACCCTCAACAGTGTCAAATCATGGATTCCACAAAACCTCTCTGTTTAGCACTTATCAAGCAGTGCTATGACACTGAGTCTGTTTGGTCATGCTTCCCTGCCACTGTTTTCTGTAACGAGGCTCAGATGGGACCTTATCAAAGGGCTGGTTACAACATGTACGATGTTAGACTCAAGTGTGATGGTTCGCAATTGTGCTATGAGAGTCTTGAGTATATCGACAAGTACTTGAACAAGCCCGAAGTTTTGGAGGCAGTGGGCGCTGAAGTCTCAGGTCATGAGTCCTGCGATGCTGGTATCTACGCAAACTTTTTGTACTCTGGTGACTGGATGAAGCCATACTACAAAAAGGTAATTGATGTTTTGGAAAAGGGCGTCCCTGTATTGATTTACGCCGGTGATAAAGATTTTATTTGTAACTGGTTGGGAAACCAGGCTTGGACTGACAGGCTACAATGGAGTGGCGCACAGGGATATGCCAAAGCACCAATTAGAAAATGGGAAGTAGATGGTGAGCATGCCGGAAATGTCAAAAACTATGACAAATTTACATTCCTAAGAGTCTTTGATGCTGGGCATATGGTTCCGCATGACAAACCAAAAAACTCGCTTGACATGGTCAACAGGTGGATCCAAGGCGATTATAAATTGTAGGATAAAAACACAGTTTTATATATACCTCTTTAAATAGATAGGCAATTAATAAAAAGCATCTTTGCGTTCCTTTCGAAAATGTTCTTTTTTAATCCTTGCTTTTACACTATCTTTTAAATATTTATATAGATAGTTCCAATCAATTTTCCCGAAATGTCGAAGATGATGAAGCGAAGGTTTTTTCCCACCTCCCACACTGCAACTCGCTCCAGTAGTGAGGCAAGTACGTTCAAAAAGACTCAGGTATCCACGGCCAGAAATTAAACCCTCCAGTATTCACCAGTGAGAACGAAAGCTTCCTTTCTTGAAGACTAAAGACCACCGTTTCAAACCGCTAACACCATAAATGATCCGAGAGAGTCCAAACTCAATTGACAAGATGTACGCTAAGGAAAATCAGCAGTATAAAGTGTCAATAAGCGACATCGTGTGTTAATTCAAATCCAACGAGGCGTATAGTATAGTAAACTTGTAACAAGAGAATACCTCATGTAGTGTCTCGATAAAAAACAATAAGTACTAAACAACATGACATAAATTTCATCCTTTCAATGCAGCAGTTGACAAACTTATTCCAGTCGATAATGTATTGTAAGAACCATAATCTTAAACAAAAATTCTCCAATTGCAACAGGTAGCATCAATTAGAAGACGGCGTTGATTAATGTCACTGCAAAATAAAACTTTGTATGAAGTCTTGTCGAAACCTTGAGCAGCATATCAATTCAAAACAAAATGGCTAGCGGTGCCATTTATTTACGAGCGACGACAACAATCCCTTAAAATCTATTCAAAAATTTCCAGACTTCTAGGAGCATATCTACCGTAAAATCAGTTTATAAATTTTGCTGTAGCAAGATGAACCCTGTAACACCACGAAATTGATCGGTTGCAAATACCAAACGTTTCATCAAGTTCTTACCTAAAAGAGCTTATACTGAGGTCCGGATGTTGATTATACTGAGGTCCGGATGTTGATTATACTGAGGTCCGGATGTTGATTATACTGAGGTCCGGATGTTGATTATACTGAGGTCCGGATGTTGATTATACTGAGGTCCGGATGTTGATTATACTGAGGTCCGGATGTTGATTATACTGAGGTCCGGATGTTGATTATACTGAGGTCCGGATGTTGATTATACTGAGGTCCGGATGTTGATTATACTGAGGTCCGGATGTTGATTATACTGAGGTCCGGATGTTGATTATACTGAGGTCCGGATGTTGATTATACTGAGGTCCGGATGTTGATTATACTGAGGTCCGGATGTTGATTATACTGAGGTCCGGATGTTGATTATACTGAGGTCCGGATGTTGATTATACTGAGGTCCGGATGTTGATTATACTGAGGTCCGGATGTTGATTATACTGAGGTCCGGATGTTGATTATACTGAGG